GTTATACGACCAAACCTTGCATTAAAATCACCACATAGAATGGTATTTTTATGGAGTGGCACCTTGTCAAGAGTAGCAATCACCTCATCCAAGGGGAGATTCGGTGGAAAATAGAAACAAGCTAGTCTAAAAGGACCAAAATTGAGAGAGAGAGCATAGGGTGAAGGGCTGCTTAAATGGCTGACAGGAACGGGGCAATTCGGATTGACGAGGGCAACAATACCTTGAGAACCACGATAACCGCCCTGGACAGGTTTACCATAGGTATGAAATTGATGCCAGGAAGTAGGGAGACGAGAGGGTGAAAGAATCCAGGATTCAGTAACTAAGAGAAGAGACATGGAACTGCAGTGAGAGAGGACATCGGCAACAGTTGTTTGTTGCAAACCATTGGCGTTCCAAAGACCGATGGACAATGTCAGATGATTGTTGGTGGTGTTTGTGGTGCCCCCTATAAGCGGGGAGCAGCCGATGACGACGAGCTTATCTCGTAGGCATCATTATCACCATCTGTATTTATAGATGAGGCAACAGAATCATTATCATCAGCAAAGGCGCTCTCGTGGAATTCCTCACCAGCTTCAATCATCTCAGAATCACCGGTGACAAAACCTAACGAGGTCAAGAAAGCGGCAGCAGTAGTAGAAGAAGACCCAATATCACGGGTACGTTTCAATGGTCGGGGGTTTCTCTCCGCAACAATCTCCTTGGCAATGGAATCAGCGATCCAACCTTGGTCAACAAAAAAACGGGCAACACTGGGTACCAGGTAAGCCCGTACATATCGTAGGGCACGGATACAACGGTCTTGTTGTAGGGCTTTAGCGAAACGAGTGCGGTCAGTGGCAGAAGCATTGGTCATAGCAGGATTAGCAATATGCTTTTCATCCAAAGGGTCAAAGTGTTCCAAAGGAACAACTTTACAGGCCTTGAGGTGGTTTGAGAGATCGGTAGTAAAGTCGTTGTGTACCAAGAGGCCAATCACACGGTGGGCAGGTAGAGTAATATCTACGATACGACCAGTGTCAATGCCAATGGTACTGAGGCGGTGGCGAATTTCACTACGGTTGATTTTACGAGCTCGAGGTATGTACACGTAGGAGTAGCCTTGTGGGGCAGTAGGATCATATTGGCTGAAAGCCCTTACAGTGGCCTTAAGCTTACGCTCAGTTAGTTTCTTAGGGGCGGGACGCTTAACAATTGGAACCCAAGCAGTTTTGGGAGTAGTAGGGGCAGTTTGCGTCGTAGCAGTGGTGTTGATGGTAGTAGTAGGAGTAGTGGTGGGTATAGCATATTTGCTGGCAGCGGTACTCAATGCAGTGGCCTTTGAAGTGGCATTGGGAGTAGAGATCGAATCTGCTACTTTTAAGCCTCTAGCGGCCATATTGGGCGTGATAGCGGCATTTTTCTGTTCGAAATTCAAATTCTGAAGATTTTGCACAGTTGCGCTTAAACGATTTAACTCCCGCTGGAAAAAATCATTCGCAGTCTCATGGTCGGAGAATTTTGTCACTAGCTCGGCGAACTGAAGTGCGAGGCCGTCGACTTTTTCGGTCAAGTTTTGGAGGACTGTGAACACTCGGGCGAGTGTTTCCTCCAATTTTTGGGTTGACATGTTGTTGTTGGGAGCTGTAAGGTGATATCGTTACGGAAGGATATCGTGTGTTGTGGAGGTAATCCGTCTAAAAAAAATAAACAGATGGTGTATCCTTAAGGCTGGGTTGGGCAGGTACCTAGCTTTAGCGTTGTATGATTGGATGGCTGTAAACAACTGATATTCACGTGACCTGAGAGGTAATTATGTGTGAATGTCTGGAGAAGTGTTGGATAAGCAAGCGAGCCTGCTCGCTTAGCTCAGTTGGTTAGAGCGTGGTGCTAATAACGCCAAGGTCACAGGTTCGACCCCTGTAGTGAGCATTTTTTCTATTAATTTGAGTGTAGTGCGTGTAGTGATTTTGTTGCAGTAGTCGCAAGAATATAAAAAAAGGTGGTTGTTTTCTTTCGTGTATTCATCACTTTTTCTGAATCCATCAATCAGATTGCAGTATTTAATACCCTTACACTACCCCTTTCCTGCATCTTAAGACCAAACATGGGACCAGTTGGTCAACCATTGTTTCGAAGAGTTTAAAGACCAAAATTCCACCTGCCCGTAGTCGTTTTGACATCTCGGGCAACAAAGAATCGTACAGCGTTGAAACTCTTATGGAGGAGCCTGAAGTGGCAGAATATTTACGTTCACAACGGGTCTGTCGTATTTGAGGCACGATGGCAATATTATATGAGTAAATCACTCAAAACGTCTAACGAAATGTAAAATAAAACTTGATCTCAGATATGAGTACTGCTCATATCTTCGTTCCCGTTTGGTAAGCGGTGTGTTCGATTGCATACATTTAAACCTTAGATCAAATGTACAACAAATAAAGATAAAATAAGAAAATAATATGGATTAAGGATAATTCTTATGTGAGATTAGCTACCTCACATAAGAACTGAACAGGTTATCTTTATGAAATATATTTTACTTTGATTATCTATGGCTATATGACGTCTAGGTATATAGCAGGATTGGTATATGTACTCGTAGGATATATTGATTCAACAACCAGATATAGTAGGTCACGATATTGCTCCCTGCTCTGGAAATAAATTATGGTTGGAGATAAAAAGGCTCAATCACCCTTTATTAACACAATAAACTGTTCACGCAATCAAAAGAACACCACGCACAAATATCTCTTCCTAGCTAACATCTACAATCATTGCCACAGTATCTGAGCTACACAACTGGTGGCCGATCGATATTGGATTATAGATGTAGCTGCATGATCACCCTGGATCTGCCAGGATAGCACATTACAAATCAATCCGCTCTGGGATGGACGAGTAATTATCCACTTAAAGGGAAGACCTGTTCTTTTACGGAGATCTCTGATTCACTGATGTATTATGGTCAGATAATACATCAGTGTCAGCTACAGATCCCGATACAATCATTTCGTAGGCAGCAAACACAATAAGTCTTGATTAATAGCAGTAATTTTAGTTTTCTTTTCCTTTTCTTTAGTTTGTTTTTGAAAGAGAAATAAAGACGGTGGTTTGATTTCGTTAAGCTTTCGTGTTTATTCTCTCTTGTGTTATTCTTTACATTTTATCTTATAGTTAAAGCCAGCGAATACCACAGGGTCCAAGCCATTGTTCATACAGCTATCCAGCCTGGAGCTGTTATTTTTTCAGTTCCCAGTCATTTGTTTTCTCACCAGTCTGAGGCATTCAAATTGGTTATCGACCAGATTGGTCCAGTGGTGGGCAACTATTTCAATCCTATCTCTTTTCGTGGAAGCCGTTCCCGTGGTGACTTGGTTTTTTATACCAAGTTCAGATTAGACCGGCATACTCACCAAGCTTTGCAGGAAGGTTTTAATCATGAAGGTGTACAATACAAGGGAATTGCATATAAGGATAAGACAGATGCGAATGACTATTGTCGTGTTACCTTGACTTTGCCAGTTAGTGATGAGACGGATGTCCTGTTGACTAATATCCAGGAATACATGTCCCATTATGGTCGCGCTCTTCAGATTAAGCAAAGACTTATTCATGGTTTCTTCGAAGGTGATGTTTCAGTGCTTTTGGATCGTCGGGTAACCGACGATTCCCCTCAATACCAAGAGTTACAACGAATGTTGTATTTGGAAGCTTGGGATATTACTGTTCTGACTAGCTACAAGGGGGCAAAACCCATCTGCTATTATTGTCGGGAGGCTGCGCATATAAAGAAGGATTGCCCTTCGTTGCAAAAAATTGTTTGTTTTCGTTGTGGATGTACTGGTCATACTCAGCGTCGTTGCCGCATAGAAATCTTAGATGACCACCCTACCGTGAATGAAACGGACTTCGCGGAAGGTTTGGCTTTATATGAACAGAAATCGGCTGGACACGACCGTACCATGCCCACCACCAATGCAATTGAAGACACACCCAACAACAAGACTGATGAGATACCGGTCAATGCCACTCAATCCAGCTTAGATGACGATGATTTGATGGCCAACAATATCCAGACCACTACAAGAAATGAAATAGTACTTGAACATGCATATATAATAAAAAAGAATAATAATCATTATCCCGATAGTAACTGGACATGCGTAGAAACAAAAGGTAAGTAATAAGGAATAGCTCATCAATAAATATCTGCAAGCCTGAAATAAACAGCTGTAATTAATGTCTAAACTTATTTCTTAATATACATCGCATAACCCGTAAGAGATGATTGGTAATCACAACAGCAGCTCGAGTACGTACAATCAGGAAGAGAATACATTCCACCACGGTCTATCTATATTGCATCTAATATAGGCTATGTACAACATATAATGAAATACAGGCCTAAGCATAATAATTACGCATCAAGCATCTGTACCTGAAATTAGTGACTAGCATACGCGTCCTCAAATAATATAATTCCCATTAAACCTTACAGAGTGAAAAATCCTTCTACTTCATCTGAAGAATAATAAAAACACTTAATTTCATAGTCATCGACTTATAACCGTTATCAATTTCAATTAAGCAAATACAACAATATGGAGGAAGGAGTTCATTAACCAATGATAAACTAAGATTACCTCTTATAAACCTTTTTTTGCGAGCGTATGTACTTTTGATATTCAACGAACAAAGCAGTAGCACTAATAAAATTAATATCATTGCTATAAATGTGTATTATGCAAACATTTCATGTATGTGAAAATCAAGACATTTCATTGAGCCAAAAATCACATAAATCAAATTTAATACAGTATAAATGTTATAATGTGCACAACCACCGTAAGAATCAATCGAAGCTGGTAAAAGTGTTGTTTAAATGTTACTACAACCTTGAAATTCAGCAACTAAGAATGGCGATCTTCAATGTAAAGCAAAGGAGGCACGCGGGTATACAGATCTACGTTAATAGCAGTAATCACGAGAATAAGGAATTCCATTAAATCTTATGTTTCTTCATCTTCATCTGAATCAAACACAACTACGCGTTTTCTTTTACGCGGTATGTCTAGATCAAAGCAATATGGAACAATTAGATTTCTCGTTGCATCGCCACGTCATAATGCAAAGGGTACTCTACCTTGATTCCATTCTTTCGGGCAGACGAATCCTATCAGTTTCCCTAGTTTAAAAAGGCTTGCTAACAGTTCTTTATTTTGTTTGAACGATTCTGCATGAAAGATAAAATGAGTTCCTTAAAAAATGCTATCTGAGGTACTGTTAATATAATATTTTTGCTTACGTGGTGCGGTTCGTTGTCTCCACCATGTATAAAGAACTGTCAACAACGGTGCCATGAGTTGTTTTTCCTCTCCATCTTCAAATATCTGTGTTTGATCGATTAGAGTGGACACTAAATCAGATAATGAGGATATGAAAGGCTCTTCTGAAAGTGTTGACCAATGTTGTAGTAAAGCAATTGTCAACTGTAGCTGCTCCGATAACTCTTGTCCAGTCTCGTCAGTAATTGAAGTATTAGATATAGGAACAATTTGGACAATGGCATGAATCAGTTCTTTTGAAGGAGCAACTGATTTCAACAAAGTAAGTAAGAAGGGGATAATCTCATTTTTGACTAAGTAAAAAAGAAATGAGTACATCAGTCAATAGTGCGCCTCTCCTAGGTAAATCAATTTACGAAATCGTTAGTGTTAACTTACAATCCACTTTCAAAAGCTGGCTAACTTTGGGGTTTTGAAAAAACTCTTGAATGAGAGCAGGTCGACCTTGCAGTTCGGCGGTTAATAGTTGCCAAAAAGATAGCGTTTCAAACGTTGGTAATGTAAAGGAAGTACTGATGAACTGGTAATCAGTAAACTTGTTGCCGAAAATATGATAATATCCGTAATGGAGCTCCAATGCCATTTTCCCCATCTATCAGTTAACAAAACCGGGTATATTAATATGATCGGTTGATTATACTTTCTGACACGCTTAAAAGTTTACCGTTTCAGGTAAGAGCATCATGAGTGTTAGCTTCAATAATTCTAAATTGCCTGAAGTTATATCAGGTAAAAACTGGTATAGCAGGGTGATGACTCGATTGAATTGGCTAACATTAAGTTGGGCAAGCATCTAAAACAAAGAGATAAAAATTTGCTTAAGTGCTCTGTATTATTACATTGTTGCAACAAATTGAGCCTGCTGTACCTGCAAATCTTTCTCTAAGTAGTTCTTCAAATATTCATTTTCATTCATCGTAGAATGATCGATGCTATATGCATGCTTTACGAATGATTGATAGCCTTGCAAAAAGGTTGGAAACCAAGCATTTACTTCGTCACGTTTAAGCATTTGACTATTAAGCAAATTCCATAAGTTTTCAAACATTTGTTCCAGGAGTAACATAACTCTTAATACATGCTTGCATTATACTTACTCTGCTATGAATGACCACCAGCGAACACCAACCATGTGCCGTCTTTGATCTATCCGTGTCTGATGAGCCAAGCAGCTCAATAACTCAATCATCTTCTTTACATTACTGTCATCTTTTTTTACTGCGCACATGTTCCAATAATGAAACATCACTAAATCAAACACATCTTTTGTACTATCTTTAACAAGGATATCCTCATTGTCATTTTTGCTTATTGCAGTATTGGTATGTGAGAGCATCGTAGAAGCAATAATATTTCGAATGTGTGTTCCTATTGTAGCCACCAACATTTCTGCAGGGATAGCCTATGATGATCCATTATTTTTAGATATGCATTCCAATGAAGGCAAACTTGTCAAAGCACCTCTGACTTACAATTCTATAATAGACAGCGAGAATTTCACTCAAGTTTTTCTTTGCAATTGTATTTTGTTCATCATACATTTCCTCAAATTGCTCGCCCGTGCCATTTAACAGAACAACGCATGCTTCTTTAAATCGGCTTAACGAATCACCAAATATCCAATAAGATTGATTTGATTCCATGGCAGCCTGAGCTCGCTCATCTTCTTCTTCGTAGTCTTCTGCACTGCTAACTTCCATTTCCTGCGCTTGCTTAAACTGACGCCCTGCTATTCCTTCATTTTCTTTTCCTTCGCTAACTTTCATTTGTTCTTCTCCGCTATCTTCATCTTTACTGGTCATATCAACGTCGTCAACCATCATCATTGATTTAGACGAAGTGGCTCGCTGTAATTGTTCCTGATGGATTGCTTCGTTATACACCTCTTCCTCTACTATTGCTAATGGAGCAATGGCATTAACATTGGTGCATGTCATTGAATCAGTTTTTTGCTTAGTAGCCCTTGTGTTAAGCAAAACCGTTTTACCCGCTCTATCCACATCCTTCGGTTTGCCTTCGTCAATCGTAAGGCCAATTTGACCTTGAATAGTTGGTACACCTGTATTCATCGTTGTTGCTGTCGATTTCGTCGATGTAGCTTGGGGTTCGCCGTATAGATAAGCATCCACGTCGCTATCATTTATAAATGAATTAGCTGATAAAGGAAAGTCCGTTAACAGTTGTTGGCGATTTTCATGATGATGCTCTGGGGTATTGGTCATGTTCGTAGTGCCTACAGTAGGCGTAGGCATAGGCTCTACAGCTACTGTTGCTGCACTTGATGATGATGACGGTGTCGATAATTGTTGCTGTTTTCGACTGGTACTACTTTCATCCAAAAAATCATGGAATAGAATTTTCATGCAATCTTTTGTTGCAGAATCCATGGTAGGTAATTTATACAGAGGTAATAAACTACGTATGACGCCCTTCGATAATAAAGTACGCATACCGCAGGTGACACATCCAGCCATGTATTCTTTCATAGGTGGAAAGTATTCTTCGACGGAACGTTTCAAGAAGTCAATCAGCGAGGCTGTAATGGAAGGGTAACGCTCTGCTGATCTTTCAATGAGCAGCATGGCTGGTTCTGGTTCGTATGATATGTCAGTCTACATGAGTTTCTACTCTTCCTAGCACATCTACAATAGCTTACCTATAAACATAATATTATCTGTGGGCTTGAAAAATAACCAATCCAAAATCAGGGCCGTTTTAACATTCATTGCAACAGTATTATTCTAAAAAAAAAAAAGTCTTGCCATCAGTTCGAATAAGAGTATTCTCATTAAATTTCCCTTTCAACGAAAACAAACATTACCCTTATAGCTCTAAGCATACTTCCAATGACTACGTAACGAGGAACAATATCGCTTTGCAAGATTTGGTTGGAAGGATACCAGCCTGCTACTATATATCGAATAATATCCACATAAAAAGGCTCCGACTCCGGTGAGCTTAGATAACGTTGAGTAAACCAATTCAAATTTCGTTGAAATTGATTGATCCGCAACTACATCATTTGCAAAAGGTAAATTTTGTAAGCTGCCTTTTTTTTTTTTTGGTCATGATCAATACTCACGTTTTGCAAAATATATAGTAACTTTGTTTCCATATCGACTGTTAACCTGCTCCTTAAGAACTCTTTTGGTGTAGGTGAATTCAATATCATATCTACGCCTATATTTCGTCAAACGTCGTTTTAAAATCTCTGTTGGTATTAGTCTCTAATAGAATAGTGTTCTGCGAACCTTTGAATTTTGATGATAGACTTTGTGGTTTTTGCAATAAATCTTGCCAAAATTGTTTGAATTCAGGAATATTTTGTACGTCATAAAGGGCCCGAATCAGATCTCTACCGATAGGCACGCATAACATCCACTGTGTAAAAAAGTTATGTAATCTATCAATTACTATACCATAAAGAATTTTACTTTATATTCTTATCTTACTCTCTCTCTCATCAAATTCATTACAAACCGAATCTCTTTTTGTTGTAATGCATGGTATTGTGCTGACCGATGATGATCTGCTAGCACTCTCAGATAAGTATATACTGTCATCGCTATTATTTTGGGATTCACATCTAACCAAGGTTTAACTCTCTCGCATAGTTTAACATATTGATCACACAATGATAGGTTTGGCTGACTGAAGTCACCTCCACGTATCTGTTTTAGCAAACTCAAGTAGATCAAATCGATGTTGTTCACGTTTAAATTCGTCAATGCAGTCACCAACCAAAATAACTGTTAAAGCACAAATATGTAAATGCGCATGTAGAGTCGCGTATTCAAGTAAATCCTCTCCAACTGACTTACTTGTTCCCTGGCTTGTGATTTCAAAAGATGAAACTTCGATGAGTTGCATATGGTTTGCAATTTATTAACAACGTTGGCAAAATGATCTCGGTTGATATAAGCGATCGACTGAAAAAACTATAAAGTTGATACTACGTTAACGACCTACTGGCATTTCAGGAATATGTTGGTACGTTGTTGCTTACAGATTTGGCATCAGCAGGTTCTGTCAGTATACCGTATAGTAATGCGGATACTAAGTCATGGTATTCTTTTTTATTTTGCGAAGCTTTATCGTGAAGGTAGTTGTGAAGTTCAATTTCTGATTTATTCTTGGTTGCCTCACAATAGTTCGCGTAGAATTTAGCAAAATCCTAGAATAAAGGAACAATGTCCGTAAAAATACACCGTTTAATAACTATTGTAATAGCATCACTGAACTAATGGTGCAAACTGAACACGTTACAAGCTCTAATTCATCATCTGCATCCACCGGCTCGAGCTCGTAAAGCTTAGAGTGAAACTCTAACCGAGAGCCCATATTGTGAGAAATTACAAGGTTGAGGTATAAAAAAAATAAAAAAGGGATGGATAATCGCCCGAATATGGCATTTATGCATCAACTCAGTTCCTATGCTCTGGTAACAATAAGCCACATGTCAGGCACCAATTATCCGATTGCGTATAAACCCGTTACTCAACACTTTAGCACATTAATAAGTTGCTTGACACTTTATTATAAAAGTTACACCTCTTTGTCCATCTGGTTATATAAAATTGCTTTTTGTTTGTTCCTATTCTTTACATCTGCCTCTAATTTCAGATATATAAACGAAGTCGTGACAGTATTGAACAATCTGAGGTGGAGTTTATCTACAAAATAACCGCTTTGATTGTTTGCATAAACCACATCATAAAAAATGAGAAAGTAAAAGATTGCTATACAAAGACCGACAATAATGCATTGAGCTGCTCTGTGCTTGCAATTTTTCAAGCTTTCCTTATTTATTATAGTTTGGTTGACGTTCATAGGCATTTGGGCTAACTTCTCTAGGATTCCTTTTACTTCTGCGTTTAGAATGGCTATGCTTGCATGTTCTACTATGACGCTGATGAGCTATTTTTTCGCTCTCATTGTTAACGCTATCATCACTATCATCACTATCGCTACCATCATTACTCGAGCTACTGCTGCTTTCGTCTGATGACTCGCCGACGGCACGAGGTTTATGGTAAATACAACAGACTATTTGGGCAGAAACAAGCGAAGAAAGGTGAGAATCAATTCTTCAGAGCTTATCTAACAAAGGTTAGCGTGTCTCTTTTTCGGCTTGTTTTGTAATTACTTTTCGACTTTTTTTTGTTCATATGCTCGTTGTCAACCACACTTTCGTCCCAGTGAATCAGTCGTCTTCTGGCATTCATATCACCTCTTAAGTGTAGCACACCAAAAGGTTCTTGGTCGTCTTCTTCTGAAGCTCCATTACTGTCCGTCTTATCGAAAAATTCTTCATCTTCATCTTCTACTGTTAGCGTTCGTGAGCCATGACTGGATACAGGTGTTTCGCTTCTCATGCGTGTGTATGTTTGTGGGTGTATAGATGACATGATGTTGGGAAGTATATGAAATGTGCAAAATGTAGTAAACCGTCGGAAGTGGTGCGGTCTGTAAACTTTTATGTCTCTGTCGGAGCCCAACTTATATCGGATCACGTCAGTCCAACAGCATAACATCACATACAATAAAACTATCACGAAGGCCTTAATAAAAGCAGTACTGAATAATATTAGAAGGCAGTTGCTAAAGTTACTTATAACTTAATGAATTTACAGCTTCTAAAATTCTTGAAAAAAAGAAAAGGGTCTACGAGCTGAATGGCCTTATTATTATACACCTTGTGGCATTCTACAATAAATAATTCCTCAACTTGTCTGCGAAATACTGCACTTAACAACGATTCACCTCTTATAATTATGCAGTTACTGAAATGAATTAATACACATCAGTTTCATTAAATGTATACTCTCTTGCTTGGAGTTTTACCAAACAGGTCCATTCTGTTAAAATACCAAGCAGGAATACTCTGAGAACGGTTTTCAGATAAGATCAGCAATTTAATTTCGAACCCAATACAAAAATGCTGACTTTCCCCTCTGAGAGTTTTCGATCGAAGAGGTTAAATGAATCACCAAGAAACAGTAAATCAGCCATTAACGACATGGACAGCAATAGTACTGTTTGGCGTCTAAAAGCTTTTTTTTTTTCTCAATGTCGTTTGTAGCTGCATGATATTGAATTAAAATCTAAACAGTTTCCAGAAAGGAATGGGCTGATGTCGAAGACAGTATATTCAGATCTTGTGTTGGCAAAAAGATGGAAATACGTTGACTATATAGTGGTCAAAGAATTACAAATGTGTGTCTTGGTGGGATACGAACCTGGAAATAGTGTATGTTAGTACCTTTGCAATGCTTTTATATAAGCAACTGTTATGATTGAAGTGAACTGATGTGTAGTGATGACCCTCTTAAAATCAATAATACAGAATGAAAAACTAATTATTATACCTGTCCTTCAAGAAGAGGAGAGCTTGACTCTTAAACGTATGGCTGGTTTATTTCGAATTGTAAATGATAGTCATATTGTCGATACCCCAATACAGTAAGCTACTTTATTCGATAAAATAGCTCGATTTAATCATTTAAACATCGCTAACGGATTCCTTTAATCCAGTAAACTAACGTTAGCCATTATATGTACTGACTCTACTATTCTTTATTACAATGTGAAAGAATTCGAGTAAAGCGCTAAACAGGCTTAAATAAACTTTTTTGTTCTCTTTATTGTTTTCACCAATGCAATAGCACAAATTAATGTTATGCCAAGATTCGATAGTCCTATTTCTTTCAACGACCGCACATATGAATGAGGTTGATAATATGACCACGATCGTCCGATTGAACTCAAAGTCAGGAGAAACAAGGCATTTCGTTCGTAAGAAAGTCTTCTTTCTTTCAAAGCAAACAGGGAGAGTAGCCCTAAAGAAAGATGATGTATGCCTTGCAGCTTTGTAAGTTGCTCGTACTGCCTTATGGTTCCCGTTGTTGTTCGTTTGTAAGGAAATATATATATTCTAGCTGTGTATAAATGGTATATTGTATTGATCCATAAGGGTAAATTGTTATCTCTGAACAGATATTTCAATAACGTCTTTAAGAAGTGTTGTAAATGGCCGTTTATGAAGCTTAACCTGGAGGGCGTAAATTCTTTTGTACGCTCTATATTTGTTATATTTGTTTGTTCAGTACTTGTATCATGATGTCGGTAAATAGTTTGGAAATGTAAACGTTTCATAGTATCAGTTGACTGTTCATCTGTATTATAGTGGTCGTTATTTCCTTTTTTCACTTCAAAGGGTAAAGTTGGAGATGTTTGCGGAAGCTGCTGTCGTTCCTTGTCATGCTGCTGATGCTGCATTACTGAGACAAGACTGGTATGAGAGTATGAGCAAATAAGTTGTGTGAAATAAAGGAGAAGAAATTACATTTGTCGAAAAAAAGGCAAGAAAGAAGGGAAACATGACTTTTTACGTAAATTCAATTAAGCTCTTTTAGTCTTGAAAAAAGCAACGAAATGCTTCAAGACAGTCACGGGCGAGAATGAGTTGAACAATAAACAAATCTGCTCAGTCTTGTATTGATTGGTCAAATCAAAAGAAATAGCTCTTATGACATTGTATCGCGATTTTGGTCGTTTTACTCTTTAACTCAATATTGAACTCCCATTGATTGGTATGAACTTATAATGTTGCTATCGAAAGCAATTGCCTCATAGTAATCAGGTCCGAACACTTATAGAAGGGACGTTTGAATGTTCTATTTAATATTTCTATTTTCCTTTGTCCACAACGGTTAGAACAGTCATTGTGGACAATAGCTGATTTTACTGCTATTGAGCTTACAGCTCGAGAAATTATTTCAGCTCTCCATTTCTCTCCTCTGACATCTGAGCATTCTATAGAGTCGTGACCCGTTAATCAACCATCTGCCAAAAACCAAATTATTATCTAAAGTCGTGATAACTATTAATATTCGTCATATTTTTGTAATAAACACATTAACTACCTTTAAAGCAGTCTTTTAAGACGTATATGCCTCGTAATGAAGATTTCGTTGGTAACGCTTTGTATTTTCTTTTAACTGCTGTGTCTAGAAACGCTAACTTTTGCGTGGAGCACCATCTAACAAATTTGTTAAAAGGTTCGTCTCGAAAAACCGAACTGTAGTTTTGAACATCTGACATGATGCTATCGGATGACAAATATTTACGCTCGTATGATATGGACTTAGGATCTTTTGGCAGATACATAATATCCATAAATTGTTTCAATTGCGCTTTAGACTTTATGATAAGGACAAGCTTAGTCATTAAACGCGAAAAAATATCTTAATATGAACAAGTACCAAGCGTTGATTTATTTTTCGTTCTAACAATTTCATCAACTTCTTCATTCTCTTTATTATCTTCATTTGCTTCTTTACTCGCTTCCATATTATTTTCAATGGTTTCTTTCGATGTATACAATTTAATGAACCAATTGGCGTAAATGACTCTTGTACATAAAAGTTTTGGTTTTTTGGGGTTCCTTGAATAGCATATTCCAACATCTTCTAGTTCGTCGATAATCTTGGTATACTTTCTAATATTCTCCTCATTGTACGGCACAGCATAAAATAAACATACTGCTTCTTCGCGAGAAATAACAACCATGATATATATATAAAAAAGCTAGTGAAGTGAAATGAAAAAATCAAGTACAGTGAAGTGAAGTGAAAAAACCAAGTGAAGTGAAATGAAAAAGAAAGCCAACTTTAACGCTGAAATGATAAAACCATCCCAACTCAATGCAAAAGCTAAGCCAAACACTAAAATGCGAAAGCTAAGCCAAACGCTGAAATGAAACTGCTATTGGACTCCATAAGCCCACTTTGGAAAAGTTTGTCTCCCGCCCTCTTATGTAGAAACCGCTTTTTGGCGTTGACACGACTGTATAATATCATAGGAACTTTGTTAAAATTGTACACAGCCTAAATACGATTTGAGTTTAATTATATATTGAGGAAATACTGATTGGTCAGTGAGCGAGCCGTAAACTTGTGAGTCTGCAGTTTAATCGCCCCGTTCAGAATGGAAAACCTGAGCGCGATGACCAGCCGACCTGCTAAAACAGAGCAAGCCCAAGGGATGACGGATCGGGGGTATTCTTATTTGGCATTTCTTTTTGGTTTATCTCTATTCATGCGATCGATCTTTCTTCAAGTAACAACTTAGCCCGCAAGACAGGCATATTCCCTGCCTCTTGGAAAGATATGAGCTAGATTACTCCCCAAGAAAGACATTTTAATCGATCTGAAGAATTGGTAGCAAATATCACTGATAAAACTCATTGAATACATTTCAAAGTAATTTGCAGCGGTTCCACTTCCATTTAAATGTACATACAAAATACTGTAGCATTCTTTTCATCCATATTGCTACCTAAAACGTTCGCTTATCCTCTAAATTGGTTACTGTAATGAGTCGATGACTATGAACTTAATGACTTCGTTACTCTTCAGAAAAGTTGGTAAGGCTTCTTACTGTGCACAGGTTGATGGGGATGATATTATATCGCGAACGTCTTTATGCTAGTTACTAGTTTCACGTTCAACGCTTTTCGTTTTACTACTTATACTTGGGACGTCGCATATGTTATACACAACTTGTATTAGTATAGAAAAAGATGATGAGAAATTTGTATTTAATTCCCAATGAGTTTTAGTCAAAATAGCTTTTATGCCTGGAGCCAGCCTGCAAGAGGCTAGTGCAAGGTACGTAAAGCCTGAACCTTCATATTTTCTGCACAGGGGAGGGTGTCAACTGTGCTGTAAGAGCAATAAGGAGATTTCAAACCAACTTTCGTTATGTCAGATTGGATGTTGATGGTTTGGTTTTACTACTTTGATATAGAGACCAATATCAGCTATAGCTTCTTGTACCCACCCTGTGTTTGATCTGTGTCTGTGTACATGTCACATATTCAAAGCCATCTATGTCGTAAAAACCATCTTTTTGTTGGTACATATTTATGGAAGGAAAGTAGGTTGCAGTAAAGTAGGCCACAATTTCCTTTTAAAATTCTCGTACTCGCTTTTGAAGAATGATGAAAGAATGATGCTACGGCTATTAGTAGTAATTGAAAAAAAAGCAGCTATAATGGACATGAAGGATACATAAATGTCAACGAGAAGTTATCCTTTTAATTTATTAAATAGGTTACAGCAGATGTCACCGAAATCATATCTGCATACTTCGACCAACAATAATAGCGAAACTATAAAATAGAAGGAACGTGCGCATTGGAAGAAAAAGAAGACTTTACAAGTTACACAGTTAACGGTACTATATGCCAGTGAAAGCGGCTTTTAGGTGCTATTGTACATGTGGTTTCTTTTGTAAAAATCTTTTTTGTAGTTAGTACATGTTGACATACACACACACACAGCAAAACTACAAAAATTGTCTTTTTAAGCGTCTCAGCCGAATAAGATGCATTTCGTTGAGCATAAATCAAGTCACTTACAGTAACCTATCAGATCAGGAAATTACTTTTCTGTTTAAGCTCTTTAGGGGAACCATCGATGTAGCATAATGCATTTAAAACAATAAAATCCACTTCTTTGTACACGTCCGTGTGAGCGAAAGAGAGGAAGGCTTTCTGCCTGTTTGACCTTCAACTTTAAAATTTATCTTGGGTATGCAGTAACAGAAAAAAAAAAAAAAAAAAAAAAAAGGATTTGCTCTCAACTTTTTTAAGTATTCTATGGTTCCACATGCACTTTACTTTCCTTTATCTCTTACAACTCTCTTTCTGCTTACTTTTACTCATCTTTATCTTAGTCCTTCTTCTTATCTTCTCAACTACGAATAATATTCTGGTTTTTTACTGCTTTTTGCCCCCACGTCATCAACTAATCATACCTTCAGCATAGTATACCCTTATTCATAAACCTGTAAAGAGCATCAGAGAGTATACTTTGCCGCCCATGAGAGAAAAATCAACAACTCAGCAAAATCAGCAACAGCTAAAAGCAGATACAGAGGAGGATATTGTCGGCCATAGCGACGTTGAAAAAGTAAAAAATGCGAAAACGGCAAAGAAAAGTAGTAAGAATGCATCATCAAACGCCAGTAGCGCCACTAAACTCAATGCGAACGGAGCGCCCAAAAGGCAAAAAATTGTGAAGGCATGCAGAGATTGTCGCCGCAGAAAGGTATCCAGAGCGCTTACTATGCACAAGACGCTGGAAAGCATCCCATACTAAAAAACCACTTATCTATATATTAAGGTTAAATGTGATGGTGGAACACCTTGTGGTACATGTCGAAGATCATCTATACCCTGTATTTTTGAGGCTTCATCACCCAAAAAAGCCAACAGTAGCAATAATAGTGGAAGTGGTTCAAGTACAACAGCAGGAGCTGCCGGATTAGTTGCAACAACGGCAGCCACAAAGCATTACATTGAATCGTTAGAGAACAAAATAAATGTTATTGAAAGAGCTCTCAATTCGTTGGGTGAGCCTACAATACAGTTGGTGGAGGAAGCGATGCGTAAACAACAATTATACACAGACAATAAAAATACGATAACGAACGTACAGCAGGGTAAAATCAGAAGTGCAGCTTGCTCTTATATAGTTTATGTACATGCATATTGACATTATTTGACTCTATTTGGATTCACAGGTATTACACCGCTGTTTAGTTCAACTGATGATAAGAATAGATTTTTTATCAACGAGTTCGGCAGCCCTAATTATATGCAAGATATCATGGCAACAGCATATATAGATTCCCAATCGTCGTCCTCACCATCACCATCATCATCCAAAAGCAGTAGTGGTTTACTACAGCCACCGCTGTTCGTGATCACAGAAATTGAAAGTGATTACATACAGTTCTACTTCATTCATATTCAACCTTATTATCCTTTATTCGTACCTTCACTGTTTAATCAGCAATTTCAGCTCAATAGTATACCACGCATTTTGATAAATGCTATATGTATTCTGAGCTCGTTCCATCAGCAAACAGGCGAACATGAGATTTATTATCAGAGAACTATGATGATGTTGGATGAAGCAGTAGGAAGGCCTTCTATTGCACTTATACAAACATTTCTGCTATTAGTCAAGTATCTCGAATGCAGTTGTAACAGTAAATCTTACTTTTTTGAGAAAAGTAGAAATCTTATCAGCCGAGCAATCGATTTTTGTGATATATTAAAGTTGAATCCTTTAACAATGACAACGCTTAGAGGAGCAACAGCAGCAACAGCAACAGCAACGATAGAAGATTGCAACAGAATGGATCTGGAGTTGGAGACTAAAAAACGCACAATGGCTATGGTTTTCACATACTGTACCCTTTTATGGTAATCGCAACGAATACATTACCCTACAAAAGGAAATTTTATGCTAATATAAATTCTATAAATCTCAAAGTGTGGAACAAGGACTATCCGTAAACGGCTTTATAACAGCAGCGATGGATGACAAAGTGCTTTCACTATTCTTGCCCACATCTACACATACTGATGAAGCGCTCTTCATAGATTGCCAACGCTGTGTTATACCTTTTATAGCCACTTTATCTAAAATCCACCAACACATACAACGTGTCACACAAAGACAAGAAGTTCAAAAAGATAAACGTACTGAGACACAGGTTATGGAAGAAGCAATGACATTAATACAATTACAAGTCAGGGTCGACCGTGATTACATGAATTTACCTGCACAATTCTTACTGAATTCGTCATCAAGTGGTGTAAACAATGACACTAAAAAAAGGGCAAAAAATAAAGAGCAACCAATGGTACTTGACTATCCATTTCCTGTGCCTGAAAAAGAAGAAGACCAAGAAAAACCAACAGCAGCAGCAATAAAGGGTACTACACATGTAGTATCACCGATTACAAGGTTTATTCATTTATTGTATCACTTAAACGTTATCCTATTGCATCTTCATTATCTCATGTATCCTTTACCACCTGTCAGTAAAATCAACAGCATTACTAGCAACATTGAAGAAATCTACAATGAGTACAATCATAAAGAGATGTGCCTATCGTCTGCATCGAGCATAATTCGACTGGTAGAATATCTATGGATTAAAGATCCAAACCAAGCGTTTAAATACATGCCTAGAGGTATACAATTCCTTATTCATTGCATCACGTCAGCAGTTACAGTGTTCAAGGTAACAGCGGCAGCAGCAACCTCTCATGCGACACTTACAAATGAAAAACAAACTATAGAAAAAGAGCACCAAAGATGTTCTTATCTAATACAGCAGCTTACAGTAAATTCTCCTTTGCGTGAATTAAAAAATTACGCAACCAATATGATGAATGCTCGAGCACCCAACAATACCGATAGTAAAATGAGCAGTATGAACACGTCTCCATCTCCTACACATTACATCCAGCCATTTCTATCAACCAAAAGCAATAGTAAAAGAGGGAATACAATGCCTTCGACAAACTATTACAACATTGTACCAACAACTTTGCTTCATTCCTCAAGCGCCGATATCCCTTCTCATACATTTCAACACCAATACCACCAACCGCTGAATAATATACATGCCATGCCGCTACAAGTAACTTATCACCAACCTCACCAGCCAAGGCCTTTGCTAAGAAGAGGAATGGCTCAGTCTTGTCAAGATCTAAGGTCTTTCAACAATAACAATGGCAATTATCACTCTCACCATCATTGCCGAAATCCATCTGTTATATCCTCCAATAGTAGCATATCAATCAGCATGAATATCAATCGTCCTCGTCGCCAAAACAGTATTAGTAGCAATCAGAGCAGTAGGACAGTATCTCCAAGTTCACCTTACGTAAAACCTACAGCTACAAGCAACCCTGTGCATACTAGCACGATATTACAGCCACAAGCACCCTCTGACCCATTCATACCAATTGCTGTTCCATATCTTCATCAGAATAAAATTAAACGGGTCAAGAAAAGTATATCTATTCATGGCATGTCTGATATCTATCATCAGCAACAGCAACAAGCACAAGTTAATCATCGTCATTCCATGCACGAACAATCAATACAACAACCAGCACCGCCGCCACAGGTGCAAGGTATCTTCCCTTTACAGCATCAACAATTTAACAGCGCTAACGCTTCTTTATATACCCAACAACCTACTGCTGCTACAACTACCATTACAGCGCTTACTCCTGCTATTCCCGCAGCAGCAGCTATAACTACAACTGCTATTGAAGATAACTTTTTACATCGACCTTACCAACCGAGTCTTGATGACGATCTGAACACCTTTCCTTTAATTGGTCAACATACAAATAATTACAACAATAAAAAATTTATGGAGCTTTTACATAACGGTAGCGCTCCTGGTACAATGGTGGATACAACAATGATGGACAACAATTTCAACTTTTTTGACATAGCACCATCTACAAATATGATGATGATGGATTATGACGTTACAACCGCTTCAGCAGCTTTATCAAATCACGGAGGCGACATATTGATGCAACAACAGCAACAACAGCAATACCAATGATTTTTTCTGCCATTTAGATTTGTATGCATTATTCTGTATTAACTAAATAAAAGCCCTTGTTTTCTATCTAACGTAAGAATTAGTGAAATGTGTCCTTACTAAAGCAATTACTCCGAGTTTATCATTATGATAGTGAGCTTTAAGAATCAAGAGGGAATAAGGGTCAACGGTAGAATGGTAAATGTAATTGATTATATGCAGACGACGACGAGGAACGAGAGATTACCTTGCTGTCTACCGCTGACGATGGACAGTTGATATTCCATGCAGAGCGATATATCCAATGCTAAAGCTAATGAAATACATTGGGCGACAAAAACAGATCGGATACGGCAAAGGAGTCAACTTCTATCAGCATGTTTAGAATCATCTAAAGTATGTGAACTATTTATACAACTGAACTATAATTTTCTATGGATGAGATAAAACCATAGTAACAAGCGGGCAAGAATTAAATGTGCGCTAGATAAAAGCTAATACTGTAGTTGGCTTGATGTAGCATTCCACATTCAACAAGAGAATTACTAGCCTTTTTTATGAAAGGGTGTGTGTGTGTGTGTGTGTGTGTGTGTGTGTTACAAACCTTTACTATATAACTCCATGTACTTTGCAAGTAATATTGAGAAGAAATTGCCAGGTTTATGTTATATTCATAATCTGATAACAATTGCACATCTTCGGTTGCCTTTAGCTATAGTACGTCTATAAGGTGTAGTACTCATTAGTCGCTGCAACGGTAGCGATATTACTCTCATTATGCCTTTTATGTATGAATCAGAAAGCAATATTGTGCATCCTGTCGAGACGTTTACCGCCTCTCACCTTTATTATCCTATTGCTGAAAGCAACCACGTATATTCCAGTAGAACTCTCACGTAAGCTGACACTTAGCGGTGTTTCCGTCCACAGAAACAAGAAAAGATGGCCAATTATTGTAACTAGAAGTAGGATGATCACCTTTGTTGTACATATTTCGCTTAATATAGCTTCTGGGGTTCTTTCCTTTTTGATTTTTCTAACTGTCGTTTAGGTTGTTATACTATTTTTCTACTCATAAATTCAATTTTTTAATCCTTCTCGAGCGTTACTTTAGCCCTGGGTGTTTTGAAAAGTGTAATAATAGCTGTGTTAACAGTAGGAAAAGTGGAATACGCCGATGTTAGCATGATGCTTGATAAAATAGAAAACGTTGGACTTGAGAATTTCTTTAAATGATTTTTTGAGATTACGCTTTTGTTTTGTCACTTTAATAGAACATGGGGTTAATGCTACAAGCAAACTTCATACGATTCTTTTTTTTATCACTGTAAGACTCATGGAATGCACGTAAACAACTTTATTCAATAAAAGTCTTTACCCAAAGAGTGCAATGTTATCTTCTATCGTACAGCATCAAACGCCAGAAAAAAAGCTCTTATTTGCTGGATTTGTAAGCTTAGAGGCGAAATTATGTAGCTGTAATGAAACCATTAAATAGCCGTAAAGTTTTCATGCTTATTTGCTCATTCCATAACTACCAAAGCCTTACACTTTATGAAGCATACTCAATTGATCATTGAGTCTATTTCACAGAGTTTTTGCTAAAAGCGGACAGCGAACTTCACCTGATAAACAACCATTTAAACGCTGATATCAGAAAACATATGTAGAGTCTTGGAATGTGTTCCTTTAATCATCTTTCTCTTCGCTCAAACTTGATATAATCAAAAATACAGGACCAGTAATGTCAGAAATCAGGATTTGTTGACAACGTCATCCCGTGGGATGGTTTCAATAGGTTTGACGGCAGGTAAATATCGATCAGCGGATGAATAATCACTAAGAAATCTTAGCTTACCGCTGCAAATTTACTGATAATAACAACACATCATTGTAATCACTTTAGAGGATTACTAGTGAACTGCATATACAACATGTGAAGGATACCGGTGAAGCAGAAAGCAACGCTTGAAGAAAAGTAAATATAGAAAATGCTTCGTAAGTACAATTACTTTTTGTCTGTATGGTTAATTTTATATCCAATATATGAAAAGCTATTCTTCAACATTTTCAACTACAATATACAAATATGAAGCACTTATTCAATACAAGCGACAATCAGGTAATATGAAAAATGCATTAGCTGTTCCAAATGGTGACCATTACATGATAAGTAGCATTAGTTTTGATCAGATTTCCTTTTTACCTCACCAACGATAAACCACATTATGTATGCATTTCCAATTAATAAAACCTTTTGTCGTGAAAAACTTCAAAAATAGCGGGAAAATTATGCTGAAGTGACCAGGCTATTAGAACGTCTGCAAATAGTGTCTACAGATTAAGATATACAAGATTGACAATTTTGTTTTTGCTTCTGAATTATCTTTACAAGTTCTTCATAAACGCTGATGATCGCTTTTTGGATAGCTTATCAACCTTCTATCTAAAAGCAATGAAAAGTTTTAAAGTTGTTATAAGAACATGCTTGGTTGAATCAGCAACAGGGTGATGGGCCGTCACAATTTTCAGCAAGTATCGAAGTATAAGGCTTCCGTTTGTTCCGTCTTTTTTGGAATAAAATCAACGTTTATCAACTGTCTGCCACAAGAGCGATCGGATAGATCGGAATTTCATGAAGTGACTATTGTTGGTAAGGTTCTTGTCAGGACAATCTCTAGGAGATCAAAGATTTATCTGAAGCCAACTAGCAGCATTAAACAATCCTGATCAATTTATTGCTCATACTTAAAAGTAGTGAATGCATGCTTTCTGGATTTTTTTTATTGATTTGTGAGTCTTTGTGTTTTGTTATCGCATAGAAGATACATATATGTATAAATAATACATAGTATGAGGAATATCATGACTTTTTGTTTAGTACAGTTTCTGGGTACTAAAACTAATTGTTTACTAATAGATGAAATGTCCATAGTAATCTAATAGATCCATTTCTTCCTTATATAACATTCTTAATTTGGTGGGTGTGATGGAATAGGAGGCCTGTGGCGTGTCCTTAGAATAGATACTAAATCATCCAACACTTTGCCCTTTTCACCAACAGGTACACCTGCTGTACCTGCCGCTGCTGCTGTCGCTGTTCTGACTAAGGATGCTGCTGTGGTTCCTGTTGTAGATGAAGTTGTTGACAATTGCTGCTGCTCTTGCGGCTTTACAGTTGATACATTATTAATGTTATTCTGTTCATCATTCTTGATAGACTGTTGCTGTGAGCTGGTATAAGGTGTATCATTATATTGAAATTTAATAGCCGTTCTTCTGGTCATATTCTCATTATCATCGTCATGCCGTTGTTGTGGATGTTGTTGTTTTGATTCCAGTTCCTCAATACGTCGCTTTAATTGCTGATTTTCCTGTTCTAAATGTTCCATACGTGTTTGCCATTCTGCCATCATATTTACTTTAGCTTCTAGCTCCTTTACATATCTTTCTTTCCTCTGTCTAAATGCTCTTTGCGCTGCCCTATTTTGTTCAGCTCTTCTTGTTTCAATTAAGGTTTTCTTTGATGTATTTGATGATACTTGCTGTTGTGATGCGGCGGTAGTATCAATAGTAGTTGTTGCAGCTATATTATTACCAATACTATCAGCGGATGTACCTGCAGTGGTACTAGTAACAATTAAAGGTGCAGGTTGGGTGGCCATGGTGGCACTACTTTGGACATTACTAGCATTTCGAGGAGTAGGTTGACTGTTTACGGCGGCTTGAAGAGGTGTTGAAGAGCGTGCTTGTGTAGTCTCACGTGGAGTTGTTTCTGCAATGTCTGTTTGGTACTGAAAAGGTGGCATTTCTTCATCCTGCTGTTGTTGTTGCGTTGACGTCGATTGACTTTCGTCAGTATTAACAACAGAATTAGTGGATATTGGTTGATTTGACATTGTGCAAATGTCTGTTTAAAGCTGTCAACAGTAAACAAGCAAGTGTATAAGTGAGGGGCTGAAAGAAAAAAAAAAAAAAAGAAATTATTAAAAGAGCAATGGCTCATTCGGGTTCTCACGTAGAAAAAATGAATGATTACGTAATATGAATCTTTAATTGCAGGTTTGGTTAAATGCAATGGTTACACTCTAGGGGAAATTGGTTTTTCTATTCATCATTTCAATGCTTTCAGTGTTTTGGTTATATCTTGTTAGGATTGGAATTTGAGGCAGTCTATTTCCCTTATCTGTAGTGATTATCAGAGAGACATCAATATTCCAACAGTCTTGTATTATTATTGAGCCTACTACAGTATCCGTCAATTCCATCGCAATTATTATTTCAATATACAACCATGCTGCTGTATAGCTAGGCTGCAACTACCGTCAAAATTTTTTTGGAATATGTTTGCTAAACCTGCATAAGCTCGTGAATGGACGTTCTCGAACAGATTGTTAAGAATGGAGTGATAGACTACCGATACAGCATATGACATGTACAATGCTTAAGCCAGTGTTATCAGCTCTAAAACATCGATATAATGAAAACTGTAAGCCGAACACATAGAATTACCATGTTGTGCATCAACTTGAAGGTTACAGTAAGCTTATATCACTATTTTAATAATATATTCTTACTGAACAGCCATTTACTGTGCGATTTGTGATACCTTCAAGGCCACCTTAATAGACTTTACTTTCACAAAAATATGCGCATCTAATGATTTAAGAACGGAATTAATATAAGTCATTGCTAAATCACGAATAATAAGCCTCTTGATAATAAAATATAAGAGCATTTCTTACAAAAATCTTTTTTTTTAGCCGATATACGCAGCATAGACTACTTATCATTTCCGGCAGAATAATTTTTCCAAACTTGTTTTCAAAAAGATACTGCGAAGACGCTTCGTGTATAAATCACCAATATATTGTTCCGCCAAAGACGAGGTACAAACAAAACGCAAAGAGCTTGCAATCAATCTTCCTTCAAATCATTATTTTCCTAACGACACTCGTCCGATGAATAAATTGGTTTGATAAATTTCTCTCGATATCATAATTGTAGGCATGACTGGTGCCTCCTCAGTTCTATCAAAATTTTAAACCATCTTTAAATGACCAGAGCAACATGGGATAGATACAAACGAACACGTTTTGATCCGATACTCTTCGTAAGGTAAGATTTATGCATTCTTTCCTTTACATTAGTTTCTATTTGATTCTTTCTAGTAACCTTGCTTCTCACTACCAACCTTTTATTAAACACCATGCCTTTTGAAAAAGCAAAAGCTAACTTAGCGGCGAAGTATGGAGAAAGCAAAGGAAGGTAGATAATGTTGATAACACTGCATGTCTCAACTTTCCTTCATTTATTTTTTCTACAACGACATATGTGTATCTGAAGATGATCTTGGGTGTTTTCATTACAAAATGGTAGTGAAATTGGCCATATAAGCTACAAATATGCTTTTATTTCAGCGGTGGATTCTGCATCCATTGTGTTAATTGCGTGAAAGGGAAGAGTTTAATACAAAGACGATGTGGCAAAGAGTTTGTTGAAGGTCGCGTACAATTACACTTGTTGTGGTCAGGTCAGGAGCGCGTGGAAAAGAAGCAGTGAAAGTGACATCATGCAATAGAAATACCCTATAAAGAGTTGCTGAGAAGACAAAGCCTGTGAATTGTTTCTGTTTCAAATATAGATGAGTTCAACACTTCGAGGAAGGTAGAACAGTATGGAGGAGTGTCTGTTCCAGTATTCAACGCTTTAGTTCCTAGAGGTTCACGATAAAAGTATGATTAGTCTGAAATCCCAGGTGAATCAATGTATAGTGTCAAAGACTGTAAATATTGCTACTCAAAAACGTCGATAATCACAACCTCGGCCAGAACCATGTAGTATAAACTGTCGCCTCGAAGAGAGTGTTTTATACCCCGTACAGTAGGGCTAAGGCTAGCGAAAACTAATATATACACGTCTACTGCTTAAAAAGCACTTAGCAATTAACTTGAGTTCATAATTTGACATCTTATTCTTTCCTTTTTAACTACCTCTATGCCTGGATACAATTTAATGCTACTATTACAAGCGCATAAAGGCAATGAAGGTGAAGGTTTATTTACTTTTTTCATTATACGTTTCTTTTTATACAGCAAACGCAATACTGAGTTGTTGAATGTCATACGAGAGATAATATGGATACTGAGTATGATCAATAATACAGCAATAAGCATCTTTTTCTCACCATTTTATATCGAGGAACTAAAGTTATTAGTACTTCTCATTTCTTCGTTTCATTCAAAGTAAGAAAGAGCCACACAAGCTCTTTGTAGTTCCAATTAACTTGACCTAGAGCGTTCGCTCAGTTCAGTCTAGAAAATACTATCCCTCTTCTTTAAAGATAGCAGTAGCAACTTTAACAATTATATTCTGAGATGGCGACCCTTGAAGCTTCTCAACTCTTTTATTCAATTGCTTTTGCTTCTATTATTATACTCTACTCAATCGTCTACTTCCTTAGACAGCTATAAGACTCTCCGGTTTATCAAACACAATTGCCAATATATTGTATTCTTATTGGAGGGAAAACATCTCTGCTAAATAAATCTCGTCATTCAATCCATCCTTTTGTGGCTTAGAACATTTGAATTGTAACCTTTTAATGTGAAATCGAATTCCTGCGTTTACTTAACTTTGAAATTTACTTAACCTTCAAATTATCATTATGCCTCAGCCTATTAAAAGAAAGAGAGACCATAGCAGCGTAAGGAGATTAGAGAAATCATTTGCTATAAATGATACTATGAAGTATTTCAATTGTTAACGAGCTTGTTTGAACAGACAGAAGATTTCAAATCTGTACGTCAGAAGATCAGAACGCTGGAAGCTAACCTCAGCGACAAATCCAACTTGAACAACATCGTCGAACTTTTCAATCATGTCAAAAATGATAATGCGCAGATTGTTTTTGCTGCCATGCACGCTTTGAATCGTGTCTTCCTCAGTTTCCTATTGAAAGGAGAGTTGCAAAAGCCTAAAGTAGCTGAAGAGACTTCTGCTAAAGGCAAGGTGACACTTTGGCTCAGAGACCAATATACAAATTTTTTACAGTATGTTAAAAGCCTTCTATCCAATGATGAACCTGGATTACAGCTTCCTGCTTTGACCATTTTGATGAACAATATGAAAGCTGAATCGGAATACTTTATGAGCACCAAAGGAACTTATCACTTTGCCAACAATCTCTACGGACCGATTGTAAAAGAAATTATATCGACCGAAAATTTGAATGACCATTTGCGAAAAGAGTTTTTGGAGAAATATTTAAATATCTATGATGACTTGAGGCATTACTTTTTCAAGGATACAGCGTACGTAATTTGAAGTTGAAACTCATTCTTTGTATCAGTCTGTAGCAAATTGCAAATTCTAATTGTTTTTTCCTTTCTGGTTCATAGTGAAATTATCGAGCAATCACTTCGTACAGATGAAACCGTTAGGAAGCAAAAAACTTCGATGAAGAGCAAGAAAGCAAAAATATCGAATACAACAAATAGTAGCGGCAAACTCGAATTAATAGCAAAGAATCTATTTTCAATATTGGAAAGTATTCGCACTATGCCAACCGAGCCCTCAGAAATCGATGAATTTTGGACTGTCAACCCGTCTAAATATGAACCTCAATCAAAGAAAACGAATTCGGAAGAAGATGATGTTTTAGGGGACGAAGGCTTACTATCAGAGTCAGAAGTCGAAGAAGAGAAAGAACAAGCGAAAAAAGATGGAACAAGGAAAAAGAAAATGCATCCATTACTTCAATTGAAAGTTCACAAGCGAAGTTTTACTGACTGCTGGCTTCAGTTATTCAAACTACCATTAACGGAAGAAATGTACAAGAAAATCCTACTCATTTTGCACAAGCGTATCTTACCGCACCTGAGCGAACCAAAATTGTTGATGGATTTTTTGACAGATTCGTACAATGTAGGAGGAGCTGTCAGTCTATTAGCCTTGCAAAGCTTGTTCACATTGATTATCGACCACAACCTGTAAGTTGTTTGCTTGATATATACCTGAACATTATTAAGTAGCTAACTTTCAAATCTTGGTATAGGGACTATCCTGATTTTTACATAAAGCTCTATTCACTGCTGGATAGAAATGTTATGCATGTTAAATACAGATCACGCTTCTTCAGGCTGTTAGAACTCTTTTTGTCATCTGCGTAAGTAGGCTTCTAAAGCTTTTTGAAAATTGACAGATGCTAAATGATGTAACTTCACTCATTAGATACCTTCCCGCTGCTTTGATTGCTGCTTATATTAAACGTATGGCCCGTTTATCGCTTACTGCCCCTCCAGCTGCCTGTGTTATTATCATACCGTTTATTTATAACTTGTTAAAACGACACCCGACTTGTATGTCTCTAATCCATAGTAATAAGGCGATCAACGAGGAAAATGATCCTTTTGATATGAACGATATGAATCCATATGAATGCAAAGCGATTGATTCCTCCTTATGGGAAGTTCAAACCCTAAGCCAACATTATTATGCCAATGTAGCTACACTTGCTAAAATTTTTGGTGAACAATTCTTGAAGCCCAAATACAATTTGGAAGATTTTTTGGATCATACTTATATATCGGTAAGATTCGAACGCTGAGTCAACAAATTATCTTTAGTGAAATCGGTTATTAATTTTCTGTCATAGTTCTTCGAAACGGAAATCAATAGAAAGAAAAAGAAGGAGCCAGCATTAGAATTCGAAAAACCAACAGTATCTCTTTGGGAATTATAATCCTCCTATATCTAAAACCATCTGTGCTTCTTGTAATATACATATTTTAGACAATAAAGCCAACTATTGAAGCTCTTTTGAATGTTTCTTAGCATAAGGTTATTTTTCATCATTTGTGATTCTCTTTGCGGATTCTTTTCAGTGCTAAAGCTGGCGATTTTTCTAAATGCAGGTTCTAAATTCCGCTGTAATGCGCTCAGTCCTATCGCGCCGCCTTCCTGCCAAAAAAAGCATGAAAAAAAAGGCGATGCTGCAAATAAATCCAGGTCAAGAAAAATAGCAGACAACTCATTCTTTTTCGTTTAATTCGTTTACAGAAAATTGAATAATAAATGAACAGACTCTTTGGATCAACTAAGAAAACGCCTAAACCAACACTTAACGATGCAATAACTAACGTAGGATTAACGAAACACAGCCTAATAAGAACTCGTTATTTATTTCGAAACAAACTGTACATTTCATTGTTAATTTCATATAGACAGATGTGCGAGTGGACGCTGTTGAGGTCAAAGTAAAAAAATTAGAAGCTGAGTTGACGAGATATAGAGATCAACTCAAGAAAATGAGGGAAGGTCCAGCAAAGGTATTGAGAAGATCGTGAGGATGGTCATTTGATTGCTATGTTAAGGATAAACTGTTAAAGGAACATTATTTTGAAACAACAGAAAGCAGTGCAGCAAAAAGCATTGAGAGTACTGAAACAAAAGAAATTGTAGGTTTTTGAAAATATGCATTTAAATATCTATGTTTGAAGATTAATCAGGGAGTATCCATTGTAGGTATGAAGCACAGAGAGATAACTTACAGCAACAATCATTCAATATGGAGCAAGCTCAGATGACAACGGAAAACTTACGTAATGTAATGGCCACAATGGATGCTATGCAAACTGCCAATAAGGAGATGAAACGACAATATAAGAATGTTAATTTGGATAAAATTGATGTAGGTGGCATCACAGTTAATAAGTATTATGATATAGGCAGAGCTGGTATTCATTATTACTTCAATAGCAACTCCAAGATGAAATGGAAGATTTAATGGAACGTGCCAACGAAGTACAGGACACGTTAGCAAGATCTTACAATTTACCCGATGATATAGACGAAGATGATCTTGAAGCTGGTGAGCTAAGCAATTTGACAGATTTGTCTTGTTGACCTTTAAACCAATGACTTGTTTCTATGAAACCGTAGAACTGGATGCTTTAGGGGATGAGTTGGAATTTGAAGAAGAGGAGATTCCCTCTTATCTGCAAGAAGCGAACGAGATTGAACTTCCTAAAGCTGCAGAAACAGATTTGAAATCGGTAGAGTGATAAATATAATATCCATCGATACGAATACGTTCATTTAACATAGTTTTTGTATTCTTAAATTGTGCAGGACGTCGCTTTAGACGAGTTTGGTTTACCCGTCGGTACGGAAACACCCATGAAGGCACAATAAGTTCCCTCTTGAAAGAGATCATTCGTAGTCTATAATTTTTTTCTCGCATCTTTGTGAGAGCATTATTTATCCATAAATATTGCAATTTTTATACCAACAGTAGATTTCCACTGTCTGTAAGCCAACCATATACGGTTATTTGGTATGCTGTATCATCAGTCTGAAATTAATTTGAAATCAGAAAATCACCTTGAGGCGTTAAACAATTCTCACTTTTACAATAAAATTCAACTGCCGAACATGCGCTTTTTAGCTCTTCTTTCATACGTTTCGCCCATAGTTGTATCCATTTTTGAAAGACTTGCAAAATCCATAATGATAAAAGAGCACTATCAACTATAGCCCTTCAGTCAAGCCAGAAGCCAAGACAAGCGGTCCACTGCCTTATTTGAAACAAAGGCATCAAATGTTGTATATCTTTCCAACGCTATTTACAGTGCTAGCATAGAGCATTTTATTTTTTCTGTAACGAACAAAATAGCAATGTCTTTTAATAGTCATATGTCATTTTTAAACTGTAATCTATTCAACTTTCAAAAGGGTCACATAACTCCGTCTGTCTGAATGAAAACAGTGTATTACTTAGGTAAAGATTGTGCATTGTAAGATCACATGAAAGAAAAAACAAAGGAGAAAGAAAGATAGGGTAGGACGCCTTTTGTATGGTGCAGATTATATATAAATGCCGTAAAAGCTACTTTTTGTAAAGTGTACTTTTTTCTTTCGCGCACTTTTTTATTTACAATTATTTTACTGCATTTGATTTCTACATGTATTTATAGTCTACTGGGCAACAAAAAGATATTCTAACATTCATTTGCCCTTTTGCAGACGCGTTCCTTCTCTCTTATTTTTCTTTTCTTTGGTTCCTCATTTTTGTCGCTTGCAAACAGTCCTCTTTTGCTTTTGTTAATTTGTTTCCTACACCTTTTTTCTCTCTGTTGTCAACTTGTCATTTGCTTTCTTCTTTCTTGCACTGCTTTTCTGTTTTCTGAGTCGCCTTTAAAGTATGATAGGGGAAAGGTTGGAAAGCAAAAACAACAATAGTGAGACGACGGAAATACGATGCAACAGGAGTATCAGTAGCAGTAATTTTATTTGCCAGCCTTGGCAGCTCCCCAATATGTTAGTATTGGACCCAACTATAACAGACGCTAGTAAGAACAGAAAACATATAATCTAAGAATACTTGAAGCAGCCTCAATTTAATCGACGACATTATTTTATTCGTTCTATGGCTAATGGCATAGATAATATTACAGTAACAACGATCAGAAGCCAAGAACCCACTCGTCATATTGCAATCTATTCTAATTACTTACTGGATTCCGTGGAGCAGGATACTTTTTTGCAGAGCATTAAAAAGGTTTGTCAGGCAGGCAATACTATTTCCGAGATCTATATAGACTAAGAAAGCTTCCATTGACGAACCCTTCTGCCCTATTACTTTGAACTTTTATGAAATAATCGTTTGTAATCGAAAGGAAACTGGTGACATCAGAGCTGTTTATCCTTATATCTCGGCGAGCGTTACTATTATTTCTTACTACAGCCTTTTAGATGCTCAACGGTGTTTAGATATCATCGAGACACGATACTATCCTCATCAAAAATACAATGCCTATTATGCTAAACCATGTTCCATCAACAAGAATTTGAATGAAAGAGTATTTGTCGTTCTGACAACTACTGGCTCCGACTCTACCGAAAAGACCACACCTTCACTTCAGCATTTCGATTATATGGCAAGGGAATGAAAACAAATGTTTAAGCAATATTCTATGAGTATTAACGTATATAATCGCTTTATCAATAATCACATTACGTTAGACACATCTTTCAGACATAGGTACTATATATTCTTTGTCAAAAGTCGATATATCTACTGATTGTATGATCATCAACATCGAATACCACGATGAACGAGTAGTTAGAAAATTACTGAACCAGTTGGATTCTGCTCAAATTGGGGTAAGTTCACATTTCTTTTATATATGGAAGCTTTCAGTCCACTGATGCTTGAGCCAATTTTAAAGGATGTTCAGTTCAGAGTATACACGTCAACCGTGAATAATCCATTTGATTGCACTTGTTATAAGCCTATTTATTCTTATATTCGACGAGAAGAGCAGCAGCAGGAACAGGATCACAACGCGCACTTATCGAGTACCACGACTGTCAATCTCCCAATTCATTCATTCGCACCTAATGTAGTTGATAGGTTAGACCATTCTTATTTCGCTTTCGGACTGTTTGGCAATATCGCAACTGCTGAAAAAACCTCTCCTTCATCTGTTTCATCGTCCTTATCGTCAGAAAAGCAGTTGTCAATAAGCAGCAGCAAAATCAACAGTGCTTTCCTTTCAGTGCAGCGGACCAATGATACTTTGTCTGATGAAGATGAGGAAGATGATAAAATATCTCAGAATAATACTGATACAGCCAGTACACATACAGCTCACTCAAACGATACTGGTAGTGACAGTAGTGGAAGTTCTCTCCTCAGAAGTAGCAGTAGTTATAGCCAGACAGCCATAAGAACCTTACCAGATACGACTCCATCAGCAGCAGAAGAGGTCAAAAATATATCGTCTTCGCAATTAACCTCATCAATGGACACTGTGGAGCGTGAAGTTGAAAAACTCTCTATCAATTCGGTACCAAGCGACAGTATCGGTGCAAAAGCCAATAAAGCTAAAATGTCAACAACCTCAATGCTCATGATGAACAATATGAATGATGTGGACCTCGAAAAAATTATAAAATCAAAAGACAAGAGAACAACGTTCATGATCAGAAATATACCAAACAAGTACACGCAAGTAAAAATCGACATGAATCGATCCATGTTTGCCATATCTCTCTTGCTATGATTACTTATTAACACTTCACTGTATATTTCATAAAGCAAATGTTGATAGATTGTATTGATTCCACTCATGCCGGAACGTATGATTTCTTGTATCTTCGTATTGATTTTCAGAATAAATGCAACGTCGGCTATGCATTTATAAACTTTATCGATCCGAAGTAAGTTGTTATAAATGAAATCATATGAGTAAAGATATAGGTCTGATAATAGATGAATAGGTCTGTCGTTTCCTTTGCAAAAGAGAGAGTAGGAAAACGATGGTAAGCTGTCATAGTAAGTAATCAAACGATAAATCCTCTTATGTCGTCAATTTCCCCTTTGTGATGCAGGAAACGTTTCAACTCTGAAAAAAGATGTGCTTTATCTTACGCTAATATTCAAGGAAAGGAAGCATTGATACGCAAATTCAAAAACTCTCACGTCATGACTGAAGATGTTGCTTACCGCCCAAAACTCTTCCACTCTTTTGGTCCCTACAAAGGACAGGAACAAGACTGGTCAGTTGCATCTTCTTCTTCAGCAATTATAGCTGAAGATACAGGAGCAATGGGTAATATCACTGCTGCGACGCCAAGCGGAAGTGTTGAAAGCGGAGGTTCTTCTTCAAAGCGTGAACAGTATTATGCGAGAAGAAGGTATTCTTCTTATTAAAGCAAAGACATGGATTTAAGCCATTAAAATTGTCAATATAACAGCCCCCTTCCAATGAAACAATGTAAACTGAAGACTTGAGAAAGCCATTCTTTAAATCAAGATACCAAAAGATAAATTTATTCATTCCGAGGGTTATCTACTTTCATATTGGAATGATGGCATTCTTCACGAAACATGGAGCTATTACGCGTCTTTTCAGTATATAATGGAAGCATGTTTTTGCTCATGAAGGCTATCTGGCAAATATATAGTACGGATAGCCACCGGATCAACTGTTCTTACCTGCAATCTGTAAAGCATAAGATAGATGAGAAAGGGTTCCTATCATATTGCCGTATGGCTAGAGATGGGAAAATTGCCTGAGTAGGATCTCGGCGATCCTTCGTGAGACATCCCATATAGTAAAAGATGGTACGCAAACGCGTCTCAATTGTATGACATTGCGTTAAATAGACAATAGTGTTATTTACATGTCGATCGACTCGCGAAAAGTTTAATTAACCCAAATATCTGCCTACATACAAAGCACTATCGCAGGTGTTACTATAGCTAACAGTGATAATATTATTTGCATGTTTGTTTTTTTTTTTTGCAGTTGTTAATAAGGGAACGATACGTATGTTCCGTTTATGGAGTGTCGGATACTAGTACCATTTCATCGAAAATATTAGAATGATTGATAGCAAAAATAAAGAAAATAGTACATTATCAAAATTAATTAATACAGATCTTTTCATATGCTCATAGACTTCATCATTAAAGAGTATTTAAGGATAAGAGGTTCCCTAGCTTTTTTTTTCTCCGATCAGGGGAACATAGATGATCTCTTTGTTTTTGATTTGCTAGTGATCTTGAGTTAATCGATTTTTAAGCCAATCCGCAACCTATTTCTAATCTTTTGTCATATCTACACAAACAAATATAAAAGCACACATGCTTTCACCACAAATAAACACAACTTGCTTCTTTCTTTTTTCTCTTTTTTTCAGTGTTGCTGCACACTGATAACCGTAAATTAATCACAATAAAGCCGATCCGTCTGCTATATTTTCTTAACCCAGCATCCAATGCAACTATCACGCAAATCAAACTCGGAGCATCTACCCTGGGTCGTTCAAAAGTATGGCGGAACTAGTGTAGGCAAATTTCTAAACGAGATAGCCGATACCATTATTCCGTAAGTTTGGCACAATCATAAAAGGTATTTATAAAGCCGATTAATAAATGTAGTTTACAGCACCTATCTAGAGTCCAATAAAGTGGTCATTGTCTGTTCAGCCAGAAGTGGAAAGACCAAAGAGAAAGGCACAACGAACATGTAATGTTTCATCAAGATAAAAGATAGATTATCTTGTATCGTTCTTTGTTGTTCACACATTGTATTTCGTTTGAATAATCAAAGGCTTCTACAGGCAGCAAAGGAAGCACTTACAGAGGGATCGAATAGGCATTTAGAAATTGTGGAGGAAATCGCACAGGATCATCTTCATGCAGCTCGAGCGGCTATTAAAAATCAAGAAATTCTTGCTCATGTAGAATGTCAATTGAAGGAAGAGTGTCTGAAGTTAAGATCCTTTCTAGAAGCAGCGGAAGTAAGTCAAATGTGCGCTAATACGAGTGAGGTGTATGATAACCACTTATTTACCGTTACATATCCATAGATTATAGATGAAATTTCTTCAAGGTCGAAAGATATTATAGTAGGCATGGGTGAAAAATTGTCTTGCATTATAGCAACAGCAGTATTGCAGGATAGGGTAAGGAAGGAGCAAGGGTCATTTGAACATGGAACGTAACGTAGGTTAACTTTGAATAAATGAAAATTGCATATTTTAGGGAATAGACAGTCGGTTGATAGTTTTGAACAACTTGATTGAGCGTGAATTCACTGTTTTGGACCAGTCCTTCTATGATTATATCGCACAAAGATTGGAAGAGGTAATACAAGAATGTGGACAGCGCGTTCCTGTTCTTACTGGTGAGTGATTTAGCAATTTGACTATTGGACTTGGACAAGCGCGGTTGAATATGAAGAATAATTTTTTTTTTTTTTTGTTTCGATCCAAATAGGGTTCTTTGGAAATGTGCCCGGCAGCTTACTCAATACGATTGGTAGAGGGTATACAGACCTTTGTGCAGCATTAGTAGCTGTAGGTTTAAAAGCTCAGGAGCTTCAAATTTGGAAAGAAGTGGATGGCATATTTACAGCTGATCCACGTAAAGTCAAGAATGCACGTCTCATACCTGTCATTACACCAGAGGAAGCAGCCGAATTGACGTATTACGGCTCGGAAGTGATTCATCCATTTACTATGGAGCAAGTCATTCGATCGGGTGTACCCATTCGTATAAAAAACGTTGAAAATCCTGGAGGCTCTGGTACCATCATCTTCCCGGATCAAGCGCATAACCTTCTTAATAGCAGTGACTCTGTACCAAAGGATAATGTTGAAGAACAAGAAGAAGGAAAGAACGGCAACAAAAACGATACGATACCTACTCATCATCTACCCTCACCGACATTATCTGTTGCCATCTTAGCACAGAACGGTTATCATAAAGACCTATCGAGAAAACATCCCACAGCCATTACTGTAAAAAATAACATCTGTATCCTCAACGTACACTCCAATCGCAAAAATGTAAGCCATGGATTTTTGGCAAAGATTTTTATGATCCTTGACGAACACAATATCGTGGTTGACTTGATCTCAACATCTGAAGTGCACGTATCTATGGCGTTATCTTCTGACGCATTGCTAGATGCTCAATTGGAAAAAGCCGTGATGGCTTTGGAATCTTTAGGAAGCGTAGCGGTCCATCCCAATATGGCTATTTTATCGCTTGTAGGGAGACAGATGAAAAATCTGGTGGGTATGGCAGGCAAGATGTTCATGTCGTTAGCGGAAAGTGGTGTCAATATCGAGATTATCTCACAGGGAGCTTCGGAAATTAACATTTCATGCGTAGTACAAGAGAAATTTGCATTACATGCTTTAAGAGCAATCCATGAAAAGCTATTGAATGTAGATCCTAGTGTTGTTTAAAAGCACGGCTTCACCTTTTTTTGTATCCCTACATTTATACCTCGCTACAGTTTATATAATACCTCCTCCAATTCATAGATAGATTGGCGTAATCCACTTCTCGTTTCATTGACTTGCATTTTTCTAACATCCTAATTTGTAATTTACACAATAACCTTTCGACGACGGACGAACTTTTTATTGAATTGCTTCAACTGACTGTCTTGTAAATTTTTGTCCCTTTTATAAATCTACTTTCCATACGTGTAGTATCTTATGATGTCCTAGAATACTCTATAATTGAGCAATTGTACGTGAGTACTGTCTTTGTGTGTCTTTAACGCTTGACAGAATGCCATAGTATTGATTGTCAATTTTATTAAGTGAGAAATTTAACTGAGCGATGCTTTTATTAGGTTTGAAAGCAAGAGTTTTGTTTGTGAGTGATAATATAGCGATAAGAACAACGTGTCCTACATGCAACAACAGAAACGTCATTTCATTAAGTCATAGAAACAGTCAGTGAATTTGTGGGGGGTGGGGGTATGCCCCTGATATAGACAGCGTCTATTCTCTATAGCAAGTACATCATGATCGCGCCTTAAAAACATATAAAAAAAGTGTGCTAAAAGCAAACGAAAAGCACTGCAAAAGTGCTTTGAATCGAAAGTAGAATAGTTATTACGAAAATAGACAAAAGGAAAAAGAAAAAAAAAAAAAAATACAGTCCTTGGCAACAAGAATAGATAATATAATAATGATAATGAAAATAGAGGTTATGTGTGTGTAATAAAGGTAGCGTATATGAAGTATAGAGTCGTTGCTTAAACAACCGGGGTTTTCATTTTCCAATAGGTGCCGATAATGACCCCATCCAATCAACTATATGAATTCAACATAAAACTCAGGAACCAAGCCTGTTTCATCTTCTACATCAGCAACTAGCCAACCAGGGCATTGTCGATATTGAACCCAAATCAATTGACCCGCTTTTAAAGGTACTTCATATTCCGTCTCAGGTACGAAATCGTATAGAGCCCGGGCATCTCTACCATTGAAATCAGGCGAAGATAAGGAAATATGCGAATCATTCTGGAAATGGGTTGATAGGTCTGTCCTTGATTCAGTTGGCATTGTCGTTAGTGTTTTGCCGAAATGTAAAGGTGAATCGACAGGATAAGCGAAATCGCGAACCTTTACCCGTTCTCTTTCGTCTGCTATTTTATTGTGTCAAATAAGGAATAATAAATGAGCCTTAAGAATCCAGGGGAAGTAAAACTCATCGAATCATTTGTTTCAAATCGTCTACCTTTCTCGCCAATGACTGCGTTTTCATTGTTATCGACCTGTGTATCATGATGCATCGCTGTAAGCATCACTTCATTTCCTTTCAGCACACAATTGAGTGTCAAGTCAGTGTTGCTTCCATCAACAACGTTCGTACCCTCTGTAGCGGTCGAAGAGACGACTTGAATTTGACTTGCATTCGTTGATTTATTAGAAGGTGGAGTATGGATGATACTCTGCCTCTCAAAATCCTTGCACAAGTCGTTTTCAAAGTCATCTAATTCTTCCAGCTCTTCAATTTCACTACTTGAACAAGAGCTACTGCTTATTTCTTTGTTCATCGGCACATGATGACTTGCTATTACTGCGTCTTTCAAATGCGACGTTGTATTGCTGGCAGAATTTACTGTTGTTGACATTGTTTTGCGATTATTTCGTTTTCTCTTTCCAATCGAGGCTTTCCTAGTGATCTTATCATAGAGTAGGAAAAAGTGTAAGTTGATTTGACTTTAAATTTTCTCAGCTATATCATTTACCTTTTGAAATAATGATGTGAATGCAATAACAGAACTCGATTTCATAGGGTGAGGGTAAATTGGGATTTTTTTTGAGATTTTTGCTTTTTTCTTTGATTTTTTTGGTATTTTTCTCAATGTTTTTTAGTTCGTGTCAAAGGAAGGGAATGGGTTATATGTTTTGAAAAAAGAGTAAGAAGAGAGAAAAGATTTCCTCTGCTACTCTTTGGAAGAAAGGCTCTTTTTTTTTAATGTATTGGGAGAGAAAAGAGAAAAAAAAGCAAAACGCCAAAAATGGAGGAAAAAAAAAAAAAAAAAAGAAAATTTCAAATTCTCCTCTGCACCCCCTTTCTTTTCATTTTTCCACAGCCAACTTTTTTTTTTTTTTTTTATTTTTTTTATGAAGGAGACTTTATATTTTTTTAATAGTTTTTGTGCAAGCTTGAACAAAATGTTAAAAAAACTCTATTGTCTCTCTATAATTTAGACTTGATAAAATACCATCTATCGTCCTTATCTGCTATCCTTGATTTCTTTTTGTATTTTTCAAGGTGCTAAAATGTTGTCAAGCAAGAATAGTCAAATAAGGAAAAAGAAAGATAAAAGAACCCTATTAAATCACATGCTAATGTATAAATTATACCAGTGTTTGTTGATTTTTACCTTTTCCTCATTGTACTTGCCTTCTTTGCTGGTGTTGTAAGGCGAGCTTTGAATGGTCACATTGGCACTTTAAAATATGTTGTCAGTAAAGAGTGGTCTCGTTCAACTCCATTTTACCACAATGCTACTCAACTTACACTTTAATATCATGCTTGTTGTCTGTTTTGCCATGAATTAATCTCTGCCACGCTTCATGCGTCTCGTTGACGAGTTTTTCCGCGTATTTCTAGAAAAAGAAGGTTTAATAAATGTTGTCAAATGATCTTTTTTTTTTTTCCTCTGTCCCTAGATTACATACCTTATTCTTAAATGAACCTTCAAATGCGAACTGATTTGGCGCTTTACCGTCTGGTATTTTGTATATTTTGAACCAATGTCGTGTGGCCTTTAAGAATTCAGGAAAATATTGCTCAACATCCTCTATATCTGTATTTCTGAAAGCTAAGTTTTTATATACAAACAATCACTGATGAATAGATAAAGTGCCTATTACCGTTCAATTTCTCAGCCAAAGGATCCTTGACATCTATGGCAATTAACTTCCAGTCTGTTTCACCATCATCTAATAACCCTAATACGCCCAATAGTTTGACTTGTTTAATTTGGCCCTGATAGCCTATTTCTTGGCCTATTTCACAGACGTCTATCGGATCATTGTCTCCTTTTGCATTTGTGTCCTCTGAAATCATTGAAGGATCCTCCCAAGTCTATTATTACTCCTTAATCCATATCAATACATTGTTGTGATCTTTGTCCAGAGCCCAGTAGCATTTTACCTGCGGCAGAGCGCCGTAATTCCAAATATATCCTTTATAGGGGAAGCAGTTGCGAACAAAGCGAACTTTTCCCTTTCGCACATCTTGTTTGATAGGGTTGTATTTATCACTTTTGCTGATCTATAAAGTACAACAGAGTAAAAGTTTCGATGCCGTTTATTCAAAAAGCGACCTTTGTTTACCTCAAACTTGGCATTCGTCCATCTTGGAATCTCCACTACCATATTGACAATCTTCTTTTCTGCATCAGCATACAGTGGAATATCATGAAAAGGTGATATCATCTGACCGTTTTTCTCTGTAGTTGATGGCGTCTGAGTATCAGGCCTTTTTCCGTTGTAAACGCAAAAGAGAGATACATGCTAACTTACCGATGAATATCTTGTACCCAGGCGTGTACTTTTTACCAACCGTCGATAATGTATACTCCATCCTCCCTTCCTAGGTACGGCAAAAGTTGAAAGAAGAAAATGCCCGTTTGCTGAAAAAAGAAAAGATTTAAAACAGTTCAGTTTTCAATCCAAAAAACCTTACACTCCCCTCCATGTGACATCCAGGGCATCATGTATTATGTAATCCGCTATCAAAATAAAATGGTTCAAAATGCTATCTTCAATTAGCCTCACAAAGAGGTTGATTTTAGTGTGTACCGTTTATAATAGGAGGAAAACAAGCTATGAGTGTCATTTTTATTTAATCATCAAGGAAATATGAACTGTTAAAGACGTATTTTTGCTACAATTCAACGCGACAAATAGAATGGCGTTACATCTATTATATGTATCGGTTAATTCCTTGCTGTTTAACATTCTCCTATGGATTTGAAATAGCTGTGAGCAGGGTCCGTTCGACAATATAAAAATTCCATAGGGTGTCGACGCATATCTGATGATATTCATGCTTCTCGTTCATTCCAAGTGATTGATGGAATCTTTCCTTATTCATAGTAGTCACGCGTCCTATGTCTACTCTATACTGTTACTGAAATGTTGAATTGGGGTCTCTCTGTTGTAATGTCCATCAGCAGTAGAGTACCCCATTGTTAACCTTGATTCTTCTTTCGTTGTTTGACTTTAAGAGATTATAGTTTTGAATAAAGGGAAGGTTTGACCGTGATGGCTGCAAAGAAATGTTTTAGGGTATATTGTACGTAATAAGTGATATAAGTAGGATGAATCCTTAAATGAAAGAGTCGAATATTCATAGAGCAACGGTATCAATTTCTTTTGTTGTCTTTCTCATCAATAGCAGAAACTGTATAAGAGTTTTCGTCAAGAATCTTGTCTAATTCGTACTTCAATTGCTCAACCCAAGTAGCTTCAATGAATAAATGGGTGTCATCTAGATCTTCAATCACAAAATTTCCTCTCTTGTTCAAATTGAGCACAATCTGCTTTACTGTGGTATCACACTCCAACAAAACACCTTTCACTGCTTTGACCATCCTCGTCTAAGACTTTTCAAAAAAAAAGGAAAGATACCTCACACGAAAATGGATGATGTGTTGGATTGAGAATTAAGCTCACAAATATACGCAGTCATAACCACGACCTAGGCTGATTTTTTGATTGGGTCTCATGCACATGTACAGTATGAAGGCACTGCCCTTCAAACTGCTCATGATAATACCAGCACGTCTGGAGCAGCTTGAAATAAAATGAGCAATAGTACTCCCCACTGTTGTCAGACTTTCTGTACTGTGAATTTTTCTTTTCTTCTATTACTTTGATGTCCCTGAATTGGTATTTATTCTGGCTCTTGCTTCCAGCCTAACAACAGCTTTAAACCTTTACGCGGCCAGACCATCATACTATGCAGATGTATAGGGAAAGCAAAAGACTCTCCATTGAACATATAAGTGCTCAGAATCCATGTCTGTTTTCCTCTATGGACTCACAGACGGCGTTATCGGTAAAGCACAATCCTCGGGTCGTCAAGTCAGAGACTGCAGTTTTGGCAAGCGTTTCAACGGTTGAAAAACGCTTGGTCAATGCTCACAACAACCTTTACTGGATTCAGTACCAGCATCTTTGCTCTTTTAGAAATTTTAGCTCATGAATACAATAGACTTTGTGGATTCGATTCAAATAGAATGGTACATTTTTCAACCTCCATTTCAACTGCCTCTAAATACTTTCATAGGTGCAAAAATTATTCGCTTAAAAGACATTCAAATATAGGAGAGGAATGCCCTCCGCTGCAGTTGTTCACGTAATCTGGAAGGTTGTGCCATGTATGGAAAGGTAATTTGTACGAAATGCCACAAATCATCACCCTATCCATAAGCGACGCAAAACCAGTCACATAAATCAGCCACCTTAATTTTGGGTTTGTACAGTGACAGAGTGCCATTTGAAGAGCGAGCATTAAAATTAGTCTTTCACTGGTAGCTTCTTCACAATCATCCAAGATTTGTTTGCTTCTCGAATATGTCCAGTAAAGTTGTTTTTTCTTTAAAAAAATGAAGGAGAGTCTATGTTGTATGAAAGAGCATGCCGTTCATTGGAGTTTCTTTTTTTCTCTTCTCCCCGTTTTTGTAGAAAGCAGTAAATTAGCCGACTTGATCGCAGATCTAGACTCTACAGCACCAAAAGGTTTGTTTTTTGTTATTTGAACGGTCAATGGTTGCGCAACTGGAGTTTAATGCTTTCTCTTCAACAGATTATGACCCAGAAGATGTTTTAGAGCCTATGAATGATAAGGCTGATCAAAGTGACGCTAATAACAGCGATAATGATTATGCCGACGACTCAGCTGCCCGAGAACATTATGTGTCTGTTGGCAAAAGTAAACTTCGCAACGACCAACCTCTTTTAGACGACCCCCGATATGCTGGTAAACGAACAAGCCGTAAAGATTTATTTGATGACAATGAAGAAGAGGTAGAGGACGAGGATGAAAACGAGGATGAGGTTGATGACGAAGAAAGTGATAGTAGTAGTGTTGATCAGAACGAAAACGACGACGATGGTGATGATGATAGTTTTGATGATGCGGAGGATTTAATGTCAAAAGCACACACTTATAAAGATGATTTCAACCCTGATCGTAATTCAGAAGAGGTTTATACCGATACAAATGAAGATACCAATTTGGAATCGTCTGGCAATGATGATGATGATGATGATGATGATACTGCAGCTGTTGACGACGAAGAAGACAAAGATGAGAGTGAAGTAGACGAACAACAAGATGATGATGAGGTTAACAATGAACTTCGTAAAATCCAACAGGAAGAAAGGTATGTATACTTGCTGATACTATTGAAATGAATGCACACATGCTTATGCTCCACTTTTCTTTTTTGAAATGGACCTTCAGGCAAATGATTTCTCAGCTATCGCAAAGTGCTCAAGCGGACGCCGAAAAGGGCAAACATGTTCGACAGCAACTCACTCTCTGGGATAACTGTTTAGAAAGCCGTATTCGTATGCAAAAAGTCGTGGATGATGCCAACCGACTCCCTCAAAATGATACCTATTATGACTTTTTAGCTAAATCCGAAGGTGTTGAAAAAGATTTGGAAGTGGCAAAAACTGAATTACGAGAAATTATTGATGATTTGATGGATATTCGCTCTGGATTATTTGCACAACACGGTTCTGTAGATTTGACAGATAAGGAACTGAACAGCAGAAAGCGACATTTGGATGATGACGATGATGAATATTTAGACAAGTTGTGGAAGGATATTTCAGAAATGAATGATGTGTAAGTTTTCTTCTTTTAGTGACAATACGCCGCTTCGTTGTTGATCAAGAATGAACCGCATGCTAACCCATTCTAATCGTATTACCTTTAGCTTTGTCCCTTTCCGTAACAGTACTCTTGAAAAATGGAGTAACAAAGTACAAGCAGCCTCTGGTGCTCGTCTCAATAAGAAATTCAAAGCTTTTGATCAAAATATCATGTCGCAAATAGAAAATGCAATGGCAGACAAAGAAGGTCTGATCAAAAGAACTCAGTTACAGAGATCTGATTATAAGATCATTGGTAAAACAGCACAAGAAGCAACACCAACACCAGCAGATATGGATAAAAAGCCTGACCGTCATTTGAACAATTATGACGTTGAGATCTTTGATGATCATGACTTTTATCAACAACAATTACGTGAATTGATCGAATCTCGTATGGTAGACACAGATGACCCATTAGCTATTGGTATGCGTTGGGCAGCGAGAAAACAAACAGAACAAAAGAAGAAGAAGAAAGATGTGAACAGAAAAGCAAGTAAAGGACGTCAGCTCAGATTCAACGTGCATGAAAAATTACAGAATTTTATGGCACCTATACCTGTTGGTGAATGGCATGAATCTATGATTGATGAGCTATATTCCTCATTGCTTGGTCAGAAGATGGGCTTGTGAAGAAGTTTGAAAATATTTAATCGAAATCAACAATCAATTTATGACACAAATAGACAACACCCTGTACATACGAATAAATTGCAACGTTCAATTACAATAAAAAGTGTATAATTTTGCTTTTTCTGATAGCTTAAAAAAGGGATATTTTATGAATTAGAGTGAGGCAGCAGCAATTTTTTGTATGCTTTATTGTTCTGCAAGCATAAAAATGACAATCGTATGTACAATTATGTCTGTGTTGGTATTTAAGAAGAAAACTTATTAAAAGCATATTTAAGGGAGAAGCAGTAATATTACATGTATATACATATTGTTTGAAGAAGCATAGAAGAATTATGTAAAAGGGTACAGGGGGTATACAAAGAAGGATTGAACATAATACATAGGAAAGCATGGACATAGTAAATAAGAATGGCTCGACGAGGAAGACGTCCAGGTCATTTGGAGTCAGGAACTTGCGAAAATGCATGTATAGCTGTGTTACGGCATTGAATCCATTGAGCTTGGATATTTTGCATCCAAGAGATGATTAATTCCAATCGCTCGATGATAGTTATACTTCGTAAAAGACCGTAAATCTGTGTTGTATCGTTAACAGCTTTTTTACCGAACATGATATCACCATTTAAACCTCCAGCAGAAGGGATAACCGACGAAAGTAACACAAGAGCAGCCCACCATGCCACAGCAATTGGATCTAATTTTGAAGGCATAGGACCAAACTGTGTTTGCATTTTAGCCAGCCATTGAGGACCAAAGAGACCCTCTGTTTGGGCGTGAAGAACGTTAAGCTTGGGTAATGTAAATGTTTCTGAACTCCCAGCTATATGATGGATAAATTCCAAAACGCTGTCGGCCAAATGTATGGCATAAGTGGAGATACGGTCTCTTTGCAAAAGTAATGCTTTGTGATCGTCAGGTGGTGGAGCGTTGGGTAATTCAAAGCTGATTTGACGTAGAGTAGCTTCATGCAAAATGTCAAAAGTGCCATAGATAGTAGTGATGCCCTCTCTATCTTTTTGAAAGTTGTGCGTTTCGAGCTGGAATCGATCAACGCCTACTACGTCGAGAAAAATAGCGTCGCGACGATGCTCAACGTTCATAATGGAGAGAAGCGTGCCGAATTGAGCGACATTTGGATGGCTACGATGGACTGAAGCCAGGCAAAGACTATTGTAACGAGTTGAAGGAATGAGGCATTTCCGTAGCATATTATATTGCTCTTCGTTCAAAATTTGAAGTTGACAACGTTGCTGTGGTAAAATGACAGCGTTAGAAACATACAAAGGAACGTTTGTTTGGTGTAGATCTAAGGAATCAAGGAAGTTACTTTCGGAGCGGGCATATTGGAACGATGATAAGAACGAAGTGAGGTCTTTGACAAATGTAGCAATAAGTCGATTGGGTTTCTGTGCTGATAAGCTGCTGTATTTGGGTAAAGGACGGTTGCAAAGTGAACAAGGCCGGTTTTCAATAGTCTTTGTGTGTAAAATACAGAGTTTACAGAAGGTATGTCCACACGGTGTCGTGATTGGTTCTTCTGATGATACCATAGAATGACAAAGCTGACATGTCAATATAGTAGATAATTTGCGTAGGAGAGCATCTGATGAAAGAAAGTCTGTAATGTTCTTTTGCTGTTCAGAAAAGGAACCAGAATACGACGATGCTTCACTAATAGGTGATAAAGGCAACAACGGAGCATTTGAGAAGAACTCTTGATGAAGTTTGATGAGCTCTGAAACAGTAATGTCGAGGTGGAGTTCGGGGCCGAATAAGTGTGTGGACGAATTACAATCAGGTGCTGGACAGCGGAATGAAGCTGCTGAAGGTGCCTTTCTACTCATGAAAATGGTTGTGGATGGGTTTTCACTGTTTAAACATTTAAGGCAAACTGTACTTCCACAAGTGAGTGTGATGGGTTCATGTAACGTGCCATTACATATTATACATGTTATTAACGGCAAGTAATCAAAGCAGTCTAAATTCATGATGATAAAATGCTGGTTATAGATATTCGAAATGACACGGATATGTATAATACGAAGAAAACGTGAACTGGCCAAGATTGGCTATCAATAATGAAACTGCAAGAGAACGTAAAAGAGAAAGCATAGAGGCAATTTGACGTCCATTTTTATATGCGTATTAATAAGGACAAAACAGCCGTTTGAGACATTTTGCTAGTGATCAACGCTCACTGCTTGATATCCGATCTTCACCAAAGGTTACGATCTGTAGGGGAGATCAGTCCTGATTTGGAAAAACTCCAATAACTAATTGTACAAAATGGGGGGGGGAGGGGGGGCGGAGGGGTGAGTCTGTAGCCGTGGAGTTTAGAAACAAAAGTTGCCATATTTGGAAAAATCGAGAATTCATGTCGAAAATCGAGGGTTTATCCTGCTATTATGAGTTAAGGTACCTGTGTAACAGAACAAAGAAAGTAAACATTGTGAATGGCAAAAAAGACAATGTTCCGGAAAGCATCTACAGCATTCGCATACATGTGATATAAGTTTTATAGTTGTCAAGATGAGAAGCACTTGGGTTATTTTTGTGAAGAGACTGGCACAATAGCTACGAAGCCATCAAGTTGCAAGTGAACCATCTAAAGCACCCCCCAAATTTATTCAGGAACGAAAAAAAAGCTCAACTGACTACTCCACGCCTGCATCAAAATCAATATTAGATTCTTCATTTTTCAGCGAATCACTGCCTTTGCTGCTATAATCTGATGCCTTGCCTGATCTAATTTATTGCTATCACGATTAACGATAAATTTTTCAGGGGTTATCGTATGATTTGAGCATTTCATGTTTTCTGCTATTTTACAACAGCATCGTTGAGAGCTTAAGATCGAACGATATCCGAGCGACGTCAGTATTTTGGAACCAGGGACAATGTTAGGGAGTTCAAGGATAATCTATTGTACACTATTCTTACATGCACAAAAATCAAAATTTTTCAAAACGATTTCTGATCTACAGCGACAATAAATTACTTACAGCTGTTACGATTTTATAGTCACCTGAATCACTTTAATATGAAATCCCCCATCTACCTCGTATAATTCTTTGAACAGTAAAAAAGATTTATCTGTTCTAAAAGATATAGAAAAGACATCATAGTAATTAGGATTAAGAAAACAACTCTTTTTCACAGTTTACTTATATTTCTTGTATTTATCTCGTATTCAACGAGTCGTCTTCTCCATAGTTCACACTTTTCTTTGTATTTACCATGTTTTGAAATCAGAAAGTGCCTGAATTGAAGTCTGCTTTCTACATGAGCTGTAGCCAACTCTAACAAATAAAGATGGGCTGAGCATCATCAATCATTTTCATTTCTATTCACTTCCGAACAATTAAAAACAATCTCTTATTTAGGCCTTTGGCAACGGATGTCCTTCACTTAAACTCTCAGAAATGATTGATATATTAAATTTTCAAATTAATTCATTTCGTTACCGTCAACTAATAAATTTCTTGTATGCTTTATTTTCACTTCAGTACTAGTACTCTGAAATTAATGAGCTTACATTTTAAATACCTTATGAACTTCTTCAGGTCATTGAAATCAGTTGAAAATGCGCATATGTGGACTTTACGATCAATTTAGATGCTTTTTCCGCACGGATATACTTGAACCTATCGTTTACAATGAGCATTTTAGATATGTATTGCATTATTTACACTTAAAACGGAAGTATGTCTTTGTTGGCATTGATACCGCGAGAAGCAATCGGCTCAATGGAATTAGTACATGATGAGACATATATCTATCTGTTCCTGTTCTCTGCGCGACAATTTTGTGTATTTTGAACATTGACATCATCCTTAATGCGAGGAGATAACTGATTTTCTAACGTATTCTATTACTACGCATCCTTGCCCTTTCCAATTTCAAGCCGTCTTATATGCAACCATTTGGTTTAAGATACCGTTGACTAATCTTTATTGTTAAAAAAGTCAAGACTTTATTCTTTTTATTTTATAAATGTTAAATAGCACTTCACCCTATGTTCCTTATCTAACACCTATATATGTATGGCTATAAATTTAAGACATTATTCTATTCGCCTTTAATTAACTTATGCTTTGTTGCCAGGAATATGTACTTATCCAATATTTGGGTGCAGAAGATCCGTCTTTTACGGTTCTGGATCGCAAGATGTAATCAAAATCTAGGTATACATATTTCATCTAACATTAGCGTTTTGTAGCTGATCCTACGCTCGTCATTTTTATCAAGAGTAATGATAGAAAGCGATAGAAATGCGAGTAAATCACAATTTCATTCAAAAAAGTAATAGTAAGTAGTGAAAAATGTATACATTCGTTATACCCTAAAATGCTTATATAGGACTGCTCTGACATTAATTATCTAACTGTATTGGTATTCGTAGTGTGATGTTTGCTGGAACGATAAGGGTTCCCACTAGGCAATCATACAGCTCTATCGCGTTGCTTTCAATTGTTCTAAACATTCCTTTTCAATTTTCTTAATAGTATTCTTCGGCAAAAAAAGATGCAGGCAACTGCTCTATTGGTAATGTTATTCTTAATCTCCTTTGCAACTATTTTCTTGTTAAAATCATAGATAAAAGGTTACCTCTGTTCGTATCCATTCAACTAAATACGAGGTTTATTTGTTTCCAAATGTAACACATATTCAACCAACTTACTGTTCATTTCGTCCGCTAAATATACCATATACATCCACTAAAGTTGCCGGATATAACAAAAATAAAATGCAGTACGAACTACTTCTAAGGTTTACTTTTTCGAGTTATAGTGGAACAAAGATTGCTGCATTATCGTTCATGAAAGTTCAAGTTAACGTGCTTATAATATGGATCAGACATCTTTAAAAATTGTAGCCTCACACAAAAAAATCGAAAAAGTTCAAAGATTCAATTGCCAAAAAAGTGATTTAATTTTTCATTTGTTGTGTCGACCGTAATTCAATAGCCTCTTCTTCATCGCTCCAACAACACTGCTAAAGTGATCACGCTCATCCTCCTCAATATCCCTTCTATTATTGATTTTTTAGTGAACAAGGAACAGTTACTCTTACTCTCTCACATACGTGTTTTGTTAATGTCCTCTGAATTTCCGTTCCATCCAATTTAACTCCAAAAAACACGCATAAAGTTAAGTTGAACATACTAACTAACCTTTTTGATAACCAATACTCAAACGCCTCTCTCAAGGATCTCAATTTATTTACAATATCTGTCAGATTTCGCCTTTTCTCTTTTATCTAATAAGGCTTCAGCAAGACGACCTTCTGTCCTGGCTTTTTTCAAATCACGTTTATCAGACTCGGAACGTATAATATTGCGACCATACGATTGAAATTTCTCACTACCAAACAACAAAGTATTAACACTGTACTCAATAGAATACTCTATAGTATTAAGCTATGTTCATTACTTACACTTTGCCTATTTCCGAACCTATATTTTCGCCTTTATCCTTCTTCTTTGTTTTTGGCTTATACTTGAACCTGGCTTGGCAATATACTCTAAAAGTTTCACAATAACCCACATCATCTGCATCAGCACGAATTCTAACACCCCCTCCTGCAACTTCGTCAATCATCAAATATTTCTTGTAAACATTTTCAAATGCTATGCCTGCGTCTGTCAAAACAGGTTTCCATTCTTCCTGGCCACCAATTGCTTCACTCTGACATGTAACGACTCCAAACTTATCGCTACTGATATATTTGCCGTTGCATGACTTGAAGGAAAATCCATCACTAGATCCGATGATACGAGAACCGATAAACACTTGTTGCATAATAGTGGGCTCTGGTGGTGATTCGGGACTATCATAAAGGCCGGGTAATGGGTAAGCAAGAAAGCGATCGTCTTCATCCACGGTAAAGCTGATGGGTGGGTCACTGGGATGGGTAATGAACAAAGGACCAGCAAGATCTTCTATACTGTCGGCACGAACCCAGACTAAAATTAAGATAACAAAGTGCATGTTACTTTTGTGAGTTCAATCAATATTATACCTATATTATCGCATTTCTCAAAACTTTTTAAAAGAAAAAAAAAACCACTATATAGTAATAAATACCTTGATTGACTGAAGCATTCTGATCTTCTCCATTGTTTTTTGAAGCTTGATGCTTTCTCTTCTTCTTCCTATTAGTTCCAAACAATTTCATTAGGATGTTAAAATTTGAGAGATCTTTTTGACGATTTTTATCATAGCTAAGCTCATATTTACTTGTGTTCCTTATCTCCTTTGAAAACTAGTTTGTTCTTTTTAGGCTTCTGATCAGACATTCTACCAACTGATTGCCAAAGCGAAGAAGGGATCAGTTGATGCATAAAATGGTGTTATTCGGCTTATAGCGGAGCGTCAAATTAATTGGAGATATTTTGATGCCTTCGTTGTTACTTCCTCGTGGCTGTTCTTCACAGTTAATAGTAAGGCAGCGAACAGTTTGTATCAAACAAAAATGTATGCATTAAACAGCCGCATATATTTCTGAAATGTATATTCTGCAGTGTCCGTATATATTGAATTACAAAAAATGACAAGTAAACCAAAAAAAGGTAGCTGCTATGTATAAAAACATAAATGACATTATTGCTTGTTAATGTACCAACAAACAGGCTGTTTTACTGGTGAGTATGTGATAATCAAAAATGTTTGGGTAATCTTTGTAATAGAGAGGGTGGTAATGTAAATGCTCATATGTAATAGCAAAAACAGGGGCCGTGGTAAAATACGAACATCATAACGAGAATAAAGGAATAGTACGAAAAAAGGCAAACTGTATCATGCCATCTACATGTATTGATATTAATCTTAGTATATTGCTGCTCCTGTATTGGTTTTAATTAGAATTCAAATAACAAGTCTCTTCATATTATCAGGCGTTGATGACTAACAGATATTTGACTGCCGGGCTGCATTATGATAGCAAGCTGAAAATTGTTGTCGTTGGACTTAGAAGGTGGTGAAAAGTTGAGAGATGTAAATATTACTCTTTGCTGGCAATAGAACCTTTCAAAAACGTGAACTTAATCAGTTTCATAATGCTTAGACGTGCTAGATTATTAATATAAACTGCTTAACAACCTATAACCAAAGCACAGCTGAAATAGATACTTAATAACCAAAAAATTCATGAACATAAGTGCAAGCCTGATTGAACCCTGCCTTGAGGGGAGAAAAAATTCCTGCTAGTGCGCTAGCGGGGAGTGGGAAATGGCTTTCTTCCTCTTGCCAACAATAATATAATTCTAAACTAACGTTATGCAATGTCACTAATCAATTGTCCTTCTTTAGTAAAGTGATATTGTCCACAGAGAACCTGGAATGTTTGAAAATTACTGTGATCATCCTGAGACTTCCACGAGGGTACTCGCGCCTTTCTTGTGGCAAAAGTTCTGGCGTTTTCATCTCACTCACACGTCCCGCAATGTTTGGTTCCGGAAGCTCCTAACAATCTCCCCCCTCGCACCCGACTTCATCGTGACCTTCCCGATATTCTTCATAGTGATGCTTGTCCCCTGTGCCGAGGCTGCTTTCCTCATACGCCTGAGCATTTTCTTTATGTTTGTCCACTCAAGTAAAATGTCTCGCTCACTCTTTGGCCTTCCCTTTTCCGGGTCCCTTTCACTGAATTGATCCTCCATGATGCTATTTTCCATCTGAAATTTCCGCTTATTATCTCCTTACACTCTCCAGCTTGTCCGCATAAGGTGCGTCCTTACCGCAATTAGGCGTGCTCACTTTGCCTACGTTTTCTCCTCTACACCTTTCGTTAGTCTCCGTGTCGTCTCGGTAGCTCTGAACGAGAACAGCTCATCTCAAAAGATTTGGCTCCTTTCCCATCCCACACTTTTTCTATGAGGCCCCTTAGGCTTTCCCTTTCCCTTTCTCTAACTAATCACCTAACCACCATTTTATATAAAATTTTGTTTTGAGCCTCGTAGCTCTATAAAAAAATTTATTTTTCAAAGTGTCCCTTCAATTTGCTTTTTTTGGTGTAATGGTTGTGGGGTATAGACAGCTGATATCGTTTACGGTGAACATATTTGAGAAGAGATGCTTATGAATGTTCCGGGCTTGGAGGAACACTAACAGGACCATCACTAGCCACCAAAGCTTTATGCTGCTTTTCTGCTATTTTGATTATCATGAACTCAACTGAGTCCAGTAAACTGCTTGATGAATGCCTACGCATTGCTTGGACGTGTTCTTTTTGTAGTTCTTTTAATACATTCACTGTCTCATCACAAGCAGCCTATATAGAAAGAGAAGTTAGATCATTGACGGATATTCTTATATAGAATGGAATGTACAAGCTTACAGCAAGTGTGGAATAAAAGTCAACGAATGGTTTCTAAGAATTCAGTTCTCTGCTCAAAACATACTGGAACCTTGCAGCTTTGCTCTTTAATCAAGAGGCAGATCTTTGGTTCGTACGCACATATACTCCAATGCCGGATACTGCTTCCATTAGCATGAATAAAATGCAGCTTTTAACGTTTAAAGGTATCCCAGCTGCTCTTTAAAATTTCCTGAGCAATTGAAGTAAGCATTGATTGGAGACCAAATGATGCCTTATAATGATCAAAGCTGATCTTTGCTTGATCACCATTGCTATACTCCCCTGATACCTCCATTAGTAAAATTTCAAAGTCCTTGATGATGCTGTTGATAAATATGCCATCCGCTTTATAGCAATACCGCTTGTCAGTTACGCCTAATTTTTGAAGCTGTTTTGTCATAGACTTTAGTTCGATTTCACCTGGTATAAACATGATGCTGTCATTATTTTGGCTGACAAACTTCAGGCATTCATCGAGTAAATAGGACCTGTAGGATGATCCTGAGACAGTAAGAAGCATTTCATTCTCTTTGTAGAGATAGGTCGTGAATATTGAAAGTACACTGGAAATGAACTTTCTGTCATTCTTATTTGTATCCTCCTTGGTGAAAGCAGCCAAGCGTACTCTCATCTCATCGAGATTTTCAGCATCTGCTATATTGTAGAACTCTTTCAACAGCACTTCATTGATGCATGACTGTGCTATGAATGTTATGTTGCTGTTAACGAAGGCGTAAAGATCATTGGGCAGGCAGCTTCTTTGCTGCAAGTGTCTCCCGCACCAAATGATCCCAAACTTCTCGGGGCATAACTCATGCTGGTGGATTGCGTTGTTACAGAAAAAACCAACCACTTCGTTGCGATAATGTGCTTGTTGCCGTTATTGTCGCTATTAACGTTGTTGTTGCCATTAACATTGCTGTCGTTATTATTGTTGCTGTCGTTGTTGCTTTTGTTTGATTTTTGCTGCTCTAAGCAGCTGTCTGCATTGGTTTGACTAATCTTTCTTTTTCTTGAGACCTCTTTCTCCGCGATTTCTGTATACAGAACGGTGGTGACCTTCGCTTTTGCTGCCTCTTCTTGCAAAGCTAGTTCAGAGTAACTGACGTGTTTGGTGAGATAATAACTACAATACTTGAGTACGTACAACCAGGTAGAGAATACATTCTACCACGGTCTATCTATACTGCATCTAATATAGGTTATGTACAGCATAAAAATAAGATACAGGCCTAAGTATAATAATCACACAATAAGCATCTGAACCTGAAATTAGTGACTAGCATACGCGTCCTCAAATAATATAATTCCCATTAAACCTCACAAAGTAAATAATCCTTCTACTTCATCTGAAGAATAATAAAGAGAACTAAGTTCATAGTCATCGACTTATAACAGTTATCAATTTCTCAATTAAGCAATTGCAACAGTAACTGGCCGCATGAAGTTTCTAGAACTTCTGAAAAGCCTTCTTTGCTTGACTTGATTGTGGGTAAGTCAGCATACTGTTGACCTTCATAGCAGCAACAGAACCTTGAATGACATGTCTGTCTATTAGAGCAGCGTCCTTTAATAATTGGATTGACGCTTGGAAGCTGTTTAAAGTAGGGTTACAGCGAAGTCCTTCTTGACAGTACTTGGTTACGCTCCAAGTTCACGGATGCTGCGACCAGAATTCTGAAGCCATGCAATATACAGTTAAATCAACTTGACCATTAAGTAAGGAGAAAAAAGCTTACCCGGAAGCAAGAGTTCAGCTTTACTATCATTGAAGGATCTTTCAAAAAACGCACTTGATTCCCAAATCTTATTGTTAACAGTAGGAACAAGAAATTGTAATGGCATGGTTTAACCGTTTTTTATTGACATGGATTTTTAAGAGGTAGCAAAGAGACATCATGGTGCAAAAGTTGGCGTGCACGACAGCATTATTTGTTATACCTACAAAGTTAAAAAACCAAGATTGGTGGGATAATAGGAGAAGGGGCAAGTGTATACACTAAAGAACAGGAGGTTATTAATAGATGAGCAAGGAGGTCAAGCAGGGTGATTCTGAGAGCAGTGCAGATTATCTGACTTTACTCTACTATCCTTTGAAGTAAAAAAGTTCTCCTTTTTCATGGCATGAATCGGTTGAGACTGCCAACTCACTGCGAAGAAGACACTCTAAAGACAAAGTCCTTATTGAAGATAACAATTGGAGAATTTTTCCAACGTGCAAGATGTGCACCTTGAGCATAAATTGATAATGTTTCAAATAGAGGATGACTTCACTAAAGCAGGGAAACTTTCAAAATACACAAGTAGTTCCTTGAAGTGCTACAAATGTCAACATAACAGTTTAGAATTCCTTGTTATTGATTTACTCATGGATTTATTCGAAAGGTAAGAATAAGCTGACGAGAATAACGTTTAAAAACATATAAGATTATTGGACTTGAAGGGTGATCACAGTAACTTTCAATCATTTTAAGTTCTCTGTGGACAATACCAATCTATTAAAGAAGGACAATTGATTAGTGACATTGCATAACGTTAGTTTAGAATTATATTATTGTTGGCAAGAGGAAGAAAGTCATTTGCCACTCCCCGCTAGCGCACTAGCAGGAATATTTTCTCCCCTCAAGGCAGGGTTCATATGTAGATTGTCATCGAACTTTTTCTTGCCGAGTAAATACTTATCTCAAGCTAAACGACTGTCGAACTGTAAACATTTGAATAATATTTCTTGTTTGCGTTGAGTAAAATCAATTGAGAGCTGAAACGGTGCGGCAATGAGAAAAGATTAAGGAGAAGATCATGCACACCACGGATACTCTCAATATCTATCGGACTACTTAGTCACTTATTTCTAGCTTATCTATCCTGTACTTGTGTAAGTTACTCTGAAAAATTGGTAATGGTTTGGATAAGACATGCTGTGAGTTTCTTTGTCAAACGCTTGGACATGAAGCAGCATCTATCATAGTCAACTCGTTTTTTTTTCTTTCTGCCAAATCAACTACACTTTTACTGCTGCATTTATTTCAGAGTCTCTGCCATGAATACTTTTGTATTTAATGCTAAAACGAAGTTGGCCTAAACCAAACATAATTTAACGTGAGCTGAATCTAAAAATCGAGTAATATGGGCCAGCAATCAGAAGAACTTGAGTTATCTTGGCCCTGAAAAGTGGATCCTACATATAACTTACGAATATGTCTTTAGACAAAAGCAAGTTTTTTGCGCGACTAAAAATATTTTTTGATAAAGTAATCATATTGAGCTTTAATACACTTTTGATTCGGTTGTAATTCGTAACTGAATAGAATATAAAGTGTATCAAGAATAAAGATGCTCTCGACTTGACAATTCGTTTCTAAAGACATACGACACTGTTTCTCTTGATTCATGATCAGAGGGTATCTGCATTAGTTTATGAAAAATGCGAATAGGCAATGAAAAATATGATTGAGCTAAAAGAAATTGATTTACTCCGCTTGTTGCTGCCCCCTTGTTTGCGTCACCGAAATGTACGCATTTTGTGGGGAAAAAATTCCGGGGAAAATAGTCGAATTGTTCTAAACATCCTTTTCGGTCCTCTTCTACACTGTTATCACATAATGGCAATGAGATCTTTCAGTGCATCCTTGATGCGTTTTCCCCGGCACAAAGCTTGGGGTAGGAATTGAAGACGAAGAAACTGTCAAAAGTTCATGAGCCATAAGCATTGACGATTTTTCCCCTTACTTTATTGTAGTCAAAACAGCTGTGCCAGCGAGCTGTACACGATCCTTCACTTCAACAGCAGCAAAATGGCAAGGTAAACAACAGCAACCCTTCTTTTTTTGAAAACAAGGAATTCTTATTATTTGGATTGGTATTCATGTCTTACCATAACTACTCTTCCCCAAACTGACAGCCGTTGAAGAAGAAAAAAAGCAATATTCAAAAGTATCAGCCGATCCCAGCTTTAAGTCAGGCAACGATGAGCTTCATGAATACGGCAAATACATTATGTGTGTTCTACCAAAGTTTATTCAACAATACAGCGTCTATAAGGACGAACTTACACTTTATGTTGCCCCTACTGCTATCTATCAAGTCCTTCACTTCTTACGAGATCATACAAATGCTCAATTTAAATCCATGATGGATATCACAGCAGCTGATTATCCAAGTCGTGAGCATCGTTTTGAAGTAGTATACAATTTACTCAGTATGAAATACAACGGTCGTATTCGTGTAAAAACCTACGCTTCAGAAACATCACCTGTACCCTCTTCGGTTCCTCTGTTCAGCGGTGCTAATTGGCAAGAAAGAGAAACTTATGATATGTTTGGTGTCTTTTTCACAGGGCATCCTGATTTGAGACGTATTTTAACAGATTATGGTTTTGAAGGACATCCTTTGAGAAAGGACTTCCCACTGACCGGTTACGTTGAAGTGCGTTATGACGAAGAAAAGAAACGTATCGTGACTGAACCTGTAGAATTGGCACAGGCATTTAGAAATTTCGAAGGCGCTTTGTCACCTTGGGAACAAGTTGGTAAGTGTTATTCTGGGTTAGGGATATTGAAGAACGAATCAAATTGGGCTAAGTTGGCTAAAATAATCAATATCGGAATAGGCACCGGACGCGACGACACACCTAAGAAAATTGAAAGTGATGAACAAAAAACTGAAGAGCAAAAGAAGTAAACATATTAAATTAGAATACATATTGATTTTTAACATTAAAGTACGACATATGGTCATCAGTGCAATGGCAGTACCAAATCTTTTCATTTGCATGCATTTAAAGCAATTTTGAAAGATTGCTGAAAAGATGGGCGATAAGGGAAAAGTCTCCTTTTTTTTTTGGTGTGGACAAACGAAGATCGTACCTTAATTTGTTATGTAGGCCAAAGATCATAAATGGTCTTTTTTTCCACTTCTTCTATACTTTTTGACTATTTCTTAAGAATTCGGTAACGGAAACGGCAGGAATAACAGCAACAGCAACCATACAGACAGACGAAAGCCTTTCGTTGAAAGGGGATAGAGGACTTGGATTGTTTCACGGCAACAAAACTTCAACAGCAGCAACTACACATTTTGTAATTCTTATCATTATTCCCGATGGATACTGTCTACTATATTATCATTTCTTCAGTATCAGTGCTAGTGGTTATAGCTATTTGTATCCTTGCTTACAGCATTTTTCAGACAAGGTTTTTTGGATTAGTTTATAGTTTTGATGAAGAAGAAGGGGATGGTGAATGTGAATCATTCTTGGGAACTTGTCAATTAAAAAAGACGTCTACTTTTTATCAATGGAACCAAATGCCACCTTCATCCTGCTGCTCTATGTCCGTTGCTTCCTTACAGCAGAACCAACAACAGGGAGGCGTAACGAGTGAAGACGAAGAAGACTATCTAGCTCATGAAGAAGATATAGAGAAGAGTCGTAGGCTGTCGTCTTGCTGGGAACAACGACGTTCTCTAATACTTAAAAAATATGCAGCAACAGACAATAATGAAACTATCTATATCGGCTGCAATATAGAATAGCAGCAGCAACAACAGCAATACTTGGTTTTATCGATAAGGATAATGCATATCCTTTAGCTTGCCTATTTTTGTTCTCCTCCATCAGAGAAAACATATACCAGCATAAATAGCTAGATTTCAACATTAGCAGTATCATCTTCATTATCCCCCCTTCCGCAAGTTCAATAAATTGCTCACCTGCCTTGCTTAAGTACCTTCATTTCAAATATGTATATACATTCACAGGGCATCTCTGTATACTTTTATGAAAGTCGTGCAAAGCATCTCATATTATAGTACAAGATACCGTTTTTGCTGCTACGGCTGTTGTTAAATGTACTTGCTATTCATATATATCACTCCAGTTCATTGTAGTCATTCTTTACAATAAGATTTGTAACTATTCTGCCCTCAGAGACGTTCTCAAAAAGCAGTCTCTAGTCGAGAGTATTCTTTAACTGGAACTAGTCTAACCTACCTTCAGAGTGATTGTAATCCTATATTCGTAAAACCTTTGACAAACAATCTATTCTGAAAGGAAATTGTCAAATTGATAACCACTCCTAACATTCAATGACAGCTTAGTTCTAATTTTGAAAAGAAGCTTTCATTTATTTCAAATATCTTTCTGAATCACAAGACTTTACTAAAACTATGGCAGAAGATGCCGATCTGGTGGGTACAGCAGGTACTCTCAGTTGACTAGATCGATTTTCGCCACTAATGAATTTTGATAGATCCCATAAGAATTCAATAAATGCAAGGACGTGATGATAGAAGTAGCGTCGCTCTTGATAAGAGGAAGTAAACCAAAGGGCTTTTACCTAACATTTAGCTCCTTTTCTATATTCTTCTGTAATGGAGAAAGACGAATTAAAAGCTATTTCAAGAAAAACAAAGAACAACGTCGTTCAATCCAAAGCAAACAATTAGTGATATTATCAAGCGCACAAAACGTCATGGAATGTGCGAACAACGATATTACTTAAGCACTATCTGAAATTGATATTTGTTCGCTAAATAGAAGAATGTTGGCGGACTACCATCTATAAGTTTATGACCCGCAGATAGAAAAGTGAAATAGGTCGCTTCCATTACAGAAATGTATGCTTCGGTTCTTTTAACACAAGAAAAAAAAATCCCTTGTTAAAGGCGGCTGAAAAATAATATTAAGAAGGCAACAGTCGCATCAAAACAAAGATTGAGGCTACGACATTATCTGCGAAATTTTCAGCAATGTTAAATCTAGTTGATCATTATCTCATTATACTTTCAAATGCTTCGCCAGTATTATACCACCAGCTTCAAAATTGATTTCTTAATGTAACACTGATAACGTAACTCGGCCCCTTCCACTGAAAATTTATTGTCCGGTGCGCATAATAACAATGTATATGGCAATAGATATATGCTTCCTATTTATTAGTTGTCATAATCACAAATGTTAAAGCTTTGCTAACCTGGTGCCATTGCTATCACTATTATTACTATTATTCACTGCGGACTCAAAATGATCGATTAATAAACGATTGTATCTCTCAGGTTGTTCCTCGGGAATAGCATGCCCACTCCCTTCGAAGAGCTCGAACCTCGCCTCCAGCTTCTCTTTCATATGGTAAGAATATTCGGGTCGTACTAAATTGTCAAATGTACCTGTAATAATCATTACAGGTAACCCACTTGATTTAATATGTTGGAGACGCTGATCTGAAACATAATGTCGTAAGCATGCGGCTGTTTGTCCCAAATTACCAACGAGCGTTTGTCGACGAGAAAGCTTGATATGTTTGATCAATTCATAAATGGCATAGTCCCGATTTGTGTCGAATACTTTTGTCGTATTGGATAAATTAGCAGATGGCTTCTGTTGTAGCCATTCTTTTGGATAGACTAAATCAATAGCTGCGTTTAATTGATCTTTAGGATCACGGTAATAGAACGCTATTTTCGATAAAGTTGAGATGGCTGCCCACTATGAGAGTAGTAAATGATTTAAAAATCCGAACGTATTGTTTAGTGCTGGTACTAGGAACAACCATATTCACTTACAGTTGGTAGATTTCTTCGTGCCGTTGTACTTGTTAAGGTCAACGTCTTGAAGCGATATGGATCGGCATCAGCCATTTCCAAAGATATCATTCCGCCCATCGATATACCGACCAAATGTACATTTTTATACCATTCGAAGTAGTCTAATAGTTCCAACGTATCAATGGCCATTTGAGATGTTCTATGCAAGACGTTGAGTAAGTGATAGATACAATAAGAGTGAAGTATGACTTACGAATATAGACCAGCAGGCGCATCTTTTTTTTTTTTTTTTTTTTTTTTTTTTGTACGAAAAATGAAATTTGAAAAAGAATGTATAATTAAAGAACATACGCTTAAATATAACCAAATCTCTGAATTACCTGAAAATCCCATTCCTCTATTATCAAAAATAATTACAGTGTACTTATTTAAGCCCACTATATATTTAACCTGAAAAGAGACAAAACCACGGGATTTCAAAAGACAATGTAAAAAAATTTATGTTTTTTTCGGCCATATAGATACACACTATTTACCTGCTTGTCCCAAGCGCCACATGGCGTGCTTAAGCCTAGTATAGCAAGAAGGTACTCTTTTTATAAACGTAGCAACAGTTTGTATGTCCCTGTTTTAGCAGGGAGCATTATTAATTAGACATACCCATCACTAGTAAGACACGTTCAGGACCAGTTCCATGACGTTCATAGTATAGTTTTGTTGGCTTAGACTGCCGCTTTTGGCCAACCTCGACATAACCCTTTTCCTGGAGTGTAGGTGAATATTTCATGCCTGCAATTACCAGTTTAAATGGAAAAGAAAAATAATTGCAATACGCAGGCACAGTTATACAAGTTACTGGGGGAAAAAAAGTATGGGGTACAAAGAATGATCACGATTATCTGTAATACATGAATGTGCTTTTTCATATGACAATGAAGTCAATTCACATATCATATTTTTTGCCATGGCATACATAATCTGTCGTAATAGTATGCCTCTCCCGAATATTTCATAAAAATTGAATACATGAATTTCACAGACATACAATAATTTGATGAAGGCAATATCAAAGGGAATAGAAGCTTTAAGAAAGTCGGAAAAGAATAGCCGTATGGTAGAAGTTCATCAAATCATACTTACGCACGACAGGCTTTGTCGCCAAAATTTCTGCTCGTACAATCAAACTAACACTGTTATTGAAATGATTCTTCTTACCTAAACGATAAAAGAAGACAGCAAAAAGAGAGAGAGAGAGAAAAAAGGTCAATGATAAGCGTTCTTCAAAGCAGACAAAAGCAGGATTGCGACTAAAATGTTGAAAGTTTGCTCTGCTTTTCCATCTTTCATATACTGCCAAATGAAAACCGATGGAAAACTTCTGATATGTGTAGAATTCTCAAAATCTTTAGGAAGTATAGGACTGACATTTCGACCTGTATCTAGTTGCATATTGACAGTATCCTCGTCATCAGTAACAATGCTGAGTCCCTGAATAATAATTCAAGTTTGTTCACTAAAAGCTGCGCTCAAAATCATAATAAAATGAACTTATAAAGAGAATAAAAACAAACATTATACAGTTATGTGATGGTTGTGATAATACGCTTGAGCAACCTACTGGAGGAGGTTAGCCTAGCCTAACATTATTTAGGGTTAGGTTAAGGGTACTTCGCAGCGGCCCACCGACAGATCTTTTTGAGCCTCTGTCGTTTTAAGTAGGATTTACGTCGGCAATTTAGGATTGCGCATTTTTCAAAAAATTGATACAATACCAATGCTTATTATCAGTTATCGGTTAAAGAAGATATAGACACTGTGCCGTTGGACGTAGTATCAAGTTAACTACAATGAAAGGGGGATTAGCACTTGGAGTGACTGAAAGATTGGGCTACATCAAACAACTACAATTTTGGCAATTATCCACAATGATGAGAATGCTCAAAGTTTGGAAATGCTCTATCTCCTTGCCTTCATTGTCAAAGTCAACGGCTTCGCGGGAAACAGATTTAGCCCGCCGTAGTATAATCACACTTGGTTGGCTCGCCAGTAACGTTGCGCAAAGAATAGACTTTACCTCGATTCTTTCGAACCACAGTGTAAAGACCATCATCAGAAGATGCTAATTGATCAATAGTTTGTGCGCATATACATGACTCGATCACCTGGTTTATACTCAATCAAACGATGCGGTTTTGTACGTCTAACTTTTTCAACTAGCATTTTATCTTAGTTTTAGCTTTGTAGCGGGTAAGACGTCATACTTGTCTGTAATGTCCATTTATGCCTCAATAGGTAGGTTTGCTTCCAGGCTTACAATGTCTTTAATGCATAAGTTGTATTCTTTGGTGATTTGGTCTGCTTTTTTTTCCTATCAGACTTTACACGCAGTCTTAGTCCAACTTACTTGTAAACACATATACCTACATGTAAGGCACTTGTTGTCTCTAATACAATAATGTATTTTGTTAGTGTTGTGCTGTGATTCTTCCAGGTCTACCTCTATCGCGCTAGTATATGCATATAGACATTCATTTTCATTTTTTTTTTTTTTTTCGAGAGACTGCAGAGAAATTCGAAGCAGATCAATTTACGACTCTACCGACCCTCTCTAGTACTGGTTAAAACGAATTCAGTTAACTAAAGATTGGGTACTTGGACAGTACTTTAAATTCTTCTCTAGCAACTCCTTCGGCTCAGAGCTTCGGGTATAGAAATGCCGAAACCTGGAATTTGACATAGAGCGCGTAAAACTCAAAGAATCCAAAACCAGTAAACGGACACCGCTCCAATGCCATACACTTTTATTTACGTTCAAATTGTGGGATTTCAAACTTCTACATACAATTTCCCCCATATTTACAACAAGTTATCAAGTTAATGATCGTTTAGTAATTGTTCAAAACCTAAATCTCTGTCATAGTTGATCGTTTCTCTGTTATTCTACAGTTGATTCAGTTCGGCTTAAATCCTGCTGTATTTTTGTGGCATAATTTCCTACTTGTTCCTATACCTGTTGTTCGTACAATTCTTATCCGGTACAATTTTATCAAGTTATCTTTCAAAAACCTTAAAGATCTCCTTGTTATCAAATGGAACTGTGATTCGCAAGAATGCATAGCACTCACAAAGTGAGATCCGCGTGGTTGCAAAAAAGGTAAATCAGATATTCTCTCTGTTGATATCTACAGCTGTTGTCAACTACACTTCATCGCTTACGTAGCTTAAAAAAAATCTAACTGCCTTAATTCGGTTGGTATAATGATGATCGCGCTTCTGTAACGACTTTAACAGAAAGCACACTCTTTTTCGATTACAACACCTTAAAATTTGCGAAAATACTAATTCGAATGCCGCTAAAGGCGCAATAGCTCTGTTAAAGAAGTAGATGAAGTAATACTTTTGTTTATGTTCAAAGAATGTGAGCGATGACTTGAATGCTCTTCTGCAAAGAGATTTTACTGTAAGATCCTGTTCATAAGAAAAAATAAAATAAAAATTAAAAATAAAAATAAATATAAAACAGTGCTTTAATGACGTCAAAGGGGAAAGTAAAAAGCCTTCAAAATTGGCGGAACTCCAAAACCAATATTTTTCTCGCCCTGGGCTTCTCCACCTGGTTTGAAATAACAATGTGGAGAAGTAGGACTTTACAATTTTCTATATTGCTTTAATCTTTAATTTCTTTCCTATAAGTGACTAAAAAAATAATCGAAGAGAAAGGTATTATATACTTGTACTATTAAGTTATATTTAAAAGAAGCTTATATGCTAAATATTGCATAGAGTTTCAATAATACTTCTTTATCTTTGTATATTTGACGTTCAAAAATTCACCTCCCCACTCTCAACGCAAATAAAGCAGCTCGATCGTTCATCAGCAACCAAAACCTACAGCTAATCCCAAATCTTTAAGCTACTTACACAGCAGCCATGTCTTTTGCAACAAGAATGTGGGCACGCTCCTTTACCAATTCAGCCCGCTTAACAAACAATATGCGCCCTTCAGTATTTCAACAGTTGAGGCCTTTGAGGGCATTTAAACCAGTTCGCACTATGGCTACAGCCGCCCAGCAAACTGTTGGTGATATCCCTAGAACAACCATTACAGAAGACACAAGCGCCCAAGCTTTTGGTGGTAAGTTTTTGCAGTCAATCAACAGCTCATTTGCAGTCTACAAAACAATAAGCAAAAGATATCAGCAAGCAAACTCAATAACGATCTACTTTTTTATTCTGGAAAACAATATTTTTTTATAGAAATCGACGAAGAAGAAAGCAGAATGCGTAACTTCACCGTCAATTTTGGTCCTCAACATCCTGCAGCACATGGTGTACTCCGTCTGATCTTAGAATTAAATGGTGAAGAAATTGTTCGTGCGGATCCTCATATAGGTTTATTGCACAGAGGCACCGAAAAGTTAATTGAATACAAGACGTATTTGCAAGCTTTACCTTACTTCGATCGTCTTGATTACGTTTCCATCATGACCAACGAACAAGCATATTCATTAGCTGTCGAAAAACTATTAAATATTGAAGTACCAGAACGCGCCAAGTACATCCGTACAATGTTTGGCGAAATTACTCGTATCTTGAATCATATTATGGCCGTTATGTCACACGCTATGGATGTGGGTGCTTTGACCCCACTTTTGTGGATGTTTGAAGAACGTGAAAAGTTGATGGAATTCTATGAGCGCGTGTCTGGTGCCCGTCTCCATGCCAACTATGTCCGTCCTGGCGGTGTGGCATTTGATATACCTTTCGGTTTATTAGAGGACATTCACGATTGGTCGACACAGTTTGGCGACCGTGTTGATGAAATCGAAGAATTACTGACTGGTAACCGTATTTGGCAAATTCGTACACGTAATGTAGGTATCGTCACAGCTAAAGAAGCTCAAGACTGGGGTTTCTCTGGAGTCCTCGTCCGTGGCTCAGGTATTCCTTGGGATCTTCGTAAAACACAACCTTACGATGCTTATGATAAAGTAGAGTTTGATGTTCCTATTGGTCAAAACGGGGATTGTTTTGATCGCTACCTTTGTCGTATGGAAGAAATGCGTCAATCTCTCCGTATTATTCATCAATGTGTTAATAAAATTCCCGAAGGTCCTGTCAAAACAGATGACTGGAAGGTCACACCACCTCCTCGTGCTGCTATGAAGGAAAACATGGAAGCTTTGATTCATCATTTCAAGATCTACTCTGAAGGTTTCTCTGTGCCTGCTGGAGAAACTTACACAGTCATTGAAGCTCCAAAGGGTGAATTTGGTGTTTTCTTAGTCTCAGATGGCTCAAATAGACCTTACAGATGCAAGATCAGAGCTCCTGGTTTTTCACATTTACAAGGTTCAGACTTCATGGCTCGTGGACATCTCCTACCAGATATGGTAAGTTCAATCTATTACCACTTTCTATTACACAGTTTAATTGAGTATTGGATTACTGACTCTACTTACCCGCTCTTTCCATATATTCTAGGTCACAATCATTGGTACAATGGGTAGGTTAAAGCAAAATTGTTATTTTTGAGTGCAGGCTAGATATCTAACATAACCAAAACAAATTTGATAGATATCGTTTTTGGTGAGGTAGATCGCTAAAGAAAAAAAATAACAATAAAAAATAGAGAGCTCGATTTGGTATTTCAGGTTACTTTCGGTATTGTTCACTACTCAATTGGGCAGACAGGTTGTCACTATCCCTCCACAAACATAATGATGTTAATTCTATTCAAATAAACATTTAAGCCATATATCTTAATAGTACATAGCAAATATACACATGGCCTGTATTCTATCTGTATTAAAACAAACCACAAAACCTACGTATAAATTCACTTTGTTGTTTTGCTACGCTGCTGCTGAAAGCAATGTGACATATGAAGATACGTAAATGTCACAGACAGTAGATGATAAAAATGCAAATCCCTCATACAGAAAGAAGGTGTTGAAACACTCCTAGTGTTCATTTTCCCTTTGTAAAATAAACTATAAAAATTTACTACTGCTGCCGCTTATTTAAAATCAAGAAAAACCGAAATTAATAACTCATTATCTGTAATGATGCCTAGTACAAAATCGATGTAGTTCTTGTTTGAGTTTACGTGCTCGTTAAATTTGATCAACTTCAAAATGTCATCCTGGCCAAACCGAAGTCGATCAAGTAGCTAACAGATATATTGAGGATGACTATATATGCTGGGCTATAGAAGAATATCAATATGTCATCTTCTGTTTCAGAAAAATCGCTTGATGATGATAGTTGTGCCGACCCTTCAACTGTGTTTTGCATCAAATCAGGAAGCAGCATTTAGACTTTTCTGTGTCATGGATACTAGGACAATGTGTTTTGCATGACATATACCGTTTCTAGTACATACTGTACTTCATGCAGTAATCTGGAAATATGAGTAAAATGTCTTCCAGAGGTACTCTGTTATATTCGTATATAAGATTGCACTCTACATATGAATTGCTTTCGATGTCATTTATCAATTTATTTTCTACATCGGTATCCATTATTAAAGGCTGCCAATACGTATTGACAAACACATCAAGGACATATTCAATGCTTTGACAAGGAAGTTGAAGTACCAATGAAAATCGTACATGGCAGATTTCGAATGACTTTAGTGACAATCTATCCAATCAATCTTATTTGGGACCAATTTTGCAGCTCAATGCTATTAACTTTGGCCTTATAAAGCATATACAAAGGTTGTGGCTTGCAAAAAAGTTAGAACGCAGCAAAAAAACCGGGTTTAACACCAATCATAAATGAATCTTGATGGTTTTTGCCCTTGAAACATATTAAGTTTAAAATGACAATTATCTGCTCAATTGATCATATCAGTCTGTTTTTGTTTAGTAGAATATTGCAGCCTGGACGTGAAACGTTCCTTGTTCTTCGTCGGATCAGAATTTTTTTCTTTTTTTGAAAAAGACTCAAAACATTTGAATTCTCTTTAGTGTTCCCGCCCTTATTTCATTAAGGGCGTCACTTGAGATTGATAAATGCTCGAATGTAAACAAGACTTGACAGATACAAAATCCCTTCCTATCTTTACAATTGATTTCAACCCGTCTTTTAGCCTTAAACTTAGACAAAGTAATGAGACTGGAAGTCATGGTACAACTGTTTGGGATTCTGCTAAATTGTTAGCATTTTATTTATATGATACTGTAAAGAAACCATCCTTCGAAAATCAACGGAAAAACAGCAGCAATAGCACAAAGAATATAAAAACTTGTTTAGAGCTCGGAAGTGGTTGTGGTTTGGCTGGCCTAACCATGGCCTCGCTAGGCTACCAAACTGTTTTAACCGATCTTCCCGATGTAATTCATTATGTGCTTGAAAAAAATTGTCAAGATGCTACTAAAGATATCACGGATTGGTGGTATTACTTACATCACCACCTGACGACAAGCAGTACTGCAGACCTAATTCAGCCACCATCAATTATTGTTGAGCCATTGGATTGGTTGAAAATAGATGTTGATAGCACTTACTCTCAAGAGACCAACGTTTTTTACAATTATATTCTGGCATCAGATTGTATTTACGAGGTTGAATTGGTCGAGCCTTTATTGAAATGTATTCGGCATTATTCCTCAACTTCAACAATCATACTTATTGCTGTAGAAAGAAGAGATGATGCTGTGATTGATAGTTTCATTAAGAAGGCTGAAGCATTTGGGTTCAATGCAAGAATGGTTTTGAAGAAGTTTTTGAGACATGATATGGTAGACAACGATGATGTCGAAATTTGGAAACTAAAATTAAAACGCGGAATCAAATAGAAGCATTGTAGCAATATAAAACCTGAGCCCAACTCCCATACCAAAAAAAAAGTAGCCTTAAGCTGATGTAAATGCTATAAGCAATAAATAATGTCACACTTTTTATAGAGTAAGGCTCAGAATATGTATATATACAGATGAAGAAAAATGACCTAGTCCAAGGCCTAACTAGGTTAAGTACAAATTGAAAAGGGTTGGTGTCAAGCCTTACTAGAATTGAAAAATTCGAGAAGGTTTCGGCTACGAGTCTTAACAAATTCTTTCAATCCTAGTGTATTTGCTCTGTTGGCATTTCCATTAACAGCTTCATCAAAGGTCATGCTGGTATTGCCCATACTAAAATGCCTTCTACGAGAAGTCTCGTTTGTAGGGACAGCATTGACACGCGGCAAGGTCTTGTCCCAATCCACATCTTCCTTGAGCATCTTGTAAAGAGCGTCTATACGAGGATTCAAGACCTTAGAGTTCATTATACCTGCTGTCATAGTATGAATGAGATTTTCAAGCTTTTTTCTGTATTTAGGGACATGATATAAGGTGGCAGTTAAAGGGCTATCCAAGAAACCGGGGAAAGCAGTCCAATTGCCACCATACATTAGAGTTGCATTATGCATGCCATGACCCATAGTGAGGTCAAAATCTTGAGCACTGAACATAAGACGATCGGCATCAGGGTCCTCGTATATGATATAGTTGTTTCCCATGGCCATATAAGAGTCTGAGTTACTTATAACAATTTCCAAGGCAATCATCCGCAAAGCACTGTCAACATCAATATATTGCTCCCATTGTGAAGTGACGGAATTATCGGCATCTGTGATGTTGGGTTGTTGAGCAATAAACTTGGTTAATTCGATGATTTTGGTATAATTGGCCGTGCCCACAGAGGGATTCTCCTTTAAATCATAGTAGTCTCGGTACAGAGTTGCATTCTCACCGACGTAATGTAAATTGGATTTATCATGTCTGAAACCCTTGAAGCCGCCATGATGACTAGGATTGCTAGGTCCCTGTTCACCTAGGGGAGGAAAATCAAAACTGCCATCTTTTCCTTCCGTTGTGTTACCATTGAAAGGTGGAGCAACCAACTTCATATTACCGTTTAGATTGGCAACATAAAAAGCGCCTTGTTTATAGCCTTTGTCGCCACCTGCGAATTCATTCCGCTGCCAAGGGTTTTTATAATCTTCAGCGAGCCCAAATAATCCTATAGGACGATCATTTAAATAGAGACGAAGGTAAGAAAATCCGGTGATGGGAAGACCAGCGGAGCGGCCAACACTGTAGGCAACATGTTCTCTCATGTAGGAGGGGTCAGTGGCTAATGATCTGAACTTGAAACGACGATAATCGGAGAGGTCATCCTCTTTGAGTAGTTTGATTTTATATGAAAGCTTTTCCTCATTACGACTACTATGTCCAGATATAGAAAGGGTGATATTTTTGAACACTTTAACCTTGTTAGGACTGAAGTAATTAACAAATTTTTATGTTAGCTTAATAGAGTCGACATTTGTACAAGTGCCGACAAGTTATACAGTTGTACCTGATATATGTCATGTGTAATCCCGGAACATCTATATCATCATTCGCATGGCTGTGGATATAATCGAGTGCTGTTTGGTTACCGGTAATGTGAACAGTAGGAATTTCTCCATCAATATGTAAGTCAGAATCAATACGATTAATAATAGGAAGTGGATCTAGTACAGTAGGAAGCTCCGGAAGGAACACTGATGTCCAGGTTCTGTTGTAATATTCGTTCTGGGTATCTTCGTTCAATGGTTGGCGAGTGAAGTTTTCCATCTGAACAATGTTGTCGCTATCATCAAGAATCGCATATTTATAGCCATGGTTGGCAATGGGGGCTTTTCCAGAGTGTAGAAGAGTTGACTTCTCGGATGTTATCTTCAAAGGATACAATTTATCATCAATAATCGCGCCCATCTTTTGATGATTGTTAACAAGAGAAATCACATTATAATCGATTTTCGATCCAGCGACCAACGTGGTAATGCCTGTAAGCACAATTCCTATAGCTAAATACAACAGGTCAGACAGATGTAGTCGGAACACAATAACTGTCAGGCAGGCTCAAAGCACAGGCATACCATTTACTATTTTCATTAGGTATAATTTTATGAAATTTGATTTCAAAAAGTCAAAACAAGCTGTAAAGAGCATATTCACGAGCTTTCACTTCAATATATAAACAGCAACTATTGCCTTACATTCTTATTTGGAATTTCGGTTTCGTATTTCTCTATTGTAAACAGTTTAATTGAAGGAACAAACACCGATTCGTGATTATTGATCTGGAAAGTCTAGTTGTTGTGTGGAAGATCAAAAATGCAATACCTCTAGCTCAACAAACTATGATGTCGGCTGATTATGGTAAGATTTACTTATCTGTGCGTTTCCATGAATAATTGAAACCATCCCGTCCAATTACGCTTTATTTGTGCAGAAAGTGTGTCGTAAGCCGAAATAGTAGTTCCCCAACAGATCGCAGCAGTAATTCTTTCAATTCTAAAATATAATTTATCAAATGACCATACATTTGGAAGCCTAACAAATTATCTTTAAACGATTAAGATGTACTTCGTTAATGGCTGATTCAGCCTTGTCAAAACTAAAGGAACTAAATCCTACGCGCGTAATACCTGTATTTAATACTTTGCTATGGCGGGTTGTATTTGCAAAATACCGAAAAAGTAATAACTAAAATTGTACAATCGGCGACAAAACATCAGTTTATGGTGCTTGTGGGACATCTTGCGAAGCACTTTCAAATTTGAATCAAAAAAATTAAGAAAATAATAGTACACATCAGCTCTTGTGTATCCAATATGTAGTGACAAGATTATATTACCCAGCTTATTTTTGCAATGCAAACAAACCGATTATGCATCAACCTGGGTCAGCTCAGCCCCATGGCGGGGTCTCGATCTTGTTGATACATTTTGTAGAAGTGAAAACGTCGGGGAGGTAAGTCTACAGTTCTATAACCGTACTGCAGTAGGCATCCAAGAAAAAAAATCTAATCAAATTATCTATTGGGTTTTGAAATAATATGATCTGGGTCAGAGAGCTCAACACTAAAATCCTGATAGACAGCAGAAACTTACAAAATAATACAGTAAAGGCACGAATTATGCATCAACTTCCCTACTTAAATAAGCATATACAATTAGTACCCATCTAAAGGTTGAGTCAAGGAAAATGCCACCACTGCTGCCAAACGACTGTCAAGGTGGCAGGTCTCATACGAAGAAAAGCACTAAAGGAACTTTTCAGGTAATTCAAAGATTCTAAAGACCATTGACGTTAGATACGTTTGCTTCTCGAAAGAATAATCATTTGAAAAAGTGCTGGGTGTTGTAATAAAGTAAAAATTCGAGAATATGTGTTACCAGCACATAGCACATAAATCTTATCAGTATAAAGTATTACTGGGACTGTCAATATGCTGGAATTATACTATATCCAACACCGAGCATTAACATAAGGTATTTCTGTTAGGGGGTAACAGTTTTTCAGTAAAATGACATAATAGATAAAAGCAAAAGAAATACCTTTTAGAATTATAATATACTTCATTATGACCAGATGAAGATGGGGTTTTCCACAAAGAATTACAACAGGAAAAGAATATAAACCGAGTTATTCTAATACTTATATTTATTCATTTACCATAGTCAGGTACATGTGATACTTTCCCATTTAGATTAATACGTGCAATGGATATTTAGAGGACATATTATCAATTAAAAGGCTGTAAAAAGTGGAATTTATTACTATAGTTTGTATTATACTGTAACCAATTCATCGGTTAACTCCAGCAAACCATTCTGCCAGAAGCATTACCTGTCAGAATAACAGGATTTTCAGTAGTAGGATGAAATTGAGCAACACTAGGAATAGCTGTAATATGATCAGGATCATATAATTGCACTATCTCTTGCCCAGTATTACCGGAATATACATCAATTGTTTGCTTCATATTTCCAATGATAATATGAGGGGGTCCATAATTAGGATTCGGATTCCATCTCGCTCGAAAATTAGTAACCCATCTACCTGTATGATTGTTATGCTTGATAGCCTTCTTCAGCTCCATCACTTCATTCCCTTTGTTTGTCAAATCAAAAAGACGAACATAATCATCGTAACAGGCAGTTGCAAGGTGTTTTCCATTAGGTGACCAATAGCAACTTGTAACAGAGTAGCCGTGTTCTACTACCTGGAGAGGCTCCACAGTATCCTGATTACCCGATCTCTTCGTTCTATTGGCTATCCATTTTCGGGTATCCCAAAAAGTAAGCGTACGGTCGTTAGAAGATAAGGCCATTAAGTGTTGGTTTGTGGGATTAAGCTGGATGCAGCCGACTTTTTTGTCTCTAGGATTGACAATCATATGCTCGGTTGCTTTAGCTCTCAAATCCATCAATCCTAGTTCGCCTTCCGATGTTGAAAACCATAACTACAGATATTATAGTAATCCAATTGAAATCAGAATTTTCGATTTTCTCGCAAATAAACATTGTTTCAATATAGTAAACTTACCGAATGGCCGTCGTTTGTTATATCAAACGTTGTAATAGGATATTGTTCATTTAAGTTTATGGTTTCGAATTCAGCTTTATTCATATCATAGACTTTTATATACCCATCATAAGCTGATGTTAATAGCTTAGAAGGATTGGTAGGGTTGAAATGAATGTCTGTACAAGATCGAGTGTGGGGTCGGTACTGGTAGACTGCTGGTTCCTCCTGATCCTCTACCTCATCATCAACTTCTTGTCGCTGATAATCAATGTCCCAAATACCAAGATAACCACCTGTATCAATAGCACATGCAAGTAACTTTGTGGCGGACGGATGGAAGCTACGTAAACAAACATAAATGTAAATTAGGGAAAGATATACGTGGATGAAAGGTCATCGCGTCAGTAACTTACAGTGCTCCTGTTATTCGGTCAGGCGTTACTTTAATAGTTGTCCATGTATGTCGGATTTGCAATTTCTCCAAAGTCTCTCTCAATGCTGAATCTGTCTTTTCGTGTTTGCTGTTTTCTTTCTCCTCCGTTTCTCCTAAGATTCCTTCTTTCTGTTTCGGTGTAATATTGGGAATATCTTTTAACGCTGTTTTCATTGCATTCAACAGTCGCTTTTGATCTTTTTCATCCAGTGTATCAATAATTTTAGTCTTCTTTGCTGCAGACTCTTCTGCAATACCATCATCGTCAAGCGATCGTTTGAGATCAGTTAAATCAGGTTCTTTGCCTCGAAGTCGTGCTGAAGATCGCGTTGGTAATTGAGGTTCTTTTTTTTTCTTGGCCGGCATATGTTGCTTCAAAATCTTCTTGTTTGACGAACCAGAAGGACTAGCACTTCTCGATTTTGAATCAAAGAGTTGTGGAAGGTCCAAATTTCGTAGTAGCTCTTCATTTTCTCTATTCATTTACAAATATACATTGAAGATAAGGAAGGCTAGAACGGTTTTGAATTTTGTAAGAAAAATTCATGAGAAATTCAGCTGTCCTTACTTTATATTTTTTAGCCGTTGCTTCTCATATTCAGACAGTGTCATCTTAAGACCTGTATATAACTTGCTATTAACCAAACTAAAATTTATTATGACAAACGTCGAAAGGTCTCGCAAAAAAAAAAAAAATCGATCTGCAGAAGAGTTAATTTTTTTTTTTTTGCTTTCAGACAGTGGAAATGAGCCAATCAGAAAGCTACTATAGGAATTTCTTGCATTAATCATATTTTGAAGATTGATGTCATGAAAGGTTTCCATCTGATCGAAAGGTTTGAAGCACATTACATGATACAGAAGCTTTTTTAATAGCGGCATAATCTAGAAATCTTGTCCGCCAAATGTGTAATAAGTTAGCATTGCTATTTAAATTCCAAGGAAGTAATAGTTCTTATTGAGTATAATTCATAATTGCAGTTGCAAATGAGGTATAAGTGTAACGAACGGTAAAGTTCCAGCATAATTGATAATTTAGTTAGACCTACAGAGGTCAGGTCAAAAATCATAGTTAATTGAGTCGTCGGTTTAACGACTAAAAAGGTTTGAGTTGCTGTTTCGACGGTTCAGATAATCGATTAATCATATTGTTCGAGTGTACGATATGAACTTATGATTTAAACAAAACAGAGAACTGAAGTTACATAAATGACGCCCATAACTGAGCCAATAGATAAAGTTAGATTAAAACAAGTTCTGATTCTGTTAGGTGACTTCTTGGATGGGCTGGTCGTTATTGGCATTGATAATAATGTAGAAGTTGCTGCATCGTTGACCGGATCAGCTGGTCTTCCACAATAACAGAAGTGAAATAGAGACTTCATCCTAAAAAATGTGCCGTTTTTCTCTTTCGTTCTATTTTTTAATGTCCAACCAAGTCAATACGTATTTGAAAAGTATGGCATTAAATTGCTAAAGACAAATGGTTACCTTCTGATGTTATTCTTTTGAAGCCTTCTTCTTCTAGCTAAAAGACTATTCGATGAGGTTGGGTAATACAGAAGTGGTGTGTTTTCTAATGATACTTCTTCTTCATCGTAATTGTTTATTTTTCGTGTCCGTTTGATACGCCCATAGCCAGTACTTTTATTGGAGAAAGAAGGTTTAGTAAGATAAAGGGAGGAGGGGGAGGGAGGCTTTAATCTCTTTTGCTGCTGTTGAAAGAACTCTTTTCGCTTTTCTTCGAATTTTGATTGAAAGATAGCGTTTATATAGAAGGATTTCATAGCACCTCTTGCTGGCAATTCAGACACAGCAGAACGAAGTCTTGGCCTCCTTGTTGATTGCTCCTGTTGTGGCTGCTGTTTTTGGTGATACTGGAAATAATCTGGAAAATAACTGTCTTCTTTATCTATGCCATTACTTGTATTGGCATTATTGAGAAAATAGGATGCAGACCGCTTATGTTGTTTTTGACATCGTTTGGTATCATTAATACTGTTGTTGTCTAATTTGGTTTTTGTTGAATGTAACCTGGTTAATTTGTTTGTTTTTTTTATTTTTTCTTATGCCTAAGAGGCATGTCTTATTTACCTGTCGGCAAATCGAAGAAAAGAGTAGGTGATATTAAAGGTGGGTATAAGCTGCTACTGCTGCCATTCGTATTGTAAACATACCCTTCTTCATAAGAGTCTATCGTGCAAATGTTTTTATACAGCTGAAGGTCAGTAAGAGAAGATCTTTCAGTCTGTGTATTGTATAATTTTCATTAAAAAAGTCAGTCTTCTAAATCTTTACCATCAACATCAAGAACCGCTTCACTTAGATTCTTTGCGAAAATCTCAGTAGGCGTAGACTGATGATTGCTTCTCTTTTTTCGATGATGCTGATAGTATTTCTTTTTTGTTGTATGGTGGCTCGATTTGTTAGAATGAATACTATGCGCATCGCCCTACAAAAACAAATTATAGTATACGTTGGATTGGAGGGAATTCTTAGTGATGTGAAACTATTATCAAGAATTCTTTCAATGAATTACAAACCTGTGAATCCTTTACCAAGTTACTAGTATTATTATCATCATTATTATTATTGCTTCTTATACCAAACGAGGATACTACAGGTTCTACTGAAAAATTAGAAAACGTTTTTGCAGAAAATTTGTTTCTACTAGCTGTTGCAACAGCAGCAGTTGTTGTTAAAGTTTCCAGTCGTTTTGTGTAAAGATCAGAAGAGCTGAACAGTGATTGCAATTGTGGTCTATCCTTTAGTTTATTCTTCAGTAGTATAGTGTCATGAACAGTTGCAAACGTAGAAGAGTGGCAATTGTTACAGCGGCTAGGAGTATCTTTTCTTTTGTACTGATTTGTAGTTGCAGGATTCTCAAGATTATCATCGATTGAATGTACTTGTTTAAAAAACTGATTCGGTATAGAGGAAGACTGTATAAAAGAAGTTTCAACCACCTTAGAGTTGCGATAAATGCTTGAATTCATATAATTTGTTGGCTCAACAATCGTTTGCTCTATCTCATGAAATTGCGTAGGATATATACTACTGACTAACGAAGAAGATTCTGTAGGCCCTTCTATTGTGATAATCGTGTCGGTCATTATGGTGATTTTGTTGGAATAGTAAAGCAAGAATAAAAAAAAAAAAAAAAAGAAGGAAAAGATTTATCATTTTCTAAGGCTGTTAAATTTAAACATCACCAGATTGTATAAGAATGTTCCTTTTCTTATTGTTTGTTGCCTGTATTACAGCAGATTGTTTACAATCTTAATTTTGGCCTTAAATTGATCATACTTACTTAACAAAAACTGCTTTTTTTTTCAATTCTCGAATGACGTCCTTTCTTTATTCAAAGACGTTCTCGTGCTGGGTTGTGATACTACAGAATCACCATCGTGGAAAGCAATTCGAGTTACTCTACGTGTTGTCTCTTCTATTTTAAAAGCAACCGTACCCCCTTCCTCAGAACCTTTATCGTTTTCAGAATCTGTAGCTATTATCTTCCCTAGCGTCAATGACCGAATAGTTTGAAACTAATAGCATCTGATGTGTTAAATCAAAGGTGATTGACATGTGATTAGCTAAAACGTAAGGCCTTGCTATCGGGTTTTCAATTTCAACTATCTCCACATATTCTACTTAGGCTGCTTGGAGTCTTCTCGTCGATCTCTATGAAATGGATACTTTGTTACAGTTGAAAGGTATTGAAAAAATATGGTGCCCAATAAAGATGGACAAATCGCAGAAATCCTTATCTTAACAAGAAATACAAAGTCTATATGTTTTGAAAGAGAGAGTTACCCTAATTTTCCTTAGAGTACATACTTAAATCAAATGAAATGACAATAATTCAGCAGATCGGTACAAAAGGTTATTACCTAACGCGCGCAATTTGCCTCATAGTAATTTATGTTACAGAAACAAAAGATAAAAGATAAGCAAGTTATTATCATTGTTAGTAATACTGAATGTCTTTTGGTTATATTAACAAATAACAAGCTGTTCAGCGCTATATTAGGCCCGTATATTAACAATAGATTAAACTCGAGTCATTATTTAGAACATTGACTAATCGTATATCTGTTATGCTTTACAGAACAAGACTTAATTGACAAGTATAGACGTGTTTTTGACTGTTGCATTCGGAATCTCGATTTTCCAACCCGCGACAGGAAGATCCAGATGAAAATATACATATATATATATATATATAAACCACAAAACAAAAAAACAAAATAAGGATGATGCGTTGGATTGCTTTGAACCTGCTTTATAAATGGACTGTTGGTAAAAATATTGATAGCTGATTGTAATTGCCCAAATAGTTGCCTGTGAATTCGGCATCTCGAATGAAGTATGTCAATATTGAAGCGTTGTTAAATACTCTCATTTATAAACCACAACGAAAATACTCTTCCGCAACCAACCTTCCTCCCTTGCTTACAATGAAAATTGTGTTAAAAGTGAACTTAGAAAATGATATACATCTTTGAAATAAAAGAATAAAAATTGTAACAAAACAAATAAAAGCGCTTTCAATCATTGACTGACAATATTTCCTTTGGATTTAACTTCAATTCAAGCAAAACGAAACTTCATTTGTTTAAAGACTGATTTCACTTTTCACGTCTAATTTGTTTACCACAGTTTTAGAAAACTATCAAAACCGCTGCCTGCATTTTGAACACTTTATTTACCATATTTATTTAACTTAACGAACATACTGATCATAATAGTACCTTAGTACCAGTCGACGGAGACCAATACAGCACAGATGTCACCTTTACAACTAGTAAAACAAAGTTTTCAAAAGCTTCGTTCAAATACTCATTGTTTCTATCAAACCAACCAGATATTTGATCTACTTCCTTAATCTCAAGATGCATAGGAGATACTTTCTCATTGTCTCCATCCTTTTGCTTGCTATGTACTAAGTTTACTCTCATAGATGCCCCAAATTCAATAAAGTGACGTAGCCTTTCTGCCTGCCAATTAAAAGGCCTCACTTTCGCTTCAACATCACTGTTCGCTCTATTATAAACATTTTGCTGTTTCAAGAAAGATTGTAATGCCAAACTGTTGCGCTCAATATTATCAGATACTTCAACTTCCAGCTTTGGGGCGATATCATTTGTTAAATTGGACACTGCTGGTCGCTTTACTATATCTTCAGCATATTCCTTATCCACTATATCAATATTTCCTCTAATTCGAAACTGTTCCATAGTTCCATTCATGTACCTGTACAAAGTAAAGGTAGTATCTCGGCATTAGTGATTTTCATCAACTTCCCACTAGTGTTAGACTGTTAAGACTCACCAATTAATCTCAGTATTTGGATTCCTTCTAATCTCGTTTATCTTACGCGAAGTTTTATCAGTTATAATCACTAATAAATTACTTTGCCAGCCTGTCTCTTCTTTATAATGCTCGCCAGCAAATCCGCGCATGACCACTGTACGTACAGCTGGCTTATTGTCTTCTGTTACTGTCGCTAAAGATGCGTAAGTGGCTGAAGTACCAATTTTCTCAATGTTGGTTTTCAGTGAAGCTTGAACAGATTTCTTCCAAGCTGGGGTAATATTCATTGTACAATTTCAAAAATGAATATTAAAGGAGGAGAAGAGGAAAAGAAGAGCCAATTTATTTTGGGGTTCTTTGGAATAAAACAAAGAGGAGAACACCCTTGTTCGGAAATCGATTGCATGAATATAGAAAATCTTTGCATTGCCTCGAGATTTTATGTGTGTCTTCGATACAGAAGCAAGTGCATCGCCATTGTATAAGACGGGCTTTTTATCCCGTTTCCAGATGACTAATATCTATCCTAATTTTGCTTTAAACCGCTGGTCATTGCCATAACACCTTTTTATTCTTATAGTGGACCGCATGAACAATTTAAAGGAACTAAATTATGGATAAAACTTCTAAATGCAGTTTAGATCAGTTTACAAAGTGTATTGTCAGTCAAGGTTTTGGATGCTCCTACATAAAATGCAGAATTTGATTCGAATGAGCAGTTTGGTTTGTACTTAAGTGTAAGATGGAAAGTAGAAAATTTCCAGAAATTTCTAATAACAAAGATACAAGCTAATGCTTATCATAGCGTCTTAAATTTCTACGGGAAGTTTATTTACGGAAGAACCTTTGCAAAAGATTATGCAGTTCTGCATAATTCTGCAATAGAACCTTGGCTTTAAAAAAATACTAAAAGATTTTACTATTGTGTGCCACGTTATCAATGAGTTTGTTAAAATGGTCGACTAAGTCTAGAAAATTGGTGTCAAAAGCCTTTTATAGTGCCTTTATTAGAAAGTAACGAGCAGGCGTTAGAATAAGTCTCATACAATGAGCAACATATCCTCTCTTACAAATAGAAATATTAAAACGGATAGCCAGGTATCAGTAATCAGTAATTTTGTTCTTCCAGCTAAGTTTATCCAAGAAGCAACTTTGTGAATATGCTCTTTGTAGCTGATGAATGAATCAATGTACACTTTTATATAAATAGAGTAGTCTGAATATAATCTTTCACTTGTGATTCTATAACGGTGTTTGGATGGTTTCAAACCTGAGATATTTGCTTAGCTGATATATGATTGATAACTATACAAGTCGATGACTATGATTTTAATTTTTATCATTCTTCAAATGAAGTAGAAATATTATTTGCTTTGTAAGGTCTGGTAAGAATTAAGTTATATTGGGTAGGCGTATGCTACTAAGTAATTTCAGGTTCAGATGCTTGATATGTGATTATTGTATTTAGGCCTTTATCTTGTCATATGTTGTACATGACCTATATTACATGCAAATAGATAGACCGTGGTAGAATGTATTCTCCACCTTGTTGTACGTACTCGAGTGTTGTAGTTTCTATCTCATGAAGCACATCAACGACAGAGGATGTAGTGGGTACCCCAACCTTGATATCGCCGTTGGATCCACTTTACCTTTCCCTGAAAACTATATTGGACCAAAAAAATTTTTATAGCGATTTTCAGAGATGTGAAGAGTCATAGAGATATAGAGTATCTTTACTTTATTACCAATTGAGAATAAAAGTGTGGCTTGAGAGCCTATAACCACATCCTCTGTCTTTGTTCCTCCAAGCTTGAGATTGTTATAAGGCACTACTAAAACCGCCAGTTCGGTTTTTTTTGTAACCGACAATATCCATCAGCCGGTCTGTATCTCGTATTGCTTTATCTACACCAAATTGCTTTTCTATGGCGTATTTGTTACGAAATAAATGCGTTCTGTTCGATTATTGATGTGCACACGTATCAAGGTTGTAAATACGCATTATTGGTAGCCCAGATTCTAAATGTATTCTATACTTTTTATTCAAAATTAGAGCTTAGGACAAGCGTTTGAAGGATTTATTTTCAAAGCCCTCAACTATCAATACAGCTATCCTGTTATTTGGAGTCGTAAGCATTGTATAGTTAGGCATTCGGAAGTGCTGTAGTTGGGAGATGCTATGGGTGAATAGTAGATGATCACTCAAATGCCCCTGCATTGAACATTTGGCATATGAGCTTCAGAACTCCCTTAAAAGAAGCTTTAATTGAAAGTACGCGAATGCTTGTATTTGTCATTTTATTTCCAGGCGCATGGAGGGTATGCAATTAAGTATAACGGCTAACGTTTATTATTAACAAAATGTTGATTATGCATTAAGAAAAACATAGTATAAAGTTACAGTTGATATACATAAACCGAAGTCAGTATCTCAAAAAATGGATGATATAAGTTATTAAAATTATGAGTGGGATAAGGAAAATAATTGGAACTCTTCTAATAAGAAGCGGTCTATCTTCTCATTGTAGTGTTATTACGCTTCATAAACTGATATAATTGGTCCAATTCAGTCTCAAGAGCCTTAATCTGAGTATGTTGCTGCTCAAGGTCCTTATTTAAACGGTCTCTTTCATTGATAAGCTATGAATATAATGCAGAGTTTAGGGTTTGTACTCTTATTTACTGTAGCTCTTCCTTCTTTATATTCATTTACCTGCTGCTCCCATTGACGGAATCGTGTTTCTTCATTACGAACCTTTTCAGTGAAGGATTTTCTCAATGCCTCTTCCTTCTCTCGTAACTTTGGATTCTCTAGTTTCTTCAATTTCGGTTCACCAAATTTACGCGTCGCCATCTGCTGAGAGCGATAATATTCATAATGCACGTCTTCCGTCCTTGTGATGAGATCCAACATATGAGTACGAATCAATAAGTTTCTGAGCTTTACAAAGTCACAATGTTCTTCGTTCTCGACTTCAGCAACGCCCCAGCTGTACTCACGTCCTCTCACTTTTCGTCCGTCTGGCGTAGTTACAAGATCTGTTGAGCCAATAATAGAATAAGGTGCAATCTCGGCAATGGATTGGTTGCGTTGCATGGTCTCCTCATCATCACTCTCAATAGGAAAGGTGAAAACGTTAATAGCATGACGCTGGATACAATCACGAACCTATTATAAGGAAGAGTTAAGCACACGCTAACAACTTATATAACAGGATGCTGCTAATGTATTACATTTTCTTTGAAAGCAGCAAGATCTTTTGGCGTTAAAGTATCGGCTTTAGCAATCACAGGAATTAAGTTTACTCTCGAACCTAATCTTTTCATTATCTCAATATCCAAAGGTTTTAAACTAATTGCAAAGAAATATCGGTTAAAAAATGACTGAGTACAAGAGAAATAAATAACACAGAGGATGTTGTATTACCTGTGCCCAGTTGGCCTAATAAAGTAAAGACAAGCATGAACTCGCAAATCTACTTTGTTTTTGCGAGATGGCTGTTGTTCCTGTCTCATATAACTCTCATGTTGATCATCAATAAATTCAATGATGGGTATCCAACTATCTCTATTGTTCACGTAGTCTCCGAAACCAGGTGTATCAATAACAGATAGTTTCACTCGGAACATCTTTTCTTCAATTTCTATTTTACCGAAAATAGGTGGGTTAGAACACTTCTGACTCTAGTTTGTCCATACTAAAAGTTGAAGATTATTACCTGCTTTCGTAATTTCTATTTCTACTGTTCTATCCAATTGCTTTGCATGACGTTTCTCAGGCGCCTTGTAGTTTTTGATAGTGGTTGTAAAAAGAGTATTGATAAAAGTTGTTTTGCCCAGGCCCGACTCACCTATAAGAGGTATTGTTTGTCAATACTGAACCGACTAGAGGAGTTTTGAAAGCGACGTGTACGCTGCTCTTCTTTTTCAACTCATTACCGCAAACCATCAAAGTGAAATGAGCACCCTTTTTCGAAACGAGTCTATGTCTTTGATTTGGCAAATGAGCGACACCGATACCACTTGAAGATACAGTAACGCCGGACATGGTTTTGAAGAATTTGCCAAATGAAAGATTTTACAAATGAGTTGGTCGTGCAAAGAAGATACCAGAAAAAAAAAAGAAAGGAAAGTAAGGATGTACAATGGTTTAATGTGTATTATGGTATCAATTTAGAAGAACTCAGCTACATCAAGCGACAAATTAGGGAAGAAGAGACGGTCAAAAGTGCCCTGAGGAACAGGAACAAGCTTATTTCTTTGTGCAGCTGGATTGATATTAACATCTCAGGTCCATCTGTATTACATTTTCTTTTTGAAAAGAGTAAAAAATCTAACTGTCTTAACGTATCCGTTCCATCTCAACTATAAACTTGCTTCAAATATGATTATCCAAACTTTGGACAGATGCCGCAATTAATTGCAAGATTATGAAACCTTTTTTCTTCTCTACATTTACTTCCATTTTTGGAAATCAATAAAACCATTGTAAATCAGGCAAATGACAGTTATTTTAATATCATTGGGAAAGAGCTTGGTTTATATACAATTCAGGCACATGCCTTTTATTTGAACAATAGCATTAATGGAAAATTTTCCGCCGCTTTCTTGAGCCTTTTCGACTTTTTCTTACCAATTTTATAGAAAATAGTATCAAAATTTATCCTGCATATGCACTTGCAAGTAGACAAAACAAGTAAATTTACCATTAAAACAACATCATGTTGTCCTAGAGTAGTTTTATTGTTTGTCCGAGTTCAATTTTGTGTTTTCTTAATTTGCGTCAACACCAAGAACCGTACAGGCAAGGATTTACGCATGTTAGAACTCCCCGTAATTCGATTCTAGAATTCTTTACAACATACGTATCAAAAGACTGTTGAGTAGAACTCCATGAGTTTCATTCCCTTTCCTAAATAGAAAACTGGGATATAACGTATTACACCCTCAGTTGCTGGTTTAGAAAACTGTTGATGATGCTGTGGTGAATTCAATCAATACTTGACAATATCAGCTGCCGCTTATACAGCATTTGGAGCTTTTCTCGTCTAGCTTTTACAGGCTTAACCTTAACCGAGTTTCGCTTGACTACACTGCCTAGACCAAATGGCTAGTATAGCCGTCGCTGTTGGGTAGCGATGCAAGGTTTTCTGCACGGGCAATTTACCCCGCACATAGGGTCCGCCACGGAAACTTCAAAAGGGGGTGGGAGGGTAAAAGGACCGCGGAACTTATATTAAGCCAGATGCAACGTAGGATGAATGTTGAAACAACAAAACAATCTATCAGTTTAGTTTCACAAAAACTTATTTAATAGGTTATATTCAGTAAATGGTCCACTACGAAAAAGAGAGTATCATTTTGGAACAATGCGCTGCATAACCAAAGGCTAACTTTGTAAGTTAAAAAAAAAAAGTGACTTCCTGGTTAAAATGCCGAACATGAGTTTATGTGAGTCAGAACACACTAAAAAAATTCCAATTTTTATGTTAGCATTATATTTCAAGGGACAACACCTTAACCTTGGCATACTTTCTTTCTTTTCTTCATATTATACTCTCAGTTGGAGACACGCGGCTCTATCACCTACATTAAAACAACTTTCACTGTATTATTATCAATTAAGATACAAAAATAGAAAATGATGGAAGATCTTCGTATTACCGGTTACAACGCATTATTAACACCTGCTTATATTCAAGAAGAATTCCCTGCTGTAAGTCACTGGTGTCTACGCTCTTAAAGAAAGTAGTCTTTGTTGTAATTTTTATAGAACTAACGATGTTTATTTATGCATACTTCAGTCAGAGAGGTCTCAGAAGACGTCAACCGAAGCTCGTCATGAATTATCACAGGTTCTTCATGGAAAGGATGATCGACTTATCGTTATTGTGGGCCCCTGTTCAATTCATGATACAGAAGCAGCAAAGGACTATTGTAAGTAAATCACCATTACATTGACACTATACACAGGAATATTCTGAGAATTGTGGTATTGATTGCCGATGGGGGTTCATTGTAGGCGAACGGTTATTAAAAGTGAAAGACCAACACAAGGGTGAGCTCGTCATTATCATGCGTTCTTACTTTGAAAAGCCGAGAACTACCGTAGGATGGAAAGGATTAATCAACGATCCTGATATCAATAACAGGTAAAGCTAGGAAATGCTTCAACCTAGATTTTTTATGCCTCGTAGATATACTAATTTTAATTGTTTCAACAAATGAATATTATATTTTCAGCTATGACATCAATAAGGGTCTTCGTATCGGCCGTCAACTTTTATGTGATTTAACAAATATGGGAATGCCCGTTGCCGTTGAGTTACTTGACACCATTTCACCTCAATACCTCGCTGATCTCATGTCCTGGGGAGCCATTGGTGCACGTACCACTGAATCTCAGTTACACCGTGAATTAGCCTCTGGCGTTTCGTTTCCCGTAGGTTTCAAGAATGGCACAGATGGCAATGTGCGTGTAGCCATTGACGGTATCGGATCTGCGTCTTCTTCTCATCATTTCTTGGGCGTGACAAAAAATGGCACTGTCAGTATCACACATACTACGGGTAATCCAGACTGCCACATCATCTTACGAGGATCCAATGATGGACCCAACTATTCCGCAGAGCATGTGGAGAAGGCCAAAGCTGCTTGCGAAAAAGCAAAAATTCGTCCTAATATTATGATCGATTGCTCACATGGTAACTCATCTAAAGACCATCGTAATCAACCCAAAGTATGCAGTGACGTAGCACAACAAGTGGCATCGGGTAATCAAGCGATTACTGGTGTTATGATCGAATCAAATATTAATGAAGGTAAACAATCTGTGCCTGAGGAAGGTCCATCCGCTTTAAAGTACGGCGTTTCCATCACAGATGCTTGTGTAGATTTTGAAACAACAGAGAAAATGTTGGATGAATTAGCTCAAGCTGTTAAGGCAAGACGTGCTCTCCTCAAGAAAGATTAGAACACCCAACGTATGTTTATAGACACATAGCCAAAAAAGTTCTTCCTCTCACTTTTTTCGTTCTCATTTTAAAACGGTTTCTTCATTAATATCCTACAAGTTTGCCTACTTTACATTTTGATCTATCAATCCATTTATTTCTTTTTTTTTTTTTTTTTTTTTTGCTGCGATAAGATAATACCACAACCTCCCCATAAAACTTAGCAAGTAATAGGTATAAGAATTTTGCATGTTCAGACGATATATAATGTATAAGATTTGTTGAAATCTAATTTCTTAGCTTGTTAAATCAATGCTTTCCCTCTATAAAACTAAAATAAGGCCCTGCATCTTGTAAACATGGCGAGTGAATCAGAGCCTACGCATATCTATTTATTATTCGTTCGATTGATGGATATAAATGTATACATTGTTTATTACGCAAGGGGGGGGGCAAAGTTGACGGACAGAGGTTAGACCTCCAGTTTTATTGGGTGTTCTGATAGGATTTGGCTGTAATAGTGAAAATGGTGCAAAGTTGATAAGTGTTTTACATTTTCATAGGTTGAGGCTGGGATGTATCTTTCTCGAGCTCAGCACTATAATCACCCATAATATTTAGTTTAACATACTCATTATTAATGCATTGCTATTAGCACCTTTTAAGAAGCTTGCCGTTTACTTACCGTAATTGCTTTGAAAAATCGTCTTCAATATCGTCGTCATCCCAATTATCTTCCCAAAAATGTGCATCTGCAGGATCTTCTTCATATTCTCCCCAATCTTTCAGAAAAACAAAAGCAAACCATAATTAGCATATTATATTAGCGCATTTATTGCCATAATTTGCAAAGACTTGAAAATCCTTTAGCAATCGTTTCCCATTTGTTTTTACCTTCAGCAGCAAATTCTTCGAATTCGTCGTCTTCTTCAAGAGCTCCAAGTTGTGGCAAGTTCTTTTTATCTTCAGTGGCCTTTTGTTGTTGCTGAGCTTGTTGTTGAGCAGAAGACATATTTAACGACTGTACAGCTTTCAAAATGGTTAAAAAGTGGTAGGGAAACACAAATATGTTGCTTGGAAAGAGGAAACGCGTTAGCAGAGGAAGCTGTGACTTACCTCCATTACGTTGACATTGGCCCGTCCGAAGCAAATCGCAGCGAGAAATTTCATAACCAAAAAATTTACGGGGCGACGAACTTCAAACTGAAATTGCATTTGTGACAAAAGCATTTATATGAAGAAACATCCTCAATGATTATAAGTATATAATGGCTCAACATAGCGATCACTCTGGCTTCAGCTTCATCAACCGTTTTAGGCCACTGCTTTTGAAATGTTGTGATATCTATTGTTAGCATGTTTATTGATAACAGGGATATATTTAGAGGAATTTTGTACAATAATATAAATAACATTCAGAAAAGTTGGAAAAAAGTTGAGAGTCGAAAAGGAAAATTGCTACTATTTGCATTCTGTGTTCGCTTGGTAGCAATACACTTTGCGAATTACTGCTCGATGTAGAGACATTGACCAGCCAATAGCACTTTAGCAGCATCTGCCCACAGCCTCTTAACGTCATCGGCATTATCATCATCAAAATAAAGTCGGCAGTCGGCATTGATCACACTGTATTCCAACAGATCAGTTTCTTGACCGGTGAATTCTTTAGTTGGCTTATAGACTTCTCTGAAAGTCCATCCTATATCAGCGCGTTCAGGAAAAGGAAGTGGAGCGTCTGCATCAGTGGACAAGCCCAAAATCTCCAAATCCATCAAGAAACTCGATAAACGATCGCTTTCGCCACCAGGAAAAGAAGCAAATTGCATACGATTACCACGAATACCGCCTAAACCCATTGCAGGCACCTGATGAGATAAATGAAGACGAGAGGCGACAATAGCACAAGTGGATCCACAGCGTCCATCAGATAAGATCACCACGTCTGAAGGTTTCCATTTGTTGTTGACAAAGGTATTATTGCCGTTCTTGTTATTATCAGGAGAAGTGAGTCCTCCCCAACCGGCACAGCTAAGACTGACAGGTTGAGAAAATCGAACATTCTTGTCATTGCCTCTTGCATACGTGTGGGTGTCAGTAAACCACTCACTGCCACGACTCGAGTCATTATGGAGCGGCTTGTAATCGAGCCATTTGGTATTTTGTTGTTCATAAGCCTTCTTCACAACACGTTCCAACAAGGGAGAGTACTTGATATCGGAAGGATAATCAGGTGTAGAGTTAAAGAATGTGTTTATGAGAAATTCACCAGCACAAGCGTCACCGCCACCATTGGATGATAAGTCTAGAATAATTTTCTCAACGCCATCTTTTTCAAACGTTCTCAAGCCGGTGGTGACATTTTGGACGAAGGCTTCACGATCTTCCGCAGCAATGGAAAAGCTCTGAATATCAATGACGCCTACTTTATCATTTGGCTTGTCAAGCTGAATGAATTCGATGTAACGCCCATGCTTATTCTCTCCAGCAGCAGCAGCATTTGTATTAGCGTTCAGGGCAAAGACGTCACCTTCATGAATGGCTTTCAATTCATGTAAATCATAATGGATGTCTCTCTTGGTAACATTTCCTTTACTATAATGCGAAGACTCGCAAAAATTCTTCCAATAGCTTTCAGCTGAAGTATAGGAGGGAGGAACTTGCGCAACCCATGGTACAACTACTGTAAAGGGTTCGTCATATTCTTCTTGCTTCGGTAAAGTGCCCTTTTGAGGACATTTTAGCGTGTAATTGTGATATTCTTGAGCAGGCAAGAAACGATGATATCCTAGATCATCAGCACCATCGTCCCAACCATGAAAGTAGCTCTTGGTGTTCATGATGTTGTTGAAGCATGTATTGACATCTTTTGATTCGCCGTTGTTGTTGACAGCGTAGTTAACAACCATTTCCATGGCCTCTATGCCATCGATTTGGACGACTTCACAACCGACCCAAGAAGAATCGGCATCGGGCCAAATATCGTCCTTTACATAGGCGACATTGATGACGAGACGTTGGTTACGGAGCAATGCATTAAGTTGAATGGGCTGCCAGAAAATAAATTGACGATAGCAAAACGGAGAATAAGACTAGCGTATGGGCGGGTGCATGAAAGAAATGAACAAAAATCGTTACGATATGCTTGCAATTAGATATCAACCTAGCGATTCACAGGTAACTTACCAAATGTGCGTCCTCTACTTTATCTAACAACAACGCAATAGCTTCTTGGAATTCCCTATCTGATTTCCAGTTTTCTTTCTCAATCAAATCAAGTCCGTGTGAAATGTCAATGGGTGTTATGCCTAACCCTTCTACTTGAGGAGGATTTTTTGCCAGTTCCTATCAATGTTTTGATGATAATCCTATCAATATTTACAATCTCTCCTTGATCAAACTTTTCTCTCTGTTTTCTTGTATAGTTCGATTCCCAACCTACATTGAATACATATAGGTCGTTGGTAATTTTTCGCACTGTGTCTAATGTTTGTTTGGCAATGTCTTTGTCATATTTGAAAAAGTCTAAACACGCTTTGGCATCGTTGAAGCTGGCTGTTGATTTGCCTGCAATTGCTGCGCAGGGGTCGTATTTTGTGGCTTCATTGTTGGTTGTGTTATCTCGACCATTATCACTATTCTTTTTTGCTGCTAAATTTGTCGCTAAATTTATAGTTGATGCTAAGGATTCTAGTACCGTTGGTGCTGCTGCTGTTGAATTTGAAATGAATAATGTAAAAACTAATAAAAGTTGGAAGGAGCTGAAGATTGAAATCGAACGCATCACTGAGTAAGATTTCAAATGGGTAAGCAATGAAGACAAATCAAACAGTAAAAACACCAGGAGTAAAGAAAGAGAGAGAAAATAGTTTAAAAAAGGGAATCCCCTTTTATGATGCTCGCTTCTATTTTTACATTACAACGTTGTATTACACAAGCTTATTAGTGCGCAATTTATTAACAAATTAGTGGCGGGATTACCACTCTAAACGAACATTGGCCATTTCCACAAAGATCCAGAAGCAGTAAAAAAAAATTCATAAAAAAAAGTATGGAAGTCAAAAATCTCTTTTCTTTTACTATGCTAGCGATAAAAGGAAACGAAGGAATATTTATTTACCTTGGAAAGATTAAGCTATAACAAAAAGCTGCTGAAAATCATATAAAAGCAAAGGATTAATTATGACCTTCTTAGCAAATGATTCTTTGTGTCTGAATAAGTCATTACTTTCCGTGTTCAGAATACATACTTAATCTTGAATGAAAAGTGATTGAGAAAACAGCCCAAACGATAATTTTGCTGGGGTGAACTTAACATGGTCAATGTTTTTTAATGGAAGAGGTATAGGCAGCCAAAACAATGGAGAAGAACAATAAAGAATAGATCATCTTACCAGAAAGATAGTATTTGTAAAGGTGTTAGGAAGCCATTGAATAGTTAAGCAACATAAACAACGGGTCTTATCAACAATTGAAGAAGAACCATAGTTGATGAGAGGTTCTTCCTACCCGTGCGAGTCAAAATAGCATACGATGACAGGAATCTACAAGTTTTGCCAATGCTGTTATAACACTTGGTAGCTGGAAATATTTGATCCTTTATTGCAATCGTGAATAGTTGGGTTTCTCAACCAAAGAAAAAAAGAATACATAAATATTGAAACAGTCTATCCCTGCATACGGGAAGAGCAGTAATGGGCTGAAACTGATGAAAGGTTAAACTTGAGCTACGCCCTTTGCAAAGAAGTGTACATTGTTATCTAAAATCTTATAATGCAATGTCTGTACTGGTGATGCAGCCGTCGTCACTTCTTCATAATGCTGAGGACCATAAATAATATCTAACTCTCCATGAACATCTTTTGCTAACCCACTATTGATAGGGTTAACCTGCAATATAAGGTTGGATCCGTAGATCATTTGCTTTACAAAATTATCCTGCTCTACGTCGTCTGTGCCTTCTTCGTTTGCATGAATAAGTGTGAGCAACGTCGACTGTTGCATGAGATTCCGTAGCTTGAGTATGAAGTTAGAGACATCACGCACGTCGAAACCATTATAAAGTAATACACTAAGATCGTCTAATATTAGTAAAGTATCGTTTTCCTGATTGTCGGCTGTTGTTGTGAGGCAATGCTTCTTTATGACGTGATAAAGCTCCTTCAAATCCTTTGTGTAGTCTAAAGTATCGGTAGGTGCAGTTGGTGCTCGACTTGGCGGATAGGGTGTTCCATTCGAGTATTCGTTTAAATGAGTTAAGCCATCGATGAAGACAAGTTGATTTGACTGTTTATAATTTTGCAAATGAATGCCCTAAATGGAGACGTTGTAAAGTGTAAGCTTTATACTTTCAGGAGGCTTCCAAGACGTACAAAAATTAAAAAATAAAAAGACTTTACAAGCTTACGACCAATTAGAAAGTAATGATTAAAGATATGTGATAGTCCAACTAAAACAACACGTTTATTGTTCTTGAGATGATTGATAACGAAATGGTGAATTAAGAAATTAGCATCGGATTTGAGGGTGTCAGTAATTAGAATATTAGAGTTGTTAGGAGGTAGATTGTTTGGAAAACCAAGTGCTGCATCAAGAGTTGCATAACCCATGTTGAATGATTTAAATAAAAAAAAGCTGACTTGTTGTAAAGAGAAAGTGGTATTTATAAGCAAGAAGTGCTCAAGTTTCTCTTTCTATTTGATTGAGGTTCAATTTTTTTTTTTTTTTTTTTTTTTTTTTTAATTCCTCAATCTTGACTTTGTAATATGTTCTGCTTCTTGGTCTCATTACTGTTTCCATTATTATGCTTTCGAAGTAAATCAATCAAATGTTTCATAACATTCTCGCCCATTGTTGACTGATAATGGAGTATACTATTACTTTTCGTATTAGAAACATCACCAGTCTGTTCTTCGTTAGCAGCTATTAGCTTTTGCAATACTGAGTCGGACTATGTTGTTAGTAGAATTGTTCGTTAATTATAATGACATATTCAAGGCAGTATATTGACAAAGATAGATTGACGCATTACCTGAATTTCTGTAGTGATGTCAAATTGATTCTCTGTATCTATTGATTGAATTGTCCTAAATATGGAATGTTGGGCAATTTTTTTTTAACCACAAGAAGACTCTGCTTTAACTGCGTAACAATCGCATGATACCTGATAAATTCTTCAATCAACGTAAAAATTAGTTTATTGTTATTCTGTAAAGTTTTATTTGCTGCAACTGAAGCAGCAGCAGCAGCAGCTTTGGATACCTAATTGTCATAAAGCGGTCCATTGTGACATTTGTTCTGTATTTTATGATTCATAAAATGTTGTGCTATTACCTTCCTAATTTCTTCACGATTAATGGCAGCTTCTTCCTGACTGTTGCTGCTTTGTTGTACCCATTGATGGCTTAGGATATGTGCCAAAGTATTGGGCGTCAATATAGGTGGTGATCCCCAGTGTTCGTCTAAATTTTGAATAATTTCTGATATCCTCTCCTCATTAATAGTCGTGGTATTATTTGACTCATAGCTGCTGTAACTCGATCTCTTACTGAGATAATCGTTTTGTTCTTGTTGTTGTTGAAGATGCTGTTGGATTAACTGTGTTTGTACTTCATGATGAAGCGGTGTCATTCTATCTTGACTTTTGGGTAAACTGAAATACATTCTTATTCCCTGCAAAATGAGGTAGTAATATGGAAGTAGAAAGAAAACAAGAAGGAAAAGGAAAAGGAATAATACGAACAAATTACAAAAAATCCAGATTCTTTACACTATATACTGGGTATGCGCTATAACTTTTTATAGTCTAGTTTACTTTTTAACCTCTAGAGAAGGCGTAAGTAAGGATAAATCAAATAAAGAAGCAGCACTGAAATTGTTTTGTAATGGCCTTCTTTTAATACATGCGGAAAAAATAGAAGCAAACAAAACAAAAAAAAAAAAAAACAAAAAAAAAAAAAAAAAAAAAAAAGATCGAATCTTAACCTTTTACAGAAATTTCTTCAATGAAAAGAAAAAGCATGCCTTGAATTTGCCTTCTCAGGTTTAATACCAAAATCAGTGAGCGATGATGATGACAGTGCGTACCAGGAATTGTAACTTAACCACAAAAAAAAAGAAAATCTCTCTTTTTGTCTGATTTAGTTAAAATCCATGTATTTCATTTTATGTCAACTAAAAATAGCTTTTCTGTCAACGTTACAATTTGTTACTCCCTACAAATTATGCTAAGAAATATCAATGCCGATATTCATCATAGGCTACGTTATGTATCTTGTCATTATATCCTAAGAAAACGATACTGTTAGAATTGATTGAAATGGACTGATGTTCGATGAATGCACCCTTCATTGTCATCAGTGTATAAATTTATCTCCTGCGAGCCCTTCAAAATTTCACCAGACCGCCCATCATCGCTACATATAGACGGGGGAGGGAGGTGAGAGAAGCTTATATTTGACTACATGCATCTTGCTTGTTCCGAGTCACGGACTTGACATCTACGCCGTTACTTATACGTAAGGTCTGGGTCTGTATTTGGGCCCTATGGCTTTTTTGATACGTGCAGCTATCAAGCATTCCAAAATATTGTAACTTACAAACTTACTTGCTTTCTTTTAGGTGGAAGAACAATGACATATGCTTGTGTTACATCCACTACAATCCATTGGCTTCTCATAGGAATGCCTGATGCACCCAACACTAATTTATGTTATCTATTTCATTATATAATTTTATTTCTAGCACGATTTGATATTCGCATGAAAAGCTAATAAGCTGGCGTCCATGGGTTATCCTCCCCTTGTTGAATACTGCAAAGCACACATTTTTTAGGGGCTGTTTGACGCGGTTATCCAAGTTTTGGACATGGAATAGAAAACAAAAAAGGCTTTTATATCGCTTTATCCAAATTACGTCATAAAGGGAAGAGGATATAATTGATGGTCCTCTGTCGGAGGAAAGGAGAACAGTAACCAAAGTTTTATATTAATAGTCGTCATGAGAATTTAGCATGTGCGGTGTTATGGCTACTGCTGTTAAAAGCGTCAGGCCTATTTTTGTTGAATTCTTGTGTTAACAATATATGCATGCTGAATTTCTAGTCTAGAATGCATACCATGACTTTAAAGTAGCAGTTGCTCTTTGTATGCCAATCTATAAGATTGACTATCGCCTTGTTGTTCCTGAATTTGCTAATAAGCGAATCGAAAATTATTAAAGCTCTCCTCTTGGACTCCTCTAATGTTAATGAGCACTTGCTTATGCAACTCAAGTATTCGAGTATGAATATAAGGAAGAGGTCACGTTGTATCGGTAAGTATATCCTATTTCTGTGAGTCCCGTTATGCTTCTAAACCTTCGCAAGAATCCAGCATAGCTTTGTAAAAGTGAACGCTATCTTATAGCTTACAGAAGCTAACCGTTTGATTGACACTATATGCTTTTACCCGGCATAGACTATCACAACCATTGCAAGCGAAACCTTCATTTGTCTGGTGCTGCTTGTAGGAAGATCAATTTGTCACGTTTCTTAGAAAATTAACTTTTGTCTGCTTTCCTCAAATGGCAATCAAGCGGAGTAGAATTTTGTTATTGTCCGACAGTGATCATTTTACAGTACTCCAGCATGATACGGATCACTCCTATTCTTGACTTTTCCCTTCTTCTTTTCTTTCTAAGCAAACTTCAGGCATTTAAGCATGGCTAGAACCAAACAAACTGCTCGTAAATCAACTGGTGGTAAAGCACCCAGAAAGCAACTTGCTACCAAGGCTGCCAGAAAGTCCGCCCCTACTACAGGTTCGTCTGCCATCCTTTCCTATTCTTTCTATCAATCGCATTCCTTGTATAAGTTGGCAATGGCTTGAAGAATAATTTTTCTTTTTATTGTGAAATAGGTGGTGTGAAAAAACCTCATCGCTATAAGCCTGGTACCGTTGCCCTCAGAGAAATTCGTAGATACCAAGTGAGTGCCTTTAACCTTCTCTTTTCATAGTTATGGAATGAAAGATAGCATAGTAAGTTGATCTCTAAACCATTTCAATGTTATCTCATTTAGAAATCTACTGAGCTTTTGATTCGTAAACTTCCTTTCCAAGTAAAATTGAACAATATTATTCAAGATGGCTCATTATTATTGGAATTGCAATGCTAACAAATCTTTTCTTCTTTCAACTTTTTGTGCTACGCAGCGTCTTGTTCGTGAAATCGCTCAAGACTTCAAGACTGATTTGCGTTTCCAATCCTCTGCTATTGGTGCTTTGCAAGAAGCCGCCGAGGCTTACCTTGTTGGACTTTTCGAAGGTAAAGGGAATAATAGTTGAGATTATTCATAGTAATCTAAGCATCCTAAATCATTGTCACCCTATTGTAGACACCAACCTTGCTGCCATTCACGGCAGAAGAGTAACCATTCAACCAAAGGACATTCAGTTAGCTCGCCGTCTTCGTGGTGAGCGTTCTTAAATAACGCATCTTCATTATGCCAGCTACTTTATCAATTTATCGCATTTTGAGATTTGTAATTACCAAATAAACTTCCAGAAAAGAAACCATTTCAGATTTATACGATTGGATCTGAATTTTGTTCACTTTACATCAAACAATAGAGAAATTACAAGTATATGCAATCAAAATGCTTTCATTATCGCATTGTAAGTTCTGTCTGTTTGTAACGTCATATGAATTATTGGTGAAAAAGATAAAAATGATTGTTAACCTTGGAGGTTATCGAATGACACTAATTTTTTAATTTATCTCTACTGTTTTGCTCATACATAGTCTCTGCATAGTCGCTCCAAATCATTTTTTAGTAATTCATTCATTTTTTGCTTCCTTTGTCATAACTTTTCACTGTTTGATGAATAAACCCTCAAAAAACAAATTTATCAAGCTGTTGCTTCCCATCGGCAGTGTGCATTGATCTTGATTTGTTCTGTTTCTCTTTCTAAATTTTTGCTTTCCGACGTTGATAGCGATTTTCCAAGACAGAGGAAGCGATCATAGCTTGATCTTTCAACAGGTACTCACTCATTGGACAGTGGACTGAAAAGCTATAGCTAATGTCGAAACTGGACAGGCTCAACATTTTATCTCTTAACTGTTGGTAACTACCACCTTACGCACAGATCCTTTCAGCGCCAAAGCTAAATTTTTGTTTTCCTCAAAATGAATGCAATGTACGTCCGAATCTTTCAAAGGGGATTAGCAGTTGTTGCAAAACATAGAAACTTTCGAATGAAAGCTATAGCAAAACTTTTGAGTGATTCGAATTATGATATTGTTACTCTACAAGAAGTTTGGGTCGCCAAAGATTTCACGCTTCTCAAAGAAGCAGTGAAGGAAACCCTTCCTTATAGTGCTTATTTTTACAGGTAGAAAACATGGAGCTTGCATTTAGTAGCATAAATATCTCGAGACAGGATCTAAACTTCCTCACTTTGTCCGCATCCTTGACATAGTGGTGCACTAGGTAGTGGTTTGGCTATCTTGTCAAAGTTCCCAATTATTTCAACTTCTTATCATCGTTATACATTGAATGGCAAACCACTCAAACTATTGCATGGTGATTTCTACGTGGGGAAAGGTGTTGGCTCTATTCTTGTCAATCATCCAGTAATAGGGCTTCTAGAAGTGTTCACAACGCATTTGCATGGTGGCTATGGACCCAAAGACATATATAAAGCACATAGAGCGACTGAATGTTGGCAGCTTGCACATCTGCTGAGAAGCTCTGCTGCTATGGGAAGGCATATCATTTTGGTAAGGATGAGCAACTTTATTTTATTTTATTTTATTTTTGTTTTTGCTGCGTATAGACGTTGTTGTCACTCAATGCGCTTCTACCATTATAGTCGGGTGATTTTAATCTTATACCAACTTCGTATAATTATCGATTAATTAGCGACCATGGGTTTATGACAGACTCATGGCTTCAGTTACATGGTGAGCCTGATCCTTGCAAATTTCCACTAGAGTCTATAACACCAGATGTCTATACACAGTATTTTGGCTTTACTTGCAACTCACCATTCAATAACTTCTCGCGATACTGGGATGGTGGTAAAGACACAAATGCGCGACAATTTTTAGGAAAACGACTCGACTACATCTTTTATCGACAAACTACACAGTTCAATTGCATCGAATCGAAGGTAGTCATGACTGACTTCATACCCAATTCTCAAATGAACTACTCTGATCATTTTGGTGTGGCATCTGTGTTTGCAATATCACATCCGGTACAAACAAATGCATCATTATCTCCCTCGTTATCAACCAACCTATGCCATCCCAATTATACCCAACTCTCACCCACGCTTATCGATGAAGTATTAGACGTATTAAAAAAAGATTTGCGACGATCAAAAAAGGAATCACAAGCCATTCTCTATCTATTCTTTATACTGATTATTGTGCATATTATCTTTTACATCTTACTGATCGTGCTACCCTCCATATTAAGCCTTCGTTTCAACACAGCAGTGCCAACAATTGTCGTTACTGTAATAGATGGTCTATTGATGACAGGAACAGGATTTTTGATACCAATTTGCTTAATTGTTGGATTTGCGTTTGGACGAATTGAACAGCGTTCACTTTTACAGTTCATAAATGAAGTTGATGCATTAAGGAGGAATTTATTAATGCCTGAGAATCAACAGCAACAACAATTAGTATGATTTGTAAAGTTTAGCTTATTAGTATGGATTGCAGTAGAAGTAGGGATATAGATGGATGGTCATTGTAGTATTAATGGTAGTAGTAGTAGTAAAAAAACAATATTAAAATTCGTTAAAAGCGGTGTTACAAATAAGCTCCCAATGTTCGATGGATTGACATTGAATAGCTACGTAACCAAAGAATAAATCAGCCTCCCAATCTCTACTCGTTCTAGTGTACAAGTAATATGGTTCACGATGACTATATTTTGTGCTGATAATCTTCTCAATGTATTTTTGATTATTGATCCAGCCAAATTGATAATAATGTTCAGCAATTTGACGCTTCCGTTCATTTAATTTTTGGATTGTTGTGTCTTTTTGTACAGGATAGAACTGATGCGCATCATAAGCATGATACCATCGTTTATCCTTTTTTTCTTGCTCAATGGATACAAGGCGAACATTAGGTGTCCAATTATGGTTCTTGAGTGGTACAGAATCAAGACGAATGCCCTTGAGTATGACAGACTTGAAGTGATTGTGTGGCAAAGATAAATTAATACAGTTCTTGCTGCTGTCATCAGTTTTCTGTTCACATTCGTATATTGAAAGTTGTGACAAATTATGACAGCGAATGCCTAAATATTCAAATACGCTTGGCGAGAAGGATACTGTGCTTAACTGAAGGGATTTCAAAGGATGCGGTTGTTTGTCGTTTTTGCTGTCTGATAAAGTAACATAAGCAGAACGGATCGTTAATTGCTCAAGCTTTTGACAATGACTTAAAATCAGATCAATTTCACATTCAACGGTAGGATGCCCGCAACATATTACAAGATCCGTCAGCTTTGAAAAACTGGAGAGTTGTGACAACGAAATCGTTCCACCATTAAATATGACCTCTGTGCCTAACCCCGTGATTAAGTTTTGACCATGATTCACCAACAGATCAAAAAATTCACGTTGATTAATCAAGTTGTATGAGGTATCTGTTTTGATCTTAATTTCTTTTAGCTTATGACAAGAATGTCTGCTGCTGCTAGCATGACATTTTTGAAAAAATTGTTCAGTGATATATGTTTTAGCACTGGCACTGTCGAGTTCAATTTTGCGGAGTCGAGGACAGCAATCCAAAAGGTGGCAGAACAGAGATTGGATTTCTAGGTCAGATAGATCTAGTCTGTGTTGTATAAGCCGTTGTCGAAAGTACATTATGACATTCGTTGCTATCGTTGCTGTTGAGCGAGAGGATGAAGAGGGTAATTTTTTGAAAAGAGTTTGATATTCGTGTACGACAGGTGTTATGATGGAATCGAAATCAAGTTCTTCCAATGCTGGGTATTTGTAACCGATATAATAGAACCATGTCGGAGGTATGGATGCAATGAGTTTGAGTCTGCGTAGTCGATGATATTTCTGTGAGGATATAGCAGTGCCATTGTTTTTGCTGTTATTTATAAAAGTGGGTATGAATTTGAATGAACCAATCAGAGTCAATTCCTCCAACGATAAGCAGGCTTGATGAATGGCTTCCATATCTTCAATAAACACATTAATCACATGAGATTTAGGTTGTTTGCTGTTTAAGCACAACTTTCGAAGTTCAGGTACATTTTTCAAGCATTGAATTAAAGGTGAGGTCGAAATGGATATATCAGCAGGCTGTTGGTGTTGTTGACGATAATAGTGCTGTGATTTATCATCTAGCCTGGCTGGAGACATCATTTGAGAGACGATCTCTCCACCTAGAGTCAGCTGGGTTAATCCAGTCAATGGCTTATTGTTAATGCTGCTCAATGTCTTCCATAACCACTGATCTTCCGTTCTACTGTCTACATTTATGGCTGGTAATCGTTTCAGTCGTTGAAGCATACTCAATGGAAGCTTGATGTACTTCCATAGATTTTGATCAAAGTCAAGTACATCTAAGCTGGTACAGTACAAAGCTAATTGTTCAAGTTCTTCAGCTGTAACACCAATAATTTTGGTTTTGATTCCTTGATTTGTCGTGTATAACGAATCATGGTTATTTCGTTTGAAATGTAATTGACGAATGAAGCGTCCCTTCTCTGGTTGTTCGGCTAAATGCTTAAGAAGTAGTTTTAACTGACGTCGATGGTTAATTTGAATATTTTTGTAAAGTGTTCGAAGCATGGCTTGATACCATCGCTGACAGACTGTCAAGCAGTTATATTGTGCATGATTAGGCAAATGTGATGCTACAAGCTCCAGTAACTCAGGATACAGATTTGATAACATATGTAAATACTATATATTGGAAGAGATTTGATGTTTTAATGTAGTCTGCCCAATTATAAAAACTAATTATAAAAAATTGTGGGATGAAGTCGAAAGTGCAAGAAAGAAGCTGTATGCATACAGAATAAAAAAAAGGGGAGCAGAAAATCAAAAAAGAAAAACCCAAAAGGCATGAAAGATACAAATTTGGAAAGGATCGTAACACCGACGTGTCTGTGATTCAAAGGTAAATCTCTTCCTCTTCTGGCAGGAGCTTTGTGCAGCCTTCAGCATATTAAGAAAAGAGATGATTCGTTACAATTTGCCATGATTGATATGTTGTTAGCTTCATAGAAGGATTGGATGATTAATATTCTTTTATGACCCTATATTGTTGACTGTTGTTGCTGAGTGAGGGAGATAAAAAAATATTGGGAAGTAAATCCTATCAGAAGGCTTTTCTACGGCGGTAATGGCAGCAGATTGATAGTAATTTACAGAATTCTGTGCAAGAAAAAAAAAAAAAGAAGTAAAACTTGCAAGCACAGCATCACGAAGCCGAAGGAAAAGCGAAGTCGAATGTATGATCAAAGATTGCGAAGGGCAGTTCGATATGCAGAACAATATTTGTGCCTTCTTCCATGTTTATTGCTACGGTATGCTTCTTAACTGACCGGTATTACGTTTGAATAACTAAATAGGTTGATCAATTCATGATCTAAAATATGCCATAACCTAACAACAAAAGGGGCTGCATTAGGTGTATTCACAGTTTATCCTCATTCAGAATTCGATTTATTCTCTTTGTCAGCATCCATAGCCGATCGTCATCTTATTAAGCTTGTTCCTGCATCATTCTCTTAAAAAAATAACTTACAGTAAAATCGGAATCACTAGGCTTGAGTAAAAGAATATTATAAGGAAGGGAAGAAAAGATGACTATAATGATGAAACAGAACTGCGCTGAATATTTCATTGTGTTTGATATTCACAATTTATTCTGCTGACACACTTACGTATTTTAAATCTACAATGACGGTGGGCTTAATGTGTTACTACTGCCGATATAATATATCCGAAGAAGTCGACTTTCAATTGTTTGCTAAGACAATCAGAGCAAACAATTACCATTTAACCTTTTCTGTTGAATGGGTTGCTCTTTAAGAGTGTAATGACTGACTAGCCAGCATTATGAACAAGTCATAGAAGTTAAAACGAGACTACTTGTCATGACACCCTTCGTAAATGAATACGGGGGCGCGGGGAAAATAAATAGATGACCAAGGATCAAATGGTTGTAGTGCAAGATTCAAAAGGCTGGAATAACTGAAAGGCTCTTTTACGCGATAACGTCTCCGGAAATTTGTTGATTAAAGTATAAAAGTGAAATAAGAAAAAAAGACATTTATTTCTGGAACGCCGGACTGGTATGCCTAATGAAAAGGGACTCTTTAGGCATTAGCTATGATTAGAACTTTCTGCTGAGAGTTTTTGCATACTTGTGCATTTTAAAGTTTGGTATGCAAGTTTGCCATTTTTAATATAATCCCCTCAACCAGAACGATGCTGCCTTCCTTTTGCTTTTGTGATTCTTTTTTGTGTTTGCTTTTGCTATGAGATTGAAACCAATTTGTTGTAATGTGAGACGATTTATTCCTTTCTATTTCTTAAACCGTGAAAGAGACAATAAGAATTTCAAGCTGTGAACCAGACAGAGATTTTTCTGACAAAGTCCAGCACAAACGTAATTGACATTTACTCATATGTTCCGCCGTTTTGTTCAACGTATAACATAAACAATACTCCATCACGATCTCCCACCAAATGTATGTTTCTCCGAGCTTCTTTGACCCATTTTGTTTGTAAATCGTATTTAAAGCTCTTGCATTATTCTATCTTTCTCTTTTGCTTTGATCATTCCGATTCCTCTTCTTCATTTCTTATTTCCCTTCCCTCTTTTACGACCTTCTCGCTCTAGACCTCCCAATATTTTCCTTTACCATAATCCAACGCGCCTTCACTGCACTCACACACTCACACTTCTATTTTTTCAAACACACATTCACATACGATAAATGAAGACTTTATTTTTCATTTCTAGTGTACTACTTACGGCTTTATTCTCATCTGCACATGCAGTTCCAAATAACCGCTCTTATTCTTGTGATTCACCAATCTTTTGTGAAGGGCCCATTCTCAAAGCAGTACAGATGGCTGGGCTGTTCTCAGATTCAAAAACGTTTGTTGATATGGTAAGTGAAATATCGATAGATCAAATGCTTACAATATTGGCAGCTAGAGAAGGCGTTTGATAGTCCACTATTTCTTGACGACCATTTCACTTCCTCCTTATAACGAGACTAACATTCAATTCGAAAGATATGTAACTTTTAACACCGCTTTCTTTTTCTTCATTAAAGCCCACCAAGAAGCCAGAAGTAGAAGTTTTGAAAGCATTTGAAAAGATAAATGGTGCCAATGCCAGTCGCGCCGACATCAAGCAATTTCTCGAGGATAATTTCATGCCTGCTGGTACAGAAGTGACTCCATTGCATAACATAAATATTCCTAAGCTCGACTGGATAGACGATATCAGTAATCCTGATTACCGTGGTTGGGCGGAACATTTAAACGAAGCTTGGGGAAATCTAACAGTTACATTTGACTATTCAAACTTATGTCATGGTTGTGTTACATCTGCACTTCCTGTAAACCGTCCGTTCGTTGTACCAGGAGGAAGATTTCGTGAATTTTATTACTGGTAAAGTGATTAAAAACTGAGTCGGAGAGGAATGATACTCTATCAGTAGCGTTGACCCTTAATTATTCTGCTATATTTAGGGATTCATTTTTCGTGATTAAAGGCTTAATCTTAAGTAAACAATTTAAACTTGCAGAAGATATGATAGAGAACTTTTTTGATTTTATAGAAGAATATGGCTTCGTTCGTAGGTTACTTCTTAATTTTAAGTTGATCAAACAAACATGCAAATTTTCCCACTTGTCTAAACTCAAAATGCATCTATACTTAGCTAATGGTGCCCGAATATACTATCTCAACCGTTCACAACCGCCCTTCCTTGCACACATGATAGACGTCTATTATGAAGAAACGGGTGACAAAGACTTTCTTCTGAAAGCCTTGCCGATCCTAGAAAAGGAATACCATCACTGGATGCGTGATAGATCGATTGAAGTCACGAACCCTCGCAACGATAATGTCTATACTTTGAATCATTATGCTGTTAACAACAAGTATCCACGCCCTGAATCTTATGTACAAGATTTCAATACAGTGAATACTGGTACTGATTTCAGTGACGAGGAAAAAGAGCAACTTTATGCTGATATTGCTGCAGGCGCCGAGACAGGCTGGGACTTTTCATCTCGTTGGACCAGACAAAAGCAACCATCACCTGACCAAGTTGAGAATTACGAAATGCTTCGCACTATCAATACGGCCAATATAATTCCCATTGATCTTAACTCGCTATTATGGTATTACGAAAGGCAGCTCTCCACTTGGTATTCCATGTTTCATCGAAAGTCTAAGGAATTTAAAAAGAAATCAATATATTACAGGCAGCAAGCTAAAAAACGATTGGATGCAATGGAAGAGCTAATGTGGAATGATGACTTTAACTCTTTTTATGATTTTAACTTGACGAGCAACGAGCAAAATGTTGAATATACACCTGCTACACTATACCCGATCTGGGTCGGTGCGTTCCCTGAGAAATTCATGAAGGACAAAACTACCCTATCAAAAGTATTTGATCAAACGGAAGAGGCACTTCAAAAATACCCTGGAATTTTGACCACTTCTTACTACAATACTACATTGCAATGGGATTGGCCTAATGGCTGGCCTCCTCTTACATATATTGCTATACAAAGTCTGCGTCAAGTGGAGCTTTTACTCAACAGTGAGCGGAATAGCAACGATAGTAATATAGTGGCTTCTACCTCGCAAGGCACATCCTTCAACGTATTATCTACAGTCTTAGCCGAACGCTATGCTGCATCTGCTTTCTGTGGTTGGATAAATACAGGCGGCTCCATTCCTGGAGTTCTTGAAAAACTAAACAGCTCGACTGAAGACGCTGGTCACATGTTTGAGAAGTTCGATGTGAACACCATTGGGTTATCGGGAAGTCAAGGAGAATATGTATCGCAAATCGGCTTCGGATGGACAAACGCTGTTGCATTGTGGGTATTGAACTTATGGCCAAATTTTACTGCACCAGATTGTACACAGACAATTGTCTACGATTTCTAAACTGATTCGGTTATAACGAGAATGTAAGAATAGTGTGCAAACTGTATATTACTTCTGTAAATCAATATATGCACACACTTATAAGCACTGTACGCTATTGTTTTGAATTATAAACACAATAATAATAAAAAAAAAATGATTACATCAGAAACTTACGACGATATACAGCGTGATCGGCTTTTTTTTCTTTTGAGAAAAATGTATCTGTCTGTCGAAGCCAAAGTAATCATCGGGTTTGAAAGTTATATTTCGTCAGATTTCTATGTAAATGCTGGAGTAAGTATCATCACGAACACATAGTTTAAGATTCAATTTATTTATCACAGACTGTTTACATTGTCCGACACAGCTGTCAAAATCCATAAACGCACGGACGTTTTTCGTGATCGATAAAAACCATCAACATATTCGTTTCTGCTAATTCTTTACAATATCTATCCATTTCAGTTATTTTGAAATTTAATAAGATATCGTAGCTGCGTTTATTCGTCTCCATACTCTCTTGAGCTTGATCTAATTGGCCACTTTCGGTCAGTTGTAGCATAATTACCCGATGCTTGTAATGACATAGCCGTCTAATCTTTATGACTTCTCTGATCACTCTAAGCGCTAAATAATAACCGCTATGACAAAAACACTATATACATATATTTGATTCAAATAAATATCTTTTTGTAAAAGCGATATTCAAACCGACAATTCTTTTATTCTTGAAAACGTTAATTACGGTTATCAAATGATCTTAAACCCGCATGAGCACATAATCATTATGAGATTGAATCGCCCGGGTCAGATTAGATATAGAGGAAAGGATGTGAAATCAAGAATATTGTTATGGGGCTCATTTTACTGGCTGAAATTGGACTAGTTTGGCGATCTCTTCTGAAAACTTCCAAATTGGACTGATGACAGTTGGTCAGTCTAAAGACCTTTAGAACTGGGAACGTAACAGTCTAGATAATCCTTCTTTTAAAAATTTTCTTCTTGAGAGCCCCTCTGGAAGGGCTACAATATAGACCTTTTATCTAACGGAAGGCTCTGCAATTGCAGATTCTGTTGAGCGTACGGAAACAGATAACATTCACGCCATTCCAATACATTAAACAGTAGTAGAGTGACATACGTACTATAGGGCTTTCGAACATGGCGTATGTCAAAAATGTTACTGGTACTGTTTGCTGACAGGTTGACGAATAGAGCGCAAGTCCGCCTTACAGTTTTTCAAGTGGTGTCTCTCATGCATCTGAAAAATAAAGAAAAACAAGGGCTAGTATTAATGTTAGATATTGATGAGTTCCGTATTTTAAAGTTGATGTAATCAATTGCATCATGAAAATAATCATAGCTCGAGATTATGATTTGTATTGATTCATGTACAGATATGAAACGCGTGAAGATCGTCGGATTCAACAAACTATCGTGCTACTATAACAGGGAAAGAAACTCCATCAGATACTCTTTTTGCAAAATGTAGAATTTGCTGAAAGCGTGATTATAATGGCGGCTACAGATACGTACCACATTCATCAGGAGGTGCGCGCTGGTCATGAAAACCTGCTGCTTAAAGATTTTACAAGTAATAAGTCCAAAAATATTCTCAAGTTTTTTGATTTGTTTTTCTTGGATCTGAAATCAGTGCAACGCTGTCTATAACTGAACTGAAAAGGCTGTACTTTGCTTTGATCCGACAAATACATTTTTGACTTTTATGTCCATTGTTTCTCCAACGACAGCTAGCAAAACAACATTCAAATCGGACAAATCAACAGATCATACTTTAAGGTAACTGCCAATACCTATTTTATTATATTTACTAAACTTTGATAAAGGTTTATTCTCTCCGCAACCATGTCCATAAGACCTCTTTCTATTGATGATAGCTTCTTATTACCACATATTCTACAGCGACGGTTTGAAATAAACTATGACCTGAGAATTGATACGAAATTGCTTCAGATCTGGGCTATGTAAGTATTTTTTTTAATGATACAGTTTAACTGTTTCTTCAAAATGAAAGGAAAACCGACTTTTGTCGCAACGAAGCCAAGAAGTAAACGAAAGTTGAACTGCCTATATATTTTCCATGTGTTGCAGTTTAATTTTTATGAGCTACATCCAAAGATGGTTTTAATTATTCGTTAAATGGGAATGTTCAAAATATGTTTAGTTTGATATGCAGACACTCATTTAAAGTAAGCATTCTGTATATATAATTCCAGAAAGTCGGATTAACATAAAATGCCCGCTGCGGCACATTATTTTTTGTGGATTGAAGTAAATATTGGCTTCTCAATTTGGTGCACTTTCGCCACTTTTGATGACAGAACGAAAACATTCTTTTGATCCCTCAAGCAGAGTAATGTCAGCAGCACGTACTATCAAGCTAACTACTGTTAAAGGCAACCGAATCCAGTGTAAAGAAAATCCTTTTTATGGACAATGTCGAAATGTTGACGACTTTCAAAAGTTGAACCGAGTAGGTGAAGGCACCTATGGCGTTGTATAGTAAGAACAGCAATTATTATAACATTTTAAGCAAAAGCTTTGGATTGAACACAGCCTATAATATTGACTTTATCACTCTGTCTCGCTCGTTTATTTCTTGGTTAGCCGTGTCAAAGACCTGAAATCTAATCAGATCGTTGCTTTGAAGAAAATACGAATGGACCGTGAAACAGATGGCATGCCAATATCAAGCTTGCGAGAGATCAGCATTTTAAAAAGAATGAAACATCAAAACATAGTCAATGTCACGGATGTGGCAGTGGGGCCAAAGTTAGAATCGATTTTTTTAGTCATGGAATATTGTGAGCAAGTACGTAGCGATAGTAATACTCTTTTCTCATATAAGATCATTCGGTTCGTAAAACTCAAGGATGTTTATCATGTGCTATAGGACCTTGGAACTTTATTAGATACAGTATCTACACCGTACACGCCGTCAGAAAGTAAAGGAAGAAAGATTTTTTAAGGCACTCACACAAATTAGCTTTGCAAGACTGAATGTATATCTCTTGTAGTTAAATGTTTAATGCTACAGCTCCTGAAGGGATTGGAATATTGTCACCGTCATTCTATCATTCATAGAGATTTGAAAATGTCGAATCTATTACTGACATCGACAGGTTTATTGAAAATAGGTAAGACAAGAGAATATAGGAGATAATGTATAGCGGTAATATTCTGACAAACTCATTCCAAAAAAGCTGATTTCGGTTTGGCTCGAACATTGAGCTTACCAACTAAGCCAATGACGCCAAACGTTGTCACATTATGGTATAGAGCGCCTGAGCTGCTTTTAGGGGATCCGAACTATTCAACTGCTATTGATCTGTGGTCAGCAGGTTGTATTATGGGAGAACTAATGCAGCATCGTCCGTTATTACCGGGAAATACAGAACAAGCACAAATAGATTTCATTGTAAAACTTTTAGGAGCACCTAACGAGCGAATATGGCCTGGGTTTGACAAGTTACCTGGCACCAAGCTATTTAGCTTTCAGCATCACCAACATCACCACCGACACTCTTCTCCGTCTAACTCAACATCCACTGTATTGTCGGCGACACCATCCAAAGATAATGAAAACGATTTCAGCCATTTGAGGGAAGTTTTTCCTCGTTACAGTGACCAAACTCTGTCGTTGTTAGGCGGGCTTCTTACATACAACCCTAAATCGCGGCTTACAGTAAAACAAGCTTTGAACCATCCTTATTTTATGGAATCACCTAGAGCTCAAGACCCTGCTTTATTGCCCACTTATCCTGAAATAAGAAATCAGATTGCAGAAGAAGAACGAAGAAAACGACAACAGGAAGTTGAACGAAAAAAACGAGTAGAAGCTCATGATATGATGGAACACATGAGTGTCATGAAAAAGAGGAAGTTATAAAGCTTGCTTAAAAATTAAGTAAAATGCACAATTTTCTACATTGTAAATAATATCTCTTCAAATACATACACCTTCAGCAGAAGCGAAGTAACCCTTTATAAATAATCATTTTAATTATAATACACATTGATACTCTTGGGTTCTGTATTTACAGCTCACTACAAAAGGGTAAGCATGAATTAGTGGTATGTATGCAAAAAATGTAGATAGCAACAGCTTAGTCATACCTGAAAATAAAAAGATTATTAGTTGCAGCAATAGCAATTGTATTTTCTTTAGGATGCCATGAAGAGTGTAAGATCTTTTTACTAAAGTCCATATTGTTGGACTCTGGCCCAGTAGTTGAAGAATAGGCTGATGTATTATTGCTGTTTTTTGTCATAGTCATTTTATTCTTTGCTGAACCTAAACGTTTTGATCGGAAAGCACTTTTGTCCGCTTGCAACGTAATATCTGTCTTTCCTTCACGATCATAAATGTGAAAATTGTTACTGTAAGAGCCTGTCATGACGTGACTGAAATATACAATAAAGGATAATTAGTCTTCAATTCAGTAGGTACTACAACTTTACTCTCATTTAATTTACCTATCATCACCACTAAATGTACATTCAAACTTATCAAATATACAGTCATTTTCATATAAGTCACATAGTCTTGCTCTTAATTGATCATGGATATTGATAGTTTGAACAGGTTCAGTATCCATATTAACATCCCAGATTTTTAATGTTAAGTAATCACGAGAGAGAATGTATCGGCCATCATGGCTGAAACTTATATCTGATACAGAAGAAATGATCTCCGAGAAAAAAGTACGATGTGCTGGGTCCTCTGTTTCTTCGAATACTATAAGGCAAATTCTTAAATTGATAAACGACAATTCGACTAGTGCTTTAAATTCTAGTGTTCAAGCTTACCTTTCGAATACTGATCGCATAGAGCAGATTCTCTCATATCACTTAATTTAATAGTACCTTTGCTTGAACTGTACATGAATAAATTACAATGTTGGGGATGGAATGCTGCTGCTGTAATGACTTCAGTCAATTCTTCCATATTAGCTGGTTTGATATCGACAATATCTGTTACAAAATAGCAGCACCGAAATTAGATATCGTATTGGTATGTATACGTTGCTTTCATAGAGCAACGAGGAAAAAAATAAAATAAAAAAAAGCTACTTACTAAAGCTTTGATTAGAAATATCCAAATTCCACAAATTAATCCTTAAATCATCGGCTGAGAGGTATGTCTCACCGTCAGAATTAGTTGATATAGAATTGATATGGTAAGTATGGGCTAAAATATGTACGGTAAGTTAGAGATGGCTGTTAACAAAGAAATATAATAAAGCATGCTTGGTTTACCATTGGGATAGACTTTTCTTGGAACGGCTGCAACCATGGTATCGTGATGGATTAGTTTCGGTAATTGTAGCGTATTGTAGGTGGTTTGGCTATTTGGTGGTATCATATTATTTTCAGATACCAATCTCAATGACTTGTCAAATACTTTCCACAGCTTGATGGTTTTGTCTAACATATGTAAAATGTAAGTAGGATGCGAAGCACCTATTCAATTCAGCATTGTCAACTTTTTACCATTCGTAGATAATAAGAAATGAGCAGAGTTTTGTCTTTTGCACCACTTTATCTTGTTGATCTTCTCTTCAATTTCCAAACTTTTCAAGTAATCAAATTCTGCCTCATGAGACTGAAATTCGGTATAAAATTGATATTCACAGTTCTTTTTCTAACAAAAATAAAGATTATATGAACACAAGATGCTCTTCTTCTATCTGTTTCCCTTTGATTTCTTACACTCCCATTTCTTTCAAACAAGACAACGCGTCCACCTTTATCACCTGTTGCAAGATAGTCGCCCGTATGATCAAATTCGACTGCAGATATTATATCAGCTGGTAAAGAATCATGCCGTATTCCAGACAAGTAAAAGAAAAGCAAAGATTTGGTTTAGTCAAATGTTAAAGATAACTACAGTCCCGAGCAGGCACCTTTTTTAATGTCTTTAACGACACACATGGACGTGCATGACAAGTCATTTCATACCATCAGTTATATCGTCTGAATCGCCTTTGTCACCGAAACACTGGGCAAACTTCCATTTATGCTCTTCAGCCATACTGTTAAATTTTTATTGACTTATTTAATTAATTACAAGATATTTGATATGTGGATATAGAATATAAGTATTATTAAGAGAAGGGTTATAATTGAATAAATGTTAAAATTGTAACGAAAGGAAAAAAATGATGATCTGATGCGCTGAGGACAAATGAGCAGCAATAGTGGCGAGGATTTTTTTTTATTCTCCGGGGATTATTGCGATTTAGCATGTTAATGCTTGCAGGGCTGGTTTTTTGTACCTATAAAATCAGTTATACACGTTTTCCTGAATCTATTCGTGGCAAAACTAAATAAATGGTACGAACTTTGATAAAAAAAAAATTTGTGCTTTTGTTGGTGTTCAAAATGCTCGAGCCTATGAAGAAGAGTATCATAATGATATTAGAGTTTTATGATATATCAAACGCAGATTTCTTCTTTTAATGCAAAAGATGTGATATAATATTGATTTTAAAGTAGGTTTGTTATTTACTTTTATTCATTGCTCTGGAGCAATGAGTATAACGTACTGGTAATAATATATCGCTCCATCAAAAATATATAAAAGCTAGTATCGCATATAATTCTAGTTCTTCCTTTTTCTGCTCCGTTACGAAGCTAACATATTGTTCGCAACATTTGTCCACTTAAACACGTAAGGCTCTTCATTATTCTGCATAAGCAAACAAAGGTTAATCAGAGGCTACTTCTTCATAGTCCTTTCTGCTAGCTCCTGGGTCTTTAACGGCGTTACAAATCTTACCCTACTTTTCCGCACTCGTCACTGCCAGTGCACCCAGGATACACTTTTTGGTATAGTTTGGATTGAATGTAAGTTACACTTCTAGCCAAAAAAGCTGCTTTGGCATCCTTTAACTAACGCGTTGTATTGTTTATATATTCACTTTCTCTGTTTTTGCACCATTTCAACGCGTATTTAATCGGTAAAATTTCATTTTTCGCGCACGAATCTTTTGTCAAATAGTGTGCAAATAATTGCTGAATAAAGTGTAAGAAGGCTTTCTATTAGCATGTGCAACGATAGAAAGCAGATCATATTATGCAGTATAAGTTGTGAGAATGATAATGCGGCAAATATTTGAACTATCCACATTTGCAGATTTTGCTTTCTCGGGTCTTTTAAAACGCAGTGTTCTATTCAATACCAATTGTATTGTCAATACAAGTGCAAATTTACCGGTTCTATTTGTCAATGATTTATGTCGCGTAAGTTATGAAATTCTTAACCTGTTTAATAACTTTCGAAAAGGGAATGTCTCCTATACTTACCTGAGGCCACAAAACATGCAGCATATTTGTTGCCTTGATTGTTCGTATATTTACCTTATTGTAAAATTGGAGCCCTTTATGAAAGTGGAGCTAGCAATAACCCTAGAGGAACTAACCGAAACTCTAGGAAAAACTCTATTTGGAAGGCAAATCGATTAATTCTGCTGCTTGTACAGTAATTTGCGTTGAAAAATCTAAATCTATTCAAGCATCTTTATCTTGGTTAATAGAAACCAAAAAACATGATAATAAACAAGTTAATTTGTAAAGTATTCGAGTTTTCGTAAGTCACAGGAGTTACCTTTGCCAAAATAATGTCTCAAAAGAAAAAATCAAAGTGTCGTGCTGTAAAAATAAACCAAGTTCAATGAAAATTGAACCGGCTTCAATGAAAAAATGAACCAGGTTCAGTAAATCAGTTAACCTGCTTTTTCATCCTAGCACATAATGAGTATAACTCGTGATCAAGCTGTTTGCAGGTTTTTCTGTGAAGACTATAGCAAGGAAATGCAGCAAGATTGTCTAAAAAAGGATCGAAGAACTAGGCACTTCCGACGTGTATTATGGAAATGGTTATAAATGACCTGTTCTGGTGCATTTGAGCGTTATTCGGAACGACCCGACAACTTTTAAACCTTACAAATCATCAAATGAAGAGACATGCAATGGCAAGACACTGCCATTTAGTATCTCGGCCAACTAGATCAACTCGAATTTTTGTCCGCATGGGAATGATATGAAAATTTTATTTAACATGTACAATTATCATTGAATTTTGAAGTCATAAAAGATCAATAAAAGTATAATTTTAAATAGGATAATGCTCTTGGTATAACGATAGGGCACAGTGAAGTTTTTAGGCTTTTTTGGATCTTTGAACTGGTGCTGATCTACATTCAAAAGATGATAACATTGTTGGGTCATTCAACACAGCCTCTCTCTCTTAAATTCGTGGAATTTGTTGTTATCAAGTAATTTGCCAACGATAACTGTCTTTAATTTTTTGTGAATATTAACGAAGATGTGTTAAAAGTGTAAGTAAAGCTGACTTTTTTGTATGCAATTTGACTCACTTGAAAAGTCTGTGTTATCATTTACGTTCGTGGAAAGTCCTGCAAAGTCTATGACTACAAGACAAATGTCTATTTCTGATGAATTTATATAGGAAAGCATCGCTAATAAAAATATTATTATTAGTCTTATTGTTGATAATCATTCACAAGTTAACAATTACATTAGGTATTTCCATCTATACCTATCAATTTTTTTAGCAAACCAGCAGTGTTAACATTCATATCTCTTGACGCCAGTTCAGCGGCGGCCGAACAAGAGCATGACACGAAGACCATGTCACATAGCGATCTTTCTTTCAAGCACTGCACCATGTGGTATTTGACGACTGGGGAGTAAAGTATCACTTAGTTAAAACAATAAAAAGTTTAACGATATCAAACTAGTAGGTCTTTATTTTGAAATCAAATTAACTTCAAAGACAAGAAAAATATCTACTGCAAAAATTTAAATATCTTCTTCATATTGCGGAACCTAGAAACTAACAGTTGAGTTATTCTACTCAAAGAAGACGTACGTCCTCTGAACCGTAAAAGAATAGAATTCTCCTTTAGGGAGTCTACGCATCTAGCCGGTGCGGCTGGACTTGTAAATGTATCCATGGCTTGATCTAGTGATCATGCAAATAACTTATTTTCCCGTGCTAACCATTATGTACCACTGCTTGCAGAAAGATAGTATTAAGAAAATGGTATTCGCGCGTGCGTGTTTGAGTTGAGTGAACAGTTATTGTAACGGATGATCACAGCCTCTTATCTCGCAATAATTCTTTATGCCGAAGGCAGAGAATAGTATTTATAACCTGTTATACCTTGGTATTGAATCAATATATCCTGCATGTCTATATATTATTCTACTATATATCCTATGATATTAAAGTATTACAGTAAAATAAGTAAACTATATATCCTAAATGACAACCTGTTCAGCCTTATACGAGGTAGCTAATCTCGTATAAGAATCATCACTTATTCTATTCAGCAGTAATGAGGTGTGAGGATCTTGTATAATTTGTATACGAGTTCTCCACATCTCATATGATGCTGTCAACTAAACACAACACTTAATTCACGGTACTCAAAATATTAGAGTTTATGTAGTTTCTAATTATTTCTGGTTTGTAATATTGTATAATTCATTTTTATCCTTCATAAAGTGAATTATAATCTTTTATATTTGTATAACATCTACCCTCACATACGACACACCATACCATTTAAAAGACTTTTTCTATTATTGTCATCATTAATACCAACGGACTTTCTAGATGCTGTAACCTTGTTTTTTAAAAGAGCTAATGTAATTTTGATTGTGTGGAATAGCTGTAGTGATGGATTTTAGACTGCCCTCCATCAATAGAGAATAAGTAATGGTACTTCTCAGAAACTACAATAGTGTGTTACATCTAAATTCATGTTTCATTACAAAAAGTGTCCTGAAGCGAAGGTTCAATCCTCTACGCCTCTTCCTAGCGTGTGGCATACCAATAAAATTAACCTTTCTTTTGGAACACCAACTTGCAAATTCTAGTTCAGATTTCTTGCTCATGAATTCAGCTTTTGAAATAACCGATTCATAGACTTCTTTAGTTGCAATTTGTTGCATAGAATAGAGAGCGTCATTTTCAGGATTTGTAGTTTTGCAAACCTCATTTAGAATGATTACTTGTCGTTCTGTAACTAAATTAAAATTTTAGCGTCAAAATATGAGGAATATCATGTATCTTTCAGTGCTTATTAAGTTCAGCTTTTGCTTCTGCTTTATCCTCAAGGTCCACATTGAGTATTCACTTAAATAACGTTTAAAAGTTATTGGATCGTTCCGAATAACGCTCAAATGCACCAGAACAGGTCATTTATAACCATTTCCATAATACACGTCGGAAGTGCCTAGTTCTTCGATCCTTTTTTAGACAATCTTGCTGCATTTCCTTGCTATAGTCTTCACAGAAAAACCTGCAAACAGCTTGATCACGAGTTATACTCATTATGTGCTAGGATGAAAAAGCAGGTTAACTGATTTACTGAACCTGGTTCATTTTTTCATTGAAGCCGGTTCAATTTTCATTGAACTTGGTTTATTTTTACAGCACGACACTTTGATTTTTTCTTTTGAGACATTATTTTGGCAAAGGTAACTCCTGTGACTTACGAAAACTCGAATACTTTACAAATTAACTTGTTTATTATCATGTTTTTTGGTTTCTATTAATCAAGATAAAGATGCTTGAATAGACTTATAAAAATTGGGCAAAAATTGATTGGCCGGAAAATGTTTGAACGCACTAAAAAAATTCTTGGTTTTTCAACGCAAATTACTGTACATGTCTCTGAACCGCCTACGACTCCCCACATCAGTCTGTGATCCCATATCCTATGTCCTCAACCGTCTTCCTACACATCCGATCAACCATCCCAAATACAAAACTGGCATTTTCTATGGCCAGCACTTTGTCACATTTTGTTTGAACTCGACTACTTACACCACTCTCGAGAGCCGCCTACCACTCCTCGGTTAGGGCATCTATTGCTCGACTGGTTACCCTCTTCCCCTCCCATAATCCTTTAGTACATAATCCTTTTTACCCTTGAGCCCTAAGGGGTTTTTAGATTCTTTTCAGCCTTTGGAGCTGCCCCGGGCAATTTAGATAAGCTTTAATATCTCGTGTCCATTGGGCTTTAAGAAAAAGTAAAAAAATAATATTAGGTAATAAAATCTATGTTTAAACGTACATGTCTCTGCTTCTCAAAATAGAGTTTATTCATGTAAAACCAGCGGGCTTTAATTAAAAACGAAGCAGCATTCCTGAACTGAATAAGGGCAATTGTCAATTGACTTAGTTCCTCAATAGTTTCACGCATCAGCATGTCAGAGCAACAACAATTCTCTCCATCGAATGAGAACCCGTTTGTTTCCAAATATGAGTATGCCTTTTACGAACGCAACGCTACTATTGAACCCGATGTGATTATCGATCAACAACCTTCGACCTCTTCTAAAAGAGAGTTAAGTAATCCGTTTGCTGATGCTGGTAGTTTCTCCAGGACATCAACTCAACATACTATATTACAGCCAGTCCCTTCAGTAAGCCCCTTTGCTGATCCATCCGTAGCAGTAAGTGGATCTATTTTACAGCATCAGCAACAACACGAGCAAAGACAACAAAAACAATCAACATATCAAGCAGCGTATAGTGGTGAGAGTACTTTAGACGAGCCTATATCGGTTACAATTGTAAGGTTTATATGCGAAATAACTGTAAAAGATTGTTTAGACATACTAAATACAAAAATGACTGAATTCACACATAGTATCGTGATTTGAAGCAGATAGGTAGAAAACTGCACCAAGTACTACATCCCAAAGGCGAAACGAGTGTATTAAAAGACTGGGATTTGTGGGGTCCTCTTTTATTATGCCTAGACTTGGCAATGTATGGATTTATTTGAAAGATGACAAATACCATAAAGGTATGAATGATTCTGACTGTATATTAGTATGTTGAGTTCTAGCGTACCTGCGAGCCAGTCAGTGCCAATCTTTACAGGTATATTCGTATTGGTTTGGGTGGGTGCAATTGTTGTTACTATCAATGCTAAGTTACTCGGAGGCTATGTGTAAGCATTATCTGTCGAAAAGAATTAGGGGCTTGGCAGAATACTAATCAAAAACGGCTCTCTTCGGAATAGGTCACTCTTCCAGTCAATATGTATTATGGGATATTGTTTATTCCCATTAGTCTTGGCTGCATTCATAGGGGTATGGGTTGATATCATGTGGTACAGAATTCCAGCCTCTGCTATTGCAGGTTTATGGTCCACTTGGGGTAAGCATATTTTGTAAGTATGTTAGTATGGTAGCAAGAAGTTTAACCGTTTGTATCTCCTCTGGCGCAGCTTCGATTGGCTTTTTATCTGAATCAAAAGCACATTTAGCAAAAAGACGTGGATTAGCCGTAAGTTCATTGTTTAGTCTACTGTAAAAAAAATATTTGATTTTAAATGATTTATTGACGCGTTTGTTTTGGACAGGTTTACCCTATATTTTTATTCTATTTTGTCATTGCATGGTTGGTTGCTATCTCATAGATGTCCAGATTTCACTTTGCATGTGGCATTTTTTAGCATCTATATCATAACATATGGCATACAGTTTTGACATAAAGTATCATATATCACCTCTATCATACTATTATATCGCTTCACGATATTGGTTTGTAATCTATTTATCATTTTAAGCATTAAAATAATGTAATCAATAAAAATTTGATATTCTTGGAATTAAGCGGAACGCTAGAATCTGTTAAAGAGGTGGATAACGCTCAAATTTTTTTGTTAGGCATCAGACTCAAGGGCAACTTTTCAGGTAATTCAGCTCCACTATGTACAGCCTTTATCAAATGCATAGCAATGCAGAATTCATCTAGATCCATGTATCCATCATTATCAAAGTCAGCTAACCGCCATACCTGGGCCAATTGATCTGTACGCAGCCCGCTTTCCATCAGTATGGGCTTTATATCTGCGCCTGACACTTTACCGTCGCGTGGTCGAAGCTGTTGAAATTGAGGCGCATAGCGATGTTTTTCTACAGAATCAAAATGCCAATAAGAAGGTGGTGGAAATTCGCTATCCATTATATCGGTTTGGAAGGGATTCCTTTCTGTATGTTCCAGTTCTGGATTCATGTTGGGCAACTGTGACATGAGACGCGGGAAGTCATTAGATAGCGCTTCTTCAATTCTGTCCATTAGGTCTTCTTTCAATGATTTCAATTTATCCAAATCATAAAGTGCTAAATTCTGCCTGAACCGTTCAGGATTGGGAAAATCACTTTGTGCCAAGTGATACTTGTGCTGTATTTTAGTGAACTCTGCTCCCAAGTTCTTCAGTAGTGCTTCTTGCTTTTTCTTTTTTCCAAACATGGATGGCATTTCCTTCTTCAAATGACTGATAATCAACGCATGTACACGTGCCAATCGTGCCCTCTTTACTATCTCGTTAATCTTACGTATTGCAGCATTGCGTCTTAGTTCCTTAAGGTCTTTTAGCAAATCTTTGGATTCTGCATCTATCAATTCTCGGCAATCTTCAAAACTATTGGGTGGTTTTTCTGTCCAGAACGAACTCAAGTACACCCGCATAACTTCCGGCGTTTGTACTACCTTACCAAGGGACCACATCATCGCACCGTACACGCGCATCAATTGTTGCTGGCTAACCATATCACTTTTATTCAGCACTACGCGAACTTTCTCTTCTTGGCCTTTTAAGCTGTGAATAGCCATTTTAAATTCATTGGAGATATCCAATTTGTGTGAATCAAACATTAGTAAAATAAGATCCGCTCGTTCTGCAAACCATTCAATTATTTGAGTAAAGTCATAGCCTCTCTCAATAAGTTGTTTATCACCTGCTAAAATACCAGGTGTATCAATGATTGTCATATTTTCCAGTGCTGCTGAGTTGCTCTGCGAGACCTTTTTATCGTTAAAAGTACATGATTGTTAAGATGTGATGACTTTACAGGTAAGCATTAATGCTACCTTTCTTTCCTACTTTGGCTTAAACAAAATCATGGTTCCACAACCCTTTTACCTGGAATCTGGATAAGAACGCTTGACCGAAACGGTTTAAACCTTGGAAGGGCAGTTCTTGATTGACAGCTGCAGCATTTCCTGGTATGACTCGTTCTTCAGAATTATGCATGACAGCGACAAATCTGTCAGTAGTAGGTTCTACACCAATATGCTCACCAGGATATGGCTTATCCAGTAAGTAACGAATAAAAGTGGTTTTACCCTGGCATACGGATAAATGTTTCAATAGAGTGGTCTATCAAAAGCGTTCGCCCTGCATCTTTCACTTACAGTGGAGTATTGACCAATTAAAAGTACGATAGGTTTGGCTTCAATGTCTGAATCAGTTAAAGGGGCAGAATGGAATCCTTTAACAAAAAAGAAGGGAATGTTAAAGTAAACGTCATACAGCGATTTTCGATTTTATGAGAAGTATATAAAAATAAGTACCTTCAAAATTATACGTTACTTCGACAGGCTTAATTTTTTGTTTATAGATCTTCTTGATTCCGTCAATGACCCGAGTATACTCATCATCACCAGCGAAAATCTGGGCATCAGTAGGCTGTCTGGTCTTAATTGAAAAGTTTTTCTTTATTTTCTTAGACATTCAAGAGAAACAGGTCCTTTACTCCTATGGAAAATTATATTTCATATAAAAGAAGTGAAGAAGAAAGCTAGAACTTGAATTTTTTCTGCGTGCCTGACCAAATTTAATATTACATTTGCTTGTACATGTAGAATTTGCGTAACTGAAGCATCGTCCTACTACGTTTAAACGAAGCTTTTATTACATAATATGACAGTTTAGATGCTTAATCCAATACCTTATACTCTTGATTTTACCGTAGAGGTAACGACAATCGTATACTATTTGGAAAAGTCTAATCAATTAACATACTCTGAAATGCCAGGTATGAGCACTATCAATTAATTTTATTCTTATCAAGTAATACAAATGACAAAGCAATCATCATAATTCAATAAGCGCTCTGTAAATAAATACCTTGGCTCAACAGTCAACAATTACTTCTTTCTGTAATGAAAAGCTGAAAAATGAGCGATATGTATAGTAAAAAATTTAGTCGATGAGTCTCTGTATATATGATACAATCAATTCAATGGGCTAATTTTATATGTTAGTAATCCATTAGTATTTCGTAAAATCCAAGCGGTTGAAGTCGGCAATGACTTTCGCAAAGTAACAAAAGTTGTAACTGTCCACTACCAAGACTTCTTGGCCCATTTAAAGTCAAACAATATAATCGTCAAAAACTACTACGTGGGTATCAATGCATCCGATGTCAACTTTACTAACGCTAAATATATTCGCGACATAAAACCGTGAGTCATACAAAAGAAAGACAATGCTTCGTATTAGACTTTTAATTAAAGCAGGCTAATCGATAAATTAGACCTTTCGATGTCGGGTTCGAAGCACTTGGAGAAATTGTAGCCGTTGGTTCAAATGTTCCTTCCGAAAAAATTGGTACCTTCGTCGTGTATAGTCAATATGGCGCTTTTGCCGAGTATTTTGAAATTCCTCATCACGCAGTTATTCCTGTTCCTGTGAGTGTAGAAGATTTTGAACAATACATTTTATTCAGTATCTATTAATGCTATTTGCATTGTTACTAGAATGCAAGGCCCGAACTGCTCGGTCTATTGACCTCAGGCTTGACAGCTTCGATCGCTTTAACGGAAACTGGACGTATGAGCAAGAAAGAAACTGTGCTTGTTACAGCTGGTAAATATTACATATAAAATTTTCAATTCTTGCTAGAAAACAGCTCACATGCTTTCCTTGATGGTACCAGCTGCAGGTGGTGCTGGTCAGATCGCAGTTCAATTAGCAAAGTTGTCGGGTAATCATGTTATTGGAACCTGCTCTAGTGACGATAAAGTTGCTATGCTCAAGGTAAGCCTTTTATTGGTAGTAAAGGTGAAAAAAAAAACACTCTAAAAAAATTGTAAATATCCGCGCATTTATTGTATTAGCAACTTGGCTGTGACAGGGTTATCAATTATAAGAAAGAAGACTTTAAAGCAGTTATGAAGAAGGAATATCCTCATGGTATTGATATTGTATTCGAAAGTGTCGGTGGTAGTTTCTTTGATATATGTTTGAAGAGTCTTGCTGTTCGTGGTCGACTAATTGTCATTGGTACTGTTTCCACGTATACTGATGCTGAGGGTATGACCGGTAACGATGTAAACACCTTAAAACTTCTTGGTACATCTCGTACAGTTGCCGGCTTTTTCTTACCCAATTATAAAGAACATTTTGCCTCTCACATGGCTGCTATGACACGGATGTTGAAGGAAAACAAACTTAAAGTATTTATTGATAGCGGTGGTCTGAGAGGCATTGATCAAATTGCTGATGCAGTAGCTTATTTGCATACCGGCAAAAACAAAGGAAAGGTGATTGTGCCTCTTATTGATTTGAAGACATCCAAAATCTAAATAAAAAGCACGTAAAATCCTGGTAATACAACTAACCAGTACATTTGAAAGCTGTTTTACAACGGTTGTTCCATATAAAGCAAGTGGCTTCGTTAAAGAATAGATAGAATAGAAAAAGGTTTCCTTTGTTTTTCTATTATTAAAGCAAAGGGCAATAATGGAATGCTACAACATTGCAAGCCTTTCTTTTTACTTCTTAAAAATTTATCTGACTAGAAAATTGAATAAATTTGTATATAATACGATCCTCTGCTGATTGTAGCCATATAGAAGATGAAGGTGAAGCCTCTTTATATGGCAGTTGTCATTTTACTCCACAAATTCGATTCTGAGGACCATGAATTCAGATACAGTCGAGTAAACAATGACAAACTAAAAACATTTAAAATACCGAATTTAGAGAAATCATCAATTCAAACGGTGCAACGTCCAAAGGATGAACCTGACTTACCATCTAGACATTACCGATAGAATCATAATAACACTTGTACACGTCATCTTGTATTTCTGAAGATGCGCATACATAATGCTGCATTCCTACTGGTTAAGAACGAGTATTTAGCTCCTTTTTTTTTGTACCTCTTTCCTTTCCTTCTTTCTTTTGTTGTCAATACAAACTTTCAGTTCGCTATGAACGCTTCCCTCTCTGATTTTGAGTGTATAATAAAAGGACTAAAGGAGACTCATTTCACCTTCCAGTTTAAATCAAAGTTATAAGTCGCGTTCACTAAACATAAAACAACTACAAAGATCACACTAGTGTCGGCTGGGCGAGCAAGATACTTTCCATTTCGTTACAAGAAATACCGTCGCTCGACAGAAAGTTCCTGCTCCTCCACGATTACTAAAGAGAACGACGTAACAGAAGTCAACAATCAAGTTATACGTTAGTATCAGACACCTATGCTTTTTATTTGCTCGTTGTTATAATTCATTAACAATAATCTCTTTTAGATTGCGAATCTCAGCTAAAGGAATTTGTTGACAACGTCTTCCTGTCGATAGACCCTTGTAATGAAAATGTTTACGAACGTAGCGAGCTGTCTTCGGAACAAGTATTCCAGATAACGCGTCAGTATCCCACTTTATACAAAAATAATAACCTTGGAACTTTTACAAACTTTGCCAAAAAAAAATCAAGGCGCGTTATTTGAAGGCGGACATAACAAGAAAGAGAAGCTAAGAAGGATGGGTTGAGCGAAAGATTCTTTATGTGATGAAACCCGAGGACAGAGGTAATCTGGTGTTAATATAATTTATTGGCTGAAGGAATCTGTGCACTGACATAATAAATAAAGCCTTTTTAGCACAAAACATCAGCAATTACCAGTATCGTTATGAAGAATATATAAAAAGTCTCAAGATGGATGGTTTTGATGTGATTGGTTATGCAAGAAAAAGTCCCACCAACATATCAGACAATGAATTAAAAGCAATTATTAAAAATATGATTTCATGCTTGCAATCCCGCTCCCAAGTGATAGACGTTTATGTATCACCAAGTAGTCGCTCTAAAAGCCCCATTGCAGCAACAAATAATTATTTTGATTAATCTTGAATTTATTTTATGTATAGTTTTGATTGTAAAGTTGTTAGAAAAAATAAAAAAATAAAAATGCTGGTGTCCTATAATATTTATATTTTCTCGAGTGCCAAGCGTTTGAACTTTTTCAATTACTTAGCGACAAGATTTTCAAAAAAAACGCGACTTTAATTTTAGAGCATGTGACATTAATTTTGTTGCCAAGCGACATTGATTGGCTTGCGACATTGATTTCTACTAGCTGCGATATTACTTTTCGGAAACCCTGTACAAACAACAGTCAAAAAGATACCAGACTACTTTTCCTATAAAACTGACATTTCTGTTTGATTGGATTTGAATTTTCTTCCTTTTCTTCTTTTAGCATTCCCCACAAACAATAGCATTATCGCTTTATGAAAGCCTATCAACGTGAATTTATAGAGTTCGCCTTAAAGAACGAAGTATTGAAGTTTGGATCTTTCCAGCTAAAATCTGGTCGTATATCGCCTTATTTCTTCAACGCTGGCTTGTTCAACAGTGGCAAGTCTTTAGGCGCCATTGGTTCCTTCTATGCTGCTGCCCTTGAAGATGCTGGTTTTGAGTATGATGTTCTTTTTGGCCCCGCTTATAAGGGTATCCCACTTGTTTGCGCCACGGCCCTTTCTCTTTCCAGCAATTTCAATAAAGAGGCTCCTTTTGCTTTCAACCGTAAAGAAAAGAAGGATCACGGTGAAGGTGGTGACATCGTAGGCACTCCTTTAAAAGGAAAAATCGTTGTGGTTGACGATGTAATTACCGCTGGTACCGCTATAAATGAATCTATTGAGATTATCAGACGAAACAACGCCGAATTGAAAGGTGTTTTGGTAGCCGTGGATCGTGCCGAAGTTGCTCCCGATGGTAGCGGTAAGAGCGCTATTCAAGCTGTCGAAGCAAAAAATAATGTTCAGGTTCGTGCCATCATCTCCATGGATCATATTATGGAATACATGGAAGAAAAGGGAACCTATGAGAATGAACTGAAGCTTATGAAGGAATACAAGAAACAATATGGCATTAAAAAGGACTAAAGCTCTGTTGCGATATTATGCTATTGTTTTTCTTGTAATGACAATGTTAAAAGTCGAAACGGAAGGAAATAATTGTAAATAAAAGGGCAGCGTTGAGATACCATACTATATACTTGGCTATTAGACTATCATTGTTTTTTTATGTATTTCCAGCCTTTTATATTTTTCAACGCCAAAATCGGTTTTGGAAGGTTAAACGCTTAACAAGATTTTGTTCACATACCCTTAATGTAGGCAGGGTTTTCTTCAAAAACCTTTTGGATGATAGTAATGATGCTTTCAAGAGCTTTGAGCCAAGTTTCCATTTGTTCTCTAGCAGCTTCAGTTACAACGCCAAGTTTTTCGTAGAAGGCTTGTCGGTATGGGCAGGCCTTCATGGCAAGCTATTAGAACATGGAAAATAAAGCTATTACTACCAGTTGTACTTATTTATTCAAAAGTCAGATTGTTATGACTTACGGCGAAAACTGGACGAACAAACATGTTGTGATGCTTTTTTAGTGTTTCCTCGTAAGCCTTCGTGAATGAGACATTCAATTCTTCTGAAGTATTGTTAAGACTGCGCCTCAAGGCTTGTGCAGTGAAATCTAACCCTCTATTTTTGGCCGAATGATGAGAGGTTTAAGATTCTGCAGTTGACCTCCTCAGAAAGTTACCAATTTCACACTCTACCTTGTTAACCATAATAATCCCTCTGTAGCAACTCTCTTTTTCTCTGAGCTCTCGTTTGCCAATAAATCTTGCAAATTGGCATTAGCGGCAGGGTTAGCTAAAAGGCGATCTCTAATTTTCTGTCACAATATTAAAAACCCAATCCTTTGATATCCAACTGCCAACAGCTTACCTTAATATTGCCATTCATATCTTTTTGGACGGCTGCAAAAGCGGTTGACCCTAGTAAGTCTATAAAGATTTGTCAATCAAAGCCTGTAAAGGTCTAAAAAAATGTTATTTAGCACACGCACCGAACAGTTTGACGACACCTTCGGTAGCCTCTAAGAATTGTTGCGTATCAACACCCTTTGATGTATCAACATCAACGTAAGAGCGAGGAAGTGCATCAAAGTATGTCAAGGTCATGTGAGAAAAATAGCGAAAAAGTAGGTAAGAAATAAATAATGTGTTCCTGAAGGTTCAAAGACAAGTTTTATAACGAACACTTTGAAAGCCAGAATGGCTAGGTGGTACAACAATTAAGTATAGCCACCCTATTGGCGTAATACCTCTTTCTTTGTAAAGCATAAACTCTATTGACACGCATTGAGCTATGGAAGTTGTTGTTTAGGTAAAATTCGTCTACGTAGGTAAACTGTTTGCAGTACTATGCGTTACAGAAAAAGGAAAATGTCATTACAGCCTAACATGATGGTCTCATAACGCAAAATATATCATATCCTGTTGCATAAATAGTTTGGGTCAATTGGACTGAGACATATCACACAAGTACATCGTTGGTCAATTCTGGAAAAATCTTTGACAAAATAAGATCAACGAGAAGGTATAACAAGTGCTTATTGATTTGCTTATATTGGAGTGCTTCTAGAGTGTGGTGCATATGGTTCTGTAACTCATTGAAATCATTCGTTTCAAATATGATGGTGAGGAGTTTAGCTGTAGAATCCAAAAAAAAAAGTTTGTTAGGCTTTTAACTTCTTTCATTGATGCTTTTCGTATGGTTTTGATTTCATATACCTGGTATCGATACTGTGAGAAGTCGTTCGGCTCTCACTCGCATCTGTTCTCGCTGAAGGGGAGTTGGTGCATCACTCTTCTGCATAAAACTCCCATTTGGCCACAGCAATTCCCTGCCCGCTCGCAAATAAAATACTATGTGATTTTCACTTAGAATATGCAGAATTGTTTGCTCCAAAAACTTGTCCAACAGCAAGCTGCCGCCAAAGACACGGACTAATGGCCAGATAAACATAGCCAGCATCTGCCATATCCAATGTATAGCTGGTCTATATTGTATATGAAAAGCAGTATACATAAACTCCATTGTTGGTTCACAAAGACCAGTTCTGCGAGTACGTTTTTCATGTCTGTTAACTTTCTGATATTGCTCTTGAGATTGAGTTACCAAACCCAAAATATATATCCAAAATGAACGTAGAGGGGCTAGAATCACCTGTAATGTAATGTAACGCAAAGAAAAGCTTCGTTTTGAAGCTACATCTTTACTGCGCTGCCCATCCAATAGATCAGTGCTGTCTTCCGATGATGGAGAAATACTGCTTTCATCATGCCGCTTTTTACGGTACTCTTCCTGCAAGCGTTGCATTTGTTCTGCTAGACTCTCTGTATATTCTTGCCTTTCTACTTCTACAGCCTTATTTTTGCTGCTCAGATTATTATTTCCAACTGATGGTGGCATCTGTCCTCTCGTGAAAGCACTGAAATATGTCTCTGCGAACTGTCCATCTGCCTCTAATTTATCTAGAGTTTGTTCATGGGACCCTAAAAGCTAAGGTATGAGTTTCTTAAGCTCCTGTTTGAAAATTTAATATTCACCCTCTCACGCCATATGGTTAGCCTGTGTTTACCTTACAAATAATTGTATGAATTGTGTACGGATCTGCTAATACTTCAATCATATTATACAGAACAAGATTTGAAATGATATCTCTTAAGAGTTGCCGTAGACAACTACTTTTATAATCCTTGGGTCGCAGTAAAATCCTCAGCATACTTTCAGTCAGTACTGCCAAGTATTGTCGTTCTTGACTACCACTGTTAGTCTTGCCGCTATAAGAAGATTGTAGAGCAAAATGTGGCTGTATACCGTGGAATAAGCTACTTAAACTATCAGAGCCACTACCATGATCCATGTGTAAACGTGTTTTTGCCAGTTGAAAGTCTTGAAAGTGCATCGTCAATAATTTTGGTATATCACATAATGTTAGCTCAGTCCAGTCAGTCTTTTTATTAGGGGAAGGTGTAAGATCAAATGTCAAGAGAAAAGGATAATAATGATATGGTTTGCCACTATTACCTCTTTGCACCTTTTCTCGCATTTTTGAGCTAAGACGATCAATATATCCAATATTTCGTTGGTTAGGTCGTCATCGGTTGTCATTAACTTGTACCAAGGATGTACGAAATCTCTAAGCAAAAGAGCGAAACAGGTATATAACTCAAAATCTAAGGCTGCCGAATCAGTCATAGCTTTTGGAGCTTTTGTACGCCGGGGATCTGACTTTGACAAAGTCAACAGTTGAGGGAAAAGGATTCGCAGATGAGCCGATGGCAGTGTAATGGCACTGCACATACTGATTACAAATTGTCAAGAAGAGATAGGGAGAAAATCTAATGACAGAGTTACTAGTTTGATATATTAAGTTGCACATGACAAGAATGCTTTGTGCTACATAAAAAAACACAGTAATATATTCGACTAGATCGTTCTAAAACATGCAGAGACCTCAGAATCGCCAAGTGCACATTATTCATATTATGATTAGCAAGAATGCAGTCTTTTTTATTAGTAGTGATTAGTGTTTATACCGCTTCCTTATTGTAAACAAATCATACATTACTTAGCACCCCACTATTTAAGAAATTAGAAAAATCTAATGATCAATACGAGCTTGAAAGGTTCATGATCGAATATATATATACTCATATCAAATGAACAATTTGGTGTTCTGTTCTTTTTGCATCGCTATCTAAAGGCAAAAAAAAAAAGCCTTACGTAGAAGAGTTGATTGCTTGAACTATGCATACCTTTACGCTAATGTTATGTCTGATAGACAATCCCTGCATATCTTAAGATGTGCCTCAGTCTTGGCGATCAGCACCACATGTTTATTCACTTATAAATAACGAAAAGGAACGATACCTCTCCTTTCTTTTTTTTTAATTTATCACATTTACTCAATACCTATATTTATTGAGAAGCTAGTATAGTCATGGCTCGTAATAACAACAACGGCAAAAAGACACCCTTACTCACTCATCTTGTTGCTGGTGGTGCTGCTGGTTTTATGGAGGCATGTACTTGCCATCCTCTCGACACCATCAAAGTCAGAATGCAGTTGTCAAAGTCAGGTTATAGAAACGCAAACGTACGTATAGTTCGGCTGAATAGTCTTACATTGAATGTATATCAACAATATCAATTTAAAATAGGGACAAAGACTTGGATTTCTTGGAGTGGGTGCTAGAATTGTTCGAAATGAATCATTCTGGGCATTGTATAAAGGTTTAGGTGCTGTTGTATCAGGTATTGTGCCTAAGATGGCTATTCGCTTCTCGTCTTTTGAGCTTTATAAGTCATGGATGGCTGATGACAAGGGCAATGTCAGTACCTCTGCCGTATTTTTTGGTGAGTTAATCTTTTTGGAGAAAATATATTGAACGATCAACAGGTTAAAGGAGGGACGACTAATAATATTGATTGTGTCCATGTAGCTGGCCTTGCTGCTGGTACAACAGAAGCTGTTCTGGTTGTTAGTCCTATGGATCTCATCAAAATCCGCTTGCAGGTAAAATTGAAAGAAAAAAGAGATACAGCTTTAACAGGTCATCAATCAAGTACATAAGTGGGACTTACTTATTTGTTTATTCATTTTTAAGGCTCAACGTCATTCCATGGCCGATCCTTTGGATATACCCAAATACCGTAACGCACCACATGCGGCTTATACCATCATAAAGGAGGAGGGGATCCGAGCATTGTATAAAGGTGTTACCTTAACTGCTCTCAGACAAGGTATTGCACTAAGCATAAAACGAGGGAATAACTACTGTGTACAACGAAAATAATATGCAGATAAGATTAACCTCAAGACTCATAAATAACATTAGCTACCAATCAGGCTGCGAACTTCACAGCATATCAAGAGATGAAGAAAGTGGCCAAAAGAATTCAAGATGTGCCTGAACTTCCTTCTTACCAGCACTTGATATTAGGAGGCGTGTCAGGTGCCATGGGCCCTCTTTCCAATGCTCCTATTGATACTATTAAGACCCGTATCCAAAAATCTTCTGCTCCAGGTAGTGGTTTGGAAAGATTCAAGGCTGTTACCACCGAAATTATGAGGAAGGAAGGATTTTTTGCTTTCTACAAAGGTTTAACTCCTCGTTTATTGAGAGTTGCGCCTGGTCAAGCCGTCACATTTATGGTTTATGAAAAAGTGAAGAGCCTTATTGACATGTTCAGAGAACGGGTGAAAGAAAATGAATTGACCACTAAACTAGCACCTAAATAGCTATGCTTCTTCTAGCCCCACCACAGGGAATTTTTGAACTTTTAAACGCCCAACACCTTACAATATTACGCAATAAAAAACCCTATTCTTCTGAACATTTCGAACTGCATTCTTGGAATAAATCACTGCGAAAAACAGTTTGCGATTAAAAGCAACACCGAGCAAAATGCCCCTGTTTTTTTATAATTGCTGTATGTAGTAAAAATGCTTATCATCTACATCGGTTTATCTATCATTAAGTCAAGCTTATTCCTCTTAACAAAGAAGGCCGGTCAGAACGGAGTCCTAGTAAAAGAACTGACTCTTATTGATGTAGTGAACACGTCATTTTTTACATCTATTTGGAAAAGGTTGAAAACACACTCCTGCCGAACAATGAAGGTGCTCTTCCTGTTTGCTCCCTGTAACGATATTGTGTTTTTCGTTACTTTGTCAAGTGCCCGTTTGATTTTTCATCCTATCAACCTTAAGCTTGCTTGTCTTCCATTGCGTTTTGCTGTCCTCAAGCAACTCGATGGAAGAAAAAGAGCAAATGTTTTACTTGCTTTAACGGAGATGATAATTTTTGTTGTCCTCCTCCTTTATCAATGGAAATTTCTCATAAAAATGACATACCCTTTAATTATAGTTTACTTTCGTTTTTGACTTTATCTGTTATAAACATTCCTTTCAAACAAAATACACCATAAATATTGATATATACATGCTATAGAAGGTTATGATATCTTTGTTAGGATTCATAGTCATTTATCTGATAGGTGGTATCACATTTGTACCTTTGTTGGCTATTGCTGGACTTATTTACTTGAAAGGCATCAGTACCTTTAAACGTTCAGCAGCAACCAAAGCCTCAGTACCAGAAGTTGAACCTATTACCCGTGTAAGAAACCCTGACGATGTTGTTGTGAAGAAAGGCTGGATACGTTTGACGAATCAATATCAGCCAAAAATGCCTGAAGTTCAAACCAGTAACAACAATGGCAGCAACGGCATCATCTCAGGCATTCAATCTTACGTGAGCGGCAATGGTGGAAATCAACCCAACAACAAGAAAGGAGTTATGTACGCTGTACTGAAACATCGTACTCTTTATTGTTATGAAACAGAGGACCAACAAGAGGTAGCTATGGTGTTGCCAATGCAAGAATACTCCGTATCATTATTTCCGATAGCAAAAGCAAAGCCCGAAGGGGAAGTTTATGGTAAAAGAGCAGTGATTCGTTTGACACCCAGAAAAATCACCACAACTGTTACAAATAACGAAAATAGAGAAAAAGATGATCAAGACCAAGATATCAATGAACCAACTACGGCGCCTGCCATCGTTGTTTTGCCCGAAGATGATATAACATGTCAGCCTGACCGTGTTTTGTACCTTACATGTACTCGTAATATTGATAAGGAAGATTGGTACTTTGGTTTATTGGAAGCCCAACACTTCAGTCAAGAGGCTACACCAGCGAGCCCAGATGAGTCTTCGTTTATCATGATGGATAGTACACACTTTGACCAATCTGCTATGGACGAATTAATAAGACAAGTGCAGTGTTCACCAAGTCATCGCGAAACAGCCTGGGTCAATGCTATCCTCGGACGCCTCTTTTTGGGAATGTACAAAACGGACCGCTTGAAGAATTTTGTTGAGCAAAAGATTAGAAAAAAAATTGATAAAACGAAAAGACCTACATTTTTAGATGAGATTAAAGTACGCGATGTGGATGTAGGGAAGTCGGTACCTTTCTTTACCAATCCTCGGTTGTTATCCCTTTCTCCTGAAGGTGAACTCATCGTCGAAACAAAGATGGAATATCAAGGTGGATTGACCATTGAAATTGAAACCGACTTTAATTGGTCTTACTCTTCCCTTATGAAACCTATCCGAATGAAGTTGGTCCTGGCTGTGAAATTGAAAAAAATGGTAGGAAGGTTAATGTTCAAGATAAAGGCACCTCCTACAAATCGTTATTGGATATCTTTTTTTGAAATGCCTGATATGGAATGGAAAATCCTTCCTGTGGTTGCTGATAAGCAGATCAAGTGGAATATTGTGACAAATACTATTGAGTCTCGAATTCGTGAAGTGATGGCAGAAACTTTTGTCTTGCCTAATATGGATGATACATCTTTCTGTCCCTCAGGAGGAAAAGGCGGTATTTTTGGCAAGTATGTAAAAGTGGAAGTCAGGCCACCCAAAAGCAATGGTGCCTTTGATGTCGCTAGTATCAACTCGGATAGACGTGGTTCAACAGTGTCGACTTCATCTACTCTTTCTGGCAGCTTAAGTCTTAAATCCACTCAAAATTATGATCCGATTACAAACGCTCCAACTGTTCCCATTGCTGGAGCTGAAAAAGTTCCTGCTGCTGCTGATGCTCTAAAGTTGAAGAATCGTCGCGCTGAATCCGTATTCGAACTTAACGACAATTCTAATAACAGCAGTATGAAAGGTTTGGTTGGTACTAAACCAATGGAAAGCTCACAGTCCTTGCCACAAATGCAAACTTCCGCTAAAAGAAAATCAATCATAGAAGATGGTCTACCTTTAAAGTCTGTGGAACAGACGTCGACGATGGATTCGAAGACATCAGGTACTTCTTCCAGTACTGGTGGCATATTATCAAACTTGAGAAAACGTATTACAAAGAATTCGGATAGTGATTCAGAAAGTGATGAAAGCGAACAATTAAGCAATACTAATACAGCTACTGACATATCACAAACAGCATCTACCAATACCAATCGTCATGCTTCAAACTCTTCTAACGGTACAGAAAATAAGAAGACTTCTTGGTTGCGAAAGGCAGAGAACTTTTTGTCGAATAGGAAATCGAATGACATTGAAGATATTGACAAACCTTTAAATGATGAAAAGAAAGAAATTTATGCTCAAAGACTCGCTGACATGAGAAAACGTGCTGAGGAAAAACGACAATCAGATCCTAGCAGATATTGTAGTAGTTACTCTATACCTCCTCCTCCTATCAATGATATTGGTAGCAGTACAAATGCTCATACAGAGTCAGCTCCTGCTTCAGCAGCAGCTGCAGAGCCTTTGCTTAATTATGCTCCACCACCTTCAAGTCAAAGTGTTAACGATAATTCGAATGTCATAAATGATATAGCTAAACAATACGATTCTTCGATCCCACCCAATGCTCCTGTTTTGCCACCCAGACATGATATGATGCCGATAAGCAACATTAACGATACTCATGAGTCTCAAGAACACCAATCGGCTACGATTAAGGGCGATATTCTGTCCAATTCTCCTATTGTCGCTGATCCTGAGGAGATTGGACTTGCAAAAGATACGCCGACCGATACTCATCTGAACAATGAAGTATTGTCCAAATCCATCAATCAACAACAACAACAACACCAAGTACCTGTAAAGCCTCAAAAACCCCCACATTTGGCTCGTACTTACAGCAATACACCCCCTCCTTTGCCAAAGACAGCGAGGCCCAAGATTTCTCCGCCATTAAACAGAGCAACCAAGCCAACTTTACCTCCTCCACCAAACAAACCTGCTCGTCTTGCAAACAATTCTCACCAAAACATTGACAAGAACTACTTGTGCGCTACTCAACAAGCACCTTCTGAACAGCCAGCATCAATAGTAACAACTCCCCCTCAATTACCACCAAGAAAAGATGGAACTTCTGAACCTAATGAAGATCCCGAAGTTGTATCTCTTTCACCTCCTAGTGCTCCACCTCGTAAGCATTAAACCATGTAGTAAATTTTGTTTACTCGTCATATCCCTGTAGTTAGTTCGTTTACCTTTTTCTTTTACTTTTGATTTTCAAGTATTGATTTTGTATGTTTTTCCATTTCCATTCACTGTTTTCTACCATCTATGCTTTTACTCTGCAAATAAAATTGTAATTATATTTCGTAAAGGTGTTTAATGTAAAAGTAAATAGTCATTATTTGACAAGAAGAGCTATATACAAGACATACTAAAAATACGTGTGAAAGGATATCTTTTTTTTTTTTTTTTTTTTTTTTTTTTTTGTTTTACAACAGTAAGCATAATCGATCATAAAACGCGTGAGTAATTTTTGAAGTCGATTGCTGTTGCATTCAGTTTAAGTATTGCCAGATACAGCAACATAATTCGGTGGTGCATTCTCATATTCTTGTAGAAATAATACTTTCTGCTGCTTTTGCATGAAGCTAGTTCAAGGGAAATTAGAGTGCTTTAACGGACAATTTATCGAACCTTTGTGGAACAAACTTACCGAAGTATATCCACCAAGTAATCCGTCAAAGCTTGAATGGCATCTCCATCCATACTCGTATGTGCAACCAATTCTGGTAATTGAACTTATGTAGAGAGGTAAGTATTATACGCACTTGTGAAGAATATTCCTTGCTGGTAGTATGAGGTGATGAATTAATCCTTACCAAACAAACGCAGTAAATGCTCTGCACCGTAAATATCCGTTAGATCCTTATCAGGGAACTGCCTTTTGATATCAGCATATTGATGGCGTTCAAATCGGTATAACAAAATAGACCCTAATGCCTTGTTAAAATAGACACTAATGCCATGCAAAACTTCATCCAATAATTCCTCATTCCTACAATTCAAATACTGTAAAGCCCATGTTCTATTATTGTGGATCTCGTAGTACTGTAATCTTACAAGTCTCTATTGCCCTTTCTTTCTTTCTTAAATTTCTTGTATCTTGCTAATAAATCATTGATCGTGATAGTCCTTGGTAATGTTACCAGTTGTTGGTTTTTCGTAACATTTTCCCAGTCATCCACCAATTGTCCTTTCAACGTGTCGGGTATATCCAATCGTATTTCGGGTTTATTCAAGTAATCTGTTTCCTTCTCTGCTTTCGCATCTCTTCGACGTTTACCCAAACTACTATTATTAGCATTGCTTTCAACAGAGGTTGTTGTATTATCCTCAACATGATCATTACTGGAAGTATTGGCACCAGGTTTTTGGGTCTTTGGTGATTGTTTAGTACGGTATAATGCTTTCAATCTTAACTGCATCTTTATATTCTCCTCAGACCACCTTAACAATCTACTTTCTGGCACCCATTCATCCCAACTAAAGATGATAATGCATATTTTCTGTTTATAACTATATCCCAGATTTTCCAAGAATTTATAGTAGAGCAATAGTAATTACTTCTGCGAACAGTACAATACCTTCTTTTCCAGCCTTTATAATGCACATAGTAATAAGGTCCTGTCATCTCAGGATCTTCATCCATCCAATCTCTATCCAAAATCTTTCGTGAAAAAAATATCATAATTTAGTATGTCAACTTTTTTTGCGGTTTATGCGTATTCAGCTTTACTTTAGCTTCATAAATTAATGGACCATGATAACATAACACTTTTTCATTGACTTCGTAGGATAACTTCTTATCATTATCATCGGATATTGTGATGATATCTGTGTCTACTGAAATCATAGTTGTCGGTATTATGGTTATGTGTCAAAATTAACAGAGGGAAATAAAAAAGGATTGGAGAAAGAAGTGTAGGCAATTCGAAACAATTCGTGACTTGAGAATCAAACCGGCATTTCAACTGTAGACTTCACGCGAGCATAGACACTTTTGCTTTCGAATAAGGGGTTTACATAAAATCGAAGCACAGTCTCCCATACAAACAAAAAAAAAAAAAAGAAAAAAAAAACTCTACTATTGTTATGTGATTTGAATCGATTCTTCTTGTTATAACAAGCATTTATTTTGTGAATTAGCAAACAAATCAAAAAAGGTTTACTTTTTGCTTGCCGAATACTTTGTACCCTTATACTAGAGTTAAAAAAGCGTGTTCTCGATTATCAATGCCAGTTGGAACGTCAATGGTCCTTTTAATTCTTAACGATACCGAGAAAGTCATGTAATCCCAGCAACTATTTTTGATTTCATGCCTCTATTCGAAGTTACCAAGCTAAAATAGCGAGTATGATTTTAACAATTTACTTTCAAGTGGATCAGCAATATGGCTTCGAAAACTCTAGCAAACACTGGTACAAACCCCTCCAACCTTCATCTGTGTAAAAACAAAGCTGACTTGCGTAAAAAACTTATCAATATCAGGCAAAAAAAATTGTATTATTGCTAGCCACATTTCAGAACAAGTAGACAGAAGCGTGTAGAGTAAAATATACGGACGATATAATGCAAATTTAGAAGGAATACAGAATTAAAACTCAAATAACTGCTCGCCACGCACTCTCTATCTAAAACAATACAACCGTGTTGAAAACATTTTTAAATGCTATATTCGGTTCCACATAGGGTTGAATTTAGAGCAATTAACGGGCTCTGCTATCGCATTAAGCTGCTGTAGGATGATATTTCTGACAATGCTATTGTAATCTTGGGATCTTTTGTCTGTGATTTGCTGCACCCTTTTTTTTGTAGACTTAAAATGGAGGCTTTTTCAAAGAAGAAATAGCTGTGAAATCAGGTAGAACTTGAAAGTGCTTCGTATTAGAACGCTTGCGCGGCAACAATACATCGTGTTCGAGTGATTTTGGCGTGGATAAAATATTCAGAAAGGAAGGGGGCGACTTATGGAAAACAGTATTGAGTATTGTTATGGATGGAAGGAAAATACTTATATAAATGAAAGGTTAAGGCAAAAGTCAGTGATTTTATATCAAAAATATATGATAATTACATGGCAGTTGTCTTCAACGTACTTTCTCATGAATTGTAATAAGTCAGTTTTAGGACTTCATGGTGAGTTCTAGGAGCACAAACAACATAGTAATTGTGACCCACTTTAAATGTATAACACATATTTTATCCAACAAACACTTCGAATTCAATTAGCCATGAAGTAATACTCAGCAGACTGCTCTAAGATACCAAATCCCTTTATTTTAACATTATTTTGAGGATATCAATTGCTCAAAAAATTAACAATGCGAGTCCTGCCATATTCACACCGTCATTAGCGCGGCATTCAAGGTCAAAAGCTTTAAAAATTGATATTATGTAATAAAATCTTTGTTTAAACGTAATTGCAAATCAGAACGGAAAAGCAGGTGCACTCAGTACGAGCTCATAATATATTAATGGTTTTCTGCAGTAGTTTTACAGTCTATGCCTTTTTCTCAAATCTTTTATTGCCATATATCCAATATAATTCTTTGTCTGTTTGATAGTCAAAACCAAAAAAAAAAAAAACCAAAAAACGGAAAGCAATAAAAGTATGCCGGACCGGTAAATGCCGGACTATTAAATCTGTTCAAGTGAGCACTTCCAAAGGCTGGGATCTCACTCAGCCAAAAAGCAAGCTGCAATATGCAGTGCATATAATCTTCCCTTCTTATTTGAATAATAGACAATGGTAAGGACCATTGATCCATTAGAGGACAACAAAGTATCAAGGAAAATTGCTCGCTATACTGTCAATCGAATGGATACTTGTTGGAAAATAGATGGATGCTAAGTGGAACAGTCGATGCTTAATACAGCAATTATCATTTGGACACATTTCGGCACTTAGTTCTTTTGATAACTTCCTCTAATGGACTTTCTTTGCTTCATTACAAAGAATACAGCATTCTAAATTGAAATATTAATTTGCCTCTTAGGATTCTTCAAAGACCCCCGTCAAGCTCGCTAGAGTTACTAAGGTTCTTGGCCGTACTGGTTCTCGTGGTGGTGTCACTCAAGTCCGTGTTGAATTCATGGACGATACCAACCGTTCCATCATCCGTAATGTTAAGGGTCCCGTTCGTGAAAACGACATTCTTTGTCTCTTGGAATCTGAACGTGAAGCTCGTCGTCTCCGTTAAAGCATTGATTAGTTCTACCCAGCAGCAAAAGATCAATCTATTAACATTAAGAAATTCGATAAAGCACTTATTATACACACCTCATTATTCAGACTGACGAGAATTTCTGGATTTAATCAATAAACATCAGAAAACACTCAACGACGAGTAACGAGAAGTGGAATCTGTTTTTTCGAGCTCCATTCACAATTGTTTTTGTCCCATGATTATTGTGTCAGTAGATACGACGCTTGAAGTGTTGGTTTCAGATGAATGAAAGGCTTTATAAACTGTAATTGATAGTATGGGCAGTAAAAGCATGGAAGGCATTAATGATAAAATACTTAAATATGGTATTATGTATTAGTGATTAGAAGGAGTGCCGAGGAAAGATCGCATTCGTTTCCGTGTCCTTCCCGCGCTCAAATCAGCAATGGCGACCGATCTTCTAGCTATTGCAGACGTACTTGCTGACGGCTGATGAGGATAGTCAGTGGGGGTAAATAGCTTCTTAGCCTTTGTAGGGATGCTTGCTGATGGCTGAGTAGAATCAGATGGTTGTGTTGGTGTTGAATGACTACTACTTTATGAGTATCGTATCAGTTTGCCTGAATCAGAAGAGCAATCAAATATAATGTTACCTTTTATTTGCGTTCAAATCGGTCAATATTTCATTCATTTGAAGCTCTCTTTTCATTTCTTCAAAGGCCCATCGTTCAGCCTAAAACTTTTGTTAGATTTCATCAAAACGCACCTAATATAAATTTTTTGTCTTTTTTACCTCTAACTTATCTCTTTCCAGTGCTAATTTCAAGGCTGCTTCTGTTATTTTTTGCTGACTTTTTTTCGATTGCTTCAAAATTTGCGCATGTTTGAACTCTATTGTTGGATCCAAATCGATTATAGAATCTTCCGAGCTATACAAAAAGTAATTGTTAGACTATAATACTAAGGTCGTATTTGCGTGAGACTCACTCTGATTGCTCATTAGTGTTCCAGCCAGGATGTACTGCTGTTGAACAAAGATTATCAAAGAACCCTCCCTGCTCAAACTTCCTGTATATCTTTATTTTCTCTTCGTAGTCCACATTTGTTCTGTCCAAAGTTTCTAATAGATCCTGGACTGTTTGTTCTAAAATTTTTATTTGATCCAACTTGTCCTTCATATCTTCATCAGTATAGATTGTAGGCCTTTGTTGTAAGTGAAGTTGCCATTCTTCTTTCAATCTTCCCAGCAAATCATGTATCATTTTGACTGCTTCCTGGCCACCACAATCCATAGGTAGACGAAATTTTACTGTTTCTTCATACACATTTTTAAGCGGTTCATGACTTTTCGTTAACTGTCTGTTCTCGATTTTGCTATTACTTGTTTCTATTTGTTGTTCTAAAAACCGTCGTAATTCTGTATAGAATTCTATTAAAGCATTTCTTAATTCGAGAGCTTCTTGTCGGACATCTGCTTCTCGTCGGGTCAATTCATTGGATAACTGGGTATAAGTTTCGTGTAATTGTTGAACGTGATCATGCTGATCATTTTCTGCCTCAAAATTGATTTGATTGACGTGTAGATAAGCAACATTCACTTTATAGTGATCATGCATCAACTTTAATAATCGTTCTTGAGTTTTGCTAAATTCTTGCTCGTGTCTCCGTGTTTCATGCTATTGATTTAAAACCGAAATAAGTTCATTTGATCAATATAGGTGCAGTTAGTAGATATATTCACCTCAAATTGTGTCCTTAAATATTGTATATTATGTTTAATTCTCGTCACTTCCTCTTTAGATCTGATTATCTCTGTGTTCTGTTTTTTGACAGTTGCTTCAGATGCACTATAATACAATATCGTTATTTTGTGAGATTAAGCTACTTCAAATATGATTTTATGTTTTTATTTTACTATAATTTTGCTTCTAACTCTTTTTCACGGTTTTGCTTTGATTTCAAATCACGTTCACAGCTTGCTAGCTTTTGTTCAATTTCTTGCTGCTGCTTCTTCATTTCATTTATCATTCTTCGATACTCTTGTTTTTCTTGGTCATCTTTCTTTGGTAAAAAGAGGCATGAGAAAGTAGCGCAATCATAAAGTTGAATATAAACGCTTACTTTTTTGTCGTTCATTAAGCTATATATGCAGTTGACAATTTTACATTTATGCTTGATGTCATCGGAATCAAATATTAGTGGCACTGGGTATCCATAGCTTGTAAGTAAAGTATTTAAATAATTTGCAGAGGCATCGAAGGAGTCATTTGTGCAAAATCTATATATGCCAAGAGTCAGTTTCGTAACTAACACAATTATCACACGTTTAAATGAGATCTACTCCTCAATTTTTGTTGTTGATTCGTCGACTATAAATTCAGGTATTGTACTTTTGGCATAATCAGTCAATCGAGTACAAACAATTCAACCGTAAAGGCGGATTCTTACTCAATATCGGTTAGGTCTGAAAGATTAAAATTTGCCATGCTTAGATGTGTATCTGTAGATGCTTATTCACATGTATGAACAAGGTAAAAAGAAAAAAAAAAATTGAGGGGAAGAAAAGCGCGTCCTATCATTGCAAAATTCAAAGTTCTCCATTCATTTTAAGATAAGCGGAGTGTATTTGAACAAAACCGTGTTTGAACGTTTTCGAACTCGACATCAACTTCTTTTTGCTCCTTAATCTAACACTGTCCGATCATCGACATGGAGCAAGGTATTTTACGTTTCACTTACTATATTCGCTATATTTTGCTGTTTATGTGTATTAATTTTTTCCTATTGGTTTTGATCATTGAATGCATATATTTCTACGAAAGAGGTAACTATGACAGCATTTACCATCTTTTCTTTTGCTGGAAATTGTCTGGATTTGGAAGAAGTATTTTACTCAACTGGTCTTCACATTAGCTGTACTACCTAATTGCTCAGTTCCTTGCAGCAAGTCCTTGTAAAAAGGCAGCTCAAGCTTTGAAGGAAGAACTCGATGAAAATCGAAGCTTGTTACCTCATACTGTCAACTACGACGGGAATCCAGTCCCTTTAACATTAGAGCGACTTGTAAGATTCGTAAATCTATTTCATGGCGAAAGCAGTGAAAAGTTAATCTCATTGAAAAGCTTTTACATTCGATATTGTAGTCCTGTGATTACCCTCACATCTCTAACAACTATTTACTATCACTGCTGAAAAACTTTCTGCATCATTTTAAAGAAACTGGTGATCCTTCTATATTAAGAGTGAGCGCTTTACGACATGGTGATAGTTCCCTTTTGACAATGCTTTCAGCATTTATACCAACAAAAGATTTGGAAACCTCCAACTATCTGATTATGTCAGCAAAACAGCTCAATAAATTGCCAATACGTAAAATAGCAGAATAATACGGCCCACTTACGGATTGATAGGACAATTGTTAACTGTACTCTTCAATTTTTTTTTATTTTTTTTTTGGGTCTGTTTAGACCGTTTATTAATTGCACGAGATATGGGTGCAAAGGTATTCAAGAAAAATGAGATGCCAACTTCCTTGTCAAAATTCTACAGAGAAGTAAATAATTATCAGTAATTCGAGAAGAAGAGCAACGAACAACCAATTGATACATCATTTAAATTAGCGTGTTACTATATCAGGCCACCGCAATCCAGTGTATTCAGTGGCATTCGATCATACCAATCGGCGATTATTTACCGGTAGTGATGATTTCTTAGTAAAAGTCTGGTGTGTTAGGACGGGACAACTTATCCACACCATGCGCGGTCACCAAAATGTCATAACAGACATTGCTATTAATCAAGAAAATACACTTATTGCCACTGCCTCTAGTGATGGTTGCGTGAGAGTCTGGACTATGGAAGAATACAAACCTATTATATGTTTGAGACCGAATACCACTGCTGTAAATGTCTATCTAATGCATCGCAATATGCAATTGTACTTATATAGTTTTATCTTATAGATTAAGCCGTTCACCACTGTGAAATTTTCGCCCTCACCCAGAGCAGACACACGATATTTGATGGCAACCAATGAAGATGGTTTTGTTCGATTGTGGCGTTGGAATCGTGATACATTGCAATTTTACGACATTGCGAACCCTATCACATTTAGTTGTCGATTCAGAGCTAAAGATAGGTTAAGATGCTCATCTTTCAATTATACTGGTACAAAATTCACAGTAGCAGGAGATGATGGTTTTGTCTATGTCTTTTCTACAATCCCTATACAAACTACGCATGAAGGTTCAACGACAACCAGTAGCAGTGGAAATAATAGCCATACAGCCGGGGATTATGGCAGTAGTCAAGAGAGACCAGGTCGAGGAAGGCGACGATTTGCTAATGCTCTCTTTCCTGATAAGCATACAAATTGGCAATCTCAAGCGATAATACCCATTGGTACTTTAGAGGGGCATATGGGGAGTGTAACAGATTTAGCATACAGTCATGATGGTCAACGTATTTTAAGCGGTTGTCAAGATGGAACTGCGCGTATTTGGACGTTTGACACCAAAAAGAAGAAGTGGCATTCCATAGTTTGTAAATTTTCAATTTTTTATTGTACGTGTGTACGCAATTGATGTATATAACTTTTTTTTTTTTTTTTTTTTTACAGTGGATTTGACCATGCCTATAGCTGATGCAACACCTATTGTAAAGCCTTCACTGGAAAATCTAGAAAGAACTAGCAATTCAACCACTGCATCCTCTGATGTTGTAGAGCAAAATTCAGTTGAAAGTGAGGAATTTGGAACATTAATACCGCCTATGGAAGACGAGAATGCAACAATGCAAATGGATATTGATACAGAGGCAGTGCCAATAGAAAGAACCGGCACACCGCAACTGCAGCAACAGCAATCACTACAACCAGCAGGATCTACCAACGTTGATCCACCCAAAGTGTCCATGATTGCTTGGAGCGCCAATGACCGTTGGTGTCTTGTTGCGTCCACTCAAGGCGAAATACGCGTCTATGATGCCTCCAGTGGAGCTCTTGCATGTGTTTTAAATGGTCATGCTGGTGAAATTTATGCTCTTGACACACATCCTCAAGATTCTAGTACTGTATTATCAGCCGGCTATGATGGCAATGTTATTTTGTGGGATATTTCACATAAATTGATTATCCATCGTACCCAACATTTTGGTCGAACATTTACCGATTGTAAATTTTCCAAAGATGGTATGAAGTATGCCATTACCGATGAAGAGGGCCATTGCACACTCTTTGGCATAGGAGGATTGGAGAAAGATTATGAGTTAGTCAGAGGATGGGAACGCGGCCAATATTTCATCTCCGATTATCAAGCGTTGAGGTATTATCCGGATGGCTCTTTTATTGACGAGGCGACACAACAACCACCCTATCTATTGCCGCCCTCACCAATTATTGACTTGCAAGGGGTAGCTTATCCAAATCAGAAAAAATTAGGTTACGGTCGCAATATTCCAGTGACTTCAGAGACATTTGATATCGAAGATATGAAACGAGCAGCATGTTATATTCATGAAGAAGAGGAGTAATGTTTTTTGAGCCTTTAATGCGAGCCTACAAATTCAAAAACTAATTCGGCTTCATTTTTGTTTGTTAACCCATAGAATGCGTAAGGTAAAGCTCATCGTTTTACCTGCTTTAGATCGTGCTACAGTCGCCAAAAAAAGACGTGAATTTGTCCGATTTGAAGACGACGAAGAAGATAATATGAACGCTGCTGCTATTGCTCAATTACAGTTCCAACCTCCGCTATTCTCTACCTTATTACCTGATGATTCAGCGGATGAAGACTATCAGGATGACGATGATAATGGCAATGATGCTAATGGCAGTGGTGACAGTGAAGAGGAAGTAGAGGAGGCCGATGACTTCATCACACACGATGACATCGTTGCCGTTGGTAGTAGCGATGAGGCTAACGAAGAAGAAGGCATTATGACACGTAGTAGGGCTGTGCATATAACTAGAAATAGCGGATCAGCAACGACTCGTTACACACGTCGTACAACGTCTGTGAGAGGATCAGGCAGACGCGGAGGCAGAGGAGGTAGAGGGAATAGACTTGGTCGTTCTAGGGGAGGAACAAACACCACTCGTAGTTCTCGTAAGCGAACGAGGGACGACAATGACGATGATATTGATGACGAGCCTATACGTGCTAGACCGCGACGAACGGCCGCAGCAAAACCTTCTTACGTTGAAAGTAATACCGAATCCGAATCTGAAGATAGAAGTAGTAGTGAAGATACAGAGGGCGAAGAATTTGTAGATGTAGAAAATGAATCGCCAGAACAAGCAGATTATCTTCGCAATAATGAAGCAGGACCGGGCCCTTCCACCTTCAGCCATATGATGACCCGTCAACAAGAACAACAACATCAATCTTATACAAATATTGTTGATGAGCAGCCACAACAAGAGGATCGTAAAGGAAAAAGAAAATTGCGTTCAGCTGCTTCATTCGAAGACGAAATGGATACCCAATCATTTCAATCGGTGAATGGAGTTTCTTATAGTCAATCATCAACAACACCCTCGAATACAGCACTAACAGGACGAGCGACGAGAAGTCGTACACAACAACAGTCTGAATCTCTTAAAATCACCATACCAAAACCTACCATTACAACAGTATCTCATGGTACTGCATCTGCGAAATCTAAACGTCTTCAAAAACAACGAGATGGACCCCGTGAGCTAACTGAAGACGAAATAAAGGAGCATGAGCCTATTCCTTGGATCACCTGTACTGAATGCCGCCTATCTAAGTACCTTCCACAAGTAGGAGATATTGTCGTCATTCTTACCGAGGGTCACAAACAATACTTGAAAAAGTCTCGAATGAAGCATATATTTGACGAAAAGCATGGCATTATCGATAAGCACGAGCCTGTCTTGTTTGGTAGTATTTCTCATATTTCTTGGCATGTGGGGCCTCCAGCATACTGTAAATTGAAAATATCCATGTTAACATTGAAGAACGTGCAACAAGTTCTCATGCAGCAAGAGGACCCTTTATGGACTCCCGATAAAGTGCACGGTGACCAAACCGTCGTATACACTGACGAAGATGGCAGCCCAGAATTCATTGTGCTTTGGGAACGCTTTCTTGCTTCTATGAATATTTTCATGACTTTGCGAGTAGGCCAGAAAGTCGATGCCATTTACGATGAAGGACATTATTATACTGGTACTGTTTCCAACTACAATCAAAATGGATTACAGTGGCAGAAAGCCAACCTCAGTAGCCCTTGGGCTTATTATCATATCATTTGGGATGATAACAGTTCCAAACCGGAAGATTTATGCCCGTGGGAAATCGTTCCTTCAGGGGAAGACTTTGCCACTCGCTACGGTGCGGTGGAACCAAGGTTGACACCTGAGCAAACACAAAGAGCTATCGATGTATTACAATGGTTAATGAGCGAGCCAGATTTCCAACTGTATGTGCATCAAGTGAACTTCTACGATTATCCACTTTATTTGTCTGTGATAGCTTATCCTATCTGTTTGGACATGGTTTTGGAAAGGGTTAATAATGGCTTCTACAGGACAGTTGATGTAAGAAATATCAATTATAAGCGCCTATATATCAATTAGTTCAAATTCAGCTTACATATATTTGTATTCATACAGGGCTTAATAGATGATGTGGAATTGATAAAAAAGAACGCTATGCGATATAATGCAGAGTCATCATTTGCTTATAAAAATTCAATCCGACTTGCCAATTTTTTCAAGACACGTATGCAAAGTAAGTATTAACATCATTTTAGAATATGTTGACTGCGGTGTTGACACTGTTAATTTTGCACTTTAGGGGTCAATATGCCATTGTCCGCTGTCAAGGGAGGCCATAGTCGTAAAAGAACTATCGTTGAAGAATCCGATGAGGAATATGACGCTGCACAAGCACCAAAATCGGAAACAGAAGAGGAGGTTGAAGACGAAGATCGCGTGGTAGTTAAAAGAACCGCATCCTCTTTCAAAAAGAAGAAAAAGAGAGGTCGTTACATCAGCGATAGTGATGACGAGGATGAATTTGTAGTTGAAGATGATGAAGAAGAGGAATATTACGAGTAATAGGTCCCAATAACAAATAATTTGTAAATAGTAAAACTTCAATTTTGAATACTCTGTATCGATTTGACATATAACCGCAAGCAATGTTAGCAGTTTATTTTCTTATAGACATCTGAAACTTTTGAAAATGTAAAAAGCAAGATTATACTGCTCTTAGTCAATACTTTCATTTGTCTCGTTTATGAGTTAGTATTTCGAATGTTATTGATGCACCCTCAGTCTTTCTGAAGTTCGCTTTCCATTGGTCACATCCAATGTATTGCATTAAAATGTGAAATTTAAATCCAAGTTCCTGTTCTGAGCCATCTGCTATTGTTAGTCCTTCTTAACAACTGCCCTCCCATCCACGCAATTACATGTCTCTTTCGCAGTATCCGTCTTCCAGTCAGTCTTTCTTGGATGGTGAAGATGATGAAGATCACACTACAAATAATATAGTAGTCATAAACAAATACAGCATTTCTGTCATTGATGAGCAAGATTCGGTTACTAAAAGCTCTCTTTCTTCTTTGGAACTCTAGCAAGAATACAACTTCAAAGAGTGCCATATTTATGCTATTGATTGCAGTCCTAGTATGTGGGAGCAGATTGAAGAAAACGATAATGAAGAACCCGTATTGTCAGCTCTCAAGTGTATTAGAGGAAAACTCCTGGATAGTTTATATTCACGACCCAATGATCAAATCGGCATTGTCTTATATGCTACTGTAAGTATCTTGATATTTCGAGTAGTCAATGAATACCGTTGTTTAATAGCTCTTTTTTGGTTGGTTTTTTTTTTTTTTTTTTTTTTGTTTTGAATTGTTTTAGGAAGAGCATTATAATGATGCGGGCAAAGAGCATATTTGCGTACTGCAATCGTTGGATATACCTGACCCGACGCGTCTAAAAGAGTTAGATACACTAATTGAAGATCCTTCCATGATACGCCAAAATTATGGATCTACAGATAAACTGTTTCCCATCAGTGATCTATTCTGGCTTTGTTCAGACATTATATCGAAGTCTCCTAAGCAATCCAGTAAACGAGTTATCATCATCACAGATAACGACAATCCAGCTGGTGACAATAACTTATATAATAAAGCGGCAATTCAAAGAGCTAGAGATCTGACCGACAATGGTGTCAATATGGTAGTGTTCGGGTTGGATAAGCCTGATATTAAGTTCGATAAAGTCAATTTCTATCAGGTAAGAGACTTTATTTTTTTGCTGCTGCAGCTGCAGCAAAAAAAAAAAAAAAAAAAAAAAAAAAAAAACAACGATGGTTTGAAATCGAAATGACGCTTATTTATTATTCATCAGCGGTTTTGTACTTTTGAGAACGATGAAAAAATTAATACGGACGATAATGATGAAAATAACATGCAAGACCCTAACATAGAGTTTCGCCTGTTGTCAGCAACAGGAAAAGTGAAAGATTTATTCAAGAAGTTGAGAACTATGCAAACCAAGCGGTCAGAGTTTAGGTTACCTTTTCAACTAGGCCCTAACTTGACTATTGGTGTGAGAGGATACAACATGATCATAAAACAAAAAATCGGTGCGCCTAAATATTTTTATTCCAGCGGTGAACAGTTAAAAGAAGCGAAAAGTTCTACCAGGTGGAAAAGAGAAGACACAGGTGACTATCTCTTACCGACTGATATTCAATTCAGCTATGAATACGGAGGCGAAGATATAGTGTTTTCCAGGGAGGAATTAGAACAGATAAAGACAGTAAAGCAGCCAGGCATTTATGTTTTGGGCTACAGAGATATAAGCGCTTTAAAGATGTATCACCAATTAACACATCCTTATTTTCTTTATCCTGATGAAACGGTAATGGAATGAACAACAATTTTTTCTATTTATTTATACTTATTTATTGTTGCTTTCAATCAAATCCAGCAATACACAGGCAGTAGAAAAGTATTCACTACGCTCTTGAAGTGTTTATCGAAAAAGAAAAAAATGGCCATATGTAACCTTACAAGAAGAGTCAATACTATGTCCCGTCTTGCTGCTCTCTTACCACAGATAGAGAGAATTGATAGTACAGGGAATGTCATTGATCCAGCTGGTTTCCAAGTCATCATTTTGCCTTTCGCCGACGAAATTCGTGCACTTCCGCCATATACTGTTTCTGGAGGGAAAGGTAAAGAAGATATGAGGCGTTTTCTATAATTGAACTCACCTATACACTAAAAACAATTGAATCCGGTAGTCTTTGAAGAGGCAGTCAGTGTCATCAAACCGGTTTTGAAAAGGTTAAGAATGAATAGCTTTGATCCAACAATATACCATAATCCTGGTAAGCCAAAAAGAATTACTCTTTCAGATCCTATTTTTATAGCTGAGCCAATTTTGCCTGTTCTGATATGTATATAGCTCTTCAAAGTCACAAGAATCTACTGCTTCGTACTGCACTCGAAACAGATAGTGTACCTCCTGTGAAAGATGACACCATACCCGATTACAAGCTCATCAATGAGGTATCATGAAATGCAAAGTTAATTGGTCACGAAAATAAACTAACCTTTTCGTTCTCTAATCAGGAGTGTGGTGAAGATATTGAAAGATTCAAGACACTTGTTGGGTTAGAAAATCTTAATGTAGATGCTATTGTGGAACAAAGCACTGCACGTAAACGTCAAGTAGCGAGAAGCACTTCTCCTACGGATGTTAAGCGTCCCAAGTTGAAAGAACGAACAATCCCAGAGCATTGGGAATATGGAACACTTGATCATGTAAGGGAAGATGGGAAATATACTATGTTACAATACTTACAAAACACAATGTTTTTATATCATTATTGTAGGTGGTCAATGCTGATTTAAAAGAATTTCTTACTTCCGTCGGTATTCATCCTAAAAAGTTAAAGAAAGAATTAGTAGCCCAAATTGACAGTTACTTCAGGACTAAAGTTGAGGGATCTTCTCAACCGCAGATGAAAGTAGAGAAAGAGTAGACCTTTTTATGGCAATCAATTCGTCGCAAGCATCTTGCAAAGATAAAAACTTATCCTTCTCTATTATGAACCCATATCATACAGTAGCAATAGTAAAAACTCGCTTCTCTATCCATCATTCCGTTACAACTCTCGAATGTACGTTGTAAATTGGTGGAACATTTGATCACGCAATTTGAATGAAAGCTTGAAGTTGCTGCACCGAAAGGCGGCAGATTAATTTTAGATCATTAGAACAAGAAAAATTTCAACATAATGATTTTTATACACTTTATTTCTCCTCTCTCCTACTACATGTACCTCATTTGGGTACTATTGATATGCTTACCCTTCAAGCTGATAGCAGCGTTCGAGCAGCATTGTATAGAACCTGCTAATTGCCAGTTTTATCCTATACATGGCTGTTATGCTACCGAAGCTGGCCTAACATGTCAGACTCGAAGTAAATTACCATCAAAATAACAATAAGTACTTCTACAAACGATTAAAAACAATTGACCAACTGAATTTTCATATGCAACAGATTACGCTGGTTTCGAAATGAGTATCGACCCCATTCATACATTTATATACACACCTTTAAGCAACTCCATGAATGACACAGGTTTGCCATGCCACACTATACCCGTTACCGACGAACTCATAAGTTATGTTGAGTATCGTGGCCCTCAAGTCATCGACATCGATGATCTGGATCTTATAGGCAATTGTACTACCATGTCTTATTGTGATAAAAAGACGCACACTTGTCAGCCTAAAATGCCTGTTGGTAGTCTTTGCAAGTACAATATGCAATGTTATTATGGAACTGATGGCTATCCAGGCCACTGTAGTAACGGAACATGTTCAGCCAGGGAAGATATTCCTCCGTACTATTATAATATGTCACCGCATTGGACTTTAGGCGATCAATGGAAGTCTGCTGTTGTAGCCCTTCTAGTAACTGGAAGTATAGCAATTGCTGCACTTATTGGACGAACTCAACTGAAGAAACTATACCATTTTATAAAGACAAAGATTGATGCGTACAGAGGCCGTATTGCAGCTAGGGATAATATAAGGAATAACCTGTTGCCTTACATATGGAGCGAGCAGTTGTGGAACGAACAACATGAACAACAGCAAAGATGGTGGAGTCAAGTGCCCGGAATGCATTGGGTTTATAATAAATTGAAGAGGAATCAAATTGAACAGCCCCAGTATCACCCACTGGATGACCGAGGAGATGTATCGCAAACAGTAGCTCTCACGGAAGAACCACCACCTTATAGGGAGGACTGATTAGCAACTTTTCACTTATACATATTCCTCTCTCTCAGCATTTCAACCAAGCATGTACTACTCGACCTTAATTTAATTTCATTTGTCCATCTAATTATCTGTATCCATTTTGTGTCCTTTTCTTTCCTCAACCATTCTGACCTATTTGTCTTGTAATTTTAGCAAACACAAGCACAACTCTTGATTTCAATTTTCCTACAGTTTCAACTACTCAAAATTTACGTAGATACCTTCTATTGAATGAAGAAAAACCATAATATACAAACTTATCACTCCACAGTAACCTGCAAAACAGATAATCTGAGTTGCTATCCAATTCACGCAATGAATCTGATATCAAGCTCACTATTACTTGAGAGAGTATAAGACAGAAAAAAGATAGTGTAAGGACTAAAAGAGGGTAGTGAATTAGTGTCGTCTTTTTAAGTTATTATTATTATTGGTGAAAAAGTTTAATGACCATCTACTTGATCTCTTTTGCTGTTGTGGAGATACTGAATGATCTTCTGTCAATGAACGCTGCGCCGTACTCGCAGGTGTTGAAGATAGTGAAATCTCCATTAATTTTTGTTGTGATGGTTCGTATCCTTGTGAAGAAGCAATTTGAAACCATTCCCTTGCCACTGCCAAATCTTTGGGAACACCCTCTCCATTTAAAAACCTGATGAATTAGGAAGAGGTTTGTTAGTAATTGCTATCAAAGCAACTATAAAATCTACCTTTGCAGCCATTAATCATACTAAGAGGAAAGCTTACATTTTCCCTAGCATATGTTGCGCGTAAGGGTATGGTATTTCTGAATGGCTTGCCGCATTTTGGTAGTACTCAAAGGCCTTATGATAATCTTGTTCTACATGCCATCCATTTCTATACAAGTCGCCCAGTTTTGCCTGACAAAAAGGTATATGCATAGCATACTTTTGTGTACAACACTCATACGCTTTCTTGTAGTCTTGAATTGCTATATAAGTAGATGCTTCCTCTTCTATCGCAACAACAAAACCTTGTTGTGCAGAAGCATGTAGCCACGAAAGAGCTTCTAGAGTATCGGTTTTGACCCCATTTTGTGTGCCTTTCAAGCAGAGATGACCCACAATGTATTGGCAATATCGGTCATTGAGCAAGGTTGCACCTTCTCTAGCGTATCGAAGTGCTTTCATATCATCGTCCTCCTTATTGCTATTATTCTCATAACTAATACAACTCTCTTCATTTTCATTCTCCATGAGTGAGGATGTGAATATGCCTTCAAAAAACCCATACGCTAAATCCACTACCGCTTGTGTTGATCCACATTCAAACGCCTTACGAAACCAATACATAGATTTTGAAGGTTGGTGCAGGGAGTATTCGTACCGATCTCCATATATCTTTCCTAATTCGCAACTTGCTGCAGCTATAATATTGCTTTTCGCTTCAGAGCCAGTAGTGGCAGCAACTTCCAAACAAGTTAGACCTTTTCCAACATCCTGGACGAAGCCAATACCTTTTGAATACAGAAGTCCCATCAAAAAGTATAAAGCTGGATCAACTACCATGCTGCTACTGTTACTCGCGCTTGTTGTTGTATGCTGTGTTAGATAATGGATCAAACTTAAGTCATTATTCGTAGTCAATGGAACTACGCACAGTTGAAGCGCATAAGATAACTGCTTATCAAACGCACTCCTTGACCATATATCAGCTTCTGTTTTATCTGCCTTTATGAGTGCAGTATCAGTTATTGCTTTAACATCATCGATTGCTGGGAAATAAAGTAGGCTGAGTTTTGTTTTGGCCTCTGTCTCTGAGTGTTTTATGGCTCTAAGGCGTAAAAAATTCAATGCCTGAATAACGAGATCGTTTGATGTTGACGCGGCTGATGAGCTTAATATACTAGCACAGTGATGAAGACGGAGTTCATCAGGTACATGTTCCATTTCTTCATAGAGACTTATTGTAGCAGACGGCATGGTAGTTAGTAGTAGTTAACAATGATAGTATGGTAAAAGCGGAGCCAAAAACGCTTATAATAGTGAGGATAGGCTAAAAAGAGATTAAATGAAATGAATGACTGCAAATAAAAAGAAGAAAATGGAAGTTGAGAAAAGCTAGATGAAAACTCAATGATAAAAATTGCAACATTCGAAGTGTTACAAAATGAACTTCATAAAAAAAGGGCAACACAGTCCTGAGGTCTCAGTCGAAGCCTATTTGCAGGTATACTCAGCCTCCTTGAGAAGAAATGGGATTTTCAAAAGTCCAATATACGAGGAAAAGGTGGTTTTTTGAGTTGAAGAACAGACAATGTATGATGAGTCTTGTACTCCTTTACTTTTGTTCATTGACACCAACTTTGTGTCTGTGTATGTCTGTGTTTTGGGATTCTTTCGATTCTTAATGATTGTAGATTGATGATAATGGATATAAGATAAGCAACTATTATTCTTTCTGTAAACACTATTCCTAAAACGCCTTCTTGTATTATGTACACACAGTTAACAACCGAAAGCTCTATCAACAAAGTAAACTTCGAACCCAGCAATATTACAGTAGTGTACAGGCGTGTGTCATCCAGTGCAGATCAAAAAACGAAGGCAAACGCCGTGCATACTTTTACTATGCCCAGCTATACAATTCTTAAAGGGTTTGAGCAATGCACATAGAGTGGCAATAATTAATGTTACTGTATGACATCTGAAGTCTACAGCTAGTTGGCATGGGAACATCTAACGAGAAAGGGCAGTTTTGTACTTGAATCATCACTTTTCGTCAAAATGGCCATCGCTACATTTATCTGGTATCTAATCTCAAGCAGTAACTAGCCAGCGCTCCTTGTAACAGCCATTTATTGAGGTGCATTGCTATATGATAATTCATCTTTGTGATACACCAATATGCTGGATAGCTATTTTCGCTCGACAATCTTGTCGTGTTCTAGCTCCTATCAACCTATAACCTGTACTTGCTTACAAAAGTTCCAAGTAACTATTTACATTCCTCAGAAGTTAATCAAATGGTGTTGGTTTTTGATGAAGCTCTTCGTTTATTTTTGCTCTATATTAAAGCAAATTGTCAATCGCTAACAGTTCCTTTGGAAAATACAAAGATATTGAGTTGCGTTGATCAACTGTGCTCGTCGACAATTGAACGTTTTTCAATGTTTCTATAACCATACAGAAAACTGTACTGAGTGTCTCCACTCATGCCAAACAATTTTTACATAACTGCGTAAGCGAGAGCTTCCATTAATTTGCCTGACAGCCACACAATAAGTCACAATGAAGAAAAAAAAAAAAATACCGCCTCCTCTTTTTTTTTTACATGTTGAAATATGTTTGTTGAAACAGATCACTTCTTTTCTTTTTCTCTGTGGTTTTTCACACACGTACCAACACTTTTCCGTTGCAATTAGATAATGTCTACTATCATTGAAATAAATCGATCACTGGCTGGCAGCAGACGGAATAGGAAGAATGCTGGTAACAACTGCTATTGACATAAGCGATATCAAAGCTACCTGTACTAATCAATGGACGTTATGATATATTAAATGAAAATAGTTGATCTTTCCCTTAACTTTGAACAAATAACTGATAAAAGTCCACAAGTCTCCAAAGGAAGACCGTCTAAAGGTGGCGAAAAAATTCGTGCCAAGCGCTACTACGTGAAAAATCATCTGCTAGTTTTGCATAAGAGGAAGCTAAAAAGATACTACGATAAAGTCATCAAATTATTGTGCAAACACATTTATAATGAAGAAGAAGTATTGAATGAACTGAGAAAGAAATGTACCAGCTATATCGCAAAATATCCCGGAACCAAAGAGTAAAGTATGAGATATAGCTTTGCTACAGCGTGATTGTGAATGGAATACTTTATTGACAAGACTATCGATATAGATTTCATCTCATTTATTACGCAAATATCGTAAGAGAAGACAGATATTTGAATTTTATGGAAGAAGCATCAAATACCTTTCTAGACTCTTATAATGAAGAAATACCCAGCATTGAGATTATGCAACCACTTGAACGGAATATCACAACTAAGCACTCACTTATGCTACTTCATATGTGCACTTTATTATCGGCATATTTACTGCTCCACCATGTCAATGAAGAGTTTAAGGAAATGCCAAGTGGACCAGAAAAGGAAGAAAAGGTTCGACAAGCGTGCACCGATGAATATATCGTTTCTTATGATCATCTTGTCGATCTATATAAAGACTCTGCTGAAGTTTCAACAGAAGATGAATTTGAAACTGTAAAGCGCATTTTCCCCATTGTTCAAGATGCAGAAGAGGAAGAAAACGAAAAAACAATCATCGTAGAGACAACTGCTGAGATAGAGGACGAGAGCAATGCAGAGATGGATGAGGACCAACGATTAGACGAAACAAACAAACATAGAGTTTTCAATTATTTGTTGGCAACATCTGAAAATGACGATTATCAGAGTGACGATGCGAGTGCACAAGTCGATATTGAACCCACAATTACTGAAAGTGCGCAACGAGAAAAATCAGTTTCGAAAATAGATACAGAAGAAGTCGATTTAGCGGATAAAAGTATGGATGAGAGCAATAACTTGTTGGATGCTAAGAACGAACGAATTGAACAAGCTGTATCAAATACAAATTTCGCTACAAGTGCATCAGCCGATGTAATGAAACTCACTCCAAAAAAAGGCAGTAAACGTAAAGCAAAAGCAGATACGGCCAAAGGCAGCAAAAAGTCAAGATCTTAATCCTGTTTTCCTAGGCTATATTGTGCACTTTTCCTCACTTTACCTTTCTGACCCTACTCTTTCACTGATTTTATATCCGTTTAAATTACTGACGCCCAATGCTCATCTATTTAAACATCTACTTAGCTTTTATCAGTTCATTTCTTTGACTTCTTCTGCTGTTACTGTCCTTTCTATCGAAAAAAGAAAAAGTACATTTTATTGTTCCTCAATATGCAGGATTATCGATGTAATTCTGTAATTACATAATATGTCATGGTGAAGTTCAGTAGAAATTCGTATTACATTTGATCTGAACAGGCTCAGTAGAGCAAATCCGAATTGTACGACAATAGTATTACCTGATACGCGTAATTAGACTTAGCTCAACAGCAATCGTTCGATCGTTTACCGAGGGTTCGTTTGCGGTGTACTGTTACCTACTGCAGCTGGAAAATGAAATAAGGTTATTAAGTGTAAATGATTAAGCTGTGCAGGATTTATTGGCAATGCTTACATAATACTTCTTCGAATGTTGCCTGCTTCTGCCGGTTTTGTTCTTTACGAGCTTCGATCTCTGAAGGTTCGACTTTACAAACCAAAACTGGGCAAGGACAGTGTCGGATTAAGTAGCTTGAAACAGATCCCATGACACTCCTTCGTTAAACAAAGACGTTAAATTACATTGTTCCACGGCATTGTAGACGAAAGTAGATAGCGATGTCTTACCTTTTGACAGCACCCAATCCACGCGTTCCTGTGATTAAATAGAGAGGCTTTGTAATTCTACAATAATCAGCAATGGATGCTTTTGGATCACCTCTCAAAACATCAGAAGATACATTAAAAAACTATATTCCGTTATTGAAGAAGAATTGAAAAATTGTTAATCCTAATCTGTCAAAAGTTCCACTACGACAGTTTGATGAAAGGAATTATACCCCGTGCTTTCCCAAGGTGTGGGTTAATTCGTACATCATGACATTAACTGCATGACTCATATTCGTATCCATTTCGCTTTGCAGTACACCGCTTGTTGTCGAAACGCTGGTAGCTAACATCGGTGCAAACAGAGTACGATAGTCATTTTGGCTTACAATATGAACAATACGTATGTCATCTGTTGGTCGTATCATATTCAACTTGATAGCTTTGGCTATCATAGCATCACTATAATTAGAGTGGTCATAAGCAATAACGATAACTCGGTCACCGCGTGAACGTGAGGATCGACGTTGATAAACACGATTGCGATATTGCTGATGCTCCAATTCTTGATTTTGCTGTTGCTTCAGTCTTTGCGCTTTGGGGCTCAAGGGGTCAGTTGTGGTACGTTCCGTCGCGGGAGCAGTAGAGTCATTGACAAAGTTGACTTTTGTTGCTGTTGGAGATGCCAATGGCATAGGAAAGAAACCATCTGGTAAACTGTTAACTTGATTTAGCTCTGGTAGTTGTTGTTGCTCCATGAATGCTTATTTAACACGAAAATAAAGGAAGAGTTTTTTATTGAAAAGCGCTTAGAATTGGGCATCTTTAGTATTTTTACTTTTTTCATGCAGACCAGCCATTCGTGACTTAAATGGGGGGGGGGTTTATCTCAACCGATGTTTCACTGCTGGTTCTGATATGTAATTTGAGAACAGTGCTATAAAATTTCCGTGTTTACCTTGTCATATCGAAAATTGGAAGAAATGTATAAAAATAGACTAAGCATTACAAAAATAAGCATCAGCGAAACTTTTTAAATCGTCATACTGATCAATTTTAAGAGCCAATGCGTACTAAACATTTGTATATAATGTCGAAAATTCGTTTTTGAAGGCCCCTTTCTTATTGAATGTTAGGCCGTATAACTTTTAAAGCAATGTACCTGTTGCATTTAAATTTAGGTATATTGAAGTTGAATAAAAATAGTTTCTTTTATGGTATATTGATAAATGCGTAGTGGTAATGATTGGTATCAGCTGGATAGGTAAATCACTGGTTCAAAGGGTGCAATGAAACACAGTAAAGCGAAAGACGGACACTCCCTTTCCTCGTTTACTTCTTATCGTGAGTAAGGGCAGCGACAATGCCTGAAATTTCCTGAGCAGTTCTAACATACTATTTAAAAGACAAAACGTTAGATTGTTTCCGACGAGCCTGCAACTAGCTCTATTTGCGTACCTCATCATAATAGTTTGCGATGGTTTCGATTCTCTGCTTTTTGGAATCAGTCTGCTGTTTAAGTGCTTTAATTTGTTTGTATATTTGACGGCCTTCATCAGCTTCCTAGGAGTACAACTAAATGAGATCTTCTTTCTACATAATATCAAAGCAATTCTGACTTCAATCCTCAATTTACCTTGAGATATGTATGCTGCATTTGTTTGATCAGTTCCTGCTTCTGCTTATAAATAACTCCTCGATTGACTTGAGAAGGAGAAGGAATCAGTTGAGCTTTCACTCTGTCGTGTTCCTTTGCTTCTTCAACCATATCATCTAAAACACTGAGACGATCGCCGAGCCCTTCAGATACACTGCTGGCTATATCCTATGGAAGGTTGTTAGCTGTGGAGTAAAAAGGGAACACATTTCATGTCCCAACTTTTACATAACGCAGTTAGTTGTGATCTCCCATACCAGTAAATCTGCTTTGTATTTGCATTTTTGTTCTTGAACTAAGTTATCAAACTTTTTCAGTGTCTCTTCTGGCAAGAAATTTGTGAGTTCGCTTTTTAAATGTTTGTAAGGCCCCTTTGAGTGACTATTGTAAAGGCACGAGTATGTTAGATCATTTCAGTGATCTTGTTTTCAAATCGCGCAGCATTACTGTACTCTAGCATCTCAGAACAACTTTCAGCATATCTTTTTGTTAACGCTTTGAAGTCTTCGGCTCTGGAACCAGTTTTTTCTGAGGCTTTAGGCGAGTTTTCTGTCACGTTAGAATCGCTACTCATCGTTATTTTTTAGTGTGGTTTTCTCTCTGGTTATAAAGTGGGCAAGGACGTCTCCCATTTGACCTAAAATTTTTGTATGAGCGGCTGACTACTAAAAATCTTTAGCTAATGAAATTCTTTATCAGATTGTCGAAGTATACTATAGTTACGCTTATATGGAGTTGCCGACTAAAGAATTAAATTAACAACCTTTTTCAGACGGTCTAACATGCAGATGTATGTTCTATAGTGAGCATATAATTTATATAATAGTAACCTACTAAGTGAACAAATATCCTTCGGTATTGATGGTACTCGAAGTTCTATTGCATAAGTTGCAAAAAGTCATAATTCATCACCATAGTTCTAGAAGTAATAGGCAACAACAATAAAAACTAGGCAGTAATTATATACAGCAGAAATGCATGCCATGCTTTCATAAATCAATTGTAAGTAAAAGTTCCTATCTACATACTATATCAACTTGAAAAAGTAATTATTCATTTTAATGCATTCTTTATCAAAATTTGGAAGACTTGTTATTTCTATAAATTAAAGAAGTAAACGCTAAACGTAAAACGTAAAACGTAAACGATGAGAAATATCCGCGGAAGAGAGATAAGTAGATTGCTTTTTTGTTTCTACCATATAAAAGTTAGGTTCTTTATTTTATTTTGTTTTGTTTCTCATTTTCTATTTGAATCATTATATAAAAAAAAAGGTGTTGATGCTCTAGCCTACTCTCTAGGAGAGTAGTTGCCCAGGCAGCCCCCACAAGGAGAGACGTCAACATGGCCGCCCTTGGGGCTGATTGACACAATACCCTATGCCTACCGGCTTGAGGCCCGATAGACGCCTATTTCAGGCAAGCGGCAACCAGCATTACATGAGTAGAAAGGCTATCATTATACAACAAAAGTACTAGATTATCTAAACAGAGGAAACCAATTAATTTATCCAGGAATTTGATCATCTCACCACTAATTTTACCTCTCCTGGAAAAAAACCTTCCATATCTACTCGTCGCAAAAGAGGTCGTCCTGCCATAGAACAGTCTACCTCTACTAAACATCGCAGAAACATGCCTCGTTCATCAACCAAGTCTTAAAAAGCATCTGCTTAGACTTTAATCTTTTTTTACAGTATATTGGACCTCTTTTTTTTTTATTCGCTTCTTACTCGCCAGTTCTCTCGCGTTAAATAGATTAACGGAACTTTCAAAAGTGCTCTAATACTGGCGGGAAAATGTGCTATTTCCATACCCCTATAATAGTTAAACACGAATTAGAGACATCTGCAAAAACTAGACTCGTTATTACGATCATAGAATTGTAATAAGACCTATACACGTAACCTTGTACTCTAAAGACATGCGCATACGTAATGCTGCATTCTAACTGGTTGAAAATTTCAGGAACGAGTACTTAACTCCTTTTGTTGTCAAATACAAACGTTCAGTTCGCCATGAATGCTTACCTCTCTCGGTGTATTATTAAAGGACTAAAGGTGAATCATTCACTTTACAGTTTATATCAATCAATAAGTCGCGTTTACTAAACCCAATTAATAACCGCAAATATTACATTGACAACCAGAAATCTTCTGAAATATCCGAAAGTTAAAGATATTGTGACTAAGGCAGTCGCAGGTGTTGACGGTGATGCCTATGTGATAGGAGATTCTGAGAGGGCGGACGGCTCACAATCTGATGTGTTATATGTTCCGTTAAATGAATTACTTGGGCATGCCCCCATCATTGTCGAAGTGCAACATACAGTGAATTTTGCCTTCATACATCGATCAATCAAGTATTGTACCTTGGCCTATCAAAGGTTCAAAACATTGCCGGTGTTGGTTGTTTTTTGTATAAATGAAACAAGTGGCATCCTTGAGAAGCTTATAAGTCCAAGTATCTTACCATGCGCTATGGATGTTCAATGCGGCCTGTGGGCCCGAAAATGCCACCTTATCAATGGAGGTCGTTCTAAAAGCACAGTACTAGAACACCAAACGGGCGCTGATCAATTGGGAGAGAGGGAGAACCGAAAAACTACAAATACTCCACAAACTCTTGCGCGATTTTAAAATTTTTGGATGAGACCAGTGGGTTTAATCGTTCCCTCTCTTCTGACTTATCAGTGCACGTTGGATGTTCTGGTACTGTGGTTGTTGAAAGACCTCTATTGTTGGATGCAGCCAAATCAATTTGCGGTGCCAGCATCAAAGTTTATCAAGGTATCTTGAATACCAGCGAACGGCTAGCATATTCTCAGCAATTGATCAGCATGCGCAAGAAGGATCGAGAAGATGCGATAATTAAAAAGACAATTTGAAGAGGATGATGATGAAAATACACCTGCTGATAATAGTGACACACCAATCCAGAGACATTTGTACGGTCCTTTGACGAACAAACGTATCAGCGTACCATGGAATTTGTCGAACAATTCAAGAAGACTCGCAAACGAATGAGTTGGAAAGTGTGTCATGGAATGATGCTTGACAAAAAAGGCATGATCCATTATAAGAATGCGGAGTCTCCTCGCGTTCCTTTACAAAATACTTTATGGCATGCTCATGTTGTCCAATGCCATACTATCGCCTTTTTACAGCCCGCCAATCATTATATAGACTCTATAACGGATGATGGTATTCACCGTGTATTTTTCCAACAATAAGACCTTTCTTTTCTTTTTTCTTCTTTTTTTTTTAAGAAGGGAGGAGGGCCCTCATTCTGATACTCTCCCTTTCTTTATAACTCACATTTTAATGAATGTTCATTCAGTAAAGAAAAAAATTGCAATATGTCGTAATGCCTTCAATAATCACCTAAACCAAATAAACGCAATAATTCACTTAGCTCTAATCGCTAACTAGTAAATCTGTATTTATGTCTGGCAAGAACATAAGTAAACTCTGTAATTGTAGCAAAATATTGAAAAGGGCGAATTATGATATAATTGTTTATCTTTTAATGTTATAAGTGCCGAAAGGGGCTTTTATGGCAGATAATGGTATCTTAATGAGAAGATAGGCTGTTGCTTTTTGGAAAACACAGCATTCTCCTTTCAATAAGAGCTCATGTCGATTATTGTTCGAATTATAACGAATGACAGAAATATACAGAAGGCATTAACACTGTCAATTCTTTTGTTTCTTCATCCTTAGAATTTGTATCAAGAGGATTACAACCTTCTCTGATATCTATCACTAGAATCGCTACCTCATGATCTTTAATAGCCAATCTTAAACTTAGGCATAGTTGAATGATCTTATAATTTTCTGCTAATACTTGTCTGCTGTCGCAGAGATGGAATTTCGTCTGCTTTCTGACCTTTTGTGCTTGTCATAGTACTATTGCTATCCGGCAATTTCCTATTAGAAGACATTTAGAAAAACATGGTGTACCCTTTGTAAACCTTTATAAAGAAGATGCCAGTTTTTGAGGTATTTGAAACTCGAAGAAAGAAAGTAACTGCCTTCAGACCTTATACACGCGTAAATACGTTCTTATGGTATGTGTTATTAGTTCTAAAGGGAGCCATACGTATGAGATGCTAATGAGTCTTATGTGTTGAACCTAGAGGTACGTATAACGGAATACAGTACTAATGATGGTTTAATACAAGGTCCAAAAATGAAAAATGCGGAAGCAAAGATAGAAAGTACTTCTCATGTGAAAAGATGATAGCGTGATCAGCATTTATAGCTATCAAAGTTGACTAGTGTAGATATTTACAAAATTTAGAATTTTAGTTTCAAATTGCTATGGGGAGCTTCGGCATAAACTAAATCAATAAAGGAATAATTGAACCGTCAAATTCCGGTTCAGCACACTTAACCTGATAAGCCAAGTATATTTGTCTCGCTCCTCAACAAGCGCAACCACCTGAATTCTGCCCATTGGTGCCAGCTTCACGTAGAAGGTCAAGTCTAGCGTTATTGCCTTGTGCTCCACCCACTCGTGATCCATTTCTGTTATTAGCGAGATATTCAAGAGGAATATTTTTGGCTATATCTGTAAACACTTCATCCACATTCATGCCAGTTCGTGCACTTGTTTCAAAAAATAAGAGGCCTGCTTCTTGTGCGTAAGCTGAAGCTTCTTCGTAAGTGACTTGTCGGCTACCGTTATAAGCATTTCCATTCTGCTCCTCATTCTCATTTTCATTATCTGCTTCAACTTCATCGTCGTTTTCGCATAAATCTAATTTGTTACCAACAAGTGCAATGACTATTTGTGAGTTGGCCTGTCGTTGCAATTCTTTAACCCATCCTTTGGCTTTATCTAGTGTTGGCTAAAAAATGGTAATGATTTGGTTAAGCACCGTCTTCATTGTTGCTTCACTGACCATTACGAGCATAAAGCAAATATCAAAATGTGCTATGATCTTACAGCTTTCGTAATATCATACATAACAATTGCAGCTTGTGCATTTCTGTAGTACATTGGTGCTAAAGAATGAAAACGTTCTTGTCCTGCTGTATCCCAAATTTCATATTTGATTGTCCTGTCGTCCATTGTACATTTCTGTGTTAAGAATGCAGCTATATAATTTTGATGGAAAAAATGAGAATGGATTGTTGATAGTGTTAGCAAAATAGTCGTTGACAGGTTCCGTTGGCGTAGGTGCTTTATTTCATTTTTATCTTGATTTATTTTTGCTCAGCAAAAATTACTTTACCACCAATGGTTGGTTCTCTGTTCTCAGTATATTCACGATCAACAAAGCGAATGACAAGGCTAGATTTGCCAACCGCAGACTCGCCTATAACAATTGTCGACAGTGACGAGAGATGAGACAGTAGATTAGCCATTGATATAAAAATCAGGTGTGACCTGTTTTCAAGTTTGTGGTGTGCTATGCTATACCTAATAAAACAAGTTTGACTGGCACAGGTTTGGAAGTAGCATTATTTGTGTTTAAATTAACTGTTGGTTCTGTAGATGCGGCAGGTGATGACATTGGAAAAAGGAATAAAGAAGGAAGAGCTATCGTTTTGGTGTAGTGTTACTTTTTTGAAACTTAAATCCAGGAAACGAACAAACCCACGTCACTGCAGTATATTGTGAAATCTGTGTTGCTCATAAGGTTTCACATCATATTTTGGAGGAAAAGGCATAGAAAGTGCATAATTTTCAGAGAAATTTCAAGAGCGATGATATAATGGCCTAGCCCTTCCTTTTTTCTTTTTCTGGTTTTTCTTTTTCCCTTCTTTTCATCAGTATTATACTTAACTATAAACATGGTGCTTGTTACAATGGATATGAACATGAGCAACGCTTTAAAGAAGGCTGACATTATTCCTAATAGTAAAGTCATACATAGAGGGCTGGTCAATAGAGTTGCTTTCAACTGACGAATACGTTTTCTTTTTTTAAATACAAAAGTTGTTTCGAATGATTTCACGCCTTCTACTCTTTTGGGTATCAAATTCCCTAATGGTGAAGAGGTCGCTTTAGGTAACTTTATCAAGCCTAGTGACTCACAAGAAGCTCCCGAAGTAACATTTGTTGCACCTGACGAAAATGCTAAATACACTCTTTTAATGGTATGCATATGACTTGGATTACATTTGTTAAAGATAGAGATTATTAATTCTCTCTATAACGTGTTCAAAGATTGATCCTGATGCCCCTTCAAAGGAAGACCCAAAATGGGCTCCTTATCGCCACTGGGTTCTCACCAATGTCCCCGGTACGTATGGTAACGCGTTATGCAACTTCACCTTCTCTTTCACTAACCATTGAAACTTGCCAATCATTTTTATGAAAATAGGCAACGGTGACATTAAGCAAGCATCTGCATTAGATTCTTACTTGGGACCTGCTCCACCACCCAACACCGGTGACCATCGTTATATCTTCCTGCTTTATAAGCAGCCCGAGACCGCAGCAAACTATGCTTTAACCAAAGAAGCTAACAAATGGGATTTCCAAGCATTTACTCAGCAGAACAATCTTGAACTTATTGGTGTCAACTATTTCATTTCTCGTAATGATGAAAATTAGATGAAAAATCTGAAAGGTTAGCAAACAGTTGGGGCGAAAAAAACTACACATACTTCTGTAAAATTTGATATATTTGAAAAAAATAAAGCAAGCATAATCATGTATTTTTCCAAACGAACAGCCTCTGTGCATGCAAGCGATGGTTGATTTATTTGCACCTTTGGTACTTTATCCGCAGTATTACTTTTCTGAATGATGATAGAATAAAGCCTGTTATTGATCTACAGTAGTAATGAGCTTTGTGTCTTTTTTGTACAAAACATGACTAATAAGGATCGCATAATGACATAGACAGTTCGTTTGTACTTTTCTTATTGAGCACTATCAGAAATGATAGTGAAAAATTTAGTCAGGAACCCTATGCTTTTATCACATTCATTATTACATGTTGAGATGAATGACCTCGAAATATGTATATTATACCTGAAGGAAGAAGGAGGAATAGTTATGTATACTGCATATGATAGACTCATAGATGGTGTATGAAAGTGGAGTTAAAATATAGGCTATATTGGTGCAAGAATCCTGAGCATCACATGTCTTATGCATCTAGACAAAGTGCAGCCTTAGTATCATCTTGTGAGCAACTTACATGGTCAATGTTCGCTCGATAATGAAGATCTTTTTTTTTTTTACAAACTTTTCTTGGGGTAGCATAAGCTTGGTTGAAATGCTAATTCTCCATTATAAATAGTAATTACGAGAAAGAGCCTTATCCTTAGAGAACGAGATCTATAAAAATAGTACAGAGAATATTGGTACTATTTTCATTGAGATAGAATGGTGGTCAACGTACATTAGAACCATCTATGGCTCACGGCACTACAATATTTATTTCACTACATTACCTATTTGCAACAGAATGAACAGCTGACAAAGTATTTTATGTATGTTTATATTGCTTGAATTCTGGGTTTTTTTTTTTTTTTTGGCCATGGAAGCAGCAAACAAGCAAGGTAGCAACCAATCAGCAAAAGCATGGATAAAGTTTTCTATACTTCTATAAGCCGACGATAGAATGAGATCATTCCTTAATGGACACAAAGTTAAAGCACTATAAGTTTGAAAAGCATATAAATTTTATACTACGATTCCAGTTATACTTTCAATAGTTATTTGGGAGTTTTGTTTTCTTTTTCTATGACTGATATCGAATAGATAGTTATGAAGTGTAAGTCATAGTGAGCTGATGTTGGAGTTCATGCTTTCGTTCGTACGCTTTGTGTTGTGTTTTGTTTTTTTCGACGAGAAGAAACATACACTAATTTTGAATTGAGCTACGAGAAAGGAGGTTACTATATTGTCAATGCCTCAGCCTAAATGTACGAAAATGTTTCACAATAGTAGGCCATATTATAAAATAAAGGTATCCATATGTTTGAGTAAAGCGAAAGCAGTAGGAGAGATCAAGTGTCCAATTTTTTTATCTTTTCCTTGTTGCACTCTGCAAGCGATGTATCCTTGGCTTATTTACGTAACGTATCCATTGAATTATATGTACATACATAAGCACTCGTGTTTTGCGTGTGAGGTAAAAAGGTTAGAAAGCTCTTACTCGTTTCTCAATCGAATGGTTGAAGCAATGATGATAGTAACGGATTTTATCTTGAGTCAAGAAAGTAAGCATTCGATCTATTATAATTATCTTTAGGCTAGGTGAACGTAAAATTTTAAGCCAGGGGAACATACTAGTTGAACAGTGATAGGGGCATTTGTTTCAGAAGAACTGAGAGCTCGTCTTCCTTTTGATGTGTGTGATAACAACGAAAAAACTAGACTTTGTAGTTTTTGACTTTTAGCTGAACATTGCATATCGCTTTAGAAAGAAAGACAGCCATCAATAAATGACAGTATAAAAGTTAACAAATAATGCCTCTCTCTTTTTGTCTATTTCTTTAATGGTTTTTTTTTTTTTTTTTTCTTTATTAAAACAGCCTTAATTTTTCTATTTTAATAAAAATAGCAACTTTACGTTCATTTGAAGCAACATATATAAAGATCAAATTCATTCCTTTTATCAACCCAATTCATAATTATCCATTCATTCACATTTCCTGACTAATTTTATAGCTAAAAAAAGCATGAATAGCAAAGCTAACAACAGCAATAGCAACAACAACAATTCTTCTTCCTCACCCGCTTCCTCTTCTGCTTCTTCTTCTTCTTCATCAAGTAATAACTCAGGAACAATGACACGTATGCATCCTTCTATTAAACGACCCAGAGCACCTATTGCTTGTTACCGCTGCCATCATAAAAAGGTACAATGAAAATGGTGAGCTGATCGCATGTAGCCTCTCAATTCTAACTTTTTTCTTTCTCTTTTTGACAGGTTCGTTGCGATGGCATTCATCCTAATTGCACTCGTTGCCTCTCAACAGGCGTCTTGTGTGCATATCCAAGTTCTCGTCGATCTCGTAATACGCAACCGACGAATGTAGACCCCTTTATTGATAATCTCTCCCAGCTCGAAGCAAGGATCAGAAGAATCGAAACTGATCTGGAAGCCCAACGTGCACTTGTACGTAGTGTATGTGCAGCAGAGGGTAAAAGCCCTCTCTTACAGGAGCGTGAGCGTGGTGATGGCACCAAGAACAGGCACATGGCAGGCGCTACACTATCATCTCATAGTACCGCAGCTACTTTGACTTCTCGTATGTTCAAAACGGAGAAAGATCTTCAAGAGTCTCGCTCCATTGTGGCTCAATTAAGATTGAAAGGAGAACAGAGAGCAGCACGTGGTAGAAGGGCAGCAGCAGCAGCAGCAGCGGCGGCAGCAGCGGCAGCGGCAGCAGCGAGTTCCCTCCCCACGGCTGGCAACAGTGGTAACAATAAGTCGAACAAATCCAAAGTGGTCGCTTCTTTATCATCTTCCTCGTCGTCATCTTCGACGTCTTCATCATCTTCGTCAGATAAGGAAAGAGCCGTTCAAAATACCGCGATTCGACAGCAATATAAAGCGAAATTAAGAATGAACAATCATCTGAACAACAAAAGAAAGACCAGGAATGCAGCATCGCCGATAGCAACAGCAGCAGCGTCCTCAGCCGGAAAGGTGCCCTTTGCGTCGTCTGCTGTTGGTTATCACGAGAATGATATAGCCACTTTGAATCAACATCCTTTTATGGGCTCTTCTGGTACCAACGGCGCGCCAATAGCTACAGCCCCTTATTCTCCTTTTTATTACCATCATGCAGCTGATACTACGACGACTACTGCCTCAGTCGATGCCATCATGTCGCCTTCACCTGCCAAAGCGAATGATTTCAACGCTCATCACCACTCGTATTACTTTTCCTGTCCGTCGTCGTCAGCAGCAGCAGCAGCAGCAGCAGCCAATAATAATTCGTTAATGATGGACCATCATCATACGATGCAAGGATATAATTACCAACTTGGCCCTATGGATAATGCGACTACAAATCATTCCATTTTGTACCCAACGCCTTCTAACCATCCTTCTTCATCGACTACGGAAGCCATGGCCATGGCAGTCGCTGCTGCTGCCGCAGCAGGCATGGTAGCATCAGACAGCTCGCCTTTTAATCACTCTACTCCATCGCTCATGGTGCAACATCAGCAACAACAGCAACAACAGCAACAACAGCAACAACAACAACAACAACAACAACAACAAGAATGGTCTTATTTCAACCATCATCCACCTTTTATGGCTACTTCCCCTCAACCTTCTCACCTCCACCATCCGACACAGACTGACATCCATGAGTTACAACAATGTCACCAAGAAAATGGATTTATCGATCCAATGGTGATTGCAGCAGCAGAACAAAGTATGGATATGGTGATGGCGTCTACTACGACCGCTCATACGAATCCACAGCAGCAAAAAGCACCCTTTTTATTTGTTACAGATTACAATAACACGAATGATCTATTCCATCAACAATACACTTCGACTTCTTCCACACCCTCTTCTTCTACAACAACAACGAGTACCAATCAGTCAACACCACTTCATCAGTGCACTTCATTTGATTTTGTTACGTCCTCTCTAAGAAATGACAACACGCTTCTTCCACATCCTTCACCATTACTCTCTGCTCCTGATACTCACAGTAACAATGTGACAGCTGATAATGACTTGATCATGACGGAAGCAAATGCCACTGGTGCTATCAATACTATTACTTCTGCTGCTGCTGGTCATCAACATCAACATCAACAAAGTGTGTTGACAACGTCAACTTGAAAAAAAAAAAGCCCCTGTGTCCCCTATCTCTCTCTTTTTCATTATTATGTATGTGTATAGAAGCTAAAATCCCCCCTTTTTATTACTCACACACACACTCTCTTTACAAATAAACCAATGTTGACAAAAGTATGTCAACATCTTAAAAAAAAAAAAGAAATTTTAATGACCTTAAATCTTTTTCTTTTTTTTATTTGTGTACTATGTCGATAACTCTATTGGGTCGTCTCACAATAATAAGGAATATTTTCAAAGCAGGGTTACTTACTTTCTGGCAACCCAATGTTCAGTTCTAAAAAAAAAATGAATGCTTGAATGCTGGGAATACAGACAACTTTTGGAGACCGAGACCCATACTGAAAAAGTAAGTGATGATTTTACATTAAGAAAACTACAGAAAAGATGCTTCGTCCCTCTATAAAGAAAAGCCGCCTATGCTCTAAAGACGGTGAACTCTATTATTATACAGCACTTGTAGCAGTAATGTAGATGGTATCTGAACTGCTGCGCGTAGTCATTGTATTCATTTAAACAATTGTACCTAATGTACGCAAGTGAATATGAGAAGAAGCTATAGCTTTTTTTTTAAAAAAAAAAAAAATAGAGATAAAAATGAAAATATGTGCTATATTGAATGATTCTGTACTTTTATTACAAACTATTTACTAAATAAAGTTTCTTTACATCTAATTGCCTAAAGGTATTACTTTGGATGGATACATGGGGGGTATATTCAAACAGTTTCATTTGTATTTTCAAGTCGACGCACCAAATGCCACATCAAATCCTTGTTAGACCAATAGGAGAAATGAGCAGTAAGACCACTCATGTACTCGTTTTTCCGTAAAAGACCACCTAAAAGACGTTCAGGCCTTAAAACATAGTCAATTCGTTTCTGTCTATTGTTGTTCTTGTAATAGTGATGATTGCAGAGGTAGTCATTTTGATCTTGGTCTTCTTTTTCGGTATATTGCACTGTACTTGATCGAGTGAGGGTTGTATTTAAGAGTTGAATGGATTCTTGAGATAAAGGGGCCTTTTTGAGCCTTTTGATCCTGTTGAGGGTCTCCTTCTTGACTTGTTCTTCTTCTTCAAGGGGCAACAGAGTGGACGAAGAATAAGAGCGTTTTTTACTGCTGTGGGGTGGCTGTAAAATAGGAGTACCCTTGAGCTCGGCTGCTGTTGTTGTTGTTGCTGCTGTTGCTATTTCTGTCGTTCCGTCTATAGCTGACACGGTAATATAGTCATGCATCGTAGTAGCAGTAGTAGTAGTACTTTTTTCAAAGAGAAACATGTTTGAATCAACGGGGCTTCTTTCTTCTTCGTCATCAGAAGAAACGACACTGCCATCTAAGGAGAGTTTGGGTGTAGATAGAGTGGAGGAGTCATAGAGCATTCCCTCTTCTTCTTCTTCTTCGAATGATGGTACATAAGATTGGGGTATAAAGGTTGGAGTATGAGCTGGAGAAAAATAACGTTTCAGGGATGAGAAAAAGGTTTTCAGCAATGTCGTTGAGCTGTCACCCTGTGGATCAGGAAGGCAAGGCACATGGATGCAAGATGTGTCCCCCTGTGGGTAACAACAAGGTTCAAGGGATAAAGGGTGAATACTCGTACTAGTGCTATGACTGCTGGCGGCGTGGGTGGCGGCGGCGGCGGCGGCGGATGTTGTACGAGATGAAGTGAAGGGCGACCTAGAGAAAAGCTTGTTTGGACTAAAAGAAGACGTTGTTGCAGAAGCAGCCGTGACAGTAGGAGAAGTAGCAGCATCGATTAAAACAGCAGGTGTGTGTTTGTAGTCATCACTCAGCATAGGTTCAAAGCGATAACCCTTTCATGTATGAAAAATTAAAGTAGATGTATAAATACATGTATGTAATGTATGATGGAGATCAACTTTAGATACGCATCCCCCCCCCCAAAAAAGAAGCAAAAAAAAAAAAACCCAAAAAAATAAAGAAATAATATTTACCAAGGGATCATAGGGATGAAAGATGTTTTCGAAAATGATATCTTGTGTAGGACGATAATATTTTGGGTCTTGATTTCTGATACATAAGAAGGCACTCAAAGGACTTCCCAAAGTAAACAAGTAATCCGGCTTGAAGAGTAATGGAGCAAATGTAAAGTAATCCACTTTGCCATAGTGATGTGCTCGAAAGCGTCTCTCTTCTTCTGACAGGTTATTCACAGATAAGGAGTATGACTGATTGGAGAGGATATCCCAAGTGATGATGCCGCCTAAAGAATAAGCTAAAATGGCGATTTTGCCCTGAAAAGAGGGGTGTTCGGCCATGAAGTGAACATAGGCTTCGTTGAATGCTTGAGTGACATGATGAATGATGCTTTGCCCTCGATCTTTCGACAGGTAAAAAAACGCGTCGGCGAGGTAATCGTTGTTGACCATGCGCAAAGAGGAAACGGATCGTAACGTGATATCATTCATGGCTTGATCTGTTTCATCATGGATATGCTTGTGCCATTCAATAGGAATGTACTTTACACGAATGGGCTTGGCGTGGAAATGGTCATTCTCTTCCACCGCTTTATTTGTTGTATCGTGAAGGTTTTGCACTGGTGATAGAAGTGGAGAAGATGTGAGAGACCGATCGGCCATTCTATAGGGAAAACACAACACTTACAATGTTTTTGAAAGAATCCATATTGTTCGGTTTGTTGTCCTATACCCTACAGTCATTGGAGGGTCGTCGTTTAGGAGAGGGTCAATATCTATTTATTTTATTTTTTTCTCTTACATGAATGACAAAGACAACATGGTCAATGGGTGCATCTTTATCTTTGTGCTTTGGTGCTTCCAAGGTTTGATGGCGTACGGTTTCTTTTGCTTTTTGAATGGTGTTTTGTACAATGGCTTGTTGGCTGGTCAAGAATTGATAATTAAGATGGAATAGCATGATGGGGGGCAAAAAAGAAGAATCAAGATGGAATAAAAGAAAGCAAAGAAGTGTATAAAATGTGGCAAAAGAAGCTTTCTATAGATATATATATATATATATGTATACATATGTATATTGCTTTTGTAAACTAGCATACATAGAGAGAGTCACTTGTTAGGTACATAAAGTATGGAAACGAACTCTCTCCTTTCTTTTAAGGAACACTCAGTTACTCTTTTACACAATGAATAAAAGGCTTTTTAGTAAGCTACAAAGAACATCCAAATCATCTCCTTAAAAGCAGTGGGTGGCCATGCGCGTATGTGTATTGTGTGTGGGTGTGTCCGCGCGCGCGTATATGTATTCAAGTTTTCTGTTATGGCCACCCCCTTGACGGTTAAATAAAAAGTTTTAGTCCTAACCAAACAATCGTTTGACTTTTGCACAGCTTAGTAGAGTGCAGCCAATTCCCCCCTAGAAATTTGATCTCGATACATAAACTTCAATGAATGCTTCTTTATTTTTCTCGAGTCACAGATCAAAAAGAAATCGCTCTTTTATGCATCTTCCCCATTACTAAATTCCATGAAAAGTCGGAATGCACCGGAATAAAGTGATTTCAAGTGTGTCTCTTTTTCTCGACTTGAACCCTACGTAAAATGTGGTGAAGGAAAGGCCTGAAACAGGATGATAAACAAATCTGCGGTCCCTTTTCCTGCATATAAGAAAAAGCCGTTTTCTTTTGAAGCAACCTTAAAGCCAAAAAGCCCTTTGGTAGAGTACATGTGTAAATTCACTGTCATTGTCTAACGCCCTTCAACCGGAAATAGAAAAAGAAAAAGCCCAGGTACCTCTCCGTGGGAAAGAAAAGCGAATCCTGCAACAAAAAAAGAAAAAAAACCAGATGAGGCACTCAGTAGCGCTTGTTTTCCTTACCCAATGTCTGCACCCACTTAGTAAGGCTATCTTAGTCATTAAACTAAACAAATCGCGTTACTTTAGGGAACTATTCACATCAAAGCGCTCATATTTTAGTAAGCAAAAATCTTAATCTAAAGGCGGCTAAAATAAAATGAAATAACTTTCCACCATAATGATGTTATTCTTTTGGCACTGCGCAAAACAAAAAAAAAACTGAGTTGTTGCGATTTGTCATAAGCACCCATTTACCCCCGCCTCTCTCCGATTTCCCCGCATTTCTTACATTTGTACAAAAAGAAGCTTTTTTTTTGATCCTATAAGCTTAATAAACTATCACGAGCCTATAAAAAAAAAAGAGAAAGGAATCACATAACAAGGCTCTTTTATTTATTTAATTTTTTTTTTTTTAATCCTTTTTGTTTTCTATCTGTTTTATATATATACTGATAAAAAATGGTCTCAGACAAGTTTGAAGCTATCAAGGTCGGCAAAGGTGAAGATCTTGTCACATTAACTAGATGGGTTATCGCTCAACAACAGGTAGAGATAATAGTAGTAGTAGAAAGACGTACGCTGAATCTATATGCATCGTACTAAAAAAGATAAACTGTTCGATCTGGTAAAGGATGCTCCTGAAGCAACAGGTGATCTCACTTTACTTTTAACTGCGATTCAATTCGGTTGTAAATTTGTCGCTTCCAAAGTCAAACAAGCCGGTTTGGTCAATTTGTAAGTTGTCAGGAAATAGAAGGCAACTCTAGATCGGATTTGTCTCCTTAACTATTTTTATTTGTATACATCAGACTTGGTTTAACAGGTCAAGCCAATGTTCAAGGAGAAGATGTGAAAAAGTTGGACGTATTGGCCAATGACATTTTCCGTAATGCTCTTATTGGCAGTGGAAAAGCCTGTTTATTAGTCTCTGAAGAAGACGAAAACGCAATGATTATTGAAAATAAGGATCAACGTGGCAAATACGTCGTCACTTTTGATCCTTTGGACGGTTCTTCTAATATTGATTGCGGTGTCTCTATCGGTACAATCTTTGGTATTTTCAAAGTGGTAAGTAGACTCACCAGAGAGAGGATTGTGTGTGTGTGTGTGGGGGGGGGGCAGCAGCAGTAGCAGCCCTATTCATCCGCTCCTTTTTTCTTTCACCCGCTCTTTCCAGAAAGATGAAAGTAATCCCAATATCAATGACTGTATTCGAAGTGGTAGAGAGCTCATTGCTGCTGGCTATTGTATGTATGGTTCTTATTGTGAAATGATCCTGGTAAGTTTTTTTTTGAGACAGTTGACTCGATATGAAAGTGAGTGCCATGACGTGCTCATCACACTCTTCATCCTACTGTTATCCTAGTCTGTTGGTAACGGTGTCAATGGCTTCACATTGGATCCTTCTATAGGTGAATTCATCATGACCCATCCTAATGTAAGTTTTTTGGTCCATCCATTCTCAAGAGAAACAAGATATACTAACCGGCAAATGATTAGATCATGTTACCTCCTCGAGGCAAAATCTACTCTGTGAATGAAGGAAATTACAAGTACTTTGACGAGCCCAGCAAAAAATATGTAGACCATGTAAAGCAAAAATACAGCGCACGTTATGTCGGTTCCATGGTCTCCGATATTCACCGAACATTACTTTATGGTATGTAACACACTTTGAGAGCACCGTAGTTGTGGTGTGGAGTGCCCCCTCTTTTCTCACTTATTTTATTCTTTTTTAAGGTGGTATCTTTGGTTATCCTGCAGACTCTAAATCAAAGAAAGGAAAGCTTCGTATTTTATATGAAGTGTTTCCCATGTCTTACTTAGTGGAACAAGCCGGCGGTAAAGCCACCACAGGTACACAAAATACGTTGGACTTGATACCCGAACATATTCATGATCGTTCTGGTATTTGGCTGGGATCAAAAGAGGATGTTGAAGAATTGGAGTCTTTCTATGCCAAGCAATAAAAATAGTAGTCTATTTACAAGCTATATAAGCATCATGTATGGAATAAATACTATATGTACAGGGTATTTCTTTTTTAGTTCTTTTTCTTTTTCAACTCAATAAAACAGCATCGTCATTGTCATCATGATCATCATCATCATCATCATCATCATCATCATCTTCACTACTGTCTCTCGAGGTTGCTGTTTCTTCCTCCATCAATTGCTGAATACCCGCTTTGAAGAGAGCTTCAGTTTCTGTAAGAAAGAGGTCATCGTCCGCCTCCTCCACCTCTTCTTTGTCACTGTGATGAGGATCGATCACTGTTTCCTCTGTCTTTGTAGCTTCCATCAATTCTTTCTGCACCTTTTCCAAGACCCTGTTTCATGCATAGAGATAGAATGAGGGATGAATATCAACTTTACACAATCACATCATCCGATGATTCTCTTCGCTTACTCTACGGGAAATCCATTCTGCTGTAATTTGAGCAACATGTATTTCCAATCGAGACGTTCTGGTATGGGTAAAGGCACACTATGATCCACGCCTTCACCTCTTCCCGTCATGCTGTAAAGCACATCATCCATCTTTTGCCCGCATGTTCGCGTCAAATAATCGACAATCATGTTGTACCCATATTCTTGACATGCATCTGCCGATACTAACGGAGGGAGTTGTTGTATGATAAAGTCTTGCATGGCGTAGAAAAAATGATCCTCTGCTTCCTGCTCTTGGACAGCCTTTCTTTGCCTCTTTTCTTGGGAATGCACAGAGGATGTAGTTGTCGGTGTCGTAGGTGCACTGACAGTAGATACAGTACTGCAAGTAGAAGCCGTACTGGAAGTAGGCGTAGGCGTAGGCGTAGGCGTAAGACGGGCTTCTTCACTAGGACGACAAAACGCACGTCTTTCTCTTTGCCATCTCTTTGTGTAGGATGTTGTATTCAGATGAATGTCCTTATGAAGCGTTTTCGCCAACAGTAGTATATCCTCAGGCGGTGCAGCAAAGAATGGTACCTTGCAGACGGGTCGTGTCGTCGCAAGATGGGTAGTAGTTCCAGATGTCCTTTCCCAATGGCTGCTGTTGCCCATCATGGTGTGCTTCTCCCTCCACTTTCTTTGTTTTGGTTTTTCTGGTTGAAAAGGATAATCAGCCTTGGAAAGAAAAGTGTATATCCGCTCGTTCCTAAACAAAAAAAAGTAATGGATACATTATAGGAACAAGAGACTTCCTGGTTGCACTTTCAATAACTCTTACATTCGATCTTCTTTGTCTAATTCAGGGTTGTTTGTTTGATCATGGTGAAAAAGATGATTGCTTTCCTCGGAATCGATAGTATCTCTTTTTGGCCATTTGACACCCATGGTGAGTTCTGGTCTTTTCAAAGTAAATGCATCAAAAAGCATTTGAAGACGATCGTCTTGTTGTTTAGAAGCCCCTGTTATTCTACGCTTATCTACTGGATGCTTCGCTTGAATGGCGTGCAATGCCTTCTTGGCTCTGGTTTCTGCCACCATCGATCGAGTGTAAAAATGTAGCAGGGAGAAACGACAAAGCCGAAAAAATCAAAAATCAAAAGAAAAAAAAAGGTTGTTCATGAGAGGCCCGTTTGTTTTTTCTTTCGACCAATAAGATGCGTGCGATCCTGCAAGCGTCTTTATCTCGTTTTACTTCGTTGAAACCCTCCCCCCCCTCAGCTGGTTGACAAGCGAAAAAGCGCGGCGGGTGAGACGACGGAGATAAATTTAATTGATCAAATCGACTGATTTTATTGATTTGATAAAAACAGCAGAACGGGATAAGGAGGCGGGGAAATAAAAAAAATTTTGATTGATAAAAAAGAATTTTATAGTACAAATATACATGGGCCAACGTTCTGTAATCAAGTTATCAGATTGATTTTTTTATTTTTTTTTCTTTACCTTCTTGTTTATCTATTTTCACCTTTATCTCTCTATTTTTCTTTTTTTTTTTTTTTCTCCTTTTTCATCTTTATTAGTAATAGAGAGTACTACTACTACTTTTTTTTTTTTTTCTTCACTGTTTTTTCTTTTTTTTTTTTTCTTTTTTATGACAGAAATTATGATGGAAACACTCCCTCCTGTAAAGCAAGAAATGACATCTTCTGCTGTATCATCATCAACAACGTCACCAGCAACTGTTTCAAGAAATATCAAGACGCCTTCTCCTGTGCCAAATTTAAAAAGCTCGAAATCAGCACATAATGTTACTCATAAATTCAAGAATGTCGTTTCAGCTACGGAATGTGCTAATTGTGGAACGACCACTACACCTCTGTGGCGAAGAGGCCCCAATGGTGAAACTATCTGTAATGCATGTGGTCTTTATCTGAAAGCAAGAAATGCATTACGACCTCCTTCTTTGAAAAGAGCAGCCAACCGTAAGCAACCCAAAAATACCAACCACATGCCATCCACCTCCCATGCCAGTAGTGGTACCTCGTCTACGCTGAGTATGAACAATAATAGTAAAACGACGACCACAACAACGACGACGACCACCACCGACCCTCTAACGGCAGGAACAGAGATGACGAATACGAATGATTGTGGTAGTGGCACTTGCCCTGGGAATGGCCAATGTAACGGCACAGGTGGATCTTTGTCGTGTGCAGGTTGTCCAGCATTCAATCAACATCAAGTCCATCGACAAGCGTTAATATGTGCCAATTGTAGAACCACCACCACACCGTTATGGAGAAGAGATGAACAGGGGAATACTATTTGTAATGCTTGTGGTCTCTATTATAAGCTGCACAATGTCCATAGGCCCGTCAGCATGAAAAGAAGTGTGATCAAGAGAAGAAAAAGAATCATTGTTACTCAAACAAGTGACGATGATGATAATGACGATGATAATACATCGGTGACGACTGCTGCTACGGCCGCGACAAGCTCTACGACGATGAGTGCTACTACTACGACTACTACTCGGCCTACTTCCCTGGAGAGTCATCCCACTTTACATGCTACTGGTGCTGATACGATCGAGGGTACATCTGGACGGCTCCATCATCCCATCCGACCGTTACCCATCAAACGCAATCACCACGCAATGATCAACAGACACAACCCTCGTTCGATGGACGACAAAGTACCGGAAATTGAAGATGTCGTCATTTCCAAAAAGCAGCACCCTACAGGCATAGGAGGACCATTGAATGATCGGTCCTCTCCTTTATCTGATAAGATTATCTCTCCTACCGCCGCTTCTCCATCATCACCCTCGGTTGCCACTGCTTCTTCTCCTTTATTTTCAAAACCTTACCCTGATGTATCTCAACAGCCACAGCCACAGCCACAGCAGCAACAACAACAACAAAGCCATAGTTTCTTACCACCTATTTCTTCTGAACGACAGTATTATCGATTAGAATCATTATTCAGCAATAATAACAACAGTGAACAACAACAGCCTCTTCATTCTCGTAGAGAATCCTCTACCTCCATTTCATCGAGTCAAACAACTACCAATAATAACAACCTACCGCCCATTTCATTACCTCCTCTCACATCGTCTCAATCCCACCATCAACTTCCCTCGAATATGAGCACCAGCACCGCCGCCACCACCACCACCACTGCTTCTACTACGACCTCTACTTCTTCCTCCGCCACCTCCTTACCTCCCTTATCCTCCTTTGGCAATCATCATCCTCCTAGCCAGCAAGTGAAATCCATCCTCTCATCGCCACCCTCTCCCTCATTACCCATCGCGTTCCCCTCTTACAACACACCATTACACCCACCACGACAAGCCCAAGTGCAAGAACTACTTCCCCCATCGCATTACAATGAAAGGACATATGAACTAGAAGACTTTGATCATGCTCTTGACAAATTAGAACATTTGAGAAGACAAGTCAGACCAGAACAAGCTTATGCTTTATCTCAATTAACTCGATCTTTAGCTGATTTAGCAGCAAAAGCCGAAGCCATTTTATCATTGGATTCATTGGCTTTTGGACGATAAGATCATTTTTTATTCTACTACTAGATGAAAACACACATACACACACAAAAAAAAAAAAAACACATACCAAAAAAAAAAAAAAAAAAAAACCAAAACCAACCCCACCATGCTATTATTACCCTTCCTATTCCCTTTCATATTTTTTTTAATTTTATTTTTGCATCTCCCAACTGCTATAGGGTATATAGTATGTAATGTATTTATATGTGTGTCTATATACATGTTTATCGATTGTACTGCTCTTTTTTTTCCAAATTGTATCAAACAAGCAAAAATGAAATAAAAAAGAAAAAACTGCACCTATTGCGTTCAACTGTCTTTGTTGGAAAATAGATGGCTTAGGCAAAAGAAAAAAGATAGCCAAGTGTCTATCTTTATGATCAAAAGATATGGATCATGGCCAAGAAAGACTCGTCCATTATTTCCAACCTACTTGACTGAATGCAAGTCATAGCTCTTCTCTATTGATATTTATTTCATGCATCATCCTGCTGCTGTTGGACGATCTTTTACGACGACGACTGCTACTGTCTCCAAACAGACTGATAAGATTCGCTTTGCTAGGTTGATCCCCATCCTCATCCTACAGCATCAACCATCACCATCATGGTATTAAGGTTTACATCTGCAATTCATTCATCTGTTGGCCAAGGAAATCCAATCAAATATCAAACATGCAGCATGTTCTGCTGCGTTGCTTTGGAATTCGTGTCCCCTCCTTCATGGGACAATTAAAGCAGCGAAAACAAGGATGACAACAGCTTTTTCATGCGAGCACCCATCGGGTGCTTTTTTTCTTTTTTCTTCTTTCAACTTTTTTCCTGTTATCCGAACAAAATAAAAAAAACTTGTGCATTATAGCTGAAAACAAAAACAAAAAAGTAGAAATCAGAAAAGAAAAAAAAAACCTTAAAAGTAATCATTATATTTAAACTAGATCAATAAAAACCTCTTTTTCCTTGTTTCTATAACAACGAAACCCCAATAATACAATGAAATTGTACAACTTAATCTATTCTCTAACGTTACTGTTGCTTGTCGAAACGTCAGCAAGCCAGCAACAACAACAACAATCACTACAAGTGGCCTTTCAAAAACAGTCTGTTGTCATCGAAAAGCCAGCGATCGTGAATTACCGTCTTCATGGACGATTTCTTCATATCACGGATATCCATGTAAGCTACTCACTTGCCCAATAGCATTGTCTCCTTCATCAAAGAGCGCATCCCCACTCATCCATAGTCTAATTTTGCTAGCTAGACAAGCATTATTTAGAGGGAGCTACTATCAAATCGGACTGCCATCGAGCACCGCATAAACATAAAAAGAAAAAAAAGAGACAAGGCAAATTGGCAGGTTATTGGGGTGCACCAGGTACAGATTGCGATTCACCTCGTCGACTTGTGCATCATGCCATTGACACTATTGCCAGAGACTGGAAAGATAAGATTGATTTTATCTTATGGACCGGTGATAACGCCAGGTAAAAGCTGAGTGGGGTGGGGGGAGGGGGTTTGTTCTATCGTTCAACAGCGTCTCATTGAGTTTTGTTTGATGCCGGTAGACATGATGGCGATGTCAAACTAACGAGAACTAAAAAAGAAATTCTTGGTTACAATAAGAAAGTGACTCAATTGATACAAAAAGCATTCACACTGGACAATAATCGAACACTACCTATTGTACCTTGCATAGGTAGGGAATATATATAAAAAAAAAACAACGAGTGCTTCTTAGCAACAGCGAAAACAAAAGGAACTTGTTTGACATACACTGACTTTTTTTTTCTCCTTGAAATAAAGGGAATAATGATGTTCATCCTCATAATCAATTAAGAGGAATGAAAAACAACCCACAACTACTCGAATACAGTCAGCTTTGGTCAGATTTCATACCACAAGATCAACAAAAGCACTTTCGCAAAGGAGGCTATTTTGCAAGCGACGTTGTGCCTGGCGCCATCCGCGTCCTCTCTTTAAACTCACTCTACTTTTTTGGCTCCAACGATATCGTAAGTACCTGTAGCGACCCAACGTCACCAGGCTATCAACACGTCCAATGGATGAAGAAGCAACTGAAGAAGGCACGTCAAGAGAATATGAAAGTGTTGATCATCGGTCATGTGCCCCCCACCGTAAAGACATTCAAAGACAGTTGTTTGGATGATTACATCAAACTATCTACAAAGTATGCCGATCTTATTATCGGGCACATGTACGGACATTCCAATATGGATCATTTTCAAATTATCAGTAGAAAATACAGCGACGTGGCCCGTCTCTCCAAGGAGGAGGACGACGACGACGACAATGACGACGGTGAGGAGGAGGGTAGTACAGTGGAATGGATCCAGAAAGATGCAGATCGTTTCATTTCTACTCTACATAAACAATACAGAAAACTGCAAAAGATCAGAGATAGAGAAGATTTGGTCGTCATCCATGTAGCTCCGCCTATGCTGCCCTTATTCTACCCGACATTCCGTATCAATGAGTATAATGCAGACATGACATCATCTCACTTTGGTGATTGGTTACGATATACACAATGGTATTCCAATCTGACTTATTGGAACGAACAAGTGGATAATCAGAAACAACAACAGCTCCTCACCCAAGCCAGCAACAAAGAACCGTGGCACACAAAACCGGAGTTCGAAATTGAGTATTCCACCGATGAGACGTACAACATGACAGATTTGACAAGTAGCAGCTGGTTCGAATTTGCAGAACGCATCAGTTCGAAAGAAGGACACGACTTATGGAAAGTCTATCTGTCGAATATGTTTGTTCAATCGAATAATGACTGGTATGGACAGAGTCTTCCTGAAGATGACCACGATGATCAGGACGATGACCAGAACAACGAAAACGAGAGAATGCCTTTCATCCTACCGCTACCAGCCATGGCCTGGTTTGATTGGTTGAAACAGAAAGCTTTTTTGTTTGCTGAAATGCTCTTATAGAAATCCCCTCCCCCATTTTAGAACCCTTTTTTTGGACCCCCTCTACATATTTCCTTTTCTTTTTCCCTCTCTCTTTTCGCTCACCCGTTGGTCCTACTTTCTTTTTGTACGACCACAGCGTTGATTGAATAAAATAAAACACACAGAGAGATCCCACCACCATCACAAAAAGAATGGGTTGCTGTGCATCAAAACACGAACTGGATGATGTCCGTCAGGAAGCCGCTTTAGCAGAAGCGGTAGATAATGCCCATCGTATCTTTATGGACGGCCAATCCAATCCGCCCATCGTCATCACCAAAGAGCATACGTCGCCTACGTCTTCAAAAGCTTCATGCTTACCTACACCTCATCCTTGCCCAGACCCCGCTCCTGCATCTGATCCAGAATGGAGGCTGCCTGCGTCTGATCCAAGAGAGAAACAGACCGGACAAACACACGATACCTCCCACAGTAGTGACGCAGCAGCATCAGAGCAAGCAGCATCACCACCACAACAACAACAACAACAGCAAGGCGAGCAGTCAACGAAAAAGCCCCCCGTTGTCATTGAAGAAAGAACACAAGAACATAATTATGGTGAGCCTCCCTTATTCGATGACAAAATAGCCACTATTAAATCGGTCAAACCTATCGTGGTGATGCAACCGAGCTCTCTGCAAGATCCTGCTATTGTCCCTGCCGCAGACATTCCAGAAGCAAGACAACAAGCTATCAAAGCGGGAGTATTACCACTCAACAGTCCGAACACGACGACCGATACGACGCCTGATTCGCCCACGAGTACCACAACTTCATCCGCCTCAAAAACTCCCTCTATGAAAACAGCAACCATGTCTTCGCCTACAGCAACAGAAGAGCCACAGGAAGACCCATGGACTGTTGTGTTACGTAAAAATACCTCGGCCACCGATGATCTTGTTCTTCACATACCTACCAGAGAAGCTGATTTCCTCACAGTCGCAGAATTGAAAAGCCAAGTGAAAAAGGAACTGAACATTCCAACGGATATCAAATTGATTCATATGGGACGTATTTTGGTAAACGATCATAAACTGATGCCTGCTAATCAAGACCTGCACAATACAAAGTATGTCAAGGTGTCTGATCATGGTGTTATCCAAGTGATGGCGATGAACCAACACTAATACTTGTGGGGGTTTTTTTTTATCTATTTTTGACTTACTCTCTTACACCTACTTTTATACTCTCTTATTCTTTTAATAACTAATGATTCTATAACGATGCTCTTGACCACTCTTTTTGTATATTTATTATCCCCCATGGATTGATTTTTATGCGGGCGGAAAATTATCTTTCATCACATCCCCCTCTCCCTCCCCCACTCCCGCAATAGCACTACCAATAGGAAGTTTCAATAAAAACCAGAATTGCCTCAAGATATGCACATCCAGATCTGGCAAATAAGGTCAATCAAAATGAAGGTACAGATGTTTGCTCATCTCCTCACATTCTCGTTTTATTTTCCTTTTTCTTTTGCACATGTATAAAAAAAAAAAAAAAAAGATTCTACAAAATTAATGTGTGGTGATAACTCTCATAGGGAAATAAGAACCTAAAATACAAACATACGTGTGAGTGTGTGCGTGAGTTTAAGCAGGAGTCAACTAAAAAATGGCTACTATGAAATGGTTACCATCGTTAGGAGGAATAAAGTCTTCTGATACTTTCCACTTGGGTTGAGGGAAAAATCGGGGCGTAGGAGGCAATTTTTCTGCAGAATAAGTCAATTTCTTGGAGTTTAGTAATTCAACAAGAGGCTTTGTTTCCTCAACGGTCGTAGTAATTTGCTCTGCAGCTTTCTCGGCAGGTAAACTGGCCCTCACAGGTGCTCCCTCAATCATAAGAGCAACATCTTGTTGGGTATAAACCGCTAATCTGGGATAATTTCTACGTGTATCACGATTGAAATAATAATTGTTGCTCAAGTTGGATGCTGAAGTTTTAGGTGTGGTATATTTTTCAGGTCGAGAGCTATTCGTAAAATGACAATGACATCAACACTCAGTTACACTTTCTGGACCTTTCGTCCATCGAACAATATCAATTTTTTTACCCTACGGCAGGTGTACGGAATTTACCAACGACAGGCATTCCGTCTGTCGATAAAGGATTCTGTCGATCAATTATTAGTAAAAGTAAATTAGTCAATGTGAAAAGATATGTCTCTCTTTCAAATAACATGGATAGCGCTCAAACACATACCACTGAGAAATATTTCTTCACCCAAGACCAAGTTTTTGAATTCCAAGACATTTGTTTGTTGTATTGATATAAGAATATCTAAAAAGACGGTTTAACATTCATCATGTTAGTCAACTGATTTCTCCTCATCTTATGTCTTGCTCAATCGCATTACATTGGAAAAATGGGTAGTGGATCAACAAAGAATACGGAAAAAAAAAATGGGGAAATTTCAGGCCCTCTTTGTTTTTCTTGTCTGGAGTAGAAAACAAAGAAATAAATGACATCAGCTTTGAACCCTCAAATGTGGGGTACTTGTGGTGGAGTAACTCAGCTTCCCAATTAAACATTGGGTGTTCTAATACGACCCGACCTTTTTTTTTTCATCTTTTGAATCATACTGTATTGAGAAAGTGTGAAGGCGGAAAGAGAGTTAATCTTTACGTTTATCCGTAAAAACGGCTCGTCAAACGATGATTTCTTATTTTGCTTTACCAGGAAGGCATTTGGGAATGCTTGGTCATTGTTTTCTTTATTACAAGTAAATACAAACGGGAAAAGATCGTTCTGTATCGAAGCGAATCCATTTATCATATTATTGTAACTTCACGAGTGTGATGCTATAGGTGCGCTGTTCTGTGTCAGGCCTTACCACCGTCTCTAACTCTTAACTTTTCTCTCTGAGCGCTTCCTTTGCCGCTAAACACAATGTTATACTTTTGACATCAAGCGTTCTCTTCTTTTTCGCGTCAAATGAGCGCACAGAGATAAAAGTGACAGATAGGTGAGAGGAATGGAACATTTTATTGGGAGAAAAAAAAAAAAAAAAAAAAGAATAACGTAATATCACATTATATAATCAAAGTCTTCACGTAGATGATTCAATTTACCAGAACTTAATAGCCGCTCACGGTAAACGTTTTGTTGTTGTTGATGATAATGAAAGTTTTCATCTGCTGGGATTGTGAAACTCGGTGTAATGAAATTGTTGTTGGACGAATGCTGTGAGTACTGAGGTTGCAACTGTTGGTAGTCTTCGAAAGAAGCAGGTATAACTAAAGCAGCTGTAGTAGTTGTGGAAGAGATAGAAGAAGTAGTATGACTATTTACAAAAGAGTTTGAACAAGAAGGTAAAGATGCGTTCAAAAGTATCGGCGAGGTGGTCGTTGACGTTGTCGGTGTGTCGTTCAGAACAGGAATAGAGATTGAGTTATAACTGACGTTATGATTCAGGCTATGGAATGATGGTTGTTGATGATGCCTAGAGAATGTTGTTTTGTTCACAGGAGTGATAATAGCAGTAGTAGTAGGAGTAGGAGTAGGAGTAGTAGTAGTGGTAGTAGTAGTAGTAGTAGGGATATTATGCTTTGCTAGTAATTCTTGTTGTCGTTTCAATTGCTCTTGAAGCATCTCCAACTGTCGTTGTTGGTTTCTATGAAGCAATAAAGCGGCAATAGTAGCGTTCGTAGACAAGTCAGAATGAGGAGCATGATGAAGAGGATAATGATGTTGTTGACGTTGCTGCATCTTTTGTTGTTGGCGTTGAAGTCGATGTTTTTGTTGCACCTTAGCTTGCAAAAGAGACAAACGCTCTTTTAAGGATTTGTTCCTTTTTTCCAAATGCTTGATGTAATCAACGGATTTAAAGAGAATTGTGCTCTTTGAATTATTAATGTCTTTCAAAGTTGGTATCAATTCTGTTAAATCTTTAAATCCACCACGAATGATGTTGCGTCTTTTTTGTTCTGAAGCGATATGATTTGCACGCTTTTGATCAGAGGATAGACTAGTTGCAGCCATCGTGCTGACCGGCACAGTGTGGTCGTTTTCTGTTACGTCTTTGGGCGTTTCTGTTGGTAAGGAGGGCGGTGATGATGTCGGTTTGACTTGATTTTTAGCCTGTTCTTCTTCACTGGCAACGTCTTTATCATTACTGATAGCAGTAGTGATGGCAGTAGCCATGTCTTCTTCTACAGCTTCTTTGCTACTCCCATGACTTAGAGCGGGTGTAGGCATCGTGTGATCAATTACTTGTTCCTATTAACCAACATTTGAGTAACCCACAGTAAGACTCATCATTGTGAGAAAAAATTACCTTTTTTAACAATTCCTCGTTTAGGAAGGAATTCAAGATATCAGACATTGGACTTTTGTCATTATGAATCAGCATGTCGCTTGTTAACGTCGACTCCTCTTTTGCCTGAATAAATAAAGAAGCTTTTCAAAGTAGATATATGAGATACATTTGTAGAAGAGCGTCTTGAAATGTATACTCTATGCTTATTACCATCATAACAACCATCGTAGTTGAGGAATTGAGATGCTTGGAAGTCTTCTACATCGTATACACTGGCCTTTGATTCGATGAGACCAGAAGAAAGACATGGCAATGGGTCCCACAAAGAAGAGGCATCACTGGCTGTACTGACTACACTTGATGTCTTGTGTGCTGGATCGTAATTATCCATGATGGTCGTTTTTTGATCGTTAAGCATTTCTTTTTTTTGTTGAGAACAAGGCTTTCACTTGATGAAGTAGGAAAAAGAAGCTGAAGAAGAAGAAGAAGAGGAGAAGTAGTAGTAGTAGAAGAGTAAGAAGAAAGAGTAGAAATATTTTGTAGGGGAAGGAGGTTGGTTGTATAAATGGAGTGGATGTTATATGCTTTTTATCATTCAAGTAAAGTATTTAAAGCTATCAAAGGTTTCGATGGGCTGTTTGAAAAAGAACAAGAAAGGAAGAGAAAGAACTCAAAGAGTGATGATGACTCAATAAACTCCTATTTAAAGGTTCAAGTCCAAAAGCATGTAATGCACATTTACCTTATTTATGCGTGTGATGTGTGCATATTGGAGAGGGCCCTTTGAACCCTTCTAAAACACAACACATATACATACACACACACACAGACACACACCCGAATTTCTCCGCTTAAATTGTTTAGTCAGGCCAGCCTGTTCAAGACAAACCCATCGTCATTCAAACTTTAGTCCTTTTGTCTAGTGTGTATAGATTTGCTGATTCATAAGGTTTCATATGAAGTACAATGAGAACGGTAAATTTTGTCACTTTGCAATGATCCATCGAATTGTGCGAAGCATCTGAGAATGAGGAAATATGGATTATTGTTCTTTTGCTGAATGCCAGATTGGTGATATTGTTTATTGATAACGAAGTTAATCTTGTCTTTTTTTTTTTTTTGGGTGACCTGTACGAAGCAGTACGATATGTATTTTTGGTTGCCTAATGCACTCAAAACGCTGTTGCAGTTCCTCGGATGAATTGTTTTCATTGTTACCGCCTTACTAATGCTATTGTTAAACAGATTGCCCCACAGGCCGTCTTTGATTCAGCGAATCGCCTATTGACGCATAATATACTGTAGACAGCGCTTAAGCTGATCCAAGATTTCCAGAAAGTAATACAAAAGTAGGCTTATTGAGTATGACTACACTTGCCAAGTAACATTGTTTATCTTTTACTTACAGCAGTATGAAAGCGCAAGCAGCGAATAGTCAGTAAATACCATGCAATTGAATCACCTAAAAGTTGAGTATCTAACCCATCCGTTTGAATGGTTCAAAGTTTAAGGCTACGATTAAAAAAATGTTTGATATATGGATTTTGACCGTATTGTTTCACTGAATCACACACACAATTGTACACAAGCTACCCCGCTTTTTTTTGGAGCAACTGGTTTTTTTTTAATTTTGTGTCTGGCTTCCTAGTGTTTCTCCCACGTCTGCAAAAAGTTGGGCGCTCATAGATCTGTTGACCAATGAGTTGAATGATTTATCATCTTTAATGAATCAATATTTTTTTAAAATGGGGAAGGAGGGGCTAGAAGAGCTGGATTTTCTATGACTAGTGTCGTATTTCATAGAGATCAGGAGCCGATAGTTGCTTTTATTGCTACTATTTATGTTTATGTCACTCTAGGCTACGACTAGAAAGAAGGCAAGTATACTTGTGAAGAGAAACCATCCGCGTCATTTCTGACGTTGCCGTGCAGCGGGCAAGAAGAGGCAAATAAGACAATCCTAACATCATAGTGGAAAGGGGGGCGTCAGCATTAACTAAAAACCTATTTTTATTGCAACATGATTCCGCGGAACAAAGTCAAACCTTTTTTGTAATCCCAGTTTCTTTCCTTACTTGAGCAAAAAAGGTGCATCCCCTTTGCCTTTCTATAAAGTATACAGAAATGTGTAACTAGCAAACAACAAGCCTAAAGCCTAGATTTGTGCTGTAGTTAGTAGAGTACATTGAGAACGGTAAATTTTGTCACTTTGAGGAAATTGAATGTCCATAACCAAAAAATAAATGTCACTAAGCCAAAAATTTATGACACTAAACCAGAAAAAAATTGTCCCAAAAAGAAATCTATTTGTCCCTTTATGTCTACAAATTTTATTTTGACTTAGTTTTTGGACCTCTTCGTTTTCCTTTTTTTGGTCCAGAAAGACGACATTCTTGCTCGGACCGGACTATGATAGTTGCGGTACTTGCGATACTTGCGGTACTTGCGATACTTGCGATACTTGCGGTACTTGCTGTCGTATTTGAGGGTAGATGATATACAAATATTGAAGATATAATTCACTTTATGAAGGATAAAGATGAATTATACAATATTGCAAACCAGAAATAATTAGAAACTACATAAACTCTAATATATGAGTACCGTGAATTAAGTGTTGTGTTTAGTTGACAGCATCATATGAGATGTGGAGAACTCGTATACAAATTATACAAGATCCTCACACCTCATTACTGCTGAAATATTATAAAGTAGAGTAGGAAACGAATATAGAATAAGTGATGATTCTTATACGAGAATAGCTACCTCGTATAAGGCTGAACAGGTTGTCATTTAGGATATATAGTTTACTTATTTTGCTATAATACGTTACTATATGACATGGGATATATAGTAGAATTAATATATGGACATGCAGGATATATTGATTCAACACCAAGGTATAATAGGTTATAAGGACTATTCTCTGCCTTCGGCATAAAGAATGATTACAAGATAATAGTTTGTGATCATCCTTTACAATAACTGTTCACTCAACTCAAACACCACGCACGAATAATATTTTCCTAATTAATTCTATTTTCCTGCAAGCAGTGCTACATAATGGTTAGCACGGAAAAATAGGTTAGTTGCATGGTCACTAGATCAAGCCATGGATACGTTTACAAGTCCACCCGCTCCGGGTAGATGCGTAATCTCCTCAAGGGAGAATTCTATTCTTTTACGGTTCAGAAGACGTACGTCTTCTTTGAGTAGAATAACTCAGCTGTCAGTTTCTAGGTTCCGCAATATGAAGAAGATATTTAAATTTTTGCAGTAGATATTTTTCTTCTCTTTGAACTTAACTTGATTCAAATAAAGACCTACTAGTTTGATCTCGTTAACTTTTTATTGTTTTAACTAAGTGATATTTAACTCTACAAGTCGTCAAATACCACACTTGCGATACTTGCGATACTTGCGATATTTGCGGTACTCACCTTAGGGTAAAACGTTTTAGGGGTATTTTTTTGTCTTGTTAGCATGTATTTAAAATTTTGTACTTCTATCTTCAAGATATATAATAGTTTTCACTTTTATTCAAAATGTCGCGTATGTTACTAGCCAATGTCTTCAACTTTAAGCATAAAGAATCTCATAACTTTATTTAGAAACAAACTCTAATCTAGATGACGATCTTTCTGATGTTCTTACTATAACTCTACCAAGACGCCCAGGGGCTGATCTTTCAAGTAAATTACTTTTTAGGGAAGACGAAATTGTAAACATCGTTGTTAAAGCAGCTACTGGTAAGATTGTATTTCAATACTGACTGACAGAATTTTGAAGGTTCCTAAATGCTTTTACATGAGATGGCCATGTTAACGGTTCTTTATATTGTGTTTCCTCTAATGAGTTTTCTGACGGAAGGAAATCAGACATTCTCTACATTCCTAAAACAAATAAGCCAACAGAAACCACCTTGCCAATAATTGTTGAAATACAACAAATTGTTGATATCTCTTTCATAAAAAGAATTAATCGATACTGTTTGAATGTTCATGATGCGTACAAAGTATTTCCAAAAGTCATCGTCTTTGTTATCAAGGGATTTTCAAGTAAAGCGCTCATGAATGATTTTGCTATAGAGGAAGGTTATCCTTATTATACAACACACAAACAATACTGGGCACATTTTATTCAATTCTACAGTTTGGACTCAATTTCATCTTTTGTAACTGATGAATCTACTATGACACCTATTATAGCATTAAGTTATTTTTTATGCAGTCAACAAAAAAGTATCATGGCTTTGGACGAGAGTGAAGATGAGGAGCTCAGAAAAATTTACAAAATTGCCTATCGCTCTTTTTTGCAGTATGCTACAATTGAAAACACCTTGACCGATTTGGCAAATGATGTTCTTGACAAAACGAACAAACAGTTCGAAAAAATTGTGAACTGTGCACATGAAAATTCAGAAAGTTCACTAAGAGCTTATGCGAAAAATGGATTGGAGTTTACCGAGAAACGCCGAAAACTTTTTTTCGAAAAGGAACAAGACGCTACTGTCACCCCAATTGAAATTGTTGAGAGCGCTGATTTGTTTTTTGTCAAGAATTTTAGAAATAATATACCAGGAAGAATGAACTGGTCAGCTTGTTATACATCAGGACTGAGCGACGGATTGTTTAGCAGATTTGGAAGCCCTCTATCTTTAAAAGATGCATTTCTAAACGACAGATTGTAAATGTTTTTTATTACTTATGCTGAACAACTTTATTGCGTATTGCTTGTAAACCCTTTACTAAACCAAAATAAATCCCTTTCATACGTGTATTTTTTATTACATTGTTACAATGTGTGATTAAATGCATAAGATTGAAACTAGAATATTATATTGTACTATTATTGTACCTTAAAATCATTCTGAGTATTCCGAACGTCATACGCCTCCTAAAAAACCACCTCTAGTCAGTATATAAAACTAATTAGCTAACTCCTCGACAATTTAGATGATATTCATGATATGAAAGGGCTGTAAATCGACATAGTTAACCTCTCTGTTCAGAAGTCTAAACTAATTATGCAAAACAAAAATCCTGATAAGAGGTTACAAGTATATTTACCTGACAGCATACCCACCAGAACTCAATCCAGTAGAATTAGAGATGCGCATAAGTGATGTAACTGAAGTTCTTGGATACGTAAAAACTTATATAAAAAATCAATAAATTGAACAAGACTGGAAAAGGGGTTACTTTATTAACAACAGCAATGATTTGAAAGAAATATCGCGTCTTCAATAATTTATAATCTTAATTGACTTTTTTTCTCATGAGTATTATTCCAGCTGCTTGGTAATTGAGTCTATTCTTTCAAGGTGTGACATTCTGTAGATATAATTCATTCAGATGGTAACCTTATTATATATAATAATTGAAATCTTAATTCATATCATTGTACAACCTTAAAAATGTAGTTATGAGAATTACAGTAGGAGCAGATGTTCCTGGTGATTCATATTAAGAGTTTACAGTTCTGTGTAGTGAGAGTCAGTAACTATTGCTCTGTTTACAACAATAAGCAAGTTCTATCAAATGATGTGTATGATTTGGTAGTAATTATTATAATAAACTCCTTTTAAAACATCTTAAACATATTTTAGTTTCTATGAAGACAACATTAATTGTTCCTGCACGGGCGATATTTTAGTTTTGAGTGAACCAACATTTTGATTTAGTGAAAACATTTTGTTCGGACTGGCAAGTACCGCAAGTATCGCAAGTATCGCAAGTACCGCAACTATCATAGTCCGGTCCGAGCAATAATGTCGTCTTTCTGGACCAAAAAAAGGAAAACGAAGAGGTCCAAAAACTAAGTCAAAATACTTCAATTTGATGTAAGTTGTGACACTTTTACTTCAAAAGGACAAAATTTGTAGACATAAAGGGACAAATAGATTTCTTTTTGGGACAATTTTTTTCTGGTTTAGTGTCATAAATTTTTGGCTTAGTGACATTTATTTTTTGGTTATGGACATTCAATTTCCTCACATACATGAGTGAGACTAGAGGAAAGAGACTGTTCCATTTTCTTACGATATTGCTTTTAGAACACACAAAATTACCACACAACATCACGAAGAAACAGACAGTCCAACTGTCAGAAAGCCTCAGAAGCACAATAACAACCGAAGGACAAAAATTTAATTATCCAGCTTCTTCCGCATGAAGAGTAACTTCCAGCATATATTCAAAGCATTGGGTGCTTTTGACTATGCTGCTGTTGCCAAGCTAATTTCAAAATCTGCAAAGGTATTTTATACCTCCACCTCTAAAAAGCCTTAGATTGATGGCCTTTCCGTTATATACTATTCTTTTGAACTGACAATCTGTGTTCTTGCAGGCTCATCAGTCGATCTTTTACCAATTAAGTAAACTGACTCATTGCGAGACATCTTACTCTCAAATACAATTTCTCAGATCACGATGGTTTGTTATGCGAAAAGATAGCGTAAAGTATAGAGTGAAAGGCACCTACCATCCCCACTCTCTCTTTCTAGCGAGAATCTGTCAGTAACGTACCTTTTACACTGAAACTTAGTCCTTAGAAATCGTGTACAGCAACATTGCAAATGAGCTTTTAAAAGAAAAGTTAACCATAGCAACGTCGACCACACTTCCTGCTGAAGAAAAGGAATATTTGAGCAACATACTGGATGCTCTGATAAATTTTTGCCAAACTCGGCGTGAAATGATCCTATTATATCAATCCATATTAGCCCAGTCGCTTAAGGGCGAATTCGCTGATATTTTATTGGAACTGGAAGCTGTTCAAACCAGGATTCTAGATATGGGACTATCCAAGGATTTAGAGTTGCTGGGACTAAGTGTAGAAAAAGAAATTACAATCCTTACATGTTTGATACGAGCAAGGATAGCCATCACGCGCTATTCATTCCAAGATGCTTGCTTGTCGCTCTTCGAGGCGAAACAAGAAATCACTGAATGGAAAAAGTTTTGTCTAGAACAGGAGTATCCAGAGGTACAGAGACGCACATTTTCAAAGGAAACATAGTGTTATAGATTGTGTTAGACGAAGGCTGATCTTATCCCGTTCAGAAAACTCCTTCTAAATCAGCAGAAGCTAAAGAAACATCTGGCTGGCGTTTTCAGTTGTTTGGTCAGTTAGAGGTATGAACATATACAATATTGATAGCCCGAAAAAAAAAAGTGTGCAGATCAAATAATATGGTTTTTTCTTTTACGAAAAAAAAAAAAAAGTCAAAAGCGCATCATAAACAGGAAGAAACCTGGCCTAATACAATTAAATGGCACACTCGAGTACTTGGAAACCTCACATCAAAAATGGCGCTGTATTTCAACACTATATTACTTGAAAAAGAGGCCATGTTGAACAAAAATGATCCCGAAAAAACCCTTTGGACTGGGCTTTCGATAAACTATCATGAGCAGTAAATATAGCAACATCCTTTTAGCACACAATAGTGAAATAACTGTTTAATTTTTACCACACTGCTGGGATAGAATCGCAGCGTTTAGAAAAAAATTTGGCGCGTATAGAATCAGTTTAGTATACGAAGTGACTGATGACACGCCATTCTTCCCTCAAGGCTATGCCTGTCCAGATACCCCTTATGAAGCTCCTCAAGGCATACATTCATTTCCATTTATTTATAGTCATCCGCAGGTAAGAAGCCTTGATAATAACGTTGACTCAACAATAAAGATCATAAAATGAATTGAATATCTATTTTATGTCAACAGGAACATCCGTTCAAGCATCTGCCTAATATTATTTCCATCATACAAGGAAGTAAACAAAAGCTCAGCGATCCAAAAGCGGCCCCTGTCCATTTTCTAGACAATACCATCAACAGTACGTACTATTTGATGCGCATCGATAGACACGCTGTCTTTATCATTATCTTTTTAGATAAGCATGTTCAACGCGAGTCTAACATTATTGACTTTATAACTCATATCGTAACCTCGCTGAGAGGTAGCACTGTGATCGAAGAGTTGATGAAAGTTGATTAGATACTTTCTTTTCCAAGCCATTTTTTGGCTATAATACATCATTCTGTAAATACTAAACATTCGTAATTCAACTGTACACAAAACCTTCGCGGCATTCCCTTACTTTGCGTAAACGCAAATCACACAACCTTACTGCTATCCTTTCAAATTCTCGGGGCATTTATTTGGGGCAATGGGATGCCTTGTTTGTATCTACTGAGTGCCAATTGTTGAATATATGTGTATGCATAAATAATGATGAAAATAATAATAATAATAATAGAAAGGACAGTTGTGCTATCCTTTGTTGCAAGATTTTGCGAGACTACGTGAGACTGCTAACAAGCATTAAAAACTCTGAAGCTAAACAAAAAAGATCATCGCGAGTCAGCAATAGTGTTTAGTTGAATCAACAACATAGATACACTTACTATATTACAAATGGTATCTATGGAATGTGACAGTCTACTATCTTCCAAAACAAAAGAAAAGCGAACTTTTCGTGACCGATCAATGATAAATGCTGATCTTTGTGTCAAACCGGAATCAGGATTAATTACATTAAAATGGCGTGATACAGAACGCGTTGTATCGGCAACTATGTCAAAAAGGAAACGTAAAGCATGTAGATCAGTTAAAAAAGTACTTTGAAAGCACGATATTACTTATTCTTAGCCATTGCAAAATACCTAGTGGAAATGGAGGTGAAAATGTAAGCGAAGACCTTAAAAAAGCTGCATGCACCATTTCCGTATCTGTCGACATCGCCAATGGCACTGAATTCAAGTGTTGTAACCGCTCATAATGTCGACTAGATTGAATGAGTGGGTTAATACGTTAGACGAAGGGCCTTTTCTATCTCTTCTTTTTCTTTTTTTTTTTTCATCCTAACCTGATCAGAGAGATATCATTAACAGCACTTGGTGTACTAGCGAGATCAAAATGTTATTAGTTCAGCCATTACATTATTTTAAGCATAAAAGAATTGCCGGAACATACAAATCAGATTCGTAAAAAAAGAGAACTACTGCTTTATGTGTATTCAGTAAGTTTGACAACTGTAAACGGAAAATTTCATTGTTGAAAACTGCCGCACAATTGAAATCTGGTGCTACCAGTTCTGTTGAACGCTGGCTTATTAATGCTGCTGAAAAATTATCGTTACAATCCATGCCGGTATTAGCATCAGTCAACTCCTCTGTCGTTAACATGCTATTGTTGTGGTTTTGTGAAAAGGCTGCCGATACTGCGCCTGCTGTTGTTCCATTGTAAAGATGCTCAGTTGATATGGATTGTTGAATGCGTCTTCTTTTCTTGCTGCGAATCGCTTCACAATCGATATGTACAGTAGAGAAGTTGCTTTCTGTTAGTAAGATCATACGTATAAACTAAAACAGTTTCAACAAAATAATAAAGAAGACGAAGAAAGATAGTAAAAAAAAAAAGAACTTGGATTAGGAAAGCAAGTAATTTGAAACGAGAGGGAAAAAAAAAAAAAAAAAAAAAAAATCGGGCTTTTCCAGTGCTGTGACAGCATGGCCTGTCCCCCTTGATCTGCACTCAATACGACATTTCATTAGCTGCACAGGTTTTTTGCTCGAATTGTACCGTGCTCATCCACTTCTTACATGTCTTCAATAATGAAAATACTCATTCAAATCAAACTGTAATTGTGAATATATGGAGAAATCAAAACGGTAGAATAAGAAATCAATAAGAGGCTTACTTCAAAATTATTCAAGTAGTATGTGCGTCTTTCTTAACCTACTCAACAGTAGAAAGCTTTGATACTTTGGAGAAGAGGCATAAAACAGGTGTAACCGCAGTATCTGTTGCATGAATTACTGCCGTGACTGTTAATCGCTTTTCTGTGGCGGTGTTGCCTGTCTCTTAAATTTCCATTTCGAGCAAAATGCTAGTGGAATCATCAATTTTGTCGATTTGACAATTAAGTATCCTTTTTTTTTGCCATTCAACATACACTCCGTTTCCGATGGTCTTGCAAGTAACTACAGCCAATAATGTTAAAGTCTACACCGTTTCTGGTGGTCTTGGCTCCAGATCTATACCCGATTGGCTCGTACGAAAGAAGAAGAAAGCCTTAAAGAAAGATTTTGGTAAGTTATCGCTGAATCGTAGTACATTGGCCTCATCGATCGTTAAGATTTAACATTATTCGTTCTCATGAACAACTAGATTATCGTACAAGAGTTGAACTCATCCAGGACTTTGAGTTTCCTGAAGCTTCTAATCGTATTAAAACGACTCGTGATGGAAAATTTGTAGTAGCAACTGGTACCTACAAACCTCAGATGAGAGTATTTGAATATGCTGATATGTCAATGAAGTTCGAAAGACATACTGACGCAGAAACTGTCAATTTTGAGGTATATAAGTCTTGTGAGAAAAATATCATTGTATTTTGAGACATACTAATTGAATTTTTGGTTGATAGATTCTTTCGGATGACTGGACTAAACAGGCATTATTACAAGATGATCGATCCGTCGAACTCCATGCTCAGGGCGGTATCCATTATCGTACCCGTATTCCCAAGTTCGGTCGTGATCTTGCCTATCATTTCCCTTCCTGCGATTTATTACTCACTGCATCAGGGTCAGAAGTATATAGACTCAATTTAGATCAAGGTCGATTTTTGAATTCGATCCAAACGGATGCCGAAGACGGTGTTAACTGTATTGAAATTAACCCAGCACATCAACTCTTTGGTATGGGTACAACAAAAGGCACAGTTGAATTATGGGATCCTCGTTCCAAATCTAGAGTGGGTATTTTATCAAATTTGGAAGTACCAGCAGCATATGGTAGAGATGATGATTCACCTTTAGAAGTATCAGCACTCAAATTCAAATCAGACGGTTTGACCATGGGTGTTGGCACAACAACAGGCCACACACTATTATACGATTTACGTTCCAGCATACCAACATTAGTAAAAGATCATCAGTATGGCTTTGCAATCAAAAGCATCCATTTCCACAAAGGTCCTACCGGAGCTACAGAATTGGGTACAACAGGAGATAAAGTCATTGTGGCTGATAATAAGATTGTAAAGGTTTGGGATCGTGCCACCGGCAAACATTTCACTTCAGTTGAACCAGAAACAGATATTAATGATGTGACAATTGTGGAGGACAGCGGTCTGATATTTACAGCAAATGAAGGTATACAAATGGGTGCCTATTATATTCCCCAGTTGGGCCCTGCCCCTCGCTGGGCCTCTTTCCTCGAAAATCTCACAGAAGAAATGGAAGAAAATCCCAATCGCGATATCTACGACGAATACAAATTTGTTACTCGAAAGGAATTGGCGGCTCTTGGTTTGGAGCATCTCATGGGAACAAATGTACTCAAAGCTTATATGCATGGTTTCTTTGTCGATTTACGTTTGTACGAAAAGGCAAGACTTATTGCTAATCCCTTTGCATATGATGATTACCGTGAACGTGTGGTTAAGGAAAAGATTGAAAAGGAGCGTTCATCTCGTATCCGTGCTGTTAAGCAGTTGCCAAGTGTTAATAAGGAATTAGCTAAACAATTGATGTCCGAGAAATCTGACAAGAAGGTCAAAAATGACCTCCTCTCAGATAATCGTTTCGCTGATATGTTTGCCGATCCTGATTTCCAAGTTGATGAAACATCGAAAGAATATCAATTATTGCATCCCGCAGCCGCTGTAAGTGTCGAAAAATATTGCATCAACTGTTTACATATGTATATATATTTATCTTTGTTATATTTGACTATGATGTAATAGAAACAGAGACGAAGAGATGATACAGATAACGAGGACGAAGAGGAACCTGCAGAGCCAATGGACATGGATGATGAAGGTCTTGCAAATGATACAGACAGTAGCAATGATGTGTCAGACAAGGGTTCAGATAGTGAAGATGATATTGTATCAAAAATTCGTAAAGAAAGAGGATTGCAAGTTCGGGACAAGAAAGGTGCAAATACCTCCGTACGATCTGGCACTACATCAAAGAAGAAACACCTGGAAATGCGTATGGGTACAATTGGTGGAAAGCTAACGAGCAAAAATGATACCAAGAAGTCCTTCGGCTCGAGGTTACGATCTGAAGAGTCTGGTCGTAGAAATGAAGGTCATAAAATGTCACGAACTGCTTTGGGCGGAATGGAAATGTCATTCACACCCGCGAAGAGAAATAAATCTAGAACCACAAAGAGAAATAAGTAAACAATTACTCTGTAAATAAAAGTCATCTTTCTGTAGGGAACAAAAAAAAACCATTCCTTCGCTTCTTTGTTGGATACCACAATCATGAAAACCAACGTCATCACTCCAATGCAGAGTAATAAATTGGTTAATCTCATAAATTTTGGAAAATCAGAATACAGTAAATATTAACACTTGCACTGAATACTCTAGTTGCAGTATTTTACGTTGACTTAGTTTTACACAATAATGGTGATTACAAAAGATTTTGAATGTATTACTTCATGCTTAACACTAGTACGAACATACTCGAACTTAAATCCACTCATCCTGAACGTATTCTAAGCATGTGGCAGCAATATCCTTCTTAATGATGCCCATTCTTAAGCTTTACTACACATTCCCGAATAAGTAGTCAAGACATCGCCTATTTCGATCCATGACAATATACAATTCAAGGTATTGCCAAAAGCGTAAATCATCGGTTATAATATCGTCTCTTCTCGTCAGACAAGTCTCGGTAATACTACCGATAGCCTTGATTTCACTCACTGAATATATAGAATCATTGGCATACATCTCCGATTAACAAGCATTTTGAATATATTATTATACCTTCTGCTCGTAGCTTCCCATAAGTCACTCTTATTATTTAAAGCATTGCATACTCCATTTTTGCCAGAGTATTCCGTAAACAGCATCGAATCACGGTAGTAAATTCGTCACACTCTAAGTCCCTTCATGCTTAACAGTTATGGAACGCCTTATTTGTCTTATTCTGTTTCTTTTCTTTTCCTTCTCCTTGGAGGCAGGGAAGGTGTGCTGGCTATATCCATTACTGCATGAGGTTTTTTTGGGAAACAATTGCAGAATTCGTCTCGTGTTTCATCAAAGGTGCACATACAAGATAGCGTCTATCGCTTAACTCTGCTTATCTGCAACGAAGCGCAAGCAAAACGGTCATCTGCATTCTATTTTGTACATACTTTTCCACAGACTTCAGAACTACAAATGCAATGTCGTATTCACCTTGCTCTACATGATTTCATTATAAGCACGACAACTAAAATAGAAAGGAGAAGTAAGTTTGATAGTCAAAGACGCACGAAGTTGGTTTCAGGATATGGAATAGCCGAAGACAGTATTAACCGTAGCCTGGCACAGTTGAAATAAGGTGCTTTTTACAGTTACTTCCGATCAAATATACAGTTGCTATCACGTAGAGCGCTGAAGGATCAAACTGGCTTGAACCGACCTTGATCGATGAAAACTGTAAGATGAAAAAACCTCTTCAGCAGTTGGGCAAAATATATAATACGGGTAGTGCTGACCGTTGTATCGATCAATTTGTTTCAATGGCTCAATATAACGAGTGTGCCAAATAGCATTAAGAACTTCAAAGCAAGCCATGTCAGAAATTGAGGTTACTGCCTTTATTAAAAGGATAGAGTTATATTCTCCAATAAAATCTTCTTGAATTGCCGAAGCAAAATTATCACGTTTTCGAAATTCAGTACCTACCTTTAGTTGGCCGCTTTAATGTTACTTCGCAAAAAAAAAAGATCAATGCTAGATAATAAAGCAGATCAAAAAAGAATATAACGAGACAGCGTAGACCGTTAAAGATGACTCGCCGGTCCACTATTAGTACCTACGAAAATCTATTAGAAGAACAAAGCAACAGAAATAAGAAGTCAAGCTTATCAGCCTTGGGTATAATTCAGCTGTTCACAGCCATGCTTACATTGTTGCATACTACACATAAATCATCATATTTTACGTCTGTTTTTCCATCACAAAATATGTGCAGCACTTCTGTGGTAAAAAAGTCTGGATTGTTTCCCCCACCTCTGTATACATCTCCAAGCGAATCATACCCTTTATTAACTATGTATTTTCATGGTCTTCATTTACATGTTCATAAGGAATAATGAAATTCATGCATACTCATTTAAGCACAAAATGACTCCTTTTATGGCAAAAAGGTGATGTGTACTGAGTTACGAACCATAATTGACAAACTTCTGTTTCTGTCATGCGTAAAAGTGATAAGCGGGCATACTAACTTTTTTTTTCACCCGTACACAATGTACCTCTCATTTTTATTATTTATTGTCTACTGGATTTTATTTTTTTTCTACTGTTTTTACGGATTATCTTGCAGATTGTTATATACCTGCTTATTTTCCAACGTCAAGTTAATTTAGAGAGAACTTTTCATGGTCGACATACTGAAGAAGGACAAAACATTCACATTTACTGAGGCACAAAGGCTCACTTTGCTCGCAATTATGGATACTTTTGTCGCACCGCTTTCTCCTCAGGAGAAAGACATCTTAATGAAAAAGATATTCTCTATTAAACCTAGTATAGGTTATAATCAACAAATTATCTCAGCATTTTGTGACATATCTGGTTCATCTTCTTCACTCAATGTGATAGATAGAATTGAAGAACGACTTCAATTCGCTGCATCGCCAAAACAACGCCAACAATTTCTCTTCCTACTGAACATGTTATCTCATCAACCTACATTATTTTTGCTTACAGGAGGCAGAAGTGGTATCTTAGCACCTTCTTTGAAAGACCTAAGTCAAAAGGACAGAGAGCGTGTTCTGTTAAGCTGGAAGAAATCGTCTTTTAGTCAGTTACGAATGATCTATAACAGTTTCATGGGCCTTTGTTTGCAAGAAACTTACTTTGGTACCGAGTCACTTGCTACAAGATATATTAACACATTTACAAACACTACAACAGAAGATACACGTGAGAATAACTTACCGTACACTGCAGCAACTTCTACCACAATCACAACCTATCAGCCCGGTGGATACGAGTACTTTCGTCAGCATCCGGAGTATAAAAAAATAAAGCATGAAAAACTACACATGCTGTCGACAGAGGAAGCTCTGCAATATTGCTCACCTTGGTCGTCTCAAAAAATAAATAAAACACACCACAAACAGCAATCATTCGATGCTATCGTTGTAGGTAGTGGTGCAGGGGGCGGTGTTGCTGCTGCAGAATTAGCGAAAGCTGGATTATTTGTTCTTTTGATTGAGAAAGGAACCTACTTCCATCAAGACGATCTTCAACCCGACAATGACCGTTTTGCTTTCTTTAACATGTACGATAATGGTGGTATTACGCCTAATGCTAAAGGCACTGTGAATCTTATGTCAGGTTCAACGTTTGGCGGTGGAACAAGTGTGAATTACTCGGCCTCACTTAAGGCACGGAATTGTAATGATATAATCATAAGCTCAAAGACAATTTGTACTAAGTTTATCTATAAAAAAAAAATACCAATAGCCGCCGGAATTCATACGAAAAGAATGGTCGCAATTGGGTATGCCCTACTTTAATTCAGTAGAAGTAAGTTTGCGACTATGCATCAGCATTTAACCGAATATATAAAATAGGCTTATTGATTTATTCATAAATTAGTTTGCAGAAGATCTTCAAACGGTCTGTGATCGAATTGGAGTCAGCACCAAGAATGTCCACCATAACGGTCCCAATCAAAAATTATTGAACGGCTGCAGGTAGTTCAAAATTTACCAATTTATTAGATAGTATTGTAATATCTGAAATATCCCGTTTCTACGATTGCAATGCTGCCAATTCAGAGCTCTTGGTTATTCAGCAGACGTTGTGCCACAAAACACATATGGACGAGCCCATTATTGTGGTAAATGCTACACCGGCTGTGCGTCAGGCATAAAGAACAGTACGGTGAACACATGGCTGAAGGATGCTGCAGCTCATGGAGCCAAATTTTTAGACCGGACCCGTGTTACGCGCATCTTATGCAAGAACGAATATAATCAACAGAAAAAGAAAAAGGCTATTGGCGTTGTTTGTCAACTACATGGGGATCAGAACAAAGAATATACTATCCATGCCAAATTCATTATTGTGGCGGGCGGGGCTCTTCATACCCCTTGCTTATTACGCAGGAGTGGTCTTCAAAACACCTACATTGGTAAGGACCTTCGGCTTCATTTAGCAACACTTTGCATCGGCGTTTATGATGAAGTGGTTAATCCTTCTGAAGGAACCTTGCTAACTGTCATCTGTAATGAGTTTGAGAAGAAATACACAAAGGAAGAAGAAAAGTGCCATCGTCATGACGATGGTAGCACTTACGGCTATAAAATTGAATGTTTTACAAATGGAACGGGATTGTTTTCTGGAATGGTTCCTTGGGAAGGGGCTGCTCAGCACAAAGAGCTTATGTTAAGATATCGAAATACTGTGACGTTATTTGCAATGTTGAGAGATAAAGACTCTGCATGCAACGTTGAATATGATAAGGATGACCCGAGTAAAGTTGATGTTCAGTTTCAATTGTCTCAATATGATGGTGAGAATCTGAAAGATGGTCTCGTGGAATTGGCAAAAATCCATGTTGCTGCTGGTGCGCGAAAGGTTCTTCTATCCCAACACCCTTTTATTCCGGAGCCCACTTTTGAATTTCTTGCCGAAGAAGAGACGCAGATCACGAACCCACGATTTGTATCATGGTTAGAATTAATTAAGCGCTCTAAACCACCCGTGCCAGCTTCAGGCCATCAAATGTCCTCATGGTAAATGTTTTATCAAAGTCATTATTTGATATTACAGGCTAAGCTAACTGTATTTTATTTTTTTTCATATCTACCCTCTACAATGACAACAATACTATAATATATGTATAATTCAGTCGAATGGGGACTTCACCGAACAATTCAGTTACAGAAATCACCGGAGAAACTTGGGACGCCAAGAATCTGTATATTGCTGATTCGTCGTTGTTTCCTACTGCTCTTGGTGTCAACCCTATGGTTACAATAGAAGCAATATCTCTTTCAGTTACCAAGCACATTATTAGGGCATTTAAGGAACAAGAGAAGCTACCATTACATAAATTATCTAAACTGTAAAATGTAATTTAATAGAGCTGCAGTACACCATAATAAAATTGCGGTTCTTTTGGTTACATGATTTTTCAGTACACCAGTGTTTCGATCAAAGAAAAGAAAAGAACAAAAGAGCTGTCGATAGGTACAGCAATTGAACATATCTAATTCATGCAACCTTGTTTGATTGGTCACAAAGCATCAATTTATAACCATTATATGTATCAGAAAATTGATCCCATTGCTTCAACATGGGAATATCAGATACGCCCTCACAGCAGCCACAAAGACAATTTCGGGCTTGGAAAATTTGAAATTATTAACCATAGTCGCATTACACATTAAGCATCAACGAAGCAATCTGTGTCGTTTGATAATTGTAATTTGATAAAGGGAGCACGTAAAGTTAGTTAGGGAACAAAGACGAAATTGAGAATTCAGGACATCTGTAACACTTTAACCCCACATTTTGTTAACTAACTTATGTAAAGATTTACCGACCATATTTGGGTAAATGTGAAGTGCAAAATAAGATTGGTCGCTCACATGTGATAATGCACTTCTAGTGTAACAGCTTTTGGCTTGAAGAATGGTCAAACGTGGTTTCTTTCCTCTCTTTATTGTAATTGCTGCAATATAAAAAAAACGAAAAATTCACACTGTGTACAGCAGCCCGCATAATGAATGTGTATAACACACCCACATACTCAGAAGCTTTAACAGAAGCGATCCACAGCACAAACAGACAGTTGTTTCTTCTTTTTCACCTTTCTGTTTCTGTTATATCAGCGCAGTCAACTTAAAAACTGATAAAACTCGTAAATAAAAAACACTTGGAAACAACAATCAAGTCATGTTAAGTGATATTATTCAAAAATCTAATTGTTTCGCTTTTTCTCTCTTTCGTTTTAGCTTTTCTCAACATTTTGCTTCATTTTTTTCCCTGTTCTTTTTATCTGGAATGAGCTTCACCCAAACTTCATCTTTATACAACTTTGAAGATACTTTTACATCCTGGCCACTATTACATCGTTATCAATATCGACGAGAAAAGCAAGAAGAGACAGTGGCAACAGCCAATGAGAATCTGCAAGGAATATCGCAGGAACCAGTTCCCTTTGAAGGTAGATATGGAACTTGCAACGTTTTTTGTCATATGAAAATGCTTAATAGACCTTTTCTCTTTTGTGGTAAAGACTTTAAAATAAACTTCGGTATAAATCCGGACATCTTAGCTACACCAAGTTCATTAGCTATTGATTTAGCGCTTGCACAACCACCGCAACAGCCACCCTCAATTACTTCCAGTTCTGCTGCTACTGAAGCCTCCTTTATCGATTCATTTTTGTTTCAAGGGCAGCGGACATTGCTTGATTTTCCTGCTAGTACTAGTAATAGCAATAATACTACATCATCCATGCTACCTTTCCCATTACCTACAGCATTAATACAACCATCACAGGACATATCTGCTGCCTCTGTTCTGGACGATAATGAGCAAAAAGCATTTTCGAGTTTTTTAGATGCTTTTTTTATGGACCCTGACACGCAATTAATAGAGAACAATAACAACAATAACTTTACTGCTGCTACTTTAAGTAATGATGATTCTTATAACAGCCTCAACAGCAACATCAATCAGCAAATATTTGATGAAAATGAGCAAGAAGAGTTAAGAAGGAATTCTATTCTACAGTCGTTAGATGACCAAAAGAAACTTCATCAAAAATTAAATCTCATTGCGTCACTTCCTCAATTAAGTAGTAGCAAGTATAACACTTTAACATTATCACCATCGCCAACATCACACAGTACGACATTAAATGATCTTCTGATCAAAGCGACACCCACTTCTAACAACACGGCTTCATTGACAGCAGACGAAAGCTGTCAGCAAAAAGCAAAAGCTACAACTACTGCTAGTTCAAATGTACCAGAATCTATATTTCTCAAGCGAAGTGAATATCTAACACCACCCTACACTTCTTTTTATTCTACTCCTCCACCTCCTTCATCGCAGGAGCAACAACAACAGATGTTTTCATCACCAATTGTGATAGAGGCACCATCTTCTACTACGACTAGTAATATAAGTAGTTCAAGCAATAAGAAGAAAAGACACTCTGTAGCAAGCAATCAAAACCTTGAAGAAGATGAAGCAGAACCATTGAACCATAATAATAGTACCAACGAATGCAAAAAAGCAAAACGTAGTCGCACTACTTACCGTGAGCTATTGACAGAAGAAGAGAAAAGAGCTAACCACATCGCCTCTGAGCAAAAGCGTAGAACAGCTATTCGCAATGGGTTCAAAGACTTAACGGAATTAGTGCCTACATTGAAAAATGTAAATAATTCAAAGAGCAATGTACTATTCAAGGCTGTTGAGTTTATTCGTCATTTGGAAAACAGAAATAGTAGCCTAAGGGAGAAAATTAGATCCTTGGAACTAAGAGATGAGGCAGCAAACCGTCTGTCCCATTTACAAGACCGACAACTTCCATCCTTTAACCCTACTAATACTGCTGCTGTAGCTGTTGGTACTTCCAAACGTACTAGAGATGATGATAATGATGAAGTAGCGGAAAAAAGTGCAACTACTGCTATATCACCCTCGAATATGAACGGAAAAACGAATAAAACCCTTCACCCACAGAAACAACGACGACTCAGTAATAGTCCTACTATTATTAGTAGGATTAGTAATAGCAATAGTAGCACCTATACTGATACACACCATACACAAGATAATTTAACTCGATCATACAGTTATCAACAGCCTTATACTACGACATCACCAACAATGGCAAATGCACCTACTCTACCTCTTAGTGCAAGAAACGCGCTTTTAGCTCATAAAAAGCAAGAGAAGCAACTCCTATTACTACAAGAGCAACTACAGTTGCACCAAAGATTGATTGCTGAACGAGAAGAACAAAAAGAAAGAAGCATCCATCGACATCTTGCTGCCGCTGCTAAAGCAGCAATTGGCCAACAACTGCATGAAACACCTGTACATATCAAGGCTGAACCACAATAACTGATAATTAGACTTACTATCGTGTTTCTATTTAACTGACTTATTAAAAACCGGTAACGACAGTCACCTTATCTGTTATTAATAAATGTATACCTTTTGAACAGTATAAGCTATACCTCTATCCGATGAAATACAACACATTATATTACATTTCCATTAAAAGAAAAAGGCATCTTTTAATTGTTGAAGCGGTTTTGTTTTTACATTTCTCGACAAAATGAGGGCAAAGTTCCATTTAAAATGGTTGATAACTGCGTGTAGTATATCATAGAAATTGTATTAGCTGCAAATTTGTACATGTTAAAGTGAAAAATCCCAATTAGACTTGTATGGCTCTTTGAATGAGACAGTGAAACACTTTGTTATGACATATCTAGAATATTCTACTATAGTCCTATAAAACTTAGCAGGTTTAATAGTCATAGACAGATAATAGACAAGTGCAAACTCATTATGTTTACCATTACATTTGCCAAAAAAAGTAGTATTGACACGTATAATGAAGGACACAATTGACAAATTCACGGAGCAATGGTTCAATTTGCAATGCAATTTCGAAAGATAGGTGTGGTTGACTTTTGCAATCCTTACCTGCCCATTCTATACGAGCAACATGAATTAACTGTACATAATCAATAACCGATCTCTGGAGTGTTGCATGAGAAGATACAGGAATTAGTTCCCCAGTGGGTATGTTTCAAGAATTAATCAAGTACATATTTTTAACGCAGAACCGCCTAAACATATGAATAACGTAAGCAAATCGTCATTTTGTGCCCAAATATGAATTCCTTGCCCTTGGATGATCTTTTCTAATTTTCTGATCTCTTTCTTTATTGTGCCGCACTCAATATGTCCAATATTTTTGAAAATATAAAAGCTTTCATCATTCCTGTCAAATTAAGTGATTACGAGCTTAGCCTGTACAAACGGCTGCTTACGAAAAATGGTAGGGTGTTCATTTATATTTGTCTTATCAAAGCATCCAGCAGCTATAAGTGTTTTATAATTATACAACTGTTAATTTTAAGGCGGATCTGTTGGACAAAATCAGAAAGAATCAAATTACATTTTCACTGCGTTAAAATCTTCCTCGAGAATAAGCCGTAATATAGAAAACTTACAAGTAATAGACAAAAACCTTCTACTGAGATAATATTCTTCTTTGTAACCGGTTTCTCTTTTATTTTGTATGAATGTAGGCTCCAATTTTGAATATAAAATGGGTCAAAGACTGGTAAGTTCGATGAATTTCTGATCTGGTATGATTGCAGCATGACTTTCTTATTTTTCTGCATATTAGTGATAAACAGCAGAAAATATTACCAACAAACGATTATCGTATAGAAACAGATAGTAAGGTATTGAACCCTATAGCAATAGCCTCTCTGCAAAGGTCAGAAAGAACATCAGATCAATCAATACTTCACAAACGTTTCGCAAACTCACCACCAGAGAAACTTCAATTTGTTTATGATGAGGACGAGGCCAAGTAAGTTGGTTAGAGAACGCTATGATTCTATGACAGTTATCTCACATCAAACGTATTCACTCATAGAATAACTCCAGCACTTGATAGTAAAGGCAATGAGTGTAAGCAACCAATTTGCATAAGCCATACATGATACGGAGACTGAATGTCATAAAATATGTAATAGTGGATTTGAGTCTAGCACCTGGCTTTATCAATACCAAATATGAATGTTTTCGACCAACTCCTTACGAGCCTTTACATAACAAAAAGTTGGTATCATTATTGCTGTTATTGGAACGTAAGCGAATGCTGGATAATGAAGATAAGCGATCTCTAAGTTATCGACATGCCATATCAGCCATAAAGGTAATTCAAATTGATATAAATTTATGTTTAACTTACATTACAGCCTTAACAGGCATAATAACTATTGTTTGGAAACTGTACTGATATCCTTATCCATGCTCAGGCTTACCCACGAGATATACGTTCTTCAAAAGAGGCAGCCAAAATAATAGGTAAAGTGTTGTGGACAAGTCTTTCGTTAGTGTATATTTGGTTTGCGCTCATTCAGTTTAATTTCGTTCATGATATATGAAGGCGTAGGTCAGAAAATGGCGGAAAAAATTCGAGTGTTTCTGCAAACAGGAACTATTGATGAAGCAGAAGAATTAAGAACAGATGAGCATTTTAGGACCATGAGTCTTTTTAACAAAGTTTGGGGTAAATCTGAAGGGAACAAGAAAAGAAAAAAAGAAAAAATAAAAAAAAAAAATAATAATCACACAGTAAACTTGATATACTAACAGGTGTCGGCGTAACAACTGCCAAGATTTGGTGGGATATGGGTTACCGGACGCTTCAAGAAGTGTTAGACAACGCCAAATTAACTGCCACGGTCAAACTAGGAATACAATTGTTTCCTGATTTCAACGAACCGTAAGCATAAAGTTGTCCTCCTTCAATTGTTACAAAGTTAAATACCTTTTGCTGCTTTTATCTTTTAGGATGTCGAGAGCTGATGTAGAAGAAATTATAGACATTATTAAGAAAGAACTACACTATGTTGATGAAAAGAGCTACGCAATACCCGTTGGTGGCTACAGGTAGATTCAAGCTTTCAACTGGTTATATTGCAATTGAATGGCATCTTATTTAATCTGGTGTGGAATGTTTAGGCGAGGAAAAGAAAATAATGGTGATTTGGATATCATTTTGTCAAGTAGAAGTGGGTCGGTTTCATGTCTGCTTGATAGACTCATTGATAGTCTCATGGGAAAAGACTACTTGAAGTACAAGTTATGGCATTCAACAGAAGTCAAAGCGTATAGAAAACCGGCAATACCTTCAAAGAAACCAGGAGCACACCAAACATTTGACAGTTTTGAAAAAGTGAGAAAAGATGTTAAAGATTGATTATGTAGCCATTGTAACTAAATTTACACCATATTGAACGCATATATTCTAGTGCTTTTGTGCCTTTTTGCAGCCTTCAAAAAATAAGCTTCGTCAAGTGGACTTAATTTGTGTTAGGCCACAGCAAGTTGTAACAGCTGTGTTAGGATGGACAGGATCACGCCAGTTTGAAAGATCTTTAAGGGATTATGCAAAGAAGGTGAATAATGCCACTGTATAATTTAGGTACAATAGAGACAAAATAATTATCTAACTACTCCATACGATATTTAGGAAAAAAGCATGAATGTAAGCAGTGAATATATCCATTTAGAGGAAAAGGATGGAAGCATGAAGAAGATCTCTGTCAGCTCCGAAGAGGAAGCCTTTAAAGTAATTGGCATACCTTATCTAGATCCAGAAATGAGAAACTGTTGAAAAGATTATCGATTCTACTCAACTAACGTTAACAAGACACACTGCTCTCTATTTCCAAAGATCAGCAATTCAAATCGGCAACCACTTCATTTGATAGTGACCAGTTACAGATTATTCTTCATGTTACTATTTTTTATTTTTTATTTTTTGCGCGAAGATTATAATATGATTGCCCAATGAGGTTGCAACTACCTTCCAAAAACGAACGAAATATTGTCTTGAGGGTGTCTCTTTGTTGTAAATACTACACTTTGCTCTTACTCTTTCTATAAGGCTCAATGTTATTACCACAATAAGAATATTATCTCCCTGCACCACTTGCACAAGGTGAAGAATCTGAAGCAATTGATAAGAACCCGCAGCAACAGCAAGAAGGAAGCTTTCTTGCCAGCATTAGCACTGAACGGATGTTACCTATCTGCTTAAGTTGCATAGTATCAGTTTCGATACACATTAGTCTTGTCTAGTGAAGAATATTTGATAATTGATGGATTGTTATAGGCCCTTCTTCATCCAGTAGCAGTAACGGCAACAATTCTACCAACAGCAACAAGGACACACAATTTTCACCTCCTATGACAAGTTGCATGACGAACAGTATCACCCAACTGAAGATAAGCGGCAACAACTGTCAACATCTAGAGTTATCACAACATGTAAGGAAAAAAAATTTTTTAATCAAAGGCAAAAGAAGAACAGCTTTTGGCTAAAGCATCTTTTTTGCTTGTTCTTCACTGTTGTAGGTTACTGTGCTGCAATTGAATAAAATTGATACGTCACCTGTGCCCATATTCGTAAAAAAGATTATTGTGTAACGGCGAATAAATTAATCGTTCTCCTTCACTTCCTTTTTTCTTCGTCTATTTATTAACAACCACTTATTTCTTCTAATTATACTATTACCATTACTCTTAATTCTACTCTTTAATGTCCTATTTTCGAACAATCAAAATAAAACAATGGCTGGCTATTTTTTCTCTTTTTGTCATTCTCGCTTTTGTTATTTCCAACTATGATCAAGCCAATCTACGAAAACGTATACCCAATTTGATGACCAATACTCATGTCAAATCACCCGTTACTACTCCATCATTGTCAACACTGACACCAATCTTAGACACATCAGCACAACAGCAACAACACTCATCGTCTTCATCGCCCCCATTGCCCTACCTTGCTTACTCAAGCATGCCTTTTATGAAATACAATCGATTATCTATACGGCACCAACAAATACTAACATCAGCGTTGGCTCATATTCGTCTAGGCTATGTCGCTAATAGAACACCTTATTATGATACCCCACCTCTTTTACTTCTTTATAGCTGTAAAGATGACGAAAATGACAATGAACATATTGATAAGCAGAAAATGTCTGATGCCAACCATGAAAAGAAAAATGACAACAGCAACCACTGTGGCACTTTAGAGCAACGCCTTATAAGTATTGCAAATAGCTATTACTTTTCTATGCTTCAACAAGGTTCTGCCTTTGCATTCGATATGACTTCACCTGTTCGACTTGAATGGTTTTTTGAGTCTTCACCAAATTATATGAGCATGAATGTAGATCAAGCCAAACTTTATCTAAGCAAAGTTAGTACCACTACTAAAGTTTTAGAAGAGGACAGCAGCAGCAATAATAACAACAGAAAAGTAAAGTCAGCCATGGAAGACTATTTAGAAGCAGTAAATCAAGAACAATTAGAACAACGCAACTTTTTGCAAGAATATACTGTAAAAGGTGTTACGATTTTACATACCAATACTGATACATGGTCATCGGTATCTTCTCCTTCTTCTGTTGTACCGCAATGGATGTCTATGACCCGCAACCCATCAATGAAAGCACTACGAGACAAATATCGCTTAAATCACTTACCTCAGCCTCAATCTGATGCTTTTTGGATTATTAGCCGTTTATTATTCTCTAAGCCGACACCGGCTATGCGTGAACTACTCACTCCTTATTATGATTTAATGGGGGGAAAATTTGAATTATGGCATGATGGTACTGATCTCTCTTTGACTGGAAACTCTGTTTTATCGCCCTTAGATCCACGTAATACAAAAGTTAGTCAATCATTTATCGATACAAAAAAAGATTGGTTCCGCGTGGGCTTAAGAGTAACAGCAGCGAATCAAGTGAAATGTGCTGTACAGCATGCTGTACGCGTGTGTGATAAAGAAGAAGGAACTTCTTGTCATGTATTTGTATCTACATCCACTGAAACGCTTTTACGGCAAGTTAAATCTGAGTTTAACAAGAAGAACAGCAGTATATATATTCATGCCGTTGAGGAAAAGCGCTATCGATTTAATGATTTGAATCATGAAAAACAGGACACTGTTTTAGGTGTTGATCGTCAGTTTAATTTGTTTGCGGATTCTGAAGAAGAAAGATATCGTAAACTTTACGCGCGAGTCTTTATGGATTGGATGATTTTGGCAAGAATGGATTACTTAATAGGTCCTTCTTCATCCGACTTCATAAAGACTGCAGCATGGACAGCTCAAGTACAGACGGATATTATTACTACTACCAGCGATATCGACTCTGCTCATTGCCAAATTATACCCATGTCTGATTGGTAGTTAGTAGGCTTCTATTTGAAAAATAAAAAAAATCAAAACTGTATGTTCATTTTAGTATATTTGATTGTGAGAGGGATTTTTGAGTCCTTTGTACTCCTATGTTCATAGCCGAGTAGTTATATTTCTCCTATATTCCAAGTTATCCCATAACAACTACAGTATAATGTTCGCGATAGGCGTTCTTGTATTTCCGCTGTAGTCACCATATCATTTTCAAAATGTCGGTTTCAGGGTCTCATGTGTATCAAGGGTAGAATTGATAATTGCGCAGTACAGTACTTCCAATGCACAATAGTAGTTCATGGACATCTATGTGCTGCTTTGATTTAAATTAATCCTGCCCAAAAACTGCCTTTTAGATGCAGCCAAGATTGACCTAAAAGCATCACTTTTCGTAGAGTACAACTCAAGTAGTTTCATTAACCTCAAGTTAGCCTCTAATTTATTTTATTTTTAAAAAAAAAAAAAAAAACTAAAAAAAAACTGAGACATTGGGGCTATTATAATAACCATAGAATCTACATAGCCATTAGCATGGTACTTATGCTGTATTGTTGCGAATCCTTAAGGATCATTAATTTTTTACACGTTAAATAAGAAAAGTTTATTCACAAACGTAGCATATGATTTTTGAATTTATTAAATAACATTTTCAATGATTACTCTTTAAGAAAAATTGATCTAGACGGTTGTAAAAGCGAAATTGACAACGGCGAAGGCCATCATTATGAATAATATTATGGTTATTATCGTCGGCAATAATAGCGACGGCAGGAGCATCGTTCAAGTATATGGATCTTTTATCGGTAACAAAAGTATGTTGTTGCTTGTCCGGGGAATGGTAAGATGTGTTGTTTCGCTTTTCCTGTCCTTCTTCAGAAAGCGGTTGTTGTTGTCTCTGAGTTGATGTCAACAGCATGCTCGTCAACAAGGATGATACTGGTTTATGTATTTTAAAAGGGTTTTTTTTCACAAAGGTTAATTGTTGTTGGAGGTATGATAAGTTGATATCATGTTGCTGTGGTTGTTTTTGTTCAATGTAACGGTGTTCTTGATAATAACAAGTATATTCCGTTTTGGTTATTACTGAATCATTATCAGTCCCAGCATCTTCATCAATTTCTGTACAATCACTACAATCGGTATGGTCATTGAAATCTTTTTTATCATGATAGTCTTTCTCTGTGGTCATATCAGTTTCATTGGTGGTATTACTACCGGCAATGCTGGTTCGTCTTTTTGGAAAGGATGGTATGAAGAAAAACTTCTTTCTCCTTCGACAATATTGCGAAAGTGACGTAAGAAAATGGTCATTAGAGGAAGTATTAGTGAATGCAGCAGCAGTGAATGTGCTGCTAGTGAGGGTATTACTGAATACAATGGTATCAGGATCGTCATTTGTTGATGAGACACAAATTGCCTTTGCAGCTGTACTATTTGTTGACTGCTTGTTTGATTTAAGGTTTAATTTCGATAGATCAGGCGTTGAACGTGTTTCTGGGATCTGTTTATGCTGTTCATATTGACATTCTTCCGAGATGTTCTTGATTTTCACCACATTTTTATTAATATGTGCACCGGACGATCTAGCAGCAACTGTAGTTTCGGATGCTTGCTCTGCTGGTGTTGCTTCCAAGAAAAATGAATTTGGTTGCTGATGTTTCCGTTGCTGTCGATACCATAAGCGCCATGAGAAGTTCTCCAAGCAAAACCCCTCTTTAAGACTTTCATTACATCTAGTGAAAACTTTTGCATGAACTAGTATGAGTGTCTATATCGTAAGAAATGTATTCAAGTCATTTTATTCAACCTCCCCACATATACGACAAGTGTTCCACGCTGCTACTTTCTTTATAGGCAGGATTCCATAATGACGAATTTGTTAGCAGCTTATATTCTGCAATAAGTGACGATAATGGTATATATATTTCATTAAATCCCATATTGCTAAAGCTTATAAATTTGTCAAATCAGTTATCGTTTACAACGGGGAGAAGAAGAAGCGAACAAAAAAACCAACATTTATTACTGTACAGCAATCTTAACCCCACAAAAACATCAAGGAATGGCCGTTCAACCGAAGTTGTGTTATTGGCTAGATTTGACCGATTAAATACACATATGAACACGCCTTCCTTTTTTCAAGAGGGTGAGGGAACCATAGGCTATACTACCACAGATAGTTGTTTCTTTTGCTGAGAAAACCCTTCTACGCTATCTCTGTATACCATTGTGTTATCTCATACATTAACATAGAAACTATGAATAGTGTGTATCTGCCGTATAACCAATTTTTAAACATACATTAATCTAACATATAATAAAAATCGGCCTTTTCATACTTAGTTTGCATGATGAATTTTAATTCACTAGTACGCTTGACTTGTAACTCTGACACAACAGTGTCCAGAAGACAGTAAGCGCTTTCAGCTGGTTTCATACCATGCAATTACATAAATTATTCTTGCTCTGTACAATGCAATTCATCAATATGCACAAACTTCCACTTTCCACCGTTTCCTTTAAAGACGACTAGTGTTATATACATCGTCAAGCAAAGAATATCATTTCTACAGAGGTTTGTGTTTACCATGCTATTTAAACGTTTTTTTCCCTGCTCTTCTTCTTTTTTTAGAGATTCCTTCCATGCATCAAATACGTTGGCTTCAACGACTGTTATATTTGTTATAGGCCATATTTATGCGCTCGCGCTTCACTTCAAGAAGCGGCGGTCAACAATAATTTTTAGCTAGTATGTTACATTTACTCATCAACACTGGAGAGGGAAAAAAAGTTTAGTTCTCTTTCGTACGGAAAGAAATACTATATTAGTGTGTTGAATTTTAAAAGTACGTACAAAGGGTATTTTTATATATACACTATCAACAAAAAGGGCGCTTGATAATGTTGTTTACTGCGTGGATGAGGTAGATGATAATTAGGAAACACGAAAGTTGGAGAAAATTGCATCAATAAACGGAGATAGTTTCGGTCTCTTTCTCTTCATCAGCATGAGTTCTCGCTCGTAAGGCATAAAAAGCATATGGCTATTAACAGTGCTCTGTGACAGAATATTGAGTAATTGAGCGGCGACCAAAGCCACGCCTTGAATATCTGAATGATCGACGAATCCGCTAACGCTGTCAAAATTCTTCTGCTGTTGTTGCTGTACCTGCTTTTGTTGTACGTTTTGCATAAAATGAGAAGCTTTGATATGCGATGATAACTCTTGTTTATCTCTAAAGGAATTTCCTAATCCATCATTACTCCATTGACAACTAGAAGGTGAAAATGATCCATTACCATTGATCTTCCTAGATGTCATATGTTTGTTTAAAATATGGTTCTGTAATAATTCCTCGTCATGAAAACTCTCAGAACAGTTATTCCATTGACACATCAACTCGGTGTTATCTTGCAGAATACACATTTTTATCTGCAAACCACGAATAGTGGTACCTTCCAATCGAGCTCCATTTTGAAAATATTGTTGCTGTTGGTCAATCTGTTCAGCTGGAGTCGTAGTGATGGGTGTGCTTTGTCCGCCAGTAATATCCGTGACAATAGGGAAAGCAATCTTCAATACAGTATAAAAATCTTTAATCCGCAATGCTTTTTCATGACCAAACCGCGTTTCGTATAATAAATACATGTCATCGAGTGAAAGTTCGTTATTTGGACCAGCCAATTCGAATTTGTCTTTTAACCATCCCAAACAGCGATAAGGCTCGTCCAATGTTTGGTATAATTCGAGATTAGGCACACAAGGAGTACTGCCATGTGAACAATAATTATTCTGCCGCCGATGAGGCTGTGCTTTTGCATCGCTGTCACTACCAATACCTTTACTGTTATAGTTCATTGTCTCTGCGATATTTTGCCGAAATGGTGGTTGCTGACGATGTGATGAGTTAGATAAAAGTAAAGGCTTGAAATATTTACAAGGGGCCATTAAAAATGATATCAGAATGCCTAAATCAGCACCATGATGAAGTGAAAGCAAATGCTGGCCGAATGATACTGAAAGTTTACTATATTGGTAAAGATACTCCAGGCATGTGCCGATCAACTCTTCGTCTTGGATCATAAGGAATTGAGTTATTTTGTTGGTAATTTGCGAAGAAGTAGGTAATAGGTACTGAAAATTCATATTAGAGCGACTGGCCAAAATGGTTAGAATACGTATTGAGCCAAGAATGACAGATCGATCTGTCAGGTTGGTGATGAGATGGTTTAAGCAACCAATAATGCAGTCGAAAGGACCTAAATCAATAAAGGGCGTCATATTTTCTAGAATATCAATGCAATGGCTGTAATGAGATAAAGAGGGTGTAACAAGACATTTGAGTAACATTTGTTTGAAAGCTGTGTTTCCAGCAAATACTCTAGTATTAGATTCCACGAAGGAAAAGTTCCGTAAAATGTGTAGTATTTTCAGTAAGGTTGTTTCCGACACTTTGGAGTTATTGTAGGCTGCTTGTGCAGGGTTTTCGTCAAACATGGTTTCGTTTAGGCATGTGTCCGCAATCTCTGTCAACGTATTTAATAGACTCGGATTCTCTGTTAATAGAATCTTTTCCGGCACTTCATACGAAATGGTGACAATACTGTTAAGAGCAGCTTCTATATCAGTTACATCATTCGATTGTAGGGCAGGTATAATTTGAGTCCTTGCACTTTCGTCGAATTGTGTTGCTGTTGATGATAATGAGTATACATAGCTATATAAATATATATATATTTTTTTGCTTAGAATTGACATCTTACCTTTTGCACAATCCATGTCCACATCAGAACCATTGGTAGAGTGCACATGTTGACTGGGCTGTACACGATGATGACGCTCCGAAATTGCACACTGATGCTGTTCTGTATTCGTTATCAGGTTCAACGGTAGAATTGGTGCTGAACTATATGCACTTTGATATCCTTTCACCATATTATTTGGTAAAATAAACGGTTCGTAGTTCGCTACTGTATAGAAATAAAAGCATGAAGACAAAAACTCTTAATACAAAATAGTACTTCAAAGATTGTTGTTGATATACATACGGCTTTGATTGTCCTGATTCTGCAGTTGCTGCTGCTGCTGACTTTTTTGATGTTTTCGCTTAAAACTTTTACCAGCTAAAGTAGATGCTTTATGTGCTTCAGGGCCTTTCAATTCTTCCGGCGGTATCCATTCTTTATGCCATACATTCTCTTCTTCCCAACCAAGCTACTTCGATAGAATTTATGCGTTAATAATAACAGTAAGATCAGAGGCAATGTAGGGTGGTGTAAAATATTACCAGATTTCGAATGTAAACACCTTTCAGAATATAGGCCGAATTCGTGCAAGTGGCTGGAAAATCAAAACCATTACCAATCTGCTTCCAACTGCGTTTTTTTGTGACCTGAAAAGAGTATGCAAGAAGCAAGGATGATTAACTTATTGATCGTGATTCTTCCTGATGCGCGTTGTGATTGTAGTACATTACCTCGTTAAAACCGCCTGCTGCTATAACAACATTATACAGTTTATGAAGATCTATTTTTTTCCCTCCTAAAACAGGTTCAGATAATAGCGTTGTGCTGTTTGCGTTACATGATCAAGGAGAGGTCTCAGTCATTGGCAACTAAGTGATCTGTTCTCGATTAGGATTACCAGCACTTACCCTTTGCTTCGGTGGAATTCATTTAATTTTTCAATAAATTGACAATACTCTCCTGTTCGTTCAATATCATCGGTCACTATTTTAGACATGACAGAAAGATAACAACGGTGCTTTTCAACTGAAGTTTTTCTACACAGCAAAAGACATTCAAATTTGATAAACAAAAAAGAAAGAAAAGCAGAATTGAAGAAAATGCTGGATTTTTGTTGGCCCTGAATTATCAACTGAAACATAAAAAATAATGTTGAAATACAGCAACTTTGATCTCTTAAAAAAAGGAAACTTGCTTTGGCCGTTCGTGAAATAGTATGAATGAATGAAATATCTAACGTTTTACGAACGAGTAGCATAACAATCTGCAATTTTTGGGGATATTGTTGATGCTTATGCACCGCATGATATGTATATATTGACAGTGCCGCATCATCCGAACTTGGGTTTTTGTAACGCGATTTCAACACGTTTCAGATGAGTACGTATAATGCATTTCAAATTCTTCTATTACATTCTCTCAATTGACTTATGTTGACTGTTATAAGCATATTCTCTACGCTGATTAATTGAACGTATTCTTTCTAATACGATTTTATTGAAATTGTCGGTCATGTAATGTATTTTATCATGTGAGCGACCATCATCTACTAGTAACAAGTTGCGCCAGATCAAAATTAAACTTTCGGCCCCCTTATTCAGTTTTTTTAGGATGCGTGTGGAACCATTAAGCCTTTTGCTTTTCTTTCTAATCTCTTTTTTTTTTTTGGCGTGTGTGTGTGTGTGTACCTGCTTTATCATTTTGCCTGCTATTGCCTTGTTATCATAAAATGTCATCAGCAGCAAGAAATTTGCTGTTAAGTACACAACGAAAATGGGCACCGTCGCCGGATTTACTGATAAGGGAAGAAGATGAAATTGACGAAGAAGAAGACAAGGTTGTTCAAGACATTCGTCGAACAATGCATCATCGACATTTGTTCGAAGAAGAAGAGGATGATGAAAAGTTTGGTAACTTTGAGGAAAATACAATTGACAGCTATGATGATGATGAAAATTCAGACGATGAAGATGATGATGCTTATTTGGAGGAAGAAAATGAAAACGATGACGAGAATGAGCTCAGTTCTGAATATAGTTCCTCGCCCAGTATTCCAGACGCAGACATCAATTTTGATCTTGTCTACACTTTACACTCGTTTCAAGCCACTGTGAATGGGCAAGCTTCTGTAAAGAAAGGTGACGCTTTGACTTTATTGGATGATTCTAATTCGTATTGGTGGTTGATACGAGACCTTGAGACGTCAGAAGTCGGTTATATACCAGCTGAAAACATTGAAACACCTTTCGAAAGGTTAGCAAGATTGAATAAGTACAGGAACGCCGAGGTAAAGTATATTTTATGCTGTAAAGATGAATAAAATAACTGTACTAAGGGTTGACATTTACTATAGATCTCGTTTGTGGAACACTCGGCAAAAATTGACAGTAACTCTGCTGATCGAACGCCAAAAAAAAAGAAAAGAGTAGTGGTTTCAACTTCAGTTAATGTTCAACTACAAATTCTTATTGTAGCTGATAATGGTGAAGAAATTGAGGCTGAGACGTATGAAGAATGGAGTGAAGAAATGTTAGATGAACCTACTGACGACGAAGTTGAGCAACTGGGCATAGATGATGGTAGGAGAAAAGCTGCTATCTCGTCTGGATTCGTAGAGGAGCAAGAGATTGATGGCTGTGAGATTGATATCGAGCCATCACAAGATATTCTTGCGCAGGAAAGAAATATTTTGCAAAAGATTGATATTGAGAGTCAAGAGAAACAGGTGCAGAAATCAAAAGTGATAAGAGTTTATGCAGGCAATATCGACGTAATAGGCGCAACTTACCATTCTATGCTTATCCACGAAAATACGAACGTTGAACAATTATTAATGGATGCTCTTGACAAATTTCATATTTTGCAGCTTGAAACGAAGCAAACCGCAGGTGTCCTGTCTTCATCCTACTCTCACTCTGTTAGAAACAGTGGTATTGAATACTACATAACCGTAAAGATACGAGATAATGATGAAATAATATTAGATGCACAAGATAAACCTTTCATTATCCATGAATCGTTGACCGACCATCTGACAACACCCATGCCTTCTTTGCCACAATTCGAAAAGTTCTCTCTATCGTTCTCAATAAAAACCAATAGTAGAATCAACAAAAAAACAAAAAAGGGAGCCCCTCAAACTTCAACATTATCCGATACTCCTATATTACAATTCTTCATGCACAAACGTATTAAACAAGTAGACGACAGAAGTGGACAAGTCTATGTCAAAGTGTCACTAACAACATCAGTTGATGTACCAGCAGCAAATGGAAGAACTGGCATCAATAAAACATTAAGAAGAATAGCTAGTGGCAATATAGGTGGACAGAGAAAGAAAAAGGATAACAAACAGATGGAAAGAATTGATAAAATGATTGCTATTCCTGCTCACTTCACGATTGAGCAGCTGACATCAATAGCCTTGGTTAAATTTCATATTATACCTGATGCTGCTTATCAACATCAATATAATTTGTTGCTTAACATAAATAGTGAAGGTATTTCGAATTAATTTGATTAGTTTTTTTGAAGTATTGCTGTCGACTAATATTTGTTCATCGCCGTTCAAAGAAAGACTGCTCGATTCTAAGGAAGTTTTAGCTAATATATTGAAACGAATTGAAGACAGCAATGTAAGACCAAACAAGGAGTTTTACTTTGCATTACGGAATAATAGTGTGAATGAAGACCCTCTATCTGCAAACAATACTGCAACGGAGTCCAGTTCAATCTCATCTTCTACGTCTTCTATATCAACATCCTCCAATAGCGCTTTGAAAACCGTGAAAAATAATAGCAAAATATTTCCAGAAGCTCAACCACTTCAACAACCGCACGCATATCCGGTCATGACAAACCTCGATAAGCACACAGAGGAAATTCTGAAACGCATTGACAGCAAGTTAAAGGAATACAAGCCAACGCCGTCTTTATCATCGCAAAGAAAACAGAAATTTAGCGATAAAAGCAACCCTAACTTCAAGTCGCCTATGTCTGTGTCTCGGAATGGACGAGGGATTGATATCCATTTACCTCATGGTATCTTGCGAAGTACAACTGTGGAGGATAAAGAGCAGATAAAGACACAGTATTCTTTAATGCAATTTCCCAATATTCTCGTATATCACGAAGTTATCATACCCAAAAATGGCATAGTGAGTGATAATGGCCATACTAGCATTACCAGAAACAATAGCAAGAATGGTAAAAGTATGTTCTCTACAAATGAATTAGAAGCTTTGATCAAATATGGTTCACAATATTTGGATGCTTATGAAATAGCATGTAAATCCAATGGGATGATCAATCATCTTTCAATAGTGGATGAAGGCAAAAGCCTATCTAGTCTTGAGGACCTCGAAAAGGTAAAGTAGCCTTAGCCGTGCTTTAACATTTGCTTCAGTATAATATAACCAAACATAGACAAACTTACCTACCTTCTCCATTTATAATATATCCTACAGGAGTTGCACAGAATTGTTACTGCTCATCAGTCTAACTAGAGTTCCTCTACACAAAAATAACGAAAGACCACTTATAAGTTCATTATTCTACAATCATTGTATCATTATCCCTCTTATACTCTATTCACATACAATTAGTTTTGACTTTATATTTCAATATGTTTTTACAAAAGTTCCTCTATACTTACATATACAATCTACATATATTATACACATTCTGTATTGCAATGTTTCCGTTACATTCATCAATTCTATTAAGAACCATTCCATACTCACTATAGCAATTGCTGCTTATGAATAAAGACAAGCCATTCTTTTCTTATCTATTTTTTTTTTTTTTTTTGCCCCACTGGGTCCAAAAACTGAAAATTGCCCCATTTGTTCCTATGTTTCAGAAAAATTTGGTCCCTTTTAAACACTTTAGCTCCCCAAGTATAAAGACGACTCTTTAACATTCAACTCCTAAACACAATACCTTTACTTCGCTCAGTAGCTCAACCCAATCGCTTTTATTCTACTTCAGCTTTGAGTAAAAACAGCGCCATGAATGTCCTTATTTACAGCGGCAATGGTACCTCTCAAAATTCTGTCAAACAAGCCTATTCAACTCTGAAAGGTATTTTGGGTCATGCCTACGATGTTATGAAAGTTGATGCGATCAATTTACAACAGGACCCTTGGGAAGATACCTGCTCTCTTCTTGTTATTCCTGGCGGTCGTGATGTGCCTTACTGTGAAGATCTTAATGGAAAAGCCAACATCCGCATTAAAAATTATGTGAATGGCGGAGGACGCTATATAGGGTTCTGTGCTGGAGCTTATTACGCTTCTAAAAGTGTCGAATTTGAAAAAGGGTCACCTATAGAAGTAACAGGCTCTAGAGAATTAGGATTCTTTCCAGGCCAATCCAAGGGAACAATGTTTCCTGGATTCGTATATAACAGTGAGAAAGGAGCAAAAGCAGTTTCGATTCGAACAATGGCTGCAGCAAGTCTAGTCAACGATTCTCGAAGGCCGACAGAATTCAAATCTTATTATAATGGTGGTGGTTATTTCGTAAATGCTCAAAACTATGACAATGTCACAATATTGTGTACTTATCAGGATAAGGGTGGATTGAACGAGAAGGAAGAAGGGCATCAACCAGATGTTTCTGCTGCTGCTGGCGTACAATGTCAGATTGGAGCTGGTTCCGCTGTGTTATTTGGTTTTCATCCAGAATACGACGTTAGTTTACTGGATTTGTCAGAAAATGATCATGGGGAACTTGTCAAAAAAGAAATACTAGAGTCAGCAACAGCCTGTCGAGCATTTTTAACGGATGCATTACGTAACATCGGTCTCAAAGTTCAAGAAATACCGCGAGAAATGAATTCAGCAGAAACAGCAGTAGAAACATCGACTCCTGCACTAACTCCTCTGTACCTCACAGCTTTATCTTATCCAGTACTACAAGCTGTAAAGGATCGGTTGTTGAAGGAGACAAATGCTCAGTCTGTATTGCGAGATAATAACGATACCTTTCATATATCGCAATTAAATGATGATTTGCAGAACGGCAATGAAGTAGAAAGGATGTTAGAAGATCTATCTCTGGAGAGTTCATCAGAAGAAAAGACATCTATTTTAAGAATTTTATACCCATCAACTATAGTAGCAGAAGGAAATATATCCAATGCTGCTGCTACACCTAAAATATCGATGACGCCTATGTTCGATCTTCAAAAATATTACAAAGCATTGAAAATTTGTAGACAACAAGAGTGGGGAGGCGGTGCTTGGTATCATATTGGTAATGTTGTGCTCTATTCAGCAGTGACAACAAGCACACAGACTATATTGGACAAGTAAGTTAGTAGTGACAGTTCCTTTCGCTTGGTATTTGCTCATGTGAAAATGTTTTCCTTTTTATACAAATGATAGAAATTATACCTTTGCTCAGGCTTTACCCTCAGGCACTGTTTGTATTGCTACTACGCAAATTTCGGGAAGAGGTAAGGTTAACTCATATTCTAAAGAGAAAATGCATTGTTATGAGTGTAAACAATTGACCGTCGTTTTCCCTTTACTATTTAAAGGTCGTGGCTGTAATTCGTGGGTATCACAGGTTGGTGCGGTGCAGTGCAGTTTTATAATACGCCACAGTGCGCAGCTTTCTATGAAAGCGCCTGTCGTATTTATTCAGTACATTATGGCTCTTGCTGTTGTTGACAGTATTCGAGAACGCAAGGGGTACGAGAATGTTCCTCTACGAGTAAAATGGCCCAACGACGTATATGCTGAAACCAAGCATGAAGGATTGAAAAAAGTAGCTGGTCTCTTAGTCAATTCCAGTTTTGCTGGTGAGGAATTCTTATTAGTTGCTGGATTTGGTTTGAATTTGGATAATCCGCTTCCTACTGTTTCCATAAATGATGTTATTCAAGAAACAGATCCCAAGCTGGAAAGGCTAGAAAAGGAGGATGTGGCAGCAAATGTTCTGGTAGTATTTGAAAAGTATTATATGGAGTTCTGTGAAAAGGGAATCGGACCATGGTTCTTGGACAAATATTATAGTCGATGGTTGCATAGGTAAATGTCAAAAAGTGTAACTATAACGTTTTAGAGAAAGTCATAGATCGACTGACTTAATATTAAACCTTCAGTGACAAATTGGTGACATTAACCACCCATAATAACGAAAAGGTGAGGATTACCGGCATTACAAGTGATTATGGTATGCTAGAAGCAGTCAGCATCAATAATCCTAGACAGAGATTCACTTTACAACCCGATGGGAATAGCTTCGATATGCTTAAGGGTTTAATCATCAAGAAAACATAAAATTTGAATTGTATCATTGTTGGTAAACTGTAGAATTTTCCTTTCAAATTTCGAGAAAACAATAAATGAGCAACAGATTTTGAGTAAAGTGACCAAATGCTCGATTGCGTTTAAGCATGAGCAGTTGACTGAGCGTGTATCTTGACAGTGATTATTTGTTTCTTCGATTTTAACCACAATGTTATCTTTTATTACGAATTGATAAAGCCTATATAAATTATCAAATTATTGCCCAACCCAACTACTACTGAAACTGAAAAGCAAGCCTTTCGTTTTGTGGGCATTAACATAACAAAATATGTACAAGTATACAACGGTTGCATTTCTTCAAAAAAGCTTATTTACCTTTGTCGGCAATTTCTGGAACATACCACGTATGCACAATATTTTTAACATGCCATAGTTCAGTTATCACTAATCTGCATACATTAATATGCTATATTCTACTTTAATGTGCAGTATGAGGGCCGGTAATGTAAGGTATCTGAAAATAAATAGGATGTGATTAGGCATCCTTTTTTACACATGTATGAACAACCTTATAAGGTACACACTACAGAATTTTCCCAGTAATAATGAAGGTAATGTAGTGAGGATTTCTTAAAGGGAAGAATTCAGTAATTAATGTAAGAATTGAAGAAGATGTGATAGCTAGATACAAACCAAAGCCGTGCACTGCTGCCGAAATTGCTGCTAATAGAAGGAGTACTTGAAGGATTTCTTTCCTGATATCTCTGTGCCAGGAGTATTATTCGCAATTTAAGCAATCGTAAGATGCGTTTGACGGTTGTGCTATATCAAACAATTATGTTTGCTTAAAGAGCGATTATTTAAGATGACAGTCGACTGATCTTATTATTAATTGTTTTACCAAAGCCTTGCACTTATGATGCCGTATGTTTGTCTATTAAAAGTGAGCAAAAGTGCTAATCACCAACAGATAAACTATTTATGAGAAGCCTATAAACATCTAATAGTAAACAACGTTGATCATTAAGATAACCTTCGAAGACAAGCTGACGATTGGAAATGATAATCAGTAATCTACAACCTGTATTGACAACAATGTTAGTGGTTCTTGGATGCAGGCCACTAAGATCAATTTGTTTATTGAGGTAAGAGCACAAGTCCTTAAGGAAAATACGAGAATGTTCAAGCCGCTTTCTGACGTTAATGTTATGTAATCAACAGACAGGAGCTCTGTATGATTACTCTTACATTTCATATGGGGCGCATTCAGCCGGCGTGCCGGTTTCCCTGACCCCAACATGTAAGCAACTGACAGAAAAGTTCTTTGAAAGTTTAATGTTGTCTTTGTATTATTAAGGATATCGTAATAAGAAACATAAATCTGCACAAAACGTGGTTAACTGTAGCGCAGCTGCCGTTTTAGCTTTTAAAAAAATAAGATAGAGACAAATTGAGCTGTTAGGGTATCAAGCGTTTATAATATAGTCGTCCCAATGGCCTCTTTCCGCATCATCTAACTATAGCTGCTCAAGCATTTTACATGCATAAAAGTCTCCGTATGGTGACTTTTGACTTGATTTTTGATTTGTGGTATTTCTAACCATTGCTTGAAGCTTAATGATTTCGTCACCAAAAAGGCCTTCATTTCATACATTTTGTTGCTTTTTTTTTCAAAGAATTGGTTAATATTGACTTTAATTTTTTCAGGTTTTCGGTTTCGCTGGTTTCGAGCCCTTTCTTTTTTGCGAAACTGATTAGTGTGTTGATTGTTTTCTCATCCACCAACGGCTTGCCACTCGAAGCTGCCGCTGCATTGTTGTAAAACATTGGTAGTATCATTTCTTCTTTCATTAATTGGTAGGCCATTTTCCAGCCCCTATCACCTTTAGATCGGCAAAGGCATTCAATATATGAATTATAGTTGTTCGTATTTAGCTTGATCAAAGCAGGTTTCTGTTTCAAGAATTGCCAAATCAATTGAGCTTGTTGAAACATGCCATTATGCCCACAGCTATCCAGGACAATCGAGACAGTTGTTTGATCCACCGATATGGGAGCTGACGAGGAGCTATCAATCGGTAGAATGAGTGCTTGCCAAATATCAAGTACTGTATCACCGTCTCCAACCCTATTGTAAGCGTCCATTAATGCATTATATATGCCAATATCAGGATCTAAAGCTAGATCTAGTTTTATATGTTGATGTATCTGATGAAGCGCGTTCGGGTCACCATATTGTCCACAGAGATGTACCATGGTGGTATATATGTGTAGAGTAGGTTGTATCCGTAAAGGCCGCATGTCATTAAATAGATCCAATGCAGCAGAAAGTCGCGATGGGGATCCAGACTCGTCGTCATACCCATTTAGAGTGAAGGACGTTTGGTCTTCCATTGTATTACTTTTCTCTACAACTGGCTTATTGCTATTAAGAACTTTTTTTGACAATGCTGAAAGTATAGTGGAATAAAAAATGGTATCCAAGTGTAATGGCATGGGTGCAATATTGCTTGCTTTTGTCAAGTGGCATGTAGTCTGCCGGGAATTTATAAAGTCTTCATGCTTCCTTCGTAGGGTATAATAAATCTGTAAAGCTGTATCTATATCGTTACTGTTAACAAAAGCCAAGGTAAGGTTGGTATATGTAATGATATCAGGCTGAAAGAGATTCTTCCTTTTAATATGATTATAGAGTACTTGGACTGTATCTGTTCTCCCGTGCTGTGCAAAACCGTATAGTAATGCATTGTAAGCATTAGAATCCAATTCGTATTGGCCATAATACCGCTGTGTGATCTTTAGTAAACTCTCTAGGTCTGCCAATTGAGTAGTGCCTGAGGAAGCCAAGTTTGCTAAACTATTCAATACTCTTTCATTCGGCTTAATTCCTATACTGCACATCTCATTGAATAATTCTATCGCTGCTTTCAAATTGCTTTCTTTCCTCGACTCTATGTCAATTAGCATTCCATAAGTATATACGTCGGGGTGAACCTTCCTTTCTTTCATATCTCTGAATATCATATAAGCTCTGGAAAACAGTCTATTCTTCAGGCATGCATCGATGATGATATTGAACGTAAACACGTCCGGTGTAATATGTCTGTATAATTGTGCTTCATGATTTTTGGGCTGTATTCGATAATACAAGTCTAACGCTTCATTTACGCCAACTTCAGCTGCTGCAAACCGTACCATATTATTATACGTATTTAAATCGATTTTATCGGCTGGAGTTTTGTCCAACAGATTATTGTATATGTCGAGACCCATGGATTTATTTTTAGACTTGACAGCTGCATCTAACATGATAGAATATGTATATGTATCCGGCATAACTGTCATCGCAGAGTAAAAGTTGAACATGTCATCAAAGTGCCCTAATTTTGACAATAGATGAAGCATAGTATTATAAGTAACAGTATCTGGCTGTATCCCAGCTTCTTCCATTTCACCAAAATACTCTTGCGCCTTTTCAAGATTATTGGTGCGTTTGCAACAGCCGAGCAATGTATTGTACGTATAAACATTGGGTTTAAGTCCTTGCTCTTTCATTCGCTTAATCAATGCGTAAGCCGTAGTGATTGGCTTCTCCTGTACGCCATAAGCGTGCATCAAAGCATGATATTCATAATGAGAAGGTTTCAAATGCAATTTTTCCACCATATCTTTCTCTACTAATCTTTTCAAGAAGTCAAAGTGCGGTTTTTGTCTACTATGTTTTAATTGCGTAACAAGTCGGCCGATCGTTCGACGATCTACGTATATTGGTTTACAAGTACTGCTTTTCTGTGAGAGTGAGGAAAGTAACGACTGATAGTGCGAAATAGCGTCAGCAATTCGCTTATTGTTGAACGCGTGACGAAAATCGGCCTCCTCTTTCAGCCTCAAGTTACGTTTTTTTGACAATGTTGCATACTGCGCAGCTATTCTGTTGGGAAGGGAATTTCGTTTGTTAAAATTTCTAAAAGCGAACCACCAAAATGTCAGGTATCCTCCATTATGTAGGTTCATCGAGAAGTGAAGGAATGTTAGAGCAATGGTAGTTTGAGTTAAAGACCATAAACCATCAACTGCTGCCCAGGGTTGCCCTTTTTTTTCTTGGGTGCCTTTTGGGCGAACCTCCCCCTTTCTTATTCAAAGTCAGGTACAAACAGGAAAGGAGTGTATCCTTTCCGACTTTTCACTTTTTAAGTTATACAAAGATGCCTAGAAAGCAAGTGTCAAACGACAGTAAAGGCGTCAAGCCTTCTGAATTCAAAGCAAAACACAATAAAGCACCACTTATTGACCAGATACCCTCCACATCGTCCGCATCGTCGTCGAGATCGATTGACGACATTCCTGACGCAGAAAAACTTCGCTTGATTGATCAAACAGGCTTATTACAAAAAGTGAAAAAACGAGAAGCGGAATTAGCAAAGGAGAAAGGCTCTCCTACTGAAGGAAAACAGCAGCAGATTGATGAAAAAACGACAGAGCTACCTACTAGCACCTCAGAATACATCTGGCAGGCTATATTTCTGAGCATACCCTTTGGCTTTTTGGTGGGCACCTTCGATGTAACAGTTAAAGTACAATATAGCGAGCCATGGACATATATGGATTTGATATTAAAGAGTATAAAAAGTGCACCAGGTAATGCGACTTTATAAGCTTATTATTAGCATTCAGTTTTTACCAACGCATATTAACCCCTACGCTAAATATCCCGTATTATAGTATTGGCACCGTTCATCTATTTAACTAATCGTTATAGGGCGAGTAAATCAACCCAGACTTTGATGTTCCTTGCGTCTTCTCTTATAGGCTCTTTACTTATGTATACTTTACGCCATTCACCTTCAATGGGTCAAATGATGCGTGCACCAGGACTTGCTACTGTTTGGATATACTTTATTGTCCAGCTTGATCTAATACCCGCCACTGTTAGTTTGATTGTGGTAGCCATTTATTGGTATTATGGGCTTCGCGATTAATTTGAGTGTTGTGGTTTTCATATGAATGCAAATAGTCGTGTCAAATAAATGATTACTTGAAAAAGTAGGTTTATATTAGGATTTATTATAAATACTATGGTTAAAGGTGTTGCATGAAAAGAGGTAGTGTAAGGCATTTATTTTTTTTCATAAAAACGCTTATAAAGAGCAGCACCAATAGCAATAACTGCTATACCAATAGCTATCTTGGTTACCCCCAAGGTTTTATTATTCTTTTTCGAAGACGCAGATGAGGTTGTGTTGAGCTCGATATCAGCAATATCAACTTCCTTTAATGCCGCAATTGCCTCTTTTGCTTTTTGGTTCTTTCCTTCACCTTCTAGTTGAATTATGGATGGTATCAATAAGCCCTTCTCTGACAATTCCTGAATTTCATCAAACAAAGCAATGTTTAATTCGAAAGATTTGACTGCTTCAGCGACAATCATATCTCTAGTTTCTTGATTGACTTTAGCGGCATTCAATCGTTCACGGTAAAAGTTCTTAAAGTCAGCTTGATTGCCTTGTAAACGGTCAAAAACGTAAAAAGCTAAACCTTCCGAAGTATCCCAAGCAGCGTCGTTCTCATCTATGAGCAAGACGCACTTCTTTAGACGCTTGGCGAGAATTTGACCACCACTGAGATCACCCAAATAACGAGAATAGCTGTGAGCAATGAGTAAAGCCGGGGTCTTATCACAAGCGTCATTCATGGCTTGCACAAAATGCTTAACAGCTGGTGTCATACTGGCGGGATCAATGAGTTGAGATACTTTTTCGGAGCCATAGAAATATTCAAGGTCTTTGGTGAGAGCCTTTGTACGGTTGAGCTCATAAGGGAAATGAATAAGTTTGACGACAGGATGATCCTTATGTTTTTCCAATAAATCCTCCATGTTCCTGAAAAGACAAATAAAAGAACGTTACATAAGTCTCATGATTTGTAGAGCATAGCTTTTCTTGTGAATTAAAAATCGCTTTTACTTATAAACAAAGTAGAGCGAGTTGATATAGCGGCCATATTCATCAGCGTTGATCTCACCCTTTAGGAAACGCCTAATTTGAGAAACATAGAGTAAGATTATACGGATATAAAATAAGATGTATGTTTGTTGGATTTAAAATCTCACTTTGTAAAAACGCTGGTTTCAGCTGCTCTGTGTACAACCTTTGTTCCTTCGCGCATGGCAGAAGCCAATTGAGGGTCTTCCAAATAGTCATTCTCTGTTTCCTTGTCCTTTACTTTTTCTTGACTTTGGGCTTCCTCGTTAGTAATGTTGTACAATGTGCTCAATTGCGATTTCTCAAGAAAGTTGTTCAAAAGTTTGACCAAAGCAACACCTTCTTCGCATGAAGGAAGTTCTGCGATATATATGATTCGATGAATTACGAATAATGCGTCAATAAACATATTATCAAAAAACCCTTCCGACCTGGGTAAGAATATGGATTACCTGACATATTTAAAGTGGGGTGGTCTTTAGGAATCTCTGCCAAAAGGGCGACAATTTCTTCCTTTGATTTATTTGAAAAGGGGCAACCTTTAAATACATATAAATCATGCAATGCAATGTGAGTTTATTTTGCTCTGAATTATACAGAAGCATATCCAAATTTTATTTTTCCCTTACCTTTTTCAAATGCAGGGCTATGAAGGTATATTATTCAATTATAGAAATGTTAAATGGATTCCTTACCAATGTAGGCAAACACACATTACAGTCCATGTAAGCCATCTTTTTGTAATAGTATAAGCGCTTACCATCGTGATACTTCACCACGGCTGACGGCAACAGAAGCTACTTCTTCCATATTGGCGAAGGGACAACCTTTTGAAAAAGCAGGGCATAAATGCTTAAGCTCGTCCACGTTGGTTAGTGTATCGAGTCCTGGGTGAGGTGGCACCATCGTTGGTGGGTTGGTTGGTTCGGTGGACATTGATAAAGTAACCTAAAGCTTTTTATTCGAAAGAAGAAAAGGCGAAAAAATGGGAAAAGTACCTGAAAAGTCAAGCGTTGGGAAAAAAATGGAGTGTCAGAAGGTGCAACAGAACTCCAAAAAATTGGTCGGCGCTAAAACCGTGAAAATGGAATGAAGAAGGCGATATTCACTATTCAATAAGCATTGTGAGTTTACTTAGCATTATTAAATTGTCTAAACTGCTTGTCCTCAGTATACAAATTGTCGGATAAGAAGTACGAATGTTTTAGATTCTTTGACCAACGCTATTTGACATTGAAGTAATTAATATGATCTCAGCCAATTCTTGTTCCTCTGCTAAAGGCGGTGATCACAGCTAAAACTAGCATGACGGTTGCGTCGCCCACTTTACGAATGCACGTATGAATGTGAGTGGATGGCATGCGAAATTTACGGCGACAAATCAACCTTGACTCTCCAAGAAAATCGTTAAAGAGTGCGTGGGCAGTTCAAAGTAAGCATGCATCTTGTTCCTGCAACCGATATCACGGTAACCATTTTCATTTCTAACTCAAGAATTTTACAGAACAATGTTGGTTAAAGCAGCAAAGATATTCTTAGAGTACATCAAACTGGCACAATTAGACGTTGATGATGAAATGCGCGTGTTTTTGGTATCACTTTTACTTATCGCCAACACTAGATTGATTTTTGACCGTTAACTCTTTTTAACCCATCTATTTCAAAATTTACAGTGTTGAAATAGTACTTTGATAAGTAACACTCCTTACGTCTAGTTATAGATACAGAAAAGGTTATGAAGTGTAGCGAACCCTTAAACTGTCAGAATGCATATAACAAATTATGCAAGTACCAATATTACCATTTAAAAAAACATATACACAACCCTGGTACACAGCTGTATGTGCTAAATTAAAGTATGCCAGTCTAATGAGAAGATATCGTACGATCCGGCTTTGTTCAGAGTATAAACAATTAATCGGGTTCCGTGCCCTTCCTTTTTTTTTTGTTTTCCTTTTTGTCTCAGAGAACAATGGATGGAGATCTATCTTCTTGAAACACAGCTACCACACAGAGAGGCAGAAGGGTTCCAGCTTTTTGCCAATGATTTTTTTGCTTTGATGCTTTGATCCATTTTTCCCTTCTCTCCATTATCAAGCAAAATAGCATACAATAAGCATGGAAGTAGTTCAAGTCCAACCGCGAGACTTCTATCTACATTATATATACGTACCTACAAAAGGAACAGCGATACGTTGGTCATTCACAACAAGTAAAAACAATATTGCATTTGGCCTGTATCAAAGATTGGGTCATACCCCATTGCCCTCATCGTCAGACATTGTGTTGAAGGCCCATCAATGCCGAGAGCAACTGAAGCCTTATGCTCTGACGAAAAAGACAGGTAAAGAATGTCTTTTACGCAACTGATTCTCATTTCGGTGAAAGACTAAATCCGACTCTTCATCGAATCTAAATAGAAGATGAGACATCGTCGGTCAATAGTGTTGCAACTACTCATTCACGACCACGATCTAAATCAGTAGCCTCCGAGAAATTAAAGGAAAGAGAAGATTGGGTGGAGCTTGTTCCTATTGAATATGTTAATTCTGTCAAAACAAAAGTAGAGGGATCGTATACTGTTCAAGAATCAGGAAATTATATTCTGGTGTTCGGTGGGTTCGCATAAATTGATACTGTTACACACATTTGCATTTGCATTGACTCTTGAACTTTATCGCGGTAGATAATACATTTTCCAAAAATACACCTAAAGTCGTTACATTTTCTGTGGCTCTCATTGATCCGAACATGGAGCATGCTATCGAACAATCCTCAAAAGCCGAGATGTCGGGCTGGTTATTGAAAAAGAGAAGAAAGAAACTGCAAGGATGGGCAAAACGATGGTTTGAATTATCCAGAGGAGGTGTTCTATCCTATTCAGCTCGACCAGACAGTTTATCACGCGGATCGATTCAATTGTTACTCGCCACTATTTCTACGAACCCTGAACAGCATATGATTCATATTGATTCAGGATCAACATTATTTCACATAAAATGCCCATCTGACGAGGAATACGAAAAATGGACAAAAGCTTTAAGAGCACATATAGATGATGAATCGTTGTATCACAATGACGATGGCAGTTCACTTACATCCGCTATTAACAATGGTCGACGTTCGTCTAGCCAAAGAGCCGGTAGAAATGAGAAAATAGTAGCTTCACAAGAGCGAATGCAACTAGCTTCTTCTAATACATCATTTACAGCTGCTGCCACAGAAACAGATTATCAAAATGCAGACCGACTATGGTCGCAAGTTAACGCTGGTATCAATAATTCGGAATTACTTCACTCTTTTATCTCTACTATGAGTGAAAACAATTCGGAGCAAAACAAAATTGAGGCGCTAGCAGCCAAGCAAGTTCAGCTGTGGAGAGACGTACAAGTGTCCATGCAACGATTATTAAATAGAAGTGCACCTTCCATGTCTAATCGGTCACATTCTAAACAAAGGTCCTCTACAGATCTAAAAATAGATAATCAATACGATGATAATGGTACATCATCAAAAGTACCTTACAAAGAGGATGACTCAAACTCGTTTGCTTCATCTGAATTCTTTGATGCAGAGTCTGCTATTTTGTCAGCCTATGATGAAGACTTCAATCAAGATACCATTTCAAGCAGCAGTAGCAGCACTTCCCCTACATTATCCTCCTCATCAGATGAGGAAGAGGAAGTTGGTAAGTTCGCTGTACAGATACTATCAATTTAAAATTGAGTTAACGATTCCCTTTCTTCCCTTTTAGACTCCATATTACAAGGCAATAAAAACGTACGGCAAACACGCTTCTTTGAAGTCATGAAAGAACCTAACAACATCCACCGCCGACAATTTCTTCCCTCCTCTGCTATTAATGATGGTGTTTCTGCTATTTCAATATTTCGCAAGAACATCGGTAAAGATTTATCACAAATTGCTATGCCCGTCAGCATGAATGAGCCATTGAGTATGTTGCAAAGAGCATGCGAGGATTTAGAATATTCGGACTTGTTGGGAAAAGCTGCCCAATGCCAAGATAGTATGGAACGATTAATGTATGTCGCTACTTTCGCTATATCGACTTACGCAGGTTCACAATGGCGATCTGGTAAAAAGGTAAATGGATAGCCATCATCATAGATTATACTGCCATCAGAAGTACTGTTGATCCACTCACAAGTTCTTCGTATTTTTTTTCCCCACCCCCTTCCCTTTCCATCTTGAGTATATAGCCTTTCAATCCTATGATGTCAGAAACGTATGAATGCATTCGTCCCGATAAAGGCTTCCGTTTCATATCAGAGAAAGTATCTCACCATCCGCTCATTATTGCAACACATTCCGAAGCCAAGGATTACCAGTATTGGCAATGTACAAAGGTTAAAAGCAAATTCTGGGGTAAATCAATGGAATTTATGACCGAAGGTACTTTCCATATTACATTAAAGAACTATGACAGCAGCAACGGCAAAATTAATGAAGATGATCATTACACTTTTACGAAACCTTCAAGTTGGATGCGCAATATGATTGCTGGTGAAAAATACCTCGAACACGTTGGTGAGATGAAAGTCCAAAACCGCACAACAGGCGAATATGGCCTAATCACTTTTAAGGAAGGCACAGGCGGAGGCCTTTTCAGTGCTCCCAAAAATCGTAACAATGTCGTTGGCGTTTTCTATTCTTTCGACGGAAAGAAGCAAAAGAAAATTGTTGGCAAGTGGAGTGAGTCAATTGCTGAGGATGTCAATATGAATGGTCGTACTTTATCTGTCTTATGGAAAGCCAAACCTCCTGCTAATCTAGAAAATTGTAAGAAATATTATGGGTTTTCGCCTTTTGCTATCGAATTGAATGAAATTACATCAATCGAAAAAAATAAGCTGCCCAAAACAGATACACGGTTTAGACCAGATCTACGATTGTATGAGGAAGGAAAAGTAGAAGCTGCAGATGAAGAAAAATTGAGAATTGAGAAAATGCAACGAGCAACAAGGGCAACCTTTGCAGAGAAGGGACAGAGTTGGAATCCACGCTGGTTCTCGTTGGAAGAAGATCCCTTTGAAGACCCTACGTTTTATTCACCTGACGGACAGCAATCGGACGTTAATAAGGTGGGATATTCCTGGAAGTTCAATGGTGATTATTGGAAAGTGCGAGAAACAGGTAATTGGCCTGCTGATATGCCTGATCTATGGTAAACAACTTCTGTAATACAACACCCTGGATGGTTATTTGCATTAGACGTTTGTACTCTCTGCTCTATCTCATATAATAAATTTGGCATTTCTAAAAGTGGAGTGCAATCATTTTTTTTGCCAATTCTGTTTTTAGGACTTGCAAAAAAAAAAAAAAAAAATACAGTTTGACTTGTTCAGTCTTTCTCTATTCATATTTACTTTGATCCTACTCCATGGGTATTCATGGGCTCTCTTCATTTATCAATGCTTACGCTACCCTTTTCGAAGAGAAAAAATGGAAAATAAACAGCAACAGAAACATAAGAGCACCCTCATTACCTGATGACCATTTTTTCATCGATGGCAATGCTTTCGTTTATAACATAGCATTTAGGAACCGAACTCATTGGACTCACGGTGGTCAGTATGCAACACTGGCCGATGTCGTTACAAAAATCGTTCACAGGCTTCAGAAAGCGCATATACAGCTTACATTTTTGTTTGATGGGGCATTGCCGTCCGATAAGATCGAGACGAGGATCAAGCGTCATCGATCTTACATTGAACGTTGTGCATCCACTTACTACAATTTAAAGCAGATCAACACATCGAATAAGAATAGTACAAACGTAAGCGTCAATCAGCATTCATTTAACGATTACAGCGATATGGATGGAATACATTATCATGGCGATCTTTACTTGATACCGCCATTAACTTTGGAAGTTGTGATACAAACATTGAGAGTATTAGATGCCGTAGAAGTAAAAATATGCAAAGCTGAAGCAGATGGTGAAGTTGTGGCGATGGCAGTAGAAGCTTCGAAAAAACAAAATGCTTATGTTATATCACAAGATTCGGATATGTTTGTTTATCCGCTTGTTGGGTCGGGTTATATTCCTTTGGACATGCTCAACATACCGTTGGATCAAGATGTTGATGATCAGTTTATCTCAGCCAGAGTCTTTCAAGCAAAAAAGCTTGCTAACCTACTCAATTTGAAGCACACTTACCTGCTACCACTATTTGCCACTTTGATGGGAAACGATTATTTGGATATGAATTTAATTAAATTTCCAATCACGCAGTGGTACCATGACAAAGGGCTGCAACATGTAACGCAATGCCTCGGTAGCTGGCCAAAAGTAATAGCAGAATTCATTAACAGAATTTTGAAATTATGTGATCAGCAAAGAGAAGAACTTGACCTAATTAGACGCATAGTCGATGAATTAAAACCTATCATTTCAAGAAGTAACATGAAAGCAAGGGAAGAATTTGCGGAAAGTTTTGAAGATCGGTTACTTAGATCAATCAGCCAGTATGATGCACAAAGCCCCTTTCTTAGCGATTCAGTAAAACGATCAAATAGTGGTAATGAAATCGCGGATTTGAACGAGATCATCACGAAATACCTAAACGATCACAAGAACTATGTCAGCAGACATTTATTAGACATAATTGGCAGTAGAACATTCTGGTGTAGTATTTTCCTTGAAGATGTGGAAAAGGAGTCTGTTTGGAAAATAAGTAATACATTAAGAGAAGCCATTTATCGTACAGTTAACGAACGGTTTTTCAACAACTCGAAGGACTTTATTGTTAATGAATACATTCGTGTGAAGCAGCATTTGGAGATGTTTGAAATAGAAGTAACAAACGATTGTATAGCGGCAACTGATTCTAAGGAAATACTTTGTCATTTACATAAAACCCACGTTGATCACTTAAAACCGTTCGATGCTGTATTACATCCTCTTATTCTTTGTTTACGATATATGGTTCACCACTATCCTTTTTCACCTTTCTCATCTTCAACTTCAACTGAAACACGCGAAAGAATGACAGATTACGAAGTTGTAGGCGTTGTTATTGCAACTTTAAAATCACTTGGACCTTTACTTGCAGGATTTTCAATAACCAATCCATCTCTATCGAGAGTGCCCTCTTTGAAAAAACGATACATTCACCTCGCCTCTCAATTTCAAACCATCATTTACTCTTCGTACCTTCTCTCACTCGTCCTTGAAATTCCGGGTTACTTACAACATTCCCATGTCCTCAGTCACATGTATAACGGTCTCTACTTCCATCACTATATAGAAATGGCTAAAGGAGGAGCCAGTATTGCTAAGATGCTCGATATCAGTATTGGTGATTCATCCTTGACGACGGCTGCCATCAGTGCTGATTTTGCTAATTTGTTTGGTTCTGTCTACAAAGCAGTAACTGATGGATTAGAAAACGACATCGAAGCAACTTTCGAATACAACTTGACAAAGACTATCCAAAATACATGGATCATACCCAGTCAAAAACCAAAGAGATTGAACCCTTCATTGTTGCCCTCGAAAAGCAAAAGTAATAACGGTATATATGACTCCTACAACTTAACCACGAAGAAGAAGAAAAAAACTTCAAACAGCTCTGTAAATAATAATGGTAGGAATGTGAATGCATTTAATGTACTAAGTTTCGGATGTAATTTTGATGATTAGAATACTTTTGATATGTATATATATATATTATAATTGTTAATAGACGTTGTTTTTTATTAAACTTCTTGCTACAGTAATGTGATGCGCAATATCATCAAAATGTTTTACATCGCTCGTTTACCAATTATTAGAGGAAAATGAAGACTAATAGATAGCCAAATAATGTTTTGTTAGTTTTGAGACGAGCGATATTTACTTGGAGCTGCTTTTATTAAGGAAGTTGTGGCTACACAAACTAGGGTCATATAGGCGACCATTAGCATTATCCATTAAGAAGGAAACAAAGAATAGAGTAGCAAAATGAGCAGTAGTAAACAATTTGTTCAACGAACATGGCGTACAATCAAATTTGTAATCAACGCATTTAAGATAGTAAGCAAGGAGACTAGCAAATTTTGCAACTCGATTCCACAAGACTGGAGATTGAATGCAAAGATCAGATATGCTGCATTAAGTATGTTAACGATAAAATCGAGAAGGTAAAAGGGTGAAATTCAAAGGCAGAAAGCATATGTGTAAGGCCGCATAGGATGTGATAAGTACAGTGAAGCGAGCATATTATTCCGAAAAAAAGTATAATATCGGGCATTTTATCATGAAAGCGAAGCTTTTCCGATTCTCAAGCATAAGGCAAACATTTCATACAGCGATTGTTGTGTTTATCTTATCCGCTTCTTTCACCGTTCTTTTTTCATTTTTGATTTTGTAGGCATGATATGCAATATAAAATTTGGTCTCCTGTCGGCACGAAACCCCAGCAGCCAAATTAATGGCAGGAATCCCGTTTCCGCCCCGAAGGGCGAGGAAGACGAAAGTATCTCTCGGATGCGTAGAGATCATAATGATCCCTGGCAATGAAACGCTTGGGCCAAAATGAATTGACATAGCGATTCCATCGTGGCTGCATTCTTAAAAAAATTGATTCAAAGAGTAAAATAAACCTTTGCTAACTTTGTCAGCCTTTTTATACTTTTAAAAAAAAAATTTTAAACAAACGATTTGGAAAGCAGACTTCACCAGTCACTCCGTTGAAGTGCCGCAGCATAAAGCGATAGTGGACATTGTGAATATAACACTGCAAAGTAAAAATATTCGCTTTTCACCGATTTATTCCTAAACAATCGTGCTTCAACGAATTACTTCTAAATTCAGAGCCAATGTTTTCATACTCGTCATCCTCGCTTTTCTTCGTGTTACATGAAATATTTGGTTGCATCTTCTCTTTTTATTAACATTATGGTTAAGTAACATTAGCGTTAGGATTATGGTACATAGTAAATTGCTATTGTAGTCGGAGGGCTGACAGGTTAGGGTTTGGATGTTTTTTGGTATTTGCAGTGACATAAAGCAATTTCTTTTGAGTAATTAAAGTTGTCTCCTTTAAGAGCGTTGGCGAATCACGAGTTCTAGAAACTGTTTTTTTAAAAAAGACAAGCGTTGCTAAGTTAGCCTTGAGTCCACATCACTTCCTGTCTACTAAACAGAATAGTACCTGTTCATAATTGATTTGAATCCAACCATCGTTATCAGTATCGAATTGTCTGAAAGAATCCGTCAGTGTTTTAATGGTAACGCATGCTTGAACGAAGTTATCAAAGGTAATATTTCCTTTGCCTGCGTATTAGAATTTTTATGGTATCGTATCAGCCCTATCTTCTTCTACTTTACAGCAATTTTGTAATGTATTTACCGTATTTATCGAACTTTTGCACCAGAAGGCGGATGAAGGGCTCTGATAAATTGTAGCCGAATGTTTTTAATGCATTTCCCATTTCTACATGATCAATATTGCCTGAATTATCTGTATCAAAAGCTTGGAAACAACGCTTCCAGTCCTCGATATACTTCCATAATCCAGCGAATTCGTTGAAGTCAATAGTACCACTATTATCTACATATACATACGTAAGCAACGATGGAAAAAAGAAGGGCAGAGTCAATTTCAGGAATACTACAGCCTGCACATAATCATTCTCTCATATGAAAATTGCCGATATTTTTTTACATACTTTTGTCAAACATATTAACCATTGTACGAACTGTTTCGATATTGAAAGGGCTCCAGTCACCATTTACCAAAGCACGTTGTAGTTCATCCACTGAGAGCTGTCCGGAATGATCAGTATCAACAGCTGTAAACCAACTCCATAATTGAGGATCAGCACCTGGTGGAGGTCCCACAGGTGGAGGTGGTCTACCTATTTTTATCGTAAGGTGGCGAATATTACTATCAGTTCCTATCTATTATCCTTTATTACATCTTCAAAATTACCATAATTCTGTGTTGGTGGATATCCTTGGTGCTGTGGTCTACCACCGTAGGCGCCGTAGGCTTGTTGTTGCTGTTGTTGAGGAGTTGGGGGAGGTTGGTAGCCACCATAATTATTTTGTTGCTGGTAACCACCTGGATTGTACCCACCACCTCCGTATTGATTATATGCCATTTATTTTTAGTTTTTCTTTCTTGCCAAGCAAAGATTAAAGAAAATGGAAAAGAAAAAGAAAGAAAAGGAAAAGATGAGTTTTTGGCGGGCTGTGATAAATCTGGGTGAATGTTCCGTGGTGTCATGTTCACAGAAGAATGGGTCATGATGTTATAAACTATTTCTAAATCCTGCTGATTTGTACCACAGCCTGATATTCTTACTGCGGAGCTTGATCTTACTGTTTTTTCGCTTGACTTTTGCACGAAATGGCTATTAAATTGAGACTATTACAATTAAAATTCAGACTAACTTAAAATTATTTTGGATGAAAAGTATAGTTTTTGCGATCAGACCTTTTCTGTCTAAATGCTCAATGCCAAATGTGCGAACTACTATTACTCAAACAGGGTAGGTATTCTGTGCCAACTACCCTGTTGGAATATGTAGTAACGTCAAGCACCTTAGAAATGTACAGTGAGAAACTTCACAAGATGAACTCACCTAAACGCGTAAAAATCTTTAAGCCGTCGGTATAGAACCTGCAGCACCATTATCGCTATGGCGATGGCGAGAGAAAATTTCGGGGTGGCCATTGTGTTCCCATACGGAATTTGCAATAGTAAGCATATTTTTGGCCGCATTGACGTCTCTTTGCCATATTATACCACAGGTTTTGCAGCCTTGGTACCATAGACGTTGGAGCCGTCCGCAATTCGTACTTCTTCCATTTCGACACCATTACAATTGTTACAAACCTACGAAAATGACGTTAGTTCCAGAGATGGGCACTTAATTTGGCAATTCGGGACCCACCTTTTGAGGTTTTAAACTCGTTGATGTCCACCACCGTAGCAAGAAAGCAGCGCTATCTTCTCAAGAGAGTATGATAGAGATTTCTGATGACGTCGGATGAATGCCCTTTAAAATGGACATTATCTTTGTTGCGCATACCTTCACCGAAAACAATCAGAGGGAGTTTGGTGCGGTCTTCAGAAAATGTTGCGGCAGTCCATCTATTGGCATTTTCTGCTTTGTACCTACAGATGACATATTGAGTGAATGACATAAATGCAGAGTCGAGGTACAGGTATCTGTTGCTCACCTTTGGCTTGAGCTTTGTAGTTTCTTTGCCGTCTTCTGCGATTCCCCCTGTGACTCTTTCCGCGCTCGCGCTTTCGCAGCTTTCTCTGCCCTTGCCTTGCTTCTTACTGTTTTTTGTCCTTTTGTCCTTTTTGACGCTTTCTTTCTCTACGTTTGTTCTTGTTCTTGTTGGTCTTTTTCCGCTTCCTTATGTTATATTTTTTTCCTCCATCAATTAGCATATTGGCCATCTCCTCATTGGCTCTTAGGCGGCCTTGGTAATTATTAAAGTTAAATTTAGCGGAATTAAAGCCATAGAAGTCATGAAGAGCCTGAGATGTTGCAAACATATAAGAGGTAGAGTGAATACTGCCCATCCGAGTGAACCGTTTTGCTGGTTGGCATCTCCGATTCGATGTCCTTTAAGCCGGTTATATTTTTCTTGTTGTCGACTTGCGCGCCTGTGTAACCAGCAATGTTGGCTCGTTCCTCTTTGCTACATGAACGAATTTGATGATGAACGCTGTCGTATCCTTTCGACAGAAGACTTAATGATTTTACAGGAGGTAAGTTTACATTTATCTTTCTGACAATCAACGCTGTCCGAAACTGAACTGAAAAGACTTACTAACTTTGATTCCCACTACTGCGTTTGAATTTTATAGGTGATAGCAATAGAGGCAACGAATTAATGAAGAGTAAAGCTCTTTTTCTTTCTTCCGTCCCCCAATATTTGACAGGTTGGCTGCCATATGGCCTTAAAAAACAATATATCAACCAAATTTCACGACGTCAAGCCAAGAAGTCCTGGGGGGGCTGCCTTCCTTGCCGCCGAAAGAGCCAAATGTAGCTTTGATGTGGAGAGTCTATCAAAGTTTATGTATACGGAGGACTGGCTCAATAGAATGAACCAAATTTTAGAGATACTCGTAAATGAGCCTGCTTTTGATAAAAGGAACAGATACCATCAAAGCCGCAAAGACAAGATTAGCACTGGGTTGCAGAAGGATAAGCGTTTGGTAGAATTAGCAAAGTAATTAATGTGGAATATTTCATTATTAACGACGTATTTTGCGCACACAGTAAAATTCTTGATTTATTTTTGCAGGGAACATAATTGGGACGAGCAGGATATTAAAATTGTCAATTTTTTATATGACCAATCTACTCCAGTAAGTAACATCAATTGGTTGTATCCTTAACGGTGAGAAGTCTTGTTCAATTATCTCACTGCTGTATCACGCTACTAGTTTTCTCTTCATTATGGTATGTTTATCCCTACGCTGAAAACACAAACTACTGAGGAGCAAAAGAAGCTGTTCTTGGAACGTGCATTGAAGCACGAAATTATCGGTTGCTATGCACAAACAGAGGTATATAAGCTGAAAACATTTATAAATGACCGTAAGGGCTCGAACAAATCTCATAACTCCTTTATTGTTAAATAGTTGGGACATGGATCCAATGTTCAAGGCCTTGAAACCACAGCTACTTATATACCGGAAACAAATGAATTTGAAGTCCATTCACCAACTTTAACTTCCTCTAAATGGTGGATTGGCGGTTTAGGTAAAGCTGCTAATTATGCAGTCGTCATGGCTCGTCTTATTACAAACGGCAAAGACTACGGACCACATCCATTCTGTGTTCAAATTCGAAGCTTGAAAGATCATACACCACTTCGAGGCATCACTGTAGGCGACATTGGACCTAAATTTGGTTTTAATGCTGTCGATAACGGATTTATTATGTTCGATCACTATCGAGTACCGCACATTGCCCTTTTGGCCAAGTACTCTCAAGTGAAGCCTGATAGCGGCGAATATGTCAAGCCACCTAATGCCAAATTGTCCTACGGTACCATGGTTTACGTTCGTGCTAATATTGTAATGGGTAAGTTTACTGCTGATAGCGATAGGGACAGAAGTTATATTTCGTGTATGACTAGGTCTTGCTGACTCATACGTTTGTCATTATTACAGGAGTTAGATATGCTCTTGCTAAAGCAGCAACCATAGCTGTCCGCTATTCCGCCATTCGTCAACAGTTTGTAGATGCTGCTAATCCCAAGAAATGGAATAATAATGTTATTGAGACTCCCGTTTTAGATTATACAATGCAGCAATATCGTTTACTACCAATTATAGCGGCTGCTTATGCTTGCTTCTTTACTGGACGAGAAATGTATCGCCTTTACGAGTTAAATCAATCAGAGATTCAGAAAGGCAATTTTGGTCTCCTGGCGGACCTTCATGCCAGTTCATCTGGTTTAAAGAGCTTAGCTACAACAATGGCTGTTGAGTCTATCGAAGATTGTCGTCGAGCATGCGGTGGACACGGCTATAGCATGTTTTCGGGTCTTGGTCAATTTTACCAAGACTATTTGCCCAATGTTACCGTAAGCTGAAGATAAGTGAAATACTGAGTGTTATAGAACCACAGATAATGAACTATCGTCCTCGATATTTATAGTGGGAAGGTGACAATTATATCCTAACTCAGCAAACTGCACGTTATCTACTGAAAACATTTCGCAATGTGGTAGCAGGCAAGGCTGAGCCTTCTGAACATAATCAAACGATTAACTATTTAGCAGCATATCTTCAAAACTCGAATGCCAAGTGTCCTGCTTCTACTACTTCTGATTTCTTGAACCCAGAATTGATTCTGTCCGCTTTTGCTTTTCGTGCTGCTCGTGGAATTGCGCAGCTTGCTGAACAATTGGACCGTCATGGTAAATCGTGGAACTCTATGTTGGTGGAAATCCGTGCTATATCCAACGCTCACTGTCAATTCATGTTTGTTCGTAATTTTTTTGTTGCTCTCCAAAACGATGTCTCTTTATCTGCGTCTGGCAACAAATCTCTTCTTCAAATCCTCAAGACTTTAGCTGCATTATTCGCTTTACACATTATGGAGAAGGAGCTCTCTGAATTTCTTCTTTCTGGGTATATAAATGCCTCTCAAAGCATTATGCTTAAACAGCAAGTGATTGAATTGCTTGGTCAAATTCGATCAGAAGCAGTTGGGCTTGTGGATGCATTCGCACTGCCCGACTATTATCTTCATTCCGCCTTAGGACGTTATGACGGTCAAGTATACGAGTCTATGACAAAAATGGCTGAAAAAGAACCATTAAACCATACTCAAGTTGTTGATGGCTACGATACATGTATCAAACCCTTCGTGCATAAGGGATTGAGGTACAACTTTGAGAAAGATGGAAGGACTTGTTCAAAATTGTAGCTTTCTTTACTTTTTTACTAATTGTTAGAAAGTATTATAAATACCGTGAAATCTATTCAGTCTCTTCAAAGTGTATGAATAAAACTGTATATTGTAGACTTTTGTAGACTTTTGTAGACTTTTGGATCAAGTTCTGTAATGACTTCGTAATGAAATTGTATTATATCTGATGCTACGTAAGTATCAATTGTTAAACTTTTACTTTCGCAAATATGTCAGACACATGTCAACCAATAAAGAACTGTAAGCATGACTAAATAAGGTCCATTCGCACAAAGGTAATAATGGTTTTCAGTGCATGAGAAATTTTCCATGAAATTGCCCCATTTATTTTTTGGTGCTTTGGATAGTAAGTTTTCTGTGAGCCTTACATGTGAAAAGAACAACACTTCTGTTTTAGAGTTTTAGCCAAATTGCTAGACATTAATTTATAGGACGGAAATCGATGAACACGTCCCTTTTTATAATTTCTTCTCTGCTTCGTTTTTTCAAACAAGTTCATAACCATTAAGATTATAATGAATAGCGAAGAGCCACCTAAACTTGTTTCTAACCTTTTACTTCCCGAACTTGAACGACAGTTGAGAGAAGATAAAAATTTATGGCCGAATTTAAAAGGCTTATTTATTGTAACAGTAACCAAGAAACGTAAACCAGCTGCTACATGGTACTGATATAGCATTAAAGAGTATAAGCACATATGTAGTTTGTATGAATTATTGACCCTAAATTTGTTAGGTATTTTGTGCTTCAAGGTTGGAAAAAGATCTCTTGCAGTCGGCATGTATTCAAAACCCTAACAAATGACATTTTAATAGGTATAGATATTATGCCATTGATTACTGCCTCTGAAGAAGCAGCTCAAGCTGGTGTAAAGGGTAATATCAGAAAGGTGAAAATACAAGTAGAAGACAATGATCTCCTGAACTTTATAACTGGAGGGTAACGACATGAATTTTTAGTATCCGAATACAAAGGAGCTCTGTTCTAAAACCGATTGCGCATCTTAGTATGACAGGTGTAAAGGCTTATATGACAGGAAAAATCAAAGTAAAAGGTGACCTTTTGCTTGCTCAAAAGTTAGAAGAAGTTTTTGAGAAAGTGGGTGGTAGAGAGGTACTTCACTTTTCTTTCGAAACATACTAGTAAAGTAAAGTGCTTTAACATTTAATTACAATTTTGATAGAGAGCAATTGAATTTATCCAGAAAAACAACGATGCTTTACTCGCCATAAATAAATCAAAACTGTAAGGCTGATGCATGATATTTACAACTGCTTTAATCCTACAACAGCAGTAGTGGGTAATCAGTTAACGCTTAGCATATATTCACAATATAAATACTTGTAAACCATTTTGATGGAATATAAATTTTGTTCCTGCGCGCAAATTTTCGGATCGAGTTGTAAAATTCTCAAATACAACAGCCAATTGAAATTAAATGAGTTTGAAAATTAGTATAAATAACGTTCATCTTTCTGAAGAAACTTACAAGAATCAACAAGACTTCTCTCTATTATCTTTTATTTTTATAAACTTCTATTCTCCCCTATTCTGAAAGGGTTAAATCACTTACATTTAAGGTCTCATCCTTATCTACGATATTCTTTAAAAAGACATACTCATCGCACTTATTTCCTTCGGTATCTTGACAGCGATCTGTTCACATTTTACAGGAATTACTTGAATAAAGGAACCATCTCTTAGTTCATTTCCTTATAACATTGACTATAAAACATACATTCTTTGATTCAAAGAAACATACAATTACAATAATAACTTGCTCTTATAATCTACTTTGAGCTACTTATTTTGATCTGAATAACTTTAACCTCGCTGTTAAATCACTCTCTGATATTTTAAAACTCCATGTAAACCTGCCAATCAGAAACTTTACAAAAGATCACGTGAAGTAATGATTATAATTTGTGATGTACTTTTTTAAAATTTTGTTTTCAACAATCCGGCCTTAGCTCAGTTGGTAGAGCGGAAGACTGTAGTTAAATTGTCATCTTTAGGTCTCTGGTTCGAATCCGGAAGGCCGGAATTTCTTTTATTTTCTAAACATTTATGGTGCGGGAAGCACTGTCAGTTGTAAACAATAAATGGGAAAAAAAAGAACCCCATCTTTCTGATGCCGAGAAATGTTTTATCTTCTTTAGCATTACTTTTGGATGATTTAAGTTTACGATAATATTAGTTGAGCTATGACGCAGGAGTTTTATGAAGAAACATAGAAAAATATTTTGAAGACTGTCAAAAGTACTATATACAATCTGAGTGGCTCCGCCACGCTATTTACAATATAAGATATATACATAGCAGTTCAGAGAAATGCTATTGATAGGAAAATAATTATTCTGTGATTGATAGATACTCGCTATCATTTTGCTAAAAATGTATTATTTATACTTTTTTGGGCATTTTTGGAAGAAATCTTTGTCATTATGACGATTCCTATTTATAAACTCAATGTATCCAGATGCAGTTGGGCTTCCGGGCAACTTTATGATGGAAACGACTATGGATCACTAACTGCTTGGTTTCATTTCTTGGCTTAAGTGTTGATGGCCAGAAGTTTATAGTGGTGATTTTAGAATTATCATTGACTTTGTGGTATTTGACGACTTGGGGAGTAAAATATCACTTAGTTAAAACAATAAAAAGCTTAACGAGATCAAACTAGTAGGTCTTTATTTTGAATCAAGTTAAGTTCAAAGAGAAGAAAAATATCTACAAATATCTTCTTCATATTGCGGAACCTAGAAACTGACAGCTGGGTTATTCTACTCAAAGAAGACGTACGTCTTCTGAACCGTAAAAGAATAGAATTCTCCCCTGAGGAGATTACGCATCTACCCGGAGCGGGTGGACTTGTAAGCGTATCCATGGCTTGCTCTAGTGATCATGCAACTAACTTATTTTCTCGTGCTAACCATTTTGTAGCACTGCTTGCAGGAAAATAGTATTAATTAGGAAAATGGTATTCGTGCGTGGTGTGAATAGTACTTATAACCTATTATACCTTGGTGTTGAATCAATATATCCTGCATGTCCATATCTTAACTCTACTATATATCCTATGTCATATACTAACGTATTACAGTAAAATAAGTAAGCTATATATCCTAAATGACAACCTGTCCAGCCTTATACGAGGTAGCTAATCTCGTTTAAGAATCATCACTTATTCTATATTCGTTTCCTGCTTCACTTTATATTATTTCAGCAGTAAGTGGTGTGAGGATCTTGTATTATTCGTAAACGAGTTCTCCACATCTCATATGACGCTGTCAACTAACCACAACACTTAATTCACGGTACTCGTATATTGGAGTTTATGTAGTTTCTAATTATTTCTGGTTTGCAATCTCGTATAACTCATCTTCATCCTTCATAAAGTGAATTATATCTTTAATATTTGTATATCATCTACCCTTAAACACGACAGACTTTCAGGTCCAAAGTTTACAGCTTGACAATAATATCGTGTAGTCGATAAAATACACTCAGCTGTAAGTTTATTTAAAAACATATATTATTGCCAATCAAAAGCGGAGCATACTGTACACCTGAGAGTATTATCATCGATTCCTGGAGTGCACGTCTTCTGTCATCAATACCCTTCTCTCTCTCTTAAATTGAAGTATAAAACGTAAGAAATGTATAACATCAGTTGTCTTTACAGATTCTTCGGTACGAAGACGTGAAGACCAAGGATTATCAGGTTTAGCCAACCTGGAATCAAATCTAGAGCAGTTGGTATAACTATTGATATAGATCAAACAAACCTTTGGACAAGTGATATTCTATCATTAAATTGTACACAATTAGTCATTAGTCCAATAGGAAGTAAATTTATTCGCTTAATATCGGTCCAACATGACAGTATGCAAGCGGTATTTACGTACTGGTCTACTATATGTGGAGAAGCAATCTTTAAAATTATCAGCTGAATTGTATAGAACACAACTAGAAATGGTATTTGGAAAAACACTCTCTGCACTGCTTCCATTTATAATACTCTTTTGTCGCTTTGAAGAGCTTTTAATTGTTTCACGCAGACATAAAATGCTATCGATCATCGTGTACCTTTTCAAACACTCTAATAAACGGTCACTGTTCGACGAACGTCTTATTTTGGGCGCTATTAAAGCCACAGTATCTACAGAGCCTTCGGCAATCTGTCCAGTACTTACGTTATACCAAACTTAGCGATGTATCTTAATTCACTCAGTATAGATTGGAATGAAATTCTACAAAACTGCTGAAAGGTTGACTATTGGTAACTGTGATGTGGGGTGGCACAAACAAGCGCTGCAAAATCATACCATGCAATGATATCGCTGGTCATGATTGACTAAGTCTTCATATTGGATCTATTACAACCTCAATTTGGCTAGGCTCGCGTTACCGTGTAACTGAAAGCATAAATGTTGTAGGCATGAATAGTTGAATGCTAAAACAATATTTATAAAGACAATAATGGTAATTTCTTGGTCTGGCAGAGAAAAAGAGATTGTAAATGACAATAGGTGATAGGTAATTTACTGTAAGAAAGCCAATGCATAAATGCAAAGGAAAAAGCCATAATTCTTTATTTATTATGAGCTTTTTGCGACAATATTCATCAAATTAATGCTAATATATGCTTATGATACACTTAAAGGCTATTCTCATACTTTTGACAATATTTAAGAACCCTTACCTTCTGCTCAGCAAACAAATAAAAGATATACCAACTTGTACAAAATTTAACCAGTATAATAACAAAAAGCAATGAATAATTCGACGGAAGTTTTAATTGCCAATCTGCGATACCTCTTCAAGTACGAGGTAAATCGAACAGAAAATCTCATACCGTCCAAGTAGAAAGTATGTGAATCCATCCATTACTTGATTAGCCCATTAGCCTATTGGCCAGATATACATCCTTTACACACAAAGAAGTTATGATAGGTTGATATCTTTAATCTATTAATATTGTACAAATATACTTATTCCATTCTGATACAATATATCTCTTTCCAACATCATGAAGCGAGATTTTGATAAATCAAACAGGCAAAAAACGGTAGGACCTTATTATCCCAGTGGATCACCCCATTGGTTCTTTCTGACGGATTCTCTTTGTAATGTCTCTTCTCTCGTACGCGGCACCTCTTCCCCAGAAGTCTCAAAGTCAGGGTTTTCCCTTAATCTACTCCAACTGTTACTATTTTTCAAATGTCTAGAGTCACTTCCTGCCGAATTACTATTTGTATCTTTGGATTCTTTCATTGCCTCCATGCGTAATCTGTTCCATGTATTATTTGGTAAATTTATCGATCGTATCTTATCCCACGCACTAGGCTGTTGTTCCTGTATCGCTTGATTGTTTTGATCTATTTCGGCTCTTATTATAGGCCTAGAATGCTCTTGATGTGCTTGGTCGTTCTGTAATTCTAAGGGTTCTTTAGCAGCCCACACTATTTCTCCCAAAATGTAAGCACTTTAATTATTCACTTTGAAAAGAAAATCTTTTTGACATACCATCTCCGCTCATGTTATCATTAACATCAGGAGTAAACTCATCACCATGCGTAGCTTGAGCTTGATGACTATACTGCGATTGATTTGGTAGTTGGACGGGACGCATATCATTACTCGACAAGCCTCTCTTCCCTGCTTGATTGAGCACTTCTGATCTAAAAGCATAACTCGTCAATAGCCTTTTCGACATAATTCATGAGTAATTATATACTTACTGTGCACTTTGGAAAAGTTTGAAAATACGCTGAGGTTCTGGTAAGCTATTTATAACCTTGTAGCCCGAGTAAGCGCCTGTCAAGAGACCAATCTGCGAACCAAAAACAAAACTAAAGCCAGTGAAGACTAATTTTTGTAAAGGCTTGAAGTTTCTCTGTTTCGCTTTTGAAAGGAAGTTAGAACTTGAGACACTATATCATTTACATGTAGTTTATTCCTTTCTGATTTTACCCACTAAAAACGACGCCGAAGCAACTGTCAACCCACCCAAGAAAGCTAAAGTTAAGGCGCTTTGTATTTAATACGAAGGAATTCTCATTCACAAAAAAGTCATGTATAACATTCTTACAATGAATCGTCATTTTCTGCCTTGCAGTTTCAATTGCTTTTAATTCTTGTTCACTTAAATTATATTCTTTCGCTTTTTCGCGAATTTTTGCATACAATGCGGCATCATCAAGACCAGGCATAATTAGTGTGAAATGTGTTCAAATTGCATGAGGTGTGCTTGTACTCCACATTTTCATGCTCTTTTTGTCGCTTTAACAGTGACGTTGGACTTGCACACCCTCAAATTCGGACCTTAATACGTTTAAAAGAAATCTTTTATTACAATATTTAAAACCCAATGAGCACCAAAAATTGTTTGGGGCAGATCCTAAAGTTTCTATAGTACAGACTATATATTGCTAAAAACCCCCTTTGGGAACAAGGGTAAAAAAGGATTTAATCAGTTGTTGTTGTGTGTGAGGACTGGGTCAACCATTGTAATAGGGCGTAGCCTAGTGAGGGGTCTGGTGGAGGTCGGACCTTAATACAGGAATCTAAATAAAAATAGAGATCAGTCCCAATTATAGTCTTTTCGGACTCTTTGTTTGAATGAAATGGGACTAATTTTGCAATCTGTCTAGACGCTTTCTAAAGATAGAATTAGACTGATGGCAGATGTTCAGTGCAAAACACCTTTAGGAATGGAGCATAACAGTCTGAACAACCCTTCTCTCACATATTTTTCTCTTCACAATCCCTCTCGAAAGGATTCAATATAGATCTTATTGAGCTGAAAGCTCTGCAATTGCAGATTTCGTTCGAGCAAACGAAAAACAGATAACATTCTATTACAATGAGTGATGATCTAAAGAAAGTATATGTCTCAGACCGTTATAATAGATGATATGGGAGAATAGGAAAATACACATAATGTCAATTAGGTAAATACTGTTTATGTTTGGCGTAGGTGATCATTAGAAATATGACACCATCCGTACTTCGTAAAGTCCACAATGTTATCCTCTTGAACCTATCTTTTCAGCTCTTGCGCGAAGCGGCTGCTCTTGATTAATTACCGATACAGATATTGTCTTCATCCTTTCCATGTCCCACCGCTATGGGATATGTGGCTGATTTGCTACTTCTCAATAAAGTAATCTTCAAAAATAAAACTATTTCCAAAGAAAACGCGCACATTGTAGAAGACTTAGACGATATTAGCAATCAACAGCCTTCAAAAGCAGTTGAACCGGACTTATTAAAATGGGCCAATATAGTGATAACCAATTGAAGTTACCAAGAACTCTAATTTTGATACATTTGATGCTCTTAGACTATTCTTCAATGCTAAGCTACTTCACTACATCTTGCTTCAAGAAATATTTACCCAACATCTATTGTTATATATCGCATATCTCTTGATGTGTATACAAAAATTCTCAATCAGGAAACTTATTAAATTGACGAACAAAAACGATTAAATAATGTTTAATGCGCTTAATATGGAAAATCCTGAATCTTTTGATGGACGAGAATACAACGAAAAGCAACATTTTAAAATATACACCACAGTTCGCTATACATGGCAAGAGGGAAAAAAAATCGTTTTTTTTTTTTTCTTGATAAACTTAGTGCTGAGGATGACGAAGGCCAGCAACAAGAATTAACCTTTGACTATGAAGAAGGAATGAAGTCTATTTAGAGGTTCATGCAAGATAAAGCCGAAATAAATAAGACGTTGGATTCGGAACTTTGTTTATTAGAAGGTAAGCAGAAGTGAATAGCAACACAAAAACGCCAACAGCCTTAGTGGGAGCATTCACAAAATATGGAAAAAGGAAACATACTCCTATTATTTTGTTATGAATACTCAAGAATAATGAGCCTAGAGATTTATATATGAGAAACATATTTTTTAGTAACACTCTTGGTATATATCTGATCTACTATCTTTAGTATGATATTAGAGTTTCGAATATAATGTAACGCTTGGTCAGTGCGTATGATAGATATTGCACCTTTTTTCGTTTGTATACGTTGAGGATTTATTAAGTGTGAGTATAAGAGATGAGAATATAAACCAGGTCGGCACCAAAGTTCGCAAATTATAATAAATACAGTCCGTATTCGAAACAAAATTCTCTAATTCGTTGATTGCAAAGAAGTATTGCGGTATTTTAGAGAATGAATACAAACATTTAGTACGCATACAATGAAAGACAAAGACGTTTGTAGATAAAAAAAAAGTTAATGGCATATTGAGGTTAATTATGATTGTTGTTTCTATTTCTTGTTTGGGGTATTATTAGCTTCTTTTAAACATTTTTTTACACCGAGGGAAATACTTCTCCTTTAATTGGGTCTTTGAGAAATCCTTTTTGTCCTTGACGATATAGCACCAACAATACGTCTCGTACAGACCACCAGACAACAACAGTGGTCCCTGGGAGGGTAAGGTATATCATAATCGTATTCTTCGTCACTAGAATCACTATCAAGCTCATCTAATGGACTTGATATTAAGGAATCTTAACAGAAAAAAGTCTAGAACTTGTTATTGGTGCCTCCAATGTCATATATAAGCACTTGAAGGTGAAAGAAAAGCAGGGCTATTTATATCTGTTGGATATAGATGAGTTCAGAACTTCAAAAATAAGATAATATTTCTACTCGTTCACTTGAAATATGTTTTTTAACACTAGATTGTAGGTTTGTAATTCATGTAGACAGGAGACTTTGGAACTTAATTGCCGCCGACGGACAGACGATCCATGCGATATTGATTTGCAACAATTGCAATATTTATTGGAATCGTGATGTCAACGCGGCGAAGAATACGTTTAGGCATCTCTGAAGCCATCGAGGCGGGAGAGAGAAGGCCTGTTGAGTTCAGATCTCATCCTCGGACCACTTGAAGCGCCATCTCCAATATGGTTGTCTCTCCTTGCCGAGAGACAAAAAGATTCTACAGGTAATAAGTCTACATTTTATCGAAATCTATCCAAAATATTGTACTAAAATACTCCCAATTATTTTGTTGTTTTGATCTGAAAATTAACTCAATGCTGTCCAAAACTGACCCGAAAAGACTGTATAGTTGGAAGCTCTTGATCCCATTCTTTGGCTCCTAATGAGCTTTATTGAGCGTAGCCGCTGTCTTAGTTGGAGACTGGGCTGGCTCCCCAACAACTACTCAGCCCATTGCCTATTACACCCTCTATGCACACTCACTAAAGCCCACGCCATTGAATGTCTACAAATGCATAACCGCCTGCAACTTCCAACAACCGTTGTTGACCCCATTTCTCATTTGTTGAACCAACAACTCCACACTCGACCCTTAAAACAGCATGCCAACGCCCCAGTTAATTGGAGTATATCTTGGCCAATTGTCCAAATGCTTCTTTGTGAAATCGATTGTCTTCGGCACGAGAAAATGCCCCCTACCCCGTCAGAAACATTAGGACAGCCCTTGCTAGACTGGCTTTATGCGCCCACTACGATCATTACTTGATTGTCCCTTTTTTTTAATCTAGTCTGCATTGTGATCCCTTATCCTTTTTTTTTTCCCTTGTACCTTTTAGGGTGTTTTAATTCCTGCACGTATTTTGACCTGCCCAGGGCAATTTTCTGGTAGTAAAAATTATTCAATAAAAATCATGTTCAATCGTATAGTTAGAAGATTCCGAGTTCATATCTATTGTTAGTTTGTTACAGAATCGTGTCCGATACAATGTGAAATAAACTATTGTACAAGGTATGCATTACTATTGTTGAAGATATTCGAGTATTGAAATCAATTATCTCGTTAAACACATCAATGAAGATTATTCATATTATTTTTAAAATATGATATCAAATACACAACTGCCCAGGTGATCTATGTTCTTCTTCACATTCGCGATTACCTCCTCTCGTACGGTATACTTAGTCGCAGTCTCAGCATAAAACAATATTTTTTCTCCCAAAATGCGTATATAAACTGGGTAAAGCATTTGTCCCTGCATCTACATATTTCAATAGGCATTTATAGCGAATTTGCTTAGCCTTCTACCTGAATCATATCATGCGTCACTTTTCTCAAGGGTGAGCTACTTGAATGACTTAGACAAAGTCTAATGATACGCTCATTACGAAAATAGAGAAATAATCAGACAAAAGACATTTGAAAGCTATGGGTGAGGGAGCGTATCAACAATCTTCTGGATAAGGACCTCCGCTCTATTACTGACAAGCATCGTACAACAAAGATGGGTCAGTTAATGACCATCCACTAGCCACTTTATGGCTGGTCAGGATAGGCAAGCATAAGAGCAAACCGTCATCGCTGCTGATGATTTCAGTTCGCAAAGAGCGTGATGATGGCGCAGTTTATGGAAAATCAGTAATGATCCCATGGTCAGCCCCTCAACCAATGCTTGAAGTATTCTAACGTAAGAATTCTTTCTTTACCACAAGCTTTGGAAGGAACAATTATATTGAACACTCTCAAAACAGCGATGCTGATAAGATGGCTGATATTTATTTACAAAGATACATTATAATAAATCAACCTGAGTGAATTTTTACTCTACGTAATAAGTTCATTTGACTAATAGCACTAGTAGCAGTAGATAGTTGGAAAAATGCTTGAAAAAGGTCCTACCTATTTACCACCCGTATCGGGTATGCCCAACATGATTAGCAGTCTTTCTGAAAAACTGTCTGCGCAGCAGGGCCTGCTGCAGGATTGGGCATTGCTCGCGTTAGCCTATCTCACTTTTCAGTTGTTAATCAGGTTGGATCGTTATTTTCAACAGGACGGCTACGGTAGTGAATGATACATTCAAAACGGTTACAAAAGAAGTTCGGAGTGGCGCGCTCACTCGTACTGTTGATAGTTCTATTGATGATTTTGCTGAAAATGAGAGAGAATGCTTTGAACAAATTCAGCATTTTAAAATTACATGCCTCAAAATAACCACCAACTACTATCTCGACAGCCAACAGATGATCAAGCTGCTAGATGTGACATAGGGTTAGCAAACATTATATCCAAGCGCCAACAACATCTGTATAAATATCGGGCAGTACTAAATACACAGTGCATACGAGATTCTGGTTTGAAATTGGTTCGCGCTCGGTTAACAGTGCAGTTTGTGGATTGGCAAGGAAGAATGGTATCATTGCCGGCATCAATTACATTTGATTCTACGATCAAAGGAAATGCTATTTGCAACAGCCAGTTTTATTAAGAAGGCATATCAACCTATGTAATTTTGGCATGTCTTTTGTAAACTTTGCTGGTTAGCTGGTTCTACGGTTGGTACAGTAACTGAAAAGGAAGCGTAAGTATTTGTTTACTTAAAATTTGTTGCTCGATTAAGACGTAATAACCGGTAGTATTCGTAATAATATCATTTGATATAGAACAACTTTGACGGCAGCTTTTTACCAATGTGACGTACCTTACTTTAATGTTGTTCTTCTGCGTATACTTTTTGGAGTTGCTGGTGTTGCATTTGTCGATGATCGTGTATCTAATATGAGTGTTGCTTGGCCTAGTAAAAATTATGAAAGCTTATCCTAGGATGAAGGTGTATACGTTTGTGAAATCAATTCAGTTACATAGTAACAGTAACTGCGACTTTCTTTAATTCAACGCTGTCTAAAACATTTGTACACCATTACAAACTGCTTCTAAGCGTCAACTCAATGCTGCTGGCAATTATGAAACGAGCTGTAGGAGCTAAATATGACCGATATTGTTGATATCCCTGGATTAATAGATGCATGGGATACAGGGCCTTTATAATGTGAATGGGTTTAAATGCTGTATGACCTTGTGTTGACGCAAAGACTGGGTAAAATCAAGACAGTGGACCCCCGTATTTTGTACCGTCTGTGAAAATAAGCGGGTAACCGATTTAGCTAAGCAATGTAACATGAGATAATGAATACATCACAAAAACTATTGTTCGAGCAGTACACTATGTACAAAGAGTACTAGGCAATATAGATATCAGCCTATGGCCGACCAACTTGCTGAAAACATTGAGGAATATGTAGTAAGTAATAGTAGGCGGCAGGTCATTTCTCTCTAAGGAACAGCCCCTTTTGAAAGCTTGTTAGTGAAACCGTTGTTCTGTGTTCACACTTCTCCCCTTTTTTTAAACTTCTTCTGATTTGGATACGGATGAATGGAAATTTATCATGTTCACTAACTTCTGTTTCGTATGCTTTCAAAAACTGGGCTTAATTGTGACAGATAACAAGAGCTTTAAACTGTGATGGTTCTGCACTACTATGCACCCTTATATATAGTCAGCAAAGGTTTTTTAGCATATTTCATACCAGTAACTTGGTTTAATTGCTCAAGATAGCAATGTCATCAAATGCACTCATTATTTTAGTCGGTCTTCACAAGTCATTAGAGCTATTTCCTTGTTGTTGCAGTAAATAATAGAACTTTCTTTTAACGAAAGTTTACAGAACCTCCAAATAAAGACAAAACGTTTGTTGAATAACCGCAACTCTTTTTTACTCCGTCTTCAGCGTTCAAAGGAAAGAGGGAATGTGATGTGAAGGTCTTTGATAGCGAGGCTTCCTGCCTTTTTGTTCCAGCGGGACTCTTAAATCTTGTAGTGTGACAAAAACAAGCCGATGACGCCGTTTGGTTGGTCATCCCTTTCAAACTTACAGTAAACTCTGGCGTGTGTCTTTTTCTGAGCACTTTTTCAGTTTACTCCTCTCTCTTCTCTTCTCTTCTGTTTATCTTTGTAAGGTCCCACACACTCCGTTTCTGTTCACTTTTCCAAATCGTCAACTTAATCCGTTTTGAAATAAAGCGATAAAGTAGGACTTTGACCGGAAGATAAATAAACATAAGGAGACAGCAACGCTGAACAAGAAAATTGAATAAATAGTAATGGCAAGTTCAGAAGTCAGTTCATCCACAGGCACAAATGGCAGAGCAAATAGCAATAGCAGTGTAAGCACTCGAGATTCTAGTATGGATAACAGGAAAGCGACACCACCCCGAAATACTCCACGAAGTGCGCCTACCCCAGAATTTCATGCTGTCATAGCTCCAACTTCACCTACATATCCGCCGTATGGAGCTACTTACATCGACCCAAGCCAACTTGCCGCCGCTGCCACAAATGCTTATGAAGTGAGCGGTGATCCTGTCAATTTAACCTATGTATATCCTGTAAGTCCACAATTTTCAGTCCAATATTATCCGGACTATTCCAATGGCTATCAAAGTTATCCCGGCTCTCCTTCCTTGCACCCACAATCTCCATCTATTAACCCTACAAGCCCACCCTTCAGTCCTACTTTACAATATCAACAAGTGGCTCTTTCGCCTCCTACTCATGCGTATGTGCTCCCGTCGCATTCAACGCAGCCATTTCCTCCTTTGCATATCACTTCACCCATATTGACAGGTAGAACTTCGTTACCAAGCTCTCCTCCGCACCAATACCTGCCAGGACCTTATATTATTCATACAGATAACAGAAGCAATAAGAAACACAACCAGCATCATAATAACAGTATGGGTGGTCATCCACATCCACAACATCATCATCAGCAACCGCGACAACATTATCAATTCTTCAATAACCATCAAGAAATACAACCAGAAGATGCTGTCGATTATCATACGCACAATATCTATGTTCGTGGATTGTCATCCTCAACGACGGATGAGTCATTTTTGGAAATGTGCCAAGTGTACGTTCCTTATTTTGGAATTTCTAAAAACAACAAAAAGAATGAACGAAAAACTGACTCGAAAAAAAATCATAAAACCTTAATTATTTTCATTTTCAACGTATTAGATATGGTGATGTCGCATCTTCAAAGGCCATCATTGATCAAAAGACAGGCGAATGTAAAGGATATGGCTTTGCCATGTTTAATAATGAGAAAGAATGTGAGGAGGCTATCACAGGATTGAATAAAGCTGGATTACAAGCATCCTATGCTCGTGTGGGACAGGTAAAGGTTAACAATGAGGGTGTTGTCGATCTTTCTAACACACACACTTACACAACAATTTGTGTGAATCATACGTTAGGAGTCCTTCAGTTCTCGTCTAAAAAATCTGCAGGATGAGACTTCAACCAACATATACATCTCTAACTTACCATTAGATTATACTGAAGAGGTAAGGCTATTTCCAAAGCGTAATGAAAGGGCAAAAGATGGGGCATTGGGAGAGTGATGCCCTTCTTTTTTTGGCGGAGATCAAGTTTTCTGATAAGGGAATAAACTTTTTTTAATTAAATTCGTACCTAGAAACTCGAGGAGTTATTCCAGCCATATCGAACGGTATCCAATCGAATTTTGCGTGATCCGCAATCAGGGCTAAGTAGAGGCGTTGGTTTTGCGAGGTGAGTGCATATTGACTGAAGTGGATCGTCCAATTCTCATATTCTAATGGTCATACTCTTGTGTACCGTAGAATGTCAGATCGCCAAGCAGCTTCAGCTATTATTGACAAATTCAATGGACATACAATTGAAGGTTCTTCAGCACCATTACAGGTGCGGTTCGCTGATTCTCCAGCTCAAAAAAAATTAAAGAGTCAAACCGCACGTAATAGAAGAGTAGTAAGACCTCGTGAATTTCAACCGATGGCCACATTTGCCATGAGACCTATTATGCCTATCACACCAGAGACTATGTTAGGAATAGCACCTGCTAATCCAGCGTCAACATCTCATCATGCATATTTTACTGACCACCCACAGTAAGTAAATGGCTCACTTGCTTTAGTCTTATTTTCGTATAGGGGCAACTTTAATTGAGTTGTATTGTTATACGATAGATTTGCTGCCCACATTCTACCAAGGCCAATCTTCAACAGTAGGCAGCAACAACAGCCACCAGTCAATAAACATGCTTCGTCGGTTCCATATGAACAGAATGATTTAGCAGAAGATATGCAGAAAAAGATAAATATCACGGAGACTCCAACAAATTGATTGAATGATCAACAATACAGTTTGGTTCTAGGGCTCGAATTGAAACCCACAAGTTACCACAATGAATGATTCCACTGTACGCAATTTATTACCTACGACATCTAATCTTTTCGGGCGCACACGAATGAAGAATCACGTATCTCGCCACTACTTATTTACAAATACAACCAAATAAACCTTTAATTTTGAGACAAACCAAGAAAATTTACGTCTAAAAGTGTAGTCTATTCTCAGCATCTACAATACATATTAATATATACAAGCCTTGTCTGTAATAATGAAAGTGATTTATGAATATTACTCATCAGTCACTGGAATTGTGGAATTTTTTTTTTCACAAAAAGCGTTTTTGAACTTTGCCGGAGTATCCTTTTCATCATCAAAGTCTTCTTTGGCCCAGAATGGTAATTCAGTTTCATATTGCCAGCCGTTAGCAGAATATTTCCACGCATGCAAGAAAATGCATAGCTGGTCATAATTCTTACCGAGGATAAGTGAAGCGCTACACTCTTTGCAACGATTATCCAACTCGTCCTCTTTTACTCCTGGAATCGGTGTAGCTATGGGTTCCGTAGGCTCAGACCAATCTTCCATGGGTGAGTATTCGAAAAGTTTATCCACTAGCATCTTGGCGTCTTCATCTTTCATTCTTTCACCAGGTCTGATCCAAGGTGCCCATGTTGTACTATTACCATATAAAGGATCATTCGAAATAGGATATCCCAAATAACGTAGATGGACTCGAATTTGATGTGTACGGCCTGTTAAAGGTTTACATCGTACAACACTTGTTTTCCCATTATAACTTAGTTTTTCAAACTTTGTCACTGAGGGTTTTCCATCCGCATGGACATAGTTGACAGACATTTTGTGCGAAATACATTTGATAGGTGCATCACAGACAATTTCGCCACTATACATCAGCGAAGAATAACAGCAGGTGAATGGAAAGGCTATTGATCTAATAGAGTTTATAAAAGCAACTTACTCGGGGAATTCTCCTTCAACACGACAAACATATTCCTTTCTTATCAAACCCGCCGACATTTCTCGTTCTAGCTTTTTTGCCTTGGATGAATTTTTAGCAATCAACATGAGACCCGAGGTTGGTAGATCGAGACGGTTGGCAGGAAATAGTTTCGGTATATTGTATTCTTTCCGCAAGATTTGTACGATAGAATTGTGCCTATAACGCCCCGCAGGATGAACTGGAATTCCTCCAGGCTTGTCTATAACATATAAATCGTCATCCTCGTATACAATATTGATGGGTTGGTCTGAAACGGGTGGCTCATGTCTATGAATTTTATGTCCTATCACATCTCCATTCTTCACAATAGTATCTATTGTCACTTGCTTATCATTGATAGTCAGCAATCCTTTCTCAATGGCATAACGCTAAAATGGAGAGAAGTCCTGTTTAGCAACTAAACTAAAGTGTGCAGGTGTTAACTGACATATGTGGAGCTTACATAATAAACCTCACTGCGATCTCTAAATTCTGAAGAGAACACATCAAGAATAGTTCGATCGAACCATCGACCTTTAGCGAAAGATTTGTATTCAAAATAGTAAGGTTTAACTTTACGCAAACCTAATGAATAAATCAAACGTTGATTGTTAGTCAATATTGAACTGATCCGTGAGGATCTGTCTTGGAAAAAAAAAAAAGCAAAATGGAAAGGTACCGTTTTCAAAGTAGTAGTTGGCTGTGTTTAGATCGTCCACATCTCGAAAATCACCCTCTTTCCTTCTTTTCAGTTTCTTTTCAGGTGGCGATCCTTCTTTGCTCTTGGCAAGTCGGTACAATGGATTTTCCATGGCTAGTTTGCGCTTCCTTGCTGCTCTCTCTCTACTTGTTTCTTTCTTTGCAAGCTTACAAAATACAAAAGGTTGGCATTTCTTGAACAAATAAGACAAGACATTTCATTTTTGGAGGCTTACTACTTCTGTTGGAGTTGAGGCCGTATCAATGACGTCTTTTGGGTTTTTTGATTCTTCAAGATGTGACGGATCCTCTTGTGAATTCATCGATTCTTCCTTTGGTTACAGAAGAAGGGAAAAAAAAGAGGGCAGAAAAAGGGGCAAATAGCAAAAAACTCAGTTCAAGTTTTTCCTCGTTTGGAAAACCTACAGCCAGTAAAATTTTACCTGGAAGAACATGTACACCTGAATAAGTAAATACACTGCCGAATGCCTATCGCAGCTTTCAGAGTGTTCCTTGACAGACAATGCCCAAACTCACAGGATAACAGAAAGTAGGGTATCATTGAACCACTGAGAATGAAAGTTCGTAAAGCAATAGTATCAGTTCATCCCTTTCGAGAGTATGTTGATTTAATATTAAAGTTGATCCGACAACTGCAAAATGCATATCATATAAGAAAGGTTGCTCAAGCACTAACATCTTAGTTCGTAGCTTTGAACTGCCCCTAAGATATTTTTATTAAACAAGAAAGATGCTTGCTGTATCTCTTTTGGCAAGTGAAATATAAGTGATATAGTTATCAGAAAAATGATCAGAAATTTACTGCTGGCTGCAACGGCAGCTTCTCGAATACATTAATGCTCTTTTCTATCTTCTGTAGGCAGTCGATCGACTCAGATATTCAGAGAGCAAAAAGCTTTATTCAAAAATAAAGGTTCATGTATTAGGTTCATAACAAAGTTCTTGAAATCACTGCGCAATCAAAGCAGCAAATTATTGCTTTATTTCAGAAAGTGCTCAGTTTACCCTATTATTCGTTTTGAGTATCTGACTATGTAAATAATACTTACGGTGATAATTAGATTGGTTGACAATACAGCGACGAGTAGTAATCCTATACATGGAAGCTGTACAGTTTAGGATCTTTCGAGACTTTACAAGCATGTTATTCCTAATGATTGTTCGCAGATACGATGTATTGGACTTGATTGTGTCCAAACATGTTTCTTTGCTCTTACACAGAACTCAATTGGATTGACGGATGTGATTACAAAAATATTCGAAAAGTGTATTATGGGTACACTTGGCACGACGGCGCGCAGTTTTTGTGTTGTACATTATGATGATTTGTAATGAAAGACAGTCTATTTCTAGTTTCTAGTTAAGTTCTAAACGCAATCTTTTGCATAATAATGGTTATGGATAAAAGAATAGAGAAAACGACAGAACCTATCCAATGATGTATTGCTTCTTCATCAATAAAAAAAGCGCACTTTCACCAGCTCTGTAATACGATGATAGATTGATGAATGCACAATAGCCTGTACATAGATGCATAATAAGAAATTCCATCCTCTGTCGGCATTGGTATGTGCGATTTAGCTCTTCTTTATCCACCAAGAACAGAAAGATATAACCTCAGGAAAAAGACAAAAGTTTAGTGCTTTGATTCGTTTTTGTGTTACAATCATACGAAAAGTAAGTTTATGCCTCTTTCGTCTAATTAATGTTTCATATTACCGACATCGAAGCTGATTGGGTGCTTACCAAAAATGTGGGGTCAAAGCAGAACTAAGCAAAACATAATTCCAAAGGCCTCCTGTATAAAAATCCCTCTCTTTTCTATTCTTTTGATAATCCAAGGAAACAAAAAAAAACCATGTTTGATTCACACTCAAATAATAAAGGGAAAGAACCTGAGAATAACGACAGTAACTGGACTGCCAATGTGACAGCTCCAACTGCACAGCAGCCTGCTCCTCCTCTTCCTCAGCAACTACGCAGGCATTCAGTTACGGTAGGAGAAATGCATTTTCATTCTTTTGATAACAAGAATCAACATCATCATCACTTTAATCACAATGAACTCGATCATATTTTGGCATCTTTTCCTTCTTCTTGGTCATCGACATCTTCTTCTTCCATGGCTTCATCATTTAATCAACAACAATCACAACGCCATCCTTCTATTTTTGATAACACAACAATGGCAGTATCACCAACGCCCGCCTTCTTTTCGCCCAGTTTTTTAGATGCCTTAAAACACGAAGATAACAATCCGTTTCAATCCTTTCCACCCATTGCTACTGCTGATGTTACTGCAACCAACAACATTATTACTACAACAGCTCCTCCTACTGCTACTGCTAGGAACACAATTAATCCCAATGAAGATCTTCTGTTACAAGATTTCATTATACCAACCACTGCTACTACTGCTCCTACTATGACTACTACAACTGCTACTGCTGCTAGTGGTAGTATATCAGTTTCATTACCACCGTTGCAGCCGACTTTCTATAGTATGGATATCAACCACAACGATGATTGGGAATTTCATTTGCCTGAAACTACAAAGTCTGACTCACTTACTTCTATCCTTTCAAATAATACAGCTTCATTCTATCATCCATCGATACCAGAAGAGGAGGTGGTAATTAAGAATGATGAAGAAGATGGATTCGACTCAGTCAATGCAATTACTACTAATTCTACTTCAACTTTTCCAATAACTCCACCTGCGACGAATGAAGATTTAAAACCTTCAATACGGCATTATCTGTCCACTTTTGAAAACGAAAGAAAAATAACTATACTGACCAGTAAAGTAGCACAAAAAAGTTATGGTACCGAGAAAAGGTATAGAAAATATACTTTCCTTTTCATGCAAACAACAACCCATATAATGAGACATGAACTGATCAAAAAAAAAAAAAACCCGAAAAAAATCATATATTAGGTTTCTTTGCCCCCCTCCTCTAACTGTTTTGAGTGGTTCTTTACCTTGGTTTATACATGGTAAAGAGCCTAAAGTACAAGTACAAATCAAAGGCGAAAATCAATCTGTCCAAAATGGCAATATAGAGTGGCAGCCATCCGAAGAATCAGACAATAAAATGAAAATGACGGGCGCATGCGTAGCAAAGCATTTACATATAAATGACTCTACTGTCAATAGCAGTAGCAATCATAATGTTACTGGTGGAAACGATGAAGATAAAAGAAAGAGAGTGCAGATACAAGTTAATATTCAGCTGGGTGGTACTGAAGATGAGCAAGATATGGGAATAAGTAGGGATTTAGGTACCTTTTATTCTAAGGGTATCAAAGTGATTAGTAAGCCGTCAAAAAAGAGACAGAGTGTAAAGAATATGGAATGTAAGATGTTCAGCAGTTAGTTGTACGTATTTGACTGTACATTTTACTCACTTCTTACTGCACGCCAACCTATACACATATTTTTAGTATGCATTCATCATGGAAGTCTTATATCTCTGTTCAATCGCATCAGATCGCAAACTGTTTCCACTAAATACTTGGGTGTTTCTGTTGAGTCTGAGAGTAATACAGACAATCCAAACAACACTTGCTTCATCGCAAGAACCAATAAATGGGACCCATTTGTCATTTGGCTTGTTGACTTGTCTCGTTCAACGTCAAGTGATAGCAACTCACCAACTCAAGCAAGTACTTCCGGCCATCGTAATTTCCCTCCACCGCCCGCTATTGCATTACAACAACGTGAAGGTCAAGATTCAATTGCAATACATTACAATCAACCTGTTGTACTACAGTGCCTAAATACAGGTTTAGTATCCCCCATCATGGTCATACGCAAAGTGGATAAAGGGAGCCAAGTATTAGGTGGAAACCAAGTCTTGGGTAATGTGCTTAATGAAAATGGACCTGTTGGTGGTGGCGAATGTGGTGATGAAGCCTTGGGTGATCCTGTATCTCAACTACATAAAATTGCTTTTCAAATTGTTACTGATCCATCACTGGCTACTCAATACGCTTATCAATATTACAGTCAAGAACTACCACTACAATCGTCTCCGAATGAATGGAAATTACCTCATTTGACAGAACCACAGTCTACTTATTTAGCTTGTTTAGAAGATGTTGTCGGTATGCATAAAACTACTTCTGAGCGATATTTCCTTACAACACTACAACAACAACAACAGCAGTATTTAATCAATCAACAAGAAAAAGAGCAAGCCTCAATACATCGTATGGCAGCTGCGGCAACATCGAATAGTAATAATAACAGCGGTGCTAGTGGACGTAGAAGACGTGTATCCTGCGATATTACGACTGGAAATAACAGTAGCTCGAGCGGTGCTGGAATTTCTATGAACAGTACTACTTCTTTACAGTATCATCATCATCCCTACGATCACTATAGAAGACGTGTTAACTCATTAAACGATGGAACTTTGTTATCAAATTCAGGGTCGGTGAACAACTTTATCTCAAATGGTGGTATAAGTAGAGGCGCTGGTCGTCAATATCATCGACGTAATAGTACAGCATCAACTACTCCCAGTGGCACTGCTTCAGCTACTTCAGCAACTGCAACTGATAAAAGTCATTTGAATAATGGTGCTTGTTGGACCGAAGATGTATCTGATGCCTCTATTTGGACGATTGTTGGTACAGACTATATTACCTACAAGTTTTGCTTACCCAGAAGCAGTACTATGGCAATCGATCCTATATGTTGTGCACCATTCCCCATACTCACTTCCTTTACTTGTGCAATTATCGAAAATAACAACAGCGGTGCCAATGAGAGCGTCAAAAAACATCTTATAACGCTACATGGTGAAAACTTCACAAAAGATTTAGCAATATGGTTCGGGGATATTCAATCACCTTCTATTGAATACAAGTCTAAAGAAACCATTATTTGTACGATACCTTCTATACAAGAATTGAAGTATAGCTCAACTTGCATTCAGGATAACGATAACCATAAGATTCCATTACTATTTATACGTAACAGTATCATTTATAACACAGATCAATATTATTATTTCCAGTAAAAAATGCGATTGAAATACACACTTTATACATACTTTTGATGTAGGACAAAGCTGTTGTGCATAGCGGCCGTATTGTGTCTCTATTACTGAGCATCGGTTCTTATGCTAACCATCTTCTTGTTTTTCTTATACGAGCCATTACTATTCAGTTTTTGAACATCTTTCGTCTAAGGATATAGTATGGCATACTATCAAGCTATACACTTGTTATTGCAGTTTACAAGCTGCCAGGTAAGGGGAAGCAGTCCACTAGATTTTTTTTTTCTCTTTTTCCCTTTTTTTAGCAGAAAAAAAAAATTGTTTTTTTTCAACTTCTTTTTTTTTTCCCTTCCCTTACAGCCCTTCCCTCCTTTTTCCTTTTAATAAACGAATATAAACCCTATGAGGGTCAACAACAATAATACGAGAAGGCATTTCATATACTCAGATTCAACGAGCGTCTTACGATTCAAAAAGTAAAATGAAAGAATAGGGCAGACCGAAATAAACTCTGTGCTAATAACTTGCTTTCCCTGTCTTAGTGAGCCTAATAATATCTTATCAACTATAGACAACGATAGTCTAGCACAACGATATCCATCTATTGCACCTGATTATTGGAAGAAGAATGCCGGCAATTCTCCCTTAGTTATCAAGCGACAAACATTTACGATTTCGAACGAGAAAGTAGAAAGTACGATAGATCGCCCTACTATGGGCGGAAAGAATCCTTATTCCGTAAAACATCGATACATCAATAGCGATCATACTCACACAACGACTACAGGAAGAAAAAGGCCACCACTACTACTGAAACAACGTACTATACCATCCTCAAATGAACTGAAGCTGCTAAGCCGGCGAATAGATCCTCATCAACCGTTATCTTCACCCTACGATACACCCAAGAAACCGCCATTACCCAATTTAACCAAACGCAAGTTTGAAGATGTTGATTGTAATGATGGTGATACCGATACAGAAAATTTGCCGCCTGCATCAGATGCTACAGATTTTACTCTAATCGACACCAACGCACATAAAAAACGAAGAAAGTCACTATTCACCTGTCTGCAATGCAACAAAGTCTATAAAACGAAGAATGGTCTTGTTTACCATCAAGATAGATGCAAATTCAAAGACCAACAACAACAACAGCAGCAGCAGCAGCAGCAGCAGCAGCAACAAGAGATAATACCCGATTCTGAAACTGACATATTTGTTGAATGCTCATTATGTAAAACCACACTATTAAAACAGGATAATTCATCCTATAAAGCCAATGATACAACTATTATCTGTACGCAATGCGCAACCAATGCTACAGCATCCAGTAACGGCAACAACATTACCGCGGATTTACAAGAGTACTTTAATAATACTTTACTACATACCGAAATCCTTGATAACCCTATACTCCTGGAAGAGGATTGGAGTTTGGATTTCATGACTAATTCAAACAATTGGATTGGTATAGAGGATCCTCCTTCTTTATTGTTTTCCTCATCGTCGGATATGCCATCAAGTGCTACACTCTTGGACGAGGATAACGACCAAATTTCCACCAATGATCTCCCTTTCTCCGTTAATACTGATAGAGACTGGTTTCAATATGCAAACTTGGATGATTTTGTCAACCTCAGTAATGATGAAAATAGTAGCATAATTGATTCATATGAGTTTGATAGTAAATAATACCATTTATACGGGTCCAAAGTAAATAAAATCAACATTGCCATGCTTGTTATGCGCTCTTTGAAATAACCGTCCTTCCTTGAATTTGTCATATCAGTCCCTTTTTTATTCTGTTTAGACTTATCAGTAAACTTTTCGTTCATTATATAACCTTTCCAACTTCATGGCTCATTCTGGTAAGCACCTTTTCAAGCCCATACTTTTTTTAATTTACATTGGTTGTAATTTTTTGAAATTCACTCTTTATGTTTAGATCGAAAGTCTAATGACCAAAAAGCGACAGTAAAAGCTAAATTAACAAAACGAGAACAACGAATAGAAGAAAAACTCAAAAATAGAAAGACGCGATCTTTATTCGACACCGATGGTGATCTAAGTAAACACAACATTATCGAAGGAAGTAGGCGTCGACGTACTCGAACAGACAATACTGATTCTGCCCTTTCGACAAAGCCTTTAAAAAGAAAGAAACATCAGCAAGAGCAGCAGCAGCAGCAGCAGCAGCAGCAGCAGCAAAAGCCCTTATTTATTGAAAATGCCAAAAATAAGCTCTTGCCACCTCTTTCCGGTAATATACAGTTGGATAATTTGAAAAAGGACTGTATTGAAGAACGCCTTGGTCGTATGGCAGCCATTCAACAACAGCATAATGCTTCCGTGAAGGAACTATACCATTTAGAACTATTCCAAAATATGCTTGATTATGACCCACATGCTTTTATCAATGATGTTCGATATAATACTGTATGCTGTTATTTATGTTTGATGGTAACAAGAAGTACAAATCTTAACTAATTCTTTTTTTTTAAAAAATTTGATCTGCTGTTGCAGTATGTTGCAGTTTATGATTTATGGAAATCGTTACAATTAGATCCTTCATTCAAAGTCAAGCTTGAGAAAGAAAAGAAAGATAAATGCGAAGCGACCTTACTCGATCTCCTACAAAGCGCTGTCCATGAAACTATTCTAACGGAGAGTAAAGCGATAGCCGACAATAATAAAACGTCCACTTCTAGTACTCCCAGCATCATCCTTCAACAGCAGCTCATTCACACTATCCATACAGGTACTGGTTTACGTCGGCAAAACCGCCAATTCACCACACTTATGGACTACTTGAATTCATTTTATGCTTCCATCGAGGGAGGTACCGACGACATCACACCAGAAGCACGTCTACAATACATTGAAAAGGAAAAAGCCATCCGACAACGGCTTTATGCACTTGAACAACGAGGTGGTTTCCTTACGCGTCAATTCCAAAATATTGCTCATTATAAAAACCCACATCCACACTCTATGAGCAATCACTGCAACCATCATCAGCATTTAATTAGTACTATCCCTACCGCTTCAAAACAATTTCATAACATGCACCGTTATAAAATCACTCAAGCGAGAAGATGTGCAAAAGCTATTGATCGCTATTGGGAAACAATTCGGACACAAGATGAAAGACGTCAACGTGAAGAAAAGAAAAAGTTGGTACGACTGGCAAAATGGACAGCGCAGCAAGTCAAAAAGAAATGGAAGTTAGTAGAAAGGATATGTGAGGCTCGTTCAAAAGAATTGCTAAAAGAACAGCAGGCGGAAGAGGGAAGACGACATTTGGAAAAGATTTTGGAACATTCTGAACATGTGTTGGGAGCGAGACAAGAAGAGTTGGCTCGTCATCAACAAATGCAACAACAACAACAAAAGCAGCAGCAGCAATTGTCGAGAGAGAATAGTGTGGTGAGTATGAGTGGCACCAGTGCAACAACTTGGACGAGCTATCCATCCGAGGAGAATAGTAGTAGCATCATGACGGATGATCAGCAAGACGATCTTTGGGAACAAAATGAAGAAGAACAGGAGGATGTAAAGGATCATATTTTAGACGAAGAGGATGTAATAACAGAAAGCGAAGATGATGATCAAGAATTGAGAGAATTGGAAGAAGACCAAAATCTGTCGGTTGAAGAATTAATGAGAAAATACAACGTTTCAAATCAAGAAATATTGGAAAAAGAGGAGGATGTAGCGGATGTAATCGAAGAAGACGGTGAAGAAGATGAAAATGCAGAGGGCGAATTTGCGTTGACATCTGATACGGAGGATATACCAATTGAAGAAGATGGGGAAAGTGAAAGCGATACTGAGGAATTAAATGCATTACAAAATGAAGCTGGCTTGTCTGTCGAAGAACTTTTGCAAAAATACAACTATCGACCCGACTTAGTCAGCGAGACAGAAGAGGAAGACGGCGACGATCATACAATCACAGCCGCAAAAAGAGCTCTATCTTCTGACAATGTGAATAATGAAGATAACACCATGATTTCTTCGTTAAAACGTAGAAAAATAACATCGAATGACGACAGTCCGGAGAGAACGACTCTATCTGCTCTACTAGAAGATGAGAAGCCTTCTTCTTCAAATGAACAGCCTTCTACACTTGGTCAGCCAGATACTCCAACAGCCTCTGATACGGTCGATACTATTCAACCTACAGGTAATACACTAGATACAACAACAGTCATCACACCTATTCCATTTTTATTACGTGGTACATTACGAGAGTATCAACATGTTGGTCTAGATTGGCTTGCCAGTCTATATAAAAATGGCCTTAACGGAATTTTAGCTGATGAGATGGGGTTGGGAAAAACGATTCAGACTATTTCTTTGCTCGCCTATCTAGCATGCGAAAGGAGTGTCTGGGGTCCTCATCTGATCGTCGTCCCTACGAGTGTCATTTTAAATTGGGAAATGGAATTTAAAAAATGGTTACCCGCCTTCAAAATTATGACTTACTACGGAAATACGAAAGAACGTAAACTCAAACGATCAGGATGGTCAAAAGAAAATGCTTTCCACGTCTGTATAACTTCCTATCAATTAGTTTTGCAAGATCAAAGTGTGTTTCGGCGAAAGGCATGGCATTATTTGGTTTTGGATGAAGCCCACCATATCAAAAATTTTCGATCACAACGGTGGCAAGTCTTACTAAACTTCAATGCAAAACGTCGTTTGTTATTGACGGGCACACCTTTACAAAACAATTTAATGGAACTATGGTCTCTATTGTATTTTTTGATGCCGAATGGAGTGTCGCAACATATGCCTGTGGGGTTTGCTAATTTGAAAGAGTTTCAGGAATGGTTCTCGCAGCCCGTCGATCGTTTAATTAAAAAAGATAACTATCAGCGGTCGCCTCACCAGGAAGATCAACTTATGCTAGACGAACAGGCTGCTATGATTGAAGAAGAATCCCGAGCGGCTATTCAGAAATTGCATACCGTGCTTCGACCCTATTTACTAAGACGGCTAAAGATAGATGTTGAAAGACAAATGCCAGAGAAACATGAACATATTGTGTACTGCAAATTATCTAAACGGCAACGATTTCTTTATGATGATTTTATGAGTCGTGCCAAGACGAAAGAAACGCTGGCTAGTGGTAGTTTTTTGAGTATTATTAACTGTCTGATGCAATTACGTAAAGTGTGTAATCATCCTGACCTGTTCGAAGAGCGACCTATCTTGACAAGTTTTGCTATGACTGACGACGTACAGTTCACTGGCCAAAAGATCGAAGCAATTATTCGGCGACGATTGCTTACTACGTCCACGGACGCAAGAGAAAAGTTGGATTTGAACTTCTTGAATCTTGTTGTTACTGATACCAATCAAAATAGAAGATGGATAAGTCGCGCTGTAGCTGATGATACGATGCGTCTGGAAGCCGCGAAGGAGATACTTACTATGATTGCCTGTCAGCAAAAACACATCACGACAGCTGAGTCACATGGAATCACCTCATCCAAGGATTATCACGACCTGAAGAAATATGCCAAGTATCGTGAAATGCGAAAATACGTACGCGCCAGGGAACGGTGGCAAATGATTTACTATGTTAATCATTTCAGGTGTGCTAAGAAACCGCTCTATGACTCGTCATTTATACAGCTTGTTTCACCCTCCGCCTTTTTGAAATACAAATTCAACCACGATCCACGTTACTATATGGACAGTTGTGAGTCATTATATCATGCTATTCAAAGCTATAAGCAGAGAATAGAAAAAAATCGAGACATTATTGAGCAGTTTGGATTTGTGACGCCTAAAGTTGTGATTCATGCAGAATACCGTCAAAAACATCAGCAGCCCTCGGAAGCACAGTATGTACCCTTCATAGAAAATAGGACAGACATAGAACAATCTGTGGCTTCTGTTGATGAACTCACGTTGTCACTTATCAAAGCCAACACGGTGGAGAATGATATCTTCCATCCTATTAAATCTCGTCTCTCCATTGCTTTTCCCGATAAAAGATTGCTTCAATATGACTGTGGTAAACTGCAGAAATTGGACGTGCTTCTGAAGCAGCTGGCCGCTGGAGGTCATCGCGCTTTAATTTTTACACAGATGACTCGTGTGTTGGATATTCTGGAAACATTTTTGAATATGCATGGACATCGTTACTTACGATTAGACGGTGCTACTAAGGTGGAACAGCGTCAGGTATTGACCGAACATTTTAATAATGATAAACGTATCTTGTGCTTTATTTTGTCGACAAGAAGTGGTGGTTTGGGTATCAATCTGACAGGTGCAGATACGGTTATTTTTTATGATTCAGATTGGAATCCATCTATGGTAAGGAAAAAAGAAAAATGGAGGTAAAAAAAAAGAGAGAAATACATAGCTAAGCTATTGAAACAAAAAAAAACCCCAAAAAAAACGAAAGGATAAACAATGTCAAGACAGAGCCCATCGAATTGGTCAAACGCGTGATGTACATATTTATCGATTTGTTACTGAATTTACAATCGAAGAAAATATATTCAAAAAAGCGAATCAGAAGAGGTAACGCCCACTTTTGTTCAACAATAAGGGATGGGGGGAGACGGTTTTAACGCATACCACTTTTATCATAGGATGTTGGATAATGTAGTGATTCAAGAAGGTGGTTTCACTGATGATTATTTCAATAAGAATGATTGGTGGAAAGACCTTCCTGAAGTTGTTGGATCAGCAGCGGCAACTTCTTCCTCTCATCTCAGCAAACAGCTCAACAACGACAAAGAATACGAGCAAGCATTGTTGGAAGCAGAAGATGAAAATGATGCCGCTGCTGCTATTGCAGCTCGAAAAGAGATGAATTTGGATGAACAAGAATTCGTGGATGATAGTCAAAGTAGATCGAAAGGAAAAGGAAGAAGCGAGTCTGTCAGTCAGCAACCAACGGAATTATACACAACGTCAGAACTAAGCACACCATTGAGTGAATCTGCAGCGACGAGTGCTACGACACCCTCTGCTGTTTGTTCGCCCCTTCCTTTGAGGCAAGTAAGCGAAGCACCTACGGAGATGGAGGAGGATGGATCTATGCCGACAGTGACTTCAGTAAAAAATGACGAAGAAGCTGATGGTATTCAATATAACCGAGCTGAACAACCCAATGACGAAGATGAGGCGGAAGGTGGCAGTGATATACAATTAGATGTAGGACATGTGGACCAGTACATGTTACAATTCTGGGAAAGAGAAATGGTTGGCGTGGATCTTGGATTTGGTGGGTTTGTTTCCACTACTTCTCAATAGATAGCTCTGGAAACCAAAGTCTTACACAGCTATTGTACATATACTTTTGTTGTTCAAATAAGGGAATGTATACTAATCAATGTTCATGTAATTATATACCCTCAGTTTATTTCATCGATAAAAGCAATCCTTTATTCTAAAATAGTTCTAAATATATTTGAACTTACTTTTGCAGAGATATGATTGCGTTAATTTGACTTTTGTTTGATTCTATTGCAAGGCGAATGAACGGGGAAATTTAAGCTTTACCATGTCGCAAATTTACGAATTTAACAGAGACTGTAGTATCAGTGGACTCATTGTGAAAAATTATAGCATTTGTGTGATCTACCAGCGTATTTTGGCCTACCATTGCTCTTACAAATTGAATTTTATGTTTCTCTTTTTCTGGTGTCCTCAGAGAATAATTGTAATGTCCGCGTTCAACTTAACTCACAACGGCGATAAACAATCACAGTACTACGTCTTTCACGCCTGGAGAGCTGACCCGACATGAACGTATTGCCGACATATGCCAGTCATATTTCATTACGATTTTTTCCTTTTTTTTCTTACGTTGCAGAACATGTTCACTTTATAACCTTAGCTTTGTTTTTTGTCGATGTAACCAGCATAGCAATGCATGGGTCGCACAGCAGTGTAACATTCTCCGCCTTTTGTCATTCATCTTTTACTAAGATTACAAGTCCGCTATCCAGTATGTGTAGATATCCTTTTATGAGCTACTGGTACAAACCGTGTCCCTCAACTACACCAAACTTTTCACCCCTGTGTATACACTGTCCTCTATATATATGAGTTTTATCTCGTAGACGAGAACGGAATCGCTGATTTAGGCTTTTCTTGAGGTCAGTGCAAAATGCGTATAAAGCTTATATAAAGATTGGTATGTACCATACAACTGTAAATTTTTGTTACTGATATAGTGAACTTTTTCCACGTTTCGAAATATATTCTGAGGGTTTGTCATGAGTTTCAAGAGAACGAACTTTAAAAAAGAATTGTTGCAAAGAAAGAGGGTCTCTTTAGTATATCTGATATGCAACTAAAATAGGAGATAATACAGACGCCACTCGGCGATTTCTATGATTTTTAGATATCTAATGAGAAACTTATTAATGAAAGAAGGACGGGGGAAGGAGGGGGGCAGGGAGCTGTTTGGTGTGAAGAAATGCTAGTCTACATCACTTAGAGTTGTCTGTCATGGATGAAAATGCAAAACCCTTTTTAAAGGACTTATCAAAGAAATAGACTGATAACATTTACCTTATTTATAAATGCAGAGATGGCTCGTTCTCTTTCAAGCAGCAAATCATGAACAAAGAGCATTAAGATATTAAGCAGAAGACCATTTTGAATATTCATTATCCAGATAGGCTTTCGTAATAAGGGTTGTGCAAAACAGCGCCCACAGGCAGCTTCCATTTCGAGAGAACATTTACGTAGAATAGAGTTTCCAGTACAAAATTTGTCTACATTTGATATTGATGCAATATTTATGTAAGCTAGTAAGTCAAATCTGATAATAAGGGAGCAGATAAAAACATAAATGCGTTTTCAGGTTGAATGATGGTATCTACTTGAGGACATTGGCCCAGTTGGTGAAGCAGGTGCATCAAAAGGACTAAGAGAGAATGCGCGCTATTGGTGAAGGCTGATCTCACTATAGTATTCTGCAGCAAAATCGTCGTGCAAGCGAAAATGAAAAGACGCCTGCATGGCCTGCATGAACAGCACGGATATTACCCGTATTTGGTCAAACACAAATATCAAAAAATACATATGTCTGCATTAAAGTTCGGATCCTTCTAGCCTTTTACAAATGTGATATCCGATGTATAATATGCAAATAAGGCTATCCAGTGCCATATTTACCTTGGCTTGAAACCGTGAACCGCTACAGCGTCCTTGTGCTATCTGTGATAAGCAACTAGGAATAATAAAGAGATATTCTCCAGGCAGAAAAACATATCAAACGCCATTGTCTGACACTGAAATACGAAAATAATGCTGACGAACGAAGGACGCCTATAAATAATCTTACTACCATATAAATTATAGTCCACCGAAATCAACAATTTTTTAATGTTGATCAATTTATATGCTGTCTGCCAATAATATGGCTTAAAAAACAGGATGCAATAAGAGAGATGAGCCTGTGAGACAACGAATGCACTGTCCTCTCCCCCGCGCCCTCCCTCCCCCCAGGTCTCACCCCCAAAAAGACCCCTTATTACACTTTAACTCAAAATTAATATTGTACCTCCACCCCTCCCCCCAAAAAAAAGACAGCTACTGATGATGAGAAAACTTATAAATAGGTTAGTGAAGTAGAGCAAGAGATCCCAATCCCTTTCCTCTTTTTTTTTCTATACAAACAGCTCATTCTTTCCCTTACAAACCTTTTTATAAATCACTCTATACCCTACCCTTTGGTTTAAAAAAGAGAAGGCTTGCCTTTTATTTTTACCTATTCAATTACTGTATATATCCTTTTCTTTTTCCTTTTTTTTTTTTCTACCTTTTTTTTTCTAGTGAAAGAGCATAGAATGCCTTCAGAGAAGTTTAGGATTACAACGAACGGTCAATCCCTGCGAAATCCCAGTAATGGGTTTTTCGGTAAGTCATTCTTTTTGTAGAAGAACGCGTTCTTAATGTCAAATGATTCACTCTACATATCATCTATGTATAGGTATGACTTTGTCTGCAAACTTGACGTTGAATGAAAAGTAAGATCCTTGTCTAGCTCTTGATCTGTCCTCTTTCCTGATTGCTTAGACTGACAGTACTCTGTATTCATAAAAAATAATAATAATAATCATATAGTGACCTTTCTGCACATAATGATAGAAGATCAGCTCATAATGCTCTTGAGCGCCAGCGCCGAGAGCATCTCAACATGAAGTTTCAACAATTAGCTCATGCACTTCCTTCGCTTCAATCAGTTCGTAGACCGAGCAAAACTATGATTGTATCGAAATCTTTGGAATTCGGTGAGTCTTTCATGTTATGCAGATGAAAACGCTTTAAAATTGCTCAAGCAACTTATACGCGTTGTTTCCTATCAAGTATCTGCGAGCCTGAAAAGGGAATCCAAATACACTTCAGAAATTCAGAAGTTACGTTTAGAGAACGAGAAATTGAAGAGACAAGCTGAAGCTGCATGCAAGCACAGTAAGAAATCGCAACCCACAACTGAACAAAAGCAATCCATTGAAACCAGTAAAGAAGCCCTTTTACCCAAAGATAAATTGATATCTACTGCCAAGGAGAAGAAACCCTCGCTGAAACGAAGAGCTAGCTCTGACCTGCAGCTTTCTCCACCTCCTACACCCGAATCCATGCTTAATAGCAAAGACGAAAGCGATATCCAGAAGCCAACAGAGCAACTGATCGTACATTCACCTAAGAAAAAAAAAATGATGAAGCAAACAAAGCCTCATTTGACTGCTACTACTACTACTACTACTACTACCGCCGCTACTCAATTGATTCCTCCAATTGCTTCTCAACCACAACAACAGCCTGTCTTGCAATCACCCGAAGAAAACGATCTCATGTCAAATCAAATGTCTTTATCCTCGTTACCTCACTTCAACTCATCATCGACTCAGGTGTCAATGGTGACTCCCTTGAAGGAATTACCATGGTCACATAGTAGCGCTGATAACTTTCATCCACCATTGAATTCTACTTCTCATGATATTGACATCCAAACTTCAACCTATCTTGGGTTGAACTCCGCACCATACAATATGGTAAACAATACCCCTCAATCTCCTTCAACAACTTCTTCTAGCCATACTTCTTACTACATCACTTCTTCGTCACCCAATCTTGACATATACAATCCTCACTCTGACTCTTCTTCACTTTCCTTACAGTCCTTCACATCTCAACCATCACAACAACACTATCCTACTACAACGAATACTACCAACATGATCCATCCTATGCTTCTTGCACCCTATTACATGTCTACAACTGAAGTCGCAACGGTCCCTCATGGTTGTAAGTTTCTGGCAATTGCTGCTTATTATTTGCCTACTGAAGCTCACTCATCTTTGATCGTTTTTTAGTTGTATACTCTACCAATATGCAAAACCATGAGCGCCAACAAAGTGACGGTAGCGACTTTTATCTGTCTTAGACTTACAAGTAAAAGGATATGGTATATGATAAAGAAGTACAAGAATGGTCTCAAAAAAAGAAAGACTATATTTAATATTCCTTTCTCTAAACATTGAATATGATTGATATAACAGGTTATGACAATCATTGTTTCAACCCAATCTTTCTACTTTGCCATAGTTATCTCGTATGCTTTCCTTTTAAAGTCCAATTATTAAGTTGTACATGTATATAGCTATCCTACTCTATTCTGACAACCATGCTACCATTTCTCTTATTACTCCTTTAATTTTTTTTTTTCTTTTTCTTTTCCTATAGCTATTGCTGGATGTTCCTGAATGTATGTTTCCTTCTCGAATAAAGATTAATTTTTTTCTGAGTTCTTTTTTTTTTTTTTTTGTTTTCTGCAATTTTGATCGATCGGCTGAAAAAGAAAGCTACGATATTGCAAATGAAGGGTCTGTTTCATGCATGCGCCAATTACAGATGTACTCGAGTAAGGCACGTCCATAAACGGAATTCTTGAATTATTAGTTTTTTTTTGCGTTTGCAGACAGGACTATCCCAACTGTTGCACGCCTTCCTCTTGCATTTTATCCTTGTCCATCGTTTTACAAGTGTGTGAAATCGAATGAAAAACAGTCAATACAGCTCGTGCTTATACCCATCATTTTGTGGGTAAGCAACAGTATTGTATAATAATAGGGGACATAACAAAAAGTTTTCTTGCATCATAAATTCAGTTTAAACCAATGAAGGTTGTTTCCGTCAAGTTCTTTCATCGACAAAATCATAATATTTCTCAGATCATCAACTTTTTGTATTTTTTTGAATTATCTAATTTGATTATACCTCGTTTGTTACTGGGCTGACTATATTCATTGTTTGCCCCTTCTGTCACGTACCCCTATATCATCTTCCGCTATTGTGTCTTTAAGCCTGTACACCTCTCTGTTTTAAATTTCAGCATGATCAAGCGCCAAATTCGGTTAGTTGGCAATACTTTCGCTGGGTGGACATAGACCAGTGTACTTGAATTTTCTACATCTCAAATAGCCCGTGAATATTGTATTCTTGTAAAATTTTCAAGCATTGATTAACTGAAATTGGATACCTGATATAGAATGAATATAAGTCTAATGTAGATGATGTTTCTTACAGAAAACTCACTTAAAAATAAATGACGGATAATAGAAAGACTCAGTTTCTAGTTCTACGATGCAACAGATGAATTCACTATGGCGCTCACATGAACTAAGGGAATGATATAAAGAAAGCATCTGAAAACCTTTTGCGACTAGTCTCTAAGAGCACTGTATGAGCTTTACTCCAACGGACCATTGAAGGGCAAATATTGGCTGCCCAAGCCATTTTTGAGCCCGTAAGTATAATAAGCCAAAATGATGTTTGAGCTGCATTATGACAACAGCATTAACTTTGTTCTTCTGCCCAGCGTTTATAATTTTTATCGGTTTCATTTTGAAGTGACAACGTGGCACGATAGAATACAATTTTGAATGTTGATTACATTAGCATTATTGCGGTTGTTGATGGTTATCTCCCCTCCAAAAAAAAGGATTATCTTGCTGCTGTTTCTTTTGGATCAAAAATATTCAAAGGATACAAAGACAATTTATGATCGGCATATGCAACGCTTGTATTCTATATTTTAGTATACAGAGAGCACTTTTCAAAGAAACATTTTGTATGCAATAAAGGCAGATATCGAGTTTCAACTGTCGCATTATTTTCTAATTTTTATCTGATGTTGCTGCTGTTTCGTGTTTTTGTCGGTTGCCTTGAAGGATGAGGGTATTAAAAGAGACAATTATTCATAGACTACAATTTCCAGTAGAAGCATTTAATGATACCAGACAAAATCATTTTACCTGCTGAAAAACAGTAATGTCTATATCAATATAGTGCAGCAATAATAGAGTAACTCATTATACATACGGCATGCTTCAATAAGAATGGACGTATTTTCCGAAAACATCAAATCATCTCTTGACTCGAAAACTCGATACTGGAGCAATCATCGGCAATACGATTGAGCTATGCAAGTGATCGTGTCCATGAGAGAACCCATATCCTAAACTTCAAAGAAAAAATGGTTCTGCTTCTTCCGCTTATTCCGGCTGTCGCTTCTTTTAAAACAGAAGGATCAAAAAAACTTGTGCTATGCTTTCACACGGTAACAAGTGCATTATTGATGAAAACTCACCAATGTCATTAGGCTCTTTTGGACAGTTTATACTAGTTTTATTCCGGTATTTTAAAATTGACAAGTGTACTCATTGGAAAGTTTCTTTTCTTCATTTAAACACGGTATCACACTAAGAAAAATAGGCGGAGAGGAAGAAGAGTGGAGGAGGTGGGGGTGGGGAAGGTGTGAGAGGACGAACCAATGCTTATGTGGTCTCTTGCTTGGCGCTTCACTGCTGATTTTCTTTGCCTTCTTGGTTTCTATTAGCAAAGGTGGAGCCCGAAGTGGAGGCACCTCCGCCTGCCTTCCAAAGATAACCGCATCTATCTTTACCGTAATTTACCTTGAAATTACTGTACTCAGGGTTTCCCTTGTAGCCAGTGATAGCAAGCATGGCATTCTGAACACTGGTAAAGTTAACAAAAGCACAGTTTTTCTCAACCATTACATTCACCATCTCTATATCACCGAACTGAGCAAAGTCGCTTTTCAACTTTTCAAGGGTGAATTTCTCAAAATCAGTAATGCCACCAATATAAACATTACGCGTAGCACCGGCTTGAAGGGCACGGGTGACTTGAGGGGGGAGCGTAGAGGGTTTACCGAAATTAACGCGCACTCTTGACCTTTTAATAGAAAGACCCATCTTATTATAATAGTCCCAGATCATATAGGCCGTCGCGGCATCAGCATAAGTAATAAAGGCGATGCGCTTTTCACGTAAATGCCTGATTTGAACAATGTTGCCCCCTCTCATCTGATTACAGATATCTTCCACCGTGGTATCCTCATGCAGATTACCCAAATACAAGGTACGTTGTTGCATTGGACCAGCGCTCGGAGGAAGGCCATATGCGGCGGCAGCATTTATACCATAAGGGTCGAAATTCAATCCATAAGCAGCAGCGGTAGGTAAACCAAAACCGGCGGCTGCAGCGACTGCAGCATACTTGCCCGACATATCAGCACAGTGGTCTTTACCGTAGTTGACTTTCTTATCCTCCCAACCCGGAAGGGAAGGCAAGTTACTCACACATTTCAGAGCAGACTGAACAGACAAGAAATGAACAAAGGCAATGTTTTTCTCGGGCAGCACCCTGACTTGTTCAATTTCTCCAAATTGCGAACAGGTTTCACGAATCGATTCTTCTGTGTCGACGGAAGAATCCAGTTTGCCTAAGTATACGTTACGAGTCGCACCGGCTCGAATAGCTGTTTGTACGTACAGAGAGGGATTGTTCGGTTTACCCCATCCTACCTTGAGATAGTTGGAATTGACAGTGAATGGCTTCCCAACGGAAGGTGCATGCTGTTGATAAAATAGCTGCGCAGCTGTAGACTCAATAAAGGTGACAAAAGCGCAATTTTTGGCCGGTAGATGATGATAAGATTCAATCGCACCCACGTGAATCTGACTGAGAACGTCGTGAGCCGTTGTATCAGGGTGCACATTGCCAAGATAAATCGTTCTTGAGTGCTCCATGTCTGCAGTCGCACCACCAGCACCATAAAGACTAGCTGCGGCTGCAGCAGGTCCGTAACCTGCATTGCCGTATTGAGCAGTTAAAAATTGTGGGTTGTTGTAACTCATGCCATACATAGCTGCCGCTGCGGCGGCTGATGACTGGTCATAACCGCTGTAACCTGAGCCATTTTGCCCTGCTGTTGATCCGTAGTCTTGCATTGGATCGTATTGCGCATACGCTTCCATCCTAAATTAAGTGAACCTCATTTGTCAGTTCCTAGATGGAATGAGCACTTTGTTCCGTGAGCTGTGCTTTACCCGTAATTTCCTTGAGCTGTATGCGAAACACGGGGCTTCTTCGATTGTTCGCTTTGTCCGCTAGAGTGATCGTTAGAACGTTTCATACTTGCTTCTCGTTAACTGTTCCGAGCCAACAACAACATTGCGTAGTATTTCTATAATTAGAAAGAATGCAAGGAGTGGGTTGTGTTAGCTAATAGAATTTATCATTTTAGACAAGTTCAAAGTAAAAAAAAGATAATGAGAAAAAGACAAAAGTGAACATATAGAAATTGAAAATTACATTCGAAAGAAAGAGTAAAATAGTATATGTGTCCAAAGATGAATTGGTGAATATTGATATAGTCAATTTGAAGTATTTTAAAAGTATCATTTCCAAACATAACAAAAAAAACAGGTTGTAATGTACGAAAGTCAGGTTTTTTTTTTTCAAAATAGAAAAAATAGGCCAAAAGCAAGAAAACCGGTTAGATATAAACAACTCCAAGCAGCGAAGAAAAAGAAACATTACTGCTGCTTTGCCCGGGTTTGGCTAAGAAGTTTCAAAAAGTCAACAATATACACTTACGAGTTTCCAAAATTAAGTATGCTGCTGAATGAGAGTGCTATACCGGCGTTACTGAAGTTTGATTTGAATAGTTGGAAGAATCGAAGATCTATTTTGAAAATGAACAGAATGACATGGTTAGCTAACGGTGCATCTTGTACTGTCAATTTGTTGATTTCTTGTATCTCAATGCTTGGAATGAGCAACTAATTCCATTTATACCTACGCCTATGTATGACTGACTTTCTCAACTTTTATAAGTAAACTTTTGCAAGAGGAGAATGCTTGTAAAAGAAAAATGAATTGGGATTTAGCAATTTCAAATCAGAAATTTGTGTGCAAACAGTCCAGAATATCCGACTAGTCACTGTCCATTTTCCGTGTAATTTGATCTGCATCAAAAGGTTTCAACAGCTGCTTTTTTTATTTAATAAACTACTAACACGTAAAGGCGGATACAGTATAAATAGAATATGGAAAAATAGACTGATAATGATAAATGAAGGTATAATCTTTTTGATTTTTATATACATATATATATATTTAATCAATGTCAATGAGTTTTGAGAAACCTTTAGTCATTTTTGGAACAACGATCTTGAGAATACCATTTTCATAAGTTGCCTTGACCTTATCTTGGTCCACAGGATGTGGGAAATTGAATGTTCTTTTGAAAGATCCATAGACCCTTTCATTGATCCACCATTCAGGTGACTGTACCTGTTCTTCAGCAACATCAGCCTGCTCCTTCTGTAGGACTTCTTGACCATTGTTTAGATGATCTTGTTGCATTGATTTTGCTTTTTTTGTTGCTTCATCATGGCTGTCTTTTTCGTTAGCTTGTCCTTTTACTGTTGTAGCAGTCTTGCCAATTTGCTCATGCTCCTTTTCCATAGAGCCACTAAGAATCAGGGTACGACTATCGGGCATTTCTATCTTGATATTTTTCTTATCATAACCAGGAACTTCTGCATGCAATTCATACCCGTCAGACGTTTCTTTCAAGTCTGTAGGAGGGTGAGGTTTACTAGCGAGAAGCTTATCGAAATGTGATGGAGTGACAGTATCAAATTTGATACTACCCGTGAGCGGATTGGACAGATGACGAGTGAACAAAGGTTGCTCAAAGACATCCATAGCACGTTGTATGTCATTCAAAGCGTCTTGGAATAAACGATGAGCGAGAGCCATTTTGTCAAGTTAATAGAATGATTTTCAAAGACGATAAAAATGATAAAAGATAGTTATGAACAATGACGAAAAAAAAATCGATTACAAGACTCGTTTTTATAAACATGTATGGTTTTATTTTTATGCGGAAAACTTGAAAGTTCGAGAATTATTCTTTTCCTATTGTAGAGCTTTCTCGTACCAAATGTTCAAACTTGATTGGCTAGAGTTGTTTTGACTTTTTTATTGAACATTCCAGTAGTTTCTTTGCAAACAAATGTCAAGCTGAAACAGGAATACGTGGTTCAATTTCATCGTATGTTGCCATATGATGCATTTCGCACACTCATTTAAGGAAAAATGAGGCAAGTATAGCCTGTGTCTTCACAACAGCGAATGATGGATAAAACGGAGCACAAAATTTTAATTTGCCTAAGCTAATTCTCCAAGTGTATGGAAGCAATTTCCTCCACAGGTTGAGGTGTGGAAGGCGGGTAAAAAAGCCTACTAAATCTGAAATGGGATGGGGGGGATGGAGAGAGCTAAATTTGTCTCTATAATTGATTGTCTCTGACTTGAGGACAATGAGGGGTCATGCTTATTTGAGCGGGCGGATACCGCATTATTATTAACTGGTTAGAGAACTAACTGAAAATTACACCAACAGCAACATTAAAATCCCCAGGGAGCAAAAGCGAGAAGGTTTATGATTAGCCAATGTTCACAGCTCAACCAAGCCATTGAAACCTTCTGTCAAGACAATCCAATAAGCAAACTGAGACCATTCCATCAATAACTCCAAGCGGTATCTCTATGTCATTCAAAAATTTCTTGTGATTCAATCTTATGGGTCCCAATGGCATTTATAGAGCGTGATATGTATGTCCATTGGACACTTGGGAAGGCTACCAAACATTATCTCAACAAAAACCCCAATATTCGTCGGATACACTGATAAAAGCACACGCCATCAATTGTCTTGATATGCACCACCGTCTTCAACCGCCATTCACAATATCCGATCCAACTCTTTCTGGCTGAAGTTTTTTCTTATTCATCAAACAAATCATCAGCACTACAACAAGTTAATAGGCTATAAGATGGCCATTCCAACTTTTGCTTTACGAGTATTATCTTGAACACGAGAAATAACAATCCCCCTCACCAGGCGTCCTTTGGCCACCAACTTCTGGACTGGTTGTAGGCACGGTCAAAGACTTCATAGATAGTTCCCTCATTTATCTAATTTGCTTTCCATCACCGTTCTCGGTTTTCCTCTACACTCATGGAGGTTTTTAATTCTTTACGTAACAGAACATCTCAAGCAATTTTGATAGTTACTTATCCGCGTGTCAGATTAAATTGATATAAAACTCTCTTTAACCTAGTAACCTAAAGATACATTATATTTGGGAGCAGTTATCCAAGAATGGCTGCTCGACAAACGTCAAATTATTTCCAAAGAATATAATGGTTGTACGATATTAGGCTCTTGCATATATAAAAAGTCTCATATCAAATACCCCATCCTTTTTCTTCCTAGTCAAAGTGAGTAACACAAATGTAATAGTACTATGAAGATGAGTTTGCCCAAGGAATACACACGCTTTTACATGACGAATCAGAAATGTTTAGCATGCGCAGCTCCTTACAATTATAATTCAACAACCTCAGCAAATGTTACAACAGAAAAGTAAGGGGTAAATTTAAATGAAATTGATATGCATCGACTATTTCGCTTGCAATCTTTTTCTTTGCTCCTTTCTCAGAGTAATAATTATTTTTAACGTTTGATATGACAACTAAAATAGAAAAACAAACGATCAGAAAGAATGAAAACGAGGAAAAGAACGATATAAAGATTACAAACAGGCCATCTGGAACTGAAGACTCTAAATCGAGCGTTGTCCTATTCAAATTCGAAGAGCGAGAAAGCACGGCCATTGAAATACAAACATGCGCTGATGAACAAAAGATAACGGTTCGTCAGAGAAACTCAACGGTTGAGGTCAACAACAATAAAACCTTTATAGGTCAAGTAGCTAATAGCCCCTATAATTCTCTGGTCCGAGATAGCGGTATATCTACCATACGGCCTTCTGAGACCAACGATCACGAAGACGATATTGACGACATTGACATGGATTATGAGTATCATATTGAAAAACCTCGAGTTGAACTGCCTGCCATGGAGATTGTTATACAGAACCTTAGTATTGCAAAAGAACGATCAATTCAGAACGTAGATAGCCCGAAACTGTCAGTTTTTGCACATAACAGTATTATGGACAAAAAAAACACGGAAACGGTTCTTAAGAAAGCTTCGACAACGGATATTGATTATAGTCTCTGCGCTCAAATACAAATGGATTTATATAACAGCAGCTTCGAACAATGTTTAGATTTTGACGAGAAGAAAATTACTGAAAATAAATTGACTGCACGCGAGCAAGAAGAAGCAGGTAAATAGACAATAAGGCATTACTGCCAGTTTCTTTTGTTCCGCTTGATTGACTAATGCACGACTGTTTAGATGAATCTATACGCAGAGCTGTACGATATATGTTGGATAATAAATTCTTGAAGGCGAAATCAGTACTACAATCCAATGCTTGCAGGTAAATAAAGCTAAAGATTGTGGTATAAGGTCAGTTGAGAATAATTACGAGCTTAATGTATAGAGATCCATTGTATGCAATGGGCATAGCATTCATGCTATTTATGAGAACGACAATGGTAAGAAAAAGCGAAATTTGGCATTGAAGCTCTCGTTCCTTTATAAAAGCCAACAATCTCTTAGTAGACTCATGACAATAGTGATTATCAACTTACCTTGAAAAGTGTGGAGATGACAATATGTATAGCAAATAAACAGATCAAAAAGGCAAAGTATAAAGATAGAAAGAAATTATGGGTACCGTCTATTACAGCCACTTCGTCACATTTCAAACAATCTATACTGCCTCCTACACTACCCATTGCCAAAATGGATGGCTCGACGTGGAAAGCGAGCTTTATTCCTAACAGTATATTGAGAGCCTCTGTTGTTAGAGCAGAATGCTCCCTTATATTGGCTATATTACAAATGACACAGTACAACAACTTTTTTGGGATCCAGTGTATTTCATATTTGAAAAAGGGTGAGTGAATAAAGCAACTCCATGCTATTTTAGAATTATTTGACAATTTTAATAAATGTGTTCATTTATTCTAGCATATAGTGATTATAGCTTCGTTTGGCAGCAGTACAAACGGATGGGTCAGGAATATACAAGGTATATTGATCGAGAGACGGTTTCCGCTGTGCACCTCGGATTGGGTACTCTACATCTCATCTTTTCCTGTCTCCCTCGTAAACAAGCGAGAACGTTATTTTCAATGATAGGATTTGAATGTGATGTACAATTCGGAATTGCTTTGCTAAAACTGTGCATTGAATCCGACAGTATTCGATCGTCCGCAGCTTGTATGGCGTAAGTGAAAGGTTGAAAATGAATCGTATAGTATTTGACATATTTCTCAAAACCGCCTCATTTTACTCTTGTTTTTTTTTATAAAGTGTATTGGCCTATTTTATTTTCATGTCCACACAAGTACCACGATTATGTACTATCGATTTAATGAAAACAGCAGTAGATTGCTTGGCAAGCGCCCAGAAAGCATACCCAAATAGTTGTTTCTTCCTTCTCTATCTAACACGTGTTTCTCGTATTGTACGAAATATAGCTTTATCAGATCAATTTATTCAGTCGGCTATAAATCAAGCGCAACATGAATGGATGGAAACGGCAGTATTAAATATATGTCAATTTGAGATGGGACAAAACTTTGCATTACAATTGGACTGGGAATCAGCAGCAACTTGCTTTGAAAGACTAAGAAGTGATAGGGGTTTTAACTCCCCCTCTTCTATAATTGCACGATATTTTGAGGGGACTTGCTATGGGATGATGGAAGAGCATACTAGAAGCATTTTGGCGTTCGCAGAAGTGCACAAATTTTTGCAGCATAATCAGTTTGAAGCATCCTGTGCTTCTAGTATTAATGAATTTATAAAGCAGCGAATTGATTTCTTTCAAAGGAACGGCTACCAGAATTTGGAGTTTTGCTTGCCTGCCCTGGAAATGCTTCTAGTTTGGAATGTGTTCGACCAGATGGGAAAAGATGAACTCAACTCGTGTCTTTCAAAGATTGAAAAAGTATTATCGAAGATCCATGAACGTGAACGAGTCGACTATACTATACGGCTGCATCAATTAATGCCTTCAACAAACTTACCGAATTACTATGAGCATAGGGCCGTCGCTATGCTAATAAAGGCTTCAATACTAAATTCCGCAGAAAGATATGAGGAAAGCATTGCTAGTATTAATTGGATTATGGATAATAAACATCAGTTAGCAACAGAAAATTGGATTCTTCCAGTAACATATTGGGGTAAGAATAACTATTAGAAATAAAGAATTTTAGATTGCATGTAGACTGAAATTTTTATACAAATGGATTGATAGAAGCCGGATTTACAAGCTGGGGATTGGGCAATCTTGCAAAGAGTAGACAAATGTGGGAGATCGCATTGACATTTAAAAAATACGCGCTTCAAACTGACATGTCTGTGCGGCTCAACATGGCCCTGAATCTGTGCGATAAAAAAGGAATCACAACAGGGATAAAAACAAATCTGTGAACAGGAGCTGTTGTGGATGGAGTTCAGAAATCACCTAATGGAACCAACTGTTGAACAATCCTTAGCAATAAAATACACGAGCAATTGCCGAAATCACGGGTTTCGTCCAGGCTTTTTAATAATCCTTAAGCAAAGGGGAATTCCAAGAATATAGACGAATAAAAACCATTATCGGTTTTAGTTTGACATGTATAAAAGTATTAAATATTTGCTTTAATGATTTTATTTTAACAAATAGTTAAAAGGAATGAATAACATTGATCTCGGTGATCCAGTACATGCCTTTTAAATCCGATATGAACACGTGCCGAATGTTGATCGTTCATTTAAATCGCCGTTCTAAAGGCAGTTAACAGATATAAATGCATGCCAACTTTCTTTTTTCTTTCAGATTGAGCAAACTCTCAGTGAAACAAACAACTAACAAATTGTCCAAATATAAACAAAAATTCTATGCGACATTTACATACGACGTCGTTAGTTGAAACGACACCGTTGCTATCACAAGTTAATAATGGCGTCAGTGCAACCACCTATAGAAATACAGTCTATCTTTACTCTATTATTGCCGCAGTCGGTGGACTAGTGTGTACTTATGATACAGGCTCTATTTCAAGCATTATTGCGTTGCCAAACTTTAGACAGCAGTTTTACAAACATCGATCTATTGAATATTATGAAAGTATTATACTTGTTTCCTATTTGATCACATCCATGTGTGGAGCTTTCATATCCGGCTATTTTTGCGGTATAAAATTTACCTTTTTTTGATGTTTTTTGTTGATCCGAATGCTGAAGGAAAGACGGGAAAGTTGACAATTCTTATAGATAGGCTAGGCAGAAAATATACAATGATTTTTGCTTCATGCATACTATCAATGGGCATCGTTTTTGAAATAGTCGGTTTGACTATAAAGACTCTAATTTTGGGAAGATTGTTTGCTGGAATAGGAACAGGCCTATTGACCAACGCTATACCCTTATATCAATCAGAGATTGCGCCATCTGATATTCGTGGTCGATTGATCAGCTTGTTCACACTTTGTGGATCATTTGGTCAGATGATAGGATATGTTGTCACCTTTCGTACAAGTTATTTTCATTCACATTGGAGTTGGCGCACTCCATGGTTATTCCAACTGTTTCTCTGTTGGGCTTTCATTCTGTCTTCACTATGTGTACTCCCATTATCACCCAGATGGTTAATCAGTAAAGGCAGAGAAATTGAAGGCTTGTCAGTATTAGCAAAGATACACGATGCACAGCAAACCGACCCAATTGTACAGAAAGACTATTTAGATATCAGGGGATCAATTGAGGCCGAGAAAGCAGAGTATAACAACTGTAGCTATGCCGAGCTTTTTGAAGGGGTCAATTTGAGACGCACAATATATTCCCTCTTCATTTCCATCGCAACATGCTTCACTGGCAATGTTATTATTTGGTATTTTGCTCCTCAAATTTTCAAAGATGCTGGTTTGGATGATGTATCCGTATCGCTGGCGTTAACAGGAGGAATTGGGCTACTGTCATTGATCTTCACAGCAATGTCATTATATTGGTGGATCGATCTTAAAGGAAGGAAAGCCTTGTTTTTTGTCGGTTCAGCTATATCTGCTCTTTGTATGTTTCTGGTGGGATCCATGTTTCACTTTTTTGCTAAGTCCAACAATAATGGTACCTCCATTATAGTAACAGATCCTTACGCACGGATCATTATTATCATTTGTGTGTATGCTATATCAGCTGCATTTGCGGGAACTTGGGGTGTGGGGAATTATGTCTATACAGCAGAAATATTCAGTATGCGATGCCGTGCGAAAGGCTTATCCCTCACTTACGCAATCAGCTGGGCTGGAAGCATCATTATCACTTTCTCGACCCCCTTTTTGATGGCCTACAGTGTTAGTGGAGTGTACTACTTTTTTGGTATGTGCTCAATATTGACATTAGTTGGAATTACCTTTATACCCGAAACGAAAGGCAAAACTCTAGAAGAAATAGATTTCTTATTCCATAATCGTAATATTTGATTAACTTTTTCGTATATACCTGTTAATTGCATTTAAACAAATTATACCATTAAAACGTGGTTGTAGACTGAGATAATATGTGTACAAATTGAGTATCGATATATGCGCGGAAGATTTTGCTTTAACGTCCTATACAGTGCGGTGGAATTAATTACTGTATTTAGAGTCAGTATAATGACTATTTTTGTCTGTTACGTTGGCTATGTTCACGCTCTAACTTATATAAATGTAGCAAGTTTATTGTCCTGCTCGGTATTGTCTTTGTCTGTTCTTTTAGGATCACTATCTTTTTCTTTCATTTGTCCATTTATTCTATTCCCAAATAGATCATAGTTAGCATATATTGTTGTACTTTATCTGCTCAGAGTTGTCCAACACCAACTCTCAATTCAGTCTTATCTTAGGCAAAGATCTCATAGCCAACTTTGCAGATGATCTGCCATTACACTTCGTATCTTTGATACAATAATATAGATACATTTTGCATTCAATTCAAAAAATAAAATTATTCTGTGCGTGGTTATGTGATATTATACGACTTTTTAATGTAAATAGCACATAAAATTGATACTAAAAATCGTAACGGGATCAAACTAGTAAAACTTTATTTTTCCATCAAGTTAGAAAACCCTAAAAAGAAGAAAATTATCTACTGCGAAGAATATCCTATTCATTGTGCGAACCTTAAAAACTCAGAGCTGAGCTATTCTACTCAATGAAGACGTACGTCTTCTTGACCGTAAAAGATTAGAATTCTCCTTTGTGGAATTCGCGCATATACCCGGAGCGGTTAGACCTGTAAAAATATCCATGACTTGATTCAATGACCATGCAACTAACCTATTTTCCTGTGTTAACTATTATGCAGCAGAAAATAGTATTGAGCAGGAAAATGATATTCGTACATCGTGTTTGAGTTTAGTGAACAGTTATTGTAAAGGATCGTCAAAGCCTATCATTTTGTAATTATTCTTCATGAAGAAGGCAGTCAACAGTACTATAACTTATATCTTCGTGATGAAAATATATTCACAGTGCGTATCTCACAAAACTGCGGCAATGTTTTGCAATTATCGCATAAATAATCTTTGTGCTGACCTTACAGTACATATGCCCTCCTAAACCTATTAATAACTTATACAATTGGAAAGCTATGGTTTTCAGCTCTCAAAATACTATTTAGGTATGCTAAGTTTTTAGTCTGATACACTGATGAGATAAGTGCGATTAAAACAGGGTATACAGATTCGGAACAACAAGCTGTTTGATATGTTTTCAAATAACAGAGAACATCATGGATTTACCATTTCGGCCACCTTCCTTTTGACTTTATAACAGCTTGAATTCGGCTCGGCATACTTTCTTATATGTTTTAAGCATAAACTATTCAGGATCGACGGCGCTGTATCGTACGCTTCTAGTTACTCTTCATATAGAACCACAGATTCTCAATTGGATTGAGACCCAGTCTCAAACATTCACCTTGTTTTTTTGGAACCATTCTTTCGTTAGTTTGGCGGTATGCTTCGGATCATTGTCCTGCTGAAAGACAAAATTCTCCTTTTAATCTTTGAGGGTCTCCAAGTTAATACCCTTCAGTATTTCGTAATACAACTAAGTGTGCATCCCGCCCTCGATGCTGGTTATAAATCCAAGTTCATATTGACTGAAGCAGAACCACAACGTCAAGCTTCCTCTACCACTTTTGTAAGCGAAGTTGGCATTGTGTTCCTGAAGGGTGTTCCCCTTTTTAACCCGAGTCTACATCTTTCCTTTCGAATCTGAACGGTTTATTTCCGTTTCGTTACTGAAACAACTAGTTTCCAAACTTCAGTCTTCCAGTTTGTATGAGCTTTGGCACATTTCAAGCGATTCTTTTGTTGTTCATTAGTCAATGGCAAAGCTGACTTCTTAATTTTTGAATACAACGTCTGCGGAGTTCAGGAATTTGCGCATCGTTAACGAGAAATATCATATACTTGAGCACGTACGCTCAGAGCAGCCTCTATGGCTGTGATAAACTTTCCAGTGTACGAAGATCTTACTATTTTTCTACCGAACAATTTGCTGATTTAGATAGCTTACCATCTTCGTTGTCAGATGCCGCTTAATGATCTTTAGCAATGCAGTCAACTGCTTGGTTGAAACTCCAAAAGCTTTGGAAATCATTCGATTTGACTCAATACCATTAAGTCCATATAGAATGTCCATCTTTTTATCATAAGCAATTGGTCTCAACGCTTGAATTAAAGGTGATTAGTTGTAAATGTGGAGTAATGACTAATGAGTTAGGTGCAAATGTCTAAATTGTACAAAACAGAAACGGAAAAAAGCATTAAAAGCATTAAACGAATGGTACGAATAGTAATTGACTCCATTAGAACCTAGAAATCCCTTCGCTTTTCTGTAGGCAAGTGATCTTTTGACATCTCTCATTTTATGCGTGATATCCAAAACTTCGCCCATCGATCAGTTTTCCTAATTAATGGGTGATCGGTTCATGCAAATGCCACAAACTATATATGAAATAAGAGCTTGAAGGGTCCTTATTCTATTGCTCGTTTTCATTTTGTATCTTTATTAAGGAAAATTGATAGTAAAGTAACGATTTATGCAAAATTTGAAAACATTGTCGCAGTTTTGTGAGTCACTGTATGTAATAATCTACGCGTAATATGATGTTGGATACAACAAGGATGATGCTTGCTAATGGAGGCTAATGGGAGATTGATCTCGAATTTAACTGAGTGAAACGCTTCAAAATAAGCGTTTCGCATGAATATAAAACTAGGAAGCTGGTTTCGATTGGCTGACTTTGAAACTCTTTCTTTCTTTTCACAAAAAGTTGTGATGATGATGTTGTAAATGGCGAGATTTCGCCATTTAGCAATGACAACTGTTACAATCAGTAAATCTGAAGCGAATGCAATGAAAAGCACACCAAACTGTAGCGAATAGAGTCTTCTCAAATATAAATAAGAAAAAGAGTGTGTTTTGTAATTGGTTATGGAAGGAAAACTAGAAAATCAAAAATCGCAAATCATTGCCACACTTTTGTGAGTCACTGTAATAAATCTTATCATAAGTGCTATCCAGTCTGTTGTAACTTATCTGTTCAGAACATTCTTAACACCACATCTAGTCTCGCTCCGGGCAAGGATCTTTCAGCTACTCAATAGATCACTGCCATTACATTAACATCTAAAGTTTGCAAAGGGTCTCATTGTTAAATTGTAGTGATCGTAAATTTCTTCAAAAACGGTGGAAATTGCAAATATAGTACTATGGGGGATGCCAGAGCTGATGGTGGCAATTTAATTGTTGTCTGATGTTTGCAGTGTGAGCTTTGACGATTATGTCATAATTGTAATTTGCGACCTTCATCTATAAAGTGATTCCATATAATATATGGGGATGTAGCTCAAATGGTAGAGCGCTCGTTTAGCATACGAGAGGCACTGGGATCGACGCCCAGCTTCTCCATATTTTTGTATTCTCCTTTATTTTCGTGATACGTTACTGTAATGTTCTGTTGTGATTGGATTGCTGCATCGCATTAACTACAATTAAACAAAAAAAAAAAAAACTACAGTGATTATGTTGCTTTATAATCTGTTAAATTTTTACTTCCATTCCTGCATATTACTATTGCTAGTTATAGAAATGCGGATATGGTTTCTGTTGTATTTATTTAATTAAAGATCTATAACTGTTGTAAGTCGATGACTATGAACTTAAGTGTCTTTATTGTTCTTCAGATGAAGAAGGATTATTTACTCTGTGAGGTTTAATGGGAAGTATATTATTTGAGGACGCGTATGCTAGTCACTAATTTCAGGTTCACATGCTTATTGTGTGATTATCATACTTAGGCCTGTATCTTGTTCTATGTTGTACATAACCTATATTAGATGCAATATAGATAGACCGTGGTAGAATGTATTCTCTACCTGGTTGTACGTACTCGAGTATTGTAGTTATTATCTCACCAAACACATCACTATTATATTCAACGTAATCTAATGGAGTAGTACGCAGTATTCTTACTTTCAAAACATGAGTGAGATTGATCCCTACTTTGAGTAGCAGACTCCCTTTGAAAAACTCTTATTACACTTAGCTTTGAGGGAGAATACTTGCATCCGCAGTCATGTTCTTAGTCAATGGCAGTTTGATGGATCTGATTACAGTAATAATAGATACGTTAGAGGAAGTAATCAATATAAGTGTATGGCACCTTTCCTGAGTTATTATCAATTAAGCATTTCATAATGAAAGAGAACTGCTCAGTGAGAAATATAATATAAGGTCTTAAGAGGAGGTATTATTTGTTTCAACGATAACGAGAGTACTCAATTCGAGATGCATAAATTAATATAGACATTGGTACATAATGTAAAGTTATGAAATTTGTGTTTAGGATCGAAATATAGAAGAGGTGTCAGTGTAAATATTAAAAACTATTCTAACCCAAAACCACTAGAAGATATATAATCTGGGTGTATGGTTGATGTACTTGCCCAACTGTGTTTCTATTGAGTAGAGCAAACAAAATCACAATAAGAGATACTGTATTTGTCAACCAATGCTATCCAAAAAGGTGTCTCTATCCCTAACATATGGTACAAATTTCACTTATGTTTGAAAAACGACGGTACTATGGGTAGCATATAGTTTATTGTCCTTTGTCAAGAGTTTGGCCAGTCGTATAACGTCAGCACTGTTATTAGCGTTGAACAATCGGTAATTGAACACTTTTATTTGCATTCCTCAGAATTTATAAGAGTATCAAATGAACTATTTTATCGACGCAATTATTGCCATTTCCTCAAACCAATTAGTTAGTACTGATCTATCCGCAGTAGAGCGCTATAGTTACAGCATTCAAGCTATAGATTCTTCAGCTTATTTCTGTGCTTAACGAAAAATTTAGTGGTTGTTAAAAGGTAGTTGCTAATTTCCACGACGTTGTAAGTTTTTCAAAGTATTAATTTCTGGTTGTCAAGTAGTAATATTGAGCTACTTTTTCAAGAGGGGTTCGATATACTTTACATATTGCTATATTTCTCAGAAGTGTTGATTACCCTGACATTTTAAATCTTCATTGTTGCCTCTACAGTATAGCCATATATGATAGCTGTTACGACAAGCCCCTTCAACACGTCTGGGAAGCAGAAAGAACGAATGACGATACATGTGGGTTTTAAAGTATTGAGGAAATAGTTCTGAATTACCGTAGTAAAGGACAAACATCAATTGGAATACACATTTATTTACAAAAAGAGGATAAAATTATAATCTAAATCTTTCTTGTCTAAGAACGCTTAGCTTTCTTGGACATTTTGACCTTACTCTCGAGGCGTTTCTTTTCTTTTTCAGACATTTGTTGTGCACTCTCTAGTTTTCTCTTTTTTGATGAATTCTCATTCTTGATACTAACCACAGAACTGACACCACCCTTTTTGCCGGAAGTTAAAGCTTTTACACGTTGTTCAGCTGTTGCCCAGTCTTCGTCCGTACCACCAATGGCGTATTTACTTAAATCGAGAGAATCGATCAACTCTCTTTGCTTAGCCTTCAATTCGCTTATAACTTCGTCTCCAGCTTCCTCTAAATCTTCTTCAAGGTTCTCTTTCAATGGTTTCCAAGCGTCATCGTCTGCTGCATTACGCTTGGCTGCTGATGTGCTCTCTTTATCTCCTGCCTCTTCATTTACTTTCTTACTATTGCTAAGTGAGGGAACAGTCTTTGCGACTTCCTTCGATTCAACATCGGCAAAGTATTGGGAAATCTTTCTAATAATCTTGACAAAGAGAGCAAGGACTTGATTACTAGCAAGCGATAGTTCCTCCTGTAATTGGTCAATAGATTTACGCTGGAGACCAATGCCCAATAATATAGCGCTTTGGACGCCGGAGAGTTTGATATCAGCAGGCATTTCTCCTCTGAAATATAATTCAGCAATGGTGGGAATCATATCAAGAATAACATGGTAGTCAAGCATATTGTTGGCATATGATTCAAGACGCTTCAAATCATAAGGAGTGAAGAAAAGCGACAAAGTGTCCTTGTTCAATTCACGTCCACCTTCAACTTCAGTGTCTTGACCTTGTCGTGCAGCATCAATAATACTAAGGGCGTTAACAGCAGTAAAATCTCTAAAGTTAAAGGATAAAAGGTTGAAGAAACGCTTAGAGAAATCGCGAGCAAAAGCATCAAGCCATGCTGCATTGGCTACGCGCGAATCCTCAGTATCTGTGAGAGCCTTGATCATCACACAAGAGTGTTCACCTGTCAATTCATTCGCAGTTTGACGCAAGTAGAGAGGAACGAAACCAGCACGTTTCCAGAATTTATGCAAAGCGGGTGTGAGACCATAAGATACGCCAAGATAGTCCAAACGTTGAGCAGGCTTTTCTTCCAATTTAGTGAGCAAAGGTGGCATCTTGCTAGGGTCTCGAACCTTCACTTGATCTGTCTTCAGATTAGCATTCTCGATTTCGTAATCGTGGACAAGAGGAAGTGAGTCATCTCCATTGCTTGTGGATTCACTTAGATTGTTGGCTTTGCCTTGATAAAAATCGGTGAGCAGCTCAAGAGCTCTTGAGCCATAACCCATCTTAGAATAATCGGGATGTGTGGCAATACGTACAACACGGGCACCTGAAAGACTAGCAAAGTCATCATCTTGATATTGTTGAGAAATCAACCAAGGTATCATGTCACCAGCAGGACGTTGACCACGGGAGAGGGAGTTGATAACGCTTTGACGAGAAATCTCACCTTCCAAACAGACTTGTACGACGACAAGAGGATCAGGTAAACTGTTTGAATTCTGATTCACAGGAGGCAAAAGAACAAATAAATGATGAGCGGGAGCATCACTCATCAATTGCAAATCGTTGGGAGAGTTCTTATAATGACTGGCAACATATAAAGACATCATACGCTGCAAAAAGGTTTCAGAAACTGGATGGTAAGAGAAGAGTGTATCGCGATTGACGTAATAAAGCTCGCATTCAGAAGGATGTGGACAACCTTGAATGTTCTTCGATACAACAGTAGCATCTAAACATAACAATTTGTTCAACCATTTTTCGACAGGATCATTGGGTGCATAACGAATAGGCTCTTCTAACTTGACTTCCTTCAAAGTACGACCACTAAGACTAGCATCAGCACCTTCAGCCTTCTTTGACTGTGAATCACGGCTCACAACAATACCCTCTGCATCATCATTATTTTTACCCGCAAAGCCACGAGATTGTTCACGCAATTGCTGAATCAATTTAAGTGAGAGTGATCGACCTGTGCCTTCGTAACCATTGATGGTAGAGGCCATGAAAACAAGATAAGGACCTAACAATTTACGCACTAAAGGCAAAGGAATAGCAGCCGCTTCATCAATAACCACAAGTTCAGCTTGTCCAAGAACATGAGCATCCTGAGGTTGAATATATTGGATAGTTTGACGGTGTTGTTTGAAAATGTTGACACGTACAATAGCTTTGTTAAAGTCTGGGTTGGTAGATTGGACAATATCATAATCAAGATGTTCCTCATAACCAAGTGCATCGAATGTTTTGAATACAAACTCGAACAAGGTCTTTAGATTTTCAGGGCTAGGTGATGTGACAAAAATGTTGGAATAACCGTATGCAACAGCTGATGCCATTGCAATACCGAGAGCCGCAGATTTACCACGACCACGACCGGCAGTTAAAGTAACTGTACTACGAAGTGATTTTTCTGAGATTGCTTCAATGAATGTTAAGACTGCCTTTGCTTGATCAATGGTACGAGCACCCTTAACGAGAGATGCAACTGGTTCTGTATCGGCCAGTGATTCTTTCAATTCTGCAAGTTCAATTTCCTCGGGTGTTTTTTCGTCGGACGGTTTGACTGGTAATGGCTTTACATGCTTGCCCATACTGATAGGTAAGACGTTTAATTCATCGTCCACAACTAAACAACTCTCACAAGATCCCAGTGATAAAATGAAACGTTCGTTGAATCTAGCAATAATATCACTATGTGCCTCGGTACGGTATCTACTATGAACATCCTAATACACATTTAGGAGGAGAGATGTTTATATGTCAGCTTATCAATTTCCCTGTCTTTGTAAACTGCAAAGTCGGATATTTTACCATTGTCATAGTATAAAGTTGCTTCAAAGAATTCATGCTCTTCAACAATAAAACTACCATACCTCCGCCTTCAACTGTTTCAATGGTACGAGCTAAAGTGTTGGGTGTAATGGCTTCAAAATCTTGGAGGATACACATGCCGTAAGTATTACCAAGAATGTTTTGTGTTTCTTTATAGTAACAGTAGCGAATATTGGTCACGGTAATAAACAATTCAAAAGGATCTTCCTTATTCACATCTCTAATGCCTCTTTTAATATCATTTTTAATCTTCTTCTCTCGCTTCTTACGGTGACTATGATAGTTATTGAATGGTTACGTCAATATTCTTAAATCAGCTGCAATACAATTTAACCTACCTTGTAAAACCAAGTTCTTTCTTATAACACCATAGTACAGAGGGACGAGCAGTTACTTGGGCTTGTGATAGAAGCCAGTGCAAATTAACAACCTACTCGAAGAAATGTAAAAAGACATTGTTCCGTAAGCGAGTCTGGCGATTATGGGTAGTGTGACAATGTAAAGCGCTCCTACCTGATCTTTGCCTTTATCACCAACGACTACAAAAAACGATCTGTGCTTGGTTTGTACACAGTTTTTAATTAGTGTGTGCACACGCGAATCAACTACTTTTTTAACCATTCAGTTGGCAGATCAGTTCAACTTTAAGCTTGATTTCCTGAAAATAATAATTCGGTCTTTTTTAAGCTGATTCGAAGGCTGGGGATCGTGCCAAAAAAGGATATGACGTGACTTTTTTTCGTATTGTTGTTCTCTGCATGAATGTCGTAATTGTGAGTTTCTTTCCGTGCCTGAAAACAAGCAGCTCAGCGATGCTGTAAAAATGCTTTTCTGTGCATTCATCTTGTTTCGAAATCTAAATTTCTGCAATAAGGTGAACCGGTGCTAATGTTACAAGCGTAACGACTGCCACCAGTATGTTAACCAACTGTAGACGGCTGTTGGAATAGTGCATTGTTCATGACAGCTTTTTCGTTGATTACTGAATAGCATTTTTAATGCTATACATCATTGACTACAATTGCGACGGTAGTGAATTTCATATTACCGGCATCGCATTATGACTAGCTCGATGATCTTGAATGTTGTGGGAGGTTGTTAAGTTGATAAGAAGCTGACATCATAAAGTTTCGTTGAACAAAAATCAGAAGAACCATTAAACTGACAGTGTAAACAGTAATGTTTTTAGTGAGTGGTACTCGCTTGTTTCTAGCAGGTTGTTTAGTTATATTTTGTTACAGGTATTGAATGCTAGATCAATTTATTGTTACAGGGAGCACAAACAACCGTGTAGTATCAATTGTTATATGATCAAGCTGAAGTAGTACTGCAATTCCTCAGGATAGAGATATATCAGTTCAACACAATAATTGTACAATATGTAACAAAAAAATACACGCATCTGCAATCTTGACTATTAGGTGAATAACTGACCATAACTATTGCAGGCTTAAAACTACACAGACCTTATATTTGCAGAAAAGAAAATTGTGAGCTCTGGACATCTTTTAGTCTCAAACCGTAGTAAACACTCGAGTCTTCCTATTAATACGTGTCCGCAGTATTTAATATGACTAGCTAGTCATGTGAAAAAGTGGAAGATTATGGCTCACAAGGTCAAACATCGAAGAGAAGTCTTAGTATACCCTCTTTAACTGCTTTTACTTCTTTTCACCGTAGTGAGAAACAGTTGATACGAGCAATAAAAATGTGAGCACTGAGCAAAATGAGGTTTACTTTTTCTTTCAAGCAAACATAAGGGTCAATTACATAAAGCCGTGCCACATATGAAATGCACTAGAAACCTTGTTTGATGGTCTAAATCAAGTAATCAATCAAACCCTGTCCGAATTCGACTTTTGTGCAAATAAGTTCTGTCGAATTATCGAAAGATATTGTACATATATGCTGCAGAAACGATATTGGCCGTTGTTCTGCAGCATGTGCATCCGCATTTGACAAACACGAATTAACGTTGCTTGGATGCAAAATAAGGCACATATATTTTGTTCCTCAAATTGAGGCGGTTTAATGCTTTTAAAATGGCAGGTTTGAAAACGAGAACAGTATACTCATTAGAATCAACGGAACGAGCAGCGTATTATTTATCCTTAGCGACAACGCGGAGTAATGTCAATATTTATGCTTTTAAAGCCATTAGTAGGCATTGCAAAAATGGGAGTTTACTGAGTGGCTCTTGCAACACAGGGAAATTGACAGCCAAATTGTCTGGCAAACAAGATATTAAACAAAGTGCTACATAATGAAACCTAAAACTAGAAAATGATACAATTGTTTCAAACGATGCTGGTACAGTTAGTAAGAGATTAGGCTCGCCACTGTTACGAAATAAAAATGGTCCACCTGTTTGCAAATTTACAAATACTATCTATGGCTAAATTGTATAGTATGCATATCGTAATTAAGTCAAAAAGTTGAACGGTTTGATGGATGGCCTTTGTTTTGACTTTGCTAGTTCTAGCTACCTAATGGATGGATCAGGAACTGTTCATACGTGCATTGCAACAAAGGTTAAACAAGAAGGCAAGGAAGAACAGCCAGAACAAGGTTTTAGCCTAAACTTTAGGTCACGATAGCAAATAGCTCTCTTACGGTAGCATTGAACAGGATTTGCTACTGACAATAAAATTCCACGCTATTCGATGCAATTTACATATAGAACTAATATAGTTTCATTGTATAGGAAAAGACCAACCATCTTTTTTGAAACATGTGAGTTTATATCTCATTGATCTTGATTTAGGTTTGATATCTTAAAATGATTTCATTATTCAATTAATAACGCCCTTGTCTTATATTGTACGTAGCACAGAAAAAGAAGGTAAAAAAAAAGGAATCATTCACTGTAAATTTTAGTACTGATTAATGATATAATAATAGAATGGTGTGGCAGCGAGGTCTTTTGCCTTAATAGCCTGCTTTTAATGACTCAAGCAGTTTGAAAGCATTAGATGAGTGTAGAAGTTATGCTTACTTTTTTTTTTTTCTCTTCAGTCTGCTTATATTTTCTACCGGGCCTCTATATATTTCGGATTCCTTTTGGTGTGCTGGTAAATTACTGCTGTTATTAGTTTTGTATGAGATCATGGCCCACCTCTTGATCTCAACTCCAACATTTTGTGATTCTGTGTTACTACAACATTAAAAATAAAAGAGAGAAGGGAAGAGAGAGAAGGAGAAAGATAGGCTGTGTGTGTATTGACCCCCTTCTTCACGGCTGATCATGCGTATAAAGTTGATAACTTCTCAACTTAAGTCTACACAAATGCTAATTAAAACAGCTACACGAGCACGGGTTATACTATGTATTATCGTCCGCCTTCACTGCCTTTTCATTATGTTTACCGCTGGGATCTTTCTTTGTTGGAAAAACGAGGAACCAATCGATCTTTCATGATTTAATTCGAGCCCTTTTCGTTTCTGCGCCTTATTTATTTTTCCTTGTGAGACCTCGGTTAAATCGAAAGAATTTTTGATCCGCCTCTGTATTTGAATGAAATGGTTTATGGGTACTTTTTTTTTATTCATCAAATGAGAAAAGATAGATGTCTGCGCGAGTTTGCTGAAATAGGTATGACGCAATGGGTAAAAAAAAAAAAAAAGAAAAGAAAAGAAAAGAGATGTGTGTATAAGGTGTATGTACAAAAAAGAGTGGGTGGTTATGTATAAAGGAAGGGGAATATGGAATTTTTCTCATATAAACAAGGAGATTTTCAAGAGAAAGGGAATCTTGGGTGTGTGCCATGTACCGTGTGCGTGTGTGCGTGTGTGCGTTCGATAAAGTAGAAGCATTTGAAAGGCAAAAGTAGGAATACAACGCAGGCCAGTTCAGTTTTTTAAGCACTACTAACATAAAAAGCAGGAGCAATGGCAGCAGCAATAGGGGGAATGTGAATGCTGCTCGTACTATTCGTATGACTGCGGCTAGGCATATCTTCGTCTTCATCTTCTTCATCATGTTCAGTATTCAAGACCCAGCTTACTTTCCATGGATGGCCACAGCTCCAATATTTAGGAGCGCATACAAAGTTTTCAATATCCTCTTCTGGGTCAACTCTACCGTCCGGGCGAGAGCGACGCATGAGCTCTATAAATTCCATGGCTTTACGCTTTTCTTCCTTACAAAGGACCCAACGACAATGGCGACAAACACAACCGCCACTTTTATTATATCTAAGAGAGGACAGAATGGAGCTATTTAAGTAACCTGAAATAAATGACCTGAAAACAAAGAAAAATAAATAATCTTACCTAAGACCGCATTTGTTACAGAGGTAAACAAAGGGCTTTCCCTTATCGTTGTATGTCGTACTGACTGCAAACGGCCAATGGAAAGCTTTTCGCATACAACCATCCGAAGTCTCATGGCAGGCTTGGCAAGGGCCCTTGACACGAGTGGGTCGACCTGACGAACCGTGATTTGAGCTTTTACGACGTGGTGGAGCGGAAGCAGATGACTCGGGGGCAGGGGTAGCGGAAGTAGCAGTGGTAGTAGTCATTGGGTGAGAATGAGAATGAAGACGAGGATGGTAAAAAGGGTTCACTTCTGGTATGACAGAGATGTTGGCACCATTATTTGCGTCAGGGTGCCAAGAAAAGGCGTTGCTATTTGAAGGAGCATAGTTGGGCAATGTGTACGTAGGGTTGTTGTTATTCAAAGGATGTTTGTTGTGGAGTTGCTGATATTGGGTGGAAAGGAGACTCGATGGATGATCATGAGGCGGCATTGGTTGAGCAGCGAGTTTTTCTTCCATTTCTTCTTCTTCTTCTTCCTCTTCATTCTCGTTTTGTACTTCTTCGTCCTCTTCATCTTCGAGGATGATATTTTTCAGCCATTGAGGTTTAGGCATATTGATTTTCGTAGGTTTCATTACGCGTCTTTCAGAACAAGGAGCAGAGAGTCTGCGTTTTATATTGCGTTTTTGTTTTAGCATGTTACAATGGTTAGTTTGATTTGAAGACATGACACGCTGACGAAGTGACCACAGAAGGCCATGATCTTTCATCGTGGTGGGAGTCGTACGACCACTCAGAATTTTAGGAGAGAAATTACGCTCAAGCTGAAAAACTACGCTTTCGGGATCCGTGATGATGTTTGCTGGTGATCGATAAGGTGTGCTTTTTCTATTTTTGTGTATCGTATCATCGTCACTTAGCGATAATGATGATACAGAAGACAAAGATGATGTATTCACGTCTCCATTGTCCAAAGTATTATTAGCGAGTAATTCTGGCGGGGATGGTATGGACATAGGTGAAACTCGAGGGAAAACAGTTGAAGGTGTTCCTGTCTCATTGAGCAATACAGTTGTTGTTGATTGAGTAACGGTGGTGGCGTGGTCTTCCGAAGACTCTGGACGATCAAAATACAGATCACTACTATGAACTTTATTCATGTTTTGGGTGATGTTTGGTTCCACTGGCTCAGCCGAGTAATGCTGGAAATCGTAAGGCGGTGTTGCAGGTGTATTCAGGGCAGCAATATCCATGTTTGAAGGCTAAATAAACTTGATGAAGAAAAAAAAGACAAAATGCCTGAAAGAGATGGATCGAGATCTAAGAAAGAGAAAGGATATTGATGATTTGAAAGAAAGAAAAAAAGTTAAAAAGGATGTTGGAAAAGAAAGAAAAGAAAAAGGGATCAGGAAATTCAGAGATGGGGGAGGCTTTTTTTATTCGGATTAATAAAGGCCAGATCAGAAAAAAAAAAGATTATTTTGCATGGTGTATAATCGGCCAAAAATTGGAAAAAAAAAATAAAAAAAAAATTGAAATATATACGCTTTTTCCGGAAAAGGCGAAGATGCCCGAATGCTTAGTATAAAGGACATGACCGACTTCACTATTACATACGTATAACCATCAAAGGCGGCTAAATATGTTCCATTGCTTGGATATTATATCATGCACACGCGGAGTCAGAGAGCAAGGCAAAACTGGTTTAATTAAGGTTTTCTTGCAGTTATATGTTGTGCTCCTTCCCGCTTTTTTGTTTAACCAAATCGTTCTCTTCCAACCCATCGAAGCATTGTGCAGTTCTATAGATCTGCAAAAGACGTACCATCTGAGTAGAAGCTGTAGGCCCGTCGACTTTTTTTTTCTTTTTTCCATTTGAAGGGGCTTGTTCGTCTTTGAAAAAGGTTTCTGATTTGTTTCTTTGTTCAACTTTTTTCTACATGGAATAAATCATTGTGTGGCGGAATTTCCGTTGCAAAAAATGTAAAAAGAGACTTGAACTGCCGGGAAAAGATTTTAAAGATCCTGCTCGCAGGCGATTTTTTTCCTTGATTCGACATCAGGAGCACATATCTTTCAAATCATCGACTATCCAAGGGCGTAACTAGGATCACCTGGCTTAACAAGAGCCCATCAATGGGAATTTTGAGCATAAGGGTGGCTACCCTACTTGTCCAACAGCATGTATAAACCATCCCAGATATCAATTTATAACTTCGCCAATTCAAATAGGCTGTAGATCAAAAACTCCATTTTAGTCATCAAAAGGGCTTGGCAGAAAAGATGATTAATTAGTCCTTTATTGCCTAAAACAGTGCTTAAAATTAACTTTTCCAAACTGCCATCACGCACCATCGAGCTTCCCTGTCCAAACAATGCTCCAGTGAAGAACCAAAAGTAGTTGAGTCGCATTTCCCAACGAAATCAACCCAAGGTATCGTAATACTACCTCTTTTCTTTTTTGGGTACCTTGAATCATTTTCTAACTTCTTTTTTTTTTGAACACACGCAAACTATTGGTCAAGGCTTAAATTATGCCCGTAATTCCGAACTCTGGAGAGAGATGATACAAGATCCATTTTAGCCACCATCATCACGGGCGCAGCTCGTTGAACAGGTACAAATATTTGTTCTTGGAACACGCCAGACGTATGATAAGCGGACTTGCTTTACGTCCTTCTCTGCTTCACCAACCCACTATCAGACGACGAGAAGATGCAAAATCAAAAGAGCTTTGAACCTTAGTGATCACTTGTATAACTTTTTCGTTGGAGAAATCGAGAAAAAACTGTAGCATCAGCCAACTGTAGAGATTTATGTGACTAGTACATCTTTTGAGTGTGATGTGTTTATCATAAATTTGAACAGTGTATCATGCGACATGATCCTTACTATACCCTCCTTAATGACCGATAAAATAAAGAAAAAGAAATCGTTTTCTACACACGAAATGCTATTAAAAAAGCATCTGTTGGCCACTAGATAACTCGATTTGCAAGGACTGTTTATTATCAAACAGAACATGCCAGACATCCTTACAAAGCCGAATAATAATCATGTTGATTGCATTCGAGCGAGTGTTTGAAAAATTGGAACAGCCAATTCTTTACGCCCACGACTCATAAAAAAAATCCGCTAATACAATGATTGAAAAATGAAATCGTTCAATAGTAACTCTCTCTATATACATCTCCAGACACGATTCATTTTTGCATTGTTTGACCATTTGTTTCAGCTCGTTCGCATCACCTTAACCGGCACAATTTATAGAATAATCCTGAGTATCTGCACGATAAGGCTGAAGGCCTTTATTTATGCGGATCATGGATCAAGATACGGTGAAAATGAAAAGCAAGGTTATAAAGCTTAATAATTATGCTTATATATTTGAGCTCGCTGATCATCTACCCTAGATTCTTTTCTATAGGGATCTTCCTTATATATTTTAGGTTCTTCGTTTGAATTACTGCTCACTCAAACATGTAATAACGCGAACATCAGAGGTAACTGTTATACTGGATTGTTTTGCTACAATACAGTACTATATAAGACACAGAGTAGACAAACGATATAAGGCTATGAATGATTGAATAGAAACGAGATGAGAATAATAAGAAAACGATATTGCATTATTTGCACAAAGGGTGATGCCGCTATTCATGTTAGCCTTCGTTTCATATTGTTCATGCATATGAAAGCCACATAGCATGCAGCAAAAGTTCCTTCGCTTAGAGTTACTGTTGTGTATGCTGACTGATTCCACTTTGGCTTTCATTGCTGAATTACTCAAAAAGTAACTAAAATTACTGATGATAGCTTCATTCGAATTCACAAGATTATTGTTTTCTCAAACCATTACAAAGATATCAGCTCATATACAGTAATCAACGCGCCACCATGTTCTTTTTTCTTTTGCCATGGAAAACTGTTGGACCATCAAGGTTCGTTGCGCTGCCATTGGACGTTGTACGTCGTTGATACGCGACAAAAATAAAATTGACTTTTGTACCTGCATTGTTTCGCTTATGTTGATTTCCTTTTTTGATCTTGTCCTACAATAATAGCCATCGCCTAAAGTGTAAAGCTTCCGTCTCAGAGATTTGGTGTCATCCTTGTGCAGGGGCCATGTTTATCTTTTCCCTGGACAATATCTAGCGTTCCAATTTAAATAAGTGTCAGACGTCCAAAGAATTGATGATTTTCAGCGAACGTCTGTTTAACTGGTTCATATCTCTGATAATAACTTATTTTCGACAAATTGTGGTAGATTGCAAACGATGGAGCAGCTCCCTTACATGTCAACCGACAGAAAGAAATATAGAGCGTTTTTCTTCAAGCTTCAAGATATGACTAGCAATTTTGCTCCAAGGACACTCGATTGATAGTGAGTGTCAAGTGTCGTCATAATAAAGCTTACGTACAAAAGTCTCTCTCTCTCTTGTGATGGAGCGCTGGCTTTATGAAAAAATGAACAGGAGCAAGTCGAAACATTAAATGAGCTTTGCAATGTAAGGTTATCACGGAACTTACAAAAGCGATTATGTTTTGAGACTTATTTCTAAATATGCAACTCTACTTTTTTTTTCTAATTTGCAATTATCACGCCAGACCTTAATTTTACATGGGTTTCATAAGGCAATGTATGGAAGAGGCAACGCGTTATTCTGTATATCATTGTCACAGACCTCTTACTTGATAGACTGGTTGCTTTACTTCTCGTTTGGAACGCGCTGTACAGCAATGACCGTTTGAAGGTCCATTAAAAAGATAGCTTATAGGTATTGATAACAAATCATTTTTCATAACCAAAGACATTCCAAGTTCAATGGTATTCCTGTGTTTCCTAAAGTATTGCGCAGTTTTAAGCAAACAACAGTACTTGCCTTTGCTCTTTAGAATAGAATTTCAACTTGCGCTCTGTGTGCAACACTAAAAAGCGTTGGACCAGCTTTTTCCATGTTGTTTGCACGCTTCATCCATACTCAACACTTTTTCTTAACCCCATCCTTATCGCTTCGGTCATAAAATAGATTTATATCAAGATACAGATCATGCATAAGGTTTCTGTCGGTAGAAATGAGACCCGAAACGCGTTAGTACAATTTCTCAAGGATCGATGTCTAAAGGATGCAGTTTATTAAAAGTGCTTGACACATCATGTTATATACTTTAAGCGTAAAGTCACACTATCATATCAATTTACGTCACATTGAGCTGTGCCTGAAGAAAAGAGGCGTGCTCATTGTTTTGCTTAAATCAAACGCATACCGTAGCGTACAAACATAATCAAGCTATGCATTAACATACAATTTTGTAAATACGTTAATAACGTATGCGACTTTGCAAATAAGCCATCTCCAAATAACCTACCTAAGCGTTGTGACAAGGCCGGCTGGCATGAACTTTCTTCCGTTATAGAAACGTTGTCCCATTACCATGAACAATGCCAAGCTCGTTAAGAAGCCTACATACACATTTTTGGGATTGTTTGACACGTTATAAGCACCTAACATCGCCAAAGAACCAAAGACACTGCCTGAAAGCAATGATACTGAACTACCAGCTAAGGAATAGACGCAATGGCAACAATAATGCAAGTAATTTGAATAAGTCAGTGACCATAGGGTATCAACTTGTCCTTTCTGCCCATCCTAATTCTTGTTGTAATCACAGAACCCTCAACACCCACATTTCCCTTCGCCAACTCGCTCGCTCACGCAAATGCATACACACACTTTTCTATCTCTCTTTCTGCCTATCTTTCTAACCTCTGTTCCAATAGCATTTCTATCTTTCAACTGTCCTAATTTACCCAATTCCTTCTATAAAGCCGCATTTTGTCCAATTTTACCTTTCAAATATCCTACCAAGCCACCAGCAAATACTATGGCGCCATAAGCATAACCTGCGATGTCAGTCATTGTGAGATTTCAAAAACTTTCAGAATACAAAAGCTGATTAATACAAACACGTTGAAATTGAATTAAAAAAGGATTGACCAACCAAAAAAGATGCAGAAAGTCATTGTGTGAGCTGGAAAATTTTCCGCTCTGCAAGTGACGTAGAATTTCCTACAGGAAAACGTGTTTTTTTGGACAACACTTTTTTGTTCAGACTGGTTTTTGTGGAATCTAACACAGAAATTCAGTCTCCGAACAGCATAAACGAAGATACGGTAGCCTTTTCGGTGTTCTACGAGGCAAATGAACTTCAATTTAAAAAATATGAGACAAAAAAAAAAAGAAAAAAAATTAAATAATAGCAAAGCCGAAAAAAGAGAGCTTTTTTAGAAAAGGTGGACCTAAAAGAAAAAAAAAAAAGGGGATTCGTATTTCTTTAGGGTGTTTTTCTTCTTTTTTTTTTGTTTGCCTTTTGTACCAGAAGCTTAGAAACAAACCAATCTCTTTAATAAGCCTCATTTATTATATGCAACCTATGGCAATCACGTCAGGATTAGATCCAATCAGAACAGAGTTAGAAGAAAGGCAAGCAGATGACATTTTATTGAATAACAAGCAATCATCGAACCAACAGCAACCAGAAACCATCTCGCCCACCTACAGTGCAAGTTCATCTATGAGTTCCTCAGTAAACGACGATTCCCTTCGATCTGTACCTAATACTATATCCTCTAGCTCTTCCTTTGCCAACCCACCCAAAATGAGAAGTAACAGCAACAGCAGTAGTACAACGAGCTTGAACACAAACAGCCGACTGAGTGTTGCGTCGATGCCAGAACATTTATTAGATCATTCACATTTAAAACCCGGTAAAGACGCCTCATTATTAACGTATACACAAACCCTCAACATGTACAAACAGAATGTCTCCAAGACGAACAACCCTCAAATGCAAGTTGACTTTGCGCTTTTTATGGTTGAAGCTGCTAATCAGTTGCCAGACGACGATGCTAGTAAGAAGGGATATCTTTCAGAGGCAGAAAAACTATTGAAACAATTGGCTGCCAAAGGCCATGCCGACGCACAATACCAACTTGGAAAATTATATACCGCTGGCCTTTTCAATAAAAAAGGCAAACCTGATTATGATCGAGCTTTCACACTTTTCGTTCAAGCATCCAAGCATTTCCATACAGATGCTTCTTTAAGGTAAGCAATCATCATGGGTTCTTTCTTTTTTCTAAAAATCGTGTTGTGTGTTGGTGTTGTCCCTCTATTGTTGTATATGCGTGTTTTATCATGTGCAAAACAAAAGATGGTTATTTAGTTGCCTTCAAATTTTTTTGTTGGGCAAAAGTTGGGCTGATTTTCAAATTTTTTTTTTTTTATTTTTCTTTTTTATCTGATGTATAGAGCTGGAGAATGTTATGAGGAAGGACTTGGTTGCCGTCAAAATGGAGATAAGGCACAGTTGTTTTACAAGTAAGGGTTTATGCCAAAGTTGGGAAAATATTATGCTATCGTTATCGTGGATGGAAAAATCGAATGCTCATAGAATTTTTCATCTATTCTATTCCAATTTTGTGTAATGTGATACAATAGAAAAGCAGCCTCGTTGGGTCATCCTGCCGCAATGAACAGATTGGCATTTGCATATAAGAATGGTGAGTTAGGCGTATCTAAAAACCCTAAAGAAGCCGTAAAGTGGCTAAGTCTAGCTGCTGAAGCAGCTACACCGGAGTATCCTGAAGCATTATACGAACTCGCCATGTTGCATACCACTGGATTTGAAAACGTAGTGTATGTCGACATAGAATATTCTGTACGGCTTTTGAATCAAGCTGCTGAAATGGGGCACGGTCCTGCTGCCTTTAAGCTGGGTGAATGCTATGAATACGGCAAGCTCAATTGTCAGCCTGATCCTGCGCTTTCTATTCACTATTATACCATCGCCGCTGAAAAGGGAAATAGAGATGCTTGTTTTGCGCTGACAGCTTGGTATTTGGTAGGATCGCCAGGCGTCTTGCCACAATCAGACGAAAATGCATATACTTGGGCAAGGCGAGCAGCAGAAATGGATCTACCCAAGGCACAATACGCTATAGGTTACTTTACCGAAGCAGGGATAGGTTGTGAAAAGAATCCAACAGAGGCACAAATGTGGTATCAGAAAGCAGCTAAAAATGGCGATAAACGCGCTATACAGAAACTGCATGGAAAGGTAGTAACGCAAGATATAAAACCCACTGGTAAAAAGAGATCTTCCTCACAAGAAGATTGCGTGATTATGTAATTCAACCCAAGAAAAGAAAAAAAATATATATTAGAAGCGCGCGCATTTATCTATTGTTTTTGTTTAACTCATCCTAATCTCTTCTCATCACTCATTCCTGTATATTCTCTCTACCTTACTTCTTCTGCATGTTAAAACACCTCTCCTTTCCTTCTTTTGTAACCCTAAATAGAAAGCTACTCAGAAAAGTAACCTATATTTCATTCCACTCATTTTTTGACGAGAAAAAAGACAAGAGGTTTTTTATTCAATTTCGCCTAATAAAATTCATGTTATAGTTTATTTGTTCCAAAGTAATAAAATTGCTATTTATTTTATGCTTATTAGAGCTCTTAAAGTCGAGATATTCAATTTGCCTGAAGTAGTTGTGAATTGTGTGCTTTTTTCCATACTAGCTTGTATTGGTTTCTAATTGTAGAAAGCCTGAAATTACTCTAATATCTATGATATGTTAAACTGATTTTTCTGGATAAGAAATCAATTGTCGTTTAAAGACGAGCCTTGATTGGCGGAAAAAGCTACGCTTAGTTTAACAAAGGCGGGGTTGAGAACCTTTTAGGATCGTCAATGGCTCCTAATATTTTTTTACCGTTATGTATAATTGTTGCCATAAGAATAGAGACTGCAAATTATTGTTTCACATGTCTAAGCTCCATTGCAAAACATTCGTCGAACAACAGAGTGTACATCTAGACGTATACTGCAAGCGGAATTGACAGCACTGTTTGTTGATTGTTTAAGTCGGATATGGCATTTTGAAAAGTAATGAAATCGTTCAGTTAATAAAGATTAATAACAATAGGATCCAAATAAAGGCGAATGTCTCGCTCTACGTTATCTTTGTCTCTTGAGTTTCTCGTACTGGTAATAAGAAGGTATCTTATTCACAGCTAGCAATGTTCAATTGATCACGCTTCATCTTTTCTTTCATACTGTTCAACTAGCATTAATGTGCGAGTTATTAAGTAGGTACCTACCTCTGCAACTTCTACTTTCAGTCTTGCCACCATAAGTTTCAAATTTTCAATATTGGTGATGATCGGGTAGCTCTTCACCATAGTTTTATCAATATCCATTATATCAAATTTGTTTTATGAATTTGACTAGTGAGCAGTAATTGTAAGATTGGCCTCTGGCTTACTGGTGAAAATATCAATTTCATTTGCTGTTGCAAGGAGCAACAGCCTTTGTCCTTCTACTGCTAATTTTGCATTTCTCTTTGGCTGTTTCCTTCTTTTCTTGTTAGAAGCTTTCTCGTAAAATATACGATGGTAGTTGAATGTATTGTGTCAAAGATTAATATTTGCAAACTTCTGCGGAATTCTCGCACAGACTCAAAAATAGGGCATCAAGTTGGAGAAGCATTGTGTTTCTTAATGGTAACTCAACGGCGATTTTGGCATTCCAATTCCTTTGTCAACTATTTAGAATGCCGTCTCAATATGGCTGAACATCATCAACTAAACGTGTGTTGATGCAATTTTTATGCGCAGCTGTAATCAAATGATCTGGACAACGATTTTTGTTCCAACTTTTTACAGGCAACTTCTTCTGTTCCATTGTAATAATAGTGCGTCAACCGAAGGCAGTGCAGTCAAACGACTTTCTGACTAAGGCCACCTCTAATTCCTGCTCAAGTATACGATCAATAATTATTCACTTCTGGAAAATTATTGTTTACTGCTAAGGAGGTAGTTGACCTGAGTATTCTAACCTTCAGCTGCTTTTTGACTGAGATCTCTCTACATTCACATTGTTTTCTTTGCTGACGGTCTTCCCCAGAGCAATATTGGGATCATTAATATCGGCCAACATATAGTATCGTGCTCGTGCTCGCGCTGACGATTTTAAGGCTTTCAAACCCGTCTGGAAGTGATGTTGTTATATTATGTAAACCCGAAGGTAAATAGCAAAATAAGGCATGACTTTTTTTCGCCAATCATAGTTGACCTTGGCTGACAATTCATATCTTACTAATCCTTTATTCTAACCAATCATTCGAAGAAATTCGACATTTTCATGTTTTGTTTGAAATTCTGTACCTTTTTTTTTTTACAAATCATGAATGGCACATTTGATTGGCTTCGTTAATATGACAGAAAAGGTATATATAATCAGCAGCTTTTTTGCAAAAAAAAAAAGCTTAAGTTTTGAAATAATCAAAGTTCTTATCTATTACATTTACACTAAATACATTATGGCTCCTGACCATCACCGTGTAACAATTATTGGATCCGGCCCAGCTGGTAAGAGAATTGACATAGAAGTATTCAACTAAAAACGCGTGGTTTTCATAAACATCAAATTCTCATCTTTCCTCGTTGAAAATATATTATATGTACAGGACATACTGCTGCTATCTATCTTGCCCGTGCACAAATGCAACCTATTATGTTTGAAGGCATGATGGCCAACGGATTTGCCCCTGGAGGTCAACTCACAACTACCACTGATGTCGAGAATTACCCAGGCTTCCCCACGGGTATCCTTGGCAGTGAACTCATGGACTCAATGCGCGAACAATCCATTAGATGTGGTACAGTTATCGAAACGGAAACAATTGCTAAAGTTGATACATCTTCTCGTCCCTTTAAATTATGGCGTGAAGGCAGTGAGAACGAAGAGGTACCAGCCGACACGACCGACGCCATTATTTTTGCTACAGGTGCGTCAGCGAAGCGCATGAATTTACCCGGTGAAAGCAAGTACTGGCAAAATGGCATCTCTGCTTGCGCAGTATGTGATGGCGCTGCTCCTCTCTTTAGAAACAAACCGCTTGTTGTTGTCGGTGGTGGCGACTCAGCTGCTGAAGAAGCAATTTATTTGACAAAATGTAAGTATAGTTGGCAGACGAAAGGATAAATTTTTTTGTTTTCGTCGATTACTTGTCAGACTCAATAATATTCTAACCGACAAAACTTTCGATAATGCTATATTAGATGCATCCAAAGTTCATGTTCTTGTCCGCCGAGATGTTCTACGTGCTAGTAAAGTGATGGCCAGCAGATTATTGAATCATCCCAAGGTGCAAGTTCATTTCAAGACTTCTCCTATTGAGTGCATTGGTAATGGTGATGTTCTTACTGAAGTATTATTCCGCAATACCGAAACTGGAGAAAAAGGCTCTATTGAAGCCAGCGGCTTATTTTACGCTATCGGCCATACTCCCGCTACCTCACTGGTGAAAGGTCAAGTTGATCTTGATGAACAGGGCTACATTAAGACTGTACCTGGTTCTTCTCTAACAAATGTAGAAGGCTTCTTTGCTGCTGGTGACGTGCAAGATAAGCGTTACCGCCAAGCTATTACTTCCGCAGGCTCTGGTTGTATGGCTGCTCTCGATGCCGAAAGATACTTATCAGAGCTTGAATGCTAGATAGATCTCATCCGTTTTTCAAAGGTTATCACTCACTTTCAAATTCAAAAACCATCACTTGCATACACGTTAGACATTCACACATTAGATAAAGTTCTTCTTAAAATCATACACCAAATGTTTCAATTTTATGTATTGTTGGTCAGTGCTCTATAGATGGTGGAGAAACAAAACAATTTTATCAAATGATGCCTCAAGGTCACTGTACCAATTTCAGAGCTTAAACTCTTGTTACACAAGTTTTTCGACAACGGGATATTAAGCAGATGAAAAAATATAAAAAATGAATTCTTATTCAATTTTTATATTTCTTTTCCTTGTTTTGTGAACTATTCATTATTGCGAGTTTGTTCGGAAAATAATATCATATTAGCAGGGGTTATACTATCAATTCCATGGACGTCCAATCGAAAGCAGCACCACAAGCAGGTGTTTTTTCAGGATTGAACCCTACCGAAGTTTCCACAAGTAATCCTATTACATTATTCATTATACAAGTAAGAATCAGTCAGATACAAGTGTAGTTTAAATCGAAGCATTTAATTCAATTGTGTATCGATTTATTTTGTCCACCAACACAGGCTGTCATCATATTATTATTCTGCAGATTATTAGCAATTCCACTTGCTTACCTACGACAACCGCGCGTGATAGCTGAAGGTGAGTGAATCAGCAGTTAGTACTAGCAAAAATCTGATTTAAGAAGCAAGACACTTAACCCTCAAGTACCCCCTTACTTTCGCATAAACAGTCATTGGTGGCATTATTTTGGGTCCCTCAGTCTTGGGAAGAATACCACACTTCCAAGAAACCATTTTTCCAAACGCATCCTTGCCCTTTCTGAACCTCATCGCCACTCTGGGCCTTGTGTTCTTCTTATTTCAAGTTGGACTCGAAGTCGATCTACGCATTGTGAAGCGTGATTGGAAGCAAAGCCTATCTATTGCTGTAGCTGGTATGGCACTCCCCTTTGGCCTTGGTGCAGCAGTTAGTGTTGGTCTGTATAAATTGCAGCATGACGATTCAATCCCATTCTCAAGTTTTTTATTATTCTTGGGTGTGGCTATGGCAATTACCGTAAGTTATGTTTGAATCTTCGCATGAATCAAGAAACAACTACGCGCACACAAAGAGATTTCTGATGATGTTGTGTTTCCTGACTTTTACAGGCCTTTCCTGTTTTGGCACGTATATTAGCTGAACTCAAACTATTGCGTACAAGAGTTGGTGTAATCACAATGTCAGCGGGTCTGTTGAATGATTGTACAGCATGGTAACCTCTGTAAAAACTAAATGGAAAATGTGAAGAAATCAAAATTTAATCAAAAGTGTGAATCAAACGCTTCCTAGGGTATTATTGGCACTTGTAGTAGCTTTGTTAAACTCATCGGGTGGCCTAGAAGCCTTATATGTCTTTCTATCTACAGCAGCTTTCGCAGTATTCTTGATCGTCTTAATTGCTCCTTTATACCGAAGATTGTGCGTTTATACAGATTCCTTTGAAAGAGGACCGTCACCTTTACTTATGCTTGTCACCCTTCTCCTGGTGCTTATATCAGCTTTTGTAACGGATATTATCGGTAAGAACAAAATCAAGAGTGAAGCAACAGCTTTGAAAAGAAATAATATTGCATATACCAAACTATGAAACAAATACTTAATAGGTGTTCATGCGATTTTCGGTGGGTTTCTCGCTGGAGTTATCATTCCGCATGATAACGACCTCGCCATCAAAATCACAGAGAAAATTGAAGATATTGTCAATATTATTTTTCTACCGTTGGTAAGTGCTTTTTCTTTTTCACTTGAAATACAACAGAAAGATAAATACCTTCTGATTGTTCTTTGCTATCTATCTGCCAGTACTTTACGCTTTCAGGCCTAAAAACTCAAATTGGTTTACTCAATTCAGGTATAGTTTGGGGATACGTTATTTGTGTCATTGTGGTTGCATGCTTTGGTAAGATCGTGGGATGTGCAGTTGCCGCAAAATTGACTGGTTTAACCACACGGGAATCAGCAACAATTGGTTTTTTGATGAGCTGTAAGGGGTATAGTATAAAGATATAATACGAAAATCAGAAATATTGATTGTAGAGGTATGACAAAAGCCAACCTGAACTTCATTCCTTTGTTTCATTGTTCCAATTGAACTTAGATTGGTCGAGTTGATTGTTTTGAATATCGGTCACGATGCCGGTGTATTAAATGATCAGAGTGCGTGTTTATCTTAATAATCAAATACTACAAACATTGACCTTTTAGTTTATCATTAACAAGTGATTGTTGTACGCTATAGTCTTCGTTATCATGGTGGTGATGGCACTCATTACAACGTTTATGACGACGCCAGCCGTTCTCTGGTTATACCCTGAATGGTATCAAAAGCAAACAGCAGACAATTACTTTATTGATACTGAATCAGTGAATTTTGACAATAGAGACCCTAGTGTAAAAACAGGCTCGCGACTCGATTTTGACCAAAATTACTCTATTGTAACTATGCTCAACCGTATCGATTCAGTACCTTCTATGATGGCATTGATTCGTTTGCTTAAGGAAGACTCTATAGCACCGTTGAAAATCACCAAAAGTCATCTTGATATACATGCACTACGATTACTTCCACTTACACAGCGTACCTCTGACGTTATGAAACTCCAAGACATCCGCGAAACACAAAGGCAAGACCCAGTTCTTAATGTATTAAGAACATTCACAAGCCTAATCGGTATTGAGTCATTACAAACACGACTCGATTTCCGCTCTCCATCAGAGTTCATCCGTACAGTAGCAGATTATGGTGAGGCTGTTTCAGCTGATGTTATTCTATTACCTTGGGTTAGTACAACAAGCCGTGTCACTCAATCAGTACAACAACAACTTGGAGAAATCAACCCTTTGGAACAACAACTTGTGAACGATTACTGGTCCTCAGCATATCAGTTATCTGACGCAGATTTCGCGTCAGCTGCCTATTCCATCTCCCACTGTACAGTAGGTCTTTTCATAGATCGTGGGTTCGGTCACATTCAAGACGGCAACCCTAAACAGCAAACAAACTTCAAGATCATTGTGCCTTTAACCTACGGAGGACCTGATGATCGTGCTGCTCTTTTATTTGCTCTTCGCCTTCAAATGTATCGCCGTGCTGATGTTCTTGTATTACGACCCTGTAGTGCTGATGATATCACTTCTAACTCTTATGCGTCCAACGCTTCCATTCGAAATACATTGAACAAGTTGCATGCTGAGGAAAGCACCGATGACGAACTCCTAAGTACACTCTTCTCCGCTGATAACACTGAATCCAACGTTATGATGCGTTACGTACGGCACGCATCTTCCACCTCTCCTCAAGATGACTATAGTACCTTATTTGATGACCTTGAGGAGCCTTTAGGAAAACATGACTTGGTAGTATTAGGAAGATCCATCAATGCAAGAACGACGGCTCAAACTTCACACAATTATACCCCAGATGCATCAGCACACATCACTAATTATAGTCGAGGTTTCAGATCTGCTTTGGGTGATGTAGCCTACCGAATATTGTCAGCAGGGACTTTGGCTAGCTTGGTTGTTATTCAAGCACCCAACAATAGTTTTAACCAGCAGACACATACTCGACCAACAGAAAGCGCTTAACTTGCTCTAAACACCATATAATACATATGATCTACCCTTTACTCCATATTTACATACCATATGTGCTACACAGCTCTCCTCGTGACGTATCATTACCTTCCTTATCCCTTCCTCATTGAATGCATAATAAACTGCACTGTTCTACATTATAAATCCTTATTTGTGAGAGAAGAAACACAGAAAACCTTCGAGCTGAGAAGAGAACAGTAGTCAGGATGTTTGAATTCGTTATTTGTTATTTACAAGTTATTTGCTAAAGAGAATGAAGAGAACAGGGGATATGTGCATAAGTTAGAAAAGATATTAATTAATTGGAATCAAGTAGAAGGGAAACGGTGTGAAACAAAGGATGGAGCTCTAACGGATTTGTTCAGCTATCTTGGCAATTTCATGCTTTCGACGGACAGCTGCTGGAATACTCTCATCTGGAAGAGCTGCTTTGTCAGAAGAGAAGATATCCCAGAATTTCAATTTTTCGTCGGTTGCGACCGTGGCTAGCTTTTGACCATTGGGATTCATGACTGCATGCAAAACGCGACTTTCATGGGCTGGTATATCGATGAGTCTTTTGTCTTTGGTATAACTCCAGATGGAAATATAATGGTTGGGAGCACCGTGCGTGGACACAAGCTCTCTGTAGTGCTTTGACCAATGAATGGAGGTAACCTGAGAACCAGCGTCAAAGGTCATTTCACGTACACCGGTTTTTATGTTCCAGATATGGATCTTCTTATCATCTCTACCACCGCCAGAGGCAAGCAGATCGCTATTCCAAGGACACCAAGCAAGCGCCCTTACCGCGGATATATGTCGTTCTCTAACAAAAGAGGGGGCTGAGAGACTGCGAATACCCCAGACTTTGACGAGAGCGTCGTTACCACCACTAGCAAGATACTGACCATCGTTGCGCCATTTCAGGCCACAGACGTCACCATCATGAGCATCTGTGACCTTTTTAAGAAGGGTGTGTGGTAACTGTACATCATGATGTAAGAGAACGCCCCTATCAGTACCAACAGTCAATAAATTCAAGCGGACTGGGTTCCAAGCGAGGGCATTAATGTTGCCGTCTTGACCGTTACCACGAAGAGTCTTTTTCAGTTCAACCAAATGGGTATCAACCGTCTTGTTTTGTCTCGGCTTAACATCAAAGAGATGTACTTCATTATTTTCACAACCAACAGCTAGCATACGACCATCACTGCGGAATGCAAGGGCGCCAATATCAGTATCAAAGTCATAATCAAGAGGGAAAGCGAAACCAGTCTTAGCATTATAGAAATGGATAGTATTGTTAAGGGCAATGGCTACAAGTTCACTCTTGGACCAATCAAGAACATTGCTATAGTAATCATTTACGAGACCTGGCGCAGATAAGGAATGAAGAGCCTCTGTTTCAATTTTACGTGTAGGAGCTCCGTCTTTTACAGGTAAAGCAAGACGTGGTGCATGAACTGGCTTGCTAGGAGTTTTCTCTTTAAACTTTCTTAATTCGTTATCAGAAGCACCCAGACCCACAACTGCTTCTGCTTTCGAATCAAAGCTCTTAGAAGAAAAAAGCATGCCATACTTTTTTTTAAAAAGGAAGAAAAGAATGTTGTGTTAAAAAAATGCTAATTTCATTGTAATATTTTTTATTGTTCGTTAAAGGGGACTTACCACACTCTTATTTGTTATATCATTGATCTTTTTAGTACTCCCTTTACGGTTTGGTAAAGGCGATTGTAAAAAGTTACCACAATGATGGTCTAACGCAGATGATGAGGAGAAGCTTCTTTGGAACGTAGATTGTCCAGTTTTAGCCTTTTTATGAATAAATTTATCCATGGGACCAGCTGTTGGCTGAGACGAGGAGGAAGTGGCGTCTTTTGAAGACGAACGTTGTCTTTTCTGAGACTTATTTAATGCTGTTGGTGGTGGCATTGAAGTGGATTGAGACATAGTTAGCTTTTACTTTTTCAAACGTGTCTTGAACAATAAGGTGTAAAATGCTGAAGCTAAAAAGGGAAGAAGGACAAAAAAAAAGAAAAAATTTCAGGAAATGCGGTTACAATGCCAGTCCAACTCCTGAAAATAAATAAACGATAAGAAAGGAAATTCTTTACCTGGTGACCTTATCAGCAGCTTTTTTCTGCCTAGACAAATTGAAAACAGACATCGAAACCTTCTCCACAAAAAGTGAACAATTGATTTCATGGTGTTGGCTACGTAGCTTACATTGTCTCATCACAGTCTAGCTCTCAAATGTTGGAACTGTTGTAAAAACGTTAACTGGATCTTTGTAAGCATAATTCCAGTTTTCAACTATTAAGAATTGCTACACAAGGTTTCACGCTATAATATAAACAAAGCGCCACGTAATTAAAACAAAGTGGAAACAAAGAGTAAACAGTCTCAATAGCAACAAAAAACTCAATAGGCTTTACAAACAAGTATTCACACCAAACCTTATACTGTACTTACGTAAAAGAGAATTTTAAAGCATGTATTGAAGTTATATTGCAGATTTTGGCGAGAGTACAATGTGATATGTTGCTACCTATGCTTTGTACGTCAATAAGAAGTCCCTTTATCTTCTGTTGCTCTAGCATGTTCTCAACCACTGAGAATTTATCTTTGTACTCAGGCCTACGTGTATAACTGTTATCAGAAATACCCGAACAGTATTTCTGACAGTATAAGTGGTCCATTATCGTTTTGATGGCTATTAACAATAAAGCGATTTACGAGCAATTAAAATCTAAAAATATGGTCTGTGAACATGGCTTCAATGCTGGGTGTAAGTGCATTTACTTATTGCACATTTCGCTGGATGGGTTGGTATATGAACATAAAGGAGAATTATGAGTCAAGATGGTCGAGGTAAACATATAGCTGATGTATTCTTCTGCTTCTTTCAGTTCTGTCAACCTTCTAATCAACCTTGTGTTGCCTGCTGTTTCTATTTATACAGCAAACCAATTAGGGGTGCGGCGGATCTCACCTTCCCTTTAGATGAAAAGACTTACTATAGTGGAGGGGATAGTTTTCGTGCAGCTCTTTGTATAGACGGGCCGCTCATCATTGCGGCAACAGTACTTTTCTGATTGATAAGACTCATTGTTTTCAAGTCTTGAGTAAACAAAATGGAATGAGTATAATACAGTAAAATTATCTCCATTTATTGATCTTTGCTTTCTCTTCAAAATTTCGGTTATAATTTTGCCTCTTTGGAAAGCGTGATTGAATAAGATGAAAGTGTTGGAAGATGGAGAAATAGAGGGTTTGCTGATTTTAAAAGGAAGTATGAAAAGAAAGATTTTCAACTAAGTTGTGATCTATAACCTGTCTAGACCATGATTAAGCTTGATTACTGGAAGTATCTTTCAGAATATAACTACAAGTAATTAAACGTAAAATACGTTGTTGTGGTCGGATAAATATGGTTATTTGAAGCGATGATGGATTCTATACTGATGGTAAATTAATGACATTATTTTTGAAACTATCAAACAACGACGTTTAATAAGTCCGTTTAACTAATTGTATGATTCCGTCAAATTTCTACCGAATGAGGTATACAACCATTATTTATCGTCAATCAAATACAGTATCTATAACAAGTAGAAGGCAACGTGATATATCATGATTGAAAGAACTTATAATGAAATACTCTGTTACGTTTCTCGGTTGATGCTAATTTTTCAATGCTTTGAACGTTAAAAAAGGAAATAGAAGCATTTCATAAAATAGCACAGAAGATTACTTATATCTCTCAAAGTACCAAATGCCATAGAGTCCTTACGATGACTGCGCATTGTCAGGTTTTTATTCATCATCAATTTGGAAAGTTCAAACATGTATAAGAAAATAGTAATTTATTGCTACAGAATTTACAGGACGAAATTATAACTTCAGGTCATAGTCAGCATTCCATTATCTACTACGATCTCTATGTCTACGCTTGCTATCATCGCGGTGACTACTTCTTTCGCGTCGACTACTACTGTCATGTCTCCTATTACTTTCTCGATGTCTGCTGTCTCTAAATTTCTTGTCATCATCATGTCTTCGACTGCTATCTTCGCGTCTCCTACTACTATCATGCTGTCTATGTGTGTCTTCGTATCTTTTACTACTGCTCCTACTGCTTCTACTCCCATCACGCCTGCTGCTGGAATCATCATATCTTTTGCTACTGTTATCTCTCCTGTCAGTTCTATCATCATGGTCATGTTTGCGACTGTCACCATGATACCTTCGACGACTGCTGTCTGCATATCTCCTACTACTATCTTTGTCATTATCGTGATGATATCTGCTAGAACTGTCATTGCGTTCACGATGACTTTTACTGCTGTCTTCTTCGTATTTTCTTCTGCGGCTGCTACTTCTGTAGTGATTGCTTGTGGAACGATGTTGATTGTCATGCTTATGGCGGTCCCCATCGCTATAGTTTCTATTGCTCTCATGCCGTCTACTACTTCTACTATCTTCACGATGAGCTGTACGTGAAGGTGAATAAGAACGCGAGCGAGCACGGGAAGAAGGAGAAGAATAATCTCTTCTTTCATAAGATGCATTGCTATCTCGCCTAATACTATTGTTATCAATATCTGATGATCCTTCATTCAGACTAGTGTTCATCTCCATATTATCATCCGTCGATGGTGGGTTATTATTATCAAAGTACGTCTCATTTTCTTGATTATTACTACCGCTGTTCTGATATGAATTATCTGATTTACGTCTGCCAGAGGGCTGGTTTCCATACAAACTACCTCCTCGTCCTCGTCCGCGACCCATACCTCTCAGTGAGTATCCACCGCGAGGAGTACCGTTATTCATGTTGCCGTTGTTGTACCCCATATTGAAGCCAAAAAATTCTGGCGGTGCTGGCGCTCCTGGAAGTCCTGGAAAAGGTGGGGCGCCAAAATCGCCCATGCCGCCCGCATTGAAAGGCGCAGCAGGGGGAAAACCTGGCATGAAAGGTGGACGAAAGCCGTCATTTCCAGCTGGTGGAAAAGTAGGAAATGGTGCATTCAAAAAAGGAGCTCGCATCATATTCATCCAATTCATGTCCGGCGGCATCATCATAGTATTATTGAACATGTCTGGCGTGTGAGGGAACGTGTTCATAGGATTGTTGAACTTCCTTACAGGTACAGACTTCCGCTCATGCGTAGAAATTGTTGATGATGTCGTGGTGTCCGAAGGCTGTTGTTCGTCAGCAGTAGCCGCTTTATTGTCATTTATTTCCTCATTCACGGGCTTGGTATCTTGTACTTTTGCATTCATATCTGAGTCCGTTGTTGTTTCCTTGGGCTCCTCAGTTGCAGTTTCAATCGAGTCGCTTGGTTGACTTTGCTGGTGTTGAGGCTTATCAACATCCATGTTTTCTTCGCGCTTAGTAGAATTTCCGCCTTTAAATATTTCGATCGCTCTTACTAATGTCTTATTGGGTATAAGTTGATCAGAGCTGATGTTTTCCTGATTACAATACGGACAGTGGTCATTGTTTTCGAGCTTTGTTGTTATACCTATAGAAATAATAGATAGGAATTATTAATCAAGTTTGAGTGGTTAACCATCTTTCAAAATGCCCATGTATGATTTTCTTTCTTTTTAGATTAAACGGCTTATTGTAGCTCAATGAGAGCGTATCTGCATATCATGCAAATTTGCGATTATCCAACCACTCTCTTTCACTAAATACACGCTTCTTTATAGTAGTTCTCTGTCGTTGACAGTTCAACAAACAGATACACTCTTTCCTTTCCTTTTTTTTTTTCAAATATTGTAGGAGAAAAAATTGCAAAAAAGAGCACAATATTGCAATGAATCATGGGATTGTTGGTTGAGTAAAAATAGAAAGTAGAACTTCCTGTTGAAAGCCTTTCCCATATAATCTTTTCATCAAATGTTGCTTTGACTGATTGATATAACCAAAGAAAACAATAATACAAAGATAATGGTAACTGTAGTAAGGGTATCAATAAGCTATACGTACATTCTTTACAAAATGACTTTCCACAACAGGGAACCAATGAAGCATCTGTCATTAATTTATTGCAGATGATACAGGTGAATTCATGAGGTACTTGAGTTTGTTGTTGTTGATTCGTTTGGTATCTATGTATGAAATGCATTGAGTTCTACTTAGCATTTTCTTCTTTTCTAAGCAAAAAATCTCCTGTTTGCTTTTTCCGTTACCTGTTGCCACTGCCAACTCTTGGCACAAACTGCCCTTTCGGTACGTTTGGACAATAATAAATCCAATGTCCCGGTTGCCCACATTTAAAGCAAACATAGCCAGAAGGCGGTTCTTGGTCTTCAGAAGGTATTTTTGAGTGTGGTTTTATAGTTGTAGCTGGGTTGCTGGTTGCTGCCATGGCTGCAGCAGCAGCGGCAGCGGCAGTCATTTGTTGCACTTGCTGTTGGTGTTGCATCTGTTGCATAAACATCATTTGTTGAAACTGTGGATATTGCATCGGATTCATCATTCCCATTTTCATATAGGAAGCGGGGTCGGTTATATTTTGTCCACGAATGGTACGCTTCGACCTGGGTAGTCAGAACAAAGAAAAAAGGGAGATTTGTTAGTCCATCAAAAACAGCTGATCCTTCCAAACAATACAAATGTGTTACGATTTCCACATACTGTTGTGGCATTAACATTTGATCGTCATTATGTTGTTCTGAATATGGGCTTCTATTTTCTGAATTATTTGCTTCTTGGGACATGATCTATTTAGGACGAGAAACGGTTGTAAAAGAACGAAACAGTTGTGTGAACGCTGAACTTAAGCACGCCCAACTTGTTTTTAAAGTCACAGGCGGAATTTTTTAATGCAAATTTATTGCTCCAGAATTAGGCCATAAATCCTAGCCAGGTGAATAACAGCTCTAATGTTTAGATACTTATTGCTTTTGTTGCAAAGGGAATAAACAAGCGCATTTCTGTTACAAAACCATGGTAGCTCTATTCCTTTGGTCTTTCTTTTCTTCTGTAAGGAATGTGGTATCGTGATATGCTTGTGGTTTACGTTCACTTTATAAAGAAGTGACCCCATTCATTCCTCACACAGGGTTTGACTATGAATGAAAATGAAAATGGAAAGTAAATGCCTCTTAATATTTGATGGCTGCAAGGCTATAGATGCGCTTGTATATTTCAATCCTTACACAATCCTTCATAGAGTATTTGTCCAGTAGCAGGAATTGTACATGTGATTGGCTGGCAAGAGTTGTATCCCAGTGCTGAGGGACACAAAAAATTGGGATGGCCTTTGCATTTTCTTTACCCGCCAAGAACAATTGTCTTTTTTCTTCGTTTTCTTTAAAGCATAAAACACCCGTTCATTCACGAAATTCAAGAAAACCTTTTTTCAAATAAAATTGTCGCCACGTTATAAGTAGATTACATGTCAAATTCTGACTTTCTTGCAGTAAGCTTGAGCTAAACGTACTATACTATACAAACTTGAGCTTCTTGAAGCTAAAACAAAACTTCCCTTCAGAAAGCGATAGAAATAGTAAAAAAGGCAACCGAAGAGGATCATAAGGGGAACTATAAAGAGGCGTACAATCATTATCAAAATGCATTGGAATACTTTATGACAGCTATTAAATGTAAGCTAGAAAAACTGTTTTCAGGAGGAAGGATTTCCTGGCCCTGTTTAGCCTTTTCTATTTGGTCAACTTATGAAACATTCTTTGTTCATGTTCCTTTTTTTTTTTGGCTTTGTTTTTGGGCTTTGGCCTTGCTTGTATTAGACGAAAAGAATGATCGCTTGAAGGACCCTATTCGTAAGCGATTTGTGGAATATCTGGACAGAGCAGAAATGCTGAAAGAATTTCTGAATGAACAAGAGAAAAAACAGAAAGAACCCGTTGGGGCAAACGGGGCGTCTAAAAAGTAAGGCTGTAAGAAAGGAAATGTCGTATTACGATGATTGTTTAAATTCATTCTGATCTCTGCAGAAAAAAGACTGATAACTCGCTGGATGATGGTGACGACGATGATCCGGATATGAAGAAAATGAGAGCAAGTTTGACAGGTACTCCAGAAACGGACATAAAAAAACAGACTACTTATCTGATGTTTTACTAAAAACAAACAACTTGTTAGGGGCTATACTTACGGAGAAGCCTAATGTAAGATGGGATGATGTTGCAGGCTTAGAAGGAGCAAAAGAAGCGCTTAAAGAGGCTGTTATCTTACCTATCAAATTCCCACATCTGTTCACTGGCAAACGTAAACCATGGAGAGGAATCTTACTATATGGGCCACCAGGTACAGGTAAATCGTACCTTGCCAAAGCGGTGGCAACAGAAGCCAACTCCACCTTTTTTTCTGTGTCATCATCCGATCTTGTATCGAAATGGCTCGGTGAAAGTGAACGTTTAGTGAAGCAACTCTTTCAGATTGCCCGCGAGAATAAGCCTTCCATAGTATTCATTGATGAAGTGGATTCATTATGTGGGACACGTGGAGAAGGTGAATCAGAGGCTTCAAGACGCATAAAAACAGAGTTTCTTGTGCAAATGAATGGTGTCGGAAATGATATGGATGGTGTACTTGTGTTGGGTGCGACTAATATACCATGGCAATTGGATTCCGCCATTAGAAGAAGGTAAGTTCAAGCGACATGTTCCAGTGGTAGTTCGCATGTAATTAACGCCGGTTAATTGTATCTTATCATAGATTTGAAAAACGTATTTATATTCCTTTACCTGATGCCCCTGCACGTGCCACTATTTTTTCGCTGAATGTAGGATCGACACCTTGTACCTTAACACATGCTGATTATAAACGGTTAGCAGATATGACTGAAGGGTGAGTAGATGCGAATGACTCCCTCTGTGCATTCATATATTCTTTGTCTTGTTAGTTTTTTTTGTTTTATTCCTTTTGTAGACTTATCCATGACAATTTGAATCAATAGATATTCAGGTTCAGATATAGCAACTATAGTTAGAGATGCGTTAATGCAACCCATTAGAAAAGTACAGATGGCAACCCATTTTAGATGGGTGAACGCACCCTCGAGAACCGATCAAACAAAAACCTCACGATACCTAACTCCTTGCTCACCGGGGGCTCCCGATGCTGAAGAAATGACTTGGGTGGATATTGAGCCGGACCAACTACTGGAACCAGAACTAACCGTTCAAGATTTCCTCAAGGCCGTTCAAAACTCTAGACCCACTGTTAACCAGGATGATATTCAACAACAAGTCAGATTCACTAATGATTTTGGCCAAGAAGGTTAAACGACTATTCCCAAAGTTAGCAGAGAATATATACATTTTATACATTACTATTTTATTGCTCCCATTTAATAAAAAGCCCAGATTAAGTACATTATCATAAAACGCTAACTGAATAGCTACAGTTTTAAAGAAAATACTACACGTACGCTTTTTCAAGCTAAGGGCCTATTCGTGAATGCGGGTTCACTCAAATTCAAGTTTGTCTCTTTATATTGTGCTTTTGTGTGCCTTGACCAGTTCGATACTTTTTCAAAACTGTTTTGTCGTCTGCAAATACCAATAGCATCGTCTATTCTATCCTTTGTACGTTCTTGTCAGACGGATGTCAATAAAACCACTTTTGACATGTTAATTGACGGATAAAATCAATTGCTAGTATACATTATCTGTTCTAAGGTTGTCTAGCACACGCTCTGCAACATACTGTTTGCTGTTTGATCTATTTCAAAAGGCATTCATTAACTCTATCCTTTACCTAACAGTATCCATCTAGTGTTTAACGCAGCTTTTAGTTTTTGTTGTAGTGAAAACTCAAGTTCTCTTTAAACGGTTATAGCATTACTTCTTGTCTTTAGATTTGCACTCAATAAACGCAATATTTCTTCAGAGACAGACAATATGAAGGATGAGAGATTTAATTCAGATGGTAAAAACAAGGCTCTTCTACGTTTTCCAGGAGATGAACTGAGACTTGTGGAGGATGTCAGTGAGGTGTAATTACAGCCAATATGTACTGCTCGTATAATAGAATTTATGCTTTATGAAAGATGAGATGCGCTGCAGGATCGCTACTGAGTCAACTGTGAGTATTTCAAAAGTGTAGATCTGATTTCGACTTTGTCTTGTAATAGAGTCCTATTCTAATAGTTGTCTGTTAGAGTCAGTCTAACAAGGCATGGTAACTACCATTCACTCCATGTCCTGCTGACCTAAGTTTTTCAATTGTATATGCTTTAACAATCAACTCGTGCTATTCACGTGATTTTAATATATTTCAATCCTATATCAACATCATAAATTTAAAATTTCCAACAACAGGTCCTGTGATGTAATTGGTTAGCATGAAAGACTCTGAATCTTTACATCCGAGTTCGAGTCTCGGCAGGACCTTCCTTTTTGCAAAAGTTTTTGGCGGAGTTTATTTTTCTGCGTTTATAGATAGAAGTAGAATGTTTATGACAGTTGTAGGTGACTTTTTTGACGGGTAATATGGCATCCAGGAAAATAGTAGACGCGAATGCAAGTCGAATTTATAGACTTTACTTTCAAAACAGTTGACAACCCATATTTACATCAACTCGTCATACACCTTCCGAAAGAGAATCAAACGTATTTCGGACTGATATATCCAGTTACTTTAAAAGACTTAGAAAAATAAATGAAGACAGTAAAATGACCAGACACAACAAAGATACTCTTTATTCAAGTTTGTTGAGATTGATACTTTTATATGAGAAACTGGGTTATCAACGGGTATTCAACTATTAATACAACTGAACTAAAACTATTATGAGAATGATAAGATCTTAGCCGCAAGCGGGTGTCAAAGTAGATGTGTATCAGATTGTCAAGCAGGTACTGAAGTCGTTCTGTAGTCTAAGACGTATAGTTGTATCTTGGATATAACACGGTCCACTAAAGGCAATAAAACTGATAAAAAAGGAAATAACAGCAAGAAGACACTATAACAATATTCAAACAGTACAGTTAAAAGTAAATTAAGCTGATCCGAACATTTCAACAAAAGTCCAAAATGTAAAATAGATATTGATATACCCTCGACTTATATATGACAGTGAATAACAGCAACATAATGGATAGAAACGGCATAGATCAACTGCTGAATGATAAAAATCTTCAACTAAAATAGTTGTTTTTGAGAGGAGAGATAAGAATGTAGCGAGGCGATCTCGTATTTGTCGTAAGGTACCTATTTTAGATTGCATGTAGTCATTGGTTAAAAGAACGGGCAAGTCATGTTGCTACTCTATGCCCATACATTCTTGATTAGCAAATAGAGGATGTGCTGATAAAGTGATGTAGTTTGCAATATATCTTGTTTGTATTTTTTTGTATGAATATATACGGTTTGCACGCTCTATGAATCGCTTTTAAATATGGCTAAACGCACCACACACGTTTCAAAGGTATTCCTGATAGGGTTGAGAAAAGTCTTTGCAGTTAAATTTGATGCAATTACTTCATTGCCAAACGATGCTCGACATTGAGATTTTGATTAAACGGAAGGTTGTTTATGAGAGGGATTACTATAAAATATCTTGTGGTAATAAACTCATTGTTACTAGGGCATTCTTTGTCGAATGGTGGTATAATGGGTAATGGTTAGATAGTGGAGCGTCAGTGCTATCTATATGAAAAAGAAGGCACGTGTCGATAGTGAAAGGTACACAAAAGAAATTTCCACAATATGAAGGATTGAGGCCTGCTGCCCAATTATGGATAATAGGGTTCTGTCTATCTGCTCTTTTTTCTTGTAATTAATTTTCCCAAAGCGGGGAATTACAAAGTACCTGTTACCAAAAGCAACCTACTTTGGTACACGGTCTTCATCTTCGTGAGCAGACTATGAAAATGCATCCTGTTTACTAATTCGCCTCTGTCTCGATGAAAGTGTAGCAATCATGTCAAGTTTATTTCAATACAGGTTTAAATTTCATTGAGATTTGGCTACACACATCTGTAATCAATGATTCTATCTATTATAGTGGAAAGCTGCATTTGGATAAAACCAAAAAAAAAAAAAGAAAAACAGCGGAACGCAGTAGCTCTGATTTCTTTCCCTTTAGGGAAAACAAGCTGGCACATAGACACCACCATCCAAAGCCTTTTCAACCGGTTTTTAGGAGGAGAAACTACAGAGGCAAAATAATGAAGATGCGCACTGTTTGATCAATGTCTATATAACATCTTTTTTGATAGATGCACGTTGAAAACCTTTTTCTGTCAATTGAAGCCATCGTTTGCTTTTTTGTTAAGGTCACAAACTGTGCAATTGTGTTAGGGATATATCGGAGTTTATTCCCCATTCAGCAACTGGATAAACCCTAAACAGCCTTTCTGCTTCCCTCCCAAAGATATCGTTTTGGCTCTTCCTGTTTGGTATGGACTTGCCAGTGAGCGGAAGTATCCACACCCTGACTGCAAAGTATTTCGATCGATATCGTAAGTATGTCATACAATGCACGTTCCCGTCGAAAAAAGTAATAGAGTAAAAGAACAGCCGATGAGCCCATGGAAATGATTAATAACATCACACACGTATACCTATAATTGGACGTGGGTCATTTCTCTTTTTTGATAGCGAAACATACAACCCGATTTGTAGTTTTACCGTTGGTTAACCACTTACAGCCATCTGAAAACAATTTTTATTATTGATCTAAAAAGTTTTTTTTTTTTTTTTTTTCAACCCCACATTTTTACAAAGATAAAAAAAAAAAAAAATTAAAAAAAAATACAAACCTAAACTTCCAAAGAAAAACCAGTACCATTTGATTACATCACAGAGATTTCTATTAAGTTAATAAACAAAAAAAAAAAAAAAAAAAAAAAAAAGCTCATGTGTCTTTCATATTTTATTCGTTCTATGTCACCATAATAAACATAGAAAGAAAGAATAATTTATTACATGCTTGCATTCTTGATCGTAAAAATTGGGCAAAAAAGTGCTGCCATTACTGCTGTTGCCGTAAACACTCTGCTGCTTATACGATCGAAATGACTTGCTGCCCATGGCCTACTCTCATACGCCATGGGTTGATTTTTGTTATTTTTTTAAACACCCTTAGCGAGATCAAGATGAGAAGTGGTACTATTATCAAATATTGTTAGATAGAATGGGTAACTTTAACTTTTTTCTTCCCGTAAAAAATCATAAGCGGAGAAAAAGGATGTTATCCAAAGAAACAAAAACGTGCTCTGCGTTGCGGACTTGGCCGAAAGAAGGTTACCAACCAAGAATAAAAGATAACCCATCCTATTCAGTAAGCAGATCGTCTCATTGCCCCCCAAACGAACAAGAATCCCCGACCTGATCTACTTGTGATTTACTTGATTTGTTTAAGGCACTGTGTCGATGAAAGCTTGTAATGACCCTTCCTCAAGTTCCAAGTAGAAGCTTTTCCCTGCAAAGTAAACCATTGTATAGAAAAGCTGGAATACTAGCACGACTTTTATCTATAAAATGGCATGCTCACTCCTCCTAGATTGGAGACATAATTGATAGCTCTTTAAAGTCGACTTCTTGTCTCACATTAGCAAACTTGCTTTAAAAAAATGCGTGCGAAAGCTGTGGTAACACTCTTTTTATCCACTCAGAAAGCTCCATTTTGAAGAGTATCACTACGAATAGCTACAAGTCTAACGGCCAAGTTCAACGTGCAGAGTGACTTGCGTAATATCTTTTTGGGTGTCTTGCTCTCCCTATCATTAAGCAACATGATTTCCCAAGAAATTAGGCTGATTACTCATTGTTGATTTGTTGAAGATAAATAAGCTTTATACTTTGCTATGAAACTACAATGGCAACAAGTCATCCCTATACTATCTATACAGATATTGATACCTTATTTTTTTCTCGTATAAAAGGACAAATATATCGTTTCACTGCTTAGAGTATCATGAGACCAATGTCATGCCATCATCGCTATCCGAATTAGCGTTTTGTTTGCACTTTGGGTGGCAAGCAAAGATGGAAATCAGATAAGGAAAGGAGAAGCTCAGGGACGAGACTTATAGAAACATTAGATGTTCCGGAAAAGTTATCAGGGAGTTGGCTTGTATTTCACTTTCTTTCACCTAGAGAATAAATGGAGGTACTGATATTTTTGGAGATTGTGACAAAAGCAGCTGTTCTATCTGATATTGTCTTGGTAACGGACTTATAGATGATTCTCAATTATTATAGTGCAACTTGTTTCCTTGACAGGATGGAGCTGCCATGAGGTCAATGAAACTTGAAAACACTCTGTGACGTCAAAAATTAGCTATAATAGTCCACTTTTCAAGATGGGATCTCTTGAAAAGGATAGAAAATGGTAACAGAGCTCCGCATAGGATATGGTGAGGCACACTTTTTTCTGGCTCTAAATAGAACATGCGCATCACCTATAAGAGTGGTCGTGGTGGATAGTTATAGTCATAGTAGTAGTAGTAGTAGTAATAAAAGTAGTATTAGAAATACGTGACCTCTCTTAAATTGGAAGAGCTAATTGCTTATTATTGGTTTTGATTTTCATCGCCGCAAATAAGGCCTAGGGCACTTTTGTTTGGTCTACTTATAATAGGCTCTAAGCATGTCAGTAGTGCAAGAGCCGGGAGGACCTTTCATTAGGGAAACCTTTTTTTTTTTATACTTCTTCACTTGATTGAGTTAACCCCTGCCAATGCTGAGTTGACTCTAGTTTTCTTTTTTTTTTTTTTTTTTTTTTTTTTTTTTTTATTTGTGTAATGTATTTTCATTTTAGTTTTCAAAAGTGAAATGATTATAAATACTCATCCTTCAATTGCACTCTTATCTCTTCCTTTTCCTGTTTTTACCTGTTTTCAACTCTTTTGAACAAACCTCTAACCCTTCATTTTCCATTTTAAACCAAACGCCTGCTTTTTCTATTACTTTTTCTCTGCTTGGGGCTCGACAATAGCAAGTCATTAGAACAGGAAGAACGTACAAAGAGATCTCTCTTTCTTTCGAAAAAAACACTTTACATCAACAACTTCAGAAAAATCGATTCAATCGACTATGACTGAAAAAATTGAAACACAAGGCGGTGGTGATCAACCTGTACCTCAAAAAGCCAACATTTCAGGCAACGTTACATCCTTGACTGTCGAAGAACTCTATGATAAAGAAAAATTCGACTTGTCTACAATGGAGCCTGGAGACGTTTTTGAATTATTACAGTACGTATTCTATTACTAATCTATGATCTGCCCCCTCCTTTTTTTCGCTTTTTCTTTTTTCTCGCTTCATCTTTTATGCTCCCTTTTCCTTGACAATTTCGTTGTCGTACGGGCCAAATTAATGCTCTCTATATCTCCTTGACACTTTCGGGGAATCTACTACTCTGAAAGTGGATTGGGAATTGAGTTAAGCATTATCTACTCATCTCTCTACACACACGCACATACACAAACATACCATTGATGATAACAGTCTACTAAAGAGTTTAGTAACTCTAATTGGATAATTCGAGATCTGTACCTTAATTTGTTTCAAATCAAGAACAAGTTTTGGGTTTTAAAAAAAAATCTTTTTGCCTTTTCATTCATCCTCACCCACTTGCTATATTCCTATTTTTAGAAATCCCCACTTTGATCTTTCTCTCATTTGTTTTGCTAACGTCACATTTTTAACTAAAAACCTTGTAGGACATCATCTAATGGTTTAACCTCCGATGAAGCAGCTCGTCGTGTAGAGAAGTTTGGACACAACAAGCTTGAATCTAAAGAAGTCAACCCTATTCTGATGTTCTTGGGTTTCATGTGGAACCCTCTCTCCTGGGTTATGGAAGCTGCTGCTATTGTGTCTATTGCTCTTTCTAATGGTGATGGTAGACCGCCAGATTATCCTGATTTCATCGGTATCGTCCTTCTTTTATTGGCAAACGCTACCATCGGTTTCATGGAAGAACGTCAGGCTGGTAATGCTGTCAAGGCACTGATGGCTTCTCTTGCCCCTGAATGCAAGGTAAAGCGTGATGGTGAATGGAAAACTCTCGAGGCTGCCGAATTGGTTCCTGGTGATATCATCAGTATCAAGCTCGGTGACGTCGTTCCTGCTGATGGTCGTCTTATTGCTGCTCATGGTCAAGTTTCCATCGATCAAGCTGCTCTTACCGGTGAATCTCTGCCTGTGGGTAAGGAAGCGGGTGATGAGGTTTTCTCTGGTTCAACTGTGAAACAAGGTGAAGCTGAAGCTATCGTTATCGGCACCGGTACCAACACTTTCTTCGGTCGTGCTGCTAAACTTGTTGGCGATGCAAATGATGACGTTGGCCACTTGCAAACTATCTTGGCCAAGATTGGTAACTTTTGTCTTGTCACCATCACTCTCTTCATCGTTCTTGAAATCCTCGTCATGTATCCCAAGTTTCACTACAAATACAGAACTGGTATCGATAACATTCTTGTCCTACTCATTGGTGGTATCCCTATTGCTATGCCTACCGTACTCTCCGTCACACTTGCTATCGGTGCTAAGCAATTGGCCGAACACAAGGCTATTGTCACTCGTATCACCGCTATTGAAGAAATGGCGGCTGTCACCATTCTCTGTTCTGACAAGACCGGTACCCTTACTTTGAACAAGCTTATTGTTGATAAACCTACCATCAAGACCTACGCTGACTTTAACGGTGATGAAATCATTCAATTATCTGCTTTTGCCTCTCGTACTGAAAACCAAGATGCCATTGACTTCTGTATCGTCAACTCTTTACCTGATCCTAAACTTGCTCGTGAGGGTATTGAAGAATTAGAATTCAAGCCTTTCAATCCTGTGGTTAAGCGTACTGAAATCACTTACAAGCGTCTTGACGATGGTAAAACCTACCGTGTCACTAAGGGTATGTCTCACACTATTCTTGATCTCTGCACTCGTGACAAGACCGAAGAACAAATCAAGGCGCTTAATGATGATGTTGATGAATTTGCTCGTCGCGGTCTTCGTGCTCTTGCTGTTGCTGTTGACGAAGTTCCCTCCGGTGGAGTTGAAGATGAAGGCCTTGGCTTCCGTCTCATTGGTCTCTTGCCTATTTATGATCCTCCCAGATCGGATACCAAGGAAACGATTGACCGTGCTATTGCCCTCGGTGTCTCTGTAAAGATGATTACTGGTGACCAGTTGGCTATCGGTAAGGAAACAGGTCGTCGTTTAGGTATGGGTGATAACATGTTCTTGTCCAAGACGTTGAAGGATGGTCCTCCTGCTGGTTCAGGCTACAATGATGTGGATGAAATGGTCTTGCATTGTGATGGTTTCGCTGGTGTCTATCCTGAGCACAAATACGAAATTGTAGAACGTCTTCAAGCGATGGGTCATATGACTGCAATGACAGGTGATGGTGTCAATGATGCCCCGGCTCTTTCTAAGGCTAATGTCGGTATCGCTGTTGCTGATGCCACTGATGCTGCTCGCTCTGCTGCTGATATTGTCTTGACTGAACCTGGTCTCTCTGTCATTATTGAAGCCATCATCGGTTCTCGTCAAATTTTCCAGCGTATGAGAAACTACTCCATTTATACTTGTTCCGTTACCATTCGTGTTGTCGTTGGTTTTGCTATCCTTTGTTTCGCTTTCCAATACAACTTCCCTCCTTTCATGGTCTTGATTCTTGCTATCCTCAATGACGGCACCATCATGACTATCTCTACCGATCGTGTGAAGCCTTCTCCTTATCCTGATTCTTGGAATCTTCGTGAGATTTTCTCCTATGCTGTTGTCTATGGTCTCTATCTCACTGTTTCCACTGTCGCTTTCTTTGCAGTCATCTACCAAACCAACTTCTTTGAATCCCATTTCAGTCTGCCTCACATCTTCTACCCCGATGGCACGGAAGGAAAGTACGTCAACAGCGGTATCTATCATTCCGTCATCTATCTTCAAGTCTCCACTATCTCTCAGGCCTTGATTTTCGTCACCCGTTCTCGTGGTTTCTTCTTCACTGAACGTCCTTCTATCATGTTGATGTGTGCTTTCGTCGTTGCTCAATTGGTGGCCACGTTCATTTCCGTCTATGCCAACTGGTCCTTCACCGAAATGGAAGGTTGTGGCTGGAACTGGGCTGGTATTGTTTGGATTTGGAACATTATTTGGTTCTTGCCTTTGGATTTGATCAAGTTTACCATGCGTTACTTCTTCGAACCCAAGAACGACTTGAAGACTTCCAAGGTTCCTCAATCTCGTCGTGCTTCTGCCATGTCAGGTTCCTCTTCTGCTCGCTACTACGCTAACCGTACACGTTCGTTGAAGTCTCTCGAACGTCCTCAAAACTTTGGCAAGAAGCTTCTCGGTATGAATAAGAAAATGAGTATGGATGCTAAGGAAATGCGCCGCTTCTCATCTGTTCAGGTAACTACAATAAGACAACCAGAATGTAATTAAAAGAAAAATATCAAATCAACTGACATCTCTCTCTTTCTCTTTATTCATCTAGACTAATCACGCTGCTCAAGTCCTTAACAGTAACTCATAAACTCATTTAAATTAATATTAGAACTGAAAAGCACTCTTAATCTTATTATTATACAACAATATCTTCTTTTCTCTTTTACCTATAAACCCAGCTTGTTACTATTATAATAACGTCTTTCTCTAACATACACACACACACTCACACTCACACACTCTCTCTCTCTTTTCTTTCCTTTCGTTTTGTTTGCTCCTTTTCATAATGCCGTCATAGAGCATCATTTCTTCGTTTCTGTCACTTTTTTATGTAAAAAGAGTAAATGTACATTTATAAGGTTACTTGTTTGAATAACATCTTTTTTTTAAAAAAATTATAAAACTCTTCTGTGGAACCTCCTTTTTCAAAATTTATTGAATGATCTGATATCCATGAGGAAAATCCTAGTTTCAAAAATTGCTTGAAAGAAAATAATAAAACGGATCACTCTTTGGAGGGTTCTGCAACGACTGGATTAGGTAATCCACAGTAGAAAGCTGCTGCACAAGGAAGGAAGCTTTGGTTATTTCAAATGAGGCTTACTAAAATGTGTCGTTGGTATCACATTGGGTTAAGGGCAAGCATTTATGTCACACGTTGTGAAGTTGAAGAAATAACATCACAGGTTTGTCTATGTTATCAAAAAACGCATTCCGTAACTTTAATTTAAAGTATACTTTTATTTATATGTGTACCACTTATTGAATTTACATTGGTTTTTTTTTTTATTTTTATCATGAGCACATAGATAAAGAGACTATACAGTCATGGAGGCAAAACTGTGGGTATTTTTTGTTTGGATTTTTTTATGGGACATTTACGCAATTGAGAAGGAAAGAGCTTGTATACAAAATTTGTTATCATAAATTACCATGGCTATCGGTGCTGTACATTACGGAGCGAAGAATGGAACACTTCCTTTCTAAAACGCTCAAGAATTCACTTCTTTGTGTGGATGACATTCGCTTAATACACGATCGGAATGTCACATCGTCATTTTGTCGCTGCTGCTGCTGTTGTTGTTGTTGTTGTTGTTGTCCTTGTTGTTCTTGCTGTTGTTTATGGCCACTGAACAAAAGTTCTGACGGTAACAGCTGCGAAGTAGTAGTCAAAGGCAACACGTCTGAAATAATATCGCTTAAAATTGCATTCTGTGAGTTTTGAGTTTTACAATGGACCGAATCAAAGGAGTCAGGGAATGGCTGTTCATGCTGACTGACAATGGCTTCATTGATCAGAGAATGAGATGCTAGAAGAGATACTGGAGCTGAATAATCTTGATACTGTTGCTGTTGTTGTTGCATGCTGACATAAAATTGTTTCTCACAATTGCCACAGACTGGTTGTTTGATTTTATGGGAAGAGAATGGTATAGTTGATAATTGAGAGCAGAACGTACAATAAACGATGACAGTGTCATCTTCGTAAGGTTCAAGTTGCTCTGGGGAGAAATAGGCCGCTTCCAGCAAAGATGCATTTGATCCAAGATTATCCGATTTTGCCTTCAGAAGAGAAGTAGTGCTGCCATTAAAAGCTGCTACATCGTTTAGTATGCTTGCATTTATTGATTGAGACGATGATAAAAGTGATGCTGTTGAAAGGGATTTATTCTGCGTACTTGATAGGTGCTTTTCTTGTATATGGAGTGGCCTGTGTGTATTATATTGCTTGTAATAAAGTCCACAAGCATTACACAGTGAGTGCGCTCGGTCAGGTGTACGACGCCATAATGGGGTTTTTGTTACATGGCAATTGAAGCATTCTAACTGACGCTGACCGCGAGTAGTAGTAGCAGTATTAGTAGATAAGCCAGAGGAAGACGTTGAATTTCGAGTGTTGTTCTTCCTTTTCTTCATGCCTGGCTCTTTTAATTTGGCGCAGCCACCAGAAACTGATTTCCTTCCTTTGTGTTCATTAGCTTTTTTCTCGAATATGTCGATCTTGTTAGAGATAATGTCATCACTACTCAAGGTTCCGTTAGATTTGGTTGATATGTTTAGTAAGTTTCCAAGGTCGTTCATAGGCGCAGAGTATTTATCCAGTAAATACTTCTCACTTTCAAGGCTAGACTCAGGGCTCAGTACAAAAGGTTCAGTGAGGAGCTGTATACAATTGATGTTTCCTGAACTTAAACTTGTTTTGGGTGTAGGGCTACTATGTACAGAGTTGCTCGAAACACTTGGAGAAGAGCATGTACTGATCATGGAGCCGTTGATAGGTGAAATATACGTGAGTGGATGTGGATGATATTCTTCTTTCAAGACGTAGCTATTAGCAGTAATGTTATTCCCATTCTCATTATACACCGTGAAATTGGAAGTTGTTTGAAGCTGTAATTGATTATTCTCCATGGTATATGAAACAAGATAAGAAAATTGAACTTGAGCGAATAAAGCCTAAATGTTATCAATTGTTTAAAGAAAAGAAAAAAAAAAAAGAAAATAAAAAAAAAACCAAAAAACACAAAGGAATCCTTAATATATGAATATTTATATTTACCGTTGGTCCGTTCTCAATTGTAAGGTGACTCCAAATTTTGTACACTGTACGAACCATCGCAAGTTGGCTAGTCCCTTTTTTTTTTCGCCAATTTTTGAAACTATATGAGCATGAATCATGTATTTTGTTGGTGGGCATATTTTTTAACCTTTCGCAATTCTGGTCATATGCACACACACACACACACACACGCACACATGCGAATGTATATAAAAAAAAACTATTTTAATTATTATATGGAGAAATGACACAAAAAGATTGTTTAATTTTAATTTCTGTAATTTCATACCGTATCATGTATTCATGGATTTACTGGACGTTTACCATTGTCTTTGTAATGTTCGGGAGCCATATTTAATAGTTACTTCGAGAACGCCTCTTTTTGTGGCAGTCGGAGAAGAGATAAGCGCTATACACATGAAAAGCTGTATTCCTGTTAAATAGCCATTTCCATCTCAATACTAGTAATACACGGTAAATCGAAATTCTGAACTCTGACTTTTTTTTTTTCAAGGACACCTATTATACATCAAATGGTAATTCTTCACATCACTTCAGAGTAAGCAGTAATGTGTGCTTAACGGGTTGGTATTGGTAGGTCAAATTGGATATTCTTTTATTCAGGAACTTTTTAGGTTTGTTTGCTCAAATAAATCATAACAATCTAGAAGGATTAATACAGTATCAAACTTTTCCTAGAAGGCAAGAGAATTGTCACAGACAACTGTAGAAGAGAAATGTATGCTACCATTGGTATTTGTGGTGATCGTTTGTTTTTTGCTATTAGGATAAAATACAAATAATAACACATGCTTATAAAGTACGATCATGTGCATTTAATAGCGAGTAGTAAGGCATATATATATTCAGCAACTTTACGGAAGGCAGTATTTGGCACCAAAATTATTTGACTGATTCTAACATACGTCAATTGACTCTTTTCATGAACAATTTTAAGTATATAGCTGCTGAAGCAAGTTTGGAAGACAAAAGAATGCGAAGGGAGAGGAGAAAAACCTTTTTGAAATTATCTCTCTATTCATGCAATCACTTTTATGATATGCCATTATCTTCTACGGTTACGACAACAGTTATTTCATATCATTTTCGAATACTCTTTTCTGCACACAACTCCTTGTGCGTCAAGAGTAGACAGATAGCAATTATATTGAGAACTATATAGAAGCTAAAGAATACTTTTTCTTTCTATTCGCGAAACTGGATGGCAATATCGGATGAAAAACAATGTAAGTATCTAAGACTTTGCTAGTTGACTACTACATGTTAAAGAATAGTAATAAACAGAGCAAATAGGGATGTAGCATAATATGTCAGAGCTCGTCTGTATCCCTATCTGTTCTTTCTTAACACCATTTTATAATCTGTATATAAAGATAACTCACTGTTTGGAGTATTACTCACTCAATTTGTTGTTTTGAACCATATTTAGACATATTGATGACACCAATCTTTTTTCTTGTTTTGTTCTGTTTGGTATCAAGTGCTTTGAACTCGGCTATTTCAATTTCTATCATTTAAACACTAGCAGATCCTTACAAAGAATCAAAAAAGAGTTTTGGTAAAATGTCTGCCAAAACGTTCTATATTTTTACATATTTAGTCAAAATAAACTTTAAACAAAAAAAACAAGGTCCGCATCCAATTATCATTATTAAAATTACTATTTTAAATCACGTGACAAGATTGTTTGTATATAATATATCAATGAACTGTTTAGTACAATTAATGTAACTTGCCTTCTTGGCTCAGTTGGCAGAGCGTCTGCCTAGTAAGCAGAAGGTCGGTGGTTCGATTCCGCCAGAAGGCATTTTTGTAACTTTTTACCGTTTCGTGAGACGTTTCCGTTCTGGTTTGTAGCTATCAACAACGAAGCCTGGTCCACAGCGAATGCATTACAGAATGTTGAAAAAGTGTCCCCACCAGACATTATTTAAACACTGTGATGAGAACTGTTCATAATGTGCCGCTGATGTGCCTCTTCTAGCTTCCCCCCCCCCTTTTCTCCTCTTATACCACTTGTCTTCACCTCTAATTTTCATCTTTAGTCTTTCTGTTATGAATCAGTAAAACGTTGTATCATGAATTATTTACTCCTACAAACAACAAATTTAATGATCTCAGACATTTCCAGTATCTACAGTGCAATAGAAGATATGTTAGTATATATCATAAACATAAATAAATTTTGAGGTGATGTCAAATATTGCGCTCCATCAATGCGTATCTTAGTCACAAAAAGCATATATAAACCATCCTGACAAATTACTAACCAAGAATTACTAATTAAAAGATTCAATAAAGCAGTACAACCATTTATTTAACCAACAATACTTTATTGTTTATCTAAACAGTAAAAGCTTTCTAAGGTTGAGTATTTGCCTGTATCCATATAAAATTGATCAATAAATCAGATATTTTTGTAACCACTTTTTTATCTACCATTCTTTTGAATCATAACCCTTCCCAATATTGGTATATATTGGGCTCTTTCATCTTGTGATAAGATGCACAACTAGATTTACCTAAACAACGTATCAAATCTCTTTCTGAATAGAAGAAAGAAAAACCTTACCATATTTCTTACATTTACTAAGTTATATATAATCTTTTGATTAAGTACAACAACTGAACTTTTAACATGACCAATGTATAAAAAATTTATTGCACCATGTTTTTTAGGGCTCTCATGAAGTTGATATCATCAGTAAGACCAGTTGCGATACTTACTTGAAACTTAAATAAAATTTGGTTGCTTACAATATGCTACTGCTCGCTTCGTTTTGGTAATAACTCTCATTTACATTTCTTTGTAATAAACTAAGACCTCTAAAAATACATGTCAGCACTATGATTGATCTATCGTGTACTCATCGATTTATTGTGGTGCAATCGTTTTCAAATCGTGCAATTCCACAATTTACCACAGATTAACCGATCTTATAACGATGAATTTCGCATAGTACAGCAATCCCACAACTATTCTTCGTTTATGGATCGTTTTAAAATCGCCGTAGGAGGCCATTTTTCATCTATTCAAAAACGATTTTGGTCGTTTCACTAAGTGTTTCCACAACGATTTTATTTCTTTTTTTTTTTTTTTTGGCGCCGACGTGATCTGACTACAGAACAGACTAATAGTGTTTAATTGTCAGTAGATGACTCAGTTACAAACAGTTACATCATTTTGGAACCATTTCATATTGTACTTGAATATTGCCATCAACTTTCAATGAAAGGAGGATAGTCAACAGAAATGATCTGTAATATTTTGTTTCAGTAGTATACAATAATCGAAGAGTAATATGATATTAGATATATTAATGGATAGTCACGTAGGTCTTTATAGAATACTATGTTCCCAAGACATCTAGACAAGCTCCCTAGAACTGCCTTTTAAGAAAATATGAAAGATCAACTTTTCGGAGCTCAGTAGAAAATCATAAGGACTGCACTCTTTAGAATACTTTCAATACCTTTTTTACTATTTATCTAACTATTATCAACTGCCTTCGTTACTCATTTTGACTGATTGCGCTACAAGACGTATTTGATGAGATAAGAGCTACAAGTTCAATACCGTACAGCTAGATAGAGAATGCATTGTACTACGGTCTATCAATATTGCATCAGATATAAGTTTAAGTACAATATATAATTAGTGAAAGACCTAAGTATAAATAATTACACATAAAACATTTGATTCTGAAATTAGTGACTACCAGACACGTTTTCACATTAATATGATTCTCATCAGATGTTACATGGATTATAAACCTCCTACTTCGTTTGTACGTAATGAAAACAGTAATTTCATAGCCATCGATTTGTTACTATTATCAATTAATCAATTTACGCAAATATTTCGCTACTCGATCGCTCTTCGACTTATTTTGGAAGACTTAAATGACTTATAGCAGCTCGCTTTATTTATATTGTTAATAAGTGTGGAGTAGGTAAAGAAGCTTAAGTAGAATAAGAGAAATAAGTTCAACAGTGAAATAAGACTCGAGCGAGTAGTGAGCACCAGGTTATTAGTAACCAATTTTTATTGTCTCAAATGTATTTATACAATTTGATTTATGATCTTTGACTAAATGAATAACTCTAACGATAAACTGAGTTGTATCTGGTACAATCTGGTTATGTTACGAGCAATGAAGTCAAAAGAATAAGTTCTAAATGATTAATACTACTTCGCAGAAGTAGAAGGCAGAATAACACTTGATTAGTGTAGAAGATAAGATTTTTGAGATAAGGGAGCTCTAATGTTTATTGTTCTGTCAAATTTGTGGGGTTTATATAGTTTTTTTTTTTTTTAGAATAGGGGTCTGAATAAAATTGTTTTTCATTAGCTAGTTACGTAGATAACAATATCTCTACAATTTTTCAGTAACTCTCTTCTACGGTTCGCCACATTATAACTTAGTGTTCACTAGTTTTAAGTGAATATGCTAATTGAATCAAACAATTACAGACTATTCTCTTTCTAAAGGATTTCATTTCTACAGAAAGCCGCGGTAATTTTTTTTTTTTTGTTTAAATTCATGTGCGATTTATTTGAACAGACAGATAGAAGATGAAAGTAAAGTTGAAGACAAATGGTATAAGAGGAGAAGAAGGGGGGCTAAAAGAGGCACATGGGCGAGCCGCGGTAATTGCAAACAAAAGATAACCCGCAAAATGACAACCATTAGAAACGTCCCACGTAAATTATCACGGAGCAAAAAATGCCTTCTGGCGGAATCGAACCGCCGACCTTCTGCTTACTAGGCAGACGCTCTGCCAACTGAGCCAAGAAGGCAAGTCACATTTTGTTATGCGTGACGTAGATTTTCATAGTAAATTTAAGGAAAAGCCGGTCACATGATTTTATAAGCAGCGCTGGACCGAAGAGGGTGTATCTAAGAGTAATCGGAGAGTAGAAGTATGTAGTAATAGCTTAATCTGGGGTATTTAATGAGATGAAGTATAATAAATAGAACAGGGCCTTTCTCCATCTATAATTTTGTACTATAAAGTTGGTCAGAGCTTTATAAATTCTCATTTACGATATAATCCATATCAATTTTGTTACAAAATGTAAAAGATTGTCAGTCAATTACTAGCATTAGAGCACGTGAGAGGTCCGGCGCGGTGCTCGGTAGAATGAATGTGCGGAAGTAGAATAGTTTAAGTAGATAGAAGAGAAATATACTATAACAAATGAGCTTTCTTTCATATAACAATCTTATATTTAAGTTAATAAACAGTACAACAAAATCTATACTGGAAAACTAACCATAGTTATTTCACGGACTACTACTCCCTAACGTGTCACATTATGAGAAGTGGCATTTCTATGAGATCGGCTCAACTAATCGGAGTTTAACTATTTTCGTTTTTGGTAAATGAATGATTTGGTCGCTCTCATGTTACGTCAGCCAGTAGCTCTCTTTCCTCGTCGGAGATTACACCTCTTAGAAATTTTCCATTCCTTTTCATTTTCTCCAAATAAGGGAAATTGATTAAGATAATTTTCTAATACTAAATTTCCTAAATTTTCCCATTCCTTTTCATTTTCTCCAAATGTGTAAAGTTTATACTCGATCAACGTATTTGATCTATCTATGTTTCCATGTCACACCCCATTATGTTAGTGCCCCCATACACTATAACCTATATTTAATTTAAAGATCAGTGCTTATAGATGAGTTAACAAAAAGTATAAGTAGCGACAATGTAATTTTGAGAATAAAAATCAAGGAGGCTTTTCCACTTTTTTTTTCTTTTTGGAGTATTTTTAGAGTATCGATTAAATTGTTAATAGTTATATATAGACATGGTTGGTTACAAAAGAAAGACTGGAGTAATGAACTCCTGTTATCAAACCGATAACATATACACGATAGGGCCCATTAACCTGTCAATTAATTGACATAAATAATGGAATATTGAAACTATATCTTCACGTGATCAGTGTTAAAATTCTGGCCGCCAATGAAGATGGAAATTTTAATGGTAGTGGTTTGTTCTTAAAAGTTATAGACTCATCGTTGACCTTATATCTTTATTACTACGAGAGGTCAAAATTAACGACAGTAATATTTTGTGTATAAGGAGAAATTCATTAATGGTCTCCTTTGGTCGTTAAGCTACAATAAATTTACTTGAAGAATAGAGAATGTCATTTGGATGCATTTCATTGTCAAATCTAGTTTGGCGCCGTTGCGCCATATTGCACTCTAGCAGGTTCATCCGTTACCACTCTTTCATACCGAAAACTGCCTGCCTCTAAATCTTCAATTTTGTCGTTGTATTTGTGAACAATGTAAAAGCCATGAATAATACCAGGTATAGCACCCAAGGCGCATAAACATACATTGATCAATAGGTCGATACTACAACCAGTTTTCATTGCTACAGCAGCTGGTGGGAATATAAAGGCCACGATGAAAAGGATAATGTCTTTACGGGAATACGGACTCGTCATATTGCAAATAGTTTTGTTGTATATGAGTGAGAGAAGGTGACAGAGTACGCAAATAAAAGAAAACTACAAAAAGGAAAAATACTCAATGCATTGAGAAAGCCTGAGGAAAATTGATCAGGCGTGGGTTTTTCTTTTTTTGGACTGAGGGGCTTACGAAGGTTGTTGATGGGATAGCAAAAATGGATGGTTTCTTTATTTCTTTTTTTGAAAAAAAAAAAAGGAAATTTCCCCACTAATCTCCAAAAGTAATTTCGTGCCAATGAAATTTGGAGAATAAAGCAAGCGCCAATAAGGTTTAAGGATCCATCTTTTGTATCCTTAATCCAAATCAGTCACATCAACCCTAATAAAGCAGAAAGAAGGTCTTAAAAAACGTACCTTCTATTTTTCCATGCTCTTATAGTCAATAACGCTTTTATTCAAAATGTCATCCAAACATTATGATAAAATTCTAGTAAAGAATCTAGTATTAAAGAACATAGCAGGTGTGGAGGCTTGGCAGAGACTTAAACACCAACCCGTTGTCATATCGGTAGAACTCTTTACTGATATTACTGCAGCAGGAAACACTGATCATGTCAAAAACACCATTCATTATGGTCATGTCACCAAAGCCATTACTACATTAGCTGAATCAACCATGTTTGGGACTTTGGAAGGTTTAGCCCATGCTGTCGTAAAATTATGTTGTGTCAAATTCGGTGCAGCAAAGACGACAGTGACAGTAGAACAACCAAAGGCTTTACTTCATGCTGCTGCTTCAGGCGTCAAACTGACTCGCGCCTTAGAAGATTATAAAAATGTGAATAATAGCATTGTCGAAACAACCGGGGAAATTTCAGGTTTGGGCGTGGAAGACGTAATTTTCGTCAGAGATCTACGCCTTCACACTATTGTAGGAGTCAATCCATGGGAACGTGAAGAGAAACAAGTCGTTATTATCAATTTGAAAGTCTATCCTTCATCTTTACCGTATGGAAAATATGTACTGGCAGACTCAGAGCGGAATAAAGCTCATAATCTAAGGACGGTAGTGCGCACATTGACACGACATATTGAAGCCTCCGGTTACAAAACAATCGAAGCATTTGCGTCGACAGTCGCTCGTCTGACGTTAGAGAAATGTCATGTCAACAAAATTTCTGTTCGTGTCGAGAAACCCAGTGCCATTCTCTTTGCTGATTGTTCAGGTATCGAAGTAACTCGTGACCGCATATGGTTAAAGGAAGTGATTGAATGCGAAGAAAAGGAAGGAAGGAAATTTATGCACAATTCTGGAAATTTGAACTTTCAGAAAGAGATCCCAGCTCATTATATCCACACATGCTATATCGCGTTCGGATCCAACATTGGTGATCGTGTCAATAATATAAAAAAGGCTCTTAGCATGTTGGAAGCAGACTGCAGTAGTATAATTCTGGACACCAGTTATTTATATGAGACACCACCTATGTACTACACAGAACAGCCTGCTTTTTTGAATGGAGCTTGTAAAATTGCCACATGCCTTACACCTCAAGAACTTTTGACGAAATTGAAAGAAGTAGAAAACAACTTGGGTCGCCAGGCAAACTTTAGAAATGGTCCGCGACCTATTGACTTGGATATTTTATTCTATGATGATCTCGTTTTAGAGGATGATGACAGACTCATCGTTCCGCACAAATCACTACAAGAGCGTGAGTTTGTGCTTTGGCCATTATGTGATATTGCTCGTGATATGGAACATCCGCGCCTATTCAAAACATGTGGACAACTGCTGTCGCAACTGCTAAAGGTGAATGCCGAAAGTGAAGAAGGACCATTAAAAATTGATAAAGTCATGCCCATACAAGAGGGGAGGTTATGGAGGTGGAATGAAAAGACTTATGTCATGGGTATTTTAAACACTACTCCTGACAGCTTTTCAGATGGAGGGAAACATTATGACATCTCAGCGGCGATCGCTTCTGCTTGGCGAATGAAGGAAGAAGGTGCAGATATCATTGATGTTGGCGGTATGTCGACACGGCCCGGTGCTGACGACACATTCCCAGAAGAAGAAGAGATCAAGCGTGTTGTGCCTGTTATTACTGAACTACGTGCTGCAGGATTCGATTTACCTATTTCTGTAGACACATTCCGAGCAGCAGTCGCTGCTGCTGCTATTAAAGCTGGTGCCAATTTGATCAACGACATCAGTGGAGGCTCTCGTGACCCAAATATGCTGAAAGTAATGGCTGAATGTAATGTACCTGTTTGTTTAATGCATATGCGTGGTGATGCACAGACCATGATGTCCAAACAGAATACAACCTATGAAAACGATGATGTGGTTGATGATGTTTCTCATGTATTGAACACACTTGTACAAAGAGCCATAGCTGCGGGTGTTCATCGATACAATATCATAATTGATCCAGGAATTGGGTTTGCAAAGACGGGCCAACAGGATTTTGATATTATACGTCATTTGAAAGATATTTCACAAAAGCAAGATTCTTTACTGTTTGGTCTGCCATGTTTAATGGGTATTAGTCGTAAAAAGTTTATAGGTAACATTACGGGTGTCAAAGAGGCGGAGAAGAGAACCTTTGGAACAGCAGGTGCAGTTGCAGCCTGCGTTGCCGGCGGAGCTAATATAGTTAGAGTACACGATGTCCGCCAGATGTGGGAGGTAACGAAAGTTTGTGATGCAATTTGGCGGCATTAGATTATAAGGATGTATGTATCAAATGTTAAAGCGTGACCATAGGGTACAGGATAATGCTCCTAGAAAATACTGTTACTGCAAAATAATAAACTGATAAATGTGACTGTCAGCATTTTGCGCCTCTGTTCGCATTATTTCTGCACTAACTGTTTTTTTGTTGGTGTAAGTTTTTTGTCATTGACACATCTCCATTTCGCTTTATTTGATGTCATCAATATTCACTAAACGACTGACAAAAGAGCTGAAAGGTAACTTTTAAAAAATCCTGAATAGGTATTCAACATACAAATAACTGCTCTTCTCAAGATCTAAACCAGAAGCCACCAGAAGGCGTTGAAATAGAAGAAGCCGAAAGCTTTAAAAAGTCCGTAAATACTTCAATGATTCATTCTATAGGCCAACTACTTATCCCGTCCCTTATGTTTTCCAATATAGATGGAAGCTCCGCTTGACAGGAGCTCCTGGCACTATATATGAGGTTTGATTTTGTGATATAAACGATGAAGATGCGTGTGCTTTACAGATATGATGATAATAATTTCTACTATTCGCATAACATCAGGGCGAGGTGTTCAAGCTTGAGGTAAAAAAGGCTGTTCTTTCATGAATAAGTTACCTTTTTTGTAGCTGCTAAAGCGGGACGCACATTTGCTGTAGTTTCGATTCACTCCACAGTATCCATTGGAAGCACCAGATGTTGTTTTTGTTAGACCACACGTCCCAGTACATCCACAGTAAGTTTGCTATTGATACTTCATAATACTAAAATCAGGGCTTACTCAGCTCATTCTCATTACAAGCGTAAGCACAAGGTTGTTTTGGATAACAAATGTAACCTATTCCAACTGAGCTTAATAACATTAGATATATTCAAATGGGCACATATGTCTTAACATCCTTTATAAGGATTGGTCGCCTGTTCAAACTGTTGCCCACGTCTGTCTATCTATCATCTCAATGATGTCCAGTTGCAAAAAAAAGGTTTGTCATCCGTTGTGTTCAAATCCACAATAAGCTCAATACCTACAACTATAGTATGTCATTGATAGGAGTTGCCACCAGACAACGATATGTATATCCAGCTAGCAGCGAAATCCCCAAAGAAAACACCGTGGGCCTTTCAGGTAAGAACATGCAAAAGGATTTGATTTAACAAGAAATATTTTTTAACATATTAGCAATTGTATTCTGTAGTAAGGAATCTGCATAGTAACGACCGACATCACACTCTTGAGAAGTACTGACAGGACCACCATCTCATTTTTCATTTAGTGATGATACCGTGTAATTGGATTTCTTTCGACATGAACAGCTGTAATAAAATGTGTCATCATTTAGATAAAGCCAGGGAAGTAAAAACAACAATCACAACAGCGACTTATCGACGGCACAAACTGCATCAGTTCGGAGAACCACGGCTGTGCATATCACAAAAGAGAACCCATCAGAGCTATCCAAGAAATCAATCGTGCGCTTAAAGATAGTTTTCATGATAAACGTCCAGCCAATAAAAGCATTGACCCCTACTCTCTAATGTTGCTGGTGAAGCCTTATTTTACTGAGGCCGTTGTTCGACAAAGCTAGTAGATCAACCAGCTTATAGACGGATATAATATAACAGCAACTTTTTAATAATGCTGCATGCCTAACATCTATCGATTGATCTCCGTTTTGCCTAATGATAATTCATGCATGGCGAGTGCTTTGCCAAATTCGTATACTGTCTCCAACGGTCTGATCTGCTAATTGTATTCTGATGCGTTTTACTATTATTGAATGTTTGAAGTGTTACTTTTTGGTTTTTTTCTTTCAAAAAAATAATGATGACTCATTGTATACAATTTTGTGGGACATAATTACTTCCAACCGCAGTTGTATGTGACTTGGGATCAGCGATATGTTTTCTGTTTGATAAGCATATCGCAATTAAAGTGGTCTTGCATAACAGCTTTTTTACCTTTTATTCTATTAAAAATTATTGAAGTCTACATTTACAAATAAGGAGTATATTTTTTTTTTTGAAATATAAGAAGGTTTTTCAGATACGAAGTTGAAAAGAGACTGTATCCTTCTAGTAGGCAATTTATACATTATTTACAAAATCCAAGCAAGTGCTTTGCGATACCATGTTTGATGCTGCTTATCTTCATTTTCATCCTTTTCAATATCAATATGGGTGACACGTCCTGTTTCGAAGTCAGCTTCAATTAAGGGCACAACTTTTGATTTTCGCACAAGTTTATGACCGATATACCAACAAATGGCAGGAAGAAGCCCAATGTAGTTCGAAGCAAATTTTACACCATCGAATTGCGGGTAAAAAGCAGTATAGCCTATTGAAGGGGGATGTTAAAAGTCTACTGCTTATGAAAAAAAGAAAAGAAAATATCTTTGTACAATTTACCTTGACCGAATATGACGAATGTAGTGAGTATTATAGCAAGGCTGGTAGTCCAAGGATAACCAAAAGCTTTAAAAGGTAAATCATCCATATCACGTTCTTGTGCTTTGAAAGCTCGTCTAAATCGAATATGAACCACAGCAATACCCCACCAGCTGATGAACCCACTAACAGCCGTAATACTCAAGAACCAAGTGAACGCCACTGTCGCACTGTAAATGGAAACAAACACACAGAGGAATCCAATAATAGCGGAGAAAGCAACGGCAATGTAAGGAGCACCGAAACGATTCAATCGGCTCATGAAACGAGGAGCATTACGATCTCTAGCCAGACCCATCAATGTACGAGAGCAGGTATAAAGGGATGAGTTAGCAGCCGACAAAACACTAATCAGGATAACTGCATTGATAATATGGGCTCCGGCTGTAATGCCAGCCAACTGGAAAACCAACGTAAAAGATGCAGTGGCAGGATTATCGTCACTGTTGGATAAGTTGGGATCTGTGTAAGGAATACACAGACCTATTAAGAGAATAGTGACAATATAGAAGAAGATAATACGCCAGAAGGTGTTACGGATAGCACGAGGTACTGTTTTTGTGGGGTTTTTAGCTTCAGCAGCAGTGATACCGACAATTTCTGTTCCCATGAAAGAAAAACCTGCAGACAACAGGACGTTTAGTGTACCGATTCCATTCACGCCGAAGGGTCCTGGGTCGTTCCAGAATTTGAACCCAATAGGTCCTTCTCCAACAGCTCCTGAGGTAACTAAAATGGCTAATATTGAAAATTGAAAAAAAAGCATACCACTTAAACAAGCTGCACGCTACACTATACCGATAGCATTCAACTTACCAATAATGATGAACACGAAAACAATGAGTATTTTCAATAGTGCAAACCAGTACTCAAGTTCACCGTATAGTCGAACACCGACAAGATTGATAGCAAAAATAACGAGGAAAAATATAGTAGACCAAACAGCGTCTGGCATCACTGGTCTCCACCAATTAACAATAGTGGCAGCGGCAGAAAGCTCTATGATCAAAAAGTATTAACGAACTGAATTGTGGAGTAGTTTGGTAAAGCGTCGGTCTTTTTTACCTGTTGCGATTGAAACAGACTATTCCCAAATCGAGAAAGAAAATTGTTAGTACGGTTTTAAAAAAGTAGAAAAATGTGAGTGCAATAGTTACCCACTAGTTAACATAAAGGCGATGTTAAAAATGTGAAAAAAAAGTGTCAGTCAAGTAATTTACAAACGCCAAATGTTTTCGTCTTTTCTTTTTTTTTTTGTTTGCAGCAATTTACCGAAAGCCTACGAGAGAAGGGTTAATCATTGATACTCTTTTGCCTACTCAACAAAATATTTAGGAGATTTTACCAATAATTCCAGCCAAGCGCAAACCCCAACGACGAATCAACAAATCTGGTTGCGTAATGGTTGAAAGAACCATGTACTAAAGATGTACATTCGTCAGTTATTTAAAAAAATAGTAGGTTGATCGTTTGTACTGTTTACCAGGTAAATAGGTTGCCATCTCTCCGAGACATGTCATAAGGCAATATACCTAAAGGAAGTCGATGACACTTAAATAATGCTATTTTGCTACTACGACACTGTGTTGACTAGATCGTTACCATTAAACCAACTGGTTCAAAGTAGAAGTTGTATTCAAAGTTTCATCAGCACGAATTGATCGAATGAAATTGGTAAAATAGAATGATTGTTAGCACTTACTAACACAATAACCAATTAATGCTCCAGCAGGACCAGCCTAGATCAAAAAAATTTAATATATGTCGACCAAGCCATATCTAATAATGATATTCTACCTCAGCAATATTCTGGCCAGAGTTCAAGAAAAGACCAGTACTATGAAAATATCATCTTAGTTCAAGGAAAAAAAAAAAAAAGACATGAAATTCGGCAGGCAAAAATATGGCTTTCTGATTTACCCTATACAACCGCCAAGAGAAATCATTTGGATGTGGCGAGCATTCAAACCTCGCTGAGCTTGGCCTGTTGTTGTGCCATCTTCAGTAATGTTCTCGAATGAAAGGCTTGTTTGATCGTAAGCCTCTACTTTTTCATTATTGAATATCCTCATAGGATCGTCCGAGTTCATTTGGACGCTTTGTTGCCGCTGTTGCTGATTGTGGTCTATTCGGATCACTTTCTGGGCCGGATCATCCATTCTATAATTCTATAAATCGTGTATATGTTTGATAGGACCGAAAGAACGAAGAATTATATTGACTTGATATAGAAAATGAAGAGAAAAAAAAAGATGGAGAAAAAAGATAAAAAAAAAAAAAAAAAGATTTTTTTCTATAACGTCGTCTGATCTGGTTGAAATGTTTATTTGATTGAGTCCTTTTATCTGAAACCGCCAAGTCCGCTATTCTTGGGAAAATCAATGTATACTGTTAAACCTTTGAAGAAAGGCCTTCTACTTCTGTACTAATGTTCAATGTCGGAGTAATGAACGTCTTACTTGTATTCGAACCTACATATTTAAATGGAGGCAGTCTTGTTATACACATATCAATATGGCTGTCTACCACGCTTATTACCAACTACACGTCAGGTTCTTGAAGCCCGTTATATGGTGTTCATGATAAGCTTAAATTTCAATCTCCAATCAAACATCTTTAAATAATCCTGATAAGGAAAATGTCCCTTGTTGAAATTCGATCTCACATTAGAAGATCAAAGACAACAACAGAAAGCAAACCATATCAATTTTGAAGCTCTGTAGCAGCAGTATAACGAAAACATGATTTATTGTGATACCTGTCAGAATCTGCAAAAAGAAAATTTGTCAAACAGCTATTTATGAAGTGTACAACTTCGCCATCTGGCATATGTAGGAATAACTGACTCTCTTGCTTAATAAGGAGCATTCATACGTTACAGGATTTCCAAACCTAGCACAAATAGTCTTTCACAAGGACGGCTTAGTTTATATCTAGTACAGTAAAATAGTGGCAACTTTCATGTATGCTTAAGCCCAGCCCGATGGTTACATTAAATGGTATATTAATCAATCGAGATAATATACTATCACATGGGCTTCAAATTCTAAATGAATGACATAAGGAGAGGCAGTTAAGAAAGAAAGAAAATCAAAGTCTGAGACAAGCAGGAGAAAAAGCCATAATAGCCATGATATAAAATAACGAGGGATGAAGTTGAATATACTTCAAAAGTTAACAGTAAAAATCAATTTCTCGCACTCGCCAGTCATGTCGGTAGAACGCTGCAATGAAAAGTCTCAGTCACAGATAATGCCTACACCCAATGTGCGGACAGCTGAATTTCGGTATTCTATAAGAGGGGTGGGAGAAGTGACAAAGGTACGTCTTCTAATATATCAATCTGTGTTGAAGTTTAAGGCACCTTTTTTAGATACCTTAGCCTTGATACAATACAGCCAATTATAAGTTGATAGCAAAAAGAACTTATCAGGAGCAAAATCTCCAATGTTCAACGCAAGCACAAGTAAAGTATCTTTGTATTTGTGTGATTTCTACCGTTCTATATAGTCAGTGTCCTTTCTACTTCACTGATGGCATCTTTTTCTATTCTATTTATGGAGGAGTAATTGACAAACCTGCTCTTCAGTTAAATCGTACTCAAAAGATCTGCATGTATGTATTATCAATGTTCCCTATGATATATGAGCTTTTATCTTTCTTAATTTCTTCTTCCACTTCTATTTCTATCCTAATTGTGTGAAAGAGTTATTGGATGTACAAGTACATTCACATAAATCACAATTAAATTTGAACAGTATTGAAATATCCCACTTTTTTATTCAACTGTTGGAAATTTGGATATGAAAAGGTAACAATCCCCTTCCCAAATCAGGCGCTGAGAACAGTACACTTAAAATTGGATTAACAAGCTAGTATTGACTGTTAACACATTGCCTCTGAAAAACAGAACGAAAGGATAGTGGTAGCAAATCTTTATATTTCTTAGAGGAGAGATATCTTTCATGGAAGGTCACGATTTCAGTCGAGATTGTAACGGAGGTCTGAACCCTTCACTTCAACCTTGTTCATACTAAAATTCAAACTATATGAATTAAGCATAATACAATATATGCTATTCACATGTTATATAAAGGCACTATAAGATGATTTTGCGAATACTACATGCAAACTAATGTGCTAAAGCTTTGTCCTTAAGATGTGCACCGATTTGAGAGTGCACCGTGTTTTTTACAAAAGCTAAATTGGAGCGCAAGCTAGATCCTGAACTCTTTCTTATTGCAGCTTGCTTGATTTTTACTTTAAATTTGTGATTTATTCCATGGATAATGTTTCTATGTTTTATTAAGACAGTTCGGAAGTAGTGATTTTTGAGAAAGGTATATGCTAGCTTTCAATTATTGAGACTAATGCCCCATCAGCGCAAACCATTTCAGTGGCTTGGTCCCTCGCATCTCAAATTGTTGCCCTATTTTGAAATTATACAAGCTTTCTAGCCTTTGGAAATAGAAAAGTGGAAATGGCACATTTCAAGAGGTCCATGTGTCTGTTAAGATTGGGTTACAAGTGAAACAGACTGCCAACCTATCTGCCTAGCGCTACACAAATAAGTAAGCGGCGGGGATTGGTCAAGTACAGGAGAAAAGGTACACTCCAATTACCTATAACTCAGTGAATTGATTACACCAACGTAAGTCTGCGCAAAAAATAACGGAAGCTCCTGAAAAGAGAATCTACAGGTTACACCATAGAATAAAAAGGAAGGATGCGGGTGTAATATTCCATTTTAAGTTACGCTGTGCTTTGATACAGGAATACTTTACACAGAAGGAATATGGATGAGTATGAATTAGTCAAATAAGAAGAGAAGCAATTAGAAAGGAGCTTCTAGAATACAAGGATTATTGACATTGAAAAAATTTACCATTTGCATTTCTGTTAATAATTTAAATAGCAGGAGACTGCAGAAAGCGATTCGTAGCTGAGATCTATCGGCTTGGCGAGCATCCGCAGGGTTCAGATGCACTATGCAAATTGACATGAAAAAGGATGTAGGCAAACATCAGCTATTTTTTATTGATGAAATGTCGAGCAGAAGAAATTGAGAGTAGTTCAAAGTGCAATAGTAACCGGAGTGATATTGTTAGTAAATAGAACGCTATGACTATTGCCAAGTGTCCTCTGAATCATAATGAAAGCGCTCTTCCTGTCTAACAGTTGTTTACTACTAAAATTGGCTGTGATCATTTGCATTCTTTTTTCCACGGAAATTAAAAAAGCAGGACAGTAGTCAAGTAAACAAATAGGGAACAGGTAGAAATCCAAGAATAAAACCGACAGCATGGTCCCCGCTTAATTATTCAAAACTTTTGACTTTCATCCAATCAGATACTAAAGAAAGGCTCTTCTGATTTTTACAAGTTAGGAATTTTATACATTTTCAGGAGTCTCCATATCAATTGGAAAGTTAAAGACAAGCCATAGTTCACATCTAGTATTATGTTCATTCGTGAAATGTGAAAGACTAATTGCTGTAAAGCCAGAAGGTTTAATATAATTGAAGGTGAGGAGCGTGCAACAACAGTCTTTTGTACGTAACCTTTTCTGTTCAGCCTGTACGACTACATTACACTATGTGATACGCGAATTGGTACAGTCAAGGAAATGGCTTAATTGACACTGCTGTTGCCTCCACTCAATGGTAGGGTTCAGAAGTTACCATTACGTAGATCTATGCATCGAAAAATATTGTAGCTTCTGAGAACTTCTCTGTAGGCATTAGATCCTCGAAAGGAGAAGAGTATTGTAGGAGATGTCAACAGCGCCCACTCTCAACCCCTCTTCCTGCATTTAGGAAGAGCACATTTTTGTATAACTATGAGGAAATGCTACACTATTTGCACTGCTCTATATAAGGTTTTTGATGCCCTTAATGACGTAATGAAGCATTGATCTACTTTTAATCATAAGATTACCAACTTAATCATGCGTTGCGGCAAAAACTGAAAACTGTTACTGTACAATTGTTCAACCTATTCTATAGTGATCGCAAAATGGATATTCGAACATTGTGGTCTAATTCTTATAAAGCAGATGTGCTTTATCTCAGATACTTTGAAAGAGTTACTGTCAAACAAAATGCTTAAGAGAACCAATACAGTTCTTTAATTGTATTCAACAAATTAGAAAGAGCCGCCCAAATGACGAACTCTTTTCTGTAAGAATCCAACTGTGCATCCCCTTTTTCGAAATACAGAAATCACATCTCCAGTTTCCAACACAGATTTATATCAGCCCACGATGCCTAAATTAGTTAATCTCAAATAGGCTAAGGAAACTTTAAAATGCCTGGAGTCTTTTGCCCGTTTTAAGCTAAATCAAGACTGGTTGTAGAAGAATAGTTACAGCCGTCTGGCGAGTTTATGTTAAGCTAATCCAATTCATTTCATTTTTAACGTGCTCTTGTATGACGTGTAGTGGTGTAAACTGTTCATAATGGTTTAAAAACAATAATTCAATATGAATTGTTCAGTATCTGAAGAGGGAAAAAAAGGATTTGCGACCGGTGAGCGTGTATGTTGTGTGATATATGTGTGAGAGCCTTTTAGTTAAGATTGCTGTTATCCTAATTATCAGTTGCGTCTTTTTTCGTATCTTTGGCTTTCCCTCACCCCCCCCTTTTCAGCTTTTTTTTTGTCTGCTCACCCATACCCTTAAAGTGAACGCAACTTACGACTTCATGAACAGATAGATCCCATCCACCATTCACATCTCCCACCATTGCTTAATCTCCTTTACTTCAGCCCTTCAAACAGAAACTTCCTAACAAACACTCCCAAAGACTTGTCTCTTAGTTCCCAAAACAAGGAATAGGACTTCTACTGTGTTCATTTGATTGTACATAACTTCCATACAATATATACAAACCAGTATTGATCAATTAGTAGACTTCATTTATAATGCAACATCATGAATTGTCAGACGACGAAATTATCACATCTATATACAAATCATGCTTCTCCAAAGTAAGCACAACATTTTTGGAGAAACTAGTCAGAGAGATTGCTGCATGGACTGGTGTCCAGACAGTAATGATTCAACGATTGTTAACAGCAAGAGAATACAACGATTTGAGACACAACGAAGGCTGCCCGCAGGTTCGATTGATTAAAGGCAGTAACTCCAAATCTAAAAGTGAAACATCCCCGCTTCAAGGCGGAGGATTTGCATTTATTGACTACTTATTTATAAAAGCTTGTTATTCCAAAGTTAAACATCCAGCACTGTAAAGCTATTGATGAAAAAAAAAAAACAAAACATCTGTTCTTCCAATGACTTACTAAACAGAACCATGCCTTCTTGTTAAAATACAGGACAAAATATTCAGCTGCTCCTATTACTTCATTTGATCATGATGCGCCACATATTCAAACAATACGATGGAAAGAATATCACGACGAACAGAACGGTCCATTTTGTGGGTCCGTTTATCCCGTGTTTCACAGTTTTGTGGGCTTGCGACTAGATCAAGATGACGTTCCCATTGGTATGATTGCGGTTATGGATGATAGGCCTATGGATGCAAGCCAGATTAAGTTAATAAAAACCATTCTGTCTGCTGTTGAACTAAGAACTGTGAATGAAATTGGACGATTGCGTTATCGGGATAACCTCATTGTAGCAAAAAACGCTGCCTTACAAGATGCCGAAAGTAAAATCAAATTCTTGGCTGACATGAGCCATGAAATAAGGTAAAGAAGTAATGCCTCAAAGTTTGTTTTTTTTTATACAACTGATCATTGATACCGTTTGATTTATCAAGAACCCCAATGAACGCAGTGATAGCCTTAACCGATCTATTATTACAAGAAAGAAATCTACTTAACGTTGAACAAGCAGAGCATCTTGAAGTAATTCAAACGAGCGGAAACCATCTTTTGACTGTTATCAATGATATACTTGACATAACAAAGATAAATCATGACCCTAAATTCAAACTGGAGAACAGAAGATTCAGTATTCGAAAATGTGTCAAAGGTTGCTTCAATTGATCGCGTCATACCCTATCCATCTTAACTAACCTTCATCATTGCATCCTATTATAGACGCGCTCAACATGGCCAGACATCAAGCATCAATGATCCAGCATCAGAGATTGGTGCATCTAGTTGAATGTCCACCAGAAGTCAATGACAATATTCCTCTCAATCTACTGTTGAACCAACTAGGTCTGAATAATATGCTTTTATCACCGCCAAATACGCGTAAAGCCATTCTACCACTATTATGGAAAATCGAATCAGATGTACCTGACCATCTTGTCGGCGATTCTATGCGCTTGACACAAATATTGCTCAATCTATGCTCTAATGCCGTAAAGGTAGAATCGACGATGAGCTTCAAAGAGTTTCTACAACATACTAATGGTTCATTCGCGTTATACTGTAGTTCACCAAATCAGGAGGCATTCAAGTGAAGATTCAGATTCATGTTCCTCCTGAAAAACAAGTACCAAATAATGATAGCAAATATGCTATTTTCAAAGAACGTTACGACGCGAAAATTGAAAGTATGTATACTCTTCAAGGAAGAAGCAGAAAACCGAAACGTTCAGAGTACATCAATAGTGCATCAGCTTCCGAAGACGATAATTGCGCAGAGCAGTCAAGCGAAAATTATGAGAACGGTTTGACGAATGGAGAAGATGACGGCACAACAACAGATGACGAGGGCACCGTTGACAAGGTGATACTCGAAATATCTGTTACAGATACTGGCATTGGTATGCCTGCTGATCGGCTTCCGCGGCTGTTCAAATCGTTTTCACAGATCGATATTTCCACGGCCCGTCGCTTCGGCGGAACGGGCCTGGGGTTAGCTATTTCCAGTACACTTGTCAATCGAATGGGCGGTGGACTTTGGGTAGAATCAGAAGAAGGAATAGGTTCAAAATTTGCATTAACTATTCCTCTAGCTATCTACAAGAAGCCCTCAAAAGTAACTCTTAGACCTCGGTTGGCTAACGATGACAGCTCTGAAGATGGAACAAATACAGGCAGCAGTGTAATAGCGTCACCATCGTCCCCAGGTTCCATTCTATCTGATAGCAGCTCTTGTACAGCAGAGCAGTCAGCTTTAGGCCATAGTACTGCTCATAACCTTTCCCCCTCATCGTCAAACCATGCAGATTACTTCTCTACTCCGTTCAGTGTGCAACAAAATAACAATACTTGTTATAGAAACGATACAAAAGCAGAAACATCCCATTCACTGCCAGCTATGCAATCAGCGAAGCCTACTGCAGCAACCGTAGCTAATAGAACTCCTTCAAACTTAGCACCTTCACCACAACATACCAGTACAGCAATTAATACAACTATTAATACTACCCCTAATACAACTACTATCAGTTCTAATATAGATAATAATTACACTATGAATCGAGAAAACATTCCTTGCCCTAGTGACACTGGTACAAATACTCTAAGCTCTAGTCCTGGCAATAAGAATTTTAATAATTCTGCATACACAGGCAGCCGGAACAATCGATTGACTCTCGTTATCAGTAAAGGTTTGCAGAATTTTCTGCCCAAATCCCAACAGGCAGATGCAAAGACTTTCGAAGCTAATCCTACACCAGCTACATCTAAGCGATCACAAGGTCCAGTCAGCCTAGAAGAAGAGTCACCGATTGCAAACATATCACGTCATATAATCTCGAAATCTAAAAAGTCAAATAGTCAAAACGAGGAAGAAAATCTGGCAAAACTACACCCGATAAAGATAATGTTAGCAGAGGATAATATACGTAAGTTTGCTTTTTTCGATATATTTTAACGCCTTCCTTTCATAAATACTATTCCTTTAGCATATCAACTGAATTTGCTTTCATTTCACGTTACTCAGTCAATCAAAAGATTGCTGTTAGCATTTTGAAGCGATTGGGTTATCAAGATGTCGTTATAGCCGGGAACGGTCGTGAAGCATTAGAACTGATGCGCATTCACAAATTCGATGTGATATTCGTAAGAAAATAAGAACATTTTACTATTCGAATAATCACATTTCGTTAAGCCATTCCTTTCGCGTTTTATATAGATGGATTTATACATGCCAGAAATGGATGGTTTGGAAGCAACACGGCACATAGTGTTAGAGCGAAAAAATAGAATAGCAACGAAAAATGTTGTGCAAGCAACAGATTCAGACAAAAGTAACGAGGAGCCTTTGCTAAATGTGAACGACGTCTATATAATTGCACTGACGGCTTCAGCATCGACGAAAGACCGGCAAATATGTATTGATGCTGGCATGAACGACTTTATCAGTAAACCATTTACTATGATGGAAATGAAAGCTGCGTTGAAAAGTTGTGTACATTACCGGAAAAGGCGACAAAAATCCAAATCACACAAAGGTAGTGGAAGGACACATAAACATACGGGCAATAGCAGCAATTGTGGGAGCAGCAGCAGTAGCAGGCGAAGAGTAACGAAAAGCTCACGGTCAGGTTGTAACACTGACTCTTCTATTCATTCTGAAGAAAATATAGCATTGCTGTCAAATTAATAAGGGGTTATTCGAATGCTTTAATATTTTTTATTTTTTTTTTTTTTTTTTTTTTTTTTTTTTTTTTGTTCTCTTTTCTATTTTACCCACTATGTTGCAATGAATTAATTGTTTAAACTTGCTGGTTTGGCTCTTCTCGACAAAAAAATAACGTGTTTAAACAACGTTAATGTCCTGTGATGAAGCATTCTATTCCGAATGTCTGATTTTCGCAAGCAAATTCCTTTGGGTCGGTCGTCGTATAAATTGAGAGCTTGGGGGGGGAAACTTGAGATAGTGTTCTTCGAGAGATGCTCTTTAAAAACCATAGTATAATAACATTAAAGATTTCCTTTACTTGAAAAAAATAGTATAATAGTTATTAGTTTTGTTATATAGTTCAAAAATATTTACAGATACACAATGTTAATAATAGGACATCCTTCTTCTTTATAATGCTTGAGTTTCTCAAAAAGAAAAATCATCAAGTTTATAATGTAAAATCAGCGGATTGACGAATATCACGGCTTGAAGCGCCAACATGGATTGTGAATTTGCCGTTAGGAACGACCCAAGAAGATGAAGAAGTATCCCAAATACTAAGTTCAGTCTTCCCGAGCTCAAAGCTCACCTTTGTCTTCTTTCCTTTTTTTAATGTCAACTTTTTCGAAACCACGAAGGAGTTTGGGTGGCTCTCCAGCATTTTCGGGGAATGAGACATACAACTGTACAATTTCTGCACCATCAAAGGCGCCATTGTTGGCAATAGTAAAGGGAGACAGAAAGAGAGGGTTCACCCTTATGAACTTTAGCCTTCACCTTCAAGCCGCTGTAGTTAAAGTTGGTATAAGATAAACCGTGACCAAAGGCAAAGAGAGGTTCGATATTAGCATGATCAACCCATTTATAACCAACAAGAAGACTTTCAGAGTAGTTAATAGGATCGGCAGGGGCATGGTGAGCATTGTAGTCGTTGTAATCTTTAGCAATTATGTAAGGAAGACGGCCAGAGGGATTCACCTTACCAGTAACAACATCAGCCAGAGCGTTACCAGATTCTTGGCCTTGAAGACCAGGCCAAAGCACAGCCTTGATGTTGGGATGGTTTATCCATGGCATAAGCACAGCACCGACAGAATTGATAACGACGACAGTATTTGTATTGGCATCAGCAACAGCTTTGATCTGTCAAGGGAGCCATGGTTTATATGAATTAACAAACGGAAACAAAAAATTACATCGTTTTTCTTCTTTTCTGTTGGTTTGGTATAGATCTAGCTTACCAAATTGTCACCGTTGTTCCATAATGTAAGATTTTTACGGTCACCCACATTGCCGTCGACGTCGATACACTGGTAAAAATTTTGAGTACTGTTAGAACTGGAGTACTTTAGATCTTTTTATCACATGATTAGCCTACTTCTTCACCAGAGTCTGCACTCGAAAAGACAAAGGCAACATCCACATTCTTGGCAGCCTTAGCAGCAGCGTTAAGGTCATAATCGTTCGTAGCAGTTGTAATCTCAGTGTTTTTTCCCAAGCATTTGTAAGGCCAGTGAGTGGCTAGACGAACCGAAGGACTCTTGTTAGGAGTGGAGATTTCAAAAAAAAAAAGAAAAAATTACTGCGTATACTTACATCAATTAGATAAGGGAAGTCAGCAGTGCCAGAACCCCAACCTGGAGCAACATGACCTATATTGCAACCATGATCAGTGCAATGAGTTCCGTCACCATTGATGCCACTACCAAAATTAATTAATTTACAGTTGGTTCTTTTGTTATACGGTTCAGTTTACAAAAAGCGAATGCCGTAGGATAAAAAGAACAAACTTACTATTCTGCGTTTGCCTTGATACCGCTGCCGACAAGGGCAATCTTTTTTGTATCCTTAGCTAAAGGAAGTACGCCATCATTTTTGAGCAAAATAGTAGAGGCAGCACCAATTTTTCTGACAATTTCCCTGTGTTTTGATTGAACGTTATTAAAGACAGCTTGATCACGTTTAAAGGCACTGATAGTAGTTTCTGGGAAGCCCTTGTCTTGACCAACCTTGTACCAAGCAGCGACGATACGAGTAGCCATATCAGTGACACGCTCTTCCTTGACTTCACCGTCATGCACCGCTTTGATTAAATTGGCACCAAAATATGAATCGCCGGATTTGAAGGTAATATCTCCAGGCATTGTCATGTCCAGACCGTTGTTAGCAGCTGGAACAGTAGACATAGTTCCTCCCCAATCAGATTGGACAAAGCCTTTGAAGTTTAGCTCCTTCTTCAACAAGGTGTTCAAGAGATAATCGTTCTCGCAGACGTAAGTACCGTTGGCCTTATTGTAACTACACATGATCGAGCCTACACCAGCTTCTACAGAGCGAGCAAAAGACCATACATAGATTTCGTGTAATGCTCTTTCACCGACGTCAGAAGAAGCGACCTTTCGATTTGAGTTCTTGGTCATTGAGAACATAGTGTTTAGCAGTAGCAACCACACCTTCACTTTGAATACCTTCTACGGTCAAAGCAGAAACAATGCCTTGGAGATAAGGATCCTCACCATGACCCTCCCAACCTCGACCACCTTCAGGAGATCGCATAAAGTTCATACAAGGACCTAAATGAACATGCACACCTTTTTGATAGAATTCTTGACCGATGTATTCGGCACGAGCAAGGATGAGATCTTTATCCCATGAAGCAGCAGCGTTGATACCAGCAACACCTGAAGTAACGTTATCAGCAAAACGCGTACCCAAAGGACCATCTTGCAGACAGAGAGCAGGGAAATCAGGGCTTTCACCTGGGTAAGTATTACCGACACATCGACCTCCCATCCAGCCGACACCAGTAGTAACATTAATTTTTTGATCAAGGGACATTTGGCCGACCAAAGCGTTCGCTTTTTTGTATGCTTCATTCCATGAGGGAACTTTTACTTTGGCTTGCACCATATTAGCTGTGTTAGCAACTAATAGCAGTGACAAAGCAATATTAGATAGAGAAGGAAGTTGCATTCTTGATGAAGCAAAGAGTAAGTCTGAATATTGAATGAACAAAAAAAGAAATGAATATAGTAAAAGAAAATTCGTTGAACCTGCCTTTGCTTTTATATCCCAACTCTATTCTTCCCTTTATGTAGTCGTCTCTTCCCGTATGAAAAGACTTGTAAAAAAAGTAGCATTTTGTCATTTAATGAAAGTTATTTACACAGAACCTTTTATTAAAGAGAAAATACTGTAACTCTGTATTCTCCCTCATGGAAGAAAAAAACCCGAAAAACCGAAGATTCCCGGTCCAAGGATCAATGCAGTTCAACGCGTACAAGCAACTGGAAACGCGAGACAGTTTTTCCCTTAAAGGTTCCCATGGCATTGAAGCTATATGCTGGACATTCTAATAACTCAAATTTCTTTGATGATTTTCCCGGCTCTTACAAGATACACCGTTTCTTTTCCAAAAAAAAGAAGAGTAAATTGATTGAAACGTCAATATTACATACAACCGTTCGCACAATAATTATGGAAGAGGAATCATACTGATTTTCGTTCTCCAAATCAATCACAATATGCCTTTGTCAGGCTTCTGAACTTATCGAATGCTACAAGTAATGTAGTCAAGTGTTTGAAGCAATAGTGTAGAAGTTTGCATAGCTCCAAAAAGCGTTTGAAACCGAAGGCCTTGAATTCAGAACAACAACTCTTAAACAATTTCTTTTTTCCTCATAAAAAGTGAGAAATAGAGTTGGATCGTTCTAAACAGTATGTTTAGTCATTGTGAAAATGAACCCGTTCTCAACGAACATGAAAAACGGCATAGAATCTGTACTCTGTGCTACATTAAACGATGTATATTGTGTCAATTGTGGTAGTAAGATAAACATATAAGCTATTATTCTGTGAGGACCAATGAGTTTGTATGTGTGGATGCATATAACGACAGTTTAAAGATATCATCTCAAAAGGCTCTTGCTTTTTTGTCGTTTATGGTTCAAATAGAGTTGATACATATCGCTGTCTAATAATTGCTAGCAGAACATACATTAGCTTTTTTTTTTTTGCTGAACAATATGTGAATCTTAGCCATGCTTGACATGGTACAATGCAGTCTTTCCTTTCCAATGGCATTGTGTTCCTTCTTCTCGGTTTGATAATCATATTAGTGTGATACACAAGATTCACATCAAATTTCTTCAAATGCAGCAGCACAACAGAAAAAGACTGTAAAAACTGGTAAGTTTATCCATGAAAGGACAACGTTCGGTGTCAAGTGTTCTGAGACGCTTTCAACAACTGCCAGTTTGCTCTTTCATTCCTTCTTTATTCAGATGGACTGCCTCACAAATGTTATATCTCGAACCTTAGCAGTTTCATTTTACCACGAAGATCAGCGTTTATATACACATATGGAATGAACGAAGTCTGCTCGTTGTAAAGTGTTGGTTTTAATGATCCATTCCATTTGATTCCATGTTGGAGAAGAGAATAATTTCGTTACAAAAATCCACGACATAGCCTCAAAATGAATTCCTACACAAAAGACATATGACATGTAGGATCATTGGAGCTGCGTGAACATTCAGGAAGAACGTTGTTCCCAAGGTTAAAACATTACATACTCTGTGTAAACACAACTCTCTATATGAATGTACATTACAAACTTGCTTTTGTATTATTTTACGTCAAGAATAGATTTAACTATAAGGAAAGAAATAAATAATACTGTATATACATAATTAAGGAAATATTTACATATAGCATTTCTCGATAAGAGAAAGCTTGTCTTAAAGATTGATATTTATCAATTGAATTCATTGGTCATTTGCTTTCAAATAAGCTGGTGGAGGCGGTAATAAAGTCACGACTGAATGAGAGTGATTTTCATCCTCCATAATGATGAAGAAGTGATCCTTATATTTATCTTTGATGACCTCTTCCTCCGTTGTTCTGCTGCTATTATCATGGCTGGTACGGCCGGTTATCAACCTCCTGCTTCTCTCCTGCTGAACTTGACTTTCTAAATCTTCCAAGCGGGCTAACCATCGTCGCTGTCTAGAATGTACAACTTTCACACCTATTAGATAAAGGCCTAAGGGTATCCACAACAGCAAGTACAGATTAGGCATCTCGTGCACAATGAAGGACAAGCAGCCAATGAATCCGAAGAGTAAGAGCCAAAAGGTGACTGGAAAGCCCCAGAATTGAAATACTACACAAGCATAAAGAGCATTATTGAGGCTAATGGTATGCCCACTCTCGTCCTCTCTCAATGTAGACGAAAGCATAGCATTTTCATGGTGGCTGCTGCTATGACGATTAAAATATTTATATATCACAATGCCCGGATTCGTCCGATGAAACGCCTCCAATCGGGCCAGTTGTAATGCATCATATTGAGCTTGTTGTTGGTATTTCTCCAACTGGTCGACCCGGCTGTATTCAGGAGGCATCGACAAGTTAGTAGGAACGATATGGACCATTTGCGAATTAAATAGTGCGGTGGTAGATGAGTTGGCTGTCGTGCCGCGAGGCGATGGTTCTTGAATCTGAGGAACAGCAAGTCGTTGGTTTGTGTCATTATCGTTGGTGCTCTCCTGCATTGGATTCGGAAGAGCAGAACGGTTAACTACGGAGCCTGTGATGTTATCGTTCGATGGTTGTGTAGTCACCAACTCTTGCTCATCTTTGACTGCTGTCAAATGTGCCACATCTTGGTTTTCGTCCGAAGAAGTGATAGTTGTAGCAGGAAGAACAGTAGCCACATGATGGTTATGACTCTGCCTATCATGCAATGACGGAGCAAGAGAATGGCTCACGTTGATATTCTCCATTTTGTATTATCAAACTTTATTGTGGCGCTGAATCGTTAATGTTTCGTTTCTAGAGTTACTGTTTCCGTTGTTCGTGTTGTGTCGGAACAGTCGAGTCGGTCGATAACTTTTGCGTGTTCAATAACTATAACTATAGCTGCAATTTTGTAGGATGAATATATGGACAACTAAACTGAGCTTAATAAAAGAAGAATAATATGTTATGTAGACAAAAAGGGACAGAAAAAAGTTTTAAATCTCAATAATTTGAACAATGAGAGACTTCAGCTCATTTAAATGATAATGAAACATTTTTTTTTCTTTATCTTTGACAACAAAGGTTTTTCGACACTGCTAAATTTGTTAATTCACCAATCAAAGTCGAATTGATGAAGAACAGATGGTAATAGAAGTGACCATGGCTACCGAAATATTCCATTGCTCAGGGTTAAACTTTTTGACCGGATCAAAATTTCGATAAACAGCAAGCAGCTCTTCCGCCATGACCTACCATTTGTCGTGCACTTTATATGCTAGCATCATCTTTTTTTGCTCGCTCTTCGTAAAATGGTACTTATACAACGAGATAGGGAATTTAAATACAGTCAAACCTACCATAAAAGTACTTATGCGACTGCCGTGAATTAAAGGCTTCATTTCGCTATTCAAGCTTGCCTGTAGAAAAGGGCGCAGCGATGAAGAAAAGTAATACACTAACTCTTGAGAGACAGGACATGACACGTTCACAAGTGTTCCACGAATGACGAGCAGTAAGGCTTTTCTACGCTAAACGAGCGTAGCCCAAAAATGTATAAGTAAGAATAGACGTCTTTTATCTGATATTATTTTGTTTTGAGTAAGAAATAAGTTTAATTAACAGTAATCGTACATTTCCAATTATTATTAAATGCTGCATTCTAATGGCAGTATAGAAAATATACCATTCACAAAGGACGCGCTTAGATATAAGTAGTAGGAAATTGAAACAAGCGACGATGTGATGGTTCTTCCTCCTATCGCCGCCTAAAGAGAGGCATGTTTTACATTCCTGTGCTGCCGAGAATTATCCGTGTCAGAAGCTTCCATAGCCTTTTCGCTATGGTTTTAGGTGGATTCCTTACCAAGTGAGACATAGTAAAAACCTTTCAAGCTCGATACTAGTTAATGTAGCAGATACTTTTAGTGTAAAGCAGCAATCATCTGTGAGACTTTTTATTTGAAGGAGAATATGGGTATATGATGAGGAAAATACAACAGTAAACATGAATAAAAACAATTATAAAAATAGAAGCAAGATAAATAAGGATATATATAGATAGAGAGGGACAAGGAGGGTTGGTTCAAACAGAAGTAGTCGTAGTGGTGGTGGTTGCTACTGTAGCATCGGATGTGACGGTGGTCGTGATATTCGTGATATTTGATGTGTTGCTGTCTTGGGAGGACGAGGAGGGAGAGGAGGAACCAGTGGTGAAAAGCATAAATAGGTTTTTGCTAAACTCCTTAGAGATTAAATTAGACATGATTTCATCAAGCATGGACGAAATCTTGATGATTTCTGCGTTTCGGGACTGCAAAGTACGTTCAAGTGCTAAAATGGATCTCGTTAAATCTAAGTATGTTTCCATCTGAAAATCTATTTCGTCTAGCCACATTTGCCAAAAGTAATGTTTTGTATCATTCGATAAGGTTGCAAAAATGGATCCTGTAACATCGGCATCCGAGTGCTGTCGTCGGTGGCGTTTTTTGTCGGTAGGGCGCGCATAAGGGTGGTGATAAGGATGAGATACCCTTGGACGTTTATTGTTCTTTACAATGGAAGAAAGTGGGCGGTAAGAGCAATAATCTTGTTCTCGTCCTTCGTCTCCTTCGTTTTCATCTCTACTGATTGTGCATCGACAAACGTGGGTTGTATTGTTCAGAACGGGTATAAGGTAAAAGAATTGGATACGTTGTCGAATAAGGGTGCTCACATCGTTGGCTGACAAAAGATCTGTCTGTAACAATGTTCCGATAAAGCGTATCATGATACGATAATTAAGCCGTATAAATTTGAAATGTTGCTTGATGGCAGTTAGGGCATTTGCATGTGCTGTCCGTGAAGATGAAACCAGCAACAGTTCGCGCTGACAGTGGTTATGGTATCGTTTTGCCATGTTATCAAGATGACGGTTAATATGATTCAATAAGAGCCGATGATGTATTTCAGTAGTAGATTCTGTTTCAAATAGAGCTGTCAACGTTGGATAAAATGTCGTTAAAAAACTGGACAATAAACGGCCCATTCGCGTTGGAAAGAATTCAGTCATCAAGATCCGACGGTTGATCTTATCATTGCTGGCTCTTCGTTGTAGGTCAGTAAAGGGGGAGGAAGAGTGCGCTGGTACAACATCCAACAAAGGATCAAGAAAAACATGATCCAGAAGGATGCCAAGCGTCTTATCCAGGAAAAAATCAAGACAAGGCTCCCAATTATTGAACGGCGTTTTATCATAAATCTCGACAGCGAGTCTATTGGCCACACTCTGGATGATGAAGTAATCCAATTTATTCGTGTTCTTTTTATATCCATGTCGAGTAATGTAGGCAAGAGCAGCATGTACCATATGACTGAATATATTGAGTTCTGGTTTGGATAGATCAATTTGGTATTTGTGCCAAATGATTTGATGAGCTAGAACTCTGCAATATCTCGAACTAGTGCCCAAGTACCATAGATCTGCAAAGCTTAAATAATGCGATGTTTTGACAAAGACTTCTAAAGGTAAATGTAGTAGACGTGAGGGAGAAGTTTGTCTTCGCTGACGTTCTGCCATAGTCAGTGAGAGAAGAGTAAAGGAAATAGATTAACAAAAAAAAAAAGGGAGAAAAGAAGGTTTTGTTTTAAAAAAGAAAAAGCTGCTTTAATGGGTTGCAGGCACCGGGAATAATTCTGTGGGCGTCGTTTTGTCCGTTGTTGTCTTCGTCGATCGCATTCGAGACCCAGGTTTTCGCCGTGTTCTGGGTTCTTTCTTCCAGCCTCCTCTCCTCACTTCTCCTGTTTCTCTTTCAGAGGCGTCTAAAACACCAACAGACGAAACATATCCTGTAAAATCCAGAGGCGAACTATTCCATTTTAGGAAACTAAACCCGGAGGGTCCAGAACAAACAAAAAGAAAAATTAATACCATTTAAATTTGAGATAAATCAAAGTATCCAATTTGATTGGATTGAGGGAAAGAACCTTGTTATGACAGTGGAGATGGGGATATTGAGTAAAAGAGACTCAAAGAACGTATCCTACATGTAACGTGTCCCACTGCAACAAATGAACTGTTCAATTTCGATGTTGCTTTTGTGTTGGTCTCTTCTTGGTTATAAACATCGGCTATGCTATGCTAATTTGTTCGTGAATAAGAGGGCCACAGCGGTCTTTTGCACTTGTTACCTGAATTCCTTCTTTTATTTTATTTTTTGGGTTCTTTTCTAGCAATGGCTCGACTGTAAATAGCGTCTTGCATTCGTGGTTGTTCCTGCAGACAATCAAACGGTCTTTGGGATAATGCAAGTCAAACAGATAGTTTCTCTACCTGATGGCAGGACAAGCTGTAATGGTTTTTTCTAGTGATAATAAGGGCTAGTCAATACTGTTAGTTTTCTTTAGGATGTGGAGAGGTTTTTCTTTCCTTTTCGTTCAGGTCGACTCGTTTAGCTGAAAAATTTTGACACACGCTTTAGTAATAGAACTTAACACTATATTAAGAGTAATTAAAAGTTTATAGAGCGTACTCTACTGTAATACGTTTGTGTATTATCATCATGGACCCAAATGCCCAATACTTTAAATGATGTGTTTTGCTACAAAAAGGAGGTTCAAGTTATATCAAATTATCACTGAATCCCTATGATCATACTGTATATAGTACCAACTTTGAGTAATGACTACAAAAAGCTAACTATGAGTATTAGTCAATTTTGGAGTTTAATAGTTAATGTAAAATGTAGTATGTAAATAATGTAATAGAAGTATTTGGATGTGGAAAAGGGAAGAAGACGCTTACTGGATTATATTAAATGTATTTATATGTATAGAAAAAAAATTACTGATAACGATAAATAGGTATAATGGAAAACAAGGAACAAAAATAGAATATTATATGTGAACGATTTAGCAGCAGCAGAAATCATGACAGGTATAACTTAATATCTATTTGGGCAAGTTTCTTCGGGCTTACCTAAAGAATAGGACGTTTAAGCTTAGAAGAGTAAAGAGAATGTTTACTGCTGACCATCAAGTAAGCTTACCCTGTATTTCATATACATTTTGTTGTGTAAGTGGCGTCTGTGGTGTTTGAGTACTCAAAGCGCTAGACGCTGCATCGATCAACATCATATAAGGATTACTATTCGTCATATTTGCTTCTGCGACATATTGGGTATCTTGCTCCATAACTCCCACCAAAGTGCGTGCCATTTCAAAATCGTAGGAATAAGTGTTTGATAATTTAGATAACTCGATCGACTGTAACACCCCTAATTTACCCACTTCGTAATAATGGTCATCTGTTGTATAGCTCAAGAGCTTTCTATAAACAACATTGGCAAATATGAATCCCACAAGAGGCACATAGCATGCTTTCTGATGCTGGATTATGTGTCTGAAGGTATTGGTCATTTGCGTTGCTGCATTTACGCTGACTTGCAAACTTTTTAAGGATAAGTGCGTAAACGGTACGCGATGCATAGGCACAAAAGGCTGGTACAGAATAATCTGGTTAATATAGAAATGAAGGTTTACCAGTTGGATACAATGCCGTGAAAATGTTTTCATGTCAACATGGTACGTGTCATTTCTTTCGCTATCCTCCTTGGACGAAGCTGACGAAAAGCTGCAGCATGGTGACGGAACATTGAAAGAGCAATAGGAGGGCGAATCAGTATCCAAGAGATTTTCGTACAAACTGCTTGTACTTGGCTTCCATTCTAACGGTAGTTCATTATAGAACTGCTCTAACTTTTGTTGTAAAGCCAGCAACTCTTGCGGCAGGATTGAATCACATTGTCCTTCATGGGTTACCAGTAAAGTTATCGTTTGATCACGTAACAGTTGTAACTGGATTTGATAAACCCAACTATTCCACACATAATATTCTACCCATGCACTTTCAGGGTCGTTAGCATTCGGGCAGGCAACGGCTGAGGGTAATGTTGACATGGGTGGCCGACATTGGCTTATTCCTCTGGAGCCAGCACCATCACCTCCACGCAACGCTTTATACCAAGCATTGCAGTCGTAAAGACACCAAACCAGCATAGATTCATAGCGCGTCAATTTCTTACTCTCCTTATAGAGACCCAGCTCCTGCGCCATATTAAATGCAATCCATTCATAAAAGTAAATCACATTTGTAAAACCGTTTTGATAATTGCAATACGACAACAAAAAGGCTGCTTGGCAGTGATCAAAAGTAGGCTCATCAAAACATTCGGATAGAAGCTCCCTTCCGCGAAGACAGTAGGCTACGGACAGAGCTTTGCCCATATTGTAGTTAGGTGATTCGCTTGTAGGCTTTTTACTCCAGACATGCAGTTGGAATGCGTTTCTGGCTGCCATTGCACAAATAGCATAGACCAATACAGTGGGCGGTCTTTTGGTCGGATCTGGATCCTGATATCGTTTTAAGAAGGTTTCTGTATCAATAATAGGAAGCCGAATCGATGAGCAGCAAGGTGTTCGACAATATAAATCTATTAGATTATCAGTAAGCTCTTGATTGATATCTATTGGATAGTTCTGAGGTATGGTTTGTGAGGAGCAGGCCCACGTATCCCATATGGCAAAACCTGTTGTTGTATGAATTGAACTCGTATCTTCGAACTCTATCAAAGGATCTTTGAGTTCTATCGATAAGTGCTGTTGATTGATATTAGCCGCTAGAGTATTCGGCTTGTTTTGTTGGGATTTATTATCTTTAGGCGTAATAGACATAGTGCGTTTGAACTGTTCTATCAATCGAGACAGATCATTGTAGGTATTGACATTACTTTCCACAGATAATCCCCTCTTGGTTGATGTAATTTTCCAGGCAGTTTGTGGCGTAGGTTTCATCTTTAATGAATTGTTTGCTTTAACGGAAAGGTCTCTCGTTTTTTGAGCAAAGTCCTTCGCGACCCTATCTATAGATTCTTGCCACTGATCCATTATTTTATTCATCGTGGTGAGGACTTGTGAGACGTGATTTGCTTTCGGCTCGGCTTTTTTGTATCCGCATTCAAAATGGTTGGCCGCACAACGACTGCAACGGGGAAGTGTCAAATCGCATTGCTGCAAGTCTTTAAAACACTTTGTGCAGGGATAAACAGAATAGTTGCTTGTAGAAGCAACCTTGCCACGACGTATTATACGCCTTTTAGGCCGCTGCTGTTGCAATTGCTGCTCCCAAATCGAAAGCCCGACATCATCCATAAAGATTGGAATATCGTCAGCGGCATTCATAGGAATAGTATCATTCATACTATAAAGAAGGCCATCGGTGATGTTTTGTTGATTTTGTTGTTGAGGAAACATTTCAGAAGTTCTCAGTTTTTCATTGAATTTCTTGATTCTTTCTCCTAGATTTTCTGTTGCTTTTTGTAACCTTTTCAAAGTTGGTGCTGCTTCGGGATAAACACAATTGATACCTCGTCGTTGACAACGTAGACATGAGGGCTTTGTCCTATCACAGGCATGTCTGTTTCATTGCAATACAATAGTAGTTACAGTGATCGTGAGTGACATTAAGCGAATGGTTGCGATCTTTGAGAATATCATTATTTGTTTCGTTGGTACCTAAAACCTCGGCAGCGGAAGCAGGCAGCGCCTGCAGTAGCTGGTTTTTCGATCGATTCGTATTGATTACCGTTAAGATCAGATGACATGGTTGTATTATGGCTAACTGTAGGCTAAGGGTGACGACAGAAGTCCTCTGTTGTTTTAACTGAACCAAAATTAAAGTAGAAGGGAAAAAAAGTTCGATTACACCAATGTCATTAAAAGGTCTTCGAAGATTCAATTCCAGACATTCCGCTACAAAAGAACATGCTTCATCTACTCAAATAATGACCTTCAAAAGACAGAGTTTCTTCAAAGTATAGCAGATTAGTATGTTCATAACAAAATTAACCAGCATTGCTTTTGAGAGAGTAAAATGTGAGGCTTAAGAGTACTGAGGATTATTTGTTCATTAACGAAATTAAAGTCATGTAGAATCGTACTAGCAATTATTTGTACACGGTATAACACCCAGATACATTTTTCATAACCATCCTCAGTCCCAACTACATGTTTTAACAGCAACCACACGTTCGTGTCACAAAAGGCAGACTATACTATGTATGTTTGATGGGTGTACATGATGGGCCTGTAGCATATTCGTTCATAACAATTTAACTTAAGACTTTCTAAACATTCTTCTGCTTGCCAGCTCTCTGAGAATTGCAAAGATTCAGAATAATCTCGGGCGAAGATAAATTGTATTTCAACTGTTGCATTTACATCGCTTTTTCGTAAAGTTAATTCTGAAAACGACAGCAATGATAACATACTCTCATAATCTATAGGCTGCATGAGAACTTTTAACCGTTTTTAATGACCGCCTGAAGTAATAACTCAGTATCCGTGCAGTACAGCATGATTCTGCTTTTCCCTTTCATAAGAGCTCTCAAAGGAAACTGAATGAGATACGCTTCTTTGCTTTGAATGAGCTCCTTATTTTCAATATTCGCAGTACTTCCAGTTCTCTTGGGCGGGTTGTTTTACTACGCTCACCATCGAACTTACGGCAATCTGGACATCTCTACCTCCTCAGTTGCTTACGATCGATCCCGTTACCACAATCTTCTAGACTGGGATAAATATGCGCTCAATATTGAAGGCGTACCTACACAAATCCACTCTGGAGAATTTCATTATTGGCGAGTGCCTGACAGAGAAAGATGGGAATCTATATTAAAACAGTACCGTTCAGCCGGCTTTAATACGATCAGAATCTACTTTCATTGGGGCTATCACTCTCCTGCTGAAGGTGTCTACAATTTTGAAGGCAACCGAGATATTGAATATCTTCTGAATCTCTGTGAAAAGTTAGGATTATTTGTATTAGCAGCGCCTGGCCCCTATATATGTGCAGAAACCCAAGCAGGTGGATATCCCAGCTGGCTTGTGGCCAAAAGAAATTTGAAAATTCGCCATAATTTTGTTATGTTATGGCGGGTCTATGATCCAGAGTTCGCTAAATACGAAGTTGAGTGGCTCAACCATATTTTGCCCATCATTAAGCGACATCAAATCACGGAAAACGGGGACCTGCAACAATTAGCAGCGAACAATAACAGAAAAGGCTGCGTGTTGGCTTTGCAGATCGATAATGAACTCTTTGAATCCATGGCCAATTTGCTTCCTATCGGCTTACACGATCAAATGAGGATTTTATCAAAGGCGGCGAGGGATATTGGTATTACTGTGCCACTTTTCACCAATGATGGATTTGAGGAACATAGTTGGATCGCTCGACCTGAATTAGACAAGGTTAATAAGAAGAAATTTTGGAGTAAAGATAAATTTGGACTTGATTTATATGGTTTCGATAAATACGTCAGTAAGTGGATAAACAAGGCAGTTGCTTGATAAATGTTCGTATTTCCCTCCAAGTCTGATCATTCAATTGAATTATATAAATCAGTTTTCGCCCCGACTAGTTCTCCTAAATCTTGGTTAATCAATAGTGGTGTGTCCGTTGGCACATGGGATGAATGGAATCCCAAAAATATGGAGAAGTCGATGGATAAACTTGAAAAGACTGTTCGTGGTTTTGGCGGAGGTGCTGCGAAGGTAATGGCTCCGTATGAAAAGTACTTGACATTCTTGGCAGCGATGATTAATTGAAATATACTTGTTCATTGTTACAGTCTCCATTATTTATTCCTGAACTTCAAGGTGGCTGGTTCAACCATTATCAACTACAACATACATACGATCAAATTTATGACTACTACGGCGACGAATATACCAAACTATTACTGGAGACAGCTTTGGCCCAAGGTCTTACAATGACAAGTATTTATATGATTTACGGTGGTACTAATTGGGGGACACTTGGTGATCCGTAAGTAATCGACATAGAAAGCGACCGAATCCTGTTAATCACTATCATCGTATCAAAACTAAACATTTGTAAATATAGTGACGTGTATACTTCTTATGATTATTCAGCATGTATTAGAGAATTTGGCATGCTTTCATATAGAGGAAGAAATATAAGAAAGACAATCCTTTTAACCCGTTCTTTCGATCCCTACTTTACCAAAACGGAACGTGTAGAACATCCAAATGTCAAAACTTCAATTCCACATACTATGAACCTTCAACGTCAGTCAATTGCGGAAGATCAAAACGTCACTTTCACATTCTTCAGGAATTTCGACCGCAAGAAAAGAGATACTTTTAATGTTACCGTTCAGATGGAAGAGGATACCATCACGATGGGATGCTACCTGCCTTATAAGTCCTCTTTCATCGCTATAGGTAATTACACTACTCTGAACAACGTTCACTTGATTATATCAACAATTCCAATTCTGACACGTATGGTGCATAAGGCGACAAATGAAGAAGTATGGATTGTGGAGCCTAATACCATTGGCTCCATGGCTTTCTCAAATAAAGAAGTTAAGCTATCTGGTAACATGCATGTTGACAGCTTGACCACTGATGGACAAGCGATAATTTTGAACTTCAAAACGGATCATGGTTGGACCAAGATCGAAACAGTTGACGGAAGTCTCTTTATCATTGGTCTCAACAAACAGGACGCCAGTACATTATTTGCTGAATTTGAAGAACCTTACTGGAACAATAATGTGAAGAAGTACCCATCCGTTATAGCATGGGGTGCTGACAATTTTTACTACGACAGGGAATTACGAAAGCTGGAAATCAACCATCGTCCTTCTGAAAAAACGGTTCATGTACTGTCTTTAGATGATGTTGATAGAAATAATGCCAGATCCATTAGTTATGATCTCCCATTTATTCGTACTGTCGATTTCGATTCTAAACCAGTGGGACCCATCTCAATTAAATCTACACTTTGGGAACAACGTTCCGTCGACTTCGAGAACCTACCATGGCAAGAGTTGAAGAGTATCAATGGAACCAAGAGTATTACTTTCGATGCAATAGATTACTTATACACCAGTGGACACGTACTATACAGCACCTCTTTTCAAACACCCAATAAGGAACACCCATACGTGTCTCTCTCTTTGAATGCTCGTAACCGCGCTACAGTCATTTTGAACGGACATGTTGTAGGTGGTCATACAACCTATTCTCGGCAATTATTCATGCCGGGGGCTAAAATCGGCCCTGATCCATACTTTTTGGGCTCACATAAGTACAACCTATCACCTTATCTCTTGCGCTCAGGCACTTTGCAAAATAAGCTCGTCGTCCTCGTAGAGAGTTTTGGCTTATGCCGTCAGGCGTTTATCATGAATGATATCCGTAATCCACGCGGAATGATAAGTGCCAAATTGCATGGTCTCATTTCGAACGAGAGCGCGGAATGGAAGATTGCTGGTGTAGACGTTCAAACGCTATCTAACCCCTTTAATAGTGTTGGTTTTCCAGATGAAAATCAAGCTGAAGGATGGCGGAAGTACAGTGATGTCCAGAGAAATGATGCTGGGAATTGGTGCATTCCTATATCTATTTCTGACGGCGTACAATGGTTCCGTTTTACATTTGATAATGCCTATAAAAAGAAATCCTCCGCGTTCAGTATTCCTTTGCGTCTTCATATGGAAGGAGATTGGACGGCTATGGTATATGTCAATGGCATGCTCATTGCTAGATATTACGGTAATGGAGATGGACCTCAACATGATTTTTACTTGCCTGAAGATTTGATTCGCGAGAAAAATAATGAGGTCAAGATTCTGGCTTACACATGGAAAGACACAGAAGGTCAACTCTCTATTGTGGGATGGCCTGTATTACAAGATAGTGGTAATTTGATAACGCATGTAACTGACGAAAGACCGGACGAGTATATGGTCTATAAGGAGCGAATTAATTTGTAAAAGTAAAATAGTAAACTGAAGTTCTTTTTTCCTTTAAGCTTGTAATAAACACAATCTCCCATAGAATGGGAGCTTCGAGCTATTGCTGATTACGCTAAAAAGGACCCAAAGTAGAATCTGAAAGCAAAGAGCCCACTTGAACATCTTTGAAATGCTCTGTTGAGTATAACGAATGTAATGGGGAATAAAATTGATTATGCTATTTATTCGGTAAAATGTTGAAATAAATTATTACAAGATAAATGTGATTGTTAAATACAAGCAATTATAGTAGATGAAAGGGAGATGTGAATGATTATGGTTATTAAAAACCGGTAAGAGCAGCCACTAGGGCAGGTACACCAATACCAAAGACATTAACCCAGTTGCGACCAGCGCCACTGACTTCAGCAGAGGATTCTGTTGGTTTGATACCTAAAGCGGAATTGATTGCATTAGCAGCTTCATTTGTAGCTTTAGAAGCAGCTGAAGCTACAGCAGAAGTAGCCTTATTACCAGAAGATGCAGCATGGGAAGGAATAGCACCAACAGCAGAAGTAGCATGACCAACAGCAGAGGTCGCAGCGTTTACAGCATTAGAGGCAGCAGCAGTAGCCATTGATACAACATTAGGTTGAGCAGCACGCTTAATTACAGGAACAAATAACTTCCTATTACCGTTTTTGTCACCTTGGCCATCCACTTCGTCGTTCTTTTTGTCACCGTTTTCATCGTCATCGTCATCATCGTAATCATCGTAATCATTGTCATCATCGTAATCATCATCATCGTTATCATTGTCTTCATCATCGTCACTATTTTGTTCTTCGTCATTATAATCTTCATCATCGTCGTCGTCATCATCATCTCCATCACTGTGGTCTTCTTCATCTTGGCTATCGTCATCTTCGTCTTCATTACCTTCATTATTCTGCTCTTTATCCTCTTCATCATTCTTATCGTCATCGTCCCTCGGGTCGTCGTTATTACTTTCGTTTTCTTTCTCGGCTGTTGTTGTTTCAATAGCGTTCGTTGCTTTTTCAGAAGTGACAGAATGTTCAGGCTTAGAAGACTTAGTGGCTTTGGCAACGCTGGCGCTTGAAGTTACAGTATGAGTTGCTTCTTCCAGAGAAGCGGTCGGATCATTATTTTTAAGGGTACCATATTTAACGAAGGGGTCATAAGTAGAGGTCTCAGACTTAGCAGATGAGGTCTCACTGGCAGGTACTTTAGCTGTCGTAGAAACTTCTTCAGTGGTAGAAGAATGGGTTTCTACAGGACTTTTGACCGAAGAGGAAGAGGTAGTAGTAGACGACATGTCAGTAGGCGAAGAGATTGTAGAAAAGGAAGAGCTGGTTTCTAATGGGCTTTCAATAGCAGAAGCTGATTTCGTGGTATCAACAATGGAGGAGATAATCGAGGCACTTTGAGTACTGCTTTCGGTTGCCATAGAGGCAGCGTTAGATGTAATAGTAGAGGAAGCGACAGCAGCGGTTTCAGTGGCAGAAGAAGCACCTCCAGCAGCAGATGTAGCGTTCTTACCATTGTCACCTTCGATTATCAAATTACCAATGTAAGCCATTTGCTTGAGGTCATTACCTATAGCAAGAGAATAGTCGTTGCCTGCAGTAACATTTTCAGGAACTTTAACTTGAGTACTACCAGGAGCGGTTTGAACTTCAGTAGCTAAAGCTTGAACCAAGGTGAGAGCGGCAGGATTGCCCCTCATCAGATTGACCATGACCTTATCAATGTTCTTTTGGACATCCTTCCAAGTGATAGTTTCGGTGTTACCAATTTTCCAGATAGTTTGTTGTAAAGGCTGTATAATAACAAGAGGACTAGTGGTATTTTCGGCGTTGGAGGTAGTGTTGACAGACGAAACGGTATTGAGCGAGGTTGCAGCAGTGGGAGACACATTGGTTGCGTTTTGCTCAATTGCGGAAACTAGAGTAGCAGCAGTAACGAGGATGGTCAAAAATGATGCTTTCATCTTGAATTCAGATTTCGCTCAGAAGTGAGAAAAGTGACAGAACAGAAGATTAAGCTGTTGTTGAGCTGTCGATCTTCATATTTATACAATCTCTTTTCTACATATAAAAATAATCTGGTTTTACTTATCTGTATATATTGCTGAATATATAATAGGTTATTTTTAATTTAATTTCAATCATGCCAAGGTTATTTTTTCTTCTGTTAACGTTTCATCAAGATTCAATCTTACCACTGTCGAGATTTTACGACGTAAAACCTTGCAACTTCTGAAAATAGTTACCATAAACCTGTACCTTATCTTTTCAAATTGTGTGCAAATCATTCTATGTTGTTACTTAACTAATTTTCAAGGTTGTTGGTATTTGATCTACTAAAAATTAAATTTTGTTAAATTTGTTTTTGAAAGTCCTTCCGAAATGATCGTCGCTGCTTTTCTCGGGTTTTCAGTTTTTTTTGTACGAAAAACCAAATGTTGGCGGTAAAAGTTTCCCTTACATGTCTTTCAGAGATAAAACCCAGATGTAAATTAAAAAAAAGTAATGAGAAAGGTATAGAACAATATATTATATTTTAATTGATCTAATAGCCTTTCTATAAAGAATTAGGGTATTGATTGCTTTTATTCCTACCCTTGCTCAGATAACTGCAAATAACAACGCATTCTGAAGAAAAGCCGATCTCATACCATTACTTCTAATATAACACACGTGCTCAATATTCAGACAGTTCGGTGACGCGCATCTACATGTTCTTCCAGATCACTGGCTGAGCAATACCTTTTTCGAATTCGAATGTCACTTCTATAAATATCTTGGTGGATGGGAAGCGTTAAATTGGACAGGACTCGTAAAGGAAAGAATACTTAATATCTCTTGCTAGGACAAATAAACTAGACCTAAACATGTTAACAAAAGGCTTGACAAAATATTGTCCAACTCAAATGTTTACAACAATAACAAAGTGGATCAAACAATTTTAAAATTGCTATTAAACGGTAAATTATGCTCAAGCTGCTGAGCTTGAAGAAACGTGCTTTCGCGTCAAGTGTAGAATATTTTGTCAGTCTAACCATAATTAATATTCTTAACAATGGCTTGCTGTACGTGGCTTTTCTTATATCAAAGCATGTTAAGAATGTTTATGATTCGGTTGTCCTTCGAAAAATATGAGTGCCCATACTACTTAAAGATGAAACAAACCAAGAATATTTGCGGAGATACAGGCTACACGAAAAACTTTTCCTGTGAATTCTACTAACTATAACGGTAACTGAAAATGAACAAACAATACTGTTTTACGCGTTTAACAAAGCATTTTTTTTAGCCTGCTCTTTTCGATTGTATTGAATCAATCTTTTTGTCTGATGAAATCAATGCATGTACGCTCCGCTTAACGTGTCGTCTTCATTGCTATTCAAAATGTAGGCTTAGAAATGCATGCAAAATTGTGTAAATTTGTAAGAAGTTTATCATACTTTGACCGCTGCCCTTGACGAAATCTAGATTTAACTATACAGATCTCAAATTTAAGGTTTCATGCAGGAACTAAACTTACAGTTAGAAAGTCAGACAAACAGAACAGCTTTCAAGTTGTGGTGGTATTGTTTCTGAACCTTATGCGAGGACTTGAAACCATATATCTTATTTTCAATGAGAATAGTGTTAGAATGCTATTACCTTTTCCAAACACAAATAAAGAATTATACTACATATAGTGAAACTGTTCAATTATGATGAATGCTCTTCTCATAGCACATGGATGAAATGGTCATGCTTACTTATATGCGTTGGATCATGTAAAAGAACGTATGTAACTCTTTAGTTGTTCGCAAATTGCACAGCGCAAAATATTATCATTTGCTGTTAAGTTCGGTCTTTCTGTCTGTTAAGGAAAAAAAGACAATTTGTTTTGACAAAGGAAGTTTTGGTTCTTCAAGCAAGCATAAATGCCCCCAAATGCCAATGAGTCCAGGGCTTTCTATCTCTTTTCTAACATCTAAAGCAAATTTGAATGCCTCATGATGAAGCGAAACCCCACTAAAAAGATAGGCACATTTCGCTATTATAGTTTCACGTACAAAAGCTTGTATACGTTTGCTTTATTTTAAACTTATCATTTCGAAGGCTGTACGGCTTAATCCTGAGAGTTCCACTATTCGGAAAGGAATTGACAGCTTGTTCCCCTGATTCTGTTTTCATGTTTTTTTTTTTTTTTGTTTTTGAACCGAAAAAAACGCCCAAGATCGTACGACGTAAACGTAAACTACATCAATTGCTTTCCGTAGGAAAAAGCCGCTCTTACGAAAAACGACGATAATTTGCATAGATTTTAATTAAACCTTTGCAGACTCTTTTAATAAAAGGTTGAAGGAGGGATGGATCATCGAACAAAAAGTGATCACATTAAGAGAGGACTTCGATGTCGACTTATTCAACGAGGTTAAGTAAGATTCGCTCCATTATGATTTGAAGTTGCCTTCTCAATCAGTTATTTATGTGCTACTACTTTGCAATTGGTTAGGTTACTCTTTTTCGAAATCTACTCCTTTGTTCAGCACGCTGTATATAAATACAACAAGACTTCTCATTTACTTCTTCGTTCTCTCCTCTTCCTTGGAATAATTGTTTTTATTCATTGACTTATTTAGCCTGTACAAATAGCAAAATGATTGTTTCCTTATACTCTTGCCACCGTTTATACTCTAACTCGAGTGTACAAACTACAACTACAACTACAACAACAACAATACATAACAACGACATAAAACCATTAGATCTGTCGCACGGGCAGTGGTAAGAGAAGAAGCCCCACAAGGGTTTATTGCTAGTTTGATAATCTACCTTATTTACAGATTTATTCAAATAGTACTTGGTGCGGGAAATATGGCCATCAACGTAAGAGGTGCCCTTACCTTCGATAGAACGCAAATCCACTTTTTGTGGTTTTTTTAAATACAACGCCATCGGTTTTAATCAGTGTAAAAGTTATAAAAGTAAATAGCGGTTTATATGTACTTTGTCCTGAAGCATCAACCTCATTGCATGTGCATTTTTCCTCTATTCTATATCCCTCAATCTTACATCTTTAATAAAACAGCATACAAGCCATAAACGAGCATTAAAAAACCAGTCTTCTTTTAACACAAAACCACCAAACTGTTAGCAGGGACAATTAGAAAACTGAAATTGTACAGTGGGTCAGTCTAAATTGAGCAGGAAATGCTCAAGCTTATTTACTTCGATATTACATAAAAAAATAATTTATTTACAGGGCTGACGATAGCTCGTTCATTATCAAATGGGTATTTTGTTAATATTCGTAACGGCAATTCTTTGCAATTTTACCACACATACAAAAAATCCGCCCTTACTAACTTATTTTGATTTGCGCTCAATGCCTCTGCGCATTTCCTTCTTTTGCTTATGACTGAGAGATTTCAGGTTGAGCATCCATTCAGGCACGTCACATCCTGATTCTTTCATTACGTTAACGACACTTTTCAAATAAGGTAAGTCGTCTTGCGTGTAGTAAGTAATGGCTTCACCTTGACGACCTGCACGACCGGTACGACCAATTCGATGGATATAACTTGCCACTGTTTGTGGAAAATCATAGTTAACAACGAGGTTGACACCTTTGAAATCTAAACCACGTGCCATTAAATCAGTGGCGATTAACACCCATATTTTGCCTTGGCGGAAAGAGTTAACAATATTATCACGCTGTGATTTGGTTCTATCAGAATGGATGACTTCAACATTGATACCATCAAAAACTAATTCATGGAAAAGTTCTTTTGCACGGTCGACTGACTGTACAAAAATCAAGACTGGTGGTTTGATGCCATTTTGAATGAGTTGCCTTAAAGCAAGTGTTTTTCCAGCTTCTGTTCCTGTGAATAAAAGCTGCTGTTTAATGGTTTCGGTTGCAGCATTCCTAATGGATGCGTAGTTTCAGTTAGAGACCTAGACACACAAAATCCCTACTTGAAGCTACTTACTTGGCACCAATCACTATACGTATAGGATTATTCATAACAGAATTTGCGAGACTTTCGACATGAGAGGAGAACGTGGCACTAAAGAAAGACTTTTGTAATTTTCCAGATGAACAAGCAGCAAAAATTTCGTCGGTCTGTTCCAAAAATCCTTGATCTAACAATTTATCTGCTTCATCAAGAACCATGTGTCTAACATTGACTAAATCTACTTCTTTCTCTTTGATTGCATAAACCAACCTTAATGGGGTGGTGATCAGAATATCTGAGCAAGAGTTTAGAGAGATATTTTATAAATGCGTTAAAATGTCTACTGGTCTACACGAAAAATAAACCTTCTCACTTACCAAATTTTTGTTTCGATTCTGAATTTTGTGCTTTATCTGCAGAGGTGGCTTTAGTTAGAACATTGATTCGAAGCTTTGTTCCTTCGCTCAGATGTTTGGCTTCACGGGCAATTTGCTGAACTAATTCTCGAGTAGGCGCAATGATCAAAGCACGGTAACTTATTTTCTTTTCTGGCTTCTTCAAATCTTGCAAAATTGGTAACAAGAATGCCAATGTTTTACCTGAACCCGTGGGGGCACAGGACATAAGATCGCGTCCTTTAAGGATAATGGGAATTGATTGCATTTGTACTGGTGTAGGTGTATTATATTTGATTGTCATTAGGTTTTTATATAGCGTAGGATTCAAATTGTAGGCTGGCGAGGCTAAGTCTTCGAAGCTCTTGAAAGGATTGGGTACGTCAGTGCCATATACTTTTATTCTATGTTGCTTTCTGAAATCTTTGGCTTCTTTAACATTATCAAAGACTGTATTGGACCTCTTGGCTGTTCAATAAATAGGAACGTTCTTAGCAACGCAGGTTTCATGTCCACACATCAGATTCCTTAGGTTTACCTTCTTTCAATTTTTTATCAAACTCATCATTATCTATCTTTGCTTTTTTGCTACTCTTATTTTCCGTCTGTTCAACAACTGTATGCGTTGTGCTGAAAAAGTCAATCTCATTTAACAACTGGTTACGAACAGTGGGATCGATTGCTGCAGCATTTCTTTTCTTTGTCTCTGTCTGAATAGCTTCTTTTTCTCCTTCAAAGAGAGTAACATCACTGGCAAAACGTTTTTTGTTAAAGCGGGCACCGCTTCCTAACAAATGAAAGAGATCCATAACAGTAACAACAGTGGCTATAGAAAGGAAAGTAATACAAATTGGCGCTTAATGCATCCAACCTGAATTGAAACAAGCCACCTGAGGTCAAAAAGTCAAGTCACATATGGAAGAATAAAAGTCAGACAAATTTGAACAAAATACGTACAGAGAAGCTTACGAAAGTAAATGAATGCCTAGCATAACTTTGTCGTCTAGATTGAAAAAGTCGAAACTGAATTTTGAACAACAGTAAAGTGCTTTGCATCATTTAGCATATGATTTGATCATCCATTTTTATTGAGAGGACTATTTTTGAAGGTCACGCCGTGGAACAGCATACAAGCCGAAAGCCTCAGTAAGTATTCTATTCATCTACGCACCTTAGGGAAGGGGTCAATTTGTGACCGAAAACCTGGAAATTGTGTATTGCATGCCCCGTTCATATATTAAAATTTAAGGACAATGATAAATATCTGCAAGGTTTTTTTAAGGTTTCGTAAGGATCCACAACATTAAATTTTTCTACGGATTATATCTCGTCTGTTTTGTTTCACTTTTTCTTTGATCGAATGAGCCTAATGGTTATTGTATTATGCAGCAACACCAGAAAATCGAAAAATAGTTTCGAAAAAGCTGAGCCATAACTTGCAAAAAGAAAAAAAAATATAACAATAGTTATTGTATGTCATCCATTATCTGAGTTTCTGATACATCAGCCTGACGTTGAATAATGGCTCAAATATACTTCGCCTTATAACCCAACATGTTAACATAATCGCAATTTTTTGAGTAAAACCTCAGCATAATTCAAAGGTAATTTTACAGAACCACACTCTCCAAATCCGTTTTTGGACACCTGCTGTTACTCAAAAAATAAAAAAACATACTGATTAAAAATGGAGCTGAGTCTTTTCTTGTATTCTCTCTTTCTTTTCACATCTTATCATTTCTTCTGAATAAAAGCCGCTTGAATAATAAAAAAGGAAAGAGACTCGTTGATGCATATTAATAAGAGTTTCCATCAGCACTGATAAAATATGCGCAAAAGTTTATTACCAAAATCATGGCAAAATTGGAATAATGTCAATGATGATGCAGATAATCGATCGCTGAAGAGAGATGGAATCTATCAAGAAATTACGAGACGCCGTTCGTCGTATAGGAGTGGTACTTCAACAGCACCGTCCACGAATAGTGGGCCTCCACTGCGACGTACAGAAACAACTGTCAAACTAAGAAAAGTTGCTGTTGGCGGACGTAGAGTCTTTGTCAATTTACCATTACCAAAATACGAATTAAATAAGAAAGACCTGCCAAAACAAACTTATGCATCGAATAGAATCAGAACATCGAAATATACAGTCATTACTTTTGTACCAAAGAATTTATTTGAACAATTTAGACGACCTGCCAACTTGTATTTTTTAATCATGGCCATTATTTCAATGTTGCCCCAGTTTAACGTCGGTTCACCTGCATTGGCATTATTACCTATTTGCTGTGTTGTCGTTATCACAGCAATTAAAGATGCAATCGAAGATCTTCAAAGACACAAAGTGGATGAGCAATATAATCAGAATGTCACTCATACTTTGAAGGGCTATCGAAACACTAATTACCCTGGATCATCACAACAGACAAATTGCTTGCCTTGGTTCAGTAAGAAGGAGCCAGTTCCACCTCCTGCCACCATCAATGCAAATAGCAAAGCAGATGTATTCCAGAAATCGTTATCGAAAGATGTTCGAGTGGGTGATTTTATCTTGCTGAGAAATGGTGATAGTCTGCCTGCTGATGCAATTATTCTATCAACATCGGATAAAGACGGCATTTGTTTTGTTGAAACCAAAGATCTTGATGGCGAAACGAACTTAAAGCCTCGTAAAAGTATGGAAGAATACAAGCATGTTCAATCTGGTGCCGATTGTTTGAATGATTGTCACTTTTACGTGGAAGCAGGTCCTCCGTCTGCTGATCTATATAACTTTGAGGGAACACTTGTGACTCTGGAACAGAGCGAAGGAAGCGATAAATGGAATACCAAAAATAAGTCGCCTGTGTCTATAGATAATATGTTACTGCGTGGACATGTTATCAGAAACACGAAATGGATCATTGCTGTTGTGTTATTTACGGGCACAGACACCAAAATCATGCTTAACTCTGGCGAAACTCCCAGTAAAAGAAGTACAGTGGATATTCAAATGAATACTCAGGTAAACGATCTTATAGTAGGATTTACGCTGTCATCTACGTGATGAAGTCTTACATAACTGTTAATATTTATAGATCTTTATTGCTTTTATTATTCTGTTTATATTGTGTCTCGTTTGTGCTATTATGTGCGGCGTAATGAGAGCACGGTTTATGTCACGGCCAGCTACGTCCATATTCAACCCACAAACAGGTTCTCCTGGTTACGTGGGCTTCATGAACTTTTGGTCCAGCTTGATTATTTTTCAAAATATCATTCCTATTTCTCTTTATGTCTCTATTGAATTCGTGAAAACTTTTCAGGTAAAAATAAAAACAAACCTGTCCACTAATCTTTCACTGATTAACATGCACTCCTCTCTTATACAATATCTTAGGCTTTCTTCATTTGGAACGATATAGATATGTGGGATAAGGATTCCAAAAAGACCTGTGTACCGAAAACGGTAATGTTTTCAACTGAGGTCAGCACATGGTAGTAATATACACTCATCGTTTGATCTACCTTCATTTATAGTGGACATTATCCGATGACCTTGGACAGGTAGAATACATTTTCTCTGATAAGACAGGCACATTGACGAGAAATGTAATGGAATTCCGAGAATGCACCATTGGTGGCAAAAGATATGGGGATAATGGCTTTTCTCCTGAATCAGAAGGCGCGCGTGGTGCACGTCTTAGAAAAGAAAAAGAGGAAGCAAAGCAAAACCAGAATACGTCCGATGAAGAAAATCAAACACCCAGCACAGTTCCAACTGATCCCCATGATACACCATTGCTGAATATAGATGAAGATCCACTGTCTAGTAACGACGAAAAGCAGGCAGATGAGAAAAATAAGCAAAGACGAAATGAAATTATGGACGATTATGAGGACACTGTCAAAAAACTTTTCCATCCAAAATACTCCTCAATGGATCCTGATCGACTTTCCTTCGCGGATCCTCAGTTGTTTAAAGATATAAAATCAGCAGATATTAATACCAACGTTTCAGACAAGCAGTCTGAAACGATCAAAGAATTCTTCATGCTATTGTCATTGTGTCATTCTGTTGTTATTGAAAGAATTGGCGAGGATGGTAAAGTCATCGAAGAAGAAGAAGAAGATGATGACAAAGACGCTGGTGAAGGAGGGGACCAGCCAAAGATCGATGATGATGATGATGATGCAGTTGAGGACATACGCGCGCCTACTGCTGGTAATACTATCAAAAGCGGTTTGAAGAGCACGTTTAATGCTTCTTCTGCTAGCATAAACAAAAGCTTCGCTAAAGTCCGTGATGGTAGCAATAAGTTACTTCAAGTGCCTGGTTTCAATTCTTTGAAGAAAAATAGTAATAATACTAATGATACTGCCGGTAATAGCAACAAAAAAAACGAGCTACACCGTACTAAAACACGTGGAAGTGAATTTTCAGCAATCACTGACGAAGGAGATAACTCTAACAAATTTGACAAAACTGTACAAGAAATGATCAGATATAAAGCCGAATCACCAGATGAAGCAGCACTTGTAGCTGCTGCGAAGGATGCAGGATTTACCTTTATCAAAAAGAAAGGAAAAACGTTGACCGTCGATATTTTAGGCAAGGAATATGAGTTTGAGTTATTGGAAATGTTAGAGTTCAATTCAGATAGGAAGCGTATGAGTGTCATTTTACGCAGACCTGCTCCTTGGAACGATATAATTTTATACTGCAAAGGTGCCGATAACGTGATTGCTGAACGTCTCGATAAACAGCAAGAAGGCAATATATACGATGAAACCATGGAACATGTTAACACATTTTCAGAGAATGGTTTACGTACCTTGCTTCTAGCTTATCGGGTGCTTAACGAGGATGAATTCGAAAAATGGCAGGACGAAATGAATGAAGCTAGTACTTCGTCAGAAAACAGAGCAGAAAACGTAGCAGAAGTTCAAGAGCATATTGAAAAGGATCTTAAATTGATTGGTGCCACAGCTATTGAAGACAAGTTGCAAGAAGGTGTGCCTCAATGCATTGAAGGTCTGCGTAATGCTGGTATCAAGATTTGGGTGCTGACTGGTGATAAGCTTGAAACAGCTATTAATATCGGCTATGCCAGTAATTTATTGGACGCTGAAATGAAACTAAGGGTTGTTCGTGGTAGCGATAATGCAGACAAAGTGTTCCAGAGCCTTGTTGATACACTTGACGGTATGCTAAAATATGAGGAACGACAACAAGAAGGCGATGAAGACGCACCTCCTAGAGAAAATGCATTGGTTATTGAAGGCTCCGCTCTTACTCATATCTTTGAATCATCCGAACCCAAAGAAAAGTTGATTGAGATTGCAACTCGTTGTAAAAGCGTTGTTTGCTGTCGTGTTAGTCCTCTTCAAAAAGCATTCGTGGTTGAGCTTGTTCGTAAATACCATAAAGTTGTTACCCTCGCTGTAGGCGATGGTGCTAACGATGTCAGTATGATTCAAGTCGCAAACGTTGGTGTTGGTATTGCAGGTCAAGAAGGTGTCCAGGCTTCTATGGCTGCCGATTACGCTATTTCACAATTCCGTTTCTTACACAAGTTGCTACTGGTTCAAGGTCACTGGAGTTATCATCGTGTTTCTGAAATGATTCTCAACTTTTTCTACAAAAATATCTTCTGGGTTTTCCCCTCATTATGGTATCAGATTTACAGTGCATGGTCTGGTAACCTTTTCTATGACTATTCCTTCATTCAGTTGTACAATATTATTTTCACAGTGGCCCCGGCGGTCATCATCGGTAAGACAGTACTTAATTCTTCTTGTGTATTTGATTAACATCTTAGGTTCTAACACAATACTTTGTCATAAATAGGCTGTACTGATCAGGATCTCATCGCCCCCTATTTAAAACACTTGCCGGCTATTTATACCATTCGCGGAAAGTTATATACCAAGTTTAGATTCTGGCTCTACTTCTTCGATGGTGTTTGGCAGTCAGTTGTAGTCTTCTTTGCTTTTTACTTCACTTGGATTGGAGCAGATCCTAATTCTAATGGTCACTCAGAATCTATGCTTCAGCTCTCCACATCAGTCGCTGTTACTAATATCACCCTGGCCAACTTGATGCCTGGTTTTAACACCTACTATTGGACTTGGTGGCAATTTACATTTATTGGTATTGAAATTCTACTTGTCTACCTCTGGGTGGTTATTTATGGCGCGTTTACTACGGCAGAAATTTATGGCATGGCCACGATGGTGTTTGGGCAAGGGTATTTTTGGTTAACTTATGCATTGGCAATCGTTGTTGCCTTGCTTCCACGCTATATCGTAACATTCATTTACCAGTGGTGGTTTCCGAATGTTGTTGCGAAAGGTCGGCATTTGGCTCTGTTCGAAAAGCGAGTTCGTAAACAACGAGCAAAGCAGCAGCAAAAATCGGGTCCGAATCCATAATTTAATCATCCAGCCCTTTCATGTTTCTATAGGCAGGCCTGTTTTTATTTTTATGCTTTACAAAATATTTTTACCTCCTACTACTATATACTGTTATCATCGCTGTAATCTAGTCATAATATTTAATCCACCTATAGATCGCTTTAATGTATAATAAACCACTATTTATTTTGCACATCAAATAATCAAGGCCCTGTTGTCGACTCAGCACGGCTGATGTACGTTATATACCAAAAGGAAGAGTTTCATCACGAAGGCCTGCTAAAATATTGTCAAGCGTCATTTGTGCCATATTCTCCCTCGTTTCTAAAGTTGCACTACCGACATGAGGCAGTATCAAACAGTTAGGGAAAGTATATAACTTATGACTTGCTGGCAATGGCTCAGGCGTTGTTACATCTAACCCAACTGCGCCAATTAGATTTTCTTCAAGGGCACGAACTGTTTGAGAAACTTTACATAAGTCTAGGCTATTATAACAGTTACTAGTATTATCAACCACCTTACCAAGATCATCCTGCTGTACGATACCACCACGGGCAGAGTTAACAAAAATCTATAAATTCCATTCGTATAAGCAGCTTGCTCACACATCGTTTTGACGATGTTCAATTATACATACTGCTGTCTTCTTCATTTTTTTAAATGCTTCATAATTGAACAAATCCCTCGTTTCATCTGTTAAAGCACAGCATACAGCAATAATATCTGATTCAGTTAGCAAGGATTCAAACGGCACGTATTCCGCATTCAAATTTTTCTCAGCGGTTGCCTTTCTACTTCTTCCACTATACACAATATGCGATACACCAAACGCCTTCATACGGTGGGCAACAGCTTCGCCGATTCGGCCCATGCCCACAATACCTAGCGTTTTGTTCGTGATTTGTGACCCACATAACCAAGTTGGGCCCCATGTAGTCCACTTCAAAAGTTGAAGAAACATAACATTTAGTTGCTTATTAAAAAGGCGTCTTTGCCCATAAATTTTCTTCACACTTACCGAACCCTCTTCAGCTGCACGGATACCCTCCTTGATCCTACGCGAAGCTCCCAAAGTTAGTAAAACTGTCAAGTCAGCAGTTGCGTCGGTCAAAACTCCAGGAGTATAGCCTATTTTTATATTTCGTGCTTTCACCGCCTTCACATCGATATGGTCATACCCAACACTCATAGTGGCTACTACTTTTAGCTGCGGACCTTTTAAGTTGTATAAATACCAACATCACAGATGCTAATTGCTTATCGGTAACAAACCTGCAGCTTCTAATAATTCCTCGTCAATTCTCTCAGTGAATAAACAATATATTGCATCGACACCTTCAATACAAGTGTTAACATACATTTCATGCCCTTTGAGTTAGACTGTTAAGGTACCTTTCACTTTCTCAAGTAAGACATTTCGAGGAATGGCACAATCTTCTTGCCATTGGTACATTTCAAAACCTTGCTGCAAAAGCTTCGCTTGTGTTTGAGGAGGCAGAATACGTGAAACCAAAACTTTGGGTGCCATTTGCTCAACTGAAAAATTAAAAGATAAGAAACGCAAAGGAATACATCCCACTTTTTGTTCAAAGCGTGTATTATAAGTCTTATTCAACAACTGCCGTATTTAGATTGGTCAAAGAACCTTGCAGTGTGTTTAATAATTCTAATCGTCATTCTAGTGTAACCACTCTTAAATGCGAATGGTGAATTGTACTTGCGAAACTGTATGTTAGTTTATACCAAAGCTGCTAGAGTGTTATAAGTTGAAACACATTTGGACCGTAGACAAATTAAGCACTATGATGCAAGCATCTTCTGCATCAAACTTGCAAAGTTTTGTCCCATTGTTACCTACTTAGTGCCTATATTGCTCAGCGCGATATGGCTCGTATTATACAAAAACAAATCAACGAAATGCCATTTATATTTCACAGACAGGATAAATCAAACGTTCATGCTGTCCTTCTTATTATATAAATCTATAATTATATATTGACAAGTCAATATCAGACCTATGTAAAAGCATTAGAAGGAGTATCAGTTACTAATTCTGAGCTTGAAGGTACGATTGTGCTGTTCAATTATTTTTTTGTTTCAGCAATGACAACAACAGCAATGATTAATGCAGGTTCATGAGAAGCATTTCTATTCGCTGTTGAAAGTTGTGGCGTTTGAATTGAGAAAAAGATTTTTTTGCCAGTATAAAAGCAAAAGTGAGCCTGGCAAGGCTATGGAACCTCCTCCCTTTTCCACCTGGACTATTTGGCCTTCAACCATACTTATTTCTGCACCTTAACTTCTGCCAGAATCTCACGATAGCCGTCCGCTTGAAAAGTTACTATTATTAAAATGTCTAAAGTTCCTGCTGGTAATTAGATTTGAGTTTCGACAGCAATATTTTTAGATCAAAGTTCTTAGGAAGTATTTCTTTTTGCCATTAGTTTTGAATCCTACCGATGAAGACATCCAAATGATGTTGGCTGCTCAATGCCACATTGGTACTAAGAATGCCAACATTCGTATGGCTCCTTACGTCTTTAAGCGTCGTGCTGATGGTGAGTTCTATAATTTTGACGATTACATTAGAGCTGCTTTTCCAGTTTGCGATCAACAAACTCATCATTTGTATTTTGTTATAGGTATTAACTTGATCAACCTTGGTAAGACCTGGGAAAAGATCATTTTGGCTGCTCGTGTTATCGCTGCCATTGAAAACCCTCAAGACATTGTTGTTGTCTCTGCTCGTCCCTACGGTCACCGTGCTGCTTTGAAGTTTGCCAAGTACATTGGTGCTGAAGCTATTGTTGGTCGCTTCACTCCTGGTACCTTCACCAATTATATCACCCGTTCTTTCCGTGAACCTCGCTTGATTATCTGTACTGATCCTCGTTCTGATTTCCAAGCTATCCTTGAAGCTTCTTATGTCAACATTCCCGTCATCTCCTTTGCTGATACTGATGCTGTACTTAAGTTTGTTGACGTTGCTATCCCCACCAACAACAAGGGTAAGCATGCTATCGGTTTGGTTTACTGGCTTTTGGCCCGTGCTGTCCTTCGCCTTCGTGGTACTTTGGACTACAATACTCCTTGGGATGTCATGGTCGATATGTTCTTCTATCGTGATCCCGAAGAAGTTGAAAAGGATGCCGAAGCTGGTGCCGTTGAAGAAGGTAACCGTGAATGGGGTACCGGTGCTGAAGAGAATGACTGGACTATTGAAGGTGCTGCCTCTGAAGGCCCCGCTGCCTTTGCCGCTAGTGCTGGTGACTGGTCTGCTCAAGCTGAAACTGGTGCTTCTGACTGGGCTGAAGACGTTGCTGCTCCTGCCGAAACCTCCGGTTGGGACTAATTAGTTTAGTAGCCATTTCGTATCATCAAATTCATTGAAATTTGATCTCTTTTCAATAAAAAACTTATGATAGCTGCACTGTTACTCATAATGACAGTTGTTTACTTTGCTTTGTAATTATCATTCAAAGAGTGCTGGGGAAGAATTCGGGCCCATAAAAAGCTTCAGAGGACAGAAAACTGATCGGTGGTTTACATAACTCTTTTTCATTAAAATGGCAGAAGAACCCGCAAGGAAGAAAAGTAAAAAGACAAAGGACGCTACACCTTTTGAAATTCCACCGGTCCCAACAAGACCACAACAATGTAAGTATTCTTGGAAAGCAAATCAATGGCACGAAATGCTGATCTATTTGCATTTTCGATCTTTACAAGGCCATTTCTTTGTTATGCGCAAACGTAGATATTGCAGTCTACCTGCGAAAAAAAATTTGAAGTATTGTGGAGAACATTTAACAGCTGATCCAAATAATGAAGGTGCTAAAGACGCACCCAAACGTGTTCCCTGTCCATATGATAGCTCACAGTAAGTCTGAGAGTAACTGATCTACTTTGTGATCTCTCTTCCTATTCCTCAATGATCGTTCTATTTTTTGACATTTGAAAAAAGCACTGTGTTCGAAAAAGATCTGGAACGTCACATGCAGAAGCGTTGCAATGCTCGGCCAAAAGAGCAACCAGCTTGTTATTCTCTTAACGTCAACTGTACTCTACCGCTTTCAGCAGAGGAGTTAGAGTTTCAACAAAATATCTTCTCTCATCAAAAAATGCATGTACAGCCTTGGCTGGCGCGCGTTCAATTACAAAAATTGAGTAGAGAGGATCTGGACTCTATCATCAATAAAGTACTTGCAGCTTATGAAGTACATGTTCCTGATATCCCCAAAGAAAAATTAAGTCATCCCTCAGCAGAGAAGAAGAGGTCAGACAACCAAACATGACTTATGAACTGACGCATAAAAAGAAAAAAGAATATTAACATATTGCATCATTGAATACTAGGCCTTACATTTCCAATACCAAGCATTTGGATCAGCTGTCGTCCTTACTCGGACATATGGAAAAGAACGGTATGCTAAACGATAAAATAGCATGCTTTGTTGAATTTGGTGCAGGAAAAGGTGAATTTTCTGCTTTCGTTAAAAGAGCCCTTCAAGAAGAGAATGGGGAAGCCACGTATCTCCTTATCGATAGAAAGAGTGTACGTAACAAGGCTGATCAAACATTACTCGGGCATTCCGAAAAGAAATCGCGTGTTCAACGTCAACTTATTGACATTAAAGACCTTGTCCTTTCCAAAGTCGAATGCATTGCGGATAATAACAAAAAGATGATTGCCATGTCAAAACATTTATGTGGATGTGCTACAGATATTTCTTTGAAGTGCCTTATGAATTACGTAGAGGAAGAAAAGGCGAAACAAAATAGGTAACGAGTTAAACAGCATGCTAATGACGGTCTTGTTCGCTTATTAATGGAGTAAAATCTACTAAAGTGAGCCTATTGCTGGCATCATTATTGCCCTTTGCTGTCATCAAATTTGTCGCTACGAAATGTATCCCAATCAGGAGTATTTGAAGTCAATTGATATGTCAAAAACAGAATTTGAAAGGATGTGTAAAATGACAAGCTGGGGTACTTGCGGTTCGAGAGACGCTGATAAGAAAAACTCGCTTCAAAGTGAACAAGAGGAAGACGAACATGCGAATAATATCAATGATGAGGACGATAATACAGATGTCACAGCGTAAGTTATTCACAGTTAACAAGCATTTTGTACCGGTCAAATGTGTTCTGAAATGGTTGATATATTGTAATAACATAGGAATCATTATTCTGGACGAGATATTGCTGAACGAAAGAGCATCGGGCTTAAATGCAAACGTGTTCTGGATATAGGCCGACTCAAATATCTTCAAAGTTTTGGTTTTGATGCACAGTTGGTCTATTATGTTGACCCAGAAACTAGTTTAGAGAATTGTGCATTGATTGCCACACCTAAAGATAGAGCTTGAAGCTTTACTTTCCTGCATATGGAAGATTAACTATACTTCAATTTTATGAACTGTATTCCGACGATATAATAAAATCTTTATGCTGTATTTGCTTATGTAAGCTCACAGATAGTAATGAAATTCAATCTGACAGTGGTATTGTATTTGACCATTGCTGTGCAGATATTTTATAGCAGGTCGAGATTGAGGAATTTTAGTTTATAGAATATCATTTCCATCGTGATCTTCGTATTTTGTGCTTTTTTTTTTTTCGTGGGAGACCGTCTCCACTTTATTTATAAGTCCTCCCCTATCGCAATGAGAGAATAAAAGATTATTAAAAAAGCCAAAAAATAGAAAAACTCAAGGAACGTAATGAAGCTGTAATAAATATACTAAAATCAATTAAAATAGCTGTCAGGACTATTTTTGTGTGAGTAAAAAAAACCTAAATGTATACACACTGTCCATAAATTTGGCAGAATCGCTATAAAAGCGGATCAAAAAAACGTGTGTGACACTTACGGAAGTATACAGCATAGGAACGGCAAAACAATACACCGTTTCTTTCATTTGATAAAGTCTAATAATCTCAATGATTTGTTGTTTTGTTCGAGGCACACAATGCGACCAATATGGTTTGAGTATAAAATGGATCAAGAGTTGGGCTATCTTTTGAACTTCTTTCAAATTTAGTCAATATAGCTGAAAAAAGCAATTCCATGAAAATTAGATATGCAGCAGAGTATGCGTTTACATTAGAAAACATGGTTTTCAGCCAGCTTTGAAGGTTTATTTACGCTCTTCCTTTTTGTAGCTGAAACCAAAAGCCAACGAATAGATCAAGAGTATCAACAGTTTGAATCTACTGAGGCGCGATCATCAATGACTACCCTTCCCCAATCTATAACTCATAAGAAAGACAATGTTGTTGAAATTGAGTCCCTTAACCTCGAAGAGGTTGAAGCAGGAAAGCTCTCTGCAACCCCTAACCTAGCATATGATTACAAAACTGATCCGAATCATCCTTGGGTAGGAACTAATCCAGACTATTGCCAATTAAATGAGGAATCACTTATTTACACCTACCGACTTTAACTTTAGAATTGGCCTAGAAGGAAAAAGAGTTTAATTTTATTACTAGTTGGCACGAATGCATTCATGGGATATTTTTCTTCTGCTGTTTACGTAAAGTATTAATTTGACTATGACAGATTTATGTTAAATGCACAGAAACTAATCGCTTGCATTGATGTTCCTGTAGATTCCTGCATCACATGATATCATGCTATACTTCAACACCAATCTGACGGTAATTGACGAATAACTGAGGCAATATTATAGTGGTTGTAACCTGAATTTCTTTTGGCATACTGGTTGTTCAGGTTATTAATGCAACAATTGCTCTATTCTTATTGATGATTGCTATAGCTGTGAGTATCTTGATAAACATACTGAATAATCTGACTCGAGCAAATTCTTATTCGGCAAGTCATTGTTTCTATGCGATAACAATAGCCACTTTTTTGGGCACCGTTCAGCGAACGAATTGGTCGACGGTAAGAAGCGAATAAGTTATTTATGCTACTTAATATGCTTATAAAAATTGCATTTTTCCAGATGGATCTATATTACGTCCATGTTATTTTTTGCTATATGTTCTGCTATTGTTGGTATTTCTCGGAATTTAGGTTTGTTCTTTGCATTTCGTTTGATCCAAGGCATTTTCGTTTGTGCAGGCCAGGCACTAGGAGGAGGAACAGTATCGGATATCTTTGAGCCTCACGAACGTGGTAAAGCAATGAGTATTTATATACTAAGTGTAAGTAAATTATGAGGTTTATCATTAATATCTAAAGCGATTTATCTTTATGTATTCCTTCACAATTAGACTATTTTGGGACCTTCTGTTGCTCCCATGATCGGAGGCTACGTTGACCAGTATTTAGGATGGCGTTGGATCTTTTACCTGAAAGCAATTATAGGTGGTGTTATTGTCATTTTGAATGTTTGTTTTCTCAAAGAAACCTTATACGCTATCCCTAATTCATCCTGCGAAAAGGCTGCCCCCACTAATCGTTTGCAAAGTCTTCAATTCAATCCAGTAAGGGACACTTGCAAAAGCTTCGATTTGACTGATGAACATACGAATTGTAGAACTAATTCTCAACTTCATTATGCTAATAGTTTACCAGCCTTCAGTTACTTTTAAAAAAAGAGGTTGCTCTTGTGTGTTTACCTACCAGCGTTGCTTTTGGTTGGTTCTATTTTCAGGTTACAATTCTTCCAACGACGTACAGCAGTATCTACCATTTCTCTACCGGCACAATTGGACTTTGTTATTTAGCGGGCGGTATTGGCAATACAACAGGCTCTATTTTATCTGGCTTGTTATCTGATAAACTGTATACACGAGCCTGCAAAAGAAACGGTGGAGTTGCTGTAAAAGAATTCCGACTACGGCCAATATATTTTGGAATTCCCGCTTTGGTGGCTGGCAGTATCTTATACGGTTGGTTCCTACACATTTCTGTGCACTGGATAGGTCCACTGTTCGGATACCTAATGGGTGAATATATGTTTTTCTTTTTTTATACCATCAATCACATAACTCAAATGATCTTCTCATTGAAATGTTAGTTACTTTCGGAATCATGTACACAGTTACTGTTGTAAATACCTACCTTGCCGACTCTTTTGCTACCAAAGCTGCTTCAAGTAAGAAATGATGAGCAATACGCCACTCAGTAAATTCTTCACTCAGGCGAAGCTAATTCGCGGCAATATTAAATTATTAGTTGTTTCTGTCAATAACTTTACAAGAAATGTTTGCGGTATGATATTCTCGTTAACCGCTGTTCAAATTCGTGACTCTTTAGGAGATGGATGGGCGTAGTAAGAGGAAAAATGTGTGTACGTCAATGCTGATGAATACTGACGACTAATCATACAGTTTTTCACTATTTCTTAGCACAGTAATGGGCCTAATGTCTCTAGTTATTTATATGATTTCTATACCAATAGTAGAGAGGTTTGGGGCACGTTGGAGAAACTCTATTGCATGAAAACTTATCTAAGATCTTCTCGAGCTTGCATTTACTGTATAGCTTATATTTATACTCATTTAATACCCTTATTTTACAAACAATCCAATAAAAATGCTCATCAACTAGACGAAAATGATATTTGGTCTCTACATTATATCTTATGCTGGAGAGCCTGATCTTTGTAGGCAAAAAGATATCGTTCATTAAATTACTAGACAAGTTAAATAAAAATGGTTTTCGGTGAATGGTTCTACTGAAGACTCAGAGAGTTTATTCAGATGTTCGTTGAAGGAAGGTCATGGTATGCTGACCACAAGACCAAGTATAAAGAAGCAACATTTGATCTGATTTATGTGTATACGTATGCATTAGATAAAACATGGAATGAGGTTGGATTTATGCAGATGAGATGAGAAGGTTATCCTTTAGCAGATATAATCCGGTTGAATGTAATGCTTAAGCGTAAGCAACTATTGCCAGTTGTTCGTCATTTTTTTTATGAATCTGAAGCATGGCTGTTGAACCATTAATATTTGTAGCGTTTGAACAGTATTTCGGGTCTTCTTTTGGAATGTATCTGTAAATGTTATAGAAGTGACAATGATAAAGATATTAGAAGCCATAAAAAGAAGGAATAGTTATTATACAAGTTTGTTTATTGTTGATTAAAAATTGGTATATACGGTAAAATCAGTTTTTATAAAGTTTACAAAATAGGTATATTTACATTAAAGGTTCGTCGCTATTTGATAATCGATTCAAATGTAAGTAAACATCTGTGCCATAGCTATTATTGAGAGTTAAGAAAAAAAGAAATGATTGGTAAAACAGTCTATTGAAAATTTTTATGTAGCTACTATGGAAGACCTACCCTTCCATTGATATAAGCTTCAGATCTCCACCAAAATAACGGGCATACTGTGCAAATACAAGTTAAAAGTTAAGTAAAACATAAGATACAAAACAAAGTAAAATAGCTTCATTACCAGTCTTGAGATAGGCAGGCCGTATCCAAAACCTGCCATGGGTGCTTTAAAATCAGATTGACTAAATTCAGATTCGAGTTGCGCAGTAGCTGTTGTATACTATGTAACAGGTATATCAATACAATGTTAGAAAGTGTTACTCTAGTAAGCTTAAGCGATATCTATTTTCCTGACGATTACCATATAAGTCCAAACGAGTGGAATATTTGAGCGTGGAATACCTCCTCCTTCATCTGAAATTTTGATGGTAATGTCTTCTTTTCCTTGAGCAATGATCAACTTGATAGGCGGATAATCATCTTCGTAGTCAGTACCGTAATTCTCAACCACAGCACGCATTGAATTTTTTAACAATTCAAACAGCATATGACTGAGATGCGATGGCACGTACATAAACTCAATTTCTCCAGGGCAAAATACGTTCACCTCTGGTGCTTTGAATAAGCCATAATGCTCCTCACATATAAATTTGGCGTTCGCAATGGCGTCCTGTGCAACATCATGAATATTGGTTTTGGTACAAATAACGCCCACGTAATCCTTTTGTCGAGGTCCTCTATAAAGCGCGACATGCTGACCTATCAGCATTCGAATCCCAATTCGTGACATATAAAATCGATCCAAGAAAGCCTGTACTTCTGTATCAATCAGAGGTGAATTCAGATGTTCTTTATATTCCAATATGCCCTGTGCAATAGTGGTGACGACAGGGTCGTGTCTTCTTTTAATGGCCTCGATTGTCCTAACAAATTTGTTTGTGTATTCTGCTATTTCTGGTGGACATTCTGTTGCATCTACTTTATTGTAATATCTATTATGATGATGACAATAAATGGTTTTAGTTCAATGGTCATCTGATGTAACAGTTCCCTACGACTCCTTCTTCCATTAAATGTACCGTTGTCCAATAGGAACAGATTGATGTATTGAATTGGAAACAGGTTTATTCGTGATTTTTTTAGGTAAAGATGGATTTGGTATATTGTGGGGTAATGTCTCTGAACTTCTTGATATAAGAGGTTGCTGGTGATTTTTCACAAGACTGGATATCTTTGGTTGTGGAAGTTCGATGAGGTCTTTGAAAGATTGTGCATACCAATGTTTAACTTTAATAATGGATGGCATTTGACTTAGGTTGCGTGGTAGCTCTTCCAATTCCTTCACGCGATGTGCTAAACGAATAGGAAGCTCCTCTGATTGATAGCATAATTCAGGTAGTCAGCAATGAAAGTCAAAAAGCAGTATGCTGAACGCTTTCATGAATCTTACCATGTAAAAACTGACTTGCGCCGAAAAGCGTGCCCTGTGAAGGAGTTTGGCCTGAAAACATAAGGTACCTTAGTATTGATATCTCTTGTTTAGCTCCCTTTTTTTACAGTTATTTCTAATCTCTACCAAACATAACCATTTGTCTTAGAGAAACACCTGTTTGAGGAAACTTGGCAAAGTGTTTTATTTTGTCAAAGAGCTGTGGTGAAAGCTGAGACATGGTGCTTTCAATGAGGAACGGAAGTAAGATGATAGAAAAAGGAAAAAAGAAAGTGTTATTATATTTTATTGAGTCCCTTTTTGTAATGCAATTTTCGTAAACAGAGAATACAAATCACATGTATGAATTATGAAAATTGCCCCACATTTCGTAACAAGAATTCTCATGTTACACAATGAAACTTTTAATAAGCATTTATTCCTTTTCATCATTGATCACTGTCATTGTTGTTGTTTTTTTTTGTTTTTTTCTTCTTCTGCAGGCGGATTTATCACACTGAAATTACGAATTAATAAGTTAAATATAGACCCAAAAAACAATGCAATCACAGTGCACGTTAATGTGATGACGTTGTATGGCATACTGAAGTCTGGTGTTGGTAGACGGACTAATAGTGTATCCGTGTAAACCCGTTGTGGTTCACCTTGAAGACTATTACAACGCAAAGAGTGAGTACTCTGCTATTGACCCATAATTCAATAGAACGTATCTCATTACTTGGATACTTACATTAAGCCTTGTTGATTGACGTCGGGAATCCACGCTGTTAAAACGGCAGATCTAAACGAGAAATTTTCTCACGTTATTATTTTGGCAATTGACGCAGAAATGCTTCATAAGAAAAAGCTTAGAATAATATTTACCCGATATCAAAACCACGGTTAGCGTCAGGTCGATGTTCTGTATACTTCAAAAAGACCTTCTCAAAATCCATAGAAAGCGTTGTTACTGAGTTCGCTGGTAGCAATAAATTACACTCTAGCACTGTCGGTCTTCCACGATCAATGGCCGGTTGATAATACATTTCTTGAATCACACCGCCATCTTCCTCGTTTAACAGGCTGCCGTTTTGTAAGGAGAAAACATCTACCTTCAATGTGTGTAAGTAGAGCTTCAGATACCAAGGAATAGAGTCGTAATAAATGACAGGCATAGATGTCTCTCCATTTCGGTTATAAATCGTTATTTTTAATCCTCCTCTTTCTTGTCCATATCCGGTAAAGTAACGTTCCGCATAAATCATAGGTCTAACGGGCTTCAATGCTTTACACAAAAGATTATGTAATGGTTAATTTCAAATGATTAAAAAAGTTCTCATTTGGCTTGTCATCCATCTTACGGTATAAAAATGAATTTTCTTGATTCCACGTCATGCGGATATCCAAAGGTTCTTTTGAAGATGATAAATGGTAAGTTGCAACTTTATTCTTGCCTTCAGTATCAGCTGTTATTGTCACGGGTTTCAATTCGAAATCATTGCCTGCATCCTCCAATTCAACCACAACTTTACTTTCTGTAGCTACAGGACAGGCATTTTCAAGTTGACGCTCAAAGATAGACTCCAGTGACCAATCTATAACAACCTTATTAGAATGATGCTTATCTCCTGTGTTCCTTCGTCTTGCTTTTGTATTTTACCTCTACGTCCTGTATCTCTCACTGGATCCATTACTGATGTTATTGTCTGTTCTATTTCTAGTATACGTTCTGTACACTCGGAATCCTGTACAAAATGTTACTTATCAGTCAATAGAAGTTGCCATAATGGAAACAGATAATACTTACAGCACATTTAGACTTGGCATGGATTGCCATGGAATGAAAATTGGAGTTGTAGATTTTATGAGGGTTCAATAGTACGGATATTCCTGACTATAGAATCTCTCTTATATTAGTAGTGTTCTTCGCGTTTGTCTCAAAGTTTGACGTTCTTCTTTGCTTTTTACCTTTGATTTACATGGTAATAATTTGAGCCAAGGGGTCAAATTTTCTGTACACACATTTTCTTGAGGTAAAGCGCCATATCTCAATTGCGCACCCGACTCTTCTTCTACATCCCCATTTGATTGGAAAGATAGCTTTGGTTGTGTTGTTATTGTCTCGTCAATAAAATTTAGAGAAGCACAGAATAGACCAGATAGAGTGTTTGTAAGTAATTTCCATTGTTTATCCACACTAGCATTCGAACATTTTAGTGGCTGCTCTAGGGCTCAAGTTTAACTTAATTGCTGGTTGAATAATAAGGAACTCACTTTTCATGACTGTTATCCCTCATCCAGGCCCACATTTCTACACCTGTACTCGCTGATATACTTGGTGGATATCCCCATTCTTCGTAATTCCATCTGCCCTGAGTAAATGATAGATGCATGTCGGTGACGTTGATTGTTTGAAGAACTTGTCCAATGGCCTTTGGGTATAAACCATAGTCCAGAACTGGGGGAATAAAAAGAGTTTCATATGAATACTTATGGCTTTAATTACGCGGTAGTACTTGTGAATTGTTTACTGTACTGGGCGCATTAGGTTCAGTTTCAACATGGACTGTGGTGGTAAAAGAGAAATGAGCGAGTAACTTGCCATCCGGTAAATTTCTTAGTGTCAACTTTTCATTGTAGGTTTCTTTGACGTCTTGTGTCGATATCTGACAGTTTATGCCATAAATACTCAGTAGTAAACCGAGTAATATCTTGGCTTGCATATCTCTTTTGTGTTTAAAGTTATCAGAACTCGAATGAATTGACTTGGATTCACGAAAATAAAGTGTGGTTCCTGTAGCATTCGTGACCAGCAATAAGCAGGAAGAGCGGGGCTTTTTGGTCTTTTCTGTTGGTTGAACAACTTTTATGCAATCCAACACTTTTTTTTTGTGTTGACGTTTTGACAATTTCGAATTATCGTTCTCTCTTCTTTCATTAGACCGTCAACAATAAGTAACTTTAAAATGAAACGAAAGCAGAGAAAACAACGAAAACATACAAAAAAAAGACATGGGCATCACAGTTACAAAGACAGATCTGCACTTGAGAATGAGGAATTTCAAGGCACCTTCAAAATCAACGAAGCGATGAGAACAAAGAATTTTACGCTATTGAGAGAAATAGGCCGAAAAACTGGTTTCATAAGTGATCCTATAAGACGAAGAGTTTGGTAATAGAGGAATTTCATGTTCAGTTTAGCCTCATGACAGATATTAACCGTACTTTGATATATTTGTCAAAGGCCGTTTTTATTACATTGCACAGACATGGAAGCGAAAAGAGTAAAGGAAGGTTCACATAAAGGTTATTCATCTTTTTAAATATTTTGAGAATTGAGTGTTTATTTCTTGCATTGCTGAAAAGACTACATTTTCAGTGCCTCATAAGGATGAAGAACAAGTAAAGTTGGATGTACTTCGATCATTCAATTCATATCCAAAAAGTAAGAAGAAAAAGAAAAAGATGGTTTCAAAGTTGAAACAGATAGAAAAAGCAGGAATTAACAATAGGATTGTAATAGATATAGACGATGACGACAGAAAAACATTGGAAGGCATGCTTCATAGAGTTATTACTCATGTCTTACGACTATTTCCTTCATTCCATTATTATCAGGTATTGAGTTATATTTGTAGCAACAAATCTACTTAAGCTAATTATCAATATAACACGGAAATGGTGGTAGGGCTTTCACGATTTATCTTCCGTCTTTATACTTCTATTTGGTGAAAAATATGCTTGTAGACTTGTAGAAACAGTGGCTTTATTCTTTTTAAGATATCCTTTTTAAAGCATCTTGTTAAGATCCAGCATCAAGGAGTTTGTAAACAGTACACAAATGATGGGTACTATCCTTAACTCTTTTTCTTTCTTCACAACACAGATAACATGTATAAAAATATGGAACCAGTGTTGAAACAGTTGACTATATTAGATACTCTGATCCAACTGGAAGAAATTGAACTACATAACCATATCAGCGCGTAAGTGTGTATGTGGCAAACGGAGGTATAAATCTCATATCAATACTTACCAACAGCGGGCTCCATTACAAATTAGGGCAGGTGTCTTACCATACTATTGTCTTTCTTGGGTGATAACATGGTGCAGCCATGATTTAGATGATTTAGACAAAATTACACGGCTGTTTGATCTGTTTTTATCATCCAATCCGTTTATGGTTGTGTATTTCGCAGCAGCCGTTGTCTTGTCAAGACGAGATGAAGTGCTAGCTCTCCCATGCGACAACAGTACTATTCACAGCTTCCTAACAAAATTACCCAAAGATTTGGATGTCGACTCACTATGTCAAAAGGCTTGCGAATTAGAATTGAAATATCCTGTGTATAAAATACAGTGTCTCAGTTCCGTTGCACTTGATGAGGAATCTGCTGTGAATCGTTATGAGAAAGATTTTGTACCCATTAAAACACTTGAAGAATTAAACCAGGCGATTGAAAATCGTGTTTTACCAATATTACAGAAGAGCGAGCAAAGGACACCAATAGAATTACAACCGATATATACCGATGTACAAAGGCATCAATCGAGCACTCTGCTGCAAAAGCTGTTACATGTGAACAAAAAAGATGCAACCTTCTATACTTTACTCACCCTAGGTGCGGGTGTTGGATTAGTAGCCATGTTCATGTCGAACTCTAATTTGTTGAGGTATGCACATTATTATCTAAAAGTGCTGCCAAATTGGAATTCTGGCTAAAAAAGAGAAATAAACTTTCTTTCTTTTTGGTGGATAGGGAATGGTTGACAGTTGTCTAAACTGATGAAGAAAGATTATAATTTTACGCGGTTCATAAAGATCTTTTCAGCCCTGGTTTGACCAAAAACTTTGTGCTCTTTCCATCTCTACATCTTTTAGATCGAGTAAGTTTAAGTGTTATTCATGTCATAGCTTATGGGCAATGCCGTTTTGTACCTCAGTAATGGACAAACTACTTTACAACTAACTTTTTTGACATGCATCCTTTAATATTGTTGTAATGTACTTACATGGGAATCGCTCTTCAAATAAACCCTCAACACGGAATAAACAGTATGTTTTGTATATAGTATATGTATATGTATATATAACATTCATAAATATAGCCGTATCTATAATATTGTCTGAGGTTGGTAAAAAGTGTGGTCTAGTCGCCTAATTAACTCTGTTGCGGTAAGTATAAGTTATGTCGCTGAATATAGTCAATGACTGGATTTGGAAGTAAGTATTTGATGGACATGCCTCGCTTGACGAACAGTCTTGTAAAGTTTTGTATGAGTATTCGTGTTGGGTGATACTCACCAACGTACTTTAAAAGAACCATTAGCACTTACCTAACCTTAGTCGAGCTGATATCGTTATGGATCAACTGTTTGATGATGATTATATTCAACTATAAAAGAGATTTCAGTCAATCCTGTCCACCATTCAAACCTATCAAGAACTCCTTCAATACACTTACCTTATGCTGATACAATATATCGTGCGCAAGCAAAAATCCATATACATCGGTGCCAGTTCGTTCTATAATAACACAGCCATATCTACCCACGATATGATGTAGCTAGTTACATTGAAGCCAGGTTAAATCCACATGTCCGCGTCACAGTAGCAAATAACTTGGTTGTGTATTACTTACATCTTCTGCGCTCCATACTGTAGGGTGGCCAAAAGAAGCCATCAAATCACCACCTGCTAAAAGCATGATTTTGAACTGCTTTGTTTCGCCTGTGTTCACATATAATATTGTTTATCTGTGAGTGATGGATGGCTTATCACTTCTCTCAGCCAATGTTGTGTTGTGATGATCGTACCTGATTTTGTCTTGATGCCACCTCTTAGTTCATTCAGTTGCTCTTCAAAGTGATCTAAAACAACGGCTGTCCTTTGATATTGTGTCTGCCGAGATTCCCATGAATCTACCATAAGCCAATCTGATGTACTATCCACAGCCAGCTGACACATTTTCACTCGATCTTTTGCCTTTGCAAGACCTTCTTTACGATACGCATCGGATACAGGTGAGAAATAACCGGCAATCAGTTCGAACTCTGTACGTTGATGGAAATGGTCCCGCGCCATTTCTAATAATGATTGACGTAAAATATCGTGTCAAAACACAGTTTTTTGACATATTGATTAAATCTTTCATTTACCAAACATTCTCAAATGTAAGTAAGTAATAGGCGAATAAGATCCACAAGCAACAATAACGAGCGGTATTTTACTCTCATCTAAAGCCAGCATTTATGCAGATTCATAAATGATATCAAATGAACATATTGATTTTTGGATGGTTGCTGTTTGTATAAGTGGGGGTTGGTTGGTTTTCTTTTTTTGGTTTTTTGTTTGCTTACCTTCCATTGTTTCAGGAATGAGATGTGTAGGGAATAGGTAATCATCGTCAAATCCAGAGAGGATATCGTCACTTGAGTTTCTCCTCGAACTTAACGTCGATGCCATAATTTTTGGACTACACATACTATTTCTTTTATATGGGGGTCCTTGACTACTTATTAATTTTCAATTTAGGTTGACTAATAAAAAATGGAATAAGGGAAAAGGGTTAGCTTTTTGTTTTCAGAAACATGGAATAAATGCATATTTTTGATCGAATGATCGACCCGACAAGCTCCAAGTGTTCTGCGAGAGAAACAAAAACCATCACGTGGTTTCAACCGAGGAGCAATAGCGCGTGCCATCGCGCATGAGAGACAGCCGATTTACAACAACAAAAAGACAATCGGGGCATAACAGACACGCCATAACTATTGTCTGTGTTTCATTGTCATGCCATTTAAATCCCCACTGAGAAGAAAAACCTGTTGAAACTACTCATCACAATGTCAGGCGACATTCCGTCTGCTAAACTAATCTTACTTAAAGATATACAAAAATGTAAAGTAGGTGATTCGGTAAGAGTCGTAGGAATGTAAGTTTTCTGTAACAAAACAGCGAAGAATCCGAGAGAGATAAAAAAAAAAGAAGAATGTTCGCTCGATCGCTAAGGTCATTGTGATTCTTTTTCTTTCCTTTCCTGTTGGTTCTGTTAGATGGTGCAATTATGACGCACAGAGAAACATTGCAACAATCGAATATGATGGCGTCAATGTTCTTATCAATATGGCCAATGCTGAAGTAAGCGATAAGGCAAACGAAGGAGACTTGGTGCAAGTCATTGGCGAAATATGGAATGTAAACATAAGATCATAGTTCTGCCATTGCATTTGAATATTGTCATGTACTCATTTTTTCAATGTTTTAGATGGCAAGAGGTATCACTACGATTAATGCTCGCATCTTTCGTTGTGAAAACACGCTAAATATGGATTTGTATCAATTCGTCGTGAAGCTCAGAGATAAGACATTTCTAAATTAAAGTTGAGTTTCTTTTTTGTTGCACACAGCTTCTTTGGAAAAAGCATCCGTTATATAATTTTTGCAACAGACATGATTTCATTTGATTGGATTAAAAAAAGAGTCTTTCCTTTAGAGCTTTAAAATGAGTTTGAAACAGTCTTTTCGGTTCGGTTCTGGATAGCGTTGAATTGATTTTCAGATGAAAGAACAAAAGAATTGGGATTTTAAGTGCAATATTTTTTGGATGTATATTTGATAAAATGTAGACTTACTTCTTGTAGAATCTTTTTAAGTCTTCCATCAAGGAGAGACAACCCCATTCGTTGTGGCGCTTTGTGATTGACGACAAAATGGGCCAGGTCTTCCATGACCAGCCCAAACCTCTTGAGCAATATGATACATGTTTTGAGCCGCCATAACATCACGATTCCAAAAAATACTACAATTTGTGCAAAAGAGTATTTGATGGATTTCTCTACTCGGTGTACGAGAACGATACTTTCATACATCCGACGTTTTTACACGAATTACAGATCTATACACAGATTGATGTAATCAGAGTTTTGAGCTATGTTCATGATCATTTGCAATTGATTACATACCTTTGACGTACGAAATTCATCAATATCTATTACTAACACTAGCCCTTGTTTTTCTTTAATTTTCAGATACTTGTATATTTGTTTGAAATACCGGCTTGAAAACCTTTAAAGCGAAGTTACGCTCTATTGGTTAACCCATCACCAAACAGTACCGGTGGCATTTTCGACTTAACACAATTATTACAGTAACGCATACTGTGCGCATCATTTAAATCATTCTATTTACATTATATTGACTGATTGATGAGCTATGCCGGGATTCCGTCGATTGTTTTGCTTTTTACGTTTCCTGTGGGTTTTTTTACTCATATGCCGTGATCTCTTCTGCGGGTTATACTTCTTTCTCCCATTCAAAAGGGTGGTTGTAGCATACTCTAAGGATACTTGTCTTCCACGAAAATTCTTCCAGTTCAGCTCTGCGGTTCTGTACCCATAGAACTGATGCAAAATATTCATATGTGCGCACATATACTGTATATGATCACGATAGCGGCTAGCAGATATTGTTTTAACAGATGGGATGAGTGACTCTATAGTTTTGATACCCTCTTGCTGTTTCAATTCTTCTTCCATCTTCATCCTGCCCTTATATCCTCTGGATTGGTAATACTCTCTAGTTGAACACTTCCTGACATCTGTGCCTCCATGGTACGGAACAAACGCATCTTTGCGCCCGGGGTCTACAGCACAGGGACGGAAGTGACTATTGATTTCCTCTTCGGCGAAGTCGGATATGCTCAATTGTACATTTCCAATAATGCTACTGGTAATCTTTCTGAAGGGCAATCCGACATGTGTATCCGTCGGTATAGATACAGTTGATGAACATTTTATTTTTACCTGTAGGTAAATTAATGAACTCTTCAATGCTAGGACAGCAATATAACAGATCTGAATTAGCCCTTCCCAGTTAAAAATAGATATAATTCAAGAAGCTTACCTATCTATTTTGAATATTGTGGAGTTAAAGTATCGAAAGAAACACCTTGAAATGTAGTCAATTTCTGTTTCGTAGTCCAGTTTCGTCAAACGATCATATGGAAAGAAGTGATGAAGGCTTTGAGAATCCAGTTTTATAAACCGCCATTTCATACTTGGCTTTGGAAACATAGCGAATTTCGTCGGTGTCAAACGGGCAGGAAATTGATGGCCAACAATGCCAGAATTTTGCAGCTTGTACGCTTCAAAATCCAATTGCTCTAATACATTTCGCAACTAAAGATTCTCGTACAGCAGCATAATATAATGGTAGAGGGGTATCAGCATTGAGGGATTATATGAGACAGATATTTTGTTGGCTGGTATGGTTGGAAGGCGGTTACTGATTGGTTTTGAAGCAGCATTTAGGAAATGCTCCATCTTGGTGGTGAACGGCATAAACTCTCTAGGAGCAGTAGCGGGATTGATGTTGAAAAGTTGGCCAACTGGCTTAAGAAAAATGTAATCAAAAAGCTCATTATAAACAAGGTCTTTGACAGGGCCAACATTAAAATCCTATACGGTTATGGTTATCAATTTGGTGTTTTTATATATATATATTCATTGGTATTACTTACAGGGTTGTTGTATCCAAGATACAACTATACGTCTTAAACTACAGAACGACTTCAGTACCTGCTTGACAATCTGATACACATCTACTTTGACACCCGCTTGCGGCTAAGATCTTATCATTCTCATGATAGTTTTAGTTCAGTTGTATTAATAGTTGAATACCCGTTAATAACCCCGTTTCTCATATAAAAGTATCATTCTCAACAAACTTGAATAAAGAGTATCTTTGTTGTGTCTGGTCATTTTACTGTCTTATTTTGTTTTTATAAGTCTTCTAAAGTAACTGGATATATCAAGGGTAATGAAGGCAAAGATAATAGATAAAGTATTTTGCCACCGTGTCTTCAAAGTTCTTAACATAATTGTTTTCCATATGTTGTGGCCAAAGTGACACATGCGGACAATACAATCTGGCCGTAATATGCCAAATATCCACAATATACTGAAAGATTGACTTCATGAGGATGTATCAAGAGCGTATAATATGCCTCTGCGAAACCTGTCATTTCAGGGTAACGAGCCTCCACATCTTCAATTCTGGCACTTCCATAGACGACCCGACAGACAGTATACCCGAAGTTTTGCTCAAACAAGGCGTTTGTTACATGCTTATGATACGTAAGAATGTAATGGTTGACAATGAATTGAGCCTTGACTACCACTGTTCGCAGAAAGGCTGACTTTTCCAACACACGTTCATGGCAGGGGACAAAATTGGCAGGATTCGTAACAAATGTTTCTAAAGGCACTGAAATAGTGAACCTTTCGAAACTACCCAATCTCCTTGTTATTGTTACCTCCATAGTCCCTTTATGATTGGGGCATAATGGACTTCTTTTGCTTCCATGTCCGAGTTCTCCACATGACTTGCACTTGGTAATGTTTGTGCTAGAAGTTGCTTTTCGCTCGGTTTTTGCGCGTTTCTTACCTTTAACAACGCTTTCGGAATCTTTGGTTTTTTGGCCTAGTACAATATTTACAGTATATTGGAAGTTTTTAGTACATAAGCGATACTAGGAATTCATACTTCTCAATCTTCTTTCAACTTTTGGCAGTTTCATCATCGAGAGCAGCTGACTTTGTTATCTTCTTTTCATTAATGAGAGCTTCAGCTTCGGCATAGAGCTTATGCCGTGTCATAAGAGTATATGAATCTAAGTAACTTTTAAGAAAGAAAGAACATTTTTCTGACAACAATTATCACTCTATTACAGTTTGATGTATTGGAATGGCCTAAAAGTTATCTGCTTCCGTATATTCAACAGAATCTGCAAGCAGAGCTTTACGCTCAATAAGGTCTACGTTTTAGCTCTACAAAAGGGGTTTTCAAGAGGAAAGTCTGTAAAAGAAGAGTTATTTAGGCTGCTATGCTCCCACTCCTAAAGGTGCTTTAGGCTGAACAGCTGCCATTAATCCAATTTTATTCTTGGAAGTGTTCAGAACAGATCGCCAAATTTGTCCAATTCTATCCAATAAAAGAGTCTTATTTTTTTTAAAAAAAAAATCAAATCTGAAGCGAAAATAGTAATGAGAATTTGAAAAAAAAAAAAAATTTTGAACGACGACACTAAAAGGGAATTCTTTCTTTTTTTTTATTCGTTTTGTTTTTTCAGTTTTGTTATTTTTATTTTTTTCTTCTTACTGTACTATTTTTTAATTCATAATGGGCAAGGGAAAGAGAGCACATACAATTAGTATACCAAGTATCAATTTGACAGCACCAAAGTCATCTTCTGATCACTCTTATGCCCCTTCCAACTTCATCATTGGCTCCCTTACCAAATCCAATTCTGAAAAAACAGTTGCTGCACCTGGTTCTTTTGTCAAGAATACAACTGAAAGATGGCAACCACCTCGCAAACCCAAGATGAAATACGATGACTTGGAGCACAAAATAGAGGCTGCTCCACTCTACGTTCTTGTCAGTACTTATCTTAATTACTTTGTCTTAATTCTCTTTGGCCATTTGAGAGATATTCTTGGAAAAATGTTCAAACCTCAAGCATATAGTCATTTAAAGATGAATCAGGTATGTTGGTTTTCTTACCATCCGACTCCATCTCGATACATGTTCAAAGCTAACTTTTCATTACATTTATAGGGTTATGCTCCTCTTGTTTCTGATTTTGATTCCTTCTATACGCGTAGACTTTATATAAGAATTCGGTAAGTGAGGGAGTTGATGAGACAAATGAAAGAATAAATCTAGGGAACAAAGTTTAAGGGGACTAATACGTTTTCTTTCCAAAAATAGTGATTGTTGGAATCGCCCTGTTACTGGCGTTGCATCAAGAACAGTCAAACTCCTCGACCGTGTATCCCATGACTTTAACAAAACATTTAGATTAACAGGCACCACAACAGAAGCCTTGAACTTTGCTTCTTACAATTACTTGGGTTTTTCCGATAACAAAGGACCGTGTGCTGATGCTGTTGAGCAGTCGACTCAAGAATTAGGCATCTCCACCGCTAGCCCTCGTGCAGAAGCAGGCACTACCAAATTAGCCCATGAATTGGAAAGAATGGTCGCTCGTTTTGTTGGCAAAGAAAGTGCTATGTGTGTCAGTATGGGCTTTGCAACCAATTCTACTACCATTCCTTCCCTTGTTGGAAAGGGTTGTTTGGTTATTTCTGATGAAATGAATCATGCATCCATTGTGTTTGGTGTTCGTCTTTCGGGTGCTTCTGTTCGTGTGTTTAAACATAACAATATGGACGATCTTCGTGAATTATTAAGAGAAGTCATCTCTCAAGGCCAACCTCGTACACACCGTCCTTGGAAAAAGATTTTGGTCATTGTTGAAGGTCTTTACTCCATGGAAGGCACTATTGTCAACCTTCCCGAGCTTATTGAATTGAAGAAAGAATTCAAGGTAAGAAGAAATTATAGTGAGAGTGCATTATTGTTTATGCATGGGAAACGAGGATTGAGATTTCTAATCTGCCTTTATCTTGGGGTTTTTTTTTTTTTTTTTGATTATGAACAGTTTTATTTATATGTTGATGAAGCACATTCTATTGGTGCCCTTGGTGAAAATGGTGGTGGTGTCTGTGATTTTTATGGCTGTGATCCTGCAGATGTTGATATTCTCATGGGCACATTTACAAAATCCTTTGGTGCTGCCGGTGGATATATCGCTGGTGATAAAGCTATCATTGATCATATTCGCTTGCGCAATCATGCTTATAATTATGCTGAACCTATATCTGTACCTGTTGCTCAGCAGGTCATCACTTCTATGAAGATTATCTGTGGTGAAGACGGTACTGATATTGGTCGTAAGAAGATTAAGCAATTGGCCGAAAACTCTCTTTACTTTATTGAACGTTTAAGAGAGATGGGATTCATTGTTTATGGTGATCAAGGCAGTCCTGTCATTCCTCTATTACTGTTCAATCCTGCTAAAATTCCCGCCTTCTCCAGAGAATTATTGAAGCGTGGTATTGCCACCGTGGTGGTAGGTTATCCTGCCACTCCAATTATCACTTCTCGTACCCGCTTCTGCATATCCTCAGCTCATACCAAAGAAGATCTTGACAGAACTTTAGAAGCTGTCAGCGAAGTTGGAGACCTTTTACTTTTGAAAGTTAACAAAGACGCTTCCAAATAGAAATCATCAACTTTATTCTATCACGCCATTGAACCCTTATGCTCTAATTTATTTCATTTCATTTTTCCGAAAATTCAAAAAGCAGCGTATTTGTGTATCGTTCCCGCCTACCCGCCTACACCACCACTTCATATACACTACACTATTTACATTTCCCTTATCGTCTCTGTAAATTGAGTATTGATCCTATACTTTTGTTTTTTTTTTCTTTCATTCAGTTTGTATCTTACTACTAATTAGTATTCTTATTATTCTTACTGTTATTCAGTTACTATTACCATCTTTTTATATTTAGTTTATCTTATCACGTACACTTAGTAATGTAATTAAAAATTGGCCTGAAAGGGCACTCAAAAGGAAGTGATCTTTGATAAATAGAATTTGCTGTATCACGGCAATTGAGAAAATGAGAAGATCTCATATCTCTTGTTGCACAGTTTATAACTCAGTTAATCCAGACTTTCAATTCAGCTTACTAGTCAGCAAAGCCTTTTCGACATTCAATCAGCGAGTGCTTAAACCATATCTCCTTCAGGTGGCCAGTCTTTGAAATAATAGAAAGTATTGGTTCCTCCAGTTGCTGTTTGCAACAATCTGGAAACCGGGATAATTACTTATCGTTTGTGTAATAGGCTACCATGTATCATTTTTTCAGATACAATTGTACCCAGCTAAATTGCCCAGAATACCCATGAACAGTTTTTAAAAGCTACAGCAAGTTTTTAATATCACGTGTTTGCAGGCTATGTTTATTTGTATTTGCAAGCTCGAGCAATTATTTGGAACCAAACATTTGCAAGAAGACATTGGATGGATGTGTTGCTACATTACTTTATTCATAGGTGGGCATGAAAGACGAGGGTGAGTATCTAGTTTTTTTGGTTTTTTTTTTATTTTCCGTCTAATGAATCTCAATATGTAGGGAATTGAAAGGATGCTTAGACCCATCGCGACAAAGTATGCTTTATTTAGTTTTTTCATGTGCTAATTATAGTTGATGAATATCATTTACTTACTAAGATCTATTATGTTAAATTTTTTCAACAAAAAAAGTTCTGCAATTACCCATTTTTTTTTTTCTTCTCTATCGTAAGAGGTATCCATTGGCGACTAAAGGTGTAGAACGCCATTCATACTTACTGAAATAGAAATCTCAAGATAATGCAGCAAGTGGTCAAGTCGATCACGTTGTATGAGGGTTTTATACCCACTTATCACTAAAATAGATTATCATTTCACAAATGCGTAAAAATAACGTTTAAACAGTCAATACGCATAAAGACTACGTTCAATAAGAGGCAAAAAAAAAGAAAGAAAAAAGAAAAATAAGGGCTCATTGATGATGATGCAAGAAATCCAACAGCATCGAAAACTTTGACAGTGTTCCAGTAAAGACAGCATATCTGGTCACCTTTGACCATGTGAAATGAATAATGAACTTGGAGAATCTTCTGACCCTTCATTAGGTGTATGACTGCTCGATGAAGTATAAATGTTAGGAGAAATTCAACTGCCGTTGATTTCTTCCTATAGCAAATTGCAAGACAAGGCCATTATTGTAGCCACAGTCGATAAAGGATACCGCGTTTATGTGCATAGCAGAAATCTTTTCATGGAAAGACAACTACAACCACCCTCCACTTATCGGTTCGATTAATAATATTCAAGTGCAAGTCTATTTGCTGAGCACGTTCCATAAATTATTCGCTTTACGTATTTGGCAGTTTCCACCATTGAAACAAAGATACTGTTTGAAAGGAGGATGCTAGTCACTGTGATCTTCTAAGCAAGCAATCTGCTTTTACCATATTATGCGAATGCCGACAGTGGGCACAGTACTCATGTCACATTTCATTTTAGAACCTCTTTCGAACAAAGTAGACTTGTATAAGGTTTGTAAGAACAACGTTAAATATAAAGTTCACTGTGATCATTTTTACGAGATCCGTTACTTCCAGTCATTGCTTTATTAAGTATTTGTAAATACTACGTCAATGGATATGCAGTATTGTACCAATTTTGCCAGAATTGAGGAGCAATGCTTTTTTGAGCTTTCATCTTATGTTTTAGAGCCGATAAAGCTCATACACAGATACTAGTATTTATAAATAACACTCACACTTTGGTTGCCTCAGCTGTAAAGTTTTCTAAACATACAGAACTAGGAGAGAACTCAACCGAAAGATGGTTTTCTTCTCTCAGACTTGGCTTTTTTCTCAAAAAAAAGAAACTTGCATAAAAACAGAAATTTGATGGGGTACAACATTGCCACTTTTCAATGCGGTGTTCAAAACGAGCTTTGTTTAATATAATGAGGCGAAATGATGTTCATAAAATACTCATTTCGATATCATTTTACTTTTCTTTTTCTTTTTTTTGAACACTTTTCATATCCATATAGAGACGCTTCGAAAAGAATATGCATTGTAAGTTGCAGTTTTTATGGAGTGATTATCTGTGATGTGACAAAATGGAAACTTTCTAAGCCAAAAATACACCAATCATTTCCGAACAAAAAGCCAAAGTTGTGGTTGCTCATCACCCATATACTGCAGCAAGAGACGATGAGCTCTCATTTGTAAAAGGTGACGTTATAAAGGTCACTGACGACTCAGATCCAGACTGGTGGGTCGGTAAGAAACAAGATGGCTCAGTAGGTTATTTTCCAAGCAATGTAAGTCGCAGTTATAAGTTTCCAACAATACACTTCCCCGAATAAAGGACAGACAAAGTTAATAAGCTCATCTCTTTCGACATCAGTTTGTTGATGTGAGACAGGACAATGAAGAGATTGCAACAGCTACACGACATCCTCCTCCTCCAGTAGCTGTTCCAAGTGAAACCAGCAATACTCAAACAGAAGAAGAAGAAGAAGAAGTGCCTCAACAACAGCAAGCACTCTCACCACCTCTGCCAACTGAACCAGCTCCAGCTCCGCCTGTGACGGAAGAGGAAGAGCGTTTGAATAAACAGCCTGTTGAGAATAGAATGAATGTAGCTCCTGTTAAGGAGGATGCTTTGAATGAAGATGAGGAAACCAAAGAGCAATCGATTGAAAACAAAGGTTAGATCTTGATTTCATAGAAAGTAACAGAAAAATATATATATTTATATATCAAGTCAATGGGTCGTTTCTAATTTCTTTGATCTGCAGCGGACCGAGTAGTTGCTATGGCTAGAGTCATGGAGGATTATGCAATGCAGGAACCTGGCGAAATCAGTCTTTCACGGGGAGGCATCGTTAACGTCTATGAAACACTAGATCATGAATGGTCTAGAGGCGAACTTAATGGAAGAGTCGGCAGGTTTCCTACCAAAGTAAATACGATCTTGATAATACGTGTTTGAATACTGCCTTCTAAGAATTTTTGCTGTTTTTTCTTAAAGTATGTTGAGGAGATTGATATGCCTGGTAGACCTGACATGGGAAGACTACCCAGTAACGGTTCTGGTGATATAGATGCACCTAAAGCAGCAGAGGAAGAAAGTCCATCCGCTCGTAAGTTTGTTCTTTACGTGACCACGCTAGCTATGAATATTTTTAACCAATACTTACTATTTATTTGTAAAGCTAAGGGAGGTTTCAAGTTAGCCGCCTTCGGTGTTAAGCAGGGCGGTATCGGTAGTTTGTTAGCAGGAGGTTTTCCTGCTTTAAAAAAAACAAAACCAGTTGAAGAAAAGAAGGACAACCCTGTTTCTTCGTCTCCTCCTGCTCCTGCTCCTCCTGTTCATGCCAACGCTTCCCCAACAGCTTCACAGAAAGAACCTAAACGATCTTCTGTGCTTGATAAGCCTGTCTCTGCTGTGCCTGCTGTTCCTGCATTCACCGCTACCGAGAGCAATCCTTCAAGCCCTACGACGCGTCCTGAACCTACTGAAAAGAAGGAAGCTTCACGTAGGTATTTTTACTTAAAAATGTAGTTTTATCCATTCGATACTAATAGGATATTCTTATGGATACTCTTAGTTGGTAAAGCCATTGTTTTACACCCTTACGATGCTGTGAATGATGGTAAACATTTAATGGTGTTTGGTGTTTATGTGCGTGCTTAGCGATGATATATTAAGCTCACATCTTTTGTTTCTATCATAGATGAATTGAATCTTTTAAGAGGGGAATACGTTGAGGTTCTTAACCGTCATGCAGATGAGGGTTGGTGGCAAGGTAGGAACGAGAAGGGAGAAGTTGGTATTTTCCCTTCGAACTTTGTCAAAGAATTAGAAGAGGATCATTTTAGTCCTCCTACACCTATTCGTTCTCGTCCATCTGCCACTTCTTCTATCCATTCTAATCTTGGTAGCAGCAGTCTTGATAACACAGCACCTTCAGCGCCTGCTCCTACGGCTTCCATGGCGAAACCACCACCCGTTCCCAGACCTACATCCATGCAATCCTCCTTGAGCTCTTCCCGTCCCGTTTCTATTGATCGTCCTACATCCTACTCTTCTATTCCTACTGAAAAACAAATGGAAGACGCTATCAAGGAAGAAGAACAATATGAAGCTGATGAAGAAAAGCCAAATGTAATTTTATTATTCCTTTTTTTTTTCTTTCAAAACAGCATGTCGCTAACAAAATACTGACGTTCTCCTCATTTTCTTTCCTTCAGTCCCCTATGCGATCAGAAGTAGATTCACCTGCTTTCACGCCCGTCATGGGCGAACGCGAAATCCCTGCCCATCCACCTCCCACTTCCAACCCACCCAACCTAATCGAACGAACTCCTTCCGAAACTTCTCAAGACAAATTCCCTCCTGTGATTCCCGAAGAACCTATCTCTGATGATGAAGTCAAAGAATCAGGTGTGGACGATTTTGTGAATGCTCAAGAAGAGGATGAATTCTTTGATGTTCATGATGATACTACTACTACTGCTGCTGCTGCTGCTGCTGCTGCTGCTGTACCTCCTATGACAGTAGCTGATACTTTAATGGCGAGAATGTCACCGATTAAGGTAGAGTTTGACGTCAACAACAGCTCTTCCTTGGATAGTTTGGCTGAAAATGGTATTCCTGCTTCACCTCTAGTAGCCTTGGAGAATAAAGAAAAAGGCATGTCTCTGAGCGGTGCTAAAGAATTAGAAGAACCCGAAAAACTACAGGAAAGAGAAAGTGTCGATCCTGCGTCCATTTCGAGTGATGTGAGGGATTTAGAAAGCAAAGACAAGTCTATCGAGGATTTGATTCCCGAGGTGAAGGACAATAAGGTACCTTCTGAAAGCCCTCTTGAGACTTCTTTAGCGGAAAAAGACGAAAAGAAGCCTTTGTTGACTGCTGATAATGATGATGACAATGCTGTTGTTCGTGATAAGCCTAAGGACAGCGATCATCTCTCTGACAGCCATAGCGTCAAACCTATCATTGAAACTCCTGGCTTGACGGAAGCAATGGCTGAGAGAAGCCTTGGTGCCCATCATGAGTCAGGCGCATTGGATGAAGCGGCATCAGAAAAGCCTTCTGACACTCCTCTTGTACAAGAAATGCCTGATAAGAAGCATACGGACAATGTTTCCGTTACTGAACCTTTAGAAAAGGAAGAAGATCTTGAAGGGAAAAAGCCTTTTGACGAGGAAGAAAAGTCCATGGCTCCCAAAGTAACAGAGCCTGAGGGCAAAGCGGACGGAGCACCCGATATAGTTGACTCAGCTTCTTTGGATAATGAAAAGACACCGTTGAAAGAAGAAGCAGAGGAGAAACCTACTACGAAGCCATTCGACAGCATCCCCACTTCGGGCCCTCGATTAACTTCACCCAGCCGTGTGCGTCCTGCTAGTGCTCGTCGATCCCCTCTTTTAACAAAGGAAAGTCAGGAGCCTAGTCAGATGGAATTATTGAAAAAGGAATTGGATGCGGATGCATCACAGGAAAAGGAAGAAGAGAAGAAACAGTCCGTTCCTGAGGAAGAAGAAACATCGTCAGCTGCTGTTGAGCAACCCGCTGCCAAACCTGCCAAACCAATCAAGCCGATCTTTGCTAAATTCCCCACACCTTTTGCTGTTTCCGGTAGTCAGGAAGAACTTATCAAGAGAAATTTAAGACCTACCAGCGGTGGCCGCCGCTTGTGGGAACCTACTGCACAAAACACGAATAGCAACAATAGCAGTAGTAGTCCCGAAGAACCTGATCATGATCATAAAGAAAATGAATCTCCATCCCCTCGTCCTATGGGTGGTGTGAAGAGTATTGCTTCTCGGTTCAATTTCAATAATAACAACGGCGGTAGCAGTAATGAAGTTTTGGAAACTAAATTGAAGAATTATACCAAGCATGAAGTTGAAAAATTAAGAAAGGAACTTTTGGAAGAAAGAGACAAGCGTATGCAATTAGAAGAGAAGGTGGAAGCCTTATCAGCTAGATTGAACGCACTTTTGGAACAATAATCATGATAGCCATCCTATCACACATTCATGTCTTTTTCTACCCACACTTTATATCAATTGAAAAAGGGAATCATGTGTTTTTAAGAATAGTAATAGTAACTTATCATCATAGTAAAAATAGTGTCTAAAATGCACACAAGTTTCTTTCTCTTTGCACTTTTTTTTTTTTCCTTTTTTTTTTTTATTCATTTCACTAGTTCATTGGTTTAAATATTTCTGTCAGTTGTATTGGGTGCTTCACTACTATTAGCAGCCGCATGTTGTTGTTGCGCTGAAGGATTATTACCTGCCCAATAACCAGCAGGTGCCTGCTGTTGCTGCTGATGATACGGAGAATGGGACATATAAGGTTGATAATACCCAGTAGAATTGGGCATATAGGCCTGTTGTTGTTGATGAGGCGATGTAGCACCAGTATTGGGCTGCGCTTGAGGGGCTGATGCTGTATTGTATCCATAGGGTGCATTTAATGAAGGCATATTGCTATTGGCACTCGTACCGGTAGGATAGCCATAAGGTACAGCTGGTGGAGGCTGTCCATAAGCGTTGGAAGGGTAACCTGTTGGCAGATTAGTAGCAGCAGCAGCCGCCGCTACAGCAGCAGAGTTGGACGATGAAGGTGGATACTGTTGATGTGTTTCAATGGTCATGGAACTATTTTGATCATCTTTTAATTGAGAGTCATTTTGGTAATAGGCAGGGTTATTTTCTTGCTGTTGTGGATTGGCAGAGGTATTAGCGTCTTCATCTTTCACCTGGGGTGATGGAGGTACATCACTTGTGGTAGTGCTCATTGGATCAGGTGCGTTCAAGCATTGCTGAATCAAATTTTTTCCTTCAGGCTTTGTTACGATGGGTTGTAATTTGACTGTGGTGAATGTGTAGACAAGGCCGGTTTCCGACACCACTAACAACAAGACTTGAGTACCAGTCAACGTGCTTAATTCATATGCCTACAATGATAAATTGAGGTTAGAAAAACCATAGGGAGTTCATCACGCGTCTGTCCCAAAAGTGTAGATGGGTCATTATTATTATTACGCCACACACACACACACACACACACATGTTTACGAACAAAGGTGTCTTGTTAGTTTACCTTTTTCATAATACCAGCTTTACGCTTTGAAAAAGTGATATGCCTACGATTCTTATCTTCAATATATTCAATCTTTATCTTTCTTCTACCAGAACGTCTTGGATTAGGCTTTGCTTCGTCGCCTGCAGCACCTTCGTCTTTCTTTGTGTTGGTTTGTGAATCAGACTCATCACCCGAATCACCGATATCGCCGTTAGGTTGTGTGGTATTTTTGAATACAAATTCATCCTTATGTGTTAAAGTACCATTGTTGGTGGATAGTTGCTGTTCATTATTATTGTCCATTTATTTATATTGCTTTTCCCTGTTTCCTTTCTTGATTTTTTTCTTTTTCTTTTTTATTTGGAGCCTTCTAATTTAGGTTATTTGTTCTTTCAAGGGGTGTGGGTTCCGCGAAAAGGATTTTGTTTTTCCAAAAGTAGAAGATTGTATAAAAAAGGGATAGGATGATATTTTTTTTTTTCTACTATTATTTGCAAAAAGAAAAAGGAAAAAGGGAAAAACGGGGTTCTGCCCAAAATTTGTTTTCTTTTTTTTTTTTTTCGCTTTCCCTTTTTGCCTCGTATGAATTTTTTCTCGTCCGTGAGAGCGAACTGAATTTTGATTGGATGAACAAAAAATGTTTTTTTTTTTTTTTCCTGTTCTCGAGATAGACTGCTCATTGGGGCGTGGAGAGTATAAGGGACAGAAAAAAAAAAACTCCCAATGTATACCAACCATTCTGTAAATGTATGCAGCTAAACGATTTAGAACAAAAAGGTAGCAAAGCAAAAAGTACCTTTTTACTTTGATTCAATTTTTTTATTTACAATAGAAAGACAAAGTATTAAATAAGGTTCTAAGGTGAGGGAAAAAAAAAAAGAAAAAAAGAGGGGATATCTGAAGTTGAAAATTAACGTCTAAGTGACGAGATGTTGTTATAGTGATGGTGGTTGCTATAGTAGCTTTGATTTGTTGGTAACGATGGTAACGGTGGTGAGGCTGAGGGTGAATGTAAAGATAATGAAGGCAACGAGGGCAATTGATGAGTATTTTGATGTGGTGGGATGAGTTGTTGCAAGTGCAATGGTGGCGACTGCTGCGGCGAATATTGCTGTGTAAGCGAGCCCTCGTTCAGTAACGAGACAGCTGTGGTGATGCTTGTAGGTACCTTCATGACAGGCCAAGGGTTGTTTTTTTCAACTTCATTGTTACTTTTGCTACTACTGCTGTTGCTGTTATTGCTATTCGTGTCAGTGTCATTATTGATGTTGTTGTTGTTGTTGTTGTTATTCATCGAAGGCAGTGGTAAGGGTAATGTTCTCGTTTTGAAAGGGTTCATATCGTCTATTGACTTGCTACTGCTGCTGTTGCTGCTAGTGCCATTCTGACTCAGACTTTTGATGCTACTGTTACTACTGCTGGCACTGCTATGATGGATACTATGATAGTCGCTGTTGTTTTGATCTGAACTACTCTGCAGAGATGTGTCAATAGTAGTCGTCGTCGTAGCAGCAGCTGTAGTAGACGTAGTAGTATGAGTAGTTGATAGTATGTTCCGCACCGACATAGGTGAAGTGTTGGGTACATCATTGGATGAAGGCAAGATTGGTTTTGGTACAGGGACTTGACTATCGATGTTGCGGTTGTTCTTTGGTTCGACAGCCTGAAGATGGTTGATGTGATATGAATCGGTATCTATAGATGAATAAATATAAGTAGATGAGGGAGGTGCGTGATGATATGGCTGCTGCTGCTGATGAATGTATAAAGGATGATGATACGGATGGTAATTTTGTGGCGGATGCTGATATTGTTCTTGGTAATAGTATTGCTGTTGCTGTTGCTGTTGCTGTTGCTGTTGTTCTTGTTCTTGTTGTTGCTCTTGTTGTTGTTGTTGTTGTTGTTGTTGTTGTTGTTGCTGTTGCTGATGATATTGTTGGTATTGTTGGTGAGCATGTAATTCAGATGAAGACTGCCCTTTATCACTCGTATCGTCTCCATCTTCATCCTCTTCTGAATCGACTCCTTCCGCTCTTTTCCTTTTGCGTCTTCTGCAGCTAGGATGAAACGAAAGCGTCTCTTGATAAGAATCAAAGAAAAAAATTTTATGATAAAGCATCTTACGTACTTTGAGGTCCTTGGCTCTTTTCTAATTCTTATTCTGACGCCTTGATCTGAAAATGACCTTGTCAAGAAAGTGGACTCTGTGCATTCAAAGTGAGAAAATTGGTTAAAGTTGATGGGCGAAAGAGAGTACGGGCTTACTCAGTACTGAAGGGGTCTTTTTATAAGTACCTGACATTCCTGGAAAAGCTGTTATGATATGATTCCGCCAGTAAGAGAAACGAACGTCCATTAGACAAAACTAACTTTGAAAAGTGGGTCAACTGTGTGTTGTAGGGTGTAGTTACCTTTTGGCGAAAAGACTTGAAATACATCTGATATAATTGAGCATAAGCAATTGACTACAGTTCCTTCAATATGATATAATGTAAATTTCAATCTGTAAAGGCCTTCCAACCGAACACTTATGTCTGAGAATATAAAGAAACCACCATCTTGTGAAAAAGATAATATAGGATGAGATCAGCGGGGAAAAACAGACGACAACGCTTAGCGCAGTAAAGGGCTTTGTGCTAAAGTCTAGTTACCTGTATTGTCGAAATCCTTTAGTTTGTGAAGGGATTGTACCACAGTACCAGCCGTGGTTCTATTACCATTCACGAAATGCAGTTCAGTTTCACCCATTGCATCCGTTAAAGTAGCATATAAAAAGAAGTAAGGGCTGTTTAAGAATTGATCGCTACAAGTAGAACCAATGTTTGATTAAGTATGTGTGGTTGAAAGTATAAATAAGGAAAAGCGGGACAAGCCTATTTTTTACTTGGGGTATGCACTTCTTAATTGGATGATTGGCGGTGGATCAATGGGCCGTCGATCCACTATATAGAGTTTGAAGTGGTGACATTGTTAATGTCAATGTTCGAAGCCGGCAATATCACTCACAACCGTCAATGTTATGTTGTGGTATTAAACACGTGTAAGCCTATGTGATATACCTTTCTCTTTGAAGCTACATAGTCTTGCTTTACGTGGATTTTGACGTATGACTAAAGAATAACTTTTCATTGTGACAAATTTCGCAAATCAAATAATGAAACCGTGAGTGTCGTAGTCTGGAAACAAACCAGAATTCATCCAATGGCAAAAATAATAGTTACTGTGACGAAGATCTTGCACTCATTTCAGTTAACGTGTGATCTGTAGTTGATCTCTCTCTCTCGCTCTCTCTACTCGTTTTTTTAACAGCGCGATCGAATCTGTGTGCAAGTCAATAAAAAAAAGGCTATGTTTCAGTCAAGGGGAAAGGGCAAAGTGAAAGCGTTATTTTCGTTTTTTGAAGGCTTATCTCACCTTTTTTTTTACTTAATGAAAAGAATCGAAAACGATAGTAAAAGATCGTTTTTGACAAGAAAAAAATTTATGTTGAAAATAAAAAAAAACCAAAAAAAAACCAAAAAAAAACTTATTATCACAAAAAGGAAAGAGGGAAAAAAAAAGAGAAAAGGGGCAAACTGCCCTTTTTTTATATATGTGTGCAAAAACGCACACACACACGCACAGAGAGAGAGCCCAGCTTTTTGGTAATTTCATCTTCCCCTCAATTTTTGTCTCTTAAAAGGAACCCCGAATTTTAGGATCCATAAATGTGGTCAGTTTGTAATAATAGAAAAGGAAAGCCAATCAGCGACAATATGTTTCGAGCTTAAAAAAAAAAAAAAAAAAACTTTACTCTTCCCGAAAAGCAGCGTCGAGAAGCTTCATCAGTTCAAACATACTACTATCGCTGTACAAGGTATTCTTGATGGCCTCTCTTTCACAACCCAATTGCACTCATTTCTGTGTCAATTAAATCCATCGAAACAAAAGAAAAGAAGAAAGTTTATCTTTTTCAAGCAGCAGGATTTATAGCTAAAGATACTTATCAATAAAAGAGACATACTATGCTCACCATGTTGATAACCGGGGCAGAAAGTTGGGTTTTTCTCTCTTTTTCGTGATCAGATGAATTGTACCACGTTTCACAAACAGCAATAGTTAGCATTCTGTGTATATCCGACTGTATATTACTTTGAATAGTGAACGGATAGCACCAGTGAGAGCTTCAACAAGATAATTGTCATCGGCTAATTGTGACCACGACGTGAAGGGTATGATTTTAATCCCATATACGGGGAAAATTCGTTTTAGTAAATCCAATGTTTCGGATTGGACCCTAGGATCCTTTTTGCTCAAAGGGCAGGGGATTTTCTTATCTCAAATACATTGCCTGCAATCCTGTATGAATCGAGCAGAGGAAAAACAGGATTTCCATTCCACAGTGAATGCTGTATTCCGATAAGAGCGAATGGCCGTGTAGCAGTATCCAAACCTATCTGTTCCAATCCCAATTCTCAGGTCAGCTTGGCCTTGCAAAATGAGAATGCTTTAGTCATCAAACTAGCCCGTTCGTTTCTTCTTTCAACCGCTTTTGCCTCCAATGGGTGGGTTTGGTGCAGTGACGACAACGTTGTACAGCATTACATTGTGTAACACAATTGCAGTCTCTACATTGGTTTCGGTTCTCGTTCAACGAGCAATAATAGCCTAGCCACTGATTTACAGGCGGTAATTGCTGCCACTTGGACAGCATAAATAAATGAAATGAACTTGCAAACACGCGTGTTTCACTTGGATGGATTCAGGGTTCTTTCGGTCGATCGTCTGTTTCCCCGCTCTTCAGTAATTCGTATCACCGAAAATGCCCTGACTGACAATCTACTTCGATTCCATACATATAAGCGGTCTTTAAACCACCACCAACTTGCGCAGCGTCATCAAGCAAAAGAACAGCAATTACGTAATCAAATGTCATCGAAAATAAAAAAGTGAAGAGAGTGGGATTCGAACCCACGCCTCCGAAGAGATCACGACCTTAACGTGACGCCTTAGACCAACTCGGCCATCTCTCCTATACATTTTTTCATTTTCTACGTTGCTTTATATTACTATACAATTTAATTAAATCACGTGAAACATTTAATTTTTCGATTTCGCACAAGTGGTACGTGCGGCACGAATTTCTGTTGTCTGTCCGAAACTTCAGATAAGTCAAAATTTTCTACAAGCACCCACCTGCGAGACGTGAATTAGGTACTCATTGAATCGTTATATCTAAAGATGAATCGCTCCAATGTTTATACGAATTGACTTATATACTTGAATAAGTAATTGTTCGACATAATATATATTCAGGTAAAACACATCTTCACGAAAATGTTCTTTTAGTACGACACAGCAATAACAAAGTGCCCTTAATGGGCAAGATGTGTCGTGTTCCTTCGACTACAAAGGCTGAGACTATATATGAGTACTAACATTTTACGTATGTCCATATTATGGCATCCTTTAATTTTATCTTGGAGATAAATATAAGACGAACACAAGAGGTAATAAATAGGAAAGCTTATCAAAATCAAACCAGCGTCGTTAGTTCTCTCTTTCAAAAACAAAGAAAAAGAAAAAATTAAACTACTGTAATTCTAAAATTATTGTGTTTGCTGTTTACAAAATATATCGGAATCTATAGCTGACACTGATGTATTATGGTCTAAGCCAGAGGTTTCCGTAAATGAATAGGTTTTCCTTTTAAGTTTATAATGACTCGTCTATCTCGGGAGCTGGCCAATCCCCACCAGTTATATAGCTCAAGTGTTGCATGTTCATTAATGAAGAAATTTTCGTGCATAACGTTCTTGTGGCGTGTTTGGTGAGATAATAACTACAATACTCGAGTACGTACAAGCAGGTAGAGAATACATTCCACCACGGTCTATCTATATTGCATCTAACATAGGTTATGTACAAGTATATAATGAAATACAGGCCTAAGTAAAATAATACATCGAGCAGCTGGACCTGAAATTAGTGACTAGCAACATTTCCCCACAATAATATAAATTCCCCTTAAACCTCACAGAGTAATTAATCCTTCTACTTCATCTGAAGATCAATAAAGACACTTAATTCATAGTCATCGACTTATAACTGTTACATACAACATCTTGATTGCGTGAACGGTTGTTGAATCAAAATATCCTACGAGTACATATATCAATCCTGTTATATACCTAAACGTCATATTGCCATGGGTAATCTAAGCGAAAACAAATTTCATAAAGATAAAATGTTCGATTCTTATGTGGAGGTAGTTAATCTCTAATCCATATTCTTTTCTTATTTTTTATTTTTATCCATTATACATTTGATATCAGTTATCAGATGTATGCAATCGAATACACCGCCTATCCAAACAGGAACGGAGATATGAGCAGTACTCATATCTATGATCAAGTTTTTATTTTCACATTTCGTTAGACGTTTTGATTGAGTTACTCATCGTACCTCCAATACGGCACATATCGGTTTGGCAAAGCCTACCACGATTTTAAAGACTGCACTTAAAAAGATATCCACAGTCGTTTCCCTTGTTACAAAACAGTTCTATGCCATCGATACCGACTTTAGCAATGTTTACAGGGAAAAAGGTGCTTTACAGACTTGAATTCATACGTTAATTGAAGCTAATCGTGTCATTGTCTTTTCTTAATAGCCTTTGCTGTAGCTCTTTGATTGTTTTTGAGTGAGGCAAAAGGAATATATTACTGTTTGAAGTCATAAAAATTGAGTTGTAGTAGTAGATATTTACTGGATGACGTTGAATTGGTATGATGTACTTTTGCTATTGACTCTTCTCTAGCAATGCATCTATTGCACAGATTTCCAACCCACTGAACTGCGTTGTAGTATTATTCTACATATATATTCCATAAACAAGTCATGCTTTTTTTTTTTTACTTTACTCGTTCATTAAGCGGCATTGGCATTTGTAACAATAGTGGCGTTTCAGCTTTGCTTTTTAAATACCATAACAGTTCTAAACGCTCGTTCCAGCCATCTCAGACGGTAGTTGAATACGTTTAATAATGGTCATTTGTTCATAAAGCATATCTAGCAATGACAGAAATCCCAGGCTTGTAAGCAATTAAGAAATAGATAAGTGTTGTACGAAAGAAAGAGGGAAAAAAGTATAAGCTGCTTTACCTTTTCATACAGAAAATATCGCACTGAAATTGGTAGGAGCAGGAATCGCGTCTGTGTACTGCTCCTCAAAGTTTTATTTGTCAAACACGAACAATCCATCGAAGGAACGCTTTGTAAGCATTTAGCCAGCCATCAACATATGAAACGCGTTGAACAGTGTAGACTGATGCGTAGTCAAATAATCATGACTCAGCATGGGGATTTCATACAGCGAACTTTTGAGTTTCTGATTGACAGGAAAGACGCTGTTTACTTCAGATTTAACAAGACTATAGAAAAACTTTAGATAGGGCGGAAAATAAACATGTCAAAAAAAGAAAAAAAAGAAAGTCTAAAAAGGGCGTTTGTACTACCTTGAAAAAATTTTAAAGAAAAGAGTAAATCTGATAAAGAATGCCCGTATCATGTCATTTTTACCACAGTAGTCTTATCCATCATAGTACAGTTTGTCTCTCTTTTGCGTAAAAACCAAATAGACAAGCATTTTACAAGCATGCGTTCATTGAATTATGTATGTGACTTATCGTTTCATAGATCTTGACTCAAAAGATCAGGAAACAAAGATTTTTATTTGTAAGGGAGATCTCAGCACGAACTTCTCCGCATTAAATATCTGATCATCAGATAATTTAAAGTCAACTAACAAATGATATTGCGAATCCTTTGAATACACAAGTTTATGTCTCCAAGTTTAAAACGTTTTTATAAACCAAAAATAAGAAAAATCGAAAAAGTGCAAGCCAAAAATAAAGAAAAATCGAAACTGAAGAAAAAAAAAAAATTAATTGGGTTTTGATAGTATAAAATGGAAAACCCCATTTTTCTAAATTTTTTCATTCTGCCCCGTTTTTTCTTTTATTTAAAAACCAAAAGAAAATAAAATAAAAAAACGTGATTTTTCTTATCTTATCTTTTCTCATCTTTTGATCATGCCCAATACCGATACTGGGGCAACTAGGTTGCAAGGTGTCAAAATTGTAGAGCTCTACAAGATTGTTTGGAGCAAATATGACAAACTTGCATTGTTTTGCGGGTAAAGTGAACTTGGCGATTCGTGTAGGATTCAGTATTGATGAGACCATATTAACCGATTCGCCTATGGACTTACTATAGCCTTATCTTTTTGAGTTGGGCAATCAATTTTGAAAGCAACATGTCCTATTCTCTTACAGCAAATGTCACTAGTCTTTTTCAAACAAATAATTTAATCAGTATTCTGTCCACCATTTTATACATCTTACAAACAGCCTTATACCCCATCTATTCCAAATTGTCTGATATGTACGGCAGAGCTCAATGCTATACAATTGCTCTTATCCTTTATATGTGCTCTTATATTATCATGGCATGTGCCAACAATTATGACTCTCTTGTTGTAAGTAGATCGGCCAAAAAAGAAAATATAAATTAAAGTGTAAATGATCCAGAAACTAAATCTTCATTATAGGGCGGTCAAATTGTTTATGCTTTCGGTTATACTGGTGCTGCTATTCTTGGTCCTATCACCATTGCTGATTTGACAGACGTCGTTGACCGTGGTTTCATTCAAGCACTTTATAATGTTCCTGGCCTCATCAATCTCTTTGTTGCTCCTCTTGCAGGTGATGCTTTGTATAGTAGTGGTCACTGGAGATGGGGCTACGGCTGTATCCCTTTGATTCTTCTCGTTACTTCTGCTCCCCTCATCTTTACCTTATGGAAACTCTTCTTCCGTGTTAGAAAGTCAGATGTGATGATCGACTATAAAAAGGAAATCAAACAGTTAAATGCCCAAAACAAAATGAGCTTTTTACAGAAAACTATCTGGTTACTCGAAGAAATCGATATCGTTGGCAGTCTTTTGTTGATCGCTGGGCTTTGCTTGATTCTACTTCCTCTTGTTCTTGCCAATACCATGTGGGGCGGCTGGTCAAGCGGCACCACGATTGGCACTCTTGTTGCTGGTGTCGTTGCTTGGATCCTCTTCGCTTTGTGGGAATGGAAGTTTGCTAAAAAGCCCATCATTCCTCTTGCCCATTGGGATACGCGTACGCCTCTCTATGGTGTATGTGCTCTTTCCACTGTCACTATCATTTCTTCTACAAACTGGCAATACTACACTACTTATCTTATGGTTTCCCGGAAAATCTCTGTCTCCCGAGCCACCTGGCTTGAAAGAGGTTACAATGTCGCTTACATTATTTGCGAATTGATTGTCGGTGTCCTTATGAAGCGTTTCCGTGTTTGGAAGCCATTCGTATGGACGGGTGTCTGTCTCATCATCCTTGGTGTCGGTTTGATGATCCCTGCTCGTCTTCCAACCTCCTCCGACGCTTTTGTCGTTATTTCTCAAACCATAGTGGGTATTGGCTCTGGTTTCTTGTACACTCCTATGTTGGTTGCTATCCAAAGCTCTGTGCCTCACGATGATATGGCGGTGGCCACTGCTCTGATGCAAATTGGCGGTTCGATCGCTGCCAGTATCGGTTCTACAATGAGTGGCTCCATCTGGAACAATATGCTTCCTGCACAAATGGCCAAAGACGTTCCTGGAGAATATGATTACGCCAAAATTGTCGGAAGCATGGCTTATGCTACCGCTCTTCCTGAAGAGCAATACCATGGTGTCGTGCATGCTTACGGCCATGTACAGATGATTCTCTCTATTATCTCCATGTGTATTGCTGTTCTCACTTTCTGTTTCACCATTCCTATGAAGTCCTTTGGTTTAGAATCTGCCAAGCCTGGCGAACAAACGACCGTAGACAGTGATGATGAGAAGCATGCCAATGCTGATTCCTTGACTGAAACTGACGAGAAGACAGAGACGGCTGACTACAATAACGATTCCAAATACGAGACTGATCTAGCGCACCATAATTATGATGAAAGGAAACAACTATAAATGATAACACTCTTCCGCTCATTGTATTCGGCCTTAGTTAACTTTTATTCTTATTTTATCTCCCTTGTATTATATTACTAGATTATACCTAATTACCTCTCCCTCCTTCGAACGAGTTGTTGTTCACCTACATGTCATTCTTTAATAACAATCAAAGTTTGTTTAATTTTTGACAACGCTTACACATTTTTTGAGTTTGACAAAAAGTGGTGCACGGACAAATGTATTTTGAGCACATACTGGACATTCATGAAACTCAGCAGCTATAGCGCGCAAAAGAGCTTCCTTGTGTCCGAAGTTCCTATCAAAATCCGCGCAAAAAGAAAACAAAAATCTTCTCTTTTGAATGTGAAAATGTCTTGGAATTACGTAAAGACAATTTTGGAGGGCATTTATACATTAGTGAATGCCTGATTATAGGCATAATTTCCAAATTCGTCTAGTTGTTTGAGAATATTATTACGATTCATTTTCTATTATCATGCAACACTGGAAGCGAATTGGATAATCTCAAGAAAGTTTTTATACTTTTACGCGAAAGTAAATTATGTAACTGCGAAACACAAGTATTATCAATTTAAGTGCTTTCTTTTTCGTTGGTCCCTCAACTTTATGCTATCAAGTAGATGTTTAGCCCGATGCAAAGCAGTACTGAACCCAGTTTTCTTGATGTGCAAGCTTTTACATAGTAATGTCAGCTCTTTTTCTATGTAAGGAGGAGTTATTTGTAGCAAACTATGTCACCTTAACCCATATTACTGGCTCTAGCGTAAGAAGACTGCTTACTCCTTAGAAAAAAAAAAAAAAAAAGATACATCTCAGTTTTCAAGACTTGCATCGCACTTGAATTCTGCCGAGAAGTGCGCCCTTTGACCCTTAAAAGTCCATCATGACAGCATATTACTACACAAAGGAGAAGTGGTTGTTAAGGGTTGGTGAGAATGAGTTTTGATATTTAATACATATTGGATCTGAATTACCTAGCATGTAACAATTAAAGGAGAGGGTATAGGTATTTTCCCTAATCGGACACACGCTCTGCTTTTGTCCTACAATGTTTTGCTGTCTGTATGCATTCAGTGATACCTGCTTCCGCATCAGTCTGTTTCCTTCAGATATCCAATGTAGGACACCATTCATCATTTAACAATAAAAATCACTCCTTCTTCTACAGTATGGTAGAAATAGATCCTATATCCATCATTCCACCTAAATTATGACCTACAAATGTTACCGAAAATTTCTCTCGATTCAAGTTACAATAAAAATAAGCCAGTAACCATTCACGTTGGATCTATGTTGATAATCAACAGGGCAGTATTTGTGTTTGCTCATACACTAATGACTGGTTTGCATTGGCTGAAAAATCTTTCCTTTTTTCTTTTTCTGTGTATGTCTTGTCTTTGGCCTTCAGAAAGAAAAAGGAAAAACATTTACGCCACATGTATACCCTTCCTTCAACCTTATATCCTTTAGCTTAGATTTGATCTGCATTCGATCCATGTTGTTTCACTCCGTTTGTAAGACGGATCGAAAACAAGAATTGGATAATAAATACTTTATTGGAAGATTGTTTCAATCAACAGATTCGTTGTGACAAAGCGCCTCTTTTTTTTTACATACTTTGTACACAATTTGAGTGATCGGATGGAGTACCCAAAAAAAAAAAAAAAAAAAAAAAAAAAGTGAAGAAAGGGAAATCAAGGGGCAATGAAAGAACAACCTAATTCTATTCATGTGCACGTAGAACGATTAAGAAATATAGGAACCAGAAAAAGAACAATTTGGAGACAAAACACTAATGATCTAGACAAGGGCAGAACTCCACTCATGAGTTGACGCCTGATGCATTGGAGAATAAAAGAAGTAGCTATCATTGATAGACATTTACATAGTCCAAGAACAGCTTCCCACTGCTATTTATAATAGACAAGAAAAGTCCTCTCTCTTGTTATAGAATAGCTCAAAAGAACAGAGTTCAAAGGACGGGATTGCAAACAGAGAGAGAGAGAGAAAAAAAAAAAAGGTCGTCTTTTCCATAGCCTAACCAGACTTTCTTCATTATTTTACATAGTTACTGCACATTTGAATCCCTCTTTCTCTTTTTGCTTTTTCTTTTTTTTTTTTTTTTTTTTTTTCTCCATACATATTCTCTTTTGTTCTATCGCGTTCATTGCCTTACAAAATGCCGTTCAGCAAGACTTTTCATGGTTTTATTGAAAGCACAAACGATATATTGGTCATTATCGAGGGCTGTAGGGCTGGAAAACTGCCTATGGTGAATCGCAGATTGATTCAGAAAGAGAGACATGCAATTAAATCAGGGACAATTATTGTATTTGATGAAACTGAAACAGGTACGTCAAAGAAATCATACAGTTTTTACATCCAACACATTTGCCTATCTGATGATTGAATGCGTGCGTGCTGTTCTTTTCTAATTGTAATAGGAATCAAAAGATGGACAGACGGATTTTTATGGAGTCCTTCACGCATACTCGGTAACTTTTTGATTTACAGAGAGTTGGAAAGTCGAGAAGCAAGGAAAATTGATAACGATTATCAACACTGTTTTGATACTCAACAAGAACAACAACAACAACAACAACAACAGCCCTACTTGCCAAACAATGAGGATGCCGAGTTAACAACAACCAATAAAGAACACAGGGCCACTTTTCTTGACCGCAATGCAAATAGTAGCGTTCTGTTAGCAGAGACATTGTCCTCACTGTCGTCACCAATGAAATATAGCACAGCTGGTAGTGGTTGCGGTCCTGAAAGTAGTGATGGTAGTAATAAGAATAGTAGTAGTAGTAGTAGTGATGCTGGTTTAGTTGAAATTCAGCAGAGAGAAAGAGCGTTGGTGGGGTCATTAACAACAGCAAATACCTCTTATAACTTCAAAAAGAATGGTCTTATCAAGAAAACCATCAGGCTGATGGTCAATGGAAACCAATTACACGTTGTCAACTACTACTCTAAAGACGATGCTTTGCATAATTTGCTTCCTCTACCATCAAACGATCCTCAACTATCTCAATTGCGGATATCCAGTGATTTATTGATATACTTGAACAAAGATCTGAATCTCTACAATCAGCGAGATAAATCACAAATAGATCACTCAAAATCATTAGGAAGTAAATATTGATAAAACACGATAGAAGGGCAGCTTTAACCTAAAAAGGAAAGAAGTGTCATTGAACCTATTTCATTTTTACTGTATAGTTACTCGAAAACATGACAACCTTGCAGAAGAAGAAGACCTAGAAACACTACATCGTATTCGTGTATCAAAGGATACAAAGGACGAAGACGAGAATCATAGCACCGCTGCTTACGGAAAGACGGCTACTGAAAACGATGGCCGTTTACAGCAGAAAGCAGTGAAACGTACAAAAGTACTTACTCCAAACAATACACCTTATCCATACCCTATACCCTATACCGCAAACAATGCACTGGCAGCCGGTCAGCATCAATTACTCCCTCCTTCAATGAATCTTGACCAACAGCAAGCATTTTATCAGTATTCAACTGTGAATCCGAATAATACAACATACAACACGGCGAGCGGCATTGTGCTAGATCCATCGTACCATTACAAAACGCCTTTCACTGAACTACCTCCTCTCTTTCGTAATGGGCATGTTACGACAAAGAGTCATGTTTCAGTAGCAACGCAAAACAAGCCAGTACTACAGGCACATCCACAACAAAACGCTCTGGATAAGTTGACCGATGCTACTCCAATATATGACGACGATTGGAGTAGAGGATACACAAAATTGGTTTTGCATAAATCAGACCCTCCTTTATCCCGTTCACCTTCCCCTCTTTCATCCCGGTCTACTATGATACCAGCGATATCAAAAGACTTTTCCGGTCATAATAGCAATAGTAGTTATAGCAATACTTCTTCCGAGCCTATGGAGGGTGGCGACAATTTATTGGAAAATGAGTATGAAGCACAGCAGCAGCAGCATCCACATTATTCCTATCCCTCACTGTGCTACCCCTGGAGCTATAGGTATCAATAATGCTCATGTGTATCAGATATCCCTCTCCCCCAAGTCCTTAAAAGTACAACAACAGCTCACAGCAGTTATGAAGTAGGAGCCCAGCATTATTCAACAGCATCGCTCAATTTGAATTCATTCAATGGATAAGGCAAACAATCTGCGTGCAGTGGCTCATTTATGGTCAAAAGAAAAAAAAAAAAAGTTATCATAATAAACCTATCCGCATGAGTTCTGTTACAGTTGTGAACAGTACATTTGATTACTTTGAGAAAGATGAATGCTACTCTTTCCAAAAAGTAGATGCCACTTCTTTCCAAAGAAAATAAATATCACTTTCCCAATTTCTGTTCCTCTTTCTTGCCTTTAAGCACTTCAACTGACGTCCCTCCCCCATTATTTGTCATATTGCCATCCATAAAAAAACCGTATCTTTATTATACTTTTCTCATTTTTAAATTGTCAACTTTAAACTGGATGCTCAATCAACTTAATCCTAAATGATCTCACTGTACTTTGTTTTAGAACAAACCCTCTCTACTCTACTCAGGCTTGATTTGATTTGATCATTGAATGCAGAGAAAAATTGTGATCCTCCCAAACATTTTTTTCAGTTCTCTCAAAGTGGGCAAAAATTTACCGTTCTCACTGTACTACATTATGGTTGGGGGCGGGGAGGGGGAGCGGGGGAAGATTTTTGATTTGAATGCTGTAAACCAGCCCAGGTCTCTCTCTCTCTCTCTCTCTCTATACATCAGAAAATAGTAAAGATTCACGTCTGCGTTGGCTTATAATAAAATTGTATTAAATTGTTCGTTTTATAGATTATCGGAGACTTCAAGAATTCAAGAGTGTAATAAGTTGTTTTGACATGAGTTAGTGCGTAAAAAGTAAATAAATTGTTCTTTTTTTTTAAGGGTCTTCTTCATTCTGCTCTTTTTCCATTGAAAGAAAAAAAGTATACATGTGATGACTTTACTGCAGTTATAGTAGTTGTGTATCACAGTAATTCTTTTACTTGGATTCGGCAGGTTCAGCGTTGGATTCGTCAGCCTTATCAGTTTCTAATTTAAGGAACACAATAAGGATTACAAAGATGAGAGATAGGTTCAATGAGAAAATACAATCCTCCTCCTCCTCCTCCTCAAAAAAAAAAAAAGTGCATCTTCCTCACTTACCATCTTGTAAATCTGAAGTCCACAAAGTAAGATTGTCTCTCAGTAATTGCATAATGAGAGTAGAGTCTTTGTAGGATTCTTCAGAGAGAGTATCAAGTTCAGCGATAGCATCGTCAAAGGCTTGCTTGGCAAGGTGACAAGCACGGTCAGGAGAGTTGAGGATTTCGTAATAGAACACGGAGAAGTTAAGGGCAAGACCGAGACGGATGGGGTGAGTAGGGGCTAATTCTGTTTGGGCAATTTCAGTTGCTGTCTTGTAGGCTTCGTGAGCTTTGGTAGCTGATTCTTTACGAGCCTCACTGGTAAGGAATTCAGCGAGATAACGATGATAATCGCCCATCCTAAATGAGGGGGGAAGGTAGGGTGTGTGCGTGTTAGATATAGACTTTGAAAAAGAAACCACTCTTATCTCTATAGATCACAAAATAGGCTACACGACACTTACATCTTGTAGTAAAAGACCTTGGACTCACCACCTTGAGAACCGGGTACTAAATGCTTGTCTAAAACTTCCAAGATATCCTTGCAGACTTCTTGAAGCTCAGATTCGATCTTTTGACGATAAGCCTTAATCTTTTCAACTTGAGCAGCATTGCCTTTGCTTTCTTCCTTTTGCTCAATGGAAGACACGATTCTCCAAGATGCACGACGAGCACCAATGACGTTCTTATAAGCAACAGATAAGAGGTTACGTTCTTCAACGGTCAATTCGACATCCAACTATTTATCAAAACATGAAATCCACAGAAAAAGTTAATTCAATACGGTCATCCTGATACGCATCCTCCAGAAAACTTTTATTTGTTCGCTCCTCTTCACTTCAAGTCAAAACACGCCCCTGATTCTTTAAAGAGCTTTTCATTACCTTTGCAACATCCTTTGTATATTGGACCATTTCTATTGTCATTAGAAATACATTTTTGCGTAAGTGTATGCCATCTCCAAGACATAGACACTGATCAGGCGCTTACCATCATAACGCTCCGCTTGCTCGGCAAGTTTGGCCATGTAGACATTGTTTTCACGTTCCTAAAGAACCAGCAGATGGGTTTAGCCTCCATTTCTCCCAATTTCAAAAAAAGAAAAGAAAAAAAGAGTCCAGATGAAACGCGCTTTTCGTCAGAACTTACGGTGGACATATTACTAAGTATATATTGACTGGACTAGAGTTAAGTTAAATTAGTTGATTTCAAGGAGAAAGAAGAGAAAAAAAAGTAGCGTTTGAAGACTGAAAAAAAAAAGGAAGCGTGTATTGTATTGTTTGTTACAAAAGAGAAAGAAAAGAAGACGGGAAAATGGTCTTTGAAAGAAAAATGAAGTGCAAAGGCTGGGTCCAATCAAAAAAGGGCGGTTTGTCAATTTAGTACGTCACTTGAAAAAAGTTCTTTTCCACCACACAGAAAAGCAATGCCACATGATTTCGGGGTGTGTTGTTCGAAGAAAACTCTAGTCTCATTAAAGATTTAACCCGTGTTTTCCTATTTGAAAGGCCCAGAATTTCAGGCCGGCCATTAGAGTACTTTTATTTTTCATATTTTGGTTCATTCTCTGCACCTCGGAAAAAGAAAGAAACGTATGACATAAAAGACAATCCACTGTGTGTCAGTTGAAAAACGTCAGAATAAAGCTTGGGCAAATGAGAAATACCCGCCATTTTAGACGCTTTTTTGTTTTGTATAACCATTATCAGTTACCAACAAAGGTACGGGTAACAAATGCAATATTTCCAAATTCTTTACTATGAATTATGCAAAAACGTTTGCTTAAACAAAAATACAGGTTGCTGCCGTCAGTAAACTAGGTCCGTTCCAAGCATAAACAGCCAACATATAAATTTTAAAATGGAAACTGGCTGAACTAGATTAAGGTAAGTTTATTCTTATCATTTCAAGAACAGGAGAATGAGGTAAGATTAGTTAAAATCAATGGACAAAAGATACAAGAAAAAAAAAAGAAAAAGGGCATTGTTTACAGAACCATGAACGAACGAAAATAATAAAAAGAAAAGGAAAGAAAAAAAGAGAGTAGCGAATATCTCTTTTGTCCTTCCCTTCCCCATTCTCGTAAGTTTGCAGTTTGTAATAAGTTGGTTGTAGATTGTGTAGTCTTTTTAACGGTAAGACTTTTGGTAACGGGCACGGGCACCTGGACCACCGAACTTCTTGGGTTCACAACGACGAGGATCGGCAACAAGGAGAGTACGGTCGTATTGAACAAGGATTTCCTTGATTTCCTTCTTGGCAGCTTCATCAACGAACTTTTGGTAGAAGGCGACGATAGCCTTAGCAAGAGCTTGACGGATAGCATAGACTTGAGAAGTGTGACCACCACCGTTGACGCGAATTCTGATATCAACATTGGCGAAACGTTCTTCACCCAAAAGAAGGATGACTTCGTAGACCTTGAACTTTAAGATCTCGGGTTCGAGAAGGTCAAGGGGGGAACCGTTAATACGGATGAGACCACGTCCACGCTTGCAGTGAGCGACAGCAGTAGCGGTTTTCTATAACATTTGATATGAGGAAAAGAAAAATTAGCACTTGATGCGCTTCTCACCCATTGTCTTTAGTGCAAAAGATAAATCGTTGAGGAGAATCTTGGGGGGCGATCATGTCCAAAAGAGAACTATCTATATTGCTCTATCGAGTACTTTAAGAAATGCTGCCAAAACGTTGGTATACATTAAACAATGAGTCGCTGATCTGTTGGATTATAGAAATAGGTTGTCATCTAAACAAGTGGCATATTCTGAACTTTTGTGACTAAACTGACAAAGCTATTCATGGGTGGTGTCATTGTTGCTTCCCATCAGAAAATAAACTGATGCATAACTCACGATGCTGACAAAGACTGTTTGTAATATATGCTCCCATCTCTTTCCATCGAGCTGACTCTAGTGATTCTCCTCTGCAATCGAATTATCTGATTTCGCGCACTGCCATCAGTAAGTATTATTCATACCTTACGACCGAAAGTTTGAACAGCTTCCATAATGGCTACAATTTTAAAAAATGACAAATGTCGAATGTCAGCTCAAAATGAAACAAATCGATTCTATAGGGAAATTATTCTATCCCATCAATCCAACCCAAAGATCAATCCATCCATCTCTTCCTTCTTTTGATAGTATTTATAAGTATATCGTTCACTCATGCCGTCATAGGGATACGTTACCTTATGTGAAAAGGAAGGTTTGACATTATTGCTGACTTTCGTCTTGAATTTTGTTGGAGCCGGCACTTTCTCACAGCCCTTCATCCCCCATCTTCTTGGACGATTTGCCGGTAATTTAAAAGTGTGGGTCTCCAAATCCAGTTTTTTTTTTTTTTTTTTTTTTTTGTCTCAAATCAAAGAATTACTTTACAGTTTACCACTATCATTATAGTCTTACCTGCTGTTGCAGTATTTAATGAAGGTGTAAGCCACCTTTCTAATGTTGAATCTAAAATATGTACACTTTCAAAAAAAAATCAAACAATTGAGTGCGTTTCTTTATGTAAAAGATGATCTTTTTACTTGTCGACATGAATAGTGTCAATTCATTTGAGGGAATAAGTAGGTATAATGATCAATAAATAATATAATACAAAAATAGGTACACACACAGTGTATATATAGATACAATGACAGTGAAAACTTGATTGTGGAAGGGGGGAAGGGGGGTATATATAGTTAAATCTATGAGTATTATAAATGAGGTACACCAAGTGCACTTAAAGTCATTTTCACCAAGGCAAAAGTACCTTCACCAAGTACGAATCCACTAGCGATGACAATAATAAACACCTTGCCGCCTAATTTACGGTAAGGTTCAAGCCAGCTGCGAATTCGTCCAGTACAGCTCTTTGCCTCCGATTCATCGTCGCCCTGTTCGCAATACTTATTCCAGTAGTGAACAACGACGCCTCCCATCACACGTGCCAATGTAAAATTAGGGGGATTGTACATGCCGATAGCAAATGCAATACCTTGAGGAATGTACTTTGTCCATTTCTGATACTTACGAGCATACAGTGGATGGCTTTGGCCCAGTTCCTTGAGAATAACAAGTACAGTGAACAAGATAGCAAAGCCAAAAACAAACTCAGTAACATGAGGAGGTAGTGGATGACCGTTGACTAATCTAGACATATCAAGCCAAACCTGAGCTGTAGGAACAGGAAATTCCCGTCCAGGAAGAGTATAAACAGTTCTGAAGAGGAGATAGAAACCTGTTGCCAAAAAGACGCTTGCTAAGGAGCCTATCATTTGACCATAAAACTGTGCTTTGGGAGAGGCACCTAATAGATGGCCCGTCTTTAAATCTTGCATTAAATCACCTATGAGAGGAGAGGTAAGTAAAAAAAAAAGTGTTTCTGTCAAAGAACGCTATTTTTTTATATTATTTTTTTTACCTGCTTGTTGTGCACCTGCCTCTGCAATACCACCCGCGATAAGATTGGCTAAAATGCCCCCAGGCATGACTGCTGCAAAGAATACTTGGCTAATCTTTCCAATACCACTTACGGGGTTAAGATCTGTTTCCCCCAAGGCTCTCACACCAAGCACACTCAGAAACATGGCTACCAAGACAGCCAATAAAGTCATACCGATGGGCAGTACATCAGGGCCGAAAACAAGACGAACGAAAAAGATACAAGTGAACGTGGTGGTAAGTAGGCCTAGCATCGTTATCTTTTTTGGCACCAATTGGTTTGTCGGAGCGTCCACTTCAGTCTCTTCGACAAACAATGATCCTTCTGCTTCTTCTTCTTCTTCTTGTACATGATCAAAGAAGAGCGTTTCCTGATGACGTTTTCGCCGATAATAGGTTTGAATCATCATCTTGACAAGGACAAGACAGAGAGATATACATGCATCAGCAATCATCACACCGAGTGAGATCCATAAAATCCAACCTTTGGAGCCCGTTTTCCAATCGTTGACAGGCCCTGGTGCCCAACCCAAATAATATGCCATGGGAGACAAGATACCCCATCCAATAATACAACCCAACAGCATGGACAATGTCGTTGGAAGGCCCATGATGATACCTTGTCCGACGTAACTGAAACTAGGCGTCAAGGTCCATTCCCATGCTTGAAAATCAACCCATCCAAATGTGATCCAGTTAAAAATAGGCATATAGTAAATCGTAGGTACAAAATAGCTGAGCAAAGTATACAAGGAGGAGATAGTGAAGGACAGCACAAGACCACGTAATTTGATGGTCCAACTTTGCTCAAAATGAGCATCGTCCATGGTAGGCTGCTCTTCCTGTTGTCGTTGTCGTGCAAGTAAAGGCTGTTCCTCGGAATTCATGATGCGATGTTTGTTGGCACTTTGTGATGCAACGTGATTCTTCCGTGTCATAGTGCTCATCCTTTTCTTCGACTGACCCGTCGTAATGTCTGTACGAGTAGTAAGAGAAGTAGTGGTGGTAGTAGCAGTAGTAATAGTACTCGTGGGATCAGGTTGTTGGTGCAAAATACTGATCATCTGTGCTGTAGCTGTTCCAGAAGGAAAATTGAGCTTTTCTCGTATAATTGTTTGCTTTCTAAGAGGTATCGCAAAGAACACACCAAAAAATGCGATTCCTAATGACCAGAGTATCAGCTGACGACCATTCAAGATGACAGGCCCTGAAGGATTGTCTTCTTGTGTCATTATTTCCATGGCAGGAATGACACCAACAAAGCCTATGAAAAAAATGTGACCGAAAAAGATAGATGAGTACAAAGTCACCATGACAATGAACATTGTATGACAATTTTTTTGATCTCTGCTTCCATAACTAAATCTTTGTATTCCATACCTGCTGCCAAGGGCATTGTAGCAGTTGCTACAGCTGTGGTTTGCAAAACAACATTTTCGATAGGCCCGAATTTATGCTTTAATAAATGCTGAAAGGGCTTAAAGATAGCAAATCCTAGTAATGAAGACTGGAGCGACATCATAGATATCCATCCTGTTTGTAACCCAAAGTACATATTAGAGAAACACATCAATGTGCCAATGCATAGTCCGCACACCACAGCTCGGAACTAACAATATATTCCATTCGTTAGCTCTTGATACAAAATAGAACAAAATAAAAAAGTCAAATCATTATCAGAACCGTACTGTGAAATGTATATCAACTCTATTGGGCGTATTCTGATCTTTTGAGATAGAGTCTAGCAAGAGTGACGTTTTAGAGAGTTGTACTGGTATGTGCATACGGAAGAAAAGAGACTGTTTACCTCGACAAGATGGTTGATGACGACGACTTATAATGCTATCATATTTCATAATGAAGACACTCAGTCGTATTGAAAATACTAGTGAAGTGAAGGTGGCGGCTGATGTTATAAATTGTAAGGATACAAGGATAAAGGCTGGTTCGTATAGACCGTACGTAGACCACTTCTTTTTGATTTTATGTTTTTAAAACAATGACGATTTTTTAGCTTATCTGATTGGCCGAGATAAGCTTTCTTTCATAGTTTTGATTGGCTTACACTGTTTTCACGGCTTTTTTGGAAAGGGCCGTTTTGTTTGCCCATGCTGACAAATTGAATAAAATTGCATAATGATCGGATATCCATAATTTGTTACTTTAAATGGGCATTTAATTACGTAGAGTACTTTGCGCTTGAAATTTCAAGAATCAAGAAAAAAATAGTCTAGCCAAGGAGTCAAGGGCGAGCGCAAGATATGTTCAAAAGAAAACTCCCGAGGCCAGTTTTCTACGAAGAGTAATCTCTCAACATTTATTCATGGGTGGAAAGGAAAAAGATGGAAAACTACAGAGACTTCCACGCTATCCCTCGTGGGTCTCTCGGTTGGATAGAAAGGGACCACATTCCCCGTAATGGACACGATATTCTTACTTTCGCCCATAACTCAGTTTTGAACCCATGACAGGATGAAGGGTTTCTAATGAGGATTGACTTTTTACTTTTGCAGCCGATTGGTCAAGATGTCATTGTAAAGTCTGTGAAATGGATGGAGACCAGTCATGCTATGGTACCGACTCTTAAGAAAGACTGTATATACTTATTGCTTGCTTATCGTAATATGGCTGGGAACTGATAAACATTTCTTTCCTACTATAAAGTAGGTTTAAAGTCAGATGCTGTATTGGTGTGTTTTTCCCTTTCATCTTAGTATCACTGTCACTTGTCTTATAATCATCGTTATTTTGTGAATTACGGATTGCATGCTTTTGAGATTACCACCTCTACTGACATTGAACAAGAAGAATGTACAGAGATTTTTATTTTATGTTGTACTCATTATAATAGCTACTTGGACATTATTTTACTTTGGCTGGACAAACTTTTCACCATTGTCATTGTTCGAAAGCAATACGACGGTTACCACTGCCACTATTTACAACACGTCTTGGCATTGTCAAGGCGAAGGCAGAAATCGAATATGCGAGTTTACCAACTTTTGCATCGATCAGACAAGGGGCCCTTTTGTCGTCCATACCAACAATGCACTGGGGGAGCTTCCTCGGTTGAATATGATCAACACGCACCAAGGGGAGGATATATGGTTCCAACCGCGTCAATTGACTCGACCAGTGAAAGCTTATTATCTGGATGAGACAGTATTTGTCTACGGACTCTATTCACCTTATCATTTCTCGCATTTTTTATTCAACGGATTACTGCCTCTCTATAGTACAATGCAAGAAATGAATGCTTCCAACACAGCGTGGACAATGAGAGTAGCTACGTTTGATTCATTACCTAATGCAGGGTTCGAGATACTGTTGCCAACGATAGGCAAGGACATTGTGCTGAACCGAGCCGACCTAACGACGACTTCCTCCTCCTCCTCCTTCCGTAACAGCAGTAGTATGAGACGACAGCAATTAGCCACCTATAACAAACCCATGTGCTTTTCAAAGGCGGTGGTGGGCACAGGGAATCGTTGTTCTTCATGGTACTGCGACCGACAGATTCCGACAGAACACTATGCCTCCTTTAAATCCTTTGTTTTGCAAGAACACGCTGACGTTCCAGAGAATCAATGTGCAGCCGCTAAAATTACCTATAAATCCACCGGCCAGTATAAAGTAGGCATTCTGAACCGCCGGAAATCACGACATATCACCAATATACCCGAACTCATTGCCCGCTTATCAGACATGAATCAAAAGCAGGATGGTATAGATTTTCAGATTAGCTTGTTGGATTTTGATCAGCCCGAATGCGATATTATCAATACAGCTCACTTGGTGAAAGATTTGGATATCATGATCGCTCCGTTCGGTAATGGATTGGGAGCAGGGTTGTTTATGAAAGAGGATTCGGTACTCATTGCGATTTCAGCAAGATACTGGAATGAGCCGTGGTTCAAATACCCAATGACAGCCATTGGAAGACGCATCTTTAATTTTGAATGCCAAAGTGAGGTCTGTAAGGAATATGACGAAACACTCGCCAAGAAGATTTTGTGGGATGACTATCAGATCGCGTTGAATCAGACTGAAATGCAAGAGTTTTTGACGACACACAATCCGGAACATATTCTAGGGCCGTATTTACCTACAAAAGAACAAGCCTGGGAGCCGTTTCTAAAGTTTTACAAGAATACAGCGCGTAGAGTAGATGTGGAGAGATTTGTACCCTATTTGAAAGAAATCATGAAAAACAAACCACCCAAGAATATGAGCTATCCCGAATCATGCAAGACACCCAATGTATGTTGTGATCTAGACTGTAAAATACCCTTAGAACGAAATGTGTTTGGCGAAAAAAGTGCTTGGAAAAACTACCTTTAACACCAAACGCATAAATGCTTTTTTTTTTTTTTTAATTTTCGTGTTTTTATTCTATTCGGCCAGACAAGAATTTCTTTGTGCGATCAAAGTGTTTGCCAACCCCATTCTAAATTTTTTCATTGCCCATTCCCAATTTTATAAAGGAATGAAAAGTAAAGAAGCATTTTTCGTGAGTGAACCAAGTAAAAGGGAAGAAGTCTATTAGTTTATTATATGTATCTCAGAAGTGTATATCATTCCTATTTGCTAAGTGATAGGAGGGAGGGAGGGTGTATAAGAATTTGGCAAGAATACATCTTCAACAAAAACGAGCAAAGGATAGTATATTGACATATGCCTACTCATAGTATAACCAGCCATATGTGACAGACTTTCTTCTGAAAAACCGATGAATTTAAGAACTTCATAGTAGTGGTATTATGATGTTAACTAGCAGTTCAAAACGAGCTAAACATTATCATTCCAAATTTGGAAAGCAGAAAAGCTTTTCGCAACATAGCAAATCAGTCTGTCAACAACTTTCAAAAATGCCTTCAGTAAAAAGCAGACCTGAGGTTAAACACAAAAATTGAGTGATGCAAAAGCGAAAATTGGACTTTATTGAGACAAAGGTTGGTTGAAAGATCAAAGCGAAATCAGCTCGTTGAAAAGCGAAAATTGGGAGTGAGCCACTGGTGCATTGGTTTATAAAATTGGGAAAATGGGCAATGAAAAATCTAGAATAGTCGCCAAATAAAAATGTTTAATTTCTAAAAGAAAAAAAAAAAAGAAGTGATTTCTTATTTCAATTCCTTTCTGTTAGAACAAAATTGCATCCAATGTCATCCACGGAGAAGAAAACTGGTAATTCGTGGCGTTACATACACACTATAACTTTCCTGTCTTTTAGTTTTACTTATTGCCTTCCGCTTATCATGAATTAGCTGGCTATAGCAGTAGTGCTACTCGAACTGAACAACGTCGTCCTCCTGGACCCAAAAATTTCAAAGAATGGTATTTACTCTCTTACAACCAAGTATCCTTTTTTGGTTGGTTTTGGATATTATTCATGACATGCTATACATTGTATCTTGAGGAAGGCGATTGTAAACGTGTATTCGCGGTGGTTGGGCCTGGACTAAGCTATGTGCAGACAGCCGCTTTATTCGAGGTAAAGTAGAGTGTGTAAGCAAAGCACGGATATATAGATGAGCCAGATGAAAAAAAAAAAAAAAAAAAGACTAATGGATCACTGTGCTCCGCTACCTAGGTCCTGCATTCACTCTTTGGGTTCATTAAAACACCTCTCTTGACCACCTCTCTTCAAGTGGCTTCACGATTGTTCTTAGTCTGGGGAGTCAACTACTTTGTGCCGGAAATTCATAAGCATTGGTCATTTACTACCATGGTCTTGGCTTGGTCCATTGCCGAATGTGTACGTTATATATATTATATCTTCCAACTCAGCGGCAACGTCCTGCCAAATTTCATCAAAAATGCGAGATACAGCTTTTTCTTAGTGCTCTACCCCTTAGGTGTATTTTCTGAATTGACAATGGTGTATTTAGCTCTACCTTATGCGAAAGCCATCAGCCCTCTTTACTATTATGCACTTATTACTGCGACCCTCCTATATATACCAGGTAAAAGAAGACAAAAAATGCTCATCCAGCCACAGCAGGAGGGAGTCTTGACAAAATTACTATTTTTATTGTAGGCTTTCCTATGTTATTTTCACATATGTTGGTTCAAAGACGCAACTATTTGAAATCTGTAGCTGCTAAAAAAGCTAAAAAAGCGCATTAAAGACTAGAAGCTGATGTCGACAATGCCACCACTATTGATAGCATAGGATGCTTCACTTTCAGGCATATCGGGCGAATCGAATAACTTTGCAACACGCTCTTCACCACGGCCTTTTCTTAGATAGATACGTGTAGATGAACTAGAGACCCCTCCCCATTTGCCAATAGCATATCAGAATAAGAAAACCATGAGTGAATACATAAAAAAAAAAAAAAAAAAAAAAAAAAAATAAAAAAAAAAACTTACGCGTGGGCCAATACATGGCCTCCAACCGGCTTCTTTGGATCAGCCACAAATGTCATACCGGCTAAATAGAGAAGGGCTATAAGTATCCATCGTTTTGTGAGTGTTGCCCTAGGTTCATACTTTTAGTTTACCTCCAGGATCAGAAGAGACTTGATTGGTTAAAAAGACAGCAATATTATATTCTTCAGAGATCTTGATGAGACGACTCAACATTTGATTCAGTTTTTGTTGTCTATCGGCCAATTCACCACGACCGGAATAATCACAGCGAAAAAGAGCCATAATGGAATCAATGATCAAAAGACGATAAGCGCCCTTCTGGTCAGCAAAATGCGCGGCCAATTCATTAATAAGGTCCATTTGTTGATCGCTGTTCCAGGCACGAGCGACGACAATATTGTCCAATACAATCTCAGGGTCTACGCCGAAACGGTCGGCGATAGAGATGATACGGTCAGGGCGAAAAGTGCCCTCCGTATCAATGTACGCTGCCTTGCTACTGGCGCCTCCATCTTCGGCGGGTAACTGAACTTGGACACAGAGCGTATGAGCTAATTGAGTTTTACCCGTTCTATACTCGCCAAATGCTTCCGTCAGCGACATGGTTTGGACACCACCTAGATTGAATTGTTTGTTTGTTTTGTTTGTTTTGGTTATCCCGTTCATCACTCAAGTGCGGATTCGAGTGCGTCAAGTGATGTCTTTTACCTCCAAGAAGAGTATCCAGTTGCTTACTACCCGTTGCAATTTTGACCACTTTTTCTCTCTGAACAGCTACTTCTTTAGCAGAGACAAAAGATGGCCCCTTTGTTTTTTGTCGTATGTTGACGAGAAAGAGAGATATGAAAAAGTGAGAGTAACGTCTACATTTGCCCCCCGCCTTTCACGAATCATTTTTTCTGTTGTCTTACTTGAATCTTCATGGCGGCTTCTTTGATCTTGTCTACTTTGGTTTCAGACAGACCCTTCAACTTTAAAAGGGCTTTCTTGGTCATCATTTGTACACCCTATTTTTCCCATAAAAGAAGTAGGAAAAGGTTGTCAGAAATGTCAGCATGGTCAATTTCCCACCAAGAGCTGAGAAAAGGAAGATGACATGACTTTACTCTCACTGTACAAACACCTGCCACTTTCAACTTTGTGATATCCGCCACACCTATGCCATGAGCTTGCAATTCATCAATCTCAGTGTAGAATAACTTGAACGGGGGTCAACAAAAAAGTAAGTTTAATCTGTCAGTTTCCAATTGACCACGTGCACGCTTAAAGGCCAGATGTTTTACCTCCTCTTCCGCTAAATGCATTGGTTGGCCTTCCTGCTGTTCAGGGCCGGGAGTCATTGTATCAGGTACAACGGATGAGTCTCTTCTGGAAGGCATGGGTTAGATTTCCTTGGTTCTTGTATGAAAAAACCAATGTCAAAAAGGGGGAAAAGCAAAGGTGAAAAAGGTGGAGAAAAAGGAAAGAAAAAAGAAACACAATCTTGTCATCAAGAAAACACGTTATTTTACGCGTTCAAATAGGTTGTTTTATTATTGTTGTCAATCCAAACCAAGTCATTGATCTATTATCCGACTTTGACGAGTCTACTCTACTCAGGCACCAAACGATGGGTTTTCTTTTCTTCAACCCCCCTTTGGTTTTGTGCAACATCAATATGTTTAATTTGGGTACAAAGCATTTCCCTCTGGTTTTTTTTTTTTTTTTTTTTTTTTCTTTTTCCTTTATCCTTTCATTTGTTATCTTTGCTCTATTTCTTTTTGATTACATCAAATACTATTGTTCCCTCATTCAAACAAACGATATCCGGAAATGACCTCAGCAATGACAGCCCAACAACAGCAAAATCTGGAAGAGATGCAAGAAAGAATAGCCTCTGCTAGAAGAGACGCTGATTTACTGAAAGAAAGAATTAAACAGAGAAAAGAAGCTTTAGCAGATACATCTTGTAAAATGAGAAAAGCATGATAGAAAAAAAACAGTAGCAGTTCTCGAGTCTGATGCACTCTACTTTTCTTTTTTTTTTTTTTTTTTTTTTTTTTTTTTTTTTTCTTGATGATGGTAGTACGGAAAATGGCAAAGGATATCCCTTCTTTGCCAAGAACAACAATGAAAGTAAGGCGTACTCTAAAAGGCCATTTAGCCAAAGTGTATGCTATGCATTGGGCCAAAGACAGTCAAAATCTCGTCTCGGCTTCTCAAGACGGCAAATTGATTGTATGGAACGCTTACTCCACCAACAAATTACATGCTATCCATTTACGTTCTTCTTGGGTCATGACCACGGCTTATTCGCCCTCGGGTCAATTTGTCGCTTGTGGCGGTCTCGATAATACATGCTCTGTTTACAACCTACAATCTCACCATTCAAAACAACAACAACAGTATCCGCATAGCAATCACAGTTTGATCGCAGACCATAAACCAGCCAGAGAATTAGCAGGCCATTTGGGCTACATCAGTTGCTGCCGATTTCTAAATGACGATGATAGACACATTTTAACGAGTTCGGGCGATATGACGTGTGCACTGTGGGATATCGATGCTGGCGTGCGACTACATGAGTTTTCAGAACACATGGGAGATATCATGAGCCTATCGATTCATCCCAACGATTCAAATATCTTTGTCACGGTTGCTTGCGATTCAACAGCTAAACTGTGGGATATCAGAAAGAAGAAATCAGTACAGACATTTGCAGGGCACGAAGGGGATATCAATTCAGTGCAGTAAGTGTGTTATTTATTCTCTATTGGAATCTGAGCCTCCATCGATTCTACCTATCCCCAATGACACACCCCCTCTCCTCCTTTGTAGATTCTTTCCCAATGGTCACGCTTTTGGTACGGGCTCGGACGATTCAACTTGTCGTTTATACGACATAAGAGCAGACTGTGAATTGAATGTCTACGCTGACAGCGTGAATAATAATAATATCTATGGTGTTACCTCCATCGATTTTTCAAGATCAGGGAGGTTACTTTTCGCTGGTTATGATGATTATAGCTGTCAAGTGTGGGATACACTGAAAGGAGATCATTTAGGCTTTCTGGCTGGACACGAAAATAGAATTTCTTCCCTGGGTGTGTCCAGAGACGGATTGGCTTTATGTACTGGTAGCTGGGATACGTTGTTAAAAGTCTGGGCATAGTTCCCCCCACTCCCCTCCCCCTTTTTTTTTTTTTTTTTTTTTTTCTTTCCCTTTTCTCGCACTACACTTATCCTGTCGGAGATATAGAAACAGAATGTCATTTTTGCTTTACTTTTTTTTTTATTTGTAAAAGAAATTCAATGGGATATAAAGAAAGGAATATTGTGTTGTTTTTATGCATATAGATGTGTGTGTCTATAGAATGCGAGCTATAAGTTTACAAAAGGATGCTGCTTTTCCATGCTTTGTCCGTTGGCCTCTTTTACTCAGAACAAGCAGCCCATTGGTCGTTTTCGTCCTTGCCACCATAAGCAGTCACTTCATTTTGACCTTCAGTCAAGACAATGTCATGAGAATGAAGCAAGTTACCCGTTTCGACATGCTTGATAATAACAGGTTGGTTGACTCTCCAGAACTATTGTTTAGAAAATAATTTAATATCGAGCTATTTTGCCCAAAGAAAAAAAAAAACTCCAACCCACTCACGTTATCATATTGTTCGTCATCTTCATCATATTGAAGGACTTGCCAGATATCGTTTTCATCGCTTTGTTCATCATTACCGAAACAGGAGACTTCTTGTTGACCGGTGACGGGGCTTTCAATATTATGGGAGTGCAAATGAGCGCGAGTAGCAACGTGAACAAGACGGAACTTGTCTTCAAAACCAACTTCGTAGCCGGGCTCTTCTTCAGTGACAGGAGGAGGGAGGACAATCCATTGGCTTTCTTCACCACTGCTTCCTTCGGTTGTGAAAACCTATGGGGGATAGGAGGCCATTTTTAGACGCCAATGGAGAAGAGGGAAACTCATCTCTATTTCCAAAGCCGAGTCCCCGTTTTTCCTGCCCTTCTCTCCAATTTTTATCTGCCATACATACCTTTTGTTGGTTAGAGCCACCTTCATATTGTTGACCACCAGTAGAGTTGAGAACACGGTTGGTAGCAACGTGCTTGAGAGTGATCATGTCACTTTTTTAACGTCAAGCAAAAAAAAAAAAAAAAGTCAGTATCAACTTTTTTAATCTCTGTTGACCCTTTCCTATGTTCTTACCCGAAACGAATAATACCATCTTCTTGAGGAGCAGACATTTTATATTGGATGAGGACGTTAACTTAGTAAGATAAAGAAATCGATAACAGTAACAAAAGAAAAAAGAAAAAAAAAAAAAAGCACCTGAAAGAAGCGCGCGTTAAAGTTGTATTTATATACTTTTCAGACACTAAAGAAGTTTATTGCAGTAAGAGATTACGTTGACTAATTTATTTTCTAGATGATAATGTTTCTTTGTTCTATTTTCGGCTCTGCAAAAATATAAAATGCAGTAAAACCCCAATATTTAAGTTTAAGCAGACAATTTGGCGTTTTTGACATTTTAAGCAATGCAGAATGATCAAAGTAAGGTGCACGAGGTTAATTCGTCTGAGCCAATTTCGAAAAGAAACTCATCTCCCCCCCCCGAACAATCCCCCCAAAGAAAGCATTTTTTGCTTCTGCTAAGCAACGACATGGACAAAACGCTAAAAGAGAATGGTTTAGTCACTCATCGATGGCCTAGCATCTCCCAAGGTTATTTATTTGGCAAGGCACAAGCCCGCCATTGAGCTCGGATCCAAGTACCTATATGAACACAGTATGACGTTGCCTTTAGACTTTAGGTCGTTTTTCCCCCTATTCTGAGAATCATCATCATGGAGCCCTTCCGATTGTCTTACAATGATAACTAGCTTTTTTCCCAAAAAATGATGACTTTATGTCTAGAAATTCTGCTTTTTATTTTGGGAAACGAAAAACGTTGCAAACTTTCTACTAAATAAAGTTTTATCTAGAACCATCCTACAGCGAGTGGCCGATAACATTTACTTGTACAATGGACTTGTCACATGATCGGAGTGAGCAAATGAGTCCTGTGGTAGAAAAAAATCAAACCCCACAGTAGATGCGCTACTGTTTGCAACATCCACTTTATGAATTGTCATTTCAAAGAGAATTATGCAGCTGAGTTCGGTATGAAAACATATAAAAAAATAATGAGACCCATATGATAAACGTAGAACACTACTACCATGTTTAGTGATTGTACATATTAGTCATCTTCTCGAGTCTACATGACAATAAATCAGGAATCCATTGGCAATTTTTTTTTTTTTTGTCTTACTAATCGTTTTAAAAAAGCCAAGAAAACCCATTTAACTTTCAAAATGTGTGGCATTTAGCTTATTTCTGTCGGAAAAAGTAATACTCAAGATCGCTGATAAGGCGAAAGTCTCCGTCCCAAAAAAACGAAACCACATACATTTGTTTATGCGCAAATGTCAAACGCGCTCGTTATGCCGGATATTTATTATGTAGGTTAATCATTTGTTGCTTAACTTACAATGCATGCCCTCAATGGACTGATTCTATAGGTTTGAAAAACTGGATATTGAATGAAGGTTTAACGGCTTTCATATCTACATGTACATACACTTTGACGGAATACAAAAATGCTAAACAGATAGTTTCGTGCTCTTTTTCTTTTGCATACATGTCATTCTTATATTGCTGTTGTGAGCCAGAAACAGTGACCTTCATTTGCTGGTGGACAGGATCATAGTTATAATCATACTGCTCTTCTCCTGCTATAGTAGTGGTAGTAGTAGTAGTAGTAGTAGTAGTAGTAGTAACTTGAGCGTTGTTCAACGAGCCCTTTCTAAACAAATGGATGGGCAATGCCAGATTATAGTCTGGCAAGTAAATGTCTATGCATTGGTGAGAAACTCCAATAACAATGGCTTTCATACTGATCCACCTTGCTCCTAAATCAAGACATTGACGATAGATAAAGGCCGCCGTATAGAGTTTCTTGCTCTCCGCTTCTGCGGCTAGTTTGAGTGCTTGAGACGAATTGCAGCGACTGGCTATCCTTACAATGTCTTCGTCATCCGCCACCCTCTCTTCATCGTGGTGGTCAACAGCACCACTACTATTACTATTACTACTGCATCGAAGCGCCATGCTGAGTTGTTTTTGTACTTGAATGGAAGCATAATTAGAAAGAGGTTCAGTAAATACGGTGTAGATGGAAGCACCATACGTGTAATGATTGAATTTTGAAATATCCACAGCGCCTGCACTATAGTATTTGCCTTCAGGAATACATTGACGAATGATATATCGAAGTGCATCCTGTTTTTCAGGACAACTTTCATTCTCTCCAATAAGCTCCCAAAGACCCTGTAGAGAAAGGGTGGCGGAACCGTTTTGGAGATAACTCTGAACAGACGTCTAGTCATCGACAGAAAAGGACCCCGTCAACCTTCTGCATCCATACACACATCTTAGCATTGTATTTTTCCCCCACTTACCAACTTGGAGAGAGACGGCTCTTCTTGACGATACAAAAGAGCTTGGTCAGGAAATTTACTACAAATCTTTTGTCCAACCTCCACATTCGCTGCAATGAGCAACTCTTGTAATAAAACCTCTTCATCCTCGTCGTCCTTGTGGACCTTCTCTGCTTTATCTGGATAGCCACTTTCAGACAGATGGAATGGAACGCCAACGTCTTTTGTCGCTGCAAGCAAACTCAGACCACCGGCTTTTTGGATCCTGTTTTGTTGAAGTTTGCGAGACAGTTGCAAGAGATGCTTTCCTGCTTGCAGGGTATCTAATTGTTTGTAAAGCATATGCTGTGTAGGTTGGACAATCGTTTTACCGATCCAAGTATGCAAAAATGACCCGTTGTGCGTAAACCGAGTGATCACAGAATAGGCCAACTGTGGCTGATGGATCTGGAAGCTACAGTGCGTCTTTAAAAAAGAAGGTGGGAAAAGAGGAATGGTTTTATCGGTCAGATGAACAGCACAAGCCCTTGTCCGAAGCTCACGATCCAAGGGACTATGGGTAGGGGAAAGTCGAGCAATATCAGGCACGTGTACACCCACTTCGTATATCCCATCTTCTGTCACCTTGATAGAGAATGCATATTCCGTGATCTCTGTACGCGTTTCATTCAGTAGATTCAAAAGAAAAAAAAAAGGGTGGTATCCTTTGAGTGATATAGCTTTTACGACTCCACTTGTTTAGATGAGGGGGGGGGAATCTACAAAAATATACCTGTACCCATTTTACTACAGGTGAAAACCTTTACGTCTTCCAGTGTTAAATCTCTTCTTCCTTTTCTATCTTCTTTTTGAATACCGGTAGGGATGGCCTCCATCGCCTCAAGCACGTCTTCTGGATAGTCAACGTCTCTTATATGATGGTCAGCTATCAAAGCTCCAGATTGCACGCGCAATTCACCTATCCAACCAATCTCTCTCTCAATCGTTCCGAATGGATGCAAAGAAGTGGCTGGCCAACGTTTGATTTTGCACTGCAAAAAGCAAGTTCAAGGTTATCATAAGGGGTGGGGTTTTGTCGCATCAAAAATCATTTGTACAAGTGTTATTTTTTTTACCATGAAAATTCTATTTTTGTATTCTTCATGATATTTGATAAAGTTGGGAGGCGCTTCTTTTAAGGGTATAGCTACAAGAGGTAGTCTTTTATCAGAGGGAACGAACCAAATGATCTTGGGATTGGCATCTTTTTTATCGCGACTGCTGTTGTCTAACTGTGCCGCGTAGGGTCGATTCAATGATATCACACTGTTATTTTCGTAGCCAAAAGAGAGTTAAAAAACCAGAGTTCTTTATGAAACTACAAACACAAGTGCTTTCCTTACCCTGAAGTTAACATGTGTTTTGGCCTCTCAAGAATGGACACCACTCTTCCACAATACTTGGGTCGTTCTCCAACTACTTCTTCCTTACTATTATCAGTCGTATCCACATCATTGAAAAAAGGATGATGATCCTCTGAAATTGAGGATAAAGGACCATTCGGAGTTGTCATAGCTGAGCTTGAGTTGAAAGATGATGTCGCTGCTGCTGCAGCAGCTGCAGCAGCAGCTACTACTGATAAACGTCTTGTTTGACGTGCTTGTCGTTTTGCTTGTTTTTCAAACAGCATGGCATCCACATCCACTAATTCTACAGCCACCTCATCCCCGTCGAGCGCTCGGTTTCTATTTCGTGATCCAAAGATGTAAATGGATGCGTTTAACGCTTCACATACAACATTGGCTTCCGAACTATCTTGTGGGTCGACCTTTAAAATTCCAGAATATAAGTGATGCGATCGTATAAGACGGTGTGCCTCTGATAAATCCAAATGGCTGGGATATACAGGCTTTCTCCCTTTCTGATTTGGGTGATTCACGTGAGGGACGAATGTTGACGATGGGCGGTGATAGATTGCTTCAGGAACTATATATATAAATAAATATACATATATTTATACAAGTAAATTACACAAAATGATCGACTTTGACACAACAGCAAAACACGTTTTCTGATAAAATAGATGAGCCATTGTATGTCCAATTTGTTTCTATTTACCTGATTGACTTCGGGAACGCTGTGGAATAATTTTCGTTGTATCCGTCAATGGTACCTTGTTGCTCATGCTATGGATGGTTAAAGGAGATTCCGGTAGGTCAACCAAATAGTCGTCTTGCACTTCTTTCAAAGCCATAAAAGAGTTTGTGAATATAGGTTTGCTGTTATTTGAATTTGTATGGTTCTCTCTTATCGTCGCTAAGGCAGGCTTGGATTTTTTCCAGTCAAAGTGAACTACTGATTTATGTGGAGGCTCTGAATACCGACGCACCCTTCTATAGGAGAAGGGTTCGTTCGTTTGGTTGTTATTACCAACTCTACCTTCATCGGCTTCTTCTTTATCTACAGGGAATGATTTCTTGGGTAAGCGCTTCATTTCACTGATGATATCCACAAGAGAATAAAATGCAGGAGAGTCCTTGTCACTCTCATTGTCACTCTCGCTGTGCTTTTTTTGATGGGTCACAACAGTGTTGGAACTTTTACGCCTGCGTCTGGTAGTTATTGGAATGCTCAGATTCGTGTTATTGTTGGTGTTCATAGTATTATGGCTACTACTAAAGGTGCTGGTGCTGCTGCTGTTGTCGAGACTTTTGCTCAACATCACAGGTGCATCTTCTGTTACTGCCGAATCTGTTTGTTTCGCCTCTTTCGGTATGGCAATGGCAGCTGTTGTAATAGAAGAGCGACGACGACCTCCTCGACCTCGTCGTCTATTTTTCTGACTCTTTTTCCTTCCTAGGCCATTCTCATTTGATATTGCCGTTGTGTTTGCTGGTTGGCCAGCTGCAGGATAAGTTTCCTCGTCGGTTTCGGTGCTGTTACTAGAGACAATGAAAGCATGCTTTTATTGTATTTTATTATTTGAATGCACAGGTTATTCAACATGACAAGTACAAAAAAAAAAAAAAAAAAAAAAAAAAAGTCCCAATTCATGTCAAAATAAAAAGATCATCACTCGTTCGATATTACTTGTACTTTAAGGCGTTCCTTTTCTTCACTGACTCCCATCTCCAAGGTGTTCGTTTCGTTATTGAGTCAAAAACAGACTTACAACATCAACAAGTGAAACAGAAAAAAAAGAAAAAAAAAGAGAAAAGATCAATTCAACGACAAAAACCTCGCTTTTTTTTTTTTCTAATAAAAAATAGCAGGAGACGGGCAGACGGGGTATGTGTGTGAATTCAATTGCTGGCTTAAGGACAGCAGTGAAAAATCAGTTTCCGCGCCCTTGATTGAATCTCCACTCGCATAAAATTCATGCTCGACCAACCTACACTTTTTTGACATTTTTCAACAAAAGCAGGGGAAAAAGCTTGGAGGTCGAGGGATGAGCTTAATTATCGTAGGTGAAAGGGTAAGTTGAGAGAATTATTGTACAGTCACAATGTTACTTTCTTTTTTTTTTTGACAGCAACATCCATATGGAGACAGAGTAATTGAATGGTATTGTTAGTAACAGTAGAAGCAAGCATTACTGGTGAGTATTCTGTAGACTGCAAAACACCAACAAGAACCAAATTTCCCATCACGCCACCGTTTAAACGAGACGGTTGGTATAATACATACAACCGGTTGAAAAGGGTACAAAAGAGATAGAGTATGTGTGCATACTTATCTATAACCACAACGAGAGCAAATGTAACAAAGTCTCCCGACGAACCGGTAAAACTACTTAGCCATGTTTCTTCCGACTATAGAAAAAAGAAGCAGCTCAGGGCAATCCCTAACCAAGCGTTTTCTTCGTGTCAACTCATGTTTTTCTGTTACTAGTACGTGAACACCCGGCTGATGTAAATGTACACTATAGTATAAAAAGGCGTTTAAAAATAGTAGCCATTTTTTGGTGAACCTGGATACTTTTTGATGGATTGAAGGCATTTCTTGTTGCTACTGTGAAGCACACATCTGAAATGACAGAGGGTCGGCTGTTTGGGCACTTCTTTTTGGATTTGGCTATTTCCCGTCATCAATAAGAGTCTCCCTCAATTTCACTACCAGCTCAATCACTTCTTGACAGCTATACCCTCCTTTCCTCCGACCCGCCATAGTTCAAATCCTTTTTTACTTTTGAGCACAAAGTTAGACTTGTACAATACGTTTGGGTCTGTTGTAGGTAATTTTCATATCTCGTGTCCTATGGGCTTTCAAATTTCAAGTATTTGCAATAAAAAAGCTTGTTTGAACGCAGTGTGCGGAAAACCCCATATGGTCAATCAGGTGAAGCGTGCCTTTTTGATTGGGCAAAATCAGGCAACCTTTCAAAAAAAAAAAAAATTGACATACTCCCTCATGCAAGCGATTTGATTGGATTAGTTTTGTTCTTTTTTTTTGTCTTCAGGAAAGAAAAGAATAGAGAAGAGAAAAAATCATGATCATGACAAATTTATATATAGTACAAATCAGGAAACGCTGAAATAATCATTTAATTACGTAGTATATAGGATGCAGTACTATGTAGTAAAATTGTACAAATAAAAGGGAACTAAGGTATAACTTGTTTACAAGTGAGGTTGGTGGGATGGTAAAAAGAGACGAACTTTTTGAAAGAAACAGTATATGTATGGCGTAAGAGGGAATGAGTATGGTTAGTGACTATAGTACAATGATTGATAACGATTGAATCGATATTTGATATATTGAGAGAAAGTACTCTTCCTCGTACCCACAAAGTTGGCACCATGAGACGCGACTTCAGCATCGATCATAGGAATCAACGAAGGTGCAATCAAAGAACTCTTTTGAATGGCTTCATTATCCACTGAATCATTACCACTCAGCAAAGGAGCCATTGTCAAAGTGCTTTCAATCACATCAGGAAAATCGGAAAGTGTAAAAATACAAGGAAATTCTTCAAACAGTTCTTTCAACGTCGTACGAGGCTGAGGAGTATCTGTCGCCATGTAGATGAGACGTAATCTGGGGTGGCTGCTCACCTCATGCCACACAATGCATTGATTTAGCAAATCCATCTTGTTGACTGGGTTCTTCTCATTGATCATTTGGAGTTGTTGTAGCTTCCATTCATCATCGGCAGTCAGTGGTGTTGCTGGTCTGATGACCCAAGGCTCTTGTTGTGGTTGCACAAGCTGTTTTTGTAGTTGTTCATTATCCAAATTGGGCTGTTCTAAGGTATTTCTGAGGTTGTTTAATGTCTCCTCTTGTAGGTCCTTGAAAAAGCCATCCCCTTGACGAAGATGCACGCCAACAAAGCTACCAGGACCATTCATCAAAGAAATGATATGAAGTGCTTGTTCAATAACAATAGGATGTGAAAAGCTGGTTGCTTGACGCAAGTGCTCAGCAAGCCAAACCAAGTAAGGGTCTGAGAGAGCCAGTCGTAAAGTGTAGTGGAGAGATCCAAACACGATAACGGTTTCATCTCTGTTACAAAGATCTTCCATTTCGAGGCGGCGACTGAAGGAGTGTAGGGAGTCTAGGTTGTCTTTGGAATCGTAAATACGGTAGGATTGGCGTGCATCATCTTCGACGCGGTAAATTTCCTCATCTGTGAGAGACAGAACGTCGCTAAAGTAACTGGAAGACATATTGGAGCGTTGGATGGTACGGACACCGGCATTGTGGGCTGCCGTGAGATCAAATATGGTTTCAACAGATACAGGAACGTATTTTTTGAAATCGTTACAGGAAACATTTTTGGATGGATGAGCCGAAGTGCATTCAGATAAACGTTCTTCCAAAAAGGGTGTTTGCTTCCAATAGATGCCTTTCCCTAGGTTGATCTCAGGTAGAATAAGTGTGCGGTTGAGGACTTTTGCTAATAGAATAGCATTGATAAGGCCAATGCGTTGATTATGAAGGCCGGAGTGGGGCAAGTAGGTAATGAACTTCTCTTTGACAGCTGGTTCATTCGATCTCTCCGCTATCGTCATGGAAGGACTTATTTTCAGTTTTAATTGTATGTCCATTGAAGGCGTTGATGTGTATAAAAACGAGAACAGGATCAAGGTGAATGCGGACAAACATGTCGCCCACGCAAATTTCGAAGAACGCAGCATGGAAATGATGAGGATTTGAAACGATAGGAAAGACTCAAAGAAAAGGATCCCAAAATGTTGGAGAGTGATGGGCTGTATTTATACTGATTTCTATTTATGAAACAACATTAAAAATAGTAGCTTTCATCCACATTTTAGGCTTACCATGCCTAAAAGCATTGTGTTACTATCTCCCACTCACACTAACACTCACCCTCACACATGCACTTGTACACAACGATAAGGCTTAATGTTTATTTTTAAAATTTGAAAAATGCCCGCTTAGTCACATTCGTAGGGCTTGGAATTGAAAAAAAAAAGTTCTTTCGTGCTGCTTTATTTGGTAAAACGAATATTATTGTTTTCGTAGAGGAGGGATAAATGGAAAGTGTGGATAACGTATCCTTACAAATACTCTTCGCAGTAAATATCAAGCTCGTGACCTTCCCTTTACTAACAACTTAAAATGACGTCAATTATTATCAAGTTGTTGTATGCTTGTATTGGCAAGCCCTATGGCTATATCGCTGCGATATATTGCTTGCTCTCGTGCATTTGTGGTAGTTTTTCGTTTGACAGACGCGCAGTTCAACCTAGATGGGGAATTAAAAAAAAAAAAGGCGGGACGCGCTATTCTGTTAAATCCCTTCTCTTTTTTGCAAAAAACTGTTATTCTCATTTCTTCATGTAAAGGTAAAGCTTGCGAATTCAATTCATAAAGAAATAAACAACAATCAAAACACATCTTAATGCTCAAACAAAATTCTGGGAAGCAATTGGGCTTTGTTGAATGTTTGTTTGTTGCCTTTTTTTTGTATTAGAGGAAATTGATGTAAAATCCACAAATTCGAAAAAAAAATTGAACCATGTGGATTGCTATGAAAAAAGCGAAATTCACTTTCCGGCCACATGGAGTTTCTAATCACGATGATACTGTGCCGGATCAACAACTGAATCGAAAACGTATTTTACGTCTGTATTGCTGGTGAAGTTAATAAAAGCAGAAAAAAAAGGGGGGGAGGATGAGGAGAGCAGTGCATATAATATAAAGTTAATGTGGAGGTCCTTTCTTTTTACTGCTTTCATTTTCGTGGAATACATTCCTCAATCCCAGCGAAAAAATGACAATCCTAATGAAAGGCCTTGGTAGCAAGAAGGATGTGATGAGCAAAAATAAGCGTTAAAATAAGTGATTCGTTGTAAGCATCCACTAAAAAGACAAGAAAAAAAAAATAAATAAAAAGAACGAAAAAACTCCAGGGGCTGTCTTGACTTGTATATGCATTTTATTATACTCTTATGCCCATTCTTGTTTGATCCAGTATCTTTTTTAAACTTTAAAGAGTGCATTTTGCACATACTGATCCGCAAACATCATAACGTCCATATTTTATGTTATCTGCATATCTGTTCCTACTTCTTTTTTCATTTTCCTTTCTTCTTTAGCCAAATCTTGTCACTGTTTTGCCTTTAGGTCGTCATCAAAGATTACCTCATAAAAGGAAAGAAGGAAGGCAAGTCTGTCAACCATTGCCAGAACTATCTCTCGTAAATGTCTGATTCTCAGCATCTATACCATAAGTCCCATTATCCAGCTCATGCCTTCTTTTGGCCTCGACCTATCAATGAAGAAGATTCAATAAAAGGTAACACCTTCATTCCAACACCTAGTTTTGTTCATCGATCGATTGTTACACCACCGCACAGCGGCATACCTACACATTACAACTATCTCCACCATTCAAACACGAAAGACGCAACTGCAATTAAAAGCGTCTCAACACATTCTTCCTCTTCTTTCCAAATTTCCAGCGCTACGCAGTCGGCCTCCATTGTTACTTCGTCGCAAAGTAACACATCTTCCGTCAGAGCGAACGTGCCCTCTAGTAATAGCAGCAGCAGTGCTAACGGAGGTGGAGGAGGCTGTTTAGCTCTAATACTGGCTATTTTTGGAACCATTGGCTTACTATCATCCGTGGCTTTGATCTTTTTTTGTTGCCGCAAAAAAAGAAAATCAGAAAAATTCAAAAAGGCCCAGATTCAACCGTATAAAAATAAGGACCAACAGCAACAGCAACAGCAACAACCAGCAAAAGGTAAGGATTATGATCATCACAGTTGGGCAAGCTCTAGTACAATAAATACAATGAAAACAGCAGTGGAAGGGAGACTCTTATACGATACGCTGAAAACACAAATATCACAGCAGCAGCAGCAGCAGTACTTTTCCTCTCCTTACCCTACGATGTCTGTCAGAGAGAAGCGTTTAACCGCAGACACATTGGTAGATGAAACTTCATCTTTAATGCTCAAAAAGCAATACTCTCCTCAACTTGCTTTCAGTCCTAGTTTATCCGCAGATGGAGGAATGTTGGCTGTCCAACAACAGCAACAGTCTGACCTTAGTATTTCTCCTTCCAATACATTAATTGATAATGCAGGTGCCTTATCGAATTTGAATAATGAGGATGATAACTGCAAATCTGAGAACTATTACTATTCCGACTATGGCTACGCATCTTATCCAACAGAGCAACAACGAGAACAGCCCCAGAAGCAGCAACTACATGAAGAACACCAAACGAGGCGCAAGATCGAATTGTATGAGCCTCAAGTTCATTTCACTCCAAGCACCAACGATGACAATCCTTCCGAAAATATCCCTTACCCCTTGCCACACAACCCACAAGCAAAACGAGTGGTCGATCAAGACGATATTCATCGTTCTCAAAACAATACCAAAAGTCAAGACGGGCATGAGGCTATCCAAATGGAGAATTAAGCCTATCGTTTAAAGCATACCTTTTTCTTAAAGAAAACAGTATGGCATACATTCGTTTGCAAATTGATTTTAATCCCCTTTTTTCATTAGTTCACCCTTCATTATTATTTTCTAGTAATACTTTTAATAAAAGTCATTATTGATGTCTTTATACGGACTAGCTACTAAACAATTGCTGTTCATCTGCCAGGCTCACTCACACCGATAAGAATATTCAAATGTATATAGTCGAGTATTGCTGGTATCAAAAGCAAAGGGCGACAACTACACCACGTTATGTATCTACTTTTGTAGACTCTACATAACAGTAGTAAAGCCTTACAAAGTCTGTCGAGGCTCTCTAAAATAACAAGCCTTTACTCACTCTAAAAATACATTAATAAAGCAGATTCACATTTTGACAGTAAACCAGGGTGGGTTAGTAGTGAATGAAGGCGGCATAAATGGAAACAGCAATTGTTCCATTTATTCAAAAGTATATAGCTCTTGGCATTTTACCTAAATGCGTAGCTTTCTATTTTTAAACCTTTGCGACTTGCAAGGACTGTGGCCACCGTGTGCTTTACGGCCAGCTAAAACGACGCCTAAGTCAATTCGTCGTCTTACCATAAGTATTACGTCAACGCTCACTCATCTATTTCATTTGACATCAGACTCCACAACATCCCTTAGTCACTTGCAACAAAAATAGGCTTTTCTATTGGGTATGGTTGCTTTCCTACGTCCTTCTGACTTGGCTCTTATTTTTTCCTTTGGATCTACCTTCTCAGACGGTGATCTTCCATTTGTTGTGTTGGTTCCTAAGAAATGATGCGACAAAACTGTTCCTCATCAAGCCATTTCTATTCATCCACACTGTGATGCCTTGTTGATTCCTGTTGCTTGCTTTAGGGTAGTTTAGTACCATCTTCAGCTGTACCTCACCCTTCCGACGCTCTTTTTGTTCCGATACAATTGTAGTAGCGATATGCCATTTCTTATCAAGGTATCAAGAGAATTGAAAATTGAAGCGAAATGGATATGAAATAGTGGGCTATGGTTAGAAGTCTCCTTCGAATATATAAATGATAACATGGTGAGACTCTAGCGGAAAATGGTGGGCAACATGCAAAATCGTTCCTTGGCAAGTAGAGTATTTGTTCTATTTCCAGTTGCGCGTCCACACCATTCAGTGAAAGAGAGACGAAGACTGTTAAACCTCTGCTTTCAACGTGAAGTAATGTGAACGGTGATACAAGGCAAATTTGAATAGAAGAAAACCTATAAAGTAGAGTTCAAATATGATATGCTGCACTACTAACAATCTGCACAACGTAATGCCTGTCTAGTATCCATTGATCTTGCGGGGCTTGCGTCAAGAGTTCAAGAACCAAAAAAAGTTGATCGAAAACAATGATGTCTTTAAGAAAAATGCAATTGATACTTTCGCTATAAACCATGGAATGAAACTTATTCGATCAAAAGTTTTAGCATTTGACCCCGCCCTTCTTGCTGAACTTTATTGCTAAGCTCAAAATTAAATTCACTATTGTAGATAATCCCTTATTTACAGCGATAGCTGTTCTACGATCTTTATCATTTAACTATTGTGTTTTTCCTATTTTTGAAGTTTTAATTTGTTGTCCATTCTTGTGTTTGCTACTTAGTCAATTGTATAGTTGATTATTAATGTTAGTTAATTGGGATACAACGCTAAGATTTTTTATTTTTTATTTTTTTTTTTTATTTTTTTTTTTTTTACAAACTTTAGTAGGATAAAGCAACATGTATTGGTTGTTTGCAATCAATTTTGGTATATATTGCAAAATCACAAATAGCTTCAATTTTCTTTTCAGTTATTTCAGCATTTCTGATAGAGTAATCAATATAGAAAAGCATACATAATGCTTGATTTTTTGTTATAACCTAATAAGCATCACTTGGCAATAAAAGCAAAAGATATCACAATTGTCAGATGGTAGCTAAGCAGCGTCTTACCTGATGTGTTACAATATTCGCTTAACAGATTTGAGATTCTATTATTTACACGCCAAGAGTTCAACACGGCGTTACAATCACTGATTATGAATGCAACCACTGATTTGCCACCTTCTTCCGCGACAATACAAACGGCACACTGCTGTGCTCAACAACATTGATTTTTGGTAACTGCTCGTACTATTAGACTTGGGATTCAACAATGCCAGTTCGTTGGTCATTTTTTGATCAAATTCTTACTTTATTAATGAGATCCCCCCCCCAAGAACAACATCTTTTGCCAATTGTGATAAATGAATGATAAAAAATAAGCCTCGAAAATTAGAAAGCTCTACATTTTTGCGAAAATACAAATTAATATAGCGATCCAACTTATCCATATTTACCCCATATTTTAAATTGGAACAATAAACGGATCTTTTACAGATTCCGCGAAAGGGTGTAACAACCATTGGTAATTCATGCAAATCATGAACTTTGTTTCTTAACCGCAAGGTGGGTTAGGTCGCAGCTTGAACCTTCTTGGAGCAATATTCATAATTTTATTGTTTTCAATTTGAAGTGAAGCTCTTTGCATAAAGTATATTCTTGTTGACATCTTACACTTAAGATAAAATCACGTCTGATACAATTTCCAAGCTATTACAGGACAGTAATGCTTCTGGCTACTCTATTAGCTTGATGCAACAAAATTGAGCGCTTCTCTGGGAACAATTTATGGCAAAGCCTTTTGCAGAATATGTACAGTATGTTTGCACCAACACTAGGAAGGCTTCAGTATCGCCATCATCGTTTGTCATCTGGCACGTGTTTTTTTTTTTCAAATTGATGCTGAAGATAAGAATGCTTTTATTCTTTGAGGTTATCGTACAAGGATCAACTGAAGTTATTCCACAATCAATACATATTTTTCTTCCATAAATTCAAACATACTATACTTACTCGAGTAAGCATTTGTATATGTTAGCATCCGGTTGTTACTCAACGCAATCTTAATAACATGCATTAACCATGTTGTAACTTTTAATTGCCCATTTTAAGAATAAAGTAATATTTTGAGTGGAAATTGTTTTATCAAATGAATATAATAATAGACTTGGGTAAGTTCAATCAGAATAAGATGCCGTTTATTAGAATAAGAAAGGGGAGTGTATTTATATGTTTATAATGCTATGTATTTTCTTAATGTGGGTATGCCTATTTGAGATGTTCAATAACAATATGTTTGAAATTAAATACTTATTATGCATGTTCTTGAAATAAATCATCTTTTATTCTGCTATTCGAGGGCCACACACACTTATAACAATTCAATATGATATGAGGTAATCAGCGAGCGTCTTGGTGGTACAATAATGTTTTTGTGATACAACAGAAATTGGTGGCTTCTCTATCATTGTAGCAAACAGCACAGTTGGCAAAGTAAAAGCTCAGAAAAAATATTTTGCAAGTTTGATGAAACTCTTTAATCATGACTGTAAATTGTCCTTCTGAATACAAGCTATATAGAATAGAAGAAAACACAAGTGGTGTTAGCTCATTTTTCAAGCAATATAATGCTGTTGACTGGAGCTTCTACAATTATTGTAATTTTCATAGAAATGCCCAAAGCAATGCGAGCAAACTAAAGCTATCTTATAACAATGACCTAGTCAATATCAATAAAGTAAAAAACGTTCCTGAGGAAATAAAGAGATATGCTGGAAATTTATACAATGACAATTCAAATAACTTGGTAGTAAATTGCAATAACTAAAGATAAATATCATCTATTGATTCTAATTTTTTCTTTATAAAAAATATGAAGAAACAAAAAAATAAAGAGGTCGCTAGAACCGTTAATATTGTTAATTCCAATGTTGGTGTGGTTGGTAAAAATAATGGAAGTGTTACGATCAATGATGACAATAACAAGAGAAAAGCCGAATTGGAGGAAGAAAAAGATAGTGAAATAGAAGAAGAAGCCAATGTTTATGCTGTAAACCCTTCATTACGATCGTTATACCCCTATATTTATCAAGTTTATCGAGAGACGTTGATATCGAAGATATCAAACCTAAATACTGTGGAAACACATTACAGGATATAATTTACAAGTATTGCTATGAATCATTTACAGAATACAAGAGAATGTCCAAACTACAAAGGTCGTATTACCATTGCTATTTGTCGGGCTGTCACGTTCTGACCTCTAATTCATATAACAATCTGAGAAACAATCCAGTTATAGTGTATTGGAACAAATAAGATTCCAGGCACACTGGGACAAATAAGATTTCATCAGGCACACTTCAACTTTCCTTACTGGTAATCTAAATATATCTCAGTGGCGTTGTACAATTCAACCTCGCATTCATATAAAAGACCATTCAATTTTTAAACCAAAATAAAAATTTTCCAAGAACTATTGTTCGGTCTGGCTGACTCACTCAGTCTCTACATTTTAAAACTTATTAAATTATAACTCTTAATATCTAAGAATATCACACGGGCATCATCAACTGCCTTCATATGAATAATAATATGCTTATAAAACACATACCGAAAAAATGCATCGACAAAGCTCTCAGTAATAGAGCGTTAAATGTTGAAGAGGTAGACATTCGACATCACATTGCATATTTAAAGAATGCCTACAAGGACAATGGAATTGAAGGCTTAAGATTGACCATTGCCAAAAGAAAGTATGAAATGATGTTGGGTAGAAAATTTCAAGATGTTATGGTAGTTGAAGAATATATGATTTTAGAAATGTTCGAAATAATTCAGAATCGAAGAAAGTACATCAGCATCAACCAAATTCGAAACAAAATCAGTCAAAACGAAAAACATGCCAATCACAATTGAAATATCAAATGCGGAATTCAAGAAAATGGATGCAGACGATGATTTTATTACAATCCAACAAAATAAGAATATCCGTACCAGCAAGAGTATACTATCAAGTATCTTTACCTTGAATTCTGGTAAACCAGTAATCGGTTTGGATTTTGTCGGCCTCTCTGGATATTTATTCAGCGCGCAATATCTTGAAAGCGCCGTCTTTATAACGAGAGAGGCCGACGTTTACCTCCCTGGCGATACTGTAGATTTGGATGAATTTATGGATGAATGTGAGGAAGTGTTGGCGCTAATATTTGCATACAAGAATTATATTGTAAAGCAAGCAAGAGATATTGACCAGAAGTGCCGTGCATTACGAAGAAGAAGACTGGTGGCCAGCACAGAAGACAACCGGGAATACCTTCCTCCCACCTTCTACTCTCCAAAGCGTTGATCGCCAACAATTAAAAGTGTCTCAAAATAAAAAATAAAATATTTTAGCGATTTATTGCTTTATCAAGTTTGGTGTGATAATTATACAAGGATAAAAAAAAAGTTATGAAAAACGAATATATTACGGTTGAATGATGGTTGCCTTTTTTATTTCTGTGATTTTACCTGAAGTACTGACTTAGCAATTTCTAGCAAAGAGAACCTCTTGGTTTTTATTGACCACACTCGCCACGTCATCTTTTCAATTTCACACTATTTCAGGGGAGAAAAAAAAAAGTTCCTGTTTTTGTTTTTCTTTTAATCATTTATTTTTTATTTTGTGCATGGAAAACCGAACTTGACCGCAAGGTGACCAACGCTCCCTTTAGTCGAAGGACTTTGAAAGACGAGGCTAGCTAGTTCGGCTCAATCTTGGTTTGACTTGAGAGCTATCCTTGCTCCGACCTATTCCCCACTCTTGCGGTAGCATTTTTTGCTGTTTCCTGAGTCTGGGTAGCCACCAGATTGATATTTTCCTCTACTGTATATACTTTTTACCTTGTTATGTGTCGAATCAAAGTAATGTACTCTATTCCAAAAAAAAGAACAGGCCTTTTTTCTAGCTGAATTGTATATGCTTTTGATTTCTTTATTAATGTGTAGGATTGGCTTACTACATGGGTCGCTACTGCTTCTAATGTGTAGGATTGGCTTAGGTATACTACATGGTTCGCTACTGCTTCTAATGTGTAGAATTAGCTTAGGAATACTACATGGATCGCTACTGCTTCTGGAATTACTTCTGCTATCACTTTTGGTCTCAAGCTTTTGAAAATAAGATACTCCCATTTGTGAACCTTATCGAAACCGACCACTGTGTATATTTATAATCGAGAGCCGCCTACAACTCCTCAGTTAGGGCACCTATTGCTCGACTGGTTACCCTCTTCCCCTCCTCCAACCCTTTAGTACATAATCCTTTTACCCTTGAGCCCTAAGGGGTTTTTAGATTCTCCTCAGCCTTTGGAACTGCCCCGGGCAAATTTAGATAAGTTGAATATCTCGTGTCAAAATTCTCATTTTTTCAATTGCTTTCAATTAAATTAATAAGATATACTTTTATATAACGAATAAATGCTGCTTGTTTATTTTTGAAATGGTTATAGCATATTGTGTGTTATTAAGATTGCGTTGAGTAACAACCGGATGCTAACATATACAAATGCTTACTCGAGTAAGTATAGTATGTTTGAATTTATGGAAGAAAAATATGTATTGATTGTGGAATAACTTCAGTTGATTCTTGTACAATAACCTCAAAGAATAAAAGCATTCTTATCTTCAGCATCAATTTGATATTACACATAATATGTATAGCAATTTCTTCGTACTATTTTACTTCATTGAGACCATCCGCTTACAGCGGAATGATCCAAAAAAAAGAATAAGGTGAGGATTTCCAGCCAATCAAATTAGTTGCCATGTAAACACTGTATACATTTCGATTTACAAAAAAGTGGCCTGTTATGTGGTATTACCCTAATATCTTCTGAATGAGAAACAGGTATGGCTAACTATGTATAAAAGCTCTTTAATACGTAACTCTTTTTCTCAAAAGTATATAAGTATGTACTTCTATTTTGGAATTCCGGGCTTCTTCTTTTTCACTTTTTCTTTAGTTCTATAAAGAACGTAACATGGAAACAGCGGATTTAGATTTTGATCTATTTTTTGATATTACAACTTCAAAACATCAGCAACAGCCGCCACGCAGCCTTGCACATCAAGAAACACTTCAAGAGCCTACTTTTTACAATACAATACATCCCTTAGCCGCTTTTGACCATAAACTTTACGCGACTGCAAAAGCAGCAGAGGGACCTGAATCTTTTTCAACTCTAATACAGCAACAGCAGCAACAAAGCAATCAGCTACTACAGCCATTACACGCCAAATTATTTGATTGGAATGCTGATAATTTCAAGCAGCAGAGTCTCCCATCTACTACTATTTCTACAACTGTATCACCAGATCCTCTAAATTCACCTCAATCTATGTTTGAAGGATATAGTTCTTCAAATTTATCACCGGAATTGAGTAGTCCGCCTTCATATCCAGGATATGATGTTGCTGAACGCTTGAATATCTACAACAATAAAACTATAAATGGTTCAATTCCAATACAGCAGCCAGAGCCAGCAGTGATAGCACCTATTAGTCCTGTTCATGATATACCTAGCATCATTATACCGAGTACACCAACAACTGAAATAAATCCGTTTCAACTGAATGATGCTTTTTCTAATGCAACTCTCTTTCCAACTTCGCCTCCAAAAGAAAACTTTGCCCTTAACTTTTTATCATCTACTTTTAATGATAAACAAATTTCAACGAAAGGTAAGTAGTTTTTATACAATCCAACCCAAGTAAAACCTTCAATATTAATGAAGTATTTTTTTTTTTTTTTTTTTTGTAATTATTGAAGGACATGTGGATAAGAATATAGAAGACACAGCCACATACAAACAACAACAACAACAACAACAACAACAACTGCAAGAGAACTCAACAAATGCATCATCTTATAACCCTGGAAGACAGTTGAAGAAGGTTGCTCATAACGCCATAGAGAAAAGATATAGAAACAACATCAACAGTCGAATTCAAGAACTGAAAAACGTAGTACCAGCACTTTACAAAGCTCATATTCAAGGTAACGAAGAATATGATTTAGATGATAGCATCAACAATAACTCCTACCGCAAAGAAGAAGAGCAAGAAGAAAAAGAAATCATTGATGGTGTTGAAGTTGCTACCAAGTTAAACAAGGCAACTATTTTACGTAAAGCCACAGAATATATAGGCTTCTTGCAGCACACAAATGCAGTAGTCGATCAAGAAAACCTCCTTTTACAGCAGCTGATTGCTCAAATGCCAGGAGGGCAACAAGCCTTATCGCAATTTTTGCTGCAGAAAGAAGCCTACCAAAAGTACAAACAGGAACGGCTGATGTGTGAACGTCAAGAGGCACAAGCACGTGAAAAAATTGAGCGTCAACGTATTTTGCGTGAACGTGCTACTCAAAGAGCAGCATTAGCTCAATTACTACTAGAACAAGGAAAGCGCCCTCACCGACGTACAAAGCAGCCTTCAAAATATAGTCATCATTCTAAACATGCTGCTAAATCCTCGGTGGGAAATAGTACTAAGGCTTTCATGGCTGCGTTTTTATGCGTTACGTTTTTTACAGCCACACCTGCGGTGGAGCAGCAAATCACTGCGATGTATCATCATCATCAAAGTACTACTCCCAATGCAATAAAATCCATACCAAATGTAGCCTATTCCGAAAGAATTTATGAGTCAATTTCTCTCAGGTAAGCTTGCGGCTTCAAGTATACTAATGAAACTGAAAGCTGCAAACTAACAAAAAATTTCTATAGGGATGTATTGTGCTACATAATATCTACTGTCATCATTATGTATACATTCGTTATTCCGTTGCTTCGACATCTACTTCGTCCTCTTCTGTTTCCTAAAAGAATCGGTTTAAAGAGAAAATGCGCAGATCACTTTCATTATGCCAATGAAGTAAATGAAGCTTGGACTCGGCTTTATGATGGTCTTATTTCAGTAATTGATCAACGAAATCATTGTAGTGAGAGAATATGGCCTTTCCGACATACCCTATTCAAACCACTAAAGCAAATCTATGATGTTATCTCATCTGTTGCCGTGCTACTGATTCCTAAACTATTGTTGTCTACTGTATACATGAATGCTAAACCAATAGGCTGTCCTGAGGAACTCAGTCGAGTAGGTGCTTGGGTTCGACTCAATGAAATTGAGTGCTTAGGAGGTAACATATACTATAAATATGTTTACTTCATTATACTTGTCAGTCGATCATTACTGATGTTAATTGTTCCATTCTATCATTTTCATAGGTAGCTGCAATACCACGACTCGTTTAAGTATGCTAGCTTCTTGTATGAATATGCTTGCTCAGTTGCACAAAATGAAGCGCAGCGATGATTATATAACCTACTTTGAGCATGATATCATGTGCCGTGTCTTTGCTACCGTTGCTTTGAAGATGCAGCTCTGTCTACCCAAAATCATATCTACGTACATCTCTGCTTATTTCTGGAAGCAAGTTGATGCTGTTTCTTTTATTGTACGCCAACGTTCGTTATCGGATCGTAAGCAGTTGAATAACTTTACAACCGGTTTCGATACAAAAACCTCCTTGGTAGATTGTATAACAAGGCATGAATGGATTGGTTCGAAAGGTCTTGAACAAGTATTGGAAATTTTCAAAGCTCGTCTTGGTTTTTCGCAAGCTATTCCTGTTCGTAAAGACAACTGTCAGCATTGTCCCTGCAAAAACGCTTTTTATTCTTTTGCTTTACCTTATGTAACTTCTCCCCTTGATTTTGTCATTTATTGGCAGCATTTAGACGCCTTGCGCCATGAATGGGTTGAATACTTGATGACTAAAGACGATCCCAATTTGAAGAGTGTTTTTGGCAATAAATGCATAACTAATGTGCGCTGCAAATCGCCAACATTAAAGTATACTTCCTCTTCTATGGTCGCTGTCACTATGCTACGATGGTTTAACAACGTCGGTCAGGTGCTAGAATCAATGAAGAGTAAGGACGAAAAAAAGAGCAAGACACTGGAGCTGATTGAACAGTTGAACCCTGTTCCTGACACTCATCCCTCGTCGGAAATACTGAAGCAACATCAGTCAACTATTTATTATTTGGTCAAAGCTTGCTACTTCCTTCAAACATCCTCAGTCGATGATGCTATGGAATACTTGGGCGAAGCGCTTAATAATTATCATACGTGGAAGCGATGTTTTCAACAGCTCGCTGCCATCAGTCATGATGAGCCAAATTGTGAAGCCAGTGTATTTACTTTTTCAACGCTTGCTGTTCATACAGACACGTTAAGGCACCTTATAACCAGTATAACAAATACTACCACTACCACTATCAAACAACGTCACTTACGCCATTATATAGGTTTACTGAAAGAACTGGTGGAGCAAGATTTGCTATTTATCGATACACTAAACTTGTCATGCATGTTGCCCACAAAATACAACGAGCAATTTCTATTCCAAATTGCTCTTGCTAATGATACCCTTAAGTCATTCTAAATATTCCTTTTTTTAATATATCCTTCCATCACTATACATTTCATCTTATTTTGTGCTTTAATACAATCCAAACTCGTTTGAAAAACAGTAAAACAATATTCGCACTCTTCAACGTGCTAAAGTTAGTAAATTTTGTTCCTATGATAGGTCGCAGATAACTCGTTGCACTGTGAACACATGAAAGAGATATACACTTGCACTGTATGCTATAAACAAAAGTCACACGGGAAAGACGCGGTTCCTTTTTTATTTTGCGACACATTCTAATCTGCCCCCTTTTTATATCTTCCGTTTCTCAATTTTTTTTTCCCCTTTTTCTCAGTTCACACTAAGCAGAAACTGTAAGCAATTACATAGTGCTGTAAGAAGCACGTAGAAACCCTTTCATTACTAAAAATAAATGTTTTTTTATTATAATTGCTATAGTAAATTGCTATACACGGGTCTATTAGACGTACACTTTTTTGAAAACTAAAACATGTCAGCAACTAATGAAGACGAAAAGAAATGGAAATTTGCTCAATGCTTTGGTGACAAAGGCGATTCAGATGACATAACTGAAGGTACAGCAGAACCTGCCTTTCATAACGATAATAAGAAGGAATCAGGCTTGCACTATTTTGTATTGCATGGTTTCTTCTGTTCAATTATATGGCGTTTCTATTAGTTTTTGAAAAAAGAAAAACTTTAAGTCGCTCGTCAACTTAAACAATGTCATCATCAACTTTTCTTTTATTTTTCTTTCCTTTTCAACAGCCGACATTATTTCAGCTGTAGAGTTTGACCATACAGGTGATTATTTAGCAACCGGTGACAAGGGCGGTCGTGTTGTATTGTTCGAAAGAAACGACACCGTAAAGTATATTGAACAAAACGTAAAACGTCGGCAAATTTTCCATCCTGCTAATTTTCTCAAGTTTCGAACAAAAAAAACCCAAAAACTACACTATCTAATAGAAAAAAAGCTGTGAATACAAATTTCATACAGAATTTCAATCACACGAACCTGAGTTCGACTACTTGAAGAGTTTGGAAATCGAAGAAAAGATTAACAAAATCAAATGGTGTAGAAGAACAAATGCTGCTCACTTTCTATTATCAACAAATGGTAAGAAAGCAGTTATTACCTGATGCTGAAACAGCGAAAAACCAACTATACAATGAAATTTACGGTCTGTTTCAATTTGCATGTAAACACTTAGACAAGACAATCAAATTATGGAAAGTCTTTGAAAGAAGTATCAAAGTGCCTCATGAATATGATAACAATATCACGCAGAGAGGCCTATATGTGCCAAAAGTGTTATATCAGGATAATGTAGTAGCAGCCATTCCTAGAAGAATTTATGCAAATGGTAAAATTATCGCCTTGTGCTTTTTCAAAACCTATTTTTGGTTAGATTTATTGATCTACCTGTGTCCTCACTCTTTTTATATTGTTAATATAGCTCATGCGTACCACATCAATTCGATCTCAGTTAACTCTGATGGCGAGACATATATCTCTGCTGATGATCTCAGAATTAACCTTTGGAATCTTGATATTTCCGAGCAAAGTTTCAGTATGTATTGGAAAATGGCTGTGATGAGTTGATACAAGCAGATACCATTCGCAAGCAGACGCGCTAACTTTTTTGTATAACTCTCTTTCTTTTCCCTTTTTTCTTTCTCCGATCAGATATTGTTGATATTAAGCCAGCAAATATGGAAGAATTGACTGAAGTCATTACTGCAGCAGAATTCCATCCTCAGCAATGTAATTTGCTTATGTATAGTAGTAGTAAAGGAACTGTTAAATTGGCTGATATGAGAGAATCTGCTCTATGTGATCAGAATGCTAAAGGTACAAATGATAGAAAAGTACTTCTATTTAGTAGTACATCGTTGAACTCATGTACTGATAAATGCTGTTAGTGTTCGAGGCCTATGAAGATCCCAATACTAGATCCTTTTTCTCTGAAATTATCTCATCTATTTCAGACGTGAAATTCAGCCCTGATGGAAGATATATTCTAGCACGAGATTATTTGACTTTGAAAATATGGGATATCAATATGGAAAACAAACCAGTGCAAACCTTCAATATCCACGACAATTTAAGAAGCAACCTGTGTGATTTGTACGAGAATGATTGTATCTTTGATAAGTTCGAGTGTATGTTTAGCGGTGACGGAAAGTATGTCTGCATTATTATTAGTCTGGAGGTAAAATAGGATGCCTAAATCATGAAACTAAACACTTTTCTCCTCCTCCTACATCCAGGAACGTCATGACCGGGTCTTACAGTAACAACTTCTCTATTTATAACCGAGAAACTAATGCAGAAATTTCACTCCAAGCAGACAAGAGCGCTTTCAAAGCCAAGCGTTTAGGCTCCGCTAAGAACAAATTAACATTAGGACGTAATGGTAAAAGAGATGATATGGAGCCTATGGATTTCAATAAGAAGATTCTACATGCATCATGGCATCCTAAAGAGAATGTGTTGGCTATCGCCGCTACAAATAACCTTTTCATTTTCAAGTAAGTGTTTTTTTTTTTTTTTTGTGTTCTTTTTACTCAAAAAGCAAATCCTTCATTTTCTTGCTTCATCTAACGGGATCTTTTATTTTAGTGAATAATACCTTCTATTAAAATATTTACCCTTTACTATTTGATTTTTTCTTTTCCTTCCTCTCTCATCCCTTGGCTTCCCTCCTTATACATAACGTTGAATAAAAAACCGAAAAAATGATAGTTCACTGAGATTTTAAAAGTAAGTGATTTTCTGCCGCTGCGGCTGCGCTTTGCTTACCGCAGTAATGTTATAAAAGGAGAACATAAAACAGAAAATTTTCCTCAAACCCACATTTTAAGTTAGAACTCGAACGAAATGGCCTCCGAACAGTTCGTTTCTCAGTTAAATCAATTTAACATCAATTTGGATGAAGAAACAATAGAATATATTGGCAGCATTCTAGGCGATATGTCGCTGTCAGAGCATGAAGAAATCAGACAGTCAACAGAGCCATTCTTAATAGACAGCGATATCAACGACGAAACACGAGATGATTTCTATTCTAAGCTATTCTCCCATTCTGCCTCCTATGCGATACAACATCAACAAAACGTTGGCCTTTCAAAGGTTATTAAAGAAGTAAAAACCGAATATGATGTAAAGTCAAAGTTTTTTTTTTAAAAAAAAAAGAGGCGTATTTAAAGGACGGAATTTAACGATGTATTACAACATAGTTGGTTTCAAAGAAGAAAAAAACTAAAGATAATGACGAAGATTATAATGTTAGATCAACGGTAGCAATAACCACAACAACCAAACGCGGAACTGGCAAAAAATTATTGAATAGACGAAGAAAGGACAAGAATGCCACAGAGAGTAGCACCACTGACAGTTCAAACACAGAGCCGACGATAGTTGCAGTCTCGCAACAAAGCCGTTTCCACACTGAAACCATCGAAACCGCTAGTAAAGATATTGATCTTCATGGTGTACAAATATCTGTCAATCAGGTCGATCTGTTAGTTGATGCTCATCTGAAATTGAAGCCCTTTGTTCGATACGGTTTAGTTGGGCAAAATGGTGTTGGTAAATCTGTTTTAATGCGATGTTTGGCAGATAACATCTTGGTGGGTTTGCCACAGAATTTGAATATACTTTACGTTGCTCAATTGGAAGACTTTGATGAAGCAACAACAGTGGTGGAAGAAGTACTTAATGCTGACAAAGCCGCAGTTGCCGCAATCAAAGAATATGAAGGTATTTGCTGTCCAATGCTTTACAGCTGCTTATAGCAGAAGTATGAGCGTACTAAAATGATCTTATTGTTTCCTCCCATAGCCTTACATCCTGTTATTGGGGATAATGTTGCGTTTGATAATGATAGTAAGAAGAAGCGGAAGAATGCTAAGCCAAATGAAGCTTTGAACAATGTTGTATTTTCCATTATGAAGTCTAGAATTAACGACCGTTTAAATGAAGCCAGCCGTATAGCAACTAAACGCTCCGGTCTTCGAGGTCGTGTTGCTCGAAAAGAACTCATAAATATTGAGAAAGAATACGAAGACTTTTGCAAGAACAATCCTCAGAAATATGTTACAGCCGATATGGTGAATGAGATTATCACTGAAGTATTTGAAAAAATTGAATTAATCAATCAAGAGGAACGAAAAAACCGTGCACGAAAGATCCTTAGAGGGTTAGGTTTTAATGATGAACAAGCATCATCAAAAATCTCAATCTTTTCCGGAGGTTGGCGTATGCGTATTGCCTTGGCTAAAAGCTTATTCATGAATCCTGATGTATTATTATTAGATGAACCCACCAATCACTTGGATCTTCCAGCTATTCTGTGGTTGCAAGAATATCTCATTAATGACACCGGTGATATGACTGTTGTAATAGTTTCTCATGACCGCGAATTTTTGAACAATGTGACAGCAGAAACAATTATCCTGAAGGACAAGCAATTGAAGTACCACGATGGTAATTTCAAGGATTATGAGAAAAACACAGAAGAGCAGAGAATCCGGAAGCAAGCAATGCTCGATGTATGGTTGTTTTTTTTTTGTTTTTTTTCTTAATTGTAGTTTTTTACCAGTCACCCATTTGCTAAGAATATACTATATTATTCTTCACTTTGGTAGAACAACGAGAAGAAAAAGAAGAAAATTTTAGCAAGTATCGAACAGAACCGCCAACAGGCTAAAGCGAGTGGTGATGACAAGCGTCATGGTATGATCAAATCACGCCAAAAGAAGTTGGAACGGCTGGGTATGGAAAAGACAGAAGACGGCAAACGCTTCAAGCAAAGTTATCGTATTGGTTGGCATGCCACTTTACGAGAAGAAATTATAGTTGAGAAGGGTGTCAAGACAGCCGCTTTGAAAATACCTGAACCTACGGAATTGCGATACAATGGTCCTGTTTTTAAAGTGAGCGAAGTATCTTTCCGTTATCCTCACACCACGAAAAATTCTATTGAAAGCTTCTCCATTACAATTGAACCTAACGCTCGTATTGCTTTCATTGGACCTAATGGCTGTGGTAAATCAACACTAATGAACATGCTGGTAGGCAGAATACAGCCCACAAATGGTGAAATTTATCGACACCCACTGTTGCGTATTGGCTACTTTTCTCAACATATCGTTGATCAACTCGTCATGACTCTTACGCCGGTTGAATATATGATGTCTAAATATCCTGGTTTAACACAACACGATTGTCGCGCACATTTTGGTTCTCTGGGTGTCTCTGGTGATGTTGTATTGCGCAAAATTGAATCTCTTAGTGGTGGCCAACGAAATCGGATAGCATTTGCGCTCATTCTTTATGAACGGCCACATATATTGGTACTTGATGAAATCACCAACCACCTAGATATGGGAACAATTGTTATGCTTGTGGAGGCTTTAGCCGATTTTTCAGGAGCTGTTGTGGTGGTAAGTCATGATCTCTGGTTCTTAAAACAAATATTCGAAGCAGAAGACGGCGACAATAATAGCGAGAGCTCACAGCAAGAAGAAATAGCGCCTGTTCAGAAGGAGATTTATACTATAAATGACGGTCATGTCAAGAGATGGGAGAAGGGAATTGATGCTTATGCCGCGTCCATTTTACGACGTGTACAAAAATTGAACAGTTTCTAATGTATTTAGTTGTATCGTATATTGCTTTCAACTCACTAGAAGCTATTGTACTGAAAGGCTTTTATTGCCATTTCTGCGACAACGGTGAACTTTACTTCATTTTACATAATAAATGGCCTTCTTAGGTTTTTTTGAATGTAACACATACAATTTATTCGTCATCCTCACTTGCAATCAGGCCGTACTACATTTTCTGTTTCATAAATATTTTAGGTAGGGGATGTGTGACTCATATGAACAGAATCGCAATGGATAATGCAATAAGGCTAACTGAGTCCAAACAAAATAGCATAGGACACAACAGGAACAACTGTAGAGCGTCTTATAAGTATTGATGAGCAAGTAAGTTCTCGTGGTTTTGTTAGGATACCAATCACGTCATAGACTATAAACTTGATGCGATAAGCAACAAAATTTTTTGCATTTTCTGGAAAACTGTCTTAGTTAGCAGCACAAAACCAAATTTTCACTGTGTACATGCAGAGAGGGTTTAGGCTGGAGAATATGGGAAAAACCATTACTTACAAAAATTTCCCCACAATGAATGGATGACAAACACGGTCTAACTTTTTTGCAATAAAGAGTAACATCTTCCTTGCATTAATTGAATTTATTTACTTTTCTTCATTTTACCCTTCCAACTGTCTTAATTTGATAATAAGCAGATAATGGCAACTGAAAAAGAATTTAAAACTTTTACTGAAGAAGAAGTTCGTCGCCATGCTTCAGAGGATGATCTATGGATTACTATTGACGGCACCGTTTATGATTTGACTAATTTTGCTGACCTTCATCCTGGCGGTGTTTTCCCTCTTTTGGAGGTTGCTGGCAAGGATGCTACAGATGCCTTTTATGGCTTGCATAGACAGGACGTACTGCGTAAATATGATAGGTATAGAATCGGTACAATTGCCGACTTTAAACCTCAAATTGAATGGAGAGAACCTGGTAGCTTATCAAAAGTACCTTATGGTGAAGCTATGGCTTTCCAAGGCTACAAATCACCCTACTATAAGTAAGTACAATAATGAAAATTGAGTCGTTCGTTCTTATTTCTAGAACCGGTTTACATTAAACAAAACCCATGAAAATTCCGTACCACAACTCACCGCCTCATCTTGCTTTTTTATTGCTTTTCCCCAGAGAATCACACTTCAGATTTAGAGAAGCGGTTCGGAAGATTTTGGACCCTTTGATGGAAGAAGCGCGTCAATACGAAGATTCTGGTGAAAGGCCTCCAAATTCATTCTTGGAAACTCTTGGAAAGCACGGTCTTATAGCTGCTAACATTGGTCCCGGCCCATGGTTGAAGGGAATCAAATTACCCGGAGGGGTTCATCCTGAAGAATATGACTATTTCCATGAGCTAATCCTTCATGCCGAATTCTCTCGTTTTGCTTGTCCAGGCTATATTTCTGGCGCTTTAAGTGGACCTCTTATTTCTGTTCCTACCATTCTTAACTTTGGTAGTCCAGCCTTAAAAGCACGTGTTGTGCCTGAAATATTCAATGGAAAAAAAAAGATGGCTTTGGCAATCACTGAACCTTATACCGGCTCTGATGTTGCTAGTATCAAGACTAAGGCAGTGAAGACACCTGATGGAAGGCACTTTATAGTAAATGGTGTTAAGAAGTGGATTACTACTGGTAAAAATAGATACATTCCGATAAAGAAAGGGAGAAAAGAGCATATCTAGAGTAATACAGAATGGCTTATGAACCTTTAAATTTGTATTATGAAATTCACTAGGCTGTTGGTCAGACTATTTCTCAGTTGCTGTCAGAACAGATAAGGGTATCTCTATGCTATTTATTGAACGTGGAGAAGGAGTAGAAACAAAGTTGATAAAAACATCCACTGCCACTTGCGCCGGTACTGCATATGTCACATTTGAAAACGTCAAGGTTCCTGTGGAGCATTTGTTGGGTGAGGAAAATAAAGGTTTCCAAGTTATACTCTCTAATTTCAATCATGAGCGTTGGGCTATGCTTACTGGTGCTACGATGACAGCACGTCTTGCTGTAGAAGAATGTTTCAAATGGGCAAACCAACGTAAAGTATTCGGCAAGCGCTTAATTGATCAACCTGTCATAAGATTCAAACTAGCAAAAATGGTATGGCAAAAGTTACATAGGATATTTGAGTCATAACAACAAACTAAGTTCACCTTTCATTTCACAGATTGCAGCCGTTGAAAGTGCCCATAGTTGGGTCGAAAGTTTGACTTACCAAATGAATAATATGAATTACGCAGAACAATCAACTCATCTTGCAGGCCCTCTTGCTCTTTGTAAATTCCAAGTGACTCGTATGCTACACGACGTTTCTGACGATGCCTGTCAAATTTTTGGCGGAAGAGCCATTACAAAATCTGGCATGGGTAGACATATTGAAACTCTTCAAAGAACATATAAATTTACTGCTATCCTGGGCGGTGCAGAAGAAATTATGGCAGACCTTGGCGTTCGTCAAGCAATGAAGAAGTTTCCCACTGGAGCCCGACTTTAAACATATATGAGCCCTTACTGAAATTTTAATTGACAGCATACATTTTTATGTCCACAATAAGTTTGTCATAATGAATCTGTACTATAGGAAAAACTAATTGTAATAAAACCATTTCATTTTGGTATCTTATGCTTTTAATGTTTTTAATTAATCTCTTTGACTAGCATTCAAGATCTGAAGAATACGAAGGAACAAATTAATCATATCAAGGTACAAACTAGTCGATGCCATGATATAGTCCTCGGGTGAGTAGCGATTGAAAATCAAATAGGTATCAAAAATAATGTAACCAGAAAAAATTATTACACCAGCAATTGCGAGAGGTAATTCAACGTCGCCAACAAATGGAAGCAGAATGCCTGCTATTAGGAGAATCCAAATGCCAGCAAACAAACTGCAAAATTTTCATTGAAAAAATCAGTAACATGAACGCCTCAACTCTTCTTATAGTCATATAACTTACATAGGACCTAGTCCGCTGAAATCCCATTTCGACTGGAAAGTAAAGATTGTGAGTGCAAGGAACACAACAAACGTAATCCCCAATGCTTGAACTACTATTGCCTGATCATAGAATGTAACTAAAAGAAATGAAATTCTTTGAGTGACTCCGTAGAAACTTCTTTAACTGACTGAATGTATTTCTGATTTATACCTATTGTGCCAACCATATGACTTTCCAATAACGTGAATAAACCTAAAAGGTAAAAGTTTAAAGGAGTCGACCTCGCTTTCCACATAAGTGCAAAAAGTACACCTAAGGATCCAAACATGGAAACAAAAACCATCCATGGGCTAAAAAATGATAGTGATGTGATTAAAATCATATAACTAACCAAGAGTAAAAGTTCGATGGATACTCTACTTTGTTTGTACCCAAGTTTTGACCCCTTCATTAGATATGTAGACGACTGACATTATGATAGTTCCCAAAATTTGAGCTGTTAAAATGGAATACACTTTACGTACAAACTCTATACTCGGGTAATAGTTTTGTTAGATATTACTAAAGAGTCAATATTATCAATAGCTGAGATTGTCATTTACGCATTCTAATCTCGATGCTACTGTTTGCAACTGTTTCCTTAAAAATATCTTCGCCTACTTCCTCAGTATCAGGTAAAAATGGCCTGCTGGATTCCTCCTCATAGGGTGGTGGTGCTTGTTCATATTGCTGCTGCACAGCTGTGGGGTTGCTATTCTTTAACATTTTCTTGAAAGCTGCATTAAAAAAAGACCTGAATTTGATGTAGCTTTTTTACTCAGGCAAATCAAAGACTGAGTTTTTTTGTTTTGAGTGCGGTCACCGTGCCGGACAGCGTTGAGTTAGTTTTCAGATGAAACGAATAGAAAAATTGGGAATTTGAGCACAATATTTTGGATATATTTTTGATAAAATGTAGACTTATTTACCTGTAGAATCTTTAAGTCTCCCGTCGAGGGGAGACAACCACATTCGATGTGGCGCTTTGTGATTTGACAGCAAAATGTACTACGTCTTCCATGATCAGCCCAAATCTCTTGAGCAATATGGTACATATTTTTAGCCGCCATTACATCACACAATTCCATCAAAATACTACCAATTTTTGCAATGGAGTATCTATCTGATGGCTTTCTTTTATCCAGAACCGATTGATTGATGTCCGGGCCCCTCCTGCGGCTGCTGCTCCTACGCCCACTTCACGATGGCTAAATGTATCTTACAGCACCTCATGGTTGCCTGATATGTCCCATTGGTGGTACCTTCTGGTTCTCAGAAGAATATTACCGTATTAAGGCTATCGCTTGGTACGCTACGGATATACTGGCATCCTGATTATTCGGTTTTTAGTGACCCTCCTCGGATTCCTCAAGTGTTTCCTCTTTTGTATCGGCCTCCGGCTCAGTGGAAACGTTTATGGTCACTCTCGATCCCTCATGCAGTGCTAACTCCATGGTGGCGTTTATGGCATAATTGCATTGGGTACAGAGCTTGGCTGTTTTCCATCAATCCTGTCATAACTGACTCTCCCCTTTGCCACCATTGCAGAGACTCCCCTGAGTATGGTTTTCATTTTTTCGTTGGTTGTCCACCTATATGGCAATTTTGGATCACGGCACTGCAAGAGAATGGAATCATATCCTTTCCTGCCACACCTACTGACAGGCATATATTGTTAACACTCTGTTCTCCGTTAGACAATTCTCTTCTGCCTGACCACACAATCGTCCAGGTTAGTATGATACTTTTAAGTATCTGGAAATATCATTGGCGTTGCCATTTTGGCCGCTTCTCTTGGTCCCTAACAGGAGTTCGTGCCGTCTACCAAGACGAGGTTCGCTTCAGAACACTCCGTACGAGCTCGTAGTATACATTTAATGTTTTTTTTTTAAGTAGTTTTACAGTTTATGCCTTTTTCATTTCTTTCATTGCCATATGTCATCTATAATTCTTTTCCAGTCACTTCTAATAAAGTTCGTGAATTAAATACAAAAAAAAAAGAAGAAAAAATATCCCTTCATCCCATTCTTGTGCAGTTCGACATTATGCCTAAAGCGACGAAAACAAGTAGATCAAAGAAAGCAGCAGAGAGAACACCACTACGTAACAGAAAGTTTGCAGTGTCAGAGAAGGAAGTTTTAGAGAGAATCGTTACCGATGGAGATCAAATAACTGTAATTACTAGACCCAACTTTGATTCCCCTATTTGATCTGTCTTTTTTGACTATTAGCTTCTCTGTAGACTGTTCCAGCTCATTCTACTGATACTTCCAGAAAGGAAGAGAAGAAGAAGGCTAGACATGAAGCATGGCTGGAAAGTAAGGAAAACGTTCAACCGGTAGATTCAGCCCGTTACTAAAATACATTCTTTGGATTCTTCAGAACTTGATCATTCTTATGCCGTTAGGAAGAAAATGCAGAAAAAAGAAAACCAAAAGAAAACAGGTTTGAAAGTCGATCTGAGTGGGTTTGGCGAACTTTTGGATGAGATACAAGTGAGGCCAAAGTCAGAAGTCGAAAGTAAAGCCACACACGAAGCGAAACTTCACCAAAGCACAAAAATACCTGCAATACCCAGTAATCAAATTAAATCAAAAAAGAAAAAGAAACAAGCAGAGTAAGTAGTGTAACTCTAGAAAAAAGACAGTGAAAATGAGGTTATGAAATTGATGTTTTTCTTTGCGATACTTAAGACTTCAAGAGATTCTTCGTATGCAAAAAGTGATGCAACACGGAGCTTTCAAGCAGAACCCGTTGGCAACCATTCGCCAGCATGTACAAAACACTTTCACCCAAAATCCCTCGTCTTCTTAATTAGGCTGTTGTATATACTATATTCCATTTTTAGATTTTTTAAGTAACAATGAAAAATAAAACGATCGTTATTTAAGCTGAAAGCCGAGCAAGTTCGGTAGGTGGATGACTTTTTTACCTCAACGAGAATTGCAGTGATGAATTTTGAGCAACAAGAAATAGCTAGAAGACAAAGCAACATAGAGCATTACAAAAGATCAGCTAGACTGCGGGCGTACTGTTGTGGCTGTATATACAGTGAATCAAACACAATTTTCGTATGCTTTTTCTGGGCGGTAAATAACAGTGAATGGTTGGCCAAACTTATTTGTAAAAGCATCTAAACATCTTATTATACAGGCTATAAGTTTTTATTTCGCTGTATTGGCATTTATGGACAAAAGCCGTATGTTCTTATAAAGGCAATCTCAGTTGAGAATGAATATGCTTAATCGAATTCAATTCTCTAATTTATTAGCGTTCTACTCCTACCTACATGACGCGCCAAATGTAATTTTTGGGGCTTTGAATCTGTTATTTGGCATCGTTACTGTATGTAGTATGGCAGTGTTTCTTATAAGAGCTAACACGATTGTAAGTGTTCAAACTCCAGTTATCACTGAATCTCGTCATCCTAGTTAATATCTAGACTTATAGTTCACTATTTCTTCATGTTTTAGAATAAGATGATGAGAATGCAATTTGGGCCAGTGGTACGAACATTTTCAGCGTCTCCAACGATTGTTTTTATTATTACAGCCAATGCTCTTGGTGTGCTGATAGCGGCTATAGTCAACTTCGTGCTGTTTGTTGAGGATAAAGATGGGTTCAATAAGTGGTGTATAGAAATGGGAGTAGATCAGGTACAGACAGCTTTTGCAAGCAATAACCATATGAACGGCACAGATGGAACATTGAATAATCTATCAAACGCCTTAAGAACAGCAAACAACCTCTATAATTGCAACAGACTTTTTGAAGACGAAATGAAATGGGCCCTATTTTGTACCATTGTTATGATTGTTATATACGTAAGTATCGCAACTCAGTGCTTGGGAAACAGGGACTGTTCTAACGCTTTGTCAATTTCATAGACGCATTGGATATTAATAATAGCAGCGAAGCAATCTTATAGTTTTTATCGTAGAGCTCCTGTTTTAAGCCTGAATGAGTTTGGAAATATTGCACCATCTGCTACTAATCAAGATAAGAAAAAAATGAGCATATTACGTAATTCTAGGCCGACAAAAAGTTTTTTGGAGCAATTTTTGGTTCATAAACAGTACGATGAATTTTGTAAGAATGAACTACACGATAAATCCATACACGAAGATAATATCGACAGTTCTCTTGGAATGAAGACAATAAAACCCCCAGAGAAAGTGATGCTGCCATGAGCATAAAAATTAGGGATGACTTACTTACCAAATAAATTGATATATTGGAGCAACGAAGGATATGGTTTGTGGTATCTATTTATTAACTTGCAAAAAAATCCAATGATGAAGCGTCTACCTTTTCCATTCACCGCTCTGGTTTTTTATATTGCGCGTGAAACACAGCCTTACCGAAATTGAGTAAGCAAGAAACGCACGGACAAAATTTGGGTCACACCGGAATCTTTCATTGTAATCCAGATATTTTTCGATCAGTCTGATAAACAGTAAAATTTGCTTATCAAAACGCGTTGCTTTAAGTGTTGGAATAGCATTTTTAATTATGTCACTATTCTCCTTGTGAAAATAAGCCAGGAATGAACTATACCTTTGCTGCCTTAATCCTACCGCAATTGACCGACGGATGGTTTCTTTTGTACATTTTGCTGATAAAGTGAAAAAAATTCAAGTATGGTCATTATATCTTTTACTTTCATTTGGCCTATTGAACATGTATAGTAAACGAAACCCTAAATGCTATGCTCTTGCAAAATGTAAACATCTGCTTACAGATTTACGGGCAAAATTTTGAATCAAAAGTTTAAACAGGCACAAAGTTAGATGCTATCAGGGACCGGCGATCCCAAAATCTTCCTCATTTGCAGTTTATGGTAAGATGGCAGAAACAGTGTCATGCAATCCTTTTCCAGTTTATGGTAAGATGGAGGAAACAGTGTCATGCAATTCTTTTCCCTAAAATTCGGTACAATAAAACAAGATTTTTATTGACAAATAATTTTAAACCCAATGGGCATACAGATAAACTACATATCAGAAAATTACCTGGGCAGATCAAAATATGTTATGGAATTGAAGAAATTTTAAAAGGGAAAAGGGAGATAGTGTATCATAATGTAGACTAGGGGAAAACGAGGCAATCGAGTATTAATAGTGGTGGGCACATAGAGCTAGTCTAGCAAGGGCTGTTCTAATGTTTCTGACGGGATAGAGGGCATTTTCTCGCGCTGGAGGTAATCGACCCCATAGCTATGATCATTGAGTATAGTAGGATGCCTAAATAAGGACATGCTAAATAACAAATATGGACGGAAGAGAAAACCAACATTAATCAGTATATTTCGCCTATAATCAGATTTTCCAGTTCCAAATATTAGAAAATGAAGTTGACAAGCAAGAGGTGAAGTTGGGGAAGAGAATGAATAAATATTACTGATTCATCTTGTAGATGTAAAGTTGAAAAGGTGAAATAAGAGTCAAAGTTATCATTTATTAATTGACAGTATATGAGTAGCTATATGAATGTTATAAGCTACTTTCATATAAACATAGTTCATATTCGATCAGCAGATCGACCCCTCGCTGCCGACCCACTCTATCTGTGGATCCCAACCTATAGTTACCAATATCTACTATGGAACGCAACCGTTGTTTCCGATGGCGCTTGGGTTGGGTTTCTGGGAGCCACGAAATATACTGCCTCCGACACCCCTCCACGCTTCTTACAAAGCCACACACTATCTCTTGTCTCAAAATGCACCGCGCTTACAACTGCCGTCCTCCATATCCGATCCTCTTTCCTTCATCTTGAACTGTCTTCCCACCAGCTCCTTCCATTCCTAACTTCAAGCTCAAGCTTGGTATTACAGATGGCCGGCTGCTTGTCACCTTCTTTTTGAATTTGACTACCTACATCATCAGCAAGAGCCTCCCTCCCCTCCACTACTCAATCACTTCTTAACTGTTTACCCTCCTTTCCCTCAAATCCGCCATAGATCACATTCTTTTTTACTCTTGAGCTCAAGAATTTTTTAGATAATTGTAATACACATGGATCCGCCCCGGGCAATTTAGATAAGTTTCATATCTCGTTTGGGCTTTAAAAATCTGGAATATTTGTAATAAAAAAAGTTTGTTTGAACATAGTTTTATATATAACGCGCAGGAAGAACATTTTACATCCAGATGAAAAGTTTTACAATACATATGAAACTAGGTATAGCTGGGTTGTATTTCTAACCCCTACTTCTCTTTCTGATTTATTTATCCTTCTTTTTCTCTTTGCCTTACATTAAAATAACTGAAGGAAGCCAAGGTTCATCATGGAGTCAGTCCTTTTACAAGCTCGTAAAACATGTCCCTTTTTGCATGCCCAAAGTTCTGCCTCTCTACGAAAGATTGCAAGAACAGATGGACTATTAACAAAAGCCAAGCAGTGCCCTGTTATGTCTATGGCTATTCAAAATAGAAAGATACATAGTTCTGTTATTAACAAAGAACAGCAGCAAGAGCATCAGGCGAAACCTTTTGATTATGAAGGCTTTTATCAGGGGATGTTGGATAGAAAACACAAGGATAAGAGCTACCGCTATTTCAATAATATCAATCGTCTTGCGAAGAAATTCCCTATGGCTCATCTTGCCCGGCCTACAGATGAAGTCACTGTATGGTGTGCTAACGACTATCTAGGAATGGGCGCCAACCCCCTACTTATTAATGCTATGAAGTAAGTGTCATATTAAGAAAAAACAATTCCCTTTCATTCGTTGCTACAAAGACATTTGGTATTAATTGATGAACTGATCCTATTAGGCAAACGTTGGACCGCTACGGTGCTGGCGCTGGTGGTACCCGTAATATCGCAGGCAATGCTGCTTTGCATTTACAGTTGGAGTCAGAATTAGCAGACTTGCATCATACCGATGGAGCTCTTGTGTTCTCGTCTTGTATGGTTGCCAATGATGCTACGTTATCGACCTTGGGTTCGAAGTTACCCAACTGTGTCATTTTCTCGGATCAACTGAACCATGCTTCTATGATTGAAGGTATTCGCCATTCGAAAGCTGAGAAGCATATTTTCCGTCATAACGACGTCGAACACCTTGAACAATTGTTGCAATCAGTTGACATCAATCGTCCGAAGATTATTGCGTTCGAGTCCGTTTATTCCATGTGTGGTTCGGTAGCTCCCATCCACAAGTTCGTCGAGTTGGCCAACAAATACAATGCTATTACCTTCTTGGATGAAGTTCACGCTGTTGGCATTTACGGTCCCCGGGGTGCTGGTGTTGCTGAACATCTTGATTTTGAATTGAATGCTGCAAACCCTCATCGCGGAAATGGAAGTATTATGGATGAAATTGATATTTATTCTGGCACTTTGGGTAAAAGCTTTGGCGTCGTTGGTGGCTATGTTGCCGGTTCCGCTCGTTTTATTGATATGATCCGTTCTTACGCTCCTGGTTTCATTTTCACTACTTCTTTGCCTCCTGCTATTGTTTCTGGTGCTAAAACTTGTATAAGTTATCTGAAAAACTCAAATGCTGAACGTCGCTTACAGCAGTTGAATGCTCGTGCAGTGAAGGCTCGTTTAGGTGAGCTCGGTATTCCTGTTGTTCCTAACCCCTCTCACATTGTTCCTGTCCTCTTGGGTGATGCTGCCGCTGCTAAGACTGCATCCGATGACCTTTTGAATAGATACAATATATACGTACAGGCTATCAACTATCCTACTGTTCCTGTTGGACATGAACGTCTCCGTATCACACCTTCACCTGGTCATACTCCTGAAATGATTGATTATTTGGTTGACTCTCTTCAAGAGATTTGGCAGCGTTATGGCTTTAGACGTGTTGCTGATTATGAAGCTGAAGGCGGCCGCTGTGATGTCGGTAGAAAAGATTTACCGGACTTGAAACCTTTGTGGACTGACGAACAACTCAACTATAAGAACCAGATAGCTGCTTCCGAAGTACCTGAGCAACAATCGGTTGCTTTCAACTGAGAATAGCAAAGCTCTCTATATACATTCTGCATTCCAAACTGATCACTATGCCTCGTTGACATAGTCTACATATTGACATTTGTAAGCTTTTTGTTTCTCTGAATAAATCTTGTAGTGTGAATATCTCTAAAGATCTTCATTGACATTGATCAAACGTATAATTTTATTGGCCGAATGATTTCGCGAAGCGAAATCATGGATTTATAACAATTTAATGCATTCTGACAGTTTTCCATGATTTCACTGTAATGAGTTTAAGAAATTCAAACAACTCAGAAAATTTCATTGTATTTGGAACAGCCTTCCCACAACAGACAGAAACTGATAGGCGTGCAGGCCGATCAGACAGTGGACAGTTCGTTCCCGTCTGGAAACAAGAAGCAAGAGATGAAAAAGGACGACGCCGATTTCACGGCGCTTTTACAGGTGGCTTTACTGCTGGTTACTTCAATACTGTAGGATCAAAAGAAGGTTGTACTCAACGAAATGGAATCTTTACAAAGAGCAGAAACTAATTAGACTAATTATCACCCTTCAGGTTGGGAACCAACAAACTATGTCTCTTCACGATCGGCTAGAGGTGAACGAAGAGAAGCCAGACTAGAAGACTTTATGGATGAGGAAGATCTTGAGGTAAAATGATCCTTGACTTTTGATTCTAAAACCTTCTGCTCACTCCTTTTACCTAGGATATGGCCAATGCTCGTAAAATAGTAGCAACTGAGGAATTTGATATTTTAGGCGGTACAGAAAGAGAATTGGCAGCACGTAAAAAACAACAACAGGAAGAGAGCGATAGAGGAGGTGCCATGAGTATCATTGGTTCCAGCCTCATGGATATGTTTGGCCCACCAAAAGATTCTGTGGGAGTAAAAATTTTAATCAAGATGGGTTGGAGACCGGGGCAGGGAATTGGCCCTCGTGTTAAAAGACTTTCTACAGCAATGGACGATGAGGACGAGGATGAGGCACTAGCTAATGATATAACCTTTGCGCCTCACGATACGCCTATCGAAAACTATCAGCCTAAGAGGGATACTTATGGTCTTGGTTTTGACATTATGAACGCCGCGCCAGAAGTGGCAGAAATGAAACGTTTACGTGAACTTGCTAGAAAAGAGGAAATGGACGGTACAGCTTCTAACAAAAGGAACCGGTCCGCTTTTGGTGTTCTAGAAAAGAGTGGAAGTAAAAGTGAGGCTTTCGGCTTAGGTGCTTTCGAAGCTGATGACGACGATGAAGATATTTATAAGGACGATTTTAAAGCGAGTAATTATCATAGTTCCTTATTTGAGGATGAAGGGAGCATGACTACCGATGAGCTGAAACGATTAAAGCGCCAGAAACGAGAGAATTATGTCGAAGACACAAGGAGTAACATTAAATGCTCAGACGGGCGACTTCCTCTGAAAGGATTTCATGTATCCGAGAAAAACCAGCACTTAGGTAAATGGTACCCACTACCGCAGGTACCTGTCGATTTCAATGAAGTACACATCCCAACCACGACTGATAAAGACGGAAAAATAACGAAGATTTCAAGTGATAATATTTTTTCGTTTGAAGAACGAAGACATGCTCTTGGTGAAAAACCAATTGAACAACGATCAGTGTTTGATTATATACCACAGCATTCTAAGGACAAACTGGATCGCGCTATAAGCTGGTTCCTCGATAGCGGTAAAGACAAATCGCAATTATCAGATTTTGCCCAAGTCCCTAAAGATGTAGCTCAGTTAGCCTTGAAAGGCTTTATACCATTTGGAGACAATCCCGTAAAACAAGCACGATACAAGAGTTACTTACAAAACCAAGCGGGGCTTCTTACGCCAGATGGAGTATCTAAAACAGTGCTTCCTATTCCTGAAGGAATGACCTACGAAACAGGAATGAAGGAACTTGAGGAATTTGCCAAAGCGGCACGAATTTTCAAACCGCTTAGTGCTATGATGAGTGGAAGGTTCACTTCAGCGTCAAACCCGTCGAAGATTGAAGTTATCAATTTCGAAGGAGGGCTTAAGACGGAAGCAGAGTACCGTAAAGAGAAAGAGCAGAAGGCAAAAGCAATCGCAGAACCAGAGGCGAAGGTAAGATAACTTTTTTTTTTCGTGACAGGGTTGGATACCAACTATACGTTTACTGTCGATACTAGCCTAGCCAAGAAGCCGAAGCTGCTGCTTTAAAAATGTTTGGTAATCTGACTCGTACAGTCAAGCCATTCTACCCGAACAGACTTGTTTGCAAACGGTTTAACGTGCGTAATCCTCATCCAGACCACAATCCAGCGGACGAAAAAAGTGCAGGACGTACGCAGGCAGGATCAAGAGATGTTTTAAACAAAGATTCTATTAAACTGATGATAAATGAGCGTATGCCTTTAAATTTTACGTCTTCTACGACTATTGAAACCTCTACGCCTGTAGCTCACGACAATGATCCCTTAATGGGAGCCGTTATACCAAAACCATCGGATAGACAAACAGCCAACGAGAATATCAAAGCACCTGTTACAGGTGTTAACTTGACCGAAACAAACACGATTGAAGAAGATGAAAACACCGTGACAGCAATGGATTATGAAAGACCCTCAATGGACATCTTCAAAGCTATATTTGAAAATTCTGATACTGAAGAAGAGGACAACGATGCCGAAACTGAGGATGCAGTAACGACAGCAAAGGATAAAGAAAAAGCTGAAACAGATACAAATAGTGATAGAGAGGTCTTAATTGGCCCTCCACCGCCCCCGTTACCACCTTCAGCCTTGAAGGCTTCGGACAACTCACAAACGACTAACAATACCGAGACTAATCCAATGTTCCGGCCGATGTTTAAAAGACGTCAAGAAAGACAAGGGGAGTATTCCACGCCATTAACGAATATTATTTCTGAAGAAGTCGTTATACAGCCATTTAAGTCACGAGTAAGCGGCAATAAACGGCGTCATGTTCATGTTTCTGAAGACGACAGCGATAATGAAGTAGAAGATATATCTGACAAAAAACGAGCAGAAAAGACGAAATCAGAACAAAGTCCACATCGGTCCGACTCTACAAGGCACCGTCATCATAAGAGTGGTAGTTCAAGGCAAAGGGATCGATCTAAGGATAGAGACAAAACTAAAAGTAGAAGTAGGAATCGAGATAAGGATGATCATAAAAGTAGAAAAAGGAGTAGAAGCCGTGAAAGACATTCACGACATCGCAGTCATCGACATAAAGATAAGCACAGTAAAAAATCCTCTAAAAGCAAAGAGGTCGACTTGTACGATTTAGAAGATATGTGGGTTGAAAAAGAGCCGGTGTTCACAGATGATACCAGTACGAAAGGCAAAAGACTGACAGCTGCAGATATGTGGTGATGAAAATTGATTCAATGTTATAAAAATGTGCCACAATGAAAGTAATAAAAATTGCTTTATTTAGCATTGATCTTTAAAGGCTTCAGAATATGGTTGCTTAGGTCATTTGCATTATATTACGTTTTAAAGGGCCTTCAACTCTGATCCGAAATAAAGTTATGGTATACAGATGCTCTAAAAGACATCAGTAGGAAATCAAAAAATAAATAAACCAGCAGGTGGTGAATTTATAATACAATACCGTTGGTGTTTGTCGTTCGCATAAGGTTCGAAAAATAAGCTTATTTAGCAGAAGTTCGTAGCTATTTATATTCATATTATAGTAAGGTCAAACATTGTCTTGTAGAAGTAAAATACGGTCAAATCAACTGTTTATACCTGTATACCATGCATTTCCTTAATTTCATCCTTCAAGATATCATTCACCAATCTATGCTGTTTGATTATGGTTGAACCTTCAAATTGTTTACTTGCAATATCAATAGCATACATCGAACCGCAACCGCCTTATTAATCGAGCATTAGACGTAATCCGCATTTTAGATTGTCCCTCAGTTTACTTTTCATACCTGAAATATCTACTACACGAAGCTTATGAGGCGAAAGAGCTGCTGTAAGTTTCGAATGGATGGCCTTTTCACGTGCTGTCATGTTGGTCTCCGCGCCGGTGGAAGAATAAGCCCTTTTGAGAACAGATGATCGCGCTAATCTTGAAAAGAACATTTTGCGAAAAAAGATAAATGTGAGGAAGAAAAAACAAAAAAAACAACCCCAGGGAAAGCAGTGGCCCCTATTCCTTCATTTGTGATCAATTCAATTCGGGACATGAAGATGCTTTAAGTCCGCAGACGAGTACATCAAGAATTTCCCAATGGCATGTATTTATAATGCAAGTCAAACATGATGAAAATACAGTAAAGCACATAAGCACATTTACAAAATCCAGAGGCTCTCATTTATTTATAAGCTAATTTATTGATTTAATTTAAGCGTCCTTGACCTTCTTAGTACCACGGAGGAGACCAGTACGACGGGCAGCGATCAAACCAACCTTTTGACCAGCAGGAGAGTCACGAGCCATGGTGGAAGCCTTACCAATGTGTTGATGGTTACCACCACCGTGAGGATGGTCAACGGGGTTCATAGCAACACCACGAGTCTTAGGCCAGCTGTTACGCTTAACTCTGTATTTGTGGTAGGCACGACCGGCCTTCAACATGGGCTTATCAATACGACCACCACCGGCAACGACACCGACGACAGCACGAGCAGTAGAGGGAACGACCTTCTTGGAACCTGAAGGAAGACGGATACGGGTCTTACCGTCATCACCATGACCAATAATGGTGGCATAGTTACCAGAAGTACGGGCAATGGAACCACGGTCACCAGCCTTTTCTTCAACATTACAGATAACGGTACCTTCGGGCATGGAAGCCAAAGGCATGACGTTACCAATGTTCAAGGAAGCCTTCTTACCGGCGTAGATGAATTGACCGGTGTACATACCTTCAGTGGCAATGAAGGTTTCGGTACGAAGCTTGTACCTATCAACGTAATATAGGTTAATCGACTTGTTCTAGTGCTCAATAAACGGTAATGACTTACTTGTAAGGGTCACGGAAGACAACCTTAGCAAGAGGAGCACCTCTTCCAGGATCATGAACGATTTCTCTTACAATACCACGAATGTAACCATGACGTTCGGCGAAATCGTTAACTCTGAGCTTAGCGGCACCCTTACGGCCAACGGTGTGAGATTTAAAGATACTTCCAGCACCTTTTCTTTGAGCACGAATAACGCGACCCATTTTAAATCAAGTCTAAAAGTTGAACATAATAGCTGATTAGAACATACTTCAACTAATTTCCAGTGATCAAATGTCATCAGTTGAATAGAACAGCAGAGGATGAAATTTTATAAAATCCTTCTATCCATTGTAACTCGATCGAATCCATTGTAATATATTGATCCATTTGAACCCATATCTTCAGTCATCCATGCTGTTCCAACTGATCCACCATGAATAAAACTGCATGTGGATGTACTCACCCTTAATTAGGTGTAGGGAGGAGAAGAGGAAGTTTAAAATGTATGATGCTATGGTTCATACTCTATGAGGCACACAGCTCTCAATTACCCACTCACAGCGGAATTTCTTCGGTTGGTTGTAGGGCTTAATAGAAAACCCGAACCGGACTTTGAGAACATTTCAGCTTTTACCGTCCCCGCTCAAACTATTTTCGCTCTTTTCTTTCCAATTCTTTCAGTTACATGCAACAGCAACATGTCCAACAACGAAACGTGTCTTTCGCTTTACTCACTCGAGCGGAGGTTTTATGTAATACTTGGCGAAGAGTATATACAAAGGTTTTGCAGATTTTACAGTCACTAGACAATAATATAGCTCAAAAATTAGCCACTAAAGAATCGAATGCTATGCTAAATGCTCACGAAGTAAACAAGTCGCGACTGATCTTTGAGCAGACGATCAATACAGAAAATCTGATTGAAGATTTACAGTCAACATTAAAATTATTAAAAGAAGTCTGTGATGACTGGGAACAGCTGGAATCAGATGCATCTCGACATATGAATAAGTCACTGAAGGAACCTGTTTCCAGAAAGCCTGTATCGTTATCCACCAGTTCGTTGATCGATGTCACTTCTGTTTCGCCAACGGATGTACATGGTTTCATTGCTAATCTATCTTCTCAACATTTGGAAGAGTACAACAGTAAAAGAGTTTTATTTGCAGAATTATCCTCTTATCTTTCCAATGAGGAAATGTTCAGAAATTTACTGAATGAGTTGAACACAAATTCATTTATTGACGAAGCGATAGAGAAAGAGTTAAAAGAGCGAGTGCAACTTTACAAAACTGTGAAGAAAGTACTAGAATCTGTGGATTGAAATATAAGTGGTCGTATAATAGTATTAAATATGCAAATTAAAGAGTCTAACAGATTGATCTTCGCCTGCGGATGCCAATTGAAGCAAACCGCTATCACCGGTAATAGGACGCCACTTTAGAGAATTCACTACACCGAAGTGGCAAAGGCTATAATTCGAGCGAAGAATAAATCAATGAACGGGCATTATTTCGCCATTACATTCACCTTTACTATTTACCTTTCCTCAAAATTACAATATAATTCCCATTTGCTTATATTTTCTAAATCAACACTTGATACCAATTGAATGCGCCCGTTCTCCAAACCTATGGCGATGATATACCTACGTAGAATAAAGCATTAAGCACAATTCGACCTTATTCATACCAAAAGCATACTCCTATTCTTACTTGTTATCGACTGAAGCGGGTGCAAAATCCACAGCTGTAACAGCTTCAGTACACTTTATGGTTGCCACACATTCCCACTTGGCAGGTTGTTCTTTATCGATTTGTGCCCATATTTTAAGCGTTTTGTCACGGGAACCAGTTGCAAAAAGTTTATCATCATGGCTCCATGAAGCATCCCAAATGATACGTGCATGTGCTTTAGTAATAGCAACAAGTTTGTAAGGTTCATCAGGATTGTTTGTTCTTTCGGACAGTGACCACAGACGGTCTCTAGAAACAGTTAATAACCAATGATCGTTATGTGAAAATGCGACGCTTGTAACTGTAAGTGAATGAGCTTCTATTTTGGCCTTGATTTCTTTCCAATTATCCGTGCTGAAGAGTCGAACAACAGCATGCTCAGCCGAAGCAGCCTTAGAGGATGATGCTATGTATTTACCATCGTACGTTGCATGGACACTAACCAGCTCATACAGATGTCCATAAAGCTTATCTACTTCAGGCCACAGTGTACCTTGAATTAGTGTTTCTTCAAAAGGCGGATGATCTGATACTTGTGATAGTTCTTCAGCAGTCGCTGAAGCTACTGTATGGCTGCCAAGATTGTTGGGATTGTTGTTCTTTTGTACGTTGTCACCTGCAAACACGGCTTTATTGGATAAACCTAGAGCCGGTAGGTTTGCGCCTACAGGTAACTTTTCTATATTGGATAACATAGATTCATCCTGCGTCAAAGCTGCCAAAGTTTCCACACATGACTTTGGTGCATCAAAGACACGTAAAACCTTTTCATCAGCACCGGTAATGATTTGCCAGTCATGAACAAAAGCGATACATTTAAGATCAAAACCATGAATTTGTGGCCTTCCTATTTCGTGCCAAGTTGTAACTTTCTCATTGCTAATTTGCCTATTCCATGGCGCAAACAATCTAGTTGTCTGATCCAGGCTATATGAATAGAGTGATCATTTAGTATTAGTTCTAGATAGAGAAGTCAAAAACTTATTTCACCTAACAGAAAGCAAATAACGAGCTTTCGGGTCCCAAGCAAGGTTCTCGACAGATCTGAAATGTCCACTGATAGCAACCTCTGGCGCCCAATTATTATCTTCAAAATTTTCTGATTGATTTTTCCAAAAGTGAAAAGCACCGTTTGCTCCATGGGAAACAATGCTTCGACCGTCAGGACTGAAGAGGGCGCCACAAAAACCTAATGATGTACTTCCACCAATATCTCCCATACGAACTTCATTCACCCAAACGCCCGTTTCTTGATCTGGTGCCCAAACCATCATTGATTTATCTGCAGAGGCAGACAGCAGTCTCAAAGGTTGTATAAGTCGACCGGTTTCTTCTTGAACGTAGGGCTTCTGCCACTCAACACTGAGAACCCAATCATCATGTCCCATCAATAAAGCTTCAAACATTACAGAGTACTGACGTGAGTCTACAGATATAATGTGGGCTTTTGTACTTAATTGATCTTCTGACCTATAGAAGAATACTATTAAAAAACAGCTTTCAAGGGTTTAAATTTCAATCGGCATAATTACAATAAACTCTCGTCAAGAGCTCTGGAAAGCTCATTAATACTGTCCGTATCCTTCTTTTTTTCTTTCGAAGAAAGTGCCTCGGTATGAGGTGAAATCTTCCATAAACGTATATATCTATCCTGGCTTGCACTCGATAAAATCAAATCACCTTCCTTGAAAGAATTGTTGGCTTGTGTACCTTCTATTTTAGTAAAACTTGCAAAACTCAAATCACGGACCCAATTGTCATGACCTTGCAAACTATGTAGTTTTTTAAATTGCTTGACATCCTGCTGATAAGCGTAAATTGAAATGATTTTATCTGTATGGCCGCTAGCAAAAACAGAAGCTGATATGATGATGTATACTTAGCAGCTATTTGTTGAATAAAGCTTTCAAAGATTCCTTACTTTTAGTATTCGGAAGATAGGTCAAGGCTAAAGCTGTAGGATATCTATTGCCATTATCTATTGTTTGTTGACAAATTACTTCATCTATCGTATATACATAAGGTTAGATATTGATCCACAATTCTTCATCAACATTGCACTCTAACCTGTATTCCCATCTACTTCACGACGTTCCCAAACACGAATAGTGCCATCCGAGGATCCAGTTATAATTAAGTCCGTAACTCCTTCAACGGAGTGTGCATGCATAGTAGCAATGGTCACTACAGCATCTGTATGACCCTCTAAAGTTGCCGAATTGATCCACTGTGATAATTATTCGGTCATCAATAATCTACCTAAAACACTTTCACGATATATTTTCGAACCTTTCCAAAAGAATCCTGCTTCCATATTTTGGCTGTTTTATCTGCTGATCCTGACACTATAGCAACGTCTTTCATTGACCCTGTCAAGCCTAAAAAATTCCTTTATTAGGTTGTAAACAGCTGACATCGTGCCAAAGCAAAACTCTCGTACCTCTTTCGATGAACTTAACACAATTAACACGTCCTTTATGCCCAGGAAGCGTTTCAAGAACACCTTTGTTATGTTTATGCTGGACAGAAAGCAATGAGTATGCATTGTTATCACATTTTATACCGAGAGCTTCTCTAGGAGCAGACTTACCAAAGGCGAATAGAGAGCAACGAGGGCATTGGCGCCGAAAGCAACAAGGCCATCGTTTCCCCAACAAGCTGCGTGCGCTGTTCTGTTGCAGCCGATCGAGATGTATTCTGATGAAACCTGTACCATTTACTGCAAGGATTATGTATAATTAGTATGGATTGTGGAAAACACTCGTTTTAGCATTAATTTAACTGATTTTGGTGGCTTGTATCATTGGTTTTTAAAATAGATTGCCAAATTTAGATGGTAGTTCCCCAAATCAATGGAACAATTGCATAAAATTATGAAATTACTTTTGCATTTTTATGGTTAAAATTGATCATAAACTGATACTAAATTTATGGAAGCTCTACGCAGTATATAATGGTTAAGAATTAGTCATGATATTAAGTTATTCATGCTTTGTAGGTTTCATAATATCCATAGCTTCGGCCATCTTGAAGAATAACTCCCAGTTTTCCATTGTCTTTTTGAAGAGATCGGAGCCAGGGCCGTTGGAATAGATGAAGACATCGCTCATAGAATGTACACCGAAAGACTCTCCGTGAGGAAGGTTACTATTCCAAACAAGGCCTTTACCTTTCTTTCCTACAAGATCCTCCTTGTTTCCAGTAGCCCAACCATTCTTCGTGCTGGTTGGCATTCTAGGACCATCGGTAGAAATTTGCCATGCTTCATAATGTTGAGGACCGTTAACAGTACCAGCAGCAAGAGTGATATCAGGAGACTGAATAAAGGACAAAAAAATGTACAAGCTTTTAGTGATTGGTTTTTGACATAGATAGGAAAATAGACAATGTTACTTACGAAATTGTCAGGGAATCCGTCTTTATTGGTGTCAAAGTAACCAGGCCAGCCTGCATGACCATAAACACCAATTGAGTTGAGCATATCTGATTCTTTGTCGTGAGATCGTATGTAGCGTTGATCAACGGTTCCCCAAACATCAAAGCCATGAGCGTGATCTGCTGTTACCAAAATAAGTGTATCTTCATATTCACCATTCTTTTTAAGCCATTCCACAGTATTTTTAACAGTGATGTCCAACTCGATAAGTTCAGCCCACGCACGAGGAAAATCAAGTCCATGCAACTAAAGTTGAAGTCAGAAATCTACCATCCAATTCTTCCTGCCGCAATCAAAGAAATGATGATTTTACCTGCTTATCGACGGACGCAGCTTCAGACAACAAAAAGAAACCGTCCTTACCACCGCGCTTCTTCAACACATCTAATGCAGCAAGTGTCATTTCAGGAAGGCCGGGCTGGTCAGAGCCAAGGGCATCATTGCCGCTATTATCTGGAGCAGCTTTGTTTCCAACAGTATTGTTTACAAAAAGGTTCCTTTCAAACCAGCTATTTGTAATAATATTGGTTTTTCAATATAACTACTGAAAGAACTGACATGTATTTTTTGAAACTTACGTATCGAGGTGCTTCTGGCGGAAAATTCCCAAGAGCGGCTTGTCTGACCGTTTCTTAGATGCGAGTTCCTTCTTATTGAATGCAATATTATATCCAGCTGATTTGAATTGGTCGTAGTAATTGGTCTTGTTTAAGCTGCTTTCACCAGAGAAAAAATTACCACCACCACCAAGCCAAACATCAGGAGCAACTAATAAAGTAGGGTTGTTGGCACGATCAGACAGGCGATATTTTGTGTCTCAATTTTCACTTCTGTTGTCTGTATAAAACCTACCAGGAGGAGTCCAGTTCTTAACACCATTTATTACCTGATCAGTAATCTCAGCTAACGTGTCTCGTAGACGAGTATGACTACCAAAGGCAGCTGGAGTAGCATCCTTTATCGAAATGTTAGTAAGTAGCAAAAATCGGAATAGTTTTTTTTTTTTTGATCTCTACCTGTGCTTGCGCAGTTGTTACAATACCAATGGCTTTCTTTGGCTGACGGCGACGAATGAGTTCGGTGATAATCTCAACCTTTGGATCATCAAATGGATCGGCAGAAGAATCAACGTAGACACCTAACGCATCTACAGTACTCTTGTGTCCTGTCGCATAAGCGCTGGCAGAGTTAGCAGAGTCGGTAAGTAAACTGTCAACAGAGTTCGTAATGACATGGCCAAGATTATCAAATTCTTCAAAGTGTAACAAGCTTTCATATTTTCCGGATGTGTGCTTTCGAGCAAGTGCACGAGCAGCAGTGATCATCTATAGTAGGAAATTAGGCTTTAGTGTCTGACTGAATTTTTGTAGGGGACACTCTTTCGTGAATAGTCTTATACTTACACCAACATTAGTACCATCAGAGATGAATAAAATAACATTTTTAGCCTTCTTCTTGGGGTGCTTAGGTTCCACAACTGTATATTTAACAGAGTAAGAGGATTTGGGGCCATACTGAACCTTCACTTCATATTCTCCAGGCTCAGTTAATTTCACCTTTCTCCATGCCCGAGAAGTGACGTTGACGTTGATGGGCTTGTTTGTATTATTCAAAATGGCAGCATATTGAGTATCAATGGAGTCCACCCAACCGAAATTCCAGTTTTCGATTTTGGGCTGTTTATGAAGCTTCAAGTAATCATTAATGTCATGCCATTTGCCGTTGCCTTTACGAATTGTCGTCTTGAAATCAGTATAGGCAGGAGGGGTAGGTTTTGACCTGTCTGAATCATAAGCGTGAAGTTCTACGCGAAGGTCAAAGTAAGCACCGGGTAAGAATGTTGAGCTAATAGTAGGTAAATATTGGTACAAAAATTCGATTAGAATTGCTTGTAAGGTTATAAACTGTACTTCTTTACTTACACATCAGGTGGTAATATGCAGGCATGAGGGTCAGGACAGGCACCAAGACGAGGAAATTGGCCTTCGGGGTCTGCAGGCCTGTTTGGAGCAACGCCGTATCTAGCGAGAGCACTTGACACTATGGCACTTAGCGAGAGTATGGTAATACTGATTCCTTTCATATGAACGAATGTAGACGAAGGAAGCCGAAGTATAAGTTAGCAATATTCAAAAACCTTACAAAATCAAAGACCTATTTATATATAGGATGGAGAAAGTGTGTACATAGGGACCATCTATATTTTTCTCGTTACTTTGACAAAAAACCAATTATCAATATAGTAATACTTTTATTAAGAAGGCGGAACAAGCGTAACAAATTTGACGTAGCATGGTACGTTGACTACAGCTCATATTCTTATTGCTGGTTCATCGTTACTCATATCTTTTAGATTGTGTTTTGTACGTTATATATTTTGTACAGATCTCAATCATGCCGAATAAATCTGAACTCAACCATCCACACATATGTAACAACAGCACACGCTGACTTTTCAGGCTTTGACAATGTTACAATAAGCGTTACGCAAAATCAGTCCCAAAAAAAATGGTGTTGTGGTTGGTGGGTCTTGCCGAATCAGACGACTATATGATATAGAGGCTCTCACCAATCCTAGTCCTGGCCTACGACACTACACATTTGTCATACGCGAACAAAACCAAGTAGGGGGTATATGAGCGTTTGTGCGTCCGTGCAAGCATCATATATTTTTGTTTATTATATATTTTTTAATAAATGCACACGTCTCTCTCATCGAGAAGATAAGATTGAACTATTTGATACAGGCTTTTTTAACGTCTATCTTAAGAGATATTTGTCGTTTAAGGAAATGAAAGATAAGGTACATAAAAGTCCCATAGCACCGTGCTACTTTCTGCAGCAATGACAATCAAGCATTTTTTGCTCACATGAGAAGTATTCTCATAAATGATTGGCTTATTGCGCATCCTTACCCTTGAGCAAGATTGTTGCGACAGACAAGGTGTCATTTAATCTGTGTCCTTTCACGTCTGAAATTTGAACGGCTAACAGAGCCATACCGTAGCATGTGGGTGTACGTCTTGCCTTCCGAAAGCAGAAGTTGCGCCTTTTGAATTTACTTCAGCGTGTAGGAAAACTTCTGTTAAGTGCGCTGAGTATATTACAGTATAATAGGTTATTTGTAAACCATTCCTGCATTATGTAGTTGTGGAGCTATAGGAGAATGGCCGAGCATTTCAATATATCTATTTTGTTTAAGCAATCAAATCTACAAGGCCCAACCAATGTATTTTTACTTTTTTATACCTGTGCGGAGCAGTTATTACTAGAACAGTGAGATTAAATTGAGTAGTAAAACTTTGCCTACTTTGCTCTCGAAGGATAATATCTTCTCAACGTATATCTCACATCTCAGATACCCACGTTGATAACTGCAAAACACGGATTCCCACAAAATTCTCGCATAGCAGGCATCTATCAAATATACTATGAACAAAATCTCCAAGCAAGCTGATTGAAGCCTTTTTTCCGTAAGTTGGGTGTGGGTCATCATTGAAATATGGTTGCAGATTCTGTAATGATAAGAATATAACTTGGCTGGAAAGTGAAGTAAGAATTTCAATCCTGTAGCCTCAAACAATAGCATCTTTCGAGTTCAGAATTCTGCATTAAATGTTCTAGGAGGAAAAGGGCCGTTGCCGACAATGGATAACAGTGACCTTTGAGTCTTCAACCTCGAAAAAAATAAAGGATAACGGCAATTATGCATACTGATGGGAATATTGGAGTATGAGCCGACAGTCAAAGGTTTTGTCTGTCTACTGCGATTTTAATCGGTAGTATTAGATAGAGTTCTACGGCAGTTCACATACTCTTTGCTCAACGAAATGTGTGTAATGGATTTATGTAACCATAGACCAAAGATGTCTTCGGTGTTCACTCAACTATATTCCGAATGTAGCTGATATCAATGAGACTTCCTTTTTTATCTATGACCAAATAGTAGACAAGGTTACGAACCAGAACTCTTCCTTAACTTGGTTTAACAGATAACGAAAGCTATTAGTCGGGAATAAATGTATCAATGACCTGTAATGATACCATCATGTATATGAAAAGCCTACAACTGATCTATGGCCACAAGAAACACAATAGTAAAAGCTGTTTGAAATGCTCGGCCAGATCAGTCTTCCATTTTGTAGCTGCATTCCAATTTTGGTGTGATAGCCTTAATGTCCACTCGATCCGCTTTCTTCGAAAGTAGGCTCATTGAATTCCATTTTTCACTTCGTTTTACCGTTAGAAAGGTGATCTGTATATCTTCAAATTTATTAGTGCTGATCACAAGAATTAAAATCATTCCTGGCGGGCGTTAAAACTCTCTTTTCTTTTCCTTTCTTTTACATCATAATGTCCATAATAATATGCTTGTAGAACAACTATTTATCGAGTCCGAGAGTGACCATACTCCCATAGAGATCTTAATACAATCAGAGCTTTCTAAAAATCAACGGCCAAAACAATCTGGTGTTATTATTGCCCATCCATACGGCCCTTTAGGTGATAAAAAAGCGAGTCAAATGACTATATTGAAAGCATCTAAAACTAAAAAAGTACTCATTGAAAGGCGGTAATATGGATAATAATGTTGTTATACGATTGCATAAACATTTCTGTGCGAAAGGCTATGTATCTGTATGCTTAAACTTCCGCGGCTGTGGACGTTCCAAAGGCAAGACCAGCTGGACTGGTCTTCCTGAGAGGGACGACTACTTATCCGTTGTGAACTATCTGTTGGATTCCAACAAATACCGATCCTCTTCATTTCCAATGATCACAGATCTAATCTTATGTGTAAGGATGAATTGCCAAGGCTAGCATTCTGCTTGCAAACTCATTCACATCTGTATGGTTGTAGGGTTATTCTTTCGGAGCGATGGTAGCAAATACAATTTCTTGTACAAAAGTTCCATCCCGTCACATTTTGATCAGTATGCCTTTAGGAGTTACATGGTTTTTAGCAGCATGGAAATCAGGCTTTTTCAAACAACCACCAATACAACCTCAACCAGAAAAGACGTTGTGCATTTATGGCGATCGCGATCAGTTTACAGGCAAAACTAGGATGGAAACGTGGTGCAAATCTATCACTGGCGTTTGCATAAACGGTGGTGATCATTTTTGGATCAACCGTGAGACATCTTTGATCATGCATATCAATGATTGGATGGCTCAGTTCAACTACGAGGAACAATAACAACAGTTTTTCTCAGGCTAAAAATCGTTCCTTTTTTTATTACCTATTCAATTGCAGTGAACACTCCATATTTCTTTCAAATAGTCTGTTGAGCTAATAAAAACAAGTTCCATGCCTCCAATCACTTATATTACTCGTTCAGAGACTTTTTCAGCAGCACACAGATTACATTCTCCCCAATTGTCAGAAGAGGAGAATAGAATGCTGTATGGCAAATGTAACCATCCAAATTTTCATGGGCATAATTATAAAAGTAAGCAGCGGTAGATAGCTCCCTTTGTTGATGTAACCTTTGAATTAGGCCGAACTGACTGTTTTTTGTTTTGTTGCTAGTTGAAATTACGCTAAAAGGCGAAGTAAATCCTTTAACAGGTATGGTTATGAATTTGGTTGATCTAAAGGAATGCATTAAGCTTGCCGTTATGGACCCGCTTGATCATCGAAACTTGGCAAGTATATTATTGATATATATGAAACAAAGGGCCAAATATAAATTTGAGTTTTCATTTTAACACAAGGGACGAATCACTCAAATGACAGTAGGATTTGGACGTGGAGTTTTTTAAGAAGAAACCCAGTACTGCAGAAAACCTGGCAGTGTTTATTTGGTGGAATTTTCAATATCACTTCCTGAGGAACGAACAGTGGAGATCCAACAACGCTAGATTATATAAAGTGAAGGTTTTTGAAACTGAACATAACATTGTGGAATATATGGGAGAGGGCGAACTAGATGAAGCAGAAGGACAAGTAGATATTGCATTGATCAAACTAATGGGCGTCGATATACAGAATGCAAAACTATCATCGGCACAAGATAAAAATATCTGGTCATTGAACCTTCACCAGCAAGAGTAAACATACTATGATTAAGGCAATTTACTTGATATAAAAGATAGACTAATTCATACTTAGACTTTTTTTGACGCGAGTCTTACATATTACTACATTTTTACATATCCCTCTTTCTCCAATGTATAAAGTTTTTTTTTACCTACATTCCATATTGTCACTTCATTAATACATATTAAATATACTCCAAATGCCATTCCAGCCTATGCAGATGTTTTTTTTTTTATTAAAGACATGCTCACTTATATAATTCTAAATTGTGATTCGCCTTTATCATCTCCATTTCCATCTACTACCGTCGCTGACACTGCTCCTGTAGATGTCATTTCGAGCTCAAAAATTTTCGTACAATTCTTTACGCCGTTCTTCAACCGAATCCAGCGACCCAATTTCAGCTCTTGACCCACAGCCACGACAATCAATGTACGTTTGGAAGGGAACAATTGTTTGATTTGTATATCATTGACTACGCCATTTACTGGTAGCTTACCAATTTCTTTGAAGCTCCTATTATCCTGTGCTAGCTTATAGAGTCGAATATATCCATCCCATGATCCGGAAACAAATAGATCAGAGAATTTTAGACTTGCAAGAGCTGTAATCCAATAAGGTGTATTTATATCTCCTTCTGACTCGCTAGCTACTGTGTTCAATCCATGAGCTGTTGGAAGAGAGAATACAGGTTTTTTACGTTGAATGTCCCATAACGAGATCAATCTAAAGCGTTTCAATTTTTCATATAAGAAGATGCTCTCTTATTTTACTAGATCTTTTTAGAGTCGTGTATACATTACCCACTATCGCCACCTGTTACAAACATACTTTCATCTATTTGTGCCAGACAATCTAATGATCCTTCCACATATTGGATGGCTCCTGTCTCTGGATTCTTTGAAGAAATACCGCCTCTATAGACTAACTGTGACTCTTCAACAATTTTCCACCATCTCGCTGTTTTATCTCTACCGCCTACAGAAAGACAGCGTTCACGTACAAGGGTATCAATACCTGTGATTTGATCTTGATGACCAAATAAGGTTTCTATATATGCTTTTTCGTCGATATTCCATAATTTGATTGTACGATCATGAGATGCTGAATATAGTTGGTTTGACGTTTTACGAAAAGCGAGGCCCTATTAAGACTAACGGTAAGTATACAGCGATTGTAACAGCCAGACCTAATTTCTTTCTCCTTTGATTTAACTTACAGAAACCGCATCTCGATGCTGTGTGAATTTAGCTATGTGTTTATCTTCTGTCACAGACCAGATATTGATGCATTTGTCTTTTCCTCCACTGGCCAAATATTTCCCATCATTGCTAATAGCTAAGCACAAAATATGATCTGTATGTCCATCAAAATTCTTCACTCCCTTTCTTCCACCAGGAAATGTATGTAGTTTTTTGAAAGTTTTTGCGTCCCATTTGATGATAGAACCTTCCTTTGAAGCCGAATAGAATATTGTTCCATTTTCTGCTAGAGCGACTGCTGTTACGGGTAACTGATGTCCTCGACAAATATTCGACTTGATTTTTTCGATATTGCTGAAATCGAACTGTACCGATCAAAGAAGGAAAAAAAGATGAGGAGGTTAGCAAATGTGATTCGTTCGACGATTGACAGGAGTGCAAAAAAAAAACCGCCTTACTCTATCAGCGATTCGCATATGCAGTCGACCTTCACTTTCATCCTGTATATAGATACATGAAATAATTAAATACAGGTCAGACATCAACTATCACAAAAACTCTATAAATTCGAATGGTAAGCATACATCATCTTTCTTTAAACGCTCGGCAATCAGATCTTTATCCAAGTCAGCGGCATCAAAACCAATACCATCGTCCTCCAAAGACTTTTCTATCGACCCCAAATAAGCTTTGGCTAATCTAACACGTTTTTCAGCTGCAGTTTCCTCAATTTCTTCTTCCTCCGATGAGACGTCAACATCACTTTGCGACAAATTGGCATTGAACTGATCCTCTTCACCTGAATCACCTTCAACATCGCTATCCTCTTTTTTATTTACTTTCTTTTGTTTTTGTGCTGCCGTTGCTGGTGTTTTTTTGTTATTCGAACGCTTTCTCTTACGAGCACTAGTGAAAAAGGGATCTATAGCCATTATGTTTTACAAGTGAAGGGGAAATTTACAAAAAAATAAGAAATAGCTGCAAGGCAAACCGAAAAGCGCACAGTGTTGAATTGTCTCCGAGTTTCCATTTTATTTTCAAAGCCACTGGTGGCGACCGAAAGCAGTCACCATCGGTACCACCGTGAATTGAAAGCATGCATTTTGCATGAATTATTTTGGCAAACCAAAGAATGAAATCACAAAAAAGTAAGCTTTATTATATTTCTTTTTGGCTGAATGGAAGTATATATACAGTAACTCAAGCGTTTGCCTGATTTTTATCAAAGCGGAAAACCTGTAACATATCATAGCAGCAATGTTGAAATCCCGCCGAAGGGTCCATTTCTGCAAATTCGTCTCTTCCCCCTCCTTGATCTTTTCTATTCCTCACCAAATGTCCAATGATAGCAATAAAACGGCCAGAAACGCAGAAGCGCCTCCACCGCCATTTTACATATGTAGAGAGCATAAGAGTACGGTAAATTACCTACACTTGTTTGATAAAGATCAGTATCTTGCTTCCTGGTAAGGATATAGAAGAACAAGGAAACTGTAATAATTGTTCTGAATCTCAAAGTCGCATAACTCGGTAGTGATAATGATGGTTGGATTGTTATCTGGAAGATGCAAACAAAGCGACCTATTAAAAAATGGAAAGCGCATCAATCGAGTTGTTTAAAAGTCTATAGTATTGACAATGACACTAAACTGATAAGGTAATCCGTTGGAACAAAAGAAAAAGCTTCCTAGCTTACACATTACAAAACTTGTTTGGTGTTTTTTCTTCAAAGTCAGGGCAGAGATAACAAAATCCATATATGGAAACTGATAACTGCAGCAGAAGAACAGCAACAGCAGCAAATGGAAGATCTACCAGAGTTAATATCCTCTATCACTTATAATGGCGTAGGCTTTTGTAAATTTGCATGTTTTGAGGCTAAGCAAGCCGTTATACTATGCTTTCCTTCAAAAGAGGAGCTTTCTATGGTAGATCATATTGAAAGAATAGCGTCCTCGAATGTGAAAAGAACTCCATTGACCACTCCTTCATTGATATCGATTTTAGTTTGATATTTATGACTTAACAAACGAACATTATATACTTCAGAATGTAAATGACGATACTGGTACACTTCGTCTAGGCACCTGTATGGCCGTACAGATGTTTGTGCCGTCCAATCTTCCTCAACAAAACGAGGAAGATCACGATATCAAAACCAGCTTTCATGTCCTGGCAGGTTATGAAAGTGGAATGGTGGTTCTATGGGATTTGGGAGCAACGAGGCATAGTGAAAGAAAGAAAATTCTCTGGCACAGACATGAACATAAAGAGCCAAGTAATGCCCTTTAGATTATTTTTCCGTGCTTCAAGAATATATGATTTATCAAAGAGTATCCTAACTCAGCTACCCATAATAGTTCTTGATTTGGCTGTAGATAACACGCACTTATTCGGTTTGTCCTCTTCCGCGGATAATCAACTTTGCAACTACTCTCTATCTACAGGTGAAACCGTAAAAAGGATTACTCTAAAAAAATCTGGAGTTGTATCATTGAGAATCCGTTCAGACAATAAGATATTTGCATCAGGAGGATATGACAATAGGTAAAACAAATCAAACTATATATGAAAGTAGAAAAAAAGCAAGGCATTCACAACATACGTTATATGCTAGAATCAGACTCTTTTCAGTCAAAACAATGAAGCCTTTGGCTATTTTATCTTATCACAAAGGTTCGGTATACAGCCTGGAGTTTGGACGTGAAAATCATAGCTTGCTTATTGGTGGAAGTGAGGACAATCGGATCAGTCTATGGAATATTTATTGATCACATGAATTTTTTTACATTTGATTTCAATTCCGAGGAATATCGCATTTTTGGGAGTATTAATAAATATTGACAAAAGATAAGGAAAATGGATGTCCAACGCATGCTTGTTCATGAAAAGGTGTGCTACCAAGAACGATGGCAGGAATCCTGGATTTTATATCAAACATTTCCTAAATTGTAATTAGTGCAGTTCTAAGCTTATCTACTAAGCATGGATTGTTAGTAAAAAACAAAAAAATATGTCCTTTTATCTTTGTATACATAGAAAATAGGAACGCCTGTATATAAAATAAAAGTAGGGACCTAATTGCTACATAAAGGCCCTATCTTATCTGCCTTATAAATTGTTCTGTTCTAAACTCTCTACATTCTTTCACTCTTCCTTTCTTTTCCATTTTGCATCTAATTATTTTCCTTCGATTTTTCTTATCTGATATACCTAAAATAAAGACAACTCTCTTGTCAATAATAAACCTCAATGGACGCACCTTCAACGCCAACGTCATCCATTTCCACATATAATCCAGGCGATATTGCTTGGGTTTTGATTTCTACAGCCCTTGTTTGGCTTATGATACCCGGTGTCGGTTACTTTTATTCAGGCATGGCACGTCGTAAAAATGCTTTGTCTCTCATCATGTGTTGCGTCCTTTCCCTTGTCATCGTCAGTGTACAATGGTTTATTTGGGGTTATAGTCTGACATTCAGTAAAACAGCCACCAGCGGGCTTATCGGTAATCTGGATTATGCCTTTTTACGTGGTGTTTTAGGTGATCCTTCTATCGGCAACACGACCGTGCCCGATCTCGTCTTTTGTGTCTATCAATGTATGTTTGCAGCATTAACTCCTGCTTTAGCGATTGGTTCTGCAGGTAATGTAAATCACAGCAATCTTTACAGTAAAAAATTTTGCTCAAAAGCAAGAGGGAAAGATACGATAGATAGTACTCAATGTTTCTAACGTGCAATCATCAATTTTTCTTTTTTACTGCTTTACAGCTGAACGTGGTCGATTGTTACCTATGATTATCTTCATCTTTATTTGGTCTACGCTTGTATACAACGTCGTTGCGAGCTGGACTTGGAATTTGAATGGTTGGAGTGCAAAATTAGGAGCGATTGACTATGCAGGTGGTGTAAGTATTGCTCATTCCATTAAGCCTGCTATTCAATCATCTATTTAAGCTAATTCATGAAACGAAATAACTATAAAAACATATTGCAGACTCCTGTTCATATCACCAGTGGATTTGCTAGTCTAGCCTATGCCATTATTTTAGGCCGTCGTGAAGGTCATGATATTGTATTACTATCCTCCTCCAGCAGCCATAAAAGAAATAGTAACAACAATGACCCTCAAATAAAAGCCATGGAAGAAGAATTCAAGCCACATAACATGTCTAACGTCGTTCTCGGCACTGCACTTTTATGGTTCGGCTGGTTTGGTTTCAACGGTGGTTCTGGATTGTCTGGAAACCTACGTGCTGCCATGGCCTGTGTTGTTACCAATTTGGCTGCTTCTGTAGGTGCTATTACTTGGATGCTGATTGATTATCGTGTTGAACGTAAATTTTCCGCATTGGGTTTTTGTTCGGGCGCTGTAGCCGGCCTAGTAGCCATTACACCTGCTTCAGGTTTTGTGGGACCAGCACCCGCTGTAGCAATCGGTTTTTTGGGAGCTTGTGCATGTAATTTGGCCGTCCATTTGAAACGTTGGCTTCGTTATGATGATGTAGCAGATGTTTTTGCTGTGCATGGAATAGGTGGTTATGTTGGATCATTATTGACAGGTTTGTTTGCCGAGTCCTACGTTGCCGCTCTCGATGGAACTTCCGTCATCAAGGGAGGCTGGATGAACCATCATTGGGCTCAACTGGGGTATCAATTAGCAGAAGCAACGGCAGGCGCTGCTTGGTCTTTTGTCATCACTTATTTAATATTGTTTATCATGAACAAGATACCTGGTCTTTCCTTGCGTGTGGACCGAGAATCTGAGTTGCAAGGTTTGGATGTTGCAGAAATTGGTGAAATGGCTTATTATCACGTTGACAAAATTATTGGCGTGAACCGAAATACGGGGGAAGAGAAAATAATGAAAGAAGAAATAGAACGCTATCCTTTCGAAGCTCAAGCTCAAGATTCCATGGATGTGGAAAAACCAGTGGTCCCAGGAAGTCTCAGCAATGCTTGAAAAATATAACACACTCCAGCTCGTAATTTCATACTCGATTCATTTTCAACAATCTATAATTTAAACATACAACGACCTTTATCAATTCAGGCATCATTCCATTAAGCATAGTACTAACTAATTTTTACTATTTGGGGTTAATTATTACTTATTTAACCCCAGCTTCTCTCATTGTTCATTATGATCTTAAGCAAAAAAGAAATAAAAAGATGTAGACTACATATGAGAGCACTCATACGCAAACCTTCAATAAATTCTTGTTTCGTCGGGCACAGGGTTAAACAAACGAAATAGTGAATAAATCATTATGTAATTTTAGCCCTAAAGCAATAACCGAAAATTATCTGTTAAAGGAGTTGAGCAAGAATAGACTATTATTTCGCTACATTTGCTTGCTAATTTTTGGAGCCTTTAAGTGTCATCATGGACTCTTCGGCCTGTGATTCAACTCCTATGTCGATTGAACAGGTAGCATTGTTATTTACCGTTACTTCTCTTGTGCCCATGATACAGTCTTCTTCATTTATTCCGGTTTCTGAGGCGAATTGCAGGTCAACATTATCATAGACTCTCTCTATTTCCTTCCACAAGGATATACGTTGAAAAGCCGTTTTTTCATCTTCTCTTTCTTCCTCAATCTCTCTACATTCACTATTACCAGTAGATCTTTGTTGTCGCTGCTCCTTCGGACGTTTTTTTACTCCCACTATATTTTTCTCTTCCTGTGCAAAGTCGATCCTTTTAGCATTTTTCCTATTTGCTCGCTGGTCAAAAAAGCGTTTTCTTAAATAATTGAGTGAAAACTCTTTCGCTGCCCAATAATTTACACATTGTGAGAGTTGAATACCCTCCTCAGAGAAGTCATCCTCAACTAATTTCTCAATAGCAGTGTAGATTGCTGTTTGTTCTTTAGCTGGAACTTCATGCCAGAAATTATACTGTTCGCTCAGACGAAGCAAAGTGGTGGAATTGTAACAGAATTCCCGAACAGTAGCCTGGATATTCTTATATACCATTTCAAGGTAATCGATATCCACGTCTTCATCTTCCTCTGCGTCATACTTGAGCACCATGTCGTTTTTGATGAATGTTTTTATAAGTTCCTTCAAGATTTCAGTTGAAGTACCCAAATTCTTTTTGTAAGGTATGGTTCTTTGTCTACTTCTCGTTGGATATGCAGCTTTTGTCGGCAATTGCTTAATATGTGATGCTTGCTTTTTCTCACAGCCAGAAGAGGAAGATGATGAAGAGACTGTATTAACCGTTTTGCAGAGATTCAATTGTTGTAACTGTGTTTGACGTGGTAGGAGCATTTTCTGACATTGGTTTGGCTGCCCTTGACTGTTAAAGTTTTGCTTTTGTTCCTTTGCCAATAACGTTTTACTGTTGATAAATTCAGATGCTAGTTTAAGAAGTGTTTCGATCAAAAATAGCTCGTTATCAGACTGATAGAGATCCTTCGAATCGAAGAGCACTTACTTTGTAACATAGAAGATGTCAAGTTCAGAGCGTCCTTAAAAATAGAAGAAGAAGGTTTTATGCTTGACATGCTTTCGTCTTTATCATTTTCAACGTGGTAGCTTGTGTCAGCATCATCATCTGTAATAGCCGGAGAAGTGATATCCGATTCGATATGATACTCGTCTTTCCTGATACGCTTAGTACCATAAATTCTTCTCATTTGGCGGTCTTTATAGAGATGAGAAGAACTATGCATAGGCTTTTCGCGGATAGAAACAGGTTGAAGGTTTTGAAGGACAGAGTGTTTGATGGATGTGTCGCTTGTCTTTGTATTTTGAAATATAGACGAGGTATCAGCTACGTCTCCGCCAGCAGTAGCAGTTTTGAGTTCCTCCAAAGATTGTTCAAATCTCTGCTTTTTTATGTAAGCTTCAATATTGACAAGACGTTCATTAATATTCGACAGAAACTGATATATGTTACTGTCTTGAATGGTTATATTATTGTTGCTATTGCTAGCATTAATGGTGTTGGACCTGCTTTGATAATGTGGCTCTTCCTCTGCCGCTACGTCATCTGAACCGATGGTACTCTCAATTGAGTCTTTCATCATTATTGTTTGATAATAAGTTGACATATTTGAGAATAGGATAAAGCTCTATTAACAACAAAAGTCAAGTAAAACAGAAAGAAAGAAGTGAAATCACTCGTTGCTATCTTGTAGCAGTATATCTATGTGTTGAACTTCATTTCAATGTATCATTGTTGTCACAGCACGGCATCTAGCTACCAATGTTATCTGCAGTAATTCTAATGACATTACTCAAATTAAAAAGTTTTTACCTATTCCTCAGCTTTTTTGTTTTAGTTATACGGACAAACTGGCAAGCATCTTTTATTGAATGTATTTGGACGTACAGCCATATCGAGTACATTCCTGACTTCCAATTTGAAATTTTCTAACGCGTTGCTAAAAAAACTTCATTTTACCCTGCGAGTTGGTTTTTTGGTTTTTTTTTTTTTTTTTTTTTTTTTTTGTTCTTGTTGTTGATCTAAGAAACGCTTCTCAAATAGAATGCCAACTCTAACGTCACATTCACCCACACTATCAAGGGTCTTGTCTTTACTTCCTTCCTGGATTTGTTCACCTTCAGATTATTCACAAAATGCCTACATTATACAAAGCAATGCACTTGCTTTAGTTGGCTTGTGGTTGATCGACTATATGATACCTTTTTTATTTAAACTGCCATACATTCGTTGGATCAGTAAAGCTCAAAGAAAGATCTATTTCTTCCTTTCTCACTTCAAGTTGGCTCACAATATTTGAATAGAACTTTTGTTAAATCTAGGCTGTATTGCCAATATATTTTGGGCTTCAAAAAGAACTATTCACCCGTACTTCTCAGCTGTCCAGTTCCCTTATAAAGATTATCTTTTTGGTAACGCAGAAAGTTATACACTAGTCTCTTGTAAATGACTCAGCCTTATACCATTTATAGTTCCAGGTCCATTCGTATCTGCTCTTTGCAGATTCTATCGTTGTTTATTTCCAGGTAACAATTTCGAAGGGATCCCCTTTTTTGCAACGCTCTGTTTGTTCATTCTGATTTTGTTAATTAGGTTCACAAGTGGTTAAGACTCCATCGACTCAGTCCACCCAGCAACCCAAAGTCGATGTGAATATAACTCCCGTGGATCAATCTAAACCGACCAGAATATCTGATAGAGAATTTGTATCCTTATTTTCCAAAAGCGGCTCTACCACTATATTCAATGCACAATCGCAGGATTCCTTTGTGAAACCTACAGCTTCTTATACTGATCAAAACGCTACCGCCTCTAACAATAATCAGTTCGCTGGAGTCAATTTGAATACATCGGCAGGCATGTCTTTCATGAGAGGAAACGCAACATCTGCGACAACAGCCTTTTCGACAGTAGCAGGTGCACCGGAGGTACCTAAACTTCGTTACACACCGTGTGTTAGACCTCCCGCGAAACCTACAGCACATCGCGAACGTTTATTATGGTATCTATCGCCGACGCCTGAAATCATTGAAGACTTTAGAATTGAGCAGGTACATAAGCCAAAGTCGAAAAAATGAAGTACACAGAAGTGAACTCTGCTTTTCTAAAAACAATTTCGTGTTATTGTGTGTACTATATGAATTAGAAAATTGAATTCCAACGACAATGGTGTGCATTCAATGATCGTACTTCTCGTCCTTATTATGACAAATTAACAGATGTAAGTTGATTTTCTATTGCCAGTGTATACTTACTCGATGCTAAATTCTTTCTTTACTCTTACTTTTTCAAAAAACTGGTTGTGTTCATAGATCTTGTTAAAGAATATGCTTATACCTCTATCCAAAGCCATTGAGAATTACAATGAGTGTCTCTCACCAAAGGGCTATACAGTAGCCAACTGTCCTCTTAGCACTGTAGTCCTTTCAATGATGCTTCCATCAAATGTAAGTAGTAGTTGATAGATAGACTCATACGCAGTACAAATGGCTAAAGTCAGTTTCATTATGATTACTAGATGGATATTGCTTTCACTTTACCTGATGTTGAAAGTTTCATCAGCTTGGACGGCTTTGGAGATATTGAAAGTAGACGATATGTAATTGAACGCATCAAAGGTAAAGTGCACAGGAGATAATTCTCGAGTCTTTTGTGGATGAGATTAAACGTAACTAACACTTGCCATTCATGAAAATAGAACTTGCATCTAGTAATAAAATGGCTGCATTCCGATTTACACCCAAAGTAGCTGGGATGCCTACTGATTCAGCGATTATCTTACATATATTCAAACATTATTTAAGCATCAAAGAACCTTATGCCATTCCCCCGCTCATACTCGTGAGTTACATATGAAGTTTGAGGTGACCAACAGTGAATAGTAATTAACAGTCTCTTCTTTTTAATTTGGGATTGATAGCCCGAAGGTGATATCTTCAAGTTCCTACTGATCTACATCAAAATTACCCCTGAGTAACGTTTTTATTATGGATACAAATATTGTTCAAATGAGCAAGCGATCAACTGACATGTCTTTTGTTTTTTCATTCTATAACTCAGGTTGTCTCATTGGAAGTTATTCGATCAATGAAATCTACGTAAAGCATATATCGTTGTGTAAATACAGTCATGCCACCAAGCAATTCCGCAGCCCTTTAGAAGTGATATCGCTGATCACTTAAAATCGATATCGTTAGTCAATAAAAATCAATTTCGCATTTTCAGATATGGGGGTCGTATTTTTACAATACCGTATCGCTTGCAGTTTGCATACAACTTCGTTACATCCTTGACATTCGAAAAAAATATAAATGCACACGTTGTCTCTCTAGGGTGCTTTTTCGTTTTCTCAAACCGTTAACATGTAACAAAAGTACAATATTTTTATATGAGTGGACACTGGAATGTCCGTTCATGAGACTGTAAGCCCTAAGCCTATGGAGCATATTTTTGATTGGGGTGGGTTTATTGTTGAGGTGATTGCAACCCGTGGTAAATATTTAAAAAAGGCAACCTTTGATGAATCATCATCCGCTTGTCCAAAACCGATCGAAAAGCCAAAAGAGGACGATGTTTTGTATCAAAATTGTAATAATCCACAAAAACGTATATTCTGTTTGGCATAACCCCAGATACTTCGATATTTATCATTGAGTTTCCATCGGGAATACAACCCAGGTAGTATTTCTACACGCGATGTTGATGTTGACAGAGAACGATTTCGCCCTACATTTTTAGGTTTACCAAGGCCTTCTCTAAACAGAAGAGTACTCTTCTCTTTCGACATCGATGTTGAATATGCTATGCAATTTACTAAGGAGGAAGACAATAAGGCCTAGTTATTTTTTGAAATCCATGTATTTTAGAAGTGCTTCTACCTGGTTTCAGTAAAGAATGACAGACTGTAATATTCTCGCCAACGCCTACTATTATAAAGTGACAGAATCGTCATCCCTTTCTAACAGCTTTTAAAAAAACAATTTGAAGTAAAAAAAAAAAATTGGTTTTGAACGCTTACGAGGCAAAGTTACAATATTCACGGATGAAGAAAAATTTTACTACAAAATGCATTCACTTGTTGTATTAGTTTTAATAAGTGCACATTTGGCGCTTATGCTCAATGCAGACACGGGAAGACGAAATAGACACCGCCACCAAAAATTATTTCCCGCCTTCCATAGTGGGGTATGAAGCCTGAACATTACTGACACATCTACTTTCTGCCAAAGAATACGTTCAACTAATGTATAGAGGTTCGAGGTATACCAAAGCTATACTATGCCAACAACGAAACTGTTTTCATTCAAATTGCAAAGCGCAATTACCACCGCGAAGATTCCAAACGCCACTTAATCAGGCACCACATCATCGATGGGGCAAATATCAACGCATCGTCCCTGCTTCCTTCGCTCCAGTCAATGTCAAAAACATAACACAACGCTCTGTCCCTGAATTCATCCCAAAACCGCCTTACGCTGCCTCTGGCACGTCTTCCAGCTGGGGCCCTGACATACCAATTTTTGAAACAGAAGAAGAGATTAATGGGCTACGACAAGCTGGGCAGCTAGCCAAGAAGATACTTGAATTAGGTACAAACCTAGTCGAGAATCACTATAAGGATGGTATCTCCACCGATAAAATAGATAAAATTCTACATGATACTATTATAGAGCATAAAGCATATCCTTCACCATTGAACTACATGGGATTTCCAAAGAGCGTTTGTACGTCCGTAAATAACGTCATTGCTCACGGTATACCAGATGATCGACCTCTTCAAGAAGGAGATATCATAAACATAGATGTTACTGTAAGCTCCAATTTGTGAAAAATGCAAAAGTAAGCCCGACACTTATTTAAAGAACTCCTAGGTATATTTGAATGGGTTTCATGGAGATACCTCAGCTACAATTTTAGTGGGCCAAGTGGATGAACAGGGGAAAGCATTAGTAGAATGTACAAGAGAATGTTTAAATGAAGCAATTCGTATTTGCGGACCAAAAGTACCATACAAAGAGATTGGAAGAGTGATCAGGTATTGCTGAAATTTTTCATGTGTTTCCCTTGCATATGGACATTACATTAATACAGCCTTGATTGGCACACATAAAGCCATATCGCATCAAAAAATGGATATTCTGTATCAGAAGAACTTTCAGGTCATGGTATTGGCAAGGAATTTCATAGTTTACCTCTGATTTACCATCACCGTAACGTAGTAAAGGGTAGCAAGCAAATTTTGGCAATGCAATTTAATAAGAGTGTATCAATTTGTAGTAAATGATGAGGAAGGTGTCATGGAGCCTGGTGTTTCTTTTACAATAGTAAAAATCAGATGAGAAGGCTTCAAGTATAGGTTAAAAAATATGATCAATATAAACTTATATTTATCTATTATTAGGAACCTATATTGTGCCAAGGTCTAGCAACAGGTATAATGTGGCCAGATCAGTGGACAATAGCGACGGTGGATGGTGGTAGAAGTGCACAATTTGAACATACTGTAGCGTTGAATTTCTTACAGTTAAAAGATACTGTACCATAATAGTAATTTAAACTAATCTCATTTTTCGTTCTTCATTAGTTACTCGTTAATAAGGATGGAGTAGAAATTCTCACAAAGTAAAAGAGCCTTATTACAGTTAAGAATCGTTAGGCAATAATAGGGGATCTCGCTTAAGCTATAACAAACCTTCCAACTTGCTGGAACAGGATCTGCATGAAACGATTTTATTGGATGGTTGATCAATCATAATTTTTGTGCTTGATTGTGCAATCTTAAAATGATAAATGTAAATAAACAAGCTACATTGGGTGTACGTCTACTTAGTGTTTGCCGAGATACCAGAAAACTTATACTTCCCAACGAAATAGCCAACTCTTCCCAATGTTATGCAATAAAACACATTCGTGGAAATGAAGAAAAGTCCTTAAACAATTGGTTGTCCGATTATCCCGCATTTGATGTGATCAAGTTACATCGTCATCGTACACAGACTCGCTTCTTTTCTCGGTTCTTTTCATTGCACGCAGATAATGAAACAATTAAGCGCTCTCGTCATTTTACTTTTTACTGCTATAGCACTGACCTATGCCAGTGTAATCCCAGGTTTTCTTCTTCAAGATGAGGATAGTTACGACATTGTGACAGACCAATCAACGAAGCTAATCACCAACTGTGGAAATGCTAGCGATTTATTAAAGTAAGTTTATTTCCTTTGTCAGTGTATGTATTTTAATAGCGAAATATTAAAAATACGGTATTACAAACTCTTTTTCATAGAATTGATTACATAAATCTTAATCCTGACCCACCTCTGAGAGGTACAGACCTTGAGATTGAATTCAAAGGCTTTTTGAAAGAAACCGTACCCGAAGGTACCAAAGTTCAGATCATGGTTAAGTTCGGTGTTGTTAGGTTATTACAGAAAGAGTTTGATTTCTGTGACAAAATCCAAGAGATAGGTGAAAAGTGCCCCATTCCAAAGGGTGAATTGAAGTTTAAAAAAGTGGTATCTTTGCCCAGAGAAATTCGTAAGTACTCAAGTAATCATCATGTGATCTATTGCCAGAGACATTTTATGTTTGTTAACAATTATTTGTCTTATCAATTATACTTTTTGATAGCACCTGTGAGTACCGATTTTCAAGTATAACTTCCAATAGTGAATGATCTGTTCACGGCACTGACGTTACTGCTTTTTACTTTTCTTGCTGTAATAGGGAAAATACACTGTTCATGCTGAAATCTTTACACCCGCAAAGAAACGTGTTACTTGTCTCTTAGGTCAAACTGTATTCCCTCGCTCACCCTTATACTAGCTAGCCACAATTAATACTTTAACTGTGACTATACCATGTCTACTAATGAAATAAATATAACGCCTGAAATCCTTATTCAGCCTTTCAAACAGTGTAAACAAAGAACAACGGATTATAGTCGAGCATGCTCATGTGTTAATTATAATTGACGCTCAGATTATTACAGGGAAGATGCAGCTAAGAAGAAGGGAACGTTATAGAAAACTTTTTCCTTGTGATTCATAAAGTTATTTAGAGAAAAGAAGTTATATTGCTGTCGTGAACATACTGTGGCTACCTAGCTTGTCAATATCATAATGTTCTTGGCTTCTAGAGATCTGCAATATATTTTATAGGTATCGAATGCAAATATAAGTAATTTGAACAGAAGAGAGCAGCGTTATTCCTTGTTTCTGTTTTTCTGTGAATGCAAACACTTTGCCGAAGTTGAAAGCGTTAACTATCATCGTGAAGTCAATGAACTACTTTAACAATCTACCTCGTCATAAGCTTAAGGCGTATGTAAGCCACACAAGATCTTTAGGAACCGATTTTATTTGTGAAAATATTCCATATTCCTTATATTGTACGGATCATACCACTGTGTCAAACATTAGTCCGTGCTGTTTATACTTAATGCACAAAACGATCTCAAATGCATACATGAGAATCGTATTAACCAAACTAGGGTATTTTATATGTACGCATACTAGAGGAACTTAGCTTCCTCGTTTTGTATGTATGGCCTTCCTCTTGTTTTCTGTACCAACTTCATAACATCGACTATGCAGTGTGGCCTGCTAAAGTATTATGGAATACCATGATTTATTTTGGAATGAGTCTATTTGGGATGACTACAATTAACTACACCAATCTTTTGGAAGGTATCTTCGCTTTGCCGTGTTCCCAGTATTCGGCCCAGTTGGCTAAGATACATCGTAGAAAGTACGACTTTATTCGACCAAATAAGAGAAGCTTCAGCCTTATCAAATCGGTCTCTTTGGCTCAACGTCGTTGCTGTAGTAGTAGAAGTGCGTCGAAAGCAGCAGCAGTACTTCTAGTAGTATCAAGAACACGATGTGTAGCACTAATATTGAAAGGGTTGGGGTATGTACTAGTGGTAGCAGAAGAAAACTTGTAGCAGCACCATTACCTGTAATAGATTTGGAGGCGGTTTGTTTTTACGCGCGAGTTCTTAATGCTGGTGTTGTAAAGTTGCACTTATTGGGTAGCCATCAGGTAAGTTATACCTGTATCTAATGTGAACATAAGGAGTAAATAGCAAAGCGGCTTGAACACTATCGTTTTTATGCATTCCTTTGCTCTTTGTATAAACAAAATAAGATAAATTTTTAAATTGTTTCAATTTTAATCTGATAGATTCGGTTTTCACTGCCATTGCTCATACTCGGTTTTATGATCGATTGAAATAGCTTGCTAATGCAGTTTCCACGCTGGACAAACAACATCTATACCGATATTCAATTTATACAAAGTACAATCTTTCTAGATGAAAACATAATATACCGGAGAAAAAAAAAAGATTTTGATGCGTCTAGTAATAGTGAATAAAATAGTAACGGTTTTAAAGAAAATTCAATCCAATCAAGCGAGGCATTAGAGCGATCGCAAAAAAGTGGCTGTAACAGCTTGTTAAATGCAATATAGTACGTAAAGTTCTTGACATTGGTGAAGTTTGATGATAGCAATGACAACACATCATTACTTGGCCGCTCGTGAGATATTAGGTGAAAAATAGTGCATTGGCAACGTTTTCCCACTATTAACGATCAGTTTCCTTCGCTTACAACCGATCAATTAATCACTCGTAGGAAGTATAGGATATGACTTATTTAAGGCTTGCATTCGTTCATCACTCCCCTCTAACGCTATCTGTTTTTACTTTTTTTTCACCCTCTTGTTTTAACTAAGTAACTATAGCATTTTACGTTCCTGAATGACTGTGAAGGGTTTTTGGAAATTCTCCAAAGAAGAGAAAGTTAGGAAAATAAGGGTGGAGAATCTTCGAGCATCAGAAGTCATATCGTTATTATCAAGAAACGAAAAACTACATGTAGATATTAACTCTGCTTTTTTTAGCATATTTGAAAGATATTATCTTCGTTGTAGCGAATATGATTCTGAGAAAAGAAAGGAAAGCGCAGCCTTGAGTGTATTGGAAAGGCTTGATCATATCCTTGATAAACAACAGTGCATCCTTTACACCGACGGTATAAAAACAGCAGAAAGAATGCGTGCCTATCGTAAGAGATTGGATGATAAACTGTCGACTCAAGAACGATTGGAGAATAAAATTGAGTATTTTCAAAAAGAAAAGGCTACCAAAGAAGACTTTGATAGGTTGATAGATCTTGCTACGAATATGTTCCGCATTAGTGATTTTGTAGAAAGCTCATTTTGCATTAAAGCAAAGCAAGAAGGATGGGATATTGTCCGTGCTGAGGGTGAAGCAGAGGTGCATATAGGGCGTATTACTGGCGCTGTTGTTGTATCGAATGATTCAGACATGATTTTTTATCCTAATGTTAAAGCAGTCATTTCTCCACGTCCGGAAGGTTGTTATTTCATCTATAAAAAGCAGACAGTACTTGATGATTTAAAATTGTCACAAGAAGCCTTCACGGCATTAGGTACACTTTCGACGAATGATTACGACGACGATCCTTTTTCAATAGTAGATGACGATAATTTGTTGCCTACTGAAGGATATGTTTACGCACAATGCTTTAGAAAGAAATACCATCTAATGAAAAACATATTATATCCTATCGTTACTCAGGCGCGCTCTTCCAAGGATGATCACTCATCGCGCGCCCGTTCTTCCAATCCCAAAAACAATGCTTATCGTTCCCTTGCTACAAGCAACACTAAAACCTCTCGGCTTTCAAGGCCTTCCATGAGCAATCATAAAGGCTCTTACCACCATCGTCATGTCACATACAATAATAATGAAGAGACCGCGCTGGGTGTACGGCGATATATAGAGCTGTTTCTGCAGCAGATGAATAAGAAAACCGGCAAGCATGTTTGCTTTGACGATTATAAGCGTTCCTACAGAGTTTTCGTCCTCCAACAAGAACACTTATCCCAATACCCGACGAAGAGAAGGCATTACTGAAGTCTTCCGGAGCATTTTTTAACCTTATCGAGGATTTGAAATGATGCATGTTTTGATCATATTCTTTGTGATCGTTCAAGCTCTCTGATAGCACAATAAAAGTATATCCTGAAAGAGTTGCATCTAAGGATGATTCATTAATATTGATGAATTAATTATTGCTGCCGATTAAGTAATATTGTTATTGAAATACAATTGAAATTCATTGCAAAAAGACAGCTCCTTTCTCAGGAGTATACGAAAAATGATAATGCGGGATGAATTTTCGTTTCACGATGGATTAGAAACAATATGTACAAATAGCTATAGACATTAAATAAAGGTAATATAGTTAGGTAACTATTGAAGAAGCATAACGATATAACGAATTAAGGAGCTTGATTGGAAGGATATTGTTTATAAGCTTCCCTGAGCGTAGAGATGTATAGTTCTTCTAATAATTTCACTTGCTTGACATAAGTTGAATGCATCGAACGGTATTTGGCAGCCAATATTTCTTTCAATTGTGGATCTAAATAGTAGAAATAATCGATAGAAGATTGAGTAATAGCAAAATTTAGTCATTTTCAGTTTCGATCAAGTTACCTTCAACTGATTCTTTGAGTAAATGTTCATAGACTGCAATATCCTTCTCGCTGTAGAATAAAGAGAATAATTTCTACAACAAGAAAAAGTTAGTTTCTTTTTGAACAAGAGTCTGTCTTAATTGCTATAGAAAATTGAAAAGCATACTTCATTATCCAGAATTCTATGAAATTTGTGATCGGCTGATGAAGACGCTGTTGCAGTAGTTGCTTTCGTTGTAACTACAGGCGCCGGAGGAATAGTAATACCTGATGCTTCTTCTGAATCACTTATATCCATATCTTCTATTTCGTTATCGGCAGGTGATTCCTCTACTATAGTCGCTGCCGCTGATGGTGTTATTACTGTATTAGGTGCAGCGGGCCTCACTGTAGGTGGTATTACAGCAGTGGTATCATTAGGTCCTGCCATTTGTGCTGTTGCTGTTGTTGAAATAGGTTGTGAGATTATTTCAGTTGCTTCATCGGTTGATGGGGAAAATAAGTTAGCTTTATGGGTTGCTCTAGGTAATTCAAGTGTAGTTCTAAACTGGTAGTCTTCAGGGTGACTTTTCTCTTCCAATTGAATCCATTGCGCTACATGGTCCGCCACAAACTGCGTTAAGATTTCATCTCTATATTTCTCATGCTGCGGCCAGGCACTGGCTTCTTTCAAAAGAGGCTTCAGTCGCTCACTATGAAGTCTCAACGCACTCTCAAATGAAACTGACTCTGTCATGTCCATGAGCGAGCGAAAAATATACTCTTCAATACAACCCATAGTAATCAGCCAAGCAATGGGAGCAACTTTGCCACGCCGGCTTTTCATATTTCGCAGAAAGGTTGAAGGTGCTTGATTGAGACGGGCATCCATACACAAAATAATATCTAAACCATCTGTCAATCTCTTTAGTTTGATACTCGTTGAATCTTGCTGTCTTTTGGTTTTCACAAGGATACCATAATCACCCTCCCAACTGCTATCTCCCATATTGCTCATTTTGGCGTGCTGTAGATTTAACTGCTCCATCCATATTTCTAGCGCGCTTTCTTCCTCTAGCCCTCTTACTAGAATGGCTAACATCCGGTCTGTGTCGGCTAAGCAATCTAGAAGATTTTTCAAGAACATTAGCTTTCCTGATATATTTATATCTCTTGGGTTCAATGGGAAAGTAGAAGGTGCATTCAAATAGTCAATTATTTCGTGGCATTGATTTTTCCATTGAACTGTAAGTCCCTTTGCGAGGTTTGCATCAACAAAGTTTCTCTGTTGTGATGTAGCAAAAATAGGGATGATATGAGGTTGGTACATGTATATTTTTGTTGTTGCTGTTGTTTGTTTCGAGAGGTCTTCGGTGATATTCTCGTCTTTGTAGAGTAAATTTATTTGTTCTTTAAGTGTATCGTCAGCTTCAGTTGGGACTGACGGTAACGACGCGATGGCTGTGTGCGACTCCGTCGTATTAATCACTGCAGTGTCTTTAGTGATAGGCGCTGATGTTGTTGCTGTTTGAGAAGCTTGTTGAAGTGCTGTGGTTTTAGGTGCTGATTGTTCCGAGCCAATAGCAGCCGTAGATGGTGTCAATACCGGTGCTACTTCAACAGCAGATGTAGAGATATTCATACTTCTGACTGATGGAGATGCTTGCGGTACTCCATCGGCAAGCGTATCAGTTTGCAACTGAATTTCCTGTTCTCGCTCTCGCTCTCGTTCCCCGTTATTCACAACACCATCCATCGGCTCGGCTGTCGCTGCTGCTTCTATTGCTCTAAACGATCGGCTTCCTAATATGTGCCTCCTCCTTTTATACTCGCTCAAATCAAATTTTAAAGCTGTTTCTGTGAGGGCGTTTGAGCTTAAACCCAAGTTGCTTAGGCTCAATAAAAGCGGATTGCCATCGGAACGTACAGTTGTTACGTCTTCCATCTGTACGTCAATATCTCTATTCACACCTTCTCTAGGGAAGATATCAAATAATTCTGAAGTAGGTGTTTCGAGGCGTAGCACATTCTGCTCTATAACTTTATCATTATCATTTGATTCATTGCCGTCGTTCGGTGAAGGTTGCGCTAATCTATTGATTCGGATGATCTCTGGGAGAGCAGATCGAATATCATCAAGTCTCAGACTTATTGGTTTAGGCTTGTCAATATCATGTGTTTCGTTCGCAAATACTGAAAACATGCCGATCTAATTCTGAAACTGATAACTTTTTTCTATAGCAGTAATACCTCAAAGAAGTCCTCTCTGAGGATAATAAAGGTACAATGCGGTTAGAAAATAGAATTTCTGACATTTAAAAGTAGAATTTTCAGCGCATTTCCAGTGCACGTTTATTCAAATACTATTTTATGAGGCATTCACAACATTGATAATTCTTTTAAACTGTAGGTTTTGGAAGTTGCAAACCTTAAGCAAGCTGTAAGTAATGGGCTTTTCTACATTTTCTTCTTAGCCTTGATCTTTAGCAACTGTGTCGAAAGCTGTTATATATCGACTTACGATTCCGCGCTTTGGAAGGATTACGAAGCCTACAATGAGCATACGCTACGCTAATCTTTTTGCTACACGTTGTCCAAATTACAGATCACGAAGTTTATATAGCATATCAAATGATTTATCGTTTGACGATTTATCAACATCTCGAATGCAAATTGAGCTTGGCCTTGTGATATAAAGAAAAGGTGAGGAAACTGAAAAAGAGGTAAGGAACAACTATACAGATCAAAATTTTAAAGTGAACTATACTTAACGTTCATTGAAGACTGTGCACAAGTGAACAGGGGCTTCTACTAGAAGAATAGCGGATGTATGAAATAATAGTCTGATGTTGAAGCCGTTTCTTTGATAGCTTATTGCAATTAATAAGATGCAGCATTCTCACAATGTAGATATATGTATATACAAATTGTTTATTAAGAACGTTGAAAAAGAATATACATTTTTATAAAACTAAGATCGAAAGCTTCCAACACTTTGAATATCAATCTTCCAATATTAATTTTATTAATCCTCATTTATGTCAAAGGGTTGGAAGGCTTTTCTGAAGGCTTCAGCACATTGCTTTTCTTCTTCATCATTTTGACTGCAGACCTTCCAATCTTCGCGGTTGGGCGCGCCTAATACATTAGCAACAACCAATCTACAAAAAATAATCGGTTAGATTATGGCCAATTGATTTTCAGCTTCAAAGTTTCGGACGTTTGCTCTCGTACCTGCCGAATTGTAGATTGAAGCGTTCTTTCGGTTTGATGAGATACACCAAAGAAGTCCCGTTAGGCAAATCCATTTTGAAGTAAGGGATGTCAGGGTTTTGCTAGTGTATGAAGTGATTATTTCAGACCAACTAGCTCTTATTTGACCAAATCAAAAATTGATACTTACAGGAACATCCTTCTCAAAAACCATATTAGCTTCCACGGCCTTTTCTCTTGCTATAACCTCGACTTGATCACTTTTGGCTTTAGGGATTGGCACAATTTGAATATGTGCATGGGTCAAATTCCTGCCTGTATCACGAGAAACTTCGAAAGATACTATATCTTGGTCATATTTATCATACAGTTGCTTTAAAGCCGTTTTGTATTTCTCTATCTCTGTCAGCACGTTCAATTTCTCATTAGGTGGTATTTGATTTAGTCGAGAATAGTGGGTGATAGGTATGATCAAAGCATGGCCTAACCCTGGTACTGTACATTCAGAATGATTGGGAGGAACAACTGGGCCTTTAGCTAAGGTAACGTAGGCTTCAGAACCAATGGATACAATCAAATGCTTTTCAACTTTTGGATTACTCAAACAGAACCAGCATGTACTCACTAACAGGAAAAGAGAGCATTAAAGGCAGTAAGTCAGAATTTTGTTTCTACTTCTTTATACAATGACTTTGACAATTTACAATCCAATGGCTCATTGCTGGGTCGTGGCGGTCTTTCTTCTTTCTGTGGACAATCTTTGATATAATGACCTGGCTGGTGGCAGATGCGACAAACATAACCTTCAGGTGGGGTTGCTGTGTGTTTAGCAGGAGTGCTTGTTTTCTGTGGGCAATCCTGAATGTAATGGCCTGGAGTATTACATATTCTGCAAATGTAACCGGGTTTGGGCATGTTGCTGTTCAATTTCGCCCGTTTCGTTGTATCCGCGACTTGTTCACCCCAGAAAAACCCTCCATTGTTGCTTTCTGGATCCATCATCGTTTTACGCTTATTCGAGCCGTGTTGGTTGAGCAATGTAATAAATGGACATTCAGTGGTATTTTCAGGAACCGCTTCTATCACATCTTTCGTTGCCTTCGCTAAAGGAATTAGATTGAATGCATAAAACCACTAATCGTTAGAAACATTGAGACGTCAGTTGGTTTCCAATTGCATGGCTTAGGTCTTTTCTTACGATTAAACATAGTTTTCAGTTTACCCTCTGCTTTTCATTATTCAGCACATCGCTTAAGCCAATAAATCTTGTAACGTGGGACGCTATTCTTTCTTCTTTACCCGCCAATCCACTTACGATATTCCTATAAGGTTGTCGTTCGTAAAACTTCTTCTGCGATGCCGCAAAATGATAACGAGGTTTCAAAGCAGCAGCTACCTCAGCAATATGAACTGATGATTTTTCGTCTTCGTTTATTTCTATTGATGTCAAGTCAGTACTGGAGAGATCGGTAACCTGTTTAGGCCAGTCGTAGGTAATCAAAACATCCACGCCTGGCGGAGCAGTAACAGGCACTTTTGTAAGACAAAGATTCTTGACATCTTGTTGAGTGTATGAGTTGTATCCAGACACTTTTTCATCGAATATCCCAGATAAAAAGGCAATTTTGATGCCTTCCGAGGTTGTCAATATACCCTTCTTGCCCAAGAAATAAAGATTGTCACAAACTTCCCCGTCTGCCTCTTCTATACGTTGTTGGAGAGGTTGGGGTAGAGCTTTATCTCCGAGATTAAAATAGGTCATGATAGGCACTGCATTATAGTTAATGAGTTGAACAAGATCGCTCCTCTAAAGATGCCTGTCAAAAATCTATATACTTTTACGGCTTACCATCTATTCTATTTTCCAATAATTCTTGGATCGCTTCCGGATCGGTGTTGTCATCGACAAAATTGCCAACACAAAGATGTACGTTAAAAGGTCCATATTTTTCATGAATCTGCTTGGCTTTTGTGAACAGCTCTTTAAATTGACCGTTGGCTGAGCCTGTGACAAGACTTTAATAGATTATGGTAAGCATTAAACGTTGACTTTCTCATTGTCTATAGCTGGTTACATTTTAATACTCTCGGACATGATTAAGCTGGAATTGTTGAAAGAGAGTCAACGTAAATGAGAGTCGCGAGAACTTTTTTTTGGACATTTTCCGCCAGAAGGCGTAAATTTTCGGTTTCCGTAAAACTATTACTGTAGCAGGTCTAGAAACAACGTCGTACTCTTAAACTACACATGCGAAAGTGTCAAATTATTTTTTAGGTATTATTTATTCGAAGAATTATATTCAACACCAACAAGGAACGTAAAGTACAAGTGTCACACGTTTATGTAAAAGTAAAAGAAATTGGCCAAACTACGATGAGGCCACTGATGTACTGTTTATATGAATATCATTCAATTCGAATATAAGGTAGTGAAGGTCTTTCTTAATACTACGTAACGGCTGTATAATAGATCTTGTTTAAAGTATTAACCCATCCGCCTCGTCGTTATAATTTATATTTAGGGACGTTAATAACACTAACCTCTTGTCCTCCACCTGCTCTGGTTTAGTCTTGACCTATACACACTCGATTATCACAGCTCACACAGCCCAGTATTATAGTTGAGATAAATGTTGAGCCAAAGAGTCCATGTAATGCCGACAATTATAAATGTCGTGTTTGAGGTACGATGGTAATATATTTACAGGAGTAAATCACTCGCAACATGTAGCGAAATGTTAAAATAAAACTTAATCTCAGATAGGAGCATTGCTCTTATCTTTGTTCCCGTTTGGTAAGCAGTGTGTTCGATTGCATACGAGAATCTCCCTCATAGATGAAGATTAGAGTAATCTTTACTGAGGTCTTTATCACAACGCGCCGCTATTTCAATAAATCTACAGCAACCAGACACGTGCAGTCATCAGAAGTTATTTACGTAGAAGATAGTTTTTTCTTGTATAACCAGCAAGCAGAAAAATACCATTGGCTCAATCCGTTGGATCAGCAGTATCAGTTACAAACGAGCAGAAATTGCAACTGAAGGAGAGGTATTATGAGTAGCAGCATCAAAATATTGTTATTATTTTGCATTAGCAACTGGCATGAACGAAGAATGTACACTTATGCGACTGGCTTATTGCCAGTTCGACTTTCTATTTATTCTTGTATTTAATTACACATGCATATATTCGAGATCAATCTATGTCTGCTTCTATTATTTACATTATAATACATTTGACATTATCATGTGGATGCTGATGTCTATTCCCACTATTCATATATTGTCGATTCATGCGCATCAACTGCTCTTCCGTATATCGTTTACCTGTCATTGCTTGTATATCTTCCAATGCTTGCTCTCTCTCATTTTCCCGTTTTTTCTCTTTGATCTCACGAGGGAAATACAATTTCAAAAAGTTCTGTAACCCTTCATCAAGATTCAGTGCTGTAGCTGATTGTACAGCCGTTGGATGACGGCACAGTGGGCAACTGTTCATATTTTTGCGTTGTGCTTTGATAAGGCATCGTACACAAAATACATGTTGACATTCAAGACGTATGGGTCGCCAGGCTACATTCATACAGACAGGACATGCATAATCGTCAGGCTGGGGTATAATGGTTGTTAACTTTTGCGTGATGAGACAATATAACATGTTTGCTAATTTTGTATTGAAGAGCATGGCACTATGGCTGTTGCCATTACTGTTACCAGAAATAACGAAATCCGGAAAACTTTGACTGGCGTTCAACCCACTTCTTTTATCATGCTTCTTTAAAATTTTACGCATGGCTGTTTGATTTAATAGTTGATAATGCTTCATGGTGATTAATTGGGTATTGAGTGAGATAAACTGCTCAAAAGCTTGTTTGGACTCCTTGGTCTTTAGTTTACTGATGAGGTTCTGTTCTTTTAATTGATTCAAAAACCAGGACATTTGTTGCTTTGTCTTATTCAGAGCTGCTACACTCTTTGTATTATTGGCAATAGAAGAAGAAGGTAGAACATGCAGCTGCTGGAATATCTGCGCATCCATGTAAATGGAGAGAATATATCGCCAGTTATACATATCTGTCTTTTGCGATGTAGGTGAAGTTGCTTTCGTCATTCGAGTCTCTAGCTCATTGATTTCCTCTTTAAACTTTTCAGTCGTTGCATACTGTAGTGATGTGGCTTGTTGCAACTCCTCCATCAATGCTTTAAAAAATTCATCGTCTTGCTCTAATTCTATTACGAGTGTTTTGAGTTCTTGCTGGGCGGGCGGTTTGACGCTTTGATTCTGCCCCTCTTGATAGTTCTGCTGATTACCAGTAGCTGACATTGTGTTCCTCTTTTCCTCCCTACTGTCACTCTTGGCTGCCAAAGTGACTTGTAGTAACTCTTTCACAAGCATGATTGTAGAATCTCGCCTATGCTGTTTTTGAACGACCAGGCAGGTCGATGCCGTAGTTGTTTCCTCGCCTTCTGGTTCGCTTGTCATCGTACAAGATTTATTATTGTTTAGCGACGATAAAGTGAAGAAATCTTTGTTATTGGACGTTCTTTTGTACTCGAGCAACGAAGACGATCTTCTCCTTGGTTTGTTGCTATCACTCGATGTACTATCGTCAAGTATGTTTCTGTCATTGTCATCCTCATTATTACTATCATTGTCTAGCAATTTTGCCAAAACCTTTCGAACTTGAGGTTCAGCTGGGTTATACGAGAATTCTATGTTGGGTTTGATATTGGGTGGTTCACCTTTGAATAAAAGAATCGTTTTAAATCAGTGATATTGCTTTCTTTACACAAAATAATTACCCTGAAACTCACCTGTGAAGTAATACTTCAGGCGGGGTATACTATCATTGCTGCTGTCTGTTTTACGCATCTGGTGGCGCTGTTGTTCGTCGTTATCGCCCTCATAAATCAAGCATTCATGGAATAACTCTGAGGATAACCCTCTACTCTTAATTTCTTCAGCTACTTTGCTGATCAGTTTTTTTAAAGCCTTATACTGGATTAGATATGGCCTCCATTCAGAGGGAATGCTTTCTGCTTCACTTTCGAGCTGTTTGGCAAACTTCATGTTATCGTAATATCCGTAGCGGCATACGCTTTCATATAAAAATGGAAGAAAAAGAAAAGAAGAAATGGAAAATACCGACACAACACACAAAAGCAACACACACAGGTTTAATAGAAAGCTGCGTTTTATTGTTCCACGCTGGATTTTTTTTTTTTTTTTGGGTAGTAATTTTACCAAACTTGGCATTTCGCTTTTGCGTGAGTATCTGGATGCATTTGAGAGCCCTTTTTGCATGAAAATACTTTTGAAAAATGATAGGAGTTCATGATCGGGCCATTTACTCTGAAGCGATCAGGTGTAGTTTTAGGTAAGCTGTGATTTACAGGAATAGCTTTACTACATCTCATTCTGCTAAATTGAATATAAGCAATTTGTTCCTTCGTCCAATGATCGATTCCTGGAATGATTTGATTTGCTACATGATCAGTCATACTATTGTATGTACCATCACTATTTATACGAGTATTGCTGCTATTGTTATAGTTGCTTTCGAAGTAATGTCTAATCAGTGAGACTCCGCCATTATCCGCAAAATTCTCGTTCACCGTTTCCAAACCATCGATACCCAAATCGTTGTATTGGTTGATTAAACAATCATTTATAGATGTTCTATTGATATAGCTTCCTGCTATTCTTGTGTCTGGGATCAGTGAATCAAATTCATGCTAGAAAGCCACGTGGGGTCAAATACAATTATTCCTGATTGGTCCAAATTCCCATGTTTCTTTTAAGCTTGGCTTACCATAATTTCATGTCCGACCATTTCCCCTATGGCGCCCAAGTATAGATAATAGGGTCCATTTGGATCGAAATAGGGCAACTGCAAAAGACCTGCAGGAATGATAATCTAAAAGTTCAATCATGATTGAAAGTTGTGCTGCTATTAGCGTCCTTGTGCAATAAGTGGATACAATGACTCTAGTTCATACCTTGTTTGTCTCTTTTTCATAATGTACCTGAACACTTTGGACACTGACTTTCCAAGCGTTCATCGCATCACTATGTGTTTGTTGTTGATTTACTCTGCTCTTCATACTATGTCTAGTATTTTGTAGCACATTTCCAAAGAAATCATTCTGATCAACGTATAAATCGCCAAAGTATTCGTTTAAATAGAGTACGTCAAATAGAATCGAATCCTTTCCATTGTCTGTTGATGAGGGAGGATAGCCGATTTCAAATTGAATAGCTTTTAGCTGATTAAAAAATGCCAGAAAGGAGTATGAATATACAAATAACAGTAATTTTCCAAAACGTGCGTTGCCTCACCTTTTTTATCATTTCTACTTGCTCGCTTTGAGTAGTCACCCATGACAAAGAAGGCACTTTTGATATCAAAAGTTCTTGTACCCATTGTTTTACTATCTTTTCTAGCTTGGACTTTGCTTTTTTAATAGTAGCCTGATGATCGAGCACATAATAGCGACCTAATAAAATCCCTATTGCAGAGTTCTTCTGATCCATTATATGGATGCAAGTGTCTCTGCGTTCGGGAATAGCTTTGGCATGGTCCTCTCGTCCTTCCAACAAGGCTATCCATTTCCGCTTATGAATTAAAAAATCCTCACCCAAGAGATCAACATATCGCCAAATGGTACGCCAGATGAAATACATTTGTAAAGTGCGTGCATTCTTATTACTTAAGACATTGCTTCTCATATTTTCGATGAAATGGACTGAAGGGATCTGAATAGTGATTTGTTCTCGGTAGGGTCCCTTTTCTTCGTAAGGGAAGAATAAGGTCCAATCCATCTCAGGTACTTGACGCTGTAGTTCTTTCAAAGTCCATTCAGTAGTTCCATTTGATGCGTCGATATGAGTGCTAGCAATTGTCTTTTCGAAATCGATGATACGGCGAGCAGTGGCTATAGTACTCCACGTTTTCCATCCAAACTCATTCGAGGTATCTTTTTGAAAAATTGTATCCAAGAGAGACATGACGATCTGCATATAGCTTGCCATCTTTTGTTCGTCCTCATAGAGCTCAAAAAATGGCAAGCCACTTTGCCCTGGCCCTAATTGATATAGTATCTCTCGTCGGTGTCCTTCTTTATTTATGATCACTGGCGAGGACACTGTAAATAATGGCCACACGTCGCGCTCCGATAAATAAAGGAGGGCACGTTGACGCTGTTCGTCATCGACAGCGGTTGCTGACAAGTCTAGATGATGGTCATTCATAGAGAGAGGAATGTGTTGGCGTATCACGCGCAAAAGTGTGTAAAGTGGTTCTACCCCTTGCTGTTCAATCGTCTCTTGATTTATGCAAGAACGATAGAAATCGGATAGTTTTTTGAATAGCTGACGATCTAATATATCGGTTGGGTTCGGTAAAGAGTCATGTTGTATGTATTTGAGTCTCTTTTCAGCAGTCAAAATATGATCTAACCGATGTCGAATTGTATTTGAGGTCATCGACTGAATATCTATTCTATTGCTTGTCTCTGGTATCATATGTTTTTCTTGCCATTGACTGCAGGTATATGCATAAAAGTCATCACAAGGATCCAATTCTTGGTCTACATCTTGGAGGATTTGAGCCGCCGTGATAATGCAGTTAGATTCTAAGCAATAGGTCTTTTTTTTTTTTTTTTTTTTTTTTTTTTTTTTGTGCCAATAATGATTATTACTTTATGTGCAAAGATAAATAATCTGTTATGAACGCTTTGTTTCTTTTTTTTCCCACATACCTTGAGTTGTGTACGGTTTCCTTCGTGATTTGGTGGATTTGGTTTTGGCATGGTGGGTGACGAGGTAGGCAAAGGAAGAGAAGGTTTATCCTCGTGATGTTTTTGTATAGCATTTCTAGCATACAATCCGACAAATAAACATAGTAAAATGAATAAAAATGAGCTTAGAAAAAAACAAAGCTTTTCCAAAGAGGTAAAGTGCCCGGGCTGTAAGTGTGTTGGATACGAATAAACATAGACACTGCCGCCATCGACTTCATCGTCATCGTGGTCATGAGGATCGGTAAAGGTTGCTGTTGTTGCTGCCGCCGCTGCTGTTGTAGTAGTTCCATAGTCAGCTCGTCTCTGCTGTTGTTGCTGGCCACCTTCTTCTAGTGGGTTGTCTGCCTCAAGGTTTCCGTCGTTGACCCTACTGTTTCGTAGTAATTGTGCCTTGTCGGTTAGGGACATAAATAATGGAAGAGAAGATGAAAGAACAAACAGCAGCTTCTAATTTACTTTGATGATAAAGTATAAAGAATTGAAAATAATTAAAACATTTATTAAGGGGAGCTTAATCGTTGTTGTTTCAGTATTTGATCGGCTTGATTCATGCGGTATCGGCTCTTTTTCCGATGTTGCATTGCCTTGACTGAGTAACATTTAAACTTTGCAAAACTACCTTGACCGACCGAACACTACTCACTACGGTACATTCTGCACACGAATCAAATGATGCTCTTTTAAAAAAACAATAATAATCCTTTAGCACTGACTCACCCCTTTTGTGTAATTCAAAAGTATAAACAACGGATAAATGAACATCTAAGCCCAGTTTACTAGATATAAAACTAATTTACTAATCTTCTTGATTTAAAAACTTGTAAACATGTAACTGGAAAAGAGAAACGGCACTCCTCTTTTTTCAGTCAAATGGAAGTATATAATTTAGCTTTGATATTATTCTGTATTAATATCCAGGACGGTAGCAAAAGTAAAAGGTTCGAACTGAATACCGTCACCATTATAGAATTTACCGTCAAATTCAACCCACATCAAACGAAGAGCGTGAAGGAAAGCAGATAAACCTTCCATACATAATAGAATAGCTAGAGTTAAAATAAACCACAAAGCGAAGCCAACAACAAGACCAATGACAGCAATGGCGCCGGACATGTTGAACCAAATCTTAAGCGTCATATCCCAGAGTACACTTGATAACTCTATTATAAAAGAGACATAGAATGTTAACTTTCCCACGATAGCTCCCTTTGAAGAGATAGAATTGGTGATGGATGTCATAAGAAAAACAAAAAAATAACTTACGGGCGTGAGCAAGGGATAAGGCCCAAAGACGCAAATACGAAGCAGTGTTAGAGATACAGTTAAGACAGAATTCAATCGTATGAATGGTCTGATGAATCATTTCTTCGCTAAAATCAAATTCTTCTGCTTCTTCATCCTCATCAGCAGCTGAGCTACCCTGTACAAGAGGTTGTTCTTCGTCTTCATTGGGATCATCACCAGCAAGCGACTCATAACGATGTTGATTCGCTTCTCTTTTCAAATACAAGGGCTTACCGAACCACATCCAGGGAACACACACCACAGCCAATAACAGTAAGATGGCTTGAACAGGGCCCTGACCAGGATACAATTGATCTTCAGGATTCACTTTACCAGGCGTCAAGAACATATAAATCAGCATGTTCAATAAATTTGGAGGAGCGTTGTGAATATGTTGGCCATTTGAATCCAACTCCCACCAGTTTACACTCCACTTGTACATGATGCAAAGGATCAAGTAGCCAAAAACAGATTCCATAAATAAGATTTGAGGAATGAATTCAAGCCAGACAAAAGCCTTGCGCTTATAATAGATGTGGTTAAAAACATTTAAACAGACAGCAAAAGACATATGGATTACACCCATGATGATAGCCTGCTTCATTTTGTAGGAGTTTGTGAAGAGTAAGTAATTTTCGGAGCCGTGCCATGCAGGATCGAGACCGAAAGCGTACACACGGCCATTGGGAATCATTTCTACAGTTTCGTTGGAAGTATAGTTGGAGGGTAAACTAAAGCCTGACTTAAAGACGTTGAGGGATAAAGAGAACATATCGTTATAAATTGCACCGGTAAAAATGGAGAAAATGCCCATTAATAACATCATGTAACGACCGCCAAAAAACATTTTAAAGATCTAAACAGTATCAGCATGATGTGAATTAGTCTTTGTAGAGTGAACAAAGTATTTGTGACAAATAAAAACTTACTTCGCCGTTGTTAGACGCCAATTTCTTTTCATTGACGCAAAGGTAGAGGGCAATCAGAAACAGAAGGACACCGTGACCAATATCACCAAACATCATAGCGAAAAGGAATGGGAAAGAAACGATGGTGAAGAGACCAGGATTGACTTCACGATAACGAGCAATACCATAAGCATCAATAATGCCCTGGAATCCTTCTGTAAATTTGTTTGTTCGATGGTATGTTGGGCGTGTTTTCTTTGTATGTAACTCAGTCAAAATGGAAGGAAGACTGGTTCCTGAAGCGTCCTAGTTACCAATAAAAAAAAAAACGGGGTTGTTCAGCCATAATAACTTTTAGCAACCATTTGATCCTAATACTTACAGTAGCATCTTTTAATGATTGTTGAACCAGAGGGATATCATTAGTAGGACACCAGCCTTCAGCGATAAGGCATTTGCGATTGGAATCATAATTGAACAAATTCATGGTGTGGTATATGGCTTTTTCTTTACGGACAATAGTTGTCCAAGCTGTCAAATTTTCAGAGATTTTAAGCAATTCTGAGCGACGTGTTTGGTTAGTGGTCGATAAAACATTGTTCAAATCTTCGATACGAGAGGTAACTTCCAGAAGAGCATCACGGCGTTTGTCAGCTGAATCGTCAATTGTATACAGAGTACCACCCAAGCTTTCCGAAATCTTTTTAATCTTGGCGATGATTTCATGACCATGAGCAAAAATACAGAAGACATTCTTATCCACTACGCTGTCAGTGTCGGGATCAACAATAGGCTCGTCAATTTCAGCAGACTTCATGTATAAGTTACCACGAAGTGAGCGCCAAAGAACACGCTCAAATATTTGAATACGTGATCGAGCAATCACACCTGTCACATAACCTAAATGTAGGTTTTCGGACTCATAGTGGGCTTGTTGTTCAACGTCATTTTCTAATAATGGTGCAGAATCATCTTGTTCATCAAATGAAGTGCGAATTGTTTCGTGTCTAGATTCGGCCTATACAAGAAAATGATAGACTTTGTTATCAGACAACCACGGGCAACCTGAGATCCTATAAAATGTAACTCATTTTCTGCCCCCTTACTTGTTCGAAAAATCCGCCTGATTCTCTTAAAACATGGCGCAACTCAGTCAATTGTAGATAACGACGTTGAAGTGATTCGTAAGACGAGTTCATTTGAGTGATACGCCCCTCGTATTCCTTCAAATTTTCTTCAAGGTCATCGATTTCTTGAGCAGAACGTGCGCGCGAACGAATAGCAGCGGAAGTCATAGGACGAAGTTGAATTTCATTTTTTTGCAGTTGTGAGTGGAAGAAACCTAGTGTTAATAAAGAAATAAACATCGAACGTTTTAGTTAGAGCGATTAGAATTGCAGACTGAGTAATATCTGAAACGTAAACGGATAGTTGGGTTGTAGGACAACACGCGCAATATCTTTTTTTGTTGAGAGGTATAGCATTACTCCTTAGTATTGAAGCAAAGCTATCAAACTCAAGTATGCTACTGTTGCTATTATCTTTAAAAATGTGTCGTTTGCACCTCACTTATCCCACATAAGATAAGCTTCTTATGTATCCCGTTTCAGAATTGCTGTATAATACATACGACATTGACGCTCCATCTCGTCCAAGCGTCTGATTTCAGAGACGAAAGAACGTTGAAAAGCATTCACTTCAGGGTTGAGCTACAAATAGAGCATGTAGCAGTGTTAGTTTGGTGTAAATCTGCCTTTAACATTCAAGTCCTCAAAAAGTGAGCTACTGCGACAGTCGAAAATGGTTCACATACATCTCTGAATTGTACTTTGCCTAGCTCTCCTAACTCGGCTACACAAGGCTGGGCAACTTCAGCAGGAATGTACAACTGAATAAGTGACATCTCTTCCGAACGGAAGAGTGTGCTTGGTGCCATTTTCTTTTAATTAGTGTTTCGAATGTATCAAGGAAAACGAAAAAACAAAATTGGAATTGGGAGCCAAATCTGTCTTTAATTTCACAGTGGGGTGGGCAAAAAAAAAAATGGTCGACGAATCTTCGTAAAGTGTACTTACCTTGCCATCAGCACATCTAGTGAGCCGCCAGTACCATAGGGGGCGTGGGAGGCGGTCGAAAAAGCTATGATTTTTCTATCCCTATGATAATGGTATCATATTCCTTAAAGCAATAATAGCGCACTGTCACACTATGTAGTTTACATAGCTCGATAATAACATGGCAATTTGCTGATTTTAATGTCTTTCATATCATTGCTAAAGCATCTGTTGCACTTACGATGATAAGGATAATAATAAGCAGAAAGTAATTGCCACTGCTAAAGCTACACTCACTTTGACGTTAAATATTCGTTTATATAAAAAATGTTAGCAACTCACTCCCCTGCCTTATCATCAGCTGTTTGAGCAAAAAATTATGGGTACTCAACCTTGATATTTTTTGCCACGTTTCCAGTGCTTGAATGCAAAATCTCAAAGCGGCAAGCGACCATGTCGTCCGCCATTCAAAATCCTTCCAAGAAAGCACCTGCTGTTGTCAACCTTGACTGTTTGCAGAGTGGAAGAAGATCAAAGCGTGTAATTGACTTCGTTAGCTGCTTCTCGCTCAATTACATTTGCTTTTTCAGGGTCACGTCTTCTTCTTTCTCGCCATTCCTCTGCTTCCCTTGTTTCTTCCGTCATTTTTATATGCTTCTAATTCAAGTTGTTGTTCAAAAATGTCTTTGAAAAAGCTCATCATAATATATGATATCTGATTTCATCTCTTTTGGTTGTCATTTTTGGCAGGAGTGTTCACATTTTTTGCGTAAATGTTTCGCTTCGCCGTAATTAGCATATATTCCTATACCCTTTCGACATCCCCAGCATGACATCCAACTTTTAATCAACTCTTCCTTATACAAGAGAAAAAGAATATGTGTTAGTGATGATTTTTCTTTCACTAGTCGCTACTTTCTTCGTCAAGTTGCTTTTTAGATGTGCTTCCCGTTCCTGCAGAGGGCATACTCCAATTAAATAAGGGTTATCAAAAAAAAAGTAGGATTCAGTCATGAAGATATGTTTAACGTAACCACGAGTAAAACAACCAAAAGATGACGGGCAAAGGAACGTAACGGATGGATAGGAATGCAAAGTTGCGTAAGTTAGTCTCTGTTTATCCAGGGAAGCTTGACAGAAAGTTTGCAAAAACTGGTAACAAACACTTAGCATTTAAGGCTTAGAATCGAACACTTCGTTTCATTGTCTACAGCATTTCATGAAAGTGAAAAGCATACAATTGTTGAACATGCGGAAAGAAACTTGAGCTACGAGCCACTCTCTACAGCCTTTCACTCATATTCGACTTAAGCTTTTGTCCACAGATCAAAATTGCTCGTTGGGTTGAGTGGGAGATAAGGCGGTAAATGTACACAACCGTACTCACGGCTCAATTCTAACTATTATCCATTACCGTTCATTATTCACATACCTCTCATTATGTTTTGGTACAAAGTTGGTCACATTTCAATATAAAACTGCTATTATATATCAACTGTACACACTATTTTGTACTTGCTATACATCCTCGTTTTTATAGCGCATCCATACTGGCTTAGAATGCAAGGAAGGAGTATTTATCTCGCATTTTGTTATTAAACTCTCATTCTAATTTTCTTATAATATTTCAGAAGTAAATGAAAAGCAAATTGTGATAAAATACGAGATCAATGAAGAGTACTGGATCATTATACTAGTGGAGAGTGCATGGAGAAGTAACAGCTAATCGAACGGCTATCGCAACAAAAATAATTAAAAAAAGCAACACGTTTCATTGGCTAAGCAGTCATAATTTGGAAGCTGGCATCCAAAAATTATAAATTTGGAAATGCATATAAATTTAAAACTGCGAAAATGTTAGATTTTCGGGCTCTATTGCTTTTGAACTTTCATTTATATCTGCAATTTTTCAATAAAACATATTCGACATTCAACACGCAGATCATGATTCTAGGCAGATTCAAGCAGGTACAGCCTTCATTTCCAATACATGGTTCTATAAAAATGCCAAATACGGCTAAAAATAGAGTAGCATATGTTATGATAAGTAGTTAATGTGTGGGGTTTATTTATCTTCTTGTTCTCATATTGTCTAGTGGACTGGAGAAAAATTTGGTGGGGCGAAAGTGACTCTGCAAACCGAAGATTTTCAGCGCTTGGAACAGGAGACAGAGCGTAGAAGACAAGGCTATGAAGAAGTAGTGGAGGCAGTTGATCTACTTTCAACTTATTTATTGAAAAGGAAGACCTCACCTGACGACAACAAAATGAAAAGTATGCCACTCGAAGCTCTTGGTACCTGTATGCATCATTATGGCACGGTCTTTCCGGAACATTCACCACTAGGTAAGCAGAGCTATTTTGCATGTCAGTATTTTAGCCCTGACTTAAAATCTAATTTCAATTAAAACTTCCCGTTTTATTTTATTTGTTTGATGCGTGCAAAAGGCAAATCATTGATTAACTTAGGCCAAACCGAAACTCGAATTGCTGCACTACAAGAGGCTCTGGCGATGGAGATTAAGGCGAAGTATCAAACAATCTTGGAAGCTGGTCTTAAAGATTATAAGGAGTTTGATGCTTTAAGAAAGAAGTTGGCTTCCCGTCGACTGGATTATGACTCGAAATTAAATAGATTGAATAAGGCTAAAAGAGAAAAACCAGAACTTGAGCAAGAGATGCAGGCTGCTAAGATTAAATACGAAGAAACCGAGAATGATTTGATTCACAGAATGGCTTACCTCGAAGAATTCGAGGTAATGTGATAATTAAGACGCTGTACCGGCGTAAAGGTTGTTTTTTATCACTGAGTTTGAGAGTTTGATTAACCGCTCCTTCATCATAGACCGTGCATCGAAATGCTTTATACGATATGCTTGAAGCGCAATGCAGCTTTCACACGCATGCCAAAGATCTACTAGAATCGCTCAAAAAGAGCTGGGGGGATCCACCACCATCCAATGATAACAGTCCTTGCGATCTACTGGGAAAAGTGATGGTACGATCATCGACTAACAGCTCTGTGAACTCGATAAGCGCAGAGGTAGCGCCTTTGCGCCGTCGTGGATCACCTGCTGCTTTCGCAGTATCGCAAAGCATGAGCCGAGATATAAGTGCAGAAACACACTCTTCCCAAAAAAGCCATAATCATTTGACTGATTCTCTTGCAAGTCACGCACAATTATTGTCAATTCATCCAACAAGTGAACAGCCTACATTAATTGAAGAGGATAAACTTAGGCGAGCGCTATATGATTTTACGAGCGAGAATACTGACGAAATTTCTTTTAAAACCGGTGATATTATACTCGTTCTTAGCGAGATTGATAAAGGATGGTGGCTAGGTGAGTTGAATGGAAAGCGTGGCATTTTTCCGGTCAATTATACAGAAGACTACGATCTTCGAAAACGACCGTTACCGCCTGTTTCTACAGAAGACAACATCATCAATAGCAGCAATAGCAGTACGAGTGGCTCTTCTGTAGATCAAAGGCAATACGAACCTGCACCTCCTACCCCATCATCATCCACCTCTTCACAAATACCTGCGCCACCGCCACCCAATTCTCTACTTCATCAAAAATCTACACCTGAACTTACTATTAATACTAGTTCACTTTCAAGCCCTCGCATTGGTGAAGGAAATCGTAGTTCTCCATCAGTGTATTTCTCAACAGAATCTCCTGCACCTATTCGTAGACCGCCTCTGCCTCCTGTTTCCGCTTCTTCTCCTTCTATTCCTACGTCTCGCAAACCTAGTCTCACCAGACAACGTTCTACAGCCATTCGAGCTCCTCCTCCTCCTCCTCCTCCTCCTCTTCGTGTCAAAACAACAATACAATAATTTAACGCGCTTCTTTACTAGTAATAATTACAACCTAATCTTTTTTGTTTTCCTTTATTCCTCGCTATTCGCTAAATTAACTCATGTTCCTTTGCATAAGTACTGTAATAAATCCCCAACATTTTTTTTTTTTCTGTTTTTAAAGATGCTGAAAATGAGATACTTACAGCTATGATTCTATCAATAATTTTCACTAAGATAACCCCAGAGCACAATTGACGACAAGCAGTCAAGGGAAAGAGCAGAAGATATTACCTCCCGATACCATTTACGTACAGCTTAGAAGCATCTAGTTCTACTTCTATGAACATAATTTAATGATAGTATACAATTTGATGTTGATACAATAGCAATAACAATATGCAATTACATATAGAAAAGGAGTATAATGTTACAGATGAAAAAAAAAAAAAAATGAAATACAACAAAAGGCTAAACGAAACTCTATCTCTTTTTACCATTTGATTTATAAGGCGAAGAGGGAGGGAGAGTAGGAGTTCTTTTAAGCTCTGCAATTTAAGAACACTGATTTTCGCGTGCCTAAATGTGAAAGGTCTTGGTAAGGTCGTTTAGGTGGAGGAAACGGGCCTTGAAAGACAAAAGTAAATGCTTTTTTAAAAGAAATGCCTCTCCTGCCTTTGTGTTGGTGTAAGCTCCGATAAGTTTTACTGTTAGAATGAGGAGATGTTCGTTCATGATAATTGGGTGTAGCTGTGACAATATGTTGATGAAGCATGACTGTTGATGTTGTACCAACACTATTAAATCGTTTGATTGATTTTTTATGACTGAGCACCGTCCTTTTGGATGCTGAATTGCATATCAAAGAAGGAGGTTTTGTCCTACACTGCTCGTTTTCCAAGCTCTCTTGATTGACAGTTATGTCTCCCTCATGATTCGTGGTGATACTACGTTTATTCAAGTCTTCCATTTGGTCATGGCAATACTGTTTATGATAGTCGAGTAAACGGTGTCTGTAATTTGCTAGCCAAGGATGGTGAATGACTATATCTAAAGATGCTCTTGTGCCATATGGTGCTAGCATACGTTTGATTATATCCTTTGCATCTGTATATGAGAAAGCACGATGAATAAAACGAATTCTATACTGTATGGTAGAATCCCGCAAAAAAAAAACAAAAAAAAATTACCTTCCGTCAGATAATCAGGGACATTGAAATCACTATGTATCATCTTTTTGAATAATTGATGATCATTTGACGCCATAAAGGGATATCTTCCTGTCAGTAAACGATATAAAAAAATGCCCAAGACCCAGACATCAATCATTTCGCTATTATAACCCTTGTCGGATTGCTGTTGTTTCTGTGGGTACTCTTTCTGCTTATCTGCTGTGGTAATCATTGAGAGCTCAGGAGGCAGATATTGTGCGTTGCCACAAAATTTATGATACTCGGCTTTTCCACTGTAAATCACACGCATCTTTTCTATATTGCCAGTAACTGGATGAAATACCAGAGCCGTATATTGAGGCTTCCTATCTTGTTTATTCTGAAATCTGATTGCGGCGAGGACCATTTTTGCAAATTTACGTTTACATTCTTCCTCACCGCCTCTTTGACGAAGACGGTCTATTGATTCATTCGCGTCTTGATTGTGATCATCCTTGAGTATGTCCTCAACAATACTATTTTCGGTAAGTTGGTCAAGTGTCGAAGCGCTGCTTAAATTAGAAGAGATGGACGGTTCAGGACGCTGTTGTTGATTGATATTTTGGGTAACATTTGTGGCTGATACCCCATTGTGAATAGAAGGAGGCCCTTCTTTGATAATAGATGTTGTAACTATAGATGAGGTACATTCGATAGACATTTGACTGTCATTTTTCTCAACTCCGTTGTTATTGAATATCTGATTATTAGAATGCACGTTCGAAGAAGCCGAGGTTGTTGCTGAGTCCATAGCCATCGTTTCACTTTCTTCGAGTATGGGGCTCAATGGTAAAGGATTATCAGAATTTCTTTTATTGGTCGTCTGGTTGCAATAGAGCCAAAGTTATGAAAAGGAAAAAAAGAAAAAGATAGACTATTAATAACCATTGCTATTTGAGATATGAGAAAGTACTCGATCCACTGTCCTTTTGAGGTAATGTACATATATCTCTATTTGATGCATGCATACAACAATAGGGCCTAATTGGTGAATAAGTAAAGATATATAAAAACAATCAATCCGAGAAGGGTAAGGATAATGTCTCCCTTCCGGATACACCGGCAATCGTTTCGCCGAAAATGTAGTGTAACCGAATGATATGCAATGCACGATAAAAGCGCGATAGATGGAAGTGATATAAAAAAAAAACGTGGTTATATGCAAGAGAATTTCAAACCGTTCTTGTTCAATTTCTCAAATGCATCTCTGATTTGATAGGTATATGACATTACCCCGCAAATAGACATTATTGGTAATAGTATAGTAGTACCTTCTCAATAATAAGGCGTAAAAAAAAAAAAAAAAGAAAAAAGAATTGAAAATAGAGATGATACTACCTTAGCTTGTGAATTGGTGTTACTATTACTATTTTCCATCGTGTCCATTGGAAGTTTCAATGTTGTGTTTTGAAGTAGTAATGATATATTATGAGTGTTATCTAGTGATGATGAGGATGAAACAGATGAAGATGAAAATAAGTTTTTGAAATATGAAGTATGCGATGGTCTGCTTTTGTTAAGTCTAAAATGCTGTTGGCGTTGGTGTATGCTTTCATTATTTTTGTCATTCGTAAGTTTGTCTGTTAGGAAGAATGGAAGTGGCGGTCGATCAGGAGAAAGCGATCTCCAATCTAGTGAATTTGCGGAAGAGTCTTCGCTGCTCTTCCTCTTTTTTTGATCTGTAGAAAACTTATTTTTTAGTTTAATTGATGATTGATTGATGCGCTGCAGCCACAAAAGCTTGAATCGTTTTCTGTTGCGAGTCTCAGGCCGCTCAGGTTGCGGTATTGCAGTTTTACTGCTGTTAGGATTTCGTTTTGCCGCCGCTGCAACCAGGAAATGAGGCATTCGTTTCCTGAAAGCATCATTTAACATAAGAAAGATTTTGTTGTTGTGTTCCAATCAAAAACTGTGAACATAAAGTCTCTTGCGTGTTGCAACTTTCTGAAAAGTCTATACGAATTGAAATTTTGGAGAAATCGAAGCAGTACACAAGTGTGAATAGATTTGACAAAAGTGCAGAAGTCAATTGCACAAGAAGGAAGAAAAATAAAAAAAAAAAAAAAAAAAAAAAAAAGAACAGAAGAGGCAATGACAGAGAAAGTGAAAGAAAACCAACTTTTCTGTTGGGCATACATTTTTTACTTGTGAGTTTTCATTCGATACTCTCGAGTTGGATTGACTTTTCTGGCATTGTATAATCATGTCTGACCAGTATCCTTTTGTAAATGTCACTCAAAAATAATAAAAGATAAATTTGTGTGATCATTCTTCTTGCTTTCTTTAGCTCTCTCTTTCGTTAGTCAATTCTTGGTCCTCTCAAAGCCTCGAATGATGGGCACTTAGTTCAACTGAAATATTAACATAGCAGTGTTCTATAGAATGAGTTTACATAGAGCATACAAAGGCAACTTATCATACTGTGATGATCCGTTATATCAATAAACATCTCTTGTGAAATCATTAACATAATGGCATTTGATCGTTTTAGTGGTATCATGTCGTTAGATCTTACATTCGATTTGAGAACAACATTGATCCTGCAGCACGAGTATTTTCCCGCTCGACTTTTACTTGTCTTTGCTTCTACATCTCCTAAAAAATGCCAAGGTTAAATTTAGAAAAAAGTCTTTCACTCATTTTCCCAGAATGGGAATAAGACTGAAAGGTATGAAAAAATCGTCTGCAGCTCTACAGATACTCACTCTTCTGGTGGCACGTTCTGAACATTTTATACACATTCAATAGCTACTTTTCGCACTACAAAAGATGGAATTTAACATAGAAGAATGCTATGCTATCATCTTGATTTTTTCGGAAGCATAAAGTCTTCCTTCGTCATCACGCTGTGTAACCATACTAACACATAATTCATGAGTGCTATCATTGTGAAGCACTATTAGTATTCAACGAGAAACTATAAGTTCGTACCTTGATCTATCATTTGTCATTTGATAAAGGCGCAAAGAAAAGCAATCTTACCTATAATAGCAGCGGTATGCCCCTGGATCAATCAGCGTTCCTTCATACGCTCTAAAAAAGAAGGCAGCTAGTCTACTTAAAAGCGAACAAATGACCTAATGGATTGCTCTTCAACACGATTTCTAAATTGGTACAGTATGATAACTTGTATCTGTCAAGATTGTTGACAAGAAAATAAAGGATTTTGATTGAGTGACATTGAATTTAATTTTTCGTCGATCTTTTTCCTTTTTAGCTTTAGAATGACTTATGATAACGTTCTTGAAGGCAGGCTTCCCTTCCCCTTAAATGTTTTTACGGCAGGCTTAAAACCGACAAAAAACGGGCGCGACAATAATGGCATGAGCTAATTGATAAAAAGTGTCTTGTTTACATTCTATTTACAATGATAACGTGGAACCATAAAGTCTTACGTCAGCTGAGAGAATTTCACCGTGCAGTCAGAGGCGTTGTTCTGGTTTTTGGTGGGGCTGTATTTTGTGGCGTTCTCCTGGGTCCTGACTTTTGTTTAAAGAGGAGATAGTTTCCCACTTTTTTGGGCCTTTATTTGTCTGCTAGCTCAAAAAAGGGTTGTATCTTCACAATCTGAAACCTATCTGATTCAAGATGGTGATGTCGTTATAAAGGAACAGGGTGGACAGAGGATGAGTTTATTGAATGTTTTATGCTTTATCAGTGTTTATTGCTCAGGAGCATTTTACACTTGACGATAGTCTAAGGACTAAATTTGCTACTAAGCTAAAAAGAATATATCTTTGTCTGACTGAACGGGACTGCAAAAAGAAATGTACAAACTGGATATGCGTCAGTTTATTATTTGAGTTTCTGAAGTGTTTTTAATGCAAGATTCCCAAAAAAACTGTTTAAGAAAGGCATAATGTAATGAGACAAAAATCTGAAGAAACTGTTTACGTAAAGTAAGAGTTTGCGATAGATGTGTATATATTAGTCCAAATGGAAGGAATATGTCTTTTGCTCTCAAAATTGATCGTAAAAGAGAGTTTAATGGACTAGGCCTTAGTTACTAAATTTAGTTTATTGAGCACTGTTGTTTGTTGTGTAGACAATCCAAACTTTATTGCCAGCACATGCACACGAAAAAAAAAGAAAAAAAAAAATTAAAAAAATAAAGAGAAACCATATTTAAGATTGAGACAGTGCTTTAGCAATTCTTGTTTCTTTTTCTTCTTCTTCTTTGTCTTTCTGTGAATAGTTTTTCCTTCTTTCTTCATACCCTCACCGGAACGTACCCTCAACAAGAATGGCAGGTGCAGTGATAGATACCGGTTATATGTGGTTGGGCGTTTACTTCGTCCTCAACTTGTCCTTAACCCTATACAACAAGATTATCCTCAACAACTTCCGATATCCTTACACATTGACAGCTATCCATACATTATGTGGTGCAGTTGGATGCTATATACTATATTTAATGGGCTGGTTCACTCCTGCCAAATTGGGCGAACGTGAAAACATGATCATGCTTATGTTCTCTATTCTTTACACTATCAATATTGCTATCAGTAATGTTTCTTTGTAAGTAATCGTATTTTGATCGAAGTATACGAGCGATGTGTATATACGAATGCTAATAATCTATTTTCTGGGTTTCAATTGTTTTATTGTAGAAATCTCGTATCTGTACCTGTAAGCAGTAACAATAAATTAGCATGGTCAATGGCTAGAAATGACTGAATTGTGCATGTCTATATTATAGTTCCATCAAGTTGTTCGTGCTATGACTCCTGTCTTTACCGTTATCATATCTATTATGTTTCTTAAGAAAACTTATCCCGCTAAGATCTACTATTCTTTATTACCAGTAAGCGTCTATCATTATGTTATTCATTGTAATACAAAAAGTTAATTGAAGAAATTTGCAATTAGGTCGTTTTTGGTGTAGCCTTTGCCACTTCCGATGAATACTCATTTACTTACATGGGCTTCTTCCTCACTGTTTTGGGTGCAGTCTTAGCCGCTGTCAAGACGATTGTTACTAACCGTGTACAAGTAGGTCGCCTTAAGTTGGCCCCTCTTGATCTACTTTTCAGAATGTCACCACTTGCTTTTATTCAATGCATTATCTATGCTTACTTCACCGGTGAATTACAGGACGTGATGCAATTTAGCTCACAAAACATGACCGCCGATTTGGCTTTTGGTTTATTCTTCAATGGTCTTATCGCTTTTGGCTTGAACATTGTCAGTTTCACAGCTAATAAAAAGACAAGTGCTCTCACCATGACAGTTGCCGGTAACGTCAAGCAAGTCTTGTCTATTATTTTGTCCGTCGTTATTTTCGATTACGCCGTTACTTTAATGAACTCATTTGGTATCCTATTGACTCTTGTTGGTGGTGCTTGGTATGGGTATGTATTATAACGAATTGAATGTTCAAAAAAATATTGCCGCGGAAATCTAATTTATTTTTCTCAATTTTCCACCGATATATAATCTAGCCATCTCGAATTGCAGATTAAGAAACAAGCCCAACAAGTTTTACCAACAGCAACCAACAATAAAGCTAACAATGACATTGATGAGCAAATCAGCTTCATAACCTCAGAAAAGAAAGAAGTTGTTGTTTAGAAATGTTAGCAAAATATTGTAGAGAACTTTTCAACGTTATCTTATGTATATCTTTCTGTAATATAATCAATCCCTATTTATCATGTTCTTTCTCTTATACATCCTTTTTGCCATTTTTTTGTTAAATCTTCATATTAACCAAATAGCTTATTGCAATTACTTCATTCTGATTAAAAAAACGAATAGAATCTAATCAGTTCCAAATGTATTTATATATTCTTCGGGTCTATTTGTGCACATGTGACAAATGCTTCAGCAGTCATTGAACCTCTTCAAAAGCAGCGGACTCACAATGGAGAACAGGATGAAGTAAGTCACTGTCAAAATTTGCGCGCTTACTGATTCATTTCTCATCTCTCTCACTCACAATCTTATAGCGAAAGATGTCGTTATTAACGGACGCGCTAACAAGACGACAGCCTCTTCGTATATTGGATTTAGTATACTTTTTATATTTTGCTACTCACATTCCTGTCACTGTACTCATTGATTTTCAATTGTTTTGCCCATCCCATTGGGTCCCTCAAATACTGAAAGATGCCTTGGCCTTTTATGTAACGACATATAAAGACCCGTTCATGGGCAGCACTACTCCCGTCTATTGGTATTCAAGTTTTGTTGTATGTGAACTATTATTTCAGTTACCATTCTTTTTTATAGCATGCATTGGGCTTGTCAAAGGTAACAAGAATATTCTGTTTAGTAAACATAAATGAAAAGACATGAATTGATCGAGCCTTTCTGTCTGGTCCTGCTTATTCGATAGATTGTAAATACATTCGTCTTCCTCTTGCCAGTAAGCTCTCCAATTCTGCAAATAATAAACATGGTGTTTGAAAACACTTTTTTGTTTGACATATATTTTGATTAATAGCCTATGGTGCCCATGTTGCTACAACAGTCCTGCCCTCCGTTGTTGAAATTCTGTGCAGTCCGACATTTAAGCTAACTCAAATTGAGCGCTATATTCTCTGTGCCTTCTATGTTCCTTACTTTTGTCTACCGGTTATTATGGTGATTGATTCATATTATCGCATCAATAGTTACCTCAGAATGAACACTGAAAAAAAGTTGCAATAAAAATTTGGAAAGAAGATGAACGCATCTTATTTACAATGATGCGTATCTAAATATCATCTCCTCATCATATTGACGATGACTATGTCTGCTGTTTGTTAGAAAAGAGCTTATGACCTCTAAGAATAGCAGGCGTCTGCGTTATCAAATAGCGTAGCGCACCTTCAGGTATATTAACCCCGCCTATCCACGCAAGAAAAAATAGCTTCGTTCTGCTCTTGCACTTCAGCATGCCAAATGATGTTGACTACAGCATCTCAAGTGGAAGAAATACCTGCTTAGTTGAACCTTATAGGCAGCATCTAACGTGAATGTAGTAATATTTTTGGAAGAATGCGGTGTTTATATACGTCGCAGAAAAGCCAAACAATAACTCTCCTTTGAGCAAGGAGCTATGGTTTTAAGAAAGCAAAAACGCCGAGATAAGCTATTCCTTATATTGCATATCATATTATTCATTTATACTTGTCATTTCTTCAATAATCGGTCTTATTTGTACTTCATGGAAACCAACAACAGCAACTACTTTAGCAATAGAACTTACATTTATTCCTGAACTAATTTAAGTTCGATACCATAGTTAATCAAGATAGTTTCTCTATGAGGTTTCATAATTTTGACTTGCTGCCTTTTTGGTTTTTTTTTTTCCTACCGCATTGACCTGAACACACTTTTGTGTGTATTGCTCCGCTTTTATTTTAATTTTTGGGTAAATCTTTTGGACCCTTTTTTCTTTCCTTCCGTCTTTTTTCTTTCTACCGTGTATTTATCAATGGTGCAGGATATATCAAATCCCATATCCTCAGTATCATCACCAATAACCACTATATACCCATCGTCGACATCATTACCAACGCCAGGATTAGAAATACCAGAACGACCACTCATAAATGAACAGAGCAATTCGATACCACTTATTTCCGTTACTTGCCTACTATTTATATGTGTGATAATAATCTTATCAGGATACGGCAATATAAAAAGCCAACCTTGGTACGTTACTATTGTATGCATTATCGGGTGGTTTTTACCGTTTTGGATTGTGGTTCTATTGCCATTGGATTTAGCTTCAGTAAGAAGATATAACATGATTTTTCGAATTGGCTTCTTACTGTACATAGGAAAGAATCGCTTATTAATGAAATCTTTTTTTTTTTCTCCACTCTTGCTGCATACAAGACTGTACAAGACGAGAAGAAAGGCAGAGTCCCTTTTGCATATGCTTCACAATCATTTTTATTTGTTGCTTGGAGAGTCATTTATTGGACTTCGTTTTGTTTGACATGGTAAAGATATGCATAACAAAATCATCACAAGCAACGTTCTTTAACAATGCTCATTCTTACCTCTTCTTTTCTGAATAAGGTTAATGATTCCAATGATGCAAGCCTATGTTAATACAGGCGACTTTACAGTTACAAAAAGGTTGAAATCAGCATTACATGTCAATATTCGATTCTATTCGATTTATGTCGTTGTCGGTATTATTGGATTATTTTACCTTGTGTTTGGGAATGGATTAACGACAAGGTATAGTATATAATGATAAATGAAACGCATTCAGCTTACCATCCATTTCTAATTTTTGTATTATTCCTCATGTGTCAGGGAAGGCATTCAAAGTTACGTTATGGCAGCTGCGAACAGTTGGGGTTTATTTTTAGTCATTGTGTTTATGGGCTATGGACTAGTGTCACTACCTCGTAGCCTTTGGTATTCTGGAGATTACGATCGACATTTACATCAACATTATGCAAACGCAGTCAAATTGAAGGAAGAATGCTTGGATACAGAAATTGAATTTACTGAACTCGCAAAGACGATGAATGCTATATCTAAAAGATCCACGGCAGAGCTACCTGAAACGAGACACTGTATTAGCATTATGCTTCAGCGCTTTCCGTTCGTATTACATGGAACGTTTTCAGTAACTGAGAGAGAGCTTAACAGCAGCTCGTCGATTAGTATACCTAGAGTATTGACTGAAGACTTTTTAGTAAAATTGACACGACGAATGATCATCGCTATCCGAATGAAGGATAGAAAGAGTGCGTAAGTACAAATTGTACCTCACTATCATCAAACACCTGTACGCTCCATGGGATATTAACATTTCTTTGGGGGGGGGGTCCTAGTTTATACAAAAATCTTCTGAATGAGGCATTTTATTTGCAGGATATCATCAGTAATAAGGATAAGAAAGACAGACAATTTGTATCTAGCTTGAGGCGAGGAAACGAAGAAAATACATTATGGAACAGACTAACTTCCAATATTGAATGGTGGTGGATTCTACGGATTTCGCCCTTCATCAACAAAATTTTGGCTATTCTATTCTCAGTTGTCAGTGTTTGTATTATCTGGTCAGAGTTAGTCTTTAATGTTAGAAAACCGGTCATCATATCGATTGTATACTATATACTAAATGCCTGTGGTACGAATTACGCTGCGCTGGAGGTAAAGTGGGTTTTTTATACATGTATTGGATAAAGACATACAACTTACTTGCAGCAACTCCTTTTTTTTTTTCCTATGGCCGTTGTTGTAGATTGTGGCGTTTTTGACGTTGATGTTCATGTGTATTTGCATTTATTCTTCGTTATTCAAAATCAGATTTTTCAATCTGTATCTGCTCATCCCTAATCATCACACAGATGAAAACAGCCTCTTGTGGTTCACCAGCTACATGTGTAAAATGATGTAATGTGGTTTTGCCTCCAATTAAGCTCATTGTGTCTTCAAAATTCATTAGTTACTTTTTGTAGGGCTCCATTATGTTACAATTTCATCAACCTCGCTGTGGATGCACCTGGCGTCAACAATGCCATCTTCACTACTGTAAGTGATGATACTCAAATTTCGATCTGATATAAATTGTAAATGCACAGTTTTCTAAGTTCATCATATTATTTTTCTTACATCTCAGTTTATGGGAAAAGCTGAACTTATCAAATTTTTGGGCGCCTTTGCCGACTGGTTCCCAATCATTATTCTCATTCCGGCAATATCACTATTATTCAATATACAAGGACGTTGCCTCCGAATTTGCGGAATCAAAAGCCCCTATCAATATAGCGAAGATGATGATATCGATCATCAGGATGATGCTGAATCGAATTGGGGCGCTTTGATGGATGCTGACTATGAAGAGGGTGCTAAATTGGTTAAAGAAGGTAAGAGGCTATTCTGTACGATACAATCAATACATCTAATAATTTTCACATTGTCTGAAATCCGTCCTTCTGCTATTGTAGAACGGAAACAACGCGAACGTGATATCAACCCTTCAGCTACCAGAAATTCCACGACAAATACTCGAAGCAGAGTAAGTTTGACGAAAATCAATTATCCGAGCTGTGGTCTTAGTTTATCGTTTCTATTAATTAGCAAAATGGCGAGAACTTACATCCATTTTGTATATTGTACTACATTTTTTAGGATTATACCAATCGTAAGTACCACCGTGCTGTCCCTCCTGATACGATAAGAAGTGAGCGAGATAGAAGAGTTGATGAAATTCTATCAGGAGAATCTAACAGCGCTTCCCCAGAACATTACCATGACGAGTCCTCTGGTACCAGTTCACCGAGGTCCCTGACTCCCCAATTAAATAACCAACCTGTAGATGCTTCAAAATTAAAAAATAATTTGCTATCATTGGGAGATACTGTCAAAAGTAGGTTCGGAGGGCTCTTTCACTCTCTCAATATGTCAAATGACTTCAACATAAATACAACAGCAACTGATGCATCAGCGTCACTGCAGCAACAACAACCAGAACAGTTAGATGGGGAGTTAGAGCCATACAATTTAAACCGCTCTTTTTTGAATGATTCAACATCAGCAAATCCTTATGCTTCTTTCAATGCAGCAAATATTAAAAGAGGGGAAAGGGCAGGTCGCGTTTTTGGCCGGCCTGTCACAAACGAAAATTACCGACCTTTCAATGGTAAGTGTGTTACTTGCTCGTTCTCGACTCGAGGATGCGTTTATATTCATATTTATTTGACATTTGTTTTCATTGAGCTTCTTTAGGCATAAGTCGTCATTCAAGCAATGGCATATCACCCTTTGCAAGATTAGACGAAACATCTAATAACAGTGCTACTTCCGTTGACTCACCCAATAGACCTTCAACTGGAAGAAATATATTTGACAATATTTAGAACCTTGTGTAAATAAACTGAATATTTTACCAATTTCGTAAGCGTACCCTCTATGGTATTCTTGCATTTTACTATTAAGGATAGTAAAAAGGTTAAAACACAAGAGATAATAGATAGGCAAGCTTAACGAGATCAAATGGTCTTTATTTCTCTTTCAAGGACAAACTAGAGAAAAAGCAAAGACTAAACTACTACTGTTAATAGAGAGTTACTGTATCACGTTTGCTGTCTACGAATATATCAGGATCTATAGCTGACACTGATGTAAATGACCATATAATACTCAGTGAGGAGGAGTTTTCTTTAAAAAATAGGTCCTCCCTGTAGGTAGACAATTACTCGTTTATTTCAGAGCGTAAAAATTTGTCCTGTGCTATGTTGGCAGATCCAAGAAAATCATGCAGCTGGATTTAAGTACAATATCTCTTGGCCACCAGTTACATAGCTCAAATTTCTGCGGAAGTGATTAGAGTTTAGATTGCGTGAACAGTTGTTGTATTTATAAAATTTGATTGAGCCTTTTATCTCCAACTAACTTTTACTTCCAGAGCAAACAGCAATACCATGACCTACTATGTAAATCATTACTCGTACGAGTAGATATATATACTAACTGCCTTGGTGAAATATGTTTCACGAAATAGCCTATTCAGTTCTTTTGCGAGATAGCGAATCGCATCGAGAATTATCTTTGATCCCTATTCTCTGCTCGAACACACCGCGTACCAAGCGTAACAAGCATTGCATTTGGAATGCAAGTATTATTCTTAACTAATAGCATCGTATAAGATGTTCACAAGTTGTACAAGATCGTCATACCTCTTCACCACTGGAAAAAGCAAAGTGAAATAAGAAATGGATGTAGAATATGTGATGATTCTGAATCTAGAGCTACCCAATACAAGGCTGAACAGGCTGTCATTTATACAGTCTACTTACTTTACTATAATACCTTACTATATGTCATTGGGTATAGTATAATTTATGGATATCTAGGAGGGTATATTCATTCTAAGCTGTCATGATCTGTTGAGACAACCCTGTCTAGCATAATGAGACAACAACTTAGAAACAACTAGGGTTGTATACACTCATGGGTTTTATGGTTAATAACATACTATCACTGGAACACATGTCTTACTAACTTAAATATAAAAGACCTACTCCTCAATGAATGAATAAAGCAGGACCCTTTTTGGCAGTCTCGTTATTTTTTTACTTTGATTGTTATTATAAGACATAAATCACATAAGCTTTCTTTCTATTCCGTGAAATACAATTGAAGTATTCAAAGTCCAATTAAAAAAAGGGTAGGCAATTTTCCGAACCGAATCAAAAGCAGACATCGAACTAGTCACGTGTAATCCATCAATATAATTTCTATTTGTTACCGTTTTTGTAAATTCAAATAACTGTAAAGTTACGATGCGTATGATTGTGAATATGTGTTCCCAATCCGAGTTTTAAGATTATTATTGAGCTTATCAACCAATAATGTGACAATCCGAGACTGGTATTGATGTTTTTATTGATTATGAATAGTTTTAGTAGCTTTAATTGCACTTTCTGACCTCAGCGATTAGAAATATCTATATGCAAGGATACCAAACTTTTACTTCACTAAAGAAAAGCTATTTTATTACATACATTATTCTTTAAATTTTTTATATACAAGTCAAGTTGTTTCTAAGCCGCTGATTATTCTAAGTCTCTACTATCTACCAAGGCTAGCTGCTCCCTGCACGTGCTGTCCGGCTAACAGCCCGGACACTGCTGACTTCCATATTTTATTGGGATGCGAGCCAAATTTATTATACTGCCGTAACATAACAACAAATGTCTCTGTGGCTCAGTTGGCAGAGCGTCAGTCTCATAATCTGAAGGTCGCGAGTTCGAGCCTCGCCGGAGGCATTTTTTGAATAACATTCCAGTGAGGTGCGTGAAGCAGTTAACTTATGTCTCTAGTATCCTGGAATTATTCGTTTTCTCATGATGGCCTTCGGCAGCGTGCAAGCTGTGTTCGGCACTCATCGAAGATGACTATCACTTTATTGTTGGCTGCCCGATAAATTGTCATACTGGGTAAAAGCCTTCGATCACGTTTCTCTTTCCAATGTGCTAAGAACCCCAGCAGAGGTTATGCATACCCTGCTCAATTTACAACTGCCGAATACTGATAACTATACCGAACCCTATACGCTAGAGTTGTTGGAAGCCCTTTTGGAAACTCTCTGGAAGTATCATTGGTCTACTGTTATCAGTCAAGGAACTTGGTCCACTGAAAATGCTTACCAACGGCTATTACCATCGATCACCTTACAGATTACTGTTAAAGGCGTCGATGCATTGTCTCAGGCGGGCACAGACTGATCACCAAGCTGAGGCACGTCTATATTATCAGCTTTTACCATCAACAAGACCTTCTTCCCTATTTGAACCTATATATCCTTCCTAATCTTTTACTTATGTCGTCTGTTTTTTGAATAAATGTAACATGAATTTAAAAAGCCTTTTCTTCAAGGCCATTCATTTAGGTTTTGCTTCTACGTTTGCAACAATCGAATCGCATTTCTTAATTGTGTCCTTGAGCATTACAGACGCATTTAAAGTGCTAATTCACTCTTTAGGTTTTTTTTATTCTTTATTTTATCTCCTTAATTTTAGCGGAAACAGCTTATATAATGTCACTCTCGCTTATAAGCGGAAACTAGCATATTCTATCCACTGTACAGTTTGCGTCTCTCAAATACTAAAAATAATCAGACTTGTTTTTTTCCTTTACTAGAAAAGCATAACAAATTCTAGATATTGTATATCATAGTATATATTTGAGAAAACAATCTGTTTTCGTTGGCTTCCGAAAGACGATGATCTTCTATTACACAGGAAACAGTTACTATTGCAACAAAAGGCCCTCTATTATTATCATAAAAGATATTATAGGAGTCGAGCAGCGGCAAGATGAAGGGTTTGATGCAGTAGACCAATAAATAAGTGAGCAACGCTTAAACGAACATGATCACTAAAATACAACGAACTTGAGATAATACCAACCAATGATTGAAAATCATATTAAAAAATCTATCAACCAGTCTCTCAGTGCTATTTAAGAAAGAATACGATAACAGAGCTTGCAATGATAAGTATTCATTGGAATTATTCACCTGCTACTTAGTGAACCTGGATTAGAGGACACTAGTAGTTGCGCCCCATAGGACTAAGAAAGGGAAATTTCAACCCGGTTACCGTAGTGCATTTGCTCTACAACTACACTAAACCAGAAAGTTGATAAAAGATAGAGTGAGCTACGCTTTGTTATAGTTTCAATAAAATTGAAGAATATGAATATACATCAAGAACTCGAAGAATATTGTGGAGTAAATCAAGTTTATTTCTGATCAGCACTGTTTTAAATTTGCTATAGATAATCATCAATGGCAAAAGCCTATTGCGGAAAGTTAAAAGGTAAGTCATATACAATAATAGCTACCATGACAAAGGTTCAATTTAGTAGCCAAGAGGTGTAGGAGGAAAAGGAATAAGTGGCGGCCGGACGCAACCTAGAAGAGGAGGTGTAGCAATTGGAAGGGGAGTAGGGGGATGCGGCCCACAAGGAATAATGACAGGTGGAGGAGGTGGTGGCAAAGGTATAATTGGAACTAGGTATAGTCCCAAGTTGTTGCTCAGTAGCTAAGTTGTCAGTAACAGAAACTTCAATTTCAACTCCATTGGCAGAGATTAGTTGTAGGAAAGCAACTAATAACAACAATAAAAGGTAAGAAGCATTTGAAAAACAGTTTTTCATATTGTTTACTTCAAAGTAACAAATGCAGTTTACTCAATTTTATACTACAACTTGCCAACTTTTTAATATTATTCTTTCCTAATACAACTTCTTAAATGTTAATCAGTTGTCCAGGCTATTTATATTCAAGAAATTTATCACAGAAAAAGGAAATGAGTATAGTAGAGCTCTTAATATCAATATCTAACTCTTGCTGAGAAGGGTATGGGTTACAAGCTCACCATTTTCAGCTTTTAAATGTTTGAATGTATATTAGAGGTGTGGGTATTATCCTTACGAAATATGCAGTAGTGGCAGTGATGGCGTACGAATGCAGATGAGAAAATAACTGCAGTAATGAGCAATATTACCAGTTTCATTTTCAGTGCCTTGCTTCGATAATTGTCACTGTAAATCAATAATGATTTATTCAACAACAGAAGAATAGTCAGGTTTTTGATGCCAAGTTTATTTCTTTTAAAAAAGGAACTTCCCTCATTAAAAGGGAACTGTTTTAACGAAGTATTTTGAAAAAAAAGTCAAAGTTTGCTGATATTCCTGCACCCCTACTAGTAATCAAAAGAAAGCTACTACCATGATGTCTAAAAGAATACATTTTTATTTTGAAAAAGCATTACAAGCGCGCAAGAGGATCAAAATGACAATGGCTGCTGAGCAAGCTACTAAATAATGTTCACCATGGAGAAAAACTTAATTGCTATTTCTAAGGAATATGCTTATCGCTGTTTGTTAGTAACACTCCAACAGTGAATATCCATGTCAAAACTTAGAAGGGCGGCTTCGAATTGAAACCTGTTTTGCTCATAAGTCTGTTAAAATTAGTGTTAGTTGCAGGCTGCTTCCGTGACAACTGACGAGGTTGGGTTTGCAGGATCTTTCGTCTGCAGACAATACCTTCGTATCATTCTTCGGCAATGGATGTACGCCGTTATTTGAAGAGGCGAGCAAGGCTTACCCTTGAAGACTATGAGCAATAATTTATTTACTAAGTATCAATTCCTCTACCTGGCTGACATTCTAGAAGATTTTCAACCTTGTCTAATTTATTTGCTAAACAAGGAGAATTCGCTTTCTCTTATCAAGGATCGAAGCCTGCAGTAAGTACAACTGGCCCTTTCCGCCTAATCTTTAGAGCTTTGGAATCGTTGGATGAGCTCGCAATGCAGTTATTGGGTTACCGGTAAAGATTGGTACAGAGTTGTTTCTCGAGTACCATTTGGTTATTTTATGCGATGCAGGTAACAAGTTAAGTTGTATTAATAAACTTTTACATGATCGTCATTCACTTAGCAAAGGGCTCTACATATAATTCTTTGCATACAGCAATTCAAATTCCTGTTGTACTTACGTTTCAAAGAAGTCTGATGCTATTATACTTCGTTCTTTGTTCCAGAAGGTTTTAGCTTCCCGAAGTACTACCAAATCAGTTGTTATGTATATTTGATTGCTGGAACAGCATAGTAGTCGAATGCAACATTTGAACCACTTGTTGAGCGATAGCAGCAACTGTATTAATACTAATAATTGAAGAATAAATACCCTTTATGTTTATGGAAAGGTTTTATTATACTACATTAACAATACTATTTTACGGTGAAGAGGAAACATAAGAAAAAAAAAAGAAAAAGAAAAAAGGGAAACACAGAAAATTAGAACAGGATAGTGATTTTATAGATATATGACAGCGTTATAACAAAAGTTAAATAACTTTAACTTTTCGCTTCTGTGATGAATGATTGGAAATACTTTTTGAATTGTCGACTGTCAGTCTGTTGTATAGCTTGACAGTATCTTTCCGCGGTTTCTGGTGGACATTGAATGGATGGCAAATATATGTTCTTCATATACTCGAGATAATCCGCACCTTGTTTCGAATACATTGCTTTCTGAATACTGGTCATCTCACCGAAAACCTAGATCATCCCAAAAGTTTCGTTAGTCCTTAAATGACAAAGTACCATGTTCAGAAAGATAAGGACAAGCTTACCAAGATAGATTGCCCATCAGCAAGGTTGAATGCCGAACTCATGGGTACTGAAAAAGTGATAGGTAATAGCTCATTATATACAAATTGGTCGAAACCTGTTACAGAGGGGGAGTTGGTACCTGGTGCAGTAGCAGCCGTATGTGTAGCCCAAGAGTTGACCGTTTTTAGGAAAACACCGAAGGACATCTTTTGAGTAGTAGGATCAGAATTATCTTTGGCAAAATGTAAGAAGGTTTGTAGGATAGTGTTCAAGTGTTCTAAATTGCGTTCACTTATGAAAACATTTTCTAGGTTGGAGTTGAATAAGCTTAATATGAAGTTGAGGTAAGCTTTTCGTAAATCTAGTAATAAGAGTGCCTCATCGGTGCCTGAGGGTGCCGTGTTAAGGAAATCGAACACACGTTTGACAAGTGGTAGGAGAAGTTCATCAATGATTGGTTCTATCATTGGTTTATACTTGTGAGCTATCAAACCAATAAATGGAAGGAAGTCAACCAGTTCATTGACTTGACATTCATTTAATAAACCATTGATGAGATTAGGCAAGTAAGCGATAATTTCGGTGCCTAAACAAGTAATCAAACGAGCAAATGTGTAGCGTACAGCATCACGAATGATAGATAAACCACTGTAGCTTTGCAAAACGCTCAAAATAATTTCTGTAGCTTGGACGAAAACAACAGTCCAAGGTTGTTGAACTCCTTCTGCAGGTTTTGTTAATGAAGGGAAACCTAATGTGGATAAAGATTGTTGTTAGCTAAGCAACAGCAATACACAGTAGCTTACCATTGACAGTGGCCTCTTACCTTTAGCTACACTACCAATAGCCATAATGTAATGATGCAGTTGAAGAAGAAATAGCTCGTCTTCTGCATTATATGGTTGGGACATTGACTTTTGAATACCTTCAACCAAAGGTTCTAATAAAATTTTGAGGTACTCAGTCTGTTTGAGAGGATCAATGCTTTCCATTGAAATAAGCATGCCAACAGTTTCAAACAGATACAATTGACTGTCGAAAGTAGATGCTGCTGGAATTGGCATACCATCCATATTGTTTGTCTCCACAACAGGTTCAGCTTGTATAACCAACAAATCACCAAGGGAGGACAAAACATTCTCAACGTAAGGTTCCATCCTAGGTTTCAAATTCTTGACAAATCTTTGGAAAAGATACCAACAACGGGTACGGATTTGCTTAACAGGATGGTGTAGACCGCGAGTGTCAACAAAAGCAGCTAGAGCTTGAACTAAATGATCTGGACGATGGTCGAAGAATTGATAATAGCGGGTGAGATTTTCAAAAAACTGCATTGCACAAGATGGATGAGGAAAGGCAGAGATATCTATGTCACATTGTGGAGAGAGAAAAGTTAGTCCTTATATCCTTTCTCGTTGACATATATTCTGTGTGGAGAGGATATTACTTGAAGTAACCATTTCAGAGACCATCTCTCCCAAGGGTGTTAAAATATCATTAGGTGTAACGAAAATCATTGCCGCTTTGGGAAGAGCTTCGCCGTAACAATAAAGTATATATAGACAGAGCTCTACATCACGCCAGTTTAACTCATTACCGGCTTTATATTTGTTAAAAGTAGACATAACAGAAGAATGAATGTAACCAATAAACAATTCTTCGTTGATATTTGCTATGTGCTCAGCGAAAATTCTAAGATTCTGTAAAGACAATATAAATTAATACGTGATCCTAATCTGTTAGTTTCTCTCTAATTTATAATATACCTTTCTCATCTCGAAGAATAATGCTTCTTCTTCTGGTTCATCCTCATCATCGTTCCACTCAGTTTCATCGTCATATCTTAATTTCATAGTGATAACATTCAGTAAAGAGCCCAAAAATTCATGCTGACCTTGCGAGAAAGGTTGCATTTGTTTTTTCTGCTTCTTAAGCTGACCGTAGGATGGTATATTAGAAATTGTAACTCTTTTCAAATATAAAATGAGGAAAGCTTTTATTACTTACAATGTACAACATGTCGTTTACAAATGGAAATACTGCAGAGGAAGTATCGTCGTATTCGTCTGCCAGAAATTTCAACAAGTAAGGAATTGCCTGTTCAATCATGCTCCAGGCTTGAGCTTTTCCTTCCTGTTGAACTGTAGTATCGGCATAAATCTTGCAAAGTTCTGTTCCTAGAGCGTTGACCAAACGAGCAACATTTTCGACAAACTCGGGTTCATTCTAACATTTGTAAATGAACGTTTGAATTAGTTTTTTTTCAAAATCAACCTCCTTTTCGAAATTATATTGAAGCGCTTACCAAATCAAGTCCATTTAGCGTATCTGTGATGTGCAGCATTTGAAACATGTTCAACTTATCCATTGGCAGCATCCCTTTACTAACAACATCAGCAAAACATTCGCAAGCAGCAATACGTAAGTTTGTATCAGATAACAGTTCATAAAGGACATTCATCACTTGCTCATTAGCAACTAGCGAGATATCCATCCAAGCGATGTATGAGCCAATATTTTTAAGTGCTAGCTGGGCAATACTTGGGTTGGCTGATCTAAACTCTTGTAACAACTCAAACCAGAATGAGGCTAATAACTGAATATCCTCCATTCGCATAGTATCTTTAATATTTGTATTACGGACTACTTCTTCACGAGAGCGTGGTATATCTAATCGTGCAATTTCTTCATCAATACTAATACAAAGTCGTAAGAAAAAATCTGCGGCTTTTTCATGGCTGGGTGTTCCCGAGGGCGTTTTGGCGATAGCGATCATATCCTTGAAAAAGGTGGACCATATGTTTGGGTATACGTGTGTAAATAGGATAGTGAGAGATTGGGCCGCTTTATTTCGAATGACTATTCAATGGTGATAGCAACAATGTCAGTGTGCTTAAAGAAGCGAAACCATTATTTGCACTTACAAGCCTCTTCAGATCCTGCATTGGTGTTATCCACGAATTCTCTACGAAGATACTCCATCATTGTTTGTTGGATATATTCTACTGCAGCACTATCTAATGAATCAAATCTATAAGAACAATAAAGGCCATCGTAAGTAAAATCTGCCTTTCATGATACTGTTTACATTATGATGTATCTCTTTCTGAACAATCACCTATTTCTTAGGGTATTTTCCAAGACTTGAAGAGCAAAAAATCGAGCTTCAGGTAGCCTAACAAAATTTAAACAAGTTTTCGTTTTTTCGGTTTTTTTTTTCAGTTTCCGAGGTTGACAGGTATACACAAATACAGTCTCTAGTTAACTTACGCTTTTGGTTCTTTCATGAACAATTGAACACACAGTTGCCAACCGTCCGCCGAGTTTTTAACTTGTTCACAGTATTCGTTTGCCTAGGTTTACAATAAACACGTGTTTATTAGGAAACACGAGAGCATAAGGGATGCCATGTCAGTAAAGACCAACTTTCGGTAACCTACTTGTGCTTTCAAAGTGGGATCGACTTGAGGCCCAAGGGCATACATGACAGCTTGCTCGATTTGTTCCATTTTGGCTCTAAGGTTTTATAATATATGTTGTAGTGCTGTGTAATTTTGAAAAATTAGATCGCTCCCTTTTGAATCTTCTGGTCTTTTGTCTTTTTCAAAGCTTTAAAGGAAAAATGGAAGGAGACGATTAACAAAGGCTGACTCACTGTTTCTCATGGAAAAAACTATATGCCATACTCTATTTTAGCTCAAAACTGTAAGTGAGGAAAGAATCACTTTCGGTAGGCGATGTTGAAGTTTGAATTGAAAAAGATCGAACAGAAAAGGGAAAGGCTGTCCGCGAGACGAAACATTTTTTTTTCTTCTTCTTTTGCATTCGATTTTTTGGACGTGGCCATTTGTAATTTGAATTTCAGCTTTTTGCGATCATATGCACTCAAAAGTACTGTCATAGAATGTTTATTTAATAAACGAGGCTTCTTCAATAATACGTCTTCTTCAGTCTTTTGTAACTCTAATGCATATGTTACATGGGCAATCCATGTTTTTTATTATTTTTGATGCCTGTGCCTACTATTCGATTTTAGAGGTTGGATATGTTTTTCAATCCATTTGACATACGAAATTGCATATGTACTTATCCTTTTTTTTCGGGTCTTTCCAACAGGACATTCATATCCTTCCTATTACTCATTATTAATAATTACCAAGTACGAACAGTAAAAGGGTTAACATATGTGATCAAAATAAATATATAGATGATAATTTTGGTTTTCTGTCGAGAAATTAGCATAAAAAACAGCGTTGAATAATGATTCAAAACACCGTATTTAATGAGAATGGAACCATGTGTTAAACGTATTTCAACCTATCTGCAGTTCTGTATTACCGAAAGGGCCTATTGATGTTATCCAAAAAGCGTGTTCAATATATTGTTAAAGTATACTCTCTAAACATTATAAAAGGATCATATGCGTTCAGCCGAGAAAACTTAAACTTCTTTTTAATACTTGATCTAACTATGCAAAAAAGAAGCTTCCGCTGTCGATCATGTACCTGCGTATACATAGTGCAGTCATATTTAATCTCCGAACCTGATTGCTTTTGATCATTGCAGAGAAATTCAGTAACGGATCTTTTTCGATAACAGAACTTGGAAAGAGAAAACAAAAAATGATTGGCATTGATGACATTCTGAAAAAACGTAAAACACTCGTTGTAGAGTAATAAAGAGATATCAAGGCTTTCTTACATAGTTGTACTGTATAGGTTTTTTGGAGCTCATCAAATCTGTTAATCCTACTGGAAGATGGAAACTTGTCGTTGTAGACAGTATGTCGGCCAAAATCCTCAATTCGGCTTGCAAAATGTATGATATTCTCGAGGAGAACGTAAGTAGCTGTTTTTGCAGACGATAGAAAATAGAAAAAATAATAATAAAAAAAAACTGAATAATAGGTTACTCACTGCTTCTTTTTTCTTTTAGGTCACTTGTACGTGAACAAACACCTTTCACTTGCACATACTCACAATTAACCTGATTGATTTTCTGTCAATACCTTCATTCCTCAACTAGTGGTGGAAAATATTGAGAAGCCGAGACAACCTTATCCCAGCTACGAGGCTATCTACATTTTGACACCATGTATAGAATCGTGCTCTCGTTTGGTTGATGATTTTTCTCGAAAGGAAGGAAAAATGTATGCAGCAGCCCACGTTCATTTCATCAATGGTATAAACTATCTGAAAATTCCAAGGCACTGCTACTCATCGCTAACGAACTCTATCAATATGCACAACATGATTAGCCCTTGAAAATAACACTTTCAATGAGTTCACTCGACTACTAAACGCAGCGAATGCAGCAAATGATATCAAAAGTTTAAAAGAGATGTACGTTGACTTCTTCGGTATGTAAAAAGCTACAGCAATATTTTTGTATGTTTATTGTACTGTGGTGTTAATTTATGCTCGTAGTTCGGGAGAATTGTGTTTATACTTTGGATAATCAAAGACGGTTCCTCAGTTTATTTGGAAGCTATGACACCAGTCCAACCCATATTGAAGCTCAATTAGAAGATATTGCTAAACAGGTATAATGGATTTTGCTTTCATCATGGGGTCAAAGTAGGGTGTGCCATTGATTCTTATAGTCAATATTTAGCTACTCTGTGTATGTGTCACTATCGGTGAGAATCCGTTGATCCGTTACCATCGTCCGTTAGATATCAAAGACACTGTGAACCGAAGAATTCCCGAACAATTAGCAAAATTGGTCCAAGTTGAACTCGACAATTTTTGCAGCACAAATCCAGAATTTCCTGTAAAGACCCTCCTGACGCATTACTACCTTGACATTGTAACTGACGAAACGTATCCCATTTGTTTTTATAGCCTCCTAGAGACCCTCCGCTTCCAAGTGGAACGCTTATTTTGCTCGACCGTACCATCGACCCTATTGCACCGTTTCTACATGAATTCACATACCAAGCGATGATTGCCGACTTGTTGAAAGTCGAAGAGATTCCTGCAGGTCTCAAATACGAATACAAGTATACTCAAGAAGATGGAACAACTCAGAACCAAGAAGTGACATTAGTTGAACAAGATCTTGTTTACACCAATATCCGTCACATGCATATTGCGAACACGACGGAAAAACTCATTAGCGACTTTAACGAATTTTTGAACGAAAATAAAATCTCATCCAGCGGTGGATATGCTACAGCGAGCAGTTTAAATGACATGAAAAACATGATTGCTAACTTACCACAATATCAAGAAATGAAAACTAGGTTTTCTGCTCATATGAATATTGCCAACGAATGTATGCAGCAATTCAAAGATCAAAACTTGGAAGAAATCGGGTTGATGGAACAAAACATGGCGTGCGGAGAAACGGTCAACGGCGAAAAACCAAAGAATCTTGTCGAGGCATTAACACCTATTCTTGATGATCCTCTCACCAGCCAGATGATAAAAGCGCGTTTGATATTACTATGGATCGCAACGTCAGATACCGTTGATCCTGAAGATTTAGAGACACTATTGGCTGTCGCTCGTTTAGAGCAGGAGTATAAGGATGCAATTGAAAATATAAAGCTTTTAGGTGTGCAGTTGTTCAAATCGGCAAATCGCTTGGGTAAGAAGATGAAAAAGGGGCTCAAGAAAAAAGCAAATCCTCAACAAGAGGTCCCATTCGATCTTTCGCGTTATGTGCCAGTCATCAAGCGTATTATGGAAGGTCACATCGACGGAACAATAGATCAGAGTTTATTTCCTCACAATATCCATAATGTAAGAGAACGCAATACGCGAAAGGATACGGCAGAAATAGTCAAAGAAGTACCAAAGCTACGAGTATACAAAACACAATGGCATAAAAAATCGACCGGTACCAATGTAGGCTCTCGAAAAGATAGACTCATTCATAGCACACTAGTTTTATGTTTCTCACAATTTCATTTTCAGGCTGGCCCTAAACCTCCTTCAGGTCCACCTATCATTATCTTTATTGTAGGTGGCATGACTTATTCAGAGATCAGATCAGCATACGAAATAGCTGAAACCTACGATCGAGAAGTTTATATAGGTAAAAGAGAAAGCTACATACTACGTTTGAAATGAAGGACAATTTTCTGATATCTTGTGTGATTGGGGGTTATATTGCAGGTTCAACTCATATTATTACGCCTGACAAATTTGTGGAGGATCTTGGTCAATTAGACAAGAAACTGCTTGCACCTAAAAAAGTCATTGCGCCGTATACAGGATCAGTTCATAAAAGCGTACGAACTGCATCAAATACAAATAGTAGTAAGTCTGGACTACCACCACGTACGTCATCTTCATCATCCAATACCTCGTCGAGAAGTCATCGCATTCTAGGAAAGTGGTAAAACACTCAGAACATGTCGACAATAGTGCAAGCTTTGCATGCAGATGACTCGATCGAAATGAACAATAACGATCAATGAATAAAAATAATGAAAAACAAAAACAAGGCACTCTTAAAAATTTCAAATTTCGATCGTAGGACAAAGCGAAAACGGATTTCGTATAAGGCATTTAATAAGGATTTTCTGCTTCTCTCACAGCAAATTGAGAAAAATGATTTGGGTCCTCAGTGCAGGTCGCTCAATATTAGCCGTGGATGACCTTTTGATCATAACAAAGGGCAGCCTGAGTATCCATGAATGGCCCCCACCCCGGATTTTTGTGCCATTTTCAAGCAACCAAAAATGCGGGTGAGTGCGGGCTTTTTGGTAGTTTTTCTTTTTTTTTTTTTTTTTTTTTTTTTTTTTGCAGAGCCTATTTCCTGAATATCTTTTGTATTTTCTTGTTTTTCTTTTCCCTTTTTTTTCGATTATCACAGTTTTCAATTGATTTTAACAACTGGAATACAATCATGACTTTCCTTTCAACAATCCATCGTATGGCTCCTGCCGCCGTGAAGCGTGTTGCCGCAGCTTCCGTCAAACCCACAACTGTTGCTTTCACACAAAAGCGTTTCAACTCCACCTCTGAAACTAAGGTTAGTGGTTTACCCCACTTATTCAGCCCTCTCACAATAAGTTAGGAATCGCAATCTGACATTGCATTCCATGTTTTGTTAGATGACAGTTCGTGAGGCTTTGAACCAAGCTTTGGAAGAAGAAATGATCAAAGATGAGAAAGTGTATATTATGGGTGAAGAAGTTGCTCAATACAATGGTGCTTACAAGGTAAATAATGAATTTCATAAAGAGGGCCTCGAGATAACAAATTTATCGCGCGTAAACTACGTTAGGGGTGGAGGAGGGACAATCCGGGAAAAAATATTTAAAGATTGGGGTATATTTGGGCTTTCTATCAAGGGGAGAGAGTGGAGTTTCAAATTTGGAAGATGAGCGAGCAAGAGAGCTTGCCCCGCAATTTTTTTATTTTATTTTTTAAAACCTCAGACAAATCTCCTTTTTGGCTAACAACATTTAAATGATAATTTTCAACAGGTCACCAAAGGTTTATTAGACAAGTTTGGTCCCAAGCGTGTTATTGATACTCCCATTACTGAAATGGGTTTCGCTGGTATTGCAGTTGGTTCAGCTTTCTGTGGATTAAAGCCTGTTTGTGAATTCATGACTTTCAACTTTGCTATGCAGGTAAAACCCAAAAAAAAAGACCCAACATAAACAGCACGTATTGCAAATGGAGAAGAGATTAGAAGGACTGACAGTAAATTCATCCTATTCATAGGCTATCGATCAAATTGTAAACTCTGCTGCCAAGACACATTACATGTCTGGTGGTCATGTCAAATGCCCTATCGTTTTCCGTGGTCCCAACGGTGCTGCTGCTGGTGTTGCTGCTCAACATTCTCAAGATTTCTCTGCTTGGTACGGTTCTGTGCCTGGTCTTAAGGTAGTCTCTCCTTGGAACTCAGAGGATGCCAAGGGTTTGTTGAAGGCTGCCATTCGTGACCCTAATCCCGTTGTTGTGCTTGAAAACGAACTTGAATATGGTGTTTCATACCCTATGTCTCAAGAAGCACTTTCCGACGACTTTGTTCTTCCTATTGGTAAAGCTAAGATTGAGCGTGAGGGTACGGATATTACCATCGTTTCACATTCTCGACCTGTTGGTTTTGCCATGAAGGCTGCTGAGCTTTTGGCCAAGAATGGTATTTCTGCTGAAGTTATCAATCTCAGATCCATCTCTCCTCTTGATACGGAAACCATTTTCAAATCCGTCAAGAAGACTAACCACATCATTACTGTTGAAAATGCATGGGCTGCTTTCGGTTTCGGCTCCGAAATTGCTGCTCAAATGATGGAAAGTAAGTGGAACCATTCATATAAAAGTGCAACTCATGGTATGAAACGAACGAGGAGAAATCTCACCGATACTTTTCTTTTTTTTTAATGTAATTAGGCGATGCTTTCTGGCATTTGGATGCTCCTATGACCCGTGTCACCGGCGCTGATGTTCCCACACCTTACGCTACCAACCTCGAAGCCCTTGCTTTCCCTGATGAGCATGTCATTGCTAAGGCTTGCAGAGACAACTTGGACAAGAAAATTGGCTTCTAAACATATTTGAATGCCTTTTTTCATTCACCAGTTTATGTAATATCACCTATTTTCCCTCTTTCACGCTTAATATAGATTTATACATATCCTCTGCTGTCCTTTTTCATTTTATTCACAATTAACCTGCACAGTATCTCCTCACTATGTATGAAAAGAAAAAAAGGATAGTAGCTTTTCTATTTTTTGTTATTTATAAACACCAAACCTTCGTCGTTCATCCTAAAAATCTAAAAAGCAAAATATCACGTCTTCTCAGCCAAAATAAATAATCGGTGGTTGCTGATTGATCTGTTAAGCATACCATAGCATACACTTTCTTTATGGCTATGTAAAAATGCGCGGATGATCTTTCAATTTGACTATATGAAATAAAATAAATTTCCCCTCGTAGCATTTAAGAAATTAGTGCAGTAAGTTTCAGAAAATAAACCAAGGTAATATAAGATTATTTCAGACAATTGCAAAAGCATCTTTTTTTTTCAATCTTCTTTCTACTCATTTCAGCGAAACAGAATAATGACTACCGAAAGCATTCACGAAACTGCTGCAGTAGAGTACCAGCCCGAACAGATAAAGAAAGGACAACTTACAGAAGCGATTCTTTTGTCACAGGCCTTACCCTTAGGCTCACCTTATACACCGACTAGCCCACTGTACGCACCGACCCAATTGAGCGATGAATCGGACAAGCAACCTTCATTAAATGAAACGCTAGACGAGAAGTCAGCATCCACAACTTCCCAAGAGAATGCTGCGGGCAGCATTTCTTCCGGTGGTACCATCACCACTGATAGCAGTCAGCCCACTACAATTGCCGAATCAGCAAACAGTATGGCATCAGTGGATGAAAAGCCTACTCCACAAGCGAATAATGATGTCCATAAGTCACCTTTGATGATTAGAACTTTTATGGCAGACACATTGCAGAAAGACTTTTCGCAGTTGGCTGATATTTGCAATTCAGTTGAACAAAGAATGAGTGCCATTCCGGAGCTAGCAAGTATAACCACTAGGACCGAACAACGGGAGCAGACAGACGAGCCATTGCAAGCTTACAACGACGTAGGTCTCGAAAAGCTCAAACATAGAGATGCAAAAATCGCCGATAAGGGAGCAAAGACAAAAGCAAAGGGTACTTTTTTAAAGAAAATCGCCAAATTTGTCAAGTTTGAGAGAGAAAAGACAGTGAATGTAAGGCTTGGGGGCTACCCACCCACAAATATAGTATACTCAACTGCTAAGGAGGAATTACTAATAAGTATTTTACTCTATTACTTTCATATGCAGATTGCAGAACAACGTCAATCAATACTCGAACGTACCTATCAAGAGGTCTACAGCGGCAGCGGACTCTTTGATGACTACCAATGTGAGTAATATGGCCCGCTGCTTTTAACTTGCATTTCAATTATTTAGTTTCATATTAAAACATATCATCCTTTTCGATCTTATAGCTTCCAAACAGTCAAGCCCTTCTCAAAATTCTTCGAGTGTTACAATGGCCGAGCCAGTATCCGCCAAGGATGAAGATGAAGACCTTGACCCTGACAAAAATACACCCATCTATCGAAAATATATCGCCACTGCTATCTTGTATAACTTGTCAAAGACAGAACCTCCTGTACCATATATGCGTCCTGAAGCTGGCTCTAAGACACATGAATTTGAAAGCTTCTGTGATGATATTTTTTTTGGGACCACTTAATTAATACTCATAAGATAATAATCAATTTTGCTTTTTACTTTTTTTGTTCCTTTCTATTTTGCTAATACTACAATTAAAACGTAACTTTTATCGACTTAATAAATATAAATTGCAGATGCTAGCCATCAAAGCAATACAAGTCTATGCATAAATAAACGATGACTGTACGGTGGAAACGCTTTCCAACATAGTGTAGCCGTCTTCAAGTCACTTCAGAGGATTTTTTGTAATAGAATGAAAATTAGTTTGAACTTGACATCCATCCTATTCGTATTGAAATTGAATACACCTTCTTTTCGCTGGATGGTGCTGAAGAATGATACATTGTTTGCCAACAAAAAATATAAAAGCACAGAAAAAAGTGTGAAATTTGTAAAAAAGGTGTATTGCTTGAAAGCAAATCTATTATTCTGAAAGGCAAGTACAAGAAACGTATAGCATACAAAATATTGTTTGAGTCTATAACACTGAAAAAGAAGGCATACAAGCTCATTGCTTTCTGTAACAACAATGAGGCCTCAAAAAGCGATCATCGCCAGCGAATATGAGGAAAAATTTTTTAAGTTAACCACATAAAACTACTCTAAGCTATAATTGGCCTGGTTTAGCCGCCATTGCATCTGTTTGATGTATTCATAAATGCAAATGGCACCACTGACATGGACATTCAATGAACGTGTAATACCGTATTGAGGGATCTCGATAGTGATATCTAGCATTTGTAAGAGATGTGCAGGTACACCTTGACGCTCTTTTCCAAGCAAAAGTACGCATTTTTCAGGAAATTCGTAGGTACCCAAAGTAGCACTTGTTGTCGTTTGTTCTAACCCACATATTGTGTAGCCTTCCTCTTTCTTGGACTGTAGAAAAGACTCTACATCTGGTTCAGGAACTTCCATCATGGGCATCCATCGTTCAGAAGAGACACTGATACCAGTAAACCCAGGGTCTTCTTTTATCTTTAGTGTAGGAACGACAAGGAGTGACGCATTGAAGATTTCACAAGTACGACACAAACCAGCTAGATTGGGTAAACGATCAATTAAACTTGCAACAACAATCAGATCATTGCGACGGCGTTTTTCCTTAACTAAGTCTTTCGTCAAATCCATATCCGTTTCTAACATGATCTCCCAGGGCATGATCTTCTTTTGATATACTTCGGCGGAGAGGGCTCCATCATTGCCTTCAGCAGTAGTGTTTCTTTCTTCCTCAGCAGCAGATTTTTTATCTCCTTCGTCAGTGGCGATCATTTCAGAGGGGTCAGCAGAAGTATAATAAGCTTTGCGGGCAGGGTTGACAAACGGACAGCGTTCTACTTGTTGACGATTCACGCGGAAAAATGCTTTTGAACCAATCTTTTCAGTGTCAATGACATCGAACTCTGAGGGTAACTGTCTGAAGATAAATTCGATATTGAAGTCTGTGATTGGGTTGAACTTTGACATATAAAATTGATTTTGAACCTTTTCATCCAATTTGATACTATCCGTATAGGTGTCCATGAATTTACTAAAGGCTTGCAAATATTTATCGTCCTTAAATTTTTGTCCAAAGCCATGCTGTATACAACTACGATAATTACGCTTCCAGGCACAGTAAGAGAACAAGCGGATCGTAAAGTGGTTAGTGGTCATCCAAGGCATGAGTCGTACAAATATCTCGTTGAAATAGCTCTCTGTAATATCTTCGGGAAGCATGTCGCATAGAGTTATCGTAATTGTCAGTAAGGATATGACATAGTTTGGCTTTAAGCTTGTATCCGATAATTTGTCGTAGAATAAAGTAAGACGGTCAGGATAGCGACGCAAAAGTTTAACCATAGCCCATTCAAAATAACAGCGAACTGACGTAACAGTTTCCTTTCTCATAATTTCAAACAGAATCTCCACGTACTCATCGACCTTATCTTCTTGAGCAAAGTCAATGACCAACAGTAAAGAACAACCAACACGTAACTATTAAAAAAGTAAGTCAATGTTCCCCAACTCAGCAAGGTAAAAAGTATGAGAGAATTACCTTTGTTCTGTGTTCAATCGTCGACTCAAAGGTAAATTCATACAAGTTGCCCGTTTCAAGAATATTAACCAATTTGTCAATAAGAATATTCGCGAATTTTCTGTGTTGCTCATTGTTTCCATCAAGTCTCAATAGTAAATCATTCATATAAACACGAACAAGATAATCATTCTGACTGTAAATGGTTTGGACAGTTCTAAAGCACAGAAAAATTTAGTCACAAATTGTGATCCAATATTCTGGAGTATTGCATTACTTACCCTGCCGCTTCTGGTAGTTCTGCAGGATCTGCTAGCTTGAATGCGATTGCGGCCTCCAATTTTTGGTCTTCACGATCACGTAAGGGGCCAAAAACAGCAAGTTTGGCTATTTCATTAGAATATTGAATCATGGATTGAAGAGCTCCTTCGGTAAAAGTACACCAATAAGTATGTAATAAGCGCGCTGCATGAGCTACGATCGTTGGCTTGATTTCACCTGTTTCCAAAACCATATACAGTGCTTTCTTAATAGGACCATCATCCTCGTTCAATGATGGTTCAGACAAAAGTTCAGGTTGGAAAATGACGTCCATGAATGCCTTGATCAGTAAGGGGAAAGTTTTGGACTGTGCTAGGTTTTCCTTCATGAGAGCAATAGCATAATCAACACAACGATGGAGCATTTCTGCTGTTTTCTCCCAAGGGAAAGCAAGTAAAGGTCCAAAGCTACGGATAATGGATTCTCCGCACATTTCAGATCCACTTTCTAGTTGATCAGCAGCTTCTTCAAATAAAACGATAGGGTCAAACATCTCTTTGCTTGTAATATCGCTATGTTTAACCTATGACATAAATGATCAATATGAGAACAAAAACCTGACTTACTTTTGTCATCATACCTGAGTAGCGTAACAAACAATGTTTCGAATACAGTTCCATTTGGCAGATATGAATATAGAAATACAATCACCCCATGTTCTATATTGAAAAGTATGCATTACATTTTGAGTCAGCAATGCTGCCCTATCTTAAAATATGAGATAGCGAATAAATCATTTACCTTTCGCGTAAAGCTTCCTGTGTACGCTTCATTTGGAACGAAGAGACGAATGACACCAAAGTGGAATCACAATCAAGCGTAAAGTAGGAGAACTTGCATGCACATTCGTACACAATGCTTAGAAGACCGAGATAACCTGGTTTGGCAATCTCATGGCCAGCGTTCAAACCTATGTAGTAAGCTAGAGTTAGACGGACCTACCTTCGCTTTAAATCATAAATTCATGACTCACCCGGAGTACGATATTTCAACATATCAACGCATTTATCGTAGTAGTTGGAGATAAGAGTTTGTCTGACTTTTCCACTTAGCACTTTCTCATCCATTAAGACCCGCTTAATGACAGATAAGTATAAAGTGATGACATCGGCATCTACAATACCAGGTATTTTTCAGTAATGATTGATCTTAAAGTATTCTATCCTTATTAAATACTTACCGATAATTGCGTCCTTATCTTTGGTAAGAAAGCATTCATCAATACGACTCAATATACCAATCAAACCTGCTGTATTACAGCAGAGCAATTCTAGAAGATTGGTTTTGTTATCATAGCTTTCAGAAAAACTTTCCCATAAAGCATCTAGTAAAGTCAGCAGTCTTTGGAAAACAGTTTTATCACTACAGTATATTTTCATGAGTCAAAATTTTACTCTATTTGCATAAAGTAATTGATACTGCTTACCAACTGGTATCTCGTAGTTTCTGTGCGAAGATGTCGAATAGCTTGGATACCTTCTTCAAACACACGCCTCCTTCGTCATTTGCAATGACAATAACTGTCGTTCTTGCAAGTACGTTGGCCTGATTACGCAAAACAGCCTCAGGCATATCTAAAATATCTTTAATAAAGTATCTACTTCAGTCTTTCTAAAATGTAATGCAATTTACCTTCAGTTCTTAAATCTTCAACATAAGCTCTAAATCTATTTTCTAACTCTTGCAATGGTTCATGCAATGTCTATATGGAGCTTCTGTGAGTTTATATAACATTATCAAAAGGAAGCATAGGTTCTTACATGATTGTCTTCAGTTATGCTATTTAACCAACATCGAATTGCTTTAAAGTTATCAGATCCTGCCCTGACAGGATATTCATTCACTAAGGATGCTATGGTCCTTCAAATGATAGAAGTGTTAATAATTGAGTAATATATCTCACGGAATGAATACAAAACCTACTTGGCTATATCTGAGAAAGATAAGCAGGAAGTATCAGCAAGGCGAATGACGGCAGAAATGCCTAATCGTCGTAAAAATTGCTTGGTTGCCTGAATACTATATTTAAAGTTACAAAAAAGCTAATCAACAAACATGAATTTTAAAATGAAATATACGTACAACCAAACCTACTTGAAGTTTCTATGGCGGTCTACCAAGGTTCTCAGCGATTTCAATTCTTCAGGACCCCATGCTTTAACAGGTTGTACTTCTGTCAAAGCTTCCATAATATAAAGTACTGGTGCATAGCTACCAATAGCGTGGGATAAATGGTGACTTAACAGTTTTAAAAATTGTTTCTTGTCAGTATCTTCTTCGAAATGATCGACTAAATGAACCATGAAAGCGCGTAAGTGTTCGCCAAAAGGGCTCACTAAAGTTCCTTGTGTTGGGACTTGATATAAAGCAGACACATCCACAGTTCGAAATAGCGCACCGAACATAAAGTCTTGCTCTGTACCCAACTTATTTAATATGAAAGGATCTTCACGAGTAAAGATGAACTCTAATATACCCTTCCTGACAGAGGCTGTATCGTTCTCGAATCCTCGATAAAATAAAATGATCCACCAAGTAGCATCAAAATCTTCAGCATGTAGTAGCGTTTCAAGTCTAGGTAACACAGGCTGTACAAGGTGATTGACGCTTTCATGCATAATATCGTATAACAAAAACCAATCATCCCAATAGTCAATGTATTTCTTAGAGTCACCAAAATCCCAATTGAAATAACGTGTCCACACGGTTTGACTGTTTATTGTATCAGGGTTCTTCGCTGTGAAGTCGATGATTCTCTTCAATATGTAGGTGGCATATTTGCGAGCAACACTGTCGCTACTTTTCAAACCGCTCTATCAATGTTCATCATTCATGTCAAAAAGATACATCAGCTGATATTGAAGTTTTTCTTGTTCACTATACCTGCAAGATATGAAAAAAAGTAGGATCAAAGCGAAGGTCTTTATGTACTAACGTTCCATTCATTCCAAAGTAAAATTGAAAGAATCGTGCAATCAATCCATAGACTTCTGTTCTCAGAAGATTTGTTGCTGGTAGGTCAAAGATTTGACATGTTCGGGTCCACAACATCTATTGCATGCAAAATAGAGACGGGCAAGAATTCGTAAATTGAGTTTTTGAGAGGGAAAAAAAAGCTACAACACTTAAATGAGGTTACCTCACACCATTGAACAGTTCTTTCATGGACAGAGCTTTTTTCTTCCTTCCTCTGCTGCCAACGAAGTAGATTGGGTAGTAAGTCATGTGTTACTTTATTGCGGATAATTGTATCTGTACAAGGCATTAAGGCTACTGCAATTATATAAATTAGTTTCATCCAAGGATAAAGATCGACGCTTGTTGATTCTAGTATTTGCAATTCATTATTTTCGTTCAAATCTTGGACGAAAAAATTGAGGATATCCAAACAGCATTCTAAATCAAAAGGCTTTGTGGTATTACTGTTTTGAACCAACAACAAAAGTTCATGCCAATCGCATTGATCACGCAGATGCTCCTCACAAAATCGCAAAGGTTCAAGACCCACAAACTCAATTTCAGCTTCGATAGCTGCTAAAAGCTGAGCAAGCAGATTCATCAAGACTGTTCGTCCAAAGTGTGCTGGTTGATTCGAATATAGCAAGAAAGAACGACCCATCAGAAAGGATACTGTTCTCTCCAATAGAGCTACACTCTCTGTTGAAGACAATGAGTCTTGAAAGAAATTGGACTGCATCCACTGGAGTAAGTACTGATCCAAACAAGATTGTTCCTTCTCATAATCGTTCAGACGTGTAACGTGTGCTCTGAAAATCGGCAATAACACTTGTAAAATGCCGAAACGTTCTTTTTCATCGATTGCATTTTTGTACTGCTGATCAAGCTGATTTAAGAATGTAATGAGTTGACCGCCTTCAGCATTCTTCAGCAGCAATTCTTTGAAAGGTTCTGCTGCAAACTCCATATCGTTTTCCTCAGCCTTATTAAAGATATAATACAATAGCAGACAATATACTAAAACAATTTTTTCAATTACTGCAACTGAAATTTCATCTGTGCAGCAGAAATAAAAAGCCGCATAGACGAACTGTATAATCTTCTGAAACTTCATCATTCCTCATGTACTAAATATGAATATCTCTCACTCCGAACATCTCAATTGCTCGCTTCGAAAAATCCTGCAAAAAAGGCTTTGACTTAAAAAGAAGTCGATGGACGCAAACTCACTTCACGTACAGAAATGTGAAATGACCGTATCAAAGCCGTCTAGTTGACTGTTAAAAATTAATCAAGCACAGTAATATCTTAATGGTGCGAAACAGCAACAACGCAATAACTGGCACACGTTGATGTTACTTAACGGTATGAAGTTGTAGAACAGAGTCAAACGAACAATATTTTTTAGAAAATAGTATGGTCATATCTAACAAAAACGACCATTCCCTTCCTCACTGCTACCTATGATGGAATCACTAGCTTATGCATCAAAATTCCAAGCTATCAAATTGCCATTCTATGTATTAATCAACAAACCGTACCTTACTGGCTCAGCAACAATTGATAAGTTAACTGATGTAGTCAGTTCTAGCTTTTCAGAAACAGCAAACAAACCATCAATCATTACATAATTTCCATACCGATATGCACTTGCATTTCTCTCTCTATTTGTAATACATGTATATACGTAGTCTTTCTATTAAATAGAATACCTAAATGTGTTATATTGTCTGATAGCTCAAATAGCATTATCAAGGAACTCTGCTTCTAACTGACTTTCAATTCAGGAACAACGTATTTCTTCTTCTAAACAATATAGTCGATCAAAATACTTTCTTGATCTCATTCGTGACAAACATTCACTAGTAATCTAAACTCTTCACTACAGTATTCTAAAAGGCTTTCATACTTGTTAGCAAATGAAGTAAAGTGATCAATTGCGATTGAAATGTCCGTTGAAGTTTATGTAGATCGTGACGAAAATCTCACCACTTCAACTGTTACATAGATCGTTTCCAAACCCGCAAACACCAACAAGGGGCTTACTTTATGCAAACAAAAAACAGCAAAGTTCTCGTCAGTCGAACAATGTCAACGCTCGAAAACAGTCAAGAAAAGCAATAGATGCTAAACAGTATCTAAACTATGATCCTGAAAAGGAACCGATTAAAGTAACGATAAAAAATGCAAATAGATACACACTCCCCGGAGTCTATGTTCTCACTGTTGCAACTACTATCAGGCATTCTTAAGGATACGCCCAAGATTAGAGAGTCAATCTAGGATTGGTGAAAAGCCTTATCTTCGAATCTTAAATAAAGAGGAAGTCTGTATGATTCCTCCTGAGGTAAAATAAGATGAAGCTTCGCAGAAACAATTGATTATCACCATAGTGATTTATATTACTATTTGCTCTCCAGAACTCCAAAGCATATCGAACAAAAGCAGGAACTTCTGAAAAATACAGGTTTACACAAGTATTTGATGGCTCAACTAGCCAACAAACATTCTTTACAGAAACAACGTTAGACCTGGTGAAAGATGTATTGAATGGGGGTAATGCATTGCTATTTGCTTATGGTGTGACAAGCTCTGGCAAAACGTATTCTGTCGTAGGTAGAGAGAATGAACATGCAGGCTTGTTACCGCGTACGTTGATGACGATTTTCAACAGTATTAAAGGCCATGAAAGTGAAAAAAAGGTATCTCAATTGATTTTCTGTTCTCTGCCCTTGAAACTCACGAAAGCTACTGACTTTCTCAGATCCAACCTATTATGCATAGTTCATTGAGACTATATCAAAATGAAGAAGAAGAAAATAGACATGTATTCAATGATATTGCAAGTGAAGTAAAGTATAACAGAGAGAGAGCCCAAGAAATGACTTCAAAAAAAAAAAAAAAAAATGACTGATAATTTATCATTAGATTGAGAATAGACCGTTTTCAGAAGTACTGCTCAATGAGAAACTGATTATAGATACACGATATGAATATGGTGTTTGGGTTTCTTTCGTAGAGATCTATAATGAAAAGATTTATGACTTGTTGGACTTTAACAAGTTAACCAAAAGGAAGCACCTACAAATGAGGCTCGAGCCACCATCAAGTCACAAGTATGTCGTAAATGCGAATATTGTGAAGCTAAACTCTATTCACGTAAGCAAGCACCTAAGTCTTATTCCGTTAGCACTGTTTAAAAATCCACTTGTTGACTTTTTTACAATTATAAATAATCCAGGAGGCATATTCTATTGTGGAGCTCGGTCAGAAAAACAGACAAGTTTTCTCAACACTTATGAACGAAAGTAGTAGTCGAAGTCATAGTATTTTTACAGTTCATATTGTGCGATCGTTGAAGTCAAAGAAAGTTATTAATGAAGATGTAAGTGCGAGAGACTGTAAAGAGAAGGTGAAACGAGAGAAGATTAACGCATACTCACAAATTTTCGTTGATAATTAGAACTTGTCCACCTCGGCTATCGTCTCAAAACTATCTATTGTCGATCTGGCTGGTTCTGAACGTTATAGAAACACGAATAGTACAGGTAAATGGCAATTTACAACAAAGTGTAAGTCCTCTGCTTTCTTATATTATATACGTCTTTATTTTTTTATTTTTTATTTTTCTTCTTGCTCCTCAGGAATGCGGCTGAGAGAGGCAGGAAATATCAACAAATCGCTTATGGTGCTCGGGCAGTGTATGGAAGTCTTACGAATGAATCAGTTAAAGAAGGAATTGGGAAAGGTAAATCGAGTTATTTGTTTTTCCCCTATTGCAATTTATGGTAACCAAATTTTTATATTGTTGAAAGAACTTAGCTATTGTACCTTACCGACATAGTAAATTGACCGAATTGTTCAAAAGCACGTTCGAAGGGGATGGTAGAGCAGTAAGTGTATTACTGGAAAATCAATCCTGTAAATCAGTGGAGCATTTTTAAACAAGAATACTTACTTTTTATGCTCCACATAGGTGATCATTGTCAACGTCAATCCCTATGATACTGGATATGATGAGAACATTCATGTAATGAGGTTTTCAGCAGTCGCCAAAGATGTCGTTCTTCAAAAGCCAGTACCGCAAACTCTAGAAATCCAACAACAGCCATCCAATGATATGATTCACTGTCTACAGCATGTTTTACGATCACTAGATGACAATAGCAATGATGACGAGGATATTGAAGAAGGCCTTGTAGATGGCCTTATAGCACAACTGGAAGAATTATGGGAAAAGGTAGGCAAGACTGTTTGATTTCGTTATCATTCTAGTACCATTGTTTAATATACCTGTGTTTGTAATTGCTAGTGGGTAGACGCAGAAACAAAAATAACTACTATGGAAATGCATTTGAGAGAGCAAATATCCAAGGAAATGAGTACAGAGCTGAAAAGGCTAGAGACATCTTACCTGGCTGCGCTACAGAGAGAAGTAAGTGTCCACTAGCCAAGTTGTAAAAGATCAGGATGTAGGTCAGGTACTAATCTTCCTACTATTAAAAGAATGAAAAGCTAGTGTCTCATCTTGACGAGGCGAAGGAATCGAAAAGTAGCAATAAAAAGGGTGAGTGTTAGAAAAGGACTAGCATTAACAGTTATCGACGTATGCTAACTCCTATACATACAATTCAGGACTAACTAAAGAAGATACTCTCTTTGAAGAGGTAAACTTATTGTCTAAACACTGTTTAGCTCAGCTAACTAAAAGCTTCACTCAATTCTTTATCCGTTTTAAGATTTACGAAAGACAAAAAAATATTACAGCAGAACTTGAGTATTTCAGAGACAAATTAAATGGTCTAAATGTAGAAAAAGCACAATTGCTGGAAAAAATCTCTGCATTAGAGAAAGAAAATATGCAAGAGCGAGCTTACGCGCAGACATTGCTTGCTGAAAGCCAGAAACTTAAAGCTAATAGTAATAGTGTTAGCAGTACTAATACGGAGGCACGAGAAAATGATGAGAAACTAGGAACGGATATGGAGATCGATGCGATTGTTGCTGAAGGAAATGATGAACTTGCTTCCAAAGACACATTTGACGCCTTTTTGAGCTTGAGGAAACAGCTAAGACGTAGTATCTTTAAAAAGGAAGATGTAAGTTAAAGATTTTTTCTACTGATATACGCCAAGAAGTTGATATATCATTTTATACATTAGTTAAACGAAGACGTTGATAAAGTAATGAGCAAGGTGGAGCAGTTTCCTAACGTCTCGTTTGATTTAGCCAAGGTAACATGCAGGTCCATTTTTTAACTGTGTTAGGTATAGAAAAGCGATTTAAAACGAAGGCAATCTATAGGAAACCAAAATGGGTAGACTTTTAAAAATGATATCCCAAGAAAAATTCGAAAATGACCCTTACCATATTCGAAAACGTGCTCTGCGATTGTTCAAGCGCTACGCCCAGCTTAAAAAGCCTGAACAATCACCGTCGCCCCCTGCTCATAGTGATTGGACATTAGACACAGTTTCGAATCGTACTGGTAGTCCAGGACTATTGGATGACAGTATGGACATCGAGCAGCTGATAGCCGAGAACTTTAAACTGAAGCAAAAAGTCAAGGTATGAATGGAGGAAAAGAACTTACAGTTGAAAGCCAAGCTAACAGTTGTTGTCTACTAGCTGTTAAGTGCCGGGCAGCAGAAACTGAAGGAGGCATTTGAGAAAACAAGAGTGTCTTCATTGAAACCAGCCCCACCAGTTGACGATACGGACAATGCAAAACTCGCTACAAAGTTGGAAGACAAACCATTGGGGAACAGTAGCATCAAAATAAAATTAGAACCAAACAGTAGCAGTAGCAATAGCAATACTCCGGTACAGGTGACACCACAAGGCTGCCAAATCTAACTTGCATTAAAGGAGATCTTTATTCATCACCTTGATTTATTTTTAGGAACAAGAACGGTCGAGACCTTTGGTCAATAAGCAAAAGAGCCATCGGTATAGTGAACCAGAAGACTATGACAACGACCTGTCTGAAATAATGAAGCAGGCGGGACAACCAAAGAAGCGGAGGTAATAAGAATGGCTGTTTACGTCGTATACTCAACACATCTTTGACTGATCTATGAGATGTTTCTTATAATAGGAAACTACGAGCTCTTTGAAAAAAGCTCCGCTGCTTGGCGAGTCAGCAAGAATTCCGATGGATAAAAGATATAAAATACCTTTTTCTTTGCAATCACAATTGCTTAGTATCTTTGTTTAACAAATTTTTACCTTACCTATCTGTTTGATACCAGATCCTGTTTCATTTTTATCGCTTTTGAAATCGTAGGAAATAAAAAATCACCTATTATAAAAAATGCTAACAACTGTAACTACATCTTCCACCACCACAACAGCAGCAAAAGCACCATCAACGTCATATTATTCTCGTGCTAATATCAAACTAAAAGCCAATGAAAACAGAAGACATTCACAGTTCAGCCAGATGTGTCACACTTTGAAGAAGGCTGCTTCGAGTTCTGATAAAAAAGCTCAGCATGTACCAGGAAAAGATAGAAAACAACCACAAGATGGAAAGACGAATCCTATGGAATAAGCCATCAGCTTATCGTTATTTCTCAGATAGAAAAGCACCTCCCAACAGCCTCATATCATTTTCTTGATCCGCTTCCTTTTCCCTGTACATATAAATTAAGCTGTCCATTTTGTATAGTCAAAAAAAAAAAAAAAGAAGAGTCCAAAAAAAAAAAATCGTACTTTTATCCCCCAACCCCAAGTTAAAAAAATTATTTCTGTAAATATGTATGTAATTGTGAAATAAAAAAAAAGGGAGGCCTCATCTTTCAACTGCTGATGATATGTATACAAATGAGAAGTTTTATCAGTTATCATTTTTCAAGTATTTTTGAGAAATCATGAGCAAACAAGCTGTATTTATGGAAAGTGACAGCATGTGCCTGAAAACTAATTTCGTCACCCACGGAAGCTCGGAAGGTGAAAAAGAATCAGGAGCAGAACTGTTCAAAGAGAAAATGAAATTGCCAATGCGTAAAAGAGTTGATATTATCTTGCACGAAATGAAAAGGGTTAACAAGCTTTGCTGTGTTTTTGTATACCAAAAGACAAATGTGTTGTTGCTTGGATAATAGGTTACATGAATTGCATATAGGTGCTTGTGGGAGGTCAGGTACCTTCATAGAGCAACATTGTCAGTTGTTTTGGATGATGGCACTTTTTCTTTGCATCAAAAGAATAATTTAATTATTAAGCACATCGGGATATAACAGATAGAACGTAAATTATGTATATGTAGAGGAAGGGAAATAAGTTGCGATATGTATAGGATTGATGTTGATAAAATGATATACAAAACTAGAAGAAGAAGGGGGAGGAGCGCATGACTAATAGTAACCATTTCCACCAGGTCCATGGCGAATGTTGTTATTGCTAGAGTAACTGTTGTCATTATGATAGGGATAGTCATGGGTACCATTTCTGTAGACATCATAGCTATCGTATCGATCATTACGGATGGCTGCCTCGTCTCCATAGCTATAAAATTTATGTTCATCTTGAGGGGAGCCCACCAGTGTAGTTGGTGTATCTACAGTCATATCATCCAATCGGATGCCGGATTTTCTACGCTTGCGCCTCTCCTCTTCTTCATCCTCGCCTATATAGCTTCCAGAGCCTGTACAGAGTAAAGTGATTGCATTTGACATAGCCAATAACTCCAATGCTAAAGCTGCAAAAACAGTATAGTAGACTTTAGCAAAAGTATATTTTACATAGTTTTGTAATGCGGGTGCACATGGTGGAGATATGTTGGTTAATGTTGTTGAGAGTGGTTGACATTCGTTAGATAAGACAAAATTATCGTTTGTTGTTTGGTAACCACAGCAGTTGAACTATTTGGGTTAAAAAAAGTTAGATCGCGGGATTTCAAATAATAAAAAGACAGTAGCAGCAAATGGCTAATAGTAGAAGGGAACAATAAAAAAAAGATTTTGGTACCTGATTCTGAAGATTTAATCGATAATTAGCACTTGCTGTTGGCCATAAATCTGATAAATATTTTGAGGCATTTGCTGCTTTTTGATAAATGCGTACTCCAATAATAACTTGAAATACAAGGGCTGCGACGATAATAATCATGTAGACGTAAGTGATTGTTGGTTTTTTAACATAAGTGCCAATTATGCCAATAATAGAGGCTACACAAACTATTGCTCCTAAAATAGCCAGGTCTTTTAAAATAGATATTTCATAAATGATAGTTCGTGTGAATAGGTAATTAATCTCCCTTTCATATCGTTAAGAATGGATTTTTTTTTGTTATATATGTGTTTGTGTGTGTGTGGGGGGGGGTGTGCGTAAGTGTATGTCAAATCGGAAGAATAGCTTACATTTGAATATATGAACTGGAAATAGTGTAGCTCCAGCGAATCCATCTCGCATACCAATTAAGCCAAATGCTATAAAGGCAATTCCGAGACAGGCATACAATGAATTAGTAGTAATCATATAGACTCTACTTAGTCTAAAAATTAAACAGGATCAAACAATAACAAAAAAATGGGGATCAATAATTCGCTTCGTCTATATCAGTCTCTTTCTCTCTCTTTCTTTGCTCGCGTCTTTTTCCCAATTCATTGTAAATGCCAGGCTTTTAATTGTTTACTTAGTCTACCTAGTGCAGCATGTTGTCATTATGTGAATGAAAGTATAAAGGAGTGGGTGGAGCTCGCTAGTGTTTCCTCAAGCACAGGATCTACAGTAGAATTGAAGCTTTGCTAAGTTGTTCTTGAAAAATGAGTACTTTTTGATACTCTGTATTTCTAACGAGGAAAGTATAAGGAAAACAATGGAAGAAAGAAAAGGAAAGGATTCGGTCTTTTTGGCTAATTGTTAATGAACTTAAAGAAGGAAGGGAGGGGGGGGAGGAGCTTTTTATGCTCAAGCATACACAAGAAGCACTTCAATGAGAAATTGCAAAAAAAAAAAAAAAAAAAGTCTGGTCTGGGAGTCAATCAAAAGGCCCAATATAAATTTTGTGGGACATTTCAAAAAAAAAAAAAGAGAAGTAAGTCAATAAACGAAAAGGGAGGCGTTCTACTTACAGCTTTATCGTTTAAAAGTCAGTAAATCCAGCTTTGTCTTTCGACTTTATGAATCCTTTACCTGTGTGAATTAAATACACATCGTTTATTGCATTCATTTTTCAGTGTTTTGTGTGTTCTTCTGAATAACACTATCCCTCTTGCTTTATTCAGTCCTCGTGATAGCAGATACTATTCACATTTCAATTTGTTATTGTATAGCTTTTAGAGATATGTGATGAGCCGACTACTCGTCTCGCCCTGCGTATCAATTCATATGCTCCCTGTCCAGCTAGCTCTTTGGCTGAGATTGGTTCAGCCGCTGTTTGCACTATGAAGCTTACCTCCCTCTTTCCAGCTTTTTTTTTAACTTTTACTTGGATAATTTTAGGCATTCATTATTCGGTATTTTCCTTCCAATGATGCTGTTTTCCTCGATAAAGGTAGAAGAGCCCATCAGCCATAGGTCTATTACTAAAAGCAGGAAAAAAAAGCACCTCAGATATATGAAGGTTTCGTCTCTGCTGTGTATGTCAACAAAACTCTATTGGTATTGTTGGCATATTTTCATTCCGTCTATTTTGTAAATTGAAGTCTACTTTCGAGCCATGGAAGAGAGCATACTCTTTGCTGATGATTTTCTCATAAATAGCTAATGCATTGTAAAAAAACTAGCTCAATGGAAGAAGCCCTTCATACAGGAATACTACAAGAATAGAAATGGCGAGTCTTCAAGGAAGATATAGCTTTCTTTGATAAAAAATATTTGAAACGCATCAACGATAGGGTGATCTAAAGGCTTTCAAGCAATGCTTAGGAATGAAGAGGCGGCTTACATCAAGATATAAGTAACATAGCGAACTTTTTTTTTTTTGAAGAGTTTTAAACTCGCTTATCAACTGCGGCTATCAAATTATGAAAGAAAGGAACATTTTAAAGTTGACCTAGTGTCTACGTAATTGCCCGGGAAAACGCGCCCTCAAGATCCATCTTTACCAAAAACAAACTGTAGCTTCTGAAGGGGTTCAGAAAGTAATCATGCCCTGCTAGATTGCTCTTGTCAAATCTGGTCTGAAATCATCACACGTCTTTATTTCTAGACAATAAAGACAGTCCATTTGCAACGCGGAGTGGGGTCGAAAGCATCGGAAATCATCTCAGCTACAGTACAATCTTGTCAGCCTCTCTTTGGCCTGTTTCCCATGGTTCATTTCGCTGAACAGTGAGCCCCATGGTTGTGAGTTATGTTTCTTTTTCACAAAATTAAGTTGTAACAAGGCTAGCTCAAGCAAAAAGAAAAAAAAGTAATATCTACCTTGTGACGATAATCCACTTCCCCTGGTGATAACTCCTCGTTTCGTAGGATGCTGCTGATATGACAGTAGAAGCGGTACGCATACATGGGAGGCCGAGCGCCTTGTAGTCATCTTTATATCATGAGCAACATAACATACATAGAATAACCTTTCTACAATTCAGCGCATACGGGGAAAAACTTGATAAAATGTCACCGGTCACACATTTTCAAAAATTAAGAAACAATGATTTCATCATCAATTCATGCAGTTGCATAAACCCGTGTTTGAGAGAATTTATAAAGAAACAGATTCGAACATAGAAGGGGGGGATATAGTTAAAAAGTTCTTTTTCTCTTGTATAAAGAATATTTCGAAAGATTAACAATTTCCATGGCTACTAACGCTGCTGCTAACCTTGCTCAAGACAAGATGGGTGAAGCCCATGTGATTGTCGCCAACGAAGATAAGCAAAACGTATCTGACACGACCGATATGCTTGCTTGTGTATGGAAAGGCAAAGAAAAGCTCGAAATGAAACGAGTCCCCAAGCCTGAAATTACACATGATGAAGATGTCATTTTAAAAGTGACAGGAAGCACAGGTATACGCACTTTTTCTTTTTTCAAAATCGAATCTCCAGAGGAAAAAAGAGACCGTGTTCGCTGATTGTCTGTTGTCTTCTTTTGACCAGTGTGTGGTTCCGACCTACACTTGTATCATGGCGAAATCATGCAACTTAAGGAAGGTGAAATTTTAGGCCATGAATGTATTGGTATTGTTGAAAAAGTAGGAAGTAAAGTAACCAAAGTCAAACCTGGGGATCGTGTGGTTGCCGCTTTCAATATCGCTTGTGGCCAATGTGACTATTGTAAAAACAAATTGTTTACGGGTTGTGAGAACACCAACAATAGCTCAGTAATGGAAAAGCTTTATGGACAAAAGATTGCTGGCGTTCTAGGCTATTCTCATGTAAGTGTTTCTCTGTAGGATACCATTTTTACTTTTTTTTTTTTGTTTAAGTTGCTCATGAGGTATTTCTATTGTTATGTTGTGTTGGACACCCTAGTTTGTTGGAGGATTCTCTGGTTGTCAGGCTGAATATGTTCGCGTGTTGTATGGTGATGTCAATCTGGTCAAGATTCCCAAGAATATGCCTGACGAAAAGGCATTGTACCTATCTGACATTGTACCTACGTCCTATCATGCGGTTGTTTCTGCTGACGTGCAGGAAGGCGACGTTGTTGGTGTTTGGGGTCTTGGTCCTATTGGTTTATGTGCGGTTCAATGGTTGCGTAATGTCTTCAAGGCCAAACGAATTATCGTCGTCGATAACGTGGGGCCTCGCCTCGAGTTGGCAAAGAAGCGATGGGGTGCAGAGGTCGTCCATTTTGACGAGGATAAAGACGTCGCTGCTAAGATCAACGAGTTGGTGCCTGGAGGTTTGGACCGATCGATTGATTGTGCCGGCTTCCGTTATGCAAAGAACTTGCTGCACAAAGTAGAAAGAGCAGTGGGTTTAGAAACAGATACCAGTGAAGTGATCAACGAAATGATCCGCTCTACCAAGAAGTTTGGTACAATCTCTATTATTGCAGATTACGCTGCTTATGCTAATCACGTCCTCGTCGGTGGTATTATGGAGAAGGGCCTTCGTTTGATTGGCTGTGGTCAAGCACCTATCCAACGTTATTGGGACGAATGTTTGGACTATATTGAGAAAGACCAATTTGATCCCACTATCATTTTGACCCATCGATTCCCTCTGGAACAAACTGTAGAAGCTTATCATCTCTTTGATAAGAAGGATGCTGCTGTCATGAAAATATTCCTTCAAACCAAGTTTAGTGGCCCTGTCATGCCTGGTACACCCATGTTGACCAACGTGGGTGATGCTTAAAACAAATTTTGTATACATGGGTTTTTTTTTTGGGTTTTTCTTTCTTTCTTCTGTACATACCTTACTCTCTACATTGTCAATAAAACAATCTTTTTCATTTATCTGACAGCCTAACTTTAAATGACTCAAATGCACGTCATCAAGAAGTCAAAAAGAAGTGCATAGAATTCTTTCGATTTTTTTGACTCATATGTATTTGTGAGTTATCCTATGGAATATGATATCAGAACGATGGTTTTATAAAAGCCCAACGTGTGTCCTTTCGTCATTATAGAAAAAAAAAAATGGTTTTCAATGTTTATCATCCATAAATAAAATAAATAGCTGTGAATTAGAGGGGGAGAGAGGGATGAGGTGGGGGATGGTAGGGGTATCTTGGGAACGGTGCTACAACAGAGCCTTCCGCGCGCGCTTTATTGTAAAGTGACAAGATCAAATCCAAAATCCAAAACCATGATTCTTTTGTCTTGTCCAGCACTAATCAAATAGAAGGAAAATCGTTGAGTCCATGAACGGGGCAAACTTTTACATTCATCGAGTGTTCAAGTGTTATTTACCTAATTATTTTTGTTCGATTGACGAGACAGTTGAAAATCCAACTTGAATGCCCACTTTGAAAACTTAAAATGCATTTTTTTTGTTGACTATCCCAAACGCGTAGAGTCCTATCATAACTTCCACTCACGACCAAATTCTAAATGTAGAGGGACAAACTGAAGATGAGTTTTTGAGAAACCATGACAAAAAAACAAGACTTTGTCTTCCCTACCTCGAAACTGTCGATAGTACGTATTAAATCAGTATGTCCGGGCAAAGTAGCGACGCAATGTCCTGTGTGTGCATCCCACACTTTAAATTTGTTGTCCTGTCCTCCGCTATAAATGTATTTTCCATCAAATTTGATACAAGCCAAACCGCGTGTATGTCCTGTAAATGTTCGTAAGCAGTGTCCCGTGTGAATATCCCATAGTTTGATGGTTGTGTCTCCGGAAGCAGAGGCCACAAGATCTCCATGAGACCCGAGTGCATTCACCGGTCCAGCATGGCCTTCCAGTCGCCGTATTTCCATTGCCTTTTTTCTGTCCCATACACGTATGGTGGCGTCTCGTGATGAGCTGATAATATAATCACGAATGATACAGACATCCAATACGCCGCCGGTATGGCCAATGAGTCTTTGCATGGGCTCAAAACTAGGTAAAGACCAGACCAGACAGGTGGCATCGGAAGACCCCGAAACGAGAAAGGTGTTGTCTGAAGAGAGTCTCATGCATAGAACACTCCCGTCATGGTAGGATTTGGTCATGATCAAAGAGGGTACGGATGGCGAGGAGATCGCATGGCCTATGGTTGCTTCTGCCGCTGACGTTGTTGTAGGAGAGCCTGAGAGACTCCATACTTTGATGGATCGATCCCTGCTTCCACTTACAATATGGTCGGGCCCTAACCATGCTAAACAATACACGCTGTCTTCGTGTCCGGTTAAATATCTCGTCTGCACGTGTCCATATCTCCATCTTTTGTTCAATTCAAAATGGTTTTTGTACAGTTCAAAGTAATTGATGGGAGGTAGTTTTTGTTGAAGGGCCAAATCTCTGGAGATGGCATAATCAGTGTAAAATAAGGTTTGCCATAAATAATGGTGATTTTTGTGACAGAGTTTGTAAAACTGTTTGCATGTGTGTGCCAGGTTTAACAAACTGGGACAATCCAGTGACAATATGACTTTGATTATCAATTCGGATGGTAAAAGTTGCAAGCGTTTTAACGGCTGCCTCTGTTTATCTACTCGTGGCGTAAGAAAAAAAAAAAAAAAGAAAAAAAAAAAAGAAAGATAGCCAAACCATCATCCACTGATAAATAAGAGGGTACCATTTACTTTATGTACTGTTGAAAACTGATACTGTACCTGAATGGATTGTATCCGCTATTTTATAGTCGGGTAGAAGAGGATGACCGACCATGCCACCCATCACCGCTCTTTCTTTACCCGTCAAGTCATTCATGCTGCAGAACTCCTTTTGTTTTACCGTACTACTGTTATTATTACTGCGACTACTACTACTACTATTATTATTATTATTGCCGAGCTTCTTTCTAAGGTTGCGAGAGGTGGAGGAGGTAGATTGGGATGTGGATGACGAGGTACTAAAGCGTGGTATGAATGACGAGATCATCAATCGGCGTTGCTTCGGCGGTGATGACAAGTATTGATAGGTTGAAAAAGATGACCTCCGTCGTCGAGGGAATGTTGTGCTGGATGAATGCGATGCTAATGCTGAGCTGATGGTTGCTGATTTGGATAGGGAAGGAGGAGGATTGAGACATTTCGTGGTCGCTGTGCCGTCCTTTCTCATCACGATAGTGATCAATGTGGGGTCGTCAGATACAGGAGCTGCTTTAGAGGTTGAAGATGAATTGTTGGCTTTGTTTGAATCATGACTGTTGGTGGAGAATGTCAGATAGGACAGTAACTTTGATGTGGTGGGTGAGATTAAAGAAGGCGTGAGTAGTGTCATGGAGTCTTTTTTTTTAATTTTTTTTTTGTGAAGAACAAGTGGAAAAGAAAGGGTCGTATTCGTTGTGAGCAGATCAGAATGAAATTCTCAACTGGAAAAAATGTAGAAAAAAAAAAAAAAAAAAACAACCCTAAATCAGGCCTTTTTTTTTAAATGTGTGTTTAAGTGTATATACACATGTGTGTGTGTGTGTGTGTTACCCAGTAAAGACTTTCATCATTTAAACATTCTTCTTTCAAATAGAATGACGCTTTTTTAAGCACGCCTTTTTCTATGCTCTATTTTTTTCATTAAAAAATTTCCCGAAGAAAATGAAATTCCATAGTCAACAGCCCTTCCACTTTGAAATTCTTTTAAAAGATAGGGCAACAGCTGATTTTGTTGAAAAATAATAAAGCCATTGCTTGCCCTATCCATAAGTCAACAAATGATATGTACCTGATCTGATCTGATAATTGCACTGACCTGCTGCATTTATTTATTTTTTTTTTTTTTTACACACAGTGTCCCAGAAATAAAAGGCCGATCATTTCTCAGACTGCAGACTGCCCTTTTTTTTCATTAAGCTGGAAAAAAAAAATTGTTTGTCAAGAAATTTTTGTTTTTATCCCCTTGAAAACAGAAAGTATGGACAAAGAGAGTGTTCCTGGCGATGGCAATGTTGACACTTCCGAGTTGATTGTGTCTATTCAAAGCCTACAGTCAAAATGCATAGCTATTCTTGAGCAGTGCAAGCAATGGAACGATAAGAAACCTATAGAAGGCTTACATAGATACACCAATTCCCTTACCTCAGAATTGCATTTCCTTGAGAAAGTAAAAACCGATTATATATAAACGTAATAGTGGGGGGAGGGGGGGCGGCTGGGATGGAGGGTAGCTTGTGAAAAGTAAGAAAAGAGAGAAAAAAAAATTACCTTTCTTGGCCCGGTAAAAACTAAAACGCCCTTCTTCGACGACGACAACGACAACCACAAACAGCTGCTCAATAAACCCGAACAAATCAAGAAAGAATACGTACAAAGCACGAACCTTGGTTATCTAGAAGCGGTGTATGAAGCTTTGGCAAGTGTTGGCGAAAGGCGTGAGGAAGTCATGCGCTTAGTGAGTACACCTTCAAAAAACGATAGTATTTGGAAGTCTCGGGCTGCGATGATCAAAGAAAGCAGTATTAAAGTGGATATTGTGGCAGAGCATGGCTTGGTCTGGATTAAAGTCATTGCCAGAAATGCAAAAGCGTTTCGACACGAAGTGATGGGCCTGGAATGGGATGCGGCATCGTTCGAAGAGGAGGAAGACGATGACACGGACGATGAAGAGGAAAACAGTCGACAGGCACCTTTGCTAGGAACAGCCACAGCCCATTTTGAGAGTTTACCCATCTTTAAGAAAGCACAAAAGTATTTAGACACGGCGAAAGCCCATCATGTACAATTCCACACACCGATTGTTGTATTTGCATTTATGCGTATCTATCCTGAGGAAGACGTGTTTGTACAAAAGATAATGGATCACTTGTCCGAGATGGGTGTCGTCGTTTACATGGCGCCACCGCCAACCACCACCACCACCACCACCACCACCACGACGGCAACCCATTCATTACGATCGTCGTACACACCCTTACTCAGCCATTATGTCGATATCGATCATCTGACGACTCCTTCCATCAACGTTGACGTAAGTTCTGCTTTAGCTATTTTATCAGAATTGTCACACCACGTTTGTCCGCCCGAAGAAGTGTCTGCTCTACCGTTAAAAATCCAAGCCGAACGCGAGGCCAAACGAGCCGTGCTTCCTCAAATACTACCCTACATCAAAGACAAGAAACTTTTCATAATTCGCAGTGCCTATGAACGATTAAAGTCGATTGTGGATGTGGTAGGAGGACCCAACGAAAAAAGGAGATTCTGTTATCTGTTTAGAAACGTGTTACAGGACAAAGCAGAGTCATCGTTTGATCCTGAACTGTGGACGTGCTTACCCTCATTAAGTATTGATCTTTTAGAGGACGCCTCCTCTGTCTTTTTTGAAAAGCTTCTTGATCCGCCGCCTCCATCAGCCAAGGGCCAGCCACCCGCCTCCAGACTGAATAACGGAAGAAAGATCAGGACGCGATTTTCTGACTTTCATGCCAAAATCTTTGGCAGCGGTCATCATTACAAAATGACAACGTTGACGGCAATACAATGGATGGAGACAGCCCTTGAGGATGCAGGTCTGCAAGGCGCCTTGTTGGTGACGCATGAGCCTCGATCCTTGGCAGAAAGGAAAATGACAGGTCGAAAACGACACGATGCCTGAGTGCGCTCACCTTGAGAATGCTTCAAAGGGTAGGAAACGTAGGAACGGCATTTCTGAAAGCTGAAAGCCAATTCCATGAGAAACGATGACAATAAAAAATAAAAGCAGCCAACTTTGCGTATCGGGCCTCACTACTGATCCGGCCACTTGAAGGGACAGTCTCTCCTTGGGAACGTGTGTGTGTATTGTAAATAAACTAGATGTCCTCGATGTCGTCATGATAGAAAAAGCTCGAGTTTTTTTTTTTTATTTCCAAGGCAGATACTACCCGTCAGATCTGCATCCCTGATTACCCATGGATCAGCGTGAAATCACATGGCGATAAGAAAGTGAGACCTGGGATCTATCATTCCAGTTATCAGTAATTTAAACGAATAGAATGAGCCGGCCCTAAGAGTTTTCCCGCCCCCCCCCGCCCCCTCACTCAAATTCCTTTTGACCGCACACTGGTTTGACTCTTTTCCCCTTTATCTCTTCCTTCTATCTTTATGAGAAGCCTAAAGAAAACATGCTTTTCTTTTACAGATTTGAATTTTATTGATGTTATTGTAAAAGCTGAACCAACATCAGTTCTGATGAAATGATCTGATATTTCTTGTCAGTTGTCTTGCGGGCATAAAAAAAACAGAGTCCAGCTCGAGAATACAGTGTTTTAGCTTCAACTCTCAATTTTTGTGTAGTTCGATCTTGAAACGATCACTTGATCGTCTCAAAAATTTATTTCTTTTGTCTCGTTATTTTGCAGCTTCGTCTAAACCCAAAGTTGAAAAACTATAATAGACAAAACATAGCTGCTGACGCCGCTGCCGCCCGCAAAAAAAAAAAAAAAAAAAGAATTAGGTGTCGAAGATAAAGCAAAGAATTACCATATACAATAAAAGGGAATTCTAGATTTTCATCAAAAAAAAAAAAGGCTTGCTGAAAATGGAAAAAAGCTTGATTTATTTCGAGTGATGATAATAGATAAAAAAAAAATGTCTATTATGTTTTTAACAATTACTTTGAATACGAGTTGCAATTGTTGTTGATGTTGCTGTGCTGTATACTGTACAGCATATATAAGTTACTAGAGAAGAAAGTGGTAAAAGAGTAGTATAATATACTATGAAGATATATTTACAGTGGGGCAAAAAAAGAAAAAAGGCAGAATGAAGAAAGGGTTATACATTAATAACATACATATAAATTACAAGGGAGGGGAGTATTTACAAAAATAGAAAAAAAATAGAAAAAAAAAAAAAAGAAAAAAAGAAAAGGAGGGATGATTAATGTCGGAAATCAGCAACAAGAGCCCTGATAGCATCAATGGTACCAAAGACACAACCGATAATACCCAAGAAAATGGTAAAGGCACAGAAGGCTAATTCGTACCAAGGTTTGTTACGAACACCCGTGAGTCTGAGGTAGAAAATGACGGGCAAAAGAAAGACGAGAGTACAGGTACAGAGAGCACCAATGAGACCCATAAAGTCATGGAAATAAGGAATAAAGATAGCCAGGATAACCAAGACAGTCATGTTACCGATACGAATCAAAGCACGAGCGAACCAGGCCTTGATTTTACCAAGACGTTCATCGGACACCTTGGTCCATTGCTCGAATTCAAGCGAGAATGATGCAGAAAAGATGGGAATGGCGAGCAGAACGTGGACCGTCATGACAATGACAGAGATCATTCTGGCGGTTTCGTTTCTAAGACTGTTGTAGACAGGAGATTGTGTGTCGCGACCATAAGAGTAATAACCAGGAATAGCGGTTAAAAAGTAGAGACAAGTACAGATAGAGAGACCAGCGATGACGGCATATTTCCAGTAGCCACGTTTTCTAAGAGCGTGTTCAACATGTGGGTAGGTATTGTTGCCGCCATAAGAAAAGGAAATGGTGGCAAGGGCAGAAGGGAAACCGGTCCAAATGACACCGTCGTTGATGACGGGTTCAACGGCGTGCTTGCGATCAATGGGGCCTTGAACAGTAATGATAAAGACGGCAATCATGGTGCAGGCTGCACCGATCGCGGAAGAGATGGTCAATTCTTTCATGGTTTTACAGACGAGCAAAGGGATCAAGACGATGACGCCCACGATGATGGTCCATTGCCATGTATTGAGCGCACCACTGGTGTCACGAAGTAGATAATTCATATTACCGGCAGCAAGAACCAAATAAAGGGCAGGACAACCAAACAAATTGAGGAAATGGAAAAATGAAGCGGCTACATAACCAAAGGTGCCGAAAGCAGCTCTACCGATGGACTTGTAATCATGAAGACGATAGCCAGGCTTATAATAAAGACAACGAATCAACACAATACCACTGTAACAGGCTACGATGTAACCCAAGATCATGATAAGAATGCCCAGCCAGCCACCAGTAGCAAATGCAGCAGGTAAACCGAGAGTACCTGTACCCGCTACGACACAGGTCACACTAACGATGCCGGTAAGGATACTGCCTTCACCACGAGTATAGTGAACATTATTCTCAGACTGAACATCCTCTTCGACATAGTTATCAATCGCAGTCTCTTCTACCTTGAAACTTTCAGCATAACTCTTTTCTGAAGCTGCGTAAAAAGTATCGACTTCTTGAATTGGCATAAATTTAACTGTTGCTTAAGTGTCTAGTTTGTTAAAATTGTTGTTGTGCAGTTGTTTGCGATACTGATGGTCGAAGGGAAATAGAATAAAGATTTTGGAAAAAAATAAAATAAAAAAATAAGATAAAATAAATAAATAGAATGTTTGAAATGGGTTATTTTTCTTTTTTTCAAAAAAAAAAAAAAAGGCAATGGAAATAGTGAGTATCTTTTTATATATTTACAATAAAAAGAAAAAAATTTTTTTGGCAGAGTTTTTTTTTTTTGTTTTTTGAAACAAGAAATCAAGAAACCCTTCATTGACTAGCCTTGGTTTCAATACGTTGCGTCGCCGCTTCTTCGTTGATGTTGAGCTTATTCATTCGGAGCACGCACTGACCTTGAACCTATGAACCAATTTGGTACCAGCACTTTTTTGCTGTGTACAACCAACACTGGTGGTGTAAGAATTATAGTTAGGGTTTGTTCTCACACTTTATTTTTTGGTAATTTGATTTTGTGCAACGTTTCTGATTTTCATTGCCCATTTTTCTATTCATTCGTACTACATGAGAAGTTTTCATGCCCTCATAAAGTTTGATATTCCAAGTGGCCTTTTTTTTTTTTATCTATCGTTTCGATATTGATTTCAATTTTGTTGCAGCCTACATATATTTTTTATGTACGTGCACTTTATTGTTTTTGAAATAAAGGCGAGCTGAATTTCTTTTTTTTTTTTTCATTCACAGTTTCGGGCTTTTACTGTTTGATACCATCTCCGCTAAATCGGGATTTTTTCTTTTTTCTTTGATAGAAACTATAGAAAGGGGGGATTTTTGATAAGTGGGATTTTTTACCTCTTATGTCAACTTTTACATATCTTTTTTTTTTTCTACAGCCTTTTTCCCCTTATCTCTATCGGGACTTTGACGGTGTTACCAAAAACTGTCATCGGCTTGAAAGTTGAGATGAAAGACCTTCAACTACAGTAAAAGCTGCAGTTGTGGGTTTTACTGACGGCTTCCAAATGAAAGTATCTACAGGTTCTAGAAGGTTTTTTCAATCTACAGACAGTTTCATTGTACGTCTTTTGTTGCTTCCCTTTTCAATGTCAAATATTGGTAATTGAAAGTCCGTTATCATTTGGAGCCGTTCGATGATTGGCTAGAGCAGGTTTCTCACCCCACACTTTTTCTTATTAAACAAATCAGTGTTACCTGAACCTTAACGGAGCATTAAAGAAATGCCATTTTTATTTTTCCGCAGTCATCCAATATACAAAAAGCCAGACTTTTTATTTCTCTACACATTCACATTCCTATCAAATGAGCCTATGTTAATAAAAAAAGAAAAAAGAAAAGAAAAAAAAAAGCAGATACTTTTTTGAGAAAAGAAGAGGACAAAAGATAGAATGACATCCTCGTCTTTCTTATGCTTATGCTTTCTATCCAATGATAAAGGGCCGCTGGGTATCACAAATTGCATTTAGTACTCTTTCATTGTTAGTATAGTGTAGTCAAGTCTATAGGTCCCAGATTCATTTTGCATCATTCAGCCTTTTCCCTCTAATTTTACCCCGTTTGGTTAGGATGTATTATCTGATTTTTTTTTCCCAGGCTATTCTCAGGCCATTTGATGCCACGTTTTTCTTTTAAAAGGTGCATGGCTGATGGTGGGTGGAAGCTCCTTTTCTCTTAATTATCTTTTGTTTATTGATGGAATAATGTTTTTCTTTGGCTGTTACTACTTTTTCTTCTTTTTTTTTTTCCACTACTGCTGCTGCTACCAAAATAGTCAATTGACTTTTTAAAGTAATTTTCTTTTTTATCTGCTCAATATACTTTTTTTTGATTGGTTCCCCTTGAATGTATCGGCGATTCCTGGGTATCTTTTATCTTGTTTAATTTTTTTTTTTTTTTTTTTGTGATGGTGCCTAGCGGAAAACTAAACCGATTAGCCAAAAAGCAAGAAACAGGTGATATATAGAGTATTTACGGTCCTGATATTGACGGCCGGATAAAGTTCAGCCTTAAGTAGGAAAAAGGGCTTGTCGATCACAGAAACGAGCCTTTTGTATTTGTCATACAAACACCTTTTTTGGCTTTATTTTCTTTTCTTGTTAGTCACTCTTTCTTTTTCTTTTTTTTTTTCTTTTTTTGATGCTATGAACCACTGCTTTAACCGTGTAGACTACAAGAAAAGCATCTCTCTTATTTTGTGACTCATGCTACCATGATGATAGATTCGATGGGCTACTGTAGAATGGCAGGAACAAAAACATGCGCCTTTTAGTATCCCTTCACGCGCCAAAACGATCGATCAAAGATAATCTTTTGTATTTTTATGGGCGTTTTGTTTCAAAGATACATCCTCATTCTGTCTGAGCTTTCTTTTCTGCACTATTACTGTTGCTAGAACTCACATGAGCTACGTATCCATCCTTCATTCATAGCCTCTTTCAGCAGAACGTCAATAAAAGTCACACATAGGGTCCTTCATGCACTTGGAAAAAGAATATAAAAGAGGAAGCTATCAACAACATTGTATCGCTGGTATTGAACTTTAGCTTAAAAAGAAGTAGATGGGTAAAATGTCCTTTCCGAACAACGACGCAAAGGTTCACCTTACCTACGTAATTTATGTGTAAAAAGCATAAAAAAAGAAAAAAACTGGGGTAAAATGACAACTATTATTCATCATAGCAAAAATAGTGATTTTTACCCGACTGGTCAAAGAAGCTTTTTTCCTTGTCTGTATGTGACACCATCAGTAGAAAATTCCCCCCTTCTTTTGACATCGCAAAGTTTCTTCTTTCCTTCCATGGTCGTCTCACGGATCTCGGCTGATTTTTTGCAGGAACATAATGATAGCGACAAAGGCTAAACTTGGTACCTTCGATGCCGAACCATCCGCAGCGAACCCCTTTACCACCTCTCTTGACAAGAAATGAAGGAGGAGGGCGCCTGTAGTAAACATCCCAAGCATTTAGCAGAGAGGGTCGATACAACCGAGTCGAAAGGTCACCTCTCTTTCTCCATTGTATCGTAGTTTACCTGTAATGCGTACAAAGAATCAAGCATGCTGGGTTTTTTTTTTCAATGATCATGAATGCATTTGTGCAAATCACAATTTGAATTTGTACCAAATAAGTTTCAAAAAATTGTTTAAAAACATGGAGAAAAAATAGTCTTAAAAACAAGTAGCCAATTCGTCTGAAAAAAAAAAGGCCATCCTCCCGAAATGAAAGTATCCCATATTCTGAGTTTCAAACCAGCAATATCTTTTTGATGACGTTTTTTTAACACTCAACACCCAACCACTGCTTTGGGTTTTTCTTTTTTTCGCGCACAGAGAAAGAAAAAAAAAGAAAAAAAAAAAAAAAGGTTTTTTTTTTCCCTTCTTCATTTTTCATTTTTCCCATTTCATTTTTTATCAACTTGACAACTAAGAAAGGGAAATGTCTGATTACGATAGAAGAAGTCCTACGGTAAGAATCTCAGTTTCGCCATTTTAGCTTTTTCAAAATCAACCTGTTTATTTTTTCAATTGTGTAATTGACACGGCTTTATTCCTTTCTTGTTCATTTTGGGACGTGATGACAATCCTTCAAAAGTTAAAGCAAGACGATTTGGATCAAAAACCAGTTGCTGGCGACGCTGAAATGAGAGATCGTTCTCGTTCACCTCGCTCCCCAGCCCGTTCGCGTTCTCGTACGCCACCCTCACGTTCTCGAGGTCGTTCTCGCTCCCGTTCAGTGAGTCGCTCACCTCCTCCACGCTCTCGCAGTCCTGCTCATCGTAGCTCTTCTCGTCGTGATGACTCTTATGATCGTCCCAGTAGAAGACGTCGCTCACCTAGTCGTTCAAGATCTCGTGGCAAAAGAAGAAGGTAAAGAAAAAAAAAATTCATTCTGAACAACAAAAAGAGGGTTTCTGTAAAAAAGCCTTTCTTTCTCACCTATCCCTTTTGTGATATTGTAGTTACTCTCCTCGTCGTCGTAGCCGTAGCCCACGTCATCGCTCCTCTCGCAGCAGCAGCGCAAGAGAGTAAGTTGTCAAAGAGGCGGAGAGAGAGAGACATTCTATCCCCCCATGCATAAAATAATAGGGTAATTGACTTTAAACTCACATAAATTCGCTCTTTTTTTTTTGCAGTAAGGAGTTTCATGGTACAAGAGAAGCTCCCGAGGTATCCAATATTCTCGGTGTCTTTGGTTTAAGTTTAAGAACTCGTGAAGTTGATTTGGAAGATGTTTTCCGTGACTTTGGTGATATTGAAAAAGTCACTATCGTCTATGATCACAGAGTAAGTGGTGGTCATTTGGGAAGGAGAATACTCACTTTCATGTGATTGACGTTTCTTTTCTTTTTCTATAGAGTAATAGATCCAGAGGATTCGGTTTTGTTTATTTTAAGGATGAAAATGATGCCACGAAAGCTCGTGATGCTTTGAATGGTATTGAAATTGATGATCGTAGAATTCGTGTCGATTATTCCGTGACACACAGACCTCATACACCCACACCTGGTGAATACATGGGTGAAAGAAGAAGAGGAGGCGGCTATGACCGTGGCGACAGATATCGCCATAGTCGTCGTAGAGAGCGTTCTCGCACACCACCTCGCAGACGCTATTACCGCTCAAGAAGCCGTAGCAGATCATGGTCTCGTTAAAGCCCGTCCCAAGTACTCCATTTTCTCTCCCCCTCTCTTTGAAAGGTAAATTCATCTACCCAACATTTTATTCTGCCCATTTGTTTATTCATGATAACATATATATTACAGGATAGTTGTCAAAGATCTGTCTTTGTCTCTCTTCCTCTTTTTTTTTTCTTTTCATTGAAACCAAAAAAATGTGTCAAAACTGTCTCTGTCTCTGTCTCGAATCAAAATCAAATCAAAACAAATCGGCTCAAACCTACCAAAGCCCAGAAAAAAAAAAGAATAAAAAGTGTTTAACTTCAAGAAGGAAATTTACAGAAATATGAGTTTAGCCATCTGCCCTTCCTTAAGAAAAAAAAAAAAAACTTGCCTCTTCAAAAAAGAAGATGACTACTTCAAGTTCTATATCAAGCTTCAAAAAGCAAGAAATGAATTATCAAAAATGTAATCAAGTCTGTTTAAAAGAAGCTTTTGAACGTGATCAAGGTTTTTTTCCTTTCAGACAGGAAACAACAAAAAAAAAAAAAAAAAAAAAAAAAAAAAGGTTTGACCTGTGGACAAGTATCTTTTTGTTATACTGTCAATCCCTGCCTGTAGAGTTATCCGTTACAGTTAGCAAGGCACCCGTCTCTTTTGTTTTTTACACTGCACTGGAAATACATGCTTAAAAAGTCAGGTAGTGTGAGAAGGACAAAGAACCGTCTGTCAAGGAACTGCTATTAGGTAAGTGAGTGAGGGATGTGGAGAGAGGTTGGAAGGTAGTTGGCTTATTGATATGGAGAAATTTCAATTAAAATTACATTTGCTGTCAATAAAAACAAATGTACAACGAAAAACAACCTGATTGAATGTATCCAAGGAGGGCAAAAAAAAAAAAAAAAAAAAAAAAAAAAAAGGTTTTTGTGGTTTATTGTCATCGCTACCCGTTTTGTTTGCATGAATCAAATAAAAAAGCTTTTTTTTTTTTTTAATCGGTTTTTTTCAACCCCCTTAAAAATCGTGACACGAAAAGTGTGATCCAGGCAAAAAATATGAAAAAACTCCTTGAAGCACACCTGTTTTTCCTGTGTGAATATGCACGCACCTTTTATATATAATAAGCCCAATGGTTCTTTGTACGTGCATACAACCTTTTTTTTTTTCGACTTGACCAACTTTTTTTAACTGGTGACATTATCCTTTTTTTTTCCTTTTCTTTTTTCAGTACATTCCCAACCAGCATTTTATCACCTCCTTTTGTATTTGTCGTCTTTGCTTATCTAAAAAGAGTCAGCTGCATAGGAAATGGATGGCTGTGAAGTAAAGTTGATGAATGCAATGGATAGGTTATCGCTCAGTTCACTCTCCAAGAGCTCACCGTCAACGTTTCCATTGAAATCTTATGGTTATTCCTCCACCACACGTATCCATCCCATGTCAACTCCACCGCCAATACCTATTATGCCGACGAGTTATAGATCCACTGCTGTACCCACGAGCAGCCGTAGCATTAATAAAAGTAATAAAAAAAAAAAAAAGCCCTTTTGTTCGTCCCTTTCTCATGGATTCAAATCGAAACTGACCTGAACCATTATTACTAGAGCATTCTTCTTCTTCTTCTTCTTGTTCTTCTTCTTCTTCAGCTACTACTACTACTAATACTAATATTAATACTAATACAAATCTATCACATGTACCTTGCAAGTTCTTTAAACAAGGCACTTGTACAGCAGGCGCCAATTGTATTTTCTCTCATAACTCTGATCCCACCTCAGAATTATCTGTGTGCAAATATTATCGAAAAGGTAATTGCAAGTTTGGCGCAAAATGTGCCTTACTGCATACCATGTCTCTCTTTCATACAGCTTCAAAAAACCTGAACGGGAAGAACGATGCCACTCTTTTGACGACGCATCCACACCCTAAGCATCGGCCTAGCCATAGTACCACAGCAACCTATAAAAATAGTATGTTACACTCGAATCTACTACTATCGCACCACCATCAACGACAGCCTTTCGAGGAGGAGGAGGATACATCAAAGGACGACTTTGGTCAACCACCCTTCTCACTGTACTCGCCACCCTCGACGTTTTATCAGCAACAAGACGATGTTGCCTCGCGAAATGGCATGAATGATTATCATCGTCTATCTCCAGCGAATACTGGTATTGCTGCTAGTGCAACCTCCACGGCTCTTTTACATACTATACCTGAATACACGACTGAACATCCCCGCTACCCTTCTACAAACATACGGCCCTACAGTGTCACTGAGAGTGAGGGTCAGGAACAGGCTCATTGTCGCCACCACCATCCTGTGGAGGAGGAGAACAATGGCTACCTTGACAGTGCTGACGATTTTTTACTCCCTTCTTCTCTAAACGACCTATTAACGCCTCACGAGCTGCTCAATAAAAAGCAACCACAACCCTTTTTTAACAGCCACTCTACCAGCAAGAAGAGTCATCATAAAAACATGCCTTATTCGCTTCCTTCTTTCACATCGACGACCGACGCTTGGACTGTCCCATTTTTTCATCATCACCCTAGTTACCATGCACAACTCGGTCATCCTACACATAGCACACCACAACCCTCTTTTCATCAGGAACAACTCTCTCCTTCTTCATCTACTTACTTACGGCAACATGCCATCAAAGTACCTACACCCAATAACAATCACCTCCCTCCTTTTCCTTCCATGTCTACCCATCAGCAGAACAACAACAACAATAACAACAACAACAGCATCGCTTTCAATCACCCACTACAAAATAAGGATCATTTTTACTTTTCATCGGAAGAGGAAGGTCCTTTTTTTATGGACGATACGGCGGCAATGAGTAGTATTGCCGTGAACAATACGTTAAATGACCCATTCTATAAAGAACGTATGAATAAACAACAACAGCAGCTGCCGCGACACATGTCCAATTCTATATTGATTACAAAAGCAAGAAAATGAACTTATTTAATTTAAAATACAACCAAAAAGTCCCATACCATTAAATACAAGTATTCCTCTATTCCTCTTTTAACAAAAAAAAAAAAAAAAAAAAAAAAAAAAAAAAAAAATAAAAAAAGTAACCCAACTCCATCTCTATTTACTTTTATTTTTTTTTCTTAAACAAAGGTTATATATTAGTTTTTATCTTTTTTTATTTACAATAAACAAAAAGCGATTACTTTTTTACATGATTTTTTTTTTTTTTTTTTTTTTTTGGTATTTAATTCACGTACTTCATTAAAAGTGACTAACAACGGACAATAAATTATATTTTGACAAGTGGCAATAAAAAAAGTAAAGAAAAGGCATACACTATAAAACTGCTACAAAGAAACCATTAAATAGACTACGAGCTCGTATGAAGTGTTCTGTAAAGGAAACACTTGAGGAATCCGAGGAGGGTCACTAAAAACGGAATAATCAGGAGGCCAGTATAGCCGTAGTATACCAAGCGAAAGCTTTCATAGGGTGGTATTGTTCTCCGAAGGGGCAAATCAGCAATCCAGCGGCCATGCCATGAGGAGGAAAGAGATGAAGAAGGAAGTTTCATAAGAAGAGAACATAGGTGGATCCTATTCGGAAGGAAGCGAAAGGATGAACGGGGCTGTAGAAGGCGCTGAACATACACAAGATGAAGAGCTAATTGTTGTCGGTGCAGATGCACTAAGCCTAAACCACCAAAACGTTTAGGTGAGCACAAGCGCTCCCACGATGGAGCAGGCCAGAAAGAAGGAACCACAAAAGACCGGACAATTCTACGAAGCTTATCAAGCCGGTCCACCGGAACAACTACAACACGCAGGAGATGCCATAACTTACTAAGTATCAAGGAATTAGCAACTAGTGAGGCACCCTCGGACAGACAATCCCCGTTGTTTCAGGAGGTTACTGTGACGGACTATTTTCAGTTCAAGGGAAGCTAGAGAGTGTTTTAGTTGAGCAATGGTTGAGAAGAGAGGATAGCCTAGATATTTGGCAGCAGATGGACTTTCAGCAGTATGAAAGGATACAGATTCCTGATTGGCAATGTGGAGCCATGCCGTATGCGGGTGATACCAGAGAGGGAAACAATTTCTGTTTTTGTCAAATTGACACGGGCATTACTAGCGTTACCATAGACTGTAAGGAGAATCTTTCAAGACACGCCATTCCGTAGGTGTAGTCAAGAAAACCTCTCAATCATCCGCATAGCTCAATAATTTGAAACGACACTCAGACTGCGAGCTAGAAGTTGTCCATATCGACTAGAGGAGGCGGAGGTTGAGAGCAGTGAAACGCCTTTGATGTCAGGGCTCGTGGGAGTTGGGAAGAGCCATGATGCAAAAAGAAATCGGTCCGAGATAGCTTCGTAAAAAATCCCAATCTGACAATGGATTAGTCCAAAAATTTTCTATAATTCGTATAAACATTTCCAATAAAAAGTCTGAATTTTTCTTCAAAGAGTCTGAATCGGAAGCGAAAATACTGTAGTAGGCTAAATTGCGGGAAGGAATTTTGTTCTTCCCCCGTCTTCTCCAGCAAAGCCTCAGCGAGGATGAAAAAATAAAACCCCGAAAGGTGCACAGATATCTTTCAATGCAAAAACCGAATTCTTTCAACAGCTCTTTTGTATTATTATTAATCAGCAAATTATCTTTTTGTATTAACATGAGCAAATTCATATCACTGTCCTTATTCTCTTCCTCGTTGAAGGGGCGTCAACTGTACTCACAAGGTAAGCGAGATCACTCTCTGTTTCTGTTATCTATCTCTTTTTTTTAAAAAAAAATCGCGAGAGCAACAAAGCTACTCCCCCCCACAATAAATCATAAGCATAATAACCTGCCATAACATGCCCTCATCAAAATTCCTTTTTCTTCACCAGCTCCTCTCTTGTACAAAACAGCATCCATAAAACTTGCAGCAACAACGAAAGCAAACGCACGGTTTTATAGTTCTGCCAACAATGATACTGAGCCTGCCGTCGAGGGTACCATCAACATGGAGGAATCAATGAATCAAATCGAACAATTGTACAGTGAAGCCAAAGACGAGGTAATGAAAAGAGCTATAAGATGCACTCTGTATATAACACAAACAGTCAATGAACAGTATTCTTTCTCACTTTCCTCAGATTGAATATGCTGAAGACTCTCAAGGAACAACGTATTATCATGAAGACCTGGCCACAGCAGGAAAGGCAGTAGATGAAGTCTTTGACGCCTACGATAAGTTTATTCAATCTCTACCTACTGAAGATATGAAAAAGGAAGTAAAGCAAAAAGTCGACTTGAAGATGGAAGAATTGAAGATGGCTTTTGCCGCTTTGCCTGAAGAATCTGATTAAAAAAAAAAAGGGACGGTTGTATATCATAGCAAAAAAAAAGCGGAAAGGGTGCATATGCTTGTTATTGAGCAGATAAATCATTAAAATATTCTTGCATTAAGAAAGCCCTTGGTGGTGCATTATGTCTCTCTTTTTTTTGTTGTTGTTTTTTATTTTTTATTTGTCATGCTGTCATTCTTTTATTTTTGAGTGGCAGGGACATGACCTGCTTTTAACAGACGCTCTAATCTTGAAATTTCATCCAACGAAGTTGCTTGCTTAAGTGCCTCCTATAGAAGAAATGTGAGTACACCCTGACTAGCGTTCGAGAAAAAAAGACGTTTGATTTTACCTTGATCTTTAATTGTTCCTCTGGAGTAAGCGCATGTCCAGCATTGGAAGTGTCTGTGGTATCATTATTCATACCCTCTCCAGGTTCAAATGTCTTTGTCTTATTCTCTGTTATTGACTTTGACAAGTCATTGGCTGTGCCATCCTCCTTTGTAAACATTTGAGCTGCTTTTTGTCGTTCGGCCAGACTCACTTTGTTGAAATCCAGAACACGCAGGTTGGGCAATTTGTGGATTAAATAAAGTCGATAATGCTGCTTTTTGGTCACAGGATTGTCCATCACAGATAAGTGCGTAAGTTGTTTGAGCTCCGTTAAAGGCTCCAAATCGCCTAGCTCATGTATCGAGTTGTTGGTCAAAATAATACGCTGCACATTAGGAATTGTCTCGCCTAAACCTGTCTCAATTTTGCTGATACGGTTTTTTGTGAGAAGTAAATGTTGTAATCGCATCAAACGCGGAAAATTGCCCAAAACACGTAGATCGTTATTCGTAAAATCAAGGGCATCGTTCAAGTCCTAAAGAAAAAAAAAAGAGCAAATGGCTGAGTGTTCAGCATAATAAAGACACATAGTTTGCGCTTCTTGCGTCAAAGTAGCAACTCACTTTGGTAACACCCAAGTTCTCAATAGCAGGGATCTTTAAATCTACATGGTTTCCGACTTATATGAGTCAACCCGAGCAAAACAATGTCTTATAATAGCTGTGACATACCTCTCAGAATGAGCTCACGTTCACCCAAAGGGTTAATATGTGATAGACTGTTTGAAATCACTTCTCCTGTCAACTTCATTCTCTATTTGAAAAAGTTATACTATTGGCGCACAAGAATGAGGAAAAAAAGAAAAAGAAAGAAAGAGTTGAAAATAAGAGAATTAATGCGAGTGGCTTGCTGATTTCCAATTTGGCCTTTCTCTTGTTTGAGTGTTCTCCTGTTTAGCTTTTTTTTTTTTGTTTGTAAAACAAACAAACAACTCAATCCATATCATCGTTATGGCTCGTTCCCATTCTCGTTCTCAATCACCGGACAGACATAGTCGACACCACTCAACGCATCGTCATAGAAGCCGACATGATTCCTCAGAAAGAAAGAGCAGGAGACGTCACCGAAGTCGTAGTAAAGACGATGACAGACGAGATAGGAAAAGAAGGTAGAAAAGAAAAAACATCTCTTGACAAGAGTGTTTACTAAAGTATTGACAAATGGGAAACGTTTTTCTCCCTCTTTCCTTCTCTCTATTAACGCACCTCTTAACGTGTAGACAGCGCGATCGTTCCGAGTCACCAAAAGAAAAGAGAAAATCGAAATCCAGTCGCAGCAGTAGTGGTAAACATAAAAAAGACAAGAACAGCAATTACGATGAGCATTATCACGTGGATGCAGCAGACTTAGAAACCGATCCCAATACTCAAAGTGCTAGCAGGCCGACATTAGAAAGCTTAGGCTACTCCAATGTGAGTAATCCTTTCAACGATGTCAATTTGGAATCCAAGTTTGTGTGGGGCAAAAAGAAGCAAAGAGACAAGAAACGACTTGGCTTGTCAGAAAAAGAAATAGAAGAACGTGAGAAAGCTCGTAAAAGAGAAGCCGATGAAGAGTTGGCCAAGCTGAATAAAAGAAGAGCAGAACGAGAGCGTGAGCTGGAATTGAGAGAGGAAGAGCACGCCCGTATGCAAAGAGACGCTGAATTAGCACAAATGGGAGATTGGGAAGCAAAGGAGGAAGAGTTTCATTTGGAACAGGCAAAACAACGAGCTGCCATACGTATCCGTGATGGTCGAGCAAAGCCTATTGATATCTTGGCCATGAACTTGAGACTGGCCCATGAGCCTGATAAAGTGGAAGACGAAGTAGATTTAGAAATTGATTTGGAAGAGCCTTACAAAATATTAGATGTAGGTTTGAGCTCACTCCTGACAGTAACCATGTTTTCTCTAGAGGCATTAACGTCGGCCCCTATTTTCCCACCTAGAACCTGTATTTGGATGATGCTGTTGAGCTTCATCAAGATATCCAGATGCATTTAGCGCTAGAAAAAAACCCAAAGACGCTCGAATTCTGGCGCGCCATGATAGTCGTCGCAGATGACTATTTAGCCAAACTGCGTGCCAATCAAGAGCGAAACCAACAAGGGCCCATGGCGGTGGAAGCCAACATACACCGTATTTTGGACGGAAAATCCGTGGCTCAGCTTTCTGTCCTGCAGAATCAAATCCAGCAAAAGCTCGCCTCAAATGAGCCCATTGACGTGGAATATTGGGAGCATCTATTGAAAGAGCTTGTCGTATATAAAGCCAAAGCAAGGTTAACAGAAATGCATCAAGAAATACTAGCAAAGAGATTAGAACAACTGAGAAACAAACAGAGAGAAGAAGCTCAAAAGGTACAGGAAGAATTGGGACGTGTGTTATCGATGCAATCGGCGGAAGTACATGGACAAGGTGTAGGTGAGGGTGAAGGTATAAAATATGAACCTGTGGACGAAGACATGATGGAAGCCCAAGACGAACGGTTTATAAAAGATCAATCGGTGACTCCTGCAGCTCCTGCAGCAAGTGCTGGTTTATTATTAGAAGAATACGATCGATCGATGAGTCCCGAACCTATGCAGACATTAAGTAATGAAGATAGTGAGATGGAAATTCTTGATCCAGCCGCAGACTTGAAGGAATTGGTAAGAGTGCAAGTTTGAATGTTACATATACGTGGACCCCCTTTTTTTTAAAAAACTTACTAGAACAATCCGCAAATAATCTTGCCTTTTTCATCTTCGTTTAGATGGAGAAACGTCGTGTTGTTTTAAATACGGCTATTATTCCTAAACAAATCAAGCAGGACGATGACGGCCAAGGTTTACAGGGTGACGGCAATGATAATTCCATGGCATCCTCCGCTCTTTTCGAACAGGAAGCGGCCAAGGGCATCGACGAAGATGAAGATCTCTTCAATCTTGAAGCTGAGCTTGCCAAACAGACATACAACTGGCAAGATAAGTATCGACCACGAAAGCCACGTTATTTCAATCGCGTGCATACAGGTTACGAATGGAATAAATACAACCAGACTCATTACGACATGGACAATCCACCACCAAAGGTTGTGCAAGGTTACAAGTTCAATATTTTCTATCCTGATTTGATTAATCCTTCGAAAGCACCCACCTATTTCATCGAGAAAGACCCAGAATCACCGGATACAGTGTTGATTCGTTTCCATGCGGGTCCACCTTATGAAGATATCGCTTTCCGTATTGTCAACAGAGAATGGGAATATTCCCATAAGAAAGGATTTCGTTGCAGTTTTGATAGAGGAGTGCTTAGCTTATGGTTCCATTTCAAGCGACAATTTTACAGAAAGTAGTAGCCCGAATACTGTTCTTATTCAGGCTCATTTGACATTTTATCCCTAATAAAATTCCGGGGTTTATATATTTTGTATATTGTCGAATCGAGATACAGTTTGTGTACCTTGAACCCTTTCTTTAAACAACAAAAAAAAAAAAAAACTTTTCCTGACATTTGGAGATTCATTCACCATGTCAACCATGATCTTTTCGTTTTTTGCTCGAACCTCAGCGCGAACTTGTTTACGACCCTGTATCAAATGTATAGCGTACACAAGTATATATAGTCTTTGCCGAGAATACAAATAAAAAACTGACATATATCGCTACTAGTGACACGTTTTCCTACCTTTGCCTACTCAACTCAATCTATTAGAAGCAATACTTCATCTATTTTTGATAGAAAGTCAATCCTTTTTAATGTCAAACATCTCAAACAAGCTTTAGAGAGACAAGATGTTGTGTTCTACGAAGCGCCTAAAGGTGTAGACCGTACATTTACGTGGATGTACGTCTCAGCCGGCGTGCAACTTTTATTCTGGTGAGTTTCATTGAAACATCAAAGTAACTTGCGCAATTCTATAAAGTTTCTTATCATTCATTCATGAATATCATCCTTTGTGTAGGGGTAATCTAGCAAATTTGGCCTACGTTGCCTACAGTGTGAAGGATGGGTAACATGTTGTTCTGATTCTTTGCATAAAATGTATTTTCGATGTCCGACATTGCTCTTATACTTTTATTCTCCATCAGTGAAAATGAGGAGGCTCCTGTTGTGCTTGCTCCTAAACCACAACGTATAGCCATTGCTGGTGGTTTAGTAACGGTTGGTATTGCTGTTGCTTCGCTTATGTGTTTATATCCATGGAGGTAAATGCTCCCTGTTTTATTCGGTTCTCTATCACCAGAAAAGTAGTTGCATTACTCTAACAGTTGTTCGTTTCACTTTTTTCTTTTTTTGACGCCTAACCTCATCGCCTAACCTAAATCAGATATATCGATAAGCTCATTTTGTTAAGAGGCGGCAATCATGTGAAGCTCGTTACCCATGCACGCTTTGTCGAGTCGCAAAAGTACAAAATTTACCCTATCGACCGACTCTATTGTAAGCAAAAGGTCTTCACGGGTGTAGGTAAATCAGGTATTGAACCATTGGGTGCCACTAGTAAAAAATCCAATGGTAGAACGCATATTTTTATCAATGCCGAGGGCGAAAGAATTGCCTACATGTTGGATAGAAAAGGATCTTTCATGGATAGCAAACTATTTGATGGTTTATGGTTCAGAAATATCAATGCGTAATTGTAACATATCAATAAACTGAGAACGAAGTGTAAAAACTGTAATAAAAAGGAAAGAATAAAGGAGTTGAACAAGAGTTATCTACATAATATATATACAAGTATACATATATATATAATCTGAAAAGTATATCCGGCAGAGTCAGTTGAATGAAAAAAAAATAAAATAAAAGAGCAATAACAACTGAAAAGTAAAAAGATATGGATTACGAAGGTATGAAATATGTACAAGTATGGGTAAAAAAAAAAAAAAAAAAAAAGATAATAAATAGTGAGTGAAACTAAAAGCGTCAAAGTCCAGATGAAAAGGTCATGATATTGCGTCTCTTAGATCAGGATTGTATGTTCATGATTTGCAAAATAAGTGTTCAACGTTCGTTTGAGTTCATCAAAATAAGGTGCAGGAGGTCTTCCTTCATTTGATAAAGAGCCAAGACGATCGTCCGCTGCATCGAATTCAGATTTAAATGTATGCGCTTCAGAAGTGGTACCAGTACTAGAACTTGTGGCATCTGTTAAATCGTTGGCTAATCCAATGTTGGCCCACACATTGTCTGCTGAATCATGATAATTCATATATCCTATTTGTTGGCAGCTTACTGACTGTATTCGTTGTTTCAGAACATGTAGTGTCATAGCAAAGTTCTTTTCAGCCAGTGTTCGAATATGTGTATTGGTAGCTGTTTTAAGCATTGTCATAGCGTTACTCGCTACTAATAGCCAATGTAATTCTACAGAACATGGTAGTCGACAGAATAGAACATGAAATATCTTTGACAAAGAATCACAGCATACAGAGACTAAGAACAAAGCACGGTCTCCATCAAATCTATTCATATCTACATCAAGTGTTTCTGCTGCAGAAGGTGCTCGCATCAATCGCGTTTGTAATCCTAGCCAATAGGCATAATACAATTGATTCAGATAGATGGCATGGGGATTGTCACACTGCTGGATACGATCCATTTGTAGATGTTCTACGGGTGAATCAGATAACCTGAATGATGGCGGTAATGATTTCCAAAAGTTGACAAGCTGGTTTTCCAATCGTTCAATATCAGAGACTGCAATTGTATCCAAACTTCCAGCTAAGAGTTGGTATCGTAGTTCATCAGCCTGAGTCGACAATTGACAACTATGCAATTGGACCACAGAACGGAACGCATTGACGGCGTCAACGCAGTCTTTGAAGGGGCGCTCGTTCGATAAACTCATGGGATAGCCGATGCCGCTTCCTATCAGAAAAGGGGAGCAATCAACTAAACCATCGTGAATAACGAACATGGTGACTTCCAGAAACCGAACCGTATAAAACATGCGCCGCCAAGTCTCTGCCATGATTACTTCCGGTGTAACCAATGTCTCTTCGGTCATGTTCTGCAGAATAGGAGTGTATTTATCTTTTAGCTGGATCACCATACGCCACGCCAAGCTGATGTATAGCCTTGCTTCTTTATTTTGTAACGTGACCATAGCACATTGACATAACAACATCAATGTCCCAACTGTCATGATATTTGGTTCTTCTTCAAACAAAGCATCTTCCAGCATACTTTTTGCTTCTTGTCGGAAAAACTCAGCTACAGTTTCACGGCTCAAGGGTGAGATAACGGCTGGAACATGCCTACATTGAGAGTAAGTGATGAAGGCAGCAATGGCAGACGCCGTCATAGAGTCCAGTTGAGCTTCGAATAAAGGTAAAAAATAAGGCTTTGAGAAAATCAAATATGTCTTGCCAAAACAATGAAAATAAAGCCGTATCAATGCTTTTTTTAGATAAGATCGCTGATGGTGCAACAGTAAAACTTGTTCTTCCTTTTGATGGCTGGAATCCATGCCCATAACGAGTTTTGGCTGAACCTTGGTTTTTATGTTTTTCTTGAATACATCATGAAGAACAGACTCTAGTTCTAATAACTTGTTTGTTATAGTGAGTTTCTGACAGGAGCGGTCTGCAAAATACGAAGGCGTGCGTAATGGTGAATCGTAAGAAATGAAATAATGTACAGTTTCGTTCAGAAAGTTTACTACGTCGGCTATATTCTTAATATTGGTCTGAAATATCAGCCCTCCCTTCTTTTCTTGCATCACAATGAGTTGCCAATTGCTGTTATTATGGCTACTGGTGAACGCTGGTAATGATGTATGTTTATTATAGGAAGTCATTGCTCTCTGGTCTGCTCTATTGTCGTATTTTGTTCGTTTTGATGTAGTTGAGTGCTGGCAACGAGAAGGGTCTATACAATCACAGGTTTCTGCTTTGCTGTTGGTATCATCGGAGGCAAGTTCTTTGACTGTTGAAATAGATGGTGCTGCTAATTCAGCTTTGACCTTGAAAAACCGAAGTTGCTCTGCCATAACAGCCAATTCTTGTTCTAAGGTTCGTACTTGGTCGAGCAGTCGAGTCTTTTTCGAGATAGGTACTGATTTTTTTATTACAGTAGGTTTAGCTGTATACTTGAAAACACATACTAAACCTATTTTGATACATCGTTTACATTGACCGTCTTCTGTTATTGTACATTTTCTACGATGAGCTCGGCAATTTTCGCCTAAAACATACTCAGGCACAAAAGTTTAGTTCACTTTGCATAGAAACATTAGCAATGGCAGAAAAGAAAGGAAGAAGAACTTACAAGGTTTATTCCTTTTCTTCCTATTTGCTTCATCAGTAGAAGACATTACTGTATCATAAGCTCCAATTGTTTAGAAATTTCTTTTAATAAGGGGCGAATAATACAAGTAATGTTAAGGCAAGTAAGAAAAAAAGAAAAAGCAGTGTTTACAGCTCCAAACGACCGTAGAAAATTCCCAGTTGGCGGATTTCGAAATGCCAATTGGGAGCCATTCGTACTTTTGCGGTAACGCTCGAAGGTATTCTCATCTTTCTGGAGATGAGAGGACTGCCCAACAGAGAAAGTTGTGTTTTGGTTATGCGGTATTGAAAATTGCTGTAAATTTTCTTACTATTCTCTGATAAGAAAAAGTGATTGAGTATAGACTGGCTTCCGGAATCAATCGTATCATTCGAATGATATAAATAGCTAGTTTTAAGGAGTGAATAAAGAAGACGATATCAAAAGAGAAAGTACTAAAATGATCGGACAAGATAGCAGATGTTTAGTGGAATGATCGTCGAATTGGGCATACTTATTTAGCTCTTAATTATCTATGCTCAATGGGAAGGTTTAATTTCCTATACTCATTATCCTGTACGGTAGAGTTTGAACTATGCTGATTTGCTGCAATATTCCACAATTGCAATAATTCACTACTAAGTGGCAAACTATTCACCACTGGAGGTTCCTTTCATTTGACGAAAAATACTTTAGCACCAGTGAGTTACCAATTGAAATTAACTGTTTAAATGAACGTAACCATTCCATTCATCCTTCTCGACCTCTTAAATGCCAAGGAATTAGTAGCTACATAACGTCTAAACATATACAATTGTGCGTTTGCTTTGGATCATCTTAGTATTGATATTTACGATTTTAAATATAGAAATGAATGCATGGACGCGTGCTTTACACTAGCTTTATTATCAAAAATATAGAGATTTATAGTGTGATTTGTGGTAAAACGTTTGAACAAGCCTCTTCCAAAGTTACCTTAAAATATTCTACAATTGGGTTGATTTGATCTATTTGAAGAAGGATTGAAGGCTAACATATCTATCACTTCTGCACAGTTGAAAATCATGTTCCTTTAGAAATTAGAACTCTCTCCTTCCTATTTCTGCGAAAAATACGTCATATAGTGAGGCAAGGTTTTGTTTGTAAACGCTGACTTTCGTTACAAGACGTTTTGTGGAACATAGTTTTCGCGATCTACCTTAACGGGAGGTAGTAATACTATAGAAGAACATTCGCAAGTTTTCTTTAGCTAAAATCCAATCTAAATGGTTAATTTCCTGATTGCGAACTGTTGAGCATAACTTTTAAATTCTACCCTTTCAAATTACTGCTGAAGGATTGTAAATGGTATTTATTGGCGATCACCAGCGAAAACTTTTTTTTCTTTAATTGCTGCAAGTGGATTATAAAAGATTCTCTTTCGAAAACTCAAAAACGATTATTTCCCGAAAAGGCATTCATGACATCATGCAACGCACAGAAGGGCCTCAGAATAAGACATGTCAAATTTAAAACAACTCTTTTTTTCCAAACCACCTCCTCCTTTTTGTCTAGTAACAAGAAAATAACACAAGTCTTCGTGCTTATACATAGCAAAAATATGATACATACCAATCCTATTTATCAACCCACGGATCTACTTCACCTAGAATTGGATGTCCAACTATTATTATTTGATTTTCTCGATAATCGATCATTAGCTGCTCTAGCATTGACGTGCAAATATTTTGGTAAAATACGAGCTTTGCCTTGCTAAGGTATGATCCACTCTATTAAACTGTACTATCCATAGCTTCGCTTGTACGCAGCGTTATTTCTTATCGACAAGCAAAATTAGAATTTATTGATCAATGTATGCCCAGTTCGCCACCGTTTCTCAATTACCGAGCCGGTGTAGCGGTTGGGTCCACATTTTACATGCCGTTCATCAACGAGAGCTCGTTCTGTTATGCTTACGATCTTCACTCGGGCGTCTGGTCTTTTCACAAGCTCCATTTGATTGAGCATGATGTAATTTATCCTCAAGTTACTTGTGCAGCCGTTCTCGGGAAAAAGATTTACTTAGTGTGTGGCCGCCTGTTGAACTCGTACACTTTATCTAATGGCATGATTGAGATAGATACAACCAATTTTAATATGCGTATCGTTAAGGACGCTAAAGGAGTACCGCCTCGTCCACGTCATGAGCACTCAATTGATGCTATAGGCGACAGGTATTTAGTGTTATTCGGTGGATTATGCTACAACTCAGTAGGTAAAATTCGCGTATAAAGAGAAGATAGAAACAGGATTATGATCATGTTGTATTGTCGTATCCTGGAGGTAAATTTGAATACTGAATACTTTTTGTTATCTGCAAACGTACAGGTGAGAATGACGTGTTTGTATATGATCAACATGAGAACAAGTGGTTTATTCCGCCTATTAGCGGGTAAAGTAGATCAAAGAAAGCCTTCTTTAAAAAAGACACCTGAAAAAGGTGGAAAAAATCTGCTGCAATGGGATATTAGACACTAATTACAATTCAAAAAAATGTTAAAGTCATTTGCCACATTTGCGATTCGGTCATGCAAGTGCGGTTATAGGCAAAAATTTGTTTATCCAAGGAGGAGCACAATTGGACAATGATAGTAGCTATATAGTATTCGATGATTTACATAAACTGGATTGTGAGACGTGGACATGGTATAAATACGACCATCCTGAGAAAGAGCGGTATTTGCGGCATCAAACATCAGAAAAGGAAACAGTGAATTCACCACAAGAGGACTATGTTATACCAACCTATGGAGACAGTCCTTATGATCGTTTTCAGGCCTTTATGTGCAGCCATGGTAGCAAATTGATTATATTTGGTGGGCATTCCATCCGTGAAGACGACGATGACAATGAGATATTATGCAGCTATTCGGTAGACGAATTGTGTATTTTCAATACCAAAAGAAAAGTTTGGTCTACAACTAGAGCAGCAATAATAGATAGAGCGGTTGAAAATGACGTTAAAGATGGAGAGGAGACTTATCAGGATGAGCCCGTGACAGTATCTGACATGAGCATAGCTCAGTTTCTTATCGATTCCAATGGACTTCGCGTTTTTATTATTGCTGGACGTAAAGCGCCTGAAAAAACGACAGACGGTAACAAAACAAGTTCGAAGTTTATGAACTATACAAATAATACAGTAAACGATTCAATAAGTATGGCCTCATCCTCAAACAAACCAGACCAGTGTTACCCTCCTTTATCTAGCATATCAGAAATATCCCCCCTTAAACAGCGCCGATATTTGGGTGACGATAACACGGATGATGCTAGCGCCGATGATTCAACTGAGAATATAGACAAAGGCAATCTTATGGCCGACTACTTTTCTGACCCTAAAGAGGAATTAGATGGTAGCATAGATGGTAATGAAGACATGGTAGGTGAATGAAATCGTTTTTTAAAAATTTTTGTACTCTAACAATGATTAATCATGCACTGATATCAGTATCAGGGTGATATAAAGACACCTACATCGACCGAGCACTGTGTGTCCTTACAAGAATTGATTCGAGCAATTGAACCAGATTTGCGACATAGAAAGGTGAACGGGGAGAACCGTGATTGTGACATTGAAAAAGAGATTATTGATGAGTGTAATCAACGGCAGTCCACCTTGCGTCATAATACTAGCATCCCTGGTAAAAGAGTAAATGAGGAAGATAGTTTTTATAGCAGTCAGTCAACGTGCAAAAGACCAGCGACTGCGATTGTCCATCGCTCTCATCAATCAGATGAAAATGATTCCTTATATCATATGAAGACGAATTCGATGTCTGAGCATTCATCCTATACGACAAGCTCCACCAGTGAAGGGCAAGATAAGGTTTCGCATGAGTATCAACAAAAAATTACGCCTTGCGCTATGATGCTTGAAATTTTGGAATAGCTTTATAATGACTATAAACATAATATTGCATGTTGCTGAATATGCGTTTATCTGTAGTGTAAATAATTTATAATATGGTGAGCCTTTCACCGCACTTGTACATAGATAACCATCTTTACTACATATATTCGGTTTTGTTACTTACTATTTAAATCAAGCAAAACGAAAACATTTGTCATTTTCTGTAATATCCTCCACAATAAAGACAAATCCAATTCAAAACAAAAGTTTGTTGTTTTGAGTAAATATAATCCGTACGCTTTAACGGTATAACTGAAGAGTAACAATTTGAACAAGTTATCTTTCAGGTAATAAAAGGCCCTAATAAGGCTTTCTTCTGTCGTACGCTAGTGTGAGCTCAACACTTGAATGCCGTACTCATCGTGGAACCTAACAACGATGAATTAACCATGCTGCTGCGCTTTTAAGTCACTTAAGCAATAGAACACGTAATAAGAATTATACAATCTTTATACGATTTGAAACAAATGATATTAAGTCGAGGGTGCGGGAGAAGGGAACTGGGGATATTCTCATCAGTAGAGCTTAAATATCTGTTTAAGACAGCTTTCACCGACACTATTAGCTGAGATAATGAAAAGGCATCAAAAAGTTCAGCCAAGTACTCTAATTCATTGTAAAGTCTACCATTGCAAAGTATGGGGCGGGGAGGAAGTTCTTTTTTTTTTTGTTCTTCATACAAGTTGAGTGTATTTGTTAAAACTTATGTTGGCTTTCTAGTTGCTTGATCAATCATTGCTTTACATGTTCTCCATTTGCTGGTTCTTCAAAAATTTGATTTGCAATAACTTTAAAATTGATGTGTAGGCCAGACGTTGACGGTTACGTTCTGTCGATGTAATAACTGTAAAAGGATGACATAAAACTTAGTTAGAAGTCTCGGCAATTCTAGTAGCCCAACCCTTGGTAGCTTCGAATTGACTGCGCTTAACATTATGGTTTATTTTTTCCAGAAAACTGCTCAGATGAATTCACACCTTGGGACTAAGGAGGAGACATATCCTCTCGCGACAATGAACTGATCAATTCTTTGGCAGTGCGGCGCTAATAGACGTATTATTCATTACTATGTAATGACCCTTCAGCTCAGTAACTTTGCCCATTTCACCCATAGTTATTGAGGATTTTGAAGTTCCATAGATAAGACATATTTAACCGAGGTAGCGCCCCAATATAGTGTAAGATACAGATCTTCCAGATGAAGGCAGCACAACCGCAGGTGTTCCTTTTGTCGAGCATCCACTACAATGCCTCCTATTGATGTTTAAACAGATGCACAGCTTTCATTGTAGTTTTATCACTTGTATTTCATTTCAGAATCCATTTCAACCGATCTTTCAGTTTTGTATCACTGTTTCTCGCGGCTGGTACAGTGCTCAATCGTGTGAATAAAAAATTACATTTAATCTCAAAAACTCATGAACAGTGCTCTCTTTGTACACTGAGAGCTGGGAATGCAATAGATCCATTACTCATATTTGGGATATTCGCGATAAAAAGTGAGAAGATGAAACTTGTGAGAGTTGGCTCTATTGATCAAGTTGGTTTAGCTTCTCCTACTTTATTCCATTCTTTATCTTCTTTGAGCTTTTCCGTTTATCTCTGGACAGGACGCTCACTAATTTCACCAGCTAAACGCCCTACTTTTGCGGCATTGGCCAGCTTTATCTTGTTGATGAACATGATTTTCTTCACTTGGATATTTATTTGTAAAATTCAACTACTTTTTAGCAGTTGCCGCAACATACTCATTTGCTCCTCCTAGTTCTCTTTCAACTATTTTAAAAGCTACGGAATTCAACAATATCGATATGGTCTTATGGATTGTTTATCCATTGCTTTCAAAGCAGGTTGAAATACTTTAGAATTTTACAGAGTACAGTTGCTCTAACAAAAGAAGAGGCAAAAGAAATATTGGGAGAACGGTAAGCATATATTCAAAATAACAAATGGCTTGAAGAAATCTGGAATGATATTAAAGTGGGATTGTCTATAAATAAACCTCAAGAAAAGGAGCAAAAAGTGGGTTCATAAATAATAACCACCACTTCATTAGACAATACCAGGTTTTTTATTCGATGTATTTTCAGGCAGGATTTAATTATTCGAAGAAACTCATTTTATTGTAATATCTTACTCTTATCGAAAGAAGACGTTTTACTCTATCAAGTTGATTCAAATGCTGTCTTGGCAAAGCCATAGTTTGGAGATATTCACCGAAGGCTTTTTTTCTTTCAAACAATGAGCTTGCATAAGGCCGAAGCGGCAAAATTGAATTGAAAATAGACATGATTGGTCATTGTTCATTTGCTTTCCTCACACCCTCCTTTTTAAATTAAATTAGATTTCTTTGATTTCTCCCTATTTTCTCTCTTTTATCATATCTTTCGGTTTGAGCATAGAACAAAAAATGAAATTCTCAGTCAAGAGATTGCTCACAGTTGCCTCATTACTCGGTTCGTTCAACTCAACAGAGCGGAAAACCTTAATATTGTATTAACATTTTATATGTGTTGTACTTTAGCTTTAGCAAACGTTACAATCGCAGCACCCATTCAAGACTTATCTGTAACATCAGTTGACTTGGCTGAAAATACATTGAATGCAAATGGAGATGAGCGTCTTTTTGTAACAGTGACTAGAATAGATGATCTTGTCGACGACGATGGCTCACTCTTAGCTGAACGTATTATGGCTGTGAAAGTTACTTTTGATGTCGTCGACAATCAAGTAAAGTGAATGATGGATATTCAAGGAGAAGCGTTTGAAAGACAAAAGAAAAAGCATGATTAACCCCACTATTGGGACATTTTTAGTTAATGTGTAACGGTCAACCTTTTGATATTGGTGTTTCAAATATAGAAGTTGAAGCCCAAGTGGCATCCAATCCTGATAAATTAGTGATCAATTCAGAAGAAGATGCTGCGATACTAGCAGATTCTTTTGATACTGGGCTCGTTACGGTAGAAGTGACAGCAAGTGTCTTGGATGAACTGAAGACAGATGATGGTATGACTTTCCGCAGGATCAATGTGAAGGAAGTGATAACAGAAGTAAACGGGCTCAAGGTAGTGCAAACGGAAGCTGGCCAGCAAATTTTGGATGTATTTGATAATGGTGATTTCATTAAATGGTCCATCGATCCTCTCACCGGTTTCATGCTACCTGGGCCTGCCATAGTTGAAGCTGATAATGGTAACGATGATCAATCTCGATCAAACGCTTGATTGATTACTTGACTCATTTTTTCCTTTCGTTGTCTTCTATTGCAAACAGCCTTTTCTGTTGTGGACTGCCCTAGCTGTCATAGTTTTGATTTAAGGAACTGGTGGAATGAGAACACCACAGGCATGGAAGGTTTGATTGGTGGTATCATTTTTGCCTTTGTCTTATGCATGTGCTTAGCTATTCGCTACCTAATCACTAGTGCTGCAGTCGAAACATATGAACAAATTCCTGCAGTACAAAGGGAGGATGAAGAGAAAGAACAACCGCCAGCTTACGCTGAGAAGGAAGAGGGAGGACAGCAACCTCTGCTGTCAGAAGAAAAAGCATTCCAGAAGTAAGCCATATATACACACTGTCATCATAGGTTAACAAACAATGGTTATTCTGTGAAAATACCAAATGATCATTATTGGCATATCGAGAAGCACCCAAAGGATGGTGACATCGTCGCAACCCAACCCACATTTCATCTTTTCTTTTTTCACTGATAATTCCAAGATAACTCTCTCTCTTTTTTTTTTTTCATTCTAATTTTTTTTTTTTTATTAACAAAAAAGCTAAAACAAATAAAGGCGACAGTTACAATGAACTAGTCTCTTTGAGTGTTTCCTTTTTTCTCCAATCATAGAATACACGAGGAAAGATGTGAGGAGGGTTTAATATATATGTATAATAACGAACGAAATAGATATGAAGGGAAAACAAAATATAAAATGTATCATAAAAACTTTAAAAAATCTATTACAAGCATGAAACCTCTTAATCAATGTCCATATCGTCCTTCTTCTTGTTATCCTTATCGTCCTCCTTGTTTTCCTGATTGTCGTCCATAGGGGTATCGGCATCAGCATTGTTTTCAGCATCACCAGCAGCGGCGGGTTGTTCTTCAGGTTTAGGGGCAGGCTTGGGCTTGTTCAAGATAGGGTTGGCAAAGAAGATAATAGCTTCTTCTTCCTTCTTGATATCACGGCTGAATAAGACAGGAGTTTCATGCTTGGCCATCTTTTCTTGCTTGGCCTTTTGTTCGTCCATCCATCTGCCGGCACGTTCACAACGTTCGACGATATCTTGCTTTTCATGAGCAGGAATATGCGAGTACTTTTCGTCATTGCTTAAAGCTTCTTGGGTCAAACGTTGCATGGTGTCACGGAGACTGCGTTCAGCATGAGGACGTTCTTCAGCTTCGCGGTAACGTTCGACAACGGGGTTACCAATCTTCTTGAGAGCATCCAACTTTTCAACATAGACAGACTTGGGTGCGTCGTAACCTTCATCATAAATCCAATCAACAACAGCGTTGAGATCGTCAGCAAACTTATCCTTGACGCTAGGATCAATATAATCGGAAAGAGGACCGATGATCTTGTCACGCATTTCGTAACCGTATTCTTCAAGAGAGTTCTTGGCAGCTTCAGTAGCAGCAATGAGCTTGTCATTGGCATACATTTGGCTTTCCTTTTCGGTATATTCGTTGATAATTTCCTTGGAGATGGCAGTGTTACCGGTGCTAACAGGAAGATCAGCTGTCTTGACAAGCTTCTTGACCTTCTTCACTTCAGTTTCACCGTCCTTGTTCTTGCTTTCTTCATCCACCATCTTTTCTTCGACAGTGTAGGCGGATTCAACGGTAAAAATACCGTGAATGTTTAATCTAACCTTGACCTTGATTTGAGCAGGTTCGCCATTGACGGGTTGAACGTTCTTGATGGTGTATTGACCGATCCAAGGGTTGATACCGCGAGGTAATTCGTCAGGCTTAGCATAGACAGCTTGTAAAGTGAAGGGTTCACGACGGAAGAAAGTCAAGATCTTGGTGGAAGGAATAGAGTTGTTGTTGTCGAAGCAAACGATTTCAGTTTCTTCTTCTTCAGGAGTGGCTTCCCAGGTGAGTTTGATAGGGTAGCTACAGATATCGTTGACACGGAATTCACGGACCTTGAAGACAGGAGACAACATGGCACATTGAAGAGCAGCACCACGAGCAACAGCTTCATCTTGGTTAAGAGTAGTGGAGATGTCCTTACCGAAGAACTTGGAAATGGTGGCCTTGATAGCAGGGATACGAGTAGTACCACCGACCATTTCAACATAGTCGATTTCTTCAGCCTTCATGCCAGCACTTTCAAGAGCCTTGGCCAAAACTGTTTCAGTACGAGTGAATAAGTGAGCGGCCCATTCTTCGAATTCATCACGGTTGACTAAAGTGGAAACATCGCGGTCATCCATAATGGATTCAATGTTAACAGGAGCTTGAGGGTTGGCTGAAAGAATCTTCTTGCAACGTTCAGCAGCAACACGAAGACGCAAAAGAGCCTTCTTGTTGGTGTAAACATCGATCTTATACTTTTCCTTGAATTGTTCAGCAAGCTTTTCGACAATAACAGCGTCAAATTCACGACCACCAAAGTGTTCATCGTAAGCACTACCGCGAACAGTAAGTTGTCCCTTCAAAAAGGAGACGACTTGACAAGAATAAGAAGAGTGACCGATATCGACAAAAGCGACATTTCTGGGCTTATCTTCAGGAAGATCTAATTTGGTAATACCGTAACCGAGAGCGGCAGCAGTTAAATCGTTGACAATACGCAAAGGATTCAAGCCAACCATTTCAGCAGCGGCAAGGACAGCGCGACGTTGAACTTCGGTGAACCAACCAGGGACAGCAATGACACAGTCAGAAACAGGACCCTTGAGCTCAACAGCGGTGATATCCTTGATCTTGTTGAGATACATAGCAAGGAGTTGAACATTTGAAAAGACGGTCTCTTCACCAAGGTAGTTGACCTGATTATATAAATGTTATTAACCTTCTACTTGCAAATTTATATGATTCCACCATCAGAAAAAAAAAAGGGAATATTTTCCTCTCTTCCTTACCTTAACACCAGCTTGACCGTTGGCATCAGCCAATTCGGCCATGATGAAGTTCTTTTCAATTTCTTGAACTTCGGGATCTTCATTAGTACGACCAATAAGACGCTTTAAACTGACAATGGTGTTTTTAGCGTTACTAATTTCTTGGGTCTTAGCAGCTTCACCGAGGAATCTTTGCTTAGAACCGAAAGAAACAATGGAACTATTATTCCAACACAAAATGATAGGAAAATGTCAATGCAACCCGACTCACGTATTTCTTATATCCTGCTATTTTCATTATATCCACAACATTGATGTTGCCTATAAAAAATAACTATCATTTGAATCTAAAAAGGGTACTTACGGAGTGGCACGATTAGAGACTTCGTTACAGATAACATCGATACCACGATTACGGGCAACAGCAATAACTGTTTGAAGATTACCGAGATCAATACCCTGTAGGATCGTGAACAATATTGATTAGATTATTTTCTCGTGGCTTTATGGACAAAAAGTGTGACCTTAAATACGGTTACTTACAACGACAGACATGACGAACGATAATTAGAGGAAGAAAACAATAACTTAAAAAACAGAAAATTTAGAGCTATATTTTTTAAAGCTTGGAATAAACTTTTTTCAACTGGAATATCCCAGAAAGTGAAAGAAGGATTTTATCAATGTTTGATTGGATAGAAAAAGTGCACTACGTTTATTTTTCGCTAAAGATTAGACAAATTGGATAAAAGATTTGATAGAGTAGGATAGAGCTTTTTGGAAATTTAATGACAGATAACCAAGTAAAGTTTGGGAGTTCTGATTTACAAAACTATATTAAAAAATATACTAATAATCGAAGAATAGCTTAAAAGCAAACAGTACCTCCTTAGAATAATGTTGCCTCAGCCACATTTGAAGCTTCATAGCGGGCTGGCAAATAAATCTGTCAGTCATTCTGAAATACATTTGCTCAATCAATCTAATGTTCAGTGCACAATTTAAAAGCCTATTGAAAAATATTTATCCCAAGTGAAGCTCTTAACTGTTTTTGATTTGAGCCCTGTTATATGCATTTATTATTTTGATAAGGATACTATGGACGTATTATGTCGTATATTACAAGCGATACACTTGATTACACAATGAATGTTGTCATCAGAAGAGCTCTTCGCGCTTGTTGAGGGACTTTCATGAGAGCTGGACAAAGTTTTGTAGTAAGGTATTTTTTATACATGTTGCACAGAACTGTTAGCGCACACTTTCTGTTCCATTCGCACTTGCCTGCTTTTGCCGTTTTCAAATCGGCTTAAGCGCACTTGCGCTTGTACCGGATAATGATGTCATAAAATCAGAAGCTTTGGAAAGCCAATGGCCTTCTTACTTCTAATATCGAATCTCTGGGGAATGTAGAGCATTCAATTTATGCTACCTAAAAGCAGCCTCTTACATTTCATCGAACCCTTTTTGCTTATGATATGTATGATTCCTATCTGCTTCTAATGACTAAGGATAGAGTTAAAAATTGTTGTTATATATTGTAAAACATAGTGTATAGAGTTATAGTGTATGATTGGATGGTGTCAACATCTGAATCGCAAGCTTTTGTTGGTGAAAGATTTCATTGTCAGCTTATAGAAAGCTACAATAAATATCGCCATGATGAGAGCCTTCACAAATCAAACAGGTAGGTGATGTTTGCATTTGGATGAATAGTTTGAAGCGAAATAATTTACAACTCATCAGCAAGGTAAAAAGAGTGAGATTTTGACATTTTTTTATATACTTACAATTACACTCAATCAACTACTAATGTTTAGTCAAATTTTGTTAGTAATTTATCTCAAAATTTTATTCGGTTTGTTCAAATGTTATCTCTTCTAACAGGAGCCAACTAATACTCAAAAAGCAACGTCACTTTTTTTTTGCTGGTGGACCGGAAGGGTAAGCCACCGCTTCTTTCTTTGAAGAAAGGACCCTTTTTCTGTTTGCTAGATAAGCAATCTTAAAAGAGGCCAGAATTTCAAACTAAGCTGACAGAAAATTTTCTTAGTCCTGTATTCAAATAAGCTAGAATGTAATTAAGATGGCTTTAGGAGCGAGCCAATAATTGCAGATTTTGCATATGGACAATCTGTGTTGAATCATACCAAAGCTCATAAAATGGGGTAGCAATCATGTATTACCGTTTACGCGATCTCGTAGAAGAAGAGTTACCGGTGTGCGACCAAAAGAGCAGAAACTACCCTGACCATATTGTTTCAATTGAAGTAAAACATCTTTTAGGATCCCCTTAGACTGACTGTTCTTATCGTTTGTATGAAAGACAAGATAGCTAATAAATAAATTAATGATGGCCTTCAAGGGCAGATTGAAGCTGATCGACAACGTATTTTCTTGATTTTAAATGCAAACGAACCATGCAAACTACAGATAAGCTTATGGTTCTCTTTTTCTTTTAGAGTGCAAAAAAAAAAAAAAAAAAAAAAAAAAAAGGTTTGGAAGAAAGCTGTTCAGGATAAACATTATTTTTCTAACTGTACAGTTTCTAGCAAAACAAATTAGTAATATAACGGGTTAGATAGTCTTGCTTGTATTTAATACTTCCAGCCGTCGCAGAAACGGCAAAATGCTCAACTTTGATACAAAAAGAGCTTCAGTTGACTGCGCAGATCTTTGTTTCCTTTTTTGTTCCTTTTTGGTTTCTCATCCATGGTTTGCAAGCCAGCAAGCAAAGGACTGTAACCTTATTGAAGATTTGCATGCGGTACCTTGTAAAAAAAAAAGGCTAATTTCCATTCCACAACCTGACCAATAGTTACCCGGTTTATTGCTTCCTTTAATGACGAAAAGCGCTTTGTATCCCAGGGCGGCATAGAACATGATTCTGAGACAGAAATCAATTAGCAAAAATGACTACCTTTTTATGCTAATGCTTGGGTCCGCTCCTGCCTCTATCTAGGACAGATTTTCCATTTTAGACTTTAAGAATTTTTATTCAAAGCATTACTGTGCTTAAAAAAAACCAGCTGGGCTTATTTCTCTTTCTCAGATACACTTTATGACGACGTATGCTTTTCTCCGCTTGGTCTTAGAGGTTTCATACTGAAAAAAAAGGAGATCCCCTTTTGACAATGTCATGGTTTTGAATGTGACTGATTCCTCGCAGGTTGGATCAAACATTATACTACAGGATAGCAAGATAAGGTTCTGGATGGTAACAGAAAGGAAATAAGCTTCGTTTATTCATAAAAATGGCTGTTCTTGTCATTTACAATTAATACTAATATTTACAAAAAGATGAGAATTAAATTAACAAGTATAAGATACGAGTAAAAACGAGGAGGGGGTATATAAGGATTGAGAAACGAGAAATAAGGTGTTGTATATGTATATCGTCATTTAAGAATGACGCGTTGTAATTAACAAAATTGTATAGAGTCTAGACTGTCGTTCTGTTGTGTAACGAGCGTATGCATAAAACAGATTAACTGCTGTTGTTGCCATTTTCACTGCTACTACTGCTACTACTGCTACTCGTACTGCAACTTGACTTTTTACTGCGAAGAGTCAAGAAACGTTTCAGTTTCTTTTTGATAGGTGTTTTGGTTGCTGGCGCCGGTAATGCGAGCTCTTCGTTTTGAATAACGGATATATAGGATGTAGTACAAGCAGAGTTCTTGAGTGAGGCTCGTGTAGTGACTGTGTTGATACACTCTGCTGAGAGTCTCGTATTCAGCGTTTCTGAAGAAGAGGAAAACACGGATTCTGAAGCTGATGATAGTGTTGATCTAGATTCTGAATGCCCAAAACTAATAGCTTCGTCAAAGTTGAAATGCTCTGTGAAGCGTGAACACATAGTTGATAACCTGTTACAATTTTTAAAGTGATTTGCTAGAAGAAAGAAAGAAAAGAAAATAAAAAACGTTCAGGGGATTTTTAGTTTACCCGTCTTGATACAACTCTTATATGATTTTAGGACATCGGGTTTTGAATTACTTATGGATCGAACTTCTATCTCCGGTGGAAAAAACAACGTAGAAAAGATCTATAAAAAGAACATTGACTAGAAAAGAAAACAGTAGACAAAAAAAAAAAAAAATAGGAGACAAAAAAAGCCAGTTTTTTGAAAATGATATCGCTCTGTGTGAAGCAAGAAACACATTGCATTATGAAGATCCCCTGATCGTAGTTCATTTAGCAAGTGGTAGTCCCGCCAAAAACCTGCCTTTTGTGACTACGAGCCCTTAACCTGGACAATGTTACTGTATGTCTCCAGTTCCCTTTATCCGCGTGCGGTTGGTTCTTTTTTTTTTTTGGAGGCCCAAAATTTTCTCTTTTTTGCCCGCTCTTTTGTATTTTGCGCGGGCAACTACTGTATAGTGGAAGATCCCCTTTCACCTGCCGAATAACATAGTGAAACTTTTTTTTTGTGAGCGAAAAAGAAACTCACGAATGAAACAGAAGTCACATTAACCTTTGGTTCTACTTTTCTTCGTTTGACTAAACGAGGACACCTCTTGCTAGGCGACTGATTAAACTAAATAGGAGTAAAAAATATGGTTCGATTCTAAAGACCTCTGTTAGTCTTTCTACTCCTATTACTCGTTTTCACAAAGAGTAAACAAAAATATAAAGCAGGAAACAAATATACAACCAAAATAAAAGTTGTTTATACTACAGCAGTCGCGCTGCTTGAAAAAGAATAAAAGCTTGCTCGATCAGATCATGCTCGGTTACTACTCGTATACTACCAGAAACATGTCTATGGTTGATACGATGAACAATGTTTATCTTACTGAGCAATCGGTAATCTTTGATCGAGCTTTTGACTGAAATTAAACCATCGAAGGGTATCTGCATCCTTGTTAGCTGTATTATAATCCTTGAAAATGTTATATGTTCACCTTTGTCACTTCCTGAGAACGACCTCAAACATGCGTCAAGACAGGAATAGGATGATCCCATATTCATATAAAAAAGTTAAAATTCGAATGGGGATAAAACAGATGCCTTAATATGGAAGCTTCAACGCGTCTAAAACAATGATAGACATAAATGTAGACCGTATTTCGATTTTTCCATCATCTGGGAGGGTTTGTGAATGTATTTTAGCAAGTATTATGTATCAATTAGAAATTTACATATATAGACGGTTCAGCAAAGTGATTACATAAAGAGTTATTAAGAAAGTGCTATAGGTATAATGAAGAGATTTTTTTGTCTTTTCGATTAGAAAAAAAAAAAAGTCATGGAAAAAAAAGAAAAATAGTAATAGTGTAATTGGAGGTATTAGAATAAATAGACTGATTGGGTCAATGGTAGGGTTGTCGCTGGTTCACATACACAATCTACCCCATCTGCTTGTACTCTGTAAGTTTCAGGGTCTACTGTGATTTTAGGCATCGCGTCATTCAACTTCATGTCCCGTTTAGTGACAGTACGGCATCCTTTCACTGCTTCCGCTCTCTTTCTCAGGTTATATTTCTCAATGACACCTTCATCAATTGACAATTGAGAGACAAAAACCATGCAAGAGAACGATAAGCTTGAAGCATAAGCACCATACATGGGTCGAGAGATGGTAGGCTCGGTTGTAGGAATGGATCCGTTCGCGTCCCCTAACATAACGGAAAGCAAAATTCATCAGTACACTATTTTCCATACCGTTTTCCAATTCAGCAGCATTCCAGATCTGCGTCCGAGGTTGTTTATTCCGTCCCGCATGAAGCGTTGTTTCCCTCCCTCTAATTTTCGCTCACTGCCCCATTCCTATTCTTGAATGACCGCAAACTTACCCATCTGACCCCACACAATGATACCGGCCTTTAATATCAATTCAGGCTTTGAACCAAAGTATTCTGGTGTGAAGCAAACCAAATCAGCTACTTTGCCGACTTCAATAGAGCCAACAAGGTGACCAATACCATGAGCCAAGGCGCTTTTTGAAGATCTGTTAAATTGACGAAGAGAATGACAAAATTCGAATGACTACAAGAAAACTTACACATTGATAGTATATTTGGCGATGTATCTACGAATTCTGAAATTATCGCCTTCCTCATCCATATCTTCAGGCAACTTTCCTCGTTGCTGTTTCATCTTACTAGCCGTTTTCCACGTACGAAGGATAACTTCACCAATTCTGCCCATAGCTTGACAATCTGAACTGATCATACTGATAGCCCCAATATCATGTAACACATCTTCAGCAGCAATTGTTTCGGCTCGAATTCTACTTTCAGCAAATGCGACATCTTCAGGGATGGTTTTGGATAAGTGATGACACACCATTAACATGTCAACGTGTTCATCCAATGTGTTGCAAGTAAATGGACGCGTTGGATTGGTAGATGAAGGAAGAACGTTGGGCTCGCTACAGACCGTTATAACTATACAATTTTCAATTGTGTTGTGTCAGTTTTATACCGTAATAATAGCATGAGAAAAAGTTTAAAACTTTACTGTCTGGTGCGTGCCCTCCGCCAGCACCCTCACTGTGGTAAGTATGGATGGTTCTTCCCTTGAAGGCATCAAGTGTTGTTTCAACAAAGCCAGCTTCGTTCAATGTATCAGTGTGAATTGTAGCCTAAAAATAGACGGGGTTAGGAGGAGTATGGTCTCACAAAGACGAACTATTTTAGACGAGAAAAAAAAAAAAAGTGATGATGACGAACCTGGACATCTAGCTCATCGCATACTTGAAGACAGGAATCGATGGCAGCAGGTGTAGTTCCCCAATCTTCATGTAATTTCAGACCGAGACAGCCAGCCCTAATCTGCTCGACCAATTCTGCCTGGTTTGAACTATTGCCTTTACCTGTGAAACCAAAGTTTAAAGGAATATCGTCTGTAGCTTTCATCATCATTTCTACATGATGATTGCCTGGCGTACAAGTGGTTGCATTGGTACCCGTATTTGGACCCGTTCCTCCACCGATCAAGGTTGTAATACCACTAGCTAATCCCTATATATGGCAGGTTACAACCAAATATGGTGAATTTGGGAAATAATTGTTAAAACAATCTTGCTCCCATTTCTCATCACATTAAGAGAAACCTTAAAATGGGATGTTCGAATTCAATCGAATCGACATCATCTTTTTTAACTTACTTCGTAACACATTTGAGGACAGATATAATGAACATGGGAATCAATACCACCTGCTGTGAATATTTTGCCTTCGCCTGCCAAGGCTTCTGTACAAGCGCCCACTATCATGCCTGGTGTAACGCCATCCATTACATCTGGATTGCCCGCCTTTCCGATACCCACAATGATGCCCTTTTTAATACCGATGTCTGCCTTATAAATGCCTGTATAATCGATAATCATTGCATTGGTAATGACGAGATCAAGCACTTCTTCGTCTGATCGAGCAGTTGCTTGTCCCATGCCTTCACGTAGTACTTTTCCGCCGCCAAATTTACATTCATCACCATACACTGTGAAATCCATTTCAACACGTGCCCACAACTCAGTGTCGCCCAAGCGTACCAGGTCGCCTGTCGTGGGGCCAAAATGATCCGCATAGTATTTCCTGTCCAGAGAGTTCGTTTCAGGTGCTGGTAAAAGAGGCGCTTTGGAATCGTTCTTGAATCCTTTGATACCTAAAGTGTTGATGATCTCTGGTAAGCGCATAAGGTCGACGGGTCCTGATGCAATATTGTTGCCTCCTGTAATAACCTTATGGCCTCCAATCTCTACTAGTGTGACCGTTTTGAAATCTCCCGGCTCGAAACGTATGGCAGACCCAGCTGGAATATCAAGTCTCATACCATACGATAAAGCTCTGTTGAAATGAAGTGCCGAGTTGACTTCTATAAAATGATAATGAGATCCGACCTAAATACGTATATGCAGATTAAAAATAGCATTAGATCTATAATTTTTCTATTCAGCACACACCTGTTTCTTTTTTTCCTTTTTTTTCTCTCCCCACTATACCTGAATTGGACGATCACCAAAGTTTGTGACAGCAAGTGAGATGCGCCTCCTTCCAACATTCAATTCAATCTTTCCTGGTTTTACAATAATGGCTCCTGGTTTATGATAATCTTCAATTTTATCGTCAGGCAAGGGGAACTTTTCTTCAGTAGGTATTGGAAAGAATGTTCCGTACAGAGCCATTTCTAAATTGCCGTTGTCTGTACAGATTGGATCATGCACTGTGACTAGGTACGTGCCGTCTGGAAAAGTGCCTTCGACTTGTACTTCATGTAACGTCTGGAAAACGTCGGTCATAACATGGCGTCTCCCCAGCATTTGTTTCCCCATATCCATGAGTTGCGACACAGTATAACATCCATCTCTCATAAATTCTAGCAGCTGAGAAGCGATAAGGGCCGTGGCTTCTGTGCGATTTAACTTGACTCCACGAGCTAATCTTTTCTGAGCAAGGTACCCAACTGTTGTTAGAAGAGAAGTCAATTCAAAAGCGTGTATTTAACAAATTGGATATGAGTCAGTGAACGTTGGTGAGTTTAAATACATTCTCTTTCTTAATTTAAACAAGAGGGGTTTACCTTGATGAAGCAGCAATTTATCTAATTCTCTAGGTATCAAACGCATTTTATTTGATTTTGTAGACTAAAAAGGTACTAAGAAAATGATAGGAAAGATAATAAAGAAAAAGAAAAAAAACAAGTAAAAAGCAAGCATCCTTTTTTTTTTTTTTTTTCTTGCGTCAAAATCCGTCTAAATCCAAAAAAGATGAAAATATTTCTCGTTATGGCAATTTAGGGAAAAGAGTGTGCGTGTGTTTCCTAATTATCAAATCAAACAAAAAGACCAACTATGCCAGTGTGTAAAGATAGCTCTGTGTGGTTATCAAAAATTGGTCAGATATAACAAAGATAGGTAAAGCAGATTATCCGATTTATTCCCTTTCTTAGGGTTTATCTTCTTTCTTAGGATTTCTCTGTTACACATTTGTCAAGTAGTTCGATTTTCATTCGTGTACACAGGAATATAGCAGTAGCAGTTGTGACATTCAGACGAAAGATATAAAGTGTCACTGAAGTAACTGATTTCGCCTTTTTCTTCATCGCTTTACAAAACGGCACACTCTCCATGCATATCACTCCCTTTTCCTCTTTTGATTAAAATTCATGACTTGTTTATACATCATTACTGAAATTTCATTTAGAAAGACTTAGAAGAAAAGAAGGATTAAAGTACTTAGTGATAGTCAAACTTCTCATTTCTTGGACAAATAATGAAAATGAACTTTTTCAGTCAGATCGAGCACCGTTCAAGCCCCATCCCCTCCTCCTCCCCCCCCTATATCACAGCATTTTACGCGAGTGTAGCAAATGTTACCCAGTTTTCTGGTAAGGGGCCACAGACAATAGACGTTTGTGTCTAGAACAAGGAAAAGTTCTCAAAGTCTTTTAAAAAATGCATGTGCTGACTAACATGATGGAACCGATGCACTCAACTCGTTGTTGCTGATCATCTTGGGAAAATACTTTGCTTTATTGAATGTCTTGTGTCTATCATTATATACACGGATTTTTCTCCTTAATTTAGAAGTCCAGTGCTATGTTGTTGTAGACACACCCTTTACCGACTTTGTATCAGGTACAAGTCGCTCTGATGTAATGACAGTCCTCAAAAACTGGGTAAGACAGAAATCGTAAGCGTTAGGTAACAAATCTTTTCTCATTGAGAATTGCAAAAAGATCTCTCTCCTTATTGGCACATGTTTCTATCCGACAATCGAGAAAAGTCGGCTGCAAGGGCTTGCAGTAAAATTTCATTCTTTGCCTCTGCCCCTGCATGGAAGCTGCAAGTGTACAAAGTTGCAGTCGGAAGCGGTAGTCAGCGCCTATTTATAATTACCTATACGGCCCCTTTCCTCAAAAATGGACCCGGTCCGCTCCCCCATAAAGCATCTTTAATCAATCATGCATACGCATTAAAAACACAACTATCCTTCAGTATGAATATGATATCGACAGGAACATTCAGTTATGCCATTTGTTTCCATTCGTTTTCAAACGCAGCATTATGTTTGTTTGCTATTTCTGATCTGTATACTGTACTATTTCAAACATGTTGTTTTCGAGGGCGTGCGTCCCCAATCTCTAGACCATTCCAGTAAATTCCTTTTTGAAACTGCGGTTAGGTTGGTCCTTCTAACGCAGGGAAACAGAAAAATTCAGTGCTCCAAGGGATACAATACAGCTGCATAGCATGAGTCACTCAACTGATCATTGGTGAGAAAAACGTGCATATACCAAATGATAGATTGATAAATGACTATAGTGAAGCGATACAGTTTGCTTTTCATGCATAACGTTTCACTAAAATGACGTTGTAAGCGAAGAGAAAAGGAGGTGGTTGTAGAGAAAAAAACGGTACAATACGTGCAACATAGTAAGAAAAGGATAATCGTAGTCTAGCCAACTGTCAAACGTCAATAACTACATTTCGCCGTGCCTAGAATTCAACAGAACATGTGCAGTCCACCGGATTTAAGGGCGCTATGTCTATGCACAGCATATCCTATTCTGGGTAGTGGCTAAAATGATACTCGAACTTTTATGGCCAAGCCGGCTATCGTTATTAAAATGAGGCATTCAAAGTATGCTTTATTTTTTCAACTAATCGTTGACACCGCCACATTGCAATCATAGGTTATGACAAAGCACTCAAAGAATTCAATGGCGCTTTCTCTATCAATCATTTCCGAAAAATCCGGTATTCTAGATAATCATACTCTCATATGCCTAAGTTAAAGCAATTTTCTGTTCATAAGCCAAACATGAGTACTATACCAAGTATCATGTTTGCTCTCGTGAATATAAGATTACTCATAAGTTTGTATCTCATATATTTACTGATTTGTCAAGAACCTCATAGTTAAAAAAAGGACCTGCAAGTTTTGGTCTTCACAAGTCAATATGTAAATTTAAAGCCCATTCATCAAAAAGTTCAGTCAAGTGACATGCTTCAAAGTTTATGCTAGAAATTCCATACATAAATATGAATAAATTCAACCACAGTACAAGACTCAGTTAATTGAACAAAGGCTATTATATGCGAAAAGGCATATTTCTTCATAAATTTTACGCTGATACATATGTTTGGTATCAACGAGTGAGCATTAACAATGATGAAAGGCCGAATACGCACATCCCAATCAATTGTTTTAGTATATCTACAGATGAAAATTTTCGCAATGTAACGTAGCAGCTATACTACTCATGCGGGATCACAGTCCACAGTTATAAAGACTGCCATTCTGACATAATGTATAGAAAATATTGTACTGTTAGCTGCTGCTGGCGCAGCTGCCCGTTCATCTCCCAACGTCAACATTCTAGGCTAATTGTTACTAGATCAATTGAAGCAGATATGATTATAATGTTTGCCTTAGCATCTTAAATACCTACTGTATCAGCTTAATAATGGATTGCTAAATGGTTATCGTCTCCAGTTTGTATTCTTGAAGCTAAACAATTCGATTTGCAATACCGACTTGAAAGATACGGACTATAGTAAGCTTATTTATTACAAATACAGTAAGTTTATAGAATGTAAAACTGTCAGGTTTTGACAAGATGAGACTTTGGCAGACGAGTTTACTGTGTTTTGTAATCTTTAGTTGGGGTGATACTGGTAAATCAAAAACTCAAGGTTTCAAATAATGACTATGGTGAAATAATATTTGGTTACTAGGCCTAAAATCAGTGCAATGATGAACTCCACGTGTCTCATTCGCAAACTTCTCATGAGAGCTTTACATGTGAAAATAATGGTTTGTACTGAGCGAGGGGGAGAATAAAATGAATGGGGACGGTCTGTGAGAAGCAGTCTTTGTTGCGCACAGGGAACTGAAGTTATTCAATATTTCAATTTTCTTCTTTTGGGAAATGTACAACTATCCGTTGAACAATTGATATATAAACTTGAAGCAGAATCTACTCCTCTTTAGTGCTCAATTCATTCTCTTATTTTCCTGTGATTACCTTTTGCGACTCTCTTTTCAGCAATATTGTAATGGCATCCGTAGCACGTCATATTGGTACTGGCGCGATAGCAACAGTTTCTCTTCTAGCATGCATTTATCACGATAGAGCAGTTTTTTCTTCGAAGAGACCAGATATCAAAACCCAACCAGGTTGGCCACTTGTTGGCAACCTTCCAATTCTAATGGAGTACTTGATGCATATCCATGATTTTTTACTTGAAGGATTCACACGTTTAGATGAGCTTACATTGTAAATAAAGCGCCTAAACTTAGCTTATAGACGACATAACTTGCCCTCTTAGCACACAGAAGGTGTACTTATTGAACTCTTCATTTATATACAGGACAATGTCTGCTTTAGGTATCCCAAGACATATTGGGACCATTGATCCTAAAAATGTTGAGCATATTTTGAAGAGTAAACAAATGGCACAGATGCTGTAAAACAATAAAAAGTTGATAATTACACTGACATTGCCATTCTAATACTATCATAGCGAATTTTGGGAATTATATCAAAGGCCCTGAATTCCACAGTGGAATGATGGATTTATTTGGTGGTGGCATTTTTAATGCCAATGGTGAAGAATGGAAATACCAGCGCAAAACCGCTAGCCATATATTCAACATAAAGAATTTCAGAGACCAATTCACTGAGTAAAGCACCAATACAATAGATTGAATGTTTCAAAACAGTATGCATAGTAAAGTATTCATTTTCTTTTTTGACAAAAAACAGCGTCTTTGTACAAGAGCTATTGACTATGCAAGAGTCGATTTGGGACAAAGCAGCCGAAAATCATGAAGTAGTTGATTTTCATGACGTTATGTTCAGATTCACGCTAGACTCATTCATTATGCTTGGCTTCGGTGTTGAATTAAAAGCTTTACAAACTAAAGGCAAGGTACCTTTCGCAGCAGCCTTCGATGAAGCACAGAAAAATACATTTTTACGTTTTGTTAATCCTATTTGGCCAGCAACAGAGCGTATTATGGGTTTGGTGATGCCTTGGAAAGCAAGCATGAGCGAGCATTTAAGTGTAGTCGACGGTTTCGCACGTGAAGTAACCAAAAAACGCAGAGGACAATTAGAAGCAGGTGAGGTTCATAAAGATCTTTTATCAAGATTTATGGACGCTCGTAACCATAATGGTGAACTGCTCAACGACGACGAACTACGCGATATTGTTCTCAATTTTGTTATTGCTGGCCGAGATACGACTGCTCAAGCTCTCTCATGGACCTTCTATATGTTGTTGTGTCACCCCCGAGTCGAAAAGAAACTGCTGGACGAAATATATCAGCACATTAATGACGATGACCTGAATGACTCACCGGTCCTGTTTGAGAAAATAAAAAACATGACTTATGCACATGCTGTCTTTTATGAAGTGCTTCGACATTATCCCTCGGTTCCCTTGAATCAGAAATACGCTCTAAATGACGATATATGGCCTGATGGAACGCATATAAAAAAAGGTGATTATGTATTATGGTGTCCTTATGCTCAAGGTCGCTCTGAAAAGGTATGGGGCCCTGATGCTAAACAGTTCAGACCAGAAAGATGGATCACGCGAGAAGGCGAACTTCGACGTGAATCTCAGGGTCAATGGCCAGCTTTTCATGCCGGACCACGTGTATGCTTAGGTAATGTCATATTATGTTTACTGTTTGAAAACAAAGTTGACAGTTAACCGATATTATTGATATGAATATTAGGCCAACATTTAGCGACTTTGGAGGCATTAATAGCTATCATTTTCCTAACAAAGAATTATAAATTCAGCTTGGTACCAGATCAAGATATCACCTATCAAGTGTCGCTCACATTGCCCATGCGTTATGGTATGAAGGTCATGGTAGAGAAGCGCGAAAACAGCCAGAAATAAGAATTTCAGATATATGATACACAAACCCATTACCCTTTCAAGACTTTTCAGAATTAGTCATACTTTAAATATAGCACAAAGCATATTGTAATCTGTAAGTTTTCGTTCATGTAGGATTATAAAAAATATCTTTATTGCATACATGCATTTGGTGGTATCTTAATAAATGCGAAAGTGTACTGAATTAGAATTTGGCTACATGAAATCTTATCAACGCTTTCAGTGTCATTGCCTAAGAAACACTTCACACTACTTTTAGATGCGTAATTTTATATTTTTAACAATGTAACTAGAAAAGGAATTTACAAAGTAACATATTGGCATCGAAGGTAGTTTTTGTCGGGATAAGTGGTTACAAAGGCAGAATATGACAGCCTAAGGTGCCTCTGCCACCCCAACCAGATCTAGGTGTCACTATTAGCCGAACCGTGCTAGAGGAATCTCTCATAATAGTAATTGGTATTTGTCGGTTTTCACTTGTACTCACTAAAGTATTCAAAGCTCGAAGCTGGTCATGATTATTGGCGTTCACATGACCGAATTGGACGATTTTATCATTTCTACGCAGTCCAGCCTCATAAGCGGGTGAGTCAGGTGCCACAGCATTTACAATAGCAAAAGGAGGCGTTGTAATTGCTTGTTGTTGTTGGTTCAATAAATCAACGGTGGCAGTATTCTTGCTGTTTTGTAGTTCATTCTTTTCAGTGGATAAGGAAGCGTTTTGTTGTGAATCATTCTCTCTTTTCCGTCTATTTGCTTCGTGAATTTTGTGCAAAACCTTTTCCACATCACTCATGACGGCTCGATGATCGTTGCGTAAACGAATAGCAGCATTTCTGTTTATGCGAATAGCGTGAATATCGAGTTCTGCTAGAGGAAATCCGGCATTATCAATAAGTGGTTCGCTCATACCGGCACCTGTTGATTCCAAAGACTCATTTAAATCTCGTAGTTGCTTTTCAATTTCATCCTTCTTGTTCATAAGGGCTTTAGCTTCGGCCATGAGGCTTTCAAGATCGAATTCTGCTTTGAAGTCATTCATTGATGGCGGCTTCAAACCCATGTGCTGATTGCTTAAAGAACGACTGTTGAAAGAGGTATTGGAAAACATTAAACTTGTTAGATAATTTGTCCGATTCTGGAAAATTTTGCTCGCTTTTCCCAGATTTAGAAGTGTTTTTACAGACTCGTAAGACGTGAGTCTAAAGTGTTGATTGCTCGAGCTCGCAGTAGTTTTTGTATTATGTAAAGTTATTAAAACCGAAGCTTCTCGCTGTGTGAATACAGTTAACAATTGGTTTAGTCAGCGAACTATTTTAACCGAATATGGTGGTTCTATATGTTATGAGGGGATTATCGATTTAGCCAAACAAGCTAGATAGAGTTTGTCGGCTAAAATTTAACTTTTTCATCTACCTCAACCCATGGATCACGACAAGGGATAAATATGGTTACCATTTTAAGAGACTGTCGGATCAGGAAAAAGAGATTCCAAACGATATACAATATTACTGAATCGACAGTCTTGAATGTCGCTCGAGCGTAAGTCTCGAATATCCAGGGACAGTCGCTTCTATTGTGAGCGTTATAGCTATTGGTCATTATTTCGATCTGAAACCTTTTTCTTTGTGCTTTACGGATGGTATGCTCGTTTTCTTCAATGTTAACAGTGCTTGCGGAATGCTGTTTTGAACAGTTGAGGATAATATTACAATAGCAACCCAATTATTCCGAAGCGCTATGTTGTGAATACTTTCAAAACTGGCTGCTTTGCTTGAAAGTAAAATTTCCCGAAATATTCGAAAACCATTTACTTATAAATACCTGGTTATAAATGTGGCAGATCTCATCTTCTGCTGAAAAAAGCTCATCTTTCTTCTACATCAAAAAGAAAAAAATTTCCTATATAATTGCAAAAATGAAGACAATCAATCTTTTGTTCTCTGCTGCCACTTTCGCTACTGCAGTTTGTAAGTCCTGGTATTGTTGACACCACAAAGAATTACAATAGATACGTTAACGAATAAAAAATTGCGCCCTCTTTACATTAGCTGCCACGGACAGATATCAAGCAGCACCTATTTTGAATGCACCAGGTATTCAAGTTGAAACAAGACCTCCCGTTATCGTTGTACAAACTGTGACCCGTACCAGAACTTGGGTAAGTCAACCTACCGACTGGGACTACAAGCCTTCCTGGAACGATAACCCCTCTTGGGATAACAAACATGACTGGAACAACAAGCCTTCTGAATGGAAACATGATAAAGTAAGATTATCTGTAATTTTAACATTGCAAAATCATGCCGTTACTGAATGATAATTTTCTTAAAGGATAATTCTCACTGGAAAGTTGATAAGTATAATGGTAAACATTATGGTAAGGGTGATGATGGCCATTACTATCACCATAAGGGCAAATACGATAATGATGATGATGATGATGATGACGATGACAAGGATGATGATGACGATGATGAAGATGATGATGACGATGAAGATAATAAGAAATACAACAAGAAGCATGGCAAGTATCATAAGAATAAACATCATGATGATGATGACGATGATGATAAAAAATGGAAGAAGAACAAGTGGGGTGGTGTTCACGCCAATTCTTTATCCTCTTCCGCCTCTGTTGCTGAGCCCACCGAGTCCTCCTCTATGACATCTGCTTCCAATAATAATATGGCTGCCGCTCAGGCTCCTGCAACTACAACCGCTGGAGGCGCTGTCTCTAGATCTTCTTCTAGTATGTCCAGAGCGACAAGTCCTGCTGCTACGTCTTCACCTCAACATCGTAACGGTGCTGAAAATATGCAAGCTAGTAGTGCTTTTGTTATGGCAGCTGCCGGTGTTGCTGCCTACCTGATCCTTTAGGTTGGTATCATTAATACCAATCTCCAACGTACAATATTAAAAAATCCAATGACGGCTTCTTTTCGTCACTTAATTTTTCCTTGCTATAGAGAACTCCTCCGATAATTTATTTAATCTTTCCGTTTTGATGACAAACTAAATCAATAAACGATTCCCGTAAGACAATTATATTAGCTCTAATATAATGTTGACATGCTATAAGCTACAGTTGTGATCATAAGCTCATCCTTATGCCATTATCGCTTTGAATGAATTCTTATAAGATACCAAAGTACACCAGTAAACAATTTTCTGATTTATTTGCTATGGAAAAGCCAATCAGATTGAGGAAATTTTTTCGGCTTTTTTAAATCTTTTAAAAGAAAACGAGGATAGGGAAATGATTCTTTTCAGCCAACTTCGAAATACAACACGGTAATGGAGTCCTCTTCAACATCAAGAACCCCCAGTGACTTCTTGAGCACAGTGCTGGGTAAAACTGTTATCGTTAAACTAAACTCTGGCATTGACTACAAAGGTATACTTTCAGATCTAGAATATTATATGTAACATCGCAATTGTTTACGAATCTACTTCTTTAGGCACTTTGGCTTGTTTGGATGGTTACATGAACATCGCTTTAGAAAATACCGAAGAATATGTTGATGGAAGATTAAAAAATAAATATGGAGACACCTTTTTAAGAGGAAATAACGGTAAGCTCTGTTATAGTTTTTTGTTTGTGCTGGATAGGGTCTGTTCTTATGCTGACTTGTCAATCACAGTGTTATACATCAGCGCTACCAAATCCTAAAATCCTTGAGTTATGTACATCGAACGCAGTGTTGTTACTTTGGTGAATACTAAGAAAGTAGGTATTATATTACGCCCTCTGATTTACAGAGTTATTAAACGCTTTCAAAGGTGTGGGCAGTCTTTGTTTCGAGTAATCAAAGGCCTGCGGAATTACCTTTATTCTGTCCATGTATAGTAAAGCGAAGATTTTTTGACGCGTCATTATAACCTACTCACTAACTTACAGACTTCAGTTCTCCTTCGATAGCCAAATTTTGAAGTGAACCCACGGTTATCACTTGATCCGAGCAATTCAAGCAGCAACTATTTATCTAATTCAGTCCATCCTATTTTAAAGAATAAATCGATAATTTCGATACTGGAAATTGTGGTTAACATATTTATAGAGTAAGCCATCATGTACACTCCGAATTACAATTTAGGTTCAATTTAGCGTTATGCCTGTTACTTTGTCGTTCATGAAGTTATTTTGCATAAAATGGAGTGCTTATTATACAGATGATTAGTTTTAAAAACACTTCGATAGAACATTTTAAGTGTAAATTGTAGAATATTTTGTTCATTGTGCAGGAGCTTCCGTCATAAATAGACTCATTCTGTACAAAATGTTATTGTGTTGTTATAAACTCTCGAATTCCTTTAAAAAGCGTGAACGGGAAACACCGGATCACTTTTCCAAAAGCTAACAAAAAGTGTCTGTGAACATCTGCAAATTCCCAGGATTTCATCGGAAAGCAAACCCAAATTTAAGGATCCTCACTACAATCTGTGTGCTTCCACAAAACTTTTTTTACATCATGGATACACACAACAGAAATATATCCAAAAAGCTTTAAATAAGAAAGCTTTAAAGTCACTCAAAACTAGTTTCTTTTCTCTTTTCTTCTCTTCCATTTATTTTTCGTTCTTATTCCTTGCTAAAGTAAGTTATCGTACAAAATGGGTATCCTTGATATTGTTCCCGCTGGTGTTGTTACTGGCAAAAATGTCTATAAGATTTTTGAATACGGTAAGTTAATAAAGCAGCTCTACCTGTTGAGCATTGTGTTCACTATGGGAGCGATTTCGTAGCCGTGCTAAGTTGACATGAATCGCTCAACTTTCTTCTTTACATTTTCATCTTAGCTCGTGAGCACAACTTCGCCATTCCCGCTATCAACTGTACTTCTACCAGGTAAAGTCTTATATTCACTAGGAAGAAGATTCTAGTCTGCATGGGTTTGTGAGCAGATAAATAAAGATGATGCATCTCTCCCCCCTTCATCGCGGTTCTTCAATTTAAGCTCTGGCCTTGTTACTCATGCTTTTTATTGAAATGAAAAAATAGTACCGTAAATGCTGCCCTTGAAGCTGCTCGTGACATCAAGTCTCCTATCATCATTCAATTTTCTCAAGGTGGTTCTGCTTACTTTGCCGGTAAGGGTCTCGACAACAAAAACCAAGAAGCTTCCATCATCGGTGCTATTGCAGGCGCTCAAGTAAGTTTGAATTTGACTAATGCATACGAACGAAAGCAAGGACAAGATGAATTAATCTAAGACTCGGAACTTTAATAGTACGTTCGTACTGTTGCTAAAGCGTATGGTATTCCCGTTATCGTTCACTCCGACCACTGTGCCAAAAAGCTTTTGCCTTGGTTTGACGGTAAGAACTTATTTTTTCGAATCTTTTCAATCAACTATCCACAGAGGAATTAATCGATCTTGAATGAATTTATAGGTATGCTCGAAGCCGATGAACAATACTTCAAAGCTCACGGTGAACCTCTCTTTTCCTCACATATGTTGGATCTCTCCGAAGAAACTAAAGAGGACAACATAGAAACCTGCTTGAAGTATCTTAAGCGTATGGCCGCTATTGAATGTTGGCTTGAAATGGAAATTGGTATCACCGGCGGTGAAGAAGATGGTGTCGATAACTCCGGTGTTGATAATGCTGCTCTTTATACTCAACCTGAAGATATTTGGGACATCTACAAAGCATTTAGGGAAGTCACCAATCTCTTCTCCATCGCTGCTGGTTTCGGTAATGTCCACGGTGTCTATGCTCCTGGTAATGTTAAATTGCATCCTGAACTCTTGGGCAAGCATCAAGCCTACGTCAAGGAGCAGCTTAACAATACCGAGAACACTAAGCCTGTTTTCTTTGTTTTTCATGGTGGTTCTGGCTCTACTGAAGCTGAAATTTCGGAAGCCGTACGCAATGGTGTCGTTAAAATGAATGTCGACACTGATACACAATGGGCTTACTGGGAAGGCCTCAGGAACTATTATGAAGCCAAGAAGGGTTATCTTCAAACTCAAGTTGGCAATCCTGAAGGCGAAGGTAAGCCTAACAAGAAATACTACGATCCTCGTGTCTTCATCCGTGAAAGTGAAAAGAACATGGCTAAGAGAGTTCAAAAGGCATGCGCTGATTTGGGTAATGTCGACAGATTGTAAATATATGAATTTAAACTATTCCATTCGTCAATTATATCACTTTTCTATCCTCATTACTACTTTCATTTCAACGTACATAAAACCCTCCTAGCGAAAAGAAACAAATATATTGTTCTTTGTCTAAAATGATAAATAAAGTCAGAGTATGGATAGCACTTTTTTAATAGTTGTTATTGGACTCTGCTACCTTCCAATTCATTCGAAACAAAATCGTCGCTATGCATTCAACAACATTACACATGTTTGTTTTTATATAACAACAGCCCCCGCTGAGTCTTGTGTTTGTCAAGAGTGTCCTGCTTGGATACTTCACGTTTGCACCGATACACATCTACTTCAGTCATCTAAAAGTTGAGCCTTATGCAAAACATACATCCGCTGACGTTAGAGTCAAGAACACATGGTGTCGATGTCCCAAACATCTGATTCAAATCCCAACAAAAAAGTCCTTCCAGCAAGAACTTTATGGTTTTCTGAATCATAAGCGTTCAAGACCTTTAAACATTCACATTCTATGATCATCGAAGTGCAAGTACACTTTCAGGAGGTCGTTATATTTTGCTTCATTGCTTTTATTTCCAGTCTGCGACCTGACATTCGCTCCCTATTTGTCTTTCTTTTTCATATCGGCTATACAATAAATTTGCGCCTAAAATGAAATCATCCAAATCACTTTATGTAGCATGGATGTATATAGTTTCAATGATTGTTAATACGGCTCGAGCATCTCTAATGATAGACCCGACTAATTTAAGCGATGGGGAAGCTTCCTTTTCAATACCTTTAGAAGCATACGCCAATAATAAAGCCTTTGGTGAATTTGGCAATTTTGATGGCATGAACAACTATTTCAAGAAATCATTACCGGATGAACAGTGGAAGCAGCTCATTAACTATTCTTTTGTAAATGAAAATAAAACGACACTCGACAATATACAGCTTACGCAAGAGCAAACAGTGACAATTGATTTATCTAAATATGATGATATGCCATTAGGTGCGTTATATATGTTGGCTTCTACAAGTCATGGGCCAGTTACAACCAATGTGATCATTGTCTACAGTGATGAAACAGAAGATGCCACTACGGTAAGCTTGCCGGATTGGCAAGATGGAATGGTAGACCAAATGGAACGGTATCAAGCAATTCGCTATTCATTATCGATTTCTGGGCGACTCGGTTCTCTATTTAGTGTGCCAATTTATGTTAATCCACATAAAAAGCCTCTAAGAATAGTGTTTCCTCCATTGATGAAAGGTGAAGCAGCACTGCACATATTCGCAATACAAGCATACAAGTCACAAGCAAAAATTATTATAACAAGTGCACAGTCGACCCAGGAAGTGGCAAATGCAGGAGATCAGCTTATTTTACTTAGACTACATAATTTAGGTACTACTTGGGTCAGAAGTTTACGAGCTATTGAGCAGACCACTGAAAAATCGTTCAAAAAAATTTCGCTGGATTCATCGAAGGCGGTACCGCCAGGCCATAGTTCAATAGTGTATGTAAATCTTGGTCAAACCAACAGTAGTGAAGCAAGTGTTTCACTAGAGTATGTCGATGATGAAGGCACTATGGTTACTACTGATAAGGTACAGGTTCCTCTCTTCGAAATCCCGACCAGATTTGAGCAGAGCCTTATGTCAGTAAGAAATCATCGCTCACCTTCTTGGTTGAAAAAAGCAAAGTTTGGCATTTTTATCCATTGGGGACTTTACTCTGTACCTGCATGGGCACCAATGGGAGAATCTTACGCAGAATGGTATTGGTGGAACTACAATCAAAAAAATAGCTCAACATTTGACTATCATCATCAACACTTTGGCGAACAATTCGAATACGATCAATTTTTAAACCTTTGGAAGCCAACTAACTTTAACCCCGATTTATGGCTGGAATTGATTGATAAATCTGGAGCACGATATTATGTTTTTACAGCAAAACATCATGATGGTATTGCATTATTTGACACAGGTGTCACAAAGCGCAGCACCGTGCATCTGTTAAATGTCTCTTACGATTTTGTCAATGAGCTTATGCGCAAATCAAAGGCTGATTATCCTCATTTGAAACGTGGCCTATACTGTAAGTGCTGAACATAAGAGCGTAGATATGATAAAGGTTAATTTAAAGATATCTGTAAAGTTTCTCTACCAGAATGGTATCACCCAAGCTATAGAGATGAGTCTCTCGGTTGGCATGGTCCACCACGTAACCCATATACAGGCGCCGTGACCAATTACTCTGGAAGCAAAACCATCAATGATTTTGTGAACGAACTGCAGGTTCCTCAGCTAATGGAACTAACCGAAATGCACGATCCAGATATCTTATGGTGCGATATTGGCGGTATACATAACTCATCTGTATGGCAAGCGCAATATTTCAATCAGGCTATGGCCAAAAATAAGCAAGTGGCCGTAAATGATCGATGTGGTGATGGTAGTGCGTCCGATTTCACTACTATCGAATACAAAAGCATAATAGACATGCCAACGCGGTTTTGGGAAGCCACTCGTGGTATGGACCCTTACTCCTTTGGTTATAACCGTGCAACAAAGCCTGAAGAGTATGCGAGCTCTGAAGAGTTGATTCAAACATTGATAGATACGGTAGCATACGGTGGTAATTTTCTCCTTAACATCGGACCAGACGATTCAGGTACAGTGCCAGATGTTATGGTGGGTCGCCTTGTAGATATAGGTAATTGGCTACACATGGTTGATTCGGCAATATTCAATACAATTCCTTATTGGATAAGAGCAAAGGAGGACGAACATCTACGATTTACGGCAAGCGAAGATGGAACTACGGTATATGTATTTTACCTTCGCAGCACGAACGATGTACAACAACGACAACAAGTAATTAAAATTAGGACGCCTTTACCCATCATAAGTAAAGGCGGCGCAACAATTCGTCTTTTAAATGACAGAAACGTAACCATATATTGGAACTATAGCACGAAAGGCGATCTTGAATTGCATTATACTAACTCTAATTTAGTTAACACAACGTATGCATTGATATTTGAAGTGAAATATTTTTAGGCTTCAACAATTATACATCGAAGATATATGAATGATGAATAAATAATGATAGCAATGAATAAATAGGTGTGATTAAAAACAAATGTCAGAAAGTGTAGATTATATATGTTAAATGCATTTATGATAGGTTAGTCTGAACCATACTCTTCACCATAATCTTCCTCCATGCCGTACAACAGATCACGTTGTTTACGCATCAAAACTTCATCTTCAGCCATATCGTCGGGATCCATGTCTTCATCATCCTCGTCTTCATCATCATCCAAGAGTGTGGTATCTTTTGTATCTGTGTCGTCGCTGCTTTTCTTCTTACTTGTTATTGCCGATATATCTCCGGACTCTTCAACTACTTCATACGGACCATTATTGGGTATCATTGATGAGCCTGTCATTCGACTAAGAGCATCCCTTGCTTTAATCTTTTCAATGGCCTCTGGTGATTCGAACATATCATCGAAAATGGCTTGGTTGATTTTTTTTGATATCTTCTTTTGGCCCATAAGTTGCTTTGCTGCTTCAGCAGGCGTTGCTGCCGGAGGTAATTTCTTCTTGACTTTACTTCTTCCTTTTCGGTGGTCAACTCCTTTTTCCTTCTGCATACTGCGACGAATAGCCATCTCTTCCAAATAGTCTTTATTTTCATTGTACCAAATTTGAGTTTTGAGTGTAACTTCTTCAGGGTCTAAGATCATAGCTTCAATTTCTTCATCGTCCACATCTGATAAACTGATATCTTCCTCCTCTTTCGATTCCACTTCTTTTTCCTCATCTGCACTTCCCTCTTCCTCTTTCTCTGTCTCTTTCTCACTTCCTTCTTGAGTTTTATTGTCTAAAGTTTTATCTTTGGCTTTGCTATCATTAAAAGCTTCGTTTTCTGTCGAATTTACACATTTATATAAGAATAGGCCTCATTAAATCTCGAGCAGTAAGTTTTAATTACCTATTTCTGTGGCTGCTTTTTTCATAGATTTATCCTCAAGCCATGTTTCCATTTCTTCTGCAATTTCTTCTGCATCCAATTCTAATTCAGGGTTGAGCAGAAGGCTTTGTGCTTCATCCTCCGTGGTTTTGCCTTTGCCTTTATTTAATTCATCCACAACACTTGATAGATCTTGTTCTGTCGCCGTATTATTCTCTATTCTATATTGATCATCGAGTTCGTCTACCTCACTTTTTATCGACGCACCTTCTGTTTCTGCATCTTCAGTAATAAGTCGATTTCTTTTAAATGAAGGAGGATCTGCTCGTTTTTCTAACCAGATAGTTCTGAATTCATGCACTTTGAGGTTAGCCGAGTCTGTTTCACCGAATTCTTGTAATCTTTTCTGAATTGTAATTTCTGCAACTTTAACAATGTATATCATTTCTCTTACAGTTCTACGAAACCCGTTCATACGTGCTGCGATCAAAAGACAAGCACCACAAATACCAGCAGGTCGTCTACCACTCGTAATCCAATCACGATCCATACGTTGTGCAATACGTACAGCGTCCTGCGCTACTCGTTGTGTATAATCGCCGAAATCCAAGGCTACTGCAAATCGAGATATATATAGTGATGGATCCACATGAGGTAAATGCAAATTGAGTACTCTGCACAGTTTCAGAAAAGTTGCACCCAATGTAAATACATTCACTTGCAATAAATCTGAAAAATCGATCAACATTTGTGCACTTTTTTCTGTTCGACAAACTGCATACAGACAAACAGCTGCGACATGATCACTCTTACGACCACGAGTGAAACGGTTTACAACCGCTAAATTGTAGTATCGTTGCGCAGAATCTCTGTATCTTTCTGGCAACCTTAAAGCATGTGCTAAATTGGCTATCTTCAAACGACCTAACGACAATGTGTCGGTGTCAGTCAAATCGAACAGAGCTAGCGTTATGTCAAAAATTACAGCTTTCCATACCGTTTTCAATCGCTTGTTCTTGCCCTTCCCGACCTCCTCTTCTGCCATAAAGGCCACCGCCAGCGATACGGCCTTAATAAAATATAAGAAATAGTTGGTTTCTACCAATGCATATAAAATCAATCGTATAATGAATGCTCTACCTGATTCACCAGCATAAGAACCTTGTAAAATGGCTTTACCACTTGAAGTCTCACCAAAGGTGACCTCTGATACAATTGTGTTCTCTTCAAGAACCTACAGAACAGAGGTACAAAATAATGTTATGAAGCGGTTGAGGAAGGCTCTCTTACTTCTGATACTTACTGTACCGCAGTCAACACAATAGCACGTTCCGGCTGAAGTGTCTGTTTCTGTATTACTCGATCCACAATTATGACAACGCATTCAGGTAGGCTGATTTCTGATTTCAAGGGAAAAAAAAAGAAGAGTACTGCCATTTTCTAAGTTACTCTTCCATTTACAATAATGGTCCGAACATATTTTAGCATTATGCCTGTCACAACTTCTCAACTTTTTTATTTTTTGTGTTGATCGGAACGAACATTTTGATTTATGGCATACAAGTCACTCAAAAAGTGAACCAAGGAACGATCAACCAAGAGAGCCGTTTTTTACACACCCCCAATATTGAATACGATCTGTTGAATTACTTCGCATTGTACACTAACGGTAGCGTTGTTGAACTCAGTATAAAGTCATGCTGATTTATTTAGAAATATCATGAAAGGGGAAGCAATAAATTTGTTGTTGTTGAGCATTTTGGTCTAGTCTCCTTTATCTCTTTTAAAAATGAAAGCAAGAAATGATTAACTTCAAAGCAATTGTTCTATCGCATACTGATGCATAAACCTATTTGATTTAAGACCTGTTTTGTTGCAAAAGTTATTAACCCACATAGTATTCTGAATAAATGGATTATTCAATACCTCAGAGGATCACAAATTAATAAATCAGAGTCTTGTTAGCAGTTTTGAAAGCATTGTAAATGGGTTTCTCAACTGCAATATTGTTGCAAGCTTAGCCGAAGTATAGTTTTTATTCTATTTTGCAGTTTTGCAGGCAACATGCCTAGGCATTGCTAGCAATTAAGATTAGTTTAAAAGTTAAAAAATTTTATTTTATTGTAGAATGCTTGAAAATGGTGTTTGTTGTAGTATTTAACGTTGCCATCTGTCAGCCAACAACTATTGATGCAACTGTACAACAGTCTTCGACCAGCAGTACTGAATTGCTGTTGTACCATTTCATTATTATCAGCTTCCCTTCTTCTCTATCTATCTTGAAAACAGTTACTAAGGTTCAAAGAAAAGGAAGTATACACGGCTGGTACTGTCAGGTAGACGTATAATATCTTATTCGCAAAAGTGAATGGACTTGATGAAAAAAGGAATATCTGTATGATATAAATCAACCAATGCCAATCTATTTTAACTGGTACCTTCTTCGCTTTTCCAACGAATTTACAACAAATATAGGAAGCACTTTACTGGAAACACATGTAATTTCAGAAAATCTGTTGCTGATACTCACTTTTTTTTATATTATAATGATACTATAATTTTGCCCATCTCCCAATTTGCGTTAACAATCTTTTATTCCAGTATTAACCCCACTGTTGGTAAAGGCTTTCTCTTTACAATTCCTTTCATTTGAGACCTATATTTAAAGCAACTCTCAGTTTAATGTCTTTTGTAAAGAAGGTTGTGTTTGAAGGTTATTTCCATCATCACACATTAATCAGTTAAAGTGACTGTCTAAAGTATAAGCATTTCATTGGTGATACTGCTGCAGCCAAATGCTCTCTTTTTCAATAGCTGTTAACTCTCCAACATCTATTTATGCACACTATTAGGAGACTTCAGAAAAGGATTCGGCTTTTATTGCAGACTTAACAAAGAACAATTATGTATACGTATTATAGAACCGGTTCATATAGCACCAATATTCAACGTATTCTTCAAGGATCTATCTCATCTGACAGAAGCAATGATCTGATCCTGATCAAAGTTAGTTTTTTCTTCACTGTTTGACCGTCGATCACGGTTGGATGATTTAATCAACATAGTTCGATACTTAGGATTATTCGTTGGAGTGGTTATCAATAAATTCTGTGGCTGAGAATCATATACCCTTATTAAGAACTCGACTTTGCCAGCCCACTTTAGGCACAATTATTGATGCACAATTATTGACCTGCCATTTAGAGGAGAAAAAGCCAGAGGCGTCAACGGAGTTCTTGGGCCCTGAAGTTTTGAATAAGAAGCAGCCTTACGCTAAAACTGTAAGAAAACATTCGCTGATCAGAGGAAATGATGTGATAGTCATGCTTTCAGAATACGGAAAGCTTGTCTTTTTAACAATCATCAACAATGAGAGCTTGGAAAGACCACGCTTCGAAACACTGTCTGAGGTAAAACGGTATTTGCACATCTAGCAGAACATTTATATCGTATAGCCGCGTAAACAACGTTATATTTTCAGATTTATCTGGATTCGCCGGGTCTTGAATACAATAAAAGAGGAAGAAAGCTAGCCATTGATCCAAGGTGATACACACGAATAATTGATCATCTGGCAGATCATGATGCGCTAAATTGTCTTTATAATTCAGCGGAAGAGCAATAGCCGTAGCTTCGTTTGAAGACAAATTTGATATTTTCATAATAGATAAATGTGTGTCAAGAACACACTTTGATCCCATCATAGGTGTAAGTCAATTTCAGCTTTGTTTTTCATATTACAAAACAGTCGCTGATTGCTTTTTTTGATAATAAACGACAGCGTGGATCAGAAACTGAAGAGGGTATCATTTGGCATATGAGTTTTCTTTATTCTGAACAACAATCTATGAGTAGAATATTGTTGGTCTTGGTCGTTTATAAGTCAGTATTGCTACCTTATTATCCATTAGACGTATCTTTGCTAATGCTCACCATTTAGTGATGTCGAACGCTTGTGTCGGTTAGTACTATACGCCATTGATGCCTCGGACACAAATAACATAACCATAGAGAAAATCAGTAGGCTACCGCTTGAAAAACGTAAGCCAAAAGTTCAATGCTGGAACATGCTTTAAATTGCTAATTGTTTTGCTTTTAGATACTCCGTCACCTTTACTTCTTATACCATTAAACTTCCAACCTGAATCGTTCTTGCTTATTACGGTAAGTGATCGATTTTAATCTATTGCTTGTATGACTTGATGAATTGATGAAAAAGTAAATATAGGAACAAGAGGCCTGCTTACTAACAGCGGATGATTTGAGTTGTGGCAATGTTTTTTATCCAACAAGATTATTACCCAGATCGTTTGGAGAGTTTGACTGTAAGGAAAAGAGGAGATTTTGCTAGGTTTGAAGAGGGTCTAATAATAAAAACAGGTGCTTTATTTACTGCATTCGCTGCACATCCGGAAAGTAGCAAGAATTACTTATACTTAGGAGCTGCAGATGGATCTCTGTATAGGGTAGAGATAGAAAATACTGGAGAAATATACTGGCATTGTGCTGGGAATGTAAACCCAATAGGACAAACGATGTGTGTAGTAGGAACTTTGAATGTAATAGAACACGATAATGATGAACGAGAAGGAGATGTACTGCTGTATGCTGGAGAGGGGGCTGATAATGAGGTTATTGCGGTAGCTATCGCTTTGATGTTTTACTTTTTGAACGCAGTGTCCACTAACTTCCTTCAAAAAGGTTTTTAATAAGCAATCTAAAAACCAAGCACTGGCCTGTAGAACCCTTCAAATTCTGGACAATTTTGCACCGCTGACTGATATGAATGTGGTGCGCGACGATGGGCACGAAGACACTCTCATTTTTTGCAGTGGTTGCGACACACACGGCTCTTTGCGAATCATCAATCATGGAGTTGAAACCTTTAAGCTTCAGTCTTCCAAACCGGATTGGAAAGGGTAAAGATATTGTTTGGTCTATGATAACATTGACATAATCTCTAAATCCTTTTTTCGAAGAATGTATCGCACATGGTCCTCTTACTCAAAATTATCGTTGGGTTCTTTGGGAGAAAGATATATATTGCTTTCGTCATTGGTAGACACGCGATTGTTAGCTACAAAAGGTTAGTACCCCGTCTGTTGATTCTCTGTCATATTGATAGACTTTTACTAAAATTCATCTTAGGTGAACATTTTCATGACATAACAGCAACATCTAAGATAAAAACGAATGAGAATACAGTTTATGCAGCGTTTATACCGGCAAACAAGCATAATATTGTCTTGCAAATTTATTCTAGCGGATGGTCTCTCATTGATTTATGCTGTGCTGGTAGGTCGTTTTCGTAGAATTCTGAAGAATTACACTCAGTCATTCATTGTTTTTCTTTAGATGTTCTTCTACAATGGGATACTGATAGCCACGTTGTATCCGCAACATCTTGGCAATCAGGTGCTTCTTTGATTATATCCGTTTGCATTGCTAATCTTGAAAGTTTTAGCTTGAATTTTTTCAAGATTAGCGGCACAATTTACTCTTCACAACATACGTAAGTGACTTAGTGTTATGCTCTTGTGTTTACTTTCAAAGGTCTTATAATTCTGTATTATACTCAATAGGTCTTTTGGCGTTGAAAATTTTATGGCTACTGATGTGGAAGCATGTCCGAGTTGTATGGAGCAGTTCTATTCCAGGTTTGTTGAAAGCATAATGAAGATATATATGTCTCAAATTAACGATAATATCATCAGTTCAAATCGTTTGCTGGTTGTTGGTACTTTTGAACCGTCTTTAATAGTATATCTAATTGATGATCAGAATGTTCAACAAATACAAAAGTTTGATATGAGTAAGTTAATCTTTATGGTTTGAATCAATAATTTTTTCAGGCTACTTATAGAAGGAATTTAAAGCCAATTCACCCTTAGACGTGTATTCTGTACCCAGTTCCATGGCAATGCTCCAGACACCAACAAGGGAGAAATCGTACCTTTTAGTTGGGTTAAAGCAAGGTTCTATTTTAACCTTTCAACTGATTATGTCAGATCAGGGAACCCCTAATCTGAAACTTATGCAGGATACATGCTTCTCCATACTCAATATCGGTACATGCTCTGTACACCTTACACCATGTTTGCAGAACGATCTTAGTATATACGCCTTGTCTGATGATCTTTGGAAAATTAGCTGTTGTGATATTGACAAACTCTCAACCGACCGCGTTCTTTTACCAAAGTTTAATAGTTCGGTTGACGCGTTTATTCCTTTGGGCTGTGATTCTGATTCGAATATTTATGCAGACGAAACCGCAGCTTTACTTGTTGATGATAAGTTGCATATATTTCAACTATCAATAAACGCCAAAATGAATACTTCAAAGATAAGGCTCGGAGAGGTACTACGATACCAACTTGAACAGTGGCTATCTCATCTGCTTTACAGCTGACTCTTGCTATTTTTATAGACGCCTCGACGTGTGATCTATGACAAATTGCTTAATTATATCGTTGCAATCACGACAACTTCTGATTCAGGTGCTCTGAAGAGCTATATTAACTTGCTAGATCCGATTAATGGGCAGCCGCTGACTGATAGCTCCTTGATTTCAAACGATAATCATATTGAAAATAGTTCCAATACAGTACTTTCCGCCGCAGGTGAGCAATACTATAGATTCCGTCTTTCATGCTTACGGTGCTGCTTACTTAATTTTACTTTTTATGGAAATGTTAGAATGGTTAATTGAAGCCAACGGTAAATTATACACATACCTTTGCGTCGGCCTTGGCCACACAAAGCCATCATTATACTCTTTCAGGACGAAACTTGCAAAATCTTTTCTGGAAAGAGGCACATTACTTGTGTTTAGATTGAAACTAAAGAAAAAAACAGCAGCCAAAAAAACATCGGGAAACTATTTAATGAAGCGTGTATGGTCCCAAGAGCTTTCTCAAGGGGGTGTGTATAGTTTGTGTCCTCATGCTGCTGGGTAAATTTTCATGAATCATAAACTATATAATTGACAATTGAAACGATCCTTTGGCTTATTTGTCATTACGTAGGCTTTTTTGTTCCGCCGGGAAGTACCTTCACTTGTACAGGCTTAATCTTGACAAAGGCAATCTTTATGAAGTTGCAGTCAAAACTTTTCCTTATATTATCACATCAATATACGAAGTTAACGGTCGTATATGTGTGACCTCTCATAGGGGACCCGTTTCGTTTTACTATTACGATACCGAAGCAGAGAAGCTTAAGGAATATAAAAGGTTAGGATTTTAGGCATTAGGAAAATGTTGTGACTACAGAAACTTTACTGATTTCTACTTGTTCTTCACAATGCTTAGCGATGTTATCCCACGAAGTATACATCATTCTTTAATGTTAAATGATCGACTTGCAGTCGGTGTGAGCCAATCCGGTGGCGTAGTTGGGCTTTATGATAATCCAGATGATCCGCTCTATGAACGCCGTTTGCAAACTTTATTCTGCTTTCATTATCCGGATATTTTAGTCAGACCATCGTTAGCTGTACTTAGATCAACAGTAGATCTTAATGGCTCAGGAAAATTTGCACAGTACATCTTACCGTGGTCGCAGGTTTTGACTGTTGATGATATGAATATAAACGATAAAAACAAGAAAGAATCGCAGTTAGTGAAGCCTGTTGTATGTGGGACTGTATCTGGTGGATTAGTATATATTTATCGCATCAGCCCTTTGCTTTTCGATGCCTTGAAAGTTTTGCAAAGGCTTTTGTTACGATACGAACCTACCAAGCCATTATTGGGTACAGCGGAGGATTTTGAACATTGGTATAGTAATTTGTCTGGAACGGAAACATCATCTATACACGGAGACGTCATTGAGTCGTTCTTGAGGTTATCACCAATAGAGCAACTAGAAATTGTGAACGGTGTACGGGAGAGTGAAGAGATACGCAAGGTATTCGAGCCATTGCTTATAAATAGCGATGTTGATTATGGCGTAGAACAGGCTTCAGCTATAGTGAACTTTATCAAAGATATGCTTTTTGACTTTCAAACATTCCGATAGTAATAAAGTAAACATTATTTTTTGGTTACATTGTAATTTATTAAATTGGTATCTCATGCTTGCCGAACTGAATATGATATCAACATTGAATCTTAAGAATGGGCAATTATGCCCCATAATAATTTTATAGACGTATGAAACAAGCAATTCCTCTCAAACAGTTGCATCTATGACACCTTCAATCCTTGGCACAAGCAAATAACAAGCAAACTATGTCATGAAGATTACAATAACAATACTGGCCACAATAACATAGTTCATAAACATACTGTTGACGATATCACTTTTGAGTCACAAATAACAGTATGAATAACCACCTTTTACTTCAACAAAAAAATTAAAAGTAAAAAAACCTATTAATAAACGTCAAATTCAAGGTCATAAACGATATAACTAGCTTCTATAAACTACTTTCCACTTCGAATAGCTGTAAGTGAGCTACTTAATTTGAATTACCAGATTGGTCATGCTGCTAACTTGCTCACGATTATTTTAAAGCACCCTTTTAAACCTACCAATCGGAAATATCAAAACAAGTATAATCACGTTTTAACTAACTTAATGCTTTGTAGTTTATATAATAGAAAATTGAAGATTGATGTGCGTAATACGAGTTTTAGGCAAAAGTCAAGTAGAAAAGGCCAAGAACAATTTATTGTGCTAGAGTGTATTCAGCAATGAGACTCAATATTGCATTCCATTCAGAGTAATATTAACCAAGCAAATGTATTCCAAGTTATCAGGACGTTAACTTTGCTAAGGTACTACCCTGTCATGATCTTTTGAGATAACCCAGTCTATCATAATGAGACAACAACTTAGAAACAACTAGGGTTCATACACTCATGGGTTTCATGGTTAATAACATACTCTTACTGGAACACATATCTTACTAACTTAAAGTATTTGTTGTATACGATAAGAAAAAGTATAAGAAAAAAAACAAAAGGAAATCAGTGAAGACCAAGTTATCTTCTTTTATTGAGTAGAATATTCTGATATAGAATTGAAGACAAAAACCATGTAGGAAAAAAGTACTTCTATTTATATTTGTGGATATTGTAAAAAACTTTTTCTATCGAGACTCTTATAGGTACAAGATGACCTGATGACAAAAGAAAAGACATACCCAATTGTTACTGCACGGTTCATCATGCTATAGCGGTGCCTTGACCGATTGGATCGGTGACAGGAGGTAAGTGGGTTGATCTAACTAAAGGTTCCTTTGACCCGTACTTCAGCAGTTTCATTATAACTAACGTGACGGACAGGATAAACTATTCCTTAATTCTGCCGACGTCTACGTTTCAGTCTTATTGAATTCTGTCAGAATGTAAAGGGTTAAAGTAAGGATCAACAAGTTAGAAGATAATAGCTTAATTAGATTAGATTTATGTATTGTGGTTTGATCTGCTAAATAAAGTTATCTGATTTTAATCAAATCAAGTCAATTATTCATCCAATGTTGTCTCGGATATACAGATGAAATATTCTTCCGTAAAAGAAAAGAATTGTTCTAACAAATCTATCACTCACGGTTATTCTAACCTTCATAAGGATCCGCAATCTCTTATTTCAGTATTATGTAATAATCCAAGAGTAATATGCTGTTGGATACAACAGTATTAAAGACCTATTCCTCAATGAATGAATAAAGGGTAACCTTTTTGGCAGTCTCGTTATTTTTTACTTTGATTGTTATTATAAAACATAAATCACATACCCTAAGAATAATACAGTATCTGTCAAGAGCTATTGAAACAAGGAGCACTACGGTTCATACACGCAAAGGTATTACAGTTAAAATATTCTCTCTGAGAGACATGTCTCATTAACTTAAATATAAAAGACCTGTTCCTTAATGTATGAATAAAGAACAAGAACCCTTTTGGCAGTCTCGCCTAATGTTACAAAACGAAAAACTTGTCGTCATCTATCTATTATTTATATTCCAATTCGCGCACATTCAAACCGAGCCGAACATCACGTGCTATAATTACTCAAAACTTGCAGCAATATTTATATAACAAAAATTTAATATTGATATGATTAATATCGTGAATGAGAGTTATAAACTTCAGGTCAAGTTTATAGTACAAAAGTTAGAATCAGGTAAAGGCCTCGTTTATTGTTTAGGTCAAATTATTCTTTATACGCTTTCTTAATTATATTTGCACACCTTATTCTCTCTATCAACTCCGATTTTTGAGATACCCAATCGACATTATGAGCCACTTTCAATCACGTGACGGAGTTCTAGTTATTACCACGACAATTATTTACCATAAAATCAATATTATTACGTTTGCGGTGCTTTTGCGTAGAAGGTTTGGGTTAAAACAAATAGTAAATGTTATATACGTGAATGTATATAACGGTAAATAATTATAATTTGAGAGTAAGTAAGCAAAATATGTTTCTATCGAAAGGAGGATATAAGAAATTTAACTGGTTGTTCTTCTTATATTATGAATAAACTAACTATAAATGATTGATCGTGCAAAAATGTAGATCAATACTAAAAGAATCAAAAAAAAAAATATAAACTAATCAAAACGAAGTAAACAAATCAAAATCCTGAAATATAAAATAAAACTTGAAATTAACGAAATTCCAATAATCAAAATAAAATGTTTATAGTAAAATATGAATGCCCAAAAGAAGAGAGAGTTCCTAATATCAAGTTATGGATAGAATTTATACTAAAATTAATATGTATATCGATGTATGTAATTATGTAAGTGACATTTAAAGTCCGTATTAAATATTTGTCTTCAATAGTGTACGTGATCTTGTGCCGGACTGCTGGGGGTTACTCCGGGCCGAACTTATCAATTCGGAAGGCGAATTCTTACAATCTTTTACGCCACGCATCAATATTATTACGTGTGTAAACCTGCTACTATGCAAATACTAGTAACTATATCAATTGACAAGATTTGTAATAGACCGACTGTAAAAATCCAGGGACAAATTCAATAAATATAATGAGGTTAAACGTGTAGATTCTTTTTATACAAGCAATCAAATAAACGTAATGGATGTATCTTTCCAATCGGATGGATAGAAAATAATAATAATAAGACTAAAAGTTCAGTTCTCTCTTGTCAGGAAGAGAGCTCACGCGTCTACTTCTAAGTTATACGATTTAACTTCCGATCTACTATGATATCTATAAATCGCTCCTTGCATTATATAATAATTTTCTTTACAATAATTTCTAATGATTTATCACGTGTATTCTATTAGTTTAACTCCGAAAGACCTTGCTGTTATTCGATAACTCCGAATTCCACATCTCACAATATATACAGTCCTCAATGGTCCAGTGGCTAGGATCTGTCGCTTTCACCGACATGGCCGGGGTTCGATTCCCCGTTGGGGAATTTTTTCCTTTTACTTTTAATGCTTACGTTTTTCTTGTTTTTACATGCTCACATGTGTCTTTTTTCAAAAGAGATTAAAATATGTCCAACTCCTGTCGCACACTGAGCTTACAATAGAACAAGGGTACTCTTGTAGATAAAAAGATGATTCTGTATTCTATTCAGAAAGTTGTGTTCCTTTTATATATTCAATCACCGTTATAGAATGACACTTTTTAGCCAGCTGTTTTGCTCAATCTAAGACTACCAAACGATGACGCATATACAGAGAATTATACACCAGAATTAGTAGGAAATATCGCTGGTATACGATTACTAATGCCGAAGCTTGGTTTATTGAGAATGCTTTGCAACATCTTCAGTCCTCGGTTACCCTAAAAGGTCACTCTACAAAGTGCAGAGCCTCTATCCCAGCAAGACACAGTCTAGTTGCCTTGCTGAAAATAGATAAAATAAAATCGGTGATAATTATCTGATAGCTTTTATGGAGAGAATTCAAATGGGCTAAACGAGCTTGCTAGCTTACTTCTATAGCTTGCTTGCTCGTCCATGGAGTTTGATACCCAGCAAATATCGACACTAAAGACTCATACAGAGATTAAGTTATTGCCAGTAAGTTATATATGGATATTCTTATTATCATTGAGTGAAAGTCGCAGCAAAACCAGCTTTTAACTCTAGGTTGGTCTGTGGCTTTTTCTTAACTCAAGAGTGCAAAAAATCTGCTTTTTGAAAAACTTATGAATGATATCGTATGGGATGGCGAAATTGATTTTGCACATACAGCAATAATACTTTTCTATTGCTTCTATATCATTTTTTACAAAATTTTGTAATGAGATCAACTTTTTTTGGGTGCGTAACATGGTAATTTTGGCGGCTACGGCTTGAATGTAGGAACTTTTCAAGGCTGCAAAGTTAGTCGCGGCTTCAATATGTCACTCCCATTTCCATCTGATTCATGCATTTCTGATGAATTTGCTAAAATCTTTCGGATCTTACATTCTAAAAATTGTCATGGAAAAATCGTCTACGAGGAAGCAGTTGACAAAAGAGCAACTGGAACTTATTGCCAGCAACAAAGCCAAGGCCTTAGAAAGACTCAAGGCTAAACGAAGAGTTAGGGAAGCAGAGCAAGCAACTACAGACGCATCAAATAATCCGGATAATGTCGAAAAAAAAGATGCTGCGCCTCAACCGAAGAAAGCAAGGTGGATCAAATCTTACTATGAATACGATTTGAGTAAAATGATGGATTCAAAAGGTGGTTATATTGTTGATGAAAAAGCAGAAGGGAGAGAATTGCAGAATAAGAAAGACAAAACGTATAAAGTTGAGCCTTACTTTCGTAAGTGAAATAGTTTCTCTGTATAAATTGTGCAAAATTGACATGAGTGCCATTGTTGATCGCATGTGGTTGTTGTAGCACCATCATTACTACCGCAAGAAAATCCAAAGTGCAAAGAGTGCAGTTCCATGGATTTGGACCCTATTTTTTTCAACGTATTTCATATATTGCTCTGTCCAAGTTGCAAAGAGAAATATCCAGAAAAATATAGTCTACTTACCAAAACAGAGGCTAAAGAAGACTATTTATTGACAGATCGTAAGCGTATCAGATGTTTTGCACAGATTGGTGAACATAAATTTTTTAACGTTAGTTCTCTGTCTCTCCTACCTTTTAATACATTCCAACTACCCAATATAACAGCTGAATTGAAGGATGAAGAATTATTGCCGCATTGGAAAAAACCTAACCCTCATAAGTCGACCTGGAATGACATGATGTTATACGTACGAGAGACAGTTGAGGAATATGCATTTAAGAAATGGAATGGTCCAGAAGGTTTAGATGCAGAGTATGAAAGACGACAAGCACAGAAAAAGGAGAAAAAAGAGAAGAAATTTAAAGAGAAATTAGCAGATTTGAGAAGGAGAACGATGACTAGCGAATGGGAAAGGAAACGTCAAGAAGGGCCGCATAAGCATGAGTTTGGTGAAAGCGTGCAAGATAACGTAGGAAATACGACACAAACCTGTAAAACTTGTGGATTGGTAATTGAGTCTGAGGAGTTTTGAAATGTTGGTAGGAATATAATATTTCCCACCTCTTCTGTTTATGGATGTGCCCTCCTTGTTTGCCTTTTCTTGTCTGATCCTCGTGGACGATGATTGAGTGGTAAATCTTATAGTGTCATTAACAGCACTACTTCCGTTATTCGCGAAAAGAAAACAGACCCCTTGAACAGTGCCGTCTGACTTTTAGGCTACTTTACCCTGCATGATTTGCCATCACAACATTTGCTTTGAGCATATATTTTAACAACTGTACATTACTATCTTTTTATTTCTGTTAATTTCTTATTTCTTTTACATGTTTTTTCACAAATCTTAATAGCAAGCAAGAAATATTTTTTTAATTACTTAAAAATGCGGTTTACTTATTACCTTAATGCTCTGAGATTGTTAGCGTTCCTAGTTAGTTTGGTCACATTGATCTGTCATGTATCCCAATGCATTCTATTCGGAGCCTACCGGGCAAAAGTGAGTGTTTTATAGAATACAGAGGGAAAATCCTGTCTTTATTGCTTGAAATCTAACATACCATTGATTTGGCCGTTTAATCATTGGTGATGGTAGACAAATATACCAGACTGGTTAACAGCTGGGCATTACCAGGTGAAAAGTCTGCATAAATTAACAAACAGTAAAGCTAGACTCAAGGCGAACTAAACTGATGAAGAACCACTTTATAGTATCTTTTGTGGTATATTTCCTTAACAATATCCTTCTTGGGCAGTTCAGCCATTTGTTTTTCTGCCACTTACACCCGGTATCGTAAAAAGCCTTCTATGGCGGCAAAAACGCCCACTTTCTACAGTAAAAATTATTACTCAGCTGAAAAATGGTTAGGATTAATGTCTTTCCTACCAGTCCTATGCTCAACCATTACTGTAGTAACTGTGAACGATCAATCTTTGCTTGAACCGTGGACGAACAACCTTATTAAGATTAACAGGACACCACTAGCGTTATTCAGTAGCTGCCATGCGTTCGATATTAACGTTGATCAAAACTATCCATTACTTTTACAAAGGTAAATACGAAAGGACAGGAGAAAACCTTAAGGAGGCAGAGAAAGATTCCTGATTAAGGACTGACAAAGAGAAAAGATTGAAGCCTACTATTTAAAGACCGTTGCATACCCTAGAATTAATTCATTGTCTTCAACTTTAACGATCACAGATGTATTTTGAGTGATATCATATGTTCATTAGCAATTTCACTGTGTGTAATATGGTTTATTTTGGTTTGCTTCGCATTTTTGGCACCAGCTTATATTGGAAACGATGAGGAATTAAATCAAAAAATCTCAACCTTGGCAGCTCTTGACCAGCACCGATCAGCAATGAAGATGATATTACATTGTGGAATTGGTGGGTCAGAGCCTAATTGGGGAAGATATATGCCTGATCCTCCATCAACTGTTTATTCTACTGTAACACTTAACAGCAGGACCGGACTGTTAACACCTATATCCAATTTAACAAAAGAGAAACACCTTGAATTCTACGCGAAAAATGGAAAATACTACTACACTGAATCAGACAACAAATTTAATACGGGATTATCTTCCTACAACTACGATGACAAAATTGGTGACTACAACTACTATTGCGACAGCAACAGCTTTAATAATGAAAAGAAAACTTCAAAAGATTATTATACGAACAGCGCCAACTGGGCAAAAGATCGAACAAGCGTCCTCTCAGCACCAGCTTATAGGACACCGTCTCCCCTTCAGAAAGCTGATAATATCGAAGAAGACAATTCTAAAACTTCAAGCCTTCATCAGCATTACCCTGTTGATTATATCGAGAAAAAAGCACCTCATACCATTAGCAAAGAACAACTGTTACATAGCTCCGATATAGATTCTAACAGCGAAGACGGTAAGAGTGATGAAGAGGACAAGAATGGCATAGTCGAGGGTTTGACGGTCAGTAACAAAACAAGCGCAACATATGCTGAAAAGACAACATCTACACCGCTATATAGTAAGTTCAGTGCAAAAAGTTTTCAAGATTTCAAATTACTCTAGAAGAATCACGGTGGGTAGTTACTATATATATGACAGTACCACATCACTATATAACACTCTAAAAAGTTTATAAAAGAGTCTAACAGAACTGACAGCTTGTGATGTACAGGCTCAGCAAGAGCAAAAAATTTATCTAATAAGATCTTGTAATAACAATAAATACTTGACAGATTGGGCGTTGTTTTTATATACGATTTAATGATTTAGCCCTTCTATACTGTAAATTGACAGGACGCTTATGAGTTCAGTCTACGGAGCATAAGTAAAGGAGAGATTTTTATGAGATTGCTTAGTAGGAGATTTCGTACGGCATTATTTATGACGACAAACTGTTAGATACGGGAGTAAGATTGAGAGAGAATAAAAGTAGTATTGCCAAATTAATACTTCTACACTATTTTGTTAGAGCCATTATTCCTGGTGAGTTAAGCACAGGCACAACCATTCTCGGAACAACCATTCGAGTTTTTCCCCATAAATTGACAAACAGCGATACAGCCTTCATTATTGTTGCCTGTTCTACAGCTACCTAACCCAACATTAGTGCAGTAACATCTTCCAGTGATACACATAGGCTGCAATTGTTCGGGGCCACAAGCATATCGACAGCGGATATCATCTGTTGCTAAATCACATTCACCCTTTTCGATAACAATGGGTTCATTCGCTATTACATACGATACGAGTTTACTTGTACTCAGTAGCAGTACCAATACTTGTGACACAGAGAACATAGTTTCGTACGGCTCAAGCGTTTTGTTTGTAGTATAAAGCCTTATTTTGACGTTTATGAAGTACCCTGTTCTTGAATTCAAATTATAATAAAATGAAACAAGAAGGGTCAAAAAGGGAGAAGCTCATATCTATCAAATTATATGGCTGGTTTATGATAGTAGTTCTACCTGAACATCGCATACTCGATCATCATTTCCATATATATGAAAGGTTATGATGGAGGCAATATAAACTAAGGAGACAATCTATTAAGCTTTTAAGGAAAGCTTAAAATGAAGACTTCTCGGTCGAGACATATGATAACTACAAACCGTAGCTAGTGTTGAGTTTTATTATTGGTAGATTAGGAAAAAGAAAAAGAAAAAAAAACTTGAGAAGCGCAAAGAAAAGATGAAAGTAATAGAGCAAAACAAATCAAAAAGTTGTAGCATTAGTAATAAAACAAGAAAAATAGGCACAGACTGATGATTATCGATGCAAGATGGATAGTATTGGCCGTAAATTATAGAAGCTAATATTTACATAAAGGATCAAAAATGAAAGCAAATGTAGAGTAGTAGGAGGTGGCAAGCGAAAAAATAACACGGAGAAAGAAGAAGATAAAGACATCGTCTTGTATTTTTATGTAATACAGTTACACTGATCATCCATACAGAAACCAATAAAGCTTGGTGACATGTCTTGGCATAAGGCATCGCAGGATTCATGGTCATCTTCTTCACACTTTCCAATTTCTGTTTGCTCTGTACAGTAGCATTTGTTAAAGATGCAGTTGCCTCTGCTATCTGGCACAAAGTTAGAGCAGGCAAAATTACAGTCCGCTGAGTCACCTTGCTGTTTACAGAGCGCATAGTCGCTTAACTCTATTGATTTTGTTGTTGTAGTCCTCGCAAAGTGTGCTATAATAGCATAGATCGAAAATAAGCATAAATGTGACGGGGCAATGGAAATTTTCATTTCTTTAAGCGGGTTGTTTGATGATTATCACGGCGCTGTGCAGGTTTGTGCGGAAAGATTACTAAGAGCTTTATACTTCTAACGATGTGAACTGGAATGGAAAAGCTGCAAAACAAAATTCTGACTCGTAACGTACAGCAGATAAAGACAATTACGGAAGGAAGGGAGGAGGATGTTATGCAGTATTTATAATTTTCAGGTTAATTCCATAAGACGGCGAACAGTAACAATGAAAGCACGCGTTACGATTACTGTTAAAGAATAGACTGTCTTACAACTGCTGCTGACGATTTTACATGAACATTCTACAATTTCTGTCAAGCTCCAACTTTATTTCCACAGTTAATACATCTTATAGCAGTTGTAATTCATAACATTTCCGTCATCAATGAATACTTAACAGTTTAAGAGGTAGTCTTTTCGTATATAATTAAAGGCGCAAAACTTTGCGAGAAAGATAAAACGCTAGAAAAACTTTATTTAATGCTGTTAGTCTGTAAAGCATAGGTATTGCTGTTAATTACACTGTGAAACACTTCTTGACGTTCTAGAGTTTCCTTTCCCCTTATGCTGATCGCATTATCCTAAAGCTCTATAGTTGCTCTAGTACTCGTACAAGCGATTACCAAATTGCTTTCAGTAAACCTTTACTGCCGTCGAGATCTTTCATAAAAAACGCATCTCGAATGATAAGGGACAACTGCCTCTGTGCCTTTAAAGTATTTAAAAGAGATCGTATCAAACTCATTTTATACAATGAAAACGGTAAATTTTGTGTCTGCGCGAAAATTGAATGCCAGTAACCAAAGAACAAATGTCATTCTCCAAAAACTAATAGCATCAAGCCAAAAATGATGAGATGAACTGGTTGTTTTTTGCAGGCATTTTCTTTAGATACTTTAAGTTTCTTACGCATAGTCAATAATCAAAGTGTCTCATTTTCGACTAAAAAATTGTAGCGGTACCATCCTTGTCATCAACCTTGTGTATAGCAATTTAAACTCGACTGACCTCGTTGTCGATCTTGTAAATAGTAGTTTAAACTGAAGCGAGAAAAGCTAGTTAAAATGAGACACTTTGATTATTGACTATGCGTAAGAAACTTAAAGTATCTAAAGAAAATGCCTGCAAAAAACAACCAGTTCATCTCATCATTTTTGGCTTGGTGCTATTGATTTTTTGGCTATAGACATTGAATCTTCTCAGCGACAAAATTCATTACTACGTATAACAAACGAAGATCCTTTGGGCATTTTCCAATGTTCCATTGGTGAAAATTTACAATTATTGTTACATCTTACAACGTGATTTCATTCAGAAAAGGAGAATTGAAGGATGTAGCACATAAACTTTAATAGTGCAATGGCTAATTCTCGCTTGTTGCTGCATAAGAACTGTTTACAGACTTATTCCTCGTATTTATTAAAGATATATGAAAAATTCATTTTTTTATTATACCCAACTTTGTCACTACAAATCCCAGGTGATTTTCAAAATTTCCCTTTTAACAGTGCTTGAGCTTTCAAACACCTTTTCATATTTCATTTTGTCACCATCGCTGTCCTTGGTTTTTGCTAGTAAACCACAAAACGGTAGGATACCACCACCTACACCAAAATATACAGTTTTCGCGGCAACATAACTATACCATACAAATAATTAAAAAAAAAAAAAAAAGTTTTCTGTGAGTAAAGGAGAAAAAATGCCGTTTTCATGTCCTGGATCTGAAATAAGTTACCAGACACCATCAGGTTTCTTAAGAGCTTTTTGGAAAACATTAATCAAATCAGGCAAGGTTTGTTCTGCGTAAATCGTTTCAGATGTAACAATCATATCGTACTTTTCATTATGATCGATATTCAGTTGTTCCTATTTGAATACGATTAAAATATACTGGTCAAAAGTCATTCTTTTGATTGTAGCCGAACGCAGAAAATCAACAACTTACGGGTAGAGAACCCCAATCACCAAAGTAAGCTTTAGTACGTAGGCACACTCGATTTAACATCTGTGGAATATCTTCCGGTAAAATCTCTGCTTCTGCATCACATGTGATAGCTTCCTCTTCGATTTGCTTATCTTCATCATCGTCTTCATCATCTTCCTCTTCCTCACTTTCCGAATTTAAATTGTCGTTGTTGCTTTCATCCTCCTTTTCTTGAACTGTTGTTGTATTATCAGAACCAGGTTGCTGAACATTTAGTACTGTATTCAATAAAATGTTTGGTATAGTGATATATCGAATGACTTGCTCATTATAATCTTGTACATCAACTCTGTTGGTACTGCTATGTGACAATAAAAATAATGAAGGAAGGGACGAACCACATCCCAACTGGTGATGTTGTGAAAAAAATAGATAAAAAAAGATAAAAAAAGATAAAAAAATAGAATGTAAATACACTAAAGGCAATGCATTGCACCAGCTCGAACGTGCAAGCCTACCTCTAGTACACGCTTATTACTGATCTGCTCTTCAGGTAAGCTCGATAAAAATTCAACCATATCTACTGAACACTCCCAAGTTTTGAAGCCTCCTTCGTAGACACCTTTGATCAAATCCGAATTATCCGTCAAATTTAACATATCTGCAACTTTTTTTACTTCAGTATCAGTATCTTCATCTGCTAGAGAATCCTGCTGTGCCATTTGAAATTTGACATCGGCCAAAGTACGTTTAAAAATGGGTATCTGTATATTTTTGACATGAAGGATGTCTGCTTGAATGACACTTGGTAAAGGTGAGGACTGTCACAGGCAAAAACAGATATACAGGGAATTTCAGTTCAGCTTATTTCAAAGGTAGGAAAGCGTCTTTCGTATACTAAACAAACTTTACGAGAATATCATATTGTTGACTCGTGACTTTTTCGATGTCACTGGTCTCATCGATGGAGAGATCGTGAAGGCTAGTTTCAATTTGTTGATTTTCTTCTACGTCTTCAAGATCTAAATCTTCAGTCTTTTGATGGGAAACAGATAAGCGTTCACCGTTTGAGTACTAAAACTGCTTATTGCTCACCGTAAAGTTAAACTTGAAAGCCATCTGGTTTATTGGTGATATGCAGCAAAATTTAAATACTCAAAACACACTGCTGGATTTACGATTTTTGGTCAACATGAACACTGTCTGCTTATTACCTAAGCCACCGACAGAGGCAAGATTCTCGACAAGGTTGCAGTGGCCGAAAATTACAACTGAAAGCAGCGTAGACGATAAAATAATCGAGGTATTCCTTATAGACCGATTCATGAACAAGGAAGTATTGAAATGACCTTTTATGCATATGATCCAAATAGTAAAAGACCACAAGTTAGCTTTAGGTTTCAGATCCTCCTAGGCGAATTTTCAAGCAATAACTTCTGTTTTTTAATTATTGTTGGTCAAGGATGAGCACGCTTTTCGTTGCGAAACTAAAATGCGCAAAAGAAAACAGTTAATTTGTTAATCTCCAATTGATCCTTCTGAGACCAGCAGAATCAAAAATTATACTACGTTAAGTAAAGAGAACGAAAATACAGAAAAAGAACCTTATTGAATGTTTGCAAAGTAAATGTTACTGCCTTTATTTTCAACAACTGTAGTTTCCGATGTTAAAGGAATTTTCTGCAGTTCTACGCTTGTTTCTTAAACAAATTTCGCTCTGGAAATTTTCAACGACGTAAATAAAAATGAATGTTATGTAAAGTTTAGCATAGTGATCATGAGGGTATCCTGCCGATAGTATATTTATACAAGGGTTGTGGTTGATGTGGATATATATGTTTGTCAGTCGTTAAAGTCTCGAAGATGGCTTAAGCTTAAGGGTTTTGACTGAAGGATGCCAATTGATCTTGAAGCTGATGTATCTTTATTTTGTATTTCAACTGTCGAGATTTGAAACGGAAAGTATCGAGTTCATGCTTGATCTTTCGTTCTTCGTGCTTCTTAATTTTGCGTTCACTTTTCGCTATTTTTCGTTCTGTGTTTTTTATCTTTAATTCGAATTGTTTGACTTCATAGGTGTACTTGGCTGTCAAGGCCGCTAAGCGAGCAGCTTCCATTTGATTCTCAGCCAGAGGAAGATGCACGTTTTTATCACCAGTCTGAACAAAAGTAGTATCATTTTGAGTAGTATCGATGCGCGGAACTTTCACACGCAAAGCATCTTTACTTTCATTGAGAACCTTCGCTGCTGCTTTTGATACCATATTCTTACTTGTAGCTGGCTTGAAGATAGGCTTTTTAGCTGATTTATGGAGGTTCATGTCTGTACTATCGCTGGCGTTTGCATGGTTCTTGTTTCGTCTACTGAATCGTCGAATAACAACAACAGGTTCAGTTTCAGCAAAGCGAGACGGGGAATGGAGCGATATACTCGTTGTTGCAGTAGAAGTAGGAACAGTTGTAGGAATGGAAGGCACGCTTTTGGTAAATAATTGTTGACTGGGAAGTCCAACATTGCTGCTAACGTTGGAGACTGGTCTGATACTCAACGTATCTGAACTATCTGCTAGAGGGCCAATAATGCTTGTACTATGAAGCTCCTCTCCATGTATCGTACTTGATGCTTCTGGTCTTTCAGTTTGGGTTGAGGTGCCATCGGCAGATTCGCCTGAGTATGACATAGACTCAAACATTTCATCATCAGTGGTATCGGCTGAACAAGTACCATGACTAACAGCAGTACTGGCGAAAAGACGCGTATGAAGCTCAGACCGCGGAATTTGAATAATGTTCGAGTCTACAGTTGAAGAAACGATGGAATTATTGGAGCTAACGGATGAGGATGCATTAGGAACAGGAGCTGGCTGTGCATCATCACTGCTATAGAAGCTACCGGATGAATCATCGTCACTATCAGTCAAATCGGCTGGTATAACGCATGGAATGTTTAAGACATCCAAAGCTTTCGTCCCTTCATCTTTACAGAAAGGCCAATCGCCCAATGCTTCTGCAATAACCGGGAATTCGGGATAGGCTCCTATTAAAAAAAAATACAGAACTCTGTTTTAACAGATCGTTTTTTGTGTTTGATTTTATTTTATCTCATTTTATGTTGGCTGTAGGAATGTGGAGAGCAATAGTTTGCATCAACACTTACCTTTCAAGCTTTCCATTCCATCCGAACGCTGCATATCAGCGGCGGTCAAGTTTGGGTTCGTAACATAGTTTCTTAGTCTTCGGCGCGCTTCCTCATAGTCACGTTTGATACGTTCAACAGCGTGAAGTAGGCTAGAATAGGAGTCTCTAGGAGTTACTCCTAACTTTGCAAATTCAGCTCTCATATGCGATATAACTCTTCTTTGGTTTCTGCCAATCTCTTTGAAAAACTTTCCATTGTCTTCTGTGAGCATTAAAACGGCATGCTGGTTAGAGTTAAGCCCATCGGCAAACATGTCAGCATCGTTTGTCCAGCTAATTCTGGAAGGTCTTTCAGTATATGGTTTAGCAACTTGGCTTCTTCCGCGTAAGGAATAGGTCTTGGAAGGTGGGCACTTTATAGGCATTTTCACCAGTGTCGCGTAGTGATAGAGTTTTAAAAAAGAAAAAGAGAGAGAGCGCGTACAAAGGTTGTGTCGAAACTATTCAGGGAGAAAGTTTGTACGACGCAAAAGCACAGCTTTTTAGTTCTCAAGACTGACCCATTTTGATATTGCTGCTGAACTATTAAATCTGCTGGTTAGCTTCAAGAATCTTTTCAGTGCGTTTATCGAACGTTTTTATATACGAAGCCGAGTTTATGATTTTTTGAGCTGCATTGTTTAGAGCGATTTTCAGTTCAAATGCCAAATTTACTCCCCTTTTTTCCATTTCAATTTCCAATAATCAGTACGATTCCGAGCCTCACCAAGAATAAAGTGAAGAACCAACTTAATAGCTGCCTCTTCTCGTGGACAACAGAGCGCGCATTTCACGTTCAATCAAACAAAATGATACAGCAACAAAAGACCACACGGATAATGCCATACCGATATCAGTAGCAACATGCCAACGATCGTGTCATGCCAAATTTTCGAGGGTGCATAATCCTTCTCTACTTTATTCGATTCTCTGATTAGGAAAACTACCTAACACAACAATATCTAAGCAATATTCCTCCAACTTCTTCAGAGCTTGTTTGATTTCCTCATCTTCATAATGACCCGAACATTCAACGAAGAATACGTAATGCCACAGACGTTGGCCGTTTGGACGCGAATCAATTTTGAACAGATTAAGGCCATAGTCTTTGAACACTTTCAGGCCATCACATAGGGCACCGGGTTGGCGGTGATCTACTGTGAAGCTGATAAGTGTATGATCATCTTTCGTTGGTGAATCACTTGCTGTACCAATAATTAGGAAGCGTGTCGTATTAGCTAAAATCGCAGAATCATATTATAGCAATCAGTAATTAGCTCTAATGCTTTCTTTCTTCCACTTCCTTTACCTGCAACATCCTCAATATTTTTTGCCACTACTTCCAGCCCGTATATGTCAGCACATATCTCACTACATATTGCTGCAGCTCCTGTTTCAAGAGCCGCCTTTTTAGCAGCTTCTGCTGTTGACTGCACGCTAATGCGTCTAGCCGCGGGCAAATGTGTCGACAACCATTTTTGTGTTTGCCCTATACCTTGTGAATGACTGTACACCTTAGTGATATCCTCTAGTTTACTGTTAGACAATAAGCATTGATGGATCGTTAAGTAGGTTTCCGCTCGTACTTGTGCTGTGGTGTGAATAAATCGATCCAAAGTTTCAACAACTGAACCAAAACTCGAATTTTCAAAAGGAACGATGCCATACGTGCTTTGGCCTTTTTCTACACTTTCAAAGACATCTACGGATTTCAGTGCAGGATATCATTCTTTAACTGTTCAACAATATATAAATTCTATGGAATGCGTGTTTTACCATCAATTTGCTTTTGTGGTATGTAAGCAACACTATCACCCAAACGCTTGTAGGCAGCTTGCTGTGAAAATGTACCTGGAGGTCCAAGGTAAGCTATAGATACGTCTTTTTGTAAAGCAATGGATGCAGACATGATCTATAAAACTTTCTTCGTTAATTGGTTTGCTTGAACTCGAAAAAAAGTAAGTTATATTGTTGCTAACTTCGACACTACCTCTCTAAAAATAGCATGTAAAGAATCATCGTTTAAGGGACCAGCATTGATTCGGCTCAACTAGTATTGTAGTGAGCAATTGTAAGATCACTTTTCCTCTTTCTGTTCTTATTCCCGCCTTTGACATACTTTTTCATAAATCTCCTTTTCTCTGCCTGGTCTATATACTTGAACGTCATCAATAACTACATCTGGTCTGGCAAAATACTTAGTCGATTCAGTTTTTCAGCCCACTTGTTCTCATGAACTGTCTCTTGGAAACTTACGATTCGCGCTTTTTTGCAGCACCAATATCCAAGGAGACTCGAGCTCGTTCATTCAAAATATTGACCAAAGTGGAGTCTAGTGAATCAATCTTTTTTCTGAGTGCATTAAGGTCAGCCATTCTCTATCTAAAGTAACAGAAACCAGAAGAAAAAAAAGGAAAAGAAGGAAAATGACCAATTCACAAGAAAGTTTCTTTTCATCAATTCTTCCCCGCTTAAATTGGTGATCTATCATCGCCTCACGATGGAAAATATCGTTGCTTTCGATGAAGAATCTCTGCCGGGATTTGATTTAATTTCATTCTCCAATAATGTTGCATTATGATTCACGATGAGTTGTATCGATTTTTAAATGGTTTTTCGGTGCAGCTTATTAAAGGGAAAACGAATTACGAAACTCAACAAGAGATCAATAGACATTTATAGAGTTTTCATAGGAAAAGCAAGAATATAAAGGCGAAGGAGAAATGTTAGTAAACCGCACAGTAAGAGGCGCACAGAAGGAAACGTATTTTTGATGGATTTGTTTCATAACTGAATTTCTCTGCTTTATCATGATCATTTCTCAGCCGAAGGAGATCATATATTGTTCCTTATCTCTCTTAAGAACCAGTTTAGTGCGAGCAAATCCCAATGAGAGTGCAACTTTACCAGACAAATAGTCATGGCAGACATTAAACAATAATAATGGAGTCCCTTTCCACTTACTGGAGGGCTGTAGTATTACAGAGCCTTTGGTTATCAATCTTGGGGAAAAAAGCGATAAATTATTTATTTATGAAAATGACGGATAGTCTAGCTGAAAAACACTATATTTGACAGAGAGCGAGAATACCTGCGCCGGGTGTTTGGCATTTAAGGGAGAAAAATACCTGCGACAAGCGAAAAAACCACCTAAATTTCAATATATGGGAGTTTGGCTGACTACTCTATATAGTATACAGCTAATTGATGAAGGAAAGAGTTAGTTTTTGCTGAAAACTTCCGGTCAAAGGTAAAAAATAAAAATAAAACGACAGTACTTTATCTGTAGATGCATGCCAGGTGAGGAAGTAAGTGGATCAACTTCAGTTCTTTGTTATTCTGTTTCTATATTGTACTTTAATTGTTCTTATGATCTACTTAAATACAAAAAGAGGATAGAACAACAATAAACTTATCTTTTTCATTCATTACTCACTTTTCCTTACTGTACACTAAGTAAAAAGCGTAACTGCAACAGATCTACTCATTTACTCTGTATTGAATATTGGCTAACATGTTCTTTAATTCGAATTGTTTAGCTCTAATGTCAACCAAGAATAGCAAAGATGGAGTTCTTTTTGATGTCAAGGAATCTATTACTAAATATTCGAAAAAATGCTCGTATACATACATCCATAACTCGAGGGGGGATTATAAGTACAATTTTGCTTGTATTCCCTCAGGATCCAAAGACGACTCGGATGCTTTTTGCTACAAATGTGCACCAGAACAGATGCCAAGCTACTTTGATTGCCCTTTTTTCTTTAGTGGGTACTGGCAGAATGATACAGCTCAATTTGAGAACCTTACATGCGTAGGTAATTGTCAGGGACCACCGGAATCAAGAATGATAGGTGCGGCCTCAACCACTGTGTCCATTTTGAATGGTAACTTTAGTATTACTGTTTCTCTTTTCATTTTGATCGGGTGCATTCTATTGCTTCCCAAGCACTCATAATTACTATGCTCCAGTTGATCGAAATTTTCGAAAATAAAAGCAATGCTGGAATAAATAAATTGCTCCTAAACTTTCATTCTAGTTTCCACATCATATACATTTGTCACTGTATTCCTTCACTTTTACAGGTGCATCTTCTTTTTAAAGTTAGAATACATTGTATGCTTTGAAAAAGGACAATGGGGAAGCACGAAAGCGGAACCTAGTGGTTTTCAATGTTGTTTATTGTGATTAACATCAGAAAAACTGGCATTTTCGCTGAATTATTGATAATAAAATATAGCAATGTACTTCAAAAGCTCACGCAGTTGTCTACTGAATAGAAAGAAAAGTTATTGTTTACGACAAGTTATTGCTTATTAAAATCATTCTGAACAATGAATAATGAACGTATTAGCTGTAAAAAAGGAAGAAAGAAGAAGGCAATCTACAGTCTTGCAGTTTCTTTCGTGTTCGGTGTAAAATCAACCACATGCCGCTTTAAGTAATCGTTAAGAAACATGCCGTCAGGATCCAGTTTTTGTCGTATACGTAGAAAGTCCTGAAATTTGGGGTAGGAAGCTTCCAGATCATTTTTACTCTGACCGTGGGCCTAAGTACATACAGGCAACGATTAGTCTCTATGGTAGCATGTGTATTCATTTGTCAGTTACAGGATTGTACCTTTGCCCAATGTGGGCGGCCGTTATATTCACGCATTATATTTTCGTATCCTTTCCAGTATTTTTTATATGGCACAGGCTTTCCGTAAGGTCTGTACATAATGACACCGATATAACAAGTTTTACGTCCGTAACAGGGGCTCAACCATATATCATCCTCATCTACAAATCGAATCTCAACGGGAAAGTGTACCTTCAACTCATTATCATTGATAAACTTGTCTAACTTTCGTAAAGCATCAGGGGCATCTTTCCAGTCTATGGCCCATTCATTCACATATTGAGGGAAAAGACAATCAAAGTTGAAAACTTTGTTTGATACATCGACAACATGAAGTGGTTGAGAGTGCAAAGTCCTAAACATGAATTTCGTCAAATAAGGAATCATTGAAGGGCTGTATCGGGTTACATTTAACATGGCTTGGTAAATATGGAATCCAAAATGTCTTTCCATCCAATAACTAGGTCCAGAGCGAGAAATATCTTTATTTGTACGGTTTGCTTTCCAAACTACGCAGTCATCAGTATGTGGATACCACCAAATGCGAGTATGCTCAGAGGAATGTATCGTTTCATCCCACTGATTCAGTATATCTGAAAATTTGTAAGGCTCTTGGATAGCTTCTAGTTTGAAATCTGCTTCTGCTTGCAAAGTTATTCGAGTGATAATACCCAGCGCACCCAGACTACAACGAGCTGCTTGAAAAATATCTTCATTTTCAGTTAACGAACAATATAAGATGTCTCCTTCGGCTGTAACAAGCGTTAAATCAACAATCTATATATGGATGGATCGAACAATATAGCGAGTCAATCTCCGCAGATAAACAGAAAAAAGTGGAGAAACTTATTTTTTACCGCTGTAGATAAACAGCCATAGTTTGCACCAGTGCCATGGGAAGCAGTTGCCATAACTCCTGCTACTGTTTGGTCAGAAATTGAGCCTAAAACGCTCAATGCAAGTCCGTTTTCTCTCAGTACCTTATGCAACTGATGTAGTTGCATTCCTGCTTCCACTGTAGCTCTGCAGTTTTTTTTGTCAACGTTAAGTAATTTGTTCATGCCACCAATGTCGACCATGAACCCATTTGTACACGCGAGATCCGAGGGCGAGTGACCGACACCGCATACTTTTACTTGTTTGTTTAAGCTCTTTGCCAAGCATATAATCTAATGGTATTGATTATATAGAATGAACAAGGTAAACCTGTCAAAAAAATTGAGCATGGGCATACTTTCCTTTTTAATCGAAAATTACCTTTTTAACTTGTTCCTCTGATGTAGGGGTAAACAATAGCTCAGGCTTACAGCTAAAAGTCTTCGCCCAGTTTTGAAAAACAAAAGAGTCTGTGGCTATTTCCTTGAGCTCTGGGTCTAATTTATTGATTATAGAACTCTCCATAATCAATTTATTGGTTCGAAGAGAAATATATGCTGAGTGAAAGAGGGAAAGAGGAAATCAGAGTGCTGCGATAAAAATGCGGCCGTCAGAGATCCAACAAAAAATCAGATAAGAATCTATCAATACAACACCAGTCGGACTTGATGTATTACCACGTTTAAATCATCATTTGTAAACGTACAATGATAAGGCAAGCGCTTCATAACTTCGAAATGGTTCGGAAAACCATATAAAGTCAATGCCAGCTGCAATCAAAAGTTGGAAAAAATAGAAGATTGGGATGACGATATTATAAAAAGGGCTTAACTTTTCTTTCACGACTATTTTCAAAGGTTCAGTATTATAAACCATTTCAAACGGCAGAATTTGGAATTACTTCAGACTGTTATTACCAACCACTATCGATCAATTAATTTATAGAGTTCTAGTATTATAAACACACGTTAAATTACTTGCCCAAAATATTTAAATAGGGTAGGTACGAGTTGATAATACTGAGAAGTGAGTTAATCAAACTGTAGAATTTGCAGGAACTTTCCAGTATTATTAACTCGATAGTTATAAATACTACCTCAGGCCAACACAGTTGCTTTACCATCAAAGTTTGTCTTTTTTGTATACTCTAAACCATTCAATATGCAACCTATGCTCAATCAAACCACTTCATCTAAGCGACGTTTAATCAAAGAGACTGAAGAAGAAGAGCTTGAAGTCGAAATGGAAGCTTCTACTTCAAATACAGCCATCCCTACGAGCTCATACTCTGCTCAAGCTGGCTCACAAATTATAGTAACCGAATTTGATCTTGCAATGGAAGCCCTTTTTAGAAGAGTCCGTGCTAGCACTGCTATGAGTTACAGAATGCGTTTAGAACATTGGAAGGCACCAAATCAATTAAAACCCTGTATCAACTATGCAAGTTTTTCTAAATTTACTTTATATTAAGGATTTTTGTGAAAAAACCGTTGTTGGTCCTCTGTACCCGTACACAGTTGGACCCACTGAATTCATTATAGCCTTTTTCAAAGAGTTCGTATTCAAGCGTACTTATCAGAAGAGCGTCTCGGTTGAATCTGATGTTAGGACACAGGTTGGATTGCAGACTGAGGAAAATGAGGGTAGCCGAATGACTTTGCTTCGAAGTATGTAGCATTGTATAACACGAATATGTGTGATTAGACTCAATGATCTTTTTCTTAAATAGTGACCAGAAATGCTCCAATAAGCAGGAATGGTCGAAAGAAACTAAAAGAAGTTCCTATCGGCATAGAAGCTGTCAATCAGTATAAGAAAGCCTTGATATATCTCTATGGCTTCCAATCTGATTATCGAAGACTGGAGTGGCCATCTCCCAACGAGACAAAGCAAAAAATGGATCTGCTAAAGAAGTATGAAAATGATTTGATTTGCGATGAAGTGCAAACCAACGCGGATAGAGCTGCTCATTGCATTATCTGTGATTCATACAAATACGGTGAATTCATTAGAATTTTGAAAAGCTTGTGGGTCTCTGACAGCCAAGCAATCTTGCGCGAGATGGTCTCCATTTCGTCGCGCCACCATATGCTACTTCGGAATCAAGATCTCAGAAATTTAAACTTTGCTGACTGTTTCTGTACTATCATACCAAAGAAACAGCATAAGGGAACTCAACAGGCTGTAGCTTTAGTGTTTAGCTTAAACAAAGGCAAGACACTCAAAGAAGGAGAAGTAAAATTTGCTTGTGCAATGCGCCATGAAAACCTCTTCAGATGTCCTTCCAGTGCTTTTGCTTTTTCCATGTTTAGTTTGCTTTAGGTAACTCATTTGTCCACAAGAGTTCAGTTCAAACAAAAAGGAGCACTAATTCATTTTTTTTAAAGAACAATGGTGATTTCCTGAAGGAAGATAGATGGCATAAATTGGAAGGTTTTGCGGGGACGTGGCCGGTTGGAGACCCATTACTTGGGAAAACTTCCATCTCATTTCGCACGAGGTATGGCTGGCTTCTGGAATAAACCTTTCGGATTAGCTAGAAATAGCGTATCACCACCAATTGAACTTCGGCGAATGATCTTCCCTTGGATTTGAGTATTACTTTGGCGAGAACAGCATTGAGTGTTTGGCTGTATGTGAGCGAGAAATGAAAGAAATTGACGAGAACGAAGATGAGGAGGAGAACATGGCCAATGTAGAAATCAGTGAGAATAGATTGGAATTTGTAGAAGAGAATGGAACCATGGTGTCTCGAGAAAGTTGAAGAAAGGGAAAGCAACGAGCAGTTCAGAGCAGCTTAGACACAGCAAAAGGGGCTTTTTACGACTTTTAATCAGATGCAGAAGGATAATTCTACAAGATGCAGCAGTATATATGTATTTGAACAAAGAGAATAAACTCGTCAACTCCAGATGCAGTATCTTCTCGAATTACATATTCAAGCAGTTTCAAGATGATGTTATAGCTGCCGTAACCAGTCCTTCTGGTGGCAGATTAGAAGAGTACGAAAACCTTGTGCCAAGTCGTGTCGATACACATAGACAAGTAGCCAGTCGAGTAACGGAAGTCAATCATAGGATTGTACGCTTGCAACAGTTGCAAAATGACCGCTTTCAAAAGAATGAAAACAATTTTCAGCGATTTTTTGAACAAAGCAATCGTACCAACCTTTCATTACTAAACACTACTCAACAGTTAGCACGAGACGTACGAATACTCATGATGCAACAACAGTGTTTGAATTCTCAAGTGCAATTGCTTTTGGCTACCAACACTCCATAAATACGAATCTCAACAACAGTATGCCTCAAACATCTACCTTTCCTTCTGCTCTTCCAACACAATACTCCCCCTTTCCTCCTCTCGCCGCTGAGCCTATACCTTCTGCTCAGCAACCTGTTACTATAAGCCCAGCCCCATCAGCAACAATCACCAATGCCAATACCAGACCCAGATAAAAAAAGAAGACGAAATGGATCAACTACGAGCCAAGCAGCTCCAAATAATCTCATAAATAATATGTACTTTTATAGCTATGCAACCATTATATATGCATATCTTGCAATAAACACATGTATCACGCATCGTTAAAACAAAGAAAGCCTTACTCAGTCTGCCAAAAAGAAAGTATTATATAGTCAAAGATAGGAATACAAATGGTGGTATCAAAAAGCCTAAACGTATCGTATAGATAGTCATACAAGATAGTTACTGTTGGTCTCTAATGTCCAATATGACGCCAAACGATCATCTGATGTCAAAGCCAATGATGATTTTTTTTTCTGGCCCTGCGGGGCACTCAGTATATAATTTCCAGTATTTGCATGATTTTATCCAAAAATGGAAGGATTACTATAAGTAGTAGTTTTTTCAACTACTCAAAAAGCCTATAGGCAAAGGATTTACTTTATTGGCTGTCCTTTTTAAGAACAGTTTAGATATTAGGCTTGAGGAAACCAAATTAGGAAGGTTACAGTTTGCTTTTATCTTCTTTTATTTGATAGAAAAAAAAAGTTATTTTTTTTCCTTTGATCTTAATGCTCGACGTAAAGAGGAAATTTAAAAGGTGAATCTCTGACGAGGAAAGAGAGCTACTTGCTGACGTAACGTGAGAGCAAACAAATCACTCATATACCAAAAATGGAAATAGTTAAACTCCGATTAGTCGAGCCGATTTCACAGATATTCTACTTCTCAAAAAATGACACGTTAGGAGTAGTAGTCCGTGAAATAACTATGGTTGGTTTTCCAGTATAGATTTTGTTGTACTGTTTCTTCACTTAGATATAAGATTGTTATATGAAAGAAAGCCCTTTTATTAAAGTATATTTCTCATCTATCTATTTAAACTATTCTTCTTCCGCACATTCATTCTACCGAGCACCGAGCCGGACCTCACGTGCTCTAATTCTATTGGTTGGGCTGACAATCCTTCACACTCCGTGTCAAAAATATTACGTGTGTAAACCTGCTACTATGCAAATACTAGTAACTATATCAATTGACAAGATTTGTAATAGACCGACTGTAAAAATCCAGGGACAAATTCAATAAATATAATGAGGTTAAACGTGTAGATTCTTTTTATACAAGCAATCAAATAAACGTAATGGATGTATCTTTCCAATCGGATGGATAGAAAATAATAATAATAAGACTAAAAGGGTATGATATGTAGATAAATCTCATATACCAAATTCAGTAATAATGTGTTATACAATATTTCGATGAAAAAATCCTAGTAAAATACAATCATTATAATGCAAACTTATTTATTCATCAATAATCATACTATTATCACAAACACTTCTTTTATTATCCACTTTTAAGATATAGGCGTACTCAAATTTATTGCCATTTTCTAATTTTACATTTACAAGAACCAAGTTATTTTTTTTATACTTAAAAGTAATGTCTGTAATATTATATTGATACTTATTATTTTTAAAAACCTGTTGAGGAACAAATGAAGTTTTAAGATCTTTAATAAACTTTTTATTCAAAAATGGATTATTTTCGGACATGAGTATAATTATGTTATTTTATTTTTATATTAATAGGATATTCAATTTGTTCAATCTTTTAGAAACTCTTGCCAAATATTTTTTGCTTTATTATTTCTTCTCCATTGATATTCTTTTATATGCAAGAAGATATTTTTATTATTTCTATGAATAGGTAATAAGTTTCTTTTGAATGCACCCCATGTGCTCTCTATTGATTGTGTATGAACTTTAGTAATAGGATCTACAAAATGTTTTGAATGATTTACAGTTTGATGAGAATATCCATTATTTTTTACATTATTATAACCCTTCCAACAATCTGTGTATATTATGGTGCCAGGATTAACATACTTTTTTATTATTTGATCTATTTTGACAGAACTTCTTTCTTTTATTGGTAGCATAAATAATTTCTTTTTATGTATATCTATATTTCTTTCAATACCACCTATTATCCATGCTCCATCAATGCTTCTCCCTCGGTTATATTTTCTTTTTGCACTCTTAGTTTCATCTATTTCTACTATTATACCAGGTCCACCTATCCTTTTATGAGGTGTCATCAACTGCTTATTTTTGATATATTCACGAAATAATTTTTTATATCTCACAACAGTATTTTTATCTATATCTAATACATTTGAAATGAATGATCCAGATACTTTTCCAAGAAATAGATATAACAAATGCAATTGTATATTTAAAGGTAATTTCATTTTATTAAAAATGGTTCCATTCAATGGTGATTTTGCTTTTCTGCATTTATAACTTCTACAGACAAACATCTTTTTATTTAAATTTAGTTTTGTTTTTTCAGAACATTTTTCACATTTTTCATAAGAGTTAATATAATTATTTTCTATTAGATATAATAATGCTTTTTTATCATCTTCGAAAATATACTTTAAATCTTTGTATGATTCAACAAACATTATGAGCACATTTTATATTTGTAAGGGTTATTCAATTTTTTGATCTTAAATTATGCATCAATTCATACTCCGATACCTGAGATCTATGTGCATAGTGGCATGACTAAAAGTTCAGTTCTCTCTTGTCAGGAAGAGAGCTCACGCGTCTACTTCTAAGTTATACGATTTAACTTCCGATCTACTATGATATCTATAAATCGCTCCTTGCATTATATAATAATTTTCTTTACAATATGATGTATCCACATCAATGCTTTAACTAATCCACTCTTTAAAGAAAACTGAGACATAACCACTATGATCTAAGACAAATTATTATAAAATAACAACGCTCTTCTCATTTAATAAAACGGTATCTTTTAAGCTCGTTTAATACTTTTGTTATTGCAACGGATAAATCACAATAATTTCTAATGATTTATCACGTGTATTCTATTAGTTTTAACTCCGAAAGATCTTGCTGTTATTCGATAACTCCGAATTCCTTGATCTTACAAAAATAACAAGATTTCGTGGTGTAGTCGGTTATCACGCCTGTCTAACACACAGGCGGTCCCCGGTTCGAATCCGGGCGAAATCATCTTTTTTGTTTGGTACCGTTTCGTTTCACGTACTACTGTTGTCGTGTTACCCCAATAATTAGTTAGTGTCGTGTTATAACGGTGATTGAATATTATAGAGCATATAAAAGGAACATGACTCTCTGAATAGAATAAAGAACAATCCTCTTTTTCTCTTTACTAAAACTTTGTGTTTAGTATAAGATTACCCTTGTTTTATCGTTAGCTCAGTGCGCGACATTAGTTTAGATGTAACATTCAAATATATAAAATATAGAATAATCCAATAATGAATAAAGTCATTCCTTTCTCTGCTTCTGACAATAATCCTTTTTTTTTTTTTTTTTGTTTAAATTCATGTTACATTTATTCGAGAAAAAACAGACGTCAAAAGTAAAATAAGAGAAAGGATTTATAGGTTTAAATAGGGAAGAAAGGCCTTGTTGACGGGTAAAAGCTGATACTATAGACGTGCCTCAGCTTGGTGATCAGCCTGTGCCTGCCTGAGACAATGCATCGATGCTCTTAACAGTAATCTGTAAGGTGATCGATGATAATAGCTGTTGGTAAGCATTTTCAGTGGACCAACTTTCATGACTAATAACGGTAGACCAATGATACTTCCATAGAGTTTCCAGAAGGGCTCCCAACAACTCTAGCGAGTAGCGTTCCGTATAATTATCAGTATTGGGCAGTTGTAAATTGAGCAGGGTATGCATAACCTCGACAATAATCCTACCTTTGTGGTATTAGTATATAGTCTTATCGTAGCTTCGTGCACGACACTGTTACTAAGCCTGAACTTATTACTAGCTGCTATAATGAGTTAAAACAACATTTCGTAAGGTTTTATTCTCATTAGTTTTTTGGGTGAAACATAAACCTATTCCCATACACTATATAATGTCTTTGTACATCATTAGGTGCACTCTATTAAACTACCTCATGATTCAACGTATTTACCAGAGTTTATCTACTTTTTGAGTCACTATTCGCTAAATGTCGGCCATTTATTCAAGCTATTTCTGTAATTCTACTCTATATAATTGTTGTTTGACACTAATACTTTAATACATTTTCCAGTGATGAATTCTGACTCGTCTAGACTACTTTATTTTCATCTTCCACATAAATTTGTTAGACGCTTATTTACGAGAGGATATAGAAGTTTTATATAATTCCAGATGACTAAGTAAACAGACCACACTGGAGTTTCAATGGAAGAGTGCCATTGATATCTGTCTAGGTTTCCGCAGTCTTGATTCAGTGTTCTACCTTTATTGAGTACACTTTAGTTACTGGACCAAAACGTCTATTTTCAGAATACAAGACCAACAAAAAAAAAAAAAAGCTCAATCAATAAAAAATATTATATATCCATGACTGTTCATGGCGTACATTTACACGCCATAAACACGACCAAACTTTTTGCGGTACTCTTTGTGTCATAGTAAGAAGAGAAGCAGATGACAGGCAGCAAACATTATGCACGAACCTATATAGATAGATACAATAATAAATAATTTGGCATTCATTATTGATTGTTTCCTTTGATAATCAATAATTTAGTTCACTACTAACAACACGACCTAAGTACTTCGGATGGCTTCACTGCAATAATAAATCATCCAAAAAGACAAAGAGAATAAAGTTTTTAATAGCGGAAGTTAAGATAGCGAGATTATTGTATCAGAAATATGGTGGCTCTTGAATATAATTATAATTGGCAACTTCTGTGACGCATTTAAAACCAGTCTCTAACGCTATTGCATACTATTGATTAGTATCTTAAGATGACCTGAGATTCAATAGGAATCCTTTAAATATAGGTTGCTTTGATACGAAAAGCAGAGTCAGTCCATTTGTTACGAACAGTTTGGGCAAAGAGTTTCATTTGGTAACAGAGCTTCTCTTCTTCCTATTATGACAAGACCCACCGCAAAAAGCAATACCGTCGATATCAGGTAGGTTATAACAGCTATTTTTTATTGCAAAATAATGGGTCTTTGGTAATGGTAATAACGAAATTAACAATTTACAGTATTGTTTGGCAGTTCAATATATCGTCTGTAATCAAATTGAGAAACATTTACATAGAATAGCGGCCAAAACTGAACATTATTGTCATATATTTGACGAGAATAGAAGAGTTTCAATAATTATGCAGAGGCTTAGCGCTTATTTGAGAAACTTGTGTGGAGCGGATACTCTCTTCGCCACAGCTGTCATTTTCATCGTGATGTTGCTCAGTTGGTGATCTGATATCGTCGTCATAGTCCATCTTCATGGTATCAAATTCATATTTTGGTCGATCTTTATTCATATTCTTGGTTGTACTAACTCCTGGCGCGGTGGCATTGAAAGAAAGTTCCGCCGAGACCTGATCCATTGTATAAAACGTCTTGCTTCTAGCATGTGCATCCATATTATTACCAGTGACACGATGGGTTGTTACCTACAGTTAAAAGAAATAAGATACTATATGTTAGATATCTACCACAGCCGTCGGCTATAGAGCAAAAGCTATCATTACCCAATAAATGGTTATTGCATTGACCTAATTGACAAGGAAACGAAGTATGAGATTTTCATCAATTTCTCAAAAGACCAAAGTCTAACAAAAATTCAGCAATGCATACCGTAACATCTACTGTACACATGGTTAGACAGACTAAACCTCTTTCGTGACCTCGTGTAATGACAACAACCAATACATTGGCAAACGAAATTATGAGAGATACAATTGAAGCGACCAAAGTTCGTTGAGCAAGCCTGTATAGTTTGGACTTTTTCCAGTTGGCTTTAGAATTCAAACCAATACTCATTAATGGGAGCATGAAGAGCAGAGTTAGATAGAAGTTGAGAATCTATGAGAGCAAATGACAATGAAGGTTTAAAAAAGGAGTACTATGTTGAGTGATATTACTTTGATAAACTTTACAGAGTCATAAACCTACCATAAAAAAAGTCAAATACAATATTAGATTTTTCTTACTGATGAAGTAGCTGCGCATCCATATATTTATACTTACCAATAAAGGAACACTTGCAATCAATTGCAATCCAATTGTACATTTACCATCTGCTTCAAGGTAGATGTTTCTATACGTCAACTGGGAAATATTAATGTTGAAAGAAGGTTAAGCACAGAAAGACAACCAAAAAAAAAAAACCACACAACTTTGTATTACCATCAAAGCAAAAATTATAATGTAGGGGCATAACATTGTTAAATGGATTCTGTACTGCCAAGTACTAAGGCGTGGTTGTTTTATGGCTTTGACGAGGAAGATGCGTTCAATCAACCAAGCATATATTACAATTTTACTACCAGCATAAAAGATATCACAAGAAAGCATTGCCAGCGTACATGACACCATGTTATCTGTCAAAATTCGTAATGAAACGTAAATGAATACTCTTCGAAAAGATACTCTAAATTGTTGGTCTTACTATTATTTGTCGATACTACAACAGCTGAAGTAAAAGCGAACGACCATGATGTTACATAGAGCATAATGACCATGAATTTACCATAATTCATAGTTCGTGTGGTCTCGCTGTAAGTCTTATTCCCTATGATATATGCAAGCAGGGTTATACATAGTAGTGAAATGAATTCTGAAATGATCTCCAAAATATCCGGTCCGACTATTCCAGGCGGTTCGGCTTCATAGGGATAGGAAGTCCAATCCATGATACAGAAATGAAAATACGAGGAAAAGAAATTAAAAAAGTACAAAAAAGACGTGAAAACAGAAAAGAATAAGATGTAACAATATCTGAGGATTGTCTTTTATAACCGTCGGGGCCAGCTTTTCACTAAATTGTAGACTCTATTTTCAACGATCAGACCTGTCAACTAATCAAGTTGAACGATCCGTAGAACTTACTCCCCCTTATCCATTTTATGATGTGTGGAACTATCTCAAAGAGATGAAAGAAGAATACAACAGCGATTGTACTACTTACGGAACTTATATTATAATTCAGTTTAGGGAGGGGAGGGGGGGCGATGTTGCTGGTGGTGGTGGGCGGTGGTATACAATTAGTGGACACACTCATATATAAAAAAATGTAGTCTACCGTCCTACTTTATTCAAATAAAAGATATATGATATGATATCAAAGCTGGCGGTAGATAATGTGTAAGTGTGTACATATGAGCTGTAAATCAGGAACTTCCTCTTCGCTTTTCAATGCAATAAGTGTTGAATGAAGCGTAATAAGAAAAGTAACCCTATTTCTTTTTCGATGCTGCTGCTGCTGCTGCTGCCTTCTTTTCTTCTTCTTCCATTCTTAGCAACTCTTCTTCCGCTTTTTTGGCTTCCTTTTCACGCTTAGCCTCGTTCATCTTGGCTTCAGTAGCTTCTCTTTCCTCTTCTTTCTTCTTACGTAATGTTTCTTTTTCTAACATAGCCTTCATTTCAACTTGTAGCTTCTTTTGCTTTTCATGTTCCAACATCTGTGCGGCTGTACTGAAAATAGTCTGAGACCAACCCTCTTTGAAAGTGTTAGCTTCCATTGAGATTTCTTGCAATTCCGCTGTTATTTCTTGTTCAGCTGCTTGAAATTCGTGCCAGAGATCATCTCCAATACTACCTGTTTTCATCAATTGTTGTAAAGCGGGTTTTTCTTGTTGTATTTGAACGAGGCGACGAACAGCTTCCATAGCTCGACGTAAAAGAGCAGCACGTAAGTGATATTCAGGAACTGCAGGCTCGCAGTTTAAAAGGGCAATATATTCTTCTTTTTGTGTGTTAATGGGGAACCAAGCTTCCATGGATTTGAACACTAAAACAATTGTTGATGATGTAAAACAGGGATGTTAAGCGTATGTTAAATCAATATAGAGAGTTTGTATAACATCTGCTTTACTGGTGGCTCTTCTGTAAACAAAGGAAAATGCACTCATAGCGGCAATACATCCTCCAAGATAAACAGCTGGTAAAAACAGAGTATTCATCATCTTGATCAATTTATTATCGGTCGTGTAATGAGAAGGAAGACAATGATTAATTTACAGCCAATTTCTTTTTTTGAAGTTCAAAAATGAAGAGTATCGGGAGACCTGAAATGTATGCTTATCTGATTGGCTTTTAAATTGTCGACCGTCTAAACCAAATGCAGCAAAAAAAAAAAAAGTAAACTCACTCAAAAAGCGTTATTACATATCCAAGGCAATCATTTTATTCACCAAGTAACCATTCAACTATAGTACTTTCTTCTTGTTCATCCCAAATGAAGTCTTCCAAAAACCATTCTTCATCGCTCTCTCCCTCAACATGTCTTTTGAACTCCCCTTCTTTTCCTTGCTCTTCATCTTTATTCATCAAATTGACAAGTTTGCTGTCTGTTTGCACAGCCTGGTCTATCCCAATTTTCGCCTTTTTCTTTATAGCCAAATTGTGGATCGTTTTTCTTTCAATAAGAGAGGGCTCTTGCTGTAGATAAAGGAACCTTTCTCGTCGGGGCGTATAAGATGTCCCACTGTTATAAGGCTCCATAGAAGATGCTCGCTCAAATTTCAATACTTTATCCAGAACAGCACTGCTACTGTTTAGGTCACCACTACTATTGATACGCTCACTCTTATTGATATCAACATTCGAAGAAGAAGCTATGTCTAGATTTACTGTATCTCTTCCTTGTTGTTCTTGTAATTGCCTTAGTTGTCTTAACACAGATCGTCGATGATGCGTTGCAGGCCGTTCCATATTTGCTACGGCAATAGATTGCTGCTGCTGCTGTCGTTGTTGCTGTTGTTGTTGCTGCTGCCACTCTCCTGTCTTTAGAATATCGTCCCATTGTTTAATGGACACGCTGACTGAGGATTGTCTTTGCCTCAAAATTTCATTCATATCCTTTTGCTGTTGCTTTTGTTGCTGGCTATAATATTTTTCAGTAGCAAAATTTTCATGCATTGATCTTCTACGACTGTTCCCAACCATTGAAGCACGTTTAGCAACTAAGCTTGAAGGTCTTTCAGGTGAAAGAGTAGCCATTTTTTTTGGAACCAGGAATGTTGCAGAGGCTTTTGTTTGCAAAGCAGCGTTATCATTTCTCTCAATGGTAGCAGACGGATCGTTTCGTTCTTTATCTTTTTCTTTGTTATTTGCTTGTATCATAGGCTTGCCGTCAGTCACCTGCTGGGGCTCTTCTGTAAATTTAATAACAGTTGACACTCTGTTGTCAACCTTTGCCTCTCCATTCTGACTACCAACTGTAGCAATCTTTAATGAAGAAGGAGCGGAATCTCTTTTCGTCGATCTGACGTCAGTAAGTAATTCTTCCCTTACATTAAATGATGTTTGAATTGCTTTTTGTTGTTGTTCATGTTGATGTTCTGATAGCTTAGTTAAATTTGTTGCGGGCTTGCTCTTCTCAGTTGCTCTTTGATCTGTATGCTCTTGTTGTGGTTTTTGTTCCTTTTCTTCCTTCATTTTCCGGAGATTCTCTCGGCTCTTTCGGTTACTCGCACTGCTTCTTCTTAAAAGTGAGCCATATGCATTTATAGTCACTGCACTTGTCGCTGTAGATATATTACTGGTGCTACTGGACTTTGATAAGCGGAATTTTGGTGACTCTTGAATGGTAATTTTTGCAGTTGTGGTAGTTCTTGCTGAAGATGACCTTTTAAAAGTAATTGATGAAGAAGAAGCAGGTGTATCGGCAACAGTTAGACGCTCCACTTCTGTAGTGGCTGACTGTTGCTGTGGCAGCACTGTTTCACTAACATTATTTGGATTAGTATGGATTGGTTCTTTTCGCGCTTCTGCAATTGAACTATGCGAAGACTTTAATGATGTACTGGAGTATGACTTATTAAGGTATGAGATATTAGTGCTATTCGTAGAAAAAGTAGAGGATGAAAGGATGCTTTGATTGTTGTACTCGGCTGTGGTAGATGCTGACAGTCTACTCAGTGGTGTCAATTTCTTTTTTGTAGCTCGTGAAGTAGTGGCACTGTGGTTGTTATTATTTTTATCGAAGTTGTTGTGTTCAGTCTGTGTTGATAGTGTGTTTATCTTAATATTTCGATCGGCTCCTGCGTCTAGATCAGTCTCTGGTACAATATGTATAGTTGCTTTGGATATCGCGGGGATTGTTGAGGCGTTTAATAAAGGAGTCTTTTTGTGATGTTCCACTTGGTTATTCATAGTAAAACTCTGCTTACTTAAAGGAGACGACGGGGTATGCTGATAACGAGCAGTACCAAGTTTTGGTACTTCCATCTGAATGTTCGACTGTATTGTTCGTTGTTCTGCTAAATCATGATCATTTGTCTCTGAGGATGGCGACGACAAAGTAGAGGAAGAAGAAGAAGATGATAATGAAGACAACGTGCTTGGCAAATTGCATATATTTGTTGATAGCTTTTCGCTATGATTCAACTTTTGAGAAAGAGGTGATGAAGGTCTAGAATAATTTACTGCTGATAGTCTAGGCGATGCCGAGATATTTGATCGTCGTTCCCATGTTGGTGTAGGAAGTATGTCATCTTTGGTTTGATCCCTTATTTCTATAGATCTAAGTCGATTTGGAGTAAGCGACACTTTAACAGTCTCACCTGATCTAATTAACTCATCAAAGTCCAACAGTGGCGGTGTCCCATCTGCATATTCTTCATCCTCTTCAGTGCTTTTATATTGGTTTAAGGGTGAAATGTTGGATGCACGTGGTAACACATTATTGTGAAGGGTATTTCTCTGGTCTTTAAATAAATGAAATGTTGACTTTCTAACATTACTCGAGCCCGAATTGTGCGATAAGGATGAATACGGTCTGTGTGGAATGGATACTGATGGTTTGGACTTTGTCAACTTTACAGAATTTGTTGAATAAGTGCTTTTTCGTTGTTTTTCTTCGCTAAAGTAATCGATGACAAGGTCATCAAAGTTGATATTTGAAAGTGAATCTTCTTTATCTGTGTAACAAGTAATTGAGGGATCAACAAGTTAATCAAAAGCATTTGTATATGCAGTGAGATTAGCTTACAGTAGATTGGATGCTGTATCAAAGATGAGTTCTTTTTGTTGTCATTGTTCCTGCAAAATGTTAACACTGACAAGTGGCTCGACTGTCTTAAGCTAGCATTATACGATACCGTTGCTCTTTTCTATTGGGCAAATAGCGAATGAATATCTGATGCTGCTTTGCTCATTTTCCGCAGACAAATACTTACCTCCAACTTCTTTCGTAGCTCCATTTTATGAAAAACGTTCCCTAATTGAACATCATCCACCAACGCTAGAAACACTTCTTTCACGCGAATGTAATCTGTATCTTCGTGTTCTGCAGACATTGCCACTGCTGTCAATAAGTACTCTCCAATATGCTCCATAATGGTTGTAACGTAGATGGCGACAATAGGCGATATAATGATGGTTTGCTCGATTTGGGTGCCACTTCTATTTTTCCGTTGCTGCATACTTCTTTGCATGTACAACTGATCCTCCTTGTCTGCTAGAGTACAGTATTCGAAGCACTTCTCTCTTAGTAATGGTATTGCTTCATTCAAAGGAAATGCGTCGACCTTCATATTACGCATACGTTCATACACATCATAGTCGATGGATTCAGAGTCGGTTATGAAGGTTTTTACTTCCAGCTCTGCTTCTACTACTGCATTTTTACCCAACGTCGAGGGCAACAAATTAAAAACAACAGATTTGATATTTGACAAGTCGAGAGATAGTGAACATGCAAGTAACAAGACAATGAACTCATCGAGGAATTGATTGATTGCTTGCAAGGCGTCTGTTGACACACGATAAGGCCCAACCTCTGAAATAATAGCATTTGCTGCTCTCTGACAAATATAATGTTCGTCTTTTAAATACATAGAGAATGAATGACTACGATGCAATGAATAGACAGAAGAGAATTCTTATTGTATCTATACCTAGCACCATTTGATTTCACAGTTGTACCCCGTCCTTATGTTGACTTGCTGCCCAGCTGAAAGAGGATGAAAGAAGTGTCTGAATTACTTTCTCTTTTTCCACAATTGTAATTTAATAAGTTAAATGAGATGACCTTTGCTGGTGTAACACTTATTTGTAGTGGCGACAATGGTGGGTGTACATAGCCAGGTCCTATATTTTAAGCGTTAGACGATGAAAAACCAAGTTATATCGGCTGGCTATGAAGAAGTCTTTCAAAGTAGCATGTATAATCGTCTGTGGCTCAAACTTATTATGGAATGATTAGAAATATTGAACGCTGGACAATGCGGGCTTTATACAATCACAATTTACAATTTGTAATATTGTAGATAGCAGTGTAGTGGATGTAAAATAGTCTAAATTTGAATTATCATGTAATAGGCATCTGCGTACTCGACAGTTCATGTTCACTACTATTTTATGAGATAGAGAACGAATACCTTCCATAACAATGACCAAGTCTTTTTTGCAGAGATCAAATATTTCCTGCTTCTGTCATCTATTCCATTTTTTAAGCTTTGTTTAACATGTATTTTCTGATCGACAGAAGTCCTCAAAACGATCACCATCGATTGTTATTGTATGGTATGGTTACAACTAATAAGAATAAGAAAGCCTGAAAAAAAAAGAAACTTGATAAGGACAATGCATTCAACGATGATCTATTTTTTTTTCTTAGGGTATCAATTCGTGATTACACTTTGACATGAGACGTTATCAAGTCAAATTTCATTTTATCAGGATAATTCTAGCCATAAAGGTGAGCTGAAAGTGACATAAAGTTAGTTCCAGCTGCCTAACAAGCACACTTTACGCCGCAATCAAGGACAATCATATGCTCTTTCAAATTCTAGTATTAACTTCATTTATATTGTGTATGAGTAGTTCATAGTACAGGTTTTAGTATTTGTTGGTTATATCAGATTGCTATGTACGTAGATTTTATTGAAGCAAATTTGATCTTCTACATTCAAGGTTGTTGCATACGTTTGATTGAAATTTAGTTCTATACGCGAGAGATATACACGACAGTATGCAGCGAGCTATGCAAATCACTTACAAAAAGAAACGACCGTACTCATTTAAATTAGTGCGTATCATACTCCGTCGATCATTCTTATAGAGAAGAAGAAGAGTCTGCCCTATATCAGACAAACAACCACCAAGCTTTTCATTCAAATGATCGTTGAAATTTGCAATTTCCAAGTATAATAATGCTTAAGACATCTAAACCTTCAGTCAGCCATGTAACCATTTAAGTAAGAAGGGCTGTAGCATGGTTTATCCTTATTTAGAACTCAAGGAAACCGTTTTCACATTATGACTTGCGTGATATCAAACAATACAAATCAGGTTGTCGACCAAAATATTCGAAGTGCACTTTTCTGGCTTAATTTAGACAAGTTTCTAATTTTTGAGAGAGTATCTTCTAAATAAAAAAGGCAAATTATTTTGTACCGTACTCGTTATTCTTGTAGATTACGTTTTTTAAATAATCGAAGAAAAGTGGATTTACAATGCTTAAAACGTGTTTTTCAGCAACACTTTTCTTACATTTTTATTGTCAAACTTATATTATAATGAAGAAGTACTTTTAAACGGGAAAAAGATCCTTTCTTTTCGTATTTTGCACTTTTTGTAACTTTCAGCCCTATTCATGTAGAACAGTTTCATCATAAGGGAAAATTAGGTCTGTTAGAAAAAAGCAAGAGTCAGGGTAAAAGGAATCCTTCTGGTCGCTGAGATACACTAGAAGTATCAGTTACTGTCCGTAGCTGTAATATTCTTTTTTTCAAAACTTGTTAGATACTATAAAACCGCAATATTAATGCAGGAAAAAGCATGATGACTATCAGCATTTCCATTTGTAAAGCAGCGTCTCAATCATTATCCCTATTGTTGCCAGAGGCTCGTTTCTTATTCATAGATGTCTCCATTTTAGTGTAGTTCGGTCTTTCAAACTCCAAATTGAATGTCTCAAAAATTAAATCTATTTTATCTAATTATACTGCAGTTTTGTTTTAAACTGAAGCTATAAAAGAAAACTGCAGAGCACAAAATCCTGCAAAAAAAATGAATTTCTTCCTTTTTCTACTTAGTCCCCTTTCGAACAACACAAAACCTCAAATTGAAAGACCACCGTTTGGCAGTGTGAAGTTACTCTCTTTATCAAGGCCTACATTAACATCATTATTAGCGGATTGATTTGAAGAGTAATGCAAAACCGGATTTCGAAGTTCCAAATGAAAAAGAATAGTCGAGCCCAACGATTACGTAGCTTACTTCAACTAACACCATCAGATGCCATTTTACTGGATGCTTGTGCTAGAAAGACACCACAAGAAGGTATATCAATAATGGACAATATAAGACTGTGAATTTTTCTTTTGGCTAATTATTATTCTGTATCTTTAAGTAAGACACATTCTGTACGAATTTCAGGGCACCATCAATCCTGACACCATCCGAGATAAGTTTTTGAGAACACCGCTTCATATCGCTTGTAGTAGAAAAGACGACCACAACATAGCTACAGAAATAGCAAAAATACTGATTGAGTATGGATCTGATATCAATAATGGGGTTGGGGACATTGAAGGTCTCCAACCATTACATTTGGGTAAATCCGTAAGAATATATATTTATTCAGCAAGACAGATTATAACTTACGTACGTCTCATAATAGCTGTGTTGGCTGGAAATTATCAATGTGTGTTAATGTTGCTACATGAAGGTTGGTATGTCTTTTCCACTTTCATAATCTACGCTTACCAAAATTTGAAAGCTGACAAACCCTCAAATATAACAGGTGTTAATATACCCGCATCAGATCCCTTTCGACTTACACCTTTACTATTGGCGAAACTAAAGATTGAAAACCTACGGCAATCTCAATGTGCAATGCATCACAAACGAATAACTAGCGATGTCGTTAATAATATTAGTAGTTGCGAGTGGATATCTGAAAGCGCAAAAACAGAATATGAAGATCTCAAATCTGTAATCTATTTTTTTGGTAGTTTACCGTAACAAAAATAATTTGAAAGCTCACTTACTTTGATTGTCTAGATTACTCAAGTGTTGGTATCACATTTAGCCAAAAAGCATGTTTCAACTCACGGATTACCATCTTACGAAACAACAGCAACTACAGAAGCTACAAATACAAACAATGACATTGAACGGTATTTCGGTTTATCAGATTTCCTATTCTCGAAGGAAAATAATCTGGAGTTCTCAGCAATGACACCAAGTAGTCCTTTTGATGAATCGCAATTGGAGGAAATTACAAATAAATTAGCGCTAATAGGAATGTTGGATGATAGTAGTAGTAATAGCAGTTCGGACAATAGCAATAATGAGGATATGTTATTGGTTAACCATCTTATAGAAAAAGTAAAAAAATTAGGTTTAAACTATGAAACTGTCAAATAAATGAATTGATACCAGCGTGCTTAAAGCATTTTTCTTTTTGCATGAATTGCATATAAAATTGATCAGGCACAACACAAATACACGGTAAAACAATCTCCGGTTAAATAATCTACCTTGAAAGCTTTTATTTACAGAAAGACAAACAGCGATTGTTTCGTCTCTTTCCATGTGAAATGATTGGCAATGAGAACACCTTATCTGTTTTGTCGCTCAATTGCTGGTAAACAGAATAATAAAAGCATTGAGTTGTTTGAAATAACTTATTTTAACGAAAAAAAAAGGGGACTTTATATCGTTGCTAAACAACGTCAATTCCGTTTGGAAGCGATCGCAAATAACATTGCCCAAAAAAATTACGATATAGTTGCACTTCAAGAGGTCTGGATGTTAGAGGATGTGGAGTATATCAAAGAAAAAACAAAAAACAATTTACCTTTTGCACATCATTTTCGCAGGTATGAAGGGAAGGAAAAATGAAGGAACGAATCAAGCAGAAGCTCACATTTAGTTCTATATTATAGTGGCACGCTTGGCAGCGGCTTGATATTACTAAGTAAATTCCCAGTTTTATCTTCGTCTTATTTAAAATTCTCTTTGGCCGGCAGGCCGCTCAAGGTCTTCCAAGGTGACTATTTTGTGGGCAAAGGATGTGCAGGCATAACTGTTGATCATCCCGACATTGGCCTTATCGACGTTTATACAACTCATCTACAAGCTGGTTATGGATTAGTCGATGATTTTGAAGTGCAAAGGATCACTGAATGCTGGCAAATTGTTCAATGTGTAAGGAATTCAGCTGCTCAAGGTCGACACGTTATTTTGGTTAGTGTTACGCTCCATAGTGTATAATATGAGTTTTGCATACACCGTATGTCGATATTATTGACAACTGTTATTCACTAGACCGGAGACTTTAATAGTGTACCAACTAGTCTTTGTTATCAATTACTAAAATATCATGGGTTTATGACCGACTCATGGTTAGAGGTACACGAGCAAGGCATGGTAAAAAGCTTGGAACAGTTCAATAAAGATGAGATGACAGCCAGTGAATGTATCCAACAATTTGGCATTACTTGCAATTCACCCCTTAACACATGGACGCAGCATTTCTCAAAACAACCAGAAGCCTCACATAAAGGTGTGGGTGATCGACTAGACTATATCTTTTACCGTTGTACGCCTCAGCTCTTTTGCAAGTCATCCAAAGTCGTGATGGAAGAATATATACCTGGGACAGAAATGAGCTTTTCAGATCATTTTGCTGTTCACTCCGTGTTCACTGTAAAATCGAAAAGGAATACTCCTCTACTTATGGTGGAGACAGATAGTGTAGATGACAAGGTCAAACATTTGTTTGCACCTTTACAGCAGCAAGTTGTGAGGCCGAATTTCACAAATATGCCCTCAGAGACTTTCAAAACAATTACGCACTTGATTGAAAAAGAAACACACCGAGCCAAATTAACATCAACAAAACATCTAACAATATTGTGTGTCTCAACAGTAATGATTGTTATCATTTATGCTATTCAAATCATCGTCCCTCAATTGTTTCACGATAGTCTCCTTGCTAGTTTGTTAACTAGCGTCATCAGCGGCCTCAGTCTGATATTATTGGCTATTGTTGCTATTATCAGTCTTATTGTAGGTTTTGTTTTTGGTAAGATGGAGCAAAGAACCCTGAATCAGTTCCTCTCAGATTTAAACTTGTGTTTGGAAGCAATAAACCACAAACAACAATGTAGTGTCTTAAACGATGATGCTACAATGTTGACCGGTAGAGAGAGTACTTTGGAATATTCAGGTGCAACAAGTAAAGATACCACTACGATTTCAGCATCAACAATCACAACTGCATCTACCAAACAAGATGACTGAATGACTTGTCAAAATCAACAAATGAATAGTTTGTATTCAAAATATACTTTTCATAGCATTTAATGATTCTACTACTTCTGTAATTCTCTTGCACTATTATCTGATTATCATTATACTTTCAAGGTCATTTTAGAAATATTATTGATAGTGATTATTTAACCGTTGTCCATTTCTTCTACTCTTGAGTTCCTGAGACAGTGCATCCAGTAAAGCATATTTTGTATCAGTTAAATTCGCCAAGTCGTTCAGATAATCCTCATAAGCCTCTTTAATCTCTTCATTAATGCCCATTTCGTCTCCTTCTTTTTTACTACTACCAGCTTTGGATATCAAACTTTCTAATTGTTCTGCCATTTCCCTTTCTCTTCGTAAACACTCATCTAAGCCCCTCATTTGCATCTTATGTAAGTTGAGAAACTTCTTGATACCGGTTAAGCCTATTATTGAATCATTATTTACGTCTTGTGATTGTGAACGGTCTGGACTCAACTGATCCAGTTTAGCTCTTTTCAATGGCGGCACTGTTTTTGATGGAGACGTAGGTGTTGTCGACTGATATTCTCGCTTGTTTGTATTCGCTGACTGCATCGATATCGTCGTTATTGTGTCTCCAGCAGAAATAGATGGTATGTCATCCATGTCATCAGTATCATCGACAGGCCCTAAGGGAGGCGTAAAGAACTTTGCATCCAATTCTTGTTGAAAGACTTCTTCCGGTGGGGACTCTAACCGTTTCATATACTTGGCTTTTCGACGCGGAGTCGTTGGTGGAGGTTCAATGATATCTACACTATAATGCCGATTAGACTCATTGTTTGGTGTCGTCAAGGCTGTTTGAGAAACTGGAAAATCCACTTCAAAAAGATTTTCGGATACGCCGGCATCTTCCCAAATATCAGAACTAGCAGCAAGACTGCGGTTGTCATAGTTATCAAGGTAGTCGGTTCTTGTATCATCCATCTCCTCATTATCTTCAAAATCTTCTAATCCGACTGCTCTCATTTCTTCATCCTCCGCATTTTGTTGTATCAAAGCAAGCGACGGTGGCTGCTGTTCCTTTTTTATGCTTAATGTATTTGTTGAACTTGCTGTCATATTGTAATTATAGTCGCTATTTAACAATCGTGGGTCAGATTCTCCTCTGAGTTGCTTTACTCTATCTGCATAGCGAAGTGTATTTAATGTATGCTCGCTATTAGAAATATTAGGTGAAATGGTTGCAATCATGCAAGTTCGCGAATCACCAGTGAAAGAATCACGTAAAACCTGAGTTAATTTGCTTCCTCTGAAAGGTGTGTGAGATTTATTCTGATCTAGTGCTCGAATGCATTCTTTCAAGGCCAAAAGACTTTTGTTGATCTCTGCGCCTTCCATTCTATAGCAATCATTGGTGTGAAAGACGAAAACGAAAAAAAAAGCAGTGAGTTACACATCATTTTGGAAAGGCAAATTTTACCATTTACCTTGTCTGGGTATTAGCTTCCCCTCGGTCCTGTCCTCGTTCGCTTCCTGCCAAATCAATAAATATCAATTTACCATATATTTTTGAAGAAGCTGACGAAGTCGTTGTTGTTGCTGCTGCCGTTGTGCTTATAGCTGTTTTATTGAGCGTTGAAGATGCTTTATATCGTAAACAAATTTGCAGAACGGCGTGAGACCGCGAAGAAGTGTTATTTGCTCCAGTTTTACCAGTTGTTCTACTTGCATTGCCATAATCAAACACTTGCATTAACTGATCTACATTTTCTATGGTATATTCCTTCAATCCAGCGATCACTACGTTGCCATTTCCGTCTTCTCGTGCGTTCAGTTTTGTTTTTTTATTCAATAAATCGAACAGTTGCCCTTGGTATATCTCATAAAATCCAATACTTGTTGTTAAATGGCGGTATTCGGGCTGTTCAAGAAAATGAAAAATATCTTGGGCAGCCAAAACGTACAAGCCATGTTCAGGGTCAAGCATCGTGTACGTTTTCCCGGAGCCCGTCTGTCCATGAGCGAAACAAGTCGCCTTTCCCCCTGTAAACACATATTCAACCAAAGGCTTTGCTGTGCGGGCATAAATTTCTTCGTTCGTAGTGCTCGCATCGAATGTATCATCGAAAGTGAAAGAGTGCGTTTCTGTAAACGGCGTGAGATCAATTTTAGTTCTTGGTGCATGTATTTGAATGGTACGGTTGCCTATCAGAGAAGTAATATCGGTTTCTTGATTGTTAATTTCCTTTTTGTTGAGAGGCCTTTTTCGAACACAAACACGGATACGTTGATTCAATTCAGGGTTTAAGGTTGAACTAAACAACATATGATTATTGTTGTTCATTCTAATAGGGCTAGATTGTTGCTGCTTTCGCTGATAATTAATACTGGTATCATTATGTTTGTTTTTGTTATTACTGTTGTTCGTATTTGAGCTGATTGGGTTTGTTGAGGTTACACTCGAGTATTTTTGCTTTTGCGCCGGAATAGGTATGCCGTATGTATCTAATAACCTTGTTGACGGAATGTTTTCATTTATATTGGTAACATTGTCATTAGTTGCTATTACGGTTGTTCCTGTTGCCCTTGCCTTATTAAAGGTTGCTGTGGCAGCAGCTGGCCTGGGGCCCGAACGAATTTGTTGCGGAGAGTGTGAAGTTGGTGCATTATATCTTTTAGGGCTTGTTGTTAAGCGTTTCGGTGTAGCAGGAATTGCACTAGATGACGGAAAAGAGGCAGAAGTAGGTTGATTCTGTCGTACAGGTGACTTAATTATTGCTTGTTTACGGGATGAAATGGTAGTGAACGACGTTGGCATTTGAGAGAGTCGTCGCGGGTTTGGCGTAGCATTACCATAGTTGGTATTTGTAAAATTTGTATCATTGCTTTGCACAGAAGGAGTTGGTAATGTACGAGGTATAACTGTTTGAGGCGCAATAGTCATTCTTCTTTTGCTACGGTCAGTGGTGTTTCTTGGAGGTGACTTCACATATGGTCGCTTGTTACTGTGTGCAGGTATTGTCGTTAGGGTGGTAGTTGTTATGGTAGTGTTGTTAAGGTTAGAAGGTTTGTTCAATGATTGTTGGGCTGCTCTTTTGGGGGAGGTCGCTTGTGCTTTTTTATTATCGTGAATGTTGTATTGTCTTGCTAGAGCTTCTAACTTGGATTTATCTTTTCCCAATACACCCAGTTTGATATAGTCTGTTTCAGGCAACTAATCAAGCGATGAGTTTCCATTAGCTAAATTGAGCTGCTTACAATAACTTTAAGTGAGCTATTTAGACAAACCTACACGAGCTAGTTTGTTCAAAGAAACTATATTCTGTTGCATAAACCTATGAGAGATAGAAAAGTCAGATGCCTTACTCTTGGGAATGTGTCAATCTTATAGAAATGAGGACAATTACTTCGGATAGTACTAAAGGATTAAAAAAGAAAAAGTGTCAGAGTGCTTTTAGGATACCGAGAACCCCTGGAAGAGTCGAGAACATTACCTGTACTAAGTCATGTTCTTTTAAAGCTTCTAGTAATCCTTTTGCGCTCATAGATGGTATATCAGAATTAAAATTGCAGACTTAAAAAAAGCAATCGTATTTAAAATAAACTGCATGTTTTTATCAACGTCAGTCTCGAAAATCATTTCTAAAAACGAAGTTCAAATTACAAATAGCGAAACGCGCATTTTTCTTCGCGTTCATCAACCGAATGGTTTAAGAAAAATGCGACGACAAACGGAAGCAAAGCGGGCCATTTAGTCTAATAAAAATATTTTCTTAGAAGACATACGTCAAGTTTTGCCATCAGTGATATTCAGCAACATCAATGGTTAACGAAGAGAAACCATTAACTACAGTTACTGCTATCCTCGTTGAGCATTTAGTAACAAAAATGAAGTACTAATCCTTAGTTTAATGATATATCACAGCTGGCTCTTTAAAAGTTCATTTCTTCAAATATCATGCTAATTTCAGTTTAACGTAAGGATAATGCTTCTTCGGATGACATGATATTGAATGTCCACAGAAATATGACTGATTTGAAGCTTTGAACCACATTCGCCATAAAGGAGCAGTAGGTAAGCTGTAGGTTGTAATATAGCGGTCAACATTCTGCGTCACTAGGCTTGCAACGCCTTACAGTCGTGTGCAAGTACATTGAATATTATATTAGCCAATCGTCATACTGAACACAGCTGTTACCGAACCAAAGATGAAGAGACACTCTCACCCTTGAAAAAGCCTATCAAATATTCATGGCATGCTTTCAGTATTTTTAATTTTTTTCATGGATATAGCGTTTATCCTTTTTCCTTACTTCTGCAGTATACCCCTCTCTGTGCCTTTGTACTGCAGAAGTTCAATCATGTAAGACAAGCTCATACATACCTATTTTCTTGCCTTCCTCGACAGATTGAATCTTCAGATTTACTAGCTATCTCTTATATAGCGCCATATTCAAAATATCTTTAATGCTTGCCTCTGCCAATGATTTTTTACATCTACTTTCTCTGCTATTATTTGAAGCAATTGAGGAGGCAAAGGTTAAGCGCTGCTCCCGCTTGTGGTTCATCAAAGCAACCATGATAGCACAGACAACATCGATTATAACATCATGTATTTTTTTCTTCATTGTATTTTCAACGAACACTGGTGATCAACAAAAAGCCTTCACCATTGCAGAAGCAACAATATCTAGCAGCAGAAGCACCACAACGAAGATTATAGTTTAACAATACTGATTTATTATACGGTCGCTGTGATCTTGTACACTCAAATTAGCCTTTATTTGAACTAACATTACCATTGAGACTGGACTGCCATGATCGCGGAAGGGCATACCGAATTGATGTAACAACAAGGAAAACAAATATAGCGCTAATATTTGAGTATCAGTTGGTACTCGGCACGTACAAAATTATTCAGTTGTAGCCATTCGTATGAAATCGGACAACAATTATTCCATTATAACTGAAGAAGAGCGAAGGTACTAGAGGAAAGAACAACTCTTGTAGACGATCAAAGAATGAAAAATATGGTGACAGCAATAATTTCATCGATCAACATGTTAAAAGGACAAGTGTAAAGGAACAGTAAAAAGATTCTGTCGTTATAGAATGTATTGTGCCAGTCTTGTTATGGGTTTCCTTTAACTTACTGTGCTCTCGTTTGGAGTTATCACTGTTTGCTATCTAAAAACCACAGATTAAACAGATTCCACATAATTGGGAATTTGAATAGCTGCTTTGACATGCACGGTGTATTCTTGTGTTCCTTCAATAATGGTGCTTTTTGCCTCTCTGGAGAGGAGCCAAATTTCTGTATAGCTCCTGGTCATCTACAACGCTGTTTTGGCCTTCCTTCTTGCTTACTGCAGAGATGCCTCGTCGCAGACATAGCATAGAACAATTCCGTTTTCCAGTTTCTTAGCGAGCCTCTGTTTACTGTTTGCAACTAGACGTAATATTTGTCGCAATCAAAAGTATTTTGCAACCAATTCATTAATACGGTAGCAATTCTACCATCATTGCTATAACTTTTTTTTTCAGAAGAGGAGGCAGTGTTTTTTCTCATCACTTACAAAAAAAGTTAATGCAATAAAAGGATCAGCAATCTCCTTCCCCTATTTTTGCTTTGTTTGTTGTTGTCTGTGACGCGCTGTCGCCTTTCTTACAAAAAACTCCAAATTCTTTCCTTCAATTAAAGCTTGCTTTTTGCGACACTTAGTAATTTACTCATTCCTGTATAAGTCATAACCATTCATTACTATGAAAAGATCACTCGAAGACGCCGAAACCGATCAACGCGCTAAACACTTGAAAGCCTATAACAATACATCACCATCTAGTACTTCCTCATCACCACAATATATAAGGGAGCATTCAACCTCACCTTATCATTATAATCGACCGCCATCGAAAAACCCACGTTTTTTCAAGGGCTGTTCAAAGATAACAGATTATGAGTTTTTAGATAAACTGGGTGAGGGCACTTTCGGGTATGTATATATGCTATGTTGCATGTATTTTAAAGTGTCTTTTTCAATTTGCGTGTGCTGTATTGACTCAAGAAAATGAAAAAAAAAAACTTCGCTCCGTGGTATCTCTGAAATAGTGAAGTACATAAAGCTAGAGATAAACATACGCAAAAGTTAGTTGCTTTAAAGAGGATTCTAATGCATAACGAGAAAGAAGGAGTAAGTTACTATCACTGAACCTATGCACGCTAAGCAAAATAGTAATAGTGTTTAACTGTATTTTACCAGATTCCAATCACAGCTATTCGTGAAATCAAGATTCTCAAACAACTGTCTCATAAGAATATTGTTCCTCTAACTGATATTGCTGTTGAAAGAGGTTAGTAAGCTAGCGCATATGATTCTTGCGATAATTCTTTCTCCTTTATTCAATTAAATCTGCACAAACAGGTGATTTGAGTAGAAAGGATAAAGGTGGAATCTACATGGTCTTTCCTTATATGGATCATGACCTGGCGGGTTTACTGGACAACCCTAAAGTACGTCTAACTCAACCACAGATTAAGACTTATCTCAAGCAATTATTAGAAGGAACAGCCTACCTTCATCATGTGAGTCTATGCTAAACTGTTTATCACTTCTGAATGTTACGAGGTTCTTATGATTTGCTATTTTTATTGCGTAGAATAATATTCTTCACCGTGATATGAAAGGTAATGCATGAATTCATCCAGGGCAGTAAATAATTGTCTATACAGAAAACTGATATCTCGATACACATGATTAGCTGCAAATTTGCTGATTAACAACGAAGGCATATTGCAAATCGCAGATTTCGGTTTAGCAAGAGGTGTAGAGAGTGGTAACAGAGAATATACCGGTTGCGTTGTGACAAGATGGTATCGCCCGCCTGAGCTATTCCTTGGTGAACGACGATATACTAGCGCCATCGATATGTGGGGCGTGGGGTAAATTGATGTAAATTTTCACATGCTTAATTAGATCAAATAACTTAAGGTTCAATCACTTTTTTCTAGTTGTGTTTTTGGTGAATTGCTTAAATCGAGGCCTATTTTACAAGGACAAGATGATCTTGACCAACTCAAAAAGATCTTTCAACTATGTGGATCTCCCAATCAAGACAATTTTCCAGGTTGGGATAAGTTACCAGACGCCAAGAAGGTTAAATTTGAAACCACCCCACGACACGTTAGAGAGGATTATAATCAGTTTGATCCCTTGGCTGCAGATTTAATGGATAAACTACTTGTATTGGATCCTGCGCAACGAATAACAGCTCTTGAGGCATTGGAGCACGACTATTTTTATACTGCACCTTTGCCAGCAGAGCCTTCCGAGTAAGTATTATTTTGCTTTCACCACCCAGCGTCTGAGATCAGCTTATTCTAATGAACTCTTTAATAGATTACCCAAATACGAAGCGTCTCATGAATTTGACAGAAGAAAAATCAAACGTCATCTTATTTAGAAACTACATCATATTTATTTAATTTTACACGCTTCCTCCTATATCGTTTGTTCAAAGTGCATCATTTCTTATACAGTTACCATTATTTCTAATGTATTGCCAATTCTTAAAACAATGAATACGTATACAACTATCTATTGCCTCAATTTGAGTTAAATTCACGAGTGGAAAGTTCATTTATTTTCAAGCAGAAAGATAATGCATAATCGCGTATTCGAACCAAATTTTTCAAGGTGCTTCTATTTTGAACACCCATAATAATTCATTACGATCCAACATATGTTCAGGTATGTATATGATCAGTCTATCAGTGCTAACAATACGCCATTGTAATATTTCCTTGCTGAATCGCTTTGATGATAAAAGGGTGATAAGTGAATTTTCATGTAACGGCACCTTTGTTTGAATAACCACGCGTTTGCTTAACGGTGCTTCGAACTTGAAAATATAGAATGCGGAACCATCCTTCGCTTGTGTAAAGTATAAAGACTGAGATGGTTCGCAAAAATCCGCACTAGTGACCCAATAGGGTACAGTAGTGAACAAACTCTCTCCCACGCGGTCTATCCATTGACCCATCTCTAAGAGTCTCGCTCTTACGACGGGTGAAATACGACCTGACATCTCTGGTCCAATGTTAAGCAGAAAGTTACCGCCCTTCGATATTGTGGAAACTAACTCTTGTAGTAAAACTTCTACTGTCGCATATTGATCAGGTCTTGTCTCGTGATTAAATCTAGTAGAGAATTATGCCTTTGGTATATATAAAAAACAGCATAAAAATAGTTTGTCTTTACCCAAATGAATGTGGATCAATTCCACGTGTAGATTCCCAAAACCTACCAATGTCAGAGAGTTATACATTCGACGTTCTTTCCTGATAAAGACTGATGTTGATCGTAATAATTGTTCTTATTGTCTTACCTGAAGGGGATGTAGTTCTTTTCACTGTATTCAGCTGTCTCGAAATCAGAAACGCTGTTGCCACAACGATCATTTATTGTCACTTGCTTGCCTTTTTGTCGTGCCTGATTAAAAAACTTGGCCTGCCAAGAAGTTGAATTATTGATGCCGCCGATATCACACCACATAATATCTGGATCAAAATTGTGAATAAGTTCCATGATTTGAGGAATTTGTACCTCGTTGACAAAATCTGATACTTCAGCTGCACCATGGTAAGTTACTTCTTTATCAGTATACGGGTTTTTTGGTGGCCCATGCCAATTGAGGGAATAGTCTTGGTAACTAGGATGATACCATTCTGGCAACGAGACTAATAGCCTGTTAATCGAACAATTTAAAGCAGCTTATCTCCTGTGATGATTGAACTTACAATATAGACCTTTTTTCAACCAAGGATAATGTCTGTCAGCAACAGTCAACAACTCTCTCACGAAATCACGATGAGGATGCAATTTTACAGTTGATCGATCTGTTACTTTCGTATCAAACAAAGCAATACCGTCATGATGCTTCGTTGTGAATACAAAGTAATTAGCACCACTGGCATCTATGAGGTCGAGCCAGTCTTTTGGGTTGTATTGGTCAGGGTTCCAAAGAGGAATAAAATCGTCATACTCAATATCCGGTCCATAAAAGGATCGATGGAAGTGATAGGTAGGGCTATTTTTCTGGTTGTAATTCCACCAGTACCATTCTGCATAGTCTTTACCTACAGGTGCCCAAGCAGGGACGGAATACACGCCCCAATGAATGAAAATGCCAAACTTGGCTAATTCAAACCAAGTAGGAGTGGAGTGTTCCTGCAATGACGCTTCCGTTTCTTTGTAATCTTCTATTCCTACATTTATGAAATTGAAAGTGACGGGTGGCACATCTAATAGCGAGCGCTCATAAACATCTGTAACTGTCACGGTCAGGCTTGTAGAAACACGTTTTCTGTGTAGACTGCGTAAGGCCACATCAACTTCCATAAAGTGACCCGGTGCCAAACGACGAATATGTCCATGATATTGTGTACTTATCAGTGGACCTTTTACGAATACACTTGCATCTTTAATCCATCTGGTTCCTGTGTTATGTACTTTTACTGTGACAATAGGAAATTCGTCTGATGTATTTTGATCAAAAGAAACTGATTTTTTGCTGCCACTCAGTAATTGCTGATTATTCATCTTGGGTGCTAAAACAGTCTGCTTATCGTACCATCGACGAGTACTTTTCAAAGAAATGACATTCACAAATAAAGATGAATGCAGTAACTGTTGCTGCTGTTGATGACGTAAATGATATATATTCTCAATCGAATGCTGTTCTATTAAATTAGACGGAGCAACAGTGATTGACGACGGTGGTTCCGACGAAATACCTGTTATAGCGAATATGTGTAATGCCGGCTGAAACGACCCTAAAGGTCCATTCGACGGTAATATCATATAAGAAGCGCGTTTGGAAGGTTCTGTCAGGACGGGTATGACCAAAAGCGATCCCTTTACGCGGTTGTTCAGCGGGCAAGTAATGGTATCAATACGATGAATTTTCGAGATATATCGGACTTGCCAATCTGGCAAATTCAAATTAGTTGTTGTTTGTGTGCCATCCTCGTAAACGATAGTGATATCTGTTGTAATAGGGCCATGGTTAACAGCACCTAGTAGGTAAATTGCGCCAAACTTTCTCTTCCTCTGTTTCTCAGGCGAATTTAGTGCAATTGATAAATCAATAAATTGACTTTGGCACATGACATTATCGTAAGATGCTCTTGAAGATATTGCAAATGGAAGATTATTCACTCGAATGATTTGGCTACTATTATTGTTGCTCGAGTCGGAAAGAGCCGTTGATAGCGGAGAGGGGGCAGGTGGTATTGTTAATAAGGGGCATTGGAAGTATTGCCCTGTGCCATCAAAATTTGACCCTAAACCTGAGGCACCACGGTTGTTTAGATGGTGCGCGAGCTCAATAAAAACTGTTCGACCTCCACTTTTTTGCTCATTTTGAGATGACACTAATGGAATTGATGCAAGAATGAGGAGAACGACAAGATCAAAGATTAATGTGAGCATGGATATTCATAAAAACCAGGTGAATGAGAGAAAGGAATGAATCGAGATGGAGGAGAATTTTAGCACTGGGAAATACTTCACATCATGTGTGAGAATTGAATAACATGAATAGAGTCACATTTCATTAGGATGATAAATAGTGTTTGCTGTTTACACCAAACTCTATATTTTTTGTTTTCGTTAATGCAATCTTTTATTATTTAATTGTACAACTGTTTGTCAAGTTTATTTTAATATATTACACTCTTTCATCGACTTTTGGAAATTGAACCTCCACTGTCGGCTTTATTTTTGCTGTAGAGGCTGCTTCTTCTGCAGTCGTTGTAGTCGTTATTGTTGAAGATGAATTAGAAGCAGCAGGTGAGAGCGAAGGTTTAACATGCTGTCGTTTAAAAGATTCTCGTTGTTCCGTTTTATTATGAGACTGATGGGAGCGGAGGAAAGAATCTTGTCGCATACAGTTCTTCCGAGCCGACTGGAAGGCCATTAAATAAGTGACGACCATATGGTCTTCAAGACAAGTTTTGGAGATAAGAACTTCTTCAGATAAGAGAGAAGAGGAAGGATGTAATGAGAAAGTAACCTCATCATTAACAGGACGGACGTTTTTAGTTGAGGGCTGCGGTAAAGCTGATTCAGAATGGCGAGAAGTGCATGCAGGCGTTGACTTTCTTCTATTACTAAAAGCAGTAGCTGAAAAAGCTCTACTAGTGGGTCGAGAAGATATTGGTGCTGTTGATACGGATGAATAAGAAGCAGGAGATGGCGGTGATTGGTCTGATAGTGTTGTACCGGGTAACTTCATTTCTGAAGAAGAGCATTTCGCGGTAGGTAAAGATGATGCCAGCGATTTGTTTCGACGAAATTGATAAACAGTACCTGGAACGTATAAAAGTGGGTATCGAGGTTCGCTAAAGTGGTATATTTCTTTACGACGCGCTTGGATGATATCGAAACACGCCTTTCGTGTGTCAAGGTTACTATTGACTTTACTTGAGCCACCTAAGCCGTCCACTGCTATACAAGCATCCATGATAAGCTCTTTAACGCATGAAGCGGTTCCATAAGACAGGCGAGCCACCAAATCATCGTGGCACACAAAACTGTCTATGTAGTCTTTGTACTTTTCGGATAGATCATGTGAAACACTTGCTACGGGTGCATAACTGTAGCAATGAACCTTAAAATCTGGAACACCTGAAATTTCACGTAATTGATCCAAGTGATCAATTACCATCATCGTCAAAACGGCTGCCGCACCTGCCCCAAGAGAATGGCCAGTGATGATGAATGAGGAAATTTTGCGCTGACCTGATTTAGTCTGTTCTGCCACATAAAGAAAGATTTGTGGTATTATACGTGTAAAGAACCATTGAGCAGAGGCCAGAATACCTGAATGAACTAAGCCGCCTTTCCAAGGTCGATATTCACAAACTAAATCTGTTATACAATCATAAAGGCTCTAATATATATATATACATACGTACATGACGAAACACCCCCCCCATTCAAGTGGGTAAATGTTAGATTTCTGATGCAAACTCAAGAATGACTCTAAATGATGGAGCAAACTTTTTATGCCTTACCCATGTTCCACGTATACCTAGTACTACCGCCTCATGAACATGGTCGTATGAAACAAAGTAACTAGGCTGAAACACAGCCCCCTTTCGCAAGCCGTACTCATATCCCAAAAGATCTTCTTGCGGTATCTTCAGGTATCTAACGATAGCGTCCTTATTTGATTTCGTTTTCACAACATCTAAATAGTACATTATAACTTAGAAAAATCATACAATACAAATGCAGCCAGTGAGTAATTCTATTACCTTTAAGATATTTTGCATAATCTCCCAAATAGGATATTCCTCTCCAGCCCTATGTATTCATTCCATTAGTCAGACTACGAGTTAAGAACCGAGGGACGTATACTGTAGCATATTTTCAATGTTATGTCTTACATAAGCAATGATAGCATGACCCAAAAAGTAATATGCTTCATCTAAGAACTTCAGATCTGTTATTTTTGCAGCAGGCGGTGATCTTTGGATGTAAGAATGAATGCGGTATAATAAGCTAAACCGTAGTTGATAAACCCCTTGTGCATGGAATATTTAGACTTACCTTGGTACTTCAGAGTAGAAGGTTTGTAACAGAGATAAAGAGGATATTAACTGAAGTATAGTAATTTTGAATCCCTGGCCCTAATATAACAACTTGACGAACGTTTAACAAGGCTATTTTTGAAATGCTTGTGCTAAGGTAAGTGTGCAAATGATACTACTCACAAAGGCATTGAACATTTTCACTACAGCTCTCAGCAGTATGCGTGTCTGGGGACTGACCACCATACCAATCATGCGATCCAAACTCGGATGTGATATTGCTACTTCCTCAAATGACTCGTTGATCCATCGAAATGCAAAGTTTTTGTCACCAAAATTATGACTCTTGATACTTGCTTTATCCGAAAAACTTTCTCTGATATTTTTGACACTGTCACTACTGCATTTTCTTGAAGTGGGTGATGACGTTAGAGAAGAACTCTTCTTGGTCGTCTCACCGTCTCGTTTAGGGAAATGAACTGTATTAATATTCGGTGGTGGTTGTTGAGCTGTCTTTTCTGGATTCGTTTGCTTCTTGATAGTATGACTACTTTTGCTCAAGGTACTTTTGAACATGGAATCAACAAAGGATTCACTTTTGGGTAAGGTTACACTGGCTGAACCTTCATTTGCAGGTGTTGTCGGTGTTGAAGAAGTTTCTGAAGATAGAAATGGAACAGATTGCAGATCTTCTACAAACACCAATTTCGGCTCGACAGCATCGTGATAAGAAGATCTTGTAGTTGTGTCTTTTGACGTTGCAGTTATTGGAGAGTAAGCAGTTGCAGTTGAGCTGTTATTACTACAATAACTACTGTCTGTGGTTGTGGTGCTGCTGCGGTAACTCTTTTGGCTACTTTTTCGAGATGTTGTCAGATATGTGTGAAACGTTTCCATGGATTGGTGTGTTAACTGATGCTCGAAATAGAAAGGAGCCAAAATGTCTGACTCCAAATCCTCGCCTGAAGATGTTACATCCGGTGGATGCTGGTAAGAATATCGCACTCTCACCTGAATAGATCCTATAAAAGGCGTCATTGAATGTCTGCTATGACTCGGATGGGTTTGGTAAGTAGGTGGTGTATCGACATAAAGATCGTCTTCCTGTTCTTTATCTTCTTCATCGTCATCAGATTTTTCTTCTTTACGGACGTCATCCGCATTTAGCTGGGTCGTAGCAAATGATGCAGAACCAGCTCGGGTGTATCGCTGGCGATGGTGCTGTAAGTGATGATAGTGTTTCTTATACTGCTCCTTAAACCTCGAGACATTCGGCATGATATGCGATTTAAGAAATGTATGTGGTAGTTGAATATGTGCAGGTAAGTACCTTCTAACATGATATTCGTACATCGGTAAGAATCTAATTACGTATACAGCAGAAAAAAAAGATACATCAGTTTATTTTGATGACCTATCTACAGTTTCCCTTCATCTCATCGTTCTATGTCAGAAAATTACTGATGTTGGTTGTTTCAATTTTTACGTGATAAATACGTCGTCTCTATGAATGAGCCTTGAGATTTTCAGTTTGGCTTTACCGATATGTTTGGCCTTTGACCTCCATTTTTTCCGCTTATCGTACAAGTCCAACTACACAGAAGAAATTTCATTCGGAACAGCAGAAAAGAGTTTAGAAGCATGAAATCATTTGTATTTCGTTGATTTTTTTTTGTTTTTCTCATCATCAAAAAAGTAATACTTACTTCAATTGTATCAAATAACTGATTGTGATATGAAACAGTGAACAAAAAACCTTCATTCCAATTGCCGTTAGGATGTTTTGACCTCGAGGAAAAGTAGTGCTGCGACCCCATTCTGAGTCTCATGAGGGGTCGTTTCAAAGAGACATCACTTCGAACATTGAGTAAATCGATCTAAGAAGAAGAAGAAGATAAATGAATAAACAACTGCTCTTAGAGAGACCAAAGCTGTAAAACTCAAAGTACCTGAAGTTTTCCAGGCGCCAGTTTCGGTACATTGTCTATGGATTCTCTTTTGTTATATTCATTCTTTAATTTAGCAAGGTCGGGAAGTGAAAGCTTTCGATTTAAGGTACTCTTTGAGAGACTATTGTTCTGGTTGCTATCTTCCATTTGATATCGAGAAATCAGTCAAAGTCAGATACATGAAGAAAAAGAAAGAAGAAAGGAAAAGAAGCAAAAGTGAGACTCACTTTCAAAAAAGGAGAAAGTAAGAAAAGAGATCATTAAAAAGAGCACAGAAAATAATACCTCCTCTTTCCTTACATGAGCTTTGTAACAGGAAAAAAAAAAAATTAAATGAATCAAGGCACAAAGAAGCAAACATTGAACAATTTCAAAAATTGATTTGATTGGACAAAACACGTGTTGGGCAGTAAAATACCTGCTACATTGTAAGATAACTGAGAAGCTATATCGTTTGTACAAAAATAAATAGAAATTTATTTTTCAGAACATGTAAAAAGTTTAAAGCTTTTTAATGAATTATGCAATAAAGATGTGATGGTTATTAAGCAAAGAGAATTAATGAATTATCTAAAAGAATGTGTTTAGAAAGTTATTTACAAAACGTTCTTGTTGTTCAAACGGTCAAGAGCTTGTTGGATACGAGAGATCATGGTTTGTTCAGCAGCACGGATGAAGACACGAGGATCGTAGAACTTCTTGTTGGGCTTGTTTTCACCTTCGGGGTTACCAACTTGGGTTTGGAGGTAGGCCTTGTTCTTTTCATAGAAGTCACGGAGACCTTCCCAGTAAGCCCATTGAGTATCGGTATCGATGTTCATCTTAACAACACCGTGGCTAAGGGCAAGAGTGATTTCTTGTTCAGTAGAACCGGAACCACCGTGGAAAACGAAGAAGACGGGCTTTTCTTCGTCAGTCTTGAGTTGTTCCTTGACGTAAGCTTGGTGCTTACCGAGGAGTTCGGGGTGGAGCTTGACGTTACCGGGAGCATAGACACCGTGAACGTTACCGAAAGCAGCGGCAATGGAGAACATGTCAGAGACTTCAGAGAAGCGACGGTAGATTTCCCAGATATCTTCGGGTTGAGTGTAGAGGGCAGAGTTGTCGACACCAGTGTTATCGACACCATCTTCTTCACCACCGGTGATACCGATTTCCATTTCAAGGAGACACTTCATGGGAGCCATGCGCTTAAGGTACTTAAGACAGACTTCAATGTTTTCTTCCATGGGTTCTTCAGAAAGATCCAACATGTGAGAAGAGAAGAGAGGTTCACCGTGAGCCTTGAAGTATTCTTCATCAGCCTTGAGCATACCATCGAACCAAGGGAGGAGCTTCTTGGCACAGTGGTCAGAGTGGATAAGGACGGGGACACCGTAGGCCTTGGCAACGGAACGGACATATTGAGCACCGGCAACAGCACCAAGGATAGAGGCTTCTTGGTTCTTGTTATCAATGGCCTTACCACAGAAGAAAGCGGAACCACCGTTGGAGAATTGGATGATGATGGGAGAACCGTTCTTGCGGGCAGCTTCCAAAGCAGCATTGACGGTACTACACAACAAATCATAAAAATGTCAGCTTACTGAAACTTGTCAATATACACACCAGATCTGAAACCCAGCCAGAATGAAGAATCTTTGATTTTGATCATCTACAATGGAGGCATTCGAAATTCTGAAGTTCCACATAGCGAGTAAGAAACTCTTTTTTTAAAGAACTCCGAATGTCTCAGTATTGTTGATTCACGGATTGATTACCAACAGATTATTAAAAATTTCAATCCCAAGAATCGCACAAAATTAAAAAATGCAGTAATATGTGCGTGTATGTGCGTGTGTGTACAACATGAAACAAGTGTTTTCTTCATTCTTCATTGATGGGGCACAGATAAGATATGCATAGAATGCTATTAGTGATATTTACCTGGTGGAGGTACAGTTAATGGCAGGGATGGCGAACTTGTGTTCACGAGCTATCAAATACATACAACATATGTTGGTTAGTGATAAACAATCCAACCCAATATTCCATATCGTGACGATGATGAACTTTTTAGTTATGATAACCTACCGTAGTCGAAAAGCTTCTTAACGTTATCACCAGTAATGACACCAGCAGGAACAATATCTAAGAGACCCATTTTTAATATATTATAAATAGTTTGAGAGAAAAACAGGAAAAAAAAAGCTTTTCAAAGCTAACCAAGAACCACGTCTTTTATATATTTTTTTCGAGCCTACATCATTGAAAATCAGTCAATTAGACAAAAAAAAAAGTAAAACCTTTCTGCTCTAACTGAGAGCAATCTTTGAAAGATCAACTCGTATGATAGCAGAAAAAAATCTGAATCTGAATCCCTTGTTATCTTAGTCCGATGAGTTAAAGATACTCAAGCTTATTAGGATATTTACGCGTCTGCCTTGGGAAGTCTTTCATTTTTATCAATGGTTAGCCCAAGTAGATAAATCTAAGCACCTTTGCCGTACGCTATTCACTGTTTATTTCTATTTATAAGCTCTATCTTCAGCCCTTCCAGAACTATGCTTTCGTCGTTATATGAAAAATTGAAACCTATTCCCAAGATATAACGTTCAAAATTAAAAAATTTTTATTGGTGATTTGAGTTTTTGATAGAATATAGATTAGGCCCATTGATTACTTTAGATCTCAGTCAAAGTTTCCTGAAATCGATAATGTTAGTAATGTTATTGTTGGCATGGAAAGTTATTTAACCGAGGAACATAGAGGATTCAGCCTTAATCTATTTCTAATCCTATATAAAGAGGTTCTTTTTAAGAAACAGTAATGTTACGTCGTACGGAAAGGCTGACACAAAAAAAGCCAATTTATGCTAATCTGATAGTGAACCATAACAGACGCGTTTTCATTGTTATCAACAAAAATCGCTTTCCTACCGCTTTCCTTCAATCAATCAATTTTGGATAAAAGTTGTGGAGAATCGACTGAATATTATATATTTTGTAAGTAGTGCTTGATAAGTTACAGAAAGAAACGCAACATCGGAAAGGCCCGCGCATTGCCATCTAGAGTATCGCCACCATTGGACCTTTATGTATAATTTTTCATATTGAAAAGAACTATGTAAATTGTGTATGGGTCGGGGTGGGGGAAGACAAACGTGGGGCCATGTCATTTATGAAATTGGAAGCGAGAATGATTGCTTCTTTAACGACGAAGGACACTTAGATACACCCCATAGTATGTATGTTGTGTGTCTATTAAAAGACCGGCTCAATTGCAGTGCTCGAATGTGAAAAGAGGGACAACATCAAAGGCGTATTTGTATACTACATCTGGTGTTTTTGTATAACAATAAACAGCCGTTCTACCATCAAAACTTGCCTTTTAAACACTATACATTCTTCTGTTCCCATTGAATGAGCTGACTTTTTTAATGGCTCAAAACCACAGAATCCCCCATAATTTGATCACCTTATTAATAATGCGTTTTACAAAGATGTGTTAAACCTACAAAACAGTTTTTAAAAAATGAGTCTGAGCAGAATCTCTAAATAGCAATCAATTTACCGGCTGATCACTGTATCAATGATAGAAATCTGCAATGTGAAAGCAACTTTGCTCTAATTATTTTCATTGGCATTGCATGGAAAGAGGTAAAAAAAAAGGTTGAAGTACAGGTTAAGACATGCTCCACCTATTATTGCACAAATACTATCCGACATTTACGTAATTTTATTAATTTTTTCTTTATTTTTTTTTTTTTTTCTATCTTGCATTAATGATTTACTATGGATATATGACCTTTTCCCTAGTTATTATTACTACTATTAAAAATGGATCTTCATGACAAATTGATTTTCTCTTAGCAGGCATATCTAACAGTGCATCAATAAAATAAAATAAAAAGAAATGATTAGTCAGATCCACAGCTAGAATTGTTCTATGCCTAAATTCATTATAAAAGGATAGAACATACTTTCTAGTCCATTCACGTGCGATACTATCATGTTCTTCTCTATTATTTAAGTATTCTTGAGCAATGGAACCCACCAAAGGATCATCTATAAAGAGGCCGTAAGTTACAAAGCACTTATTGAGCCCTTTACTAAATTTCTTTGAAAAACTTACGTGGATTGGCGTCGGTCAATAAGGAGCAGATGGATAATAAGACTTTAGAAATAGTTAAAGCTGGTGACCAATTATCTTTAAGGATATCGAGACAAATAGCGCCTTGGCTGTTGATATTACAATGATAAATACGGGTTCTGAAAACAACCTATAGGTAAAGTCAAACCCACTATCAGTTTCGATCCAACAATCAATCCTCAACAAAGAAAAAACTGATTGTTTACCTTAGGTGGCTTGAAAGGGTATTCTTGGGGGAAATGAACATCTAAAAAGAAGATACCTCCAGCATAAGGAGAATCTTTAGGACCAGCAATAGTGGAAACCCACTCATACAAGTTATCGCCTTTTGGTCCAGCACTATGAAAAAAGTGTGTGTTGTTGGTTAGCTTACATAATGAGGTTTTTTTTTTTTTTGGGCTGTCTCTCGTCCCCTTTTCTTGCATAAATCAAACGAATAAAAAAGATGATCTTGTGTACATCTTCAAATAAGGATTAAAAAAGAAGAGTACGGCTTGAAAGAAGAGAACGAAACGGTTCAAATCGATTCTTACCTGCAGTTGGAAGGTGGATCAAGTGAAATTTCTGCTAACTCTTTTTGAATTCTTTGATGTAACAAAAAGACGTTATTAGAAAAGTGAGTGTCTACATCAATATATTCTTCATGATACTTTACCTCTTCGCACTGCTGCTTAAATTCTTCGTAGAAAACTTCTTTTTCGTTGTCTTTTTGACTACACGTCCAGGATGGTTGGGTGTAGAGGAAGAGGTAGAGGTGGAACTGGAAGCAGAAGTAGTTGTTGTGGCAGTAACAGTAACACCAGCTTGAGACGAGCTTTCAGCCTGATCAGTACTCATTGATGAGGTAGATTTCTCGACAGTCTTATTACGAGTTGAACGAGTTGATGCCATCTTCAGAATGCTTAGTACTAATTGGTTCGATTTGGTTTAAAAAACTAGGTAATGTAATCTTTGAACTTTACGAGATGAAATGAGTAACGGATGGAGTTAATCAGAGATTAGGATGTGAGTTTTTTTAAAGGAGGTGAAAAGATAAATGCGTCGTAGTAAGAAAATTTTTTTCTTTCAATTTCCTCCTGTTATTCAGTCGCGATTGATTGTGAAAAAATGAAAAAAAAAAAAAAATCCCGGAGAGACGTGGAGACGTGTTCTGTTCTGATCGACTCTCCAGATGTCCCTCCCTGTTCTTGCGCATAAATTATCAATTAAGAAAAATAATGCTTTTATTCTGTCATGAGATCTTTAATTATACTATATACAGGTGATAGACTAGAAGTAGTCTTCAGTATTAATTATATTTTGTGGTACTGTATTTTGACTATTTCGAAACTGTCTTTCCTTTCTGCTTTGAAGACACTACAGCCGTTGAGCCAGTACCGCTCTTCAATTGCTCTTCTTCTCGCTGCAAATTGGGCACTTCCTTGTTTAATATACCTTCAAGTACTTTAGCATTTTGCGAAAGAGGGTGGTCCAGTCCATTGAACATGTAACAGTTGTTGAATACCAAGCGAGCATCAGCCTCAAACTGCTTGACATTTTTATATCGTCCCTCTTTTAGATTTTTGTGCATGGTACCGAAATCCATTGGATTTTTAATGATAATTGGATAATGAGGGATATTCAAAGCAATAGGGTCCACCTGTGCAGAAAACACCAGTGAGTATGACTTATACATTAGCTGTCATTAGAAAAAAAAAAAAAAGCAATACTTACAGGTTCCAAAAACCCAAAGGATTCTTTACGATTAATCATTTTACGCAAAAGGGATTCCATTTTGGTTTTGATGGTAGGATGAAGCTTCTTTGCAGGCTTTTCAGGGCTCGAAAGTTTAGACTTTTTGGCAGGATGATGGTCGTCTATTGAAGGTGTTTTGGGAGATGGGACAGCAGACGGATGGGGTCGTTTTGTGGGTGTGGGGGCAGTTTCATGATTATTCGTCGTGGTGCTCGTTGGCGTAGATGATGATGTCGTCGATGTTGGCGTCGCTGATGTTGTAGACGCTGCAGCAGCAATACGAGCGCGCAACTCCTTATTGATATTGTTATAGTATTTTTCAAGTCTTTTACCTTGATCATAACCAAATGTACCTTGCGTGTTGTACGTGAAACAATTCTTAAAGACAAGTCGGATGTCACTGTCCAGTGCCGTCAAACTTGTATATTTACCGCTCTCCAATTGTTCCCAGATTGTACGAAGATCCATAGGATGCTTAATAACTACGAAATAATCAGGCAAAGTGTCTGGATCTACTGGTTCATTAAAGATAGCAGCTGCATCATGCAACGTTAACTTATTCACAACTTTCTGAGCAATACGTCTATCGTCACCCTTCAATGCATTTGGTTGTGCAAATTCAGTAGACCAAACTTGATTGAAAAACGTTTCCAAAGCTTGGCACTGTTTGACAACCCATGAAGAATGATCATTAAAGCCATAACAATTCCAGAAAATTTGACGCACATCCTTCTCGAACTCCCAAATTGTTTCATACTTGTTTTCGTTGAACTTTTTACGAATGGTCGAGAGATCCATAGGCCGCTTGATAATTTCATAGTAGTTAGGCACCCCTAGAGCGACTGCATCAACAGGTTCATAAAAGGGTTGAGAGGCTTGATGCGCCCATAATTTTTTGAGAACACGCTCACATCGCTTTTTGTTGCTCTCGGTCATCTCAGATTTAACAGTGGCAGGTTTAGCTTTGCTCACCTTTTCGTGAGATGGTGATTTACTGCTCGTAGAATTAGTTGTTGTAATTGATACTGTTGTAGCGCTTGGGGATTTAACTTCTACTGGCACAGGAGTTTTAAGCGTTGGTTTAGTAGGAGCTGAACTCTTGGGTATAGAAGCAACTGTCTTTTCTGGTGTAGAAGCAGGTTGAGATAGGGTGCCATTAGCAAAATCGATACTGGGAGATGGTGAAGCTTTTGCAACGGGAGTAGGCACTGGATCTGGGGGTAGTATTTCCATTGGCGTTGGTGTTGTGGTCTTAGGTGTTGTAGCAGGGCTTTCTACAATAGTCATATTTTGTACTTCTTCGTTCTTTTTACCGCGTAGATTGGCAACTTCCTTATCGAGTAACTCTTCCAAATCCATACCTGCATTGTAAACAAGAGTACCCGGAGCATTATAAACAAAACAATTGTTTATCATCAAACGAAGATCATCTTCGAATTGACCGAATTTGGTGTATTCCTTGCTTTCAACTTTACGCTTAATCGTACTAAGGTCCATTGGTTTTCTGAAAATAATGAAAAGAAAATTGCCAACGCAATATTGTGGCAATTAATTTTATCAATATCCTTATCAAAACTTCAGAGGTCGTAAAAAACTTACGTGATAATGGTATAATAACCAGGAGCACCATCCAACACTTCATCCACAGGTTGAATAAAGTATACTGCAGAGGGGCTTTTATTAAGCTTGTTGAAAACACGCCTACATTTTTTAAGCTCCTCAGCTGCAGCACTGTCTATTTTTTTATGTTTGGGTTTTGGTGCTGGCTCAGATACTGCTGGTACAGTCGTCTTTATCTCAGATGATGAAACGGATTTTGATGATGGCGCAGGCTTTGATATTGCTACTATCTTGGGTGTTGGCTTGGGTGTTGGCTTGGGTGTTGGCTTGGATGATGGCTTGGATGATGACTTGGAGGCTGGAGGTGGTGCAGGCAAGGACACAGAAATCTTCGGTTTCTCAGGAGGTGCTGCAGTTTCGACTGGAGCAACAGTTAATGAAGTGGAAGGTGGCTGTGTGATGGAAGAAACGTTCGTGCTTGCAGAATCTAATGTAGCTGGTTCATCCACCAATATACCTGTACTGGTAATGGGTTTAACTTCAGCTGGCGTTTCTATGTCCATAGGTTCCTCGTGTACTTTGAGAGGTTCCAAAATAGATAATGAATACCTAAACCCACAATTAATCATATTACAAAAAACTTACTTTCTTCAGTCTTTGGTTTCGGCTTAGTAAAGCGGATAACGGGGTGTGAAGTAGGCGTAGACGGCTCTGAGCCTCCTTCCTCACTCAAATCAGGCATCTTGTAAAAAAAAAGGATGTGAAGGTTTAAACATCGTTTAACAACCATACGAAACATAATAGCAACTTAACAATTTGATTGATTATCTTTAAACTTACTGATGAAATTGAGGGAACCCGGATTGTAACCTTGAGGCCTACATCAATCGGTTTGAAGACATACTCACAGAACTGTAGTAAGTATTTACGGATGCAATGATCTAATTTGGCATTTTCTGCCGTACTAAGAAAAGTATGAATATAATCCATTCGTAATGTGAGCCTGTCTTTAATTTACTTACTTTAACAACCCCCATAAAGTTTGCTGCAACTCGATATTGCCTTCGAAACGCTTTCGCAAACTCTCAATGCTAGCCTGGAACTCCTGTTGCGCAGTCTTCTTAGTTGCTGTTCGTTCATCATCGATAACAACTCTACCTTCCTCTTCAGCAAATTCTTCAACAAATTGATTTGTCATCGTAGGCGTATCTGAAGATTCTTTCATTGCCAAACCTAACCATTCAAGCATAGCTCGTGCGACATAATGAGAAACATAAGCACAAGCATCATCCTTTATCACCTCTAAAAAGTATTTGTTGATAGTCGGGTTTTGCAATCCACATATTAAAAACAAACTATCGAAAGCAGCTAATCTAACTTCAAGATAATTGCCGTATCTTGTATATTGCATAAACATTGGTATATTGACGGGCAATAAATCCTTTAACATTAGTTTCGTCATTGTTCGTAAGCAAGTGACAGTGATGACATTATGATATGAAGGAATGACATAGTCCAAAGTACGGAATCGTTCAATTTCCTCCTTTGCTTCAGCATTAACCTCTTCACCGGCAATATCTTCATAATGTAGGGCATCTGGTTTATCGTGAGCGGGTATCAAAGCATTGCCTAGTGATGAAATGAGCGTTGCAACATAATAACAATCTGAAAACTCATTCCCTATATTATCATTATACTTCAAGAGATTCAGTAAGAACTGGCGAACCCGAATAGGTGTCAAACCATTCTCATCACGGATTTGCGAGAATGCCACAACAGTTGCTTTTTGAAGGAAGTAGTCCGACAGGTTCGAAAAGTTGTTAGGCTTGGGGATAGAGTTGGTGATGGGGAAATCGTCTTCTTCCATTTTGGACGGGTTATTATTGACCGGAAAGCAGAACCTCTTTTGGAACATCTTGTTTAACTGATGCAAGCCAACCCAATTTAGGTTCCTTATTGCACATGAAGCTAGGCCATAAGCTGCCTCCATACGTATTTTGTAGAAACACTTAGGGTCCAATACAGCACGCAATAAACTAGTAGCAGTGGGTAACGATGGCATATGCTTTAATGCATCAATTGCTTCATGTTGAGCTACGACGTCACGATCCTTTGTCAATTGAGCGGCCCACATATAATCAGGTTGTTTAAAGTCGCAGATACACAACCATTCAAACTCTGCATCTAATCGAATCCAGTCAAACATTGCACTAGCAGCACCGCTAGTGTCTTCCTCGTCTTGGCCCCATTCCAAAACCCGCCATTCTTGCTTTTGTATTGGGTCTTCAAATACAGGCATACCAAGGCCTAAGCTTGGAATAATACCTAATACGGTTGTCTGCTCTGCGCCCTCCTCATTTTCCTGTTCTTCTTCAGCAACTGCAGCAGCTGCAGCAGCTTGTTTTGCTAAGAAACGTTTTGTATTTCTACGGATACGTTTGTACTTTGTGTTGAATTGAACCTCAAACTTTTGCTCCGTGGACTGAATGTCAAGAATATGTTCATACGGTGTACCATCAGCTTCGTGAATACGGACAGTCAAATTGCCTGTGAACATGGGACACATTAACTCTTGATAATTAGCAGCACTTCCATCTAAACTAGGTCCTAAATGTTCGTGCCCCACTGCCAGTGGTGTATTTGTATTTTCTTGACGCATATAAATTTCTACAACCATTTTCTTACGATTGAAATGGAATGAAAAGGAAAACTTCGGACAACCACTTCGGTAAACCCACTGCTCTGCGAACACCTTTGTATCGAATCCACTGACTTTTCGGCATAATCGTAAGAAATAATGCGTGCTAATTGCATTCTGCGCTAATTCACCGCTCATAGCGCTCACAAGAATTTTTGGCAAAACTCTCGATAAGCCTAATGTGCCACCGCCTTTACACATTCTTTTGTCAAGCATGTAAATAACTATAGGTGCCTTCATTTCAATAAATTCCAAATCCTCGGGGTCAAGTGGATAAGGTAAGGCTGGATTACATAGCGGTGGACGGTTCACATCTAATTTACAACATAATTCCATATCCTATGAATTATTGATACAGTAAATGACTTATTCTTACCAATATATCCTGCCCGAAACAAGGGCCCGCTTTAACTTCATTACCTTTTTAAGCCTTAACCGATATTCATTGTTGCCCAGATGCCTTTTTATGAATAATGATCCCATTAAATTTGCTAAACCACGAACAAGCCAAGTATCTGGCCAAGATTTCTGCACGATATAAATGCCAAACCATTGTCTAGCCAATGCTTGACTCATCTCCCTCCTTGTGTCGTATATTTGGTCAATAATATCTGCAGTATGCAATAATTTGGAGCTACAAATTGCTAAGGAAGCACTTGATGCTGTATCGGCCCAAGTATCTTCTACAAATACGACTTTGTAATCCGAAAATGGATAAGAGCCATATTCTTGAGTATAAAAGTGCATAGCCTAATTATTTCGAAAAAGAATCAGCATATAATTTATCAGTTAGGACCTGTCCTTTCGAATTCTTTTGAAAAATTGCTACCAAATTCTTAATACGACTCATACATGCATCAAGAAACTACAAGTAACATTTAGTTCTTCCTCTAAACCAGGCAATGCAAAAGCGTAAATATTACACATCATATTAATTTCGGCCATTAAAGATTGTTGTTGATTTTCATCCAAGTTGGTTGCTGTCAAAACTTCCTCTTGTAACTGTGATGGTGATAGTTTGATCATTTCAAAAGGTCCGATAGCAAATCCAATAAAAGGTGCAGGTGTAGGTACTGACAGGCTATAGTGAACGATTTTTTTTGTATTGTCTGTTGGATGAATAACCTGTTCAACAACGTCGCCACTGCAAACAACCATTAATCCGTCTACTTCATCAAATGAACCTTCTGCTTCGTCTTCAGCCTCAGGTACAGGATTTCCTTCATCTTTGCGCGGTACTATAAATTCCATATCCCAAGTACATCTCTCTGAAATTCTATCAATACATGGTAACCAGGATCGCGTTCCCCCTGGCAACGGCTGATTTACTGTATATACATGGTTGGAACGGTAAGGTGCAATGTCTTCATCTTTTTGTACATAAACGAGCCCGTTTCGTGGGTTTTCCAATGTGTATTCGATACGTATAATTAGTGGCTGATAGGTTATTTCGACTGGTTCCTCTGGTTGAGTATTATTAGCTGATGTCGTGTCAATATTTCGTGCATCTTGTATGGGTGTTTGTGGATCTAAAAACCAATGAGTAACTTTCTATAATCAAACTCTTGATGTCGCAAATATATAGTACCTGTTGTATTTTGTAAGTGTATACTACTATCTACTTTTAACTACAATAACAATCATTCGTAGGTTAGGACATAATTTCGGAAAAACCTTCGACTCGCTTTATACTGATAAAAAAGTTACCTCTCTTATTGTATTCGGTGGCAGTTTTACTATAAGCTCTCCTTCATCAGCATCTCTTAATGCGTTCAGGTATTTACTTTTGTACATTTGGTGGTGGGCAATCGTGGTATTTGAGCCCAAGTTAAGATCTGATATTGCATCGGTGTAATCAAAGTCAACGGGAACATCATCGACAAAAACCTTTTCAATTTCTAATAAAGTAAAACAGTTTTTATATAAGACAGCAATTGAATGCGCGTATTAGACTAGCTTCTCGTGAACCTACTGCACTGCCGTGAATTTATTCTTATAGTTGTTAACTTATTGTTCGATGGCTGAATGGTTAATTCTGCTAAACCCTAGAGAATTAAAGAAGCAATGAATTTCAGCCATTCTAGTCTATGGGAACATATGAATATTAAGTATACACTACTCTCAGAAATCGGTTACTGGGTTCCACTTCTAGAACAAATCGTTCATGACTTGTGTTGATTCGCAAAGCAAATGAAAGGTGATCGTGTCAGTCTTGATAAGTACGATCTTTACTTTTAAGCAATCATCGATACTTATAATGTAAACGCTTTTTTCAAGGCGTCTCTTTGCATGACCGTTGTAAAGGAAAAGCCAGGTTTTTTATAGAACGTTTCCCGTTGTTAAAGTTCGAAGTAGACTGAATCTACAAAATTATTTTGTTAGGTAAAAAAGTTGGGAAAATTAAGAAAGCAGGAGTGAATTTCGTAACTGCTGCTTTTGAGTATACGGAGTTTTGGATTGACAGTTACAAATTGCCGTAGTAGCAAACAAAAAGACCCGACGTTGCCAACTCGATCCTCCCAAGACGGAATTTGCGCGCACTCAAAAGTATGATAAGGGATTCTGTTAGCAGTTAATGTATTCCAAAGAAAATTGTATGCTTATGGCTACTCATTGAATTAAATAAGTGCCATTGAGGAATTTAAACACACACTCGGATAAGAAGCAGCGTCAGGCACTGACTCTATGGCCCTACAGAATTCTTCTATGATAATCCTATCAACAAAACATATACTTTCATAAATTACTCATATTATTGTAACTAGGGCTTTCTTTTGATCCTTTCTTACTTTCCGATTCATTGTAATCATATGGAAACGTACAAGAAATCCAGGTTTTTAATATGGTGTTCTTACCCAAGCACATCAAAATAAGATGGTGTTTTCGAAGATAAGAACTTGAAAGAATATTTGGGGATTTTTATTATAATCTTAACTGCCTTATGAATTATGTATCCATAGTAGCAAGTAGTTGTTCAGCCCAAAAATAGACATGTCACGCATAACCAATTAGTCCAGCCATTTGAATATCTATTAGGCTGAAATCGTACCAGCAATTTGGTAGAGTAGCTTTATAATTCTTCCTGTTCCTTCTTTCCGATTCTCCATTATCCGGCGATACTTGGCTTTTAAGAAAGAATGTTTTCCTCTCATAAAACAAATGGTCGCTTCCTAAGCTCACTCCGGCTTAAAAAGGGAACAATAATGCAGATCTTGTAATCGATTCTTCTCAGTTGCTCGGCACTGCGAGTGTTGAGAATAAAACTCTTTCAGTAGAAATTTTACTGAGTAATTTTGGATGAACGCAAATAATTTCAGCACGTTTTTGTGTACCATATATTGTCACTCTGCATCGAATGTGTCACTGTGCCTTTTCCATGACTCTTTTTTCTGTAAAAATGCTCGTTGTTGGTCCTACTTGATCAAAAGGAACGATCATATTTCAGAAACAGTGTGCTATCTGTCAATTATTTCTCAACCTTGTACCGTGTACAAATGTAGTATGTCTACGGTACTTTTGCTTGACCAAAGTTTAAAGATAAGATGCGGTTGTAATACGTGGTCGAGCTAGGTGTATATGCATCATGACAGTTTAAGACTGTTGGTTTCCTGATAGAGATACATCTACTTTAGTAACCCCGCCGAAGTATTACATTGGGCTGTTCAAAAGCATGCCATGCTTGTTAACTGTAATTTCTGTCTGTTCAATATCATTATCATGGAGCGCGCCGAGAAACTATTCGTTGTATATATTTGCTGCTGAAATAAGTCTTCCTTCTGCAATAATTTATCCAACTTTCACATTTGATAGGTTTCATGAAAAATTTCTGTGATCTAAGAGTGTCAGTTACCAACTCTTTCCATTGGTATACACACACAGGCCTTTCATCTGTTGTACGAATTTAAACTTAAAGTACCCTTGAGAGAAGCACAAATACAAAAACAGTATAGTCTGTATGCTCTGCTTTTCTATTCTACAAACTCAAAAAAAAAAAAAAAGAAAAAAAAAGCTTTTCAGATATATATAATCTTGGGATCAACTTGTAGTTTTCCCCTCTTCTTTTTTCATTCCATTCGTAAGACCAATAGCATACACATGTCGCTTCAGAAAGAGGAGGTAGCTTCAGAAAAAATACAGCAAGCTGCCGACGAAAAGCATTTGGATGATGTCCACGACGTATACACAGACGAGGAAAAGTCAATTGAACTTTCACCCGAATTAAAAGCAGCTGAAAGATCGTTGATTCGCAAATTGGATTATATGTACGTTATGCCATGTATTGCAATCCTAAATTTCCTTCAGGTAAATGATATAGTAAGGTTAAGCAATCTAAGAATTCCTTTTATTGACTATGAATAAATGGAATAGTTTTTCGACAAATCCGCCCTCAATTATTCAGCTGTGCTCAATATTAAAGAAGATACCCATATTACAGATAGCCAATTCAGTTGGCTTGGTTCAATTTTCTATCTAGGTTATCTATTTTATCAAGTATGATATTTTGCTAAGATTTACACGCTTCAGAGAAAAAATTGTGCTAATATTTCACTTTTATCAACAAAAGGTTCCCAATTCCTACTTCATCCAAAGATTGCCTATCGGCAAGTATATGGGTGCTCTTATTGTTATCTGGGGCGTAGTTCTTACTGTTACTTGCCTAGCCAAAGATTTCTCTCAGCTAGCTGCCCTTCGCTTCTTACTCGGTTTCTTTGAAGCTGCTATCTATCCTTGCTGTATTATGATAATCAGTTCCTTATATCGTCGTAACGAACAAGCTGGTAGAATTGGTATGGTTTATATCTGTAATGGTATCGCTATGGCAGTTGGCGGACTTGTTGGTTATGGCATTGGTCATATGATGGGTGTAAGAGGAATGAACGGGTGGCAATGGTAAGCGCAGTAACTATTCACTCTATTAAAATCGTTCAATACTCATTCTCAATAATCGCTTTTACTTACTACATCAACCGCTCAGGATTATGATCATTCTCGGAAGCGTTACCATTGCTTTTGGTATTTTCTGTTTCTTTTTATTGGTCGACAATCCTAAATCCAAATTTTTATCCCTAACTGAAGACCAAAAGAAAATTGTTCAGATCCGTACTCAAGATAATGCGACAATCATCACCAAAAAAGTTAAATTCCATCATATGCTAGAAGCTCTCAAAGAACCCAGATATTATTGCTTTATTTTCGCTTCTCTGTTGTTCAATTTGCAAAATGGTGCCTTGAATACATTTAGTTCTATCATTACAGTTGGTTTCGGTTTCAAGGTACAACAGCAGTTTAACGTTAACTTCTTACCTTAATTACATATGTTTGAGGCTCCTCAAATAACCTGTCATTGTTTTTCTTTTTATAGAACTTGGATGCTATTTTACTTACAGTACCATCCGGTATTGTTGACTGTATCTACATCGTTATTGCTATCTGGTTCAATCACAAATATGGACACACAATTCATGCTGCATCTGTCTTTCTCGGTATTTGCATCCTTGGTTTATTATTGCTCATTGTCATTCCTGCTCCCAAAGTGAAGCTTTTAGGGCTGTACATGTGCTGGTCATTCTGCGCTGCCTACGTTTTATTCTTGACTTCCCTTGCAAATAATGTGGCTGGCTACACAAAGAAAATTTTTTATAGCAGTTCAGTCATAGTATTTTACACCATTGGTAACTTTGCAGGTCCTCAAATGATGCTTGCAAAGCAAAAACCCCTGTATCTTGGTGGAATGATTGGTTACATTGCTGCTGACATCCTCTGTATTGTTCTGCTTCAAATATCCAGATACACTATGGCTAAATCGAATAAGCAACGCCTTGCCAATCCTTCTGAAAAAAAGATTGACGTTAATCAAGATTTGACTGATAAGGAAAACCCTCATTTTATATACAGATTATAAAAGGAACACATGTGTTCTTGTCAAGTTCTTTAATATACATACACTACTAATAGACACATCAACTTAATATCAATTTGGGAGCAATAGTCATAATAATAATAAAAGTAATCTGCTTGTTCATTCCTATTGACTGTAAAAAGTGAAAGAGGTTTCATTGCTTTCAGCTCAACTAGTAAACATATTGAGTTCTTTACCAATCTTCCATGGAAACAACAACGAGCTTTACTTCAAGCTTATCCACTAAAACTTCGCAGAACCTTGGATATTCAACGGAGAAACAAACATAGGACAATCAATCCACGCAATAATCGTTTCATAAACAAAAGGCAGTAAACATGAGGCTCCACAGGTGATCGATTTTACAAAGGTAGGATTATAAGATAATGCCTGAATTTTGCTTTGAGACGTACTAGTAAGACAATTTTTGATTTAGAAGATGCTCCTGTGCCCAACTGAATAGAACATGCTTGGCGAACCAAAAGTTTTTCAAGTGTGGAAACTGTGCAGAGGCACAACAATAGGTATTTAGACAGATATACTAGACAAAACACACTTAGAAAGCTATGAAAAATAACAGAGAAACCTTCAGCAACAGAATAAACCCTAGCTTTTACAGTTTTTATATATCAATATGTACAGTAATATTTCAGTTTCTTTCAGCAGCAGCTCTAGCTAACTTTTGCGCTAACGCTACTTTGAAATCATTATTATGAGTAACTGAATCAGCATCATTGGATACTGGAGGTTTTGGAACTGGTCTAGGAGGTACAGAAGGCCTTTGCGTGCTCAAATTTGTTCCTATTTTGCCGGTACTATGAGAGGTTGCCACATGTATATTCTCTTGATCTTCCCTTGACAGTCCAGAACTCACTGAAACACTTCTCTCCATACCTTCATGTATAGTAACAGGTCTAGCGCCAGCCCCCACGTCACTTCTTCTAAAGTTTGAGAAGAATCCATTTTGTTGTTGTTGTGGCTGCTGCTGTCCGTTATGGATGGGTTTGCGCTTTTGCTCATCTTCGATGTCATCGAAACTACCGGGCCTACTGCTGTCACCTCCATTAGATGTGCTCAAGGTATTCATCGACATTGAACCAGTACTGAATCTAAGATTGGAGCTAGCATTACTGAATACGGAACTGGTGCGGTTCATATTGGATGAGATATGTCCACCACCAGCGCCGCTGCTACTACGAGATCCGTAATAGCTCGTGTTACTATATGTCTTCGGTTGCGGTGGCTCTCTCAAGTTACTCAATTCATCTACTGTACTTTGGCTCACCCAAGAGCGCATTAAAATATATTGAGTTGCCATTTTCTGTTGTTCTTCCAAATTACTATTATCATCGTCATCACCGTCTATGCCCACACTGTTCACACTCACATTACTGCTGGTATTGCTCGTGGATGAATCATTGTTGCTATTGTTACCTCCACCAAAAATATTTCCACCGCTGAATCGTTGTATTCGAGATGCTCCTCGGTGCAATGCATTGGATAATGCAGGTCGAAAATGATGCTTTTGGGAGGACTTTAAAAAGGCATGTGGTAATGTGGGGGTATATCGAGGGCCAGATTGAAAACGATGCATTGTATTCAGAACATCGTGAATACGTGGTTCGTCCTCTGGCTTCATTGTCTTCGCGTGAGGAGATGATTTGAATGCCGCCAAAAGATATGTTATATCGTGAATAATAGTACCCAAGAACGGAACAGTAGGACGGGAATAATGCTCATCACGAATAAGTTGCACACTTTTACCGTTGACAACCGTGGTATTGACCATGCCCATATGTTCACGATAATGTCCATAATTGTTGGCTTCTGACATGAGATCATTCAGTGTCTCTAGCTTTGTTGAACTCTTCTTTGGTATATAAGACCATGTACGCTTTAATCTTTGTACAGGTGGTGTGTTAAGGGCTGAGATAATAGCTTTTAGTGTTTGATAGTTGTTCAGCTCCAGACAACGAGAAGCTACTTTGATCCAATAATGAATGAGTTGTGCACGCGCTGATGCCTCTTGAGGTAAAAGTACAGAGTGTTCAATGCATCTTGTGATATAGTTGAAAAAATCAGTTGAAGCAACAATACGTGGATGAGGAGTTTTGGTAGAATGTTCGAGTAATGCTTGAGGGGGTATAGCGCCAAAAATAGCGGCCTCAATGAGAGTAACTTGGTATGCAATAACATGGGCTCCAAATTGAAGTATGCTGGGAACAGTGGCTGCACTCATATAGATCGTCCGTACACCATTCAACGTTGCCTTTAACTCTGCTAGTACTCTTAAATATTGCGCAATCGTTTGATCTAAAGCACTCTCTGTCATTGTTTCCAAGTGAGAATTATCTCCCTGTGTTAATGACTGTTTCCTTGCCCTACAGTCTCTTATCTTCTCCTCTAAATCGTCTACCTTTGCTTGGAGCATACGGTGAGTGGTTAACAACGGCGGTGCTGGTATTAGGGGAACATGGTCTGTCATTGTCGACAAGGATGGCACTAAGCTATCTCCTGCACTTGTTTGTGCAGGTACTAGATAATCAGGATCAATTTCTCCTTCTGCTATTATACGAACTGAAGCCGTATTTCTATTGCTAGTTTTATTGGGAAACTCTGTTCGAGGTCTCGGCGAAGGGGATTGTACCGAGCTGAGGTGAGAGTGTTGTTGTATCGGCGGTAAGCTTGTGGGCCTGCTATCATAAACACGTGGTTTAATAACTATTGTGTCCGTTGAATTGTCTATTGATGTAGAACCTAAAATTGATTAGTGGTTCAACACGGGATAATCAAAGTAAATAGCCAGATACACAAAGTCATTTTCCAACTAACCCTGCAATTCCTTATCAACAGTGGAGGAGGAATAATTGGAAGTTGTAGGTGTGTGATTTGTAGGCGAAGGAGGGCGGGAAGTTGTTTTACTAGGTTTTGGCGGTAGAACTGGTTTTTGCATTTTGGAAGGCTTTGGCGGTAACGGAGGCCGATTTATCTTAGAATCACCTGTAGTTTGTTGACTAACCGTTTTGAGTGCTGCAGGTGAGTGGTTTTCAATAATATTCTCAATATGTATAAGACAAGTCCTCATTGTCGCCAGTAATTGTGCATAATGCTTCGGACTTGATACAATTGCTATAAAATATAGACTAATAACGTTAATTCATTGCTGAAAGATCAGCTACAAAAATCATAAATGTCTTTTACAAGAATGTACAAATTTGATGTCATTTAAAGCTTGAATGGCTTTTTCACTGGCTACTGTAAAAGCAAAATACGCTTCCTATACGAGTATTAAGGCAATGTCAACGGAACACTTTTATGTCTCTACTTGTCATGGGGCTAAAGTTGACCTGAAAATACCTTTATTTGCCCTTTCTCTTCAAATGCAATAGCTGAATTCAAAGCATTGCTAACTTGATCATCTATCATTGGGTTATATATACTATCTGGAAGAACTTTTTCTGAGGAAACGAGAGGTTAAGATACTATACAAAAAAAAAGTAAAGTATTGAACTTTACTTTTCTCCCTTTATTGTTTATGTGCAATATCTCGTCTGCGGGAGATACAACAATATGCAATCTATCAGATAAAAAAAGGTATTCGAGAGAAACAAGGTGTTTTTACTTTAAGGTCAAAGATGGAAAGTAAATTTGCAATATGATTAGACCTTACAGCCCTTTTCGGAAGTTGAACATAAGTACAACAGCAATACAGTCTTTCGGTTCAGTTTCGGACAGTATTGAGGTGATTTTCAGATTAAAGAACAAAAAAAATTGGGATTTTGTGTACAATATTTTTGGATATTATTGATAAAATGTAGACTTACTTCCTGTAGAGTCTTTTAAGTCTCCCATCGAGGGAAGACAACCACATTCGTTGTGGCGCTTTGTGATTGACGACAAAATGGGTCAGGTCTTCCATGACCAGCCCAAACCTCTTGAGCAATATGATACATGTTTTGAGCAGCCATAACATCACGATTCCAAAAAATACTACAATTTCAGCAAAAGAGTATTTGATGGATTTCTCTACTTGGCGTACGAGAAACGATACTTTCTTACATCCGACGATTTACACGAATTACAGATCTATACACAAATTGATGTAAATCAGAGCTTTGAACTATGATTATGATCATTTGCAATTGATTGCATACCTTTGACGTACGGAATTCATCAATATCTATTACTAAGCCCTTGTTTCTCTTTAGATTTCAAATGCTTGTATATTTTTGTTTGAAACACCGGCTTGCAAACCTTTAAAGCGAACTTACGCTCCATTGGTTAACCCATCACCAAACAGTACCAGTGGCATTTTCGACTTATCGCCAAGTTCGAATGACCTTTTGTACGTATGATGATTATCCCTAGAAAAGTGAGAACACAATTATTACAGTAACGCATACTGTGCGCATCATTTAAATCATTCTATTTACATGATATTGACTGATTGATGAGCTATGCCGGGATTTCGTCGATTGTTTTGCTTTTTACGTTTCTTGTGGCTTTTTTTACTCATATGCCGTGATCTCTTCTGCGGGTTATACTTCTTTCCTCCATTCAAAAGGGTGGTTGTAGCATACTCTAAGGATACTTGTCTTCCACAAAAAATTTTCCAGTTCAGCTCTGCGGTTCTGTACCCATAGAACTGATGCAAAATATTCATATGTGCGCACATATACTGTATATGATATATGATCACGATAGCGGCTACCAAATCTTGTTTTAACAGATGGGATGAGTGACTCTATAGTTTTGATACCCTGTTGCTGTTTCAATTCTTCTTCCATCTTCATCCTGCCCTTATATCCTATGGATTGGCAACACTCTCTAGTTGAACACTTCCTGACATCTGTGCCTCCATGGTACGAAACAAACGCATTTTTGCGCCCGGGGTCTACAGCACAGATTTCCTCTTCGGTGAAGTCGTATATGCTCAATTGTACATTTCCAATGATGCTACTGGTAGTCTTTCTAGCAAAGGCAATCCGACATGTGTATCCGCCGTTATAGATGCAGTTGATGAACATTTTATTTTTACCTGTAGGTAAATTAATGAACTCTTCAATGCTAGGACAGCAATATAACAGATCTGAATTAGCCCTTCCCAGTTAAAAATAGATATAATTCAACAAGTTTACCTATCTATTTTGAATATTATGAAGCTAAAGTATCGAAAGAACCTTGAAATGTAGTCAATTTCTGTTTCGTAGTCCAGTTTCGTCAAACGATCATACGGAAAGAAGTGATGAAGGTTTTGAGAATCCAGTTTTATGAACCGCCATTTCATACTTGGGTTTGGAAACATGGCGAATTTGGTCGGTGTCAAACGGGCAGGAAATTGATGGCCAACAATGCCAGAGTTTTGCAGCTTGTAAAGCTTCGAAATCCAATTGCTCTAATACATCCCTGAAAATCCTCGTACTACAGCATAATATAATGGTAGAGGGGTATCAGCATTGAGGGATTAGAGGAGACAAATACTTTGTTGGCTAGTATGGTTGGAAGGCGGTTTCTTATTAGATTTGAAGCAGCATTTAGGGGATGCTCCATCTCTGTGATGAACGGCATAAACTCTCTAGGAGCAGTTGTGGGATTGATGTTGAAAAGTTGGCCGGCTGGCTGAAGAAGAATGTAATCAAGGAGCTGATTATAAACAAGGTCTTTGATAGGGTCAACATTGAAATCCTACATGGTTATGGTTGCAAATTTGGTGAATTTAAATATATATATATTCATTGGTAATACTTACAGGGTAATGAAGGCGAAGATAATAGATAAAGTATTTTGCCACCGTGTCTTCAAAGTTCTCAACATAATAGTTTTCATATGTTGTGGCCAAAGTGATAGATGCTGAAGATACAATCTGGCCGTAATATGCCAAATAACCACAATATACTGAAAGATTGACTTCATGATGATGTATCAAGAGCGTATAATATGCCTCTGCGAAACCTGTCATTTCAGGATAACGAGCCTCCACATCTTCAATTCTGGCACTTCCATAGACGACCCGACAGACAGTATACCAGAAGTTTTGCTCAAACAACGCGTTTGTTACATGCTTATGATACGTAAGAATGTAATGGTTGACAATGAATTGAGCCTTGACATGACCACTGTTCACAGAAAGGCTGACTTTTCCAACACATGTTCATGGCAGGATTCGTAACAAATGTTTCTAACGGCACTGAAATAGTGAACCTTTCAAAACTACCCAATTTCCTTGTTATGGTTTCCTCCAATGTCCCTTCATGATTGGGGCATAATGGACTTCTTTTGCTTCCATGTCCGAGTTCTCCACATGACTTGCACTTGGTAGTGTTCGTGCTGGAAGATGCTTTTCGCTTGGTTTTTGCGCGTTTCTTACCTTTAACAACGTTTTCGGAATCTTTGGTTTTTTGGCCTAATACAATATTTACAGTATATTATAAGTTTTCGGTAGACATAAGAAATACTAGGAATTCATACTTTTCAATCTTGTTTCAATTTTCGGCAGTTTCATCATCGAGAGCAGCTAACTTTGCTTTCTTCTTTTCATGAATGAGAGCTTCAGCTTCGGCATCGAGCTTATGCCGTGTCATAGGAGTATACGAATTTACGTAACTTTTAAGAAAGAAGAAAAAGATGGAGAAAAAATAAAGGAAAGGGAAAAGTGAGAGTAGTTAGATGACAACAATTTTCTGACAACATTTATCACTCTATTACTGTTTGATATTTTGGAATGGTGTAAAAAGTTATCTGTTTCTGTATGCTCAACAGAATCTGCAAGCAGAGCTTTACACTCAATAAGGTCTATATTTTGGCTCTTCAAAAGGGGCTCTAAGACGAAAATATGTAAAAGAAGGGTTATTTAGGCTGCTATGCTGCCACTTTTAAAGGTGCTTTAAGCTGAACAGCTGCCATAAGTCCCATTTAATTCTAGCAGTGCTTCAAACAAATTGCCAAATTTGTCCAATTTTATCTAATGAAAGAGTCTTATTTCCTTTTGAAAATAGTTCGAATCTGAAGCGAAAAAACAGTAATGGTAAGGCTTTCCAAGAATACCCAAAATTCAATTTGCTTTGAAGTTGGTATATATTAAGAAGTGTTTAAATTACATTATGTCGGAATACGCTGGTATTATACCATAAATGAGAAGACTTACTAGAACACTTTCTTTATTAAAGAGGTGACAGAAAATTGCCGAAAAGGAACAAAAATGACGCTACAAGGAGCGTTTGATTTGTAAATAGCAATACTAACTATTGCAATGATAGCATTAGGACTCCACATATTTGAAAAACCATTGCTCTCATACTTTATTCTATCAAAGAAAGCATCTAGTCCTCCGTTGATGTCCTGAAACCGCATGTTGAACAACCCTTAAACACTGCTCCTTGAGTGATATAGAACAATATAATCTGCTTGCAATGTCGCAGCAGTCCGAGTCGTTGAAAAGCTTAACGCATAGGGTAAATAAACTGCTACTGCTAAGAAAGCGTCAAGGAAACTTCAAACAAAAGATGTAAATGAGACAAAGAAATATGATAATACATTGAGTAATGGTCAGCATACTTGGGGCTCTCATGCGAATAGGCACTGTTACATCAATGCAGCCAGACAAATATTGCCTCTCTTGAGACGAAAACAAAGAAGATTAGTACTAAACTTAATGGGCTCAACAAACTAATCAAAAAAGGCGAAGCATGTAAATATGTTTGAAGAAGAAGAAGAAGAAAGCCAAATCTACATGGAGAACTTCGTGAGTATCATATAGATGAGTCCTCAGCAAATGCCATATATTGCCTGTTTCTTGGTCATTATCAATGTTGTATGAGCTGCAGACCCAGCTTTAAGAGTGCTCACCTCCAATCGTTATTTTGCTGTGGCAAATTATTCATCCGTTTTAGTTATTATTGAGTGAGGGCAGCAACGTAGTATTATCGTCTTCGATATCTTTGACTGTTTCTTAGTTGCAAGAGCTTCAATTTTATGAAGGCAACTGTCGCTATAGATGATACGTTCGATTGGCGTAAACAATGATTAGTGCATATGGTGTCCCATTTACTGTCAAAAGATCCGTAAAAAAGGAGGAGATAACAAAACCTATGGGCATCTAATCTTTTGTTTTCAAAAGTTCCTTCTGATCTGCTGAACCGTGGAAAATAACTATGTCTACTAGCGCAACAACCGAATAACTAAAAAATGAGTCAACAAAGCAAGCAAACGGTATGAGAACTGTTTTGGATCCATTCAGAATAGAATAACACCAATGGATAATGTACGCTGCGTAAAACGTTCGTTAAAAAAGAAAATGGATAGATTTTAAGCTTAATGCACGAATAAAATCAGGAAAAGGTGTATAACATTAAACGAAAACGTGCACAAAACCTTTTTTTTTTTCTACAAGTACACCAAAGACATGATCTACGTGCATTGTTCATATGTCAACCTTAATCTCTGTTTGTGACATATGAAGATCAACTTACGTAAGAAAAGCAGAGTAATTACTGTATAATCAATGACGCTTGGCGATAACAGAAGAAATGAAAAAAACTTTTCAAACCTTTTCAAATCTTTTTACACTTTTTTTTTTTCTTTTTGACGGTCTATATATATTCAGTAAAGAAAGGAAGCATACGTATAATATAGATTTACATACATTTTTATTTTAAATTCTTTTTTTTCTGGTAATACACTACTTCAGCATCAAAGGACCCATATTATCGCTGTCATGTAAGTTGGTATAAAGACCATTTTGATTTTGTTGTTGCTGTTGCTGGGGATCTTGAGAGGACGTCATGAAGAACTGAGGCATTTGCTGATGTTGGTTTGCAATAGTCTGACGATGGTAATAGTTCATCATATCCGAGAGCCCAGTACCGCCTCCACTGTCATGGTTAGCAGCAGCAGTTGAGCCAGCACCAGTCGTACTACCTTCATTCAACGTATTTGAATCATTATCATGACTTATAGAATGGCGTAAAGAGGAAGAGCCAGCAACAGAGGTAGCATAATCATAGGGATGATCCATATTAATGGATTGTAAAATATTAGTAGCCGTATGAGCCGTGGGAGAAGGGGAAGATGAAGAGTTAGGAGTGGTGTTGGTATTATGGCTGGCGGCGGCACTGTTGCCATTCTGGAGGGGATGAACAGGATTCAGCAACTGTCCTATATTGTGTGATGCATATCTTTCGTTTTGCTGTTGATCTTGGTAGGTGTCATTAGCGAGGATATGACCGACGGAATTATGCCTTTGAATAAAAGAATCTGCAAAATTATTATAGCGTGAAGAGACGGAGGAAGTAGAGTAATGACGTTGATGCTGCTGTTGTTGCTGTTGCTGTTGCTGATGCTGTTGTTGCTGATAACGGGAAGCAGGAATCATGGGCGTACTAGGAGAAGGTGATGGTATCGTTGCGCTCAAATTGAAACCTCCATTGGTGGTTGGATGGGTGCTATTGTTGGTATTATCATTGTTATAAATATTTGGTATAGATAATGAATGCTGGAAATTAGTTGTGTTTGGTGAGTCTGAGCGGCTGTTGCTATGATTATTGGGGTGCTGGTAAGGGTGGTGGTACATCACTAGCTGTTCTTGTACACGAATATTTCCAACCGACATACTGCGTAAAGAATTCATGTTTGTAGTAGAGCGGCTAGCATATCCTGTTGATGTGGACACCTCAAGAGGGTACTGTTGTTGGTGTTGACTGTCATTCTGATCAAAAGTAGGCTCAACCAAAGGAGGAATCCTGAAGTTTTGTTTCACAAGAAGTTCTGGGGATATTTCCAGGCTTGCAAGCTCAGGCACGGAGGAGGGCGCGCGTAACTTTTCTTGCAGTACTTCGTTAGGGTCATAGTATGAAATCAAGTGCTGAGCGACACCGTTTACGATAATTGACATGGTCTTCTTTATCAACCCATCTTCTTTAAACCTGTACGAATCGGATAAGCTTCCGACTAATTGACGTTCCTTGTTTCTATCAATAGAAGCACCACCACCACCATCTATGCTAAAACTTCTCCTAGCTGCTGCCAATGGATTCTCTATTAAACTTGCGTTTGAGGAGGTTGACAAACGTTTTTCACCCGCTTGTTTCTTATCGAGTTCCCTATAAATTAGAAAATTGCCCAAAATACGAGAAGGGCTCCAAACTCTACCGTCTGTCCAGCGCTTAATGCCTAGTAATGTATTTTTTTTTTTGGTAATAGATTTTCGATAGGTAAAAATGAGAAACTTGGTCTGCTGTTTGATAGTTGTTTCCTTTCTCTCTTTACCTGATTCTCTTTCATCGAAAACGAAAATTGAGCCTGATCTAATCATTTTACGTTCCCTTTCCTGCAATCTTCTGCATATTCTTGGTAATAAGCCTCTACGACAACCTTCAAAAATCAACAGGACGTCTTGGGTCGTTTCGATGTAACCATGGAACGTTTCTGTGACCAACATTGTACTTTTAATTCTTTGTTATTTTTTACAGGTGTCCAGAAGTAAGGCGAACAAAAGATAGATAAATAAATATAAAAAGAGAAAAATAGGCGAAAGGAACAAGGGGATTATTTTTCCACTTTCAAAATAAAAAAGGGGTCAAGCGAATTATTTAAGAAAAAAAAAAAAAAAAAAAAAAAAAAAAAGGCAATAGGTTTTCTGGATTTCTTTTTTTTTGCACAGGAAATTGAAATATTCTTTTTTTCGAAAGCTGTTTCAGTCTGTCCTTCTGATTTCGTTAATGTCAAAATCTGAATGAGTTTTTGGAAAAGGTCAAGTCTTATATTCTGCTTTGTTGCAAGTAACTTTGTCTAAAAATTGTTTTTTGTCGGTTGGAAATAGTGGTTAGTGAAGAGAATTCAGCAAGTAAGAGAGTGTGCTAGGTAGAAGTTATTTGACAGGCGACACGTCAATTAGGCAAAAGAAAAGAAGAAAAGAAAGAAAGAGGGGAGAGAAGAGGCACTAAATAACAAAAACAGAGATATAGACGCTTTTTTAGTAAAGTGTAAGTATCGGTCACTAAGGGCTTGACAAAAAAGATTGGTTACCATAACAGAAGTGGGGACTATGTCACACTTTTTGCGGAGCAATTTGTGGCTGCTACTGCCATAAAGATTTGTTTGTGCCTTGCACAAATGACATTCTGCCCATTGATATTACTTTAATTTTAAATAAGAAATGCCTTCTTAATCTCTTCCAATATGTGTTTCATCCTTTGTTTGAGCTGTTTAAGGTAGCCATTTACGGGCAATTGACTGCAATTACAAATCTACATTTCTATGTAAAAAGGTTCATTTCTAAACACAGGAACCAGTTACGGCGTTTCAAATTTACCCCGGATTCTTTTTTATGCACGATGAGCGCTTTTTCCAAGGTTTCAGGATTGTTAACCCGAGTTAGATCAAATAATCCCACAATGGATTTTATTGTTAAAAATGTATAAGTTGTATGGAAGAATAGAAAAGGTGAATAGATAATAAAGGTATAATTGTTCCACAAATACAGAATTCATGTATTATTGTTGTTTTACTACATCATACCAGGCATTCCAGCAGGCATACCGCTGCTAGTTTTGGTAGGAGCATCAGTTATCACGCATTCAGAAGTTGTCAAGAGAGAAGCTACACCAGAAGCATCAACGAGTGCAGTACGTACAACCTTGGTGGGGTCAATAATACCACGTTCAATCATATCGCAGTATTCACCAGTAGAGGCATCATAACCCCAATTGATATTATCTGTTTTCTCCAAGAGTTTACCGCTTACGACAGAGCCTTCACCGCCTGAATTGTCTACAATGGTTCGGCAAGGATTTTGAATGGCTTGACGAATGATATTGATGCCCAACTGCTGATCAAAATTGGCCCCCTTCAAATTGCTGAGTGCGTTGGCGGCCTTCAAAAGCGCAACACCACCTCCAGGAACAATACCTTCTTCAACAGCTGCTCTCGTAGCATTGAGAGCATCGTCATAGCGATCCTTTTTCTCACCCACCTCCACCTCAGAAGCCCCTCCAACATGGATGACAGCTACGCCACCAGAAAGCTTGGCAAGTCGTTCTTGCAGTTTTTCCTTTTCATAATCAGATGTGCTAGGATCGGCAATAACACCGCGAATTTGTTCACAACGTTGTTCGATGGCATCCTTTGAACCAGCTCCATTCAAAATAGTAGTATCCTCTTTTGTAATAGTGACTGAGCCTGATGAACCGAAAAGTTCCGGGGTTGCTTTTTCTAACTTGAGGTCGGCATCGTCCGAAAAGACAGTGGATTGAGTTAAAACACCAAGGTCATGCAAGATGTTACGACGATTGTCACCGAACCCAGGAGCTTTGACTGCAGCTACTTGAAGCTGACCACGGAGCTTGTTCAAAATACAAGCGGCCAAAGCTTCACCATCTAAGTCTTCGGCAACAATCAAAAGAGGTCGTCTTTGAGTAGCGGCCGCTTCTAATGCTGGCATCACATCGCTCAATAGAGAAATTTTCTTTTCAGATAGCAAAATAAGTGGTTTTTCGAATTCGACACGTTGGGATTTGGTATCGTTGATGAAATAAGGGCTGATGAAACCGCGATCGAATCGCATACCTTCTGTCACATCCAATTCATCACTCATAGTTTTACCAGCCTTTACAGTAATTACCCCTTCTTTACCCACTCGCTCCATGGCCTGGGCAATCACATCACCCACATGTTTATCGCCATTAGCAGAAATAGTGGCTACTTGAGCGATTTCTTGAGGAGTGGTGATAACCTTGGAATTTTGCTTCAAGAAGTCAACCACTGCACTCACGGCCATTTGAACACCACGACGAAGGTCCATGGGATTGCACCCAGCGGCTACATTTTTCACACCTTCGGCAATAATGGCACGAGTCAAAACAGTAGCAGTAGTTGTACCATCACCAGCCACTTCGTTCGTCTTGTTAGCTACATCTTGAACAAGACGAGCACCAAGATTTTCAAATTTATCTTCCAGTGATATGGCCTTAGCAACAGTAACACCGTCCTTGGTAATTTTAGGAGAACCATAAGGCTGCTCTATCAATACATTGCGACCTTTTGGTCCCATGGTCACAGCGACAGATTTGGCCAAAATGTCAACACCGCGCAAAAGCTTAGCACGAGCGTCTACGCCAAATTGAAGCTCTTTATGGCTTGAGTACGAACGACGAAGAACACCAGTGGATGCTTGAGATAAGGTGCGGATCTTGGATGAAAAGATCAAGCGATTCATTTAAATATAATATAGCTGAAAGAAGTGCAATGGGGGAAAAGAAATGGTTGTTCCTGAACTATTGCGGCTGTGAAAAAAAAAGACAAAATTAAGACGAAAAGGTTTAACACGCTTTAATTATTTGTCGCTCTTGACGAGCGATCTCTATCGTTTATTCGTTCTTCTGGTTTCTTGTCAGCCAGGAACACCACGCATTTTAAAGCCAGGGCTTAATCGAAGGCACTAGAAAGATGGCTAATGTCGAGTGGTTCTGGTGGATATATGGAAGAGAAAAGAACCTTCTTTAGCCCATTACTTTTTTCTTTTTTTGGTAAGAATGGAACGTAGTACACAAATTGATTTGACGTGAAAGAGTACTCCATCTATCATCAATGATGGCGTTAATTATTAGTCGTTCCTTGCGTGTCTGGAGGGGCAATCTATTTCCTGGTTTCTCCTAGGAAAAAAAAAAAGGATCCATTACTGATTTAACATCAAGTGCATGGTTAGTCAGTTGTCGTACTTTGTCTATTAAAATAGATTGATATGTCATGTACTCGCATCCATGTAAAATTACTGTATAGTGAATTGTAATACGTGTTCTTGGAATGCCTAGCTGCGTCTGAAGGGGTTTTTAAAACGGCACAGACAGATTTGTATTTTCTTGAAACTATGAAATCATCAATTACAGCATTGACATTCTGATAAACTGCAATACAATAGTATTGTAAAAAATGAATACCTCAATATTTAACTCACTAGTTCATATCCACTGGTAAATTATTACATTTCACAAGATCAGACAGGCACATAGAACTAAGGAACCTTTAATTCCAGTGGTTAATTGTCTTCTTCATGAAATACACACCTATTTTTGTCAAATAAGTTTATGACAACTGTGTACTGTGCAGCAATATCTTTATCAGCTTTTTCTATGACAACCTTATTAAGGGCTTACTTCAATTTCGCTGAAAGAGTTTCGCATTATTACTATCAAATCTGACAGATAGCACTGTGAACAACACAAATATCTCACAATCATTATTTTTGCTTTCCATGCTTCTTTACCCATTACCAGCATCGCTGACTAGTCGAAGATTAATGCAATGACTATCTGAGCACCACTTACCAATTCCATCCTCTCTTATAAGGCAATATATATCAGAAAATTGCTTTCCTCTATTGATGCTCATTTGCACTGAATTTTCGTCAGGAGGAACCTAAAATGCTATCAAGAGCGACCCTTATTTCAATTTCACATTTGTTTTCGTCATTATTTTTGCCTGCCTTCAAATGCATTGCTTTTAAATCTAAAGACTGCCGTATGGAATTTATTATATGCCGGTTACCGCCAATTTTTAAACAGATACCGTTCATCATTGAAAGGCAATTATCCTGGCCTTTTTTGCTCATTTTTCTTTGGACCAGTAAACAAATGGCTTTGGACCGAGATAAATGCTAGCAAAACGCTTTAGGACCAATGCTACGACAACATGAAACCGTCGAATTGTACGGTTTATCGGTAAAATGTCTCTGAGCATATGGCAGACGAACTAGTACACAAGTTAGATTGAAGAGAATTGCGATTTAGTATTAGTTAGTGTCAGTTATGAGTGTATCCTTAATAACAATTCTTTTCAACCACTGTTAACGTTTAGAGAAAAGGAATACTTTTGTTCTTCGTGTTATAACGAAATGCCGATCAAATTACGGGCTGATGGCCTCATTGGTGTGGCATATGTGCGACATAAAACACTTGAGAGATCACAATTCTCTCGTTCCTAGGGTGACACACTTGCACTTGACTGTTCAAGCATACTCGGTAAGTATGCGCACAACGTCAGTTTTTCGCCTGTCATATCAAAGAATAAAACCCAGCATAATGAGGATCACCTGTGGTTCTTATAATAACAAATTGCTTACCTGACCCGTTTACATACGAAATAAAACCTTTGTAAACGCATCTGTCTTTCTTGCTCTATTGGTTGCTGACCATTACGGCAGTTTTCGCTTTAGTAGCATCGAATATTACAGATGAAAAAAATTTGCTGTCTTTACTATTAACCCGAAATTAAGATTTTGATTGGTTAAGACATTTAAAGTGCTGTGCATTCAAAGTAACTGTCCGCTACGTGAGTTGAGACTTCGCATGCACATGTAGCTTTCCAATCCAAAAAAGCGGAAAATGTTCACATTGAGAGTTGATAGTATTGCGGCGAGTCGCTGCCACTTGTTTTGTTGTACATACACAAACGGTCGTGCACTGTTTTTACTAAACAAGAATTTGACCATAATTGGAACACACATGCAGTTTCAGCAAGCGGAGTAACTATGAAGCGATGTTTCCGCACTTTCTGATTGAAGAGATTTCTGTTCATGGTTCATGCTCGAGGAATTTGAGGTCAGTTTTGCATGTTCTTAGTATTGATATCGATAATCCTCTCATCGATTCAAAGGTAGCAACAGTTGTAGTATCTTACTTCCTGTAGAGCAAAGCTTTATTGATATCCCCTATAATTGTTGCTGCCGTTTCCTTTGAAATTGGAGAACCGGAACTAGCGAACGAGTTACCATTCGAACTCTTTTCCTGCAGCTCGCCTTTGACGTCGGCCTTGTTTCATGTGAAAAATTATTCAGAGAACACTCTTCCTAGCCCAGAGCATCCCATTTTGAAAATTGTGCTTGGCAGATAGTTAAACACACTGTGTAACATATGCTTTTTAAGTATATCCATTTCATTTTTGTATTGCGTAAATTTGTTCGCTAGCCATCAAATATTACACTGAATCTGGTTGGAGCAATTCTTTCGAGCAATTTTAGTGCAGCTTTATTATTACCTGTCAAACTTGTCATTTTTATTTTTTATTTTTTTTTTCCAGGCATTTTTGAAACTTAAACCAGAACTTATTACTCGAATCTTTTATCCACTCTTTTTAATTTTAAAGCATTGTGTGTTCTGCTCTATTTTATAAGCATTGTTTACTATCAGTGATTTACAAATGACCACACCAAATATCAATATTAGTTTCAAGCGAAAACAGTCCGTGTAAGTTCTAGCATTGTTACAGCCAAGTCATGTTGTGAATTTATTTACTCATTGAGCCCATTGCCTGCTTATAAATAGTGGTAATAGTCCGTCGGGCCTATCCTATTCACCCTCTTCGCATACGATGCCCGCCATTTTTCAGCATCGCGATAGCTTTGTTCATCAAAGAGAATTAGAAAATAAGTTTTGTAGCGATCTTGTTTGTTGTGGTATCAAAGTCAAAGATCTTCATGAACTTTTACATCACTATGAAGAGCATCATCACGCTCCGATTGAAGAGGAAGTGGATATGAAGGAAGTTATGAAAGAAACTGTCGAGAATAATAATCTCTCGACTACGAACCATCCAGAAGACGATATTATGTTAGATGATGTGGATTCACCTTTTCCTTCACCCTTACCTACACAACCTCACGAGCTTGCTGCGCTAACAACGAATAGTCCTATGCTACGTAAAAATAATATTTACTATCCAGCGATATCCAACACGACTTTAAATCATAACGCAACCGATTCAGCACTATCATCACCGGTTGCTATGAGCCCAGTAGTAACGTCACCCACTATGAGCCAGCATACTGAGGAAATCCTAAATAAAGCTTTACCAGCATTGATCAATCAGCATCCTACTCCCGAAAATCTGCAATTGTTCAAGTCTGAGGCGCTCTATCAAACATGCGGTAACTATTCTAAACAATAACAACAACGACAACAACAATAACCACGAAAAATAAGTTTGATCAATTACTTATCATTCTCTTCCCTTACAACCTTTCTTTTTAGATGATGGCCAGGATAGACCTTATAAATGTCCAATCCGTGGTTGTGATAAAGCCTATAAAAACCCGAACGGATTAAAATATCATCAAATGCATGGCCATACAGAAGAAGAAAGCGACGCTGAACGAGATGCACAAAAACCTTACGTTTGTACAATTGGTTACTGTAATAAACGGTACAAGAATCTAAATGGTTTGAAATATCATATTGAACATTCACATATTGCAAAATTGAAGCAACTTCCCCCAGGAGCTATAGCAGCAACAGCAGGAGTCAATATTTCCAACCCATCTGCACCTTCTCCCGGCTTGATGAGTCAGACAATTAGCCAAGCGCAATTCAACCCTAACATTCTTTCGTCACCACATCCATCCTCCTCGACATCGAGCGTGCCTTGGCAAACTCATCCAGCTCATCAATTTTAGCTTGAAATGTCTATTCATAAATCAAAAAAGATAATCTATGTTTTTCCTATTGTTTTTCATCTTTTTTATTGCTTTGGAATAGCTGTATTTATATTTTTTTTTGTTTTTTTTATCTATTACACGAATCATATACACCCCTCTTCATCCAAACTTTTGGCACATGTACACATAGTTCGTCAGTTTACTTTTATCTCAGCATTTATTTCTTATACACGTCTGCAGCAAGCAATAATCATAATAGAGCTTGTTTGCAGAAATAAACTTGGACCAGTACCATTTTGTAAAGTAAAATTAAAAGGAGAATGGTGTTTGCTTTGTGTTCAGCTTAATGTCAAATAGAGTAGCCATTAATGTGTACGTAAGCGTAGATAGACATAGTTATACTTTAAAATATTACAAATCACTTCTTCAAATTAAAATTTTCCTTCTGCAACGCTTCTTAATCAGCAAACATTTTATGGCAGCAATCAAATAAACTTTTATGCAAAAACACTTTCACTATGCTAAACGTTAGGTTAAAATTGCTATATTGTGTGATCAAAATCCTCCAATTGCATCAACACCCGATTTTAGTGTATCAGCTAGCCCACGAGAAATAATCAACCGTTGGATTTGAGCTGTACCTTCGTATATTTGGAAGATCTTCGCATCACGCATCAGCTTCTCGACGGGGTATTCTGTATTAAATCCGTTACCTCCAAAGATTTGAACTGCATCTGTAGCGCATTTATTGGCTACATCCCCGGCTAAGGCTTTTGCAATGCTTGCATACCAAGTATTTCGTTGTCCTTGATCCCTCATATAAGCCGATCGATAAACCATCATACGCGCGCTTTCGATACCGATGGCCATATCTGCTAACATGAAGGAAACCGCTTGGTGATTAAAGATAGGCCTTCCCATCGTTTTACGCTCTAACGAATATTGTAAGGCCTCTTCCAAAGCACGCCTAGCTAAGCCAACAGCAGCTGATGCGACCAATGGTCTTGTAATATCAAAGGCATTCATGGCAATTTTGAAGCCTTCACCTTGAGACCCTAATACATTTTCAGCCGGAACGACCACATCCTCAAACGTTACCCCACGAGTATCAGAAGCACGCTGCCCCATATTGATTTCTTTACGACCCAACGTGATGCCTGGGGCATCTGCATCTACAATAAAGCCGGTGAAGGCTTTTCCAGTATTTGCATTTGCATCCGTTCTTGCTAAAACAAAGAACCAATTGGCATGACCAGCGTTAGTAATCCACATCTTTTGTCCGTTCAATACCCAACTTCCATCCACTTTTTTTACGGCATTGGTTGATAATCCAGCCACATCGGAACCAGCTCCAGGCTCTGTAACACCGTAAGAGGCAACCAGCGGCTCTTCTGTCATTCTACCCAAATATTTTTTCTTTTGAAAATCATTGCCTGCAACAATAAGTGGTGCTTCTGCTAAATTATTGGCTTCAATAGCTGTTTGAATACCAGTACAACCATAGGCAAGCTCTTCTGAGATAATCGCACTATCCAATACACCCAGTTCCATTCCACCATATTTAGCTTCAATATGTGTGTTGACAAGACCCAATTCCCATGCTTTCCTGATGATGTCAATTGGATATTTGCCTGTTTTATCATATTCTGCAGCAACCGGTATTATTTCTTCTTTTGCAAATTTACGAGTCATTGCTTGTATGGATTTTTGCTCCTCAGACAGGCAGAAACTCATCCCTAGAGGCACGTTAGCAGTTTGCTGGCTACTGTATTGGCGACGTAAAACTCTTGAAAGTGATCGCAACATTTTTTGATGTCTTTAACTTTTCCTTTTCTTTAACTGAGCAATAAACTGTTTGAACTAGTTCAAATAAAAGAAATAAAGGGGTAAAGGTTTTAGAAAACGAAGACGACTGTATTGTAAGGAACAAGTAAGAGGTCTGCACTCCGCCTTTCATGTGAAAGTTGCATGTGACCCTGAAAGAATTAAGCATCTATAAGAAATCGACAGATACACTAAAGCGTGGAAACACAGAAGCGCATTGTCCATACAAGAGAACATCATCCACATAAAAAGCATGTTAGTAGATTCGTATATACAAATTACAAGGCTAAGGCTACAAATGATGCATGTCTTTTCAAACACTATGCTGATAGAAAAATTCTGCTCGTTGTAACTGATTAAAGGGGAATTCAGATGATCGTATGATCTGTATTGATAGGTACAATCAGTTACTATTCGTAGAATTAAATGATATGCGCTAAACTTCAAAGAGAAAGATACGAATAATGGTGATCATTAAGGTGATCTATAATCTATAGACAGGATCTAAACCGATTCGACTGAAGTTTTACTGCTGCTTATACTATCTTGACTATAAGATTTGCGCTGGTCAGGATGACAAAAAACCCAGGTTATTCTCATTGATTTCTACTGTGTCATTCAAATGGAGGCATATCAATATTAATACACAAAGGCCCTGAGCTGTTTGACAAGGCAATCCAATTTCAACCGGCTCCTATTTATTAAGACATAGCCGAACTTTACACAAATTCTATGGCTTCAAGTCTGCTAAAATCATTTCTGACGATTAACTAGGCCGTCAAAGAGCCGAAGAGCTCACCAACATGCTTCTGGATGGCGTTAAAGAGTATAACTCGAGGAAGAGGAAAAAATCCTGCAAAGAAAGTTGCCAAGAGGAAGGAAAACAACGGAGAGTAAGATACGTGCAAAAAAAGCACAGAAGGCTGAAGAAAGGAAGGAACGACATAAGAAGAAGTTGACGATCAAGCCAGAAGCAGCTGTGCAAAAAAGATAGGCATTCATCATTACTGCTTCTACAATAAATAGTGAATTTAGCAAATTATTAGCATGTCTTTTGCAGATATAAAGCAAAGACTGTTAAGAGATTAACCGCTGCCCCTTTCTTCGAAGACCACAAGGAGATCCCACTAATCATATATGATGACGGTTTGAAGAACAAGGATTGCACAGCGTTCAAAGGCCAACAAACGGATGTAACAGAAAAATTGTATCACTCACTGTTAGAAAGAGAAAGACGTTTACTTGCAGCTGTTGTTAGACATTAACGAACTGGAATGTGAGTTGTAATCTTTTGAAATTTCCACAAATTGGTTATATGAACGCTTACTGAACGGAGACAGTTAAGAAATTGTCTCGATTGTACCCTCATGGTTGAGTTTTGATCAAGATTTTAAAGATCGTACTAATCTTGCAAATATTTATGGCAGGAAACTTTGGAAATTGTGAGTACCGATCGTAGCTATATAATATTGTATAGTGTCTCAATGTTAGCAATGAAGTCATTAAAAAACTCTGAAGGTTTGGCCAAATCAAACTAGTGAAGCTTGGTAAAGGAAGTTTTCCATTTTATTGTTTTAAAGCACATAAAATTATAATTCAGCTACCATTGTTTAAGAATAAGAACGGACGTCTTGCTTGGTAAACTCCCAAACTCATTCTGACATTTCGACCTTTTGCTGCACAACTATACAATAATGACTACTGAATTAATTATATATCTTGAGCCTTCTTATGAAGTACGTCAATACATCGAAAGCTTTCTCGAGGAATGTAAAGAAAGATTTGGACCAACAACAGCCAACAAGTATGGTTGCCACATTACAATGGTCGGTTTTTTCGATGTTGACAATGAAGCACAGCAAGAAGACTTGAAAAACAAACTAGACAGTTTGTTAAAAAAATTCAAGACCACTTCTTTACCCATAATTGAAATTAAACCGTTTTTAGTAACGGACAAGGAAACGCGGGAATCAGTTCATCTATTATTACCTGTCACATCACCTGAACCCTACCATCAATTGATGCGCGAGTTAGCAAAATATTATCCGATGTTGCGCCTAAAGCGAATAAACCATATCAGTTTGGCTTATTGGGATGAACCAGAAGCGACCCGTCTAGAGCAAGAACATTGGAAAAAATCGCGTAAAGAGATTTTTCAACAGATACAGGAGTATGCGACACAATATTTTAAACAATTGGATAGCACAAATATGAATTGGGACGTTGTTCTATACAAACGGAAGGTCAAAGGCGACCATGTTGGCGAGAAGCATGTATTTGAAGAGATACAGCGATGGCATACGCAAATTACTAAGGAAGATGGAAGTAATCATTAAGAAATAAAGCTGCCATTGTGCTCGCTTGCTTTTCGTGTATATTGCTTTTTATACTTATTAGACGCCTTTTCAGGTCATCTGTCAAAATAACTAGAATTTTTAAAAATGAGAATGAGCTTTTTTTTTTGTCAACCAACCAAACATTATTGGCACAGTACTTTTGTGATTTTCTTCCGTAATGAGTTGCATAAGTATTGTCATGGCATTGATTTGCACAGCTGGAGAAAACTCTGTATCCAGACAGAGAATTAACATCTGTTGTCGAGATGCGTCTGACATAAGATAAGCGTAGTGCCGAGGTTCTATCAAATATTACCAATCAGTGCCTTAAAAACTTTAGACTGACAAGTCAAAGTGAAAATAAGTGCATACCCAAACATATATTTGCAATTCCTCCTAAACCAAACTCTTGCAGAAGTTGATCTGCATTCGACGTCGCTTCGAGAAACAGGTCGATCACTTTCAGATCCCATAGGCTGTCATAGTTGATTGGATCATAAGCAAAGTTGGCTAAATTGGCTAGAACCTGCTGTTTCGCTTCTTTGTTGTTTGTTGTTTTGTACTCCTGCACTAATTGTTTCAGGTGGTAGGCGCGATCTGTTCCGTTCTTCCCATGTCGACGTTCAATATAACCCTTACTTTGGAACATTCGAAAATTTGGTAATTAACGAATGATTAACTTGTAAACTTGAGCATGAATTCATCACATCTTTTCTCAAAATGTCGTCGGCGGTTCAATTGTTTATTGACGAAAAGTGCGACGACAAATTTGAGAAGCTGGTCCTCAAACAAAATTTAAAAAACAAAATGTGGAGGGCATTTAAGACGTTCGTGCCGCCTATACTGTCATTATCCTGCCTTACTCAAAATAACCATGTTTCGCAGGTCAATATGCTCTTTAGTATACCCAATTATTAGGCCACGAAGTAAACTCTTTTGTATTCAACTGCTCTTTTGAGAGCTGATCACTAAGAATTTTCATTTCACGATTTAGTTTTTTTACAGCATCAATTCTTACCCCTGAATTTCGAAATGTCATTTCGATACTATACCACAGAAAGACCCTTGGTAGAGCAGATAAATATGTACATGGCAAAGATATTAGAGAAACGATCTCTAGAAGGGAAAAATGAAACAATACGTTTGATATTACGCTTATCTGAATATCTACGGAAGAAGGGCGAACCACTCAACCAAGAAACGTACGAACATATCCTTAGTGCATATTCCCGAAAAGACGACTCCAGTAAAATATGGATGTTACAGAAAAGAATGGATGCAGAGGGGCTACAGCCTACTAGATCATTTTACCAAAAAGCTTTAAAGGTATCATTCTAGGAGAAGGTTTGCATTTATTGATTTATGGCAGCTGATTCTTCTTGTTACAATCAGTTTGCAGGAAGAACAGGCAACGTATCGCTTCAAGCCAGAATTCTCCATATGATGGGAATATACGGATATACCATAACAAACCGTACATATTACTATCTTATATTGGGGGCTTGTCGGAACTGGGAGCTTGAACGAGCGTTAGATCTATTGGTAGAGATGGATAAAAAGCAAATCAGACCAAATTTGGATAGCTACTTAGAGATCATTGATCTAGCAATTAAATTCAGGCAAGCATCAGTAGCATTTGAACTATTACAAAAGGTGGAAAAATTGGAGTCGTTTAAAGGCCCTCACCAAGATACATATTTAAAAGTACTCAATTGTGCTGCAGTGGAAGGGCATGTAAGTGATTAGTATTTATCATTCTAGATTTTGGAGAAGCATAGTAATCAAAGCTGAGTTTTTAAAAGTACAATATAGCAAAAACAATTTGGGAAGAAGCGGTAAAGCGATACAATTTGAAAGCAGATGAAGGAACATGTCTTTACATAATGAACCTGGCAGGTCAGAATAATGATCCATATTTGACAAATGATGTCCTACGTAATATATCCGATCAGGGCCATCGATTTCGCGAATGTCATTTTATACCATTAATAGAAGCGTATGCATCAACAAAAGACATTTCGGGTATTTCAACAATATTCAAATCGATGAGAGGTGTTGGCGTAATACCCAATAAGTCTATGGCGACGATGCTTATTCGCAAATTTGGTAGAGACAGAACTGCTGCTCGAAAAGCGAGAAACAATCTAATGAAAGCAGCGAAGCGAAGCGAATATATCGATGTAGTTGTCTTTAATTTTGTTATACATGCTCTTGCATACTTTGCTGCGAATGAGGAAGCTATTTCAATGTATAACCGCAGGGAAGAATATGGTGTGACGCAGAATTCAGAAACTGTAGATGCTGTGTTGGATGCTTGTATTCATTCACATGATGCCGAATTAGGTGAAACCATTTACCAACGGGCGTTATCTGAAGGGATAAAGCCTTCATCTACAACTTTGAGTAAAATGGTGGCATTGATGACTATACTAGATAAATATGAAGAAGCTTTCAAATATCTGGAACTTATGAAGAGTCAAAATATGATACCCTTGCGCGGATGTTACTATACGCTTATCAAACGATTATCCTATAATAATGATGAACGAGCCCACACAGTAGTGGATGACATGCGGGCATGTGGCTATGAATTATCGGAGCAATTACGTGATATTGTGCAAAAAATGACAGAGAGAAGATTAATGAATGATACTGATTTTGTTAACAAGTTTAAGGCTGATTTAGCGTAGATAAATAAAGTTAAGCTTTCGTCTTTGCATGAATAAGGCAATTATGGATCAATCACATGATGTACAAATGATCTAATTGATGATCTTCTCGATCAGATAATCGATCTCTAAAAAACAGTGCAAGAAAGGTAGAATGTGCAAAATATAAGGGTTATTCTATTTATCAGTGCACGAATGCTTGAAAGATAAGATAGATAATTTATATAGATCAAAACGGGAATCAAAAAGCGAGCGTCAATATAGTTCTTTACAGATTAAAGTTATCTTGTAGACCGATTATCCTATCTTTTTAAGCTTCAACAAGTTCTTGGGGTCTAAAAAGAATCATGTTGGGCACGGGTCGATAAATGTACTACATGTCACAAGGAATAAGAGAAATTTGTATACAAATCAGATTACCAAAAAAGATACAGAACATATACATATCTGATACTTACATCACGGTATAACTCTTCAATCTTCATTCTTACAAGACATTTACCAGGAACCTTGGTCTTCTCGAGGAAAGAAGAATACATAACATGATTTCTTGGTACCAATTCAGACATGCGATTACGAACAATTTCCCAACCAACTCCATTGTAGTGAAGATTTAGAACACGAATCAAACGTTGAAGGTGACAATGGAACAATGTGTGATACAGCAGTTTAGACACTTCATCGATGGTATTTGCAACTACACAACTGTCAGGTAATACATCAATTTCGTACCCTGTTGTTCTCTTTAATGTTTCGTTATGTACTTTCACACCACCGAAATCACGAATAACGAACCCCTTTAATTGGCCTGTTTTTCTATCAAATCGTGCCAATGTGTTTTGACCGTGAGCTTCGAATGCAACACCATTTTCGAGACAAGGGGGCAAAAATGCGCGAAGTGCTAAATCAACATATCTATATAGTAGTTGTTAGTTATTCAGTCCTCACTCTTATAGTTTGAGTCACTATCTATACCTCTTCAAGAAATCGACTCTCTTTTTCTCCGTATCCAAACCCCAAACGTGGGTAACAAGTGTTTCATCAGTATCAGGTTTTTGAATTTTTTCGACTAGTGCACCACAGGGTACAAATAAATCATCTTTGTATTGAGAATCATATTCGAAAGCTTCACGAATAACGCTACTACAATGCTTAGCGATATCTGTATCCTCATGTCGATAAGAGATAGTACCCAATTCACGTTCAATAGCAAGTACTTCACGGTCATAATTCAGGTAAGGTACAATCTTTGAGAATCCAGGGCCAAAATATGTGGTGAAAGGTGTAACAGTACGAAGAGCGGAGGAGATTTTAATACCCAAGCAAAGTTTCACGCTACGACCAGATAATATATCGGGTCTAGCTACAGATCGAAGGGAAGCCAAAGCTTCTACTGTAATTGAGTAAGCTTCAGGAAAGATGTAGCAATCAGGGAATTTTTCCGCGACGTTGGGCAACTGAAGTTCGTGAATGGCAATATAAACATAATCCTTATCATATTTGTTATGTGACTCTTCCACAATATCACCGGCAGCTTGGAAAAAGGCGTCTGCTAGATCTTTGAATAATTCTTCATATTGTCCTCTCAAAACGGCGTTATCTCTTGGAATACCGACAAGGCGGACCTTGGGATGGTCAAAATCGTATGATTCAGGCGTCAAGGGTTTCATAGGAGGAAAGCTCTTACGTGCTTTATGCATCTACGAGGATAATTAATGAGGATGACGTTATTTTCAGATTTAGGCTATTCAATCTTATCTTTTTCTTCTGTCTCTCTTTTTTTTTTCAAATTCAGAAAAACTCTTTTTTTTTCGTGATACGTACTGGGTGAGTCGCATGGCCTTCAACTATAGATTGCTCCCATTTTATGGTTGAAGAATTCAGATCAGGTAAGGGTTTAGGATGTTTATAGGTATAGCCTGTCAGAGAGAGTAACAGACGGTTTAAATAAAATCATATCATTATATGTAAGCCTTCGATGGTTAAGAATAATAAACGCATTTTCTCTTGTTGCTTCCTTCGTTTTCGTTTTTTACTTTTTCTTTTTTTTTTTTTTTTTTCTATTTTATTCTTCGTAATTCAAAGAGGCATACTTACTTTGGAAAAGGATAGATGATCCAAGTTCTTGTTTGATTTGTTCTCTCAGCTTATGATTCACATTCAAATCCTTTGCAAAAATGTCCCACATTTGTACAGCATCAAAACCATCCCGCAAGCGGAAAATTTCCTGTGGATTCGCAAGTACACTAGTCAAGGTTAAATTGACATGATTTGTTTGAGGATCAGTCTTAACAGCAGCAGACGAGTCGGCCTCAACGCAGTAAATATGGGGTTGCATATCCAAATTATCTACCAAATCGATACGGGGACAGCTAACACCGTTCCATGATGCACGTGCATCATTATTGATGATGGGAAGACCGCGAAGAGGCACGACGGCCAGAATAGAGTCTAAGATTACGCTGGAAGGTACTTCATTTTCTGCTGCGGCCGTAGGTCGAAGTAATAAACAGATACCAGAGAAATTGTCAGTAGTATTTACTGCCGTAACAGAAGCAGGTGATGGAACAAAGTAAGCAGGCACTAAAGATTCACTTGTCAAGCAGGCAATTAAACGAGAAGTTGTGGCAAAACTAGCATAATGTTCATTGATGTCAACGTAGTTTGATGGCGCGGGCATTTTTAACTCTTGTACTTGATCTTTTTTTCTGCTTAATGATTACTTAAAAGAATACTATTTTCTAAAGAATTTTTTGAAAGAGAGAGCGTATATTCTGTCATGGCAGGTTTCAGTAGCTTTTTTATACATTTTTTTTTTTCCAAAAGATAATGCGGCATCTTAATTGACGGAAGACAAGAAATCGTGTACCAATATTTTCTATCGCGAATTGATCCTTTTGCATTCACCATTAAGAGTGTTTCTGTACCATAAAAAGTAGCTATATATTCTTATATACACTCAACTATGTGAAATATTGTAATACAATCGGCTTAGGGACATTAAGAGTTACCGATACATTTAGGATCGGTAAAAATGCCTTCTATTCTTCATGCACTGGGCTTTAAATCATCCGTTACTTCAAGAATAACATTGTTTGTTCCTTCTATTATAATTCGATCTTGAGAAATTGAACCATTCCGCAACTAGATTAATAAAAATCATTCGTGACACAAAGGCGCGGATCCAAGAAACAACAACTGGACTATTTCTAACAAAAGGATACGGCAGCAGAAATGCCAGTTTATCAGATCTTCTCTTGATTGTTTTTTCAGCCATACCTAATTTGATTTCCTCCAAATATATTTAGTGAGATTATGGATATATAATTTTATTAGAAGACTGAGGGCTTCGAAAGTGATGTATTACCTCACCAATATGATTATTTCCTGTCTCAACAATAATTATGTATTCTGTCTTGGATTAAAAACTTTTGAAAAAGAGCACAATTAGATAAAAAACCAAGCAGCGTTCTCTTCGTCAGGCTTACCACTTGTCTCCAAATTACCAGCTGAAAGAGTAACAAGCGGACTCGCCCAAAATATGAACCGAAGGTTAAGAGAGGCATCAGATAAAGGGCATTACTGCTTATTTCTGTGCAAGTATGTACAAGGAATTTGTAAGTCAGCTAACGATTATCTGATAACGAGAAACAACATATCAAGGTTGTCCCTGTCTCTTAAATTGCAAACGTTCAGCATGATGCGCCAATTACTGATGAGTAATAGCTTTGCCATAAAAATAACAGAAACTTTGTTACCGAGCCTCCCTATAAAGCTGCTATTTATGCATTAGTCTTACCGTTAGGTTACAAAGAGATTGTGGCACCATTCTTTTAAATCTCATGAATTTTCTATCCGTTACCTTAATCTTATCCTTGCAAACAGATATGGAACTAATCACTGTTACTCACTACTATTCTTCCTCGAAAAAATGCGCTTTATGGATTAGTTGCTCATTAGTGCTAGAACATTGAAGATGCTGCTAGGAAACCCGAAGAAATTGTCTGATAGCAATTTATGTATAACATTTTATTTGAAAGATAAATTTGAAAAGCAATGCACAACTTCCGTTTTAAAGATGCTTTCTCTTAAAAATTCTGGTAAAAGTCAAGACAAGTATATATGACAGGAAGAACGAATGATTATGGGGTAAAAGTAGTGCATATGATAATGATAGTATTGTGTATGAAAAAAATTTTTTTCTGTAGTAAAGTACGACGCTACTAAGCGATAATGGTTGTATAAACCCTGTCATATTCGTCAACGTCATCAAAGCGTAATATAGGACCGTCGTAACCCTTTTTTTGAGCAACCACTGAATACCACGACATATACGTTTTATACTCATCTACTTCATTTCGCATGGATTTGATAGTGCTCACTAAGTCTTTTTCAGTTATCAGTTTATTCGTAATCCATTCTCTTTGAAAGCTTTTGATCGTCCTTTCCCAAAATTCTAGCAGTAACGTGCCGACTGTATGACCATGAATCCCAATGGGCGTATGTGTATGGTATATATGCATATTTTTCAACTGAGTCATATTTGCCAATCGATTTGGCCACGGATTTCTTTCTTCTGTATTGTAGTTACTGCTACTGCTGATGCAATTGTTAGCGTTGGTATTGTTTGTTGTGTTTGTTATTAAAGGAGTGGTTGGAGACTGTGGAGGATGTTGTAGGCTTTGCTGGATTACTAAATTGTAAATGATTTCATTTCATTAATCTTGCAAGTCCATTACCCTTCTTGGAGGTAGTCTTTCTTACGTTGGTTAAGCAATCTCATTGATGGTCCAGCATCAAAAAGATTCTCATAAGCTTCTACACATTCAATGTATGCGCCCTTTTTCATTATCCGTATAAGCTCCTTTAGTATACTATCCCACATTGAGTCCGGAAGCGTATCTAGCATTGATCGTATGAATATATAGTCAAATGAATCATTTTCGTATGGTAATGGCAGTTCTATCAGGTCGATTCTTTGATAGACTACATTTCTCGACAATAAGCTTGACGAAAAAATGGTATAAGTTGATGAGAGTGTCTTTTTATATTGGCTGTATATTGTGCCTCTGTTTTACCTTGTTGGCAGCACATTCTTGTCCAAGTCAATGCCTGTAAAATGTGATAAAGGGAACTGTGATGCCATTTCCTATTATGGTATTAGCCAACTGTTTCTAGTTTCTGTCCTTTTTGATATTATATGTTACTTCTGTGCTTTACATTTGTCCAAAAACCTGCACCAGTACTATTTTAATGTTTGGTGTTAATGACTGCTTAAACTTCTGAAGCAATTCATTTGAATTGATACAGCTCTAGCTTACCCTATATCTAGTACTTCTAATCCTCCTGCTTCAAGCAATCTTCCCACAGGTGCTTTAAAATCTCTATTAAGATAAATATGAATCTGACTGATTATGTTTTAAAAAGGAAATGCTGTAGTTATGTTGAAGTTACCCTTCAAACGCCGTCCTCAAAGCATTGTGTTTTACCCAGTCCCTTTCTATATCATCCACTGTATTCGGCAATCGTTGCCTTAGATTTATTTTAGGTTCTTTCGAACTTCTCCATTTTAGTTTCAGAAAATCAGTAAATACACTGTTTCGCTTGCTACTATTCAAGGTGATTGAATTATTAACGACAGTATTTACCATCATTTTAAAAAGTAAAAGAAGAAAAGAGGAAAGAGGGAAAGAATCAACTCAACTAGGTTTGTGCCTTCAAAGCGAACATCAAACTGATCAGCAGCATACTTTTTTTCCGCCAACTTTACGGGGTTCAAGCCGTATTTGTCACCCAACTGTAAGAAAAGCAATGACAGCAGGAAAAATTTCCTTTTTAAAAAGGCATGGAAAATGTACATGTACAACAGGGCCCGCAATGCCTATAGTCATAGATTTGTATTGAATTTTTCAAAATGTTGAGCAAGCTTTTGAAAGCCAGTTTAAGCTACTCTGATATACAGTTTGTGAAAATTAAAGCAATGTAAGTCTTCGTCTACAAAATTATGTACCTCTGTATTGTACAGATGTACAAAGGAGTGTCAAAAAAAATCGAGCAATAGCTCCTATCCAGAATGTATATATCGATTAAGGCTCCTCATGATTTTGTGGGCACACATATGACAGTGCCTGTAAATGAATTTTGAAGAATTCATATCCAGTGAAAATGATAATTAGGATTAAGTCTTCTTAACAATTGCTTGTTGTTATTACGGTTCTGAAGAATAAAACAGCCTTGTACACTGAATTTATCATTACAACTATAATATTTGCCATATTGACGAAATCATTCACTCCCACGATTTTCAGCGGTCTAATTTGTTACGCGTTCTATAATATTGTACTTTGGTTGAGTTGGCCAAAAAGGAAGGTACTTCGCAGGCACTCTGTTAAGAAAACATCTCAATTATTATTGGCACGCTTTCGGAACACTCGAATATAGCAACTATAGTTAGACTCCGAGTAGTCTGCATTAAATTGGACTCTTCCTAGCGTAATGATCGCTAACGTCATAAGCAGTAAGATGGACTCAGTATGTGTTTTTAGATTAATCTTGATCAGTATAATGGAAGTAATTGTGATGCATGCCTACTACTACGTATGAACATTAAAAGTGCACAATGTACGCTATGAATTCTCTTCTATCATTCGTGCACACTAAAACGCACAAGTTTGACAATCCGACTTGAAGATGTGAGTATCACCTTATCTTTTTATTTTAGCCTTTCGATGTCAGACACAAAGCTATCGCTTCCATGAGCTCTGTATATCAAGTAAGATTTTCAGACAATCACTATCTACTTCAAAGAAATAAGGTAAATGATAGCCCAAGTGGTGGCTGTGAAATGAATCACTAAAATGGTTAAGGAACCTTTCAACTTCACTTTACTTGAATCAAATTCCGCCAATCAAATTGAAAAACTGGGGTAACCAAATATATTGCGTGTTGATTGGCTCTTGAATAAAAACGAAAAACGTAGTCTTGAGGTGACGTTTTCAAAGGGCACCCACCCACCAGCGGACACCTGAACTAGAACACTCACCTCGTACGGAGCCCTCAAAAATTTAATTTAAATAATGGTTTCAAAGCCCTCGGGTTCAATTACCTTTTTCCCTTTTTATTATTCAAACATATCTCAAAATGTTGAAGGTAAACGAACAAAGAGCAATAAGCACTTCTAATAAAAAAAAAATAAAATAGTTAAAATATTAACAATGCATATAACTCATGATAGAACTCTGTGCAAACAACTTATTCGTTGAAGAACGCTATTTCATTCCCTTACCAAAAAAATAGAAATGCTTTCCTTATTGTTCGCCAAATGTCTTTAGAAACACAGCATTATACCAACAGTACTGATATGCCACCACCTTCACCAGACTCACTCAGAAAAACAGAAGTATTCAAATTGAATAATAATACCAAGTCTAAAGCTACTGGTACAACCTTTGCCTCTAGCTTCAACCCAACCACACAGCAGGATAATAGCCATGATTTGTTTTCTGATGAAACCCGTAGTAAACTAGAACGACTAAGACAACACCATTTCCATCCTACTAATATACCTGATTCACCTGACTTTGGCACAAATCAATATATGAAGATCAACGAAGATTTGAAGCAGCAATTAAAAGATGTGATATCTGAGTTTAATGCACCTATTCGGTATGCCGTTGCATATGGTAGTGGTGTCTTCCAACAATCAGGTTATGACCAAAAGGTATTACGTTAGTTATCAAAAAAAAAAACTCGTTTAGGGAAATTTTTTCTCCTTTAAATGTCGCCATTTATTGTTAGATACTTACCTTATGTATAAATTATAACGTGAATAGCAAAAACCAATGGTTGATTTCATTTTTGGCGTTAGTCATCCTGGTCATTGGCACGATATCAATATCCAACAAAACCCTCATCATTACTCCGGTCTACGCTTATTGGGCTCGGGCGCCGTCAGTCGTTTACAAGAAAAAGTAGGTGCGGGCATTTACTTTAATCCTTATGTGCAAGTCAGCAACGGCATGAATATCAAATATGGCGTTGTCTCCATCGAACGACTATGTAAAGATTTAATTGACTGGGAAACACTTTATTTAGCGGGTCGCATGCACAAGCCTGTGAAAATCCTACGTGATGATGCACGTGTACGTTTAGCCAATCAAGTCAACCTAACCGAGGCTGTGCGTGTGGCCTTGCTGACCTTACCCGAACAGTTCAATGAAGAAGAGATTTTTGAACGTATAGCCGGCATCAGTTATATGGGAGATTTTAGAATGATCATTGGTGAGAATCCAAATAAGGTGAAGAATATTGTAAAGGCACAAATGGAGAATTTTCATCGACTGTATTTTGGTTTATTGGATGACTTACCCAACGTTACAATCCTGAATGGAGGCAAATTTCAGCAAAGTTATAATCCTCGCTTTCGGGGACTTATGGTCAAGAAGCTGCCCAAGACGTTGTATGATAAGGTGTTGAAAAAATATACAGATGAGGCCGTAAGTCAAAATAGAAGCATTCCCGAGGATAAGTCAGTATTATATGAACAAATTGCACAATCAGAAGATTTGAATCGTTATATTGAAAGCAGTAAGTTGATAAATATTATTTGTCTATTTGAGAAAGTCGGCAGTGATTGTAAAATGAAGTTCTTCGGATGACTCAATTTCAAATCAATACATTTAGGTTTAAGTGAAATTATCGGTCGTACAGCTGTCACTCAAAGTATGAAAGGCATTCTTACTGCTGGTACAACTAAAACAATCCGCTATGCTGGCGCAAAATTAAGTAAATGGTGGACTGCCCATTCCTAAAGCCGTATATCTCAATTAAGCGATCTTTCTATCCTATGTAACATTTAATAACCGCTATCCTTTGTTCACCCGAATACTTTAACGACTTCGAATGGATGTTAAAACTCTTATTGAACTTGGTGCTTTCAGTTTTTTTTTTCTTATGTTTCCTGCATGCATACCCTTTTCGTTTAGTTTCAATTTATTCTTGATCTGATGATGTTTGTTTCTATCATAAGGCGAACTATTTATTTTCTTGTAAAACAAGCTCAATAAAAAACATAATCACATGATGAAGTTTATTGCCGAGATTACACTCAACATTTTTGCATTACACATCAAAGAGCTACTGATAATAATCTAAGCATTCGTGATGCTTTTCGCTACCACAGCAGAGTAAAGCTCTTGAATCTATTACTGCCTACAGTATAGATTTTTGCCTAGCATTTTTCGGACATGAAAAAAAAAAACCCAACCTTGATTAACACAATCCGAAATATTTCTCTTTCTCCCTTTTTGATCATGTCAATCACCAATTCTCCTACCACTAATGATAAGGATAATGACAGCTCAAAAGGACTAAAAGCCTGGGAAGAAAGGCGAAAAGCTTGGTTAACACCCAATCAAACTTATTTAGAAGCGATCAATAACAATAACAATAACCATATTGACAATCGAGAGAAAAATGACGATTCAATGCAATTGAGTCCCTTTGAACAATTTCTTTCAAATGAAGCACAGCGGTTGCACATTTACAAACAACTTGTCACTCAACGGTATGCTTTGAGAACACCTTTACCTTTGAAATATATTGTAAGAATCAGCTATAGAAGAGAGAGAACAGCCTATAAAGCTAGATAAGCTAACACTATAGTGTTTTTTATTATAGATACCGGTTTTAGTAACTGGTTGGCAAGAGGATGGAGTATGGCCGAAAGGCATGGTGGTGAAGGAGACAAGTGATTAATGCATTATAGAACGAATAGTTACTTTCGTTTAAAGTATACCCTTTAGCTTTTTTCATTTCCTTTTGGTTATTTTTTTTTTTTTTTTCCCTTTTTCCAATATAGAACTTTTTAATCATTTAGACTTGCAATAAAGCAGCCTTGCCATTTCCTTCAACGACAAGTTCGTTATTGGTTACTATGGCTTGTCTATAAACCAATTCCAAATCAGACATTTTCTTATGATATTGATAGTTCTGAATAGCACTGCTTAGCTCAGAAGCCAGTTGATCGCGTCGAGAAACACTTAACCAAGGATTCGATTTCAGATCAGAGCAAGTGAACAGAGTAAACATATCCATTAATTGGTCGATATAGAAAGTTTGATGCTGATATTCTTTTTGAAGTTGTTGACCGTATTGTATCGCTTTATAACACTGATAGTCTTGCTGATGATGATCTTCATTGGAATGAAGGCTACCTTGAAAAGCCATACTGAAAGAACTGAATCGTCTTCTTCTACCTAAAAATGCCATACTACTTGAGTTAGGCGAATGAGATACGTCTTCTTTTGTGGGGGAAGCAGCAATCGCAGCCCAGCTTAAGCGTCTTCCTGACGCGGCGACAGGAATCGTTGATACAATAGGTAAGCATTGCTGTTGGTGCTGTGATTGGCGATGAATAGTAGAATCTTCTTCATGAATTGAATCTAAACTATATGTACGATTTCGACCTTGTTCCGTATACGTAATGGGCGTAGTGCCAAATGTAAAAGAAGCAAATGAAGCATTCAAACCGGCATCTTCTTCATTAGTACTTGTTGGTGTGGAGGAGAAATAATCTGTCATAACCAACGTAGAGCTACTAGAAGAAGAAGCAGAAGAAGCAGAAGACTGAGGCGTCACTGAAAGAGAGTTATCATCACTTCCATGATCAGGTAAAAACATGTCCAGAAATTTTTGACTTCTTAGTTGAAATAATAGTTCCGGATTGTTTTCCAACAGATGGGGATAATGTAGATAGACTGTTTCCATGACTGTATCAATGTGATGACCGGACATGATGAGTTTACGAAAGTCTTCTTTATCATTATCCTCTTCTATTGTTGTAATAGTAGGAGGGACAATAATATCTGTTGAAGTAAGGGCAGCACTAATAGGAATAGCAGTATCTTTATAGATATAGCCCAAGTTTTTCATTAAAGCTTTTGCAGCACCGATATAGCCATGGTGGATAAGGTATGACAAAATAAGATGGTTCGTATCTTTCTTCTCTTGTATTGAATCAGCTACTGGAAGAGTATCAGCCAGTGTATCACGTTTAAGAGAAATTTCTTGCGTCTAACAAGTTGTATAAGTGAAAAAAAAAAGAGTGTTAAAACTATTCAAAATATTCACAGCTCTTTATACACATGCCTCGTATCAATTCAATCACTTACTTTGACATAGTTGACTATATCAAACAAGAAAAGCTCCTGACCAAAGTTGGCAGTGATTTTTTCTCCTAAAGTCGTTAGACCAACACAGGGATAGTAACTCGTAGAGATCATTTCCGAACTTTTCAATTGAAAAGCTGTGCCCAATAAAACACCATTCTTGGTGAAAAATACGGTTTCATGAGCAAAATTAATGCCACATCCAATAATATCACCAATGGTAAAACTGGGTAATTCTTGATTTTGTTTGATGGACTTTGAATAAAGTTGGCCGTCTATACCATGATAACCGATAGAGAATTTGTCATGACCTATTACATTATGAGGAAAGTGTTTGTTTATGAGTTAATAAGAAAGTATCTGTAAGAATATCATGCAAGTATGTGTGTATGTGCAAGTTGATGTATTTTGTTTGTGGCGTCTTATATTTACAAAATATGTACCTGGTAGTTTGTCCAATTTGGATTCAGACGTACAAAAACCAACAGCAAAGACGCCATCTTGACCAAGGGACAAGATTTTAACTTCAAAGTAATAGATGCCGCATTGAGCTGGAATAGAAAAGTTTGTACGTATGGAAACAGGTAAGCTTCGTGATTGTTGATTGAGAATGCTACGACTGTCACTGTTTAGACCATTGGTAAAGGCACTGAGGGACTTGTGTAGCTGTTTATGACGCGGGTCTATAGAGTAATGTATATATTGCATGAATAAGCATTTGTTTTTCTCACAATGCATATAATATTAGGAATACTCACCAGTGAGAGTAACATCATAGCAGTTGACATTCAAGTCGCTATGCTTTGATTTATTCCAAAATGTTGGTAAACGTAGATCGACCTCTTCCAGTTCTTTATTGTAATAATCATAATAAGCATTTCTCTTCTTCTTCTGCTGCAAATGCTGATATTGTTCGGTTATTAAATTTGCATAATTTGTGTATCTCAAATACAGAGGATATTTTGGTGGGGCTATTGTTGTTGCCGTCGTGCTCATGGCCGTTGCACTTGGTGATATTAATGGATATTGGTGCATCTGGTGTTGATGATGATGGGGTATCTGAATGGGTAGGTTTCCATTTGTGAGCTGCTTCCTCTGATTTGCATTATTCAACTCACTGTTATTTTGACAATTGTTGTTATTGGCGGATTCATGAAATGATACATTCTTATGATTGCTACTGAAGGTGCAATAAGAAGACCAAGAAGATGGAAAAGCTTGCAAAGGTGGAAAGTCCAGATTATTCATAAAGGAAGAAGCCATTCGTATATGAAATGTTCGAAAGAAAAAAGAAGAAAAAGATATAATTTATCGTTTCTTTGAGTCAGAACAATAGGGAAAAAAATAGTCAATGGAAAAACTGGGAAACATAAAGTTAAACTTTTTTCTCTGATTTTATGTGTGCTTGAAAAAATCCAAAAAAAAATCGAACGACGAAGCGTAAAACCTCACGTGTCCTCACATCTTCGCGCTCGCGTGTGCATTGCCAGGGATGTATGTACGATACTTACGGATTATGGGAATAAGCTACACTTGATCAAGGGAGCCATTTTTATTACTACACTGAATTAAAAAGATTCATATTCAAATCTAGTCACTCGCATACCAATACCAGAAGGTACATTCATAGCCAAATATTTCACCCATCGATCTACTACTTCAGCATCAGTATCTTTGATTTGCAATAGTCGCTTATGTGTCTTTCGTTCGAAATTTTCTTGCGATTTTTTATGTACAAACGGTGAACGCAAAACAGTCCAACGTGATGTTTGAGTTGGCAATGGGACTGTGCCTGAACAAGGCATCTGTAAGTGATAAGCTGCTCGACGTGCAAAATCAGCAAAGAAGTCTAACTGTTGTGGTAAATAGCCTCTTAATTGAAGATTGCAGACTGGAATATTATGGGTGGGTTGAACACGTTTAGGAACTATATAACACATTTTCGATAAGTATTTGTTACTTTCAAATTACTCTTGAACATACCGCTTGCCTTATTACCTTCAAACACTTCCTCCAAGTCTTTTTGTTGCTCCTGCTTTAATGGAGGCAACTCCAGTTTGTCAAACATTGTCTTTTTAACTCCATTTGTTGTCGTGCTGTGTATATGTTTTTTTTTTTTTTTTTTCAAAAGCAAGGATGAATTGTGTCAGTGTCTTTCTTCCATTGCAAGTTGATGCATCCCCATTAACTCTATAATGATTTACGCTAAAGATCGAATACTTGTCGATGAAAAGGCTTTTGGTGACTGTTGTACTAATTTTGACTAGAAAACCAAATCGATTAATAGAGAGTAGCTTATACCTTTTCCTGTACTATTATACTACTGCTTTAAATAAACTTACTATTGATAACATTCTATATAGATTTAATATGAAAGTGGTATGGCAGAAGAATACTAATGCTGAAAAGTATGAACACATTTAAACCATGTAACAGTAATTACACCCCACCAGCACACCCCCGCCCTCCGTCGCCCTTGTTTCCATCCGCATTTTTCTCTTTTTTTTTTCAACATCTTTTCTGAAAAAGGAAACTCCAGGGCAAGTAGCAGTTTAAAATATGTATGCATGAACCTGTGATCTGTCAATCAGTGGCAATAAAGCTTCAAAGTGATAAGACAGTGAAGCATATTTAATTTTTTATTTTTTTAGAAAAGAAAAGGTATACATATGATATAAGATAAATTACTGTTTATGGTTCCATTTTGAACATGGGATTAAATTGCTGTTGCTGTGGATGCATAAGAAATTTATTATAGTTCGTTGTAGGGGTAGTAGTGGTAGTAGTGGTAGTGTCTGTACCTGTGATAATGGGTTGGTCAATAATCATTTTGTCGTTGATATTATTTGGCAAGGCAGTGCTAGGACTATTATGATAAATAACGAATTGTTGCTGCTGTTGTTGCTGTGTTGTATAGAAGCTATGATGAGTATTACTGCTGTTGCCGATGTTAGTATTGTTGAAAGCAAAAGTAAGGCTATTCACACTATTACTCGTTGTATTCGGTAAATCAGGGATTTGTATGTTCTCATCAGACATCATAATGAACGGGTCCGGGCTATTTAAAGGTGAAACAGGTGTATTAAGTGCTGTATGATACGCACTTAATGCGGGAGATGCTTGTTGGCTACTCGCTGTCATCATCATGGGTGATAAGTTATCTGTTAAGATAGGAGGTGGAGGTGGCTGGTTTCTTCTTTGGTTTAAGTGTGAAGGTGCATTTGAGGTTGTTGTTGTAGTGCTTGTAGTAGCGCTGTCATGAGACGTAACGAATATGGACGGTGGGGGCGTCTCCACTATCATCATTCCGTTACTTACTATTTTTTTATTTTTTTTATAAAAAAAAAAGAAAGTTTTAGTGATGAGCCTTACATAAAAATAAGAAAACCTTACATTGTTGTTGATGATAATGCTGATCATCGTTTCTATGCCTGGATGTTAGAAAGTTTATCATATTTTGCAAAACCTGCTGTTGTTTTACTTGGGTGTCCTTGGTTTCTGCCAGTTCATTTACGATCAAATTGAAATTTTCTTGCAGTTGTGCTATTTTTTTAACCATTTCTATCTGAGATATCTGAATCATAGTTAACATATCTTGCTGCTGTTGTTGTTGACGATAATCCGGTATTGAATAACATTGAACGTGATTGTTATCATGATAGCCTAATAATGCTGGGTTACAGCTGTTAGTACTACTCACGCTGCCACAGTTACTGCCTATGTTATTATGTGCGTATGGTTGTTGTTGTTGTTTCTTTGTTACTCCATTATTATCGGTGTTATTGCTGCTACTGTTGTTTGTATGATTTTCGATGGATTTGCGCTTGATATCGTCTAATAAATCACGTCTCTCTTTGATAAATTTTGAATGACTAAATTCCCAGATTTGATTTTGTGCAAGTGTTTTATGACCTCTGGGTGACTTATTTACTTTATGAAATCCATACCTAAGTTACGAAAAATGTCATGTCAGCTTTAAGCAGCATATCACTTGTGAAAAAAAAAAAAAGTTACTGCATTTTACATGTTTAATTGTCGGACAAAACTACTAAAATTACTATGTTTGAAATGCTTGGGTAATACTTCTTTTGAAAATTCTGTTATATTACACACAATGAAAGATGTTCCTGTATAGTTCCATGCAATCAAATATTGATACTGATTATCCACCACCATACTGTCAAGTTAAATCAAAAAAAAAATCGAGCATGTTAGAAGAATTACAGTATCATGAGCAGAGCGTCGACTTTTTTTTTTCCAGAATTCTTTACTTGTATAATTTATGAACAAAGGTTGTATTGCCTGGATTAGATGATTTAGTATTGTTGTTATTATTGTCGATGCTGCTCGTGGTGGTTGCTATCGTTTGCGCTTTTGTTGATGGCAACTGAAGTGAGGACGTGCTTGTGTTATTGTTACTGTTTGTTGATATGTAATATTGTGGCGAATCATTACTTCCTAAAAATCGTCCGCCAACGCCGCTACCACCTGGAGAAAGATAAGGTGAGCTAATAGGTGAGATTCCCGGAGATCCGTCACCTGATGTCGAGATGGAGCAACTACTATCCATAAATGAACCTGAAATAGATGATAGAGAGGAATCTCTACCATGAAAGATATTCATTATGAATATATTTGAGAGAGAAAGAGAGAGAATGTGTATGTGTGTCTAAAGGAGAGCTAAAACAAATACCTAAAAGAAGTAGAAAAAGAAGGGAAAACAAGAAAATAAAGGAGGTGGCAAAATTTATACATTGTAGAGTGGATCTTGCATCACAATAAAAAAAAACCAGTTAAAACTTAAGTGTGTACACAGATGTATGCAAGTGTTGGTGGAGTAGCAAACAAAAGAGAGAGGGAGGTGACACTAATCACGTGTTTTATTATTCTTGCTTCTTGTTGTCGACTATTCTTAAATAACAAAGTGGGCCGACCCAATGTAACTTGTATCTTTTTGGACTATTAGCCAATGTAGGATGAACCCATTCGCTAAAAACAATGAAATAATAGACGCCCAATGCTATGAACAAATTATGTTAGTTGTCGAGACACACTATGATCTGTTTCTTTCAGTCATCTTTCATAAACGCGTACCTGTACCGATATGCCACCAACCATGAAGCTAGAATAGCAATAGTCAATTATACATTATGGTCAGCGTTAACGCGTCATACCCTTTTGAGTCGTTTACAACGGTACTAGAACTGTTTCCCATTCTTACCTCACTAACCGACCCGATCAAGAACGGTACGTTACTTCTCCACATTTTCAAATGCTCACAAAATTGATTATCGATATTCCACAGAATAAATGCGATAATGAACCCTAGTGCTGACATCCATAATAATGCTCTCATTCGTGGTTTTTCATAAACAAATGTGTTGGGCACTTTTTTCAATAATACAATGGATCTCAGCACAACGCCGCAAACTAATAAGCCGTACGCAACTTGATGGAAAACAGGATTATTGATGATGATATAGGAATAGGTAATGACAGCCGAGTAAATAACGAGTCCAATTCGAATCATTGTATCGTTATGACAGTCAGGATCAGCAAGATATCTATTATACAACATCAGCTTCATCAGTCTATGCATCTTTTCGAATTGTTACATTTTTCCTTTTTTTTTTAATTCTTTACGTCAACCAAAAGACAATACTTGCTACGTAGATCACTATTGCAGTATCAGTTAGAAAGGAAATATATCGTTAGACGTTTCTCGCTGAATTCATTACTATATCAGTGTATACTGGTATATACTCTACTTGGCAATTCATCCAACAATTGCATTTCATATTGTAACGTCATGTGAAAACACCACGAGCCAAATCCAACGAAAATCACGCCCATATAGGCCAACATGTAGGCTTTACTAGACTTATTTTTCCACACATTATAGATACCAAATAATGAGAAGAACACTGTGCGAAAGGTTAGGCAAACTAATTATATTTAGTAATTGATTGTCAATAAATACAGGTACTTACCAAAGCCAAGATTTGTAACTGTGTTGAAGAATTCTGCCAGATAGGGTGACACTACATAGTTTTCCTTTTTGATAGCAAAAGATCTAATTCAGCTGAATTATCCTTTTCCGTCCAGTGAAGCATATCCTTACCTCACACCAGTCGATTGTAGATGTTCTAATTATGCACATAGATTCCATATTAATTTTTCTCTCACTCTCACTCTTTTACGTCTTTAACTTTACTATCAATTCGTCGACTTACACTGGTCCCCAAAAGTTCTCTTTTAGTGATGACATTAAGAGTTTGATATCTATCGATTAATATTTTAAAGGTAGATAGACTTATATCACAGTTAACAAATATACAAGAATTCGATATAAGAAGGTTAAAAAAGGCAAAGTAGTAAAAGAAAAAGGAAAAGATATTGTCATTTTGAAAGAGGCGAGGACATAAAACACGCTGAAATCAACAGGAAAAAACAGAAGCACGGACTTTCCTGCTCCGACGTTCGGTTACTCATTTTGCCTTCTTGCCTGGCAAATATTATTTATTTATCCGCTCTTCCAAAGCAAAACGATCTCCTGGCTTGAAAATTGATAATGTGTCGTATCAAAGAGACCTGTAAATAACAGCTGTTGGTTTTACACTGTTGAATTCTGTCGCCGCCTTCATAAAGGAAAAGCAAAAATACGCCATCTATTGTCGCCGATATCACATACGCAGTATCTGTACATCCTTGTTAAAGTTAGCATTGAGCTGCCGCCAGTACCGAAGGAGGATCAAGATCTTATCGAACAAAAATCCATAATACGGCCGATAAGTATGTCAGTCTTCTACTTTAACGATATACATGTCATCAGTAACACATGCATTAAATTAACAATGGTTTTTATGTATTGTGGCTGTTGACTAAGGTTTGTTGGCAAATATATTGCATTAGCTGACAGCATATCTTTTGTTACTGTCCATTAAAGAAATAGCGAAGAAAGAGAGAATGAGAATCAGCAGTTCAGATTGGAGAGTTAGCTCCAATTAAGGAAAAAATTGATGTAAATTATTGTGAGCGCAAGATAAGAGAGATCACTTTTGTATAAATGTTATTATAACAAAATGTGCATTACTTTTAAAAGTCAGGTTGGCTACCTATCGTCACCAGACGGCGTACTAGAAATACTCTTACGACCAGAAAAAGTCAAAGTTCGAACAAATATAACAGAAACCTTGGCATTTCTCTTTTACGGTAACTGTTCAGCTTTTGGAGCACGAGAATCCCTATTTAACCCATAAAAATCAGTTAAGTTATTAATAGAGATAAAATGAGGGTTAGTTATTAACCGTCCTACAACTTCTCAAAGAAAAAGTACGAAACTTATCAGTCGAACAGTAACTTTGTAGCCAAACACTCATATGGTATTTGTAAAAACGTTTCAATTGTGGCAGAAGATGATATGAACGTCATTGAACGTGGACACTAGGAAAAAGAAAAAAGAATAACATAGTATGGACCCAAAATTCTTTTGCTAGCGCACTTGAGCAGTTTTGTCAAAAAAGTCTCTTTCACCATGGTTTTTTGAACATAAGGAAAAGAAGCATTAGGTTTATATTCTAGCTTATTGCACAGCATGCTTCAAAATTCAAAATTCACAGTTTACTATTGTCTCTTTCAGATTATGACCTAGTTGGGCAAATGATTAGTTCTGTTTGCTATATTGTAGAGAAAAAAGCATCTTTTGCAGACTTAGATACGCACGAATATTGTAAAGAGACTAATGAATCCAAGAGAGTTTCTTTTGAACAATGTTAAGAGACCACAGGAGACATACTTTTGCGTAAGAACCATATTCTGCCATAAGTCAATTTGCTCGCATATGGTATTGTACATCCGACAAAGCTTTCGATCTCTTGCGAATTACAGAATCATATTTCCTATTCGATCATATCTTCTAACAGAATATAGCCATTGAATTGTATAGATAGGTGCACCATCATTTACATTACCAATACCAAGGAGATTGAACGATAACTCTTCCAAATCACGAGCTTTCAGTATTCTTCAGACAGTGAGACGAAGGGACTTTATCTAATTTTAGCCTTTGCTTTTCAAAATGTATTTCTTGTAGCTAGGTGCTAAAATATTGCATTGAGCCACTTTATTATATGCTAACATATAGATTGAACGGAAGAGGCACAATTACCCAGTCAATTCTCAACTGTTTTTCGAGTTGCGTATAATGTGCCCTGAATAGCAATAAAAATTAATCGACGATCCATATAGTTAAGCAAATACGGTATTGAAACAGCAGCATCTTCATGATTCTTCGATATAAAATATATAGTACTATCTATGCCAAACTTCAACCATTCACGCCCTCAATAGCTGTTACGCAGAGCTCAAAAAAATGCACATGCCTTAAATTTTTTTTTTTTTTGACTGCAAGGCATTTTTTCCCAATACGACTCAGGATAAACAAGGGTTTTAATGTCTCCACTAGGTTTGTGTACACCTCAACAGGGCAATTTGCTATGCTCTTAACATACTGACCATTCAATATGAGTGATCTACAACGAGGATCAAACCATACGATAGGTATTAATAATGGCCTACAGCAGTTAAGAAATTTTTTCGTGCGGGAAATATAAGTTATCTTTTCAGTGAAAATATTCGTTCAGTTGCCATATAAAGAAAGCGAAAGCGATGACTCATCTGTTTATCTGTAGAAAATTGTATCCAATGAGAGCTTAGCATACCCTGGGTCCTATAAATGAAAGAATGAAAATTTTTTCATATCTCCTTTCTTCTTTTTCTTCTTTGCTTTACTTCTATAGTTTGCACTTCTGGGATTGGTTCACCCTTCTGCTACACACACGCTTATACACCTGCTGTCTATCTACGTTTCTTCATTCACTTCATTTTAAAACTTTTTTTAAATTAACGCTTATTTCCCATCTTTGTCTATTCATGATGGCCGCCACTGCTTAATTTAACCGTTTTCGAACGATTTCGCAACTACAGAACCAGAACCTAACCCGCAACTTACCTTATTAATTTACTCGATTAAACTACAAACAGTATTCCATTATGGTTTACCTTATCTCGCAAACATGCTTACCAAAACAACTGCTAACGAAAAAGACGTGCAAGTCTCGAAAACCAGTATCTCTATTACCTTGTTGAACTCTCAATAATCCAAGTTAATTTATCAAGAAATTATATAGAATCATGCCTATCTCTGCTATGAACATCGAATCCCACAACGCCACTAAGAAGAACAATAACACACCTCAGATGGAAAATCAAGATATATTTAGTCAACTTTGTCAATCTCTTACCCCTGTTATGAGCACGCCGGGTCAAGAACCTTCATCCATGTTCGATGAATGGATCAAGCAAGATTTTTTGTCCGAGTACAGTAACAATTCCTCGCCTGAGATAGCTACTCCCTTGGATCAATTCTTGATGTCCCCTCCATTTCAATCGAAAGATGAACTCAAGTTAGAGTCCATTTTCGGAGATAACGTCGACCTCGATGTATCTGCCATTCTTAACTCGCCTCAACTTTATTCCGTACCCCCTGAAGCTAATGTAGCGACAGCAGCAGCCCCAGCAATCAATAACCTAATGGCGAATACTGCCACCACCCTAAACACAACTACCCCTGTTACGCCTGTTTCGCCACCGGAAGCTAAACTTTCGTCACCATCGTCAAGTACCTCTCTTGTGCCTCATACTGTGCCTGCTACCCCTGTATCCATAGCCACCAGTGCAACTACAGTGAATGATGTGAATGCACCCACAGCTGCAGGCACTCCTCTATTACAAATGAGTAACTTATTTGCTGACATTGGTAATTCTTTGCCAGCTGCTCTGGCCGCTTTGGCTGCTGTTGCTGCTCCCACTCCTATTGTGACTCCCTTAGCTGCTCCCCCATCGACACCTATCATTACTTCTGTCACTGCCACAACCAATACGACAAAGAAAACTGTGGAAGTTAGTCATCAACCTTCGGTTGTCAATGCTACCACCCCTACTTTTTCTGCTGCTCCCACAAGCAACCGTCGAAAACGTGCTGCTAGTGACGATACCAATAATATGGGCTCTTTAGATGAAGCTGCTATCAAGCGACAAAAGAATACAGATGCTGCTCGTCGTTCTCGTCTGCGTAAGGTTCAAAAGATGGAAGCTCTAGAGAATAAGGTCGCTGAACTCGAAAAGATCAATGCAGGATTGCTGATGCGCGTTGCTGTGTTGGATTCGGAAAAGACGAATTTGAAGGCAAAGGAATCTTCTTTTGAGAGTCGTATCAAGGTTTTAGAAGAGCAATTAATGGAAGCTCATAAAGCTCTTTCCTCCCGTTCTTAATTTTTTTTTTAGATATATTATAATATGTATCTTTATTTATATTAGTACCATTACACGCATATAATCACTTTTTTCCTCATTTCAATTATTATTTCATCTTCATTTTTAAATGAGTGTATCCATAATTCATTTAGTCAGTTCAATTAAAACAATATTTAAACATTGATACACCTAAAAAGAATTTGTTTGTATTTTTTGATTGCTGGGTCTTTTTTTTTTTTGATGTGTACTTCATCTACAACAGTCCTTCCATCATCTCTAATATCAGGCTTGATATGGCTTATGAAACCGTAGGTCAAAAATTTTTTTTGTAGCCTGGACAGTCACGTAGAAGAAAAAAAAAAAAAGAAAAAGTCTATAAATTCAAACACTATTTTGAATCTTTTCTTATCAAGCGTTTCTGACAAGTCTAACAATTGCAAGGTAAATTTTGAATGCTGATAGTAAAATACTTCTAATTGTATTTTGGGATACGATATGCAAAGCCGAGGCTTATGCTTTCGTTCTGCTTTTTGAATGATGATCAACAAACAGACCTGTTCTGCATTTTTGCTGAAGACAACCGTTTATTGCCTTTTTTCTCTGAAATTGAAGCAGATATATTTATCCCTTTATACAATTGGTTATATCTCTGGTAATATTTTTAGTCTAACATTTCTTCTGTTAATTCTAGGGTCCCTTCCAAGAAGTTGCTTGTCAATTGTATAGTTTTTTTCTTTTCTTTTTCCTTTTTTGAAATAATAAAAAAGCAAATTTTCAATAATCTGTACTTCCTTCTTTTGTCAATTAAGTCAATTGTATAAATGTTTGTTCGATATTGTAAGCCTTTAAAACATTCGCGTAGATGTTACTCTACATTTGAGGTTAGCCAAATACAGTCATTTTGACATTTGTAGAGAGAGGCAGCTAAAGTGATAGTTCATATTTAAAGACTCTAGGTATTTCACCTGCCACTTGTCAAAAACTGAAATCAAACTTTAATATAATACGTCCAACCCTGGCCCAGGAACAATTTATTCCTCTATTGCTCGAAGGCAAACGCGATATACTATTACGCGATAATACAGGAACGGGAAAATCCTTTGGTATAGCTATTACGTTAGCTTCGTTGATTCCTAGCGAAGTCAAGGTTCACAAAAGTGTTCATTCCATCTACATTGCACCCAACCAAGAACTTGCTCTGCAGATCGGTCATTGGATACAAAAGTTGACAGATACGCCTAATGTCAAGCTGTGTGCTGGTTTGTCAGAAGAAGAATATTCGACCATACCGCATACAGTTATAGGTACACCAGGGCGCATATTGGATATTATAAATGAAGGAAAGTTGCCAACCCATGCATTCGATCGTCTCATTATAGACGAGGCTGATCAAGCTTTTGCACTACCTAAAAGATATGCTCCGGTGCGGCAACAAAACAAAAGAGCAAAACATCCCAAACCAGCACAGCTCCTGTTAGACAAACTACTGCTGGAAAGCAATAATAACCAAAAGATAAAGCGTCAACTGATGGTAGCATCAGCGACACTAAATAGACCTTTGCGTCACTTTGTTACTTCTCAAAAAGGATGGCTTCGTTCAGATCCTTTATTTGTGGATATCTCCAAGGGAACTAGGATGAGTGAAGTAGTCCCTGTCCAACATCATTGTCTTTTAATATCAGATGATGCTATTCGTAATCTTCAAACCGAAGCCAAACAAGAAGAGAAAGCGCCTAGTGTGGATTTTGATGATACAGACGATCGCATGATTGATAGCATTGCTGCATTACAGGAAGTAGAGCCTGTTCGTAATGGCATCTTATTTATCGATTCAGCCACGAGTGTTGAAAAACTAAGAGACAAATTGGCTTCCTATAACGTAAAGGCACTGAACATTAAAGACTACGCTCATCAAGCGCAACAGCAGCATGACGAAAAATCAAATTCGCTATGGATTGCAACAGAGTTCTCAGCAAGAGGTATTGATATACCCAACGTTTCTCATGTGTTTATTCTGGGACAACCGTCATCGCCAGCTTCCTATTTACATATGGCGGGTAGAACCGGTCGACTTGGACCTGAGGGTTTTAGAAGTGGCAAAGTGATCAGTTTAATCCGTGAGCAAGGATGGACTGAAGCCAAAATGGCCAATATGTATAAACTTTTAGATATCCCTCTTAAACAATATGAATATGTGCAATAAATAATCGACAGTAAAATGATTTGTTTCGCGTACTATCTTTAGTTTCAAATGTATCAAGAATAGGATAAAATGATTAACGGTTCACATCTTTGGGTGAGTTGTCAGATTCTTTTTTCTTTCCAGATTGAAAAGGATAACTTCAGAGGTAAAGTTAGAGGTGGTAAACTGAATGGCTATATCCCAAACAATGTATGTGGGTGTATAGGCAAGTTCAAATAATGAATACAGATTATTATTAATCGTTGATTCCTATAGCACATTTTTATCAAAAAAGTAATCTGATTTAGGCTTATATAATAAGGAATATGAATATATCACTGCGAACCATCTTTTTCAAATATAATACGCAATATTCCGTGGTTAAATCAGTTGAACGAAAGTGATTAATACATTATATTAGTAACATTCTTAAATTATACGAGATGGTTGTTGTAGGTGCACTTGCAACTCGTCTACCAGGTCTACCAGGTCTACCGGTTTTTTTTTCAAAAAGGTTTAAACTTTGGCCTACCAGAACTACCACGTTTTGTGTTGAGTCTATCGGGTTTTTTCAAAAGGCTTACATAGCCATTCAGTTTTATCTTCATTTACCTTCGGATGTCTTACTTTATTATTGACATTTATTCTTAAGTAGCGCGTCCGGGCTAGAATGAGTAAGAGGCTATTGCCGATAGTATGTAACTCAAAGGAACCATTTACGGTTGAAATTCAACATTATAAAAGGACAATTCCCTAACATGTCATACGTCCATACAGTGGGTAAACGATATCTGTTTTTATTAAACTTGGTACTTTTGAGGAAGTCCTAAAGCAAGCTTATCGAAAAACTCAACAGTAAGTTGCTGGTTTGGCATCTTTCGAGTCATATCAGTTATCTTCAAAATACGTTTGACCACCTATTCAAAAAGGACAAGCAATTGATGGGCTCAATAAAGAATCTGGGAAAGGACGCTAATCTTTATATGTGCCTTACCTGGTCTTGTTCAGATTCATGTTTATGTCCTATATGCACGTAATAATCCAATAAATAGACCGTGTCGACAAATTGAATGTCATCAATTGTAGTCTCGCAAGGACATGAGCGTAATTTTGTTAATATCGAACGTAAACCACGAATTAAACCATCACAAACGAAAGTATCACTACAGCTTCCCTCCTCAGTTTTAGCATCGCTGACGAATACAATGAATGCATCCAAAATACGAGTGAGCCACATCAAAATGTCCTTGTCGGATTGACTTTCAGTATATACGATTTGTGCAACTGTATCCCAGGCTGATATTTCCACTTTACTACAACGGAGAAGACATCCAATAGCCATATTGATGTGCTTTATGAAAGACGCTTTTTGGCTTTTTGCTATTGAAAAAAGTTCAGCGGTGGCTGTAATTCTAATTGATAGCTGATTGATTGGAAAATCCTTCAGATTGTCGAGAGGCAAAACTTGTGAAATATCTGACAAACTACAATGTGCGGCTTTTTGAACCAGGAACCTTGGCGTTTCTGGATCATTGAAGAATGGTATCATAACAAAATTGAACATATGCTCACGGATGGAAGAAACAAGTTCTGCATCATCATCATTTTCTATTTGACTGTTGGATTCTGGTAAATGATCCGCTAACGTGCTCAACATTTTATCCTATGCCGTTTCAAAGCTAATTAGTATTTGTATATTCTACTGTTGTTCCACGAATACATTGTCATTAACCTTTACCTGTATACTTTGAGACATATACTGAAATTTCTGAATGACTATTTCCACTAATTCCAAAACCCGGCTTTTTGATAATGTTATCTTCTTGACAATGGAGCTTAGACCTCGGCGTTGAATTTCTTCCTTTGTTATCGTTTTGCTTGGTAATTTACCCAATTCCAGCAATGTCGCAAATGATGGACCTTCAAATAAAAACTCACACTTTTTACCGGAAATAGCAACGCTCTTCATAATAGAAATCATTTGTGTAAAGAGGAACTCAGATAATGAGAAAGAGGTAGCAGCATGGTTAGCTGCAAAAGCAAAGCATAAACGCTGAATATCTGGTGATGTTTTCATCAATGAAATGAGAAGATTGTACCAGTTAACGGCAGGCAACGGACCTTTTGAGCTTATAAGAGCATTGAGCAACATTTGAATGTTGTTTTCGTTGCTGTTTGATGATAAAATTAATGTGTTGAGCTGATCAAACACACCACGCAAGTAACTGGTGCTGCTACTGAGACGATTATAGTTACTCGGTTCGGATGAGCTGGATATAAGGGATGAAGCTTCCCCACTACTGATACCTTGTTGGTTCATAGAGCCAAGTGCTTGCGTCATTAACTTTGTGGTCTCAACAATCTTTCCGACAACAGCAGCAGCAATACGCCCACTCTTCAGATTTCCTACATTGGAAGCCTTAGCAGTAAGACCAGCAATTGCTGCAAGCTTATCTAGAGCAGCGCGTCTCGAATTTGAATGATATCGTTCAGCTTTTAAGCCGATGCTTCCGCTGTACAAGTCGAGGTGTTCTACACCTAATAAACTTGCTGCACCGAACAAGCCAGCAATGCGATAATGACTAGATGCATCATCTGTTTCGATGCTTTGTAACAAAGGCTCAAACGCCTGACTGTAAAGTACTTCATTCTCTTGATCATCTTTGTCAGTGGTAAGATAACTATAGAATTGTACTTGTGTATAAGGGACCACAAAATGGTAAAAGTGCTGATTCATACTCAACTAAAAGGATATAATATGTTATGGTTTGCCATTCAATTGAACGATATTTTACAGTTGCTTCTGTTTGATAATTTACCTCAGATGATGTTGCGGCTAAAACAGACTCCAATAAACCAGACAGCTCAAAATCAATACTTTCTCCTTGCATAGCGCCAACTGCACATAACCATGTAGACCCAAATAAGGCGCCTTTAGCAACGGAACCACCGCTCAAATATTTTGCGAGGTTTTGTGAAGCAAAAGCAAGTTCTTGATCCATAAACTCACTTTTCAATGTTGAGGCTAAACCCATCAGAATACCCATAACTCGACTGTCGGATACATTAGTTGAAGCACAATAATCTAAAAGTTTGGTTACTCCATTCTTCCATAAATCGTTGGTCAAAGCTGTTTTAGTAGGATAAGCAGCTAAAGCCCCAATAAAATGACCAGCTGCAAACCCATTGGCAAATTGAACCAAGTCAACAGCTGTATCGATATTTCTATGTTTATGTTCTGCGGCAACAGCTGAAGAAATCAGCAGACTATTGACTGACCGCATGAGTTTATCGTTCCCTATAATGCTTACAGCAAGAAAACCCACAGCCATTCTTGCGGCAAACTGGACTTCTTCACTCATCAAGTGTGCTGAGTGTGACAAAGGAGAGCCGGAAAGAACAACGTAGTTCTTCATTAACACTTCAATAACATTGCTGGCACAAGAAGCTGCAAAAGAAAGGCTATAAACCCGTACCATCTGAATTAAACCTTCAGTAATTTGTTTGATCAAAGAGAACGTGTTATTAGGATAATACAGTAGCGGAGCCGTTCTTCTGATCGTTAGGTGCCATACCTGCTATTGAAAGTATTATATTGCAAGTGACTCCTGGAACAGTACTTCGTTCCAATCTCGACAAAAGGTCCTTCAGTAATAAGGATACAGTAATTTCTATATCATTTTTAACGTCGGCCAACGCGTTATTGAAAAAAGCTACCCAGGAGCTTACGCTGGAAATTCGCAGTAAAAGGTGATCTGTTAAGCTTACATCTGTGAAAGCTGTGTTCAGGAAACGATACCATTTCATTTTGCTAAGAGCTTCCAATGTATCTTTAGGGTCTTTCGAAGGGCTAAATTCACTAGTATGTAACATAGCAATAGCATAGCCTGAGCGCAGTCCTGGTGCAACCTTTGTTGTATCCCACATTTGAGTGAGTAAGGATTGTAATTCAAATTCACGTTCACCAATCACTTGACCAGCATCGTTCGTCACCAGCTTTTCATCAATGTCGGCCTTTTGTTGAAGTTGTTGTTGCTGTTTATGGGATACATTTTCTTCCTTGAATAATCCACGGCGCATGTGCTCAATTTCATGTGTGATAAGGGTCGAAAGTACGCGATCTTGACCTTCAATAGGGTTATCATCGTCAGGAACGGTTTCTTTAACGTAGTCTGCGGCTTTTTCGGGCAGAATAATTGCTATATCCTGAGCGTCAAAATTCGCTAAAGCATGCATAGCAAGTTGAGCAGCATTCTTATCTGTCGAACTGATGAGAGGTGTAATAAAATTAACGAGAAGACCCTCTTTAAACTGCAAGTAGAGCTCTGATACTATAGAGTAATAGAATATGTAAAAAAATGTACAAGCGTATTAGCGTTTCTTTACGGTTCCTCCATAATAACGGAAAAGCTAGATACTCACTATCATGATGAGCACCCGCGATAGCGAAGAATGCACAAATTTCTTTCAATAAAAGAGCAGATTTTTGTGTTCCTTGTTCCAATGCAAATTGAGCAAGGTAAACTACAGCAATATCCCAAATGGAACGAGGCTCCACTAACCCTGCTCGAACACAATGATTGATCGTAGCCACCAAAATAGATAAGGATGCCATACTCAGATCTTGACAAGCTTGCAGTAAAGAAACCACCATTGGTAGCACGTCTGCTGCACATTCACGAGGTCTGTCCTTGCAAATGTCGCGCATTGTGGTAAGAATAGCGAGTTCCATTTTGACAGAGCCTTGTATTGTCATATCGATTTTGCGGTGTACATTGCTATGTTTGCGACGAAGAACCCATTCAGCAAATACCCTTTTCAGTTCCTGCCAGACACGAGGCTGAAGCTGGTGCATGTGAGCCAGTGCCTTCACTCCGAGACTTGCAATCGCAGAATTGGGTTTGCTGTTGATGGAGGAAATAACGACCTGTAAGACTTTACTGGTAACAAAAGGATCATTGGTATCGGCCAGAGTGGGCAAGATATCGCGGAAAATATGTGCTACCAGGCGAACATTGTCCAAAGAAGATCGCAACCTATGAAGCAGAAAAAGTAGCATGGGAAATTTGTAGGAGATCTTCGTAAGGCAAGAGAGTTCAGTGATTCGTAAGTATGTGACAAGTTGGACGTCCTCGTCTTCGTCATAGATAAATGGAGAGCTAAATAGAAGGTTTAACACCAGAGTGACCTCAGGGCCATCTTTGTATGTTTCTCTGAGGACAGGCACATTTTGAGCGTAGAGATTGTTCAAATAGACAAGGAAGTGGGCCAATAAGCCGTACATTCTGCGGTTCTCAACCAACTTTTGCAGCTGTTAACGAAAAAGATGTATCAGTATATCTGAAAGACCGTCTTTGCAGTATTAAAAAGTAAAATACCTCTTCTAACAAGCTCTCTTCATCATATCGATCAACTTGATTGCTATCAAGGTAAGCCAAAAGTTCCAAACTATCTTCTTTTAACGCTACCAGCTCTTTAGGTAGATCCTTATCGTTCAGCTCTGACACTAGCTGATACAGTGGCAAGTAAGCAATACGAAGTAAAGTCATATTTTTACTTTTGCTAACAATTGATCTCATCAAAGCCATTGCTAACTGCTGTTCTTCTAGTGTCTGTCCTCTTAATAATATGTAGGAAAGTGTGGTCCATAGCACATCGATTACAACCTGGCTTAAAGTTACATTCATCATTTTAGAGAGTCGAGAAAGATAAGACGTTACAGGCTGATTTTTGTAAGCGATTGTAAGTAGATGGTCAATGAAAGGCAACAAATAATTGTAGCCACACACTTGAGATTGATAGATGTCTATTTGTATACAAGGCGAGTTATCGATAGAAATCCACATGAGAAAATCGACGAGCATCAAATACATTGTGCTGCTTATCTCCAACGGAAAATCGAAAAGTATATCCATCATTTTTTTATAGATGGCTGCAATGATAGAATCATTTTTGATACCGAGAGTCATGCTGATTTGCATAAGGCGTGTCAAAAGTGCACCACCATCGGATGTATGCTTTGTCAAAAATACACTCTCAACAAATCCACTCAAGATAGTCATAGCATTTTCATTTTCTTTGCCAAAAATGTCCAGTAGTTGATCCAAAAGCTCAAAATAGAGACTAGGTTTTTGATGCATAATGTAAGTGAAGGGATGGATCTGATATGAATCTTTTTTTGCATAATGAAATTGGAGTTGTGTTTCTTCCGGCAAATAATGGTTGAAGATCAATAAACGAGTGATGGTTTGCAAAAATAAGACATTTTTGCTGTCGTCCTCACATGTCAGTACCAAGTTTTGCAAGTTTTGAACTGTTTGTAATAAACCTTTGCCATTGTTATTGCTATTGATCACGTTGCTATAGATTTTTTCGCAACAGTGCGATGCCGCAATTGTAGGCATTTGAGAGAGTGTTGACCATAGGCTATCCGTCTGAGACACTGCTCTCTCATTTGCTTGATGGATTTGCACGAAGCGATGCTCTACAATTCCATCAACCATGTTCAATAAAGAGAATCAAAAAGACTTGCAATGCACAGACGATCAGGAGCTGTAAACAGAAAGAAGATGGCTTAATTGAAATGCCGAAGTCAAACCCATTTAAGTAGGATACGATAATGAATGTACCGTGCTGTACAAAGGCGATAATCTTATTTTGGTTGAAAAATTCATAAATATATATATTAAATGGAGGGAAAGATGATTTATACATGAAGGGAAAAAGGAACTAATGAATTGATCAAGGAACCGGTTCACAATATTTAGCTATCCAAAACGCTTTCGAGACTATAAAGACTATAACTCTAACATTTGTTGCTCAAAGTGGCCATTATATTGATGGCTTTAAAAGTCGACATCCATACCGGCATGATGATCCATAGGGTTCATATCAGTATCGTACCCTTGACCTGTTCTCGATTCCTCAAATGTACGATGTCGAATCACTTCCATGTCAAATTTATTCTTCAGCCCATTGATTTCCGATATAAGTTCTGATGTAGCGTCTTTTAACGCTTTTCCGGGCGATGTTCCAGGCACTGTTTGTACTTTAATAAGAAAGTTGTGCTCTAAGGGATGCGGTACTTTGTAACCAGCAAAGAGAACTCGAGGGTCTTTCAGTAATTGGCTGACGAAAGTTAGGAAAAACAGAGGAGGGATCAGTACATAATTCAAACCTAAAGCAAAGCTAACAAGTTTTACTTAAAATTGGTTTATTGCTTTTACCTTCTCAGAATATTACCAAGTGTATGATCTTCGCGTTCTATAGTAAAGGTGGCTGCATTAGGAATCTTTGTGTCGATTTCCATTTCTACTCTGGATCGTTGTATTTACTGTTAGTAAGACGAATTTTGTAGAGCAACTATTTTATCTGTGTAAAAGACTCACTTCTTCTTCCCTTCAGGAATGACAAAAAGTTCAAAACGATCTGGTGCATTCATCTTCAATCAAATTTTAAATTATGTACAAGTGATCGCTACAGTGACAACAATAACAGCAAAAGAAAAGAAGACAACCCAAAAGCAGCGTTAAGTGAAATTAGAGTTCCGCACTCTTTTTTTTTCTAAAACCACCGCCCTTTCCCTTCTGACAAAAAAAAAATTTCCATCTTTTATTAACAATAATCATTAGATTGCTGTGCCTTTTTTAAGCGTTCTACTTCTTTTTTTAAGGCTTCGTTTTCTCGTATCAGCTTTTCTCTTTCTTTGTTTGATGAGAGTAATAGATATTGCAGATGTTCAATTGTTTGTGTGATATCGTTTGACAGATTACCACTACTTTGTAAAGAAGCCGCGTTATTATTGCTTGATACAGTCGATGGCCTAAGAAATCAGTTATAACATAGTGTGTCAATCCCCTGACAGCCAAGCTTTTTGTTTTGTTTTTTCTTTTCCTCAACTATCTTTTGTTTTTACCTTTGATAAGTGTCTTCGTGATAGAATATAGACGGTCGTTTGCTACTATCTGATATTGTACGACTACGTGTCGTGATATTGTTTACAGCGCCAGAAGTCGTCGTAGATGATGTGGACGACGACTGTGAATGATAAGAAGAGGTATTGTGATTGGTGATGGGATGATAAATATTTGGCATAGATGATAATAATTCCTGAAGCATTGTCTTTTGTATTTCAGTCTGTTTCAGAAGGTTTTCCATATGAGAGAAAACCATATGTGGCATAGAAGTATTCAAGACACGATGAGCTTGACCTCGCGACACGGAATTACTGGGTGATACACAAGGGGATGGTGTTACAGTGGACTGAGGAGAATCATAGTGGAGGGCATGGTCCTTATCAGAGAGTTGCTGTTGTTGTCTGTTGATGGTAGAGGTGCTGTCGCCAAGGGCAGCGGTTGAAGTACCTCCTGTCAACTCGAATCGACCTTTCTTTCTACATTCAGGAGAAGTAACACAGGGAACACCAGTCGTAGTGTTGGTGGCAGTTGTACTGACGGTATTTGTCGCGGAGGAAGGTGCTGTATTGGAGTTTAAATTAGACGGTGATGGGTGATGGTGATATGAAGCGGTAGAAGAAGTAGAAGGATGATGCTGCTGATGGACAGTGCCTGCATTTGACGCAGGTTCTGAACCAGCAGAAGAAGACTCTTTTTCAATTGAGAAACGACTCACTTTTGAAGCTTCTCTTGACAAAGCAATAGAGGCTATAGAATTTTCACGCGTCAAAGGGCAGGTTTGTGATACCGGTGTAGATGCAACCACGCCATCCATGTTGGATACATTGTTGTTGCTGTTGCTATTGTTATTAGAAGCAGCGCCAGAGACACTGTTATTACTACTATGCTGAACTTCAAACCGAGATTTACGTTCGCTTTTTCCAACATTCGCCTCACTACCGTTGCTTCCCATCTTTTGTTCTCCTCCTCGATCTGAGCTATGAAAACTATCTTGACTTGCAGCACGTGACATAGGAAGAGATTTTAAATCCGCAATGGTGTAATTAGCTGATACGGGTGTCGATATTGTATGTTGAGACGCATGTTGTTTATCAGAAGGAACGCTTGCCTCGTCTGCCGCAACTGGGGTAGCACTGCGGGTAGGTGTTTGGTTTACACTGAAGCGGCCTTTTTTGAATTCACCCTCTTGAAACGTTCCTGTTGAGGCTGTTGTAGGATTTCGACTACTGGATTGGTTGAGGACAGTGGAAGATGGGCTTGTCGATATACCTAACCCTACAGCTACATTATTTGTGCTACTACTAATTCCCGTAGCGGGACCAGGTAGAGTAGAATGCTGTGGCTGCTGTTGTTGTTGATGTTCTGCAGAGAAAGAGGATTCAAAGGGTGCGGTTGAGGCAATAGTATGCGCAGAATGAATCGTGGAATTATCTTCAATTACAAATCTCGATTTTTTTGAAGAGGAAGGTGTCATTGCAGTGCCTACTGCTGCTGTGGTTGTTGCTGAAGTGGTAGATGGTATCGATTGACTTGCAGTGGTATCTCCTAAAGCAGGAGTCGATGCCGGTGTGAACAATTGCTCCATACTTTGAGGTGTTGACGAAGCTGCTGAGGATGGGATGAGGGGAGAGGGGCTTTCTGCCACAGGTGACATCAGCGGTCTAAGAGGCGTATCTTTAATGACAGCGTCACCAAATGATATATGTTTTTTTAAAGTGGGAGGGTTCGGTTGATCCGGGTTGTTATTGTTGCTATGTTCAGGAGTAGAAGTGGTATTTGTGGTATTATTGGATGATGTGGGTGTGTCGCGTCTGATAATAGCATCGCCAAAGGAAATATGTTTTTTCATCGGAGGAGGATGTTGCACTAGAGGTTGGTGCTGCGGCTGTGGTTGCTGTATTTGCAATTGCTGATCATCGCCCTGCTGATCTGATGAAGGACTTGACAAGATGGGTGTATTGGGTCCTGTGTCGCTTGTGGCATCGTTGGCTTTACCGTTTGTATCATCATCCGACTGGGTATCAAAATCCCACTGTTCTGTGATTTCAAAGGAGATGTGCTTTTGAGGCACCTTTTTATGTGGTCTTTGATCTAAAGGAGGTACATAACACAGAATAGATTTGAGCAGGTAATCCTTCTTTTTGGCTTGCTTAAAGAAAGGATGTATCAATAACTTTTCGGCGGAGGGTCGTTTGCTAGGGTCTTTTTGAAGACAAGAATCGATCATGTCTTTGAACGCTCTCGAGTATTTATGAGCTCCATTTTCTCGATCAAGCGTAGGTGGTGCGTTGGATAAAGTCATCATGAGTACTTTCATGGGCGGATATTTGGCAAACGGAGCATGGCCGGTGGCTAATTCCAACGAAGTGATGCCGAAGCTCCAAATGTCTGCTTTATAATCGTAGCCTGCTTGCTCCATGACTTCTGGTGCCATCCAACAGGGTGTACCAACAAATGTTTTTCGAACATCACCATTTTCAGCCAAAGAGCTAGAAACACCAAAATCAGCTAGCAAAACAGTACCATACTGATCCATCAAAAGATTACCCGCTTTGACGTCACGATGAATATGTCCATTTTTATGAAGATAAACCAACCCTTCCAACGCCTGGCGGAGGATAGTAGCAATGGAGATCTCATCCAGACCGTTGGGAAAAGAGGTTTTCATGATATCTAAGCATGACCCAGCAGCTAAATAAGGTGTGACAATGTACAATTTGGACCCATTGACAAACGACCCATAAACCCGTAATACGTTGGGATGCTTGGATAACGCCATGAGTGCTGTTTCACGCTTTTATGAATAATGAAGATAAAGGAGTCAGGGTAAAAATGAAATGTCTACTTTCTTCAATTTATTGTAGTTTTTTCTTTACCCTGAGTTCATCGATTTGATTTCGTTCAAACATGTCTAAATCAATCATCTTTACAGCGACCCTTTTCTTTAACGGTCTGTAGATAGCTTCATACACAACGGCTGAAGAACCATAACCTAAATGGTAATGAGTTCAAAAAATGGAACAATTGATTAGCAAAAATGGAGGATTGATGGGCAAAGGGAAAGAAAGAAAGAAAGCTGTCAAAACCTTGTCTTTCCTTTCCTTTCCTTGCCACTTTTTTTTTTTTGTCCATATAACACATCTAATTTGCATTTACCGATTGGCTTTCCAATGTCAAAGTCATCATACTTGTTTGCCCAATTCGATTCTGAACAGAGAGAATTTGAGGAAGTAGGAGTATTAAGACTTGGAGTAGAAGGTTGTTGTGGTGAAAAGGGAAAAGGTTCTGTATCTGAATGATGAAGAGAGGGTAGTTTGACATGAAGTCCTTCAGAAACACTTAAAGATCTTTTAAAGTGTTGTTTCTGTTGCTGTTGTTGTTGTTGTTGTTGTGTCATATGCTGATTGGAGCTAGATGAGTTTAGATTGGACAGCGATTTCAACACACTATTGGATCTCGGCCGGGAACTGTCAATACTGTTGTTGGACGAAGACGGTTGCGGTGATGGTTTTTGATTCATTTGTTACGAAACCGTATTTATGAATGAGAGCGTTTGAAAGCAGAGTGGGGTGGAGAGGGTACAGAAAGGTGTTAATGAAAGTGGAAGGCGCAAGAAGGAAAAGAAAAAAAAAAGAGATAATTGCTGCTATCCTTGTAGTTTAGTATTGAAATTGTCTTTCGATGATTTTTCGGTCTAAATTGCTGCTGGTAGTTTTTCACTCTGAAAATGCATCCGACTCTAAACCACAGAAAAAAGAAAAAGAAAACAGAAAACAGAAGAGAAGGGTGTATTAGGGAATTTTATGTGTTGGAAAGTATCAAAAGGTAAAATTATTGGGAAAAAGGCTCGCCGAAAAAAAAAAAAAAAAAAAAAAAAGAAAAAAAAAGTCTTTTTCCCTAGCTCCCATATTGAATTCAGTACTTTTGCGTTTAAATTCCATTAGAATTCAAGAACTTTTGTTCTGCCAATCAAAAATTTGCTGTTCACCCAGTTAGAAAGGGTTTTTCAAATGGTTAAGTTTTCATGCCAAATGACAGCAGATGGATTCATTGATGCTAAACGTATTCAAACACAGAGTGACGGACGCACCCTTTACTGCTTTTTCCAACGGTCTACAAGAAGTTCATTTCTTGGTTAAAGGTGTAACTACAGGCTTGATTTATGCTCGGTATTCTTCAGGTAAAAATGGGTAAGTGGAATGTGTATTATCACAAATTGCTTTACTTGTTGCCTATGAATGTAGTGGATATTATTGTAGTCCTTATAAAGGACGAAAATTATCGATAGCAACTTAAAAATCGCCGACGCTACTAGCATTCATTACATACCGAGAATGAAAACTCTTGTCATATAACATTCTTTCAAGAAAAACTATTTCATATGCGTTAGTATGTTGAAGAATTTGGAGGGTAGAAAGCTATACGCTAAACTGAATGAAGCATAACAATTAAACATAAAAAATTATACTGTCAAAAGCATAGTCTGCGTCGTTTTATCTGGCTTTTTTCTCAGACAGAGGAGCTAGCAGCCTCATCATCGCAAGTTTACTTTTGCAAACCATCCATATCCGCTTCTAATGTTATGATTTAATTTAAGGCATTCTATTCGCTGTGAACGTTCCTCTCTGATTTTTAGTATAATAAAAGAGCTAAGGAAACTTATTACGCAATCGTCTTTTAACACAACTTGTTACATCTCGCGTTCACACCTATAAACCCAGGTTTTTATAACGGGGAAAAGGAAGAGAAGCTTTGATTGGGTGGGCAAAATTTGTGGATTTTATTTAAGACTTGTTAAACGCAAAATGCCTATGTAAATTTGCCCCCAGTCAATGCTACTAAATGAATTTTCTTCTTTGTTCTTCATGAAATGTTAATAGAACAGATTGAAACAAAAATTAGTTTAATTCAGATACGAAATTATGATAGAGAAGAAAAAGTAAATTTATTGTTTCTGATGCGTTGATAAAATCCATGTAAAGTTACTTAATAAATTATTATCAATAAATTTTTTTTATCTATGCGTAAGATTTTTGCCGTTTGGCGGGAAATATAAGCACAGTGTTTTCAAGTAAAAGGGCAGATGAGCGACTGGGAACAAAAAAAAAAAAAAAAAAAAAAAAAAAAAAAAAAAAAAAAAGAAAACGACGTTCCCCAGAGGCTTATTCAAAACATAATGACATGGTGTTTCTCGTTATCTCATCCCTTCAGATGACGATGATGATGGTATAGAGCATAGAAAAGTACGTTCTTTTACATATGTTCAGAGACTTTCACGTCTTTTTTTTATGAATCTCAATAATGTCCAAAGTACACCTTTTGCCAAAATGATGTCGCAAGAAAAAAAATGAAAGTGTCGCATTTTTAAAAGAAACAGTGTCGTATGTTTTTAGAAGAAAAGTGTAGCGTTTTTTAAAAAAACAGTGTCGACAATTCAAGAAAAGAGTGTCGCATATATACAGTAAAAGCTACGCCAAAGGGCGGCTTTTTTTGTCAATGGTTACAGAGTAGTTTACTAATTAGGATTGCCCTTAAGCACTTTTCAAATGCATTTACTGAGTGCTGTACAATTGCCTTGAGATGCTCGCGGAGAACGGCATTACAGGCCTCAGCTATTCTAGTAGCTAAATCCTCCTTATCCTGAAACTGGCTGTGTTTGACCTAATTTTTAGCTTTTAAACCAAAATTGCTCATTGGGATTAAGCTCAGGAGAGTAAGGGGGGGAGTAAACGCATTTATACCCTCTTTCTGTAATCATAGCGTCTATTGCATCAATAGTATGGATGGGTGCGTTGTCCATTACCATATAATATCTTTTTCATTTCAGCAACGCGATCCATTCCGTCCATAGTTTTCTGAAGGAAATGTAAATAACGACCTGTGACAGTGCCTTTAGGACCATTCTTTTTTGACTTGTACGGTTAGCAAAATCGATCCTTATCCCTTTTGAAAAGCACTCCTGCGGATTTCTAAGCTCCCTTGACTCGACATACCTCGCTGAAATTGCACCTACGACTGTGATATTGCTCTGCAACAGATTCAAATTTTCCACCTATTAGTGTCGAAAAGATTAATATATTAGAAGAATCCAAATCTAGTCGAGACCCTCGTTTACTTTTTTTTTTTTGTTCGTTATTTATTAGCATCAGTTAAATATCTAAAACCAAACACACAACATCCTGAACATGCTATAAAAATTAGTCTCTCATAATATCGGTTTACCAGAAGCTCAATTCTTCTGGTGCTGGAAATAGTCACAATAGCTGATATGCCCTTCGTAGACTGTCCTCCTGGAGGTGTCATGTTGATATCAAAACCCAATTCATCGAAAAAAAAACGCAGTTTTCAAGATAATTCGTATCTGTTTTACTCCACTCTTCAACGTATGCTATACGATCTGCGATTTTAGTTGAATCGTTTCTTGCTGCTGGGCGACGGGTTTCTAAACGAAAGGTTACACTCATCTTACAAAAAGTTTTTAACGCTGGTTTCTTTTAATGTAAACTTTTCAAATTTTTTAATAAGTAAAGTAACTGCATTTAGAACCTGAGCTTTAGGATTACCATCGTAAACTCTACTTCAAAACCCCAGACTGATGAAGGGACCAGCACTATATTCGCAAGTACTATCATAAATACTGCATCTGCTTTAAGTCTGAGAGCTCTATAGAATCTCTATAAAAACCTGTTATTATTGCAAGCATTGAAAAAAAGCATTTACAAGAAACTAAAACTTCATTGTACTAATTTACAAAACATTCTCATTTATTGATTAATTAACATAGATGCATAAAGATTGAAACTTCTTTTAGTTCTCAAAATAACTATATAGTTATAATGATTAACAGGATCAACCACGAGAAGGTAGAAGTTCATCTGATCCCAAAAAAAAGTAACAACACCAAAAAAGATGCTGTTGTCGACATCCACTTTTACGTGATTGGCAAAAACGACTGTGGTGAGCCATTTGAGCTGTGCAAAGGAGCGTTCAAACAAGTCTCCCGTCCCCAGTGCCGATGTCCCTTTTGCAAAGTAACTTCAAGACCACATTACTAGGCGCAGACTACACTAACTGGCTACTCACGGGCGTAACGCTAACGTACTACGCACTATGTGATAGACCTCGGCGCAGCAAAGAAAAGGAAAAAAAAAGAGAGGGGAAATTTTTTTCATATTTTTGCCAATAAATGAGACTTAGTGTCGGACCGTAAAAACAGAATTGTTGTTGAAGGTACAACTAACAAATTTTATAATTTATTATAAATTTATTTTATTAATTATAACTTTAAGGTACACATTGAAAATGTTTTATTACACTAAAGGGAAAGGATCATAACATGTTGTAGTCCATATTCTATTCTGTGTACTATGCGATCTAGCAGTTTGCATTACTTGAAACGAATTATTGGCTCAAGGCAAACATTCTATTGTTACATGGTAGATTAAATGAGTTTAGAGTGTTTCAGAAAATATTCAGTGAAGCCCTTTTCTCTTCTGTTATACTTAACTTGATGTGTTTGATTATGTCGAAAAACTTACCTACCGAAGTGCTTTTATCCATTTTAAATCTTTTGCCCAGTGAACTGGATAAGTTTTCATTTGCTTTTGTGAACAAGAGGCACTGGAGGATTTGTTCTTCGCCAACAACAGATATACTCAAGCTTGAAAGCACGATCACTGCTCTGCAGCTGAGAAAGTATTGCGCTTTTATTGTACAAGACAGATACTATGATAAAAAATACATGAAGCACTTCTTCTTGCACGCTGCCCGTTTACACACCATAACACTTGATAACCGTCAAAAGTGTACGTTTGATTTTGCATTATTTCTACTTCGATCTGCCAATATGAACAAGAAGGTTACCTTCGTTATACCTGAAAGATTTGAACGGAAATTCACGTGCATAGTGGAAGCAGATGAAATGGATCACGTCACTATAAAGATTAGTGAGGACGAGCAGCTTATTGATATCGCCAAAATTGTCACTCCAGAAGCAGTTAGAACACAAGTTGAACGTGCAAAAAACATCCTGAAACGTGATTATTACCTTGCCAACAAAGAAACCATAGTCATGAAGGACAACCTTAGCTACATGATTGCTTCTCCTATCAACCGATTCTTCAACTCCAAAGAATATCGCGTCTGGGAAAATGACTTTAGTGATGATTTGTGTATGAAGAAGACAAACCTGGATGCAGTGGAAGCCTCAAGAATCGTTAATGAGTACGGACCTAAGCTTGTCGAATCAGTGATTATATTGGAAAATCATTGGTTTTTTATGACTAGCTTTTCCTGTTTCATTCACAACAACCACCAGATCGATGATTGTGCCGACCTGTCAAAGGTAGGACACCAAAAAAAAGCCGTGGCTTTTATCAGAAGAAAGACAAGACTTGGAAAAGACTATTTTGAATTGACTTACAGGTTTGGCTATGTTGAATTACTCGCAACAAGTGGATTCTTTGGCTCAGTAGATGGTACGTTTTTCTCCCCTTTCCTTGGGTCATCAGTCCAAGAGCTTCCAGCCACTATCACAGCAAATTTTCAAAACATCTCAACCAATGTCATTTTTATTGCCATCGAACAAAAAGAATATATTTGCAAGAACAGGATAATGAACCAGTATTATAAGCTAAATGCAAAAAACAACTGGGGATTCTACAGCAAGAGGTATGAGGACAACGGTTTCTCGCCAGCGAACCCGTTATCATTTGAAAGTCGGCATATTATGCATTCAGCTGCATCGCTCGTAATCAAGTCCTTTGCATACCAAAAAATACAGCAAAACGAGATGAACGGGCTGCTACTGAAAGTGCTAGCTCAAGATGACTTATCTCTTAATTCTGTTAATAAGCTCATTAAGAAATATCTTGTCTTTCTCAACCAGCATCGAAACTCTTCTTTTTCTTTGTCTCCACCCAAAGAAACCAAAAAGGAGCTGATTGAAATTTATAATAACTCACTTGCTAGTGCCTTAAAATCCTCCAACATCAAGCACATCAAGTTAGCCAAAAAACGATACGCAGCAACAAAAATTGATTTCTTTGGAGAAGAGTGATGACTTTTTTTTTTAGTGCGATAGGCCTTTCAATATGTAAATAAATCAATCCTTGAAATGTTGAGTACTTGTTTATTTTCATCGTCGCTATTTTTCATATTGCATTGCTCTAAACATCATTGTAACTGCGGTTCTACGGTTTTCCAAACCGTTTTTCTTTAGGACCAGGTCTGTGCATACGGAACCATGAATAACAAAGTTACTACTTATTTGAGATACTGTAGGCCAACCCTTTGAATTTTTTTCTTCCTCGCCCTTTAATTAAAAAAACCGCCCTTTGGCGTTGCTTTTACTGTATATATGCTACACTCTTTTCTTGAATTGTCGACACTGTTTTTTAAAAAAAACGCTACACTTTTCTACTAAAAACATACGACACTTTTTTTTTAAAAGCGCGACACTTTAACCTTTTTTTTTTGCGACATCATTTTGGCAAAAGGTGTATATCCTACATCACCCGGAAAAAGCAGGGAAAAAAGGGCATTAAAAAAATGCACACATGCACGCACGTATAAGATACTCACAACAGCGGATCGTCTTCCGTCCCTTGCAATTACCAAACCAGGAAAAAAGGCTATATGAGGCAACCCTTCTGGTTTCTGTTCATGCAGACCTTGAAAAGACTTTTAGTGCTGATAATAAGGCTGATAATGATGGGCATCCCCTTAAGACCTCTATTGGATGCTATACAGAGCTTAACAAGTCACTTGTCACACAATAAGACATTTTGTGTCCTGAATGCCTCTGGTTTTCAAATTCATGAAATTTTTTTTTTTTCTGTGTTGAAGAAAAGGGCGGCCATTTTGAAACTTAATCACCTTCTCTTTCTTCTCATTCAAGAATAAACTAAAATGGTATGTATCATTGAATTTTTCTATCCATCCATCCATCCGTCCATCCATCTATCCATCTATCCATTCATCCATACATCGCACATGCATGGAACTCTCTACAACAATGACAATTAACCTATTAGATTTAATAGGCTCGTGGACCTAAGAAACATATGAAGCGTTTGGCAGCTCCCAAGCACTGGATGCTTGACAAGCTTTTGGGTATGTATTGAAATAGTTTACAAGTTTTTGTTCTCTATTGGAGAAAAGCAAAAAGGTGCGTGATGAAGGGACAGGGTCGGCTTTCAGCCATTTGAAATCGTACTTTTTGGGATGCAAAAGGATGACAAAAACAAATAAACAATAGTCAAGCTCAACAATCCGATTCTTCATGACGAGCTTTATTAGTAACTGATGAAAGCCTAAAAAAAGCAAATGGAAACATTTCTGCGATAATCAACCCTGTCTCTTTACTTGTGATCCTTTTTGATTGCTTTTCTAATTTGACAATCTGTTGGAATCATCGATCGCTTACGATAACTTTGGTATTTTTGTAACATAGGTTCTTATGCCCCTAAGCCCAGTGCTGGTCCTCACAAGCAACGTGAATGTCTTCCTTTGATTGTTTTCATTCGTAACCGTTTGAAGTACGCTCTCAATGGTCGTGAAACCCAAGCCATTCTTATGCAACGTTTAGTCAAGGTTGATGGCAAGGTCCGTACGGACTCTACCTTCCCTGCTGGGTTCATGGGTAAGTTTCGAGATTTTGTTATTTTTTTGTGTGCAAATTGTCTAGTTTACAGATTGGGATTATCTTGATGCTCCTGAGAAAATAAGAAGAAGGGAAAGGAGAGAGATAAGATCTGTTTGTCTTTTGGACAGTGAATACACTATGGTATATTAGTAGTACAAGTGTTTCTCACAGCTTAAGCTTTGACGAATCCCGGATGCATTTTTCTTCCTTGTTTTTAAATTTGTAAATAACAGATGTTATTACAATTGAAAAGACAGGAGAGAACTTCCGTCTCGTCTATGACGTTAAAGGTCGCTTTGCTGTTCACCGTATTACCGACGAAGAAGCCAAGTATAAGCTCTGTAAGGTCAAGAAGGTCCTTGTTGGTTCCAAGGGTGTTCCTTACATCACCACCCACGACGGTCGTACTATGCGTTACCCTGATCCCTTGATCAAGGTCAACGATACCGTCCGTTTCAACTTGGAAAACAACAAGATTGAAGAATTCGTCAAGTTCGAAGTTGGTAATGTTGTCATGATCACCGGTGGTCGTAACATTGGTCGTGTTGGTCAAATTGTTCACCGTGAACGTCACATTGGTGGTTTCGAAATCGTCCACATCAAGGATGCTTTGGATCGTGTCTTTGCTACCCGTATTTCCAACGTTTTCGTCATTGGTCAAGGTAACAAGCCCATGATCTCTCTTCCCAAGGGTAAGGGTGTCAAGCTCTCTATTACTGAAGAACGTGATCGTCGTAGAGCTGCTGCTGCCGCTGCTAACTAAAATGCATCCTCTTTTTTTTTTCCAATTCCATTCAAAAAATAAAATCTTGTTTATTCCTTTTTGAATATTTTTGCTGTACATAGAACTCCAATACCATCTATTTATCTTTAATAAATACTGTTTACAATTTATATTGTCTTACCTTTTTGAGCATTGTGTGTATGTTTAGCTGCCATTGGTAAACCGTGTTGATTTGACTGTTGAATGATAATTTTCATACCGAATGGCAAATGTTATTTATGATGGTATACGCTTGTGTGGATTACAACGTAATGAAGAAATGTCAACTCGAAAATGGTTGCCTTACATAAATAAATGAGAAGAGAAAAAGTTTTGTACGTTTACGCGTCCCCTCCTGTCTTTACGTTAAGGGTGGATAAGAAATCGACAACGGTGAATCTGTCCGACTCTTTTTCCATATTCAATCGTTACTTGACTTTGCCCACTACAAACATAATTACCAAAGTATGTGTATCCCAACAAATCATGAGGCACCTAGTAATCTTTCATCACTACCAAAACTGATGGCATTATCAGATAGCAGAGTCGCTAGATTTGATAATAAAATCAGTCTTGAAGAATTTGATGTCAAACCCGTTCGTGATTTATTCCTCACTTGTACGTAAATATGTTTCAACGTTCTCTTCCCAAAATGGGGGTAATGCTCTGTGTAGCTCAGACAAATTCTCTATTCAAGCTATCTGCTCTCCTGATACACTTTAGCCAGATCGAGTAGCCATGAAAGCATAATAATAAAAGTTTTGATGATGGCATACGATGGATTATGCCATCATGTGTAGTGAGTCGGAGCGGGCCTCGACCAAGACTGCGACAAAGTAGGCATACGTGCTAAGCAGTGTAATGGAAAGCCGAATGAGGAGGGTAGTATGCTAATGAACTTATACACAGCAAGCTAGAAGCGTAAAGATCGAACCCTAAGTTTTTATATAAAGAGACTGACTGCTTCTTTTACTCGCGATGTTGAACGCGTAAATGAGATAATGCTTCATCATGTGTTGTCAAAGGAAAGCTTTTTGTTGTCAACGGCAAAGATCATTTTCGTGTTTGAATCCTTCCACATCTCTCTTTCTCTTTTCTTTCATTTCTTTTACCTCGTAAACACTGCTATCCTTTACTTGCATTTACAAGAGTATTATCATGGATAAAATCGAATCAGTGAAAGCAAAGCGCACAAAGAAAGAGAACTTATTTGGTAAGCATGTATTAAGGAATACGTTTTCGGCGCACAATTGTACTAGCAACATTATTACACAATCAGAACATGTCAAGTGCAAAGACTGTAAAGTGCATCAGCTGTAAAGAAGAAGGTTATACCATCTCCCGTTCGCCAGATTGTTCCAACCGCACTCAATCGAAGCACTTGTATTCATAACTTTGTGCAAACTGTCTAAACATGTATGTTTCAATGGTCTAATAAACTGTACAAATATCCAAAAAGCGGGTAAATGGAGTTTAAAAAAGTGACAAGTTGGACTTTTTTTAAATAGCGACAGTGTGATGTGAAAGGGAAACACTACGTGGATAAACGAAAGGCCCATGTTTGAAGCAGTAATGGATAACACCCGAACTTCCCTTAAGGGTCAACTACTATTTTAAAAAATGGATACATTCTTTTTCTTTTTGCCCAAAAAAAAAAAGACGAGGAGATTTTCCCTTTTAACAAAAAGGGCCCTTTCTATCTTTAACAGAGTCCTTTTTTCTAGTTATCAAAATAATCCATTGGTGCAATTTGTTCTTTTTGTCTGCTCTGGTTTTTTTGTTGTCTAAAAGTACAGTCTGAAATGCAAGCACCAATCATTTCTTGATCAATGCAAAAAATAAAACTCAGATTGAGGAAGACATTTTTTTATGCTATGGATTTTCGATACTGATAGAAAGGCTCGTCTTTCCGTATCCTGTTTGCTGTTTTCTATCAGAAAAAAGGAATGAGTAGAAAATGTCAATCTAGTTTTCTATTGAATCGAAAAGCCTTTCAAAGTCTTTTTCATGTCTAAATTTGAAAGAAAAAAGAATCGTTTGAATAGGACAACATTGCGTCATAGTTTGGGGGAAAGAACAAGCTTTTTTCTTTTTCTTTTTTTTTTTTTTTTGAGTTGATGGACATTTTTTTTTTTTTTTTTTTGCTTGGCTACGTATATGTTTTACAGATACTGAAACCTATATTATGCGCTTATTCTGACAACGTTTTATTTAATTAAACAGAAACTAAATTCTTTTTTTTTCTTTCTTCTTCTTACTGCTGCTTTTATTTGCTTCTTGTATTTCTAAAGTAAAAACTACACTACTTTTTTCTTTTTATTCTTTGTGATATACACGTAATCAATCACCAAAAATCACAATGACTAAAATCGATGCAACTTGCTTATCAAAGTAAGCAATGGAAAGGATGATTTTATATTTTTGATCTACATAAACGACTCATCTATGAAATATAACCACCATTTTTGATAGTGAAATACACATGTTTGTTAAACCAAAGCCGATTGTCCACGATCAGAAAGTGACCATTCATCATTGGTAAATAGAAAAGGAAACAGAAAAAAAAAACAGAAGAAAACAAAAGTAAGGCTCCATGATCTAATGCATAAATTACGCACAGGCAATTGAGAGATTTGATCATTTCCGACGATGATCGACGTAAACATCAACTGATTTTTCCAACCGGACAAGACATATTTAGAGTAAGTGATTCGTGTATTCCTGCTGCGTTGTTCTTGTACTACACTGGAGGATGTGTCCTTACCGCCATGACATTATTTTTTTTTATTTTTTTAGTACAATTATTTGACAGGCGAAAGAGATTATTTAGTAAAGGATGTTGGCTATCCGCCTACTTGCATGGCAGCAGGATTTGGATATTGGGCAGCTGGTAGTCAGCGTGGTGATTTGACGTTGAAAGCGATCAACAGTGACTACCTTGTCAAGATCTCGACAGCACCTGGATGCACTATCAATAATGGACTTTGTTTCTCTAATGTCAACGGTGCTATCCGATTGCTTGTCTCAAATAACGATGCCTCTATTCGTGTATTTTCTGTTCCAGATCTCCAACTGATCGACACACTCAATTTTGCAACTGCCATCAATCACAGTAAAGTATATGAAACGAACTATGATTGTGTGTATGTATATATGTATGTGAGACTTGTTTCTGATGATTTCTCTTTTTGATCTTGGTTTCGGGTTGAAATAGCCTCTGTCAGCCCTGATGGAAGGAAAATGATAACAGTAGGCGACGATAATAGAGTCCAATTGTTCAATATCACATCTTCCGGCTATTATGAACTAGCAACCACCATGGCAGGTAAGCAACGAATCCCCCCCACCCCCCTGTGAGGCAATGATCTGAGGAGAGGAACAGTTTCTCACCCACGACATGATTGCCCCCCCCCCCTTTTTTTTTGTCTCTTTCATACTTAGTGTCTCGCGATGCCAATTTCTCTGTTGCTTGGAATCATACTTCGGAACGCTTTGCTGTTTCTAGTCAAGATGGATCTGTGCACGTATGGGATATACGTAGCCACAACCCACTGGCAAAATTCTCAGGCTTACATCCGTCTATCACCAAAGGAGCTGCACGTTGCGTTAAGTTTACTCAAACAGGCGCAGTGGATCTACTTGCCTTCACAGAACATGTTTCCCATGTTCATATTGTGGATGCACGTACATTGAATGGCCAACAAACGCTAAGAGTAGGATCTTTAGGCTATGATACGCCTATTACCGGTTTGTGCTTCTCCAATGATAGTCAAAAGATGTTTGTTGGCATGGAGACGGCTATTTTGGATTTCAATATTGATACTGGATCCCGTAGAAGATTTGCCTGTGCCTCTCTTCTGTGATAGGATTTCTCAAAAGAAAAAAAAAAAAACAAAAAAACAACAACAACCCATTTTATTTATTTGCTTTCACCTGTAAATATGGCACTCCACCCCTCTCTTTATAATATATAAATTTTTGTACATGTTTCGCTAATTCTCTAATGCATTCTTACTCACCCTTCTCCTTCACAACCCCCCTCTCCATTTCCTTTGTAAATATTATTGTACATCACTCGTAGACGAAGGTTTGATATACACAAATATATATAATGACTACTGAAAATACAATATGAGTCATCATACTTTATGTCTGGTCAAGACATAAAATGCCTATTTTCGTGATGAGCGTTATTTTAATAATCCAATCATGGTTGTCGCGGACTAAAACAAAAAAAAAAAAGAGAAAGCAGCGAGTACCAGGAAACCGCGTAGGATCAACCTCAGTGACCATGGATAAAAAGTCATTTTTTGTTATAAAAAAAAAAGTGAGTAGCGGCAAAAAAAAATTGAATCATTGTTTAGGGGAAGGGTTTCTGCAGATATACATGATCTGAACACATGTTTCCCGTCTAACATTCAGATCGATCATCACGATCCAATATCTCGATCAATCACGCAAAAAACTATCCGAATGGATATCCCTGTCAGTCGATGCGTTGCTGGTAATAGAGCACCAAACAGCAACGTGCCATCTTTTTTTACGGTTTATCCTCTAAACTGAGGTGTTACGAAATTTCAGCATTTTTTTTTTCTTGTAGGACAGAAGAAAAAAAAAAGAAACCGAGCTTTTACCGTTTATGTATAAAGTGCATTTAATTTTTAGTTGAGCCCAGTATGAAAAATAGGACAGTGAGAGATTTGACATAAAACAAAGCAAGAATGAAAACGCGTTTATGACAAGTAACGACAATGCTTTTACAAAACACTTTTTTATACTAGAATAACATTGAACACCATTCTTCTGCCATACAACAACAGCATAGACCCGTCAGACTAAGATAGAAAAGCGCAAGTCAGTCAGTCAGTCAGTCAGTCAGTCAGTCAGTCGAGTCAGTCAGTCGAGTCAGAGAGAGATCTCTATCCCCGGCCTTCTTTTATGGATCGTGTAACGTACCATGCCATACAAGTGCCAGCTGCACCACCAGCACCGCTTCCCTGTGGTTGCATTGTCATAGGAGGATTCACATACATTGGTTGTTGAGGCTGGTAATAGCCTATTTTATCCCGTCCAACCCAAAAGGTTAGGTTGGTTTAGTTAATGTAACGTAGTGCACTAAAGAAACCCGATATATCAAAAAGTACCTATCCATGGATAGCTACTTTATGAAGCTCATGTCATCATGATTTTTTACCTTGGTTTTGACCATAAGGGCTGGCTGCAGTTTGACTGTAATAGGGTTGTGATGAATGAGGAGGCGGAGGATAGTACGGCTGCTGTGGTGGACCAGCACTAGCGTAATATGGCTGTTGCTGCTGCTGTCGATGGTAATTCATCTCTCGGGACTTTAATTGCACAAAGAAAAAAAAAAAAAGAGCGGGGAAAGAAAAATAAATAAGAGATGCACGTTCTTATCGAAAAAGATTACCCAATTTCTAGATTCAAATGGAATAAATTTTTGTTTGTGTATGATAAACTCTATCATGTTACGAAACCCGACCTAACCTGTTTGAGCCTCCATTATTCTTTATGATGAAAACGCCTTTTTGTCACCGAGGGATATATTGCGTTTCGAACAATTTTTTGTTTCCGAAAACTGCGGACTTTCTTTGGGAAACACAACTTCATCGAGAAAAGCGGGTACGGGAAGTCGACAATTTTCGATCCGATAGTCCTGGGATAAATTAACTCAGTTTGAATAAAGCAACGCACCAAGTAACAATCGCAAAGAAAAGCGGCACACGCCAGTATTTGACCTTTTAGTTTGGGTTTTTTTATTATTTTTTTTTTTTTTTTTTTTTACTATAAATGTAGTTGATCATGGATTTATTAACATTATTATAACTTGTATACAAGCAATCCGACCCCATTTTTTTTTTTTCTTTTTTCTTCTTTTAGGTTACTGTCTTTTTTTTTTTTTTCTTTTTTTCTTTTTTTCTTTTTTATATCTTTTTCTATCCATCTGATTGATGATAAACGATAATTCAACATTTAAATTAAAACACAATTATCTGGATGCCGCAGAACTGACAGACGGGGAAGAAGAATTGTTCAACAAACTGATCGATTTCGAACCAAACACGAGCGACGACGGGCCGACGGCCACTCTCTCAGTGTCTATCCCCAAGCTGGAGGGTGCTGCAAAAGATAAGGACGATCATGAGGAGAATGACAGTGCAGAGAGTGACAGTGCTTCTCCACGACGACAAGGTTCATCACCGGTGCCACCCCCTGAGCATCCGTACTTACCCAATGGAGGTATCGATAGACACGATGGCGTACAGCGGAAAAAAAAATCCGGAAAATATCGACACATCACGTTTCTAGAACCCAATATCGACCTCTTGGGTGAGGAAAGAGCCAGTCAATTGGAAACCCAACAACAACAACAACTTTATGAGCTTAATAGACGGTTCGTACTCGATCACAGTGCACAGCAAAGGTAAGCATCGATCGATCTGACCCATCATCAACACGGACGAGTAGATCATTCCATTGTCATTCACCCTTTCTTTATCCCCCTCTCCCCCTTCCCCTATGTCATGGTGGGTTGGCGTTTACCTTGACGAAAAAAAAAAAAAAAAAAAAAGTCATTACCGCTTGGAAGTGGTTGAACAGCCACAGCAATGTCGCGTGTCCAGGTATGGAGAAAAAGACCGCAGACCTATTGATCCCGCGCCTATCGTCAAATTGGATATATCTAGTAAGGTGGTTGAACATGATCGCTACCGACGTCATAGCCCCTTTCGTCATCATCATCATCATCATCATCATCATCATCATCATCGTCATGATCAGTCGAATTCTCCTTTGCCTATGGATGATATGCTTAAGGACGAGAAAAGTGCCACTTCTTTACCCCATGTTGGACATGACGCATCGGACGAGAGCAATCACCATAGCTATTTACACTCTCAGCACAGCAGTAACCATACCCCATCGAGCGATGAAGAGAAGCATCTCCACGACAAAGAGGAAAACCCCAACGACGACAACGACGCTGCTGCTGCTGCTGCTGCTGCTGTTGAGGATGATGAGGAGGACGGCAATCACAGCGTTGATAAAGACGAAACAGAAGACGAAGAAGACGAAGATACTAGGTAAGCAACATAGGAATTAGCTCCTTCATGACTTGCCTCAGTTGATTGACATTCTCTATTGTTAGCAGTGTTGAATGTCCATTTTATATCATGAATGCTTCTTTATGGTCTGTTGACAAGCAGACAAAGTACGATTTGTTGGAAGGTGCAACAGGAAAGGAAAGTATGACTACTACTAGCCACAACTCAAAATCGATAGACATGACATCATTATCATCCCCAGCAGCAACCGCTCTACCACCGCATGCATCAACAACCCCAATGGCATCTTCTCGCACTCCTCCCTCTTTCACGAGTCCTACTACGTCCATACCAGCAACATCCACACCGTCACTCTCGTCTCCCTCAACATCACCGACCACCGAACTATCGAGTGGTGATACAGACTACTACTCTTTCTCCTCCTCCTCTAGCGCCGTCACCGCCTCAAGATTACTCATGGGCTCCGTCATAAGCTCTCCTTCATTTTTAAAAGATTATAATCCCCATGAGACTGTAAATAAACGAGCGTATTTTTTCGCCTTTCCTGATCTAAGTGTGAGGATAACTGGCCAATTTAGATTGCAATTTAGTTTAATAGATTTAGCAAGGTAAGGGATACTTCTCTATTGTTGGATATAGAACGAAAAACTTACTGCTATTATAAACATGACGCGTATTTCTCCCCCCCCCTCCCTCCGCCCTCGTGTTCTCATGTCATCTCATTTCTTTTCTATTTTTTTTTTTTTCTTCTTTCTTTTACGGGACGCGCGCAAATCCTCCATTAGAAACAAGATAGTGAGTGATGTATTTTCAGATCCGTTTACGGTTTATCCAGCAAAGTCCTATCCAGGCATGAAAGGTAAGTGGACGAGAAACGACTCATCTTAAAGACAAACAACAAAAACTCACGGGCTTGTGCTTGCTGTGTATAGAATCGAGTCCTTTATCCAAACACTTGGCTCACCAAGGCTTGAAACTGACGGTTAGAAAGCAGATCAGACCCAAAAAGAAAAAACACGATCGTTAAATGATCATTCTGCAGTTACATCCACCTTGTTCTGTCTATAGATTAATTTATTTGTTTCCTTATCAACTCTTTTTTTTTTTTTAAAAAAAAAAAAAAAAATACAAATAATGATCGTATTTTTCTACTGATCAAAGAATGCCTCCAATGGTTGGTTTATTCGATCGAGCCCCGATGATGACAAAAAAAGAAAATTGTGGCCACTCACTCCTCGTATTACACGAGAACACAATAATACAGCAACGCATAAATGGCATACTCCATCTGTGTCACCCGGGTCTTAAAATTCGTCGTAAAGAATGTTATAGGTATGGCGTAGGGGCAGAGAATGTTAAGTCCGTAGTCATCTAAAGGATAGACAGGTAGTTTAAAAAGATAAAGGTATGCTTGTCCGATCTCTATCCTTTTCATGTGTCAATGTGTGCTGCGGAGGCAGGTCCACACCGTTTGTTCTTGTAGAAGAGATCGTTTTCCTAAAAGAACATGTCTACCTTTCCCTTCGGTAATGAAATTTCCCCGCTTAAAATTGCCCAAGTACAAATAAGCTGGCGATCAATTCTTTTAAAGGTTTTGTGTTCTTATATCCTATCTTTCAAGAAGGTGTTTTTTTTTATTTTTTTATTTTTTTTTTTTGGCGGGTGCACGTCATCGAGTGATCTACTCTAAGGACAACAAATGAATATCTTATGCTAAGCATCATGTGAGTCTCTCTAAAAATTCAGGGCACAGCTTGAATTTTTCACCAATAGAAAATAAGAAAAAAAAAAAAAAAACCAGCTGTCTGCCACCTTTTCTATGAAAAATGGTTTAGCGTCAAAGGAAAAAAAAAAAAAAAAGTGACATCGATTGCTTATTAATTCAGAGAAACTGTCGCAGCAACTTGGCTACAATGTATAAAGGATGCCCCCCTCATAAGAGCGAGTGATAAGCATCTCGTCTTTTTTTTTTTTTTTTTTTTTTTCTCTCTCTCTTTCTTGAAAAACGAATTGATAAAGAAATGGGTCGCCGTCCAGCTCGCTGTTACAGATATTGTAAAAACAAGCCTTATCCGAAATCCCGCTACAATCGTGGTGTACCGGATGCCAAACTGAGGATTTACGATTTAGGTCGTAAGAAGGCTTCGGTTGACGAATTCCCTCTCTGTGTCCACTTGGTCTCGAATGAATACGAACAACTTTCTGCTGAAGCCTTAGAAGCTGGCCGTATCTGTGCCAACAAATACATGTCCAAGACCTCTGGTAAGGACTCCTTCCACATGCGTATCCGTGTCCATCCTTATCATGTGACCCGTATCAATAAAATGCTGTCCTGCGCTGGTGCTGATCGACTGCAAACCGGTATGCGTGGTGCCTTTGGTAAGCCCAACGGTCTGGTCGCTCGTGTCAACATTGGTCAAATCATCTTTTCCGTTCGTTCCAAGGATGCGAACAAGGCTGTCGTCATTGAAGCTTTGAGACGTTGCAAATACAAGTTTCCCGGTCAACAAAAGATCATTGTTTCCAAGAAGTGGGGCTTCACTCCTCTCTCTCGTCAAGACTATATTGAAGCCCGTTCCAAGGGTTTGCTTAGACCTGATGGCTGTTACATAAAGTTCTATCCTCAAAAGGGTCCTCTTGCGGATTACTACAAGGAAGTCTCCAGAGCTTAATTTTTTATTGTTTTGCAAAAAAAAAAAAAAAAAAAAAGGTTGGTCACCTTTCAGAGCGGCTATTATAGGATAGTCTACTTTTTATAGCACCATGTCTCAAGGAAATAAATTATGGCCAATGGCCAAGCATGCGCATGGTCAAGATGATGAACTTAGATCGGTGCTTTTTCTGTTCCTATACTGAGATGGAATTGAAGGAAATCGTCGATACTTAAAGCAGTAGTCCATGCTGATAAATCTCTTTTTTTTTTTTTTTTTACCTTAAAAAAGGTACGATGAATAAATGCTTACAAATACTAGATAATTGAACTACAACAACAACAACAACACATCCTTCTTTCTGGATTAGACAAGTCCTTAAGACGAATGCATTCTTATTAAGCGAGTGTTGTCTATTTTTAATCTTTTCGATCCATACTATCCTCACCACCACTTTCCAAGCTTTGATGGATCCAGTAAACCGTGTTCACAAAGGTCCAGATTCTACAAAAGACTTTTTGTTTTCGGTAGAACCATTATCATTGTCCATTCATCAAAGGATTCAATTAGGATATAATTAGTATTATAGATAAAAGTTTTCCTTTTTTCTACTGAAACACCCCATTGAGGTATCTGTTCAATGAATTAGCCCACGCAGCAGCCGATGGATAATTAAGTCTAGAATGAGAATTTTTTTTTTTTTTTTAAGCGACATATTTCTTCTTAGTAGTCGTGGCGAGAATAAATTATAATTGTTTTAAATCGATGATCAATTTACGTTGTTTAATTGCATTGTTCCAGCGAAACAAACAAAAAAAGAAAAATAACCAACCAACCAGAACTTGGGCATTTCTATAATTATTTTGCTCCGTCCATAGTAATGCAGGGACATGCAACATGGTATTGTTCTCTCTCAACACAATACTTTATGTAGTAGCCGGATGCAACAGTCAACACACGTAGTGTGATCGCTATGGCTCGTTTGATGTTCGGAGTGTGTATGGCGTGCTTGATATCTTACTTTCCAAAAGCAGCCTTATTAACTGAAAAGGACACATACTTTGTTGAAATAAATGTAATTGACTCTTACCTGCTTTGAGAATTTTTTTTTTTTTCCATTTCGAAAAAACGTGTTGATTTTGTTCATTAAACAAGTATCAACACCTGATCTTATTGCTGTAACTCAATCATCGCAATAAAGTCAAATCCATCTTTTTTCCGGTTTGATTTGGTTCCTTAAGGCCTAAGCAGAATGTGGATGTTCCTGGTTATGGGAAACCTGGGAACGTGAACGCGTCAATACTCGTCAATAACAAGTATTCATATCATCCGTCTTTCTTCTTTTGCGCTTCCCCTCCTCGACGATTTATTCTGGGTCCTAAAAGCTGGTTTTTTTTTTCTTCCGTAAAAGTGAAGCTCGGCTGGTGTATTACGTAAAGTAAAAATGGTCTATAATGCTTCCTATCTGTATCTGTTTCGTAGACTCGCTTCTACTAAGCGATGGCAGTTGGGCGTCTGCTGAAGGGTGGATGCAGAGAAAATCATAACAACTAAAAAAGAGCAGCTCTTCAGACACACGCTTATAGACGAAAGGATAAAGGAAGGAAAAATGGTATTTCTCAACAGGCTAAAAAAAAAAAATACTTTGACGACATGCAGCATTTACAGAATTCAGGATTGAAATGTTACGGAAAGTCAAGATTGTGTATGTGTGTAGCCTACTTATAGAATGAGTTCTAAAGAAAGCAACGAGATACCTTAAATGTACGTTGCAAACTGGTTCTAAGTGGCTGCACCACCACTCTTGTACCTTGAACAAAACCATGTGCTTCATTGCCCTTTTTTTCTTTTTTCTTTTTGCTGAAAATGAAAAGGGCAAAAATAGAAAATAATGTGGGTTTCCTCTCCGCCTTCATTTCTTTTTAAATTTAATTTTTGATCTTTTTTTTTTTTTTTTTGTTGACTGACTAAACTTGTTGCACTCTTGTTTCTTATTCTCAACTACAATTTCTTCTCGCATCCTTTTCTTTCCCTTTAACCCCCCCTTTCTTCCTTACACTTCTTTATTCAACTAAAACGTATATATTTCCTTTAAAGCCGTTGTACTCTATACCTTTGATATATGACGTTACTAGCTGACACATCTGGAAGCGGAGGGAACACGAACTCTCCATCTTGGTTAAAGCAGCGTACTAGCATCTTCAATAAAACTCCTGCCAATGATGAATCAACAAAACCAAAAGTAGTTGACAAAGAATTGGCTCGATTAAAGAATTTAGGAGCTGTTTCGTCTGTTTGGTCGAATAAATTTGTGCAAAATGACAGTTCTCATTTAGGAGGAGGTACTGCCCTTTTTTTTAAAACTTTTTTCTCTTTTTTAAGCTAAAATTCCCCAATGACAGCAGAGCCAACAAAAGACAGAAAACTAACATTTTTAATTTGAAATTATTCAAGGTGCCCACACTCTGCCAAAAGCTCTTTCACCAAAAGTAATTCATCGTACGCGTGCATTTTCCAATGAAGAGAATAGCCCTGCCAAAAAGTCACCAGTGGAACATATTGCATCCGCTTTTCAACCTATTCAGCAGCAACAACAACAACAACAAACTCCTCCTCTTCCACTGCCTCAACGTGGCAGTTCACGTCATAAGATGGAACACTATCCTCCTCTTCATCAGCAAGATCAACTCGATACGCCAATTTCTTCACCCTCCTCTTCTGTCACTTCCTCTACTTACGCTTCTCCTACATTAGCTTTTCAATCAAGACACTCGTCCATGTCTACCCTAGACTTGAAAGAACAAGAAGAAGAAGAAGCAAGGGTTGTGGAAGGCACTTCCAGTGAGCATACCAGTCGTAGTCATCCTAAGAAAACTAACAGCAACAACAACAATGCATCCTCTTCATCCACCACGACCACCACGACCACCACCACCATGATAAAAGAGGATACTAGGAAGGATATCGAGGAAGGTGTCTTTTCAGCTCCACCTCTCCATTTTTTGAAACAAGCCATCACCGGCAGCAACCAACAAAAGAAAAACCACAGAAAATCACTTCGTGAAGAAGCAGCTGCTTTATGGTTTCAATGCGAGACCTTAAAAACCGAAATTGCTCAAACCAAGGCTCGTCTTCAAAAAGCAAATGAAAATGCCGACTTTTATAAGCGCCAACTAGACATGAAGACTCACGAGCCCGAGATAGAAAGGGCCAAGGACGAAGCAGCTGCTCTCTGGTTTCAGTGTGAAGCATTAAAGACAGAAGTCGCTCAAACCAATGCTCGTCTTCAAAAAGCAACTGAAGACATTGATTTCTATAAACGTCAATTGGAACAAAAGAGTGACATGGTAGAGAAGCATCAGCAACAACAGGAACAATGGCAACAGCAACAGCAACAACAACAACAACAACAACAACAACAACAAAGCAAGGCCGCTACTGAGGATCTCGATGAAGCTGCCAAGCTCTGGTTCCAATGTGAAGCATTAAAAACAGAAAATGCTCAGATCAATGCTCGTTTAAAGAAGGCTTTGGATGACATCCAATTCTATAAGCGCCAGTTAGAAACAAAGAGGGAAGTGATTGAACAAAAACAGCTAGAACAACCCAACCATCATCTGGACGAAGCAGCTTCTCTATGGTTCCAATGCGAAACCCTCAAGACCGAAGTCGCTCAAATGGGAGCTCGTTTGAAAAAAGCCAATGAAGATGTGGACTTTTATAAGCGTCAGTTGGAAGCTGCCAAGGAAGACAAAGCTCGGTCTGTGGTCCCTTCCATCAACGACAACAACAACAACAAGAACCGTTCGATCGATCAAGAGGACGTTGTCAGTAAAGATGAAGCAGCTAAACTTTGGTTCCAATGCGAATCTCTCAAGACGCAAATGGCTCAAATGGAGGCTCGTCATAAGAAAACAGTCGAAGATGTACAATTCTATAAACGTCAACTAGAACAACAAAAAACGACACCTCCACCCCACCCTCAGCCTTCACAACCGCTCCAACAAGATGCGTCATTGAACTCAAACAATGAGAATGATGTTGTCAGTAAAGATGAAGCAGCTATGCTTTGGTTTCAATGCGAAACTCTCAAGACGGAGGTAGCTCAAACCAACGCTCGCTTGAAAAAGGCCCATGAAGACGTACAATTTTACAAGCGTCAATTGGAATCAAAGAAAGAAGCCACTGTTGTTATTGCGACGAAAGAGCAAGGCCGACAAGAACAAGAACCCAGCCATCCTTCTCTTGATGAGGCCGCTTCTCTTTGGTTTCAATGCGAAACCCTTAAAACTGAAGTGGCTCAGTTGGGGGCGCGTCTAAAGAAATCCAATGAAGAGGTCGATTTTTATAAGCGTCAGCTAGAAGCGAAACGTGACATGCTTGCTGCTCCTTCGACTGTCGTTCGTCACCAACGTAACAGCAGCCATGCTGATCAAGCCAACTCTACTGCTCCTGTCGACCTGGATGAGGCCGCTAAATGGTGGTTCCAATATGAAAGCCTTAAAACGCACACTGCTCAAATCGAAGCTCGTCTCAAGAAGGCCAATGAAGATACAGAATTCTATAAACGTCAATTAGAAATGAAGCATGAAGCAGCTCAGGAAAGCGCTGCTCAAAAGTCTTCTGCTGCTCAAGATGAAGCGGCCGCCCTTTGGTTCCAGTATGAGACAATGAAAACCCAACTTGCTCAAACAGAAGCTCGTTATAAAAAGGCAAATGATGATGCTGCATTCTATAAACGTCAACTGGAATCAAAATCTACTACCACCGTTGCGGATCCTTCTCTGCTTCAAGACAAGGAAAATGAAATTCGTCAATTGACCGAACTTATTCTAAAGCAAGATCAACTCATGGCTGAATATGAAAGCAGCTTGAACCATTATCAGGGCGTGTCATTGCCTGATGCCTTAGAAACGAAGAATGAACCCAACGAAGCCAAGGCCCTTCGTCAAGAATTAGTTGCTTTAAGAACACAAAATCAAGAGCTGGAGGATGCTGTTACTGCTTTGCGCGCTGATTTAGAAATGAGCCATACTCAAATGCGTCTAATGATGACCGTTTCTACAGAGATCCAGGATGAATTCGATGCCTACAAGAACCAAATGGATGAACATTTCAACAAATGGTCGAACAATAAGAAGCAAGATAGATCAATGATGCCTACTTCTGCTATTGCTGCTGCTGCTGCTGCTGCTGACGTTGAGTCTAATGACAATATTGCTGAACTAAAGGAAGCACTTGCTGCTAAAGATTCGACTCTCAACGAACTTCAACAACAATTAGCTGCTCTCAAGGATGCGATCCATACAAAAGATAAAGCTCTGACGAATATGGACACTCAAATCATGGAACTGACACAAGCCATCCTTGAAAAGGATGTTCTCCTGATGGAACAGGCGAATAACCTCATTAAAAACAATAACAACGACAACAACAAAAGAAATTCTCGACCCAGTGAATCTGTAAGAGCTATCGACACATCCATTCCAACCTACTCTGATAATGACACTTTCTACAGCTCCCGTAGAAATCAGAGCAATTCTACTGTCAGCAGCTTCTCTCCATCTCATCATTATCGTTATTCATCATCATCTGAAGACGGCGAAGAAGATGACACAGAGATCCTTCATATGGACTTTAGTGACGACGGTCTATCCAGTTTACACCAAGCTAGCTACTATCATCACATATTGGACCATGATGATGCTAGTACTGACCTTCAAAGTCCTTCTGATACAGCTACTTCAAGCATTAGTAGCACTATCAGCTTTGATTCTTCCGAAGGTGAAGAGGAAAAAACTGCAGAGGTCAGACATTTCTCTTACAACTCGACCCCCTCTCAACATCATGATCGCCTTTCCCTCCCCGGTAGTCAAGGCATGATGGAAGGTGTGAACCGTCCTTTAAGCAGCCCTCCTCATACTTCTACTCTTTCTCCTTCCACTACTCATACTGCCACTACTACTACTACTACTATTACTGCTGCTGCTGCTGCTCATTTCAATGTACATAATAAGGAGTCTACTTCAGGTGCAAGCTGGTCTTTACCTCCTCCCACTCCCCCACCCACCGAACCGCTGCCACCCATTCCTCCATCGGAGGAAAATACCCAAACCAACACTACTGCTGCTGCCAAAACAAACTTGCCCCCTCATTGTTTAGCCACTCCTGCCGCCACTCCTCCTGTAGAAAAGGAATACTTTCTCAGCACTCCTCAAACTCACTGTAGACGTCCGAGATCGGGCACCTTAGTTCCTCATCCACAATATCATCCACAACGACGACAACAGCAACAAGAAGATCCCATTGTTCGTTATGAGACCCAATTCAATTTGAATCTTCCTTCTGACAAGTCGACTTCACTGAAGCAGCAAGAAAATGAAAAAGACAGAGCACCCATCCCACCTCCACGAAGAGACATCACCAACAGAAGCAGCAGCTCATTTAAAAAAGCCCATACCAGCTGGATGGACGATCCTGAAAGTGATGATGAAGATGTCTGGTGTGATACGTCCTCAAAACCTACTGATTGGAATACAGCAACCGTCCCCGTCTTGTAATACTTCCCTCCCCTCCCCTTTCCCCGCCTACCCTATATCTCTTTCTTTAATTATATCATCATTTTAACTTATTACCCCCCGAACATCTCACCCTTCATAATGTACACACAAATATCACACAAATCTCTCACAACACTCACACAACACTCACACAAACACACCCACCCTCACACATTCACACACAACCTTTTTTGTAATCTTAGAGCATTTTTCTTTCATCAATGGATTATTCATAATATTCCTGATTTGTTTTAATTTTTTTTTTTTTTTTTTTACTTTTTGTATGTTTTAGCTCGCTTTTCCATTCCAACCTCATTCCACTTTATACATAAAACCATTTAACTTTTGAAACATGATAGAATTTCTTTTTAAAAAGGTCCTTTAAGACTTTCCAGCCTTTTCATTTCGTTTTCTTTACGTTCTTTTTCACAAGCACATAGATCTTTGGATGCTTTTGCTGATTGGCACTGAGAACAGCAGTAGACTTTCTGTTCTGGTTTTGTTTTCTTACATTCATCGCAACACAGTACGAGAAGATGACAGCCAACAGAAGCGCATTTGGCATAAGTATCCCAGGGTGTATGACAAAATTGGCATTGGCTAACAATATTATCTATACTGTCGACACCTAAAGATTGTCGAGCATCAAATACATAGTTTTTACCTTGCCATATCGCCTCCCCTTCTTTCTCGTTCAGAGGATGAGCATTTTTGTCCTTTTGCTTCCACCATTCCAAGTAATTATGTATACCGCCATCCAGCATAAAGATCTCTTCGTTCGGTAAAGCTTCTCTTAGAAAAGCTGTCGCCTTTTCGCACCGTATACCTCCTGTGCAGTACGTTAAAATCGTCTTGTTCTTCATCGCCTCCTTATTTCTCTCTACGAATTCTGGAAATTGGCTGAATTTTCGTATAGGAGGTTGGATAGCGCCCTCGAAATGCCCAATTTTACTTTCATAATAGTTTCGCGTATCGAGTAGAATATAGTCTTCTTCGTGACGATGAGCCAGTATTTTATGAAAATCTTCAGGGCTCAACTTGCCGTGCTTGTGATCTGTCGTATTCAGCTTACTAAGTACAACTGAAGACGCACCTAACGGGCAAATTTCATCCACGACTTTGACAGATAGTTCAGAAAAGACATGTACACAGCCTGCGGATGGTTTGAAGAACTTGTAACGAGGGGTGTGTGGATCCAACAAGGATAATGGTACAGAGCTTTTGAGATCATCCAGAGTAGGATCCCGTTGGAAAATAGGAGTGTGAGTAAGCCAATCGAGATACCTATCGATATCCTCATTGGTACCAGCCAGTGTTGCATTAATGCCTTCAGCAGCAATGCGGACTTTTCCTGTCATATTCGCACAATATTTCTCATGATCCAATGCAAATTGGATAGGGTCTTCGACAGGCGCGTATTTATAGAAAAGAATGACTTTTGATGCATTGGCGTCACAGTTGCATGTTACAGCTATCGGATCGGAAGAGCCCTTGATAGAGTGTTTAAAAGACAGGTTTTTTTACATAAGCAATCGAACGTCGTTTTCTTTGTCACATCGATCCTATGGGATGTTTTGACTAAAATATTCCTTTTCTTTACTTTGTTGCCTCTTCTACTTTTCAGTTTCTGTAAATTAGCTTGATTATCCGCTGTCAATTGAGCAGCTTCTTCAAGCTTCTGTTGCGCTTGTAGTTCTCTTTCAACAATCTCTTTTTCATGATATTGATGCACGTGTTTTCCAATCGTTTCTATATCATGAAAATTTTGCCCACAGCACAACCATTCTTTAGTGTGTGTTTGCTTTTCTTTTAAGAAGTTTTGGATAATATTTCGTCGTTGTCTGGATAAAGGCATAAGCAGAAAAAGGGAAAGGGAGAAGAAAAAAAAAGCCTTTTCAACGGACCTAATCTAGGTTAAAGTTCAGACCGAAGCGATCATTGCCCGGGGCATCCGATTTTCTTAGAGGAAACTTCCGGTGAAAAACGATACATTGGGTTATGCACGCAAGCTTATTTGATCAAGGTTCTTCTTCTTTATTTCCTTTTTTCCCTTCCCCCTTCCCTTTCCCTCCTTTTACCCCGCCTTCTATTCTTCCTTATTTGTCATCAAAACAAACATAAATAGTCATGATATTCTCAAAAGTATTTAAATCAAATCCAATACAAAAGATTGAACTGACAGTAGCAAAGGGCCAAAATAATGACGCAATAGCTTTTGGTCCAGCATCAGTCATCAACGGTAAGAAAAAAGAGAAAATAAAGAAGCAAAAACTCAAACCGTTTGCCCGTTCTTATACAAAAGTGTTTCTGATTGTCCCTGCATCATCAATTAGGCAGTGTTACTTTATTTTTAAACAAACGCATTCGGGCAGAATCAATAAGTGTCGTTTTCAAATGTAAAGAACAGGAAGGAAAGAGTGACCAAACAACTTTATTTTCAGTCGAGTCATCCATTTGGCAGCCAAAAAGAGGTATGGCGATACAAATGATCGTCTTCTTGGGTGATGCCTTGCTCACCATGTGTCTATCGATTTTTTTTACATTTATACAGAAAGCGATAGCTATATTGAACCTGGGAATCATATGTATCTATTCGCTATACAATTACCATCGTCAGTAAACTACCCTCCCACTATCACCAAAGACTATTTAGGACATCGAATAGAATACTCCTTGCAGGGTTTCCTTGATTATTATGCAGACAATAAAGTATCAGAGAAGAAATCAACGAGCAAAATAGCCTTGACGTATCTGCCGCTAGTAGCATTCAATAAAACAACATATCCACAATACGGGCAGCGACCTAATAAAACAGTCAGAATGGAGAAGGAACATGAATATGTAGAAGTTACTGCTAGCTTAGCTAATCCCTCTGCTTGCCCAGGTAAAACGGTTGGACAAACTGCTTTCCATATACAGAGAATTGATATTAATTAAGTAAATTTCTCCCTTTTATCCCAAATCAGGCGATTTGTGTTCCGTCAAACTCTATACCCAAAACCATTCATCCTCTAGTATCCATCAAGTGCGCATCATTCTACTTTCTACTGTTACTACACTCGATTCAGCCAATGTGCCCTCTTCTTTATCAGGACCACGCTATCAACACAAACAACGACAACTCGTAAACGAAATCTTTTATGTCTCTATACCCAAGCAATCCACCAATATCACAAGTGTATGCCCCTTTCGAGTACCCTCTTATTGCGTTCCAACCACCCAAAGTCATTATGGAAAGCATCTGGAAATCAGCTACGAGGTCTTTGTCGTCATTCCTGCTTTTGGAAACAAATTAGAAACGAACGACACGATAGCCCAGTTGCTCTTCAACTCTCAGCAACAGGTGATTCGTCTTCCTTTATTTATGTCTACTATACCCTACTATTCACATGCTGCTTCAGCTATCACGCATTCTTCCTCTGTGAACAATACCGCCACGTTACCCCAATTGCAGATTCCATTCGCCAATGAGCCTAATAATATGGATACACCTACTTTTATCCTCCATGAGTCACCTTTGCCTAGTCCCAATGCTTATTCTCTGAGTGATGGTAGCTACTGTAATTGGAGTCCTGGGAGTCCCGTTGCAGTAGAGGACCATTCAGCAGATGATTTACCTACCACTTTATCCGCATGGGCACACACCTCGCCCGTAGAAGATGCTACAGGGCATCTGATGGTTCCTCCCATAGGTGGTGGCTCGTTTCCTTCACAATCTAGTTCCACTACTGCCACTTCTCCTCGTCGATCGCTGTCGTCTCATTCCACTACAAGTGTAGCATAGAAACCCCCCCCCCCCGACGCAGTTGATTTTCATACGTTTGAACAACAAGTTACCCAACAATGTTGCCTTAGAGATTTATAATAGTCGGATTTGCCTGCACCACGTATACTACGAAATAAATAGTTTATTTTTTTTTTTCTCTCTGATCTTGCACTCTGAAGTGAATAAGTGAGATGTGATGTGTATGTTTGCTTTACCCGTGGAAAGCACAGACACCTCATGAATTGCATGCGAATTCTTTTTGAAACCCCGCTTAGTGAGGCTGCTTCACCTTTGATCTGGCTTTTTTTCTTTTTTCTTTTAGTCTTTCTCTCAAGATCGCAGCTCTTTAATCCACATTCTACGATACCATTATTAAGCGCTGAAAAGCAGAAATTTGGCTTCGATGAATTTTTTAGATTTTGCAACGAGTAAGTCTTGAATGTTTTGCAGTTGACCTTGGCATGTGTGATTAACACTGGTTTTTTGTATTTGTGTCTGATAAAAGGTATTGATGAAGGCAAATCACCCGATCTCGTTCATCAAACACAACAAAAAAGAAAGCACAATGAAACGTCACTCTTTTCTCATGATGCAAAACGACAAAAAATGGATGATCTTGCAGTAGCTGCTGCTGCTGCTGGTATAGTTTCTACCGCTCCTGGTCCACAGCAAAAGAAGCAATTTGACCCTTCCAAGGTCGACAATTTTGTGCCTAGGGTAGTTTGCCGTCATTTTGTCAAAGGTTTTTGCCAGCAAGGAGATAAATGTAATTTCAAGCATCCGTTAGATCAACAGCCCAAGAAACCATTTGTTCCTAGAGTTGTTTGCCGTCATTTTCTCAAGGGCGACTGTCGTGCGGGTGATAAATGCACTTTTAAACATGAATTAGATGAAAGTGTTAAAATTGAGAACAGCAATAGCAATAAAGATAACAAAAAGAAAGATACCAAACAGATTGTATGTCAATTTGCCAAACAAGGTGCATGTTGTAAAGGTGACGAATGTGAATTCTCACATGTAAGTTCCTCATAAGATATCCTTTTATTCTTAATTTTCAGTATTAAACAGTTTACCCTTCATTCGGTTTTTAGGATTTCAAGATGGAACCATGCAAATTCTTTCATATGGAAGGGAAATGTAATAATGGTGATGCTTGCCTCTTCTCACATGATCCTTTAACTGAAGAAATGCTTGATAAGCTTCGTGCTTTAACGGGTCCATGCCGGTATTGGTTATTTAAGGGCTATTGCAAGCAATATGATACCTGTAAATTTAGCCATGATCTTGAAGTGTCAGAAGAAAAGAAGGCTGAAGTAGGCAAAACTATACGAAAATGTCAGTTTTTCTTCTCTCCCAGCGGCTGTAAAAAAGGTGATACATGCTTTTATTCTCATATCAAGGATTAATCGCTCTTTGTCCATCCATGGCTGGAGATAGATTGTTTTATAGTACTTATATACATATACAATTGCCAATGAAAATGAAAAGATACGGTATATCGGATTTGAGTGGCAGGTGTTGAATAAAATACATCTGTTCTTTTGACAATTCTGCAATTTACCAAGTTAAAAATGACTCGAAACGATCAAAAGAAAAAAAAAAAAGAAATGATTGTAAACGCACGCCTAAATGTGAGTAAGCTGTCCCGTAATATAATAAATTCAACAGATCAATGACTCGACTCTGCATTGAAATAACTGCAACTTTGCCTCCTAATTCCCCATTTGTATTTATCATGTAACAAGGCTGTCGAATACCATGAGAAATCATTATGCTCAATGGTAGAACATTAATGAAGTTTAAATGGCCAGAAGCTCGTTGTTGCATGTTGCTTCATCACGACATTGGAACAATAACCAAACTCTGCAAATATAATCCTTATCAAATAGCAAAACTTCAATCGCTAGGATGGCATATTGTCAGCAACACTTGTCAAATCCACATCAAAATTAATCAGAACAAGTATATAATCAACACATTTAATAATTCGCTGTGTATATTGTTAAGGAAAAAGACGAGTGAAGTGACGAAAAAAGAGTTGAAATACATTTATTCGCGGTTACCACGACCTAGTTTTGTGGGAAAAAAAAACAACATTAATACAACCAACGGTATAAATTTCCATTTTCTCAATAAACTTACCAAGACCACCACGGAATTCAGGCTTGAAGTCACCGTCAGCACCTTCCTTGCGACGGTAATCACCACGGTCACCACGAGGACCACGGTTTTCACGACCTTCACCACCAACTTTTCAAAAAAGGGTTTGTTAATTTCATTAAAATCAGGTTGCAGATCAATTATAGCTTTTTAATAATACTTACAGCGACGAGGAGCAGCAGGACGAGCAGTCTTCTTCAAAGTAGCAGGGACAATTTCTTGAGGTAAATGGAGGTCTAGCAACCGATAAAAGAAAAATATATCATCAAAAACGCTGTCCTTTTGTTATTCTTCGCTTCTATTAAAATATACATACATTCACGGAGGTAGTCAATACCCTCATCAGTGAGAGTATAATAATACCATTGCCAAGAGAACTGAGTCTTAACGCAACCCTTGGAGGTCAAAGATTGCATAGCCTTGATAACTTCAAGGTTAGGAACATCGATATCAGGGTGCTTGGGAAGGTTGTAATCCTTGGGTGCGACAAGGGCACCATCTGTCGTAAAAATAGGATGTTATCATCAGCATTTAACTAATTTTATTTCGGCAAGCAGACAATGTGATGTTTTACCCTTGAAAATGGCAGAGTAGATGGCCTTTCTGTTCTCTTTGGAAATGAGCATGTCGGGTTCTAGATCATAAATCATAGGTTAATACATGCTATCCTTTGAAAGACCGTATATGCATCCATCATCCAAATGTTAAATCGCTCCTTCTCAATTCAAGATGACTACAATCTACAATGTCGAGTTCCACAATTAATTGCATCAATGGTATCCACTAACATAAATAGCATCCGCCATATTGATTATTTATTCTTTCGAAATGCTGTCAATACTATATGGATGTTTGTAATAACGGATGCTATAGGATGGATGGATGGGTATGAAGAATATTGACTGTAATGTGATTAATAGTGATGTTGATTCATGAATGACTCTGTTGTATACTAGTCTGATGAAATCGATGGCGATGTTCCTTCGGTCAATATGGAATTGATTTTTGTCGAATCTAATCATTTGGAATGGATGGATGCAATCAGTTACTATCAATATACCTTACCTATGCGGGGAAAGAAGGATTCATAGCCTGTGGCATGTGTTTTGACATAAAACTCGCCTGCTGCCATTTGGGGAGGAGTGTCCTTCCGGGCGATCATCCTACTGTAATTCAGAGCCCGCTTAGTCTTTTTTTTTCTAACAATCTCGACACGCAAAAATTTGGGAAAAAGGAACCGCAGAGTCATACCGCATAAGAGGTTTTTAAGTATTAGAATAAAAGTTTAAGACTAGGATTTGAACATTTATTAGAAAGTTGCTCGAACATTTTCAATTTATACGTCATGTAACTCATGTATAGTGAAACGAGCACGAGCACCGTTCTTATTGATCAACAAGTAGTCTTTCAAATCATTCTTTAAAACGACTTCTTTGCTTGGAAATTTGCGACCATTTTCTTCACGTTCAGGCTGCATAACTTTGACGTTTGTCTTGTACAAGTATGGCGCTATGAAAGGGATCTTTTGATCTGCTGTAATAAGAATTAACTGGAAACAACATATTAACGATCGATACAATACAGACGAAATAATGATTTGTTTTGAAAAGTTACGTTGACATAATTAAAGTTGCCTTTGTGGGGATATGTCACAGCTGGTGATACCATGATCTGCAAAAAGCAAAAAGCTTTTCTGTTAATCAAACAAATATTGATTTTGCATATTATACGTCATTCAAGTCTACCTGCTGAACTTTTGAAAGATCGTGGTTGGTATCGATTTCAACTCTGTTAATAGCTTTGGGCTTTTTGCTATCAAAATTAGGTACAATGCCGCAATTGATGATCTATCATTCAATTATATTGAGCTGACCCTGTTTAAAAAAAAAAGTGAAGCTCATCAACAGCTTACCTTTAGTGGAAGTACACTAGATCCGATATATCTGATTCGTTTCTATTGTGTTTGACAATCGATTAATTTCGGCGGGAAGGAGATTTTGTAACTGATCAAAAGACCACATTACCACTTCCTTATCCAATTGTTCTTGAATCCACTCTTTGGCAACGACATCAATTTGTTCTAGAGTTTCAGCTGGAATCTCTCGTAAATCAGTATTTTCTGACATGTTAATCTATTTTTCCTCCAGAATTCAACGATCGGTTCAGAAGTAAAGCACAAGCAAAAAAGCTATCTGCGCTGTTTTAAATTGAAGACTGGACAATACAAAAGCAAATTCAGAGCTGTCATTTTTTAGTACAATATCAGGACGTATTGTTTTTGCGTAGCATTCGCAAAATGAAGACAGGCTTCTAGCAATATTTCTCTCATAGTGGATGTTGACACTCTCTAATCGTAAAGATAGCCCCAAAGTAGTATTACAACCGATCGAAATCAAAGCAAATACAGTCCAAGGTGCACAAAATAACAAGAGTACACTACACAATTTCATATCGTATAATTACAGATTGCTCACATTCAGATTTTTTATTGTTTAAAATCTATATGAAATCTATATGGTTCTATAGAAATACAATTTTGATCGATGCCCGATGGTGCCGCTGAAATTTGACGAGGCGTGCACAAATTGCTCTTGACAATTAGTCCATTAATAAATAGATGTAAATAAGTTACAGAATATGGGGTACGTAGGCAGGGATTCAATTACATGTTCACAATGGTATAGTGATTGATGAGGTTTGATGGGCTATTAAACTTTGAAGCCCAAGTTTCGCATACAGGTAAGATGTGCTTGGATAAGCTCTTGACAATTCTCTTCGCCGTTCTTAAAGATACATTCATCACGAGCTTTCTTTGTTTCAGGACAAGCACAACATGGTTTGAGTGGTTTACCATCTTTACCGATAGGAAGCTCTCCAGAATGCGTTGATGTGGTCTTCACAGGTTCAGCCATTTGTAATTTATGCAACTTTAAAGAATAAAAAGGAAAGGTAAAAGGGCAATTTGTAGGGGTTCTTATCAAGCAACGCCTTTCCCGACCCATACTTCAGGCAGTCACATTAACATTGGTAATCAATGAAGACTATACTTCCCCATTAAACTGAAGCATGTAAACACCCTTGAAAAGTTTAGCCATAACATTTATTGATATGAGTTGCGTTGCGTTCATTCCAATCTCGAGGTACTTTTAGATTTTTTGCACACATAACCTTCTCAAGTTTGGTTGTGTCCATTTTGACGTTCCGCTTCCATTGCTGCCCTAAAAGCTTTGCCTTTTGACTGCGTATATTATATGTTTAAAAACTAGATCTTCGATATGGCAAGTCGAAACTCTCCTTACAAGGGTTTTTCCAATTTCAAAGAGTGTAACGTAAATGCAAGGAACTAAAAAAAAAAAAAAAGCACAGTTGCGCTTTTTTTGACCAGATGCTAGCACAATTTAAATTTGTAGTTAACAGATATGAAACTAGCATCAAAAGCATTTCGCTTATTACTTGACAAACACCACTCCTTTCTTTATTCAACCCTCAAAGTGCTTTTGTATAGTGGAAGAAGAAGTGTTAGAAAAAATATTTGTTCAAAAATAATAACAGTGTGCAAACATAGAGAAAAGTAAAATTGAAGAAGAACACAATGCAACAGCCTTATAATGTTTAGATAGACAAAATTGCCCAAGGGTACTGTCTAGTCGAGTTACTGCCGTATATTGCTCTTATATAAGCAAAGCTTTACAGTTTGCATTTACAACTTAGTTAAAACCAATAAGCTTCTTTTATCAAGTTCATTATTGGTTGCATGATAAAGATGAATAATATTGTAATCTATGTCCAATACATATGCTTCGCTTTTATGAACAAGCAAACTAAATGATGTCTATCTCTTATGAAGAGCACCTGATCTCTTCATTGATCACTAAAGCGAATCGGCGTAAAGCTTCGTCCATATCTTCTTTCGTTGCATTACTATAAGAGACTCTTACATATTCTGTCTTATCTTTATGAGGCATAAATCCCATTCCAGGAACAGCGACCACTTTTTCCTTTAACAGTTTTGTCATTATCAGATCGTTCGAATCCTTAACACCACCGAGTAATTTTAGCCACACAAACATACCAGAGGTTGGTACAAACCATTCTGCTTTTCCTTTCATATGTCGTTCAAGACAATCTATGAAATCATCCCGACGTTGACGGAAAATCCTGCTTACATACTGCACATGCTGAAAGAATCCCTCATAGCCCCATTTTGCTAAAATGGAATATACAACACCTTGTCCAATGCCTGAAGGTTGTACTAAAGTGAGAACTGTATGAACAGATATACATCGAAGCAATTCTTTTGGTCCACTTAGCCAGCCAATACGAAATCCCGGAGCCATGATTTTACTAATTGTATCTGTGCGGAGCACGCGACCATCTACGTCCATAGAAAAAAAGGATGGAACTCGATTTTGATCCAGATATTGTATATAATAGTAGGCGTCATCTTCGATGATAATGATATCATATTTCGAGCAAATTTGGTAGATTTCTTTCTTGCGACTAAGACTGGTGGTAGCTCCTGTTGGATTGCCGCCAGTAGGGACGGTATAGAGGCAATGAGGTCTGCGTTTTTGTGGATTAGTCTCTGGCCACTGATCAAGCAGTTGTTCCAAATATTCGGGCACAATACCGAATTCATCTGTCTTGACACCCACTACATCGCAGTTCAACGAATCTAGAAAGCCCAACATGCCAGGGAATGTAGGATTATCAACTAAAACAGCGTCACCATTATCAACAAGTGCATCGATTGCCTATTAGTTACAATTCAGTTGATAAAACAGAGTCAGTTCATATTTTCTACAGTATATAACATTATTTTTGTTTAAACTCATGAATATACCTTAGTTAGCAGATCTTGCGATCCAGAACCAATAATAACGTCAAAGTCAACTGGTGGTTTATGCTCTCTAACTTGCAGCTCATGTACCCAATTTCTCAAGCATGGAAGACCAGCCTATAAATTCGATATAAAAATCAGCCTTTTGACGTTGAGTTGTAGCGCCCACTTCAACGCACAAAACTATATACAATGATTATTTACGGATGAGCCATACGATAGGCATTCGGACAATAGTTCCCCATCCAGATCTATTGTTTTGCCTGACTTGAGTTTAACTGACATACTTTCGACAGGACAGATTACAGAGCTTGGTTGTCCTGCACCCAAGGATATCTATCAAGTAAGTCTAATATTTAAGATATGATTGTAGTATAGATTTTTACTGCCGGTATTTACATAGTCTTTGCGCACCAAGTATGGAACGAGAGAATCCACTATGATGAATGTAGGTTACAATATTATGAGACGGTTCATGTATTCGCGAATGTTACATCAAGCTATTTGACGCAGAGTTCAAATCTACATACAATCAGGTTCTTTTCTTGCTTTTCCAGCTTTACTGATATGCTTCGAATAATCTACTTTTCTCGTGCCTGAATGATATGAACTAAGATCTTGGACCATGTTTTGCTGAATCAAATGATAAATAAAACACGTTTGAAAAGAAAAAAGAGAAGAATGCTAAAAGAAATATATGCACTCCAAAGTACCGAAAAGCGGCTAGTTCTCTAAATCCCTGAAACATGACAGCAATTATGCAACTATAGTGGTATTCGTTTTTCTTTTTCCGTTAATCCGGAATTTAGACTATGCTGATCTAAATGCATTCTATTAGGTCATAGGGGCTCGTATCACATCGATGACGAAATCGATTTTCATATGTTAGTTAAGTTAGAGTTCTCCTTACAGCAAAAAACAATCAAGCCCATCTTTTGCAGTCAACTTAGTATGGTCTAATTAAGTGATTGCTTGTTTCACAGAGCGAATGACTTATGTTTTTAAAAGCAAATGCAAAAAAAAAATCTGTGAAGAATGAATGCAATGATACGGCATTGCAAGTTGTTCTGGTTTATGATATCATGCATCAAAGAAGTAGCAGAAGCTCCTTTTATTGAAATTCTTTCGATGTGTATGCGATCCGTAGCATTATATTGTAATTTTACCGATAATACAATTCCAAATTCATACCATTATGCAATTCATCTACAAATAAATCAAGCCAATGAGTTGGAATAAGTTAGGCAGACACTGTACAGAGTTATTATAATAAGTCAAATATATCCAACTTACAATCTGCCAAAGTAATGTGATCCTTGAATTCTTTATACCACTTCTTTAATACAATTTTGTTAGGGTCTGTGCCAATTTGTGCTGCTACCAACTTCTTGAAGTCTCCCACAAGATCGTTGGGCGAGCATTTAATACGAGCCTTCTTGCCCAAACGATCATTTACTTCAATTTCAATTAAATTGTAGCTTGGCTTTTTCTTCTTGATTAACGTTCTCTTAACGTCCTAAACACCATTTATACAACATCTCAGATCAATAACTTGCATTATTCTAATAGCCATGTTTTTCCTTTTTCTATACCGAAAGCACTACCTTATTTTGATCTGTTTCACGAGCTACCGCTGCCGATGTCTCTCTCGGACTGCGCGATCGACGGCGTGACGAACCATAAGGAGACCGACTTCGACTACGGCTCCTTCTTCTTCTTTCATTACGTCCATAATCATTTCTACGTGATGGTGAATGGCTGTGATCTCGTCTCCTTCGAGGTGGTGATCGGCTATAGTCCCGTCTGTGTCGTGACGAAGAAGCAGTGTATCGGTCTTGGTGTTCTCCATATTTCGACGGTGGTGAACGAGATCTTGAACGCGAACGTTGAGCACTACGGGATTTAGTATTGTCTTCCTTCTTTTCCGACAGTGAATCGTCTTTATTTACTGTAAAAGTAAAAGTTTAAGTTTAGACAAGCATATAATAATTAAAAATGAAAAGAGACTGACAACTCTTTATTTCGCATTACTTTTATCGTGTTTCTTAAATTTCAACATTTCTTCTGATTTATGTGCACAGCAAAGGAAAGATGTAGAGAAAATTTTATGTCAGCTGCTGCTCTAAACAGCATTTTTGCAGGCAAGCAGCAAGAAGATACATTAAAAAAAAAAAAGGAAAAAAAAAAAACCCAGATAAAATGACACAAGGAATAATCTTTGTTGTATCCTTATTCATCGTTTCTTTTTTGATTCCTCTCTTTCTTTTCTCTGTACTTTCCTTCCCATTTTGTAATTAATTGCTATTATTAGAAAAGATCAAATGCCTGAAGGTATTAGCGATAGTAACAACAATAACGGCGCCGGTGATAATAGTGGCAGCTCTAAAGACAGATCGGCCGATGACAATAGCCGATCTATTGAGTTGTTCATCAAGTCTCTCCAACAACCAACAAAATCGGTTTCTGTTCCCAGGAATGCTTCAGTTTTGGAGTTGAAGAATAGAATTCAAGTTTTGTTTGATGTTGATAGCTTAAGACAAAGATTAATTTTTCAGGGCAGAGTGTTGAGTGATGACAAAAATTTATTGGATTACGGTAACTTCAATGCAGATGGAAAGGAGGTTTATAGATAAACATGGAATTCATCTTACGAATGTCGGCCTTCTCAATACTTAGAAAATTTGGGTAATGGTAAAGTCATCCATTTAGTTATAAGACCTTTGGATGCACCTCATAACCCTGCCAATGGTGAGTGATTGAATGTGGAAACTTTCTTCCTACCTTTACCTCCCACTAATCGCTACTTATTCCTAGACGAGCCTCAACGACAAACTACTGAAAATCCTCAACGTCCTAGAAGGCTTCGATCTGGTTACGCTGTCATTTCGGTTGACGCTAGCCTCATTGATTTTGGTAATGGAGGGAATAATGTAAGATAGAACAAAAGAATCGTTTCGCAGCATAATGAAAGTTGAATTCATCTTTGCTAATTATTGTTTTGATAGCTTCTCTCCAACTTGTTCAGTTTTCCTAATTTATCCACTACCCCACCAACCCCGCTTAACAACGATGTTAATGGAAGCAATACTCTCAACGCAAATAGTACGACTGGCAACAGTAATAATGATAGAAATGGTTTAAACACTACATTACCGTCTACTCTACCCGCAAATCGAAATCCCTTTAGAAGAATTTCTCAGGGTATTTTACCCTCATCCTTAAGACCCACTTTCAGCAATAGCAGCAGCAATACCATCAATACCACTCTTAATTCTAACAACAACACTGCAAGTGACTACAGTATATCGTTTGGGCCCAGAGCGGGAGGAGGATTAATGTTGCGAGACCGTTATGACAGAGCGGGAGACTTACGAAGAGCTGTGGAAGAAGGTTTATCAGAGCTATTAGAGGGTAATAGCAACAATGGTATGAATAGAGGCACTAGTACTATGGGTAGCCGGTCAGCGACATCCAGAAGCCCGGCTGATCAACAAAATACATACGAAACCAGACTTGCGAGAACTCTAGCCTACCTTGACGAAATTAGACATTTGTTGAACACGCCAGTAGTAGAGGATCCCGAGGGGGAAAGAAGAATCCACGAGCAATCACGTAGAAATTCATTACGCACTCTCGACGTATCACGAGAAAGGATGGCTAATATTTCTGACCAACGGCATCGACTTGCCCTTGTCGTCGATGAGATGGCTAATCTGTTGGAATCAACTGTACCTTATTTGAGAAATGTAGCAGGAATATTAAGACAAGATGATTCAACTGCAGGACGCACAAGCAATAGTAGTAGTAAAAGTACCAATGAAAACAATGCATCTGACAATAACAACTCTGGATCCAGCAGGACGACGGTAGAGGATACTCAGCAAGACAATTATAGCTCAATATTCCGTGCAGCGAGAATCATACAAGCCGTAAGTTTGAGCAATTATTTCCTGGGTTCATTACTTGCTGTGAATCGTAATCGCTACAACAGTCGTAATAGCAGCTCCTCTGCAAGTGACTCTGCGTCGTCAGCCGATACGGCAGCAGCAGCAACTACTACAACAACTACTGCATTGGAAACACAGTCTGGGCAGGGTGACGATCGGGCGCAAAATAGTAGCAACAATGCATCTACCGACAATAGTGAGCAAAATAATAACAATAACACAATCACGGAACATAGTGAGCAAAGTAGTAGTGATAGTAGTAGAAATGACATGGGTGACAAAGGAGATAGTACTGATTCAGCGTCAATCAAAAGAAAGCGAGATATACAAGATGAAGGGAGCTCTGCTTCAGCATCAAAAAAATAAATGAATAGCTGTTCATTAATAAAAATAAAGGATGAAATTTTATGCTTTTCCAAATATGGCACACTTCCACTGCATAAATTTTGCATCATAAAAACCTTCATTGGTATTTTTGGCATTCTTGTTATACTCATTTTTTTTTTTTTTTGTTTTATTGTTTTATGTATGCCTGAATTCTTTAAATGATCCGTTTTAGACTTCAATTATTCATTCATAGACAATATCATGGTAGTGCTGCTCCCGCAGAGGGAGGCCGACGTATCATAGAAACCTTGAAAAACAGATACCATCAACAAAAGCTTCAACATATCCATAAATTAAAATTGAAAACAGCTTCTGACAGTAAGAATGCAATTTTACCTCCACCATTACAGCAACTTGCCACTAGCAACGAAAACTATCAATTGCAAATAAAAGACAATGAAGGCAACGACATTAATGCTGAGGTGACTGACACAATATGTGGCATTGGGTACACCTCGCCTAACGAAGTGTAAAGAGAGAAAAATACATTTGATTACAGTTGAGTAAACTTGAAGCACTAACAACCGGATTCATATCATTGCAGTTTTATCAATAATGAGCTTAATCTACAAAAAATTGAGATATACGGATTTGACTACGATGCAAGTATTGCAAAAATCTATACTGAAGAACAGTCTATCCGTATCAGATAAAAAACTTACATTTTCTTTGATTTCAGTAGTATACGTTAGCAAATTATACGGATAAATTATCTTTGACTATATACAATTCCTTGCGTGATATTCTGGTGGATATCCTCAATTATCCCAAACCTATTAAAGGTTTTATGTTTGATCCTAACTTTGCTATTCGAGGGCTTCATTATGGTAAGCAAAAATGAGTGACTAGCTATTGCTTATCGGGTTTACTAAAGTATGTAAGAATAATATTCGGGTCTAGATGTCAATCATGGCTGGCTAATGAAAATAGACAATATGGCAAATATTCAATTGAATACTGTTCATGTCGGTCGCCAACCCGTACGTAACATTGATGAAGTAATTGAAGTGCACAAAGGACGTCATATATCGCCCTCTTACCTCAACACAAATATGTTTCAGTTGAATGATCTATTCTCTATACCTCAAGCCACTCTCTTAAGCGACGTAGTTCAGTATTTTAAGGACCACCATATGAAGTAAGATGAAAATGAAATGCACATGTATATAGTAATGTAGCAGTACTAAAAGAAAGGCAACCAAAAATAAAGCTTCCATCCTCGTTATTTATCCGATGATGTCAGCACAGCTGCCAGAATCCTACATACAGGTACTCATGGTATTGGTGGCACGCTGCACTTGGAAATCATGAAGGATATTTCTTCTTATCTCGAACGTGCACCTCAGCTCGTGGGTTACCTGGAACATTTGCGCAAGCATGGGAAAAAGACATTCTTACTGACCAATAGTACAGCCGCCTTTATAGAGAAAGGTATGAGCTACCTGACATCCAGCAATGATTGGCGTGATCTGTTCGATTGTGTTATTGTGGGGGCTAGAAAGCCGGATTTTTATCGATCGCATCGACCATTCAGAAGAGTTTTGGAGCCGAATTGGACGACTGTGGAAAAATTTGAACGCGGGGAAATATATCAAGGGGGAAATATGCGAGATTTTGCACAATTGACAGGATTCACTGGGTAAACAAAAAAATGACTGTAACCATCTCTCGTACATCCATTATTGCTCATTTTTGAAACTTGTATTTGTGTAGACAAAAAGTACTTTATTTTGGGGATCATGTGTTTTCAGATTTGATAGAGGCGACTACTCAGCATGGTTGGCACACCGTAAAGTATTGAACTAGACCTCATAACACACTGGAATAGAAAAATTGTAAACTGATGGTTTGAATTTGCTGCTATTATGTTAGGGCGCTATTATTCACGAATTGGAAAAAGAGATCAACATACGTAATCAACCGGCTTACCGGCATACTCTATCATGGCTATTAGGATTAGAGAAGCTACTCAACGAAGCTCAGTCGTGGAGAAAAGATTATCCTATAGAAGAGTTAGACTCGCTTATTGCAGAATGGCGAGCGGAAAGAAGACTTGTACGTCTTAGGTTGAAAACAGCCTTCAATCGGTCTTTCGGAAGTGTTTTTCGAACATATCAAAATCCGTCTTACTTTGCAAACAAAATCCGAAAGTTCGCTGATATTTACATGTCAAATATCACGCATTTGCAAAATGTGTCATTGAATTACGTTTTTTATCCAGATCGTACTTATTTACCTCAGTAGGTTTACTTTGCTTTTTTTTTCTAGCTTATTTAGTATATACCTTTGAAAGCAGAAGTAGTAACCTTTTGTTTTTCGTATAGCGAACGGCTAGTGGAGAATCTCATTGATACTGGAGGCAAGCTACCTATTCAGAACCCTAAGATTGTGAATTCATAGATTGTTATATTTATTTGTTAAATCTAGTAATAACTGTAATTAATAGTTTATCTCGCACAAAAGCACCGACTTTACATTACCTTAATTACACTTAAAAAGAGTTGGCCTACCAATCGGAATAAGAGTGTCGTTAACTAAACCCAAGACAAAGATAAAAAGTAAAACAGAAAACGTCAGTGAGAATTTGGGTGTTTCAAAGATGAATAGCATCATGATGTCTATGTAAAGTTATTTATAGCGGTTTCTTTGGGAAAACCTCTTTTAGCTAAAGCATGAGACCTTACGCATGATAGTCAGTGTGGAGTCGAAGCATGAACATCATGATTTTTATTGGGGTGAACACCGATGAGTTTGAATTTTTCCGCCAGCAGCAGCACCAGGAACAGTAGCAAGCGGATCAATTCATTTGTTTCTGCTGCCACAGTTGCAACATCCTACTTAAAAGTCATAGTTAACAACAGTTAAGCTTACGCTCATAATAAGGACATTGCTTGATTTCAATAAAGACCAGAAAGTTGAAAAGAACGTTAAGATTAAGCTATTACTCTTCGTAAAAATAAAAATGCGATTGCTTTATTTTTGTTGTGAGGAATATTTTCTCTGCTATATCATCTTGAACCACGAAAGGATTATTCAGAAGAAAAATATCAACTGCAACTCAATACTCACAAACAGATAATGATTACAGATGTTTACTGTCTACCTGATACATCGACTACACCGTTCACAGGTAATCTTCAATTGTGGTCACCGGCACCATCAAGAGTAACGTTCAATTATAACGTGACTCGTGTCAACAATCAGCCTCCCTATCGCCACTACTATGTTATGTCAAAAACTTCAACACCCATACAGCAGCAAGAAGAAGCAAGAGAAGAAGATGAAGAAGAAGATGATTGCTTTTACATGCGAAATCATTACTATGAGCAGGAAGCATGCACGTTTTGTGGACTGTCTCATCATCAACAACAACAACAACAACAACAACAACATCGACGACAACATTACCATCACTCGTTTAATACTATCACCTCTTCATCGTCATTTTCAGTTCACCAACAACAGCAAATGACACCTTCTCATACCCAGTTAGCAACCACGGACTCTGATTTATTATTAAACATAATACCAGCAACATTAACAGCGCCACCAGACTTGATCATAACTCCAGCACCAAGTTTCAGCTGTAGTGCATTGAAAACGGTAAAAGGGCCCAGGAAACTAAATCGTTCCCCATATCATAGTAGTTATAATATGGATAGTTATAGTCATGATGGTAACAATAAGAACAAATTATCTTTGAAGCAGTATATGCACACTGTAAAGAGGGGATTGTATAAATACTACAAAGGTTATCAAGCAATGCTTTTACAACCACCTGTGATTATCAAAAAGAAATAAAGTCCCTCATAATATAGCTTATCCTCTAACATAGTAATAAAAGGGAGATGCGACACTTAACGTTCCGCCTTCTACTGTTTCATTGAACGAAAAAGTAAAAAAACTTGGAAAGAAATAGTTAAAAACATGATTTGTAAATTGTGAACAGATATGATGGATTGGTTAAGCACCTTATTTTATGTGTAGATGCCATTCAAATCGCCCTTCCCATAAATATTTTTCGTATTTAAACATACATGGTACTGTCAAACATTGTTATTTGCAAATGTATTCATGCAGTATCAACGAATGCAAACAGATAAACTTTTGACTTTTTAAAAATCCATTGGAAGTACTTTAGTAACTTCACAGAGAGTTCATGATAAGCAACACTCTTGAGCTCAAGGATCTCCACATACTTTTCGAGCAGTTATTTTAGTTTTCCAAATAAAAAGAGAACCGGGAATTGCTTGTAATTAGAACATAAAGATATAGATGACTTGGCATAATATAATGGACATGTAACTCATTTGTCCTTCTGTTGCTATTTGCCTGTTATTGGCCTTACAGCTTTCGTTTCATAGCCATCCTTTGATTGCTTGCTGCTTTTTTTTTTTTTTTTTTTTGTTAGGGAACTCAAATGTATCAAGAATGTACGCTAGATCCTTTCTAAGTCGCAGAATAGCATACGCAGACTTTTGACTCAGGCGTGGAGGCAGTCAAAATTTGAATCACGGTAGGATCGTAAGAAGGCTTCAACTTTAGATTTCAGTATACTCATTGGGAACCTGTCGTTTTCTTTTGGCTTTTTTTTGGAAAACCGTACTACATAGGCAAGGATACCTTTATAGCAAGAGAATGTTTCCCTTGATACTAGTATCAAATATACATATAGATAACTTAAATGTTTAAGTTTTCAACCTTTTGGGAGCTTGAATATAGCCAACTGTTCATTTTTCAATTGTTATAATGAAAAATGATTCCTTTTAAGTGCAGGAAGACGTTTTTTTTTTTTTTTTTTTTCTTTTTCTTCTTCAGGTATCTGCTGTTGATCTGGAAATTCCAGAGGGGGGTTGAAATGAATTGAAACAAAAGCGTATAAGCGATAGACTAAGATGCATTAATAGGAAAGGCCGAAGGAAAAGAAAGCCAATAGTTTAGAATAATACAATCGAGTAGCTGCACTTTAGTTTTAGTGACTTGTACTCGTCTTGTCAATAAATATACATAGAAGGCAACTCAAAAACCATCCGCTTAGTCATTAATTATTCGTTTCAAGTAAGTATTATTATGCGAGATTTGCCTACTTGATGAATGTGTGCGCGTGCTACTTGTCTATTATCGATAATGATTGTAATGGAAGCCCTAAAGTATGACTATTATGCAGAAAATAAGTGAATGTACTCGTGATTAATAAATGTTGAGCTTCTCCAGTACTTTATTGATAGGATATGAATTTCGTCGGAAAACCATATTGGTATTAGAGTACACTCAGGTACAGCCTTTCCAATTCTGTCTAGACTCACTATTGTTACGATGGACACATAAACTCAAAAGTACGATAAACCGCTTAGAATGGTCTGGCTCGTTTTATAAATGATGCTGTCTATAGAGTAGATTGCCTTTTTCAAATCTCACGCCCATTTTCGTTACTATTTGATCCTTTATACAGACGCCACACAAATCTTTCGTAGTAAAGATTTTTTTTTATTCTTTTATTGCTTTTCTTGCGCATCGGAAATAGCACTAGAAACTAATCTCAAGTACTCAAATTCCAGCGTAAGAACCATTGACTGGAAAAAATCCTACCCTCATATTTCATACATTAAATTTGCATATTCATGTTTGGTATAGCATCGATAGAAAAAGCTTATAAGAGGGACCTCAAAGGCATTAATAATGATAGGGAAAGCATCACCCTGAATCAACTTTTCCTCAAAGAGGGTGGAATTATAGAAGTCAAGGCATCCTGAGTAAATAGAAGATCGCCATCTTTCAGACTCTTGGGTCAGATAGGGGAAAATGCAAAAATCGATCGCTGTGAATGAATACTTTAGCTGCAGAAGAGCAGTCTTTTAATAGGAGACCAATTTGTATGACTTCTATTGGGTCAAAAAGCAGTCTTTCAAAAGGAGTTATAATTGTTTTCAAAAAGTATATAAAGGCGCTCATTTTTCTGAATTTCCGCTTCTTTTTTCTTTACTCAGAAATCAGCTCAGCACAAATATTGCAGTAGCTTTGATTTCTAAATTGGTTTCCTCTGTGTAGATGGCCTAGTACTCCTATTGTTCAATGATGGCCCTTCTATTCATGTGTAATGCTGGTTGTTGCCACTTGCCTGAAATAGGTGTCTGTCGGTTCCTCGTGAGCCGGTAGCATAAGGTTAATGTCAACCAGTCCCATGGGCAGCCATGTTGATGTCTCTCCTCGTGGGGGCTGCCTGGGCAACTACTCTTCTAGAGAGTAGGCTAGAACATCAACACCTTTTTTTTATATTTATAATGCAAATAGTAAATGAAAAAAAAAATATGTAGAAAGTAAAGACTTCAAGAAAAAGAGGTGGAAGAATAGAATATCATAGTATGATCTCAAAAGAAAAATTTATACGGTAGAAGATCAAAAAATAAGCACACGCTCAAAAATGTTGTATAAGCAATCAAAAGCAAAAAGACAAAGGGACTGGAAAACAGGCTATTAATTTTGATTCTGTTGTTCTAAACGACTTCATGATTAATTTGCACCGTATATCGAAAGGGAGCAGCCTATGGAACAAGCTTAGTTTTGCTTAGATCTGCTGATGGTATAAACAACAGTTCGGTAAGAGAGGTGGAGTGCGATGAGGGATGGCCCCAGATTTATGCTGAAAGTATTTTAGTCATTTGTTTATGCTCTATTCAAATATGGATAAGAGTCTTCTTTGGTTCTAGACAACTCAGTAATTAAAAATGTTTCAAGCCATAAGCTAACGTCTGCTCTAGCAAATTTATTTGGACTTGATTAGAAGAGCGAATTGTTTACTTTACATGAAAACGATTTTATTGTTGCATCAATTCTATTAGCAATGACCATTTACAGATATGCAATCAATTAGCTGTGGTAGATCATGAAAGATTCATCTTACTAATTCTATTTATGAAATTGTTGGGACATCGGGGTGGGTGTGATCATCTTTTTCAGCAGAAAAGAGTCAAGTGTTCCTGGGTTCAAAAAATACGTGTCAATAGTCGCGAAAAAAAAAAAAAACCTTGGCAGGCGGGGCGATCATTTTTTTCTTTTTCCACGCTTTCATTTTCCATTTACAATCTCCTACTCACCATGCATTTTGCACGCATAACCACACAAACCAACAAAGAGCACCCGTGAGTCTTTTTCTAAGGGACCAGTGTGGGCCTCAATATTTGCCCTTAAAAAAAAAAAAAAAAAAAAAGACGTTATTGAAACCCAAAAATATGTTTCACTATACTCTCTGCCATATTTATTCGTATGCATCCGTCATATGCTGCCTATATAAAAGGGGGTCAAGTTTTATTTTTCATTCCTTCACTCATCTCTATCGTTCTTTTCTTTGCAATTCTGTTCAAATCACGCAGATTCTGTGGCCTCCTATTTTATTGAGATCTAAACAACAAAACATGCTATCTACCAGTCAAACACATCCGAATATCTCAGTTGCACGCTGCTGGCGCCGTTTAACAAAATCCATTCGTCGTCATCCATCATCGTTTTCTCCAGCTTCATCTTTAAGCAACAGCAGCAGCAGCAGTCGTAGTAGTAGTAGAAGCAGTACAAGTAGTTGTACTTCATCCACATCTTCCAAATCAGTCCGGTTTGAAAACATTGATACTGTCTGGTACACTCATAGCTCCGAGGAATACGATCGAGCAGGACCTCAAGATTCAATTGATTTACCAGCCGCGTTAGGCAGTATATTTTTGAGTGAACCTGAAAGAGCCATCATTGAAAACCCCAAGCAAGATAAAATTGTAGCCAAGAATACAGCCAATAATGCGAAAATAAAAAGACGTAACGAACACGCATCCATCATGATGCGAATGCGACATCGTTCTTGAGCAAAAGCATTCAAGGAACGAAACACAAGACGCGCGTGCTTTTATAACTGATTCGTTGTACCCTATTTATGTAATTTTATACTCTATGATTGATATACTTTAACATGACAGTTTACTATACCCACATTTCCTCATACAATGCCACTCCCTACGGCGTTCATTCTATCTTTCTTTTTTCATCACTTTATTCATGTATATAAACACCTCTCCCTTTTTAGGCGAGTTGGTTCTTAATCGTGCAATCCATGCATTTAATAAACCAATTTTCTTCAAGTATAAATGGGCAATAAGTAGACGTTAACGAAATAGATGCGTTGTCAAAAAGTCTTCTATTGAGAGTTTTGTAGATCCGTCGATCCGTTGCAGCAGAAGAAATAGTATGCTCTAGGTTTTTTTTTTTTTTTCGGGTCCTGACATTATACATGCTTAGCAAAGCATTTCACAGGAAAGAGACAAAGTGGGAAAAACTTCAAACCAGTTTTGCCGAAAACTAAATCAATCGGAGAGTGATTTCTCCAGCGTACCAACCATAGGAAAATGCATCCAAAAGCAACGTGACGACAGGAAATATGACATGCGTTGTGGTCCCTCTCCCTCCGCTTGAAACAGGCCATGACGAGTAGACAAGGAATGACCTATAAGTATCGCCGCCATGACACATACAATAAAACCACAAGTCTTTACAGGCAAACATTTTTCACTGTCCTTTTAACACTCATTCATATTGCTGCTAAGAGATGAAAATTAAATATACCACGAGCCAACCACAACTATTTTTCTGACGAAAAATGTTAGAAACCGTGGATCCTTTTTTTTTTTTTCATTTTTTCCCCTCCCCTCCTTTTGACAATAATACACGTGTTTCATCAAATGACAAAGACATTATTCAGGCAAAAATAGGCATCGTTGTTAAAATGGTATATAGCATCTACACCCAAGATCTGACAGCGAAACTGAGCGATCCGCCAATGGCCAGCCCCACGACCAATGAGAAACTCATGATACTTCCCACCATGGACTTTTCCTTTGCCGTCTGTATCGACTTTAGGTGGGGCGCCGCCATCATGGCGAGACTACAAATCCAGCCATTGGTAACAGAGAATAACCACATGAGGACGAAATAAGCAAAGTCGCTCTGAATAAGCACGGGCCATTTCCGCTGTCCTGTCACCACGATATTGCAGATCAAAAACAAGGGTATAAAGACGGTACGTAAGGCAGATAGAACGGCTAACCAATGTATTTGGGTGATGGTGAACCATTTGCATAAGGGCATCATACGTCCTACCCAATCGCCAATGTTAAAAAGCAAGAAATGGAAAGCAACAAATATATCGTCGTCAAAGAAGCGTCCGCCAGTATGGCTCTCCTCTCTTCTTCGAACGGATTTGATCAATGAGGTCACGGAGGGGAACAACATCAGTGTGATGATAAAGATGAAACCTACTGTAAAAATGAAAAGGCTCAATTTACAGACCACGGCCCACAGACGAGCACTGTTTTCTTCATGAAGGAGGAGAGGCTGGGCCTCTTCTGCTCCATCTTCTGCTTCCACTTCTGCTTCTTCGGTGATGGACAGGCTGTTTTCAGGCTTCGAGGCATTCATATGGTACTGATAAAATGGCAATCGGATGACTATCAAACGTCCTATCAATGCGGCCAAGGTAATAAGAAAGGCGGATAAGAAATAAAGAAAGGCAGAGCGATTGATAGAGTCTTTGTCCATATCGATTTCCACTGTCGATTTTCCAGCCAATGCGCTTAAAATCGATGAAAGAGCCACGATGACACCAGCAACGCCTATCGAAATCGTGTTAAATGATATCATAAGAGACCTCTACACGCACAGTTACAAAACAGATGTCGATGTGCCTTCGCCCCTTCCCTCGTGCCCCCTCCCTCCCTCCCTCTTTACCTTGCCCACTGATAACATATAGACCCGATCCAAGATCAAAGAGGTTTTGTTTTTTTGTGAGAAATGACAGTAGAGGCATAATAATCAGAAACGGTTTAGGGTCACATGTTGAAGCCAACCCAATAAATTACGTTTCAAAAAAAGGTGATTCTGTGACCATGGGGTTTACCTTAATACAGCTTGCATATAAACTGGTGGTAATCTACTGGCTTCACTAAAGACCGAACTTTGATAGAAGCTAGTCGTTACTCCCGTCAAAACAATCAACACCATGATGAATGAAAAATAGCTGATACCTTCTGCATCAGGTATCATTGCTGTTACTGCAAGAACGCCAAAGACAAGCGTATTTAAAAAAACGGGTATAAAGGAATTCAATTGAAACCCTGACTAAGCTCCAAAAACATAACGTTAGATCCTCTCTGTCTCTCTGTCTCTTTCGTCGCTTTGATGGGCTCTATTGTACCTTATTCTGCATGTATAGAATAACAACAAAGGTTAAAAGATTGGTAATGGTGAAATAAGTCGAGAAATAATTTTGAAACGTTTCTTCATATATTGTTCGAGAAAACCGTGTAGCAAAATATTCTGACGCTGTAATGAATACTATGTTTTATGCAGGGTGATTTCAGCGCTCTCTCTCGAATCGATAACAAAAAGAAAAGCTTTTTACCATTCCAAGGCAATAGCATTGCAATGCCATAGATGAGAAATATCTAGTGAGGGTACTTTTATTTCAATGATATCTTTCTTGATTATCTTTAGCTCGCTCTCTTTCTCAACCCACTTTTGCTTACCCAATAAACAACTTTGTGTTTGTCAATGATAGCAACGTCATCCATGGCACATGAACCATGTCGAGCTGAATCTCTATGAGCTATCAAGTGCGTGGTCTCCTCCCTTGTGTGTGGTTTCCCTACTGCATTTACCATTATCGAAAAGTAGCGAGAAAAAAAAAAAAGAGAAAAAGGGAGAGAGAGAATAAAGGGAAAATTGAAACCGTAAAAAAGTGGGGGATACTCCGAAACAGATCAAAAAAATTAAAAGAATCAGGAATTTGATATAACATTGATGGATGATCATTCTATTGGTTGGTCCGAGCGAGCAAAAGTAAAAAAAGTTGCATGTGTCTATTCAGAAAGAAAGCGTTTGCGTAGATCTTGTGGAATAGATGAAGAGGCGGGTAGAGGGTTGCTATGCGTGAGTTGCATTATTATCAATTACTTGTTATCACCGGCGTGTAAAACAGTCGACAAAAGTCCACCATGTTGTTGCATTCTTTTGATACGGATCATCAACAACAAAAACCAAGTCTTTAGGGCAGATGACATCTCTCTTTTTTTTTTTTTTTTTTTTTTTTCTCTCGAGATGTGCTGAAATCAACGATTCATCAATCCACTCCTCTTCTCTGATACCCATTCATATCGCAAGGTAAAGAAAGACTTGTATCTAGCACAATTGAGAAAAGTCCAAGGAAAAAAGTACCCTCGCTTCAAGAGAATACTGTTCATGCTTATGACAACTACAGAAAGCTAATGATCAAGTAGTGGATGGAAAGAATAGAGGAGCAGATCAATCAACAGTACAAACAGCGTAAGAGAAAGTTATACAAGGCTAAAAAGTCAGCAAAGAAAACAGAGAAGAAAAAATACAATAAAAAAAAGTAGGGTGCTCGACTATTTCACCCTATTTTTCGAATAACCAGAGTGACAAGCATGTGTAAAGGAAACTCCTCCTACCGACCGGTGACAGTAGGGCAAGTGTCTCACGTGTTTCTTTGACAAAGAGCGTCACAAAACTGAGTGAACAAACAATGGATACACTGTAGGGCTTTATCGCCAAACACATACAGTCCATATATACCACAAAGAACACCAAAATGTTATTCCATGTTGACCCAGATTGGCAAGAAGAGACGGGTCGCTTAGAGCCTCTTTGAAAAAACATGTGAAGCTTAAATAGAACCGTTTTATTTTTGTTTTCTCCAAATATTCATTCATTCATTCATTACGATTCCATACGGGTGAATGAACCATGGATAACCGCCTTACTGTTCATCTAGAATACGCTTGTCCTATCTGTGGTGATGAATTATTGCATGCACCTACGCTTCTAAGTCATATGGACCTTTTCCATCAGATATGTTTACCCAAGCGACTTGCAGGTACTAGACGCCCCAAATCAAAAGTCTATCGCTATCAATCTTTCCGCGGCCCTACTTCTGTAGTTCAACACGCTTGCCCCTGTTGCTGGGAGCACTTTCCTCAAGGCGACGTGGATCGTTTACGACAGCATATCATTAAAATTCATTTGGATGCAAAATATATCAAAGACTTTGAATATCAAATCCAGACAGAAGATCGCGAGCAGCAGCAGCAGCAGTTACAAGAGGAAGAAAAGGAAAAAAGACATCCACAGCTGTCTGTTAACAAAGAGAGCCATTCATCCACCTCCATTTCTACGACGACCGAAGATAAAGCAAATGAATTTTACAAATCATTCACTGATCTGATGACAATGTTTAAAGACTTATTCATGAATGAACAGTCTCAAGAGAAGGCGATGACGGATTCAGACTCTGAACTTGCATTTCAAGCCACTCGTCGCAGCAACAGCACGAAACGCGTTAGCTTCCAACTTGGTCATGATGAAGAAGAAGAAGCTTTTATTTATCGATAATGCTGCCTCTGTACTTTCCTTTTCGTAATAAAGCTGGTTTTCTTTTGAGTCACTTGGTCCATTGTACCTTTTTTTTTTTCCTTTTCGTTTCTCCCCTTATGTAAGGTAGACGGAAAAAGGTGACACTATCAAATTGTGTCCATTATCCGTCCCCACTGAAACTCTGTGATTGATTTATGCAAATAGATAATGGAAGCGGACTACTGTACTTTAAATGTCATTAGGGCACGATCCGTTTATTGGATCCCTCCATTCGAAAGCCCGCTTGCTTTTGTTTTCAAAGTGGTGTTGCCATACGGACTCGTGAACAATATATATCCTTAGCGATTGCAAAAGGAGAATATCACTGTCAAAATGGTTTATGCGTAGTAAACCCTTTCAACAACAACGTATTTTCACCAGATGAACCTATCGTTTGATTCTCGCATTTTTCTGTAGTTTAGTGAGTAGCTCAAGGATCCTTCGTCGGTTTCGACCTTGATTGGTTCCTTTAGGAAATCAAATCAAGTTTTTAGACGATGAGCTTAATGAAACGTATTCAAACCAACCGAAAAACGTCCGAAAAAGAAGAAAAAGGAGATGAGGGAGGGGAGGGGGATGGAGCTAACCCTGGTATATCACATTTCATCATTTCCTTCTTTTTTCCAAACTCTTTTTTTTTTTTTTTACTTTTTACCTGCTTGAAAAAAAAGATTTCATTTGTCATCCCGCAAAGTAAATAATTTGGTGAAAAAAAAAAAAAGAAAAAGAAAAGAGAGCAATAAAGAGAGAAAAAAAAGCACTTGTTTTTCTTCTATCTTTTGCCCCCCCTTGTATATATCTCTGCAAAAAAAAAAAAACAAAAAACAAGAAAAAAATAGCAGCAAATCTCTTTCTTTCTTTTTTTTCTTTTCAATATACCGTCTTTATTATACTACCGATAGAAATAATATTTAATTTATTATGGCTCAAACAGCTAGCGAACGCGATAGTCTGTCAGACGAATTGGCAAAATTACAGTCAGTTACCACAGAGAGGTACAATCATCTATGCGAACAAAATCAAAAGCTGCAACAAGAAAAGGAACAGAACGATCGACTTGTGAAGGAGCTAAAAGATCAAGTGTTTGAATTGCAGCAACAATTGAACAAAGCAAAGGAACAGCTTTATTCACATGAAGAAAAGTTGGCCCATGTGTCTACCGAGTTGAACGCATTAAAAGAAACCATCACACATGCCAACCTAAAAATGGACCGATTAGGCCAGCATTCGTACCATGCCAACGCAACGGATGGAAACAGCGCTTCGAATGACAGGACCATGGGGACATTGTCAACATTGCTCGTCACTCAAAATTCACCGCCCTCGATACCAACGATGGAAGGCACAACCCACATGACGCCGCCAACGCATACGACGACGACGACGACGACGACGGCGACGGCGACTGTCGGTTCACCGTCCAACTCACAAGCGCCTTTTCCTTTGTTGACAAGCACAGCAGCAGCAGGATCAACGGCCCACATGAATTCTTTTGCGCAACAGCTTCCTGCGACAAGCCATTCCAGTTCGATGCGCAGTATTCCAGCACCGTCTAAAGTGATGGTGGACGATCAAAAAAAGAAAGATAACCGACTGGTCGAACTGAAGAAGATCACCAAAGAGTATATGAATGTGAGCGACGAAGAAGCCAGTCTGCGCCTGTACAAACTTCAAAAGACGATGATCCACGTCGTATCCGACCTTAAAAAATACATGAGGGAGCGCAACGAAGATATCAGTAAAAGTTGGAAGACGATTGACATGACGACGCAACGCGTTGCTTTTGAAATGGTGGAAAGAGAAGCAGCCAGTCTGGGTGTGCCTTTAAATCGATGTATTGGCTACTGGGGTGCACGAAGACTGATTAGCAAGTCGTGGGCCAATGCGTTGAGAACGACCAAGAAACATTTATTACTGAGTCACCAACTTCAACAATCACAGGTGCAACAACAACAACAACAACAACAACAACAGCAGCAGCCACACAAGCAGCTACAACAGATACAACCACAACCAGAACCGCATCTGCAACAACAGCAAAAGACGTCCATAGTAACGCATCAGTCAGCGTTACCACTGCCATCCACGACGTCTCATGCTTATGGTAATTACCCACTTTTTGTTTTCGTTTTTTTTTGGCATGACCCTTGTCCACTAAGAGGCGTTTTATGATAGATCATTCTCCTGCAGACGCGCAAGGTACGACACTGCCCTCTCAGCCTACGCCATCCTTTTCCACCATTCTGTCGGAAGGTGTTACTCCCCCTTCAGAACCGACGATGGGCACAGAAGAGCTGCCTTTTTCACTTGCACACGCAGCAACAGTGATCAAAGGCGAAGAGACAGTAGCAAAGCATGACGTCGACAGCGAACCAAACAAAAGAAACGAGGGAGAGAAAGAAGAGGACGCGAATGATAGAGCCGCCAAAAAGCCAAAATTGGACCGTGAAGAAAGTTAGTTTCCCCCTCTCTGTTACCCGTTGTGTGTGTATGTGTGTGTGTATGTATGCATGTATGCATGTATGTATGTATGTAAATATTTATTTTAAATCGGCACCTTTCTATTTTATTTTATTTTATTTTTTTTGGTTTGCATGATGAATGTGTAACTTGAACGTCAAAAATAACCCCCCTTTTCCTTTCTGGATAAAAGAAAGCCCGAAATTCTACCACACTCTTTTTTTGTTTCTTGAAGTTTTGTTTACTCCCCCCAACTCTTGTCTATATTTACAATAGACCATGATGGAATAGTTGAAGAGGTGACACTCTCGCTTTCTTGTCAAATTCATGCATTTAGACTAGTTAAAAAACAATAAAGACAGCCAGCCAATCCCGAGCTTGCCCTGGTCATTTTTTATTTTTATTTTTATTTTTTTTCTCGTTGTTAAGGAAAGCCATTAAAAAAGAAATCTTTGATTCAAATGATGATAGAAAGTAGGGTTGTTTTTTTGTTTTGTTTTTTTTTATACACAAAGCAAATAAAAAGAAAAGGAGAGATACAAGAGATAATAAAGAGATAAGAAAAAAAAATTATGTATAATGTGGAGGGGGGGAATAATTTAGAGATAACTGTCAACTTAGTGATGATGAATCTTATCAATCTTGGCATCACATCCGTTTTTAGGAATGGCTAAACCAACTTGCATGTTACTCAAATCATAAATATGGTAAAAGTTGTTCAAGAAAGCACCGCCCAAAATCCAGTCTTCTGTATTATGGTCATCGAGAGCCGTACCGAGATTTCTGCCAATCAGCGTATGGCATGTCTTTTCATCGACTTTCTTGACATACAACGAAGGAGGAAGGGAGACACGATAACCATCTTTGAAATCAAAGGCCAAGGTAGGCAATTGGTCGATCTTGTCACAGCAAGAGAGCTGATAGACACCTTTGTCTTCATCGTAGTGGGCATCTCCAAGAGCAGCATGGAGCATATCGGCCTGCTTTGTAGGCGCCAATATAGAATGGACGCCTGTACTGAAGGTGGATAACGTCTTGGGAGCGAGCTTTAGATCAAATCGTTTATCGTCGTCGTCCTCGCCCTTACCACCCGTCAGCTTGACACAGCTCAATTCTGTTTTCCAAAAGGGAGATCCACCCTCCTCGCAGGTAGGTAATTTGAGATAGGCAACGTCGCCTTTGTAGACATCATGGTCAATACCGCCAAAGATAAATTCACCATCGCCACCTGTGTTGCTTCTTTTTTGATAAAATGTGCCGCTATTGTAATTGGTGTACATGCCAAATTGACCTGAGCTTTGACCATAAGCTTGTTGGAAACCATTTTGAGCAAAGCCACCATTAGGGACTATGGGTTCCAAAAATAAAAATGTGTCAGTGATGGATCCGTTGTATGTTTGTGTGTAGTGTGTGGAGGGGGGAGGGGAGGTGAAAAAGAAGAAAGAAGAAAGCAGAAAGAAAAAGAACAAATAAAGATTCTAGACTCTCTCTCTTTACCATATCTCTCTATTTTTTCCAAAAAAAAATAAAAATAAAAGTTAATCTCTCTGTCTCTCAGTTGAGTAGCACCCAATGGCGAAATGACTTACTTGAAAGTGTCGTGGCTGAAGAAGAGGTGAGATACTTTGTGGAACCATCCGGATTGAATCCACCCAAGCCAAGAGAGCCCACTATATAAAAATAGAAAACAAAAACGTCATTTTTTAATCATCTGTTTACACGGTTTGTCATTGTGAGGGTTGTTCACTTTACGATAGGTTTCTCCAGCAAGTCCATGAACAGCATAAGCACTACCAAAGACTTGGTTAGGTACAGCAAGGCCAGCTACAGAGACGGTATCCTACAAAAAAAAGGAAATGTCAGTAAATAATAGAGCAAATGACGATAGAGTGTTTTGCTCGATTGTTTTACAGTGTAGAGTCGTGCGTCTAAACAAACGCCTTCGTCATATTTTATAGAGACTTTCGGTTTGTGCAAGTTGACAGCAGTGGAGGATGAATTTGAATTGTACAAATGCTGCTGTTGACGACATTCTTTACTACGGCACTATGTGACCCAATAGAAAAAAAAAAGAGGGAATTTATTATGATAAGCCCACCCAATATGGAAATTCCACTGCTAAGGACAAAAAGATGGATAGTCTACCTCAGTGGATGGAACCCACGTTAAAGAATTGCTTGTATCAAACACGACAGAAAATGTCTGTGGTGGTGTACCTGTGTAGAGAAAAAAGATATTTAAGTTTAGCATAGGAATGGATTTCATTCCGCACACGTCTCTCTTTTGTTTTGAGGATGGAGGAGATTCTTACCAATCTTGATTTTGGCAATAGGCTATATCAGATACAAAATAGACGTTAGTTCTCAAGTATTGGATGAGTGAAGGTATGATAGCGTTGTGTATACATGTGGCGTTATAACACTTTACCAAGCCATTTTCAATGGTGATGGATTCTCGTTTGAGTGAACATCGTTTTTCGAGTTTGGCGGCTAATGTTGTTGTTGTTATTGTTGATGTGCATAATAATGTCAGAAAGAGACTGTGGAAATTAAAACGCATTTTTTTTGCTAAACGGCTACGACTGCTATAGTTGCTTTAAAAGATGCTATGTATCTAAACTCGTGTTTTTTCTTCTTTCTCTCTCTCTCTCTCTCTCTCTTTACAGTTAAAAGGGACGATAGGCTGACGTAGAGATAAACCCGTCAAAAAGGACAGTGTATTATAGAAAGTAAAAAAGAAAGAAAGAGAGAAAAAAAAAAAAAAAAAAAAAAAAAAAAAAAAAAAAAAGAAACTGAACTCTCGATTTTTATTCTTTTTTTTAAGGGGATACAGACATTGGGGGTGAATGTGTGTAACAGCCTTTTTAAAGGAAACGAAAGAGTCAAAAATAACCATCCATCTCTTCTTTCTTTTCTCTTGTGACTCCAGAACAACTGTGAACAAATGAATGTAACAACAAACCAACAAACAACAAGAACACCCTAGCACACCAAATGAGTAAAAGTGATACCCAAAAATAGAACTTTTTACATTTTCAGGCTTATCTGGGGCTTTATGAATTCTAATGAAATGTTGTCAATTCATCCTTCTATTCATTTATTTTTTATTCTGTTTGCTGCTTCTCGAGTTATCCGGGGTTTGGATCTCTTTTGTTTTTACTATTTTTTTTTTTTTTTTCCTTCTTTTTTTTTTTTTTTTAAAAAAAAAAAAAAGAAAAGATTGTGTATGTGTGCGTGGCGTGCCTGATGAAAGGCTGGTGGGGGGGGGAAATAACCCACACGTTTCCACTGATCAAGAAAACAGTGGCTCAACTCAATGGCTTAAAAATAGTGAATCTAACGCGTAGATGAAGAAGGCATTGGATAGACAGATAAAGAAACGAGACTTTCACCTGTTCACTGTGTTACTTTTTTAATAAAGCCAAGAGAAAGCCACATCGTTCAATAGAGAAAAAGAAAGAGAGAGTGTGCTTTCTGACAACAAAAAAGAAATCAGAAATACCTATAAATACATTTTTTGCAGTCTCGACTCAGCCCAACATCATCATCATCATCATCATCATCATTATCATCGTCCTTATAACTGTTCTTATTCCACTTGCCCACTCATGAAAAAAATGTATTCTCACTTTGTCAGTGCTACGTTGGATAAATGACTTATTAATGTATATGCTGTCTAATTCAGAATAAGGTGCATTGAATGCTTCAGGGGCAAATAAAAAAAAAGAGGGGTGGCCAGAACATTGGGTACAATAACATTGCGGCATAAAAATGAGATTGTTTACATTATATAAAGTAGCACACTATGGTCCCTTTAAAGTCGACTGGTGTGCTGTGTTGGTGACTGTTGTTGTTGTTGTAGTTTCTTTTTTGCCCGCTTGCTTTCTTTCTTTCTTCTCGCTTGATCCACAAAAGCTGCCACCGCTGCCTGAGAATCTGGAGACGCTAAACGTTCTGTCAACCTTGCCATTTCTTCTTTATTCACTTTCAATAACACATCACGGTCTGTATCGCGGATCAATTTCTTTGTGACGGCAATGGCTTCTGCTGAGAATTTGGCCGCGTCTTCAGCAATAGCAAGCACCCTTTCGCGGAATCCTTCAGAAGGAAGCGTACAACTGATAAAGCCACATTGGGAGAGTTCATCCGCAGTAAATACGCGCCCCATGAGCTGAAACAAAAAGGTAGAGGGTCGTTTTTTCTTGTGAGTTCTTTCTACGACTTTATGCTATCCCTCCTAAAGGGTTCACTTACCAGCATTTCGTTCGCTTTAGAACGGCCCATTATCTTTGGGAACAGATAAGAAGAGCAAGCTTCTGCACAGAAACCTAATTTCATAAAAGGTGTATGAAAGGTGGCTTCAGGCACAGCGTAAATGACATCACATAATGCCATAGACGTAACACCAAAACCAATCGCATTTCCTACAGATTTATACTTTAGCATTGGAGAGCGGGGGCAAGCATGTGAGTGCGCTTCTTTTTTTTTTTTGTTTTCACTGCTTTACCGTTGACAGCTGCAATCAAGAGTTTGGGAAAGTGAATCAATTCCTCCACTAAAGTTCTATAACAAACAACGTGAGGGGCAAGAGTCAATAACCCACTTTCTTTCAGTAGAACCTAGCCCGGGCTCTTTCAGTCACTTACGTTGCTACTTTTCTTTGTTCCATTACTTTCTCTTTCTCCTCTGGTTGTTCGTTCAAAACCAGTTCTTTACCAGAAGTGTAATAGTGTCCACGGCCTGTCAAAACAGCCACTTTCACTGCATCACAACGAGCAGCCCATTGAAGTGCTGTGAGCCAATCCTAACAAATGTAAAAGAACCAAAAGTTACACGATATGACTCTATAGAATCCCCCCGCGGCGGCTGCCAACGGCAGGCTATTGTGTTGGGTGCGCTTCTGAGTTTGACGTTACTTTGTACATATCAGGCGACAAAGCATTGTACTTTTGAGGTTTATTAAAAGCCAATTCTGCAACACCTGTTAGAGACACATTTATTTCGAAATTTTTCAACAGAGGAACGGATGTCGCCATTTTTTTTTTTTTTTTTTTTTTTTTCTTTTTCTCGGTGGTGATATAGAGAGAAAGTATGGTATCTGATCGATATTAGTTATTAGCAAGAATAGGATAGAGTATAAAATGTAAATAATTGATAAAAAAAAAAAAAAAAAAACAAACAAAAAGAAACAAAATGGATAATGAATGCCAAAAGCGAAAATATGTAAAGATCATCATTCTTTGTACCTGCATCTGTTGTGCATGAGAAGGGCTCAGTGACTGGATAAGGAAATTCCGCTGAGTCAGTCAGTTCCTTCTCAGGGTTTGGTAGGACGGGATCATCTCGTTTTCTTTTTCTTGCTCAAGCTCAAGCTCGACTTGTTTCTCTTGAGTTTTTTGGATAACTGCAAACTATGTACAATAGGATAGCTATTACTTCCATTACCGTATCCTTCTTCATTCTCTTCATCAGACAAAACAATCACGTCTTTTATGGCGTCGTAAGTCCTCTTTGCTTTTTCAGCGAGATCGAGTGGTTGAGAAGAAGAAGAAGAACAGTCGAGGAGTGAGCCTTCCATGAAAGAGCGGGTGGAGGATGAGATAGATGGCTGCGATTCCATAGAAACATCTGAGTGAAAGAACCTTGAGTTTATCGCTGTTGTGTCTTTTGTATCGCAGCTCTCCTTCAGCATCAGTGGTCTGTTTTCCTTTTTCATGGCAACCTCGGCTACAGATGGCACCGTGTCTTTCTTCTCTTTACCACTCTCTGTTGTTTTATCTTTTCGTTGAGCATGATCGTTCTTTCCATTATCCAGTTGTGCAGACAGACTGTCTGTTTGGTTTTTCTTCTTTGTTTGCGATGACCTGATGACTCTCTTTACTATCGGATCCGAATCCATTCTATCCTCCTCGTTCTTTAGCACAGCATTTCCAAGCTCGTCTTTGCCTTTATCTGAATGTGCATTCTCCGTCTTGATAGTACGATCGTCCGCCTCCATTCGAATCGAAAGTTCAATATCCTTCTTTGTTTTTGTAGGATTGATTTTTTGTCTATTGTTATCGTTGCTTGGATTCTCTTCCTGATGTGCTATCCTCTTTTTTAATAAAGGATTCCCTTTCTTTGGCGTTTGTGGTTGGCTGTCATCAAGGATGATGACATGCACTGTTTCTGCTGCGGAAGGCTCTACCTTACTCTCCTGTGCACTAGGGCGATGGAGGCTCGTTTGTGTCGATAGTAGTAGACTTGTAGAGCCATTTCTCTCCATGGTTGCTGTCGGCCGGCTTGTCCTGCTACGGTGGTTGCTTTCAGCACTGTCATTCTGGCTATTTTTACTGCGCTTCGATAAGGATAAGCACGACGACTGCTTTGACTTGTTCAGCATGGGCCCTTCGTTCATGTCATCCTCCGCTTTCCTATCCACATTGGCATCTTCCATAGGTTCCCTACGACGCAAGGCTTCTTTTTCATCCTGTGGATGCTGACTCTACCGAAGAAAAAAAAATAGAAAAGATAAACCTCTCAGTGAAGCTGCACATGGGGGGTAATAAAATCTGCTTTTTTATGTGGCCTTCTCTTTCCCATGTCTTCTTACCTCCACCTTTTCATCGACGACGACTGCTTCTGTTGCTGCTGCTTCTGCGTCGGTTGTCATTCTTTCGTTGGCATACTTTTCCGTGTACTCGATCGCCTTCTGCGTAAAGGTCGGGTAATCGAATTGATATTCTCTGGCTATATCAGCGTCCAACGGATCGTCAGGATTCGGATGAGCCAAAAGCTGACCCAACAACATCAATGTGGTGGATAGATTCAAAGCAGGCTTCCATCCTCCTTTGACGCCCTTTTTTAAAATATCGGCGCAAATTCGCCCGGCATCGTCAATGTTGGGATGGTAGATCTTGGTGACAAAGCGAATTTGGGGTGGATCAAAGGGATAGTTTTGCGGTATTTGGACGTCGAGTTTGAACCGTCCGTTTTCGTACGGTGAATCGGGTGGTCCTTTGATATCTGTTTCTAACATTTTAACCAACTGGCCTAAAGCATCCAACATCCATGGGCAAGACTACAACATCAGACTTACAAGCTTCCATATCGGTCAGGTTGTCTTCTTTTGGGTAACAACTTATTCCCGGTGGTGGATCTCTGTCCAGATGAACTGACAAAGCAGTTCAAGCGTGTTGACATTAGCTACGTTCACCAAGGCGCAAGATGTTTTCACTGTTTGCCAACTTACTCAACTCTTTGCGTAATCTGTTGGTCAAGATTTCACTATTCATCGTTTACGATCGGTAACTACATGAGGGGTGAAACGAAAGATTCGCAGTTCAAAGGAAAAGGGGGGGGGGGCGAAATGTAGGCACGACATTTCATGGCACGATTTTCACGAAATTCTTTTTTTTCGCGACAGCTGCCGAATCAAAAAAAAAATGAACGGGCTTTTTTTTTATTCTTTCATTAGGTAGATGGATATAATATGCATAAATTGGAAAAAGACGATCAAGACAAATCATCGATGCGTGCGCGTTCTAAATAGAATAGAAAACAAAAAGAGAACAATGTGTATGGAGAGAGTGGAGCGTGTTGCTAGACTCTGGCTAAAGTCCAACCTCCCTTCATGATACGTAGCACACCAGCGAGCAATGCACCAAGAACAATCGTGCTACCTGCCCAAAGGGCACCATTCACGTAATTGGGTGGTTTTGTAAGATTGATGAGAACGGAAGCGATAGGTGTACCAAACAAATAGCCAAAGATATTCGTGGCATATAATAAACCAATGGCAGGACCAATATGCTCTAGACCGACAATTTGAGGTTGAACGGTGGGGAATAAAGCAATATAGCCGCCTCCACAGAAACCATACAAGACAGCAAAGGCCCAAAGAGAAGCTGCATTGTGCACATTGACCCAAACTGCAAAACACATGATGCCGGCGAGGAACGTACAGATGAACAAACTGTTGAAGCGACCCAAGCGATCCCCCATGTGTCCTGTAAACACTCTTGCGACTGCATTAATAGCTGACATGATGGCGGATAAATTGGCACCAATCCAAGGATTCAAACCAAGCGCGTTCGCATGGGAAGGCAACAAGAAGAAAGGTGTCTGACAATGGGGGGAGGGTGGAGAGGATGAAAGGGGGGGTGAGGTTAAAAAAAGACTGTATCAAAAAATAAATAAACAAAAAGACGAGACTCACCATGTAACCAAACGTAGTAATCACACCGTGCGCAAACAATACACTAAACATAGGGTTCTTGAAAAGATACCAATTGAAAAGCTTTCTTCCACCGCCCGTCTTCACTACATCACCAAAGGGTCGGACTACAAACGAAGCAAAGACCAAGAAGACAAACACGATAATGCCGACAATACGAAGAGCCCATCGGTAGCCAAGTGAACGGATCAAAGCAATACTGATGTTGTTGATCACAAGCCCACCAATACCAGAACCTGACATGGCTAAACCAATCGCCAAACCTCTTCGTTCTGAAAACCATTGTTGCGGAGCACCAATACACGGTAGACTGACAAAAGAGGCACCCAGACCAAACATGACACCTTGCGTAAGAATAATTTGCCACACTTGATGAGCAAAACTGGCAAGAATCAACGCGGCTGTGCACAGAACTGTCCCCGTCAACAACATGTATCTATAGCCCATCTTTTCAATGATGGTTTGATTGATAGGGCCTGTGATGAAGAACAGGGCAACACAGATGGAACCCACCCACGACAGTTGACTCATTTGACCCACATAGACTTTGGTGGCATAGTGATTCAAAAATGTGCCCCAACTGTAATTGTAACCAAAGCTACAAACAACATGGATGAACAAGGTGAGTAAAAAGATTATCTTAATACATTAAAAAAAAAATGCTTACATTGCAAATAAACCCTATTTTTGGTGTACCAAAAGAAAAAAAAATTGATTTTTAAATGTCAGACACAGGAAATCAAAATTTTTGCCTTTTTCATCTCTCAAGTTGACATTTTACAGTGAAGCAACCAACGACGACCCACCAACCCCTTCCACCATCAGGAGGTGTAATATAAGCTTCATCGGAAGCAAATGACTTCTTTTCGGCATCTGATAGTGATTCTTCTCCTCGGGTAGCTGTATAGTGGGAAGAGTCTTTATCAGAGCCTAGCACAATGGATGTCATTATAATGAAACCAAGGGATGAGTAAAGGAAAGAGACAAAAAAAAAAGTGGAGGGAACTAGTTCCAAAGAAACTAAAACGGGATTCTTGGTAGAGAAAAAGACGTAGTAAATAAATGTATAGAAAAGTGAATGAACAGAAAAAGAATCCAAAAAGAAGAAGCTACAAGATTGGCTTTTGCCCCACTTTCAAGCTTTTTATACCAGCACCACAGTTGTAAAAAAAGGGAAGAAAAAAAAAAGGAAGGTGACTCTATCCGTGAAATTCTGTTGGCTTGAAAAAGAGATGGTTTCACCCTTTCCGCTGATCCCAAAATTTTAAACTGACAAACCAGGTCTTCAGCCTGACTCACACTAATCGAATGAAGCGTTTTCTGGAGAAAAAATAACCTGAAATACAGTGTTTTAGCTTCAACTTTATACTTTATACAAATTTTATTGGACAATATATATATTTAATTTAGATAATTTTGAATTACTTTAGAATGAAATGGTATAATATTCTTGGACGATTTATTGAATAAATAATTGGAGACATTATTCTGAAGGTCAGTGGACATTTTTCAATGGATGGTGGCATTACGTTAAAGTACTACGAGACTTATTGAGTATTTTAGTGTGACACAGGTCTTATGAGCAATAGATACAGGGTTGTGGTTTACGAGACTTTATTTATGGACCATATGAATTGAACTACGCGTTAAACTAATCCCAGACACGTTCTTCCGCCACGTAGATAACGGTCGTTGTTGTCAATCGTAATAGAAAATAGATGTTGTCAAACTCAAAGCATTTACAGAAAATAAGTTTGACATCTTTCCTTTGATTTCCATCTTTTTCTTCTTTCATACTTTCTTTCCTCATCCTGATAGCTACTACTCACCATGTACAAAGCCAAAATCTTGCAAAAAATCAAATCGGTGGCAGAAGCCCATAAGAAGAAAGTCAAAGATGAGTCCTTCCGTAAGTAACACATGAGCGCGCTGCCACAAATAGGTTATAGTGGTAATCCTCAATTCATGTTTCGTATGACTAGTAAGCATCGAGTGCAAGGATTGCAAAACACGCGGACATTTCAACAAGGCATACCATGAATGCAAGTTTTACAAAGCAGTTTCTGCGCGTGATGGTAAGTATCATGCTCTCACTGCAAGACAAGTTTATGTTTGCTTAACGGAAATTTAGTTGGAAGTAGCGGCAAGAAACGTAAGCAATCAGCTACAATCAAGGAAGAAAAGAAGCAAGCAAAGAGAAAGAAGAAGCAAACAACTGGAGATGTCAAGTGTATCAGTTGTGGCTTAAAGGGTCATTCTACTTCTCGTTCTCTCGAATGTCCCAATCACATAGCTTCAAAGGAAGAAGTTATCAACTCGACGCTTGGAGAAGGCTCCACTGTATTCACGAGGAAGCTCCCTCTTACGTCTGCTGTGAAGCCTGCGTTTCGCGAACAATTCCAAGAAAAAGTCATCTCTTGCTGCTCTGACATAAGGAGAATAGTATTCTCTAGTCAATTATTCGTTAACTCGTACCTCATTCATTATCAGGAGAATAGAAGGAATGCTAACAAAGGCGACAAGAAAGACACTGATAAAAACAGCAACAAAGGCAGTAAAGAAGCCAACAAAGAAGACAGCAAGAAAGACAGTAAAGAAGCCAACAAAGACAGGTCTATTCCTGATGTATTCTGCCAGCAATTCTGGTATTCAGTAGGTCAGCTAGTGACGGGCAAGCAAGTTACTCACAGAACGGCATTATCCGAGGACATAAAGCAGTATTATACAGACTTCAAGGCAAAGTTCCCTACTATCGAAGTAAACCACAAGCTGACCGTGGGATATAGCCAATGCCTTACAGAGGCAGCAAAGGAATTGAGCGTCTCTTACACGAACTCCATTGTAGAGCGCTTCGAGCAGCGCTTAAAAAAGTTCCTTACTTACAAACTGAGAACTATGCTCCCGGTAAGGCTGTAACCGAGTACCTTCTTAATGCTCTGCTGTTTTATTCATTTTATTTCTCTTTATACACATTCTAGAATATCAAACGCACTGATGTACAAAGAATTGTACAGCTGTATTGTTACCAATCTGTCTGCCATGGTCATCCTCATTGGCCAGAAAACCTCGAGCTGGCGGCCGTTGACAAAAACCGAATTGAAGTACTCTGCAAACAATTTGAAGAGTTCATTCCAGGAGAAGTAACCCTCGTTTCTCTTTCTGCTGCTCCTGCAAAGTTTGTTAATGCGTTATGGAACATACAGTTTGCGTACGAGCAAGAACATATACAGCATAAGCCGTACGATGTCCGTGTCCTACCACTTCCTCAGCGTTTCTTTCCCTTTCCTATTCCATCGCTGAAATGGCGTTTCATCGCGATAAGTATAAACGCTCTTACACCCTTCATGTTTCCCGGAAAAGTTGCCAAGGGTTATACAGCCCAACTCGAACAATTCTGTAAAGTCTTTGACTTCAAAAAGTTTGGCTTTAAGAGGTAAAACTATAGAAGAACTTCTTCAGCAAAATTATCCCTAATAGTAAACACACCCCTATTTTTGCTTCTGTCATAGTCTAACCGCTTTGAAAAAAAGTTCTGATGTAATGTTTCGAAACATGGTTAGGTCGGACGGTTTTACTGTAGACTTTTTGTTCAGCCGCAAAAAGAAAATAAAAGAAGACATGACCATTCATAATCACACCTTGACTTTGGAAGATTTTTCTTATGACGAAGTACAAGACAATTACAGACCCGCTTTCCTTGATCCAGGGCGAAGATCTGTCTTCACAGCGCCAATCAGACTAGACCGTAACAAACATCAAGTACGCAGCTGCTCTACCAAGGAATATTATCATATGACCGGAAGTACCAGATACGCTGCAAAGCTGGAAAAGAAGAAAGCAGGCACACTTAAAATGATCGAAAGTGGCATACCAACCGCCAAAACTTCTATCATCGAACAACATGATCGTCATGTACAATATATATTGCAGCACTTCGAAGCCTTGTCTTCTTTTTACGACGAGAGAACTGCTGAAGACAGATTTCGTTTATACCAGGGTAAAGAGCGTGCTGCCAACAACATGGTCAATTTGCTTATTAATGGAACCACAAAGTACAATAAGCAATTGAGGTTGAAGAAGAAGAAAGATCGAAGCAAGTGGCCAAAGAAGAATACCGACAGAATGGCCTTTTGTAAACGTAAAAAGAAGAAGAAGAAGAAGCAAAAGGTTCCAGAAGAGAGGGAAAAAGCAGATGCGAGAGAAGTAAGCGATGTTCTCGCTAAGAAAGATAGGTAAGGTTTTTAAATGATAAGCAATTCATCCACTATTCGCAGAAATATTGATAGAACTCATGCTTTCTACAGCAATTCCCTGAAGAGCAAGTGGAAGCCTGAACCCTTTAGTGTAGGCGACACTAAAAAGATCCCTTTAATTGTAGTTGGTAATGGCATGTTCGGGAAGAGTGCAGTGCCCATCAAAGGCCATAAGACTGGTGTCGTGGGAGTTCTTTGGCGTGCCTTGAAGCGAAGAGAGGCTGCTGGCGATTTACTGACGATAACAATTGATGAATACAAAACCTCTCGAATATGCAATAATTGTCATTCCAACAATCTTGAAGCATTGAAGACAGTTCCCGGCCAAAGTATCCTTGCCTGCAAAACCTGTTCGATACTTTGGAACCGGGACGTCAACGCTGCTAAAAACATGTTGACAATTAGCGTTTCGATCTGGAAGTCAACGGGAAGACCTGCGGAGTTTTCTAGAAAACCAAAATCACCCGCAACAACCACTTAAACACCATCCTCTCATCGCCAGCACGAAGCTGGTTTGATTTTTACAGGTAAGCGTCTCAATTTTTGTGTAGCTCAATCTTGAAATTATAACTTGATGGTCTCAAAAATTTACTTTTTTCGTCTAGTTATATTGCGGCTTCGTCTAAACCCAAAGCTAAAAAACTGTAGTCAAGTTGTGAAAAAAAAAAAAAGAGAATCCTAATCAAGTTAAAGCGCAAAAGAAAAGTTACCAATACAAATATTCCAACTTTATACTACTGAAAATCTGCAGATCGATAAAAGGGACCCGAATTTTGCAATTTTCTGTGTCTCATTTTAAGGTTATTCTATTGATTGTTCTGATAGCTTTGATCGCCCATATATTGCAATGGATGACTATATTTCACAATTGATTTGTCATAAATGCTTTACTTTCTCTTGTCCGTAACATAATGACACTCTTTCTCTCATCGCAACAGACTTGTCTTATTCAGACGTTTCTATAGAAGAAACCCCACGAGTATGGCAGCGTATGAACAGTGGATGGGTATCCCACCCATTGTCGGTAGCATCGAAAATTTAAATGGCAGACCTTGGCTATCTTTTCCGTTCCAACGCGTTTCATGTTATTAGGCATTTTAGTGTATGCGTCGTCTATTGATTGAGTTTGAATGGAGTTAGGTTTTGCCTCGCTCAAGCAAACTTTGCTATGGACATTCGGTCTAGAAAAGCATTACACGTGAGTCAGTCAGTCATTGTGTTCTGTGCCAAAAGTATCAAGAATTTGCCAATGTTATGCCACTTGCATGAGAAAAAAAAAAACCTCCGCCCATCACAAAAAGTGAGAAACCTCAAAGCTCGTAATAGTGCTTCACATGGACTACCACTACCGTTATGCACAGAGAGCTTTATCAATGTTTTAAACACACTCTTTTAAATTTTCAACCCACACATCATCGCGTGAGGCCAACATTTCAATCGAGAACAGATATTCGCGATTTGGAATAGTAGAAAAGGACGTCTTGAAAAAAAAAAACGAATAGAAATCTTATATACCAGCCACATCATCCAAAAAGATGCTTTGTAGAGTCATATGAAAGAAATCTTCAAGCCCAACTCGCAATCTACGACAGCAGTGTGTAGCTATCGGTGCAATCTTGTTGCTATTGAATTGTAAAGGCAATTCGGCCGTTGCTTACAATAGAACACAGATGCTTTCACGTTGTCATACAGATGACAGGCAGAATGGCCCAGTTGCCCAAGCATGAGAGCAGTAAGACCTATTTGTAAGCTACTAATTCACAATGAAAATAGCATCATCCCATAAAAAAAGGCTAAATAGGAACCTGCTATTAACTAGGTTCATCACTGAATTCCGCTATTTTAATGGTATTGCTCCTATGGATACAGTATGCCATCCCACCACCCTTTGCACCCTTCCCCTAGACTTTATCATTTTTTTGTTTGTTTTTTTTCTTGCAATTTCTTTATCTGATCTTATATTGGCCATAGTAGCATCCAGTATGATTGTCATTTACTGGATGGGACAATTTGTTTTTCTGGGGCATTCCCGATGAAAAAGAAAAATCCCGATTTGAACAAACGAATATGGAAAGTTGAACTTTTTTCGGATTGAGCGTCGCTTTTTTTTTCTCTTTTTTTTTTTTTTTTTTTTTCGTTATTCCCTTACGTTCCTCCACCTTTACTTCCACGCAATGACCACCTCTAAATATGAAGAATCAATAAAAGAACTTTCATCGCAAGACGACACAAAAAAGCTGAAAGCACTGCGTTTTATAAAAAATTCAGTTATCGGAAATCGAACCAAAAAAGAGTTGTATATTAAACTTGGGGTTGTTCAGAGGTGGAGTTCGCTGCATAATTAACCCTCATGAGGCGATCCTACAGCTAAACATTTTAAGAATTATATTCATTTGCATAGACTGGTTGAATACCTTTCACTGCCAAACAATAGTTCATCCTACGTTCTGAAAATTCAGGCTGCTACTATTCTTGGAAGTATTGCATATGGTAAGTAGGGCATAAACAAATAGGAAGCGCCAAAATACGGTGAACTTTATGCAGGCATTTTTTGTTTGCTTTTTCAACATGTAGGAAAAGATGAAAATGTGTCAGCTGTCATAGCCTCTGGTGCAGTGGTTCCATTGCTAAACACACTGGAATTACCGCACAACAAACCTCCTTTTGAGGCCATCAAAGAGAAACTAAAGTTAATAGAGGCATCCACTCGAGCATTGAAAGCAATATTTTCCAGCTCTCCATGTGTGACGTACAATGCATATTCTGTAAGCAAATCAAACGGTTGAAAAACTTCAGATGCCAAAGTGCATTGACATTGGCTGTTTTGTGTATGTATATATAATTTTGGAACAAATGATAGAGTCAACACGTAGAAACCCTCGTTACGCTTTTAGAAGTGAGCTCCAATGCGTTGATGCGGGAAACAGAAGGCAACGTGTCATCGGAGAGATTAGCGTTCGCTATGATTGCCGAGTTTACAGCAGCCATTATAGATAAATGCTCCGGTCATCAAATTCAGCAGAGCCACTTATATAAAGCAGGCGCTATACAACCGCTTGTCAACCTTTTGCATTCCGGATGTATTAAAGCGCAAGAGGCCGCTTTGTCTGCTATCGGCACACTATGCCAAGAAAATAAAGAGTTAGCAGAAGCTGTCATTCATTCAAAACGTAAGGGGAGACGGAGAAAAAAAAAAAAAAAAAAAAAAAAAAAAAGAACGCCTGATGATGGTCCTGAGAATAATCATGATCTCTCCAATTGTTTGTAGCTGCCAACTCTAGACAATCCACTATTGCTACTATGCTTGATTTTGTTAGGGATAAAGATCCCAACATGCGACTCACAGCGGCCACTTGGTAAATTGAGCGAGTCCTTTTACGTCGTGAATTCATTTGCTCACTCCCACACTCCCCACACTCACTCACTCACTCTCTCTCACTCCACTCTCTCTTGGCATTGCTAGTTTAACAAACTTATATCGTACAGGCGTATTTTCAGAACCTTTCAGCGAGGTTATTTTGGTTGTTTTACCAGCACTTGTGAAACTATTGCAGGATACAACAGGCGATATACAAGAAAGAGCACCTCTTGTACTTGGAGATTTAATCAAGGATAGCGAGGAAATGCAAAAAGCAGCCTACGACGCCGATGCTATTCCTCGTTTAGCCGAGTTATTGAACAGTGTGTGTTCAAAAGAGGCTGATGAAGAGGAGCCAAAGCAGCAGCTAGGTGTGCCCGGTGAAGGCAGCGTAGCACGTAGGAAGGAAAAAATCAAAGAGAATGCATTGACAGCCATTGGAGCAGCTACGCTAGCAAAGGAGGAGTGCCGCACGCAAGCTATTGAAGCCAAAGTGCTTCCTCATATGATCTCTGGTTTAACCAGCAAACACCCCAAGACACGTTTAGCCGCTTGTCAAGTGGCTAGATCATTATCAAGAAGTGTGAGTCATCTAAGGACAAGCCTAGTGGATGCTGGAATTGCACCTCCTCTCATCAAAGTAAGTGTAGTGGCATCCACTCAATTTTTTTTTCCTTAAATATCAGGCGAGAACTGCAAACTGAAGGGGTGGCATATTATATCCATTGTACTTGGTCAATAGTTGCTTTACGATGAAAATATTGGTGTACAAACGGCCGCTTGTTCAGCATTATGTAACCTTGTTATAGAATTCTCACCCATGAAGAAGAGTGTCATTGAAGCAGGCGCTATTAACCGTTTTGTAGAATTTGCTCGTGGATCAGATTTGCAACTTCAACTGAATGCCGTATGGTCGCTGCAAAATTTATTGTACAAAGCCGATTTGCAGGCAAAGAAGGCAGTCATGGATATACTGACATTTGATACCTTATTGGACTTGACGCGTCGGCCCAATTTCAACATTCAAGAACAAGTATTAGAAATTGTGCGGAATCTTGCCTTTGGCGGTCAAGAAGATACAGATTGGTTGCTTGAAAATATGGGAGAAGATACAATTTTGGATCTTGTAGAAAGTAAACTACAAATTGTCTCCTATATGGATGTAGATGACGGTGAGGAGGATCTTAAGCTCCGAACAGTAAGCGACGCGACTCGATTCAGTCCTGTGCTCTATCCGGAGGACACAGATAATCTAACATTTACCTTTTGTTAGGCAACCATGATAGCAGCGCTTTACATTATTATTAATCTGTCGAGTAATAGCGAAGGTCCAAAAATGGCCTTTATGAGTCGCCCAACGATTGTACATTGCGTCATATCTAACTTGGTATGTACAGCTGATTTTTGTAGAAAAAACATTCTCACTTGAAAATCTGCCGCTAACTTGATCCCTTTGTTCTTTGAACAAAAAAGCAACATGAGGATCCCAGAGTTAGACTGGGTGCTTGTTGGGTTCTGATTAATTGGACCTTCCATAATGCGGAGGAATCAGATTCTTCGAAGCTTATTCAGCGCTGTATTAATTTAAGAGAGTTAGGGGCTGAGGAAAAACTGGAAGAGCTTGCGAGTGATTCTGATCGCGACGTGCGAGATAGATCGAATATAGCCTTAAATCAACTACAAGCTGTATTCGCCAGCATTGCAGAAACTTAAACAATAAGCAAGCTACCTTGAACTGTCTTTACCTGGTTCTTACACACACAACATGTCCAAATCGCTCTTTAAAAAATCATTACAAATTCCCCGCATATACATATACACAGGGCTTACGGAAGCTGGTAATCCCTTTCAAAATAATACTTAAAATCGCAATAGAATAATCTCTTTTGCCTGGTATCCAATGAGCTTTATATATTTTGTTTGGTAAAAAAAAGAAAACTCAGCAGTTCTTACTTATGTGTATGTATCGTGCTTTGATATGAATTTTCCAATTTCTATTCATTTATGCGGTTTAAAGGGGGCGGGAAGGACGAGACTCTGTCAGAAATCTTCAATCTTCTGTCTTACAGTGGATGCGTACTTACATCAATTGTCTGTTCAAGCCGAGCAAACGCTGTTATCTGCCTTTGCATTCAAAATAAGTGCCACAATCAATCCGTAAAGGCCAAGTACTTCGGCAAAAATCAAGATCAAAACCATCGTGACGAATAAACGGGATTCTCTGACATATCCACGAACACACTGATCAATTGTAGAGTGTTAGTTTTTTGCTCAGTAAAAGGAGAATATCAATTTCGTCAGAAACTTACATAGTCGCCAACAATACCGATAGCATAACCAGCTGCCAAACCGCCCATACCGACAGATAGACCCGCAGCTAAGGCGATAAAACCACTATGAACGTGTTGTAAAGCATCTTAGTATATATTCCTTCTTGTTAAAGTTGCTATATTGACAACATACGAGTATAATGAATAACCAGTGGTAGGTGATACTATTGTAAAATGCAAAAATGAGCGTGAATTCAGTAGGAAACAAACGATTTACAGGGCAGTTGAAACTTACGTTGACCGGCCAACAGCACTGCAACAACTAAACCATAAACAGCAATAATACCACTCATAACAACAGGGATCAAAGACTGAAGATAAGAGTTAGTATATTAGAGTTGGAGATATTCATTGCTACTTTCTGTACCTTCATAACTAATTCAGGCTTGAACGAACCGATACCAGCAATACCGATGCCGGCTTTCGATGTACCATAAGCAGCGCCGATTGCTGTCAGTATTGTAAAGATATTTTAGTGAAATGAATGACTTGACAGTTCCAAAGTTAATGTTATTGGCGAATATACTTACTGCTGAATGCCATCTAAACATGAAACAGTAAGAAGTGTCAATCAACTACAAAAAGCATTTCCAAGTGATAACGTTCAGGTTGTTCTTTTTTTTATATAAGCATACTTTACAGCACAGAAAACACCAGCAAACCCAAAAAACGGTGCATAATTTGGACAAAAGACTTCAGCTTCAGACATTGAAACGAGTTGATTAAGGGAGTAAAGCGAGTGAATTTGAAAGAGAAAATATGCCGTTCTTCACAGCTTTTTCCTTTGTACGTCGGAGGAGGAAAGACCTTAAATGTATCAAATTATAAATGCCAGAGGTTCAGCAGAAGGCTGCAAGATGGACATCATTCTCGACGTCTATGTATCAGCTTCTATTAGTGCCGCGTTTCTTTGAACATACAAGAAACAAGTGATAAGTGCTTTCATTATACTAGAATAGTCGTAGAGTCCAACCCTATTATTGATATTAACGATTCGGTATTTGTTTTAGCTTTATTCATTCATTCTGTGACCTTGTTGATGTTAGCGGTCTGAGACTTTTTTTTTTTTCCTTTTTTTTTTTTCATCCCTAAAAGCCCATTTATAAAAAACTGGCGTTTTTACGCATTCAAGTCTTCTTTTCTCGTTCTTTCGGTTCTTAGTACCGTAAATAGAGATATGAATATTATCACGCTACTGGTCTCAAAAGTGACCGGTGTACCTGAGCCCAGTATACGACTGTTTTTGACGCTTTTACTAGCTTATCCCATTGGTTACATATACCATCAAAAATACAATATACAAAAACCTGATGCAAGCCGATATGTTCGTAACGAGTTTATTGTCAAGACAGGTCTTGTACTTTCTTTTTTTTTCAACGGTGCCAGTATGATGCATTCTACAATAACGATATTGATCAGCTATTTTTTGTGTCATGTTGGCGATGAAATTTATCACAACAGGCGTATCGGCACGCTTTTGGTATGGACGTTTAACTTGTCATACCTACTGTTGGGCTATTACTTTACGGCTTCAAATGATTACGACATTAATTGGACAACATCCCAATGCGTTTTATGTCTCCGTTTAATGGGATTCAGTATGGATTATATGGATGGATTGGCAGACAACGGCGAAGTTGCAAAAACACAAGCAGCCAAAGCATCTACAGCAACAGAACAGACATTGACCGGCCCTCATTCGTTTGCATCAGATAGCCCTCTAAAAGAACTCCCAGACATAAGAGAGTTTATGGGATACTGTTATTTACCTCCTGCCTTTCTTATCGGTCCACAATTTTCATTTTCACTGTATCAACGGTTTTTAAATGGACCGTATAATGGAACAAAGCCAGCAAACAAAGGTCTTGTGGAAAAAGCTCAGATGACTTACACTGCTCGCTGCTTAGTATTGGGGTTGATTTATATTGTTTTTCTTCAAGTAATGGGAGCTATTTATCCTAGCTCTTATCTACTTACTTCTGACTATGCATCCAGATCGTTTTTAGCGAGAAATATTATCTATTATCTCTGCGGTAAGCAAGTGATTGTCAAATATATTGGTGTTTGGTTGATAACAGAAGGTAACATATGAAAAAAGAAAAAAAAAATTATACATGAGATATATGAATTATACTGAAATATGTATTGTGTTCACGTTTGAATAGGCGCATGTACTCTTTTCGGTATCAATTATCAAGGATACAATGCGAAAGGAGAACCTGACTTCCGAGGCTTAGCCAACTGTAACCCATTTGAACTGGAGACAATGACCACCTTTGACCGTTTTATTTCTGATTTCAATATTAACACGAATTTGTGGGTAAAGCAATATGTGTTCAAACGCTTACGTTTCCTGGGTAATAAAATGCTTTCACAGTTGGGTGCCCTTTTCTTCTTGGCAGTATGGCATGGTTTCCACTTCAATTATTTTGATACCTTCTTCTTGGAATTCCTTTACACGGCGGATGAACGCATCTTACGAGCAGTGCTCTACAATCCTGTCGTCAAGCCGTTGATGGAACGTAACTATTTGGTCTACAGGATCTGGAAAGTGTTAGCGTGGATAACAGCAACATCGTCTTTATTTTATGCAGCAGTTGGCTTTGATCTTTTGTCCTTGCAGAAAATGGTTGTGGCTCGAAAAAATGTTTACTGGTACGGGCATATGTTCGTTCTAGCGATATTTGCCCTTGGGTTCATTCTAAACAAAACAAAGCATACTAGAAGAATGAACAGAATGGCAAATAGCGCTAACAAAGCTCCTGGAAAGACTGATTGAAAATACTATGATGATAATTCTTATTCTATGGTGTTAGGTCTCAATGCTGTTATACTTACACCGTAGACGCATTTCCATAACAATACTCCCAATTATATAAATGGCAATCTCCTTTCTTTGTCTCTATAATATACGCAATATGTAGTTTATTGACAATTTATTCCCAATTATACAAAAAAGTTATCTGAAAAGTATATGATTAACTATTTAATTTGAAGTAAGGAACAAAGGTTGTTTATGTGATAGCGTAATATGACCTTCGTATAACAATTGAAAAACTTACGATTGTTTACACTCGGGAGCATTTTCACCTTTGGTAGGCTAGATAAACGTAGACAAGTAAGAATTAATGTACTGTTCACCAAGCTTTTATTTCTTTTATAACTTACGGCAGCATCAGTATCATCATCATCATCATCTTCATCGTCTTCGTCTTCCTCATCTTCATCATCATCTTCATCTTCGTAGTAGTCATCCTATTCAAATGGATAAGAACCAAATTCTCGACTGAACTTGCTATCTTGAGTAATAATACTTACATAATCCTCCTCATCATAGTTTTCGTATTGCAAAGCCTTGCCAGTGAAGTAGTCAACAGCATGAGGAATAATCTTGTCTTTGAACTCTTCACCCATCTCGTAATCAGCTTCAAGTTTAGCATCCAAACCTTCGGCCTCTTCTTCGTCAATCTCTTCGTTTTCATCAGGAATTACAGGTGGGCTGAAGAAATAAAAGAAGGAATTTGAGGGAACAGTACGCTTCACGACACGAGTTTTATTGGTGCCCTTATGACGTTGCTTTCTAGTTTCAACTGTCACTGTCAGGTCTTTGCCTTCCTTCCAATCGATAGTGCAACCTTCAGCGTGGTCGTAAACAAAATCGCCACCATAAGCGTGGTCTTGATAATAATAAGTCTTCGTCAATACCTTATTTGTAAAATAGTCATTGTCCTTGAATTCGAAACCAAGTTTGAAGCCGGGTTGATCCATGTACGATATACGCACATCAACTAAATGCTTCAAGGCACCTTCATCTTCCTCGGTAATAGTTTCGCAAATTTGAGGATGATTCTTCAAAAGGGTCAACCAGAATTCAGGAATGCCCTCAATGTTCTTATCATCGACTTCCGAGTCTTCGTTATCGTCATTATTATCTTTATCTGCTGTGGTCTCATTGTCCTCATCTTCTTCTTGGTCTACCTTTTCGCCGGCAGCCACTTCCTCGTCTGTAGGCTCGTAAGCCCCACTAATCACTTTAGCACGTTGATCATATAAAGGCTGGTACAACTGCAAATATTTCTTTTCTAAGGCTAAAACCTCTTCTTGAAACTTATTTTCAAGTTCGGCATGCTTGGATTGAAGGTATTTGAGGCCATTAAGACGACGCTTAACGGAAGGTGGCAATGAATCAATATATCCAGAGGGACGGCCTACTAGAGTACCTAGCTTTCCTTGAAGCATACTCAAAAGGGCTGGGTTTCCTGTAAAAGCACCAGCAAGATTAGAAGCAGCAGTGTTATCGGCTAAAAAGTGTTCGTTTATGTGTTATTGTTCAGTTCAACTCGCATAACAAAATCAGAAACCAAGATCAATAAAAGTGAAGTGATTCTTTACCATTACTGCTTTCTGCGTCTTCTGAAATTGAAGAAATAGTAGGACGGTAACTAGACGTGATAGGAGCAGGATTGATGGGTGTATTTTGAGGTGTGGGAGCTGTGAGACTTCCTGATTTGTTCTTGATGTCCACACCAGTGGCTATAATAAAAGCGATATATGGCAGAGTCAATAGATGTAGATTTTAACATTACACTTCAGTTTTTTTCCAAGATTACTTTTTTGCTGCGATTCCATGATTAAATGTCTGAATAAATAAGTGAAGGGAAGAGAAGGAAAACCTTGAAAGAATTTAGGGTAGGGAAAAAAGTGTGTGCTTCACAGAGAAAAAAGAGAAAAAAAAAAAAAAACTGTGCCCAATAACAATTCTCAGAATTTTGTTAGATAAACAGTGGGACGTGTCAGCTCCAGTCTACAGTTTCGCTTTCCGTGTTGACCAATGGAACCATTTTGTCCCAAACAAAACGTTTCCAGAAATAGATCGCCGCAGATAGAAAAGAATCATGTTTAGGTATATTCGAGTTAGTATCGGCCAAGGTTATGTTCCTATTGTATTGACACCCTCCTTATTTTGACTGCAGCTTTTGCGAAATATCATTGATAATGCTGTAGTTTGATTATGTTAGAAACAAGCTTGTTCGCATCAAAGCAGTTTAACAACGATCCAGTATTTTGAAGTATATATGAACGACAAATGGAACTGAATTTTTTGGTAACATATTTCACCAAATAATATGCCAAGTTGAAAGTTAAAGAAGCACACATGTATAGCGCTTTGACAATGTTAAAAAAGTATAATTTCATCCATGATTCGGTAGTAGCTGTTCGGAGGTAAGAAATAAACTGCTGCTATAAGCACACTGTCAGTAAACTTCCGTTCCTGCACTGGTGAATTACGAGGTTATTGAGTATTAAGTCAAAGTATGGCGATACTTGGCTTTAATAAGTCTGCATTATGTATTGATTAATGATATAATGTATGAAGATGATTTGACGATAAAACAGATAGCCTTTTTTATCTTCACCAGGCTTAACCTATTCCTCTCTCTCTTTCCGTTATACTTGTCGTTCGTGTCAATGTTTTTTTAGCACTACTCCAGCAATACATTTGATAACAATAAAAAGTCTGCTAAAGCGGGCTATCCCAAAAATATATGCAAATAAGCAAGGCATGCCGAGCCCAAGGTCTTAATGCGTTCGCTATAGAGAGCTCGTATTGAATAAATATACATTACAACTTTTGAGGACACCAGTCATCACTAATTATATTAATGTTTTGACTTTACCTCCACTGCTAGTCGATTCAGCAGAAGACGGAGTGCATTGAGAAGTACAACCGTGCTATGATAGGAGTTTATGTACAGTCGTTAAAGATTGATAGTTCAGCGTTCAGTTTCATCCCAAATACATCATACACGGTAGATGAATAAAGTCAACTATCTGTGCATCTCCGAAGCCTGAAGCGTATAAGATTATTTGATGCAATAGGTCCCGCTTATCTTCAGAAACTTTTGGAATTGTCAAAGGCAGGTAGAATATTATCGTATCTTTCAATTGAGCAAGTCGAATCGTCACCTATTCTAAAGAATTGGTACTTTGGTAGTAAAAGTATTTCTATGTGGAGGAGGGCATGTATTTAGTATGAATCATAATGCTCATGCGTCATTGAACCGAAATTATAGCGAACAATAGCATGTTTACGGCTAACACATGTTCAAGTGGCGTGGTTTTGCCTTGCTTCAGTTCTCTGAACAGTTATTTATCTCATTTCAAATATTTCAAGTATTTAAGAAAGGTTGTTATTGATGGCAATGATGATGTAGGACGCTTTGTGTAGGTGTAAGAAGATGGTATAGTCGTTGTTCCGTGGATGTTATTGTTACTGTATGTACTCTCAGTGTAGAGGAATAGTTCTACTGTTGCTCTTGGCCAAGAGACCAATTTTGAGGAGCTAATTGATCAATAATGGGCAAGACAATTTTTGGTAAGCGTACGGACGCTTCAAATATTCAACAGCTACATCAGTTGAAAAGTAGAGGCCACTGCTATAAAACCAGTTCAAAAGTAGAGGCCACTCACATAAATCAGTTCAAAAGTAGAGACCACTGCTATAAAATCAGTTCAAAAGTAGAGGCCACTGCTATAAAATCAGTTCAAAAGTAGAGGCTACTCACATAAAATCAGTTTAAAAGTAGAGGCTACTCATAGAATCAATTCAAAAGTGAGTGGCCTCTACTTTACCTTAATACTCTAGTACGTTCAACCTCGTAGAGATTAACTAATTTATCGTCTACTTTGAACCTAATGCAGATGATGCGCGGTATGTGAAGCATCCAAACATGAATTGAGTCTTTGCAACATAATGGACTGTCTGACTAAATCTTGATTTAAGACAGATTCATTCGCTTAGGTAAAGGAAGTAACACATACCTTAGTTTTACAGTAGAGACCATCAATTGGAAGAAGAAGTTCGAACAAACGTAGGCGTCTACTTTTAAACTGATTTATGTGAGTGGCCTCTACTTTTGAACTGATTTTATAGCAGTAGCCTCTACTTTTAAACTGATTTTATGTGAGTAGCCTCTACTTTTCAACTGATTTTATGTGAGTGGCCTCTACTTTTCAACTGATTTATAAATGATTGGTTGATGGCGTCTCCCATTGTCCAGTTTTCATATCAACACTTTGGTGTTTGACGTTTATATCGTTTCAGAGTATCTTTGAGTTGTGCGTGGCGATAGTTCCCTTAAAATTTCTCCAATAGCTGTTGGCAGGCCGCCTTCTTGTTGTGAACGTTGTTGTTCCTCTTCTCTATATTCTTGTTGCCACTGTTGGAACAGGGCGTGTAATTCAGATTGGGTGTAAGTCTTAGTGTCTTCTTCTGGATAGGAATAGTTGGTCCATTTTGATTATCCAAAAGTTATCACGCGATGCGCGGCTTAGAAAAAGATAGAGATTATTCTTCACTATTTTATCTTGCGGAAAATAAAGCGTGGCTCAAAGAGAGTGTATCACATTGGAAGTCGAAGTGAAGGAAACTGGAGTGTAGACCTGTTGACCGTTGTCCACTTGAAATGACAGTTTTAACTACGAATTGTGACAGAATAGTGGCTATCTTTATTCATAGCTTGTTCGATTAATCTACTTTTTCAGAAATATTCGCTGTATTATTGATGGCTCGTTGATAATCCTAAAATGCTTATATTATTTGTTTGATGATGACACATGCTCAATATATGACAGTATTTATATTCATTTGTCTTTAGAATATACAATTTAATATTACGTTTTTGAAGTAAGTTTCATAACCGAGCCATCGACGACTTAGAAATAGTTGTTGCTTGCTATAGAAAAAGTTTCGCTGCCTTTAATGCTAATTTTTTAATCTACAACGAATGCTTTTGTATCAAATACATTTATATTTACAATTCGTCATGTCTGATCGGTTCTTTTATAGTGGTATCTATAGGAATGGCTTCTAATTTTTGATCTGACGATGAAGTAATAACATTGGTGGAATTAACACGAAGAAATCCGATAAGAAAAACTTGACATGAGGATATATGAAATAAAAGACGAAACATTACCTTTTTTGACTACTTATTTACAGCAGTTGAGCAATATTCATTTAAGAAACGCTGCAGAGAATCATAGATCAAGTAATTTTTCAGGTCTCAAAGGAATCTATTAATTCGTTGAAAATGTATTGCAGATTGAACCGAGCGCAGTAAATCCTTGACGCGATGGCTATTATTGGATAGATAGACCGCAAGCCTATCTCTGAATAATTCTTCTGGTAATGTAGCTATAGCAGGACACTATCAGTGTTTTGATGAACAAACAGTCGAACTTCGCAGAGTGTGTGTGCTCTACAGAATCATGGAAACTACAAGACTGAAAGCTACTTATAGGCTGTCTATTTTTTCGTTTAAGTGCGATATGTAAGTTGTGTTATTTAACAACTTAGGATTGTTATCATACTTCTTTCTAACATATCGATATAAGGACACTATCAAATAAATATCTATCATTAGGCTCTTATGCCAAATTAGTCATTATAATGCTGTGTATATCTGCCACATTAACATCTACAATGCCACTCTTCTTCTTTGTCAACTTACAACGTTAACAAGAATGGTTCGAAAGTGAGCATTTCCTGCCATATTTAGCCGAGCAACTGTAGAGGCCCGTTAGCCGCCTTTGGCCACGGAGTTATGAAGACAATACGCGATCACGAGGCGTTTCCAGAAGTAGTTGTAGTATTATAAAGAAGCTGTAATAACAACAGTCTTTCCATTTAACAGCGTATATGATAATGAAAATTTCCAATACGTGTAAAGTAAAGCTCATATTCTAGCATATCATATTTATGCGTATCTATTTAACAATTCCAAAAAAGATATAAAAGTTCAAAATGGTAAGTTGCGAACTTCGAATGGATGAAAAGTCAAGTTGCATAGATCTCCTAATTGTTACGGAATAGGCCAGAATTCCACAAATTGATGATTTAAATCAACTTGGAAGCCTTGATATAAACATAACTACAATACACGTCGCTGCAATGAAGATGTTGCTGTCAATCTTTTTCATTTAATTTGGTAACTTATTTTTCTTGTGTCGTTGTATCGAAATTCAGTTTATAACAGCTCCCTAAACTGGAGCAAGTACTCTATGCTTCAACCGCAGAATACTTGCCTCGCTTTCGCGGTAAATAATGCTTTTTGCTCTTAGTAACGACAAGCGTTACTACACAAACCTAATCCATACACAATAGCTATTGATTAAAAAAGAACACTCTATCACTCAGTAGAGCATTCTTTTTTTTTTTTCTTTTTTTTTTTTTGGTACTTACTGAAGAAAAAAATAGCACTTGATCAAACCTTTTTAGTGTACATTAGTTTCCGTCCTTATAATTCGCGGTATGTAGTATTCGCGTAATTTCTATAAAAAGAAAAGGTCTTCATACTTCTGTGAACGAAGCAATTATTATTCAGTTAAACGTACTTGTAACTAGATTTTTAATAAAGAAAACGTAATAATTTATTAAACACATGAAAGAGAACATGCTCAAAAAGGTTTTCAAAATGTTAGTTATGCAAAAAACTATTGTTTTTTGAAATATTGAATCTTTATGACAATAAATGAACTTTCGTTATTGAAAACATTATGCTTCCAATTGCTCATATAAAGATACAATGCTTCCTGACTCATCAATTCGTTAAAAGGTTTATTTAGGAGTGATGAATAAAATAAGTAGCGGAAAACCAACAGTCAATGTCGTGACATTCGCCCCCTTAATTTTCGTACTGCTGCTACGTTAGAATGAAATTAATATGGAAGGGAAAAAATGATTTCTTGCTTCGTTAGCCTTTTTTGTCTTAGTGTTGAAGTAGAAAGACAAGATCTTATTCACGAAATGAGGAAGGCAATACCTTCTTCCTCAAAATTAAAAAAAGGTTTTACTCATTCAGACAAACATACACGTACAACAACGAATATCTATACCGACAGCAGTAATAACAGCAGCTCAATTGATGATACCAACAAAAATAATACAACCGTCGGCCTTGATATACCTATTGCTCCTTCTACTTCAACCTACACATTATCTGGAAAGGACGATAAGAATGAAAAATTAAAGAAAAAGACAAAGAATTTCTTAGACGAAAAACAGAAAGCTAAAACAAGAGCTCAAAGTCTTTGGAGTTATATCGGTAACTGAGCAACCGAGCTATTAATAAAAAGAGAATGACAGAAAAATGTGATTCCAACCAAATCACTCTCTCTTCTAATTCTACTTAGATGCAACAAATACATTCGATCAGGCCAAATTTTTTCAAGAGCATGCTGAACAAGTTTTTCAGGTAGTGTTTGAAGCATGCATGCATCAAATCGAGAAAATAAAACGTAAATATAGAAAGAACACAAACTGTCCGTCTGTTGTGTGCGATTAACCTCTGTTGAACAAATAGATAAATCGGAACGTCCCCAATCTTGGAATTCGAAGGATCTAGTCAATCTACAGAAGAACTTATTGTTATTAAGAAAAATATTTTTGTATATACCCGAATTGATGAGAAATGGGTGGCAAAGGCAGAATATCGCAATCATTCTTACGCACTTACTGGATCATGGAAATCATCCAAGGCTGCGAGCCCTGGGCTTTCAACTATTATTATTATGGTTAAATGATCAAGTCGTTGAATACCCAGAGTGTATCGATTTGTTCGCCAATGCTATTTCACTTGATTTATTCGTTTTAGATAAGATACAGGCAAATAGTTCTACATCATCTGCCAGCGCAACCTCTAGTACTACTACTATTAATACACCTACTTCGACAGCCACAGCTGCGCTAAATACAGCGCAGAATATACCCAATGCAACAACAACAGCTACTAAATCAAACGAGACAGAAGACATAGGATCAGTCCCGCCACATCATGCTCCTCCAACTACTACCACAAGTAAATTACAAGCAACTGGCTTACATTTCGTTAAAAAGTTACGAGAAAGTCATGGATCAGACAAGCAGCATGTAAATCATGGTTTACAAAGAGATGATAGAATAAAATCAAGCTCAATTGATCTACAACAAAAATTGATACTGGGTGATGATGCACCTCCATTATACCCAAATCCTGTGCAGCCAACCTTTACCGATTCAATTCTGTTGATACACATATTCATAATGAATCTTGTGCGTTTAGCATATGTTGCAGCTGGCTCCCCTCCTCCACCTGACGAATACGATTATCCTCCAGGTGATCGGATCGAACCAGACGATGGTATAGCTACAGGTGTGGGTATTGATGCAGCGACAGCGAGTGCAAAATTTCTTTTCAAAATATTCAGAACATATTATTTGACGAAATTTGTACCTTCCATATCAAAATCTTTGCATATCGAAGGAACCTCAGACACAACAAAAGGTAAGCTTGGATTTCTTGTTTTTAATGTTATTTCTTCTAGTTCGTATTGATATATAATTACTTGCTAGTATTTGGATTTCCTTCGTGCCCAACCTCTATCCTGAGGTCTATTTTACGCTTTCTAATCGGCTACTGCTTGGACAATAGCAATCAATTTACCCATACGCAGTGGCAGCAGCAGCATCATTCTCATATGTCAGGCATTGCACCTTGCTCTTCACCAGCAACGCCTATATTGAAATCGATTGTTTTATCATCCTATGAAACTCGTGAAATTCTGCATGAGATCATTCGGCAATCTCTTATTTTACCCTGCACCAATCCACAATACCGTGATATTACACGAGGTGCTATTCATATTTTAGGCATTTGGATATTGGGCAATGAAGAAGACCGCCCTTTATTTCTTAGAAAAGCTGCTGGCTCCAGTTCTGATAAATGTGCGGCTATTTCGATATCATCAGCATCCGAAACAGCAGCAACGACTATTAACGATTCGGAATCAAAACAGACTGATCCAATAGCAATCACAACAAAAGACAACAACAATTGCACGGACACCAATACATTCTTGCGTCGCTACATGCTAATGATTAAATTGATTTTTGAAGACAGATCAGGGAAGAATAGTCGAGATATGACGGCAGCCGATATGCAGCAAGTGACAGATTGGGATGGCTTGGTTGCCCTTTACAAAGATGCAATTGGTATTTACCGCGCTATCGCTGTGTCAAAGGGTGGTATTGATATTGAATGGGAAAGCTGGGAGCTTATGCTACAATGTCTAATGGATATCCAGCAATGGTTTATGAGTCGACCTGAAAAATACAGTCGAATACCTGTTCAAGTGTTAGCTGAAGACTTTGCCGATTATCTGTGGGAGGTAAAAAGAGAGAAATGACCAAAAGCTTATTAAAAATAGCACCAGCAGATTACTACAGAAAATTAAAAAAAGGGCTGACCTTTGCTAATGCTAATAATATATCGTTATATAGACGCTGCTACATGCTTTCATTAGAGCAAACATTGTGCATATGGAGCTTTGGCATGATTTGAAAACGCATCTAGTTAGTTCAATGCGCTGGGTTCAGGCTTTGAACCAATGGGTGGTAAGCATTTCTTTTCGGTCAATACAGTTTAGATTGTTCCTTTGCTCACGTATTGTATGCTTATGTTAGAGGGTTATGCAAAAGCTGACAAGATTGCTTTCCTCACGCTTATATAAAGTGGAATATGACCTTGTTCCGGAAACGAAGTATCGTTTTGTCGAAGAATTTCAGCCATCGTCAACTTCACAAACAATGGATATTAATACTTCAAGTAGCAGTAGTAGTAATAGGTATTCATATTTTGGTGGAACCAACAATATACATATACCAGCAGCTGCCACAGGTGGAGGCAATAGTGCGCGCTCAAGTATCACGGGTAAATCCAAAAGGTCGCGACATCTAAGTATGCAGTCAAATCCACGCCATGGTGGCGGGAATAGCAAAAGAGTTTCGGCCAATAGGCCATTGTCGACAGGCGGCAGTGAAGGTCAACTATTAGATACGAAACATCATGAAAAGCAATATTATGATACTTTAAGCAACAACTACGAACAGCAACAGCAACAACAACTACAACAGCCGCCGGCTCCTGAAGGTAGTGTCTCTACACTATTGAGGAACTTAAGTAGTGCTTCATTGCAGGACATCGCCAATACGTTTAAAAGTGAGCGTAAATCAACCAATTTAACAGCAGTGATGGATGAAGATATGATAGAAGAGATGGATGAAACGTCAACTACGGCAGCAACAGTACCAAATAGTACACTCAAAAGTAGTGCTGGAAGTAATAGCAAGTTTGGTATTAAGATTACTATGCCTGTAACAACATTTTCTTCAGCACCGTCACAAGGAAGCAGTGTACAAAGTACGAATAACGCTTCTACATTTGGAGCTACATTAATGAAAAAGGCCAATGCAGGTATATCAAAGAAAAGTCAACCTGAATGCTTCATAAATTAAATACGTGTTTCTCATATAGTATGTATTATTGTTCATAGGTCATGGCGTTCAAATAAATTCCTCTAAGCAAGGAGTAAAAGACGCGGATAAAAAACTTGTCCCTGAATGGGATCTTTCTAGCGGCAGTTCAGTAGAGGGATCATCAATTAAGGTCAGCGGACAAAAGAATAAACTAAAAGAATAGGTTTTAAGGGAGTAATTAACTATTGATCAATCTTCAGTCAAATAGAACTTCATTATCCTCTGCTTGGCCAACGAGTGAATCCATTTCAGTTTTGCTACATCCTGCTTCTGTTACTGAAAAACTACCTTCAGGCTTAGGCTCTTTTAGAAGTTCAGAATTCTTGGCCCTTAGCAATCTACCTTATAAAGGTGAGGAGGTTTTGGTACTTTGGAAAAATATGCTATTATCTGTTGGTAATATAAACGAGATCGAGGTAAGGAAGAGGTAATAGTTGGTATATTGAATCCATTATAATTCATTGCGTTGCTTCAAAAGGGCCCGCAAAATCATCGCATAGCAATGAAGTGTGTAGTTGATATCTGGGACACGCTTCAAACTGTTAGATCACAGCAACCGTACTGTGGAATCCCTATTCCACCGATGTATGAAGTAGTACCTTGGCTGATACAAGCAAGCGACTTACCTTCGTAAGTATGACAGTTGTAGTTATGTTTCTTTTACTGTTCTGTTAATACTTCTTGTCAATAGTTCGTTTGACACTGGTAAAGCGGATGCCTATGGTAGTTTATGTCGGATTATGGCGCGAAAACCTGAGATAAAGGTGTCAGATGCCTACTATGCTGCTTTCTATAACATTATCTTGAAGGTAAGTAGAATACGGTAATTATGATGACTTTCCGTGCAAAGAATTAAGTAATTGGACGATAGGGTCTGTCTTCGAACAATAACACTATCATACAAGCCATACTGCTCAACTGTGATAACCTTTTTGGTGCGTCTTTGCCTGGTGTTCATATCCTAATTCCATCCTTTATTGATACCATAGAAAAGCAGGTTAGTCTCCAAAAGTTGAATTATAGATTATGTGAATATATATTGATTGATAAACTCGTAGCTTTTGGGCGCCAATGAACAACGGCTAGCACTCTATTGCAATGTTAAAAAAAGTTGTATTTGCATTCTGGGGTCGTTAATATCCATTTCTAATCGGTTAAAGGATTTAGTACTCCCATTAGAGGATATCAATATACCATGGTTCGATGCATTGCAGGAACGGAAGCAATTCTGCTTTGCTGACGTGAAGTTTTGGTTGAAAAATGTACTTATTCGTTTACTTGACAACAATACCACTGTATTGTCACATATTGAAGAAGAAACCGAACTTCACTGTATGGTGATCGATAACTTGTGTGTTTTGGCTTTAGATGAACTGATGTCGAACGAAACTCCCCAGTATGAAACTATACATGAATGTGTTGTTTCGCTGGTAAACCAACTGTATTGGTGCAGCATTCCAATTGTCAATAACGTAGCTGATTGTCTCATTACAATGGCACATATATATAAAGAAGAGCTGGATATTGATGGTATTATCGTGCAAGAAATTCTTACGCACATTATTGATTCATTAAATGTACATCTCAACAAATATGAAACTACGACGCCAAATGGAAGAGGCTTCATTATCTCCAAACTGTTCAGCTGCTTATTGGAATGGATTATGGCCATCAACCCAGCAATCTTTTCAGAAACAGACCTTTGTCAACTCGTATTTGATGTAATTGAATATGCGCTGCGTGTAGACTCAGAATCGAAGGGACAACAAGAAAAGACGACGCCTCAATCACCGCATTTTCAAAAACAACACCATCCTCAACAGCCCTCTAGCCCAGGAAAGAAAAAAGAATTAAGCACTCTAAAATTCAAATTGGTGTTAGATAAACGACCGCCACTTCAATCTGATAAGGTGGATCAGCTGTCAACAAATTGCAATAATAACATGAACGAAAATGATTCAGGCTACGTGAAAGAATCCGCAGAAGCTGTTTTATTGCATCTTCTGCATCACTTCAACAATTTCGCACCTCCTTATGGGCCTGCTACAATCCATAGCACTATTTTGGGGCCTGGTGTATCGCAAGATGATATGGACTACCGACATTATCAGTACTTTTCCTTTAATGATAGCACCATCATTGCATTTGCAGAGGTACCTAAACTAGGAGAGACCAAAAAAACACATGCTAGGATGATTATTCGCGATTTGACCGGTCGTTACGTTTGGGATGCTCAATTGGAGCCTGGATATGATGAGCCAGAGACGGCGACTGCCATGGCGGAAGTACTGATGAATGATGAAGCCCAAAGGTTCACTTTACGTGAAGATATAACTGTACAAAAACAACAAGCAGCTACAACAGAAAATACAACATTTCCAGCACTCACAGAGAAAGATCCTGTGGCGGAATTATTGCAACAAATTGGCGAGAAGCATCCCGACTGCTTAACAGCTATGGGTACACCACTTAGCACGCCAAGTACTCTGACCTCATTTCAATCTGACATGGTAGGAGATATGGGAAAACAATTGGATGAGTACTTAGCCAATGAAGCTGAAAGCAACCAACAGTACGAAACAGACATACAAGCTTGGTATTCCATGATGAACATGCTTCGTAAGAAAGGAATGAGCAGTAAACAGCCTACAGAGAAACGAGAAGATACGATGCAAGTTCAATTGATCAATAACTTCAGTTTGAAGAAGAATTTCTTACCAGCATTTCCACAGGAACCCGAGCAGCTTCACGTTCCCTTTCAGCAATGTCGATTGTTAATGAGTCATTTAGGGTTTATACACTATAATCACCTAAAAAATGGCTCTTTCCAAATGCTCAATAAATCGCCAGGATTATATCGTGATTTAAGAGGTTTAGACCGAAAGCATGGGCGAGAAACGATGAAAATTGCTTTGATTTATGTTGCAGCTGGGCAAGAAGATGAACGAAGTATCTTACAGAATAACCAAGGTTCCGAAAAATACGACAAATTTGTCAGTAGCTTGGGCTGGGACATAGACATTGCTTCTCATACAGGCTATTTGGGCGGTTTAGAAAGGAATGCAACTAATGGTAGTCGAGCTTCGTACTATTGTTCAGCTACTTTAGAGATCATATATCATGATGTCACAAAAATGCCCACAGATCCTTCTGATCCTAAGCAATTGAAGAAAAAGCGCCATATTGGTAATGATCATGTTCATATAGTGTGGAACGAGCATAATCGAGATTATCGTGTAGACACGATTGGTGGTGATTTCGGTAACGCTCAGATCATCATTACGCCTTTACCTAATGACATGTATCGAATTCAAGTGTATCGCGATGCAAAAATCCCTTATTTTGGCCTACTGTTCAATAAAATGGTCGTTTCTGGATCAATTTTAGGACCACTTGTCCGTTCAACAGCAATAAACGCTTTCCGTGCATCTGTGCATACAAACTTATATTCATTTTATAAATGTGTATACGCACAAAGAGCAAATGACGTGAAAACCATCACCAATAGGCACAGAATTTCTAACTGGGGTTACGAGCAATTCATGGAAAGAATATTCATGCCTGAAGAACAAACATCAAAGACTTGATCTCATACCATTCAAAAATGCAAAACATTTCTGCTTTAACCATGTACTACCATATTTCTATATAGAAAGTAACCGTAATTTTTATCGTAATTCTAGCCCTTTCACCTTTACAAGCAAAACTTAATACCCCTTCACTTTTAATACTCATTTAATACTGTACTGATATGTGAACTGCATGACTCGAATTCGAGAATAAATGATAAAAAGAACGCATATATAATTGAGGAGACATAAATTGAAGAGCAGATGAGAAGGAGTAACCATAATAAAATAAGTAAAAGCAGAGAGCCAAGGTTGAAGATAAAGAGGAATGTTACTAGTATGGTATCAACATCCCTGCGAGTTAACTTCATCAACTCGTCAAAAAAGCACTATAGTAAAAGTGTTATTGGTAAATAAAGGATCAAGCATTAATAAGTTCTTCTAATAAAACTTCAGTTGCTTGGTGGAATTATACTCAGAAAGAATATTTTGGCCAAGGTTGTCAAACACCCGATACCAACAACTGACCCTTACAACTTTTAGATTCTTGGAATTTTGCTCCAACTGGCGATTGCTGAGTCAAAGTATAAAGCAGCAGTCGATTGCAATCCTATCCAGTTTAGAGAGATAAGTCACTAAGAACGAATTTGAAAAGCGAGTAAAAAAAGTGTTCTTGGACTAAACATTGCGGCATTGCATTAGGAGAGCTGTTTGTGGAGATTGGATGGAAATAAACATAAGACGATTGCGTTCACCAAATTGAGCCTTTTCGAGATGATCTGGCAAATGTGTAACAATTTGGGATTCGTTTGAAATCAATAGAAGCAAAGTCATTCAATAAAGTGTTAAATCAGTTACAATAGAACTAATAAAAAAAGTGAAAAAAAAGCAGCAGTGATTAAAATTTGGACAGTTTACTTCTTTTGCCTCCTTTTCTTCTATGAGTGACTATTGAGCTTTACTCTTGTTATAATGAGACAACCTATCGCCTTGAGCTATTTACTCATTCTACTGTTCTTTCCTTATTTTATCAATTGCTACAAAGCAGTAACTAATGAGTCACTAAAGCATTTGGCAAAGCTTACAGATCCTAACCGACTTTCTGTGAATGGCAATCTCATGAAGCCCTTACTCGTGGAACGTGTGTCTGGCACACCTAGTAACGCAGCAGTACGTCAATTTATTATACAGCACTTTAAGGACTTGGGCTGGCATATTGAATTGGACGAATTTACAGATACTACACCTATGGGGAATAAATCATTTGCCAACATTATCGTCACTCAGAACCCAGATAAACCCTCTCGCCTTGTTATGGCAGCCCATTACGATTCAAAATATGTGCCAGATTTCGAATTTATTGGAGCAACCGATAGCGCGATTCCTTGTGGTCTTTTGATGAATATTGCAGAATCGATTAACTACATGTTGGCGGATAAATCAATGAATTATAGACAGCCACAAAAGACACTTCAATTTATATTTTTCGATGGTGAAGAGGCATTTGAGAGTTGGACAGCCACAGATTCGATCTACGGAGCAAGGTGAGAAGCCTTTTTAACGAATATACTTGGTTTGGCTGCAGTACCAGTCGACTGATTTTTAGTACCTCTCAATCAACAGGCACTTAGCCCATACTTGGGAAACAGCAATGGTTCCTCATCCTACCAAGACTTTAAAGAATAGATTAGACCAGATTGAAGTATTGGTATTATTAGACTTGCTTGGTACACCAAATGTTCAGTTTCCCAACTTTTATCGACCTACGAGTTGGCTTTTTGATAGATTGATGAATCTGGAGAGTCGACTTAGCAATCAATCATTATTGAGAACAATTTCCACGACAACCAATCAACCTTTGATGTCTTTTTTTAATCCTAATTCCGTGCTAACTTATAGAGGAGAATCGATAGGGGACGATCACGTCCCCTTCCTATCCCGAGGAGTTAATGTTCTACATTTGATACCATTCCCATTTCCGCCTGTTTGGCATAATATAGCAGTAAGTGTTGAGTCTAAGTTCTTACATGTATCTGCATGAACTCAACGTTTTTAATTTTTGTTTCTTTCGTGCCTTTAGGATAATGCTGATTGTATAGATCAAGCTGTGGTGGAGAATTTAGCACTTCTGCTCCGCGCCTTTATTGCGGAATATTTAGAGTTGGATCCACTACCTCATAACGATTTATAACCATTTTTTTTCAATTACGAACATAGAATAGAGAATAAAATAAACCCAACTACATTATATACCTCTGTCAGCTTAAGAAAGAATGCATGTTTGCCAAAGAGGACGTTTTCCGTCAAATGAGGTTTTATCTTAATGAAGGAGAAAAATTATTTAGAAAACTGCAATCATTTCAAAGGAAAACCAGATAGTCTATCCATCCTTTTTGCTCGTTTTCAAATACTATTGAGAAGACAATACTTTTTACAAGCTACGCATTTTCGTAAGGAAACCCTAAAACAGCAATAGAGACGATACATCTATTGTTAGTTGCTGTAGTACTTTTTGTTTCAACTCTACTTTACATGTATTAACTCAGCATTATCAACTAAGTTTCAAATAAGTTAAAGGGACTATTATTTCAAGAACAGTGTTCCCTCGTGTTGTTGTTCAATGTAGCGCTGTCGGAGGATTCAAAAATTCTTCTGTAATAAAGTAGTAAGCTCAAAATTCTGCGTGCAAATCTTTGAACGTACTGCGTATTCACTATGCTTTGTTTTCAATCTTGACTTTCCATCTAAAGTAATCGAGCAATTTAAATTGCAAAGGAGCACAGGTAAATCGATGATCCAGAAACCGGCGCTTACCTTATAAAGAAGATTTCCTCTATTTTTGATCCCGTTATTTAAGAACAAGTATCTCAAATTGAATGACTACGCTGTCGTATGCTATACATTTGCTACTTATTCATGTCCGTATCCTCCAAGTATGAAAAGTAAAAATAGAAAGAGAAACACTTGTTAACATAGTTACACAATTACCCGCAAGTCTTCTTCAGGTATTATGTCAATTGGTTAGGGTTATTTTATACTTTTAGGTTCGCGCAAAGCCAAGTCGTAGTTACTCCACAAGAAAAATCTATTTTCCTGGCCAGTAGCTGCTCTTCAAATCGAAACCAAGCAATGCAAAAAACAAAAAAAAAAAAAAAAAAAAAAAAAAAAAGTGAAAACTTTATGCGAGGTTTAAAAAAAAGTAAACCTTCCTTTCTTTATATATTGTATCATAATCATGAGAGACAGAAGAACTGCGCTACATAGTGTTAAACGATCTGCAAAGTCTTCTTCGAAAAGATATGTCTCTACTGAGGACGCCCAAATCTCCAATTGGGTTGATCAGTTGAATCAGGCTTTGGACGATCTATCTGAATCTCGAACTAGGTATTGCAATTTTCTCAGTGCGGGTACACAATTTTTATGCATAAAGGAAACGGTTTCCTAAAAAACAACACCATTTATACAACAGTACCCGGGAACATTCTTTGGAGACACTTGTAAACTGTTTTGCTTGCCATAATGTCTCCTCACAGATTGAGCACCGTTTATTAGAGGTTTTAGCTTTGTTGAAAAAGTCACTTACAAAAAATGCTAGCATAAAAGAAGCATGTCTCGCAGCTAAAGGCATTGCACTGACATTTATCAACATGGATGATATCTCGGAAAGTGATGGTGATGACTTGTATCGAAAAATTTTGCCGTCTCTAAGAAATACTATCAAAGATAGTGACGACATCGAAATCAAAATTAGTGTAAAGATTTATTGAGAGGGTGAAAAACTGAAAAGATACATATTGCAACGAATTGAAAGACGAACTAAAGAATCATCTAATTTACTTTCTCGTAGTGTCTTCAAACATTATCTTTAATCACATATATTGCCGCATCAGATATAGATAAGCTACTGGTTCGAAACTATTTGTTCGACCTAATTGAAACAGACGGTGCTGATTTTAATGTAGAGAATTTTACAAGTCATGAATTAGACAAACTATTCTGTGAGGCTGTTCATGCTTATGGATTACTCTTCGCTGCTTCATTTTCGATGGGATTTGTCAATTTTGAGGTTTTATGGGAGGAGGTGGAGAAGTAAGGATTGTGGAAAAATTGAAAATATACACAGCTTATGGCAAGCGAGTTTAACCGAACAGATTTTCTGTCTCACTTTTAGAGTTATGCCAGTTCATGAGTTATTGCTGGAATCCTCGGACAAGGATGTGCGAATTGCTGCAGGAGAGAATGTTGGCCTTATTTTTGAGACAGTAAACATTTTTGCAACTTCAGATGTAAGCAATTTGAAAAGCAAGCCTTATGAAAACAAATCCTATATTAAACCTATATTTCATATTTAAATCAGGATGAAGAAGACGATGATGAGCTGGATGAGGAACAAACGAGTGACGCAGAAGATTCAGGGAAGCCTGAATATGATAATATGGATGGTTTGATTCGCACATTAAAGGACCTCTCAGTGGATAGTAGTCGACGAAGAGCCAAGAGTGATCGGGCTGAACAAAAGTCAGTATTCCGCGACATTGTTCAAAGTGTAGAAGAGAATGTGAAGCCCATTGAAGAGTTAAAAATTGGTGGTAGAGTTTTGACTTTCCGTGGTTGGGCCAAGATCTTACCTTTGAATTGTTTTAGAAAAATACTTGGCCAAGGTTTCCAATATCATTTAAAAACAAACCCCATGATGAGCTCGATCTTTCATTATTCAACTGGTGGCCCGCACTATTATGATAGTGATTCCGACGACGATACAAGCTTTGATATCTCAGAGCTGAGCAATGTGGACAAAAAATACTTATTTGAAGAAAATAAAAAGTCGAGAACGAAGCATTTGCGCAATGCCAGACTTGGTAAAGAGAACCCTCCCGTATATTAACTTCTATTATTATTTTTTGGAATAAAAATTGAAATCGTCCAATGAAATGTCTCCATCTGAGAGGTGAGTTATTCAGACTGAAAAAAAGAGTGCTCTCAAGATTATGTATAAAGCTGATTTATCAGACTCTCTTAACACTTTCTGTCCATTTGCTTAGTTGGGTGTTAAGCAAAAGAAGCCAAGTTATGACTAAAACCTGAGCTTGATTGGTTCTAGTATATTCCTTTGTCTCCTTTTGGGTAAGAGATATAAAGAAATGAACAAGACTGCCAGAAGCCCTCAATAACACTACTTTTTTCTGTCAAATGTGTCATTCTGCTCAACTCTAACTTTTGGGACTATACCTCATATGTAAGTATTACAGCATTTCTTATTTTATTTTTACACCTTTTCACGTACTCATAGCATATACATTTTTCATATTTCATCGATCTGTCCCGAAATCGGTCTCATAGTTCATATACTCTATCAGTATATTAAGATATCGAATCTCTCTAGAATAGTCATGTATATGAAAACATCACAATAAGTAGACAAATGTAGACATATTGTAAAATACTGTATTTATTTTACTAAACAAGCCTTAATAATTATATAATAAAAGAATATATGTACTATTTTATTTTAGAGAAGGAAAACGAGGTACATAAGCGAGTATGTACAACTAAAACTTCTAAAATATAATACAAAAAAGTTCAAAGATAAAAAGAAATTGTTCTTCTAAGGATTTACCCTCGGAGAAGCAGTACTGAGTTGCTCAAGGGGATGTTCTTCATCAAGAGTACTGTTGATGAAGCCTTCACGAATTTTATCTCGCTCAAGGCGTTCCTTTTCCTCAATCTCCTTGAGTGTTTCAGTTCCCCACTCGTGAGGAACAACCAAGTTCAAAAAGATAGCCATCAAAGAACCAATACAGTAACCTGTGTCCACAATCGTCTCTATAGCGTTCAAAAAGCCCTTAAGTGCTTCGTTTGAGCCAGTATAATGGAATACATGAGAAAACCATGAAGGAACCAGAGTAACGCCCAGACCAAGAGCTAGGGAACATGTGACAATAAATCGATCGCGTCTGGTCCAATCAAGATAGGCAAGAATACGAATACCCGAGACGGTGACAGAAGCAAATAAAAAGGCATTCATACCACCGAGTACAGGAGATGGAATGGCCAAGAAGACAGAAGAGATCTTACCAAAGATACCATAAATCAGAATGAACATACAACAAAAGTAACCCGCAATACGGTTAGCGCACCGAGTTAAGGCAACAACACCATTATTTTGAGCAAAGGTAACAAGGGGACTCATTGTCATACAAGCAGCCAAGAATGAAATGGTACCATCTGCTAAAAGCCCACCCTGAATGCGGCGTTGAAAAGGTTCACCTTCAACTTCAACACCTGATACATCACATGAAGCTGTAATATCACCAATACTCTCCAATATATTATCCAAGTACACAATCAGAAACGGTATAACTGCTGGTCCATAAACAGTAATCGGGAAAGTGCGTACCCACAGGAAAGTGATGGGAGGTGCAGTATCAATAGAACTCTTATCAACATATCCACAAGCTGCTGCAACAATCAAACCGACGATTAAGCCTATAACAATCTGTACGGATATAATAATAGAATGGCATGCGAAATTAACAAAAAGCTCATGCTTGAGTAAACCAGAACGTCAAACGGTAGGATGAACTAACCTGAGAACTCTTCATGAACGGCGAGCCAAAGTTTTCTATAAGAATAATGGTAGCGAAAACAAGGAAACCAAGGCCTATGAATTCGGGACTGCCCCAAGGAAGAGGATGAGGAGCTTCCGTTGATGGACACATAGAGTAAAGACCAGTTTCTGGCCTACTGGAACAGCTACCTGATCCACCTGCCCAGTCTTTTAAAGCGGTGCTAACAACTGAACAACCGATGAGCAAGATAGTAGTGCCAGAAACAATAGGAGGAAATACTCGACGGATCGTTTTAGGAGGTAGAAAACTCATGAAAATTTCAAAGAACGAACAGACCATGGCCGTGCCAAGGATAGCGCCCCATGCATGAGGGCAAGGTAAATATTGCGTGGTTCCGTCTTCTAATATGTTCGAGGGGCAAAAGCCGTTGTTATACATATTTCTGATCACAGCGCTAGCAGCTGGGATACTGGCGAAATTAGGACCAACTACGCTGAGTAAACCTGTACCAATGTAATACCCTAGTTAACCGACAAGAATAGTAAAGTCGACATAGAAGATGAACGATAGCATAGGTAAGTAATTTTGGTTCCGTATTTTCCAGGTATTCCTATTGTGTATTCTTTTTTTTTTTTCTTTAATTTTACCTGTTCTCCATATTTTAAAACGAGTGATTTGGATGAGTGATAATAAAGCAGAACAAATTAAGGCGGCTGAAAGAAGATATTGTTGATCGGCACGTTCTAAATTCAACGCTGTAGGGCCAGTACCTATCATAATAAGGACTGGTGTAACAACACCACTGACCTGTCAAATCAGAACCTTAATTGTGAGCAAGAAAAAAAAAAAAAAAAAAGATTTTATGACACGGGAGCAATTGCTGTCATGATGAAGTATGCAGAAACAGAAATTGAACACTTTACCATTGCAAGTGAATGCTGGAAGCCCATAATAACAGCTAAGCCTAACGGTAATCGACTATTCAAACCCCAAAACGGTGTGGTTGCCTTTTTCTTATAAAAGATGCTTGGTATACACATCATTTTCCAGTCAAAATCGCCCCACCATCCTTCTTTCGTACGAACTTGTGATTTGAAGACTTTCCATAGATTGGGTGGCTCCGCAGGCGCATAGGCGTCAAAATGCGTCTGTGAAGTAGAAGGAATGGTTTCCGCGTCATGTATTGACTGGTCAGATATTCCACCTGTTTTATTATCCATTCTTTTACTCTCTTAGGCTGCAAATATCTCTTCGAAGTCTATGATTTGCTATATACAGATAGGATAAAATCAATTATTAGGGAAGAAAATAGTATAGAAAGAGAAAAAGAGGTAAAAGAATAAGGAAAATGTCGTATATCTCCAGTTTCGAACTTAGAGAGATAGGGTTAGACGTTGCAATTAATGAAATAAGTTAACCAAGAAAATAAAAAAAAAAGTTTGATTTTCTGCTTTTAAACGCCTACATAAAAAAAAAGGTGACTGGTCTAATTTAGACTTGTGACGAGATGCAAAGATATCTCAACAGTCAAAACCAGCAGGCATCAATTGATCTATCATCGCAACGCAACACTTCCCTCAGAAAAGTTGTTTTCCCCACCTTTCACAGTAGTATTGCAGGTTCTCATATGAATGCTATTCGCGTAGAATCTGATCAATTACGTATAAAACTAGACGAAGAAGCTTTGCACAGCCATAAGTAGTTGAAGCAAAATAGACTTCCGAACTTCATCAATTAGAATAAAGAGGCTTTCAGTGATTTTCCAGTATTATGAGTCATATACTCATCAAAAAGCATACAGCAGCCTCAATAGAAGATAATTCAAAAATAACTGTATTCGTCTTTGACTGAAAATATATCGGGCCGAAATTTACTTTGAGTATGACATCAGCAAGCTTCAGCCAAATCCTGGAGAACTTCCATCTACCGCCACCAACGTGAAATTCTACTTCAGCCGCCAAACCGATTTCTTTATTTTCCCTTTTCCCCACATTTTCAACAACAATCTGAATATGCTTCGATACTCCATTCAACGATTAGCTACAAAACAAGTTCGTCAGATTCCGTTCAAATCATTATCTGCAGCTTATTCTACAACGGAACTTCAACCTTCTTCTAAATCTGTTGCTCCTGATGTCCAGCAAGCAAAGAATAGAGCCACAACGTGGTCTGAGACGCAACGTTCTAAGGCACAAGCTATGACTGGACCTCGTTTTGAACAAATGGATATTAATACACAGGTAACGCTTGCCTATAAAATAAAGCTTATGTTGTGTCGGAAGGCAGCTTTATTTACTCATTTCCTTCATATTGTATGGTCATACAGCCTAATCCTTCGGCTGCTATCGAACTTATTGCTGAAGAACCTGTCAGATTTGTAAAAGAGCGCAGAGTAGCCTGTGATGGAGGTAACTTATTTCGAACTGCTTTGATTGATAAGACTCAAAATTGCTAAAGCAGCACTACGCATCTAATTAGGTGGAGGTCCTTTGGGACATCCTAAAGTTTACATCAACTTGGATCAACCAGAACCACAAGCCTGCGGTTATTGTAAGTGATTCACAACGTGAAAATAAAATTGCACAGATACGCTAATGTTCAAATATTACATTACCAGGTGGAGTTCGATTTCAACGAGAACCTGGGCATCATCATTAGATGTGTTCATTAGATAGTAGACTATGTTTCGTGTAAAAGATCATACGGGGAAGATATTCAATACAGGACAATTAATACCAGCTCCAAAGAAAAAAAACTACATTAACTGAACATCCTTAAAAATTAATATAAGCATGTGTATATTTACGTTTAAAATGCTGTGTAGGGTAGAGTAGGAAGTAAGCATATGGGGGGTGCACTTCGTACGGCTATACGGTCTTTCTCAAGCATCCGTCGCTAAGCACAATTGACAATAAGTCATGTGGTTAATGTGGCTGCAAAATGGCAGCACAGCTCATTTGGAGCAGATACATTACATAGTTGAAAAAGGGTTAATTTTTTCTAATGGTCTTCCACTACTTATCAACAATGTTGCAGTCATTCATTGATGACATTGCACAAACACATAATATGCAAACAGCTTATCATTAGCATTCAATATGTATGGTAGCCTACAATGATCTATTTTTAATACATAAGATTTAATTGCTGCAATTCGAAAATAGAAGACAGATCTAAATTATGATCTTCCATCTACAGCCGTTCTGGATGAAAGTAAGTAGAGGTTGGAATCTTGATTCGGTCGTTCTATTATTTTTTTTTTCTCCGAAATGTTGGTGTCTGGCTTCCAACAGCTTCAATGAAATGATTTCATGCCGTTTTCAGTTTTAAACAGTTTATTTGATTTTCTGTTTCTCTGAAGAATAACCTTTAAAATGGACGATCTGTTAGATCTCAATTGGTCCGGCTCATCTACAACAAACACTGCTAAACAAACAGCTTCTTCCTCTGTAAATAAACCAAAAGATGCGTTTGCAAATCTGCTCTCTGCACCACAGAAATCAGCGGGAGACGTACCTAAACTTTCACTCAATGAGCAGTTAAAACGCAAGCAACAGCCAGTTGCGAGTAGCAACACTAGCTCACCGACAGCATCAACTTCTATAATGCCTTTAAATTATGGCACGCCTTTGCGCTCACAAGTCAATCTTTCAAGCAGTACGACTTCTCCAAAAAGTAGCGAACCCGAAAGAACAACAAAACCTACTGCCTCATCTTCTTTTGACAGCTTGCTCGATCCTTTTGGCGGCAGCAGTAACAAAAAGAAAGAATTTGATAGAAATACTCCTATTAATATGCTGTAAGTGTATTTCCTAAGTGAACTAACAGCAAGCTACGTACTTATATACGAATCTTTCGTTTTAACGGTTGTAGGCGAAATCAAACAGTTTCAAACAGTAATAGTAACGATAGATGGGACTTTGACTTTTTAGATACAAGAATTAGTAATACCAAAACACCAACAACAGCCTCTAGTAGTAATAATATCTCAACAGCAACTTCAGTCTCTGATCCATTTGAGATTGATTTTTTGGCACAACCAGGCCCCACTACTACGCAGCTAGCTATGCAACAGGCAAACTTAGATACGGACGATAACCCGTTGGGCATTTTAGGTGGTCCAGCAATAAGTCAGATGAAAGTCGTTGAAGACGGTATGCAAGAAAAGGGAGGTTTAAAGAATACAGTGGCAGAAGATGACTCTTTGTCTTGTCCAAAGGGTCGACGTAGTGCAGAGTCATCTGCAGAGCATGAAATTTCTGTTGAATCGTCGAATGCTGAAACTAATAATAGGCTTACACTACTCGAAGAAGAAGAAGAGGATGCTGCACTCGCTCATCTAATAGATATGGGATTCAGTCTGCAGCAATCGAAATTTGCCATTGAAGCAACTGCCGGTCAGGGAATTCAGGCTGCTATCGACTTATTAGTGCAAAACTCTGAACACGTGCAAAGAGTCCAACCTCGCTCTCGGAGCAACGGTGAAAGACATCAGAAGGAATTATCAGGGAATGAGCAAGCGCGTAGAGCGCTCTTTCATAACGACCAGCGTTTGACCAGTTCTGCCTCGCCTGCTAGCGTTCAGCAAAAAACCCATTCAGCACGATGTGATAGAATGCTTCAGGACCAACAACAACGAGAAGCAGGAAAGTCAAATAATGGTGATTTGCATGCGCAGACAGAAAAAATTGTTTCCCAAGCACAAGAATTGGGTGGCTTTCTTTATAAAAATGCAGCTTCTTATTTCAAAGCTGGAAAGGATAAAGTGACGAAAGCCGTGGGCGATTGGCAGGAACAACAACGTGCACATAGATTACAGCAATTGCAAGCGGAACAAAATGGACCCGTTCGTCCAAAATGGATGGCAGGTAGCATCGATGATGATTTTATTTTAAATGCAAATAGCAGTCAGAACGTAGAGAGATTTGTAGATGATAAAAATGTTGAAGAACACAATAACGGCGAATATGGTTCAGAGTTAGAGCGGAGAAGGGTGCAAGAGACAAGAAAAAGAGAAGAAATGGAACGACGCAAACAAGTAGCTAATGCACATGAGTTACGCCGACAGCAGCAAGTTAGAAAGGGATCCTTAATGGATGATAAGGATCAAGCTTATGTATCACCCTCACGTCGTAGAGGTGCATCAACGCCGAATGGTCGTTTAACACCTCAAACAAAGACTGCTACCTTATCAGCTGAAAAATCATCCGTTCAGTTGCAATCACAGCCGAAAGGGTCCCCTGCTATGAGCATGTCAAAGTCTAGTAAACGTACTCGTCCGGTCGTCAATGCGCCTGCGGAAGTCATGGCCAAAGTTAATACAGCTCGAACCCTTGGAAACGAAAGGTTCAAACTTGGACAATTTGGTGAAGCAGAAGACGCATATACCCAAGCTATTGAGTTACTCCCTGGCGGTCATGATCATTTGGTAATTTTATATAACAACCGAGCCACAACTCGTTTGAAGAATGGTAGTTATAAGAATTGTATTGAGGACTGTGAAAAGGCTTATCAGCTCGCTATCGAGAGCGGGGATGGTAGTCTAACATCAGAGGGTGTGACCATTCAATGGCGTGATCAAATCACAAAATCACTTTACCGTAAAGCTGAGGCGCTGGAAAACATCGAAAAATACAAAGCTGCCTTAGCAACCTATGAAGAACTGACAAAATACGAGGGTACGAATAATTTAAAAGTGAACCAAGCAATGGCAAGATGCAGGCAAGCTTTGAACCCGAAGAAGAAAACAATGCCTTTAAAGAATATTACATCCATTAAAACTACAACAACGACCATGCAAAACGATACCCCAAGTAATAATAACAATCATATCATCTCTATGTTCGAGTCAGAGTCAAAAGCTACATCTACTTTACCGACTGTATCTGCCGAAGAACTAAATAAGAGCAAAGCTGTCGCTGCAATGAGAGCAAAGGCTGCTGCTCAAGAAGCTGAAGAGGCCGAAAAACTGGAGAAGGTGGATAATGTGAATGCACGTCTGCTAGCTTGGAAGGCCGGAAAGGAGCAAAATTTGAGAGCTTTATTGGCCACTTTAGATACTCTACTATGGACCGATGCACAGTGGAAGGGAACGCAAATGAGCGAACTCATTAATCCTAAAAAATGCAAAATCACTTATATGAAAGCTATCGGCAAAGTACACCCTGATAAGGTAAAAATTTGAACATCAGTAATGAACTGCTGCAAATTGAAGCGAGAACTTAACAAGTATCCTTTAATTTTGAATAGTTGCCGTCAACTGTTACGGTCGAGCAGAGAATGCTGGCAAGCGGCATTTTCTCAACGCTAAATGAAGCCTGGGATTCATTCAAAACGCAGAACAATTTATAGCATACCACATCACACCATATTTAGAACATCATACAGAAAAAAGTGTACGATTTAGTGCTTCGACGTCTTGTATAATAAAATAGAGACTTGTTTTCATCCTTTAGCAAAGTTGGGATCTCAAGTCCTATTGGAATATAACTGCGCTGACCAGCTTTTTGTCTTTTGAAAATCATTTGAAGAAACATTAAAATAAGAAAAGAAAGCTTACATGAGGAAGTTTTACTGTCAAAGCAAGGAGGAGAATTTATAGACTTCTACTGAGACTTTACCATTTCGCAGAATCTCATAAACTTCGTCAGATTTTACTTGGAATACTAACCTTTCTAAGACATGCGTTTTCTTGGATAATGAGAGGAATGGTAATGGCTGTAATGAACTATATAGAGGCAGTCTATAATAACCATTTTGCTGCCTAAGCAACGATTCGAGAAGTAGGCTTGATCTATGTTTATGATAACTTACGCAGATATTTTTGTTTTTTCTTCGCAGTAACAATTTACATTATGGCACGAATCTCTTCTGTAACGTGATAATCAAAAATTAACTTATGCGAATGATAGAGCAAACCAAGGCAATCATCTAAATTACAAAGTAATGCTACATGTCACCTATTCTTGTCTATAAATATATTACTTGGCTTAAGGTCTCAAAATAGCAGAGAATCGCTGCGAAGTTTAAGAGGCAGCAAGTAATCACCGATAACACAGCAAATAGCTTAGTAAACGGTTTAGAGGAATAATCCAAAGACAAGCGGGATGGAAGGTTTAGCACGAAAAAAAGTGGAAGAATGTAATTATAGCTTAATACATGAGTTTCTATTATTTCATGGTTCTTATAAACAATTTGATGCGAAAACACATAAGTGTACCTTACTATGAAATGGCGTCAAAATACCTATCATAGTCTAAATGATTGAAGCAGTAAAAATAAAGACATGTTTAGAAAGATATGACATGGCCTAGTAAGCAAGGACCTGAACATTTGAATTCCTACGAGTTGCATGGTCTTTTATGCCCACATATATGATCAACCGATATAAGGTCCTAAGCATAGACGCCGTAGCAGCAACTTGTGTAGAAAACTAAAATTTACAATGCTCTTAAGACGTGTAATGGATGTGAAGCGAAGCTTGATCATTTCACCACAGCAGAAGATCGAATGGTACAGCAAACATTAATATGCAGTAATTGCAACAAATTCAAAAAAATATCGAGTAAATGTTGGAAAGAATATAATGGCTATTTACCTGTAAATATTGGAGAGAGCATGGTACACTTTTTGAAATCGCTCGTCCAATTTTATCCAGCAATTTGATTAAAACGTCGCATTCTGATCTAAATAAACTATATCATGAACTACATTCATACAAAGATAGTATCTTTTTATTCAACCGTAAAATACAAAATAAGATGCTTAAAGCAGAATGGAATGTCTAATAATTACTGCTTTGTCTATCATAATTAGCACCGCCTGCGCGCCTAAGTTTGGTCATAATGTCATTTTCGTTTAGGTCTTGTTTGCTGGAAGCAGGTACTTCGATATGGTAATTGCGCACGATATCTTTCTTAACATCAGCGATTTGAATGGATAATTTAGCTTTACGCATAATACCAACTTTATCACCACACCAAGGAATGAAAACAAATTTCACTCGTTGAGAATATCTATTTTATCGATATGACAATATAAAAGTAGGATTTGATGAATAGGGACAACATAAACACGGTTTTTTGACGTGAAGTCTTACTCGTCGTTACTCATATTCATACGAACATAACCCCAACCCGCAACCTCAGGTTTTAACTGCGCTGTGAATTCTGAGAGACCACCTGTACCTGTGCCTGCCACTTGAAGACGATCGGGCTTGCCATCTGCAAAATCAAAGAAAGCCCAGTTGGTTTCGGTCTTGTCACTTCTGACATCTTCATAAGCTTTGATAAGAGCGGGATCGGAGACGTTCAAAGACATGATTGTCAATCAGGATGAGATAACTGTTTTTTTGTTCTTTTCTTTATTTTTCTGAATTACAGAAATGTAATTTGAACAGTGGCTCTCTTTCCCTGAAAGACGTTGGTTGGTTTTTTTGGGTAACCATCTCAAATACATTATAATAGTTCCGCTGCTAATTTGCGCGACGATTGGCTCTCACAAGGAGGTCGCTGATCCTTTAGAAAAAGTCGTCGGATTGCTCATTTTAAATAATGCATAAACTCCCGGATTATAGAAATCTGCCGCAAAGCACATTATTTGATCCTCAAAACGCTGAACGACATCCGTCAAGCGAGAAACAAGAATATAGCCTTTCGGTTCATGGTTTTTGTGAGACAAATCAAAAGCCATCGGTGTCGCGGTTGTAAAGTTTCACCGATTTTTTTTTTTTTTTTTTTAATTGATAGAACAAATTAGCAGGTATCTGCATATTATTCGATATTCCATCACATTATCCTTATTTTTTCTCCTTTCTCCTATTTATTTGTGATCCAACAATGCTGGTGCCTCATAAAATCAAAAAGATGGCTAATGTAGCCGAGAAACAGATAGGAAATCATGTTACAGACGCCAAAAAGTTTGTAAATTCGATGGGACGGAGGACAACTAGCAGTTTATCCACGAACTCCACAACCAATAAAGTGACAAAAGCAACAAAACCAAACGTACCATCATCATCCAATGCAGGAAATAGAACTGTACTTCATCCTAGCAACGAAACTTCTTATATGGCAAAACAGTTATTGTGGGCGCATTTTATCCCGCCAATGCCAGTGATAGCGTCTACTATGTACCGTCATTATAAGAAAGGTAACTAGCAAGGATTGACAACAAAAACACATGAAATATAACGAGTATACAATGATTGAAACCATATTATAATGTAATATGGAATTGGATAGGGCCTCCTGCAAAGTCATGGTCGCTTTCAACTGACATCACCATTGCGGTTATACGCAATTTCCTCGAACGATCGAGCAAGATCACTGTTGAGGATATTCAGTCACTAACAACAACAAAGAAATTACCTATTCCGTCCAGTATGAAGCGAACAAAATTTACGGTCCCTAATGAATACCGTAAAAGAGCAGGTGACATATTAATGAAGCAGTTCACAAAAAAGGATTTGGAAAGAATCGGTTGGGATTGGGAGAAAGACCGTGAAAATGCGCCACCTTTGAAAGGAGAATGGTTGCAAGCGAAGGGAAATCCATTAGATCCCTGTAAAGAGAGTACAGTACTCTACTTACATGGAGGTGCATATTATCTTTGCTGTTATGGCATGTATAGGCAATTTCTTTCTAGATTAATAAAGGTAAGAATGCGTGCTCTGAGCAAATGGGTAGAATTTAAAGTACTTAGTTTTTATATAACAAATAGCATATGAAAGGTACCACATGCGCTATTGATTATAGACTGGCACCACAACATCCTTTTCCTGCCGCCGTAGAAGATGCATTGGCAACTTATTTATACATGATTGACCCACCAAAGGGAATTCAACCCATTAGCCCTGAAAAGATTGTGGTTTCTGGTGATTCCGCAGGCGGAGGTCTGACGTTTGCGCTTTTGATCGCTATTCGAGATGCGAAGTTACCAGCTCCCGCGGGGGCAATGACTTTATCACCATGGTACGTATGATCCTATATTGTTTATAGTCAAGCTGTACGTCTCGTCCTTCTTTTGATCTCTCACTATTTAATACAAATACAGGGTGGATCTTACACATTCATTTCCTTCCATTATGACTAATATTGCAACGGATTATCTTCCTCCCGTTGGATTTAAACATGCTCCATCGCCCGCATTAGACTACGCACGTTTGCCGTATAAAAAAGAAGATGCGGAGATGTTGGAACAAGCAAGAGCTGAAGCATCAGCTTCTGTGACAACAGATACGGATGGTAAACTTGAAGTGCCTGTGGACAAGAGTGACGCGAATCGACGTATTTCTATTGGACCCTTTGGAGAATGCATACCCAGAGCTAGTATTGATGGATCCGATGTTTATCGTGTTCAATTTTATGCCGATAATGATGCCTTGAAGATACCCATGGTTAGTCCTGTTTTTGATCGACGGCACTTACGTGGTTTGCCACGTGTTTTAGTGGTATGTCTTGGTCATTTTACCAGTTTCCGTTTGATATACACGTTGAAATACTGAACGTTAGGTTTTTTATTCTTTAATTCCTATTATTATCCTTTTTATAGCAATGCGGTACAGCCGAGCGGTTACGTGACGAATCTGTTTATCTTGCCTTACAAGCTTCTAATGCATTTTCGGAAGATAATGAAAACACCGCAAGCCGTGATAAACTCACAAATATTACATTAGAAATGTATACAGATCAACCACATGTGTTTCAATTGTTTTTCTCCCATAAATGTACTTCCCGTGCAGTTAAGAACCTTGCAGCATTTGTACGTGACGTGACCAATTCACCTGCCTCTCATAATAACAGCAAACAACGTAAAAATGAGCATCAGCAACAACATCAATTGACTACAAAGGACCATGGCTGCAAAGCCAATTATCTATCCGATGAAAAGCTTAATATTTGGAAGATTGATCCACAAGGAAATATGGCAGATGTTAAAGAACAAATGTTGAAGAATTTCTCTCGAGAAGAATGGAAGGAATGGAAAAGACGCTTGGACAGACCAAGTATTAAAGAGCGTATCGATGAAGTTGTGGACGCGTTCAATAAGTTTGCTAAAAATGAGCCTACCGCTCAGGATAAACAGTAAATGCTCACAGTATTTCCATTAAAAATTTGTGCATTATATATATGCTTGTATATACCTCTTTATACTATATATAGTTTTATTCACTGGCAGCTCTGCTGAAGAATTGTAAATACGAGCATTTTATGTGCATTTAACAAATTTATCATGCTGCTATAGTATTACTTTTTTTCTTTTTGAATTATAAAGTTGCTGACATGCAATGTGTCCTTTGGTAAGCGCCCAGACTTCATTCCAAGATATCTTGAAGTAAAGAACCATAATCGCAAAACTTCGAGTGATAATAATAGAGGCTTATATATGTAGTGACTTAGCAACTAATGTCTAAGTGTTTACAGTTCTAGTAATACTTACAGTCTACCGTTGTTCTATAGTGCATTATAATCAGAAAAACTTAGTTTCACTTTTACCATTTATCGCAAAGAATACTTCGGTATCTACGTTTTCAAACACGCTTATGATGGTTGTAATTTCTGTATCGCATGAGGTGCTTCTTCTCATGATCAAGAAGAATCATTTTGTGGACAGACAGCAGCGGCAAAATTCGTTCACTTGGAGTAACAATATCGTATACCTTTGTTTTGATAATCAAAAGTTCTGTTTTACGGTTGATGACTATCCTATTTCCACGATCCATTGATGTGTTGTATCCTAAACGAAATATGTTTTGCTTTTAGTAAGAACTGACAAGGCAGTGAAATAAGTGAGGTTTGTTCTTGCGAATCACTATTTGCGTTGAGTGGTTACATTATTTCCCCAATAATCAGAGATACAATATATAATGTATATACATGTATACATCACGGCGGATCGTAAACAATTCTATCGCCTTACGTACTTGAGTTTTGATTTTCAATAGGATGAGTTTCTCTTCGAACTTTCTGGTATTTAAGACCCATAATTATAAGAGCAGTTACGCTTTTCCCCTTTTTTCTTTAGTTTGTGTATAGCGATCAAGTCATGACCAAACTATTCACACAGAAGTACTCGATATAAGCTCTTGTAAATGGAATTTGTATCCTACTATCATGAAAGAAGACTATTCATAACATTATGAGGAGGACACTTTTCTTCTACTGTAAACGGCCGGATTTGTCGAATGCAACGCGAAAGTCAACTGTGTTATCAGTGGATTTATAATGAGCGCATACAGTACCTTAGAGTACTTTTATTGTTTATGTTTATCATATGCTAACGAATGATGTTTGCAGATATGCATACATAATTGTTTAATAAATGCTTTTTAAAGGCAGTAGGGGGCTAAGTTTATTATACATAGATAAAGTAAGTATAGATATGATACATTTGGAAAGTACTTTAAACAATATTTGTGGTATTGAGGTGCAGTAAATTGAGATGAACTTAATATCATTGAGCTGAAGTCCCTTGAATGCTCTTGTTATCATTAACAACTACTTCAGAAAGATCATCATCATTCTTGTTACCTAATAGACCTTCTTTATCTTGCTCGTCTAACCATCTTCGGTAGCGACGCTCTTCTTCCTCTTCTCTCCATTCTTCACCTCGGAATGTTCCTTCAATACGTGCCATGACACAACATGCAAGACAGTTGCCTACAACGTTGATGGAAGTGCGAGCCATATCCATGATAGCATCAACGCCCATAATCATCAAAGCAGCCTCGAGTGGTATATTATATTGTGCCAATGTACCAGACAGAACAACTAACGACGCGCGAGGAATAGCAGCGACACCTTTGGATGACAGCATCAATGTACCCATAATCGACATCTGAGTACTTATAGGTAAATTAAGGCCTGCAGCTTGAGCCGAGAAAATAGTAGCTAATGTAAGATAAAGCGTAGTACCATCCAGATTGAATGAATAACCACTAATATAAACCAGGTATAAGTATATCATTCATGCTCAATACGCTAATGGCTAATATGTGTTTTACCATGGAATAACAAAGCCTGTAAGAGCATTTGTACAACCAAACTCGCGCATTCTCTCGAAAGCTAGCGGAAGTGCCGATTCACTGGATGCTGAACTGAAAGCAAGTAACCAGGGTCGAAACATGATTTTAAAGAAGCCAACGATTGGTATTCTAGCCAAAAACATGATAGGAATCAAGACTACGATAACAAATATGACCAATGCAGCATAGACGCATCCGATGAGCTTTCCCAGATTGGCTAAAACACTGATACCATTTGCTCCAACAGTGGCTGCTAAGGCTGCGCCAACACCAATAGGTGCATCTAGACCAAGAAATTAGATATTATAAGCTGGGAACAAAAAAAAACACACCTCTTTAAATTTAACAACATATTAAACTTACAGTTCATGACTAAACCCACAAATTTAAACATGATCTGTAATGGTATTTGATAAACAGGAAGGGTCAATAAATGAGTAATAGAAAAAAAAATCTTGTTTACTTATCAAACTAACCTGAGAAAGCGATTCGTTGATCCTAAGCATAAATCTCTTGCTTTCTTTATCAGCTTTCATCATCGCACAAGCAAACATAGCCGCGCAGAAAACGATGGCAAGCACCTTGTTATCATAAGCGGCCTTAAAAAAGTTTTCGGGAATGATTAAAAACATTTCGTTATACCAGGTAATTGATGTAGATTCTTTATCAGCCAATTCTTGTACTGTGGAAGTATCCTGCCCAACAGGTAGTGTAACCCCAACGCCAGGTTTTACTATATTTGCCATGATAAGACCAATTGCCAAAGCAATTGTTGTAACAACTTCAAAATACTTGCGACGTATACAAAAATATGGTCAGCTCATTGCCCACAACATCGCACTGAACTGAAATACTATGAACTTACAATAATGGTTTTGATTGCGAGAATTCCAACTTTTCCGACATCATCACCGTGTCCAGCAATACCGATGACGAGGACACTGAATACAAGTGGCACAATAATAATTTTAATCATCATAATGAAAGCATCACCTAATGGTTTGATTTCTTTGCCGGCAGCAGGGGCAAATTGACCGATTAAGATACCAACAACCATACCCGCGATTATCCAGAATGTCAAGTTTGTTCGGCGTTGTAAGAATCGGATAACTGCTATGATGGGATTGAGCATAACCATACACAATGACTTACACTTGTTGCTAAAATTTGTTAAGCGTGGTGAATAACCTTTCTCCTCAGGGAGAATGACACGAAGATGTTCTGGCATGTGGCGACGGCGTTCTTGCTCACGGCGTCCATGACGACGAAAAGACAATGTATCGTCAAAATGAGACGGGCTGTATTCAGCTGTTTCAATATGCTTTTCATCGTTATTCAAGGAGGTGCGAGTGCCGTCATAATGAAGCGGTGATTCAGTGTCTTTTGTTGTTATGGTATTGTCTGGATGCATCAGTATTTATTATACGTTATTGATGATAGAAAGAAAAGAAGGGTATCAAGCCGATCAGATATGAGAAGATTTGAAAAGAAAAGAATCGAATAAGAAAGTAAGGATTTGTGCTTCTTTATATGCAATTTTTTCCAATGCAATAGGTATCTGTAGATAGGGAACGTATACGATACTTTTTTGCTTGCTGTTATACTTGTAATTTTTTCTCAGGGATTTTTTTTTTTTTTTCCTGGACTTTGTTCCACATGGATCCAATTGTACAAAACAAGATGCAGAACAAATTAAAGGTAAACTCTTGAACGTTATCTAAAATTCAATTTCCAAAATGAATAAGTTTCCATGGTTTTTGTCATACAACAACCATTTTAAGAATTTCAGTTCCCTAAAAAAGTTGTTACCTGAATTAGACTTTTTTTCTTATTCAGACGGACAGAAAGCATAAGCAAGCATGCGTAAAGTTTATTCGAAAGGTATATATTCATTACGAAAGTTCTAGGCTATGTAGCGAAATAATGTTCACAATTTCCCTTCGGCCTTTTAGCCATTCTTTGAAAGAAATAAAACCTCGTTTATCGAATTCAAAATTATCATCTACTGTGTCTTGTGCCGGTTGTTGCAAAACTGCAGATGACGAGACGGTACATAACGTCGTTACCGTAGTACCCATTTCCTCCAAAAGATAGTTGGCAAATACAATGAGATAGAAGTATCGAACCAAGTAGTTGAGGGCAACTTCTCGTGTAGCTTTCCATTTTATGGATCCCTGATCTGTCATTGTTTCAACACGCAGCTTGTAGTCATAGATTGCTTTTCTGAGATTCTGCATATGGTCGCACATATTGATAGCGCGATCCGTAAGGTGTTTGGCCAATTTTCCGTATGTCAAGACACTAACAAGTTGGAGAATAACGCGATATTCGCCATTCATATATCGTTCCCTTTCATCTATTGATTCATCACTATCATCTTCTTGTTCTGTGCTGTCACTAGCAAATGAATTAGCCAAGTTATCAAGAGCATCGTTATTCAATATCATTGTGAATAATGATGCTACAACCATTCCAGTTGTAGTACGACCACGACTAATGCGCAGAGAAAACTAGCGTCAGTATTAACTTTTTCAAAAGCATTCTGAGAAATCAAAAGCTTCAGTATATAGCTTACCCCATTTGGCAATTGAATATAACGTCATTTACGCCTTGATTTGCTTCCTGCATCCGTTTGATCAACTGATCGAACACATCTGGTATAGGTGCTTGCTCATCAGTGCTATTCAAAAAAGTTTAGTTTAATTATACAAAACCTTTTTTTTTTTTTTTTCAGTAACCTACATTGGAATTCTAAGAAAATTGACTTGATAACCTTCGGCTTTGATTGATTCAAAGACTTGACTGGGTGTTTCTATTTGATCAGAAGGAACTGTTTCCCATAATGGCTATAAAATGTATCACAAATCAATCTTTCTGGTTTGCTTTCTATGCTTTTTTGTATGACAAAAACTTACCAGCAAATTAAAGTTACTGTCCTCGTCGTGTAACAGCATACGACCATCATATTCGCCAAGTTCTTGTAATACGTCTAATCTCATTCGCTCTTCCATACTCTCAACTCTTTCTTTCGAAATGCCTGTCGTCTCCAAATTTTTGAGCGGATCGATAAATAGACGCAGCACATAAGGATTCTTGTTGACATACAGTACAGGCTCTTCCCTTAAGCATGTCCAATAAACCCATCTTTTCCCTCCCGGTCCAGCTTGCATTGCCTTTAAAATAGCCTTAATAGCATCTTTATGAGGCATAGCGCAACCGGCTATAAAAGGAGCGACCAATTTTTGCTGATCATCCCTTTCCATATCAGCTGCTAGCCCACCTTTCGTTGCCGCTAATAAAGCCTTATGTTTCACGGCAGCCCTTACTAGCGACACCTCAACACGTCTGAAATTGTAAGCACCAGAAATTTTTTCCTTCAAACTCATTTTTTGGCAGCCGGGGAATGCATCATGCTTTAAAATTGTTTGCTGAGCCAGCACTTGACCATGTCGAGATTTAACTACTTTAATCACTTCACTGGAAAGCGCCAAACCATCACCGCTGCCCAACGATTGTTCTACTGGTATCAACGAAACAAAACCATCTTCCTTCTCTGTCGCACGTAATAATTCCAAAATGGTGTCCAACTCGGGGCGTTGTTTTATCCAAAAACTGAAACTTTCCGTATCCCTTACAAGTGATGGCGATGTGCTGTCTAGATATGCCTGGAAACAGATAAACATAAAGTAACGTTCTAACGCTGTAACACCTTTTTTAACTGTCCTTCTGTACTGTTCTGGGTCCTCTTCCTTTTCCTTCTCAGCTTGAATACGTGCTTCTTCGATTGTGTCTCTTAAATTCTTTCCATTCACACTGCACTGATCTATGACAGTGTCCACAATGCATTTGTTTTCAAGGCCTCTTTTGATTAGCCGTAAAAGACTGTTAATAATTTGGTAATTCAAGTATTTGTTATTAGCCAAGTGTGACCGACTTATATTCTTATGATAAACTGATTTAGGGCGTATCCAACGCGTCAGTAAGCTGGCTATTATAGTACCAGAAGTAGATCTTCCTAAACCAACTTGGCAATTCCTAATTTCAAGAGAAAGCCCCATAAATTGTCAATTCAACTATATAGGAGCATAGCCAACTGAATAATGTTTCACTTACAATATAATTGACGTTCTAGAAAGATCAACTTGCGTAATGAGGGATGTCAAATCGTCAAAGTCTTTTCTTTCGGGAGCCTTCTCAGCAGTAATTGGCACTCGCTGATAATCCAAAATCGCGTCTCTTCTCCTAAAAAGCTCATAATCATCGCTACTATCCGATGATGAATCTACAAGTAACTCCTTTTGAACCTCCAATGCCGTTGTTTCCATTACTTCTCGTACAGTCATAATATCTTGTATATCCACCTCTTCCCAACAGGAAAGAACATTACCATCTTTATCTTCCCCGTGTAACAAAATTTTCCCTCCATACTGCGTTACCTCGCGAATGACATCCTCCTTTAACCTTTCCTCAACCTGTTCCATTCGAGATCCTGTAATGCCTTTATAAGCACGTAAATTCCTTATTGTAAATGCGCGATCACGTAAGACGTAAGGAATGCCATTTATATAGATAATAGGCTCTTCACGAAGATTAATCCATAAAATTTTTTCGCAATTATTGTTTTCTTCCGTAAATAAAGTACGAATGACTTGACGAAGGCCGTTTACAGTAGGTTGAGCCACGCCATAAACATGCGTATCCGGTATATGTCTGAAATTAGACGCCCCATCAATGACAAAACCATGGTGTCTCTCAACTCCAAGATGTTGTTGTTGCTGTTGCTGTTGGAATTCGTGGTTTTTATGTTCGTTATGCTCTTTATTTCTTTCAGATAGATAATCATATTGCCAAAAATCAACCTTTAATATTGTTTGTGAAGTGAGAACAATACCTGTGCGTGACTTGAATCATAGAACATATGTATGAGTTAGAATAAAAGTTGGAAAAACCAAACATATATAAATGTTCGAGCCACTTACATTGAGGACAAATTTTTCTGTTTCTATTGTTACACCTGTGTACAAATGCTGACCTGCTCCTGTCATGTCAAACATTCCTTGTGCTTGGGTATATTGGCCTTTTGATTTACTTATAATACTACTACTCTTAATCTGTTTCCCATTGTCTCCGGAGCCTAATAAATGCAGGTCTTCTACCGGACGGAAGAAATAAAGCCGTGGCCCTTTACGTCGCATGTTCTGTAGCATAGCCCAAATTTCTGTACGCGATCTAACCCAATCAGAGAATCGAACTTCGAAGTTTGTATTGGGTGATTCATTTACATAAGCCGTAAAGCATAGCAGGAAGAAGTACCGCTGCAATCCAGACAGAGCTTTGTTCAAGTAATGATTCTCATTGAAATCCGATGATGACACGTGTGCTGTCTGAAGGATACGGTTGGAAAGTATAGATTCACGGAGATTAACTACAGCATCGGCTATGAAGACAGAGGAAACGCGAACATCAGAACTTCGTTCTGAGAGAAAGAAAAAAATTGATAATTGTCCTTACATCTATCAATGATTGTATCCAGTAATTTCTTGCTGTAAGTACCGCTTTCCAATACGGTAGTCAGAGAAATAATGGATTGATAGTTTCCCATAATTGCATCTTTTAGATTTTCTATTAAGGGGCCTCTTTCCAAGATCCATTCTACTGCTGATTTCGATGAAAATCTAGTATTCAAAGCTGGTATTTTTTTATGGTAAAATTAATGCCATTGGTCATATTATCAATGGTAGCAAATAGATCATAACCAACTTACCATCTTCCAGTATAAGAAACAATCGAAGTAAAGCATTATTTTTTGTGTCAAAATTATCAGCTTCATCAGCTCCCTTCGCAAATCTCCCCATCTGGAAATCATTTGATGAAGAAGGTGAGAGAACGCTGTCATAGATCGATGGATAGCTCCATCCCGCAACTGGAAATGGATCAGGCTCTCCTTTTTCAATTAGTTGAGTACGCCGAATAATTTGCGCAATAATAATACCAACAGTGGCTAGAAGAGATGTTACAAAGATCAATTTTAGAATTGAAAAGTATAATGTAGTGACGTAGAAATGATGATTATTTTGATACTTACTTCTAACTGCTCCTATACCGCAATTGAATATTAAAGGATCATTTGGATCAAGATTTCGAATAACGTTGATATATTCGTCAAAATAATTGTTTTCGGGGGCTTGTTCCGGTGAAATTGGAATACGGAAGTACTTTATTCTGTAACCCTCCTCTTGAATAGACTGAAATGCTATTGAAATCAATTGATTAAAAGACCAGATCATAAAAATGACTGCGTATAGTCATCTTGAATCTGTGAGCATCTTACTTTCTTTAGGCGTTTTAACAGTATCGGCAGCGATAAAACAAGGCACAACCGTTCCATCAGCTATAAATGAAAAGCAAAATCACCTCGTATCGTAATTTATCATTATAGCTTTGTTCGCATATCGTTATACTTACATAATTCTTGATGAACCAGTAGAAGCCCACCTAATGATTTTGCCTCTTTCATAACATCAGATTTCAATCTTTCTTCGACTTTCTCTAATCGCCCTGAACTGATGCCTAAGAAGGCGCTCATATTCTGCATCGGGTCAGCATATTCACGCAAAACATAAGGCATTCCGTTTATATAGACTGTAATATAGAAGTAAATCAATCAACTGGTAATTTTATCACTATCAAAACTGTTTCTTTTTTTTTTTTTTTTTTTTACCCAGGGGTTCCTCGCGAGTTGAGAACCTAAAGAAATAAAGTTAATTCTTGCATCTTCTACAATATAATGAACCATATATGTTTTTTTTTGTCTCACCAAGTGCATGAAGTTGGCTTCAAGCTTTTTGGATGACAGTTCAGCAATGCTAGAATAGTTGAAAGCCCAATAACCTAAAATACTTGTATTTTAGTTTGCTGATAACAAACAAGTGAAGCAGTTCTTTGCATCTCACTCTGGTTAGATTTTGAATACTTACTGTAGGTTGCGCAACACCATGGACATTTAACTCCGCTATCCGAAAGTTAGGAGCGCCTTGAAGGTGGAAATCAAGGTTTGTGTTTGTGCCTGAAAAGAGAAAGATTAAACCACGGTTTTGTTTATTGGCCTTCGGTATTTGAAATCATCATCATGTACCTCTCGAAAAATGATCCATTTTTAAAATTGTATTTCTAGCTAAAACGCTTCCTTTTCTTGTCTTGACTATATTAGGTGCCATTTTTAATAACGAGTAAGGCTCTAATGAAGTAGAGGACGGTGTTAAGCTAGTACGATTGCTTTGTTTAGCGTAGATAGAGGGTAAATCTTCAGTATCACGATCAGTTTGAAAGCTACTTTGCCTTGAATGAGTCTCTGAACTAGAGCCACTGCTTGTAGTTGTACTGTGATTTGATTAACCAAACTGTAGTGTATTAAAAAGAATGCTTTCTGACTTACAGCTTAGATGGCACAAAGTTCTTTGAAAATCCTACAGTTGGGGACGTATTTATTGTGTCGAGAGTCTTACGTAAAACATTATTTGAGAACTCGTTAAGGGACGGAATTGATCCACGGCGTGAGGACGAGTACTCAGCATACAAGCTGAAGCCACCATTCGTCTTTGGCGAGCTACTCAAGACGGGTTGTGAACGTTGATTATGATTAGATATAGTTCCTGTCATTTTTTTTAGATAAAGAAAAAAAAAAAAGAACAAAAAAAAGGAGAAAGAAGAGGAAAAGAAAGACTATAAACTATCAACTTTTCAGTAACGACTTGAATGCAATCCGATACATAGGGCGTCATGGCATAATTTAAGGTTTAATGTTATTGTACTGCCGCATTTTGATGCTTGTTATGGAAGCCATGGGACAAGATTGGGCCAATGGGTGAATGGTCATGTGGACACTATATTTTCATTGTCAAATTTGATGTTACCATCTATTGGTACATGCGAAGATGTTATAACAAGTTCCGGAAACCAGTAATACAGCTGCTGCGGTATCCATGAGAAAAAATCTGTAACTTCAAGATTAGAAATCAGGGGGCTTTACACAAAATGATTCATAAACTGTTTGTAGTTTGTGGATTCTGAAAGACTAATGATATGACTTTCTTTTTTGCTTCTTCCATGTTCAAGCATGTGGTTTTTTTTTGAAAAAAAAAGTGAGCAGAAGAGATAAATTACACTGATTACAAAGTAATGAACATCGTTGATAGACATTGTTCATTCGCCATCAGACGATCGGTTAATCTTGGTTTATATCTTGAAAGAAAAACTATTAACTGTATTAAATTTAAAAGTAGCCTGCGAAGAGCAAAGGAACTGCTATAAAAGTACAAGCAAGTCGCTCAGCGACGCATTATTACATTAAATACGTAAAGTTTGTTGCTGCAGCCGCTCGTAGAGCCAGTATCAAAGAGAATACTGCTGCTACCGAGTTGGATAGTTTTCAGAAGGATCAGAATACTTCAAATGAAACAAGAGCAAGTCGCGAAAAAGATCTACATGCCAAACACAAGAAGAGCAAAAGGCTTGCCTTAAGCATTTTTATAACAATAATTCAACTGCTTGCATTCAAAGCTTTTGTCAAGACGTTCGCAAATAGGTTCATTAGCCTTGTAATTGTACTCTAAGAATATGATACGGATTCTTAAATATAAACTTAACATTAAAGAAATTAACTTCCAACACCCCCTCATAATGGCCTACAAACAATCAATGAATTGTTTTTAAGTAAGGTCCTCTACGTTTTGCGGACTTTTTTTTCAGAGTAGAACGACTGTATGCTACATTATTATCGAGATTGTTATGTCAGCATCTCTTTGCTGTTTAACAATGATAATATTCCTTTGTAATTGTAGATCCAATAGACATCCAAGATTGTTAATAGTCTTTAGTTGGCTCCTATGTATCCATATTGAGGGTAGACAGTTAATTGTCACTGATCTTCAAAAATAGAGTGCATCTTGCAAATGAGAGATAATGTATTAGCAATAATTGAAGCACATTCATATGCTCTGTTTTTTGCTTTTTTCCAGATGTATTTTACCATAGGATTAGCAAGAGGCGACATTTGATATGCATTTACAACACATTTAGCATATAAATGTAATCTTGCTTAAGCGAAGTGTTGTGCATAAACATGTTTCGAGATCACATCTTTATTGTCTCATCTACAATAATGGCTGGTAGTAGGAGAACTGCACCAATAAAACAATATATAGAAACCCCACTGCTGAATTAGTGGAGAAATCCAAAAGAATGATTCTTCTGTCTCAGTTATACAAACATAAAAGAAGAGAACTCATTATCGAGTTACTTACATTCTTATGCTGAACTGAAACTCTTCACTCTCCCAGAAGCTTACATGCCCTATATATGCTTGATCCAACTACAATAAGCAAATACAATGTTTGCATATTGACAATAGTATCATCTACTCAGTTTTACTGTGATCCGCTGATGAATTGAAATTGGTGATCATGCTCGTCGTTTGTACAACAGTTCAGTTAGACATAATTGCATTATCAAGAATTTGACTACAGGCGCATTGCATTATTATGCGCCAAAGCATAATCTGTAGAAGTTAACAAACTACTACTGCAACATGCTTATGTATCTTTAATATGTGCGTTACATTTTTTAACAGTCAACACCTTCAGCAAGAGTCATCACTGCTGAAAAATGGAAGAAAAGTTACACAATCGGTACCTGATACAATATGAAAGACATAATCAAAGTTTAAGTGTCTTTCTTTCTTACTGAGTTGGTTTTACCTGCACAAACCAGCAGCTGCGAGATTTCTAGCTATCATTAGCATAATGGCAAACTATTTCAAAATACTAAACTCTGCCTATGTTGGTATTGGGTCGTTTATTTTCTTTCGGCAAGTAGATAAGGCGTTTCATCTCAGTAACTATGTGCGTGAACTACGGGTACTATACTTTATTTCTCAGTTGATCATTTTCGGTATCAATCTCCTTATTATTCGCAAAATCAGACAGATAAATGGTAAGGTTTATTTGTGCTCTTTAATAATTATATGCACTTACTACCATAAAGGCTCATAATGAATTAGATACCACTACCTTAATATACGTACAGCCTGCTTCTAAGCGACTAATAGGAAAACCTACTGACGAAAAGCAAGTGAACACGACTATTAAAGGTACAAATATTCGATTTGTTAACTACTTTAAAGTCAGGACAGGGTACCAATTAAGACCTATATCTGCAGACTATGATTTAGCCGAAGTTCACAAAGGGCTTAAACAAGCAGTCATTAGTATAATCATATTGATGATTCTTCATATCAAGTTCGGCTTGGTGCCACCCTTATTTGGTCAGTCAATTATGGGGATCAAGGGCTGTCTGACGACAAAAGAAGCCCAAATTCATATCTGGAAATCATTTTTGACAGAGGAGCTACAGCGCCCCTTCAAAGATGATTCAATATTGTCAAAGTTGAGCAAAGGAAAGAAAGATACTAAGACAAATGCTGAGAATGAGAATGAGATAATAGAGACCTTACTCGTAAATAAAAAGCTTGAATAAGTATTATTTTTAAAGTTAATTATCTCATATCGGCGCAGAATAAAGTACTGGTTTTGATATAGCTGATATGTCAACAAGTCGAATAGTCTGAAATAGAAAAGGACGGAAATGAAAAGTTCTCTTCGATGAAAATTTCGATAAGTGTCATAAATGATGGTCAACGGATTAATATTATGGTTAAGCATAGTAAAAAGAAATACCATTTGACAGACAGCTCATGACAGAGAACTAATATCACTAATGGAGGAGGATCGAGAGTACAAAAATGGTGATACTATTACGGTCTCAATAAAATCGTCACAGCTTTAAAAAGTTCACGAAAACGCATGCTACCGCCAATGTTCGTTTAGGTGAAACCATCGATAACAGCGTTCTATAACGCAAACGATGCTGAGTAATTTTAGCAACAGCATGTAGAATACAAGTAGTACTTGTGCTGACCTAACCATTTCCAATAATTAAAACAAGACGGTTGTTGTCACGACGGAACAGATCACAATAAGTGTACTGAATATTTGGCAGCTGCAAACGGAGGAGGAGATAAAAATGGCTTTGAAAGTGATTTTTTCCCTCGCTTCCTTCTTTTTTTTTGTTTTTCTTTTTTTTTTGGCTATAGCCGGATGAAGTAATGGATAATAATCAAGTGGAAGATCTCGACGAAGGAAAGATTGTCTATGAATGGAGCCCTCCTACTGGACAGAAGCAGAACTTTTACTATAAGGGCTCTCCCATTAGTCGGGAACATGTAGGCTTTCTTTTTTGCTAAATGTCAACGTCAATAGAGGTCTAACTTACTGAACAATTATGCGAGTATGTTAGGTTGAGAAAATGTTTGGAAATTCCAAAATCAGAGAATGCCGAGGACACAAAGAAAAAGTTCATACAGTTGCCTGGAATTGTGATGGCAGAAAGCTTGCTTCAGGTTCAGTTGATAAAACGGCGCGTGTGTGGTCACCGCACAGAGGGGTAAGTTCCCTATTATAAGCTGAATCATCAATATGTTGTATATTCAACAACATAAAGACAGATATTAGGTATTCTGTAGAATTGAAAGGTCATACAGATAGCGTAGATCAATTAGATTGGGACCCAACACACCCAGACAAATTAGCAACGGCGTCTAGTGATAAAACAGTTCGATTGTGGGATCAAAGATGTAGAGTTGTTTGAAAGAAACTGCTTCAGAATATTGAAGTCGGCATTTATAATAATCAATCTCTTCTATCTTAGCTGGTAAATGTACCGCAATAGTTCAGACAGATGGTGAGAATATCAATATTTGTTGGAGTCCCGATGGCAATCACATTGCAGTAGGAGATAAGAACGATAATATTTGCATCATTGACGCCCGTACACATAAAGTTATTGATAAGCGGAAACACCTTGTGGAGGTGAATGAGATCGCGTGGAACAATGCGAACAATCAGTTTTTCGTTACAACAGGACAAGGCACTATTAGAGTATATGATTACCCTTCATTTGAACTGCAAACAAATCTACGGGGCCATACAGCAAATTGTTATTGTGTAGAAACAGATCCTACCGGAAAATATATTGCTGTTGGTTCAGCAGATGCCATGGTTTCTCTCTGGGATACGCGGACATTTCATTGCGTTAGAGCTTTTGAAGAACTTACGTAAGGCTACAACTGGATTGATAACCGGGAAAGTAAACAGTTAACAGTAACCTTTCATCGAATTTCATTCAGATGGCCAGTAAGAACACTTAGTTTTAGTTTTGATGGACAATATATTGCTTCGGCTTCAGAGGATCATTTTGTTGATGTGGTAGGCTTTACTCTGTAACACTTTGAAAATCAGCTTTATCAATTCTAATTCTACTTTGCTTTAGTCGCATGTTGAGAGTGGCGAGTCAGTACACCATATTGAGTGTACAGCAGCAATGAATACAGTCGCCTGGTCACCACGTGATTATTATCTAGCCTATGCAGGCGACGAAACAGCTTCCGATGGCAAATACGCTGGAAACCTGAAAATTTTCAGCATGAAAGATCCTCGAGATCACTAGTACTATCTGCTATTTATCGTCTTCAATAAATTATACATGTATACACTATTCAAACTCTCCTCGCTGGTCGATTTGCACAACCTACTTCAACAGAAAACCCCACAGTACATTATCGATGCATTTCCACTGTTAGAGGACATACTAATAAGCAGTTAATAATACGAAAGCAATGTATGTACATCTTAAAATCAGCTTTTATATGCTGTTTAATACTGCCATTCACACCAGCACATCCGGCGATTACGCTCGGCCTACATTAGTTTTAATGTTTGTGCTGTGAAGTTCACGTACACTGCCTCGAATTCTACTTTACTTCTGTTTTCGCTTATCCTATTATATTACAGTTCCTGTATTCCTTTACATACACGTCCTTGCTATAATGGAAATGCTTTTCTTTCTTCCATGTATATGGGCTTTCATCGTTCAAAAGCTTTAATGCCAAATTGAAAGTTGTTATATTATAAGGGAGGATAGCTGGCTAGCTTCCAATTGTAATAACCAACCAAACAGGGATCAGCTGTGGATCAGTAAATCACGCACAGCTCTTTGATCAAATGAGCACTAAGACTTGCCCAGGGCAGACCTTATTGTTTATATACGTCAATTGTACGTAACAATATCAAAAAGGTCAATAATACGAGATGAAGAAGAAATCAATGTCTTCTCTCATTTAAAAAAGAGGATCCAAAGAGATAACTAAAGAAGACCCCTCACAGATAAAAACTACCTCATTTGACACGTGTCGTGCACAAAGCAGTAAAATACACAAAGTTATGAAATATCGTGATTGGGGTCTTTTATTTCCTTTCAATTATTTTCTATCTTAAGTATTGCTCTTTGTATGCATCTAATATAATCTGTAACACGACACACGACACACGACACACCGTTGAAGTTAATTAAGGTAACAAAATCAGAAACGAACTAACGCCGTTTAAGCAAAAATTTAAGAAAAAAGATATTTCGAAGCTACCAGGGGTCGAACCTGGAATCTCCTGATTCGTAGTCAGACGCCTTATCCATTGGGCCATAGCTCCTCACATATTTTTGTATTTTTTCAACTTTTATATCAGCAAAAAACATTTCACGGTCACGTGGAAGATAATGGTTTGGTTAGAATTTCTCCCGGATCGCGATCGAAATAGAATATGTGTGATTGAGTTTAAAATAAACGCATTAACAAAATGCACTTGAGCAACCCCACATAATACGACTGTTGACGAAGCGAAGTCAAAAAATGGGGTACACCCGCCCTGGTATAGATCTATATACAAAAAATATTTCGGATAATCCCTCTCTATAATGATTAGAAAACAAAAATTGAAATAGAAAGAATATACGCCTATTTGAAGGTATAAAGGGAAAAGGGGTTACTGATAGAAGTTTATTATATATTATAAAAAAGAAAAAAAAAAAAAAAAAGGAAAATAAAGCGCGGCTCTTGGAGCCTGTACCATATTGACTGACGAAGCGGTGTTAAGGGAGATTGTTGTAGGAACGACCAACAATTACGTTTGTTCATATGCTATTTTTGTGTTTTCATTAGTTTTTGTTATAAAGTTAATGAAATATGAAAGCTTAACAAAATCAAACCACCGTCTTTATTTTATTTTAAAAGCAAACTAAAAGGAAAAGAGACCAGACCTAAAGTTACTGCTACTAATAAACGAGTTGTTATGTTTGCTGTCTATAGACGTATAACGGGATCTATAGCTAACACTATTGCACCACGATTCTCATCATTGCAATTCAAAACAAATTATCCCCTAGAGAATACGACTGTGGTATTTCTACACTTCCTTAATATATAAACACGAATTAAACACACCTTCAAAGCTAGACACGTTAACATGATCACAGATTCGTAATAACACTTGTATACGTTATCTTGTATTTCAAGAGACAAGCCGCATAAGGAACGAGGAGTTTTTTTAGTTTTCTTTCTTAATTACAAATATTCCAGTTTACCTTGAACGCTCTATTACATAATTTTCAGCGTGTGATGAACGATTGGAGAGGTTCATTTCAAACTTCATCCTATCAGGTAACATCTCGCGTTCACACCTATCATTTAAACCTACAAAAAGCTGAAGTTATCACTTCTTGAAATTAACTTGTACTTCCATCACGTAAGCACATATTAAAAGAAATGTGTCCGCAAGATAAAACTGCTTGTTGCAAAATATTTATTGATTCAATTTTTTCGTTCTATCCAGAGATGTATATAATTTCATTCGTTCAGAGACTGTTAGTCGTTTACAATTGTGATTTATTGCTGATGTTGGTAATAAGGCATTGCGGCCGTAGCAATATTTTGCATAAATACGGGCTGCTGGGGTGGGCAATAGGGAGGAGGCGGAGTAGGTACGCACATGTATGCTGTAGGCGGAGGACATGCTGCTTCGCCTCCTTCTGCCTTTTTCTTCTCATCTTCTGGTTGCTTTTCAACTTTTGGATTTCGACCGAATCCTGCTTTTAAACATATTATATTGTAATAATATTGCCAGCCGATAGATATTAATGTGTTGATGATAACAAAAGCTAGCATAATGTAAATAGGTTTACTCATAAGATACATATTTTTATGGCGTGGATTGCCGTCGAAGATGAGCAGCCAAGGATTGATAAAGCCAGTATGAGCGAACAAATCAAGACCGAAGTAAAATAGATACGCTCCCATGAGTGCAGTAGCAAACAGGATCATATACGTTTCAACAAAGTACAGAATAACAGGACCGAGCAAAGAGATACCTATAATGAAGCATACACGAGCAACATTCTGTAGTCCAAGGAAAAGAAAGAGTTAGCACAGCAACATGCTGTGTATGGATTGTAAACAATCATTTACCAAAGTAATGGTCAGGTCTGCTTTCCAAGAAAGAAAGTAGACAGCAAAATAGAATCCCCCGAGACCTAATCATGGAAATCATTAGCTAAATAACTTCCAATGGCTTAATTCTCAACCTCAAGCATAGTTGACTTACAGGCTAGACAATAAACACCCAGTGGATACAAGAAGACTAAAAATACAGCACCCATCAATCCCAAGCCAGCACTTACGCAAATGTATATTACATCTCCCAATGGATATCCCCCGGCAGGTTCGTTATTCACTAGCCCAATCCAAGTCATTGTGGCTATACAAGATTGAAAATGTTTAAGTATAATCTCCACCGCAAATGACTAGATTCAGATACTCTTACCAAAGAAGACAAAGCCTGTCAAGGCTAATGTCGGGCGGAAAAATCGAAAACCCAGAATGGAAAAATATAAGCCCACAATAATGCAAAGAATACCTGTAAAGCCTTGGGCTGGGCTTATACTGTCTCCATATGTATCTGTTGTTTGAATAGAAGGCATAAAGTTTAAGCAAGATAAGACATATTATGATATATGTAATATTATAACAATCGATTTACGCCATAAGTAGTCTGACCAACATTGTCCTGAGCATGTCTTTTCAATTCTTTTACTGTTTTTGCTTGAACGATTTATTGATGTGGATGTAGGCTGAGCATTTATAGTTCGAGTAACAGTGATGGCGTGCCCACCTCCACAATTAACGGTTTGAGTTACTGTCTTCCATAAATTGTTAACTGCAGGCAAATTAAAATTGTTATTGTTAATGGGAACGGGGCCACTTTAATATATGAACTGTATTACCAGTTGCAGCAATGCGAACGTTGTCATCGCTGGTTAATTTATCTCTATTTCGACAGTTACTTGCCCAGAACTGGTACAAATCTAACTCGTCGCTATCTTCGTCTGTCTGAGAACTATCAGTGAAATTAATGTTATCTTCATCGTTGTCTCTTTTATTCCGGGAAACAGTGCGGGGTATTGTGTCAGTAGGTGTTGGTAGTAGTAGCGTTCCCAGCGAATAGGTAGTCTTTGTAGCGATAGGAGTAGGACTGATTACATTGCAAAATGCGAATGGTGTATTATAATGACAATATAATATCAGGTAAAACGCCGCAAGCAATATTTTAGAGAGTATGCATTTCATTATTTAAAAAATTAACTTATTTGACAAAAATGAACAATGAAAAAGAGCTGTATAGTTGGTACCATTACAGTTTTACAATGAAAGGTATTGCCTAGATTTACAATTGTTTTCGACATGTTTTCATATAAAGAAAGTAGGTGATCAGTGAATTACCAATTATAGATTGATGTTTTCAACCTTTTTTGCACCAAGGCCACCAGTTCCGGCTTTCTTCTTTTCACGTAATTCAGCCATACGCTATGATAACAGTAGATGCAAGGCAACATGAACATATGAATTTGTCACTTTATATATCAATCTCACAATTCTCTTACCTGTCTTCGTTCTTCTCGCCTTCGCTCCAATTCCGCCTTTCTGCTATCTTTACTTGATATGGAAGATAATGGCGAAGATCTTTTACTATCTGTAGCAATTTGTGTGACAAAGTCATCAATATCCTTGTCCACATTCAAGTCTATTTCGGTATGTGTAAATGACGAAAAATGAGTTCGCTCTATTCTGTAGGATATACATCTGAATGATTATCTATTACCAAGTGTTTTCGCCTTATGCCCAAGCTTCATAGATCCATTGGCCCTGCTACTTGAAGAAGTAGTAAAGTTATTTGCTGGTCCAGAGAAGGATCCAAACGACGATATAGGAGTGTTGCCATGCCGTGTTATTGCAGGTTCTGTCTCATCAAAATTTTCTAACAGCATAAGACGAACATATGAGTTTAATGTAAAAACGCAGATGCGACTTTCTTCATGTACCCCATCCATCTTTGAAATTGCCCGCTTGTTCCTGTTCACTGAAATCATCAAATGGAACACTATCTTCATTATCCCACCCAGTAGTATCTTCAATATCATCATTGGTATCCAGTGAATTAAATCCGAGTGACGTTGAACTTGCAGATGGGATGCTGACTTTGTCAGGGGTAATCGCTTGGTTCAACGTTGGAGAAGTTGCTGAAGGGCTCTTACTGACAGGATTTGCAATTTCTCCAGTTGGAGAAGCGAACTTTAGGTTATGACATAAACAATTATAATGTCAGAGAGATATAGTTGCAGTTGCAATAATTTGACAAGAATAGAATTTTACCCTAGATTGCAGTGAGGATACAGCCCAATCAGCAATACCTTTCGTGGCACCACCAAGAACACTAGCCATTTTACTACTGTTTACTGAGTTGTCACCATTAACTGGAGTTGCAGGCTTATCTACTATTGCAGTTTCAGGCTAAATTTCGAGGAAAAGTTAAGTCAACTTTCAAAAATTAAACTATAGTTTAACGATTTGACGTTCACCATTTTGTCTGCATGATCTTCTATTTTTTTGAGCAAACTGTTTATTACTTTGAATGCTTGGTCACGAACAACCCTAGTAGAATAAACCCACAACACGTTAGCACATCTGATACTCCTAGAATCTTCTACGCCAAAGGTCGAAAAAATGTTACTTTTCTTTATCCAACAGAACTGCAGAGACAGCTGGTATAATTCTAGTTGCACATTCTTGCGCATCGTAGAATTCAGATGTTGCTAGGTTTTTTGAACATTAAGTGTCAGTTTATTCATTATTCCCTTGTTTTACTGACAACATTGCTACTTACCATTAAGCGCCATCAATGCTGCCACCCTAGCATGATGAAATCCATCCCTCAAACTTCTGGTAAATGCATTCACCAGAACTTTCTTCCTTGTCTACACAAAGAAAAACATCATTTTAATAGCCGAGAAGAAGGATGCCATTTATCCATAAAGCCAATTGAAAGTTCGACGTATATACTTACACTGTCGTTTAAATGTTTCGCTATTTTCCCAAGGCATATAGTCGTGTTTGTTCTGATGCCTGGCTCAGGATCCATTTGCAGTTTGGCAAGATACTTTAGTAAGTCGTTGTTTACAATACGATCACTTAATTTTGGGACGATAAGTAAAATCGACCTGATTGTCTGTTCTCGAATGATAGGTACTGTATCTGTAAAACCCGTTGCCTGTAGGACAAGGAGTAGCAAGGGAAAATTCATATGCATCAGATACAGTTCGAATTTGTAGATATCTCTATTACTTACAATGTTCGGGAAAACCTGGTTTGTCACCATCTTGTTTGTCATATGGTCGACAAATTTTGACATGTTATCCAAAAGGCTGACTCGAATAGCACGGTCAGGTGAAGCGAACATACGAATAATTGGCTGAATCACTACTGACTGGTATTCTTCGGCCTCCAAATGCTCTCCTACTTTTAACATTGCGCTCAAGGCTTTTGCGCCTCCTGATCCGAATTCAAAGGCTTTAACAAGCTCTGGCAGTATCTTATGCTTTGAGAATTCACTAGGGAAGGTGTCGATGCAAGAATCCAGCTTTCTGAAAAATCCTTCTCTTTCACTTTGATCTTTGATACTGATATTTTCCAAAAACAAGTTAACTTTAACAAAATCTGCAGAAAAGAACCCTTTCGGTCGAAGACCTTCGTCTAAAAACATATCTGCGCTGGCTCTGTTGCGCGAGGTAGGGTTGACTAAATTTGTATAAATGCGATGCATGCTGGTAGGGATGTTTCCTTTCTGTAACAAAAGTGACTCCGTTGTTTCAAAACGGTGATTGTATGTTTCGTAAATAAGGCAACCTAAATGATAGGAATCTATCGCACCAGAAGGTAATCTTCAAATTTGACGTCACGGTGAAAACAATCAGTAGTCAGTTTGCGTTTGTAAATGTGCTATTTTTCGTTGCTCTATTACTCTTTAATTACTGTCCAACCGGATTTTTTAACTTCAGGTGTAGCATATCTTTGTGCTTCAGGTACCAAACCACCAAATGTCTATTTTGTATCGATAGTTAATTCCAGCAAAGTACTTTCTCAAAAAACTTCTCTCCGATTTACCAAAATGATGGGGCTTTCCTCCTTCATGCTACATAATAATTCGAATCCTCCGAGCTTCCACTCTCCTGCTTTATTAGTGAATATCGAAGCAACTTTGATATTTCCATGTACCATATCACAATCCTCGTTCAAAAATTTGATAGCATTCTATAGATGACCAAACTTTTTGTGAGAACACCAAGTGAAGTCATTTGTCAAGGCTATGGCATGTTCATACTTTACGGCTACTTTGTACAATCCCCATAATAGTAAATTGTTATCAGGGTCTTGTTTTAATTGGTTGGACAATGGTTCTACCGGTTCTGTAACAAACATGATACTTTGTTCTGTCTATTCGATGACAGTAATATAAAAGAGAATTGAAGAGAAATTCACTGCACACTCAATAATTGCAGATATTTTACCTCCACACCATCTAAATACGACAAAATATCAGGGTGTCTCATTGTACGGAGTCGTTTGAATGCATTCCTCGCTAGCTGGATTCTATCTCTATTTTTGATACAGTCAAATGCAAATATAGACACTTCAGAGCCATCTTCCTACGAAGCAAGTAATGTTAGATAAGTTCTTCCAGTTAAATATTGATGTGCAACTAATGTTATTTTTATTTTATTATTCGCGGAAAACTGTTGTTTGCATCTATCATAAGGATGTTGATGAAGGTTAAGTGTGTACCTTTTTTGTACCGCGATGTAAGGACCAAATAGATTGATCAGTATAAAAGTTGACTTTTTCGCCTAGACTATAGCCGAAGCCTGAGCTATCTTTTCCAAGAAGCTGTAAGCTACTTTTAACAATGCCCGAGAAAAAGGCCATTTCAATTTACAATATTTTATGAAAGAAGTAAAGCCCTTAAAGCGTCTTCATTAATTTTTACGATTCTTTTTGAGTTGAATCTGCGGCCGGCGGAATCAGCAAATCGATAACAGACTCCAAGTATTTTACGTGTTCCCCGCACGATTGTAAGCACTCACACTTATGCATCACCGCATGGTCATGCGCAACTATCAATGGTTAGGGTTTCATATTGTATTCTTATTACTAAAAATGGAGTACACTCGATCTGTCATTATTGGTAAGTCAGTTAAATTCAATAGACGGTTTGGTCACCTTCAGAATTTATTCTAATTTCTCAATGTCCGCATTCTTCAATGTCAAACACTATATTACAGTATTGCGCTGCTGGTTCTATTGTGAAGTAAGTTTATAGTTCCTTCACATTCTTAAATCGACCGGAGCCTTACATGTAAACAGTAAGAATGATAATGCCTCTCAAAAGGGAACATAATTTATTCATAAATACTTCAAAAGGGAACATGCTTATATTAATGTCATTAAAGAGAAAAGATGCAAAATAAAACAACAAATATAAAATTAGAAATGATGAGATATATATGTGTATATGCGGTTTATACATAAAAAAAAATAAAATAAAAAAATTTAGAAGCATTTAGTTACTCTTTGGGTATGTAGTAATTTCTTGATTACGTAGAACCTTTTCAACCAAGAAAGCAACGCGTTGTCCATATTTGGTACCACGAAGTGATACCATATGCCTTTTGATCAATCGGGAGATATGTAACTTTTGCTCTTCGCTTGCATTATTGATGAGCCATTGAGCAACGTAGTTTCCATATTGGTCTGAGGCAATATCCATAATACCTATACGATGTTGCGATGGTGTAGTGTGAGACACCGTATCATGCTTTATTGATGTATTAGTGGTAATGCGTTTGATAAATCGTGCCAGAAATTGATTGCCACCAATTCGGAGAGCCTTTTCAACTACTTTGGATGCAAATTGATCAGTAGACAGCTGGACAGCTTCTTTAATAACAATTTCAAAGGCACGTTCCCGATCTTCATCTCTTTCGGCTTGCTCTAATATGTGCTGAATGACCCAGTTACCCCATTGTCCCTTGGCAATACTTGCAATATTATCTAGGACTTCATTTAAAATAGGTCTCTAAAGAACCGTACAGTTCGTTTGAAATAATTGCAGACATGCACATGTTAAAATATGGCAAAGAGCTCAAAAAGTTCTTTTTTTTTTTTTTTAATTTACCTTGTCCTTTTCTGACTTGTTTTCAAAAATATTTTGAATCACTAAACTTCCTGTTTCATCAAGGGCAATTCGAGCCCATTGTCCTTGCAGCGCTTCATGTAAGCATTCCATAATAGGTGGGGGAGAGGCTGATGGCGACCAATTGATTTCAAAAATCTTCTGCCATACATGACAAGCATACTTATGCGTGATAGTCTCCGAGATGGAAGTAAGAAGTTCAGATACCAGCTCAGCCTTCGTAGACTCCTCAACATAGTCTAAAGCTTTCTGTACCACATGGCAGCCAAAAGGCTCACACGTTAGCTGGAGAATATGGCCGCGCATTGTATCCGCTAATAAGGCAATTTGCTCAGGTGTGCCCAGCTCAAACTGTCTTTGTACAAGGAAGTTACCGAACCGATTGATCATAAGGGCAAAGGATTGCTCAAGTATAGCTTGAAAGATGAAGGGCTTCTGGTCTGACGAGCCAGATTTGAGTTTTTGTTGCATGAAAATGGATGCCTGTTGATCTGTGTCTTTTGTGATACGATCTACCATAGTCTGTATCAGAAGTTTAGATGGAAATTTGAATAAGGAGAAAGTCAAATTATTATTCTTTCATTTCTGTGCAAATGATAACTATGGACAAAGAAAGTTGCGATGCTTACAGTCCAGTCAACATCTATTTGTTTATCATATGAGCGATGATAATGTATAGCCGGTGATCTTCTTCCTGTCATTATTGAGCTTTGCATAGAACGAATCGGTATAGAATGGTCTGATGTAGCTTTGCTTGTTTCCTCATTTGTTACCCCCCTCTCTCTACATATGAGGAAAAAATGTGAATTAGATCGACCATGTGTATCACAAAAACCATACAATTATATTTATATGACTTTCTAGAAAGGGAGAAGCAGCTGGAAGAATGAGTATAGAAAATAGGTACTTTACCCACTGAAAATGTCAGAAGTTTCTGTTGTTGCTCCCAGCAAACTGGTAGTTGATGCGGCAGTGGCCGAACTACAATTAGGGTAAGTGGTAGTGGTGGTAGGTATTGTCGGCAGGTCCAGTCCCTTAGATTTAATGAATGTTTGGTAAAGGCCAACTTCGGCTATTAATTCATGGAATTTGCTAATCTGTACTTCATATAGTTGGTTTAACATATTGAATTTTTGAGTTTTTTCTTCCAGTTCTGCGTCTTTATGAGTAAGAGCTGCTTGAAGACTTATCGATACTTGGTAATTCTAAAGATTTGAGAGGAAGTCAGTTGTTGAACGACCACATACATATAGCAATTATCAGATAACTTTCAATTACTTTTTCTAATTCGTTATTGAGCAAGTTAGAACGCTTCATTAGTGTTTGAATAGTCTCATTGGCTTCTTTCAGCTGTTGACGAAGATTAGGTATGGATTCAGTTCCATACATATTGTCCTCTTCAACTATATGCTGATTATATGTATATGGGTTACTATAATCAGTGAAAATGGCTTGATCATACTACTTGACAAAATGTATTAGACATGGCCTCGAACAATTGTGCTCACTGTGTGCTCTTTGATATAAGGGGCACTTTAAAATGCGACTAACCTTGCTTTGACTGGGGTAGTACAGAATGGGTGGACCGACAGGAGTTGTGGCAGTAGCAGTTGTAGCAGTAGCAGCTGTGGAGTAATCTGGTCTCAGCATATCACCTACTGTCATGGTAGAAGAAGATTCACCAAAGAGATCACATTTGGGTGAATGCGCTCTGGTATTTTCTGAAGAAGAAGATGAGCATTCGATATCAGCCATCATATTAAAGAGCGATTCAGGGGAAGTAGACTGGAAGAACCGGAAGTCCTCTCTACTACAACAATATCTGTCCAAATAGTCGTCATTATTGGCGTCATTCTTAAGGGTTGATGGTGTTACTGTGCCAGTGCCGAAAAGAGAAGGTGTATGGAATGGTGAATTAAAGATATCATAGATTTGATTACTTGTTGAGTTATTGGTGTATCTTAATTTCTCCAAAGAAGGCCTAGTAACTACCGCAGTATTTCGAGGCGTCATATACTGTTGCTTAGATGGCGAATTTGATGTAGATAGCATATTCAATATTAACAAATCAATAAACGAAAGGAAATTATTATTAGCGAACGATAGTAAGGATGTAAGTACGAGAAAGGAATCAATGAAGAAAGAAAAGATGACAAGGAAATTCCCGCATCCCTTTTAAACTATTTGTCAATATTCATGCCTGGGTTGAATATGGCCTCGCTGAATAGCTTCCATAATTGTTATAGCTATTTATAAACAGTAACTTCCCCTCACTTTTCATCTGTTCTTATAGCTTGGACATTACACAAAATGAAGCGATGCCCCTTAACGTGAAGTTCAACTAGCCTTTCACCACTGTGTAATACCAACGCATTTTAGCAATACGCAACATGAACACGAATTATTTGTGAATAGTGTGGTTATTATAGTATTTTCGTCAGTAAACTTTGTAAGGAAGACAAATAATATGATAAACCTATTGTGGTTTGTTTTTGATAGAGCTATAATATCTTTGTATCGGACATGGATATACAGAAGTTGGCTTTAAAAGGCTTCCCGAGACTTTTGTTACTTTTATACCCCACTACTTGTAAAAATTTACCCCTCATCACAATACTCCTTGGCTACTAATTACTAGTATGACCCCACTTTAGACAAGTGTAAGTGACAAAAAGTTCCCTTCTTTACAAAAGTACTTCTATTCCTTCCCAGGATCTTGCATTAATTTTCTACTATACCAGTACTATTATCTAAGGATCACAATATGCAATAGAATTATGATCCGTAGAAAAGCGAACAACTGATAAGGTATTCTAATCAATTCACTCATCACTACTTAACCACACTGGCCAAGGGCATGCTACAACAGTAGGAGAGCTAAAATTTAAGCCACCCGATCTACATGCATATAGCACATTAAATGCACAAACTCAGTACTCTTTTATAGTTAGCTATATTATACATCAATCGGCAATACAAGCAATATGAGCTTTGCTAAGAGTTTATGCATAGACATTTTATCAAATACAGGTGCGTAGAGTGAAGTTATTGTATTTTTTGTGTATTAGATTTTGTAAGAAAAAAAAAAAAAGAAGGGAACAGGTGTACGTAGAGAAGACTGTTAGAGCACAAAACAGGGAGACGAGGGAAAAAAAAGAAAATGGGCATGTTTTAATCCAAAAAAAGGAAATTCAATCTTTTCTAATTGACCAACAATTGTAAACGCTCCGCAACTGAGAGTTGAGTACGTGTCATATTTGCGAGATAAACAACCATTAAAAGATCCTGTAAGTGAGAGTTGAACATCTTTTCAAATGCTGTACTATCAATCTTGGGAACAACAGAAACTGTGTCCATAATATATCTGCCAATAGCATTGTTGGGTTCGACATTTCCTTCCTACAGTAAAATGAAGGACCATCATCAGTTTCAATTCATATAGCAGCTCATCCAATATTGTATTAACTTACAAGGACATTGTCGACATATTTTGTGATTCTTTCGAGCATTTCTTGAAGCTTATTAATAGCCAATTCAAGATGATCCATATCTGAAATTAAAGAAGCAGTACGGGTTTCCTCAGATTTGGCAGAGGCAAGAATGTCCACTAAAAAAAGTTCAATAATGCAAATCAATAATTAGCATTTCCATATACACGTAATTTTTGAAAGCTCGAGTAAGACTTACATCCACTTCGCTCGGCATCAAGATATTTAACATCACAAGGGACAGGCAAGAACATACAATCTCCTGCCTTACTAAAGCCAACAGGAGCACTATCATTTCATCAAAATCTATTAGAAATGCAAATACTACCTTTTTTTTTCCCTTTTTGCCTTTACCTAGCATATGCACGAAGTCCCATATCAGAAGATTTAAAGAGTGCTTCAGTATCAACAGTAAGCTGAATAGGTTGGAAAGGCGAAACATCTTCGGCAAAGAAAGATTGAATGGGCGCGGCGGTAGGTGTCACTTCAGGACCAGCAGTATACCAGCCGAGAATGGTTTCGTCTGGGTTGACTCGTTGATGCAATTCATACAGGGTACGGAAATGCTCTCTATCCATTTTGATTTCATCTTTAATGATGCTGCTACTATTGTTCTCCTCTTTACTCCTTGGTGGTGTGCTGACTAAGGGAAGAGCATTTCTGATCTCAATTTCAGTAGCATCTTGACTACGAACACCCAAAAGTGCACCAATTACAAACTTTTGACTTTCATCACGACGTAAAAAATGATCGAGAACAGTAAACAATACAACAGGACTGGTACTAGTAGTAAAAGCACGTTGATAAGGTGCACTAGCGAAGTTGACAGTTAAGGTATTCAACTTGTTGGTGGCCATAATGAACGAAGAGGCAGTGCTATTTTACTCTATGTTTGGCAGGTTCAAGGTAAAAGCTCTAGCCAAAAAAAAAAAATCTTTTATAGTCAAAGCCCGTCGGAGGTCTTCTTTTTTAAGTGACTGTCTGGAGTCAGGTAAGGCAACATCAGTGTACCTTTTCTTTTTTTTCTTTTTTTTTTAATTTTTTTGCTTTCTTTGATTTGTCAAGGTAATTGTGCATTTAGTGCGTAGAAATTGATCATGCAGTTTTATAAGGCCGAATTGATCAACTTTATAAAGCTGAAAGGTAGTTTTGCTACGAAGATGATCAAGAAGAGAAAAAATAAATCAAATTTATCGAGGAAGTCTGTATAACTGCGTGCTCTTCGTCCAAAACTATTACAGCTTTGTGCATTAGAAACATGCACAGAATGATATTACTTCAGTCTGATAGCTCAGAAAAATCACCTCTATCTCATCATTTCTGAATACCTGAAACATATTTTGAAAATTAAGATCAGACTTCTTTTAAAGGAAGAATGGGATAAACTCAGTCAAAAAAGATTTAGAAGGTATTCTTGATCTGGCTACAGTTTCTCTCTTTTCTTTTCCTTAATTCTCTTCGTTTTGTTAAAACGATTGTGCCAGAAAAAGAGATAAAAGACGGAATGAAGGGTTCACCGCCCGAAAATTCCCAAAGGTAGAAATATGAGCATATCTCAAACAGAAATAATTATACATTCTTTCGTTATTGAATAATGCAACCAAATAATGTAGTGATACATATGCCGATGCACCTAAGGACTCTACTTCAACTCAGCCGTTCAACACAACAAAGCCAATACTTCGATTGGAGAAAATGTTCACTATCACTGATGACGACGGTGAAAGTATTGTTAGCATCGACGACTATGAACAAACTACACAAAACAACAATTCAGATCAAGCCGACAATGACGACGATGGTAAATTTGATACACAGCCTAGGAATAAAAGTGGAAGACTCAAGTCGACAGTGCAATTCCCGAGCAACTTAGAATACCATCGTCACTTTCCTGAACCCAAGCACCCAATTGACGATGTCGACGATCAGGCGGGGAGTAGCATTACAACATTGGAAAAATCATTGTTCGCCACTAAACGAGAGAAATTTTTGGAATACGTCCATGAACGGCTTCCCAGCAGTAGAATTGTTCGTCGAGTGCTAAAATGCTCTATAGCTTACTTCATTGCATCTCTTTTCTGCCTTATTGACCCACTTTCCCATTCTATTGGAATTGCACCTTTCTTAGCTGTCACTGGCATGCTTTTCAGTCATCCAGGTCGAAGTATGGGGGCTCAATTTGATGCAACAGTAACAGCTGTCTTGGGTGTAGTGGCGGCCGTGCTCTATGCTTTTATCGGCATGGAATGTACTGTTGCATACAACAAAAGCCATGCTAGTACAGATTCCCTTAGCAACGGCCGAGCCATTAATGCCTTCTTTCTATTTCTGGGCATCTTCCTTGCCCAAATTTTACGGCAAATATACCCCAAATTTCATTTTTTCTCGCTACAATTCATGATCATACAAATTTTTAGTATGACTCGTGCGTTCGATTATACCATTGCGCCCCTTGATTTACCATTACAGTACGGTTATCCCCTTTTAATTGGGCATGCTATTTCCCTATTTGTCAATTTATTCATCTGGCCTGAAACGGCAGTCGACGGTCTAGGCAGAGCCTTGAAGGAAACGATCAATGGTAGTCAGACAATGGTGCAGTTAGTAAGCAAACAGTTTGTCTTGGACCCTGACTCAGAGCCTTTGAATGACTCAGTAATCAATGATGCCTCGGCTAAACTGAGAAAAGGAATGACCAAAGTCAAATCGGCTTATAGAGAAGCCAAGTACGAAATGTCATACTCTTACGTGCGTCCTCAACAATTGGGTCAACTTAGAAAATCCTTGAGTCGATTAACGAAGCATCTGAACGTATTAGGCAGCTGTTTAAAGACTGAACAAGAACTATTTGAAAGTGCCATTCATGTTTTACAAACGCCGTTCTACAATGGGGAGATAAGTAGTGATACTGATGCCGCCAGTGGCCGGTTTGTCAATAACGGTTATAGCAGTGGTGAAGAAGAGGGAATAGCCGGCCCTAGTAAAAGCCGCCGTCATTCACATCACTCTTACAGCGAAGATGATCTAAATTTGGTTAAAACAGCAGCTATACGTGCAGCATTTTCTGATCTTACGGGAGAAAAATTGAACAGCTATATGAGCAGGAATTCCAGCGCAAAGTCTTTGGCCCTGAATTCAAGGCCCAATTCAGCACATTACTCAGAAGAGGAAGGCGACTATCTTGAACAAAATCAAAAATCAGTAAGCTCTTTTCGATCAATGTTACATCTACAGGCACTCTCTATCCCAAAACCTAAACCACCTAAAAAATTGAGAAAGAAAACAGAATACACCCATCGCCACTTGTTATTAAATTATGTTACCACGCTTAAAGATCCCTTACTTGAGCTATCATTAAACTGCTCAAACGTATTAGAATGTTTACATGATGGGATAACCTCCGAGCTAGGAATGGATTATGACGATCACGACCATGGTATTCGAAAAACTTGGAAATCTTTTCTAAGACATACTTTTAAAATGGGAAGTAAAAAGGAATTGGACGTGGAGAAGGCGTTTGAACGGCACAAAGGAAGTGCTACTTGCAACTGCTCGCAACTTTTACGACTCTCTATTCAAAAATTTGACGAAAATGAACGAAGTCGAATGCATGACATTTATGAAATCAATAAGCAGCGTGTACGTGGTAGCACTCTGGATTTAGGCATGCGTCAAGAGTTATTTCTAGTGTTTTTCTTCATTTTCACTTTACGAGAGGTAGCAAATGAACTGCAAGACATGATGCTAAGTATGGATGAGCTAAGGTTACGCTCGAAAAGGGCAACTTTCAACGGTAAAAGGAAGAAACATCTGTATTTTCCTGGTTTAAGCTATAAAATGTGGAGAAAATGGGCAAAAGGGAACAATCATCAAAACACCCGTGACAAAGGCGGTTACTCTTTTGGTAAATGCGGATTTGAGGTTTTTATACTTACAGATACGTTTAGAGGAATATCATACTCAAAACAACATTTTCATTCTCTAAGGCACATTAACTACCTATCTTCCAAAGGAAGAACAGAAAGCAGCTACTGCAGACAAAGAAGTAGATGAGTACGACCAATTGTCGAAAATTCAAACGAATGATAATTTGAAGCGCACGAGGAGCCGGCGAGAATCTTCATTACGAAGAGTACCCGAACAACCGGCACACGATATTAGCCCTCCAATGTTATATCATCGATTTAAAAGAAGTTATCATAGTCATGACGATAAAAGAAATTCAGATACCCATATTAATATACCGCTTACCGCAAACTCACCTGCGATGGAGGATGCTACGAATACGTCTAGCAACAGCAGTTTTAATAAAAAAAAGAAATTGGAAAATTGGCCTGTTATGTTACGAATACGTTATCAAATTTGGGTCTATATGCAATATCTGACGCGATACGAATTCAAATTTGCATTGAAAATGGCAATTGCAGTTCTTGTTCTCAGTATACCAGCATTCTTACCTTCATGGGAGGGTTGGTACTATAGTGTACGAGGTCAATGGGCCCCTATGACTGTTATTGCTATTATGAATCCAACAAGGTATGTACAATTGGAAATTTTCTAGGAGAAAACGCTTGCTCATATTTTGCTTTTTCTATAAAAATCAAAGTGGCGGTACTATTCAAGCTAGTTTTTGGCGTGTAGTCGGTACTTTAGCCGGCGCTTTTACTGGTTGGGCTGCTTTGGCAGCTGGCGATGGAAGTCCATATCTTTTAGGCGTATTTGCTGTTCTTTTAGGTATTATATTAAAGAGGATTCTTAGCCTTTTTTAATTGTAACTGAGTGATATCACTAATCTATATCTATTTATTTAGCTCTAGTATCGTTTTATATACATTTAGGGAGCACGTATAATAAGGTTGGTATGGTCACTTTGACCACTTACGAAGTCGTTGCACTTAGCAGATATGTTTTCCCACCTGCAAACGAAACAATAGCTGCTACAGTATGGTAAAATCACAAAGAAACACAGATATGTATTATCCAATCGGCAGTTCTTAAAACATGATCATTTATTGATAGGAAAAGAACTATCACACTAATTGTCGGTATATGCGTAGCTCTGCTGTTGAACTCGTAAGTGCTCCCCCTTTTGCATTAAGAGATGGGTATTTCACTCCATTTTATGCTTACAAAGCTCTTCTCCCTAAAATCGATAGTATAATCTGGCCCTTTATTGCACGACACATGGTACGGAAATCCATTTCAGCTTGCATATCGCAACTAGAAGACTATTACACTTTTGTAATGGGTACTTACTTATACCATGACCCACATGCCATACCAAATAATACTGATATTACAAGAGGAGAAAAACTGGAAAGCAAACTACAGTCAGCCATTGACGCGTGCTCAGTTCTGTTAGAGCTGACGGATCACGAACCCCGTTTTCGCGGGCCTTTCCCTAAACTGTTTTATAAAGAAATGATTACCTCAATGAGGAATATCTCAGATCGATTGTTAAATATGCGAATAGCTCTGATTCAGATGCCAACGGCTGTCAAATTGGATATATGTGCCAGAGATTATCATACAGATAGACGGAATATGATTGCATCCTTGCTATTGCTCTTTCACGTTCTTGCAGCGTCTTTAAGATCGAAAACAACTCTACCCAATTTTATGCCATCTGTACGGGCAGCGCGCAAGAAACTGATGGACCATCGTCGTTCTGATGCCAAGAAGACAAACTGGGTGAAGTTTCGAAATTTGACGTGGTTTGCTATGGCCTGCTCCACAGAGGAGATAATCGATGAATTAGAATATCTTTGGAGTCTTACACGGTATGTGGTGGGCGACAGCGATTACGCAGACTTAGCTAGACGTATAGACGAATATATAGGCCCCAATGAGACAGATGAAGAGAAAGTTGTAGTTACTTTTTAGTAGAAGCATTGCATTTGTATATATTTTATTTTGTATTATGACAATGGTTGCATTAACTATTGGTCTGTTACTTTGGACCGAACGTTCACATTTGGAGTATCCGTGATGTATTTTGTTAAAAATGGTATCCAAGATTATTTTATTCGAAAAGTAATCTCTTTCAACGTAACCTAGCGGACACAAAATTTTTTTGAGTGAATAATTTCGCTTCATTTAAGAAACTATGTGTTTCTTTATTTTTGTACGATAGTGGTTATTGAACCTGACTTTAGAATGGCAGAGCCATCATTTGAGGAATTAGATGCAACCACTGAAAATACTGAGAGAGAAGAGCTCATCAGGTAACGCAGTCCAAACAGTTCAAGTCTTGTAGAAAAAGAACTGAGCAAAATCGCAACTTTTATAGACGAGTGCTTGATTTACAGTCGCAATTGAAAGGTAAGCATTAAGATTTTATTGTACTCGTTTACAAAACCCATCTTAACATGTTTTTGTTAATATTTCATATAGTAATGCTATCTCGGGTAGACAGCGCACGAAATGATTATAAATCTCTTTCAACGGAAAATCAGCTATTACAAAAGTATATAAATAACTCTCTTACATCAACTGCTGTGTTTGGAGCGACAAACGGAGCGATTAATTCTAACAACTTGAGCTTACATTCACCTGGAAATTCACCACGCTAATAATGGAGCACCGAATGTATTTTGAAAATTCTGTAGTCTTATCAGTAATAGCCGTTTCTCGCAGTGCTGTTTAACAACCCTTTTTTCGTCAATCATAAACCATTACTTCGGTTTGAAATATACCCAAACAATTAAAGTGTTCGATTATACCATGATATAGAGGAAAACGCTACAATGCCACTTAATCAACAGCTCAATTTGGTGGCAGAAAGAACAGCCTTTTGTTCTCAAATGCATAATAATTTGCCCGCGTAAATTCAATAAAAAGGGGCACAATGTGTCACTATAGTTAATGACGTTTTGCCATATATCTGTTCATTGAATATCGTTGATTGAGAACAAAGTTTCCCACCTTTTCATTTGTTAACAAAGGTGGCCACATCGCTAGTAAAAGTGCGGAAGCACAGAGACCCTACTTCTGCGTTAAATAAATGTATATTATATAATTTAGAGGTTCAATCATTGCCCTTCTTTGTTTAAAGCGGACTAGATAAGGGAGAAGTGTATTTATGCTGTCAACGTCATTCAAACTGACAAAGGGTGTTTCTATTGATGCTGAAGTAATAACAATCACCTTCCTGCGCTAGAGGAAAATGAAATACTCATTTACCTCTCTTGATCCAGAATCGATCGATGGATTTATGGCTGAACCCGTATACAGATAGCGTAACAAATTTGAAACGACTACATAACCCATTTTTTAAACGCTTCTAACCTTATTATTGTCGGATTATCACCTCTTCACATGATAAGAGTGTATTTGTTATTTAGTAAGAACGTGAGTTATTGCATCACGTTCATTATTGCACTGGCATCGCTAGCGATATTCTTGTTAGAAAAGTACATATTCTACATATAGCATTGGATGTGAAACATCTGCACATGATCCAACAATGCTGAGCTCGTAAGTAGTGTCAACTATGCATACGTGAGTTTGTAGAGGTAAACAGAATGAATGAAAATACACGATAAGCACGTTCCGAAGGAGCTCATAAGAGTAACAAAAAGTTACTTGCTTCTAAAAGCTGTTAGCACAATGTACGAATATAAAACACGGTGAAATGTGATATTCCGATACATGCGTTCAAATATAACATGGCTGCTACTATACTTTCCAATGAACAGATACAAGGCAAAAGAATTGTCAGGTTGCGCGTAAAGATTGCCTTTATTAGATGTTATCGACGGCTGCCCTCCCCCAATCTTCCTTCATTTGATTATAATCAAGCCAATTAAATCACCTCCCTCCCAAAGGCCATGATTTCCATTCCCATGTTCTCTCCTATATAGTCTCCCTTTTCTTGCATGCATTCATAATTGCTTTATAGTCCTGCATAATTTTGAAATAATTGCATTTTTCCTCCTAAGTGGCTATTACAATAAAAATGTCTCGTAATGTTGCAATAACATTTACTGCTCTGAGATTCGTAGCATTTGCTCTAGGCTGATTTTTTACAAATCTGAACGGAATTCTGAAGGTATACAATCTCTCTATAAACACTGTAAATACGAGATGCCAAGTCCGTTGAAGGAGGAAATGATACTTAACCTACCTCACATGAACAAATCTTCCATGAAGATTCTCCCCTCTCCTTTATTTTGCCTGGTCATTCCCCCTTCTTTCTTGCCTTAGTTTTTAGAAAAACATTTTTAATTGTTCACAAAATACAGTAGACAGAATCCTTTTTTTACCATTTATGAACAAAAAGGAAAAGATCGAACAAAGAAAACTTGCTTACATATAAGCTGAGCAAAGCAAAAGAACCGATCTTTGGCCTGGTCGAGCGTCGACAAACGTTTGTAATCCGGCTTTAACATTGTACACACACGCACACACACATACACATACACAATAACAATAAAAGCGAGAGGTGTATACGCTCAAATAAGAAGTCCTTTCCTTGCCTTTTTTTTTTTCCTTTTTATTCTTCTATTCTCGTATTATCCTTACTTCTTTCTTCAATTCTGTTTTATTTAGTTACATAAATATATAAACTGACTTAAAAATCAAAAATAAGTGTGTATATATAATATATACAGATATTATATCTATATATATATCTATATATATCTATCTATCTCTATATATATCTCATAGATACCTCTCACTTCTTATTGTTTTTTTCTCTTGCTTCTTTTCCTATTCTTTCCAACTAAACCTGTGCGTGCATCGTATAACTTCTAATAATTTACTGTTTATTCTCTATTGTGACATATATTGCACGCCCTGAATTTAAAGGCAAAATTCAATCAGATCGAAATTTATTCAAACACCTATCAATAGTACCGATATAATCTACCATAGCAGCAGCCAGCACTATTTAACATTATGACTAGACGGATCTCTGAACAAATGCCTGATATGAAGCAAACGTCGTTTGTTCGCATCTCAGTAAGATTATTTCAATCCCTTTTTGTATAAGAAAGACGATATCCTGATCGATAAAAAATGACGAACCTTTCTATTGCTTCAGATGGATCCTTTATATGATAGATTATTGAAGAAACCATTCCCGGACAGTGTCACTGCTATTGAATATTGCCGTAGTGTATGCGCTGAATTTGGCTTCACAGTAAAGCAAGAAGCTAGTGCCAACAGGGTAACATACAATGATGAGTAATAAGTTACTATTTTATCCAGCAGCTTAACAATTCCTTTTCCAACATTATAGAATATCTACGTTTATTGTTCTCGAGAAGGCTTACCTGACTCGCAGCGAAATCCTAAACCATCTCCTCAACGTAAGCGACCATCAAAACGTTGCGATTGTCGTTGGCGTGTTGTTCTATCTGAAAACGAGCACGAAGAGTGGGAGTTTCGAAAATCAATGAACCCCAACGCATCCGAACACAACCATGAGATGATGTCGCCCGATGAAATGGTCAAAGCTTGGCCCTCAGAAGTCAACGAGATGATAATTCAACTAGCTAGACAACGACTACAAACTCATGAAATTCGTGAGGCTGTTAAGCAGCAATTTCCTGATATCACTTGGAATGAACGCCGTTTCTACAACCGTTTGACAGAAGAGCGTAAACGCATTCGTCAACGTGGAGTTATCGAACGTTCTCAAAGACTATTGTTACTTTCAGCCCGTTTATGTTCAGTCATCGCGAATCATGAAGACTGGACAGTGTCAGTTGAAACAGACTTGAAGCGCATGTTTGAGAATTTCTGTCAATTGGCACGTTTAACACCAGAAGCTATCAGTACACTTGTTGATTTAAAACCAGAGAAGATTCAATTAGAAACAGACCGCTTAATCTCCAGCACGCACGGTTTGACCATTAATAGTGATACTGATGATGATGAATTGACTGGATCACCCTCGAAGAAACGCAAATCAACAACTAAGAATGATGCTTCTTCTGTTGCCACCAGCAAATCCGATAACAGCAATAGTAGTAAAACCAACAGTCCTGAACCACAAAAAGGTATTCAAATGGTTCACGTTCCCAGCTACACTATCGGAATACGCTCTTTTTCGCATAGATCAAACAATTCGCGTTACGTGTATCCTGAATCTCCCTATCTTGAGCAAGCATTAACCCACCAACAGCAGCAATCGTTTAATCCAAACGCAACTTTTTTCCCGCTTGCCTCCCCTACCTCCTCAGCCTCATCATCGTCTTCAATACCATTCGCCCAACGTATGACATCAAATTCAATGGCATCAACTACCTCTCCTGCTGATTTTATGGTAACGCAGTCCTATCAAGCCACAACTCAACCGCATCTATTATCTCAGTGCACTCCCGACAATCATGATTATACTAACATATCCACGACTAACAGCCATATCAATAATATGATGCTGGGTACTACTAGCACGGCCAACACGAATACAACTTCTCACACAACAGCAGGAGGGGTCACTTATAGTATGGCCAACACTTTTCCTCATTATACTATGCCTGATTCAGCAACATTTGCAACCAGTACGCCAGCTGATGTACCCTTTTCATTTGAGCCTATTATCCGTACCAGTCATCACCGCTCCTCACTTACTCATCATACTCAAAATGATGCTTTCTTTAACAACTCTGCTGTTGTCGCTGTCAAAGATGAATTGAGCTCCCAACAACAACAACAACAACAACAACAACAACAGCAGCAGCAACAACAACAACAACAACAACCAGATTATGGTTTAAGCACTCGAACAGGTTTTCATTCACAAGCACAGCAAAATTATTCGCTACCTATGATCAGATCAAACGAAGAGACAGCAACTCCGTGGTCCTAAATTTCAATTTAATTGCATTTCTCTCAGTTCCACTCCATATATCGTACATATAATCTCTTATAATTTTCATTTCAATTATATATAATTGTATGGTTTTACTTCCCCAAGGTCTATTTTCTATTTTATTCCAATTCTTTGGTATACGTCTCATATTATGTCACAACCCAATTTTACCTATGGTCTACTGAAATATTTATGCTAACCTTTTTCCAGAATCTTAACTTTTATCATATTCGTTCCGTTAATTTCTTATTCATATTCACGCTCTCCCTTTAATTTCCGTCCATAAAGATACACACATACACGCAGATACACTATCGTGTTGATAAACACTATAAAGTTTTATACCATTTGATATCTTTTCATGTTTTCCCAACGGTCGTGTGTTCGTTGTCATCAGCACCTCTTCGTGCAGGTTGTTCAAAAAAGAAATATAGAACCTTATCATCACGTTCTTCCGGCTTTTATTAATCATTTTTACTTTTTTCATTCACTTTCAATTTCTATAGCACCATCATATTGGCATTGTATCAAAGACATAATTCCGGTTAATCCACGTAGAAAAGAAACAACCGGACTCAAAGTGTCTGAACTTTGTTCAAAAAGGTTATTTCTGATCTGTTGGAACAGAAACTAAAACAACGAGTCACTCTTCAAAGCTTTTTTAGAAAAAGATAGATCCGTAGACTCAAGTTGTCTCCTCTCTAAATTAAGAGAACAAAAAGCATGGCGCTCAATATTACAAACATTTTAAAATTTCTATCTTCAACTTGTGGTATGCCCTATGTTGGTCCATGAACTATTGAATGCGTTCATGTCGGTCTAAGAGGCAAGCAACACATTGGCACGCATTGATGACCAAGCACACTATGCAGGGAATTATCTTCACGAAGGGATTTTCAAGCTATCTTTTCGAAAGAAACGCAATAAATGTTCCAAGTCGTTATGTCAGTAGCGTAGGGCAGATATTTCTCGGTAAAGTTTTCTGATCAATTGACATTTGATTAGAGAATGTATAAAAGCCTCATCATCAATTTCTATTGCAGCATTATCAATACGAAGCAACATAAAAGTATTATTATTTAATCAAAGGTTTTTGATGAAAAGCTGTCAAAAAAGTGTGCAATAAATCGCTTTTAAAGATTTGCTCTCTGAACTTTTTTATGCGCCCAATTATACAATTTCTCTCTTTTCTTTCAACCCAGTGTTGTGTATATTTACTAATTTATAATGGTTGTTGAGCAGCCGAAAAAACCTCACGTTTATGAAGAATCAACTCAATATAAGCACTGGCGATTCAGTTCCAAGCAGTTATGGAACATGCGTAATGAGAACAATAAAGAAGCCATTACTCGCGTCCGCAGAATTGTTCAAGAAGAACAGGTATGGAAATGACGTGCTTGACCTTTTTAAAATATGACATACCTGTTCGTAAACCTGACGAGATATTTACTTTACCTTTGACAAAGGACGCTAATAAAGAAAGCAAAACAGACGATAAAGAATATCTAAGTCCAAAAGAAGAATTGGCTTTATGCCGATTTTACGAAAAGCAGCTTCAGTTTATGAGTAGACATTGCAAATTTCCAAATGTTGTTATGGCGACGGCTATTGCATATATGAAACGGTTCTTCTTGAATAATACAGTGATGGATTATCATCCAAAAGATATTCTGTAAGTCGAATGTTAGACACGCCTAGGCGTGTTATGGTTTTTTTCAAAAAACCATATCAATAGCACTCAAAATTTTGGAGCAGCTACTTATTCAACATTCGTATAAACAGGTTGACTTGTTTATTCCTCGCTACAAAGGCAGAAGGCGAACGTATAAGTATCAAAGAATTTGGAGAAAAGTTACGACTTCCAAATGTCAACAGTGTTTTAGACTTAGAGTTTACAGTATCTCAAGGGCTTAAATTTGAGTACTATGTTCATCATCCATATAGACCAGCCTATGGGTTTTTTTTAGATTTGCAGGTAAAACTTATTGCACCAGATTTGAAGGAAGCAGGAGCTGAAATTCACTCATACGTTATAAGCAGTCTGAATCAGTAGATTTAAATACATTGAAAGATACGTACAGTAAAGTCGAAAAGATCTTGGCCGACATAATTTTGAGTGATTTACCATTGATATATCAGCCTTCACAGTTGGCATTGGCAGCATTCATTTCGGCAGGCGAAGAAAACGGATTTGATCAACGTGTCAAGGATTATATAACGGATAAGTTTGGTAATAATGCAGCTACATTATTGAATATTATAAACAAAATCGTCCATCAGATCAAGGAATTTAAACCAGTAACCCAAGATGAGGCAAAGAAAATCGATTACAAATTGAAAAGGTGCAAGAATCCAGCTATGAATCCAGAATCAACAATGTAAGCAAAAATAATCAGGGGGGACATTTTATGGACAAAAAGCATGATGATTAAAATGTGTATATCCGTATACCTCTTACCGTACAGATATAAAAAGAGATTAGCAGAAAGAAAGGAGACTAACGAAGAAGAAAAAAGAAAAAAAGCAAAGCTGACACAATCTTAAAGCTTTCTTCGTTTTTTCGGATTTTCGTGCTTGATACAATTTCTACAGAACCATTTTCCTTTCGGAGGTGTTTGTAAGCCTACACATTCCAAATGGAACCATTCCACTTCACACTATATCACCAACAGAAACTAGATTAATTCCACTATACTAAATTGTGTTCACGAGTGAGTAAACTTACATCAGGGTTATCGCAAGCAACCATCTCACCGAAGGATACTTGGTTACAGTAACAATAAACTGGCTCATTTGGATCAATAGGCAAATCACTTAACGTAGCAGCACTAAATATAATCATAAAATTTGCATCAGTCTCTTGTCGTCTATCAGCCGAATTCCTAGTTCAGTAAATTGTGATACGTACGCTTCGGCATGCTGCATAACATCAGCTGTTGATAAATATGTTTCTCCATCTTGGATTGCACTTTGAGTATTGGCATTGGAGCGTGAAGCTCTACCACGTTTACGTCCTATGCTTGGTAAATAAAAAGTTTATACCTATCAGTTTCCCTTTTACTAAGTAGAATAATGGATATCCTGATTCACCTCTTGTCGCCTTGGTAGTGGTAGTGGTAGTAGTAGTAGTGGATGCTGTAGGGGCAGATTTTCTACCTCTACTACCAGTATTTTTTATTCTTGACGTGTCAACGGCACCCATATCTGCCTGTTGCTTTGTATCCGCATTTGATCTCTTTTCTCCAGTTAAAACAGTAGTGGTTGAGGAAGACGGATTGATTCGTCCAGGTCCAATCAACTGTTCCTCTTCTATTCTTTGCAGATCATTATCCAACTTCGCGCAATGTCTATCTACCTAATAGGGAGACAAAAAAGTCAATAAATTACATGTTCACGTATAGCGTTCGTAGAGTTGTGTTTGCGAGTCTCTTTGTTTTATTTTACGGTGTCATATGTCGTTTTAGCTAAGGCGAATTTCTCTTCTGCTTTCTTCAATGCTTCGTTCTGTAAATGACTGATCTGTTCTTTTCGCTTCCTTCTTTCTTCTTTTGTTAACTTGCGGTTGATGGATTGCAGTTCAAGAACCGCAGTTTTTACTTGAGACATTAACTGTTCGACATTCTCGTCTAATTGTCTTATAAGGGTATAATTGCGTTGCAATTCCAAAGGTAAAGCCTCAACAGCTTTTTGTGCAAAAGGAAAAAACGAAATATTAAAAAAAAAAGTTTAATATCAATACTATACGTTGAGAGTCATTTTGAGCTAAGACTTACTATCGGCGTAGTCCACTAAATAATTCTTTCTACCATTCGGATTCTTCATTAGTTTTCACAGAGAAAGGCAAAAGAATAGGAAAAGAAAAAGGTACACTAATTCAAAGTCAGCGCTAGTTTAATTTCTATGGGATAACACGGTGGTGAGGTAGGTGGTGTAATGGACGGTGTCAAATTTCCAAACAGACATGGTGAAACCAGAAAAAAGAAAAAAGAGAAAACTTATCAGATCTTTTGATCATTTCCTCCGTTTGATCTAATTGCATCATCAATCAGTGAATATGGACCATCGCTAATAGAAGAAAACAATCTTTTCTTTGAGAGCGGATCAGTGTTATCATGTTCGGTATACAATCTAAGGCCTACATTTTTACATAACCGCTTTCTTTTTTTTTCGTTTTTTTTTCCCCCATTTCCTTACATTTGAGAGGTCAACGTGCCCAAGTAAGAAGATCAGATAATTCCGAAACTCACCGTTACCCCAATCTAGCAGGAAAAATTTAACGCATGAAACAGGTCCCTTCTCACCCCCTTTTCAATACCACTTTTTTTATATTAGCCTCCCATGTCTCTTTTTAAATCATTAACTAGTTTAATAAGTAAAAACGAAAACACAACTGACGAAAGTCAACTACAGCAGCAACTGGATGAAGTAAAGGGAAAGGAAGATAACGGGCATCCTCCCGTTGGAATTGATCAGATCCCTCCATCCGATGTTTTAGTCACCGATTGCTGTGATTGTGATAAAGACTGTTTGGAACATCAAAAATACCCTCCTCTTAACTTTGATACCGAAACGCGTTTACTCGGTTCCATGCTTCCTTATGGACGTCATGTCATGATTGCTACAGCTCAGAGTGATTGGCCAGCTCGAATTGAAGAAGACTATGGTACACTTGCTGCTAATCTACAAGCATTACTAGCAAACAATCCTATGCCTTGGAGAACGTTTGTAACAAATACTTCACAAATACCCTCGCATGGATCAGAAGTACACTGTGGCCTTGATGTGACTATTCTGCCAGACAATATCATACTCGGTGATGTGACGCCTGATGATGCTCAACTTATTTATGATGTATTCTGTAAAAGACCGTTGCCAGCCACAGACGAAGTGAATATTGAGGAGGAATTTAAAAATGTTGATTTGAAAATGTTAAAGATATTCCCAGTCTTGTACGATTCAATGATTTTGATATGCTCACATAGAAAAAGAGACAAGCGTTGTGGTGTAACGGCCCCAATTCTACATCGTGAATTCGACCATGTTTTAAGAGATTTAGATATAAACGATGGTGAAGGTGGGACAACTGTGATGATGGTTAGTCACATAGGAGGTGAGAGCTTCTTTTATTTCTTTTGTTTCTGCTCGATAAACATCCCATCTATAACACTTTACGCTATTTTAGGTCATAAATACGCAGGCAACGTTATCACTTATATCAACAGAGGAAGAACTGGTATTTGGTATGGACGTGTCAAAACCTGCCATTGTAGAGAAATTGTTGAACAAACTATTCTCAAAGGAAAGGTCATTAAAGAATTATATCGTGGGTCCATGTCCCATAGTTTTGGTGATGTTGAAAAGAATAAAAAATGTAGGCTAGAATGGTAGTAGAGCAGCTGGCCATCCCAACGATTTGTACATACCTAAAAGTAAACTTAACGTTCACGTTCTTGTCTCTTTACACTGTTCATGTAACGAATAAATATCAGCATACGCTCCTCATGCTGTTGAAAAAAGGCAGAGAAAGAGAAGGGGTCTACCGGTAGAAATCGAACCAGTTTCGTGCTGGCGATTAGTAGGATGCTATTAAGCGGTTGATGCGGGTCAGTAGGTCATCCCCACGGTTAAGCATGCGGGGGTCTTCTAAAATCGCATAAAAGCAACAACCAACGTCAGGAACAATACTTAACCCTGGGTATTCCTAAGCACTCAAAATTTCATACCTGATTTCAAAAAAATATGTATGCAACAGGATATCATCCGATGAGTTTCAAGGAAGAAGGGTGTTTTTTGGTCAAAAGCCTTTCTCTGCAAAAAGAAACAGATAGAACATCATCTCTATCGACATTTGGATGACCATTATGATTTTGATACACAGGTTTTCGATAGGCATAAGCTAAAGATGATGGAGGTACACACAATGATACCAGTTACAGCTAAATACCAATTTTCTTCAACAATACTAAGTATTCGTTTTCAAAATGTAAATGACGCTCCTTATACTGACTTTTTTGATTATCGTTAAGCAGTGTTTGTTTGAACAGTCAGTGGAAAAGGGGGTCATTCTCAACCATAATATGTTTTATCAATAATGTCTTTATCTAAAGAATAGCGCTGCTGTTTAAGGTCAAGCAACAAGGGATAAGCCCATCAAAATTTAGATATGGCATTACGATCCTACTTGATCAAGTTAGAAGTAAAGTATTATTTCCAAGTTAAACATAAAACAACAACCCCTTCCCTCTCCCACGCAAACACACAAAAACAGTTATTTTCACGTGAAAACATTTGAAAACAGTAGCAGAAATAAGACCATGACAAAAAGGAATATGTAAATGATAGCATTGAGTTAGCTTATCCCAGGACTCGAACCTGAATAAGAGTAAAAATAATTACTCTTGTTTTAACTATTTAAACTAGATAAGCAAATATGGGAATCTTGGCCTGAGGTTTCCTCATAATCCTTAAAAAATGTAACACTTGCTCAAAAGAAAGAAAACTATGGAACGTGGAGAGGCTTGGATTATAAAAGTTGAAGTCCTAAGCTAGGTCATAAAAGGTACTCTGCCAAAAAAGCAGGTGTTCGGTTTGCTCCCCTCGCCAAGCGCTTCGCGATTATGATTAAAGCTTCAGACAGACAAAACAACTCTTGATAACCAAGTGGTATATAAGGGGAAACATAAAAAGGGGAAGGTGTGAAGGCAATAACAAACAATCTACCGCCGTCCTTCAGTGTTAGGATCCCAGAACACGACAGATGACCGCTCAACCCCAACACTAGCGACAGAGGGATTTACAAGGCCCAGTGAAACTGTCCTATGGTCTGCCGGTGTCAATTAAGAACAAGATCAATGGGAATGAAGAACAGAGTTTGTAGTAGACTGCCGCCAAAGCCGAGGAGCAAGCGTTACAGAGGATATAAGTAAACGAAGGCCGTTAATGTATGAAAAAAGAAGAGAAGAAAAGAGACCTCCAAAGAGAAAACATGGGGGCTTTTTATAAGAAAATTTTCTTCTTGTCACGCGACGTCCAAACAGTCAACGATACAAGCCTCCCTATTCTTATGTAAGTAGTCTCTTCTTAACTAGTAACCTATGCCTACAAATTATCGTGGGATACTTTTGAAATGAAATTCGGTTATAAAATTCTGACTGATATTGGCGCTATTCAACTAACTGACCAGGCTGAATAAGATGCGACGCTATATAAATACTTATATACTAACCAAAGGTTGCTTGACGTGATGCTATTCAGTCAAGTTCTTCTATCTTTCTATGACATAAAGCTTTTTCGGTATTGTATCAATAAATTTCTTTATATATGCATCTTTTCTGAAGATGCTATGAATTCAAATACGCCTTAACGTATCTACACTGCTCTCTACAACTTAGATATTGTTTCTATTCGTAATGCAAGTTCTAACTTTATTGACCCCAAACTACATACATTCAACACAAGGAAACGGCTATGATTTGCATCTGGCTTTGACGGATTTCAATATAATGTTAAAGAAGAGGTTGATATCCAGTTCTCATATGAATCCAACTTATAACCATCGAGTGTATCCCCAGCAAAAACCAGTATACCAGAAATTTGGTAATTTGGAATCTAGTCAACGCCAGCAAGTAAGTGTAGAATCTTTTAGCAGCGTTGACGTCCGGTTCCAAAGAATCGAGCAGATTTTGCAGGCACAAATACTTTGGCCGGAAACAGTCTTCAACTCTTAGACAGTGTAGAGCGGCAGTTGTTACATGTTCGAGATTTTTAGTTATTCATCAATAGTTATAACGAGGAAATCGCCAGCAGCCTCTTTTCGCGTTAATACACGCCAAAGAATTCCAACGACACCAGTTTTGTGGCCTTTGATAGGAACGACAGACTTCCAGAACATGCCACTGCCATATACAGTCAGAAAGACCCTTCTAATATCACCTACATTGAAGGGGTCAGGCTTCCACTTGCTCTTTACGGTATTACTGTGGAAAACATGAATTCTATCAGCATTTTATGCAGGTAGTAGATGATGTGCTTATCATTCAAAAATCTTGCTTATCTTTCTTTGCGATAACTTTGTTTACTTCTCTCTCTTCATCATGTTTTTCTTTCTGTATTTAGAAAGAGCCATTTTGTCGGTATTCTTCTTTGGCCATTTGCCTTAATCCTGCCACCGATTTAATCTTTTGCAAGATTTTGGCTTTAAACATGGTAAGTATTCCCTAACAGAATGAGGAAACAAAGTATGAAAGAAAGTCAAATGGGGAAAGACATCAAACTTATTTTCTGCAAATGCTCCGAATCTGGCAACATATACTTTTATTATGACTGACAATAACTGTTACGGGATCAGTTTGACGCGTATATGATCCATAAATAAAGCCTCTTAAAGAAACAAACCCTGTGTCTATTGCTAATATGTCTCAACAAAATACTCAGTACGTCTCGTAGTACCTTAGACGTACTGTCGCTATCAATTTAAAAGTGTCCACTGAACTTCAAAATAATGTTTCTAATGTTTAGTGGTTTATTCTGCTTCGAGAGGTACAACTTCCTCCCTTACATGTTTGAAACTATAATTATAATCATCTGTACCAAAAGGCATTTCCCATCCAACTTCCTTGTCATCCACAAGAAGCCATAGTCGTAGTAAGTGACGAGTAGCACCAGGAATATCAGTATAAGCAGTACGAGCATGTAATATTTGATAGTTTTGAACAAATTGCATGTCGCCGACTTCCAGTTTCATGTTCAGCGCCTCACGTTCACACAATTCTTGAATATAACGCATGGCTTCGAACTTTTCTTCTTCCATGGTCACCTCAGGAAAACGATTCACTGTTTCGAAAAAATGTGGACCCCAAAAGGTAAACAGGTGGCCTTTGTAGTAAGTTAATGGAGATGCTGACAAATAAGGCTTTTCATCGGGGCCTTGTTCATTTTTACGATCCCAAAGCCATGGCTGCTTCATCAATTCAACTATATCTGGACGATCTTCTCGTAAACGGTTATAAACAGTGTGCGATGAAATGATAGAGCTTAAGCCGCCTTCATGGCCTTCTGATAAACAAAGTAAACCAACTACATCAGTACCGTCTACGTGAAAAGGTTGGGCTCTTCGCGTAGCGTAAATACGTGTGGTTGGGTCATCCTCTTTATAAACAGCCTTTGTTGTTGAGTTTTCTGTCAGGTCCTTGACATGGCCTAGTACATGCCCTTTAGCATTTTGAGGCTTACGAATACCGATATACGAACCAATACCCATGAAAATCGCTACTTGTTCTTTGCGATCATAATTCAGAATCGGAAAACCACGGAGAAGACCGAATCCCAAACCATTGAACAGATTTTCACGCTCTTTTGCAATCACTTGATGGAAAGTTTTGAGGGGGAAAGTGTCAGGTCTAATCTGTCCTAAAGGTAGATTGAGTGAAAGGAAATGCTTGAGTGCTTGGTCGATGTCGGCTATATCCTCAGGAGTAAAGCGATAGATCCACTTTTCAGGTTGTTGCTGGAGTTCTTTGCCGCTCCAAGCTGAAGGGCCAGTTATACGGTCTGGGTAGTCAGCATTTGCTGTATGATTTTCGCCTTGAAGAGAAAAACCGCGCCAATTCTTCTTGGTGCTGGAAGTATCATCAATACTAGCAGTATTAGTATTTGTAATGGACGAAGGCTGCTCAACTGAAGTCATTTTCCTTAAAATGGTAACGTTTCGGGTTTTCTCAAAAGTTTACAGATTTGATGTGTTGTTGAAGTGGCTTTATAACAGAACGAAAAGAAATAAGCACCTATCTTTCATTACACCCACACTCACCTTCAATCTCTCTTTATATATTCGTTTTAGCATATTAGGTTTTTGTATGGCAAATCTCTTCCAACTATTGCGCTATTTTACTCTATCGTCAATCAAAGAATTGCACCACAGCAACACAGAATCAAGGAAACCCAGATTCGTCAATCTGTACTATTCTTGCACCATCCAATCAACGTGTTTTTGTACTTCAACCTACATTATTGAGAAAACGCTTTATATGTTGTCTTCAAAGAAAACCTCATATCGTCTATCCATCACTGATTTCAAACTGTATGCTCTGTTGCTATAAGTCTGTGCATTTCCATGCGTTTCTTTTCGATTTATTACAGTACATAAAAGAGAGATAGTTACATCTAAGATTCGAATCTGTATCATGCTTTTAGAGTTTGAGCACTATTCATTCTTATTGCAAGACAAATAGTTGGTCAATCAAGAATTAGTAAGATAGAATTCCCATCCGTTTGGAACAAAAGCAATACTTCTAAAACTCCTTCAACTCTTAGAAATGCAGTACTTTAAAAACTATAGCTGAAAATGCCGGAATACAGAATCTTTACCAATCCATGCACAGTGCTTCAGGTTAATGATGATTTTCATTTTGATGATATTGCTGACTATATCGAGTCAAAACCAGCATGCTTTGCCGTACTTAAACATTAATCTTTATAATTATTCTGCTTACTACTGAGAGTAATGTATCAGATTATACATATCTCACTTCAATTTTGAAGAATTCTGAAAAGAGCACAAATCTGTCTTTTGAGAAGACAGCAACTTTTCGTTTCCAAAATCTCTTTTTTAGCTATTAAGGCTTCTTACTTGAGAGTATGCCTTGGCACGGTGAGTGAATAAAAAAGTAAACGCTCCCAAATACCTGGATTCCTTGAATTTCTTTAGGACATGAATGATATTTAAGGCTCTTCTGCACAGGACCTTAGCTTGTAATATACACTTTGAATGAATATAGTTTTTTTTTTTCAAGATATGAGTTGAGCTATTCTTATCAGTGTGGTATTGGTAACAATGCTGATTTTACGCCGCAAATGGGTTAATTTTTTTTTTTTTTTTTTTTTTTTTTTTTGCGGAAAGCGTTGATCATGAGTCTCACCTAAGATTTTTGCAGCAGTACTAGCAGTAATGGGATTTTCAAGTCCGTAACTGTTGTTGTGAAAGGTTTAACAACCATGATGGTCATAGCCACACGCCAGTTGTAACTTTTTCTTTTTTTTTTTTTCTTTTTCTGTTCTAATTTACTCGTCTTGAATTGAATTTACACACACAAAGTTTGTTTTTCTTCTTTTTTACTATTTGTAGATTCACGCAATGACGAAACAAGTTGTCCTCATCACAGGTTGTACTCAAGGTGGAATAGGTAAAAGAGCAAAGTTAGGAAGAATAACTCATACAAAAACGAAGAAAGTTATAAGATTCATTTTTCAATATTTTAAATTAAAGGCTATTCATTCGCGAAAAAGTTTGCTGAAGAGGGTTGTCAAGTCGTTGCTACTGCACGCCGTATTGAAGCTTTATCAGGACTAGAAGGTAACGTTACCCTATATAAACACGTTTGTCAAGCAGAAAAAAGATATTATAGTCTGAAAACTGAACTTCGCTATGATGGGCAATAAAATAGAATTTGGTTGTGAAAAGGAGGCATTAGATATCACAGATCGCCAAGCAGTTAATGCTGTTGTTGAAGTAAAGTATTCTTTACAGTTTTGTCTATTGGTTTTGTTAACATGAGCACCATGTCTGGCATTTCTATGAATCGTTGTTTAACTAAGCTAAGTTGCTCCATCTAGAAAGTAATTGAAAGATTTGGACACATTGGTAAGTGAAGGTTTTGAGGATTGTATATTACAATAATTATGCTAAAAGCAAACAAAAAAATCTGAAAAAAAAAGATGTGCTGGTTAATAACGCTGGTGTCCCGTAAGTCAACTGGAGGGCAAGCGAATGAACGTTCCTATGGAAATATATAATATTAACCATCTTTTTTGATGAAGTGCCGTGGGAGCTTTAATGGATGTTGATCTGGATTGGGCTGAGCAATGTATCAATACGAACGTGTTTGGTACGCTTGTTTTGTCAAGAGTTGTTGCAAAGCATATGGCGAATCGAGGAAAGGGAAAGATTGTAAATGTAGGCTCTGTCGTGGGTTACGCATCAACACCCTGGGCAGGCATTTATGCTATGTCTAAAGCTGCTGTTCACTCAATGTCAGATACTTTACGTATGGAATTGAAACCATTTGGCATACAAGTTGTTGTTGTTGTACCTGGTAAGCGCTTCTCTTTGTCTTTCTCATCGCCTTCACTCAATTGTGTGAGCTTAATTGAAAAAAAAAAAAAACTTGTTACAGGCTCTATCAAATCCAACATTGGAACAGCCGGTGTTAAGACAGTACAGGTTCCCGAAGGTAATGAACAAAACTTTTAGTTAAAATCGGTAAACAAAAGGTCTTTTACTCATTTGATTGTGAATTGTTTTAGATTCCCTATATACAACTGTTTCGAATTATATTGTTGCTAGAGCCAATCTATCACAAGGTAAGCAAATGAGATAGAAGATTGGACTACAACGAAAACTCAAATGTCTATTTTTTTACATTTAAAATCAAGGTCTCAAGGCTACTCCTACCGACGCTTTTGCCAGTCATGTCGCCAAAAGAGTGTTGAAGCCTGTCTCGCCGCGGTATATTACTTATGGCTACTTGTGTTCCATTTTCTATGCATTTTACTACCTGCCGTTTTTCATCAAGGATTTCTTCTTTAGTCGAAGATTCGGTTTGCATCTTTTGTATAAAAATGAAAAGAAAGATTAAAAGCTACTTTTGTTTGATAGCAAAATAAAATACACTGTGGTGGGACGTCAGTGGCGAGTAGCTAACATGAGACAAACATGATTGATACCCACCTACATTCGAAAGCCAAAGTAAAAGTCAAAGTTAGGCTATTCAGCAAACCACTAGATCGCAAGAGGAGACTACACAATCAGTATTCACATTCCTGTGGAAGGCAAAATTGTGTAAGAGTGCCACGAAGTGACGGATGAGTACAAAGTGTCACGGCTACCTGGCAGTGGAAGCAAACAATACATATCATAAACTATGCTTATTGATAATGGAATGATAGTCTTTGCACCCTTCCCGTGCTTCATTTTTTCCTTCCTTGTAAACTAGAAAAAGGACTAGCCTTTCAAAGACCTTTTTTGTATAAGACCGCGTAGCGAGATCAGAGAAGCATTCCTTTAGTAGCGCAGGTCACTTGCTGATTTCCCTTTTTTTTTTTTTTTTTTTTTTTTCTTTTCTTTCGTTGGTGCAGCGAGCAAGACGAATGTGTATCAATTTTCATGGGAAAAGGAATCCTTTTTTCTTAAAGACAAGATTGAATTGAATCACACTCTCACAAATTCATGTACTCACAATGGCAAAAAAAAAAAAAAAAAACCTGAAAACTATGGATCTGCAAGAGCTCTAAATCACCATTTGTCATTGTTTCAATGGATATGTATTCCTTTTCTAATGAGAGAAGCAGGATATTATTCTCAAGTAAGATTTTGATTTGTTAGCCGATCGATAGAAACACTAGACGATATAACGGAGCAGCACGGTGAAAAAAAAAAAATTGTCTGTTGATAATCGGTATGGCTTACAATGAATACAAAAAGTAGAGGATAGATTAGAAACGCGTAAATTCTGTAAAACATAAAAACATTACAACGTTGTGCTGCAAATGATACGCAGGCGTTGTAATTGCCCTTTTGTTATTGTAGTGCATAACCTTGTATCAATTGTATACAATCATTAATGTTGTTGGCCTTTTTTTTTGGCTTCTGTGTTTCCTTTGATGATGAACTATGAGCATCATCTGTGTTTGTTAAGGATCACATCGTAACCGTGCTTCTCTTGTATCAATTAAAAGAACGAGAATGAGCGAATAATACAGATAGAGACACTATAACCAACTGTGAACATTGCCCATATTAAAAAACGGAATAGGGAATTAAAAAAAAAAAAAAAAAAAAAAAAAAAAAAAAGAAAGACAATAGTACTTTTGTTCTTTGATCATATGTGACATGTTAATTGGGTAGTATAAGGATTTGGGCGAAACTTTGCCCTTGTAATGAAAATCGGAAGCATCCATCCGAGAGCAAAGTAACACTAAACTTACATTCCTACAAAAGACGGTTGACGAGCCGAGTCGTATAGGACCCGAATATCATAGATCTATGACGGCAAAGGTTGTTCATGACGATCCTCCAAGTTGTATTTCCACTGCCAGTTTGCAAAATGGATCGATTGTTTGCGGGAAATAGCACTTGTGATGCGTATTATTACTAGCTTACATGAATGGTGATCACCTTTCAAGCAAACAAAACGAGTCATCTAAAGAGATGTAGTATATCACTGACTTTCTTTGCTCATTTAAGTTAATGTTTTCCTTTGACTTTTATAGAACTTTTGTGTAGTACGATTCAATCCCTTTTTTTTTCGGTTTTTTTTTTTTTTTTTTTTTTTTTTTTTTTACACTCTAATGACCTTCAAGTATTTAAGTATGTTTATTTGATTGCTTTTTTATCAATAAACCTAGCTGCAAAATTTCCAAATACCAGTTTATTCATTTCTTTTAAAATTCTACATAGATACCCTTCAATTACTTTTTTTTGATAGATAATATATCTTTCATTCGTTCCTTTCATCAACAAAGCAAAAGTTCGAACAAAAAAAAAAAAAACCAAAAAGTTCCGGTAATAAGCTTTCAACATCCAATGGGAAACAATATTAGTTCCGACGACAATGACATTTGGACTCACCAGCAGCAAGTAAATAATAATGCAACTCAAGCAGTGATAGGCAAATCGTCTCAGCACTCACAAAGTTCAGCAGCAGCAATTGCATTGAAGCCGCAGCAACAACAACAGCAGCCATCTCGAGACAGCCAGCAACCATCCACAGCTTTTCGAAAAGAGGAAAAGTACTCATTAACAAAAGATAAATCGATGCTAGCGACGATATCAGAAAAACAGCAGTTAGAAGATCACTACAACGGGCTCTTTCACCGCTACCAGAATACACCATCGCCCTTCTCTGTTGTCAGCTATTATGATCAGCAGCCCTCACGACATCGATGCCACAGTCGAGCCAGTCCAGATTCAAACAGATACAGCTCTTCCATCATGAATAGTGGCTTTAGTAGCGCAGTGGGTGGTGATTCCTTTCATTTTTCCAGCGTGGCCGATTCAACCATCACTGATTTTACCAATGCTTCCACCTTCTCCATCAATTCATTTTTAGACAAGGCTTCAGATGAGAAAAATGACTTTATGCCCTTTTCAGTATCAGTCAGCAACCCAACCATCGATCCTCATCATCCCATTGAACTAGAATCATTAAGCACAGCGCAGGCTATACTTGATCTTTTGTTAAAGAAACCCGAAGCGATCTATGACGTCTTTAGTTATGTATTGAGTCATACGGGCAGTGCTCGTAACACGAATCACACAGAACCGTGCGATGCAGCATTCCAAAAAGAAGCATTTTTAGCCATGGAAACCTGGAGTTTGAGAGCGACAGACACATTTGCCAAAGTGATGGTGGCATGCTGTCGACTGTACGGTTGGGGAACCGAAAGAGAACCTGAGTTGGGCTTCCACGATCTGCAAAGCTTGGCAAAGCGGGGTGTCTGGGAAGCGTTTTATTTCTTGGGACAATGTTATCATTATGGTCTTGCGTCAGACGACACGGCGATGGACCGAGAAAAAGCACTCTACTGGTATGCCAAACTGGTGGAAAATGCTGAGAACGCCGCAAACTATCAGCAAGCGCAACTGTACGTTGCTGAAGCCCAGTTTCGTATCGTTGCCATTCAGTTTGCTGCTGGAAAAATTACGTTTGATAATTTACATGAAAATGTAGACATGCTTAAACAAAGTGCTGATAGCGGGAATAGGTAAAGAGAGAGAGAGAAAAAAGAAAGAAATGGATCACTCTTTCACTCATCACCATTTTTTTAATATCCATCCCCCTGAACAGAAAGGCCGAATTCTCTTTCGGTCTTATGCTGGACTCGGGTGTTATTAAAGACGATGTCTCTGCGCTAGAATATTATGAACGCAGTGCCATCAAAGGGTATGCTCCAGCGCAAGTTCAGTTAGGATTAAGTCTGATTCGAAATGGTTCAAGTGAGGGTATCGACTGGCTTAAAAAAGCAGCCGAAGAACAGGTACGGATCATAAAAAAAAAGCAACGCCAAGATAAGTACCCTCCGACAAAAAGTGAACTGACTGGTCCTATTCATACACAATTTTTGACTTTCTTTAGCACGATGCATGGGCGTATTACTATTTAGGTGAAAGTTATGAATTTGGACGATGTGTTGAGGTTGACAAACTAGCTGCTTATCAGTGCTATTCGAACGCTGCCGAGGGAGGCAACCATTACTTGGCACAGTTCCGTCTTGGCATGCATTTTCTTTATGGTGGTCTCGGGCTTCAAAAAGACCTATCCAAGGCTTTCCAATACCTCAAGACGTCTGCAAGAGCGGGCTATCACGACGCTCAATATTTATTGGGCATGATGTATCGTCAAGGGAACATTCCTGAGCTCTCTGAGCCCTGCTCTCCATCTTCAAAAAATACAAACCGCCATGCTCGAAAACTACGCCATGAGAAAGAAGCTTTTCGGTGGATTCGGCGAGCCGCCACGCAAGGCATGCACACAGCCATTACACAGATTGCTCATTGTTATGAAGAAGGTATCGGCACAGCCGTCAATCACGCTTTAGCGACAGAATACTACTCTATCGCAGTGAAGATAGCTGGAAAACATCTCCCGAGCGCTCAGCTCACGTATGCTCGCTTTCTTCACAAGAGCGGCCACTATAGCAAGGCGCTCGAGTTGTACCTCCTCGCGGCTGGGATCCATGGCTCCACGTTGAATACGGTTCCGTCCAGTCCCGTTATCGCACGCGTCGCTAAACGGATGGTGGCTCTGATTTATTTGGATAAAAGCGATACAACCACTCCTTACGAGCCCAAAGAAGCGCTTGACTTGCTGTTTTCTCTCGCTGATTGCCCCGAAGGAGACGCTGATGCGCATTATTGGATCGCCGTTTGTTATGAAGAAGGTGTGCCTGACGTTTTAGCTGTCAACTTGCAAAAAGCGTACGAGCATTACTTGATCTCCGCTCATCTTGGATCAAGTGATTCACTTTTCCAGGTAAGAATAGAAACCCTTTATGTTTTAGGGATAGGACATGAACAAAAAAAGCAACTAACGTTTTTTTTTTTTTGATATTTTATTCTTCCCGACCCCCTCCCCCCCCCTCCCCCACCCTTCACCTGCTTTTTGCTGACATTTCCGAATCCAGGTTGGATACATGCTGTGTAAAGGCATAGGGGTCAAAGAAGATAAGGGTGCGGCGTTTTCGTGGTTTCAGAGATCGGCAGATAGGAACCATGCCGATGCTCTTTTCTACGTTGGCATCTACCATTACAATGCGAATGCACCTCTGTTAAAAAGAGACCATGAACAAGCTCGTCTCTGTTTCCGGAAAGCAGCAGAATCCAATCATGTGGAAGCTATGGTGGCCTATGCTCAACTATGCCAAGATAAACTCAACCTCTTGTCCTCCTCCTCTGCGGCCGATGCGGCTGAAATGAAACGACTACAAACAGAAGTGATGAGATGGTATACAAAAGCAGCCAAAAGAAATAGCATTAAAGCATTGCGTGAACTGGGTCGCATTTATACGGTCAAGGGCGATTTCAAAAACGCTTTAGAAAGTTATCTTAAAGCGGTCAGTCACAATGATGGTCTGTCGACTTTGATCTTGGGTGGATTTTATGAAAACGGACAAGGAATGACCGCCAATACACAAATAGCTCTGAAATGCTATGCCAAGGCTTACGAATTAGGACAAGCAACGTAAGTAAAGGCTCAAGAGAAGCCAATACATGATGAGAAAACTTATAAAGTCTTTTTTTTTTTTTTTTCTTCGCTCTTTTTAGTGCATTGTTTGCTAGTGCCGAACTCTATGAAAAACTACAAAAGTTCTCCATAGCTTATGCTTATTATCAACGCGTCTTACAAGAGCCAAAAATATCACATCAACTTTTATCAAAGAAAATGTCCAAACTGAAAATAGCACTCTATAGCTTACATTATTGTCCGACGACTGCCATTTTCGCCCCCACAGATTTGACAGCAACGATGACACAGCCCTACTTATTTGAAAGCATTCCTTCCTTGCTGCCTAAATCCGAGGCATTCCAACTTTTATTGACGCTTGGAAAAGTAGAGCAGTTTGACAAAGCAAAATACTGGATAGCTAAATGCTATTTTGATGGAAATGGTACGCGTCAAGATAGAGTAGAAGCGTCACGTTGGCTTTCCACCGTCAGCAATCTTTAATAAGGCTCTTCAGAAAGGGTCAAAATCATTGTATTTCTTTTTTTTTTTGTTTTTTTTTTTTTTCTTCCAGATTTTCTGTCATGTAAAATACTTCTATGCATTGATACTTTCATTTTAGACACAGTCATTCGTTCAATTTATTTTCTATGCTTTATCCCATCTCTTTCTATTATTATTATTATTATTATACCAGCTCTTATAGATATCCTCGTTTTAACCACAATAGCTTAGCATCTCTCTCTTTCTCTCTTTTTTCTTTTTCTTCATACAGTCTATATTATTATCCTCATTTTTTGCTTTTTTTTTTTTTTTCTGTAAAGATATACTATTATGCCCCTCTTATTCATTATAACTGTAGTTCTATTGAAAGCGAAAAAAAAAAAAAAAATGTTTTTTTGATCAACGTTTTATTGTTGGCTTTGAATGAGTTTTCTGTTGAAGTTGAAAAAGGGATCGGTGATCTATCGTTTTATAGCTAACAAAAACCACGTGTGTTCCTTTGGAGGGGCGCCGCAAAAAAAAAAAAAAAAAAAAAAAAAGCAAGCCCCAGTATGGCTGGCTTTCGGTTCAACAGGTCAAAACCCAGGGAAGAGTGCAAGTTGGCTCGAGCGCGCAAAATTAGTCCATCCATGTTTTTGAACGCACGATTGACGACAGTTTTTTTTTTGGTTTTTTTTTCATTCATTTGCAGCCATTGATGTCATAACGTGCGACTAGCACTGCCTATGTGCCATCGTTTGGGTTTAGTGTTTATGATCAGTCCAGAAACGGCAGCCAAAGGTGAGTAGACTAAAGTACAACAAGCAGATGCATAAGAACGCCCATTTATTCTCAACATGCGTCCTATCCCAATCCAACAGTACCATGTCAAAGTGGAAAATTTGATAATATTCACCACTTGCTAGGTATAGATTGTCTGTTGAGGCTTGCACCTCATCCCATTCTCTACGCTTCTCTTCCATCATGTGCGCTCATAGAGAGCCTATTTTGAACCAAGGCTTTCCTTTATAAAGTTGGCTCTAAATTGAACTGAAACAAGAAAAAAGAAAAGGTTCATGCCAATCATTTAGGAAAGCCTTTTTAGGACGAAATAGAATGTATAAAACTTTTATGTGTTGACAACAATTTAAAATGGTTCAAAGGAAAGATGTTTTGCTTCCATTGTAGCCTCTTCATTGACATCAAAAATGACTTGATCCAGTGAAAGCAAATTTGTCTTTTTTACTTTTTTTTGACAACAAATCTCTTATCACTCACTCTCAGTTTCACCCCTCCGCAATCTCACCCCCCAATCATCCCCAACCGCGGTATTAACATTGCTATGCAGCCGCTCGTTTTGGTCGCGTTGTCTAAAGTATTTGGGCAATTGTTCACATTCTTCTGATACAAAATCAGGGCGAAAAAAGGAAACGATGCATTTTTTTTTTTTTTGGTTGTTGTTGTTGTCCAAAAATGATACTCAAACGATCTACACATTTTTTAAGAAGATACTTGTTTTGTCTCAATTGGGATGATGACAGGGGTGGTTTGGGAATTGGGGGGGGGGAGGAGGCGCATTCCTTGACAACAACACCTATGTCGTCTAGAACGAAGAGTACAACTCTCGGAGAAAATATGTGCGCACTTTATGAACCGTGCCATAGGTATGACAAAGTAGAGTGTAGTATGAATGCAACTGAACGATGGACACAGATGGAGAAGAACCTTTGGCTTTGGGCATTGCAGAAGCAATAAGACGTTCCTGAAACATCTTTTCTATCCACACCATTGCCCTCACGAATGAATGAAGGAATGAAAGACGAGTATGAAAAGAACGCAAGAAGAGGTAATGCCAATGTTACTCAAATTCAAGTTTGGCTTAGCCCCTCCTCCTCCTCCTCCTGCCTTCAATAATGACACGTTACATTTTCGCTGAACATTTCGCCTCATCTTTATTTATCCGTTCACATCCATCCGATCCTCTTTCCATGCATACAGAGTCGATCTCGCGACGAAAAAAGAACAAATCCCTTTTTACACATACATGATGTTGCAAAAGTACCTATTGCCTATCCGTCCGCCATCTACCCAACTGTAGAGAGGGGTGTTGGTCTGTTGGATGATGAACTAAAACAACAGCATTATGTCATGTTGTTGTTGTTGTTGTTGCGGTTATTTCTGTGTATTACAGGTAAGTTCTGGCCTACTGAGTCCGAGATGGCTCATCTAAATTTTGTATTTAGTCCTGTGTGGAGCGATACACGAAAAAAAAAAAATAATAAACAGAATGGACGCGCGCCAAACGGTTCCCAGCAGAAGCACCCCCTCACCCCCCCCGCTCCCACATCATAGTTATGTTTTCCAAATTCAAGATGACAGCCGTCTGCTGTCTCTTTCTTTTTTATATGAAATACAAAGTGTTCTATTGATCGACAAGAGGAGTAGTAGTGTATCATAACGAACACAATAAAGAGAAGGGGGCAAATATAGTAAAAAGGAGACACAGAATGGACATGGAATATACTGTTTTCAAAAAAAAAAAAAAAAAAAAAAAAAAACGTGCTTGTTGCTTAAATAACGCAAAGGCAAAAAGAAAAAATATGAATGGCAATGTAACCATTGTATAGGAAAGCGATTGCATTTGACATCATCCACTTTTAGCATTTTTCGGTAAAAATTGAAGAGAGAGACTGCGGTTTATTTATAACCGCTTTAAAAGGGAAACTAAAAAGAGGTTGTACAAAAATAACACTGAAAAATGAAAAAGAAAAAAAAAAAAAAAACCAAAAGTGCCAATGTTTAAATATAGCTTTCATGACTAAAATTTAATAGATTCTCAGCTCGCTTGGATTCGTTTCTCGACTTTGCATTGCCTATTTGTTTACTGATTTAAAAAAGTCGGCATAGGTTGACCCTTTACATGACTTTTTTTCAACAGAGTTTCTACTGTACAACGAAAAAGAAACGAGAAAGCTTCATGTATGAGTGTTTTAAACTGGTGTGCTTTTTTTTTGGATGGAGTTCCCTTTTATATACAGAAAATTTCACTTTTTTTTTTTTTTTCTTGGTTTAATCCGGCCAAATTCAGCCTTTTTTTTTTTACTTTTGACGCTCCGTTGTAAATGGTATAAATAGAAGACACTGATGGCCCGCATTATTCCTTGTCAAGCCCCTCTTCTTTCTATTCTTTTTGCTATCCCCCATTTACCGTTTAACAGAATTGGAGTGTCGTGCCTATATACACAATGAAGAACACTATCCGTAACCTATTTCATTTGAAGAAGAAATCAAAAAAAGAGCCTACCCATAACAATACCACACCAATGACCGAGTTCTACACGCCAAGCTCTTCCGTATCCTCTTTCTCCACAGACTCATCGATGAACGACTCGATGCCTCAGACGCCGACAAGTGTATCAATACAAGATAGTCGTGGTATCTTTCGTACATTAGAGCCTGTGTGGTACTTTAATGCTAGTTTATTGCCTAATCATCCAGCACAGAACAGTGAGTGGGTCAGATTTGATGAACGCAGTCAAGCCATGTTGGAGTCTTCTTTAAGCAAACAGAACGAATGCACCTTAAACCATACAGCCGTCGGTACCTGTACTGTCCTCTTTAGAAGACCACAAACGACAAAGGCGGCGGCGAATCATAGACTCAGTTATAGTGTGAAGCATCATCCATCCCATTACAACTCTATGCCAACGCTTCATCCACAACAACAACAACAACAACATCCCAAAGGCCGTACATTAGAAATGAATAAACATGTTCGCCGTACCATGTCTCCAGTATGGTGGTTTGAACAGGATGCCGCGGATGGTTCAAAAGGCATGTGTCGATTTGATTATAAAAACCAAGTGCGTTTAGAAGCTTTATCAGAGGGACGTACACGTATGATGCTTACAGACGATGCCTTTAATGTGCCTTTCACGGTGGCTCTCGAGCCTCCTAAAGAACGCGAATCAAGAGAAGAAGTACGTGGTTTCTTATTCTTTGAACCGGTCGCCACTGCATTCCAACTTGCCTATCATACCTGTCAGGCACCCTCCTCGCCTATGAATAGTAATAAAATGGAAGCAGCACTTCCAGTAGTAGAAGGATCAGCTTACGAAGTTGACGATCTATGGGGACATGATCTTCTTCGTCGATTCTCCATTTAAAATCATTTGCACACGTCACGCACATGTATTATTACTTGTTACTTTTTGCATTATAATTTCTTTTACTCCTTATATCACCCATTGATTCATCCTTCTGGACACATTACCCCCTCCATCCATCCTGTTGCCAAAAAAAAAAAAAAAAAAAAAAGTAGGCATAGTAGTTGTCATCATGTTAATTATGGAATTAGACAAAGCCCTTTTTCTCGTATTTTCATATTCCTTGTATATACTATTTATAATCTCTTATTTTCATCCTTTTTCATCTTTTTCGAATGTGCTATTCACAATGACCTAACAAACAATCATCCATTTTACAAAAACACACACATACCATACGCGTCTGTGTGCAAAATAAAATCATAGCTGTGTCATGTGTAATTCTGACTTTTTTTCTTTTTTTTTTTTTTTTTTTTTTTTTTTTTTTTTTGTGGAGCCATCATTAAAAAAAAATTGTACTTTTTGTAAACGCGTTTTCTTACTACATTGCATCTTTTATTGTTTGTTGTACAATGTTCGTACAGCAAATCAAATCTCAGCTTGCCGAAAAACCAGGTTGTCATACACATGGCGAGCGGACAATAAAAAAATTAGAAAGCAATTTATGCTGTCGGTGTTGTTGTACCAACGTCTTATCAATCTTGGAATTCCATCCACTTTGAAATACTTTGGGTGCTTTGGACGTACGATGAATTGTGTTTCGCTAATTTGGAAAGAGAAACAGAAACGCTTCTAGATCATTCAATGGCTTTTTTTCATGTGTGGCTCAAAGGAGAAAGAAGTCTCTCTCTCAAACAAGTCCTGTTTCCCTGTTGGGTGTTTCTGCCCATCATGAATAATGAAAAGGACAGAGGAGTCAACAGGGTGGTCACGTTATCATGACACTAAAAAAAGTGAAAGACGCGCCCCCCTTCCTCTACGTCGCCCTCCCTCCCCGCCCCCGCGCCCTCGCCCCTTCCCCCAAAAAATACAAGCCTAGAATCCTCTCTCCTCACTGCTTCTCCCAAGCAACCCCAGAAGTAGATGAAAGAAGCGTGTTCATGTTGAGTCACTCAACAAAATAGACCTTTTCTATCTTTTACATCTTTATATGAATAGACTAAACAGGAATAAAAGAAAACGGATGCTTGGCCAAGACAAAAAAAAAAAAATGATGGGAATGACTAACGGTGAACCTTAAAAAAGAACAACTTTTTCCTTTTTGTCTGCCCATCCATCAGCTCTATCGAATTTATCCGATCCCTGTGCGTAATGTCACATTGAACTTGCCATCTATATTTTCAACTCATTGAGAGGGGGCGGGAACCTTTGAAAGTACAGCGATAGAGGCTATCCATTATACACTATCTCGAAATGAGCCCTCGAAAAATGCTAGAGTTGAGTGGAAAGCACATCATTCACTATTTTGGGAAAGGATTGAAATACAGCGTTCAAACTCCTAACCCTACTAACGCATGACAACGAGTCATGATGGCATCAGACATATCCATAGAAAAAAAAAAAAAACCTTAAACTTGACAGGGTGCTTGTATTTTTATTTTATTTTTTTGTTATTTGTGTTGTGACGTGAATCTTAATGGGTAATCAAACACGAGATTTATTTTAGTTTCTACCTTCTCTTTCCTCGCTCTCACGAGTGATGTAGACTCTTTCGTGGGTCGCGCCAATGGAACGATGAGTGCATAGAGCCATTCGTCATCCGGAGAGTTATCATCGTCCTCCGTGAACGGCCTATCCATAGAGCGTGGTACACAACAGAAATTATTTGGTTTTTTATGAATGTAATTTTAGATTTATAGCAGCATTTCGTGGAAAAGGGGGAATCTTTGAGTTTGACTCTTTTATCAATTGAAGCACAAATAGCGTATCACTTTTTTTTTTTTTTTTTTCTGGCACGCAAGACACGGAAACAAAACAAAAAAAAAAAAAAAAAAAAAAAAAAAAAAACTAAATTAGGAAATATGACAGAAACCGCTCGAATACATCATTTTGCAAAAAGAACATGTATGAAAAGATAATGCTGCTCATCTGCCATGTGTTTCAATCTTGAAGAAATGTAAAAAAGATTGTATTCATATCATTGACTTTTGACAGGTCATTTCCTTCTTTTTCTTTAAACATGTAAATACAGCTTAAAATTGTATGAAACTGGAAACGCAGGAACGATCACTCTTCTTAGCTGAGTTCCATCTATTTTATTTTTTTTAGAAAACAGTGTCCATAAATTGCAATCAGAATTATCTAATCAACAAAATGAACAAGGCTCCGTCAGAGCACATATAAAATTTTTCAACTTAGAAACACAGTCTTTATCGAGATAAGCACTGAGACAGATTCTTTTGTTCACGTTGATCTTCTTGAACGATAGGCTCAGTAAATGGAATGCTTCCTCACAGTAGGCATACATGTTCATTTGAGGAAAATAGTCACTCTGCGAAAAAAAACAAAAAACAAACCCCAAGTCTTTGAAAGCCTATGCCCCCCCCCTATAGGTTGATAGGCCCATTCATATGGTTTTGGTATAGACCCTGTTGCTGGTTAAATGAGAGTATAGCTTCTAAGCCCTGTTTTACATATTAAAAATGAGTGGGCACACGCATGTGATTTAGTCGTCAAATGTACGGCCAAAATAGTCGATTTCATTAAGATACTTTTCTTCTTTATTGATGCATAATGACTGTTTTGAAAAAACGCATGGATGTTGCGTAGGTTGGCTTGTGTCCTTTCGGCTCAGAAATAAACCCAATTTTCTTTACACAAGAGCCGTGTTGAGTCTTTTTACAAGATAAGAAATTACTTGACCCATCCCCACAAAACCATAAACAGAGGATATCCTTTATTCAACCGAAAGGTTAACACTAGCTGGCCACTTAGCAAGAAAAAAAAAACACGACGGAAGAAGGAAAACCATGGATCGGCCAAAGGCTCACAGAAAGTGGGACAGTCCTGTTCAGAAACGAGTGTCTTGAAAGCTGCCATTGCACACGGGTCAGATATTTGAAATCTATATAAAAAAGCCATACATTCCTTGTTGACCATTCGATGATGAGCTGCCAGAGAAAGCGGGCTTTATGGGTCCACTCTTGATCAACGTAACTATCAGTAGGTTTTAGCAGATAGAGGAGGATCATGATGAACTCCACTGACTTTTTGCTTTAGAGTGCAGAAAGAGTATCATATATCAGTGGCGTCTAGATACATTTCAGGAGATTTGCATGCAACTCTCATCAGCTTACCCTGATTGCTTCTCCCCCCATTCTGAGAGTAGACCAATAAAACTAGTGTAGAGCTTGCCTATTACCTTTTGGTCTTTTTAGTGTCTTTTACTATGTAAACAAATATCCTCATTTCTGTCCCTTAGTGAAACCTCACACTCATTTGTCAAAACTCGTCGACGTGGATGGCCTGAGCACTTTTTTTTCCACCTGTGCAAAAAGGCCTCTATGGTAACTCAAATCGCATATGAAAAAGGGCTGTGAGGGCCAACTTGAACCCTTGAATAGAGTAGAGGGTTGAGTAAACTTCTTTCCTCTATTGGCCTTTTTTCTAAACTGAGCAAAAGGAGGCTTATTAACGCTCTGTACTACCAACGTCCTCGTGCATCTTGTATTGATGGAGTACTTTCTCTCTTTTCTTTCCCTTTTATCTCATTTCTCTTGTTTTGTTCCCTGAAAACACTCCCCCCCCAATCAGATACCCTTTTTTACATATATATATATTTATTCATATATATATGTATAACCATGTTGCCTTCAAAAAGGGAAACGGTGGACTCTACAGCATCGTGGTTTAGTGCTGACTCAAACCTGATGAACTATTCTATACCCAAGCAACCACTACAACAACAGGGCATCGATGAAGCTATCACTTTCACAACATCAAACTCACCACTTATAAACAGAAGGATGAGTATAGCGGATAACGGTAGCACAAAGAGAGAAATCCAGAGTGGAGATGCGGATACTCGTACGAGGCAATTGGAAGCACAAATCGAATCGCTTACATTGCAGAACGTTAAATTACAAAGAACCAACCGATTGCTCAAAGTGGACACGGATGACCTGATCAAGCAAAAAACGGATCCATTGGAAAAGACGATACAGGAATTGACGATAGCCAACGTTAAACTGCAACGTACAGCCAGACTTTTACAGCAAGAAGTGGACGAAAAGACAAAGGAACTCAACAAACTGAAAGAGGATCACATTATAAAAATGAAATCCGTAGGACCTGAATATGAATTCCTGGTGCAAAACATTAATTTACTGCAACGACAGGTAATAATAATAAAAAAAAACAGTGGGCAATAGAAAAGAATCGCATTGCTGATGTTCGTTTTCGTACCCGCCGCGGGGAGGGCAATAGATTGCAGGACAGCCTATCTGCGAGGATACATGTTGCTTTACCATGCAACCCATTGATCAATCCACCATGGTGATGACTCTGCCCTCAACCACTTCTTCGTCGGCTTCCTCTTTATTTTCATCCTCCTCTGAAAGAGAGGAACCAGAGAGAGACCATCAAGACTTTACTGAATCTCTCAGCGTGGAAGCACAGCATATTTGTCGACCTGTGATACACTCAACAGTCTCTCAAGGATCCTACGCTAGTGAATTGGAAAAGAGAATCATAGGATTACAACGATTTATCGAGGATTTGGATTTGGAAAAGGAGCAAATACTCAAGCAGCAATCCTATAAAGACAATGACATAGAGACATTGAAAAGGGAATTAAGAATCAAAGACGAAATTGTATCTCAGTTGGAGCAGGACTTTATGGGCATGGAGGATCAGTTAGAGCAACTTCAAAAAGTAAGGATGAAGGATAGATGCCAGAGAGAGAGAGAGAGAGAGAGAGAGAGAGAGAGAGGGGAGGGAAGGGAAAGGGTGGAAACGTCACTCTATGTTTGGGCCTTAACCCGTTTTTGATACTGTCTTTAAAGGAATTACAGGAGCAATCGACGTATTCATCTCCACCGTCCATCCATCGACCGGACTCCACCGCATCTACAGCAACTACCATGATAGCCTTAACGGGTAGTAGGAGCCTTTCGCCTCCCACTCATAAAACCTACTCATTGCTATCACATGCTTCACTTCCAAATGATCCACAACGACAATCACAGAGATTGATGGAATCAAAGCGCAAGTCATTAGCGATAAAGGACGTCCATTTACTAGAAGAAATGCTGAAAGACGACTTGCAGGAGTTTGATGGCGGACGGCCCTCTTCCTTCGATTCACAGAACCAGAGAATAAGTTTTGTATCAGCAGCAGAATCTTTTACCCTATCAAAAGACATAGTAGATGACAGTACGCACGAACAGTACACGCCGCAAGAAGCCACCCGTCGCCAAAGTGCAGGTACAGAGATGGAGATGTACTTCATGGCCAAAGAGGATCACCGTGGTCACAGTGCGGGTCACAGTTTGAAAAGAAAAGGTAGTATGATCTTTAAAGAAAGTACTACTGTCACTGTTTCTACTTCTACACCAGCTGATACATTATGTTTATCTTGTGTTGGATTCTCTTGCGCCTATCCATGTCATTGCTACTCCTTCTTTTCATCCTCATCTTCTTTTTCTGATGAAAATCACTTTCAACGTCAACACCCATTCCTTGACAGCAAAGAGCCATTGGATGCGTATATCCAATTTACATGTTTAGCCATCGTCATGGGGTTAATCTCTTCAGTAGGAGTCACAGAGGATTGGACTGTGCCGTTTGCTCTTGCTATGATCGTTTCTACACCGTTATGTTACTCATCGAGTAGTAAAACATCAGAAGCAACAGCATAAAAACCTTCAGAAACAAAAAGGGGTAGCCAGAAAAGACCCAACCTATCCAGCCAACGTTTCTTGCATCATACCAACCACTACAGTCTACAGGATTAGGCGCTTTCGTCATACACGTTGATATACCTATATACCTTTTTTTTTTTTTTTTTTTCCTCTCTCTCTCTTGATTCCATCTACCCAACTTTTATGCTTGTCGTATCCACCTTTTCATTTTTTATTTTTATTCATCTAAATCTTCTTAAACTAATGTTATACCATTTTTAGCCACCAGCAGCATTTACATAAGCAATATTATCATTTTTTCGCTATCGCTCAAATTTTTTTCACTTTGCAAAAATGAAAAAAAAGACTTTAATAAAATTATGGTTGCCAACAAAAACTACATACTTGAAAACGTTGGAATGTCATCTTTTCTGTTGATGATAAGTTGTATGCTCTGCTCATTTTGCTGTAATTGCGCCGACCGCCTGTCAGATTTAACTTTTTTTTTTTTTTTTTTTGGTTGCCTATCTAATTTTTCTTTTTTTTTTTTTTCCTTCTTTATCTTTTGGCTGTAAGGCAGTTTGTAATACACTTTGCACGCGAGCTTCCAAACACAATGAGCGATTGGGGTAAATTGTCAATAATGATAGACATGCATTTCCCATAGAAAGAGGACCATTTCTTATTCAATACTTTGGTACTATTCCATCATGACCACCACACTATTGTAAATGAATGTTTTTATAGAAGAAGAATTTGATAAGGAAGAAGTCGTTATTAGCAACCGACCCAAGATGGCTTGGGACGATGAGGAAGAAAGTGATGACGACAACAACAAGAAAAATACAGTGAAGGAATCTTGGGACGATTCTGGAGACGAATGGGACGATGAAGAGAAGGATGGTGGAGTTTTCGAAGACGATTTGTTTTCTGCTGCTGCACCCAAGAAAGCCGCCGCCACTACCACTACAGCACCTGCTAAAAAGATGACCTTGAAGCAAAAGATTGCCGAAAAGGAAGCTAAATTACAAGAACAAAAAGCAAAAAAGATCGCGTTGGTAAATGAAAAGAAAGAAGGGTGGGTCGTCATTCACGCCCTAATGTCTCTCTATTCCATAGGCGAACCGATTTTTAGACGGTGAGACTGAAGAGGAAAGATTTGAGCGTGCTCAAAAAGAAGCTGGTCTCCATAAATCCGAAGGCGATGAGAATGGCGAAGAGGTCGAAGTGAAAAAGAAGGAGCCTTCAAAGCCAGTAGCTTCTTGCAAACCTAGAACCCAAAAAGAATTTGAAGAATTCAAGAAACTGCTGGTTGACCTTATCCTCGACCAAAAGGTAAAAATGGAGTTGGGCACTTTTGTTGTTGCGTGGGTTGGCTATCCATCTCAACCGTTATGACTTTTTTTTAGAATAATGCCAGCTATGCCAGTTTTGTTGAAGCATTTGCAAAGGATTTAGCTCAACCTATGAAGGATATGGATATTCGAAAAGCCGCTTCTAGTCTAACAGCACTTGCCAATGATAAACAACGTCAACAAAAAGAAGCACTAAAGTCGAATAAGAAAGGAAAGGGAAAGACGGCTGCCGCACCTGCAAAGAAGGCTGCACCTGCTCCTACGAGGGAATATTCTACTACTTATGACGATTTTGACGACTTTATGTAAAAAAAAAAAGAAGCTTAGGATGATAGCATAGGACATATTGACTATTCAAATAAATGTATACAAGTTTTTTGCAACTACTTCATTGGGAGAGGGCTTGTCTATCTCCATTCTATGAATATCCCAGTTTTCGTCTGCTGTGGATTTGGGTGGAAAGCGCAATATAGATTAACAGCATTAAATTTGCAAGCCATCCACTCCTAAATAAAGGTGACTTAATTTCCTCTTCCGCCCATCGTTCTTCTTTCCCCCCAATTTCCGAAAATCTGTCAAATACAAAAAAAAAACCCACACGTTTAGGCCTATTTTATCGTTATATCCCCTCTATATCAACCTTTCCTTCTGCTTCATCGATATCATGTCAGAGGATTCCAATAAGATTTTGTTAAAAACAAGGTGAGAATGCAGTAACCGCACATTCTGATTGCTAGAGTAGAGTCACTCATGGTCTAACTCCACTCGAATCAGTTTTAAATCGATTAAAACGATCGAATCTATTTATACAGGTGGCAAAGTGTGCATTACCCACGATGCGAAGTATCTACTGACAACACTCAACGAGGACATTATTGTGACCGAACTTGACACCGGGAAACAGGTGCATCAGTTAGAAGGCGTATGTATAGCTCTAGTCCAAAGCCATTCCCTCTCCTTGGAGCGGCGGCCATCCATCGCATCAATAACTCACTTTTTTTTTTTCCCCCATGGAACATGATTATGATAGGACACTGAAATTGTCACCACGATGGCAGTCAAACCGGATGGAAAGCATTTAGTCAGCGCCAGTCGCAGTTTATTTCTTCGCATATGGGATCTAGAAAAGGGACAAGTGGTGCGCACCATCAATAAAGCGCATGATGCACCGATTATCGTCATGGACATAGATGCTACATCGACACTTGTAGCTACAGGGTCAGCTGATGCCAGCATCAAAATTTGGGATATCGACAAAGGATATGTGACGCACAACCTACGAGGCCATGGCGGTGTTATCAGTGCTGTCAAATTCCACAAACACAACGGCAAATGGTATCTTGCCTCCGGTGCCGACGATTGTCAGGTCCGTATTTGGGATTTACAAACACGTCGTTGCATTGCCGTTTTGCAGAGCCATGTCAGTGTGATTCGTGGACTGGATTTCTCAGCCGACGGCCGATATTTGATTTCTGGCTCTCGTGATAAAGTGGTCAACGTATGGGATTGGCAGGCCAAAGAATTGAGAGCGACGTATCCTATCTTTGAGACGATTGAGACAGTGGGATTTTTGGAAAAGAATGTCACATTGGCCGGAAAGTACGGCCAACAGTGGCAAGATGCGGATATATTTTACACAGCAGGCGATGCAGGCTTGATCAAATTGTGGGATCTGAAATCCGGACAGTTGATCAAGGCCCAGGCGCCCGAGAAGAACGCGTCCCATGCGATTTCTGACGTGATCTATCTCCAAACGACACAAACATTGGCAGCTGTCACGAACGATCAGAACATTCTGATGTACAGTCTAGAACGTAGGTTAGAAAGAGTAAAGCAGATTGTGGGGTACAATGATGAAATTGTCGATGTTGCTTATTTGGGACAAGAGGCTCGCTATGTGGCAGCGGCCACCAACAGTGCGCAACTGCGCATCTACAATGTAGAAACACAGGATTGTGAGCTTTTGTATGGACACAACGATATGATCATTGCACTGGACAAGTCAAAGGACGGCTCTTTGGTAGTCACTGCATCGAAAGATAAGACAGCGAGATTATGGCAGATCAACTGGAATGGGGAAGAGGGCACAGATCGCTTCCGATGCGTGGGTGTCTGCATCGGCCACACAGAATCCGTAGGTGCGGTTGCACTTTCGAGAAAATCGAACCATTTCATGATCACGGGCAGTCAGGATAGAACCATCAAATATTGGAATCTTTGCGATTTAGATGTAGAGAATGCAGATGAAGACTATCGACCCAAATCACTTTATACACACCAAGCGCATGATAAAGACATCAATACCATCTGCGTAGCACCGAACGACAAAGTGTTTGCTACGGGCTCGCAGGATAAAACAGCCAAATTATGGAATGTCGATACCGGTGAGTTGCTAGGCGTCATGAAGGGCCATAAACGTGGCGTGTGGTGTGCCAAGTTTTCTCCTGTAGATCAAGTGTTGGCGACCAGTTCGGGCGATAAAACCATCAAGATTTGGAGTTTGAAAGACTTTACGTGTTTGAAAACATTCGAGGGACATACCAATTCTGTTTTGAGAGTCGATTTCTTAACAGCGGGCACACAGCTTGTATCGGCAGGTTCGGATGGTCTAGTGAAAGTATGGACGATCAAGACAAACGAATGTGCCTCGACTCTGGATAACCATACGCAAAAGGTGTGGGCATTGGCAGTGAGAGAGGATGAGAAGTGTATCGTGTCGGGTGGTGCAGATTCAGTGATCAATTTCTGGGAAGATGTGACGCTGCAGGAGCAAGAAGACGAATTGAAACAAAAGGAAGAACTCATCATAAAGTATGTATGCGCGCTGTAAAGGTGACGAATGTCGAACAATGTGTCACTCATACGGCTTTTCTCTCTTTTCTTGCCCTTCAGGGAACAAGAATTACAGAACTTTATGCGCAAAAAAGATTATCTTAATGCTATTCTACTAGCGCTGTCGTTGGAGCAGCCTTTCCGATTGTTAGGTCTGTTTAGGGAATTGTATGAAAATAGAGCGGAAGGCGATGAAACAAGCATCACAGGTTCAGCCAATGTGGATAAAATTCTTGCAGAACTATCACTGGACAATATTGAAAAGCTATTAGGATATACCAGAGATTGGAATACCAATGCAAAACATTCTGACATTGCACAGACAGTACTACACGCTATTCTGTCATCACGTACATCCGAAGAGTTAGTAGCAATGCCTTCTGCTAAAGAGGTGAGATTTGATCCCCCCCCCCTTTGTCTTCCGTCTGCTTGCCTTGTTACTGACCTATCTGTTTCTTTCATTTTGACTTTTTAGATTATTGACGGTTTACTGCCCTATACAGATCGTCATTACCAAAGGATAGATGACCTCATAACGCAATCGTTTATTATCGATTATACTCTTAGTATTTAATTTCATTTGTAAATAAAATAAACTCATCTTGCAACAAGGACACAACATTGAACCAGAAAATGGCAGCCCCCCCCCACACTGTATTTTTCTTTCTCCTGTGAAAAGTAATGGTTAGAGTAGGCATTTAGCTTTGTTCAACAATCATGGGTTTGCGGTTTCCATTTTCAAATACATCCGATATTGGTGGATGGTTGGTTTCGCGTACGCTGAATGGGATAGGTTGTAAGTATCTGGACACTGGGGGGAGCTCTTATCTGTTGGTGCTGTGTCTGTCAATTTAATTCCTGTTCGAAAGGTGACTACCAGCATTGCATATTACACTTGGACAGATAACGGGGCATTCTGATGGGGTTAAAAGCTGGAGGGCAAATATTATGAAATGTTCTTAATGTATGTTGTATACAGTTGGCTTCCAGAGCAATGTCATTAGCACGTCTTTTTTTTTTTTTTTTTAATAATCAAGATTCTCCTCGCCTTCACCAAATAGGGTAGGGAGGGGGCAGAAAAGAAAAAGTAATGCATTTCGCGCTATCATAGGATGAACATGACAGCTTGCTTCAAACAGTCAGTGGACAGGTAAAAGGCAAAGAGGGTACAGATGTAATACTTGTGCTGAGCAAAGGATGCGATAATATGTTAGACGGGGCTTAGGTAAAGACTCAATTGAAAAGGAAAAGGAACAAAAGCGACTGACTGAAACTGGCTGATATATAAGATGAGGGTTTGTTTAACGGAGTTCATTTCGTTCGTGGAGTTGGAGATTCATCCTAAATAAACTGACACTTTCTATATATACCAAACGGACAGTTTTCCAGATAATCTAGTATCTGTAGGCAGTGTAAAGCGATAAGGCGACAACGACTTGCTTCTTTTTGGATTGTCCATGTCTTTTTTTTCTTTCTTTGATAGCCATTCGAACTCTTACAGATGGACATATCTGCCATAGCAACAAGAACGAACGCGTAATTTTTTTTTTTTTTTTTTGTTATCGTAAGATATTTTAACCCATCGATCATCAATTGACATAGGATAGCCATTACGGATACACTCTCTTTGATGAAAGTTGGGTCGTTGCTTGACTATTGTCTGTTTTGCCCTCTGTCGATACAGACTGTTACAAAGATTGTGTTTCAGATAGACCCGTGTTCATGCCACCAACGCAGTTCACACTCCCAAGCGTAAGACGTTGGAGGCAAGTAATAAAATTGGGCTTTTTGGCTTGAAATGTCAGGTTACATATTGACTTTCTCAATTTAAAGTTTTATTGGTTACTTCTTTAATTGAGGAAATAAGGAATACACACTCGTGTTTTAGAAAAAAAAAAAAAAAAAAAAAAAAAGGTGGTTCATTAACCTCTTTCTGCTGCTCCCCCTTTTTCATTTTTTTCTTTTTCCTTTTTTTTCTCTCTCTCTCTCTCTCTTTCTTTCTCTCTCTTTTTTTTTTTGCCGTTTTCTTTTCTCTTCGCATCCCTTTTCTTCTTTTATAGAGCTTTTCTTTCCATTTTTTTTTTTCAAAAATAAAAGTATGTAAGTAATTTGATAAAAAAACAATCAAGAATAAGAAAAAAGGGGCGAGGGCCAAAAAAAAAAGCAACTCAGAAGGAACCCCCGAATTGATGTTCGTCTGCATCTTTTCTTTTTCACAGAATACATATCAATAATGAGAGAAATTATTCACGTCCAAGTTGGTAAGTTGAGTTTTTATGGAGAAGGAAATGGACACTCTACGGCCTCATTCTTCCATCATTCCGTCAGTCAGTGAGTCAGTGAGTCAGTCAGTCAGTCAGTCAGTCAATCCATTCGAAAAGGAAAAAGAAAAACCATGGATTGAAAAAGATGGGTTTCTTTTTTGAAAATAAACGAGTTGCAACAGTTAAAGTTAGACTTTTTTTTTTTTTCAAACAACCCAAAAAAAAAAAGGAGTTATTTTCCTATGGAAATCTTTCTTCTCTACGGCTGGAGGCAGCAGTGTCTATTTCTAAAGTTTACAGCAGCAATCGTTGAGAAACTTACAAAACTGTTTTGATTCTTTTTCTTAGGTCAATGTGGCAATCAAATCGGTCAAAAGTTCTGGGAAACCATTTCTCAAGAACATGGTCTTGAAACCAACGGCACTTATGCCGGTGATAATGATTTGCAACTTGAACGCATCAATGTATTTTTCAATGAAGGCTCTCAAGGCCAATATGTGCCTCGTTCCGTCTTGGTTGATTTAGAACCTGCCACAATGGATTCCGTTCGATCCAGCCCTTATGGTAAACTCTTCCGTCCTGACAATTTCATCTTTGGTCAAAGTGGTGCAGGCAATTCTTGGGCTAGAGGTTACTATACAGAAGGGGCTGAACTCGTGGAGAATGTTTTGGATGTTGTGCGTAAAGAAGCCGAACATACAGATTGTCTTCAAGGTTTCCAATTGGCTCACTCCTTGGGTGGTGGTACTGGTTCTGGTTTAGGTTCACTGTTACTTTCTAAAATCCGAGAAGAATACCCAGATCGTATGTTGTGTACCTATTCCGTCGTTCCCTCGCCCAAGGTGTCAGACACCGTGGTGGAACCTTACAACGCTGTCCTCTCTGTTCATCAACTGGTTGAAAACTGTGATGCTACGTTCTGTATCGATAACGAAGCGTTGTATGATATCTGCTTCAGAACGCTGAAACTCTCCAATCCTGATTATGGTCAACTGAATCAATTGGTCTCCACCGTGATGTCCGGTGTCTCGACGAGTTTGCGTTTCCCTGGCCAACTCAACAGCGATCTCAGAAAGTTGTTTGTCAACATGGTGCCTTTCCCTCGTCTTCACTTCTTCATGGTCGGTTTCGCTCCTCTTACCGCTTTCAGCTCTCAACAATACCGTAACTTGAGTGTTCCTGAATTGACCGCTCAAATGTTTGATGCACGCAACATGATGGCTGCTTCTGATCCTCGTCATGGTCGCTACCTGACGGTAGCTACCATTTTCCGTGGTCGTTTGTCCACCAAGGAAGTGGAGAACCAAATGTTGGCTGTCCAACAAAAGAATTCCAGCTATTTCGTCGAATGGATTCCTAATGGCGTCAAGACCTCTCTTTGTGATATTCCTCCTGTCGGTCTCAAGATGTCTGGTACATTCATTGGTAACAGCACGGCCATTCAAGAGCTTTTCAAACGTGTCAACGATCAATTCACAGCCATGTTTAGAAGAAAGGCTTTCTTACATTGGTACACAGGCGAGGGTATGGATGAAATGGAATTCACTGAAGCTGAATCCAACATGAACGATCTCGTTTCTGAATATCAACAATACCAAGAAGCAACTGCTGAGGATGAATTAATGGAAGAGGAGGACTATCTTGAAGAAGAACAAGTGCTTGAGGAAGAAGAAGACGACGAAGAAGAAGAAGAGGAGTAGATAGATTCTAGAGTTAGCAAAAAGGGGGCGAAAGAGAAAAGAGACAAAGACAAGAAAGTGTGTAGAATAATTCATTCATCTCGTTTGCTTTTTTTTTTTTTTTTTTTTGCCCTTTTCTTTTCGTTTTCTTTGAAAAAAAAAAAAAAAAAAAAAAACCAAAAAACGTCTCATCCTATTTATTTTTTTCTTTTTTCCTATTCATCTTAACATGTGCCTTTTTTCTATTTTTCATTTGCTCTCCAAAACATACAAAACTACTATTTACCTTTTTTTCTTTTTACCACACAATGTTACCTTTTTAAAAAAAAAAGATGATACTTTTAATAATACTCTTATAGTCAAATAACAAAAAAAAAAAAGATATTTGATTTCGGTGGTGTGTGTTAGTCGGGGTTTTTTTTGTTGTTTTTTTTGGCAAAAGTAGCTCAAATCAAGCGACCCTGTTTCGATTTTTTTTGTTGCCTTTTTTTTTAATTCCCCCCCCCACCCCCATACTCTTTTTCTCTATTTGCTAACTACTCTTTTTGCCCATCAAGCATGACAACGTCGCAACCTTCTTCTTTTCCGAAAACGGATAGTGATATGGATGCTTTTGACGCTAATCCTTTTGCCGAACCAGAAACACCCTTTTCATTCAACGACCGCATCAGCAAAGATACTGTTACAGAAGAGGAACACGGCTCAGGAACAGTAACGGATAGTCTTGCGCAATTGAATCTTGACCACCATGAAAGATCATCATCATCACCACCGCCATGGCAAAGGGACGAACAAGAGGACACCCATGCACCTGTTCCGTCTTCATCGGATACTCAAGTAAGAAAATGAAAAGTACGAAAAGAAAAAAAGAAAATAAAAAATACAAAAATATGGGATGGGCTCTCTTACCTTTCTTTTTTATTTTTCTTTGGGCATAAAATGGATGAGTATAGTCAGCCTCTTTACGAATACCAGAAAGTGGATCACGGCCCTATTTTGAGGTATCTATTGAAGATCCACAAAAAGTGGGTGATGCGATCAATGCTCATATTGTTTATAAAGTGAGAACAAAGGTAAAAACGAGAGTTAAAAAAAAAAAAAAAAAAAACCAACTGCAAACCGCTCGCCCCTCTCGCCCCCCCCCCAAGTGCGCTCATAGTAATTCCTCTTCTCTATGGTAGACGAGTTCGCCTGCTTTTCGCAATCCAGAATGCGTCGTGGCTAGACGTTATCGAGACTTTTTATGGCTTTATCATCAATTAACAGCCGGTAATCCCGGTGTGATTGTGCCGCCCGTACCTGAAAAACATGCATTAGGACGTTTCCAAGATGAGTTTGTAGAGTCGAGAAGGTTAGCTTTAGAACGCTGTTTACAAAAGATTGTGGCTCATCCTATGCTTTATGGGGATCCTGATCTGAAAGTATTTCTCGAAAGTGAGTCGTTTCACGTAGAGGTAGGGGCTCAGGCCATCTTGGAAGGGTAAAGCATTTCCTCTTTTTTTTTTATTCATTTTTCATATCAACCCTACTACTCGTTTCCCCTGCAATAGAAGCGTCAAAGAAGAGCAGAACCGGAAAATACGACTCCTTCAAGGTTAAGTTTTATGCGACCCTTTTCCTCCAATAAATATGTGGAAGTCGATGAGTGGTTCGAATCCAAAAAGAATCAATTGGACGCTTTAGAAACACAACTCAAAGGATTGCTCAAGAGCGTGGAGGGAGTCGTGAAGCAAAGAAAAGAACTTGGATTAGCCACAGCAGATTTTGGCGAGAGCATGTTTCCTTTGGCCTCAGCAGAACTGAATCGCCGTTTGTCGACTCATTTAGTGGTGTTGGGGGAGATACAAAAGCAGATGAAAGAGCTGCATGAAGAGCAAGCACGGCATGATGTCGTGACCTTGGAGAATACGATTGATGAATACATACGTATCATAGGGTCGATTAGGGTAAATAGGAGGGTATCTACTACAAAAAAAAAAAACCAAAGAGAATGCAGGGGAGCTAATGGGGGTTTGCCTGTAGATTGCGTTTCATGCAAGAATAAAGGCCTACCAAGCTTATACACAAGTGGAGAGTGAATACCAACGAAAACAAGCGTCGTTTGAAAGACTGCAGCTGCAGCAGAAAACGGCGTCGCAAGAGAGACTGCATACCCTACAGCAAGAACTGAACGAAATGAAGAACAAAGTAGAAGAGCTCTATCAAGACTTTCAAGATATCTCTAAACTGATCAAGCATGAATTGGATCGATTTGATAAAGAAAAAGTCGAGGATTTCAGGGACAGTGTGGAGCAATTTTTAAGAAGCATGATTGCACACCAAAAACAGATCATTGCGTTATGGGAAACTTATTTTGAAAAGACAGAAGGATTATCTGATGATGATGATGACCAGGAGGCGGATCCAGAAGACAGCGACCCGCAACAGCATCAGCAACAAGTGGTTGCGTTAGAAAACTTATCCTAATGCCCCTTTTTCCATTTATATATATACCACCTACTTACTCGTCGCTTTCTGAGTTTGAATAAAGTGACCTCACACAAAATTTGGGCGGCCCAACCCACCCACATTGAACACGCCTTTTTTTAAGAGAAGTTGTCGTTTTCCCTCTTTCTATAACCTCTTAACTAGGCCCTTTGCATAAATGGTTAATCTTTCATTGTATTCCATCAAAGCTGTCATCTTGCTTGATGCAGAGGGCAACCGTGTTTTGGCCAAATATTATGATGCAGAACAAACAACTTTGAAGCAACAAAAGCAATTTGAAAAGGGATTATTTGACAAAACAAAGCGTGCTCAAGGTACTTCCATCTACATCCCACAACAAAAGTCTATTTTCAATCGATAGATACACATCTGTGTTCATTGATACTATTGACCACTTGTAGCAAGTGGATGGACATGGTTCCTTTTAAAAGAAGGAGATGGACAAGAGCAAACCATTCTTACCGTTTCTTTTTTTTTTTTTGTTTTTTTTTTTGTCCTCTAGGCGAAGTTATTTTATATGACAACCAAGTAGTGGTCTATCGTTCCAATATCGATATTTTCTTCTACGTCGTTGGTTCAATGGAAGAGAATGAACTGATTTTGTTGAGTATGTTGAATGCCTTTTATGATGCTGTTTCAACATTATTAAGGTACGCATGGCATTCTAGATGAGCCAACAAAAAAGAGGGTGTGTTTCTTTCCATGACGAACGAATACTTAACATAAATACACTTTTTAACATGGAAATGCTAGATATCAAGTTGAGAAGCGTTCGATTATGGATAATTTGGACTTGGTCATTCTTTGCTTGGACGAGACAGTGGATGGAGGGTAAATGAAAGAGAAAAGGGAAAAGGCATTCTATGGATGACTGACGTGAGCGCTTTTTTGCTTGTTAAAGTATCATATTAGAAACAGACTCGAATGCCATTGTAAGCCGAGTCTCCAAACCTCGTATGGATATGGTTGATATCCCTTTCTCTGAACAAACCTTGTTGCAAGCTTATCAAACTGCAAAGGATAAGTTTGCTAATCAATTATTACGTTAACCAGGTCTCACCCACCACACGCCTACATACACACACACAAACACACATATATATATACATTGATATGCATATACTGTCAGTCTCTTTTCTTTTTTTTCAAACACAACACATACACACGCGTATATGTATCTATACAGAAGCACGCACATACACACATCTATATATATACACACACACACACACCAGTGACATATCATCCATAAAAAAAAAAAAAGAAAGAAGTATAGTCTTGATATTCTTTGTCGAAAAATGAACAAGAGTAAGAAATCATAGGGTGGAAAGCCTTAAGGTGTCATGAGATGAAAAGCGTTTTTCAATCGTCTGTTTCTCCTATCATTCAGGGCAGAGAAATGTTTGGTTTTTTTTTCTGTTGGCGTCATACAACAGGGAAAACGATTCGGGATGAGGAGTAAAAAAGATAGATAACGAGTAGCATCATTTGTTAAACGAATACCCTTTCACCAGTCACTGATAAGAATTCCTTTTTCAACAATAAGGCCGAACCTTTGATGGTTGTGGTTGGCTATAGAAATAGAAAAAGAGCCAAATATGAGTCCACCTTCTTTGCTGGGGCTTTATTCAACAGATAACTGAGCACTTCTATCACCAAGAGTGGAGAGGGGAGGGGAGCAGAACAGCCTCTTGTGAGCTTCCTATTCACAAAAAAACTTTATGATGAAACTCATTCTATTTGATCGTAGCAAACAGAAGCATCCAAAAGTGACATGCAAATCAGAGAACAGAAAACCTTGAAAACTTTGTCATGTTGAACAATAGTTAGGAGTGGGGGAGAGATAACCTCTTTTCATTTGTTTAGCGTTGTTATGTACAAAGCTGGTTTTTTGTTCCGTTTTCAAGCATATACACAGCATGCTGTAACTTACGGCAGCAGCAACTTTATATGCACCCAGGGGTTTTGAAAAACAAAAAAAAAAAAAAAGGAGGTAGTAAAAGGAGGTGATGGTGGAGTAGAGGCGGTTAAAATGAATGATCGAAAGGGAAGGGCGCTTTCTGTTGAAAAAGTTCGGCCCAAAGGAACGAATAACAACGACAAAGCTACCTTGTTTTCTCTCTCTCTCTCTCTCTCTTTTTACTGCCACTTTTTGACAGAGAAGAATGTACATCATCTATAGAGCAATACCTCACTTTGATGCGTTACCAAAAGCTGCAGTCCAGAACGTAAAATGTGTGTGTGTGCGTGTGTGTGTGTGTGTGCGTGTGTTCGCGCTTTATTTTATCATTATCCTTTTTGAAAATGGACGCGTAAATATCAAGAATGGATAAATTAAGGTTCTCTATCAGAAATGTCATTCTGTAGTGAGGGGAAACTGCAGTGTTGGAAAAACGAGTGGAGGCAACAATAATAAAAATAAACTATTCAAGTGAGTGCATGGAACTGCATCTGTAGAAAAAAAGAAAACTCTAAAGAAAAAAGATTCACGGAGGTGTGGCAGAAGGGGGGAGGTGGGCGACATGGGGTAGGAAGGGGATGAAGGGGAAGGGCAAAAGAACGGAAGAGAATCCCATTTTTTCCCGTGAGTTGAATGGCTGTAGTGCACCGCGCGTTTTCCAATAGTAAATGTGTGTCTTGCCAAGAAGAGGACTGACAAAACGAATGACGGATCAAACTTGCATTGCGTAAAAACATGACTCCAATTCGTTTTTTCTTGCCTAGGAATAGATAGATGGGAGAAGCTTCTTTCCTTATCGTCTTTCTTGTTTCCGTAGAATGAACCCCCTCACTCGTAGATGACAAATATAATCGTAAATCTATCATTGCGCTGTGTTGCGTGTGTGTATGTGTGTGTGTGTGTGTGTGTGTATCTTTTTTTTTTTTTTTATTTGTTTTGATTTATTTTCATTATCCTCCTATTTTTTTATTTTTTTTTCTTTCTCGTCGTTTTTGACCGATACAGCTTTTTCAAGATAAAGGGGTCGAAAAAAGGGGCATTCATTGATTGGTTTGAGAGATAGAAACTGTTCCGAAAAGTGAGCGAAAGAGAGAGACACACACACGGAGAGGGAGATAGCGCGCCCGCGCAAGACAAACAAACCGACAGACAGATAGTGAGAGAGAGGCTTTCCTTTCCGATGTCTATGTCAATAGATATCTATATATTTATGCTTTAGGCGTATGTTTTGTGTGATTCATAAATCAAGTTGACAAACGAGTCTTCTCACTGTTGATAAATTAAACAAGGCATTCATCTAGAAAAATAGAGATTTCTTTCTCTACGTGATATGTGCTGCATTTACAATGAAGAATCTTGTCGATAGTAAATAAAAAAAAAAAAAAAATTTGCCACACAAATAAAAAGTGCTTCTCAAAGAATTAACACTATGATACTCTTGTCCCTTGAAATACACATAACTTTAAAATCATAGTCCAACTGGACCCAAATGATTTTGACACCCCTTAAAATCGAAAAGAATTCTATTTAAACAAGAACGGAAGCCATAGGTTGGTCCTTTATTCTTTGTCTTTACGCATCATTTTACACATCATGAGTTTATTAGAATTAGAGCAGACTCATACTACAGGTTCCTATTACACGACCATGATGTTGAATGATTCCTTATCTACATCTTCTTCTGCTTCTACACAACAAAACTTGCTTGATTCCCCTACTTGCAGTACCTCTTCCTCTAGAAATTCTTTAATAGATGAAAATTTGACTCTTCATCCTACTGCTGCTGCTGCTGCTAACTTTTTCAAGCAACAACAACAACAACAACAACAACAACAACAAGAAGCTGAACTTTTGCCACCTTTGCCAAATGAACAATTTTACACAACACAACACCAACAGCCACTTTTATTGAGTCCATCGGATGAGCTCACTTATTACAGCAGCAATGCTTCTTCGCCCTTATCTTTTCAACAGCAACAACAACAACAACACCCTTATCATCCATCGAATCTTCCTTTCAAATGGTTCAACCCTACAGCTCCTCACCCTGCTCAGAAATACGATACTTGCTGTATGGAACCTATGTTGGCGCCATCGTCGAACGCCTCTCAGTTGCCACTTCAATTAACATTGCCTCCACCCATTACTTCTTCTCAACAAGCCAGTATGGTGCCATGTTATGTTCCAGGCTGTCAGTGTCCCATGTCTCAGCCTTCTAGCTATCCTCACCCATATCATTATCAACACAGATCCTCTCTTCTTGCCCAACAAACGCCTCTCTATCCACCACCTCCTCCTCCTCCCATCATGTACGAACCCTATTCCTCCACCTTGATGATGTCAAACACGACTACCCATTCTCCTGCTCCTGTTTCTGCTGTTGCTACTCCTGTTCCTGTGCCTGCTCCTTCTCGCTCTCTCAACAATAAAAGTTCAATAACAGCATCCACGGTCGTGACAGCAAGGAATAAGAAACCTTATCACCGACCTTGCACAACCAGTCATCGGAAAGGTTCCTCTTCTTCCACATCCTCCTCCTCCTCCTCTTCTTCTTCTTCTGCTTCTTCACATTCATCCGTCTCATCCTCTGCCAATGCGCCCAGAAGGTACAAATGCTCATTATGTACAAAGAGGTTCACCCGACCCAGCTCGTTAGCTACCCATATGCACAGCCACACGGGTGAAAAGCCTTATGAATGCCTTGTGGAAGGTTGTGGTCGTAGATTCTCCGTGGTTAGCAACTTGCGTCGTCATGCCAAAATCCATACGGTCAACAATAGCAACGTGACACCTATGGCGAGTAATAGAAACATGAATCACTCCAGTCTGATCTCCGGCATGGCCTATGCTTCATAAGAAAGGCAGCATATACACACACACACAAACATGACAGACGCGCATAAATATATATATATTATATACATATAGAATTAGCATATAGCAAACAAATGGATATCATGCAAAAAAAAACACACACACATACACACACACACACACACACACACACACAGCAACAACGTTCTTTTTTGATACAAGGCATTATTGTAATTAATACACTTTTTTAAATTAAAAATTTTTTTTTTCTTTTCCTCTTTCTCTCTCTCTGTCTCTTCCTATCCAACGTATCTTAGCAACCCATATTTTTTATCATTATATTTATTATTATATAAATCCGAATTCTCGCTCCTGAAAAGAGAAAAAAATTTAAAAAAAAAAAAAACTTTGCTAAAAATAAAACACATACAATATCATCATCATCACCTTTGTGTGTCCTTTTTTTTTTTTTTTTTTTTTCTCCCTGCATTTTCACTATATAAATGACATGCAGGTGTATCATTCAACATCACAATAAAACAAAGCGAACGATCTGATTAATGTTTATTTCAAGGGATTGGTGTCACCAAAAACAAAAACGGGTTCCTGAAAGTCGCTCATGTGCCACTCTAACTTTAACCTTTTTTTTTCTTTACAACAGACAGGTCAACGTTACATTCGTGTCACAAACCACAACAGAAAGCAGTCCACCCTACATGTTTGGACTTGTTGACTCCATGCGAGCATGTTTGTTTATCATCTCTTTGAAGAAGAAAAAAAAAACCCAGTTGAGAGTATCTAAAAGACGTGCGCTGTCAAAAAAATGACGTCTTCTTCTTTTAGGATGTTTGTCAATTAGTTTGCCACCTTGATTGTCTTGTGAGAGAAAAAGGAGGTAGTAGAAAAAGAAGAAAGGATGACACACTTGTTTAGGGGGTGGGGGATAGAAAAGAAAAAAAACTTTGAAAAAAATAGGTTTTTGTCAAGGTCATCGCTGTCCACTCGAGTGATGATACTGGCGGATGCGTCTTTTCCATGCCTTTTGATGTGTTCCCTTTGCATGCGTCAACCGAGCCAATGTCAGCACACTGTTTTGCTTGATGCCAATTTGACTTACAACAGCATCATCGTCTGCAAGTCGTGTGTTTTGAAATACAAAGCAAAAGGTCTTCCAAATATATTTCCTATCATTTCAATCCATAGGCTGTCAAAAAATGGCTTATTTCGTTTTTTTTGTTTCCCTTCTGCCCTTTGAAACCTCTCTTACCAGCTTATTTTACGTGTGTGATCGCCCGCAGCTTGCTCTAAACGCTCCACTTGGATACGAAAGAGTCGTTTTATCTCTCGCACAGTTGAATTTTGACGAACAATCAAGTCTGAATTCGTTTGAAAAAATGAAACTGTCAATAAAAAAGGCCACAGGTTCGAGGGCTATCTTTCTTTACCTATAGAAGGTAGAGGAGACCGATCTATCGTTATTTTATAGGCGCGGTGGTTCTCAACGGCTATCAACGCATCCAGTTCTTTCAAAGTAGGCTGTCTTGGTACATTGCTCAATAGCTCATCTTGGAGTAATTCGTTAATCTTTTTCTCGAGATCAACTACCAATTGTTCATCCGTTGGGACGGACATGAAGAACAAGTCGGGTGCAAAAAAAAATGTTCCATTTCGTTGGAAAAAAAAAAAGTGCATGCCCTGACTTCCAAATCATAGCTTCTTTTTTCCTCCCCAATGACAATGATCGATCCTGTTTCGCCATCCACTGTTGACAATGGACCTTTAGGCCCATCATCCAGAGTCGCTGGATTGGACAGAGACATTGGGAACGGAGAACAAGCTTTGATACTGTCAATGACCTCGATGTCGCATGTGAATGAGGAAGACAGTGAACTCTGTCCACCTAGGGTGCTTTGCACTTTTAAAACTCTTTGTTTTGTTTTCTATGCCATGGGTGAACGCCCCCACGCGTACGTTGAAGCGATAACCTACCACATGCATTGTCTCATTACAAAAAGTACTTTTTTGTTTCTGTTCACTCAAACTATCGCTGAAGATCTGTGGACAAAGCGCTCACGTGTGGCAGATGTGGATAGCCATTCCTTATCCTTTACTTGCCAATGTCACGTGCTACTATTTTTAACGTGGAAGAAAGCTCTCGTCTATCACGACCCACTTTATCATGAGCAAAAAGGAAAAAACGAACAGGATCCATCCGATGTATAGGACTGTGTGTATGAGTGTGCGTGAGTGGGGTGATAGATGGATAAGAATAGAATGAGGCCACCCCTCTCTTATTCTATCTCTTTTCGCCTTGGCACTTTCACTTTTTGCTTTTTTTTTTTTTGTTCCTTCTACACATCAAGCATAAGCTCCACTAGAAGACGTCGATTGGAACTGTAGTTGAGACATGCTGTCTGATGCTTCTTTATCCGCTCATAACCACTCCCCTCAAAGCAGATCTTACCCTCTGACCTGGCTTGGGTCATGCCCGATCGGTGGTCGATTGACACTTTTTCGCCTTCTATTGTCAGCCCCGACAAGTATTATCTTATTTCTGCTTCGAAAGGTCAGCAAACAACGCCATTCTCCTTTCTTTCGTCTGGCTCAAAACCTGTTGTTTTTTGTTTTTTTTTATTAGATCATTTCCCCATGCTACGTGATGGTCCCACCGGCGACTGGATTGGGACTTATCTACAGGTCACCATGGCGCTGTAGGGAGTGCTCGGTTAAATTCGACGACGGCCACAAGAGCTGTGACAGGGTCTGCCGATGAGACGGTACGCTTCTGGAACACCTTTGAAGCGGAACAGCTCCACACGTTTCAATAGGATCCTATCGTCCGTGCCGTGAGCTTGAATCACCATGGTGGAAGTGATAGCGATACCAACATTGTGTCTGGCGGGCATGATGACAAGTGGAAGATCCTTGATGTGTACCGACCTGATGCGGGCACCTTTCGAGCTTGATCCTCGTTGTTCAACGGGGTCCGATCAAGACGGGGGTGGTGAGAGCTGTCGTTTGGCATCAGCATTGGATCCTGTCCGCTGGTGAGGAACGGAGGAGATGCCAAGGTGCGTGTTTGGGACGAGCGTACATTGAGATGGTGTGGTTATCTTCAAGGTGAAACGGTACAGCAGCAGCGCGCCTCCGTAAGTAGTCGTCGTCCTCGGGGTGGTGGAAAAGGTGATGGTGAAAAGGCTCTACCCAAGCACCCTCACTTCTATGGCACTCTCTTTGGATGGGAATTATCTTTCGTGGGCAGTTGGAGACACTGCCCACTTTTGGCAAGTCGGACAGGTCAATGACGCACTGTTTTGATTCTCTCTCCTACCAAAGCGGGAGGGGTGGGGTGGGGGGGGGACGGTTGTGTCTGGTCTTTTGTTCTCTTACCTACCAAAAGCCCTTTTGAAGCGATCAAAAAACAGTAGCCTACGCTAGAGGGGTCTACCTCCTGTATCTCCCTTCATCCAAAGCAGGGACCGATGTGTGGGCGGAAGTGCTTCGGATACATCTGTTTGTGTGTATGATTTTCAAACGGGACAAGTCCTGGGTAAAGACGATTGGATGTTTCACTTGAGGGGGGGGGAGGAGAGGTGAAGGTGGATATGCTTTTTCTCATCCTGAACGTTTCCAAATAAAAGAAACGCATAGGGGACATCATGGGCCTATCCATACGGTTGAGCTACAGTCCCGAGGGTGAGATGTAGGCTTCAGGATCAGGTAATCGAAAACAGTCATGAAAAGGAAATAGCAAGGGCATTGATTTCTTTGATCCCATCTCAATAGAGGACGGTACAATCAAGTGGTGGCGCGTTCTCATCACGATGCTCCTTATTCTCTTTGGCAGCAAGACAGTCTCTCGCACTGTCACGAATCCTAGCCATCCATAACGTAAAAGGGGGGGGGTGGGGGCGGGCTGTTTTAAGTGGATGCTATTGTCATGGGGGCGAACTTGCTTATACCAAGCTCATAGACGATGATGTCGTCGTCCCCCGCGCCCTCCTCCTCCTGATTTACTTTTTTTCATTCCACTTGACTGAGAATAGATCATTTTCCACACGAATAAAAATGTCTTTGATTCCCGTTGTAGGTTTGCTTATGATCAGCCATCTCAAAGAAAAGTGAGATGTGTGTATTATTGGCAGACTCCTTTGATAGAGACAATAAGATAAGGTTCTCTGTCCTGTGTAAGGTAATCCTATAAAAGAAGCCACCAACAGGTTTTTTGCTGTTGTTATTGTTATTGTTCCATTCGATCACTATGACGCGCTGAAATACACGCACACCAACGAAAAAAAATCAGAATATTCTATTGGGGGGAGCGGGGAGCAGTAACCCAAAAAGAGAGAAAAAAAGGATCGAGTTTCCCATTTTGCCACCCTTATTCATAAAGGTTGGGTGCGCTTAGAACAGTCCACTTGCTTTCATGATGCAGGCATAAAAAAGAGAGAGTGTGTGTGTGAGTCATTTGTACGTACAAAGACAAGATATGGGGGAAAAAAGTGCCAATGTCTTTTTGGCTAGGGGAGAGGAGGGGTTGGGCGGGGGGAGGGATGAGTCCAAGAAAGACCTACCCAAGAGAACACTCATGCGTCATTTTTTCCTTTTTCCCCCAATTTAATGAAACGCCCTGCTTTTAATAAAAAGAATTTGCTCATCTCTTTTTCCTTTCTTTCTTTTCTTTGATTTCACTTTTTTCGATCGATCGTTTCATTTTGTCGAATTGGCCACCTTTTTCGCGAAGAGAACATCTGTCAATAAAAAACACAACAGACGAAGAGGAAGATAGAGCATACCCTCCAAAAAGCGATAATGTAAAGCGGGTTTTTTTTTTTTTATTGGTCATTTGAAAATATCCATAAAGAATAATAACTAGGCTTGAATTGGGTTGAGTACATGACATGGCAGCTTAACACCTATTTTATATATATATTTATATGTACCTATGTACACCTATACCAACAAAAAAAAAGAGTAATAAATATACAACCTATGGGACAAACACTATCCGAGCCTATTACCGAGAAAACGACCACTCATGAGTCCAATCACAAGTACTTTTATGGCTGCTCTCATATGCAAGGGTGGAGACTTAGTAAATATCAAAGGAAAAAAAAAAAAGAAACGTGAATGAAAACAAAAAATCATCTCTCTGCATAGTACAAGTTGAGTTTTTTTAATTCACCATGTTCCAATGATAGCCATGGAAGATGCCCACACAACACTGTTAAAGTTGGGAGACACGAACGCCAGTTTCTTTGGTGTCTTTGATGGACATGGAGGTAAAAGAAACATGGTTTCAATGGTTGCCTAACACACGGGCAAATAAAACTAAAGATAAGGGCATGTCACTCTTTTCTTTTCTTTTTGTAGGCTCTACCATTGCACAGTATACGGGACAAACTTTGTATAAAAAAGTATTAGAAAGTCAGCATTTTGAAAAGAAGGAGTATGCTGAAGCTTTAAAAGATGCCTTTAAAAGTTTAGATAAGAGTTTACTTGAAGGTAAGCAAGGGGACAAGAAAAAAAAAGGGGGGGAGGGCCCTTCCAGCACGCATGAACCCAGTGTTTTCGTAGGAACTCAATGTGTGTGTCTATCGTAGATAACAATTTTGCCTACGACCCTTCAGGGTGTACAGCCGTAGCTGCACTTATTACGGACGATGATCATATTTTTGTGGTAAAAACATGTGATTTTTTCAGACGGGGGGCGGTTTCTTTAGGATAAAATAGAGACTCAACATGTTTTTTATGCGGATTAGGCGAATGCTGGTGATTCCAGAGGTATTATCAGTATCAATGGACAAGTCAAACCACTTTCCTATGACCATAAGCCCACAGATCCCGAGGAAATGCAAAGAATTATAAGTGCCGGTGGTTTTGTGGAATTTGGTCGCGTGAATGGCAATTTAGCTCTTTCTCGGGCCATTGGTGATTTTGAATTCAAACAAAATGATTCTCTTCCAGCCGAGAAACAAGTGGTGACTTGTAAGTTTGGTTTTTTTTTTTTATCTTGTTAATATGAACTACTCTTTACCTTTTTTTTTTTTTTTCCCTCCGCTTTGAACAGGTGTGCCTGATATCATTGATCATCAAATTACTGAAGAAGATGAATTCTTTGTTTTGGCGTGTGATGGTATTTGGGATTGTATGTCAAATCAACAAGTCGTTGACTTTATTCGCGATGGCATTGCAGAGGATAAACAACTGGGAACCATTTGTGAGGAAATTATGGATGCCTGTCTAGCAGACGATTCAACCAATACAGGTCTTGGTTATGATAACATGTCGGTGATGATTATCGCTATTTTGAATGGTAAACAAACGGAAAAGGACTGGTATCATTGGATGAAAGAAAAGATTACATCTAGCCGTGAATATCAAGAAAAGCACCCACAGGGTGAGAGTGGTAACGCTACTAAGGGTAGTGCTGTCACTCCTCCTCCTGCCCCTGCTTCTGCTGCTGATGCTGATGCTGCTGATGCTGATGCTGATGCTGATGCTGCTGTCGTTACGACGACGCCAACGACGACGAGTGGCAATAATAATAAAAGAGATAAATCCGACATCGACACAGATGAAGATAGTTCGGACGATGAAAAAAAGAAGGACGCGAAAGAGATGAAAATGGACACAGATAAAGCACAAGAATAATCTTTCTTTTTCTTTCGAGACTTTTTTAATATTTTGTAAAATTTACCCAACTATTCATTTGTTCAAACGTTTTCCTCCTCGCCTAGCCAACCTCCACTTTTATTCATATAAAAAATACTTTTATTCGTACGATACGGTCTATTTTTTAATTTTCGTCCATCCTTAAAGTGTAAAGGAGACAGACTACTTTTTTGTACGACTACGCGCATAAAGTTCATGTAACCATAAATAATATCAACATGCACACACACACACACACACACACATGCAACACAGGCCACATTCATTTACTTTAAACGGCATGCGTCATGGGGGGGGATCCTAAAAGCGCGGTAAAAGAGAACCTTTTTTTTTTCATTTTCAGGAGTTTATCCACGGCTCATTATCCAACATTGAACTTGCAAGATAATTGTATCTTTCGTATAGCGTGGTGAGTTGTGAAAGTGTGAAGAGTCGATAGTCATCCATGAGTAAAAGGTCATGGTCTTTTTGTAACGTATACATTCCATAGCTGAGCAATGCAACTGCTTGTGAAATGAAGTGTATTATCATGATGCTATGGTCGGGCTATCTTCTCTCTTTCAACTCATGGCTACCATGCAGACTTTTTTGAGTAAAATAATGACTTTGAGGTTGCTATAATACTTGATGAGTACTTTTTACTCACTCAAAACTTATGAAAGAGAGCAAAGATATCCTCTCCCCTTCTTCCCATAAGAAAGGATGTGGGGTCGACTCACACCTTTCGTTCTCAATGGTTGATTGAACCACTTTTTTTTTCTCTCTGCAAAATCTTTAAAATAGCCCTTGGATAACGTATTTCTCTCGCTTGACCAAGCAGATCAAGAGTGAATCGATCTGATGGTAAGGATAATAAGGACATCGGAAAAGAGAAGCATTTCGAGGAAATTTTGATAGGACGTTTAAGGTTTAGTTTTCATTCTGCGCATGTGGGACGCAGTCAAAGTTTTATAGTAGATAGACATTGATGTGCCGCGAAAATTTTACCTTTTATAAAAAAAAAGAAAAAAAGAAAAGCCAATGACGACTCGACATAGGAAAGGGTCTGTGTTGTTGTACTTAATATATATGTATACACACATACACACACATGGATGGCTACGATAACCCTTTTTTTCAAGGATGAAACCAAATTAATAAATTACGTATATGTTTTCAAATGATGCCGTTTCTTAGTGTTGATATCAAATTGTCTGCTGCACCCTGTTTGTCACAAAAATAGAAGGCAATTTTTTTTATTTATTTTTTTTTTTTTTTTTTCTTAAATTAAGCAGTAAAACAACCCCAAGAAGGAGGCTCTTGCAAGATATTTTCAGGCGTGAAATTATCCCCTCAAAAAGGATAAATTCATATTCAATTTCTAAAGAGAAGAATTTAGAAAAAAATAGAAAACGCGTGAAAAAATGTCTAAAGAAAAAAAAAAAAAAAAAAAAAAAGGAAAACATAGAAACGTCTAATACCAACGTTTATCGTTGGAATAAGCTTTTTTTCAACGTTATTCCATTTCTCTCTCTGTCTGTCTATCTGTCTCTCTTTCTCTTTCTATGTGTGTCTGTGTCTGTGTGTAAGCGTGTGCGTGTCCTTTTCTTTTTTTTTTCTTTTTTTTTTGTTACGTCATGTCTTCCTGTAAAATAGATCTATCTATATAATGAAAGGCTTCTGTTGAACATCATCACACATGGCAACGCTGGGTAATGAAAAAACTCTCTGTTGTATAAAAAAGAATTTTTAAAGTTTCTGGGTCAGAGGTGCCCTTTTTTTCAAGGTGGTTCAAGAATTTATAAATCTACGATTCGTGATAATGATTGGGTATTGGGTGTCTGTCCTTTGAGTAGATGACGAACATTGTTAAAAGTCCAGTCTCTTTTTTACCGTCTTACGCTTTATGTCATTGTTCAAATTCCCTTTTTAAACTTTTTGCACCAAAAATAATTGAGAGAGAGAGGAATGTTTTGGAAAACCAAAAGAAATGATGTCCCTTTTCCGAGTTACGAAAGAACGTGTTTACTTTAGGTAACACTCAGTTTCTTTTTGCAAAAGTAACGATTTCCATAGCGGTAGGTTGAGTACCGAAGGATGAGACGACTGCAAACGCAAAAAAATAAAATAAAAAAAAATAACAATAACAATAACAACTTGTCATTTCAGAAGTTAAAAGAAAGTCTCCGAATGCAATAGAATAGTCAATGTCATCAAGCAGCCAACCAGCAGTCAACCATCGAATGACACGGCTCGACAATGGATTTTCAATGTTTTTTTCTTTTTTGTTTGTTTAAACAAGAAACAAGCTAAAGAGCGGTATTCGTTTTAAAATCACAATCATAGGGTTTACGAAATCATGGTGTCTGTCTTTTTACTACTACTACTACTACTACTACTACTGTGAGTATATAACTCACATTCGAAATGATGCATAGTCTATGTGTCAGTAATGAAAAAAAAAAAAAAAAAAAAAAAAAAAAAGTCTTAATAATGATATGCATGATTTCTGAGAATGAGAAACATTCCTTTGTTCAATATAAACTTTTTAACCATTGCAAACAACAAAGTTATTATTAATTTTTCATGCAAAATTGTTTAATTGAAAACACGTATGTATATTATTGTTTATAAGGGGAAGGGGCTAGAGGAGGGTCCTTTTTTAAAGTTACTTTTTGAACTAAACAAGGGGAGAAGGAGAGCCTCAGGTACAAAATGTTTCCCGCCAAAATAACAATAGACGATAAGGAAGCAAATCATATCCTTCTACAGTTATCAATGTACATGTTTCTTCAGCCTTGTGGAAAATTGAATTTCTGTTTGTTGTGTGTAATTCTCTTTTTTATGTGTAAGCTGTTTCAATTTCAACAAAAAATCAAAAAAAAGTCCGATAAAGCACTAAAAGAGAGTCAGAATTCCCCTTTTTCATTCAGTGCACTTTACTTATTCTGTAATGCAGAACCTTGTCACATTAAAGAAATAAGCGTGGTCTTTTTTCTGCTTTATTTTTTTTTCTTGTTGGGCGTGGGCGTGTGTGTGTGTGTGACTGAGAATGAGAGAGAGAGAGAGAGAGAGAGAGTATGTGTGTGTGTGTGTGTGTGTGTGTGTGCGTAACAACAAATATATGTAAATGACATCAACTTAAAGCAATCGAGATATTACCCGATTCAGCGACGCTCTTTCTTTTTCGTTAAACTGAAAATTCCCTTTTTTTTTTTTTTTTTTTTTTTCTCCCCCTTTTTTTAAGCCCCTCCCCCCTAAGGAATGCATTTTACCCCTCTATTTTTTGCATGAAACATAACTTGCAAATATGATATCAATTTTTATTTTATTTTTTTTTTGGCTGATCATAAAAGAAAAAAAAAAAAAAAGACAAAAAAAAAGTTTAAAAAAAAATGCTTTTTTTCTTTTTATAGAGTTTCTTATTCTAATATATAAAGGTAGTAGAATTTATTTCAGTTGCCTTTTCTCTTTTTTTTTTTTTTTTTTTTTCTTTTTTGCTTTTTCGTTTTCCTTTTCTTGTCCCTTTTCTAAAGCATCTTTTGTCGTAAAAAAAAAAACTTTGTCTATTGATTACGTACACACACCACACTAAACACACACTCACACTCACACTCACACTCACACTCACACATAAAAAATATGGACATGGAGACTTATTTTGGTTATATTAAAACACCACAAGACGCTTTAATCATTTTCGAAGCCTGTAGAAGAAATCAACTCGCTCGTGTACAACGTAGATTATCCGCCAAAGAAAGAATTCAAATTCGATCAGGCTCTATTTTTGCTTGGGATGAAAGAGAGGCAGGCATGCGTCGTTGGACTGATGGCCGTACCTGGTCACCAAGCCGTGTTCTCGGCAGCTTTTTGACTTACCGTGAACTAGACACTAAACGTAGACCCCGTCGTCCCTCTGCAGTTTCCATCAGCAGCAACACCATGGATAGCAATAACTTATGTCTCAGTAGCAAGGTCTCTTGCTCTTATAAACCCAACGGCCTCATTAAACAGAGCTTCTCCATCTGTACAGCCACCAATCAAAAATTACACCTCATTTCTTATTACTCTAAATCAGACGTCTTAGCCGGCCGCTTACAACAACCCAGTATGGATCACAGATTACGACAGATCAATGTCCCTAAAGGTTTATATCCCGAATTAAATCCTCTCGATACAAGTGGCGGTCATTCAGCTACATTGCACAGCCTACGACAACAACAACATGAATTATTACAATACCATCATCAGCCACCGACCGCTCAATTGGCGTCTCGTAGCATGTCGATCTCCTCAATGACCACCACCAACACCACCACCATGAGTCTCTCCATGGACCACTTGCCACCCGCCTCCCCGCCTTCTTTGTCTTCCTCACCCAGCACTTGTGATGATGATATTATGATGATGACAGATTCGCTTTTGCCTACGCCTACTCACCCTCATCCTCATCCTCATCCTCTTCACCATCCGACCTCTTCATCACCCTTCTTTTCTTCCACTTCGACGTCTACTACGACTACGGCGGCTACGACTCCCACTGAGACCAACACTTTCTTACCCTCCTGTAGTACTGCATCACCCACCCATAGCAGTCATTTATTGCCCATTCAAGACATTGCCTGGGAGAAACTACCATCCTCAGAAGACTCGAGGCAACTCAGAGCATTACAAAACTTGTTGAAACTATAGTGATCCTCTTTCTCTCCTTAAAAAAGGAAAAAAAGAAAAACTTTTTTTTTTTTTTTTTTTTTTTTTTTAACTTGCAGACGCACACACACACACACACACACACACTATCTTCTACCTATTTATATAATACACAGTTATACCTTCTATTTTATTCTATACTATCTATCTAACTAACTATCCTCAACACTACCATCATCATCGTGATCGTCATGATAAAATTCTATTTTCTTTGTGAAAAAATTAAGCTTATACATACAACTTTATATGAATCTCCTTTTATACCTTTCCCAGTCGTCTATCCGCTAGCTACTACTCTTTGCTAGACATATCACAACAATAATAACGTATCACTCTACTTTCTTTGTTTTCATACTTTCTATACGTTTCTTTTTTTTTTTTTTTTTCCTTTGCATTTATTATTTATTACTGTCTATGTCTTTATTACTATTTACAAAAAAAATAAATAGTCTGTTAACTTTATCTTATTGTCTCTATGGGTGTACATGGGTTACACTAAAGCATAATACGTTATCTTCGATAAGAGAAACCTCCAAGTCATTGTATTTTCATCGATAAAGGGGGCGGTTAGACGAGGGGGTAGGTAGAAAAAAGAAAAAAAAAAAAGCGGATGATCCATTTCTTTTTTATTTCAGAAAATCGTAGAAAACAAGCAGGAGGGAGTGCATCGGTGGTGGCATCAACAGAGTGGCCGTGGCGGCCCATACGAACAATAGACAAAGCCTACTTTTGATACTACTTTTGCTGGCTTGATTGTCGATCAGCACATGTTGCGTGGGTGAAAGCTTGCTCTGGTTCGTATCTTCCGAGGGCTCTGAAGGTATCACGTCTGCGCCTGCGGCTGCTGTATCGATCGTAAGCTCAAGTACATCGGATGGACTCTTGGCTTGGTTTAATTCAGCCGCCACAGAAAGAGCGTCTCCTATCGAATAAAAGTCCACCTCTAAAAAGGTGGGCTTTTTGTGAAACGTACGCGTGCAATTCTGCACATGTGGCATAAGCGATGCCCGTGAGTTGGTTTGCCTGGCTTTATGTCTTTGAGGTATCTCCACCTTGAAAGAACCCACTTCAATGGAACCGTACAAAAAATGATTGAGAACGTACATCATGTTCTTTATCTCGGTCGACGGAGTATTGTTGCCCACGGCTTCTTTATCGTCGCCAGAAGAAGGAGACAGCCCATCTGCTATGCGATCCACGTTGCAGTTAAATTGGCTGGGGTCTGTATAATCATAAGGTGTTTCAAAGCAAATTGAAAACTGATCTATTAACCTAGTGTCATGAAAAAAAAAAAACCCCCCAGCACAGGATGGTATGAGAATGGAAGCTCGAATGCCTTTTTTTTTTTTTTTTTTTTTTTGGGGGGGGGCTTACCAAGGCACCTGATTCATATCGGCTTCTGCATCAATAAAATTAACCACTCGTTTATTCCCATCAATCATCTGCTGTAGTGTCGGCCATGCTTGGCTAACTTTTCCATCCCCTTGGAGATGATGTGTTCCATTATAGAGATCGTATATAAACGGCATCATTCGACTCGCTGTATACACACTCGCGAGTTGCTCTGCCGTGAAGGAATAAAGGTTATTCCACATAATCGTCACTACTTCGTTTGGATGGTCGGCTACCCAATCTGCAATCGTATTCAACGTATCAACGGCTTTTCCAGCATTCAACAGTAGACAAGACGTATGACACAAGTGGATCTCTTCAGGATGGAAGACAGACGGTACCGCCGACAACTTTAGACCACGTACACCATCGTTTAACTGCTCTACAATCGTACGCTCTTGCGTGGAAGCTAAGTTCGGAGTGAGATTGGCGTAGCTGTCGTGCGTGACCAGATGAGTGATGTCGCTGTAGGACTGATTGCATAGAGCGAGCCCTCCGTTGCATTGCCCATACACAACATGGGGAGAGATGCAGTACAAAAAGAAGACAGACAGGACCATAGCAGAGATAGGCATGAACCTCTTTCTAGGTGATCGAAAGGACATCTTTAATGGGTAATAAAAAAAGGATGACTCTTTCCTTTTCTGCCACCCTTTTATCCATGGTGGGCTTGAGATGGGGGTTGGGCTTTAGTTTAAGTTGCAATTATTAAGGGAACGGCTTGAACTTAATATTAGTTAAACTTATTCCCTTTTTTTTTTTTTTTTTTTGTTTGTAAAAAAAGATAACCTTGGTCGACAATGAAACGGAAGAGTCCTTGCAAGCCATCCCTTAGGATGAAAGCAAAGCAAGATACTTTATTCACTTGATTGACATTCAACGCAAACCTTGGGCATCCACTCATTATCTTAATACTACTCGTTCTCTTTTGCGATTCATCCAGAAGCTGGTATCTCTACCTAGCCTAAAACGGGATGACAGAGCTATCTCTTTCTCCTGTATATCGTATAGAGCTCTTTCTCTAGGACTGAAGCAACGTTCTTTGAGAACCAAGCCGCTCTTTGCATGCTTATTGTACACATTACTCTCCGTTACGGTTTGCAAAAGACAGCATGCATACCCTCCAAACACATTCAACAAAATAGTCAGTTTTATGTTTTTATCTGTAAAAAAAATGCAGTAAACGCGTTTATAAATCAAGCACATAAAATGGCAGATAAACCTATAGATTCTATAGAAGGAGTCTCCTAACAAAACAACATGATCAATAAGTAGAGTACAACCGCTAGCTAAAGTTAGAACAACCGGCACGAGCAATTTATATATTAAGGTTTTGATTCAGCAAAAGCGGACCCAGGCGGGGAGGCATCATGATCGGCTTTAAAAGAGTTTTTTAGACAAACCATTCATATTTGTTGCAGGTTTTTTTTTTTTTTTTTCTTAGCCCAGGCGTAGTCATTTGGCTCGTTCATGCCAGCATAAGTTGAGAAGAAAAAAGCCACTCTTTGAATCTCAGTCAAAGAGTCTATCGAATTTACACCTCAAGGGATTTCTTACTTTTCTTCTCTTATTGATTGTTGACTTTTTTACCTTTTCGACTCTTGTCTTTTAATAACTCATCTTTATTGAAAAACGTGCTGTAAAAATACTAAAGGTAGAAAGTAGAAGAAGAGCATACATAGATTCTACCTATTTCGTTAAATAAATCCAGACAACAACCTTCAGACAAACGATTAAAGAATGTTTTTGTACAATATCACCATCAATCCAGCGACAGCCATCAATCAAGCGATTCACGGCAATTTCTCGGGCACCAGACAACAAGAAATTATTGTAGCGCGACAAACACGCTTAGAATTACTACGACCTGATGCTAACACTGGCAAAGTACACACAGTTCTTTCACATGAATGTTTTGGTTTAATACGTAGTTTAGCACCTTTCCGATTGACAGGTGGTAGCAAAGGTAACTGAACCATCTCAATAACCCTCCCCCCTCCCCTTCCCCATCTTTTTTCTTCTCTCGGTAATATATTGATATATGCGCCTCTCTGTTCTTTCCTTGCTTTCCGTCTTTAGATTATGTAGTTGTTGGATCTGATTCAGGACGCATTGTCATCTTGGAATATAACCCTACCAAAAATATCTTTGAGAAAGTGCATCAAGAAACATTTGGTAAAACAGGTTGCCGTCGCATTGTGCCCGGTCAATATTTAGCAGCTGATCCAAAAGGTCGTGCTGTCATGATCGGTGCTGTCGAAAAGCAAAAGTTAGTCTACATTTTGAATCGCGATTCAGCTGCCAACTTGACTATTTCTTCACCGCTCGAAGCGCATAAAAGCCATGTCATTCACCATCATATGGTAGGCGTTGATGTAGGTTTCGAAAATCCTGTCTTTGCTTGTTTGGAAGTGGATTATTCTGATGCCGATACCGATCCTACCGGACAAGCAGCAAAAGATGCAGAAAAGACATTGACTTATTATGAACTGGACTTGGGTTTAAATCATGTTGTAAGAAAATGGAGCGAGGTGGTAGACCGTAAAGCCAATTTACTCATACCAGGTACGGAACAGAAGCGGTTGATGGGGGGGAAATCATGGTCAGTGATCACTCATTTTATTTCTCTATGTTTGTGGGGGTGTGTCAACAGTGCCTGGAGGGAATGATGGTCCTTCTGGTGTCTTGGTTTGTACTGAAAACTTCATTTCCTACAAACATCCTGAACACGACGAATTCCGTATTCCAATTCCACGACGAGCTCAACCACTGGAAGATCCTACCAGAGGCATCATGATTGTCACTTATGCAGTACACAAAATGCGTGTGGACAAAAAGGCTCAATTTTTCTTTTTATTACAATCCGAGGACGGCGACTTGTATAAAGTGACCATGGATCATGATCAAGGCGCTATTCATGGTTTAACCATCAAGTATTTTGATACCATCCCCGTCGCCACTTCCCTATGTATTTTGAAGAGTGGTTTCTTATTCGCTGCCAATGAATTTGGCAATCAGTAAGTATCTTATCACGCCCTCTTTTTTTTTTTTTGATCACAGAAAACAAGCTCTTTTACCCCCTCTCTCATCCATCCTTGTATTATTATTTTTTTTATAGTCATCATTACTTCTTTGAGAGCTTGGGTGACGATGATGATGACCCAGAAATCTCTTCTGCAGATTATATGGAGGCCGAAGCAAATCAGGACGAAATCCCGCTTGTTTACTTCAAACCACGACCTTTAAAGAACCTATCCCTTGTCGATGAACTCAATTCCATGGCACCCTTGATGGACGCCAAGGTATTGAACTTGGCAGACGAAGAGTCACCGCGTATTTACTCTCTCTGTGGTAGAGGATCGCGATCTACTTTCCGTATTCTCAACCAAGGATTAGAAGCCGCCGAATTAGCTGTGAGCGAACTTCCTGGTAATCCCAGTGCTGTGTGGACCACAAAGCTGAAAGCGGATGACGATTTTCATAAATACATCGTGGTATCATTTGCTAACGCAACACTTGTCTTGTCGATTGGCGAGACCGTCGAAGAAGTACAGGACACAGGATTTTCGACCAACGAACCTACACTAGCAGTGCAGCAATTAGGACATGATGCTCTTGTTCAAGTGCATCCAAGAGGGATCCGTCATATACGTGCAGGCGGTCGAGTGAACGAATGGAAGGTACCTCAGGGTTTAAAGATCACTGGAGCCGCTACCAACAGTCGTCAGGTGGTGATTGCTTTGTCCAACAGTGAGCTTGTCTATTTCGAGCTCGACAACATGGATCAGTTGAATGAACACCAAGAGCGTAAAAGGATGACGTCTGTTGTGTCTGCTTTGTCTTTAGATGATGTTCCTGAAGGCCGTCAACGCTCACGTTATCTCGCGGTCGGTTGTGAAGATCAGACAGTGCGTATTTTGAGCTTGGACCCTGATAACTGTTTAGAAGCCGTATCGATGCAGGCTCTTCAAGGCGTTCCTTCCAGCTTGTGTATAGTAGAAATGATGGATACAGGTGTAGAAGCAGGACATGGCACCACCTATTTGAATATCGGTTTATCCAACGGCATCTTGCTTCGCACCGTTTTGGACACCATTACAGGCCAATTGTCAGATACGCGTACACGATTCCTAGGAGCAAAGAGTGTTAAACTATTCAAAATGAAGATCCAAGGGCATCCTGCCGTTTTGGCTTTATCCACAAAGCCATGGGTCAGTTACACATTCCAAAATCGTCTCTATTTGACACCCCTCAGTTACGAGATGTTGGAATACGGTAGTGCGTTCATTAGTGAACAATGCCCCGAAGGTGTCGTTGCCGTCGCAGGAAACACATTGAGAATCTTCACGATCGAAAAGCTGGGTAATATCTTTAACCAAATTGCCATTCCTCTAAGGTACACACCGAGAAGTTTTGCCCTTCACGCGCCTACGAATACATTTGTGATTGTGCAGAGTGATCATGCCACCTTTTCCCCGGAAGAAAAAATCAAGGGACTCAAGGAGAAAGAGCAGGAAGGGTTTGAAATTGATCCTGAGATTACAGACCTTGACGTGTTGCAATTTGGTCACGTCCGTCATGCTCCCGGTAAATGGGCAAGCTGTATTCAATTAGTGGAGCCTTTCCAAGGCACCATTGTGCAAACCATCGAACTCGAAGAAAACGAAGCCGCTTTCAGTATTGCTATGGTACAATTCCGTACCAATCCTCACGCAGCAGATCCATCAGAGCAGTTTGTCGTGGTAGGTACAGGACAGAACGTCAAACTCCAACCACGGTCAGCTACTGCGGGTTATTTGCGTGTCTATCGCATCGTACAAAATCAAGAAACCGGTGCACTGCAACTTGACTTTATCCATCGCACACCGGTCGAAGATGTACCGCATGCTCTCTTGGCTTTCCAGGGCCGTTTGCTCGTCGGTGTAGGCAAAGCGCTCCGAATTTACGATATAGGTAAAAAGAAAATGTTGAGAAAGTGTGAAACAAAGACATTGCCCAACTGCATTGTGGGTTTACACACACAAGGTCATCGTGTGATTGCTACCGACATACAAGAATCAGTACATTATGTGATCTATAAACATACGGATAATCGATTAGTCGTCTTTGCTGATGATACAGTGCCCCGCTGGATGACAGCGTCGACGATGGTTGACTATGAGACAGTAGCCGGTGGGGATAAATTCGGTAATTTCTTTGTGAATCGTCTGCCGCAATCGGTCTCGAACGAAATTGATGAAGACACAACGGGTAACCGTATCTATCATGAAAAAGGATATTTACACGGCGCTCCTTACAAGGTAGGTTTTTTTTTTATACATAAACGAGTGTATGGGGAAAAGTTGGTCTTTTGACATTCGGATCTGCGTCTGTTAGGTTGAAAGCCTGTGTGAATATTTCACTGGCGATATTATCACATCGATCCATAGAACAGCATTATTATCAGGTGCACGTGAAGTGCTTTTAACGACATCACTACTAGGTTCCATTTCCGTGTATATTCCTTTTGTTTCCAAAGAAGATGTTGAATTTTTCCAAATGCTTGAAATGCATATGAGAGCAGAAGCTGCACCCCTTGCTGGACGAGAACATTTACTTTATAGAAGCTATTACATACCCGTAAAATCAGTGATTGACGGCGATTTATGTGAGCAATTCAACTCATTGCCTGCAGAAAAGAAGCGTGTGATTGCTGAAGAACTCGATCGATCTGTAGCTGATGTACAAAAGAAGATTGAAGATATGCGTGTACGCTCATCCTTTTAACCCATAAATCTATCCATATCACGATGAAAATTTTAATGCTCTATTGAAAAATAATAAAAAATCTCCTTTTGGGAAATGGAAAAAAAAAAGAAAGAAAAAAGAGACAAAAAAAAAAGTGTGTGGATGATAGAATTGCAACTCTTTGTTCCTTTCGTTTTTTACTTTAAACACAAAAAAATGGTTACTCCTGAAGAAAACTTTGATAAAGGTGTTGAGCTACGTCTATCGGGCAACGAGTCGTTTAAAAGCAAAGACTTCAAACAAGGTAAAACAAAAAATATATTTATTTTTTGTAATGTAATAGACAAGGGAATGAACCGCTTCGTTTTGTCGTGATTAGCTTTGAAGCATTACTATGAAGCGTTATTGTATTTAAAAGCGGTACATGGCAGAAATCCTGACGTGGAGTTCAAAAGTAAATGTGACGAACAACTGGTGATGATCTACAACAACATGTGCGCTGTCTTTGCGAAAGAAGATCGTTGGGATCGAGTGTTATACTATGCTTCGCAAGCTATTGAGCTTGATAAGAATAATACAAAATCAAAATTCAGAATGGGTCAAGCACATTTGCGACTGCAAAATACAGATAAAGCGAAAGAGCTACTGGAAGAAGTTTTGAAAGAAAACCCAGACGGTACATAGTATGATTAGACTGACATGTGCATGTGCTTGTTTTGTATTAAGCTTTTTCGTACGTTCGAAATAGATGCTCTTGTAAAACAAGAATTAAACAAAGTACAGACAGCAAATAAGCAAATGGAAGAAAAAGAAAAATTGATCTATAGAACGATGATGTCTAAGCTTGCACAAGGAAAGTAGTAGAGGGGAGAATCACTTTATTGCATATTGTAGAAAAAAGGAAACATACTTGATCTTATCTGTTCGAATCACTCTCAAATCTCTATCAAAGCCATGATCATGATAAACACTACAAATCCTGTGATAATGGACGCTACTGCGTACCCTAGCCAACCATGGCCAACCCAGTACTGCCTTCTTACAATTTGCCGCTGATTTCTGAAATAAGTGAATAATGAGAAAATAAAGCAAGTAAATCCCAGAGCAACGAAAATATAGGCAATTATCTTTGTATTCAAATTTGCTGGTTCCTTGTTTGTCCATGGAAAAGTATTGGAAGGCGCAAAATTCTTAGTTGATACATCTAACAATGTGATAAATCCTAATCATCTTGGTCAGGTACAAATCCCACTATTTAATATCAACACAGGACCATATGATGGGTAAGTCCTTTCATCTTTGTTTTGCTTACCTATTAAAGCAAGCGTCGTTCCTGTCCTCAACCAAGTTAATAAATTGCGCTCATTTGCGAGATGATCTCTCGGATCAGGTCCGTCCACAAATGTATGTACTGAAAGGTCGAGATATTTGAATAGGCTTGAGCATTTGTCATTGTTACAAACGATGAATTTCTCGGGAGCATGAAGTTCTACATCCATGTTGGACCTATTTTTGTATCCAAACAAAACTGAAAGGTGTAGTAGTGTTCTTTTTTCCTTTTCATTTTTTTTTTTTTTTTTTTTTTTTTCATTGGAAAGAAAGTTTGTGTTCACCTGATTAAAAGATATGACAATTTCTCGCAGAAGCAGCAAAGAAGCTCCTCTTATTGCTTTATTTGTGGTTACGATTTACAAGCATCCTGAGAAATGGATGCGCTTTCTGCATAGAAAAATCAGGAACCGCTGGCAAACATTAGAAGGCAGAAAAGCATAACTTGTGCCCCTTAACTCTTTTTCTTATGTCATCAATTCTACTACCATTGTTGACACCGATAAAAAAAAACTTTTTAAAGTGTGACTATAACAATGAACCTTCAAATTGTGTGATAATCATATTCAATACTGTATATGCTTGTTGTGGTTAAGAGTGAGTGTTCTGAACACTTGATAATTGTAACACGGAGGAATACCAATAAAATCGCCCTTGATTTCAGCACTCGTCAATTTTTTTTTTTCAAGGCAGGTTTGTCATCATCAGCTTAATAAGAGTTGATAAACTACCGGTCAACAAGTGATAAAATGGAAAATGAAGGTAGATGTGAGCACGGTGGTGTAAGATGATGTAATAGAATTGAATGATAAAGAAAATAAGCGGTTACTTAGAAAAACTTAGCAAGCATCAAAAATTATCGAAAGTCATGCTACAGCTTAAAACATGCAAAAATCGAGAAAATTACTGTATTCGAAAGGAGAGGGCAAGCTGCTCAAAAGACGCTAACATGACAATATGAAAACATTCAAAACAAGCACCGTGAATTAACTGGAGAAATTGCCAACAACGTAAAATAGAGAAATCAAGGCGTCCAATTACCCAGCTGACAGCAGAATTGAAGCTTAATTTTTTATGGTATGTTAAGACGACAAGACACTTATTTTGCACAGTGCGCCATAATAACAAATGTAATAGTGCCCTGAAGCCTACTTCAGATAAGCATAGCATAGCAGTAATGATTAGCCTTGCAATTTATTTTATTTTATTTTTTGAGTAGACCTTTAGATGAATGTTGGGGAAGGTGCTGTCCTAATGCGCGTTCATCGGTATTGTGAGTGTTCTACCTGTCGAGTGCAAAAATTGGGAGGCGACTAATTATTGTGATGAACTGTACAGCATATTAATGTATATACCTTATTTTACGTGATATAATCAAAGTAGGATGCGGAGAAGACTAATCAAACGATTACGAAATAGTTTGTGTCCATAAATATCAAGATATCATTGATACACTTATAGATGAAACATATATGGGTTAAAAAGCACCGAGATGTTCATCCTAGAATGTTCACAAAATGATCCATAAAAACCAATCAAAATGCACCGCAAGTGTAATCACGCAACCTTTACATATCTAGACACAATTCACGATACACTATATATTTCCTTTTAGCGGAGGGGAAGGGCCCAAGCTTTAGATGTATCGTATATAGCGAAATGAGTCGGTTAAGGTCGTTATTGACATCAGTATAGCATTACTTATCAGTAAACAGATAATACGAGGCTGTATTTTATACAGAAAGACGTCGAGTAATTTATTTTAATAATCATTATACTAAATACAAAATTAGTTGAGCTGCAATCGGTTGGGCAGTAGAGAGGGATCTTTTTCTATCACTAGGGCACGAAGCCATTTCACTTCTTTTTCAAGTTCTACCACTCTTTTCTCAAGTGTCTCTGCTTTCAATGTCATTTCTCTGGCTGTTCTTTCTAAAGCTTGCTCTCGTAGCTTTTTTTTCATACGAAACCTTGCTGATGCGGCCGTATTCCGTCTTCTTTTATCTTCTTCAATTGCTTCTTTATCTTCTTCTGTTAGTCTATCTTTAACAAGCGTCTTCCTTTTTTTATTGCTGAGATTTGTGGGCACCGAAGTAGCAAGCTGGCGAGGGGATGATAAAGAGGACGTTGAGGGGGATGACAAATTATACGTGTTATTCGGGCCATTTGCACTCAATGGAGATAAAGGCTGGCTCAACACCACATTATTTGCTGTTTTCTGTGGCGTTGGAGCAGGTGCTAAACGCGGTAAAGGGTTTTGTTGTTTGTGTAAATGGAATTGTGATTGTGGTTGTGATTGTGGCTGTTGTAATGGTGTAGCACTCGACTGAGGACGGGAACTCTCTTGAATAGGGGTTTCTTGAAAAAAGAAATTGGTAGTATTGCTGTTAATACTTCCGTAAGAATTGATAAGAGTGTTGCTATTCAAATTATTGTTTGCTTGTGTATTGGTAGTGTCGAGTTCGTGATAGCCAGAAAAGCTAGCAAACAGATTAGGTTGCTCTGAAATACTTTTATACGGATCATTGTGAACGGCTGTATTCTGATTTGTATCGAACGTAAACTGCGCATTCGCCCATAATGCAAGCTCTTCGTTCAAAGCTTCTTCAGATAGAGGGACAGGGCTGTCATCTGTAAGTAGATTTAAAGAGGAAATGTAGGACATGACCAGAAAGTAGGAGGGAAGAAAAACTGAAGAGATAGCAAGGAAATTATTAGAATTTTTTTATTTTTTTTCAACCCTCTTTATAAATCAGTAAGACATTCTGTATCAGTAAGTTGCAAAATTGCGGCTCGCGAAACTGAGTAAATGGCCCAAACATTTACAACCGTTAGACGAACAACAGGCGATAACAAGCATAATTTGTTCAATTATAAGCTTTAAAGTTATTCTAAAATAAATGAAAATGCAAATATCTGGCACAATTGATGGATCTGTATAACTTCTAGCAAGGAGTTTACGTATATAAAGAGAATTCGGATTGTTGATTATAAAGACTCGACGAAATCAGTCTGACTTTCATACCGAACAGATCAACGGTATCCCGAACAAGGCACGTGATTACAATAAATAATTAAATTTATATTATTATTACGATAATTTCCAGAAAACAACAAGCCCGATTGGCCTAATTGGATAAGGCATCCGTCTTCTAAACGGAAGATTAGGGGTTCGACCCCCCTATCGGGTAATTTTTAAAAGTTTTTGTTTTCGCGGTGCGCGTAGTTTTATGCCGTTGAAAGTAGAAGATATCATCGCGAACAAAAGTAGTACCTACCCTCGCTGCTCCCCTTGATGGAGGTGTAGATGGTACTGCTGCTTCTAAATATGCCCCTATAGAGATTCGATCATCAATGGATGTCGACAGCATTTCTACGAGTGAACCTGGAACCATCTTACGTCGCTCATCCACTACCGCTATGTCTACCGAATCGCCTGTTACTAGATCTGTTAAATGTAATTCTGATCGTTTAAAGCACACCTCTCCTAGCCGTCAAGATTTTACCACCACCAACACAACAACCTCGAACACCCGTAAGGGTAATGAGTAAAAAACCAGTGCGCGTCGCATCCTTAAATGCCCGTACTATTTTCAAGGATGCTAATAAAAACACTCAAAGAGTATTTTTATCATATCTCAAATCCTCATCCCTCTCTTTAGATATTTTATGTTTACAGGAAGTTTCAGCCTTCTATCTTCAAGATCATCTTAAGAACAACAACATAACTACTTTCAATCTTATTTATTTCCACATTGTTCGGTGCTTTTCACCAAACATTGTGCTATCATATGTTTAAACAAGAACCTCACAATTCATGATGCTACCGTTTCTTTAGATGAACGGTGTATCAGGGCTACGATATATAATCAAGTATTACAACAAATCGAATGCTCTATACTCAACATTTATGGTCCTGCACAATCCGCAGACAGACTGCCCTTTCTAGAACAGTTTCTGTCCTCCCATTTTGCCACCTCTGTGCCTGTTGAATCACCTTCTATTTTACTTGGCGATTTCAATCTATCTCTGCTGAAGCTTATTGATCGATGTGATGATCCTCGGTTCATCTCTTGGCATCAATGGCTTATAGATAATTTTGACAATTGCTTTTCGGACAGTAAACCAACATTCCACCGTGGCAGCCATACCTCTACCATCGACTACATTTTTTGCAACAAGGCTCACCAGCCTCGTATTTCCAATCCTCAGCAAACCTACTTACCTTCTTCTTGGACAGTCCATCAATTATTGCAAATTGATCTGATTTCGAAAAGGGACGATCTTGGCCCCGGCTTTTGGCGCTTCAACACTTCCTTCTTGTGAAATGATACTTTTGTTACACTATTGACAGATATTATCAACTCATTTTTCGTGTCGATTGAATCACTTAATGACACAGCTGCACAGACAAAATGGGAAAGTCTGAAGCGCGCTTTAAAAGATACCTGTCAAAGCTTCTCTCATAGTTTTAAAAAGAGACGAAGCAGGAATCTTCATCAAATACAACAGGAGCTTCAGCACTTGCTTGCGGATAGTCACCCACAAAATGCCACACGCCAACAAATACTAATCCAACAATTGAATGCTACCTTGGAGAAGGAGGCCAAGGATGAAATGGAAAAAGTATCACTTAGATCCGCTACCCGGTGGCACGAAAAAGGGGAAAGAAATACAAAATATTTCTATCGGGCCATTAAGTTACGACAAATGCAGCAGACCATTCATGCATTACGGTGCAGTGTTACTGGCCGGTTGCTGAAAAGTACTCCCGCGCTCTTGCAGGAATCTCACCGATTTTATAGTTATTTGTATTCACCTGAGGAAATTGACCTAGCTGCAGTTGACTCCCTTCTGGCAAATATTCCAGACGATGTGAAATTATCTGAACAAACTTCTAGTACAATGGGGGCTGATTTTACAGCCGCTGACTTGCTTGATGTCGTTAAACACACTCCTAATGCTAAAAGCCCAGGATTAAACGGGTTGCCCTTTGAAGTATACAAGTTCTTATTCACTAAGTTCCCTAAGGCTCTTATTTTTGATGGTGTTAAACGATGCACTACATGGCAATATACCTGTGTCGTGGAAGCAAACTAGAATGGTACTGCTTTTCAAGAAAGGTGACCCCACATTATTTAAGCAACTGGCGACCCTTGCCACTCATCAATTCGGATGCCAAGCTGTTCACAAAGTTACTTGCCAATCGCTTCAACACCGTTCTACCAAGTTTAATCAACCCATATCAGACAGGCTTTATGCCACATCGCTTGATTTCTGATAACGGTTGGGTCAACCTGACGATTATGGACAACTTTCGAAGAAGTACTGATCCTCGTGCTGCTACTGCAGTGGCCGTAATGCTTGATTAAAAAAAAAAAGGGTATGATCGTGTCCACTCTCAATATTTTCGCTTGGTATTGTTACACTTCGGTTTCCCCACACATTTGATTTCCGCTTTATCGTCCCTATTCTTCTCAACCGCAATTTTCGCCTCCATCAATTGGTTTTTTAGGAAGGCCTTTGTTGCAAGGTCGCGGCTTACGTCAAGGTGATCCTATCTCCCTTCTTCAATTTAATGTTCGAACCTTTTCTCCGTACTCTTTTAGTCTCTCCCTTACAAGGTGTATCACTGTTTCCTCTTAAATCAAAGGAAATTTCCATTGCTAAAACCCCCGTTATTAAGCACCCGGAAACAGGGGAGGATGTTAGTCCTATTCAGTGGCATTGCTCGCCTGTATTCAAATTACTTAGTTATGCTGATGATTTGGAGGTCTTCTTGTCCTCTCCCGAAGAGTGGCCTATTTTGGGGCATATATTGACACTGTATGGCGCAGCAAGTAATGCAAAGGTGAATATGAAGAAGACCGATATTGTCTCGCTGTCTGGGGAAAGCTGCCCCTCCTGGGTTACCATTGCCCAATCGGAAGGCATCAAATACCACACCAAACATAGTGCTTCGGTTGTTCGCCATTTGGGCTATCCACTTTACTCGTCACCCAAACAATTGAAATCGTACCTTAATCGTATCACACATGTCATTCAGCTCCATTGCACTAAGTTGAAGGAGCGCGGTCTCTCAGTCCGAGGCTTGTCCTTAGGGGCTAATTCACAAATTCTGAGCAAAATTTGGCATTTGTTACGAGTAGTTCCGGTTCCAAAATACTGGCTGAATGACATCCGTACTGTCGTTCGTAAGTTTATTCTATCATTCCGTCCAGCTCCTTCCTGGAGGTCCATATGTTTACACAAGCATCTTGGCGGCTTAGGTATTATTGACATCCATCAGCAACATTTAGCCCTTCAGCTTATCTTTGTTCAGCGTATACTTCGACCAAAAACCGCCAGTGACTTTGTTACACCCTTACGTTTTGCTCTTGCGTCTGCCAATCCACCTACAATCCGCTGATCACTATGACACTAACCAAATCCCATTGAATGGCGCCCTCAATTCAAAAAGTTCATGCCTCAAGGTTTATTACAGCATGTCCCACCGCCTCACATGCGATTCACGAGTGCCTCTCAACGGTCCTCTCAGAGAGTTACCATTGATGTATTTCACTGGGCTCCTATATGCAACCACTGGAGGATCCAAATCAGTGCTACTAAGGCACTCTCGTTCATCAAACTGACTCCAGGTATCTTACGGCAGTATTGGTCACAGCGGTACCTGAAAGAGAAGCTGGCAAGTCCGTCCGCTACGCTTGGCATCCCACAGATTCCTTATCTTTGCCCATCTGGTTTTTGTCATCCTAGTGTTTGGAAAGTTTTTTGGTCTTTGCGTTTGCCTCATAAAGTCGTTACATGTTGATGGCGGTTGTTACGTGATTCTCTAAGCACTCAGTCATCTTTACATCGTCTCCGTTCTCGGCTTTGACCTTCGCCTACATGTAAATTATGTCCAGCCTCCATTGAGGATGACTTTCACTTCGTGGTTGGCTGCCCTATGAAATGGTCTTTTTGGTCAGCCGCTTTGTCTCAGCTCTCTCTCTCTCATGTCTTACGGTCTCCTGCAAACGTATGGCATGTTTTGCTCAATCTGAAACTACGAAATGATAATACTTTTACAGAGAACTATACACTAGAATTAGTAGGCAACATATTGGAGACTCTATGGAAATATCACTGGTACATGATCATTAATGTCGAATCCTAGTCTACTGACAACGCTTTACAACGGTTTCAGTCCTCGGTTACCCATAAGATCTCTCTACAAAGTGGAGAGTCTCTATCCCAGCAAGTTACAGGCTAGCTGTCTTGCTGAAACTTTATATGCCATATGTGTACTAGTTCACCTTAATGTTTCCTTTCTCACATTTAAATACTTAACTATCTACCTACTGCCCTTTTGAATTCATATCAAATAATAAAATTGTAACCTGAATTTAAGCAAAAAAAAAAAAAAAAAAAAAACCAAAAAAAACCAAATGTATTTGAAATTATTCCCCCAGACTTCTGTTATCCCTGTACCTTGTATGCATATTCCCTCGACAATGGACGTGGCCTGTTTGCCGTTATTTACTGAGGATGTTTTACATTTTGTTGGTTGCTCTCGTTAATGGCTTTTCCCCTCTGGGTTCAGACGATTTCTCCTGTTCTACTATAATTAGCATTTCCTATAATTGTATCCCATGTGTCGTATTTGTGGTATGAAGGTGAAGATTTTGCATGACTATAGGGAGTGATTCACTACGCCTCACCAATTTTAACATGAAACTTTGATCACAGATATGAGCAATGTTTATAGCTTCCTTCCCGTTTGGTAAGCGGTGCGTTCAATTGCGTCCAATATGTAATGACTAACATAATAAGCGGCTATCCATTAGAGAGGTTTCATCTCTAATTGTATATAAACATAATTCACATCCGTAATCACTACATTATCAGTGTTTTTATCTGTTCTTTTTCTAAAACTACCTTACGTATTGTTATAATGAATTTTTCAGTGAGTGTTTATCCACCTGTCTTGCTAGAACAAGTTATATTCAGGAACGTTGCTAACACCAGTATTTAGTTTACTCCTGTTTTATTTGGTCTTAATAATCTCCACTCACAGCCAAGTCATTACATGATGGATCAAGATAATCTTCATCATAGTATATTTTATCTATGTTAACAAAGACTATATGACGCTTAGGTTTATAGTTTGATATATTACTTCGTACCGCGTAATCATTCAACAAGCAGAAGGTAATCGTTCTCGGTACGATTCCTCGTCTGGAATAAAGCATGGTTGAAGATTAAAAGCTCATTCACTCTCCATTAATAAAACTGCTGTTCACGCAATCAAGAGCACCACGTACGAGTATATCTTTCTAACTAGCATTTATTATCATCTCCATACTGGTGGCCGATAGAGGTCGGATTATGGATGCAACTGCATTATCGCTCAGGATCTGCCAGGATAACACATTGCAAATCAATCTGCTCTGGAATAGACGAATAACTATGAACTTGAAGGGAGGGCCTAGTCTCTTAAGGACTTACAGAGTGACACGTTCTGACCTCTAATTCATATAACAATCTGAGAAACAATCCAGATTTACTGCCTTTACCAGTTATAGTGTACTGGAACAAATAAGATTTCATCAGGCACACTTCAACTTTACTGGTAATCTAGATATATCTCAGTGGCGTTGTACAATTATTAACTGGAACAATATTACTCGGTTGTCACTACTACTTTCTCAATACTATAAGTTCAGTTCTACCTAGCATTCGTATGAAAGACCATTCAATTTCTAAACCAAAATAAAATCATCCAAGTAAGTATTGTTCGGTCTCGCAGACTGACTCAGCCCCTACTAAGAACGTTTTGAATTATAACCTCTGATATCTAAGAATATCACACAGAGTATTGTCTGACAATTATACATCAGTAGTAGCTATAGTTCCTGATGTAATTCGTAGATACCATAGACAATAATCTTTTATCAAAAGCAATAATTCTCATTCTCTTTTTTCTCTGGTTGTTTTTGGGAGAAAAGTGAAGAAGTGATTTCAATTTCGTTAAGCTTTTGCGTTTACTAGCTCATGTGTTATTCTTTTTTTTTAATTCCTGATAGTAAAAATCAACGACTACCGCACAATCCATGCAAAGACTATACGTGATCCTCAGTTTTATAACTATATTACAACTAGTAGAATGAAGCTAAACACGTCACCATCTAGGAGTACCGATACTGCTTTAAGGGCTCGACAACGGTAGTCAATGAAAAGAAGCTTCCAAATTTTTTTGAAGTAAAATTTGTGAATAAAATGCATAAGTACAATGAATCTCTAGTGTATGAATCGCAAGTGCTTTAAATCTGTTTGTTGTTCTCCGTTTATTTAGTTTTTTTTTTTTTTTTTTTTTTTTTTTTTTTTTTAAAGAGAATTTAAATTGTAGGGGATACATTAAAATTGAACAGAAGAAACGATAAGAAAAATGCGAACAAAGAAGGGGAAAAACTACGTTATAGTTGTATTGTTATACCTTTATAGAGCACTTTCAATATGAAAGCCTAACAGAAGTAGCTCAAAGAAATAATTAAGCGCAGACAATATACAAATTATTGGAATTGCTTGCTATTGTCGTGCTATATAACGACCAATGATCATATAAAAAGAGCGTAAGTGCTAAAGAGAAAGGAATCATCTTTTAACTTCCCTATAAAACTTAGTGTTTATTTTAAGAGCACTCTTGTTCTATTGTTATCTCGGTATATGACCCCATAATATATGAAACGAGTAGCGTTGTGTCGTGTGACACAGATGATATCCAGTCATATCATAGTATTGTAACTAGTATAAAGCTGCTCGATATTCGAATCAGAATGCAGGGCACTTCTTCCTCTTCCTTTTAAAAATAAAAAATATAGACTGTAAAGTAAATCATAAATTCAGGACACGACAGTTGTACTTTCTTTAAACATTCAAACGACAGTTTAAAAAAAGTTTCCAAAAAAAACCCCCAAAATGTAAAATAGTACCCGATAGGGGGGTCGAACCCCTAATCTTCCGTTTAGAAGACGGATGCCTTATCCAATTAGGCCAATCGGGCTTGTTGTTTTGTCACGGAGCGTGGAATAATGAAAAATTACATCTGCAATATCGGAGATCGAACCGGAGGAGGAGTATGCTGGACCGGACAATCGTCAAGTCATGCTCATCCTCTGGTAAATTCTTATTGGAAGCGGAAATTGAATGATACTTCGTTCCTGAACTCAGATTGTTGATCTGGTATAAAAGAATAATTAATTCTTTTTGACAGTTAGAAAGGCTTTTCAGACAGAATAGATTTGATCTTTGATTTTGATTTTGAATAAATAGACCACCTAAAGTTTAGTTTTGATATTATATTTATTTTAGCTAGTCTTATTATTTGTTATTTGAGAAACCCTGATTGAAATTGAATAGATGTCGTATTTGAGGCACGATGGCAATATTATATGAGTAAATTACTCAAAACGTCTAACGAAATGTAAAATAAAACTTGATCTCAGATATGAGTACTGCTCATATCTTCGTTCCCGTTTGGTAAGCGGTGTGTTCGATTGCATACATTTGAACCTTAGATCAAATGTATAACAAATAAAGATAAGATAAGAAAAGAATATGGATTAAGGATAATTCTTATGTGAGATTAGCTACCTCACATAAGACTTGAACAGGTTATCTTTATGAAATATATTTTACTTAGGTTATCTATGGCTATATGACATTCAGGTATATAGCAGGATTGGTATATGTACTCGTAGGATATATTGATTCAACAACCAAAACATAGTAGGTCACGGTACTGCTCCCTGTTCTGGAAATAAAGTATGGTTGGAGATAAAAAAGGCTCAATCACTCTTTATTAACACAATAACTGTTCACGCAATCAAAAGAACACCACGCACGAATATCTCTTCCTAGCCAACATCTATAATCATTCCCACAGTATCTGAGCTACACAACTGGTGGCCGACAGATATTGGATTATAGATGTAGCTGCATGATCACCCTGGATCTGCCAGGATAGCACATTACAAATCAATCCGCTCTGGGATGGACGAGTAATTATCCACCTAAAGGGAAGACCTATTCTTTTACGGAAACCTCTGATTCACTGAGTATTATTTGACCATAATACATCAGTGTCAGCTATAGATCCCGATACAATCATTTCGTAGACAGCAAACACAATAAGTCTTTATTAATAGCAGTAATTTTAGTTTTCTTTTCTTTTTCTTTAGTTTGTTTTTGAAAGAGAAATAAAGACGGTGGTTTGATTTCGTTAAGCTTTCGTGTTTATTTTCTCTTGTGTTATTCTTTACCTTTTACTTCATAATTAAAACTAGCGAATACCACAATAGAAACTGATTGAAACAACTGATTGATTGAAAAGACTCTCAATAATTTTAATAAGACAACTCTTGGAAGAAAATACCAGTCTCGGCTATTAGAATTCAAGCGTAAAACTACTATATCTATATCATCAATTCACGAACTAGCACCGCAAACGTATCAGTTTTGCTGATTGCAAAATTAAATCTTACCAATTTCAAAAGATTAGTACATTTCATTCGCTGCATTCCTTTGGATCGGAGTCTGTGCAGAATGGATACTGAATTCTAGGATAAATACACTCCATATAAATATAATTGAAGCGCTTGTTCCTGGCATTTACTTACTCCATAAAAATCGACTGTTATAAGTTTGCCTATTGAACCTTTATCCGAAACTACGATATACGCATATATATAAGTAAATGTTGCTCTGCTATAACTGCGTATTGTGATTCACAGAATAGCTATTGAAAGTGGAGAACTAGAGGAAAGAGGGAATCAGTTCATCAGAGTACCCAAAATGTGAAATAAACCATCTTTTTGCGAACCCAATAATTGCAATAGTAGTTCAACCTGAGCTTGATTATTCAAGTTGTTAAAAGTTTTTGGAATAATATATAACTATTCACGAATAAACTTCCCATTTTCATAAGTAAAATAGATACTATAAAAATCAAATGAGCAATCATTTTTTTGGGGACATAATTTATTTATTATTCGAATAGTGTAAATCTTATCAATTTGGATTATAGTGGACTAAGTTAAGTAGCGAGACTATAAAAAGATATTGAATTGTCTTTATTTCGAGTTAATGTTTGGGTCTCTTTTATATCTTTTGGAATAAGTAATTTGTTTTTGAGAAAGGCATGTCTGAGACTTTGTAAATAATTATGGGCAGATAGGAAAATACATGTAATGTTGTTTAGGTGAATAGTTACATATATTTGACCTAGGTAATTATAGAGGACATCACAAATAGTAATATAAATCGTATCGTCGTATAAAGCGGAAATTTCAGATTGTTTTCTCTACATATTCTTTTGTCCATTTGAAAACGAAAATAGGGGACTGTGTCAGGGTTGAGGACGCTCGTTGTTCTATAATATTGATACTGTAGTTTCCGGCGCTGTAGCTGAAAAAAACCATAAAAGCAGTTAGTGAAGTTACTTTCGTTTCTCTCGTATCCGAAAATATAGGCAACGAAAAACTTAAGCCTAAACACCCATCTCGTTTGTGACAATATCAACAGCAGTAGATTTGCGGTGTCTTTCATTTGCATATATAACTTTTTATACCTTAGTGATTTCTGTGAGTGGTATCATAAAGCCATCTAGAGGGTTAAAAAATGATACTGTGTAATGACTGTAAGCTGTGGCAGAGATAGAGAAGGACAAATTAGACAGAACAAGACTGTGGGGTTGGTGTTATCAACACCTCCGAAAGATTTGTTACAACGGACAGAAAGATAGTACTTAATATGATAACGTTTAATAAACAGATGTACAGAAAAAAAAATGTGGAGGCAAGATACAAAAAAAAACACTGAAGTGCATTGACTTCAGATATGGATCATATTTATATCTAGAGAGGTGAAACCTCTCTAATGATGTTATTCGTGTCATAACATACTGTATGTAGTTTTTGTATTAAAGGTAGATACATCTCACATTTCAAGATGTTATTGATATATATTTGTTAGAAACAAGTAGTCAAGAATATTTGCGAACTTCGATGAACCTACCAGAGCTTTGCAACTTGAAGGTAGTCAGTCAATTTCTATACATTCCAGAACTGCTGCCAAAGAAATTGCTATCAATCGTTGATTTAAAAGTTTGCTCGAATAGCTAACAAATTGGGTAAAGACAACAACAGATATGGTATTGTTCAAAAGACTTCTTACCGGATATACGTACCATAATTCTGCATCAATGAAATTTGATAATAACACCAATTGCAACCATACTCTAATTGACGTGTAGCAGCGAGCAGAAGCAAATATGTCACATGTGAGACAAACCATACTTTTTTTTTTCTTTCTTGGGAACGCGCACATTCGATAGTGGAATCTGATCAAGAAAAGGTTACAGATAATGATTGTCACATCTAATATATCAGTCTTCATCAAAATCAACCAAATTAAACGAAAACAGCGATAAGAAGAGAAAAAGTTCGCGTTCGAGATCGTATTCAAAACCACGCTCAAAATGTGGAGACAGCAACCAGCTCTCACTCCATTCGAAGCTAAATGCGTGGTCAATATGATGACAAGGTAGTCAACTGATTCAAGGAAGCGATCAAGGTATCCACCTTTCTCTAAACGGTATGCTGAATCGAAACGACAAAATAGCAATAACAGTTCTTGCACACTGTCACGTTCCGACCTCTAATACAACCTGAGAAACAATCCAGATTTACTGCCTTTACCAGTTATAGTGTACTGGAACAAATAAGATTCCAGGCACACTGGGACAAATAAGATTTCATCAGGCATCACTTCAAACTTACTGGTAATCTAGATATATCTCAGTAGCGTTGTACAATTATTAACAGGAACGATATTGCTCGGTTGTCACTACTACTTTCTCAATACTATAAGCTCAGTTCTACCTAGCATTCGTATAAAAGACCATTCAATTTCTAAACTAAAATAAAAATCATCCAAGAAGTACTGTTTGGTCTCGCAGACTCACTCAATCTCTACATTTAATCTTATGAAATTATAACTTCTGATATCCAAGAATATCACACACACCGCAAATCGGAAGTGTTCACACGGCAACTTCAGAACCAAGAATTGCCCACAATCACAGCTGTTTATCATACGTAATTTAGCAAAGCCGAAAGAAAGTAACAATAGTAGATCTACTTAGTGGCTCCCATGGCGCACTTTTTTCCAGACCGCTCCAGGTATTCAGCAGAGCGCTGCCATCATTCTTCAAAGAGGTTGATTGAGAGAACTACCTATCAATATCCTTCACCATTATTGTACAATGGTAATTTTTGGGGTCTTATCAAGAAGTCACTTAATTTATTGAGCCACTTTTTTAATTGTAAACACTATGATCAAAATAAATACATTATATGATATATTGTCGAATAAATTTGTTACCGTTTTCGACCGAGCATTTATCATTTTTTTAAAAGAGAATGCGGGTTATAAACGGCAGAAAAGGACACAAAGAAAGCGGTAAAATCACTTTGTTCATTCTCTTCCTCACCCAGTCGAGGATGAGTTTCTATCTGTATGTCTGTAAATCGCTGTTTTGAAAGGAGTTGTTTGAAATCATCAATACCTGACAGGTATTTAACTGAATTTGTTGATTGTCGATAATATCTAACGGAGCGGTCTGCACATACATGGCCTCCAACTAGAAGCCCGCCTGGCTGCAATAACTCAGTTGTCTGATAAATGCATTTTTCAATGTCTTCACTGGAATTAAATAGGTGGAACACACTTCCCGCATGAATGATTTTCACTTTCTTATATAATGGATGCTGATCGTCAATGTCGAACAGATTTTCTGTGAGGAATCGAATCGGGCACGTGTGCGTGTTGTCTCTGAAAAGAGAGTAACCACAATCGATGTAGCATTGTTGCATCTCCAAACCAATTAGACATTCTTTCGGGTAGCCATCAATGAATAACTGACGCAGATCAGTACCTTATTTTTCGTTGTAATGTTAATATAAAACAATTTTTCCATATTTAGAATTAAAAATGTCCAAAATTTTCATTTACCTGTACAGCAACCAATATCCAGAAAATAAGGTTTTTCATTTTTGAGTGCTTGTCCCAGCTTTAATATCTTTTCATAAAAAAATCTATCTTTTATTCTAGGATAAGCAAACTTAAATCTCTCAATACAACGGTAGTTGATTTCTCCCTTCTAATAAGTTGTTAAAAAGCTTCGTTAATAATATGCTTGACATGCTTGAATCTATTGATTCAAATTTACTTCCAAAAGATCTTGTTGAATCTGAATCAGATGTCTTTTGAGATCTCTAGAATCATTACAGTGTGCGTAAGATTTGTAAAGATTGTAGACGGTTGTGCATATTTCTAAATTATTCTCTGTCATCAATAACCTCAATTCGCTTGTAATTGCAGGGTATATTTATATCTTGTTAATGCTGTCGTGCTTAATGGCGTAAGACTTTGAATAAAAATCGTAACGTTACTATGTTACACAGTCGCACAGAGAGGCAAAAAGACAAAGGTTCACAAAGGATAATGCTAATGGACAATGATAAAGAAAGACAATGTTTTAAAAGAAGAGGCTGTTTCGCTTTTTGCGAATAATATACCCTTTTTCTGGTTTTTTTTTGTTATGCTCGGGGAAACCAATAAAGGAATGATACACAATTACATTTGAGAGTTTCTTAACTTTTCTTTTGAGACATTTTTGTAAAGTGTTTTAATCTACTTTGCTTTTTTTTTTTTTTTTTTTTTTTTTTTTTTTTTTTTTTTTTAGGAAGGCCTGAAATAGTATCATCAGCAACCTCCTCCATACCTGTTTCAACAAAAAAGTTTTGCCATCACTATGAATTTACATGTCTCTTCTATTAGATCCTAACTTAGTCGACTTTTCTTCCTGTGCTTGATTTGAGGAACATATAGGATATGTAATTATTGATAGCACAAAAGTGTTTTCTAACAACAACTGGCTGTCAGAATTTAAAGCATTTAAGACAGCAACAATAAAACCCAAGAGCTGATTCTGTCAGTAAAGTTATATAATACTTTTCTCCAAACATCAAGAAAAAGTCGCATCACTAAAGCCGTTTTCAATGAGTCGCTGTCAAAGAAACAATGGCACTTAGGCAATGAGCATCCGCCGAGCTATTGCGCCAATCGTTAACGCATCATTCATTTGGCACGGTTTTTCTAGTTATCCTAATTATCTGATAGCTTTTGCTTTTGGGAACGAATATCCCCCTACTTCTATAAACACAACTTGTTTGGATTCACATTAGTAACTATTGATAATTGTTATACATTCAAGCTGATCAAATATATTGTTAATTTGAGGTTTGCTACGTGCCTGTACAGAAACGTCGCTGAAGAATGCATTCACTACCATATCACACTCGCTTGATAAGGTTATATGACAGTATGAGCTAACATTGCTAGAAGCTATACCTAATTGCTGATCAAATGATTGTTCAGAAGCCCAGTTTCCTACATAAGGAAGAATCCGAATCATACAGATGTGGCCTTACCGATTTTGGGAAAAGACCAAATAAAAATCCAGTAAATATGGTTTTATCGGTTTCACGCATCACTTTATGAGCATCACAGATAGGATTGAAACGAGCACTTACACAATAAACCAATTACAAAGGCCTTACGCTAGACATTTTTGCCATAATCAACGCTTCAGAAATAGCAGCTTATTTGTGTGCCTTACATATGCTCGCTCCAAATGCTCTGAAAATTCTTAAATGCGTATAGCCATATAAAGTACCACATAACATATTCTATTATTACAAGTCTAAACAGTAGAGATTTTACTGGTTATCAAAAGCTAGAAAAATATGGAAGATGAGCATACTCCCAGCAGTTCGGTAAATGTTTTCAATTCGATGATCCAATACGTCATTAATAATTGATTCAAATGAGAATTCTAGCCAACAAAATCTGAATACTAAACGAACTATCGGGTACTTCTATCATATGTATCATTTAATTTAATTTTTTTACTCCCAGTTGACGGTTTGTTCAGCAGTTCAACATAATCAATCTGTTCCCTTCGAATTATGGTGGAAATGGAGGCATTTATAATGATAAAAGCTTCTTGCATAAGTGATTGATAAATTGATGAGCATTTGCCGCATTGATTTTGACACTTGAGAATCCTTGACGTAAAGACTCATTTCTTTCGTTAACTTTTCGGATTGCTATTCAAAATCCTTTCTTGTTACGACGAACTAGGTATCAACCTATGCCAAGAAAAAAATTCACAAGGGATGCTTCTTCTGGTGAATCATCGAAAACACCTGGAAGATCTCTTTATGCATTGTCGTCCAAAAACGGTATTAGTAAACACTCTGAACATATCGTTGCTGGTGATTGTGTTCCTGAAGTAAAGAGCGATGAAGTCCTTAGCGCTCCTGAAGGAACCCCTGATGCAACGGAAGGAGATAGTGATGGTTTCAATGAAGATGAAACAGACGATGATAGAGATTTTGGATCTATACCAATAAGATCACGTCAACGGTTCACTACTTCTGAAAAAAAGGAACTCGAAGATTTTTATCGAACTAACGATAGACCTAACACTAATGAGAAACAGATGTTTGCAGACAGGTTCCGTACAACGCCCGGTCGCATTCAAATTTGGTTCCAAAACAGACGTGCGAAGCAAAAAAAGATGGTCGAGGGATCTAGCACTGAAAAAATTGACAATGGTTATCCAAATGAGGCTGAGATTGGAATGGAGCGAAGAGAAACTTATGATAAACGGCGAGCCAAAGCAGCCAAATCAGCCAGCCCGGGCGAGGGTAGCCATAACACAACGCAACACTATTTAACAAAAAGGCGAAAATCAAATATTGACGTATTAAGAACTAGTCAGGAACAGCCTCACCTGCAAAACCTACATAGCCTTCCCATGATGTCTCCAATGCCGCAATTTTCGTATCTGCAACCATTTGCAAATCCATACAATATGCCTCGAGACAGTATGGTAAGGATGACACCTATTGATCCAATTGATAGAGCTGCATCGGATTTTCCAGGCCATGAATTACCTTCATTCCCTTTGAATCAACAACAGGTTCCCAACGCTGAGATAGGTCCTTCGATGTTTCCTCCACCTTTCCCAACGGATAGATTTGTCGTCACACCTCATCCTGCAATTGTCCGTTTACAGCAGGCATACCCAGATCAAAGACTCCCTATAAACCCGGAAGAAGCGTACGTAGATCCAATTGACACCGAAATAGGGCATAATCTAGGTGAGCATTGTAGGGAAATCAATACGGATGATATTACGCCAAGCCCAGTCAAGAATTCTGAAGCCAAAACTTTAGGTTCAAGTCATAAAGAGCCCCCAGATAAAATTTAGGTATACATATTTTGAAAGCGCTTTTTCCCAACAACACTAGCCTTATTCGTTTTAACAACTTCGGTGTAAAAAATCGAACAGCTTCGAAGGGAAAGGAAAGAATGTGAAGGGTTTCAAATATCAAATCAGAATAAGAACGTCTATCACATTTACTACTTGTAACCGCCACCCTATTGTTACCATTTGTCTGTATCTTTTACAGTTCAGTTTACTTCTTTCTCCTAAGTCACTAAATCCATATCATCTGTTACACTACTTACAAAAAGTATTTATTCTTTTGAATGTAAACCCCGCTTTATACTCGCTTTCCCCACATTTATTGAAATGAGAATGAAGGTGTTCATTAACTGATCTTAATGATGGCTATTTTATGTAATCCAAATTATACGGTTAGGTAAAATGCGCGCTATTCAAGGCATTGCATAGTCTTTCATCTGGAAAAGAAGACAATTTTTAATGCCGGTGATGACTCAGAATGAAGCATGAAACCAATCTCCGGTTACTGCCCTGAACTAACTTTTAGTTTCCTGATTTCTGATTCGTCCCAGTTTGTCAATGGCCATCATTTCAAGCTTTTTTTCTCTTTAGTCGGTCAACTGATTCACTCATACTTGAACAACTATGACAACAGTACTCATTGACAACTACGACAGTTTCACGTATAATGTATATCAATATTTATGCTCTCAAGGAGCTGATGTTGTTGTTTTCAGAAATGACAAGATCACTGTAGAAGAGATCGAGGACCTTACCCCACGCAACATCGTGGTCTCACCAGGGCCAGGTCACCCAGCTTATGACGCTGGAGTTTCGAGAGATGTTATCGCTGCATTTGCAGGAAAAGTTCCTATTTTGGGTATCTGTATGGGTCTACAATGTATGTTCGAAGTGTTTGGTGGTACTGTTTCGTATGCTGGAGAGATTCTTCACGGAAAAGCGTCACCTATAAAGCATGACAGCCGAGGTGTTTTTAAAGGTGTTCCGCAAAACAATATGGTGACTCGATATCATTCATTGGCAGGCATGCCTTCTACTATTCCCGACACTCTTGAGGTGACAGCAACCACTGAGGATGGCGTTATTATGGGCGTTCGACATAGGGACTTTACCGTTGAAGGTGTCCAATTTCATCCTGAAAGCATCTTATGTGACAATGGCCATGTTATGATCAACAATTTTTTGAGTTTACGAGGCGGTACTTGGGAAGAGAATCCTGCCGCTGGTGTTTTACCAAACAAATTGCGTGAAAAATCTTCTTTTGAGTTGAAGAAGGCCTCTAATACGAGTGCAACAACAACGCCAGCAGCCTTAACGAATGATACAGCTTCCACTACGAAAGCAAATGCTACAACAACTAATGTCAGTAATGGCGCACCTTCAATTCTCAATCGTATTTACGCACAGCGTATTAATGATGTTCAAGCAGCTAAAGAAGTGCCTGGACAATCAATGGAAGATTTAAAGAAACTTTTAGACCTTCACGTTGCACCTCCATTACAAGATGTTGTTTCTCGCTTAAGTCAACAAAAGCCGGCATTACTTGCTGAAGTTAAACGTGCCTCTCCGTCCAAAGGCAACATCGACGCAACAGCAAACGCCGCCGAACAAGCACTTCAATATGCAGAAGCTGGTGCTAGCGTCATTTCAGTTTTAACAGAACCAAAATGGTTCCGTGGCACTATTCATGATATGCGCCAAGTACGTGAAGCCGTCAGTCACTTACCTAATCGACCTTGTATTTTGCGAAAGGACTTTATTGTAGACCGTTACCAAATTTTAGAAGGAAGGTTATACGGTGCTGACACCATTTTATTGATTGTGGCTATGTTAAGTGACGATGATTTACACGACCTTTACAATTACGCCAAATCGTTGGGTATGGAGCCTTTAGTCGAAGTGAATAATGCAGAGGAAATGGCACGAGCCAATGCTTTAGGTGCTAAATTGATTGGTGTCAATAATCGAAATCTTCATAGCTTCGATGTCGATATGGAAACTACATCTCGCTTAGTCGAAATGGTTCCCAAAGGGACACTGTTATGTGCCTTATCTGGTATCACTGGTAGAAAAGACGTTGAAGTATATATGAATCAAGGTGTTCATGGAGTTCTTGTTGGTGAAGCACTTATGAAAGCTTGGAACTTGCAAGAATTTGTGAAGGAGTTATTAGGTGTCGAAAAGAAAAACTTGTTACCGAAAGAAAAAAGTAGTATTCAATCACTTGTCAAAATTTGTGGTATCTCATCTGTCGAAGCTGCTGTTGAGGCAGCAACCGCTGGCGCTGATATGATCGGTCTTATCTTTGCTGAAAGATCAAAACGTAAAGTTTCTATTGAAACGGCTAAAACAATTGTGCAGTCCCTACGCAGTCTGAATATATCAAGAAAGTCAACACTATCGATTTCAGACGAAAGCTCATCAGATTGGTTTCAAATCAACCGTCGCTTACTAGAAAACCGATCGAGACTACCTTTAGTTGTTGGTGTTTTTGTAAATCAATCCATCGAGCATATGTCACAGATAGCGTTGGATGTTGGGTTAGATTTAATTCAATTACATGGAACCGAGGCTGTTGAGATAGCGCGCTTCCTACCTGTACCTGTTATTAAGGCTTTCCATATTGACAGTAATACTTTCAATATGAATCAAATGCCCAATATCACACAACCTGGAGGGCATCACTATGTATTGCTAGATGCTAAAGTGCCCAGTCTACCTTCTGACCAACAAGGTGGACAAGGTGTGAAGTTTGACTGGACAATAGCACGGGATATTGTTCAACATCGTCAATGCAAATCTACTAAACATGACTTTCCTATAATTCTTGCTGGCGGATTAGATCCCTCTAATGTTGTCTCTGCCATACAACGAGTCAAACCCTGGATTGTTGATGTCTCCTCTGGTGTCGAAACAGATGGTATCAAAGATCTTTTCAAAATTCGAGAATTTGTACGAGTTGTAAAATCTACCAGCCATTGAAACTGTTTGCATCTATGAATGAAAATGAATAGCTTCTTGACATTTGCGTAGTTCTTTGCCACGTAAAAAGACAATCTGTTTTTCTTTTGTTTTTAAGATAGTATGACTCTTTTATTCTTTTGTAAATTCCACATATACAATAAGGTATTAATCAGCTTCCATTCTACTCTGGCTTTTCATCTTCTTCGATTGGGGGAATAATCTTCTCTTTTACAAGCATATCTTCTAAATCGCCAGATTGGTGCATGTTCAATAAGATGTCGCATCCGCCAACGAACTCACCCTTGACGTATATTTGAGGAATAGTGGGCCAAGAAGAGTATTCTTTAATAGATTCTCTCAATTCAGGATCCTCCAACACGTTGAAAGCTGATACTTTTGAGTTGAAATCAACACCCTGGACTTGTAAAATCTGAACACTGGCACGACTGAACCCACACTTTTTTAAAAAAAAAAATTCCTTTCAGTCAAACATAGTCATACTTTCTTTCAACAAATCAAAAATCAAGTAAGCACTCTTTACCATGGGTGCATCTGGTGTGCCCTTCATAAACAAAACAATATCGTTCGATTTAACGTCCTATATCAATCCAAACGTGCTGTTCAGTAAAATAGGAAAGAAATAACACCAGATATGTAACTATAAGAGTTACATTGAGCTGATACCTTATCCAAACGTTCTTTCATTTCAGTTGTGATCCAACGAGCAAACATAGAGTTTACTGATGATCGTGCAGTAGTTGATCGCAAAGCAGGACGTAAGAAATTTGACTATTTGCATTGATAATAACCATTTATGTAGAAAGAGAGTATTAATAATAGTATTCGAAAAGCAATGAATGAAAGCAAATGAATGCTCTCAGAATACTTACTGTTCTCGCAGCAGTACGAAGAAAGCTCATTTTAATCTAATATAATAAGAAAAGGGTGGGGAAGAAAAGACGGAAAGAAAATCAAAAAAATAAAAGATCGGCCCTCTATTTTTTGTTTTACAGGGACATAAGGGAAACCGGCGGGTGAGGAAACAACAGCTGGCGCTATCACTTTCGGTGACTGTCTGCATAACATAAATGCCTAGCATTCTGCCATCCGAAAACTAATAATCGAAGTATAGTTAGTCTTTATTATTCTGAGTATAATTGAAAACTGTTCAAATAATCCCTTATTATTAATGATAGTGTTCTCTAAAGAAGCTACAAAATAATGAGGGAAGGAGGGGAGCTCGTATATTGAGCTTTACAACGATAATGGTATATTTTCTTAAGAATGCTCTACAACATTGTAAGTGTCGGCCTCAGGTGAATCCTGATGATGGAGGTCATCACTGGGAAAATCAACAGATACTTCAGTGGAATGAGTTGGTGAAGATACAACAGATACCATATTGCTGTCAGTAGCATCATGTAGGTCGCTCGTATGATCATCGTTTGTCTCTACTGTATTAATGTTTTTATTGAAAGTATACGTTTTCATTGCTTCTGCGTATTCCTCCTGTTCTCGTCTATACATGTCGTAATAAACCTGCAAAGAAAGAACGACCATTATTCGTTTGCAATCTCAAGCATTCATTAGTAACATCACAACTCACCTTCTTCTGTTCTTTTGTCAGAGCCTTCCATTGCTGACCGAGCAACCTTGTCACTTCACCGAGATTCTCTGTGGGATATTGATCTTTCATTTTATCTCGTTCAAACCGGCAATACAGAAAGAAAACATTGCCTGGACCTTTAGGCGCATTTGGGTCTTTCTTTTTACGCGGCAGTTTATTAGCGGCCGCAGATTTTCCACCGCGTCCTCCTCCTCCAGCCGCTTCACGTTTATGATGAGTTATTTGCAATTTATGGGACATCTAATGAAACGAGTAGGCTTAGTAGCAATACTTGAGAGGCACATTCATCAGTGGATAAGGGTAGGTTCAACATACATTGCCAATTTCATCATGGGAGTAAATATCAGAAGCAAGATCAGACTCGTCTATATTGTGATCCAGCACTCCATTTGATTTTTCGATACGATTCAACAAAAAACTACACAAATGAATGTGAATAGGTTTAAAAATTGCGTTTTATGCTTGTATTGTGGTTCTCTTTTTTGCTTACTTTCTCTCCATCTTTAAGTGACGAATACTCTTGCGAGCTTTTAATATCTTAATATTCAGGGCATCATTATCCTAATAACAAAAAGAAAAGCAGCAATTTGCTAGTTATTTGAATTGTTTAATACGTAGCCTAGAATTTTCCCTAGAATTTACCTGTTCAATTTCCAAGATACGCTTTCTAATATCCTTATATTTCTGTTTATACGTTGAGTCTATAGAGTCACAAGGGCCTTCTTTAGACGAGGGGGAGATTGTAGAAAGAACTGCTTTGGGAAGAAGATCGACACTTTACCTTCAGTCATTGTGTGTAAACGCAATTAGTCAAGTAGGTTCTATGCAGACGGAATTGTAAGGAAAGTGGAAAAAGCAAAATTTTTTTTCACTTATTTTTTCCTTTTCTATTTGGGTTTCATTTTGTAAGCAAAGTTATTTAACGGTATTATGTGGAAGCAGTCTTTCATAAAAAATAGGTTGGTTCAACAAATTCTTCACGAAAAAAAAAAATAAAAACTCAATCTGACCTGTCGCTTTAGCAAAAGGGCACATTCTCTTTTTTTATTTTTTTTTGGTAGAAAATTGAGGCTCCGTCAATCAATTTGAGGTTAAAACGTTTTACAGTATTTTGACTAATATTTTAGAAAAATTACAATTTTTTTTGGACAAACAATATTTTTATTTTAGACGAATCTCAATTGTGTTGTAGAGGAAGATATAAACCGTTCAAACAATGATTCAAATTTGTCCCACCCCTCAGCGATGTGTGACTAATTTATTATTTTTTAAAAACTTGTCAGTAGTGCGAAAAAAGTACTATTCCTCACCTGTATTGATTGTAAGGAAAACCGTGTTTATTACGGCGTACATTCTTCTTCTTCGCTGGATGGAAAACGTCGGGTCCTCCCGCTCCATACCAAACTGCTCGAGATATGGTCATCATGTTGATAGCGGCGTTAACGTCTCTCTGCCATAGCTTCAGACATTGCTTGCAATGAAGAACGCCGGTACCCTTAAATCCAGGAGTATCAACAATTTGCATATCATCATAGAAACAGAGGCTGCATGTTTTAGAGGTTTTGAATTCATCGATTGTGACAACAATCAATTGACCTTCAGCCTCACGTTTCTTCAGAGTTGTAAAAAGTTTACCGGCAACACCACATCTTTGCCAAACATACCAGCACCAGACACAATCAGTGGCACCCTTCTAGGGGATTCCAAGTATTTATCAGCCTTCCACTTCTTGGCACTTCAAAAAATTATCAATCAGCGGATAAGCTAAACGATGAACATGTAATTCATTGAAACTCACTTTGTTGGCTGCTGTTCGTTGACATTCTTTCCATTCTTCTTCTTCTTCCGCTGTTTTTTTCTCTTCCTTGCCTTGCTTCTCTTCTTGCGATTGTACTTGGCCGTTCCATGAGTCAACATGTTGGCCATAGTTTCGGGTGCTCTTTGCCTTCCTTGGTACAACGTAAACCTGTCCTTTGCTGTTTCATGTCCATAAAAACTAAAGAGAGCGTCTAAGTTATTGAGTATATAACTGGTGAACGCCTCATATACTCCTAGACGAGAGGTCTTTAACGAGGGGATTTGACTTTCTACTAGATCTATTCCTGTAACAGCTTTCATACTGTTCAATTTCTTACAATATTTCGTTGACCCTGCCATATGATAGTATTCGGATGTAGTGCATCTGCGTACTTGTCTGTTTGATATAGAGCCAATAACAGCAGTGAAAACAGACTTTCTTCCAGAATCCAAGATAATAGCCAAATAAGTATTATCAACTTCTTCCAGAGAGAAATCATCAAGAGTGAGATCTAATTTTTGGAACGAGGCACCATGGCCAGATTGTTGTCTTTTATTAAAAAGAAAGTCAACTGAAAACCCATCTTTTTTAATAACATTACCAAAGAGCTCTTTGTTATCACCATTCGGTGTTAGTTCAGAGATACTACATGTGCCCAAGAAGTTAAACCTCATACATTATACTCGACTATTACCGTATTAACTGTATGCTTACCTTTTGTACCGGAGTTTCTTGAAATCAAAGACATTGAAAAACAGCTCTAATTGGCTTTGGTAATTGCGGGGTAAAGGAAGTTTCACAAAAGAAGACAGCGCGTTCATACTCAAGGTAATAACCCTCCAGTGAACAGAAACCTTTGGCAGTAAGGATAACAGTTTCGAGAGAGGACGTCGTCTTACGTCAAATGACTTATGATCATCGTGTTCTCTCTCAAATTCTGCGTTCAAAGATAACAAAAAGGGTACGAAAGACCCAGGATCAGCAGATAATGTCTTCATGTTCACTTTCTTCCCCAGCTTCTTCTTCCAAGGTTCACAAAAGGTTTGAATCTTTGCTTTTATATCTTTGGTAAGGTAGTCATCAGTTGGCCATTTAGGTTTTCCTTGGCATATCTCTTGATAGCAGAAATCACTTGTGACTTTTTTAAAAGCTTCCAAGGCATACACTATGCATGATAAGAGCTTTTTTTTTTCAAAAGGCAAGTTACCATGAACAGCACTTGATTTTTTCTTTTCAAAAATTTGCTTTTTCTTTTCAAAAATTATTGTTTTGAACATGGGTCATAGTATGTATCATAAAACATGAAATAAAAGCGAAAGAGGCAACATTTGAGTATAAGAAAGCAATATATTTTATAGTGCTTATCTTTGAAAGTCACCCATGAACGCACACAAAAACATTGACAACAGATAATATAGCTATCCCGCTCCGCTATGGTATCTGTTATACTATGGCCCTCAGCCCTCTATCAATGGTTTGATGTCAATCAATTCAAAGTTGACCTTTCTTGGAACTCTTGTACAAAAAAGGCACCGACAAATATCTGGTTATTCGCGGAACACATCGTCATTGAATAAAAAAGTTGTCAAGCTTTTTGTAATTAAGCCTACTGCAAGATAACTTAAATAAGACCATTATTGGCAACTTTCTTACTGAAAGAGACTCATTTCTTGGGTTCGATTGTATGTCATCCTTAATGCTGCTTGGATATCATTGAATAATTGAGCATCCAAATATCCAAAATACTATGAATTTCATTCTAAAAATTTCTAAAGTTAAACTAAATTTAAAAATACATATTGTCCATTTAAAATTGTAAATGGTCTAAAATATAAGCTAAAATAGTGTATTGAAACTGCACAGAAATAAATTTTTGACAGATAAAAGCATCAGATCCTAGCATATTACGAAAACATAAATAGGATGGAGCCCGTAACAGAGAGCTTAACAGCGTATAAAATACAGCCGTTTTTTATGTGTTAATGGGTCGTTGCTATTAATAAATAAAGAATGCTGCTACGTATTATGCAGTTTGTACAGTCTTTTACAAATGAATAGTACGTCAACGGATTCAACGATTTGTACCCTTAATACATTTGAAGGACCTTGTTCTGCACATTAAACCCATTGGCTGTTGATTAGGCAATAACGTAAAAGTTACGGGATTGACGCATATTTTTTTTTCATCCCGTGATTGTGCATAATTTTGAACACTGATACATTCTCAATCAAATTACAATGCCTATCCTTTCTTAACATTTTGAAGTTATTGAAATTAAACAATAAATATTAACATTATGTTGGAAGAAAGAAAAACAACCGAAACCATATAATGAGTTTATTATGTTCATATACAATTGCAGGAACGGCTCAATAACCACTCCGTTGTCTCATAGGTTCTCCCCATATTTTAAGTACTGCTGTTATGCCCATACCGAGCCAAGATAGACCAGCAAATAATGTACAAGTCCACCCAGCACCTAAAGTTGCTACCATTGGTGTTGCTATAATTGACAAAATACAAGCAAACAAAAAACGCACAAAATTAGCAGCAGCAGTAGCGGATGCACCACGGCCAGGTACAGAGTCAACCAAATACGCTGTCGTTGCTGTAATAACTTGAACATTGCCGAAACACTGTACTCCAAAAGCAATAATGGCACCCCAAACGCTTAGCTTCTTTTCTACAATCCAGCCAAACAGTAATAACCCTAATGGAACACAAATCACGCCGGCAACCCAAATATTGGCTGTTATTCTATCTTCACATTTTGCTGCTCCTCCGCGAAGCCTCCTTGATCGTAACAGAAGCCGGTCTGATAAACGTCCACCTACTAATGATCCAAAAATATTCCCTATACCTGCACCCAAGTAACTAAGACCTATTTGCCAGGAGTTGAATCCATAATTTTCCCTAAAGGCATTTGGCAGAATTGTTTCGATAGCAAACATACCACCAAAGAAGAGCCCTGAGGTGATTGCAGACATAATAACAAATGGATGTCGTAAGAGCCAAAAAGATACAAATGGATTGAACGGTTTGCTCACAGCTGGCGTCACTATTTGTCTCTTTCGGTTGCTGAATGTAATATCTGAATCAACATTATCATTATCATTGGTGGTTATAATGGAAGATGAACTAGATTTTATTTCAGTGACATTCTGAACAGTGTTACTATTGCTTTCCATTTTTACAGAGTTGTAAGTGTGTGTTGGTGCTTTTTCACCTTGTGTATTATTATTAGCAATAGTAACAGTTGTAGTGGTTGTCATATTTGTAGCTGTTCGAGCAGTTGGCAGTTGAAGATCAAATTTGGCACTATCACGGTATGTTTCTGGAGTGATAAAGAAAGTAATACATAAAATAAATAAAGCAAAAGCAAAGCAAAACCAAAAAGTAGCTCTCCAAGTCGTTGGACTCATAAGCAAGAGGCCTCCCAAAAGAGGACCTATGAGTGGCCCTGTGATTATACCAAGCATATATTGACCAAATGCTCTCCCGCGTTGTTCGATGGGGTATAAATCAGCAATGTAGCCTGCACCAATCGACTGTCCGCTGGAAACGCCTATTGATTGTAAGCATCGAACAACGACTAGAACCCATATATTATGTACAAAAACAGCTCCGAGGGATGTTACCATAAAAATGGTCATGGCTATTAAAAAGATAAAGCGACGAACGTGGAAAAACTCAGATATTGAAGCCCATACTACAGGTGCTATACCCGTGAATAAAGCGAAAAGAGCTGCTGTCAAGGTTGTGGCGATATCAGGCGCGCGTAATTCCTCAGTTATAAGTGGTATACCTGTCAATCATCCAAAACGTAAAAGGAAGGCGGGGCAACTTAACTCAGAAAAGCAGTTCTCGTGATTATTACATCTTTATACAGAAACTAACTAACTTTACCTGGAAAATAAATTGTGCTGGTGAATCCACCAGTGCAAGCGACAAGCGATACACATGCCACGATCAAGGATTTGAAACGGGGACTGTATAAGCGTGGATCCTCATTCACTGGAGGACGTATAGCGAATTTTTTTCTAATGTATAATTTAATGACAGTTGTTCGATTTACATTCTTTTGCCGCCTTTCATCTTTTTGCATTTCAGATCAAAAAATAAGAAACGTGTATGACTGGAGAAAAAATACTCGAAATTTGAAAAAGAGGCTCTATCCATTATTTATAAATTTGTTTTTTTTTTTTTTTTTTTTTTTTTTTTTTTTTTTTGTGTAGATTATTTTATTTTAAAATATTAAATTAGTCACCCATCGCTAAGGGTTTATAAATTTGTTGTTTGTTGGTTGGATAAAATGTTTACCTTTTCGCTGTTCACCTTCATTATATCTGATTGGGCACAGATATTCAATGGTTTCACAGCGTAACAAAGTTATGCTAATTTTTTTTTTCCTGCAACTTATTAAAATATGTAATGCTATTAGGTAATTGAAAGGAGCTGCAATGGCAGGGTATGTTTGAGAGCTTCAAATAGCAATATTAGAGAGCAAATATAACTATAAATCAATGGTAGCTGAATGGTCAACAAAGCTTTTTTAAAATAGTTACTTAGGTAGTAGTGCTAAACAGATAATATTTGTTCCCTCAGTTTGGTTACAGACATATATCCTGATCCCCGCGCTCTTTTTTTTTTGAAAAATGTTTGTTATGTTCAATATTACATCTCTCTCTATCTGAATAAAAGCAACGCAGCACGAAATTGATATAAAATTCTAGACAGCAATCAGGAATTAAAAAGCGCCTCCAACTTATCGTTGTAATGTTCTAAAGGTACTATCAGGAGAGTATTTTTGATGATATTGGCCGCATTCTAATTCAGAGCTGCGAGAACGTCAGAAACTTCCATCTTTATCAATCACAAGACCAATAGGTTCAATATACTTGTCTAACCTCAATTTAAATATACGCGAATAGCTATATGAAACAAACTTTCATACATAGCCAAGACGTTCATGGCTTTTATGTGGAAGATTTCGATGTATCTCGGTCCCTACCGCATCTGAAATTGACTGGCCTCTTTCCCATAAAATCTGGGGGTCTCAGCATGTACCGATAAAACACCCCAGTAAGACCTTGTGGACTGCCAAAGCGATATGAATACTAACTTCATTAAGCAACCTCTATCAACTACATGAAAGCTCTATGTAGCCAAGCTTTCAATTAACTCCCTCAGTAAAATATATGAATGGTAATTGTTCGTGATTGGATATGAGTCCAGCAATCTTCTCCCGGGAGCAAGTGTATTGTATGGCAGATGCAAACCCAAAGATTTTTAGCATTGTTGTCGGCATTCCAAAAAAAATTAAGCTGTGCGAGCGCAGGCTCCTCACTCGTCCAAAGCAGTGCACACATCCACAATAAAACATACAGCGATATGCTGAACGTATGAATCCTCCTTTTTAATCCATAGTACATCATGGGTAAATGCAGCATTTTCAATACATCCATCTTCGCTGATATCATCACAACAGACGGCAATGATCTAACATCCTTTATTCGTTGATTTATGTCCATTTCAATCTCTAAACAGCTGTTGGCAAGAATAAGTAAGTCCATAACAATGTAGTCTCAACGAAATGTATTGTTGCTAACTGTTCAACTTTAAACAGGCGTCTCAGCAAAGGAAAGAAGGGTTTGAAGAAGAAGGTGTAAGTAATTGTACACAGGGATTGGAGTTGTAATTTGATTGTGATTTCAGAGCAGAAAGCATATCATCGGCTATAACACCTGGACAGTTACGCATCGAAATTTGAGTATAGGTCGCCATACTGCAGCTCTTCATAAGTGTACAAAAGCTCAACACGGATCACTCAGCAGTTTAAAGCCTTCGAGAATGTCACATTGACTTCACTGTCTTGACCGAGATTGTAGCGATAGATTTCATGGTTTTGTTTCAAACTCAATTCAAAATGCTAAATGTTCCTTACATTTGATTCAACCCCGATGATATGCTTTTGCTCTGTCAACTGTCTTTCCGCAACAACATTCTAATTATTCTTTCACTCATAGTGTCGACCCTTTCACCCGTAAGGATTGGTATGATATCAAGGCTCCTTCCATGTTCGACGTTCGTCAAGTCGGTAAGACTCTCGTCAACCGTACTCAAGGTCTCCGTAACGCCAACGACTCTCTTCAAGGTCGTGTCGTTGAGATGTCCCTTGGTGACCTTTCCAAGGATGAATCTCGTTCCTTCCGTAAGATCCAATTGAAGGTTGATGAGATCCAAGGCAAGAACTGTCTTACCAACTTCTACCGTATGGATATGACTACTGACAAGCTCCGCTCCATGGTCAAGAAGTGGCAAACCTTGATTGAAGCTTTTGTCGATGTCAAGACCACCGATGGCTATCTTGTCCGTCTTTTTGCTATCTCTTTCACTTCTCGCCGTCGTAACCAAATCAAGAAGACTACTTATGCTCAGTCTTCTCAAATCCGTCAAATCCGTAAGAAGATGTTCGAGATTATGACCGAAGAAGCTTCTGCTTGTGACCTCAAGGAACTTGTTGCCAAGGTCACTTCTTCTGCTTCTCAAACTGCTCAAGATGCCATCGCCGTTCGTATTGAAAAGGCTTGCCAAGGTATCTATCCTCTTCAAAACACTTACACTCGTAAGGTTAAGATCCTCAAGGCACCCAAGTTTGATGTTTCTGCTCTTTTGGCTCTTCACGGCGGCGCTTCTGCTGCTGCTGAAGATACCGGTGCCAAGGCTACCAAGGACTTCGTTGAACCTCCTATTTTAGCCTCTGTTTAAAATAAATTCTGTAGACTTACATGTCTGAACATACATAATAAAGGTAATTTATTAAACACATATTCATAGCGTCGCAAATGCAATCGACTTTACCCACAGCTATATCTGGACTCATCATATCATGATCGACAAGTCATTGGCAATCAGCGAAATAGCGAATGGTTTATATATCAAAAGTTCAGTTTATTTCAATGAGTATTCATGACAATATTATCGGTTGGGTCATAGAATGCCATGTTAAAATTTGGACAATATTTCATTATTTGTAACCCGAGCATTTGACTTAAGAGGATCGAATTTTTAGACAAACAACAATCGTGCGAGAATCAAAGCTCCTCTTTTGTTATGTCAAGCACACACTTCTCAACACCATTCAATATCGTCAAACGCTCCAAGTCCACGCAAACGATATCGATAGTGTATGTGTGTTCAGGTAGTGATCCGATTTCGGAATCAATCTGTCCATTTCTGTCTCGGTAACTGTCATATGTTTTTGTATTCGTTTTAATGGTTAGACGATACTTTTCTTGAGCAAGGGCCCTCATCAATGGAAGCTCATCGAAGCGATGGTTGTCTGTTGATGTGTTTTCTTCATATTCTTGAAAATCAAATGTAGGGTATTTTTCAAAGGTCTTATATGAGATGTAGAAGTTCGTCAGGGAGCGACGCAGATACAAGATCAAGTGCTTCACCGACGTTTTCGCAAACGACAACTTTAAAGTATTCTTCTGATTTTTACAAGGCAAAAAATGGCAAGCTTGTATTGTTAATGACTTCAACGTAAGAAATCTGTGAGATATCCACGTGAGCATATCGCTACGAAAAATTGAAGCACTGAATATCAAATCGTCCAGTTTATCAGTTCTCAAATTGCTGTTATCTGGTTTTGTCAGAAAAACCATTTCTGTAAATTTGGCTGTCTTTGTTCTGTTTTCACCGCGATCAATATTTCCAACAATGCCGTCTAATATTAGCCAGCTCCATTGTCGTTGAAAGTCGGTAAAATTTGATTCGTACTTCAGGTGAACAAACTCCACAGCAGCCTTTTGGTGAGCTACGGCTATTTCAGTTGGGTTATATGCAGACATTGATGCTAATAATGCTTCTGTATCATTGAAATCACCGACTTCCAACGTCAAGTTGAATGTTCTTTCGTCAGATGATATAAACAAATTTTCCATACAATCCTCATCCAGTAACAAAAACAGCCTTTTCTTCTCGCGCTTCATCTTCGAAGCTTCTTCGGCGCATATTTCCAGGTATATATGATTGTTCAACTCAATATTCAGCGACATACTACACTTTGGTACTGTCATAGAAAGAGAAATTAGGCTTCTCCAGGACTCTTCGTCTACATCAGTTGTGAAGTTTCCACGATGGATAATCAGTTCTTGCAAAGCTTTAAAACTGTTGAAGAAATCAATGCTTGACTTTGTGAATAGTATATCAGAAAAGGATTGTATCCTTCTTACTGTCGTATTTGGCTGTAGTTTTTCATGGTCTTCATCGCCATATACCAAAAAGTGACCAAGTTCTAGATTTTTCAACGTTCTAGATGAATTGATCATATCAGAAATGAGCTTTACAGAGAAATATATTCCTCTACAGATGCACAGGGTTTCCAAGGATACGTATTCTTTTAGATTGTCAACTGGTTCCCCGTTAACCATGTGTTGCAAATTAGTATAATACATGCGCGTTAACGTATTTCGAGACTTGTATACCACCTTCTCATACAAATTGAAATCATCGAAATCTATAACATCATCCCAATCGAAACCTGTTATATCTTTTAAGCGATCAAGGACGATGTTTTCAGAGATCATAATTTCCCAAATTGTTGATTTCAACTCTCTACTAATGTACAATTTCTCAACGCTTTGACATTTTTTGATGATGGACGAAAAGAGGTCAATCATTTCATTTTGATCGTATGCTTCGAAGTCAGAGGTGAAGCTAATGCATTTGACAAAACGTCCAGGTTGAAAACTGGAATATAAACGGTCGTTGAACTGTCTAGCATTAGCATTTATAAAAACTTTTCTATAAAGAGCTGTGGTTGCTGAAGAAGACCATGCCTTACAAACGAATTGACAGTTATAAATGGTTTTATTGTTCCTTCTTTGTGTTTCTGTATTCGTGATATAAGCAAATACTGAGATAAGTAATTCTTTAGGAAGTGAACTCCAAGAAGACATGTTAAAAAAGCGGTTCGTTTCAACGAGAATTTTTTATCTTATTTTCCTTGTTGTCAGCTCCTTCACTGTTGGAAATATATTCACAGTGAAAAAAGGGTGAGACTTAAATGTGGGCTGTGGACATCTTTTGATAATGCATTGTTTTTATTTTTCCATAAAATTTGTAGTGAGAGTTTCATTAAGCAAGAAAGAGCAAAACTTCACTGTTAGCAATGTAAGCAGCTCGATGTATGGAATACTTCAAATATTTAATATCTTGAATGACAAAATAATGGATCTCAATATCTATTTCTTCTTTATTTAACGGTATCATGTCTTCATAGCTACTTGCGTTCGACATTAAAATTATCCCAACAAAAAAGAAAAAGAGTAGGTCGAAATCACGTTCAGCGCGCTAAGGCTCATACATATTTTTTACTTGTTCAGTGCTTACTAAAATTCACTGTTAGCCTTTGTATTGGGGAAAGGCGCAGAACGAAATAATCAAGGTAATGTTTCCTATCTCGCCATTCCTAGCCATCAATTTTTGTCGGTCGGTATCAGTTGTAATTCTTAAGAGCTATCTAAGACTGGCTAGTTCAACCACCACTTAGAACAACGTTGCTTCCCCTCTGTTGAAAATCGTTGAGAAGGCTAATGCGTGCTTGGCGTGCTGTCATTTTTTGTAATTGTCACAGGGAATGCTGAGGGCTAGTAAAAGCTGATTATCTTCCGTAGAGTGGGGGGGGGTGGGTTTCCGCTGCCCGCCTAAAGTAAAGGAAAATATGAACACTTGAGAACTCTATTTGTTTTTGCAAAGCTGGAAAAAGTTTTGATTGTTTATAACCCAACTTCTTAATTATTCACTCAAGGAGTAAATAACTACTATGCAAATTATCTGTTTTGTATAAAATGCTTCATCGAATACAGAACCGCATACGTTATTTGCCTATGGTGGAAATTTACAGTTTATAGCTAAACCTACGTATGGAATCGTGATAAAAACAATAAAACGGATGAGCTAAAATTTATGTCAGACATTATGTATTGCTGTATAGTAAACACCATGATGCATATATAGCACGGTTTAAGTACTCACGTTCATGCATTGACAAAAGAAATGAAAAATAAAAATGAAATATGCAATCTAGAAGCGAGATTATATCATTTCAGTTTGGCGCGTGAATCTAAAAAGCAAGCTAAGTGCTATTCTTCTCTATTATAAATACATGGTTGTTTAATACCATTCGGTTCTACTTTCCTCCCTATATCGGTATCTATAGGCAGAGAAGAACCTGTTAGAACATTTTAGAAACTAAAGAATTTCGGGCATTGCCATTGACAACCGATAGCACGATGCGCAAAATCAGAGTAACGTTTTTCCCGCCAAAACTTTGCAGTTCATACAATTTTTGCCCAAAATGCGGCGTCGATATAACACAATTTTCCCATGAGAGTCATTGCCCCAATAATCCAAAAAAGCCATAGCAGGTTACAAATGCTGTTATTCTTGCCAAGTATGCACTGATTTCAAACCCGCAGACGATACCCTCCTCATCTGATACCAGCATAGAAAAGTGCTATACTACTTCACTTATAGTCCTCTTCTCAGTCATTTTCTCATAAATATAATAAAATATGCCTATATCCTTGCTTAAAGGCATTTTATTCTATTGTAATAGAGGTACTGCTGCTACTACTATCACTAATACTGCTTCTGTCTACTTCTTTAAAAACGAGTTTTTGCTGTTCGTGTATCTTATCTATCCATACTTTTCTCATATATTCTGATGGTGCAATCAAAGTGGTCGGAGGTTGCATCATTCCAGAGCTGTCGTCGTTGTCCTGAAATGATATGGGATACTTATTCAACCTCAGGGAAGCATTTGAGTTGTATTTTATGTCAGAAACAGAGATTTGATGAGCCGTGCTAGATGATGATAATCTATTATAAATATTTGATTTTGTGGAAGGAACAAGAACTGTAAAAAAGTGGGGAATTAGCCAGCTATGTTCAAAGATATTAGTCGGTTATGATCCCTTTTTAGTTTTATACATTACTTGTCTTTGGTATAAATACAGAGAGAAACTTCAATGGAATAGGCTTAAACAAAAAAGATCAGAGTTTTCTCTTTCATTTTTTCCCGTTTGGAGAGTCAAGATAACAAACTTACCTTTCTAAATAATTTGTAACATTCTATCCCATCTTGTTTTTTTATCTTACAAAAAATTAACAAATGATCGAATAAGAAAAGCTGGATATCTACAGATGACGGACTGTCTACGATGGATGCAGGAACAGTGCTGTTGTTTCTGCTATATTGCTGACTGGCACGCTTTAGTTTCCCCTGCAGTAAGAGTTGACGATTAGGTTCTGTCAGCCTTAAATCCTAACATGGATAATAGTAAGGCTTAGATATCGACGAATGTTGTATTTTACTTCTCTGCGTCCCCCACCATTCCGCAACGTGTCTATTTCAATAAACTTACGTGTCCTTTAGTTGATATAATTCTAGATGATATTTTTTCCAGGTAAAACGCATTATCCGAAAGTCCAACCTTCTTGTTTAATTGCACAAGGAGCTCCGTTATTTTTGCCATCACTTTGGGGATCTCTATATGATCCGGATGATTGTTAGGTGTCGCCTCAATAATAGCATTTAATAATAAATTGTAGCGTCCCAATCGCGAGGTGGGTTTGGTTAAGTATCCATGTAGTTCCAATCTCCGAGATTCAGGCTTTCTCTGCAGTCTCTATATACAAAATGATCTTGTCTAGAAACAGAGCCATTTTATGCTGTATTTTGACTTCGCGTTATACTGTACCTGTACAAATTGAGCAAATTTTGCATTTCTCTTTTTTTCTAGTTCATAATAATGCTTTCCTATTGTTTGGTGAGCACCATAGGTTAGGAAAGGCTCAAAACCTCTTACATGCCTTGCCATTATGTCACTGATATATGGTATAATCGAGTACTTCTCCTGCCTCAGTGTAAGATCTTTTGAGAGATCTAAGCTGATCTCCTTGATATCAACCCAATTCCAAAAAATATCTTTAATAAGAACATCTCGTCGTTCTGCTGGTATGATATCGCTAAACAACAGAGGTTTAATCCAACACTAACGTTGTAAATCAGGGCTATAACAGTCAAAATTGTCATTTGCTCAATGCACCCAGAAATTTGTATCTCTGCTACTTACGTTTTCCACATACTGTAAATCTCTGCAGAAATCCTGTTCTGTGTAGATCAGCTCGTAGATACATTCTTGCCGCTTTTGCTCCATTAGATTAGTCCCATTAAGTATATTCCTTGGAACAGATTGTCTCCACAGAGCTCTATTTGGTTCACTCTGCAAAGTACATAGGTATGAGTATTAGTAACAGTATAAGCTCTCTTTCTATTTTCTCACACTAACCGTTATTTTTGCCAGACTTGTATCCGATGGATATCGTTGGTGTTTCTAGTTAGTAAATTAAGTATCATTAAATCTGTTATCACCATATTTCTAACAAATTGACGTCACTTTCTTACTGCTTCTTTTGTTGCCTTTCTAGGACATGTGATACTATAACAAGGACGCTTACTAGAACATGTTGGTGAATAGCAATCTGTCAAAAAAGAGAAAACTCCATTTACAGGCATGGTCCTGCAGGTAGACGGTACTACGCAGTAAAGGGCAACAACAATTTAATTAGTATAAATTGCTTATTATGTCGTTTGAAACAATGGGTCTTACCGGATTTCTTTCCATTCTTTTCTGAACTCAATAAATTGTGGTCATTTGCTGAGACTGCAATAAGTGACAACGGAAGAAACTGTGACGGTATCGGTAAACGGTAGAGGTAAGATGAGCTTTCATCTTGTTCTGAGTACTGAAATTGATACAGCTCGTTACTGGTATCTGTCAACTTGCAATCGTAAGTAACATGATGAAAGAGCCCTTGACTTTCCAAAGCTTTGCCTATGATCAACGCTAGCTGTCGATCCGTTGATTGAATGATATCTAAGATAGAATCCTAAATACCATAACATGATATTGAGTAATCCATCACTCAAGCTATCTCTTTTTATACACATGTATATATTTCATCTCATATGATTTTTAATACTGATTTATTCTTTTTTACCACTGCTTCTGTTCCTGAAAACACAACATGATAGAAATGTATTTTATCCCTTCGATCGATGGTTGATAACTCTATTTTTTTCACCAATTCATTGGCTACATGTGATAACAATGCTGTATAAATCGTTGACTCGTGGACCATCGTATTTTTACGCTTATAAACTGATATCAAAGCAGCAGAATACGTCTTTTTATGCTCACGACGTGTTTGATTGTTTTGCTGTCCTGCTCTTTTTGCTACCCTTAAAGATCCTATCATGGAATCCGAAAGGTGACTGTCACTGCCACTATTACCATTGCTCATGTTTGGTTGCAATCGTGAAAATACGCTTCGTAATCTGGCTAAAGGCGGTGGGGAAGGTAAACCATTCCACATTTGCGTTAGTGCGTGTGTATGTCCATTGTAATTGTTCTGTGCATACTGCTGGTCGATATCCTGTTTATCATACTGACTATCTACATCATTTAAAGCCGGCTTGTTCGGCTGAATAAGTTCTATATTTAAGGTAATTATGAACATTTAAACTTGAATAGACGGCATTTTGTATGTATAACTGATCCATCATACCAATACTTTTAAGGTTTGGCGGTTGCTTCACTGCTAACTCGGTATTATTTTTCTCTCCCTCAAGAGTCAAATTGAATAATGAACTAGGCTGGTCATAGTTATTCTGTTGCTGTTGTTTAACGCTTGCTTTATGAGAGGTTGCTGTATTAGGCTCAGTTATTAATTCAATTGCATTGTGTTGAGCTATATGAATGGATAATGGAATTTTCGGCCTTAATTTTCCTGCTGGTGGAGATGAAGGAAGGGAGTGTTTCTGATTTTTCCATGTTAAATCATTATCTATTGTCTCTGAAAGTGGCTCTTTGTTTTGTGTTGGAATAATAGTGACATGACGTCGTCTTAATGGAAGAGTAAGATCTCGAGCAGATTTTGGTACCTTCTTCTCAGAGCGCAATTTATCACGATAAACAATAAGACTTTGACGTCTTATGGGCAGATTTTGTTGAATGTAGCTGTCCCTTATAGCAGGAGAAATATGTGAGCTACTACCGCTATCGTCATTGCTTGAAAGCAGAAGAAACTGGTTCTTATAGGTAGTAGTGGTTTGCTGGTTACTCAATAATGTGCTGTTTTTACCTACAATTGTTTCATTCGATTTTGACATAGGGAATGAAGTAATTGAGAAGAATGAGGGGGTAAAGATAAAAACAGCGAAGACCTAGTAAATTAGTAATAAGAAAAGATGGAAAAAAAAGGGTTAGTAGAAGAAGAAAATCAAGAGTAAGAGTTTCCCTCTATTATTACAAAATCATTTAGAACGTGTTGACTCAACGTCGTTCTTTCTATAAAAAGCAATGCATTTAACTTCTTCATTTAAAGCATTGTGGCGCTGTTTTTAAAATTATGGTAGTTTCAAGCCGAGTAGCACTTAGCTAAAAATGATGACAGCTTTTAACACCACTAAATGGTTCCTCGCGAATAGCTGATGGATGCATGGAAATATCTTCGTTTCAGTAAAAATTTTGATCTATTTGTAACCTGAGGTACATTTCTCTTATCGCTAACGTTGTACAGTTGAATTAATGCAGCTGGATGATCATCATTATAATTTTCCAACAGTTTTAACATCAGGAAACTCGCCATTTTATGAATAACCATAAATCTGATAATTAATGCTCCAACACTCCGACTATTGTTCGTTTTAAAACGTCAACACTTTTAATACTATGGGCTTGTCTGCATGCAAAAAAGGAGGTAAAACATCATGCGTTCGTTGGGAATTTATAAGTATCACTACAAGCCAAAAAAGCACTATATGGATGGTTGTTTGCATTTAGCTGCAATTTATTTTTCGCTTCGTGTGTCGTTGAGCATGCATGATGTAGCTTTACATACTACGGGCTTCCAAACTGTAAGCAAAGAGATAAGCGCGTTGTTTATGCGCTATACTGTTCCTCAAGAATTTCCAAATGAGTTCCTCAAATGTTTCAGCACACTATCATGGTCGAACATCATCTGTGGTTGACTGAATAATAGAAAAGATTCTAAATTTTTATTCTCATTGTTTTGGTTCGAGAAGACGTATAATTTTTAGTGAATTTACTTTTTTATACATGATCATAAGAAAGTGTGAGTGGGCATATGTACTATAAAAGTGATTAAGAGGGTGGAAAAAATTATATAAGGTTTGCTTATAAAGGATATGAAGATGAAAGAATAAATAAAATTACTTTAGTGCTTAGCTTGAACATTAACACGAGCGTTGACTCGGCGAGGGTCCAAAGTTTCAGGATCCAAAGAAGGTAAAAGGTATGAAATATCATCCCAAGGATGTCTGTAAAGACCTTGTTTCAAACGCTTCTGATCCAAATGATGACCAATGAAACCGAGGGAGCGACCAAGAACAAAGAGACCATTCAAAGTACCGATACGCATGTATTCTTCAGCTTCATCATGAGTGAAAGCACCAGATTCACGTAAGAGATCAACAAATGAAACCGCAATACAACCATCGACGTTCAAGATCAAGTTATCCTTCTTGCTTGTTGTAATTTCTTCAACCTTCAAAGCATAATCTAAGATAGGTGTATGAGGGAAGTTCTTCTTGACGTAATCCTTGACTAGTTCAACACGCATGTCAGGGTTGGTACGGGATTTGATCTTATGACCGATACCTGGGATCAATTTGTTAGCTTTACGCATGGAGGTAACAAATTCACGAGGAGTCAAGCCACTGTCGTATGCCTTGGTGAAGTTTGTAGCAGCACCATCTAAAGCACCACCGAAACGTTCACCGATAGTGAGAAGACCTGAAACGAGCGAAGAAATTAAATCTTTACCAGCACGAGTAGTGATGATGGTATTCATAGCCTAAGTTCAATGAAAAAGTTAAATTTAGATAAACCCCGATCCTACGTTTTAACTACCACTTTATACTATGAAGAATACTTACACCGGAGACAGCAGGACCATGATCAGCTGTTAACATCAAGACCATTTCAATGAATTTGCAAGCATAATCAGGAAGCCTGCGCTTGAACCACAGGAGAGAGAGAACACCACCGATGCCAACATTTTCCTTAAAGACATCAGTAATTCTCATACCAGCATACAACAATTCTTGACCTCTGTCATCAACAATAGTAGAAACGAAGCTGGCAGGCTTACGAACCAGACCAAGTTCTTGAGCCCAAGAGTAATCAATAGGGATCTTGGGGATTTCAGGCTCGGCACGGGGAGTAATGATGCCATCCTTAACAAGCTTATTGTAAGTTTCGGCAAGGGCTAAGGGCAATTGTTCGAAGGTTTCAGGAACGACAATACCAGCAGCACGCATAGCCTTATTCTTGGCATCAGCAGTTTCCATATCCGAGTTGGCCATAGAACCAGCATGGCCAAATTGTACGTCAGTGGTGAACATCTTTGCACAAGTACCAATAGCCCAAGCAACAATAGGCTTCTTGATAGTGCCGTTCTTAACAGCTTCGATGACACGGTATTCTTCAATACCACCGACTTCACCGAGCAAAACAAGCATCTTACAGTTAGGGTCTTCTTCATAACGTAATAAGTGATCAATGAAAGTAGAACCGGGGTAACGGTCACCACCAATGGCAACACCTTCATAGACACCGTCAGTAGTACGGGAAATGATATTGTTCAATTCGTTTGACATGCCACCTGACTTGGAGACATAGCCAACCGAACCAGGTCTGTAAAGCTTAGAAGAAACAATGTTATCCATCATACCACCAGTATTACCGATCTTGAAGCAACCTGGCTTGATGCCGCCGACAGTAGCAGGACCAATGACGAGGACCTTACGTGCTTCAGCTTCATGCAACAGTTGACGAGCACGGCGTTCAGGTACACCTTCCGCGATGATAGCGATGGTCTTGATTTGAGGATAACCAAAGATTTCACGAGTTGAATCGAAAACAGAACGGCAAGAAGCAAAGTTAACAACTACGTCGACGTCAGGAAACTTTTCAACAGCATCCTTTAAAGAAGTGAAGACAGGAATCAAAGTTTCCTTGGTACCCCAGTAGAACTTTTGAACATGAGAACCGCCGAAGGGATAGACCATAGCGGCGACAGAAGGTGATTCACGCTTACACATAAAGTCAAAATCGAGCATACCTTGAACAGCACGAGGCTGCATACCGTAGACGAACGCACGGGTCTTTGAGGTGAAAGGTCTGTACCATTCGGATGTTTGTTCTTGCTGTTCAGGGAAGTAAGTCATACGGTCGTTAGGGTTGGTGGGAGTAGTGTTGTCTTCGGCTATAGCAAGCTTGGGAGTGTTGGCACCAGAAGCATTGGTAGAACCAAAGATTTGATCTTGGAAAAGATTACCAGAAGAGGCACCGCTGTTGTTGTTTTGAAGAGTAGTAGCCTTACCCTCTAAGGCCAAGGGAACAATATCGGTGATGTGGGTTTCAGGACCGAAAACTTGAATTTCAACGCCTAAAGTTTCACCTAATTGACGCATGGCACGAAGACCTTCTTGATAGTTGGGACCACCACGACGAATGAAAATGCGTACCTTATGGTTGATAAGAGCCTGCTTGAACTCGGTCAAAGCGCGAATAATACCCTTGAATGTAGTAGCAACGTTGGTGAAGTTGGCAATACCACCACCAATGAAGAGAAGTTTGCCTTGAGGATTGACTTCGCCGCGAGTCATTAAATCCAAGATCGTCTTGGCATATTCGTAGGTTTGGGTTTCGGTGGGTGCACCCGAGTATTCACCATAGTTAGCAAGTTCATTAGCATAACCTAAAGCGGCAATAGCATCAGAGTAGACAACGGAAGCACCACCACCAGCAACCATAGTCCAAATACGGCCATCTTTGTTGAGAACAGTCAATTTGAGGGAAGCACCGGTCTTGCCGTCTAATTCTTGAATATAGGCTTCTTCACGGGTAAGTTCACGACCGAAAGGAGCAGGGAATTCCATGGGAGGGCCTTGATCAACATTTTGGGTATCGGAGGAGACAGCAAGGCCAATGTTTTGAGGAGCTCTACCAATAGCCCACTTAGGACCAGCCTCAAATTCAGCAGTTTGATCAAGCTTAGCAGCTAGATCAAGGTACATCACTTGAGGAGTTTGACCCTCAACAGGGTCAGTAACGACCAAAGGATTGATTTCAAGGTAAGTGAAGTGAAGATCGACATAGACAGCATAGAGACGACGGATGAAATCGACCAAAACATCACGCTTGAATTCGGGTACATCTTTGAGGAGAGTTTGTTTGATGGTATCGGCAGAGGGAAATTCAGCGGAAGCAACGGGTATCAAGAGCTTCAGTGCCTTGGCATCGACATCGCCAACTTCAATTCCACCTTCATGAGTGAAGAGGATATAATCGCCTTCACGAACGGAGTTTATACAGATGTAATATTCGGTATTATCCGGGTGAGGAGTGAAAGGCTCAATCAAGAAGGTTTTGAGAATACCAGTCGTTCTTTCAATCTAAGTATGTTTTTATAAATTTTTCATTGTTTTAATTCCCAAAAACTAGACTGATTTGATGATGCCGTGCATATTCAGTAAAATCTAAAACCCACTACCCCGCCCTGTTTGTTCTATTTTCCTTTGCCTGGCATACACCCCTCCCCCCTTTGTTTTTGAACGTCAAAACCCGTTTTGCATAAAAAAAATCTCAATTCCCGAAAAAACCAGTCAAGTAAACCAGTCAACCCATTTTTGCCAGCCAGCCACACGCAAAAGACTTATCCTCTCGCTAATACGCCGACACACTATCTATACCAATGTAACACTATTTTTTACCTTAATTTCCTTTCCGGCGCGTTCTTCAATCCATTTACGAGCATCAGTCCAATCCTTATTAAGAGCCAAAAGACCATGCTTTCCTCTACGTTTGATCAATTGATCAGGCTTAGCAACCAATTTATCGGTCAACAACCAAGGGTGAGTTTGTTCAAGATTATCAAGTTGTTGTTTCAAGGCGTTTTGAAAAGCGGCGTCATCACCTAAGAGAGAAGTGTCAACACTGACTTGCGCCAACTTGGTAGCAGCAGGTTGGAATAATGATGCAGTGGCGCCTTCTTGAGTGCCCACGAGAGGAGCACGTAAGAGATGATAAGCTAGTAAAAGCTTGCCATCATATTCTCTGATAGGTTTAGCAGACATTTAGAAGTTGATAAATTTCTGTGGCGGATGAAAAAGAAAAAAGAAAGAAACCAAATGGTAAGGAGAAACAAAAAGGAATAAAGAAAATGGGCGTTGTAGTACACACTCTTGTCAAAAATTATAGAACAGCAAGTTTATTTTAAAGTTTCTGTGACTCGAGTCAAAGCTTGGGGGTGAGCGATGGGTGAGCGGGGAAAGTAGAAGCAGAAGACTCAATTTTATGTTAAAGCTTACCATAAAAGGTTTCCCGCCGAGGTGCGAAAACTGGTTTAGGATGCCTCATCCTCATGGTGTTTGAACCTTGATTATGAATCCTGTATTCCTTTGTCCCCAACGACAGACCCCACACAATGTCTTATAACGCTGCAATTAGACACACAACAATAGATGTTTCCCCGATTTGTTGATTCACAAATTTATTGTGGGGAAGAATTCAGTAACCCTTTGTTATTGGGAAAAAGCCCAAGCTTCAAGAATACTTTATTACCGTGATTTTGATATGTACAAGAAAAAACAAATTTGGTAGAACCATTCTTATTGTGAATGCTGTTTTGATTGCTTCTTCTTCTTCCTTTTATCTTCATGCTTTTGATGTGTTTTGATGTGCTGCGATAAATTGTCCGAGCGAGAAAATGATTTGGGACAACCGGCAAAAGTGCAATGGTAAGGCCTTTCCAGGGTATGGATACGCATGTGCCTTTTCAAATGTTCGAGTCTTTTAAATTGACGTTGACATTGTTGTACTGGACATGTATGCGGTTTAGTATCACATAAAAAATGTTGTTGTAGAGCGTTTTGGACATCCACAGCAGCATCAGAAGCAGAGGAACCAGTTGTATGATGTGCATGGAAATACAGATTAGGTGCATAATTAGTATTTACAGCGACGGCCTTAGACACAGAACTATCGATGGAGACATTTGACATGCTTTGATGACGATGAAGATCATGATGGTTATGGTTTAATACCGATAAGGATGGAGTAGGTGGCGAAGTAGAACTCATCACAGAAGATGAAGCGTTAGGCTGAATATTATGTACGTCAAACTTCATTTCAGATATCGATGGCGTCTCAAAGGAAGCACTTGCAGCAGTAGAAGATGTAGTATAGCCTTTCATATAGAGACCATTTATCTATTTGAGGTAACCATAATAAGAATAAAGTTGGTTGATTTCTTTCTTTTTTTTTTTTTTTGTCGCCCTTATCATCCCCTTTACGTCAGCAAGATCTACTTACATCTTTCTGATTTTGAGCGCTATCGTAAAAGTTGGTATTGTAGTACATATGTCTTATGCCGTTATTATGCTGTCCAACAAGTTGTTGGGATACTGCCACTGCTGCAGCTGCTGCATTGGCTGCAACTGAACTTGCTACATTATTGTTCGTACTTGTTGTTGATGTTGGTGTTGTTGTTGAAGGTGGACTGCTATTCGAAGCGACTGAATCAGTTCCGAAAAAGTGTTGCTGCTGCTCAGAGCCACTTGTCATAGATGAAAAAGCACTAGTAGCCGTAGTAGTGGATGAGGAAGTGGTACTGCAATGATGAAGATCATTGCTGGCTTGACCTGTTACGAGATTATTAATGTTGGTATCACTTTCTTCTTTTGGAATGTCAGCACTGCTACTTTGACTGTTACTGCTGCTCATAGTATCCACATTATTGCCGTTTATACTATCAGTAGCATTACTAATAGGAGTAGTAGTAGCATTATTGCTGCTGTTGTTATTTCGTTGTTTCTTCGGTACTTTCTTTTTTGTATGCGTACGATAGTGAGCATGAAAATTATCAGATCGACTGAAGCTTTTACCGCATCCCGGGAAATGACACGTATAAGGCCGTTCTCCTGTATGCACTAACATATGCCTTTTTAGATGTTCGTAACGTTTGAAGCTCCAACCACAGAAACTGAATTGACAAACATGCTTGTGCCGCGGTTGTTTTGTGCCGGTTACTGCTACTGCCGCTGCTGCAGCGAAAGAGCTGGTAGGTCCTCTCAAAGAGCCTGTACCATTACCGCTTCCTATTGCCATATGGAACGCACCATGGTTAGCGAAAGGACTAGCTGTAGTTGTTGGAATAGGTCGTGTTATGTATAACGGATAAGAAGAGTAATGATATCGTTGGTCATAATATCCTTGCTGCTGTTGATGATGCTGATGTACATTGGGTGTAGGATAATAGGGATGGTAATGTATTTGAGACTGATTGCTGTGGTAATGACTTGTTTCGCTTTTGATTAAATTGTTGTTGCTACTGCTGTTGCCATTTTCATTGTTATAATAGTTAGCGTTGTTTGAATCTGTCAACATTGAAGCTGTAGGGGAAACAATAGGAGTAAGCGGAGGTGATACTACAGCAGTGTGATTTGTAGGTTGCGTGCATTGGACAAGTGCGGAAGGTGAAGATGAAGCAGCAGAAGCTTGAGGGTAGTAGTAATTAGACTCGTATGACTGCTGCTGCTGCTGCTGCTGCTGCTGTTGTTGTTGTTGTTGTTGTTGTTGTTGCTGCTGCTGCTGGTGGATAGCTTTCTCAGAACTTGCGGTACTGGCGATATTGTTACTATAGCCATGATTATTGCTGTCTAATGTATTCATTGGAATAAGATTAGCTGACGGAAGATAAAAAGACATACAAAGGTAGAAGAGAAGAATAAGAAGAAGTAAGAAATCAGTAAAGCGTATTTATAAGAATATTTATGATGTTTAATGATGTTGATGATGAATGTTGAGGTTATGAATGCATATTATACAATATATATTTATTTATAAAATCTTATATATACACAAAAAACAAATCACTACTGCTATTGCACGATATCAGAAAGGTTGCTAGAGATACTAATTTTTGCTGTACTGTCAATAGCAAAATTTAATAACAATTCCAACATAAATATGATCTGCAGATACTTAATCACCAAGTGACGATTATTGGCCTAGATTTCCACGAGCTATGCGTTACAGTAGAGTTAGATTAGAAACAGCAAGAATACACACAAACACTTTTGTGTGTGTATAATTGCTATTTAGATTTTTGAATTTGTAGGCAAAAAAAAAAAATACACTCCTTTTTCCAATTTTTTCTTTCTTTTTTTTTTTTTTTTTTTTTTTTTTTTTTGTTAATGAAAATAACTAGTGTCACTAAATAACCAAAATCTCGAGAATGGACGTTTCTTTAAGATATGAATGATGTTAACCTGCACAAAATAGTTCTTATAATTTATCACTGCAACTAAGAAGCCTTCGCTCATCCACGTTCAGCAGTTATCAGTTTTTGACACAATAATCTATCAGTTATAAGGTCGACAGCGAAAACTTTGGATGGAAAGGGTTTGCACAAAAAACTTGCATTGTGCATAAATAATTTCACAAATATCCTTTCTTACACCTCTTTGTTTGTATAATATATCTGTGTGTATAAGAAGGTCTGATTTGTACCGATAGGCACTATGTTATGCTTTTAGCTTACTTTTTCGAATGTCAACTAACTATATCGATAAGTGATAAGATGGATACCAGTGTATGGTCAATATAAAATTCGGTTATACTATGCCATGAAATGTGAACTTTTATTTCTCTGTCATTGAAAAAGAACAATTGCTGTATATTATATTGATCTAGGAGTATTTGTAACACAAATCAGTGTTACCCCCTTCAAGCTGCAACTGTCTTTTTTAGCACGGGACGTGCGTATTGTGGAAAGGCAGAAAGACATATTAGCTACTGCGTTTTTTTTTAAAAAAAAAATCAAAAGAAAAAAAAAAGGACAGTTAGCTTTTACACTATATGTTCCGTTTTCATGGTTTTCGTTCCTTATATGTGAACGCCAAACGGGTAGCGCCTAGCGAAATGGTGATTGTTTTAAGCCTGCCCTGACAATTAAAAGAAAGAAGAATTGGCGGTCCGGACCAGCAAAAATGATCCTCTTGCGCGGGGATTGAAGTGCTGATCGGTGATGAAGTAAATCAAAGGAGGCAACAAGAAGGTTTGGGCAAGCCCAAAGGCAGAATCCTCCTCTCTCCCATACAACTAGTAAAGTAAGTGATACCAAACAACAACTCTGTCACTATCCCAACCGAACGATCCATCGAAAACATTAGCAAAACGTATTTCGAATGCACAATTTAAACAACGGATAGATGGATTCAGTTTGAAAAATGGATGGATTTCAAAGAGAGATAAAAACAAAAGTAGATGGCTGATACAGCGATTAACATGTCAAATTCATCATTTTTCTTCATATTAGAATGGCTAAGGATAAGACCACCCAAAAGCGTTCCACTCTTGCTGATGTTGTCACCCGTGAATACACTATTCACTTGCACAAGCACGTTTTTGGCCGCTCTTTGAGAAAGCGTGCTCCTGCTGCCGTCAAGGCTGTCAAGGACTTCGCTGAAAAGGCCATGGGTACTAAGGATGTCCGTCTTGATCCTTCTTTGAACAAGGCTCTCTGGTCTCGTGGTGTTAAGCACGTCAACCACCGTATTCGTGTTCGTATCTCTCGTAAGCGTAACGATGACGAAGAAGCCAAGGAAAAGCTCTACTCTTATGTTACCTACGTTCCCGTTACTGACTTCAAGGGTAAGGATCGTCAAAAAATATTTAGAACCTGACTTTTGCTAACCATTAATTTATTTTTTTTGTATTCATTAGGTCTTCAAAATGAAGTTGTTGAAGATGAAAACTAAATTCACCTTCTTTAATATAAACAATCTTGAATAAAACCCACCACAATATTGTCAATGTAAAGACGGAATATGATCGTTTTGATGTGTGTTATAGAAATGTTTGAAGCGTCTTATACAATTAAAGAAGTGGCTGCATATTGTCACGATTGCGATTTCAGAATTGCAGCTGCGAGAAGGAATTGGGCGGGGCACAGATGTATTGAATGGTCATCGTCGATCATCGATTTTATAGTTTTTTGACTTCCAAAATCCTGCAGTATTTACGCTAATATTGGGTAAATCCTGTGAAGTCGCGGGAATGCGGACGCTCTTCAGGTTGTCTTGATCAATTATAGAGATCTGATCATTGGTTAAAGTGAGCTGTGTCGGAAGTGCTTGCCAATGTACAGTCTGTAAAAGAAGTAAAAATTATAAGCAATGAGTATCTATCACATTGATAAAGCATAACAAACTCACCTGAGCATGGCTGCTCAACTGGACAAAATCAGAAAAGGGAATCAATAACTTGCTAGACCGCCAACGGTCGTATAGTGCTCTACCCTCGGGATTTCCAACCACATCGAATGCTGCTTTTATTTTCTCGAATTGCTTGGAATCTATCAAGTTCAACCTATCAATAAAGGCGAGTTTGCAAGAAATAGATAAACGCTTAAATAACCTGCTGCTGATGCTTTATCTGGATGGTATTTCAAAGCGAGACGTTTATACTCTGTCTTGATTTGCTCGTCCTTGATAGAAATCCCATATTATGTATGTAAGCTATCGGCGTTGAGAAGATTGTCTTTGTAGGCTTCTACCATACCGTGCTACTATCTACACAACCGAGAACTTGATACAGGTCATCCTCTTTTTCTTTCTTATCAATGTCAAAAATAGACTGCATGATCAGTAAGTGAAAGAGATAAAAAAAAAAGAAAACGATAGAAACATCAAAATGGAGAAAGTATGTGTAAATACAATCTTTTTTTTTTTTTTTGGTTGTTGTATTGTGTAAATACAATTAAACAAGAATTTTATTGACGAATAATATTGTGTAAATACAACTTTTTGGTTCAGTTTCGGATAGGTTTTCAGATCCCAAAAAATCCAAAAATGGGAAATTTTGAGTACAATTTTTTTGAATATATTTTTGATAAAATGTAGACTTACTACGCGTAGAATCTTTCGTACCAGGTCTTCCATGACCAGCACAAACCTCCTGAGCAATGTATTACATATTTGTAGCCGTCAATACAATCACGATTTCAGCAAATACTACAATTTTTACAAAAGAGTATCTGAGTTCTCTGTTGAAGGAGCACGATAACGCGTTGTGATCACGAGTGCAATTGTACGTTTGACGTATTCGACTAAGCTACTATTATTCATGGCGTAAATGCTATCTGTTTCCGTATGCTCAACGGAACCTGAAATTACGGAGCTTTCAGCTCGATTAGATCTACATTGTAGCCTTTCAGAGGGGCTCAAAAATATGCGAAAGAAGGGTTATCCAGACTGTTATATTTACCCAGTCCTAAAGGTTTTTGAACTGAACATTTGCCATCAGTCCAGTTTTATTCTAGGATGGGTGCAAAACAGATCGCTAAATTAGTCCGATTTCAGCAAAGCCAGAAGTAATAGCGGCTGTACCTTTTTTAGGGGCCCAAGCAAAAGGTCATTGCAATTTTGCAAAGCAAAAGCAAGTTCTACTTGACCCGTTTTTACCACAGCTCTTTCGTTTAGACTGTAAATAAACAAGAAAGCGATTGTCGCCTGTTTTGGTCGCTGAAAGTCGACATAATCAGGGCGTAAATTTCCTCCTAGTCGAAAACGAACATTTTTAGGATATTTCTTAGCGAAACATACACTGCTTTAATGTATAACTGAATAATGGATTTATAGGTGGCAGTTGTAAATGACGAAGCTTGTCTTGAAAAGGTATTTCGAACGTTCCATTTTTGTCATTGAATTCTCTTTTTAAAAGCAACACTTTGAGAACAGATCACATGAGCATCGCCGTAGGCATAAAGATGTGGGATTTGTTAACTGTTCAACGACTTGTTCTAACCATACACAACCATAATTATCACAGATGGGTACAGAACAGTATGAAACAGAACGAGTTTGTAAATCATTCTATCAGTGACGGCGATATTCTCAGCCAGCTTGTCAGGATGTTTGAGTGAATACATAAGGGGTCAATGATGCTGCTGCTGCGGTTGAAGAAGTACAATCCAACATTTACTAGTATTTCACCTTGAATGCGGCGGAATGAGTATCATCAACAAATTAACCATCGATTCATCTCCATAAATAATAACACAGTTTTATTTACATGATAAACAAATCGAGAAGAAATAAAGAAAATGCAAAGAATAAAAGGTTTACAATTAATGGGGTTATATGTTGTAACATAGTATAAAGAGTCTATAATGAGAGAGTAGTATAAATGAATAAAGTAAAAGAAAAGATAATGTCCATAAAGTCTAAAATCTAGTTGAACGGCCATAGGAGTTTCTGTTTCCACCACCATTTCCTCCGCGATAACCATTGCTGTTGTTGTCACGGTAGCCACCGCCACCACGATAACCATTATTGTTATTACCACGGTAGCCATTACTATTTCCACCTCTATAACCGTTATTGCCTCCACGGTAATTATTACCACCTCCACCTCTGTTGTTATTATCTCTTTCTTGTAATGGAGGTAATTGAGAAGGAGCTGTTAATGTAATACCGCGGGCATCCCAAGGTCTACCAGCCAACAACACAGTACCATCCTCTTGTACTTCAATCTTTTCTGAGGCAACATCGACGACGACACCTTTAGCATCTTGAGTCATACGCCAGCCTTTGAAGTCGTCGTAGGTAAATTCGGGGTATTCACGGTTCAAAATATTACGTATATAGCCAGGATGTTGAATGGTGTAAGAGAGTTCAAAGTAAAGAGTGGTTTGACCCTCACGAGAAGTAAGAAGAGAACGGCTTGGAACTCCTTGATGGTAACCGGTCATAAAAGCTAATGCAGCAGCAACGGCGTTCTCAGCACCATGCTTTTCGATCAACTGTTGAGCAGATTTAGCAAAAAAGGGTAAGACGTCAGGCTTGACCATATCAATAGATTTGAAAGCTTCTTCAGTAGTAGCTTCAATGATATCTTCGGGACGAGGGGCAGATAACTGTTCAAATTTGACGCCGGTACGTTTGGAGATATAAGCCAAAAGGCCTTCCTCAGCTGGCTTGAAGAAAGTTACACAAACACCAGAGCGACCAGCACGACCGGTACGACCTGAACGATGGACGTAGGATTCAGTATCTTTGGGAGGTTGGCAATTGATAACTAAATCGACCTGAGGAATATCCAAACCACGCGCGAGCACATCAGTACAGACAATACACTTGTATTTGCCTTCACGGAAAGCCTTCATAGTGGATTCACGAGAGCTTTGAGCAATATCACCGTGCAGAACAGCTGCATCTTGTTTGATCTTATCGTGAGCACCCAATTCGTTTGCATCAGCTTTAGTGGCACAGAAAATAACAGTTAAGCCACTACGACCATATACATTCACAACATCACCAATAATATCAGCACGTGTTTGATAAGAAGCAGGCATGGCAATATGACGAATGTTGGTATTCGTTCTGTTTTTGGCGTTACCGATCAAATCAATACGTTCGTAGTCTTTCTTGAGGAAACGTCTGATCGTTTCCATAACGGATTCAGGTACAGTGGCGGAAAACAATAAAGTTTGATAGTCACGAGATTCCTTTTGTTCTTGAATATTAGATAACAATTTGAACATATCTTCTTCAAATCCACGAGCATCCAGCATTTCATCTGCTTCATCTAAAATGATAAATTTGAGATCGTGTAATTTCATATTCCCAAATTTAATGTGGTCCAAAATACGGCCAGGAGTACCGACAACGACGTCCACACCATCTCTGAAAACAGGAGTTTGTTCTTGATAAGGAACGCCACCATAAACAGGTAAAGTCTTCAAACGATTACCGGAAACTTGTTCAAAATCACCACAGACTTGCTTGGCTAAATCACGAGTAGGACATAAAACAAGCACACGAGGAGCACGACCGCGACGAACAGTGTAAGAAGTATCCAAAGCTAACCTTTCAATGACAGGAATAGCGAAAGCCAAAGTCTTACCAGTACCAGTACGGGCACGGGCCAGAACATCCTTGCCGTCGAAAATCGTGTTGAAAGTGGCAGCCTGAATGTCAAACAATGATTTGATACCTTTGGCGGCGAGATTGTCGATTGTGCCTTGAGAGATACGGAAATTACTTAGACGCAAATTTTCAGGTATATCATCATCTTCACCTCCTCTTGTTCCTTCTTCAACAACGGTTGTTGCTGGTGAGTCATCTTCAATACGACGTTTCTTGGCTTCAGGTTCAGGAGTGCTGGCAGCTGACGACTCAACAGAAGCGACTCTTGAGCTCTGCTTGGAAGGGACGTCGACATCGTCTTGGATCTCTTTTGATCTTTTCTCATCTCTGTCTCTCTTGCGAGAAGATCTTTCTGACTTGTCTGACTTTTCTTTTCTGTCTCTTTTTTCCTTTCTATCTTTGTCTTTTCTATCGGAACGATCTATTGCAATTCAAGTAGGTTAAATAAAATGTACGTACGTATCTTGACCGATGAAAAGAAAGGATTCTTTACCTCTGCTGGAAGTACTAGGCATTTCTAAGTTGTTTTTTTTTTCTTTAAGAAAAGGGTTGGTAGAAAAAGAAAAACTTAAAGTTATCAATAAAAAAGGGGAACTTTTTTTTATCAAAAAAAAATATAAAACAGTGACTGTTGGTATCTTTCTGACTCAGTCACAAGTGCAAAAAGAGTTTAATTCAACAACCCCACAAACGCACAGATCTTTTCATTAGAGTCTGCGACTCTGCTTGCAAACAAAATCAAGTAGTCTTAGGTGCATTGGAGGCATTTATATACTGCTAGACGATGAGCATTGAAAGCAATTCTAGCTTACTCAATTAGTTTCCAAGTACCTAGTGTATCTTTCGCCTTGACAAAACGGAAGGTTTCATAATGCGCCAGCCTCTTTTTTATTCTGTTGGTCCCTCTCTTTTGATCCAATGAATATCCCTCAAGCGTGTGATTAATTTGGAAATCGGTTTTAGATCATTAAAAAAAAAGAGGGAAGACCGTTCCTTTTGCTTTTCGAACAAAAAATGTTACTTTTTTACTGCCCAATTAAATGTTTTTTGTTCTACGTAGCATAATAAAAAACAGTACGCTTGAAATCCTCATCCTGACAATTCGTGTTTTAGGTTACTTTGGGGACGTCCTGTCATATTCAGTAAAATATCGAAAGCAAATGAGATCTATCTTGGGACGAATCAAGTGAAATGTACTTAGACGATTTTAGAAGAAAAAAAGAACCTTCTTGTTAAAGCTTGTCGGCTATATTGAAATCGAACCTTTGTTTCAAGTGTAAGATGAGTTGAAATCAATGGTCACTGTAGTGCTTTTGTCAAACTGAAAAGTGCCATTACATTATAATAAGTCGACTTACAGCAAAAATACGGCCTCGATCAGTTTGAACGATTAACGATACTGAGCTTCTGGGTTTATTGCATTATCTAATTAGTACATATGATCACGTCAATCGTAATTGCTTAAGCTAAACAATGCCTTTAGATAGTTCAGGTCGCGTTTTTTTTTTTTTTTTTTTTTGTTTTTTTTTTTGTTATTATGTATATCAATACCTTCGGAATAGGATTATCAACGATGTCATTGAATAATTCAACCGGATATAGTTTATTCTGCATGATAGTAAACGACCTTATCTCGTTAATATCTGTATTCTCATTTCATGTAGTCGTCATGGTAGAGCAAACTCAGCTCAGTATGTAGTAAAAGTTCTCGGTTAGATTTAGCTCAAGCATATAAATTTTCAAAGAAATATGATTCGTCTTTGCATTGTTTTTTGGCCCCTCGGCAGTGTATGCTGATGTTACAGGAAAAGTTTCTGCTCGACAGGTGCCCTACAAATACAACTGTTTCGTTTTTAAAAATAGCTATTATCTGTATGGTTTACATTATACAATGAAAATAGTCAAAATAGATTAATATCAATCCTTACATAACTTTATCAAACTTGAAGCATATTGTAGTGGAACAAGATACAGCACACTAGGTTATAATGGAAGAAATTAAGGTGATATACAAATGGTAATTTTGGTTACTTTATACAAAAGTGAATGTCGACTGATCTACTCATATGATAATTGCATTATTGAATATGCTGCAACCTCAACTTCAGTTTCATTTCCTCAGTTACAACAATTTTACTATTATCATTAATGGTTCCCTTGTCTTTAATTTCCTGTCTTCATTATTGCTATTTTTGTCATGAACCTCTTCATTTTCATCCTATATTACATACTCATTCATTCCTTTCTTGCCATTTTCTGTTTCCAAAAGTTTGTCCATGCTTCTCAATTAACTTTGTTTTCAAGTCGTTCACCATTCTCCTGGAGAAAAGAAAAGATTGAAACATATGTAATGTTTGCCTGTATACAAACGCTCGTACTTGTATTTACCTTTAAGCTAACAAGGCCATTGATCATTAATCAAACTCTCCTTAGTTCAATTATTCTATGTTTGGGAAATTTGAACAAATATGGGTTCTCCGCAAAGTAGACTTCATTTTACCCTAAACACAAAGAAAAAATCTTCGCTTCTAGCCCCATGATTTTAACGCTAGAAATCTACACAATGATGATTCCATCATATAAAATTTATTTAAATGGCATGTTTTAGTGATTGCAAATTCAGTCTGTCAGTGCTACCATAGCGCGATTTACTATGAAATCACTATGCATTTATCATATATACATTTTTATAAGAGAGAGAGGAAACAAGATACACCTTCGATATGGGAAATATTCTGCTTGCTGTAAACGTTCCACTGTCTGATTTTCTGACTATACGGGAGTGGGGATGGCTTTACGCGTCGTTTTAACCACCTAACTGCAGCATCCTGCGGTTACATTCATAAAAACTAATCCATAAAAGCCACGGTTATTACATTTTCCTTCAAAATTAAAATCCAAAGGTCTTGTTTGAAAACGCCAAACCATTATTCTCCAAGTAATGCCCATTGTATTTGCGTAACCGGTGTAATAAAAGATAAGGTTGACTATAAAATAGGCATTATTAAGTTTATTTGTAAGTTAGTATGTCCTTTGTTCGCTATATAGGTTAAAAAAGTATCGCTCCCTTTTTAATTAAGAAACTTTAAGGTGTGCTTGAAGGCTAGAGTTTGACGGGATATTAGTAGCCATAGATGCAAAGCAATAGCTTTACTAATTCAAACGGGTAAATTCTTTTGATAAATGTGTTCAAAAAAGTTCGTTGCGATCTCAGCTTTCCTGAATAAATGATCTATGAGTAAAATTAAAAGAGAACTGGTTAACAGCATGCCATACTGCTGTTTATCTTTTAAGACAATTCAAGATACCTTTCAATTATTCAAACATTTATGTGTCTGAGGAAATGACGATAGAACAGCTCTAAAATGACGAAACAGAAGTAGAACTAAGTGTGATATTCTTTAGGACCTTTGATCAGTGTTTGTTGAAAGCTATTTTCAGCCGTTATGCGTTCAAATTAGTTTGCAGGTGGCCTGGCTACGGTACTGAAACGCGTTTTATTGAATACAATTGTTATGTGAATTACTTGCACACTCGATATACAATACATGATATCCTAGCGAAAAAAATGCACTAAACAGATCAATAAAGTGGAATGAATGGATGCTACACTGCTATAGCGAATGCATCTATTCTCACTATAAATAATTTGAAATGATACCAGTGGTATCGAACACGAGGAAGCCCTCTACCTTAATAAATGGCTTCGAATGAAACCATATATAGATTAATAAAAGTAATGTCTGATAGTTATTTAAAAATGTAACGTGAGTTATTGAAAACTCCATCCTTTAGTTCAGTCAATTACTGTAGTTAACATGATTATATGCATCGATTGGGTAGGTGAAAGCGCTATTTGATGATCGGAGACAATGTATAATGATAACCGTTCAAATTGATCAAAACTGTACTTTTTGCTGTAGTTTGACTTTTATAACTTACTGACATTTTTCAATTTGACAAAATCAATACACAAGCTATCGATTTCCATCTCACCTTACGCTTGAAATAAAAGCTCGGTTTCAGTAAAATACTTAATGTAGTCCATAGATTTAAAAGAAAAGGTTTAAAAGAAAAGGTCTATTTTTCTTATGGCATAGTCTCAATTTATTTTTCTTAGTTTGTTCTCAATAAGGAAGAAAGAACAAAACATCGAAGAAAAATCTGATTTGGATTTTTTACAAAAAACTAACAAGTTTCAACCAAAGTTACTGTAAGCAGCCTTCACATTATATGATGAGTTTGAATTATTATGGTGAGGTCTGCCTGATAATTGCGCGTGGGATGGGAGAGGTGGTGATGAGGAGGACGAATGAGTAGGCGGTGAGTATTGAGATTGATAGGAAGCGATGGTATTCGCAGTAGTTGTAGTTGTGGTCGTAGTAGGGATGCTCGAGGATAAATCACGGATTGAAGGAAGTCTATTCTTGTCTTCATAACTATCGCTATTGGTATTGTTATGTTGTTCCTGATAAGGATACTGATAATGTACAATCTCTGGTGGATGGTTTCGATATCGGTGAGGCTCCCGTATCATAGGCAATTGATAATGATGGCTATTTTGAATAATCGTTTGCAGCATATCTTCAATGGTTTTTAACCGACTTTCAATGGATGCTAAAGCCGCTCTTGAAGCTGCTGCTGCTGCTAATGTGTTACCAGTAGCACTACTATTATTATGTTGGTAATGATGGAAGAATCCTTTGTTGGCGTCGGAAGTGGATGCTATGTGGGTTGAATTTGTTGCTGTATTAGTGTTATTGCTGCTACTATTAGAGGACACGGTAGAATAAATGCAGGATGCATTTGATTTTTGACAATTGCGGCATGGTTGCTCGCCGTTACATTTTGTTTTCTTGCGCCGGCATTCACTACATGCACTCAATATTTTGGCACGTTTTTTGCGAGGTTGTTGATCTTCTGTCACTGCCTTCATTGTCTGTTGCAATGTCTGAGGTTCTGCAGTAACTGCTTCCTTCAAATTATTAGCCGTTGTTGAATCTTTAGTCATTCTTTATAGTTCGTTTAACAGAAAAATTGATAAGATCAAAGGAAAGGAAAGGAAGGTAATGATTATTTGCAAACGAAAGGAGAGGATGATAAGCGAATTGTATAAAATTAAACGGTGTAGAATTTAAAAGAGAGGGAAATAAAAAAATAGAAAGAAGGAGAGAGAAAGAATAGGTGTTTATTCTATTAAAACCAGCTAATGTAAACCGAAGGGGTTAAGAAAAGAAAAGGGAGGTGGAACCGGAGTAAAAAGCAAATGGTCGAATCGGGACGAAGCACGGGAAACTCTTGTCGTTCCTTCCTACTGCTGCACAGCTGCTGAAGATTTTGTGTATGTGCTACAGACCATTCCTACTGAAAAATACAATAGTTGTAGCAGCTATACCAATGGCTGCCATTGTCAATGATGTGGGCAAATGCAGTGACACTGATAAGTTATATTTCATAACACTAAGCAAATACAACTACTCGTGAGCAAAATTGCTCTAAATCACATGACAACGTCGCATTCAAGTAATAATGTCTAAATTTGTGCATAGTTGGTGAAGGTGAGGGCACATATTTTAATGCGTCATATATTTTTTCGATTCATCTGTACACGTTGTGTCTTCAATATTGGTGAGGTTAAATGATTGATTAAAATTTCTAGACTTGTAAGTTTTTAAATCTTCGATATCGTCTCTTTTCTTTTTTCCTTATAAGCTATTACTATATGAATCATTTTTCCAGAGAAGACAGTAACGAGATAGGACCCAGTCATGACAACAATGTTCAACGAAACACAGACAGAACTGGTCGTACAAATGCCCAAAGACGGAGTATTGAACAACTTGCATTACCATTGGACGAGGACAAAGAGCCACACTTTCTCCGTGCAGCATCCTCAAGTAGTAGCCAAGCAGACTTCAGCAACAACGATTTGAATCTGATACCCCCGCCAGAGACTTTCACTTTCAATACAGTTGATCATCGTCATAGTAACAGGCATATAAAAGTTTATCAAGACGATGACAATGACGATGCCTTTCCGGATATTGATAGTGCATTTGGTGGTTCTTTGGTCGGCAGTAGTTCAGCAAGCACTAGTAGCAATATAAGCACCTACAGTAACCATATGAGCAGAAGCAGTAGTACGAGTAGTCATCGCCATCAAGAAAACTTTAGCGCCTCTCTTCATCATTCTCACTATCAGAACAATGACAGTTGCTGTCTTTTACCTGTTACTTCCGTATTTTCGTCCACTTCTATCTTTCCTAACACTCTTTTTAACTGCAGAAGCACTAACACTAGTAACATACAGCCAAATTCACGCTTTTCACAAAGATCACACCAACCCTACATGACTCGCAGTATGAGTAATTTGCAACAACAACAACAACAGTCGCAGTCGCGTTCTGGTAATAGTGCCATTGCACCGCAAAGAAGTCGAAGTAGTCATAACTTTTACCGTGTAAATAATTCTGGTGGAACGAATAGTATCAATAGAAGCAGCCAGAGTAACAATAGTGACAAACATAACAATACGCGCTTCAAGAAAGGTTCACTCACGTCTATGGCAGCAATGCAAAATATTAATGGAATTAAAAAAACAAAAGCAGGATTATCCTCTACGGCTACTGCTAAATCTTTTATGCATTACTACACACCCTCCCTTGTACCGATTGTCAACAATATCAAAGTGGATACATCTCTCGCGTATACAATCTATGACTATTCTTCGTATTCTGGCATGTATCACCCTCAGCATATCTGTGTTAATGAGCCCACGCAACAAGCCTCTCGATGGTCCAGTGGTTTCCATGATCATGAGCAATTTATCACGATTCAATTTGATAAACCAGTTATTGCACGTAAGTTTTCGGAATACAATTGATTCCGTAAATAGCTGAAGACTAATTAGTTCAATCGAATGATATGATGTTATGCTGTTGACGTATTAGGTACAATTACATTCGGCAAATTTTGTAAGGGACATGTTTGCAATATCAAGGAATTCAAAATTTTTGGTGGGATGCATCCAGAAGATGATTTACGAGAACTTTTGCATCAAGGTAAGGAAAATACAAAATACAAAATTGGCACAGTATCAATAGAATCATGGCTGAATACGCTAGTCATTCTTTGGAACTGTTAGGCTTGAAAAATGACACTATACCAGAAACTTTTCCACTAAGATATCAATATAAAGATATGGTAATGGGGTAGCATTCGAATTTGTTTTTATTGATATCTATGGCTAATTTTAATTTAACTGCGTTCTGACTGCCTACAACCACAGATATTCCCAATCAAATATTTAAAAATAGTCCCACTTGCTGCTTTTGGTGCAAGTTTTAATTACAGCATTTGGTACGTACAAGTGCAAGGCATCAATGATACAGCGATCGTTCAAGCTGCCTGTAAAGGCTACGAGAATTATAGGGAAATTGTAACAACCCGTCTTTGTCTAAAATATTTTCGTCAGAAAAACCTCCTGGATTTATTTGACCAATTACAAAAGAAAACCGGAATTTCTCTCGAGCATCCTATGGTGTCCGCTTTACATCAAGCGCTCGTTGTAGAGGCACAGTTTGAACAGGCGGAAGAAATAGTGCGTCAAATGTACCAGCAGGATATGTTTCAACACTATTGCAATCATACACGCTTCTCACCGGTATGGGAACTTATCAATGCAACTTCATATTGTTCAAAGGATAGCAACATTACTCCCTGTGAAAGCAGCAACAGCAGTCTGCTATTATTAGCTGGTCATCAGGCAATAGAACAACATAATTTATCGTGGAGTTACCAGCCTACCGAACCAACTCCTCGAGGTGGACACCAAATGTGTATTGATGTACAGCACAGGAAAATATATTTGTTGGGTGGTTGGGATGGAAAAAAGGATTTGTCAGATTTTTGGTGTTTTGATATAAACCGCAACCGATGGCGTCTTATTAGTACTGATACAAGAATGTAAGCTTTTTCTTATACTTTATAACCTTCAATTTGCATCCATTGAAGGGTTTGCTGTAGTAGAGCAACACCAAAACTAATGTGAAAACTATGGTCGCTTGATAGGCAAGACGGCCCTAGTCCAAGATCATGTCATAAAATCTGTTTTGATATGAAAAGTCGGTCTATTTTTGTTCTGGGTGGTTTGATTGATCCCAAGCAACCGATCAATGACAAGATGGGGTCATCACTATCGGCTGTTGCTGCTGCTGCTGCTGCTACTGCTGCTGCTGTCGGTACAAATGATGGCTCTAATACAAAGTCTGCTGCGAAAGCGGATTTTTATCGGTACTTTATCGACCTCGATCAATGGGTTAGAATTTCTAACGATTTGGTGGTGAGTACAAGATACCTTTAAAAGATGAACCGCATTGTTTGCTTATTTCTAACAATCTCTTTAATATGGAAAGGCGGAAGGTGGCCCAGAGTTAATCTATGATCATCAAATGTGTGTTGATTCAAAAAATGAAGTGTTATATGTATTTGGAGGAAGAACGCAGACCCTAGGAATACAAAATTACAGTGGGCTATATTCTTTTGATATAAAACGTAACATATGGCACTTAAGAAGGTAAAAAAAAAAAAAAAAAAAAAAAAAAAAAAAAAGAAATTACAACGATGACGTTAAATAAGAATTGTCCAGCTGTAACATTTCTTCTGTCATCTTACTATAAAAACTATCATAGAAACGATGATATCATGTTATCAGATGCCTCCATAAAACCACCTACATCACATTACAACGCCTCATCATTTCAACAACCAGGGGTTGCCTTGGTAGGTAAAGAGACCTCCATCATCAAATCGCGCGTAGGGCATTCCATGTTATTCGACGAAGCTAGTCGTTCACTTTTGATATTTGCTGGCCAAAGGGGCAATGACTACCTTACTGACTTTTATCAATACTATGTCGATTATGACAGAGTCATTCAAGTCGACCATCAACGCCGCCATAAAAGTTTCTTTAACAAATATAGTAATACTGTCTTGGCATCAACGACCATCAGAAAGGGGCCTGGCCATAGTGTGAACAGTCAAAGTTCGAATGGCCCCCCTGATGAGTTTTACTATACGGCGGCATGCGGGGCCACGGGCAGTTACACGCAAAGAGTAACTATGGATGAGCAAGATCAAGAGATGTTTGTCTTTTCTGGCTATGTACGTAGTAATTCAGGTGCAGATTTTGTCAAGAATACGTTCTGGATTTATTCTATGAAGAATAATGAATGGACAAGAGTGTATCATACAAGTGATAAAATGAGTGAGCAGAAATGCCGCGAACGAGAGTATGGTCAACAGATGTTCAAAGATTCACAACCATGGCTTTACGTTACTGGTCCACCGCCTTCCAACACTGGTGAAAATACTGGAACACATAATGCGTCTATTGACAATACGACAGCGATGCAAACACCCTCATTTACTTGTAATTCGTCAGGTATGGCAGCGCTGAGTGATGGTCAAAATCAAAAGAAATATGATGAAACTGATAAGGAAGATATTTACAAAACGGAGCCTTGCCCTCGATTTGCACATCAAATGGTGTATGATCCTATGGAAAAGACGCATTATATTTTTGGAGGAAATCCAAGCGATTTCATGGATTGTACAAGACGTTTAAATGATTTTTGGAAACTTAAATTATACAAGTAAATTGCTTCTGTTCAATTGAAGTAGTAGGGTTTTGCAAAAATCTAACAATATAATTCCTTCTGATTTTATAAAATAGACCAGATCCATCTAGCATTTTAAAGAAATGTATATATAAGATTCGTTTGCAACAATTAAAAGAATTTTGTAACAGAGCACATGAACAACATCAACAGCGACAGCAGCAGCAGCAAAGGTATAGAAATAGTAGCGATAGTGGTAGTAAAGGAAAAAAAGCAGCCAATACTGGAGAGGCATCCGTTGATTATCGAGATATACTACCAGAAAATACCATGGACGCTGAATTAGGCTCTGAGACGTTGCTAGCACTTGACTTTTTGAGAACTCAAGTAGCTCCTGTAGTTGATCACGATGATAAGGACGAAATGAGGGAATTCCATAAAATCTGTGCAGCTTTATGCCTTTTACAGCGCCACGATGCTACTAATGATAAGGAAGAGGATAATTTCCCTTCCTCCATGTCATTCTTAGAGACTGAAGGTAAAAAGAGGTTCATATGATGAAACCAATAAATATAGTATTCTAACTATGTTATGTTTCTAGATGCAATGTATATAGAGAGAACGAAACTATTTGAGGCCCTTTTAGAATACATTCCGGAAGAAATGAAAGAGCCTTTGGAGAATTTAACAACGAACGCAGTGAAATTGACCTAATAAATCTTCCGTAAATGAATGCGAAAGTTTGCATTCTTCTTCTTTCTTCTGTCTTCTCTTTTTCTTATCCCCCTCCTTGTTTTTTACATACTATATAAATTTGCCTCAGAATCCAGTTTTGTTTTAATCTCTTCCTTAATTACAATCATTAATGGACGCAAATCTAAAAAATAAATTAATATTTGTTCATGGAGGGCTTATGGTTTTTGTATGGCTGATTGCTGTACCTCTAGCCATTGGCATCAACATGTATGCTCGAAAGAAAGGAAAGCCCTGGGGTCCCAAAGTTCATATGATCATCATGGCAATTGCCGCTTTTGTTCCTTATACGACCTCGGCTATCATTGCCTTTGTTGTATCTGGTGAATTTAAGCCTAGACCTCATTCCGTAAAGTATACATGTTCAAAAAGGACTTGGTGTTGGGTAATAATAAAATATGCTAACACATGTTTACTCAAACAAGGGCATTGGAACAGCTTTATCGTTTGGTTTATGGACACAAGTTGCCTTGGGCATTATCAACCATCTAATCTTCCGTTACCGACGTGCACACAATTGCTTACCTAGTAAGCGCCCCTGGAACAATCATGTTCATATTTGGTTTGGGAAGATATTGTTGCTATTGGCTTTGATAAATGTACCTTTGGGCATGCGAATCAAACGCCCTCCTATGGCCCTGTATATAGTTTACGCTATTTGGGTGGGTCTTTTGATAATTGGTTTCGTTTATCTGGCATGTATGAGAGATGAAGTGGAGGAAAGGCGACTACTTGAAGAAGAGCAGCGACAGCAATCACACCTCCCATCGCCTCATATCATTAAATCAACAACAGATGTGGGTCCCGAAGAGACAGTCCTTACTAAAAGCTACGTTGAAGAAAAAGAAGAAGTAAAATAGCAGAAGCATTACGAGATATGGTTCCGTATTTTATTCTAATAAAATACATTTTGTATGCTCCATAGAGTGTATACGGCTGCAGGTTAACAAAATGCTGTTAAAATATCAAGCTGATCTATTGCAATTTTATTTTTACTCTTGGGTTTTCGATTATTATTCTTTTTGATCTGGGCAATAATGATACGTTTCACTTGGCTATATGTTATTTGCAAACCCAAAATTAAAATCCAGTTACTCTAATTTTTTTTCAATTTTTTTTTTTCTTGTTGGAATGTCTGCACTTTCATTCTCTTCCTCCCTTACGACATTATCCTTTTTTTTTTGGGATAAAGAGAATAAAAATGACAGCAGTAATGACAGCAGTAACGGAGCAGCATCAGCAAAAGCAGAGTGAAAATCTAATATGCAGAAAGACCAATCTGTTCAACTATAATTCGCTGCAGCTAAATCCTTCACTTCCTTCAAATAAATACGTATCAAGCACAAACACAATTGAATCAGAAACAGAGAAAAAAAAACGAAGTCGAAGTATTCTACATGGTGTATCAGAGAATTCTCAACAAGGAGGGTTACTGGGCCTCATTTATACGTTGATTCTATACCTTATTCATATTTTGTACATGTCTTGTGTTGCATGTAAATCATTACAATTATACCTCAGCCTTAAATTACAGACACTTTGCGCAAAAGAAGATGATGCAATCATATTACAACGGATACTGTATGATAAAAAGCATTTGACAAAGATACCGAAACACTTGACCATCAATATCTCGCGAGAATTATCAACGACAAGAAATCTTCAAGATTGGGAAACGATCAAGTATCAACTTTCGAAGGCGACTTGTTGGGCTTTTGAGTTTGGTATTCAGGAAGTGTCTGTCTATGACTCTTTAGGTATGTATATTACAGTATAAATAAAGGGGTTAGTGGGAGGGGAAGGCCAGCAAATAATCAATGAAAAATCGTTACTGATTGGCTGTATGATTTTTGCCTATAAAAGGAATGATGAAGTCTGTTGAAGTGGACTTGTATAAACAACAGTCCACATTATTACATGAATGGATCACTGAAAAGTCACTCAATCTCAAAGAAGAACAGCAACAAAAAGGTAATATGGTTATTCCATCATTATGTAATATACACTAGAATGGGATCTGATAAATATTGTTATTATAGATTTTAAGTTTACAATTCTGTCAGCCGAAAACGGAAAGAGGCAGATGAGATACGTAACACAAGAAATTATAAAAAAGCATTTCAATGATGACATTAATGTTGATCTGGTAGATAAATACATGCATAGTAAGTTGAGTAATGTGCACGATAAAGTAGAGTGGGGGATGTGATATTAACTACGTAGTATTTATAGCGGATACCATTTCAGATCCAGATCTCATGATCGTTTATGATGGATTGCCTCATAATTACATCTCATTAGACGACTATCCGCCTTGGTACATCCGATTGACTGAAATAGTGTAAGTTCTGCTGAGAATTCTAACAACAGACCGTGGCAGAGGCACTCACAGACTTATTTCACTTTTTAGCAATTGCACTAGTTGTCACTGCTTGGACTATAATGTATTTTCAAAATGTCTGTATAAGTTTTCTAAAGTGGAACAAAGATTCGGACGATAGAAGGAAGGGCAGTTTTAGATGGCATCAATAAAGTGTTAGAATTACTAGGCTCCTGTACAATAGAATTTTATAGAAGCCTTCACGAAGTACAGGTATCTCCACCGCTTAGTACAGGGGAAGGATACTCCCATTCTGTGCCCTTAAACGCCAAGCTAAACGATGACTTTTTTGGTTTTATTCTTTTTGTGTGCTGAACTTTGTTAGAGGTTCGTACACGTTCTGTTTCAGTTTTATAAAGGCGAGTTTATCCAATCATACAAAGGATAAAATAAACTGCTTCCTTATTCATAATTTACCTCGGAACAAAATAAGGATATCATCACGTAAGTAGCAATTGAAAAGTTCAAATGTATGAAAGCAAGCGTTTTTATTACAGTAGTCATGAAAGTAAAGACGGCAATGTGTTATAAGGACTGATTTTGAGCAAACCAGAGTAAGAAAGAGTCATTACACTTCTTTTTTCGCCATGTCAGTTCAGCTCCTTTCGACGGAATTTTAAAAAAAAAGCAGTAATTTCGTGTTGAAAGGACAAAAATTGCTTCTCCCCATCTCGCTTCTCTTTTCTTGCACTTTTACACATCTTCTATAGTCATCATAGGCATAGAATATGTCTGCAGCAACTGTGCCTCAAATAACATCGACCAAAGACGGGAAAACAAAGCTCAAATATACAAAAGAGAAGTTAGCGAAACTGTATGGCGTTGATCTTTTTGCTGCAGTTTCATCTGCCGGGATGGTGGCTCCGTTCATTGCTATTGTTGACAGGTAAACACACTAACGAAAAGTTGCTTTCGTCGACGATCAAGCAGAAGATGCTAAGTAAGTTATTCTTTCTTTGCTCGCTCGAGAAAGGTCGATTATTGAAAATTTGAATGGAAAACGAAAGCTTATGGACGGTTTGAAATACGGACTTCGATCCTTTGCTTCACAACCCTTCACATTCACAACCTCACGACAGTTCCGTATTGTTCTTGGTCTCTACTCCTCCACCTATCTTACGGCTAACGTGGTCGATACCACCTGTGAGCAATACAATGTTGATCCCACCTCTTCCTCTCTATACAAATTCATTGCTACTTCGGCTGTCAATATCGTCTTATGTGTCGCTAAAGATAAAGTGTTCACTCGCATGTTTGGTCAGGGTGCTGCACGCCCGTTTCCCAAACTAAGCTATCTATTGTTTGCCGCTAGAGACTCACTAACCATAGCCGCCAGTTTTACCGCACCATCTTATATTGCAGGATGGTTGCAGCGACAGCAATGGACATCAACAGAAAAATCTGCAAACGTAGTATCACAATTAGTGTGTCCATCAGCCGTGCAGTTTATCAGCACACCGTTCCATTTATATGCATTGGATATGTATAATCGACCGAGTATAGCATTGGCAGCAAGAGCACAGCTTGTGAGGAGCGAGTATTTAAAGAGTTCCTTAGCAAGAATTGCGAGAATTGGGCCAGCATTTGGTATTGGAGGTGTTGGTAATCAATTTTTCAGAAGCTTTAGAGATCAAGTATAGTATGATGTGTTTAGAAAAACAATTCGATGAGATCAAACTTTTTTTTGTACTTTTTAAGGTTTACCATTTTTCTCACGGTTAAAATGCACACAACCCTTCCTAAGTCTCAGTCCCGTGTTGCATACATTTGAGATATTTATGACTGTTCATTAAAGTTAATATTCCCTTATCCCCTATCATCCTTACAATATTTTCTTGAAACTAGAATTAATTCCTATTGTATACTGAATAAAGGAAATAGTAGAAAGAACATCCAATATCCGTCCACAATTAGGTACCCTAAAAAAGTGAACATAAGCAAAGGACAGTTAGCTATCATGTTGTACGACACAAGCATGTAATATGTACATCTATTTATTCCTCAACGCAAGCAAGGTTAATCAACGATAAGCATGTTGCTTAATAAGCAAAAAGTTGGTAAAAAATTAAAAAAGTGAAGAGAGTGGGATTCGAACCCACGCCTCCGAAGAGATCACGACCTTAACGTGACGCCTTAGACCAACTCGGCCATCTCTCCACATATTTTGTTATGCGTGACGTAGATTGTCATAGTAAATTGAAGAAAAAGCCGGTCACATGATTTTATAAGCAGCGCTGGACCGAAGAGGGTGTATCTAAGAGTAATCGGAGAGTAGAAGTATGTAGTAATAGCTTAATCTGGGGTATTTAATGAGATGAAGTATAATAAATAGAACAGGGCCTTTCTCCATCTATAATTTTGTACTATAAAGTTGGTCAGAGCTTTATAAATTCTCATTTACGATATAATCCATATCAATTTAGTTGTATCAACAAATAATTGATAATTTTTAAGCAAAAATTATAGCACGTGATTTGTTTTCGGAATGACAGTTAACGAGTCGAGACTGTTCGGCGTGGAAGGGATATAAATAGATAGATGACAAATATCTTTTAAGAAAATGAGCTATGCCAACTTATGATTCAACTGTTACCAAAAGTCAACAGTTAAACAACGCAATCTATACGAGGAAACCAAATGTATTTATTTTATGGACTACTATTTCTAATGTGCTAATTCTGTAGTGCCAAAAAATGCATATTGAGGTGGGTGTAATTAAAAAGTCAGGTACGTCATCTGAGAAGTTGAAGAGGCCTTAAAGGAGGGATGGGTGTAGCTCAACAGAAATCATCGAAATTACATAGTATTTAAAAAAAGCTGTAAGAATTAATGATGTTACTACTTATACAATTCTTTCACGTTATCAAACATACCAATTTATTAATTATATAGAAAGTATGCATTCATAATAAACATGAATTCAAGTTTACAACTATATGTTATTTCGACACTCAACAACAACGGAGGATTGAAATTGATACCCATGACAGCGTCAACATCTAGCCTAGCAGTATACTAGTTTAAAACTGTTATCCAAGATAGACGTAATGTTCGTTCTTGCATATCAAAATCTTGACCTTTATCTTTCTCCTCGAAGCTTTCAGCTTGCTATGTATGAAGCCAGTCCAAGAGTGTAAACATCAATTCATATACGTGCTACCATAGATAGTATCGTTCTATTTTTCTTTCAACTTCGAACTTTTGTATCAAAGATACTTCTTTCATCCGAAAGTTACGCTTTGCTTTTATTCTCTAATGTTACGACCTGTTGAATTGTCAAGATGTACATAAATTTATTACATGCAAAAAAGTGCTCAGAATGATATATTCTATAGGTTTGTACAATTATTCTTCGTCCTCATCCTCATCTTCCTCATAATGAATAAATGATTTAATTGATGTCAATTCAGTTTCCAATTGTGACACTTGTTCCTTTAATTGCTTATTGTCGTTATTAACAACGGACAGCTCTTCTTTGACAGTTTCTCCATTTGTTTTCTATTGTAAAAGAGGGGATTAGTATTGCCGAGTGAATTACGTACAATATCCATGGCTAATTGACAACTGTGCCCTTTTGACTTACAATCGACTGTAGAAGAGCTTCTAGTTTCTCCAACTTGTCTTCGAGCGTTTTAATTTGGGTTGCTTGCTCGTCGATTTGTAGTTTGTAACTTTGTACAACTTCTTCCGAGATAGACGATGCAGGTGTAGCTGTATTAGGCGATGCTAACTCTTTGATAGCAGCATTAGAGGCTGGTGTATTAAGTGGTGCTAATGCGTCTATAAAAAAAAAAAAAAACAAAAAAAAATAAACCACCAAAACACAGGGTATAAAAATTAGCTGAAAGAGATGGCAATTATTGAATGATACAGAATGCATACCTTGTTTCTTTGATCGTGCAGTAAAGCTGTTAGGCTTCTTCTTGAGTGATTTATGAATATGTTCTGGTAGAAGCAATCAAAAAAAAAAAAAAAAAAAAAAAAAAAAAAAAAAAAAAGACAATTAAACAACAATGCATTGGAGATTTTTTTTAAAAAAAAAAAAACCAACTCAATCCTTTTACCATATGTTGATTTGAATAAGTCCACAAAAACGCTATCGAGCAACAATGACGGAAGCGAATGCGTTGTAACGGATATAGATTCATCTTCGGCTGAAATTTGTAAATATTGTGGGGCGTTTATAACAGCTGAACTGTCCCGCAGACGCGCTAAAGAACTATGAAATTGATCCAAGCGGCCAGAATAAATCGCTTGCAGTTTTTCTCTTTCCAAAGGTGTCGATGGCTCTTCATCAAATTCATAGGTAATGCCGAGCAAATAGGCAACAAGACCTTGAACTATAGCGTCATTAGTTGAAGACTGCATCTCTTGGATTAGCTGTTTGTGGGGAGAAAAAAAAAAAAAAAAAAAAAAAAAAAAGTAAATATCTAAGCTTGCTCTTTTCATAATAATAAAACTGCTTACAAACTGGACGTGAGTGCTTTCTGCTAAAAACAAACTGACTGAAGTTGGACTATCAAAAAGCCAAATACACAATAAACAGAGATAGCCGATAGGTATACGTGGATTTGTCGATGAATTCTTGGTAGATATCAATAACTGAGCAATAATATGGTGCATCAGAGGCACTGGGTCTTCTCCGTTTGCTACATCCCCGAACACGATATTCCCGGCAATTTTCTTAGCCTGCTCATTATTCCTTATGATATGTGATAATATGTCACAAGCGAACCATACTTTATAGGGGTCATTTAAGGACCTTTCCCAATCCTCGATTATTGCAAGCAAGAGCGATCCTGCGGAATGCGGTTTATCTAGGATATCAAAAGAATTTAAATGTCAATCATCATATCGATAGACCCGTTATTGTTGCTTTACCTTTGTAGTGTGTATTTGCATTATCTTCTGGTGGTAGATTCAGGGTAGAAACTAAAGCCAGTTGTGCATCTGGATTTCCGTTCAGGTAAGAGTATACGGTATATGTGGCTGCTGCTCGACTAGAATAGCTGTAGGATACACCATAGTCCTCATCTACCGCAACTGCAATCAGTGATACTATAGCAGGTCGTGGAAGTGCAGGCTCAATCGATGTGTCAATCTGACCTTCTTCGGTCAAGGCAGGCGGACTAGCTACGACAACCTTTGCAAAAATATCTTGGTTTTCGGTATTAGATGCTAAGACGTAAGCAATAGAATATAAAGCTTCTGTTCGAACAATCGAAGGCACGTTGGAACATAAACCTAATTGCACAATGGGGAGTAGAATGCCACTCTGTACCATCACTTTTTGATTAATTGGTGTACTGCTGCTGTCAGGTTCAGTGAGAATGCGAATCAATTGCAATACTAATACTGTATTAGCAACTTTTTGAGGAGGCCAATCTTCAAATGAGTAAGGTACATGATCGGCATCGCTATCGCCTACATATCCTAATAATCCAGGAATCTGTTGTATACAGCTAGTTTCGCGAAAGTAGACCTATCAGAAATTCAGTCATATTAGTCACGCTCTTCTAAATACTCGGCACCCAAGAAAAGAGCTTTACCTGATCAGACACATTATATCTTAGAAGATTATGCATTAATGTAAGGCTATCCTGCACAATGATATCTCCAGAAATGCCCTCTTGCTCCTCGATTATTGTAAGTAATTTCTCAAATGTCGCTTGAAACGTGACAATTTTTTGTATTTCAGTGTTGTTGCTGGTCAATCCAATTAGCAATAGTAAACTCTCTAATGCATGAAAAGTCTTAACGATTAGAAATCGTCCAAGCTTGCCGTCAGGTTTCTCTTGTATGGTATTATTACCGTTTCTAATGATATCTCGCTTATCATCGAGCATTTCTACAAGTCGAGAAATACCCATTGGGTTTGTCAAGATACATTCTTGGATACGCTTGTTTCTGTTGTTCAGTAAGGCAGTCAAAAGCTTGATAGCATTGTAACGAACGTAAAAATCGAACTCTTCCAAAATATCCAACAGAATTGTAACATTATTCTCTTCCTTTTAACAGAATTCAGATTGTTTGATAATGTAACTGAGAAAAATTCATCATGGACTATAGTTTAATTACCTCGAGAAAATAGTCTGTAAATTTGAAGCCCTTATCATCTTTATCATGCTATCAATTGACCAAAGTTTAATTCATTCAATTCTGAATAAACTATTTTTTTCCTCTGACTTTTTACAGTACGCATCAGTGTGTCATACCTGATTATGGACTGTGCACAGAATAGTGATAGTCTCTAGAATTGCTTTTGTCATGTCTACATCGCTGTAATCGTTATGCAGGACCTTAATTAATCCAGGAAGACTTTTGTTTCCAACCTCCTATTGTATTTTTAATAAAAGATTATCGTGCCAAACTTAGTTGACTATGCTAAAGTTGCATCTGCAGAAAACATAGACTGAAAGCGAACCTCGGGCCAATCTCTGACTAATCCTTTCAAACTTAGCACTCCTGCTCGTCTATCTTCTAATAAGGTCGCGGTTTCGAGACAATCTGTCAACTTTTCGATAGTCTCATCCGCGGATTGAGGTTGACCACGGTCACCTCTTAAGGCTGTATATCCTCTTGAGAAAAAGTCCATCGGATGGCTATTCTAACAAGTATTAATGATGTTGCTTTCGCAAAAAAATGAAAGGAATAAAAACTGTATCTGCTGCTGCATTTTATACATAACTCTGTTGTCTGCAGCGTATTTCTCGGAGATACATTTTATCCAATCAAGGAATACTATTTCAATGAGAGGGCATTATTCTCTCGTCCACCTGCCCACCTACAACCTCCTTTTGTAGCTAAATGATAGAATTTATAGGGAAAGATGTATTTAAACAGTTGATTTGGGGATAAAAAAGACATCGTCGACTATGTGTTAAAATCACCAGGCGTACTGTTTACTGATTCGTAGCCTTGAAAATTAGTGTACTAACTTCAGGGCGTTTATATTGTTTTCTTGAAGGGGTGACTGAACATTGAACCACGTATCACTGATCCTGAAAGCAATAAAAGCCTACGAGATGCAATTCCCTTTGATCTTCTATCATTGGATTACAGATATGTGAGCAATGGCATACAACAATTTGAGAAGACTTCTGGACTCTTAGCAATAAGAGTATCTATTGAAGGATGATCTTGAAACAGATATAATGACCGCTTCAGAGGAGTACTGAAAGAATTCGTAAATAAAGCATGCTCTTTAAAGTCTTTTCTGGCCATTGGAGATATAATATATACCACTTGATGTGTTAAGAATCCACGCAGATCCCAAACAATTGATTTATCTGATGATGAAGTAAGTTTTAGGCGTAAGTTTAGATTGCTGGTATGCTATTTGACGACTTGTGGCAGCAAGTAGTGAGCGGTACCGTGTGAATCTACTGTACGTTATTGTTGAATTGATATATCCTACATGGGCGAGCATTACTTTTATTACTTAACACATGCCATATAATAGCCTACTATATTAAAGAACTAAAACTATATGTCCCTGTTCAACCTTGTTGTATCCAAGATACAATTATACGTCTTAAACTACAGAACGACTTCAGTACCTGCTTGACCATCTGATACACATCTACTTTGACACCCGCTTGCGGTTAAGATCTTATCATTCTCATGATAGTTTTAGTTCAGTTGTATTAATAGTTGAATACCCGTTAATAACCCCGTTTCTCATATAAAAGTATCATTCTCAACAAACTTGAATAAAGAGCATCTTTGTTGTGTCTGGTCATTTTACTGTCTTATTTTATTTTTATAAGTCTTTTAAAGTAACTGGATATATCAATAATTAAAGTAAAAATATGATAACTTCAATAATGATAATAAAAAAAGAAAATAAAGACTCTGAATCTTTTGACTAAAACTAATATGAAAGATAAGTGTATATAAATTGTCTTGTAAGCATATGAAAGTAGTTAAGTTTATATATGAAATTATGTAAAAGGGGTGCATTTGTTTCTATGATTTTGCTGGTCTTGAACTCCGCTCTCGGTTAAAACTTTGGCTAAAATATTTACCCTGTATGTTGAATTATCAATAATTTTACTCCATGATAAAATATGTGGAGAGATGGCCGAGTTGGTCTAAGGCGTCACGTTAAGGTCGTGATCTCTTCGGAGGCGTGGGTTCGAATCCCACTCTCTTCACTTTTTATTTTTTCCTTGTATGAATGTAGTGTATGAAGCTAATGGTGGGGACAAGTTTTTTAAAGAAAAAAAAAAAAAGACGGAAAGACTATGAAGTCAAATGTAACAAGGGTATACTACTTAACTACAGCAAGTTAAAAAAAAAATTGATTAAATTTAAATACGCAAGGTACTGAATTCAACGATTTCTACGTTGATTAAGGTAAAGAACCTCATATCGAATATTTATTTTGGAGAAAAAAGGGACAAATACCGTTCGCTTATCTAGCAGATTTGTTAACAATCATGTAGATATCGATAAATCTAAGTGAGCAATAAAAGCAAAAATAAGATGAACTCTAACCAGTTGTTGTGCTTGAATACTATGATACTCCAAGAATCGTGTCTACCTACGGTTAAAATGGTAGATCCAGAAAGTGGTTGTTAAATTTTAATAACAAAGAACACGGCATTTTAACGAGGAGATTTCACTATGCCATTGCTTGTCATATACAGCGAAACAATTATAGGGTGACATGAAATGACTATCCTTCAGTTTGTCTCAATTCTTCACTAAGTTATTATATTATATATATATATATATTCTTTTTTGGACGTGGAAGGTACCTCAAATGATTGGTATGTTGAACAAAGTGATGCTTGTTAACAAAAATCTGCAATGGATTCACAATGCGTGGCATTGAAAGTCATTTTTGGTATTTTATAATGACCATCTTACGCTATTTTGTAACTTGAGCTTATTATAATAGACAAAACGAATCTAATCTACCTACATTATTCACGAGTACGCATTTTAAAAAAGTGGGATCACTTATCTTTTGTACTCTTCTTTATGTTTTTTTCTTCCTTACCTTCGGCTGATTCATTCCTTTTCATTTACATAATAGTATCTTTAGCATCGGAATTGATTAATCTCGCGCAGTCTACCGTGACAGAAAAGGTTTCATAAGATATGTTCTTAAAAGGCGGTGAAAAAAGAAATTGCCAAAATCAACATGATTTGGCTTGATCTATATCGTTTTTTCATAAATGAAACAAATGTTGCTACTGAGCAATTTCGAAAAATGCTTTGTTCTGTTTGTTGAATCAATATATCCTACGAGCACATATACTCATTTTGCCATATGCCTTAGACATAATGTAGCTACTGATATCACAAGCAAAAGTTCTTTAAAAAAGATAACCCATTCATCTCAACAAAAAGAAACTAACCGCTGAGAAGATTATCCATACTCTCATTCTATCTTGATATTCTGCGTTTAAAGCAAGGTCCAAAGGTATGTAATTGAACACACTGTTTACCAAACAAAAATACGAACAGTTTTTACATCTGCAAATTTAAGAGTTATTATTTGTTAAGCGCGAGATGTAATGTGTAATATAGTCATGACAAATAGGCAATATATGTCATTTCTTTTCGGTACCAAGGAAATAATGCAATTGCTGCGACCTTTGAGATATACCCGTGAAGGGATTGAATTTAAATTCAAGTTTATCAAAGTATATTCACTTTTAACTAGCTATCTTCCTAACTTTGGGAGCTATAGTATTAAGCGTTGGATAAACTCAACATTTATTACATCATTGAGTTCTTGCTCGAATTAGCAATTCATCAATCTATTTCATAACAGTATTCACTTCTTTCTAAAAGCATTTCCTTCCTTTTACTACTTAACGTTGGAGGCTGGAAAAGAAGCTCAATGATGAAATAAAATATAAACTGAGTGACTGGTTTAAATCTATTATTTTCTTTTGACATTTACTCAAAAAATCTTCCCACTTTGACATTCTTCCCATAACTGCTTTTAATGTCTTAACCTTCTAACAATATGAATCATAATCGTCAATCATACCCATACCAGCAATATCAGCAGTACTATCAACAATATTATTATAATGTTAATGCTCCACCACAAGTACCTCAAGGTGACCCGTCTGCAGCACTCACTTCTGTAATGTTCCAGTACCAACAACCGTCATTACCATTATCGCCTTCGCAACAACAGCAATTACCGCAACAACTTAACTATCACTATGGACAACCGCCGCCGACATATCCTTATTCTAATTCACACTTAAATGGAACTCACAATAATTACATGCAATTTCAGCAGCCTTCCAATCAATATTATGCAGATTATTATGCATTGCCTGATCAACGTTCGATCGTCAAATACGACGACCTTAGTCAGCCAATAACAGATAATAATACAACAAAAGACACAACAAATAAGCCTGAACAACCAAAAAATAGGTAGATTTAACCGATGTTTTGACAAATTCGCTTTTGCTTACTTGTTTTTTTTTTTTTGTTTTATCTGATTAGATCGAAACTCTGCTGCAATAAATGGCTAAAGTCATCAACAGCCATTGCTCAACATGAAAAATTACATATAAAATGCCCTAGTTGTGATTTTATGTGTCTACCTTCCGTAATGGCGGAACACGAGGAAGTTTATCATGGGAAAATAAATGAAGATAAAAAAAAGAAGCCGTAAGTCAAGGTATATTACTCTAACCATTGATCATAAAGCAGTCATTCAACCCTACTTTTATTATCGATACAGACCCAAAGCAGACGGTATTGTGCCACCGAATGCGCCTAAAATTGAGACACCCGAAGAATTGGAAGCATGGATTGCAGCAAGAAAAAAGAATTGGCCAACCAAAGCCAACCTCGAGCGGAAGCAACAAGAAGAAGCAGAACGAATTGCAAAAGGAGAGCTACCGAAATCGAATAAACGGCGTAAACTGAATAATTATCAACAGCAAAGGCAACAGCAACAGCAAATACTACAACAACAACAGTTAAATACTGAATCACTGGATCTAGAAGCTTCCACGTCAACATCACTAGTGGCAGCAGCCTACGATTCTGATAATTCGGACGATTTTATGGATCCGGAAAAGGATGCCATTACATCTAAAGATCCATCGGCTATGGGCAAAATACTCTTACCGCCAGAGGAAATTCCACGCAAAAGATGTAAATGGTTCGCTTTGGGACGCTGTAAGAAGGGTGATCAGTGCACTTTCCTTCATCAAAAACCAGAACACAAAAAAAATCAGCCGCCTCAACCGAAAAGTGCTGTTACCTTTAAAAGAAGGCCTAATCTTTTATACAAGGTAACGTTTGCTTATGAATTAAACTTGGCTAAGCATCGAGTGCTAATACTTGAAAACTTTGTGTTTAGCTGTTGGAAAAGGAGATTCGGCAGGAAAAGAGTGCTATATTACAATGTCTTAGATATATAGTGGATAACAATTATCTCGGCGAAGGAGGCAGCCAAAAAGCAAATCAAAGTGCAATTTTAGAAAGCAATAAAGAGGCGATAGAAACAGAGTGCCTAACAGATGCTCAAACGGGTGAAAATATCGGTAAGCGTTCTGCCTCCACTGGTATGATTGTGGCAGTACCCACTGTATCTGACGCAACAAGTACTGCTGATTGAAGTTCCAAAGTTCTACTGTATTTCTTTTTTTTTTTTTTTTTTTTTTTTTTTTTTTTTTTGAAGAATAAAGGTTTATTCCTTCGCAAAACCTTTTTTATTTGGCCGTTCGATCCAAGAACGTGTTTTTTGAAAACGAACATAGGTTATGTATATGAGACGAAGATAAGAGAGTTAGGGCTGGCTCGCAAGTAACAAACTGTTTAGTGAATTCTGTCATCATCTGATAGTAGATCGTCAATTAACCACACTATTCAGTTTCTACGTCTTTTTAAAGGCGGTGGTATTTAATTGAACAATTCATTAACAGACAGTTTCTGGACCTTAAAGGGCTGTCAAAATGCGTATGTGTTGAATAAAAAGTGTGACAATACATGTGTGTATTTCAACAAATTAAGAACAAACGTGATCAGTATTACACACTGCCAGTAGCAAACAAGGACAATACGCTACAATGAAGAAGGCTGGTTAGTAAAGGATGTCTATCTCCTTTTTCTTCTACTTCAGGTCCTTCTACTTTTTTTTTTTTTAAACACATCATTTCCACTTTGGTCACAAAGTCAACGACCTTTCAGTGAAAGGTTTATACCAAAAGGAAATATAATGGAACTACTACGTTAAATACATAGCTATTTTACTTTTTGTGGCTTTCTTCGTCGTATGATCATTTTCTGGAAAAGATATGTAGTTGTTAGATCCTTCTTTATAATTGTGTAATCGTTGTAAACGCAATCAGTCATTCAAAAGACTGCTGGCAAGCCGCGATAGATATTAATTTTTTGAACCTGAAATAGATTTGCATGAAAAGAGTAGAAAGCAACGCGCAGTTTCTTTTCTTCTTTTTTTTTCCCATTTACAGTACAATATAATTATGGATTTTGACGACTCATTTCCCTCTGCACCTGTCCGATACGCCTATGACGATGACGATAGCGATGAAGAACTTGATGTTGCCACTAAAAAAAAGAGGTGCACAGTATACACTGAACTAACTCTGGGATCTATCTCTGAAAATGTCAAGTGGACTTTCATCATAGGGTTGAAAGGTCCTGGCAGTGTGTATTTGAACTCTCTTCGAGATCAAATGGTATTCCAAGTAGGCTCTGTGAAGAGTTTTGTAAGTAACGAATTGAGAAGAAGCATTTGCTATTGTACATGAGAAAGAGGGCTATGTCAATGGAAGACTCACTGCAAGAATATCACATTACAATTTAGATTAAGGAGGATGAGGAATTGGAAAACAGATCAGAAAGAAGTGTGAAAGCCAAAATATTTCAAATAGAAAACCAACCTATTTTACTTGTACCTTTCAACGAAGAGATAAAAGATGAAGAAGCCGCGACCTACACAAAGTCGTTAATACGCGAGTTCCCAGACAACATAGACCGAATCCTTCTACTCGATTCATTCACAACGACAGGATATATCTCAGAGACATGGGGAGAAGACTTTACTCCACCATTATTGCGTGTTCTACAGACATCAATTGCGCCTACCATCAAAAAGTTGCCTACTTTTGAAATTCCTAATATGGTGAAAGGCTTATCAGCATCCATTCTAAATTATGTAAGATTGTTTATAACATTTGCGTCGTTATTTAGCTGCAATTTATACCGATAATAACAAAAACAACTTGCAATGCTGAATTCATTAGTGCGAGATTTATAGTATACCATGTTACAGCCTTCTAAGTCTCCAAGAATATCTTTATGGAAAATTGTTGGTTACAAATGAAACTCTGGAAGCTTATCAGCAAGGCTTGAGTCAATTAGGACTCGAAAACCTGCTATTCGATGAAAAACTGATGGAACAGACATTGGAAACACAATACAGCGGCCGAGTAGATGATAATCATCATCGATTGTATATGTAAAGGATGTGCATCATTTGCAAATAATAGACATTCTCGAACAGAGTCATTCGTAAAGCTTTCCAAAAACTTTATTTCAATAAGACAGAATATAACTACATTAACTACATATTGTAAAGTAATAAATCAAAGTATTTCTGTATTTGTGGTGAAAATGTGTTTACTAGGGTGTCGATAACCATGTATAGCTTTTAAGATATTCAATGGTTCTTTCTAGTGCTTAATATGATACAGCGTGTAAAAGTGGTATTATCATAATATATAAACTTCCGAGTGGTTTGCGCTATTCTTAAATAAGGCGGGTTCATCTAAACAGCCAAGAGTTCACCCCAATTACGAAGGAAGACGATGGCGCCAGTGAAGACAGTAACCGAAAGTGCAATGTTGAGATTTCCTTGACGTTTCTCTGGTGAGAAGAGTTCAGCTTTCACAGTGTCCATAAAAGATTTGTTTTGCTTTTCTTGTTCAAGTTGACGTTTATCCATGTACATTGTGTGTGTGTTTGTGTGTATATGCAAGTGCAGGCAGGCAATATAGTTAAGAAAAGAAAAAAATAAAAAAGGAATTACGGTTTATGCTTCCAATGCTGTTACATCGGGGTCCCTCGAATTACCGACAACCACTCAGGCGGTCTTATAAGCCACTATAATTGGTGGACTTTTGATTGCTCGCCTTGGTCTGATTAAATGCTTATTCTTACTCTTCTTGCCAGTTTTTTATTTTATAAAGCACAATCATACTATCACTATTGAAGCTATTAAATGAATCCTGAATGATTGACCCTTTTGAAAACCAATAGCTATTGAAGCGTTGTTGATTCACTTTAATGAAATATAACGATGAATACCAATGAAAAATGGAATAGGTTGTGCACTTGTTGCTTATCATTTGAGTCTCACAGATATATAACAATTAAAAAGCCATATATACAAGAATATAGAAGGGGTTCAAGTTCCTTTCCTTTCTTTTATTCGTAGATTTACAAAGACGCATGGAAGAATAAACAAGAGGTGTTGCTTTACTCCATTAAACAGAGGAGTTTTCTTCTTTTGTACTCGTTAAGAGTTTAGGATCCTTTTCAACGACAAGTGCACGAAGCCATTTAGCTTCCATCTCCAACTCCTTTACTTTTGATTCTAATTTTTCCACATGAGCTGCCATTTCTTTAGACTGTTTCTCTAAAGCTTGTTCACGCATTTTCTTTTTTAAACGGAAACGAGCAGATGCCGCTGTGTTTCGTCTACGTTTATCATCTTCAGCACTTATCTCACTTTCATCATGGTTGTCGCGTGGACGTTTCTTGTTGTTGTTGTTGTTGTTGTTGTTAGCAGCGCTTGAATTGCTTGTTCTGCTGCTATTGGCAGTTTTTAACACATTAGCAGCTTCTAACATCTGGATACCGCTAACAGGTCCAGGCGCGGGAGCAATACGAGGTAATTGATGAATTGCTGGTGATTTAATAGTAGACATAGCGGATGGAATGGTTGCATTGATAAGTGCATTATCGGACGTATGCAACAAATAGTCGTGCTGGTTATAGAAAGAAAGACTGGATGGTGCTTGTTGTAAAAACTGTTGCTGCTGCTGAATAATATGGCTGTTTGGTTGAACTGAAATTTTAATATAAAAGATTTTGCTTAGAACCCTCAAATTGAAAGAATACCTTGACAAAACCGTTTTTTTTTTTTTTTTTTTTTTTTTTTTACCAAGCTCTGTCAATTTCGTCAAAGTTTCCAAAAGATCAGATTCATTACTGTTATCAGCACCATTACTATTATTGTGTTGTTTTTCTTCCGCTGATTTCGGTAAAACGGAGGAAGAAGAGTGTGGAGTCGTGGTGTCAAAATTGAATTTGGCATTGGCCCAAAGAGCTAACTCTTGTTGCAATGCTTCTTCATCGATGGCCACGGGTAAATCTGCATTGAGCAGGTTAAGATTTGAAATGTAAGACATCGTTGAGGATTAGTCGTTGAAAAGATTGTTGAAATTTTCTCTTTGTTAATTAGCTGTTTCGTTTGTCAATAGCTGTAGAATATTTTTATTTGAATCGGAAAACAATAGTGGAACAGAAATGTGGAGAAGCCCCAAGATAAAAGGGAAAAAAAGATGAGCGGAGATCTTCAGAAAAAAGATCCTATTCTTAGAGTGTAACGTTTGATCTAGAAAACGCTGATGTCTGGCACATGACAAAAAAAGAAAAAATACAGCCTCTCCTATCTACCGTCGATTGACTTAAGTTTGATACCGATGGGATTAGGTTCAACCATAAATATTAACTAATGGAATCCCATGTATGCAAGAAAAGCAGAATAATGGATTGAACGGCCGAGCCCAACTGCGGTATATTACGCATAAAATTGCAAACGCTTTTTCTTCATATGGTTAGATGGATGACGTATTATCTTTTTCAGCCTTATATACCTACGTTGCTCGTACGCAAACCCTGCCACTGATTAAGTGGCATTAAACTGTAAATAATACACGGATACTGCTACATAACGGAATTTCCCCATTATTCGATCCTCTGCAGTCTCACTATTAACAAAAAATGTTTTTCAGTAAGACCAAGAAAGGACATAGATGTTGGTTGAATTTTCAGAAGGATATCAAAAGCCTATAGCTTCTGCATTTACCATTGCGGAAACACCACTTAGTTATCAAATGATATCGACTATAGCAGGCTTCAGAAATTTGGCAAGTTTTTTGACATTAGTTGTTGATGTTTGTATAAAACAAGAGAAGGTAACTAACTACATAAATTCCCGCTTCTAGGATAATGTTTACTTTTAAAAATCTGCTTTCAAAACCATTAGAAAGATTGCTTATGCCCTTTCTCTGCGTAATTTTAAACTTAATAACTCAAGAAATTTCCAATGACGGTTGGATAAGGAGTTATCTTAGCATTGGTCAGCTGATATTCTAGAACATGGATAGTGTGGGGGTAGCTGACGAGAGTCGCTCTCTCTACATGCCCCACTCGAAATACAAAGCTCAAATGCTGAGCAGCTGTACTGATAGGTAATAGGTATGATTCTGCTGTTCTTCGATGCATGTTGAGAAATATGTAAGATACACATTTCATTTCACTCAATCTACATAACATATACAAATTAAAATGCTTACATAGGGTGGGCTGCACAAGGAAAGACACATATTGTACAGCTGCAGCAATTAGTATAAAAGGTAGATTTTTATTGCTCACAGGTCAATATCGGCTTTCTGAACGTAGCATATGCTCAGCCACAACATTCAAAGCACATACCCATTCTTCCTTTTCTCTCCTACTTTGTGCCAAAAACGTCCACGTCTGACCCTGCGGATTTAACCACTGTTGATCTTTCGTGTGATGATATGCAGTAAGCCTCTTTCGCTTCGTACTAAAGTATCTTCTGATCTTCGGTTTCCATATGGAGAAGATCCGCGACAATGTATCATCCTCCACAGAGAGCCCATTACTATAAATACGAGCTGTCCTTTGTAACAAAAAGTCGCGCTCTTGTGTGTAATGATTTGAACCCTTTTTCCGTTTACTGCAGTCAAGTCCTGAATAGAAATAGCAGCCAGAAATATCAATAGCTCCTTTCTTCTCGTGATTGCAGCGCGGTTTGCTGGATGCTCGATGGAAGACGTCATAAAAGAGTAGCCATCCATTTACAGTCAATATACATATTTTTTGTGAGTAAGTCCCTCTTCGATAAGGTTTGTAATAGAGTACTCCACTTTTCTATAAGTTAAAGAAGAGAGATTTTTAGTTTATGTTCGATAAGTGGATAGTCAAATAACTATTAACACCGATAGAAAAGCTACATACGACAATATCACGACATTGATCATAGAGACAATAACTCCATATACGTGTATCTGCCATTACCTCCTTTTGACGATGGATACAGCCTTTTTCTGTGTTCTTTGAGTCTTTATCTCTTAACGTTATATTTTTGCCTTTGAACTGTCCATTATTTTTGTCATATTGATGATCTAGGTCACTATAAAAATTGCCATTTGCATTATTATTATCCTGGGAACGTGCCTCTTTTTCAGCCTCTTTCCGAGCCTTCCAATATACAACAAGTTGAGCCAAGTAGTTAACCCATAAGTCACATGTATCACTTGAATGGACCTATTGTTATCCATCCAAAAATCAAATTTAACCTACAGTTTTCAACAATCATTTTTTTTTTTTTTTTTTTTTTTTAAAGCTACCTCAAATTTGATCTGTATTCCATTTTCCATCACTAATTCTAAACATGGCTTCTTCCTATTCGGTTTCTTAAAGAAAAGGTTATTACGACTAGCCCTCATTTCATCATTTTCCAATCTGATGGGCCCTCTTTCAGTTGCTGAGGAACGTCTTGTTAAACAAGGTATAATAGATGCTCGACTTGATCTTTTGGTCGAAGCTAACTTCCCATCGTTGTCGTAAATTTCATGACTAAAGTTGCGGCGAACATAGGAGACTTCGGTTAAATCAATAATGCCTTTAGCGTCCGTTATCAATTTCATTCGTCTCGTCATTTCTTTTGTTTGCGCTTCACTAGTCACATCCCTTTGATAAGGGGTAATGCTGAAAAGATAAGATCGATCATATCGTTCTGCTGTTGAAGCAGCTGGAGCAGTGGCCGTATTCTGATTGATGCTTCTATTGGCTCTTTTCCTTGTTGCTGTCGACCTTGTTGGCGATATAAGTGCTGTCAAATTACCATGATCATCTCTATTCTGTTCTTCTTCTTCATCGCTGATAACAAGACATGACGGAGGAGGAGGTTCTACCTTTGTTTCAGGGACGTAGAACAAAAACTGGTCAAAAGTAGCAACGTAATTTGTTTTACGACTTTGCCTGAATGGCCCTGCTATAGATCCACTGAAATCAGAGATACGTGTCAAGAATCCTTCGATAGGAGGAGGCTCTTTAAGTATAAAGTTCTTTTCTCGGGAGAGAATGATGTCATTTGGTGTATGTTCGATTCTTCGTAGCTCAAGGCGATGCGTTTGCTCAATAATCTGGGGAGACACTGCCCAATCCATCCGCCGTTGCTCTTTTATGATATTATTTGTGGCCAATGGCTGCACTGGAGCAGGTGTATGCGTCCAATGTATCCATTCTATCCGATCACCTAACGTCCAGCATAATCCATAATCGTCCTCATTCATGGTATCATTGAATGGGTGATCGTGAGGTACAAAGTGATGAAGTAAATTCTTAGGATGCATGTCCACAGCGTTCATATTGATAGCTCCCTTAAGATCATCATCATTATTTATTTCTGCTGCTGCTGCTTTTGCTTCTTGCGCCTCAGCTTTTTCTTGTTCTAATATATCAAGTACTGCATGTTTTACGTCTTCCATCGTCATATGTTTTCGATTGTCGTCTGTTAATGGTAAATGGACAGTCAAATCTAATGTAGGTAAGTAGACTTCACAATATTTGGGTATAGGACGTTTGTTTTCAGCTGGTAACATGTCATAGAGTTTCATATACCACTCTTGACATTTCAAAAAGGACTTTGCCTTGAATATCATTGTTATAATTCTACGTGATGAAGACGATTTTTTTAAAGATGATTTGGAAATAGTTGCCTGATGTTGGTATCTTAAAGAAAAAGTGTAATCCAAAGGTGATAATAGTCGTAACTCTAGTTTCTTTGGCTTTTTTGAGCCTTCCAAATAGATTCGATGCTCGACTCTTCGTTTTGGCCAAAAGTAGGTCTAAGGATAAAATGAAATTAGACGATGCAAACCCCCACATAGATCGCACAACAATGAACACTCACAGAAAATGAATAGGTCGTGATATAAGTGGGTGTTAGTACCAACTCAATTTGTTTCCATTCTTCTGTTAGTAAATTATATCTGGCTTCTCTGGATGCTTTATATTGTGAAGGCTCTGATCCGTCCGAACCATTGACAGTCCGCTTACATAACATGGGATCCTTTTTTATAGGTTTGAATTTTAGCAAAGGATCATTTGGTTCAGGTGCAATGATGATGGTTGGTGGCAAATGATCTGTACTCGCTAACTGAGGAGACGAAAAGGGCGTAGAGATCGTACCGGTAGTGCTTGGCAATGAGAGTGTAGAGGTCGAAGTAGACTTTTTCTTCCATATAAGTGGCTTTCTTTTTCTTTTTGGGTAAAGACGAGCTGTTGTGTTCTTCCTATCTGGATAATGATCACTACCAACATTATCTTGTTGCTGCTGCTGCTGCTCCGAAAGAGAATATTGGATACTCTTGGCTCCGGACATTGCGTTTAAGGGTTTTTTTTCAAGACTTTTACTTGGTCTAATAGTTAAAACTGATTCAGAGTCGTCTGGTAATTTATCTCTAGGTAATTCCGGAGGTGAACTGTTTAGAATATCTGTAGACTGTAAAAATTGATAATCAATAGGCTCATCTTCGTCCTCATTTTCTTCAGATATACGAGATGCTCTTATCGAACCCTCGGCAAAAATGTTCTTTGGGGTTGTAGATAGTGATGAATTCACACTATGATATATAGTTGAAAATGTAGAGTGTGTTCTTGCTGTCAAAAAGCTGGTCCCATCTGAACTGGGTGTCATAAAAGGACTGCTGTTATGAATGCTGTCATTTGTTGTGGCCACGGAAGATGAAGCTATAGTGGTGGAGGATACAGGTCTGGAACGATTATTCAAGCTGGGCCTTTGGCTTTGTCGTTGCTCTTCTTCTGCTTCATCGTGCAAAGAACGAACACTTTCTTGACTAAAATTCATGCAATTTTTACAAAATTCAGGGTCCACTATCTTAGACAGATTGTGTTTTCTCTGGTTTTTCTGACTTTTTACCTGCTCAACAATCTTATACTTGCATCATCTGTTTTGACTAAATCGTCACCATCGTTGAAAAACTCATCGTTATAGTCAAAATTATTGTTATTGTTGTCAAAGTGCTGTCGTTGGTTTAAGAGATTATGGTTCTCCGACCATGTATCATTATCGCTGTTACTATAATTGTCAGCAGTAGGTTGTGAAGTGTGAATGTCCCAAGGACCAATGAATATACGCTTTGCACATCGCTTCCGATGTTCGTCATTACTCTTGTTCAGGTTCCCATGAATGTCGGTGCTATACATATAAATTAGTTTGGAAGTTGATATCGTAAATGAAACTTGTATAGCAGTGTAAAAGTAGGAGACTGCTGCTGTGGGTATAAGACTGTATGAATTGCTAATATCAAATTCAAACAAACGGTAACTGGTATAGCTCAAATGTGAGGAGCTGATATCTTCCGATAACTTCTGTATAGAGTCAGAATAAAAGTTGATGTAATATATTACTGGAAACGGAAAGACTTGACTAAACCTTCTTGGCGTGGAGACGGGAAAAACTTTCAAAAATTAAGTTACGACGGAAAGAATGGGTTGGATTCAGATTCCCTTACTTAGCCACTGTTGGATTGTTGAATCATCATTGTATGTCACCACTTTAGAAAAGTCCCAGTAGATTAGTTTGAAATCTATGTCGAGGACAACCAGTTCCCTACCACAGATAATTTCTGCTTCTTATTGGCTACTCTTGCTGTTTGGGATCAATGACTTTGAAGTTCAGTAAGCGAGCATACTTACTTGAGCCGTCAAAGAAATCATTGACTGCAGTCCCAGTCCTTGAATTTACTGTTCGAAATCATAGATATCAAGCCTTAACTATTCATGCTGTTTATATGGATGTTTCCCCCAAGGCTTGTATAATCATTGAGAAAATCATGCAAATTTTGCCTTTGAACAAAATAATTTAACCTAGTGGGGAGGCCAGGCATGCATTTCAAAACCCAAAACTGAAATTCCGCCCACAGTATATTTTTAGAGTAATCCTTCTGTCCTTATTAAGTTTTTTCAAATATTTCATTCTCATAAAACATGTCAACTAGAATTTCGACGACAGCTGATGGAGATGAGCCTTTTTTGCTCTCTACTAACGAATCTGACGAGAGTCAAGAAGAAGAATTAGCGCGTCTGACGGAATTACAAAGGCGCCAAACTGAAATGTTACGACCCGACATTGATAACTTTGTAGCTGATGACGACCATTCTGATGCGGACGACGACTTTTCTGTAACGGCTGCACATAACAATAATGATCAGTTAAGAACAAAAAGGGTCCCTGTTCCAGAGATGCGCTTCGCTAAACAATTCGAGAATTCAGTGAATGCCTTGCAAGCAAAAGGAGCTTCCAGCTTGGCTATCTTTTGGTCAGCTATTCTGATAGATCAAATTGTAATGCCATTTGTCAGTGGATTTGGATTCTGTATGGCGTCGGCAGGCTGGCGATGGTATAGAGCAAGAGGTGTAATTAATGCAAGACAACCAAGGAAAGGTGGACTATTTCGCAACATTAAAGACTGGACAAGGTAAAAAGCGTGGTTGATTTTTTATTCTCCACAGTACTATTGGATAGCTACTATGGTACTAAATCCTTCTCTTCTACAGACGTTTATATACCAGTAAATCAAAAACAGCATAAAAGAGGGACTAAATAGAGTATAACACTCAAGGCACAGTGGCGTATGGATGCATCAAGTCAACCATTAAAATAATATGACATATAGTAAAGACCTTATTCATTTTTAAGATGTTGGATTTTCAAAATGTATTGTTTCTCTCTACCAGCTCGTCGTTCCATGAATATTTCAGCCTTCATCTGATATGCTTCTTCCATAATTTTCACGACTTCCATTGGCTTATTTTCGTTGATCAACAACAAATAAAATATTCCATTTGTAGACAGAAGAATGCTGATATAGGGTAATAGCTTATCAATGACCTCTCTACCATCAATCCCTCCTGCCCAAGATGCTTCGATTCCTGTACCAGCTACTTCTTCGTGTGTAGTAACCACATAAGGTGGATTGAAACATAAAATATCAATGGAGTTTTTCAATCGAGGTAAAAGACCTTCTACCAGCGAAGTCCGTAGAGGCTCGATATGCGTTATTTCATTATGTAGTGCTGTACGTTTGGTCGTTTGACAAGCAAATTCGTTGATATCCGTCGTTAGAAATACTACACAGTAACAAAAATTAGCATGAGCTCAAAGATGCCATAGATGTCATCCAAATATCTTCTAATGCGTCGTAGGTGATTCGCTTACTGGCATTGGCGTCGCCCACAATTTTAGCCAACAAGGTTGTCACGCATCCAGAGCCAGATCTAAATTTAAAATTATCAAAACAAACGGTTACTTATTTGTAAGTAAAATTGCGATCTGTGTTGAGTTAAGATCTAACCCGATTTCTAGACAAACACGTGGCTGAAGCAATTGGATTAGCTCTTGATCTTCTTCAAGTGCATCTAATAATAGAAATGTATCCTCTATTGAGAGCATATTACTTTTAATAATTCAATTCATGGCAGCAGCCTTGCACTTCATTAAATAGTTTTACCTGCGGGCTCATATACTCTATCAAAATCTTCTTTCTGTATATGAGAAAGATCTGGAGTTGGTATCATGCTTTGAGAGACAAATCAACGCCAAAATAAATAGTAGGAAATGTAACACCGTTATTTGAATTTGACAACATTTTCAGTAAAAGTCTGGGCTTCAAAGAGGCTAATGAAGTAGAACGTACAAACAAAGACGCAACAAACAATGCAGTTAGAGCAGTTTATAACAAGCTTTTTTATAGCTATTTCTATAAAAAAGCTTATTGTTCACTTTTTTCTCTTCTTTCTTGCTTTTTTCTTTCATAAATAAAATAGGCAAAAGAATATGACGGCAGAAGCTACGGAAGATCTACGAATTACAGGCTACAACGCTCTATTACCGCCCAACTATGTCAAAGAAGAGTTTCCAGTCGTAAGTTAATGATGGCTTGAAAAGGAGTTAAATGACACTGCACGTATCTTGAACTTACTGTTTTTAACAGTCGGAGCAAGCCAAGGAAACAATCACCAGAGCAAGACAAGAAATATCAAATATATTACACAAAAAAGATGATAGGCTTTTCGTTATTGTTGGTCCTTGTTCCATACATGACACACTCGCTGCTAAAGATTACGGTATTTTGAATAGCTACATAGCCCTTTTTTTTTTTTTTCTTCCTCCTAACTTTCACTTGAAAACTGTTTAGCTAAGTTGTTACTTACTGCCAAGAAGAAGTTAGAGAATGAACTTGTGATAATTATGCGAGCTTATTTTGAAAAACCTAGAACCACTACAGGTTGGAAAGGGCTGATTAACGATCCAGATATTGATGAAAGGTACAAAGGCACCCTTTCAATTGGATACATCACGGAACCTTATTATTCACCGCTCTAATCCATATATATATACAGCTTCGACATCAATAAAGGGCTTCGCATTGGACGCGGGTTACTTACTGAGCTCACCGATATGGGTATCCCCGTTTCTGTAGAGCTTCTTGATACCATTTCTCCACAATATATGGCAGATCTCATCTCCTGGGGAGCCATTGGTGCTCGTACAACTGAATCCCAACTTCATCGCGAACTTGCCAGTGGTGTCTCCTTTCCTGTTGGGTTCAAGAATGGCACAGACGGCAATCTGCGCATTGCCATTGATGGTATAGCTGCTGCGTCTCAACCTCATCATTTTTTAGGCCTCAATAGCACTGGAGTTGTCTGTATTACACATACAACAGGTAATGCTGATTGTCACATCATTTTAAGAGGTGGCAATCACGGTCCCAACTACGAATCACCTTACGTTCAGGAAGCCAAGAAGTTATTGATCAAATCCGGATTGAAAAATCCTGCTATTATGGTTGATTGTTCGCATGGAAACTCACAAAAAAATCATAAGAACCAACCATTAGTAGCCAGGTCAATTGCTGAGCAAATAAGCAAAGGCGAAGATGCACTCGTAGGTGTGATGTTGGAGTCACATTTGGAAGAAGGAAAACAATCTGTACCACTCGATGGCCCGTGCGCTTTGAAATATGGTGTGTCTATTACTGACAGTTGTATTCATTGGAAGGATACGGAACTAGTTTTGGAAGAGCTAGCAGAAGCTGTGAGGGCTAGAAGAGCTTTCAACCTACAATAATATTCCAATTAGATACGATGAATGGGTCCTCCTTAAAATTTAGCTACGACTCATTATTAATAGTGTAAATGAATACGTATAGTCCGCTTCAAATTGTCATTATAAATAAAAATTTTTAGTTAAAATGTGTAGAATGATATATATTGTTTATATATGAAGCTTGTAAATATAGGAAAGAAAAGACGAAACAGGAGCATAATTAGGCCATCACACGTTCTACAACTGGTTGGATTGCTTTAATCTTATCCATAAAAACAGTTAATGCTCTAACAAAAATTTGCTCAGGAGAGATAATACCAGTTGTCTCAACGTTGACTAAGTTTTCAAGGAACAAGAAACAAGATTAGTTTGCATAAGAATAACACTTTGTTATATATGTACTACTTACAAATAAAATGATCACGAACTCTTGTTAAGCGCACTTTTCCATCAAACTTTTCATGTCGTAATACTTCTCTACTCACTGTATCTTTACGTGGGTTCACAACCTTGGCTGTCTTCACACCGTTTTCCTTCACAACCTCGATAACGCCGTCTACAAAACATTTTTTGAAATCTTCCGCATCTTGACCAGTAATAGGTTTTAATATAGTGATTTCAGGTAAAAGGCGATAGGAAGCTGTGGCAACAGGTGACCATTTGGCATGTTCTCTGCCCACTCCCTTCTGACAATGCAATTCCATTTCCACTTCCTGTCCTGGTCTTAGTTTAGCAATAACAATATCATCATGGACTGGTCTTGGAGGATCATTAGCGAATCGTTCCTCTTGGTTACCCTTGGGCTCCCAAACTAAATCCCCGGAATATACTAATAGAGTTGTTTGAATTTGAGTCTCGTTGGCATCTACAACACTTCACTATTATCATTTCCAACCATTCTTATTTTACCATAACTGTTGATATATTTCTTCTTAGGATCGGTTTCATCTTTGGCGGCGTCTGGGTTGAATTCACATTTCTTCTTCAATCTGAAAACGAGAGTGTTTAAATCGGTAGGTCCAGATTCTTCTGTCAAATACTCAAATTCATTAGGATCTGCTTTGATGGGTATAAGACCCAAACGATGTGCGAGTACTTCGTCGTGAATAATGGATGTGTTGTTTTGAACATAGACTTTCTCAATAGCCATTGTAGGAACCTAATGGATGCCACCAGATAGACCAACACCAACATTAATTCATTGATGCGAACTGATATATACACAACAAAACCTTGAATTATCTTACCTCAGCGATCATAATACGACGGAAAGCATTGGCGATCGAGGCATCAACACCGATCAGATCAAATTCACAACTATGCTTTGACAAACGCTGAAATTTGACTTTGAAATTCTAAATAAAGGTGACGATCGTTATGTAAATACAAGTGAGATCTCATGGCGTTCGCATATATTGCTAGAGCTTCTAAGCTGTACCTTCTTGAACTCTTCAAGATTAAAAGAATTGTCAATGCCAGGATATTGATGAGGATAATCGCTTCCGCTATTCTGTCAAGTTGAAATGAAAGAAGGGTGAACGGGCTGTGCAAACTACAATTAAGAGCGTGAATACTAACACTATAAACTCTATCTTTTTCGACTATAACTCTCGTACGTAAGAGTTCAACATTTTCGGGAAGTGAGGAGCCCGCCATGATTAGAGAGGTAGAAAGTGAAATAGAGGTTTTGTTTGGCACAAATTACCTATCAAAGATTTTCAATTTTTTTTTTCTTTTTTTTTTTTATTTTTTCTCTGCTTCCAGAATAAAAAGTCACAAATTCAAACTTAGTGATAAACATCAACTTTTATTTCAAAAGAAATCATACTTTGATTTTTCCAAAGCACATTGTCTAATATGGATAAATCCCGGATTCCTTCATTGATATATAATAGATGTATTAATATGTGATATCCAGAAGATGTCCAAGTCATATAAGGAAATAATTGATAAATTGGTGCAGTTGATTTATTGCAAGGTTTAAAAATATTTTCATTATTATGCTATTGTTTGAATTTGCGTGATTACGGACCGTATTTTCTTCACTGAGTCCATGTTATTTGGCTTTTTGTTTACTTTTGTTCTTCGATGACGCTTTCAGGAAAAAAGCTGATATAAAAGTAAGGCCAGCAACTAAGGTTGCAGCTGGAATATAAATTGCATATTTGTGAGGAAGAAAGAATTGTGCAAGAGAACTTGAATCATCCAAATATGGCTGAGGCGATGGATTACATTTGTGTCATGGAAGAAAGGAGTCAGGAGTCAAATTTTTAAAAAATAGTCTAAGTGGTAATTGTAAACTTACGACGTAAAATGTCCAGATGGAGTAGTATACAAAAATGAGAGCTGCAGCCAAGCAAGCAGCTCCTCCGAAAATTTTATCCAAAGAACCCTACATTTCAAAACAAAGGAATGAGCGTCAACTGGTTGATCGTTGTATGAACGAGGAAACGATTGAATCAGCATTACCATGAAGTTTATACTAGTTGCAGTAAATTATATTGTAATGGCAAAAGGTGACAGGAGTGCAAAGAAAAGACATTCACCTCGCTGCATTTCAATTGTGAAGGAAGAAGATCTTATGATTAAAAAGGCGACTTTCCCCATAACACAATTTTGATAATCGATCAAATAGGTATGCAACAAATACTACTCAGGATCAAGGCTGTATTTATATGTTTATTAAGGCTTCGTCTACTAATTTTATTGAACGTATTTAAGAAAACCTGGCTATTATTTTACGTAGGAAGGCTTTAATGTGATGTTGTTGATTCTTAGACTACCCATGGGTATTATATGGCAAACTTGTTTAACGCATTCTAAAATATACCTCCAGGAATCAGATTCATAAACTCCATACCTGGAAGATCGAAAGGGAAAGCTGGCTCAGTGACATCGTCATTGTATATGTAAAAGTGCTCTATCGTTGGATGATTATCTAGATCAAGGTTTTGAACAGTATATGTAGATATCTCCTTGTGATCATGGTTCTGGTTGAGAAGTGGCCTAGCGCTGACAGTAGAAACTATCATAAAAATAGGATAGCAAATTAAACCTGATTTAATAAAGGAGAAATGCATTATAATTGCGTGAATTCAGATATGAATATAAACGAAAAAATGTACAGAAGACAATAATAGACAGAAGGAAGAGCTTTTATACCTCATATAACAACTGAGTCATTTATAGTGAGATTGTGGTTGCGAAGGGTAACCACTTCCATGGTTTAGCAGCCAGTTTAAGCTAACGAATGATCTCATGGTCGTGAAGTGTGAAACCCTGAATCAGGAACAGGCATGAGTTCGGTCCGGTCTGTGCGGGAATGACGAATTGTCGGAATTGACACGCAGCGAAGTGCTTTTTTTTTTTTTTGCTATTGATTTAGGATTGAGATAATTTATGGAACAGATGCCCACACAAGCTTAAGAATCCTCCTCTTTTATTGCACGAACATCCAAATGGTACAGTTGCCATTCCAATAATCTTCAGATGTTTACATGTGAAAGCAGCGTTGTATATTGTATGGATGTCAATTAAGAATGATGGATGAAGCAGATATATCAATGGCACTTTTCACAGTTTGCTCAAATCGCAGATCTTGTTGACATGAATATATACCATGCTTTCATTTGTAATTATGGGATTACACATTTTTAAACTAAATTTCCGATTCGATTTTTCTTTTCTCTTAGTCTGCCGCCAGACCTGTTCTCAACGTCTACGCCGAAAACGGTAAGGACATTGCTGCCACCGTCCCCCTCCCCGCCGTCTTCAAGGCCCCCATTCGTCCTGACATTGTCAACTTTGTCCACACCAACATGGCCAAGAACAAGCGTCAACCTTATGCTGTCTCTGACAAGGCTGGTGAACAAACCTCTGCTGAATCTTGGGGTACTGGTCGTGCCGTTGCTCGTATTCCTCGTGTCAACGGTTCCGGTACTCATCGTGCTGGTCAAGCTGCTTTTGGTAACATGTGTCGTGGTGGTCGTATGTTCGCCCCTACCAAGACCTGGAGAAAGTGGCATGTTAAGACCAACTTGAACCAAAAGCGTTTCGCTACCGCTTCCGCTTTGGCTGCTTCTGCTCTCCCCTCTTTGGTTATGGCCCGTGGTCACCGTATCGAAAAGGTTGAAGAAGTCCCTCTTGTTGTTTCCGATGCTATTGAAAAGATCACCAAGACCAAGGATGCCGTTGCCTTGTTGAAGGCCATCAATGCTTATGCTGATGTTGCTAAGGTTGCCAACTCTCGTAAGCTTCGTGCCGGTCAAGGTAAGCTCCGTAACCGTCGCCATAAGCAACGTCGTGGTCCCCTCGTTGTCTATAACGAAGACAACGGTCTCGTCCAAGCTTTCCGTAACTTGCCTGGTCTTGAACTCGTTAACGTTCGTCGCCTTAACCTCTTGCAATTGGCTCCTGGTGGTCACCTCGGTCGTTTCATCATCTGGTCTCAATCTGCCATTTCCATGCTTGATGAACTCTACGGTACTTACGAAAGCCCTGCTTCTTTGAAGAAGGGTTACATGTTGCCCGATAACATCATGACCAACCCTGATGTTGCTCGTCTCATCAACTCTGATGAAATCCAATCCGTTGTTCGTCCTGCCGGTAACAAGGTTCACAAGCGTCCTTACACCCAAAAGAAGAACCCCCTCAAGAACCAAGGTGTCATGAACCGTCTTAACCCTTATGCTCAAGTTCTTCGTCGTGCTGAAATCCTCAAGGCCGAAAAGGTTGCTGCTGGTAAGGTCAACAAGACCGAAAAGAAGCGTGGTGCTTCTACCGCTGCTTCCAAGAAGTTCTTGGAAACTCTTCACTCTGCTTAATTGTAGTTAGCGACTGTAACAAGTAGTATTAGAACTTCTTATTGGATTAAAAGAAAGCTTGATCAGTTTTTTTGTTCACTATTATATCGACTATCTGTTCAGAATGGGATCTGTTCTCAGGTTAAAAGGAGATTATGCACGCAGTTTTTTTTTGGGCAGTGCTTGTTTATTGTGAAAAAAGGAAGCGGTTTGAGTAAAAAAAAAACGTTATTCACGAATTTTGAATGTACAACAGGATCTATCAAACTACTGTGCTAGCCAGTCAGTAATTTTTTCTAAAGCCAGTAATAATAAGAAGAAATCTTTTGCAATTATGCTTCATGATGCAGCAAAAAATACTAATGCTCAACATGTTCTGTGTTCAATGACGGCTTGTCTCATTTTCAGTTTCCCTGCCACATTTAATGATATCGTCTTATTCAAAGTATGCGTACATTGACATTTATGTGTTTACAAAGCAGGAAAAAAAAATAGTTTAATGATGTATTAAGATAGGTCTAAGTGTAACAAATATATTCTATAACATCCGACAAAATATCGACAAGCATCTGACATTTGAGTCGGTTTTCAGTTAAATTTGTTTAACAACCTCCTCTAAAACGACAGCGACACCTTCTTCATTATTGCTGAGAGTGACAAAATCTAAATTGACGACGTGGAATTTAGCTTACAAAATTTCGTTATCATCGTTTCGTTTCTCCTACTTACCAGCAATTTCCTTGACGGATTGATGAGCATTACCCATAGCCACAGCAGTACCTTTAAATAGTTGAAAAAGTGTTTAGAAGGCACTCAAACTGAAACAGCGAGACTTAGCTTACCAGCAAATTGTAACATCTCGATATCATTGGGCATATCACCGAATGCAATGACTTCTTCTGATTTTACATTGAGCTTCTCACATATATCTTTAACGGCAGTAGCTTTGCAAATGCCTACTGCAGAAACCTCAACGAAGAAAGGACTGGAGAAAGTGGGGTTAATCATTGTCTTCCACTTGGGGTCTGTTAAGACATTTTTTAAAAGATATTCATAGAGAACGTCAGCAGTCCATTCACGATGTAGCAGCATAAGTTTTTCAATTGTGTGTTCCTCATCTGCTAAATAATGAAGGTCATCAACACGTTCATAAATATCGCCAATCCAATCCCAACGCTTTTGAGCATAAGCTTCTTCACAGCGGAAACTAGCTCCACTTTCACCACCGATCAAGATATCATCTCCAAAATGATTTTTCACTTCTTTGATCAGAGCTCGTACGGCTTCCGTTTCGATGGAGTATTTTCGAACAATTTGCATTGTTTTACTGTCCATAACCATGCCACCATTGCAACCTACAATCATAGGATTTTCTAATTGGGCCTGCTTGATAATAGGAATGAAAGACCGGATGGGACGACCTGAAGCCATAATGATACGAATGCCTTTTTTCTCAGCAGCTCGTAGAACTGCAATGGTACGGTCTGTCAAACGATCACTGAAAGCCAGATATTGTACAGATTTGGTGTTACAATCAAGCTGTCAAAAACTTATTCGCTTATCAAATTCTATTTTACCTATCGTAATAACCAGAGACAAGAGTACCATCCATATCAGAAGCTATCACCTTGATATTAGCGTAGTTTGGAGGTGTAACAAGAGCTGTTGGTGCCATAATTAAATAAAAATGTAGTTAGAAAGGAGCAAGAGGGGGAAAATGGAGACCTCGAATAGAGAGATTTTATGATTTGAGAAAAAAAAAAAAATTGTTTTGAACAATTTAACACATTCGCCTATTGTTGTTTCTCATTTTAAAGACAGAATTATCTAGAGATCGTCCAAACAGGCACTCATGCCTTAATAGCAGAAAAGGTAGAGCCATAGGACTATCCGAGAACGCTTGATGCAACAGCAGCATAGAAATTGTATGACTATTTAAATCAAGTTCATCTTTGCCTTCGCCCGAACTAAAGTGGCTGCAAAATATGCGTGGTTATAAATTCTGGCAAAATGAGTATGTTTGAACTGTATGTTATTTTTGCATTTTATCGCTACAGCAATCTTCTTGAGCTGTAATGGTATGAGAACAAGCTCGTGGTGAAGGACTTTTCCCATTAGGAGCATGTACCATTTCTCCTTACTAGAATTAAACTTGCTACACTAAAGGGAGCGCCCTGTAATCGAACTTAACCAAACGTTTAGAATTGAAAATCGCAGTTGACTCAACTAATGTAGATTTCCAAATATATTTGTCTAAGAGCTTCAAGGAAGCCCATCACTACTTATTCCGAAAAGAAAACCATATCTTTAATAGCTCATATAAGTTAAACTTCGCTCTTGAAAAAGAATTCGAAGGGGTTAAACCATAAAAAACGCACCACAACTGCGTGACTTAAAACGCTGACAAAGATCAAATTATCTTTTAATAGCTTTACCTTTCAAGGTAAAAATTAGATCCACCAGAATGTCATCAGTCAGAGAAGGTACTTCTGTTATGCAGTATTTTAGACTCCCTACATAGTATTGACAAGTTCCATTACAGGCTCTTCAAGAAAGCGACCTGGCCATCATAGTTATTACTACAGTTCAAAGGCCAGCTATCATCGGAATAATTCAAGAGAGCTGTAAGCATTGAATTTGAGTGAGCGTACCATGTGCGTCAATCTCTTGTCTAATTCTATGTTTACTTCTGATAATATAGCAAGCACAAAGGGAGGTATAAAAATGCACGTATCCCATATAAATCGAGCAGATACAGTTACGATACGGATGCTTCAAGACACCGTTCCTATTCAACTGGCTCATATTCGGAAGAAGAGCTAGAAGAAGAGGAAGAAGAAGATAGAAAGGACTATTGTAAAGGAGGTTATCACCCAGTTCAAGTTGGGGACAAATATAAAGATGGACAATATGTTGTTGTTCGCAAGCTAGGTTGGGGACACTTTTCCACTGTTTGGCTTATCAGAGATACAAAGTAAGTATTATTGACTACTCGTTGGCTTCGTCATTCGCACTTACTCGTGTAATATGGCCTAATTCCTTATTGTTCATAGAACAGGGAATCATTTTGCAATGAAAGTTGTGAAATCTGCAAAACACTATACTGAGACGGCCATGGATGAAATTAAATTATTAGAGCGTGTGACAGAAGCCGATCCAACCGCTATAGGTGCGCAGTATGTTACAGCAGTTGTAGACCATTTCACAGTAAAAGGACCAAATGGCTCTCATGTTTGTATGACATTCGAGGTATTGGGAGAGAATCTACTATCTTTAATCAAGCGTTATAAAAGCCGAGGCATACCTATGCATTTGGTAAAGCAAATTGCCAAGCAAATGTTATTGGGACTTGACTACCTACATCGGCAATGTGGTATCATTCATACAGACTTGAAACCGGAAAATGTTCTTATGTACCTTGAAAATGCGGAAGAATTGTTGAAAAAAATTGATACGCCATACTCGGAAGACAATGTTGGAACAAACGACACAATTGCAACTTCATCAGAAAGCCGCAGTCGTGGTAGGAGTCGTGCACGAAGATCAGGCCGTGTGAAAATGGTTGCTTCGCAACCTCTGTCTAAAGATACCTCGGATCCTACCCCTGATGATGAGAGAGGTAGACGAAACGGTTCTGGGAAACGTTCCAGATCTAGGTATGAGTTTTTGTCAACTTGGAAAAGTTAAGCTTCTTCTTAACTTCAAAATTCGTGTATATCATTCTTTGTGAATGACTTTTTGCACAGATCGGATTCATACGCCAAATCTAGCTCACATAACGATGGCAACTTGGAAAATATCAAGATCAAAATAGCCGATTTGGGCAACGCTTGTTGGATGGATCATCATTTTACAGAAGATATTCAAACAAGACAGTATCGTTCTCCAGAAGTTATCATAGGTGCAAGATGGGATGCAGGCGCAGATATTTGGAGTTTAGCGTGCATGGTAAAATGATTGATCTAAAATACTCTATTTGGCCTTTTTGGACTGTTATGCTTAATGCTCATGCTTTTTTTTTACTTTCTTTTTTTTCTTTTTTTTCTTTTGCAGATTTTCGAATTGTTAACTGGTCAATATTTGTTTGATCCTCAGAAGGGTTCTAGATTTAATAGAGATGACGGTAATTTTCAAATATCAAAGGGAGCATCGATAAAATCACTTTCTAACACATTAAGCCTCGAATAGATCATCTTGCCCAAATAATTGAATTAGTGGGTCCTATAAATAAGAGTTTCGCATTATCTGGTAAGAATTCGTCTGATTTCTTCAATCATAGAGGTGAACTTCGCCATATTCACCGATTGAGATATTGGTCCCTGGAAGATGTACTACATGATAAATATGGCTACCGTCGTTCTGAAGCCGAAGAGATTGCCAGCTTTCTGAGTCCCATGTTGACCTATGAGAATCGTGCACGCGCTGGTGATCTTTTGACTCATCCTTGGTTATATGATGTGGAGCCTATTTTACCAGAAGAGAATGCTGACAAGGCTCGCTGGAGAGGTGATCGCCCCTGGAAGGATTGGGAAAATGATCATCAGAAGCGAAGGTTGCGCTGACCCGTCTGCAAGTGAAAACTTCTGACATTCTAACAAGTGATATTCATTAAACAAATACCTGAAAAAAACTGTACGTTATTTTAGTTAAAGTACATTTCGCCCATATTGTAAATTTCTACATCCAAAGCCGCTTAATCATAAACATTACTTATAACTTCGTTTCTTAAAAAATTGCATCAAATTGAATATTGCTTCATTATGATAAAATAAATCCAAAAAGTGATATTATCGATTCAAATATTAATATAAATTAGAGTAATAAACTGTGTACGAACAAGAGGGTATTATATAAATGAGTATCCTTTTTTTTTTCATCCTACTCAATTAAATTTTTGTAGGATTCAAGGATTTTTTTAGTCTATATGGTGGTAGTCATTATTGTTCTCAATGCTTTTTGCTTTTTTACGTGATTTTTTGTTCAAAGATAGTTTCAATGATCTGGAAAAGTTATCTGCTCTTGAAGCGTTTGCTTTATCGAAAGACTGCGTGTCATTACGGTGTACATCATTGGGAGAGTCAAGGGTAAGGGCCTGAATGGAAAAAGCACGGCTTATTGGCGACAAAATAGGTAGAGCTGGTATTGTATACTGTGTAGATGTATCTTGACGGCTAAGACCAAGTGAGGGGACTTTATATTCTTCAAACGATTGTATATCTGACATGCTTCGATTATCAGATGTACTACTGGCGGCAGTTGATTGACGAAAGCGGGTTGGAATTAACGTAACAGAAGACCTCTCCTTTAATTCTTTAGCGGCATCAGCCTTTATAACTTTCAGTTCATCAGCAAAGTTTTTCTTAAACACTAAATGTAAAGGTATAAGTTGCAGGTTATAAGGGTACGCTATTTTTTCTATTTTAATACTTTACATTCAACCATAGTATTATGAAAAGGCTTCATTTCATTACTAACAATTTTGCTATGTGTATCAAGGCATTTCTGGAGAATAATAACCTAGTACAGATAAACTACATAAGTGTTTTGATAAGGAACCTTTTTCAGTCTTTTAGTACTTACCTGATCGTTAATAGCGGACCTAAGCCGATATATCCAATGTTCCAAATCAGGATTGGATTCGCGGAACTCTTTGGTGAGAAAAGCTTTCTTATACAAAAACACACCACCGTTAACTGGAGCATCTACTGCGCCATTTACCGACATAGAAAATGGGTTGACATTCATGGGAGGTACAGTGTTCAGGGTTTGATTTTGCGATTGGGGGATGAATGCTGAGTATTTTCTCTCTAGCGATATCAATTCCTTATTCTTCGCTTCCATAGCAACAACAGCATTTTCAATCGGGGATATCAAAGTACTGTTCGTTTTAATCACTCGTGACCTGCGAACTATGGTTGGAAAAGTATCCTCACATTCAAACTCGATCTTCTCTGTCCATAATTTTAAAAATTCGGTTACAGGTTCACTTCCCGTATCATTATCCGCATTCCTCGAGACAGGACGTGAAAATGAAAATCTTGAAACATCATTAGAGGCATAGTAAGCTTTGACAGTATCAGGAACTAGAGGATTTGTTAACATTGAATTGCGTTCTGAGCTTGGAATGGGCATTACAGGGGTAATTTGTAGGAACTGTCCATCAAGTGAGCTATTTAGTTCTTTCAGCTGCTCTTCACTGACGTACTCTGTATTAGCAATTTTAGCAGGGAGTAATTGGGCATTTGGATGTCTATCCTGCAATCTTTCAATAAATGATGAGATTTTTTCCCATTCCAGACCACGATAAATATACTGACAATTACGAGTACTTCGTGGAAACCCTTTTCCATAGAATCCCACACGGTAATATTCAACAAAGCATCTTTCTTTTCTGGCAATGTTTTTAACAAATTCAGCTTGACGTTGTAGTATATCTGCTAGCTTTGTATAGTTGTAAATTGTGTTCTCATATTCATAGGATAACTCTTTGCATAGTTTGATGCATAGTTCCCAATCATTTCCCCTGTCACAGTAATTCAGCATCTTCATGTATAAGCTTTCCTTTCGTTCAAATGAGGATTGTAGAGGTAATTTGAGGTCAGGAATTGCTGCAAGTTTTTTCTGAGGCTCCCATTGTAGCAAGTCGGCATGATACTTTAACGTTAAGGCTGCTTCAACGAAGTTGCGATTATCTAAATGTAATTGTACCAATTGATGAATATACTTGATGTAAATTTCTTCTCGCTCTATAACCTGTATGAATTTTAGAATTTTCAGAGTTGCAGTTATCCGATCATCCATAAACTCTTCTTCTTGAGGTAAGCTTCTAATTTGAAATAGCAAGCTCAAAAATGTGCAAAGAGATTCTACCGCAATTTTTCCAACAGTAATAAGGTCGCGTCTGTCATCCGTCAGTAAACGACATTCCAAAGCAGAAAATAACTCGATACGTATACGTATACAGAGGGATTCATCACCCTTTTGTTCAGACATAATCAGTCGATCTAGAGTACTAATCAACACATGCTGGGCATAAGACAGCTCACCAAAATTGTAAAGTTCTAAAGCGATTATATCAGCTATCACTGAAAGACCTGATGCGCGGACACTATCATGGAGAGTCAGACTTATTCCAAGCAAAGGACTTATAATGAAGTATGCCAAATTAGCCTGAAGTAAGGAGATTCCTGAACTACTTTCCTCGAAGGGCTGCCGTTCTTCACTAACTGACGAAAGTAATAAATTGTCCGTTGGCCATATGCGCATACTGTTTCTGACATTACTTCTTGTAAAATTGCTGTACGGACTGAATAAATTGTCGGTATTGTTATTATCCCCCCTGATTTCTTTGTCAACTGAATGTATGCTGTTTCGTTGTGGATCATTGTAAGAGAAATGCCGCTGCTCGAAAGCGGACACTGGTGAGTAGAAATAATCACTTCCACCAACATCCGTTAATTGTTGAGTGCTGGAAGAGTTGACGCTACAGCTAGTGAACCGCTTCGTAGGATATCTATCAAAAATGCATGGCCTACCATTCTTGCCCGCTAGATGCCATATAAACAGAAATGCCTTGCATCCAACTTCACTACGCATATTGCCGATAATCTTCCAAACTGCTCGCTGTCTTTGTGGCATAAATTTTGGAACCTCCATACTCGGGCAACCAATGATTCGTAATAGTGCCATACAATACATACGCCACAAGAGTAAGAGTGATTTTTGCTCCGAACTTACAGTTGTTTTCATGGATATATTAGCATTAGTGCTCGGCAGCTCATCACTTGGCGCAGGATCTTCGTTTGGAAGAGTAAAATTATAGTTATGAGCTGTCGTTGATCCTGATGTATTTTTATACATCTCAGCATCTTGATCTTGTACAGTGACATATACGGCTTCACTAGGTGTAAAGTCTGGCAATTCAAATAATGTGCTGATAGGCTCCAAAATATCGCACAAAATAACACGATGCGCAATTATACTCAAGTTGAGCCATTTCTCTGGTAGTCCTCTCGTTTCTCTTGATACGTCCTCTTCGATATGAACGAAATCCTCGCTTGAAAGACTCATTCTTTCTAGAGTTCTCACATTATCACCGAACAGAATGCCCATGCATGTGTAAATAACTTTTTTTAAGAATTCAATAGTGGCACTTGCACCTTCCTGTTCTTTCATTTGCTTAACATAGGCAACCCATTGGTAGTGTGGCGTCATATGGAACAAGTCCAAAAACACAACTGATAAATCCAATAATCCCGTAGTAATCATAATATCATGAAATTTAGTTAGTCCATGTTTCTGATTGATAGTTTTCGCTGCAGATTGAAATGGATAATTTGAAGGAAAAGGTATAGAAGGTGACGTTGACAGTGCCTTGAGAATGATGGTGAATGTCGAATTATTAGAATCACTGCTATCTGACTCCATAATTGTATCATTTAGGACATTCCCCATTTGGTGTAAAGTAGCAGTTTTATGAAGCGAAGATGTCCTTTGAAGTAAGTTTCCGCTTGGAACAGAATGTAAGGAGTCTGTGGCACTTAGTATAGAACCTTTGACATCACCACTGACAAGATTACTGCTGTTGAGTGAACTTGATCGTTCTCGTAAAGGGCTTAATGATTGTCGGGATTGCCGCCTTGAACTGACTGGCGTTGCCATATCTACGTTTGTAGCAGCCTCTTTTTTGTTAGAATCAGCCGAGGAACCAGAAATGTGTATAGCTTGTATTGTTAGCTTTTGAAGGTCCTTGTATGCATTCATTAATTGAGGAATTATTTGAAGGCACTCTTGAATTATCGACCAATATTCTCCAGAAGGAGAGTCCAATGGCGGAATCGTTTGATCGGATAAGGTGGCAGTAAAAGAGGTTGGTCGCGAATAAGTGCTGCTGGAAGAAGGAGAGGGAATACCAGACAGCATCAGCCCCGATGGAGGCATTATACCCAAGTTTTTCCGTATTTTTTCCAGCAGTTCACTTATTATTGTGAGTGATAGTCGCAGATTTTCAATCCACTGGTTTCGTGGAAGCCGGATTTGTTGAGAATTCATTCGATCAATCGCTGGATCGCTCTTGCGTGCAAAAATGACGTCCTTTGCTGTCAACATGTATGAGTTGATCCAAAGGTTGACCCAGCGCAGCACATGTTTCGGCAATTCAGGTGTACAAGAAGGATTATTGAAAAGAGGTCCTTTGACAATGTTGCGAATCAGGATTAACTTGAAGCCCACTAACCGCCCAGTAAGGGAGCTGCAATGGTCAACAAATGCAACCGTTATATGAACCAATCGCTGTATAGGAAAAATTCTGTATAGCTCGTTCACAATCTCTGAAAAGTGCTGCAGTGTTATTGTCTGCGTTCCAATCATGACGTTGGGATGGGTAGTATCCATGATAAACCTTATTCGATCTAACAACTGTTCTATATCTGAGAAGAATTTAGAGTCATTTTCAGAACGCTCGTCGACTTCTTCGTCCTTTTGATGGCACTGCCTCGATCTAACTATGAATCGAAAAAGATATTCCCATACTTTCATACTACTTCTAAGGAGTTTGGCTTTCGATGGCTCTTCTGGAGTTTCTAACAAATGAACTAAGCTTTTTATCAGATGTACATAAGTATACTGTTTTTGCCAGTTGTTCGTAGGCTGAAAACGTTGCTTGATATAGACATTCAATACAGGTTTGAAATTGCTGAAGCGACGATCTTGTACAATTCCTAATAGCCATACAATAGATGCAAATGCTTGCTCATGTATTTCTTTTAATACAAGTTCATCGTTATCCCTGTTATTATTGCGGACTTCATAGCCCAATATATCCAAAAGTGCATCTAAACTTTGCCCCAAGAATTTGACTATCTCTGTTTCACCAATGAACGTAAATTGATCCAAAGCCGCTAATAAATTTGCAAATCCGTCTTCGCCACTTTCTATTACGGTTTTCCAGTTAAGCACCTTCACCAAAATACTTTTTTGCGTAAATTTATTAGAGCATAAAAAGGTAGATAATTGGATACTGTCACGGAGCAAAACTAGCTTACTACTGGTAGTAGAGGTGTGCGTTTGCTGACCAGAAGAAGTTCCTGTTAGATCAGTTGAACTTGTAGAAGCACTTGCCGTAGTATTAAATGCAGTAGCTGCAGAGGTAAAAGAACTGGATAGGCTCCTGAGACTATGGTGTGAAGAAGAACGACGATGCCTTTGTCTACCTAGTGAAGAATTAGTGCGCAAGGTATTCTTTGCTATATTATATGGTGTTGTTTCCTCTCCTTCCCTTGAACTTTGTATGGTGTTGGAAGCTGCGGTAGATTTTGCACACCATGCTGTACTATTAAGATAGAACCGAGGGTGTGCGTACTGCTTATCATACTTATATAGAAATAGAGTGTGTGATCCGTCAACAATAAAATCACGTTGTAATGGTGGCAGAAATAAGGGCACGAACCCCATAGCGAGAAACTTGTCATTCCCCAATGCAAATGAACCTATATCGTTCTTTTGGCTGTTAGAATGGTAATTGAGGCTATACTGGCTGCTGAATTTCTTGAAACCGGGTATGTTAAGCCCACTTTCACTACTTGAACGATGACTACTTCGGTGCTTTACTGTAATAAACAGATGTGACCTTTTCCATTGCTGCAAGTCTCTGATATTGACTTTTATAAGCTCATTCCATCTCGGTTTCTGCTCGTGATAAATAACCATACTCTCCCAATAACTTATAGGATGAGTGCCTGAACCTAACAAAATCGCATCTTCGACAACCTCACCGGAGAAATTATCACGCACATACATGCTGATTTGAATATTCCTTGATTTTCCCAATTGTGCCAGATCACCCAACTCAAGTGTGACATAAAGATCATTCCGATTATCGTTTGGAAACGCTACGTCTGCAAATCCTAGTCTCAGTGTGCGAGAGATACCTTGGAATAGAGCGGTATTTGCTTTCCAGATTGTATCTAGAGAGCCATAAAAAGTGCGCAACGAAGCACGTAGCTTTTCCGCTCGCACATGCGTTGTATATTCCTTTGTATGATTAAAAATGATATTTTCATGCAAGTCTACAAAATTTGCTTCATTTGTAGATATATAAATAGGTATATCTATGTCTATAGTTGTTGCTTTTTTTTTATCTTCAGTGTTTCTCGTCAACTGCTTATGATTTAATTTCAACACAGCGCAGCCAAACGGTCTTTTACATAGGTTATTCGCAGGAATTGATGGACGGTGATACTGAAATGGTGAGTTTGAATGCTTATTTGAATGAAAAAACTGTGAAGTATTATTCCCTACAAAAGACCCAAATGGATCCTTTGTGTGTACTGTGTATTTTAAAGTACCAAGCCGAATAATTTTGCAGACCATATATAAATTATCATTATTGAAGTCTGCCAGTGGAATTTCTGAAAAAATAGTTTGCAATTTTCCAATTTGGTCTTCGTCTTTAGGCATACCGTTGTAGTTGAGGATAACAACGAATGCCTCTGTGATAAATCTTCGTTCGACAATTGAGTACAGTGAGAAGTACAATTCAGTAAACTCACCAGGCTGACAAATATGAGCAACAAAAGCTTTCAATTCAAAAAATAGGTGATAAAACTGTGCTCTTTTCGTAAGGGGAGCTTCGTAATTGTTGTTTTGTGTTCTCCCATCTGTTGCATCATCTGATCCGTTTTCTGTTGCGCGTATAACAGTCTTATTATTATCCATATCGGATGAGTTGTTGTTGTTTAGCATCTCTTCTAATTCATCAACAGTGCTACTCTCAAATGAGTTCAAAGGTCTGGTTGAATATTGCCAATGCATTTTGTAAATAGTGCTGAGCGAAGCATTAGATGGTTCAAGAAGATAGCCTTTCTCCGGATGACGGATAATCATGTCTTGATTCTGTTCAAGATTGCTTATCATTATTTTATGGATGATCTCTTTTCGCAATTTAGTCAATTCTTCCCGTGATAATGCCTGATCCAGCAGCTGTCTTCGAGCCTGAAATAAATAGTTAACATGATCTTTGACTTTATTGAAGGTATCATATCTACGCTCTTTGATGTAAGTATAAAGTAGGCTGTTCCATTCGTTAATACAAGCAGCAATCTCATCAATTAACGGTTCAGAATTGCCAGTAATAGTTGATTGCTCAAAATGTGACATAGGTAGCGGTGGAGGAGGTATATGTTGTCTGGATGATTTTTCGTCAGATAAGTCTTTCAAATTCGGCTCTGAGTCAAAAGTATATTCATTAAAGCTACCAGGACGCCTGCTACTACCGTTTTCAATAGTTTGGTGTAGCGAAGGTGATGCTTTTGATGGAATGTATGGCTCCGAATAAGACCTTGGTAAAGCGCTGTTCGCCGAAAATTCGCTCGACATTCTTTGATATATCCTACCCGACTTATAATCGGCAACAGTTTCTATAGTTTCTTGCCGTTTATAGAAAGCTGAAAAGTTCAATTCATTCGGATCCATGTCGACATATTCTTTGATCTGCACATGCGATCGCGGAAAGCAACCCAATGGCGCCTTGTTTGGTTTACGTCCCTCCTCCATTGTCGATAGAACATAGCCTCTGTACCAGTGTCCTTGTTGTTCTATGACAAATACCTCGTCTCCAACCTCCAAGGATATCAAACTGTGATAGTCTTCGGGGTTTGTTGAGGGCTGATCATAAAATGCGGAGGAATCATTCGATGTGGTCGTATGGATAGAGGCATTGTCAGCCTGTAACAAGTGATTGCTATTTAACGATACCGTTGATTTTCTCTTCGAAGTTGCCTGCTGTACTTCTGCGGGTGAAAATGGATAAATAGCAATGCCATGTGCTAGTTTGGATAATGGTATCCACTTCATATAAATGCTGGTAAACAAATCATTTAAACTTCCGGTAAAGTACTGTAAGCGAAATTTTGGTCTGTGTATACCTTTTATTATGATCTATTAATGGACTATCTATGTTCAATCTCTTTGGAAAAGTGTAAAGGGAGAGGATTTAACCCGAACGAAATTAAAATTGAAGAATGAAGGAAAGAAAAGAAACATAAAGGCAAAGAATGGGCACAAAAAATGACTTAATGGTTTATCACATTTCCTTATCTCTATTTCTATTGCTTATATTCTTGACTGACTTTGAACGGGTCCTGGGCTTGCGCAACCTGTATAGATTTAGTGTCTCATCAAACTGAACTTGGTGATTTACCTTCTTTTGCCATTGGATGGCTGGTAATAATTCAACCTGAAATCTGGCTTTTGCTTCCAACATAAATTTATCTTGTGCTGCTTGATTTCTAACTTCACTAATGCATATAATGGTCGTCTTTTCGTTTGACAAATATTCCATAGTTTTCACCAAATCGACTGCACTTGCTTCAGAATAAATACAATCACATGCTACGATGTAGTCAATATCTCCGCCAGATTTGATAATATCCATATCTTCTTTGTTATTCCAAAATAAGGGATCTACTACAATATAGTTCTCGTCGAATTCGTTCTTTCGTCTTCCACTCAAGGACTTTAGATGAATACTATTAGCTTCCACATTTTTTTCCATAGTCGGTATGAGTTCCTCTATGTCAGTGATGACAACTTCTTCAATGCCTAACTTGTGCAACATAATACCAATCAGACCCACTCCAGAACCTAGTTCAACCCACCGCTTATTATGGTCTAGACTGATCCTACCGTGTCGGCTTCTTTTAACGCTCAGTCTCTCTAAATAAGAGCAAAAGACGATCGAAGTGAGCCAGATATAACCACCAAGATAGTTGGAATGGGGATCTTGGACAAGAACGATGTCATGTTTTCCAATGTGTATGGTTAAAGTGTCTGCAGACTGAAGTGCCCAGCGATCCAATTTGTGAATCTCACGTTTGAAAGGTTGACCATCCTCCCAACCTTCGATGGTTGCTATTGGTGGTTCTTCCTCAATAATCCTTTTATCATCCTTTGCCATACTAGAAAATGCGAAAGAGTCCTTATAACAGAAAATAAAAATAAAAAAGGAATTTTATTTTTCCCTTCAAATGCTGTTTCACTAAATCAGATAGCCTCTGTAATTACATGACTGATATATGAAACTGAATATATGTAGTCATAGAAAGTCAACATTTTGTCAGCTGTATGAGATTAATGCTCAAGGGGGGGGGGAAAGGGTGATTCTCGTAGGTCTTACAGTGCTCTATCGAGCTCAAGTAATTGGTAATCTGCTCTTATTTCGCGTACGGTATCTTGTACGTCGTTTTAATCGTTGCATCTGTGATGCCTGACGCAGTAACAATTTCTTTTCTTGATGTAGAACAATGAACAGATAGGTAACAGAGTAAATGATTATTGCTGCAACAGCAATAGCCATTCATTTGCTATCTTTACTGTTCCTAATTGTATTTGTATTGTTTGGTTGAGGAAGCATATGTTCTTCGGCTATATTAATGGAAGATTCTCCATTCTATACGGGTATCAACAAGTCAGTCGCTCAGTACAAGCGCACAGGATACACAAATAAGGTTACCAGGGAAAATTTCTCTATCAGGTTAAGAGGTTGTTCTTTACAGTCAGGACATGCCTAATCAGGTTTAAATTCGATGTAGCGGGTTCTACAACTGGTGTTGGGTTGGCAAAGAAAAAGCTATCTGTGCCATAATTGAGAAAGGATTCGTATAAAGAAGTAGTTCATCAAAGTAAAATAGATGAAAAAGAAAGATTTAGAAAATAGTGCAAGGATGATGATAGAAATTCGTCAGCCCCTTTGTTTTGCTCCTTTTTGGTTTGCACATCCTGTGCTGTGGGTATTAACAAGCTTTGTAAGACTGTTTAATTGTCGTTTTTTGTAGAAAAATGGTATATCATTTTTAAGCTATTATTGAACGAACGACAAAACTCCAAACTGAATCCTCTTAAGTCTAAATGAATGGGAAATACAGATATATGTTTGACCTTTTATGTTTATGTCGGCAGTTAACAAAATTTGTAACCACACCGCATATTTGATTCCGATAATAAGCTGCTATTTGTAGATTACATGTATTGAAGGTATAGACATCATAATTTATTCATCTCCTTCCTCTTCTAATGTTGTCAAAGGTGACTCAGAAGGAGCAGATCTGCGTGCTAAATGTGCTTGTTGCTGTTGTTGACCTAGAGATATTGAGGACGACGCTGATGCTCCTGCAGTCGCAGCAGCGGCAGCGGTGGCAGCCTTTGCTTGTTGTTTGGCCTTTTTCGTCATCATTTTCTTTCTTTCCTTAGCTTCTAACCTGGCTTGTTTTTCTTGCTCTCTTAATTCTTCCCTTAATTTACGTTTTTGCTCCTTTTCTGCCATTCTTTGCGCTTTTTCTTCCATTCTGAGTCTCTTCTTTTCAGCTTTCTCAGCCTTCTCAGCGACAATTTCTTCAGCAGGTCTCTTTCGTTTGTATTTTTTACCTTCTCCTGTGCCGCCAGCACCACCGCCACCGCCAACACTTCCGTCACCGGCTATCTTGGAAGCAGCCACAGCAGCTTCCTTGGCCAACCTCTTTCTTCCGACCGTGGTTTTACTAGTAGGAGGGAATCGAGGCTTGTTCTTGTTTTTGCTAGGGATATATTCATCTTCAACTAATGGATGTTCACTGGAAGACAGCTTTTTTGCAAAATAAGGTCGTAATAGCCCAATGATAGACTTCTCGGATGTCACAGGGAGAAAACTTGGTGGTGGGGAGTATTTATATTGAGGTTCCTTCTTTGCATCGCTCTTGACTGGTACTTTATCTTTATTCTTACCGAACCAAAGTCTGTTGGGTATCTGAAAAGGTATTAAGTTATGGTAAGATATTCGACTTTAAGCAGAAAAGATCCAGAAAAAAAAAAATTATACCGTGAGGGAGCTCATGTTATATTCTTGGGTCAGTCCGAGGTTCTTGAAACCAAAGTAATCCTCGCCTATATCTTCACCGAATATACCACTATATGCAATTTATAATCAGATGAAGATTCTAACCATTTTTTGAAGAAACAGAAATTATAGATTACGTTATAAATGTCTCATCATCATTTAACATTTCCTCTTCGTCAATAATTCTTTCTGTCGGTCCCGACAAAAGCTCTTGATAGGATGTTTGTAAACGACGGTGTAGGTCATCCAATCTCTGCACATTCCTTTCAATGTCATCGTGCACATACGATTCTAAATCGGAAACATCCAAAATACCATTTTCATACAATGTGTGAGCTAGTATTTCCTATGTATTTGATAATTTTGGAATCAGTAACATTATATCTCGTTTGCTTGTATTCACTAATACCATAAATAAAGGAGTAAACTAGGATACATACATCACTATCCATCTTGTTTCCATAATTATCGCAATAAGTACGTAAAGTTTTGCCGATATTGGTCATATAATCTATCATTATGTCTGTTAATACATTAAGTGCACCTGCTTTCGCTCCCTCAAATCCAGCATGAGTTAAAAGCTTCGTGAGCACTTTTTGCATCATCTGGTGGCATGATTCTGCATTTAAGGTCAAAGGTGGTATCTTTGAAGTTCTGAAATTCGCTGTTGTTGTGATTGGTAGAGAAGTAGAAATGTGAGATTCAAGTTCGTTTTCTGAATTAATCGGTTCTTCCAAGTCGATAGAAGCGGTTAGATTGGATATCTGGTAAGAAAAAAAATTGCAATGAGAATAGAATAAAAGAAGAAAGATATACATAACAGCTCCTATCTTACTGGCGTGTCATTTTTTATGGCGCTGCATTTAGTATATATAGTTCGGATTTGCTGTAGAGTTTCAATATTTTTGTCAATCAGGGGAGTTAAGCCGTGTGTTGGAAAGTGAACTTCCTGATACACCTCGAGTGGCACATTAGAGTATCTGTAGAAAAAAAGCTTTTAGCAAGTAATTATATATCTTTTTCAATAATTGACATACCCTTGTGCTGCTAAGACAGCTTCTGGACTCAAATCAACAGATGACTTTCTAAGCATAGGCTTTGAAACCAAGGAAGGCATTGTCAACGGTGTAGCTCCTCCAATCTGCGTATTGGAGACGGTGGGTTCAATCACGTCTTCGGGCACACCCTCAATCTCTGGTAAACCACATGCTATTTCATAATCGAATAAAAATAAGTCATTCTTTGCTGAATCATCGATTGTTTTGTTCGGTTTTGCTATTTTTCGAGAAAAAAAAGCGTCTAAATTTTCATCATCACTGGAGTCCAGATCAAAGCTATCATAGAGTGTCGTATTTGTTGCGCGTCGATCAGTCCACTTTGAAAAACGCTCAAACTCACAACGGATCAACTTCATTACAGCTTCTGGCTTATTGTGTAAATGCTGAATCATAGAAAATCTTTCCATATCTAAAGCTGATCTGATTAATATCTCCCTTTCACCAAAAGGGAACTGATATTGCTTTTCCACATCCGTCTATTCAGGAAAAAAAAAAGAAAAAAGTCGGTGCATTCAGCAAGCAATCATTTTGTAATCATTCTCAGGTATTAAAAATACAAGCTATATTTTACAGTAATTTTTGCTCTTGTTTTCTTTGTCTTATCCCTCCAAACTTGATCTTGGAATTCTCCCAAATCAGCATCAATATCAGTGTTGAGTTTCTTTTCTTCCTGGTCTAAATCATTCTGGTCTTCGTTATTCTCAGTGGATTTGGCCGGTTTCTTACCACCGTATTGAGCTAAGGGAGTTCCTTTTTCTGGGGTTGCCGCATCATTCATATCCCAATCTGCATCTGTAGTCGACGGTGCTGCACTAGAGCCCCTAGTCATTGATCTTTCTCTTGATGGTTGTCGGTCATGTTGTTGTTGCTGTTGTGCTGGCTGTTTTGATTGAGGTATGGCTTTTCTATTCATGCTTTTGGATGCCATATGTTTGCCTGCCGCTTTCCTAGAAACGCGTCCTGTTTCATGTTCTTCGTCCTCTGTTAGATCATCTACTTCTTCTTCAACTTCAGATTTGACTTCCTTAATAGTGATATCTGGTACTCTTGGTAGTAGTCTGTCTGTTTTTCTTTTCATTGCTGCAGCATGTTTTCTGTATTCGCTTCCATTCGTCGTATTGTAGGTCAAACAGTTATCGTAAATTAAGTACAAATCATCTGCAAATTCTTTCTTTGATTTGTAAACGAAATTTTTCAGCTTTTTAGTTACTGTTCCTAAGTCCATTGGCTTCTTGATCACATCGAAATAATCAGGCGCCTCACGTTTGCTCACTTTATTCAGAAATGGAGTGGAATGTTCAGTAAAGTTCTTCAAATCATTCAATACTTTTTCACATGCTTCATATAATTCTTCTTGTCCAGGTCTGTCATCATTTGCCCATTTTGACCTATGAGGTCTGAAATCTGATAATAAGTTCTGCAATTCACGATCTGATAAGGATGTTTTCTGTCTATTCTGTACAATGCCTTGTAGAAGATATTTCAAGTTGAAATTGCCATCAGCGTTGAACATGGACAGCGATTTGGCTGCTGCATTTTCTTTCTCCTCTTCTGCTTCATTTAATTGCTGTTGTGCCTCAAACTCTTCTAATTTACGTTGTTCTATCATTGCTGTTTTATCAAACTCGAGTGTATGAAAAACATCTATCAGCGGTACATCATCAGTAATTGTGTTGGCTTCTTCGAGTTTAGCCGCAGTTGTACTATCATTTTGCTGTGATGGTTGTTGTTGCTCCTCCTTTCCGTCATACTCATCTTTGGTCATTCTCTTTTGTCCTTCTGTGATATCTTCCACCCTCGAAACGGCATCTGAATCTTGATCCTCTTGCTTGATTTTCACATTGACCTCTAGAAATTTTTTCCAAGCATCATCAATATCTGTAACTGAAGGCTTTGTAAGGCCTTGAGCTTCTTTTAATAATGGTTCAAGAGATATTGTTTGATTACTGCAACAAATATGTTTCGTATCTGTCTTGAATAGATGGGGTATTAGCTGTTCATAGATCATAGAACGTACTCGAAAAATAGCTAAATCCAATTCTGTAGTGTTCGTTGTTTGCTGTTGCTGTTGTTCCTCGGGTATGTCTCTTATTGCGGGCACCTTCTTGTTGTTTTCGATGAAAGCAATCCAAGTAGCGTATGATACAAGTGCTTCCTCGAAGAATTTCCTTTCTGCCAAATTTAAATATCGTTTATGCACTTCATTCCGGAGCAAATGTTTCGATAAAGCATAAGACAAAGGTAACCAGTTTGGTAGTTTCATTCTAAAAGAAAGATCTATATAGTAATGTCTTCCAAAGTCAAATCGCTTAATTTAAGCGTTATTCTTGTTCCGGGCTGATGCTGTCAATTGTTGTATCTAGTATGTGCTTTATATTGAGTGTCTGTGTATTCGACGTTTAACGAACGTTAATAGAATTGACGCTGATGGCTGATTGACACGCACACTCCCACTTTCAAAAATTCAACGAAAAAAAAAAATAACAATAATAAAAAAAAAAGCATTGTAGGTAGCAAGCTGCTAAAATAGAAAGCTCAAATTGATAATTAACAGACCAGAGTGACTGTTGAGCGACCCACAAGTCTCTCCTGCCCTTTCCCTTGCTAGAATTACAAGAGCATCATTCCGCGTTAAATCTCAATAATTTTTGATGACTTCTGTACGTCTTTATTGAGTTGCTCTATTTACCCTATCCAGAAGAAGTTATATATTGTGCTGAACAAACTAGTATCGCTTCATTAAAGCAAAAGGCCGTAAAGCTTCCTCTTTTCATAGCTTCATACACTTGAGCTCGTCGTTACAATCTTTCTTTTTTATCAAATCCTATACCATTTATTCTCTTTGTTGCATGGTAACTTTTCGATCAAGGTATCTTAAGAGGATTGGATAAGAAAAAAAAAAAAAAAAAAGAAAAAACCCAAAAAAGGAGAGAAATTAAGAGTAAAAAATCATACAAGAGAGAAGGGTGACATAAAAAAGTATAAATATATATACACAAGGAGTAACATGAAATTTTTGGTGAATAATCCTTGAGAATAGAGAGATCTAAAGAAAATAAACAAAGTATATGAGCGGTTGCTGTGGATCTGTATAAGGTGTGTATCCGTGCTTTTGTGTATATAGAGCGTGGGTGTGAGTGTGCAAACATGTAAATCGAACCGAAGTCAAAAAAAGATCCTCTTATTCATACGGTTGTCGCGCTTAAAGCTAGTAAAAAAAAAAAAAAATAGATTGCTTTTAGTATAATACCTTCAAACATAGGCTACTTGCCTCTTTGCAAAAATGTTTTACCTGAGGCATGACAGGTTTGTTCTGATCAGCTGTCATTCTAGAAATACCAATACCAACACCTTCAATAAGTGCAAGAAGAGCACCACCAACAACAGCAGATACAGCCGCAGCTTTAACACCACCACGGGCGGCTAAAACACCACCTGTTAAACCACCTGAGATGATTGAATTCCAAGGATCTTCTTTCTGTCGAATACCTTTCAGACCACAGTCGAACGTTGAGAATAATCCACCCCATACTGCAAAATTACCACCTAACACTGGTGCACGAGCTTTCATAGCAGAGACAGCACCTGTTAGACGTTCACCCTAGTATATAACCAATGTTTGCTGCCATTTTAGTCATTTGAGTTCAACTTTCTGTGAATCACAATGTCTCACTCCTTTTTTTCTCATTAGCGCGGTTTGTAGTTCTCAATACTTACTCTAGGTGAATTCTTGGCTCCTTTCACTGAATGCCAAATACCACCACCAACAGCACCCATAACAAAGGCACCACCCAAATCGTTCAGGATAACCCAAGGGCTATAAAAGAAATGAATTGGTATGTTAACTCTACTATTTTCATGGGTTTGGAGAAGAAAGGCAGCTCCACATTGCTTATATGCCAAAAAACTTTACCAAGGATCTCTGAAATGATCTTGTGAAGAGCGTACCATTATTCGTTAGATTTGAGATGTGTAAAGTTGGACTATGTACAGAAGTTTTCTACAGCCAAAAAAAAAATAGACGCTAGAATTTCCTGATATATAAGGAAAAAGAAAGAGCCTTGTATTCAAGTAGAAAAGAGGAAAGGTAGAATGACAATTTAGCTTTTCTGGGATCCAGGGTTCATCGAAAATAAGAAAGGCGGGATTTATTGTGACTTCAAGAGATCAAAAAGCGGAAATCGAACATGTCAAAAACTGACTAAACCTTTCTAATGGAAATCAACTTGGTGTGCTACTAAGCTTCCCCTTTAAGGTACAAAAACTTTATCAAATACATTGAGTAGAACAAATCTATGGCGATGCGGTATGAGTATTTATTAATTTTCTCAACGTTTGGAATGGTATCTCAGGAAGCCTTTAATCCAATGATTTTTGTCTGTCTTATATGACCAATGCTCGCCAGCCAACTTTCTCAGTGAATGCTACCAAAGCGAAACTTCAGGGCATTAACTGAAAAAGTTCAGATTAGCAGCCATGCTATTCTTTCGCATCATAAAACTCTTCGTCTTCTTCTTCTTTTTGAATCATTTGCTTACTATTTTCCTCTGTCGTTCGGAAACTTGCTGAGCGATAAGGTTTTTCATTCATTGCTTTTTCAAATGTTTCATATTGCTTCTTTTTCTTTTTATCCTCATTGCTTGTCAACTTGTTAGTTACCCAATGCCCGATCCCTTCTATGGCAGCTCCTGCAATGGCCGCACTACCAACTTTCTGATCCATGAAACAATAATAACCGTTATGAATTTTTGGAAAAGGCCGTTTTGTAAATGTGGACGAAAAAGGAAAAGCGAGAACTTACCACCCAATCAGATGACGCTCCTTTCTTATTAGATTTGTTTTTCTTTTCGTCTTTTCTAGGCATAACTGGCTTAGGTACTGTTGGTAGGCTAAGGCTTGGTGGTAATGGTGATGGGGCTGGGATAGGTGGTGTTGATAAGGGAGGAATACTGACTGGTTGAGGTGTAGCAACCGTTATAGGTGTTACTGGAGCCGGAACAACAGGTATTGGTGCTGTGGGCGTTGGTGTATGCAGAGGTGTTGGTATTGGGTAATGCTGAGAATCGGCGATAGTAGCTTGTGTATTAAGCACAGTCGGAGGAACGGTATGCATCAATACTGAGGCTGGAAGAACACCATGAGCAGAAGTAGTAGTTATACTTGCAACAACTCCGGGGGTTGTACCAGAGGAAGTTGTTATAGTGGGTAACTGCGTGATAGGTGCGGTTTCACCAATAGATGCAGAGAATGTGTCTGACACTAATGGTTGTGCGGTATTTATGCACTGCTGTGTTATTGATGCAGCATCAGTGATTTTTTCCTCTACATTTTGTGAAGGCTACAAGTTCGAAATAGTAACGATAAGCAAACTTCATCAAAGTGATTGTTTTTGATGGTTAAACGCGCGATCTTACCAAAAATTTAAATTTGACAAGAAGATCACCAAGCGGTCCACCTACAGTTGTCCTTACAGATATCCACTCTTCGAGTTTGTGTGCGCTCAGGTATACTTTATCTAGATTATATTCAGAAGTGCCGATGATTCCTGGACGACTCATATCCTCGTTATATACTTCAAAGTATAATGTTGACATACTTTTGTCAGTTACATGACTAGACAATAAATCTTACATTAACTTCCTTTGTTGAGTTTATACTGGCAAGCCATTCAGATATTGCTCAACCTTACCAGCTCAATGTCTCGTGGTATTGAGGCTCGGGGCCACTTACAGAACGTGTCTTATACTTTTCGGACGGCGAAAGAGAGCAACTAATATACGTCTTAGTACCTAAATCATCAAACCAAATTTCTCAGAAGATAAATTCCAATGCTCATCCTGTGTTTTTATTTGTTATTGCTTCTTTTACTAGGAAATCCATTCAAAGCAAGCCCTTGCAAACATACTATTTGAATAAAGAGATTCTGTTTAGTTTATAATTGAATAAAGATATGGTTTCCAGGATAAGACTTTACCGAGTTCAATCTTAAGTGTTCCTAATGACATAGCATATATTCGTTCAAAATGTCTGGATGATATGAAGCTATACTGTCAAGTTGTTATAGGAAGCAAATCTGAAAAATAGACTACCGCTGGCTAAAATGGATATAGCAAACTTATAAGAAAAGAAAAGAAAAGAAGGTGCTTCCAAATCTGCTCAAACTTTTAAATTGTATTAAGTCTGCTGCTGATTCCGTTCCTGATGAGATTTCTCTACGGCGATAAATTATAGCAGAGAATTAGTAATATATCTTAAGTTTTACAATTTCCCTGCGTGGATCTATAAAGTTCCTTCAAGCAGTTTCAAATTGTGCCAAGTGCTAGCAATGAACCAATAGTCTGCAAATAGAGGCCGGTATGTCTTGGTTTAATGATCGCTATTTCCTGTAGCCTTTATAACAACTATAATTGCAATGATGATCTCGACAAGTATTAAGGCCGACATCAAAATGGAGCTTTTTAGGGTCCTCTGTACATATTGTATAAACCACAACTGTTCAATGAAATATCAATAATTTTGTTTTGACTATAACGGCTCCCTGATGTCTTAGGCTTAAGAAATATGTGAATTACAGCTTTTGTTCGCTTTAATTTGGCTCGTTTCTGACTGACGATGATTACGTCAGGCTTAAAGTAACGCTTCGAAGATCGTCCCAAAGATTTCTGTACTAGATATGCTACCACTCGATAATGGAGAAGGAACGTTACTTACACTTCTCATATAACTCATCATGGTATACTATAAACGTTCCTGGAAAGATTTTCTGCATATTATCAATAGATGACCAACAATATGAGAATATCCCCTTCGCGATTAAACGTAGGGATTCATTTCTAAATTCTTACATTAAGCATATTGGCTTTCAGTGGTCCATACCATGATTCTTTGAAAACTTAGACAACAATACACCTTAAAATAAGAGCAACGTCTGCAAACATTGTGCCCATCGGTTCAAGCAAATTAAATACTAAAAATCACCGCCTTTCGTGCATAGCTCATCTTTGGATACTGTCGAAGGCGTGAAATACAGAGGGTATTTAGAGAGCCTGAATACAGTATTTCTCCCTCAACAAAGGACTGAGTTGCAAACACCGAAGCCAACCTAAATATACTGAGCTTTCATATACGCAAGATATTACATCAATTATCAACAATACCTTTTTTTGCAAAATTTGAACACGCCTCTATTTCGCGATCATACTACAAAGGCAGAATATGCATGTCTTTGCATCTTACGTTAGGATCAATTTGACAAGTGAATCATGCGTAATGTTTACGCATATTTAGAGGTAAAGACTAAAACATTCAGGGAAGTTGCATCGATACGACTACGACTATTTATGTACGCTATACAGTATGCTTAAAGCGCTTTATATTTAAAGAAAGAGATAGCAAAGGAGGCAAAGTATTTCTCCTTTTCGTATGGGTTTTGAACAAATAAACGCTGGCACAAACTTTGCATCCTACTGCCACACCTTCCTTCCCACCATCAGAAGTAAGTGTCACCATTTTGTTAAATGTTTATGAAGATACACTGGGAAACACAAGTTTAGCCGATTGAAAATGAATAAGAACGGTTTTGAGGATTTCTTGTACTGATTGGACAACTTGACAGTCAAAATTTTTTGAATAATAGATAAATGTTTATAATGATAAGAAAAGTGGAATAGGGTCTTGCATAGTATTACAGGAATGAGAATTTACAGAAATTAATTTTGGTAGGCATTTATAAAGGAACTTTACGTAAAGCATGTACTAACCAAAAGTTAGAGGTTAGCAAAGCCAAAGCGCCTGCTTGATGTGATGCGGCCAGTTCGATTGGAACCATGTAAATGAGGGTACAAATACCCAAAGTCACTTGGGTAGCAGCAGCCAACATCATAGCATTAATGGCATTTCTAGCATTCTTTGGTAAAGGCACACGACGAGAATACGCCCATAGACAAGTGGTGGCGACAGCTGTTAATTCTGCCAAGGTACGGTGATCGAATTGAGCTGTTACGGGATTTTCTAGAAGGTTACGCCACTTACCGGTATCAGTTTCCTTCTTATAATGATCGCTCCAAAGTTCATCCTTTGGAGGGATGTAGCCTTCGCCCATTTTGGGGTATTCAGTATAAATCAAACCAGCATCTAAACCAGCAACAAGGCCTCCAGAAAGGGCTGTTAACGTAATGAGACCAAGAACCCAATGAGAGTATTTACGGAAAGGTTTTATAGCAGGACTGTTGAGCATCTCAGCAACCTTCTTGGGATAGGTACCATTCAATATTTTATTGTCTCGAAGAATATCAGCAGCTGTGAAGATGGAACTGGCATAAATTATCAGAGCAGTGGCAAAATGAGCAGTTAAACGGTATTGACTAACACGAGGAACGGCGCCGGGCTCCTTCATTAATGCTTCACTAAGCCCTGATTTGACCATATACCAGCCCATAAATCCTTGGAAGCCCATAACACTCAAAATGAACAAGGAACGCTTTTGCACAGCTTTTGTCATATATCCGCGTTGAGCAAAGTAGAGAGCAGGTAGGGCTAAAGTCAGACCAATGAAACGTCCAATCATTCGATGGCTCCATTCCCAATAAAATATACCCTTAAAATCATTCAATTCCATATTACGATTCAAACTAACCATCAGGGTGTTTGCTAATATTAGTAAAACTGAATAAGCTCTTCCTTGAGAATGTCCCACTTACATTTTATATTCGGGGAATTGCTTGTATTTTTCGAATTCATCGATCCATTCCTGTTCTGACCTTGGAGGTTTCATACCAGATATAACATTCCATTCAACAATAGAAAGTCCAGATTCTGTAAGACGCGTTAAACCGCCTACGATGACGATAGCAAACACCATACCAGCATTAAAGTACAACCAATAAGCAACAACTGGCTTTGTGTGTGTAACGGTAACATTTTTAGCAATGGTGCTAGCTGTAACCTTTCCTACATTTGAAGCCGGTATTGCTGCATTGGTGGACATGAAGCGATAAGAGATATGTTTGTTAGGTGTAAAATAGGTCGAGATATTGGTTGTCTTCCTTTTTAATTGTTGAGTGAGTGTGTTTGCGTAAACATTTTTGGTTGCAGAAGAAAAACGAGCTAAATTTGTCGTCATTCCATTGCATTTGACGATAGACGACGAGTTCCAAACAGCATTTCGTGCTTGTAATATTGAACGGTTTAGGCTACCTAGTCTAGTAAAGGGACGTATTAACATCAATGAAATGTAATGTAAGAAAAGACAAAGAAAGTTTGACAGGGGGTGTAAAAAACCTCCAAATTGTATTAATCGGCAGGAACTGAACTTTATCTGCGGGAAAAGTTAGCAGCAGTGTAAAAAAAAAAATTATCTTTTTGAATTCGGACTTTATCAGAATACTTTTGGACAATGATGAATTCCCGACCTTCAAGTTATCTCGTCCCAACAGCTCATTTGCCTAGTAATGAATATTTCAGATATGAGAAAAAAATAGAGCTGAGTGATGCATATTCATTTCAATAGACTATCGCTATTCGGCACTGTTAGCGAAATTTGACCCATCAAAAAGGAAATATATACGGTGATGATAACAAGCGAACAACTCGCACTAGGAGGAAAGGTGTAGCAATCACATACAGGACATAGTTAATACACATCATCCAATTAGCCTAGAAAACCCATATATTACAAGAAAGAGATTGATAAGGGGTGTAATGTTACTTATTGTAACTATTAAAGCCTTGAAGTGAAACAGGGTTGAACTGAAAAATAAGGAAGCAGATGGTTTCAAAAATTCTTCTTTCTTATTTCTTGGTTTAGAGGTTATTCCACCAAGGTCAAATTGTGCTCAAGTCAATAAAGTAAGCTTTGCAATCCAATCATCGTTGAGCCTATCGTCCGCTGATAATGCAGCGGGGTTATTGTCTCCTGCAAACCTACACTTACGTTTCTCTTCTAATACACGTGATAAATGAAAGCGCATAAGCTAACAAGATCCAACAATACAGCACGCTTATTGCTACTGATGCTACTACTACCATAATTTGTATAGATAGTTTCGCTACTGTGTATGAGGTAGCTGTATAAAAGGACCTTGTATGTATAAATGTTCTTATTGAGTATTATTCCCTGACATAGTAATGTACACAGGCTTGATTTCAATGGTAATAGAATACTTTCAAATTCATATGTTACATCGTCAGATCATTTAATCGCGTTTAATTTTCTTAGTGTACGAGGCATACGGCTAATCTTTTATTGAAATTATAGTCACATTCCTCCTTTTTATACGGTAGTACTTTTTATCGATTCAACGGATGAGCTTCGAAAAAAGATTTCAGTTATCCACTGCTTAAAAAAAAACTATTTAACACTAAACACTGAGCTTATGTTAAACGAAGGCTAAAATATCTGTTCATACTCTACTGCTCACTCCTCTATAAATGCGGAAAGATGCTGCTTTCAGCGCTATAACTGAGAGGCCAGGAAGGGCTAAAGGCAAACAATTTAGGTAAATCAATGATATTGAGATCATGCTATATTCCAAGTTCCCTTTTGCATTAGTAGTAGGATCTATGCGCATAATAGCAACTATACGCTTCTTCATAAGGCCTAACGTAATAGCCGTTGGCTAGAATGCAAGAATAATAGCTTTAATAGTAGGTATACAAAATGGACTACGAATAGAGTATTCATATACTAAATTAGAAAAAAAGTTACTTTTATGCTCCTTGGTGCTGGCTACTTCGAAGTAATTTGGCAATTCCCCTTTTCCTGCAAAAAGCACCGAATATGAACCCCTTTATTTACTGATAGCCTTGGTTTTTTTTAGAAAGGAAGGAGTCTTGAAGTTGGGCATTTCTCTTTTTTACTATTACTCTTCATTCACTCTTCATTCACTCTTCATTCACTCTTCATTCACTCTATTTGCTATTATTTTTAGACTTTTTGATCAAAACTTCTACATTTTTGCCTTAGGAATAGCTCTTTCCTCTAATCTTCAATCTACACAACGCCTTTTTTTTTCCTACTGAGCAAAATAAAACATGTCTAATGTTGAGCTTACAACAACGATTGCTGTCACCCACCTGCCTAGGATTATTGAAAATATTGGTACTGAGGACCAACTGAATGTCATCACTGATAACAGCAGTATAAACAGCAGCCCTATCAGTCGAAATAACAATCAATTCACGTTCTCGTGGTCTTCAGAGAGCTCCTCTTTTACATTATTAACGCAACAAGACGAAGAAGCCGAAGTTGCCGAAGATGATACGGTTGTTGAGGATGAGGTACCTGCTCCATATTTCAACACTTACTCTGAAGTAGTTCAGGAATTGGAGAGTTTAATCATGGAAAAAGAAAACATCGATAGAGATGATGAAAATAGCGAAGCAAAATATAATATTACGTCAAGGTTAAAAGAGAAAGTGTCTGAAATTGTTTGTCGATTGGCTTCACTTGGCAATCTTCGCATCTTGAAGCAAGTTGTGACCAACTCCAACTACCAGCCCTATTTGTGTTTAGACAAGTCTGATGATGCAAATGGAAGCTCAAATACGCCATTGATCTATGCTAGTTGTTTTGGCAAGGCTGATGTTGTAAGATTTTTGCTACAAATGGGAGCGAAAGTGGATATTCAGGATAGCAGTAAGAGATGCACATAAATTATAGTAAACGTTAGTGCACCCAATTCCCTTTTTTCTTAAACTAAAAAGAAAGTTTGGGCTTATTGTTGCTGCTAAACATTAGATGGTTGGACTCCTTTGATGTGGGCGACTGTCAATGGACATAGTGAGATAACAAAAATTTTGTTGGAGTATAGTGCATCTTCAAATACGAAATCGGCCAGCGGGAGAACAATCTTTGATCTTGTGGACATAAGCAACGAAGCAATGATCTCAGTATTGAATGAAAGTATACCTCATACCTCTGATTTTGCTGCTGCATTGTTGGATAGAAAAAAGAAAACTATGAAAAGAAAATCCTCTGTATTGGAGAGCATCAAGCATTGTAATGACGGTTCACAATATAGAGAAATTACTGAGTCCGATGATGATACAGCTTCAGCTCAATTTGTAAATAGAAATGAGGACGAGGATGATACCGACACAGAAGATTCCGTGGAATTAAAACACTGTGAAATTAGTCTTACATCAGTGCATAAATTTCGGTGGGACCAGTGCCTACCCTATCAAATGTTCGTTTTTGCAGAAGAAGATATAGAGCATATTCTGAATATAGCAATATCGGACAAAATACCATCGTTGATATCGAGAGCGGAAATCTATGTTCCTGTGAACATCATTTTTTTATCAGCAAGATATGCGCATTACTACACAGGAAGAGAACTGCTTCATCAATTACTATCCAAAGCACAGCAAAGGATAGAGGAAATCATACAGGTAATTGCTTCACAAGGAGTTAGTAGGGCTGCGCTGCAAGATTAAGCAAGCTAATATACATAGTAATCACTCTTATTTGCTAGACTAATGCAGACGACATCCATACTTTATCGTTCTGGATTTCCAATCTATTTCAATTACTGTACTATTTAAAAAAAGACACAGGTTTAGTCATTGCAACAGCAGAATACCAATTGTCTATATCAGAACTTATATCAGAAACGTATACGCTACTCATCACAGATTCTCAGAACAGACTAGGCCGAATACTTGAGCCTACTATGCTGGAATATGAACTTATCCAGGGATTAGAGCCTATAGATTTTGCTGATGACTGGCGTCGGTTTTTCCGACGTGGACGATTCTCTTCCTCCTCAGCTACCAGCTTGAACAATGCTCATAAAATTGAAACTGGTAACTTACCATCCGGCAACTGTAATAACAGCGCTCATGCTTGCTCTTCTCCCACCTCAATATTACAGGAACAACAGCTGCCTTACCGTACCTTATTAACTCCGCATACTATCACTACACTATTATCTTCTACATTGTATGTGCTTTCATCTTACGAAGTCCATTCTGTTATCACAGATCAGGCTATAGCCCAACTCTTCTACTCAGTATCATGTGAATTGTTCAACAAAATCTTATACAACAAAAAGTACCTTAATAGATCGAAGGCGTTGCAAATCCGAATGAACTTGACGGTATTAGAGGACTGGTTGAGAGTTAAAGATTTGAGCCCAACACTAAACAGTTATTTAGAGCCTGCGATCCAATTGGTCCAACTCTTACAATGCCTTACCCAAATGATCGATTTGATGACGTATATCAACACTGTTAAGACGTTTCATCAGTTGAACCCTCTTCAACTGAAGAGACTTGTCTTGAACTACCGATATGAAGTGAATGAGCCCCGATTACCAGAGGAGATCGAAAAATATGCTATGCAAATAGCTGAAGATACCGTTCGAAACCTACAATTACAAAAGCAATCACAATCTGACTGTGCAAAGCGTTCAATGGAAAGTCTGAAAAGTATAAAAAGTATCTCTAGTGGCGTCAATAAAAACAGCCATGCTCTTAATGACAGTAATCAAGATAGGAAGATAAATGACTATAATAGCAGCAGACCAAGTAGTATAGCAAGCCTGAGCAGTTTGCTATACTACAAACCACCGCAGAGAAAAAAATCAGCTTCGCGTGCAACCCATTATGATGCTTACTCTTCAAGGCCTCAAACTCATCGGGCTTCGATTCAAAGTTTGGATTCTTCTCATCGTTGCTACGATAGAACTGTCGACAATGATGCAACTGATTATGATACTGTATCAATACAAAGTTGCACCAGTGCAATGGATGATGTAGTATTAGAAGAGCCTTCTAATAAGGAGATGCTAGCTGAAAGAAGAGATTCAAACTTCTTGCTACCATTCTCGCTTCCAAAGACAACAGATATGGTTCGGACAACAAAAGTAAACCAAAGAGCGTCTTCTTTGTCGCTGCAACCAGCGATAGACAAAGAAGAACAAGACAAACGCGGTAAAGAAAAAGATATGACCTGTTTATCAGATACAATATATTCTGGTTTGAAGCAAAAACTAATGGCAGAAAGGGAGAGGGTTTGCAAAGAAGAGAGTATCGTACCTTTTATACCCGAAAATTGGTTAACTCTCTTGGATCAAAAGAGGCAGTAATATAACGTAACTGTCTCTTTGGACTCAATGCATGAATAAATAAGACTGTTCTCTTCCTAAAAGCCGGATAAATCTGCGTTATGCAGTTTTTCGAATCATATTTTTACCATTACAAGTATGCAGCGCAGACTCTTTGTCGGTTATCATCACTGATTAGTGGATAGTGTATTTCCATCATTGAGAGAAAGCATAAGCTAATTTTATTAAACATCTATATCTCAAGTTATTCAGAAGAATTGTGAACCACACAGTTTGCATTGTCAAATTTCAGGTAAAGCAATGCATAGAAATTTAATTGGCACTTATGCACATCAGGTAGACGTGCACTATTCGTTTATCGTTTATTGTTTTTTTCATCACTATCATCACGGTACCCATTCGTTATCCGATGATGTTGAAGTACTATATTCCATTATGTTTTCTACCTAATTGTTAACTAGTTCTAACAATATCAGAGCAGAACCAATACGGAGTGTATACTTTGGACCCTTATTCCTTAAACTTACGTTTTCGCTACGAAGAACTTGACCAACTTATATTCTTTACAAGGATAAGTGTGTATTTTAATCGAGTAATTTGTCAGGAGCCCCCATTTGTTATCACATCTACTTTGTAATTCTATACAAATGTATGTCTGGGTGCAGCAAACAGAACTAGCCAGTGTGTTTTTTCATGAACAGTTTCAGGTCCCGCGCGCAATTTTGATGCACTTTTTCCAAACAGAATTCATCCTTTCTACTGCTACTGACTCAAACTTTCATAAATACCACAAAGAAAAGATGAAATATACTTTTATCTCTGTGCCAGCTCTAGGAGATAAACAAAATACCTACTTGAATATCAAAGGGAAATTGACTGAATATGCCCAAGTCTACAAACTGAACATTCCTGAATTCAAGGTAAGTTTCCAAACATCTCAATAGTTGAGCGTTTCAAAATTGACCTCCTTTGTTCAGATTGGCACTTTAGATGCCTTGGTTCTTTTATCGGATGACCTTGTTAAATATGATACAGTTTTTGAGCAGTCAGTAAATAAGACCGCAGATATGCTTAGCACATTATTGAAGGGACAAAAGGTCAGCCTTCAAGATCAATTATTGGTGAACGACAGTAAAGTATCTAACTTTGAGTGAGATGTATGGAACGCGTATATGCTGAATGTGTGGATTTACATATAGAGACTATCGATCAATATATCTCTACCTTTCAATGGAATACCATGAAGTATCGTACAGACAAGTCTTTACAAGAAACCACTGCAACTTTAAGTCAAGTATGTCTGATAAAAATTATGAAACATACAAGGCAACCTTTTCCTTTCTAAACATAATTTTCATTTTCTTCAAACCCCATAGGAAGTTACAGCTATTGATAACGTTATGAAAACCAAATTAAACATATATACCCAGAATAAGAATGCACTTCAAACTTTACAGCGTAAACAAACGTAGTGTATCAATTTTTCTCGTCATAGCAAGCAGAATCAGCGATTGACAGCTTTTTATCGTGAAATAGGGGTAACTTGTCTGTTCGTAACTTGAATGGTATTGTCAAGAAGCAACACTGTGTCTTGAATTCAGAATTCTTGATCACGATTATTGTTGCCGTACCTAAATCTCTTTACAAGCAATGGAACAATACATATGAAACTTTAACCTCTATGGTTGTCCCTCGTTCCTCAGTGTAAGTATACATTCCTTTCATTCTTTTGCTTTAACACGCAATCATTGATCGAGTCTTCCGCTTTATTATCAAAACTTTCAGTAAGATTGCAGAAGATGAGGAATTTGGTTTGTTTACTGTCACCGTGTTCAAAAAGATAGCCGATGAATTCTGTCACAAAGCCAGGGAAGAAAGATTCATTCCGCGCGATTTTACTTACGACGAAGGTGCTCTACAAACGCAGCAACGTGAATTAGAAGAGGCTTCTGCCACAGAACGCGAGCAACAAGCCGAGCTATTGCGTTTATGTAAAACCAATTTTAGCGAGACGTTTGCTGCATGGTTACATTTGAAAGCACTTCGTGTGTTTGTTGAATCTGTGCTTCGTTATGGCTTGCCGCCTGATTTTTGCTCGGTTGCTATTGCTGCTCAACCGAAATTTGAAAAGAAGGTGGATGACACGATGGTGGCCCAATATGGTCGCTTGGGAGGCGTTCATGGTCAGGCGATGATGAAGAATGATCATCATGAGGAATTATTAGATCATGATTTACAGTCTGTCAATGATAGTAGCTATCGACCTTACGTTCAATTCGAGCTTCAATTTGAGTATGAACGTAGATAGAAAACCAACCGAACGAAAACGAAAGACATAGCAAGGACCATTACCTGTTATTCAAATTTCACATTTACAAATATAACCGAATGAATTAAGGAATTGGGAAAAGCAATAAATCATTTATTTAAGAGAAACATGATGAAATGGGAACGAAATGGGGGGAAAAAATGGAAAAAATGAGTCTAATATTGTGAAGCCATTTGTTGACATTGCTTCAAAGCATCTAAATACCATTTGCAGGCAGACATATCATTGTTGGTTGCTTCTAAACATTGAGTGAATGCTTTGGCATCAGCCTCACAAGAGATACCATTTTGATTCTGAGCAGCCATAGGTTGGTAAGTTTGTTGTTGATATTGTTCTTGTGGTTGTGCTTGTTGAGGTTCATTGTTATCGCTTCTACCACCAAACATGGCTGAAACTCCATTGGCCATCGTATGACCCACTGCAGAACCGACTGCGACACCCGCAGCAGTTGATGCCACTATACAAATAGATAGAAAAAAGCTTTGCTGTTAGGGCCTTATTACTGCATCTTATCATTATTTCAACATAAACTATCTTACTTTGCCCAAATAGACCGGGCTGACGAGGTTGCGCTACAGCTGGTGGGGGTGCCTGTTGATGCTGCACAGGTACGTGAGGTTGTTGCTGTGGAGGGGGAGGAGGTGCCTGTCGCTGAGAAGGCATAGTATGAGCACTTCTAGATTGTGTTGAAGGTCCAGCACGGCGTGTCTATTATCAAAAAAGATGGTTATAAGTGTTTAGGCACAAGACGAATTTGCGGTGGGTAAGATTAATCTTACTTGTCTACGAGGCATTTTTTAAGGTCTATAATGAATAAATAAGATAAAAAGGTTCGAATAAAAAAAGGGTCGCAGATTTTTTTTACTCGTTCTTGTTATATGCCTGAGATTGTGTACGCAATGCTGGGGTTGAACAAATTGATTGGTTCTTTCGTAGCCGGACGAACCGGGGAAATTTATGCGTCAAACAAAGAAGGCAATTCTACATTTTTCAGCTTAGAATGAAGTAAAGTCAGAAATGATGAAAACCAAGCCAAGAGCTGGCATACATTTTTTCAGCAAACAGACTTTAAGTCTCACCTACGATGATGTCTCTGACTCTTTTTTATGTATAAATAACGTAAGGCGAGCGGATTTCGCTTTGGGCATTAGGCTTGATATTGAGAACTTTATGTAGCAGCATCACCCGTCAAGAAATAGCTCATAAATTTCATGATGACAAATGTAGACAATATTTTGGAATAATTTTGCCGATTCTATACACTGTTTAAGACTTTATTTCAGTCATGAACTTTCAAATCAATCTATCATCAACAAACGCCGACTTGTCGAAATGCTTGCTGAATTCAGGAACAATTGTACCATCGTTGGGTAAAAGCAAAAATGTGGTGCACTTCAGGACATGTCAAAGTGTTTTCTTGAAGGTCAGTTATGCAAACTGCTGCCGTTGATGTCATGCAAAATAGCAATGGCTGCTTTTGTGTGATACAAATTTCGAGTGCAACGTGAAGCGTTTTGACTGCGCACAGTACTAAACATTAGTATTATGTAAAACTTGACTTATTCCAATGATCAATATTGTTCAAATTGATCAAGATTGTTGGAGCAATTGCCTGAGATTGAACTCGCGCAAGTACAAATGTTACCCCACCTCATTGTCGGTAACTCAATTTAGCAGACTTTTTTTACTCCCGGTTCAGAAACATTCAATGCCAATTTCTTTTCAACTGTAAACGGTAAAATGAATCAAAGTGGAGCTACTGCGCAATCAAAGGAATTTCAATCCAGAGAAAGAGCCGCTGAAAATCAATATGCACGTAAAAAGGTATACCTATTGTTGTAGCGTTAGATGAAAAAAAACAAGACCATGCTTATAGAAGCTCATTTTTCAGGAAGCCGAGCAACTACAGAAGTTGAAGGAACAGTTGGATGCTACGGCAAAAAAAGATAGTAACGAGCCTACTGCTTCGCAGAGTAAATAGACGTTTAGGTGGCGGTTCATGAACACGAAATGATGGAAAGACTCCTCGACATATGTTCCTTTTATTGATTTTTTTCTCTAGTCTTCCTCTCATTCAATAAACAATTTCCATCGGTACAATACCTGTTCAATTTCAGTTCAACTATATTCTGCATACTGATATATGCAGCTGTTTTATTTAGCTCCTTTTGTGTTGCTTTTGACGGCAACCATTACTATTACTTGAATCACAGGAATGTGTTATCCTAATCGGTCCAAAGAGTAATCAAAGAATGGTAAGGTGGATAGTAGCATACACAACACTGTAGAGAGATGGCTTTGATACCTCATGTGATATAGAGAGTTTTGTTTGATTGTCATCCACCAACTAAAATATCAAAAACAAGGCATTCAGTTCGAAGAAAAAAAAGACTATACAGGAAAGGAGTGTTTACAGCAGAAATGTGTTTAGTTTTATGTGTGTGTATGTATGTATGTATAGATTAGTTTGTAAGAGATAAAGTAGAATTATAATAAAAAAGATATAAAGAAAACAAAATCAAAAAAGCGAGCACCCATCAGGTGAACATTGGTTGTATGGCCAAAAATTAAGCAGCAAGAGTCGTAGATGTTCTTGGCTGGAAACTCATGATGCATCCATCTTGAGGATAAATAGTAGCAAAAATAGAGATGTCATCACTCTTATCAGTACGGGTGTGCGTCCATTTCAGTTGAAGGGAAGCTTGCGCAAGAACGGCCATCAAGTGCATAATAGCATATTCTTTACCAAGACAATGATGAGGGCCATTACCAAAGACCATAAAGTTCTTTGGATGCTTTTCAGCAGTACCGTTAGGGTCCCATCTATCAGGATCGAAAGCATCTGGGTTGGGATAGACATTGGCATCATGAAGAGCGGGGTATGTGGTAGGAATGACCATAGCTATGTTACATAAAATGTGACCCAGTCAGTTGAGTTCAGTCGTATTCATCACTCCTTCATCCACTTACCGCCTTTAGGCACTGTATAGTTGGGTGTCAATGGCCATTCACGCACAGTCTGGTATGGAACCATGAGTACGGGTGGTCGAAGACGAAGAATTTCCTTCACCACTTGACGAAGATAAACGCTTTCTTCCATAAGCTCGAGAGTAAGCTCTTGATCTATATTGTCTTTGCGTAGTCTGAGTTGTTCTTCGTACACCTTTTGGAGAACGTCGGGGTGATCAGCCAACAATTGGAAAGCCCAAGTCAAGGCAGAAGAAGTAGCATCTTGCGATGCAAAAAGGAAGGTCAAAATGGTCAAAGCAATTTCACGATCATCGAATTTTCTAGGTGCGGGTTTTCCAGCCCGTTCACATTCAGCTTCCAATTCATTCATGGAGTTGATCCATGCATCCATCATCGATTTGACTTCTCCTTTATTGGCCATTCTGATACGGCTATCTTTGATGCTCTCTATAAAATGCTTAACGATGTATTTTCGAGATTGAATAGCTCTGTATACTTTTGTTCCGGGCAAAGGAATAGGAAAATTGACAAGTTCCAATGCTGCTGTGATATTAAAGTATTCTTTGGAGATGGTAGCGGCTACTTCATCCGACATATAATCGCCCAAAAAGACGCGAAGTGAAGCTTCCATGTTGATTTCACGGAAGCGTAGCTGATACTGTACTGATTTACCTTTTAATGAAAGCCATTCTTCGAAATGCTTTTTATACACTCGTTCTTGAATAGGAATATAGATTCTGGATGGGGAACAAAAGGGAGAAGTTTGAGGAAGTACAAAGTTAGACGAGTGTAAAACAATAACCATTTTAGATCGTGTTTCGTTACCCTAGTGCTTTTCGTGTAAATAATACGTTGAGGCCTCTGCGATAATCCACATGTTCTTTGCCACTTAAAAATACCCAATTGTCAGGACACAAGATATGTTTCATAGAGGCGACAACAGCTGGTTCAGCATAAGCAGGAGCATTCAAAATTTTACGACTGAGTTCACAAGTTGAAGCAATAACAACGAATCTAACCCATTGAGCGAACAAACATATTATATTAAACCCATGTTGACAGATGAGGATCGTCTTTGATTTTTGTTGGCTATATTTTCAAGTTGTATCCCCAGTAAAATCCCAATAGGAAGTATGGTTCTTACCTGTCAAAGACACTAACGCATGACAATTCTCCACTTTTCCATTTGCTCATGTAACCCTCGAATGTAGGGTAGAGAGAATCCATAAATGCACCAATGATAGGGATCTTTAGTTTGGGGCCCGGTAAAGATTTCTTCTTTCTCAGATAAACATATTGTTCATAGGCAAACAATCCAACAACCGCAGAACAAATGATGGCTGTAGTGGATACGTTTTGTTGCGAAAACGCAGATTTCATAAAAGAAGCCACCGTATGCTTGGCTGATTCAATCGTACGAGGGTCTAAAAAACTTGTGAATAGGAGAGGAAGAGGTGAGAAATAGTGTTCCTCTTACACATGTCTACCTTTACGTTTTCTCGGGTTCCTTTCGAGGTGAATGAGAGAGGATACCTTACCTCGTTGAAGACATATTCTAAGAAAAAAAAAAAAAAAAAAAAAAAAAAAAGCCGTAATAATAAATTGTCTACGCGAAGATGAATGGCTGGATCTATATAAAGACAAGCATTGTCAATGGAGACGTTTTCGCATCATTTGCAGGATATATCTTACCTAATGATAATCAACAAGTCCTTGGCTTCAAATAATTGTCCAACAACAGATCAATCAAAAAAAAAAAAAAAATAGACAAAAAAGAAAAGACAATGGATTGAAGAAACAAGAAAAAAGTTGATAAGATGCACAAAGAAGGAGAATAAACTGGTGTGTGTGTGTTTGTGTCCGAAGAAACCAAAAAAGTTTAATTGAAGGGAGCACAAAGAAGAAAAAAATCAACGACAATGTCGCTGTGAATAGGAACAAAAAACTTCAAACTTATATCTACATGTTTTCAAACCTGTTTGTTACGTTTAACACAGCATGGATTGTCTCGAGGTTATCGTAGATAATTCAGTGATAACCGAGCAATAGTACTCAAATAGCACTGAGAATAGCACTATGTGCCGTAGCATGAGTATGACAGGGCATGGTGTTTTACAAGGTTACATCTAGTTCGTTTTCTTTTTTTTCTTTTTCGTCTGCAACCCATCCCGGGTCAGACTCCACGAGGATGGTTGAGAAGTTGTATATTGACCTTTTTTTTTTTTTTTTCTGGTCTACTGCATTGCTAATATGCAGCTTTTTTTTTATACCTCATTAAAGTAAATTGGTTCGTTCTCGACATTGCACGACTGCAGCTTCTGCTGAGGGGTGACTAATCCTCGCTTCTTTCAATATTTTAATCCAAGGGAGCTGGGCATGTCTTGAGCTAATTTAATTGTTCTGCAGACACCTCGGGTATTTTGCAAAAAATATTTGTTTTTTGATTATTGTCCGGAGTTAGTTTCAGATAGCTTAAAAAACAGAAGAACTCAGGAACAATAAGTGGGGTGAGTTCTCGCTTATGTAACGTATGATATTATCGCTATGTCGATCCTGTGGAGTTTCTTTTTATGAGTCTTCTTTGCCTCGAAAAAATAACCTACACATTCGCATGCACTATAAATATTCAGAGCTTGTTAACTGATCAAGCTGAGTGGGGGCGGAGGCGGAGGCGGTTTTTCTTTGTATAAAAAGTAGGCTACTCGAAAGGTAGTTGTATGCAGAATGATGGCTGTCTGTATTTAGTCATTGCATTGCTCAAATAGAGATAATCCTTAAACATAGATTCATCATCTATGTCACCTTTTCCATAGGACTGATAGTGTATGTTATGAGAAAATCAGATTTTTACGTTGATTTTAGTCTTTGTTGGTCACTTTATGAATGGTATTTTATAAAAGCGTTCGAGGTAGTTCTACAAGCTCCTGTTGGTATCTGTCAGTACAATGGCAAAGATGTTCAATAGTTTGTAGCAGTTTTGAATGCTATTGTTCATGAATAGAGTGAGTTTGCTATATAACCGTCTCTAGACATCATTATGGGCTATAGTAAATTGATTTCGCAGAGTCTGTCAGTGATATCTTGAAAAAGGGTTATAAAAATAGGATGGTGCTTGGCTACTAGTATATCCTTCATAAAAGTATCTGATACATCTTTTCGAGTGTATTATACTCGTCATATGATATATCTAAGACTTGAAAAACAATATTGGGGGGGGGGAACTTTGAATGCTAAGCCTACTCTGCCCATCTTTTAAATGAAACTATGATGATAACGTGTGTGTTTTATCTAACCATTGATGTCGCCATATACAAAAATATAAATTTTAAAAGCTAATATTACTTGAACTGAATTTTTAATGCAAGGTAGTTGGCCAAATACTATGATGACTATTTGTATATTTGTTTTTTTTTTTTTGAAATAAACAGTCTGTGCATGGTATAGCCATTTTCTAGATAGAGTCTGAGCTAGAGTACTATTCAATGGAATTTAAATCAGATTAAAAAGGTCTATTGCTCTTTGTAACAAGAAAATGAAGGACAGGGTTGCCAAGTTGTGCTAATGTTGAATACATTGCCCATGTTTTCTCTTTCTATTACATTTGCTATAGGAAAAGAATTGCTTTTTGGACACACATTTGAGAAAAGTAATGTACGGGAGCTCATAAGTTTCTAAAAATTCCATCTCTATGCTCTTTTGATACGGATATTATTTGTTTTTCTGAACCTCTTAACTATTTTCTGGATGGCCCTTTTTTTGATCTAAAAAAGATGGGCTTAATTGATCCACGAACTGATTGGCGGAAAATGGTTTCTCTTTTAAGCGTTCTTGATTGGTCCCCTTTTGTGCCTAGATGCTTGATGCTGATTGCGAAATTTTCAACCAAATGAAAACGAAGGACATGAATGACTGGGCTGTCTCTCACTGAGATTGGATAAGGTGAGAGTGTCAAGGAGAAGATCCGCAATGCAATAAGGCTTGACCATCATCTGCCGCGTTTTGTTATGCACGTCAAAGATGCCAATCTCTTTTGAAAAGAGATTATGTTGGCATCAAAGACGGAGTTTGGTTTTTTCTGGTCTCCAAGGCAACCATGTCACTGAAAGATCTCTCTGCTATTTATTTTTTTTTTGTTAGAAAACGACAAAGAAGGCATGCTTTTTATATTCCAACAGACACACCGTGCATTGCTGTTTTGTTTGCCACACAAGATACAGTCATTGTCTAAGCTTCCCATCTGACCAAGTAAAATTGACATGTTCAATCAAGTTACACGATGCTACTTGAACTCAAAAGGTCTTTTTTAGATCATTTAAATCATGCAAGATTTTTGATGTTGGCTAACGATTGGCTAACTTGTTTTTCAGATAACGTTATTTGAACAGTATTTGATCGGCCATCTATTCATTGTCTAATATCACGTTGGCGATACTCATTTTTTCTTGAAAAGATAAAGTGGATGGATACCCGTTTGTATAGTAGTCAGCCTGGTTTATGCTTTTTTTTTTGGGTGTTGGAAGAGTAAAAAAAGAAAAAACTTAAAGCAACATAAGCTTGAAAGAAGGTTTATATGTCAACGCGTTCCGTTTAAAACCTTTTATCAGATGGGGGTGGGGGCAAAAAAGCGCTGGTTTCATACAATATGATTGGCCGCTCTGCTAAAAGGCATATAAATCTGATCTATCCAAAAAAAAAAAGTTAATGTTAACGTTCGTTATCCTTGCTTTTATATAAATAAATGGGTAGTTTTTGTCTTTCTCTTCTTTTTTTTTTTTTTTGTTTCTTCATTCTTTCTTTTTTCTTAAAGATACCTATTTAACAATTTTATACAATGGTGATTGCCACTAATCTCGGTTTCCCTTACGTTGGTGCTAAACGTGAACTTAAAAAGTCCGTTGAAGCTTACTGGTCTGGAAAGATTTCTGCTGAAGAGCTCAAGCAAGCCTACCAAAGCATCCAACAAAGCCAATGGAAGTTGCAAAAGGAGCAAGGCATTGAGCACATTCCTTCTGGTGAATATACGCTCTATGATCGCGTTTTGGATACTGCTCATCAATTTGGTGTGATTCCCACTCGTTATCAAGACATCAAGGACCCTCTTCAACAATTCTTTGCTATGGGTCGTGGTCTTCAAAAGGCTGCTACTGAAACAACGGAAAAGATTGATGTGCCTGCTCAAGAAATGAAGAAATGGTTCGACACCAACTACCACTTTATCGTGCCTGAATTTGAGCCTTCGCAAACATTCACTCTTCGAGACAACGCACCTGCAGTAGAACAATACAATGCAGCCAAGGCACTTGGCATCCAGACACGCCCTGTCCTCATCGGTCCTGTCACTTTCCTTCACCTGGGTAAGACAGCCAAGGGCTTTGACGAATTCGACACCATCACACTTCTCCCCAAGCTTTTGCCTGCTTACATTGAGCTCTTGAAGCAACTCGAAGCAGCTGGCGCTGAATGGGTCCAAATCGATGAACCTGCTCTCATTCTTGACTTACCTCAACAGGTGGTCGCTGCGTTTGAGGAAGCCTACAAGACGCTCAAGGCCGCTACCTCTCTCAAGACGCTCGTGGCTGCTTACTTTGGACGCGTCGAAGGAAACATCAAGGGTCTCCTGCCTCATGTCGATGCTGTGCATCTGGACCTTGTCCGTGCTCCTGAGGAGCTCGATGCCATCTTGCCTCTGTTGAATGATAAGCAAAGTGTGTCTCTGGGTCTTGTCGATGGCCGTAACATCTGGATCAACGATCTCGGCAAGTCTATCCAGCTCGCTGAAAAGGCGGTCCAAGCCTTGGGCCAAGACCGCGTCTTCATTGCGCCTTCCTGTTCTCTTGCTCACTCCCCTTACTCTACTGTCTATGAAAAGAAGATTGGTGCCGAAAACGCCGAGCTCTTCCGCTGGTTGTCCTTTGCAGTGGAAAAGACCAAGGAAATCGCAGTGATTGCACAAGCCGTGAACCACGGTGTGGACTCTGTCAAGGAGGCGCTCAGTGCCAACGCTGCTGCTCTTGAATCACGTCGTACGTCTGCGTTGACGACACAGCCTGCTGTCCGTGAGCGCACCAGCAAGATCCCTGCGGAAGACTGGAAGCGTCCTGACGTTTTCGCTGTGCGCCGCGAAGCGCAAGTCAAGAAGTTGAATCTGCCTCTCTTCCCCACCACGACGATTGGTTCTTTCCCTCAGACCAAGGAGATCCGTGTCGCTCGTCAAAAGTTCAACAAGGGAGAGCTTTCTGCTGCCGACTACGATGCGTTTATCAAGCAAGAAATGAAAAAGATGGTCGCGTTGCAAGAAGAGCTTGGATTGGATGTGCTTGTGCACGGTGAACCCGAGCGTAATGACATGGTGGAGCACTTTGGTCATCTTCTCCATGGGTATGCCTTTACTGAAAACGGCTGGGTCGTCTCTTATGGTTCTCGTTGTGTCAAGCCTCCTGTTATCTTTGGCGATGTGTCGCGCCGCGGCCCTATGACGGTGGACGTCATTGCTTACGCCCAAAGCCTCACTCAAAAGCCTATGAAGGGTATGTTGACAGGACCTGTGACGATGATGAAGTGGTCGTTTGTGCGTGACGATCTTCCTTTGAAGGATGTCTGCACCCAAATTGCTCTTGCTCTCCGTGACGAAGTCGTCGATTTGGAAAGCGCGGGTATTCCTTGCATCCAAGTGGATGAACCTGCTATTCGTGAAGGTCTTCCTATTCGCCGTGCTGATTGGGATGCTTACTTGGATTGGTCTGTTGCTTGTTTCCGTCTCTCCACCTCTGGCGTTCGTAATGAAACTCAAATCCATACGCACATGTGCTACTCTGACTTTAACGATATCTTTGATGCCATTGCCGCTCTTGACGCTGATGTATTGGTAAGTGGGAAAAGTTGTTTGACAGTGAGTGGTTCTTTTCCAATGGGATCCATGAGGTTAATGACCCCCTCTTTTTTTATTTTTTGACTTTCAAAATAGACGATTGAAAACTCAAAGTCAGATGAAAAGTTATTAAAGATCTTTGAAGTCAAGAGTTATCCTAACGAAATTGGTCCCGGTACTTATGATATCCACTCTCCTCGCGTTCCTCCAGTTGAACAAGTCAGAGAAAAGGTGGCTGATATGCTCAAGTACATCAAGCCTGAATTATTGTGGATTAATCCTGATTGTGGTTTGAAGACGCGTGGATTCCCTGAAACGGAAGCTTCTCTCAAGAACATGGTTCAAGTAGCCAAGGAATTCCGTGCTCAATATGCTCAATAAACCACCGTCGCGCACACTCCCCGCCTCCCCCTCTCTCTCACCCTTTTGTAGAAAAAAAAAGTTCAACACTGTATACCTCATTCTCAAGCCCTGCTTATATTTTTACATACAAGATACCTCACTAGTATCTTGGTTCAACACTTTTTGTATTATATAATTAAAAGAATTTTGCTTTTTTTTGCAATGACAATGCACACTCTATTATTCGGTTTCCATTTTAAATCTGATAACCGATTAGGTTTACCTGCATCTATGCTGCTGTGATAAAGAGGAATGGGAAGAGGGGGACAGCGCATTACGTCATTTTTTTTTTTTTTTCTTGTCAGAGTGTCTCAAAGAACGACGCAAAAAGGTAATTAAAGATAACACTTTTTGGGCACATGTATGTAGAAAAAAAGGTAGGGTTTAGCATTCACAATAAAGTATAAGAGATAAAAGGGCTTTTTTTGGAATTTAAAGTTTTTATACAGGGCATCTGCTCGTTTTTTCTTTGTTTTCCCGTACCTATGACGATGAGCATTCGACTCTACTCAACTGTTCTATCTATCGGTCTAGTGTTAAACATGTCTGTTTCTATTTAAAGACGCGACCCCTTTCCCCCTCCAATTCTACAATATGTTTGTTATTGTTTTGCGTGGAATGAAAAACAAAAAAGGTAGAAATCAGCGGCCGATAGATCGTACGATGTTTGCATTGTAAAAAAAAAAAAAGAGCAAACAGGTTTCAGTGGAAGCATGGTGATGATACTTGCTTATCTTTTCTTTTTCTTTTTTTTTTTTTTTTTTTTTTTTTTTTTTTTTTTTTCTTCTTGTCAACAAAAATTGATCTCACCCTAGGAAATGAGCATTCCGCGTTTTCTTTTTGTGAAAAAGAAATGGGTCAATGTTCCTCTTTGTCTGGGATTTCCGCGTGTTTCGTGATGTTTGAACGTGTTTTAAAAAAATGTTGTTGTGTAGAAAGTGCATGTGATGTCATAGACCTCGTTCGTTTCAGGCCGACCATCGTCTCTTTTTTTATTCCAGGAATAAGAAAGAAAAAAGTGGTATGCCCATTTTTTTTTGTTACGATAATGTCATTTTTAGACAAAAGACGGTATATCTCTCACCCCGATGCATGCCATTTTATAACTCGAAATAAAGCGAACAATGGATGGCTTTTTTATTGAAAGGAGATAGGCATAAGCAATTTATCCGGAGAGAGAGTGCCATATAGGCTCAATTTAGCCCCCTCTCCTTTTTTAGCTGGTTGGATAACCAATTTCATGTGCAAAAAGTATTGTAAGTGGATGTATATAAATTGTCGTGGTAATTTTTCAGAGCGTTTCATTCGATGAGGCCATTTGTACCCAATGAACGCTAAACGAAATATACCCTTGCTGTCCACACCCTGTCCACCTCTTCGCGCCTAAGCATCACCCCCCCCTTTTTTTTATATTATCTCTTATCTCTTCTTTCCTGGCCTTCTTTTGCTAAACTCTCCAAGAATTTGCCATCTGAGCACCAATGCCTACCTCTTCACCGTCGAATAGCACCCCCTCCCCACGCCTCATCTTTTCATTGGATGCGAATATTTTGTACTGTATGGCAATTTCTACTTTTTTATTTGTTTAAATAATAAAGAGGAGAGCGAGACTTTTTTTTTTTTTTGTATCTCCGGCCATCAACATGAGTGGACGACAGGAAAATCGGAAAAGAGGTCCAGTCGGGGGGGAATGGTTTACTTAATGACTCGTCCAAGGTTTAGAAGAGCGTTGTTATTAAGGTATAAACCCATGACGAATGCGTATGGATCATTTTTCAAAGTAAAGTGGAAATGTATGTATAGCTTTTTTTTTTTGGAATGAAAAAAAGTAACAAAAAGGTTATTTCTCTCATGTCTTTGAAAAGACGGGGTAAAGAATAAAAAAAACAGGGTCCATTACTTTTAAGCTATTTTTCTTATGCATGACGGGATAATGAGTTGCATGAAAAGTAATTTCAATTCGTTTTTCGGGGAACAAAACAAAAAAAGCGAAAAAAAAAAATTGTCCTGATTTTCAACTGTCCACACACAATTCTCTCTATGCCCATTATTTATATATACAATTCTTGCAGTCGTATTTGTGTCAAACACAATACAAGGTTTACTGTGCAATATAAATTCAATGGCTCATGTCAAAAAAAAAACCAAGTATTTCTATGAAAATCCGTAAAAATAGTTACCTATTTGGCAAGTCCGGATCAAAGCGCGCAACAAGACTCGGAATAAAAAAAAAAAAAAAAAAAAAACGCTAGATAGATACAGCCGATCTCCCCGAGTATAATTTATTTTATTTATATGGGATTGTAAATTAGAGTTTGGTTGCTACACGATTGTGCGAATGAGATGAATAAGCGTGTTTGAAAGAGGGGGGGTAACGGTAGTTCTATAACAGGTACATTGATAGAGCTTAATGTCACAGCAACAACAATAATAAACAACAACAACAACAACAACGATGAGGCTCATAAAGCATATTTGTTTTGACATTTATTTACAGTTAAACATGACACATATATACATATATTTATATATATAAAAAAGAAACTGAATGAACAGGTCTTTTTTTCAGAGACGCTAATAAAGACAAAGATGGTACAATCATTAGGACCTGGGATGTACATAGAGAGTAATAACATATATGTATATTGTATATTAGTATATAATAAAGTAGTAGATAGGCATTAAATGGGAAATGAGTAAAAGGGAGATTATGTACAGTATGGTATATAGTTAGGAGGGGTGATATTGAACGAGGACCGTGGATATAAAAAGGTATCATTTCTTTTTTTTTTTTTTTTCAATAATCTTCTGCTTCTGGTAATGAATCAACACGCTGCTGTAATTTCAGCAGCTTGGCAGCCATGGCTGTTTGTAAGCCTTCACGTGTCAAAGGATCCTGCATATGATCAAGCAGCATTAAAAAGGCATTGGTGCAATTCGTCAGTGCTTCACGTGCAGTGACTAAATCGCCTGCGTAATAGCTGGATCCTCGAGAATCTTCAGCATAATTGAGTTCTTCGATCGCTAATGCGTATAATGATTGTAAATGCTCAAGCTCTCTGGAGATATCCAGCATATTGGAATGAACGCGGCTGCTGGTACTCATCGTAGGTTGCTGCTGTTGCTGTTGATGATGATGATGATTGCTGCTTTCTGTTCTTCGGAAGAAAAGGGATGGCAATACATGACGTACTTTATCGGCTACACTTGTTGTTGAATCCAAGGTACCCACAGACATTGTATCACTATGTTTTCTATTATATTTGTTGTGTTGAGAAACCACTGTCTCTTCACTGTCTCTTCTTATGGATGCAGGATACATGGATGCACTGCTGTTTTGTTGTTGCTCTTGTTGTTGCTGTCGACGGTGTTGCTTGGGATGATGGGCTGGATATAACTTTGTGATAAAGGAACTCCATTTACTCTTTTTAGTGAACGAACTAGTAGTGGTGGCGGTAGGAGAAGGCATTGCTCTAATTTGCATGATGAGATAAGAGTCAATGATAGAGTAAAATTTGTAAGTACAGAAATAAAGTAAAAAGACGAGCGAAAAAGAAAAAAAAGGGGAAAATAACAAAAAAAAAAAAAAAAAAAAAAACCGCAGTGGCTCTTATTTATAGCAATTTTTGAAATCCAAAAAAATATCAGAAAAATAGAAAACAAAAAAAAATACCCAATTTAGGAAACGCGAAAAATTCGACGTGTGATGCTGGTTTAGTAAAATCGTTCATGAAAAAAGGAACTGTCAAACCAATGACTGGTTGCACACACAAGCGAAAAATAAAATATATCTACAGCCATCGGAGCCAAGAAATACTTGGTTTTTTTTTTTTCTTTTCCTTTGTTCTCTCTTTGTGCATAAAAAAAAAAAAGGCTATCAAATAAAATATAATATTGATATGATATTTATTTCTATAAGCAAAAAGGGGAAATCCAATTTTCTATTAAAAATTCATGCAAAACTATTTTTATCAAATTTCCTTTACAAAAAAAATAAAATAAAATTGACCAAGCATTGCGCATTACAGGCAAGCCTAGTCTACACTCTTTACTATGTTACTAATCAAATAGCAATTGGTATAAACCTTAACTTTTATGCTAAAAGAGACTAGATTACATCCGTCAAGGTCTAGATTAAGTAAATAAACAAAATGGATGAAATAAATCAGCGAATGACTTTCTCAGCATTTATAATAAAAAAAAGCTTGTTTGTGAGCTTGAGTAAGCAAAATCTCCCGGTTGGCAACAGACAAAGAAAAAAAAGATTTGCTCCTGTTAAATAATAACTTTTCGAATGGAAAAATAGATCAACGCTAAACAAAAAAAAAGATCTTCTTTTATCGTCAACGCTTTACAAGAAGATCTTTCCTCTCTCTTGATTGACGATTTGCCTATCAAAAACACTTTATTTTACAACAATGGAACTCTTAACAATAGCATAATTCTTTTTCCAAATAGAGTTCTTTTTTCTCTTTTGTTGTATGTCAAATCAAAAAAAAAAAAAAAATATTAAAAAAATAGGTTGAAAGGTTACACAGAAAAGTGCTATATTTTTTCAAACCGGCTTTTCCTTTTCAAATTGCAACCATTTGTATGCAGCTAAAAGAAAAATTTAAAGAATAGAAACAAATAAAGCAAGTGCAACAATGAATTTGAAAAAATCAAGTGATGAAAAAGTGAGGGGACTCACAAAATGAAAGAAATTTCATTCACAATGCGTTTCAAGACGAGCAAAAAAAAGACGGTTTCCATTTTCTGTCTCTTTTTTTTTTTTTTTTTTTTTTTCTACAAAAGCGCGCAGTATGGATGATTGTCGATAAGGTTTATTTTTGATCTGCTTTTCTTTTTTCTTTCTTTTTTCTTTTTCGTTGTGTGTCGATATTTTATGCCGTCGACTGTCAGTCATCCATGGACATCTTACCGTTGATTCATGCATGATACTACTACTACTACTACTGCTGCTGCTGCTGCATAAACGTATTCAATTGAAAACTACCTACTGGAAAAGGAGGAGGGGGTATATTTTATTTTTGGATGCATCTCTTTGATATTAGCAAAGGGTAAATAAGAAGAGGAAGGAGAGTAAAAAGAAGATTGAATAAATAAAAGGACCCATGGAGGCTATGATCCTTGTTGCCGACGATGACATGGGCGTGGGTGATGATTTTAAACCATGGCTTGTATTACTATCATCACACAACGACCGGGATTTGGGTGTTTTTACACTGCCACCCGTTGTGTAATTCGTTTTCGTTAATACCGTCGAGTATCCGATCGAATCCAAAATTCTCAAAATTCCAGGTCCGATCGGGGAACGGTATGTTTTCTCCACTAGGAGAAGAGAGGGTGTAGTGGCACTCGTACTGGTAGCAGTCGCATTCGGGTGGCTCGTGGTACTATTCGTTAAAGCCGTTGCTACTGCTGATGCTGATGCTGATGCTGATGCTGATGCTGCTGCTGCTGTTGCTGCTGCTGTTGAATGGTTGATGGTGGTTGTGCTATTATTTGGGGTCGTACTATTCGTATACACAATCATAGTATCATTGTACTTGAGTTCCGGAATATCCTTATAAAACATAGCCACGAGTTCTTCCAACGTGTGTCCCATGTGGTACTGTCGCGTCATTAGGAAATCCGGTGTACGAGCATATTGATCATCCAAATGAGAAATCGCTAATCCAGGCCGGTTCAGCGTAGGTCCCGTAAACTCATAACGTGAGCGCTCAAACAGATCGGGTCCCGTCAACAGCGTCATCTTATGATACGTTTGATTCAAATAAGGAATCAAATTGTAACTGCTGTTCGCTATCGCCGGCGGTTGAAATTCAAAAGAGAGCGTCTCGGGCTCGGATAAAGAATGCCATAGTTGATGCGCTGTTGTCGACTGTTTCGCGCTATTGAACAGTTTGATAAAGTTGACAATAAATGCGTTGCTGTTTTGAACACAAAAATCTTGCATCTCAAAAGCGACTTCAGAAAGGTTAAACGTCTGCGTTCCGTTCTTGTTGTTGTTGCTGCTGCTGTCGTCATCATCGTCGTCATTATTCACCACGCTGATAAGGTATTTGTCAAAAATCATGTTGGGTTGAAAGCCGGTGACATAAGCAGGTCCAGTATCTTGATTGATAAACCAATAGGGTCCCGGCGTGACCACCTGCAATTCTGAAGCATCAATGATCCCGTCTACCAACGTACGGAACGGTGACGCGTCCGTCCAAAAGTAAGCAGCCCAAGAACTGAGAAAACCTAACCCATGCAGTAATTCATGCAAAACAATATACCGGAAATCCACTTGATTTCGTTTGATTGCATTTTTGCCTGATGCCTCTGTATTATTTTTTTCATCATCACTCTATTCAAAAAGGACGCCAATCCCCTGTGAGTGTCTTTTTTTCCTCATTCGATGCCCTATGCCATTGGGCACATGGATCGATAAAAAGTGAATACTTACGTAAAACCAATACACGCCTCCCGGTGGAGTCCCGGTTCCGTTCCAATCATACATGTTGTACGCCTCATCCAAATCAGTTGAATTCATATAAGCATCGTGATTGATCTCTATTTCAATATCATACTTTGCCCAAACGGAGGTACTGCTATAAGGTGCTAATTGTTTCGCTAATGCTTGAGGATACACATAGTTCAAATCCGCTCCATCCTCAAAAGGCAATGTGAATTGCGACGTCGGGGATCCCCACCCATAAGTCTCGTTAGCACACCTATGCTCGCAAAAGCTATAATAACGTACTTTTATCCTTTTGAAGGGAGGGGCTTGGTGTGTCAATCATTTCATTCAAAGCGTAAGGGACTACGAACAAAATCAAAAACATGGGGCTACTACTTACAACAAACTATTCTTCACATTAATCACTTGACTCACGAAATCAATCGCTGCTCCCACTGCTCGGCTGACTTTATCACAAAAGATATCATCCGCTCGACATTCCAAGTCATATTGTACAAGCGGATCAGATGTATTTGTATACTGCAAGGTCGTCGTATTGGACGTCGTGTTGGTGTGAATGTCATGGTAAGGTGTCGCTCTCCCCTTCAACGAACTTGTTGTATGACTACGGCTGCTACTCATCATCGCAGACGTAGCAGAGGAAACGAAGGGTACTGCGGACCCCTCTGACGGAAGACGATCCGTCACCGTGGGTAGAGACGGTGACGTCGTCGTGCTTGCGACCGCAGAAGCAGTCGTTGGCCTGATAAAGGGATCACTGCTTGACAGCAACGCTTCGTTCACTGTACTTGAAATAACCTGTTGTGGTGTTGTTATGACATCAACAGATGGAGTTGGCACCAGCGGCATCATAGACTGCATTGTCGGCGTCGTTACAGCCGTGGCTGCAGTGGAGCTGTCTGTTGCCATCGACGCCTGGGCATTCACCGCTTGACTACTGCTTTCATAAGACTGTAAGGAGACGAACGGTTTGCCAGACTGAAACATTGTTTCTGAAGGCTCGGGTGCATCTATTGGAACTGCACTCACGGTAGGGTCATCCTCGATGGCACCTTGACTGCCTTCCTCTTCTGAATGATCACTTTCACCTTCAGCATTTTCTCCATCTTCCTTTGGTGTATCTTCATCTTCATCATCATCCACTACTCCCTCCTTTGGATCCTCTTCTTCGCTATCTTCATCCTCGCTTTCCCCCGTCGTGCCAACATCAGCATCACTCTCATCACTTTCATCTTGATCATCATCAACATCTGGATAATTTGCTGGATTGGCTCCTGGCCATGCTTCTGGTAACGTTTCTTTTGCTGAAACGTCTTCATCGTCATCCTCATCTCCCTCCTCATCGTCTTCAGAGTTATCTTCAGCAGCAGAATCATCATCAGTGTCGTCTGTATTGTCGTCAGCATTCGCATCATTTTCAGAATCAGCATTTGTGTCAACACTATTGACATCTTTTCCTTCTGTTTTTGCCTCTGCAGCTTTTTGTTGCTGTTGTGCTTGTGCTCGTTGGGCCTGCTGTGCTTGTTGTGCCTGCTGTGCTTGTTGGGCCTGCTGTGCTTGTTGGGCCTGCTGTGCTTGTTGGGCCTGCTGTGCTTGTTGGGCGGTACCTGGGTTCGATACCACGGATGCTGGTATCACCACCGTCGCTGCGGGGTCTGCCATTTCTACTCCATCTGTGTTTGGGTATTGATCATCTGGACTGTCAATGGTAGGTAAATTATGAATAAAGTCTAATTGCTGAGCAAGGTACACAGATGTTGATTTCGATCGTTTTTCAAGTAAAACGAATGGTGAAGTGAAAGGATAACGACCATTGTATGTTGTTGTTCTTGTCGCTGTTGTTGTCACTGCTGCTTTTTCCTCTCCTACTGCCTTACTGTTGCATAACGCTGAAGGCAGCACGAGAGTAAAGAGAGTAAAAAGTAATGTGATTTGCAATACTACACTCCGAACAAACAGTTGCAGAAAACGTTGTGTAATAATACGCATTACTTTTTTTCTTTTTTTTTCTTAAAAGGAATTTTTTTTCAGAAAAAAAAAAAGGTGTGCCTTTGAACCTTGTTATTTCACTTCTTTTTTTTTTTTTTTGTTTTGTTAATAATGATCTGTAATGGTTCAAAAAAGCAACAAAATGTTTATATTGCAGAAAAAAAAATAAATTCGAAATTAAGAAAAAATAAGAAAAAAAAGCCCTATTCCTTGTTTTTTTTAAAAAAGGAAATCTCTTTTTCTTTTTTCCAAGGCAGTAATACAACAGTCAATTTATGCTGTATTTCTAAAAATATCAAAATACATTTTGGTACGGACACTAAAATTTCTTTGAGAATAAATAGAATAAAAAAAATTGAGATGAAGCGGGGCGTCAATGTTTGAGCCTCTTCTTTTTCAATTTAGTGAAAGGATGAGCGATAAATGCTTACTGAAACATGTAGGTAAAAGATGATGCCCACCTGGTGCTGTATTCAACAAAATAGCTCTTTCCATTTTTAACAGCCCTGTAACTGCATGAAATCAAATAGCTTCAAATTAAAAGATAAACTGCAGAATAACACGCGACAAGTGGTGAAGACCGTACTTGGTAGCATCGCTCCATACCAGGTTTGGAGAATAGGGCGAACATTCTGAAGTTGTTGCAGCTTCTTTAAAAGGGTATTGCATACGTGTTGTAATGGAAGCATGTATATACCAAACATATCTTGAAAGGAAAATGAGTATAAAGTGCTAGAATTATTGTCGTTCCCTGTACAATGATAGTCTCTATTTTATATATGATACAAAGGACTGTAGATCATGTTGGCCTCATGCTGGGTTGCCAAAAAATCATATGAAAATAGATACTTTGTAGCTTTCAGACTTGTGCCTATGCATACTGTTCTATTTAAAGATAACTGCTCCAAAGGGACAGAAGATGAGGTAATTCAAGACAATGTATGAAATATGAATCTCCCCTTGTCCTTTATTCATACCGAAAACCATGAAGGAGTGCGTTCACAGCAAACAGTCTTTTAATATTTTAACACCTCATTCTTTCAATGGGATTACAGACGGTACAAACATGCCCGTGGACATCTAGTCATTATATAAGTGTCACGAGGACCACTTTGATCATCACGGCGCGTTTTACCATCAAGATGTGATCGTATTGATATAGGATAAAAGGTATGGAATCACCGTACTAACTAGTGCTGATGCTAGCTGGTCTAGGTTAATTAAAACAGCCTAATAGGTCGAGTATCTCTTTTGCAAATCATCTAGAAGCTCCATAGCTTCTTAAAATCAAATCATCTGATTCATTCGGCTTTTCAGTGTGCCTTAATGAAACTTATAACAGATTTATGCTTTGCACACACACACACACACACACCCCCCCTTTTTTTTTTTCTATAAGAACTCCTTTTTCTGCCATCTGTTGCTGTGATTCATATCACTATGATACGAGATGGAGCTGGAGATTGACTTGTTTTCCCATCAACATGGTATTACTTTTTTGTTTGTCTTTTCGGTGGCAATGACAATAAAATAGTATGATTTTGTATGGGTTTTCAGATGACTGTCAATCACATACATCTATATATGTCTTGGGTATGCATTTAGGGAAAAGGAAGGAGGGAGTCGATAGAGGCGATACTCCTCCTCCGAAAAACATATGAGCCCCTTTGTGAAAAAGTTAGATAATGATAGACAGAGTGAAATAAATCACTCCCGCCATTCTATCTCTCTATCACACGTTTCATGCTTCTCCCCTGTTCCATGCACTTCAATGCCTAAAATAAATTCACAAGTTTATAGTTGTAGATCTCTTTTCTCATCTCTTCCACATTCTGCCACATAAAAAAGCTGTCATTGATACAAGTACATCTCTGTTACAACTTTTGCAATTCCATTCAGATATCAAACGAAACATGTCTGCGCCCAAAAGCTTATCCAAGAATACTTTTCTGAACATACAAGCAGCTGTCAATCTCGCCAAAAACACAGGATATCAATGTTGGATAAAGGCATACAATCCTTTATTTTGGATCGTCTCATTACTCTTCATTTATTGGAGAGATACCCAGCATTACCTTTTTCATCACTACTATCAACACAAATGCCGTATTTCAGCTACGATGACTCGTCATGACCCTCCTCCTTTTGAATATAGAAAGAGACTTTCAGCGAAAAGCAAACACACTCTCTCCACCCTCGCTCACCGAAATAACGCTCATTACAGTTATATCGATATGGACGGATGGCAAACAATAAAAACAGTAACTTTCATTGACACCCAATTAAATGCAAGTGCCCTGCAGAAACATCAACAAAGGTTGCATGATACTCATCTTCAAAAAAACCAATCCCACGGGCTCAAGGGTACCCATACAAATAGTTGTAGTAGTCGTACTCATTCGACGATCAGTTTTCGACACCCACTAGATGTACATCATGACCAAGCAAAAGCGCTACTCTCTCTTGTGGAGAAACAAGCTGAAACTGAGAACAAGAGAGACACTCATAAAAAACGATCCCTCTTTTCCATAAAATTGTCAATGTCACAGTGGAAACTCATCAAGAAAAGGAAACGCCATCAACAAGTAGAATCGTCAACAATATCAGCTGCTGCTATCGGTACAATCAATCAAGAGGATAAAAAACTTCCAGCATTCAACAAACGAAGATCATCCATTTTATTCTTGAAAAGAAGAGCAAGCCAGACTAGCACCTTCAGTGGTAGTAGTAATGATAGCAATACTGGCAGTGAGACAAGTAGCAGCAGTCAAAGAAAACGAGTGAAACGCTTGTTTACTTCTACTTTATCCTCATTGAAAGCAAGACCCTAAATACTATCTTATCCTATAAAGTAGTGAGCAAGGTATACATGCTATAAGTAATGGATGGCCCTTTGCATCAGCCGTTTGACCTATAATATGCAATAATAGATACAGAACAAAAAGAACAGAACACGAATGGACCCCTTCTTATTTCCGCCTTCCTCCATCAGATGTGTACGTACATGTATTTATGACCCGTTGCTTTCATCAGTTGATTAGACAGCTTTCAAGATAATTTGAATATTTCAACAGATTTATAGTAGAAGCACAGTACAACAGGATTAACTTTGAAAAAATCACAAATTGACAGAATTTTCTTCAAGTGTTGTACAATTTACATTTATCAAATAAATACACCCTGCTTTTTAGACACTCATTTGTCTATAGACAATAGCTTGATGGTTTGCTACTGATGAGTTTACTCGATAAAACCTCTCATGATGAAATGATCGCCACAACGCGCTTCTATGCTTTCTCAAAGAGAGAATACCAGATCGTATAAAAGGCGGAAGTGTATATGCATACGGAAGGAGAACGAAAGCACTCAGAATTCAAATTGCCTGCCGCACGCTCAGTTACCATAATGGACAATTGGGTTGAGAAATCAACTCAGCGAAACTTTTTTTGTGCAGTAGATCTTTTTTTTTCTTATTTTTCAACTCTTTCTTTTATTACCTTTCTTCTGCTTGCTCCATTGACAACCGTCATGCTGTAAAGTTGAATCGTGAATGAGAATAATAAAAAATGCTTAAGGATGATTGTAGCTAATTTTCCTTCCTTTCCACTTTTTTATGTTCTGTTTTTTGTAAAAAGCGAGAGTTACTCAAAGCATGCTACACTCATTAATAACTGTTATCCAGTAAAAGAGGGAGAGGCGAAACCAAAGTCTTCGGAGCTTAGCTATCTCGTATTTTATGCTAGTTCGAGGCCTGTTAAACTGACCAAAGTGGGTTTATTCTTGGAAAAAAAAGTCAAGTATGATGTTTATAAAGGCAGACATCAGTAAGTCAGAAAGAGAAAGAGACAAATCGCACCTACATTTTTGCGCATAATAAACTCAAAGCTCTTCTTGGTTTATAGGAGCAATAAGATTTCATTAGAAATCATCAAAGCTTTGATTGAAGCTTGTCATCGAGATTTGAATTTGTTCTCGAAAAATGTAGTGAAAATTATTGATATGGTTTTGGATACAAAAGATATCAGCATGATTGATTCAGCATGCCAAGTGGTAAAAAAGCGTCGTTCATTTGATCCTTGTACAACGCAGGCATAAAGACTCACTTATTCATATTATTAGTTTGTTGTATTTACAAAATATCATGAGGGATCAACTTTAGGTGTAGATTCAGAACTTACAAAAGACTATGAATTATTGTTAAAGAAATTTGCAGATTTCTGTAACTATCGAAGTACGGATGATACCCTAACATTAAAGTAAATCTCAATTGGCTGATAAAAACATGATAAAAATAGTGTCCATTAACATGATGTATCCTTTGTAGAATGAGATATATTGGTCAAAGAGGGTTACAAGCAGCAGCAAGGTCAAGTGCCTTACAAGCTTCTAATTACAAGTCTCAAGTTGAACTTATCATATCACCGCTGATCAATACATTATCCACCTCCAAAAATCCTGCCAATGCCTTAGCACAAAGGTATTACCTGAATGTCTGATTTTGTCGCTACTTGAAGTAAAATATAATCCTTAACACTATTCTATAGTCCAGACGAAGATATGGATAATCAACAATCAGCCACGCAGAATGAAACTCTCAATGTGCATTCCGTTGATATTCTAGCTGCTAAAACAACATCACTGCTACTCAAGAGGTCCAATGCTGTAGGTGTGAAACTGGTGTTAGGTCCTTTATTCGCGTAAGCAGGAATACAACAAATTGAGCTCCTTTGTGTAATGACGAATTTTGATTGCTCATGTCTTTTGTGTTCTACTCTAGATTTATGGATTCACACAAATTATGGTGGCCACCTCAATTTGGTGTATCCATGATGGAATTAGCTCTGGATTCACTGCAGCCTCAATATCGCTATTTACTTATTTCAGAAGTGCTTCAGCAATTAGAACTACTGAGTCACAATAACAAGATGACGGTCGACGTAAACAAGTTTGCCTGCTTAGTGTCCATGCTGGATACCATGTTGAATGCCAATGTACCTTTAGTGGGCGTATCAGTATTGGAAGTATTGAACTCTTTGTTCAACTATTTAGTAAGATCTGTAAAGGATTTCAAGGCATTCACATTGGTAGAAACCAACAACATCAACAATAGGGAAGCTACATCGATGGAGTTTACCATCCAGAATGGCCTTGTTCACAGTATTGGTGGTTTAGCTTCTCAGACTTACTATCTCAATCAGTTGAATGATATTGCAGGTTACGTTATCAGCAAGATGAAAGTGGGCCATCACCATCCAAAGGATTCGACCCAAACAGCAGAAGAAGAAAGCGACGGCGCAATGGATGGATTGCCGGCTCAAGAATATCGAAGTATTGCTCTACACTGCTTAAATGCTGTCATCACGACTTCTTCTTCCACCAACGAATCAGAAGGCAATGATGATGAGTATGGAAAGAGTAGCACGATGATAGAACCTACAGCTCCTGTCTTTAGCAACATCATATCTTTAGATGCTTGGTTCTCTGCTTTGGGTTTATTGACAGACCCATGTCAAGAAACAAGAGTTGAATTCGCAAACACACTTGTTCATTATTTTGAATCGACTTGTGCTGAAGAAGAAGCAACCATTGATATTTATCCCAAGCACACGATGAATCAGCATGGTGATGTCATGCTCGTCAATGCCCTGCATCAAGCCATTGTCGACTGGGTTCAGTTACCCAATATAAAAGCGGAGGACATTCATGCTATGTATCACATCTTGACGGCACTCACTAAGAAATTCGGTGCTGATGAGACAATCAAAGCTGTGCCTCTCATCTTCAAAGTGCAAGATTTGGTACAATTTTCCACTACATCCATCCAGGGAACTGCACGTCAGAACGCTATTGCTGCTCTGGTAATCGAGTGGCTCATGATGACAGGTCGCTTTTATAGAATTGACAGTTTAATACATTATGCTGACGAATTAAGAGAGGGACGTATCCAGTCGAATCAGTACTCAGCTATCTTTATGGACTCTAATAGCACCCGATGGGATAATAATCAGCCTACCACTACTATGACAACGAGTAGCAGTAGTAGTGTTCATTCGAAGAACGATGTAGCAAGTATAGACAAGTTGGATAGCAGCATTATCAACCGAGAAACTAGTTTAGAAGCAGATACGATTAATATCATTCCAGTAGATAAGTTCGTTGACCGTCCTACTGTAATAGATATATTATCAAAAGATGGGCCTTTAAGAGATGAAGAAGATACAGAAGGCACAGAATTGGAAAATAAACTAAAGGCAATTTGGGGAAACGAAAGCCACATAGCTTTATCAGCAACAGTAACAACAGCAGCAGGCCATCATGATCGTTCTTTTAGAATTAGGACTTCTCGTAATTTGAGTGATTTGAAAGCTAAATTAGCGACGTCTTGGGCACTGTCAGACGTGAGTCATATTGACCCAGATACGAACAAAAAACAAATGATTCGTGTTGAAAATTTAAAAGAAGCTTTGAATGGAGGATTGCTAGCAGCAGCATCCGCAGCATCCGCAGCAACAGCAAATAATACCACTGGCATTGCTTTCACTAATAAAGCCGATGAATTGCCTTCTGATATCAATACATTACTCCAAGCACTCTCACAACAAGGCAGTACAAATAGCCCACCTTTGTAAGTTATCATTTTGAGTCGAATAAACCATTCGAAAGGCAGAGAATGCTAATTCTATTCAAACTTTGTTTTCTATTAATAGTACAACTACATCTTTAATCAACCCTCCTTACAAGATCTAGATCCATTCTTTTACCGAAATCATAACATATTATCCTACCTCTTAATAAACGCTCTCATACTCATTACTCTGATCTTTGTCAATGATCTAAGTTGGATAAGAGATCTGATAAGCTGTTTGATCAAGATCTGATAAGGAATTTTGTCACCATCTTATTCCTTTTTTTCCCTGTGTATAAAGGAAGCTAAAGGAGGCATGACTCAACTATTGGACATCGTTAAATGCGTGTATCGTATACTTTATTGGAAACAATCAGCATTTATTTTTTGTATCAGGGGGATAAGGAACCGAGGAGGCAATGAAAGAATAGAGGGTATATGTTCTACTGTTTTGATATATCGTATTGTAGCTTGACGTATAGTAAGGTATCTTTATGAAAAAACGTATTTTTTTTTTTGTTTTTAAAAGTCGCAATTTTGATGTGTAGTTTTTGCTGCAGCAGTTGTTGTTGTTGTTGTTGTGCCTGCTGTTGCTGCTGTTTGACGAGGTATATGGTTCCAAGCATGTAAGAAAATAGGCTGCGTTGCTTCATGATTACTCTTTGGCTGTGTATATATATTTTGAAAGACAGCCTCTTCACTTAGCTGGGCACTACTACCGTTCAGATGAAAGATAGGTGGCTCCTTAAAGAAATGTGCAGATGTTAAGCAGATAGGCGACAACGAAGGCGATGGATGAGAGTGAGCGTTAGATTCATGAAGAGAAGAACAGGCTGATGCAGCAGTAAGTGCAGGTGAAGCAACAGCTGTTGAACAACGAGGAAAATCCTTTAGTTCCGCATAGTCGTACCCTAGAAGTGGATGGTTGTTTAAAGCATCCGCCCGGAGACACTCTTCAGAACAATAGAGTGAATTCTATATAAAATAAACAAGTCAATTTTTGTAAGCTTAAACTTCATTGTTGTTGATCGTTGTAAAATAGTTATATCACTTACAGAATAAGGATGAATAGCATTATCACAGTAAGTACACCAATTTAAATCAGCCATTAAAATAAGAGAGTTGTTGTGATAGCAGATGGATGTTTTGAATAAAAGATAATGAAAAGGAAGAAAATTAATGGGAAAGATAAGCTACTTTTATATTAAAAGAGAGGGTTTCAGCAAAGAAAATAGCTCATTTTTATCCACAGAAAGTTCTACAATTGCACACACGCACAAGCACACAAAAAACAACAAAAATCATCCAATACAGATTTGCATATTACAAACAATGACTTACACAGATCTCTAGTCCGTGCCCCCCTCTTTTTTCTCTTTTTCTCATCATTTTATAACATCGACATTTGATTGGTTGGAAATGACGGAACAGACCGTTCAAAATGCATTTTTCAGGAGAAATCCTGTATCAAAAAGACTTTTTCATTTTCAGGCACGTGTACAACAAAGTACTAGGTTTTAGAAAAGCACAGTATCTTCGTTTCAGATTCTTTAAAAAAATATTCGAAATTTTTTATAAGCCAAATTTAGACTCTTTTGAAAACTGGTTTTAGACTATTCTCAAGCTGAATTTGGACAAGAGACCTTTAATCCTAAATTATTCACTGCGAAATAAAAGCATACAAAACCAATGAACTGCTACCCCGCAATTATGTGCCATTTGAGCTTAAGATTGTTGACATTAATGAGGGAGCAATGGATGATCTCTTTTAGGTTGATGAATCCCTGGAGCATCGTGGTCCTACAGGTGTTAGAGAATTCTTGGTTAAGTGGAAAGGTTACTCTGAAGAAGATAGCACTTGACACAAGGTGAGTGACTTCTCAAGCCAAGAAATTTACAAGATTATTGGGATCAATGTGACTTGCAACAGCAGGCCAAGGAAATAGTAGATCTGCTAAAAGATCCAATTCTTCAAAGTGCAAGACTCCTACTCAAACCTAAAACAGAGAGCAGCCACAGACGAGAGAAAAGAAATCGAGGCGAAAACAGTAACTGCTATGCGCACAGATGCAGTTAGAGAAAGTAATTTTCACTTTCAATATATGTTGCCAGGCGGAATATCGCTATCTTTTCAGAGATTTTGTTTTTATTATGGGGTAATTAAATCAGTCATGCTTGACTTAGCCTATCAATTAACGATAAGATAGCCGCACACAATCCATAGGTGAGAGTGTCCTAGGGGGTGGGGGGAATAGTGCTGTATATATGAAACATAAGTCCGTACATAGATATTAACAGAGACGATTAAAGCCTGCAATACTCAATATGTGGCTATCCTGTACATAGCACTACTTTCTTCTGGTACTTCGTTGTTCACTGCGAGATTGCATTTGGATAAACTATAGATACTTTATTGTCTGAGCATTATGAGATAACTTTATTTGATAAATAGACTTCAATGCCTACAACATGTTCCATATATATTACTATCCTTTGCCAGATAATTTAAAAATAAGATCCAGTGGACATAATTTGCTGAGGTGACTTGTTACAAATGAATGACGCAGCAGAGACCTGTCTCTGTTCAGCTTTCACCACTTGTACCAGACTCAGACATTAGCCAGAAAAAGCATGTCAATTCCAGCAATTAACATATTTCTCTAAGTCATCTATATCCGCCTATGGATATCCAATAATATCCTTTCACATAAGCAAACCAATTGATATAAGTAATATAGCATGTCTCATGCTACCTGCTGTATTTTCCTCAAAATTTCCAAGCAAGCAAATCTCTGAACTTCGCAAGGCGTATTCTCTTCCTCAGATCAAGCTCCTGACTATATATAAATATGGTCTCCTTGTCCTTGTCTTGAATCGACTCTAAATAAAACCTACCATAGGTTTCACAGATTTGTCTTTGTTCTTTCTTTTACCTATTCACAACACAACGAATGATCTCTTATGTATCTGATCATAGAAAATCCCATTTGACTTCAACAATCTAACGTGAAAAGACCGATAGATAACCCTATTACATTCTTATTCTGTTAATAACGTACTCGTTACATGCTTTTGCTTTTTCAGTAAGGATAATATCCCTATGAAACTTTGCTGACGAAGGAAGAGGGTTAACAATGCGTCTAAATTTATAACTGTTGGAGCCACCGACATCCGTATCATTTTCTTATTCAGAGGTATTTTGCGCGGCTTCCGCTAATTTAAGCTGCAATTGTTGGACTGTTGATACCATGAATCAATGTACAAACGATCGTTTCTTGTCAGACCGCGTATTGTTGGCTTATATACTACCTTCGTTTTCACTTTCTTTCAAATGATCTTCATTGTTTTGGTCGACTGTTTCTTCTTCATAAGACGAAATTTCAATGATGCTTATTTGCTCTCGACGGTTATTTTGCAACAGAATATACTGTTGTTCATCGACAGGTGACATTTTCTTTGAAAAAAAGTTAGACATTGCAGAAATGGTTGTTAGCAATGTTACAAGTATGTTAGTAGTTGTGGAAAGAAATGTATATCTAGCTTTTCGCAGTAGATATTTTTCTTCTCACTGGGCTTTTGAACTTAGACTAAAAATAAAGTTTTACTAATTTGTTCTCGTTGAGCTTTTTGATCAATTTTATATGATATTTACCATCAAAGAGTCGTCAAATACCACAAATTGTTCGCTGTTGTTACCGCGCTGAAAAAATTCAAGGAATATCTTTGGGGGCATAAGTTTTATGATTTATACTAGTACTTAAATACAAATACATGAAGTATTGTACTTATTATACGAGAGCGAAAGGATCTTTGTTGTTATCAACTTTTCATACTTTATTTATCGAATTTGTACTACTAAAAAATATATATAATATATGGAAATAATAAAAAATTTTAACTTCATCTTCTTGAATGAGACAGTAGAAAGAGCAAAGAGAATAAGAGAGGAGTGGTGGGTGGGAACAACAAAGATCCTTTCGCTCTCGTATAATAAGTACAATACTTCATGTATTCGTATTTTAAGTACTAGAATTATGTTAAGCTTGGTATAATTTGCGTATACCAATCGTCTCAAAGATAACACGGCTGCCAATACTTGCGCAAAAGATGCAGCGTGAATTTCATCCTTGGGAATGGTAAAGCTACCTTTCCTATATGTCACGAGATGATTTTCTGAAAGGTATCGCGTACCATATATCATGAGTTTCAATCCTTGTCATTGACAAGTGATTGCTTCAAGATGTTTCATGATTTGCATGCTTCCAATGTTGCCTCTCCATTTCCTTAACATGGCTTTTTGTAACGCTTTACCTTTTTTCAAGTCGCTTTTTACACCTTTTAAGCCAGGTTTCTCTTCTGCCGAGAGGTAATCGTTATCATCATTAACATTTCTCAGAATAAAGTCGACACGCTGATTATCAACATCTTTAAATTCTTTTGTGATGTTGGAGTAACAGTCGGCTCTTTTGGAAGTAAATTTATCATCATACAAAAAAGCATTGTCGAAAACAGCCGAGTAAACATGGCTACGGAACCACGATTCATTATGATCCGTCTTCAATAAAATTCGGGAAGACCAGAGTTCTGCTGCTGTAGCAAAGGCTAATCTGATGTACCGACATATGGGATCCATATTTTGCTGAGCGTAAAAGCTCGCTAGCAAATTGTCAATATCGATTCGGCTTTTGCATTTGCTTATCTTCATCAACATTTCGCTTTCTTTCTTTGTTGCCATAGGTTGTAATCTCGACTCTAATTCATCAATGGCTTTTTTTAGGTATTTTTTGTACCGCTTTGCAATCTTGTCTTCCATTAAATCCAAATGTCCATCTATACCAAATTTATCACATAAAGAGATTAATCTGTCAGCAGGAGTCATATCTCTAAAATGGTCATCGAATGGGGCTTGACTGGCTTGTTCGTCTTGTCGATCTTGTTGGCCTTGATGATCTTGTTGCTCTTGTTGACCTTGTTGGATTCTGCTGATAACAGCTTCATCCGAAAACTGGCGTATATAAGTAGCCATGTTCAACAATTTCCTAACCGGCGTCGAGGTACAGATTTTTTGAATGGATTGCTTGATTGATTCAATTTTCTCTTTCTCCTCGGTACTGCAGTTGCCACTTCGATCCTTGTATTTGTTTAGACATCCTTTTAAATATATTTCGCCCAGTTTTTTCAGGTTGTTATTTGTGGGCTCAATTACAAGTTGTTCGCCAATAAGGATTTTCAAAGCAGCTTCATATTTCCATTCGGAAATAGCATGTTTCTCCAAGTAATTATCTACAATCTCACGAATTTGATTATAGTCCTCTTCCAAATTCAAGGTGTTACGCAAGGCACGGGCAGCAGCAATTCTTTGCTTTTTGGAGGCAGCGCGGCCAGGAAGAGGAGCGGAAGGTCTTTTGCCGGGGTTGGCAGGGCTAAAAACAGGGGGTTTAGCGGCGAGAGAGGCGAAAGTTGGCTGATTGTTCAAGGTTTTTGGGGTAGCAGCAGCGGTTTGGGTGTTACCAACAGGTAAAACCTCATCAGAAGAGACAGTAGTAGAAGTGGGATCAACTGAAGTTTGCAGATGTCCACCTTGATGGGTTAATTGCGATCGCAATTCAGACATCTCACGTCGCAAATCGTCATTTTGTTTTTTTAATTCGGCATTTTCAGTTTTTAGTTGCGTAAGTTGTTGAAATAGAGTATCGTGTTCAGACATGCGCGTTTCAAATTGTCCAAGGTGTGACTGAACATATTCTATAAACGCTTGTGCAGTTGCAGGGGTGAAGGTACCCTCAATTCCAGCGATTCGAGGAGAAGATGGAGTTGCCATTAACGAGATGCAATTGTAACTTTTTTGCGCAGAGTCGTTCAATCAGGCTGAAAATAAACTATTTTTGCTGCCGGAGTGTCTCAAAGAAAATAGCAACGGCAAAAACTTTTTCAGAACACAATCTATTCTCTTTTATATCTTGATTTTTAGCAACAGCCAGAACATGGTTGCACGAACTGGTCGATTTCAGGAGAGTAAAAGGGAGATAAAGACAACCACTTTTAAGGATAATGATATAACATTCAGCATATTTGGAAGTATGCATTGATTATCCATTACCATGCATGATTAATTGAACTTGAGGTTGGTCAATATACACACAGCAGTTTTGACAAGTTGAATATAAGATGAATTGCTTAAGAGCTGCATAAACAATGGCTTTTAATGAAAACCTAATTGTTTGTTGTGCCTCAGTTGACCGTATTGTTCTTCTAAATAAAGTTCGTATGAACTTTCTAACACTTAAGTTACATTCACTTACCATATCACAAATGTTTATTTTCTGTGTTTTAACACCAGTAAATTTGCTGATATGGTTTGGTCAAAGCATCTACAATGCTCGAGTACGTACAATCAGATAGAGAATACATTCTTCCACTGCCTATTTTTATCACATCTAATATAGGTTTTGTACAATATAAAACTGGAGGCCCAGTGTAAAAAATTACACATGAAAAAATCAGCTCTGAAATTAGTGACTAAAACATAAACATCTCACAATAATAAACAGTGACTAATAAAATGGCTCAATGTCCAACCCCCTTTAGCCTTATGCTTATTAACAATTTGTACTCTTTTGGCATGCTTCTATATGCTTCATACATTCGGGGGAGGTGGTGGGGTGGTTTTATTCTCTCAACCATCGGCTACATGTCCTTCAATCTTATCAAAATTCTTCGGCGCATTACCAAATGAATTAAGCTTGCATTTTAACTAAAACCACAATTCTCAATTAGACTTTGGTCAGCGAGTACTAAGGTCAATCAAGAACATCTATTTTATCCTATCTGAACCATTCTTTGGCTTTAGCCAGTATGTTAAGGGCCATAATTTGAGAGTTTCCCAAGAAGACACGGTTCAGTATATCACAGTATCCATTCCGCCCTCTAACTTGGAAATGAAACGGGGACTCAATAAACCTTTTTGACTCACGTCTACTTTTCCCCCCTGAAACTCAGATTTACTGCTTTGAGCAGTTATAATACAGTACACTGAAACAATTAAGATTTCAGGCACACTTCAACCTTACTGGTAATCGAAATATCTCGCAGTGGCGTTGTAAAATTCATTAACATGAACAATATTACTAGGTTGTCACTACTATTTCCTTAATTTCACTATGAGCTCCGTTCTACCTCGCATTTATATAAAAGACTATCCAAATTCTAAAACAAAATAAAAATACAAGAACCTTGTTCGGCCTCTATGACTCATTTAGTCTCCATTAATTAACTAAATAAATATTCCTGTTATCAAGAGATATCGCAACCTCATCTAAGCGTAATCAAGGGAATACACCATTCACGTTGGTCTATGGTCGGCATTCTAGACATATTTGAGATCTAAAGATGTGATCTTTTGGGAAGTGGAAGAAGATAAACTGCTGGATTTCGTTATAGAGCGACGAAGAGTTAAGGATGCTAAACTCGGTTTTCACCGATCTGACAGTAGCTAACAATGAATAGTATGAGCAAAAGCTATTGACGCAGTATAATAAGGGATTAAAGAATAGGCGATTCTTTCTTAATGATATGGTTATGTTGCAGAATTTAGGCCTTCTGATGAAGACAAAGTAATGGTAACTCGCTGGTTTGAGCCATATCATATTTGTGAAGTTATGTCTCGTTATGTATACAAGATATATCTGATAGTGGCGCTGTGTTGCCTCAAGTGTATCATGCTGATCAAATGAAGTTACATAGCTGATCTTGACTCTCTACGAGTTTGTCTTTTTATGTCAGACAAAAGAATTAGGTGCGGTCTGTCAAACCTGCGTAATTATTAATGACTCTCTTTGGAGGTACAATAGCCGTAAAGCTGATAGGGCTAACTAATAAACAAATATCCCTTGACATACCTCCCTGTCATGCATTAGTCCCAAAGATATAATATATATATACTATTGAGAACCTCATCCTTAATAAAACTAATTTTTTGTTCGCTAAGGTATTCTCGGAAATATAAGTGCCAGTGCCGCTTATGTAAGAAAGTAAGAGTTCGGCCTTTGAAGGTATCAGTGTCAAAAGATGTCATGTATAAACAGGTGACACAACGCGGACATGCAGTCATTTTTGTGCATGGTTGTCTAGCATAGGCTTATTGAGGCAGTGCTGTTATGGACAATAGAAGCGAATATTTTATTTTATTTTAATATGCAGATCAGTACTTCAGCAAACTTGATGATTTCCGGCAACCTTTCTGCTTGGAGTACTTTCCGTTTGTAGAGACGCAATCTCGATACTACCTTAACACTCCCGTGAAAGAAGGCGCCTGGCGTAGATGATGTACGCATAGAGATGTTTCAGGGCCTTACCAATTTTACTTCTATTTCTATTTGAACTAGCTTGACAATGGCCCTACACTCCTCAGCTGTGGTGCATTACTTACGCTATCCCAATTGTTTAAAAAAGGTGTTGTAACCAAGATACTACAACACGTCTTAATCTACAGTACAACTTCAGTACCTGCTTGACAATCTGACACACATCTACTTTGATACCCGCTTGCGGCTAAAATCTTATCATTCTCATAATAGTTTTGGTTCAGTTGTATTATTAGTTGAATACCCGTTAATAACCCCGTTTCTTATATAAATGTATCATTCTCAACAAATTTGAATAAAGAGTATCTTTGTTGTGTGGTCATTTTACTGTCTTATTTTATTTGTGTAAGTCCTTAATAACTGGATACATTAAACAGTTCACCCGCAGATCAGGTAATTGTCGTCCAATAAGTCCTACCTCTGCTTTTCGTAAGTTTTTAGAACATTGTATGCAACAGCACTTACCGATCGAAAATCCCTCGCTCATTATCGCTTAAATCGGTTTTTGTATTATACGAAGTTCCTTAGCTCAATCATTCTGTTTAGCTGAAATATGTAACATTTCAGACATCGACCTAATATTGTTCTAGTTGCTGAGCCGAGGCATTACAATGGATTTTGTTGATTTTGAATATGCAGCTGCACTTGTTGAGTTTAATGAGTCATTCGACCATATGGAAACCGACGACTTAAGCATTCAGTATTGTGAATTAGCACTAGTCCAGGCTACAGTTTCCCACGATGTCGACTTGGAGGAAATGACAGCGATCCGTATTCATTAGCTTAACGACTAGCCTATCAACGCTGATGAAAGTTCAGTAATGAAACGAGAAGCAAAATAAAATGAAGAAATCTCCTTGTTAACGGTCGAATTTCAAGAGATCAATATCTCCACTAATACCTACAAGAACTACGTTCCTGAACAGATTAAGCGCTTTGTTTATTTGAGTCGGGAGGAAGGAATGCCCGTAACAAAAGCTGCAAAAGCTTGTGGTCTAAGAGGTACGGCTTTGGAGATAAGGAGAGAGTACGATGTCTTTTATAATCACCTAGGGCAAATATACGCAATAATACTCTAAACTAAACTACAGGTATTTTCTTATTCTACCCACACCAATCATATTTTTTTAGGCATGCGCTTTCCCTAAATAGATCACTCATTCCAAAAGAAATGAAAGAGATCTAAATGCTACCTCGAAATAAAGATAATCAATTCCTTCGTTACAGTCTCGCTACTTAACTTCGTCCACTATAGTCCTTACAAATTTAATAAGTTTTACATTTTTTTAAGCGAATTATGTATATTTACTTACCTTAATTCAAATAAAACTTCAATCAACAATATGGCGAAAACCAGAATCAAGGACACAATATCAACAGACTGCTGAGTCTCACCAACACCCCTTGGAGCTTGGTTTACAATATCAACCTTAAGCTCACGTAGCCATTGATATAGATGATGTTACCCTGGATGATGGTAGTATCGGCACTTTACATTTCCGCTCGAAGCAGATAAACAACGGCATTGCCCATGATGTCCTCTATAATCTAGCTCCAGAATCTATGCAAACTTCGGAAGCAGAATCAGAGCGTCTTGTTCGTTATATCAGGTGTATGGGAAAAGTACATCGATTTCACTCGCCAGCTCCTCTTTTGGGAAATCAACACAACCATAGCGATACCGCCACTGATACCCGTATTGCAAAGGACCTTCCATACTGGCAAAGAAATGGTCCCGGTAATAAGTGGCATCAGCTTCTACCATGTAGGAAACAATTGAGATTTTTGAGATGCAAGTGAATACGGCAACCCTAACCTCAACAAAAAAAGTTTTTCATTTGTCTTAACCAAATTTTTTCATCTCAAATAAATTCAAACTGTCTCATTTATCGATCTCAGTAGAAAGAAAGCGTCCAAAAATTTATTCAAGATTCAATCAAATAAGCATAAAGATGATACTGAAAACACAAATTTTAAGGGACTTTCTTCTTTTATCGAATTACACTATTCTAATTGATTGGGACTTATTTCTAATTGATCTGTGCTTGCATAAAGTTTCTTCGACTACGTTAATGGATAAAAATTTTTTGTTAGACCCAGAAATTTTTGAAAAATGTCAGTGTACGGAAAATTTTCTGATGAAAAACTCAAACGCGATCTTTACCATTCGCCATATCTGCACCACATTATCGTCCGCCGTGCTTGCAATTGTCCAATTTTCCAAAGGATTCCAACTAAATTCAGATATTCTATTTGTATGTCCAGCATGGACAAACTTGAGTCAAGTATATTTGAGTTTCATCAGTTCCGTTATTATCAACAATCCACTTTCAATTGCTTTATCGTTCCTTACCATAAGCTCTGGTGGTCCATCTTCTGCATCCTCTGCCGATTGTTCCTGACCGATATTTCTCAAATCCCAAATAATAATCTTACGATCTGCACCAGCTGATGCGATGATAGGTTCATCATGGGGGCTCCAAGCTACTTGTGTAACGTGTCCATTATGGCTTTCCAAAGAGTATAATTTCGTATTCAGTTTACGCATATCGAACAACCCTACTGACTAATGAAACAAAGGAATCAATACCTTTTACAAAGTATATCATGCTCAACGGTTAGACTATTTCCTTCTCTTATACCTTATCAGAACTACCAGTAGCTAACATCCAATCCCTTTTAGGATGGTAGGCAACCGATTGAATTTCATCTTGGTGTGCCTTAACTGTTTGACGTGGTTTGGCAGGGTCACGGATGTCCCAGCTATATTTTTTGGTTATATTAAAGAAAGGAACATGAGATGTGGTACTTTCCTTCTTTTTTGTTTCACTATAATCTTACATCATCAACTGTTTATCATCAGCTACAGAAGCAAATATAGAATCATGGACAGAATTCCAACTCACATCCTGTAAAGGTAATACCATTAAAGTTTAGTTTGTGCTTTGTCAATGTTTACGCGTGTGTGCGCAACTATACGTAAATGTCTAGAACACTCTTTCGCCATCAATGGATGGCTCTTCAATTTCGACAAAACGCTTACATTTACTGGACACTTGTGACCATGATATGTTTGCAAAGGTTCTAATTCATTTCTACTATTTTCTGGTTGCTGACTGACATCCCAATGACATATTAATCCTTCGAATCCTGCACTTATGAGATGATGTTTTTTTGTTCTTTGTGGGTTCCATGCCAATCCATAACCTTCCAGTGCATGCCCTTTTAATCTTAATATAGGCTTTACATAACTTTCATCTATATATTCTTGTTTAATAGTACGGTCGAATACCAACACTTCGCCTGTACGGGTTTTTGTCGCAATAATATCCGGATTATGTGGTTGATAACGTGCTCTGTTGACTTCTCCTTCATGACGTATCTTTTTCAATGGGCTTAAATTTGGTTTGTGGTGATTTGGATGAATCTGTTTTTCCGGTACGTTGAAGCTATGGATTTCAAGATACTCTGTTTCTTCATCGCTCGTGTGTGTTCCTAATATAAGTTCTTGTTTGATAAATCCATCTTCACTTTTACGTGTAGTAGAGAGTTTGTACGTAAAGACTCGATAAGCTGATTATTTCTTTGCTAAAGCAGTGAAGCATTCATAATACATAATACTCACACTTTTATTTGTGGTAACCACTGACACGTGAGTGAAGGCCATGTCAACGGTCGTATTATAGCCATGTCATATAATAAATGTGCATTCTTTCTCCATTGGTTAAAATCGCGATTGATTATCTTTTGCTGCCTTTCTTCCGCGTCTAAATTCAATTATTCTTGTCAGTGGAAGAAGCTTTACAGTGGATGGTTGATTTATGACTTTCAATTACCTTTGTCTGATGGCATTTTTTATTTCTGAAGCTGTAAGCAAAATGGTAACTGAGATATAAAAGAAGTTTAAGGCCACAAAACACGCTATTATCCAAAGAACGATACCAACGAGTCACGTTCAAAAAATGGTTTGTGGTTTTTTTTTTTTTCCCTGGAGGTAGTAACCCCAAGTAAGGCGCAAACAGATGAATTTTGCATGAATGCGCTTGTATTAGGTAGAATCAATAACTCATGGCTATACTCCTTATCAATTTGAAAATGTATGATATTGATGTTGGATTGTCAGTTTAATTAGAGGTAATGAAGTCATCGAACAAGCTGGTGTATGTTATAAACAGGGGGAAAATACGCCAAATACTTACAACAGCAATGCTTACACTGCAATGTTAAGAGTTTTTCGTTATTAGAAGCAGCTAGATTATCACTAACATCTTCTCCGTTCTTCCTCATCAATTGTAGAGTTCAGAACCTGACAAAGTCGAGGATAACTATTTGTTAAACATCTCCTTAATGGCTCTTAGCGTCATCGAACTACTATGGATACCTTGGGTTTTTGCTTTAACATTAACAAATGTTATCTATTAGTGAAAAGCGCATAAGCACGCTTAATTTTTGCTCACTTTCTGAAACGAGTATTCAGTAGATTGCCAAATAAAATAGCTGTAAATGCTAAATGATGAACAGATATATACTTTCATCTAATATGTGCAAAGAAGTGTTAACGACAGAAATGAGAGTGAAGAAATGCAGAAGCACAATTTATTGAACTTTTTTTTTTTTTCTTTTTATATGTCATAATGGCTAATGTATAAGAATATTAAAAAATATGCCCGTTATTATACTACAAGTAGAACGGAGTAAGTATGAGATATTAATGCGCTTGTAACAGTAAGAGAATATGCAAATTATTCGTTATATACATAAAGTATAGGTATATCAAAAAAAAGGGTAATAGCTGTATGTATCAAAAATTTGTATGTCGAATATGTACTACTTATTTGTTGCTGATTCATCCCTGGTTGTTCCAGCAACTACCGTCTTCATGCTACTATTTAAGTTTTTCTGCTCTTCTTCTATGTCATAAGGCAAAATCGGACGATCACTCGATCTCGTCATAGGCAGATATTCTTGTGATAGATTGGATTCATACAATAATATACTCGTACTTTTGTGTTCGTGAGGATGCTGTAACACGATGTCTAAAGGTGATGATGACAAAGACGCTGATGAAGATGGGTAAGACAGGACGGTTCTTTTGTTGTTGCTATAGTTGTTCTTATTACGCCATGTTGTTTCATCTTCATCCTCTGTACGATACGTGTTTTTCTTCTCACGTTTAATGTCATCGTTCATAGTAGTATTATCAGGTATTTGTTGCTGCAATTGATAGTTGGGATTGATTGTAGCTGGGCATAATTGTTTTTCAGTTGCCTCATTTGTTTTTGTTTGCTGTCGTTGAAGATCAATCAAATAATCTGGTCTTTGACTGTTACTCCTATAACGATCATGATGTAGATTGAAGCACTGCTCCCAAGTCGTCAGGTACTGTAAATCAGGCAATTGAATATAAACATCATACCATCCTTGACCATGTAGTTTTAGGACGTAATCCTCCAATTTTGCAGATTGAATAGTAGCATGATGATAGGAAAGGACAGTGCCCTTCTTGGCATTCGCTGAAAAGTGTGAAAAGTAGCTTAACCAAGGGAAAACCATAATATGTTGCATTTCCCATTGCGACAAAAAAGGGAAATAGCGGAATACTTTGCGTATAGGCATTTCGCCTTGGTAAACCTCAATCATATTGTTGCCGTTATTGTTACTGTTCTTACGAATGTTGAGTGCTTGATGTTGCGTGCTTGCTGTACTTAGCGCTGCCACACTAGATTTTCGATAACGCAAACGATGGCTATTTGCATCATTGTCATCATTCTTGTTTTGTGTTTGGCGATCATCTTCATTATATTCTTCGTCGTCGTCATCATCCTCTATTAAAATAGGAGCGTCCGAAGCTAGAATTTGCTCCAAACTAAGCAGTTCATTACCACCAGTGGCTCCACCAGTGCCGCCGCCAGCAGCTGCATTAGATGAATGAAAAGGACGTGGAGGCTGATGATAATAATTGTTATTATCGTTGTATGCTTCAAAGTCGTTGTATTGCTGTGATATAATAGAAGCTTTTAAAAAGGAAAAGATGGATTTTCTATGCTGCGAATGGAATGACTCTTTTTCGAGTGGCTGTTGTTGTTGTTGTTGTCTATTCCTCTCTTCTATATTATGCTTCATTTCTTTGATTTTGAATCGGTAGAATGCTTGAAGCTTTGGTAGAAATAGTATGAGTAAAGAGAATGTCGTGGCCCAAAGGATAGCTATCGCTTCGATATAGTACTTTGTATAGAAGTCAGCAAGTGGATTCACCATCACAGCAAAACCAATCAGAGCAGAGAAAAGAATATTACTATATAATTCAAAGATAAGTTAACATGGGAAATATTTCGAAATCAAGAGTAGTAGTTTAGACCCTTACTAAACCGATAGACCCATTTGTTTAGTTTCACTATAGCGACTGTACTGTTTACCAGCAAACCGTGTTTTGTAAGCCAAAAATGTAGCAAATAATAGTAGGCAACCCGCATAAATAGTCGATAATATCAGGAACACAAGTCGCGTACTGGTACTCCCTTGTGCCTCACAGACCCAGTAATGACTGGAAAAGTTGACTTCTAATTTAGTAGGAATAGGTCGCGCAACAACTAAATTAGAAACAAGAATAATCTATTATTTTCATGTGAGTTCAAAATATGAAGAAAAGCAACATGCAGTACAAAAATACAGTGACTGTAGAGAATAGTTTTTTACCATTTCAAGTCCAACAAGTGCTACTACTGTACGAATCAGTTGTACATCTGTAATAACATTACTGGTGATGAAAATGTTATTGAAAATTCGATAGATGCGGTAGTTTTTGGCAATCATATTTCTATGTGACCCATAAAAAAAATATTATGTTAGTTTTTCAGTATTTTCATTAGCAGCTGTAGCAGCGATAAGAGTAATATACTGCAATTAAGGAGAAAATGAACCAAAAAAGACAGGAAAATCATACGATAACTTACGCTAAAACGAGAATAAAACCAAGACTAAACGTGATAGGTGTAACAACACAAGAAGCTGCTGTAGGAATGCCGATCATCATTAACACCGAAACGTACGTCAATACGAAGCCAACCAACTCTAAACAACAAAAAAGCGGGCTACATTCGTATACATTAGTTTCCTTTCCGATCAATGGTTTTTTTTTTTTTTTTTTTTTTTTTTTTTTGCTTCCGCACACTTATATTTCTGACTGTACCTTGAAGCTTTGAAAACTTCATTTTTGCGGTTGGCCAAAACAATAAAGAAACAAATGATAGAAAATATGATTCCTGTAGAAGATATGGCCAAAATAGCATGAGAAATAGGAGAACTCAAATCTGGGTTCAGTGCAACACTGGGAGCAGAGTCTAAGGGGGGCTATGATAATTTCATTATTGATATAGAAGTAATTTCAGTTACCAAGTTCGTCCATTTCCCTTACCTGATTTGTACCGTCAAAGAACATTGCTTGTGCTGTCATGTTGAGTTTGCCTCCTGTACTTTTGCCAATAATGGTTCTAATGCCGGCTTGTAGATTATAAACCAAGTAGTTTCTATATAGCAGCAAGATTGTCCATTAAGAATCGAATGGGAACTCAAAAAGAACGTTATATTTTCATTATGCTTTTTAACTCTTACCCTGTGGTTAGATCTCCGTTGGAGTCATAGATCATAGGACCCTCGGGCCCAACGTAACCGACGTTGAAAGTGCTGGGTACTAATTTGTCTCCCAACTCTCCATAAGCAAGTTTTAATAGATTGTCCGTTTGATTTGTGCTATCTTTCACGAGTTTTTGGAAACCTTCTGCCATAACCATCATGCATGAGTACGCCAGCCTATATCAAGGAGGAAATGTTAGGTTTTTATCGCTACTTTGATGATTAAGGTCTTACTACTCTTCCATTACCCTTCGTAAGATGTAATGTTTCGGTGACCTGCGTAAGGGTAACTGATGAAAAGTTAGCATTTGCCAGTAACTCTATAAATATAGCTTCATGTATTTACGCTTGTGGGTTTAGAGCAGACCATTGGTCTAAGAAGTCCTCGAAGGGTTGGTAGCCATCCAACGAAAGCCAGTTATCGAACAAGAATAATCCCTGATAAGCTGTGGCATAATCGATTCTTCCCGCTGTTAGGTTCTGATTATGAGCTTCTACTTCAGCTTGCAATGCGTCTGTGGTATCTCCCATCAACAACCAGACATAGTCTTCAGTCAACAGTCCTAACTGGTATGCTTGCAACATTATTTGACTTTGCGCCTTTTCGCCTGCTGCAACCATGATAATGCGTGCTCCTCCGTTATTTGTCATATTCCGTAAGGCATCTGAAATGCCGTCATTCGAAATAGATGTTGAAATAGATTGGTATCGTAAAATATGAAGGTCCATGGTGTTCGCTTGAATTAAAGCTCTTTGATAAAACTGCTGACCCAAAGATTCATCCGTATACAGTACACCCAACTTGTTCCATCCTTGCTTTGTAGCAAAGGACAACATCACATCAGCAATAAGAACTTGGGTTGGAATGGTTCGGAAAAAATATTTGTATTGCGTTTTGTCTGAAAATGCCACTGCGTTGGCGGTGAAGGAGCATTGAGGGATTTGCAGTGTGGAGGTCATAAGAGCACTGAGGCTTGTCCAAGAATTGGATACATCACCTATGACACCGATCACACTTTCTTGCAGGAGAGTGACGGATGCATAAACTGCATTTGTCACAGACATTTGGTTTACAGACGCATCAGGAAAGGAATCTTTTTCAACTAACGTTATGTAGGCGCCGGGAATGATTTCATTGCTATTGATATAGTTGACTGCCATACGAATGGCTGAAGAACCTCTTCAAGCAATAACAATTAAGACAAATTTTGGTTATTATTCGAAATGCTGCAAGGGACGTGATACGTTATATTACCCCCAAACTATTTCTGCTGTTACGTTATCATTTTTCTGCGTAAAAGGTAAAAGAACACCGATCTATGACAAGTTTAGGGAAAGAGACGGAATGAGTTTCTATCTTGAAAAGTGAATTAAAAGAAAGCATTGCATGTGCTTTTATTTTTGTTGATTCTTTGCGTACTTTTAGTTCGATTTTTCCGGTTGTATTATACTTTGGAGTAATAATAACTGTACTGCTATCGGTCTGATTGAAATTACTATATAGATCGTCTTGTAATATTCTTCCAAATACCAGTGCTGAATTTGAAGGCAGCACGGATGATACTTGTGGTGCTTCACCAATGACACTTTGCTGTGCCATTCTATCAAAGATCGTTTATATCTATTTTGAATGGTAGTGTTGATATATTGCAATTTTATGAACAAGACTGACTATAGCTACTTTATAACTGAACGATCAAAGTAAGCTGCGCAAATGTAAGAAAGGAAAAACAAACGAGATTAAAATTAAAATTTGTAGGTTTATGTTCAATAGACTTGCACAGTTTCTGCTTTGGGGAGAAAATAAGGGGTAAAAAGATCACAAACAGCCAAAAAGTATGGTTTTAAAAATAAAATCAAAGTTCAAGCATGAGATGCATATTTTTCTTTTTTAATTTCTAGGAGAAAAACCTTGATGCATCGTCGACCGTTGAAACATCCATGACCGTATTAAATTGCAGGCATTGCCGGTTGATTGAAAAGTCGTATAGTAATGTTTGTATGCAAAGTTCAAAGAATGTGGCAAGCACAGTCTGACATAACATGTAGTTTTGCAGTCTTTTGTCGCTATGAATTCGTCAAATCAGATCCCCATTTCTCTCAAACAACGAAAGAAAGACGAACCAACCTACCTTTATCAAAAAAGTTTTCAATTAATTTTATTAAAGGAGCCTACTACGTCTGATAAGTCAATTCATATCATTCATATTCTCAGCTTTTTTTCTTAACTAATGAACATTTTCAAACGAACATATAAAGCGAATTTTATAGAGTGTATGCTCCTAATTATATCCGACCCAACTTTGAACGATATTCCGCTAGGTTTGCAACGCTTTTACTGCCATAAGAATATCGCTGAACCCCAACAAAACCTAAACAATTATAAATGAACATTGATGCGTTCTTTATTCAATCCTGCTTGCAATCCATTTTATTCATTTCCCTCTTTTCAAAAACGTAAAAGAGGTCTAACATTCACCCAAATGGAACTGAAAAGCACTAAGGTTGATTTTCAGTTTCATCATATTTGAGGGCATTTTGGCCGGTCAAAGAGGGAGAGTAGATAATCATAACCAATATGGAATGCCGCATCTGGTATGAAGGATATGTCGGCAACAACCAATATGTTTTGCTACAACTTTTTCATCAGAAAAAACGCCCTGTTCACCCTCGAATATCGAATGCACACACAAACTAAACTTTCAATCAGCGCAATTATTGATGCAAGTTGCGAAAAAGCATTCCACATGCAATCAATCATGGATTTCTTGGTCGTCAGGCCTATCGACAATTGTTTTCACGAAAATACCAAGCATGTTCATAGTTTTTGTACATCGATACCCTGTTTTCCTGACATTGGTAGAATCACTAGGCATACGCGTCAGACTGTGAGAATAATACTTTGGTTATGTCCTCACAAGTCTCCAGACACTCAGTGCTTTCAACAAGGTCCAGGTCCCAAGTCAACTATTCATTTTACAATAGCGCTCGAACAACACAATCCTAGGCGCCGCATTCTGACATTGCTCGTTGACTTGTTGAGAGATTCCATGTAAAATTTTACCAAATGTCCCGAGAGAGTTGAGTAGAATCAGTAAAGGTTTGAGTTAGTATTACTTGTGCAGCCAAGGCATTTAGATACCTCAGTTTACAAGATTAGGCAAAATAATGTGTGGAGTTTAAGAGGTAAACTGAGCCTTGATAAAAGAGAACTTAATGCAATGGACACTGGATTGACAAATTTTATCACACGAATACAGCCCGTGATGTAGAGTAACCCAAAATTCTAAATTTATCTGCAGTGCAAATTCATGATAAATGTTTTGACTTTCGTCGTTTTTACAAAACTTCAACCACTACAAGTATTAAGCAATAACGAAGTGAAAGAACTCCCGAAGATGCTACTTGTAAATAACACTGATGAAAACTAATAACACATTAGAGCTGATCAGCTTTCGTAAAGAGAGTTATAGCGTGAAGCTTACGCAGGATGGTGACCATTTGATGTAACTATGCTTCATATACGATTAATCACGATTTCCACTGTTGGCCATGATAACCGAAATCTTTTGCCTTCACCGTTTGTAAACGGCGAATGGATGTCGCGATGATGTTATATTTAATAAACCCATATTACTGGATCACCCAATAGTGAGCAACTTCGATCTCTTGTGTCAAACTAGTCGTTCAAAATTTGTCCATAGAAAGTAACTGTTGGCCGCGGGTTAACGCAAAGCATTATTATAGCTCATTTCTCTATTCTACATGCAACTATTTCTTATCAGTTAGTTACTGCAATATTATTCAAAAAAATTTATGTTACTTTTTCCATTGTAAAACACAAAATAAAAGAAAGAAACAGCATTATTCATTGCATATATATCTTATTTTTCAAGCTAGCATTTTTTGGGTATAATACGGACTACATAAATCTGAAATAGGCAAGCAAGCAAAAAATTGACAAAGGTAGCAAGGCTAATCGTTAAACGTTATAAAGTTGAGTTTTTGTTTTGACAGCAGGAAAAAAAACCATCAACCATTTACCTTTCTGTTTCCATTTTCGACGATCCAATACGTGAAGATCCAAATCAATATAGCAAGGAAGGCAACAGCTAGCATACGCAACAACCAAATTTGTATAGTGTATTCTCTGTATTCGTATTTTTTGGATGCAGTACCTGGCAAGCGAGCAGTTGGTAAGATAATCAAAGTTACAATAATACCACCTATAAAACCTCCAAGATGAGCAAAGTTATCATAACCTGGTAACAAACCTATAATCAAAGCAGTTACTGATAGGAAAGAGTTAAAGTGAACATATGTTTTCAAGATTATCCTTCATTGTCTTTTAGCAGAGGCTGCAATGACCAGCGTGCAAACTTACTGAAAAAAGCTAAGATGTATAGCAGAATCTTTACTGGTTGAGCAACACATTTCCAATTTCGAATCAAATCGATAAAAAGAAACGCAACTACGCCCATCAAAGCTACTGAGCACCCGGCAGTTACTATAACAATGCAATTGAGTTCAAAGAGAAAGAAGGTCAAGCCTGAAAAAGAAACCGATAATAAACGTTTCTTTTAACTTACCGTTATTCTCGGGCACGAATAAAGCACTAAATAAATAACCAAAGACTCCCGAAACTAACCATAGGATGCCATACCGAATTGGATGTATACGCTTTTCAATTTCTCCACCAAATTTCAAATGTACAGCAACATTCAGCCCGAATTGTATAATGCCTGAATGCATGAAGAGCGCACTAATAAAGCGATAGCCTTGGTCTGGCCTTTCAGCGTTGAAAAAATGAGAACCACCGCAGACATCTTGTAATTGACACAGTACATTGTTTGTAGAGTCTGTTTCCGAAGAGCTTTCGTGGAAGAACATATTATTTGTAAAATAGAATGGAAAGTGAATGTTTTGGTCATTAAATAAAGGTTTTGTAGTAGGTTGAATGGCTTGACGATAATTAAAACGAATAAAGCTTAGTTTTCAATCCTAAAACAATGCATTACAGTATTTCGGCTGATTTTACCTTTGGTATAGGGACATTGATAGATATGGTCAGTGGCAGGATATAAAGAGGATGGACGAATACAGGGCAGGTACCTTGCCCCAGTGTACACTAAGGTCTGTTATTGAAGAAAGTAATCTTAATGACATTTCAGTAAATTGATTATACCTCCTGACCATACCTGCGCAGACGGTCCGATCATTACATTAAAGGGTGATAGTTGAATGGCTCTACCTGCAAAGAATTCATATTTAGTAATGCATTGCCATGAATTATTCAAGGCAAACAATATTAGTTTTTCATTATACCTGTCAATCTATAGCTCATAGCTAAAAGACCGATGAAATATGCAAGCATAATTAAAGTAGTGATATAGGTGAAGTAGGGTCTCCAAACCATCTCATATTTTTCTTTATACTTTATCTTGTCACCAAAGACAGATTCGGGAGGCGGAGAAGATGTAGTTATGTATAGCAAAGGGTCATTTTTTTGCTTGTCATTGCTGAACGAAGTGTTGGGTGATAGAGGAGCAGCAGCAGCCATAGCAGGAGACGAAGGCTGTAAAGGTAGGACTGGCGAACATAAAGATAAAGGATGGCACTTATTATTCCGAAGAGATTCGAATAAATTTCGATTATATTGTTCACACACTTGATTTGCATAACGATTATACATGCTACTATAATGGCTATTGTCAGTAACTGTTGTAGCAGTGCCGCTTGAGTTTTTTGATCCAACTCTGTCGTACTCTTTGAAGCTGTTTCCGCTCTCTGTTTCATTTATGCTAATATTCATCATGTCTGAGTTGAAATCGTTGCTATAGTGATTGGCATTGATGGCTATGCTAAAATCTTTCTTATCGTTGTTACCATGTATAGGTGAACTATGTATATTTTGAATATCTGCCTCATAATAAGAATTATTTGTTAACCATGGCGACGATTCGGGTGGTAAAGTAGTAGTGGCGGTAGGGTCGAAAATTGGGCGTGGCGGAGACAACGGTAGTTGACTAATATGATTTTCAAAAGTGGATTTACTAGTCGTTGGAGAAGTCAAATCAGTATTTGTAAGGTTGTCACCTTCATCATATGCATTGAGCCGTTGATGGTAGTTGGAAGAAGTGCTCGAATTGGGCGATAATGCTTTGTCTGTTAACGTATAACGGACAATTTTAGAAGAATCGTAGCGTTTTAATGGCGCGGCATTTGTTGGTCGTAGTCTACTTTTTTGATGTGACCTGGAATTAGCGAAGGAGGAAAAAGGTGGAGATGATAAAGACACTGTTGCTTCAGTATCAACATTAGCATTATACCCAAATTTTGTGGTGTTCGTCTGTTGATTTTCATCAAAGGTTTCCATCAGCTCTTTTAATCTGTTGAAATGATAGTTTCGGCCTGCATCTGTTTTGCTACTGATGCTCAAACTTTTGATGGTATCGAGCACAGTTGGTACTTGACTGTGGCATCTTTCTGCTTGTCTTACCTCCCCTAGACTGCTTGACGATGTGTTTGTAGAATTAGGTGGCGATATTGAAGAAGTCATAGTTTGTTGACTGTGGCGACGTAATGGTTCAAAGTCATTGGTTTTTGATGGGTTGTTGTGCGTATCAGTTATAGACGGACGCAATGTAATATTATTATGTTCATGATGTCCTTCATTAAATGAAGCTACATGAGTGTAGTAACCCAGAGCATTTTGCATAGTTGATATGTCTGATGTAGAAAAAGGGCCTGGGCAATTTAGGCTATTGCGCACAATACAGTGATGAGGAGACTCTGTCTCTTGTAAACTTGTGTCTAGAGACATGCAGCTATTTCGAAAAAGCTAAAGGAACGGATGGTCAGAGAGTTATATTTGAAAGAGAGAAATAGCGATTGAATGAAAAGCGAGGATAAGTATAATTATTGTTAGATTTTTCTGCCATTTGATCTGTGTATTGTCAAAAGTCAGTTTGATGAAGCATGCTATTTTGAAATGCAGAAGGCGGCTATGTAAAAGTGTTTATTTTTCGCTTAAAGCGGAAATTTACCCAAAATCATTTGTTTCAATGCAACCGAAAAAAGTCAGAATTGAATAAAACATGTACAAGAAGCATTCAAAGCTATTATGTTTTGTCTCTTTTAGTGTCAGAAACATGAGAATGTATTCAACTAATCGTTTTCCTCCAGAATAATATCTTCACCTTCCCAGATTTTAACATAGCATACTTCAACATTGATACCAAAGCTGCTTAACGTCTCTATCCACATTTTCTGTGTTTTTGACAACTGATCGTTTGGCCCTTTGACTAAGATGAAATAAAAGCAAACGATTGTAAGTGTAACTGTTAAACCAACTAGCTCTCAATCTAATAAACGTTTGTTTATTGTCTTCAATATAAAGATGTAATCTTTGTTACCTTCCGAAAAAAGGCATTCTTTCTTCTCATAGTTCCAGCAACTATAGAAGCGTACATGTCAACTTCATGCAGCTACGTTTAAGTACCTTTGTATGTGGGGTTCACAAAATTACGTTACCATAAGTCTGGCATTCCGCCTTGTCGTTGATCGAATTCTTCAAAGAAAAGTTTGCATAATGGAGCAAGAGCCATTGGGCCGATGCACTAATGTTGACCATAACTTTACAACAATGTTTCTTCAGCATTACTTTTTTATTCTATTTTTACCTCAGTGATTTCAATAATATCTTCTAATTCGTAATTCCAGTTGATTCCTACAGCTACTGTACGTTTTGGTCTTTCCCTCATATCAACATCCTTCATAATAGTAATATATTTTCCTTCTTCAATATCGCGTAAACGCTTATTAATGAGATCTAAACGGCCTACAATACCCGTGAATTTTGTAAATATGATAAAGGTTATTATTAATTCACGTAAATGCAACTTACTTTCGTAAAAAGCTTCAGTTCTCAAATCTAATGGTTCGATTTGATAGGGTGTTTCAAACACTCCTGGTATAGGTGCGTAAATGATATCCCAAAATAATAGTCCAGCCTTTTATTGAAGGAAAGAAGGTTTACTATTTATGCCTTTGTCTTGTCCGGAATAACCCATCGTTATCAGTATAAACTTACAATCATCCTGATGACACTGTTCTCACAATGGAAACTATTTCCAAATAAGTTAAAAGTAGGACAAATAGATGGATAATGCGTCTATATATTACCCTTTAAATCCTTGTTTTTTATAATAATCCAAGGCTATTTGCTCTACGGAACATTGGGAGCCATCATCGCTTCTCCAGATTGATTTTTTCCCTATTAATTCATCTGAAAGGCGCTCGCCTAAAAAGAAATCGCTTCAAAACTAAGCCAAATATGCCACAATCATTACAGCAAAAGATTCACTCTCTTACCGTATATTGTAATTTTTTTTGGCGTTTTTAGGGTCAAATAGCTAAAGTCATGCTGCTCTCTTTTGGGTATACAGAGGTCTTTTTCGAGCTGTTTTATTCTTTTGTGAATTCCATGCAAATAAACTGACAAGATAAAGATAAGTCAGTGAAATAGATAAGAAAGGTTCCACTTGTACAATTATATGACAAAACTTACTTTGATGTACTTGATTATCATGTATTGCATCAATACACGTTTTCAGTGCCGTCTTTTTCTGAAGTCGGAAATTCTCTTTATTTAAATAATGCGTCTGTATCAATGCTAATCGATCGTACCATTTCCCTCGTTTGCCTATACGATACATCCGCTGACTTAGCAATTTCTTCAAAATCAATGCTTCCAAATCATATTCATGCAATTTGGCTAGAATCTGTGTTCCATGATCTACCAAGCGAGTATATATCCAGCCAGCTTCAAATCGCTTTAGATGATACGGCCGGTTCTGAGCAACACTTTGAATAATGCAATCATCCCAAATGGCAATATGATTTTCACAAAATGTCCAAATGTTTTCTAGTTGCTGTCGCTGGGACAATTCACTCTTGTTGCTGCTGGAGGGTATTTCCGCTACTGCTAGTGGCGGAGAAGGGGAAGGGGAAGGCGACGGCGGTGGTGATTTTTTGCTTTTGGAAGAGTTAAAGCCAATCAAGTCTTCCATTGCCTTTTCAAATTTCTTTTCTATCAATAATGCTCGCTCATATGCTAGTAGATCGTCCCTGGTATCCCATATATTATTGGTTCGAACATACGTGTAGCATGGATAATTTCTTTTACTGGTTTTTGAGAGAATTGAAAGTGAAACGGGGTTCGACATGTTTACTAGGTTGTTTATTCGATAATAAACAAGCTGCAAGCGTCGAAATAAATCGTATAATGTATTATTCACTTTGATGCATGGACCTTTTGAAATTGTATACAGCCATTAGTATTTGCGTAGATGTTTGATAGTAGGTCTCCAAACATACCTAAGCATTTATGTATGGAATCCCAGAGCTTTTTCAATTTGAGTTCATCAATCGTTGAATGCTGCTTCACCATACTTTGGGTGGATACTGCAGCAAATTGGAATAGCCTTTGCTCATAGTCCAATTTTCTCTAGAAATGATTTCACAGCATCATCATACATTAAGACACTGTTGAAAGATACTGCATGACATTATTGGTGACTTACGGAATTCTCGGCTGGTAAAGTGATATTTCTCTCTCGTAACACATCCTTCAGTTCATCTTTCGATAAAATTTGGGCTGCTTCTTTTAAATTGTCTACATCAATCAATATGAACTTCTTTTTCTCAAGGTCTTGAAGAGTTTCATCTAGATCGCGAACGTTTTTCGAATAATTGAGTTTCGACTTTCTGATCCATACATTCTTTCGCATGAGTAATCGAACAATCAAATGCTTCGAGTCAGCTATTTCAGAACAATTTCAGTTCGGAATCAAGATAATGTGGGTTACTCTATGCTTTTTGAACTACCTTCGAGCAGTTTATAGGTGTTGAACAAAGTTAGCTCGTCAGCATTAAACAGTTGTCTTTCGGACCTCAGCACAGTATCGAGAATATGGTCAAATTCATCTGTGTACATTGACGTAGTGAAGAATTCCGAAGTAGAATCACCTTCAACTACCAAATGCAATAGTTCTTCCTCAGGAGAGGCCACTTGATTCTCTTCATTGTCTTTTGTGAAATGCTCAATTCCTTTTTCAGCTTTCTTCACATTGAAGTAATTTTCAATAGAGCTCTGTTGCTTTCGTTTTTTATTGTTTAGTTTCTTATTGCCATCAGCTACAGGTTTTCGTTTATTGCTCATATAAATTTAATTTTAGAGAAGCTTAGAAACCAAATCATTAATTTTCTGATTTTTCCCCCTTTAAGCCAACTTTTTGGCGTTGGAGACTGTTTCCTGCAAGTATCTGACCAGATACTTTGAGGCCTTGATTTTGTTCCTGAGAGTTTGATATTTGTCGTTTAATCGAATCTTTGCTTCTATAGTAAAATCCCCTTTCTTGATTAACCAGAGATATTCTATCGACACAGCATCCATCAACCATTGTGCGCCATTTATTCTCTGGTTTGATGTACTACTTATTACTGCTATTTCCTCTTTCGGTGAAATTGTATTTGCTGTAAGTTCACTTTTCCATGGACAATAGTTCTTATGCCCGTTCATAACGTCAAGTACTTTTCCTTCAAGTTGATAAAATGCTTTCCTTGAAAAGCATAGATCGCATTGAATTCCAGGTACATCGCTATGTAATAGTTTCCATCCATACAAGGCCAAAATATATGCATCGTACTCTGTGTTCCTTTCTTCTTCACTGCCATGCTTATAATGTTGTACTATATATTTCAACTTGTTTAAAAAGCTATCGTCTAAATGATGTGATAATGTCGGTATCGATTCCTTTTTGCTTTTGCATGCTGCAGATATCAAATTTCCTTCCTCTACTAATCTCCTTATTCCATCTGTTATAGTCATGATTGGGAAGCGATACACTTTTTCTGTTTTTCCCCCCAAAAAGAAAAGGGAGTCAGTTGTGTATTTTTTTCTAGGAATTGCTCGTTTTGGACTATACCATCAATACGTTTATATCTCCATTGGCAATTTTCTTTATGACAGTCAGCTAATCCTGTTCTATACTTTCTTTCAATTTCCAACACTGTCAGAACAAAGAGTTGGCCTGTCAATTCTCGAAAGCTCCAAAAAAGAAAACTTTTCCGCTTACACACACCTTCGGGTTTATCTTTATGCTTTGCGTCTATATCAATGACGAACATTTGACCTTTACAATCACTGCATTCAATAATACATATAAGTTTATCCTTTGTTGAGACGTTATGGGTATCTTTCCAACCATGATATGCAAATTGTAAAGCTGTAAGTGGTCGTGGTGCACTGTGAAATACAGCTGAATAGGTTGCTAATCGATTCTTTAATTGTGTATATGCTGCTTCTGTATTGTCATCTATTTCTTGAACATGATCAGTCTTTTGTTTCTTCGTTTGCTCACATTCGATAGTACTATCGTTACTACATAAAGAAGAAGAACTTTCTTAGATTGCTTCCATCTTGTAGTCATGAAGGAGTTCGCATTTACTCTTCATTTTGGGACTTGTCTTCCATTATTTCTATAGGGCGTTTTCTAGAACTCATCAACGGTGACAGACCCGCATCTCTTCTGATTTTTCTCAACACTTCTCGTACGTCCATTGCTGGATTCTGCCTTTGAGCTTGATCATCTTCAACTTCCATTCTATTATCTGTAAAGTGTGCCCAGCGTTTCACTTGTGAAAATGTAAAATCAAAAAAAGAAAAAAAGGGAAAATATAGCGGTTTTCGTTTGCTTCTGCCTGGGAGGGAATTTTTGGCTGTATAATGCAACTTTTTTTACACCAACGAGATAGAATGCTTGAAAACAATCAATAGATGGTGTTTGATAAGTTTTTTTGTAGTGTTCATTTCTAAGCCTGTACGGCTCTATGAAGAATGTTTCAACCGTGCAGAAATACTATGAGACTATGAATAGTCTGCGACATCCTATTCCTTGTAATGATGGCCATTTGATTCAAAATAACGTACAGTGACTCACAAAAGTGTGGCAATGTTTTGTGATTTTTGATTTTCTAGTTTTCCTTCCATAATCAATTACAAAACACACTCTTTTTCTTATTTATATTTGAAGTAGACTCTATTCGCTACAGTTTGGTGTGCTTTTCATTGCATTCGCTTCAGATTTACTGATTGTAACAGTTCTCATTGCTAAATGGCGAAATCTCGCCATTCACAGCATGATGATCATCACAACTTTTTGTGAAAAGAAAGAAAGAGTTTCGAAGTCAGCCAATCGAAACCACGTTCCTAGTTTTATATTCATGCGAAACGCTTATTTTGAAGCGTTTCTCTTCTTAACATTAAGTTAAATTCGAGATCAATCTGCCATTAGCCTCCATTAGCAAGCATCATCCTAATTAGTGAAATGAGAAGCATTCCTTACGACAAAAAGATGGATATTATAGCTCAACTCAATGCTAGAAAGTCATACAGAGTTATTTCGGCCGCTACTGGCGTCTCTACTAGGACCATTGGTCGAATCGCCAAAGAGATTCAAGTCGAGCCTGATGCGAAGATGGGGAGACCAAAGAAGATCAGCGATTTGCATGCTAGGCTGATCGCGAGATCGTTCTACACCGGTCAATATATAACCGCCGTGGATGCCTCCAGAAGCCTTCGTGCTCAAGGGCACGATATTTCTGCTCAAACGATTCGTAGGGTGCTCAAGTCATCTGATTTCGATTCCAAGATCAAGAAATCAGCATTGCCATTGACTAATGAACGCCGCCGCAATCGTTTGAGATGGGCAAGAGCTCATAGCAAGTGGACTGTCGATGACTGGAAAAAGGTTGTCTTTAGTGACGAAACCAAAATTAACCGTTTGGGGTCGGATGGTAAGACTTGGACTTGGGTAAAGAAAGGGGAGCCCCTAAAGCCTCACAACGTTAATTTCATGTACAAAGGAGGTGGCGGTAGCCTAATGCTATGGAGTTGTTTCACCCAACATGGGCCTGGGTTCATTGCTAAGATTGAGGGCGGGATGGACTCGAAGTTATATTGTGAAATCTTGAAAGGCGACTTTATGGAGACCCTCAAAGATTATGGTCTCAAAAAGAAGGATGTGATCTTGCAGCAAGATAACGATCCTAAGCATACTGCTAAATATACTAAAGAATGGTTCAGAAAAAACAAGGTCAACGTTCTTGACTGGCCATCCTACTCCCCTGACCTGAATCCGATCGAAAATCTTTGGTTTTATCTAAAGTGCAAGCTAGCTGCGTACGATGTACCTCCCAAGAACATGGGAGAGCTATGGGATCGTGTTGCCGACGTTTGGTACAACAAAGTTACGGCAGAAATGTGTATGAAACACATCGAGAGTATGCCTAGACGTATACAAGCCGTTATACAGGCAAAAGGTGGACCTACGAAGTATTAAATCTTCAATAAAAGTAGTTTACCCCTGAACCTTGATCGCAAATTTGCATGAAATTCATATATGTCATTTTAAAACTCAATTTTTACTATGTTAGTCTTATCGAGACAGTACAAAAGTTATATCGTATGAAAGAGAAAGCTTTTATCTTCTTGTTCATAAAAAATACTCTTGCTGTTATGTATATAATTGTATGATGAAAAGAGCAGAAAGAGCAAGAAGTAGTTAAAAGACCGAATTATTGCCACACTTTTGTGAGTCACTGTATCTTACATGCCTGTGAATTTATATACCCAGAGCTCTACAGGCCAATCTTACAGCAAAGCTAGTATCACAGTGCAAGCTACATCAACCATTGTGGTACTCATTCTATTTTGACACGAACTCAACTAATATGTAGCTATAATTCCAAAAAGAAAGAATGAAAAGGCACAGTTGGTTTGATATTCTTTGCTACACTAATTAACAGTGTTATGGTAAGATGATTCTTTTTAATACACAAAGTAGACTTGATTACATCAAGAACTCCTTTTTAATAGTTGCCATGTTAGACAATTTTTTCCGAGCTTCCCATTTGTGTAAAATGAAATGTATGTTCCAAAGCATAGTTCTTATCTTTAAAAAACATAATATGATCCTTTTGGAAATTCAAACAGTATAAGGTAAGGTTCTTTGTCTATCCAAAAGCATGGTAAGTTGCTTGCTCTAAGGTCAACTACAGCACTGATGCCTACAACGAGCAATAGCCATGAAGTTTGTATAAGCAACATGAAAAGAAAGCAGTTGGATTTACAACACAAAAACACGTTCCTCAAGCTAACGTAGACAGCGCGCCCATTGCTGTCAAATAAGTAAGAGTCGAGCAAAGTAAGTTTGTTGGAGCTGAATAATCATACATTCACTTAAAGGCCTTAGTGAAGGGATTGCAAAGTAAATAAATAGGTTTCAAACAATCTAATCTTCAAGAACCATTTCAAGGTCCTGATCATGTAGCGATTTCATTTTTTTTTTTCTTTCCTTCATTTATTTCTGTAGCAGTACGTGCCCTTTTGATTTTTTGTCCAAAATACCAGACTACTAAACTAGAACTAATTCTTCTGAGTGTCACCTAGCGTCTCACCAATTCATGTTTTGCGTCCAAGCTTGTTGATTAGGCTGATACTGTGGCGCTGGACGTAAGTATGGAGCAACATAATCAGAATTTTCGTACATAGGCAAGACGACGCCCAACTCCCAATTACTTTGATGACGCATAATGGCATTAGATATCTCCATCATAAAATAAAAGTATATGATTCTGCTACCCTACCTAATCCTTAACTTTGGTTTTTTACTATCGCGGGATAGAGTGTACTTTCCCCACGCAGACATGGTAGCATTATGGCTCCTAAATTTTTGAAATAGACATTATCAGCTATTCAGGACAAACACAATTTCATATAAGAATCGTACCCTACGTATAACCATCCTATCATATTGTTAGCCGAAGTGGATGGCGTTGTTGAGGATGAAGGTGTTGTGGATCGGTTAGATGCGGCATTTGAAAAGGTTGTGATAATGTACTAATAACAACAAACAAACGCATTAGAAAAGCGCGTTCCTGTCTTTATCAAAGAGTTAAGCGCATTACTTTTGAATGCATAAGAGTGCCTGGACGAACACTGATCGCATCATGCATCAACTGTTTCGGAAAACTTGGCTTATTCCACGCATCCCTACTCAAACAAATGGTACTAGCGCCCTATAACAATTGAGAAAAGATTCATATCATATTCACGGCGAGAATATATTCATGACTGTAACTGATTAGTTTCATTTACCGGCGCTCCTAATCTACTGTCATTCACAGTATCGAGTGTAGGATAAATGATATCGACTGGAGGCATCTCGTCCTTTTTCAATAGCTTAGTGTTTGCATTGTTCGCTCTGTAAGGAAGCAGTCCACAGAATGATTGAAATAATTCTTGCAAATAGAAGACCGACATAGAACCAAGTGAAGATGTCTACAGTATACTCAAGTATTAATCAACCATTCTCTCAATAAAAGACGTGCAGTTTTTTAAAATAAATTCCTTTACCTGCATCTCTACATGAGGTAGATTTTCCTTATTGACAATGCCACCTGTTAACGATTGGACAGCTTTTGCTAATCTTATGTGACCATACTTTTGATATTCGTTTATGCCTTCAAAAGTGCCAGATATAGAAGCAATTATTTGCGCCTTCTCATGCAAAGCATTTACAAAAATAGTCATTAATAGTAGCCAAATAGAAGCTTACTCATTTTCTGTACCTTTGCCCTTGAAAAATCATAATGTAAGATGGCTTCCTTTACTGAAACAGGAACTGTCATTTGGTCGAGTAGCTCCGCTATTTCGCGAGCAAATTCAGGCATGGAGGAAAATGAGGCATGTGGTTCATTTAACTTTGGAAAATCCTGCATAAATATAACATTCTCCAAATCTTCGTAATCATAGTCAACCTGGGTTATTTTTTAGAATGTTTGCGATAGTAGCTTTAGTTTTTGATACAATCAGAGCTACTATGAAATTTGCCACTTTACCAAATTGGCTGATCCGATAACAACACGCAGTGAGTTTTCATGAAACAAAAGCATCAACTTGATGTGAAAGCATCCGAATTTCTCGTTGGTCAAAGGTGGATAAATTATGATTCGGTTTGGTGCTATTTGTTTCCTTAAAGCCTGAGGATGGATGAGAATGATAGATGGCTGCTATGGACAATAGTTTTTTTTGTGAAGAAAGTAACTGACTTACGGGTCTTCCATGAGTAACGATGCAAATATTGATATCTGCAGGAAAATGCTGTTCAATGTAATCCATACTATGCACAAATGCTGAGATCATGGCTTTCTTGAGAGACTTCTATCGTTTTCAGAAAGGAAACTCTATCTTAACGTTGATCTACATGATTCACTTGAAATATATTTAGAATTACTTTTTGTATAATATCTTCAAAACGAACATAGTCAGGCCCTGTGAAGCCTTTAACGTAGGTCAATTTGATGGTACCGTCCCAATATTTTGTTTCTGTATGTTTGAGACGCTTTGGATCAGGCTCAGATAAGCTATTGCTATCATCTTCTCTTCCTCTCGTCTTATTAGCAGTAGATGAAGAAGCTGATACATCTGCCATGAGCAGATCTCTTGCTGTCAGTTGATCAACACTTTTCCCTAACGATGCAGCGATCGCTACTTTTAGATCGTTATCCTCCTTCTCTTTGTCCATGATTTGCGATTGCAGAGAGAGAGCAACTGCTCTTGCAAACTGCTCTTCTTCATTGTCGCTGTTGTTCATCAGGTCAAAAGGTGATTTAGACCACTACTACTTTACGAAGGAAGAATTTAAAAAACTGAGTAGGGAAATATGTAGGGTAGCAATTTTATTATTTCACTGGTTTAATGGCAACATTATCAATGAACGAATCATGTTATGGGTTAAGTTATGCACATTACTCTCTTTATTCACACAACCTCAAGTGACTATAATATGGTGCAAGAGCTCTTTTTCTTTTGTTTCGCTACTTGCTGATGTAAGAGTTCTTTCCTCTTCACTATTAAGCGCATAAGTATGTTGTATGCTTCTTCCACATTTTCTCTTGTTTTTGCTGATGTTTCAATATATGGACAGTTCCACTCTTGAGCCAAATGCCGAGGTTCAGCAGAATCAACCACACGTAGATGGGCTAAATCAATCTTATTACCAACTAATACAAAGGGGATCTATCCTTGGTGAAGGCATTCATGGTCAGCATCAGGTAGTTAACTGCTACATGCTAGTTTCAATGTCCCTTTTTCTTACACGTTCATCGTCTAACACTCGAAGAATTTGGTCACGGAATTCGTGTGTATGCTCCAGCGATTCACGTTCGCAAACGGAAAATACACACAGAAAGCCTTCTCCTGATCTATAATAATTATCCCTTATCTTTCACACAAAAATATGTTGGGGATGAGAGCCTTACTCGAGTACTTTTTTGTGCAACTTTTTTTTTTTTCTGCACAATACGTTACTGCTACATATTCTTCTTGTCCTGCTGTATCTAGAATGTCAATTTGACATTCAACCCCATCCAGCACAATCTTCTTTCGATAAGCTGCGTGAAAGAATTAGTGTCATTAGCTCAAGCGAAAAATGAATTTCGAACTGATTTAAATGAGCTGGTAGGGTCAAGCTTACAGTCAGCCTTTGTGGGATCGTATTCTTCAACGAAATCACCATACATATACTGTAAGGTCAAGGCCGATTTACCAACACCACCCGAACCAACCATAATAATCTTATGAAGTGGGACATGGTTGCTTTTATGTGTATTTTTCGGCATCCTTTTTTCTATCTATTAGTTTTTTTAACAAAAGAGAATTAAAGGGAAAGGGAAAGGATTTTTTAAAAAAGGGAAAAGCCGAACTTTTAACTTCATTATTACTACAAGTAAAAAATTCCTATGATTTATACTGGTACTATTTTACCCACTCACTTTGGTTTTATTGTTCTCAATAAACTTTACAAAGGCACTTGAGGCTTATTCTCTTGGCAGTCGAAGATTTGTCTCCGGTAAAACTGTCGCGCCCACCTAAGACTTGTTTTCATGGTTTGATGAGTAAGTCTCTATCAGAGGCGATATTTATAGCTATTATGCAAGCATTGCTTATAAAAGGTTCTGCATTTATCCATTCTCGCTGTGAAATTGATTATTTTCAATTTTTTAGTCGTGGCTCAACAGACTCTATGCTGTAGTAAATTGCCCATAGCCCAATCACGATAAAATTCTTGGGATTCTTTGGGTTATTTGAGGATTTCTGTTTCAGATGGGAGTGATCCGTGCGTATGCTGACCTACTCAGAATACATGAAGCAATGATAGTGGGTTAAGTACAACTGTATAAAAACAGGTTAATAAGCATGTTATATCAACAAGCCTTGTCTACTTTATCCAGACTATAGTGTTGATTCATCATTCATTTTTAAGAGCTGCTTTCAAGGATAGTTGGGCTTTTTCGATAAGCGGATGGAAAACTCAGCTCCACACTGAGCTCAAACAACTGATACAAAATCAGGTTGAATATCGATAGTATCAGTTCAGCCATTCTGACGGATGGTCGATATGAAAAAAAACAACCCCGCTAATCAGTTCGTATAAAAATAAAGTGTGCGCGCCTGTGGCTTCATTGTTCTCTTCTTTTTCTATACCGTTCTTTAAACTACAAAATGAAGTTCTCTGCTGCTTTCGTTGCTTTCGTTGCCGGTGCTGTTTCCTTTGTTAATGCCCAACAGTCCGATGCCGGTATTTTCTTCACCCATCCCGTCCTCGGTTCCAACTTTGCTGCTAATACAGCTCAAAACATCACATGGTAAGTGAGATATGATGCATCATGAAGAGAACTACGATAAAGACATAAACATCTAAACATTATGTCGTAACTGTAATAGGACTGTCATCAACCCAGCCGCTACGAATATTACCAACATTGAATTGAGAAAGGGCAATGCTGAGAACTTGGACTTTGTTCAAAACATTAGTAACGAAGAGATTCCCGTCTCGAGAGGTTTCTATCAATGGGTCGTTCCTCAAAACTTGACTACCGATACTTCTTACGCCATTATTGCTAAGAACCAACAAGGCGGTGCTACTTATTCTGCATACTTCACTATTCTCGCTACTCCCCCAGGTCTTAATCCTCCTGTTTCTGACCCTTCTCCTGCTCCTGCTCCTGCTCCTGCTCCTGCTGCTGCTGCCTCTTCTGCTGCCTCTTCTGCTTAAGTCATTCCAAGGTTATGATGTCCATTATATTGCAAAATATTGAATGGCTCTCCTCTCGCCCCCCAACAGATTATGCTTGAATATTCCTCCTTTGTAATTTTTTTTTTTTTTTTTTTGGTTCATACCATTTATCCACTATAAACTAATGATAATCTCACGTCAAACGCACAACTATTACAGTCGTATGATAACTAGCATATCGGGAAGGTACAACGTTGTGAAATTTTACGACTCCTTCTTAAATTTTTTTGACAGGCTGATGCTCTTTTGTCCGGATTCCACAAATGACCTGCATGCTGTCTAAAAATAAATTATAACTCCATGCATTTATTCAGTTGGTGTGTATGTAGGATAATTCAATTTTTGCTATCTACTGAACGTTACTCAACAATGCTCATGCGTACTCAAGAGTGAGTGTGCACCATCGTCCTTTGGGAAACACAGTACATTCATACCGGAGTTGAAATCCCTTTTTAGGCAAGCTGTTTACTTTTGCTTTTTTTAACGTGCACACATGAAGGCAATGAATATCAATAAATGAAAAAACTGTTGTATAATGTTTCCATGTTTGGGAACGATGCACACAGCACCTATTTTTTTATTTTATTCTTTTCTTAACGGTCTGTCTCTTTGACTAGCTTTATTTTTTTCTTTTTACCCCTTTATTTATTCAATTAGTTATGACTATGTCCGTCAATGGCTCAACCACGACTATGCATCAACAACATTCGCCAGAAGAAGCAGCAAAGCAGTTTATAGCAGAGACACTCGACTTAGAAGCACTACCACAGGGTTCACTACAAGAAATTCTATATGATGGTACATTATTATGCGAGTACGTCCAATGAATGCTAGTTTAATTCTCACAATTAGAAGCGCATTAAACCACCTTTGTTTTTTCCTACGATGCAGTTTGATACAGCGATTCTCACCTAATGAATGTATTATCAAAAACGAAGGACGTACTAAATTCGCTTATGTAAGTAATACCTTGAGTGGCAGCCATTGATGGAAGATTTTCTGTATCCAACCAGGTCTTATTCTATTTAGCAAGATAATATCGGTCAGTTTCTTCGAGCTGCAGAAAGCGTAAGTAGAATATGTCTACCATTCATTTCTTCTAACAAGTATGTGTGGTTAACAATGGAAGCCTCTTCTATAGCTGCATATTCCTCAATCTGAACTATTTCAAACGGTAGACTTACTAGAAGGGAAAAGAATGCAAAGTGTCATATCTAGTCTACTTGCAATAAAACGGATCATGAGCGAGAGAAAACTTCTGCCTATCAAGTCAGCTACCGAAATCTCATCTACTAACAATGCAGCGAGTAAAAGGAGCACCTCCAAGATATCATACATCTCCAGATCTCCCTCACCAATTACAAACAATATGTTGCAGATAAACAACAAACAGGAATTGTCCAAAAATAACAGTTCAAAAGCAATCTCAACTGCAACCAGTAAATTGCTCGCTGTACCTCCATCTCTGAAAACCGCACCAGATGATGTGAAAATAAATCGTAAAAGGTTCTCATTTACCAGTGTCAATGGCACAGAGCTTATACTGGAGGCGAAAGGCTCTGTTAACAGCGGACCAAAAACGGCAACGCATACAGGAGGGAAAGAGAGGCCTCTACTTAACTCTACAAATTTCATTGGCCGTGTAAGAGAACGTGAACATTTAGATATGAGCAACAACAGCTTACCTCAGCTCCCTCTACAGGTAGAAACGAAAAAGACATTGGGAAATGATACGACATTGAATTGGGAAAGCAAACGATCAAACACCTGCCCCGATGTCATGCAATCGGAAGGAACAACAGCCAGTGAAGTTCACAGAAATTGCAATGTGGATGCGGAGTGCTTTGGAATAATGGCAAATGCTCCTTATGTCAGTGCCAATAGCCCAAAATACAGATCAGAAACCAGGCATTCCGTCTTTTCTCCCAGAAGAGTATTACAAAAAGAAGAGACCAAGATGGCATCCGTGCTGCCCAGTGCCTCACATAAATCACACTTATCGAGGACTGAATTTGCCAACGAGTGGTCTAAGAGTACATATAATACTTCTACCAGCCACGGCCAAAACTATGCCATGCGAAATGTAGAACATTTCAAATATAGTACAAAGACTGCTGCTGTTGCTCTCGCCAATAGAACCAAACCAACAACAAACCATTGTCACATTCCCCATCATCACCAGCAACATCAGACTATCTATGCTCATACGACGAACAGTGGTAAGCAACAAGAAAATTCAAAAGGTTATGTTAAATCACAAGTACAAATGATCAGTACAAGCAACCTCACAGTGGTTGAACCAAACATTGCCAATATACGACGCCTTTCCTCCTCCGAAGACAATATCATTTCCTCATCACCAACACAAGACGTAGATATGATACCTAGCATTGACTCTCCTATGGAACTACTGCCACCTATGGTTCCACAGTTGTCAAAGTCAACGCCATTGACTACAACAACAGATCCACCCAAACCGAGATCAGTGACGGCTTTGACAGAAAGAACCTCTTCTCGTATTTCAGAGACCAGAATACAATGCCAGAAATCCATGGATTGCGCAAATAGAAAAGCATCATTGAAGAAGATGGGCGCATGCGCTATCACTGTACAAAATGGTGATGGTAGCTCAGCAGTTTATGTAAGTTGCCTATTTCAGCGAAGCAGTTTTAAAATCTTGGCATTGTAGCATAATCTTCATTCTGTTAGGCTTTAGGAAAGAGTATAGGCAAAGGACAGTTTGGCGAGGTTTTCGGCGGGTTAAACATGGATACCGGTGAATATGTAGCTATCAAACGCTTGAAGAGGAACAAGATGGATTGTGATGACATGGTAAATTTATGATTTGTATTTCGCCCAAAGAGAAACCCACAAAAAAAAAACCCCCCTCCATGTGGCCTAAAATTATCCTCAAAATTTTCCACATAATAGAAAGAAGTAGACGTGCTAAAACATTTAGACAGTGAATATATTGTTCGCTATAAGGGATACTCAAAAGACAAAGAATTTTTGAATATCATTTTAGAGTAAGATGAAAGAAAATGTATAGAAGGGTCTTGTTAAGGTTTGCAATTAAACATTTGCTATTCTCTCGGTGCAGATATGTGGAAATGGGCTCACTTTATAACAATATTAAAGCGTTCGGCAAATTTCCTGAAAAACTAGCAGCTTCGTATACCTACAAAATTCTGTCAGGGCTCCGATATTTACATTCTAAAGATGTGATACATTGTGATTTGAAAGCAGCAAACATCTTAACAACAAAGTCAGGCGGACTGAAGCTGACTGACTTTGGCGTTTCTCTCAGTTTGAAAATGAAGGATGAAGATACGGGTGAACCTGCAGGTACACCCAATTGGATGGCGCCTGAAGTGATCAAATTTGCTGGTGCATCAGCCAAGTCTGATATTTGGTCTCTAGGCTGCACCATTGTGGAAATGCTGACGGGGAAGCCTCCATATGCAGGAATACCCTCTTTTGCAGCTCTTTATCGGATAGTAGAAGATGAAGAACCACCTCTTCCTGAAAACATACAATTGTCTGAGGTAAGCAACAAAAACGATGCAAGTGAGGAAGTGAATAGCTACGCTAAAGCCGTACATTTTCTCTTCATAATCGTACTGCAACAGGATGCAACAGAGTTTTTACTAGCCTGTTTCAAAAAGAATCCAACCGAAAGGCCTTCAGCTGAGGATTTGATGAAATTTAAATGGATGAAGCCTTATTATGACCAAGAACAGGTGTCGTTAGCGACAACATCAACACACAACCAAGCTACTACACGCAATAAAAAGGATACATACCTGGAATTAGCGAACGACCAGCAACGATCGGAAGAGTCGTTCACCTCTATGACAATAAGTGGTAACCACTCTTCAAGTCATCGCTTTATTGACTATCAAACCTATCAAAAAGGGGAAAAATGCTGTGGTTGCTTGGTACAAATGAAGAGATTATGGGTGAAAAACTGTCAAGGTATGGTTTATGAAACCCGTCATGTTAACATACTGAAATATGATGGTAGCTAATGAGTCCTTTTCAAAATTTTGTAGATTGTCAAATGAAATTCCATCCACATTGTATCAATAGAGCGCCTCCGTGCACTAAAGGCTACCATATTCCCTCAACAGTTATTAACCCTATGAGCACAGTTACAGACGATAAAAAAATTACCTCTCGTTATACACCGCTGGGACCCCTAAGTACTCAAACCAGAAAAGGTTATTTATCTACTTCCCGACAACCGTCGCAGCAACCATCATCCCCACCACGATACCACCATCATTACAAAACTGATGGATATTCACGAAGCAAGACAGATAACAATATTCAAAGACATTTTATCTCGTCTATCATGACATGAATGCATTATACTAATTTGCATTTCCTAATTATATGCAACTTCTCCGTCAATCTTTCAATATCCCATATTGTTATTTTCGTTTTCCTTACATATAAATGATATCAGCAGCGATAGCTGTATTTATTCTATTAAACATTTTTGTAAATAAAAATTTTCGCAAAACATTAATTATTCGTAACTGATCAGGAGCTAACCAACCTTTTTGATCATGTCTAAAGTTCCTAGCGTATACCTATTAGTGATTTCCTTTATAGAAAGGACATGAATTATCTAAGCTTATTGCGCATAAAAAGTACGATGACTTCCATTCTCAGGAGACGGGTCAAGATATCACTACAGACGAAGTAAGATTGATGTTTAGAATTCCACAGCAAATTTACGAGCCGCCACTACAATTTTCTAGATAGGGTCTACCTGTAAAAATCGAGCCAGTTTCGTTCTAGCAATTGGAGGATGCTATTAAGCGGTTGATGCGGGTGACTTCCTTGGTTTTCTACAAAACTCAGTAGGTCTTCCCGATAACTTCCATTCGACACGCTAATTGCCAACATGTTTTTTGCAGCGTTGGCGTCCCGGTTCCAAGTATCGAACAAGTTTTGCAGGCAAGGATACTTTGACCTGGAACAGTCATCAATCTGATCCATAAAGAACTCTCGTAAACCACAACCCTATGTCCTAATAAAACCTGTGCCGCGCTAAAAAGTACATCTCATAATAATTTTGACGTAGTACCACTATCAATTGAAGAGTATCTAATAACCTTCAGAGTAATATCTCCAGTTAAAGTGTAAAGATCTTACAGGTATTTCAATTCATATCCTGCTTAACCTAGAAACGTCTCCTAATGAAACTCAAATTGTTCTTGTACGGAAGTAGAAATACTGTAATTCAAAAATTTTCTTGCTCCGCTGAAATCAAACTTTTAACCATGGAGATCCGGTAGTAAAAAAGTTGCCGGCGGGTCGGCGCTTGGAGCAGCTTGAAGTCTGTAGGAACTGGGAAGTAAAGGCTTCCTACTATTCCGTAAAGCATAGACCTTCCTCTTTCATACTATAGGTAAATAAGCATAGTACATTATAGAAGAAACATACTTGTTGAAACAATATACTTACCAGATTATATTTGTCCTTCCGTTCATATCATCCATCCAACTGCGATATATCCTATTTCACAACCAAATTTTCGAATATCCATCACTTATCAATAATCCATCCATCTATCATAAAATGTATCATTACATCAATCGATCATACTACACCCATCTATCCACAAACATCTTTGCGCAACAAATATATTCACTATGTACTTAAATCGATTAGACGATCATGCCCGCTTTAGGTTTGCCCGCCGACGTTAGTGCCACTGCTGATGGTACCCGCAAGTTGTTCAACAAGTGGTCTTACGAAGATGTTGAAGTTAAGGACATCTCTCTCCAAGATTACATTCAAATCCGTCAACAAGTCTACTTGCCTCACACCGCTGGTCGTTTCGCCGTTAAGCGTTTCCGTAAGGCTCAAGTAAGTGATTAGAATTTTATAGAATTGCATAAATTGTGCTTTTCGCGAAATGTGTGTTTATATCTTTTGCATGACATTTATTGTAAATGTCTTCTTTCGCCCTCGTCTCTTTATCATTTCTACCTTCATCACCTTTCTCTTTTGGTATGAAATTGATAATAATAGTGCCCTATTGTCGAACGTTTGACCAACTCCTTGATGATGACTGGCCGTAACAACGGTAAGAAGTTGATGGCTGCTCGCATCGTTCAACATGCTTTCGAAATCATCCACCTTTTGACCGATGCCAACCCCCTCCAAATCTTGGTTGATGCCATCATCAACTGTGGTCCTCGTGAAGATTCCACCCGTATCGGTTCTCAAGGTACCGTCCGTCGTCAAGCCGTCGATGTTTCTCCTCTCCGTCGTGTCAACCAAGCTATTTCTTTGTTGACCATCGGTACTCGTGAATCGGCTTTCCGTAACATCAAGACTGTTGCCGAATGTCTTGCCGATGAATTGATCAACGCTGCTAAGGGTTCTGCTAACTCTTATGCCATCAAGAAGAAGGACGAACTTGAACGTGTTGCTAAGTGTAAGTTGTCTAATTCAGAAGCTGATTTTGCTATCAGGTTGTTTTTATTATGTTACTAATTTTCTTTCCTTTATCTTTTTTCAAATAGCTAATCGTTAAAAAATTGCTGTATTTTTTTTGGAGAGTTTATTGGGAGGGATAAAACACTTTACAATTCTACTTTCTTGTTTATTCTGAACAAAATAAAACCAATGTCGTTCTATTGAACATAATTATCATGTTAGCCGTGGAATCCCATATTTTGTCATGTCGTTCATTTGATAATAGAAGGGTGAAAAAGGAAATTTATTTGCGGGGAGTGCTGACACATAGATGTATCACTGACAAAGGTCCGAAAAAGTACATCAATAGAAGGTTGTTTCGCATCAGCGACAGATTATGTGCAAGGTTTATTTGTTAAAAGAAAAACAGTGTTATGATGAACAAGACAAGGCAAAAACAAAATGAAGGTTTATTAGTGGAAAAACATTAAAGAAACGATATCAATCTTGTCTTTAGGCCTTAACAGCGTACTTGCGAAGAGGGAAGTGAGCCAACTTCTTTTGTTCACGAATGGTCTTCTTGGACTTTTCGAAAGGAGTCAAAGCTCTACGCATAGCACGGGTCTTCTTGACACGGAGATCAAGAGGGACGAACTTCTTCTTTTGGTAGAAGAGACGGAGTTGCTCACGTTGGGTTTGGTTGATGACGGTCAAAACACGGGCAACGTTCTTACGGGCTTCACCACTAAAGAGAATTAGAATCTTATGATTAATCTTCCTATTCCATCCCAGGCTAATTTTCTATCCCCCATGCCTGTATAGTTGCATGCAAAGCCAAATCACTTACATTTCTTGGAGTCTGCCACCAGCGACCTTTTGGACACGAAGGTTAGCAAGAGCTTGCTTTTGTTCGTCAAGGATCTTCAAGAGTTCAGCCTTGTTCTTGTTACGGAGTTCGTGAGCCTTAACGATAGCCTATTATTAAGTGATCCATAGCAAAAGCAAGATTAACAAAGGCTACTATAGCTTATTAGCTTAAGCCAATACGATCCCTCCGTCCATCCAACACAGTCATTAGTTGTTAAAGTATATTCCTTCAAAAAACGTCGAGATGCCTCTGAATAGAATTACTGTAGTAAAGCTACTGTAACCGTATTGTGAAGGTTCTTCATGTATATGGGCTATCAAAGCTGAGAAAAGTGTGTCACGAGTGATTGGAAATGCTGTTGTTGCTGTTCTTTCAATTTCTAATGTTCGTCCTTGAATGTTGGAAAAGTTCAAACTTTATGTAATGCTGTATTCCTTTTTTTTGGGATCATCAATTCGAGTATTTGTGTTGCTTTCAATGCATAATGAAAGCATCTCAACGATGGATGGATGGATGGATGAGGTTACGCATGGCTTTGATCTACTTTCTACACTGATGCTTACCACCATTGTAATCAGCCGATGAAATAGAGGGAAGGAAATTCAATTATGTAGTTGGCCTTCAAGCCTTTAGAGTGCTTCTTCGACCAGATTGGACCAGTGAATTTCCGCTAATTTCTTTCCTTCGATGCCGCCACAGTAAACAAATTCAAAGACAGCTTGGAAGCGTATAATTTGAAATTCAATTCTCCAAGGTACGTCTGCTTTTAGTGTAGTTATTAAACTATTCGAATAGAGGCATACGTTTGATAATTTTGTTGATATTTTTAAAGAAAATTCTCACAGAACAATTGAGGAAGATTGCATACAAGTGAGGGGTAAAACTGATTTTATCAAAACTAACTAATATTCGTTCTTCACTATACGAAAGCAGACAAAAAAAAAAGGCTTTGAGTGTGTCTACTAAGCAATAGGATTTATCTCCATATAAGTATAATGCAACTAATGTATTTAACTATTCTTCTCTCGTTTATTATACCTTGCTAAAGTGATATCATGTATAATTCTTCTGCAGGGAGAACACTCAACTGGAACTGCACGATGTACATCTTAAACTGCCAAAATAATGTAAGATAATTTAGGTATAGTTCTGAACAAATGACTACATTGTAAGGCTTGAAGTCAAACAAAACTGCTGGTGAAGTATACCTGTGTGTTTTATCAAATGTGCATTACGTACATAACAAAGACGGTCATGTGTAATTTTGAGGTAATTTTTTGGCCATGATGAAGAAGAATATGTAGATGCATTTGGTCCTAACCCTCCGGGTACAGCTTTTCTGCAATTGATCTCTCTCTACTTGTAATTGTGAGATATTAACAGGTTTATCGGATGCATACTCTTCTTTGGCAAATCATGAAATTTTGCTTTTCTGGGAGAATGTTGAGCTTATGCCTTCGTTTATCCTTAAACCTGTTAGAAGCAATCTGTGTGCCTGTGTCTGTCTTTCAACATTATATGCGGAGTATGGCAAGACCTTTGTGGGCACAAGGTTAATTACTACTAAAAAGGGTAATTTTCTATATACTGTCAAAGTGTAGATGATTAAAAAGAAAGTGAATATGCATGATGTTTTATTAATAATTGTATGATAATACAGATAAGAAGAGAGAATAGTAGTGATAGTAGTTGGGGGGAAAAGAGGTAGCGTAGTATTGTAACTGATATCAGTACAAAAGAGAAAAATTCAAGGAGGTCGCACAAAGGCAGATGTGGTGCAGAAGCGAAACAGAAATACCAAATCCTCAAATAACCAAGAAAGCACGTACACACACAGACAGACACAGACAAGGAAGGGAAACCGATTTTCTTTTTTCAGTTTTTGCCTTTTCAAATTGTACCTTTTTTTTTATTTTATTTTCCCTTTTTGCAGTTCACTTTACTATTTTCTTTTCCTCCTTCAAACATACTCTGCTGAAAGTATGAGTAGTGAAACCTCAACATTAAGTCTAAATACTGAGCAACACCACCATCATTTTAGTAATAATGCAGTAACAGTCAAAGAGGCCAGCATGAATGATACTATCAACAATAATTCAATGAATACTAGCACTACGGCAACTCCTTCCGCAAAAGAACTTTCAAAATTGATATTGAGAACAGCTTTACAAAAAGCAAACATTGCTGTACAATGTGATTCAACTAACAATGTATTAGGAGCTATTACAGCTTATAAAGAGGCAGTGAACTTACTCGAACGTGTATTAATCACAGCAGACAACGAAGGTGACCGTCAACGATTACAGAACATTGTAAGGAGGCATTTGTGATATAGGGGAACTAGAGCACAAGTGTTGGTTTTAGTGGGAAATAATAGTCAGCATGGGACGGGTTTAGGTTTATTTTCGACAAAAATTCTCGGGAAACCCGTCTTGTTAACGTTTTTATCGATTCTTTCTTGTGATAGCACGATTCTTATTCAGAAAGGATTGTATTATTGAGTGCTTTGACAACAGCTAGATTACCACAGCAACAACAAAGATCATCTCCAGTAGCGACAAGTCAAAATAATAATACCGTATATTCTACAAACAATGAGAGCAGTCCGTCTGATACTACCGTAAGCAATCCCTCTCGGCTTGTTAGTCACTACGCTCAAAAGGAGAAAATGACGACAACGGCAACAATAGTTAAAAATCCTTCCTCGTTGCCACCTGCTCAGTTAATCGTCTCAAAAAGCACTCCTACCAGCACTACTGCCACTACCGTTGCTGCTCTGGTCAATATTGCACAGCAACAACAAGCCCAACCAAACACGAGTGGTCATGAAAGAAAGCCATCTTTGACTAATGAAATGAAGTCAACAGTATCATCAGAAAAGGAAGATCAAAAAGCTAGTAAAGGCAAATCAGACAGGCCATCACGGTTTAGTTCTAGATTACGTAGTGGTAGTATCTCGATGCCTGCAAAAGAGCAGCAGCAAACTTCGAATAAAAGCTGTGACCGATCGTCCTCCTGTTCAATTGATTCTTCTATATCTATTGATAATACCCAGCAACAACTACAGAAAGCTCAAACATCAACAATGATATTACCTTCGTTCGTTCAGAGTAATAGTAGCTCTTCTACTACAAAGAAGGTCGTCAGTACTCTTTTTCGATCTACAACAAGAAATAGTAGTTTGCATTTGAAGAAGTCGCCTTCCTCTACCTCCACTTCCTCTACTTCAACGTCTCCATATGTGACAACCCATCATAACGATTCGCTATCACCCGCTACTATTCCAATTGCTGCTAATAAATCTTCGTCTACAACTCCTACTGCTACAATGCAAAGATCTTCTTCTATGTCAACCGTATATGCATCTACTAACGATCCTTCTTCACAACCTTACTCGCCACAAATGATCATCAATAGACCCTCCACGCTCTTTAATTCAAACGGAACGTCCTCCATTTATCAGTATCCTATGAGTAACACTAGAAATAGCAGCTGTAGTAGTACGACTAGTACAACAAATACGAGTGCAACGGTCTTAAGTCGACCATCTCTGAACTCAGGTTTAGGATCGATGCGCAGAAAAGCTGCCAATCGATTATCCATGGATGGACTGATGGGAAAAAATAAGTCCTCCAATAATTATCAGACATTTCTCAAAGATCATATCGAACAAGACGACATGACAGTGACAAACAACTATCAACATATACCATCCGCTACTCCAACGTCAGCAACATCGCCAACGAGCACCCATTCGACTGACATAAGCCAATCACCGTCCAATCAATCTGTCACTTCTTCCGTTACAGCATCCAGTACAGCATCCAGTACTATAAACAACCATCCTACTATGGCTGCAACTACCGCCATGACACCTATTGCTAAAAATGCAAGTTATAGCCAACAATATCTGAAATTACTTCTCGCCATCGAAAGAAGTATGTCGGAGGGCGCTTATTTAACTCAAAAACTTTATATACCCAAGAACCTATGGCAACAACCCAATATTCGTCTTTCATCCATGGATATCAAAATTTCTGCCTGTGAATCGATCATGAATGATATGGCTCGACTTGAAAATTGGATTTACCTGGATGACTTAACAAGCTCGATTAGGATTATTCAACAATTAGAAACGACTGTAGATCAATTGCAGACGACGCTTGCAAAAAAATTGAAGAGGGAGAGTACGCCTACCTCAGACAATTCTAGTCAACAACAGCAATTCAATTATACCCAACAGGAGAACGATCAAGCAAACAGCAGTAGTATGGGAGACTCTATGTCAACGAGTAACACAACAACAACAACCAATGACAACGGAAGCAGTAACAGCAACAAAAAGACACAATCTTTCATCTCTTGGGGAAGTAAAATAACAAAATCAGTTGAAAGAATGAATGGCGCATTCAGCTTAACCGGCAGCAATAAAGCAGAAGATCAATTCAAAAACTACATTGAAGTATTACAGAAATTATTTGCAAAACTACATGTCCTGGAATATTGGTTGAACCACTACTGTGCCGAAAAGCAGAACTTAGCTACTTCTGCTTCTTCGCCATTACCGTTACCGCCTCAGTATGATATATTGATTATGAAATTGATCAAGATTTGTTCTGTCTTGAATAATATGATTGGAGGATTTGTTCTGAGAGATATTACCATTTTATTGGCTAAATGGCTGAAAAGAGGCAGTTCGTGGGTGAATGAGTAGAAACAATCCCAAACAACGGAATAAGATACTAACAAACAAGCATAATATACCTCTTCTTTATTAATAACTAATATTTAATATAACTTATAAATAAACATGCTATACTCTTCGCGCGCTTCGCAATACTTAGGGATATACGTCACATTCAGCCTTTGTCAATTTAATATCAATAACATCCGGTGTAGAGGGTAACCTGGTGCCGCCTGTATGATAGTAACGTTTGACACCTTCATTATTGTAACTGTTGTCAAAACTTCTCCTATTGCTAGTACTACTCTGCTCAAGATGTGGATACTGCTGTTGTTGTAGTTCGTTCCGACGATGATCCATGTCTTCTAGGCTTGTACTTTTATGACTTTCATAGCTGCTATGTCTTCTATATTCACTTACGAGCATTTCGTCATTAAAGCGAAATCCTTGGTGACGATACATGATTAACAGCGGACATGGACCATAATAATAGTCATCATAGTAAGATGATGAAGCACCGTTATCATAAACATGATACTCGTAAAAATCATCCAAATGGCACTTTTGAGGATTTACAATAACTTCTTTATCCATTTGCGAGAAGAAAACGTTATTTCGACTTGAAACAATGAAGTAAGAAAAGCGAGAGAAAAAGAAGACATCAAAGCACATAGAGACGTGAGCTCTAAAGAAAAGGGAAATTTTAGGCTCATATTTGATCTGCATAAATTTGTGTGTTCCCACATAGATCGAAATACTAATCTTTTCGAGTCGGTAGAAAAAAAAAAAAAAAACAATGAAGAAAAAAACGTACATCAGCATTAACACTTGTTATAATATTTTGTCCTGATCTTTTCTCTGATAATGTTATAAACCATCTTTTCGTACAGCAAGTAATTTATTCAAGTGTTAATTTGAAAAAAAAAAAAAAGAGGCAGCAATATCTTCCTCAAAGTCCTACGTAGGAAGATCGACCATTGGCGTTATGAATAGTTGAGGTGCTAATCATGTCTCCTTCTTCATTCTCTACTGACACAGACCATTCGAACCAGATTTTACTTTCATCTGTCAGACGCCAGAAATCAACTGATACGGTCGAGTCTTTCAATACTTGCACCGGTTTTTGGAGTGGAAAGAAAATAGGGAACCAACTGAACATGTTGGGAGAATGGGTTGAAGGTAAAATGGACAATGTCACATCACCATAAAGTTCACATTCAAAATAGCCAGCCAAACCGTGCATTATCATATCATGTTTCATCTGCTTAAATTCCACATGTGCATGGCGCACGTTATGTAGATTAGTGTTGATGTGTTGCCCTTTCTTCTGTTTCTCACTCAACGCATCATTGGGATGCTTGAAAGACCATAGAGATTGGGGAGCAGCCAATTCGCAGACCTGCTGAAATAGAACAACATAGGGCGTTTCAAAATGTTTGATGTCTTTGTAGAGATTAATATTGCCAAAGATTCGACTGGATGCTAAGGGAGAGATGTAACTGGTATAAGAAGCAGGGATCGAAATACCATCTTCTTTGATGAATTTTTGTGCGCCATCTAAACATTCAGGAGAAAGCTCGTTATCGCCGAATGAGCCCAAGAGCTCACTGACAAGAATATCACATTGCTTGGGCGGATTCCATTGTCGCATATCAGCAAAGACGAGCTCAACTCGATCGCCCCATTGTTGAGTCTTCTTATTCTGTAAAGTGACAAAAGCATTTGGATTCTTCTCCAATGCATAGATAAAAACTTTACGTTCTGATTTTTCAGCTGCTTGTAGACATCGATCTACCAAAGGTCCTCTGCCAGCACCTACAACCATGATTGTTCTATCATTGAAGGAAGGGAGAATAATAATATTAATCACTATACGTATTTTGCGAAATAACACACGCGCTTTAAAGTATCCTATCCTCTCTTTTGTTAAGATATGTATGAAGACGTACGTCACATAATCAGATCCATGTTCTACTCTATCTAATAATGCCTTATAGACAGCTTTTTCATATTGCTGATACTTCACGGGGTCCTTTTCAAAGACTTCATATGTCTGGTTTTCTAAATTGTCCATCAAAGGTTGAAGTGGAGCTTGCAAATAATCGTGATACCCAGTTGCAAACTGCTCTTCTTCCGTTTGAAGTGGTAAATGTCGGTTCAAATAATGAATATATTCGCAATAGGAGCTGGGGTTTGCTTTTTCATGCAAAGGTGTATTGGGCACGGTGACAATAAAATCAGGTTTAAGTTTGTCCATTAATTTCTGTAGGAAGCGTTGATGTGGCTTTGGAAGGACAGGATAACCCTTTGCATTGGGGACAAAAGTCTCACCACGAACGATGACAGCTTTGACCGGTTCTGCTATCCACATGTTTAACAGTAGTTCATCTGAAGGCAATTCCGGCGTAATTTCGAGAGCGACAGAAAGTCTATGTTGGTATTCAGTATTGCACAATGCACGAAGTTGGTTCCAACGTTTCCACGGCAAGTTTCCTTGAATATTCTCTTTATACGTTAAAGGTACTTGAACCATTAACTGTTTCAAGCCCAGGGGTTGTGTATCATATTAAAGGATGAGTTACTATAACGAAGCAATGACACTAAATAAAACATTGGTACCTGAGTTATTGTCATGGATTTGAGAAGACGTTGAATCACTCTAGCTGTATTCTTCAAAGAACCCTTTTTTGGTAATGTAGGGAAGAGAACGCCAGGTAAACCAATGTGGCAAGCCCAGTCTATTTCTTGTTTCAAGGCTATTTCTGAACATAGTTTAATATCTGAATTAGATGATTCCAATTGAATCCAATTGGGTAATAAGCCAACAACTCTTGAAGACCATTCTAACAAAAAACAATTGTGAAAGAAAAAAAAAAAAAAAAAAAAATCAATCAATAACCACCACGAGAAAGCTGGTTTTATATAGCCCGTTGATGTACCTGCAGATTTAATAACAAGGTCCTTGATATTAAACATGGGCCTTTCTTTCCAAGCTTCGTGTGCCTGCGTCTCTACTGAATTATTCTCGTTTAATACACGCCGAAAAGTTGGATGGGAGATGGGGATGACAACAAACTCATGGCCAGCCTCCTCTGCTTGCTGAATAAAATTAGGAAGATCATCGTAGTGATCGGTAGTCATTAGACCTACACCGCACATACGAGAAACATCTATCTGCTGTTGTTGCTGCTGCTGCGAAGATCCGCCCATGAGTATTATGATATTGTGGAGATAGGCTCTTTTTCAAAAGGAAGAATGAGTGAAAAGAAAACCACACAAACTGTCAAACTTAAAATATTTTATTTATTTATTTTGGATTTTCAGCTTTTTTTGATAGGCTATAGATTTCTATTGGTCAATATCCATTTCTTTATCAATAGCATTACTGTCGGCTGTAAAGTCTAAAATATCTATTAATACATGATTCAGTCTTCTCATCTTTAAATCCTTCTCTAAACTTCTAACAAAGTTGCTTTCTTCTTCTTCTTCTTCTTCTTCTTCTTCTTTTATTCCTTCATTAAGTTGGTTTGAAGGCTCTCCGATCTTTTTGATAGAAATCTTTGTCGGATAACTCGAACTGGGGTTCCCGTATTCCAGATCAATAAAGAATCGAACTCCTTTTCTCTCCTCTAAACGTGTATCGTAAACAGCGGCTATAGGTGGTGTAAATTGTAACTGGACTCTATTCAAAGATTCAGTTTGAGATAAAACCTTAATGGGTGTTGCTGGTTTATGGTATTCTGCATAGACATAATTTCGTAAAACTGTATTCCTTCTTTGTCTTTCTCGCATTACGGTCGCGATATCATTCAAAATCTCTCGTTTGACAATATACGCTTGTAATTGATGATGGATAATTCTTATAAATGCATTCAAATTATGGGGTAGATGCTGTTCCTGTAAAGTATCGATGGCGATAAAGTTGGGTATCGTATGATGTTCAATTAACGCAGGTTGCTCCTCTGTAACCTTGTTAAGGCTTTTGATCGGTAACCCGGTTTCTTCTACTTCTTTTTTCAATTGTGTCCGTCGTCGTTCAAGTTCATTTTTATTGTAAACAATATAATAGGGCTCTTTGTAAGTTTGGTCGTAAAATGTGTCTAACCGTATACATTCTAATGGATGACCACTGTTATTGTTGAAATTGAAGACGGTCCTTCCACTTAGCCGATGATAGCTGATGCATTCTCTAATACAACACCCTTCTGCTCTACTTAGAAATTTGTCAAACACTTCTCGTTGCAGCTGCGTCAATTCATGATCGTAGATCTGGGTGGGATCTTGGATCAGCTTGGTATAGTAAGTAATGGTAACAAATGATAGATTCTCCTCGATAAGATGTCGTTTGAGTTGCTGTTCTTTTGCTGTTGCTGCCGCCACTAAAAAAAAATAATTGGATATTAGTGTAATTCTCTTGACTTGAAAAAGTTGATCCTAGATTTAGATTTACATCTACGTCGGTATCCTTGAACTTGTGCTCTTAATCTGTCAAATTCAGTTGGTAAACTAAAATAGAGATAAAAATAACAGAAAGTAAATCAATAACTCACCTATTCACCAGCTATTGCTAAATTTGTAGAGTACTTACAATATGTCTTCGCCCGAGTCATCGTCACTTTGTAACATTTGCTTATGATAATCGACCTGAGAAAGGCAAATGTTCAATTTCATGCATGTGCTTCGTTTTTTTCACTGTAAATTTGTTGCCCCGCAATTGAAACGCGTTTAGAGATGTCGTGTTCTTTTCTGTTTTATTCTCTTTTTTATTCTGATTTTGATCTTGATCATGGCTATCCTAAACGAAGATTTCATCAAAGGAAAAAACTTTTTCAATAAGCTTCAAGAGTGAGTTTGACACACTTTTGATTCACTTATTGACCCTCAGTACTGATTGATATTTTCTTATACATAGTATTATCACTCATGGGGACATGAGGTTAGCGAACTTTTAGACTACAACTTCTCTAAAGTAACTAACCGAGACAACCCGTACTATTTCTTAATCTAGTGCTCTAACAGCTAATGAGATTCGTCATCAGTTGGAAGACTATTTCGTAAAGTATTCTGTAACCTAGCATAAAAAAAAGGCAGGCTTCGTACTTAAGTCTTATTTTCCATTTTTCTTTTCCATCTATATGCAATATGGGAAACATAGAAGTTTGAAAGGGATGCATTAAAACAAAAGCCTTATAAAAAGCAAATTTCCAAAATGATTGACGATATTGTATCAGAACTACCTGCAGAAGAAGCGGCAATAGAGAACGAAGAAACGAAACCTCAACTCAAAAGAAAACGTCAAGTGACTTTTGCGTCTACCAGCAAGAACGATGATGAAGTAGCGGCAGAAAATGAAGGAAAAGAGAAACATAGTGAAAAAGATGACGATAATATGGAAGTAACGCAGGAAAAGAAGAAGAAGAGCGCTCCGGGATCAACCACCAAAGCAAGAGAAATGGATGAGCACGTCGAAGAAAAAGATTTACCAAGCAAGCATACAAAGGACGTTTTGACAGATAGTGATGAGGATTTCAATGAGGCTGAACACGATGATAAAGTAGTAGAAACTCATCACCATCACCGCTCAATGCAAGAATTAATTGATGCTGAAAGTACCAGCAACAAAGACAATGAAGAGAATAATATGCCCAAGAAGAAAAAGAGAAAGTTAGTGCAGCCATCCGAAGAAGGAGACGATGATGCCGAAGAAGAAAAACATGCTATGGATGACGATGAAAAAATTGTTTCGCATTCAAAAAAGTCATCTGCGAGACGTAAAAGAGCTAGTTCAGAAGAATCAAATAGTACGAAGGAAGATCAAATCAAAAGGTTGAAACATTTTATCAATAAATGTGGTGTCCGTAAGGTTTGGTCTCGTGAGCTAGCTGATTATCCATCCGAGAATGCTCAAATCAGAAGGCTTAAAGAAATATTGGAAGAATTAGGGGTCAAAGGTAGACCTTCTTTGGAAAAATGTGAAGCTGTCAAAAGAGAATTGGAACTGAAAAGGGAATTAGAAGGCCTTGATAAGAGTCTTATTATTGATGATGACCAAGAGGAAGGCATAAGACCACGCAGACGAAGAACTGCAGCCCAAAAACCTTCATATGTATTGAACGATGAAGAAAAGACTGAGGAAGAGGAAGAAGAAGATGACGATAGCAATGATGATAGTAAAAAAGCAGATGGGCAACGTAGTACGACCTCTGAAGGAGTAAGAAAACCAAAAGAGTCAAGCGTCAACCAAAAAGAGGATAGTAATGACGAGAGCGACAAACAAGAAAGTGAGGATGAGGAAATGGAAGATCCACAGGGCGACGAAGATGACGAAGATGACGAAGATGACGAGGAGGAATCCTCAGAAGTAAGTCTCACTTTTACAAGGAGGTGGAATGAAGCTTTTAATCAAATTTTTTGTCACTTGTAGGACGAATATCATGAAACTGACGAAGAGGAGTAATTGGGAATGCTGTACACATAAGCACCGAAATCTACCTACTACTTCAGAATCTATAATAACACAACCTTCCTAATAAACGAAGATGATGCCTTTAAACACTCTCTGCTTTGCTCTTGTTTTCTCTTTTTCTTTTTATTACAACGGAATCGGTCAAGGTATGGTTTATGGTAAACATCATTGTTGTTGATACAGTTTCCAGGCATTGCGGGTATTAGAAGATTCTGTTGTTGGGACCAAGTTGGATTCCATTCTGAGAGGATGTGCTTCTGTATTGAAAACCCATTTATCAAAAGGAAATCGCGGATGTTTTGGGTCATCAAAGATGAGGTAGAGATATTTAAGGGTCTCTGCAAAGAAGAAGCTGGTTTACAAGTATGTTAATGTATAAACGTATCCAAGATAACAATAATTAATAAAGAAACGTTACCTTTCTTCACGATCATCCCATGTCTTTGTTGGGACATCTACTCGTGTAACCCCGGAATAGCCTGATTTTGCTTTGCAGTAAGTGTACATTGAACTAAATATGTCCCACGCCATGTCTTGGTAAATAGGATCATGAGTATACACATAGAAATAATATAATGATTCTATTGTTTCTGGACGTAAGATATAGGAAGGATGGATTGGATAGACAGCTGGTTTCTTCCGATCGTTGCCATCAGTGTCACTGTCACCAATATCAGGGTCGGGTTGAGCCCAAGAAAATACTTCCGGTGCCAATCCCGTGGCCGTCAAATCCCAAGCACTATAGCAGCCGTTCATCAGCCTTGTCGCTATTGTTTCTATGTTGCCATATTCTCGTGGAAAAGTGCGTGCTAATAGTAGTAAAGTTCCTGGTGCAAAGCATGCCTATAAATCAAATATACGTATTGAAGCTAACAATATGTATACTCTGGAGTGTGCATGACATTATATTTACCAGTTCATCCATTTGAAGAACCTGTTCATCGGACTCCAACAAAGCAAGGAAGGATGCATGACGGTCTGACGGAGAGTCTACCAACAGGTAGTTTTCCAAACTAGAGATAACCTCTGATACCATTTGCCATTTGGCAGGATCTTTGCCTTTGGCAATCACCAATTGCTTTATGAGATACTATGGGTGTACGGAGCGGAATTGACAAGTTTAATGGAAACAACCACGTCTCAATGGCCCCTGTTAACCATTTCTAATATCATACCTCATAAAAACTGTCTCCCATTCCACCCCAGGTGATGTGATCTACGCATATAGGGTCATATTGTAAAAATTATAGGGATAAAGAGTTAGAAACAACTAAAGCAAACACTTACTTCCGACTGGTTCACCGGATTTAACATTTATAAGGTGAGGAAATAAACCAAACCTTCTAATATCCTTATTTACAAATGTGTCATAAACACGTTGGCCCTATGAAATATTCGTGAGAATGTTTTTAGCGTTTTCAAAAAATTCTTCAGTAATATGATCATACTATATTATGATATTTCCAATTGCCAGTGATCTGTGAAAGTCTCGTGAATTCTATTTGTATAGTGCCTATCTCTGCTAAACAAACTACCTCATTCTTAACGGGCTCGCCTCTTCAACGATTTGTAACAATATCAGTATTGTATATTTGACTAGTTTGCACATTTCAATATTGATTTACTTTACGTGGTAAAATCAACGTATTGATAGGGTATTCCTGTAGGCGTATCAAAAGCTGGTAATAAACGTTCCACTAACTCTACCGCTTTGGTTATAAATACATTCTCATGCGACAATTCGTATGCCGATAAAAGTCCTCCGACGTATCGTATGACAGTTTCGAATAATTGTACAGGCTCGTCATTACTGATAAGTCTATCCCAATCTATTCGAGCGACAAAACGTTGCGCTGCTCTAAATTCATGATGCATCCCCATAATATACAACGTATCCAAGGCATCAACGATCGTCGCTCCCCAACCATTTCTTTTAACACAGAATGAACATTATATCAATGGAGCCTAATGCTATAACTACATAGAACAGTCGTGGATTATACCTTGTATTTCGGGGACCATTACTGACGGGTCGGTTCTCATCATACCCCCAACTGTAGTTTTTATATCCTTCCCATGAAAAAACGAATGCATCTTGTATGTATTTTTGTTTCTCTCTTGGTGTTAAAAGGTATGAATCTGGCAGAGTTCCCAGATCTTTGCGTATCTGTTGCCGAGTCTTTAATGGATTGTCATTGTCGAATGGATCGGCTTTGCTAAAATCATCGTCGTTGTAATAGTCATAGTTCCATTCCTCCGTTGCATGCTGTTGTTCATGGTGTTGTTGCTGCTTGCTTTTACTAGCAATAATTGGCTTTTGATCAAAAAAATAATATGCCTGAGTTTCCTTAACAAAAAACCGCGCTGTCACTGATAGAATGCAAATGCACAATGATACTGTTTTGACACTTTTCATTCAAATAAATTGATAGGCAGAGAAAAGAAAGTAAGATTTCGAAAAAATGAATATTGTTACCGCTCATTTTTCGCATAAAAGGGGGTTGAAATGTAAATCGAATTGTACGCAATACGGTTGCCTGAGAATGAGAGGAGTTGCTTTTGTGATACAAGGTAGTCCATAAAAGCAAATCGAACGGAAATGACTACTTTACATACTGAAGTAGAAAATGTCATCGCCAAATCACTGTATCTTTGATGGTCTTACAATACTATGAAATGCCATTAATGCAGCTGTACTGTTACATTTTTTTTTTGCTATCTTCTGTTCTCCGAAAAAGTTGGGCATAGCCTAAACTCGCCTTTTTTTCAAGGGTACAGCCGGTCAACCCACCGCCGACTATACACATCCATCAAGTATGCTTTACTATTAGACAGAACAGATACGCGAAAAGAGAAACCCCAAATTTCAAACACAAGGGTTCCCCACGGAAATCGCATCAACGTTGAATCAAAAGAAAGACTCTGCACAGAGGAACAAGTAGATTTATACTATTTTGCAAGATCTGCTGACGTTATAAAAACTTTCCGCTTTAAGTGATTCTATTACTGCCGTTGGAATGGCCCTGGGAAACCGTGTTAAATATAGCAAAAGGATCGTTCAGTCTGTGCATGCGGATTTATGTAATGAGTCGACATTTATACTGCTATTTAACAGCATTATCCATTTGGCAAGCGACCAAACGTTCTACAATACCATCAGCTTCTCGCGTATACTTTTTACTGCTTTCATGGTTCTTATGTACTGAACATATGACATAAATCTGCGTATTAAGCCTATCAGCACCTTTGTAAACAGCACAGATTCTCCTCCAAAATACAGTAGAATTTGCTGCCGAGCTTTCATTCGAATGAATGCAACACAAAGTTTGTTTGTGTGCTAATTTGGTCCCTTTTTTATGCGTGCAAAAGACCTTCCCGTAATCTTTAGCAATCCAAGCATTTCCGAAAATTAGACAAAATGCATCGGGAAAACAATTTAAAAAATTAACCGTTTGTGGACAGTTTTTTTTTTTGGTTTTTTTTTGGCTTTTACCAGAAAACTTTAAACGGTTAAATGACATTCCAAGCTTTTCCATTTTCTATAGAAAGAAAGGGCTGGTTTGATGTCCCTTTTTTATTTTATTTTACTTTACAATGACTTTATCATCGAGATCACGAAAGCGCTTTGGGCCTCTTTGAGTATATTGTTATATAGACGGCCATTCAATTTTTAGTACGATCGCGAAACGAGAAACTGCCCCTCTTCAATTTCCATTTATGACGTTTGACCAGAAATAACGTGGTTAAATAATAGACCGCGGGAAATGAAAAAAAACAAAATAACAGAGGCTGACGAACAATCGTGAAGATTGGAGTGCGGGCAAGAAAATGTTATAAGCGTAAATGCAAAGCCAGTAAGCTATATCCTAATGAATTGCAGGGAAAAACTCTGTGGAAATCCATGGGTTGATCCGGTAACTACCAAAATCGTAGACTATTCTAGTCACGGGATTTGGCGGGTTTCAAAGATGGTCCAAAAAACGCTTAGAAACCTGAGTTTTTAATTTTACCAGTAAATACGGTGGTAGATCTGTCTAATGATAAGATAATATTAGTTACGTCAAATATGTCGAGCATAGGATAATTTGAACGATTATAAAAACAGATGATTCATTTTAAGTAAGCGTTTTTTTCAAGTATGAGCAACTTATCCCCTGCGCATTCAATTAGCAAGAGGGAAGTGTGATAGGCTTCTGTAAAACTGATACCATATCATGCGGCAAATCACTGTGTTTCAAAGTGAAAAGCACAGATTTTTTTTTTTTATTCTTTTTTTGACAGACACCAGCACCATACTTCATTTTTAAAAGCCCGTCGCATTAAGGATTGAATTGCTTCTATGGCAAAACTTCTTTTTTTTCACAAGTTTCTCTTCTTCTTCTTTTTTTCTAGCTGAAAGTTCATCTTTTCTGTTAGCGCAAGATTTTCCTATCTATTTATTCTATATCATCATTGAAAAATGTCCAGTAAAGCACCTCAAGCCTATGAAGTTAAAGAATTGGGTGGAACCCCCGAACAAGAAGCTTACATGCGTGATATCATTGATCAATTCACTGTTGACACCAAGTACCTCAACCAAATCCGTGATCATTTTATTGTTGAAATGCAAAAGGGTCTTGAAAAAGAGGGTGCTACTGTTGCCATGATTCCTTCTTTCGTTGAAGGTCGCTTAACTGGTAAAGTATTTCTTTAGTACAAGAGATATAGTAACTTGGAGTGCAGTCGAACGAGAAAGTGGAAAGGAAAAACTAACCTATGCCTCATTGTGTAGGTCAAGAAAAGGGTCACTTCCTTGCCCTTGATTTGGGTGGAACAAACTTGAGAGTTGTTCTTGTTACTCTTGAAGGTGCTGGTAAATTCAAGACTGTCTCCTCAAAATCTAGAGTTTCCGAAGAGTTGAAGACGGGTCCCATGCGTAACTTATGTGGTAATGTATATATAAATGAAATCATAGGCAAACATAGGGTCGAAAGGCGTTTACCTTTTTGGCTCGTTGACGGCCCCCCAACAACCGAAATGAAACAGCCATATACGATTTGAGAACTCCGCTTAACATGGTTTTTTTATTCTTACCTCATCTTTGTTGAATACGATTAGATTATATTGCTGAATGTGTTGATACCTTCTTGACTGAACAAGGTCTCGAAGATCAAGAAATGGAGCTCAATTTAGGTTACACTTTCTCTTTCCCCGTTTTGCAATCTTCGGTAAGATATTGACAGAGTACACAGAAGAGAGTTGAGTTAGTGGATGCGAAACGAGAAAAAAAAAAAAAAAGAGTGACTGCTAAACACCTTTTTTCCATCACTGTATTGCAGATTAACCGTGGTACCCTCTCTACTTGGACTAAGGGCTTCGCTTGTACAGGTGCTGTTGGTAAAGATCCTGTCTTGTTATTGCAAGATGCTCTTTTAAGAAAGCACGTTCCTGTTAAGGTTTCCGCTATTGTCAACGATACCGTCGGTACTCTCTTGTCCAATGCTTACAACAAGCCTGAAACTTTAGCTGGTCTTATTTTAGGTACTGGTGCCAACGGTGCCTATATTGAGAAGATCGATAAGATCAAGAAATGGAAGGGCGGCAAGTCCACTTCCGATGAAATGATCATCAACATGGAACTTGGTGCTTTCGACAACGAGCGTAACATTCTTCCCCTCACCCGCTTCGACAATAAATTGGATCGTGAATCAATTAATCCTCACGCTCAGCTCTACGAAAAGATGATCTCCGGAATGTATCTTGGTGAAATCACTCGTAACGTTTTGACCGATATGATCGATCGTGAATTACTTCTCAAGCGCGAAATACATACTTCATTCGCCTGGTCCAAGGATATTTCCAGACATTGGTCTTTCGAAACTGCCTTTATGTCAAACATTGAAGCTGATAACTCCGACGAACTCTCAGTCAGCAAGGAAATTTTAGATACCAACCTCAATTTGCACGATATTACTACTACTGAAGCTCGTATCATCAAAAAGATTTGTGAGTTGGTAGGTAAGCGTGCTGCTCGTCTCGCTGCTTGCTCCATCTCTGCTATTATCAAACACTGTGAAGTTGGCCCTGAAGGTTGTGACATTGGTATTGACGGTTCCCTCTACGAATTCTATCCTTCATTCGAAGCCAGAATGTACGAAGCTCTCAAGGAAATGCACCCTGAAATCAACGATATTGAAAAGACCATTCGTCTCGGTCTTGCTAGAGATGGCAGTGGTGTCGGTGCTGCTCTTACTGCTTGTGTTGCTGCTCGTATGGAACAAACTGCTTAAGCAAAATTACCATCTCATATCTTTTTCTCGATTTATGTCCCTTCCTCTTTTTCCACATTTTTATAAATGTTGTAACATTATTATTTTTTTTTTTTCTTTTAGAGTCATAATGAAGTTTCATCTTTAAAATTATGCATTGTTATTCTTCTCTTAGCTCATACTTCTAATAATAAATCAAAAAGTGTACATACTAGTTTATTTGATTATCTCAATTTGTGAGCTTTTCTTGGCCTTTCTTTTTCATTTTTTCCTGTGCTTTTGGGTACAAAGAACCCTAAGAAGATAGCGAGCTTTGCGACTCCTTTCAAGGCAATAACTTTATTAGTTACGTATCATTGAGTTTTATGTTATGGTATGTTTACAGTATAGTTGGTCGTTCTTATCATAATTTATAAACACTACTGGTAGATAGTATACCATTGAAAATACATGTATTATTAATGGGTATATATTGATGCGTCAACAGTTTGATTGCTTCTTGAGCTGCTAAACCTCCCAATAACGCTGCCAAATTCGCTGTTTCTAAATCATTGAAACGTACGCTGGAAGTGTAAAAAAGAAAAACAAAAAAAAAGGAGAAAAGATCATGTAAGCTTTACGGTCCATATCGTCCATGTTTTTAAAGTATCATTTACTAATTTGTAAGGACTCTGTTCAACATCTCGCTTGTAGCAATTTCTCCCATCTCTTCCGTTGAAACGCCCAAACTTTCCATCAACGATGTGACGTTGGCCTTCAGATTATCAAAATCGCTTTCTGTCGCTAAACAAACATTTACATCTTAGTCGATATTAGCTTTAGGGTGAATAACATTTCTGAAATTTACCTGGCAAGCGTCCGTATATAGTTTGGAATTTATCAGCTGCTTTAAACACGAAATAGTAGCAGAAATTTTCCTCATTCTTCAGTAGGTTTACTGCGATAATTATGTTTAAACATATGATTAGCTTTCTCTAATAGCACTAATCTGAGACAAAAAAGCCAATGCTGCTGCACATACCTAACTGCTCTTTCTTCAAGTTATTTTCAGAAAGATTTTGATAGTGAATCACTCGTATATTCGCTGCATTCTTACAGAAAAGTTCAATCGTCTCTTTAGGGATAACAATACTCGAACCTTGAACCAATTCATTTACACGTTGTGTTATGGCTTCCAAATCCTGCGAAGCCTTTTCACGATAACTGATAAGTTGTTGACAAACGATGAGATGGATTGCTTTTCGCTGTTTAACGTGAGAACTTCCTAGCTGCTTAACTTACACTTTTTGTAGATTGACATAATTCAAGGTATCTGACTTCATATCAAGTAACTTTCCGGCCAAAGGAAGTTGTCCCTCACCTTCATTTCTCACAAAATCTCGCAATGCTCGCGTCAAGATCCAGAAATAAGGAGACTAGAATAAGCGGAGAGAAAATGTCGGTAACTTATGAGTTAAACATAATCTGTATACTGGCTTACATTGCTTGTTGCATTTTGGCAAGCTGGGTCTTCAAAAAGATGACGAATCTCGGATGAAATCTTAGCAAACAGAGAAGAGGGGAAGAGCAACGGTTTAACATGTATTTTTCCTCAATCTTTATGTGTATATACCCATAACAAAACTTACTGTGTCCGAATTACTTAATCGCCAAACATGAGATATAGCTTCTTCGAAATTTTCTTCCTCCGGTGTCCTCATTCCTGCTCTAATATCCTTAATGAGTTCTTGTCTTTCTTGATAATTTTGAGGTGCTTTTCCGTCATGTTTTGCTTTCCATGCTTCGACGTATTTTAATATGACTACTACAAAAGGTACATGACTATGATCTGTTTGATCCATCTTATCCAGGTCGATAGTTGCTACATAATCAACTAATTGCTTGAAAGGGCAAGCTAGTCTCAAATCCACAGTATTTTCTGGATGACTCTCGATAACTATTTTTTAAACGTGTGAAAAAAGCGATCCCTTTTCAGCGTCAATATTTCTCTATTTTGTAATGTTATAACATTTACTTGTATGCTCGGGCGCTTGTACACTGAACATTCCGACGAGTCCTTTAGATTTGATGGTGAAAAGTACCTTTCCGAATTGCTGACATAATTGTGCCAACTTTGATAAATATTCATCGCGCATATTGACAGCAATGATCAAAGAGAAAGATTCAAAATAGCCAGGGCTTTGATCTATTAATACTTCTGGGTTCTACAATTATCATTATTTAGTTTAGAAAATCATACAAGTTGATGCTTCCTTTTCTCGTAGCTGCTACTCTTTGCCGGCTTATTCTTATGTTATTACCTTTTCTAGATAGTCTACTTTAGCATCTTCATTCAACTCCTGCAATAGTGCTGCAGCAGAATTAGCCTTAGATTGGCCTGTACTGTCCTTGTCGAGAAAGAAGTTGTTTTGAATATCTTCTTTGGTTACTTCACTGTCGTCAATGATCGTTACGTGACCAGCACCTTGATATATCAGAAGAGAAAGTTTTAGGGGACGTTTGAGGTCTGAAGCTCTTTACTGACAAATGATCTATCGTGTTTTTTTTATTATTATTTTGTACCTGGAAGAACAAGATTTTTGACCATTTCGCAACCTGTTGTGCTGACATTCAGTAGACAAATGTTGGCATCTTCTAAAGCTTTCTGACCGTTCGTTGCCCAGAGTCTTTTCATGAACGAGTGTTAGAATAACAAATAACTATTATGTCAGAACACAGAAGTACCTTAGTTGACGATCATATTTCTGCGTTTTCTGGTCAATTATAACGGACATTTCGCGATTTGAGGTGAAGTTGAAATGTTTAAAGCAAGAAAAACACAGTGTGATTTTACTTTGCTTTAATGCTGTGAAGGCATTTTTTTGAATACCAGCGTTTTTATTTCGCGTTTTTGTGTAACGATAATAAATATGTGTAGGTAAGGTTCATCTAACGTAAATATAATCTACATATACAGCATTATGTCAAAAATGCTTTAAAAGTTTTCAATTTAAGTTTTGCTTTACAGTGGATTTTTAGTTGTTGCTTGCACTTATGTTGATACAGCCAAATTAAACGGCATCCTCAGGATGATAGTAACGGTAGCAAACATGTCAATATAATGAGTTTTGACAAAAGTCATATAGCGCTTGTATCTATAACGATAGGGTATTGACCGTTCCTGCTTGCGTAAAGAACTCCTTCGATTCAGTTTGCACCATGAATAGGGCCATGGCGAGGACGAATCTGAATTAGAGCTTTATAACGGCTCATATGCATTTTGTCCGACACGTGTAAGTTAGCTTCATGTTGGATATTTTGTCCACCGCCCCCCCATATAGTCTCGCAGCCCATTGGGAAATATCAGTTACATTAAAACTCGTGTTCTGGAGACAATATCGTAAGTGCATGACCGACCGTATTTATTCATTAAGGGACATGATATTCTAAAATGGTAGCAAAGTTTGAATGAATAATCCTTCCCAACCATAATTAGGTGCTTCCAACTTATGACTATTGATCACAGGCAACGATTCTTATATGACAATTATGTATCAAGAACAAGCAATCTCTTCAATGGTAAGTATTTTTTGAGATAATATGAGGGGGAAAAATTCTAATATGAATACAAATCTATACAAAAATAAAATGAACAAATCTATGCAATTTCTTCGATCACCATATCTTCATCTTCCTCTTCTTCTTGTTCATCTTCCTTTGGCTTGAGTTCCTTAATTTCAGCACCTTCTTCATCACGAATAAGCATTTCGACAATAGAAACACATTTATCTTTCATTTCTTCGTCCGTTTCTGTCAAGTGAAGTCGTTGAATCACACGATAGACTTGTTTTTTTCGTAGATATTCACGGCCGAAACGAGTTGAAGTCAACAAAAGCAATGCTTCAAGAAGCATGGCACGTAATTTGGGATCAATTTCACGTTTCTATCAAAGAAATTGTTGATAAGCTTCTGATCCAATGAAGTGTGATTCTTCCATTTACTATACCTTATCGTCATCTAGTAATTGAATTTCTTCGGGGAATTGCTCAAACTCGTCCATGTCATATTCTTCATTACCACACAAAGGTAATAAAATAAAAGGCAACATATTGATATCGTCCACATCCAAGAGTCTTTCATGCTCACGAGTTTCAAAACAACAATTCTTAATCGTAGAATCTACGCCACCACGTCGAATGATATTAGGATCCTCAGTAAAAATTTGAATTTTGGTGATAGGTGAAAGCTGATCAGCAGGTGAGCGTTCAACCATAAACACTCTACCAAGACGAATACTGGAAACATTGGAGAAGACACTGGCTAGAAAGTGGAAATCAGCCTCAGGATTATATTCCTTCTTCACACCCTTCTGGAATACTTCGATCAACTGGTCCAACAAACGATCTGAATTGTTCAATCCTTCCACTGGTTTTGCTTTTGCTTGAATAACTTTGACGCAAGTAGGTTCATGCTTGGTCATATTAGATAACAACATACAGGCAAGATCAGCTAAGACTGACTTAGGGTTCTAGTATAACATGAGATAGGGTGAGAAAATCGCAATTGAATTGGTAAAAGCGGAAGAGTAGCAACCGATGCTGCTGGGCAAACTTACTGTAATCAATAAACCAAGATATTTAACAAAATCTTCATCATCCAGTTCAGCTTGAACTTGTGGATCACTAGATAAGTTGATCAAACAGCGAAGAGCATCGTGTGCAGTGACCTGAGGTTGACAAAAAAGGGATCAATAAAGCTAAACTTCAACATATATAATGCTTGTTTTGATAAAGTTCATTTACTGGATCTTCTTTGACAAGAAGTTTCATATCTTTACAAACAGTACTTCTTTGTTCAATCAAAATATGTCGGTATTCATTGCCGTTGGGACTATATGGAACAAGGTGATGAAGAGCAATAGCTCTAATCTATAATTGTGGTCTTCTGTCAAAACATTTTGTAAATGTAAGGGAAAAAAATTGTTTGATTTACCTCCAAAGCTGGTTGATGTAAAAAGGGAATAAGCTATGCGACCATAGTTTTAGTAAGATAGAGAACTACCAAAACCTTATTAAGCTAAATATAACAAGCGTTACTTCTCTGATTTGTGCTTCCATCGTGTAAATCGATCAAGTTGATCGAGAGGAATCTATTGTTCAAATTTGGGTAGGTTCAAATTTTTTTTGCGTTGAAACTATCTCAGTCAACAACTGACAAATCGCAGGAATCTGAGCTGAAGGTGCTAGAATGATTACTTTTTACTATGATTTTTTACTGAATAATTTTAAACCCAATGAGCACACAGATAAACTACATATCAGAAAATTGCCCTGTGCTGGTCAAATTACGTTATGGAAGTAAAAACCCTAAAAGGGGACTAGAGAAGAAAAAGATAGTAGGTCCCAATGCTGACTAGGTAAAAACGGGACAATCAAGTAATGATCGGTAGTGGACGCATAAAGCCAGTCTAGCAAGGGCTGTCCTAATGTTTCTGACGGGGTAGGGGGCATTTTCTCGTGCTGAAGATAATCGATTTCATAAAGAAGCATTTGGACAATTGCCCAAGATATACTCCAGTTAACTGGGGCGTTGGCATGCTGTTTTAAGGGTCGAGTGGGGAGTTGGTAAACAAATGAGAAATGGGGTCAACGACAGTTGTCGGAAGTTGCAGGCGGATATGCATTTGTAGGCATTCAATGGCGTGGGCTTTAGTAAGAAAACTGGATATTTTTATTGACTTAATTCAAATAATCTGAGTCTTTATTTGCAGACTGTTTATTTTTTTATACTTGGATACTTTTAGTAACCATTTGAGGCCCGCCTCTTTTTGCACGCATTTATTGCAGTAAGTTTCGTTGTTTGATCGGCCCAAAAGAATTACCTACATTCTCCTTAGCTGCCATTTGAACTGATAGTCCAGTTGTATTCTATGTAAATGGCTCACAATCCTGTATGCTCATTGACTGCTCAGCATCTCTCTTGATCTAAATCGTGTCACTTTAGTGTCATTTTTCCCTTAAAGAAAGCAATAACAATAGGTGATTGTATAAATTAAGTTAAACGCCTGTTTCTTGTCAGTAACTGATGAAGTGATAAATAAACGTATATAGATTTGGTGTCAAAATTTAGCGCGTCTAAAGAAATCTGTCTAGATTGTTTTTGTTGTCAACGAGAGCGGAGCTCCTTCGAACAAACTATTCAGATAAGTATGAGCTTTACGCTCGGAAACTGCCCCTTGTAACCTACGTGGACGGTGTTTTTGATGCTGAGCACAGTATCTTACGGAAAGAGCATGAAGGATTCCAGCAAAAAGTGATTGAGCTGTGCAGATTTATATTGGACGTCACAACCAGAGCGCAGCTTTTCATGAATTACTACATTATTAAGAACCGTAATTTAACTGTTCAGGAATACATTTATGAACAAAACTTTTGGTACTGCATCTGTAAGCTAGTCTTGGGCCAAAAATTACCAACAAAGCCTACATTAACCACACTAAACGTATCAGATATTACTTGTATTGGGCATTGAAGCCTACTTTCCAGGTAAAATGCTTGACTTATATCTTCATAGAAAAGATTTTAATTGCCCATTCATTGTCAAATAATAAGAAACGAAGAATAGTATGATTTACGGACTTATTGACTCCTATTGCCTTCCTAAAATTTTGAATGATATGGATACTTGTAAATGGTTGGAGGATATTGATATAGCAAAACAAACCCGAAGTTGATGCAACATGCCAATCATTGATGGAAAAGATGCCATCAACTCCAACAATTGAAAATATCACAGCAGCACCATCAACATTTCTACCACCTTTGACGTTCATGCTGCAGATGATCGAAACGAAAGCCCTTACCGCTGGTCTGAATGACAAAAAACCCAAATTATTCTCATTAACTCCCACTGTGTCAATCAAATGGAAGCATGTCAGCATCAATGAAAAGGCCCTATGCTGTTTGTCCAGACAGTCCATTGGCAACGGGTCCTATGCTAAAAATCTCGATATCTTCTTTAATGAATTTAATTTTGCAAAGCTCGGATATGAAACGTAAGGAAAAAACCATACTTTGCTTTCAGAACCTAATAAGATTAACAAACATCTGTTACTCAAATAGCCTACAAGACCTTGTAGGAGCTCCAGCCAACTCTAAGGACATTTTCAATTGTGCCATCCACACAGATAGCTTTGCTGTCACTTTCCTTTTTGTCAGGGCCAAGAAAAAGAACAGTGACATACCTTTGCTTACACTTGAAGATTTCACTCACGATGAGATTGAACGGTACTTCGTACCAGTTACTATCGATTCTGGTCGCAATCAAATATTCACTGCTGCTGTAGGCTACGACAGCGTTCATCATCAAGTTCGTTCATGTAGCAAAGAGGAACGAGCCAACATTGCTGGTTACACCAGGCGTGCAAAGATAGTCGACAATAAGAAAAATATAACCGGCTTAAAGGACATCGAATCGGAGATGCCAACCAGCAAAACGGTTCACTCGGATGGGTAATATCTACTCTACGTCTCATACGTTTTGCAACATCTCCAGGCTCTTCATGACTTCTATGGCTTTAATTCCGCTAAATTTAATTTTAATAATTACCAAGGCCACCTGAAAGCCGATGAGGAGATGGCCTATATGCTAATTGATGGAGGGAAAAAATATAACATAAGGAAGCGGAAAAAGACCAACAAGAACAAGCGTAGAAAAAGAAAGCGTCGAAAAGGACAAAAAACAGAAAGAAGCAAGGTAAGGGCAGAAAAAGCAGCGAAAGCGCGAGCGCGGAAAGAATCACAGGGGGAGTCGCAGAAGAAGGCAAAGAAACCGCAAAGCGCAAGCCAAAGGTGAGTCACAGACACCTGTACCTCGACTCTGCATTTATGTCATTCACTCAATCTGTCATTTATAGGTACAAACCAAAAAATACCAATAGATGGACTGCCGCAACATTTTCTGAAGACCGCACCAAACTTCCTCTCATTGTTTTCGGTGACGGTATGCGCAATAAAGATAATGTCCATTTTAAAGAGCATTCATCTGGCGTCACCGGAAATCTCTATCGTAGTCTCTTGAAAAGACAGCGCTGCTTTCTTGCTGCGGTGGTGGACATCAACGAGTTTAAAACCTCAAAGGTGGGACCCAAATTGCTAAATTAAGTGCCCATCTCTAGAAATAACGTCATTTTCGTAGGTTTGTAACAATTGTAATGGTGTCGAAATGAAAGAAGTACGAATTTGGGACGGCTCCAGCGTCTATGGTACCAAGGCCTGCAAAAACTGTGGTATAATATGGCAAAGAGACGTCAATGCGGCCAAAATATGCTTACTATTACAAATTCCGTATGGGAACACAATGGCCGCCCCAAAATTTTCTCTCGCCATCGCCATAACGAAAATGGTGCTGCAGGTTCTATACCGACGGCTTAAAGATTTTTACGCGTTTAGGTGAGTTCATCTTGTGGAATTTCTCCCTGTACACTTCTGAGGTTTTATTAACTGCTGTTTGAGTAATAGTAGTTCGCACATTTGGCATTGAGCATTTTGACAGAAAAGGTATGATCCCAAAAACTATACTTTTCATCCAAAATAATTTCTTAACTTAGTCTGAATTTTTATTGTAATATAGTCTCAATTCGATAGCCATTTCGTGCGAAAGTCAAGCAAAAACAGTATGCTGAATGTCCGAAATTTGTAAGGTAAACAGATAGTCCAACCATAAGTTTTAGATAGCATCATAGTGGCCATTAAGAAGTAGCGAGATTAAACAAGTGAGAAAAATAGCATATACAAAGGTATCCCTTCAACGATCGAATAAATCATGCGAGATACATCTTCGGCTTATTTTTCAGACGATTTGTCAAAAACCTGGCCCCATTATCGAACGAATTTCTCCAGGAAGATTGAATATGCTGTTGATAAACTAAGAATTGTGCATTTCTAAGAACAACATTACACGCTCCCATACCAAACAAAACTTTACCAAACTTGGGAAATTAATTTTATCTGCTTTATTAAAGATAAGCTCCTAAATAACAGTATAGCTGAAGCACGGTAGAGTATCCCTGTTGACTTCAAGAATTATTTTCTTCCATTATGTGTAATATATGTACAATCAAGTCCAAAGCATGAAGAAAAGTCTGAACCTTCTAAGCACCGCCGACGAGAATGTTGTTGATAGGAATATGAATCAACTAATAGAAGAGATAGACGCGTTGTTTGGTATGTTTGGTATTTGCATTGGTTTGTTAGCACATGCTCCAAATATAACAATTTGAAGCATAAGCATTCTTTTCTCGTGCTCAACCAAGACTACTTGTCGATTCTTACCTTAACAAAATAGCCAAGAGCACCAAGAGCAGCAAAACCCATTGCTACAGCTTGCACAATCTTAAAATATTCTACGAAAAAAAAATTAAGAATGTCAAAACACACAATTTTCATAAGAACAACTTCCTCCAATTGTTGCTAAATTACCTTGTTGATCAGGTTTTTTACAACGGTTGATGAACTGAACTCCATCTTTAATAAATTGTTTAGGGCCATCAATAGCAGAGCCAGAACCGTCTTTAGAATCAGTAGACATTTTTATGAGATGATGAGAAAAGCGTTAACAAAATAGAAAATGTGAAAATATGATAATCCTAGGAGGGAGAGGAAAAACTTAATATTGGAAACTGGTGCAAATTTCATTGGCCAATTAGTCTACGGCCAATCATTGACCGTTAAGTTTGTTGTACTACTGTTTCAAAAGGCTCGCGTTTTACTGTACCCTCTGTTCAGCCCTAGAGTAGTATATGTTGCTCTAATTGATCAGATATGGAGCTTTCTTCAACACTTTTTATAACATCGAATGCTTCTAAATCATAACTACTGTTAACAGTAATATCCTGGAGGCATTATTTCAATCCTATAAATAGATTGATGAACGATAGAATATACGTGAAACTACAAATTTAAATATCATAGTCTATGGGAGTACAGCTCTAAATCAGGATACATGTCGTTATAAAATACTTAATTATGCTTATGCGGTTTGTTTTTGCAATAATTGTACTCAATATATTCATGCATCAAGTCCAATTAAATCTTGCCATTAAACTAATAAAAATGATTATTCAAACAGCAATGTATGGCCTGAATGCAGCTCCAATAGTAGTACTAAGTTTATATGCCTCGGTAAATTATGTTTTTACCGTTCTCAGCTTTTTGCTACAGTCTGAAGCAAGCCATTTACGGTAACAACCCGATGTTTATTATTTGTATTCCGAGGGTTACAACATTAAGAAAAAAACAATTATTTATTAAAAAGTAGTGGATCTAAGTTGCTTTTAGTTTTACTTTAATCTGAGCACTTCAGTAATTAGCGACATCGCTTATGAAACATCTGACCTAGGTACGTCAGCGTCTATAATGATAATCGGAACTGATATGTCACTTATCCCATGCCTTGCTGCATTGTATTACAGATAGGGTTGCTTCTTCTATCAACAGACAGACAAAAGGCAGAATAAAGTTTATGCTTTATCATAATTCGTAATGAAGTCGAATAGTTTTTCAGCAGATGAGCAGAACTGAAACTAGCTTACTCTGACAAGTCTTTGTTGATAATTCCCACACCTCTTTTGGATCTTCTTTCTGTTGTCTCATAGAAGTGCTTCTATACAAATAAAGCATCGCTCAAAAATGATTTACTTCGATTTAACTTTGTATTTTTGCCTTCTTTTCTCTTGATTATAGCTTTATAACACTACGTAACGACTTATGAATGCTCAACGTCGAATGAACACAGAGCCAATCAATGGAAAAAACAGTTCGCAATATGGTGCTGTTACCACATCTTATAAGGAAATAACGGCAATGAAAGCCTCGCTGAGAGCGAGAGACTCGAATCAACAGGTATCTGGTTTTCTGAACCGTGCTTTGAGATAAATCTCTAATATACCTTGAAAAGTAGACACTTGCAAGAAGACTATCGACTTTCGCTTCATTTGGTATACGTTTAAGAACAGTGGTTTAGAATTTAGTATTTTCTTTCCTTTATACTAACTTTTTTCTAAACTGAAGGATTGGCATTTTCCAATATGGGTCTGTTGGCAAACACCTCTGCTACATTTCCATCGAGTAATGAGAATCGAAAAGTTTTCTATAATTCATATTTTTGACTTATTTATTATTTCCGTAATTTGGTGTTAACGCAATAGTGCTACAAAGAGGTGGCCCTATGACAATGTTATTAAGTTGGAATATTGTTTCTGTGATCATGATTTGTGTGGCACTTTCGCTAGCTGAAATTTGCTCCTTATACCCTACAAGTGGTGGTTTGTACTATTGGGTGTACGAACTGCTCAGTCAACATCCATACACAAAATCCAGAGCCTCCATTGTGTAAGGAACAAAAAGCTGTATTAGTCTGATACTAAAAAATGCGAAACTTAGAAATGTAATCACTTTAGTGCCTTTATCACTGGTTGGACGTATGCTTTTGCTAATATTATAGCCATTGGTGCAACGAACATATCAGCAGGTACAATATAAATTTGAATGAAAAAAATTTAAATATGACAATTTTAAGTGGTATATAACTTTTTCACTCATTATATTACATTGTATAGCATCATCTGTTTGCTCTATTTTGAAATTGACGTTGGACGTAAATCTTGGGAACTATTGTTTGGTCGTCATGACCGTGGTCATTACGCTTTATCATGGTTACATGAATACGCGTGATATGGACGCAATAGCAAGCTTAAACAAATTGAATGTCTTCTGGTCATGCTTTGGACTAGTAGGAATTATCGCGCTGTTGGCTATGGCGGCGCATCATCAACAGTTTTCGTGGGTATTTACGCACTATGAGAATCGAACAGGCATAGATAATTCCGGTTATGTGCTAGTATTGGGAATGGTGGGTGCTGCTTTTTCTCTATTTGGTAAGGAGTAACAATTACTGTGTTCTGAAGTTTAATGACTGACCATAGTATTATATTTTTACTACGCCATGAACAAAAAAAACCTGAACAGGTTGTGAAAGTGCTGCTTCTGTTAGTGAGGAAACGAAAGACGCCGATAGATCTTCACCGATGTAAAGTAGCTGAACAGTGATTTATAGCATACTGAAGACAAAATACTAAGGAAATATTGTTATTATCAGAGCAATGGTAAGCTCCATCACGATTGCCTGGTTTGTGGGTTTCGCCTATTTGATTATTCTATTATTCTCAATACAAGATATTGACGCGATATTCGATACTAAATTTCATTTACCAGTGGCTCAATTATTCTTAGTAAGTATTTAAAGCTAGCTATTTAAGTGCCTATTTGTCCTTTATATTGCCGAGCTTATCAACATGAGGTTTTTCATTCTGTCAATTTGAGGATGCCTCCGGTGTATACAGCACAGTTGTTTTCTTATTGCTTATGACCGTATGCCAATTATGTTCCGGAGCTACCAGTATGACAGTAACATCAAGGCTTATATATGCTCTTGCAAGAGACCATGCTGCACCAAAGAGCCATCAATTGAAATCATTAAACAAACATGCCCTGCCAAGCAATGCTGTATGGCTTACAGCTATTTTCACTATTCTTATCGTATCACCATTCCCAATGTCTGAACATTTATACGATACTATCGTCAGTGCTTCCACTATCACTGTTCATTTTAGTTACGGTAAGCGCTTCTGCTTCCGTAGTAAAAAGAAAAAAAAAAAAAAAAAAAAAAAAAAAAAAAGATAACAACCAAGAGCTTGCGACTCTAACAACTTAATTGTTTACGGATTTTCTTGTGGATAGCTATGGTGCTTGGAAGTAGACTCTTAGCACCAGAAATGTTAGGGAGGAAAGGCCGATTTAGCCTAGGCCGATGGAGTAAACCGATTACGTTAATAGGCTTTTCATGGGCTGTTTTTGCCACGTTAGCCTTTATTTTGCCCACCGAATGGCCAATTACCAGTAAGTCTGGGCTTTTTTCTGAAATAACACAGTTTCAAAGAAAAAGAAAAAACACAGATGAAGAAATATGATTAAGAAAATGCATGGTTTCTGAACCACATTTCCTCTGTAACCGTAGGTAAAAATTTCAATTACGCTGGTTTGGGATTATTGTTTGTGTTACTGTTTGCTGCAACTTTCTGGTGTGGATGGGGAAAATATCACTACCATGGACCACAAGCCTCGAATGACGAAGCATGATAGTTCAGAATGGAAGCCTTTTATGCATAAAGTATACCCAGATGTAATAATGCTTTTACAAAGCAAACAAATCTACCACCAAAAATCAAATAAAGAGTTTTGTTTCTATTTGGATATATAATTATGTCTACACCGATTAACATAACAGACCAAAAACGCAGGGTTTATTTGAGTAAACAATGAAGAATGATTATGCGCGACATGAACGGCAAATGGAAAAGCACTTGATGCTTTATGATTTACAAGGATAGTTATGGCTATTTACAGGGTTTATCGAGAATAAATAATCAATTTATGGGTGTTGTGGATGAAAGGGCATTGATGTTGCTTGTGTGATGAGAGGGACGAAAGGAGGTGTTGAATTTGGTGATGAATTTCTTAATCTTACGTTGTCGTTTTTGTGTAGGAGGGTCATCGGATACGTTCTTATGAATGCCTTCATGCGGCAACTCGTATTCTTCATCAACGGAGTAGGAGGATATAGAAGAGTATAAAGTCTTTTGAGAAGAGTTAAATATGCTGTGTAGTGATGTTAGTGATGTGGATGGCCTTAAATCAGAAGAAGTTGATTTTCCATCAATGAGAACGGCAGGTGTTGATGTTGAGGATGATGATGATGATGATGATGATGTTGTTGTTGTTGTTGTTGTTGTTGTTCTGATTGTATGTGCGCCTGACTCTTTTGAGGATTTCAATTTACAGAACGATGAATTCTTTAGTGTTTCAACACTGCTACTGCTGCTACTAGTGTAGGAAGATTGAGAAAAGATCGGACGTATACCTGCTGTAATTGCTAGATTTTGGTCCTCTGTACGAATATGAGTTGGAGGACGCCTTAATTTAACTCGTGTCTTTTGCCACCAAATTGGAGGGCAGGTAGTTCCTGTTCGCTCATCATGAATTGAAGGCCGAACACGGAATGACGGTAAGCTTTTAATGTCATCAAGACTAGCTCTTCGTGTGGAGACCTCTTTATTAACATTTTCGGTTATAGACTTGCAATAGGTGATATTCCTTCCTTTCTTCTCAGCTGCACCGTTGGCAAGAATGGGTGGTGCTGATTCTGCTCGATTTCTGGAGCCATTATCTCTGATGATTGGGGCTGCTGTTGGCGTCGTCTGGTTTGGAAAACGAGATATAAGTACATGATAGACAACTGAACAAATCCAAAATATTTCCGATTGCAAAAGCGCTATAGATATTATAACATATTCGGGGAAAAGCTTTCTTGTAGAAAGAATAGAAAACTTCATTTGTCTTTTTTTTTTAGGAAAAAAAGTAGGATATATGAAATGCAACAATGCTGAAAAGAAGTTCGCTCTGTTATCTAGTCTGCGTTGCTTTTTTTTTAAAGAAAATATACAAACTTTGTACGTTTAAAGGAATGCGCACAAGAAATTCTTTTTGCTATTTATATTTGTTTAATAAAAATGAAAACTCAGAAAAAGAAGGTTTCACACAAGGGCATCAATAAAACCTAGGAAAAGGTGTTTCTAAATTTGAAAAAAAAAAAAACCACATACAACGAGTTTATAAGTGAAGGCCTTTGCAAATATCTATCGACAGTTTGTATCTAATTGTATTAAATAAAGACAATCGTAATTACATTAATGTTATTGAATTGCTTAGCTTACTCGGTTGCAGCGACTTGAAAAGACAATTAGGCTTTCCTTCATATTTCTGTTCTTGGAATTTGTTCAGCCTCTCTGTTTACGTTTTCATTCAGAATCCAAGAGACTCTTGGCTTTGGTGTATCCTCCATCGACTTATCATAGAAACAAAAGAGGGTTTGGGTTTAAAAGCCAAACCCATCGTCTCATCTACACCTTTCCTGTGTCCCTCAATGTGCATAGTACATTAACACTAACTGCTTTGCTACTATATTTGAACTGGAGATTGATTACACCAAACAAATATACAATTTACAACGGTGATACTTTGAATAGCAAACCATATTTTAGTTTCAGTTACATTAAGCAATCTACTTTTTAAGTGGAGAAGACTTTATTGGAAAACGGGCGGTATTGAACGTGTCTTATCTATACGCGGTAAAAGCGAAACGCCTTTAATACCTTGTTATTGTTGTCATGCTTTTATAGATACTGAGCTAGCTTGTAATATTTTGCATCAATCATCGTATTGAGGAGGTTAACGCTGCATAGGTACGTCTTGGTTGAACAAGCAATACTTGCTCCTTTCTGTACAGCTGTTTGATTACAGCATTCGACAGTGTAAAAGACATGAAATAAATGAGCTTTTGTACTTACAACGCCCATCTTGAATAGAAAAGTTTGGAAACATATATAGTAGGCTGAGACAACCTACAAATTCATTTATATTCGAACGTGCTCTATTAATGGACAAAAATAGATTTTACAGCTGTGGTAATATTGACTTCGTTCAGCCTTGCACATTCAAATAGCTGCAAACGTGAGGCTTGAAAATACATTGAAACAAACGGTCGTTTTCTTCTTTTTTTTTTTTTTTTTTTTTTTCTTCTTTCGTCTTCATCATTAACAATAAAAGACGGCAATCGTAATCTCGTATTTCTTATCATTCTTGTAAATCAATTTTGTTAAATTGTATTCACTTTGAGTAAGGAGCATTTTAGTCAGCAACCAGCCTGTCCCGTGCATGATTCATTCATGCCAATATCACATAATTATTTTGGGTCAAAATTTGGTCTTTTGTGGCCGATATGTATTTTAACACCTTCTTCGTTGTAGTAGATGATTAAATCAGAGCATTGATGGTAGTAAATCCCAAATGAAGATCATGTACTTTGAGAAAGAACATATTATTGTTCGATTGTTAACCTCGACACGTCAATTAACTATATTTCATTAATTTGACACCGATCGTTATGGAAGAGAAGAGAGTCTACTGAATAGATCAATGATAGAATTCTCATATATGACCAACCGGTGCGCTAGTCAGCTTGAGTTTTGTCTTTCGGGATCACCAGTGGGGAAGATTTGCTTCTTGTGCTTTCTAGTGCTGCCAAACCTACCTTTATAGGATTCTGTTCATAGCTTGCTTCTTCTATTTAGTTTGCAGGAGAAAATATTCATAAAAAGCATTGCTTTAGACCAGAGTTGTAGTATTAATCACCATTATTAGTCTAGGACTTAAAGTGATAGTCTATTCTATTAAAGAATATTTTACTTAATTGGCACTCATCCTTGTTTTGTCAATGAAGGGACACGAAGGCGCACTTAAGTCTTCTGGCTTTCGAATTATGCTTGTGTATCAAATTACTGCAGAAACTCAAATCATTAAGCATCAACAAATATCGCAATTGATAAATATATTCAGAGATATATTGCGGCATAAGTAAGCAAGAGATAGGAAGCTAGTTAATATCCGTTTGTTTAGCAACGATCGAAGTGAAGGCAATAAAAACCATAGGCAACGGATTCATAACTGGGATCTAAGCTTCGACATATTAAATGATAATATGAAGCAGTTATTATTTAGTCTACTACGGAAAAATAAAACAAACTTGATGCCACTTACATTTGGTGCAGTAAGAACTGTCACGCAATAACCCAACCATGTAAGAATTAATGGCAAGTTTTAATGTGTTGTTGCAAATTAGAACTGGCATATCCAATTTTTTTTTCGCAAGTGTATTGATTCACATTACCTTAACTTTATTTTTGATAAAAACACTATCAATCACCGGTTAAACTTGTATTGACCTTCGCTCCTTCCTGAAAACTAGTTTCTTTTTACAGTCTTCACCTACTGCTAACCCTTTTTTATCATATAATTCCTTCAATCTTATGGTCTTTTATCTTCGTGATCTAAATTGACGTGTTCTTGGAAGATAGATGGTTCACATCATGAAATAAGCGTAATTATTTGTAGATTATATTTTATGTTAATTTAACTATTAGATAGTTATCCTGGTTGGACCTTGATGGCTATATTATAAGTTTATTTCATCATAACTCTTGATTGACAACTTAACAAACCTGTTGATATGAAATCCTTACATAATCTTTCACTCTAACTTATCTCAACCATACGGTTTGGCACTTTATGATCCATTACTCACTACTGCTGGATATGACTTTAGCGCGAAGGGTTATAAGAAAGGTAAGGACATATTATTGAGTTACAAAGTTACAATCTTAGTGGAAACCGCTATGTTATTTTATAATATAGCATACTATAAAATTGGAACGATATATACGCCAACGCACCGAAAAGATCGTAAGAAATGAAGAAGTAAAGATATAATGAAGATTTAGTTCGGGAGAACAAAAAAAATGACTCAATTATCTATTCGAAACTTGCGTCACGCGATAGAAGCTTTTACGGTTGCCAAACAATAAGTATGTCAAATAAATTCAAATGTGTTAATATTTTGTCTTATTTCCTGGGCAGATGATTGTCAGTTATTTGGCTGTTATAGGTGTCTTAATTATACTTTATGATATTCTAAAATAGTATGCACTCCATAACACGCAATATTTAGTCAACACTACTATATTAACTAGGTCCTTAATGTATACGAACCACTTATAGTAGACCTTTTGAGTAATGTAATGATGCTAATGGTTTGAGATGGCTAAATTGGGTTGTATTTCTTGTTGGGTTAAATGGTGTCCTGACTTGAGGCTCTGTCGTTGAGTATAGAGTAACAGCAGCCTTTTGGACTAAACAGCTTACAATATAGCATTACTCTTTAATAAAGTACTCTAAAGTCTATTATTCGTAGCAACACTATTATCTCTCTTTAGAACTTTCGCTCTGCTTTTACGCAAGTGAATAGAAGTTTGAGAGTCGATACAACCCTTAATATCAATCAACTTCATCTATGATAACTCCAAAATGTAATAGCTCCATTTAATTCTGCAGACTCTACGAGCACCTAACAAATCCGCAGTTATAGTAGCTGTATAAAAAATATTCTAACTAATGCCATTTTAGCATTATAAGTAAGATTAAGATTTCACCCGTTTAATAGAAGAATAGCTATCTAATTCACTTACATAGCTCTATTTATATAGCATGACTCTCAAGGCATCCTACCTTACCGTGCATAAAAAAAACTTTAAATACAAGCTATGAAATATCACTTGGAAAAATCGCTTAAAAGTCTGGTAAAGTACACTTATATGATATTTGATTATTAAATACCATAAAACTACTGTTTCCTAGATATTTGTCATCGTAATAGATATTGTTCGGATCCCTTGGGGACGTTCTCATTGCAGAGTCACATTCGTACTGTTTTGTTACTGTTGCAACTTGAAAGTTTTTGTTGAAAAAGCTTATAGTAGACTAAAGTGATAGTTTTTTTTTTGTAGAGAGAGTATGGCATTTAATATTCGATTGAGAGAAGTAAGCAACCTAGTAAGCGGTAAGGAGCTGTATAAAATAGATGATAAAAAGATAAATGATAAATAGAATAGTGAGAAGATAATTTGTGATTTGAGAACAGATGGTTAAATTCCGTCATATGAAAGATAAAGGATCAATAAAGATATGGCTATTAGTCAAGAAGGGAAAACGTAGGTGGTTGGTGACATTCAGTTAATCTAGCAGGTAAAGTATTCGAAGTATTTCAAGTATACTATTCTTATAATAATTTGATTTTGTCACTTTAATTTATGACTTAGATGTTTGAACCATTTTATATATTCGCAAATACCCGTCAATTAATACTGTAAAGAGAAGATGCGAAGTTAAATGTAACAATAGTATATACTAATCAGGAAATGACCAGAAATAGTTAATAAAAGATATCAGTAAAGGATTGAAAACAGACAATTGGTAAGAGATTCTGAGCAATCATGACAAGCCTTCAAACACTTCCATCAAGTATTATGCAAGCTTGCAAGCAATCTGCTTCTGAATGTCCAAAAGGCAAATGACGGTGCAATCAGTAGAAACGTCTCACGTATAAAATTGAGTCAAAAAAAGAAGCCCAACGGGGGGCTCGAACCCCCAACCTTGAGATTAAGAGTCTCACGCTCTACCGATTGAGCTAGCTAGGCATTTGGTTATTTTAAATAATTATGAGCTAGCCCATGACCTGAAAGATAATAAACACAATATCACCTGATGGTGCGGTCCGGACTGAATTGAATCTGCAGTGGTCTGGAGGGGTTCTCATGTAACCTTTATACAAATATCAATTATAAAGGGCAAGTTTTTTTTTGGTTTTTTTATATGTGTTTGTAATTGATTTGAACCTTTACAAGCACGATGCGAGCGAGAAACGTATATAAATAAGAACAATAAAAATACATGATTGATGACACATAACAGGGATAGACACATAACAGGGATAACAATTCGTGACAAACGGTTGGACATTCTATTATTGATACTTGTAATCAAATGGTAGGCTACTTCATTAGCATTATCTATTAGTATTGCAGTCTATGATCTGCACTGAAGTTAAGATGATTTTCCAATTTGACCTCTATATCCGTTGCCTTAAAGAGTAAGATGTCTTTAATTGCGATTCGGCATACATCATATTTTGAACTCTGCTAGTATTTAAAGGAGGAGTATCAGATTCAGAAGTTATTTATTAGACACTTGTAATCTTACCTCATATAGTGAAAATTATTAATGGTAATGTCGGCTATATCCTTTTCTTCCTTTCGGTGTTTCTCTCGCTGGTCTTTATTGGTGAGTTCTCCTATTTACTGGTTCAAGTTACAAGATTCATGGATCTCCATGATAAATAAGCCTTTACACCCATCGTGTACAAGATATAAATACCAGTCAGCTTTCTGTCCATTTTTTCTGATAATCGAATAATTGAAATAAACAAGAACCTCTCTGAGTTTTCGAAGACTTGTACTGTTTATTTCTTTCATTTCTAATATCTATTTGACAGATCCAACAAATATGTTAATGAGTGAATAATAGCTGTCATGACTCGTAAAAGAAAAATAAGTCAAAGGGAATAACATGTAAGTTCGGTATCGGTTGGAGACCGCGATAATATTATGCTTGCGGGCAGTACAGCCTACTTTTCGAGTTTAAAGCATTTAATGACAGTCAGCCTGCTGGCGATTAAGCGCTTAACATGTTGCTTATACATGGTGAAGCCTGAATTTTGTTTCATCCAAGTTAAAGACAATTACACAAGCGATTTATGCACATAGTATAGATTGTAAGATAGAAATCTTAGAACAAGAGAGAAATGGGTGATGATGTTTTTATTGTTACTAGTAAAACATCGAGTTAGTAAGGCACAGAAAATTTGTATGAGAGAAGAGGACATTCATACCTATATATTCCTCTCACATTTTGAGCAAACAAATATAAATAACTTTTTTCTTTGTACTTCACCAATCTTACTGAAGTGATAAACTTAATTATCTAATTGTGACTCACTGCTGCTGACCCGAGGATAATTAAAGACTTGTTCTTTCAATACTTGGGAAAGAAGACCGTGTACCGCCTCCACAGTGATCTTTGAACTATCCTTATTGACTTTACTGAGTTGACTGTCATCATTTTTTTTCCTATCGCCATAGTATCCTCCCATCCGCCCTGTCATATTGTCGTTTGTTTTATTAAGCTTTTCTGCAAGGTCCGACATTTGCCTTGTTGCATAGTCTCGGTTCTAAAGTACAGATCACCAGAGTTAAAGCAGCTACAATTCAGCAATTAAATAGTACCTTCCCTACTTACCGTCAACAAAGGCGATTGTGATAGAGTATTAACCCAATATTTATTCCATAAGACCTCCAACAGTTGTGTATCCAACGTTGATTTAAAGTGTGAGACCTCCAAAGAGTAATAGCTGGATATAAAGGGACACATATTAAGAAAAAATAGGTAAACAGGAGCAAAAAGTAGCTGTAGGAGTCCTACTTACGACTTAGCATGCACACCAAAATCTTCAATTTTATTCAATGGTATAGTTTGATATTCAGAGGGTCCTTCGTCGGGAGATTTGTAGCCCTATAATTGTGCATTAGTACGTACTCATGCGTTCAATTTTGTGTGAAAAATACTTGCAGCTGGATAAGTTCTAAATGCGCCAATCTCAACTTTTCCAGCAGAAATAGTACGGTTTGGATCGATCTATTAAACAAAGAACGTACATATTAAGCGACTCGAACGATAAATTGGAGCGAGAACCTTTTGACGTACTACTACTGCCACGAACGGCTCTTGGTATTGTTGATTTAGTTGTTGCGTGCTGACATCAATACCCGATAACCAGCAACCATAACCCGGATGTGAATGATACCATCCCAGAACGTTCTCCAATCTTCCTACCTAAGACGTTTTGACTGTGTAAGAGATAGATCATGATGAAAAAACGCTATATTTGAAAACTTACTTCCTTGGATTTTTCAATGTATGATACCATATATTCATACGCTTCATTCTGCGCATTTACTCTTGTTTCCGTTCCCTCAACGGGTAATGCAAAGCTATCCATGACATACATTGTGTCGCCGGAAATCTTGCCCTGCATCAAGCCCATGACTTCAATATTACCACCAGAACGAGCATGCATAACCTGTAATGTAAAGCAAAGTTTCAGCTTACTTTGGGCTACAACAAACTTTCTCAAGCTCTCAGTACCATTTTAATAAGTGCTATAGCAGAAATTTTGACATGTTTAAAATAATGTGGACTAAAGCTGATGTTAAACACATTGGTCTTATATGTTATCTTCTAAACAGTTAAGTCTATACTTGCTCATTCTGCCAAGGCTTGCTGGCTACGTTTTGTTTGTCCTCTTCAGCATTGTAAAAGTAGATTTGGTCCTGGTTAGGATCTACCACTGTGATGTTATTCTCTAATTCCCAATTTTTCTGTGCTAATCCTGCATCCATCACCACAATACGACTGAAAAGAAATGACAAATAGTTGCGGGGTTCGTAAAAAGCAAAAAAGTAACTGCCTCTTTATTTGGAGCAGCATGAATGGATAGCCTGACTGCTGACAATGGTGAGCAGCAAGTTACCATCAATTATAGCTCACATTGACTATAAGCAACAGTGTGCGTATTTCAGCTTACTCACACTGCTTTGTGTGATGAAAATAATTGTATCAAACATTACCATTTCATTTTATTTTAATCGATTTAGTGCTACACCATGGTCAATTTATGAATAAAATAAAGCATATTTCATTTAATCCAAAAAAAGACTTCCACAGTACGTACATTTTGTATGCTTCTATTCATAAAATGTCTTTAAAACGACGCGCAAAGCAAGGGACATATTGACCATATTCAGTAAGAGCTGTTCATGTTGAAGCGCTCCCCATTCAAAATGTGAGAAGCCTATGGTTGGGGTATCCACCAGCGATCTTCTGAAGATATGAATCGCTTGAACCCAGCTATCAGCATTATTGGCTAGATTTTATTTTATGTCTCGCTCACATAGAGCAAATATAATCGGACTTTTGTTATATTTTTGAATTGTTTTTGGGGGGCTTTTTTTTCTACGCGTTAAATCCTGCTGTTAAATCAGAAAAGACACATCAGATTCGAGTTCCTATAGAAATCCAGCTATTTTTTTCCCGGCTATTGAACCTCTTCCTTATTCTATTTTCAACTTATCTTTCAGTATTCACAAACTGCTAGACATTCACCTATAGTAGTGTGGAAGAGCGAGTTAGAAGCTAAATCAAATATGGTAGTAGATCACAAAAAACTACCATCCCATTTTATCGGTAACACAACTCTATTGCATGATTTGACATTTTACCCTCCTACAGAATTTTGTTAACATTTTTACAGGTGGAAACTCTATTGATAAGGCTCCTCAAGGCCCTGTCAGAGACTTTGTTATCGCTAATGAAGGCCATACAGTCATTACAAAAATTCTTATTGCGAACAATGGTATGGCCGCTATGAAAGAAATTAGATCAGTTCGTAAATGGGCCTATGAAACTTTCGGTGATGAGCGTGCCATTGAATTCACTGTCATGGCGACTCCAGAAGATCTAAAGGCAAATGCGGAATATATTCGTATGGCTGACAATTATGTTGAAGTTCCTGGTGGTACAAACAACAACAATTATGCAAATGTTGAACTTATTGTCGATGTTGCTGAAAGAACCGCTGTACATGCTGTGTGGGCTGGTTGGTAAAAAGTCAACTAGATAGAAACGTATACAAGTAGAAAACAATTAGGCTAAACTGTATGTTTTATTGTATTGTAGGGGTCATGCATCAGAAAATCCTCGTTTGCCTGAAATGCTCGCAAAGTCAAAGTATAAGTGTCTTTTCATTGGTCCTCCAGCTTCAGCTATGCACTCATTAGGTGATAAAATCTCATCTACCATCGTTGCTCAAAGCGCTGACGTTCCTACCATGGGTTGGAGTGGTGATGGCATTATTGAAACAGTGAAGGATACAGATGGGCATGTTACCGTGCCGGATTCAGCTTATAAAAAAGCTTGTGTTACTACTGCTGAAGAAGGTTTGGTAGCAGCAGAGAAGATTGGATATCCTGTAATGATTAAGGCGTCCGAAGGTGGTGGTGGTAAAGGTATTCGTAAGGTGGACAATGCCGAACAATTTCCTAGTTGTTTTGCACAGGTCCAAGGTGAAATTCCTGGATCACCCATTTTTATTATGAAATTAGCTGGCAATGCTAGACATTTGGAAGTACAACTTTTAGCTGATGAGTACGGTAATGCTATCAGTTTGTTTGGAAGAGATTGTTCAGTGCAACGTCGTCATCAAAAAATTATTGAAGAGGCTCCAGTCACCATTGCTAAACCGGAAATATTTGAACAAATGGAGAAGGCTGCTGTACGTCTTGCTAAATTAGTAGGTTACGTGTCAGCAGGTACTGTTGAGTACCTGTACAGCCATTACGAGGAAAAGTTCTATTTCTTGGAACTGAATCCTAGATTGCAAGTAGAGCATCCTACTACAGAAATGGTATCAGGAGTCAATTTACCAGCCGCTCAACTTCAAGTCGCTATGGGTATCCCTCTTCATCGTATTAGGGACATTCGCGTTCTTTATGGCGTTCAACCCAATAGCGCATCTGAAATCGATTTTGATTTTGCTCACCCTACCTCTCTTCAGAGTCACCGTCGTCCTACACCCAGAGGCCATGTAATTGCTGTCCGTATTACGGCAGAGAATCCTGATGCTGGCTTTAAACCATCCTCTGGTATAATGCAGGAACTCAATTTCCGTTCAAGTACCAATGTCTGGGGTTATTTCTCAGTTGTGTCGTCGGGCGGGCTTCACGAATACGCAGACTCTCAATTCGGTCATATTTTCTCATATGGTGAAAACCGTCAACAAGCACGTAAAAATATGGTTATTGCTTTGAAGGAGCTTTCCATTCGTGGCGATTTCAGAACGACAGTCGAATATATTATCCGTCTTTTAGAAACAGAGGAGTTTGCCGAAAATACAATCAATACTGGATGGTTAGATATGCTTATCTCAAAGAAACTTACAGCCGAACGACCTGATACCAATCTTGCCATATTTTGTGGCGCTGTCACTAAAGCTCACAGACTTTCAATTGAGAGTTGGAATGACGTCAAACAGTATCTTGAAAGAGGACAAGTCCCCAGCAAAGACGCCCTTAAAACAGTCTTCACCATAGATTTTATTTACGAGAATGTTCGCTATAATTTCACTGTTACTCGTTCGGCGCCTGGAATCTATACTTTATACCTCAACGGCACGAAGACTCAAGTAGGCGTACGCGATCTTTCCGATGGTGGGTTATTAATTTCTCTCGATGGTAAATCACACACAACCTACTCAAGAGAAGAAGTCCAAGCCACTCGTTTGATGATCGATGGTAAGACTTGTCTGCTGGAAAAGGAAAGCGATCCTACTCAATTGAGAAGTCCTTCTCCCGGTAAATTGGTCAATTTACTGTTGGATAACGGCGACCACGTTAAAGCTGGACAGGCATATGCTGAGATTGAGGTTATGAAAATGTATATGCCTTTAGTTGCTACTGAAGACGGCCATGTACAATATATCAAGCAAGTTGGTGCTACCCTCGAAGCCGGTGATATTATCGGTATTTTGGCTCTTGATGACCCTAGTAGAGTTAAACATGCTCTTCCTTTCACTGGTCAGGTTCCTGAGTTCCTCCCACCTTACATATATGGTGAAAAGCCTAATCAAAAGCTCAAAGCGGCCAAGCAATCCCTTGATTACATTATGCAAGGTTATGATAATCAAGCACTTGCACAGACTTCTCTAAAGGAAATGACAGAGATTCTTCGTGATCCAAATCTTCCTTATTCAGAAATGACATCAGAAATGTCTGTCCTTTCTGGTCGTATGCCTGCTCGTTTAGAAGATGCTTTACAGAAGCTACTGCAGAATTATGAGCAAAAGGGTGCACCTTTCCCAGTCAAAGAAATTAATAATTTAATCGAAGACTTTGCTACAAATAACATCCATTCTCAATCAGATCTCATAGCCTACAAAAACTCTCTCCAACCTATCACCCATCTTCTAGACCAGTACAAAGATGGCCTCAAGTATCATGAATACTCTACTTATGTTGATTTAATGGAACAATATTACGATGTTGAAATTCTATTCAGCGGACAAAATCGTCAAGAAGAAGTCATTCTTCAGCTACGTGACCAAAATAAGGATGATCTGAACAAGGTTGTCTCCATTATTTTGTCGCATTCCAAGGTAGCAAGCAAGAATAACCTCGTATTAATGATCCTCAACATTATCCATCCTTCATCTGTTGGCGGTACTCTTGATAAGTATTTCTTATCCATCCTTAAACGATTAGCTGAAATTGACAGTCGCGCCACTCAAAAAGTGGCTCTTAAAGCTCGCGAATTGTTGATTCTTTGTCAACTTCCCTCTTACGAGGAACGTCAAGCTCAAATGTACCAGATTCTCCAAAATTCAGTTACTGAAAGAGTCTATGGTGGTGGAATTGAACATCGTACACCCAACCCTGAGTTCTATAAGGACTTGATTGATACCAAATTTAACGTGTTTGACGTTTTACCAAACTTTTTCTTCAGTAACGAACTTTATATCTCACTCGCTGCCGTCGAAGTGTACATCCGCCGTTCGTACCATGCTTATAAAATCTTGGATACTGCGTATAATCTTGATGAAGCTCCTTTTATTCTCGCATGGAAGTTTATTTTGGGCAACTCTCCCACTCACCTCGATGATGATAAACGTATCGCTTCTTATTCTGATTTAACTTTCTTGTTGAATAAGACTGAACCTGAACCTATTCGTACTGGTGCTATGACCGCCGTTCGTTCATTAGACGAACTGATTACTCAGTTGCCCCGTTTATTGAGTGCGTTTGCTGACAGTGCTAATACTAAGAAGGGTGGTCGTATGCAGAATATTCTGAATATTGCTCTACAAAGTAGTAAAGACCTTGACAATGATTACTGGCGACCTAAGATTAAGGAGTTCGTCAAGTGCCATGTTGATAAATTCAGGGAAGCTCACTTACGTCGTATATCTGTTATTGTCTGTCGCCCTGATCAATGGCCCGATTATTACACTTTCCGTGAAAGTCAAGATTACGAAGAAGATGAAACCATCCGTCATATCGAACCAGCTATGGCTTATCAGTTGGAATTGGCTCGTCTTTCAAACTTCAACATCCAGCCTGTTACTATCGAGACAAGACAACTTTATGTCTATTATGCTGTAGCTAAAGAAAACCCTTCTGATTGTCGATTCTTCATCCGGGCTTTGGTTCGTCCTGGTCGAGTCAAGGATTCTATGCGTACCGCGGATTATCTCATCTCTGAAAGTGATCGTCTCTTGAAGGAAATTTTGGATACTTTGGAAATTGTATCTCAAGAGTACAAAAACTCTGACTGTAACCATCTTTTCATCAACTTCATTCCTACTTTCGCTATTGAAACCAACGAGGTGGAGCAAGCTCTCACTGACTTTATTGATCGACATGGCAAGCGTCTTTGGAAGCTTCGAGTGACTGGTGGTGAGATTCGCTTTAATATCCAGCCTAAGGCTTCTAGTCAAGCTCCTATCCCTATCCGTTTTGTTATCGATAATGTTTCGGGTTTCGTCTTGAAGGTGGATGTCTATCAAGAAATCAAAACAGAAAAAGATAGCTGGGTTCTCAAGTCCCTCACCCGTGTTGCAGGTCACATGAACATGTTGCCTGTTTCAACTCCTTATCCCACCAAAGAGTGGCTTCAACCACGACGTTACAAAGCGCATCTCATGGGTACAACCTATGTTTATGATTTCCCAGAACTTTTCCGTCAAGCCACTCAAAACCAATGGAACCAATATTTACGTGGTAAGAAGAGTACCAATGAAATGAAGAAACTACCTTCACAGCTTATGGAAGCCACAGAATTGGTACTGGATGAAGATACAAACGAACTTCGTGAACAAATTCGTGCTCCAGGCACCAACAATGTGGGTATGGTTGCTTGGATTGTCACTCTTCGAACACCAGAATATCCTGAAGGCCGTCGTATTATTGTCATTGCTAATGATATCACTTTCAAGATTGGTTCCTTTGGTGTTGCTGAAGATACAGTCTTTTACAAGGCCTCCGAATTGGCTCGTAAGTTAGGTATTCCTCGTATCTATCTTTCTGCTAATTCGGGTGCTCGTATTGGCCTTGCTGAAGAATTGATGAATAAATTTAACGTTGCTTGGAATGAACCCGGTAACCCCTCTTCTGGTTTCAAATATCTATATGTCACTCCCGAAGTTTATAATCTTGTAAATTCTGATGGCAAACAAAGCGTTATTGGCGAGGAAATTCAAGATGAAGGAGAAACAAGATACCGCATCACAGACGTCGTCGGCTTGATGGACGGCTTGGGTGTCGAAAACTTGAGGGGTTCAGGTCTTATCGCTGGTGCTACTTCCCGTGCTTACGACGATATCTTTACTATTACTTTAGTCACTTGTCGTTCCGTTGGTATCGGTGCTTATCTTGTTCGTTTGGGTCAACGTACTGTTCAAAATGAAGGCCAACCGATCATCTTAACTGGCGCCCCAGCTTTAAATAAGGTGTTGGGTCGTGAAGTCTACACCTCTAATTTACAATTAGGTGGTACTCAAATCATGTATAAGAATGGTGTATCTCATCTGACAGCCGAAAATGACCTTGAAGGTATTGATAAAATTATCAAATGGCTTGGTTACGTTCCTGCCTATCGTGGCGCTTCTGTCCCAATGATTCTAAGTTCAGATCCTGTCGATCGTGAAATTGAATACATCCCTCCCAGGGGCCCTAGTGATCCCAGACTTTTCTTGGCTGGTAAATATCAAGACGATAAATGGGTCAGCGGTTTCTTCGATGAAGGTTCCTTCACAGAAACACTTTGCGGTTGGGCTCGTACTGTTGTCGTTGGTCGTGCAAGACTCGGTGGTATTCCTATGGGCGTTATTGCTGTAGAATCTCGTACTGTTGAAAATATTGTACCTGCTGATCCAGCCAATGCCGATTCAACAGAACAAGTCTTCATGGAAGCTGGTGGTGTTTGGTTCCCCAACTCTGCTTTTAAGACAGCGCAAGCTATCAACGATTTCAATAAGGGAGAACAATTACCCCTGATAATCTTTGCTAACTGGCGTGGTTTCTCAGGCGGCCAACGTGATATGTATAATGAAGTCTTGAAATATGGTGCTCAAATTGTTGACGCGTTAAGCAATTATAAGCAACCTGTATTTGTGTACATTATCCCTAATGGGGAACTCCGTGGTGGCGCCTGGGTCGTTGTTGACCCTACCATTAACAAGGACATGATGGAAATGTATGCCGATGTCAATTCTAGAGGTGGTGTTTTGGAACCAGAAGGTATTGTAGAAATCAAGTACCGTAGACCTGCTTTATTAGCCACCATGGAACGTCTCGATTCTACCTACGCTTCTCTGAAGAAACAATTGTCGGAAGGCGACAAGACCGACGAAGAAAAGGCTGCTATTAAGGCACAAATTGAAACTCGCGAACAAGAGCTCCTTCCAGTATACCAACAAATCTCTGTTCAGTTTGCTGATCTTCATGATCGCTCTGGTCGTATGAAGGCAAAAGGTGTCATCCGTAAAGCACTCGAATGGCGATCAGCTCGTCAATATTTCTACTGGCGTGTTCGCCGTCGTTTGTCCGAAGAATACACTTTCCGCAAGATTGTTGCCGCTACTAACTCATCTATGGACCGCACACAAATGTCTAACCTTCTCAAACAATGGTTCAAACAAGATAATGACACTATTGATTATGAGCAATCTGATGAAGCCGTTGCTGAATGGTTTGACAAACATGCTAGTGACGTCGATAACTACATCAGCAAATTAAAAAGCAATACTACCAAGGAACAAATTGCCTCTCTTGGCTCCATTGATCAAGAAGCAGTTATTCAAGGTTTCAGTCAGTTCTTAGAAAGCTTGAGTAGTGAGGCTCGTGCCGAAATTTTGAAGAAGCTTAACTCATAAATCTCAAAAGCGTTACTTTTGTCAACAAACTTTGTATATATATATTTGTATGTATTTTAACGTATGACCTGTGTCTTTGTAATTGAATAATAAAATGTTTATTTGTGTTTCCAAAAAGATGAACACCTAATGGTTATTCTTTTCAATGTATGCAGAGAGGTCGCCTCATCATCAAAACAGATTGCTGATCTCAAATTCGCTTGAATAGCCTTGGTGGGGGACAATTGTTCTTCAGCAGACAAAAGAGTGCATCAGTATCAGTAAGATCTTTTTACCGAAAGGCAAAGTGATTATTACTTACTCTTGAAAGGATGATCTACTGTTTCCTCTATATCCCAAACGATAGATACCGGGTTCAATATCCTGGTTAATATGCCATTCAACTGTGGCTTCTGAAATTCCCAGCAATTGATATTTGTATTTCCATATAAACCTAATTCGCAAACGCAATCATAAGAAATACAATGTTTTTAATCGATGAAAAAGCAATTGTGTAGCAACTCTACCGTGTATCATAGTCATTATCTGTACGAATAATTTCCCATTGATCGTTCGCAATCTTTTTTTCAACAGTTAAAAAAGTGCCTTCAAGCATCGGATCATTTCGAGGGTTTCCAGCAACGAAGACTGCTGATATAACGTAAGGATACGTCAGTAAGCTTTTACTGTAATATGTTGCTGAGATATCCTTAATAACATCGCCAAATTTCTTGAAAAAAGGTGGCTGATCAGACCTATAACGAGGTGTAAAATTGAATCCTTTCTTTGTATAATCAGGAAGTGTCTCAGAAACATTACTGCGACTATTATTGGGGTTGGCCATCATATACACTAGGTCTTTGAAAGCATCAACATATGCCTGCAAAGTATACGGCCCATACGGTGTCTGAAAAATGGTAATAGCGCAATAGAACGAATACGATTAGCTATCAGTTATCTTTTAATCCTACTTAATCTTTTATTTTACCGACGCTCCTTCATACCGTTGATGTTGGTACTCTTCAAAAGTTGTGCAATAGGACTATTGAAAAGAGAGAGAGTAATAAGGGAAACTGAATTTAAAAGAATTTAAAACGCATTTAGTATGACAAAAATTAACTCACTGCATATCCATTAGCAGGTCCAGAGTGAATAACAATAGTATCGTTGTTGCCAAGGCCATGTTCTATCAACGAATCCTTGATTGATTCTCTCAGGATTCTTCCGCTCATTGTTGTGAACTCCGAGGGAACTGCATAAATGAACACATTACCCAAACGAAATAACTGTATATCCAAGATTTCAGGCTGCCAAGGGTGCTTGATCTCAATTTCTCCTGTATCAAGCAAGATAGGCTTCGGAGCCTGACATTTCTTTTGCCATTCTGATGGCTTTTGCACTATGTCCTTGATGATATTCCATCCAAACGTCCCACTTGTTGTATTTTGGTAAAAACCATTTAAAGCGGGACCATCTGTCGTACCAGCAGCTATAAGATAATTCATTTACTATTTAACCATTGAACTAATGACTACATTATACACTTAAGAGACCCCCCTCCCCCCAAAAAAAAACCCCAAATGAAATAAAGTACCCATTGCATAACCCTAATATAAAAATGGCTTCAGTTTGTGATCCTCACAACCAAGCACAGCACTTTTGATATTACCATTGCAGGTGAGCATATTTGCTGCTGATTTCCATGTATATCTATAACAACAGACTTTGTTATATTCCAGTATCGATGTATATAGCCTAAAGGCCCCTCGACTTTTACTTCTGCCTTTCGAGCATTATATAATTCCATAGCTCTAAAAGCTTGATTCTGTCCAATGATTCTGTTTGACTCCAAATCACTTATTTTCCACCCTGGCCCTCTATTATGAAAAGAAAAAAAAAATGAGACATTTGCAAACATACAAGTTGTATAATAACCAGTTTAGCAATACCTTCCAACGCACTGGCTATTATTTGGGCATTTTGTATCGCGAGTTCCATCACAAGGTGTATCTGTTCCCGTGCAGTAAGTTCCAAGCGTATTAGGGCTTACATCTCCTTCATTACTTTGTGCAAATGCTGCGATAAAGCGCTGTTTGAAGTTGTTTCTGTAACCATTATTCCCATTCATCATCTTCTCAGCCAAATAGGCAGCGTATCCTTTATTGTCGCCGTTCACCAGACGATTTGTGTTATTTACAGAAACTCCATGAACAGCAAACCTGTCGAGAATAAAAAATCAATTAAAGACAGTTTTAACACCTTTCCATTTGTTTGATTAAGAAGTATACCAGCTTATAAAACCCAAACCGTCGTAGTTTTCATTTCTAAAGCTCAGTACTGTCATATTTTTATCCACATCATATTTATACCGTGATCGTTTCTCAATTGGGTTCAACAAGTATGATTGTGGTGATCTGTTAATGTTGGTATTTAACAGCTCACCTTGCGATAACGCAAGTGATCCATTCTGTATATTATCATGTGCGTTGACGATAGCTTGTGTTATACCCTGAACTAGAGGTCTGACTGTTTCTTCAATCCAACCTAATGTTGCAAACTCATAAAAAGCTGGTTGCCGCAATTGCAAACAGAATAAAATTTTAATACATAGCTTTGATCATAAGAAATCTCATCAAAAATGAAACTAGAACCTACTGTATTGTAGATATCCACCCATACCACTATGGGAATGTGTACTGGAAATCATTACATTATTTTCAGTGTAAAGTGAGTCTCCGTATATTTGCTGCAATGCTTTCACCACGCGGGTCTTAACAATATCACCCATGGATTGTGTATCGGTGTTTACGAAAACAACTCTTTTGCTATTACTGCCTACAATACTGCTAACATCGTCATCATCAACGACAATAAAAGCTCTGGCCCATAGCCTTTGAAGTATGCCTTGCCCTGTCTGACCAAGCGCTGCATAACCCATCAGCATCACTTGTGTAACTGGACCTGTAATATCAGCTATGCCTGTGCCTATACGATAGCATTGTACAGGTTGAATAATGATAAAAAGTGCGAGCAGGGAAGCTGTTATCAACGAAGCAATTTTTGTTGCTGCTGCCATATTTCGTCGTTTAAAAAGTGTTGTTTGATAGATGGCTGCTGCAATGCTTTGTTATTGTAGTAAACGATCTGTATCTAATCTAGATGTTTGCGATAGCTTTAGTGCTCTTCTTTTAAGTTTATCGATGAAAGAATAAGAAAGAGTTCATTCACAAACAATCAAGGAATGAATGCAGGTTCGATATTGTAATAGAGTTCTGAGAGATTTCCAAAAAATGTCAATACTCCCAAATAAAGTAGAGTCGGCGAAAGGAAAGCAAAAATGTCAAAGGGCAAGCAGCAATGTGAGATTTGTACCCCTCATATTTTCCATATCACAACTGGAGAAAATCATGGCATCATTGTCGATTAAAGAGCCTTCTGGATGCATGAAGTATTCAAAAGCGTTGAAAGCATTGAAAATCATAACGAATGCGCATCATCATCCAATTGTCATTTTGAGCATCTGACTTGTTCATGTGATAGCTCTTAATTAATAGTTTATTCTTCTTTCCATTTCATATCATACTCTATATACGAAAGTGACCTTTTCATGATCATTTTGAATTGATGCAACTTCCAAGACTATCAACTGATTCTGCTGTGAATCAGCAAAATAATATGCTTTTTGTCCCAGAGGTGTCACGATGACAGGTATGGCTTTTTGACGGATATGTGAATCGTAAATAGCAAGTCTTCCATCTTCTGGTTTTATAGCTAAATTTTTAATATGATTTTCTATCTTTCGTTGGTTTTCATAGTCAAAACCAATCCAACAGCCTGTGGCAGCAGCAGTAGTAACAGGACTGCGCTGATCGCTGTTATCCTCTTCTCCTTCTGCTTCTTTTTCCAAAAGCCTAAAAGCCCAGATGCGATTAAGACTTATTATTTTAGTTTTATCTGGTGAAAGTTTATTACTAAGAACATGCTGCGGAAAGAAAGCGGTAGGTGTTCCGCCACTTGTGGTAGTTTGATGATGATGTAATCTATGTAACAATTCTTTTTGTTGCTTTATATCAAGCACGTCTCCCATTGAATCGGTATTTGTAGCAGGTAAGAATTGAATATCAGGTTGCATTTGATGGTGATTTCTATTGCTATTTTTCGGTATTGCGAAGGGAGATCTTTTCAGTGCAATTATTGTGAAGTGAACCAAATTTTTGTACCATTTCTTTCTCTTTTCAAGTGCCAGATACTGCTCTGAGGAAGTGTTTTGAACAGCATTATAAACGGCCATGGATGGTGCCACTTCATGGCCTGTATTATCCAACGATTGGTGGGCAATTTCATCAAGAAAAGAGTTATAGGTATATCCTGGTGATGGAGTACCAAACTCAGTATTACCATTTTCGGTTGCAGTGTTGTTGGTAGTGCTACTGTTAGCGTTAGAAATAGATACAGCCGAGTTTGTGCGGATGTTTCGTCGCATCATTACTGAATTTGGACCGAAGGATAAGTCTTGGTCATCTATAGCATCTTGAACTGGTAGTTCACTGTCATCGAAATTATTGAATTGCATGCCATATTCGTTCGATGCTTCTGATAGGCTTGTATCCCCCAAGTGGCTGGAGAGAGGCACTGAAACACGAGTATGCATAGACTTCCTTCTGTGCCCATCCGAATTCAACATGGTAGCATCATCGATTCCTTCCGATTGTTGAAGACCATAGCTTGATCGATTAGGTTTGGTTATTGGAGTCCCGGAAGACCCTTTAGGGCTATCTACATCTAAACACTTTTATAGCGAACCATCGTAAGTTTTTTTTAAAAAACCTAGAATAAATACAATAAACGTACCCATTTGTTGTGCAAAGCTGGAAGTTTCTGCCCAGTAGAATAATCATACATAGGTTCATATTCTAACTGATCCTGAGGAGCGTATGAATGCCTGGATGCTCCAAGACTTAATTCATCGATACAAAAATATGAATTGTAATTATGGGACCACCTTCTTCGACCTTGAAGTGAATCTGTCATATCAGCAAAGAAATTGTAGTATCCAGCTTCAGGAGGGTGATCGGTGTATTGCCCGTCGTCGTACTCTTCTTCACTAAGAAGGTGGTTATTGTACTGATCATAGTTGATCACTGCGGTTGACGGCTGCTTCAATATTTTTTGTTGATAAAAGGGTTTTTTTAGATAGCTTTTATCGGGACATAACGTACTAAGATGTTGAGGCTGCTTTTGACAGCTGCCATCATTGCCATAATTATAGCTATCCGAGATAACCACACGCTCATTCTGTAGGCTGAAACGACGATTATAGTCATCATAGGTATTAGTGCTATATGTCATCATTATTCAATGTTTTTTATTCAGAGTGAATTAACAGAAGGAAGCTAGATGAAAATGAGCAATCAAAAAAAAAAAAGAAGGACGACTTTCTCGTTTTGTTATTGTTTATTTTCTCGAATAAGTAAAAAATGTCAATAACAAAAAGTGAACTTTTGCGATACAATGGTTGCACATATCATTGATATGGTTCTTGATATAGTCATTTCAATAGTAATGCTGTGTTTTCAATGTTGAGTGTAATTCGAGTATATTACCATAGGTCAAATTGCCCACAGTGAATCTGATTTTAACAATCATATTTGCCTCTAATGTGAAAATAGTAAGAAATTATGTGCGGGTGGATAAGCAAACGCTACAAAAAGCTTTTGCAGCCTTTTAAAAGATTTTCAAGTGTTTATGCTTTATACGAAAGCAGTATATTGTTGAATGAAGGGTGCATAAATTTGCCAAAATGCATAGAAGCCATAGATTCAACAAAATTTAATGAAAGGATCTGTATCACCTAACTTTTTTGCGCGGCAGTTATACGGGGAATGATCCTCCACAGCCGCACGTTCCTTTCACATTTGGATTATGAAATACAAAATGAGACGACAGACTGTCTTCTGATCCCAGTATTGTTATGAGGGCTTTTGAATCAATCAACACGGTTACACATTAAAAAAATTGTCAATATGTTCCTAAAATTGCGTATTTTGTTATGTATGCCTTCTTGACTAATAACTTCATCAAATTTCTCTTTTGTATCTGTAAAACTCAAGCATATATGAATTGCCGGAACAGCATTTCATTTTGACACCAAGTTTCACGAATTGCGGATGTCATTGGATAGTTGTCTTCAACGTGAAATAGAAGGCGAAGTCTATAACAAAAGGAGTTTGGTTGGAAAGAAGCTACCCCTGTCAAAGATACTAAGATTCTTATTAAAGTTAAAGGTGCTTTTCTTTATCTTAGACGTGAGTTATCGAACATAACTGTTTCAACAGCTTGTCTGGATATAAGAGTGGGTAGCATGCTTAAACGTGATTATTAATGTTAATTAAAGTGAAGAAAGACGACAAAAGCTGACAAAATGAAGGTGGGCAGTTTTATATGAATCAGCTGAAGAAAATACACTTGTTTGTTGTTCCAAGTTCATTTAAACTCAGTGTTTCCGCTGAGTATATAGAGGTTGGTTGTCTAAGGAACTGTTTTTATACGAAAGCGTATGACCTGTACCAGTCTATTTAGTCAGAAGTTGTAGCAGAAGATGTAGTTGTATCAGAAGTGAATACAATTATAGTTACTGATACATCAATTAAGCATTATGTTCAATTTTAGTAATTTTTGATGCTGTAAAATTTAAATTCAGTAGGTTCAAACTTGACCCTGCCCATCGAAATTGCACTGTAATTGAATGCTCGCACAGTTCAAGCGATATATTCTTTTTCCCTTTTCTTCTTACACTTAATTTTTGTTAATTTCAACTATTTATGTTTGCATTTGCGTTCTAAACATCCTACTTGTAATTCATATTCATATTTTGGTTCCTTATATTTTTGTACATATATTATTTCTTTGAAAAAGAAAGAAAATTCAAGAGGGCATTACATACGAATATTTTCTTAATTATCCCTCCCACCCCTTTCTGTGAGATATTGTTTGACTTTATGCATAGTCCCAATATCAGGTAAAAAGGAAGGACTTCTAACTGCTGACATACTATATACAAGTTGTTACTCACCAAGACCATTTTAATGTTTAGATCAGGTCCAATTTCGTTAGAGATTAGAGATAAAGATTACCTTCTAAATCACGTTGATTCAGGTACATTTCAGAGAATTGACAAAGAGAGACGATGTATTATTGATTCCCTTTGTACATTTTTAGTTTTGAACACCAAAGTCTTTATTAGAAATACGCATGCTTTATCATCCAACAATTCAGTCCCAACAAATACAAAAAAGCCCATCACTACTGCCACTACAGTGAATGTTATTTGCGCAAAAGTTAACAGTAACCCCAGTTCGCCAACAATTTCTACTGCTAATACAACAACTAGTACTACTGCTATAGCTAAAACTGAACCTACTGAAATATCTACTTTTATCAGAAAAGATAACGATACGCATTATACTTCAGAAAATAAATGTAGAATGAGCAATGTTGATCTTGCATATAACCGAACATTTTCCGAAAACACTACCGCCTATCGTCGTAGCAATAACCGTGATCACCACCAAGAACGCCGCTCTGACCCTTTCACATACCCTCAAAATGGTAACCGGTCGTTGTCGTCTTCTGATGATGATGACGACGACGAAGAGGAAGGCAATGATGATATCACAACTAGATTGCCCAGTAATCTGATGCAATTCCATTTTGAATTTGGATCGAAGAGGCCGCCGAGAACAACTGTCTTTGAGGAAGAAGATAACACCGTCTGCTTCAGTGAACATGAAGATGAGGAAGAAGAACAAAACAGGATGATCATTGATAAAGAACTGCTCATTGGCCAAGAAAAAGAACAAGCAGTAAAAGATAGAGAAGAAGAAGTTGACATTTATGATTTATCAACAGATGATGAGGATGCTGAAGAACAAAAACGGCTTGGAGGTAAGCTGTTCCTCTCCTTCCAATCTTTTTATTAATTTATAACGTAATTAAGCGGTTTGCTGATTTTCCTTTTTTTTTTTTTTTTTTCTTTACTTTTTCTCTATTTTTTTCATTTTCCTTGAAAATGCTACTAATCTCATGACAATAACAGACACCAAATATTTTCCGTCTGCAACTGTTGAGGCTATTCAAACTTATGAAACAATCACTGAAAATATCTATATCGGTTCAGCGACGGGTCGATCTATGGCAGAAGAGAGTATGCCTTGTCAATGTAAATATAAGGAGAACCCATGTGATGATGATAACAAGTGTATCAATCGGATGATGTTCATGGAATGCATGGTACAGGACTGTCCTTGTGGTAGATTCTGTAAAAACAGAAGATTTCAATTGGGACAATATGCGCCGGTAGATGTGATACGTACTGAGAAGAAAGGTTATGGCTTGAGAGCCTTGACTAATTTACCGCCTAATTCATTCGTTTTGGAGTATATTGGAGAAGTCATACCACAAAAAGAGTTCTTACGGCGTACAAGAGAATACGATACAGAAGGATACAAGCATTATTATTTTATGACCTTGAAAAATGATGAGGTAAGTGAATTTTTCGCTTATTATGTTAAGAGTGCATACTGATAATGTATGACAACTACCATAGATTATTGATGCTACAAAGAAGGGTTGCTTGGCAAGGTTCATTAATCATTCATGCAATCCCAATTGCGTAACACAGAAATGGGTCATTGGTAAAAAGATGCGCATTGGTATATTCACAGGTCGCGAAATTACAGCTGGTGAAGAGCTTACATTTGATTACAAGTTTGAACGCTATGGTGCTACAGCGCAAATTTGTTATTGCGGAGAGCCTAATTGCAAAGGCTATATTGGTGCTTCGGCAGCAGAGGTAAGCATTATGGATAACGGCGAATCGAAAACTACAGCATTAAGAATGAAAAGGAACAGAGACTTGAAACGCCGTCAACAATTGTTACAACGACAACAACAGCGTCAGCAGGACTATAATCAACAGCATTTGAACATATTTTCATCCTCATCCGAGGACGAAGATGCCGAAGAGCTGCGAGAAAAGGATCAAGACGATGACGGCGACAACGATAACGTAGATAGCGATGAGGAAGAGGAAGATCTGGATTCTCAACCATTGCAAGATGTTGATAAAGTGCACATCTTTGTTAAGCGCATGCTAAACTCAGTTGGTAATGCACGGCTTGTAAACAAATTGTTGAATCGCTTACAGATCACCAATGTGAAAAATACTCTGGGAAGAGAAATATTCAAATCCATTATTCGTTTGCACGGATTGAAAATGTTCAAATTTTGGCTGGGCGAATGGAAGAATGACAAGGAAATTGTTCTTAAAATTCTCCATGTGCTTGATAAACTACCGTTGTCAAATAGAAATGGATTGGATGATTGTAAGTTGTTGGATGTTCTGCAAAAATTTGTATACTATAATAGCAGTGATGTGAGCGTGCTCGCGCAACTGTTATTAGACAAATGGAATAAACTGAAAGTAGTGTATCGTATACCCAAACGAAGTCAACATGCCTCTACAAACCACAATAATTCAGCCACTGCTACACCATCATCAGAAATTACTCAGCGAACAGAAGACGTTGAAAGGAAGTCGGACGACTTTGACTTTGTAGCACTGAAGGAAGAAGAGCATTCAATAACAAAGAAGTTTAGTGAGACAGGAGCTGTACAGACAGCTGTTGACTGCATCGAAATTAAGGATGAGGAAGAAAAGAAGGAGAAAGAAAAACTAGACATAACAAACGATCTTGTAGAGGACTCCGATGATCAAAGCGAGCCGATGGATATCGATATCTCAGACAGTGAGTCAGGTTTCCTTGAATCAGATAGACCCAACACTTTCATCATTGTTAAAAATGAGAGCATAACTTCGCTATCGAAAGGGGCAATATCGAGTACCTCACAATGTGAGACTCCATTATCAGAAGCTCAATTACCTCCAGCAACAACAGATTTAAATAAACTTTTGGCGGACCAACAACAAACAGGGAATTGTAACTCTAGCTTCGAAACTATCGTGAAATCTGACGACAACCCTCATGGATCAAAAAAGAGAAAAAACATCAAATATGAAAGCACTAGGGAGTTTTTTGATCCTGACAATGACTACTTCGAATACTTTCCTATAAATTCTGCACTTGACGATTTACCAAATACACCAAATATTGCGATAAGGAACCGCTCACACCGCCATGCCTTACATCTTAGATCAGCTAAATATACCACTGCGCTTACTACAACTATTACGAATGCTTCTACTAATGAGAGTAGTAGTGCTATTTCTACATCGGTTATGCCGACTTCTTCTGTTCCCAATAATACAACGGACGGTTCAACAACAACCGGCAATTATACCCTACTGCGTCAGCAACAAGCAGCTGAGCAGGAACAACAGTTCTCCGCTTTGTATAATAGTACCAATTATTCTTACTGTAATAACATGTATTATTTAGGCACTACCGACAGTAGCAATAATCCAGAAGTTTATTCATATTACTTTTATCACCCTAACTATGAAGCTCACCCACAACAGACTACGACTTCCATTCAAGGGACATTCGCAACACCGACTGTACCATTATCATCTTGGCAGACAGCTTTAACCGAGAACGGGTTACCCTATTACTACAATTTACTAACTCACCAGACGCAATGGAGTATGCCTGAAGAACTGCAAAAATTGCAGAACTTGATACCACCTCCACCTCCACCTCCTCTTCCGCTAACCACCGATACATCCTGTTCCCTTATAAACTCAACAAAGGTAGAGAAATTGGAGCCATCTGCTATTAAACAAGCACCGCCAGTTTCTTCTCAGTCGCCACCATCATTGTCTTCTACGCCAGCGAAGTCTTCTGAACTGTTCCCAAACACGCATGATATTTCTTCAATCGCATCTATGACTTTCGACTCCATTACCTCTGCCAATGTTGACAATAGTACGAGTAGCCATAATGGTCATAACGATCACCAGTTGTTGACACTTGACAGTGGAACCGTTGAAGAAGGTAGTAACACTACAACATATCCTGATCAGCCGACCATCACCAGCAATAATGACGATACACATAAGCCTTCCGGTAACGGCTTTTTGAATGATATTGATTTGAAAATGGAAATTGGAAAGGTGGTAACAAAATACCTCAGTTCAAGGCAACAAGTGCTTTGGAATGGTGATAAACTCTTATTTAAGGATCTGGCCAGGACTATTACTCATTTTCTCGTAGACAGAGAAATACAATTGGACAAGAAGATCAAGTTTCTAGACGCTCAATACCGCAGCAAAATCGAAAGATTCATTGATGTTTACGGTTCGGAATATGTTGCAAAATTGAAGCAAAGCTCTAATATTGCTTAACCATTACAAATATTGTAAAAGATTGTATATATTCACATACATAGCTCTCATTATATCTATATATCATATCCTCTACTATGCAACTTTCAATTTTTTTTGAAGATCTTGCTCGCTCGTTGTGTATATACATAATAACAATGATACCATCTATTTTTCCCTCATTTCTTTATAGCAACAACTTATTTGTAATAAATAAAAATTGTTCACAAAACTATCTATCATGGCAAAAATCTGTAATTGAACTGCTTTTGTTTGGCCGACATAGCAAAACGAGCAGCCCGCCTGCTCCCCGCCTTTATTTCATTTTCCTTTTCGCTTGTGCAATCTCGTTTCTTTGACAATTATAGTTTGATCAAGAATTTTTATGTTACCTTTTGTATAAAAAGCACTTAAACGCAGTAGCAATATACGTAAAACGCACTTTTTATCAACAGCTCACGTTTTGAAGACGAGAAGGCTAAGCTTAATTTAACAAATTATGTCTTTGAAGTTATGGAACTTAACATGGAAATTACTACTGAAGCCTCACACTTGAAAGCTCAAAAGACCAATGTCAACCATAGCATTGGTCAAGAGCAGCAACCACAATCACAGGAACGGCAGGTACGCCGCCAACGTCGTCGTCCACGGCGACAGACACAACAACAGTCGCAACAGCAAAACAGCAGTAAGCCGCAACAACCCGCAATTGAACAAAACGCTGAAGATAACAAAGAAAAGAAAAAGAGTAGTGATAGTAAGAAAAGAGATCGTCGACGAAGGAATCGTCGACGTCGACGTCAAGAGAATGACTGTGGTCAAAAAGCAAATGATGAGCAAGCAGCCGTAGAAAAAAACCCTGATAGCCCTGAGACTGAAGTTCAGCTTGATTTTAGCTTATCTGAATTATTGAGGTAAAAAGGAGAGGGAAGAACAAGCGAAATAAGCCTATAGTTGTTAATCATTTATATATCATGTTGTTAGAGAGGCACAAGCTCTAGAAAAGCAAGTAGGAGAATTGCAGATTCAGTTAAAGATAGATTATTCAAATATACCTGATGACAAACAAAAAAGCCGAGTGGTTAACTCTATTGCAGCAGAACAAATGTTAGTAACTGAAGATGAGATTGCATATGTTCGACAAAGGTAGAATAACTTAAAGCTTATATTATTCAGCGGTTGCAATACTCACATACAGTTTCTCTTTTATTTGTTAATCAATAGCTTAAAAAAGGTTTATCGTAGAATGATCACTATTGATCCGCAATATGCTATTCAAGCACGGATTAACGAAAAACTTTGGCGGAACATAATTTACGTCGGTATTGAGGAACTGCGTCAAAAGATACGTACACTTGATCCTAGCAATTTTTCATCTAACCAAAAGTTCAACGCAACACTCCAAAGATTGCAACGGACTTTATCTGATCGTATTGGAAATGCTTTTGAGTTCTATCACGAGCTAAACCAATTCCTCTATTCTACATTTCAGATAAAAGATACAAAGTTATTTGGCATTGATCTGATGAGTTTGAGTTATCAAAATGATGAAAGAGAGCATTTAAAACGGGAGCAGCAACGGCAGATGCGCGAAGGACGTTTTAGAGGAAGTAAAGATAAGATGAAAGGACAAGAAGAGTATGATGAGAAAGAGAGATTAGGCCAATTTTTACGATCCAATCATGTTCGTATGGGTGATCTTGCACGGTATCATGCTCAACAATATCAACAACAACAACAGCCTATCGCCAAACAAAAAAGTAAGGAATATTGGTCGCTTGCAAGAACTTGTTACCAAAAAGCGATTGATGTGTATCGAAAGGACGGTTGGCCGTATTCTCAACTTGCGCTTGTTTCCATTTCCAATGGTAATGCTATGGATGTTGTTTGGTATTATTGTTTGAGCTTGGCAGTTCAATATCCTTCCCCTTTAAGTCGACACAATTTGAAATCCTTTTATTCCAGATTACGATTCAATAAGGTGGCAGCTTCAGACAATATTGAGTCATCAAGATCAACGGAAAACAATAAAGAAGCTACAGTGACAGATCAAATATCCCTCTTCGTTGAATCTTTTCTTCATATGCATCGAACAGTGATGTTTAATGATTCAGGTTCAATTGAAGACTTTCCGAAAATTTCTGTAGCTTCTCAATTAGGCCGTATTCTGTCAAATATCATCTCTTCTTCAACATCGGCCGCGAAGCAGGAGAAGCAAGATATCTTGAGCGGAACATCAAATAATACGGGCGCATTACTATCTATCATTCGAACAACCTTGACAAGGTGCTTAACTATTCTTTTAGTCTCTATCTGGATTGCTCAAGAACGAGTAAAGGATCAATCAAAATCGATCCATCGACCGGTGATTCAAGCGTCTCAAATACATATGTTCACTTTCTGCTTTCAACTCTTGATAGGTGTTCTTCAACCTCTTTCTAAACTCTCCGCTATTATTATGGAACAGGATAACAATGAGAAGGAAGCTACTGATTCAGCAATAGAGCGAAAGAAGATGTCATTGAAATTAAGGAAACTGAGATCAAAAGTAGAAGATACATTATTGCCTGGGCTTAGTATTTGGTTTACATTCATCCAACAGCATCTTGCTATACTTCAACAATTTATCACCAGCAGCAGTACGAGCGATAATGCGTCGTCTGGTTCGGAGACACTCTCAGCTAGTGAAATAAGACATCCGCATTATCATTTGAAAAAGGAGCTAGTTAAGTCAGTGCAATTACTTCTCGCCTTGATAATCCAAAACCCATCGTTCCCTCAACAATCGGATGAACTACAGGAGGATTATCCTTCTACTACGTTACCGGTTTCAGAAGATGTTATATTACTTGGGTTAAAACCTTTAGTTTCCTTCCATCGAACTATTGACTTTTCCGTTCTTACTGGGTTATCAGAACAACAACAATATAATCGTGCGCATGTACGGTGGAGTAGGGTACACGATGCTGTAAAAAAAATAGCCAATGTTTCTTCATCTTTAGAGATCAATATCCAGTATACGAACGGTGCCTTTACGATATTGAAAGATGAGCGTGCTGCACGCCAGCAAAAGTTTATGAAAGCCTTGGCTACTCAGCGTCTGTTAGAACAAGTCTCTTCACTTGAAAAAAATGTCGACCGCATGAAGTTATCCTCTGGCTATACTGTTACGCGACAAGTGCATCAACGAATGGAAGACGCCAACCAAAAAGAACAAGAAGAAAGAAGACCCTTGTCAAAACAGGTCTATACGTGTGTTGTTGATGCAACTTGCTTCTTGGATGCTTTACCTAAAGTGAAACGCTGGGCCCAATACCACTCACCTTACATTACGGAGGAAAACGAAAATACGATTGTTGAGGTCATTGTTCCTCTGGATGTGATTGATGTTTTGGACAGACATAAAAAAGGAACAGCGCATATGAATTTACAAGCGCGTGAATCCATCCGTTATTTAGATCAAGTCTTGTCTTCATCTAAGACTCGTAGCTCAAACCATTTGAGTCTACAGCCTTCTTCTTATCTTCGAACACAAAAGGTATCAGAGAAGCTTGAAGATTGGGGTGCGTCGAAAAAGTTTTGGATTGGTGAAGACAGTCGGTCCAACATTGTAGATGATTTATTGCTGTCTACAACCACAGATGATGAAGAAGAAGAGGAGCAACAACCGGAATACGAAACGGAAGACACTGACGAAGAAGGCGATCAAGCTTCGGATACAGAATCAGTAGAATCTGACAACAGCTTTATTGTTGGGAGAAGAAGACGGGAAAGTGATACTGAAGAAGAAGAAGAAGAAGAAGATAACTCTGAAAACGACTCAGGGTCCGAGATGGGTACTGTTGATGAAGAGTACGATTATGCAGAAGACTTGGAAGATGATGAGGAAGAAGATATACTTTACACTTACAATGATGTGCCCCTGAAATATCGACCCATTATCGGTTGCTTACTTTATTATTTTAATCAGCAGCAACAGCAGCAGGAAATTCCCAATGCGGATAAATTAGTCTTGGTGACAAATGACGCAGATCTAGCCTGGTGGGCTGAATTATTCGGTAATCCGAAGACCCGTAAACGTATTTCTGTCAAAGCAGTAAATGAATGGGACATTTTCGTTAACAAGCTATAAATGGAAAGCCTTTACCGATAACCAACATTATTTTCTTCGGTACGTGATGAGTATGGGGCTATATAATACGAGATGATCGAAAATCATGATCGAAAAACCCGCCCAGTGGTCTTGGTCAATTGAATGTTTAGCCAGCAAAGTGAAGAGAAGACATGCGAAAGAGACGCTTCAAAAAGCATGAGTTGTAAAACAAAAAATAAGGAAAAAATTGTGATATATACACAACACTTCAATATAAGTTAGAATTCTTCCTGTACTATACGTTCCTATATGTAGTGATCCCTGACACATTCAATAAACATTCATATACAAAGAGAATACTATTTAACATTGTTTCTTTTATTCATTGCTTTTTTTCCATAAAGTCAACAAACAAAAAAATTGTGGGTTTCGGTTGGTTTGCGAGGGCTGTTGATAATGTTTAAAATATAAATGTCATCGAAGAAAAAACAAATTTATTGCTTCTTGGCAGCCTTAACAGCGGAAGCAACAGCGAAACGGCGCTAATTAAAAGAAACGAAAAGAGTTAGCATTCGTGCACATGTTCGAGCCAATGGATAGTCCAGATGTTGTTCAGAATGAACTTACTTGATTCTTCAACTTGGCCAACTTGAAGCGGTCGAAATCGGTCAAGTTAGCACGAGCCTTGCGTTGTTCGATCTTCTTGGCCCAAGCGGTCTTTTGCCAAGCACCAACGATATCGCTCTTTTCCATAGCCTTCTTGAGGGCAGTTTGACCAACGTTACGAGGAAGGTTCTTGATGACCAAAGGAGTCAAGACCATACGACGGAAGGGGAAGGCTTGACGGGCAACACCACAGATGGGACCTTCAATGAGAGCCTATAAAGAAAGCAATCAAACAAAAAAGAATAAGTTTGAATTAGCCTCATTACTTCGATTCACTGTGTATACAATCCAATTCGTTTCAACACTGTTGAAGTTACTTACGCGGTTGTGGTCAACAATATCAACAATGACAGCCAATTTACCGGCATCAGCACCGTGGTTGATGAGGACAACACGGCCAACTTCGACTTGACGCTTGAAAGAACCTTGCTATTGATACAATAAGAAAGAGAATAGATCAGTACAATCGAGTCAATCACAATCGAGATGGTCCCCGATTTCTCTCTTGTTTCCAATCATCAGATTTCTCTCTCCCGTCTAACTCATGTCCGTTCTCAATGCTACTCTAAATATTTTTTATCATCCATCCAATTGATTATTGCATTTTTCGTTGTTCCGTTCTATCTATCCTTTTCCATCCCTTTTCTCTTTTCATCATCTTTACTGTTTATTGATACGTACAACCATTGTTATGGATTTATAGAGTCAGAGAAAGAACGTACAATAGAGGCCACATTCTTCTTTTGACATATAGCCGATCCCAGCTGCCCCCTTCCATCCTCTCAACGCCCACACCCTATGCAGCGACCCAATTCGAACAAAAAGCGGCAAAAAACTCAGTCGGAGCGGCTCGAGCCGGAATTTTGATTCGGAGTGCACACAAGGGCTCCTTTTTTTTATAAAGGGCAGGCATCTCATACGCTCAGTTACAAAAATGAGGGGTTAATGCCACCTTTACGGTATATTTGTCTGAATAAGAAAAAAGAACCCATTTGTTACGATATTACAAAAAAAGAGTTAAGGTTTCCTTTGCCACAAAAAACAGCTCAAAAGATTTAAATTAATGAATTTCTATGAACCCCAAATTCATCGTCTTTTTACTTTTTAGTAGAAGAAAGTGTGAATGCAGAAAAGGAAACTAATGGGAGACAGAAACTGATTATGGGAGAGAAGTTTAAGGTCTAGAATTTTAAAAAAAATGCAGAGAGCAACTTTAAGCAAATATACCTTTAAAAGTCTACATTATGTGTACATTATCATGTAAACAAGACCTACATACAATCCACACATGTAGATTTGGATATGTATTCTTTTTTTTTTTTTTTCTGTAGCCCCTTGAAAATCTGATTTTTTGTTGCAACAGTGATCTACGTGCAGTAAAAAGAAAAAAAAAAAAGGTAGATCGAAAAGAAGATTAAGGTTAGCAATAGAGTCTTTTGGATCTTATGGGTCCCTTTTCTTTGACTTAATTAACGAAATGGGTTATTAGATGACATGACGATATGATATAGATTCGTATAGTGAAGTTGACAAAAGTCTGTTCAAGTTCAGCTAGAGCTTAGATTTGATATCTTATCATTTTTTCATTGGTTAATTTCAAAGAAAGATAAAAGAAAGGAAGGATAAGCAGTGAAAGTCAGGAACCAAACCATAAACTCTGGGATTGTCCATCGACGAAAAAATAGAGTAGATATCCAATATCCTTTATTGGTGAAGAATGGTCTAAAAGATGGATGATGCTTACATCATCAGGCTAAAAAGCGTTTCGTCATCTGAACCTCGTTGCTATGGTGATTTCAATAGCACAGTAAATAACGCGATGCTTACTCATTGATGTCAAAAAGCGCTGTTGTTGCCTAGATTATCCGCTTGTTGTTTTCAACCCTGACTTTTTTTGTTAGAAATCAACAGCTAATAGCCAAAAGCACGATATTAAGGGATTGGTTGCGGATTCTGTGTATTGTGGAGATACAAAATAGATACAAAAAAAAAATTAAAAACTTCTCTTCCATTGGTGCTCTTATTAGTCTAGAACCAAGTTTCTGTGATGAATGATAAGCTGTATTTAAATAGTCAATGAAATGATACTGCTGCTCTACGCTGTTCAATGCCCAATCTGGACGAAACTACACATTTATAACTGAAAAAAGTTAATGAAGAAGACGCTTAAAACAAAAATTGAAACCTTATGAATAATGAATGTTAGAATTTTCATTATTAGCAAAAGGTTTCATTATCAACAAGGATTACGATTGAAAACCGACGACGAACCGAATGAACGAACGAAAAACGATGATAATGACTCCCTATTAACTCCTGCTTAATAGGCTTCTTCTTCACTTCCACTTCCACCTTTTTTTTTTTTTTTTTTTGTTATTCATCTTCAGCCCCCCCTTACTTTTTAGCTTTTAAGCCTTTTTTGGCTATAATACGCTGTTGTACTCCGATATAATTACTTGATAAAATATAAATATATAGAACTTATCTCATCAAAAACTTGCCTTTTCTTTTGGCTTCTGGTTCCTTAATCATTTCTTTGCCCTTTCAGCATGAAGATCTTATTTTATTTACTGATCTCCATTATATCCTTTAATCATGCTCTGCCTATTATTGATTCAACTACTATAATTCTCTCTGATGCGATGACAACAAGCAGAACCAAAGCCAGCACTCTCTCCATGCCCACATCCTCAGCCACAAAGAAGGCAGAGGAGGGAGAAGGCCTTCCTACTGAAGGATTCGTGATAGATGATGAGAACAATAATGATCACGAATCGCAACCACAGGAAACAACAGAAGATGAAGGTTTTCCAGTGCAAATAGACAGATTAGCACAGATAATTGCTACACATGTTCAATTTGATCATCTCGATGCAGTGATAACGAACACAGATAAAGAAATTGCTACAGAATTCAGACATCATATTCAAATTAGCGTGGAATCTGATGAAGAGCAAAACAATGATGTCTTTGTGGACAATGATCAACAACATCCTTTCAATTCACTACCCACTCTAGACATGATGGACCTGGAAATCCTGAAATCACAGATATTTGCAGCCATCCAAGCACATACAGAAGGAAATCTACCCCTTACTTGGGATAAACTTGCATACAAACTGAGTAAACAAGCTATTGAATCCTACTTGAAGCAATCTATATCCGAAGTATGTCTCAAAGACGACAGCAATGAGGACGGTATCGTTCTATCCTCTTGCTTGCAACAACATGCCAATGAATTGGTTACAAATTTGGATCAATACATCAGCACCAGTTTGTCAGTGATATTTGAGAAATTGGACCACGAATCTCTACCCATCTTGTTGAAACACACAGCCGATGATTTAAAAGGCATTTTGGCCTACTTTAATTCAGTTTTCTTGCAAGATGGAAAGAAGAAGTTTGTATTAGAAGTTATACCTTGGAATAGCGACGATACTATTATTCATGAATTCAAATCAAGATTATTGAATATGGCGATACATCCTTCCGACGAACAAGAGGATTGTCATTCAATAGCTTTTTTTACTCAATTTGCCGAAATGGCAAGAGTCTAAACATAAACATTCGGTTGTAATGATTCCATCTTTCCTTTTTGTACATAGTAATACACACACACACACACACACACACACACACACACATACCCTCACCTCTTTGTCTTGGCTTTTTTCCTTTTTTTAAACATTATACATAAACATCATCATAGTCATCATCAAATTCTATCTAAAAATAGTTTTGTTGCCTTTTTTTTTTTTTCTATTCTCTGCCAAAGTTCATCAAGTTACCCCACTTTAACGCATATCTCACTACATTGTCCTCTTCATATTTCAAATGTAAATTAATGAACTCTCTGCCTGTCTCAACCAAGACGAACTTATTGATAATAAAAATTATTTATTTAGTCAGCCCAAAAAAGGGGATGCTCATTATTACAACAATTATTGTAAAAAGCTGAGCTAAATTGGTTAACGTGTTTAATGTATTTGAGCAACCTTAATCCAAATTTGAAAGAGCTCTATTTGGAAAAAAATTTTGTATGTGGTACCTTTTCCTTACTGCTTTTTAATGTAGATCTGATACAATTTACAAATAGAGCTACATCATTTTGTTAGTAACCAGTATCTGCAGTGTAGTAGGGCTTAGCACGCAATTACGTACAAAAGACACAAATAAGCCCAAAAAAGATTACCGAATGATCTCACATCGGCTATTCGACTAGCTCTTGTTTTCAGAATGGCTTTTCCCTGTTTTCAAACATGTGTATAGCTTTTCTGTTGTATAAATAAAGCCGTGTTATCAAATAAAGCTTCTTTTTTTAAACATAGTCAGGCTATTTTTGGTATTCATTTAGTTTTATTTGATGACTTATGCATTGGTAAATGGCATCGTGTAGAATTCTGAAGAACTTTTTTTTTCGATTCCGAGCAAAAATTTTGATCTTCCATGCAGGCAAAAGGATAAACAAAAAAAAAAAAAAAATACAAAAAAAACAAAGATGAGCACGAAATCAAGTCTGATGAGTGAATTGTGCTTGGTATCTGATCTGTACCAAAGAGAACCAAACTCGCTTAGAATGGCTTTTTTTTTTACCTTTTTTTTTTTTTTTTTTTTTTTTTTTTTGTGCGTTTGTTTCAGTTTTCCGAGCCAAATCTTTTTCAAGTGGACTAACGGCAAGTTATAGCACCATTATGCTTTAACTACGTAGATTTCACATGCTTGAATACAACGTTTGTCCTGTAAAATGTGAAATGCTAATCATACTCATGCTAATGCTCATGCTCTGTCCCTCATGGACACTGTGCAGATAACGATTCGCCATTACGTCAAGGGCAATTTCGGGAAATTTATAGACTCACCAGAAAAGGTGCAGCCAAAAGAGGGAGTGCAGTCTGGTTACGCGAAGAATACAATGGAAAAACGGGAACAGTTAGCTTCTTTTAACAAATGCACTTACACTAGGCTGAGGAAGTAACAGTTGTCTTGACGGATGTTTGTTGGTTGAGTTTAGCGTTTAAAACTGATAAAACGGCAATTTGTATAAGATTTAAAAGCATTTCCCGAAAGCCCTCCTAAAAAAGAAAGAGTGCACTTGAATTTACCTATTCAGACTGCCCGTTTGGTCCCTTTTTTTCATGTATATTGCTAGTAAAAATCTGATAACGGAGATAGTAGATCGAAGAACGAGAAAGCCGGTAGAATGGTTCAAAGCCATAAGTTCAACCGCCCTCGGATGTTCTAATAAATATTCAAAACAAAAAAAGCAAATTTTAAACACTACGCAGGCTAAAAGTAACGAGCAATGATGTTGACGAACACACGCAAAATAATAACAAATTAATATCGAGAATGGCGGAACGTGTTTAATTGGAGTGGGAAGAGTCAGTTATGAACGCGTCAGGGGTCTGAGAAGCGGGAGGGAAGACTTCTCAAAAGCGTATGTGTATTTTTGCCAAGAACAATTATGATTTTGAGACGATAATTCAATGACATTTACATCTTCAAGTAAAGCCAAATTTTCAACTGAAAAGCTTTTAGAAGACGAGGAGTCAATGTAACGATTTCAAGGGTTTTCATCAAGTGCTGCGGTTCCTATACCATTATAATAGTGTAGTATTTATTTCTCCCAATTACCATAACACGCGCTACATCTGTCCTACTAATCGAGTCCGTACTGCAGCTCAAAAAATAAACAAGAAGCCATACAATGCAGGGTAGTTTGCCAATTTTGGGCATTCTTATTTGAAAAACAAATCACTGTCTTCAATGAATAAACAAATTGACAAACAGTAATCTAACAGACAGTTCTTTACTATGCTTTTGACACTAAACCTCACTTGAATAAACACGTTGTGTAATTATGCTATTAATATCATTGCAAATGTCGTACAAATCTTGCATTTGATCATACTTTTCATACGCTATACGTTTCCGGTTTCAAACACAATAATGAGCTTCTTTTTTTTTTTGGGAGGGGGGGAGCAAATGAAGCAATTGCAGCCAAACTTATAACAAGTGCTATCTCTCCCGACCGCGGAAAAACCTCAAAATATAGTAATAATGGTATACGGTCAGGTTCTCAAAGCAGATTACGAGCGACTTTATAGTTCAATAAGGGAGATGCAGTGACAAATGAAGAAGGGTAAATAGAATCTTAATGTTGGTATTGTAATTTCTTTGCTATTCAAGATAATACAGTTTGGTTCCACACTTGCGGAAGACTAAGGATCATGTACCTTTACGAAATGATTTCGCCATTTCGAAGACAAGATGCTGATTGACTACCCAAAAACAATTAAAAAAATGGTGAAGCAAATAGAATTGAACAAGTTCAGAAGCCTTGGGGGAGATTTGTTTTCAAAATTGTAAAGAACATCCTTTCGTAATTGATAGTTCAGACTCGTTATGCACAAGCCAGAAGTCGAATATCATAGAAATTTTCAAGGCCAAATTTGCAGTCATTATGCAAATCCTTTCTTTAATAATTTTTTCATTGTCATTTTTGTTATAAAAGATAAAAATATAATGGAAAGCAGGGGCATAAATGGCCGAAACCACTTATACCCCCAAAGCAAAAATTATGGCCTCGAGACAACCGAAGTTGTTCGCAGCAGAGCCAATCGTCGCTGTGCAATGACAATCAGCCCCACTGTACACCAGGGATTCTTGATACCCAGTGCACGACCCAGGTAAGTATGAGTTGCAAAAGAGTTGCAAGTTTGATGCCTTTTTATACTTTTTTCGAATCGAAATTTCTGGCTAGCATGACTGTTGTCGTAATTTAAAAATGGTCAATGTTGTTCTTAAAAAGGAATGAGAAGCCCTGAGTAAAATAAAAAAAACTGTGACAGACTAAACAAAAAATTAATTTTTTTTATTACGCCTGTCAAAAAATTTTCCATGAAAAAGTGGGTGCCGAGTCATTCAATACAGAATGACGAAAAGTACAATTTTTATAAGTAAACTTTGGTTAAAATTGCGAATCACTTTTGTTTACGCTAATAAGAATAAGAATAAACCGTATCCCAATAACTATGCTAAGTTATATGACTTTTACAAGGGGATGAAAGGAGCCTTTTTTTTTTTACTCCCTATTCAATGACAGTCGCCCCAAGTTCGCGATTGTAAGCTGAAATAGATGAGATGGAAAGGAGTGCATTTACACGCGTGAATTATTACCCGAAGCGATGCAATCAGGAAACCTTCGCAACAGTTATGAGCTGAGGAAAGTAGATGATCATGGATTCATTGACCACTAACGTATCAAGTGTATTCTGGAACCAGTTTTCTTTTCCTTGGAGGACCAGAGAATGTACATATACAAAAGCTTGTACGTAAATCTACGTACGTTTATATTCACGAGAACAACGTAAAATAGAAGGGCAAATTAGTTCAGTATGAGATTGTTATGCAAATAGGAGATTATGTATTTTGAACATTTTTACGTATGTATAACTTTAACTATTAAAACAGTCAAGTCTGCTATATGCAATTCTGCCTAAGGAGATGAATACTAATTGCCTTCTTGATTTTCATCCTTGTTGAGTTTTTTCTTTTTCTTTTGGTGCGCGTAGCTCTAAGCTCTTAATAATATAGAGTTCCAATCTTTCTATCAATAATATTGCAAACAATAGAAACAGGAGAACAATAGATATAGTATTCTAGCTTTACACCTGCCAATGAGTGCTGTGATAAATTATTTAAGCTTGAATTGTATATTGTCCTATGGATCAGCAATCCACTTCTGTTTTTGCTTCATACAATTCATTGAGTGAGGCAAAATATGTCATCGTAGGTATAGGGTGCTTTTGCTATTTATCTAAAACTCTACTGCTATTTCTCGAGCATGCCAGCATTTGAATCCATACAGTTTGACCGCGAAGGTGATCCTTTGAGAGTATTCGAGCCTCAGAAAGTTTTAAGACGTAAATGACAGTAAATTGTAGGTTTTTTTTTTCTTATTAAAGTTCGCAGAGCTGTGGTGGTTAGCAATCTTCAACTTCAAAGTGGTTTACATACTTTCAGCTGTGTCCTTTTTGCTGACGAGGATGTTTCTCAGTCCATCTTTGATTGTTCTCATAACTGTTTATACTAAATTGTGGGTCGTGACTATCCATCTCTTATACATATTGACATCTTCGCCTGAGGTATTGTCATCTCATCAATATCTCTTTACCCAATAATAGAGTGGAACTTGATACACTAGAACTTTGTTGAGAGCAATTTGTAAAACGCCTTGAAATAAAATGGCCTATGGCACTGCGTCATTTTCGAAAAGTTGATAATTCCCTCTAGTGGCTTCGAGTCTTCTGTGACCCAGGAGATCACGCTTTCATCCTTGAGCCCATGCTGGCGTCTTCCGTTCGTTTCTTGGATAACGCTGCAGTAGGTCCTATGTCTTCTTCCATGCTTCCCTACGCCCCATACCCATACTTTTTTTTTATTCTTATGGATACTTGCACTATTGTCAATGAGTCGTCACTTGAATTGTATGTAAATACATAGTGGCGTGATCTATGTAAAATGATCTCTTCGAACCATCGTGTCTTTAATAACAACAATTCTATCCGTTAGATTTTGTTGCGTGAAATGAAATTTGCAAATAATCGTCTGCATGAAATTGATTTAATTGCCCGATTTATTCTTCCTACACATCACTTAACGAACTACATGCAGCACTTGAGGTGTATCCTCAACTTTTATTCAACACACACATGGACCACTGTCAATTTTTTACCAAACAATCAGCCATTTATTTCAGAATGAATAAAAATGATTTATTACAAAAAAAAAAGGGGGGACAAAAACCTCCTTTTCCTCTCTTATATCAAGATTCTTAGTTCATGGATTGAACCAACTTGTTGATGTATTCTTCACGGTTACCAGTATCACCACCTTCAACGTAGTTGAGGAACTTACGTTCGCGCCACATGTTGTTGGGGTTGGAGAGCTTGAAGGGCCAGAGGAAGTTGTTGGCTTCCTTGAAGTGGGGACCGACGGTAGCGATTTCGTGGATCAAGTCTTCAACACAGACGATGTTGTACTTACCAAGAGCTTGTTCAATGACAGCGTTATCGTGGATGGGGATACGTTGCTTGTTGAGCTTGGCATAACCACGCTTGTAGATCAATTCACGGATGGTCTTAAGGTTAGGGTAACCGTAAGCGACGTAAGGTTGGATCAATTGGAGCATTTCAGAGGTAGCCTTGTTGAGACGGACAAAGACACCGTTGTTGATTTGGAGAAGACGCAAGAGTTGCAAGACCTTACGGGGCTTGGGGGCGATACCATTGATACCACGGATACGAACAACGAAGACAAGCTTCTCTTGAGCGGGAACGTAGTAGTTACCTTGAGCCTTGGCTTGACGACGGAGACGGATTTCGTTGCGTTCCTTGGCTTGGTATTCAGCAGCATACTTAGCGGCACGCTTGAAGATATCACGTCTCTTGGCAATCTTGGCCTACAAGAAAACAGATAAATCGAAATAAGACAAGGTAAGTCCACAATATATACAAGTCAGTGAGCCCAGAAATTAAAAGCAAATCAAGCAATAGAGATCCATTCATCATCCATGTGTGCACATAAATCAAATATTTTTTACACCCAATGCAAACAAAACTATCAAATGGTATATTGAATACTTGCCTTGCGAAGTTCAGCCTTCTTGGAGGCAGCAGTTTCGGCAGCCTTTTCGTTGGCCTTGTTCTTCTTCAAGAGAGTTTCAGGGACGAGGATGTCGTTGGCAGCAGGGACGTTGCTATTGTAATAGAGATGAAGTACTGATTAACATCAAGCTACTCATAAAGTATTGTATAAGCCACCCAAAAATGGTCATTTCTACAGGCCCACAATCCAACGTTTGTAATCAACGATTTAACTTTCAACTTTGTTGTTTGGTCTTTTTATTTCGTAGAACTGACATTTTTGTGGTGCTCAAGTATGCAAAAGTAGATTGAATAACTTACTAAGCAACCATGTTGGTACTGTCTGAACTGATGTAAAAAGAGGAAGAGCAAACATTAGGATCCAAAAAAATTTTCAACATAAAGGGTTTGCAGCCTGCTGCCAACAAAGAAAATTTGCGAGCCGGAATAACGGTAGTCACACACGCACAGGGGGAAATTGAGAATCAGGACCAAATTGAACGGCGGGGTGGGGAAAGAGTAGCAGAAACCGTATACATCGAACATCTACCAGATACTGATGAGAGCATATGGGTAACATTGAAATTAACGTACAGCAATATCCTTGAAAGTTCATCTTTGGCCAGCGTAGATAAATTTGCTTCATGCACTGTATGAATTTTGAACAAACCTTTACATTTTAGTTAAAACGTCTACAATTGGAGATGGTGATGGAACTTTTTCAGCTTCTTTTATACAATATTAAGCAACAAAAAAGTGCTGAACCATGAGTGAACGTTTCCGAAGGAATTGCTTATTACTACGAAAGAAAAGTACGAGCAAATAGCCAAAGAGAAGAAATCATTTGCAAATTTTTGGACACTCATCTCTATATACTTGAATTGAGAAATTCTCTTATGGCTTTTTTCTACCTAATACTCATGCAGTCCATTAAACTTGTCTTTTTGACTGGTGGCATCATTATTCACCAAGATATGAAAGCCTAAGGAGTTTCCATCATCTTTTGAAATCAATTGAAAAGTTACGTTTTTGCCAGCATTGTTTACTATGTCAATTTTACATTATTGGCAAGCCGTACGCAAATCATGCTTACTACTTTCTTGAATTCAACAAGTTTTATTTATCTTGACATACACATAACATAACGTACAGTCTTGTTCGCTTGTTATCTCGGCGTTCCTTTATATCAATTCTATATTCAAGGCAAAAATTAGGCTTTTCACTTTCAAAATAAATCCTCGCAACAGGAGTTGAGGATGGCGGAAGAGTGTTGTAAACATAAAAAAAAAGCCATTTTAATTTAGCTGGCTTTATCATAATGTATTGTAAAAAGTCATAGTCAAAGATTTCGAAGGATAAAGTATAGGGAGGGGGGAGGGCTAGCTATAGGATATAGTAACGATGATACTATCTGAATAAAATATAAATAGAGTGTGTATATATATGTATATATGTTTATAACTTCATCTTAAAATTTGCTGGTTCAATGAAGGTAAAATGTTCATAATGTGAGGGGGACAAAAAGAGGTAGACTTTTTGGCAGTTGAGGAAGTAGTAGCATAAGATCCCAACAAGGTCTCGTCTGTACTACTTCTGGGGATACTGTCATCGTCAACATCATCACTAGAAGGAATGTCATTTGCTGTAGCTGTTTGATAGGTTTTTGTATAATCTAAATTTGGTTTCTTGCTACTGTTGTTATTGTCACAGAAGGTAGGGAATGCCTTTTTGAACACGCGCTTAAAAAAGAAGGCTGGTTTCTGCTTATGTACTCTTTTGTGAGCTGTACTGTTCCTAGTTGTTAAAGAAGCACCCGTCATCTGTTGTATTAATGACGGATGGGTAGATGTACTTTGAGTGTCGAAAGAATGAACACGTTGCTGTTGGATGGTTTGCGCACGTAATAAATCCTGCTCCATTTCACTCACTAGGTCCTGTAATGGGGGTGATTATCGATGGAAATGAATTTAGAGCTACCTTTTGGTACAATGTCGGTTTTCTGTTTTGAAGGGATACTTACATTTAGATTACCCAAAAGTGTATCAAATTTAACTTCTTCGTTCATGCGATGTCTCTGAACGGTTACACTCTATAAAACGATTTATAAAAGTGAATATAACTGTCATGAAGAGAACGAAATAAAGCTGTAAGGAGCTACCTGTCTGTTTCTGTTTGCATTGATCATGTCTTCTCCTTCTCTATTTTCTGCAGCTATAAAGTCTATATCTCCTATAATTAAAGGCGTATGCATGTCATTGAGAGAAGCGTCAACTACATAACCATCGTGTTGGAAGACACGTCACAAGAAGAGAAGAACCTACGACTCGTTTGATGATCATGGTTCAATCGATCCGATAGATAATCTATTTGCTCTTTTAAGCTCAAAATGATATCATTCTTCGTGTCCAAATTTCTTGTATATCTCAACTCTAATTTCCTTAGATCACTTTGATGCGTTTTTTTTATCATTTCTAGATGGTCTGAATAATGAAAGAAATAACATATTTACACAAGTGGAAAAAAAAAAAAGAGAGAGTAGCTCGGACAGCACTTTACTCAAAAAATACCTGAATAATTTTGTGCGTTTGCCTCAGCTCTGTGCTTCCATTCTAAAGCTGTTTCTTTTAACATTGCAATTTCAGACTATTACACAGCAGAATCAGTCAAGATTAATATATGCATAAATAGCGTGTGGCTTAATGATGCTACCTCCTTTGCCAACAAGGCGTGTTCTAGCATACAAAGATATTGTTGTTGATTGTTATTGACTACTTCTCTAGCGTCATCACATTCAGTCTGTTGATAGAATGGCTGTTTCTCCATACTATGCGTATCCATATGGCTATCACCGTCATTATCCATGATGGCAGATGTAGAATCGATGTATTTCGATGGAAGCAAAGCAATCATATCAGCTACCAAAGCGGCAGCTTCTCTATCATCTTGACTCTCGAAATAGGTCTGTAGACAACTCATGGAATCCATTGAATAGAAAACGATCACTATTTTTGTCGATTTCGGCGGTGCTGTAGATGCTGACTTTGAAGGAAACGACAAGCAGAGAATATGGCTGGATTGAATGTCGTACGCCGAGAAGTAACAAACAAACAGAATTTTCTGTAGCTGTTGTTGTGTCTTATGTATTGAGTTGTATTGATTCTTACACAAAGAAAAATAACAGAAAAAAGAAGAAAATAAAATAAATGGGCATGACGAAAAGAATGGGTATAAAACGTCTCATTATGGAGAAGGGTAAGGAAATTTAAGGGGTGTGCGGAAATAGTTTCCCACAATAAGCATCTTTCCCTTTTGCGGATGGTTTGGCAGAAGAGGCGTAAAGGATAGGTCGTCGTTTCTTTACTACTATTTAAAAGGCTCATATGTTTAGATTTAGGGTTTGTAAGATACATGGACATCTGCATGAATAACTGTTTGGCTTTATTTGAAAGAGCGAGCCAATCTGTGTGTCTGATAAAGGCAACAGACATCCGAACATCGTATGACTCTATTGATAATTCTTCTCAATTATGTAGAAAAAATGCAACGTTCATCCCATCTGTCATGTTTTGCAAAAAAAAAAAAAAGCAATGCACATGGTATAAACATGAGTGTATGCGTTTCTAGCACAGCATTTGCTTATTGACTGCTTAACAGCAGAAATAGAGTAGTGCTTGATTGTGGGCCGGGCAAAATGACAAACAGCGCATTTTTATTACTTGGGCAAAGATGAACAGTTAGTTACAGTTTATTTACGTTTATTTACATTTTCGAGGCATATCGTATGGAAAAAACCAAAGGTGAAGATTAAAAGTACAGGTTAAGCGCGGTTATATATAAAGCACAACAAAATATACACCCAAATAGTTTAATGGTTCATAGCTCTAGGTTGAGTGGCCGGGTTACAGACTTGTTGTTTTCTCAAATTGTCAGCAGAGCTCTTGGGAGCACTCGCTTGACGAGCAGCAGTATGAGCATACATATCTTGGGCTTGTCTTTCCTGAAGTTCACGGACACGAAGACGCTCTTCTTCTTTCTTATCTTCACTTGTTTGCTCTTCATCGTGCTCATCTTCCTTATGGGTATCCTTTAAGGGAACATGATGTTCGGGTTGCTTCACTCTCATACCACCAACCTTGTGAGCAGGAGTAACGTTTGCAGGTAAATCAGCGGGCATGGTTAACAAATTAATAATTTAAAAAGTTGAAAAAAAGAAAAACGGATGGAAGATGGGCTATAGATATTTATATCTTATCTCCAGATTTTAATGCATTTAAGCCCAATGAATTGCCTAAAGAGATCAACTAACCTGTCAACGTCACGAAAACATGAATTTAAGAAAAAGATCATTATGACATAAGGGGAGGACCTTCTTTTTGCTAGAATGGATTCATTTTGGATAGAAAGTCCGATGTGTCTGCATGAAAATTGAATCTGGAAAAGCGACATTTTTGTTCTTTTACTGCACTGCCGACACGAAAACTTTGTAACAGACACAATAGAAGCAAAAGTCTTACACTATCCAAGAAAGATGTATTTCACGTTTCTTTCTGCCTGTGGGCATTTTCTTTCGCTGCTTGGTATCCTGAAAATGCAACACATTAGTCGTTTCCACTGCTGATGAGCAATAGTGTTATAAGCTAGACAGGTAGTTACGTAATGTGATCATTTCATCTTTTTTTTTTTTTTTTTTTTTCTTAGAAAAAGCCAATCGTCGTTTAGTTTTCGAGGATGGCCGAGCAGTAAACTGAACTAGGCATTAAATCCGCTCGTAATGTTCCTGCTTCTACACTAATATGTTCCTCCAATGTGTCCAAATAGTGAGCTCTTGTCCATATCATCCTCAGTTAAATTATTGACAAATAAGCTTGAGATAATGTTACATACTCTGGCATATATTCTATCGTGATTCACTGCCAAGTGCTTTCACTAGATGATGACTGCTACCATTACTACGGAGCTCTGAATTCGTAATAAGAATTCGATGACCCCATTTACCACACTTTTTTCAGCCTCCTTTCTTGCCAACAAATTCAGGGTTTTTTTTCCCCTTCAATACATCCATCATGACAACAGCTCATCTACTATCGTATTCCATCTATTTGAGAAAAAAAAATAAAAATTCAAGCACATCGCAAAGAAGGGATATATTCATATTTTCTGGGCATAGTGCATCCCCTGCAGTCCCTCATGCTTCTTTAGAAAAATGGCTCGTTCCAACTGAGCTCTCATCCTCTTCTTGACGATGACCGTTTCTGCTTTGAACGATGACATGCTTCACTGGCTCCTTGAGGGATTCCGGTGGCCTCTGTAACGCTGTCGATGTCTGATACACGATGGATCCCTTTCGCGTTATAGTACTACCATTTTTCTCTGTTGCTATTCAACAGCTCAACGTAGAATACTCTCTCTTTCATCTACTGAATACACTCCTTCACTGTCCACCATTGCAATAACCAAGGTGTCCATCAAATTTGGAAATGTCCCATAAAAGCAATGTTCAGTGAGTGACATTGGGAACATAAACCGTAGAAAATAGTAAACGCAGACTGAAAGACACATCCTGTAAACCATGACAAAAATCGTTTTGACAAGCACGTGAGACGGTCTGAGCGACTGAGACGGAAAATAAGCTTTTCTCGTTTGCCCGCATTTTTTGTTGTTTGTCACATGCGACCTTAATTCTCAGGGGAAATTCTAATTTGTGCTTATGTGAGAGAAAGTAAAAAAAAAGTGATGACTCTATTCTTAATTTTTTATTTTGATTCCCAGTTAAAAAAAAAAAAAAAGAAACAGAAAAGAAAGAGCCCCCTCCGCTCTTTCCTCCACATCTTTTTTTCCTACATTACGTTTTTCAATTCGCACTAGACGCACACTTTAATTCACTACAACTGTTTAATGTCAAACCATCTCAAGAGCAATCATGTTGATGAAGTTGATTCAGATATTGATGACTTGCTAGATGGTAAGTGTTTCTTGTTTTAATATTGAAATACTCGAAACCTGTGTTTTCCTTACTTGAATGTCCTTCTAGATGTTCTTGATGATATATCCAACTTGTCTACAACAGAAAAACAGCCTTCCAAATCAACAACAGAAGCGGTAGCTGACAAGGCTAAAGAAACAGCGACCACGGCTGCTGCCCCTTCTGCCGAAAAAGAGGTTGCCGAAGAGCCCGACTTGGAAGATCTGTTAGGTAGTGACGACTTTGCAAAGCAATTAGCTGCAGGCATGGAACAACTCATGGGTGGAATGGACGGTGAAGCAGATGAAGAGATGAAAAAGGCATTTGAGAAAGTCTGGGCGTCGTTTGATAACGAGACACCTGTCCCTACAGCTTCAGCACCCCCCACTGCAACGACCACAACATCGTCGTCAAAAAACAAGGAGGATGGAGCAACAAAAAAGTCAGCGCAATCATTTCAGGATACCATCAACAAGACGATGAATAAGTTGAAAGATAGTTCAAAAGAAATTGATGTAAGTTTCTCTTCAGAAAACGTTTGAAATCTATGTCAATGGAAGAAAAAAAGGACACATCTCAACATAGGTTGCCTTTGGTTATCATCTCTAGTCTTCAATGAATGAAGAAGCAGAAGATGCTTTTATGGCAGAATTGATGAAACAGATGGAATCCTTGGCAGATAACGGAGAATTTGAGGGCGTTTTGGAAGGAATGATGAGCCAACTCATGTCGAAAGAGCTTCTTTACGAACCCATGAAAGATTTACGTGATAAATACCCCAAGTGGCTAGAGGAACACAAGGATACGATCGATAAGGCAGAATATGAAAAATATCAGCAGCAAATGAACATGTGTCAGCAAATTGTTGCTAAATATGAAGCGCCTCATTTTGATGAAAAGGATGAAGTACAGGCAAAGGAAATCATGGATTTAATGACAAAGATGCAAGACTTGGGGCAGCCACCTGCTGATTTGTTGGGTGAGATGGCCCCTGGCATCAATTTTGGTAATACTGAAGCTATGCCAGACCTCAAAGATCTGGAAAACTGTACTATTATGTAATGCTCCTGTCCTTTGAAAGACCCCCTATTCCCTCCCCTTTATTTAATGTTCGTAACTCTATTGCCAACTTGTATTAGCTAATAAAGCGCGTGTATTTTCTTAAATTTGGTTTGAAAATACATCGAGATCGTAAGTCACTGATGATGATCTATGATGAGCTTTTTTGACACTAGGATACACAGTTTGGACAACCTATCACTTTCAGTTTGAGATTCACAAAAGAGTTTTATTGTAGGGTATGTTTTGTATAAAATAAAGAACAGTAAAATCAAAAAGAAAACTACGTATGAAAAAAAAAAATTCTTTATACAAGGTACATTGAGGCTGTACGTACAATAACGGCGGGGAGGGGGCGGGGGGGGGGAAAGAAAGGCGAGCATGGTGGGGTTGATTTCTTTAGATAGACTTTTCCTTTCCGCTTCTGTTCTTTTCAGGTTCGAGGGTATTATCATAGTCCAAGCAAAGGGCTGAAGGTCTTTCCGTCTTGGAGAAGGCAGCAGAAGGATTGAGAGCACCCTTAATGACACCACAACGCATGCTAGAAAGCAGGTTACGGGCACCGTTAGAATGGTTGTAGATACCGCCGTTGAAAGACTTGGTCATGTCTTTGCCGATGCCAGTGAAGAGATACTTGGGTCCACCGGGGTGGTCAAAGCCTTCGACATCGTAGATGATACCGTCCAAAAGAATCCACTTCTTATCTTCTGTGTTGACCTTGGTTTGGAATTCTTCCAAAGTGTAAACTGGCAATTCACTCAGCTTTTTACCAAAGCTGAGGGTGGTCTTCATTTCATCTACTTTCTTTTCAATCATTTGAATTTGACCCTTTTTGATTTCGTTGGCGGAGAAAGTCTTCAAGTTGTAGGTCATGCCCAAGAAACTCAAGCCCTTAATAAGCCATTTGGTAGGATCATATTGGTACCAGCGGATGGCGTTACGGTAATCTTGGGGGAATTCATGATGGAAGTTGTGATAACCTTCACCACAGGTGACAAGAGCAGTAATCCAGGAATCCTTGGGGGTGTTGTAGTCATCGAAGGGGGTGTCGCCAATGTAGTGAGCAAGACTGTTGACGCAGAAAGTGGCATGATGGATAGCGACTTGACGACAGAGACCGGCGTAGATAAGGCCACCCTTCCAGTCTCCCCAACCGAAACCAGCGACCAAGGTAGGGAAAATGAAAGCCATAAAGACAGCAAATTCAAGATAATGTTTGTGTTGGAAACGAACAAGAGGATCTGCCTTGAGATCAGCAGTATCGGCGTAACCGATTCTGTTCTTGGGACGATTGATCAACATCCAGCCAATGTGAGAATAAAAGAAGCCTCGAGTAGCAGCATAGGGATCTTTATCAGAATCGGTCCAACGATGATGAGCACGATGGCCACGAGACCACCACTGAATAGAGCCTTGGAATGCACCAGAACCAGCTAGACATAACAAGAATTGAGTGAAAGGCGTACAGTCATAAGAACGGTGGGCCCAGTAACGATGGTAACCAGCGGTGATGCCCAGACCAGTAACAAAATAAAAAAAGATAGACCAGTACAAGGTCTTGGTTTGTAATGGTGTTGTGCAAGCGTAATAAACCGCAAGAATAGGTGTTGAGATCAAGAGGATGGATTGGAACCAATTGACACGACCGACCCAGTTCTTCAATGTGGTAGGGCTATCAAACAATGGAGGCATTTCGCGTGAGTCTCTGGGAGGCTTACGATCTTCAGTTACTGTGTAAGCATAGGGAGGGAACTTATCCTCCCTCACTAATGTTATTGTGTTGGACATATTTTTCTTTTTGATTTAATGTAAGAGATAATATCAACAATGAAGAAAAAAAAAAAAAAGAAAAGAAAAAGAAAACAGGAAAAAGGACCGATGGAGTATGAGTGGCACTTATATTTGAACGAAAAGTGCCTCTGTCGCTGTCTCTCTCTCTGTCTCTCGATCTCGCCTTTCCTTGGCTTTGCCTCAATCTTTTAACAACTGATACACACTATTGTAATTAGTTGAAACACAATCACTAGCAGTTCATTGGATGGAATATGAAAACTGTACGTTTAAAACTTGGGCCTCTGGGGACGAAATTTGGGGACTTACGGGCCAATGGGATTCCTTACGTCTTAAAAGTTGAAAAGGCTCCACTGCTCATGCTGAATAGGTTACGCGAATTCTCATATGGAGAAACGTCTCCATGTGTATGCACGATTGATGAAGTGGTTACACATTCTATTAAAGGCATTGCATGTTCGATAGTACCACAGCCATTAGAAGTAGTCACAAACCCCTGAGCTTGCAGATGGGCATAAAGTTGCAAACAATAGATTTCCTTCCCCCTTTTTTTGAGTGAAAACACTAAAAAAAGCAACTAGGTTTTACTTTGACGCAAAAATCGTCCGATTTTCCTTCTTTTATTGTTCAAAAAGACGGATGTAAGCCTGGAGAAGAACAATAAGAGTTTCGGTATTACATAATAGCTGCATAAGAACCAAGACCAAATATTGGGCGCCATTCCCGTATACCCCGGCCATGGCTGCCATCAGCTCTATCTTGATCCTTCATTTATCAATGGCTTTTTTACACACGCAATCCGCGAGAACAATGTTGCCGACTACCTGGGTTTCAAAAATTCATTTTTTTTCTTTTTTTTTTTTCTTCATTGTTCATTTTTAGACAAATGATCAAATGCATTGACATGTCCGTGTGCTTCTTTTTTAAGCCACAAAGCTGTCGTACAAAACAAAACGTATTATACATTTTACAAAAAAAAATATGCTTTTTCATTGGCAGTTAAATACAGCGCTTATCAGATAAAGGACGATAAATGACATTTAGGTGTACATAAATCATTGACTGCCTTCCCCCTAGTTGTTTTCTTTGCCTTTTTTGCACTACCGACGAACAATAGACTTTTTTTTACATATTTTCGAATAAACTTTGGAGACCCTTTTTTTCTTCGAAAGATGAATAGTCGAGCTAGAGTTGCTAGAACCATCCTTCTTGGCAACAATTTCTTTGAGACGAAAGTTTATAGTCAATATTCAATATAATCTGGTTTTCATTAAAACAATGAGTCTGCTCGTATGAACATGACGCGTAAATCCGGCCATTAGTAAGGCTCTTTCAGCGAATCGGTTTACAGCCCGATCGAGAAAGCCGAAGAAACAAAAAGTCGGTTGTCAATAATTGGGGATGCATATGGCAAAGATCCACCAGAATAATTTTTCATCTCAATTTATGAAAAAAAAATCTCTCAACGTTTCAAACTTCAACTTGTGAAAAAAGAAAAATTGGGGTAAAAAAGGGCTTTTTTGAATTTCCTTTTTTGGAGAATTCATAGTTGCCCTTATCCATCGCTTCTATTCCAACAAAATGCATATTTTCTGTCTTTCTTTTCTTTGCAAAGTTCGTTTTTGTTCTTTATCGCAAATGGAATATGAGTATTCTTCTTTTTTTTTGACTGCACATTATGTAATCTCTATGTTTCTCGCGACCCAAGTTTGTAGCCTTTGAAGAGATTCCTTAAGGACAAGGACAGCACAACCAAAGCGAACCATTTATGTCTTATGTTGCTGATAGAAAGAATCAGTATTCCACATAGATGTAAGCTTGTAGGAAATTCATTGGAGTTTTGTTTAGAAAATGATTGCCCACTGTTACTCCCGAAGCGTGCTCAGCATTGAGATGTGCGAGAAGAAAAAAAAAAAAAAAAAAAAAAAAAAAAAAAAAAAAAAAGAAAAAGAAAAGATCGACCTCACATCATTTGCTAAAAAAGGACAGATAACTGTATCATTTACGGAACAGAATGCTTATGGAAAAAAGAAGGCTTTATTGCGTTCTACTTTCCTTTTCGTTATATAATTTCTTCTTGAATGCATTCTGTTGCGACATCGTCCCTTTGCTTTCAAAAACCAAAAAGAGCTATACCATCCTTTACGTAACAGAAGATTTCAATGACGACAAGTCTAAAATGAAAGAGAATGGTGAAGATTGGAGCTGATTTCATGCAACTGTTTGGTTTCTCAACAATGTTAGAACAGATAGCAAATAGTAAAAGCATAGATCAATACCAAAGCAGCTATTTTGCTGAAACGTGCTGTAAGTGCGTTTGATGACAAATGACCCAATGTCGATCTACACATTCTATCTCGGGATAAAGCCTTAGGTCATAGTGTCATACACATAATCATGGTAGACAAACAAGTTTTTTTTATCTTTTTTCTTTTTTTTTTAGAGTTCCGCATTGCCCAGTTTGCATTTTTTTGAGTAACACGAAAAGGCAAATCACGTCTTTTCATTCGTCGCACATTAAAAAAAAAGACCAGCGGCACCTATGCCAAAATATCTTTTTCAGCGCGTTTTCAAAGTTTTAAGAATGAGATAAATATTCAATGAATTTGGTAAGTAAAAGATAATTAAAGCTAAAAGAAGGGCAAACAGAACAGTAAAAGAGATCAAAAGCATATAAAAAAAAAGCTAGCTTTACTCTATCTGGTTAAGTGACTGTAAAAAAAAAAAAGACACAACAACTTTCATGATGACCTCATGGTTCTTTCTTTTTTTGCATAAACTGAGACTATTTTATGAAAAAAGAGTGATAAAAGCTTTTGGTATAAAAAGCAAAAAAGATATTTCAATTTCGTGTGTGTTTTCGCCTTTTTGTTCTTTACCGACTTTTCCTTATCACTTTCTGTATTCTTTTCTTTATTCATATCCAAAAAAAAAGTAAGAAATGAAAGCTACTAAATATTTGACCTATGCTGCCTGCCTTGTTTTGTTGGCTAGCCAAGTGCAAGCTAAATGTAAGTACAGACAGTTTTATGCAATCCATATGCGCGCGGAGAAAGGGGGCAAGATAACAAACAAAGAATGATAAAATGGGCAAAAGATGTAGTGAGACCCAAGGAGCGAGTTGTTTATTCATTTTGCTTACATTCATATGATCGTTCTAACTCGATAAATAACATCTACCTATAATCAACGATAGCTGCTGCTCAGCAAGTAGAAGATGTCTCACAGTGGACTCAAGACCAAGTTCAAAGCTATCTGGACAAGTACAACATTGCCTATGAAGGTGAAGAAAGCCCTTTAGAAACAGTCAAGCGTTATCGTGATACTGCTTTGGCAAACGCCAACTTTTTCATGTCCGACAGACAAAGTGCTGTTGCACGTATCGTGCAAGGTCTTCGTGTCAAGCTTGAAAAGAACTACAAATTGTCTCAAGCCAACATTGATTCCTTATCTTCAGACCTCACACATGAATTGACTCAATTGTCCTTGAGAGGTCAACTGACCTCGGACATGGTCAAGCAACGTCTCGATAAATACAAGGCCAAGGCTATCAAACAGAAATACGTCACAGATGCTCAGTGGAAGGGTATTTCCAATGACGTCCAAGAGGCTTTCATGGGGAGTCATCCTGCCTGGTACCAGAAACTCTTGGGTTTGCTCCCTACTACTTCGTCTCAATTCGGTGATAATACCTTCCACACATGGGTCAATGACCGTGTGGCCAAGCGTTTGCAGGAAAACAAAGAACTGACCAAGGACCAAATCAACGCCATCGTCAATACCTTACAAAAGGCTCTTTCTTCCTCCACCTCTTCCGCTCAGGACATGGCCAAGCTGGGTACCGCTGAATGGTGGAAGCAAGTCTCCAACGATATCACGAAACAAGCCAACATCAAGCAAGACCAAGCGGCCAACGTCATGGGCTCATTGAAGGACGAAGTGAATGCTTACAAGATCTTTGCGATGGACTATGCCACGCAAGCGTCTGATCATGCCAACAACATGTTGGCCGCTGCCACACAGTACTTGAAGAATGCAGGTAACCAACTCTATGAACAAATCGCCCATCCTCTCAAGGCGCATCCTGAAAAAGAACGCCAAGTCAATGATGCCCTCTACACCGCCTCTTCCGCCGCTGCCTCTGCTACAGGCGCCGCCGGTGCTTCGGCTTCCAGTCTCCATGCCAAGGCAACCGATGCTGCTGCCTCCGCTACGGGCGCTGCCGCTGCTTCGGCTTCCAGCTTCCACGCCAAGGCGACCGATGCCGCTGCCTCCATGGCCAATGCTGCCGCTCAAAGTGCCTCTAGCATCACTTCTCACATGGGACAAACTGCTTCCAACACAAAAGACACCTTGGGTGCTTACTGGCGTCAAAAGGAATTAGAAACATACAAGAAGGTTGGATATACACAAGCTCATATTGATTGGATTGAAAACTATCTTAGCAAGGCTTTTGCTGATAAAACACATATTGCAAAGACATCTGTGCAAGATACTTTGCGTGCGATCCGTGATTATTTGGTGGCTACCAAAGTGCAAACAGCCGCTCATATTGATGCTCAATTAAAATCACTTGAAGCCGTCATTGAGCATTGGAGACGTACCACTGTTCGTGATGAATTGTAAAAAAAAAAACCAACCAAAAAAACTCTTTGAACAAAAGCATCCATTTACATCATATTTTCTGAAAAAAACAAAACAGGAGGTGGGGTTGGGGGAAACGTCATCATTAAATCACACATCTAATTTACTTTTTTTTTTTTTTCTACTTTCTACATCTCTATACTCACCCAGAATTGTAAAAATAAACGGATATCATGTATTTTTCATATAGACTGTTGGCTTTATTCCTTTTTTTTTGTGGTGTATAAAGGAGACTGGATGGTAGATGAAAGGGAATCTTTTTCCTTTATCAATGGTATTCATATGTTGTGCATTTTCTATGTTTCAAGATGTATATGGGAAATACAATATATATTTATATATGTATATATATATATATATATGTGTGTGTAGAGAGAATAAATAACGCGTTAAAAAAAGAGAGATAATCAAGAGAAGGGGGTACTCAAGTAGATACTGTCACTGTTTTTCCCGCTGTCGAATGCGTCTGTGGTGGTTGTACATCGTCTCCCTCTTTTGCATTGGCGTGTTCATCTTTCTTTGTGTTTCTTGTCGAAAGATCAGTCGCTGTGGCTGCTGTCATGGGCGGTTGGCTGCTATTAGGATGAATTGCAGTGGATAAGCCATGACCCCCTGTTGTGCTTAGGTAGCCATCCTTACCACCTAATTTCAACGTATCCAACAATTTACGATAAATAAATTTGTAGGCCCATACATTGCCTCTCAACCGACGCATATCCACAATATAAAGTCCTGGTAAGTTTTTAATCTTACATAGCTCTATACTGAAACGGATCTCTTCTCCTGGATCCACATTAGGATCGCCATAAATAGGAGCTACCGTTTGAGGACTATTACCCGTAGTTGGTTCTACGCACTCATCCTGCTTATTCTTTGGGTCTATCTTGTCTTCAAGTGGAGATGAAGAAGCAGGAGGAGGAGGAGGAGGAGGGGTCGTTATTTCGCCACTACTGATGCTACTGGTCGAAGCCCTTTGTTGTTGTTGTTGTTGTTGTTGAGCACTTGACCTTCTCAATAAAGATCGTATTCCATTTTGTTGTGGTTGCGTCTTGAGCGATTGGGTATGAAACGTGCTTTCATTATGGAGATAAGGAAGCTGATGATGATGATGGATATCATTATTGCTGGTGCTGGTGCTAGTGCTAGTGCTAGTGCTGGTATGGTGAGGTGAGTGGGTATTATTTTTGTATAAATGATGATGTAACATCATCATACGTGAAGGTGAATGTGGAGTGGTAGAATGATGGAAATGGTGCTGAGGTGATATGGAGAATCGTCTTTCCGTATCCAAGATACGCTTTTTTTTACTTTTGGGTCGTGAGCATTTTAATTTAAAATCATTACTTCCGTCCCGTTTAAATTCTAAACCCAAGCTTTGAAGGGCCACCTTGACATCTTGGAATACTTGATGAGGAGGCCGCGAGGTAAGGGCTTCTTGATCTACAGCACCGTGATGAGTACGTAATTTAATGACAGGTTCTTTATCAAGGTGAGGATGACGATGAGGATAATGATGTGGATGCTGGAGATTGGATTGCCTGTGCGCTGAATCATATCCCACAGGTGCGTAGGCTTGATTTTTATGGCGGTTGTTATTCATCGTGATAGGCAGATCAACCGTCTTTTGATGGGCAGAACTCAGTGGTTTTTTCTTGAACCAATCCATGAATTTTTTGCCTGCACTACGATGTTTCTCTGTTTTTGATGCTGCTACTGCTGCAGCTGCAGCAGTAGCAGCAGTAGCAGCAGCCATGCTGACGTGGGTGGAATCGATCGCATGCTCAGAAATAGAAGGTTCCATTGGAGCACGAGGTGGCTGATCAGGGTGACGACTAGCGCTACCTTCTGTGATTGCAGCCTTTGCATTATCTGATGCCAAGGCAGATGTAGCAGTCTGCGTCGTCATCGTTTGTTGTTGTTGTTGTTGTTGTTGTTGTTGTTGCTGCTGCATTGAATGATTGTTGTTTTGACGACGGTAAAAAGGACTTTTGTGACTTTCCGTCATTGAGTTGACTAATAAACTGAGCGTCTTTCTTCTTGTACCTCTTCTTTCAGAGGAAGCTGGCGGGGGAGTGGCAGATAGAAACGTAGGCGGGGATAGGGTAGTACTCAAACGAACGGTTCTTTTTTTCGTTGCTGAAGCGGAGGCATTCGCATGAGCGGTAGTAGTTGCTTCCAACAGAGAATGGGTAGTGGATTTATGGATAGAATGAGGCGTACTTAAACTGAAATTAGGTAAAGCAGATGCAATTACTTTGACAGCAGTAGGTGGGGAGGATGTGGGTGATGGTTGCTGTATTTTGCGGTTTTGATGTTGGTTCGTAACGCTCGATAGGAATTTTGAGTGTAGAATGGATGTGGACGTGGTAGTGGTGGTGGCTGCTGCGGCACTCGATTCAGCATGGAGATGTTCTTTGTGAGTAGCCGTTGTAGGGTCGGATACCAAAGACATGTGTCTCGTGCGTTTATTCTTGTTCTTTTTGTTCATATTCACATTCATACTATTATTCGTGTTACTATCGCGTCCTACTTGACTTGATTTAGACGTGTGACTATGTACACCAGAAAGGAAATGAAGAACCTTTTCGGTAGATGAAGCCGTTGATTTAGGTCGTATTTTTTTGTGATTGTGTTGTTCCTCTTTGGTGGTGGTGGTGGTGGTGGTGGTGATTTCTTTCGGTTTCGAAGATTGAGCGACTGCTGCTGAGGTAGAAGGCAAAGGAGTAATAGGTGTTTTAGGTGCCAGCTTTTCTTCTGGTTGCTCTTCTTTTTGTACATCTGTCATGGCTTCATCAGCGATGTGGATCGTCGATTTATCGGCATCATAGGAGGCGGGTGTGGACGAGACGGAATCCTCAGTACTAGCAGGTACTTCTTGCATCATTGTATCTGTTTCTTCTTCTTCTTCTCTCTGAGAACCGTTCTGATTGGCTGTGGTTGTATCCTCAACAATCACTGTTAATTCTTGATGATGATGGTGATCTTTTTCTTTCTTGTGCTCTGTTACAACTGTGTTCTTCAGTACAACCGCGTCTTCACTTTCATCACCCATGACTGAGGTTACAATGTGATTATCTTTATGACCGCTGTTACTACTACTATTGCTACTGCTATTACAGCTACTACTACTATTACTGTTGTTTGTATCTTCCACATGTGTCATACTGACGGCAGCGTTTTCATGTACCTTTTCTTGCTTTGTCGTTGAAATGGTGGAAGTGATCATTGTTTGATCCTCCTCTTCTTCCTCTTCCTCTTCTTCGCGTGCTTGTGGCAACGGCTGATGTTCTTCCTCAGGATGCTGCTGCAATAGCTCTTCTTCCTCCTCTTCATCCGATTGTAAAACAAACAAATGTTTATGAGTAGCCAACCAAGGATGTGCCATGATGGTTTCCATGGAGCATCTTTTTTCAGGATCAGGCACCAACATGAGGCTCATCAAATCACATGCTTCTTCCGAAATATAATCAGGAAAAACCAAGGGCGTGTTGAGGATATATTTGTACAATAAATTGATATTGTAACTTTCTGGATTGGCTGGATCGTCGTCATAAGGTAGATATCCGCAGAGCATAGCAAATAAAATAACACCGCAAGACCAAATATCGACAGCAGGGCCCACGTACAGTCCTTGCTGGTTCATCACTAACTCTGGGGCTGCGTAGCATGGCGAACCGCAAGACGTGGACATTAAATCATCATGGGCTGAAGAGAATTGATTTGCAAAGCCGAAATCAGTGATCAACACATTACGATGTCTATCTAACAATAAGTTTTCCTGGAAGAGAAAAAAAAAGGCTGAGTATCTCACATGGCCACCATAGATCTATGTCCTATCTATCCTTTACCAATTTCAAATCTCTATGGACAATGTGTTTCTTGTGCATATAATTGACACCACTGATAAGTTGAGCAAATAATCGACTGGCATCTTTCTCCTTCAAATATCGATGAGCTAAAATATAGTCAAATAGCTCACCGCCGGTTGCACATTGTAAGATAATTCCAATATATTTCTCTGTTTCTATCACATCAAATAATTCAACAATATTCGGATGATGGAGTACCTAGTAATGCAAAAAGGGAAATTAAGGGGAAGAGAATGAGTTTCTTTGTTAGAGTTTCATAATTCTGAGCAAAAAACCATGTAACATATATAGACATATGTTATTTTCTTTTTCCGTCTCCCCCCCGCCCATCCTAAGATGAGGATATCCCTTTTTTCTGTTATACTTTACTCGTAACACAGATATCTCTCTCTCCACTTTGGTCATACGAGAAGTGGAGTCAATACTATCCTTTCTAATCAGTTTTATAGCAACCTAAAAGATCATGAAGAAATGAGCCTTTTCGCCATACTATAGGGTTGATTCTAGAGATAATAAAGTAGACATTTACTTCTTGTCCTGTCTTGATTTCAATACCGAATTTCACCTTGCCAAATTCGCCTTCGCCTAATGTTTGCAATAACAAATACGGTCCAAAAACGGTCGGTTTTCTACCGGGTGGTAAGCTATAATGATAAAGTTGATAGTAGTATTGCCACCAAGGCTGATGGCTGTGTTGATTCTCGTGGTGATGACTATGACTCGAACTATAACGATGACGCTGTTCTTGTTGTTGTTGTTGTTGTTGTTGTTGCCTTAGGAATGCGTCCTCTTGCAGTTGTTGTTGATCTGCTGCTACTGCTCCTTTTCTATTGGAATACGTCTTTTGCAATAATTCTGTAGGCATTGCAGTTACGGAATAAGCCCTTTGCTGTTGGCTCCGATTTGTCGTACTAGCAGCCGATGCATATGTTTCATATGGGTGATATGGTTGCATAGCAGCAGCAGCAGCAGCAGCATGGCTCGCAGTGGCAGTAGAGGTGGATAGAGTGGAGGTGGGTGCCGGAGTTTGATAATGATGAGGTTCGTCGGCGTAGGCATTGTGATGAAGATGAGCAACAGCGGTCTTGTCGGCGTCTTTAGCGGCGTTCTGAGTGGTGCTGGTTGGCATGCTGCTATTATTGCGATTTTGATTATTATCTGAAACTAGGTCAGGAACAACGACTACTGCTTCGACCGTCGCTGTTATTGATTTTTTGGCGGATCCTTTTTGCTCTTGTGTTTGCTGTTGTTGATTCTGTTCAAGAGGATGGACCAACAAAGTCATCTAAAAATATATGAATTTATATAAATGAAAATAAAAAAAAAAAAAAAGAAAAAGAAGAAAAGGGAAAAACGATTTAAGTTGTGTGTTTTGCAAAAAAAAAAAAAAAAAAAATGTTTATATTGGTCCAACCTTTCAACGTGACAGAAAAAAAAAAAAAAAATAATAATAAGGGGGAGGAGTTTTTTGTAGTGTCTTCATAAAGACATGCACATTCTCTTTTTCCTGCTTGATTTAATGATTTCTTTATGGATAGGAAGCAACAAAAAGACTAACCTATGCCGCCATTATGCCTTTATTTTTTCAGCCAAATATTAAACAACAGAGCGATTGTTATGGAGAAAGACGTTTCGAAAAAAAAGAAAATAAATTAATTTTTGAACACAAACTTGAGTCTGTATCTTGAACTCAATGTTAAAAAAGGTAACTGCTTTAGACCCAAACACGGTTGTCTTTCCATAACGGATAATGTGAAGACGACGGTGTATCATTGTCTTGTTGATCATCTTTTTCTTCTTTTTCACTTTCTTCCACGTCCTCATCACCTGTTTCATCTTGATCGTCATGAAGCAAAGTGCCGTAATCACTGGATGTTGGATGACCGCTGCTATCGTCAATGATGAGTTCCTCGTCATTAGAGTTGGACGGGACAGCGTCTGTTGCATCCTTCCGTCTCTTTACTGCTTTTCTTACAGTGCTATTGGGTTTTGTTTTGGTGGTGGACGTGGATGATGACGACGATGATGCTTTAAAAAAGCAATACCTTAATGGACTCGAAGGCTTTGGAAACTGTTCAATGATTTCCCTCCAGGTTTTCACTCGATGTATATTCTTTGATAACTCAGTAGGCGTGCGTTGATATAATCTTTTGGATGTTGACGTCAGCGTGTTTTTTCGTCGCTTATTGCTACAATTGTGATTCTTATTGAACACATCTTCATGGTTCCAGATGTATTTCCCTTGTTTATCATAAAGTAAAATGTCGATGCCCAGCGTCGAGCATTCCACTGCATGTTCTAGACAATCGTCGATCAAGACGTCCACACCGACTTCCTGACAAATGGCTGATTTAGGCTTGGATACATAGTCTAGCTGTTCTGCATCCGATAATCCCAAATTACAAAAATAGATGCTATCAAAAATGCCTTTCAACCCAAGCAAAACAAACATAGAATAAGTACCATCATCGTCTGCTTAGTTCCACCTATCCGTCAAAAACAAAAAGTTTTTACCTGAATAATGTCGATCGACAAATTTCTTGGTCTTTTCAGCAATAAACTGTTGCCTTGACGTGATAATCACTAGACTAAAATGCCGTTTCTTCAACATCTTGAGTGCTTCAAGAGCGAAATCCCGAACAGGTTGTATTTGATCAAAATAAGGCGAGTCATAGAATTCTCTCAATTTCATACAAGTCTCTTCTCTTGTACCTCCCCAGACCTTCCAATAATCGTAAGTGTGAAAATCAGATACCTTCAGTTTCGTGGAGTAGGTATCGTTATGCCATTGCACAAGACTCTCTAAAGTCTGTGCGAGTGTTTGATCCAGATCAACGCCAATGATCTTTCTGGCTTCTTTAGATGATTGAATATGCATGGTAATAATGATAGCAAAAGAAGAAAAAAAATGCTTTCCCTTTTTTGAATATGTTTAAAAAAAGAGGTATATAGCTATCTATAGAGGATTTTTATGATGTATGGTTTTTCTTGGTGTCAAAATGACTGAAATAAATAGTGATGCTGTTTTCTTTCACAAGGTCGTTGATTGGTCGGGAAAGAAAAAAAAAACCAGGCTTGGTGTCAAGATAATGAAAGAAGATTACAAATAGGATGAATAAATAGCAAGAGTAACTGTTCCCCCTTCTTTGACGTTGGAAAAGGTTTTGAGGAAAATGAAAAAAAGGGAAAAAAAAAGGGAGAAGATTCTGTCTTTGGCAAAGAAGTGCAAAAAAAAAAAAAAAAAAAAAAAAAAAAAATTCAACACCGCCTTAACCTGACTAGGAAGAATTGTCTCAAAGAGCCCATTTCAAGTAAGAAAAAGCTTTTAAGCGGGACATCGGAGGAGTTTTAAATACGTTATCTTTTTTGTCTCCCCTGACAATTTGATAGATTAAAAAGAACATTGCCAGAACAATTGAACTCATCTTCTGGTAGTCATAGTTGGCCCTGTTTTTAGTCATTTTTTTTTTGCTATTCTATTATACTGTCAAATTCTTTAAAGTCTACTTATTTATGGTAGTTTCTGTTTGAATCGTAAAGAAAAAAGTGATGAGCGAGCCCTGACTGGCTGAATTTTCATCTGCATAATCGTCTAATCGAAAGCCAGTTGGACTGATCCGTTCGTCTTGTTGTCATCGGGTTTACCTTTTATTGACCGAAACACAGACTTGGATTCATTTCCATCCATTATAGCCCAGATCAAATAGCTCTTTCTTTGCTCCATGCCATTTTCTATTCCCAGGAGCAGTTGCATATAATGCTCGCTAGTACCAAATGAACATATCGAGCCAAAGCACACCTTTCAAACTCAATCGTAACTCATCATTTCTTTCATTCGTTCATTCGTTTTCTCCAAGCAACATCAATGTCCGCAAACCAAAAAATCATTGTCCTGGTAACCTTATGGCAACCGACAAGGAAAACGGATCACTATGACAACCATACACTCGCCATGGATCGTATTATACTCAACATCTGGACGTACCAATATACAATAACAAAAGAGTATGGTATGTGCACACCATGTGCAAGGTTAGGTAACTCGAAAGGGAGGGAGTGCAAAAGTTCTTTTTATTATTTTCGGTAACCCAAGTCGGCACAACAACAAAAATTTCCAAAGGCTTGTATTTTTTCATCACCATTAGATCAGCTTTGTACGCCTGATCTATTTACCAAAATTGTTTCCAGAAAAATTCCAGATTTGTCAATTGTAGAAACTTACCGAGGAAAAACTCGATGCCTGAATAAAAAGCGTGGCTAATCAACGAAATTCCCGATTCCCTTGGTCATTTGGTTTAACTCTACGTTGCGCTGCCTATCGAAGTAACTCAACAGAAATGACGAATCGTTCAAAAAACAAAAAGCAAAATCAGTGTACTATTTAAATGTCGGGTTAAAGTGGTTCATATACCAAAGAAAAGGCTGTATTGCACCTACAGATGCTTTGAGAAGTAGTCAAGTCTAATTCTAGAGAAACTCGCACTTGAACCATTCTCCTCTCCCATCCCATAAGCAATACATAGTACTATATGTTACGAACCGCAACGATTGCCAGACAGTGGGGGCAACAAAAACTGAAGAAAAGCAAGGCCTTTGACTGCTATCGTCTGGTGCCAAGACGTGTCATTGGTTATTTATTCCGTTACAGTCCTGTCTCTATTACGGACTCGTACGCTTGAGATTGAACCCTTTCTCCCTTTTTACACGCACAATTTACGCATTTTTCCATTATCTATAGCAGTTGTTTGTTTGTATCCGTGATGGACACTCACAAAATAGGCAAGAAAAAAAAATTATGTCACGCATAACCAAAAGCCACTTTGTGTAAAGGAGCCGCTGCTTTTAATAGTTACTCTATAACCCTTCTTGGTCCTTATTAACTTTTTTTAAAATTGCAACAAAGTATTTATGTTTATTATAGACGTATGAGGCACAATATAAGAACAAGACGAGAACAAGACGAGAACAAGACGAGAACAAGTATAGAATGAAGAAAGAAGAATAGTAAGACTTGTTTGTTCTTGGAAAGTTTAAATGAACGCTGAACTATTTCTATGCATGCCAAAAGTTAAAAAAAGACATGTATGCAAATGACCCATTCGTCAATACCACTTTATAGACTCTGTATCGTAGCCGAAAATGACGGCTAATATTATATCCTCAATAGAAATATTTGCTTCTTCAAAGCGTCAAAGAAGAACATGCAACAACTTTTAACCTTGTCTAATGTCAATGCAGCAAAGAGGGGCGATAACTACCTAAACTCCAATTTCGCGCAAAAGGAAAAAGGAGAAAATGAGCTTCAGACATTGCGCTGAAGCGATACCTTCTGTCATCTAAATCTATATTGGGTCTTGCGTCTAGCATAACTTTTGTACTACAAGTTTAAGCACAGCGGTTTGAGATAGAAAGGGCTAATTCACCATAAAGATACTGTAAGCGAACGAAAGCAGGAGTGTGTGAGTAGTGCATTATCAGTCCATTTAAATAATTGTATTTTGATTGAAAACAACACTAATCTACACAAGATTTAAGCTTGTACGCAACAGTAAGATCACATTGAACAAATATTAGCAGAACTAATGGCCTCATTTGCTCCTAGGTCTATACCATTTTGATTGAGCAGTGCTTTCTTCTGTTCCTTATTATCAGATGAAAGAAGAGAGAAGCACCCATTCTTTGTTTTATTACTCCCTGACAATTTGTTGACAATACATACATCTTTTTGTTGGAAAGGGCCAACTGTTTCTTCTTATGTGGTGTTGAGGAGTTACAACAGTAGCAGATAGACGCCTTCTATTCCGCAATACAGTCCAGAGGGGAGGGAGGGCGAGAACAGAAACGGTTGAAGTTCTTCCTTCCTTTATTCAAAAATTAGAGTGATGTCTCAACAATCTTTGAGAGCGGGCGTATGTAGGAGATGAATTGCTTATCTTTCAACTTTTTGATATCCACCATGCAGGGTATGGCAGTAACTGCGGACTACTCATAAAGTCTTACAGTATCATAGGCTACAACACTTTTAAGCGATCATATCAAAAGCTCTAATTCACCTTCACTGTTAAGAAAAGGAACAAGGAGACTTACTAATGTCCATCCTTCAGTATATTCATTCATTATTTCCTATTTTTTATACAAGCTGCAATCATCAATAAGCATCCACCTCAGTAGAAGTCCAGCTGGAGGCTCGCACATCCCATTGAGAATGAACATTGATTACGAAACAGAAAGAATATAAAAAAAAGCTGGGAACAATGGTTCAGTTATGACATAGAGTCAGACGTTGTTGAAAGTAAATTTTACTCTTGCGGATAAATATCATATTAACTGCAAATACGAGGAAAGTACTGCCATAGGAACAAACTATCTCGCTTCTAGGTTTGAATCAGTGACTTAGGAAGTGATTATCTACGAAGTATCTGCTACAAGTTCTTTCTTTTTTAATTTTTTATGGTTATGATGATGTGTTGGAATAAAGTTAATGTATGAAGAACGAATCTAGAATTATAAGTGCACCAACGCACGATGGATTTAGAAGGTCCTTATCTGTGAACGAGCCCAAGTTTGGTCTGGGCATCGATAAAGTACAAATTATCACATGTTGCTCATTCCCATAGACTGGCAAACGACAGTTAGGAAGCTCCTTCAAGCTGGCTAAAGAGGTGAACATTGACTATACTGGAAGATATTTCAGCCTGTATCATTCAAAGGAAAGAAAATAATGTTGAAAGGATGGAGGGACGCTTTCAGAAACTCTTTAGCCAATGTATGGGTGTGCAGAAACTATTTTGTCTCTTTGGGTTCCATAGCAAAGAAAATTGAACATCAGCCAAAAAAGTGAAGGCGCACAAAAAGCTTAAATGGCCAACATTATAAACATCAAGAGCCAATGCATTTATCCACATGCACTTACAAAAATAGAAACGTTAACAAATAGTGAATTATAAATTTTTCAAGTAATCGCTCTTGTCAATGATAGCTAGTTTCCCTTACATTTGGAAATATATCTGCCTTTTGAATGTTGAGCTACAGGACGCGTTTTTATAGTAAGCTTACTTTTACGTCTGATTTTGTGGTACTCTCTCTTCTTTTGATCGGACCAGCATGTTTGTGTTAAAGAGGTTCCGTATCTGGTACCCGAGTGGCGATCCAATTGAATCGTTTTAATTATTTCTTTCTGATGTAACATGCATACCCTTTCAACTTTCATGGGCCCCAGGGTCGCAATTTTTTGTACAAGCTTTCAAAAACATTTGACAGTAAGGTCACTGTTTACCTAAGCAGTTTTGTGCAAGGGAAAAAAAAAAAAAAAAAGAAAAGAAAAAATACAGAATCACGCATCATTGCCTCATTCATGTCGAGCAGAACGGAAACATGTACCATTTGTTGGATGATACCTTTTGATTTTCAAAGATCCATGCTTGTTCATAGGACTGATGATCATCATCCCCCTCCGTCTGAGACAGCTATCTGCAGGATAGCAAAAAGTACAGTTCAAAATTCAAAGCCTGGTTTTGCACATCTGAGGTTTGTACCACTGAGCATGATTTTTATAAATGTAGCTGTAAGAAAGCAAAAAAAAAAAAAAAAAAAAAAAAAAAAAAAAAAAAAAAAAAAGCCCGAAAAATAAACAAAACAATAGTTACAAGTAAGAATCAGGAGCATATGATGTTTAATCCAAGTTTATTCGTTGTCAGCTATATTCCGCTTGAGTGTTGTCTCGAGTTTTCTTTTCATTTGCCTGTCTTTCTTTACTTTTTGACAAGCTGCTTCTACTATGAGGCGTACTCCCGTGCAAAGGTGGCGGTAGAAAAGTAACAAAGGAGGCTTTCAGTTCCTTGCAGATCATTGACAATAAGCCCGGCCAATAGTATTCGATTCTTGAAAGAAAAAAGAAAATCACAAGGAGATTCAGGCTGTAAAATAGTTGCCTAGCACAATCGTTACACTGACACCTGTAAAATTATGCACCAGATCAAAAGTGGCGGTAGCTCTAATCAAGCAAAATGTAATAGATAGAAGCAATGTCTCTTTGAGCAAGTTAAAAGAATGGAAGCAAAGAGACGGCTTTTCAGTCTATGCACAATCACGCACGCCATGCATTCTGTATTTGTTCATCGATTTCTCTTTAATAAAGGAAACTCTTTTTGTTTATGTCGCTCCCTCCTATTTTCTCTCTCTCTCTCTCTCTCTCTCTCTTTCTTTTTGTACGATGTCTGACCATGACACTTTATACAAATTCTGAAAAAAGAAGGTAGTATTGCGCCTGTTTCGTAATTGAATAGATAACATTCTTGTACAATGTCCATTTCACAAGTATGTCATACAATCTATCGCGACATCTAGACCAGACTGGATAGAGTAGAGAAATGTTGATATAATCGTGATATCAGTAGCAGTATAAAATAGGGCCTCTTTCTCTTGTCAGTTGTTCTACTGTCACTCTGTCACTAAGAGTGATGTACGCACTTTGCATTTGACTTTTTTCAACGTTTGTGTTCTTTTTACTTTGCTTTCTTATTGATTTCCATGTCAAATCTGTCAAAATGTCTTCAGTGTCTTTTTGCACCCGTTCCCCGCCCTAATTCTTTCGACTCCCTTCTTTTTGAATTAGAGTTTTTAATTGAGGACTCTTGTTCTTGATCGAATTCGGAAGCCTTTTCGTGCTCTTATCTCGTCTCTCCAAGGAATGAGAAAAGATAAAAAATAAATCGCTCATTACACAAAAGTTGACTTTTCAACATGCTATCTCACAGTTTCCAACCTTGTCTTGAGTGGTACAGAAGACGTTAAAACCAAGAGAAAGAAAGAAAAAAAAAAGAGACCCTTCAAAACTTGCCTGTCAAAAAAGAAAAAGGCTTTTTTGACAAGTTGTGCTAAAAACATTTGAATAGAACACTATGTCAAAAGAAAGAAAGAGAAAGATAGAAAGAGATATCTAACTATCTATCTCTTGATATGAGAAAAGCTTTTGTTCATTCTTTGACTTTCACAAGCATGAGCAAAAAGTACTCTCTAATCACTTTATTATTATGATTACGATTTTTTTTTTTTCTGTGTACCTTCAATTAGAGCTAAGTGCTTTTTTTCTTTTCTTTGCCGATCAAAACGAGAGATAGAGACGTTTCTCAGTATAATTGTCATGCATGTTCCTTTGAAAAATTTTTGTATAAATACTTGTCATTTCTTACGATTTTATCAAATTTTCTTTCTCTTTCCTCAATTCACTTGTTTACATTTTACATCTACTCAAGTCAATTTTAATAAGAAAAAAATCACATCTGTTCTTAGCGCCTATCAAAATCCAAAAAAAAGTCAAAGCTCTTTCTACCAATAATCCTACTTTTGTTATAAAAATGTTCATGCCATCCAAGACTTCCGCCATCCGATCCACTCAACACCATCCTTCCCGCTCCGGAAGACAGGTAATTTGACATACATGACAGAATTTTGTGTGTGATATAGTTAACTAATAACCTGCAAACTTGTTGAATGTTTCATAGTTCCATCCATTCAAAATCCGTTCATTCAACCATCAAAAGGAACTGTCTTTGTTCAATAACCATGGCCCCAATGGTTGTCCCATTTTACCACCTTTGACATTGCTTTCTCGCCCCTCCACCCACTACCACCGCCATCATCATCATCATCATCATCATCATCATCAACAACATCATCACCGCCACCATTATCACCATCAAGATGCGATGGACATTGACTCTGTATCAACAGACGTCATGTCCATCACTGCTGTCTGCTGCTCTCCTCCTTCCATTCTTTCCGCTCCCTCCTCACCTTCTCCTCCCGTTCCATCTTCACCACCCGCCACCCATAGATGGAAGCGTCACCCCATCACCATCATCGACCTCAAAAAGTATCGACGCAATACTTGTCATAAAAATAACTTTCAACAACTCCTTGCAGCAGCAGCAGCAGCAGTAGCATCATCATCACCGCCACCTTTGTCACCACCTCCTCCATCGCCATCATCGTCTTCCTCTCGTTCTCCTTCTCCTTCTCCTTCTTCCGCACCAGCACCAGCACCATCACCATCACCATCACCATTACGAAAAAAGCCGCCACAACAAAAAATAAAAAATAAAAACAAAAAAAATAGAATAACAAAAACTTCCGCCTCGTCTTCCTCCTCCACCACCACCTTCAGCACCGTCAACAATACCACCGGCAAGAAGCGTAGAGAAAATCTACCCAAACCAGCAATAGCCATCCTTATGGGATGGCTTAAACAACACCGCCACCACCCATACCCAACAGAACGACAGAAGCAAGACCTGCAAAGCGAGACCCAGTTGGGATTAGGCCAGATCAGCAACTGGTTCATCAATGCTCGGCGACGTGTTCTACACAAGCTTGATGAACCAGTTGCTTCTGGTTTGGGTCTCGCTAGCCCTACCACTCCTCGTCCTTCCGCCTCTTCCTCCTCCACCTCTGCTCTCGTTTCTTCTTTGTCCTCTGCTTCTGTCGTCTCTGCTCCTCCTCCTTCCGCTCTTCCCTCCTCCTCCTCCTCCTCATCCTCATCCGCCGATTTTCTCTACGCTTCTGCCGTTTCCGCTTCTTCTTCTTCCTCCTCCTCCTCTTCCATTCCTTGTGCTTGTGCTTCTGCTTCTTCTCCTTCCGTTCCTTCCGCTTCTGTGTCCGCTTCTCTCTCTGTCTCTGCTTCTGCTTCTTCTGCCTCTTCCGTTCCTTCTCCTTCCCCTTCCGCTCCTTTGTCTTCTGCTGTGGTCGCCACAAAGAAGGCAAAAAAGACCGTCCGGCTGGCCGATACCCACACCAAGAGAATCACTCGATCGGTCAGCCGACGTGTTCATCGATAATCCGCTCGTTTCTTTTTTTTTCCCCTTTTCCTTTGCTGCTCCTTCCGTTCCTTTTCTTGAAATTTGATTTTGTTCAAAATCAAATTGTTATAAATCAATAAAAATATATCATTCTTCAATAGCGTCTTTTTCTTTATGTCAAGCTTGTGCATTCCATTGTTTGCTTTTCTCTTTTTTCTTTTTTGAGATTTCAAACATAGCACATGCTTATGATCCATTTTTTTTTTTTTTTTTTTTTTTTTTTTGACCGACATGACAAGATGCCTCGTCTTTGATATACAAGTCAAGGATCTACTGTAATAAGAATGAACGTTGCATGGTAAAGAAAAGGATTTGCAAAACTATTTTTACTGCCTTTAGGAAAAAAGAAAATTTTTTTTTCAAGTACACATTTTCACAAGAGGAAACTCTAACGATAGAGGATGAAAGCCAAGCTCCATTTCTCATTAGCATGATATACTTTTCAACCACTGTCCTCATGCTCAGGATAAGAGCGTGTCAGCAAAGAAAGAAAGCACGCCATTGACTACTCATACAGACCATCCTACTACCAAAGCATGTTTTTTTCTTTTTTCTGTAGTCTTATTTAAAAAAATCAGCTTTTTGGCTCTTGTACACTTTTGCCTCAGTCCAGTAACGACGTTTCTACTCATTTATCAAATGTCAACTAGATAGAGCGACTCATTGCGATCGACTGCTCGTATTTGCCCATGGAAATGATCAAAGCAGACACTTGACATGGCTGGGATCAAAACCTCATTATAGCTTACTTGAAAGCAACAAGGGGAAATCGATTCTTTTTTGCAAAGAGAACAAAACATGTTCATTCTTTGTCAGTTTTGTGTACGTGGCGTCTCTTTATAAACAATGTCTTTAAGGATCACATAGATATCTTGCCATTCAAGGCTTGTCGAGGAAATAGTTTCACCCTCCTTTTGCTGCCTTTTTTTTTTCCCTTTTTTTTTATTTTTTGATCTTGTACAACAGCTTCTCCATGTCCATCCTATTTTTGGAAAAACGACCTTTTTTTTAACGGAGATTAGAATAGGGATTTCCTCTCAAGTGTGGGGGTGGCGGTGAATCCAGGAACAAAACCAAATATTTTTATTTTTTTCATTCATTTCATATTTTTCATAAATGGGCGGTGCAAGACGGAAGACGATCCCTGTTTTTCAGTCAGATAAAGTAGGGTTTTAATGGATGAAAAATAAACAATCCATGTTTGGATGACTTGTTTAGCAAACGAAGGAAAAGAGTTGGGTCGTCTCATTTCAACATAGGAGTTGTCTATAGCTCTTCTCTCGAAAACCACCATCACGTCCCTTAAGCAGACCCAACCATGGATTCCGACAGAAAGCAATCACAAAATAAAAAAGTCAAGCAGAAAAAAGAGAGATTTCTGCCAAACGGATGCAGAAAATGATTTCTTTTTTTTTTTTTTTTTTTTTTTTTTTTTTTTTTTTTACCGCACAGGGATCGGATTTCTCCCAGGTAGAAGGTTTAGGCACGGTATGGATTGGGAAAAAAAACCAAAAAAAAGAAGGGTGTTGGTTTTTCATTTCATCAGGGACCCTTGGATGACAATCTAATCCAATGGTGGTTGTCATGGCAGTATAATCGGGCATCAACGTATCGTGCAAAGGGAATTGAAGCCTATTGAGACAGAAAATACGTCATAAAACCCGTTGGCATGGATACGCTGATGGGGTGGGATCAAGCTGGGTTTTTATTTTAAAAAGAGAGAGAGAGAGCTTGAGTTTAAGGGGGGGAAGGGGAAAAACGGTTGACAGTGTGTTGACATTTCTGATACACGTCTGTACTTGAAAATAAAAACCTTAAAAAAACATACACATCATGACAGTTCTCTGTCATTGGTACTATAACGATCGAAACAGTAGCATTGCAGAATACTCTTGGTCTCTTGCTTAACCAAGCGACCTCAAAGACGGTCAGCAGAATAAAATGTTGACATAGAAAGCGTCTATGCTTTCGGGATTTGAATATAGGACAGGAGAAGAGCCAAATCCACTCGCTTTTTGGGATAGAGGTGGAACGCGTCGTGTGTTATTTCCGTACGGAACCGGGTCTCTCTCTCTCTCTCACTCTCTCTATGCAGAAAAAGTTTCAAAGATTAACAAAAGCTATTTATCTCTCGTTTTTTCTTCAAAAAAGGCATCCATTGCCGTTTAAACGGACCAGGACAAATAAACGCATGTTGACAGAGTGTCGATCAAGCCAATAATACAGTTTTTCCTTAATAATAGACATTGTACAGCAGGTATTCTTTTAGAACGTGCACCCCCAATTGTTGTCTTGGAGTATGACTAATGGATTATGAGAGAAAAAAAAAGAGGGGGGAGAAGGGGGGGACAAGGGCTTTTATTTTTTGAAACAATGGTGTGGTTTTTTGTTTTTATGCAGTTGCACTACATTTTTGCGTATTGTAAAAAGACAAAAGGGGGGGATACAGAAATCCACTAGAGCGATGTAAAACACTAGGTTTTGATGTTTAGTATAGATATGTATATATTTATAAATGTATACATCTGATAAATATTTGGACAAAACATAAAAATATTTAGACAGAATGTCATTCCGACTACTTTATCTGACAGATAAAAGCTGTTTCTTAAAAAAACGCATGACGGAAATAAAGAACAAGGGTTATATTTTGACAGGTCCTAAACCTTGATTTCCGCTTGATGAAACTGTTGAGCATGCGTTTTTTTTTTTTTCCCCTTTCTACTTTATGGCGAGCCAAAGTAAAGATGTTAAAAATCCTTAGAAAAGAGTGTTTGTTGATAATACGGCCCATACGTTCAGTAACAAATCACAGTAAACAACGGTGAAATATGGGAGTCTTCCTTTTTTTTTTTTTTTTTTTTTAAATGAAAAATCATTTTTCAAGTATGAACAGACGGGAAAATATACGGAATGGAAAACATGGGCTGAAAAAAATGTAAAAAGCCTATCTTTGTTACTGATTTTTTTTCAGGTTTAGGTTTGGCTTTTTTTTTGTTGATTGTGCGTGTGGATTGATAGATAGTTAATTTTGTATCTATCAAGGATGCTCTTTTTGGACAAAAACAGTAAGCGCCGCACTAATATGTGCTTACTAAAGAAACTTGAAAGAGTAGACATCTTTTTAACAATGAATCATATCCTAGTAAAAGAGTGGTTTATCTGCTGGATGGCATTTGTGAAATTTCATTCTTTCAGAGTTTGGTCCCGTTGGTATTTCGCATGCAAAAGAAAAAACAAAGTTAGAATTTCAAAAGAACCTTTTGTTACAATTTACATGAATTCTAATTGTAATTTCTCCAAATTACAGAAAAATTAAAAAAAAAAGGTCCTTTGAAAGAACGGGGTCAAATGATTTTTCTGTTACAGACCCAAATAGAGTAAAGAAGCCCTATGCAAACTTTCATGTTGTTTTTGACGCCATTTCAAAAAAGAAATTTTAAAATACCACACTAGATAAAAAAAAAAAAAAAAAAAAAAAGAAAATTTCTACGAAAGTAAGCAGTCATTGGGTGAAAAAAGACATTGGCTGCCCTTTCGTTACCCGTTATTATTTTATTGATAGCAAATAGAATTGTAACGATAACAAAGTGTAACGAATAGAGTTGTTGCAAGCGAATTCTATCTAAAGTAAATCTTTTATGGGGTGGTTCAGATTGTACTACATAAAGGATAGCAAAGGGAAAAAAAAAAAAGGTCCAGACAGAAGATAAACCAGATCTGAACGGAGTTTATTTTAAAGAAAACCGCTGAACCTTATCTTTTTTTCTGTTCTTGCAAAAAAAAAAAAACGCCCTTCACGAAATAGTATATAAAGGAGGTGTTCCTCTCAGGTTCAAAACTGGATTTTTTTTTTTTTTTTTGGCTTACTTTTCTTTCTTTATAAGTACTTTTACTTTTCCATCTTCTTTTGAACCTTTATACCATCTTCTTTTTTGTTTTTATTTGAATACCAGGTTTCTTTGTTTTTCTTTTGTTTTTTTTTTTCCTTTCTCCCTCTTTGTATATACGTGTGTCTTTTGAAAAATGACGTCTACTCTAAGTTCATTGCATTTCTATAATCCATTGCATTCACAGCAACAGCCATCTCAGCATACCTACAAAAGAAGAGTTCAATTGAAGCGTTCTGCATATCAAATCAATGATCCTATTGTACAACAGCAAAAGTTCAAACTGCAATTAGATGTCTACCAAAAGAAAAAGAAGAGTGTACGTTTCCCCGACCAGGAAGAGCAGCTCCAAAAAGTCCGTTATTTCTACAAAACACACGCGCCCACATCCGTACAACAAGATCCACCTGTCATGGAGACGTCGGTGGATGATTACATCTTGACACAGCCCAACTGGTCTGCTGCCAAGACAAAGAGTCAGTTGTTCTTTGATCAGCACAACGTCAAGATCCGTTTGGAATCTGTCAATTTGACAGAAGGCGATCCTTCATTGATGGCCAAGAATCAGTTTTTATTGGAAGGACGTTGTAGAGCTCTCAACCTTTCCTTCCACAAGCTGGTCACTATCCGTTATACATTTGATCTCTGGCGTACTTTTCAAGAAGTCACCGGCACTTTCCGTGAATCCATCCCCAGCACATCCAACACGTGGGATCGCTTTGAATTCTCGATTCCCATTGAAGCAAAAAAGACAACATCACAGACGTTCTATTTGGCGCTCAGATATACTGTCAATGGACAGGAGTTCTGGGACAACAATAATGGATTAAACTACGAGATTGTGATCAGCCCTGATAAGGAAAAGATGGCTCAATACCAACCCTCTACGGAAACAGCAGAGGTTGAAAAGATGATGAAGCGATTAACAATGACTGAACAAGAAGAAGCCAAGGTGGAAGAAAGAATCCATCAGCAACAGCAACAACAACAACAACATACCAGCAACTCTTTCATGAATTACCAGCAAAAGATCAAAGATACCAAGGTGCTCGGCAAACGTTACGATTTCACTGCCTCTCTCACAGCGGCTACACGTAACAGTAAATCTTCCTTCCTCTCACCACCCCCCTCACCACCTGAAACACCCGACGACGATGATGCCATGTTCAACTACTATACCCCACCTCCTATCTACTTTGCTGCTAACAATGGTCAAATCATTTCATCTGTCAAGAATAATACCAAGAAAGAAGAGGTGACAGCCCCTAAATTACGCAAATCCATGATACCATCTCCTACCGAACCTATTCCTATCTCATCATCACCCTCCGTCAAGGCCGCGGCTTCCCTATCATCTTCTCCTATGGCTCCTATCTCCATGGAAGGTTGTTACCAAATGAGTTATTCTGACTTTGTCAACAAATATTGTTTCTACAATTCTCATTCAAGTCCTATTTACAGTACATTATCAAGCTCTCCTTCAGCTGTTTATTCTTAAGATAAGTTTGCTTTTTTGGTTTATTTTTTTTTCCCCTTTGTTCCCTTATCAAAACATACCATTTTTCCGTACTTTTGTATTCTGTATATATTATATATATAAAATATAGTTTTCTTTAATATTCCCCTATTTCCTTTTGCATGTTTAATATCTTTTATCTTTCTCTTTTTTCAAACCAAAAAAAAAAAATTACCCTTGCAAAAAAAAAAAAAAAACCAAAAAAAAAAAAAAAAAAGAATTTTGACTGAAGGAAAATCGCTTTTTCTTCTTTTCACCAGCATATCATTTTTTTTTTTCTACCTTTTTTATTATCATTATAATAAACAGTCTGTATTTTCTGTAGCATATCAAAGCAAAAATTCTTTTTGTTGACTTGAAGAATGTGAGCATAGAGTCTCTGCAGTTTTGTCATCTTTGGATTTTTATGCGTAAAACAAATGTCTTTCTTTTTTTTCCATTTTATCGGTTCAGTGTTCCGTGTCAGATCCGAACACTCCAACACATGATGCGCAGTGTTCATCCACCGTAGAAAAAAGATCAATGACCACAAGACGTCTTCAAAGGGACAGTCCAGTAGATTTTAGACGAAACGTCTCTTAACAGGATACACGTCTGTCTACCATGCTGTTTTCTTTTTTTTTTTTTTTTTTCTAAGGCTCTATTGCATGAGGAAACAAACTCTGGAGCAGGTACCATATTTGGGAATTGCCCTGCGTTTTAAATTTCTGTTTTTTCTTTACCCCTCTCCGTCTCCATCTACTCGCGCTTTTTTTATGCAGCTTTTTTTTATTTTTTTTTAAAAGGCGTCTATAAATAGCAGTAATGGTTTCTTTTCAAAGTCAGCATCACTGGTTCCTGTGTAGGATAAAGTAGAGGAAAATAGAACAATGTATTTGTATCTGAATTAAATCGCTCTACATAAAGCAACTATCGATTGACTTGTTGCAATCAAAACGTCTAGTGTAGGTTGATGTGTATGGGTTGGCCTTTTCTTTTTTTTTTTTTTTTTTCTTTTTTTGACTCAGTGACAAAAAAAGTTTATGCTTCTTTATCATCGTTGCAAAACTCTCCCACACACATGTATATAAATATATTTGTATGTGTCTATAGACCACATAAAACAGGATTGTTTTTTTTTTATTTTAAAATATAAACATACATGCATATCAACTCACTTATAGAATCATTACAAAGTAAAACGACCATTTTACATTGCGTGTGACCTACTTTTTTCCATCTCGCATGCTTATTATCAAAAGAAGTCCCTTGGACAAAGTAAATAACTACCTCCAAAGCCATTCTCCCTTTATGTACTTATTGTATCACAATTCTCAACTATCGAAAAACGCCATGGCCCGCCGTCACCGCCAATGAGACCGTGTTTGCTTTCATAGAAAAGGCAATCAAGCGTAACAGAAGATTTGAAATTGGAAACAAAAAAAAAAGGTTAATTGCACGGTAAGACCACCCATAACTCTATCAAAAACAAATCTACTACCAGTTGTAGTCGTAGTAAGTCGTAGTAGATGGTATTTGATAAGGGAACCTTCTAGCCCTTCTCCGTTTCTCATGTTGGCAAAAAAAAGGTATCGTTTCTTTTTGAAGCCTTTTTTTTTTTTTTTTTTTTTTTTTTTTACAAGTTGCCTGATTCTATTTATCACTGAGGGTTTCATTTGTAATCCAAATATACCTTTAGGAACACAAAACAATTCTTATTTTTTTTTTTTTCTCGCAAACCAAACAGGTTGGCCATTCTACATTTACTTTATACTATGATCTTTTATGTGAGCAAAAACATGTTCAGTTTCAATTTATGTATGAAATAATAAACAAACAAAAACAAAACAGTACTTGTAAATAATCTCGCATCATTCATACTACATGCACTGCAAGCTTAATCAAAATAATGATACTCTGCAGATAGGTAGAGAGAGCACAAACAGTATGCAAAAGGCTAATTTTGTGGGGTTATTTGCCCAACTTTCCCATACTCAACAAGAACAATAATAACAAGTACATTTTACTCATGAGAATATCTTTTTTGCAATGGTAACCAAAAAACAAAAAAAAAAAAAAAAAAAAAAGGCTAATTTCTTAAAGTAAAAAAAAAATAGGCATAGAATCATATCCTATTCAAACAAAAGAACCAAAAAGTATTGGTGATTATGTTTGTATTTGTATTTACGTCTGAGCCCTTGTTTTTCTTTCCAATTTAATCCTAAAAATCTGTTTCTACGTATTATCCAACCATCTAATTTCATGATTTGTACAATTCTGATTTAGTGTTCATCTCTTCGTTCTTTTTATCTCAGTATCAAAAAAGAAGATAGATAGCTATCCATGGCCTTTCCATACTAAAAAAGATATATTGCCTAGAACGTGAGGTTTTTTTTTTTTTTTCTTTTTTGTGTGTTTTTAGCTCGCACACCTCCCCCTTTTTTTGTATGACTTGCTTCTTTTCTTGAGTTACCCTATACAAAGCCGAAAAAGTAAAAAAAGGTGGTTTAAGCGCACCAAAATTGTATTCTTTCAATACAGAGAGATGGATCACTTGATCATAACAAGTGGTAATGAATTTACTTTTCTTAGTTATCCAAGCGGGAGCGCGCAAGAGAATATCCCATTGCAGAGAGATCGAATCTGATCGTTGGTTTTCTCCATTGCAACATAACATCATTTCCTATGAAAATTCGTCTTTTTACCTATCACCAACATTAAGAAAAAAAGAAACTCAGTTCCTATCTCGCTCGCTCGCTTTATCTTCTCTCGCTCAATGCATGTTGTCCTCTCTTCTTTATCAGCTTATCAACAGTATACATATCAGGCATTCATTGAGAACGGGGACTAAAACCGAAAAGGGGGAAAAGCTGATTCGTTCATGCTAATAATCTGGGGAAAAAGGCGGTAAACCTTGGTTTTTTTTTGGTTCTTTTTTTTTTTTTGTTGACAATATCTCCGGTTTCAAAGGATATGAAAAAGGACCTACTACTGTTACAGTGTAACAAAAATGGTTAACTCGATACACAAAAAGGGAGAGAATCTAGGAGAAAGATAAGCCAAAAACTGTAAATCGAAAAAAACGGAATCCACTTTTGTGCAGGCCTATCCTCATTGAAATGGCCAAAAGAACGGATGCACTCATATCACAGTCACTTGATTTAGCAACGTTTATTCCTCAAAAAGCCGCTACAGGTAGCGCGTACGGCGTTGATGAAGCGATCTACACGAAAAAAATACGTTCAGTAATAGCGCCGGTTTTTATGAAACGGTTCCGCAGTGTAACTCTTTTTTTTTTTGTTTAAAAATAAAAAAGGCCATGAACATCTTGGAATTGAATTGCTTTATTTAGACAAAGAAAAAGAAGTGATATGGAGAAGGAAATGGTGATAAAAAACACACTAACCATAATTAACAAAAAAGAAGAGATAATCTCACTCGCAATGCATTCTATTCGATTTCCTTACATAATAACTCAAAGGGATCTCTTTACATGTGGTACATAAAAAAGGCGGCAACTAAAAGCGGGTAATGATAACAGGTAGCACAAGTAACCGCCGTTTTGGTGCAAGAAACGAAGGAAATTCTTAAATCGATAGATCAATTCAAAAGAGAATTTTCATTATGATTCTTGGTGACACAAGGCAGGAATTTATCCTTGTACCAGAACTTGCTCGTTTTATTCCTTTGTAGGTTTGAAATTTCTGCCGTATTTCAAACAGAATTTGCAAAACTTTTGTGTACCGTCTCAAAATCATACACTGTGAATGTCATCCTACAATACACCCCCACCCTTACGTCAGAGGAGGGGGCTGCTCACTCACTCCTGAAATTATCCAAAGAAAATGCAACCCATCCATCCTCCCTCACCTCCAGAAAATGGTCTCAAAGTGCATGGCCTTCGTCAACATGTTTTATTATGTCAAGAAATAAATGACCAATAGCGATTCAAAGGGGATAATTGTTCTTGCTCTGTGAAAAGTATCTTGTTGGAATAGACAAATCGAGGCTCCACCTCATCTCGGCTATAAAAAAATCGTCTTCCATTCATGGCTGGCTTCCATCCATAAAGAGGCTCGTCATCACATCGTCGATGGGTACAACCCACCTCGAGAACCTTAATGTGAGCATTCGTACTGTGGATCATCTCTAATAGCGGTGGAACGAGCCGGAAGTCTCTCTTGAAGGCGATTTGTGCCAAATTGAGATAAAAAAGATGGGGTAGGCCTGCTATGAACGCCCTCAAGCCGTCTTGGCTGATATGCCGACAATAGGCAAGCGATACATACTTTACATGCTGAAGCAAGTCGGATGGCTGTTTCATCCATCGCTCCAACACGGTATCCGTGAGGCCATCATGGCCCCCCATGTCCAGCGACTTTATCTTTCTCCCCACCGATCGGACGATGCGTCCAAGGCAGTCAGCACAAAATCGAGTACTGCCAATACCATTCATGCTCATATCCATGTTGAGTTCCACCAGGTCGTGGCTGTTTTCAATGAAATCGATAAAAGGAGAGCAGCAGCTTAATACGTGGCATCCTTTGACGCTCAGATGCGTCAGCTGGGTCACCTTCCGCAGACTTGAAAAAAGACGACCTGTCACCCGCGTATAGGCCATGTCAAGTTTACGTAACCTCTGGCAGTGTTCGGATGCAGCGAATGTGTCGAAAAAAGGAATAAAAAAGTTTTCTTGCGACAGCGCGACGCACATGTAAAAGGAGATGGACTCGAGCTTGGCTGGGATCAGCCAGTCGTCGTGCACAACAGTGGTTGCTTCCTTCAAGCCTACGTCTTTGCCACCCTCTTCATCCTCCCCCAAGAGCTCGCTTTTGGCTGCATCTTGCGTGGAGGAGGCCCATCCAGCCCGTGCCCGTGGTCGGGTCGACCTGTCCATCCGTACTTTAAGAAATCGCTCCAGACCAGGAATCATGCTCCTATCACCAATGTCTATAAATTCAATCGTCGTGAGCCTTGTTTCATGATGGAATATCGGCTGCCTGAGACTGGAGTTGGCATAAGCGCGCAACGTCTGTTCTCCTATAGACAGTTCCTCTAAATAGTAGCAATTTCGAAGGATCTCCGTCAGCTCTTCGGCGACGATCACCTTATCGGCTTCCCTCTTTGTCAAACGCGCGCCTCGAGTCGTCAAACTCGATAGATCCAATCGTCGTGTGTAACATCGATTGTTGTGGTTGGCTTTGAGCGATCCTCCGAATGCATAATATTGATTCAGTGTGTTCAACATGACGTTTCTATACAAAAGTCGTATGGTACCGTTGTAGAACCATCGATTGACTCGACAAAGCGAAGCTCTATCTTTGCTCGATGGACAATGCTGTGCTATCAATTCCACCAACTCTAACGAAAGGTCTCTCATCCTTCTCTCGCTGATTTGGAGAATACAAAAAAAAAAAAAAAAAAAAAAAAAAAAAAGTAGAAAAGAAACGAATCATGCTTTGAAGCTCAAACTTCTCACGATAAGAATTACTCTCTGCACGTCCATCTGATTGGCTAACTGCATCAGAGATCATGCTACAGTAATAAATATAGCACAGACCGTGAAAGAAAACACACATCATCTGTTCTATCAGAGGATATAGAAACTACCCACCAGCCAAAAAAAGAGCACAAGACGAGCAGTACGCAGTAAACGCATCATTTTGTATGTTCTTTCATGTTCAATCTTTGCAGATCAAACAATAGCAGTCTGTCTTGGAATAGAGGTGAGCGGTTTCACATTTTGAAAAAAAAAAATGCACATTTACACTTTTTGAAAATGTATAACTGAATGGTATGAGAGGCTGGTTCCAATAAGTTTGGGAAAAAACCCTCAATAAGAATGAGATAAATAACCTTTAAAAGATTGGGAACAGTAGAGTATTTTCATACCTTCATCCGCTACTGCCCAACTTTCTTTTGGATTTGCTCCACAACAACTTTTTCGATGTCCGACATGCCCGCTCTTGTGCAAACAATGAAAAAATCCTATTGAAAAAAGCAGGTAGGAAAGAGCATACAGCACTTAACCAAGGCTTTGTTATTTTTCCTAGAGTGCACATTGCTAACTGTATCATAAATTCTACACTCGTGTCCTCCTGTAAAATCGAAAAAAAAACCAGCAGTGCAAATGCATGACACACACACTTTGATCTGAGTAGCTCATGAAGCTGTATTTTGTTTTTTAACTTTTTGATGACATTTAAAAAAGTTGCTATTTTTTCTTTTTCTGGCGACTAGAATACATATTAAGCTGTCGTGCTTAAATTGACTCATTGAGATGTCAGGACTACAGTAAAGTAGGACAACAAAACGAGTCATTCCAATCATATTCATGGCGACAGAAGCATGGAAGAAGAAGCATGGCATGCTGTTGGTCAGTTTTTACTTATGAAAGACCTTTATGACTATACCACATGCGCTTTTTTTCACTTGCGTACTGCTGCTGTTGGTACTAAAGCGATGATTCAATATCCACTTCAAAAGAAATTGCCATAGTAGATGTTTAAACCATTCTTTTTAATTGTGTCATCTTCTTTTGACATGTTGCGCATTATTATTATTATTCTGATGGGTTATGATGATACGATGACGAGGATGTCTATTTTCATTATTATTATTACTATGAGGATGTTCAGGATAACTGTCTTCAAAGAGCATGTCATCTGGAGTATAAACGGAAAATGTGTTGGATGTGATGGATAAGGTGGATGTGCGGTCGTCTTCCACTTCTTTCCGCTTTTCTGCTAGTGGGAGGAACTCGTCATTCAGCAGCAGAGGAGGTGGCAACAGTGGCTGTTGTACAGGAGCCGTCCATGTGTCTTTTTGCTTTGCGGTAGCTGCAGCCGTCGTAGGCATAGGGAAAGAGGAGGGGAGGAATTGTACAGTATCCACGTTACTATCCACTCGACTGCCTGGCAAAGTAGAGCCGTCCAATAACACATCTGCATTATGATGTGTGTATCGGGTAGCGGCTGTAGAAACACTCGTGTTTGTTCTGCTTGGACTGCGGTGAGGATGACCATTCGCAGCAGCGAAATAGGAAGATTGAGAGTGAGAAGAACGGTGGTGATAGCCCTTGTGCTGATGGCGGAGGTGGTGGTAATGACTTGAAGGAGAAGGCGAGTAGTATGGACTGCTGTCATCGAAGGGATGGCTTGGAGGGAAAAACAGAGGATGCATCGTAGTGCTTATGTCAAGTGTTGTCGCATGTGGGTATAAGTTGTGCTGCTGCGCATCCTGTTCATAGGTGTTACACACTGGACTAGAGCTGTGATGGTACATGTCGAACGGAAGGGGTGAAGGAGGCGTCGTGATGCGTGTGGCATGCACACCCTTTCTAATCTGAGCCATGCTAGGTGGAGATAGAATGACAGACGCCCCTTCTACCGCATCATTTTCTGACACGTTTCGTTGCTGCAGAGTCGTATCCACGTCCAATGCCGCCGTCCTCGAAAACCCAACAAAACTCGAATCAAACGCTGCTTCTGCTGCTTGATAAACTCTTCTCGTTTCTAGTATTTCATAGTCTGTTAAGCGTAACCGAGGAACGGACAGTGCTTCAACGACTGCGTCTGTTGTTGCTTCGTACTTTTCACTTTCATATCTTCCATCAAATGTTCTTCTTTTTCTTCCTCCTTGTACTTCCTCGTCTTTCTTCTTCTTTACGTCATCTGAGGTTGTATCGCACGCATTGTGGACTGCAGGATCAATGATACCGTGCCATCGTGTCCGTTGACCATGGGATCTTGGCCACACATCATACCAATACTCTGCCTGGTTACTTTGCCATACAGCTAACAAAGGAAACCAAACAGCGTACAGCGGCAGAGACAACAGGCAATACAGAATAAACCAACAAATATACCGAAACTGCCGTCTCAGCATGAAAAACAAGAAATGCAAAACAACCAGTCCGGTGAAAGAGCAAGCAATAATGACATACGCCATGCCATATTGCCCCAAAGCGCGTCCAAAGACACCGTATAAATACACAATAATCGGCGTAAAAAAGACCCTATCGAGGACCTCGGTGGTGGAAAGGAGCCAATAGGTGAAGCCCAGGTGCCACGCCGCTCGCTGAAATTCCAATTGCGCGTGAAATGTGGCACGAAGATGGCGCACTTGATGTCCTTGTAAAGAAAAGAATCGGGTAGGTAGTGTGGTATAACCCACTGCTTCGGGCTCGAACCCCAGATGATGTCGAGGATGCGATTTCAATAGAAGAAGAGGGAGGATTTTATCTTCACCTAAAAGCAAGACATTGGCCCTATGCATCGTATTGGCCTGAGGGGTCGAAAATCCTCGTATAACAGTTGGATGAACACAGCAAAGCTGACGATTCAAAGTTTTGCCGAATATGAAACGGGACTCGGGACGCATGCCATGATGAACGGATGCTGCTGCTGCTGCTGCTGCTGTATCAGCAAACGGATTCCTTTGATCTTGCACCGTGGATCTTGGATGGCCACCCGTACTACTCGGGTGTACCATGTACGGATGTTGGCGGAAATGCAGTTGGGATGGAGGATGGGCTGTTACGGCTGCTGTCGTAGTGGCTGTCGTAGTGGTAGCAATCGATTCATCTTCTTCATCTGAAGAGGAGCCGATTTTGCGGCTCTTTTCTTTATCGAATGGGTCTTGAAAAGGATTTGTGATAATAATCTCATCACTCATCTTTGCAGGCCATCCATCTCCTTGATGATCAAGCGACTGCCTCCCATTGTAACATTTTGGGAAGGTTTCCACATCACAAGCACGGCTTTTGACGCTATGTTGATATGCCTTGAACTTTTTCCAGAAAGGAGTGTCGTGTTTCGGTTGTTGTTGTTGTAAGGTGAATCGCCTATCCGTTTCCTTCCAGACTCTATACATCACTAGCCCGCCATTGATCGTCATCACACTTTTCAAACAAGCTTCAAAAGCAAACGCAGAAAAATAAGTCATGTAGATAGGAAAAATCTGCAGCATGGTCGTCAAATTCTCTTCAGGATTCGCAGGACGTACATGCCCACTGATAGCCAACATGTTTGGATCCTGTTCAAGTCTCAATACCAAACGCTGTACGACATCATTTTGTATTTGAATATCTGCATCTGTCACCATGACATATTTGAACAATCGGGGGTCTATGCCCAACACATTGTAACATTGATTAAAGATTTCATAGTCGAGAGGCGTCATGAGATTGTCAGCTAGGTTGGAACAGCGCTCAAGAAAACTGAACAAGATCAAAAGCGAATCTCGTTTTCCTCTATTGCCAGGCGGTGCCAACCTATCCGCCATCTTGTCACACTGCTTCGTTTTCCTTTGAAATAGTAGCTGTATTCTTTGTCGTAATTGACTTGACTTTTCTTTTTCTTGTTGTTGTTGTTGTTGTTGCTGTTGCCCCTTTTGGGAATATTTTTCTTGCTCTTGCTCTTGACCTACTTTCACAATAACAAGATAGGGGACTCGATTTCGACCTGTTTCAAAAAATCCCGAATAAACACATGCACAGTTGAATCGTTTTTGATGTTGACCCAAGGATGAATAAGGCTGTGGCCAGGGTTTTTCTGTACGACTGTAGCCTAAATATTGAAGCAATAGAATATGTGTCTCTATCCGTTCTTGTGCACTGATGGTCACACCATCACAAATGAAAACGAGTATCTTGCTACGGTCATCGTAGGTGGTGCGAGAGACAGAATCGATCGTTTGTTTCAGTGTTTCTGCAGATTCAGAGAAGCATGGTATCATTAGTACGACATAAGGCCATGGTTGTTGATGTTGTTCTTGCATAGAGTTGACATGCGAGAAAGTGTTTATGTGAGCCATCGATGATGCTATGGACAAAGAGGGAAGCAAGCATCGTTTCTGAATAAAGGTAGCTCGAAATAGTTGAGCTAGGTTCATTTTTATCAGAAAGTAAATCAAGCCTACGCCCATGGTGGCCCACAAAGCAGGATTGATGCGTCGACAATCGGATGAAATATAAGAGGGTACGACTCCCTTCCGGAAAAGATGAATGAGACAATTGCGGTAAAGTGCAGCGTTTTCGGTCACATTCCCTTCAAAATATTCAGAGATATCTTTTCCGAGGTTGATGTACAAAAACATGGTCAAATCCAATGGCAAAAACATCCTGTCTAAAGCAAATGAACGAGAACTGAGTGTTGAGGAGAGTGGAATAATATTGGTTGCGCCTGTGAGATAGGTTGTGACATCCAGCACATAGCCGTCCAGAATGACATAAGCTTGCTTGGTGGAATTATCTGACGAAGGTAGACCATTATACAATTTGTAAATGACGTTTGGATCGTACTCTACATCTGTAAGATACAAGAGTAAGTATTATAAACTATTCCCCATCTGTGACATAAGGATCACTACCTCCTTTTACTGGTAACATGCTTAACTCAGCCTCCACCTCTGGTCCATAAAAACAAGGACTGCCTGTTACGTTGGGCTGATTGGGCATAGGACATTGTAATAGCTGTTTGACATTGGAGATCGTTTCGTATGTATAGCCTGGATTCGACTCGAGCACAAAATCTAACCAAGCATCTGCTTCTTCTGCTTTATTCTGACCAAAAACACAATCGTTGACAATACTATCGGCATAGAAGGCTTTGTTGGACGGTCGATTCAAAACCATAAATGTGGGGAAATTGTTGGATAGATCGTGATGAGGATACTGGTTGACCCATTGCACCATAGCATTTTTTGTTGCAAAAGAAGGAGAAGAAGAATCTACAGATCTCCAATCCACCGCCTTCCCATGAATAGCAGCCATTTTTGAATCATTAGCAAAGACTTCGTTGTATTCGTACGTTTTATCTGGATCACAGAAATAGCTCGAAATAAATTCTAGCCACACACAGAAAAAACCTGCTGAAAGTAAAAATAGAAAGAGGATGGCTATTTTTTCTCTCCAAGCATTACGAGATGCTGTTATTCGATAACCCAACACATTTCAGAGAATGTCATTTGACAATGGCAGTGAAGATGTCGGAAAGCAAAGATTTTCGTTAATACAGTGAATAACTGAGAACAAAATAAAAAGTGTACCTGAGGTTTTCATCCCGCCCACATAGCAAAGTATAAAATCTGGGATGAAAAATGTCAAACATCGAGAGAATGCGATCCAGATAAGCCTTCTACAAGAGAGATGTCTATTGTACGAACAAGAGTAGTTGTCAACTCTCATGCATTTAATTGAGATAAAGCCTGTATCACCATAGAAATTTAAAGAGAAGAAAAAAAAAAAAAGAAGGAAAAGAAAATGTGAAATCGAACTGCTTAATGAAGACTGTTCAGGAGGCAGCCGAGAGATAGAGTAACAGTGCGGCTCTTATAAAAGTCAATGGCGGTTCCTGAAAAACAAATGCCTGCTTTCCAAAATTGAATGACGCGCCAACTAAAAATTATATAAAGTATGACTTGATGAGCTTCACTTTGTCATGCCTTTATTGATGATGAACTTCTACAGCAGGTTTCGTTTATAAAAACAACAATTACTCATCTCAAATAGACGGTTATTAGAAGCTCTCAACATACTTCAAATATGCCCATGACACTACTATGTATACAACCGTTATTAAGACATCCTATGACCGGAACCGGCTACCCTATAGCATTTCTTTTTATTCAAGATTATAGTTTATTTCTTCCTGTGAATTTTTTTGCCTTATACAATCTGTTGTTGGTGTTATCGTTCATCAACAAAGATTACGACTAACATTACCGCTACTGCTTAATCCAAAGTCCTCTCGGACGCTCAACTACACTGACGCTGCTTCCATCTAGTGCGAGCATGGATGGAAACAGTATGTCGAAAGTCAGGATTGAGTAAGGGCGAGGATGAATGACTTGAACAATAGGATAAGTGACCAGGGTAGGCCTGATTTTACTAACAAACTCTCTGCTCTCATCCAAAATACTGGTTACTTGATGTTTGCCGATTTTTTGATTACTTATAATAATATAATCTTAAAATAGTACCTTTGTCCCAATATCTCTATAGAAATTTGACATTTTCAGCTCTAAACAACTTTTTTTTTTTTTTTAGATACAAAAAGAATTAGACGAGTCGATACACTTTCTTATGAACGATGTAGAATAGAACTAATTTTCGCTCGTATCACAGCCAATATAGGAAGAAAGAGATCAGAGAAAAGAAGATAAAAAGAAGAGAACTAGCTTAAAACGATATCAATAAAGGGCGAAATTGCTCAATTGCTTTATTGGATGCATTTATAGAACTGATAAAATACTGCCCTGGGAACTTTACTATGAAATGGATGTTGATTTGATGCCAAGTAGTATTGATCAATGAGGCCATACGCTGTATTCCAAAAGTAAACGCGATTGATTACTTTGACAATCAGCTTTTATCACCATTGGAACAAAACATTCGGAGCTTCATATCTTCTGTTAGGAAACGACAACTATTACTGGCTAATAAGACAAGTGCTTGCTTGTATTTTCCCTCAAAGACATAATCATATCAACCACAATAGAATGAAAAAAACACCCTCAAGCTCAGTGTTCATTTCATAGCTAAGAAACAGTGTATTTACTAAGTGAGAGGCATAATTTAGAGGATGAACGCGCTGCAAATAGTCAGAGAAATTGAGCTATGTGCACAAGTTCGCCGATCTTCATGGAAATCACCCAAAAATACGAGATGAAAACTGTCAAATAACATGGATATGGAGCAGGTCTCTTTCAGTTTCTTTAATACTCATACGTAAAAAGGATACAGACATACTGTAGCCAATATCATTAGCATGCTCTGATAGGTTATATTCTTTACACCACCATCATTAGAATGGTTGACTCTATCATCAGCATACTCAAAGGTGGATAGCAGGCCTCGATCGCACTATATTTTACTACTACTACTTGGCGATAAATAGGGCTTTGCCTGCGTGAGTAGTTGGAAAAAGATATTAGCTGCTTGGGGAATTGTACGCCGTTTTCTTCGTCTCCGTGTAACTTTGGTACTGAAATTTCCTGTACAACTCCCTTTTTTGAAAATGAAAATCAATTGTACATTAAGCAGCAGTAGTGGTAAAAGTGGTTATTTGTTTGTGGTCAGCACATTGTTACTTTTTTAATATTTCTTTTTTCTTTGCAATTGTACACTTTTTTTTTTTTTCTTTCTGCTTCTCCTCTTTTTTTTTTTTTTGGTTTTTTAGTTTTTTGATTTTTTTTTTTTTTTTTTTTTTTTTTTTGACTGTAACAGTATCTTCACTTTCATATATCAGCAGTTACCCTCATTCATTTATAAACAGAACGAATATGAAGGAATTTAAGCTGGTTGTTTTGGGATCAGGTGGGGTTGGCAAGTCCGCTTTGGTAAAAATCAGGAACCAAAAAAAAATCTACCTTTTCGGAACCCTTCCATAGTCTAACTCCAAGTTACAACACAGACAGTACAATTTGTCCAATCTATTTTTGTAGAGAAATATGACCCCACGATTGAGGACTCCTACCGTAAGCAAGTAGAAGTAGATGGTCAACAGTGCATGCTCGAGATTTTGGATACAGCGGGTACAGAACAATTCACAGCCATGCGTGATCTGTACATGAAGAGCGGTCAAGGTTTTATTCTCGTCTACTCTATCACTAGTCAAGTGACTTTGACTGACCTACATGAAATTAAAGATCAAATTAACAACGTGAAAGGCAACGAAGATGTAAGTGTTGAAGGGTCAAACAGTAGGTTACCCAGCTTTTTCTAATCCTAACAATTCATAATGTCATTCTAGGTTCCTATGGTTTTAGTAGGAAACAAATGTGATCTCGAATCTGAGAGAATGGTATCTAGGGAGAAGGGAATGTCTTTATCTCAACAATGGGGAGGAAAGCCTTTTTATGAGACCTCAGCCCGATTCAAGATTAACGTAGATGAGGTTTTTTACGATGTAGTTAGACAGATCAACAAACAAAATCCTTCTAAAGAAAAGAATAAGAAGAAGTTCAAATGCCTCATTTTGTAGAGTGTTGAGCTTATATAGTCAAAAAGTTATTGTCGATTTCCAGTTTACGTAACGTCGAAAATCATATATATTTTTATATTTCTTCAGCTCTTCTATTTATTATATATATATATATATATATATATGAATATATATATATATGTATACACACTTATTTAATATTTAGTTCGTTTGTGCAAAATTCAGAGTATTCGATACCTATTGCTTGACTATACATATTACTCTAATCCAAATAGCATGGTGAATAAACGAAAACTGCACAATTGTCGTTTTTTTTTTATTTTGAAGGTCTACTGCGTTCCTATCGTATTAAACGATATTCTCTTTACGATGACCTATTATTTTTTAAGTATAATAAATGAAGAGTCCCTCATACTCCATACTCAATAAAGAAAAAGAAAAGAATATTCTCAAATGGCCGTAATAAGAAGTCTGGCGATTTGCTGTTGATTGACGTAAATCAGAAGGCTGGCATCCATTTTTTTTTTCTTTCGGCCATTCAAAGTATTAGGCGTATAGTTCGTTTTGTACGCGTTGATCAATGAGGCAGTGCATCCTTATCGGTATTAGTTTTAATTCATAGTATATTACTTGGAGCTTCAATGATGATGCTATGAGCGAGTTTTTTCGCGCTTTTGTTTTTATTTTCACTCTTTACCACACTGATGAAAAGGAAGAACATAAGACTAGGCTTCGTCCAAGGCTACTCATTTACATCCATCGGAGGTGCTATCACCAGAAATTGTCAGCAGTCTGGCCATTATCAGCAAACCCTGCTCCATCCCCTCTCCCGCTCTTCGCATTTCCAGTATGAGTGCTTTACGAAACATCGAAATTACTCAAGAATGAGCAGCTACTCTACTCTAATGTTCACAGATACAAGTGGTACGGATAAAAACGGGTTGCAAAAGTCGTGGAAAGAATAAACACAGTAACGTCTCGTCAAGAACATGCGAATTCGACAAGGCGGGTTTCATTGGTCGAAATCTTTTACCTTCGGTGAGTTGTTGAATCTCATATGTATGAACTGTCTTGAGTTTTATTGATAAACGCATTCATTTCCAAGCTCAGAGCGCTTTGTCCGTTTCCAATTCATTAAGCATGTTGTTTGTTTACCAAGTTTGTATATAATATGAAAAAAGGAGGAATTACATGCATACTGTTCTTGTATCACTTTTGACGTTTGATGGATTCAATCAAGCAAAAGCTTCCATGGTTCGCGTCACCATCGTTAAATACTCTAAAAATGAATTAACCGCTACACGAAGCATTTTTGTATTGTAGCATTCAAATTGACTGGCAAAAATTGTGATTTTGATGTTGTACGGAAAAATAGTTAGAGAAATTGAGCGAGCAGTATAGTTGAATCCATTCGTTTTGGATAGTAAAAAATGCTTACATCTGGAGTATGTTGCCTTGGTATGTTATCACACGATGGACTTGATCCGTCTTTAATTCTTGATCTACATTCATTACTCTTTGTGCGATCGAAGCCAGTCGTTCATCTTTAAAAGGAATTTCTATGAATCTATTTGCAATGCTTTAGTTTCCATATTGCATATCCAATTTATATCCCTTTCAATGCATCAATAAGTATTTACATTTTGTTATCCATCGTGTAATTAATAAATAAGGATAATGAAAAGGCTTTTTCTTTTTGCTGAGGTTCACGATCATTCGTTCAGCAGTATTCGTACCATTGTTTATTTGAAGATCCGACCTGTCCGCATTGATCGCGAGCGAAAAAACGTCAAAAAACCATAAAATGATGAATGAAGTATGCAGTTTTCTCACACAACAGGACATGACAAACTCTATAAAGCTATCTATTATGTATAATCGTCATTCCTGACTTGACCCTTGAATTTTTTTTTCACTGTCCTCTATTAAGGTTGGCATATGACCCCTCGCTGAAATGAGTCCGTTGTCGATTCGCATGACTCTCCATCTCTAAGCGACGTAAAGTCGTGCCTTGAAAAATCAAATCAGCAAAAAAAGTGAGGGAGGTGCCTTTTTTCTCTTTTTTTTTGTTTTAATTCCCATTGTTCGTTTCAATACTGTTATAGCTATTACAAAAAAAAAACAACCAAAAAACAATGGGTGCTGAAGTATCTAAGGAGCAACGTAAACCATCAAAATGGCATGATGTTGATGCAGCCATGGATGAAAAGTCTGGTGGCTACAACGATAACACTTTACCCAACGAATTTGCCAAGCTCGACCTGAATGAATACCATGGTGCAGGTTCTGCCTCGTTAGATACCGACCTTCTTGCGAAATACTCTCGACGCTTCCATGAAAATAGCAAAAATCTCTTGGCCATGAGTGCTCTTATCGGAAACGATCCTACCCGTGTCCTTGTCAATCGAAAAGCCGCTTTGGAAGACAAGCATGTCTTTAACGTCAAATTGGACTTGGAAGGCTCTGCTACGAACCAAAAGTCGAGCGGCCGCTGTTGGTTGTTTGCTGGATGCAATGTGATGCGTTTAGCGGTCATTGAGAAATACAAGCTGTCGGATGATTTTGAGCTTTCGCAAAGTTATTTGTTTTTCTATGATAAACTTGAAAAGGCCAATTGGTTCCTGGAAAATATGATTGATCTGGCTCAAGAAGATATCAATGATCGAGTGGTTCAATATTTGTTGCAGGTGAGTTCTTTTTTTTTTTGTTTTTTGTTCTTACTTACGATAGCAGGGTGAGAGTAGTCACTGGAAGAATAGAATGTTGAACAAAAAAGATATGACGGCGGTTATTAGGATCCAGTAGGTGATGGTGGTCAATACGATATGTTGATCAATTTAGTAGAAAAATACGGTGTAGTACCCAAATCCGTATATCCTGAAACTTATTCGAGTTCCAACTCCAGAAGATTGAACTATTTGGTTACAGTCAAGTTGAGGGAATTCACGACTCAGATCCGTAAAGCTGTTCGAAAGGGTGAAAACGACCAAGTGGTGCGCGCTATGAAGGCAAAAATGATGGAGGACATTTACCGGATCATGGTTATCATGCTGGATGAACCTCCTTTGGAATTTAATTGGCAAACGCAAGATAAGAACGGCAAATACGTTAGCGTTTCAAATTTGACGCCGCAGAAATACTTCCGTGAGGTGGTTGGATTTCCTGTAAAGTGTACTCATATATACCCCCCCCCCTCCCCAAACATGAAACGAAGTGGATGTACACTCATCTCTTATTTGCTTTGCTTCTCTCATTCAGATTTCACAAATGGTCTCACTTATCAACGATCCACGTAACGCTTATAACAAGCTCTATACAGTAGATCGTCTGGGTAATATTGTGGGTGGCGGTCCTATCCGTTATATCAACACTACTTCCGAAAACCAAAAGCAATTAGCCGTTAACGTGCTCAAATCCAATCGTCCTGTCTGGTTCGGCTGTGACGTAGGACAATTTAGCAACAATGAGTTAGGCGCTATGGATACAAAGATTTATGATTACAGTTTAGCTTTCAATGTGGAGTTTAATTTGACCAAGGAAGAAAGATTATTGTATAAGGAGAGTATGATGACTCACGCTATGGTTTTCACTGGGGTGCATCTGGATGAAAATGGCAAACCCGTTCGCTGGCGTGTAGAGAACTCTTGGGGCGCCGATACGACGGGTGATAAAGGCTTCTGGGTCATGACGGATGAGTGGTTCTCTTCCTTTGTGTACCAAGTAAGATAACACCACCCATTTTTGCATTGATTAACAATTCTTTTGCTTATGAACCGTTTGCATACTGTAGATTGTACTTCATAAGAAAGACGTGCCTCGTCGACTGGTCGATATCTTGGATACGGAGCCAATTGTTTTGCCTGCATATGACCCAATGGGCGCTTTGGCATCCCCTCATTAACCTTATTTATAAAAAGAAAAGGCTCACACATACACATCAAAAGCAGATACCACTATCCTATTCGTTAGATAACCAATCATGTGCTGTATTGATTAAGTTGGACAAACAGAGCTTGTCTGTGTCCAACGGGGAGCCCTCTTTTTTGCATGATTCTTACAATAAAAGATACGATAAATGATAAAGATAACAAAATGGCTTTATGAAACCGGAAAAAAAAAAGTCTAAAATGGTGCAATATGTATTAGAACGGATCTTTTGTATTCATATCTTCTGTACTGCAAAGAAATATATCTGAATGATGAAGTAACCAAAGTCAGTCATCCAACCTTTTTGCATTTGCGTTCAAATAAGCTCGTGAGTTTTTATATGAATAGCATATTATGAATGTGTATAGATATAATTTTTTCCTTTTATTCTTATGGAGACAATGATATAATACTGTTTACTAAGCGAATGAAAAAAGTGCGAGCATTTTGTATAATATGTGGATATAGAATAGGGCATGATGTTACAAGTAAGGAAGAAGACGGAGAGTGGGGGGCGTGGAAGGTTAAAGCAGTTTAAGATTTTTTTTCCGTTTTTTTTTTTTTTTTTTTGAATCTGCTCGTGATAAGATAGAGCGTATAGATAACCCCTTTTTTTTTATGCTGTTGCTTGTTGACGTTGTTGTTGTTGTTGAGACAAACCAAAAGGAAGCAACTTGAATTCATGGGAGCCAGCGATATCAGCATAGTGATTCAATTGAGATTGAGCCGCTTTCAGTAAAGGCAAGATCTGTTCATTGATGGCTTGAACAGTGTTCTTGAGCAAATGAACAATAGCAGCATTAGAGTGATTGCTCTTTTCGTCTTCCGTTGTACTCATAGCTTCCGTATTATGGTACTGAGTACGAACCAACTCCAATCTTTCTTGAACAGTCGTGATGAGAGAAGTAATGCGAATCTTTACACTATCAGGTACAGCAGCAGTTGTCTTTTCTACTGCAACCAACTGAAGTTTGGTGAAGGATGTGATAAGAGTTTGGAGTTGAGTAGATAATTGTTCAGACATGTTAGAGATACGCTTCTGTGATGTTTTCTGGACTGCAAGCCATTGATCGGTCACGGTTGTGAGTACAGGCTGCTGTTGCTGTTGCAAGTAGCTGATCAGAGATTCTTGCAACTGATGCACACTTTCTGTTATTTTCTGTATAAGCACAGAGGACTCCATCACACGATTGAAAAGCTCATCCTTAGAATAAGGTATTTGGTATTTAACCATTTGATCTGACACTTGGCGAGCCAAACGAGATTTGGTACTGTTGAAAAGGGAATAGGCGCGATAAAGCTGGTTGACATCGGTCTTTTGTCGATCCTCTTTCGCTGCTTGTTGGTGTTTCTCGTCGCTGTTGTTGTCGTCGTCGTCTCTGTCTTTCGTGTGATTGACTGTCGTATGGGTGTCGACGGTAGCCTGAGTAGTAGGTAGATAATGATCAAGGACAGCCTCCAAGTTATCTACAACATGACCAAAACGATCGTTTGCTTCTTTAACGACTTGGATAGCAGGCTGCTTGATGGAACTATCTAGTTTGACCTTGATCGTGTCTACCACGACGGGTGGAGCGTGTTTCACTTTCTCGTATAACACAGGTGTGGGCTGGTTCACAACAGGAAATTTATTCTGAAGTAAATCTAATGAGCGGCAACCCAATTCGTCGGCTCTTTCAATATGAGGCTGAATATACTGCTCATAGATAGTAGGATAGGTTGAAGTTGTCTTGTTGACAACATTGTATAACGTACAGTTCATAGTGGAAATGGCAAATTTGCCAAACTTGGTCTTGTTTGCCATCGCTTGGAAGGTCGAAACACTATCTTGAACAATAGGAATAGATGTGACACGTGAGACGAACTTTGTTGTTGTTATTGTTGTTGTTGTTTCGCCACCGTAGGGATGCTGGTTGTTCTGTTGTGGTTGCAGCTGCTTTTGCTGTTGATGTTCCTTCATTTCATCACCTGTTGTGGTAGGTAAGGTGCTTTCGGACGAAGAGGAGCTGACAGATGTGGAGTCATCCGCGACCAGAGCATCACTGCTACTACTGCTATTACTGCTGCTATTGATATCCTCAGCGACAAGCTTAGTCTCAGTGTCCTCTCCTAATAACAGAAAATAATGATAGGATTTAGCTTTCTGCTGATAGAAGCACGTAAGAACAATGAAATGAGCCCGGATTTGGCCGAACAGAGTAGGCTCTCCCTCCCTCCCTTTCTTATCTATCAGCAATTTTCTAAAGTAGATAAACCAAAATGTCACTTACTGATGATTTGGTTTTGTTGACGATATTCTGACATCTTTACTATGAAAAGGCTTGAAATGCAAGGATTTGATAAATAAAAAAAGAAAAAGACTTTTGAATAGAAAAAAAAAAAAAGAAGTAAAAAGAAAGGAGGAAGAGAAGGAAAAAGACGAAACTAAATAAAACTTGATTTATTTATAAAGCTAAAATATGCTTGCGAGTGCACACACACACACACACACACACACACACACACACAACATCCAGGCTCAAAACAGCTATCGAAAAACTTTTTCATCTTTACACAGATCAGCAAAAAATAGAGTATTTACTTTTAACATTAACCAATGGATATCCTTTGATTATCCCTTCTTCATGTGAATATGTGATAGCCTCTTTCTCCTTTGTCTCTCTATCTTCTTGGCCTGTATTTGTGATCGATATGACACGTATCAGGTCTACACTACTTTTCCAACCTAACTGAGCTCTGAGCATGCGTATGGAAAGGCAGTAGCAGTCGTATTCAGTAAGGACTTACGCCATGATGCTAAATGATTGCAACCGCACTCATTTGCATGTGAAAATAGACGGGATATCTTTTTTGAAGCACAGACATAGTTAAACTTTACTTTTCTAGTAACGTGTGTGACCCATGGAAACCAAGAAAAAAAAAAGGGCGTCGAAGCGAAAAGAACAATGTTTTGGATAACAAAGAGCCTTTTTTTAAGTTTTATATTACGACGAGCATCGAAAACCATCTTTTTTCTGCTTAAACAAAGCTGCCTTTTCATTGCCGATAGAAGCGAGCGGGAAAAGATAAGTTTGGAATCCAAGGTCCGTTTCTAATTTTAGATGTTACACTACTATCACGACGCAGCATGCAAAAGGCGAAAGGACGTCCCAAAGTTCCATTCATCTCATCCCAATACAAACAGGATGGAGAACGAAGATAAGCTTTATCGCTTTTTAACGGACAAAGATGAAGGAGTCAAGGACGTGTCCGTAAGAGCCAATTGTAAAAAGAACACGCCCTCGAGCCTGTACCCATCGACCTCAACTATGTACTCATATCAAAATGCTGATTCCTATCACTGAAAAGTAGCGAGGTTAGAAGGGTATAGTGCGCTATTTAGAATATCCGCATTTTCATTGACAGAAACGGTTTTGCACAGAGATACACGCCTTAGGCCAAAAAAAAAAAAAAAAAAGAAAACAAAAAAGAAAGACAGCGATGATTGCCTTACTCGTTAAAGAACGCTTAGTAAAATCCATTCCACGGCATTGAACAAAAAGGGCTATACTTCGGAAGAGAAGAATAGCTGGTTCTAGAGTACTCGTATGTTACACTGTCATACCCGCACACTTGGTCAATGCATTTCCTTTTCCTGCAGCTTAGGTGGTAAAAAAGCCCTTGCTCACGTATATCTTTTTATTCCCAGTCTTACTCTGCAGGCACATAAGCAGTCATTGAATCAGAAGCAACGTCTCAAAATGCCATGTGTGTTACGAGAATTAGGCAACAGTCAGCATGAATGACGATGAGGCTGTTTCTAACAGCTCGTCTCATTCGTAACATTTATCACGTAATCATCGTTGTATGGCCCGAGAAGTATGCACCCTACCTTTCCGCTTATTGTGTAGGATGAGGCATTGAACATGTCATCAATGTAAATGTTAAAAAGGAAGCATTAAAAAGAAATGGATATACAATGCATACAGGGCTTTTTTTTAAAAAGATCTTTTTATGAAAGGCGGTTGTGTTGAAACTGTGTAAACGTTGGTGTAGGAAATGATGAATGTTGTAAAGATCAAACAGGAATAAGAAAAGAAATGAAGCGAGATGATTGAAAAAATTACTTGTAATAGTGTTTCTAACATAAAAATGGGTGACGTAGGTTGGTATGAACTTATTTACTGTGAGTATTGGTTGGCATTATGTCTAAATGCAGTAATAATTTGATGAGCATCGACAGGTCTAACAAGTGGGGGGGGGAGAGGGAACGAAACAAATATTAGTCTTTTGTCTTTTTATACGATTAGCAAAAGAAATAACTTACAAAGAAATCTTCTTCCAGCATTCTTCAACTTCCATTCCTTTCGCTTTGAGCTCTTTACGTACAGCTAATTTGGTCTTGCGAGTCTTGGTGGGAACCAACTTGGCAGTCATTTCAAAGCTCCAACGACGGAAGATATGCACCTTGACGACGTCAAGAATCATAAAGTAGACGAGAGAGATACCGAGGACAGCAAAGCCCCAGGCATAGCCACAGGGTGCAACGCCTTCATGTTCACCGAAAACACCATAGACTGAGAAGAATAAGGCAATAATTTGTGTACCAATAATGCAAACGGTGAATAACCAGTTGGGAACATTTTTCCACCAGTAGCCGGGAACGCGAGTTGAGAAAATGACAAAGTGAGGAGCTAATCAATGACCACCAGGCATAAGAAAGTCAGTGTTCATGTTTCTAGGATCATTCCAAGATTGTACACAAAACAACTTGTAAAGCTAAATTTTACCTGACGAAATGTGCAAATACATGATGGAATGCAATTCATTATCAGTGACATGGAAGATATCACGGGCAACGTAGAAGTGAGCAAACGATAACGCAGCAAGTAATGCGGCGAGGACAAAAGATAATGTAAGCAATTGACCAATACGCCATTTATCAGGTCTTTCGGAAATTTCAGTGTTATCAATGGAAATAACCAAAGTTGCAGCATCGTTCTAAAATGATATTCACGCACAAAACAAATTGAGTTGACTCGTTGAATGATATAACATCCCAATAAAAAAAATATGAAAACCTACCAAAACACAAATCATGATCAATAAAACGGCAGGCATAGTCCAATCTTCCACCAATGTAACAATAAACATGAACAGCAGAAAGTGAATAGTTGATGTGATACGGTAAAGAGCATAAGATCGGAGACGTTGGAAAATGGCGCGAGAAGTAATGATACCATCAGTAATAGTGGAAAGACCAGGCGCCAGCAAAACAATATCGGCAGCAGATCGAGCAGCATCTGTACATCCTTCAACAGCGATACCAACGTCCGCTTTCTTCAAAGCAGGAGCATCATTCACACCATCACCTGTCATACCCACCAAAAGGCCCTTATTTTGAAGCAATTCAACTACACGATACTTGTGCTCAGGAATGACTTGAGCAAAACCATCAGCGCGTACACAATGTTCAGTTACTTCTTCTTCCGATTTGTTGGGATCCACCAGATGATTGGCATCCAAGATAACACGGCCCATACCGAGACGAGCCGCTACTTCCTTGGCAATGATCAATTGGTCACCGGTAATCATCTTGACGTCCACGCCAAGCGCATTGCATTCAGCAATTGTGGTTAAGGAATCAGGACGAGGAGGATCCAAAAGAGAGATCATACCCACCATTTCGAATTTGTCTTCTGTGCCAGGCAACGTCTTGGCCACACCAAGAGCACGTAAACCACGACGGGCCAGCGAATTCACAGCACGAACAGCATCATCATCGCCACCGACTAACTGAGTGATGACCTGAGGAGCCCCTTTCGCCACGCAGAAAGTTTGATTTGTAGCCAAGTCCAAGATCGTGGCTTGCGTCATTTTGGTCACTGGATTGAAAGGAGCAAACTTAGTTACTTTATAACCAGGAATTTCTCTTGCATTCTCCCGGTTCTTCAAAATGTCAAGCTGGCTTTCAGCAGCACGACGAACAGCAGATTCAATGGGGTCATTTGCGCCCGTTTCAGCAGCCAAATAGGAATACAGTAGAATATCTTCTTCGGTGTAGTTGTTGGTAAGCCAAGGCTTATCAAACGTCAGCTCGTTCAAAGTAAGTGTACCGGTTTTATCAGAGCAAAGAACAGAAACGGAGGCGAGTTCTTCAACAGCCGTTAGACGCTTGACGATGACTTGTTTCGCAGCCAATTGTTTAGCACCGACCGCCATGGTCACCGACATGACAGTTGGAAGACCCACGGGAATAGCAGCGACGGTCAAGACCAAGCAGTTTTCCAGAACCAATTTCCAGTTGCCTTGAGGTGTACCACGGAAACGGACCATCTGATAGATAAAGACAATGATGACTAAGACAACAGTAGACCAGATCAAAACGTTGCCGATTTTGCCAATGATTTTTTGGAAATGACCCTCTTCCGCGGTGATAGCAATCAGGTTAGCGGCACGACCAATAAAAGTATGCGCACCGGTTTTGGTGACAATAGCAAGTTGTTGACCTTGTTTGATGATACTGGATGAATAGACAGTACTATTCTTCTTCTTGGCCACCAAGAGAGATTCACCCGTCAAACCAGACTGATCGATCATCAATTCAGTGTCATTTTCCTCACCATTCACGCCCAAACCTAAAAGACGAGCATCGGCCGGAACAATATCACCAATACGAAGCACGATGATATCACCAGGCACGAGCTCTTTTACATCTACTTCCACTAATTCGTTATTGCGGTAAGCTCTTGTTTTTAGAGCCAGTGTTTGACGCAATGCATCCAAAGCCGACTCAGCCTTCGCTTCCTCGATATAGCCGATCACCGCATTGATGATGAGTAAAGCCAAGATGATACCAAAATCGATCCAGTCACCTACCACAGCAGCAATAATACATGATATTTCAATCAAATAAGAGATGGGCCCCGTAAAGTAACTAAAGAACTTTAGAAAGGGATTTGTCTTCTTTTCTGGTAATTCATTGAGACCAAACTTGTTCTGTCGTTCTTCGACTTCGGCAGAGGAAAGACCTTGGCTGGTATTGGTGTGTAGTAGTATTTCTAGTTCGGGCGATATTTCATCCTCATGTTCAATATGTTGATGCTCTTCAAATTCAACAGCATCCTTTTTTTCATCCCTTATGGGTGTATGGGGTGGTTTGCTTACAGTCATAAAAAGAAAAAAAAAGGATTACGTACGTCTGTTTGTCTGTCTGTCTCTATATGTCTGTATGTCTGTATGTCCGTATGTCTATAAGTATGAATGTATAAATGTATGACTATATATATATATTTGCATATATATATATGTTTGTGTGATGATGAGAGGGAAGCTTTTTTTTTTGCTTCCAGTTTTTGTACTATAAATAAATGGAGAGTATGTATAGGGTTGTGTATCTAGAGATAAACAGAAATAGATGACAAGAGAAAGAAAGAAATCAAAGCGTGATGGTAGCTTGATTCAGCGATTGTCTTTATAAAGGGTTGTTGGACAAGGTTCAATGAAAAAGAAAACAACAAGAAAAAGAAGCAAAAGAACAAAAGGATAAGAAACAGAAGACGTTTAAAATGCTATAGAGGAATTTGTTTTCTTTTTTTTTTCTTGTCCCAAGTTGAATATTAAACTTGTTCAAAGGGAAATAATAGAAAATAAGCAAATAAAATAGATAACAAAAAAGAATAGAAAAAAAAAAAGGCAGTTTTCGGTTGATTTATTTCTATCCATTATCGCAAAGCGATAAGACTTGGATCTATCTAAACGTAGGGTCAGATGCAAGCTAAGGAAAAAAAAAAAAGATCGTCTTCAGGCTTGTTGTTTATGGGTTTGTTTTTAGGGGATTATATTGTTTATGACAGAATGGTACGGTTCAGTCGACCTCCTACTTTTTTTTTTTTTTTTTTTTTTTTTTTATATACATATTTTTTAGAATTTCCTTGCATAGAATGGAAAGTCTTCTAGGTCTGCAATAAAATGCACTGTAATTTCAAATAACGGTCCATTATCTAACCATAGATGAGCAATGACCAACGTGGGTCTTTATCATGCGTGTGTGCGTATAAGTGTCTACGTATATATATATACATGTTTGTGTGTGTATGTGATGGCTACACGCTCTACTTTACGTAAAGTCAATACTTATGTAACAAGGGAAAAGGGTGCATACCCGGTTGTTAACCAAATCGGCAAAAGAGTTTTACACAATTAGAAAACTAAACGATCGTCAAAAGCTCAAGAGAGATCTTATTGAAAGAAACAGAGAGCTAACCTGTTAGGAAAAGAAGAAGGGATGACTGGAATCTTCTTAATTGTCATACTTTTCTAACTATTTGTTTTAACGGTTTACTGCGTAAAAGTAGCGATAGTTTAACCTTCTTTTCTCATGTTCGGATCTCAATTTATGGACTCCATACATCCGTAAATGAAAGGATACATGTTTACGATCTTGACCATCCTATAAGTGCATTTTTTTTTATATATATATCATATGAATATATTTAGCAGTAGATGGGAGTGTCCTGTTTTTTGGTTTTTTTTTTCTTTACAGTAAGTAAGGGGGTGTTCGATAAGAGACGCCAACAAAGCTGGCTTTTTTGGTGCTCTTATTTAAAAAATACCTTTTATTTTAAATAAGAACACAAATGCTGATTTGTTGTGATGTATGACTTGGCTGTTCTTTGCACATCAATTAAGCATAGGTGACAAATAGGAAAAAGACCGCCAGTCAAAAAGCTACTTACATAACTGCAGCAGCAGCAGCGAAACTGATGTTTCTTTCTTTCTGGATGCCATAGTAGCATGTGCAGACATGTAGCTGATACATAGAAAGAGAACGAAAGAGGAAAAAGAAAATAGGGGGGTGACCCTTTTCTTACATTAAAATTGATAAATTGATCCTTTTTAAAACGCCAAAGAAGTATTTCAAGCACGATTGAATCAGCAATAATAACTTCTATCAGTGTATATTTGAGATTATATAGCAATGCCAGCCCAGCAGCATGGCTATTGCACCTCAGAAATCTAAAAAAAAGTATATACAATTTAGAAATATATAATCGGTACTTATAAGCTTAACAATAATACAAATATTTGTTATTTTATGTCATCATTTATGTTTCCTATTATACCCAACCAAGACTCTGTTTTTACCGTGTTTCGTTTTTATTATTATTCAAACACTACGAGGCTACAAATGTAGATATTTTAACGAAATATTGTTCTTGAGTATTTCAAAGTGGAAAAATGAAAAGTACTTACTCGATGACATAGACATTTTCTTTTTTTTTTTTTAATTTTTTTTTTTTTTTTTTTTTTTTTCAGAACACCATCATCATCGAAAAGTTTTATATGTATACAGTTTTTTGAGAGCTGAGACAAATGATATCATAGCTATTATCGGAAGAGACGGTATAAGTGGGTCGTGATTTTTTTACTCAGAGTACTGCAACGACTAGTCTTCAAAAAACTTGACAGCGACTACAAACTCCCATAGCCGTTCGAGAAGCTTTGGACTCATTCTATGGCAATCGAGTATATAATGACCTATGAAAAGACATCATACGATCGGTACAAGAGTGGGGGCGGAAAGAGATACTATTGCGTAGCTATCTGTTCAATCGTTGGTATACCTTTTGTTTCGAGAAAGGGTCTATCTTCTGCACGAAATTCGAGCATAATACGGTACACTTGACGTAAATCATCGTCACCTAATGCCTCCAAAGAACGGCACAGTTCCGGGATATTAATTTGCTGTACACGGTACATATATTTTTGGGTTATTCAACAATGGGAAAAAGAAAAGAGAGAGAGAGAGAGAGAGAGAGAGAGAGAGAGAGAGAATGAGATGACCCTTTTCTTTTTTATGCAAAGATGGGAGATATGCAAACTCACCTTGGGTATATTTTGCAACTGTTTGCTATGGTGATTATTGCCATGGAGAAATTTATTGCTATCATAAAATAGCGATGCGGATGAATAAATGTACTCGGGCGTTTCTTCTCGGTACTGGTATATGGGTTCTTGCTGTGGAAGAAGATATTCTGGTGAAGCAGAATAAACGGACGCTCCTTCATGTTGTTCTTGTTGTTGCTGTCCATCAAAGAAAATCATGTTGGAACCATGACTGCTCGGTGTTGTAACTGAGCTCGTGGATAAGGGTGGACTTGAAAAGGGGGCGTCATAGGTAGTAGCAGCATGAGATGCTACCAAGTGTGAAGGATCCGTATCAGAAATCATCCGAGACGCTCGCGAGGATACACTTGAAGAGGCGCTATTCGAAGGAGTAGCCTGTGGTGACACTGTAGATGTGGCATCCTCTTTTCTGCGTCCTAATTTGCTACTTTTCTTGGAGACACGTCTTTTGGCGCCTATTTGATCTTTCTTGTTGGCTTTGAATTTCTAAAGCAAAAAGGAAAAAAGTGAGTACCCACAGTGATGAGTGAGTACACAAATAATAACCGGTGGATGAAGCGGGAAAGAAGGGAGCTCACCAAAGTTTTAGTGACAAAGTAAGTTGGCTTATCAAAATTTAAATCAAAGATGATTGTTTGTGGCGGCTGTGATTTATCTTTGAAATGAAAAACGATCATCAAGTCGAAGGCTCCCCAACCCTTTTGCGTAATTTGATAAGGTTCCTGAGTACGAACTAACTTTATTTATCAGAGCTACCCAGTCCGTGTTCTAGTTAAAACTGCCACTGAAAACAACTTTTACCTATACGCGACGTCTTGAAAGAAGGATGAAGTAAATATTCAACATGATCCACGAATGGATTCAAAGCTGACTCCCCTTTGATGGGCCGAACATAAACCTTCCAGTTCCGCCAAACACCAGAAGCAGCCGTTTCATCTTCAGCAGGTTCGGTGTTATGAATGATTTCTGATTTACAGAAAATCTTGATGCGTTTTTGTACCATTCTCAGTTCTAGTACCACAACTGCTGCTAGCTACTGCTATGGTGGTGAGAATTTATCTTTTTTGTACATTGTGTATTTGGGAGTTTATCCCGCTTTCTTTACCTAAAGTCATTGTTCAACCGTTGGTAAAGGGCATAGGTGAGGTTTGTCAATGTTTCATACAAAGTGCTGCCGTGAGTTTAAAAAGACCACCGTATTCACGGCCCAAAAAAAAAGTTACCTGTATATGATCTATTGAGATCTTTCAGGGGAGAGTAAATTTCTTTACACTAACTTTCTTGATTTTTTACTCAAAGAATTCCAAGGCTTTTTTTAGAAACTTGAACAAACGAATAGTCAATGGTGTAGATCTCGTAATGTTGACTCGAGCTAAAAGAGAAAGCAAAGAAGAAAAACAAGCAAATAATAAAATAGTAAAAAAGCGACTTTATTTTAGTGTCGATATTAAGGTTAGGCAGTTAACAAAAGGTAAAAAAAGGATACACGTGACTGAGTTAACAGTTCAAACAATAAAGGGGAAGCATTAAGAAGGCAAAAAATGTACATGTAGTATTGTAAACAAAGAATGGTTTCGATTTACAGGAAATAAAAAAATGATAGGATTGCGTAAAAAAAAATTATGTTGTATGATAGTATAGATATAATATTTATAGAGAAAATGGGCGCATAGACCCTCCTTTTAACGTGGATAGTTTTGGTAGTCGGCTTCTTCAAATGCGGCATTGGCATGATGAGGAGCAGGATCTGCCCAGTTATTGTCATGAGCCGATTGCTGAATCCACTGACCTTCTGCATGGGGTGGCACATGGCTGTTACGGTCTGTTGAGTACATTTCATCAAAGTTGTAAGGATTGTTGTTGTTGTTGCTGTTGCTGTTGTTATTCAAATGAATAGGAGCAGGTGGATCAGACAATTGAACGCCTCTACCAGGCACAATACCGAGCGGCGTAGAAGAGGAGGGAGCTTCGGATCTATAACGAGCATTGGTATAATCCATTTGTTGTGTCAAAGGAATTTTTGCGCTTCCGTTGGAAATGTCGCTGTATCTTCTATTCATAGGGTCATCATATTCCGTTTCTCTAAAGACATCAACGCTTCTATTATGCTCTACAAAGCGAGGTATAGGCAACTTGTGCTCCTTTGCATATTTGGTTCTACGTTCCATTTCATATTCACTCCATTTCTTCATGGTGAAAATACTACTGTCGAATTGGCCGCCTTCGCCGCCATGGCCTGTATCTTTCTTGACACCTTCGACCTTACGCGTATCGCCCCAGGAGAAATCATCGAAATGCCAGTAGGCATAAGCAGGCAGCACGAAATTCCAAATGGGGAGACTGCACAGGTAAATCAGCATCCAACCAATGTACACCCATCGCTTACTGGTAATGCCAATCAAAAGAGCCGGGAGACCGAGAATAAGAGCCAGCAAAATCAAAGGCATGGTAGCAGGGGGACCGATGATCGAGATAATGATGACATACAAGGTGAAGGTGATAGCAGCGGGCAAGGCCAAGGTACCAATCAGTTCAATAAAGACAAAGAACTGCATCGAGAAACAGAAAGTACCACAGAGATCGTTGACCAGCACGAGTTCAAACAAGTTGTGGATCGTCGAGTTGATCCAACGACGACGCTGCGACAACAATACTTTGAAAGAGTCAGGCACGACCGTCTTACATACAGCCTGGGGAATGAACATCATCTTACGGTTGGGGAAGGTACGCAACATGAGGGTTGTCAAATAACGATCTTCACCGAGCAGCAGCAAATTCTTCCGATGCAAGGTGTCGACGACGTTTTCAGAGTAGTGTTGGACAATATCGGGGTTGGCGAGAATAGGCACCCAGTAGCCATTGGGGCCCTTGGGAGCCTTGATACGATACATACAGAAACAACCGGGTAAGCAGGTGACACCGCCAAAGATGGATTCGAACGCCTTGGATTGATGATGGGAGATATAGTATTCAAACACTTGGATCATGGTCACCCAACTGTCCTTCTTATTCGCAATCCGAGTTTCACCGCAGAGACCGGAAATGTCAGGATCCTTGACAGCCGCCGAGATCAAACGCGACAGAGCGTCAGGGAACAGCTTCGTGTCCGCGTCCACCATGAGACAGATTTCAAAGTTATCGGCGGGCACACCGGTGACACGCCAAATGGCATTGAAGAATTCGTATTCAAAGCGGGTCATACGTTCATCAAACATGACGTGTTGCAAGAATTGCATCAGGACAATCTGAGAATCTCTCTTGCCACGGTTACCAGGCTTGGGGGCATCGGTTTCTTCAGGCATACCGCACTTCACGACGGTGATCATGGGCACGCGCGCTTGTTGTTCGGGAGGCACGGTGTTGTCGTCGTACTTGTAAAAACCAGCATAGACCTTGGCGCGATTGTTCCCCTTGGCACCATCGCCAATAGCAATGTAAGGCTGGGGTTCCACCTGTTCAGGAGGCACAATGAAATCGCGCATCATACCCACACAAATATCCGGTGTCGACTGACTTTCGCCACTGCCGGTAATCAAACCATCGCAGATGACCAACATCAAGGTATGACTCTTGGGATAATCACTTGTGGCAATGGAGTCCAAGGTGCAACGAATACCGTCTTCACCTTCCGAGTAACAAGTGACGAGACACATGGTGTAGGCAAGAGGGTAGTTGAAGGGCATGTAATCGGCAGGAGGCTTGGGCACGACGAAAGGCGAGAGAGGATAAGGACAGGCGGGACCGTTACCGTTGGGACCCTGTGCATGGTGGTGGTGGTGGTTATGGGGGTGAAGACTCAGGGAATCGCTGCTACGGCCATCCCAAGAGAAGGAAGAGACACCTGGTGTGAGAAAGTTGCTACCGAAGGAAGTGGTGGATGCACGATGATTGGGTGAGTTGTTGATGAAAGACGGAGAAAAGGAAGCCATCGAGTCAGGTCGAACGATGGAGCCACCGGTGCTATTCGTGTTGTTGTTGTTGTTGTTGTTATACTTCCACGCAGGAAGAGGAGATCTTTCAGCAAAGTCAAACTTGGTAGCACCATGTTCGACAGGAGTGAAACGTGAATTGGTAGGTAGGAAAGTCTTGCGCTTGAAATGCTTTTTGTGAGAGGAGGGAGGCGCAGGTGCTTTCATGACAGGGCCATTGTTATGCATGTTGTCTGTCCAGTTTTCGATCTGCTCTTCACGCGCTCTTCTGGCAGCATACGACTTTTCTTCCTTAAACGTGCCCAACTTCCACGACAGACACCATCCAAAGAGGGTCGCCAAGAAGAACTTGGCAAAGATGATGCCCAAAATGACAATCAAAGAAACGTAGAGAATGATTTCCGAAAACATACAGCCACTCGACATGGTGTCGATTTGACCGACACGAATGGTTTCAGACAAACATTCTACTTCCTTTTTCCAGTTCACTCCTTGTTCACGGTGGGCATCGATAGCATACGTCATATCTTTGCCTACAAACATGTCGGGTTGTTTTAGCATACGGTCGATCAGTCCATTTTCTGGCACTTTAAAATAATCTCTGGGCAACGATTGTAGCAATTTCAAATTCAAGACATGTCTAGAGAAAAATATACAAGTTAGACTACATGAAAGTATCCTATTGAGTTTTTGTGTGTGTGTGTGTGTGTGTGGTTTTTTTTTTACCCATTATAAAGCATAAGGCTGGTCGTGCTATTGACATCTTCATATTTAAAGAAAACAGGGGCTTTCTTGACTGTTCCGGTATTGGTAGGAACACCATCATAGGTAAAAGCCTCCAACATTTTCTTGGCAGCATCGTTGGTATGGCAAGCGGTGGTATTGGTATAAGTGGAAGGTTCTGGTGGAACAGTGTCATTGGGATCGAAAAGTTGGCATGGAAAGTAGTTGGGTTGATCTCCTTGCAGAGGGATATAAACTCCATCACATGCGGATATCTTTTCAGGGAACAAAAAGGTGGCATCCGTAGAAGTATCGTTGACGCGAGGGAAAATGTGGTTTAGTTTTTCCTTTGAGTGGCCTGTGGGCGGTTGTCCGTTCCAACGGGTGAGTTGATATGCCCAGCCTTTGACAATGAGGAAGCCAGGCACCACTTGACCTCCTTTCAAAGTGATGGGTTGAGGAGGACAAGCAGCACTTTGTAAACCAAACGTTAGAAAGGCAATAAAGGCCATGACCAAGATAATCACGCCTATAAGACCCATCTTTTCTCTCCAAGCTGTTTGAGCCGCTTTCCCTTTGATACCTATTTTTTTTTTAACCATCACGGAAATAGCATAAAGGGGAGAGAAGCAGATAAGTCATCACATCTTTTTTTTTTTTTTTTTTTTTTTTTTCTATCCACTTTACCTGCCATATTCATAAGAAAAGGTGGTATACAGCATGTTAGCAAATAACAATAAGCCATCCAAGGTCCAGGCAGCTTGTTCCAGCAACTGGGCTTTTCTTCTTCTGGTGCGTATTCAAACTCTGTATCGTCCATCTTTTCATTGCGGCCCAAGACACTTTTGCCACGACGTAGTTTGACGGTTCCTCTTCGGCCTATACTTTTCGTGGTGCCTCGTCTGGCTAAGATAGGTGGTTGTTGATTTGCATTGGGAAGATTACCGGTTCGACTGGGTTGAATGGTGTCTGCCGGCACTTGACCAGCGGCCTGACGATAGTGATACTGTCTGTGATTGGGATCGATTCTTTCACGTTCGGGTCTCACGAGTGATTTTCCACGTTTGACAGGTTGTGTAAGGAAGGCCTGAGCGTCGGAAGCCATAGGCGTTTCCTCCAGGTCAGAATGGCTGTTGTTGGACGAAAATTCTCGACTTAATTTTGGGTTGTAGGATCCCATTTTGTCATTGGATCGATCCATACTTTGGGAGTGGGGTTTTTTTTTCACAGAATTCTATAAATGCTGGGTATGATTTAAGACGACGGTGGAAAACACTTCACTTGATGGCTCTGCGTGATACGAGTTTATGTTGGAATTCTAATGCAAGACTATAATGACGTGTATGAGAAAAAAAGAAGAAAGGTAAACGGGTTAAAAAAGAAGGGGAGTCTTTTTTACAAAAGAATGGATCCAAAGAAGGTATTTTGCAGTATGAATAAGAAAAAGAAAAAGTAACAGAAATAATGAAAAATAAAAAGAGAGAGAGAGAGAGAAAGAAAGAAAAGGCAGAGAGACAAGATGAAATACCCAAATTACACAATGTGGACAGAATAAGCGGCGACAAAGTTCTAAAAAAGTTGTTGAAGAAAAAAAAAAAAGAAAAAAAAAATAAATCAAAGGGCGGTTTCAAAAAAATAATCATTGACTGGAGAAGTCGGTGATTTGGGTGAATTGTAAAACTTTGACAGCCCTAAGTTTGTCCCAAAAAAGGTAATAATATATGGTCAAAACGCCAACAGCTTCTTTTTGCAAAAAGGGACTCTTTGACAATACATGGATATATCAGTCAAGTCGATTCGGTCAAAGGGGGGTGTGAGACGTTAAGCTGTCTTTTGAAATAGAAAAAGCGCAAAAAAAAAACCAGCTGGTAAAATATAAAAAAAAGGAGGAGACAGAAAATAATTACAGTTATAGACAATAAATAGATAATGGATTTGTATTAACTCAGTTAATTAAAGCACGACATAGGATAGTTATATATTCGGGCCTACTCTATCTCCATCAGTTTACCAGATGCTAATTAATCGCATTTATGACCAGTCTTGGCTCAGGGCAGCTCCCTTTTGATTCATTTTGATAAGCCCGATATCAAAGCTCTAACCTATAAGATGCATGATACTTGTCACTAGGATGAGGTTTTAAAAAAGGGGCAAAGGAATACTATTGACTTGCTTTTTCGGTATAGCGTGTGCGTGCGTGGCTGTTTCAAAACAGATTTCACTGGGCATAAGATTCAGAAAAGAATCAAAACCTTTTTTTTTTTTCATCATCCATGGTTCTATGCCCCTTAAAGTAAGTGTGTCGAAACTATATATAAAAAAAAAAAAGGGCTTTCTAAAGCTATTGCTACAAGGCGTTGGTTCTTTACAAGCGTTGATCCAACTTGTTGCTATTACTATTATCGTTATTGTCATTGTCAGATCTACCTCGGGCTCGATAGGCTACCCCCTTCTCTTTCTACTACAACTCAGCTCTCAGCTTTTTTTTTAATTTTTTCTTTTACCGCAAATCAGTAAACTGTCATTGTGTGATTTCTTTCGTTGAAAGTCAGAACCACCTCTCAACTGCTCGTACACGAATAGAATGTTCATTTTCATTCAAGAAATAGGGTACTAGGTACAAGCCAAAGGGATAATCATATCATAAAGGCGAGGTATTCTATGCGTATGTATACATCTATAAGGAGTACTTTATTAACATGTAAATGCAACGACATGGATGCCCCTCGTTGTGGAGTGGTCTTGCTTCAAGACATAGGGTGGTAGGTATTTCATGAGAAAGGAAAAAAGCTGAGCGATCCTCAAGCCACAGCCACATCCACACGCACACGCACACACATAGAAGCCAGTTGTTGGGATGATCGATTGTTTCTAAAATTTTTTTTTTTTTTTTTTTTTTTTGTTTCCTCACCACCACCCCCCCCCCCAATAAACTCAAACACTAGGAAATTTTTTGTTGACCTGTTGGGCTCACTCGATCTCAGTCAACATCAAGTGTCAACAAGTGAGAGTGGTGGCTTGCTTATCGAGATGCGTTCATAGTGACCAAAAAGCAAGTCATCCTTCATGTAAAGAGAATATGGCTTCTGCTCTTCAACAGAAGGGAAGGAGAGGGTGCTGCACCTTTTTTCTTTTTCTTTTTTTTTTTTTTGAATTGCGTCCACAGGGTTTGCATTTTAAAGTAACAAACAAACACTTGCTATATTTGTATAGAGTAAAACATCCACTTGCAGAATTTCGATTTTTTTCAGGTAACACGTAGTGACTCTTGTTGCGTTATTTATAGGTCTCTGCATACGTTTGGCATATGAAAAAGAATGCTTTTTTATTGATGATGTACAAGATAGCACTGTAGAATGGATATAATTATAGGACATATTTACATTGTGCAAAGGAGGAAAAATAAAATAAAAGTGATATCTATATCTATATTTATATATAATGTCAAACGACAAAAAAAAAAACCCTATAAAAGATAGAATGGTATATAATACATTATTTTTTTTGTTAAAAAAAAAGAGGGGATATCTATGGTGATGTTACGCTGACAGTGGCTGGAGAGGGTGGAGGATGGAAGGTGTAAAAAGATGTGGAGAACAGAGACTTGGAAATCTTTTCTTGCACTCGGTTCATCGTAGCAGCCAAACCACTAATGATATTCTTGGCATAAACCAAGTCATTGCCACCTTCTTCAGAACCCATGGAGGACAGATCTGTATGTTTAATAAGATCTAGAATGGAAACAAGCATGGTGAATACGTCTACGCATCTAGTGTCGATTGCGTCCTCGCAGTAAAAATACATTACCTTTTAATAATAATTCATAACGAGGCACTCTTTGAAAAGGGGCAATGAGATAGTCTGCTAAGCCCAAACGATGATGAATGCCGGCGTTGGCTACTCTCTTGGATTCAGTATCTATCTTCATTACAAAACTCGAGGTGCTTGCTCTTCGAATCGCTTTCATGTAGCTTTGATAATGGATAGCATACTTTAAAAAGATGACGAAATCTTCTTCCAAATCTGTGAAAATCTGACCGACGGCGATACTAGGACTGACCTTGTGTGGTAGTTCATGACCCTGTTTGGCGTATTGCTCCAATCGGACGAGTATTTTTTCAGAAACAGCGATCAGTTCAGGAAGATGACAAAAGAGCAACTGTACATCGTTTGTTTTGACAAGAGGATTTTTGGTGAGAGTAGCGGCTTTCATGGGCTCCATATAATTCTAAACGACAATCAACACATGTTAGTATCGAGCCTCCCTCCCAAGTAGAACATCCTACACACACATTTTCCATCTACCTTGCGTATAAAGATTAAAAACCTGTGAAAAGACTTTTCAGTGGAATACAATTCGCCTACAATAAAGCGTGCCATGGCTAACTCTTTTTCAGTATTCTGATCGAGAGAGAGAAATGAATAAGTGTCTCTTTCAAAGACCCCTTCATGGGGTTGGTTTTTTGTTGTTGGGGGGTTGGTTTTTTTTTTTTTTTTTTTTTGCTTTACCTTTGGTTTGCGCATCGTAGCCGCGGAACATGGGGCAGCAAAGGTTGCTTGGGCTGCACGTCTCTGCAGGATCAACTCTTGAACAGCGGATTGCCACATCATGATGGCTTTGAATTCTTTTTTGCGTACTTCAGATTTACCAAAAATGACTTTAGGAGGGGATGGGGTGGAAGACAGGGTTAGTTTATCAAACGAGACGGCGGATACAGTGGAATGGAGGCTGGTACATCTCTCAATGGATTTCCTTCGCCAGTTGCTGGTGGTGGTGGTGGTGCTGCTGGTGGTGGTGGTGCTGCTGCTGTTGAAAGAGAGAGAAGTGGAGGAGGTGGAGTGGATCTTGGATGGACTCTGCTGACGGGTTCTTACCCGCATGATCTCGCTGCCATGACTTTTGCCTCTTTTTATTTCCTGAAGAGGAGGATGAGACATGTCATCGACGAGAGGAGTCGCTGGCGTCAAGGGTCGGATGGCTGGCGTGGTGGACGTGCAAGTCCAAGCACTTTGCAGGGTGGGTGTAACGGCTTCTTCTTCTTCGTCACTGCAGCTACTGTTGCTACTGACAAGACTTCCCGATGGACTGACGTCTTTTAACTTTTGTGCATCCAAAGAGCCGTGACGACCGCCGCTCTTGTCTTCCAGAGGGCAGCAGTGTTCAAATCCATGTGGTAAGGATAATTTACGTTGGCTGTCAAAAGCATCGCGCAACATGTCGCCAAACCAATCCAGATCGGTAGCGTCTGTCGTGGTGGTGGTGGTGGTGGTGGTGGTGGTGGCAGCGTCGTCGAGGGGGGTGAGTGGGTGGTGAATCGGGCTAGCAGGAGTCGAAAAGGAAGTCAATCTTTTTGCATGGAATGTGGAGTCGCAGCGGCTCATGCGGGGTGGTGAAGAAGTAGACGTGGACACGCAAATGACAGGCGTAGGAGCTACTCGCTGGGGTAGTGGACTGTCTTGAGGGCGAGGAGAACAGCGAGTCGTTGTTGGCGTCGTCGTCGTGGTGGTGACGGGCGTCCTTTTTGTTGTCAACAAAGATTCATCATCCGCGGATGTCTGCTTTTTTTCTACTGTCGTACTGGCGGCTGTCATTTTTTCCTTGTCAAGACGACCCGCATGGTTCTTTTCTGCAACAAGCGTGGCAGACGAGGGGTGGTCCGATGCATGTTCTTGTGGATGCTGCTGCTGCTCCGAAGCATGAGCGGAATGGAGTCTTTTGTGATGCGTGCTATGAGAAATTTTGTTGAAAAATGAACTTGCACATCGTTTCAAGGTGAATTTTGAGCTTTTATTGGCTGTGGGTGTCTGCAATGCTGTCATCTGGCTCATCGACTGCTGAATAAGAAGGGGGGCGGAGAAGAGACGGATAGAGAGGTGAAATTAGGAACGTGGGATGGGGAGCTGTTTAGTGCATACAATGACGAACAAACGAACGAACAAAGGAGTGCTTAAAGGAACGAAAAAGGAAATGAAAAAGACGGGGTAAAAGAAAAAGAAAAGAAAAAAGGAAAGGGAGATCAAAGCGAGGGCTTCTTTTCGTCTTTAATCAAGTAAAAATGGGTTCTCGCCGTACACACAAATAAAGAAATAAGTAGTCTTTTTGCCTCTACTCTAGTTTGATTCGTAAATTGACTGGTTGTTGCTAAGGAAAGGAAAAAAAGAGAGGATAGAATTTCTATGCTATGAAAATTCTCTTTTTTATCACTCTAAAAGCGGAGTCGACGCTAAAATAAGACATGAAACTACTTTTTTACCCTCTCCCAACAAAAGAAATAGGTTTAAAGCGTGATGATATCATTTCAAAAGGGGATTCACTTTTTGCAAACAACTCGTGATAGAAAAAGAAGAAAAAAAAAGGCTCTTTTTTGAACTCTCTCTTTCGTTGTTGTGGTCAATGAAAGCTTACTTACTGCTTTTGTCGGATAAGATTTTGATTCTGTTTTAACCTTCAAGTGTTACCGAAATCTTGATTTATTTTTGACAGGTGTGGTGGCAATGAAAACAAACACAATCAAAAAGAGATCGCTCCATTTCCTAAGCGTGTAGCATTTTAACTGATTGCATTATTATCATGCAAACCAACCAACACACAGGGATTCAACTGACTACAAAAATGCCCTTTTTTACTGAGCCTTCCATCGCTCGTTTTGTTGGTTCTTTCCACTCTTTTGGCACGATCTATTTTTCCCACCAAAAAATAAAATAAAATAAATGAATGATAATAACAATTAATACAGCACTTGCATATTATAGATCGTCAATTAACTCATTTATATAACATTTATTTATTTATTTTTTTTTCCTTGATAACTCCTTTGACTTGTATGATGTCAATTTCTTTTTTCTTTTTTGCAAATCCCATCAAGAATGCCAATCGCTTGGGTTTTCTATTTTCGCATTAAGAAGCACTGGGATACAGTTTCAGATCCATCAAAAAATAAAATAAAATCAAGGGCCACAAAAAAAAAGCACCAAAACTTGACGATCGAATATCCAGAGAAAAAAAAAAGTGGTCTAAACAACTGAGTTACTAAAAATTGAAAAAGAAAAAAGAATGGAGGAAATACGTCCTCATTGTTGAGACATGTATCACTTGTGCGTTTGCAGAAAATGAAAATGAAAAAAAAAAAAAAAAAAAAAAAAAAAAAAGATTTTCATCAAGTTGTGTGTCTATAGAATGGAACGTAAATGTGCACAAGAATTGCATAATTCATACTTGAGCATTAGAAGAGTGATTTTACCCAATAAACGTCATGCAAATGGACAACTTTTTATAAAGATAATTCTCTTTTTGGAATCAGTAAAAAAAAAAAAAAAAAAAAAAAAAAATTGCTTCTTCTTTCTTCTTGAATGAAAAACTTTATTCATAAAGACATTCTAGAATTATTATTATTTCAGCTCTCCATGCACACACTAGGTGCATTTTTCTTTTTTTTCAATGGTCGTGGACCCATGCCACCCACCCTTCAAGTCGCATCATGAGAAACAATCTCTCTCTCTCTTGGGATACCTCATAAAGGGTTTGCCGCGCGAAACCGATGTAAGAGTCTATCCCCTGTCCAACCTATCCCGCTCTAAGAATGAACAAGGAATTTTTCAAGACAATAAAAAAATTCGTAGCACACATTCTTCGATTGTTTTGAGAGACACCTTATTTTTTTTTGGGTTATTGCAGGATGAATTTACAGAGCATTGTGATTGGTCGAGAGATCGCTTGGAGCAAAGCTTCTTTTTTTTGCCCCTCTTTTGACAGTTTGTAGGAATGAACGTTTCTTTTGTGTCTCTACAATGCAAGATGAGCCTTCCGATGCGCAACAAGAACAACAGCGACAGTTTATTCCAAACACATTTTTGAATCTCCCAGAAAAATATGCCCATCTCAGTCCTACAGATTATTTATCGGCTCTGATCCATCATATTGAGAGTTATCGACATGTGATCAATGTTCACATTGGTCATTTTATAACGCATCAACAGTGGGAGTTATTGGATGAGGATTGGAGAAGTGCTCTTTTACCCGATAAACAGTGTCTATCCAACTCTGAGGAATGGATAGAGTCGCTTATTCGTATGACAACCGATGCTGCACCTAATGTAATTGTTTTTCCTTTGGTTTTTTTTATTCTGTTTAAATGTCTATGTGTGTTTTTTAAAATGATTTCCTTTCTCTCACTCAGGCAGATTGGCCTGATTCGTTGAAAAGCTTTATCCTAAAGACCAGAGAACTTGCTTTACCTAGACAGAATGGAATGAGCAGTAAGTGACGATGGATAGGATTTGGATCATCCCATCCCAATGTCTCTAATTTGTCAATGATAGCACAACAGGTCATAGAGACTTTAGATAAACGTATCACACCCGGAATGACGTCTAAAAAGATACACGAGGTTGTTCTTCATTTATTTTATTTTTTTATCACGAATGCTACCCTCCTATGGATGATGATGTTGGTTGTAACTCGAGAACTACTCTTCCACTCTATCTATAGGTGGAGCGTATGGCGCCTGTCATCAAAGAACTTGCCGCTGAACACAAGGTCGCTTCTATTGTCGATTTAGGAGCTGGTCAAGGCTATCTCTCTCGCGCTTTAGCCTTCAAAACCAATTTAAAAGTGCTCGCCGTCGACTCATCCGCCATACAAACATGTGGAGCCAAGCGATTTGACGAAAAAGTAGCCAAGTTTCTAAAGAAACAGGACAAGATCCTACAGCTCCATCATGTGACAGAGCTCATCACACCTGACAATGCGTCCAGTGTTTTATCCAAATGGGACAATGATCATCATCTCCAACAGAAAGAGGATGGAAAAAAAGAGACCACAGAGAAATGGCTGCTGACAGGTCTACATACATGTGGCGATTTAGCAAGCATGATGTTGACATTGTTTGCAACACACCAAGAGATGACGTGTTTTGTGAATGTGGGTTGCTGCTATCATTTCCTTACGGAACAGTCAGAGGACAGAAAGGGCCGTCCAGAGGTAGGCTTTCCTCTGAGCAGCGGATTAAAGCGTAGGAATTATAGGTTAGGATCCAAGGCAGCCATGCTTTCTTGCCAAGCGCCTGTACGATGGACAGATCAACCTCAAGAAACACGTACTGCCTTTGAGCATCATTTTTTCAGAGCGTTACTACAGGTAAGGAGGGGGGGGGAAAGAAACCCACACCGGAACTTGAGATCTCTCCTACACAACTTGCCCGCTAACGCTTGCCCCAACAAAAAAAAAAAGCTCATTATGGTAGAGAAAGGTTTGACGGATATCACCACGGCACCTATTGTCGGACGTTTGAACAACAAAAAAGACTTTACCTCCTTTCCTGTCTATGTCAAGGCTGCTCTGCATCGCTTAAAGATGCCTATCGATAGTATCACGGAGGAGGAAGCACAGGCGTACTATGATCAGGGCATCCAAATGCAAGCGGATCAACAGATCACCATCTTCTGGACCCTACGTGCTTTATTAGCACCCGTTTTGGAAAGTATCATTTTGGTGGATCGTTGGCTTTACCTGACAGAAACGATAGAGGACAGCCCCACAAAACAAGTCTACCTTTGGCCGTTGTTTGACCCTATTCTGTCCCCCCGTAATATGGTGATTGTGGCTACAAAATAAACCTTACGTCACTCACACTCCCTCTCTCTGTTGAGAGGCCCAAACCCCCAAAAAAAAAGAAAGAATTCATTTCAAACCGTGTCTTTTCTATTTTATACCGCTGGCATGGCTTTACTCATGAAACGCTTGACACACTCGGAAAAGCAAGAGACCTTTATCCTCATACGAAAAGACTGTAAAAAAAAAAAAAAAAAAAAAAAAAAAAAAAAGAAAGTCAACTCCATTGCCTACGGCTTTCTCAGCCTGAGCACAGCACGTTTCTGTTAAAAACCGAGTCAAGGTACATCTGGAAAAAAATAAAACACTTGTTTCATAAAGATATCCTTTATCTGCGCATAGAACACTCAAAAGGAAAGTCAATTAAATGGTAAGGATATGATGAACGTTTATCCTGTTGGCAGGTTATTGACTTTTTCCATGTTGTACCCAATCTTTCCTTTTCGTTTCTTTTTTTTTTTCAAGCTTAAATAATCCATGTTGGTGTGTTCCCGTCATTATCTTTCCTTTTCTCTATCAGATGCTCACAGGGAGAGGATGTTATGGACGCATTGACGCATCTCTTCAGCTTTTCATCCCCCCTCTCCATTACCTGAGATAGGACAGCTCTATGGCGCTCCTACTTTTTCTTTTTTTTTTTCCATGACAGCCACACTCTATACTGTAATAACAAATTAGTTTCACTGAGCTTTTTTGGAAAGCTTGCATCCCCGCCCCCCTCCCGCCCCGCCACTGCTGGTATCCTCCTCTCGCTTGAGTTTTTCCAAGCCGTCTGTGGGTGATACGAACAACGGGATTTTTATTTGAAATTCCGTCGTTGAAATGATTCCCCAAAAAAAAAAAAAAATGGAAATGACAAACAAAAATAACCAAGGGCCACTCTCTGGTCATGCAGAGATGAGCTAAAGGCATCTATTTCCGTATTTCACATCTGGTCCCTTCAACCCCAAGTATATCTCATGTCTTCTCCTCCACCAGACTCCTGTTCGGCGTCTGAAAATAAAAAACCCGCTTTTATATGTATTTGGAAAAAAAAGAGAGAGAGAGAGAACCGTCTTTTACAGTGTTGTGCAAGCCTGTCTGAAGCCCCCAAGATGGCGCACGCATTCCTCTTACTCCAGATAAATTGACCAGTTTGCACCAAAAATGGCTCATCTGCTCTTGATTCAAAGGCCCGGTTTTTACTGTGAATCGAAGGAAAAAAAAGGGGTCTTGACATCATGGTGTCTTTATTCTTTTCTTTTATCGAAGGCAGATTCAAGTTGCATGTTTTCTAACGAAAAAAGAAGCAGTGAAGGAAAAAAAAAGTCGAGATTAAGGTCTATGGCAGAATAATCTGGGAAAAAAACAAACGTAAAAAATAACGAACAGATGCGCTATTTGTGCGAAAGGCCATCATGCTTCGGTCGAGATTTGCTATTTCTTTCTTTTTTGTCCCTTCATGAAAAAAAAAAGTCCGTGGGCTATAAGCCCTATCTATTGTATCAATTGTCTAAATATGTCTACAACGTCAGATAGGTAGCTCTCCTATCTTCCTTGGGACATTTGGACCCACCTTTTCCAACTGGACACGAGTTTTTTTTTTTTCGCGCTGATATTGATCTCGTTCCGTTGGCTCCATCCCTGGTACTGTCACCGTGAAGCATGATGGTTACACGTCACTTATTCATTAAAAAATAAAGGATGGCTTTGGGAAACGACTTGCAGTTTTCATAGTTTATCTTTCTCGGAAACACATTCCTTTTTCTTTTCCTAATGATCGAAACATTGTCTTTTTTAACCTTGTATCCCAAGATTTCTTTTTCTCAACGACGAATCATATCTGTAGGCTCTCTGTTCATGCCATCATCATTATGGCGAATCAAATATTCGTTGTTGAGCATGAGGGTCTTTTTTTTTTTTTTTTCTTTTTGTTTTACCCGTCAAAAAAATAAATGAGAGTAGACTCATTGTCGGGGAAAACAAAGTTTTCTGACTTGGGAACATATTACAGATAAGGAGAGGGGGGGAAAAAACTGCTTATCTGCAAAACTGCCTAAAAAAGGGACCGAAGAGTCTAAAGAATTATTTTATTTTTTCTGAGCGGGAAGATGCGGAAATTTTTCTGCAAGCAAAAGAGCTCAGATAGGGCCACTCTCTTGCAAATCAGCAGTTATAAAAAAAGCACAGAAAGGCATAGACTTGGCATAGAGTGGAAACGGGTAGAAGAGAAAGATGTCAAAGGGCAGAGTGAGTTCAATAGAAGGCTGTATCATCCGATCTGGCTGGCTGGCTGAGCAGACCACAGGTGTCTTTTCTCACACAAAGAGAGGGCGTTTTCTTTTTACGATCACTCACTCTATCTGGGTTAGCAAATAAACATTTCGCATGCGTAATATTTCTCTGCCTTTTGATTGGACGGAAAAATAAGGGTCTAACCTACTTCCCCTTTTTCCGCCCCTGGAGGTTTTTCGAAAAAGAAGTGTAACTTTACGCAGGCAATCATTAGAAAAAAGTAAAACCAGATGAAAAAAAAAAAAAAAAAAAAAAAAAAGATGACACTAAAAAACATATATAAACTCCACTCTCTTATTTCATTTTAAAGGACGTAATTTTTTGACCCTTTTTTTTTTTTTCTTTTTCTCTGCTTCTGGGTTCTCTTTCAAACAATTCATCGTGACACTATGCCAGCTATTCGTTCTGATGATACCGACCTCTATCTACATTCACTGCACCCACTAGAGATCGACCATGGCGTTTTTGTAGAAAGACATGATACGGATATCTATAGCAGAGGAAAGAAAAGAACGAGAAGACTCAGTCTTTCTTCTGATTTGAGTGACCAAGCACTCTTAGAGGAAAGACGTTACGAAACAGAAGAAATAAAAAGAAGATACACTTTGAAAAGGAGCAAATGTAACCTTACCTATCCACAGAGCACCAGCAGTTGGGACCATCTATTGACACAGTTAGACCTGCAACCCGATCTACTACAACTGATTCATCTATGTAAAGTGGAAGAAGATAGGCGACGTGAAGAAGAGACCAAAATGAAGATCAAAGAATTACAAGTTTTACATCAATTACAATTCTTACAGTCAAGGGAAAACGTTCAGGCTATCTCAGATCTTTCCGCGGAACAAGTCCAACGAAAATTGCCGCCTTTGGTATCTTTACGTAAATGATTCCACTCGTATTATCTACAGAAAGCTCTTTGAGCTCTCTTGAGCGTTCTTGTCTCATCTTGTCCTGAGACATCGAGAGCCACTATTATATAACACACAATACAGCTTCCACACTCAGCTCATGCACATTACTTTCACATACATCTACACATGCTTAGACATCCCTTAGGACATATCACCCCGCCCCCCCACAACTATCCAAGTACATAGATCATGCGTCACCATCTGTTGTTTATTTACACATGTAAATTATATCCCTTTCCGTTCCTTTTATACTTTCATTGTTTTGTACATATTGTTTTTTTTTTCTATCTTGCTTTTTGTTTCATCCTAATAAATTCCAATCAAGTAATCTCGTTTCTTACTGTACTGTAAAGAATGTGACTTCTTATTGTTTACTCATACATCATGCATAAAGGATAAAAAGTACATTCACTGAAAAGCCATTTTCATGCATTTTTGCACTAGCGAGACAGATACACACCTTTTGACAACAAACAACAACAATCATCAGCTGAAAATGCAACCCTTTTTTGTTTTATGTTGAAGCGCGAATCAATCGAAAGCGTTCTTACTCTTTCCTAATATGTTCTTTTTCTTTCCAAAAATTTCAAACTCCTTTTTACAGCAAGCCAAAAGTGTATTTTGCTACGAAAAAGAAAAAAAAAAAAAAAATATTTCTCTTTCTTCTTTTTTTTATTCTTTCAAACATTTGCATCATTTTTTCAAGTCTATTTTTTTTCTTTTTTTTTTTTATATTTCTACAAAACACAATCTAAGAAAAGGCATTTTTTATATCTCCACTTGGAAAAAAGAAAAAAAAAAAAAAAGGTACGCAGGAAGAGTGCTTATTATGAAACTGCAAAAAAGCCAAGGGAATAAAAAAATAAAGATTCATTTTAATTGGAATTTTTTTTTTTTTTTTTTCACCTTTTTAGTTCTCCCTTCCCCAATTTTGATACCTTGTATATACCATTTTCTTTCATTATTTTTATTGTATTGTATTATATCTTTTTTCCCAATTCTACGTATGTATAAAAAGTGATTTATCTTGGGGGGTTTTTTATCTTAAAAAAAAGAGTTGATTCATTCTCATTTCTTTTGCCTATTTTTTTTTTTTTTTTTTTTTTTTTTACTTTATATAGTTTTCTCTCTCTCTCTCTCTTTCTTTTTCAAAATCAAGCACATCGACTTCTTTTTTAAAAAAAAAAGTTTTTTTTTTCCAACACATGTCAACTATAACACTAGATAAAGATAAACAAGAGAGCCCTGTTAGTAATGCATCTACTACTCCATTATCCATTCAGTCAGAACGACGTCCTTTCGACAAAGACAAACATAATGTTGTCACTGAAGCGAACAAAGAGGAAGAGGAAGAGGAAGAAGAGGAGGAGGAGGAACAGATAGCCTATAGCAGACCTAAAAGAAAACAAAAACGAATACTACAGGATGACGACGTTGATGGTTCCTCACCAGAACCTACCATGACCCACACCACGGAAGAGGAGAGTAAAAAGGGTCGCAAAAAAACATGTCGAAACCCTAACCGTAAAGATAAGGCAGGAAGAACAAAAATATTTTCAGCTACCACAGCGGGTCATTTGGACAAAGTGAAACAATTAGTGGAATGCGGTGCGGATGTCAACTTTCGCGACAATGCAGGCTGGACACCTCTCCACGAAGCCGCATTGAAAGGCCAATTTGACATTGCAAGCTATTTGATTGCGTGCGGGGCTCACGTCAACGTTCGAGGCTTTGGTTTAGATACCCCGCTTCATGACGCCTGTAGCAGCAACTCTCCCGAATGTATCCAGTTATTGATCGATGCAGGAGCCGATGTCTTTGCTTTGAACGAAGCCGAAAAACGACCTATTGACCTCTGCACCGATGAGGAATGCCAAGCCATTCTCGAAGCGAAAATGAACGTGTTGGACCAGCTTATTGCACGCGACGCCCACGGCCGTTCTTCCTTACACCGTGCTTCTCTCCACAACGATCTGGAGCAGATTCAGCGCTTGCTCGATCAAGGGGCCGACGTCAACGCGAAAGACAACCAACAAGCAACCCCGCTTCATTTAGCCGCCGCCCTTGGCCACCTGGACACCGTTCAGTTGCTCGTGCAGCACGGCGCCGTCGTCAACCGAAGAGGCACCGACCATCAAGACACACCCTTGCATCAAGCCAGTCGTAGAGGCCACGAAGCAACAGTTCAGTATCTGATCCAAGCCGGTGCCGATGTCAACAGTACCGATAAGGAGGGCAAAAACCCTTACCAAGTGTGCCCGGCTTCCTTTCCGGCCATCCGGCAACGACTCACTGCACGAATGGATGAAGTGCGATTAGAAAAGGAGACAACAGATGCATTAGATGAAATTGCCAAAAAAGCCCAAAAGACGGCGATCAGAGACTCAAAAGCAGCAGAACGTCGTCACCTGACCCGTGAAGAAAGAAAAATTCAAAACTACATGCGTCAGTTTGCCAACCTGGATAAATCCACCCACAGCAGTAGTGGTCCTCGTTTGGACGAAGAAGACGACACGACTCCCCTTCCATTCGCCACGTTACCTACGAAACGAAGACGCAAGCGAAGGAATACCAACCTATCGTCTGCTTCGACTACGTCAAGAAGAAATTCTCCTGCTGCTGCTATGGACAGTGAAGTCTCTTCGGTGGCGACGCCTACCCCTACAACGACCACTGCTGCTGCTGCTGCTGCTGCTTCAGACCTAGCCACTACGACGACAACCACCACCACCACCACCAAACGATCCACCTCGGCCCCCAAGTTGGATCCCTTCAAAAAAGATACCAGTGGTCGCACGCAATTGCATCGCTATGCGAAAAAGGGCGACTGCACAACCGTGGAGCGTCTGTTGGAAGCAGGTGCTGATGCCAATGCAAAAGACTTTGCTGGATGGACCCCGCTTCATGAAAGTGCCCTGAACGGCCATGTGGACGTCTGTCGCCTCTTGCTGAACTACGGTGCCGACGTGAACGCGAAGGGTGGCGATATGGACACACCGCTGCACGATGCCACAGAGAACAACCATTGCGATATTGTCGAATTATTACTGGACTATGGTGCCGATCCCTTTGCACGGAATGAACACGACGCTGAGCCGATCGATATTGCTACAGAACACGACTTTGAGGATATCATGCTGGTACTGCAGAATGCAAGTCCCGTCGTCAAGAAGAAAAAGAGAAGAACCGTCCTCAAAACAGAAGAGGCGGATGACACCCGTCTTCCAGACATCACACTAAGCTCCTCCACCTCCTCCTCCTCCTCTTCTTCTTCTTCTTCTTCCTCCACTCCTACTACCGTCACTACCACGACCATGACCACAAGAAGAACACGCAGAAAAAAAGCGCTTGCCTTCAGTGATTCAGAGAATGACAATGAGAAGAGTGACGATTCTCGGAACGTGACCACCCATGCATCTGTCAATACACCAAAAACACGCTTACAAAAGACACGTATGAGAAAACGTCGTCTCATACAAGCAGCAGACCTCGAAAAGAATAAAGAGGACGACAAAGACGGTGAGGAAAAGAAGAAAGAGGAGAAAGACGTAAAGGAGACACAACCACCCGTAAAGCATGAAACCAGCGACACCTTGGTCGACGAGCGTTGGAAGGTCGAAGAAAAAGAAGTGCCTATCAAACAAGAAAAAGAAAATGTGCTGATGCAATTCCCCACCAAAAAGAATGGCTTTTTAACCAGCTCCACAGCAGCCCTCTACAGCAGTAACAACCATGGCTCTTTGAAGAAAAAATGTACCAATATCTACGCCGCCACCACGACCCATACCCGTACTGCTGCTTCTACATTCACTTCCTCGCCTCTCTATACAGTGCAAATCAACTCGACTTACTATGTGATTGATCTTCAAGTCGCTCTTTTCTTGAATATGTCACTGCAAAAGTTCTGGTCCGACTATTTCTATCTAACGAAAAACCGCAAGTCTATCAACGAGCAAGGAAAATCGAGATTATGGTCCACCCTAAAGCATACACTACTGAATGAAGCGAAAGAAAGTTTTGTCAAACGTCAACTTTACTTTATTTCGTTAGACGATGTATTAGCCTTAGTGAAAAGGGATTTTGACTATCTCAGTTCCAGTTTAATCACCATTACGTTAGATATCGGTTATTACAAAGACGACAACCATGGACCGGAGGAGGAGGATGAAGTGGCCAAAGAAAAGAAGAAGGCTCAAGAACAACTGCCTTTGAAGAAAACAGTCTCACCTTTACCCATGTACAATTTGCCTCCCAAATTAGCAATGAAGATGAAGCTAAAGAGATTTCATACTTGAGAGGAAAAAAAAAAAAATATCCTCATGGTTGTACCCATATACCCTCATCATATCCTTCGCAATTTCCTTTTTCTTTTTTTTTTTTTTTTGGCTTTTTGTAAATGTGTCTCTCTCTATCTCAAAAAAAAAAAAAGGATTTTTTTATTATTCCCCCTTCTACGTTCAACTCTTTTTGTACAAAAACTCTGTTTTATTAAAGTCAATCTCATTGTGTGAAGAAGCTACATGAGATAAATCTCTCAAATTAGCCCATCTGTTTTATCTCAATAAGGTCTTTCTCTTTTTTCCAAATCAAATTTGAACAGCTTCATTGCTTAGAGCTTATAAACACGTTCAGATGTATAACCCAAATCTTTCAAGTATCCTCTAAGTTCACCTTGACTCTTGTCTGGGTTTTTGTCACCACTCATAGCTTCCATGAAAGGAGGTGGACCACAGACAAAGATGATGGAAGATTCCACATCAGGCTTAGGCATAGTCTTTTCTAACAATTCAGCAGAAATATAACCGGCATGGTACTTGCTTGCACCTTCGTCTTCAGTAGCGGGTGGCCTTTCCAACACATAGTGTACCTTGAAACGATGAGGGTATTCTTTGGCCAAACGATCCAATTCTTTCTTGAGGATAATGTCCTCTTCGGTAATATTGGCAAAGATAAGTGTCCAATGAGATGTCTGATCTTTTGCTTTGGGATTGAGATTTTTACGTAACAATTGAAGCTGCCATGGATATGAAAAAAAAAATAGTAAGTACTATTAATCTTCTTGGCTTTAAACTTTGATTACTATCGCCTTTACCATAGGTGTAATTCCAGTACCGCCTATAGTCCCAAAAAAAAAAATAGAAGGATTCGTTAGTCTACGGTGAAAAACAAAGAAGCTTTTTCATGGATTATTTTACCTGCAAGCATGCCAACGTGCTGGACTGTCTTTTGATCCCAATTATACTTTTCAAAAGGACCTTTTATCTCTAATGTATCGCCTACTTTCAAATTATGCACATGTTTACTCATATTGCCTTTAGGATAGTACTTAATCATGAACTCGACGAATCCTCGTTCCTATGGAGACAGTGAGTTGTGGTTTCGTCTCTCCCCTGAAAAGGAGAAAATAGTTTTCTTCGTTTTACCTCTTCTAAATTGACAGGTGTATAGGGACGAATCACTTCTTCTAATTGACCGTCTTCTTTCTCGACATTAGCACGAAACATAACACATGATGCAACGGGTAATCCAGCAACATCTGTTTCATTGGGAAGGCTGAAACGGAATAAGTTGACGTTATGATTGACGCGTTCTATTTTGTCGAGCTACAGCATAAAGTTCAAACGTATGAGAAAATACTTTGCAGTATTGGAAAGCCATCTTCTACTGTCATGTCTTTTTACTCTGAAATGCCTGAATTCTTTGGGAGAGAATGCCATTTTAGTTTTATGAAACCGTTTTTATGCAACAATGGAAAAAAGAGGGGTCGGAAATAGTTACTCCAGGATTTGTACTGATTTTTCGCTGGACTTTCGAAAAACTTAAATTGAGACAACCTATACAGTTGAATTTAGAAAAATTTCAGATGATAAGGCATCGTTTTTTTTACATTCAATTAGTTAACCCAAAAACTTTCGCAGTTCTACCTAACAACAGGTGAAGCCTACCAATTCAAAAAGCGAAGAGGTACCAAGTCAAACATAATTGAATACACTGTATATAGCGCTTTCATTCTTATCAATAGATCTCTTTATGAATAAAAAAGTACGAAATGAATGTCATAGATGGCTTTGCTATCCAATTTAGAGGTAAAATGATATCGAGTTTTTCTCAACTTTTCTCTTTGTAAGGGTTCAAGCTATTCTATTATAGTAAAACCTGATCGATGCACAGTTTCTAGGCGGATGCTAACCACGGAACACGCTTTTTTTATTTCAAAGAAAAAAATTAAAGTGGTACACCACAGAAGCACTTTTTGGGATAATATAAGAACTTTCCCCCCACATTTAATTTTTCCTTTTCTTGCTGTATCAATTCTTTCTCACAATTTAACTATTAACAACCATGGAGTTTATGAGTGCAATGGGGTCTCAGGAGGACGCTTATCGTCCTTCTCTTTTTGAACTCATAGCACAAGAGAAACTGAAAGAACTTTTGCAACCTGCTGTTCAATATATTGTAGCTGTATGTCGAAAACGAAAAAGGTGCATTCACAAAACGAAAGGCTGACATTTACATTCATAGATTTATGCTCAAAGATATCCACGACTTCTTTTAAAATTGGTGAACCATCATGAAGAATTTTACGCCTTGCTGATGCTGCTAGTGGAGAGACATTATTTAAAGGAATGGGGTATGTAAAATTCATGCTTTGAGATCAAATGGGTCACCCATGTGTTGATCACACTCTTGCCATCTTTAGGTGGATCATTTGCTGAAAACTTTTACGGTCTGAAAAGAGTTTCGACAGCCCACTTGGATCATATAAAATTCAATTCAGTCAACTCGCAAACACCAGCACTGTCATCCAAAGACGTAACCAAATCATTGTTAGTGCTGGTCGGCATACCGTATGTTAAATGTCGCTTGGACTTACTATATCAGAAAGTTACGGGTGGATCAGCATCTTTAATTTTAGGAGACAACGAACAAGAAGAACTTGAAAATGAAGAACTAGCTGATCCAAACACGAAAGCAACGAGGAAGCTAGCGATTCGATTAAAAAGATTATTCAAAAAAGTATACCCTATCATCAACTTTATCTATTATGGATCTAATCTGGCATACAACGTTGCTTATCTATTTGGAAAGACAAGATATTACACACCCTGGTTACATCTACTTGGATTGGAAGTGAAGCGTATGAGTATGAACGATTATGTAAGTTAAAAATGTGTCCACCCTCTATTTCGTCAATGTGTTTTGCTAACCCAGCATTTTCAATTATCAGCGTGCTCACTACGATAAAATGGAAGGGCAAAATATGCGACAGCCAGCATTTTCACTTTTGAAAAACCCTCTTGGTGCCATTTCAACGATACTCAGCAAAGTGATTGAATTTTTGAAAGTCTTATTACCAATGTCCATCTTTTTCTTCAAGTTTTTGGAGTGGTGGTATTCATCCGAATTCTCAAGGAGCGGCGGGCTAAGTCAAGACGAAGATAGTGCGAATGCTATCCCGCCTCCCGAACAGATCAAGGTACGTAATAAAAGTTGAATGGTATGGCATGTCTTACTGTTCTCACATCCATCCAATATTCAATAGCCTGATCCACGTGGCACAAAATTACCAAAGAGTCCAAATACATGTCCTTTATGTTTAAGCAGTCCGATCAACAATCCCACAGCCTTACCGTCGGGCTACGTTTTTTGCTATACTTGTGTTTACCACTGTGTGGAAGAGCATGGTCGATGCCCTGTGACATGGATCAAACTGAATGGCGGTACTGAGCAGTTAACCAAATTATATGCTGATGTAATGTAATGGAAGAAGTTTATTCTTCGAGGAGAACTTTTTAAACGGAGGAGATATATAACGTTTTTTAAGCGTGTAAATTACTCAAGGGAAAAGATAATAACTATATGATGCTAAGATTATGTATGTGAACGAGTAATGCATGCAAAGGGAAACAAAAGTAAATTCTACAATTTCCGAAAAAACCGGGAAGAATAAAGGCCTTTAAGAGGAGTTAGGGAAGTCTTCAGGTAAGACTTCTATACCCTCGACTTGATATTCATCTTCGTAACCTTCCTCGTCCGCTTCACCTGTGGTCGGGTCGCAATCCTTCACAATGAATTTCAATGTATTTTCAAAGGCAGCTAATTCAAAAAATCATGCTTAGTATTTACTGCAGCAGTTTTTAAAGATTGGTTAAGGACTCACCTATAGGCAATTCTTCTACCTCTGCCAACTCATACGCGACATAAATTTGGCCAACTTCATTGTACTTCAGCATGGGTGCTGGTACCTCGAAGAGAGGAATAAGGCCACAATCTTCTTCATCTACATCCATATCCATTACCATTTCTACATTTTCCAGCAATTGATCGTTCAGCGTATTGAGACAATCAAACTGAAACACAATATGCTTGGCAAAGATATGCTTGATACACTGCACAACATATTCGGTTTCGCTCTCTGTCAATGCAACCTTAGGACAGCTCTTTAGAAGGGGTCCAAAAGCAGCTATTTCTGGAATAGCTGATAAAGTATCAGCATAATTGGGTGTATTTCCTGTGGAAGTTGGTTTTTGTTCCAGTTGAGAGGTTGTAGAAACTGCGGCAGGTGAGCTCATATTGGCTATTGTCGTTAACTCTTGAGGCCTATTACGACGACGTTCCTCTTGCTCTAGCGCTCTACTGATGACAGGAATAGTGTTTAGATCAAAAGGATCGCTTTGTTTTGAGTTATTGATATAGTCGACTAGCTTGTGTTCCAAAGCAGGAAGGGAATAAGTCATTTCATCAGCAGAATACTGCTTGGCAAGTTCATTACGTTCAATCATACGCAGAGCTAAAGTAGCTCTATCGCGCACCTCATCATCAATGTCATCCTGACAGCGTGTTAGCAAGACTCTAATACTGTGTTTGACTTTAGGATCGGAGCAATTGGTACCAAATTTGGTGAGTGCACTGACGGCTGTACCACGTATAATTGAATTCTCAAGTACGACACGGTTGTAGATGTAGCGAATAAACTTGGTAGGTGTTGCTGTTTTGGGGCCTTCGACACCGAGAAGATGCAATACACGCACAGAAAGCTTAGTGAACTCACAATCTTCAATAAACTCACATAGACAAGACAGTGCTATAGTAATAGTAACAGAAAAAGTTGAATCTTCATCCATTCAAGTTATCTGTCGTCTATAACTCCTCTTACCTGTATCCTTCGATTCAGGAATATGACGAATCATATCGAAAATAGCTTCTACAACGGCCTTCTTAAATTCATAACCTCCCTCATCTCGTAAAACGCCACTCAAAAAGGAGAGCATAACTTCGTGCTTGTTGGGGAATTTGAGACAAAGTGAACGGATAGCTTCAACGACTATTACCTTGAATTCATCAGAAATCTCGCCCATAAAACCCAAAATTTGTTTCATTAAGCGATCCACTGAAGCTTCATTGCCTGTTTGCAGTAGAGTAGTGATAGCAAAAGTGGCAATGCTGCGGTTTGAATCAGATACAAGAGTTTCTATATCCAAGTTACAAGGTGATACAGCAGATGGTTTGGTTAATGCGAGAGTGTTCAAAATACGGATGGCTGCGAAACGTAAAGTAGGCTTAGGGGAGGATAGGAAATTTTGTAAAACTAAAAGACGAAGTGTGAGCAGCTCGTATTCTATTTTCGAACAACGACATAAACAAACAGCTGGTCTGAACCAAGCTCAATGTATTACCAGAAATAGCAGGAAACAATTCCTTTGCAGTTACATCCTTCATCTGACAAATAGCTCGTGCGGCCTCCAGATTGACCATATCGCTTTTATGTGCCAAATATACTTTCAGTAAGTCATAGATACGTTTAATAGACCTGAAAGATGAAAAGAAATATATAATGTTAAATATCTCTTTCCTCTTGTTTAAGATACTAAGATTGTCCATCGCTTGATTTGCTATTTTCTTTTTTTTCTTTCTTTTTTTTTTTTTTTTTTTACCCTGGATCGTCTTCCATTACTTTGCAAGCATATCTAATAAGAATGCATACTGCAGCAGGATTTTTCAAAGTCCCATTAGCTGAAAAATTTTGGACAAGCTTAGCAACAGCCATACGATCATGCTGACGTATAAGGTATAATAGTCCAATTGCATGATATTGAGAGATTATACTTGTAGAGACTACAGTTTGGTTCTGGCTTGATGATGAACCACCAAAGTTGGAAATATAACTGGAAGCAAAGGAACCAATGGAGGATAATCTGCCTGTCTGTTTAGCATAAGCGGCTTCTTGTACTTCCGTAGCCCAGCGACGAACCACTTCTCTAGACTCAGAAAAGAGATGGTATGCTGAAACGAGCGCTGCTGTAGATACTGATGGGTTTTTATCAACGATGGAGGCTTTAAGGATTCGTTCGATACCTTGGATCATGGTGGACTATTAAAACAAAGAATATTTTATGAGATGCAAAGTTCCTAATTTTGAAGGGGGCGCAAGATATTGGTATAGTCAGGCTTATTTACATCAGTGATAAGACATAGTGCTCGAATAGCGTTAGCTCTGTAAATAGTTTCTTCTCTAGACTGAATATCCTTAATTAGAGATTGAGTCACCATGATGACATCTTGGGCTGTGCCTGATAATTCCTTAATAACCAAGTACATAAGTTGTCTCAAAGAGACCTATTCGGGTTGGAGATGAGGCAGAGTGTGTTAGTCGCCTTCATCTGAGGATTGAGCTTTCAAAAGTTGTTTGCTTACATCTTTAGACTGGAAAAGTTTAATGACATTGAAAAAGAGATCTGTCGCCTCTTGCGTCGTAAACACTTCACCAGTTGAAAATAAGTATACAATTTTGGTGAGAACTAGGCGACATTTACGAATGTTGACAGGTGTTTCATTGAAAATTCGAGCTTCTTGTAACAAAGTTGTTTTGTTTATATGCGAAAAGACGCTGTAGTCTCCTAAAGTGAATTATGCAAGATGGTGATACTTTTCAGCAAGTCATTCCTTGGCCCTTCGTGCTAAACAGTTCGTTGAATACCTGAGTCTTCATCTCTTTTAACGTAACTCATCTTTATTCTTTCGGCAACGTCAAAAGAGCAGCTTGAAGTTTATTGTTAGAGATAAAGGACAAACAGAAAGCAATGTGCGAGAAGGCAGAACAGGAAAATGCAAAATTACAAAAACCGCTCTTTCCCAATTCATATATAGGCATGACACGTCCAGACACACACATATCAAAAAAGGGCCAGTTTTGTAATTTTATTGGTCAAAGCGTCCGTACTTTCTGCTTTAACCCGTCATTTTACAAACCCATATAAAAATACTTTTTTTTTCCTTTGAACTGATCAACTATCAACAGGCTTAAAACTTTTTGAAACAAAGTAGCTCGGAATGTCTTTTGTCACTCGTTTTTCTGATTCTGTTGGTCACTTTTTTGAACGGCATCCCCACGCAGTCCATTTGACACTAACAGCAGCTGCAGCTTCTGCTTTGACAGCTGCAAGTATTTTGACATATCAAGGTAGTCAGCGACGATCGAGAGCAAAGACGTTGAAGGATGAGCTAAGAGAGGCCGAATTGCACAGTTCAATGGACCTTACACCAGTTGGAACCGCCACCCCAATATCAAAACAACAGCAACAACAAGCGTTACATTTGCCTCGAGTGTACGATGATAAACTAATTGAAGAACAGTTGAGCAAGAACACGGCATTTTTGGGGGAAGAAGGTGCCAAAAAACTACGAAATGCATTCGTGATAGTCGTAGGGGCAGGTGGTGTGGGATCATGGGCTGCCCTTATGTTAGCACGCTCTGGTGTAAAACGAATCCGTATTATCGATTTTGATCAGGTTACTTTGAGTAGTTTGAACCGTCATGCAGTAGCGACACTAGAGGATGTGGGCACACCTAAAGTTAGATGTATAAAGAAATGCTTTAAAGACATCGTGCCTTTCGTAGAGGTAGAGGATTGCATCGATTTATTGAATGCAGAAAATGTCGATATATTACTAGGAGGTAAAAGCTCAACTGGAAAGCGATTGTTCATTGGGATGTAAATTGAGCTTTTTGTTTCATCATACATGTACTTTGATGTGTTTAGGGAACCCTGATTATGTTGTCGATGCTATTGATAATATCAACACAAAAGTTGATTTAATTAGATATTGCTATGAGAGAAAGCTGCCGGTTATCAGCTCGATGGGAGCAGGCGCCAAATCTGATCCATCACGTATTCAAATAGCGGATATCAGTGAAACTTTTGGTATGTTGTAGGACAATATAGTTTTTTGCATACTCCACATTCAGGACGAGACATTGATATAAAATGACAGAGGATCCACTTGCTAGAGCAGTAAGACAGAGATTGAAGAAGTTAAACATCTTGAAGGGAGTGCCAGTAGCCTATTCTACAGAAAAGCCCAGTCATGTAAAACTGCTACCGCTAGGTAAATGACAACAGGGTTGGTGGGGGATCACAAAAGAGCATTTTGATTGACACTCTTTTTTTCTTTTTTTTTTTTTTTTGTGGTAATTGTTAGAGGAAGAAAAGGTAGCAGATAGAGAAGAATTTGCAGCATTGCCCGACTTCAGAGCTCGAATTCTTCCGGTGCTTGGCACCATTCCCAGCATGTTTGGTATGGCGATTGCCAACTACATCATTTTGCGTGTTACAAACTACCCTGATTTTGATCCATTACCAGTTAAATTGAGAGACGGTCTCTACGTTCGAGTTCATCGTGATTTGCTGACAAGAGAAGCAAAAGTATACAATGAAAAGTAAGTTATAAAAAATAATGGGTGCCAAGTTATAATGTTAGGAGCTTTGTCTTTTGACAGTTATATTCAACACCTCATGTAGAGTCTGTACACTGGATGTCAATGATGTTGCCTATATTTTTGAGGAGATGTGGCATGGAAAGAGTGTGATATCTGGGCCAAGTGACAAGGTTGTTTTAACTAGATGGGACAGAACAAAGCCTCCTAGTTACTTTAACCTTGTGTGTCTGACAAGGATAGAAGCGAATGAGCATGAAAAACTCCCTGACGGTACAAATTTAGAAGAACATTACGGAAAAGATGTGTTTGACCGTGTCCAACGACAATTCGATCGAGAGCAACAAATCCAAGATATTTGGGGCAGTATCTTATAAATCTCTTTAAATAAAAATGCATGCATTCAACGTATCGCATCTATAATTTAGTGTCTCCCCAATTGCGTTTTTTATTGAGTAGGGTTACTAATACCTGTCTAGATTATATAAGTTGACGAGCTCTATTACTGTTACAATGATTTGGTGTATTTCTTCTATCTCACACTGTCAAATTTCTCTCTTAATGATTTGCGGTTCAATATCCTTGATGCTTTCAAAATAATCATATGTATATAATAGGACGTTTACTTCACTCATAGTGACTTCGTTATGGTTTTTACGCAAGATTTTGAACATGCCTTTAGGGCAAAGAAGGATGGGTGTTGGCTGTACATTGTATGACCAAATGGAACTTTTAAGCGAAAAGCAACACTAATAATCAAGTGCCTACAATAGTTTGTATATTCTACTAGTAGGGAAAAGAGTAACAGCTTTGCTGCAATTTTAAATGTTGTTGAGGCCTTATAAGCAAAGGAAAGAGAAATAGAGAGGGACAGCAGCAGAAAGTGGAAGAATTGACGAGGAAGAGAAGAAGCTTATCGTCAGCTGCAGTTAACTCTACGTCTATTTTAAGATCGATCCGTTCGAGGCATTGCTCTTGACTGAGTAATGCCTATTTACTTCAACAAGACAGTGTAGAAAAAAGTACCAAACTGAATGCAATCAGAAAAGCGATAAATTTATAATCTTTCTCTTATTTAGAATGTCGGTACGACCAGCAACAGCAGAAAAGACGATTCCTGATCAATATTTTGATAAGGTGATGTCTATCAATCGAAGTGTTTAATCATGAATTGTTGGGACATCAGCAAAAGTATTATATCAGTAGCTGTAGTAGTATGACAGTAATTTGCGGCTCTGCCACTGAAAACATAGTTTGACATCTTTTTGAATTCCAAACATGTAATATATGATGACAAATGTATGTACATGTATTGGATTGATTAGCATATTGAAAGCTGAGCCTATGAAGACATATCGTTGAGAAATAATAAACTTCCAGATAAATACAGTTATATCGAAATGGCAGAATTATTAACGAAGCAAATAACAGATAGACATTTCTCACATTTTCTGCCTTCTTTCCGTCAAGGATTACATCCAACCCTATATTTTTCTGTGACGGAACCCTGACAAGAAATGTTGATAAGATAACATTGAAACATTACAATTAAACATACCAAGTATTCAATATAGGTAATATCGAGCGTAAACGATGTATGACCCATCAATGCACGCCTCACTTCATTGTTCGATGCATCAAGATATTTATCTGCATATAAAAGTTTTGGTTTTGCAAGGTCAATAGGTATTGGGTTTTAACATAGTTATCGTTGGCTCAATCAAACCCAGAAGAGCAAATATTATAAATCCATACCATTAAATAAGCGTCTATCAATCAGCGCTTTCATAAGCATTTGTCCTTTGCAGTTGTGGATTACTAATGTTCAAAGGTTTTTTTTTGTAGCTTTAGGAACGCTTGGCTGTGGGTAAATATAAGATCTTTTTTAAATCTCATATTGTTGGCTGTATGTTACAATCGCTTGCCTCGTTTAAATCAATCTATTGAGTACTTTATCATTTTCTCAGTCTCGATTTTATCAACAAAAGGCGAATTTTAATTTATAATGGACCTGTTATCGTTCCATTGCACTTCCTAACTTATTTGAAAGAGCAAGCATTGGTAACTCAGAAGTTTTTACACAAATTTTTTGGGTAAATGGCGATCTCGAACAAAGAAAACGACCTATGCTCAACGTATGAATGGCGTAAGAAAGAATAAAGCAAGAGTATTATGATATTGTAGGCTCTGCACTTTTCTCGCCTTCTATACTACTATAAGGATGCTTTTATATTACAACAGCAATTAATATGCTTATGGTTATGTTATTAGTTAATTAAAAACTGTTGTCAATAGTGGGTACGCATCATGTAATGACTTTTGCAACGTTTCACTCTTGTGTTTTTTGTTTTCTTTTTTTTTTTTTTTTTTTTTGGGCGGCTGAATTATACGTACGAGGGGAAAAAAACCCAGACAAGCTGAAAAGGAGCGTTGTTTTTTGTTTTGTTTTTTGGGTACAGCAACAAAAAAGTATCTAGACTCTTTTTCTAGTTACAGAAAGGAGGTATCAATGCAGATGTATTTATTAAAATATAACTGTTCTGTCAGTAAGTATGTAATGAAGAATGGCAGGATCGTGAGCCAAAAGCAGCATCAAGATTTAGATAAGTTGATAGGTAATAGTAAAGGAATTCAAACACTATATAAGAGGAGGGCAGATACCGATTTCAGTATAACGCGTTCCCTTCTTCCGCGGCTTTTTTTTTTTCAATCTAAAGGAAAGGATTGACTGCTTGTGGCTGGCCTGGGTACTGATGATCTTCATCGGAACCTAATTGAAGTTTTGCTTTCATTTTAGCCTTATATTTTTCAGCAGCCGACATATGATGTCCACTTTCGCGACAGATACTCAGAGCAGCAATAGGCACCAGATCATCATCGTCTTCTTCGTCATCCTCTTCTGTACTGATTACTGTACTTTCTTCTGTGCTGCTTCCGCTCAAAGATGTATAATGGAGGTTCGAATAAGAATTTGTGGAGACCGGACTAGCCAAAGGACCAAGAGGCTCATTATTATTATCATCGCTTTCTTCCGCACTGGAAATTGAAGGCGCAGGATGATATGTAGAGGACCGCGTCATCTCTCGCCATGTACTTGACCTTCTAGTAGCGGCAAAAGACATATTTGTAGGTGACAAGGGTGGGGTAGAGAGTCCGTTAGATGTAAGAGGGTATAATGGCTTATGAGGAGGATATGGAGTAGTGAATGATCGTTTGACAGGTGAGATTGGAGAGGGTAGATTATGAGAATGTAGAGAAGACGGTGAATAAGGAGGGAAATGCTGTTGGCATTGTGTATAGTTTAGAGGTTGTTGTTGTTGTTGTTGTTGTTGTTGTAGTTGCTGGTAGAATGTAGGTTTGGTGCGATGTGTGACAAATTCAGGCGAAGAATGATGGCGTTCAATTCCACGCGTCAATGATTGATTTTTATATGGCCTTTCGGGCTGTTCCTTGAAAAATATTGTGTTGTTATGACTGGATGAGATATGAGGCGTATATGGATCGTCTTCTCTCAATATTGATCCAAAAACAGGAGATTTCAAGCCTGAGCCAAGTGGCATCTGGTGGGTTGTATTGTTATGGGATTCTTTTTTGCTACAACTGCGGTCCAGAATATTTAAAAACGATGGCTTTTTATCTCGCTTGAGGCCTTTTTTATGAAACAAGTCAACCATATTTTTTTTTGAAAAGAACAAGGTTCAATAAGTAAGAAAATTAGCTATTGATGAGAGCAAAGAAAAGCTAAACTAAGGATGGATCAACAATGTGAATATGCCTTCCTATTTATATGGAAAATGTCAAAAACTGAATCAAAGTATATTTCATTTTCCGACCGCATGGAAATGTAGGTTCCCCGTCTTTTTTTATCCTTTCCTTGTGATTGTTTTCCAGCAAATAACGTACTCGAAAAGGTGTTTTTCATTGGCTTGGCATGAAAGATTACATATTCTCATTTCTTATCTTGTTATGAAATATCGAAACATCTTAAGGCGCATTTCCTTTGTGTTTGCGAAACAGTACAGGTGTTGCAAAAGATTAAGCTCTTAGCCGGACAAAAAAGTAGCTAACAGAGGCTCCAGACTCTTGTACGTCATAAACAGATACATCAACAAAGATTCAATTTGTCCTGATCGATGCCTTACTAAGCTAAATCAAAAGGGAGCAAATTTTACTTACGAATACGTAGTCATCGAGTGTGTCTTCTTTTCTGATTAATCGAATTACACACCCTACCGTTGGTTCCTTTCAATCTAAAATGATTCAATTGTAAGCTTGAAATGATTACACATCTTAAAACTTTATAGCGCGTATTGCAAATGCTGATAAAGTCGAGTATGTAGCAGTGAACTATCTAAATGCCTTGGTTATATTGCACGGCAGATCACTCTGGCTTTTTACTTTTTAGTCTTTGCCGGTTGAATACAGTTTAAATTAAGCTACAGAAGCATCGTACGAAATGTTTGTTGCTCTTTTTCGACTCGGGATGAATATTATTCCTGCCAGCATGTCTCATGTGCTGCTTTATCATTTTTTTTAGCGCACGCTTGTTGTGGTATTTTTATATACCTATCAAAGTTGATGAATGTAGATGCACAAAATGCTTACTCTTCTTACTTCTCATTCGTCACAACCTATTTAACATTTAGTGATTATATATCATATGTTTGCTATGGCTAAAATGAGGCCACTTGAAGACGCGGGGCAAAACGCTGTCACTTTACGGCTAAAAGGGGTTATTCATCACTTAAGCTTACTTAAAAAGTCGGTATCCACTTTGTTGAAAAAAGAAGAACTGTTCGAAAAGGTAGATTGATGTACGTTTAGAGGATTGGATCTAGATAGTCTATAGGAATCTAGCTCTTGGCCACGTTTTCTTTTAATTCGTCTTTCTTTCTCTGCTTCTGCTCCTTCTCCACCATAAATTTGCTTTTATCATCTGAAACAAAAACGAAAATAAAAAAAAGAAAAACGTGGAAGATGAAAATAGATCACTGTGCATTGTTCATCATCTATTCTGGGGCTACCAGTAATAGCGGATTAGGCTGTATGATGACAACTGTAGCGAACACACATTGAACTTGGTTAGAAGAAGTCATATTAGACTGGTCCTTTTCTATTGGAGTCGCCTTCGTTATTTCATCTTATTGTCCTATTTTCGGACCGAATGATGATCGTCAATCCTATCAAGCCAAATAAAAAAATTTTACATATTTTCTGCCGGATGCTTAACAGAAGATCAGGCACTCATGTCTATCTGGAATCACTCTTGATTTTTCTGTACACGATTCTGTATAAGAACTGTTACCTGCTGCTTTATACTGCTAATAGTCAGCGACTTTGTCCTTTCTAAACATATTTTATCTTTCTTCAGCTTTTGCAGCAAAACGGTTTGCGAATATGTCTGGCTTGATCATTTATGAATCATTTGAAAAAAAATTTCCATGCTAAAAAGATTGAAAGACTAGATAGAAGTAGATCGTTTAACCATTGCCGCATACCGCTCAGGATCATTGGAAACACCCTCAAGGACCTCAGGTTAGCCGCTAAGTATGTGCTTACATAATTATAATTGGTAACGTAGGTAGACCTCTTGCCGCTTATTCTATTAAGATTTATCCTCTGTCCAATGAATGGGCTCAATTTTTCGGCCCGTCAACAACACTTCTTCGGCCTCTTAGACAAGAATAAAGGCTTTAAGAATTCAGTCTAATATAAGCTTCTATTTACTTTCTTTCTTATTTTAAACTGCAGTAGTGTGATTGCAATATCTCTGATACTCTCCATGAAGTTTGTTATAGAGCTACAAACACAACCTACCGGAGAAAATATTTGCAGTGTCAGGGAACAGGGATAAAAGGGATAGATGCATAGTTTCCGGGGTTAAATTTCTATAAATTTGGAAAATGATAAACAATTGGTTGTCACTAATAGAAAATAAGTCATGAGATGAGCCCCGTTATAAAAATAAATATGATATCCTTTGGCTGCTCCATTGTATATTCTGCTTTCGGCTTATTGAGATGTAAACCAAGAACATTTGAACCTCTCTAAAAAAGCACCGGTAATCAAATTACCCGCCAAAGCAAGATAGTTAGCGTAGCGCGTTGTTACGCTCATGTGTTATCTTTATTCTCAGCAGTATGACAGTGAAATTGTTCATGCCGGTATGGATTGAACGGCTGGAGCGACTATAGTTACGTAAAATCTCTCAATATGCATTCACAAATACTCTGAAACCATTAAACTCACCAGGGTTCCGTTGAAACAATGGTAATTGCCATTGACGCCCAATATATGGGAAAACTGAGTACAACTTACAGTAGTATCAATAATTGTATGCTTCCTGAAGGAACACTTTTGAGGAGGAGCAAGAAGCAAAAGAAAAATGGAAGCATTATAGACCTATAAAGTAGACTCTAGTCTTATATTCAATAAATATCGATTCAGCAGCGCCTCACTATAGAAAGATTCATTTATTGATAATAATTGTTATTGTGCTGGAGATGTGAGCTGCCGCTCAGTTGGCAACCGATGTTCAACTCCTAGTTTGATTTTTTTTTGTCCAAAGTCCCGTTTTTTTCTTTCAATGCTCTTAACTCCTTAGACCTCTTGTTCCATCTGTTGGAATATGTCCCATAAATAAGTCCTCCGGATAGGAAAACGGCACTCCAAGCTTGTGCTTCGATAGGTTCTAATATGGGAAGGTTGAGATATTCACTAATGGCGGGTGTCGTAGCGGCTACATAGAAGATCGTAGTGAAGAAAGATGCTTTCATATCAATAGAAGCGCTGTGAAGTAAGCGTGGAGTAGAAAATGTCCAAATAGGTTGATTTAATTGAAAGGCATCTAAAAAAGTGTCAAATGATACAGTACGTATTAAAACGATTAGGTCATTGACAGTCCATTTACACATAGTATCCATCAATGCATTTACGAAATGCACAATGTGTTCAAAGACGCTCTCTATACCACACGCAATTTCCACACATCACAACAGCTGTACAAGCACTTACCGATCCATAAACCGCCACCGCAGCCGGCTAAGGTTCCGCATAAGATTTTTGCGACTAACTTATCAGTACCCAAGGCAGGATTGGATGCAACTCCCTCGACTCCTGTTTGTATCATAGCAAACGCTCGCAAAATACTGTCCGATAGCGTGAACATATGTTCAATAGCTGGAATTGAGAAAAGGAAATCGATCACTTGATAGACGTAAGGATTCGAAAACATAGCGAGGTAGGTTGAGCTAAATTTTTAAAAGTAGAATCTGTTGATGTCAATCGTCAAGTCCATATTACCGCTCTCGTATACAGGGGATATTACCAGTGAAGAGCCCAGAATTCATTGCTTTTCAGAATACCCATGGGTTCGCCTCGTAGAAGCGAAACTGTACATCCACCACCTGTTGCCATCACTAAAGTAGCAATCAAGCCTTGATACCAACCTACTTGGTTATGAGCGACACCCAGAGCTGATCGATATGAATAATTGATTAAAATTGCAAACAAAGCATCCAATACAGGCAGAGGATAGTTTATAATGGGTATGTTTAATTTCAAATCTGCTAGTCCAAACACTAACTGGACTACTTGTTCGTTCAAAGTGAGAGGAGTCATACTGCTTTATTGCAAAGAAAGAAGAAGGAAGAAGAAAGAAACAATAGCAAGGAAAAGGATGGGAATAAATGCTCTATCAAAGAAGCTGTCCACTGATCAGTTGCTTGTTTACACTGCTTTTTCAATTCAGCTGCCTAACCTTAAATGTTAGTGTAATCGAAACTTTAATGCTTCTTTTTGAGACCAAACAGGTTTTTGTATATATTATAGCGATAACTAAGTTTCTCTGCTAAAAAGTCATCGTTATCATGTCTTTAACCGTATTGTCCCAGAAGAACATTGATGATATTTTAAGTAAAGACAACGTTGAAGTAGCCAATGCGATCGTAGATCTCATGGGAGAAACTTTTGCTAAATTCACTGCTGGTCATTCGGATGACACAAAAGCGTTACAAGCTCAGTCCCCACAACGTATTGGTATTGATACAGATAGTCGGAAAGTATTGTTCATGCCTTCGCGTTTAGGCGAAACCACATCCATTAAAATTGTTAGTGTTCCTACAAAAGATGGGCTAAGTGGTTTACCTGCAACAGTCATGGTCATGGATGAAGATACAGGGCGTGTTCAAGCAGTAATGAACGCCGACTCCCTTACTGCTATTCGAACAGCTGCAGGTAAATAGTATTGTACATAAAATCATTAAAAATGTCTATTGTATATAAGAATCTCCAGATCTCAAATATGTGCATACAATATTATTACAGGATCAGGATTAGCTACCCGTTATTATGCCGATGAAAACGCGAAAAATTTGCTAGTATTCGGTGCAGGGGCGCAAGGCGAAGCACATGTGAAAATTATGCTTGCCGTTAGGCCAAACCTCGAGAAGATTTACATTTGGAACAGAAGTGAAGCTCGTAAACAGGGATTGATCAAAGAACTGCAGAAGGCACACCCTACTCGAGAGTTTATAGCAGTTAAAGCAGACAACAGCAACCTTGAAGAAATTGTACGAAATGCTGATATTATTTGCACATGTACCAATTCGACAGAACCGGTTCTGTTTGGAAAATGGCTTAAACCAGGTGTACACTTAAATTGTATTGGATCCTACCGAATGGATATGCATGAAATAGATAGCGAGACAGTTAAGAAAGCTGAACTTATCATTGTAGACTCAATTGATGCATGTAAACACGAAGCTGGTGAGCTTGTCAAGTCCTCTAAGCCTGAACAATGGATTGAAATGGGGAGTAGAGTACTTGATGGTTTAAAAAAAACAGAGGCAGAAAGAAACAAGAGAACGCTTTTTAAAAGTGTTGGCATCAGTGTTCAAGACAGTGCCATTGCGGGTTGGATATTAGATAGAGCGAAAAGAAGTAATATAGGCAGCAAGGTGCCTTTCTGATGCGAAAAATTCATAAATTACGGGAAAAAACACTTTATTCATTTATGTGCAAAAATATTGGCATATCTATAATAAATGTGATTATTCAGAGAACCTTGTCAAACCTATATTTTAATTAAGAAGTCAATAAGTAAACCGAATAGAAATATGAACTGAAAGTTTGGTATAATGTGTCTCCATTTATCAGCGAATATGAATTAGCATCAAGTATACCTTCGTAGGGTATCTGCTCAGTGCTTGACTCTATATATTCACAATCTCATCCCGCAAACGAGACTACATTACAATCCAGGTTGCTTTAATACAATACCTACAGGTTGACGTTATGGTTATGGTTTCGTGAAAGGAAGAGAAGAAAGACTTACCATTCTACTTTTTTTTTTTATATGTTAATTAAGCTCAGAGAAAATTTTTTCATGGGACAATAACGGTAGTCCCGCACTGTCACAGACCAGCTGTCTGATTTTGAAGCTGTGTTTGACGCAAAGGCATCCTTTTTTTTTTGAAAAAGTTCGTTGAGGACAAAATAACAATAATTTTAACTGTACTCGAAACGAGTGGGCGATCAAAATGGACTGATATAATTAGCATTACGATAACTAACGAGAGACCTTCATATCTATAAATATCCATTACACAGATTTTATCCTATCCTCAAAAGATCGTTCACCGGGCTTTGATCTAAGTATGGCCCCTTTACACGATGTTCAATTCATAAAAGGTGATCAGCGGATGTACAAAATCCGGGTAAATGCAAATCGTTACAATTGACCTTTTGAAAAGCGTTTACTTAAAGCGAAAGGAAAATCTCGAGATACTTCTGTATTACTGTTAACAACCATATAATGTTGTCCCAGTCAAATTGGCTGTCATCCTTGCGGTATATTAGTAGTTTGTTTCTTAAGACACAATACTTGCTGTTGTTCCTTCTGAAAATGTACTCAGGTCTCACCCTTCTGTGTTGAATTTATACTGTTGTACCTAGTGTAACAGGCGTATTCATAGAAATTGCCATGTATAGAACTGTTAGGTTCGTAATTGTCGCAAACGGCTCTTCACAGTAGTGATAAAACGTTTATCATTGCTTAAATTATCTTTTTACATGCCCTGATTCCTTACCAAAGAAGTAGTAAGAGTTTCCCTTACCTTTCGCGCGACGAGGCTTGGTAATAGAGACATTCTTATCGTAGTATGTGAGCTTTGTAACTTAAAAATTCTACAGCAACTTAGTTGCATTCTAGCTATTTACAAGACTTTAATTTTCAGTAGAATATGAACCAATATAGGAATGGCGTTGACTTGCGGTTATTCCGTTTGATTCGAATAGTCATCGACAATTCTTGTTTAATCAGTAACGTATTCTATTAATGAGAAATGCACCTAAAGACTATGGCTATTGTTTATATCAGCAATTTCGTGCTACTGATTCAAGGAGAAATACTTTCATGTGCTTTGTGCTTCAAACAGGAGTTCTTGAGAGAACTTTACCATATCACTTTCTTTGTTCAGTCGGACAACAATAGGGCGTACAGACATCCATTACACAAGTTGATCCTGAGAGTATATAAAGAGCTATACAGCTCAGAATTTGGAACTTTTAACCCAATATTACACTCATTTAATTAACTGCTACTATGCGTTCTACATTCCTTATCACCGCCGCCGCCATTGCTACTGCTGTTTCTGCTGCTCCTGCTACTTTACAAAAAAGAGCCACTACTGCACAAGTTATCGAGACATGCACTGTACCTGGCACTATTGCTTTGACTTTCGACGATGGACCATACGAATATACTTGGGACTTGGCCGAAACACTCAAAAAAAATGGTGTTAAGGCCACCTTCTTCATGAACGGCGAGAATTGGGTGTAAGTTCGAAAATAGTGCCTTATGGTTTTTACTTTCTGCAGACAACTCACATATATAAATCCCTTTTTTTTGCTACAGTGATGTTAACACTCAAAGTGTCCAGACCAGTGCTGGTAAGAAGACCTACAAGCAAGTCATTAAGCACGTCTACGATATGGGACATCAGCTTGGCAGTCATACCTACCACCATCTCGAACTTGCAGGTCAAAGTACCAGCAAAGTGAAATCAGAAATGACCAAGATGGAGACCATCTTCCGCTCTATCATTGGTAAAAATCCTTTGTACATGAGACCTCCTGCTGGTGCTTATGACTCCAATACTCTCAAGACCCTAGGTGGTATGGGCTACAAGGCCGTCCTCTGGGACATTGATTCTAACGATTGGAGATACAGCGAAATCTCAAGTCTTAGCCATGAACAAGCCAACTACAAGAGTGTCATAGAAAAGGACTCTAAAACGAAGCCTCATGGTCACATTGCCCTCCATCATGACGTTTATGAAAAGACTGCTGAAAAATTGGTTCCTTGGGTTATTTCTTACATCAAGAGCAAGGGTACTTATAAGTTCGTTACTGTTGCTGAATGTCTCGGTAATACTAAAGGTAGTGCTTATAGAACCAAGCAATAGGCACACCTTCCCGTTCAACTTAATTTCGTAATAACATAATTTAACTTTTCTGCCTTCAGTGTTATTTTTCATCCTCCAAATTTTCTGGCTGTTTTACACCAGAATCAATTACCTGTACTTTTATAGATGTAATTTTAACAATAATAAATGCATTAATCTGTGCTTATAAAGAAGACAGCTATCATTGATGTACGACGCTTCGATTACCGTCTCCTAATAGCTATAATACATCGCATTACAGTAAAAGTGACCTTGCTACCGTTCGTTTATGTATCGTCTACTTTTCTTGGATAATGTCTGGCATGTATGTGTTAGAGCGGGTTCTGTCCTACACCTAGGAGTATTGTTAGAATCAAATTTGACTTGTAAGTAAACTCTCGTAGATATCAATTGAGAATACTTCAACCGCAGATCTGATAGCTTTCCTAGATAAAGTTTATCAACGTGAAACCTTGTCATTTGCGTCTGCTCAAAAGTTACTTAAGCTTGTTTATTTACTGAAAGCAAACTTTTTGAGCAGAGATTCCTAAAATTATACTGCGCACCTGTAATCGGTAAATGAAGTCCTACATAAAGACTTCGTAATATTGAGTTGCTGACATTTGCGTTATTGACAGGTATATAACAGTTTAATTCGAATTTCTTTAGTTTGTATCAATTATATTTTTAGCAGTTGCTTTGGAACTTAGTAGTTGCAAAATAGAGGCTCGATCTTCTGTAGATAACACTAAAGGTTGATGGAGCCGTGATATGGAAAGATAAACGACTTAATGCATTGCCCAATTAGTACCCATTCTTTGGCGAAACCTTATAATGCTGATTTAATTGGCAAACCCGTCATTACTAGTATAGCTCATCTTCCTTCTTATGCCCTTAAATTGGTTGTTTTAGCCTTGATATAACGCGTATTAACAATGTACTTTTGATGTAGATTCGATTGTTCCAAATGTCGTAATCAGTAGCCACATGGTTAATAATTCAATCTTGAGAAATGAATTGTCCTATTCTTAAACATTAATAGATTTTGTCGTATTTGAGGGTAGATGATATACAAATATTAAAGATCTAATTCACTTTATGAAGGATAAAGATGAATTATATAATAATGCAAACCAGAAATAATTAGAAACTACATAAACTCTAATTTACGAGTACCGTGAATTAAGTGTTGTGTTTAGTTGACAGCATCATATGAGATGTAGAGAATTCGTATACAATTTATACGAGATCCTCACACCTCATTACTGCTGAAATAATATAAAGTAGAGTAGGAAACGAATATAGAATAAGTGATGATTCTTATACGAGATTAGCTACCTCGTATAAGGCTGAACAGGTTGTCATTTAGGATATATAGTTTACTTATTTTACTGTAATACGTTACTATATGACATAGGATATATAGTAGAATTCATATATGGACATGCAGGATATATTGATTCAATACCAAGGTATAATAGGTTATAAGTACTGTTCTCTGCCTTCGGCATATAGAATGATTACAAGATAATAGGCTGTGATCATCCTTTACAATAACTGCTCCCTCAACTCAAACACCACGCACGAATACTATTTTCCTAATAATACTATTTTTCCTGTAAGCAGTGCTACATAATGGTTAGGACGGGAAAATAGGTTAGTTGCATGATCACTAGATCAAGCCATGGATACATTTACAAGTCCACCCGCTCCGGGTAGATGCGTAGACTCCTCAAGGGAGAATTCTATTCTTTTAGGGTTCAGAGGACGTACGTCTTCTTTGAGTAGAATAACTCAGCTATCAGTTTCTAGGTTCCGCAATATGAAGAAGATATTTCTTTTTGAACTTAACTTGATTCAAAATAAAGACCTACTAGTTTGATCTCGTTAAGCTTTTTACTGTTTTAACTATAAGTGATATTCAACTCTACAATTCGTCAAATACCACAGATCCCATAAACTACACCACCGAGCTTTGAAATTTATTGGGCAGTTTGAATGTGTATTGATATTGATTGGTATAATCTTAGGATGTAATATCATGTCAAGTTATTTAAATAAAGTAACTTTTGATGTAATGTATAAAAGAACACGTTTTTGTCGCCCTCATTTAATACTTCGAATTACAAGATTAAAACGTCTATTGTCTATCAAAAGTTTATCTCTCTATTATTTATTTATCCCATATAACTCGATACCTTATAATGTAATGCTCACTGACGTTACTAAAATATCCGCGAGTATAATTTTTAATTTTAGGCTATTCACTCTCTACGAAAATTCTTATTATCTTTCTCTACTTTGAGCCTATTTCAAAAAAGACTTGGAACTCATGCCGTGCCTAACCAAATAGCTTCTTCTATTAAGGTTCTTCTTCTCTTACTTATCACTTTGGATCCTGCTTTTAAAAGAAAGAGAAAGCTTAACCCTCTTCTGATTCCATGTTATATGTCTTTCATACAATTACATTGTTACCTTAAACTTATTGGTCAGTATCACATTTTTCGTGGCATTTCTTTTCTTCTTTTTTGTTTGAATTCATATGCGGTTTATTTGAACATAAGACAGAAGAGGCAAAGTAGAGGTCAAGACGTTTAGTGTCGTGCTTGAAATGATAGCCTCGTCAATTAGTGCAAGTTATATACAATTCAATAATACTTTTCAAAAGGGAGAGAAAGGATTCCGTTTATTTCTTTTGCAACATTCATATTCTTATAGGATTATTACTGTTACATTTACTGAAGTTTTATATACCGTAATTTTGTGGTAGGACATTAGTAGAAGAGGAGAAAAGGAGGGCTAGAAGAGGCACATTACAACTTGTGGCAGGACAATCGCAAGACTGGTTCCGACACTTAGAATAATCAAAAACGTTTCACGAAAATTATAAAAAGTTAAAAATAAAATCGAAGCTACCAGGGGTCGAACCTGGAATCTCCTGATTCGTAGTCAGACGCCTTATCCATTGGGCCATAGCTCCTTATATATTTTGAAAAGTCGCACTTCGATGAGATGGCTCAACACATCGGAGTTTAACTATTTCTATTTTTGGTATATGAGTGATTTGGTCGCTCTCATGTTACGTCAGCAAGTAGCTCTCTTTCCTCGTCGGAGATTACACCTCTTAAAGTTTCCCATTCCTTTTTATTCTGCAAATTTGTAAAGTTTATACTCGATCAAATTTTAAACAACGTATTTGATCTATCTATGTTTCTATGTTACACCCCATTATGTTAGTACCCCCATAGACACTATAACTTACATTTAATTTAAAGAGCAGTGCTTATAGATGAGTTAACAAAAAGTATAAGTAGCGACAATGTAATTTTGAGAATAAAAAAAAAAGGCTTTTCCACTTTTATATTCTTTTTGAGTACTGTTAGAGTATAGATTGAATCGTACATAGTAATATATAGACATTAGACTAGGTCGGTTACAAAAGAAAGATTGGAGTAATGAATTCCTGTTATCAAACCGATAACATATACACAATAGGGCCCATTTACCTGTCAATTTTGTGATATTTGTGGTTGTTTTATGCTTAGTGAACGCGATTTATAATTTGATATAAATTGTAAGGTGAAATGAGTCTCCTTTAGTCCTTTTATTATACACTGAAAATTAGAGAGGGGAGCGTTCACAGCAAACTGAATGTTTGTATTTAAAAATAAAAAGTCCTCGTTCCTTAATTTCTCAGCCAGTAATAATGCAGCATTATATATGCGCATCTTCAGAAATACAAGATGACGTGTACAAGTGTTATAATGATTCTATGATCATAATAACGAGTCAAATGCTTGAAAGTGTGTCTAATTCGTCTTTATATATTATAGGAGGTATGGAAATACAACACCTTCTTGACCAGATACATCCAGCAATTTGTTCGTTATAGGTAGGATTTTTTTTAGAAGATATTCTGAACTATTAGCGCCAAAGCGCCTATGACTCTTTTTGATTTATATGGTAATCTGGTACAATGTTGGACTGATTAAGGATGTTCCAACTGAACATATAATTTCTCAAGTTAGATAATCGCATTTGAGCCATTGGCATAATTTTTATTTCCTCAAATTTCATACAAATTCATACCTTAATCATTATAATGTATCTGTGTTCTTTAGTTAATCACTACTCCTTCGGGTAAATCTATATACCTTACCTACTTTTGATTCAAACTTTTTGTTAAGTTTCTTCCTCTAGCCTCTTTATCATTGAAGCATTTGGTTGTTGTAGGTTTGGAAGAAACAGTTTGGCTATTTTGAGATCAAAAGTTATAATTGAATTCCATGGATTGTTCAGACCAATATTCAATAGTTGAATTCTAACAATGATCATACTCCTATCAGTTAAGCCTATAGAAGGCAGTTATACCAGACCTCACCTATTTTTTTATTTTTTGTTTTTTCACACTAGGATATTACAATCACTTGTTTACAGTTATTCTACATACATTCATGTTCAGAAAGCATACGGCCCTTTCAATCGAACAGTGGGCTCACTACCGTATGGCTTGAAAAACAGCAATCTGTACAGACTGGATCAACATATACAAATAACCAGCGATATAGTAGGCATAACATTATACATTTATTTTACTGTTATACAAGTTTTTTCGCCATAAAGAAATTCTTAAAGTAATGCATCTGCCAGAAACAAACTACACCAAGAACAACAAGTTGGGCGATAGTCCACCAGACTACACGAGAATTTGTAAGCTCGGATTGATCACGAAATTCCTTCTCACGTTCCTGTATTAATAAACAAAGTTTTGCAGATGTTAACCAAGTGATTCAATTAGATAACATGAGAATAATAGTATAAGACTTACACGTTGGGCATTTTGTTCGATTTGAATATCTTCTACACGTTCGTTTAATTCATGGACTCTTCTAACTAGATCTGAATACACATATTCGTGATTATTTAGTGTACTGCTGCATCCAATTCTATTCAATCAATATATGCCGCACTCACCGGAAACTCCTTCTGCATTGTGATCGTGGTGGTCAGTTGGGTCATCAAAATCCATATCAAGTGTCATTTTCTAATTTTCCAATGTTATCGTTGGTGCCTTTTTTTGTTGGTTAAAATTAAATCCAATAATCAACTTACAGTTTTCGAGTTATCAAACCATGAGTTTGAGGCAGCAGAAAGGCAGATGGAATGATCACCAGACTCAAGAGATGTGAAAGTAAAGCGACCCGAAGATTTACTTTTAGTATCTACAATTTTATGACCTTGAGGAAGTTCCTACATAATATCAGCAAATTTAGTCACCTCCATCGTACAGATTGACAGGATGCCATCATTTACTTACTTCGACTGTAATTTGAATCTTGAGATCGGGATTCTCCACCCATTTATTCTCTGAAGTAGAGAATTGCTCAGACTTGTAAATACCTAGTTGCTATTGTTGTTAGTCTTTTGCTTTAAAATTAGATTGCAAAGGTCCAAACTGACGTACCAATCACCATGGTTTCTTTTGGTAAGTCTTCAACAAAACATTTCTTTTCTGAACCTTCAAGATAAAAGTATAGTGCTTGTGTTTGAGCAATGAAGGCAAGTAATAGGAACAAACTCCCAAAATGCAGACTAGTCATCTTATGACTATTCGTTTGAACGCGTTGTTGAAAGTAAATAGTAACTTATAGAAAAGGAAGGAATAGAAAAAAGTTAATTTGCTACATAAATTGGGATGTTTGCACACAGCAAAGTAGAAAATGAAATTTCAAACCAATCAAATATCAAAACCTGATTTTTTTAACTGTACGCGATGTATTGCAAGTCGATGTGCACTCTAAACCGAACGGATGATTACATTTTACAGCGATTAAATTTTATATAGCATAAGTAGCACATATTAGAAAGGAATATCTGGCCTTAGCGATTTTGATATGCGGGTAAACCAACTGGTAAGATTATTTGCATTACATATAGTCGAGAGGCAAAAAAGCAGCTTTTGATTCTGAATCCGACTGAAAAGCTTCATATGATATATTTGAGAGTAGTTGAGTGATGAAGGATACTTGCATTCGCATCAACAGTATCAGTGGTTACAATCGATTGACATTTCCTTCAAGAGGAAGGAGAAAAAAGTTTTAGAGAGAAGGCTCACCGTCAAAATCAAAAGCCAGCCGCAGAGCATGTTTAGATCGTATTTCAGCTAAATGGTGATCTCTGCAATCGAAGGAAGTTGGCTACCATGCATTTCCTGCAAATACCGCATAATTGCTGCTTTCGGTATCTAATATTTGAAGGTCGAAAATACTTCGGTTAGGTTACCCCAGATAATAGCTTCACCAATTCATCTTCTGTGCCTTTCCGGTAGTAGGCATATCAAACATCAATGAATTATACCTACATCAAGTATGCTATAGATGTTGAAATGCCAATACAGCTGATAAATACGTCAAATTTACGACATCGCCGAAGCTTGTGATTGCATACGATGAAAACGTGGATAACGTATAATCAATTGTGGATTTAAAGCGAGCTGACAATGAATGTTCTTAGCGCAATGTAGAGAAACAATCAATAATTAGTAGCTGAAATTTGTATGGGCAGTAGTATTAATCATTAAAATACGATATGCATCCTTGAACAGATCGATGAAATTAGTTACAACATTCAAGAAAGATGTCTAACTGTATCTACAATTCCTAGCGTAGTGGGTTATCTCAAAATGCGGCTCACAGGATTAAGAGAAATCTACCTCAAAATGTACATCTATTCTTATAGTTGTGCTGTATTTTTTTTTCCTGGAACAGAAAAACAGTTGAGAATAATGCTCACATAGTAGCGATAAACTGAGTCAAAAGCATGAAAAATGATGAGTAAGTTAGAATAAAAAAAGGAAAAAATGAAGTATTGAAATTGACCCAGTGAAAATGGGCGTTCATAAGCTGTTGATCTAGGCGCGTGATTTCTTAGTCGCTACTCCTCCTGAATGAAAATTAACAGCATTATTTTGGCAGAGCGGTATCTGTTGAATTCTACGAATGATAACTTCATCTCTGTTCATAGCAGCAAGTGATAGTCTCCTTTTGGTAGGGATCTAAAGTACCCAGACCGCAACCAGTTTTCCAGTGAACTTTTCGATGAGAATCCATGTACAGTTCGAGAGCCTATCACGAAAAATTTCTGTTATACCTTCTTAACTTAGTAAAGGATAACCGTGTAAATTCCTTTAGCATATGACTGCATGAATACTACCTCTCAATAGCGATTGCTATGATTTGCAGCTTTAGATGTTCACTTAGTGATCTTGCTTTTTTGCTCACTTTCTTTCTGAATTGATATGGCATCTTATATAGTGCATACTGCTGGCTGATAATAACTCATAAATGTGAATTTCTTTTTTTTTAATCTACTTGATTATATGGCATAGTGTTAAGTGCAAACAATGTTACATCCGTTCCTTAATTTTAGATTGTTTCAATTGTGAATAGCACCATTATAATGCATAAAACGATAACTCAGCGATCACTGCACGTGTAGGTTACGAGTAGCTGCGCATTGGATCTTTGCTTTCAAGTATATTACATTTGTGTCATAATGTTACTAATCTTATGCACATCTGACTCTATGTTATTATTGTTCGCAGAGCTACCAAATAATTACTTGACTTAACCAAATAATACCTCACGCCTCGGTCAATTATACTTACATTCCCCAAATGTAGCAGTGTCGTTTTTTATGAAATACAACACCTCCTTGCCACGTGCCTGCTGTTTTTGATCGGATAACGTATCAATAGCGTATATACTTTATACCGCCAGTACATCAGCACAAGGATTAATTACAACTCTGTCTTACAATCAGTATTTCGTTTTAACAACGTATAGCAGCATGGCAATTGAAAGAGTGTATTTATAAGCTATCCAGTGATACAATAAATTAAGACAGAAAAAAAATACTCTTTCCTAGCCTGTCTTAGCAGTCGAACGTATTAAACAGATGCTAATATTGCTGCTTTTAACATTAAATATATGGCGAAATACCAGGAAGATCAACGAACGAAAAAATGTTCGGGTATGGTTAAGAATCCGATTACAAACACACCGCATGAGCTGTGCACTGCAGAATTACAACAGAAGGGATCAACTCAGCAGGAGCATAAAGAAATGCTTATCTTATTATAATTAATTCAAAACGAAAGCTTTTACTAGTTTTTGTAAAAGAGTGTTTGAAATGTCGATAGTTTCAACGTAGAGATTTAGTCGTGTTTAATGTAGAGATGTTCTTTTGCTTCCAAACACAATACCCACTCTTATTGCTTAAATATCTGTAGTACAAACGATACGCGCTTTTGTCGTTGCTCGCGGACATAGTGTCCGCCACAGGACTCGCTGTCAATAATAGGGTCTATTATCAATTTCAAATTAACCCAGGAATTTTGTAGCAGTTTGAAATACAAAATGACTACACTACCAAGCAACTATATCAGCTCGCAGACGTAGAGTCAGAGTGCATACTTCCATCAATCGTACATATAAGCAAAAATCATCATACCATGTCTGTCATTAGCACATCGGCCGGAGATAATAGCGGAATTTATTTTTCAACACGCCATTTGCAATTACAAACGAAAAGCTTAATGGAAAGTTTATTTCCTTCTTCCCAAGTTGAATTTATACTTTTCTATTTTTTAACTTGTATTCACTTTTGATAAAATGAAATTATGCTGGGCTTCATACTACAGAAGTTAAAACTATATTGCGGCTGCTCTGTACCTTCAATTGTATTTTATCTTCTTACTAGAAACCAGACCACAAAGAGAGTCAACAATAGTCCTCCCAATTGGTTACTACTTCTTATTGGACTCATAGAAATTTTGGTACCTGTTTTATATGACACAGATGGAACAATACTTGACCGAGTTATATGCGCCGTTATGGCTGTCATCATGACTTCGGGGATGCTGTATTATGTTGCAGACCGCCGACAAACCCCCGTAGGAGCAAAACTTCGACCTTTTTATGAGATTCTTTCTCGTTGGAACGAAGCACCTGAAGTTCATACAGATCACAAAAAAGTTGACGATGTAGACAAGTCCAAAGTAATCACTGTCGGCGAGATTCGAGTGGACGCAATGAAATTTCTTCTTCGAGCCATTGTATATGCGCTTTTATATATGCCAGCGTTCGCCACCATGGACGGTTTCATTCGTGCGTGTCAAGAGCCACCAGAAATTTTCGCTTCTATACCTTATCTTCACAGACTCTTCAAGGAACATGTTCCTTTCCGCTCGATGTATTACTATATTTGGGTTGGCATAACACTTTCTATGCATATTGCTATCGTCCCTTTGGTTCATCTTTTTCTGCATGCTATTCAACTCAATGTTCTAGCCTGGATCCCCAATTTGAACTACAAGTTACTCATCAAGTTGCACCACGACCTTGTTCATTTTGTCGCGCAACCACCGATTTTTAACAAACCCTGGCTAACTCGCAATGTTCATGATTTGTGGTCAAAACGTTGGCATCAAATTTTTCGCCCAGGTTTTCATCAGGTTGCGTATAACCCAATTCGAAAACTGTTCGGTCCAAGACACAGAACCCTTGGGCGCTTGTTCGGTATTTTAGGTGTCTTTGCTTGCTCCGGTCTAATGCATGACTACATTGTCCTTGCTATGCTTGGATATAGTAATTGGAACAAACCCGGCATTCTCGGTTACCAAACATTGTTTTTTATGCTTCAAGCAATCGCTACCATTACGTCAATAGCAAGTCCTCGTTTGCCAACTTGGATCTCAAGAGTATTAACGTTAGGTTGGATCTTATATACAGCGCCCTTGTTTGTAGAGCCCTATGTTCGGCTTGGCCTGCATCATAACGCTGAAGTACCTGGCTTCCCCAAATTTATGGATACTCGTATTGGCGGAATCTGTCCCTACGGTCCGCGTGAATTGATTTCGCAGTAAGTCGTAACCTCTCTTCACGATATAAATTTCATTATTTGAACCTCTTCTCCACATTCATCATTTTGTATCACACTTTCTTACAATAAATGCATCCTAATATCGTTACTTTTAGACAATATTTAATAATAAACAATAAATTAGAAGTATTTATTCCAGTTGCGAGATAGATGGAGTTGTCGAAAGCTTTCTCTTGTGCTTTTTCAATGAACCCATAGTCCCAAATAAAAACATATGAATGCCCGTTAATCCCAAATTGCTCAGATATTCTAGATATTCTATACGATATTTCAAATAATTCCATTGGACGCCACCAGCCTTTGGTTAGAGTAGAAAGGAACGTTATTTTTAGATTTTTTTTCTTAATATGAACATCAAAAGTGATGGAACAAAGTACACTTACCTCTTTTAACCGGGTCAAATATTGAGCTGTAACAGGCTGAGAATGCTTTATAAGCGTTTGAGCTTCATTCTCGAGACTCTAATAGGATCGGAAGGGTATACCGATTTTAAGTTTTTGAACACTATACTGCGTAATATACAGCGCTCCCCCCTTACATTATCAACATACCTCCATAAACTTTTTCGCAAACCCAACCAATGCTGGAGAATGTGTGAGTGATGAGGTATAATTAGCTTCTACTGCTCTTTCTTGACAAAGATCATGGAAAAAAGCAAGGACTCCTCTGAAACAAAAAAAAAAGAAAGATGCGATCAAAACACTTTAGCATAAGAATAAATCACTATTCAAAAGACGGAACTCATGCGCGAACTCCAAGACTTACCTGCTCAAAGAGGTTGTTACTTTCTCTTGCCAAGAATCATCTAAGAACTTGTTTCTCCATAGCGAGTTGCATATATCAGTTACATACTCGTTAAAGTGCTGTAAATACTTTGGTGTATGCTGCGACATCCACTCTTCTGTTTTGTTCTCGTTCTCTTCGAACGCAAGTTTGTAGGTATAAATAATACCACATAAGCGGCTGATTGGCATCGCCGACACAGAATATAGAGTACGCTGAATGAAAGCTGCTTCAGGGATGATGATATCTGGTATATTATCTTGTAAAGAAAGGGTTGCAGCAAGCTCAAAAAAACTTAATCCTGCGTGTTGTATCAACGGATGGTCATTTTCTAATAAGAAGCCTGTTACGCTCAACTGACCAACATACTGTACCATTTGTTCAATGGTATGAAAATAGTTAGTGTTAAACGTCAAACCAGCGAAAGCATATGTACTATTCATGTTGAATAAAAAAGATTAGTCGTTTTTCCAACTCGACAAAAGCAAAAAAAAAAGCATTGGTCGTTACATGAATTCCATATCTGCATCAGTATCTCTTCTAAGTTGAAAATGGCGACGCCAATCTAAGAGCCCCCAATTTGCCAGCCAATCCGTATAGCAAAGTATTAGCCTTGATTTCCATTTGGTATCAGATATTATGAACAGTTCAGATAATGGTTTCAAAATATGATCATATAGTTCTACATGTAAAAAACAAGTAAGCACAATTTCAATACCAAACACTATTTGTAGTTCTACCTTTGTAATCTCGAGGCTTTATAAAGGTTATCAATTCAAATATTTCTGTGTCAAAATCAAATCCATTCCATATCGGAATGTATGCAAACAGAAATTGCTCTATGCAAGGAAGTTGGCTCTAAAAAATCAAATGGAGAATTGCTTAATCCCCTGTTTCATTGATATGATTAAGTACAAAAAATAGGTTACCTTTGCGAACCGTGTGACTTTAACAAACTTTTTTAACATTTCGCGTAGTTCATGCTTCCCAACATCTCGTTTGTTGCCCCAGCGGAGCAAATCCATTATCTTTTGCGTGATCCAAAAACCGAGTCGATTCAATGCCGTACCTGCCACCAAGAAAAAAAAAGAAAATAAAACAGACAGAAGAATCTTGAGTCAAAAAACGGTTCAAAATGACCAAGCTGTTTTGCCATGGTGAATAACACTACCATCTGGTTTACTAACAAGAATATGCTGCATCTTCCGATTATCTAATACTGCGCTCAACTGTTCAGAAAGCTCAAGATTTTCTATGTGGTTCACAATATGTGTTACATCGATTATATCCAATTCTAGAGGAGTTGTTTTCTGATACTTTCTTTGACAATAAGTATATAGTAATCGATAAATCCCTGATATTTCTCAACTGTAACTTACCTCTGGAGCAATTTTTTCACTCGATTTCTTATACTTGGGCTTTTTGTGAGCAGGCAGTCTAAATACTGGTTTCTCAGTCTCCGGAGACATTGTGTATTCATTATCCCAAATCTGTCTGATGCTGGTTATGTCATTTTTTATTTCGGGAAAAGGGTTTTGGAAGACGAAGCGATTCGCAAGCCGGACATTATGAGGAACATCAATCTTTAAGTCATAGGTTTGGTACACCACCATCAGGCCGATCAGTTCACGATTATCCTTCACATCTTCTATGAGTTCCTTTCTAGTCCAATTTAATAGAATAATTTAGTGACTTTGTCAAATAGTACATTGGCTCGAACATACAATCGCATAACTCTGAATGGTGTTACATGTTCCCGTCTCGTTAAATAGTACAATAAATGACAGGCATACGGCCTATTTGGTTATGATATTGGTTAGTTTCCTTTTATGAAAGAAAAGTGTTTATATTGGGATATGTTACCTTATTGTCTCGTAGCTTAGAAAATGAAATAAGACATGGTATAATCTTCTAAGTTTCTCCTTAATGGCGATGATATCATAAACAGATATTGTCCATTTCAACAGTTCGGCCTAGTTATTTTTCACTATGAGTAGAGCAACAATAACGACCGATTACATACATCACTTACGGCCAAATCCAGAATTTTTTCCTTGTGTGATATGCTGGCAATAATACGAACAATATATTCATCAGTAATGTCGCCCCTAGGTAATAAATAATGAACTAATCTTTTGCTCGTGCCGATTGCTTTTGTGGAAAAAAAGTGGGGTTGGTGAAATCATTCTTTCAATTATATGATACTTGTATGTAGCTACGAGATGACTACATACGTAATTTTTTGCTCATAATAACCTCAAATAGTGCATTAAACTGTGGAGGCAAAAGTCCATACTTCTTGATGACTGGAAATATCCGTCTTATCTTTTTAAGTTTTTTTTGTATCCGATATGTAGGTTGATCTAAACGATCGAGCAGCAAGATCAATAACTGATCGTACAGAAGATTCCAACATTGAAAATACCTGGGTGAAATCCTGCCATTGTATTACTAATAAGCTCATCAACTGTTTCTCTGTTTATTGCTTCGAACGAGATCCCGTTCAAATCACCATTGTCTTCATTCTCGTTGCTTTCATTGTTATCATCGTCGTCAGTGTTTGAATCGTGAATAGAATCTTCGGCTTCTTTTATTGCATATGCTAGAAGAGTATGTAAGAAAGAATGCTGTAGATAACGTTGTAGATGGGAAGTTGCTCAACTGCTTACGATCAGAATCAGACAAACTCATGTTCTGCTGTTTGACAGAAGCAAATTGTGTGGGAAGTTAATACTATAATTTTTAGTTTCTCTTTAGGATCATATTTCCATTTTCAGCTCGCATTTATCGTAACTTGAAACTGTACAAAGGCATTTCCACTGTTGCACCAAGTTCAATCATCATGTTAACTTATTTTCGAAACAATATAAGCGCCTTCAAAAAGCACAGAAAGTAACAAAACACGCTACCATTCAAGGCTAACAATAGACATGGTATAATAATTTCGCTTATATTTACAATTCGATGAAAGCTTACATGCGGAATCCACGTCAAACCGTCTTTGCATTTCAAACTGTCACAAGTATTTCTGCATCAATATGAAATTCGCAATAGGCCCTGTTATTGAGTGTTGTACAAAACACTATGTTTGCAAGATAAGAGAAACGCGCGTATCATTTGTCTCTTAGATAATTTATAAATAATGTTTCCAGAAGCAAACATATTAGCAAGTGTTCCTAATACAAGCAAGATAAATTGCTTTGACCTACGATAACCAACTTCAACAATTACGATTGGAATTTCTTAATACCCTTCAACCTTTCTCCTTTGTCGTGCATCAAGCATTTTTGCAATTGATCTGCGATCACAGCCATATACCATTTTCACATTATTTGAAGCACCTAACACAAGCCGCGATTCGGCAACAAAAATGGTCTCCAAACTTTTTTATAATGTCGCTTATCTGGTCCTTCCAGCACTAATCCGACTCTTCCAAAGCAATATGTAAAACACTCTATTTGTGAAATGCCAAAATGGTCAAACAAAGTCTATCTGACAACAAAATCGTTGATTTAAACCATGAAGATGAATACACCCTCAACATATTGGACACTCATTCTCTCAGTGCGCTATTAACACTTCTGACTTCCCTGATGTCAGCAAGCCTCGTTTCAGCAGACAAATCTGTGGCAGAACATGTCAAGTCTCGTGTCCCAAACGGTTATTAATACATCCTTGTCTCCGCTGTTACGTATTGCCTTTAGACATCAGATGATCGTTCGGTGTCATGTTGAACATCAGAGACCAACAGTAACTATCTCGTATAACTATCTATACGATATACTTTTAGGCTTTTTGATACCACCATTTATATTCCTATCTTTTACTGTATGGTACTTTATTTTTGGCAAACTGAGTAAGGCTTTTTTTGTTTTAATGATGCGTAATACATGTGTTTATTGCAAGATATGCATATAATGATTACATAGCTATAAATGCACATATTATTTAAGAGATTATTTGGAGCTGCTTGGCTCGTAGTTAATCCATTTTGTCTTCTTTTTTTGCCTTGGTCTAGATAAACCACTGGTATTGGCATTGGTGATTGTTGCTGATGGGGCAGGGCTATGTATAGTAAGATCATTTTGGTCATTATCTGTGTTGATTTTGTTTGATTGAAATATATGATTACCTATCTAGACCGAACTGTGTGAAATCAAAATATCGAAAGAAGCATCGAGCAATATATCTCACATTTGTCTCCCTAGTCAGTTGAGGTAAATATTCCCGAGAAAAGAAATGCCTTAAGTTTTGTGCATCGATTTTTATAAAACGCCATTTGTGTGAAGGATTTGGAAAGAGAGACAACAGTCGAGGTACGAACGGAGGAAGTCTTCTATTCTGCGGCTCTTCCTGTGGCAAATGACGAGTGGTTGTTTCTTCCAAACTTTCCATGATTTGCCGTTCATAAACCTGCATCATGTATATGAATAATGGTATCATAATTTGAGGCCTCTCTGTAACTGTTTCCTTTGTTAACGGTTTTCTTTCCAAATGGTTCCGTAGATGGATAATTTCTGTCATATTTATGGTTGATTTCTTATTAAAGTGAACGCGACTTATAAATTGATATGTAAAACTGTCAGGTGAAATGAGTCTCATGAGTCTCCATTAGTCCTTTTATCTACACTGAAAATCAAAGGATGTTTGTATTTAAAAAAAGGAAAAAAAAAAAAATAAGTCCTCTCTATAATTTCTCAACCAGTAGGAATGCAGCATTGTATGCGCATATTTAGAAATACAAGATGACGTGTACAAATGTTATTATCATGATAACGTGTTTAGTATTTGAAGGTGTGTTTAATTCCTTTTTATGTATATAGGAGGTATGAAAATACCACAAATACATTATCATTCTGATGAAAGGATATGTACTTGCCAATATTCTTTTCATTAATGAGAGCTTCAGGAAGTGTCATTTGATTCTGCTAAAGAGTATATGAATCTAAAACAACTTGTAAGAAACAAAGATAAAGATAGAGGAAAAGAAAAGAGAGAGTAGTATAACTGACAACATTCTTGGATAACAATTTATCACTCTACTACTGTCTGATGTATAAGCTTTGTATTTTAGCTCTTCGGGAGGGGCTCTCAAGAGGACAATAAGTGAAAGAAAGGTTATTCAGACTGTTATGCTCTCAGTCCTGAAGGTGCTTTGGACTGAACAACTGCCATCAGTCCAATTTTATTCTAGGAAGTGTTTAGAACAGAGCGCCAAATTGGTCCGAATGCAGCTAATGAAAGAGTCCCAACTTTATTTAAGAAAAGTTCGAATCTAAAGCGAAATACTGTCATGACTCAACTAAACTGAGATAGAATTGATCGTTGCAGCGTTGACGTCCCGGTACCTCATAACGCAAAATTTTACATGTTACGCCCGCTGAAGATTCTTCATTGGTGCAGAAGGCGTAAGTGGTAGCGTATCCCAATAACCAAAGTAAGGAGCATAAGGTATCCGTTAGAGTTCGCCAATCGGGTAGTTTTTCAAAGCGGGATTATCTTTCGACATACAATCCTCTACGTGCGACAATAAGCACATTCTGTGGGACAATGAAATGATGGAAAGGGAAAAAAGCGACTAGTTGTTTCCTTTTCTTTACATTAATAAATGAACAATGACAGCAAGCTATTATCTAGGATTAGACTTATCTACCCAGCAATTAAAATGTACTCTTATCAATGATGAGCACACTATTGTTTGGGAGAAGGCTGTGAATTTTGACAACGACTTGCCTGAATTTGGAACGAAGCATGGTGCAATTGTAAATGACAATGTCGTCACCTCGCCAACGCTAATGTGGGTAGCAGCTTTAGACATGTTACTTTGTAGTCTGAAAGAGACTCGATATATTGGTTGTATCAGGGGTATATCAGGTGCTGGTCAGGTAACTATCATAGACGATGGGTTTTTTTACCAGAGAGAAAGCTGTATCTGACAAAATGATGTAGCAACATGGCAGCGTATATTGGAAGCAAGCAGGCATCACTCAAATTCAGCAATTGGATCCTCAGCAGTCTCTAGCAAAGCAGTTAAAAGATGCATTTGCCATTACACAGTCGCCTATATGGCAAGATGCGAGTACAACTGCAGAATGTCGCGCTTTGGAAGAATTTGTTGGAGGCCCTCAGGCATTAGCTGATTTGACTGGGTCCAAAGCATACGAGAGATTTACAGGAAATCAAATCGCAAAGGTTCGTAACTAAAAACTTATTCAATAACCTGGAATATAATTACGCGATATGAACATAAACAGACTAATTGTATATTTACAGATATACCATACAAATGAAGATGCATATGAAAATACCGCATATATCAACCTTGTCAGTTCATTTTTGGCAACTCTTCTACTAGGTCAGTTTTCTCCGGTCGATGCCGCTGAAGGTTCAGGAACCAACTTGATGAATATCAAAAATCATAAATGGGAAAAAAAACTACTCGACTATTGCGGAGGTCCTGATTTGGTAAAGAAATTGGCTAAAGAGCCAGTGGAAGGCGGTACCGTTTTGGGCAACATCAATTCATACTATAGCAAAAGATACGGTTTTCCTTCAGGTACAGTTCTTTTCGGATGTTGACAGTTTTTAAGGAAATAACACTAACCCGATCGAAGATTGTAAGGTTATGCCTTTTACTGGCGACAATTCTGCAACACTTGTCTCCATGAATCTAAGTGAAGGTGACTGTGTGATTTCCTTAGGTACATCGGATACTGTCTTGGTTTATCTAAAGAAGGGTGCTGCCGCAACTACGGATTCACATCTAATGGCACACCCCACAGACTCTGAAGGTTTTATGGGTATGCTCTGCTACAAAAACGGCTCCCTCACCCGTGAATATATTAGAGACAGTTACGCTAATGGCAGCTGGGACACCTTCAACGAGTATTTGGTTCAAAAAGAGGCTTTATTGAACGATTGTTACGGATTTTATTACTATATGCAGGAAATCATTCCATTTGCCAAAGGCATTTATCGTTTTGAAAATGGTAGTGCATTGAACGATTTCACAGACAAGACTATAAATGTGAAGGCTATTCTTGAATCACAGTTCATGTCCATGAAAATTAGATTACAGCGTATGGGTGGTAATAAAGTTAAGCGCATTCTAGCTTCTGGCGGTGCCTCCAAAAATCCCATGATTTTACAAGTGTTGTCTAATATTATGGGATTACCAGTCTATAGACAAAAAGGAGCGAATGGCGCAAGCCTTGGCGGAGCTTTGCTTGCCAAATATGCTGTACAAAACAAACCATTCGAAGAAATGATGGCAGAACATTCTTCAACGGATTTGGAGCTTATTTGCGAACCAGATATGGAAAGAACAAAGCGGTATTCAGAACTCGTAGATAAATTTGTTGACTTGGAGAGTACAATAGCAAAATAAAGGTGTTACATTAGCAACAAAACCTATTCAGTGTATATATTCTATAGTTATTATGTATTATTTCATTTTTAAAGACATGTGGAGCTTTCTTTTAATCACAGTTGCATATTAAAGGATTGCTCATCCAAAGCCATCACATTACTATGCGTCTGTAACTTAGACACTCGTTAAAACCAAAAATGATCGCAGTCATGTCAAAGTTCGGCAACATGCTGGAACTTTCCTGAAATGACGATATGGTCGGAATCCAAGAACTCGGATAATTGCTTTAGACCAATAAGAAAGCAACAATATATGCACAGACTGCCAGTACTTTCTCGTACTTTCTCTACCAATTTTCATTAGCCAATAAAAAACCTCGGAATCTCCTAGTAATAGCCAAAGGAAAACATATAAAAAAAGCAAAGTTTGCCAAATTTTCTGTTCTTCATCAGTAACTGATTTTTCTTTAGTTCTCTATTCATTACAATATCAAACTATAAATAAAATGTCTGAAGGCAAAGCTGGTATGTATCAAACCGGAGTGACGTTTTTACAAATTTATATTTTAGTTTACAAACGGTTGTGTTAACCGCTTTTATTTTTCATTTTTTTGATAGTTGGTATCGATTTGGGTACTACCTACTCCTGTGTTGGTGTTTGGCAAAATGATCGTGTAGAAATTATTGCCAACGACCAAGGTAACCGTACAACTCCTTCCTATGTTGGTTTCACCGACAGTGAACGTCTTATCGGTGATGCTGCCAAGAACCAAGTCGCTATGAACCCTCATAACACTGTTTTCGATGCCAAGCGTTTGATTGGTCGTCGTTTCGATGATGCTGAAGTTCAAGCTGATATGAAGCACTGGCCTTTCAAGGTTGTTAACAAGGATACCAAGCCTGTTATTCAAGTAGAATTCAAGGGCGAAACTAAAACTTTCACCCCTGAAGAAATCTCTTCCATGGTCCTTACAAAGATGAGAGAAACCGCTGAAGCTTATCTTGGTACCACTGTCAAGAATGCTGTTATCACTGTTCCTGCTTACTTTAATGACTCACAACGTCAAGCTACCAAGGATGCTGGCTTAATTGCTGGTATGAATGTCCAACGTATCATCAACGAACCTACTGCTGCTGCCATTGCTTATGGTTTGGACAAGAAAGTTGAAGGTGAACGTAATGTCTTAATCTTTGATTTGGGTGGCGGTACCTTCGATGTCTCCCTCTTGACAATCGAAGATGGTATCTTTGAAGTCAAGGCTACTGCTGGTGATACTCACTTGGGTGGTGAAGATTTCGATAACCGTCTTGTCAACCACTTTATGCAAGAATTCAAACGTAAATTCAAGAAGGATATTTCTGGTAACGCACGTGCTGTTCGTCGTCTTCGTACTGCCTGTGAACGTGCCAAGCGTACTTTATCCTCTGCTGCTCAAACCACTATCGAAATTGATTCTCTCTTTGAAGGCATTGATTACTATACCTCCTTAACTCGTGCTCGTTTCGAAGAACTTTGCCAAGATCTCTTCCGTAACACTATGGAACCCGTTGAAAAGGTTCTCCGTGATTCCAAGATTGACAAATCTCAAGTCCATGATATCGTCCTTGTCGGTGGCTCTACTCGTATCCCCAAGGTTCAAAAGTTGGTTTCTGACTTCTTCAACGGTAAGGAACCTAACAAATCTATCAACCCTGATGAAGCCGTTGCCTATGGTGCTGCTGTTCAAGCTGCCATTCTTTCCGGTGATACTTCCGAAAAGACTCAAGACCTTCTTCTTTTGGATGTTGCTCCTCTTTCTCTCGGTATTGAAACTGCTGGTGGTGTCATGACCCCCTTGATCAAGCGTAACACTACTGTTCCTACCAAGAAGTCTGAAATCTTCTCCACTTACGCTGATAACCAACCTGGCGTCCTTATTCAAGTTTTCGAAGGTGAACGTGCCCGTACCAAGGACAACAACCTTCTCGGTAAATTTGAGTTGTCTGGTATTCCTCCTGCTCCCCGTGGTGTCCCCCAAATTGAAGTCACCTTCGATGTCGATGCTAATGGTATCTTGAACGTCTCTGCTCTCGATAAGACTACTGGTAAATCCAACAAGATCACTATTACCAACGATAAGGGCCGTTTGTCCAAGGAAGAAATCGAGCGTATGGTGAATGAAGCTGAGAAGTATAAGGCCGAAGATGAAGCTGCTGCCGCCCGTATTCAATCCAGAAATGGTCTTGAGGCTTACGCTTACAATCTTCGTAACACACTGCAAGATGAAAAGGTCGGCGGTGCTTTACCTGCAGAAGATAAGGAAAAGATAAAGACTGCAGTTGATGATGCTATCAAGTGGCTTGATGATTCTCAAGAAGCCTCCAAGGAAGAATATGAATCAAGACAGAAGGAATTAGAGGAAATTGTTAATCCTATCATGATGAAATTCTACCAAGCTAATGGTGCTGCCGGTGGTGCTGCTCCTGGCGGATTCCCTGGTGCTGGCGCTGCCAATACTGCTGCTCCTTCAAATGATGAACCTACCATTGAGGAAGTTGACTAAATATCATGCTTGCATCGAATTGTAGATTTCCCTCAGCTAATTTCTAGAATTTTGCATTATCACTCCCTTATACACTATTTATTATACTATTATCCATTTTAATTGTCTTTTCTGTAAATCAATAATTCAAATTGTAAATAAATTGTCTTTGTAAACAAATATTTTCATTTATCGTCTTTGTTTCTGTAGTATCGAATAACATTATTATTTGAAACTTTATTCAAAACGATTCATGTTTAGTTCGTGAAGAAATGTTTAACAGTTGTTAGGCGGTTGGTTTGATGTAATCTGTTCGGAATGGAGTATAAAAACAATCCAATACATTTTTAGATTTTCTGTAATGTCCATCATTTGTTTACACATTTTGGTTGCAAGCGGTTAAAATTTTACAATAAATTAATCTGAGAAATACTGATGGAGTAACTTTGCTTTCAATGAATAAAGTTTTAATGATGTGCATAACGGTAGGGTTTATATTCAATCGAACTCTTACCACATTGAAATAAAGGTAGGTTGAATTGTTATGTTTGAAAACAGAAGGAAAAGGCACATACTGACCAGATATTTATTCAATTGTTCCAGAAATAACCTTAGAGTATGAATATAGCAATTCCAGAATAAATTTGGCAAACACTGAAATCGACTTTTGATATATATATATAACATTGCTCAGAATTTTGATCGAGAATATACAAGGAATACTGACTGAGCCGCAGTGTAGATGTAGTATTGTTTAGTCAGAATAATTCTTTACTGCAGTTGTTTCAATTTCTTATAGCAACGGTTGCAGATTTTTTCTTCTGAATTTTCATTGTCATTATTGTTGCTCTTTGGCCACCATATAGGTGTATGCTGGATTTGACAATCTTCCATAGCACATACTCTTCTTTTACGTGGATTAGTATAAGTGGTGGTATTAGTAGCAGACAAATTGACAATGTTATTGCTGTTGGAAGATGAAGAGTTAGTTGCGGATGATGATGGTGTATTTGCAGAGGCTGAAGATAGTGACTTTGAGGCTGAAGCAGATAACGATAACAATGATGAATGCTTCTTTATAGATAATTCAGGATGATAACTCAGTAAATTAATATGCTCGCTCATATTCAAAGCTTCGATAGCAGCATCTTTGGCATTAGGAATCTTTGGATGACGCGCTTTTGTTGCGCGTGAATTTAAAGTTGCACGAAATCGTCGCATAGCTGGAGTTGTATCCGCAGCGACTTGTTTGTAAAGCTTGAAATAAGTCATTAATGCAGACTAATTAATAACAGAAAGTTAGTTATAGTGGTTCGCGCAGCATCTTCTAGAGGGAGCTGGTGTGCTTCCTGATTAAACTCACCTCTTGGGTATCATTGACTGTTCGGCAATTCAAGTCAATTAGTTTTTTGTGAGATATAATACTATTATGGGATGGACAGAATACATGAGGCACCATAAGGCCTGAAGGAGAACCACGGCCAAATAGTCCAGCAGGTACCATGGGATAATTTGTGAACTTGTTGCTGTTACGAGTATTAGGAAGTATTTCAAAGGCAAGTTTGAACTGATTATTCACGGCACATTGAACATGTACTGTCTTTCTACACTCGGAGCAAGCAACGCACGCACCACGGGTATCGTGACAAAGTTGACAATTGGCCTCAATTCTACCAGGATGCAGGCAACCAATGTATTCTACAGGCGTTAATGTGGTGATGTTGGCAAATTTGATCTCGGGAATAAAGGCGGCACAATGGAGATGGACCCAGTGATGACCAGCTGTTCGTTTTAGAGGTTGGTGAGGTGTGCCCTTGTTGTTACAGAGAAGGCAGTTGTAAGCATAGGATACAACAGGGTTTCGCTTGTTATTACAAACATCGCATCGCCATCCGATGCGTGCTTTACGGCTATCAATGCCATAGCAGTCTAAAATAAATTGGTCAGTGATTTGAAGATTCGCCCAATTCTGGTAACAGCAATTTCTTTAATAAAATTTCGTACGAACTTACCATTATGCACAGACATACCGCAGCTATGGCAGGTGTATAATCGATCATCCGGAGTAGTGGACGAGCAAATTTTGCAAGGAGAAGGTGGAAAGTGTATTACCACTTGCCTTTGTCGTCTCTATATGTCAGAACACAACATTAGTTAGACAGGTTCTAACGATTGATTTGCCAATGTTAAACCCTATCGCTCACTTACCTCATCTTTGATTTTCTTTATCATATGTTTGCTGCCACTTTCAAGAGGTCGTTTTCGCTTTTTGTTATCTACTATATCACTGCTTTCGCTGCGAGGACTTTGACTCGCAATAGAAGAATTTGAAGGGGAACTTTGACGAGCATGAGCTGTGTTGATGTGAGCAATTCTTGTCTGAGGTGAAATAGGTTTAATCTTGGCATATTTCAGCCAATACACACCGCAATCATCACATAAAACTTTGGTAAAAACTTTCTGCCTACGATCTATATCGGAAGGAGATCTTCGCCAAACTCTAGATTCAGTATTTAAACAGTTCATACATTGATAAGGTTTTCTTGGAGGTACGGCTGTCTTTGGAATAATGGTGGGATCAAGGTCTTCATCTTCGGCTTCATCTTCATCCTTTGCCATCTCTTCCTCTATAACATCGTCCTTGTCGTTCTCTGAAGAAACATTATATTTTTTGAACTTTTTCAATGGCTTGTATATTTTTGTCCATTCAGAATAAACAATTTCATAACGATTTGTTTTCTTCCACTGATAGAAGAATCGTACAATATCTGCCATCGGTTTAGTCTTGACATTTTTCTTAGCGTAGTTTAAATCGTGGCCATGTTCGCGTATACTTTGCTCAAACAGGTTGATTTCTTCTTGTGACCACTGAGGTACTACTTCTCCCTTAAAATCCTCTGTGGTAAGTTTGGACATATTCTCAAACGCAATATCGGTATGGTAGGAATTGTTATGAAGCTCTAATAGAGCTCGATCAAGTAGATCAGAATTATGCGTTGGAAGAGGAAGGTTGGGAAGTTCGCGTACTGAGTCCATATAATCATCCACTAGATTGTATACTCAACTTAGCAGAACGATCAAATGAATATTGGTTGACTCTGTGAAAACTTACCTTGCTCATCGCTCAAAACGTCTGGTTTGTACATGCAGGTTACTGTATCATCGCCTCCTCTAACGGGTTTACTCCATTCATCATTATTGGAAACAGAATCTATATCCATAGCAATGTCTGCTGTCGTTGTGTCGCCTAAAAAGAGAGTATAAATGAATTGGTTAAGTGACATGTGGTGAATTTCTATTTTTTGCAAAAATTGCTTTACATGGCTTTTTTTGTTTTTGATTGTGAGGACCATTAGACATGATACTGATATTATTCATTTTGTTATGGCTTTGATTCTTTTTATCTGACTTTCTTGATTTACTGCTGCCAGAAAGGAGGGAGAGGTGTGAGACTGAATTGGCTTCACTGCTTGTTGGAGAAGATAGCGCACTACTGCGACTATTATTGTCAGCTATTGATGTTGTTGACAGCGAATCTGCTACAGTCGCTTGGTAACGTGAGCCTATTCTACTTTTGGCTCTCGGGTAGATTCTATCATCAACATCAAGGATATCACCGATATTCGTATTAATACCAAAGTAACGGAACGGCCACATATGCGTCATTTTCATTGGTTGATCTGGCGAAGGCCGAACAAAAAAAAAAGAAATTTTTTTTTTTTTTTTTGAAGCCGTGTGTGTTAGTCAAATTCGCATCAAAGGATAAATAAATTAATGTGCTTACTGTTCTGAGGTATAGGTGATGCTCTTGGAGTACTAACAGCAGAAGAGTCATTTCGTTTGATGTTAAGCTTCAATTTAAGACTAGGAGAGGCAGAATTAGAAGAATTGGTAGAATTTGAAACAGCGGGGGCCAAAACGACGGAAGCTTTCGTTTGGGGTGGTGTGGGCAGTGGAGGAGGAGTGGTTGAAGGGGTTGAAAGGCGCTGTTGTTGCTTCGTTTGAGAACGGGTTGTACGGGCCTGTCTTTTATTCCTACTATTTTCCAAGCGATGCTGATCATTTTCTTGCTGCTGTTGAGGATGTGTTGCACCGGGCGGACTTAAGGAGTTTGCTGCAGAGCTGTGCGATGTTGCATCGTAAGAGGGACTTTGGGGGTTTGAGGAAGAAGACAAAGATTCAGCCATCAGTAATTCTTGTCTTGTGCAGAACGCGCATTGCCAAGCAAAACCCTTAGAGGGTTTGCGAGTCAATGGTGGGTTCAAACAAGCCATATGATAGCTTTTCTGACAAGCAGTGCATTTCACAGATACAGTACTACGAAGAATGTGAGAAGTATAAATTGAAATATTACGTTTGAAAAAAAAAAGTGAGATTCCAACATAATGGGAAAGATATGGCTTAATAATGAATGAGGAAATAAGAATTATAGTTACCTTTGGCACCATTCATTACAGACACAGCAAGTTCTTCTGGCTACAGTCAAGTCAGCTGCTTTACCTTGCTCAACTACGATAAACTGATACCTTTGTTTTAAGGCTTCCAATATATCCATGGGCACATTTTGAACTGTTTCACATGGAACGACATCATAAACTCGTTGGATATATCGATCATAGAGCTGATGGTAGTAGAAATTATCTGGCTCTTTTCTGTAGGCCTCAAACTCATTCTTGGGTATATAGTATTTGTGAGTTACGGTACATTTACCACGAATGGAGGATACAGGATTCACATCAGAATGCATAGTGGCCACCAGTAAGCAGGGATCAGCCGATTTCCTGTTGATGACATCTTTGAGTCTGTTATACCAAGCTATTCTAGCCTGTAGCCCTTTTCGTTTATGGGAAGTACAGAATTCCATCACTCTGCCAATGTAATAGGGTTCACCAAGGTGCTCTGGAGCGAGGTAGACGTGATCTTCCAACATAAATACAAAAGGAGGGGAATGTCAGTAACTCAAAAACAGAATGAGCAAAAGTCCTTCAGCCGAGTAGCATATACTTACCATTGATATGGATAACAGTTCCATTTTCCAGTGTTACTTCAGTAATTTCATGTGCAGGCTTTACCTCTGACATAACCAATGCTATCAATAGATATAAGAAGATGGAGAGGTAGTGGTGGGGGATAACAAATTTGGAAAGAATTTTTGGATTTCGAAAAGAGCAAAGATAGTTTTCTGGCCTGAACAGTATTAAAGGGGGTTCTTTTTGAGAGAAAGAAGTGCGCGTATGTCTAATGTGTGTATCTTTCTTTTTTTGTTCAATTAAATACGGTAGATGGGGTAAGGAAGTATAGGCTAAAGAAGTACAATAATAAACAACAAAAGGCGAAAATTGTTCAAATAGAGAGACTTTTAAAGCAGAAAATCCAAATTAGCCTTATGTTGATTCTCCTGTTTCCCCTTATTTGATTTGTGTATTCAGATATCTGTGTTCTGCAGCCTGATGTCGATAATCGATATTGAATAGGCAGAAAGAAAAAAAAGAGATGTTTAAAGAGAGAGAGAAAATGTAGGCGGACAGAAATAGGCATTTCAAAGTTGCTTCAGTCGACTGTAATAAGGACTCTTTTGTATTGGCTGCTGGAAAAATTTTACAACAGCAAGATAAGGAAATTTCATTGAAGAATTGCAGACCGTTTCCCTTCAGTCTCCCTGATCCCTAAGCCAACGTTGACAGGAATTCTTCCCCAGCAAATCTTGGCCTGCTGCCCTAGATAGTCAGCTAGACAATATATTCACGCAGATACAACCATCATAAGCATGAGAAAATATGCTGAAATCAATATAAGTATCGTAATAATCGATCATCGAGAATATTTTATTAACAAGTAAGTATTATAGGAAGTGAAAGTACAGGAATATTAGAGTATAGTAAGTAGAGTCATCATAAATATTAAGATTAGTTTTAGGAAACAGAAAGCAGAGTACGCATCATAATCAAATATCAACATTGGACAGCAAAAACAAGGTCTAGAATGATTCTATCGTGCTTTGTCGAGCTTGCCTTTTGTTCCACTCTCGTTTCTCTGACCAGGCTTTGATCACCATTAATGTGGCCACGTACGTCAAGGTTATAGATGTAAATGCAACACAAACATTCATCAAAAACATGGAATCAACATTATTACGGCGCAACCATAATAATGTGCCAGAATTAGAAGCCATGAACAAAATAGATCCTGCAGTTAACAAGAAAGCACCGACGAGTTCACTAGGTGGTCTGGTTGGTTGAGAATCTTTGGGTGGGTTACGATACAATGTGATATAAGTAATAAATCTGCACAAAGCTGCTGTAGCTAGTAGTAGACCCCACATGTAATGTATATTCGAAGAATAAGCTGTATCCTGGTGGTGATTTCCCATTGAAATGCCCGTCATAAGAACGGTCAAAGCTGGGAAAGGATTCCACGAATACCCTTCCCTGTCTACTGTTGTATTATTCGTATTTGTCAAAATAGTACGCTCTAACAGACGTCTCACTGCTCTACTCTCCACAAGAATTCCAACTAAGCCACACCACCACCACATGAATGCTAAACTAGCATGTTCCAAATCTTTGTGAGTCCAAGCAGAATCTTGACCAAAATGTTCCATCCAAGTGTTTGTGATACCATATACAAAGATGAGACTACATTCAACCATTTCAAAACTGAAGCCAGATGCACCTTCTACCTTATTCCAAGCCCATCCGCGATTTGCAAAGGCACCCAAATATCGGCCAAAAGTGCCCATACCGTAAAAGAAGAATATGCCACCTTTGATTAGATGTGCAATACAGCCCAGGACTTCCCAAGATCTGCATAATGACATGTGGTTGCCAAAAATAATCAGAGGAATAGAAAGCTTAATAATCTCGAATGTACTATTTGTTATAGGATGCATAATGCAATTATACTTTACCTGCAAACACCATGGTAAACAACGAGACCGCTCAGCGTCTGAACGAAAATCAGAACAATGAATGTTCTGCCCATTATCATATGGAAATATCGACAGACAACCTTTGTAAACGGGTTATATGCAAGCATCACAAAGCCGTCTTTAACAATACTGGGTATATAAGGTGAGGCTAAGTTGAACAAACGCATGGTGACTGGCTCTTTCTCAAAGACAACTTTGCTGCGATTGTCATTCAAGGACGATACCAGCTGATCGTTTTCTTCTGCGCCTTCTGGATCATCTTCATAATCAGTAGAGTGGTTCGCATTGTTAATCTCAGGATTAGAAGACCGTCTATATTCCTGCTTGTCTAAATCAAATTCATTCATGTGGAGAGTATCACCGCTTGCTTCACTTTGATGATCCGACGAGGAAGATGATGTTCCGCTACGGATAAATTCACGTTGCTGTACTTCCTGTAGTCGTTCGTAAGCATTGCTGGATCTTCTGCCTACTGCATTGGCTATTTTGCGTACAACACCCACACTCATTTGAATAAGCATAAATAAAAAAAGAATCCAGCCGAGTGTATGGTGAGAATTGCCTTTATAAAGGTGCGGCGTCGAATGACCATAGAGTTGTGCAAAGAAGAAACCTGCCATTGCAAAGCAGAAAGCTAATAACTGGACAGGTACGTGAAATGAAGATTTTGCTATGCCCAACATGATACCTGTGGTTGCAATAAATGATAAGCATGGCATGGTTATGGTTTAAAGATTGCTCTACATTTTGTTCAAGTTACCAATAGGCATAAGCACCCAAAAGGCTATCACCATCATTGCGACATGAATATAGAAATAGCCCTTCTTTTCAGGAAATAAAGCATAGGACATCAACTCATCACCTGTTGCATTGAATGCTGGTACTGGCTCATCCATTCCCATGGTGGCATGGTCATGTTGTGCTGAAGTAAGTTGAATCAGACATAAAAATAGTAATGAAAGGAATAGTAGATCTCGCCACTTGAACATTATTTTTCTGCTTTTCGGTGAGAGAACCTTATTAGTTAGATCAAGTAAATCAATACAAAAGCAAGTCAAAGTATAGAAATATAAATTAAAAAAGGAATTAAAAAAATTGAAAGATAAAACAAAAAGGAAAATCTGTTTAGAAAAAAAATAAAAAAACTAATACGTTTTAAGCATAATTTATATCAAAATTTTAGCGCGTAAAATTCCTTAATGTGTGTTATGATGCTTGTATGTGTTCTCCAGTCCGGGTTTTGTGTTCTGGGAGAATTGGATCTTTTTTATTTCCTGACGTTGAATTCAGTTCAGCGGCCGGTTGGCTGTCAAAAAGATTGGCTACGTTTAAGCGAGCTATCTAGGGTTTCAAAGGATGCAGTGCCCATATACGTAAAGTAGTTCCTTAGCATTTGAACATTTTATTGCATAGTCATTAAGCTTTTCTACCATTGCTTATCCCTTGATCGTGATCTGCCATATGATGCAGTTTGCTGTTGTTTGACAATACCAACTTGAGTAAGCTGATAGTGATATCATGATGTCCAATGATTTTTTGATAAAAAGCTCGGATAAATTGTTAATGTCTCATGCAAAAACTGAAATGCAACTCTAAATTGTACCCTGCAAAATTGTGTGATTCGGCTTTTCATAACAATCAATGTATACATTCTACATAATTCCTTATGGTTCGTTTCGTCCCCGCATTGAGGCCATAAATCATGTGTTTCTTACCCCGCAATTTCAATTGTTACTCTGAATTTGATGTATTTTTGATTTCAATTCTTTGATCCGACAATCGTCTATTATAAATATGAAAAGTGGCTTCAAATGCATGTGTATAATTTTTCTTTCATTTCCAATCTTCTTGAAAGATATGACTTTACGTTTTCGCGTGTAACATGCCCCGATTGCGCAAAAAAATTTTTTTGGGTTTTGACTGTAACTCATGGACACGGCTAAACTCTTTTAGGTCTTTCTAGAAGGATATAATCCTTCTATGCGTTATACATGCAAAAGAATGCTAAAGAATGACTGTCCTCATTGTACTTTTATTAGATGAGGAATATGCTATTAGCAAGATCGCATTAATGTTTTTATTGTCTAACACTTCTATGTTTCGAATTCAAACGACAACAAACCAACGGGAAGTATTTTTATGGAAATTCTTAGATTTGTCATGTTATCACGAAGTTACTGTAACGGTCCATCATATTTACCGGCGGTTATGAGTTCCTCCAGCACAAAATGCTCAACAGGCCATCTTTCGGATGAGTTCTTTATTCAGAAATTACAAGAATAGGAAAACAAAAACCATTTATCATGAATTAAACGATGATAATAATGTAAAGGTAATCAACCAAAAAGGTGTCTGAGAGGCTGTTTTCAGTTCTACGATAATTATATCGAGTTCGGGTTAAAGAATAAGCAGTTGCTATAAAACAGCAAATCAAATGCTCCTCGCCAGTCGAAACAACCCTGGTAGATCCCTTTTCTAGAAATTGTTTAAAGGAACCAGATGAGATATATTGACACTGCTGCGGCATAACGGACATTCCGGCTTATTTTGACACCATTCTATGATACAGTTCCAACAAAATAAATGACCACAGGGTGTTGTTGTTGTAACTGTACGCTGTTCTAAGCAAAGCGCACATTTCAACAATTGCATCTGTTCGTAGCTTAATTCTTCTTCTTTTTCTTCTTCTTCTTCTTCTTCTTGCGCAGCCTTTTCATCAATTGAGTCCATGAAATCGAAATCATCTTCATCAACAATCTCAAGCTCGTCTTTTTGTGCTGCCTTCTCTTTTTCAAGATTTTCAGCATCTTCAAGTAAGGCTTTCATTTGTTCTTTTTCTCGCTGTACAGCTTGAATACGTTTTCGGGCAGCTATAAAACCCTGAATTAGTAACTGAAGCGTGATCAGAACGCCCAAGACCTCGTAACCCACGCGTTGTTCATGGGCTCCTAATCGACGGGTGAATATCTATAAAAAAAAACCAAAAAAAAAACAACCTTTTTTTTAAGATATCGAAACCAGTTAATGTTATGTTCTTCAGGTACTTACATAACGGATGCCTGTGAATCGTTTTGAGAAACTATAATAGGCTCCGAAGAAGTAGAAGATAGCCAAATGCACAGGCCGAACGTTCTTTACAAAAAATTCTTGTATGGAATTCATATGGGTTCTGACAAATTGAGTAACTCTCTGCCTTACTGAAAATGTCTTTGCTGGATCAACAACGTGCTGCTGCTGCTGCTGTTGTTGCCGAGACCTTTTCTTGATCTCAGCAATACTGCGGGTATAAATGTATGGTAATAAGGTTTGAATAAATACAAGTGAAAACCGTCGCTATATACAATAGAGGAATTTGGAAGAGTCAAGTTAACTAAAAAGTTGACATCTACTGGAAGTATGAAATTCTTACAAAAAAGCGAGGATAAGTCTGACTACTATCGCTAATTTGAACTAATTCACAATACTCTTCTCCAAGTGTTTGTGTGCCGAGCAAAGTTGTCAACGCATAGTAACAAAAATCAGAGATTGTGTTGATCTCTTTTTGCCACAGATGCTGTCGGCGAGTACCTTTTTATACAACCCAAAGACTCAGTCAGCGTCTATTCTCTTAAGCTTTTTAACTATTTATCTTTACCGAAAAATTGTTGAGCCACTCGAGTCATTTGCTCTTGTAAAATTGTTTGATAGTAAACATCTTTCTGGTTTGCACGAACTATTAAATGTACAAATAAGCAATTACATGTGTAAATCAGTGAAGCGTATGCTGTACTGCGAGTTGATAATTTTACTTATATCCGGTTGAGCTCCATAAGGAAATTGCAAATTGAGGGGTGGCAAAGGTGGCTTCGTTAATGGCGGTTTGCTTGTGTCTGTGGGGGTAGTCGATTGTGCATCTGCCATTGTAATATTAATGAAGCAATTTTTATTTTAGGGAAACTTACAAAAAGAGTAAATAGCGCTTTGTAAAAGTTGAAAAAGAAATGTCTCCTCTCCACACGTGGGAGGTTACATATGCTCAATCTGTCTTTTCCTTTTAAATCTTCGTATGCCTCGAGTGGATATTATCACTTATTTACAGTCCACTGAAATGCTCAAGATAAAGTACATCTGTCTACCAAGCAATATGTCCGTCTGAAGGTTCAAACTTTTATTACACATTTCATATCAGTCTGCTTAAATTTGAACACTCTTGCTATTTGCTTTATACTCTTTCCAATATAACGGCCACACCCTAAGATATAGTTAAACATAGATTAAGCATTTTATACAACTATTCAGTTTTGAGACATTCGATTACCTGTCCTCCTCCAATACATGCAGATCCTACAGCATACCTTTCCTTTGTGCGTTGAAGGGCATGCGACAAATGCGTTAGAATACGTGCGCCTGAAGCACCCAATGGGTGACCTACAGCAATTGCACCACCATTAACGTTTGTTTTATCTCTATCCAATCTTAGTTCCTTTTCACAAGCTAAGTACTGAGCAGCAAAAGCTTCATTGACTTCGATCAAATTCATGTCCTGCAAATTCAGCTTTGCACGTTTCAGGGCCCCTTGTATAGAAGGAACTGGACCAAGACCCATCAGAGTGGGCTCAACAGCTGATGCTTGCCAACTTACAATACGGGCCAAAGGCTTCAAATTATATTTGTTGACAGCATCTTCACTGGCCACGATTAAAGCAGCTGCTCCGTCATTGATCCCTGATGCGTTTGCTGCAGATACTACTCCCCCCTTCTTGAAAACAGGCTTTAACTTGGTTAGATGTTCTAATTGCAGCCCAAACCGTGGATGTTCATCCTCGCTCACAAGTTCCGGACCTTTACGGCCTTTAATTTCGACTGGCGTGATTTCATCCTTAAAGATCCCTCCCTTTGAGGCTACACAATACAGGAAGAAACAATTTCTATGATTCAATATTGGACGACCCAACACAAAAAGTGTTTTCTTTTGCTTTTCGGTTTTGTAACCTATTTTTAACGTACCTTTTTCATATCTATTTTGACTAGATAAAGCGTAGTTGTCGCATTCATCCTTTGAGATATTATATTTTTCTGCCAAGTTCTCAGCTGTAATTCCCATTGGTGTCGGTGTCGGATACTGATCGGTTAAGGCTGTCCATAACGTGTCCTTTAACTGAGGGTCTTGACCCAGTTTGAGACCCCAACGGCTAGATCCGGACAAAGAGAAAGGAGAAAGTGACATATTTTCTGTACCGCCTGCCAAAACAATTTCTGCTTCGTTAAGTTGAATTTCTTGAGCAGCATTTATCAGACTTTGGAGGCCAGAACCACACAAGCGATTGACAGTCAATGCAGGAACTGTCACAGGTAATCCTGTACGATGACCAATATGGCGAGCAACATAAGCACCAGCAACATCTGTTTGGAGAACATTACCAAAGATAACAGAATCGATGGGAATATCTTTATTAGGAAGATCTGCGATAGCAGCTCTAGAAGCTAATCCGCCTAATTCAGAGGCTGATGTGTATGTAAATGAATAATATGTACTTAAAATCCTAACAATTTGTTTATGGCTATAAACACTCTTGAGTTTTATTGTTACCTGTAAGGTCTTTTAATTTGCCTCCAAATGCTCCGAAAGGTGTTCTATTTGTTATAGATATGAATGTAAGACGATGCCTATATGTATCCTTGTGGTATTTGAAAAAAAAACAACAAACATTGCCATGTACCTTTTTGCTGCTACTATGAACACTTGTCTTAATGTCATGGTATGTAAACGAAAAGGGGTATAAAAGGAAACAAAAGAAAAGAAAATGCTTGAAGATGAAAGTCGTACTAAAACACAAAACGTAGGCTATCAAAAAGTGTGTGAACTTTGAAGAGTCACAGCATGTGATTTTGAGTGATCTGCATTAACAGCTAATTGATATGGACAGTCTTTTCTTCGCAGTAAGCTGGTATTGGCACCTAATGCGCGAGCACAATTGCAGCAGGCGGCTTTAGATAAAATACAGAACCAATTTTCAGATTGAACACATAATGACATGTATATGGCATTGAGCCATTGTACCCCAGTGTCTGACAGCAAGTTAAGCAAAAAGCTGATTTCTTCTCCATATATAATTTACCCTTATTGAGTGAACAGTTATATCGAATTCAAACTCGTCCACTGGGTATACTGTATACAACGGTCAAGTGCCTATCAGTAATATTCAACAGAGAACAAATGAAATATTACTGCACTTCATTACTATTAAACAGACTGTGACCATATTTTTAACCACTCATGATATGACTTATATATGTTGGCATACGTCAACGAGCATCCCCGTTTTGGATTACATGTAATTGAAAGCGAACAGTAAAACTGTTCGGCCCAACTAAAATGCAAAAGACGAACTGCTATCGCAGCTTCGTAATACAGTGTACTGTTGCAGATAAGTTACTTCAGGCGGCCCTGACTATCACTTATTAACTTGGAGAGATACTTTCCGTTACTGTTAAGAATAGTATCCTATTGCGAAATCTTAAAAACCCATAATTGAATTTTACTTTTAATGAATAGTTAAAAAAGCTCTTTTGCGCGGTTTCTGTTCGATTATTTCCTTTGCCCATTTCGAGTTGGAGAGCATGATTCTTTTTTCTACAGAGGAAATTGACTAGAATTATGAAAGCACCAGATAAATATACGGAACAAAATGTAAAAATGTTAGGATTATTTGTGATAATTCATTGATGAACTTCTTTATTTTTAATATGCGTACGATTTTATGATATTTTATAAAATCGTCAAGGAGTAATCGACTTCAAGCGAAAATAGTGCTTTTGTATAGCTTAAAAAACATAGCAGTCTAAAGGAGTATATGCTAAGCAATTACTCTCAACGGAAGTATCAATAGAAACAATTGTACGTAGAAATCTTTCCTTAAAACTGATACATGCAGTTACGATCAGCACCGCTTATTGATACGCCTGTATGATGACTTGATAAAAGATGCTTTGAAGGCTCGAACTTAGCATTCATGTATAACTTTAACCTTTGAGTATTTGGTGCCGTTCCGAAGTCGACTTTAATTGAACACGTTCTAAAAGTCAGGTTCCGCAAGTCATATATTGGATCACTTGAATAGGAACTCTGCTCATTGTCAAGTCCTAGTGTATTAAATTTACGACACGTCTGTTGACAGTCTTAAAAAATTCATACGCTTCCCTTTCCTACCTTCCGCTCCGTAACAACTATTCAGGGTTAAATATAGTTTGCTATTTTTTTATTTCTGTAGAAAAAAAAAAGAAAAAAAGCGAACACTAAGGTAACATATTACAAACGTTTAAAAAAGGTTTGAAAGGTTTTGCAAGTCAACAAACGGCTCTTTTTACAATTTCTTCAGATACTCGAAGAAGTAAGTACACAATGATCACGAAATTGAAAATTTCAAGAATGCCAATTCGTGTTTTCTGCTGGTAACACACACATCCTTTTTTTCCTTTTTTTGCAATGAGATGCTTGGGAACACACGAGTTTTGTGCGATGTTTAATTGCCTAGACTTCCATGATGAATCTACACTCAGTAGACAGGCCACAAGCTTTCACCACAGTTGGCAGAATGAAGTATATCTTGTTTGTCGTACGAGTCAATTTCTATACCTATACATGGTGATCAATAGTTTGGTTCAATGTGTTCTTCTGATCCATCAAAAGCATGACAAACAAAACGGTTAAACATTGAGGATGAAAACTGTTGATTGACTTGTTCTATTATGCTTTTTCCCGGCCGGAAATACTTTGTTTTGCCTCTTGTTCCCTGTCTTGAAACAAACACACGACTTTGAATGTCACTTATTTATATTATTCTCAATTAAGTACAGCATATAGGAAGATACCAGCGTTGAAATACTATAATTGATACATTGCTCGTCATGTGATTAGAAAGTAGGATGGAATAGGAAGAAGATTTCTTTTATTGTGCGTGCATAAGCTGTGAGTTTTAGTAACACATACAAAATGCTTACAAATTGTTAATGCTTGCTATTTAATCTCGATAGTGTTGGTAGCGTGTGAGTGGAATGCAAATTGCAGCTTTTTTTCTTTTCAGAAAAGCAGACTGACAAAAAATTGAGACTATCCAAAGAATAGATTAAGACATTTCAGTTTGGTATTGCAATATAATTTTGTCGCCTTATACATCTTATATTTATAGTATCTATTGAAGGTAATCGTGTTCAAATCCGGCAGTGTATAATAACGAAATCCACCATAGCGACTTATAAAAGACGTCAAACAAAATTGGTTAATGACATTCACATTTTTGCACGTTCTAGCTCATACTGTTGATAGTCCGTATTTGCTGTCAGATATGGTCTTACCCAGCGATAGCTGTATCAAACTCGACAAATCTGATACTGCTGCCGAATGCCAGTCTGTAGCTAAAGTTAATCGCGTTAGAAAACAGCACTTGACACAGAAAAATGACGAATAGCAACATAGCATCCCGTGAATCAAACCAGACGTGAGTGAACTATTATACGTAGCTCTTGAAGAATAATGCGTAATGTAGGATTAGGCTTCGCTTTCAATATACGTCGCCGACGTAAGTTTAGAAATGTACAAGAAGGAACGATAAAGGCGGAGAAGCCATAACAGCGCTTAACTCTTTGGTAGTAAGATTCGACATATAATGGCTTTCACAACAATTATTTCGTATTATTTCTTTCTCTTGAAAGATCATTTAATCTTATTCCCGATCAAACATATTCACTATAATTTGCAACAAAGCAAAATTGACAATTTTTATATGCAATATTTAAGCCATACCGCATAAAAGAAAGGAGGTCGATGAATGAATATTGTATGGCAACATACGCAGAATTGTCCTAATTTTTTGAAACTGACTGCCCAAAAAATAAATTCGAATATGCTGACTTTAAAACAAATAATTATATCTCAAATATGCCCAGCGCCACGGTAAAAAGAGAAAAAGTCCAGATTTTTGATCGACAGAATAACAGAAAACCTCAAAATATCAACACAAGGTTCGGGAAAAGTCAAACCCATCTTTCATGCAGAAAGGCGGAGTTCCTGAATTCATATTTATCTCCTTTCCTCTGTACACAGCTGCCACAAAGAATTACAGAGCTAAATTTAATTCATAATGACAAAATCATTTTTTCATAGTTGGACTAGTACCAACAAGCTTATGCATAATAGTTAAGTAATTCTATGGTTATTTTACTAATTACGGAGAGCGTCATGGAAGGATAATCGAGTTTAAAAAAGCCTCGAAATTGTATGAATTGAATCAGCAGATTTATTCAAAAAAAAGAAAAAGAAAGAAATAGACAGAAGCACCCGGTTTGATGAATGTTTGCAAACAGACCCAAAAAAAAAATTGCAAAGAAAATTGTACACAAAATCTTTGTATGACAAGCTTCCCCCACCTTAAAAAAGATTTTCTATTTTTCTTTGGTTCTTTGTTTTTGAAAATCAGAAAGTCAGAAAATGATTTTCATATAAAAGGCTTGAATCACTGAAGGTTCTTTTTTTTTTCCTCATTCATATATCACCTATACCTTTATCATACTTTGTATTTCTCTACCTAACATACCATTAACACAGCAATATGGACAAGATAATGTCTCATGCTAAAGCAACAATTCATGTCGAAAACGATAAACTGATCATGTACGGTGCTTCGGATGAATCTGCTGGATGCGTTTTGAGAGGTTTCCTCAAATTAAATGTACAAGAACCTATGAAGGTCAAATCAATTTCTTTGGAATTTGTTGGCAAAATGTCTACATCATGGGCAGAAAGTAAGTCATCATTATATCTAAAGGCAGCCATTTTCAAAGGCAGGCAATTCTAACATTTTTATATCAGGTTTAGGCAGAGGACATGACAAATTATATCATGAAGAAAAACCAGTCATAAATCATACATGGAACTTTTTACCCAAGCAAACTAAGCTCCAACAAATCAACCCCGGTGAATACCAATATGGCTTTGAACTGGCTCTTGCTGGCAGCCTACCAGAGTCATTGCAAGTGCAAAACTTCTACCATGTCCAATATCAGCTTAAAGCCACCATTGAAAGATCAACCTTTATGCCCAACTTGACTACTCGAAAAGTGATTCATCTTTCTCGTCAACTCTTACCCCTCACACCCGACTTTTTGGAACCTATTACTGTATCAAATCAATGGGCCAACAAGCTCGATTACGAAATCATATTACCTTCAAAAATTTTTACTCACGGAGATTTGGTGCCTATCTCCATTCGTATCACACCATTCACTAACGCACTCCGTGTTCGTCATCTGACTTGCACGTTGAAAGAATACATGATCTGTCGTGGTGGTCAAGGATCATTCAATACTCGTCCACGAGCACACGGCCGAGTGTTGTTCACTACGAGAGATGACAAATTCGGTCAGCAACAATTTAATCACAATAGCAGCAGTTTTGTAGAATGGACAAAAGTGCAAAACATTCAGTTACCACGATCAAAAGAAGACTTACAATGCGATATCCGAAATGAGGCTATTCGAATCAGACATAAAATCAAATTTGTATTGTCATTGATCAATTCAGATGGCCATATTTCTGAGCTGAGAGCAGCTTTGCCAATAACCATTTGTTCTGTTAACAATACTGGCCTACCAAGATACGAAGAAACATGGCGCAGTCTACCCTATAATCCCATTACTGCTACAGGAAACTCATCAGATCAAGAAGATTATGCTATTCGAGAGGAGGATGCTAGCGACAGCAATGACTGCTTATTACCATCTTATAGCTCTATCTTTGAAGCAGATAGTAGTAACAACCATACTAGCCTGAATTGCTTTTCTTCAATCATTGCTCCACCTCCAGCCTATGAATCAATTCCTTGTTTATGAACAAAACGATGTACATATGCAAAGCCCATATACAGATTTACTGATATTCTAATAATGATACCCTCTCATTCCTATGATCCCCCCCCTACATGTAAAATAAAAGAACTAATACATTTGTTGAAGCGTCTCAAATCTAATTATGCAAAATTACTGTCAATGTTGGCTTCGTCGCCAGTATCCCGTTTAATGGAGTTGGATTTTGATTGGATAAAACATTGGCCTTTTAAAATGGAACAACCAGCATTGAAACGAAAAGGAACTCAGATTTCGAATTTATTCTGAGGTATTCTTTGTGCTAAAAAAAATGCAAATCTTCTTTCTTCCCTTTTTTCGTTTTATCTGATTTTTTTTTTTTGCCTATTCACTCTCATCTTTAGATTTAATATTCGTCCTAACTTATACGAATAATGGCAAAAATCGACTATTATGAAGTTCTAGGTCTTCAGCGAGAAGCAACTGAACAGGATATCAAAAAAGCCTATAGAAAACTAGCTTTGAAATATCATCCTGACAAAAACTCTTCTGATGATGCAGCTGAAAAGGTACGTACACCTGTCATTTTTTGATGTAATATACTATGTATAAATATCAACAATTTTTCAAATTTATCAGTTCAAAGAAATTAGGTAAATGCTGGCAATTTGGTGTAAACATTGCCATGTTGGCAACAATTATGAGAGTAGCAAGCTAAAACAACAAACTTTTTTTTTAGTCAAGCATATGAAATATTATCTGATCGTAAGTTCATTTGTACTCAGTGCCGGAAGGAAAACCATTGGCAGCTTTGCTAACCTGGCTTCTGCTTCTTATCTTAGCCGAGAAGCGTAATCTCTACGATACTCGCGGACATGTAGAAGAGGAGCAGGAAGACTACGCCTATCATGATCCCTTCGATAACTTCCATGTAAGGAAACAGATACAGCGCCTTTCGAGAAACTTTTTTTTTTTTTTTTTTGTTTTTACTAATCATTTCCTCTTCTTTCTTTTCCTGCCCTTAGTTCCATAGCCCTGAAGAAATCTTTGCCCAATTCTTCGGCAGTATGCATCCATTTGGTGGAGCGAGTGGAAGAACGGGTAGGGGACAAAGGCGTAACGATCCATTTGCTTCATTCATGATGCCTTCATTGTTCTCCGGCTTTATGGGTGGGATGCATGATCCTTTCTTTCAGGATGAAAATGATGGTTTCATGGGCTTCCCTCCTATGTTTGGCGGCAGTAGCAGTTTTTCATCATCTTTTAGCTCTAACAGCGGAGGACGCGGTAGAGGTTATTCAAAATCTGTATCAACGTCTACTCGATATGTCAACGGTCGTCCAGAGACGGTGACAGTGACAAAGATTACTGACGAAAATGTAAGGAAAAGGAGAGAGAGAGTTGTGTGTGTTAATATTTCGAGCAAAATTACTGTAGCAGACTGCTAATTGAATATACTACTGTGATATAGGGCACAAAAGTTATTGAGGAATACGGAAATGGTGTAACGAAAATCAACGGCATTGAACAACCTAGACCGCAACAGATCGAATCTTCAGTCAATCAACAAGCATTACCTTCTTCTTCAACAAGTAAGGCTCGAAATTCGGATTCATATAATAGTCGTAGTAGTCCTAGCGTCTATAATAACAATTTGATGGAGCAAACTCAAGATATTTACGATCAAATGAACCAACATAGAGCTTATTTCTCACAGCAGCAGCAGCAACAAGCTGAAGAGCAATTACGTCAAAAGCAAATACAACAGGAGCAAATGCGTCAACAAGCGCAGATGCAACAACAAATATACCAGCAACACCAACAACAATTTTGGGACCACCAGAGGTTACATGAAGAGATCCTTGAGCAACAGAGGCGTCAACATGAACAACTCATGGCAAATCAGGAAAATGAAAGAGCACGAAGACGCCAACGACAATTACAGCAACAACAGCAACAACAGCCACAACAATTATACCAGCAGCCCGAAGACGCAGCATACTACTTACAACAGCAACAACAACAACAACAAGCACAAATAATGAATCCGGGGATGCAATTTGCCTCAAATCAAAACTATAACTTGCATGGTAATCATTTCAATTACGACAATCAGAACGGATCCAGTTATAATCAAGGTATGTACCATCAATAACCTTAGTTTTTCTCAAGAGTGCCATATGCAATTATTCGCCTATGGCGTTATGTTTATATGTGGATAAAGTTATTCATACAATTCAATCTTATATTACAATGATGCCGCTTCTTTTCCTATAAGGATAATAGCTCTTTCTCATATACTTTGACCATTTTCTTGTCTATTGTTTCTTCAGTATCCTGCAATAAAAATGGTTCAATTGCAACTCTATTTGTAGTTTCAAATAACTCTTCAATAATATGCTGCAATTTGTCACCGGTTTGTTTGAAATCAGGAAACTGTTCATTTCAATGGACGTTAAATTAGTTTGGTTGCCCCCATTGAATACATATGCATATTCTTAGTACTTACAGCATTCGCCTCCAAAAAATACACGTTCAAATCTGCGTCTATCATAAAGTCAACGCCAAATAATTCGAAAGCATTGGGCATAGCTTGGAAAGTAGTCATTTCGCTAGTACAAGCGTCGAAAATGTCTGCCAAGACGTTCTTCATTTGCTCAAAGATATGTTCCAAATCCTTCTTTTCTAAATCCAGTTCCCAGAATAATTTGACGGATGCTTGTTCATCAAAGCCTTCTTCGTCCGTTTGTATACATGTGTTGGTCAAATGTATCAAGCTATCATTCAAGTCCTCTGTGCTGTATTTCTTCATAGCAAATAAGGCTAACATATCTCTGTATAGATAGACTTGAATGTTCGATTTCGCAAGGACATAAGCACGAATATGAAATTTTCTACCGTCTACTAATAGTGGATTCGCAATATAACGCTGTATCACCCATTCACGTACTTGCGTTAGATCCTCACGGTCAAAATTGTAACCGTCTCCTGCGTCCGTTTCTTCTCCATCTTCGTCTTCGCTGTCTGTTTCGTCTTCTTCAAACATGGATCGTAGTTGTTCTAGCGAATTAAACACTTTGATACCTGCACCTTTATTTGCCATGCTTGGCTTAATGATGAACATATGATCGGTATCTGGGTCTAACAAATCACGTTCTACTTCAAAAACTTCATTCATAGCCTCTTCAAAATAATCGACATGATCTAATTCAAATAACCAAGTTTCTGGAATAGCTGACCTCAAGATGCTTTCTGGATGCTTTGAAAGGTATTTTGTTATGTTGTAAGAGAGTTGCGATTTTCGGATTAAGCCTTTACGAATACAATAGGCATTCGCAATGGCATTTGTTGCATGGCGAGCCAAATAGTGCCAGTTGATCAGCTCATATTCAGCCCATTGTAACTGAATATTGTCGAGGTCTTGCAATTCAGCGTTGTCAGCGCTGGGTTCTTCTATTTGCCAGTCTATTCTCGAGGAGTTTTTTAAAGCATTAATAACAGCTTGATTGGTATAAGCTTCGTCAAGATGAACTTGAGCTTTCAAAGTAGGCATGATATAGAACTATTAAACAAAAAAAAGGTGTAAACTAGGTTTGCTTTTTTTTTTTTAAAAAAAAAATAGACTGCCTTTCAGGGTCCAATAAAATCTTTGGCATTAGGAAAATCAGAATTAATTTTCTTTCTCTTTTCTCCAATCGAACATTTTTCTTATTAACTATTGCTGAGAGAAAAAGAGCAATGGAAGTAAAGCAAGAAACTGTGAAAGAAGAAGATGTGACAGCTGAAGAAGCATTAGCTAACTCGCAAAGTGTCATTACTATGTACGAGAAAAAATTATTAACACAATTTGCACGCGTTACCAACCTAATGAAGATCTCCCCTAACTCAACTGAAGCTATGGAGGCTCTAAAAGAGTATAGCAATTTGGAATCCAATTTGAATACTCTAAGAACCATGAAAGCTTCTTTCGAAAAGAATATGACAAGATCCCCTTCAACATCTGCATCGCCTGCATCTTCCGTCCCGTCATTTACTTATAGTAATAATGATATAAACCATCCCAACGCTCAAGTGCAAACAAAGACTATTTCTCACAGTATCAGCGTTCCTTCTGCTGCTACTCAAACTGATTCGTGTGTACATACAATGAATCCTGGAAGTGCAAACTTATTGGTGATAGAGAAACAGCCTGGCGAAGAATCGATAACATCAGGTAACGATCAATGTTTTATGATATAATAATTGAATCTGTGTAGTACACATGAGTGAATATATATTGATGAATCGAGGTTTAGATTTGCTACCTACTCTACTGTCTATTGATTCTGCAACGAATACGTTAGACACAATCAATGACAGTTTTACATTAAGTGACATAAAAAAAACTTCAAACACAACGGAACAAAACAAAGGACCAAAGAAGAAGGCTGATACTGAGAACAATAATAATAATAATAATAATGCAAGATCTCTCACTGCCAGTAGCACTTCGTCACAATTATCAGCGCCCATAAAAAGGGAAACTGAAGGTCCTTCAATTGAGTTAGCGCACAATGGCACTTTGAAAGAGACAGAATCAAATCAACCTGTTATTCCTACTCATTTACAGAGTGAGCCGTCTCTTAATACTGAAGCAACTGTCAGTGCTGACGTTTTGAGTCCCGAAATCAATGCGCTTCCATCTACAGCTTTCAATAATAATGACACTACTGCTACCACTATTATTGCAACACCCGAGCATGGAGAATATGCAACTTCCGACAGACTGGATTGTAATCAAATAGATCCTCGCTTGGCCACACACTGGTCAGAATTAGGAACCGATACTGAGCAACATGTTACTAATCCCGACCGTAATGCTGAAGAAAACGTAAGCTATAATGATACGGTGTCAGCGTCAATAACAGCAGAAACATCATCTACTAAAAGACAGCTAGCGAAGCGGTCTTTACCATTACCACGTTCGTCCTCCTCTTCAGCTTCACCTTCACCGACGTTTGCAAGCACCTCTGAAGTCAAAGCTACGAATAATAAATCAGCAATCCCTGTTTGGAATAGCGCACCATCCTCTTTAGATATGCCTGCTACTTCAGCATCAACACCGATAATCTCGTCCATAACTGATACCGCACCTACAGGAGAACAACAGCAAGTTAAAATTGAGACCTACCTAAAGATTGGCAAGCATCCCGAAATAGTAAGATTGGCAATAGATTTTTTTGGTGCATTTGGAGCGGCCCTTAAAGCATCAGGTATACCAACAACAGCAAAACCGCCGGTCTTTTCGGACAGACAGCAAGATTCACAGCAAGTCAGTAATAATGCAAGTGTCAATTGGGAGGATTTGTTCATTCGGATATTGGAAAGAACTGAAAACCTAGAATCTGAGCAACGTGCATGGTTTTTGAATTATCTGATCAATCAAGGAATTTCGTGGAATGAAGCTCTAGAAAGGATTGCGCACCGTTATTTCTCACTACCTGAAATGTTTCCGATTACGAAACAGGAACTTTATTCAAGCAAACAATGTGAGAACGAGAGTAATTTGAGCTTTGTGAAGCGATGGCTTGGTCTTTTTCGAAGAGCCAATATACCAGATGAAAGAGAAGTGGCTATGGCTTTTTGTTTGTGTCTACAAAAACACGTCCTGCAAAAAATCAGACATACATTGAATAGAAATGGCTTTTGTTCTTCAGTGTATGAGGTGATGCATCAAGTAATTTTGAACAGTCCAGAAGCATTACAAACAATAAACTTTAGACTTGCTGCTTTTAAGGTTCTCAATTTTATCAACAGTAGCAGCAGCAGTAACAGTGACAATAGCAGTCGGAAGAGCAAACTGTTGGAACAACGCGAAAAAAGAGCCAATGAGCAAGACAGGCAATTGAGTTACCAAAATCAACGACTGCACCATAGTGACCCTCGATGTAATAAGAATAGAAATAGTAGTAGTAATAGTAGTGGTAGTAACAATTGGAAACCAAGTAATCGAGCCGAAGGCAATGAAAATAGCGATAAAAGACATCAGAAGAAGAGGAGGTGGATAGGATCAGATTGTACTTATTGCCATCAAGCTTGGACACCGGGTCATACTTGTCTTGAATTTATAGAAGCAAAGAGAATGAAAGCTTTCAGACCAAGAAGTTAATACTCGACGCTTAAAACTGTATTCTTGTTGATACAATATACCAATATCTATCTTTTTATTTATTTAATTACTTGTAATTTGCCAACATTTACAAATTTCTCAATGCTTTTGGCTGCGTATTTATAGCCCAAAGAATTACTTTTATACCCTCTTCACATCTCGTATAAATATTCTTCTGAAATATGATTTTAACTATGCCTGACAGGTCCCCGCCCCAGTATAACTCCTCTACTATTTGCATTTAGAAATGACTTTATAAAAAGCTATCGGGTTCTCTTCTATTAGAGCAGAATATTCTCTTTATGAATTTATACATTTAGTAAAAATAAATGTGGTAATGGGGTGAGAGTCTACATTAGAATTGAGAACGCCGTCAATTTTATTACAGCAAATCAATACCAAAATTGAAGAGATATAGTGATTAAATTGCTGTTAATGCTTGGATATACATGACAGGATAGGTAGTAACGGTTTCGATCGAAGGGATATCCGATATGAGAATATAAAAGTATTTCTCCATTCGAATATCTCAATTATTCAAACTCTCGTCCATAAAAAATTCAACCATACTCTTCACTCGCGAACCCACAGGGCCTCTAGGCTTCATATCCTTGATACGAGACGCAAATTCCGATGAGAAATTTGATGATCTTCTCTTCCTCTGTTTTTGATAGTGGTCATTAGCAATTCCACATGCATTATTACCAGGATCTAACAAGGCAGCACGAGGAGTCAGATTGGCTGTCTGTAAAGAATTGAGCTGGATAATTGTTTCGAATCGAATTCGCAGTTTCTCTACTTCAGCTGCACAATCGTTTTGTGAATTATGCGGAAGAGAAGCGATTAAAATAGGAGAGAAACAGGACCTTGCACTAGTGGGTGTTGTGGTTGCTGTTGAAGAAGACAGCAGTGGTGGTAAATCTACCAGTAGTGACAATCGACTGGTGGTGTCCTTGATGTCAGCATCCACATCATCCGTGAACGCTGCTAAACTTGTTGAGCAAGTAGAATTATAGGATACAGGTTGTTGTTTTCGGTCAGTCGACATAGTGGGTAATTGAGTGTTCAACTCTTTTTCCATTTTTGATACGGTCATTGGTTGTTCCTTTGCTCTTTGTTGCTCCTTTACTTCATTGTTTTGTGGCTGTAGGATTTCCTCCTTGTCATCGCCTTGCGATACTTCTTTTTTGGTGCTACCAGATTTCTTTTCCATAGCCATTTTGTTTGAATTACGGGGGCGACTGTTAAGAATTGAGGTGGGCACCTTCTTTGTGATTCCTCCTTTGTTAGCTGTCAATGATGTATTATTACGGCTGCCATAAACCTTGTTCTTCGTTACGGTAGTAGTTGGTGCGCTAGGGGCCTTTGACTTTCCTTTACTAGCTGTTTGCAGCACTGTATTTTGACTTGTTGTTGATTTCTTATTTGATTCATGACTCTTTCTTTTTTGTACTGGTGCTATTGATGCTTTTTTAGCGGTAACACTTGTGCTGGTGTTAGTAGTAATCGTTGTGGTAGACGATTCTTTGTTTATTGATTTCAAATTCACTGTCGACGGTAGCACCTTTTTTGTTTGTTGCTTTTGAGAGGTGGCTATCGTCGGTGCAGTTGCTGAAGAGGCTGAAGACGATGAGGATAGAGAAATAGAAAGTTTTCTTAAGCTCTTAGTTGTCGTGGAGGATCTTCTGATCGAAGATACATTTTGAGTAATAGATAAGTCAGCTAGGATCATATTATTGAACCAGCTTATTTCCAGTTGTGCGAACGTAATGTCAGAACTTCCATGAATCAATCTATTTTACAATAGTAAGTATAGAGGCTAACCTAATGTTTGCACCAGAAATTGATTACCTTTTGGTATTCGTCGCTGCATTCAATGCATTCACAATATTCAGCCACTCGTAGACGGCATTCATACCTTCTAATACAAATGCATAAACAGGAAGGCTAACGAAAGTGAAAGAAAGTAAGAATCATCAGTTATACTTTGTCTCTAACATTCGAGAGTATGTCTTGTAACGCAGGTACATATAGCTTTACTCGCTCTTGATCTCCCGTTTAAGGTTTTGCTTTGCTGTTTCAACTGAGAGCTCAAATTGTCCTTCAACTATGATCCTTAACTGAGGGTTCTTCTTCAGCTCTTTGAAAGCGTCTGCTGTCACTCTCATTGATATGAGGCCAAATGTCTGCTCTTGGACACGAGTCATTCTTTTGTAGCTTTTATATACAGATATCCAACGGACCGAATTACCACTAAAAGTCAAAAAGAAAGGAGAATGAAAGGTAAATAAAGAGGTCGAATAACAAATCCAATATAAGGTTCATTCTTTTAGCGTTTGGTATGCATTCACAAAGCGTTTACTATAGACTCATAGTGGTTATTATACCACCGATCTATAGCAAAATAAAGTATAATATTCACCTGCTCTTTTAGGTTGTAACTAGTTTTTTAAAATGCTATTGATAATTCTTTTAGAGCTGCAATATTATGCGAAGAGGAAGAAAAAAGAAGAAGAATAGAGGAACATTGTAAGCAACTTCCATTTCAATAAAATGTAAACGAATGGACGGTCGTACAAAGCGATTTGACAGTCTTTGCTGTTAGCCGGAATTCAATCTGCTTGAGGTCTCACATAGTCGATAAAAATCAATCGAGTAATTCAATGATTGAGGTCTGATAAAGCATCGGCATCTTTGCTCTATTTTGGTGACTAGAATAGGTAAAGGTTGATTAGTTGTCGAACATGCTACTAGGCAATGTGGCAGCAAAATTTTCTATTCTTTTAATACATGTTTCAAGACAAAAACGCTATTGTCCTAATATGAGGTAAAATCAAAAATGTTGAATTTTGATTTATTTAAGGTAGAATGAAACAGAATAAAAAAATAATAATAATAAAAAATCAATATATGTAGTATGTTGAATTTACAAGCGTACAGAAAGAAAATGAACATTTATGTTGAATTATGTTACAGATAAGGATATAGTAAATGTTGAATTTCATATGAAAGTAAGTGTTATGTTGAATATACAAGTATAAGCTGCAAAGGCTGCGAATTGTTTTCAATCCTAGAAACAGGAAATTGGTATATGTTGAAATATGTATAGAATAAAATGTAGAAAAATGTTGAATTTATATACATCTAAAGCTTGTTGTTGCTCTTGTGACCTACGCTACTGATTTTGATCCGTAGGTGCAGTAGCAGTAGAGGAGGCCGTTGTAGGCTTCACAACTACTACTTTATCCAATAATAAATCTCGAAGAAACTTGATCTCTTGCTCGAGCTGATCAACTCGTTCCTGAAGTTTATTTGATTTTAACGTCATTTCACGAACAGATTGCTCCATGGCTTGTTCACGTAACTTCTTCTTTTCTCGAAATCGTGCGCTAGCAGCGGTATTACGACGACGTTTATCGTCATCTAACTGAACGTTACCTTTAGTACTTTTTTCTTCGTTGATGAGTAATTCATCACTGGGTTTTGAACGTTTTTGTGGCGTAAGCTTTATCGTCGTTGTTGTTGTTGAAGAAGGAATAGCAATGCTTGTAGATTCCAACGTCGTCTTGGGCAACAATATCTGACGTTTAGAGATTGGTGCAGGTGCAATAGTAGGCATACTATTGGAAAGAGCAGGTGAAACAGGTGCAGGCGCTAAAGGTCGAGGTAGAATACGTCGTGTTGTTACTGGTGTCACTGGTGCTACTGCTGCTGTCAATGATTCCGAAGGTCGTCGCTTCGCACTAATAGTGTCATTATTGCTAATACTGTTGTTGTTACGAACAGTAGCCATCAGGTTAACTCCTTGTTGTCTCGGTAGCTCACAATCCAGATAGTTTGCCAAAGATTCATAAGTGAGTGGATCTAGCCCGGTAGCTTTTTCAAACTGCTCAGCGGCAGCCACCACTTCTGGACTCTTCACTAATAACTGCTTCTTTTCAATGTCGGTCCCTTCGGTTACATTTATAATTGATTTAGGTTTAAAGTCAAATGTGAATTGAGTATTACTCTGTTGTTTAGAAAATAAAGTGTCAATTCATAAGTTATAACTCAAAATTAAAATCAAGACGAAACTAATGTTAATGACGTTACCCATAATGCTAGTTCCTCATTGATATCCTTTTCAGACTGAGTCGCTATGTCAGGAGAGCCGAATATGAGAGAATCCAAATTTGAGAGATACGACTCATAGGATGAGAGGTGTTTTTCTGACATTTCCTTATTTTTCTTCTCAATGATCAATCTTTTCTTTGTGAGCTAATGAAGATAGGAAAAGGTGGATAAGGAAAAAGAAACCCCCAATCTGGACGAGGGGGTATCAAAAAAAATCTTATTCCATCATCAAAAAGTTATACTGGAGGCATCTGGCTGTGAAACCGTGCCACAGAACTGGATCTTTGAAGACTTTGATTGGCCTGTATTAATTGTACGTAACTGATAAGGATGAGATGTGTACGTTCAGCAAGGTTAGTCGTCATGCTTCGAACAGTACTGGTGCAGAAGCGAATTCATTATCATCAAAGTAATAGCTACAAGATATCTGTATGCAAAAAAAAGCCCAAAGCCAATCATATTTGCCTCCTCCCTTCGATAGTATGTAGAGAATTGTACACGTGTCTTTTTCAAAGTTAATACGCTTATCTTTGACGGCATACAAGTTTTAGAAAGCTTGTCAAAAACTTTCGAAGGAAGCACTAAGCATCTCCAAACATTAATTGAACGTGACTCCAAGTACAAACTTCCACTGGTTCCGCACGAAGCAATACAAAGGCTAGCTATCATATTATTGTCTTGACCGCCTTTAAAGAAACTTCTCACAATAGCAAATCTGTTATAGCACTATTTCTCGCTTGTTAACTTTTGAATATGTAACAAGATTCTGATCTTTCGATAGGACTACGGCATGAATACATACTAAAGTGTTTCATGTCTACTTTACAGATAAGCAAACGGAAGATTGCAACCTGTTAAAAAGCTGATGCTTATTATACAATAAAGCTTAAATCGTCAAAATAACAGCTGTAGCCGCAGACTTCTTAGCTTCCCACAAATTTATAATTTGAGTAATTCTCATCTGAATCAAATGAAAAGAAATCTGATTATTACTAGAAAAGACACTTACTGACGGCTTACATAGTAACAATTGGTTTTTGTAAGATATACTTATACAGCCCTTTATTCATGGGTTTACCCAGATTGATACGCTGCAATGTTCATACATAGGACCCTTCATTACTGTGCTCAGATGATTGTTAGAAACTTAATTGAAGGTATCCTCACCTCTCGGTTATCCCGTTGTGATTTGAGACTATCCATGATAGATTGTTCATTTCATTTCGATGTACCACAACAACAATTAAGACCAAAACAATGATAAAGTTTATCTTTTTGTCATTTCGAGCTTTTTAAGGCTCTTCTACTGAAAATTCTCGTGTAATTGATAAGTAGATACTTGTTGATCTGTTTTTTATTGAGACAAAAAGCGTGTCTGCCTACAATAAAAGCATAATAGTCCTTGAATCTAATCCATCTCGTTCTCAAATCGGGAAAAATATTGTGGAACTGAATTTGCAGGGCGGCAATTCTCCATTGAAACGAGCACTTACTTGTTTGGGACGACTGTGTAAATTGCTTTCAAACAACACAATCAAAAACCAGCCTGGTCTCTTTTCTTGGCTCATACCTGTGTTGCCTTTTTCATTTCCTCCTTTTTAATCGTTTATTTCTTTTTTTAAATCACAACGTCCATCATAAAGGCAGCTTTCTACTATTCTCTGGCCATCGACATTTATACGGATAAATTTACAAGAATATCACATTTTGTGAAAGGGTTATAGCAAGTATAAACTAATGCCAAATGATGCACATATCTTATCGAAATTGCATACCAACAAAAAGAATAGCATCGAGCAATTACTATACTTAAGACAGCCTCGTAAATCCTCGTCAACAAAAACGAGCTGTATGAGTGAGTCCGTGAACGAAGAATCAATGGATGATAGACACTATAAAAAAAAACGGCGGTTTCGCTGGTCGACTTGCTTTTCAATATTGACGAGCAAAATTACAAAAATAAAATTGTCTATGGCATCGTCGTCTACTTTTGATACTACTTCGAATTCAACTGCATCTAAATTTGGAATAGAACGTTATCAATCATCCCATCAACCAAATCTGTACACTGTTACAGAAAACACATTACGATCAAACCAGCAACAGCAGTATCAGCCAGTATCTCAAAAAAGGCCTGTATCAACACCTCTACTTACTAGTACAGTAATTGGTAAAGAGTTCTATTGATGTATTTGAAATATCCTGTTTACTGAACTGTAAGTTTTTTTCTTTTCCAGATGATAAGTTTGAGACAAAGCTTTGGAGTTTACAAAAAAACCAACCATCACAGCAGCAGCAGCAGCAGCAGCAGCAGGATTCTATTGCAACTTCTCATCAGTTAGCTTCACTTTCTCCTCCTCCAAGACAGAACATAAGAGCAAAAAGAGAAAACTGGTCTCATGACTATAGTGCGCATACTGACGATGGAAGACCATCCTATGAGATATCCTTAATAAAAAATACCCCGCAACAAATATCCTCAAATCCATCCACAGCATTTTCATCTTACAGCAATACTAACGGAAGATCTCTAACAGATCCTACACTGACTCCTCGTGTTCGACCGGTGACCGCCATCACAACTACCATTATCTTACCAAGAACAAATACATCAACAGTAAAGCGAACATCTCTGTTACGCTTGTCGTTAGATTCGCATCTCGCCTTAGATGACTTGGATACCAATAGCAGTACTAGAACGAATAGTACCAGTAGTCACTCAAGTAATATAACTTTCTTTGGACCTACAGCTGCCACGAAGATGCCTTATAGAAATGGTACGCTAGGTGCCATTACTCCTAGTTCAGTGGAACAAGCTATGCCAACAGCGGCTGATGAAGCTTGCTCTACCAATGATTCTTTGATGCTGTTGTCTTCATCTCCTCCCCCACCCTTCTTCTCCGGCATTTCAAGCCGACCTCAATCTCATTCTTCTATCAAAACACACTTTTCAAATTTTTCTATTGTAAACACATCTATTTGCTTGCGTGCTAACGATGAATCTTTAAATGATGATGTTGAGCATAGTCAGCTGCATGATCTTGACACTTGTCAACTGCAAAGCAGATCTCAGATTTCCGATCGTCATAAGAATCAAATAACTACTACTGCTGTAGTGCGGCGACGCCCACAAAGTGAAATTGAATCAATCAAAGAGAGAAGGCGCAAACGTAGCCCACTCTCTTTGCCAAATACTGATCAACTTACACTAGCTATGGAAAAGTTGTTGATCAACAGATATGGAGAGCAACACTGTGAAGAGAAAACAGGTTCCAGTACGATAACATCAATACGATCGAGAAATAAGAAATATCACAGCGACCTCGTTTGTTATCAGCAACTAAAAACGGCGGCAGTAGCAGCTCATACAAATAGTAAAAATAGTGATAGTACGACATCGTCATTATTGCTACCGTCTGATAAAAGGCGTTCTTTTGTTACTACTGCTTCTGTTGATGACATGCTTTGGTTTGGCAGCAGCAGTAATTCTCAGGACTATGATGACTATGGTAATAAGAAGCGTATTTCGTCTACTACCGTAGAGGATGTGTTTTCTACTGAAACATCTACCATGATATCCCTGCCCCCTCCTTCTCCATCCAATGTCACTGATAATTTAGTGGGTGAGCCCATTACCATTGATACTGAAGACTCGCCTCTCTCGCCACCATTGGAGACCCCTCCTTATCATCAACAAGCCGCTCCATCCTTGATCTCAGCATTGTCAACTCCAAATTCCTTTGATTCGTTTGTGGAAGACCACGAGAATGATAATTACATTCATTCGCCGCCACATCCTTCATATTATCCGCAGCATTTATATGCTCCTTCTTCCATCACTACTACTAGAAATGCTCATACTAATAGTGCGTCTATTTCTTGATTGTACTCTTAACTGGTAGTAGAAACACTCAGATCATGAAGTTTATTGCTAACATCCTCTTGTCATGCTTCATTAAACATAAATTTCCTCGTAATAACATCGATCAATTGAATGCTATATCGCTTTTTTTCTTTCTTTTGAAGAAAGCACTTTATTGTTTTTTAAAGATATCCGTTCTATCCAATTGGCCTCCTTGGGTTGTATAAGCTTCATAATACTTTTTAAAACTGTCCACCACGTCCTCAGCTTTGGAATTTTGAGCATAGCAATCCAAAAATTGACCTTCAGGGTCCATCAAATAAAAGAAAATCGAGTGGTCCACCAAGTAATCGTTATCGTCAGCGGCATCTGGCGGTGAAGAAACGTAGACACGGAACAATTTGGCCACTTTTCGAATTTCTTCCTCTGTACCTGTTAAGCCTATAAGATCTTCATGAAAATCCTTCACATATTCTTTGACAACTGCAGGCGTATCGCGTCGAGGATCACATGTAATAAACACTGGTACGAGAATATTATCTTCTTTCAAGTCTTTCTTTACCTTGTCTACCACTTCAGCCATTTTATCTAACTCGTCAGGGCAAATATCAGGGCAATGGGTGAATCCAAAATAGACAATGTTAAATTTCCCTTTCAGGTTTTCGGATCCAAAGGGCTTTTCTGTGTCGGCATGAATAAGGGTGTAGGGACCGCCAAGTTTGGGTTTCCCGTAACTTTCGACGGTTTTCTTGTTGTGATGCTCCTCTATCTTCTGTTGACGAATGGCTTCGACACGTTTCTTTTCGCGATTAAAGTAAAGTAATAGACCTGCACCTACACCTACGAATACAGCAGCTGCTTTCAAAGTAAAGGGCTATCGGATTATAATTAGGTTTGCTTTTATATCAGTGTAAGATTTACTGCCCCTCCTCTTTCTTCTCTTACATACACCCATGGCTGCTCTCGCCCTTATTTTCTCAGTGGAGGTTGCACTAGAAGAAGCATAAAATCGGCTGGATGATGTAAATCTGCATGGCTGCTTATTATTACATGTAGCAATTTTGTCTGCCCTGAAATAGGGTGTAGCCGTTGTGACAGTGCGTTTTGGAAGTATAGAATACGATAATAATTGACTGGACTAGAGTAAATTTTCAGGTTAGAACTACCTTCACTCGAGCCTGCTCTTATAAAGAATCCAACAGACCCTAGCGCCAAGTTTAGATTTGGTAAACGTTCGAATGACTGACATGGCAGTTTTTAAATGACAGTTAGATAAGTGAACAAAAAGATCATTTCTTCTGTTCTTATCATTTCAATACCCCGGGCTTTTCTTCATGCAAAAAAAAAAAAAAAAAAAATAAATTAAAATTTTAGCTGCTCCTACCGGTTGATCAGCGACTTTGAGCTCTTTTGAGCGAACATTACTTTCCAGCATACTGTGACAGGTTCCCGCTCTACTGAATCCTCCATAATTTTGCTACGGGCTTCTCTTTTTTTTTTTTTTTTTTTTTTTTTTAATTGTGGGTAACTACAAATCACCTTAAATAGTCGACATGTCTGAAAAGATGGAAAAGAAAGAAGGCGCTTCTGGTGGTGCAGTTGAACATATCAACCTCAAAGTTGTTGGCAGTGTAAGTAATCGTTTTCAATTGTTTAGATAGAGCCGATTGTAAGAGCAAGTATAATAACCATTCGTCAATTGAAACAGGATCAAAATGAGGTCTTTTTCAAAATCAAGCGTTCGACTGCTCTTAGAAAGTTAATGGATGCTTATTGTGAACGCCAAGGTAAACAACCCGGCTCTGTACGTTTTTTATACGACGGTACTCGTGTTTTACCTCAAGATACACCTAACGACGTTAGTATTTTCGAATTAAATTGCAACTGTAAACTTGTTCTCTCATCACTAATATCACACTACTTTATTGACACAGCTGGATATGGATGACGGTGATTGCATTGATGTTATGGTAGAACAAATTGGTGGTTGTTGCGTATAATATAGATCTATATCGTACTTCAGCATTAAACATATAACAAGTTCATCAGGAAAAAATTGTAAACCACCCAATCGAGCTCTATACTTTATGTTTGAACATTAACTTATTTAAAGTTATAAAACAGAACAAAGCAAGTCAAATACAGTAAAAGCATCGTATAAACCTATTTGCCTTCTTTGCTTGATACATTCGGATTATAATAAAAATACAGTGATTGCGCCAAAAATTCAAGGTTCACAAAGAAAAGAATCACCGATAGTTTTTGTTTCAAATTCGACACCATGAGAGGTGTACTCGTGGAGCTGCTCGGCTTATACAAGCTTGTTCATCTTATTGACCGCAAAGGATCCATTTGCAATTCTATTTTTATGAACGCATTTGGAGCCCCAGCTTTGAAGAATTGCTCACTTTATGTTCTATGATCTGTTATCCTATCATCATCAAGTCCACATTTACTTATCAACTTCCACCAAGTCGTATTTTCAGCGCAATAAAATGTTCGCATGAAGTACTCAACAATCTAAACAATTTTTATTCCTTTTATGAAAAGACTTTGCTTGTAACACATTTATAAAACCAGCTATCAATAAGCAGCAAAAAGATAATCTTAAGGATTGCATGAAAGAATTACGAAAGTATAGTTCATTCTTCAAGCAATAGCGTGATCGACGAAGCAAAATTGTGAACCACACATTATTTTTGAATATGCTGTACAAATTGCCGCGTCTAGTCGCTTTTTGATAATCAAACGCGAAAAAATAACACTCTGAACTCCAGCTAGTATAAGCGTCTTATATCAAGATATGAGCCATTTGTTTCAAAAAAGGGTCGAGAAAAGAATCATTAGTATTGACATTACGTTTTGTCCTCAATTATATGCGCAATAATACGTAAGCATAAGGTTAGGATCAGATGTGTTATTGAAGTACTTCGTGTCACTCATCAATATCTGTAAGGTTTACTTTTTACAAGGGGAACAGGATAAGAAAGTTTTTCTTCTTTTGAGAAGAATATCTAAAACTTCAGCACTTGCTTAACTGCTTGATGAGGCGCATTTATTGTAATCAGTAACCCGCGAGTTACTAGTGATAAGTCCTACTGTTCCTGAAGAGCCTAAAATATACTGTGCAGAGCTGCTTTCGTCAAATGTAATCTAACCTTCCTGACGCCCCTTTTTTGTATTTATGATACATAATTTTGAAAGCTTTCTTTGTATTTAATAATGAGTATTATCACGGGAAAGCGCAAGAAGAGGCAGCATGAATCTCTGGCTCGATATCAAATTGTTTGAAGAAGCCAATTTTTCCAACTTGCTGCGGCTAGACAATAATGGATTCAGCAATAAAACAGCAGTAGCAGAAGTAGAGAACAACAATTCGATTTTGAGGGACCTGAATTGATATATTCCGTACCTTTCGTTGGCATTCTTTATTATAGCTGCAGCTGGTGAATTATGGAGCTACAAAATTGAAGGAATTGAAGTTATCTGTCAACTTAGCCCTGAGACTCAATACTATTGCTGATCTTTCTGACAGAAAAAATTTTCGGAAGCGATCAAGATCTCTTTCCTCATCTACCGTTACGGTCTCGATTTGAAAAATACCATGTCGTTGATCAGTAGTATCAAGAAGCTCACCCTTGTTTTGACCTTGGATGAACAAAAAGAAAAAGTATTAAAATGAAAACGAGAATATTGGTAGAAAAAACACTTGTACAGGGTCCAATTGATGTATTGCCCTCTCTTTAGGTGCTTCTGGGTATGAAGAAGCGTGGGTTTGGAGCGGGAAAGTATAATGGCTTTGGAGGCAAATTAGAGCCAGGAGAAACAGTAGAAGAAGCAGCTATTAGAGAATTATGGGTAACAACAAAGCTTGCTTGTACATATACAGCTTTATTCTTCAATAATGTTAAGAAAGACTTTGTGGCAATTTTAGGAAGAGGCCGAAATCAAAGCGTTGGATTTGAAGCGAGTGGGTATGATCATGTTTACATTTGAGAAGGATCCCGTTGGATTAGAAGTACATATCTTTACGACAACCCAATATGAAGGAAAGCCAACAGAGTAATGACGTCAAAAAAATCATCTTTTAACATTCAATTTGCAGACATGGTTTTCTGAAAAGAACAATTTATTTCACATTAGGACGGAGGAGATGAAACCAGAATGGTTCGATTACAAGGATATACCTTTTCAGTCGATGTGGGCTGATGATCAGCATTGGTTCCCTTATATCATCGAATATCATCAAGCATTTACTGGACATATTCATTTTGCCGAGGTAAAGCTTTTTTGAATCATAAAATGTCAAGTGCTTGCAATACTGATAAAAGTTATATTGTAGGATCAAACCACCATTTTAAAGAAACATTTGATCGGCTTGAAAGACGATGAAGTACTAGAAGCAGGTTTCAATATAGAAAAAGTCATCTTGTAATTTTATGTAATTAACAAAGCCTTATGCTGAAAAAGCCCGTTATTATTGGACTCCACATGAAACTTTTGCATTAAAAAAATTGTTCCAAAAAATCCCATTTCCTTCTCCTGAAATCAAGCTACTATTTTTTTGTTTTTTTCGTATATGCTCAATCTGAATTCTGTCAATGTCTGAATCGCTCAAAGAAACTGACAACAGCAATAATAATATCATAGTATCCATAGAAAAGGGAGTTGCGAAATCTACAACGAACGAATCGGTTGCTACCGATAAGTCTCTTTCTGTGGTTGATGATATTGATAGTAATGATGGTAATAGCAATAGTAGTAGAGATATGACGCCACACAGTAGTACTTTATCAACTCGCGATGAAAGCTCAACCTTTGGTGTTTCTAATGCAACCGCTAAGCATACCCTGCCGTTTTCTTTACTCTCTCAATCGAACAGCGAGCTAAAGCAGCGCCGTAACAAACAACAACATCAGGGAGTATCAACTGCATTAGATTTCCCCGGTTCAACAGAACAGATCGATGGTAGTAGTCAGCAGAAGGACTGTTGTGTTGAGAGTAAAATTATAGCAAAAGAAACGATGCCAATGAATGAACTTTGCATCAGTATCATCAAAGCAACAGTTATATTCAATGTTTTTTATTATGCTTATTGTTTGGCTTATACAACAACTACTACGATTTGGACAGCTATCGAATTAAGTATTTGGTGCCTTATCAGTCTTTGGTTCATGGTACCGGTCTCTTTGAGCAGCTACAGCAATAATTGCGGTAGTAGTAGGAGTAACATCAGTTGTCGATTTGGCAATAATCTCTTGGATGTACTTGGTTACCTTCGAGTGATTTCATTGGTTATGCTGGTCATAACAACGTTGTTCAGTTTCAATAATAATTTCACAACGGCAACAACAGCGACTTTTTTTTCTTCCATCACTGCTACTATCACCATTCTATTTGAATTATTTATTCTTTTTATTTATACTTTGATGGAACAAAATATCAAATCATCCTTGCAACAGGCTAATTCTTCAACGCAGCAGCAGCAGCAGCAGCAGCATTCCAAATTGTCGTCATCGTCGACAACGCCGAGCTTGGCTGATGTTGACGATGCAACTGTACAAAATCAACAACCATCAGCATTTGAAGAGGAAAAAGAAGCACGGCTAGTTCAAAAAAATGTATTCTTATCTATTGTATCCCAAGAGATACGCGACACATGTTCTATGATTACGACAACCTTGGAGCAATTTTGTCCGAGTTCTTTTTTGGTCCCTTCTACCCATGAATTATTAAGTGCCTGTTCTATGGCAGTACCTGTTTCGAGTATATCAGCTATTACGACCACAGTAAATCATGCATCCCATATAGGTTCAAACTTACATCTCTTGGATTATATCTTGCAAGAGGGAGACGAGGAATATTCTGATAGTTGTCAGCGTCAACGGCTTTCTGCAAATCATTGCCACGATGTCGATATGGGAGAATTGATTCAGCATGTAGGAGACGCTTTAGCAGGCCTTTCTGCTAAGTTAGGTGTCCATATTGCCATCTATCATATGGACAATGGCTTTTCTTTTCCTTCTGTTTTCGCAGATGGTCCAGCCATGAAGCATACATTGTTAACTGTAAGGGAATTTAACCTGCTATGCGTGTCTCCCTATGTTCTGTCTTCATTAACCATCTTCTCTATACTATCTTTCTGTAGTTACTACGAAATATTTTGGAGTGTAGTACACCTGGAGCTTGCATTGAGCTGGGGTTAATGATTCAACCTTTACCAGACCAAAACAGCAGCAAAGTGCGAGTCACTTTTCAAATTATACAAACAGCTTCACCAGCTATACCTGTTGGTTTAACCAAAGCTATGATACCCAATATACATTATACCGAGAAGTTGATTGGTTATATTGACGGACAAATGGAAATGGAGGCAATGGAAAAAAACAAGTTTAAGATCGAAATCAATATGGATCTCGAGCCCTCTTCCAATGCAAACAATAGTAATAGCCATAATAGTGGCACTGATGAATTGCACCTTTTCAAAAATCAACCGCACCATCACCACATTTTTTTTGATAAACCATCTCATTTCTTCGAAACTCAATTTGCAAACATACGATTCTCCAACGAACCGACTTTAGAAGAATTATCCATCTTTTTGGCGCATTTGAAGGGTGTCAAATTAATTTTGCATGCACCTGAAAAGAGTAATTTCGCAAAACATCTAACAAGCTGTTTGACAAGCTGGAATACAGATATCAGCCATCTTCCTGTTCTCACCTATGCTACTACTGCTTCCAATGATGATGCCGAATCTGCTTCCTCAATTACTCTAGGGGCTTTAGGTGTTGGTGGATCTGATTCAGACACAACTGCTTCTTTCCATTCTATGTTTCAACAGCAAAATGGAATGAAGACACCTTTAGATAATGTACTATCACAAGAAATTTTAGGGTCAACAGCGACAGCAGCGACGCTAACAACGACAGGAGATTTATCACCGGCCTCCAACCGATCGATCAACAGTAGTAATAATCCCACCACTACCACGCTTACGCAGCAAAAGATACCCTCGCCTGCTATCGAAGAAGATCACATACATTCTATTCCGCCGGCCTTTATCCTAATTGATGATGACATTTTGACTTTAGAACGTAAATTACGACATTTCAGAGAAAATCTGATCCAATATCAGCAGCAGCAGCAGCAGCAGCAGCAGCAGCAACAACAACGTCAGTCTTCTATTAGCACTAATAACAGTGGTGGTAGTAGTGCTACTAGTGCCAGTACTACGAGCAATAAGAATGATACTGCTCGAAATACCAGCAATAGCAGCAGAGCAGCACATCATCATCCATCTATTCATCATCCCCACTATCCTCCTTCTCTTCCACATCACCGTCGTTCCAAATCGAGAACGAGTGACTATTCTTCGACTTATGGTACAGTCGCCATTATTTTCTTTACATCCTTATCTAATTACAAAAGAGTTCGGGAAACAATCCAGTGGTACACCTCTGCAGCATCATTATCAACACCTACACCCGCTGCAACACAACCATTCACTACTGCTCAGATGACCGCATCAGGATTTGCCTTTTCTCCGACTGCTTCGAGCATGGCAGGGGGCTCAGCTATTCCCGCGCCAAATACTACGCCAACGACGACAACAACACCGTCATCCCCTTATCAAAGCAGCCAGTACTATTTACCACGTGTGGTGGTGGTTCCTAAACCCGCGGGACCTCGTCGGTTTTTAACAGCACTCCATACAGCATGGCATAATGCGACGGTGGATCCTAATTTCGTACCTATCGCTACATCACCTATGAGTCCGATGACGATGCATGTATTACCTACGGCTTCTGCTTCGAGTGTTATTACAGATCAACAATCACAACAACAGCAGCAGCAGCAGCAGCAACACCTGGCAGTCACTCCGATGATGACGGCAACACCGCACCACCATCCTTATAGTCATCAGCAGCAACATGCGTATTATGGACATGAGACGCGTTACTCACCTCGTCGTATGCACTCACCTCATCAAATGGAAGCAATAGAAAGAGGAAATTACTTTTTTGCAGATCCTCACCGACCTTCGAACACTTCGCCTTCATTACTTGCCACAGCAGCTGCAGCCGCTGGAGCTGCAGCAGGGGGAGGAGGAGGAGGAGGAGGAGGAGGAGGTAGTGGCGGCTCAGTACCGTTGAGCAATAGTCCATCACTTATTGTGCCTCCACCTCCATCTCCGGGAACTGTTACGGCTTCACTAGCACTCTCGAGTGGAACGCAGCAACAAAACACTCACATGACTACAACTCATCCTATGCCTCCGAATACGAGCAATACTACCTCTTCTGCGACTAACTCTACCACTGCCACTACTCCAGGTACACCTACAGAAATAAAACGACGACTGAGATCGAGAAGTAGTTTAAGACGTGCTTTTATGAACAGCGGTGGCGTAAATGGAAATAAAATCCCCCAAGTGGACACAAGCATTGACAGTGAACAACAGCAGCAAGAACAGCAGCAGCCATTGGAGAAGAAGGATAAGTCACCCATTCAACAGAAGCAGGAAAGCGCAATATCCCCCACTAAGAATAAATCTTCTTTACCTATCAAGACGAAAACTACTACGAATAATAAGCTGGAATCACCAGGAATCTATTCACCTACGTCACCCTCCTCAAAAAAGTCAAAAAAGAATAAGCTGATTGAGAAAAAGAATGGTGAGAATACGACTATACCAGTAACAGTACCCACAAGTACACCAGGCACACCAGCACCCGTCGGTCATACTGTAGACACCCATGCTACCACGACTACTATTGCGGCTGCAAATGCTAGCAATACGGCCACTGCCCCCATACCCACACCTACGCCAGCGAACAGCAATAATAATAACAATAATAATAACAATAATAGTACTAATAACTCAAAGCCTAAACCCAAATTCAACTTCAAAATCAGTAATCGTAAACGTAAAGAAAAAGTCAATACGTCAGGCAAACAAGGACCCCCTATTACTGTGCTTATTGTTGAAGGTAACATTGTGTGTGTGTGTGTGCGTAGTGGTAAGCTGTGTCATCTTCTCCCTGATTCACTCATATTTGGTTTTGTTTTCTTTTTATTGTACTTGTATAGATAATATGATTAATCAAGCTATTTTATCTACTTGGATGAAGAAACATAGTATCAAATTTTCAGTTGCCTCAGATGGAAAGGAGGCAGTAGAGAAATGGAAAGGAGGAGGCTTTCATCTTATTTTGGTAATATTGCAAAATATCGATGCTTGGAACAATACGATATGAACCAATTTTTTTTTTTAAAAAAAATTCTATAGATGGATATTCAATTACCTGTGATGGACGGTATTGAAGCGACCAAGTTGATTCGAGCAATTGAAAAAGAGAGAAAGATCGGTGTGTTACCTTCGTCTTCATCCTCCACTTCGACTGTATCGTCGACGTCGCTCTCTTTAATAACAACAGAGGATGACAATGTGAAGAATAAGAGATTAACCGAAACAAAACGAGGACTTAAGGTAGAGGACACGGACAGCCATGATAAAGTAGGAACAGTAGCAACCATAGCAACAGCAACAGGAGGAATTGTAGGACAAGGAGCTGAACAAGGGGCAGGAGCAGGAGCAGCAGCAGGAGGAGGATTCCAGTCACCAGTGATTATTGTCGCATTAACTGCATCGTCCCTAGAATCAGATAGACAAGCAGCCTTAGCAGCAGGGTGTAATGATTTCTTAACCAAGCCTGTGAGCCTTGAATGGTTGGAGAAAAAGATCATGGAATGGGGTTGCATGCAAGCCCTGATCGATTTTGAAGGCTGGCGTAAATGGAAAAGATCATCACCTTCGACGAGTATACCCTCCACTTCGATAGCGTCCACTTCAACAAAGACGAATAACAAGTATCAGCCTTATTTGTCATTTAATCATGATCATCAACGCCCACAAGCCATCATTAATAACGAAGGTCATAGTAAGGAAGAATTAGAACGAGAAAAGGAATTACTGGCACTCCGTACGAAAGAACTACTCAAAGATGAATCAAGGGCCATTGTGTTGATGGGAGTGCATAAAAGAAGAGTTTCCAGTAATATCACAACGCCCACAACAGCAGCAGGCACTGTAAACCATCAAAGAACTCTGTCCTCTTCTAGTACGACAAGAACAACAGACCCACGCTTATTACAACAACAATTATCGCGGTTTATGTCTTCTTCTACCAGTAGTACAGATGACAAGTTGTCCTTGCCAAAGATTCCTTCGGACCCTGACCTGTATCAAAACGGTTATAACCATTTTCCGTATGAATACTTACCTATACCGCAGCAAGTTGAAGAAAGGGCGAGAAGAAGAGCTTTAGAACTACAGCAGCAACAGCAACACATGGTGAGCGATTTATTAATAAATTACGTAGGCTCTCCAAATCAGCACCACGTTGATGAGAATAGTAATACCAACCAACCACCACCACCACCGCCACCACCATTAACCACTTTAACATGAGCTAAGAATATATAAATAAATAGATGTTTATTTATATTAGTTTGCTTCTTCTATTTCGATTTATAAAAATTATCCGTTCTTTGATTATGTCGTAATTATTATTATTTTATTTTTTTTGTATAACAGTTTTTTTTTATTTATTATCTTCACTCCCTTTCAATTCTCTGCGTTGCTCCTTACAACATATACGTTGTCTCTTTTGCATGGCTCTGTATATGTATAATGCGAGATAAAACAGATCTTCCCGAAATTGTATTAATAAAAAAGATGACGGTTTACCCAAATAAGATTCAGTAATATATGCAAGACATATTACATATAGAAGACCCAAATGCTATGTAAGGAAACTACATGCATTTGCTTTAGTAAAGAAATAAGCTTTTTTAAGGAGTTCACTGTGCGTTGTGTTCTTTTACACGCCCATCAAATGAGCTCCCCGATGGTTACAATCCCAATATTTCATGTGCTCTTTTAGCCTTTTGAGTCGCGCCATAAAGTAACACTATGGACCTCTCTCCCTTATGGATTTGAAAAAAAAGTAGAAAAAAAAAAAAAAAAAAAAAGAAGAATGAAATGTCGATGTTCCATATACCTTTTCGGGTGAATAGGAGAAAATGAAAGGAAATACTAGCAAGATATATATACACATAGATCGAGTTTCTTTGCCTTCTTCTTTTTTTTATCTTTGATTTTTTTAACTTTATAGCAGCCGTCAAACGTTGTTTTTTTCTTTTTCTAAAATTAAAAAAAAAAAATAAAAAAAATAAATGCTCAAGACAGCAACGGAAATTGAACATAACAAATCCATATTATACCAGCAACGACATCATTATGCCAATAGCAGTAATGTGGATGACGAGGAAATTCTAGAGGATCTTTTACTCTATGGCGAAGACGAAGATGCTGGAGTGGATGGAGATCATAGTAGCTGTAATCATAGTTTGAGTAGTAGCAGCCATTACAGTCAAAAGTACCAACATTATCTCCAGCACAACCATTACATGTCCCCCGCGACAGCAGCAGCGTCTAGAAAGAGCATCAACAGCAACAGAGAAAGAGATGTACTAGCGTACGACACACGAAATGATACCTTACTGCTAGCGCAATTCCTTGCTACCACTGGGCCAGAGGAATACCATCATTACCGACATTCGGATAACGTCACTTACCAACAACAACTACCCGCACCCTCCGTTCCCAAAAAGCAACAACAACAACAACAACAACAACAGAAACAACCCTCGTCGTCGTCAAAGCGTACATCCAAGATTTTGAGTCGATTCCGTAATAAACGTAAAACGGTTGATCATATCAATCAAGAAGCCTTAACGCCACCTGTGCCTTCCCCTATTGTACAATCACGCCATTTACCTACTAGAACAAATCATCTAGGAGGATCCAACACCACGGGTTCAACAACAAAGAAAAATTATATACCCTTACCCGTGTATGAGCCACCGGTGCCACCCATGCCACCCCTCTCTTCACCCTCGCCACCAGCAGCGTCAGCTCCACAACAGCAGCAGCAGCAACAGCAACAGCAACAGCAACAGCAACAACATCATCCCCCATCCAACCATCCTAAAATCTCTTCCGACAGACAGCAAAAGAAGTATTATCAACATTCTCAACGAAAACAACAACCACAACAACAGCAACCGTCCATGTCGGGTACTGCTGCTGCATCTTCCCTTTTACGTGATTCTGGCATTTATAGTGAGACGCATTCCGAAAAAGACGCTTCCGTTATAACGTCTTATACGATGCATACCGGTACTACATCCTCCTCTGCCACATCGCCATCGACCCCACCTTCTAGCACTACTACTACTACTACTACTACTACTACAACAACCACATTAGATAGCACGCTATCGCCATCGCCGCCAAATCATTATCAACCCTGTTTGTCCAGTATGTTGTTGCTGAATGAATTTCCACAACCGCCACCCTCTCCTCCTAAACGTCAACATCCTGTTGTCTTACGTACTGTCCCTGAAGCAGCGAAAAGAAGATCTGTCCGCCTTCGTCATGTTCAGGTACAAACAGAAGCCGGGGATGCCTACAAAGACGACGACGACGAAGAAGAAGAAGAAGAAGAAGAGACAGCTACATATCAACACAAGCTGTTCAATCATCAATCACACATAAGTTGTCCTCATTGTCGACAGCAGATTACACCTTCCATGGTCCATACGGCTCCATCTACGGATATGGACGTTGTTGACAGCCATAGCACGCTTAACCTAAATCGGTCTCCTTCTTGCCCACCGGGTCTATCTTCTGGCCCCCTTCTCGTTTTACTTGAAGAAAAGAAGGAAGAGGAAGAGGAGGAGGAGAAGGAGGAGGAAGAAGAGGAAGACCAAGAGGACGTGTATGAGGCAGTACCACCACAAGGACAACAAGTGAGTCCCTCCAATAGCTTACATAGCCATACGACCCACACGAGCCGTTTGAGTCGACATGAAGAGCAACAAAAGGTCTTGCTGGATATGATTATGAAGTTAAAGTCGCAATTAGAAGAAGAGAAACAATGTCGACTTGAACTAGAAAAGAAGTTTATTCGACGCGTATCATTTATTGCTGATTACGATAGAATGGATGATGATGATGATGATGATCAAGACAGTAAGAAGAGTAATAATAGTTTCATCAGTGCTCAAGACCATGATGCTGATGAAGAAGAAGAAGAAGTGATGGTCGGGTGTCAAGAAGACGTTACGCCTCGATACACACCAGGAGCAATGAAGAGAGAAGATTCATTCTGGCTTCATAACCGTGTTACATTCTTACTACCTGAATAAAACGCTTATAACTAACTAGAAATATATTAACCTATCCATACCCCCCCTTAATGTCTAATAAATATCTCCGTTATTGCTTTCGCTACTATTACAATAAGATGAAAAGAACCCATCAAGATTTAACAGAGAGAGAGAACGGAAGAAAATAGTACTTTGCAAGTGCTCAAACAGATTATCTATCCATCAAAGGCCTTGGGAGATGAAGAATGTTATACCAGTGCTAGCCTTTAAACACGATCAGGAATGGCATAATGCACTCACTTTGAAATGTCTAGCTTACTAAAAAGAAAATAGCACTGGGGGGCGGGCAGGGAGGGACGTTTCTAAATTTGAAACGGTCTCTCAATGATTTACAAAAAGTTCTCCGACAGCGGGGACGAAAGGTCTACTCTCGCTGCAGCGGTACTGTCGGAATATTATCCAATTTTTTTCATCTAACGGCTGAATTAGACCGTTCCTCCTATTTTCCATCCGTAATTACGCCAATTTGGGCGTTCTCTAATGAAGCTTCTTGGAGAAGAGGAATTTTTTTAAAGTTAAGAGGAAGGGGCGGGGGGAGTGACGGGTGTGGCTTATGAGGAAAAGGGTCATAGGTGCGTAAATGATGGTTCATCCTTTTGAGTTTCGGCCTGGGTTGCATTACATTTTTGTTGGGTTTTTTGCACGGACGCAGCTAAGCAAAACAAGTACCCATGAAAGAGGATCGTTTCATGAGCAATTCCTTTTTGATAATTACGTACTTTACAATGACAACATACAATTGTATCTTTTTCTTTTTTAAACGGAATCTCCTGATGTCCGACGAATGATTTTAGCCATCCAACCGATCTGATTTTTTTCATTCAAATAAACATATCAATTATAAATCAGTCACGTGCGATGATATGTCAAACATTATGCATCATTGGCATTGATAACGATGGTATTGATTGACCAAACGGATTCGCCCCAGACAAATGCACAAGTATAGGCCTGGAATGGCGGGAAGATGTGTTTTTGATGTACATGAAGTATTAGCGATTTTCTTTTTTAATTCAAGACTCAATGAATCAAAAGAGATGCATGAACCACCCAGGAAACGGTTTTGTTTCCTTCTTGAAACATTCCATTAAAAGAACCATGGAAAGATCGGTTTGAAAAATATGGAAATGGGCCGATTGAGTTTGAGACGATACAAAAATCTAGAAAAAAAAAAAAAAAAAAAAAAAAAAAGTGATTTTTTTTCCCTGTCTTTCACGCACTTTGAGAAGAATGCTGCGCACATTTGCGTTTCTCTTTAAATGAGCTTTTTTGAGTTATTTGTGATCACTTTTTCGTTTTTTGACCTGAAATGAGTGAAAGAGTACTGCTGACTCGTATTTTTTTTTTTAATGCCAATCCTTCTTTTCTATTCTGTTATATTAGCCGTAGTTCCTTTTTATTTTTGTAATTTTGTTAGTTTTTTCCTTATTTCTACACCATCATTATCCTTCATTCATTACAGTCTATAAAAAAGAGAATACTCTATTCTTGAAAGAAAAAAGCAATTGAAAAAGATGGGTCAACGACAATCAAGCTCACAATCTTATAGAGACAACAATAGCCATTCAAATCGTAATGTAAATAGTAACAGAAGACAAAGAGTTGTTAGACCCGACAGTCGTTCCAATGCCAATATTCCTCCCCATGATAATATACCCTACAGACGTACAAACACAACTACAAACAGTAATCGAACGCATTCACGATCGTCGTCATCTCCACAGACAAGTTCTAATGTTACGGCATCTTCCAATACAGCCAGTGATGAAAGGACGTGGCGACGGTTAAGGAGAGAAAGAAGAAGGGAAGAGGGTCTTCACGAGGATAGCGGCAGCAACCATCATCTGAATAGCATTATATCTACTGTAACGGAAGCGATTGATGCTGCGGCTGCCATGGCGAACAATAACAGTAGGAATGATACCAACCATGCTCCCTTTGATCGGACGACGACGCCCTCTGACCCAACGAGTGCCACAACAACAACAACAACAACAACAGCAAGAGCAACAGAAGGAGCTGCAGCAACGATGAGCCCTTTTTCACGTATGCTTGCACAAGTTATTACGGAAGCTGTCGTTACTTCTTTCCGTAACGGCCATCTGAGTACTACGCCACCCCTCTCTGAACAGCCATCTTCCTCACCGTCTGATACGAACAATGAAGAACGTCATAGTAATAGTAACAATCAAAGTCAAAATCCATCCTTCCCCCTACCGACCTCCTCCCCCTCGTCCTCATTGTTGTCGTCGTCGTCACAGCAAGCACAACCTCGACAACAATTAACAATGCATATCTCACCCGAAATGTTTAGTCAAATGGAACCAGAAGGTACTGAAGATACATTTATGCGATTCCTAAGATTGCCTGTTATTGTTAGTAATGTTTCCAGTGACGATACAGCAAGCACATCTCATGACCCCGCTATTACTACTACTACTACTACTACTACTTCTACCTCTACTGCTTCTTCGACGTCTAGAACGAGACGTAGTCGTAGTTCAACGGCAGTGAATGCAGATGGTGAATCACCGACGTTGACAGAAGAAAATAGTGAAATTACTCGTGTGATGATGTTGCCAGTCTTTTTATATGGTTTAAGAACCCATGCGAATAGTAACATGATGAATACAGGCTCAACCACCACCGCAACAGCAACAGAAACAGCAACAGCAGCAGCAGCAGGAAGTGAAGGAGGAGAAGGAGGAGAAGGAGGAGCAGGAGCAGACAGAGAGGATGTAGATGATGAAAATAACAATAGAAGATTTAGTGTGAGAATTCGTGAAAGATTAGAAAGAGAAAGACGTCTACAAGCAGAACAATCAGCATCCTCCGTACCCGCCACCTCCAGTACATCTGGAACTGGAAGCTCCTCCTCCTCTAGAGGGACAAGACAGGAGGGTGATAACAGCGGCGGCATCAATGGTCAATGGACAGTGTATATTATTAGCGGTACAAGTATTGAAAATTTGTTCACCTCCGAAGGTGAATATAATTTTAGTTACGAAGAATTATTAGAATTGGCGGCCATGATTGGGCCCGCAAGAAGGCCTACGGTTAGTCAAGAAGAGATCGACGCAGCTATTCCTATTGTTAAATACACTCAACAGGTGAAACAGATGATGGTGGGTAACTCGGAGGGGTGTCAAGTGTGTTTGAATACATACCAATCAGATGAAGATGTGCGAGTTTTATCGTGTCATCATGGGTTTCACAAAGATTGTATCGATAAATGGCTGACGGAGGGCCAAAATCAATGTCCACTTTGTCGCGGCGTACCCGTTCAACGGCAAGAACAACAGCAGCAGCAGCAGCAGCAGCAGCAGCAGTAGCAACGTTAACCATTGAGAGAAGAAGAATAAAAAACAAGCTTTTTTCTATAAAGACTTTATCTATGGATCTTTTTGTATTATGTCATCTTTATGAAGATGAAAAAAAAAAGGCTTTTTTTTTATACAAGGGCAGGGGTGACATGATGTATATTGTTGATAAGAAAATTTAAACAAGTGATAGACTTTATGGGTTTTTGGTGTGCTTATCAATACATGATGCGTGCTGCGCTTGCTTTTGATATGATGGTCCCTGTCAGAAAAAAAAAGAGCTTTAGAAATCCAAACAAGTGCTAAAGGGAAAATCTTGTCCAACCACATCAACGTAAATTTTTTTTTTTTTTCTTTCACGCTCAACAAATAAGATTCTTTTTAAAGTTCGGTTTTTTTTTTTTTCGTAAAAAAAAAAAGCCACTTTTTCTTTTTAAAAAAATACTAAAATTTAACCTCCGTCGAATCAAAAGCGTGGCCCAATATGGTTGGTGACGGTGTTTATTTACCCTATTTCGCAATTAATTTTTTATCCGAAAAGTTAATACTCCTTTTCTGGAATTTGTTCACCGAAGTTTCGTTTGTTTCTTTTTTGAAACCTTAAAATAAGAAAGCCTCCACCCTGTTCTCTTCTACTGCAGATTTTTTTTTTTCCCATTCGAAATTTTTCATATATAAATAGCCTAGTTTTTTTTTTTTTTTTATCTAATTTCTAATTTAAATTATTTTCAGTCATTTTTCCCAAAAATTACAATTTTATCTGTCCCAAATCTTTATAGTGGATTTTTTTACTTACCCCGCTTTTTTTAAGCTTGCATAATCATTAAATACACCCCGTCCTTTTATTTTTTAATTCTTTTATCTAGTACACCTATAAATAATCTCTTTCTCATTGTTTCATCCATGTCTTTGCAACAACAACCACAACAGCAATCTCCTATGTTATTAGTCCAACCTTTAAAGCTTGATGAAATCAACTTAAAGATGGACGAGCCTGAAGAAGATCAAGAGGAACAAGCACAAAAAGCAGCCATCACACCGATTGATGTGATTGATGATGTCGAATTATTGGCTATCCTTGGCTTACCTACTCCCACTCCTACTGTTATTTCTACTGATTTCTCTACCATGATGAGCAACAACAACAACGGTCCTAACTTTCTAGCATCCTCTCCTTGTTGCAATACACCGGCTCTCACCGATGAAAACGCGTTTTTGGATTGGGATGATATGCCCGAACTTTCTGAAGGTGAAGAAGAACCAGACACCGCCTCTCTTACACCCAATAGTAGAAAGAGAAAGTCCTCCTATGATGATGAGGATATTTTTGCTGAACTTGATTTTGAAGATGCCATTTTATATCCTGCCGCTGCGGGTACTACCACAGATGCGACAACTGCTCATACTACCAGCACCAGCACCAGCACCACCACTAGCCCAGCACCGTCACTGCAACTTCCACCCACGAAAAAGAGATTTGTTCAGGAGCAAATGATCAACCCTATATCCAATGCTGTATAACCAGATATTATTTTTTTTCTTTTGCAACTGCACCCCGGCACCCTCTTCTACCAATACGCGCGCCTGTATCATATTCTCACTCCAACCGCGTTCATTCTTGTACATTCTCACTATTTCTATATACTATTACATACCTTTGCTTTTGTTTTTGAGGGAAATTTCCCCTTTTATTATTATTCATACAAAAGTTTGTACAAAGTCGCTTTCGTCATCAAGACCTATATTTATTTTGCTTTTTGATATAATCACCCTATTACGTAAATTGCTCTTTTTTTTCTTTTTTTTTTTTTTTTTTTTTTTTTTTTTTTCTGTTGGAAAAAATAAATTAATCACTTGTCCATTTTTTCTGATCCGCAAAAAAAAAAAGCTGGTTTTTCTTTTACAGTCTTTAATGAAAGGCAGCCTATGGGCGGGTTTTTTAATCTCCAATAGCGGTTTCTATTCTTAATAACTTTAAATGCTTTTTCTTATGAGAATAGAATGGTTGACGAAAGGCGGGGAGAAGGGCGCGATGCCAATGGGGATTGACGCTTAAACAAAAAAACAAGTATCAGAAACTACACATTGAAAACTTGAATACAATCTGTCAAAAAGCATCATGTGAGACCATTGATTGTTTGAAAAAGTGTACAAAAGCAGTTGGAAAATCTACGTTTCGTTCGTACGGCACCGAGATAATCCTAGTAAGCATGACAAAATACGTAAATTGCTTTCCATATATCAACAAACGTACAGTCAATGGTCGTATCAATCATCTTTCCTTTTTTTTTTTTTTTTTTTTTTTTGCCTCCCCGCCCTCCATTTTGCCAGATGCCCTTTTCTAATCGCCACTACAATATTTTATTGTTAATGAAAAAAGTGATATATCATTCTAAAATGCAGAACGTACCCATAACGAGGACGATCCTTGTTGGCATGCATCATTGAACGGATGATAGAGGAGTCCGATGACGCTTCGTTTTGCACCCTTCTGCATCACTTACAGGTTCGTACAAAACGTCAAAACGCGTCCGTTACCCATCACTAAGGTGCGAATGGGCTTCCAATGGACCGAGGGCTATTCTTTCCGTCTTTTTTTTTTTTTTTAAAATTTTTTTTTTTGTAAAATGCTTTACCCGCGGGGAGCATGTGTCATGAGTTAGTTATCTGGAAACCTGTTTCCCAAGATTTCCAATTGGGCGAGTTCTCCATCCATCGTAGAGAACATCGCTCGGCTAAAGCTTTGAAATGAAAGAACAAAGCATCTCTTACTCTCTTTCAACCATTAGGGTCAAAGGTGATGGAAACGACACGATGACTTTCAGTTGCTAATGACGAAAAAGTAGAGCCAGGGAAGGTGACGCACTATGGACAGTACAATCGTCATTCGCTTCAGTGACGTCTGCAAAAAAGATGGCTTTTTTTTGTCCCATTCTATTGAACCCATGACGCCCTTTCCGTAGCTTTCTTTTGTAAACAATTTTTTGCATGAATTAAACCACATGTCTCGGTATTTTAGGTTTTTTTTTTATCAAAGTAGAGCCATTGTTGTCTATTTTAGGTCCAATAATAGAATGTCTAATTGCTTAGGTTTCGTATTCATTTGTGTATGGGTTCATTCATCTCTTTCGTATTCCAGACCTTTTTTTGATAAAAGTGAACAGCCTCTTTTATCGGATTAAAAATGGGCGTAAAGTGTACACAAAACCACTTGTGATGTAGAATATGCATGACGCGTCTTTTTTTTCCAAACTTGATTTTTTTTTTCAACTTTTTCCTGCATGTGAACCTTTAAGGCTCTTTTTTATTATTTTACTGCCTATTGCTTGAGAGAAAAAAAATAAAAATTCGTCATCATGTTGGATATTTATCAGGCCTCCTATGAAGGAAAGCTATTCGTCGTTCAGTCCATGTTGGAAAAGGATGCATCCCTCATTCACTCATTTGACAATGTAAACAAAACTCTCCCGCTCCCTCCACCTTGAGATAAAACAACCCGAATAAACTAAACTCGTATTATTGTGTAGGATGGACGTACTGCCTTGCATTGGGCTGCCTCAGGTGGACACGTCGACTGTGTCGACTATTTGTTAAATCAACACGCATCTATCAACTTACAAGATAAAGAAGTAGGTTTTTTTTTATAAAAAAAAAAAAAAAACAATTCACGTGATCATGAGCCGAGTAAAGAGAATGACGATGGCAATGGATCTATATTAGGCAGGATGGAGTCCTTTAATGATTGCTGGTATGTCATTCCATGTTGTTTTATGAAGAGTAAAGGGCCTTTTTTTTTTTTTTTTTTTTTTTTTTTTCTCACACAACGTGGAAACCCACCCCCACTCCCACCAAGAACAGTTTCGGCTGGGCATACAAAAGTAGTGGAATTGTTATTGGAAAAAGGCGCAGATACGACGCTGGAAAATGAAACGAAGCAATCCGCCTTGCAAGTATCTACTATTGTCGTTTGTCCTTTGTCAAGGCGCATGTGCTAAATCATGATATCCCCCCCCCCTCTATAGACATTACGCAGCTTCTAAAAATAGGCTAGAGGTAAAAAGTAAAAAGGTGAAACTTGCAAACAAACTTTTCTACTGAGCAAACATTGCACAAAACTGTAGATTGGCCGCTTATTATTAAAGAACAATGCCCCTGTCAACCAAGTCAATAAATACAAACAAACACCATTGTAAGCACTACAAAAATCGCCTGCCAATAACCCGAAAAAAGAAAAAGCTCATACCCCTTTCCCTCCCCCACCCCCATCAGACATAGAGCAGCGGCGGGTGGCTATATCAAGATGATGGCATTACTTATCGAGGCCAAAGCAAGAGTCAATGCAAAAGACTCGGAGGGCAACACTCCTCTCCATTATGCTTGCGAAGAGGGTCATGGTGATTGTGCCGTGTATTTAATCCAACATCGTGGTAACTTGGATCAGCTCAATTCACAAGGAAAGTCTCCTTTGGACTTGTGTACCAACCACCAAGTGCGCTCCTTTATACAATCTCAAATTCAAGAGGAAGATCTCTCATCATGATCTCTCTTTATCATCTATCCCCCCCAAGCCCATTGTATAACACACATTCCATGGATAATAAAAAAGAAACCACAAAAGGACAATAGACAAAGCCCATCTTTTTTTTCATTTGCATCCTACCCTCTATTATTTTTCTTTTACTTGTCCATTTTCGGATCTGTGCAACGCAATCTAATAGGTAATAAACGAACTTTTTTTTTTTTTTTTTTTTTTTCTTAATTGAGAGTAAATGAGTTCATGTCTCCTTTTTGTTATTGTTCGTACGACACATAGAACAGACACACACATACACGCACACATACACGCACACAAACAAACGCAATACACAGAAACACATAGACAAGGCAAACAGACAGACAAAAAAAAAAAAAAACTGAAACAAACCAATCTGATTGGAGGCAAAAAAGCTTGTCTTTTCTTTTTAAGGGGCAGGGATAAAAGGAAGAAACATGAAAATAGATAAAAAATTTTTCGACTCCGATCAATATGACCCATTTACCAAACATACCACATGGAAACAAAAAAAAAGTTTTTTATTTTTTTTTGATGGTTAAAAGTTTACTATGTGTCTGCTTGGCGTTCATTAATCATCCGTTCTCCCATGAATAAATTGGAACAAATAAAAGCAAAATTTGTCATGGTTTTAACCAAGTTTCTATACAATTAAATAATGAAGGATGATGGGACTGGTTATTTTTAAGGTTTATTATTGTTATTTTTTTTACACAGAATAAAATATACATATAATATTCTACTCAATAAATAAAGGAGGCCTTTTTTGCATATGCATAAGATGATGAAATAAAAATAGAAAAGTAATGATATATGGTTAGAAAACGTGCGGTGACTAAGGATAAAGTAGAATAGGAGGGAGAGGGCATAAAAGATGAACAAAAAAAAACCAGTATATGAAATTTATTTGTGAGGCGCTAAGAGAGGAGAGGAGGATGTAGATGTGATGAGTGGTTGGTATTGCCTTCACTCTTTCTTTTTATATATAAAAAAAAAACCAAAAAAACTATTAAGGATGGGTGTATATATACATAATGGAGGGCCATAAAAGATGCGTAAACAAAGTAGTGCTGAGAAAACCAGTTTCCCTTTTTTTTTTTTTTTTTTTTTTTTTTTTATCTTTCGCTGTCTTTCTCCGTTGCTAAAAAATCATATTCATTAGTCATAGTCTCTAATAATAAATTCTGTTTTCACCAAAGATGCATATTGTTGGACAAAAATCCACTGACAGTAGTAGTTGCAGCAGTGGTCGATAAAGCAGCAGCATTAGGAGGAGAAGGGTGTATAAACGGAGATACAGACGTAGAAGAAGAGGATGGGGAAGGTTGGTGTTTTAGCAAATGTTGTTGTAATTGGGCGTGTTGTGCTTGGACTTGGGCTTCCTCTAGTTGTTGTTGTTGTTGCTGCTGATGATGTGCCTGTGCCTGTGCCTGTGCCTGTGCCTGTGCCTGTGCCTGTGCCTGTGCCTGTGCCTGTGCCTGAGCTTGTTGCTGTTGTTGCTGCTGTTCTTGAGCACGTAAAGCAGCTTCAGCTTGTTTCTTTGCCTGTTCTCTTTCTTTCTTTTGTCTCCTCCATTCTTTTCGCATTTCTTTAAATTCATTTGGATGGCGCTTTGGACCCTATAAAAAGTGGCATGACTTGTTAAAACAGGACATCCATCTCTTATTTCTGGTTTTTTTTCTATTTTTTTTTTTTACACTTACATGTTGTTGCATGCTCACATGTGCATTTAAATGGTTCAGCGTACCATAAGCTTTCGTACATCCAGGGAAATTACAATGATAAAGTCTTTCAATTTCATCATATCTTCTACGTGGACGCTTTCTTTGCGTTGTGCCAGGAATATCTATTCGATTCGAAAAGAAAAACAAGAGAAAGAGTTAGGCCATTTTAACGACAATGAATAGCAACAACAATGCTTGACATTACTTGTATTCATGTGATTGTTATTATTCGTATGGATGCTTGTGCTTGTGCTGCTATTGGGAGATGAATGGCTGGACACCGTGCGATGCTGTTGTGGTGGTTGTGGTTGGACGTGAGTTGGAGGGTGGTGATGATGTTGTGCTTGTGCTTGTGCTTGTGCTTGTGCTTGCGCTTGACCTGGATAGGGCTGCTGAGAAGGAGCAGAAAGATAAGACGAACCGGGCTGTGGATGTACTTGTAGAGATGAGGTCGACGTCGGTTGTAATGGCATCCCCAAAACACCAGCAGAATGGGTCAAAGCAGCCATCGGTGCGGTGGCGGTAGTGGGTTGTGTCATAAACAGTGGTTGCTGAGGGTCGATAAAAGCTGGATCACTCAATGTCACCATGGAATGATCCAACGTAGACGCCGAGTTTAATGTATGAGAAGGCAATGCGTGATGACTGAGGACTTGAGGATTCGCTGTTGCTGCTGGTATCACAGTGGTCGTGTGCGCTGTATTTACGGTTGTCTGAGGGAACAAGACAGCCGCAGCCGCAGCCGCAGCTGTTACAGCATCTACATCGGCGGATAACAACTGATTCGCATTCCCAGTGGTGGTGGGAGAGGCATAGTTACCAAACACAGAAGATGATGGATCGGCCGTCGTCGATAAAACGGTAGGATGGTTCAAAGTCGTATGGCTATTTGTCTTGACAACAGAGCCTGCAGTAGGAAGGTTGGGGTGATGACCAGTAGCTTCAAAAGAAGAAGGCGGAGGCGTAATCGTTGTATTGGCAGGGTTAATGGTGTGAATCGTGTTGGTCGAAGAGGAGACAGTCGAGGTGGAATCATTGGATAAAAAGGGTGGCGGCGGCTGTGGGTGAGTAAGCGTTTGCTGGATGATGGGTTGAGTCGATGTAATCATACTTGTGTTTGCAGCAGTTGCAGCAGCAATGACAGCTTCTGTAACAGCTTGTGTATTCGGTGTTAACTGCGTAGGGTCATTCATAATCTGTTGCTGCTGCTTCTCGGTCAACAAATGTGATAATGGAGGTAGAGAAGGTAATTCCAAGTGTTGTAGAAAAGGCGCCGTTTGTTGTCTTCTTTCAAGTAAACTGCTTGTCTCTGATGACGTGGTTTTCTGCTGATTGGATGCAGTTACATTCGTATTGTTGATATTGTTAAACACGGAAGCAGTCGTAGACGTCATTGAGTTACGCTTTTAAAGTTGGAATGATGGTTGAAATAAGAAATAATAAAGCTTGATCTGATAATGCGAAAATATCTCCTCTTTGGTTATTTGATAAGAAATTCGAATTATTTTTTTCCCTTTTTCTATAATAACTAATTCTATACTGTAATTGAGAATAAAAAAATAAACGCGACTCTTCGTTTGGTTGCTTCTGCTTTTTTTTTTTTTTTCTCTTTATTTTCTGTATCAGAAAACGGGAATATGCAAACAGAAAAGAAAGAGAGAGAGGTAGAAATCAAGAAGAGAATAATTAGAACAGGAGGAAGAGAAGTATTGAATTAAACGGCAGCTTTAAGGGGCAGCATGAAGAGATATTAGCGGAGATTGATCTATGACGTAATAAATGAAAATAAGTCACGGATGATGATGTCGCTTTGTCTACAGGCTTCCCTCTTTTGAAACTCATATATAAATTCATATGGTGAAAGCGAAAAAAGATCGACGTTGAGCCATTTTTGGATTTTCTGCTTATCAGTCAATGTTTGTTTGCTCATATGTCACCCTACTCCTTTTTGCACTTTAACGTTAGGTTTATATCAACATGTAATACGCCACCCCGCAAAAAGGTTTCAGAATCATTTAAACATATGAAACCTTTTGTCTTAAATCTGTACAGAAAAAAAAGAAAAAAAAAATAGGGCTGACATATTAAGAAACAGCAAAAAAATTTAAAATGCCATTCATATGAACAGAGAGAGGGGGCCCTTTAAAAAATGACCTGATTGAGGTTACAGACCTGTTTTCTCATGCAGAAAAAGATAAGATTACCATTCATCAGAGCATCTGATCCGATAATTGCAACGTTACAGTTTCAATACACTTAGACTTTTGCTGATGTCGTGCAAAAAAAGACTGATCAAGAGTAAGAAAGATTGCATTATTCTGTTTTAAGCAACAACCAAAAAAGTCGGGGGCAACCCGTTTATTTGTTACGCGTGATACAGAAAAAAACATTTGAAAAAAGATACGTTTTCCTCTGTCTAAATAAAGAAACTACGTCGTTAAGCTACAACCCTATGCCCAATGAAGCATCGCCACAGACCTGATGGTCTCTATGGCAAGATGCAATTTAAATAGGCATAAAGCCTCATTGCCAATCCATACATCTTCTTTTGTCAAAAAGCCCTATGCTTGCATAGCATACTGATTTGTTTTAGACAAAGCACAGCTACAATGGAAACTTAAGGATTTCTCATGGCTGACTACAAGGCATTCATCAAAGCTACATAGAGGAGAGGAAACGGAAAAAAAAATAAAAAACGCCTGTTCCTTACCATATAAGAGTTTCTGAGAGCCCTAAAATGGGGGAACATTAGCATTTTGCGACATTGTAAACATAAACTACACTTTTATAAGAAACAATCATGTGTCTATATTTTTGACCTGTTTCTCTTTTTGACACCGTTTTCCCAATACACGTCCAGCATGGTCAACCTTTTTACGCAAAAGACCACAATATGTAACGCATTTGAATGTTAATAGTAGCTAGTATCCATTTGCATATTTTGCACAGATGATAAAAAGTAGATGCTCTTTTCTCTAGAACGCAACGCATAGTACCCAGGCTGTAACCAGAAAAATACCAAATGTCAGTCCTAAAAATACCGTACATAAACTAATCGTAGCAGTGCTAAAAATAAGGAAAAGAAAAGCTTATCTGTAAAAGAACAAGAAGAGACCTTTTGTCTTGTACATTCTCAAAACTGTTCCTTTTGACGGTGGTAAGATCCGCTTTATTTTTCTATCTGGTGAGCGAAACCCCGACGACGCCCAAATTGGTTGTAAAATCCAAAATGGCTGACTCTTGAAATATGTTGCGTGTGTTTCCGTGTGTGTTTGTTTGGGTCGTCCTTTCAAGTTCATTCTTTTTCTCAGTACTGCAATACAAGTATGCAGAATACTATAAGCTCCATTATTCCTCTTGAGGATTCAAATTCCTTACGTTCCGCTCAATATGGTAAGATAAACTCAAACGTTGCCCATACGTTTAAAAAAAAAAGATGGGTTAGGTTCCCCCCATTGGGATAAAGATGACCATGACAAACATGCAAGAAAAGCTAACATGACAATTAAATTCATCAGCTGCCATTAAAAAGATGCTCCACCTAAATTCATCAGAACAGCTTATAACCGATGGCAACAGTAATAACGCAGAAAACATTGTTTGGAAGGTACTCATCTTTGACAAATTTGGTCAAGACATCATCTCATCTATTATGCGTGTCAACGATCTTCGTGAAAATGGGGTAACAGTTCACATGTAAAGTAAAAGCAGCATTGAGAAAAAGAATACGTCAGAAAAAGATCTCCTCACCACCCGTATTCAACCATTCTTTCCCTAGGCTCTTGTCGCAAGATAGATCACCGTTACCAGATGTACCCGCTATCTATTTCGTCGAACCCACTTCCGACAACATCAAACGTATTTGTGATGTAACTACTTGAGATTTTTAATGTTGCCAAGCTAAATAATGTAGTACTTATTATGCTTCAATCACAGGACTTGAATAGAAGCTTGTACGATTCATACTACATCAATTTTTGCTCAACAATATCTCGACCCATTTTGGAAGAGTTGGCTACTAAAACGATAGCAGATAACACATCAGACATGATTAATCAAGTAAGGAACCGGACGACCGCATCAAAAATTTTCAGTTGACACGTATTTATCGTTTTATTTTGTATGAAAGGTTTATGATCAATATCTCAACTTTATTTGCACGAATCCCAACGTTTTTTCACTTCATCAACCTCAAACTTTCATTCATCTGAATAATCCTTCTGCTACAGAAAAACTAATCGAAGAAACGATCGATAAAACCGTGAATGCACTCTTCTCAGTCATTATCACGATGGGCGTGGTTCCTATCATCCGCTGCCCTCGTGGTAACGCTGCTGAAAGCATCGCTCAAAAACTAGACAGTAAACTACGCGATCATATCATGAACAGCCGAAACAATTTATTCTTGGATGAAAACAGCACAAATAACAATCTACAGCGCCCTGTTTTGATTTTGTTGGACCGTAGTATGGACTTGACACCCATGTTGAGCCATTCATGGACCTACGAAGCTTTGATTCACGATGTTCTGCATATGAAACTTAACCGTATTACCATCGAAGAAGAAAATGGTAAAAAGAAGAGTTACGATCTTGACAATAAAGATTTCTTTTGGAAGAAAAATGCTTCGAGCCCCTTCCCTCAAGTAGCGGAGGACATTGACAGCGAGCTCAACAAGTATAAAAAAGACGCAGCAGAAATTACCAACATGAGCGGTGTATCTTCGTTGGATGAGGTGAATCAGAACATGGAATTATCGTCGAATACAAAGTTGCTCAAATCAGCTATCACAGCTCTACCCGAACTCACAGCGAGGAAGGCGACGTTGGATATGCATATGAATGTCGCTACGGCTTTATTGAATAAAATTAAAGATAGACAACTAGACAATTTTTTCCAGATCGAAGAAAATATCACTCGACAAAATAAGAACACGTTGTTGAAAGCCATTGGGGATACTGAGAAAAAAAATCCTGAAGATAAAATGAGATTGTTCTTGATCTATTATTTGTCCATGGTCGAAGAAATACCCAAAGATGACATGGAGACTTATGAAAAGGCTCTTTCAGAAGCTGGTTGTGATATGGAACCTTTGAACTATATCAAAAAGTAAAGGCCCCTCCCCTCTATAACAAACAAGGGAAAGAAGATGTATACTTCTGAATAGTCAACTCAGCTTTCCTTTTTGATTTTTATTTCAACATAGGGTTCGTGCTTTGATGCGCATGACGTCCTTAATGTCCTCCTCGGCAGCACCACCTCAAGGAGGATCTGATCTATTACGTGGCTTCAGCACGATTGGTAATAAGGTAACCCTATCACACGATCGACTTTTTCGCGCTATAATCCTAACCATGCATGCTTTCTATAGCTTTCTGACAGACTAAAGGAAGGCGGTTTAGGTGGCGGTTTTGGTAATTTACTATCTGGTGTAAAGAACCTATTGCCTACGCGCAGAGAGCTGGCAGTCTCAAAAATTGTTTCTGATATAATATCACCACCACAAAACCACGAAACATCCAAAGCCAGCGATTATCTTTACTTTGACCCTAAAGTTAGTAAAAAATCCTCCACAATATCTCCACGTCAAACGAGAGTGAGCTTCCAAGAGGCCATTGTGTTTGTAGTAGGGGGCGGTAACTATGTTGAATATCAAAATTTGCAAGAATTAGCCACGGTAGGTTCTCTTTTTTCCTCCCTTCAATGGTCCTTTCGTATTCTTACATCTTCATTTTATTGCTTTTTGTATAGCAAAACAACAACAGAAAGAAAATCACTTATGGCTCTACCGAAATCTTGTCACCTCACGAATTTTTGCAGCAATTAGCTACCTTAGGAAAAGAAAGCTCTCTCGCTTAAGATAATTAACCATCCAACAAACGTAGCCGCACATCCTTCCTTTCCTTTCCCTCTTTCTCTCTCTCTCTCTCTCTCTCTCTCTCTTTCATTTTGAGATCATGTTCATTGTAAAAATAAAAAAAAAAGACTTGATATAAAGTACAAAACGAAAAAATGCATCTTCTTTTTACTCACAACGTCCATGTTCCAAAATTTTGTAGAGTTATAACAGAAAAAGAAAAAAGTATATTTGCCTATTTTAATGAATAGGTGCTGCTTCTAACTTTGTTAATCCTGCCCTTTTAGACATGGCTAACAGATTAGCATAAGGCTTTTCCAAAGAATATGGCAAACTACTCTGAAATTGTTCCGAACTCATCCAGTCCAATCCGTGTTGGAAGATAGTAGCAGCACGATGATGACCGCCTTCGATAGTGCCCATAGATCCATGCAAAGTAGCTCTTTTAGATTTGCATTCATAGGCAGCACGATGGAGGATGTTGTTATCGTAAAAGACGGTTTGGCCTGGTTTTAAGACGACCTTCATCATATTGGGCATAGCGTGGCTTTTGGCATCGTGGATCGTAATGTGCCGTTCCTCGGCCGTACGGACACGACGATGAGAGCGAGGAACAACGTACAAACAGCCGTCTTCATACAAAGCTCTAGAGAAAAAGAAGAAAGTAATGTTAGAATACATATATTGTTTACTTTTACAGTCCACAGGCACAATTTTTACTTTACGTATTCCATTGTGTACCATAATGGGGTATTTCCAAGTACTCTTCTTCTTTCTCCTCCGGTGTTTCAGCAGGGACAGAGTCTCTATGCCATGTAAGATCAAAATCTGTTTCTTGCGGATTGATCAGCAGATTGAAAAGTTCTATACAAAAGAGTGTTAACGTTTTAAATTGTTTTAGACCACTGTTATACTCGTCATGTATGAGCAAACATTTACCTAATTGTAATTCTTCAGGTTTAGTGCCCAATAATTGGCATACGGTTTCTTGTAATTTAGCTGAGCCATACCAGTCGGCGAAAACAGGTTCATTCAATTCAGGGTGCATCAAATGCTGTACACCCCAAACGTCTGTGCCTTCAGTCCAAGGTGGAAATTGTGTACCCACTAATCGGCTGTGGAGAAAGGTAAGGTTTTAGGATTGTCATAAACAATAAACAGCACAATAGGCTGTTTTGTTAGACAAGAACCATGATGGCATGTAGATGCTACTTTACCGGTATTTCCATTCTCCTTGTCTGGCTTTCTCTACCACGCGATCACAAGCTTCCTTCAACTTGTCAAACAAGTCTAACGGAATCAACCCATCAATAATAACATAACCTTCGGTCTTTAGGGTTTCTTCGACAGGATGACCATGGATGTCAGTAATCATTTTTCTTCTTTCGGATAGCGAGATAGGGTAAGTAATCAAGAGATAGTATTAATGAAAAGGAACAAAAATAGCGGAAAAAAAGAGAGATGACACAAAGCTTCTCTATTTTGTAGGTCCCTACCATACATCAAGGGTTAAGTTCACACGATTCACTGTGACAGTCAGAATTGGTATCATTCGCTCTATGGATAGTGCTAACTTTAAACTGTGCACTGCTTAAGTAAGCGAATAAAAGATCCAAAAAATGCAAGAGTGTAAAGACTGATAAAGTTAACCAATAAACTCTTCAATACCACATATAAGAAAGATCCAAAGCGGGAAAATGTATACGCCCCGAATACTTTATGTAATACAAGTATAAAAAGTCAGATGAGTACCTTTCATGTTCTGATATATTGCTCGACTTGATTATCCTTGACTAGCAATGTTTAGTATTGTAAGCTTTCAAACCAGATAAAGTTGATGCTAAGCTGCCTTTTGTGCTCGGATTGGAAAAGATGTAAAGTTACTAAACTTAACAGAGGATATCAAGAAATAGGCAAGCGAATGCTTTTTGCAGTATCGGTGCTACGTTTCTTCTACGACAATTTGAAATTTCCTACAAACTCAAGATAGAGGGCCATTGAAAAGTTCCTGAAAATTTATCCAAGATGTTGTAGCCTTTCTACTGCAAAATGACATGTACAAGATAAAGATTGTTACTGGTTAGAGACGGCAATATGCTTATTTTGCAAAAATCAGGTAGTAGCGGGATCAAGCGCAACACATTTCGACCAATCTTGTTGCAGCATTTACGAATAAGAAAATTAAGGGGAAAAGACAGCAGTTCATGCCGAGCCAAGTTTTTTTGTTTTTTTTTTTTTTTTTTTTTTTTTTTTTTTTCCTTTGAGATCTTTCTTTTTCTTCTATTTTTTTAATTTTTTCTTTAATACCAACAAGCCGAAAAGTGATTTCTAGAATGCAATTTCCTGGTCAAGGATATACATTGAACGGTGGCGGTTACCCACCACCACAACAGCAAGGTTATCCACCACTTCATCCATCACAGCAATACAATCAAGGCTACCCTCCACCGCCGCAACCATATCCAGGCTATCCCCCACCGTCATCTCAACCTCCACCATATCAAGGCTACCCACCATATACTTACAATAGTCAACCTCCACCATCTACCTCTTCAATGTACCCTCCACCGCTCCCGGCAAATCATCCTCACAGTAACAACCATCATTCTATTCCACCACCTCTCCCTTCTAGAGAGGTAAGTTACAGTACGGTAGACAATAAGTAATTGCAAATGATTTACTTTTATGCAAATTCTTTCATATCAATACGATATATAGTCATTGCCCCCACCTCCTCCTCCAACAAGACCACCTGCCTCTCCACTAGATCCACCTTTTTCACCAAACGATCCAACGCTAGGTCAGGCCAACTATCACCAACCACCCCATTCGATCTACAATCCATCACCTGCACCCGGTAAGTTTATCTGTCATTGTTCTCTCAAGTTTATAAATGCAACTGTGATGTATTAATTTGGCATTGTTCTCTACTGTAACAGTTCTTCATATTCCACCACCACCCAATGTCAATCCAAATGACTTTGTGTTACACGTCAATCCAAAATTCAGAAATATCCCTCCACCTCAGTTTCAATTATCCAACTGTCAAGGTCGAAAGCGAGCTTTACTGATCGGCATCAACTACTTTCATACTCGTAACGAACTGAGAGGCTGCATCAACGATGTTCATAATGTGAAGCACTTTCTTATCACTGTGTATAACTTTCGAGAAGAAGATATGATCATCCTCACCGACGACCAGGTTCATGATGCACGCCACATGCCTACGAAGCAGAATATGATTCAAGCCATGCAATGGCTTGTGCACGATTCGCGACCCAACGATTCTTTCTTTTTTCATTTTAGCGGACATGGAGGTCGTATGCGTGATTATGACGGTGACGAAGATGATGGCTATGATGAGACAATCTATCCTGTAGATCACGAAGTGTACGGGCAAATTGTGGATGATATGATGAATGATATTATGGTGAGACCCTTGGCTCCAGGCTGTCGGTTAACGGCTATTTTTGATAGTTGTCATTCCGGGACAGCCTTGGATTTGCCGTACGTTTATTCAACACAGGGTGCAGTGAAGGAATCGAATTTGTTCAAGGAGACAGGAAGCAGTTTGTTGAATGCTGGATTGGCCTATATGTCGGGGAATCCGATGAAAGCTGTATCATCCATGATGTCCATTGGATCCAATTTAGTGAATGGTGGTGGTTTGTCTAAACAAAAGAAAGAAAGAGTCAAGCAACAAAAAGGTTCGGCTGCGGATGTCATCATGTTGAGTGGTTGCAAAGACAATCAAACTTCGGCAGATGCTCAAGAAGCAGGCAGAGCAACAGGAGCAATGAGTTGGGCTTTTACGACAGCGCTGAGACAAAACAGAAATCAATCTTATTTGCAGTTATTGAATTCAATAAGGCAGTTGTTGAAACAAAAGTATCAGCAAAGACCACAATTATCATCATCACATCCGATGGATATGAATTTATTATTTATGATATAACATGAGCTACAGTATTAAAACGAAACCATATGCTCTGTTCTTATGATTGAATAAAATCGTACATCGGATCGTGCTTTTTTATCTTAATTTTACATGGATGGGTTCATTGCAATAAGGGCATTTCCCAAATAATATATTAAAACTTTGCGTCGTGGACGGGTTACTTCTGACCCACTATAGAGAAAAGTGAAAATATAATACCATTAACCATGGCAGCTTGACCTGGATAGATAATCATCTACAGACACTCACCTCGTATAAACATTGATAGTGGAACCCACGATTACATGATTCGTTAGCACAGATAATATCAGGTGTGTCCTTTTGGTTCAATTTGTAAGAATAGCATATGCCGCATTCAATATCGCCAATATTAGTATAATCCTCATGAACATTGTTGTTTTCAGTATTGGATACCATCTGAAACGCTTCTAGCAAGTTTTCACTCATTGGTCTATCTTTGTCCCTGCTCATGGTAGGCTTTGTTAAAAGGCAATGCTCCTCTAGTCGTGCGTTTTTTCTTTCTCTCGTGAAAGTTACCATTTATACAACGCCCATTGTGCTTTAAGATCTTTCACTCTGTTCATACTTCCTAGAAACCGTACCCTTGGTTTTACACTCAAGGGTGTCTCTAAATTGCTGCTGAGATCAACCTCCATTGAACAATGATGTCCTAATGCAATTCTTCGCCAATTGTCACTTCTGGTAGGGTTTTCAGGTTCCAATATACGCATATGTTGGTCCAAATCATCCAAACAATCGAACAATTTCTGGTATCTGTCGATGATAACACGATGTTGTTGTATTATTTCTGTAATAGTGCGGTTATGCTCAATAGGAACAGGCAGATTACAAACCACTTTGGGTTTAGAAAGAGGATATGTTAGGGGTAAAATAACCTTTACAAAGTGTGCTCTTCCTTGAGTATCACTATGAGAAAAAATGCTTTAAGATCAGAAAGAATTTTAAAATGATTCTTTTGTACGCGATTTTACTTGATTTTGAAGGTTATATTCGTCATATCCTCAGATATTTCGTGTACTTGATCATAACCAACGTTAAGCAATTCATTATAAATATAAACAAAACGATCATGATCATATCGAAAGGAATGCTGTTGTTGTTGAGATTGCAATGGTTGTGTCACCGAAGTAGGGGGTGCTTCCTTTTACATTGCATAAGCATCAATGTTAATACTGTTTGAACTAGTGTTTAACAGTCCTGCTGCAGTAATCTTTTACCAATAATTCTTGTAAATCAGTGAGAAACAACATTATATCTGTTGCATGCCTAAGCTTCTTTGTAATTACATCTTGGATAGTGCTTCCTCGTTGCTGCTGTTGCTCGAGTAACTCTAGAAACTTTTTCTCGCCTGTCAACGTTCCTTCATCACCGAGCTGAACTTTGATTTCATATTCGACATTCTGTTATGTTACAATACGATGAGCGTTGAGTATCAGTAGAACCAATTCTTTTTCTCTCTTTTATTTCATACGTTAATTGATATAAAGCCTTTGTAAACTTTTTGTACATCGTCCACTGGAATGATCAACGGATAGGGTACGTTCATACAGGTGAGAATCGCGAAGCAAAGCTTCTTTTGAAATTCCATTTCGGAGTTTCTTCTGGGCTTCCCTGAAGACGGTTGTCACTTGATTTGCCTAACAGTGTACAACCCTCAATTCTTATGAATAACAATAAGATGTGCGCTAAGGAAAGCGGGCTATCGCAAAATACAATGGTTAAGGACTGAAATATTTACACTTGAAAAGATTATGATAAAAAATTATGGAACGGAAGAATTTCAATGGCCGTGTTCCCAACTTATCGAAAGAGAAGCAATATTATGATATTGTACATTTCGTATTTTTTCTTCCTTCTTCATATAGAGAAATGGCTGAGCACTGTTCAATATTCTTTTTGATGAGATGTCAATTCAGTGCAACGCAATATACATAATGGATGTGCTACTCATACTGAATGTTTCTTTTATAACCGTTGATACTGGCATTGTTATCAGAAAATTAATCGTGCATTTGCTTTTGCTTCCTTTCTTTTTCAAAATCAAAACCCCTTTGCTGGGTCTACTTGAGTAGAGTATCGTGCTTATAATGTGCTAGTTGTGTACATTTGAAGAAAAACTTGACTACGAAAAATCATAATAAAAAACTCTTCGTAGTGTTAGGAGAAATCAATGAAATCTAATTTCTTGTTTCTCAGAGAAAATCAAATGATTATGTTCAAAAAAAGTCAAAGGGGTCCGAGAAATAAAATGAGGCTTAAGAGTATTACCAAAGAGCAAACTGTAATTTTGGGCGTACAAAATGAGGCATAAATAAGGCCATTTAAACAACAAAATAATGATGCTTGATTGACAAAGCAGGATAATTTATCTTTATTTCTTTATTTTTTTTACTGCTAAGCAGTCTTTTCTTTATTTTTCTATTCGAGTATATGTGCCCATAGATCTCTCATAGTTTGTTTAAATAACAATAATATAAAAAGGAGTAATAGAAATTGAACAACTACAATCAAGAGAACCATTTTTTCCTTTCCTTTTTTTTTTCTTTCTTCTTCTTTCTTTATCTGTTTCTACTACATACCTCGATTGAATTGTTATGAGTTGCTTTGGAGAAGAAGAATCCCTCAAACGGAAAATTGTAATTGTAGGTGATGGGGCCTGCGGCAAGACTTGCTTATTCTGTGTCTACTCTAAAGGTGATTTCCCTCATGTGAGTTTTCATAGCTGTTATATATGAAGTAGGATTATCTACATTGTCTCCATCCAATCGGGTACTTATCAAACAGCCGTGGTAGAGTTATGTTCCAACTATTTTTGAGAATTCAGTGAAAGATACAGTCATCGATACAAAGCAAGTGGTGGTTGAGTTATGGGATACAGCAGGTATATTGAATGCTTATATACTTTGGAGTGTAGTAGTAGGGAACTTTAGGCATGGTACATTCTGTTGCTCACATCGTACAAAATAGGCCAAGAGGATTATGATCGATTAAGAACTTTATCCTATCCTGATGCTGATGTTATTCTAGTCGCATTTTCCATCGATGCGCCAGAATCTCTCTCTAACGTGAAGGAAAAGGTAATCTCCCACTCTTATTGTTGTAGGTTGAAACCGTTAAATTTTTGATATGTGTGATACATAGTGGGTACCAGAGGTGAGGCGATATTGTCCTCCAGATTTACCTGTTCTTCTAGTGGGTTGTAAAGCAGATTTAAGGCAGGATAAAATGGTCATTGAAAGTTTACAAAAAGAATCTTTAACACCCGTTACAACTTTACAGGTAAAGAGGACTTACAACAAGTTTATAACAAAGATTCAGTGGATTTATATCATTGTTGATTAGGGTCTGCAAATGGCAAAAGAGTTGGGATTCTATAAATATGTCGAGTGTTCCGCATTACTAGGAAAAGGTGTGAATGAAGTGTTCTACTCAGCTATTAAAAGTACTATGAAACAATCAGCTTGTATTATATTATAAAAGGCCCTCATAAATATGCTTTTATCACCCACGACTACTTATTTTTTGATAATGATTTACGAAACTGATAATGGTAAACTTTGGGAAGACAGTTATTAGGACTTTAATCGTGTGACATATTGTCTACCGACTTGATTTAAAAATGCTGGCTGGTATAAGCTTTCCTTGACCTCATTACAACTTTCCTCCAGGAACAGCTTACTATATGCGTAAATTGGTAATAAAGTCGTATACGAACCGTTCAATGAATCAGTCGCATTTGTTCCTTATCAAAGACAAAGAATTGTAATTTTGCTACGAGCGCCCATCTTCTTTTCCGAAGACTAGTAACTTCAGATCTATCAATTTGACATAGACAGGCAACTAAAATGCTATTTAAATTTTGAATGCTCCACAGCGTATCATTCCTTCACTTTGTCATATCTTAGCAAAACTAATAAAAATTGAAGCAGCCAGTTTAATTAAACAAGCGCATAATTTATGTCCTTAGCTGACCCTAAAGGGGTTCCAAATGATAGCAAGTCTTTTAGTAAACTGCCTGTCAACAAGCAACGCTTCCGCTTGGAGAAGTTATAATTTTAGCAAAAGATGTTTTTACAAGGTCAAAAGCATTTCGCTTCTTCATAAATGGACACTTATCATAGCTAAGCTATGAAAACTGACAGAACTCTTGTGTAAGCCGCTTGACTCAGAATAGTTGTGCTTACCACGTGATTGAAAATTGACGAATAACTAATTTATTACTGATGATTACATGTTAGTTCTTATCAGCTTCCGAAGAGGTCAGTATCAGTTACGAACGATGGAAATTTGAGAGTCAGTTTTACTATCAAAGAAATCAATGCTTATTACTATCCTATTAATATCAGTTGCGACCATATTGACAAGCAGTTTGATCTTCTCACAACGTGTATTATAGTTTTTAGTTTTCCATTTCCTCTAGGAAAGAAGGTGAAGAAAAAGGAGAAATTGATATTCAATAGAAACTTATTTACCATCTACTAGGACTTTGCTTGAAGTAGCGAATCTCTAGCAAGTGAGGGTATATGTGCCGGCATATGGAGAGGTATTTTTATTCAAAAGTATAGCAGAGAAAAGAATTGAAGGGAGATTTTTTTAGGGCTCGCAAATTGGATAGAATAATGCTTTTAATAAGTTTACCAAACATGATAGAAAATTTAAGAAGGTGAAGAGGACGAAGGCTATGATAGCCTTTGCTGCCGACCTTGCAGGCACTAATGGTACCTAATTATGTAGATTCCAGCATGATATTCTTAATGAAGCGGACCGAGGTTATTGTAGCTTTTAGATGGACGAGTACAAGACATCGAAAATTATCAATATTCAATTGTTTACGCTCTTTTATCAGCTTAATCTCTTGTATATTTCAATAAAATCTGTAAATTAGGTGAAGCAAGCTCCAGGGAAGCCTTATTGCAATCTATAATCAGCAAAGCCATTAGATAAAAGCCTGTAACAATTACTATCTTTTGGAATCGCGACAGTATGGAAGCAAGCGATATGTTCTCAGGAGAAAGTGTAATCAAAAATTGAATTATAGCTGTCGCAGTTATTAGCTTATGTAATATTGCGTCCCAGACGCTACTATTTCCATGCAGTTTCCAAATAAAGTAATCTAAGAGAACAATTTTTCACATTGCATTGAAACTCTTCTATCTATTATGACAATTGCTCCTGCTCTTTTTCCTTTACTTTTATTACATTACCTTCCCTGAATAATTTACCACGCTTTTCCACTATTTGATACCTTCATAGCTAACCATAATATAATATGGCCACCAAAAAACACTCAAAGCTCAAGACCTTCTTAGAAGCCAACTTTATAGAATTCAGTCAATCCGATTCAGAACGTCTCAAAGCTCTTTATGCCGATTTCTCTAAACTTTGGGTACTCAACAAATACGCTTACGACCTCAATAGTAATTACTGGCGCCGAGTTATCCTGGACAGTAGTCAACAAGGACTTTTAGGTTTATCCGATTATGCATTGGTCATCGATCGTGATGGTTTATCTGAAAAGTTTCAACGACCCATCTTAGGTCAGCCATTAGCTCTCGACTGCGTGTTAAACCACATGGAAAAGGAAAAAGAATTAATAGCGCTAGAGGACTTTAACAAAACTTTTGCACCACCTTTGACATGGTTAGGGTGGATGATTGATACCGTTGTGAAGAATGCTTGGCAATGGCGTTGGCGATTATCAGCGGCTAATACCACACCGTCGAAACTCTATGTAGTTCTTCCTACTTTGAGAGCCATCGCTAGAGCCATTCTGTTAGACCAACAGCAACAACAGCAATTACAACAGCAACATAAAAACAGTAATGTTCTTTTGACCTTGACAGAATTTAGACAGCGCTATGCACATCATTTCGTAAACGAGATAGAATTAACCGAAGAAGATATGAATCTCTTGTTGAGATATTTGCATTCGCAGCATGGAGTGGCTATAGTAGATAATGTGAAGGGATATAATGCAACTTATACGGTAATAAAGTTTCCTGAAGGGGATGCAATAGCTGCTTCTTTGTCGACAACAACAGAAATCGGCCAGGGTAATAATAGCAACAAGTTCAAACCTGCAGTTATTACACAGCATGATGAGGCTATTATCAGTATAAGGACAACATGTCATGCGCTATCCGTGCAAGTAGATGCCTTACAAAAGAAATCGGAGGAATTGTCAAAACAAGCCATATTAGAAAAAAATCTAGGACACAAGTCAAAAGCGTTGTATTGCTTGAGAAGGAAAAACAATTTACAAGAGATTCTAGACAGACGATTACACTCAATGGAAACCATGGATAATGTTTTGATGAAGATTGAACAGGCGAAAGATGATTTACAGGTAAAAAAAAAAAATTCATTTTACGTAGAGATTCCTCATTACTTGTATATGAACTTAATGCAATTTAATGTTGATCTTTATAGATTGTGCAAGCTTTGAATATGGGTGCAGATACATTAAAGGGGTTATTAGGCAAAGATGGTCTATCGGTAGTCTCTATAGATGAGGTGATGTCAAAAATTCAAGATACTTTGGACGATCAGAAGGAAATTGAGGTTATCATGCAATCTGGTATGGACAATATAAATGATAATCTCATGGCAGACCTTGATGAAGAGGATGTACAAGATGAATTATCGGATTTAATACGTCAAGAGGAGAAAGAGTATCTAAATCCTACACAAACCACAATTCCAACATTACAACAAAAGCAACAAGCATATGCGATTTCATCACCCTCATCAATATCAACATTACCATCAACGTTATCAACAAGTATACCATCTAAACAACAGCAACAACCAAGCCCTGAAGAATCAGAATTAGCAAGATTAAATAATCTCTTCTCCAGCATGAAAACACCTAAACATAATACTAGTAATGGCAAGGACGACAATAAGAAATCTAAAGACAGGGAACCTATTTTAGCATAAAAATCACCCAATGAACCTCATCATCTTATATATTTGAAAGCCCTATCTATCAGTTATTTCTTACTTGTAGTTACTTCGTAAATAAAAAAAAGACAGCCTGTGTTCGAACCAAGCAGCTCTTTCCTTTTTCTTGACCCTTTCCATTTTCCCCTTCTATTTTCTATCAGCAACTCTTAAATCTTGATAAATGGCTGTAGACGCTACCTATTATGAAATTCTCGAAGTTGATGTCGAAGCTACGGACTCTGAGATCAAGAAGGTGAGAGGACTTTACCATTTGTGCTTGTCAATGCACCCTGGTCTTTAGACATTCTTATGAGAAAGGCAAATACGTATAACTAACAGTATCTCCTTTTACAATACTTTTAGGCTTACAAGCGATTGGTAAAGGATCTATTACTAAGGAAATGCTAATTACCCACACTAAATTTGTTGGTTTTTATATATTCTATATCGTCTATTTCTAGGCCATGAAATACCATCCTGATAAAAACCCAGACGAAGGTGAAAGAGTAAGTTGAAGGGAATTAGAGCGATGAACGTGAACCCTTCATCTTCGATTAACAATTTCTTTGTCTAGTTCAAAGAAATCTCTCATGCATATGAAATCTTGTCTGACCCGGAGAAGCGCGCCAACTATGATAGATTTGGTGAAGAAGGACCTGGTGGAGGATTCGGTGCCGGTGGTGGTATGTCCGCTGATGATTTATTTGCCAACTTATTCGGTGGAGGATTTGGATTTGATATGGGTGGCAGTAGTGATGGTTTTTATTCTGGCTATGGTGGCGGCGGTAGTAATAGCCGTAGACCTCGCAAAGGGGAAAGCTTGAAATACCCACTCTCTGTTTCTTTGGAAGATTTATACCTTGGTAAAAAAACAAAATTGGCTCTTCAAAAGAATGTTATCTGTTCTACTTGTGATGGCAGAGGTGGTAAAACCGGGGCGACTAAAAAATGTACCAGCTGTAAAGGTCGAGGATTTACTGTAGCTATGCGCTCAGTAGGTATGGGCATGATTCAACAAATGCAAGTGCCTTGCCCTGATTGTGACCAGACAGGTCAAATTGCTAAAGATCGTTGTAAGAAGTGCAAGGGAAAAAAGGTGACAGAGGAAAAGAAGTACCTGGAAGTCTTCATTGAAAAGGGTATGCAAAATGAACAAAAGATTGCTATGAAAGGAGAAGGAGATCAAGAGGTAAAAAAAAGAAAGAAAGAATAATCTTTCAAATCATACGAAAGAAGTCTTATTGATATGGAATTATTTTATGTGATAATAGCCTGGTATTGAGCCGGGAGATGTTATTCTGGTGTTGAAGCAAAAAGAACATGATAAATTCAAGCGTGAAGGCAATGATTTATATACCAAAGTCAAAATTTCCTTAACTGAAGCGTTATGTGGGTTCAACAAGGTCATTGTTACCCACTTAGATGGACGCGGTATTAAAGTCAATCATCCAGCTGGACATGTCATTAAGCCCGGTATGATTAAACGTATTTCCAACGAAGGTATGCCGACGTATAAGCGTCCTGATGATCATGGTGACTTATATGTCGAATTCGAAGTCGAATTCCCCCAAGATAACTTTGCTTTGGCTGACGAATTAACAAAGTTGGAATCCATCTTACCAAAACGTAGCAAGGAAGAACAAAATTATGAAATTGTCGATGAATGCCACATGACAGACGGTAGCATGGACACCTTTGGCGCTTCCAATCAGTCACGTAATAACTATTACGATGAAGATGATAGCGAAGATGATGAACGCGGTAGCAGCGGTGTGCGTTGTGCCCAACAATAATAACCATGTCATTAGATCATAATATTTATTTCAGGAAACCTTTCATAGTTATATATACATAATAGACACGCGCCATGTTTCAATGTAAAAAGGAAAAAAACTACATGTATACATTTTGCACACACAGCGTTCTTGTACATAGTGAATAAAAGTTATGCATTTCTTTTTACTAAACCGTTGTTTATTTAATATGTACACAATAGCTGTTTTAAAAATCATCATCGTCTTCATCATCGTCAAAGGGATCCAAGCGATCCAGGTTATCATCGTCGCGAGTATTACGGCTTGTAGAAAGGGTCAGAGGCGGCGACGTTGACCTTCGTCCATAATCAACATTGTCTAAATCTGGTCTCAGCTGTCTTGCACGCTGTACTCGTTGCCGTTTATTCAATTCCTCACAAGCGTCGATCCAAGCAGAGTACACATCAACAGGTTCATCGAGATCTGTTCATTTTTGACAAATTACGTTTGAAAATATTGAATTAGTTAAGTGTGTTTGGTTATAGGTGACAATTGAACTCTTATACATTACAAGTGATGTTGGTCTGCCAAGAAACACCGCATATTTTGCAATTCAAATGACCCACTTTGTTCTGTTGATCCCTATAAAGTATATTATTAGTTCCACAAAAGGGCTCTTAATAGTGGTTTTGTCTTCTCTTTACATTTTGCATTCTATACTATTCTCATGATTACAGAACGTGCAGTTGAAGACTGTATCTAGTTTTTCCTTCAATTTCTTTTGAGGCTTTCTTTTAGTCTTTCTTTTACCCTAATATTAGAAAACGTTAATAATAGTCCTTGAATACACAAGCTTCTAATAAAGTGAACAGTTACCATTTTGGTTTTCGAAAGTTCTGCAATAAAAAGGTTAAATGAGCTGTTAGGAAAAAAAAAAGTGTTTTAAAATGCATAGTTTTTTAAGTCCCAGTTGCAAATTAACGTCATGAATCGTGGAGTCTAGCTGACCTTAAGCTCTTAATTTAGCGAGACAGAGTTTAATTCAGGCTAACCTTTCTACTCTTCGTTTCCACTCTTGAATTGTAATGCCAGATTTTACCGGTTTTGTATTCATCGACCCAAAAGAGGGAAAGGAAGAAAAAGAAAAAGAACTAATAGCGAAAGAAGAAGAACAACAACGTGTCAACGACCTCACTAATCAGTTCACCTTTATGCAAACTGACGATGATCGCAATTTGATAACTCAACGTTTAGCTGATTACAAAGCACGTCTATCGCCCTTATCAAATAAAGATAGTTTACAAGAAAAACGACGGCAAGAAGCTCTCGACTTTCAAAAAAGGGTAAGGAATTACTACCTCTAACGCGTAATAATAATTCGCATCATTAATTTGAATTAAAAAACCTTTCTCTTTCCATATACAACGAAAATGCAAAAAAAAAGCAACGGCATATGAGTATGTTTAAAGCTAGACAAATTGCATCCCTAAAGCTATCCTCAGACGAAGAAGACGAAGAAGGCGAAGATGGCGAAGAAGACGACGAGGAGAGTGCAAAAGAGAGTGAAGAACCACTAGGATCAAACCAATACGGTGTTTCTGCTATGAAAAGACAAAGAGATATTTCCGACGACGAAGAAATGGAAGAAGTATCAAAAATTGTCAAATACGAAACCATGAAAAGGAAATCGAAAAAGAATAGCAAAAAGCGCAACTCTAACCTTGCCAACCAGATTATGCTTGCTGAAACTATTGAGACCTTACCAGAGGATTTTTTGGAAAACTGGATCATGGTCATTTGTCCCAAGGGAAAGCGATGTTTAGTCACATCTGGTGGTGGAGTTACTATAGCACGTTCAAGGGCAGGATTTGTTATTAAAAAATTTCAATCTTTGCTACCCAACGGATCAAGGTAAGGAAAGTGTAGCTTCTATTTTTTGCGTGAAGTCATGCTCAGCAGCTCCCTATATTTTTTAAACGAACGTACAGAAGTAACCGTCGCACATCAGATTTTTGTATCTTGGACTGTGTTTACGATAAAGTGCATTGGACATTTTACGTCTTGGATATAATGGCTTGGAATGGCCATCCTGCTTATGACTGCGATACCTCCTTTCGTCACTTTTGGCTACAGAACAAAATTCAACCCAACGAACTATCGAAACCTAACGGTGAAAATCAGTTTTACAAATTCAAACCCATTATCCCTATACCCACTACTGAACTATCCTGCGTTATAGGTGATCCTGCAGCATATTTAAAGTCAATCCAAGGCATGAGCTATGATATTGATGGATTGTTGTTTTATCATCGTCAGGCATTGTATCAGGGGGGATTAACACCCTTAGTTAACTGGTTGCCATTGAATGATATCCAATCCTTCTTTGCATCTCAAGACCAGCAATTGCAGGAGCAGAATTTACAAGTACAACAGATGGAGCTCTAAATATCTCACGTTGTCACAATCCTATATACCCTTCTCATACTTATTTTCCGTATACACTTTTATATTTATGAATTTGACCGTCGCGTCCATACATTTTTACTCGTTGGTTCATGTCGATGTATTAGAATCCGTCTAATTTGTCCTTTCGGCTATGTTAATACGTATCGATGATGTTGTGTAGTTCATTTCTTCCCTTTTATTTAAATTGCTCAAGTACATAATATATATGCTAATAGGATACTGGGTTTCTCTTCTTCCTTTAATCTTTCTTCAAGGGATGAAGCTGAACTTCAACAGGTTGATCTTTACGAATAATGAAAATCTCCAAGTTATCACCGGTATAAATATCTCTTTCTGTCGCTGATGTAAATGCATCTTTCACGATCTTTAACACTTCATCTAATTCCATATCTTCATAACTTCGGTTGGCCATATTCTTTTTCATAATTTGGTTATCTAAGAAAGGTTGGATAAGAGCAGAAGCTGAACCACTAGCACGACATTTTTCACGCTCAAAAGAACCAATAGCATCATAACAGTAAACGGCACCTTTGCCTTCCGAGTCGACACCGCCTAAAATACAGAAACTGTAATAAGGGAAAAAGCGACGTCCATAGAGTGTGATGGATAACATTTGAGCGAGAGCGGTGACTGACATATTCTTTTCGTGATTGAATTTATACCACTATAACAAACCAAACAAAATTCAGTTAAATATTAAGTTGTATTTTACTTATTGTTGACACGCAGAACAGTGCCTTACTATGCATATTGAGCCTTTTAGCTTACCTTCAATCGTTGATCAAGTACTTTTTTTAAAGTTAAACCGTCTGCATGGAAACCATTCATAGCAATAACGGAGGTCTCTGATAATTTATAAGCTTTGGGTGCATATCTTGAATTAATACTGTATCCAGTACTTTGCCTAGTGTCAGCAGCAACGATACAGAAATCTTTTCCTGCAATAGCTACTGAGGTACTATCATAAAGGTAAATTGCATAAGTTCGCCGACGTTACAGTTTTCTCTTCATATAACATTTCTCCGTACCCTCCATTGTCATCGTAGGGTTCAAATCTATGCTGAATAGGTGCAGTTGTTGGCTCCATAGCAGGATTTGTAAGTGCGAAATCCATGGTCAAATTGTGAAATTGTATAGCGAAAAAAAAGAAGAATTTATTTAGGATGCTCGAGAGTTCGAAGGGACGCGCGTAAAATATAGGAATTATGGAACAGACAGTGTGTTGGAGAAAATCAACCAATCAGAATAATGACGTAGAGAGCAGATTGCCTTGATTCTCTCTCTTGACTTCAAAGAACGACGCGTAACTGTCATTTAAACCCGAATCGCAGCAGCATGTATCAAAAAATCAGTTTACAGAAATAAAGTATTCTTCTCTTCTTCTGCAAAACAGCTATCATAATCAAAATAGGATATAAAATTTAATATGATGATGAATAAGTTTGTGTCGAAATATGCTTCTTCACCTTTAACTTTACCTCAAGAAGAAAGCTTTGGCCAAGTCTGTGGAAAATGGGATGCAGCACAAGCTTATGCTGTTCCTTCATTCGACATTCCAAACGTTCACAACGTAAGAACTAAAATCTCCTTATGATTTTACAACGAACTACGATACAGGAACAACAAGTGACTGATTGAGCGATTTAACCATTGGCAATAGCCTGTAGATTTCTTAAAAAATATTACTGCTGAAGACTCTCCCGATTATAAGATTAAGATTCAACACGGTACAACTACGCTTGCTTTTCAATTTCAAGGTGGTGTTATTGTGGCTGTCGACTCTAGGGCTACCATGGGCAATTATATTGGTAAGCTACATAGTAACAGCTCGAAGAAGGATCTTTTAAATCAGTGCAACTAACAATATCAATTTGATTACATTCTGTAATAGGATCACAAACTGTAAAAAAGGTCATTGAAATTAATCCATATCTGCTTGGTACTATGGCTGGTGGTGCTGCCGATTGTTCATTTTGGGAACGTGAGTTAGGTAGACAATGTCGTTTGCATGAATTAAGAAATAAGGAACGTATTTCAGTTGCTGCCGCATCAAAACTATTAGCCAATATGGTCTATCAATATAAGGGCATGGGACTTTCCATGGTAAGGTTTTCTCTGGCCAGTTAGAAAAGTGTAGACAATAACTAGTCCTCTAACTCTATTACTGCTGTTGTAACGCATGTGCATTATAGGGTACAATGGTAACAGGTTGGGATAAATCAGGCCCCAATCTTTTCTATGTAGATTCGGATGGCTCTAGATTGAAGGGAGATATCTTCTCTGTTGGTTCAGGTTCTACATTTGCTTATGGTGTTTTGGATACAGGTTATGATCATGATCTATCAGTAAAGGATGCTTTGGAATTAGGTAGAAGATCTATCTATCATGCTACTCATCGTGATGCTATGTCTGGTGGTTCTATTAATTTATACCATGTTACAGAAGAAGGCTGGACATATCATGGTAATCATGACGTTGGTACGCTTCATTGGGAGTATCAAGATGGTATTGCAAAGGATATTATTTAAAGTAGTATAGTACGTTTAATAATAAAGCATAGGAAGACTATTGTTCGTAAAGATTTACAAAGGCTCGAGATTTTAAAGCATGTTTTTTTGAATTTCAAACAGTTATTCTGAGGACGTTAGAAATACACCAGATGCTAAGCCCGTTGAACTTTTGAAAATTTAGCGCATACTAATCATGTAATATTACAATCTATGTAAGCAGTGCTGTCTCCCAATTGGTTTTCTGAGCTATTGTAGCATTAGAGTTGTAAGGATAGTGTTGGAAAAGCTCGGCTAGAACACTCAAAAAGTGAAAACTAAACTTGCTTATGCTATGTTATCACTACTAAGTAATGAACATTAAGCTATTTTTGACTGTAAATACAAAGTATGATCTACGTACTACGTGAACGGTATTGCTGATATGGAATGATTATTACAGCAACTATTAACAGTGAGAAACATGACATTACAATTTTATTAATCTTATATGTGAATGACCGTCGAGTATAATTTTTAATCGTCCGAGCAAATAAGCTAGTAAAAAGAGTTCCACAACATTTTCTCTGCTGCAGACAGAGAGAAAGAAAAAAAATACGGGATTCCCAAACAAATGACACAAAACGCCAAACGGCAGTGTATAACACAAAGCTAGCCATGCCTTTTTTCTTTAAGCAATTTTTTCCTCAATTGATTATTGATTGACTACGAACATGGAAGCGCAATGTTCAAAAACACCGCATTTAATGCGATCACGGATAAATATACTGCCTGTGATAAGCTTTGAATTCATAAATGGCTTTTGGTGACTAGATATGATGCTTGCAGGAAAATTGATTTGGTGGAAGACGAAATATAGTGCTCAAAATAACTGTTCTGACAGGTAATATATGATATACTTTGATAGATATTGAAGTTTAATCTGATTTCGCTTAGTTGATTTAACAGTCTCCTTTGTTATTATAGGTAGGTAATGCATTTTCTATGTATGGGATTGTCAAGCCAGATCTGACTGCACTTGGTTGGGTGGCTGTAACGCGTGTGATAAAAGTCTGGTCTAACTATGCCCTTATGAAGATCACTGCTAAGCCTGAAAATATAATTGTAATAATAGCTTTTGTGCGGCTTATTTATGGTATTAGTTTTGTAGAAAGACAGCAATTGTGTTGCTGCTAGCAATTATACCCGCAGTTACCAAAACTGTACAAGAGATACGAGCATAAAACATACATGACTTAAACGGTAAATTTAATTGAAGAAATGAACGTTGTCAAGATTCTCTAAGCCGATTACGATGTAAAGAAGTTGATGCAAATAGACTCCGGGATAGGGAAGTTTACTATTAAATATGATTGATTGTTCCAGACAAATCACTTTTGAGTATGAAGGAGTTATATAGTGAAATAGTTAGACATTGTTTTAATAGAGTACAATTAAAGAAGGGCATTGATTAAGTTTGAATAAAGAACAAGGTTTCGCACGAACCCAACAGCGTTTACCGAAGAGCTTATTAAATTGCTTTCATGAGTTCAAGAGACGTGGTATAAAAAAACAAGAAAATATAAAGTACTTAAAGTTTAACAAGTAAAATGTCATATAAAATATTTTTTTAATATTTTCAGCAAGGTGAATGTCTGTTGAGCTCAATGGTATCGGTCGTTCAAGATACAGGCGCTACAATGAAAGCTTCAGACACCACATCACTATCTTGACACCCGAGAAGTAGCATTTGCTTGAAATGATAAGCAGCAGTAATGCTAGAAGGAGCCTTGATAAACATTAGACTTCCATCAATCACAATTCCTTGCCTCTTCAACTTTTTACTGAGGATTTGATTGTTTTGCTCATATGCTTCAAATTGCTTCAATTCCTCTTCAAAATCGCTATTATAGGAAGATGCAGAAGAACTATAACCATCCTTTCTGCTACTGTTAAAGTCTACAGAGTCTGCATCCTTTTTCTTTCTCTTCTTCATAAATACTTTAGTAAACTGTACAAGATGAAAGAAAGCAATGTCAGAAAACTATAATAGACTGATTTATTTCAATCTCTCGATTGATTTACATACTTTGCGCAGGAATAACTTGATAAAATTATTGGACATCATGTTGGAAACAAAGTTGCTTTGGATTTCAAAGGAGTGGAATGTTATGTTCGTTTGTGAAGGGAAGAAAAGACCAAAGATACGGAAACAAACCTTAACTGGGCTCATTCTTATAATGAAACATGAATATAAGTAAACGTACTTTTCACTTTTCTGTTATTGAACAGAATAGATTAGCAGTTAGCCTTCATTGTCCATGAATATACATTTAGAAAGATTTCATTATATTGTAAGTAGGAAGTTGTAACCTATCAAAAAAATTAGCATGGACTCAATGAGTGAAGGATACATTAAGCCTACTCTTCTTATTAGACTTTGTAAATCACCTTGCCGGTGACTTTTTTATTGCTGTTGTCATTGAAAACGAGCAAAGGGTATATGCTGAAGACAGTCCAAGAAGATAAGGGCCCCAAAGTAGATAGACTTTGTTTTTTTTTGAAAGATTCAATTATAGAAGGTTCAAATGATCAGCAAAATGTTCGAGAAAGATGAGATAATACTTGACAAAAAAACTCAGGAGAACTCTGATTCCATTATAATGCGCGGACAGCGTACTTTTAGGGGTTTCAGTATTATATAATGGCAGCTTCTGTGAATAGAATAATGATAATAGATAGTAATCTATTCAAAGAATAATAAAATAAATAATTGCTCAAATAAAGCTAGTAATGATGCACTACAATACTCTATATCTGTCTCAATAAAGAAATGATTAGTGTATATAAATACAACATCTGCTATCTTGCTTTATTCATTCACATACATAGATCATACCCTTACATTCAAATGTTGGAGAACAACAAACGGCTTAGAAAACGTACAATTAACCAAGGCTTTGAAGCTACTGTCAATCTTTCTTTCTCTCATATAAACGGTTATATGATTTATCGTAAGCAGAAACTAGAAGAAATTACCACCTTTGTTCCAGGCGTCTGCCAAACAGATGTGTCAGTCATTACTGCTAAATGGTGGAAGGAGCTAACTGAGCAACAAAAAAAACTTTACAATGATGAGGCTGCAGATTTACGGCGGTGGAACCGTATGATGAGGTATTATTGATACTGTCATGATAATGACTTCAATTACTTGCAACACTTGTTTACTTAATTGAATATAATCCATAACAAATATATAGATTGCTTAAAATCGGAGTCATTCCCACTGAATGGAATCGCATCAATAAACAAAGACAACGGTACTACACAGCTGAACAGTTTCGAACCTCTGATGGCGCCAAGAAAAAGCTATTGTTAGCATTATATCAAAACGGACCAAGTAAAGCAGGGAAGCACAGATCAATGATTACGATACGTGAAGCAGCAAGTGAAACGAAGGATAATCCGATGTTCATCAACAATTCAAAAAGTTACTTTTCAGAAAACGACGTTAATGCGTCTATATCTACTGCTCTTGCTCCTATTTTCAATTGTATGGCTCCTCAACTTCGCCATCTTCCGTTTCCAAAGTTCGGCAGTAAAACCAGTACTGACAATGATAATTTTTCTACTCATGGCTGCTCTATTTCTGATAATATTAGGTTACAACCTCTCATTATTACAACGAAGAGCCCTATTTACTATCATTATACAAACGGTGCTATTTCTTATTCGATACCCTTGGAACTTCCTCCTACAGGAAGATATTACCCATCAATTTAGAAAAATACCCTTGTGCTCTACCTATTTTATTTTTCTATTGTTGTTGCCACTTGCCAAAAGTTTGTTTATTGGGCCTTTTTCTCTCAATACGAAGACAAATAAAGCTTCTATATATTAATCAAAGATTACAATACCTTTCTGAATTTGCAGTTTTCCTATCAACCTACTCCGCTAGGTAACCAAAGGCGCCTGTTAAAATATTGATTGCATTACTGACTCTTCTTCTTCCTCTCCAAACTATGACAGATTTTGAAGCAATGGCAGATGAAGTATTATCCATTAACAATTCAAAAAGTAGATCTGACATATTAGCCGACCTAAAATACACAAAAAATGCAAATGCTACCTTAAACCGAATCTTCGATGGCCAAGTAAGAGGTAATAAACGGTTCCGTCACAGTAAGCTCGTAGTGATCAACCCTGTTTTCTTCGACCATATGTACAGTTTTTGATTGGGACAGACCGCGATCCTTCAATACAAAAACCTGAGTTGATCATTTTGGACTCTGATGAAGAGGAGGCATTGTCTCAACCGGACAGATCGTGAGTGTATATTACAAAAAATCTGATCTTGCTCAAATCACTATTTACAGTTAGCTGTTCTTCGCCTGACCTATTTCCATGAATATAGAACATGTAACTCTTCTACTTCCAATTTACATGGAAGTAGTGTTTCACGACTAGCCGATGATTGGAATAACTCTTTTCTCTCTTCATCGCAGCCTCCATCTCTACCAATGATTGATATTAACGAAATGAGAATGGAATCAAACGGAAGGAAAACTAATAGTCAATTCAATAACGACAAATTGAATGATATAATTCTTAATAATGACGATGATATGAAGGAAGACAAACTATTCGATATGAACTCAATTATACTTAGCAAAACCAACTTTGACGACAATAACCAAATTTCACAACGAGTACACTTAACTGACAAATATGTACAACAAAAGCAAAAAGAGGGCCGTAAACAAGATAACTCTGAGAAAGAAATAAAGGAAGATGTAATTGATAAGCTTCAGCTATCAACTCTATCTTCCCGCCACGATAATACTAGGGACAACAACGACGTTGATGATAAGCAAACACCTCGAAGAAGCATCTTGTTTGAAAATTATAATTATATATATAATGTTGAATTGTCTGATGTTGCCGCTGATGAACGTGACCTGTCCCTTGGACACGGAGAAAAAACCAATGATTTGTGTTTGTTGCTGGACGAGGATGTTGACAGAAAGACCAGCTTTAACGGTGAAATACAGCCCACTAAAAACAATAAAATTGAATATTCAGAATATAATATAAGCAGTGACTACGAGGATGATGTGGATCATTTGCCGTCTACTACAGATTTTTTCGAAGAATTAATGACACAAACGAAAAAACCCAAAAAATCTTTTGAGGTTTTTGAAATTGATGATAGTGATGATGAAGATATCGTCACCTATGGCAACAAAAGCAGTCCAAGAGTAAGTGATTGGAAGGGCAAAAGAAAAGCGGCAGAGGCTTTCTCTGAAATGAACGATGATTATGTTGACTATAATATTTTTGACATCGATTCACTACAACAACGACCACGCTATCTCAACGATTATAGTGACAGTAGAAGTAGTAGTGTAGAAACCACTCTAACCGCTAAAGAAAGAAAAAAATTAGAAGTAGACGAAAAGAAACGTCTTCGAGTTGAAGCTGCTGAAGAAAAGAAGCGGCAAAAAGCGCAATTGGCAGAAGAGAAGAAACGCATGAAAGAACAGAAGCTACTTGAAAAGGAAAGGCAGCAGCTTCTTGAGAAGGAAAATCGAATACGTAGCAACCGTAGCCAAATTCTTCAAGAGATGATAATTGATGTCCATCCGGACTTTAAAGCTTCTAAACCTGGTGAGCTTTTAGAACGCATATTGCAAGCAAAAGAGGCTGAGGTAACAGTACTTGATCCTAGCGCTAATCATACCATTGGTTGGCGACGAAAAATCACTTCGGAATGGGATAACGATAGCCAGGCTTTTATACCCATTGCACATACCAAGGTTGTTCGTGAGTCGTTTATTCTTGTGTATATGACGGCATTACAATTTGTTGACCGTATTCAACGAAAATCTATGGATGCCTTTATTGATAAGGTAGCCGAACCAAACTATCAAATACTGTTAATGGTTGAAGGCTTGAGTCAGTATTACAAAAAGAAGCTATTGTATAAAAGGCGTCAATATGATAATCAAGTGAGAAACGCTTTTCGATCTGAAGAAGAGCAACAACAACCTTTAACGTCATCACGTCGTAAAACTAAAACATTAAATGAACTAATCATCAATGGACCTGAGCAGAACGTAATTGAAGAATATTTGAACTATCTCATGTTAGTACGCAATATTATGCTGGTTCCTACAAAAGATGTTGAAGATACTGCAAACTGGATTGAAAGTCTTACGACAGATCTAGCTCTTGGGCGTTACAAGTCGAGAAATATCAATAATTCATATCGTGTCAGCAAATGTGGTACTGACCCTCAAGATACTTATATTAAGATGTTACAAGAAATCCAATTGTGTACACCAGCTGTAGCGAGAAGTGTCATCAGTGCTTACCCATCGTTGCAAAGGCTACATAGAGCTTATGAGAGGACACAAGGAAGAACAGCTGGTGAATTGATGCTGGCGGATTTAGAGGTTGAGAGAAGTGCATTACAACTACGGGATCGTACAATTAACAGAGCCATGTCGAGGAAGATATACTCAATCTTCACTAGTAGTGATCCAGAAGAAATAATCTACTAAGGAGTCTCTATCATACATTATATATACCACTTAGCTTATATTGATACCCCTTATACCTTGTTTGATAAAATCTTGCATATTAAATCATCAGCATTGTTTTTGGGCGAAAATGCTAGATTCTAAGAGCAGTGTCACTTCCACACTATTTGTGAATCATATGCATAAACATAGAACTCATTTCGTTTATCAATTTCCAACTAAAATAATCATGCAACCAACGTTTCGAAATAGCTACATAACTGTCCTTCAAATCAAATCCTTTTTCTGAGCAAAAACAAATAAACATTGTTTTAAGGCGACTTTGAACTGTTTCGGATGGTATTGGTAACATTAGACGAAAGTAACTTCGTAATAAATTGAATTAATTGAAGTGGAAATTGAGAATTATTAACTACAGCCCGAATATTCTAGTGATTGGTACACGTAAACCATAATGTTCATCTTTCGGCTAAGAACGCGTTAAAAGAGATCAAGCGAAAACTTTGGAAGTAGATTTAAATAGGATAGAAAACAATTTTAAGATCATATCAGCCTCGAGAACAATAACAATAAGCATGAATATTTACATTAGCAATTAAGTTTTTGTAACTGCCAATACTGTTGGGTTATTTGGGCAACAATAATGTTTGTTTGACTTTCGATTACAGCGAAGATGAAATTATGTTTAGACAAAAGCCAAATTATTTTACCATTGAAGCATACATGTCAGACAGTTTTCACTGATATAAAATTACAAGTTTATCTTTCTTACCTGTAAAAATCAGCTGGATTCGTTCCAGCGATGTTAAGTGTTAGTGGTAGAGAAGATGGCGGCGGTGGCGGTCTTCTTCCTTGAGAATACTTTGAGGTCTACCGTCCCCATTCCAAATCGTAATACCTACTGACATCATGTTCTTACAGGCATTGATGTCCCGGTTCCATAGTATGCCACAGCTTTTACAGGCTAGTATAATATGGCCGGGAACATGACCAAAACCATGCAATTCCTCGCTGTGGCAGCGGCAGCAAATCTTCGACGTCTTGAATTCGTCATTCGTCAGCACTAACAGATCGCCGGCTGCTTCTCTTCTTTTCAGCGCACAGAACAAGACACCAACAACGCCACAACGGACCTTTTAACTTCACGTTACCTTTGCCAAACATGCCATCTCCAAAGACAACTAGAGGAACTTTTTTCCTGTCGCCTACTTCGAAGGGTTTCTGCTTCCACTTGTCTCTAGACGGATTGTAAGTGGAACTTTAGTCTTGTTTTGACCTCTAATATGACGGTCATTCACATTTAATTGACTTACCCCTTTCCCATGCCTTTGATCTTTTTGTTTGGTTCTTTCTGTCCTTCAACTTCATCAGTCTCTGCAATTTTTCTTACGTTCTTCTCCATTTTCGAGTAGTCGTTTCCTTTTTCTTTTTCTTCTTGCGACTGCCCCTCTTCCTCGCTCGCAGATCCTCATTGTAATTGCTTGTTCCGTCAAGAAGCATGTCGACCATGTTATCGGCTGCACGCTGCCGACCTTGACAGAGACGGAACCTATCTTCAGCAGCACCAGCACCGTAGAAAGAAAAGAGAGGCTCAATATGCTGCAATATGTATCTTATATGGTTATCATATTGCTGAGGATAACCTGTCTTGGCGGTTGGGATCTCAGTTTCATCTGCTTGATGGAGTCGGCTATTCTTTTTTCCAAGCGTGCTGAAAATCTGGTGCTTCCAGTCATATGGTAGTACTCTTTGTTGGAGCATTTGCAAACCTGGTGCTCTTCAATATCTAACCCACATGCAGCAGGAAAACGTCTCTTCGTCCTGGATCGATGAAGTACGGTCTGTACGTTGTTTCGACCTCTTCTTAGGTGAAATCTTCGAGTTTTAATTCATGACCATCTATGACTACGTTGTTTTTTCTCTTCCTACTGAAAATAAAATCAACAGTGAAGCCATTCGACCGAACCAGATTCTTAAAGAGTATCTCTTGGCTGGTCTTGAGGTCATTTAAACTAGGCAAAAAGAAATGAGGTAAAAGAATTAAAAATTTTGTATTGTTAGAAACTGGAGACGCTGTACTTACCTTTCAAAGCCCAGCTTTATAAAACTGAAGACACGATAAAACTGCTTTAATTGATTCAAGTAACCAGTTTGTACTGTACCCGGCAGCACGAAAGGATTCAAGACGTTTATACTTATGGTTATAAATTGCCATCTGGTTGAAGGAGTTGGGAAAGGGAAGAAGCGTCGAGGTAAAGGAAGCCTACGAACATCATACGGTGCATGTTCGGCATGTTCCTGCTCATAAACAGATAGCATATACCATAAGGGCCTGGCGAAATTCGCAGGATTTGCTGCTAGTGACAGAAGTGTAACTTTCTCCTTCACAAGCTTTTCAAAGCAGTTGCAGAGCGTCTCGATCTTGCTTTTGTCCAGGCTGCTTAATTCGATTTTTTCAGGCCACTCGGGCTCGCCTTTGCAAATTTTTTGATAACAGTATGATTCTGCTACCTCCTCAGCATCAGCTTTCTTCATATTCTAACAGGCGATAAAGTACAAAAATGCCAGCAAGAGCAGATAGTGTCAACGATAATGATGAAAGTTGGCCTTACAACGAACACATTTTGAATCTTGTAGGGTCTAGTATTTTAGCATCCGTTGCTCAAAAAGTTCAACAATAGAATTAGTGTATGCAACACTTGTCCCCTTCGTAGCTTCTGTAAGATACTGACTATAGCCTTTGGTGAAATTTTTACTGGTTACTATTGCCGGATGTTCTTCCTTGAAATCTTCAAAAAAAAAAGTCTTGATACTGTCGTTTACTGCTGTCTTATGAGTGACCTTTTTGCCTGTAACCAGTTGTCCAATCGAATACCAGAATTGCTGTGTAAAGACTCTTGAAGAAAGCCATTCTTCTTATTATGGACGAGATAAGCATCGACAAATAGCTGACAACGGAACATTATAGCCCTAATGCCATTGCAGCACGAAATGACTTTTTTCCATAAACTTCTCACGATACTCAGGTAATACGGCACGGCTAACAGGAAGTTTCCTAGTAAACGTGGTAGAGTCACTGCCTAGGACAGACGAGATGAATTCCTGCTTCGATTGAGTGTGATTGGGACAATCTGGCGAACGGGAGCTGGTATGACCTTCTTCTTTACAGCTGATGCACTTTACAGCTTGCGATGCTTCTCTCTTCATTGTAGCAGCTTTTTGTCAGCCTTGACCTTGTCACTCTGTTTTCTCTGCTTGCCAGAGCTACCAACTATGTGTAAGAATGAGCTGTTAGTGTACTGGCTTGTGTGTGTGAATAGAAAATTTCAGGTTACCATCATCAGCGGTTACGGCTTTATAAAACTTGCATTTGTAGTAGTCCTTATTATAATGTTCGGAAGCATTACAGTCTTTGCACTTGGCATGTTCTGATTGTGTAATGATGTTGCTAGTACAATTGTGCGCCGAAAACACATTCCTCAATACATGCTTACCAAATGGGTTCGGTAGCTTTGGTAGCTTGAGTAGCTTCGGTAGCTTGAGTAGCTTCGGTAGCTTGAGTAGCTTCGGTAGCTTCGATTTTTATCTATGATAATACTCTTGTAAATGCAAGTAAAATAGCAGTGTTTACGAGGTAAAGAAATGAAAGAGAAGAGGAAGAGAGATGTGGAAGGATTCAAACACGAAAATGATCTTCGCTTTTGACAACAAAAAGCTTTCCTTTGACAACACATTATGAAGCATTATCTCATTTACGCGTTCAACATCGCGTGTAAAAGAAGCAGTCAGTCCCTTTATATAAAAACTTAGGTTCGATCTTTACGCTGCCAGCTTGCTGTGTAGAAGCTCATTAGCATACTGCCCTCATCATCCAGCTTTCCATTACACTGCTTAGCACGTATGCCTACTTTGTCCCAGTCTTGGTCGAGGCCCGCTCCGACTCACTACACATCATGGCATAATCCATCGTATGCCATAATCAAACTTTTATGTTATGCTTTCATAGCTACTCGATCTGGCTGCAGTGCGTCAGTAGAGCAGATGTTTGAATAGAGAACTTGTCTGAGCTAGACAGAGCATTATTCCAATTTTGAAAAGAGAACGTCCAATTTTTTTTGTGTATAAGTCTGAAAATCAAAGTATTTTGATTTTTTCTAAGGAAATCAATGCAGTACTTTTTCCCGCTGTGACTCGTTCGTTAAGTACAGGAATACCAGCTTAAGAATATTGTGTAGTCGTTTCATTGTTACTACTTTTGTAAACTAATCAACATGAGTCATGCTACTAGAGGGTCTCGTGTAGTATTTGGTACTTTATAAAATATTGGACTTTGTAAACTACGTTCGATAGACTGATCACAAACTTGTATACTTTTACTAGTCGGCAACATCCCTTTCGAACTTTCAGAGGAACAGTTAATCGATGTATTCAAGGAAGTCGGTCATGTTGCTTCATTTCGGTAAACTACTATCAGTGACCGTTGCTAATTGTGAAGGCGAATTCAGCTGACGTTTTTTTATAGACTTTTATTCGATCGTGAAACAGGTCGACCCAAAGGCTATGGATTTTGTGAATTTTACGGTAAGAAAATTGTTAACCAGTAATGGAAATAACAACCCATGGAGCTCAGAAGATTAATTGGAAACGCAATCATTAAAAAAATAGATGCTGAAACAGCTGCGAGTGCTGTTCGCAATTTGAATGATTATGAGATCGGAGGACGTCAGCTTAGAGTAGATTATGCTGCTATGGATGACAATCAAAATAGAGCTAATAACGCTAATCGGCACCACCAGCACCATCATGGAGGTCCCTCTCACACACAACAACAACAACAGCCTCCTTCTGCACCTTTACCTCATCAGCAGCAGCCACCTATGCACCCTTCACAGCAGGGTATGCCATCAGCACCGCAAAATATGCCTATGCAACAGCATGCTATTCCTATGCAACCAATGCAGCAAGGAATTCCACCCCACTTACAACAGCAGCAGCAGCTACCAGTGCATCAGCCAGTACCGCCTTTGCAGCAGCAACAACCACTACCATCAGTTCAACAACAATCACCCATGGTATCCAACCCTCATTTATCGTCTGTGGATGAAATCTCCAAAGTACTAGCTTCGATGAACGCTCAAGACTTGTTTACATTAATGAGTCAAATGAAGGTTAGTTGATAAAAGAAAGAGTAGAGAATAATTAATGCTTAACAAGAACTATATTCTACAATTTGCAGCAAATGTCTTTTGAAAGACCTGATTTTACAAAGGAGTTTTTGACAACCAATCCTCAAGTTGCATATGCATTATTTCAAGCTATGGTAATGATGAATATTGTAGACCCTAGCATAATTACACGAGTAATGACTACTGCTACAGTACCTCAGCAATCCCCCGCTGTTGCCCCTCAACAACAATTACCACCACAGCAACCTCCTCCAGTACAACAGCAGGCAACACCTATTATACAATCACAGCAACCCCAGCAGCCATTGCTACCACAAGTACCCATGGCAGGCACTCCTACTATGGGTCAATCTCAGCCTATGCAGCCTATGATGGATGATCCTGAACAACAGAAACAATTGTTAATGAAGGTTTTACAATTGACAGATGAACAAATAAACGCACTCCCACCACATACAAGAGATCAAATCAGACAACTGGTAAGATTACAGAGAGGGTTTATGTGTATTTCAAAACAAAGGGATTAACAACTTTTTTCGCATTATGCTCTAGAAATCACAATTAACTATGCAACAATAACGACTGAAGACTGCCTTTACAGTATCAAACATTACTATCTTGTATATTTAACCTGTCCACCACGTTTATTGGCTCTCTTTTCAAGCTTCATTTGACGTTTCGACGTTCCTTCGTTTGATGATGAGTCTTGATTAGTTCCCTGTTTGTTTTTCTGTAAAAAGGACGTGACCATTGGAATAATTTTGTATGCTGCATAAGCAGGAATCTATAATAAAATGAATCGTTTTAGCAAAAATTCAATAATAGATAGATCTCTATCCTCATTGAGAATCTGGCTAGTGAAAACCAAACGACTATTTTTTCTTACCACAAGGTAAACAAACCAAAATTTGCTGGAAATGAAAGCGGTTGTCATATGTACAAACCAAGTAACGTAAATTATGTCAAACATATAACTGTTGCCAAAATAACTTTTCAGTAAGCATGTAAACATGACAGACGACTTAATTTCTTCCCTCGCAAAAACTTACGCAGTGAGTCCCTCCGAATTTAGATCATCGCCACTATTCACCAGATTACCGTCTTTACTATAGGTGGGTGTACCATTGGCTGACAGAATTCGATATAGCATAAACGTAAGACCTGCTGTTGTTCCATAAAGCGTGGCTTGCGTTAAAGTAAACGAACTCCAGTAAAAAATTATACGCCACGCAATATAGAGCGCCTGGTAAACAAACAGCAAATAAGTATTTGAATTAATTTTTCACTTAACATAGTGCGTGCAATATTGAAGATCATCTTACGTTGATAATTAGGAATCCTTTCTGAAGGTTAGCCAGTGTCCGCTTATTGGAAGCTGCAATTTTTTTACTTGAGGCGTTAGCCTTAAAAAACAATGACTCAATAATGAATCGAAAACGTCGGCTATCAACAATAGATCTATGTTTTTACCATTTCAGAAGTTAATGCACGAAAAGAAGCTACAAAGTTTAAGAGATATAGGAAATTCTGTGAGGTTAAAAGCGCTGCTAAAAAAATTGAAAAAAAAAACTGAGTTAGGCAACTCCACAACGAAACAAATTTGCTTAATCTCTTGTTCGCTTTTCATTGTATAATACCCAACCAGTCCTTTATGTCACTATTTGATAAGCTAACAGGCTTAGCTCAAAAGGCAAAAGATAGTGTTGTTTCAAAAACGCTCATTTCCAAAGATAGACGACTAGAACGCTCCCTTTCTGAACGCATAAAAGTCAGCGACATTTATTTTGAAAAGGTACCTCTACGTTAATTTCGAAATCAGTCAAATTGCAAATACGTATTAACGCTTGTTAATTGCTCAGATCTCAACGTACGGTTTACCTTCCAAATTGGATGTCGTTGCTTTCGATTGTATAGCAAGCTTATTGGCAGTTGGTAAAAAGAAAAAATAAAGCGAAATTTTTTTAATTCATTGGTGCCTGAAATATCAGTTATTGATTACTGTTATTATTTTAAAAATAGGTAATTCAAAGCATGGCTATGTTAAAGTGTTTGGTAAAGGAATATCTGCAACAATAAAGCTACCTAAATCTAGTGGTATCAAATATCTTCAATTCAAAAACGGGTATCCTATTTTGGTTGTCATCGATACCAAAAATATTATCATAACCATCGATTTACGCACAAAATCCATTCGGCATACTTTACAAGCACAGCAAATTATTACTTGCCACGAGTATTGCACAGGAACAGATTGGCTATTTATTGGATACGCGAACGGCTATGTGGACGTATTTGATATTATGCAAGGGTGCCTATCGCCATATCAGATACCTAACCTAATAGAAACCTTGAGCGATCAACAAAAGGGTAAACCAGCAGCTAACAATGAGAATTATAACTGTGAGCAACGTAATGTTGTAGTAGATTTACAAATTCATCCAATTGATTTGAACACATTAATGATTGGATACAACTCGGCTTTATTTATTTGGAATATACGTGAAGCGACTATCCGCAAATCCTTTACTCTGCAAAAGCTGAAAATGCCGGTCGATTACAACATCAATGCCGGACTAACATGCTTTGCTTGGAATCCTGACGGAACCCATTTTGTGACTGGAAACGATGATGGCTATGTACACTTATGGGATATTAAAAATGAACATAAACCTGTAGCCTCAAAGAAAGTAGCAGAATACTTCGCAGCTTCAAATAAGAATGTTAGCAATGACGACAAACACAGTTTCGTGGGGCCTATTTATCAAATTGCTTGGTATACAAATGACAAACTGCAAAAATCATACATGCTCATTGCTGCAGATTTAGAAGCCCAACAAATTCATGGCCTGACCATCTTGGAATATGATCTTCTTGAAAACAGCGACAATAACAATTATAAAGAAGTGAAGAAGCAGACTCTATTGCCTCTATCGAGAGATTTATCCCATTTTTTAATTCTCGGCAACGATCCCTACTATTTAGGCTTACGAAATCCTTTGGCGGTTGCTGTGATAGATATTGATCATAGTCTGCAAATTTATAGCCTAGAACATGGATACCCTAGATTGAAGCTTCCGCCTGCTCTTGAATTCATTAACCCCAATGTGCTGAATGCTTGTTATATACCCAATATTTCTGATTCTGTGTTCAAACAAGTCACAGCTTATACCATGTCTGACCAAAAGACACGCTATTTACCCATCACAGGTGGTAGTGTAGGCCCCGATCACGTATATCATGTAACCTCTAATGATTTGCTGCTCACCATTCATCAAGGAGAAATTATCAAGTTTTGGGATGCATCGTATACCGGTCTACGGCCACTCAGCCATTTAACTATTTATAGTCGCGATGAATTAACTTCTGAGGACGCCTTTATATGCTGCGTTGACTTTAATAAAATGACAGGCACGGTTTCCATTGGTATGAGTGACGGTTTCGTTCTAATTTATCAATATCACCCAGACCCTGAACCGCCGACCAATATTAATCCTAAATTTCTGAACAGAAGAAATGAAGAGTTTATCAACAGCTGTGATGATACACTCGAAGAGATTTCAGCATTACTCAATGAAATGCAAAAAGATAGTTCTGATGTTATCGAAAGGTCTATGAATAATAATGAGGAACAGAATCCTAGCGACAGTACGAATCCCTTCTTAAAAACAGAACTCCAAGGAGCCGAACAAAAGGATGAATTAGACATGAAGACTCCCGAAACTACGGCTAGCTATAGTTCAGCCACGAGAACATCGGAAGAATCTACAACTAGTTCAGTATCATTCAATCGAATCTACTCCAATCCTATCTCGAGCGGTTATTACCCTTGTCTAACTATAAAATTAGGCTCTCCGGTACGAGGTATACTTAGCATCGATAACTCAATGTAAGGTTAATGAATTTGCAATGCATAATGGTTACCTAAAAACTCACGATCAGATAGTATCACTGTAACGCTCGACAATGGGCAATTATATCTCATAGATATCATGAATCTATACTCGTATGAGATCACTCGTAAGTACATGAATAATCTCTGAGATACCACTACGTGCCTTAAGCTCAAACCAACCATTGATTAGGCGACATCGCCGAACGAGAGACAGTTTCGTGCCAGAGAAATGTTGAGACATCCCATAATGTTGATAATAATTCTGCGCAGGACATATCACCTGAAACTATGCCATGTATCGTATCTATGAAACTTTTCAACACCTACTCACCATCAAAAGGTATTAGTAACTTTGTATGAAGCAGTTTTTTTTTCTAAGAGTAGTATAGCTAATTTCAATCTCTTAACAAAGTCATGACAGTCTCTCCTCAGCTCTTTGTTGGTATGAACAACGGAAATGTCCACCAGATTGATCTCAGCGAAATAGAAAATATAAGAACAGCTAATTTTGAAGAACACCCGATTGTCCATGCAACAGAAGGATCTTCATTGATTAATCTACATGTGATCGATTTGCTGGAAGGCAAGCTCCAGACGATTACAGACCGAAAATATTCGAATACAAATGCCAGGGACTCGCCATTAACAGTAGCAAAAATCAGTACGGCTGGTTCTTCTGAAAATTCTAATGAACATTCACTGATTACCGATAATGGAAACAAAAGCTCCTCTACATCGGAAAATACAGTAATATCCTCTTCAAACTGTGTTCATCAACAAAGTCGTGACGGTAACAGTTTGCATCATGGTACTTCATCTTCTGTTTCGTCTTCTTCTACAGTAATATCCAAGCGTATGATAGCCATCGGTAAAGGAGAATACCAACGACAACAAAATCCTCACCTGTTAATTTGTACCTCTACAAGGAGTATATCTGTATTTATGACGGGTTACAACATAAAACTAGTCAGCAAAGAGCTTAATGAAACCAGCATTGTTCATAGCGAGGTGATAATCACACAACATGGCAGTTGTCTTTGCGTATTACTTGATAATGGAAGACTAGCATTCTTGTCTTTACCACATCTGGAACCTATGCTTGAGAGAAGTCTACCAAATTCTTGCTTACTCGACAGATTAAATGAAGCTTTCTTAACCCAAGATGGTCGGATTGTTTTCTGGACCGGTGATTACGAGCTTGAACAGTACTCAGTGATACAGAAAGCCAATTTGTAAGCTTTCCAAAAAAAAAAACCTATTGATACAAGTTCTTACTGACATTTTTCTTTTGTGTTTCAGCCCTATCGGAGAGTCTGTCATTCTATTTAATGCACAGAAATCAATACCTCCCCAGAGTTGTACCTCACGCATGCAACAAAAACCAAAAAAGTCATGGATAGATGCAGTAGCAGGAGCATTCCAGAAGGAGCCTTTAACGGTAGAGGAATTTGATTTGCTAAGTAAAGTATCTTGCAAAAAACATACGACGTAGTCTTAAAAATATGAAGTTATATATTGATATGAACTTACTTTTTATACCTTTCGTTCTTAAAATTTGAAGTGGGACGTATGCCTGTAGAAGATCCTAACGAAATCAGAAAACAGAAAGTTGAAGCGTACAAGGCGAAAATGAAGCAACAAGAAACGGCAGGAGATACCGGAAACAACAGTTCTAATGTGTTTGCGCAATTAGGGCAAAAGATGAATGAACGTGGAGAAAAGTTGAATGAGCTGGATAAGAAATTTCAGGATATGAATGCTGCATCTGGGGATTTTTTGAAAGCTATTCGCGATTACAATGAACGGCAGGCACGTAAGAAATGGTGGGAGTTCTAATTTGTACAATCGGAAAGTTCGATAAATCGTCCATATATGGAGCTTTTTGTGATCCTCAAAAAGTTACATCGTTATGCTGGAATCTATATTGAATAAATCTGTAACATTTATTGAACGTTGTTGCACTGCTATCAATTTAAGTGTGTGTATGTGTGTATACATAAATCAAACAAGCTTTTGAGGGATCAAACGATTTTTTCGCAATGAAACTTATTTCAATGAAGATAATTAAATCTTTGTGTAGTGACCGAATATAAAATCATATCCTTCAAAATCATAAAGAATCTTATCGTTGCGTTTGTATCCACCGTATTTATCAACGATATGCACCAGTTTGTTCATGTTGGTACGTTGCTGTTCCTCGTCTATGTGAGATGTGAAGTACGTGATAGTGAATGATCCCGGCTGAAAAATGTCAAGGACTTGACGCACTAATTTAAGAATGGCATCCTCTCGTTCCTGGCTATTGTTCTCAGGCGTATCCATAGGTTTAACCGGGATGGTAGTTTCAAAGGAAGCATAAGAACATTGTGGTTCAGGAGTTACATGTATGGTGTAGTAGCCATCTTCAACCAAGCCATTACATGAATAGCCACAAGGTTCAAACAGGTAGGAGTCGATATCCGCTTGGGGATAAAGCTGATCAAGACCAGTTTCAAAATCAACACGCTTCCCACCTTCTAACCCGGCTGGCTCGTTGGAACGGTGGTAAAATGGGCGCATGGCCTCCGGGTTGAGATTAGGCATGAGTATTTCAATAGTCTCATCGTATGTTCGATAACCATGAATAGTAGTCATTTTCTCCTTTGGAGCATAGGCGTTATAAAACGACTTGTTACTGTTGAGAAGTTTTTTGTTTGAAGGGTTAAATTTGCTCCAAGAGTTGGCAGCATAACCATCATTACTCAGCCAAGACAGTCCTTCTGTCTCTTTTACCAATCTCTTAGCATCATCGACAGCCATAATTTCGTAACGTGTTTGACCAGGGGAAGTAAGATAGAGGTACCATTCTTCAGCACGAGTATTTCCTATAACATAGGAAGCACCATTACCTATGGTCAGAGCAACGGAAACGTGTTTGCTTAAAATCCAATATTGGGCTTATACATAGGATAAAGCGCTACTATGCTAGAGGTTTATGCTTACTGAAGTAACCATCCAGGTAATTGACTTCTTCTTCCCAGCTCCGATGAGGATCAGGTTGCTTGTCAGGAAACATGAAGGATTTCCTCGAATAGAATAAGCGATAGATACTTTTATACCCACAATGGTTCCAAGCAATATCCAAAATTAAAGGTATTGCTTTGAGCAAAGTTGTCGTACCACATGTCTTTAAGATAATCTTATGTGGAAAAACAAACATGGAAGACTCGCTGTATGTTAATTTGCCAGGATGTAGTACACATAGAAAAGGGATTGTTAGTCAAAAGAAAACCACCGACAAACCCATGTAATGAAGTAGACTTTTCATGCAGCAAAAATTTACCTTAGCAAATATGCGTGTACATGTTGATTCTTAACAATATTAAGGATCGTACACTTTACTGTAGCAAGCATCGAATCCCAAATTGGCTTTTCCACAGTACGAAGATCATTGGAGAATCCAAGAGATAAATTTATCATGGAATCATTTGGCGTAACCGGGTTGGACTCATCTGAAAATTCGGAATCGGAATTCGAAGTACAACGAGCAGTAGTAGCTTGGGCATGAGAAGAGACAGGGCGTGCAAAAGGAGCTGGGGAAAACCAAATCTCAAGGAGTTTTTCTGGGCCCTCAAAACAACCATGTTCTGCTGAATAGTTTGCTCCAGAGGGAGGTGGAGCTGAAGGATGAGGAATGTTGATTTGTGTCATAATGTTGAGTGCGTTACTGTTAGTTTTTTTGCTTTAAATTATTTTTCTTTTTTTTTTTTTTGCTTGAATTGAAGTTGAATTAAATAAGTGCTTATATGAATGTGTTAATGATGCAATTGATGAAGTTACTAGCCGAATTTCTGAGAGAGAGGCTCGCGTTTAAATAGTCTGATTTCTGCCTTGGGTTATGTCAGGACCAAAAATTGGAAAAGTGAAGCCGGAAAGGTAAGCTAATCAAATATCGTACTAAATTTTCTGTATAATAAAGGATTTCTATAGAGCGCATATAAAGGTGAAAGTGAAGATTTGCTTTCAAGTGCTAATAGTATTCACTGTTTTTAACAATTAGAATTGGTATAGAAAATATTGTTCATTCCTATACTTTAGAAGAAAAAGGAAGAAAGTGAAAGTGTAAGGAAAAGCAGACTAAAAGGCTGTTCACACAGAGAAAAGTCCATTTAAATATTTCTGGTTCAGCAACTTCGTTTCCCGTTTCAGCAAACTTAATTGTGTGTTACAAGATTAGATCAAAAAAGAAAAATCCTTAAATTAACAGGCTCCTGCTTGCTTCTCATATATGGACATATTATGATGACAATTATTTGCCCCCATAATTCTAAATGGAATGCTTTTATTCATATTGCACAGTTCGTTCACTGTCATCTATCTTAGTTGAAAGATTAGTAGGGTGAATAGCGGAAGTAGTTTCTATAGGAATTCCTTGAGGATATACTGAAACAGTATCTTCATGGATTATAGAGGAGACAGAAGGCCGTCTTAAAATATCCATGTCGTCAGCTGGAATCATGTTGACAATGGGGATAGAGTCTCGTCTAAGAATTAGAGGAATGGAGACTCTACCAATATTCGCAGCAACACTTGCTCTTCGGCTACCTGGTTTAGAACTGCCACGGCTGCCACTACCCGAGGTCGGTGTATGAAAGCCAGATTGAAGTCTGCTAGTGGGCTTGAACGTTATGGGTATCATATTTCGTGTACTAATATCGTCGTCGTCGTCATCATCATCTGCTATCAGTGATGCAGCAAGCTTGTCCAATTTATGCTGTGCTTTAGAGGACATTATTAAAGTATCTAATGCAAATAGATCAGACTGATCACCATTGGCCTGAGGGGTCATGGGTGATGAAAGATCACTAAGAAGTACGCATAATTCAAATGAATGATTAATAGTGTCGTTTGTGAATTGTTAAAAAAAATCATACTCTACTCAGTTTCATTATTGTCAGTGGTAGTCTTTGGTTTGGTTTCGAGGGATGATTCAGAGTTGTCTTCTGTTTTATCATTGGTCTCAAGTACTTCAAAAGAATGTGCATCCAATTCTCTATAGCGAAGTTCCTCGGCAGGAGAGTTATTAGAGGTATCGTCGTCACCCAGAAATCCAGGCATTGCCATATTGGAAGCATGTTCTGTAATCTGTGCATGCTTCTGCTCGATTGCTTCTTGATCAACTAAAAAGGACGTTCCTTCGTCAAGTCTCTGGTAAAGATCAGATGAATCAGCTTGAAGAGCATTGTTTTCTCCCTGCTTTTCACTAGTACGACGGCTTATTAAATTGTGATAGTTATATGTATAGCAACGCTGTATTTTCGATTCATAACTACTTCGTTCGTTCAGAGGTAGTTCATCGAGCCATATACGGGATGGAGGGGGGAAGTGATCAGCTTCCGTTTCCCATGGAAAGGCTGGAGGATAGTGAATGTCTTCTGATAATGATAGTTGGTCTTGTATCTCTTCCCCCTGCTGCTCTTCAGCCTTTTCTTCAGTACTTTCAGGGTATGCCATATCCGGCATCTTTTCCTCCATTTCCTCTTCTGCTTCCATTGCCTGTGCCGGTTGGGCTGAGAAAGATAGTGAAGTTGGTTCAGGAACGGGTGTTTGATATGCATCTCCTTTGTAGTCTTCAAGGCTATACTCGGCGTACTCAGGTCTGCTTGCAAGGACTCTGGCATCAGGCTGTAGAACAGAAGTCTCCCACTTGGATTCCTCTTGTTTCAATTTAGGTTCATCCCAGGCGTTTTTAAACGATGTAAGGTCAGGAATATTAGCTGTGACAGCTCCCGATGTTGGTGGTGCTTCACGAGCAGGGTCCCATTCAATCATAGAATATACTTTGGGCTCTTCGATAGGCTGACACGTATCCTGTGAGTGATTCTGCTCATTTTCAACGGTTTCCTCCTCTTTGACGCAACACTCGTGTTGTATATGCTCTTCGTTGGGTATTCCTGCATCTTCTATTTGATGGTCATAGTTAATCGGTTGCTGTACATCGGCAGAATAATTAAGCCTTGTATTATCCTCATCAATGACAAACTGTCGGCTTTGTTGCTCTTGTTCAGCTTTATGCTATAAAGATGGGGAAAATAATTAGAAAAGAGCCTCGTACTATGTGAGATTAACATTACCTCTTCCTTAAAATGATTCTGTGATTCCTCTTTAGAGAAATCATTTTCTTTGCGTTTTTCCTAATTGTTTAAACGTATTATTTGAATATGTCTTTCTTCTATTTACATTTTCATTAGTAGACGCACATAAAAACATACCTCCTGCTCTTCCATGTTAAGCTGACGCTCCTCTTGTTCCTTTCTATTCTGGAACTCCTCTTGTTCCAATCTTCTTTGACGCTCTTCTTCTTTCAATCTATTCTGGTGCTCCTCTTCTTTTATTCTCTGCTGACGCTCCACTTCTTTTAATCTATTCTGGTGCTCCTCTTCTTTCAATTTATGCTGACGCTCCTCTTCTCGTAATCTAATCTGGTGCTCCTCTTCTTGGCGTCTTCTCTATATATTAATGACAATTTAACAAGGTAATCTCGTTTACATATCGTTCAGCTTTACTAGTACCTTCTCTTCCTCTGCTTGTTGTTGTTGTTGCTGGCGTCGTATCTCTTCTATATACCACTCAGGCTCGGAGGTAGTAATTGCCGGTACAGGCGGCATGGGCTCTACATACTTATGCTGATCATCCAAATGGAAGTCTTCAGCATCCCAGGCATTCTCGATTGGTTTGCTAAAAGGATCAATAGGGCGTGTTTGAAACCCAGTATCAAAAGATACATGATCTACTGAAAAAGTATCGACTGATGAAAGTAATTGATGGGGTGATGTCTAAAGATGTAGTGTAAAGCGGAGAAACGGTAGGCATTTTAATATGATTTCCTACACACTATTTGTAATCAGTTATAGTTATAGCCAAGTTGATAATACTCACGTTCCCGAATTGCTCGCCCCAAGTGGACCACCAAGCTTCTATCGTCTCTTTCACACCATTCCAAGCGCCTCCTAGAGGAAGGATATGCCCATCTTCAAATCTTTGATATACCCAAGGCTTCTTATCGCCGATGAAATGGAGAATGGAAACGTCATGACCATAGTTCTGATATGCGGGAAGATAACTAACCACCAGGAAGAGAAAGCATGTGTAAGTGTCATACGTTGAAAAGCTTTCTAGTCGGCAATTTCTAACATTTACCCGTATTGAGTGGTAGGTGTTGTATTGTAAGTGAAGGGTAATCTCTGAGCTGGAGATGTTGACCACGAGTCAAAATAGGTATTTAGAAGTCCCTGATCTCCGCCTAAACAAAATTGTTGAAAAAGGCAAAGTTTTAGTTTTCTTTTTGCGGAAATCAACTCTGGGAAAGCTTGTTCCCTGAAAAATGATTGCTTACCATCAAAGGAGCCTTTTTCAGAGGCAGCAAGAGATAACAGTTCACTATAAGTTGTTTTTGAAGGCGTCGCTACGAAAACTCCAGAATTGAAGCAATCTGGCCAACCTGCATCCGGAGCAGCAGCAAAAGTGGCCTCGACGTTGAATAACTCATCAATCCTCTTCAAAGGGTAAGTATCAGCATCTAAGAAAACTACTTTCGAATATTGTGTCAAGTTCCAAAGATGAATCTTTGTGAATGTTATGTCCAGGTCGGGACGGCCTAATAGCTTCAGATTGTCGTAATTGCTCGACCGAAGTGTATCTACTTTTATGATAGTGATCTGCTGTTTTGACAGCAAATCAAGGACATGATCTGATATATTGGGTGTGACAAGACAAACAAAATCCCTATTATTAACTGAGCCTAATTTTCTTAATTGATGATTCAACACAAGTGCGCCTGCAGCGTAGGGTTCTGTCGCCACCAAGGTAATGAATGCTTCCATGAGTATATTTATTAGCAGTTATTTGGCGGTAATAGGGTTAGGGCTTGTTGAAGGATATCAAGACGAGGTAAAGGAAAAGAATAGAATGGAAAAGGGAAAAGATGTTTCTCTTAAGATTTTCGGGTTCAAAATAGCAGCACAGAATTGTGGAGGGCTGCTGAACTACAAATGTTTTTTTTGTATTTTTTTATACATTATAAAAATACAATCCCGTATGACAATGTATTTGTACATGAAACTGTATAAAACATATCCTCTTTGTCTCTTTTATTATGTATTTGAATCTATGTTAATGTCCATTTGCTTTTATAACACGAAATATAAGAATAATACCTCAGGACTATCTAATTATCTTACAATAGTTTTAGGTGACCTGTAACCTGATCAATGAGTTCAGCAGGGCCTATCAATCGAGTTTTTGGCTATTAGTTTTCCGCAAAGGAAACGAAACCAATATGATCAGTTTTATTACCTGGACCAACACCAAGAACAGTACGTGAACCAGGCGCAATCTGTGTACGACCAGCGTCTTGAATAGTTTGTGCAGGCAGACCGAGGCTAAGTGCAACAGCTTGCATTTCAAGGCTACACCCAGACCAAAGAGGAAAAATGAGAGATATGCTTATGTAATGCTTATGTTAGTGCACGCACTTACAGTTTCTCTTCACTATCACATTTTAAAGCAACTTTGGCCTGCCCTGACATTTCCCAATTCCTTAAAAGCTGAGGAATAATGCTCGTTAGATAAGCACATTAATAAGATTATATATCCTTCGCTCTTTTTACCATCGGATTAACTCTCTTTGCAGCTTTGTAACAAGCAAGGGTTGCATGCCCACACTAATAAATTTGGAACCTGTTGTTAGAATACTCTAAATCATATTGTTGTCAGTTGTTTGGAATAGGCAGGTGTACCTGTGCAGCAATTTTTCCTTTTGTCATTCCCAAGTCAGTCCGAACAACAAGTGTCTTTGTTCGAAAAAAAAAGATCATCAATAAAACAAAAGCTCATGCCGTCTAGACTGTGCACAGAACATAAACTCACAAGCTTGAAATTATCGTATTTCTTCAGATCGATCTTTCCGTCTTCAGGCAGTTCGTCAAGTTCTTCGTCATCATTCTCGTCTTTTGTTTCAGTCTGCTTAGACGCCTTCGTGGTGTCTTTCAATCTCTGCAGCACCCAGATCGCTGAAATTAGTAACAGACCAGATCGATTGCTACTATCTTTGGCAGCCAACTTACATTTTGAGCATTGTATTTTCCAATAATATACCCCGTCACAAGAGATGCAATCGCAGTAATGACAGTTGTTGATACCATAATTCTCTGCGCTCGCATACTATTCGTGAAAAGAAGTCATTCACCTAATCAGTAAAGGGTGGATAAGAAGTCTAGGCTTTTTTCAAGCTCCGTAGAAAGCTTTTTTGCTCTTGCTGCTCAACACTGTTATCCTTCTAATTTATTTTTTATAGATGATGATATTATCCTACCTTATATACTTTTTGTTGGCTTCTGCAATACAAAAGAAGAGCAATCGCATCTTTGCTGGTATAAATATTGCTTCCAAGGACGAACATGACGACTGTCGAAGCAGACTTTCAATCGGCTGTTAAATTGTTAGTCCACGATAAACTGTTTTACTGCTTGTGTAATGCTTACTCTGAGCTCTTTTTCTCCTCCGAGTTATCTATATCATGACAAAAGGCCTAAATTTGATTGTAATTACTTTTGGCTTGCTGACCAGCTTTTACGGATTCTATGGAATTGGTTTTGGAGTACCTGCACCTGGATATGGCGGGCATTTTCAAGTATATAAAATATATTCATTTATGCTATTTTATCTACTTCCCTCTTGTTTGCTCATGTTATGTAACTTAAAGAATCATTTTCTTTTTAAAACAGTATCTCACTATAATGGGACTTCTGGTTGCTACTTTAATGTTTATGGTTAGAATTATTCATTTATTGAGTGGCACAATGAAAGGTACATACGCGTCAATCAGCCAAATGGCACAATTTTGTAATATTGATAGCACTCATTCACTAAGCTCAATTTTCATAGTCGTGTATGAAACTTTAACAGCAATTGCTACACCAGTAAGTTATATATTTTTCGTGGTGGATGTCATCAGGAGCAGACTTACCAACCAAACTTTTCTTTGCATTACAATTCACTATATCAGATTGAAGGCCTTGTTAGTGTTCTCTATTGGCCACTTGTTCTATATGATAAATCATTGCTGATTCCAGAAGACACTGTCTTCGACTTGCCATTAAAACTGGATGTGTGCTTGCATTTATTCCCTACCGTCGTTTGTTGGATCGACTTTATGGTATTTAATACAAGTTATAAGCGATCTCCTTTACATATTCTGGCAATATATGCGTTTACTATGTTCTATTACGTCTGGTTAAACATCTGCTTTGAACACAATGGTTTCTGGCCGTACCCAATGCTAGGTTTATTCAAAAGCGATTTTCAACGAGGCGCTTTCTTTTTGCTTTGTGGATGGCTTTGTTCAAATCTATATAAAATAAGTAAGTTGTTGAATAAGTTTAATTGACAGTAAATGTGAAGTGGGTCCGTTATCAATACTAATATTATCAAAATACAATGTTTCTCTTCGATAGTTGCTAAAGGTCATGCTTTACTGCATCCAAAGGATGAGGTTCTCGTTGAGAAAGACCCAGTAAAAAAGCTCAGTTAAAATAGATTGTGCGTGGTTTTCGTTTACATATTGAAGAAAAGAATGTATACGTTTAGCTATTCATTATAGCAACTTAGAAATACAATATGCGTTTTTGTTTTCCGGGATATCTTATATATTTCCATCTGCTAGTATCAATCTTTTCATTTATGATCTATATATAACAGTCTTTAATAGCAATGAAACAGACAGAGTATACGCAACTACTTCTGAGAAGATGCTTCAGCCTTTAACCTATATTCACCGTCAAAATGTAACGTATAATTAGTGGTAATTTAGGGTTCCTTTTTAAAAAAAAAAATGGGAAAAAAAGCCTTAAAAAAATGCAGCTCTTCACATTTCGAGAAAGGGTGTATAATTTTTCCTTCTTTTCCATTTTTGACAGCCTTGTATCGAGTTATAACACGAACCAAAACCAAACTCCTTTCTGTCGTAAAAATATAATAGAATATGGTTGCAGCCAAACGATCTTCATCTAAATCAGCCGTTGAAATGGAAACATCCGTTTCAAAAGATCCAACCATTGAGAAAATGGACGAGATCTTGACGCAATCAGCAAAGAGAACCAGAATCCTATTCTCAACATCCTATAGTCAAACAGCTATGGACGAACAAGACAGGTAACTGTCGTGAGAGAAACGTAGGAATAGAGCTGGAAAGACAATTCCCACTAACTCTTCTGAACTGTGCTTCTTCCTGTATGTTACTGATCGCTAGTCAACGTGCCAAATTAACGAGTAAAATACACGATGAGTATCAAAACTTACGTACATTGCCGGAGGCTTTAATCAGACAACAAAAAGAAGCAGCTAAAGCACGTAAACAAGCAACAGCTACTAAAATTGAAGAAGCACCATCAGATCAGGAAGAAAAGAGTTCAATGTCTCAAATTATAGAGTCCATACCGGAAAGTTCAAAAGCGTAAGATGCTTTTTACTTAATGAATAAGCATAAATTGTATAGAGCGCTTCGACTAATATTTTGGCTTCAACACAATAATAGACTTGACGGCAAGAATGAAGGTGTTGTAGCCATTCGTAGTAAAGATCAGTTCTCGTCGGATGTATTTGGTGACACTTTGGCTGGTGCAGGATCACTCGTTCGCCGCGCTAGAGCAAAAATAATTAAACCGGTCTGGCATGCACCTTGGAAGCTTATGCGTGTCATTAGTGGTCACTTGGGTTGGGTACGTGCAGTAACAGTAGAACCAGGAAACAAATGGTTTGCCACAGGTGCTGGCGACCGTACCATTAAAATTTGGGATCTTGCTTCAGGCACCTTGAAGCTTTCACTTACGGGTCATATTGCAACAGTACGTGGTTTAGAAGTATCGCCTCGACATCCTTATTTATTTTCTTGCGGTGAAGATAAAATGGTGAAATGTTGGGATTTGGAACAAAATAAAGTGATACGTCACTACCATGGACATCTTTCTGGTGTTTATGCCTTAAGTTTACATCCTACATTGGATGTGTTAGTCACATCTGGTAGAGATGCAACAGCACGTGTCTGGGATATGAGAACAAAGCAAGCAGTTCACGTTTTGACAGGGCATACCAGTACAGTTTCAACAGTCAAGTGCCAAGAAGCAGATCCTCAAGTCATCACAGGTTCCATGGATAATACAATTAGATTATGGGATTTAGCAGCAGGCAAGACAATGGGCGTTTTGACACACCATAAAAAGAGTGTTAGAGCATTAGCTCTTCATCCAACTGAATTTGGGTTTGTCAGTGGTAGCGCAGATGCAGTCAAGGGATGGAAATGCCCCGAAGGCACATTCATACAGAATTATGAAAGAAAGAAGGCTATTATCAACGCATTAGCAGTAAATCAAGACGGTGTTGTTTTCGCTGGCGGGGATGATGGTTCATTGAGTTTCAGCGATTGGAAATCAGGATACAACTTTCAGTCACAGGATACAATTGTACAGCCAGGTTCGTTGGATGCAGAAGCAGGTGTCTTCTGTAGTACATTTGATAAAACAGGTTTACGTTTGATTACTGGTGAGGCAGATAAAACAATCAAAATATACAAGGAAGATGAAACTGCTATAAAAGATTCTAGTTTTTACCAATAAAGTAACTGCTATTTAATTGTTTGCTTTTGTAAGCTGTTTATTCTATGTTTCTTTCCATTAAATGTCAACTGTCATAATACCAATATCCTCACTGCCTAAACGGTTTAATATCGTTATGGATTCATTAGAAATATCGAGTACGCAACTTGAACCAGCAAATGTACTTTGCCGTTCAGAACCGGTCCTATTACACGCAACAAATATTGTATGTCTGCCGTCTTCAGAATCTTGGTATAGAGGTAACATTCGGGTAGCCCAGTATTTAATCGTACTATCTGGATTTGAATCACTTTTCAACCAAGACATACTGCAAAGTATTAAATTTGTGTTCTCTTTCAAATGATAATTTGCAAATTCAAAATCGCGAAAGTTCGCTTCGAATCGGTATGGATTGATATCCATGCAGATCCCTAAGCCAACCTGTAAAATGGAAAATGGAGAATTGGAGATGTAGGCAAAATCAATCGTAATTTTAAACTGTTATCTTCATCACGTTTTTGTAGTCTGTTTGTACCTTTCCTATATGCTCCATTTGTAATGTTCGAAAACCCGGCCCTTCCTCGGCCCAATTCTCATCAGTTTCATACAGAAATGCTTTTTGATAAGTTGTCATAAGTTCGCCTTTTGGATTGATTACACACATGCTATTATAAAAATGCGTATCATCTTTTTTCTGAGGATATCCAACACAAACGTAGCTTTTCAACCTCTTTGCTTGGTGTTTAGCCCACAAAGCAGAAGGGCCGTTCTCAGCATCCTCCAAGAATGGCATAATTTCCTCCTTGCTTTTGAAAACATAGCCTGAAAAAGCCATTTCTGGTAAAATCAGAATGTCGATATCCTCTTCAGTAAAACTACAGGTTAAATTCGTAGAATTATATTTGAGCCATTCTTGGTTGAAGTAGCAATATACATATTTTTTTTGATTTTGCTGCTTTATACAGGTTTGGAAAAACTGTTTACTCTTCCAACAGCTTAGTTGCAGTTTGAATATTGCTCTCGACATCGCCCCATTTGGGATTAAACTGACAGCACGCTTAAGAATCATTGTACAAACGCACAGATGTCAGATTGAAATTGAATATAGTTTTTTTGATAAATGAGTTTATTGAACGTCTTGAGGTCATTTGCTTAATTTCAATCGTTACCGATCTTCATTATATTGTACGCTTTGTCCTTGAAAAATGAAAGAAGAGTTCTAGAAAAGTTTTTCTGTTCTCGAAAAAAAAATAAAGAAAATATCCCACAATTATTATCTTTTATACTTCATAGCATCGAAAATCATAATAAACTCTTTTTTCAACACAACTACTCCGCCTTCTGCTTCTTATTTCCCATATTGAATCGTTCAGCTCTCTTTCGTTTCTTTTCTTCTTCTACCGGATCGAAGTTTACTGGTGCCTTTCCTTTAGACGCAGCTACTGTGGCAGCATTATCAGAAATACCAAACCTTTCGGCACGCCTTTTAAGTACTTCAGGATCGATGCCTAGTTTGTGGCTCTTCTTCACTTCTTGCTTATTTGTATTAATGCCAAATCGCTGTGCACGAATTTCTTTTTTGGCCTTCTCGTTTAATTGAATACCAAATCTTTTGGCCCTTTCTAAGGCTCTTTCAGCATCATCTAACTTCGCCACGGGCTTGGTGTCTGAAGTTGTTTGTTTAGCTGCGGGGGGTGAAGCAGCAGTAGCAGTTTTCTTAGAAGCTTCTGTGGTTCCAGTAGTTGTTGTATTTTTATCATTAAATGTGACGGGTGTAAATTTGAAGTTGCTGCTAGATTTCTCTTCGACATTCGTCTTTGAGTCTTTTGGTGCTATTTTGACTGTATCGCTGGGAGTCGTTTTATTTTTCGCAGTCGCATCCTTTGATTCTGAGGTTGGCACAGAAAGAGTAATATCATCCGCTGTATCCTTACTTTCATCGCCCAGAATATCCTCGAGTTCTTTAGAGCTACAAATTGTAGATATCTTAATGTCTATCTAGCGATAAACGATCACGTAAACTAACTATCTTAACTTACTCTAAAGGAACTTTAGATTCGTCAAAGTCTTCAAGATCACCGAATTCTTCTTCTAATGACTTTAATTCTTTTTCTTCTTTTTCGTCATGTTTAACTAAACGTTCAATCAGGTCCTCTTTCTTTCCGGTGACAGGAAGGTCTCTCTTCGTCAATAATTCTATAGAAGAAAAGCTTGTTATTCAGTATGTTTAGCACAGCAACAATTTCAAAACGACATCATGCTTACCTTGAAGTTCCTTTACTTTGAGATTCTTATATTTGTCGCTCATCTTTTTATTTTCAAGTGATGATCTGGAGGAAAAGGAGTTTGACTGATAGTAGAAAAGACCTTGTCACCATAAAATTGTCCGATAAAACACGAAATTTCTGACTCTCAAACACCATGTATTTTCAATTAACAAAATTAAGTCCTACCATTATACAAGTCCATTAGTCCAAAGACTAAATTTGTTGGCTTCGTAAGTCCTTAACAATTCTTTTGTCGCAATACTAACAGCCTGGAAGTATAAAAATTCACGTGAATGAGATTTCTTAAGATAACTGTCAATTTAATTGAAAATTGACAGTTTGAGTGAAGCATATATGATAAAGAAACTATAGTACATACTCTCTGGATGGTCAAACGGTGAGAACGCGTTCAAAATTTGCATTAGATGGGGGATAAAAAGGCCCTTTTCTTGCATAAATGCTAATGTAAACGTCATTGTCAATAAAATACCGATAACAAATGCTACGTTACTGACTCAAAATAGCGAATGTATAAGTATAATTTACTGTACACAGATGATATTAGCACATCGCATAGCATAATGGAGGATCTTTACTTCGAAGGTTTCGAACAAGCTCATTAGTCGTATCTAACTAAATTTAAATCATGCAAAGGCTTTTCGAACTAAGAGAAATTATCTGCGTTTTATGTAGCTATTGTAGCAACACCATACCCAACACCATCTTCATCTGTATTTCCCTTATGCCGCTATCATCTCTCCTCTTTGATGAAATGAGGCACTGGAGCAGTTGCGAAGGAAAGACTAATTATGTAGCCTGCCTGTTGTAAGTACCATCAATGTGGTCAAATAACGATCTGTTTGCATTTGATTAGCTATATTATGTAAACGATCTTCGAGACGGCATGGTTTCCGTTCATGTTTGGATGTTCCTTTCCTTTTCCTGAAAAATGATTTAAAATATGGCATGTCATTAAATAGCTAGGTTTATGATAAGGAAGCAGTCTTGAGAATGATTGTATAATCCTTTCGCCGTAGGCGACGAATGTCGTCGATGATTATCATCAACTAGAGCAACAACCAATTGCTATCGCTTCCTTAATTAAACGACAATAAAACAAACGTTCCAAGTATGGTGGCTGAAGGCTCTTTGATTAGGGTCTACAAGTATAGAAAAAGCTGTTGACATCATCAACAGGAATATTTTTAGTAGCACAGAAACTCTTTGCTAGCCTTCATAGTGAATATGATTGCTGGTGATGCTAACGTTAGCGGATTATTTCAGTTAACACACAATACTCCATCAAAGACAATGGTGAGAAAAGTAAAACAAACAAACAAACAAACATTTTGGAACTGATAGCAACGAGGCGGATGGTTGGTAAGGGATGAGACTAAAGGGATTATAGTTGCCTAGGTGTGTACATGATGTGGTCATACTTCAATCCCTGCCAAGGTATGAATATACGTTGATCTGTAATACCACGACTATAGAATCTTTTTATTGAGGTCATTTGTATTAATTGTAGAACTATCCAATCAGCAGTAACAATTCACTATTGGAACCACGTCTAATACTGGCTTTGAGAATGGAAATAAGACCAAGTATAGTGATGAATATGAGCCTAATAGAAATTCGAAAGTGACGGGGTATAAGGACAATTAAGAAGTGTTGTGACGCAGAACCAACTACTGATGGAAAAATTACTGAGGTGATGTACGCCACACACTTTTTTCTTCGGAATACATACAGCACATCGGCTTTCAGCTCAGCTCCCACACCACGTTAGCCTTAGTGCAACACATTGTTGATACAGACGACAAGCAGTAAGTAGTAAAGCTTTTGTCGGTTCAGTGTAGCATTCGGACATTTTGAGTGCGTCCTCATGGTACTATTGAAGACGTTTCAGCTTCAATAGTTTGATCCACAAGGGTTTATTTGCATAAATTTTTTCCTAGACACACGGATAAATACCAAACAACAACCATTTCGATTAACTATTACTTCGCGATCAGAAACTTTCCTCTGTTTTTCTTTCAAAAAAAAAAAAAATAAATCCTCAAATCTAAGAAAAATCGATTAGAAAATGTCTGCAAATATTGCAAACTCGACAGCAACCGACAACATGAACGGTAACTTTGATAATTTTGTATCTCAACAAAATGACTTGGGCCAGCAAGGTTATGAAGGAAATATCACCACCGCTGGATCCACTATACCTACTGATAGCTCATATAACAACTCAGGCGGTGGGACTTATGACTCGGTTCCCACCAGCGGTGTTAATGACTCTACTGTCAATTCAGGCTATGGAAACACTAGCGGTTACGGAAATAATACTTCTACAGCTGGCACTACTGGGGCTTACGTTGATACAACAGACAACACTACCGCTGGTGCTTACAGTAACGCCCCTAATCCTGGCACTGCTGAAGGCTTTGGCAATACAAACGCTACTAGTAATACTGGAGCTGCCACTGCTACTTACGGCAACAACACTACTGGAGGCAATGCTGGTGCCACAAACACTACCGACACGGCTGCTGCTAATGGAAATCAGACACAAGGTAAGCAATCCTTGGCTGACAAAATTGAAGCTTGGCTTGAAAAGCTAGTCAGCAAGTTCAAGAAGAATAAAACACCAAATTAAAGTTGTTTCTGTAAAATTTGCTATACTGTATACTTAATCTATGTCCTATGCTTTTTGTACTTTACTTATACTTACTTAATAACCTACTCCTATTTTTTATAAATAAATATATACTTATCTTTTCATTCTATAGCCAATATTCCTTTACGCGAATGATGAGCCATCATAGAAGACGCCAAATTCAAATTGCGGAAACTTTAACCTTTTTGCGAACAACTTCGTGTTTTAGGAAGTATAAACAACAATTACATTCGATTATATGCCTCCAAGTGCTATTACAACAGTAACTACTACATATGAAGTGCTGATTGACAACAATAACTGTCTTTGAAGGAAAAGAAAGGATGTTTAGGATGTAGATTGGTGTTGGCTTCTTTTTAAGTTTTCTAGATGAAAATTGGAAACAAAGTATGGCATCTAATAAGATCTTGATTGAGACACTCAAACAAAGATGACACTACCGAGAGAAAAAAAGATGAAAGAAAACAATGTATGTGACGAAAGAAATAATGTAATATTGATTAGAAACCACAACTGTAGTGATTGATTACCGTCTATGGTTAGTATACAGAGGCTGCTTTAACACTCATGCTATGCCAAAAGGCACATCAATACTATTGGATTAAAAAGCGATTTAATCAACTGAATGGGGAGAGTATTAAACAAAGCTAACACTAGAACGCGTCTTTGACCATACGGACAAAGTTATCGATGGACGAGGCTGAACAAGAAATGATGTGAACTGAAAGTGACAGGTTAACATAACATTTTTAATGCTTGCGTAAGGTTTCTGAGCGCTAACAAATGTTGACACTCCAAGCAAAAAACAGATTAGCATATTGACGTAGAAATGCTTTCTTAAGTTGAGTTGAGTAGTAAACGTTCAAAATGAAAAAGAAGATAAAGTACTTTTTTGAAAAGCAAGGGCCTCCTTCATGTGGTACTCAGGAAAATTTGGCTTACGATATCCATGTTGTTCAGCAGAGAGAAGTATGTACAGTAAAAAATTGTACATGATTTGACTAACAAATTTGGTTTTATGAGAAATGGCATGTCCAACATTCCTATATGCATCGCTTCATATTGGCTTCTTTCCTTGATAATTCACCATTATGCTCCTCTATTTTACTATCTGCTCGGCAATATTTTCTGTCCTATTGTGAATGATCTACTCGCTACTCTTTTCACATAGAGTGCTGCGGTATGAAGGAAAAAATCGATACGATAAGTTTAGAGCTCTGTCTGCGTGGGGTTTCCCAAATAACAGCCACCACATGACGAAACTACCAATTGTAGCCTTCACGTTCAGTGCCACATATTTATAGATAGGCTCCGCGTACGGAAATTAGGCTTGGCTTTAGGCGGCAAAGCGATACCACGTATGACTGATGATGTTAATGACTCTATTCGGAAAAGTTCTGTTATTTTATTATCGTAGTTTAATCGTCACCGGCACATACAAGAAGCTGAAGAAAAACAACATACTAACTTCAGTTGGCTATATCGATAATTGTAATCATGCCGGTGATTAAGTGCTAGAATGTTTGTATTATACTTCAAGAAATTGATGGGAAGACCATCTACAAGTAAGTTATGGCTCATACATCTTATTATATGAAGGAATGACTTTGCTATGTCTCAAATATGAGATCAGATATGTTACTGTGACTTACATTAGGCACAATATCCATCATACAGTAATAAATACAGGTCACAGTGCATTATATTTACATATGTGCAACTGTGACGACTGCACCACCATCTACTGTGATAGTGGTACCATTGGTATATTGACCGGCACGAGAAGCCAAGTATATACATGTTCCTGCAATATCTTCAGGCGAGCCAATACGCTTCACACCCAGTCTCGATACAATTTGATCGCCATATTTTTCAAGAGTTGCCTTCATCATTTTAGATTGAAAGGCACCTGGTGCAATAACATTGACGCGAACGCCTCGGTATCCTAACTTACCGGCCATATGACGTGACATATGATGAAGACCACCTTTTGAAGCAGAATAAGCATAGGTTTCTTGAGGCGGCGCCTTTTCAAAAAAAGATAAATAGCTTAGGTAGGTGTATGCAAAAAGAAAGAACCTCCTTTTATCTCATGAATCATTGACACTTACGCGTATACCGTCTATCGAACCAATATTGATGACGCTTGAAGTATTTTCTAAGCTTGCCTTTGCTGTTAAAAGGGGAAGACATCTATTAATGAGTAATAACAATTCATGTCAGTTTATTTTTGGAGCCCCAATTATTCTGCAGCGTTTCTTTCCTTTGAATGATTGTAGCACTTACGCTTGGGTCAATGTAAAGATACGCTTTAAGTTCAGATTTACGACCTTTTCGAACGCTTTATCAGGGTAACTATCGATTGTCTCGTTCCAGTTAGCACCTGCGTTATTTATCAATACATCAAGATCTGTATAATATGACATTTTGTGCAAGAGCAAAGAGAGACTATATCAATACGTTGTCTACTTTAAGTTGCGAAGGAATGCTATACACTTACGATCTTCTCTCTTGCTTAACTCTTCCACTAATCTTTTAATTTCATCGAAGCTTTGAAGATCTGCTGGTATAGCTATACATTCACCTGGCCCTTTTTCTGTCAATTCTTTAGCAACCTGGACAAATAGACATTAATATAAGGTATGATGGATTATTGGGCAGGTCATTAGTAATTCTTACTTTGTAACACACATCAGCAGAACGACTGGTAATGTAAATTTTGGCGCCTGCAGATACAAAACCCTGTACATATACGTATTAACATTTTGCTCGATTCAGTAATGTGTAAAATGGTCGAATATATCCAGTCGATATTAGTTACCGTTGCGATCATCTCACCAATACCTCTAGATCCACCTGTGACTAAAACAATCTATAGGGCAGAACGAAAGTTAATGAAGCTTACACCTTGCCAAAAAGAAATAGAGGCATGTTTAACAGATCTTTATTGTATGCTTTACTTTATTTCGAACATCAAATAAGTTATTGTAATCCATGGTTTATTGCTTTTGCTGATCGATCAATGATTATAGTAGATGTTTTTAATTGAAGTATGTGTAAAGGTAAACGGATGGGATATATACGATAATTAGTATAGAACAAAAACAGGGAAAAAGGAGAAAAAAAAAGTTGATATAGTTTACGATGAAGGATGCCAAAATAAAATCGTTTTTTTTTTTTTTTTTTTTTTTTTGTTCGCTAACCTAGTTTCGTGGAAGAGCTGACTAAAGAATTTCTCATGCTTTTAATGGATTCTTTCGAAAAGCAAACGTTTCTCATAATAGTCAATTAACTAAGCATACAAAAAGCACCATTGGTTTTTTAGCCTCGAAAAGGATATGTTTTAACAGTATTTCTAAGATGCACTTACTTTCAGAGGCGCCTTCTTAGCAACGACGCCTGTCTTATATCTCGCTAATTTACCGTCATTCCTTGACGTCCAAAATGAAAGAATATGAGCGGTTTGTCAACAATAACTATTAAAAAGCTACTATACAGATACTAACCATCTAACGATAGCATATAAGGTTTTATTATCGTCAGCAGGTCTGACAGCTTCAACCTTAGTAACGTCGACCCAGCTACTATTTAGTCTGAATTTGCTATCCTCTACTTCCGTATCAGAGAAGTCCAATTCAGTCTCACTCTCATAGTAAGACACAGGTTCGTTGGATTCTTCGCCTATGTTACACCGAAAAGTTTTGATATCCGATAAGCAAAGGCATAAAATCCAACACTTTTATATACCGTCTAGTTCAGCGACATTCTCTGTTCTTATTCTACTCACCTTCATCGATGTAATTTTTGGCCTTCTTTGTAGTGGAGGATGCATCAGGGTTTGATTGTTTTCTTTTTGCTGATGTGGTGTTATTATCAGCTGCAACCTTGTGAGTGGCGGTAGAGGCAGCACGTCCTAATTCCTGATCTACCTTTAGACGAACCGCTGGGCCCTGCTGTTGCCAGTACTGTTCAACAAGTTCTGTTGCATGATCCCTATCGTTATTTGTTACAATGAACGAGAAAATTATTTAGCAACTGAGGACCTTTTTTCTATTGTCCGGTTGTTATTTACACAGCATCTTCTGGTTCCCAGGTATTTTCATCTGAATCGTAACCTTTCCATTTGATGTAATACTGAAGTATTTTCTTATTTTTCTAACAGTGCCAGAAAAATAAACGCAAAGGTTAATCTGACCGTCACTTAATAAATTATCTCACTATTTCATTCGACGATCTTTCTTACCGAACGATGATTGATTTTGTGGTTTACGATACACTCAACTTCATACTCCTCGTCCTCTGTTTCCGATTCTGCTGGCTTTTTTACAACTTGTCTACCACTTTTTGCCATTTTTTCTTTATTTTAATTAAAAATGTATGAGTAAAAAATGGAGAAGAAAAAACAAAAAAAAAAAAAATATGGAAAACAATAGAAAAAGTCTGCTCCGCAAAGAAAAAAAAACTTTCTATTCCTCCTAACATAGACGCGTCGAATTTCTTATTTAGTGACTTTCGAAAAGTGAAGTTGCACATAATGAAGTTTTCTTTTTTTTTGTTTTTGTTTTGGTAAGCAAATGAAGGTTTTTATTAATAGTCACACATATGCGGAGAACAGGGACTTCAGGTACATAAGACAAGAGAGGTTTTCGTGAGATTATCTTTTAGGATGATTTTGAAAGGGTTAGAAGAGAATTCCATAAAAAAAAGAAAATTTCCCAATACGTTACCCATACATTTAGTAGTCGGCTTATGCGGAACCGACAAACGGAACTGAACCGAGCACAATGTTAGAAACTGACTCGGGTAGAGAGGAGTAATCGTACATAGAAAGGATACCAGATCCTATATCTAGCTATAATGAGAAGCAGAGCAAAAATGTTCTTAACTAGCCATCTCCATTTCTGAGAGACCCCATGTTCGAGGAGTCGACTTTTTCTATGAAAAAGAGATAAACGCAGTGAGAATTTACCTGTAGAAATATGGGATCTTTTTCATAAATGAGCTACTCGACGCACAGACTAAATAGTAAGCTAATGCATAATGGCTTTAAGATGTTGTAACACTTATCGAATATGATTAACAAAAATCAAAAGGGTTAGGATAGCACCTAAACAATAGAAGCTGTAGGCTCTGAAATAAGTAACTAAAGCACAAACTGTGCTACAAGGGACTTGGAGCGTTATTGTACGTCGTTGGACAAAATGTTGCTACACTCAACGGTATGAACTTGGAAGCATATAACCCTGCAACTTGCTGTATGATCAAGAAAAAGATTTATGTGGTTAAAGATCGACTAATTCTGGAAACACTGGTAATCTGAAGGTAGCTGCTAGGAAACTTTGAGGGAGTGGAAGCCGTAACAATAAACTGAGAAACTCATGAACCAGGTCGCATAGAAATCGAAAGTAATTGAATGTCTTGAATTTCATTGGCAAAATGGATTGAGGGTAGTTCAGGACATATCAAAAATAATAACTGTGGCATTATTTATCGTCTGGACCAGAGAAAAGTGATGAAGCATTTAGACAGCATAGAGCTGGGAGAAACAAGCATAGTCCATAGAAACAAGGGAAATGATACTTAAATTGTTAGCCAAGTTGTTTGTTTAATTGCTAACAAGATCAAGCCACCTTTATCCCTAGGTGGGAATGATTGATTATAAGTCGAATCATAATTGAGGCACCATAACTGCTAAGATAGCTGCCGTAAGATATTGAAAACAATCAGTAAACCAGATTCTACATAGAATTAAAAACGTTTCTAACTGTAACTCTTTCTATAGAGACAATTGCCGCTAAGAATACTGAGGAATCAGAGACCGCACCATTTCGAGCAGTTTATAGCTAAGCATTTAATACGGCAGTTATATCTATGGTATTTATTTGCCGGAGCACTTTGAGGTGTACATTTAGATATTATTCTTATTGGACCTCAATCATAAATATTATAGGGAAATACTAAAGTGCACTTCCTTTTAATTATGCTTTGCACGCAAGTTTAAATAATGTCATACTATAAAGTGGTAGTAACTCGTATCATAAACAAGCATATGAATCACTTTAATTGATAACTCTGTTCAAATGGTTACTAATCATGCAATCAATTCTTCATAGATACAACAAAAATAAACACATGAAACTATCATAGAGTCCTCCTCATTTATTTTTACCTATGCATCTGCTTCATTTTATTCATAAACCATATTGCAAGAGACTCATAGCTTGTTACATACTAAAAGGTTTGATATGAGTATATGTAATTTTTATGGTCTACACAATTGATTGAAATTAGGAGCTAAATTGTAAGGTTAGACATGCTTTTTTTTATGGTGACTAGCGTTTAAGGATTTTCTTTGCTGTTTGATATACGTCTTACAATTTATGACCGTTTGAATCTTTTAAAAACAGGTCCTTCTCTATTCCACCAATCCAACATACAGCCACATTCAATCGATCGTCCAAGTATCAATAAATTCAAACAACGATTTTGTAAAGCCATTTGTGAACTCGCATGGCTTACAGTTTCTAAGAAATACAAATTCCGCCGCCTTTTTCATTTCTACTGATCTGTATGTGGGCAGCTCGTTTTACCATTGGTTCGAGCCAGTATTTTTTTAGTTACACACTATAATCCAATTCGTAAATGTGATGAATAAGCTTTTGATCTCGTCTATCTTTCCTCTGCCAACACAGTTACTTTTGCTTTTTTAGTCTTTTAAAAACAAGCATTTGTACAGAATGTCATTTTTAGATGGAGGAGGAGGAGCTGACTGCGGGCCAGCCAATCCCATGGCAAGCTTGATGAAGCAATTTGGTCAAGACAGATCGATACAACAAGTAATGTCCTTAGAAGATCAAAATCTATATTCATTTAAACTTTTCTTTAAACGAAAAATACCTTCTTCACCTTTCATTTTTATAGGATCGTTTTGGGCCTGAACAAAGAGGTGAAAGCTCTAAGGTTAGATAGGAAATATATCCGTTGGAATAAAAAGCAGTATCCTAAGCTAACTGTCGACTTTCCAATTCATAGGCAGCTTTTCGAACTCGCCAAAGACCTACGCCAAGTGGACAAGTAAGCAATCTTTCCCAACAATCAATAGTTTGAAGATGCAGAGAAGCATTAATTCACATTATTCTTACTTTTACAGCTGACAGATGGATTTTTCAGAGAAGAGACCGCAATGGAAAGACCAAATACCAACGTATTTCAATTTAACGGGTTAAACAGAGAACTTGAAAGATTACAGCAGCCGCAGCTTTCATCAGGACCACCGCCCCCGACAGCCGCAGCGCAGAATTGGGCAAGTGATTTTATGGCACATCAGGGTTTGCCTTTACCTCAGAACGAACAGTTTGGAGAATTTGAAAAGATCTATAATAGCCCTCAGCAAGGTAACGCTGTCATGAAAAATATGGGGTAAAAAATAAATATAACAAAAATATTAAGGTTAAATTAACTCTTTTTGGTAAAAAATAAAAGCTGTTCCCCATCATGCATGGCAAGAAGAGTTTCATTCTTTACAACCACAGCAGCAACAACAACAACAGCATCATCATCAGCAACAATACCGACATCAGCCAGCTTTAAACTTATCGCTTCATGAGCGACAAGCATTTGAAAGAGCCTTTGATGAAGCAAGGCAAAATGCACCTTCTAACTGGGAACAAGAATTTGTCGCCAAAGAACATGATGCTTGGGCTTCTGAATTCGAGCAACTGGAGAAGAATGACACGCAAGTAACAGCCAACAATGATAACGATGCATTAGCCAAGACAGCAGGTATGCTGCTCGATTCAGTGGATGTTGAATCAAACCCTAAATTCAAAAATTCGCAATTTATGAACTTGATGCGTCGACTCAGAGATAGTGAAGTGGCTATTGAAGGAGATAGAATGGTAGAGACGAATAAGTCTGCAGCAGGTGATTGGGCCACTCAATTCAGTGGTCAACAACAGGCAGACAGCAGTACAGCGGGTAATATGTGGTCGACCGAATTTGCGAGTAAATTAGAACGCGGCTGGACCTCTGAATTCCATCAGGAACAAAGGCAGCATCAACACCCTGGTGATTGGGCTTCAGAATTTTCGACACAACAGCTGAGCCATCGACAGCAAGAAGAAATGCAACGGCTTTTTGGAAAAGGCACAGAAACAGAAGACTGGATCGAGCAATACAACAAAAATATCGCTCATCTCAAAGATGCCCAGGATCATGAATGGGATACAATGCAAAAGGACTGGGAGCGTTTTAAACCTGATTTACAAAAAGGTTTAGGCTATCGAGCCTCCAACCCCAATTACGACACCTATCATTTTGCCATCAACAATCCTTATTTGATGAATCCTCAAGCGATCGACTCAGCAGATCATGGAAATTTGGCAGAATCCATTTTGGCCTTAGAAGCGAAAACTCAACTTCAGACATCGGACGCCAATGCCTGGAAATTACTCGGTTTACGTCAGCAAGAAAATGAGAGAGATGATGCTGCTATTGCTGCCTTACGACAAGCTGTGCAAATGAATCCTGGTCAGTTAGATGCTTGGTTGGCTTTAGCCGTCAGTTATACGAACGAGAATTGCCGCGCAGATGCCTATGACGCCTTAGAGCAATGGCTCGCCAACAACCCTAAATACCAACATCTGCTCAATAAGCAAGCGAAAGGACAAACAGCTGCGGAAATCCACTACTACATTACCAACTTATTTTTAGAAGCGGCGCGAAGTTCGCCCGGTGAGGAAATGGATGCGGATGTTCAAGTAGGATTGGGCGTCCTATTCAATGTATCAGAAGAGTACGATAAAGCCATTGATTGCTTCAAAGCAGCTGTGAGAAGTCGACCACAAGACTATCTACTGTGGAACAAATTAGGTGCTACCTTGGCGAACTCGCGCGATACAACAGGTGCCATCGAAGCTTATTTCCAAGCCTTAGAAATCAGTCCTACCTACGTGCGTGCACGATATAACTTGGCAATTAGTTGTGTTAATTTGGGTCAGCAGCGAGAAGCAGCAGAGCATTTGTTGACAGCATTAGCAATGCAGCAAGCCAATAATGTGATACCGCAAGTGCCCGGGGGAAATAATGTTTTGACGGATGACCGCGGTAATACGGTGAAGATTGCTGGTGGTATGAGTGATAACGTATGGAGAAGTCTTCGCATGCTCATGTTAAAGTAAGTTTGAGATGAATCACTGTAATGCATCGAATGGGAAAGGGGAGCAGATGACGGATATATTTGGACTTGCGCTAATTTTTCAATCTATCTATAGTATGAACCGCGATGATTTAGCGAGGGCATGCGACGCCCGTAATCTCAATGCTTTTCGTGCAGACTTTGAATTCACAACATAATTTACCTATCCAAACCATTACTACTGATCAAGGCTATAGAACACCATACCATTTTGTAAAAAAGATATATCCCACTTTTATTTGGAAACCCTCGACACAAGTCGCTTGGTGCGTGTTCCCCGAGAAGGATCTGTTTTAATTCTTATTTATTTACAACCTTTTTTAATTCGATGCGTAACAATTTCCTAACCGCAAAAACGCGACAAAAAATGCGAAAAAAAAAACTATATGTATTTTTATTCTTCCTTCTACAATAAACTATCTAATAGTACCATATCATTTGATTTTGTAAATGGTGTAAATATGGCGATGGTCGGCATTCAATGGTTCGAAGGGGCATAAATAAAAGTTGTACGAAGACCGTGCTTATGATTATGGACCATATGCTTTGATTTAGTGATGTATAATTTTCTTGAGAAAGCTCCAGTTTTTTTAATATTGGCGCTTCTGTTTTGTCTATTGGCTGGGATTTGGCATAGATTCGTCTATTTGTTCATATATATATAGATACGTACAGAAATATTTTGTCTTAAGCGATTGTGGAATAAAAGTATAGACACTCTGTGCCAAAAATTTGAATGATATTTATGACCTTATTCAGAAAGAAGCAGTAAAAGCTCTTCATTGTTTGATACTATTGTTGGTGTAGAGGAATTGGAAAAAGCAAAAATATAGAATATTATTACAAATTAAAAGAAATCGTACAGTATCACTGGTATATGAAAAATTAAAACAGCAAACTATAGATGGACGTCTTATTGCTGATGCGTTTGTTGAGGTATCAGTTTCGTAACTCGGCCTATGCATTTTGATCTGCCTTCCAAAAACAAAATTTGTGATCCAAGCTTTAGGTAGCAAGGCTCATACATGGAGCTAAAACAGCATGTCCCTTTCTTCCCTGTACGTAATATAGCTGCGTTCGTTTCCTTTTTCGTCTGCTGCTGTTTGTCACAGTTCAGATTGGCGACTCCTTCAGTTACTGCTGTTATGCTGTCGGGATCTGCTTCTTTAACAACTGCATCTTGCTCTAGAGCTGTCACTGACATTACTTTTGCGCGCTGTCGAATAGACCCCGAATGAATCATACCGCATGTACCTGCAGATACTCCTGTCGCATGGTACACAACGGTCAGTTCTGCTTCAAACATGCGATAGCAATCTGGCTTTTTGTCATCTTCTGCGGCTAAAAGGACCATACCTCTACTGATCTTCCAAGAAGAAAGTGCTTCGCTCTCGGAACGGTTTTGTAAGGCCAGAGTAGCTGTTTGCCCGCAATGTACGTAATGAGAAGGAACTCTGTGTCGGTGGACGGATATAATATTCACTAACGTAAATTCGCCTTTAGTATTGGGTCCTAGATAATATTTTTTGTCCTTCTCTTTCACGTTGATTCTTCCTTGGCCCAATACCCCGCCAACGACTACACCGACGTCTGGTATTCTATAAACTTCTTCAATCTGAAATTCCGCCGGTTCTTCCAACTGTTCGTCGTAATTCATACGTTTTGGTTTCGGCAAATAATTAAAGAACATCTGTAATAAGTTCATATTGGAGCCGGTTACATTAGACACCAGAAATATAGGCAATTCAGATCCTCCTCCTTGTCGTCCAAGGCATGAGGCATACGTGACCACGTCGTTTTCGTTCTGTACGACAACGGGCACCTTCTTCTTCAGCCACAATGACGACTTTAGCAAATTGAGTAGAAGATGTAAAGTCGATTTGAGTTGATCATGTGTTGCCACGTCACTTTTTGTCATGACGACAAAGACAGGTACGTCCAACATGACGGCAATAGATAAATGTTCTCGTGTCATATCGTCTATGGTGGGTGTTGATTTATTGGCTGCAGAATTAGCAGCTATGACTAAACATGCATAATCAGGAGCATAGCCCATTAAACCCGAAATGGTTGTTCGTAAATATTTCGGATAACCACATGTGTCCAGCAGAGTGATGACTTTATGACTGGCTTCACAAATTTGCTCCCATGTATTAATATGAGTGGTGGCGTAGTTGATCAAGTGCCCTTCAGCGTCATAACCAATAATTTCATGAGAGATAGAGGAACTTCTGCCGGATTCTAACTCATGTCGATGCCGCAGCAGGTTGAGACGAGCACTGCCCCGTCCATTGTCTTTCGTGCCGTGTGTAATATAACTTAACAGAGTTGATTTTCCTGCTCCTAAGCCTCCTACGAGCACTATACGTAGATCCGTCAAACTTTGTCGGTCGGGTTTTCTTTTCACAAGCACTTCAGCTACTGTATATTGCTTCTGTGGATGTTGATATAACTGCTGCTGCTCTTTCCATTGGCATCGGCTCTGGTGGGTATGTGATTCGTTAAACTGTGCATCCAGTTTCATTTCTCGCATAACCGAAATGTCTGCTTTCAATTCTGCTGCCATTTTCTGTAACGTGTCGATGGATGCTTGCATTTCTTCACTACTTAAGCCTGTGTATATTCAAACAATTTTCGCACATACAAGAGTCGCGTTAGAAATATCTATTCCAGCCCTTCATACCAAACAAATACTGCGTCAAACCTTTAATTGTACCGTCGTCATCAACGCCAATCTCATAGAGTGCCTCACCATTCCCCTCGGATAGCCTTCAGGAGAAAGACGGTGATAATAATATGAGTCGTTATGAACGAATTGGTTCGATTATAGGGGAATAAAGCATCAAAAGCTCTATCTCTTTTACCTCCATTTCATCTGGGTTATGAGCTGTTCTAATCGTTCGCCTGACGTGTTGGTTAGCTTTAACTATTTGCCACAAACAAAACAATAAATATCAGTGTTAACCCTGCTATTTTTCTGCGTCTCTACGATGAGAAAAGACCCTTTACTTTATATTCTATATTTCCTTCAGCATCGCTTTCTGGAGGCAAAGCTCCGTTTGAAAAGTATTCTGATAATAAAGAGACTACAGGTTCGTTGCAATCGTCATTTGCCATTGAGAAAAGAAAAAGAATAAAATGTTGAATTGATAAAGAATTTGCCAGTTGTCATTTTCAATTTATGCAGAATATTTGAACGGAGTCTCAACCCTTTTGACAATATGTCGATGGGATCACAACTGTCGATCTATCCTGCAAAACGTCAATGCACTTCCCTTATACGAATGCCGAATGCAGGAGGAAGGTCTTTCAGCTTCTATAAAAACAATAGAAAAAGCGATTATTCCTCCCATAACTTGTCTTTAAATGAATAATTGTTTCTACGGTTTCTAAGCGTTTTCACACTTATTCAGACGTCAGTTTCAGATATCGACGTACTGTCATTAACTATGACAACTTGGGGATTATAGAAAGTATAAAAAAAACCTCCTGTTTAGCATCTATTTTGTTCTATTGATGCGTCATTCTACATAATCTATTCTGATAGCCCCTAGTATTTTTGTTTTGATATAACGACCGATTGTGTTTCTGTAAGTCTCGTTGCTGCAAAGCAGAATTTATTCAGGAAATGATTCAAGATTTTGACAAGAATTGTATTTATGAAAACCTTGTATATTTGCTATGGAGAATATTAAAAGGGTCCTCTAGAGTTAACGGAGTGTCTTGCCAAGGACGACGTAGACTCATTTATAACGAAAAGAATGGCGACTGCTTCACAAGTCCAGAGGCTGGTCTTTGATGAGCATTTCAATAGTTCAATATATATATACAACTAATGGACTACTTGATCATTCTTATGTGATAACTAAATATAGAGACGATGGTAACCTTAAAACCAGCTATCTGTCATACAGTTAATTGTAGGATAGAGAAAGAACGTGACCTTCTCTTAATAACAAAGTGTGAAGCTGAAGTTGTAGTGACGGTAGACCCCTTTGGCGCAGTGTAACATGAAAACTTGCGTTTAATTGTGGTCTTCTCAGTATGAGCACTTATTTGAGCTTTCTTCCTGTATGAGCGTTTTTTTTTTTTTTTTTTTTTTTCAACAACTGACGATCCATGACCGTTGATGCAAAACGATAGGTGATTTCTACACCAGTCCCTCGGCGCAGGTAGATGTTTCTTTGACGTAGCTTGTCAAAATGTACCTGATTTACTCAGAAAAGAAATGATACGTATTTTCCGCCTCTTTCAATTCAAAAAGAATCAAGAGACCAAACAAAGCAGAAGCTTTCGAGTCTATCAGTATTGGGAACTGTGAACCTCTTTTTGCTATGGGCATTTGAAAATGAAGCTCAGACCGCGTCCCTCTTTTTTTTTGTTGATTTTTACGCGGACCTCGTCGCGTCTTCATCTCCCGCCCTCCTTCTGGCGCAAACAAATTGTGCTTTATATTCTCAATCCTTTCAATTCCTTTCGTGCCTTGTGCATTATATACTATTGACTGCAACAATGTACATTAAGCAGGTACGCATTCAAAAGTGAGCGCTCATTACTTCTTCTCGTTATAACTGCTGGCTGAAGTTTCTCGTTCTCTGACAGGTTATAATTAAAGGGTTCAAATCTTATAAAGATCAACAAGTCATTGATCCCTTCAGTCCTAAACACAATGTCATTGGTATAGCGGAACATGAGCACTCTTGTCTGCATTCTGTATAAAATAAGAAACTAACTCTTCATAATGACCTAGTTGGCAGAAACGGCTCTGGTAAAAGTAACTTTTTTGCAGGTAAAAAGCAATAAGGAACCAAGCCCTATTTACTCCCAAAAAGAAGAAGATAACCGTGATATTCATCTCTCTTTTCTTCTTCAGCCATCCGTTTTGTTTTAGGTGATGCTTATCAAAACTTGAGCAAGGAAGAAAGGCAAGCATTACTTCATGTAAGAAGATAATTTATATGTGTAAATGCATACTTTGAAAGAACAAAGGCGATTCATTGTTGGACATGTATGATTTTCTAGGAAGGCGTTGGCGCAGCTACTATTTCAGCTTTTGTGGAAATTATCTTTGATAACTCGGATAATCGATTTCCTGTGAGTAGGAAAAGAATTTTCTGATGTTGAATACATGTGTCACCGCATCGTGTCTATGCTTAACAAGACACTCCTCTTTATTTTTGTTGACGGTAGACTGGAAAAGATGAAGTCGTTTTACGTAGAAGCATTGGTTTGACAATGGATGATTATACATTGGACAGAAAAGCAATCACGTAAAGTGTAGTATGATAATCATCCATAGTAGCAGTAACAAACAAGCGTATTAAAATCATTGAACACCATAGCAAATCAGAAGTAGCAAGTTTGTTAGAAAGTGCAGGCTTTTCAAAAGCCAATCCTTATTATATTGTTCCTCAAGGCAGAATCACTTCACTCACAACAGCAAAAGATGAAGATCGACTCAAGATTTTAAAAGAGATTGCAGGTACAAGAGTGTATGAAGACAAAAGAGCTGAAAGTAACAAGTTAATGCAAGAGACACGTAAGTTTTTGTTTTGTTTTTTTTTTTTCTTCTTTTGTAGAAAGAAAAATGAATGTAAGAAAGAAAGTCCATGTCAGGCTAATGCCTTGATGAACGATGCTATTTCCTTGTAGATTTCAAAAAGACAAAGATTGATGAAGTGTTGTCCTACATTCAGGATCGTTTACAAGAATTAGAAGCCGAAAAGGCCGAACTCTCTGAATTCCAGGAATTAGATAAAGAACGTCGAACGATTGAATATACCATTTATGCTCGCGAACAAGCGAGCGCTAATAGAAGACTCGACGATTTGGAAGAGGAAAGAAGGAGACATATCAACTCGAGCGAAAGTCTACGAGACAGTTATTTAAAGAACGAGGAAACTGTTCAACAACAAAAAACCAAATTACGTGACATCCAGCAGTCTATTCAACTGTACGAATCAGAAAAGAAGGATTTCCAAGACGAGCGTGAGACATTGATGAAGGAACGAGCGCAACTTGAACTTTTGATCAAGGACCTTGAAGACTCTCAGATGTCGGAAGAAGAGTTCAAATCCAAAATGGAGAGCGAAATTCGAGCCATGGATGAACAAATCAACACGCAACAAGCTACACTTGCTCAAATTAAGCCACAATATGATGAGTATGTCCAGCAAGAACAGCAATACAGATTGCAATTACGTATCTTACAAGCGGAACAACATCATATTCATGCTAAGCAGGCCAGAGCTTCTAAATTCACTAGCCAGTCAGAACGTGATACATGGCTCAACCGACAAATTCAGGATATCACACATAACCTGACGATACGTCAAAACCAGCTTCGTCAGTTGGAAGCTGAAAAGCAGCAAATCGAACAAGATGTTGCCAAGAAAACAAAGGAGGCTCAGCAACTGAAGGAGGCTCATCGTCAACAATTTGAAGAACGTGAACGCTTAGCCAATGAAGAATTACAATTAAAACTGCAGCGTGATGAAGCGATGGAAGAAAGAAAACAATTGTGGCGTGAAGAAGCAAAAATGGAGGCTGTTGTACGAAACTGTCGCGATGAAATTCGTAAGGCAGAACGAACATTAGCCAATGCGATGGATAAGAATATCAGTACAGGGTTAGCTGCCATTCATCGCATTGTAAAAGAGCAAGGCTTGACAGGTGTATATGGTCCTATTTTTGAATTACTTCAGGTGGCGCCCGAACTTGAAACAGCGGTTGAAGTCGCGGTTGGCGCCAGTTTATTCCATGTTGTAGTGGACACAGATGAAACAGCGACCCAGTTGCTCGAGATCATGAACCATGAAAAATCGGGGCGAATCACATTTATTCCTCTGAATCGCGTCAAGCCACGTTCTCAACAGCAACGACAGCAGGAGGATTCTTTTGATAGAGAAGATGCGGTTCCATTGATCAGTCAGGTTTCTTTTGACCCTCAATTCCAACTGGCTTTTGAGCAGGTGTTTGGTGGTATCATCTTGTGTCGTACCTTGGAAGTCGCTACTACTTATGCAAAGACGTACCATCTGACGGTGGTTACTGCTGAGGGTAATCGTGTGGATGGTCGTGGTGCCATGTCAGGTGGTTATATAGATACCAAACGTTCTCGTCTGAGCGCCGCCAAAAAATTGAGAACGTGGCAAGCACAACTAGAAGAAGAACTATTACGTGGTAAAGATATCAAACAAAATCTTTTGCAGCTTGACCAAAAGGTCACGCAGATTGTCAGCCAATTGCGTATGTTGGAAGCCAAGAAGAAGAAATTGCAACTCAATCAGGCTGTGGATGACGTACAATTAGCAGAAGCCAAGTTGCGAAAGGAAGAAGATTTATTGAAGAGTAGCTTGCTGCAAAAAACAAGAGCATTGGATAATATTCGTGTACACGGACAATTGTTGGAGAAACAGTTGATCAGTTATCAGAATGAACTTCAGTCAGAATTGATTCAATCTCTCACTTCGGAAGAACAAGAGATTTTGCAAAGAAATACTACAGCGATAGAAGAGATTCGTCAAAAGACAGCAGAAACCAAAAAAATGAAGGATCAGGTAAAAAGAGGCGCCGAACCCAATAGGATTTGTTTACAGGACAGCTATCTGTTGGAGCTCATGTGCTAACCATCATTTTTTTGCTTTGCATCATTGGTTCAGCTTGAAGAACGCATGAATAAACTGAAAGACACTCTAGAGAACCAACTTTTACGTAAAAAGGAAGACTTGCTCAATAAGAAAGATAGAGTTATCACTCGAGGCAGTTTGAACGATTTGAACCGATCCAAGAATGAGCTCAAAGCGATTACAAAAAAACTGGTGCGTTTATCAAAACGAATTGGTGATTTGGATAATGAAACGGATCGATTACAAGAGGAGGATGCCAACATTACATCCGGTCTTGAACAAGCGGTGGTAAGAAAACATCTATAACTCTTTTTTTTTTTTTTTTTTTTTGTATGTTGAGATGGGGGGTGTTTACGGGATTTTTCTTTTGTCATATAGGAAGTACAAATGAAGATTACACAAGCTATCCAACGTGAAGAAAAACGACTGGAAGAGAATTTACTTAAACGATCCTTACTTACACAAAAGAAAGAGGAATGTAATGCAAATATTCGTGATCTTGGTGTTTTACCAGATGAAGCCTTTGAAAAGTACAGTCAAACCTATCGTATTGAAAAGTTATTGAGAAAACTACATCGCGTCAACGAACGACTCAAGAAGTATAATCACGTGAACAAAAAGGCATTTGAACAGTATGGTAGATTTACAAAGCAGCAAGAGCAACTCAATAAACGTAAAGAGGAGCTTGATACATCAGAAGATAAGATTCGTGGTTTGATTGACAATTTGGATCGACGTAAGAATGAAGCCATTAAACGTACGTTCCATGACCTGAGCATCAAGTTTGCAGAAATTTTTGAACAGTTGGTACCTGACGGAAAGGGTGAATTAGTGATGAAGTCAGATGTAAGTCTTGTCATGTTTTTTGCGTCATCATTGTCATTGATATAACGTATATTTATTTTATTTATTTTTTTCCCTAGTCAACAACAATACAAAGTATGGATTTAGATAATAGTAGTAGTAGTAGTCAGAGCATTCATAGCAATTCTGCTGCGGAAAGATACAGCGGTATCTCAATCAAGGTGACGATTAAAAAGAGAAAGTTTAGGTTCCTGAATGAATAAAGATTGATCTGAGCTAACACCTTTGCTGGTTTTTTTTTATAGGTATCGTTTAATAGCAAATCAGATGAAGGCCTAATCATGCAGCAACTTTCTGGCGGTCAAAAGTCACTTGTGGCTTTAGCTTTAATCTTTGCTATTCAAAAGTGTGATCCTGCACCGTTCTATTTATTTGATGAAATTGATGCCAATTTGGATGCTCAATATAGAACAGCTGTAGCAGGTAAGCGTCAATATGAGTCAACATCAAAGGGGGCAAAATGGCATCCGTCTCATTCCTTTTTTTTTTTTTTTTCTGAAAAATAAAATAAAAAAATAGATATGATACATAAAATGTCAAATGATGCACAGTTTATTACAACTACATTTAGACCAGAATTAATACAGAATGCAGACAAATTTTATGGCGTTACTTTTCATGCCAAGGTCTCACGTTTCCACGATATTGAAAAAGAAAATGCCATGGCTTTTATTGAACATGAACAGCTTCACTAAATGGTTAATAAAAAAAGTCCATCTCCTTTATAATAATAAATAATTTATTTCTTCATTTTTTGTGGTTTTTTTTTTTCCATAAGTTCCGTATTGCATGTCACTTTGAATAAAGAAAGGGGAGGGTATATAATATTCATTAAAGAATGCGTATATGAACGATATTGCAAGATTGTATATTACAGTGTATAGATTTGAATAATGATAGTGTGCGACAATGGTTAGTTTTTATTTTATACAGATGTTGAGGTATTGGTGATGATGATTATGCTGACAGATTCAGATAAAGATGATTGTTTGTTGTTGTTGTTGTTGTTGTTGATGTTGTTGTGTGTGTGTAATGCAGATCTTCAATATGTTTTTCGTCAGATAATGACGGTGTCACGTAATGAAAGGGGAGCGTTATCAGTAATAAATTATTGTTGCCGTGTAGAGTAACAGAAGGTGGCAAAAAAGAAGAAGGGGAAGAAGAAGTAAATGGCTGATCTTGTTCGTCGCTTCCTAGCATGGGCGATGTTATCCTAGTAGCAGCGGTCGTATGATTTGTAGTCGTTGTGGTAGTAGAGTTAGCAGTAGTAGCAGGAGTAGTAGTCGTAGTGATGATGGTAGTATCCGTCGTAGCAGTGTCTTCCATAAGTATATCTTCATCGTTTCCGTCATTGTCATAGTACACTTCCTCATCTTCTTCTTCACTTGCTAGTTCGTTGAAGCATGCATCAAGCCATGTCTGTTCTTCTTGCACGATTTGATTTGTCATTAGAAGATTGGATGAGGATAAGAGCAGATTTCTCACCAGAAGCTGCCGTCGAAGCGTAGGTTCTCCTCTTCTACTATTGTAAGGCTGATTTTGCTGACTTAATTTATCCACTGAGATTTCAGCTAGATGATACAAGAATTCTTCGTTATTGTAATAGTCTTGTTGTTCGTTCATAGTAGTAGTTGTGTTTTTTGTATTCAGCATGTGCATGGACATTATTTGTATTTTTCTACTGCTGCGGTAAGGAAAGGGGCAGGAGTAGCAGGGAAAAAAAAAAAAGAAGAAAGAGATGCAAGTCCTAAAGATAAAAAAATCGCTTAGGTATTTATATAGAAGCACAACTTTGTCAAAAAGAGAATTCAGGAGACATTTTTAAATTCATGCAATTCCCTTATATGTCACCTTTTTTTCTATCAGCAGGCATTTTCTGACCAATGATTTGACTTATGCCCACATCATATTGTGTGTTGTTTATGAAATAAGCTGACTCCCTGATAATTCATTGGAATTCTTTGAGCGGTTTTATTTTAATTGTTAAAGAAGTGTTTATCTCTACACTATGATTCGCCATTTCATTTTACGTTGATTGGTCCCACTTTTTTTATTTTATTTTATTTTTTGCCCCCTTATTTCACATTTTTTTCCCATTTGAAATCATTGGACATAGTAATGTACGTGTCGCAGTAGAAGTATAATAAATAAATGAGTAGATAGATCAGCGGGTCTAGATTATGGATCGTTTGCCACCACAGTTGTGATTCTCAATTACGTTATTTTCTATAGAAATGGGCAAAAACAACTTTCAATAGAACAAAAAATAAAAAAATGTGACAGGTTGACGAAATAAACAAGACAAATGACCTCTACTAAGAAAGTGTTCCGATGATTAGTTCATGTAGCAAGTGGAAGTTATCGTTGGTAAGAGGGATAATGGGTATGACTCACGTGTTCGTTTGAGAAAAATAGACCCTTTTTCCAACAAGTAAGATAAGAGAAATACGGCTCATTCTTATATCATTATCCCTGTACACGCGATAGAAAACAGAATCCCCTTTCTATCGAGAAGAGAACCGGACTGGGATAGCATTACATTGATTTCTTAAAATAGTCGAGTTTTTTTTTTCTTTGGATTCCCAGATCAACAATAACGTCAAAAAACGATGTGGATGAATAAGGTGAAATAGGCCAAAAGCCACTCCCACTCAACCTTAGATAGAGTTAATTAAAGCGCGTGTAATGTTCACACACCCACACAGATCCACACACTCACATATTATTCTCAACTCTCTCTCTCTCTCTCTCTAACTATAACACACGCGCAGTCATCCTTGAAAATTCATTGATTGCACCCCTCTCAAAGAAACATGCTGCACGAATAGCAAAGAGTGAATGATGAGATGGAGTCTCCGACCTTTGTGCAACAACATCTGACAATATCAGATTTTGACTTTTTTACTATCAGTGAAAACTAAAGAGATACGGATTGTCCAGCATGGAGATAGGAGTCAATGACATGTGTATTTATAAAGTCAACCATTTCCACGACAGCTCTATGATCTTTCTAAGGGGAGGGGGAGGGGTTTCTTACGAGTGTTGTTGACAGGTAATGGTAACAATCAACCTGCTTGCTGTTATCACTTTCTGCCGTTAATCTCCTTCATCACATATTCATTCCATGCATATTTAATTTTGCTACCAATGTCCACGTTGACTAAAGAACGAGCTGCATTTGAAATCTGGGTATTCCAAGAGTTTTTCACTATAATTAGGTTATTTGAAAAAAAGTGAATAACTCTCCCCACCAAGTCATCATCAATGGGTAGATATCAAGCCTATCAAACAATCCTACCTGAGGGCACTAAACGATCTGACATGTATTTCTGTGTATTCCTATAATATTCTCTTGTCTTTTCTTGTTGTGCGCGCTCATCTGCCACAACGGCTTTCTCAAGTGTTGATTTCGCTTCTTCAAGACGATGCTTCATCTCAGATTGCTGTTGTGTTATATTTTGATCCATTTTGTAGATAATAGCAGCAGAAATGCCGATACCTGCTGTTAGCTTCCAGATGAGTCGCACCATACTGTATGTTAAGAAATTATCTTGTCTGTTTTTTATCAAAAGAAAGGGCTCAAAGAGAAGTAGTAAACAGAAATTTGCAAGCGAGGCTAGGGTGAGCGGCGATTAAATTTACTCCACACTTTTTCTTGGAGGGGCAAATTTGATCTCATTTTGAAGAAAAGCTTCTTGTCGTTATTGTATTCCATTTCACTTGAGAGTGAAGGGGAAGAGGCTATGTTTAAACAGGAGCTTTTCCTGGATGCACAATTCAAAAACAGCTTATTGCCTTTTCTGTCAGTTTAGATTGAAAAAAAAGACTTATGTCAGAAAAGATAAAGGATGCCTTTTCATGTCTGCCCACTTTAGTTGAGAAATCTTTTTCAGCCGTTTTGTTGAACAACCTAACAAGTAAGGTTGGCGGAACCTCTTGTCAAATGTACCGAAGTAGAAAGGGCCATTGAACAGGGTCCTAACCAATTTCGCAACCTATAACAACAATATGGTTGTAACTCCATGTTGCTGCTATAACAGCACTCCTTTCAAAAGAATTAGCTTCTTTGCTGAGGCAAAATTCTTATTTACTCTACAACTGTTACTCAAATTCACAACAATAACTGGTAGCGACTTCATCTCAGAATGTCTGGACAGTGAACGGTTTCACTCGTCACGAAATGGGCTTGGAAATCAATGGAAAATATTAGGAGCGCAGCTGTCCCGTCAACTCAAACGGGTTAGAATCTGGAAATTAAGCTGTAAAACTTTACAATTGGAAGGCAAGAGGGAGCTTATATTCAAGTTAGAAGAAATCGAGCCCAAACTTTGACAAAGAAAAAAAAAATAAAAATAAAGTACAGTGGTGATTATTATAGTATAGACAAAAGGTAAAACATGGGTTCCTCATACTAATTTCTCTTCTAACCATCATGCATTTAATTTGAAGAACCCTCACGCGATTGTTTGGCCTGTTGGAAAATGATGACGATAATAGCATTATACATGAAGATTTCTTTACCAAATGACACCGTAATCAATTTTAGTGGCCAGATTGTAGATCTAAATAGTGTTTATCTTTGCAAGACAAAGCATTCCGTAAGCCCTATAGACAAAAAGAAAGTTTCCTCTCTTGCTTGATTGTATTTTGCAAGATATTAAACTTTCTATGCTACAACCTTTATGCCGTGTAATATCGTTCTGAGAATAGAGTTGAGAAAGAAAGGATAGAAGCATGACCGCATTGTGCATATGCTCATTTATACTATATTTTTGTTCGTTCGTAGCAGACGGTCTATTTCTTCAAAACAACAAAATGGCTTTCTTTCTTTCGACTGAAGAGGTAAGGAAAGCTTCGCTGTAACATGGTGTGTTTGAACCTCATGCATTTAAACCTCATACATTTGTAACAATGACGCGCAGAGAGAGCCTTCTTCTACGCATACTGTTTACATTGGATAGTACTGAAAGTAAATTCTGAATAGAAGCTTTTAATAGTACAGATTCATTAACATAATGTAATATTGCGCTGTTGTCTTTCATTCATGTTTCATGATCACTATCTCTAGACTGAGAAAGTAATCTCGTTTCTTATCCTCCTATCCGCATTACAAAGGAGCCACCGTTGCTTATGTACTCCAAAACATGCTCCAAAAGACCGTAGTTGATATTCCACTTAATGGAATACGTGTTACCCATGGCTAAAATTGTTCAAGCAAATCCAACAAGAAGATTAAACTACTCTCATTGTGTCTTCCCTAATAGCAATACTCAACATTTATAATTCTATACATGAGAGAGCAAAAGCTCGTTAAAAAAAGCTAAATGAGTGTGCGTAGGCACTCATTTGGTGCAGTCACTTTGATATCCCTGGTTTATTCTCAAATAGGATGAATACATTCGTGAGACTGTAAGATGCAAAACCAAAATACTTGCACATACACGCGTGAGCAACCATAGACCTATAAATCCGCATTGGCATACGGCTGTTCTTTGTGCCTATTTACAATTTTCCGCAAATCTCTGTTAAAAATGGTTGTAGTTTAGGTTTCATAATTGTACCTGAAAAATAGGAACTCAATCAGTCACTGAAACACAGTCTACAAAAAAAAAAAAAAAAAAAAAAAGAAAAAGAAAGCTTGCATTATAAAGAAGGCTTAGCTAGTTGCTGCGAACGCAAAAAATACCGCGAAAGGAAGATTAAGATGAGTTGAAAGCCTATCACTGCGAGAAACTTCATGAGAAATATGCCTTCATCAACAGTCTGCCGCGTAACCATACCTGTTCTGTCACGTAATGAAATGTTCAATAGATCGTTGGACCTTGAGACTTCCTTCCTGCCTCCATTTTTCTAGTCGGCAAAAACGGATGTTCTTATCAGATTAAAACACAGATTCTAATCTCGAACGCGTTTGTTATCCCGCGACAACCTTTATCTACTGTTCTCACCCCACTCCCTCGCAGTTTTGGACTTCTGTTTGAAAAGCAACCGTTGAGGCAATATAGTCCAAATGAGGACCCAGGTACTTTGGTTCATCATCGTTACTGTTATCAGTGCCTATTGTCGCTAGTATAGTATGACCTATGAATAGCATTCTCTAAGATGGTAATGGCTGGTGGAAGGGATTTGACAATCTACTCTCAGGCTCTAGACCTTCAATTCAAGGCCCCTTTCCTTTATTTACTCTCCATCTGCCGATCGTTTGCGTCCGTATATAGAAGAGACTAAAACATAACTCAAGCTCCGCATTTCCTTCAACTCAAACTTGACTTTAGCCATGTTAACACCATCACCTATTGAGAATTACATTTTCAATACAAAAAACACGTATTGACAGAGTGCCTGGGCAGTTGAACGCATTGTTCTACGTTTTAGAAGGCTCAAATATTCTAGGTTTTCACGTCTAATAGAAAAACGAAAGTCCGCGTCGCCTTCTAAAATCCATAGTTTTAAAGTAATACTGCAGTGATATCTCTTTCCTCGCAGAAAAAAAGAAAAAGAAAAAGAGATCTGCTCATAAATGCCGACAGGTATCTGTAAGACATTAAAAAGCAGAAAAAAATAAAACTCTGACACAGAAACAGCAGTAGAAGCTGCAATTGATTTGTGTGGCGCGTCTTCTGTCTTCTTTTATATATTACACCCAATCAGCGCGTTCAAAACTTTTTGCGAATTTTCAGACTTTTGACATACCGTGCAAGATTTTCAATAATCATGCCCGAAAAACGAAACAAAGATTCCCGCAATATCGCTCAAGAAGCTACGACAACTTGTTGACCAGCATTCAGAGCCACCATAACCGGTCTCCATATTCATCTTGTTCAGAATTGCTTTGGCAGTTTGAAGCAGAGAAAGGAGCTTGAAGAGTACTGCATTGCAAAGTATAATACTTTAAACCTAGAAACCACACGTCTTGGCTACGGCCGTATGTGTATATTTTCCTCTTTACTTTCTGAACATCAAGCAAATGCTGTTCTTTTGTTAAATGTATGTTAAAATGAGGAAAGCCTCCAGAAAGAGACAGTTTCCAATTTTAAGAAGAGTTATCACATAGTTTTAAATTGTTGACGTCTATGGATACTTGAGAGCTATACTATTTTTTGATTTGGTCATTACAAAAATTTCATGTTCATAGTGGCAATTATAAAGACATTAATTTTGTGGTAGAAGGGAAATGCAACTACGCCGAATAGTCTACTGACAGGCGTAATGACAGGTGGGGATGAAGAGGCTACAAAAATCAATGACAAATCTTGAAAACGGTAGCATGTAGTAGCGTGTGAAGGCGTTTCTGCTATGCCTGAAGCATAATAATAGGGGCAACTTCTTTCATGGTAAAGAAATTGTTATGTATATTTTTGTCATATTGCAATCGTCATGCTTGACATTTGCTGAAATACGTATTGAATCAAAGTAGATATCATGGCATCCGGACGAATGTCAGGGGTCAGTGTACCTTCCTGATTTGGTCACCGTTATACTATCAACGACTGTCTTAGGTACAAATCACATTAGCTGAAACAGACATCTTAAAAAAGTACTAGTGTTTTCAAATGTGCATACAATGTAATCACGCTACGGAGGATAACCCCAGATCCGAAGAGTATGCTAAAGTATTGTTGAGCCGAATTTGAGAAAGACTTGACTCTAAAGGATTGACATCAAAAGAGATTTATCCAAAGAGTCGACTGCCTCCTCCTAAATTACATCTCTACAACGGCATTCAGACAGTTATGAACAAGCAGACTGATACTTATGAACCTGCAATGCTCAAGAATAAGGATAGGATCTTTGAAGGGAAACATTAGAGAATTGTATACAAGCAGTCGCTTTTATTGTTGCGGGAAGTTTCAGTGGAATAAATCCACATGAATTTCTACAAATATCTTTGTTCTGGTTAGTAACCCTCCGCGCCCACTCAACCCCCTCCCTCCCTACAGAAGATAAGGTCCGTTGTCTTAATTGCTTACAGAAATAGAACAACCCAAAATTTCCTTTTTTTATACATGATAACTCTCGGAACGCTATTGGCATAGAGCGGCATCGTATGTATATCTGCAGAATAGCTATAGCCATTGGCCAAATAACAAGAATGAAGCTCTTTTGCTACTAACAAGACCATAAAAAGTCACTAAAAGAACTATTATCATGTATTAGGACGCTGTTACATCTTGTATAGGTAGATGCAATATAAAATTCTACTATTTCCCATGTAAGACATTCATTGAAAGCTACGCCTAACCAGGGTGCTCAAATGCTCCATCGTAAGATTTGAGCTTTTTACTCTTACCTTTCCTTTTTCTGACGGGCAAAAAAGTAAAAAAAAAGCAGAAAAAAATAAAGGTCTCATTTTGGGAAAAATTAAATTGCCTACTAAAATAGAATCTGAAACTTCAAAAAAAAAAGAGTAAAAAAAAGATGATCGCGTACAAAAAAAAAAAAAAGCCAAAAAAAAAGGGACTTGAAATTTTATCACACCTGTCGTTGAATGTTAACTGACTTTTGAACCATTTCAAGAGGGGGGGAACTGGGTCCCTCTCTTAGAAGATTACAACATTTATAGAGGCGCGGAACACGGTCAATAAAAGCGGATCGTCATAAAAATACCCATTTGTTCAAATGAATATAAAAAGGACCGTCTTTGGATGCAACAGCTCTCTTTTTTTTGGTCTTCAAAACCTCAACCTCTACATTCTAAGCCTATTCATCTAAACGCAGGTCGTTCTTATCAAAATCATATTCAACATGCAAGCTCAATTCCTCGCTACTCTCTTTGCCACCATCGCTGTTCTCGCTGCTTTCGTCGCCGCTGCCCCTGCTACTGAAAAGAGACACAAGTCTTACAAGGGCACTGCTACTTGGTTCAAGCCCAAGCATGAAGGTGGTAGCCATGCCGCTTGTGGTGGTAAGCACATCGATAATCACTCTCGTATCGTTGCTCTTAACGCTAAGCAATACGGTGATGAAGATGAAGAATCTGAATGGTGTGGTAAGGAAATCAAGATCCATGGTAAGCATGGTTCCGTCACAGCCACTATTTTGGATGTCTGCCCTGAATGTGACAAGGGTGATCTCGACTTGACTCCTGTCCTCTTCAAGGAAGTCGTTGGCGACATGGACATTGGTGAAGGTGATATTGAATGGGAACTTATCTAAGTAGAACCATTCGTCATGATGAGTTGATCTCATTCTTTTTTTGCTTTCAGTCATCTGTGATGACGAACACAACGATTCAAATTACTGACACAGGTTGTCATTCTCATCTATAATGCTCGAGGTAGACATCAAAGTTCATGATACTACCATTAACTTATTAAATACAATTTGCAGTTCCGCTGAACCTCATCTATCATTCACAAATAAAATAATTTTTCACTCAAAATACTCATGCATTGACTAGGTGTTGTAATTTCAATTATTGTCAACAATGTCTCAAGTTTTTTTTTTTTCTTTGGTTTTTTGTGTTTGTACGTTCGGGTCACTTTGAACAAAACAAGAGAATGCTGTTGTTAAGTCATCCAACACTACAATCATTGACTGAGCGTTCTGCTGGTGCAACGTCGGAAGCGGATCATCCCATCCGGTTCCACAAGATCGAGTACCAAAATAAACATTTGCAACTGAGTAGTCAATGCTTTAGTGCAACATTATCTGTATCACGTTTATGTAACAATAAAAGTATCATCTTTCCCAGACATTGTCCTACCTTTCTTCCACTCTAACAGTCTATGATGTAAAGCGCGCGGGGTTAGTACCGCAACAACAGTCTTTCCTACATAAAGCTCCCCACCCCCATGGCCTATCTCTTTATATTCTAACTGCTGTGTCTATTAGTTACAAAGCAAAAACTCAAAAGATGACCCATCAACACATTTTGTAAGGATACCATTGCGGCTACAAAATCTGTTCAAGGTGTTTTTACCACAGAGAGCATCGCTTTCATGATAATGTTTGATGTCAATGTCGGTCGAGAGCCGCTAGCTGAAATATAACTCTCCTTTCAAATTGACGATTAATAATTGAGTTCTTTCTCATTTACAAGGGTGGGTCAACATCTACACTAAATTAGAATATGCCAATTTTTTTTTTCTTTTTTTATTCCTTCTCTATTATGAGAATAACGAACATTATGCTTTGGTGGCTTCCTGCATGAGTGTTTGCAATAATAGCGATCTTTCTCTAGCCGACATATCAAACAGAGACCGATTCAAAATAGTGTCTGCTATGTTATTATTAATGTCATTGTTCGTTGTATTTACAGCCGTTGCCAATGTTGATAAATTACTCTCCGCTGGCTCAGGATCGGTGAGATTAATCCCAATAATGTAATGGTGTCCACGTCGCTTATGGGTGGCAGCTGAAGCGTCATCACCACCTGTACTATTAGGGTCAGTGCTTGTAGGGTTGGCGGTAGGGGCAGTGACGGACGGTGAAGCCTCCCAATACATCGTAAAATCGATATCCCCTGTATTGTAGAGATTGAATAACTGTGGATAAAGGTCTTGAGGGACGTAAGGGTATTGACTCTCAAGGTTATTTTGTCGCCATTGCATGCGTGCATTCAAAGAAAATGACTTGAGAGTGGGCGAGTCGAACGCTATCTGACCATCGTCTCTCTATTCAAGGGGGATAAATTCGTCATTAGAGCGAGTAAAGACGAGCGTAGTACTGTTTTTTAAAATAAAAGTAACTTACAAAGGATAAATTGTCAACATGAAAGCCTATAGGTGCTGGCTTCTCTATCACTGATTTTCTGTCGAGCAATTCACCAGAATGAAACAGGCGAAGGCCATTCGCCGTCCACGCTTCAGGGCTGCTATCACCAACCTTCTCCGAGATCTCATCCTCCTTCGTTTGTGATGTTTTCTTGGTGATCTTGTAGTAAGCATAAGTTGTTTGTCTTGCTGGGATGGTGGTTTTCGCTTCGACATCTTCCTTTGACGTCAAATCAACACTGAGTGGCGAGATGCTCCAGACAGGGCTGTTGACGGTTAGCTGCACTAATCCAAAGTTGGTCAGGGTTTGCAAGTTCTCAATCTCCACGCCCAGAATATACCCACGCTCATCCTTTTTCTCTTTCTGGTCATCGTCGGCAGCGGATAATGTGGGAACAGTAGTAGTAAAGGTGTTGCTGGGACGTGTAAATGCATTAATTTTTAAAGAAGGAATGACTTGAAGAGGTAATGTATAATGAAGTGTACGATGGGCAATCATATTCTTCTTGTTGTTGTCTTCATGATCGTCCGGTTGGTAAGAAAAGAGTAGTTTGATGCTATGCTTACCAATACGATCACCGCGTATCCAAAGAGGGATCAAGGTAGTTTCCCCTGGCATGACAACGCCATGTCCATTTCCAGCCTTGTTCGCTGGTAAAGGAATAGTGATGACGCTAGGATCAAACAGTTGATTCTCGACCGTTAAACTAGTAGATGTACTACCTGTAGCCGTACGATCGGCTAGATGAGATAGGGGGAAGGAAGAAAAATCTTTGGGTAAACAAACGCAAGAGCTTCCTTTTTTTCTTTTAGAGCAATCTTCTTTACCATAAATATCTTTGTCCATGTCTTCTAAATTTCCAATGCAGATGAAGCTAGGATGACTTGTTTTGACTCTAAGCGCTGTCAATCCTTTATTTCCTTTATTATATACTTCTAATACTGTTTGAATGACTTCACCAGACAAAATAGCCCCCGGTACCTGATGACAAGTGAGTTCAAGCAGAGGCATGGGCGAAGTGACCAAGATATCCATCGAACGATCTTGTGAATAGACCACTGACATTCTTTCTTCTTTTGTGCGGTTCAGTCGTTTGCCTCTCTTATGGAAGTACTTGAACGTGTGAACAAGCTCGTTGAGAGTGTAATGTAACCCTTGAATCTGAACACTACCCTCATGACGAGGAATGATAGTCAAACTGATCTACAGTCAAGAGAACAGGAGAATAGGAGAAGAGGATGAGAGATGGTTCTCGACGAGAGTCAATTAAAATTCAAGTCAAATAAGAATACTCACTGTTGCCTTTTCCAGCGGCTCCAACGTCAATGACTGTATTGTTTGTAAATCGTAGTTTTCATATTCAAGCATATCGGCATCGTTTTCCTTTGGTTTGCCTTCAGGCATGATAGTATGATCTATTTTTTCTTCTCTATCTCCATTTTCATTGTTCGTGGCATCAGGCTTCTTATACTGACAGCCAAGTATCAGATCAGATAATTGAAGAGCCACAAGTAAAGGGTTGTACAATTGTATATGAACGATGGTAGGTTCTATGGTTCATTCGATGAAAGGATTAGGTCGACCTCTGCCATTTTTTTTTTTTTTTTCTTTTTCCCATTTCATACCTCCAACTGCGCAAACGATGCGTTGATCATCTTGTTGTTGTACAGCCATACGCTTTTTTGAACTAGAAATGAATCCATTGGCAATACTGTTTTCCAACAAGGCCAATTCCATTTGGGCCCATAAATCTTGATCATCCGATAAATTTGTTGCGTGGTGATCCATAGGTGTGCCTGCAGTGTCTGCTGCTGCTGCTGCTGCAACTTCTTGTTGCTGTTGTTGTTTATTGGACAAAGTGACTTTAATGCCTTTTTGAACGTCTATCACGGGCAGCTGCAACACATCGGCGGACAACAAGCATACTTTGGAAGGGTCTTCCACAACACCTTGCGAAGCAGCATATTGTTTATAAATGTACAAAAACTCACGAATATGCGCCATTTGTTGTTGTACACTCTGTGATTGTTGTTGTTGTTGTTGTTGTTGTTGTTCAGTGTTGTTCGCCGTCTTTTGATGCTGATACATCCTGCTGTTGTTATTGTCCGATAAGACGTGAGCAAAATGATGTACGGCTTCTTCCAACTTTCCTAAATGGAAAGCTTGTCGACCGAGTGCAAATTGTATATGGGATTGTGCGACTGACCATCCTTTATTCTTCAAGCTGTGTTGATATTTATACTCATCGTCCTCTCGGCTGTCTTTTGATAAGGCATCCGCGTTGTTAGCAGCAGCACTCCTTGCTGCTCCTGCTGCTGCTGCTGCTGGAAAAACAAAAGAAGCCAGTTGGTAACATCGATAGGCATGAACACGTTGCAAAGCTTTCCCATAACGATGGCCTGCCATGACCAAGTGAAAAGCGTATTTACGCACCATAGCGCCTCCTCTTCCTTCGTTGGGTTGGCCACTACTGTTTTGATAATTTCGCAAGCCTCTGTGCCTGCTCTGAGTGGCATTGGCGGAGGGCAACAGCCTACTGCTTTTCCTTTTTCTCTTCAAGAAGGCATGGGCAGCCAGCTCCAAAAATAATCCTGATCGTACGTCCCAATCCTCTCCCGTCATGCGCACCAGAGCAGTGGGAATCTCTTTCCAGAAACCACAGGCTTTCAGCAACTCGTAATACATAATGGTGGTACGTGTAGCGTAGTACGGTAATCGGCATCGTGTCAGGTACTGTTGAATCGCAAGTTCCATGTGACGATCGATCGAAGCTATATCCACTGTGCTCTTACTCAGGTTGTTGTTGCTGCTGCTGCTGTTGTTGTTGTTGTCGCTGTTGCTGCTATATGGATGTGTACCCGTGTTTGTACCAGGGTGGCTGTTCAGACTGCTGCTGAGGCCGTCCTGACGGGTGGCGGTCAGAAAGAGCTGGCAAAAGGCCATCATTTCCAAGGTTCCGGCGTGGTAAGCATACGCTTTCTCTGTGGCAAAATCCCTGCGCACGGTGTCATAAATGGTATAAGCGAATTTATAATCACGCAACATGAAGGCGTAATCGGCTAATTTACGAAGTTGAGCCTCTGGGGTGTTGTGAGGGTAGACCATGAGCTGGTGCACGCCGTGAGGCACGTTGGAGTTATTTTGATGGTTGACGGGGAGAAATTGTACAGAAGGTGGAGGGTGAGAGGAAAACGATCGACTGTTGCCTCCAAACAGACGTCGACTGGCGCCAAAAAGGCGGCCGGTCAGTCCACGGCGTGGTGCAGCGATTTGTTCATTCCAATGTTGGATATTGCGTTCCATAAACGGAAGCAGGCTCTGCGTGACAAAGGCGCGCATCATGGATTTGAGGTTTTGAATGTCATCGAACGTCATCAAGCAGCCGTATTGGATAGAGGAGGGTTGTCTGTCCTGAGAGGCGTCTTCTTGTGGGACAGACTCAGTGGGGTTATTTTCATTTCGCTGAGTGTCCACTTCCATATCGACAGGTACTGACTGGATGGATGTGCCTTGTATAATGGTGGTGGACGTGGGAAGTGTTTGTTGACTGTTGGACGAGAGAATAGAATTCGCGCGTGAGTGACTGGGGGAAGAAGAAGGTGACATGGAAGTGGGTGAAGTGATACTGATAGGGGAAGAGATTCTATCCGGTGGTGGTGGTGGTGGTGGGTGTTGGACGGTAGGCATGACTGAACTCGTATTCATGTTGCTCAAGGACAAAGACGATAGGGAAGAAGTGTCTGTTGAGTTGTTATCTTCAGTAAATGATTGCAGGTCAGACTCTAACCTGTAAGTGTCTGTGATTGTGTCGTGCCAAATCGCTCGAATCGCTTCTTCGGCTAGATATTCTTCTTCTTCTTCTTCTTCACCCTGCCTTCTTGGTTTAGAATTGATGCGGAGTAGATAGCAATGTAATCCTACTGTTTTTTTCAACTTTTCAAATAAATCGTTGGCTCTAGGATGATGTGTAGGAAAAAAAAAAAAAAAAAAAAAAAATTACACAGTAAAGGGATCAATAGGTTGTCTCTATGTGTGTTTCTTTTTCTCTCAATAAAAAGAATTGGAAAGGGCAAACCAGCCGCTGTTCTTACTGTTCATCTGAGGTTGTAGTTGGATCATGAAGCACAACATAATATCGCAACACATTAGGATGGATGTAAGGTCGGTCAACAGTAAAAGAAGGTATGTTTGGATTGTATAGTTGCATGATCGTCTGGAGAGGGTCGGGATTAGCCGAGGAAATGACCACCATGGTGGCGACAGGATGATCAAAGGTCTCATATTCCGTAATGCCTCGTAATGATAAAAGGGTTTTCTTAAAGTCGATATACCAAGGCATGAACTGATCAAGAGGTGCTATTCATTTGTTTATTTATTTATTTTTCTTATTCATCCACATCCCTCTTTCAATAAAAGTGTTCTAGAAATAGGCAACTTACTGTTCAAGTAGTCGTCTGTCACATCTTGTTTGGTTCTAATCATGGAGTTTTCTTGTGGTTGAACATTAGGATATCGTTTCATTTTATCTTCCATCATTTTCATTACACTCTGATGATTGGGTTCGTCAAGTCGGTGAATAGGTTTCAATCGAAGCATAAACTGATCGATAGGGATAGGTACACCTTGCCAATCGCGTGGCGTTACTTTCATAAGCGTATAGAGAAATAAGAGAAGCGTCAATAAATTGTCCTCTGGCAAGGGTAAAAGTGTATAAAAGAAAGTACCTCGCCCTTCTACAGGCGCACCAAAAGGCTTGAGTAAGTCAGTCACTGAAGGTATATGATTCAATCGGCATAATGCTTCGGCATCGTCACTAGCAGTAACTGCTATGACAGGAGATAATGTTTGAGCAATAAAGTCAAGGGAATACATTGTTGATGCTGGAGGAGGCTTCAAAGGTAATGGTTTCTCCATGTATTATTAAGGGATAGGATGAATGGTATACGCAATTGAAAACTGTCAAGATGGGGGGTGGAAATGGAGAAAGAAATGAGGACCAGACAACAGATCTTTTTGGTTTGTTTGGCCTTCATGCCAGAATACGATAGCGTCTGTATTTTAATAAAATTGAATGGGCGACTTTTTTATTTTATTTCTTTATAGTCTATCTGCTTGCTGGATAGATAGTTGTACGCAGCCGTTGAACAGTTACCATCCACCCCGTCCATTGGCTTCTTTTTTCAGAAACAACAAAAGAATGGCCTATTCGACGAACTCGGGTCTTTTTTGCCTCCAACCCCTCCTCACACAACTCGAAAAAAGCAGCCACTCCTGTATGCATAAGGATCCATCACGATATTTGAACTTGTATTAAAAAATTTCTTTTTTTATTATGTTCATTTTTAGCAAAACTACAAAAAACATAGCCAAGATTGGAAAATGATTGTAAAAAGGGGTGTATGTATAATATAATGTATGTCATGTCGAGAAACTGGATAAAAAAAGATATACTTTTACTTATATCATATATATATATATATGTATATAGTGTTGAAAAAGAATGTGTTTGTAAGAAAAGAAAAGAAAAAAAAAAAAAAAAAAAAAGATCAATCATGTCATAAAATATTCCAAAAGAAAGAAGAACGAGGGAGGGCTTATAATTCCATATGTACACCCATATCCATAATTGCTGTTGTAGTGGTGGTGGAAGTGGCATTGGGATCATCTGTTGTATTAGCACTTGTAGCAGTCGCCGCGGCAAAAGCAGCGGCAGCAGCAGCAGCAGCAGCAGCGGCGGCGGCCGCATTAGAAGGAGAAGAAGAGGAGGAGGAGGAAGATGAAGAGGCTGATGAAGCACGATTACTGCTATTACCATGAACGGTTGTATGCCGGCCATCGTGCTCTTGCGATTGATGTAATGGATGGGATACTAATTGATCAGGTACCCTAGTAATATAACTGAATCCCGAATTTCTCGGCATGATCAACGCATCCATATTGCCATGATTGTTTACACCTTGACGATTGTTGTTGTTGTTGTTGTTGTTGTTGTTATGATTCATTCCTACTGATGCAGCAGCATGATTCATATGGGTAGCGACAATGGCCGCTGTCGTAGCATGGGTTGCAGGCACAGCTGTTGTAGAAGGAATCGTAACAGAAGTTGCAGGAGGGTGAACAGCAGCATCCGTCGCAGTCGTCATCGTCGTCGTCGGCGTCGGCGTTATCGTCGTAGTAGGAGTGGCGTGATTTACTGGCGTATGATTTATTTCATTCGTAGTTCTTGCAGCAGTAGCAGCCGCAGCCGCAGCCGCAGCAGCAGCAACGGCCATGGATGAATGGGTGGTAGTAGTTGTGGTAGTCGCAGCCGTAGTGGTAGGGGTAGTGGTAGTGGTAGTGGTAGTGGTAGTGGATTGTCTTTCAACACACCACCATCGATGACCATCGGCCCAAGCTTTGGATTGACAAGGCTTTGAGCAATATTTTGCTTTTCTACAGCGTCTGCATTTTGCGAATTCTCTGGGTTGCGTTTCCCATTTACCACACGATAAATTAGCACAACGACGCAAACCACCTTTCGAATCATCCCTACGACAAGCGTTCCTCATGATGACACCAGCCCAATACTGAATAGGGCCGTTGGTAGAGCTATTATTGTTACTATTGCTATGGGTATGAGGATGGTTGTGGAATCGGTGGGAACAACAAAATTTTTCTACTACGCTAAAAACGTTCTTTTCATAGGCTGTGTGAAATAGATCACGGATATGAGGATATTTTGAGAGATAAGCTAATAATTGCAAGCATAAAAGGATATCTTCTTCTCTTTGAAATAAAGTGTTGTTATTTAGAATGTTGTCAACCTGTTGTTGTTGTTGTTGTTGTTGCTTATGAACACGGCGATGACGTCGTTGTTGTGGATCTATTTTTACATAAGGAAAGGTAGAACGACGACGCTGTTTGAATGAGGGTTTAGTGGTAGATGTATGATGTGCTGCATTAGAAACAGAAGAGGATGCTGATGATGGTAATGGGTTACTGGTAATGGTAGTTGCTGTAGTGTTATTATGATGGGTGGCGGCGGTGGTAGGAGTGGTATTAATAGCAGTGGCAGTGGTAGTCGAGGAGAAGGAAGAATTTGTATCTATGAGAAATTCCAGATGAGCCAAGGTGATACAAAAAAATGAACAAGATATTGGGAAACGGATGAATTATTTTACCTATCAAACTTTTATCTTGCACTGCAGCAGTTGTAGTAGTATTGGTGGTAGTGGTGGTGGTATTATCATTGTTGGTATTTGTATGATTCATAATGGTATTGTCATTCTTATTTTCTAGAATAACACCAATCAATTTTTTGGGTGTTAATAATGAGATAATTTCTTTTTTTCTAAAAGGTCTTAAAAAATTCTTATAATTTTTTTACTTGTGGTATTTTTCTTGTTGGATGATGTTATTTCGTGTGTTTTTAAATACTGAGACAGGTTGTTAATGATGAAAGGGATAATACCCGCTTCTACGACTTTTGTTCTAATCTGTTCGGAACCCCTGACACCAACGTTAACAACACTTTGAAAAGCAAGCGTCCATTTCCAAATGGTGAGTTTATTCAGTGCTTGTTGTTGATGTTGCCGTTGCTGCGATTGAGTCAAGATGCGAACCAGTCTTTCTATACCGCCATCTACACAAAGAATTTCTCTGATTCTTGGCGAAGTGGAAGTGAGATAAGCGAGATGGGTCAAGGAGTTGACTAATGGTAAGGTGGCTGTACAATCTAAAGCTCTTCTATCATACAAAGCAGATGTAATACATACAGCTGCTCTGCTTTGAGAAGGGAAGCATAAATTAGGTTCTCTCATGATTTCTTTAAAAATAAAAAGACAATTGTATATGACTGTGAGTGTGAGTGTGAGTGTGAGTGTGAGTCTGTGTATAAAGATGAATAAATAATTAAAAATAGTGTTGTATGTAAGTGTATCTAATAGTAAAATAGAATAGGGGAAGGGGGGTGGGCGGGGGGAATAGATGTATTTTATGTATGATTGTCAGAAAAGAAATAAAAAAAGAAAAAGAGGAAAAAAATAAAAAGAAAAAAAGAGTGTTTTTTTTTTTTTTTTTTTTTCTGAAAAAAAGAAAAGGGGAGGGGGATGGGTTTGAAGGCGAACTTTTTCTTTTTTTTTTTTTTTCTTTTGTCTAGCCAATGAAAAGAATTCTATTTATTGACTTTAAAGGTAATTATTTTATTGGTTTGTAAAAATGTGTATTATTTATCTGACGATCTTTTTCATGATTTTTTATTATTGGTCGGATGATATGTTGTCAAGGGCTTAGGCTTAGTAATAGCATCCAAAGTAGTCATATCCGTAGTCATACTCATCATGCTAATAGAAGTCTGTAGAAAAACCTGGATTATAAGAAAGGTAAAAGGCGGTGATGGTTGCGGCACAATATTAGCATTAGAATGAGTACCAAAAAATGATGTAATAAATTCTATTTATCATCAAATTAGATGTTATTTGATAATAATAAGAGTTAAAATAATAAAACGCGTACAATTATGAAAAACGAACTTACATAAGTGGCAATGGGTGTTGTCGTGGTTTGTTGTTATTGTTATTGTTGTTCAGGAGTCGTAGTAGGGTAAGACGAAAATTAATGCCACCAACATTTTCAGTCACATTTATACATGAATTAAAACACGCAAAATAGAACGGTTCAACATTTTCATATCATTTTATCTTTTTTTTTTTTTTTTTTTTTACCTTGATATTTCGTCTACACCTGTAATATATCATCATCATCATCATCATCCTACTTGCGAATAAAAAGGAGAAAGGCAAAGATAGAGCATAAACCCATTAAGTGTGCTTGATGAATGATGAGTATAGCAAAAAGTCATGATGCTAGTGAAATAATAGCTCAATCTACTCAAGATAATGAACAGTAAATGGTTTGATGGGTGTATGATTGAATTTATCGTGTGAGTCATTTTATGGGCAGCATCAAGTATCATATCTAAAAAGATGAGGGGCGTCTAACCGTACGCTTAACAAAAGCACAAAACTGTTGCCATTGGGTTACGCTCTGGAAAATAGGGAAGGTGGAAGATACATTTGTCATCTGCAACCCTCCCACGCGAATAAAAGAAAAGCATTATCCATAATATCCAACAATTTCCTTAGGAATGTCTGTTTCAAGTGTGATAGTCATGACGGTTTGGATATGTTCTTTGCGGGTTGGTATTTTTACCCAGAAAACTGCGCTTAGTGCTTTCCTTGACACTGTGTTTTAAGCGTAGCAGTTCTGGCTGACATCAAGGTTTGTCATTTTGTATTCAAGAACAGTTACCTTATACAAAGTTGAAACAGGGTGTTGTTTGCTTCTTTATACTCTCATACGTTGCTATACGGCATATAGGTCATGTATGGACATGCAGGATAAATTGTTTTGCCACCAAGGTGCCGTAGGTGATAGGTTACTGTTGACTGCCTTCGGCATTTTTCCTAATTCATACTGGTTTCTGCAAGCAGGGCTGCACAATTGTCTGCACAGAAAAATAGGTTCGTTCCACGGTCTTTAGATCAAGCCATGGATAGATCCACACGCTCCCAATAGATACGTAGCCCCCAACTCATTCTTTTAAGTGTGTCTTTATTGAGTACAACAACTCGGATGTCATTTTATTAGGCTTCACAAGAGGAAGGAGATGTTAGCATTGGCTTGATTGACTCTATAAAGCGCGTCTCTCTGAACGTGGTGTTGAGTTAAGCAATTAGCATTATCCATAGTTACTTTGATTCGAGCATTCAAATAGGATACGTGCTCAAACCAACACACTTCATTGGCAATAGGTGAAGAATAAACAGTTTACAACGATACAGGCAATGCTAGAACTATTGGCTCTTGTTTTATCCAACTGCTTATACTGCGCCCAACTGTACTCGAACATCGTCCCTAAAGATTGCCTTGGATGTGTCAAATACCAGGGAGCTTGGTTTGTGCAGACAATGACCTTCTTTATCATACAGAAGAATCTCAGATCAGGGAAAAAAAAAAAAAAAAAAAAAAAGTTTGAATTCTATTTTGTAAATCTAGATCTTCAAAACGCAGAACATTGTTTAGAGAATTACAAAAGTAAAAACATATAACTATAATTTCTGGGGAATTTTTTTTTTTTCTTTGATTTTTCTCAAATTGAAGAATTTCAACATAACCACGAAAAAATAAGGTTGACTCTCTCTCTCTCTCTCTTTTTAATCTCTTGAACTCTAAATACATACACCACGGTGACTACTGGACTTTTTTGTGGATAATCGTAAAAGAGGCTGCAGGAGATAAAGACACTAAAATGACAGTCTATCGTCGTCACTCACTGCAAAAAAACGTCCTGACTCCTATTCTCAATGCCACAACCGCTCAATGTATTCTCTTGGTTCATCTTGCAATTTATGCCTTGGTCTAATTATCATCACCTGTTCTACTACGTAAAAAGATGACTGTGGGGAAAAAAAAAAATAGTGTTTTTATGTTTGCCTCTTTTCCTACCCCACATAGGATGGTTGTTATAGAAACTGAGAAAAAAGGTAAAGCGCAATTCCTGATCCGATCCAAAACCAAAACCAGCAATTGATGTGAGGGCATTTCCGACCTGACTATTTCTAGCCTACCTCCTCCCACTTTGCTACTACTATCACTCATACCTTCACTATACTTGTTACATCATCCAACGAGTAGTTTTGTATTTTACAGTAGATCGATTGAATCAATAGGTGCAAAAAATGATCGACGATGTTTCTAGGCAAAAAAAAAAAAAAAAGGACACGATGCAAGCGGAATTTTCTACGGGTAGAAATCCTTTTTTTTTTTATTTTTTATTCATTAAAGAAACGAGAAGAAGGGGGTTTTTTTTTTATTTCCCGTTTTTGACGATTATTTATGGGTTTTTTCTTTTTTTCTCTCTTTCCTTCATTTTTCTCTTTTTTTTTTTTTTTTTTATAAATTCTCTTTTTTTGGTATATAGATAATATACATTTTTATATATATATCCTAGTTACTGCTTTTTACATTATTTTTTCTTGTTCCTTTCTGTTGCACCAACAACATTCTGTACAACCAAAATTCCTGTCAAATTTTTTCTGCACAAGACGGCATTTTGCATAAATTTTATAGAAAGTCCATTCACCAAAAACGAGATCAGTCAAAATGGCAATTCATGTCATTCCCGGAGAAATATCCGTATTCACTATTGCAGTGGCGGTCATTAGTGGATTTATATTATTCTTTGGATATATATCCATGTTCCTGAAAGAAAAGCTTTTTCTGTCTGAAGCACGTAAATGGGGGTTGTTTTTTTTTTTTTTTTTTAATGTTTAAAATGCTGGCTTGTGGGTTGTCCATGATGCTATCAAGAGGAAAGACTCATCTCACGCTTTTATCTATTGATTTATTTCTTACAGTGGTGGCAGTCATTGTTGGTATTATAGCGGGTCCTTTGGTTTCTCATGGCTTTGATCCCATGAGTTGGCCTGAACATGATGAAATAACCAAACAATTGACAAGATGTATCATAGCCATTCAAGTGATGGCTGTTGGTATTGAATTACCAAAGTAAGACAGTAAGAAACGTTGATTCAAATGGTACACATTCTCACTCTTTGTCCTCTTCTATAGACATTACTTGAAGAAAGAATGGCTCACCATGTTATGTTTATTACTGCCTACCATGGTATTCATGTGGCTCGTGAGTGGATTATTTATATGGGCCTTGATACCTCCCATCAATTATGTAAGAGAGAGGACAAAAAAAAAAAGAAAAGCAATGGAATGCCAGTTGAAAAAAGAGTCTAACCTCATCATTTTGTTCGTGGCAGTTGGAAGCGTTAGTGATTTCAGCGTGTGTTTGTCCAACCGATCCAGTAAAATTCAAATACCAGAAAAAAAAGAAAATAAAAAAAAATGGAGACCCCGTGATTGATTCGTAAATGATAAAAATTAGATTCTGGCGAATTCAGTTGTGAAAGGAAGATTTGCCGAAAAACATGTACCAGCTCACATTCGAAATGCATTATCAGCAGAAAGGTAAAAAATAATACAAAGGGAAGGTTGCAATGACACTTTGATGGAGATGTTTATCCTTTTACTTATGCGGTAACTCTAAAGTGGAGCCAATGATGGTATGGGCTTTCCATTTCTGTTTCTAGCCATCTTTTTAATTGCAGAAGACAATGTAGGAACAGCGATTGGAAAATGGATTTATATTACATGGTTATTTCAGATTGTATTGTCGTGCGTCATTGGTGTCATTGTAGGTTTTGTTGCGAGAAAAGTATTACAATGGTCAGAAAGAAAGTAAAGTATAGGGTCGCTTTTTTTTTAAAAAAAAAAGAGAGAGAGACAAACAGACGATTGTATTCATCTCATTTTTATTCTAGTCATTTGATTGATAAGCCATCGTTTTTAGCCTTTGCTATTGCTTTAGCGGTAAGTATCAGTCCTTTAGACAAGAAAATAGTCATGTACTTGGCAACTTATCCTATTTCTTATGAAAAAGCTTTTTCTGATGAGCATGACAGGTTTTTCAGGCAGTGATGATTTATTGGCTTGTTTTGTGGCAGGAAATGCATTTTCATGGGATGACTGGTTTCGACAAGAGACAGAAGAAGCTCATTTCCAAGAAGTCATTGATATGATGCTCAATTTATCCATTTTCGTTTATATTGGCGCTATCATTGTAAAGTACTTTTTTTTCTTTTTTTTTAAGCATGAACGGGGTGTTGATGTCTAACGCCCATCCTTTATCCAGCCTTGGTCTGAATTTGGTAATCAAGAGATAGGTTTGACACCATGGCGTCTCGTGGTGATTGGTATCCTCATTCTCCTTTTCCGACGTCTTCCCATCGTCATCTTACTAAAGCCAGTGATGCCTGCTTTAAAGACCTACCGAGAAGCCGTCTTTAGTGGTTGGTTTGGTCCGATGGGCGTGGGGGCTGTTTTTCTATCGATCATTGCCAAAGAAGAGCTCAGTGCTGCTTATGAAGGAAAAGAAGAGCCTGTGTCCGTCCGTCTCATTGCGCCTGTCGTCCTCTTTATTGTCTTTTGCTCCGTCATCGTCCACGGGACCACCATTCCTCTTTTCAAACTCGGTAAGCGTATTCGTACCCGAACACTCTCCATCACCAGTATCAGTAGTAATCAAGTGGTTCGACTGCCCAAGTTGTCTTCCCGCAAGAGTGTCGACGAAAAGTCCACCATGACAGAATTGGAAAGAAACACATTGTACAACACCAATCAATATGTGGAGCCTTCGTTGCTGCTGGGTCCCGCAAACGTCTTTACTAGCACAAGTCCCGCCACGACAGGTCATCTGAAAGAAAAGCACTCACAAATAGCGATTGATATGCCACTCCAAGGACAGCCTTATCATCTCCATCCCACACACTACCCGCACCCGCACCCTCCTCCTCCTTCACAGCAACAACATGAGAAAGAGGAGGAACATGCCTCTGACTCGGATTTGGCTGAAGAAGACTTTTTACCCGACGATTCGTCCGATACCGTGGATGTCCCCCTACAACACCCATCACCGTCGCATCCCTTCGCACCAACAACCCATACACTACACGTACCCTTATCCGATGCGGACGATCTTCGAAGAGGAAGTATGCATTCTGAACAAGCCATTCGATTTGTCGAACCTGTCAAACCACGGTTGACGGTGCAACAACAACAACAACAACAACAACAATTGAACGCGGAACGAAATGAAGCAAGTGTATCTAGTTTTCGCAGTTGGTTATCTAGACAGCAAAAGGAACCACAAGGAGATCCTTGTGTGGAAGCCGACGACGAGATCAAACACACAACAACAGTAGCAGAAGAAGCAAGGCAAGCTCCTGGTGTGGCTACTTCAGCCACCACCAGCAGTAGCCATCTTCTCCCTCATCAAGGCTTCATGAGCATCTTTAAACGAAACGCAAAAAAAAGAAATAGGGCAGAGAGTGAACAGGAGGCCATCCCCACGACCCTCGTTACAGCAGACGACGACGACAATGATGCAGACGATGGAAATGATACTTGCAGTAGTCATCATAGCAGTACCGTGATCATGACCCTGCCGCCGTTGACCTCCTCCTCTGCCACCACCCACGCAGAAACCCATCGAGAGCATCAGCAACACAGGCATCAACACAAGGGCATTCATCCACGTATAGAAGTGTGGGATGAAGGCAATCATGTAGTGGTGTCCGATAAACTGAATGATGTGCCTGAAATCATTGTGGATAAAAAATTACACGCTTCCAATTGGAAAAAGAAAGTGCAAGAAAAGATGAAACAGATTGAAAAAAATATATCGACAAAACAAACACTTCATGATCATGACCATGATCAGCAGCAAACTTAGCAATCATGAGAAATGAAGCTTGGGTGGCTGGCTCTACTTAGAAAACCCTTCCTTTTGAACGAATATCCATACACATCATCCATCTATATCCCCCCCTTTTTTTTTTCTACTTTTGTTTTTTATTTACTGTAACATTATCTCATGCATCATCCCATCTATCAGCATCTTTATAGTAAGAAAAAGCGCTGTAACAAAAAAAAAAAAAAAAAAAAAAAAAGACATTAAAAAAAAACCCGTCAAGATATCTACCCATCATTACAATTTTTAACAAGCAAAACTTATTTGTTATGTTTGAGAAATTTTGAAAGAAACTTCTATTTATTCAGAAAATCAATTTCTATATAAGAAGAAAGATGTTCAGACAAAACCAGTTGTCCGATAGCATCTTTTGAAATATTTACAATAGGGTGTATATAAACATATATACCAAGATCAACTTAAAGTACATATCAATGATGAGAGAGAGATAAATTAAAGAATTTCCCAGGTGATGGCACCAACACCTTTATCCTTGTCACCAACGACCTTCTTGAAGAGAACGCTGGTAAGATCCAAATCACCGTAAGAACATTCAGGACAAGCATCGAGAATAGTAGCGGTGGCAGTACCAGCTGGACCTTGGATTCTAATCTTCTTGCCACAGAAATCAGATTTACCGTCGAGGTTACCATATTGATCGGCGTTAAGAGCAACAATAGGTGATTCATCGTGGATGTATTCACCGTTACAGGCAGCTAAGGGACCACCTTGAGTAGCAGGAGCGTACCAAGTAGCAGTACCAGAGTAACTTTCACCTCGCTTGGCCATAGGGGCAGCTTGAGAAACAGTGGCGAGAGCAGCAACAGCAATAGCAGTGAAGAAAGCAGAACCTTGCATTTTGAATAGAGTTGAGTTTTACTTGTGAGATAAGAGAGAGTAATAAGTTGTTTGTTTTTAAAGGAATAAGACGACCAGCGACTTGATAATATAATAATAATGAAAATAAAACGGGTCAAGATGGTGGAGGGTCCCGTCTTTATATACGTTTTTTTTTCTTGATCTTCAACCGACCATAGCTTTTGATCGCCACTCTAAAAATGACAGCCAACTCTCTCAAACTGTTGTCTTTTTGAAAGCTGGAATTAAACCCTACCAATGATGTTTCTTTACTTTACCATTCCTTTCTTAGCATTTTTTCCTTCAGAATTCTAGATTTCTACAGATTCGTCGCCCCCAGCTTCTTATTCGATAGGCAAATTGGCGACTCCAATCAGGGTGCATTCTATCGTCAAATAGAAAACGCTCAAATAGATCAATGTAAAACCAGACAGGGACTGGAACTGTGCCTTCCCACCTATGTCCCGTTTTCCAAATAACAAATAATTGGCGTTACTGCTATAAGCTAAAAATAAATAAACAATCAACCAAAACTTTAATCCATGTTTTCTGTTTTCTTCTTTTAGCACCAGCGTTTGTCTATATGAATTCATTTGAAAAGAGACATGGAGAATGTCAGAAAATGACACAGGGGTTGTTCACGGCAAATTATTCCGTGTTTTTTTTTTTGTGCACGGACAATTCCCCTCAATTCTGGGCAGTTTTTTCTTTTTTTTTTTGGATGTGTACAGAAAACTTTTTCATTGGATTTCTGTTACCTGCAATAAGGTACTCCCTTGAGCTTTGACCAATGTGTGACCGGCTTTGATGGAAAAAGGTGTCTTTTTACTGGCTGTCACCACAAAATAGCCTCCATTGGCTATATTGATTCGTCCTGAACCTTTTTATTTGAGCAGTCTCTTGGCAGTATATTACTCTGAAACATATTGCGTGTTACTGATGTCTTCATTGGCCTCCAGAAAGACGAGCAGTAATGAAGGGCACATACGCATTCCTTGCCAAGAATACAGAAAGCGTCATTCCCATTGCCCGGAAAAGGGCGGTATTGTGATACACTAAAAGAGACACTACATTATGTAATTTAGCCAACCGCAAGGAAATGCCAGTAAACACATTGAAGAAAAACAAGTACATCAGCAGGAAAGCCTAGAATGACCCCTAAGAAAAATCAAAAAGAAACCTGGCGGCTCGTCGGCGAATGATCTATTTCCTCTTAAGCTTTCTTGAATCTCTCCAAGAAAACGACGTTTTTTTGTCCAAATGGTATTTCTTTAAATTCGTTGGTTTTTTGTTCTCAAATTCGTTCGATTTCAATACCATTCACTACAATAAAATTGTTCCAAAAAAAACCCGGGCAAACACTAGACCCCATATCATTTGACATTCAGAAAGCGCGCAACGGCCATTGTTCCTTCAATACCAAGAAAAAGTGAATGTGACTGTTTGTGCTTCCTGATTCCACAGTTTCCATATTTTTTCATTTTTTGGACAATACCGGGTTCGGACAGACTTATCTGTAAATCCTAAACATTTTTTTTTTTTTCATGACTATAGAAAGGCGATTATCCATTATGAAACATTGTCATTAGCAAAAAAGCTGAGCGGTGTTCTAAGCATACAAACAGTAAAAGTGATCATCCTCAATATCTGCTAAACGAGACATGTCCTACATTGGATGGCTGCAATTCATCGTCTGAATTTATGGTTTCAAGAACCTACTAGTGTGTATACGTGTGCTTGAATCAAACTCATTTTATGAACCGATGACACCGGTCGCCACTGAACCATTTTTTATGTAAAGCAGTCTTTACCAATAATCCTTTCTCTGCAGAAAGAAATCAATCCCGTAATCCTCCTCATAACTAGCTATGGAACACGTCTTCTTCACACACACAGACACCCACAGGTTCAATCGTTGGAATTTTTTTTTTTTTGCTGTCTTTCCTTCATTTCTATTCCGCCTCTCCGCGTTCCGCCCCTTCCCTACTCTGTATAATGGTGGCGTGTTATTCAAAAATGAAACACAGCATCGTCATGAGACTCTGCTCACTTTAGCGTAGTTCAACTTTCATGTATGGAAGTTTGTAGTACAGTACTCTGCTGGATATATTGATACTGGAAGGCAGAATCAGTACAACGGGCTAAGGTCATATTTGGAAGGCAAGCACTGGCCATGTTGTTGCGTTGATTGACGACTCGGGACAATAACAGTCTAGTCTCAGAGTTCAGAACACCCCCTTTTTTCCATTGTTTGCAAAACGTTTTTGAATAATAGGGTTAAAACTACTTTCAAATCATTTATTTTCAAATAAGAAAAATATACAAGTCACACTGCGTACCCAAAGAATAGCACATATACAGTTATGTATAGTAGAATACACTTGTCATGTGTATCATCACACTCGGGATTGAGTAGAGAGTGCTTTTAACCTATCTTTGATGGAGGCAACAGGCTCTTGATTTATATACTTTGCAAGTCGGCTGTTGATGTCGTCTTTCACTAGGTTATTTGAGAAACAGAATAAACTTTTTTAGTTACGCAGTCCCCATTTCTGATCCAGCCTTTTCGATATTTGCTGGGTCATTACCTAAATGAGCCTTCATCAACTCTTCTAAAACATCGACAGCAGCAGAGCGAATAGCGGAATACTTCATGTTGTCTAAGGCTTCCATGAGTGCTTTTAAAATAAGCTGGACAGTTTCTGGCTGCGATAACCCTTCCTGTGTTCCATGAGAGACCAACGTGCGAAGGCTCTGCAGGATAGCCAGTTGCACATTCCACACGTTACCCGATAGACATCCAGTCATTAAGCTCACAAGCTCATATGTTTTTGCTTCATGTTGTTGATACGTCTGGGGTCGGTAAGCTGCCGTTAACGCTTTGAACGCATTGGCTTTGATCATGAGTAAAATTGGCTTGATATTATCACTGTCGTCTTCTTCCATAGCGTCGGCTTCATCTAATATACACAGTTCTGTCAAAAACTCCTGTTGGCTATCTAAAAGATCCCAACTATCCCCAAAACTATCGTTAAATTGCGCCAAAGAAGCAAGCGCGTGACGTTGATAGACACGGTTTCTTCGTTTCGTTTCTCTCGCCATAATAGCGTTGATTTCGTCCAACGTGGCAACTTGCTGTTCAGTGTTGAAGGTAGCTTTGGCCGCTATACATAATTGCACCATGGCGTCCAACACTTTTTCCTTACCATCCCAGGACCTTGTAGCTAACGTCGCCATAAGCACAGGCAGGAGTTTACCCGTGTGCTTTAGAATACTCTTGTCGGATGACCTACACATATCTGCAATCGTAAGAGCTGCTGCTTGCTTTACCTTCCAAGAAGAGGATGACAGCAACGGTTCGACAAACTCAATGATTTCGTCTGCATAAATAACGACCATACTCTTGGTACCCGACGTCAGGTTTTCCCAAGCAGATTTCCATAATTCTTGAAGGTCAGCATCTGGGTCGTGCACACCAAAATAGATGAGAGGCACGATCGAATCTCCAATAGCTTTGGCTCTATCTGTGGCAAATCGAGTTATTTCAACAGCAGTAACAGCACTACCTGCTTTAAAGTCCTCATCTACAAGGGAAAGCAAGACAACTTTATTAATGTTGCACTGCTTTTCTATGTTCCCAAAAATAAAAATAAAAAAAAAGTTGCTTATTTACCTTCCTCATCGACGTACAGCTTTTTTAAATGCTTAACAATAGACACTAAACGCGCATCGGTGACAAGTTGACAAACGTAGCCAATGGCTGTGGCGTATGATTTACGAACAACTGGGTTCTTTGAACGAATCGTACCGCTGAGTGCTTTAAGGAAATCGTCAGCAAACGGTTTAAAGGTACTTCTGCGATTCATCACTAAACTGACAATAAAACGAGCACAACCAGCCTGCAGTATCATTGACGTGGGTGGGAGGACAAAAAAAAAAACCACATAAGTGTCTTTAGCCTATATTATCATCAATAGCCCTGTTCACTCACCTTTGTAGGAAGGCCAGTGCCCTTCCTGACAATATATAAAATACGAGGCGTCAGCTCCTTCATCACATCATCATCTATTTGACTTATACATTGCTCGATGCCATCCATCATAGGCGAGTTCTTTGCGCTGCTTAGACGGGCATTATCCAATTGTTCTTGTGAAATGTTGTACTTGTCAACATGGAAACTCAAATAATTCATTGCCTGCGGCTCAAGTGCTACAATGAATGAGAAATAATTGCATTAGCTTCCTCTACGTACCCCAATCACACAGCAATAGCATTCTTACAAGACAATGATTGCAATAGAGTATCGACCACGTCAGGTATATATTTCTTTAAAAGCCCTGCGCCGGTCTTACAAACGCGAAGAACAGCATCCAGACTGAATTTACGTACGTCTTCAGCATCCGATACGATACCTCGTTCCAACAAGAAGGGCATGACAATTTTCATCACCTTGAGGCCATCTTCCATCGCCACCATCGTAGGGTCACAATAATGCACTGTTAATCGTGTTAAAGAGCGGCACGTCTGCGTTGCTGCTTGTCGAACAGAATCTTTAATGTCATCTAAAGCCCGGAAGCACATTTGCCACAACTTCTCCAAGTACGGCTCTATTTGCACTAACTGCCGGCCGACGATCAAATCCGTCACTGCTGCACAGGACGCTTCGCGAATGCGCCATTGACTATTACTCAAACCGCTCAATACATCCTCTATGATTTCGTTGAAATACGTATCGACCGTCTTTTGATTGTCTTTCACAAGAGACCGCCAGATAGACTTCATTGTCTGATTAACACGAACATTGGGATCAAACTGATAACGATAGAGCTTGGGGATCAAACGAGACAAGTAAGGCTCCATTTCTTTTTCGGCCACTGCCATCAAGTTTTGAAATCCAAAAGCAGCGCCGCGTCGTGATGTCCACATAGCATTATGATTAGCCAAATTCATAAATTTGTAGATAAGATCGGGCTGGTTCAATTCAGAGGCCAAAGAACACAGTTCCTTATAAGTAGTAATCGAATTCCCATCTGGTGTCTCACCTAATTGTCCTTCTTCGAACAAGACAGTATTATCCGTCACCGATTGCGCCTGGATTTGTCGTCCTTCTGAAAAGACACCCACCAAGGAATAAAGCATGTCCTCTTTGAGCTTTGCATCGCCATACTCATAAACAAGACCCAAGCCCTTGGAAGCGCATTCTTGGGTGAAATCGTCGCGGTCGGCTAATAAGCGGGAAAAGGAAGCATGTATGTTACCCAGGTTCTGCTGGACGAGAACATGGTTTTTGCCAAATTTCAAAATAGATAAAAGCCAAATGCAGCCAGCCTTGCGATACCACGAGCGATTGCTCACCACGTAGGTACGCATGATCCTTTCCATAATTTCCAAGAATTGATCATTGTAGTTGTAGTCAGTGGGGTAACTGATACTGTTGATATCTTTGTACTTTTGCATTGCCTGTGAGCTCCAACCAAAGGCGAGGACAGACCAAGACTCACCCGCGGCAAAAGCAAGCTCCACCTGTTTTGTATCCGCTGTCGCGAAAAGTGCTTCCACAATGAGTTTAATGAGAGAGGATGAGTGATTACCAGATATGACCAGTGGTATGACCATATGACCCAGTGCCAATATAGCTTTCTCTTGAACCTTGGCATCTTTGCAATGAGCAGCCAAATGAGCCAATTTTTCAATGATGCTTTGCATACTCAACGCTTGGTCCTTCGATCTGTCTATCTTTTTTTCCGCCGTAAAAGGCAACAAACGCATGCGGCTCATTTCTGCCAGTGATTGACAAGCAGCACTCGCCAGCATAGAGAAAGAGGAACTTGGAGGACCCTCTAACAAGCGTGTGAGAGAGGTAACGCATTGCACGTATAAATCTTCCGGAATAGTGCGTTGACGATAGAAGCACCTGCTGAGTAGGTAACCTATCGAAAGAGCAGCGCCATGGCGATGGTCGAGAACTTGCTGCTTGGTAGATTCAGGGGCATCCAAGAGTCGAACATACTCACCTAAAATGTCTTCAATTTCCGCAATAGAAACACTTTCATGACTAGCCATAAGACCGAAAATATGTGACATGAGCGTTCTTGTATCTATTTTTTCTGATAGCGTAAGTGACCTAGAAAAGCTGAGACGATCTTTGAAAATTGTTACAATAGACGATGGGCCTAATGAGATAATCTCTAATAGAGACTTGGCTGATGTAGATAACAGAATAGCGTCTAATGTAAATGTACATATCTATTAGTACGAAGTTTCTTACTCTCTTCTAATGCCCAACATCAAATACCTTTCAGTTCTGGTTTTAGCCCATTCTCAATGAATTCAAGCCAACGTTGAATCACCACTTGATCATCCGTATCAGACCACATCTCTGTCAAACTATTTCTATAATTCTCCATCACTCTGGGATCTTCCACAATACTATTATCTACTTTTTCTGCTACATATTGATCCATCAATATCGTAGTGCGGTTGGCTTGCAGGATCCATATCAATCTTAGGAAACGAAGAATTTCAGAATACACTTCCACAGGAAATCCTTTGATCACTGGCGTTTTTGAAAGAAGAGAATACTGTTGATCAGGACGATGTTCATAGATGTATGTGACGAGTTCAGAAAAGTTGGGTAATTCAGATGGCGGAACGATATCGACACTCTCCACCAAGCCATATTTGTTACGAACAAAAGGAGTGAGGCCACGTTGAGCCTCTTCTTTCACATCTAATTTAGCAACAGATGAGGATGTGCCTAACAAACAGACATAGCGTGCAAAGACACAGGAAAAAGGGAAAATTGCATTGGCATATCTTAAAGCCATCAATCGGGAGTAAGGATCATTCTACAAGTAATTTAACAGCGGAGTGATCATTAGCGCATTTTGAAAGATGAGAAAAGTGGAGCTTCCAATTAATGCTTACCGTTTGCACAGCTTTGAGAATGATCTGCTGAACTTCTGTGAAAATAGAACAATCCTCCGGCAAGTCGACGTAGGTCTGTATCATGGAAGAAAGAGCATCTTGAACATAAGTTCGTACATTTTTCTGTTCCTTTTGCAAATTGTCAAACAATAATGAAAGAATCTGAGTATCCGATAAGCCAACTTTGGGCACTAAATGTATATAAATATGGATGCGTATTCATATCATTAAGGCGAATGGAGCTTCGTCTTTTCACTTTTACTTTTTTGTTATACCTTTCTTTATGATCAAACCACAAGCGACATATGCGTAACCTTTGATGTCCTCAGAACCAGGCTGCATCTCATCGTTCTCCTTTATAAATTTTAAGAGTCCCGAAATCAAAACAGGTGCAACAGGTGCAACGTTTGCTTCTGTGCTCTGTATTTTGTCAAAAGAAAATAACAAAAGTTGTAACGTCAAAAAGGGTTAAATTCTAATTGGGGTCCTTTTCTTACCATCCTAGCACACCACTGTAAAAATGACATGGTAGATCTTTGTAATTTGATTGTAGTCTTCTCTCCGTATATACCATCAAAAATAACTTGGACCATCATTGTCACCATGGTTGTTGCTATAATGGATTTGGACAAATATTGAAGAATACGCAACTTGATAGGAGTAGACGCCGGTGCACGACCATCTTTACCATCTCCTTTTGCTGTTGGCTTAGTTCCCAAATATAATCTATAAAGTGCTTTGATGGTGTTCACATTCTCATAATCTACATTGCCTGTCCAACGTCTTATACCATCCTCAGAAGCTGCAACCACCTGGTGATGGGGATCGCAAGCGCCAACCAAAAGCAACAGCAGCCTTTCACTGTCGGTGAATATAGGTGTCAAAATGAAATTCAAAACGCCCAGCTACCGTAAATGCTGTTGAGTCAGTCGACCTTTCATAGGGAAGAAATCTCGTCTACTATCTTTGATTTTTTTTTTTCTTTTTTTCAAACCTTGATATCCTTCAACTGTGATGTCGACCATTGCACTTTGCCTTTAGTGACTTCTTCAAGAGCTTGTAGACTAAGGCCGGGGAATCTCGAAGTTGTTGGTGTAGTTCCTTCCACACTCGATGCTCCCTCTACACTTTGCTGTTGCTGCTGGTCTGCCAACTCTCTTGCTGTCAATGGCTGGTATAGCATAATATCCAATAAAAAACTCAATATGATTGGGACGTCCTTTGAGTTTTCTTCAAAGTGAAACACATCCTTCCTCGCTGTGGATTGTTGTTCTGTATCCATTTTCCACTTTTCCAAGACCTGTGAATATAAATAAGATTATGCAGCTCACTATAAGTTCGTGCTCAGCATCTAAGAGGATATGAATTCACAACAAGTACAGCAAGATACATTACCGGTAATACAATATGCAAGAGAGCTATCCGTTGCTGAGGTGGTCTCAAACTGATATCCTTCAAAAATCTGGGCAATTGCGTCGCTACTTCTTCTGCTGCTAAGCGACTGGCGGCCATTTCCAAATAGATGAGTGTAAAAGTTTTGACAAAGTTGGAAACGGTGGCATTGGTAAACTGATCGAGTAGTGCTTCAAAAGGTAATTTGATATGGTCGTTGGACTTGACTCGTTTATTTATATGTGAGAGAATAATCATTACTTTATTTCGTGCCTGGGGGTTAGTGCTTGCCAACTTTAAAAGCACTGGAGGTAAGAATACTTGAATTGTCTTTTCGAGTTGAGAATCAGTATTGCACATGGCAAGCTTCAACTCGACATTTTCGAGTAATTGAACTTCATTAGACATGTTGCTCCTGAATTGTAACTTATTTTGGTACTCTCAAATTTATCTTGTAGTAGAGATATAATGCAAGGTTGTTGAAAGGTGATAGAAAAGCAGAAAGCTTAAAAAATAATCAATTATCGGACCAAATATGGTAATAAATAGAGCTAAAAAGTTCAAGGTACGCGTAAGCTCTGATTTAACAGAGCTGTTACTTTATTGATGAATTACGCGGACAAAGACGACTACGCATTGTTACTCTCGCCGTTGTCGTAAGATGGCGAACTATTCGCTAGGGTAATGGGGGAGGATGAAGATGTGTCTGCACTTGGAGTCTGATTCATGACTTCATCGAGGCTGACATGGCGAGATAATTCTGTTATGACAGTTTCATCAACGGGTATAATAGACTTGCGTCTAAACTGTCGAAATTGTCCTATATTGGGCTCAAAGTTTTGCTAAGGTTGCACAATTTTTTTATGTTAGTATTCATACATGGAACTCATGTTAATAACTCTGAGTTATGAGTTTCCTACCATATCCGTGTCTAAAATATCATGTTGTTCTTCTAAATGTACTGTGTGTTCATCAGTGGACGCTGGTACACCGTTGTGTGGAATCCCTTCAGTTTCCTCTTTGATGCTATTACTCTCAGATTCATTAAGAATTTTATCGGCAGTTTCAACTGTGCCATCGTTTTGAAATGCAGCAGAACAAGGATCAGATGAAAGGCTTTTAGTGGCATAATACATGTTATTGTTGCCATCATTAAGCGCTGTGATAGTGAGTGAAGTTGTGCCTGAAACTTTACGCTGTAAAATTTTCCAATTCTCTTCGCGCTCTCTTTGTCGCTTTCGTTCACTAAAAAAAAAAAAAATAGATAACACTTCTAAGTAGAGATGTTCGAACTCATATTGCAAGAAAGACAGTCTTACTTTTGCTTCTGGTGTTTATACTGATTCACACATTGGTCGAATAACTGTGGATTCAAATTCATACATAGTTTTAGTGCGTTAAAAATCAGTCCTAGAATAGTCCTATGCGTTAAAAGTGCAAATGATTCGAAGCTTGAGCTTTTCCTGTCCTTCGACAAATCCATACAATTGGAAAACAATAAAATCTTTTACCTATTCCAATGCGTTTTGGATGTTTGATAAAGTATGGGGAAAATGATGGGCATAAGGACGTTCATATTCTGTGATAGTAAGGTAATGAAGTATTCGTTGTTCCAAAAATAAAGAGCTCTCTCGGCTACTTGGAAATGTTCACTTGAGACACACTGACCAAGTCTGACGAACAAGGGAACCATACATTGTTGAAATGCAACGGGATCTATAACGTCCAGTACTTCCTCTAATTCATTCAAAAACATCACCTCTTTCGGACTGTTGACTTTAGGCCAATATTTTAACAAGCCGCCAATCACTTCTTGCGATAACGTGTGATCTTTATCCAAAAACTGCACAATACAATAGGCTAATTGTGGATGATAAAGAGCCAAGTATTTGACTTTGTGCAGTGGTATAAGTACTTTGCTAAAGAATATTTTGTGCTCTTCCTTTAAAGGCAAAGCAAATCCATTAATAATGCTTCCGAGGACCTCTAATAATTCTGCAATGCCGTTGTGCCGTTCAGTTTCGTAAATGAATTGGAAGAATATGTTGTTGATGGAACGGCGGATGTAGGCACGCAAGTTGACAAATTTACCATAGATTCGATGTAAGGTTGTTTTTAGAAAATCTCTCTCTCTAGGATCCTCACTGTCGAATAGCTCTAATAACTTTTTGATTCACGACGCTGAGATTAGTATCACCAACAACTACTAAAGAAAGAATACCCACTTTACCTGAAAAATAAATGTCTGATCGACATACTTTTTGGCATAACCAATGTTAAAATCAGGTGATTCTAAAAATCTTAAAAAAAATTCGTATACAATTTGCAAATGCGGCCATGCTGGTTCTAGGACTGGTTCATCCTCCTCTGGATCAAAGGCATCGCCTGATGGGTTTACTTGTGGTGGAATAGTACGGAACAAATTGAGTGCAACCTGAATGTGCAATGTGTTATGATTGATTAATAATTGCCCCCTTCCTCACTATCAAAATTTTTCATGATAATACCATTTTCAAAACTTCCGGGTATAAACTTTCTGATATGATGACACCTCTATTGCTTGCTACATAATTTGATAGCTCTTGCAAAGTTTGCCTTTTAAGTTCTTTCTCCTCCAATTCAGCCAAAGGTTCTGAAAAATCACAGATAACTTTGCACTGTTGTAACTTTCTTATAAATAAGTCTATTCTTAAATGTGGTGGAACCTCTAATAAAACAAGTAGCAATCAATCACCATGACCTCAAGGTTCCTTTTGAACGTCCTTTTAACACCGTAGTGCATACCATGAAATGCTGGAGTTCTTTCTATATGGATTCGTTCCACCATATGATGAAATCTTGATGATGAATTCTGCCTTCTGGGTGACTTTATTATAGGAATCTGATCTTTGGGAGCATTTTTTAAGCGATTGATAGGACCAGCCTTCGGTACGTCAGTATGCCTTTGATGAGTCGGTGAACGTAACTATCAAAATGGATAAGGATTAATATAAGCAAATTTTTGGCCAAGTTCTTGAATGTCAATTACTTCTTGAGAAGAATAGTGTTGCTGTTGTGAAGATTGCTCATTTGTTACTCTTGATGTCGCTGTTGCTGCTGACGTCGTAATCGGCGGCACAAAAACGATCGGTCTTTGTAGAAGTCTTGCTGCAAGCTCTGCATTGGAAGCATTTGTTGTCGAAGATTGAGGGGAAGTTCTGTTCAAGTTTCCATTATGCTAATGAAATTGTTACAGTAAAAAGTTAAAGAAGAGCTATGATTGTTTGGTGTACAACAACAAACAGCAAAGTGTATGTTTGTGCATACATTATTTGCCCAATCACTCATTGAATCTTCTTCTTCGTTGCCAGTAGAGGAAAATTAAAGAAAGACTTTGTACTATTTACAGTATTGGGTAATATGAAATTGAGTAAATGCTAGCTTTGTTGAGGATAAAAGAGCAAATTTGAATGCTTCATGGGTGCTCCAAAAAAAGTAGACACAACAGATTTTTGCCTCTAGTAACAACTGTTCGAAAATTTTAAACTCCTACAGTTACTCGCTTTGTACAGTCATGAATTACAACCCATTGCAATTATTGATTGTCTTCTACCCTTTGGTGTAATGAAATGGTTATGATCCGCAGTTCACAATCCATGGTACATCTAAAAGAAGAGCACGATTTAAATCGAGAAAAAATAACTTATACACTGGCTCTTGAGATTCTATAATCATTTGCCATAAGAAGGCATAATTAGCCTTGCTTTTCTTTAGGTTTAGGATGCTTTCAAATCTTTTCGGCTGCACTACTTCGTATAGGCTTAAAATTTGATTTTAATTAATATCACTAAAGCTACCGTAAATATCTTATCAGCCCTAGGCTTAAGTTTTAACCTGCATTAATCTGATTAAATCTGTGAGCAATACTCCACTCAACCAGTAATATTGCAGATAAAGGATCGGTTTTATGGTTAATCGGGGGGTCTTCAGCAATTCTTAAGCTTAAAAGGCTCTGGTAAACTGCATAATAAGTAGTGCATTTTAGCAATAGTCACACTTGTGTTGGGATGGTCGATCCCAACTTAACAACCTTTAAAGTGTCAAGAATACATTCCGTTACGCAAGCCTCATTTTGTGGATGGGGCAGTGTTTCCTGCATCCTAAAGTATGCCTATTTTTTAAAGTGGCAGCAGAGATTCCGTTATGTAAACAGTAATGATTTGATATAACTGACATAAGCCAACTAATACTCAAAGCAATAGCATAGGAGGGGATAAAACAAAGCGATGAATAACCTGTAGATTTGAATAAAGAGCAAAACCCAAATATTGCCTTTTCCCTTTCTGTTACTTCTGTAAATGTGCGTTAACCACTTTGTATGGATTGGAAAGGTGAGACAAGAAAGGTGGCAGTGCACACATTATGCTTCAAAAATTCAGGTCTCCTATTATGCGTAAAGCATACCTTGAAAAATCGCTGAGATGACGCATTTCCTTTAGTCCACCTTTCCGCATTGACTGCTTACTGCAATGCATGTATACAATCTACATAATCTAGGATAATGCATCTGTTAAAAGGCTTGTTTACCAAGTAAGGCAATACAGCACTTTAAATTTTGTCAGTGCTCGATTGGACATGTTTTTTAAGAGAAAAGTTTGTGTTGCCTCGTTGGATATACAGATTAAAGCTTTCCTTTTCTTTTTTTTTTTTTTTTCTTTTTTTAGTTACCCCAGCTTTCTCTTCTCTTATATATTGCATTATTAAAGAGGCTATACGCACTCTTCTTTCAGACAGTTTTCAATAGTTTTATGATACCTCCTTCAGCTGTAACAACTATAGCTTTACAAGGAGCAGCTGTAGGTGTATCATGTCAATTAGCCATGAGTAGTCTATGCAGAAAACGAGAAAAGAATATTCAAATCAAAATTGGAAAGTTTTTTCTTGGTTTTTGCATGGCGATAAAATCAGGGCTATTTTTAACATTTTATGCAAGGTAAAAAAAAAAAGAAATGAAGTTACTGTTCTGCAAGCAGACAACGATATTCACAGTGCAAATTTGGAATGTCTATGTAAAGTCAATGGAAAGCATGTCTTATCACAGGCCGCTTCGCTGATTTGTTTTATCATTTGGCCATGACAGCAGGCAATCATGTCTTGGTTACTCGAGTTCAATCAATTATACCCTTCGCTTGGAAAAGCCGTGCACTTATATTTCACTCTACTCTGACCGTGTTGCGATTTTTGATTGGTATAGTGGACGTTGCAACCGTTCATCTCAGTTATTTTGAAGATGGATCCTGTGAATATTATGACGCGGAATTCGTAAGCACAGCAATATATTGTGATGGATGTTAACTGTAGATACATACTCACTCTCTCTTGCAATTTATATGTACATATCATCAGTGGGGTCCTGTCTATACACTGTACGATACCGTCGTTGACTTTTATGTTACACTGATGATCTCAATTGTCCTGATTAGTCACATTCGGTCCATCATATCTACCAGAATGAAGGTCAATACCCTTCTTTACACGTCTGTTATTTACAATAATGTCTTACGAACACTTTGTATTACAATCGTTAATTTGATGTCAACATTGTTAATTATAATGGTACCTGGACAGCATTTGTACATACATTGTTGGCAATGTATGTTAGTGAATATTTTATCAAAGATAACAAGTTCGACTTACAGTTTAAATGGTCTCTTTTATGCTTATAGGAGAACAAAATGATAAAAATTATGCTGTTATGGCCGATTATCAATATCCTTATCGTCTGCCTTGTGGGTTACGATTCCGATGTCACAAAAGCAATACAAAAAATAAGACAGAGACATTGGCAAACTCTATCAGCAACAGCAACAAGTGTCACTTTGGATTTGAATGAGTTTCCGATGAATGAAGCAGGATTATCACATCTACAGCAACAACCACAAGAACAAGAACAAGAACAACAACAACAACAACAGGAGCAGCAAGGACAGCCTTATCAGCACTTCCGAAAACCTTCACTGACCAGACGACACTCGGACTCTGCACTGGCGGAAAACTTGTTAAGCGACAAGTTTGACAGAAATAACAGTGAGCATCTTTCGATCACAAGCCATTGGAAATCAGTGGTCCCCTTGACGGCTACAAATGCTGCTTCTCAACATCTTCAGCAACAATTTTCTCCATTATCAGATTACGATAACAATTTACTGCATAACCTACATATACTGCTTTCCAACACATCATCTTTGCAAGGATCTACGTCAAATAATACTATTGACAGCTATGTCAAAGGTCAGTCTGTTTAATCAGAAAGCATTCAAATACCAATCAATAGCCTCGCTCTTATAACCTACTACTACTACTACTATTACTACTAATCTAATTTTGTAATGATATTCTTTATCGCTGATGATATTGTACCTTTATACCCCCAACTAAAAAATTTTGTTCTACTTGATTTGCTTCTTGCAAAGACCCTTTGTAATTCATTCAGCTTTATATTGATTGTCTTTCAGAACTTTAGTTTACGCAATATCTTTACAAATATCCTATCTTCCAAACAAAGTGAAACAATTGGCACTTGTTTTTAGCTTTAAATTTCATATGCTTTACATTTGAGACCATGCTATTGTGACAAAACGGCAGTTTTAACGACAAGGAGTCGAAACGATGATATTGCTGGCATGTACTCTTTAAACCCGTAACAGCGTATCAATTCGTTTTGTAAAAGACAAGAACATTTAGTAAACGAATACAATAACAAAAAGAAGGCTGAACATAGTCTTTTTATTGAACACAAAATTGAAGAGCCAAGTGGTGTTTTCTTCGAAGCCATATTTTCTCGAGTGATGGAGTTGTATAATATACAAATCTGAACAACCTTCAAAAGTATGCATACTTTAAAGTCGCTTAACAGCCCAAAAAAAGAAGAGTTAATAAACGGAGTTTTACCCAACACCCAAAATAAGATCAAAGAAAAAAGGGGGTTTGAGCGACCTTTCAATCTCGACAGTTTCCGTGCGTCTTCAAGCCTGTAGTTTTCACTTTGTGTTGCATATACCATTAATGTGCCCAAAATACATCCAACTTTGAAATAGTGGGAACAAAGAAAAAGATAGCAATGAATAATAAAGCAAAAGCCCGCTATAACAGTCGGCTGTCGGACGAAAGTGATGTCGTACCCTTACGACAAGATGTCGATGGTATCGACGAGATTCCTCAGCAGCAACAGCCTTCTAATGCTTCACTCATCGATCATGCCATAAAAGAGGAGGCGGCAATTCAACACAAACAAAGTATGGTGAAGACTTCAGCTGTAAATTTATTTTGGGTTCTTATGTGGTAAGCTAACAAATGTCGCATTATCTATATCCGCTCTATTTTGAAACATTATTAAATATTTATCGTTATAGGTACACTGTAAGCAAGCCTTGAAACCGACAACAACATAATGAACAAACAAGTTTACTTATTCTGAATTATTCCTTGTTTTTCTTTATTTGAAATAGTTTGCGACCGTGCTATCAATTTATAACAAATGGATGTTTTCAGAAAACCATTATAATTTCCATTATCCATTGTTTGTCACAACTTTTCATATGATTGTTCAATTTGTATGCTCCGGATCTACATTATTAGTAGTTCCAAAGTTGAGGCCCAAGAAGCGGCCGAGCAGCAAAGACTATATGTAAGGGTTCAAGATGGACTGGGCTTTTATAAACTGGTTATGTGAATTGAAGACTCACATCCAGTACACCCATTAGGTATAAAGTGTTTCCATGCGCCTTGGCTACGGCTTTAGATATTGGTTTATCCAACTTGTCATTAAAGACCATTACACTATCATTCTATAGTAAGTTAAAATTCATGTAGTAGTATAGGTGTGGTAAGTGTATTGATCATGTAAACTATTCATCAATAGCCATGTGTAAATCATCCACTCTTGCTTTTGTTTTAATCTTTGCGTTTTTGTTCAAGTTGGAAAAGCCGACCTGGAAGCTGGTGACTATTATTGTTATTATTACAGTGGGCGTTGTATTGATGGTAGCCAACGAGACCGAATTTGACGTTGTAGGGTAACGTATTATTCCTCTCTGGGTTGGCAGGTTAGCAACTGTTGTATATTGATTAATTTATTATTTTCCCTGGCTCATCTAGGTTCATGCAGGTCATGTCAGCTGCTGTTTGTGGTGGCCTCCGTTGGTCACTCACAGAAGTGTTACTACGTAGAGAAAGTATGGGCCTAACCAACCCGTTTGCTTCCATTTTTTTCTTGGCTCCTGCTCAAGGTATCATTTTGTTTGTTATTTCTGGTCTTGTGGAAGGATATATCACAATTTTCAATAGTGCTTTCTTCATTTCTTTTGCTGAAGGGTTGAATACTGTAAGTACACGTATGATATAAGGAAAAGAAAAGTTCGCTCGTTATCTCGGCAAAATAACTCCGTTTTATATAATTTGAAATAGATTGCTATCATTCTTGCGGGCGGTTCACTTGCATTTTGCATGATCGTCTCTGAATTTTTCTTAATCAAACGCACTTCCGTCGTCACTCTCAGTGTTTGTGGTATTTTCAAAGAAGTAGCGACTATTTTCATCTCTATGCTTGTCTTTGGTGACGTTCTCACTATTGTCAATACAATCGGTTTATGTATTACTTTATTTGGTATTGGTTTGTACAATTGGTTTAAATTCAACATCGTATCAGCAAGAACGCGTAAGGAAGCGGCCGAGCTGGAAAATGAAAGGATACTTGCCATAGCGGAAGATAATGAGCGGAATAGAGAGGATGACGCTATGAGTGACGACATTGAGGACGATGGATTCAATATCGGAAGACGAAGTGGAGGCAGCTTTGATTCAGATGGATTTAGACGAACAGCTTTTTACAGTACAGTTGCTGAGAGTACACCGTTCTTATTAGTGGATGGTGGACTTACATCAGCCTTCAATAGAAGCAGCCACGATGAGGATGGGGATGAAGACGACTCGCTCCATAGTAACAACGACGAGGAAACGGGAAATCATCGTCGACATCATACTGATAATAATAATAATAATCGTTTTTCTAATGAACGTTACGAACTTCACTGATACCCTTCTCAATAAACCTTTTCATCCAGTTTTCTGACAATTTAGGCTAGAAACATTTCTTTCTTTCTTATTATTCGCTCAGATTTCTAGACAATTGGTAGCTTTGTAGCAACCTCGATTCTCTTACACACCCAAAGTGTACCTATTTGCTGTTGAATTCATGGCTTTCATCAATGAATAGCCGGCAACAGCTGATGTTTTCCAAATACCCGCTTTACTTGAGGAACGAAAACCGGATTTTCAATCAAATTTGGTGAAGGACAATGATAGCTTCTTATAGATATCGTAATGAAAACCAACTGTAAAATGTTCACATTTGACACATTTTATGCTTTACGATAAATAGCCAAAATTTCTTCGATAACCCTTATCCAGACAACAATAGTTTCTATGAATTCTTCAATGTATTGAAGCGAGTCTGAGGTGTGACTGTATTTCATCTAAAGCCTCAATTTTGAAAATTCCTAATGCTGTGTCAGGTCCTTTTTTAATATTATTCCGAGTTTAACTCGTACATTTACAGAAAAATTATAAATATCACGCTATGGTCGCTAAGAAACAGCAGTCTAGGAAACAAGCCAACAAAAAATCAAGCGCTAAGTCACATACGCATGAAGATAAACCAAAAGAACGAGCACCAGTGATAGATTCTGATGATTCTTCAGAGGCCTCATCAGTAGAAGATGTTGATGAGGATATAAATATGGTTGACGATGTTGAAGATGAGGAGAATATGAGCGAAACACAAGAGCAAAACAGCGGCGATTCGAGTGAAGAAGATGACGAAGATGTAAATAGTTTGAATGAGTCTGATCTAGACGACGAAGCTGATGATTTGGAGTCTGATGAAGACGATGAAGTAGAAGAAATGGATGTAGATGGTAAATATTGCATTTTTACAAGAAAGTTTTTTGGGTACTACATCTGTAAGGATGAAAAGGATATATGTAATGTTAAATATGATGTTTTCTTGATATTTTAAATGGACAGGTTTAGCAAAAAAACGAACAAATAAATATGATACAGAGGCATTTTCCAGTGCTATGACAAAGATTCTATCGCATAAGCTCAGTGGATCTGATAAAAAGGTAAGAAATTTGAACAGCAATCAGTATCGTCTCCATTACGATTTGTCATTAAACTATTGTATGTTTTAAATTTAGCAACCAATTTTGGCGAGATCAAAAGGCGTAGAACGTAAAATTGAAGATGAAAAATTAGACTATAAAGCGCGTAAGATACTAGCTGCTCAGAAAAAGGCAGCAAAAGAGAAAGGACGTGTGATTCCAGACTTTACAACATTTGATTACGAAAAGAAATTAAGGAAGGTAGCGACCAGAGGTGTAGTGAAGCTATTCAATGCTATTAGAACACAACAAAAAATGACAGAAGTAGCAGTGAATAATGCAGCTTCGACGAAAAAGACTTTAAATGCCATTGAAAGGGCTAAAGATGTGTCCACTATGTCAAAATCTAGCTTTTTAGATCTCTTGAAGTCTGGCAAAAAATAATCTCATCATGTATCCCTTTTTGTTTGTAATTCTACACTTTATATATTCTGCTCACGACATTTTACCCATTCTATTTCTCTACCAACTGTCTCTTTTCGCTTTGCTTAATGTGTATATTCTTTCTAAACTCGATCTTCCGGTTTCTATAATCGCATTACTCTAATCAAACAGTTATTATAAAACGCCATTGCTAGTAAAAGCAATGTTCAACTTTTTTTTTTTTCCCTGGTTTATTATGATTCAGGTTTTGGTATTCTTAAATGGCTGCTACAAATTTAATACACTATAACTATCGCCTTGAGGGTGGTTGTGATGAGGCTGTTTGCTGAGCATAACTTTCCGCTTTGATTGGGTCAACTATACCAGTACCATGTTTGCCTAAACCTTCACCTTTCTTCCACCCCATTTTCTGTAGCATTTGTGCACCTTTGTTCGAATCGGAAATAGGTACGTGCATAGAAGCCTGTTGGATAGCCTCACTACTCGCAATTGAACGTTGAGCGTTGCTAGAAGAGAAAGGAGTTGCTAATTTTATATTTTCAACAGTAAAGCACTTACATTTCTCGCGGTGCCACAGGTTGTTTATAACCTCCAGGTCGTGATGAAGGTATCACTGGTTTATCTGGTTGCCCATAAGTTTGTCGTCTTTCGGCTGCCCTATTACGGTACTGTCATGAAGGAAGCTATGTCGTTTAATTGAACGATAGCTTTTGTCGTTAAGTGCAATTCTTTTCAGTTACCTGCATCGAAGGCTCCTTCTCTTCTGAATCGGACTTTAAGAATTGCAACTTCAACTTGGCTTTGTTCACAGCTACAGGATCATTCAAATTGGTCTATTGTTTTTGTCAAAGAGAAGAAAAGGGTTCCAGATGCAAAAGAGGAAAAAGAAAAAAAGAGAAAGAGCTTTCGCTGGTTATCATTCATAAGTTCTATGCTGATTTTCATACTTATAATATTTCACAAAAAAAAGAGCCCCCACTGTTAGAAAACTCTCATATTCTTTCTTCCCAATCACCTTAGTGAAAGAAAAGGAAGTAAAGAATGTAGATGCATAATAATATTGATGTTGCATAGTAATTTGTGTGTTTGAATCCGTACTTTGTGTAGTTCTGATAATTCTTGATGTCTCTCCAAATCAGCTTGAGACTTGAACTTTCTTTGACAAAGTAAGCAAGCCATGGCTGATAAATCCGCATAATTTTTAATAGCCTGCTCCTCGATCTCCCTCTCATGCTTCAATTCTTCCTTTTTTCTATTCCAACGTTCAAGATGACTATGAATCTGTAAAATAATGACAAAAGTTGATGAGTTGTTTCGAAGAGAAGTATAAAAAAAAACCCCAAAAAACACCCGATCAGTGAACACACCTTTTTCGTAGTCAATGGTGCAATACTGCCAGGAAGAGCAGTTTCTTTGTCAGAGCGCTTACGCTTACGATTGTCTGTTGTTGCAGAGGCATTTTGAGCGGCTGAAGGCTCAACCGTATCGGAAGCTGAGTTGGTTGAAGTAGCTATTGTTGTACTTGTAGTTTTTGTGCTTGTTTCGCTCGTTGTTTCCGTTACAAGCGAAGAAGTAACTTTCTGTTCTTCAACGAATTCTTTCGTACTGCTCTGTTTCTTGTCTATTTCTGCGCTTTTGAAGCCATCGTCCTTTCTTTCTGTACCTTCTCCTGAATTCTCTTGTTCTATTTTTGAATGAATGACAAATTTAAAAGCAGGCTTATGTGGTTGTGGATTAAACATTTTGCTGTTTGTTGAAAAGAATTTGAGAGAAAAATAGATGCTCCAAGAGTAGACAGAAGCGATTGACAAAAAAAAAAAAAAATAGATGATCTGACTTTGATTTAAAAAAAGACCACTGTTACAGTAACATAGGATGCCAAACGTGTATCCAAACTACTGTCCTTATTTTTGGCTCAAGTAAATAGCACCTACAGAGAAATGCCTATCGCATATATCTGAAATAGCTCATTTTAATTGTAGAAGCAGAATAGTTTTGGTTTTATTATAGATGAAATACCTATTGATCGCTTTTTTGAACAATAAGATTGTATACTCTTTGCTTATTTACAGAAATCTAACGATCAAGATCCATGACTGCTATGGAAGTAACTATTAACGTACTCCAAAAGTTTCAACACTGAATCTTTATTACTCGACAGTGAAGGCTTCTATAGGAAAACATAAAATGATCTGACCTTTTTTCCTTGTTTGTGACCCTCTCTGTCTTTTTTACTTACAGAAATCAGGAACAATTTTTCTAAGTTCTATAATACTTTCGACTGCATTAATGTATCGGCGAAGTTAAGTCTCTTGCTTGGCAATGAATCATAATCACAAAAAGTAAGGATCATCGTTGGCCAGTAAGGTTCTTCTAGAAAAAAAATAGAAAAAAGGACGAATACCATCCCAAATAGTAAACTACCTAACTGAAACTGTTAGGCCAAAACTGTGCACAGACGCCTTAAGCCTAACTATAGGCGAGTTTTCCATGTGTTGGATCACATAAATTGGAACAACGTTAAGGTTTCTAAAAATACAATGCAAATTTTTGGATTTCCGCAAAACGCTGTGCAGTAAATGGAATTTAGGCTTATGAACAATGTCTTGGTGATAGATGATTAAAATTGCTTATTTTTTTATTTTTTTTCAATTCTTTAAAAATTCTGAAACCCTCTCTTCCTTTTCCCATTTTCTGATACATTACAACAACCTCAGTTTCCAACAATGCTAAACGACACTCAAAAAGGATACGACATCGAAGATTATCCAGTGGTCGTTGGTATTGATTTTGGTAAATGCGATAACCGCGTGGTGTAACTGTATCATACCTGATCTGCTAAACTGATGAAATTTTCATCCACATTGATAATAGGAACTACATTCTCGGGCTGTTGTTATGCTTTTGCTCAAAATGAAGAAGTGATTGATATTGTGAAATGGTACTAAACAAATTTTAAAGAGGGTTGCATGTACATAACACTGACATTCAAAGGATTACACAGGCCAAAACAGAATAATAATATATATCCAAAGGTAAATGAAGAAGGAAATCGAAGCAACTGTGACAGTTATAATTAGCTTACTTTTAATAAACTAACGCCAATTATAGACGCCTTCATTATCATTGTATCGGAAGGGATCAACGCAGATATTAGATTGGGGACATGGTGCGCGGCGAACAGCCATGAAGCCTAATAGTGCCGACCTTTTACTCTTATCGAAATTTAAGCTTTACCTCGACGAACATTTACGAAATGAAGTTCTTCCAAATAACCTCAACATCATTGATGTGATTGCAGATTACCTTCGTTCGTTTCATCAACATGTGTGCGCAGAATTATTAAAAGGATTTGCAGGCAACTATGATCAAAGCAAATTTAGATATGTGAGTTAACTTTGATATTGACATTGTCTCGAGCTACTGCTCTAGATTCATGTGCATTTTTTTTGGGGGGGGAGGTTTGGAAGAGCACCATCCATCTAATTGCGCAAACGTAACTTTTCACTAGTGCCTAACAGTGCCTGCAATCTGGACTGACCGTGCCAAATCAGCAATGCGTGAAGCAGCCATTCGCGCGGGACTCGTTACGCGTCATGATCCACCTGAAAGACTAGCCCTAATTTCAGAACCTGAAGCTGCCGCTTTGTATTGTGAAAAGAAATCAGATCAGTTTAATTTATCACACGGACAACGATTTATGATTTGTGATGCAGGTGGTGGAACAGTGGATTTGATTGTATTTGAAATAGAAGAAAAAATACCAGGAAGGTTCGTGTGACCGCTAGTAACATTGACTTGCTTGGTTGAGGAAAGAAGAAAAGAGGTGTTCATGAGGATAACGTGCTGGATAGATGTATACAAATACTTAGCAGCTCTAAATATTCATTAATTTAATAGACGGTCATTGAAAGAAGTAACGAATGGACAGGGTGCTACCTGTGGGTCAGGGTTTTTGGATTCAAGAATGCGTGATTACATAACGCGTAAATTCGTACATTTGGGGCCCATTAATGAATCAGCTATGGAACATATAATGGAAAATTTTGTTAATATTATCAAAGTAAGTTAGCCGCACAGGAAAAAATAGATATCAGCAATTGATAAAGTCCTGATAAATCTAACGTTGTATTTCTCTGAAAACTGTTTCCAAAATCACTGTAGCCTGAATTTGATGGTATAGAGGACCATTACTTAGACTTACCAGCATCTATGGGCTTAGCTGATTTCACGGACAAAACAATAGGTTTGGAGAATGGTTGTTTGTTATTACCAGTGCAAGAAATGATCAATGAAGTATTTGAGCCTGTTGTTGCTCAAGTGCTCAGTCTAATCGATATACAACTACGCCAGTCTCCTAACTTGGAAGCTATTTTCTTAGTTGGTGGATTTGGTCAATCTAATTATTTATTCAAACGTGTGGAGGACATTTTTGCTGATCGAGTGGGTATGATAGGTGTCCCTCCGCGGGGTGAACTGGCTGTTGTACGAGGCGCCGTATACTTTGGCCTGAACCCTCAAACCGTTACTGAACGTGTATCTCGTCGTACATATGGTGTAGAAACGCGTATGTTATTCCAAGACGGTATTGACCCGCCAGAATTTGCAGCTATTGGTGTGGATGGTAGGACGTATTGCCGACAACGATTTAGTGTCTATGTACATAAAGGACAAAGTGTAAAAGTAGATGAGTGTATATCAAAGACATTTGTTATCAGTTACCCTAATGACACTGACTCCGACCTATACGCCTATGATGGGGATGGTCCTGTGCCCCGTTTAACAACAGACCCTGCAATCCAAAAAGTAGGTCACTTCCCCATCCGCATGCCAACATTGGAAGGCGTAAAGTCTGGTGACAAGGTGACACTGACGATCAGAATGTATTTCGGACTTACAGAAATTAAAATAGAATGCGTGATACAAGATCAAGTGTTTGTGTTTACGTCGGCTTTTGATGCATCCGACGCCATTGTACGACCTCCAGTAACACCATCCGTCAATAATAATAGTATATACAACATACAAGACACTTACAATATACAAACGCCACAATCTACAACATCAATGTATCCACCAATTACAGTTTCCACAAATGCCTGTGCTACCCATACAAGGTCCTCCAGTGTAAATCAAGGGTATCATCCTTTACCTCATAATACTACTCAAGGCACTAATATGGCAATGTACAACTACTCTGAAGCTAATACTCCCAATAACAATACTATGTCGTTCGTCAACCGCAATTCGTTATATACGAAGCCTTCTATTTATAGTTCGCCTGGAATTAGTCAAGAACTATATAATCAATCACAGCAACCTCAACAACAAGCTTATCCTACAACACCCACAGGTTATTATAATAATGCCAATTCTGCGAATTATCCTTCGATGTACCCACCTAAGACTAATTATCGCTAATGATCAATCGAAAACTAATAAATTGAACTCTTATACAGCAATGTTACCATAGAATATTTCAAGGGTAGTAGCAGTAGACGGTAAAGTGCCGAAAAGCATGTTAATACAAATGATTCCATTCCCACCCATTTAATTTAGTAGAATAGAGTTTTATTTATCTTCCAATTTATTAGTTACAACCTCCCACATTGGGTAGGAAAAGACAATAAGGGTTTTCGTTCAATCACCTGTCATCATAATAACTTTGAGCTTCAATAATTTCCGACTTCTAAACACTATCTCTATTTCATTTAATGTACAAAATGACTGGCCGAGAAAACCCTGACAATATAAAACAGGAAAGATCAATATAGGTTATATAATGCATAAGTCTATGGAGAACATTTACCTTTAGATTCACTTTGGGGAACCCCCAAGTCGTGATGCTCTCTGAATCCCACTGTATTTATCAGATAATCTGTATATTCTTCAGGTCGAAAATGTAATTCATCCTCCACTTTGGTTGATGGCTGAAGAAGAAAGATACATGTTAGTTTCTATTGAGGGCTTTATTTTGTCTTTTGCAATCATGGCTACTTTACATCAATAAGTTTTGCCTTCTTCTGATAGGTCTCAAATTCCTGTGGCTCTAAAACCAATGTACCTCCTGGCTTCAAAGTATCGTGTATTTTTTGGAAGAAAGCTTTCAAACCCTCATCGCCACGATGCAAATGAATCCATTTTGTAATACTTAGCCTGTTCAAAACAAGCGATCAGTGGAATGAAAGAGTACTACATAGCCTCTTTTGTGATTACACTTACGCTAAGACAGTATCGTACGTTTCTTTCTCTACATCTGCTGTTGTCCAGTCCATTGTCTCGAATGTTACATTGTAAGGAAAACCTTTCGGCTTTGGGCAATTTGGAGGCAACGTCATAGGTAGCATGCCGAACATATTGGTCATAGATTGTGGAAAGTAGTGAAAGCGTAAACTTAGATCGAAGGGCATTGTTGTGGTATTTATATCGTTTGTTTCATGAGGATTTTGAAGCGAATATGCCACACGGGCATTTTTGTTTGCTTTACTTATCAACCCCTCATCAATATCTACACCGTGTATGGAGATAATATCGTACATTTTCGCTATAGTTTAGCATGACACAAAGTCAATTATTACTGTTAGACTAAGATAGGAGCACTAATTTTCTTAATGATAGTATTTGTTTTACCTATGGCTATCGTCAAGTTTCCAGAGTTGCAACCTATATCCAATATGCGTTTATGCTTAAATACGCTAGCATCAACGAGATCAATGCGCGGATCAATAACAGCATTGCCTTGTTTACGTCGTTGACTATTTTTGAAACATGTTCGTGAATGTTGTCTCAATTGAAGGTAACTTCGTTTTCCTTCTTGCTATTAAACATTCATACGTGTAATAAGCTGGGTAGTTACCGTAAGGAAAGCTACCAAACGTATTCTTTTTATCTTCTTTGCGTTCATTTGTTTTCATCTTGGCATTGCTGTTTCTACCGCCATTATATCTCATATTACTGCCAAATCTTGGTGGTCGTCTTATTATTTTGGCTCTTTGGCCACGGGTTGAGAAAGATCGCGTCGATTGATCTGTTCCGTCATTCATTTTGGTATGTATTATATTCTTTTCCTCCCTTTATTCGTGAAAAATCACAGAGAAAGGAATTTGAAAAAATCAAAATTCATGCTTGGATATTCCATGCTTCAGTAGAGGGGTTCTTTTTTTATTATTTGGGCAGTTGCAAGACTACAATTTAATACTGTCTAATATTTTACTACAGATATTCTTATAGTGCCAAGGGTCCCCCATAATACGCCTAAACCGTATCCCTCTCATTCCTAATAACCAAGGTATTTTTACTATATAAATATCGAATCTAACAGCTTGAGGATCATCTATAGAGTAGTCAAATATGTATCGCTTTGATTTTGCTGCAGACGTCTGTTGTTGTCGTTGTTGTTCAACCAGACAACTTGTCGTTTCCTCTTCGTCAGTGAAATATACAATTGTCATAGTGGGGTCGTTTCTTATTCTATTAGGCTTACTCAATAGCACACATTTAAATCGATCCTTCGTTTCTTTGAACTCAATATAAGCATTGGCTTGTAATACACGAACGATTTCCTTTCGGATTTCAGCAGGTTTTTTATTGGATGTGGTGGATACAGAGAACAACCCCCTGATATATACTGATTTAACAGATAAATCGTCTGCTTGATCCATCGTCATTTGATTGCAGTCGTTATTGTTCGCTTCGGTCCTTTCGTGTTGTTGTATAACAACTGTATCAGCTGAAGTTGAAGCGGTGGGTGGAGTTGCTGAGGACGGAGGCAAGGTGAGATACATGTTTTCTGGATGAAGGGGAGTAACAACTGTAGTAGCGTTGACTGCCGCTCCTGCAGTATGATTTTGCTTGTTTTCCAGTGTGGCAGACCCACAAGTTGACTTTCGCCGAATCTGAGCATCGAATTGAGGGAGATGAGAAAACCGCCGACGGTAGTCTTTCTTCGCGCTCATTGAAGTGGCACGTTTAAGGAGCCTATTCCATTTGCTGTTATGAGTACCATTCAGTTGACCAGTTTTATTTGTGCTGGTAAGAGAAGAAGGCTCTTCTGGTAGGTTGATAGTCACCACAGGCTGAGCGTTGTCCGCGCTGGCGGAAACTTTAATTTGCTCTTCTTGTGCAGAAGCCATATTATGCCTTTGATCGTAAGGATGAATGTTTATGATAGAGGGTGGAGGAGGTGAAGGAAGCATATTGTTTTCTGCTGCTATCACAGCAGTACCAGTATGTGGTTGTTTGCCGCCTTCATTTCCTATGCGACGACTTAGACGACGAAATAAATTAGGTTGTTTGGTTGTTGGTTTAGAGGATGCATTCGATGATGCACTGGATGCTGATGTGGTTGTAGGTGTTATTTCCAGCTTGGGTATACGCAATACAGTTTCTTCTTCTTTTGTGAAATCCAGAGCAGCTCTGCCATTACTGGATAGCTGCGCTGACATTTGCTGTGGAATGACTTGTTCTTCTTGTACTGTAGATTGGTACACATCTCTTTTACCTTCTGCAGTATAAGAAATACCAACAGTTGGTGTATCTGTAGCTGAAGTTGCAGATAACCGATGTGTTTGTTTGTCTTCCTTTTGCATATGTTCTTGTACCAGGTAATAAACAGAGATCAAAGGATGAAATGCTGGCGGTGACGTCTGGGGAGCTGGTGGTATCTGTTGAGATGGGAATCCCAGAACGTAAGGTAATGATTTTCTACGGACTGAATGCAGCACATTAGTCCCGCCAGCTTCCACTCTTTTTGTATCCATTTCTTTTGTACTTTGCTGATATTCCTCTGATGTTATTAGTGCTTCTAATTCCTTTTTTATCGATTCTTCCGTGCCAAAATCAAAACCTTTCATTCCTCTGATAACATTCATATCCACTGGTAGTTGAAGTGGTTTCCGTTTTGGAAGATGATTATCTACAATGCTATCATACCCTCTATTCATCCAAGGATGGTATAAAACCTCTTGCAAAGTGGCTCGATTTTTCGGTTCCGTTACTATCATACGCTGTAACATATTCCTGCAATCTATGAAAGGCATATTTTAATTCTAATTCCAATAGTTCTGAGACTAGAGTCAGCTGCGACGTGCAAATATGATTTACCTGAAGACAGGTGAGCCGGATAGTTTACATGGCCTTTTTTCACTTTAGCATGCATACCGCCCATAGTAGGATCGTCAAAAGGCACTTGCCCACATACAAGAACGTAAATGATAATACCAAAACTCCATATATCCACCTCCGGCCCTGTATAAACACGTCCATCCAGCAATTCAGGTGCCGCAAAGTAAAGTGATCCACAGAAAGTGTTTAGTTGAGACTTGGGAGAAAATACATTAGATAATCCGAAATCAATGATTTTAATAGTGCCTATTGTAGATAAAAGGATATTTTCCACTTTCAAATCTATCAAAAAGTATGTACCATCATATTGTAAGAAAAGTATATTCATCAATATCTACTTCGAATCGTGAAACATTTCTAATTGTTGCATATTTCATATTTTACCTCTGTGCACAATTAGATTGCGATGACAATAGTCTTTCAAAAAAAAAAAAAAAAAAAAAAAAAAAAAAAAAAAATTAAAAAAAAATGTGGAAATGAGTCATGAGAAACAACTGGTTTTAGTAAGTGAGACCCAAAAATAAAAATAAAATATCGAGCTCCAACATATTGTTAAAGGCTTATGAAGGATCGTAGACAAATATATACCTAAAGCACTGGCAATTTGACGAGATATGTCTCTAGCATGCTTTTCCTTGAGTTTTCCATGAGAAATAACATAATCTAACAGTTGGCCGCCATCCACATATTCCATAAACAAGTAATAATAATTATCCACAAGTGACATTTCATATACTTTGGCAATATTGGGATGGTCAAGCAGAAGCATAATACTTGCTTCGCGAATAGTTCGAATCTCTCTACTTTTATCTACATCTTTTGTTTTCTTCGGATCAGCAGAATTGCTATGAAATCTACGTGGTACAATTTTGACAGCGACCTTGATAGGATTTTTTTTTTTTTTTTTTGTAAAAGAATATCACTTGGTCAGTCTTTTCACAAACTCTCTTCGATATAAATGTATATGTAGTGAATGCAATGATATTGATGATTTACTTTTTCTTGGGTATCTATATTCGTCGCTAATTTTACTTTACCCATGGAGCCTTTACCAAGAGTTTTTGACAGGTAATACTTGCCCACAGTTTTATGTGGTTTTGACATAGATGGGTCTGAAGCTCTGCAATTATAATGTTTGATGTGATCCTCTTCCGTGGTGTATTGAACAGGCTTTATTTGGGCAGGTGCAAGCGCCATTATGCAGAGTTGCTGTGATAGAAATATGAAGAATGTATATAGGCGAAGCTAATTATGTGATTTTGTGCCTAAACAGAAGTTGGAGAAAGAAAGCAAAAAAGTTGAGAAAGGCAAGACATTGCCATAAAAATTAGTAATTCAACAGCGGGGTAATTTCTGCATGCCTTGCCTATCTACTTCGGTGGCACTTTTGGTGCGCTCAGACCACATTGCACAACTTCCCCCCAAAAAAAAAACCTTAAATGCGCCCCAGCTTTCGAAAGCTATAACTTGGTATCACTCTCTACATCATCGTTCCATTTATTCAAAACAGGAAATTTAAAAGCTTGATCTTGGAAGTACTGGACTGAGATAGTCCGAGCAGAGAAATGTTCCAGTTGGAATCAGTATAATGTATTATTTACACGCATTATAGGTCTTCTATGAATAGCAGTGATCTGCTTTCAACGTAGCAAAACCTGATGATGTTTGCGTGCAGCTAATGTCGGATGACAGTTATAATAGCTAGAATATTCCATATATTCATTAACAACAAGAGATTCAATGCAATTGAAGATGTTAAATGAGTAGTACTAAAATGATAACATCGGATATAATTCATTTATATATTGCATACTGACTGAGAATAATCGCATTGTAACCGTTCATTCAGATAGCTGAATCACAACTTTTTAATTTTAACAGTAACTGTAGTGGAATACATCAATGACGAAGATTTATATAATAAGGTACTCTTTTCGCTTTGAAATTACCTTTAAATAGCTCGCAAATGTGATGACAATAAGGCAAGGTTGACTCAAAGTGATTTCGAAAAGAGTTATAACGGACGAATATACACAGTTACCTGCGACAACTTCAGAGTCCATTGTAAAATAATCAAATTGTAATTGAGTTGTAAGCTATGAGTATATCCATTCAAATCGTTAATTGCTCTAGATGATCAAATATACCAAGCTAGACAATGAGTCGAACAGGAATTATCCCTCTACTAAATCGATCTTCTGTTTGGTCGATGAAAGTAAAGCTCCTCATTGGCCTCTGTCCACAATACTGACTAAAGCTGCTTTTCTACAGTTCAATTAAGATTAATAACACTCAGTCTTGATAGTTAGTTTCCTTTTGCTTTCCTTCTTCTTTGCAGTTTTTTTTAGGCATTACTTGCTAAACCCTTCGTTTTACTCTGTATAGTAAATTGAAACTTCTCATTGGTGTGTATAAAATTGCTTTTGTATGCATATTGGTGTCCTTAGTTTTGCACAGATAGTTGATTGTGGACAGAAATCGTACTGTTGCATTTGTTAATCCACTTTTCCGAGCTGGTTTCTTTACCTGCTTTATCCGTAATCTTTCTTTTATTCTAATTTTGCATTCTATTGTTACTCATTATTTGTTATTATAGGACAAGCGAATCTTGACTGATACTTCGAATGGTTACGATTTGAGCTGAATTCCGTAAGTATTAATCAACTACAGAAGCCAAAATTATACTGATGGGCTTTGGCAATAGATCTATCTAAAGTGTTCTTGCTTTATTTTTAAAGCTCGTTCTTGTCTCAAAATGCTTATTATTATCCGCTCCTTTAAGACCCTAAGCTAGGGATTTGAATCTGGGATTCCTTGTAAGCATACTACAAATGACTTTCCGTTGACAGTTATATTTATTAATAACTGAGCCTTATACTAGCAGCAGTTTTGTATTACACTCTTATTTTTGTTGAATTTAAGATTTTTTCCACGGTTTAACCTAACGCAAACGTCCTGATACGGTATGCTTATTTGCTCATCAGCGCATATGGTGCTGTCTTCTTCTACTAAAGATAATACACGTAAATTTTAAGTTACAACAACGTGCATTGAGTTGTGTATCCATTGCCCTTGCAATTTATACACTGGGACTTGAGATTAGCAACAAGAACCGGAATACTATTCACCTCTTAGAAGCACATAATTGATAGCACTGTGTCAAACACATTCAATTCCTTAGTCTATAAACTTAGTACAGAAAGAAAACTAATAAACTACGGTTACTCTTTAGCTATTGCAAAGACACTGTTAAAAATGTACTGCACGATTTTCAGTTCTAGTACAACTCCTTGCAGCTTCTAACATATTAGTAACTTATTGACCAACGAAATCACGCCAATTATTGTTACAGCAACGAGAAGAACAAACAATTCATGAGGATGTGAGATCATAACTTACCAAAGATTTGCTTATGTGGCTAACCTTACTTTATAGCTCGAATGTTACATTGATGCGGTCTATCAGCTTCTGCTAAGCCAGTAGGTGATATCTCCTGACAGTGTTACCTTCATTGTACAGATGAGCAACTCTGCCTTCGGTTAGTATTAAAGAGCATAACGAGCCCCTCTTGAAAGGGTAAAAAATTATTTATAGTCATTTACTACAGACTTAACAACAAAAAAACAGAGGGAAAGGCCAAATACCTTTTTTTTTTTTTTGCTTTCTTTCTTTTCAAGGAGAAGAAAAAACTTCTGTTTCTTCATGGATGTATAATAAGTAGAAGTCTGACTTAATCCTTTAAGGTGCATAATAGGTATAAATACCGGTGATGTTATTCCACACCAAAAAGATTCAACAATTGCCATATATACCACCTTGAACCATAGATATAAGAGAAGAAGTTAAGTCATCAATGCCTTGCGTAGTTTCACTATTACAACCGTCGTACAGGAAAATTCGAACCAGACCATTATTCATCACTAAAATGTACCATTTGGCCTAAAGCAGCTTTTAGTACTTCAGCTGAATCTATCTACTACTTAAGGCATTGATATACTAATCTTAGGTGGACCTTGTCATCGTGAGACGTTTCCCTATCCTTTGCAGCAGTTTAGTTTTAAACCCCAGTGATAGACACAATTCTTGCAGTAATTTTTCTTTTTTTTTTTTTTTCTTGTATTTTAACACTAAAAACACTTGCTCAACGTTAATTCCAGCAAAAACTAGATTAAATGTCGTTAGCTGGCTATTTTTTTGGTAACGTCGACGAACAAGGTCGACTTGAAAGTGATCTAGACGATGTAATTTCTTTTGTTAAAGAGCGATTTGAAGTGCAAGATTCCTTGGTTAACAAATATAATGCAACAAATTGGTTACTTTTAGGAATTGAAAGAAACGTTATCTAGCGTTGATGCAAGCGTGATGTCGAGGATTTTTACCGAAGGTACTTTTGGCTTGGAATCAGCACGTCCTAAAAGCGCCTCTGCAGACGAAGATCAAGACGAAGAAGACGAAGAAGACGAAGACGATGCATCGAGTGCACTTGGCAGTAGCCGCATACCCAACATACCTACCCACCATGCGAAGGACGCCGTTGATTATTCTGATTTTGACGAAACTGTTCCTGACGACCAACAACAACAACAGTCAATACTGTCAGAAAAATATTTCAGACGTGGTATGGGTATTTTACAACAACAGCAGAAAAGTCTGCCAAGATCTAGACTATCACTCGTGACAGATAACTATGATGACGATGAAGAAGCGGAGGAGATCAGCACACAGCAAGCTGAAGCTTCGCGTACAGCAATGGTTGAAAAAGAGATGCAATTGGATCGACCAATAAAACAGGAAGGGACAACAGACACAATCATGGCTGCTGCACCTGCGTTGTCAGACTCACAGTCCATGGAGCCAACAGATAAGAAAGGAGTAGACATTCAAGACTTATTCCCAGGTTTTGAGAAATGTAAAATTCTAAAGTTCTCCGAGTTATTCATGCCGAATATACAAAGGCCACCAAAGCTAACACCTCATAAGAGAAGTAAGTACGACTTTTTTGTTTGGGTTTGATGTACATGGTTAAGACGATCTGTTGTTCAATGTTTGTTTTTTGCAGTCATTTTTGGTGATGGATACGAATATGAAATGGAACGTGATGAACGAGCAGCATTTTTGAGAGCGAGTAAATTTGATAGATTCAAAATTGAAAGGGCAAAGCAGACAAATAAAAAGAGAAAGATCGAAACATTACATGAAGAGAATGAGAGTAGTGAGGAAGAAAGCGAAGATGAGGAATATTTAGATGATTTAGCGGAAAGGGTAAGTTTTTTCTCAAATTATAGGTCGTTTGGCAAACTTCAATGTCAATAATGTACTATTATCTTCACTTTAGGCAAAAAAAGCAGAAAAGTTACCGCAGATTATTGAAGATGAAAAATTATATCATTCAGTCGTGCTGGATAATTGGGAAGATGATATAGTTTGGGATGATGATAAAATGGAAGAGGATAACACAAATACGAATGAGAATAACGATAAAGTGGTCTTGAAACATTTGAACATGAACCTAGAGGAAGGAGATTGGCTGAATGCAGTGATTTGGGATAGAGAGAAACCACCAGCTGATTCTTTGAAAATTGAACTTGATCTCAACGATCCCAATATGCTATTTGATGTAGAAGAAGTTGAAGCGAGTAAAGAACTTCTTATACAACCTAAACACGTAAAGAAGGGTCGTAAACCTTTGCCAAGGCCACTACCCAAGATTCAAATCTACCATACAGAAACGGAGCCTCACAATAAGCTACCATTGAATCGCTTTAATTTATCCAATGATAAACATTATGAATCTCATTTGGCGGGCAGATTGATTCGTGTTCGACAAACATTCGGCCAGTTAGTCGTACAACATGCGCTACCTGCACTGAAATTACATCCTGCATTATATAAGACAAAATTATCCAAACAAGAGTTACGGTCCTTCCACCGACCGTTATTACAATTGCCTACCAATACAGATATTACCTTCTCACGATTGAAAGCTAGCAAAAAGAGCAGAAGAAGAGATAAGAAGAAGAATAATGTTGAGGAAATCCGCAATACTAAGGAATTGACAATGAAAGATAGTTCACCATTTGTTCTCTTTGAATATTCTGAAGAAAATCCACCCATCATATCCAATGTGGGTATGGGTACACTTGTTATCAACTATTATCGAAAAACCGAGCCCAAAGACGAATTCGTCCCTAGTGCAGACATAGGTGAACCCTTTGTGCTGGACATTGGTGATACTTCCCCTTTCATGACATTCGGTAATGTAGAGCCTGGACAAACGATACCTGTGTACTATAACAATTTGATCCGTGCTCCTCTCTTCCGTCACAATGTTCGCCATACTGATTTCTTGTTCATCAAAAGCACTTATAAAGATCATACACGTTTTTACTTGCGTGAAATACCCACTATTTATACCATTGGCCAAGTATATCCGGTTCAAGAGGTGCCTGGTCCTCATTCGCGTAAAGTGACAACCACGATTAAGAACCGGTTACAAGTGGTTGCCTATCGATTAATCAAACGTAATCCTTTACATCGATTGAAAATGAGCAAGCTGGCGCAGAAGTTTCCTGAATACTCTGATATACAGATCAGACAGAGGTTGAAGGAGTTCTTAGAGTTTCATCGCCGCAGTAAAGACGGTGGAGGAGGATATTGGAAAACACGAGGCGGCGGTGATCCACCTAGCGAGGAAGACTTGCGAAAAATGGTAACACCAGAAATGGTCTGTCTGTATGAAAGTATGCTTGTCGGTGAGCGTCATTTACAAGATCTTGGCTATGGGGATGTGAATGATGACGATGAAACAGCCGAAGGTGATTCGAAACTGGAGGTAGAACAACAATTAGCTCCCTGGTTTTCTACACGTAATTTCATCAATGCTACTCAAGGAAAGGCTATGTTGAAACTGTACGGTGCGGGTGATCCCACAGGTCGCGGCGAAGGTTTTAGTTTCATTCGTGTGTCGATGAAAGATATTTTCTTGCGTGCTGGTGAATCAGCCGAAGAGAAACTGGCCCAAATTGAAGCCAGGCCTAAAAGTGCCCACAGATACAATGTTGCTGAGCAACAGCAAATTTATCGAGAAGAAATTGCTCGTATTTGGAAGGCACAGTTGGAGTCACTCAGCAATAAAGTGGAACCAGAGTTGTCAGACCATGAAGAAGACGATGAAGAAGGCAAAGATAACGAACAAGTTGATAGCCCGTCAGCGGTAAGTTTTTTAATTTATCCATCCTACTACTTTTCTTCTCCTTTTAATCATTCCCCCTTATCACTATACGTAGTCTGAGTATGACTGGAACCATCGCCCTGGCATGTCGCCCTCACCCGCTACACCTCATAGACGATATCAACGTGCTACTTCTGAGTTCGATGATGATGACGATGTTTCTGTCACCGGCAGCATGAGCTCTAACTATCATATCCAAAATCAGAACAAATACCTCATCATTAAACGTTTGATCCGCCAGAAGAACGGCGAAAAGGTTTGGCAACAAGAAGTCATCCGTGATCCTGTTGTAATCAAAGCCTACCTGAGACAGCGACAAATGATTGAAGAAGAGGCAACTAGTGCTGAGGCATTAGAACCCACGGATGACGAGGAAAAGAATGCTCGTATGAAGAAACGTATTCAAGACCAATTGGCGAAATTGAAACGTAATGCAGAAAGACGCCGACAACGTCAACTTGCTAAACAAGCTGCTCTGGCGGAAAATCCTGTGCTTGGTCTAATTAGAGGCAAGAGAGAGGGTGCCATGGTAATTTTTTTTTATTTTTTTTTGTTATAAAAGATATCATCTAGCTTTACGCGGTCTGGCAGTTAGTTTTTCTTTGTGGAGACTAATACAAACTCGTTTCTTTTCCAGCGTCGCTGTGGCAACTGTGGCCAGTTAGGACATATGAAGACCAACAAAAATTGCCCTAAGTTTTACCTCAATTTTGTCGATGAAGATGGTAACCCTAGAACACCAAATGCACCAAGTACACCATCCATTATTCCTTTGGACCAACAACAGACACACCCGAGCACACCGTCTTCCTCTCTCTCAGGAAACGCACCCAATAATAATAGTACTGAATTTAATTCTTAGAAGTATTGATATATAAACTGTTTCCATATAACCCCTGTTGCTCATATCAGTAATTATTTCCGATGCTTTTCATTGAAATTGAACAATACGACTATTTATGTCTTGACGAATAATTTTAACCGGCCCAATAGAACGCTCCAGTGTCCATCTTTTATTCTACATATTTGATTTATGTAAACTGAATCATGTAGGAGCTCAAAATGGTATGGGAAAAATAAAAAAGTTGGATTTAAATAAATGAAGACTCTGCATTTTCAATATCCATTCTGAGGCACCATTATGGAATCTGTCAGTTTCCGTGCTAATAAAAAGTACGAATGAAGCTGCAGGAATTGGTTGGGTTTCTTTTCGTACTCATAAATCCTTTGTTTCCACCACTTGCGCTTTGTAATGCGGAATCCGTTAATAGGAATACCTCAACTAGTATGCAGTGCAACCAAAAAGGATTGACTAACCAACCTATGCTCGAAATAACAGTAATCTTAATTGACTTCTCTTTAAACTATTTTGAATGAATGAGTTGCGTGGTACGAGAATTCACGCAACTTTGCGAGAATCGTCGCAAAAAGATAGTACGGCGTGGAAACAACACTTTTGCAAGAAATGTCGCAGTTTATAACAATGCATTATAAAACGCATGTTGCGTGAAAACGTGCAAATTGATTCTTTTGCCTGAAAGCATGCAATTTGATTAATTTTTCGTCTACCGTTCACCTATGCTTCGTAGCAGGAATTCTGGCTCAATTAATTGCGCAGTAAATTACATTTACAGTATATCCTTTTATTTGTATAATAATACTATTCTATCATGAGTTTGGGACATCTTTGCGACTCATTTGTTTCCCATTTTTTTTGAAGAAGTTCATACAGAAATTTCCCTACACTTGAATGTTGTACGCATATTTCTTGCTTATATTGAAATATTTTCGTCTACCTCTTCAGCTTTACCTAAATGTATATTTGTATTTGAAGGTAGTAGCATCGTCCCCTGATATTATCTCCTTCAAGTTCTGTCGTCAAAGCCTTAACGAATAGGAAATATACGCTCCAATGATGATAATTATATATGTCATTGAGGCAAAGTATGGATAGGATTTTATGACGTTAAACGATTGCTATGTATCTCCAATCCTCTACAAAATGTCCACAATTCAAATTGTAAATAAGAAAGAATGATATATGCAAAAACCGCGTCTATTGGTATGCAAGTCCTGATGTAGTGTATCTATTATATACTCTATATGTATGTGTACATGTATAAAATCAGCTTTCAAACTGATACTAGCCATCACTCTTCGTCTTCAACGCGAACCACTCATTAAGGTACACTATTTTATAGAATCTACGTGAAATGAACCAGCATGGCTATATAACATTGTTATCAATCAGCAAAACTCAGTATAAGTGAACTGCTTCATTTTATTTTTTATTTTATTTTATTTTCATTTTCTATTTTGAATTATAATATGAAAAAAAAAGGTGTTGATGTTCTAGCCTACTTTCTAGGAAAGTAGTTGCCCAGGCAGCCCCCACGAGGAGAGACATCAACATGGCTGCCCATGGGACTGGTTGACATTAACCTTATGCTACCGGCTCACGAGGAACCGACAGACACCTATTTCAGGCAAGTGGCAACAACCAGCATTACACATGAATAGAAGAACCATCATAATACAATAGGAGTACTAGGCCCATCTACACAGAGGAAACCAGTTTAGAAATCAAAGCTACTGCAATATTTGTGCTGAGCTGATTTCTGAGTAAAGAAAAAAGAAGCGGAAATTCAGAAAAATGAGCGCCTTTATATACTTTTTGAAAACAATTGTAACTCCTTTTAAAAGACTGCTTTTTGACCCAATAGAAGTCATAAAAATTGGTCTCCTGTTAAAAAAATGCTCTTCTGCAGCTAAAGTATTCATATACAGCAATAAAAATGTGAATCCGCGCAAGTTTGTGCCTTAACTTTGATTTTCCATTTTTAAATGCCCCCGAGTTAAGCTATGAAAGCATTAGCTCACTTTTTTCCTGGACATCCTGCAAAGTGAATTGCAATTGGGGAGCAAGCATTCCACCTGTTGCAATGAAAATCAGGCTGCATTCATTCTTTAACGAGATCAGCATTTTTGTTCATCAGCTGATTTGAAAAGAGGCTTTCTGCCCCACTTCTGTATGTGTATTGCTCTCTGATACAATAATCTGAGAGAATTTGTTAGTGAAGAAGGATTTCTCATCTTTTCAAAAAGCTCATAATACACCATAACTTCTTCGCAATCTTCATAAAGCAAGAACCGAAGAAATGTATAGGATTTGAAAGTCAAATCTTGGCTAATCTTTCGTGTATTGGCAGGCAAATTAAGGCAAATTATATAATTTTATTTAATACAGAGTGTTTCGCTGTCCTTTGAGTTGTAACATAGCACTTGTCTGCAAAAAAGAAAACAAACCAGAGGTGCAAATCATGACTTAAAAGTGTTAAGCAGAAAGTCAATAGGGCTTCTGATATACGAATGTTACGAGATGGTTCTGAGCCAATCTTTTCAATTCTGGAAACATGTGGTTTAGTCAGATTGTGTACTTTATCTTCAAATTATGGGTATTTGCCTAATTTAGAGACGAAAAGGCTGAAGCAATTCCCAACTAAAAATTTTGTTGTCTTTTTTTTTTTTCTTCACTACAAACTTCCTATGTCTAATATTGCAATAAAGCAACCTACAAAGAGTATATTAAAACATACCTATTCTGAAGAACACCATCAGCTCAAAAATAGACAGAACGAAAGCTTGAATAACAACGTCAATAATCATATACATAACCCTTCGACTTGGTTCACGAAATTCAACTCCATTCCAAATAGAGACGATTTGGCATTAGCGTTTACCAATACTACTACAACGAATGCAGCAAAAACAACAACTCAAACACACAGACTACAAAGCTTTTTAGGCAGTCTACGAAAAGTTTCTCCGCAACAGCAGCAGCAGCAGCAGCAGCTAATAAAAGAACGAAACAATAACAACAACAATAGCAGTAGTATCGACGAAGAATTGATGAGTAAAGAATTAGCACCGAGACAACTTAGACGAGTTCGGTTCCCTGTAAAAAAAAATATATCGACAGAATATATATTCCATAAAAATGATGATACCCATATAGATAAGGAGAGATTACAACGACGGCGACAAGAAGCTGAAGAAGAGCAAGAGTCTATCCATATCCAAACTGCAGGCCAGCTATTGTCACTTTATGAATCCATTTGTAGAAATAAGCAAGAACCAACAATCGACCTTTTAGTGACAAAACTGATAGTAATATCATCCATGTTCATTTTGAAAGAAAAGAAAAAACGAAATTTAAACAACTGACAAACAAATTGCCTACCTATCTATTGTAGACACAACCTAATATGACCAATTTAAGGAAATTAGACTTGACAAATCAGCCATTGAATAGAAATAATGTCTCACCACTTGCAGATCTCCTGTGCATTGATTTTGGTATAAGAGAGCTTGTACTAAACAACTGTAAATTGGAAGATGATGTAAAATGGACAAAAACAAAAAGAGGAAAAAAGAACACTCTATAAGTTGAATTAGTCAATAGTCGTTGACCTGAACTCGTATTCTTGTTGTCCGTCTAATGATAGGCTGTCAAGATCCTTATGAGCAGCTTATTGGATAATGATCCTATCGAACAATTAGGACTTGCGGAAAATCCTAAATTGACGACAAATGGGTTCAAATATATAGCTATCTATATTAAAGCAGTAAGTTGATGTGGCATTATGAATATGAACGTATCGACAGGACGTAGAGGACTAAAAGCAACACTTGTGTCGTAGTCTAAACAATTGTCTAAGCTGGATTTATCCAATAATCAACTCCAGAAGAAGAGCTTACAATATATATTAGCTGCTGCTTCTGTGACGAAAGCAATGTCACCTCGACTGAGCCATCTTGTGTTGAACAACTGCAATTTGAAAGGACCCCAGTTAGAAGTGCTTGCTTCGAGTATTCGAACATCATCCATTAGAAAGCTTTCATTGAGGAATAACCGTATCACTCACCATGGTGCACTTTCCATCGGTGTCATGTTACGTGACTATGACAGCCTCAGCGGCAACAAACAACAGCAGGGCTTGAACACGCTATGGCTGGATCATAATGAAATTGGCCTAGGCAATGGCATTCAATATTTAGCCCAAGCATTGAGAAGGAATCAGAACCTTTATCATTTGTCGATGAGAGATTGCAAAATAGATGGGAAAGGATGCACATTACTAGGAGAAGCATTGAAATACAATCAACATCTGAAAAAACTAGACCTTGGCTATAATCCACAACTATGTACCGAAGAAGGAATAGCCATGCTGGGGCAAGCACTAAGAATAAATAAAGTATTGACCGAGTTGAATTTTGCAGATACAGGCTTAGGGACAGGAGGTAAAGAATGAACAGACAAGAGGATATGAGTAATAAATGGTATTGCATTTCAACGAATGGGATTGGGTCTCACGTTGACATTATATGTATGTAGCTACCATTACACTAGCAGAGTGTTTATCCGGAAATACATCACTCGAATATCTGGATCTTTCCAATAATGCATCTATAGGTTTAGCCGGCTGTATGGCCATTGCAGCCGCTGTACAAGTGAACCATGTTATTTCTCACATTGATCTTGGTATTCCTGTAAGTCGATATTTCTTTCATAGGCAGATTATTGTGGTCGTTCCAACTCTTTTGAATTGCGATAACAAAAAAAAAAAACTCATTCCATTGCCTAACCGTCTTTATTAGAGAGAGAATCAAGATATGGTGGATGTACACAATGGAATCATCGCAGCGTGTACGAGAAATGCACTTAAAAAAAAGGAGACCGAAGAGCAAGAACAACGACCCTCTCTTCCCCCAAGAAGCGACAGTGATAGTAGTCATAGCAAAAAAAGTTTGAATTTAACAGCGCACGCAACAGCCAGATTATCATTAGCGGAAAGATTAGCGGCTGTCACTAAGAACGCCAGTAATAGACGCAGCTTATCCAGAACCTCTTCTGAAAATTCGTTGGATAAATTCACCATGACCAGACCCATTGGATGCGACTCTACATTAAAAACAGCTGGGAAACCAAGCGACAATGGTTCTAACGCCAGCGAGGATATTTCTCGTCTGATTCAGGAAGCATTGGATGATCTCGGTCATTTGGAGTGTGCTTTGAATAGTGAGAAGCAAGTACATGATGATGACCTTGATACTATTGCGAATAGATGCAAAATGAGGCATAACATGATTTGTCTAGAGATACCCTCTGTGACAGATGCCGTACAGTTAGGTACGACTGCATAACAGTGTGCTTTGCTCTCATCTATTCGGATCTTATTTTTTTTACTGATTTCATTTGCTTTTAGAGTTGTTGCTAAGTCTCAATGATAGGCTAAATACAGTGATAAATGCGTATGAAGGAAGAAAAGCAAGGACTGCGTTATCGACCAATGGCAACGACCTTCTGCTACAAAAGACAGATACAGAAAGCATGACTCCTTCTTTTGAGATTGGTGATGAAGAGGACGAGGACGACGATGAAGACGATTATTTGGAAGAGTTACGTGACGAGATGACGGCAGAGGAAGGTGCGGCCTTTTTAAAAGCGAAAAAAAGTGATACAAATACAGTGGTAGATGCGGCGTGAATTGTAGCAGGAGAGTAAACGATAGACTTTGAAGATGTATGATCATTTGTAATAACCTTGTAAAAATAGAATACCATTGTTTCTAAAACAATAAACATTTCAGATAGAGCCTTCTTTGCCTTCTCTACTTTTTTGTGTAACAATATCAATTGAAACAAGCGGAATACAGGATATCAGCAAGTGTCTGTTGAAGCTCATGTCCAATGCCTCTTAGGAGTGGCATCAGGAGGATACAGCGCTCAGGCCGAGAGTCTGGGTGTAGATTTGGAGGCCGCTCATGGCCTGCCTCTCACTCTGGCTTTCTATTTCACGCTCCGATTTTAACCCTATTACATCTTTCATTCGCTTATTCTTTTCCCTTTTCTTTTTTCTGCTTCTTTATTTTATTTTATTTTTTGTTAAGAATAAAGTACTATGAGCTCTTCTGTTTCCTCTTTTGACGGGAATAGTGATAGAGATTCGCTCTTCCAAAAGAATTATGTAGAGGGTATCGCTTCGGCATCTTCTTCGACGGTGGGTGTACCAGCTATCAATGCACCCATCACCAGCTCGACGATGATAGCTCCAACGCTTCGGCATTCTTATTTAAGGAAAACCGACCTTTTAGATACGCTAGATACAACCACCAACCGATTACGTGATACAGACGCTTGGAGTGTGGCAGCGACGATTGATGATCAAGAAAGTGTGATAAGTGCTCATGGAAATCCGCCTTCGATTATTACTAGTAGTAGTCGTATGACGATGGATAGAGAAACAGACCTATATAACGAAGACGTCGATGAAGACGAAGAAGCAGGAGGCGAGGAGGATAGATCGAGTGTGGTATCGTCCATTCGAAACATTCGTATTACGCATTCTCACACTCGCCACAGTAGCCACAACAACAACAACAACAACAACAACAACAACAACAGTAATAATAATAACAGCAACAATAACAGTATGCCACAAGCACTTCATAGTAACAGTAGCATGAATCATCCACCGTCCATAGTAGGTAGTTTACCATCTATTATACCACACATTATAGAAGATGATGAGGATAAAGGATCTCGCTCCAATGCAGCAGAGTTTGGTGATGACGGAACTCGTTCTGCCGCAGCTGATTTCGACGACCACAGTAGTGTGACATCGGATTCCGTCCATGAGGATTCTCTTCACCACGGCCATCCTCATCGTCATCACCATCAGCACCTACACCATCATCATAGTGTGGTGGATGATCAAATCATGGCACCGCCCCAGCCTCAACCAAGCTTTGCTGCCACAGCCAGTGTGGTGTCGACCAAATCGTATGCTGAGCTGTTGGAAGAGAACGATCTGTTACAACAACAACTGCGTGCTATGCGCATCCAAATGAAACATCAAGAAGAGATGATTTATCATTTACGACAACTGACAGAATGCAATGACGAAGTGTATGGCAAAGCACTTCATTTATCACAAATCAAAGAAGAGGATTTGAAAAAGATCAATAGTCTCAGTATCGGTGGAAGAAGCAGTAGCCGCAGCAGCAGCACCCACAGCGGTAGAGCGGGTGGAGATGCCACCTCCGGTAGTTTATTGATGACCGCGAATTTGAACTCGATCGATTACAGTCAAATCGCTCCTATTGTGAATGCACGGACGTTAACTCAAAAGTTGGTTCGTTTGGCAGAGACAGTGACGCGATTCTCGCAATCCGCGGCCATCAATGAAGAATGGAGTTTGAGACTTGAACAGGTGCTCTATTTGCGCATCATGGAAAGCTATCTTGGTTCGCTTCCGTTTGGTACGGAAAATCAGCATTTACTCAACACAGCTTATTCTGATCAAATTCGTCGGTTCCATAATACCCTGGGAGCTAATTTTGCCAAATGGTATCGTCGTCAAACAGTTCAATCCCTATCGTTAAACCCGGCCACGAAAGAATATTTACAGCATATGAGAAGTTATGTCACCGAACAAATGCTTGGTATAGTCAATACTATGTTGCAAGCCGCGGCAGCAGCAGCAGCAGCAGCAGCAGCAACAGCAGCTACTTCACCCACCAAAGAGGGTCATGATACGGAAGAACATTCTCTGGACGATAACGATGCAAAGGGGAATAAAGTGGAAGAAGGAGATGACATGGAAGATGTACAACAGATGACGACGACCCGTGCTACCCATGAGAATACAACGACAGCGACATCCCAACCAACAGCAGCCGTAGCACCGCCTACAGCTGCTTTATTAGACCAGAATAATTTGCACCTTTGGAATGAATTATTAGAGCTCTGCTCTGCTTTGTCATTAGAAATTCATGGCGGAGATGCTGATGTAACGGCACAAATCATTGCTGTAGGAAGCAAATACGATGAAGAAATCATGGCTCCTATTGGAGACGATTTGAAGAATACCAATATTAAGGATAAGGCTGTGAAAATGGTAGTGAGTCCATTATTCGTAGACGAAGATGAAGTGGTTTTATTGCCTGCTCGAGTAGTGCTTGAATGATGATGAGTGTTTCTTTATCCAGACTATTTAGCCCAAAAAAACCAGACTAAAAACCGTCCCCCCCCCTTCCCCCACTGAATTTTAAACGAGAAATATGCCCCGCAATTTAAACAACCAATCATATGAGGAAATCTTTCAATTTTCGCATGAATAAAACGGCTTATGTGTGACCCTGAAATTGGAACAAAAAAGTAAAAAAAGACAAAAAAAAAGTGTTTTGGTTTCAATCCCATTTTTTATGTCTTTTTACTTTTTTTTTTTTTTTTTTCCCTAAAAAGTTACGCTTATAGCTTTTTTTGTTGAAATAATGAACCATCCGTCGTCTTGTCATTGCGTGATTAAGCAAGCGCTAGACAAAGAAAAGTTGGACATTGAAATTATAAATGCAGAAAAAGTTCAGTCAACAAAAAGTAGTAATAAACGTGGCAACAGCAGCAACAATAGCAGCAGTATGAGTAGTGGATATCATGTATACAAAATAACGACTTTTTGTGACGAGGTATAGATAGAACGAGTGTTGAGCATGATATGGATCTATGAATCAAAGAATGTCTTTTGTTTTTGTCTAGATTGTGAAAGAGACAAGTCGAAGATATAGCGAATTTGCATCACTGCGACAATCTTTGATTCGATTATATCCGAGTTTGATTATCCCTCCTATACCAGAAAAGCACTCTATAGGTACAGAAAAAGCATTTACTACTTTTGATGTCATAGTGCCCTCTAATCACACCCCCACCTGCAGCGGACTACACTTATACAACGCAAAAGAAGAGTAAAGAAGATACTGCTGTTATTCATAAACGAAAGAGAATGTTGGATAGATTTTTAAAGAGGACAGCTGCGCATCCTATTTTGAGAAATGAACACCTCTTCCATTCCTTTATTGATGGAAATGAGACCTGGGTAACAAATAACTGAACAGGGTTTGTGTAAAGACTACCATTACTGATATTTACATGCTCCTCCTTCCCCGTACACACACACACATACATACATACACACGACACACCACTGTCACAGTTAGCATCTATAGCCAATCTACCCAAGGATCCTCTCTTATCCGTACTGGAACACAGCTTTACTTCATCTATCACCAACAACCTTCCAACCACTTCTTCATCATTCTCATCGAATAACGTCATACCCATTCCTACTTTATCTTACACACTGAAATACCCTGACAAAGAATTTGAATCTTCCGAGTATAAGCTAGGTAAAGCAGCTCAACACTCGGTATTGCAGTTTGAAAGAGCTCAAAAGAAGATGATGAGAAAATGGACAGGCAAGTATCTCTCTCTCTCTTTTTTTTTTTTTGTTCTGTAGTACTTTTTCGAAAATTGCGATAGAGAACGTTTTTCTCATTTTGCGAGCAATGTCATTTTGGGTATGACGCCTATAGATCTCGCCACAGATTATGCTGACTTAGGGTCTGCCTATCAAGCACTGAGTCTAAATGAGTCTGATAGAGACGTGGCCGATTCTATCAAGAAAATGAGTCGAGCGCTTGAAGAAGGCTCTCATCAGTCGACGAAAAAAATGGTCGAGTTATTGGAAAGTGAGTTTTCTGAACATGTGCAGGATTATATTCAATACTTGGCCATGGCGAAACAAGTGTTGAAATACCGTCGTTTAAAGCAAGCACAGTTAGAATTGGTGGAAGATGCGATTGTATCCAAAAAGGCTCAGTTACGCAACCTGACAAAGACAGAGGAAAAATCACAACAGTTGAGAAAAATGATGAGCAGTCAGGATGAGGCCCCTCTTGGAGGCCCAACAACAGAGCAAGAAGAGCAGCAGCAGCAGCAGCAGGAGGAGGAAGAGGAGGAGGAGGAGGCTGCTGTCCCTAGCCGGATCGCAAGAGACCAGAACGTTACAACGCGTCAAGATCAAACGATGGGTCACAGTAGCAGTAGTAAGCATCATTTTGATACAGAGTCTATTGAAGAGGGTTTTTCGGCTATCGTGAAAACCTCGTCCAACGGGTCGGTTCTATCCAGCAGTAACCCTAGTCAAGACGAAGATGAAGAACAGCACAGCCCATTGGACTATCCAACGAATGCGAGCGCACCTACGATGCGTGCTTCAAGACTTCAGACGAGAAAATGGTCGTCGCCTAGAAAACTATTATCTGCTGTTACGTACACAATACAAGGCATGATGGATACAGACCCTGAACAAACACGACGAAATCAAATCCAAAAATTAAAGGATACTCTATGGCAGGTAAACTTTTTTTTTTTTTTTGAAATAAATTGTTACTGGTGGATGAGAATCTGACTTGGTACGGACAATATGTGTAGTTGGAGGAAGCCAAAGTGAGGTTGAGACAAGAATTAAAAGAGATGGGTCAAACGATACATGAGGAACTTGATCGATTACACATTCAGAAAGACACGGAAATAAAAAAGATGCTGATCTCCTTTGCGAAAATACACGTGTCTTATTGTCAACAAGTAAGTGACATGTTTCTCCTCGTTAGGTACATACGTTTATATGTTTCTTTGAATGAATAGAATTGTGAATTATGGAAAAAGATGAAAGAGGAAGTGACTTTTGTCATCAAAGACCTGTGAGCTCTTATAGAGTGACGAGCATTGTAGCCATGCGCTATTTTTTGGATCTTATCCTATGGTAACGAATGTACGATGAAGATGAGGAAGGCAGCAGTAAAAGAGAAACAAGTAAAGAATACCCAATTTACACTAGAGTGAATGAAAAAAAAAAAAATGGTAGCTCTCAAAAAGTGATACCTATACATATCCTCTTTCTTTTTATTTTTGGATGACAAGAAATAGTATAAAAAGCAGTAGTAGTACTCGTAGGAATAGGGTAGTAGTAGTAGTCGTAGTCGTAGTAGTAATAGTTGTTGTTATCGTCGGCAAAGGAGGGGCAGCATGCGAGGAAGGAAAAGTATATTACAAAACAGAAAAAAAAAAAAAAAAAAAAAAAAAAGTCGTTCATGTTGTTGTTGTTGTCGTTTCGTTGTATAGGTTGATGAGTGGGGGAGATGATCAGATCCTAAAAGTTTTCACGCATGAATTCAAAGAAAGCAAAGTTATCAGGATGGGCACCGTATTTGTAAACAAATTGAGAAGCCAAATAAGCACCAAAGATAGCCTTGACATAGTTTTCAGGCACACGCTGTAGTAAAGTGGAGAGACCGACAGTATCTAACAACAACTTGGGGAAAGCTCTCGTCAGCACAGTCGTACGTAGAGTTTCATTCTCCCACAAATTAGAGCTTTGCAATTGAGCTTGCAAGTGAACAATGGCCGTCGACAGTTCATCCGAGAGAATAGAGATGGGGGTTCCGGTACGCTCATGTTCGCGCCAAAGGGCTTCGAATTCAAGACGGGCATTGTTTTCAATAATGTGTTGTACTTCTTTGACGTACGCTTCGTAGAAAGCAGGCACGACGTCACCACTGCCCTTGACACACATGTTTTCTTCAAAGCTGTCATCATCGAACGCCAAAGCCGCCAACACTTCGAGAGAGGAGGAGGTGACACCGCCCTTGTTCGCTGAGGCATCCTTGAAGATAATGATACCGGCTTTTTCAAGACGAAGACGCGCTTCTTGCGTAAAGAACAAGTTGGCGCCTTCGACAATATACTTAAAGAGAGGACCCTTGCCGCAATCGATCAGTTGCTGAACATTGTCCAGGCCAACGGATTCAGGGCGACCGCCACAGGGAACAAAGACAGTGGCTTGGGCCAAGGGGTTGGTGTGGAACGTATTACGGAACTGCAGACCATTTTCCACGACCGTGCCATCGAACAAGGTGATGTTGTCCTCGTCGACCAGCACACGGAAGCCTCGAGGAGACAATAAACGGACGTCAAAGTTGCTGATCATCAAACGGGACTCGGCCAAACGGAGCATTTCTTTGCGATCAATACCGTCCGCATCGTAGAGGACACCTGAGCCATCGACGATGGCGATGGTCTTGTCGTGGGAGATCTTGATTTCGTTCGAGCCCAAGTCACCATCGGGACCGCCCGTCTGCACCTTGGTCATCTCTTCTTCCTTCAATCCCAGCTTGCGATAGATACCCAAGACGTATTGGTGCACCGAACGTGTGGTCTTACCATACTTGTCGTGAGGAATGCCACCCATGGATTGACTCTTCCCGGTCGTGAAGGCCTTCCAGAAGGAAGCACCGCGACGTCGGGCATGCTGAGAAGCCCAATCCATGTACTCGGCGGTGCCTTCATCAGGACCAAAGAACAGAATTTCAGGTTGGCCGACGAGGTCGACGAGCTTGTCCTTGATGCCGATCGTCTCACCGTCAATCAACAAGTCGAGCATGGAATCGACGTACTTTTCAAAGGCCACGAGCGGCTTGTCTTGTTGGTCCACGTCCAGCAAGATGGTCCCCTTGGAGCCTCCTTCGGGGATATCCTTGTTTTTGCGATGCTGCGTATTGGCCAAGTTGTAGTTTTCATCAAAGAGAGTACGCAAATTGATCGAGTAAGCTTCACGGTTACGCGAGCGGATCATACGAATACCACCACGAGCCACATCGCTGAATCGAATATGGAAGCCACGGAATTCAGAGCCGACGACCAGGAACATGCCATAAGGCGCGGTAGGGTATTCAATCTCTGGCAAGAAGTGGGGGTCCAGTCGGAACGACAAGGCGACTTTGGTGGATTGGTAAAAGTTGGTCTTGAGAATGTGTTTGTTGAAGGTCAAGAAAGACTCAAAGACCAACTGTTCATGAGCGTTGGTGGTGACGGATTTGATACGCTTACTCAATTCCTCGACCGACAATGCTTCCATGTTGGTGAGACGCTGATAGGAGATGGTGGGTTGCAAAGAGGCCTCACGCTGATTGACGTAGTGCGTCGTGGCAAAATTGGCATACAGCACTTTGATCAGTTCGGGATAGCGCTTCATGATGTCCAAGATGTACTCACGGGTAAAGGTGTCTTGACGGAGACGTTTTTTCAGTTTGGAAAGGACCTCTTCATGCACGGGATTGTTGCGGTCCAAAATGGAGGTGAGACTGAGATATTCTTTACCAAGACGGTTTAGGAAATGTTGAGCAAAAATCCAAGCCACGTAGCCGTAGACCATTTCCTGAACAGAGAGCTTGTTTGTTTGGAAGTAATGTTGGAGAGGTGTTTTGGGCAAACAGTACAAGAGAGAGGCTTCTTTCATGACTTGATAGATGGAATGCTCAATGGGAACAGCCTTGGAATTGGGCACAGGATGCAAGTAAAGACCGATGATGGTGACACCATTCGAGAATTGTTCTAATCATGAGGACCACAGCCGTCAGTCAAGGTGGAAGCCTTTTTTTTTTTTTGGGCAAAAAGATGAGAAACTTACCAACATATTTACGAGTGGAGTATAAATCATAATAATGGTACAAATCAGAAATCGCAGAGAAGAATCCCTTGGTGCTTCTTTGACGATAACCAATGATCAAACGCTTTTCTCTTGTGCCTTTGACTTCATACATTTCAATGACAGGGCCTGTGCGTTGCAAGACGGTCTGCATCATCTCTTCATACAACTTTAATGTATAATCGGTCGCTTTACGTAAAAAGTTCTTATCGGCCACCTGTTGGATATCCATTTCCTGTGCAAGCGTAGGCGTTGTGGTTTCGAATTCACAGCGAGTGACAAAGTAGCTTCGAAGCTGAGACGTCAATTTACCACCGCCATTGGAGCTGGAACGATAAGATTCGACACGATAGGCTTCAGAAGGCGTGGAATTATCCAGGAATTTTTCATCAATGGCACGTTCGTGTTGAGGACCGTAGATCTGAGACACACCAGGCGTGGAAGAATGGATGTAGACAGCAGCATCCGCGGTTTCTTTCTGAAGATTGATGTCGAGGACATTCTCGTTTTTGGTGTAGGCAAGTATTTTAGCACCGTAAAGGGACATGATGTGATTGGCAATGGTTTCCACGCTTTCCAAGGCAAAATAGTAGTCATCTATATTTAAATTACTTTTTTTTTTTTCCAAAAAAAAAAAGTTTCAGTGATTGCTGCAGGCTTCACCAACAAAACATCCTAGCCTCCCCTCCCCTCCCCTCCCCCCCCTTGATGGCCCAAGTAATCAGGGAAACCCCTCACTCTGTCTATAGTTGGTTTACCTGTAGAACCATTGTACTTCATTTTGCACCAATTCCTTGGGTAAGAAACCAAGCTTGTCAAGATACTCACAGACCTTTAACATTTGACTTTCCTTTTCGGCAAAGACGTTAGCAGCATAGCCACTTTCATTACTGATGATATGTGTAGTATCTCTCATTTTTGTAACAGTGTTTTCAAGTAAATGTGAAAGAAGAAAAGAAACAAGTCAGAATTGAGAATAAATAAAAAGAGAGAGAGAAAAAAAAACGAATAATCAAGGTTTGAAACTATTTGTTGATTCTGACGACTCATATTTATATGAAAAAATAAAATAAAAATATTAGTCATTGCTTTGATGATGAGCTTTTTTTCTTTTTCCCATTTTTTTTTTTTTTTTTTTTTTTAGGCACAGGGAAATAAAGAACTCATTTTGGCGTCAAAGCAAAACGGTTGCTATGTTTCCAAAAATACCCTTTTTGCCTATTCATTTTTTGATTGGTTGGATCGTGAGAAAAAATGCATGTGCGTTGTTTCAACTTTATTATCAAGGGAGGCGCGGTGAAAGAAAAAAACCCTCCCGTCCCTTTCCCTCATCCTCTTTCCAGATCAACAATACAACGCATTTCATTCTTCTGATGAAAAGGACAGGTCCAGCCTTTCACATTTGTCATATGCACAACAAAAAAGATCCGTCTGTGTGTGTGTGTGTGTGTGTGTGTGTGTGTGTATGTGTGTCTAGGCTTTTTCATGTGCGCGTGTTGTAGATGGTTTTTCTATTGTCATGAAGAAGCCCTTCTCTTTTTTCCTTTAGACCGTAAAAAGCACAATGCTGACTTTCTTCTTTACAAACTCGGATATGTGATCTTTTTTTTTTTTTTTTCCACGTTCATAGAAAAAAGTTTTTCTCTCTTTTTCCCCAGTTTAAAAAAAAAGCGGAAATCAAAGTATTGGCTCATGCGTTACATTAATAATATTGCGCGTAACTGGCGAGGTTTGCAAATCGAAGCTGCTTATTTTTCTTGCTGACTGATAAAGACAAACCCAATAGCAAAAAAACCCAAGAAAGGGTGAAATTTAAGGTTCACGTCAGAAAAATGTGGGGTAAAAAAAAAATGTGAAACTGGGCAACCCTATTCTAATACATAAGTAGGATGACTGTAAAATAGTGACTAGTTGCATCTATTGTATGATTTTAGTAATCACCAACCCCCCCTCCTTCCCCAACAACAACAATAACAACAATATTCAACAGACACGGAATAACCTTGCTGTACCGCGGAAGACGTCTAAACCTTTTTTTCAAGCGGGAGTTGAAAAAATACACTGCTTATTCTGTTTTTAGTCAAGTAAAAGATAACACTCGCTTATCACGGACCTTAACTGCTTACAGTAGGTGATACGTCCCCCATCTCGTAACATGGACTACCGCCAATTGTTTTCTTTTTCCGCTTTTAAACAATAAATTCCATCATGATTATCGTCATTATGAATTGTTTCTTTACCCAAAAAGTCATCAAAAAGAAGATGTGTTATTATATACACAGAATGAGAATAAATTTGTACGCTAAAATAGGGGAAAGGGAAAGGGAAAGGGAAAGGGAAAGGGAAAGGAGAATAAAAAAAAAAGGGGTGTTAGGGGGGGGGAAGGAAATCTATTTATCTTCTTTCTTTAACAAAGAATACAAGCCCTATATAGGCTATCAAGATGAAAATGCCAAACATGCCGCTTAAACGAATGACATCTGGCCAATAATTCTTGGCATTGAATCCAAACGTGGATAAAATAGTAGCGCCTGGCACATCAATCTTGAGACCGAATCGTTCTTCAATGAGTTGGAGATATAAAAGTTCATTGACCAACATGGCCTCCAGTGCATAATTGAAAAACGAGAGGTATTTGAGCCAACTGAAATAAGCAGGCATGGTATCTAAGATCAAAAAAAAAAGAGGTGAGTTTTTCATCTGTTTTATGATAAAGGGAGAAAGAACCAGCACACACAAAACGTCATGTTACCTTTGTTTAATAAAAGACCTGCAAACAACATGGAGAACAAAATAGCCATACACGCCAACAAGTTGGCTATGGAAAGGTTCTTTACGACAACACCAATAGCCAAGCATAAAGCAGCCGCCGTCAGATTGAACAAAACGAGCACGAGTAAGAATTTAAAAAACTCGGGCACTCCTTCCACTAATCCCACCATAGGATACGTGATGATGGCCATCATTAAAGGCGGGACGACGCGGAGAGGAATGATATCAAACAATACTTTGGACAGGAAATAAGTGGTAGGAGAGTAATAACCATTGGCCCGTTCGCGTGCAAATAAAATACGTTCACCGCTGAACACTTGTAGAGAAGTAAGGCACATGAAACCAAGAAGGGCCTCATAAAAGAAAAAGAGACCCATACGATTTTGAAAGCCTGCGATGGTATTGGAAACATTATAAAAGAGACCACCACAGACCACTAACAAAAAGGTATAAAAGACAATGGATCGTTGTTAGACCCAGAACATTTCTATGTATATCCTCCCCCCACTACCACCCTACATCCCCATCCACACACCCATGCCCAAGTACAATAGACAACCCACTTACAGGCAAGAAGGACAGCCATAGCATAATGACTAAACATCAACATAGGGTTGCGATACAGATTCTTGAACGTTCTGTTGGCCAGAATCTGAAATTGAGCAATGGGACCCGGTCGCTTATAAATGATGATACTGTTCGTGCTGATGGATGAATTTTCTTCTTCCTGACGATCCTCCTCATCCTCATCACTTATATGCTGTTGCTGAGCTTTCATGATCACATTCTGGATAGTTTCTTTGAGCGCATTGGCAATGATGCTATTATCATAATAGGCCACCAAATCTCTCAGATGAGACGACAGGCCATCTCCTTGTGCTTCCTGCTCTACAATGACCTGGGGCACCCTACTGGTCGTCGTCGTCGTCATGCTCTCCCTACCTGTGGTTAATGGAGAAGGCTGTTTGGCAGTGCGCTCTCGAGACCCTAATTCAGAGGCCCACTGCTCAGTGGTGTTTTCAATATCACTGTACATACTCGACGGTGGAGGAAGCCCTACGGCTGCCAACGCGTCCGCTGCAGAAAAACCACGGGTGTCGGCGGAGGTACTTACAATCTGCGAGGGTAAATGAGGGACCCGGTTGACAGCGCCCATACTCAAATCAATAATATAATCCGCAATATTGAACCCTGGAGGGCAAGGATAACCAATCTGTCTAAAGTAGTGTTGACATTCCTCTTGAGGTCCTGAATAGATCACGCGTCCTTGAGCAAGCAGCACCAACTGGTCAAACAACGTGACAATGTTGGATCGGGGTTGATGAATCGTGAACACCACGGTACGTTTGTAGTTTTTGGCAAGCGCCACTAAGCATTCGACGACATTAAAGGCATTGTAAGCATCCAGTCCACTCGTAGGTTCGTCCAGAAATAAGATGGAAGGCGACGTGACCAGTTCGCAAGCAATCGCGACACGGCGACGTTCGCCGCCACTGATGGAGCGCGCACCGGGCTGTCCAATTTTGGCGTCCTTAATGGCATCAATGCCCAGTTCTTGCATGACTTCCATGACACGGTATTTTTTCGCGGCCTGGCTCATCGATTTGGGAAGACGCAAAAGAGCAGAATAAAGAATGGTTTCGTACACAGTCAAGGTGGGTATCATCACTTCTTCCTGATCCACATAGCCAATGAGCTTTTTGTAATGGGAATGATCCAGTGTCTGACCATTGAGATAGATGCTGCCTGAAGAAACGCCTGCTTTCGTACGTTTGGCAAGAATATCAAGCAACGTGGTTTTACCTGCCCCTGAAGGCCCCATGATGGCCATGACTTGTCCTGCTTGGACAAAGCCACACGCATCTTGTAAAACGACCTTTCTCTCTTTACTGCTGCTGCCACTACCACCACTCCCCTTCGAGCCCCGGCGTCTGGAGGAACCCACCAATCCATTGACGTTGACTTGATAGCTGATATCTTTAAAGATCAAGCTGGTGGGGGTGTGTTCCGACATTAACTTTCCTGCCTCATCATCCGCAATCGCAATCACGCCGTCCGGCCCTCGTTTCTTGGCGTAGTAGGCGACCACAGCACCTACCATGATTAAAAAGGCCGAGACGCCGGCTAATCCACTGATCACCATCGCCCAGTTTGTCTTTCGTTCGGGTCGTTCAAAGCCAGGCACCATCGTGTAATGCAAACATTCACCTCCATTACACGACAAATAGATGGAATCGTCTCCAAAAACGGCCGAAATCAAATCGTCCATGGCCGCCTCTGAAAAGGCACAGTCTTGACCCACACAGTTGAATGAGGCAGGGCCTTTGATCTCCTCTTTCAGCATGTCTGTCAGATCAATCGATCCATCTTTTCCGCAGAGAAACTCATCCTTGATACAACGACATTCGATATTGTCACAACGGTATTTGGTGGTATTTTGATCATAATCGTGTTGTTGTTCAAATTCACAAGTGTCCAAATGACAGTAAAAAGATTCAATTTCATCCACCCAAACTACAGGAGACAAGACAGGATTATCATCCCTCTCTACGCTTGCTTTTTTTCTTCCACTCGACCAAATACTAAATAACCTTACATTGAAAATCACATGTTTCCTTCTTTTTGTTACAAGAAAATGTCACTTGAGGAATTTGTCCTTTCAAAATATCAAGAATCTTTCTATCTATACTCAAACATACATAGGAGTAAGAAAACTGTCGTAAAACAGATGTTCTTTCTCTTTCTTTCTCTCTTCAACCTTTCACTGTTACTTACTTGTCACATCGCACATTTGATAGTTTTCAAATACAGTCAATCCATTTCTGTAGCAAGTCCCGTTTTGACCCGTAGGTACCAAGGAATGACACACGGAATCCATCGTACATACTATTGAGCAAAAGAAATGATGTCATGTTGGTTGGTTTTTCTTTTTTTGTGCGTGACATTCTCAACTCTCACAAGACAGCACAACACAGCCGTCTTTCATTCTACCCTTTTGTGTGAGAAATAAAGAAACCCTACCATTACAATTGATGCCTTCCCAGCCTTCAGGACATTCACAATGATTTCCTTGACGAGGTGATCTATCATGACCGTCCGGTAAAGCACCACACACTATGGACGAGCAATAAGTGAATGATGTGTTGAAAACACATGTCTTTTTATCTTTTTTGCCCAACGTTGTGTTTTCTGACTGTTTGCCCGTCAAGAAAGAACATTTTACTTTCTACTACTTACAAGGTTGTTTACAGTCATCTCCACCAAATCCTGGTGGACACACACATTTACCGTCGTACTCGGAACAATTAGCGAAATGAAGGCATTCGAAGCCTGGTAATAAACAATTGAAGCAGGGTGGACAGTCGTCCGTGTTATTTCTATCGATGGCAAACATATTGTAGAGCTGGGCTGTATCTGCTGTAGGGGATATCTTTAGCGACGTGGGTGCGAGGGAATCCATGCCTGTGGATAGTAATGGATCATATTCATACGCTTGCGTCGAAGGAACGACGACGACGACTACTAATACACATAACAGTAGTGGTAGTAATAGTAATTTGAGTCCGCTGAAGAACCCTAAAAAAATGGTCATGTTCTTTTTCTTCAAGAAAAAAGAAAAAAAAAAAAAAAAAAAAGGTATTATGAAAACAAAAAAAGAACAAACATGGAAAAATACTGTTTTTTGTGTGTTTCAGCTCTTTATGCAAACATTTAGGCTATATGCTGGGTTTTGTGGGTAGTTCCGAGAATGGGGGGGGGATCTTCAGCAAAAAAGAAAAGCTCACATAGTGAACTATTTTTTTGGTCACGTTTTTTTTTAAAGGCGCACAGTGCTCCTGATCCCCTCCACTGCCCAATGAAACAGTAGAGTATTGTCTTTAAATAAACGTACGTATCGCCCCGTGAACGGCGGAACGAACGCTTAAAACGAGTGATGCTGCTGTTGACAATGCTGTGCTCTGAGTACGATGATTTTGTGTGTGCAGCTATCGTTCGAGCTGCTATGTGCTTTTCAGCTTTATACAACGCAATAGAAGGCTGCCCTATTCTTTCACTCGGCTCATTCGACCTTTTTTTCGGTATTTTTTTTTTTTTTTTTGCCTATTGTGCGGGGGATATAGACATAGTATGTTTTGAAATCCATGGCAGGCAGGGTGACACACGCAGATACACACGACTCTTTTTGTATCAAGTAAAAGGCATCACACTCTCCATGTCGACTCATTGGAACCCATTGTCATTATCATTTAAGCGATTCGGCAGCAGGACCCACAATAATAAAAATCCGCTAATTATCTGTCATGGCCTCTTCGGATCCAAGCAACACTGGAAAAGTCTGGCACAAAAAATTCACGCCATCACTCAACATGACGTATGGACCATTGTATGTAAACGATAGAGAAAGACAGAAACGTTTCCGTTGAGCTTTTCTCAAGTAATGCTTACTCCGCCTACTAGGATGCCCGTAATCATGGTGAAAGCCCCCATCATCCAACCCATGATTACCAAGTGATGGCTAATGATCTGGTCCACTTTATGAATCAACATGAATTGAAAAAGTCAATTCTACTCGGACATTCCATGTAAGTGAATATCATCTTAACTGCATGCATAGAGACACCTCGTTGACAGAAAGGCCCTTTCCTATGTGGGGGATAAAAGGGGCGGTAAAGTGGCGATGAATGCTGCCCTTCGTTATCCACAGTTAGTAGCCAAATTGATCGTAGTGGATATCCCACCTTTGCAAGTTCCTTTAACAAAAGAATATCACGGCTATATCAAGGTCATGAAAGAGATCCAGCAGAAGCGACTTAAACGACAGAGTGAAGCTTACGACATGATCTCTGCCGTTGAGCCTGATGTTGGGGTGCAACACTTTTTGCTCACCAACCTAAAGAAGAATTTGAAAAAAGATGGCATCTACGAGTTTAGAATACCTTTGGATATCCTCGACAGCGCCTTGGATAATTTAGGCGAATTCGAATCGAGCATTCCTGCAGCTCCGAGTAGTGATAGGAGTAGTATTCACTTTATGGGGCCTACCCTGTTTATCACTGGACAGCATAGCCCTTTTCGGGTACCTTTTGTAGAATACCCAGACAAGATAAAAGCATTCTTTCCAAACTCTACAGTGAAAGAGATCAAAGGATCGGGCCATTGGGGTAAAAAAGAAGAATACCTGTATCGGCAATGATAGATCATGTTGACTAACTAGCATGCCTTTTTTCATTAGTCCAAGCTGATAAACCTGACGAGTTTTTAGATACTGTCAATACATTTATCAATGATGGTGTAGAGTAGTAAAGCCAACCTACATAGACTTGCAGCTCAGTTTTCAATCCGTACAATTCTAGTGGGAATACCTAGTACGATTCATACGACTCGCTACAGAATAATATATCCTACCCACGTGGAGACAGCTTAGCTCTGTCAATGGTAGACATACAAAGGCATTGCCGTCTTGAGAAATAGTGTCCATTTCTGTAAAAGTCTCTTTCTTTACATTTTTCATGATAGCCTTCATTAGATGCCTCTCTTGGGTTCATCCATGAATGAAGCATCTCTTTCAATCTTATGTGCCTTTCAACTTTCAAGACGAAACATCCGAGAGGAATAGTAAAGCGACGGCTGCATCTTTTGGGCACTCATGTCATGAGTCTTACAGGTCCTTGGTTTTGAACCAATGTGAGCACTGTCTTTTTTTTTTTTTTTTTCTTATTTTTTTTTTTTTTCTTATTTTTTTTTTTTTTCGTTTCTTTTCCTTTCCATGATGCAATGGATGGCAACTCCGTTTTTCCCTCTACCCACACAACCCAGCCCTCCAAAGTGACTCTGTAAGAATGAAAGTTTTATTTGTCACCACCCGATGAAGAGAATCATCGATAGGCTACTGTAAACCCCTTGTAACGGACCAGAAAGAATGATCAGGAAAGAAAGACACTGTTAAAAGAACCCTTTTCGTTACTAGAACCGCGTCTATCATATCATCTCTTATAATATAAATCGATATTGATTGCTGCCTGTGAATTACTTAGCAGGGTTATCATGCCTTTCTATCTATGCAGGCAGTCCATCCTCCCCTCCTCGCCTTCACCTTACCCCGTTGTGGATCATTGTCTTGTCGAATCATCCCCCACGACTTCTCGTGAGATATTGAACTCATGATAGCAACAGAAAAAAGATGCTTCACCATCTATCAGCGATGTTCGGCCCTACTTATCAAAGCTATGGTATGCCTTTTCTTAGATGACTTTGCCATGTCGTTTGATACATGACCCAAGAAGAGCGACACTTCAATTCAGGAAGCACTCTTTTCTTCCTTGGTAATGTTGCCATCAGCCTCTCTTCCGCTTCCTTGCAAGGGAGCCATTGAGAAAGAGGGGTATGATCATACCGACGTACCTATCTCTACTGTTCCTTCCTGCCAAACCCAATCGATGAGATGCGATATCCGCTGGTTATGGACTTTTAAAAAAAAAACAAAAAAAAATTCCACTTTTCCCTTTTTCTTTTTCATTAAAAAAAAAAATTTAAAAATAGTCGAGATTTTTCTCTTGTTTTTTTTTTTTTTTTTTTTTTTTTTTTTTTTTTTCCTGGTTTTTGCCTTCTTTTCTTTTTGTATTTTTTTCTTCGGTTTTCGGTTGGCTTTTCTATTTTTTTTCTTTTTTTGTAGTGGCATGGTAATAAAATTTTCTTTCATTTGGGTTTTGTTATTTGGGATGGATTGATTATGTAATATTAAGATTAAACCCTCACATACACACATATACATATATATACATACCTATACAACGCCTACCATCATTTCTTTTTTCCATTCATGCTCTATAAGGCTATCGTACCTCAAGACCCTATCACAAGGTCTTCTCATTCTACCGATAGTCGTCTTCAGCAACAGCAACAGCAACAGCAACAGCAACAGCAACAGCAACAGCAACAGCAACAGCAACAGCAGCAGCAGCTACAACAGCAACAACAACAACAACAACAACAACAACAACAACAACAACAGCAGCTACAGCGTCAATCCAATTCACCGTCGTACAGCGAAGCTTTATCCACCACCTCCTCTACTGGATCTTTAAAAAGGAAACGCCTCACTCGAAGCGGTGGTGGTCATAAAAACGACACGAATACCACCACTGCTACTACTCGTCTTGCCTCAAACCGACCTCCTCTGAGTCCTAGTGAACCTGACTTTAGAGCGAATAAAGTAGATTCAACACAAAAAAAATTGAGAAAACTAAATATAACACCAAGTAAGGATCATAAAAACTGTTCTGTTATATATATATGTATTCTATCAGTGTAAAAGTTTGAGCGGGTAGAGTAGGGTAGGGTATAGTCTGGGGGCGGGGGGGGGTGTACGGTGTGGGGAAAGGGAAAGCAAGAGATACAGAGAAATGGGGAGTGAGGAGGAAAGAAAGAGCTTCCATCACTCATGAAAAAAAAATAATGAATGATCGTAGACAAAAGCCCTTATCGTAATCTATCCTTCAAGATTGGAGAACAAGTAGAAGCCATCAAGTTCAATGGAGATGCTAAGGAATGGTATTGTGCTCGAGTGGTGGAGATATTAAATGATAGCCATAACGAGGATGAATTGTTAGTGTTTGTCCATTATGAAGGTTGGCCACCTGATGAAGCCGATTGGATTAGTCCTACTTTAATACGCAGTATCAAAGCAAGCAAAAGCAATCAAGACAATGAGGATGAGGAGTCAATGCTTCGATTTGGCCCAAGAGGACGTGAAAGTAGTCGATCATGGAAAGACTATGCCATTTTTTATGAGTCAGAGTCAGGCGAAGAAGCAAGACAACATACGGGTCTTGTTCAAGACAGACGCATGACATTGCATTGTTGCCCTTGTCATTCTCGCGAAACAGTTCACCCTGAAAGGCCCGATCGAATAACCTCTATTTTACAGGCATTTCACAGTAATAGGTATGTACGAGAGACGGTCTTGGTTTCTTTCCAACGAAAAAATAAAAGGAAAAAAGACTCACGTCATTTCCATTTTGTATTGTTCCCTACCCTGTATCAGAATGTTGAGATACTTTAAACGAATTCATGCTCGAGAATGTACCAGTAAAGAACTATTACGTGTACATCAATATTCACATGTACGTAATTATTATCCACTCCAGCATGACGATGATGACGACAACAACAATAACAATCACACTGTAACAGCCATCATAAAAAATGAACCTCCGTCTCCACCTCAAAAACCGTTGAAAATCACATCCATTGCCGCTTTATTAAACCCTGCACCCTCGCCTACATCGACCACCCAACCTTCCTTTCCAACCCCACCCTCAGCACCCTATCCTTTAAGACATCACAGCACCCCCACCGTCAAACAGGAGACTGTGAATACGAAACCTCCCATGGTCACACGCGGTGTCAGTGGCGGTGTCGTCATTGAAGCCGATCATGACCATATCAGAAAGCAACAGCGTCGATTTTCTACAGCGGCTGCTGCGGCTGATGCCTCTCAATCCAATCCTCAACCGAATACCCCACCTGCGCTTGTCTGTAAAATGACATGTGGTGAGCTAGGTATCGCTGTCGATACTACCTTCCATCCTCTGTATAGTAGTTTGTCTGCTCGAGTCGCGGCAGGTGCATTATTGACACTGGTGGAACCTATTGTGAAAGGACAAATGAGAAATGGATTTGCACTCATACGACCACCAGGTAAAGACACACACACACACCTATACAGAAAGAGAGAGAGCGAGAGAGCGAGAGAGCGAGAGAGCGAGAGAGCGAGAGATCATCCTTATCGTAGAAGAGTGGATAATGAACTTTTCTTTTCTATTATAAGGTCACCATGCAGAGGACGATGCAGCGATGGGATTTTGCTTTTATAATAATGTAGCGGTGGCTGTGGCTGACACTCTGGAAAAATACTCTGCAACAATCAAAAGGATTCTCATCATTGATTGGTAAAGAATATCGTAACAGATTATTTGCTGTCGTTGAATAGAGTTAAGGAATAAGCGAGCAAAATGCCTTTTTGTTATTAACAGCACTCTTTTCTTTTTTTTTTTCTTTAACAAAATATAGGGATATACAGTAAAGTTTCAAAGGACGCCTTTTTTTTTTACTCGGGATAAGGGATGTACATAGTTTGTAACTCATCATATCTCATTTTTATTTCTATATTTTCTCTAAAGTCATGGAAATGGTACCCAGAAAATCTTTTATGACAATCCAAACGTATTATATATATCCATTCATCGATGGGATAAGGGCCAGTTCTACCCATTCAGTGGCGCACCTGACGAATGTGGAGTAGGAGCAGGACTAGGAAAGAATGTCAATATTGCATTAAGTGCCTCTGAAGATAAACCAAGTAAGTCTATTTACAAGTGGAAAAAAAACAAAGGGTATCCTATCTGATGCCTCATCTATACATATATCTATTGTATTCTCTTGAAACTGCGGGTGGAATAGAACCCATGGGCGATACTGAGTTTGTAGCTGCCTTTTATCATTTTGTTATACCCATCGCTAAGCAATTTCAACCGGATATGATTTTTGTTTCTGCGGGATTCGATGCAGCCGAAGGACACCCTGAAAACGTAAGTTTCAATTGTTATAAGGAGCGGAATGAAGAAAAATATTCATACGTGTATTATTCTATAGCTGGGTGGTTATAATGTGACTCCTCGAGGTTACGCGATCTTGACGAAAATGGTGAAAGATTTAGCAGAAGATTTGTGTCAAGGCCGCTTGGTACTGACCTTGGAAGGCGGGTATGAATTACAACCTCTTGCTTACTCTTGTGCAGCTAGTGTTGCTCAGCTACTACTCCCCAACACATTACCAGACCATCAAATCACAACCTTCAAACGCACTCTGAATGCCGTCAAACCCAATATGGGCGCAGTAGAAAGCTTCAAGGATATCCTAAATCAACAAAAGAAGTATTGGACGTTTTCTGAAAAAGTACAATCACCTGAATTCAGATTTAATTTGCCTAGTGATTGGCGTGCAACCGATAGTATATCCACTAGACCACGACGTGATCGAAAAACTGTAAAAACACCTATTGTTGAAGGCTATTAAGAAACAACCAAAAAAGAAAAGGGTCCGTTCCCCTTTGCAATAGAAACATCATGTTCATTTCATCAAATCATGTTATTTTTTATATCTTCAATTCTTTTTTTTTTCTTCTTTTTGCTTTTAAGATCAATAATCTTTTAATACATATACATACATATAATAATTATAATCCCCATCTTTTATAAAAAAAATACTCACTTTCAACTATTACGTAGAATATATTTAAAAATAGACGCAGGTAGAGGCAGAATTCAAAATTGTATATCTCCCCTCTTTCATTGGCTAGAAATAAAACTTGTCACAATCTTTTCCTTGTCGTTGAAAAAAATTGGAACCAAAAACTTTTTGCTAAATCCTTACTCTCGTTTTTACACGTACTATATACAATGGCTAGCATCGTTACTGAGCCTATTCAATCTGTTCAACTTGACGGCTTGGTAAGCTTTCTATATACATCTTTTATCTCTCACACAATAATGCAATGCATCGACAGTAGGAATGCTCTCCTTTTCAGTTATTAATGTAATTTTTCAACCATCGGAAATGGTCATCACTATTTTAGGTAGTTTTAAAGATCATCAAGCACTGTCGCGACTCTTACCCTAACGATGTCACAGGTCAGCTTTTGGGTTTAGACGAAAACGGTCGCTTGGAAGTTACCAATAGCTTCCCTTTTCCTACCGAAGGTGACGAAGATGCTAGCGGTAAGAACTTTTTTTAGATCCTCTATACTGTGCAAGACAATCAGTTTCTAACGACGATTCCCTTCATCATTGTTCACTTTTCCGTCTTTCTCGGGCATGTCGAACAAAAAAAATTTTTTCGTACCGCTTCATAGCCCAATATCAATATAATATGATGAGATGCCTTCGTGCAGTTAATATCGATAACAACACTGTCGGCTGGTATCGTTCCGCTCATTTGGGCAACTTTATCGACCTCAACATGATCGAAACTCAATACAGCTATCAAAGTTCCATCGGTAAACAGTCTATTGTCTTAGTTCACGATGTTTCCAAGAGTTCGGCGCAGGGCAATTTGAGTTTAAGAGCGTTCAGATTACAAGATGCTTTTATGAAGGCTTATGAAGCCAAGAAATTCACAACGGAAAGGTAAAGATAAAAAGGCAACCCCTTGTATACCATTCATGTGGATTTGCATCTGGACGACTTTTGTGTATATGTGCTAAGGCTTGAAGCGGAATACCCTTTTCAGACAGAGTGAAGCCATTTCTAACACGTTTTCTTCCTTTTTTATAAACCTTTAGCCTTCAACAAGCAAAACTATCCTTCTCCAACATCTTTGAAGAATTACCTGTTCAAATTCACAACTCTCACTACGTTACTCTGATGCTTCACAACATCGAAATGCCCAAGTTGGAAGCTGACCGTCTTCACTCCCTCTCCACCTTCACTTCTGCTCGCCAGACTCAAACTGAAATAGAAGAAGCTCGACCTTTAGCACCCAACTTTGAAGTGCTCGACCTAGAACTCGATCCTTTCATGCAAAAGAATTTGCAATACCTCTTGGACTGTACTGACGTTCAACAACAAGAGCAAAACAACTACCAATACTGGCAACGATCTGTGGCTCGTGAACAAGCCAAGATTCAAGGTTGGTTGAACAAGAGAAGACAAGAAAACGCTCAACGTGCTGAAAAGGGCCAAGATCCTCTACCTGAAGATGAAGTCAATACACTATTCAAGCTACCTCCTGAACCTAGCCGTTTGGATTCAATGATTTTGACTGCTCAAATGCACAACTTTACTAAACAACTCAACCAATTTGCTGGTCCTAGTCTTGCTAGATTGTACAGTATTCAAGAATTACAGAAATAAGAAAAGAGAGAGAGAAACTCCTTTTTTTGTTACATTATTTTTGCTTTTCTCATTCCCCTACTGTTGTCTTTAATCAGTGGTTTCTTATCCTAATCAAAAATTTTAAAAAAATAAAAGGCCAAAAGGCGGATTACTGATCCTTCACGATTGATCGAAGCTCTAGTGCATATCAGAGTTAAAAACCTGGAATTTCAAGATTCAAGCACTTTCTTTCACAAATGAACACATGTACATATTGTAAACTATCTTTTAACTACAGGTATACGCTGCTGTATAAAGCATGGCAAGAATGATTTTTTAAACCAGATAAAATAGTTCATGCTAGCATCTTTTGCGCCTCCTAGTCTCAACCATTCCCTTCCCTCCCCCGCTTACGATCAAAGAACTCACAGAACAAAAGTATACCAAATATAGGCTTCATCATCAATAGATACACACAAAGTAATTCAACTTTGGTACATATCGCATCTTTATCAATTCCTTCGGCACTACATTATAATCAGTAAAAGAAAAAGAGGGGAGAAAGCCAAAAGATATTGTATATGAAATGTAGTATAGGTTGCCTCAAATTGATGTCTAAATTCAAGAGAAACACCGGAAGAAGCTGCTTTGCTTTTCGCGTGATCGTTAGGCGAGCCATTGTCTTTGTATCTGGTACGTTTCATTGAACCTTCCATGATCGAGAAGCGAGGCAAAGTCAGTAAGTTTTCAAATAATGTCAAACGCGCTTCATTAGGGAATCTTTTCTGGCAGTCTGTTTATTGATATCCTTGTAGTATACTGCCAACTATTTTTTGGGCAATTACCATCATAGCCAAGAGAAAGAGCGAGGCGAGACAGGAAGTATCAGTAAGAACCATGGGTTTTTGATTGACTTTATCATTCTGGAAGAATTAATGATGAAAGGTAAAGAGTGGCAAGCGCAACGGAATGTTACACATTGCTTATTTATTGGCTTGTGGAGCTTCTATCGTACGCCTTTATCTTATATAACGTATAACCTGCATAGAACATGAAAAGCGATGATTAATCGCTGTTTTGAATTCATAAAGACATCAAATTTCTTCGCGTATACACAACATACACACATTTGTGTCTATTTTCAATTCAATGCATACCTCCTACACTTTTTGCGATCAATTCAACGGGTTCTATTTGTTAAAAAATGAAGAAAAACGATGAAATGACTCTGATAGTAATAGATCGCTAAGTTACGTTGCTACCAAAAAAAAAGAAAAAAAAGAAGCTAAGCTTGCAATTCCCAAACATCAATTATTGTTATCAAACAGGGCTCTACGCATTCGTTATAGTTGTTACATGCCCTTTTACAGTTGGGCAGACAGTTGACTTAGAGTGAAGTGGCTCGAAAACAGTCGAATAGGTTGATTAAGGATTTCCTACTCTTTTTAAAAGGCACTTGCTCGAAATTGGTGTTATAGTATGTTAAATTGCTCAGGAACTGAATCAATACGATTATCCGGAAACAGCGGAAACTCTTACGTAATTAGAGCACCATACTAGCCAAATCACAGACAAATTTTACCGTCTGCTTTCTTCACTCTTCACTTTCTCATTTCCAATGAATATTCCAACTGATCTAAAATATATTACTCCCTATATTCAAAGGGGGCAAGAGCTTTTGAGTCGTGACCCCATTTTATCTTACTATGGTAAAGTCCTTTCGTTAGGAACGGAACGGACCAGAGAATGCATAAGTTTCAGACAGTCAATCAGGGATTATTGACAAGCTTAGCTTTTCTTTTTCTATTATAGCACGTTATTATGCTGCAAAGCTTGCAATAGCCAGAGGGCCACGAACGAAAGAAACAAATGCATATCTATCTGACCTACTAGACGCTTTAGAAACAGTAATAAGTTGATGTTTTAGCCGATGAGTTCAAGATGCTTAACTTTTACCGGATTCAATTTTGGTAGCAAAAGCAAGACATCGGCGACAATGAAGCTATTACTAACGACATCGTCGCTTATGCTTATGTTGAAAACTTTGCTCTGAAAATCTTCCTGAATGCTGACAACGAAGACCGTGCTGGAAAAGCGAACAAGTAAGGCCTGGCTTATAATTTTATACAGAACTTTTTTATCGTTGCGTATTAGATACGTACTAACATATTGTTAATTCTCGAACTTACAGGAAAACAGCCAAAACTTTCTTAGCTGCATCAATATTTTTGGAACTCTTAAAAACGTTTGGTGACCTTGATCCTGAGGTAAGATTAATAATATATTTTTGTACCAGGCAAAAGTAAACTGACATATTACCGAAATATGAAAAGGTCGAGGCGAAAATCAAGTATTCAAAATGGAAAGCGGCAGATATTATGAAGGCATTACGTGAAGGACGTTTACCTACTCCTGCTCCCTCTGATGATAATGCTGCCAATAATGAAGCTTCTATCACTATAGCAGAAGAGCCAGAATTACAGAATATGGAAGCAACATCATCTGCCACGACAGCAGAGCAACAAATACCCTCATCAACGCATTTCGATCAGAACAATTTACCTGCTATCTCTGATTTCCCTGATCCACCATTGACATCTATTAACTCAGATCATAGTGCTACAACGGCTTCGACACAATACCCATCGTCTTCCATAAAACCATCTACTGCTTCTGCAAATAACAATACTTTCACAAATCCACAAACACAGCTGCAGACAGAGCCACAAACACAATTTCAACCGCAATCACACTCACAACCTACTTCTGTTAATACGCCGCAACAATCATCATTGACTGTTGAAGCATCTAAGCTGGATGCTGGTACTATAGCAAGGGCACAGAAGTATTGCAAATGGGCTATCAGTGCTTTGGATTATGAGGATACAGAAAACGCACGCTTACAGTTATTAAAAGCACTAAATGAAATGGGATACAATCGAAATAATAATTTCGGTTTTTAGAGGGAACTGTTTACTAGTAACATTGTCCGGTTCATATTCATTGAGTAATAGGTAACATGCTGTATACGATATGAGTATGTTTTGAGCAATCTCGTTAACTGGACACTGCGCCTTCATCCTGCGATTTTCATGCAATAAATTTATGACTGCTGGTCTCTTTTTGATTATGGTTACAGAACAAAAGATACGTTTTTGATGCTTCTCTAAATATCCAAAGTCAATCTAACACAGCTTTTAATCTACCCTAAAGTTCCAAGATTTATTTTGCAACATTGAATTGAATTAATTCCAGGTCTTTTTAATCAAGTCGCTTTGCCAATAACCGTCTTGCATAATTTGGAAACATTGTCGGACCAGGCATCCAATGCCAGATACTTTAATTCATCTGTAGTTTTTCGTTCCAATTCCAAACGTTGATTCACCTGATCAATTCGCCCTGAAATACGATCATCCAAAATCAATCCCACTAATAATTCTTCCACATCCTCTGCCGGTATATTAAGTTGTTTGGAAATAAATTGGATTTCAATGCTAGTATATGGTTTGATAAGTTTTATCAAGACCTGAGTACGGATATTGCGTAGTACATCATCGATATAAGCACGAATAAAGGAATCACCCATGATAGCCTTTTCATTAACCTTTAAAATGTGTTCGAATTCATTTATATCCTTCCGTTGATAAGCTGCTACTAGGTTGGTGATAGCTTCAATTTCTCTATCATTTTTATATGGTTTGGTCTCTTGTGAATCGAATGGATTGATCTGTGATTCAGTCAACATATTTGCCAACACTAGATATCTTTACGTTCAAATAGTGAAATTTGTTACAAACTCCTCGTCGGCTTCAAAATCAATTCTGTGAACCTTACTTCAATACTTGTATACGTTGTGGACTACCAGCTTCATCATAATTCTTGAATGATTCAAAGAAATCTGTCTGTGCATCATCCCATTTTTCTATTCAACGATCATTTTAAATTGAAACACATGAACGACTCCTCTTTAAAACTTAACAATCACGAATAATATACTTACTCTCACTCATATGCATTTTCCCGCCACATTCACGTATAACCCCCATGATCCTTGGATGTGGAATCGCTGATTTAACAGACAAACACTGCTGATATAGTTCCTTCAGCTTTTTGTTATTTTTCGTCTCTGTATACATTTGAATTTCTAGGGCTAATACTTCCAATAAGTGCGTTCCTTTTCTTTGATCATCTGTGCCATCATCTTTTTGGCACGCGACGTGTAACTGTTTAATGATCTTCTGTAAGCGTGTATATTCTTTACGGTCCAACCATAATTTTGCTAATTTTAATTGTGTCTTGACCCAGAGTCGTTCATTTTTCGCTTCCCCATCCACGCCCAAAGCTTCGAGAGTGATTTGGTAGAACTTCTCCATAAAAATCATGTTGTCTGTTGTCGAGATGTAGTCGAGGATGTTGTTGATAGATTTTTCACTGTAATTACGAGCTACTGCAGATTTTACGTAGGTAAGAAGCTGTTGATAGTATTTAAGTATCTATATACAGGTGAAAAACTCAGTATGTATGTTTCCATTTATATCAACGATAAGTGTCGCATTTCTTCTGGACATACGTCATCAAAGTTGTTTAGTTGGAAGCATATTTTGATCATTTGCTTTAAAGCTTTGAAGCCCCTATAATTGTCAGACGACGAGGGATCAGAAGATCGGAAGCAGTAGTTTCATCAGTTTAGCTCATTACCAATCGCCTTTCTCTTCTTCAGTATCCACTATATTTTGAAATTCTACCAAAGCTTCCTTTAAGTCATCCTCTTTTCTTGCTGTTTTACCGGTTTATTTATGCAGAAATATTAATTATCATTACATTGAAAGCAAGAAACTATTGATAATACCTTTGGCGTTATAGTATCTATTTTCTAAATCTACGTCGGGTTCCTCTTCGTCATCGTCATCGTCATAGCCGAAGTCATAGTCCTGTATTGTAAGAGCGTAAAAAGAAATACACAGTTACAGATACTGTTGACAAGCATAAGTTAAGCACTTTAGGCTTACCTCCTCTTCATCTTCAAGCATAAAGTCGTCGTCAGACATTGTTATACAATTAGTTGCTTTGACAAGAAAGAAAATAAATATTACTGATGGAGGGTAAGGGAGATGTTAGCTCACGTCAATTTCAGTTTGTTTGAAAGCTGCTTTAAAAAGTTCTTGAACTGAGTTTTTATTGTTCTACATATGCTTTTTTTTTTTTTTTCTCGTATTTTTTTTTGTTTTTTCTCTTCATTTGCTTTGTTTACACCCGCTTTTATTGAACAAGAGCAACGCATGAACAATGGTAGCTGCACTACACTCCCAACAGCAGCAACAGCAGCCGCCGTCAGTAAAGTGCAGTAATAAAGATAACGATGATAACAAAAGTACGAGCTCAACTCTGGTGGGCGAAAACGAAAGTGGAAGTAACAATAACCATAATACAAGCAGTAATATGAATAACGATGAGGACCTTGACGACGGATCCTCACTTCAGCGACAGGGGCACAACAATAACGAAGTCAGACATGGCTTTGACCAAGAGGCGTATGAGGAGGATATTATCCGATTTCTATATTTTACAGAAAAGAGACATGATACCAATGCCAAACCTAACGCCACTGTTCGAACTGCTTTAAAGGACTGGGTAACTACGCTTGGCATAAGATAACATGTTGGTGCATAAGATTAATCTATTTTTTTATGGTTTTGTGTATATTTAGAGGCTTAGAGAAAGAATAAAAACTGTATCAGGTCAGAATTGAAAAAATGAATACAAATGGTATCATGTCAATACTCACAACTCAACTTTTTATTTCATTATTGACGATAAACAGGATTGTTGGTTGTTTGCTTAAATATTGGCACAGACCCACCTGATATTGTTAAAACGAATCCTTGTGCTAAGCTTGAATGTTGGATTGATCCCTTTTTACTTATTCCTCAGAAATCCTTAGAAGCTATCGGGAAAAGCCTTCACAATCAATACGAAACCATTAATGGAAGAACCCGCTTCAAGCTTTCACTTGACCCTTCTGTAGAGGAAACAAAAAAAGTATGCTGTCAAATGCGTCGAAACGCCAAAGAAGAAAGGATTCTTTTTCATTATAATGGCCATGGTGTGCCTAAACCTACAACTAGTGGGGAAATTTGGGTCTTTAATAGAAATTATACACAATATATTCCAGTCTCTTTGTTTGATTTACAAAGTTGGCTAGGATCACCTGTTCTTTATGTTTGGGATTGCTCGGCAGCAGGCAATATTATTCATGCTTTTAATCGATTTGCGGAACAGAGGGATTTGGAGGCGCAAAGATTATCACAGCAGCAGCAACAACAACAGCATAGCAATAACAGTCAACATCATCATAGTAGTAATAATTTATCAGCTCAAACACCACATACTTCACCACAGGCTTATTTACCACAATGGAAAGATAGTATTCAGCTTGCCGCCTGTGGTCCTAACGAGACATTGCCCATGAACCCTGATTTGCCAGCCGATGTTTTCACAGCCTGCCTTACCACACCTATTGAAATGTCACTACGTTGGGTTGTAATGCGTAATCCACTTCTCACTACTAATATCACAATGGATATGGTGCTGCAACTCCCAGGCCGCGCCACTGAGCGTCGAACACCTCTTGGTGAACTTAATTGGATTTTCACAGCTGTAACAGATACCATTGCTTGGTGTGTCTTACAAGACCAACCTGAACTTTTCAAACGCCTTTTTCGTCAAGATCTCACAGTGGCTTCTATGTTCCGAAATTTCCTCTTAGCCGAACGTATCATGCGTTCTTATCAATGTACACCTATGTCTACACCTAAACTACCCGAAACGCACGATCATCCTATGTGGCAAGCATGGGACTTGGCCGTCGATATGTGTTTATTCCAGCTTCCAGCTCTTAAAGCTGCAGAAGCTGGTGGTCCACCTTACGAATACCAATCCAGCACTTTTTTCTCAGAACAACTTACAGCCTTTGAAGTCTGGCTATCTGAAGGCGCTGTCAATCCTAAAATCCCAGAACAACTTCCGATTGTCCTTCAGGTATTGTTAAGCCAAGTGCATCGATTACGTGCACTTATTTTATTGAGTCGATTTTTGGACTTGGGTCCGTGGGCTGTCAACGCGGCCCTTTCCGTGGGTATATTCCCTTACGTTCTGAAACTATTGCAAAGTCCTGCTGCTGAATTGAAACCTGTCCTGGTTTTTATTTGGGCTCGTATCCTGGCTGTCGACCGCTCTTGCCAGAACGATTTGTTGAAAGATCACGGTTATGCGTATTTTATCAATATATTGACACCAAGCCATGCTATGCTGAGCATTCCGCACGTTTCCGAACATAGAGCGATGAGTGCTTTTATTCTATCGGTGTTTTGTACGAATTTTAAAATGGGGCAACAGGCTTGTCTGAGAAGCAATATAATTAGTGCCTGTTTGGCACATGTGGCAGACCCTGATCCTTTGTTAAGGCAATGGGTTTGTTTATGCTTGGCACAAGTATGGATGAATAATAATAGTGAAGCCAAGTCAGCGGCGATTGCAGAGAATGGACATGAAAAGCTATGTTTGTTATTGACGGATCATGTTCCCGAAGTGAGAGCCGCAGCGATGTATGCACTAGGCACCTTTTTAGCGGACGGCAAATCAACCTCCAGTGCGAATGCAACTGCAGGCGCAACAGCTTCCGCCGCAGTTGCAGCAACTCAGAATGCAAAAACGGAACAGATTATGAATATAGAACATAACATTGCGATTGCTGCTTTAACTGTCATGAATGATGGTTCACCTATGGTACGAAAAGAGTTGGTAGTGACATTGTCGCATATAGTGGATCAAGCAGGTGCCGATAAATTCTTGGCGGCTGCTAGCCAAACTATAGAGGAAGACCAATACCTATACCAACGCAATAGCACCATGGAAAACGGTTCAGGTTGGCGAAGTACTACTAGTTTAGCGGAAGCTGCAGCAGCAGCTATCGCGTCCTCTACAATTTCGAACAATACCTTTGGAACAACCAGTTATGATTCAGTGTATGCAGTTGTCTGGAAGGCTTTATTGAGTCTATCAGTAGATCCTCATCCAGACGTTTGCCAAAGCGCCTCAGCACTTGTGGATCACATCAATTTAATGCTATTAAGTATGTCTTTGACAAGAGAATATGGATCGAATTTAAGAGATTCGCTTTTATCATCACCTGGACAGTCGCCTCAACATCGACATGCACAGGAATATTTGGAAAGATCGTCATTAGACGACTCTCCATCAGCAAGAAAACGTCCTGGAATGAATGCGAATACCAATAAGTTGGTTCGATCAGTTTCTTTTGCATCTACTCTACGGAATATCTATAATTTCGGTACATCCTCTTCATTGGATTTATCGCCTTCTTCACAACAACAGCATCACGAAGCCATGCCACCCATTGCCTCTTTGTCTTCTTTAAGGTTGCAGCAAACACCTTCAAATACCCACCATTTACATCACCATACTACCTCCGTTCTGGAGGAAAATGCTAACGTGCTTCCTTTATCTTCTACTTTTTATGATTGGAGTTGTGAATACTTCACTGAGCCACAAATGCGTGCTGCGGAGGCTGATGAACCCGGCAGTGTAGTGTATACGCAACGTAAATGGCGTAGAAGTCGAAACGAAAAGATTTTACAGGAAGCGAATACCACAAAAGGTTTTGCAGCAACCAAGAAAACTCGTTGGGACGAGCAAATAAATACGATGTATAATGATACAGAAGCAACCTTATTATTGTTGCATCAGTTTGAACCGCATTTGGTGGCTGCTGATGCCTACAATTCCCTTGTGTAAGTTCAATCAGTCTATACGCATGAGGATACGGCGCACTATTTGTTCAGAATTCCAAAACATCTTTTTTTTTTTCTTTTCCGTCTAGTGTATGGGATTGGAAGACAGGTACTCCTCTGAGTGTCATTGATAATCACAACCCTGCACATAGTAGAATAACAGATCTGAAATTTATCAACGAGGAAGATGAAGCCCTTCTACTGACTGGTTCAGGTAAGGAAAGAGTAGTATAAGGATGTTCTTGCTATTCTCGAACCAAACTAATTGGGTTGACTTCATTATCTATTATCATCTATGTGCATTTCTTCATTAGATGATGGCGTTATCAGGCTGTATAAAAACTATGATGGCAGTGATCCTGAAAATGAGGAAGCCATTGTTGTCAGTTCTTGGAGAGCCTTAAAGAATCTCGAAAGAAGCAATACCCGCCACAGTGGATTGATCACTGATTGGCATCAGGCCAGAGGATTATTGTTTACAGGCGGCGATGCTCGAATCATTAAAAGTTGGGACGTGCATCAAGAAATGCCTGTGATGGATATACCCACCCATTCATCCAGTTGTGTATCAAGCTTGACAAGCGACCAACTAAGCGGCAATATATTAATTGCAGGTTTTGGTGATGGATCTATAGGGGTGTACGATAGAAGGTTAAACCCAAATGAAGCGTAAGTGGTTTCTCTTTCGAGTATTTATACATGTACAAGTTTGATTAATATTTGACCTTTTCTGAAAAGCCGTGTCAAACTATGGAACGAGCATAAGGCATGGATTACCGGTATACACTTACAACGAGAAGGAACTCGTGAGTTGGTTTCAGGTGGATTTGAAGGCGACATAAAAATTTGGGATATTCGCGAAACTAAATCAATTAGAACCATTGAAGCTCATACCCATAATGAAATGATAGCGTTGGCTGTACACGATCATAGCAGTGTAATCGCGAGGTAGGCACTTTTCAAACTAGTTCCAAGTCTTTTCTTTTGAAATTTGACTAAAACAAACTCGCGAATTCCTTAAACTCGCTTTTAGCGCTGGTGATGATCAGGTGATTAAGGTGTGGAAAATGGATGGTACAAAATTATCTACCATTCGACCATCATCTGGCAGTGGCGGCTTTCTTAGTCAAAAGCTGTCTCCTTTTACTCGTAGTTTAGCATTCCATCCCAATTTGATGGTTATGGCAGCAAGCGGAAATGATGGATATATTACTGTAAGTGCTGGTTGATTATATCAAAACAATATGTAACTTGAAGTAGCTAACTAATCTTAACTTTGATTTTGTTCGTAGCTATATAAACCCCATTAACTAAATCACCTCATACATTGAACCTTGTCAACTTAAATCATATCTACTCTGATACTCTTTACGTAATTATACACTTATACACAGTACTATAGATTTTCCCTTTAGCCTTCTTGCTTTGTAACATAATAAAGTTTTTCATATACCTACTGCATGTATGTTTATCACAATGAGTTTTGTTACGAAATGCACAGATTGAAACTCTATTATTGACTTAACCTGATGAATCTTATATTTCTCCAGCTTGAAATAAAATTACTTTACCTATTGCTGACGCAAATGAGGCAGGTAAGATTATTTCTAAGTCATGGTTAATTGGATTTGTAGAAGCTGAAGGTAGTTTCTACTTGGTAACTAAAGATACCAATAGAATCGTACATGGATTTGGTATTACTCAAAAATTAGATAGTAGTATTAGAAGGTATTAGACATATTCTTCATATTTCCACTAAAGTTGTATACAAAGAAAAATATAATCATCATATGATTGATACTACTAATTCTAGAGCAATTGACAATGTATCAAAATATTTCTTCAATACTATGAAAGGTATGAAGGGTATTGAATACAGAATTTGGTCTAGATCGTTTAATAAACACAAAGGAGATTATTCTCAACTTGTAAAGATTCAAAAATTATTACGAGGATTAAGAACAGTTAGAGCAAATAATACATTGTGGACTTCTAAGTCTTAGGTTGAAGGTATAGTCCGAACAATAGTGAGAGCTATTGAGTATAACGATAGAACCCAATATCTATTGAATACAAGGGTTTGAGGTTATCAACATTAATGTTACCCACCATTATCAGGTATTGCTTCTCATTCTGGTGGATCTGTTGATTTAGCTATTTTTAGTCTTCATTTATCAGGTATTTCTTCTATGTTAGGTGCAAAAATTTTATTACAACTATTATTAATATGAGAGCTCCTGGAATGTCATTTCATAAAATGCCTTTATTTGTATGGGCTGTATTAATTACAGCTGTATTATTACTTTTATCTTTACCTGTATTAGCCGGTAAACTAATTCTGCCGGCTTTAAATTCGGCTATTTGCTGGAAACTGTTTGATTATTATACATTATGTCAAACACAATCAGCAGGAAACCTATTAGATTTGAATCTTTTAGGGATCTTCAGAGACTATACGCCGGAATTAATCTGTTATTCTATTCTACCTGTATCCCAATTAAAAACTAATAAAGTCAATAAAGACTTAAGATTCTTTGATGAATCTAATTTAAACTTAACCAAATATAATCTTCTTAATTCAAACTTTAATTCTTATTTTGCTGGATTAATCGAAGGTGATGGTACTATTATTGTACCTAAAACTGAAAGATCTCCCAAAGGAAGAATTAATTACCCTTCAGTACAAATTGTTTTTCATCTTAAAGATTTACCATTAGCTTTAATAATTCAAAAACAATTAAGAAATGGATCTCTTTCTAGAAAAAAAGGAGTAAATGCTTATATTTTAACTATCAATAATTATGAAGGATTATTAAAACAAATTTGTTTTTATTTATACTATCTAAAGGATAAATTTATTTTTTTTTTTTCATTTTTTTATACATGGTAATCGATGGCTTAAAGCGACACTTCAAATAGCTTTTAACTCTTTAACCAAGCAGTATCAAGGAATCCTACCGATCCCTTTTCTCAAAACCATATAATAGAATAAGAAAATTTTTTCTTTAGTGTATTTTGCTCTCTTCACGATTTATGAAATTATAACAAATTTTGCTCTTCCTAGTTTATGTATATTCATACTGTAATGTGTTAAGTAGTCTGTCACTATGGCTTTTGCCAATCAGTACGATAAACCTTGACTATGCGGCTTTACTGTAATAGAGTACTTATTCCTTCTGGCGCTTTTTCGTAAAAAAGATTAGAATCGCTATCTGAAGATGTATATAAATGACCAAGACTTCCTGTTCTAGCGAAGTAAGTATAGATTTCTACTGTTATTAACAATAATATGGCAACTTTTGAGCAATTCAGAGTTGCAAAAAATAAATACGCGATGGACTGTAAAGACATTCATGATAAGCGCAGAATGATGAAAGCGGCGAAAAATTTGTACAACCATATAACAGATACATAATACGGTAGATGCACTAGCCGACGCGCGATTTTAACCTTAGAGGAGCTGGTGAGTATAAACATCAAGAGCAAAACTTCTAAAAGTCGACATTCTTCCAATATTTAAAGCAACCCGGTGGTATTAATGCTGATTATACGAAGAAAAGTATTAGTACTGGTTCATATTCCGTAAATTGTTGCGCAAATGATTGTGGGTCTTAGTGTCATATTTTTAGTTGATAAACATGGCGCTCCATTCTAGACCTTCCATCTGATACTTCTACTCTCCAAACAAGATTGATATTGCTACACTGGTCGTTGGTAATGAAAGCTGTTGTAGCTAAAGAGATGAGAATCTCTATACAAAATACGCAAAAGTTGATATTATTTGGTGTTGCTCGTGATACCCAGAGGAGCTTTTTAAATACTTTTATACGTAAAACTTTCAGAATAAACATGATAATACAAAAAGCCACATCATCAATAAATAGTTATTATTCCAGTGAAATAAGATATAAACAAAGTTCAAAATATGGTATTCTCGACAATGTTAGAATAGTTGATTATCGAAATAAGGAGTGAGTTCTCATGGATTTGCACTCAGTTGGCAGCAGCGTGAATTTTTATGCCGACAAGAGTTTAAAGGGGAATTTTTATTTTTATTTTTTATTTTTTTCTGTAACAAATAAAATACGATTCCAGCTCCTTATTGTCTTTTTTTTCCCTCATCAACACTGTAATGGTAACTCCACGATCACAAAAGAATCCAAATAATTACAGAGGACGAGGCAAAGGTGGCATCAGTAAGCTACAAATAAGAGGCGGAAGGGACTTTACCAGTACCGCTGCTATTAGCACTGCTGCTACTGTTGCCCCTTCTCTGTTCATTGCAGAGCCTGACAGTTCCGATCGAAAGGAACTATTTGAATACATGCAAATACTGGATGTAACTGAAAACCGCTCATCCAGTATTCAACCGTTTGTTATTCCCGAACGTCTGGCAAGGTCGTTCATTTCTCGTAGAGGGATTGGCATAGATAGCTTCATTGAAGGATCTGCGGCAGGACTTGAAAGGAGAACCGTTTCGCAATATGTTAGAGATATTGGGCCAAATAAGCTTGCTGGTATTCCCTCTAATAAGCTAAAAGGTTCCCGATTATGGCTATTGTATCCTGTACAATTTGATCCCGAGCTTGCTTCTGCAACATTAGCACGCAGACCTGACGCGCAATCATCGTATGATGAAAGTGCAGCAGTAGCAGGAGCAGCTTTTGCTGCTGCTCCTGCTCCTGCTCCCTTTCACGGAGCTAATTTTGCCGCTCCTGCTTTTATGTCAAATCCTACTCTTGCTCCTACCTCGAATTTCCTTGCTCCTCCTCACGCTCCGTATTCCGCTCAAACCTTTAATCCTACGCGAAAGATTAATACTCCTAAAGCCTCGAAAGCTGCTGAAATCTCGAAGCCTCAGATTGAAAATCCTATTGCTGCTCTGAAGCAAGATCTGATGCAACCATTAGAACGTTACTTTAAATTTGATCATGAACAGCCAGAGCGACAGGTATTATGATAACGACTAAATGGCAACTTAGGTATGATGGATAGGAAATATTTGCTAAAATCATGTCTTCTCTTTTGGCAGCTTTATAGAGCAGAACCAGCTTTATTGAAAAAGATCATCCAGAAGTTAAACTATATATTCCATAAAAGATTTCCGGGTTACTACTTTAAGTTCACTGCTTATGGGTAAAAGAAGGAAGACTTTAACAATTGTAGTATGAAAAGCTTGCAATCTCGTATAGTTAATATATCCTTTTCTTTCCGTTTTGTGTGCTTTTATGTGCATTGCCAACCTATACTACTATCATTTTAATGGAAAAAACAAAAAGTTCAGCAAAGTCCGGGTTGGCGTTCATTAACTCAAGTATCAATCTAAATGTCGAAATGGATCAGCCTGACCTTGATTGCTTGAAAGATAGGGATGTGAATCCATATGTCTCCGATCTTGATGCACCGTATTGTTTCAATACAATACGTCCCTTTTTACAGCAAATGTTGAACGCTAAAAAAGTTATATTAGACGAAGCTACAGGATTTACGACAATCCAGTTGCAGCATATCAAAGTTGAATACAATTTCAACAAAGAAATATTTACGAGATCAACTCTTCTGATTGAGCAATATATAAAGTTAGACGGTCGTGTTGGTGAATTTCTGGGGATTTTGAAGCATTTCTGTCAATCTAGAAATCTTCTAGCACGTAGGTGTATTATATGGAAATTTATGGTAATGATTGCGCGAAGCAGATAAACTAATGGCTTACTTCTACTTTGCAATTCAACTATCTGACAGCTTCCTTATTTAATGGTATGCGGTATTATGGCTATGTCATCATGGCACTTGCGTACCTCACTTCGTTGAATCCTCCTGTTTTACCCAATCTGCAAAACATCAATTTTAAAGACATGAGTGATACCTGCTTCTCCTCTACTTGTATCTCTAAAAAGAAATATTGGGATTCTGTCATCTTCAACAATCGTGAGTGCGGTATTGCTGCTCGATATCATGACTGTATTTCATTTAAACCTCACCTTAGTAATACCAAATTACGGGTGAAGAAGGCAGAAAATGGCACACTTTATTGGAATTCAGACAATATGGCTACTGTTAAGAAGCTTTTCATTGACTTTTTGTATCATTATGGGTATGAATTGGATTATAAAGAGTTTGCTGTATCTTTGAAGTCGTTGGGTGGATATGCAGTTAGAAAGGATGCATTTAATCCATATCCAGTGGTCGTTGAAGATCCCTTCATACCCGGTATCAATCTAGCGTAAGTTATTTTACTTTGTTTGTACCCTCACAGGCTTACGTGTGTGTACATTTTAGTGAAGTTTAAAAAAGTGTAGGGACTTGATCGCTTCAATAACCACATAATGCATTTTTTTTTTGTATCAAATTACAGTGCTACAGTAGATAATATTATCAAATTCAGAGATACATTAAGAGGCGCTTTTACGTGCCTTTACGGTGACATGACGTTCGGTGAAATGGTTCGCACGTCTGATATTCATCGTATGAATAATATTCAAGGATTTGAAGGAAGGAAAAAAGATTATGAACCTTATATGAAATTGAACCTGACGCCTACCTATCGTACACTGCTATTGATTGGTTTGCCTGATATTCCGGAAGGAAGTGAAGATGCTTCCATGGATAATGTGGCAACAACAACAACAATGTCAGTTCAAGAACAGAACTGCTATTGTGTTGAATTGGCTCAGTCATTTCCCAAGTCTTGTCGGATAGAACAACTAAACATCTATGATAGAAACACAATGCTTATGAGTATCTCTGCTGTAGAAGGTAGTATGAAGAACATCGTTATACCCAACAGTTTCACTTTTAGAGATCGTACTGTACAAGTTGTCGAGCTTTATGAAACTGTCGAAATCGAGGAGCAATAGAGTAACCCCTCTATATTTTTGTGCATCTACTTTCTTTTCTTTTTTTTTCTTTTTTTTCCTATCAAAATAATCAAAATATTTATCATGTATCCATATGTTCTCGTTTCAAGTACATTCTATTACATACGTTGAGGCTTGATTCAGCTTTTCTATGCATTTTCTATATTTATAAACATCCATTTTAAACTTGCGCCCAATTGATGCAAAATCATACAAAAAAATCGTGAAATACCGCCTGAGAAAATGCAATATGCCTCGATCAATCTTTAATTCTTTTTGTCTTTCGTTTTTAAAAAGTGCCTGTATAAAAAAAACGCTCAATGCCAATTGGGGAATATAAAGGATGTCTTCTTCTCTCCCTAAATCTACTGGCATTGTTTCTGCAAATATCAAATTGTTCAACAATAAATCTGACAATGAATCATCAACAGCGATAGTCAATAATGTTAGCAAGTCTTCTGCAACGAGCCATGCTCACCAGAAAGATAGTATTGACGAAAGTCCAAAAGTACCGCTAGCACCCCCATTACCACCGAAGCCCTCACAAAAACAGATAAAACTGGGCTTCACTAATGGATGCACATCAACTAATGGGGATTCTGCCGCCATTAACAGTAATAGCAATTTACCTGCGTCGCTATCTACAACACCACCACCCCTTCCGCCTACAAGGCCACGGGCCATACCCAATAATAAAGATGGAAGCACACTCAAACTGCATAGCCATAAATTGCTAAAACCACCAGTATCAATTTCTTCGAATTCGACCTACACCCATCCACTGTCTTCGTCTGCATTAACTGTCTTGTCAACTCATAAAACCCATTCACCAAACACTTTTTCTACATCAATACCTTCAACGAATACAACCGTTACCACACCTTTGCCGCTAACAGCGCAAAGAAGTGGGTCAACGTTGAAGGGAATGTTAGGCAAAGTAGTCGGCAGTATGAGCGGTAAGGTTATTCGCAAATGCTTATCAGGATTCCTTTCTCCTAACTATGTGATATTTGCATTTTCGTGATTGAAACTAGATTTATGGACAGCTGCCCCAAGTAGTACTTCTGTTACTTCTGCTGCATCAAATTCGAGCCCAATAAACAATAATAGCACTAATAGTAGTGGGAGAGCCAAAATATCTTCACCATATAATATGGTTCACGTCACTCACGTAGGATTCAATGCGCAAACAGGCGAATTCACTGGTTTGCCTAGGGAATGGCAACTTTTACTACAGCAAAGTGGCATTACGAAGAAAGAACAACAGCAAAACCCTCAAGCAGTTTTGGATGTATTGGAATTCTATAAGGATACCAAAGAACATTCAGTAAATTCCGTTTGGGAGAAATTTGATAATGTACATCTCAAGAGCAACTCTACATTTGTAAGCATGACAACTTCATCCACGCCTCCACCTCTACCAACACGATCCCGGCCAAAGCTGGTTGTTGTAAATAATAATCACGATCATAATACTACCATCAATAATAATACAAACATAAGCGCTAGTAATACTCATAAACCACCTGTACCAATACGACCTTCCAGCGTAATTGTAAGTGGGCGTTATTTATAGATTTATCCTATTCATTGAAAAAGGACTGACTGAACTATTTTGAATTGTTGCGCATAGAATGCTACTCAAAATATCGATACACCTATTAATACTAATAACAATAATAATACTGATACCAGGAGTGCAACACGTCCTATATCAACTTCTTCTCCTCCACCTATACCTAATCGGCCTGACCTTTCCAACATAAAACGCGGCAAATTACCGCCCCCTAAACCACCATTATCTACAAAGCCATCCGTCTTGATGTCTACACAAACGGCGTCTTCCTCAGCACTAGCATCATCGCCTGCCATGTCATATACTAGCAATGTTCCGACTACTACCGAGTCGCATCAGCTTTACAATAAAAAGGCGCTTACCAATGGAAACAAAAATGTAAATATCATGTCAGCCGCGCTTAAATCAACTCCTGTACCGCCGCCCAGATCAAATAAGCCTGTATTTGCGCCTGCCGTCTCTTCAATGTCTTCACGTCGACAATCTGCAACAGTCGCATCTTCTGTTTATATTTCACCTTTGCCCGCTCCGCTAGATCCTGCATTAGATACTGATACACTACAAGATAAAGCACGTCAATTAAGACGAGAGCAGAGACAACAAAAAGAAGCAATGAAGGATGCTCAGATTATTGCCGAGTTGAAGGCTATTTGTACAGATGCTGATCCTACCAAATTATATAGAAATATGGTGAAAGTAGGTCAAGGGTGAGTATATGATTCTCTTTGAACCGAAAGGAAGTTTTTTTCAATGACTGAAGTATAAAACAAATGCTGTCTGATTGTTATAGTGCATCTGGTGGTGTTTATACAGCTCAATCTGTTGATACCAATATGTCAGTTGCCATTAAACAGATGAACCTAGTCCAGCAACAACGTAAAGAAGTCATCATCAATGAAATTCTCGTTATGCGAGAAGCCAAGCACAAAAACATTGTCAACTTTATTGATTCATTTTTGATCTCAAACGAGCTTTGGGTAGTTATGGAATACATGGAAGGTGGCAGTTTAACTGACGTCGTGACAACTAGCATGATGACCGAAAGTCAAATCGCCACTGTGTGCCGCGAAACTTTAGAAGGCATACACCATTTACATTCCTTAGGCATAATACATCGTGATATCAAATCTGATAATGTTCTTCTCGGCTTGAATGGACAAGTGAAGCTAACTGACTTTGGCTTTTGTGCACGGTTGAATGACTCAGAAACACGAACAACAATGGTTGGAACACCGTATTGGATGGCACCTGAAGTAGTGACGCGAAAAGAATATGGGCCAAGAATTGATATCTGGTCACTGGGTATTATGGTGATTGAAATGATTGAAGGGGAGCCTCCCTACTTACATGAAAACCCCTTGAGAGCACTCTATTTGATAGCTACCAATGGGACGCCTACTTTGCAACATCCTGATGAACTTTCTGACAAACTAAAAGATTTTTTGAAGCAAGCACTCATGGTAGATAGTCAAGAGAGACCAGATGCTGAGACATTATTACAACATCCATTTTTGGGAAAATCTGATAATGTAAAGCTTTTAATGCCCTTAATCAAAGCAAGTCGAGAAATACGAAAAGCTCATGAAATGTAACACACTTGCATAATGGAGGGAAGGAAGCCAACAGTTTTTTCACTAGCACATTGATGTGTAATAAAGTAAAGTTACCCTCCTTTTCTCAGCTAGCAATAAAATTTTGGTCTCACTTTCACAATGGAAGCCTGACGTTGTTTCTTGCTTTAGTATATCTATAACAGATGGTATTTGATTAATGAGGCCTGATGTGGTGTTATGACTTCACCTTCTTCACTGGTTTCTTGATCATTGATGGAGTCTCCTGTTCACCGTGTGATTTTCCGGAATCTGTCGTATATCATTGGCAACTCACATTTTTCATGTGAAATTTTTGAACTTTCGTTAGTTAGATATAGTCGAACATGACAGCAGCTGTATGCTGGACAAATTCAGCCACGGGCACATGAAAATATCGAAACCTTAATCATTATGTATCGAAACAGCAAGATCAAAAGCAGCAAAAATCTCTAACATTGCAGTGCAGATTACTGTTGCTCCTTTTTTCATTCCTTCTAGATTACAAACCTGCATTCCATTTTTTTTCTTTCGCTTTTCCTTCTGTCTATTCTATTCCTGCGCCACTACTATACTATATCCATTTTTACACATACTTATTAAATAGAATAGAGAATAAAATAGAATAGTATGTTGGACCATTTATTGGGAAAGCCTTCGCCCAGCTTTAAGAGGACACAAGTCTTGCTGACATTATTATTTGGGTAGCGAAACGCAGCTACATAAGAATTGTTTTCGTTGTACTAATGTTAATTTACTGTTTTAGATGGTATTTCGTTGTTTACGGTAAAACTAAGTCTTTACCTAAATTCATACAGAGTTTGAATAGAAAAGCAGGTATGCATTTTTGAAGAGCTGATATCTAATACTAGGTGTGTCTTATCATACTTATCGTATGGATATATACTAAATTTGATACACAAAATTGCCGAAATACAGGACAAACACCATGGAGGCTAACGTTGGCATCATGGTTGGTGTTTTATTTGTCCCAAAACATTTTTCTTCTATTGGGATTGAATGGTATTAACAAAATGCACTACTTGCAGCTCCCTAACCAACCCCCCTCCCCACCCCACCCCCACAAAATAAGAAGCCTTCATAGTGGCAGATCAGGAACTAATTTTATTGAATTATAAAATATAGCCCCTGACCCTCTATCGCGGCTGGTAAATATACAAAAAAAATTTTGATGATATACTATTTTACAAAATATTCCATTAAGCGCAACTCCAAACAACAAAGGGAGTAAAAAGAAATATTCACACATTGTTCTGGCTCTGTTGTATATACATACATAATAGTACAAACGCAGTTTTTACCGTGCCACTTGGATTTTAACAGCTCTTGATGCAGGATTTTTTACTGCCATGTCATTTAAACGGCCCGCCTGGCTTCGACATATTCTTTCTATTCTCTTTAGCGGCTATTATCTCATTTTCGCAGATGCTGCTGAAGACAAAGTACGAAAGATACGAGCCACTATTTCTATTGAACAGATGCGAGTATCTTGGGAAAAGGCAGCACAAAACCCTATCCTGAGGTGTTTGTCACGTCTTCTACGCCCATCTTTAACAATAGAAGATATCATCTACGTTCCAAGAAGGCAACAACAACAACAACAACAACAACAACAGCAGCAGCAGCAAAATAAGTGTCATCTCCCGCCTATAGAAGTCTATCGATTATATACAGGCAATCCGAGTCAGCTTGAACATCATGACACCATTGTCTTACAGTTCCCTGGTGGGGGCTTTGTTTCAATGGGACCAGCATGCCATTTGGACGCCCTATCTGCATGGGCGAGAGACACTCGATTGCCGATATTCAGCGTAAACTATAAAAAAGCGCCTGAGTATTCATATCCTTGGCCCATCGAGGAATGCTTTGATCTGTATACATCCATTATTGAGAGTCGTGGAAAAGTGTTGGGGCTTTCTGGAGAAAACGATATCAATATTATATTGATGGGTGATTCTGCGTAAGTTTTGAGAAACAAGCTTGATGAAATTTTGCATTTCATTACACTATATCCCGCATTAAACACTCATTCTATGTATTAACCCAGTGGTGGAAATATTGCAGCTGCAGTCACTCTAAAGATACTGCATCACAATCAACAATTGCTTAAAGAGTTTACTGAAACTGCAGAGATGTTCGTACCTACGGTATCGGATGATGAGGATTCAGTTTTGCAAAAGTCAACTGAACACTCCATTATAAAGCTCACTCCAATCTTTGATAGAAAAGAGCAAAAGAATTCAACAAAAGCGATCATCCCTGCACCAACTGGTATCATCCTAATCTACCCAGCTTTAGATTTTGAGATGTCTTGCTGGATGTCACCTGCTCAGCTCTCTCTAATACGTGCTGAATCCACTACAAGCTTATTCCGTTCAGCTTCCTTGAAATCTATTTGGGAGTCAAAAGATCATTTAAGTCATGCTAGTCCTTTGAGTGTTGTGCCTGATCTAGAACAAGACAATAAACCAAGCTTGTTCCATCATTTGTTCCGTAGTAAGCAATCCAAAAGGAAGAAACCTAGTGTAGGCGAACGTGCTCAACAGTCGTTGAGCATGACAGATCAATACAAATTAGCCCTTCAAACAAAAGAAGCCTGGGCTACATCACGGTTAGCTATGACAAGTCGTATGAGTTTTTTTAATGACCGTGTTATTTCGGCTGATCTGGTATAACATTAATGAAATAATTGACACCTGTACCTTCTATTTAACAGACGCTAACTGTATAATATTTTCTTTACGATGTATATGAATTACTTAGATGAGAGCAATGGCTATCCGTAAGTAATACTCTCAGTATATGATGAAGATAAGCCGATTATTAATGACTCGCTGTGCATCTATATACCAACAGTCTATTTAGGACCACACGCTAATCCAGACTTTGAAAATGACTACTTATTGTCCCCTATCCAAGCACCAGATGAGCTTCTATCCCAATTTCCAAAAACGTATTTGATTTGTGGCGAGAAAGATCCTTTCGTAGACGATTCTGTCCTGTTTGCAGGCCGTATTAGACAAGCTAAGGCTCGATGTCAATTTCAACAACAAGGCACAAGTAGTGCCTGTAACGAAGAGGGTGTACGTGTTCGCTTCTTAGAGGGAATTAGTCATGCCTTTTTACAAATGATGCCGTTTTTGCCGGAAGCCCATCATGCTGTAAAAATTATTGGAGGCTGGATCAATGATATTGCACAGCAGCAACAGCATAGCCAAAGTAAGGACTCGGCATCAAATAAAAAGACAGTTATCGTACTCAAGATGGACGGCAATAGTAAGCATACTCAACACCAGCAAACAATTGTTACCAATGAAAGTGATATGATTCGTCGTAGAAAGCAACAGTTAGTGAAAGGCTTATTGTACTAATAGCTATGTCTATGAGAACGTTTATTGTGGAAGAATAATAATCATGTAGTTACTCATCAATTTCCATTTTGATGTATTTGTTATGTTGATCATTTTTGTCTTCGTCATCCTTTGATGTTAGAGGTCTTTTCAGTGAGTTAATTAGTAGGGTATCAGCGATGGACATTTTTTGGTAAAGGGATCGGACTAAAACGGGGATTTTATAACTTGATTGAAGGTCTTGAGTCATTATCGCTTCATCAAATACCGCAGGATTCCAAGATTGTCCTAACTTTGGTGGAGAGTGTAAAATTACCCGAGGCTTCGTGGGTTCATCAGCAGGGATTTGAATAGAGATGGGTATCATGGCAAACTGTTCTGCCCCCCATGAAGGTGGCGGTAAAATGGTAATGTGCATAGCGTTTGGTGCATCTAAAGTGACCACTTCGATTTGTAACTTAGAATCATTCTGCTCGCTCTCTGTTGATAAAAACAGTAGGAAATTAGTAGCCCCTTTTTTACACTTAGTTCGATCAATATTAATCCGATCTGTATCAGTCTTACCTGCTAATATATCGTTCAATGAAAGCATAAACGATTTTTGGTCTTTTTCAGCTTCGGTTACTGAATTATTGCTATTATTGATAATACTTTTATATAAGGTATTAAACATTTGCTGCCGACGAAGACATTGTAAGATGTTGTATATTTGAACCGGATGCTGAAATGGAACCCGAGTGATCAATTTGGCGCTCGAACTTGAAGAATTTTTCCAATGATAAATTTGATCCGGTGTTTCTTGCGAACGATGAACCCATTCAAATTGTCCAGAATCATCGGCATGCTGTTGCTCCTGTTGCCTAACGCTACTTTTAGTTATATCAAGCATTAGTATCTCTTCTAAAGATAATGATGACGATTCAAAAGATATTCTTTCTGGTGCAGCCATTTTATTGCAGATATTGACATTCGTTAGGCCTGTCACACTTAACAACTGCTGGCAAATCACATCTGAAGCAGGTAAAGGCGGTTCAAGATTAAATACAAATCGTAAAGGAATTGGACTAATATCAGAATGCGTTGTTGATGGTTTGATAAATCTAAGTGGTTCCGAAAAGGATGGCGAAGCTCCTTCTGTGACAATTTTGAATTGCTCTCTTAAAATTGATTTGCAAACAGAATCAGTCCTGCTTCCCTAATCAATCGTATGTGTATGAACAATACGTCACTTACTGATCTATCGATTCTTCTGTTTCTTCCATTGAAATAAGATAAGATGATCTTGTTGAAGGTAAATATGGTATAAGTTGAATAGAAGTCTCGAATGACAGCAAAAGTCGATGCGAATCTGCTAACTGCAAAGGATTCTCTCCATTGTCAAAGGCAGTTTTTACTTCATCCCAGGTAGTTTGGTTGATCATGTCTATATCCATCCAATACGCAATAGATATACCAGGAAAATTGAAGTGTAAACTTGGGATACCGTGACCTTCGACTAATATACAAGCCATATCTGGTTTAATTGATCTTTGAGCTGCCTGTTAGTATCCGTTAAATGTCGAATGGCAAATTGATGTGCCAAATACTTTACATTTCTCTGTTGCATATTGATTTCATATCGTCAAATAAATTCTTGATGAGTATAAAAAAATCAACAGGTCTATATGTGATATTGAGTTGTGCTAACGATGCTAAGCTGCTCAAATTCCGTTTGAATAGATTAAATTCGCTGTTCTTCAAATTATCAATTAACATTTTTTCAACGCCTCCATCAAGGTTTTGTAATGTATCTGATACATAGGTCACTTTGGTTTCTAAAATTCGGCCAGTATCATCAATGTCAATCTATATGGGAATATACACGGTTTTTGTTAGGATATTCTCTCCAAGAAGCTAGTAATTCAAATTAAGCGAACGGCTCTTACGTCAACCACAATTACTTCACCAGCTAAAGTAATGGTCGTTACTGGTGGGCTTGAATCCATCTTAGCGTCTTCGTATGTTACTAGACTATAACCGTACAATAATGTTAGTTTCCTTTTTTCGTTTCTATTCCATAGTAAGTTGCCTTGCTTCTGCTTACCCTAGCGAGTGTGCGATCTTTCGTAATTGCTGCTTTTCTATTATCGATGACTTCAACTCCTCCTTTTCCTTTTGCGATTTATCGAGAAACTCGTTGGTCATTTTTAACATCTCTTTTACTCGCATCACAGTGCTTTCTAGGTTGGCTTGCTCTTTAAGATGGGTGAAATGTTTTCTAAAAGCGGGATCGGCGCCTGCGCCCATTTTCATGACGTCTTCCAATACTTCAGATTCGAATTGAGAGCAAATGTCTCTTATGCTACTGATTTGAGCGTTGAATTCGTTTCTTGCTTCGTCTATGTTGAAAGGACCCAAAGCATGAAGCTCTAACAATGGATAAAACGTCTGAGTAGGAGAGAAGTATAATTTCGAGATTCAACAGCAGTTAAGGAGACAGTTGTCTATACCATTAGGTCGCCTTTGAATCTTGTCGACTTCTGTTGCTGATTCCGCGAGACATGGTAGTTGTTGTTGTAATTTACGTAAAGTTTCATGGAGACTGAATAACGCTGAGCTAATTGATTTTTGTTCGGTCATGATGAACAAAGTTCATTAAAGAGCGGAAGAAAAATAAAAATTGAAGTGAGAAATAACGCGTAAATTTAGAAATTTTATGCCATTGAAAAATTATCCCTCGGCAAGCCATAAATTAGCTATAACTATTTTGTTTCTGAACTGTCAATTTTCTTTTTCAGTATTACTTATTTTACAGTCTCAAGAAAACATATTAAAAAGAAACTACCATTGAATGTCGCAAAGTAAATGACCCTTCTTAGTTGCAAACTTATTTTTGATGCGTGTTCGCCTTTTTCAATCATTTGTGCTCAAATTTCCTCACCTTTTACTCGTTTCGGTAAAGGCTCGTGGACATGAAAGTTCTCGTTAAAAAGCTTCTTTTCTGGGAGATGTTAAGTAGTTGGTCATTAACACAGCAATATCACGTATTTTAAGAACTAACAGAAAAACTTTTTTTAAGTCGCTCGTCGTCCATGCGTTCTGGTTGGAGGGAAGTATAGAGTTTGCAACAGTAATAACAAAAGTTATAACTTATTCAGTTAATACCTGGACACACGCAGCTCTGGAAAATGTCAAACTAAAGCCAAGATTGTCGAGGGGCTCATTAATAATAGTAGGACGATAAATTTCAACACATTCATAAGGCGTTTAAAAGTTTTTTTGGTTTTCTTTTATAAAAATAAACTCCTAGGATTCTACAGTGTGATATAACAGATACAAAAAGCAATTTATCGTAGAGAAAGCTGAAATGCGTGTTAGAATACGTAGGTATATTATAGCTTCTGTTGGTTTCTTAGAAGCTTTAAAATAAACCTTAGATAATACGATAGGATCCGCAAGAAAGTAAAACTCCATCTAATCACAAAAAAAAGTGTAGGGTATAACTTTTGAGTGCCTACAATTGTTCATTCTATCATCATTTGAAGAAAAAAATCACTAAAATGACTAACGTTTTGCTGCTCACTAGCGGAAAAAAGTGGGAAGATAAAAAGTAGATAGCAACGTATTGAACAGTACAAATTCGAACGTTAGTTTGCCAATGTTTCCTAGGCAGAAATGGTCCATGAAAGAATAAATTCGGGTTGCAGTTGATTAACAAACCGTTATATGATGTTTAGCATGGGCTTATGATGCAACTCAAAATATGTATATAAACCATTGAAGCGCATGGAGCTTATTTGATATCCAATCAAAATTGGTATATACATTTGAAGAATGATGCTCTAACGAATACAACTTGAATGACGGGTTAGACAACAATAACATAAACGAAAATAGAAAGCAAAAACTGATTATTTCAAAGCACCGTATAAAAACCACGGTATCTTATCTGTTTACTTTGGATAGTTTCGACAAGATTATAAGAACATAGAAACATTCAAAATAGATATGATTATCAAATTAAGAGATAGAAAACCAGAATTAAAACTATTTAAAATGCGTTGAAATGTTGTAGAAGAGGAGATGAGATTAGCTTCGCTTTGAATGTTTAAAAACAGAATCGCTGTGAATTACTTAGTATTAACTTTGTTGTCTTTGAGAACTTGGTTAGGTATTTCGACTCTGTATACCAGGATTGCTTCTTTTCTTTCAATAACAACTGAATGGTAGCAGTAAGCTCTATATCAACCAAATTATCTATTTGTCAACAAGTATTAGAAGCTCGCGATTGAAAGTAGCTGCTAACGAACAACCGCAAATGTCTTCAGGGCTACTAAAGTCTAAATTGAAGAAGAAGTTCGTATATATTGGCTGTATGGCACAATGTTTGATGCTTATAGTTTATTGCATCTAATAAGTAATATTTTTAATTCATTGAAACATTTATCATTCATATATTTAAAAGAACATACATCGCGAATGTATTTTCATGTAATTGGCAAAGGGCTTGTTTACCAAAATTGCGGTCGCTTTTTCCCTAGTATTATCATTGGTAATTTTCTGCTTAATTGTTCTGACGCTGCTGCTAATCCTTGTATAACAGATGCTATCTCTATCAATGCCCATTCTGTTGTTTGCATTATCATTAATGTGAATACCTCAATGATGGACCTAAATAGCTAACAAAATTGGTGACACAGAATCACAATCGGTGATTAAGATTACCGTAATGTACAACGACAATTAACCTGGAATGGTCCTATACGCCTAAGTCATGGCGCATTGCCCAAACGATTCCGATTTATAAGAAAGGCCCCCCAACCGATCCAGGTAACTACCGTCCAATTAGTCTTACATCTATTTTCGCAAAATTTTAGAGCGATGCATCCAAAATTATCTTTTGGCCAATAGTCCCCCACTCAATATTGCCAGGGTGGATTCCGTATTGCCTGTAGCTCCTTAGATCAAGCTCTTTGTTTAGCGGAAATCTGCAATATTTTGAAACGCCAGCACAAGATCGAACCAGTTCTAGCTTTCCTCGATATCAAATCAGCGTACGATACGGTTGACCGTAACGTCATATGGACAGTGCTTCGTCCCCATATTCCAGAACCGCTCCTTACTCTACTTCAAAACATGTTTGACGATGTCAGCATTGAAGTCCTCCAGAACAATGCCAAGTAAGAACCTTTCAGCCCTACTACTGGTGTCCTTCAAGGATCCATACTATCTCCTATACTCTATTCATATTATATTAACGAACTACCTACACTGCTCCGTCCAAGCCCCCTGGATCTTTCCTTACCTGTTCCGGAATTGATTCTAAATATCAACTGTTTACTATATGCCGACGATGTCGTCTTGATTACTGATAAAGATCATCTGCAGACCCTGTTGCAACAATGTGAAGCTCATAGTCTTCGGCTAGGTTATCGCTGGCATCCGAATAAATGTGTTATCCTAGACAGATCAACGCACCCTATAGATTACCAGCTTTATGGAGTTCCTCTACAACGTCAGCTCACTTTTCCGTATCTAGGGATATCTTGTCAACCAGGTGGTAGTATAGATATAAATGAACTAGCACGCACTAACACGTTTAAGGCCCTTACTACGATGAATCAATTAGCAGCAATCGGTGTCAATCCTGGTGGATTCGAAAAACTGCTCTCACTACGATTATATGCCCAATTAGTCCGCGCAAAGATGGAGATCGGACTGGCCATTAGCCCCCTAACTGCGAAGCAATATAAACAATTCGAAGATACCCAGAACATGTGTATTCGACGAATCTTTGGTGGATCCAGTAGATCGTCTGCCAGGCTTATGCTCCACCTTGCCAATCTGCCCACCATGAAAGAACGCTCCTTTGTCCTGCAAGCTAAGTTTCTATTACGTTCTACCTCACTGCCTACTGATACTTTAATCTCGATACTACTCCCATATATAGGCCAGCAACAGAGTAAATCGTTATATTGCAAGCTTGCTCATTCTCCGATCTGGCAAGATTACACTTCTTCTCCGCTCAATCAATGATCTGAATCAGCTGCTCTGCGACGCTGTATTGCTAACTTCCGTACTAGCCTCCTTCACATCCAACAATCGAACAGCCCCAACTCCAAACTGATCTCTCAATGCCGTTCTCGATTAATGATCGACCCGATCCTTTATATTCCAATGTCAACTAATGAACGCAGCCGATGTATCCGATGGCGTTTGGGTTGGCTTCCTGGAGGCCACCGAACCTATTGCCTTAAACATCCCTCGTCATTACTTACAAAGTTCCACGCTATCTCCTGTTTAAACATGCACCACCGCCTACGACTCCCCACATCAGTCTGTGATCCCATATCCTATGTCCTCAACCGTCTTCCTACACATCCGATCAACAACCCATCCCAAATACAACACTGGCATCTTCTATGGCCTGCACTTTGTCACATTTTGTTTGAATTCGACTACTTACACCACTCTCGAGAGCCGCCTACAACTCCTCGGTTAGGGCACCTATTGCTCGACTGGTTACCCTCTTCCCCTCCCACAATCCTTTAGTACATAATCCTTTTTACCCTTGAGCCCGAAGGGGTTTTTAGATTCTTTTCAGCCTTTGGAGCTGCCCCGGGCAATTTAGATAAGATTGATATCTCGTGTCCATTGGGCTTTAAAAAAAAATAAAAAAAATATAATATTATGTAATAAAATCTATGTTTGAACGTAATATACAACGACGAAGCAAAAGACAATATTCGACATGTGTACTACATTTCCAACGAGACATGTAACAAAAAAGAAACAAGCTTTCGATCATATAAAGGAAGTAGAGTTTAGGTAGTTCGATACAAGGGACACAGTACATAATTGCCTTTAGCTATGTTCTTCGTAATACACAATATAGGAACCTTAAACATATTCTATGCGGCCATTTACTTCACATATTATACCGTGCTTTGTACACTTAGACAGAACATTTTTGATCTTTGACACATCATTATATAATCTAATCCGTTTCTCATGAACCGCAGGAACTATAACCGTCATTCACCAGCCCTTCAAGTACTGATATCTGTAAGTTCACTCTCCAGTAGTCAAGTGTAATATTAAACAAAAATTTATTGTTGCTGTTGAAGTATGATAATATGCGTCTTCTCTACTGCTAGTAGTGCTTTTTGAATTTCTTAAATACACAATCTATAACTGACATAACGACCAGCTGTCTCACTCTCTCTCAAAATCTTCACAACCTATTTAGTACAATAGTGATTGAATTGACTTCAGCTTGTCATTCAAAACAGATATATCGACATTCTTGTTCTTATTATACCTGTCCACGTCTCAAACCGTAATATCTGGCAACAGGATCGGTATGCTGAATACGGGGTAATTGTGTTTCTTTCAAACGACTATACAGAAGGACAATTTTAGCAGCCTTAGACAACCAGTGCTGTGACATATTACTTAAACTTACTATCTTTGCAATAATGTGGCTTTCTCTTCAGGTGTTAGAACTTCATGCTTGGGTACTAGGACATGATGTGTGATATTGACTAATAATTCACTTTCTTGGAATGATTCAAGAGTGTGCTTTGATGGTAGAGATTGAATAACCTATGGAAACCAAAGTGGAGTGGTCAGAAACATTGTTCTTATTTAAATAGGTTCGTACAATCGTGCGTTTGTTGATCAATTACCTTGTTAGCTGAGGAAGTCATACTTTTTTGATAGATACAGATGCCCTTGGGAATTTGCTGTTGAGCCATACGTTCAACATAACTGTAGAAACAAAAAAAAAAAAATTGTTAAACTCAAAGCGAACCATTTTTTTTTTGCGGTTGTAAAAGTACAATAAAAACTCAATGCTTTACGTTCTTAATGGCTTCACACCAACAGAAGCGTCTTTAGGGAAAAAAACAAGCAGTTGGTCTGTAGGTGAATCTCTTTTTTGAACCACAAATGTCAACTGATCGCGGCTGTTGTTAACATTGGAAAAAAAAAAGAAAATCAGCATACTTTCTGAATCTATCTGAAAGTTTAACTGAGCTTACTCAACATCACCAGAAGGTGCAAATGTACGTTTGAAAGATTCTAAATCCATGTCTAGTTCAGACTGTGACACTAGATATCCCTAAAAATCGTACATTTAATTTCTCTAAGTGTTCTGCTTGCCGATTGTACATTCTCTTCAGTAATGGGTAATTACTCTGTCATGAACCATTTGATGTGCTGTACGGTAAACTCTCCATAATCTAACAGCTTCACTTTTACCGGTATCCAAACTATTCATTTTCTGGGAATTTTTTTAAGGTGTTGAGATATGAGTTGAACGTCCGTGTGGATTTTGATTGATGGTGGATGGTCAAATACAAAAGCACTGGTCGAAGAAGGGTTGATATATGAATAAGACTGAAAGCGAAATTAGGAAACTGCGAGGAGGAGACGTGACTGAGAAAAGAGTACAATTGCAGACAGGTGGCTTATTTAGTAGACAACCGACTTCAGACCGTAGAGCTGGTTGGAACTTTTTGATCTGGAACAGTATATATGAGTTCCTTTATTCAATGATTCAACGGAATAGTCTGTAGTTTTTAGCAAAATAATATCAGTAATTTTTACATTTTTTTCTTACTGATGGTAATAATATCCTTTATCGAAGAATTTTGTCTATTTGAAATCAGCTACTATGTATGATAGGCATAATTTATGTGTACTTTAATTTTTTAAAGTTGATGAAGACTCTTATTTTTTGATAGTGAGTGAGAAATGAAAAAACCGTGTTAGTGTATTTACCCTTGTTTACACTTCTGTATATACATTCTACTGTTCTCAATAGTAATGTCTGCTTACTCGGCAGATTAATTGAGTAACTGAACAGCTCTATTGCTCAGAGCTGCTACTCTACAAGTACCATATTGCGCTGTATGTGAGATTTCTGTCAAGGAAAAGTGAAAAAATATTTGCGCATCGGAAGTTTTGAAGTTGCTTATGTGTATAGTTTATTGTGATTACCTTGAAACTGAAAGCAGTATGCCTCGCATAAAACGACTTTGAGAAACACATTGCGCGATAGAATCGCCATTTTCGTTGAAAAAATTCTGCACAATCATTATGTAGTGCTTGCAAGACTAGAAAATGGTCGTCAAGTTATAGGCTAAGCGTCTGCACTTGATCCTTTTATGATGTACACTGCAGATACACCTTTTGTCAAAACGATGTCGCAAGAAAAGAAATTATAGTGTCGCATTTTCACAAAAATCGTTACCTGAAGGTAAATTTTACGTTAAATAAAACGAACACTATTCTTGGCTAGTGGAAATATATATCTTCTGCTAATAATAGTAATATGAGGAAAAGAAAGCTGACAATTTGTGGTTTTATAATGATAAACATGCGGTAAATCAACAACTAAGTTATAAGAAAGCGTTGGATAACGTAGAGCCCCGTTTCCTCATGTTATTCTTGAACTACGAGGTTGTACTTCGAAATGTGAGAAAACATAATAACAAATTATTGAGATGGGCTTGGCACTATACTACAGAAATAATTCATATTACCTTGTCCTTGAATAGTACATCTTTTGGCAAAATGCTGCGGCGAAAAACCAAAAAAAAAAGGTCTTAGAGAAACAGTTGTAATCCTCACTTAATCATAAATGCTTGAAGCGTTTCTTTGCCCACTCAATAATATAAAAACGTTCCTTTCCCTTGATATCTAAAATATATGCTTTCCTTATTTGCTCGCTTTTCTATAGAGTCTTTTTTCTAATAATATACAAGCGTGATAAAATGTCTCATTCTTGCCAAAGGCTATGTCATGTTACGATAAATAATGTCAAGGTCCATGTACCTTTATCTATCGATTCATTCTATTTCAAGTATGCATGAAATTGATTCGTTAGACAAAGTAGAGCCATAACTGACGCAATTTCGATAAAGACTTGATCATGGAAGAGAAGGATGTAGTCGATCTTTGTGAGCTAATGGTCAACTTTCACATCTACAAGTCAGTTGAAGGCATTTGCTTGTACCTGTAAAGTTAGCCATCTTTGGACTGCTTCTTATCCGTTCTTGCTTCCGCTTCTTAAACGTAAACATCGGCTCTTTACCTTTTGAGTTATTGAATGAACTTTTGGAGCGGCACCTTATTTCATTTGCTGAATCAGCAAGCCAGGAACAACTATCCATACTTTCGTTAATCCCTTTACTCTCCTTATGCGGCTATCTGGACAAACGATTATATTACTGTTTGCCATACAATTATTTGGGCTCTATATCTTTCTGAAAGGCTTCCTTCTTACACGCCAAACATTCAGTTTAAAAGGTCGTCTTTATCCTGCTTGGGAACGTTTCCCTCTACATCAACATTCGCAACATCTCCCTAAATCATCACTGCCACTCACTCTTCCACCTACTACAAGTTCGCAAAAACCATTTAAAAGAGCTATCATAATACTTATTGACGCTCTCCGTTTTGATTTTGCTATCAACTTCACAGAAACTTCTAATGAGTACTTTCTAAATCACCTACCTGTCATAAGCCAACTTCAACAATCACAGCCTCATTCCTCTCTCTTATTTCAGTTCCGTGCTGACCCTCCTACTACCACGATGCAACGTATCAAAGGCTTAATGACTGGTTCTTTGCCCACTTTCATCGATGCGGGTGCCAACTTTGCTTCCTCTGCGGTTGGTGAGGACCATCTTTTGCGGCATATACAAGCTCAATATGAACATATTTATTTTATGGGTGATGATACTTGGGTTCATTTGTTTCCTGAAAGCTTTCAGCCAAATCGTACCTTTGAAAGTGATAGTTTTAAAATGCTTGATCTTGACTCTGTTGATAACGCTATTGAGAAAGAATTATGGCCGCTTATGGAGAATCGTGTTAAAAAAGACGAATGGGAAATAGCAATTGCTCACTTTTTAGGTGTTGACCATTGTGGGCACACTTATGGTCCTTCTGACCCCAATATGGCGCGAAAACTGACTCAAATGAATAGTGTCATTGAGCGTTTATTGCAGCAAGTTGATAACGATACTTTGCTCTTAATCATGGGTGATCATGGTATGTCTGTTGACGGTGATCATGGTGGTGAAAGCGTAGAAGAGCTCATGAGCACCTTATTTTTATATTCTGGAAGACCGCTAACTTTGCAGGAGCCATATTTCCAATCCCTTTATGAAAGAATTCATAATGCTAGGGCTGCGCTTTTGGGCTATGACCTGGATGGTATTGCTCAACGACTTCATTATAACCCTAAATCTTACCCTATAGTGGCTCAAATTCATCTTGTCCCCACTTTAGCTTATCTCTTAAACACTCCTATACCTTTCGGCAATTTAGGCGCCATCATACCTAATCTATTAGTCCCCAATCTGCAAGCAGAAGAATACTCCCCCATCAACAAACAGCTGTATACATTATGGCATATGGTGGAAGAATTCCGCAAAAACTCCTTACAAGTGCATGTTTACCTTGAAAATTATCAAAACCAGACACATCAACTAGACTTTTCGTCCGATAAATTAGCACCAATTGTACAACATCTATATGACGCCGAGACAATTTTGACAAATTTACTGCAACAAAGACTCTTCACAGAATCATTATCAAATGAAAACAAAAACAGCAAAAGTAACTCTCAAATCCAACAATACATTGAGCAACTTGAACAAGTGATATTGGCTTATGATGCTTTTTTAATCAGTACCATCAAGTACTGTGAAGCCATTTGGGCTCAGTTCGACACAGGCTGCATGATTCTTGGAATTATCTTATTGAGTTTAGGAGCCGCTGCTACTTTATCGATTGCATCATCGCAACCACAGCAACAGCGACAACAACTGAGAAAAACCACGTCTACTACCATTTCCACCATTACTATCTCGAACAGTGTATTTGTGATTTGTATTCTCTCTTTATTAGGTACTTCTATTTTCACATATGTTCGCTATCAAATTCTTGGACAATATTTCCTTGCCCGAAATTGGTTTGAAAAAATGGGATTTATTGATTGGCTTGGAACTGGTGTCGCCTTAGCCCTAACTGCCAGTATTCTTGTTCTTTCTTTGAGTAAAAAGCAAGGAAAGACATTCGACAGTATTTCACGCAGCAACAACTCCATCCCTTCATCTTGGTGGAATTTAAACGACAGGCAGACTATTGTCATAGCTGCTACCATTCAATCGTTTACTTTGGGTTCTAATAGTTATGTCGTTTGGGAAGATCGTGGAACGCTTTATATTTTGAATACATTGGCTGTTGTTTGGGCTATTCGAAACCTTAAATCTCTTCATTCAGTTTCCATCAAGGCCATAGTTACTTCGTTTGGCTTCCCACTCTTGTTCATGGCTTTGATTCGTATATCAAACGTCACAGGCCAGTGCCGTGAAGAACAATTTCCATATTGCGATTATGTCCATAGCGGAATGCTGGAATTTGGTTTTGATACTACTGGATATTTTACGATTGCTTACGTCGCTGTTATGTACACGCTTATTGTCTACTTCTCTGGCTTTCTGTATCGTTTGAAAGGTCTGTTTTATACCGGAATATACCAAATTTCAAGCTTACTGGTGGTGCTTAGGTTTATCTACGAAATTGCACAAAAATCATTTGATTCCACTTCAGCGGCATCAATTACAGAAAATGCAGTTGATATTACAGCAAATGTACAGAAATACATGGATGTCTATATTCCGCGTCTAGTTTATGGTCTGGTTATCCTAGGCACTATCATCGTTATCATACAATGGGTAACGGCGCCCAGTGTCAATAGAGAGAAGCAACTTCATTGGAGTTGGACACTATACTTATATTGGACTACGTTACTTGCTATTATACAACGTCCTATTGGTGCTTTGATTGTCTTAAGCTCCCCTTTCTTGATTCGAATCTTGAGTGAAAAGGCCTCCCACTCTACTTTACTTATTCGCCTGACACTTCTTCATTTCCTTGGTCATCATTTGTATTACGTTACGGGTCACCAGGCTACGTTTACATCTCTTCCTTGGAAAGCAGCTTTTGTAGGCTTTGATGATATGAATTATTATGGTGGTATGATTTTAGTGGCTCTTTCAACAATAACAGGTTACATACTAAGTTGGTTAGGTTGGCTTGTTATTCTATCTCATGCGTTACTATTACAAGAAAGACAAAAAGACGATGTCAATGCGGAGAAGAAAGTATCTTCAGATTACAAGCAACTAGCGACAGACGAAATTCAATTTGATACTAATGATGTCCATCATACTTTGTATCTATTACCTTCTTTGCATACAATTTCGACATCACTGTGCGCCATTTTTATTTTCGTATTAAGACGCCATTTAATGACATGGAAGATCTTTGCTCCTCGGTTCTTATTGCAGGTAATAATCGAAGTATGTTCCTATATCGCAGCTATCGTTATTCGAGAATTGCTACATTGATCAATGTTTAAGCTAAATTAAAGTATTTGTGAATCAATTGTTTATATATACACAAATAAGTCAATTTTATTTTTGAAATAAATATTGATTATTGAAAATAGACATACCTACTCACAAATAAAGGTTATTTTTTTAGCAAGGATAGTTATACACTATGCAATGAAGAATATCTAATGTCATCTAACAATTTCCGAAGCAAACAAATAAAACATTTCACGTTTTGAATTAATATTCTCAATATTTAATTTGGAGGAAAGAATGAATAACCGTTCAGAGGTACTTTTCTGCATCGCTACACTAGGATCGCAGAAATTAAAAGCCTTTATTGATGGAAATTAAAAAGAGCAGAAAAGGGGAAAAAACTAATGAGATACTAACTAATAAGATTAAAGAATTAGAGTTAAGCAACATGTGTTTTAATCGATCAACGATTTTGTTTAAAAAGTTGAAAGAATAATATTAAAATCCTTGAACAGGGAAGTAAATCCCTTGACCAAAGTTAGGCGGCGATGGACCAGCTGGGGGATGCGCATGATCTTTACTGCTTGATTCAACTTTGGCATTATCATTGTCCTTTTTCTTACTTGGCCGACCACGTTTTTTGCGGACAGCGTCAACGCATGTTTCTCCCTTTTTCAATCGAGTACATCTTGAGCAGGGGCGTGCAACATCACAAGCTACATGCGAAGCCTTACAAGAGACACAAGCCTTACGAACATAGACTTGCTGACCATTATCATTGCTAGCAGTCGAAGAAGAGCTCGCACTTGTCGAAGGAGCAGGGTGAGGAGCAGGATGATAAACAGGATTCGTAACAACATTATTAAAAGAAGAGGAGACTTGCGCTTGGTAATTTGATGATGAGCTATAAATAACAGAGGTCTGCTGCTGCTGCTGCTGCTGCTGCTGCTGCTGTTGCTGTTGATGTTGTTGATGTTGATGCATTTGCTGAAGCTGTTGCAGAACTTCCACAGGATCGGTCAGTTGTTGCTGAAACTCTTGTGGTTGCTGACGTTGTATATCTCCCGCAGGGAATAAAAATTGAGACGTTACTTGTTGCTGGTATTCCAGCCGTTTAAGTTGTGAATGCCCTGCAGGAGTGGACATTTGGGGAACAGCATGTTGCTCGTACTCTTGCTGTTGTTGCTGTTGAAAATATTCGACACGATCAAGCATTCGAGATACCATCTGATGTTGATAATCTTGATGGTTCTGTTGTTGCTGTTGTTCTACGAATCCCAAATGGCTGACAAATTGAGGCATCATTTGTTGCTGATATTCTTGCCGTGGTGGAGTGAGATTCTTTAATTGTTGAGGATCAATATATTGAGGCAATAAATTGTAGGGTGAGTGGCTATTACTCAAGTCATTAGAATAGCTAGCAGTGGAGGATAGCGTACTAGTTGAAGCTGTTAAGGAAGGCGTAATAGTGGGTGTACTGACATAAGCCGCGACAACTGAGGGCGTACATAGTTCAGCAGGATCGTAATGTAATTGACTATACATCGTACGGTCAATTTCACCAACTGTAGGTGTACTTAAACGAGCAGCGGTAAGTAGGGGGGAAGCGGTAGAATTTGTACCATTCTGTTGGCAATGGTTCAAAAGATTCACAAAGTCAGCATCCCAAGAGCGAAATTCGGCAGGGTCGTAAGGAAAATTAGACATAGTTGCAACAAAAAAGCAGAATAATATAAGGAAAGAAGAAAATAGTCTCCGGAAAAAACTGGTGCCTTTTTATAGTACTTCGATAGCATTTTGTTTATAGCAAAGGTCTACGTTTGTCTTTAGGATTAAACTTTAGGAAATATAAATTTCTTTTTCCAACGTACCCAATGTATCAAAGCTAATAAACAATAAAGTCTAAAACTGCATGGACTTAATTCTTCCTAATACTCCCAGAGGTAGTTATATGATTATTCTGTAGAGCTTCCCAGACAAATAAAGAAAACTGATCATTTTGTTAGATATATACTTAAAGAGACACAGCAAGTGCTCATGCTCGACAGCAAGATGCCCACATAATTGGCATGTCCTTCGGATGCCGTTCACTTTTTTGCCTTTGTGCTTGAAAAATTGGCTCACAGACGTCGATTGTTTCAAGTTGAATCAAAGCCAAAACTTTCACAGTAACAATTAAGCAGAACGCAATGGCAGAATAGACTTTTGTTTGTTCTTTTTCCCAAACAATGCTCCAAAAAATTTTCATCAAAAGCATCCATTTGGATGAATATCAATGAAACCAGCAATTTAAAGTGTTTTCAAAGTGAACCCAATTAGCATCTACATCGATCAAATACGAGACTTTAAGGGAATAAAAAGTATTATTTACAAGCGCAATTTATCGTAAAAAAGCTGACCAGTAGCTTAGTAGCACATACAACTTCATGGTTCTTATTAATTGTGCACTTAATTAGAATCTGTTTGAATGTCAATAGTTTTTTTTTTTACTGATCAGTCATTATTATGAAGACGATATGAATGTATAGAAAACACAACAAAAAATAACGTGTTAAAAGTGAATGATCCTTATTCATTAAAAATCATTTCTTGTGATACGCCTTTATTGAGGGGTTAGTCGTGCACAAGCTAAGAATCTGTCTTACTCGTTCGAAAGTTTCAAGCATATGGTTCTCTAATAATGCTGTAAGAGGATATGAGGTAATCTATGTTTGTATTTTAGCAAGAACCCGTCTTATTCATATATTGAAACCACAATATTGTATCGTTTCCCTAATTGATAGGTTCATATTCCTCCGCTGATGCGGGTCCATCAACTTCATTACAGTCAAAGTATGATTTATTGTGATTATGAAGTCTTTTTTCTCGTCTCCAAATCACATTCTATGTATGGCGCTTCGAATTACAGTATGTTAATATGATGTGGAACCGAAAATGGCCTAACAAACAATGAACTTGTTATTCAACCAAGGTTGTTTAGGGGTCTCATTTTTTATTTCTTTCTATTGAACATTCCACATGTGCCTCACATTGATTTACCTATGAAACATAGCTTCAGGTAAAAGAACATTTGTTGACATTTCAATTCTTAATAGTTGAGAACACACCATAGGATTAACATGGAGACGCTAAGAATCTGATTCTAAATAATTCAAGCGGAAATGAAACAATGTTTTTGATAATCATTGAGCGAAAGAAAGTTAACGTAATCAGAAACATAATATAGTATATGATGATGGACATGAAGTATAACGAGAGAACAGTCTGAAATTTTGAGATAATTGGTTGTTAGTTACTTGGCATTCTTTAGCTGATGACTTTGCTGCCTCCTTTTAGAAACACTAGCTTTCTTTCTGCTTCTACGTGAGTTGTAATTGTCTCTTTTAAAACATTAGGAGATCGTGTTGTGAATACACTTTTCTAAATTCAGAAGCGGCTGCATTTTTTACAACTGTACATTGAAAAGTTGCTATTGATTGTGGAAAGCTTAAGCAGTAATAAGCTGAGAAACACAGATCTTTATTATGATTGGCTCTCCACATAGTACCTTCAGATCTTCCTTGAATTTAAAAAGGGTTTATGCGCACTGACCATCTCAATTTTACCGGTATCTTCCCTCTCTCCCCCTTCACTTTCTTTTGCTTATCTATATGCGGTTTTCTGTATTGATTTTTCACTTGCTATTGTTCTATTTTACTGTACATGCTGTTGCTTGCTACAATCTATTACAGCAGCAGCAACAACAACAACCGCTCTTCGGAATCAAAAAAGAATCACAATCATTGAAATTGAAATCCATATACCATAAAGCAAGTTATAACGCACCTATACCCCACTTGTTCAGACGTTACGATGTAAAGGAAGAGGAGGCTGCCATTTTTGAAGCAGAGATGGATAATGAAATGTCAATACAAGGACATCTAGCTATCATTGATAAGCCGTCGGATACAGATATTTCAAGGTTGTTGGAGAGCCGTAAGAGATCTGCATTGGGATTAGCTCGTTGGTCGAATGTTGTAGAAGAACAATCGAGTAATGGCCGGAACAACTACCAAAATGTGCAGGCAGCAATGAATATGCAATCAGCGATTGAATTTGTACCAGATGTAACGGATAGGAAAACAGTATTAACGTTAGCCATGATGACAAATAATGCTTACTTGGATATTAGCCTGAATGATACCGATTGGTACGACATTGAAGAGCCATGGAAATTGGTAAAGTAGAGACTATCAGAAAAAATGGGCAGTGCAGAGCAAGACTAACTATAACAACATATTTTGCCCATTTCACGCTAGAATAATTCTTTCGGCTGGAAGGAAAATGGACTGCGTGGACATATCTTTACCAATGATGACGATTCCTTAGTGGTTATCAGTATAAAAGGTACAAGTGCAGGCTTGTGGACTGGTGGACCTACAGGTGAAAAAGACAAAATCAATGTATATATTGAAGTATTATGCTCTTCATATCCTACCTTTACAGTTATTGACGGCCTTTTTTTTTAATAGGATAATATGTTATTCTCTTGCTGCTGTGCAAGAATCAGTAGAGCTTGGACTCCTGTTTGTGATTGCTATCAAGGAAATGGTTACATTTGTGAGAATTCCTGCTTACAAAAAAACATTCAAGAAAGTGAACTTTATTATGACAGTGCCATGGTAAGTTATACATTATTTGAATACTCAGTGATTCTATAAGAGGCTGACTTTTGATTGCATCCATTGATATGATGTCATTGATATCAACAGGTCATGGTTGAGGAAGTAATACACCGCTTTAAAAAGAGTACCATATGGATCACAGGTCATTCATTAGGTGGGGCCTTAGCCAGCTTGGTAGGACAAACTTTCGGGATTCCCACTGTCACTTTTGAAATCCCTGGTGACAAGCTTGCTTCCACACGTCTCCACTTACCCTCAGGGGTGTATAATAACCGTGCTCTTTGGCATTTTGGGCATACTGCCGATCCGATTTTTGTTGGTGTTTGTACGGGTCCGTCCAGTAGTTGCTGGTATGGCGGCTATGCAATGGAATCTCGGTGTCATACCGGTAAAAAGTGTGTATGGGATACAGTGAAAGACAATGGATGGCGTGTCGATATTCGATCACATCGTGTAAAGGATGTGATTGAAAATATTTTAAAGAAAAAAGAAGAGTTCCCTTTACCGAATTGTGTATATGAAGAAGAAGATTGTCAGGATTGTGGGTTATGGTCATATTATGATAAGAGAGATCCTATCAGTAGCACTACTACCTTGTCATCTACTCAATCCGCTACTACAACTTGTAAATCATCAAGTAGCATTCCGTCTGACAGGTCTAGCAGCACTAGCACTAAAACAACAGTGATAGGGGAACCAATAACTGATGATCCTTGGGGTCATTGGACTACTACATATTATTAGACGTCTTTAGCATATACGATACTATATATACCTCATATGATTTGTTTTTTTTTCTTTTTAGTTCCTTTGCTCGACAATAGTTTTAAAGCATGCTACACCAATAAACCTAACATTTATGCAGCAGAAACTTTGTTGTTGTAGCAATCATCGGCATGAAACTCACAAAAATTTTCTTTGTTATTTGTTATCATTATCCCTGAATTTTCAGGCTTCTTGCAACAAGCTCCCTTCATGTATGGGAACGAAATTTCTAGTCAATATACATCATCTTGAGAAATATGACTAATATCGAAAAGAAAAACAACACATATAATCAACAACAACAAAATGAACAGCAAGAGCACCATAGACCAATGCTTAACGATTTTGATCTCAATGTGGTAGATGAAGCTTTATTACATCCCGACATTCCAGAATATGAAGATCACTTTGGCTTTATTATTCAAGTCAGTTCAGATCACGAGTATGATTCCAGTGATGTTTCTTCATTGGAAGATAAAGACGACTGTAATATTGAAGATAACGAACTGGGAGAGGATGGAGAGAATAATACTATCAGTACCAAAAATACAACTTTATCATCCTCCTCTTCCTCTATCACAGATGATTATCGAATGAAAAAAAATGTGAAAAATCTGACAGGTGACAACAATGGTGAAACTAGCAATATCAGCGAAAAACTACAACAACAGTATAAAATACTAGATGCCCGAAACGCTTTGGATAACATGGCGCCCACCAACATTGAGGAGATGACAAACTTGAATACTACTGAAACATGTTCACTCAACGAAAAAGTTGACGAATCAGCCCCTAATAAAGTCATCAGTAACAGTGCACGTTTTGAATCTGGTAATAAAGTGCAAGAGGATTGGCAAATAGTAAATAAAAAGCCGCAAGAGGACCACCAGGCAGTAAGAACACCGTCGCCAACTGCTTCTGCTCCTTCAAGTACTGCCATCACTGATACCGCAGTATCCGCAACACCAACTGCTGAGACAGCAACCGCCACTACGAGCTATTACGAGATGTTACTGTCCAAATTTAGAAGAAGGGAATGCAATAAAAGCATATCGTCAAACAGTAACAGTGTCGGTAATACGCAGAAGCAAACGTTAACGCTACTTAAGAAGGAATTATGTCAAAATTTGGAACAGTTGAAAGAAGAATGCAATGATGATATTGATTGGGGTGAGACTCACTTAACTTCATATTGTATAATTTGTCATGCACTTATACCTTCATTTTATTTGCCATGTATAAAGACTTTTGTGCATCTTTAATATGCAATTTTGAGAAAGCAAAAAGGACGGAGCAAGCTAAAATCCGACGCTTCCTAGCCATTGGCATCCCACCGCCTTTACGTGGAAAATTATGGAGAATCTTTTCCAATTCAGACGATGACAATTATCTCAATGATGATACCCATAGTGTTACTAGCACTGTTAATACCACAAAGACTGACAATGAACTTGTTGTAAAAGAATATATTCATCTTCTGAACCAAACCAGTCCTTGTGAAAAACTGATCCGTCGGGATCTGTCTCGTACATTCCCTCACATCCCCTTTTTTAAGGATAAAGAGGGGGAAGGTCAAGAAATGCTCTTTAACGTTATGAAAGCTTACAGTCTTTTTGATACCCATGTAGGCTACTGCCAAGGCCTTCATTTTGTTGTAGGCGTTCTATTATTGCATATGCCAGATGAAGCAGCATTTTGCGTATTGATCAAGTTAATGAGTCAGTATGGGCTACGAGGGAATTTCACACCGCAAATGGAAACACTGCATGAGCGTATGTATCAGTTTGGCCATTTACTTCAAACATATTTACCTGAAATCCATCGGCATTTGGATGCTCAAGGAGTATTGCCAAGCATGTATGCTTCGCAATGGTTTATGACGCTCTATGCCTATCGATGTCCTTTAGAATTGGTGTATCGTGTTTTTGATCTTTTGTTTGTAGAAGGACCATCTATATTGCTAAGTATCGCCTTAGCCTTGATGAAGAAGAATCAATCTGTTATTTTGAGTTTGGAATTTGAGTCTCTGCTAGAATTTCTTTCTGGTGGTAGTAGTAATAGTAATAGTAATAATAGCAACAGCAACAGCAGTAATAAGAGGAACCATAATGAACATATTGGTAGCATTTTTGATGCTTACAGTAATGACAGAGAAAGCGGCGCTTATCAATTTGTTCAGGATGCTTACGAATTCGTTATTTCACCCAAATTACTGGCTAAACTCGCAAAACAATATCAAATAGAAGCGGCTAAGGAAGCAAAATTGCAATCTATAGAAGACGCTATCAAACGGGAAAATGTTCAATTGACTGATCAGATTCAACGGATTCGTATAGCTTACAAGGCGCTAGAACGAGACCATCAAGATGTCACTCAGCATGTCATTCAGTCCAAGGTTGCTATAGCTAGTTTAGACGCGGAAAATCAACAACTGCGGCACGAGATAAAAATAATGAAGCAAGAAATGGTCAAAATGAAAAATAGCTATTCGTCAGCCAATACAAAATACAAGCAGCAGTTCGAACAGCTTGCCAAGCAAAATGCTCATCTGGTCGAAGCAAATTCGGATTTGGAAAATAAAGTGGCAGAATTGGAGGCTGTCCTGATTGACATGAAGATCAAGTATGCAGAAAGCGAAAGCGAGTATGAAATGATGAGGCAGAAGCTGCAGGAAGCTCAGAGACTGAGTAACGTAAGCTCTCATAGAAGTAGTAGTGCTAGTAGTCGAAAATGATAAACGAACTCGAATGGAGCGTGCAATTTACATTTATTGTAATAAGATGAATTATAAGGAATAGGTATATTTGTTATGTATTGGGGATGTCAATTGATGATATAAATTATAATTATGAATGCTTTTTTTTTAAAGAAAAAAAAAAAGTAATACTCCCGCGTTTACTTCTACACTGGAGTAACATACTAAAGACATGAACAAAAGGCACCAAAGCATCTCGAGAAAAAACCTTTTGATGACTGCTGATTATGTAAAAGCGGTGAAGAGGAATTAATTGTATTGTAGTTGTTATGAACATCTGCTGTTAACATAGGTTGGCTAGCTTTATAGACTCCTACATTACTACTATATCTTTTGGATAATCTTCTCTTCTGCTGCTGTTGATAGTAGTTTTTGTGACTATTGCTATTAGGCGATGATGGATTTGAAGCAGCATGGTTTAAAGCCATCACAGCGTTATGCTTGTGCTGTCTGTTGTTGTTATTGCTACCGTTATTGTATGGGTGATAGGGAGGGTGGTGCTGCGGTTGATAATGATGACGAGAATATTCCCAACCCTTACCGTCGTTCAAGAGCATCCAATCGTAGATACCGTCGTCTGTCTCTCCAATGTCATCCAGTACTTTATCAAATAAGTCTTTCATGTATCCATAGTTAGGGTTCTCTTCAAAGTCGAGTCTACGTGCATACTGCAGATATAAACCGAATTCCTCTATTTTTTGTAAAACAGTTAAGAACATATCAACCAAGTATTAAATCATGAGTGTAAAAAAAAGTACCTGGAAATCCTTCGCATAAATCCTTTATTGATGTCGTTTGTTTTTTCTCTCCAATTTTTTCATATTTCTGTTTATTGGTGGCTGCCTTTAACCCTTGCCAAGGTAAAGCACCTCGCAGGAAATACATAAATACATGACCCAAGGATTCTAAATCATCTCTTCTAGATTGTTCTCGGCCTAAATGCGTGTTGATACTCATATAACGTGCTGTACCAGATAAACTTTTCTTTTCACGGTAAGGTATATGTTGTTTCGTTTTTGGGTCGCGGTAAAGTTTAGCCATGCCAAAGTCTATCATGTAAATGGTATTGTTACTATTATGCTGATAGTCATTCCCACCATGCTTCGTGGGTGATGAGGACTGCTGTTGTTGTGATGCAATAGCAGAAGTAGTGGAATTCGTGGCATTCGGTCTGCCAATTAAGAAATTATCGGGTTTGATATCTCGATAGATGAGGTTACGCTCATGAATTGACTGTACACGAGTAATCTATGGTCGTTCGTAGAGAAAATAAGAAGGCTTTCAGTTGGAAATATCAATTCTAATCCCTTTTTTGTTTACAACTTACCATTTGTTTTGCTAACATAGCAACTGTTTTTATACTAAATTTACGTGAGCACATATCGAATAAATCTTCTAGACTAGGTCCCAAAATATCTATAACCAATATGCTGTGTAATCCTTCCTGACCAAAATAATAAGCAGCTGGAATGCCGCCTATACTCAGAACGAGCGAAACCTGTCTGTGTGAGTAAACGAAAGGAGTTCTGCTCAAGTGTGTATCAAAGGTAATATTGTCTGAACACTTTACTTAGGCCTGCTAATATTTTGTATGTTCGATATTCATCTCGTAATTGAGGTGCATCTGACTTTCTCGATTCGAACTTAATAGCTACTTGTTGGTTGTTCATCAAGTTGATACCTACAATATTTTGAGTGAAAAGCAGCGAGTTTTCTTTTTTCCGAGTCAATTTACCTTCGTAGATGACGCCAAAACTGCCTTCACCAATTTTTCTTCCAACTTTATAATGAACGCCAACGACATTAGACGAGGAAACCGAGTGTCCTGGGCCTGAACCGTTAGTGCGTGTCTGGTGCTGCGGTTGTTGAGGATGTTGACGGTGATGAGTGGGCATTTTATAGACTGTGTCTATTGAGAAAAGAGAAAGGGAAAAAAAAAAGAGAAAGGAAGAGAACAAACAAATATAGTAAGGGAAAAACCTTAACAAATTATACGGTAGGTAAGAGGTGAATGGAAAAGGGAATAATAAAATGCACAAAAGAAATGCACTCTTTTCCTTTTCCGTATATCTTTTGGCTTATGTATAGTTCAAGGTAAAATCGTTGATAGGCAAAAGGAACATTATCAAAAGTACTGTGCATTGATTGCCGTTCGTCAACTAGCGGCCATTAAATACTTGCTGCTGCTGCTGCTTCTGCTAAACACAACAATTAAACAATAAAGCTATAACATATTGTTAGACCTCGTGTAGATTTGTAAATGTACTCTAAATTTGAGAGTACTTCTCTACAAGTCATTCGTATGAGTTGCTCATTTTCTTTCGAACGTTGCAAATCCTTCCATCACTCTTTCTCCAACTATAGAGATATACAATATGCATGGGATTGCTACTAGCCATTGCCATAACTACAGAGCTCAGTAAAAGAAAACAATTCAGTCTTTAAAAATTGTGGCAGAATTCACTCTAAGCGCACGGTGTAAATAAGTGCGTGCAAAAGCTTTTTTTTTCTAAATAGAACTCATTAAGTTAGTCTTTGAAGCTCTAAGCTCGGATGTTTTTGGTGGATAACTCAATGATACAGCCTGCGTCATGTGCCCTTTCTGACAGCATAGTTATACTGGAAGTAACAAGTCAACTGTTTTTACAAAAGGTTATGAAGACTTTTTTTTATTCTTTTTCTTTTGTTTAATGCTTTTCAGGGTTCATAATGGAGCTATAGCAATCCAACAAGCTACTGAATCTTTATTCTTAATTACTGATTTACCTTTATATGAAGGTTTAAAAAGTGTGCTTAACAAAGATAGCTATTATTGGTGACGTACACGACGATAAATGTTAACAAGCTTATGCAAAATGAATGGCTCGTGCGTTTGTCTTTGATAATGCAGTGTTTTTTAGGTCGCACAAATGATTTCAGGCACAATGACCCTTCATTGGTCGGCTAGAGTAGTCGTGCTTGCTTCTACAGTCTTGATTTACTTATGCAGAGCACAACAGACTGCTTCAATCGAGGAAAAAACGCAACAAAGATGATTAGAAAAAAAATCCGAATAGTATTTGCAAGTGTTTGTTTCTGCGGCCATCTTGACATATAATTTGTTTACTCCTTTTCGAATGATACAAAGTTTGCAAGCCATATTACATCTAAACCACGCTAAGCTGTCTATCCAGTGTCGAGACAGATTATAGACATAATCTAAATAAACGGTAAAATTGTCATGGATAACGGCGTCTTTTCTTTTCGTATAGTTTTCATGAATATAGTGAAGGGTAATAAAGTCAAGAATCAAGATTCATTCGTTATACTACCTCTCCGACGTATGAAATGGCATTTAAAACTATGTATATGCGCTTACCAGCGCATTTACATGGCTTCAAACTCCTTCAGCAATAAGCAATCCTCTAACTAAAACTTCTGGGCAGGAGACACATTAACAAAAAGAGTTGATTATACCCTTCTTTCAGTTGCTTTCTGACTTTGTTTCCATTACTCGTTCATAATTCCGGTATTCATTATGACTGACCATGGAGCACTATTTTCAGCTTGCACCATTCATTCGCTCAGACAGTTAAATGGTATTGAAGACTATGACGTTCACGAGATTTCATAATCAACGATCACAGTGGATAATCTACCGCAACAAAGCTTAGTAGGCATTACGAGAAATACATTACATTTGCCTTTATCTCCACAATGGTAGACTAACAAATGCGTCCCTGTTGTTTTACTGCAGCAGCGACACATATTAACAGCCTTGAAAGTAGAGTAATTTATTCTATGGCCTATAAGATGAACAAGACTGACTTAAGTTGTGTACGAAGTTTTGAATGAGGAATGATTTGATTGTGCTTGCTGATATATATCTGGCGTTCATTTGATTACACGCGTTGAACCACACTAGATGTTGTCTGTTAACTGTTTCGCACCATTCATACTATGGCAATGTTGGTGCTTTATACTTTCAATTAAAACTTCCCTTTATTTATTGTTTTTTTATCTACTGCAAGATCGGCCCTAACGACACATATTGTTATGCTAAACTTCTGTTGCTAGGCCAAGGAATTCAATTGAAAAGGAAACGCGGTTATGCAATCAACAAATAGCCCAACGTCATTGACCTATTATTCAAAGCTAGCAAGGAGTTTACGTTTCATCTGACAACCTATCTAACTTCATGGTACAAGCTGTTAACTTAGGCAACCAGTCATCAACAGTTCTCACAAAATGAAAGCTGTAGGGTAAAGGTTTTTCTAAGATGCATATGCGTTTCTATTTCCTGATTTTGTGTATTTATTTTAACCAACAGGTTTCAGGATTTGCATTTCAATAGAATCAAGTTCCCATCTCCGAACATAGTGGTAGCAAGGATGTTCAGTTTTGTTTTTTGTTTTTTTTTTTCTTGAATTGCCTATGAATAAAGTATAAGGGTCTTCAACATGTATTTAGCCATAACTGTTCTATTGCTTGTGCTGCTAACAGAATCGATCCTTTTTCTTGGATACTCTTATATAACAACCATTGTGTGTGTCTATTTTTCTCAAGTCTTTTCTCAATCGAGCTTTGAATTAACAGATTTTCCAACATTTGCCATTAGACCTATGACCTGTACGTGAAAATAACAAGAGACAACCGCGTTGCAAAACAGAAAAAAATGAAGACAGATGTTCTTAGACTGAAAGCAGAACTGGGCCAGACAAGTTCGCAAGTAAATTCTTTTTGTATTATTCAAAAGGATGATAACATTGCCATTCGAGCTTACCAAAAAACTTCAACCCACTGTTTTGGGTAATTACATAGGATGAGTTTTCAAAATGGGCAAAATTACGTAGAAAGTTGGATAAAGCAGTTGCTGATTTAGAGAAATTAAGTAAGCTTCGATTTTAGCAATAAGTAGAGAAGCAACTCAAAGTCGAACTAAAACCCTTTGCTTTCACGCCTTGATAGACTCTGATATTTCATACTCAAGAGCTGCTTTTGAGCTTAAAGTCAAGTCTGTATTATGGTTTTTGGTTCATGGATCTCAAGTCGTCATGGTATTATGGTTCAGAAAAAGTGCTGTATTCTACCTTCCTCCTGGTTGGTTTGGACCTGCTCAACGTTTCTTGTCATGGCCATCTGCACCTGAAGGTATGAGAACAATAAAACATCAGCATACATACAGTGGGAAAAGGCAACTCACCTAACTGAAATTTTAATTTCAAAAGGCTCGGTTAGTGTTGGTATTTGGTTTGCAGCTTGTAGAAGAATGATCAAGGCTTTAGCACTCACAGTAAACGATTTTGTTCTCGTTCCATCCACTGAAAAGAAGATAAAGACAACTTAAAAACGTTGAGGAAGGTGAAATAACTGACGATGGAGTATCCTATCTTGTATATATACATAATCATTATAAATAGCGGTAATAATAAATAGGGAAGTTCATAGGGCCACTCACTTACTTTCCCATGCCATCTATTTTCTATCTAGTAACCTTTTTAACTGTAGTAGATTTTTCATTTGCCGCATTGTCGTTCAATTTGTGCTAGTGTCTATGAGTGCTTATAGAGTTTTTTTTTTAGAAAAAAGAACAGTCGCAACTAACGTTAAAGTTTACGGAAAGGGCGGGGCAAATGTGTATATAACTTGAAGCGTGTGTGTGTGTGTGCGTGTGCGCTACATTGTACACGTCGAAATGTCAGTCTTCACCGTGAGAAAATTCGAGGAGAACCGTCTGATTTTCCCCACAAACGAAGGGTTATAACTATTTTAGTTTTGTCATTTTCAAACCGTTCTTTCTTTTTTCCTTGCTTTCCTTCATTGACTCATTCTTTTGCTATAAACATGTTCAAATTAACCCAACGTCTGGCTACTGCTACTCGTACTGCAACTCCTCTAACCTCAGTGACTCGTCAAGCCTTCAAACGGTAAGCGTCGGATAAGAGTTGGCCTTCTATGAGCGCGTGTACTTATTGCCTTCTAATAGTAACTATGCTGCTTTAACTTATTCTGTGCCTACGGCTCATGAGGCTCCTTCTTCCTTGCAAGCTTTTACGGAAGAAGAACTCATGTTGAAAGAAACTGGTAAGTAGCCTACCTACTTTAAAAGTGGATGTCGTCCTTAGGTATCAACGTCCATTCTATCACAGTATCTAGATTTGCTCGTGAAGTTGTACAGCCTCAAGTTCGTGAAATGGACGAAGCTGAAGTGATGAATAAAGACATTATCAAATCCATGTTTGAGAATGGAGTAAGTATTGCATTCAAAAAGTCCAAAGGGAGGAGGAGAAGGAGGGGACGCGCAGTGTCTGTAAGGGGGTTAGCTGCAAAAGAGACTTGAGTTGTTTACTGATATGTCCATCCCATAGTTTATGGGCCTTGAAACTCCCGCGGAATATGGTGGTGCTGAATGTTCGTTCACTGCTGCCATCTTGGCTGTAGAAGAACTTGCCAAGATTGATCCCTCTATCAGTGCTTTGTGTGATATCCATGTAAGTTTAACAATGTAGAGCTGTATTGCGCGTGAATCCACGGGTACTCAATCAACCCCATTCTGCCCTTCAGAATACGTTGACCAATACTGTGATTCGTAAATGGGGCACACCTGAACTGAAAGAAAAATATCTCACCCGTCTTGCTACCGACACTGTGGGCAGCTTCTGTATCTCTGAGGCTGGAGCTGGTTCTGACGCATTTGCTCTCCAAACACGTGCTGAAGATAAAGGTGACCACTATCTTTTGAACGGTGGCAAGATGTGGATCTCTAACTCTGCCGAAGCCGGCATTTTTGTCATTTTTGCCAACGTGTAAAGTATATCACAAAGAAAAACTGCTACCGAAATAAGAAGAATCACTGTGTTTTCTAACATACTTTTTTACTTATCAGCGATCCTTCGAAAGGTTATAAGGGTATCACTGCTTTCGTAGTAGAAAAGGAATGGGGTGTTGAAATTGCCAAGAAAGAAAAGAAACTCGGCATCCGTTCCTCCTCCACCTGTGTCCTTAACTTTGACGATGTAAAGATTCCCAAAGAAAACGTTCTGGGTAAAGTGGGTGAAGGATACAAATATGCCATTGATTCCTTGAATGAAGGTCGTATTGGTATTGCTGCTCAAATGATCGGTTGTGCTCAAGGTGCCTATGATATTGCTTTGCCTTATATGATGGAACGTAAGCAATTTGGACAGGCTATTGGTAGTTTCCAAGCCATGCAACATCAATTTGCTGAGGTGGCTGTAGAAATTGAAGCAGCCAAGTTGTTGACATACAATGCAGCTCGTTTAAAGGAGGAAGGAAAGCCTTTTGTTATGGAAGCTGCCATGGCTAAATGGAAGGCTGCTAAGGTCGCCGAAAAGGCTTCATCTTATGGTAACTCATCCCCTTTTCTTACTTGTATGCATTGATCGGCATCGTATTCTAACTAACTGTTCTTTTTTTTTTTTTTAACAGCGGTTGAGTGGATGGGTGGCAATGGTTTTGTGAGAGAAACGGGTGTAGAGAAATTCTACAGAGACGCTAAAATTGGTTCTATTTACGAAGGCACAAACAACATTCAACTACAAACCATTGCAAAAATTATTGGCACTAAATACAAATAAATGATTCCCCCCGTCAGAAATATAACTGATATATAAATATAGATGAACCACGATGTTGACTAGGTTGATAGGTAGTCAAAAAGTACCCCAAAAGACAGCATGTGTTTGCAATAAAATAAAAGAATAAAAAAATGCAGGGGAATTCTATTTGAATCCGCCCATTTTGTTAAACAACTTCTAAAGGATCCTTATCTACTTGAGATACAAGAACCTCAATAGAGTCCTCTCCTTCCTCTGACTTTTCATCAGCCAATGCTTTTTCTAAAGCAGGCTTCAGAACAGCAGACAGATAGCCACGTTCAGTGTTTGAGTGTTCGCCTAGGATAAGAACCAGTGGTAGTTTTAGACAAATGAAAAATATGACGTCGTTGCAACCTTGTTTACTACAAACACTTACAGAGAATGACGCTTGTATTTTTAGCCAAGGCGGCCAATACATCATGATGACCCATTTCACCTGTGAAATAAAGGTCAGCATCAACAGAATTCAAAACCGAAGAACCTGAGCCAGCGCAAATGGCGACAGTTCTGACTACTTGATTCTTGTCATTCGTAGCCAAACGAACTAAATGAATAAAATGGTCGAATAAGAGGATGAACTGTTCAACAGGGTTAGCAAAATAGCTTTTTTCTTTTTCACAATCAAACTTTACTATAAGGTAATCCAATCAATTTCTTGACACGGTCAACAATCGTCGTGAGTTGTGTAGGCTCATCGAATGTAAAGATACGTCCTGAACCTGATTCTTCTTGTCCAGCAGGAGGGTTTTCAGCAGGAGTGATGGGTTGTGCAGAGCCTTTACCGAGTCCGCTAGCAAGCCAGTCATTGACTGGTTTATGTGGATTAGAATGATGTAAATCTCTTTCTCGTTTACAAAAAAAAAAACAAAAAAACAAAAAAACTCGGTGCTTCATTTACCTCCATTGACGCAATTATCGCAAGCTGTGTGCGGTGAGTAGATACCCACACCTTTGGCAATGGCTTTCAAAACAATATCCTGTTTAACATCCTCGGAGGTCAGGCGTTTCATGGCACGGAAAATGGGAGGATGATAGGATACAATGGTGCCAATCTATGTAGCGTTATGTATTTAAAGGGGGGCGAGCGAACGCTAAGTTTAGGTGCCAAAGCTCCTCAATAGTTTGTCATCGTTGTGTGTCCTATTTTACCTTGGAATCACTAAGTGCTTCATTGAGAACTTGAGGTGTAAGATCGATCGTCAACAAGACTTTATTCTGTTTGGGGCACGGATAAGGTGGCTCTGTTCATCCATAAAATAGAATGAAAAGCGGGTGAGCAGATGAGTCAAAAGTAAAAGTTGCATTCGGCATGGGCACAAACAACCATCTGACGAGTTCGCGTCTTGTCCATGTGCCATCTACAAAGAATTTTTACCCACAAGAACGCCAACATTATCCCATGAGGTCTCAGCAAGCTCCAAAGGAGCTATTTTTTTCATGCAACGTGCAACTTTTGATAACAAAGACATGTTTGAAAACTTGAAAGAAAAAAAAGAAAGCAAGTGTTGAACAAGGTTAGAAATGAACGCGAAAATTGGCATAATTTTGCTTCCCTCACTTTGAACAAGCTGCCTTCGAAACCCATATAAAAAGAACACACAAGTATCTAGCAAAATAACATTTATTTTTTACTAAAGTCATCTACACACATATCTACAGAAAATGTCTCATCACATGAACGCTATCTTGATTACCAATGTTGACTCTCTTCTTGGCTATGCTCTGGCCTACCGTTTCCTCGAGGAATGGAACCGACGCAGTAGTGTCAATGAAGAATTCCGAGAAAAGACTGAATTCCGTTTACTATGCCGTGAACGTCAAGGCATGGAAGAATTGGAGCGTATGGGTGCTAAAGTGATGGAAATTCCCAACTATAACGATCCCGACATCCTTAAAGCAGCCTTACGTGGCGTCTCCTACATGATGCTCTTGCCAGAAAACGACTCAATGGCGTATATGGCCGGTAAAATGATGATGGAACAAGCCAAAAAGGAGAAAGTGGATTACGTTGCTTTGTTTTCTTAGTAAAGTCTTCACTGTTGTGCATGCTTTTTTCTTTTTTTTTTTCTTATTCCATCTAACGAATAGTTCTTCTAACTATTTATCATGTCCATTAGTCAAGGCATTGATCACGTTGAAAAGCACAAGCATCATTATTCAAGCCTTTATCCTTTCTATCAGCTCGAGCAAGAATTACGAAGCGTCTTTGGCAAGGACAACTGTTGTATTTTCCGTTCCGGCATGTGGCATCAATTTTTCTACTATTTTGGCCCCATGATCTCTGATAAAAATAAGGTGCAACTTCCTATCCGCAAAGACTGCCGATGGACCTCCATTGATCTAGGTGATTTGGTGGATGCTGTTTATAACTTGTCGGTTGGTGAAAAAGGCTCTGAACAACGACGTCAAGCCGGAAACCATGCAAATCTTGCTCAATCCATCGTTGCTAACTTGCGAAAGAAAAATCAACTATTATTTTGCTTCACGGGTGAAGAAACAATATCACCTCATCAACTGACTCGATCCATGGAAAAGAGTCTACAATTGGGGCACCCCTTAAAGTTTGAAGAAATCGATGCTGCTACCTTGCAAAAGTACCTTAAAGAAATTCATAACGATAATCGCTTCAGAGCTAGACCCGGAATGTCAGATAAAGAGTTCCTGCAACTCTTTGTCGATGAAGCAGAGCAACAGCAACGTAGCAGCCAAGTCGGTGCTAGTATCAGCGATAGTGAATCTAGATCGTCTCATCAAAGTCACTATACTTTCCCTCTGGGTCGTTACTTGAATGATAATGTCATTTATGGATTGCTAGAATTTTGGCGTCTGGCTGATGCTGGGCACACCGAAGAAACGACCTCAGATTTGCAAAAGGCTCTGGGACGTCATCCTCGCCATTTGGAAGATTTCTTTGAACATAATCGTGACCAGTTCCGTCGTCTCCGTTGAATATAGAAAAGAGATGCTACTAGGCTTTCTCTTTTTTCTTTCTTTTTTTTTTTTTTTTTATTTTATCGATTACGTACAAATTATGTTTATTTCTTTTTTTAAAGTATTTTTTACTGGAAATAAACAGAACATCTCTATCATAAATGGATAGATTACAAATATTACGGTTGCAAAGGAGGAAGGAACGCAATAAGTGCAGTCTTAGCATAGATAAACAGTTCAATTTGCATGATGACAATTTAAATGTTGATAAATAGAATATTCTACCCGTAGATGACGATCACTGTTACTTGAGATATAGGTCAATAACGAAATGCGTCAGGAAAAGTATATAACGACAGGACGTGAGCATTCTTCGTTCAAGGGAATCTTAGCTAAAACGCTCAAAGTATGGATGCTATCGGCGCTACTCTATCACCGTTTCTACAAAAAGGCCAATGCAAGAGAATGCCAATGTAACAGGTCTCAATTTAATATATCATCATTGAGAAGGGATAATAGGTGTTTGATTTGTATTACGACAAACATAGGAACATGCTTGACAAGATAGCAGTCGAACTGAAGAATGGCATGCTTGGCGGTTTGATAGCTTGTAACTATGTGTCTTCATAAGTGGAATAAATTGAAGAGGAAAGGAAATACTTAAAACGACATATCTATATAGTTGATAACTATGAGAACCAAAGAATTGCATCATGCTTGTCTCGAAAAGCATTGTCCAGTCAACGAAATAAACGGAGATCTATTCTTGCTTTTTGACAAAGGACGGCTCATACTTACTATTTTTCTTTCTGCTGAAAGGTTATTTTTTCCCTTTGTATTCCCCAAGTAGCAAGGGTCTTTATCCGATAAAATGTCAGATAATTAGTTTACTCGACATCGTATATAAGTAAGTAACCTGTTTTAGAGAACAATAGAAAGGCCTAGGAGTTACTTCATTAGACGAAAACATGCGTCAATAAAAAGTCTCTTACTTAAACCTAATTTCTTCACTCGCTCAACGTTTGTTATACTTTACTATCTTGGGTTAAAATATATTGAGTACCGCAGAAAAGAGTATTTCAACATTGACGAAAATGTCTATCAATACTTTTCATCTATTGGTCAGTTTTCTGAAAATGTAACCTAAAGATGTCGAGTAAAGTGACATACATGTACTATTGAGTTTAAAGTGTTGATGAGATTGAACATCTACTATTTGTATGCAATTCTGGAATTGCTGGGCATCTTTAAACTGTCTACTTGTTGAAAATCAAAGACGCGATGCGAAAGTACTATCCTTTCAAACATTAATATATGCCTGATGCGATAAAGAAGATGTAAAATGAAATTGAATCGACGTTCCAAAAAAGGCTTGAAGTTTTCTAGAATGTTTAGAATACGTGAACAGTAATTTTGGAACAAATAGCGAGGAATAAAAAGCAAATATTGTTTGTTAATTGTGATTGGCCGATCAAGGGGAATGAACACACTGATCCCTTTTTTGAAAGATTCCCCCGGCAAATGAAAAAAACTGTAATGCAGTCAACCGAAAAAAAAAAAAACAACAAAAGGTAAAAATGACGTTTTACTTTTGAAATGCAGCTGGCAACGAAATAAATTTACTCAACCTGGATAGAAAAGCCTGGAATATATAAACGTCTATTTTTGGGTGCTTTAAACGCTTTATTTGTAACTTTCCTTTCTTTTTTTTTGATTTCTATCATTTCTATATTTTACTGCATTTACATAACAACTAACTTATTAATCTTTTTTCTTTTCAACTATTTTTTTTACTAAAAATGAGCCTGAAAGTTGAATCACCCACATGGTATTTCAGCGATTATAACAGTGACACAAATTCTACATCATCTAATAATTCACCTTTGCAACCCCATTCATCATCATCGTTGTCAAGGATTTCACCTGCAGTAACTGCTGCAGCAACTGCTCTCCACTTCACTAATCGAAATACCAACAGTAATATTAACGATAATAATATAACATCTGCTGCTGCAACTACAACACCTACTAGCATCCATCAAGAATTTCTTAATGCATTACAAGCACGCCATCAAAACTCATCTGCCATGGGTTGGTCTAACGGACACTCAACCTCATTCTCTTTGCCAACAACAATCTACCGACAGCAGCATTTAGAAGACTTGACACCCATTGATTGTGATTTCCTAAACGAGCTATTGAACAATCAAAAAAGCAATAATACCAACAGCAACAATAAGAAGAACAAGATACTATTAATTGATGTTAGATCATTTTCATTCTATTCCAAGAATCGAATTCAGTCTTCTATTCATATATCTATTCCTTCCGTATTATTAAAACGTCCCTCTTATACTTTGGAAAAGATATGTGAAGCGATAACTGAACTGGATCATGCGCCTGAACGATTTCGACAAGGATGGCAATCTGCGGAATACATCGTTTTTTATGATCACGCATCTTATAAACCGAGTGATTCTGGTAACTCGGCGACTGCCATTTTGTTAGGGTCCAAATTGAGACAGTATGGATACAAGAATCAACTAAATTATTTACAAGGTAAAACAAAGTAGCAACTTTATTCAATTCTCGCTTTCAGAAGTATTTGGAAGTTTCTATAGAGTTCTTTCAATATAGTGCAAACCTTAAACAGAACTTAAGAAATCATGTACTAATAACATGGCTTGTACTTTTGGAAAAAAAAAATAGGAGGTTTTGATAAATTCAGTCAATTCTATCCAGATCAATGTCAGTTTGTACGACTTGAATCATTGAACAAATCAATGAAAAGACCCTCATCATCCACATTAGAATCGCCTATGGTTAAGAAAGCGACCACGGCAGCAGCACAGGCAGCCACAACGACAATACCTCGTCTCATACCAGCCTTACCAACTTCTATCCTCATGCGACCGTCTTTTTTATCATCATCAACCTATCCTGCTAACGCTTCAGTGGCAGCAGAGTCATCATCCGTTCCTAATGCTTCGAGGACCACCATGAGCAATCCTCATAATGTAAATCCGTTTTTCGACAATATCAGGCAAAATCTCGAATTGTCGCATGGCCCGCTCCAAGAAAGATTCTCTATTCGATTACCCGAAGGCGTAGAAAATAGAAATGGAGCACTTCTTGTGCCCAATATTAGCAATGCATATGATATGACTTCGCCGTTCAACGCAACTTCTCTTACTCCGCCTCTTTATTTTCCTAGATATGGCTTGGGAGGCAGTTCAGTCGACTTTCAAGGCTATTTTATGTTGCCCAGTTGGTTAAAGGACGTAATGCACCCTGATCGAGGCCCTAGAAAACTAGCTCAAGCGTACGAGGTAGGTGTAGTTTAGAATTTCAAAAGAAGCAAAAAAACAGGCCCAGAAAGAGGATGATTTTTTTTTTTTTTTTGATGCCTTTGTTGCACAATTGGAAAAATAACCGAATAAAAGTAAACTTACCCAAAACATTCATTTTGTACAACGCTGATCAAACGACATCATCTGTGATATCATTGAGTAGGAGCTGGAACGTACTGAACAAAAAAGGCTATCGACCGTAATGAAGTATCATTCCTCACAGCCTGCAGTTTGCTTAGGCAATGTGCCCGATCTCTCCAGAACAGAAACAACAAGTAAAGATTATTTTCCTTTCAGTATCGTTTCCGGTATCGAGAAAGGGGCATTAAATCGGTACAACAACATTTGGCCTTACGGTAAAAGATTGGATTCTCTTTACTGCTTTCTTTTGGGTCCAGCCATTCTAATATTCGAAATTCCTATTTGGTTAGATTACTCGAGAGTTAAGCTTAAGTGTCTTACAAGTAACAATGACAACAAAGATGTCACTGGCGGGTCTCAACGTTGCGCAGACGACGACAAGTACATCAACGCCAATTACATTCAATTTGCCACTATCAAAAGGAACATTACACTAAGTTCTATTTCCAAATCACAGCAAGAAGTTCAGCTGGAAGAAGATGGCTTACTTAGCGAAGCATCTGTGCGCACGATGAACCAACGTCACGTAGAATTGAAGAGCAACCGGCGGTATATATCTACACAAGGGCCCTTACCAACTACCTTTAATTCTTTTTGGGAAATGGTATGGGCTGAAAATACACATGTAATCGTTATGCTGACGCAAGAGATGGAAATGAATAAGGTAAACTTTTTCTTTTTTTTCTTTTTTTTTTAATGTAATCCTGAATTCTTCTGTTACAGAACGCACATTAATGTATACTTCCACTGCTGCTAATAGATCAAATGCCATCGATATTGGCCCTCCACATTGAATAAGCCTCAGCAATATGGCCCATTTTCTATCACTTTGTTATCTGAGTCAACTGAGCTTGTTCAATACAACTCAAAAGCCAGTTCTTTTAGCAGCAACGATAGTACGCAGGAAGATGAAGATGACTGCATTATTATCCGCAAATTTCTTATGACTTACAACGATGGCCATCAGTCATCTTTGCAACAACGAAATATCACTCAACTTCAATATACCGGCTGGACAGATTTTGGCGTTCCAGACCATCCTGTGGGCTTGCTACAGCTTATTCATCTGACAGATCAATATCATAAGCGTAGCTGCCAGCAACCCAATGAACCCGTCATTGTCCATTGCTCTGCAGGTTGCGGACGTTCAGGTGCTTTCTGTGTCATTGATACCATGATTCAACGTCTCTGTCAGGAGAATGACCTTTACACATCAAGTCGTGTGGACAAAATACTAGAAACCATCGGACGTTTCAGAGAACAGCGAATGAGCATGGTGCAGACCCACCGACAATTCGTGTTTTGTTATGAAGCTGTTTTATGGTGGCTGTTAGGGTTTGGCTACTTACCAACGTCATCGCCTCTATCACCCTTGATTGCTACTCAAGCACATCAATTACAACTACCTCAGCCACAACAGGTCAAGTTGCAATCGGAGAATAGAGATGATGAGGATGATAGCAGCGATAACTCTATTACAGCAACAAGCCCTGTTGCAACACCCTCTACAGATGAAGGAAATGCCTCCTTGTCTTCATTAGGAAGTATTGTTAATGACTTTCAAACATTGTAAATATTTATTGTAATTACAGTAGGAATGGCTAGCATGGATGGTTGCCATCACTAGTAATGCTTATAATGCATATAGCTGTTTCTGCAGCGTATTTATTTTTTTTTCCTATTATGACACTTTTTTTATTTATTTTTCTTCTAAAGACAAGCTTATACCGTTGTTTATCCTAAGAGTGAACAATAAAAGATCTTAATTGTTTGTTTTTTTGCTTTATGATGTCGAAGGTAAGATAGTAAGCGAGCGTTGAGAATATATATGAAGAAACAGAAGATGGAGCAATGTAATATTTTAGAACTCTTACGAATAGTTCCCTGAGTTGTAAGTGAGTGTATGCTTGCTGTATTGCATTGTTGTAGTCCTGTCAGCTTTTTCGGGACAGTATAGTGAAGCAGTACGAGATAAATGAAGGTTCATAGTCTGATAATTAATGCAAACGCAAGAGCAATCATGACAGGCTCTGCTTGTAGGGCTTTAAACAAAAAATAGAGCAGTAGTTCAACGTATAGTCGATCTTTTACATATAGACGTAGCTAAAAACTATATCTCTCAATGTGCTATCATCACTTAGGCGCTCAGTACTGGTCACATTATCCGTTTGAAATTTTGACCTTGACGCTGTTCTACAGACGCTTTCGTCTCTTTTGGAAAAAATGAATGCATTTCGTTTGTTGAAGTCGAGTCTTATAAAATTATCGGACAACACTCATAACGTAAGCACTGACACTTTGCTACATCAACAATTATACAAACATTACATTTCGAAGCCCCATCGAATAACTATTGAAATTGTAAAAGGGACAAAGCCTATTTAGAAAACTGGCAAAACTTGGTATAAAAATGCTTTCACATGGAGATTATGCAAAGTAATCTGGAATCATTATCGTGAAGCTGTCAACAAATAACTCAGACAGAAGTTACCTGCGATTGTCGTTCAAGACAGCTACAAGTATGGCCCGAAGAGAGCAATTCACCTTCACGTACAGGATTCTTGAACATCTTTCACAAGCGACTTTTCAAAGGTTTGGAATAAGTATAACACACCTATAAGGACTATAAAATTGCAGTTTGTTTGTAAAAGATATTGAGTTTATCATCCAGGGCTTTGAAGCCAAAGAAGACATACATGGTTATATTTGATACATAGGCTTCAACTCGTTTGAACACTATTCAATAAAAAAAAATTCACAGAAAGCTTGCGCAGAGGTACTTGATATCTATTACGGCTAACGAGATCAACATTTGTTCTATCTTGACACTGAACATTAACGTCGAATCAGTGCTGTGGTTTACCAGCATATGGCATTTTACAGGAGCTATTTTTTCTAACCTTCCCTCTACTCCTGTTTGAGTAACCGCTCAAGTTACACAAAGCGGTTTAAAGAGCAATTATGTTAGTTTGCATCTGAAAACCTTGAGCTTCACAGACGACAGCGATGAATAGCAAAGCAGGAACAGTGCTTAGAACACTCGTACGTATAAAGTACATCCTGCAGTTCAGTACATTATGAATGGCACTCTGAAAGACAGCCAACGCTTTCATTCCAGCGTACCATAGGATTAACTTTAATCTCTCGAATTGCCCAAAACATCCAACCGTATGCAAGCAAATGCACTTTGTATTTGATAGCATGTACACAATTCAACAGGATCGCCATTGTTATTTGCCTTACACTCTGGGCAACCCTCTATGAGCAATACTCATCAAGAATATTGCCTTTATGCTGATCAGTGGAAATAATTATTTATGTGCAACTCTATGAAATTACACCCGGTTCTTTATCGTTCTTTAGGGTTAGCACTTGATTTTCCATCAGTCCACTTTATGTTGAGCAAAATTATGTATACCCCTTATTATAAACTTTGATCAAAACGGTTTGTGAGCGATGTAAGTCTTGCCAGCAGAGCAATCATATTCACTTGAGAAAAAGTAATAGCTTTAAAATAAAGATAAGAATGCAAGGGAATGATGCACGAGTAAATAAACTTAGATTTGAGAAACGAAGAGAAACAGCAAAATGTATTAATCTATGGTATTCCTATCGTTGGTTTCTACATTCATGATACGAGAATCACTACCTGAACAACTCAATTCGAACCAACATCATAGAGCAGCTTAATCTCATTATCGTTACTGAGCTAAAAATGCTTTCTGATACAACAAATATCGATCGGCTTTGCTTATGTGAGTTATATATTATAACTCAAATCAACAGGCTTTTCTGCTTTTACGGACGTTAGTCTGATGACTGTTGATTTTACGACTACAAGGACTGCAAAGTGCCAATGTTGAATTGACGAACATTCATTTGAAGGAGATATATCAGGACTAAACGTTACAAGTTTTGCAAACATTGACTCTAAACTGTTAGCAGATCAGCTACTGGTTTCATTCAATTTATTGGACAATAAACCGCATAACTCCAATTTATTGAAAAATACAGTACAGTTGCCAGAAGGAAATACTTGAATAATGAGAAAAAGGGAAATATACAAGCCTCAAATGTTCGAGCAAAAAAGTCTTTCTATGAAAAGTAAAAGGGAGAGGAATGAGGTGGGTAGGAGGAAGATGCTAGGCTGCGGTAAGAGACAGGGAAAGGAGCTTCAATTTGCTATTTTTCTTCTTTCACAGCTGCGGAATGGTGATATTCAATCTTGTTACACGTCTTTTTGGTATCTTTCTTTTAGGACTTAGTGTGGAATGATGTTGTCTTTCACTCATCGTGGTATTATTTCTAGCGTACGGTAAACTGCGGAATGTACAGTGAGAAATAGTTTCTGTTAACGGTGATAAAGTGTAGTTTATCTTTGTTAATTCTGTCAGCTGGTTTGTCATTGTACTGTGGGCTTCGTCTGAAGGATCCAGAATAACAGGCTCAAGAATAAGATTTTTTAACAGAGAGGATGTCTTTTTGTTGTAACAACTAAGTTCGGGCCCTTCAATAGCGTACCATGGAGCATCCGGATCTTCATCTGCAAAAAGATCTTTAGGTGATGTAGTTTCGATCTCATTCGATGCTGAAAACATGGAGCTATGCGTTAGGGAGTATTCGGACATACTATCTTGCTGTTGCTGTTGCTGTTGTTGTTGTTGTTGTTGTGACTGGGATAACGCGACAGAAGATATGGCTGATGTAGGAGAGTACATCATCATAGGATGAGAATGAATACCAAGTTGTCCTGCAGCAAAGTATTGTTGTTGTTGTTGTTGTTGAAATTGTTGTTGGCGGTTGTGTGTGAATAAATTAGCAGCTGTCATTGGTATGGAAGAAGGTATCATTTTGTAAAGATGTTCATCGCTAAATTCGATGGACTGATCATAACTGGCACTATCCTCAAAAGAAGAGCCATAATAAATAGTTGGAATGGGTGCTGGTGGTGACATAGCAGACAGGTAGTCCATATTGAAGCCATGATTCAGTTCGTCACTAGGTTCCTTATAATTGTACAAGTCGAAGGATCCCATAACAGGAGTGTAGACGGATGTGGGCTGAGACTGTGGCGACAGTGCAGACGAGTAGCTGGAATCTAGTTCTGGCAAGCTGCTACAAGTGACATTCTGGCTGTTGGCTCTTGAAGGTGTTGTACGTTGTATTGATGCTGTTCTTAAACTCGGAGTTAGCACAGAAGATGCATTTGACGTATAAGAATTACTACTATAAGCTGATACTGTAGATGGACGCTGTTGGAGGTGGTGAAATGGTGTGCTTGAGGAAGAGATCGACAGTCGATCTTGCTCTTGCCGTGATGCTGCTAATTTTTGTTGATTCTCTCTTAACTTCTCTTCTTGCTTTAGTTTTCTCTTCTTTTCTTCCTCTGACTGAATGTATCGGATACTCAAATTGTGTATCATTAACGGTAAATCCTCTTGGAAAGTGTTTCTTAATTGAACTTCAATCTGACGCTGTAGAAATTCACGTAGAATAGGAATACTGTCAAAAGTAGAACTGACACGGATGCTTTCGAGTGGATCGTTTTTAAAGACCAACGTCACACCTTTGGTTTTAGAAACAACTAAGACAACAATGCCACGAAGTTTGAGATCGCTAATACGCAGGGTCATGGGCACCACTAACGGTTGATCTGCTGCTAAAATAGAAGGTCGACCGTGTCGAGGTAATAAAGAAGCATTTGACTTTTGTTTTGCATGCAAAGGATTTGCCTATTTGTTTTGGTTTGTGTGTTGTGTATATTGTTCAAGAAGATGATAAACAAACGGATAGCACAGAAAAAAAAAAAATTATTCTTATGAGTCATTTTTTTTTTCCATGCATCGGAAGAGTATGGGTCTATGTATAGCTTTACCTGAACTTTGGTTTGAATTTCGATATGGGCGTCACCAGCATATGTGAGTTTGAATATACCTCGAAACTTGTCATTGCCAAGTTCTCCAATCTCTAAAATCTCTAAATCGGGTGGCTGTAGGATAAATTTGTATGTAAGTTTTCGTTATGCACGAAAATTTAACTTCTTTAGGCAAAAATAAATAGAGGCATCAATTCTACCTTTGTACCCATGTGCAATTCTTTTACTGTTATATGGTCTACAATAACAGAGGGCTTGTTGCTCTTATTCAAAGCCATTTCAAGTTGGCTTTTGGCCTCATCGTAAAACTCGTGTTCAAATTCAGGCCAGTTGAATCGGAAGGCCATGTTCGCTACTACAGTTGTTGTTACTCTGTTTTTCTTATAATGGACTTAACAAGTTGTATAATAGAGACTTGACTTGATAGTTCGTCAAATTAATGGATAGCGACGAGAAATAGAATTAAGCTTTCAATGATGAAAAATGACAAATATAAGGAACCTTTAGGAGAAGAAAAGAATGGAATCCTTAAACGCTTGGGATTAATGGAAGAAATAGGAAGGCTTAAAAAGTGGGGGTGGGTGGTGATGACTTTCAAGAAAAAAAAAAATTGCCGATTTAGTGCAACACAAAACTCCAGGGTTATTGGTAAAATAGAAAGGCCGCGACCATCAATTACGTTTTGTGGATTGCTTTTGCACACCCATAGAAATATCATTTGTAAGTTCAGTGCTGCCAATAGGATGACGTTACCAAATCAACCCAGTAGTGTCAAAGGGAATGCGTTCCATCTATATACTACAAATAAAAGCTGATTGACCAACTACTATGGTCTCAGAAATAGTTCGTTTTTATCACTAAGGGCGTAGAGCGTGAATACTGGAGAATTTCCCTCATTTTGACCAACAATTTGATGTTAACAATAGTTCTAAAGTCAAAAGACAGAAAGCAGAAAAGGGGCCTTACGAGTAGGCATGTTAAAATAAAGAGTAGTTGGCTCTATTGAAACAAATTTGCAACATTTTATTTTAGATTTCTTCTTCCATAATCCCAAGTCATGCTGCAGTATTCTGCACACATTTGACTCACTGTCAATCAAGGTCCCTATCATGTGGGGTACTTTACATTAGAAAAACTACATCCGACGCATTTTCATATCGTAGCTTTTACTATTAAAGACGTCTGTCTACTGAACGACGGAACTCTCCTTCCTTGTTAAGCTTCTGGTCTCCCTCTTCATCTCTTCGACTAGATGTCACTGAATTGTCTATGGTATAGTCTCTTAATTTGTTGAGAGTATATTGTTTACCGAAGATATAAGCACCCAAAGCACCTAAAAAAATCATCATTTAACTATTTTTACTCGTAACAACTGGAAGAAATTGTGCCAAATTCCATCATCGAAAACCCACATTGAAAGTATTGAGATCAGTTAAACTTACATGCAGCAACGGAGGTCCTACAAAGTGTGGGGTGTTAATATGTCTTAAATAGATAGCCTTTTCCATTCACTTTAAACCCTTAAAAGTTACCAGCCTATTAATACGCCTCTTGGTGAATTTTGCATGATTTTTATAGATTTATTGTTTTGCTGATAGAGTAGCTTCAGGGAAGCATGAAAGATTGTACAATGTGTACTGGAGCAACGATGAATGTGAAACTTGTGTATATTTAAAAGGCCGAAAGTTGCCACTTACTGCACATTGTGCAGGTTCATGCCGTTATGGTATGATATGGAAATGATCATCTGTTTGCAGCTAGAATAGACCTTTAAGAGCAGAATGTAGTCTATAAAACCTTGACATATTGAACAATGCATGTTTGAGTGCCTTCATTTTGTAAAAATGTTGAAGTTTTACAAGTAAAGAGTTCAAAAAAAAAAAAAGAAAAAAAAACCATAAAATAGAAAACCTTGGCTTAGCTGAAGCAGTGAAAGTGGATTCATTTCCACAATTACAGCCAGTCATTGGACGATCGTAGTTAGAATTCGTATTTTCTTATTTTTTTTTATAGCTTGCCCAGTTCGGGTTTAATTATTCCACTAACACCTTTTATCATTTCTTTGATTTCTCGTTTATTTATTTGTATACCAATTCTTTCTGTATTGACCATTTATCCATTATTTGTAACAGTAAAACGACTATCCAACTTTATCAATTACAAGCTTTCAGAGATTTGAAATAAATAGAATGAATGAAGGGACTATATCTTCTCAGTCGTTAGGCATCAATACTCACTTTACTGGCGGTAGTTCAGTCTCTTCAGGTCGAGGATCGTCTTCGTCACCTTTAAATTCACCTTTAGTCTCACCATCAGCGGCCACGATTCCAACCTCAGTCGCCCGTCATGATAGTGTATCCACTTGCGGTCATTGGGATCAGCTGCAAAATAATTTTTCGAACCAAATGACCTTACAGCCTCCATCTTCATTAGGAACACAGCGTCAAGCGTCACCCTCACCGTCATCACCTTCCTCATCGCCTAACACAACTACCAATAGCGTTGGAAAAGCCAATGGTGGAAATACATTTGTACATAAATTATACAAGTAAGGAAAAAGTTTCTCGTTTGGTTACAAATAATAAACACTCACTTTCTTATTTGATATAGTATGGTTGTAGATACTCAATATCAACATTTAATTGCTTGGACTTATACAGGCATGTCGTTTATCGTTTGTAATATAACAGAATTCTCTCGTGACGTCTTGCCAAAGCACTTTAAACACAATAATTTCAGTAGTTTTGTGAGGCAATTGAATATGTAACGTTTTCAAGAGACAAAAATTGATGTCATTCCAAAATCATTCTGCTTACTAAATGCTTATCAATCCTTCTCTTTTTACTAGGTACGGTTTTCATAAAGTGAATAAATCTCCTAGAGGCCATCGTACTTTAGCAGAGAACCAGATATGGGAATTCAGTCATCCTAAATTCTTAAGGAATAGGGCAGATCTATTAGATGAGATCAAACGTAAAACAATAGAATCGCAAGCGAATGACGCCAGTAGAAGAGGATTATCGGACGATTCGAGCTCACATATGGCAATGTTACAAATGACTCAATCAGATATGCTGCAGAAAATAAATCATCTACAAGAAAATCTAGCAGTAGTGATGCAGGAGTTAACAGAAACGAGAAGGAAACAAACTCTGCAACAGCAAATGATGAAAGATGTATTAGATTTTATGACAAAGCAATATGGATCTTGTAAGTACATATAAAGTCGTTGCATGTATTGGTCAAGTCTTGTAAGGTTTTTTTCTAACGCAGCATATAAATTATCGATTGAACAGTACCTTTTCAGCAAAATATAGATATACTGGATCCTGTTAAACAAGACCCTGATAGACCTCCACCTATTTTTATCACATCCGCAGACCCTACTACTACCTCTACTTCTATTCCTACTTCCAATAATATGACGGACAATTTTAATAATGCGCCTCATTCACCATTTCAACAACCGCAACAACAACCACAGCCAAATATCAATACGAACAATCGTAATAATCAATTTTACTTGAATATTAACGATAGCACTTCAACTTTGAACTCGCCCTTATCCGTCACTACTCCATCCTCTTCACCTCGATTAACTAATCAGCAACAGCAACAACAACAACAACAACAACAACAACAACAACAACAGCAGCAACAACAACAACAGCAGCAGCAGCAGCGCCAACAACTATATGTTCAAACAAATCAACTAGGTATCTATTCTCCTCATTTGCACCCTACTTCGCCTGCCCTCAGCTATCAATCTGCCTTAGCAAGTCCCTTGCGTCAACCTACGAGTCCGTCTTCCGTGATGGCAAGTCCCTTATTACCACCCACAAGCCCTCTACCGCCATCTGCAGTCGCTATGCCTACGGAACAACAACAGCAACAACAAGCATTTATGATGCCACCTTATAATACTACTACAACCAATTCTATAAATATTAATGACACTATCAATGGTTTTTCTTGAACTATTTAAAAAAAAACCTTTTCTACCATTTGTTATAGTACGAACTGCTATAATGATTTCAAAGAATTCCGTCTTTTTCTTTTTCTTTTTTTTTTTTTCCCTGCTTGCCCGTGACGTAAAATTTGTTCTCAAATACCATATTGCACCTTTCTTTCTCTTTTTTCAACAACTTGACATTTGCCAAATAATAGACTAAAAAGGTATATGGATCTTTCAATCTTACAATTTTTTGGCCCATGTTTTGTTTGACTATGACAGATTACTAACCCCATTGGTATACCATCGTTTGTTCTTCTTGTCAACCACTCTATTGATCCAGTTGACGGAAAAATCATAATCATGCTTCCTCTTTCACTTTTACACACTGCAGCAGGTCACCCCATGCTCGTCGAGCTCAAATCAGGAGAAACATTCAATGGTCATCTTGTCAACTGTGACAACTGGATGAATTTAACCCTACGTGAAGTCATTCAAACATCAGCAGAAGGAGATAAATTTTGGCGATTACCCGAATGTTATATTCGAGGCAATACAATCAAATATCTGAATGTGCCAGAAGAAATTATTGATATGGTGAAAGAAAATGAAGATAGACAAAGACAGCAAAGATTCCGTAATAACTATAACAAGAACAATAATTATAATAATAACCGTGGCCGTGGAGGAGGTCGTGGCGGCGGTAGTGGTGGTCAACGTAATAACAATAATAATAGACAGCAACACCAACAACAACAACAACATATTGTCATTGGCGCTAGAGGAGGGGGAAATTAATCATGCATTGTTGGACTCCATGTATGATAATTTTGAAAAAAACATACATACACACTTGTACACATACACACGCACTTATACATAAAGAATGGGTTTACGCGAACTCCTTTGGACACACTCAGACACCTGTGCTTCTTTATCCGCATCACTATGAAGCAATCTTCAAAATAGTATTATTCAATAACTAATGGTTAAACTGCTTTCATACGCCTATGGATCACGAAATAAACATAGCGTAACACTAGATGTCGAATGTCAAAAGAGGGGGGTTGTTCAATTTATTCTGTATGCTTGTCAATATCAATGAGAAGGGAAAATGATGAAAGGATACATTACTATGATTACAATGATAGCTTTGATGAAAACGTTAAAATGACCGAGCGATGAAGGGGGAAAAAGTAGCAATCACTTGTTTATCTCTTGGCAAATGCCTTAATGGTTACAGCATCCTCCTCTATGAGCACTACTGCCCATGGTATGGGCAATCTTTTCCATCAAGGCTTTATCATCCTCACTGGGCTCTTGATAATCTCTAGGAGCAGGGTTTAAAATTCTGCGCAAACTACTAATAGTCATATCCAACACATTTAAAGAGTTTTCATCAAACATATGTGCAGAGCTCACAAATCCATGCAAAGTACCCAGCACGCGCATGCAGTTCACCTTGACGCCTGCGTCCAATAACTTGCGAGCAAACTCCTCGCCCTCATCTCTAAGTACATCAGCTTCTGCTGTGACCAAGAGAGTAGGGGGTAGTGTTTGAAGTTGTTCCTTCGTAGCTTTAAGAGGACAAGCTAAAGGATTCTTACGTTCCTCGTTGTCTTTGCCTGGGACGTAGAGATCCCAGAACCATTCCATTAATCTGCGATTGAGTGGATATTCCTTAGAGAATTCGAAATAAGAAGATGTATTGAGTTGATCATTGGTGACAGGGTAAAACAAAGCTTGGAATTTGGGCTTGTGTTCTAATTCACGTTGTTGAGCGAGCACTTCATATACAAAGAAAAAGAAATTTAGCTGACTTTATCCCCGCTCTAAGATTCTATTCCCATTGAAACTTACAGCAAAGAGCAATCGCCAAGTTACCACCAGCTGAGTCACCAGCAACAGCAATACGCGCAGGATCCACTTTGAGGAAGGCGTTGGCGGGGTTCGCAAGCCAAGCATAGGTAGAGTAGCATTCCTCGACAGCAGTAGGGAAAGGACCTTCAGGAGCCAAAGAGTAATGAACATAGAAAACTGCACAGCCAGCTTCAACAGCGATCTAGATAGCCGCGCTTTTAGTTTCATTTTTACTGTTTTTCAACAAAAGATATTGAGCTTTACCTTGGGACAGATGTAATCGTAAGCTTCATCAACCTCTAAAATCCATCCACCACCATGCCTAAAAATAGTAGAAGATACAGTCAACTTACAAATCAATACATAACCACACATAATATTCATACACAATAGGCGATACTTTACAAATAGATAAGAGCAGGAAGAGTATCGTTATGACTACATGGAGGTCTATAAATAGTCAAATTGACCATCTTTCCATTACAGAAAATACTCATATCTTCACGATCAGCCTTGGGACGAGGATATTTGGATTTGTCTAAAAAGTTTCCTCTGGAATTAGCACGGAAGGCTTCAACTGACAGAGGGGCATTTGGATCACTAGGTGGAAACTTTTCTAAATAAGCTTGGGAGGTAGAAGATAATTTCAAATAAGAAGCTCCCATAGTTGCTATTGCTGTTCTATATGTAAATGATATGAAAAGAAGGGAAAAGAAAGAAAGAGAAAATTAAAGAAATAAGCAGCTTTAGCAAAAGCTCAATTAAATAAATTTTTTTGATGAGCAAAGATCCTACAATGAGAAACCAAAAAGAAAAAAAAAAAAAATGACTGAAATGCCCGGAATAAATATTTTTTTGGTTTCAAGAGCCATAACGCGCTCTTTCTTGCTTTCACGGATACTAGTGGATCATGCCATGACAAGACCTTTTGGCGTTGTTAATGCCAAATATAATTGAAGGAACAAAGACAATATACCTACTATGTCATTTATTAGAACGTTTTGTCTAACTATCCCTTTCATTCAATGTTCTCGAAATTTCGAGGTTATCTACAGCTAATTGAAGCCAACGATCTGACGGCGGCACTTACGGTAGATGGAGAAAATAAAGCATCCACACAAAAATTACTTAATGCCGCTTTATGTTTAATAAACATAGTGATTTAGGACCTGAGTTACACCGAAAAGAAAAGTGAGCTTTTCTGTGATTTGGATGCATACAGAAAATGGATATTGAAAAAATAGCGGAAAATTTCTTTTACCGTGCTTTGCGTTTGCAGAAAATGGGGGCCGTACAATTTCTACAATCCGTAATGATAGTTCGGTGAAATCATTGATCCTCCCAATGACAATATTTGGCTTTTCGGTACACGTTTTGACCTCTTAATACAAATCTCTCGGCCAGACCCTAGTATTTTGAACCTACATATCTATATTATTGCTTAATACGTTGCATATCTAAGCATTTATTAAAGAACTTCTATGAGTGTCTTATTCATCCCTCGACTAATTCGGCGATAGTTTTTCCCGCTCTTTGATTTTCGATCAGAATTTCTCAATGAAAGTTAGAAGGAGAGAGTAAGGTAGCAAAGACAAAGAGACGTGTTGTTTTTTTTTTAATAGTCCTCAGTACTTGCTTAGATTAATAACAATATAAATGGTCTGTTAGCCTACGCTTGTTTATAACAACTTCAAATTGCTCCAAAAACAACGAAAAATGATATGTTCTTTCACCATGAGGTTATGAGACTCTCTTCCATCAACAAGCTTGCGTTTCTCCGAATCAGTAGTTTGAGGAACATGTTAAGAGAAAGTATTAAGATCATACTGTGAGCTACATCCGCAGATGCTGAAATTAGTGCCTCAAATAGAGAGATGATCATTTTAAATAGATACTCGATATTAGCTCTAATTCTTCGGATTGTTATTAGGGTTATCGCGTACTCAGTCGCTACTTGGGTTAATAATGATAAAAGCCGTTTTTAGATTGAAGCAGTAAAAGACGTTCTGGATCAATCTACTTATGGTTTTTAGTAATGCTCAATCACTGATGTAGAAGCTACAAAGCCCATTTATTATATTACTTGTTATATTCAATTATAGTATAATATGTGAGAAATCTAGAGAAGGTCTGATGCCTAGATGAAAGAATTCCAATCAACGTGCCACCATTCCATAGCATTCGGTATAAGTTCATGCGGTATGGATATTGCTCTTATTATTCAAATACATTTAGTAAGCGCTATTGTGCGTTAAAATGTTATTAGAGAAGAATAAAACAAAAATATTATCTTCACGATTTATAAATATACAAAGAAAAAAAAATTGAAGATGAAGATATGAGGATGAATTGTTACGAGATGGAGAAAACCAAGTTGAACGCTATCGCTTACGAAGATGATGAGATTGGATAGTGTTTAAGGGACGGCCTTGCTTGATACCAAATGGCAAACGTTTATCCTTGTACAAGTCCATCTAATTACCAATCAAGGCTCCAACAGCATAAGGGTAATATTTCAGGGCTAGTACGCCCTGAGGGTATCATAAAAGCGTTGAAAACATGATGAAAATTGTGGGTATGAATGCGGTGGCGAGACAAAGCAATCTAATTACCGTCTTCGTCAAGTTGCACAGATAGTATCTCGCTTCAAAAATTATCCAATTGAACCACTACGTCCAACATTGTGTGTTGGCTGCATGATCCTCGACAGATTATGTGAGATATCTTTCCCTTACGCAAATGCTTGACATTTCATTGATGCTCTTGCCATTAAGCCTATTACAATTGGCTGCTTCTGTTACAACAACATCAATGAGCTTGAGCATGTTATGGTATTTCCATGCCTCTTATCAAACTTGGTTTTGAATTGGACCACACATTCAGCAAGAAAGTATGGCATTATGATCAAAAAATCATGTTAACATTTGTATATCAGTTGTACACATTATTCTGCACTGCTTATACAGTATCATGTTGATAACGCATTCTTAACTGATTAGATTAAAAAAACGAGTACTTTCCTCCCTTTCTTAACGAGAACTTCGTTTGTTGTCGAACGCTAACTTTTCTTTGATCCTCAATGCATGAAAAAAGATTAAAGATGCTTATTTCACACTTCGTCTGCAGCACCATTTGTAACATCTCGCGTTGACACTTATTAACAAAATCAATAAAAAATCGATATATCAACCACATTTGTTCAAAATTCATACTTAAGAAAAATCACATACTTCGGCTTTAGTAAAGACAGTTACACTTCTTAGGTATACATGCACATTATAATTCAAGACTGCAGATGCACGCTTCCTTTTCAAAATTCTTTAGAAGAGCCTTGAAATAGATGTCTGCGAAGATGTTGAAGTTGTGAATCAACCGTTGCTACGTCGTGAAATGGAAACATGTTTACAAAATAAACCACGCAGGTTCTATCATTTGATAGATTTTACCTGGAGTGTTTCTTTATTCGTTTCTCTGTATAGTGCTTTTCAGAAAAGAAGAGTAAGAAAGCGACAAAGAGTAGTTCGCTACACTGTGAAATCAGAAGAGGGGGATATTACTCCCACTGCATTGCAAACAAACCAAGCAAGTGCACACTGAATATAACGCTTTTATACCAACTGTTGCCTAGCCTTCTTTACTCATTGCTACACTTTGCAGATGCGCTCTTCATTCATTCTCTTACGATGAGTCATTCACTCCGTTTGACCAAAGTGTATTTTGTTCAGAACCACATTCTATTTCACAGTAATTTCACATCGAACTATTGGAAAGTCCAGCAGTAAATTGTACACTTCAGCAACATATGCATTGTTCCATTACAAGTATCACTCAAAACTGGCATCTGCACGGTATTTTTCTATTTTTTTCTTTTTCTGCTGCTGAATTGCTTCAAGAAAAACGGCCCATTATAACAAATTTAGACAAAGACAAAAAATTTCGAATGAAAAAAAGACAGGTTGTAAAGACAAATAAAAGTGGCAAAATCCGGTTTTTATTAATTTAGTAAAATGAGTTATAGATTGTTTGACATATTGGCTCATCCTTATACTATAAGCATAAAGACTTAACAGGTGGCACCACGTGTAGGTTTGTCAAATAGCCACCCACACCCGGCCGTCGCCGCCCCAGTTCTGAGGGGATATTAATAGATGGGTTAAGTTACATTTACGGTCAGGGAACTTCCAAAAGCACCGGCACCCGGCCGTCACCGCCCCAGTTTGCATGTGGGATATTAATAGGTGGGATAAGTTACATTCCCGGTCAAGGAACTTCCAAAAGCACCGGCACCTACAAAAAAAAAAAAAAAAAAAAAAAAAAAACTAACCCACCGTATCTAGCCATTATAAAAAGAAGGATACTTCAGTAATCAGACTTATTTGAATGGATATAATAAACGAATAGGTAAATGTTAAAACCAATACTTACACTGAAAAAATGCTGAAAAGAAGTGTTTGAAAAAAGAGATGATGAAGAAAAGAGATGATGAAGAAAAGAGTATGATGAAGAAAGAAAGAAGAAAACGAAAAAAAAGAGCAAAAATCAGCTTATTTATAAGAAAAAAACAGGCGTATTTTCTTTCTTGGGGAGGAATTTGCACCGTCTCCATTTTGTTGATATTGCATCTTATTAGCCCTTGTTTACATGTGAATTAAGGGGGGTATCATCATAAGAAGAGAAAATTTTTTTCTTTGCTCTTTCGATGATGTGTTACAAGATAAGGCGAAAACGTCCAATTTTGGGTATTGATGCAGTTACTTTTTGCAAGTCGTTTTGCAGACTTGTAGCGTCGTCGTAGTAGCACTTCAATAACTGTGAAAAAAAATAGATGCACTTTTACTTTTAACATCTTCTTTGTCTTAAGAAAAGAGATAGTTACTGATATTGAAGAAATGGCACACTCTTTCTCAAAAGACAAATAGACTTTTACATCTGTACAACAGTTTCATGTATCCTTGCCTCCTATATAAATAAACTGCTCTATAAAAAAAGCTCCTTTCTATGCATTATGGAAGCTAAGCATAAACTTTATTAGCTTTACTATTCCAATTTGAAACGGAATGCTATCTTTCTTACCATTATCAATCCATCAAAAAAGGCATCCTTTTAAGAACCAACGGACCATTGAGTTTCGTAACTTTGTAACACATCTCATGAACTCATCCACATAAGCAACAACAAAAGATATTCAAAGGATACTGCCCTCAATTACAGGTACTACAGTCTAAAAAAGTGGGACATCATCTCAACTCCTCGACAAATATGCATGAATACACTAAAACTTTGCAGTGCTTGTCTAAACGTAAATCCTTCTTTTTTCTGAGCTCTACGATTGCAATTCGTTGTTCAACAAACAACAACGTACAAGCTACATTGAATGTAACCTATGCTGACAAGAATCAGAAGAAGTTTTTTAAAAAAAAAACGCATTATTGTTATGATGATCATGTATGATTCTCCCTCGCATCTATTGCAGCTTGAAGTGAACACAATAGCAAACAGTTAAAATGAATGGGAGAAAAGCGATTTATGTATTATGAATTACAATTTGCACAGGTAGACGGAAAACATAAGAAAAGAAGCAAGAGGAATTCCTTATGACACTTACTTCCACCGATTAACTGAGAGCAGTGTACTATTCATGGTAGCAAAAAAAAAAGATATATGAGAGTCATGCTAACATGAAATTTGCGTGGTAGAATGCATAATGCTCGCAAATTCGTCACGCATTTTGCGTGCCACCACAAAGTAAAGCTGGTATAGCCGATGCTACCACGCAGATTGCGTGCTGCCATGAATAGAGCAAGGGCGCAGGACTTTAAACATTTGAGATTTCCGCTTACATTCTACCAACTCTCATGAATGAATTTTGACTAAGTTAAAACAAAAAAAAAGAGAGTAGACAGAGTCTCTTATATGTAGACTAGTAATATATATATTAGAATTTCCTTGACAAGAAAGTGGTATGGACGGCAATATATAATAAGCAAGTGCAGAGTATTGTTGTTGTAAATAGAAGCATCGATGAAGAATAACGATAGCCAAAGATAATGTCCTTTTTCTTCTGCTTGGTGCTTCCTTACCAATTTCACCAATTTCAGCCTTTTGAGCAATAAACAAAACTTTACCGATATATCGCTTTTGCAACCATTTGGGCTGTTGTTTCAATTATTTGAGGGCTTTCTTCTTTCATTTCTTTCTTTTTACAAGGGCTTTTAAAAGCAAACGAAATACTGTTACTACATCTCAATTTCTTTTCATAATCTGCTCATTTGGCCACATCACCGACAAGATGCACAATGAATAGTGACATCTGAGTAATTAAGGCAGGCTCATCTTTGCCATTACATTGCTGCTTATAGTTTAGCTTGTTTATTAACTAGGATTGCAAGGTCGTATGAAGAAAGTGAAGCAAACGACGTCAAATACGCATAATGCCGATTACTTCTCATTTAGCACTGCGAACGACAACTAAATAACCTTTCCAAACAGGTATTTTATTTTTGGCCCAGAAAAAAAATAACTCTTCGTTTTACAACTCATGGTCAGCAGACAATATATATTTATACCATATCTTCAATTGACACTTTTTTTCTATAGAACTCAACCTTGTGGCCTTTGATCAAACCCTTTCTTCAACTGTTTCAATGTCTTCCGCTGGGCCAATACCAACGCTCTCAAATACAGTTGCAGCCTACCTGTGATATTCTTAGATATCAGAGTTATTATTTTATAAGTTTTTAAATGTAGAGACTGAGTGAGTCAGCGAGACCGAACAATAGTTTTTGGATGATTTTATTTTGGTTTAGAAATTGAATGGTCTTTTATATGAATGCGAGGTTAAACTGAGCTTATAGTGGAATTGAGAAAGTAGTAGTGACAACCGAATAATATTGTTCCGTTAATGAATTGTACAACGCCACTGAGATATATCTAGATTACCAGTAAGGTTGAAGTGTGCCTGATGAAATCTCATTTGTCCCAGTGTGCCTGGAATCTTATTTGTTCCAGTACACTATAACTGGTAAAGGCAGTAAATCTGGATTGTTTCTCAGATTGTTATATGAATTAGAGGTCAGAACGTGACACTACCATTGCAAGAAAAGAAAAATACAGTCGTTTATGGTTGCAAATAATCTGTTCCGTACCTTATCAGGTAATCATACAACATTATTTTTTTACTTCATAACCTTATAGCACCAACTTATTCATTTGTTTTACTTCTTTCTTCTGCAATAATTAAGAGTAGTAGACCGTAAAAATATCAATGATACCCAGTTGTCAGGTAAAAATTGTCACTGTCATTCATACTGGACCTTCGTCAATCGAATGATCCACACGCTTACTTGTAGGAGTACTTAATTTTGCTGTAGGAGAGTATGTAAGAGCATTATCTGAACAAGCATACCAGCTACTTCTTTGCATGCTAGCATGCTATTTTCAACGCAATTTGCGTGCTATCATGTTTAATGCACGGTGAAAATGTAAACGGTGAATTATGATCAAAAATCACTTTGCAAAACGTCGTTTGAAGTCGACTTCAAGTGAAGCACTCTTTTGCGTCATTAAAGCTGATTGCGTGAGCCTGGAATCTATTAGTTAGAGAAAAATTACTTACAAAAATTTTAGTCGTAGGATTTCACGACCGTTCAATCATGATTAGCATACAGGCACCAAGTGACACTGCAACATTCTCCACCACTTCCACCAGCAACAGCAACAGCAATAACAACAGCAACAGCAACAGCAATAGCAACAGCAACAGCTAATATATCTGGTCAATGCTAAAGGTTATAAGATTCAAGAAGACAATAAAACCTACCAAACACAACAATGGAAGCTTGCTTTATTCAGAAAGTTGACACAGCGTGACCACATAAAATATGAAACAGGTGATATTCATCGGTGTTTAACTAGTTTGACAACTGTGATATAACCTTCAACGGAGGAATAAGATAATAATAACATGCGGGCATCGAAGTAAAAGTGCGTCAGATCATAAAACTGATAATGAGGCTATTTTGCAGTTACTTTAATGTAGAACTTTCGATAGAACAGTTTTGATTGCCACATATCTCACTTTTTGTCGTTTTTGGAGCAAATAACAGCTGTTGTGAACAAGCGTAGGCTGACAGAACATGCATATTGTGATCAATTTAAACAACTGCAAGGCTACCAAAAAGACCTCACCATATCCCTTTATTTTGGCAACCTTTCTCTCTACCCTTCTTGAATCCCTTTGAGAAAAGTTGGTCGATGATGATGGCTATGTGCGCAAACACCATTGTGAAGCAAAGATAGCCTTCCTGCGTGCATTATTGTTAAGGGTGGAAAGGACACACATAGAAGTACTTTAATAAATGCTTAGATTTGCAATCTACTAAGCAATGATATAGATATACATCATATGATAGGTTCAAAATACTAGGGTCTGGTCGAGTGATTTATATTGAGAGATCAAGAAGCCAAATATTGTATTAGAAGATCAAGGATCTGAATCCTCTTGCGGATTGTGAAATTTGCAATACGGCACCCCCATTTTCTGGATTCCCAAACGCAAGCACTTTATGTCACGTTACTTCATCAGTGACGTTTTCAAAGTGGAAAAGAAAGTTGTTTATTTTAACAATAATAATTTTAAAATGGGTGGCGTCTGCGTTGTTTTCTACCTTCTTCTTTCTTGTTTCTTTTCTGTAACCATTTACTGCCTACCCTCATCAATACTATCTCACACTTTTATTCTGCAATTTTACAGCAACAAAAAAATCATCGGAATAAAAAGGCTTTAGGCTGGAGGCTATAAACAAACCAACTAAATAACAATGCTTTATTGGCCGAAATTCTTAATTACTGGATACGCCATCACGAATACAGTTGAAGCCTTTATTCCATTGTATCTGGTACATCAGTTACAGTTGTCACTACTACAAACATCAGCTTTTGTTGCTGCGCTTTATTTCTGTAAATGCCCGTTTTCAGGTTTCTGGGCGACGTATCTAGATCATAGCCGTTCCAAACGACGATGCTATCCCGTCACATTATTTCTTTTAGCTTTGATAGCCTCTATTGCTTTTTTGATTTTATTTGTTGTTTTACCAGCGACAAGAACAACAGCAACTGTGATGTCCGGGCAACTACATCCTTGCCTATTACTAAGTGTTTCGGCGATTATTTACGGAATCTTTTATCAGCCTTTGGGAATATTGATAAACAGTGCCATCATTAAAAAATTGGGCGATTTTCGAGTTCTATTTTTCGGTAAAGTATTACTTTATAAGGTCGAGATAGAAAGGAGGGCGGAGGGTGAAGGGCGGACAGTGCTTACTTTATCAGCTAAATTGAAGTATAGACCTGTACTACTACTTTTACTTGTAAAGAAGTTCTATACGTATCACTCTCGGGTCTACATATAATGACGTGCATTATCTTTCAAATTACCTTTTATAGGCTATTATGTACGCTGGGGCCAATCTGTTACTATCGTTATGACGGGATTGATAGGAATATTGATGAAATATTTATCGGCTCTTTTTGCGGAAGAAGAACAACAACAACAACATAAATATAGTGTGATGATATACTGCGATGACAATAACCAAATGAAAGCTGTTACTCAAATTAAATACTTAAACAAATTGCTATTGATAACAGCCATGATTGGCTTGCTTTGGATTTGCATGACAGTGTTTTTTATTAAAGTGGAGCCAGCTACTGCCCCTGAACTGGATATAAGGGAAGAACAAGCACCTTTATTATTGAAGAATGCACTCCAACTGACAGCTGATCATGTATCCACATCAATAACATCAACAGTGGCCCAGCAATATCCTTATAACTCCATAATGGCAGCGACCATAGGCAATACCAGTAGTGGCGGCGGTGTTGGTGTAATTTTTGGTATGGGACTGTACAAACCTTATAGTTTGTTTGCAGAACAATTGTCCCATATATCAGAAGAAGATGCAAGTCAACTAGATCGTGTATGGACTAACAATAACACACCGACAGTCGATCATTCACTAAGGCCTGTAGATAGTCGTGATAGTGCACATTCTTACTACAGTCAGCAAAGCACCCATACAGCTATTTCAGGGCCTTATATCTATAACACATACTCTCGCCAATCTGCAGCAGCTAACAGTAGCATTTTGGACTATGATAGTTTTTTAGGTGCTCAGTATAATAATGAAAACAACACCAACAATAACAATAACTACATGTCTGGTACCACTATTGCGCCTACGAATGCTGTAGTGGCCTCAAATGCATTGGCGTTACTTCCTGCACCTACGCCCACCATCCCATTAGTAGCCTTTTATAGTCTTTTCATCTCTAGAAAACCGAAGGCTACAAGGTTAATAGAAAGCTATGGTCAAAGTGAAGACAGTTATGATAATATGGAAGAGCAACAAGTAGAAGTGGATGGCAATGAAGCTGATGATGAATCAAACTACTTCTATTGCTATAACAATTATTATCACCGCAATTCACTGCAGCAGCAATTACTGCAGCAGCAGTGGCAACAGCAACAGAAAGCAAAAATATGGCGAATGATTACCTTACGCCTTACACTGTTATGTTTAGGCACCATGTACAGTTTGCAAAATACCTTTCTTTTCGTCTATATGTATTCTCATCTGCAAATTGCCATATCCCTGATTGCTTGCTTGATCATGACTCATCTATTTTGTGGTGAATTGTTGGTCACATACATATTTGAAAAGGTATATATAAATCTACCTGAGTCAGGCATTTCGATAAGATGCACATCTCATTTAAAGCATGTATTTTTACAGTATTTTATACACAGATTAAACCTTATCTGTATCACAACAAGTGTGCATTTCATACTTGTCTTCTGTTCTATTGGCTATATGTGTTTAACACATGAAGTAAACCATACTCTAGCTATATGTTCATTATTCGTATTGCAAGCTCTTCAAGGTACAAAAAATGATAGAAATTTTCATTCAAAAATTGAAATAATGACGCTCAATTCATTTCCTTAGCCGCTGCTTTGCAAATAATATGGTTAAGCGGAATCGATCATGTGAACCTCATTTACTATCTGCAGTCCAACAGAATGAAACAAAGATCGATTCTATCAGCATGCTATAGCAGTATTGGTCCTACAATAGGTACTCTTTTGGCAGGTATCATCCTACATTTCCAACAAGAGCAGCGGCAGCAGCAGCAACCATTTTATGCTGCTTCTTTTTCTTTGAAAGATTATACCCTTATCTTTAAATCTTCTATTGCACTTATATCTTTAAGCTTCGTGATATCCTGGGGCTGGACCTTCAATCATGCTAATGATGTCGATGATGAGAATATCGGGTATTAGTATGCATATCTTTTCGTTTCCCTAGCTCTCACCCAAGTTCGTAACAGACTTCACTGTATATCCTAATTCCCACATTTGCTTTTTTTTAAAAAAAATCAAATCTACAATACATAAATATATGCATGTATCTGTTTTAAAAAAACAATATTAGGGTGGACTATTGCAAAGCCTCCTTATCAATGTTAAAACCATAATGTACTATTTTACATTTGATTGAAGCTTCTGATCTGTATATGATTTTCATATTCTGGAAAGGATCAACATATATCCTCCGAACTAGAAGTTACCCTATGTGTAAAGATCCAAAGCCTCTAAAACTGCTCTCCACAATACGTGGAGACAAAGAGGCAAATAATTTTTTTCTGTCATCAGAGCATAAACGAAGGTCTTAAAGCAGCCATATTTGAGCGTTTAGTTTATCTACAATAGATCAATTAAAAAAAGTTATAGTTAATTTACACAAAGTTCAATTTCCGTTCAGGCACATACACACCTTGCATTCTGTCTTTTTTTTTTTTTAATGGAAAAACTAACAATGCTAATTGTCTGTGCGTTTGGTAAAAACATCCTTCTTCCAACCACTAAGTAGTGTACTACACTCTTCATCTCCCACTAAATTATCCTTACTGCTGGATTTTGAAAAAAGGGAACAATAAGTGCTTTGATACTGTTCCTATACCTTCTCCCCATTGAAATTGTTTTACTGCCCCGACATGTCAAAAATCACCATCACCAATGAGCATAATGAATCCATTGTTGGTATACTCGAAAAGAAAATAGAATTGGACGTTGGACGTCCCAGACCTCGGATAGTTTTTATAGTGCATGGTATTTTAGGTAGATACATATCGTTACAGCAACTACAAGAAAGCTGTACAAAACACCTTACTCAACTTCAGTTTTCAAACCTCACTGTATATACAAGGACATAAGGATTACCTATTTCATAGAGTACTTGCAGAAAGGTTACCTTATTCTTCGTTCCGTTTTGATTTCAGAGGCAATGGTGAAAGTGGTGGTTCGCCTGGTTATGCTAATATTCAGGTACTCAAAAACCATAACGATAGAGAGGTGGGTCTTCTGATTTCCCCCACTTTTTTGATTTGAACAGGAGGATACAGACGATATTCATACTGTGGCAGACTATTTTGAAAACACTTTGGGTTATGAAGTGTATGCAGTTATCGGCCATTCTCGAGGCTCCCTGGCTTCTTTGAAATTTGCTACGACAAGAGAAAGACATGTTCCTCTTATCGTTAACATTGCTGGAAGGTTTAAAATGAGGGACAATCAGATGAGAACAAGCAGACCTCATATCGGCAAAGCTTTGGATGAGCAAGTAAAGTATCAAGCAATAATAGCAACAATAATTTATGCACGTCAGAATCTTTCCTCAAATACAATAAATAGCTGAACCGTTTCCTTTACCATACGTTCTAAAGGGATACTTTGATTGGCACGTTAAGCAACGAGACCGTATTGCTACTATCAAAGTAACAATGGCAGAAGTAGAGAAATTTTATTTGTGGTCTAATGAACATGGTAAGCGGGTAAAGCATATGAAGATCACTTATGTTTAAGAGCTTAATAACCTTGTATAACCTATATCGTGTATAAATAGTTGCTAGAATGCCTTTGTCCACATGTGTTTTATCATGTCATGGTTTAAGTGATACGGTAACGCTGATTAATTCATTTTAGTTTTTGATACCAAGAAAAGCACCAAAAAGAAAAGAGAAGTTTGATCAAACTGAACATTTTCTATTGAAATAGACTGTACCGCCTTACAATGCAGCAATGTTTGCCAACAGAATTCCCAATCATACTCTATCTCTTATTGAGGGTGCAGATCATAATTTCAGGGGAAAATTTGAAGAGTTAACTGTTGTGGTACTGGATTTTTTCCAAAAACATGAACACAACCAATACCAGAGAGCCATTAGTATGGGACAAGGATCCGGCTTGATAATACCTCGTTGGATCGATGTGGATGGAGTAAGGAACTTTCGTGATATTGGTGGATGGCCAACCAAGGACAAAGCAGGTTATATTCGCGAACGAGTAGTTTTTCGTTCAGCAAAGTAAGTTAATCTACCGCTTTGATCTAGAAAATAATGAAGAGTCTGTGCTTTCTCCCCTCCCCCCTTACTTACGAGCTGCTGGATTTGACTTTGACAGTTTAGCAAATGCAACTCCTGACGGCATTGAAAGACTGATTAAATTAAATGTCAAAGCCATATTTGACTTTCGATATGACCGAGAAGTAGAAAAGAATGGTATCTTAAGGTAATTGTCAATGCAACAAGAAGGTCTAATAGTCATTGTTCAGTTACCAAACGTCTGCGTCTTTTTCTGTGCAGGGAAATACCTGGTGTCTCCCATTTTGCTTACAATATGTTTGAAGAAGGTTTAAAGACACCAGAGGACGCGAAAGCCCATCTAATGGAGTATTTAAAAGGAGAAGAAGGTTTTGCGAATAGCTACATGTTCATTGTAGAAACAAACAAGAAATTGATCGGCAATATCTTCCGCTATATGAGCAAGGAATTATCTCCTAAGGACAGAAGTGCCATGGTTGTTCATTGCTCTGCAGGCAAGGACAGAACAGGCGTGTTTATTATGCTTCTATTAGGTCTCTGCGGTGTTGATGATGAAATCATTGCAAGGGAATACGATCTGACCAGCCTGGGCTATTTCGGTAAAGCTTAAATTTGGCTCAATGATGATCTCTTACTCATCATCGTATTTGAATGGTAATAAATAGGCTTTGAAAAGGATCTGGAGAAGCGAGCCGAAAACATGGGACTCACCGTCGAGAACTTACGTGCCGCGTTATCAGCTTCGTAAGTAAATAATTTAAATTTTTTTTCAACACTCTAATATGAATATTTGATCTCCTTGCCTTTCCCTGTTGATAAACTAATCAAGATTTGTTCCATGGTAATAGAGTTGGAGGGATGAGGTTGTGCATACAGCAGTTAAGAAAGAAGTATGGCAGCTTTGAGGATTATGTAAGAGATAAATGCGGTCTAACAAATGAAGAAGTGAACTTGATCCGTGAGCTTATGATTGTGCCAATTCGTTTTGAAGAGCGTCAGTTGCACAGACCAAGAATGTAGAATTATAGTGTTTATTGTAATGGCGTAAATCGGAAAAGGTTGGGAAAAAAAAAAGATTCTGAAGGCAATCTCAATAGAAACTCTGTCTTTATATGTTTATTAAACTTATATCAATGCGGATCAGTTATGTGTGCTTATTTTCCGTTCTCAATGTTTGTTGTGTTGATAGTATGCCCATGCTTGATGATGCATACAGAATCTGGGACCCATTATGCTTTTTATTGTATGCAAGCACAACAATCCGATTGCGTGGGCATAAGTGAATTCTAAGTTTTGCCTGTATAACTCTTTTCTTTAAGCATGTACAATCAAAATACACATACATGTGTCATGAAGAATGTTGAGAATTTATTTCTCTTTCTGCTGCTTTGAAAGAGACCTACTTCTCTTTTCTTTTCTGTCACCTAACAAAGATTGATCAATTTTAAATTCTCCCTTACATCAAAATCCTTTTTGCGCCATCAACTTTTAACACTGGATATACGCTCAACGACTATTCTTGATAATGCCTCAGGAACAACCCCATTTGGCACTTCAGCTACCTGAAATTATAAGCAACATTATGCATTTTCTCGTACCTTACGAAAATCATTTAGACTATGAAGTTATGTTTACCAATCAGAAAGATAAGAAAACTTATGCCGATGTCTACCCTTGCCTTTTCGTCAATCACTTGTGGCATGATTGTGCTGTTCGAACTATGTGGAGAAAAGTTCATTTTGATGACAGCATGCTTTGTTATACTGCAATGATTAAATTTGCCTCAACTTTATCATCTGTGGCAACCAATAATAATACGACTCTCACTTCAACAACGGCAATGGATGCATTAGCTGTCAGTAAAACATCATCACCTGGTACTGTGTCAATGGACGAGAGCTTAAATGATATGAATGTAGATGATGCAGAAGCAGACAATAAGTATTATGTAAATTCTCTGAGTCGGTCAAGTTCCTTCTCCAGTTATGTTTCCACTTCCTCTACCATTATCCGAACGCCTCCAAATAATGAAGATGAGACAATGAAACCGATAGAAGACTTCTATGCCAACAATCCAACTTTTTTATCTAACAGAACATATCACAACAACAGCAGCAACACTTTACTACGGTACAACGATCAAATGAGCAGACGCAAAACTTATCAGAATGCCCTTCGTACATTTTCTGTTCGAAAAATTAAAAATCCTCAACTGAATGAACCCTTATCAACTATCGCAAGAAATGCAACTAGACTTGAACAGCTCGATATTTACATTTGTGACAATCTAACTAACGAAACTGTAATTCTTTTCGCAAGCCATGCCTATAGTCGACTTACATATATATCCCTTGCTGGCTGTCATATGATTTCAGACGAGGCTATTCTCAAAGTTGCAGAACAATGCCCTGACCTTTTGCATTTGGATTTAAGAGCTTGTGGCCTTGTGTCTGACGTTTCTCTATCAACTGTCGCCAAAAATTGTCCACGACTTAAACACATCAATGTTGGTCGAGTGCGCGAAAGACAACGTATTACAATCAAATCCATCAGATTGATAGCTCAGTATACAGAAGCAACAGTCTTGGGACTAGCAGGCTGTGATATTGATGATGAGTGCATGATTACGTTAGCTAAGCACCGTGGCCCAGGCTTAGAGCGAGTATCGGTGAATAGCTGCTACAAAATTTCAAACACATCTGTTTATGCCTTGCTAAAGTATTGCCCAAACCTATCCGTATTTGAAATGAAGGAGTGCCATCGCATCAAAAATTGGGAAGCAGTGGCTGAAATGGTACAGAAGAAGGTATTGTTAACACTTTGTGACCAACAGAATAAGGACTGCTTAGCATGGGCAGCGAGAAATGGAAGACAGTTGGATGTTAAGGCACCTGTTAAATAGAACTAACTTGTCCAGCAGTTACAAGTCTGCTAGTACGAGATGAAGAAGCATCCCAACAAGCTTACACAATCAGCACTATTAATGATATTTCCTTCTCAATGATAACCAGAAATCCTTCCGACATTCAAACACCATCCCATTTTTTTCAATCAGCACTGACATAATTATGATAGACATCTACTTAAATTTACTTTACTTTAATCTAGTCATCTTAATCAATAATCTTAGTACTAACAATCAATTTTGTTTAATCAAGCCTAATTATATTGTATAATCATTTACCTATAGACGTCCTTTTTGCTAGACATCATCGTTCAAAGACAAAACAACCTTTTATAAATTTTGACACACTCTCCTGAAGGGCATTTGTCGCATCAATTCATTGATTTTAAGTCATCAATGTGGCTGAAATAGCTATGCATTATTCAACCTGTAGCGTAAATAGAGTATGATTGGTTTTCTTATGCTTTAGGGCGCCTTTTCAGGCTAATCTATCTTTCTCACACAACACTTGAATTACTTACTGCTTTAAAAATTTAAAACAGTATATATAATACACCACGGCAAACCAAAGCTCCATAACTTTTGTTTTGCTCCTTAATCACTTTTTTATTATGGTTGTCCTATTTTTGTTTTTTCTGGTTTTTTTTTTATTTTACGATACACTTTTCTTACTGAAAGCCTTTGATTCCCTTTTGCTACAGCTACATACCCTTAAAATTATTCTCTTTTTCACTATCTGAAAAGAAAATTTTCCTGGCAGTGATAATTATAGTTGCAAATCAAACAATGATACGACTTACAGTTTATGGTTGGACCGTCAACTTGGTCCAGGAATTTTCAAACAATGATACGACTTACAGTTCATGGTTGGACCGACAACTTGGTCCAAGAATTTTCGTAGTTGCCGTCGCTGTCGCCACCGACCACAGTAACAGCAACAGCACCGAAGAATTCAAACTCCAACTTTTGCCCTTTTCGTTTCAACTTGATCGTCAATTACTTTTTTTCTTTTTCTGCAATTTCCTTCTCCCAGCCTTTTTAATTTCACTGTTACTACGCTCGTTTTACACTCTTTTGGTCCGGAACGGTATGTCAGAACAGGAAAGTCCTGATAGCAATTGTAACAATCAAGACGTAAATTCAAGTGTGAGGCAATTTCTCGTCGAAACCGAGAAATCTAGCCAAAAACAACAGCCCGAGGCTGCTACTACTGCAACAACTGTCAACACAAGTAAAATGGCAGAAGCTGATAACATAATTGAAGAAAATGTAAAGTTGGATTGTAAGAACGGCGTAGTCGATGACCGAAAGGATATCAGTATTGAAAGTCTCAAAAATCTCGACAAAGCTGCTGAAGCAGCAGAACAGCGCAAGACAACCGAGGAAAAATTAGCAGCTGATTCACAAACCACTATCAACCTTGAACAGCCTCTGTTTATTTCAATGCATACAATGTTAAATCCAAAGGAGAGCAATAAGGCTGTAAATGAAAACTCGAATAGCATAGACGAAATACTAGAGCAAAAGGATATCATTGAACAGTCAGAATTTGAAGATTTCCGCCAGAAATCTGCAGAACACAAAGGCATTAAGGAAGGAGAAACAGTAAAACCAGAAGGCAACGAAATCGAGCCCCAGTCTTCTCAGAAAATTAATATAGATATGGGTAAGAGTCAAGAAGGTTCTTTAAAGAAGGGCCTTGAAGCAGTAGAGAAAAAAGACAGCATTAAGAAGGGAACTAGTACAGAAGACGTAGTTATTAATGATGAAGACCATGTTGCCGACGCAAGTAAAGATGTCCAAGACATTGCAGACAGTACAGCGAGCGAAGGAAATTCTATAGCCGGTATCAAAACTACAGATACTGTAGAATGTTTGCCACAGAACTCAAGCATGATTGGAAAAGATGCAGTCACTACAAAAAATGGAGTAGCAACTCCTGCCATTGCCATAATGGATGACAACGGGAGGGAGACAGAACTATATAAACCATCTAAAGAAAGTCGTTGGAACCAACATAATGATGACGACAGAATCAAATATCATCAGAAACCTTCTTATCGTAATAAAGGAGGATCTCAATCAGCTTACGAGCAAAGAAACCAAAAACCTGCAACTAAAATTCCTTGGGAGCAAATGTTAAACAAAGCCTCTATAGTAAACTCAGCACAAAATGCCACAGAAACTGATCACAGTCGTAATAACGGCGCCAATACCAGTTGGAGACATATTAATGATGGTAGAGTAGTAATTGGATGTTGAAACATAAGGGACATTTTGAAAGTGAGTTGACATAGAAACTTATTTTTGACATGTTTATGCTTCAGTTACACAGCAAACAGGAAATGATGCAAGTCACATAGCGACCAAAAAGAAGTCAGACGAGGAAATCAAATATATCAAAGACCCGAAAGATGAAGTAGTGGAAGCTATTCCAGAGATACCCAAAGATAGTTTTTCATGGGCAGATGATATAGCAACGTCAGATGACGATTTAGATATTGAAGACACCATGATTATGGACGGCAAGAACGCTGTGAATTCGTCTATAGACATAATTGAAGAGGAAAACAAAGGTATAACCTGAAAACATACCTTCACTGTTTATCAAAGGAAGGAAGCAGTATATTAACAGTCTCTCATTGAATTGATAGGTAGAGGTGATGCAGAAGATTCAACCGAGGAAAAGAGATTACCGGAGAGCAATAATCACTCGAACGATAATCCATCGTCAACAAAAGACCCTATCGAGCAGTCTGTAACCAACACCACATTTGACAGCTATGCAACAGATATAAAGACGTCTGAGATTACAATAGCTTCAACGTCATCGGAAAGTACCAATGAACACGCTTCTAATATCATAACTCGCACGGACCTCAAAGCCGATCAAAACGAACATGCAAACAACGCAGTAGCTAACGATAATGCATCTTCTGCATGGAATACCTTTGCTGCATCTGCGTCTAACATTGTATCCATTGTTAACGCCAGTGAAGCTACGAAGACAACGTCCAATGAGAAACAGAACGAATGGAAAGATAGTAATTTACCTGAAGATACGGTATCATCAACGAAGGACAGTTCTGTAAAACCTATTACTACTACTTCACCTGCAATGGCGAATCGAGATGATCATGCTTCTATGGCATGGAATGCTTCTGTTGAAACTGTTTCGATCGCTGCACCCTTAGCATCCAGTAATACATCCGATATTAAAGCTCCCAAAGAAAATCCGGGAGAATGGAATAACAATTCAATGGTGAAAGACAATTATTCCTCAACATGGGGTAGCCCGATTGGGTCCTTATCAAATGGACAGCCTTATATGACTGTTGGAGAGTCTACTATTACATCGTCGCTAGTGGATCAGAGTGGGTGGGGAAGTGATACAGTAGCTATGAATAATCCAACAGTAATACATGAAGATGTTACATCTAATACTGCGGTCAGACCTACTACTAGTAAACCTACCGTTTCAGCCTGGGAAGAAGGACCACACAGTTGGGGACGCAATGATGCGTCTTCAAATTGGGGCACCTTCGACAATTCTTTTTCAACGACGCAACCCTCTACAGCTGTCGCTAAGCCGACTATACAGGCCCCAATACAGGATAATGTTAGTGCTTGGAATAATTTTAAGCTAAACGAAACCGAACGATGGGAAAAAGTTCATGTAGCTACTGTTGAGAAGGAACAAAAAGCAACAACTAGTAGACGAGGTTCAAACGCGTCTTCTTTCAAATCGTTCTCCTCAAAAGTAAACAAGAACGATCCATGGGATAAGAACTTGAATAGAAAACAATCAACAGCGTCTATTAAATCATCATATAGTACGCATAGTAAAATTGAAGCTGCTCCAAGTACAAGCTGGCAAGGAGATAATAATGCAACTCAGCTAGAAAAATCTTGGTCTACAGTAACACCGGTTGATCATACTACATCGTCTACAGAAAGGAATCGCATGCCTGCGCACTCCTGGCAGACAGTGGCTGGCACAGCTAGAAAGACAAAGGAATCAGAAACTATAAATCAATGGAAGTCATTTGCTTTGGCCGAAGAGCAACATTTTAAACAACCTACTCTTTACTCATCTCCATCTGTTAAACATGAATCGAATACACCACCAAAATACACTCCTTCACCTTCAACATTTGATAAAATATCTTCTCCTACACCAAATGCTCAGCCTCAGGAGATTGGTTTCAGCTTGAACGATTATAGATCTCCATCATCTCCGTCAGCTGTAACTATGCCGTCACCTGTAGTACATCTAAGTTTACACGAGTCTTCAGCACCTGAAATCAATTTAAGCCTAAGCGAACTCATATCCGAAGACATAAAGCCACAACCATCACAGGCGCAACCACAATCGCCTCGTCGAGAACCTGTCAACATTTCATTCACCTTTCAAGATTTACTTAAATAATATACATAATGGTACATTTTTGTCTATTTAATCATGCAAACGTCATTAACATATTTGAAGTAATATGAGACACTCATGCTATCTTCCTTTTAAATAAGAAATTTAATAAGCATATAATAAAAATACTGTTTGTTGGAAATACAGTGTAGTCAAGAAAGGGGTGGGGGGAGGAGGAGGAATGATGTACTGAAACTGATTCATGTTTATTGTAAAAAGCTTCTATTTAAAAAAGTTTAGCAGAAATTGCATATAATCTACATAATTGATACAAGTAATATTGATATATACAGGCATTATACATACGCGTAAAAGTGATTTTTACATCATTGTAACCCAACGGGTTCCTTCTCTTCTCTGTTCGACTTTAATAGGAGGAAGTGGCCAGCTCTTTGGACCGAAACTAGGAACGACATATACCGTTCTTCGCTGTTGTTTATCGTCAATGTATCTGATCATATTGGAGCAATATGGTATGTCAGTGATCTAGCAATTTGTCGTCTGAAGAAAATTACATTCAGTACTTACTTTGGCAAAGGAAATTCGAGTGGTCGGCCAAAAGAGCAAAGATCTTTTCCAATTTTAGCAAGCCATTTGGCCTCAACGGCTGTGACACCCTTTAACCATGTTTTCGTGGATCCTTTGAACAATTCATTATAGACAACCATTGCAGGTGGCTCATGGGCAAAAAGTATAGAGTTCGGATGAATGAAGGCCTCTTCATCTGACCATAACAGCTTGTATACAACGTTTTGTGAATTTTTATATTTGACGCCTTTGCCACCTCCAGTCTCCAACACATCTTGACGTATCGCTACAGAATCGATGAATCCTGCTGTTAGTACTTGCCTTAACACCTTCAATTGAGTCGCACTGGGCGGTTTCATTTTAGGATCTAAACATATATCCAAAGTTGGGAAATTGCTTAGCATCAGATTTGTGAGTTGACGGCGTAATTTACGGATTTCTTCCATGGCCTTAGGTCGTAAGAAGTTTTCTTCACAGAATTGAACCGTAGCACCAGCAAACTCGTAAGCACCCACAGCATTGAGTAACTTTAAAATATCGCTCGACGGATCCAAGCCAGCATGTTTCTACGAATATACAGCAGCAAGGAAAACAAAGTTAAACGACAGAAACGGAATGAAAGAGTTACGCTAATTGTAAACTCAAGGGCAACAGGCTTAGATTTGAGATCTTACCAACTGAGTAGAATAATATTTCTTTCTCACTAATTTTCGTCTCGCCTTCTCTGCAACATCTTGACTTTTAAGGTTTTTAAGCTCTTGATGTTGCAAATCATCATCGTCGTCTTCGTCACTGTCGGGTTGATTTTCATCCAAATGATAGTCCTGGATAAAAGGATCACCTACAGTAAGGGCTGATACCATAGCAATCACATAGGGTAAACATTCATGTTGTTGACCTATGATGAGCCTACAATAAAATATCGTTAGCTCTGAACATTTACAATAAAGAAATCCCATTTTATACTTACATCTTGGCGAAGCGCGGCGAAACAGGGAATATAGACATGGTTCGACCAAAGTCTGTAATACACTTGGTATTTGTATCAAGAGCGCCCAAATATCCAAGAAGCTAAGGAAGAGAAGAAATCAAATTGGTGTTAGATGAGCAGAAAGGAAAACGTTATCCTTTTTTTTTTTTTTTTTTTACCTTTTCGGCCTTATACAACACGTCCCTTGGGGGTGGTGTGGGGAAAGGAAAGTTGACTACATTGTCGATATTCATGGATTTCATGTTTAATACGACGCCTTCAATAGGCATGCGATGAATTTCGGGTGTGGAAAACTTGGGAAATTCATTGTCAAATACGGCTGAGGAGAAGAGTCGATAACAATGACCAGGCCCTGTTCTACCAGCACGACCTGCACGTTGACCCGCAGACGCCTGCGAAGTCCAGTCGATTTCGAAAGATTGTACACCTGTAGCTACATCATATTTACGTTCCTTGGCTTTACCAGAATCAACTACATAACGGATACCAGGAATAGTGACAGAAGTCTCTGCTACATTAGTAGCGACCACACATAGTCGTGTGCCTTCGGGAGGAGGTTGAAAGACACGAAGTTGTGCTTCAGTAGGTAACATAGAATATAATGGGAGAACATGCAATGGAGCTAAAGTATTTATGAATACAGCATGCTGTTAATATTCTATGTTTGTACTTGTCCCGTTGATGCTTATGACTATTTTACCGTCTTTAACATTATCCAGTTCGTCATCTTCAAATCCTTCAGCTATGTCATCTTCATCTTCAGTGTCAGTATCAATATCAAAGTCCTCTTCCACTTGATCTTCGCCAAACTCAAGGTCCTCTTTTTCAATGTCCTCTGTGTTAACGCAAAGTAGGCAAAATATACCTGAGGTAAGCATAACAGCTTTTTGCAAAAAAAAAAAAAAAAAAAACCTAACAACTTGAGCATTTCTTTTACCTTTGCCTGCTGTGGGTGTGTTGATATGATTTGTTTCCAGTTCAATTGCTTTTTTCTCTTCAGTTACTTGTTTCTTGGTTGCTTTAGGAGGCAAAGCAGGGTATCTCTTTCGTAATTTTTTGCACAAATGATTGATTTCGTTTTGACCTGTCAAGAAAACTAAAATGCCGCCATGCGGTAACCGTTCGTGAATTTTGGTAATTTTTTTGAATGCTTCAGCTACGTGGTCCTCGGGAGTTCGCTTATTAAAATGAATAGAAACGGGGTATTGACGTGCATTCACATTGATAACGGGAGGCACTTTCGGAAACAGGACTTTGTTTTCAGTAAAATCAGAAACACGCAAAGTAGCAGACATGATCACGACACGCAAAGGCTTGATTTTTTCACGGTCTTCGCGGCTTAATTCAGCTCTCAATTTAAGCACACGACTAACAACACCGATAAGGATATCTGTATTGAGATTACGTTCGTGCGCTTCATCAATGATAATGATAGAGTATTTGGTCAGAAGTAGATCTTGGGACATTTCACGTAGCAGTACACCATCTGTCATGAATTTGACCCGTGTTTTATCAGAAACAGTTGCGTCATAACGAATCTAACAGCATGACAAAAGTGGTTAGCACGAGGAGTCCAAAAAATGATTCACATATCAACAGCTTCACTTGCGAGGAATAAACTTACTTGGTACGAAACTTCTTTATCCGACAAATTCAATTCTTCTGCAACACGTTTAGCCATACTAACAGTGGCCACACGACGAGGTTGAGTGACACCAATCATTCCAGGATTGTCTATTGATAAAGTAGTTGTTAGACATTAAAAAAAACAAAAACAAAACACATCAAACAGGCTTTAAAAGAAGCATCAACTCACCGCTATCTCGGTGCGACCAGCCAGCCTCATACAGGAACTGAGGTACCTGAGTCGTCTTACCAGAACCTGTCTCACCGCAAATAATCACTACAGTATTATTTCGAATGGCTTCCATAATCACTTGTTCCTCTCCAACAACTGGTAGCTTGGAACGAGCTTCTTGAATTTCTGGTTTACGATTAACCGTAACATAAAACGGCTTTGCTGTATCATCTGCTAAATCGCCTTCACGATGACTCTTTAAGAGTTGTATTTTAAGTTCGTCGTCCTCGTCTTCTTGACGCTTAGGAACTGGTGTTACTATATTTTTGGCAGCTTCTGTTACTTGTTCAAGATGGGTTGGTTCTTGAGGCTGGTCGTCGGCTTCATTGGTGTCGTCCTCGTCGTTATCATTCGATTCCTTCTCGTCGATTGTTGGTTCTTCAATTTCTTTTTCATCATATTCTGAATCAGAGCTATCAAATGAGTCGTCTGAATCCTGACCTGTTCTTTGTTTATATCGTTTTCTTGCTATAGCCGGAATGGTACTCTATTTAGAGGTTCGATGGCGAATCAATACACCATATCTCGCTTGGTACCATGTGTATGTATGTCACAATGGATTCGAACTTACATGCTTCTTCTTTCTTTTTCTTTTCATACTCGGTAAGGCTCCTTTTAATGCGCTTCCCATCACCGGTTTAATTTCTGCTTGTTGTGGCTGTTCTGGCTGTTGTTGTTGCTGCTGTTCGACATCTACATCCATTACTACCACTGGTTCCTGGACTTCCTTTTCGATAACCAACGGTATATTTTCATCTGGTGTCAGTCCAGCTTTTTGTTCCAGCATTGCTTGGTGAAGTTGTTCTCTCAATGTTTGGCCAGAACGACCAATCAATTTAGAAGATTTCAATAAATCTGAAGACCAGGATGATGTACTATCAGGGCATCGCATTTGCACATATAATGAAGGGTTATGAAAGTTGCCGTAGACTAAAATTCAATACCTTATAATGTGTATCAACTTACGAGAGTTTTTCCAATAGGCCAGCACGAGCATCTTTTTTCAGTTTTTGTTCCTAAGGTTCGCATTTCATTAGTCGTTTCCAAAGAGACATTGAATTTACAGATAGTTGTATAACTGCAAAAAGAAAAAGTATGCTCTTACAATGTATTTTTCAAGTTTCTTTTTCTTTTTCTTTGACATATATTTCTCGGGCTGTTTGAAAGAGGGCGTCTTTCTTGACTTGGTTGCTTCGTCCTCGCCTTCTTTCTTTTGGCCGGGAATAAGCATCAACTCATTTGTATCTTTACTATATATACGAGAGCGCAATGAATAAATTGTTTTCATAACGGTATTACTTTGTTCAAGACGTCAGATCTGAAAGTCTGCAGTTACTGATGATTACATTTCCTGCTTTGAAGTAGTTGAGGATGCTGTAGCTTCAGAGTCGAAAGCTTGAACATCTAAACCTCCGTCTCTTGCTTTAGGGTGAGGCTTTTGTGTAGGTTTCTTCGAGGAGGCACGAGCTTTCTCATTATATCTAGGTCTTGATTTGCCCATGATGAAAAATCAGTACAAGATCTAGATCTATTGGAAAATGAACCTTTTTTTTTCGTTACTTCTGCTACCTGGGCTGCTTTGGACCAAAAACGAATTTTGACTATTTGAACACCGCTAATAAAAATTGACATTTTTTAATTGTCTGATCTGCCCAAAACCTGATGTTATGTAATATGAATCGTTATTATTTTTACTACTTAATTTGGATAAAGTATTTATATTTGAGATATCCTAAAAATAAGAGTCTTGTTTTGATTTCATTAGAAAAGTTCCTTATATCTTTGTTAGAGCCAGCAGTAGGAACTCCTGTTAAAGAAATGAGCAAGACCAGCTTGGGTTTTTTAAACTCAAATTCATGCGAATGCGTTAGGTGTGACCGCTTCTCCTGAACTTTTGGAGCGCCACAATCATTTTCCAGCAGCAAAAGCTTAACAAGTTCATTCTGGAACTTTGGAAGATCATCGTATTTACAATCAGTTCCTTTTTTCGAATCATGTCTTCTAATAAGAAAGAAGAAAAACCCGAGGACCTTTTTGGTATTGAAAATGAAAGCGATGAAGAAGACAACTCAGAAGATGAAATGGTAGAAGACAGTCGTTTTTCAAAAGCCCGTCTTCAACAAAATTCACTTGACAATGACAGTGACGACAGTGATGAGGATAGCGATGCTAGTGATGATGACAAATCTGTTGCTGAAAAAGAACAAGAACAAGAAGAAAAAGCCGGAGAGAAAAGTGATACCAATTCCGATCATTCTGATGAGGAAGTTGAGAACGATGTAGAACAAACAACAGATACCCAAAATGCAGCAGTTACAGATAGTGAGGAAGAAGACGAAATGGAGGAACATGAAGGTTATGATGCACCAGAAGATTTGACTGAATTTGGTGTGCACGGCAATGATGAAGCATCAAAAAAGAGCAATAAAAGAAATAAAACTTCAAAGAAAAAGATGAAAGCTTTGACACCTGAAGAACTTGAGAAATTTGAAAAAGCCAGGAAAAGAACTGGTGTTTGCTATCTCTCGAGAATTCCACCCTTCATGCCTCCCCATCGTGTTCGACAATTATTAGAAAAATACGCTGAAATTGGTCGTATCTATTTGGTACCTGAAGGTATTACGATGAACTAAAGTTTATTTCAAAGGTGTGATTGAGACATCAGGATGATTGACGCAGATTATACATGCCATAGATGCCAAGACAACAGCACGTCGAAAGAAATATACAAAGAATAGAAGAACAAATTTTGTGGAAGGATGGGTTGAATTCAAGGACAAGAAAAAGGCAAAGGCTTTAGCAGAGTATCTAAACATGAGACAAATAGGTGGTAAACGCAAAAATCAATATTATCATGAAATGTGGAATATCAAGTATCTACCGAAATTTAAATGGCACCACTTAACAGAGCAAATGGGTAAAAGTTATATCCCTTTCACTTTTTCCAAAACCAAACTGATTGCGCTTGTGAGGCTTACTTTACATCTAATTTTATTTTTTATAAAATAGCGCATGAAAAACAAGCTCGTCAACAACGTCTTCGTAATGAAATTGCACAAGCCAACCGTGAAAATAAGACATATATTGAAAATGTTCAACGCGCAAAGATGTTGCAAAGTATGGAAGCAAAGAAACGTAAGCGGGAAGGAAATGAAGGCGATGATAATCAACCCACTGAGATCAAGGTTAAACGAACATTTGCTCAAAGAGGAAAAGTTGAGCGTGAAGTGGATCCTTCTTCCTCTGTTTCTGGTAAACAGGCCATGGATAAGCTGGACAATGGTTTAAAGAATGTTTTGAGTAATGTCTTTGGAAAGCATTAAAACAAATCAGATTAAAGATTAAAAAAAAAAAAAGCCTAAGAATTTAGACAAAAATGCAGCAACTGTTTGGATTGAAAGGCACCATCTTTTATATTTTCTTTTCTTTGTCAGTTTTCTATTTTCTCCTCTTATTTCGAAATACATGTGTCATTACACAAGTAAGGCTTTTAGAGCCTTTCCTAGAAACTCTTTTCTTTCTATTGCGAAACTGTCCCGCCAACGATACACCATTCGTGCTATGCATACTAACCCAACGCTCATTAACCCAACTATAAACGTTGCATTAAAGCCACCATTGGGTTATGTTCGTCCTGTTTTGTTTGGCATCAGCTCATGCACGTCTATCTTTTTCATTGCCGCCTACGTCCATGACAAAGAGGAAGAGAGCATTTGGAGAAAATTCAAAGAGCGTACAACAACCGATCTCCATCGGCTACGAGACGTCATCACGGACGAGTCGCTGCTGAAGCATGACATTTGGAAAGAAAAGATGCGTCTTTGGATTCAACGCAAAAGCGAGCTGATGCAGCGTTTGCGACACCATTTGGATCAGTATCAGGCCCTGCCAACACATATTAAAAAGTCCATCCTTGGCAGTGCACAGCTCTTACTGGATGTGACAGAAGAGGAAAAGGTATTGCTTGGTATCACCGCTATTCATTTGCTTGTCTTTGGTGTATGGCGCATACCCCGCTACCAGAAGTTCATGCAGCAGTATTTTGTGCACAGCGGCGATCGAACCATCACTTTATTGACCAGTGTCTTTTCTCAACGTCGACTCTGGCATATGTCCGTCAATATGGCAGCTTTATGGCTGGTGGGGCCGTGGCTTTACAACAAATTAGGAAGAGAGCAATTTATAGCGACTTATCTATCCTTGGGTATTAGTGCCAATGTAGTGAGTCATGTAACGAGAGTCGCGATGGCGAGGAGGTGGAGGCATAACGTGGAAGCAGCAAAGCTAGCCACACTCGGCACAGATAGTGCTTTATATGGTTTACTGGCAGGCACAACTATAATATACCCTGAGGCTACTCTAATTATTCCCTTTTTACCGACAGCATTGTCTACACTCAACCTAAGGTAAAGCCAAAAGTTGGCTGACGTAAAGAAGAAAAAGAGAGAGAAAAAGATGTATACTCATAGTTCTGTTTCTTTGGAAATAATAGTTATACCTTACCAGCATTTCTAAGTATGGATGCAGTAGCTTTATTTTTTCGATGGAATAGAATGGATCATATTGTAAGTCATAGACAAGCAATACAGTTAACATTGTTGTAAAAAGTTATTACTTTGCGGAAAAAGATGCTAAAGTTTATAAATACATAATTTATGTATATGCATATGGACAGGCTCATATTGGAGGCACTATGATGGGAATTGTTTATGCAAAATTTGGACCCGATCACCTATGGCCACAAGCATTGAAAACGGTACGAGATGTAAAAGCGAGCATTCACGGTAGAGGCAGTGGTAATGATAAAAATGGAGGAGGCAGACCACCGGGTGCTCTGATGTTGATTTTACCAGAGAAACTTCGGCTCAAATTACAAAAGAAGGCAACACCCGCAGCTCCCGAAGGAGGAGGCGAAACTTGACTTCATCGTTCTGGTTGTGGTCTTGATAGTACAGTGCATTCACTTGTAAGAGGAACTTCAACATAATATACTACTGAGGTTGAGCGGGGGGTTTGGCTTTGATATGCTCCTTACTCCTTAAGAGTTGATTTGCCAATTGACTTGTTGAATGCCTCCACTTCAACATGGGCAAAATTCTCAGTCTTAGAATAAAGTGTAAACAAAAACATTCAAAGGGTGTGTAATAAGAGTTTAGAAGTACAAAATATGGGATGAGTACAGTGGGTACAAGAAGTGTCTTTTCAAACCTAACTAGCGTGTATTATGATCTTAAATTTACTGAAGACTGAAATTGTATTGGTTGTATAGATGATAATGGTTCACAATTATTTTTTTTACGATCCCTTTTGATATAGTGCGCTGTTGAGTTTTGGATATTTATTATAAGACTGGGAATATTATTTTAATTGTGTGAAAATAAAAAATAAAAAATGAGTAGGGGTAGCAGGTTGGAAATCTATTGATATGTATAATAAATATAAAGTGTTGCTGCTGCATCGACAATTTTAGTCGTAGAGTACATGGTGTGTCATGCCTTTCTTCAAGTGAACTTGGGGCCCAGCATTTGGTTTTCTTGCGGTATCGACACTATCTGCTGTTGTACTATCTGCTGTTGTGACCTTGGCAAGAGCTGCAACAAGTAGATAAATAGCAAAATTTCAATCATTTTTTGTTAGACTTAAATGAGTAGAAAATAACCATAGCTATGGCTCATCCACTTACCACGTGAAGAGAAACCCGAGCGAGTGGCGGCAAGATAAAGTGAATAGGCTCTTGTTTGACCATCATCAATTAAGCTTTCTTTTAGCTTTTGATAGGCTTCAGAAGGATTGATGATGGCGTAATTAAGGTAAAGTACACCGGCCCATCCAGATCTAACAGAAGGAGCTATCGTTGCCAGTCTTTGTTCCCATTCTTGCTTGACAAATTCACTGGTACGCATGTAATCTGCGAGAATAGGCGTCATGGGAAGTTGTTGAATGCCATGAATATATTCAACGTATCTTCCAAAGTATGTCGTCTATGGATGTTGACGTTGTATCAGCATACGCTCCGGGCGTGTAGTTAATAGACTCGAATTCACTTACATAATCTAGTTTTTGCTCAAAAAAGATACCAGCCACTTTATTCTTTACCATTTCAGCTGGGCGGTTTTCATTACCATCGAGCATCCAAAAGTATTCGTAAGCTGTTCTTTTCATCAATGCCAGTTGAAGGTTGGCCAAGTTTTCAAGGTCAGTGTTCTTCGTAGCAAGGGCCCATAATTTCATCCCCCAGTAGAAATTAACGCTCTATGTGAATATTTTGTTAAAATGATGAGAATGAGTGAGTGAGTGTGAGTGTGTGTGTGTGGTTAGTGCCCAGATCTATTTGAGGTTCACGAGGTGAGGTTCGGTTTTTTCTCTTACTTCTGGGACTGACTCTTGGTCTCTGCCGTCCATAGCACCATCTACTTTGATACCACCTGCCCAACTGTGGCCAGCAAACCAATCCCAATTTCTAAAGGGAGCGAAATAAACATCCTCCTCTTCTACTGGATTATTTACGTCACGGATCAACGTCTCTGTCCAAGTTTTGAGCTCTTCTGCTCTCCAGGTAGGATCCATATAGTGAATCATAGCCGCTGTTATCATTTTTTTTTTTTTTCGGAAAGAGGATGAGAAAAAAGCACATGTGAAAAAGGCTGTGTTAAAACCCACTTTGTGTCTCTCGCATTGTTTCTCTTTGAATTTACCTGTTACGATAAGATAGCCTTGATGATAATGATGATCATTGTAATAGGCATGTCCAAACTCTGCATTTCTATCTCCAGTACCGCCCATCGACTCTGGCAACCCCTTCTTGGCGACAATGCCCTTATACATGGTATCGTACAAAAAGGGATCCTCTTGTCGGTTTTCGAGATAGGGCACAAAGGACTCTTTCAATTTATCCAAAGCTGTTTGAGCCAAGACGGGATCGTTGAACTGAGTGACCTCAGGATGGTTCAGTAGCAGCGCGAGGAGAGCGAATTTCTGTAAACCCTTGCCACTAAAGTAGTTATCTCCTCGTTGCGTGTGCTCAGTGTAGTTGGATTCCAATATGTCATCTTCAAGCACGCCGAGGATATCGTTTCGGGTGGCCGGGTCTGTCACGGCCGCATTTTGGGGAAACCAGTTGATAGCCGTCGGAAGATCGGGTTCTTCCAGCGTCCACGTGTTGCCGATGACCGCTTGCATGGCGCCCTTGGTAGAGGACTGGAGTATAAGTGGGGTCTTTTCAATCCTGGCTGAGGAGGCAAAAGATTTGAGATGATGTGGATAAGCATACGTCAGTAATGTTTTTGACATGTCGCCTTCCAGTTTCCACCGGATCGTGTATTGTTGTCTATCAAAAAAAAAAAAAAACATCATTGGTATTTAGTATTATAAAAAAGAGTCTGGGAGAAAGGGCTTCCTTACTTGTTGGTGGTGGCATCCAGTTGAGCCCCTACAGCCCACACACCACTATGAGCATCTAATACGCTTTCATCTTCTGGCCGAGGTAGCTTGGCAATCTGAACAGTACCATTGTAGGTTCCGGTGGCTACCAAGTTATTGGTATCTACTTTTCTCAGCGTCAAAGGTCCATTCAAAGCGTAGATCAGATAAGTACTCGCTGGATTGTCGTTGAAGGTCATTTTAAACTTGGTGCCTTGATAGGTTGCCTCTGCGGAATTGTTACTGGTGCCGTTCACGGATTGTATATTCACAATGGCATGTTGGCTGTAAAACTGAGGTGTCAATGCTTGGTATCTTGCTGTGATAAAAGGCGTACCTCTCGCCAACGGGATTTCCATACCAGCAGCGGCAGCAGAACCGCTACTCAATAACTGCAGTTTGGCACCAAAGAGATCCCAGTCTTTTACTTTCATGGTAGGTTTTTTGGCTTGCGTCCATTCATTAGCAGTGATTCTGAAATCCACGGTGACACCATTGATCATATAGCCTGCAGGGGTAGGAGGGACATTGTTGACAGCGGGATAGGAACCAATGACTTTATCGTGCGGCTGGCTGATAGAGACACCAGGGTGATCGCCTACTGGGTCCAGGAATCTCAAAATGTAAGGGTCCGGCGTGGTGGGCGCTCTATTTTCTACACTCGGATAGAAAAGGTTGCTGAGCCAGGAGCAAGTAGGTACAGCGTTGTCTTTATAGACAGCAGCATCCGCATAGATGGGCGGAAAAGGATGTTCGATGACAGGGAAGACATCAAAAGGAGGGGGCGTTGTGCCAATAGGACGAAGGAGACGGCGAACCGCTGACTCTGTAGCAGGTACACTGCTGCTATTGCTGTTGTTGTTGTTGTTGTCGTCAGTAGCAGTCGTAATGGCGGTGTTGTTGTTGGCGACCACTGACGGTTGTTGTTGAGCGTTGTCAGAAGAAGATACTTGGATTGTCATTTTGTCGGTTAAAGGATTGTTGTAATCAAGTTGACCATCCTCCGTGTCAATATGTACCCTCAGAGCAAAGATGGTATTAAGGAATAAACTGATGGTTACTAATTTCATCACATTTGCATAGGCTGAAGTGGTTGTTCTTCTGCCTACGAAGGGTAGTAGTTTCATTTGTAAAAAAAAAAAGAAAGAAAATCTTGGCGTCGTCCAAAGTCTTTTTGTCTATTGACGAACCAATATGTTTTAAAGATAAAACAAAGAGCTGCTTTCAAGTCTTTTTTTGGTTTTTTTCCTCTTTTTTAAAAAAGAAGGGAAACAATCAATCATTAACTTTCTTTTTAACAGACTTTTTGTTTACGTTTTCCCGATGTATAAAAAAGAGCCAGAAGGATGTATTCGGCTTTTTTTTTTTTTTTTTTTTGCTTTATAGTGTATCACTTTAGCATAAATCAAAATTTTGCCCTTACTTGGTCCATCATCGGGAGAGGGATTCTTTTTAGAATGATAGACTGGTTCTTTTGATATTCTTTTCATGAAAAAGAGAGGGAGGAGGGAGGAGGAAGGTGACTACTCTGTCAAAGACGAAAGAAGGCTTTGCTGCAGAGGGGGCGTTGAAGACAGGTAGATGAAACCAAATGATGTGTATACACGCTATGATGTAGACAGCAACTAAAAATATATATAGTAAGGGCTTCAAGAAAATCTTTAAATTTTAATCATGGCCTTATTAATTTTTTCTCCTTTCGTTGGTTCATCGTCATCCTCCCTTATTATCGATCATGGGCTGATTTATTTACAGATGGGGAGAGGGAGGGGGAGGGGAGGAGGGGAAAGGCATGGGCTATTTATCGTCGTTTTACAAAACGTCTTTCAGTGATACGTTAGCAGATCCTCTCTTTTTAGGTAAAGGCGTATTTTCAGATGGTTTCCAACCAATCTAAGAGAATAAGAAAGAAAGGGTTACAACTCATACGCCAATGTGTATCAATCCAACAGAGAAAGTGATTGTCTTTTTTTTTTTTTTTTTTTTTTTTACCAAGTGTATAATTTGAAATGTGGCAGGCACTGTACCATCAGGATGACCATGGAGTTCTACACAAATAACCATGACAGTATGTTAATGGATGGTCAGGGAAGGGGTTTCTTGCCTCTATTGACCTACCTTTATAGATAGCTGCAGCAGCCATCATAGTATCTCTTTTTAAAAGGGGACGCCTATAAAGAAAAGCCCGATATGGTTCATACCACGTCAGTGAGTCTTTGCATTTTTTTTTTTAATTTTATACTCGGTGATGAGAATACCTTGTCAAAACAGCATTACTTTCACCCATCGCTTGCAAGTCCTTCATCAATTCAAACATACTGGGATAATTGACTTGAATTTCATCTACATCTACTGTGGTGAGAGTAAATCCTGTTCTTGATAAGAGTCGAGACATATCATTTGAATCTAGGCCGAGAAAAAAAAAAAAAATAATGAAAAAGTAAATTGTCAGGTTGAGTGTTATGAGTGCATTACATTCGGGCGGTAGGGCGCGAATGTTTGGATGGCTTTTTTTTTTTTTTTTTTTTTTTTTTTTTTTTTTTGCGACACACACCTGCCATGGGAGAGACACGTGGAGAAACACCACTTTCTCTTTCTGTTTCCGCGAGTTGTAAGGAAGTGCGTAATTCAAATAAGGTATCACCGCCCAACATGGCACCGATAAAGACACCGTCTGGTTTGAGAGCATTTTTTATTTGAATAAGGGTGCCTGGTAGATCATTGACCCAGTGGAGAGAGAGACTGCTGAGGACTGCGTCAAGTGAATCCTGTTTGAAAGGTAAAAGTTCTTCGTCTACAAGCTGTCTCTCTACCGGCACTGTTAAAAAAAATCGTATATATCAGCTTGGTGGGTCTGTGGTAAGTTTGAAGCAAGCCTTTGGGCGTTTTTATACCTTCGTACTGAATGTCTTTATCTCTATACAAGGCTTTTTCTAGTGGAGTGGAGTGGAGTAGAGGGTGGGTAGCAAGGTGAGATCCCCCTTTTTGATGCATTCTCCGATGAGCGTCTGTTGGCACTTACCCGACATATCACACAGAATCATCTTTTTCACTTTGTCTGCTTTGACGTGTTTAATAATATGTCCAGATCCTGATCCCAAATCCACGACTGTATCAAAATTACGATGGATATCCTTTTGGGTGTTTATATGTCAAAAGAAAAAGGTTGGATTCTTTCCGCTTCTTTTGTTGATTCAGACAGATTACAACTTACTAATAGTCTATCAGCCACTCGAGCTCCTATTTCATCTCGAAGATAATCCACCGTTCGACTCTGTTCCACTTGACTCGCCGCGCGATCTTTTTGTAATCGCTTCGCTTGACGATCAAACACTTGAAATACTTTAGGTGTGGTTGACGTGTCTGAAGACGTTCCTGCAACAGCAGCACTAGCATAAAGTCGACGGCGTTGGCATGTCAATATTCTAGGAACGACGGAAGGGAGAAGCATCAGGGTCAACTTTCAAAAAGAATGAAAAAAAAAGGAAAAGTAAATCCGGGGTAAAAAATAGCCACTTTATGCATAGGTTATATACTAAGCCATGTTGATTGGATGAAAAAGCTCTTTTTTTTTATAGTGGGGTTTAAATGATTACATTACTTCGTACAAAAGGGGGGGGGGTGTAAAAGAGGCAAAATGCCTTTTTGGCATGCAAAAACGTCGAAAAAATCAAAAAAGAAAAAGACAACAAACGAGATAGATAGATAAGTGTTAATTTAAGGAAGAGAGAGAGAGAGCATAGTACAACTGTTGTGTCTTCACCAACGGTCCGTTAAAAGCGCAGATTTACCTTGACTCCGTGTAACAGGACTACTATGACTACTGTTATGGTTACTCATATGGTTCATTGAAGTAGAGTGATTCTCGTTCACTGGAAAGACTGTTGTAGCACAGATAGAGATGGACGAGGATAAAGTAGATTCTGTTGGTGAAGAGGAAGAAGAGGCAGCAGCAGCAGCAGCAGCAGCAGCAGGAGGAGGAGGACAGACTGGGTTGGTTAGAAAGCCAAATTCACGTTGAAAAGCAACTATTTTCCTGGCTAAGGATGCCATCATTTCTATAGACGTGGAAGGTTCACCTTTTCTTTTCAGCATGCAACTTTCCTCAGAGACGGTGACCTTTGACACTGAAGAAGGAGTAGTCATAGTAGTAGTGCTAGTGGTGGTAGTGGTGGTGGTGGTATGGGTAGTAGTAGTAGTAGTGTTGGCAGGGTAAGAAGGATGCTTTTGAGTGTCATCTAAAGGGATGGTGCTCGCACTACTTAACGAAGAGGAAACACTTTCTGAATCATCCTCTTCCATCATTGACTGAGGATCATTCTTCATGGTATTTGTCTCTTCTTGAAAGGAGAAAGCCTCTGCCTCTACTTTGGTTTGAGGGTTGTTTGGTATCAAGATCGGTGTGGGTTTACGATTTTCTTTCATGCTATAATGACTCATATGGCTGCTACCACTACTGCTGGTAGGGCTACAAGCACTTCCTACTTCCATATCAGCGACTGCCGTTGCTTGTATTTCTTCTTGTTGTAATTGACGTGACAATGACGCTTTCAAATCATTCATACGTTGTTTTACCATTTCTCGACGTTTTTCACTCGTTTCCTCTTCTTCCTCAGATTCTGTCTCCTCCTGATAAAGGTGTTGGTGGTGGTGGTGGTGGTGGTGGTGGTGGTGATGATAATGAGGATGAGGATGGTAAGGAGAAGCATGACGTGATAAATGCAAAGTTTCATGATACGAATGTCGTGGTCGCTTCTTTTTATTCTTTTTCAGCGTTAAATCTACTTGAACTGAGCAAAGGTACTGCAAGATTTGCTCTGTTCTTTTATGCATGTCGTCCAACGACATTTTTTGTGTTGGCATTCGCACTTTTGCAGGAGGCGAGGAGGCACGAGCGGAAGGTTGAAAATGACGGAAGAGCGGATGTTGAAGAAGTCTGTCTTTAACAAGTTGCTGATTGGGTGACGGGGTTTGAGCATGCTGTTGTGATGAACGAAGTGTAGGTGGAGGAGAAGGAGGAGGAGGAGGCGGAGGAGGATGTGCATTTGCATTCAATGCAGTGTTTGAGTTGAGAGCAGCCATAGTAGAAGAGTTGCAAGAGGAAGGCGTGGGTCCTCGAGAGCGAGAAGCTCTTTGATAGTTAGATCGTCTTCCGTTCTCTCCATTGTCGTGCGTATCGAGTGAGTTGCTTGAAACGTGTGATAACGATTCATCCAATGCTCCACTGCGATTGATGTCATTGGAAGGTGGTAAGGAAGCCGTGGTAGCAATAGGTGACGAGGTTGGGGTATAACGTGAACGAGTTCTTTTCTCTTTCTTACTGTGGGTGGTGTTCTCCGCTACCGGCGAAGGATGCTGTTTTTTGGTATAAGATCTCTTCTTTTGGTGTCTTGTGATGGTGGCAGTGTTTGTTAGTGCGGTTTTCTCTAGAGCGAAAAGATAAGAAAAAATAGATGAGATGGTTCACATGAATTAAGGTTTTTGAAAAACTGGAAAAAGTGAACAAAAATAAAAAGAATTTCTTTCGCTTACCCTGCTGCTGCTGCTGCTGCTGCTGTTGTTGTTGTTGTTGTTGTTGCTGCTGCTGCTGCTGCTGTTGGCGTTGTTCCCTTAAAACAGGCGTTGAACCCTGGGTTGCCCTTCGAGTGACCTTGGTGTTATGATGGATGTCTTCCAGGGGATGCTTCGCCCGTTCACCGACTGTTTTCGATTGTAAAGTAGAAGCTTCCTGGCTGTTTGTCGTCGTTCTTTTTCGAGGAGATTTCTTCTTGTCATGTTTACTGTTACCATTCTTTTCCATAGCAGGTTTATAATATCTACGCGTTCTGAAGATACAAGTTTTCATTTTAGATTTTCCTCCTCCTCTTTCAACCAGTAAAGTAGACACTGATGTTATTTACTTGTCATAGCCTTTCACTTCGATATGATCAGACGGTCGACACAACTCACAAAAGTACTGTTCTGGAATGTCTTCTTCATCCAACCCCATGCATTCGCAATGTTGCCAAACTTCACATTCGTCACAACACACCATGAGACCTACACTGTCTATAGGCAGGTTGAAAAAGAAATCATTGATTCAACAAGAAATCGAGTGAGTGACAGTGAGAGTATGAAGTTTTGGTTTTTCTGTTGGACATTTACGTGATTTCCCACAAACACATCTCGTTACAGAATCGTCTTCCTCTTCTTCTTCTTCTTCGTCAACTAAATCTTCATCATCTTCTGAACCTACTGTAGGCTCGGATAGTTTCTGCTTTCGTCTCGTTATGGTTGCAGTGGAAGTGACGTCTGTAGAGGCTCTTAAATTCCTTGTAGGAACGGCAGCGGCTACTAATCAAAAATGGATAAAAAATGTCAATGTAAATAAAAAGAAAGTGGGGGCGACGACGGCATTCTATTTTTACTCATTTTTTTTTTGGGCTTTTTTCTTGAAAGGGAATAAAAAAAAGGGAAGTTGGAAAAAACAAGGGTATTTTATAACTTAAAGAGTATATAGAATGTTTGTAGATAATGTCGATGGTTGCAAGAGAAAAAAGAAAAATAAAAAAAAAAGGCACCTAGTGTTAAGTTGATTTTTATAATTGGCTTTCATCCAATCAAATTTCTTGTAGGTTTTTTGCCCTTTAAAAAAATCATGAAAACGTTTCACAGGCAGATTTCTGTTGTGAAAATCCACTAGAACAGCTTCATCACCAACGCCCTTATCCAACGTCATATTATAAGCAGTTTCCAGAAAACGTGAAAAGGCGAAAGGGCGGGCGAAGAAAAGAAAAGAGAATGATGAAAAAAAAAAAAAAAAAAAAAGAAAAAAAAAGCTGCCTCACCCCCATTTTGCAAAAATAAAAAATAAAAAAGACGTTTTGTCATTTTTGGCGGTTTTTGAAAAAATGCAGATCAAATGGACACGTCTCTTGAAAGGACCTTTTTGCCATCTTAGCTTCAAAATCTGCAGCTATTTTGTTGATGCAGTCTATCGTGGGTTCAGTATCCTAAATACTCCAATAGTTTACTTGAAACACTTTGTGTCCTGTTTTTTAGGCATACAGGTTTTAACTTTTTCAATTTTTTTGTTTTACGGATTTGAGACAAGTTTTCTGTTTTTATAAATTTTTTTTTCTAATGGGTATAATTTCCAAATAAGGTAACAAGGACCTTTTTTTTTTCTCTACCTACATATAGAATGACAAGTTACAAAATCCATGACCAAAGAAATATGCAAACTGTTGCACGTATCAAAAAAAGAAAAAAAAAGTCATTTACATGAGTAATCCAAGCAATGGTTGCGGTGCAGTAAAAGTAAGAATATAGACGGGTCATTATCATTATGCATGTATTAAGTATCGTACTTCTTTAGCTGACCTGTTCAAAAACGTCAGTGGTGGATCTGCATGAATCATTAACCTTTTTTTTTTTTTTTTTTTACAACATAGCCAAACAGAGAAGAAGAGCTCAAAAACATGTCAAATCAAAGAAAACAAATAAACACTATATAGCTCTTTTTTTTTTACTTTGCTTTTTTTTTTTTTTTTTTTTTTCCTTCACCTTTTTGTGCTTTATTATATTTACTAAGTTTATCATTCATGCCTTCTATTGTCAATGAAGATTTTTCTATCTTAGCAAGCCATCATGAGCACTTATTGCCTTCTTCTACTGAAGACTTGATGCCTACTTCAGCCTTCGCTGTCTCACCTATTCTTACTTCATCTATTTTCGATGATTTTCTTGGAAATCGAGGAGAAACAGCCGACGAGATTCGAGAAGCAGATGATCCTACGGCTGAGAGGGAGGAGTATGACGACGACGATGATTTTTTCTTGAATCGTCCGCATCAAACATCTGTTCGAGAACTTGAAAGATTATCCATTCGACAAAGACAGCAAGAAAGATTAAGGACCTATTTACAACGGCGTCAACAACAGCAGCTTCAAGCACAAACGGAGGAACAGGATATGACCGCTTCTCCAACGCAACGACGACGGCCCGCACCACCCTCACCCTCACCGCCACCGCCACCGCCACTTTCCGTATTGGAAGCAGTCTCTACGATCGTACCAACACCACGGTTGGAGTCTTCCCATGATGCGTATGTTCAAGTATCTGCACCCACCACTGTTGCACCGCCCGCTTTGAGAAGACTGAACGAAATGCGTACCAATATCACCCTTCATTTACAGGAACAGCAGCAGAGGCAACGTGACGAGACCCTCGATAGTCGTCCTTCCTCTGTCTCCACACCCATCGCCCATGAATTCATGCATCATTATCATCGTCATCGCCATTTCCATTATCCTTCTCCACCTCCTCCACCTGCACCCGCACCGCCAACACCCCCACCGCCACCACCCGCATTACCTGCCGTATCGGCCTTACCTGCCTTACCTGCCTCTTCCACCACCACGGTGCATCGAGGAAGGCTTTCCTTCTCCTCCTCTTCCATCAACCATTGTTTGGATATCAATAAAGCATTGGATATGCAAGCTCTGGTAAAGAACAATACGTATCGTATTCAACCTGTCAAAGTGTTGGACTTTGGCGTGGTGGAGGATGATGGAGGACAATACGGTGCCATGTATGGTATTGAGAATATTTTGAGGAATGATGAATCTGTCTATTGGTAGGTGTGAGGAGGACCCGATTTATCATTACTATGATCTTGTTCTTTTGATACATGTATTTCCCTTTTATCTAGTTCGGGTAGGAAAGGTCCTGTGAATATACTGATTCAATATAGCGGTCAGAATCTGTCAGATGTCGCATGTTCTCTATCTAAAATAGTGCTTCTATCGCCGAGATATGGGTAATCATAGAATTAAAAAAGAGAAACCTTTCTTTCTTGCTGTTCATAGCTAACCTCTTGTTTTATGGTCTGCTGGGTGGTTATTAGTAGTTTTACAGCACCATGTAAGTGTTGCTTTTTTTTGATGACGAAATGAGAAGCAACTCATTTCTCAAGTACTTTTACTTTTCTTTTTTTTTTTTTTAAAAAAAAAAACCAGGCAAAGAAGGACTTGTTTTTATTTCCAACAAAACTATCAATGTAGCAGGTATAAGCTAGATCCACCTCTCTTTTCACCGAACTAGGACCAACGCCCAACCATTTCTTTCCCCTTCATAGACACTGCGAAATTCAACTCTTTTACAAAATCAGATTATGACGCCTACATTGAAAACAAGTTGGCAAAAAACAATGGTATATTGGAAGACACCGATCCAGCTGCATGGTTTTCGTTGTCCAATAGTAATCGAACAAATATACTGGACGTGGATTACAGGTAGGAAGAGAAGGCAGCCGTGTTGATGTGAAGCTTTATACTAAACGACATGTATCGCACTAGATCCTGCAAATATATACTGATCAAAATGCTACGCTCGCATTTCGATTCGGACAATATTGATCTACAATACATTGGTTTCATAGGCCATGTTGGTACAGCTTCTTTTGCTCAATGTACTCTAAGATGAATTCTTATTTCAAAAAACGGTATGAAAGGTTGTGCGGAATTTGAAAAGTTCATCAGTCATTTCGCGTACCAGAAAAAGAAAAAAAAAAAAAAAATCAAGGACGCATTCCCTCCCCCCGCCCCTTATTTTTTTTTTTTTTTTTTTTTTGTATACTCTTTCTTTCATTCTTCTCTCTACTTTTCTTCTTTTTTTTCTTATAAATACCCTAATATTTTTAAAACAAAGTAATAAAAAAAAGAAGTAGTGACTCTTTCTCCGTTTTATCATTGAATCCATTTGATTTTTCTAAAAAAAAAGTGATTTTTTCTAAAAAAGCATAGTTCCTTCTTTCCCAAAATTGTCAACGAATAAAAAAAAGAGCGTCCCAGAACATTTTTATGCCTATAAAACCAACGAGACGTGCAGCAGCACGTAGTAAGGAAAAGGAGACCGTCATACCCGTAGAGAAAGATCCTACTATTATCCATGACATAACACCACCACCACCACGCACATCCAAAAGAAGAGGAAGACCACCTAAACATTTATTATCAACCGACCATACGCCTATCCCTTCACCTTTACACACATCCATCCACGACACTGCCAAGAAACGAAGAAAAGGAAAAGAAAAGAACCCACAAGAACAAACCATGGGCAACACCTCACAAGACACTAGCCATAGCAGTCGTCGTACGCATAGTTCCAGCCAAAGAATCGAGAAAAAGAAAACATCCCATCACGATTCGTTCTACGTCGATGCAAAACAACCTTTAGACATTAAAAGACACGATCATCAGGTCGATCATCAACATCAAAGCACGCACGATACCCCAGATACTTCATCATCATCATCCATCGCTTCCGATCCAGTGTCAACGGAAGATTCTCCCGTTTCGACGACCACCCCATCATCTTCACTTACTCTTTCCTCTACTTCATTGACACCAGACACACCTACAGAAGAAGAAGAAGAAGAATACGGCACACCGTCAGAAGAGTTTGAGACAACAACGCCCTCGCCACCATCTCGAGTCGATCAACAAGAGCAACCCACATCAACATTACCAGTTGCTGTTTTTGAAAAAGTAACCGATCAAGATCAGTTTTATAATAAAGCTACTTTTTACAACGACAGTAGCGACATGGACGAAGACGACAATGACCTCATTCCTACAGAAAAACGAAATCCTATCGTCTTTAAAAGACCCAAAGATCATTTAATAAAATTCAAAGGTGAGCCTTTTATTCGCCTTTGATAAAAAGAAAAAGAAAAAAGTGTGTGTGTGTGTTCATGACTTTTTTCCGCCTGCGAATGAATGTAGAACCTACAGAACAAGAATTGATTCAAACCGTCGAATATGATATGGACGAACAAGGTAATAAAGCAAAAAGATCTGTCCAAAATGCAATCATGGATCGAATCTCATTCCTACCTATGGGTGTTGTATTTGTGGGGGGGGGTGCGGATTTTCTTTTTTAGATGCTCAATGGCTAAAAGTGTTGAACAAAGAACGTAAAAAACACAAATTAGGCCTCATCACCGCTGAATTTTTCGAGGCCATCATAGATCATATTGAAAAAGAATGGTTCAACTTGGTATGAGCTCTTTTATTGAAAAAAAAAAAAAAAAAAACAACTCTCTCCTCTCTCTTTGTCATCACTCATCCTCCCTGTGACAACTCTCTATAGGTCAAGGATTTACCCAAAAAGTCATCCGAAGAACAAGGCTTTCCTGAAGATATTCAATGTGCTGTATGCGACGATAGCGAATGCGAAAACAGTAACGCCATTGTCTTTTGCGACGGCTGCAACATTGCCGTGCATCAAGACTGCTATGGCATCCCTTACATTCCTGAAGGGCAATGGCTCTGTAGGAAATGCATGGTCTCCCCCGAACAGCCCGTGTCCTGTATCTTTTGCCCCACCGAGGGTGGTGCCTTTAAACAAACCACGGAAAATCAGTGGGGCCATCTGGTGTGTGCCATGTGGATACCGGAAGTCGGTGTAGGCAACAGTGTCTATATGGAACCCATTGATAATGTCGACAAGATACCGAAAAGTCGTTGGAAATTGACGTGTTACATTTGTAAAAAAGAAAAAGGGAAAAGCGCTTGTATTCAATGTGATAATAAACATTGTTTCACCGCTTTTCATGTCACCTGCGCAAGATGGGCTAGATTATGTATGAAGATGAAGTTGGTCCATGGCAGTACGGGTGGTAGTGGTGCTGCTGCTGCTGCTGCTGCTTCAGGTATGAGTACAGGTACGGGTATCAGCTCTGCTGCTGCCTCTTCTTTACCCAGTAGCACTACGCATAGGAATGCAGTAGCCGCAGCCAAGGGTTTGGATTTGACAACACAGTCAATGGAAAACAGTATGGGTGACCATCATGACATCGCAGCCGATAATGTGGTATTGAAAGCTTATTGCGAGAAACATACACCCAAAGACTATAAAGAAGAGGTCGATGTCGAGGCATGTGTTGCTGCAGCGCAAGCTTGGCATGCAAAGCATAAAACGTCCATGCCGCGTACAAGGTATGTAGATGAACCTGAGCAGCTAGAAACAACTCCCGAATCAGAGGAGGAGGACGATAGCGAAGGGGAATCTACAGAGGAAGAGGATGAAAGCGATGGTAAAAGGAGGCTGGGGGGAAGGAAAAAAGGAAAAGGTTTTCATCATCGTCGTCGTCGTCGGCGCCGTCATCAGCACCACCATCATCACCATCATCGTTATCGCCAGGAGAAACGCTCGAGTAGAGGCAAACGTCCTACTTCAAATCGAAAGAAAGCTGCTCTAGCCCACCGCCATCAATATGCAGCCGCCGATCACGATGGAACAGCACCGATAGCACCTCAGTACATCATTGACCATTTGGAGCATCTTGACTTTGTCAGAGCCGCCACACAACTCAAAAAGAAATCTTCCGTCATCGAGCAACTCTGTCGCTATTGGTCAATGAAACGCCAAGATCGCAGAGGTGCGCCTCTCTTGAAGCGACTTCATTTAGAACCGTGGACAGCTTCCGCCTCAGAATTGATGGAAACAGAGGTCGAAAAAGCGCACAAGGCAGCCGCCATGATTGCCCTCAGAGCAGATATCGAAAGAGTGCGATTGCTAACCGAGCAAGTGCAAAAAAGAGAAAAGCTGAAATTGGACCGTTTGAGAAAACAAAAAGCCTATCTTGACATCATACTCTATCCTCTCGAATTCATCATTCAATCTGTTCTCGAACAGCTCATCGAGTTGGATAGTAAAGAATTCTTTAGGTACCCCGTTACGCCAGATCTCGCTTCTGACTACTTTGATATCATCACTCATCCCATGTCCTTTCAAGACATTCTCGATAAATGTGACCTGCATCAGTACACAACCTTGAACGAATTTGAAAAGGATTTGGATCTGATCTGGACAAACTGTATGACCTACAATAAAACAAACACCATCTATTACAAAACCGCTCAGAAATTGCAGACCATGGCTGCCACCTTCTTGAACCAAGCGAGAAGCGATTATCAAGGGATGCCTCTGAACGAACACACCGGCTTGCTCGATATAGCCGTTGGCCGTGATTTGTTTTCCTACGGTCTTCATCATCAACAACGCCCATCGTCGAGTACCACCGTCACCGCTTCTTCCGCTTCAAGTACAACACCACTCCCCACCTCCCTAGAGGGTGACGCACCACCGCAACAACAACAACAACAACAACAACAACATTCTTCTCTCGCCCGTCGTTTTGAAGACGCCTCGACCAAAGACACTCACGAAGGGTCGCCGCCTACCTCGTCTTCGGATACCAGTAACAAAAGAACGAAAAGACGCCGTGCTCCGACTACAGATGAAGAAAACGAAAAGGGGGTTCCTACCGACGCATCTCTTTCCCCTTTAAAGAAACGACGTGTCACTCGAAATCTCTCTTTGGATAGGAATCAACGAGAATTACGTTCACGCTCTGTCACCAGGAATCAATCGAAAGCAGAAGACAAGCAAAGTACGCCGTCATCTCGCCTTAGAAGAACCCATCCATTGGATACCCAGACGTCCTCTCCTTCTGTGAGGACGACGACGAGGAGAAGTAAGCGCATGCCAACATTCGTTTCCACCTCTTCTTCAATAACAACAACGCCATTCACTTCAATCAATGATACCACTACATCCAACGATCCACAAGAGAGAAATAGAATGAGAGAGTTGAAGAAAAGACGGACGGCAGGTCCTAATGATTCAAACACCAACACAGAAAGACAACGTCCAGTAGAAGTGCAGGAGACGTTACTATCCGTTGACACTAGACCGGCGCGTAGGATGACCCGTAGCCACAGTACTCATAGTATCCCATCGAAAGAAGCAGAATCAAACAAAGACAAAGAGCAACAGATGTACGAAAAACCTACAACGAGAAGTCATAGAAAGCTCAAATTAACGCTAAAAGAGAATAACCATCAGCAGCAGCAGCAGCAGCAGCAGCAGCAGCAAGGAAAAAGTAGAATCGTAAAAGAGAAAGTAGATAGGGACAGAGATGCGGTTAAAAAAGATAACAAGACAGTCGACACACCTGTCGCCACAGCAGCATTATCGTTGTCGTCCCCGTCGTCGTCAAAACTAAAACAAAGACAAGAAAGACCTCAGCAAGAAATAAAAAGGAGGTCAACAAGGGAAAGGCAGCAGACCGACAAAAATGAAAAGAATAAAAAGACAAAAAATGTAAATGAAGACACAGAAACAGCACAACCAGCACCTTCACCATTATCATCATCCATGTTGGACTATAAAGATGGTACTATTGTGTGGGCAAAAGTGAGAGGTTTCCCTTCACACCCAGCCAAGGTAACTGAGAAAAAGGAAAAACAAGAAGGACTAAGTGACTGACCTTGATCCTTTTTTCTATGGAAAAGATTGTCGATGATACTATGAAAAAGAACAAAGTGCCTGAACACGTCATTTCTGCTAAACCTGAAACGTCTAATGAACCGCCCATCTTGGTTACATTTTATGAAGTACCCGATAACCATCGATGGGGTTGGGTCGAGAAAGAGGATGTTCAACCTTTTGGACATTTGGAGACCGATGTGGCCATGTTACAACAAGCAAAAAAATCCAAAAAACGTCCACGTATTCAAGAATCAAGAAAAGGCTATGTTCGTGCTTGTAAATTATTAAAGAAGGATCCTGTAGCGGATGCTTTGGTATTCCCTCATATGCGAAAACCGATTTGATTCTGTAAATAGTTATTTCTTTTCAGTCCTTTGAAAACATATGCTTTTGAATAATAAAGGGACGATATATACCTTGCTCTGTAAACCAAAATCTACGAATATTATCACATTTCGTCTGAAACTTGTAAGAAGGCAGAGAGCACTAGAAATACCTTTTTATTTTTTCTGTTATGCAAACTTTATCTTTTTAATTTCACAGAAAAACAATAAAAGCATAAACATGTCAGCCGACCTTTGAGAGTGGATATAAAAAAAATGCATGTCAATATTTTTTATCTTGTGTTTTTTTTTTCTTCACAAGCAATCCTCCACTAACTAAACAATGACAGTTGAACCAGAAACTTATTTGCGTACTTTACCTTCTATTCGTGAACGCTGCCAAAAAGTGTATGAAAAGGCTCAACAAGGTCAACTCCAATGCTTCGATATCCATGAAGACAAGGCTTTACCTGCCATCGTGGAGCACGTTCTCACGACAACGCAACGCCGGTTCTCGGACGTGAGTAGTGTTCCTCCTCACTCTCGTCTTCGTCATTTTGATCCTCGAGATATCGAGGGGTTGATGCAAACATGGCAAACGAACAATGTAGCCCAAATAGAACAAGCACGCCGTCTGGTCGATTTGGTGATTGTTTCCGTCTTGTTAGATGCAGGTGCGGGACAAGTATGGAAGTATAAGACCCAACGTGGTGACTATGCTGGACGGTCAGAAGGCTTGGCTATAGCTTCTTTTGATATGTTTATAGCAGGACGTTTTTCTACAAACGAGCATGTTCCTGATCAAGTCGATGGTAAAAAAGTAATTTTTTTTTTTTGGGGGGGGGGGAATGGTTTCATTCTTGATAACTCACCTCGTTGCATAGTGGGAGGTTTGAACAAGGTGACAGTGGAGCGTATGGCAGCCGATTTTCAAGTGACAGAAGAAAATCCTATGGTGGGATTAGAAGGACGCTCAAATTTATTAAAGCGTTTGGCTGCAGTGATGGACGAACAATCCATGTATTTTCCAACACAAAATCAAACTGAGACTCGTAGACCCGGGCATCTCGTTGGTAAAGTAGCTTGCATGTGTATGGGCTACCATACCCAACTCATATTATGTCGTCGTATCAAACGAAAGGGAGAGAGTTCATTTTGAGAAGGAGAGTATGAACATTAGTTAACTTTCTTGTACTCTTATTTTCCTGATAGATTATGTCCTGTCTTCTGTTGATGATGTTTCCGAACAAGGCAGTAAGAAGGCATTGCGCGTTGAAAAGATATGGGAGGCTGTGATGAGTTTAGGGGCCATGTGGCCTGCTCGTGTCCAAATCAATGGTGTCCAAATGGGCGATGTCTGGCCTTGTCCTTGCTTAACATCTGGCAACAATAGCAATGACGCTTATGAGGATTTAGTTCCTTTCCACAAATTATCGCAATGGCTAACTTATTCTTTAATAGAAGCTATTGAAACGGGTCTGAATGTCACTGTACAAGGCGTTGAGTTGTTGACAGGTTTACCTGAATACAGAAATGGCGGCTTGTTGGTTGATTATGGTTTGTTGACGTTGAAGTCTGATGAAGTTAAACGCGGTATCGCGGCAGCTGTCGATCCTGAAGCTGATGATGCTTTACCTACGTTTGAGGGATCCGACCCTGTCATTGTTGAATGGCGTGCATTGACAGTTATCTATTTAGATATCATTAAGCAAAAGGTGGAAGAGAAGCTCGGTAAGAAATTGTTGCTAGCACAGGTATTGGAGGGAGGCACCTGGACGGCTGGTAGAGAAGTGGCTGCCAAGCTGCGGCCCAAGGATGGTGGACCGCCCATCGTCATCAAGGTAATTGGGAAAGACTCGTTTTATCACGTGAATCGCAATAGAATTAGCTAAATAACTGATTCTTTTACTCTATAAATAGAGCGATGGAACTATCTTTTAAATATAGTTGGTACATCTGCATTAGAATAGCTTTGTAGTAATTAATCAGGCGCTATATCTAATGATAGAATGTAAGATTTGCATCTATCAATTTATTAAAGCAAAATACGTATAACGTGACAAAGAGCTGGCATTTCCTTTTATTTAAAAACTTGTTTGCCCCCCTAATGTAGCATTACTGTCATCTATTAAAGCGTGTAGATGACAGAATGGTATTTCAATTTATACGACAATACAAACGACTTACGGGGAGATAAGGGCAAGAAATGTGGGGTAGCATATCCTAAAAATAAGCTTTTGACTGCTCAAACCGTTCTCTTCCCCCTTTTATTTTTTTCTTGTGTGTCTTTCTCCTTCAACTTAGAATATCACTTTGCCTGTTTTTTCAGCGCTCTCTCTTGAAACGCAGAAAGGCAAAAGAAAGATTCAATAATAAGCTTAGAAGAAGAATGACATGCACAGATATTTCTGGTATAAACTTTTTTCCTTTTGTTATAACTGTATGCTCGGTCACTTTAACAAAAAAAAAAAAGCTTATAATGAAAACTCTAAATTGCTCTATCTTCATTAGGGCAAACGTGAGAGGCACAGAGTCATAAGCCCTTCTTCAAACGGTATATTGCTCATTGCATACGTTTTTACTTCTACGTACCTCCACTTTTACTGTTGTTGTTGTTGTTATTGTTGTTATTGTTATTGCGCTATTTGTGTCATTGCTAGATCCACAAAAAAACAAAACTGTACCAGGAAAAAAAGGGCTACTGCTTCGGTTCTAACTGATAAGATTTACACACCACAAAAATGTAACAGTAAAAAAAAAGGTCGCATAAATCTACTGTTGTACCAGTCTTTTCAGAAAATGTAAGCAGCTACATAAGATCGTCTTTCGTTTTTTATGCTTTCCCACCCCTTCCATCCTTGCCCCCCCCCCAGCTTACATGTCGCTTATTTTTGATCTGAACGATTGAAATCGTCCCCTTTTTGTTTCTTCTTTTCTTATTTTGTTCTCTCTTTTTTAATTGTTTGCAATTGTAAAGCAGTTTTTATAAATAGAAGTGTGATATCATGTTGGTTGACCAAAACCAATTCATTCAATCTTCAACAGCAACAGCAACAACAACGTCTACATCCAATCATCCTTTCTATTTGGATGGTCAGCAACGAGCGCCGTCCACACCCATCACCCCCACGCCACCTTCGCTTCATCCCACTGCTTACTTTGATCAGCCTAGAAGCAGTAGTAATCATCATAGTTACCATAGTCCAGCAGCTATTTTCATGAATCATCATCGCTATTATCAGAGAGATAAAGCACCCAACTCGTTTTTATTATTCAGTGCTAAAAGGCGATATGAATCACCTACTATCTCTTCTCAACAATTGATTGAAGAATGGAAAGATATGAGTAAAGAACAAAAGGCTGAATTTCAAAATCAATCGCAATGCATACAATTCACTTTGGATATAGATAAAGAAAGGCAATTGCAAGAAGAGCAGCAGCAGCAGCAGCAGCAATTGGAACATCATCTCTACTACAGCAATACGCATCACAGATCGATACCAAAAATGGTCGTTCCATCTTCTTCGTCTCTTCTCACATCAAATAATCCTACGGCTACCCTCGTCAGTCGACAGCAGCCATCCATGATTATACCCAATTATAGCGAAGAAGAAGATCATCAGCAGCAGCAGCCACACCATCGTACGATCAACCATACTACGGCCAACTACTTTACAGGCTTACACCAACAACAGAAATGTCCTTCAGAACAGCAACAATCACATTCGTATTCTCATTCACCGAACTTTATGTTTCAGCAATATCATCGTTCCTATGAACGCACATCCTTACCAGCATCTTACTCATCAGCCAACACACCTACATTACAGTACCAAGAACGTCATCCTTCTTTTATCGATACGACTCCTTCTTTATACCCAACAACCGCATTTCGTCATCCTCAGACTACAGTCACTGCATCCATAGATGCGGCGGCGGTGGCTATGAATACATCATTAGCATTTTCTACTTCATCTTCGCTTCCTGCTCCTTTCATTATGACATCTCATCCCTTATTGTCTGATACATCTTCTTCAATAAATACTACTATGACTACTACTGCAGCATCTACTGATGCTGCTGCAGCAAATGACTCTATATCGGTATCAAGACGAAGCTCTTATACCAATGTCAACGATTCAACAATAGCAGCAGTAACTTCAGTACCCCCAGTCACTCCAGTACTACCTGCCCCAACGCCTACATCCACATCATCCACAGCAACCACGGTCGAAAAGGTGAAACGTCCTCCAAATGCTTATTTACTATTCAATCGTGACATGAGACGCAAAATTCAACAAGAACAGAATGTTGCTTATCAAGGATTAACATCAGGAGAGATCAGTAAACTTATTAGTCAAAGATGGAAAGCCTTGTCTCCCGTAAAGTTCCTGCCTTTTTTTTTTTTGTTTTTTTTTTTTTTTTTTTGCCCCCAACTTTTTAACTATATATACAATTAAGAGCAATCTGTTGTTCATTGTCAATAATGGGTAATTTATTTTGAAATAGGAAGAACGCCATTATTATGTACAGGAAGAAGCAAAACTAAAGGGAAAACATAGTCAAGCCTATACTAATTTTGTATATACAAGAAGATCAAAAGCCGAAATGATGAAAAAACAGCAACAATCCTATGATCGTCATGCACCAACACTTGGTACAAAAGATACCCTTGACCAAAATACTTTAAAAGTGCATCAGCAAGATGCTAATATCACTAGTCAATCCATAGATGATAGTCCATCTGTACTATCAACAGCAACCGCATCCGCATCAATAATAACAAGCAATAATAATAATAGTAACAGTAGACAAGGAAAAAGAAAAAGTAGCCATAATAGTAGTAGCAGTCATCCAAGTCGTCATCATCATTTCATCAAAAATAAAAATAGTACGAGTAACAATGATGATTGCAGTATGACAACGACAGCAACCACTACCATCACAGCAACCAAAGCAGCAGCAGCAGCAGCAGCAGCAACAACAACAACAGCAACACCAGGTCGTGATCCACGCGGTCGTAAAAAGAAAAAAACTGATGATCATACTTTACCTAAACATCCCATGTCGGGTTACTTGCACTTTGCAAAAAAAATGAGACCTATCATGAAAAAGAAACATCCAGAGGCTAAATTGGTAGATATCAGTCGGTCGATTGGTGAACAATGGCGCGCCATGTCCTCTACAGAAATGCAACCCTGGATTGATATAGCGAATGAAGATAAAGCAAGGTATGCAAGAGAAATGAAAGAGAGGAGTCATATGTTACAGCAACAGCAATACGATGCTACTTCCAAGAAGAGAAATAATAATATTATTACCGGCACAACAAATCAGCAACAGAGTGACACTATGCAACATTTAATGACGATGAGCGAAAACCATGAACAGAGTGGTCAGCAGCTATTAATATTACAAGAGGAAGACGATCTGGATAAAAGAAGGTATTCTATGGCAACCACAGCCACCACGAGCTCAACTCATAGTCATAGTAGTCATAGTACTACTAGTAGTAGTATGGACAGTAATAGTAGTACGAATAGTTGTAGTGCGAGTGATAGTATCAGTCGTAGCCATCCTCTGTCGAATGAAAAAATGTCTTCTACTCTATTGGGAGCCGAACTGGATAATGATCTTATTGCTAAAGTCGCACAAATGGTCAACCCAACAACAACAACAACAACAACAACAACAACAAAGGATTCCATGAAGCCTTATTGAATATTTTGAGGGCATTTCCTTTTTTCCTCTCAATCATTTTTGTGTTTTTTATTATTTATGTATCTGATAATGATGACCAGGATTATATAATGTATCCTACGTTTTTCTTCCTTTCCTTTCAATATTAATATTAAGCATCTCCGGAACACTTTATCATGTTCCATATAAAATAGTAAATAGTTGTAGCAGTAATTGAATAAAGAAAAATAGGAAAAGAAAAGAATAAGCAACGCTATAATAATGTGTAAGTAAAAGTAAAGATAATTATAAAGAAATGCATATATGTGTTATATACATGTGTATAGAATAAGGATGTAAGAGAAAGACTACAGAAGGGGTATATTTTGACAAATGATAGAACAGTAGTAGTTAGATTAAGCTGGAATGGGAAGTTTTAACAAGTGTACAGCTTTTGAAGTCTATCAATAGAATGTCTACAAATAGCACATTCAGTCAATTTCATTACACATCTTTCACAATAGGCTATCATAAGGATAAGCAAAAAATCAAGTCAGAAAAAACTACATACTCCATTCTTCCGTTTTTGTAAAAGATAGTTACCATAATGACCGCAAGGTACTAAGCAATATTCAATGTTACGTGTAAAACACACTCGACACTTGTTATTCATCAATTCATCGTTTTTTTCTCGACGAATCCTCTCTTCCTCTTCCAACTTGTGTAATTTATTGCCCAAGACTTCATTCTCATTATACAGCTTCACAATGTCTTCTTCTAGATCGGAAAGGCGTTTTTGGCAACTTTTTCTTAGAAACCTTTCTTCCACTGTTTCGTTCCTACCACGATAAATGTCTGTTTGTTGCTCAGCAAATGTGTTTCTGAACTTTTCTTCCTTCATCTTGAGCATGTTCAACATGACTTCGCACTCTTTTTGTATCTGATGTATTGATAATTCATCAAGATGAGCAAGGCGATAATGACCAAGGCTACTATGACTACTTTTGCTACTGCTGCAGCTATTAGAAAATGGAGAACTCGTCGTAGCAGTAGGACTAAGAGGAGTATGGGCTGTACCCGTATTGGTGGGGGGCATGGGAGGATGGGGTATATGAAAGAGTGGATTGGGTCCAACTGGAGCAGAAGATGAGGTGTGAACTGAATGATTGCTGTAAGAAGAAGAGCTCGATGTAGAGGACGAAGAACTGAGACCGGGTTGTGGCAGTGATTGTTGTCGCTGTAATAACTTTTTTTGTTGCTGCTGCTGCTGTTTAGCCATTACATTCGTTGGTACAAAAAGCATGGTGGGCATCGACTTCTTCGGGGTATCGACTACTGCTGTCATTATGTTTGGCGTATTAACGGCAGTGGTGGCTGTAGATGGTGTTTGTGGAGGCGTAGTATAAGGTGAAGTTGTTTGTAATGGCGGTGGTGAACAATTGGAGGAACTGGATTGAGAATTGGATGGCTCTACTACATTATTAGCGGTACTAGGATAATGGAAAGTAGGCGGTACTATTTCCACTAATCCCTGCTGCTGCTGCTGCTGCTGCTGTTGCTGTGGATGACTATTTAGCGTGGATATCAGATTCAGCATGTGTCGTTCTTTCTGTTCGTTTATATACGCTTCATCGAAATGATGAGTCTCTTCCTTGAACAGTGCTTGCTTACTGTCACTCTGGTTTCCCAACTTATTGAAATAATCCTCTCTTGCTTGCTGCTTTGCAGAACAGTAAGTTTCTTGATCTACCAACGCATGCATACGCACTGAAGGTTTGTCAAAGGCCACCTCAATAGCATCCATAACAAACGCACATTTCTTGGCACCATCTACTTCGCCATTAACACAAGCAAACTGCAGCTGAACATGAAGAGGACAATTGTCTTCATCATCATCAACATCATCATCATCATCAAAAGTATGACCACGATGATGACGACCTCGACGGTGGTCTGAAGATCTATGATAGGCTTTCAAAACAACTGGTTTACCACAAAAACACAATGGTAGTTTAGCTGGTGGCTTCATAGGATAATCATTTTTGATATGAAATAAAGTACAGAAAGTATAGTTGTACAAAGGACAAGTCATGAGTTCGTCCATTTTTGAATTAATATACCTGCCCTTGGTTTGGAGATCATGTTTGATTTTATTCCAAGAGTACTCATGAACATGAAATCCACAAACAATTTCTTTTTGTAGTCTGGCGAGAGCAGGTTTAGTTGCAGTGGCAGCGCTGCTAGCAGAGCTGTTGTCAGCCATAGTGTGACTGGACAATGGTTTAATAGCGTACTGATGACATTCGAGAATGGGGCCATATTCCAATGAATAACTCTTTGAGGCAACTTTGCCACAAAAACAGATAGGAGGATCAGCAAATAGCACTTCAATTTCGTTGGGCTTAGGCTCAAAGTAAAATTCATCCTTTTTCGTATGGTAAGTATTGACTGACGAAGAAACCGAAACATCATGTTTGCTTCGAAGTCGTTCTTGAGTCATATAATCGTCCAGATCATTGTACAGTTGATTCATTTCTCTCAAAGTATCATATCGAAGATAAGCTTTTTGTCGTTCCAGATTATAAGACGTCGGGCTTTTTGACTGCTTTCGTTCTTGTCCTTTCATATCTTCGACTCTTGTAGGTGAAGAAGTAGTGCTGCTGACACTTGTATGACGCTGCTTCTGTTTCTGGTTGTCAGAGTAATTCGTTGTTGCAATAATAGAGGGTGGAGGATGCTGACGACGTATCGCTTTACTAATTTGATGATGGCCATGATTAATAGAAGAACTCCTCGACTGAGGAGGAAAGCTCTGTTTGTGTTCTGGCATTGAACGAAAAGCTGACTGTTGAGAGTTGGAAGAAGTTGCAGGACTGTTGACAAGGCGTGTGCTATTTCTCGCAGGAGCAGGTAAGTCGGGTGCTTCTTTATTAGCAAAAGCTAACCAAGGGTTGATCGTAGTAGTCGAAGACGACATTGAGTTTGACTGATCTTGCGATTGATCTGTCTTTCTTGTTTCTTCTTGAGCTGTTGTACGACTAGAGACATTATGCTTGGCGCTATCAACAGCGGAAGTATGGCTCGCTATAGATGAAGAGGAAGTTGTCCTGTAACAGACTGTATTCTTTTGATACATGAACTATTGAATGGTATTTCTTTATTGAAAAATGTTTATATATCGATGGTATAAACAAGTAAAAAATACAGTTTTAACAATGAAATGCTAAAAGGAAAGGAGAGAGTAAATTTTTTGAAATCTTAGCCTCCCTGCTTGATTTTTGTCGTCAGTTAAAGGAAGGTTCAACTTCCTGATTCGTTTATTTTGAAGCGGACAATCAAAGAGCAAAGCTACTGTTTTCTTGTATTCTTTTGGTTTTTTTTTTTTTATTTTTATTTATTTTTTGGGTTGTTTTTTTTGGTTGTTGGATAAAGAGGTAAGGGAATCTATCTGGTCTATCTTCTTACGTTATTTCTAGGTGATTCACGCTGATAAGCACTAGAGCTATTGGTATAGTAAGCCTCAATTTCATATTGCAACTCTTTGATCCTTTCACTTTGGGCTTCTAATTCTTTATGGAGTCTGTCCCTTTCAGCCAAGAGCTATCATAGTGTGTAATGTGTAATTGTTTGGCATGAGTTTTACTCTTTTCTTTGCTTTACTATCATTGATCTATCAAGTCTTTATTTTACCTGCTGTTCCCATTGACGGAAACGGTTCTCTTCGGATCTTACTTTTTCAGTGAAGCTCTTACGTAATTGCTCTTCCTCTTCCGCAAATTTGGCGTTTTCATCACGTTCCACTCTGATTATCAGATGAAACAGCCTTAGAATTTGTAGTGTTTTGACAAACTGATCAAATTTTTTTCTTACCTAGGATCTCCAAATTTACGTGTCTCCATTTGAATTTGTCGATAATTCTCATAATGGTTTTCTTCAGTGGTTGTAATCAAGTCCAACATATGGCTTCGAATCAAAACACGTCGCAACTTTATGAAATCACAGTGCTCTTCATTTTCTACCTCAGCAACGCCCCATGAGTACCCACGTCCTTTGACTTTACGACCATCAGGTGTCGTGATATCTTGAGTCGAGCCAATGACAGCAAAAGGCATAGCTGCCATGGTATCTATGTTACGCTTTAAACTATTTTCGTCGTCGCTTTCGATAGGAGCAGAATAACATTGAATATTCTGAGCAGCAATCACATCCCGTATCTATCAGTTGTATAAATATAGATATAAAGTTTGTTAAGGAATAAGGAGTTGTTAATACCAAAGAAATGAGCGAGTGATTTGCAAGGAGAGTTCCTGGTTTTTTTTTGGTTTTTTTTAACTTACATTCTGCTTAAATTTGGCTAGATTGTTGGGTGTCAGAGTATCTGCCTTAGCAATCACTGGGATGAGGTTTACGCGTGAACCAAGTCTTTTCATTACTTCAATATCCAAAGGAGATAACCTATGGACAACATCAAGAAGGTTAGACTGATTACTAATTTGACATCGGTTATAGAAACAGATTTCAATACGTACGTATGGCCAGTAGGCTTGACAAAATAAAGACAAGCATGTACTCTCATATCAATAACCCCTTTACGACAGGGTTGTTGTTCTTGTCTCATGTAATTTTCATGTTGATCATCAATAAAGTTGATGATAGGAATCCATCCATGACGGTTGTTTACATAGTCACCGAAACCAGGTGTATCAATAATCGTTAGTTTGACCTTAAACTGCCTTTCTTCCAATTCTTTTTTACAGTAAAAAAGAAAAGACTCAATGAGCTTTCGTGGCTTAACATGTCAACTCATTGGAAGGATTATGGATTATCATGGTTGATATTATACCTGCTCTGGTAATTTGAATTTGTACCGTTCTATTTGATCTGCCAGCGGTAGCAGTAGTGCTGATAGGAGCACGTTTCTTATTATAGTTCATGGGTTCTTTGATAGTAGTTGTGAAAAGAGTATTTACAAATGTCGTTTTACCAAGTCCAGATTCACCTATACATCATTTGTAGCCGTCATGTTAAAGACTGAAGTCGATCTTTTTCTCCAGATAAATCACTTACCGCACACCATGATTGTAAAGTTGGCACCATTTTTAGCTACAATTTTATGTCTTTGATTTGGTAGGTTGGCGATACCAGTAGAATCTCCTGCAAAAGTAGGATATGCTGATGTAGCAGGAGTATTGTTAGCGGCCGCCATCATTTCAGATGGCATATCTGTTTTGATATTATTATTTGTAATAGGCGATAAGACCTCCATTTCTAAACTCTAGTTTTTTATTGAAAAAAAAAAGGGTAAAAACGAAGAAATATAAAAGAAAACAGGATAATATATATGCATACTGTCTTTTGAAAACATTGAAGCTTTATATTCTGATTCAGTTTACCTAAGGAGAACAAAAAAACTGTTGCAAAAAGTCATAATTTGCATGCAAAAACTCCCAGGGGGTAAGGTGTTTGTTAATAGTGATAAGGAGATGGTTAGGAGAGGGAATTACAGAGATCTTTTCTTAACAAAAGGAGTCAAATATACACATCATGTAAGTATGAGGATGAGATGCTGAAATCATTCTAAACTGGATATACGCATCCATTTTCGACACAATTGTCGAAAATGAGCACACATTGTATAGATCACAGCTTACAGTTTGATATTACCTAAGGTGGTTGTTCACGAAGGGATTGCACGTTCTAAAGTGATTGATATGCTTTGCAAATATGTAGGCGGCACGTTTTGCTGAGCATCAAAAAAAAAAAATCCTGCACAGGGCAATTTTCTGATATGTAGTTTATCTGTGTACCCATTTGGTTTAAAAATTGTATAATAACAATCATGTTTTACAGATAATCGAATGACTGCAGTGCTTTTTTTTAGACTGAGGTTTGTCAAAAAAGGTTGGGCGGCATTTTTGATGTTGTACCTTGCTGTTTACGTAAGTTCTAGAAATATTGCTTATTCATCAACTGCTTATATATTTCTAACATCTAAGAGGCTGTAAATCAGAGATTGATATATCTCGCTTTTGATTGGCTTGCATGCGGACGTTTCAAAGATAGTGGAAGCCCTTTTCTTCTTTTTTTTTGCTTTTGGCTTTTCTGCAGGAAAAGGAACGCCTCTTCAATAAATAATGGGTGGGTGCTTGAACAAAACAAATAATTTCCCGTTTTAACTTTTTTTTTTTTGCACGTTTCTTTTTTACTTTCTTTTTGACATTTCATTTCGTTTGGAATCTCACATTTAATTATAAGAAAAAAAAGGCCAGCCTTATTGTATTGCAACTCAACGACTTGAACAAATCCATCACTGCTTATCAAATAAAAACGACAATATGCCTTACTTACCTGAACCTGCTAAAACAGACTATGACTATATTGTGATTGGTGCTGGTTCTGGTGGCCAAGCTGGTGCCAGAAGAGCCGCTTCCTACGGTGCTTCTGTCGCCATGATTGAAGCTCAAAGTGTCCTTGGTGGTACTTGTGTCAATGTCGGCTGCGTTCCTAAGAAAGTCATGTGGAACACAGCTTCTATTTTTGAGACTATTCGACAAGCTAAGGGCTACGGGTATGAATTCCCTGGTATGAACGGTGAGGTCAAGTTCAATTGGCCCTTATTGAAGAAGAAGAGAGATGCCTACATTCGTCGTTTGAACGGTATTTACGATAGAAACGCCACGAATGAAGGTATTCATGTCTATCGCGGTCATGCCAGCTTTGTGGATAAACATACTGTCAGTATAACACATGAAGACAACACTTTCGAACTGACCGGCAAACATATTTTGATCGCTACGGGAAGTGATGCCATCATCCCCAAGGTTCCTGGCGCTGAATTGGGTATTACCTCAGATGGCTTTTTCGAATTGGAAGAACAACCTAAACGCGTGGCCGTCGTCGGCACTGGTTATATTGGTGTAGAAATCGCTGGTATTTTCCACGCTTTGGGTTCTGAAGTTACCATCTTTTCTAGAACAAAACAAATCTTGAGAAAGTTTGATACAATCATTAAGGATACTCTGTTAACACACATGCAAAAGCAAGGTGTCAAGTTTGTGTTTGAGTCGAAAGTGACGGGATTAAGAAAGAGTGAAAATGGCATTGTGGTAGAGTATGAGCACACTTCCTCTGATTATGATGAAAAGGAAAGTGAAGTCGAAGTGGATTGTGTGCTTTGGGCTGTAGGTAGAAGTGCCACAACCCAAAATCTGAATTTAAGCGCTGCTGGTGTCAAGTTGAATGATAGACAGCAAATTGAAGTTGATGAATACCAAAATACTACCACAAAGAACATTTACGCCTTGGGCGATGTCATCGGTAAAGCTGAATTAACGCCAGGTAAGCGCACGCATTCCTTATCAGGGATCATGGAGGAGAGTCTTTATTGTAGGGGGATTTTTTGTACTCATTCATAGGAGTCCTCGTTTTTCTTGTGGACTATAGTTGCCATTGCTGCTTCTAGGAAACTAAGTGATCGTCTTTTCGGTGGCTCTGAATTCGCTACATCACACTTGGACTATGACAACATTCCTACTGTTGTCTTTGCTCACCCCACCATTGGTACAGTGGGTTTGACAGAAGAACAAGCACGCGAGAAATATGGTGATGAGAATCTCAAGATCTATAAGAGTCGATTTACAAATATGTATTTTAGTGTCCTCGAAGAACATGAAAAGGAACCCACAGCTTACAAATTAATCTGTGCTGGACCTGAGCAAAAGGTGGTCGGTCTTCATATTATTGGTAGAGGAAGTGATGAGATCTTGCAAGGTTTTGGTGTCGCTATCAAGATGGGTGCCACTAAGGCAGACTTTGATAGCTGTGTTGCTATTCATCCCACCTCTGCTGAGGAATTAGTTACTTTGCGTTAACATGGCACACGATTTTGTAAAACATAACCCATTGTAAATTTTTATTAACTGTTAGGATACAATCTTCTTGTTTGCTTCAATAAATGTTGAACTTTCAACTGAACTTGTTCAAGCTAAATCATAGGTTGTATAACAGCTTGATGAATGCAAGGGTTCAGGGAGGGGTATCTCTCGTTCTTTCTGTCTTATGAAGTGGTTTCATTTGTTATTTTTGCTTAAAACGTTTCCCCTTTTATACGTAGTTTTTGGCCTTAGTCTTTGTGTAATTTCTGTTTAACATCAGCCAAGGAGGTATCCAAGCTTTTATCCATCACTTCTTTCACCAAGACGCCCTTTGTATTGAACCAAGTAGTGATATTGGTCTCTACTTCGTTTGCCACTGATTTACTAGTTGCCTTGTCTTGATATGTAAACGTAAGCTGATACATCGGTGAATGTTTTTTTATCTTTCCTGTGACACTTAATGTGCCAATTGCCTAAGGATTTTTAACAATACATGATTTCATTCAGTTCTTTCTGTCTATCTGATTTTCTATTTTATCATTGCTGTACCTTTCCGTCGACTATTTGAGTACCACGAAAGATTTCATTCTTTTCAACGAAAAGCGAGTAAGTAAATAGAAGAGCCTGAAGAACCCAGAACACAATGACAGCCACTGTTGTCACGTTCAAAGCTTCCCTAAAACTCGTTTTGTATTCATAATAAAATGCACCAGCAGCAACGATGCATGACGCGTATCCTAACGCCAATTTGATATCTGTGTGACGGTAGGACTGCTTGAAATTCTGTTCCTTGCTAAAATACTATTTTTTCGACATGGAAGTATTAGTTAACAGCACTAGTAGAGAACATTTATGAAACCAGCATGGAAAGATGTAGGAAACTTGGGCCTTACTCTTGAAATTTCGTCATCTACAGCATTTTTCAATTGAGTCAAATCGTACTTATTAGAAACTTCAATAGGCTCGTTAGAGCTGTCTATAATTGAGTGCGTTTTAGGTGATGAGTGACCTTTCTGTTTAGCAAAAGAATGTTGTCCAAAATAGTCTTAACTTACCGTCAAGAGTTGGTTGTGACATTACGTTGAGATGAGTAAAAGGTCAGTGGCAAAAAAAGAAAAATAAAGGGGCAGACAAAATAGGAATTAAAATACAGTTTTTATGGTTTCCTATTTGGATACAATTTCACTTCTTTTTAAACAAACCAAAGATTTTTAATCAGATCACTTGCAGCTCTTTCTAGACAAAATTTTCAAACCATATCCGGTTTCTCGCGTTTCTATTATTCAAAGTTTTCTTATAAGGAAGAGGTTCTCTTAAACGGGGAAAAGATCCCTTCGTTTTCGTATTTCGCATCTTTTGTAACTTTCAGCCCTATTCATGTACAAACGTTTTATTATATAGAAAAGTAGGTCTGTGAATCAGCTTAAAAAAAGAATTTAACTGGTCGCTCAGACACATTAGAAGCATTAGACATCGCTGTGGCTGTAATATACTTGTTTGCAAAACTTGTAAGATACAATAGAACCGCGATGTCAATGCAGCAAAAAAAAAAGCATAATGGCCCTCAGCATTTTGATATAGAAAGACAACATCTTGGTCCTTTTTGTATTATCGCCAGAACGAAACCTGGCTCAATTTTTGCAAGTAAACGATATGACAGCTCTGTCTAAACCCGAAGATAATGCAGACAAACAGCTTTAGTTGCTTGAGCTTTTGCCATGTCACGAATAACTCTAGACAAAAGATTTCCCCATTCACTTACTTTACGATACAGGTTGGAACGATAGACTAGTACTTCTCATGGCAAGTTCATATGGCAAAGGATAGAGATTAAATCATTAAGTTTTATTAGATAGAAATGAAGTATAAGAAGTATTACGTGATAGTGCGGAGAGTTATTTGCCAGTATAGGAAAGATAGTATGTATATAAGTGTTCGAAATGTCTCATCAAGATGATGACGATAATAATCGATGAAATAAATAAAAATTAAAAAGATATTAGACTACAGGAAAGGGGAGGTTTGGTATTTTTAAGGGCAGTTTTCAGCAACTTGTCCAATACAAGTGGCAACAACCGCGTTACCACTCACACCAACAATCTTGAATACAGCTTGGATTAAAGCAGAAATACCTTGACCAGCAATTAGACCACCAGAGACACTATACATCAAATCATCATAGGCGGCAGAATCGATTCGCTTCCAAATCTTACCAGCAACCCAACCGATAAACATGGAAAGAGGAACTTCAGGTGATGTGTTAATCATGGCAATACCGATAGCACTGATAGAGGGGAAATAACGATGGTACTTTTTAGGGATGAAGAAATGACGAACAAGAGGAATGACAACTGCAGCAACTGCACAAACCACAGTAGCAATAACACTGCCTCTGCTCAAAGGATCGCCACCGCCTGTTAGCAACAAGGTGACATTTTGCCAGGCGACAACAGCAACCAAACCGAATACACAGTCTTGGGCTTCAATGTTGGGATCAATAATACAAGGATAAGCATCAGCAAAGATAATGAAAAGACCCACAGCCATACCAATCGCGAAGAAAGAAGCAACGAATTGAGCCAAGAATTGAGAACGGGGAGAGGCACCCACCAGTTGGCCAGTCTTCAGATCACCTACCATGTCAACAGCTTGAGATGCGGCAGAAGCAGACACATTACCAGCTTGCAAGTTATTCTTCATGACTTGTTCAAGGCTATGAGCAGGCATTTTGGCAAATACCAATTGAGACATTTTACCAATAGAACCTGTGGGATTAATATCTGTCTCACCAGAGGCTTGAATACCGACAAAAGACAAGAGGAAACCCAAAATAACTGCAATCAATGACTGATAGACGGGCATGCCAAAGTATTCACCCATAATAGCACAAGTAAAGATGACAGAAAGAACAGTACCGCCAACCCACCACCATGCAGGGATCAATTGGTCTTCAGTAAAGATTTCATCTTCGTCCCTTTCAGAGTTGTATCGATTGTTCTGTTCGTCAGTCAAAGTGGTACGGAGCACAACACGTCGGAAAAAGTTGACACCACGCATGAAGGCCAGTCGAAGCTCAACGACGCCACCCTTGATACCACGCCATAATGAATCGTAATGAATGAAGAGTTCGGTGAAAGCAGAGAGCGCCATGAGTGCAATACCGGGCCACAAAAAGAAACGGTTGGTGGTGTCACCAGCGGCTTTGAAACCCATGGGAGCAACAAAGGTACCATTCGCCACTAAACAAGGACCAATAATACCGTAGACAATAACGGAACTGATGAAGAAGGAAAAGACTGTATTGCCAGGTGTCATAAGACCTGCACCAAAGAAGGGGAAATCAAAGCGGAAATACCAGCCCCAAACAGCATCAGCGCTCATCATTGGGGCATAATTGGCAGCACTACCAATGTAGTAAAGAATATGAACTATGCAACGTGAAAAAGAAAAATGTCAGCCTGCAATAATCCCATATATGTCATCCCTTTCATCCAATCAACCCTTCTTTTTTTTTTTTTTTTTGTTGCACACAAATTAATGTTGCATAAACCTTTGTAGATTAACTTACGTGAGTCCAAGAAGGGTAACCAGTAAGAGATCAAAGTCCAAAGAAAGGTAAGCATAAAGAAAACACCCATCCATTTCGCTTTCTTCATTGCGTTCTTTTCACCTTCGATAGATTCGTGAAGAGAAAGGATGGTAATAGCGGCAGCACGGGGAGTAGGAAAAGTTAAATCTTGTTTAACGACAAAGTGACTACGAAGGGGGACAGAGAAGAAAAGACCATAGAAAGCACAAGATATAGTGAAGAGCAAAAGAGCGACAGCATCTTCACGAGGTGTTTTCATCAAGCCTAGTTTGTACATAGCAGGAATACCAGATACAAAACCAGCAGAAAGACCGCCAGCAGTCGTTGCTGCTGATTGAGCAGAGCAGTTTTCGGCAGCACCAAAGTAGCCACCACCCCACTTGGGAGGGAGGACTCTAGACAATGGTTTGAGGGCGGCGAAAGAGAAAATGGCACCAAAGAGAGAGGCACCAAATGTCCAACCAATCTTTAAACCAAGATATGTGTTTGATGCAGCTGATAAGTTTTTTGAAAAGAAGGGGGTCGTGTTAGTTTGGTTATTCTTCGTTGTCTAATAAGCGAACCATGAAATTTTGTCACATAGTATATCTTTTCAACTTACCAACTAAACATCCAAGTAACGAACCAACGATAGTTGCACGCCATGTGAAATGAAATTCTTCTATGACAGGATGCGATTGTGATCGGCTGTCTACGATGCTATGCTTTTCTGATGTCTCAAATTCATATTCTTTTTTTTCAATCTCTGCATGCTCGTTGTAGGTTGCCGGAACATTCAGTTCGTACTTCTCTTCCACCACTTTTTCTCCTGCTGTCATTATTATGTTTTTGACCGTTTTCTTTTTGTTAGTTTTGTGTGTAGCTATAAAGTCCTTGAACGAAATTGATATGTTGATAAATGGAAGGAGATAAAATGTGAAGTGGGAATAAGAAAAAGAAGAGTAATAAGATGAATGATACTTTTCAATTCGTCTTTATAGGAAAATTCGATCCCTAGTTATCTTTGACATGATGATTATTTCTTTTTTTCTTTTTTTTTTTTTTCGTGCGTGTGTTCTATTTTTTTGTTAAACAATCAATGCTTTTCAAGCATGTGATCAATATCTGAAGCCCATTACCAAACAGATACGAACATAGAAGAATTAAGCTTTTCGCACAAGTGTAGATTAGTGGTGCTTCAATCCAAAGTAAAACATATTCAAATCGCGTGAGTCAATATCGAAAATGGGAATAAAAGAAACTGCAAGAAAGTTCTTGTATTACGAGCAAAAGTGCTTTGGTTCCTTCGTCGTTCATTGACAACCCGATTGAGGAAATTCTTTCTTAAAAAGGTCGTCTGCATCGTCTTCAAATTGTGGATGAGCGGTTTGTATTATCATTTGCACTTTGTAAGACCCTATCAATTTCCAAATACAGATAGAAGAGAAAAGCGCATCAAAGAAGGCAGAACCCTGGCATCTGGATCTGTTGTGGTGAGGCGACTGTAAGATAGACTAACAAATACATCCATAATCATATTCCATAATACTAACGCTGCAATTCGGTATGTAATGTACCTCTTTTAAAGGCACTTTTCAACAATAGACAGTAGTAGGAAAATCCTTGATAGGTAGAACCGAGTGATGTGGGTATCATGACGTTGTAGTTATCATTTATTCGGAAACCAAAACCCATCTAAGTTGTAGTACGCCTGGATGTTCTGGTGTTTCTTTACCTTCTTTCGACTCTCTGCTGACAAACAGACTCTGAATAGCTGATCTTCAACAATTATGTACATTTTTCCTGTCCATTGGTCTTTGTTTATTTCAGATTCATTACCGGACAGTTCTAATAGAAAAAAAACCAAAAAAAAAAAACCAACCTAGTGCACATATCTGATGGATTGCGACAAACATGCGTTACAATTACTTTTAACACAACATAATAAGCTCATTTTATTAACGAACTATTGGCAGATCTGTAGAACATATATAAGAGAATACCCTTTTTCTGATCCGACTTTTCGAAACTGTGAAAGACAGATGGTAATACTTAGAATCTGTGTAGTACAAACAAGTTTAAACGGCAACTCTTTTTCAGGTCAAAGATTCCAAATATGTCTACACCCTAGTTCATGCCAAATGCTGTTTAACCACGGTACCAGTAGTGGTTGCAAGCCGCAACATGCAACTTTTTGTCTGGATATAGGCATATATCCGCTAAAGATAGTCTTTAGATGCAAGATTGTGATATACTACCTTTATTTGAATCTTGAGAATCTGCCCTCTATGATAATGCCGTTGAAAGTGACATCTTGAACAGATTGTCCAGTGAGGAATGCAATTCGGAAGAATTGCTACAGGACATTAAGCTGTACAAAACGCTAATTACCTTCATTACAAAAATGAACATTGACGACGATCAGTTGTTATGTGTATAAGCAGCACCCACGTTCGTCCTACATCTTAAAACGGTTTTATCCGTAAAAACCTTTCTAAAACATCAGAAGACATGATGCTATAATACGTGGGATACTACTGTTTGCATAACCAAGGCTCTAATAAGTATGAGTACAAGATCATCCACTGTAAAAAAAAAACGCGTGTTTAGAAAGGTCCTCAATTGCCATTCGCTATACAATTATACTTCTATCTGCACGAAAAAATGGTATGTTAGTGCTCTTGCAAGACATGTCTCGTTACATTTGTGAGGAGACAAACAAAGAAAAAAGGGATAAACGTCTTAAAATGATATAGGAAAATTTCTTGGTTGCATGATAGGAAAATGATATTAGTTAGTCTCAGTCACTCGACAGCAGTGTTAATTGAAGCATGTCCGAAAGCGTATGTTTTTAACTAGAAATGAAGAGTTAACCACAATTGATACCATGGTTCCCAATACTTCATCATGTAATAAAAGCTATCAAATAAGCCGCCACTTTTTTTATCGACGTGATCTACATCATTTATGATCATAAACTTAGCTATATCTCCCTCGTGACAGTGAACTTTGGTGGCACGCTGAAGTGTGGTTTACCTTTAGAAAGAAAAAAAAAAAAAGATTGACTTAGGGACATACGCCCAGGGGTATTATCATTGTGCTCATTAAATAGTGAATGAAAAAAAGCAGATGCTGAATATATGAGATACTGTATCTTTGTTGATGAGGTAGGCTTTGGTTCGCAGTTAAGGGTGATTTGGTCAAAGGTTGGTATCATTATTTGCATATCACATTTGGCCAATTCAATTTCTTTAGAGTTAAGACAAGCAATATATGCTGGATACCAAAGACGTGATTCATAGAAACAGAGAAACCATAATAGAAAATCTTCAGCCTACCTCTTAAGAGAAGAGTATTGTACAGCTCCAGTCGAGGAGACGGCTTTATTGTGTAGAAGAATTCAACATGACTCTTTAGTAGTTGAAGCAATAGATCGACGGTAGATATAATTGAGGCTGAAGTAAGGATAAATTAGTTATAACAGGAAATCCAGTCGACAAACAAGATTATTTTACACTGCTTATTATTGAATATTGTAAAACAGTTGCAGTTAAAGATTTCAAGGCTGGAAAAAGTGTGTAAAACCTATTGACCTTTCTCATTCTGAACATAGAGGCTAATTTTGTTAGGTAAGCAACATACATACAGTTCTCCTTGCCAACTAGGAAGCTCAACTCTTCCTATTATCGCAGCTTTTTTTCCAAATTAAATACACACTCAAGGGTAAGCTTATGTTGTATTATGTAGAAAAGTTAATTCAACACAATTTTGTTCAACACGATAAATAGCTGATTATCATCATTGATCATACAGTACTGGAAATCAGCTTGTGTTTGAAAAGCCTAGACAAAAGCATTCCTTTAGGTAATCATCATTAATCACATGCTCAAGTACGGTTTAACGGAAAAAGGGGCATGTATGAGATCTATTTTGAAAGTCCTGCAAAGCGAACAGGCAACATTGTACCCTCACCTTTTTTCTATTACATAATTTACTGAACAAAAGTCAAGATTAGAAATATAAATTGTGAGTCTGTGCATAACGATACGCCAAAAGGCTGTTATAGTATATTGCTAATTTTGGAAGAACCTGTATGTTACGCTCTAACGTGATTGCCAGCCATTTAGTTTATATCACTATTTTCATCTAATAAGCTTCATACACTTTTTTAAGCTTTGGCATATTCGATGAATAGTTGCGATAAGTGTTGATACCAGATTGTTATACTAAAGGTTTAAAGTTACAAAAATATCATTTGTAGTGGATTGTTGACATGAGAATAGAAGACTTCCAATTATTCGCTTAGACAACGTTCTCGTAAATGTGCCAGCAACGAGTCATATTCTTTACAACTAATAGACCAGTCTCAGTTGCTTGACCTCTGAAAAGTTGTTTTACTTGGTTTTAAAAACTCTCTCACTTCTCACTTCCTTTTTCATTTAACTAATGAACTGTTCTGTTTGTGTTCTGTACTGTTTAGTAAAAGGTATCTTAAAATGGATAATATACAGCTCTACCAATTTGTTCATAAAAAAAACCAAGTGAGAATGTTTCTTGGAGTGCTGATCACTTGCAAATCTCACAAAAATATTAGCATTGTCTGTAAAAAAACTGATTAACGCTTGTACAGGGTGCCCGCCAACAAGCTTTTCTTCCCCATCAGAAAAGCATGGAAAGATACAGACATTCCAAATATGATTCAATTCGAATCAGCAACGTGAAAGAAAGTATTACAGCATAGCTTTTACCATACACACTCAACGAGGATAAAAATTGTTAACTGTCCATAAATACTTTGTCAATTTTGTTAATGTTCTAAATAGTAATTTGCCCTTTCAAGTAGTGTAATGTTGCATCTGAGTTGTATAATAGCAAACGTTGTTAAGCAATAGAAAGAATCTCTTTGGCTCATAAAAGAAGAATGTACAGAGACAATAAGCTTCCATTAGTATATAATAGCAATGCAAGATAAAATACGAATAGTCATTCATATTAAATGGCGCTGATTGTTGAGCTTTTTCAGTAATCAACCATCATGATTACATACAGTATATCATTTATCCAATTCTCCAAATTGCTAAAAGGAAAAATGGGTTATACATTTTTTATCACATTTTCAACATCTTTTAATACAAGACTATACATACCCAAGGCTGGTATAATAGAAGATAAAGCCATATGAAAGTTTATTATATTCTTCAGCTTTGTAATCTGTCTCAACATGAAATTATTTTCTTGGAAAAACGAAAAACAATCATGAAAAACGTATAACTTTCAGATGACAACTGAATGGGTTGAGAGGCTAGAAATGTTGTGTTGTTAATGGAACAATGTAACAATTGTATTGAAGAGAAGATTTCGCAAAATTACTCTGATGTTATTCCAATAATAAAATAAAAGTATATAAAGTTATGGTATAAAGTAAGTATCTATCTCTCTAAACAGAGTAGACAAAGAAATAGGTATAATGTAAATATTCTAATAGTAATGGCAGATGGGCAACGAGTGAACTTTTTCACTGTTATAACGTTCGCTTCGATAAACTTGAAAAAGCTGCACTAGAAGAACTATTGCTGGTTGTGGTAGCAGGAGTAGGAGTGTATTTTTGCAAAGGAGGTGCAGGCGGATGAGACCACCTATGATTGAATTGTTGTCCCTGTCCTCTGTTAAGCAGAATACCTGTGCTTTTTTTTATATATATGTGTATATGTGCGGTTAGGTGTTTGAACCTTAAAATGTGTAGTATTGATCTAGTGGAAATTTTTTGTAAAAGGCCCTTTACCTGATTCTACTTATTGAGGATGACGATGCTGATGATGATGCTATTCCTGCTGCTGTAATAGTGGTGCTATTTTGTTGAAAATAATCACTTTGGACATGGTGGTCATTACTGTTCTGTGGGAGAGGCGATGAAGGGGACTCTTCAATAAGTGTGCTTCTACCAGGTGAAGAGATTGGCATTGAAGATGGTGAGGTTGTTATCGTTACAGTATGTGTCTTAGGACGATCTTCAGGTATGTAGTGTTGATGGTAACGTTCGTTCTTGCGCACAAGAAAGACTTCATCAGGTATAACGCCACCAACACCACTGAAACGTTTATCTCCAGCAGCAGTGCTGGTTTCATTAGTGTTATTATAGTTGAAAATAGCATTGGAAGCTGCTGGACTGTTTATACTGGGCGACTGGAGGAGCAGCGATCTCCTTTTAGCACGGTATTCTGATGGTCGCATCGTTCTAACAGACGTTTGAGGTGAGGTTGAATTGCTGATTGTTGGTAAATAAAATGGAGCTCCACTTACTGCTGTTATAATCCTATCGACCTTTGGCCTTTTTACCTTTGTTGATTGCGTGGTTGGAGTAGATGTTAAGATGTGTTGTTTAGACCTTGGACTATCAGCAGTAGTATCTACGGATGGCAAAATATCGATACAAGAGGGGTCGGAAGAACCAGGCATGATATTTGAGGGGACCTTTGTATCGTTAGTCAAGCTGTATCCTGTCATTGAACAATGTTGTTCCCTTCTTTCATCAGAGTTGGATTGATCGATGGGTCTATAGGAAGATAAAGATGCTAATGGTAATAGCCCTGTTTGATCTTTCAATTGATAAACGTGATGTGATGAGTCGTAGGGTGCTATTGACGTGCCTTTTGGTGTGGTTGATAATTCCAGATACTCATATTCACTAAGTTTATTTCGTCTTTTAATGTATTTGTACAATGTACATAGCCCGCTAATATAGGCAGACCAAATAAACGATATGGCCAGCATAACATTGATGTATGTGGATGGGTCCGATATGTAATAGCGTATGTGGTTGATCCATCCCTGGGTGGATCCTATGAGTAATATACCACTACATATTGTCAGAATGGAAGCCAATAGTCCAAACACTATTGTGATGGATGCACAGACTACTGTATGTCTACACTTGTTTTTTCTATGTGTTTTCCCCAGCACATCTTTGTGATTCCTGGCAAATGCGGCCTCAGCTGTAGTGAATTCTTCCTCTTCGTCTTCAAGCATATCTTTATCGTCATCTTCATAGAAGCTTTGTTGAGATAGCAGCTGTTGTGGTATATTTTCTGAAGGTGATTTACGAAAGGCAATCTGGATGATACGTGATGTTGCTGCTCCTATCCATAGGTATCCTAGCATAGTGTGGCATTCATTGATATAAGGATCATCGAAATATGTCACAGCAATAGCTGGATAAAAGTAACAGGAGTAGTAATTGCTTGATCCATTAGATTTGGATTGAACTCCCGTCTAGTTCAAATTATTTCTCTCATTTACCTCTCCCTGTCAAACAAACCACTAACGCATTCACAATGTTTTTTTCTCTTAAAAAGGGCATCCATGTTTGTAAGCTTAAACTGATTGAGAATATTCCACCTGTAAACCATAATAAGCCTAGATTAATAGCCCGCCAACCTGATCCTAAATTGGGAATTGTTGTGCCTGAAAATCACACAAAAGTCGGGAAATTGAAAAGAAAAAAAGTTAGAAAGGATACCACTCATGCAAGCACCATACACATATGTTTTTTTACCAGTACTCATAAAACATAACATTATCAAGCCCCATAAAATAAGTAGAACACTTTCATAATATTCTGGCGTAGATGGACGAGGTAATTGTATGACAGAAAGTAAATGTAGCAAAATTGTTGTACCATAGACTAAAAACCCAACACCTAGAAGAATGGATATAGGATAGATCGAATACTTTTCAATACCTTCATTAACCATATCGCTCTCTGTTAATGTATAAAGTACTATGGTAATGTAGTTTAGAGCCATTGTGAGAAGGAGAAGGCCTGCAGGCCATCCACTGATCACAGTCATTACAAGTTGTTTTTTGCTTGATAGGAACCTGTTGAATCTGTTCATGCTGCTGTCAAGCAGGAAAACCAACGTATGGCTTTTTTTCTTCCTGCTTAAGTTGCTATTGCTGTTGTTACTGTCTGTTTCTTGCTGTTTATTTCTTGTTGACATGGAGTAATAATGCATAGCAAATAGTTGAAAGGAAAAAGTGGTGAATAAGCACAAGAAGCTCCATACGTACAATATTGTCGTTGTATTCGAGGCAATCGTAGAGGATGGGAGTAGTAAATGTTCGCATATGATATACAGTCCGAGAGAAGAGCTTATAACTAGCAAAATGCATATTGCTCTAAATAGGTAATGATAGTAGATCTTTTGACGTTTGGTACATAAATGAGATATAGATTGATTTTCTGTTTGTGGTCGTGGTTGGAATAGTACAAGAAACGGAAAACAAGCGAATAAAGTCAAGATGGTGGCAATGAGATGAGTGATGACCAAAGGTTCTTTCAGTGGCAGATGAGCAGAGAAAGCTATCTGCTGATTTATGACACTGCCAACCATGACTATTGTTTGTTTTTTTTGTTCGAAAGTGACTTGTTCTATGTTGAGAAAGAAGGGCAAACGAATGATAAAGTAGTTTTGTCCGAGAAGTGCCAAAATGTAACTGTTTAAATACTTGTGGCCTGAATGCACATGCAATAGGAAGAGGGAATAAGCAATGGAAACAAAAATGGACAACGCAGTTATGTTAAATTTATTGACAATAAAGTACAAGAGAAAGAAAAGAGGGGGTCCAGCAACAGTAGGATCAAACAAAAAAGCATTCAAATTAAGAACAATTTCGATTGGCTCCCCCTTGTTTTGTATAATTATAGTGCGAGCAGTTAAGGTCCTCAGTTACATAAGCATGAGTATAAGTTTACTCTTTCTTTTTTTTTTGGTGTTTTATTCATAAGAAATAAATATATAATAAAGAATAGTGAAATTAGAAAAGATAAAAATTGTTGTTTGCTGTTTCGAATTGTCGACAAATGTATGATTTTTTAAGTGTTTATTGTATTATTCTAACCGATAATGAGTGTATCCTCGTTGATTTGGTATTCTATAAAATCAGAAGGAGATACAGTTAGTGATTGATTTCGCAGTAGAAAAAGTATTGTAGCATATATAAAGACTTACCGGGAATTTCCAGATTAAGTGGTGCAGGACCTTTACGGATACGACCAGAGATATCGTAGTGAGAACCGTGACAAGGGCAGTACCATCCTCCGTAATCACCAGCTTCACCAATAGGTACACAACCCCTAATAGTTTCCAAAAAGAAAAAAAACATTTAGTTTCTCTTGCCTTTTTTCTTGAACCTTCCAAATCTATAACAGTAACTTACAAATGAGTACAAACACCCAACATGACGAGCCAGCTGGGATCCTTTACTCTTTCAGCATCTTGCTGAGGGTCACGTAATTCTTGAACGTTGACTTGGTTCGCCTCTTCAATTTCAGCTTGGGTACGGTGACGGATAAAGACAGGCTTGCCTCTCCACTTAATGGTGACGTTTTTACCTTCGGGAATAGTGTTCAAATCAACTTCAGCCTTAGCCAAAGCCAACACATCAGCAGAAGCAGACATATTGGCCAAGAAATCGGAAACAGTAGCTTGGGCACCAGCAGCACTGAGAAGACCAGTAGCACCGACCATCATGTAAGCAAAGTTGCGACTGCCTTCACCAGTATGTCTTTCTTTCTTGTATTTGGAGAAGTCAGGGATACTTGTAGTGTGGTTGAGGCGAACTTGGAATTGATTAATAGGTCCAACTATTATTTTTCGTATGAATGATGTAACAAAAAAATAGGCCTGTCAGTTTTTCTCTATCATCTGTTATTTCGATGCTTGCGAAATGATCCTTTCAACCATCCCTCTACTCAAAGTTCTGTCCTTTTCGTCTCTCTCTCTCTCTCTTTTTTTCCCCTTATCGGTTGTAATAACATCTATAAAAGTTACAAAACGTGTATGTATCTTACCATTGACTGTGGATCTGTTGACCAAACCACCGGTGGATCTTTGCTTAACTAAAGGGTTGAACATAGAGTCACTGGTTGAAACATGAGGTTGGTTCTGTTCGTCTTCAGATTTGGTGTTGGATAAAGTAAAAATTCTCTTTAATGCATTTGCTGAAGCAGGAAGGTTTGTGTAAGAACGGTTTGTGATAGTAGAAGCAAATGTGCGAGATAATGAAGCTGTAGCCATTTTTGTTTCTTGTTGTTGAAGTCTATATGAAAACTAACGTGGTTTTTGTAATAAATTAAAGAGTGGGGAGATTGTGTATATAGTTATTGATTGTGAAAAAAGTTCAAAACTTTCTCTTATTCTTGTTGTAGTTGCTGCGTTGTTTGATGTTGATTGCTTGTAAAAAAGAAGAATAAAAAAAAGAGAACAATGGAAAGAGGTGAAAAATTAGCCCCGCAATTGTGAGGTGTGTATGTGTGGAGGGCCCTGACTCCAGGTAAGAAAAAATTCCCATTTTTCTCCAGCAGCGGAATTTTCGTTTTTCTGATGACGTTTACTTTTCTTTTTTGATTTTTTTGTTTCCTGCCAGAAAGTGTAGAGTGAGCTGATCCTTATACCGTTAAAAAGCCAGAAAAAAGGCCGCAAGAATTGGTATCTTAAAAGCGTCCTCCTCTAAAAAATTCCATTTGCTTGGCATATTTATTTGTGGTTTGGTTGGCTTCTGTTTCCATTGTCATAGGCAACTATTGCTAGAGTCGTAGCAAACATGCATTTAATCACCCCTCATAAAGCTACGTTGGTTGTAATTAAGGATATAGACTTATTATAAGAAGGGCATTCTTGTTGCAAGTATCTGTCCCTGAACCCATATTTTGAATCACCATTTTGCACGTCTTCTATAAAAAACGATCTCATTAATCCTTTGTTGAAGAAAAAAGAATGTCTGTGTACATACTTTATTTATTCCAATCAGCATTGATGGCATCTAACCTTACCACTAAAGAATACTACTTTTGTTAAGAAGAGCTTTTCTGGACAATTTGGCTCTTTGCAGCAGTAGTTTTTCATTGGTCTCTTACCTACAAGCTTTTACTCAGTTCGTTCAGAAGCGGAGTCTGTTGAGGAGCAAAAGCACATCTAATAAGATGGTAGTTGGTTAACAGTATCTCAAACTAAGTACATATTTGGCTAACGGATATTGCAGCTTCTTTTTTTCTATTACCTTAAACAGGTAAATGGTTCTAAATTTAAAAAAGTTTTGACATGAGCCTTTCAGCATATTTTTGATTTCGTGTCACGACTTCTACAACATTGGAATGTAACGTTGAACCAGCATTTGGATGTTTTAAGCTCGATCATAGCTATTGTGGAATGAAAAGTAATTGAGCATACTATCTGGACACTCGTCAGGCAAAGGAAACGCGCCCAGACGTAAGGTACTGTTATCAGGTTTTTTTTCTAATCCCAACTAAACGCATGAAATACATGAACGTCGACCGAAAGAGGAAAAGAGCAATAATCGCTGCCAATAAGAAAAGGTAAGTAAGGATAGATTGAAGGCAAGAATGCTAATAAGAGACTTGGTATGAAATTACACACTATCTCTATTAATTCTATGAAAAAAATGCTTGTTGTGCCGAGGCTAAAATTATCTCTGTAGGATACTAAAAAAGGCTCCAGATAACAATAATGGTACAGATATACACATTTATTGGTGGCTGTAGAATGAAAGAAGATATCCAGCCTGCCAATCTCAAAGAAAGCAGTAAAAAATAACGTTAACATAGCCAGACGGCAAGCCTTCTTAGCACTCTTGGAATGAACAAAGGTTTATGCCAACTATAGCTATGGTCCTACTTTCATCCTACTGCTAACAAAAGTAATACCATAATTATGATTTCAAAGTTTGCAATCGAATTGCTGGTGTGGGTGGGAAGGGGCCGGTGGTATGCAAGCAACATATCTGCATTCATTAATATGTACTGATACATCAAATATCGCTAAGCATGCAAAGATTACAAACGAATACTCGCAAAAAAAAAAAGACCAAAAGGAAAAGCGTCCATTACAGATTATTTGATTGAAACGGTCAACTTGCTTCTCTAAAATAATATTCGACCGCAGAAGCTGAACACAGAAAACACGTATGACTTTATCGTTCATTGTCGAGGTTATATTGACAAACCGCCATTACTATCCACTTGCATGGTACATTGTATATACAATTGTCTTGGAATAGTTTGCTTTTGTTCATAGATCGGAAAAGTAAAATAATAAGAGTGTCTTTTCATAGGTAAGTGGGGAATTACTTCAAATCAATCAGGCAGGGTGCTTTATGAATTAGTTATTTAAAACTGTTGTTATGGTTTAATAAGGAAAGGAAAAAACTTTTCGTGAACTAGCTCTATATTCTTGGCAATCAACTCCACTAACAATCAGTTCTTTCTCGATGATGAGTATACCATACAATCTCCTCATGGGTATTTGACATACAAAAACACTAGTCCTTGTTTGCCGTGTAACTGCAACCGTCCCCGATATATTTTCTGAGAAAAGAAAAATGAATATCTTGCCTCATTTCTAATAAATACTTGCAAGCGCAGTAAATACTCATAGAAAACATTAGTAGGCCAGTAGAAGCAAAAGGTTTTATTACGTATGCACAGCATTTCAAGTTGAACAATACAAAGTAGAGAAAAAAAATTGTGGTATACATGGGTTAATGAAGTAAGTGTAGTAACATTTGTAATACTTTTTTTTTCTTTTGTAAAATAAATAGTTGTATCAATTCTATAATTAGATTTTGAGGACAAGGATAATTTGCAATCGTTTATCACACTATTCATCAACTCAAGGGTGACAGAGAGTCGATTGTGATTTGCGATATAGATGGTAATGATGGTTTCGAGTACTTAGATGAATAGCGATGACCAGCATCATGACGTACAATCGAAAAAGTAGTGTTCGAGTATGTTTCTTCTTCCTCTTCCTCTTTCTCTTTAGTCACATTCTTTACCGGCTGCTGATATTGTTTGAGCTTAGCATTATTGCGCCTATTGTTGCTGTTACCATTGCTATTGTTGCTTACAGATGAACTGTGAATCTTCATATGCCGCCTCATATTACTTTGCACACTGAATTTTCGAAAACAACCATCGTATGGGCATTCAAAGGGCCTCTCACCGGTATGAGAATAAATATGGATACGAACCGATGAAGGTCGGCTAAACCCTTTCAAGCAATAGGGGCATTTGTACTTGTTGTTATTACTGCTTAAATTGATATCGCTGTCTTTCTTTTTCCTTGTCGATAGATTAAAAACAGAAGTGATATTATTACCCGTACTTTCTGCTGTAACAATAACTGGATCTTGACATTCGCTCAAGGGTTTTGGTTCTATTTTTTTGAAAGGAAACGAAGTTGCAGTAGCAGTAGCAGCAGCAACAGGATAAGACTGCTGTTGCTGTTGATGATGCTGTTGATGCTGCTGCTGCTGCTGCTGCTGATGATGATGATGATGATGATGATGATGATGATCAAGTTTAGGATTGTCACTCAAAGGCTGCTGGTAAGCATCAGCAAGATAGTCTTGATGGGTTGTGACAGATGAAGGGCTTTGAGGGGCAGAGTGAGCATTTGTGGTAGTGGAAGAAGATGCGTACAGAGAGGGAAGGGTAGGATTAGCTGTGCCATGAGAGCAATCTACAGGCTGCTTTAGAATAGGTTGAAGCTTTAAATCCAATGTAGTTGTAGAGATGGCGCGGCGATGAAATGTATTGTTGTTGGTTTGTTGCTGCTGTGGATGAAGGGGGGCCAATCTGCTAGAGGAATGGTGTGGTGGAGAAAAAGTAGGATAAGGGTGGGTATAATCTGAAAAGGAACGTGAATGAAGGTTACGTGGAGACCGACGCGGAGAAAGGCTACGCTGGTAATAATGAAGTGACGTTGGATGCGTATAATGAGTTATAAAGCTGTTGCTAATGTGGCTGGCTGTAGTCGCACTATCCCTATCTGCAGGAGTGGTCATAATCTCATTTTTGCTGGTGAGGTCAGCGTCTATATTTGGTTCAACAGGACCTACAGGTTGGAAATTGACGAGCTCAAAAGCATGCCTTCTACATCCAATGGATGATTGTTTTTCTTCGCTTATGGATATGCCTTCAAAGATTGTTTGAATTGAAGGTAAAGACTGCTGATGATAGCGTTGGTGATCTGATTGCATAATAAGGAATGGAGAAAAGATCGATATAATGATAGAAAAAGAAGAATTGAAGAAAAGAAATGGAGAGTTTGTGGCCTTCTTAAAAAAAATCAAGACAGGAAAAAAGAATAAAAAACCGAAAAGTGGATAGTAAGAGAAAGACGAAAGAAAAGGGACCTAAAGAAAGCAAGAGACGATCGTCTTTCCCATTTATAAAGTGAAACAAAAAAAAGTATAACAAAACGAATAATCAAAACGTTTTCTAATTGATGAACAACCCTGGGGCCGCATTTCCCAAACTACGTCTAACCTTTTTTGTATGCCATCTCGTGTTGGTCAGGTCAGGAGTGCGGAAGATCCTTTGCTCGCCTAAAATAGCCTACTAGGCAAATCCTTTTCTGTAAAATACGCTATTGTTTATTATTGCATAAGAACTAGAAACTCTGCTAATTTTTGATATGCATTCCACCTCTTTACAGGACTTCTAAAAATACCATTTCCTTGATCTGCAATTAGCCACGGTTAAACCATATTACAGAAATCCATCAGCGATTGCAATTTGTTGATCTCATAATCCTTTAATAAGCTTTCCTTGTAGTACAGAACATTTCTTAAACAGTTGAGAAGAAGTCCTTCTATATCATGGACATACAGACTATATCTGTCCAGTTCTAGCTTGGCATTACTCCTTCGGCACGCCCCTGTCCCTGATCGGTTTAGCCTCCTTTTTTTTAAGTTGTTTTTTTTTTGATGTTTTTAAACTTTTATCCAAAAAACAAAAAAAAAAAAAAAAAGTGAAATCCAGATTACAAATTTTGTTCTTCTGCATTTTAAAACGGCATTTTAAAAGCTAATTCTTGAAAAGTTTAAAGCGCTCGCTCTGACTTGGATCAGGCGAGCAGATCTTTCAAACAGAAAATTATAAACTGAGACAGATTAGTTTGATCCCTTCTAAGAATTCGCCCTTTCAATAGCTCTCACTTTGTAAGTATAAAGTTCTATGGAAGGAAACTATGTAAGGATAGTGTACATCAAGTTACTGTTCGGTAGACAAATGTGTAAGTGAGGTTTCTGTAAAGCTAGTCGCGTCAGGAGTTAAGGTAAGGATAAAGTTAGACCAGAACCATAACAGTAGTTGAGATACACTAATGTAGTTACGTGTGGGAACGACAGACACGTGTGGAAACGTCTGCTGTTGCTAAAGGGTCATGTACGATATGCCCATGCAACCGACTTAATGATGATGTATTGCCTATGATTTACACCTATGATACAATTTAATGCACTGTGTTCCTTTTAGCCTTTCTTGTTCAATCGTAGACTTTTTTTTTCGTTTGCTTGTCCGCGTTCTTATTTCTTCTTGCCTTGCTGCGCTTCTCCTTGCCGTTGAGTAGTATATTATACATTTCCTGCTGGGCACGTTGCTTCCCTTGATAAGAATCCAATCATACTTTGGCAGAAGTCATATTGTTAAAGACTTGCATAGCGGTCAATTGCTGATATATATAAGAAAGCAAAAAGATCATCCGGTCTCTGTACACCTTCCTGCCATTAACCTCAAAAATATTTGTTTTTGACTTCAAGCACTAGGAACCTGTTACTTTAAATACACAACGACTGATAATTTTCAACTTTCAATTTAAGTGGCCAGCAATCACGCCGATAAATTGTAATGCATTGCGACGTTGTCCACTTTATTTTCGTCTTCAGAGAATGAAAAATGTCTGTAGATAGCAATATTGCAAATGATTCGCTTTTACGATTCCTGTTCTCGATCGTCCTCGAGTATCAAAAAATTAAACTGATTTTTGTTCATTGGCTCGTCCCTGGTAGTATTAGGTATAATATATCCATCAATTAGATTACAAACAAGTGTAAAATGCGTGAAAATTAGAGCGTTATAGAAACTGTTGACTTAATAGATTGGGGTGGTTGCTGATGAAGAAGACATTTCAGATTTCATAAAATTTGTGAAAAGCTTGTCCAAAAAAAATGTAAACTACTCTTATTTTAAGCATTCGTTACTGGAAATATAATATTACAATGATCCGAAAGCAAGGCCCGCATCAACTTTTAATGCGGGAAGCGTCAACTTTCAACGCGTAGAGTGACATGTTTTTCCATTTGTCTATGTCTCATAGAATGAGTGACAGCTGGCGTGAAAAAGCATAGCTATACCAGCTTATTCAGCAATAAACTGTTACTTGCCATGCTAGCTATATAGCTCAATTTTCTTAATAGTTCTCTTCTTCTAATATACAATATGCTGGCTTGTCTAGGTTCGGTAAAATTATACGATGAAGCTAAAAGAAATTGTTTAATGATTTGATTATTAACCAACTTTTTTTTTTGCAGTTTTCTTAGAAAAAGTCACTTTCTCCACTGGAAAAAAATTCCACTCTCAATCCTTGCCCTTACCTCTACCTCTCCCATTCTGCCGTGGGATGCAATTAGATACAATAGGATGAGTGAGCGCTTGCTCGTTGTGGATATTAAAAGCAAAGGCAGACACGCAAAATGTTTAGCAAAGCTCTTGTTGTTTCAACAAACATACTAGAATCGTACTGTTAACTGTAAATTCACAACATAGCGCTGCTGTGACAGTCTTATGCTAATCGTAACTGCGTGTCTTGATGGTGCGGTTTATTCATTGAAAAGCACAGCTTGAAGTTTCCACGAATGTACTCCTCGAAAAGCATGCATTGATCTTTATCCTTTATTTATTGTCTTCGCAAAACGTTAAATCAGTGCTACAAGTTGTACGAAACTGGTCAATCTTGGATCTGGAGGTTTAATTTGCACAACCTACAAACACGGAAGGAAATCAATGCCTGGAAATTATTAACCAAACTTCATTCCACGTGATGATGTACCGTCGTGGAGCTTTTTTTTTTATTTTTCTCTCTCTCTTTCTGCTATCCTACCCATTATCTTTCATACATCATTTCTTATTCGAACCTATTCATTCTGAAAATTGTTTTACGCAGAAAAAAAGGATGAATGAGAATCTGAAGGTCTCCGTTCAACAACACGGATTGTTACTACTTATTGCTATTTTTACGTAAGATACCAGGAATATAAATACTATACTTTACTTATATAAGTATCCTACTACTACAATTTGTACTATATAGTTTATTTGGATCTGGTTATAATGCTATACCTCTCTTCTCTTGGCTTTACTTCCCGTGTATCCTAATTTATACTCGTCATAATCCTGAAAATAGCTACAAAAAGATTCTTTTTGTCTATCTTACGAGTAGTCTTTGTTTCAGTTTCAGTTATTTGGGTAGCTTTAGCACCAATATCGACACTGATCAAGAACGCTTTTCCCTGGCGTGGTTTGTGCTCGTGATCGCGTTTACTGTCCATCTATTTCTTTTAGTACCTGTTTTATTAGCAGATAAATGTGTACTACAGAAATCAATCATCAGGAATGGTCATCGGGGCAATTATGATAACGGAAGGAACAAGAGGGGCTGTTGTCATCACCATCCCCGTCATTTTCAAGCGGTTCTTCGCATTGCACTCTTTCCAATGCTTTGGACTGGCTTATGGTGCCTTATGGCACGGTTTGGGCCTCTTGGAGATTATCCTGCATTCTCTACTTCCATTGTTACCTGGCCAACTTTTGCTCAAATTGTGTCGGTTGGAGGCCGGTCTTTGATTGATTTTTTGATGGCCTTATTTGGAACCTGTACTTATGAACTAATGGTGGGCATATATCAACATCACACGACAGTATGCAATACAACGCGACCTTTACTTTCAAATGTTGATAATGAAGAAGAAGAAGAAGCAGGACAAACCGCTAACGCAACAGCACTAAGAGCTGTAGAAATAAAGCATTGGCTATTGCCCATAATGATCTATTGTTTCATCTTGAGCTGTGTTCTTACTTATGGCGGTATTTCTATTAATATACGTAAGGGGTCTTTCTTTCAAGTAAACTATCCTCAATATGTGCCAAAAACAGTGCCTGTCGGATGTGTTGTTGGACCTGGCACCGATTACCCCAAACTGCAGCTGCAGCAGGATATTTGGTTCAAAAAATCAGCCAGTCTAGCCGAGGTACATTTTTATAAAGCGACAGAAAAAACCAAGAAACCCCAGTTTCATTTTCACTTATAATGCAAAATGGTTATATAAGCAGAACCTTGTAATTAATTCTTTGAATCTCTTGTAGTCTGGAGCTAAATTGATCGTTTGGTCCGAGTTAACGACATCAGTAACTGACACTGAGGAAGAAGTTAAACTTATTCAAAAAGCCAAAGAATTTGCAAAACAGCATCAAGTATACTTAGGTATTACATATGCCAAAGAACAACCAGTTGGCCAAAACAAATTAGTCTTGATTACTAAGGAAGGTATCATTGGCATCGATTATAATAAAGCTCACCCAGTACCCGGTGTCGTAAGTTGCTTTTTCTTTTCTGATTTATATCTTCATCTCATACGAATATTGATGACTTATAAATTGATTCCTTCTTCTTTCCCAGGAATCACAACCAGCAGGCCTTGAAGTATTACAATATGTAGATACTCAAGAGTTTGGCCGAATTGGTGGAGGCATTTGTTTCGATTACAACTTTCCTCACTTTATCTCTCAAGCCAGTACTCACCATGTGGACGTTATGATACAGCCTAGTTGGACATGGGGTCCAATTGGGACGTATCACCAACAAGGAAATATTCTTAGAGCAGTTGAGAATGGGTTCACTCTTTTCCGCTGCGTGTCTCAAGGTGTATCTGGTATTTTTGAACCCACCTTAGATGGAATATTTACCCAAAAGGTGGCTTCGTTGAATGTACAAAAGTACCTGTTTTATCTGCCTGTACAGACAAGAGTACCCACTATGTACGGGTTATTTGGCGACACATTCGGTTATCTTTGTCTAATAATGAGCGTTTCCACTTTAGTCTACGTACTAACACTTAAACGTAAGAAAAATAAAATAATCGCAGGAATAGTGTTTGAGAGTGACTAAAGGCAGAAACGGAGATGGTCGAGCTGATGAATCGTATCATACATATAACAATACTAATGGTACTGTAGTTCAAACATTAGAAAAGCAGGATTAAAAAATTCTTCCAGAACTTGATCAAAGGCATAAAGAGATTACGATGAATTTTGGCTATTGAAAATAATTGCAATAAAATATAGTTAAGGATGTAACTTTTATTTTCTTGTTTTACTCCTATATTTTGTATTTGGAGATAAAAAACCGTTAGGGAATATGAGAAATAAATGTAACTGAGAAGGAAAAGAGGGATGGGGTGGGTAAAAAGCCATGCCGTATTGACAAAAGAAGCTTAAAAAGAATGTACATATCTCTTTAAAAGAAAAAAACTGTCAGAGACAAATATGTATGTACAAAAAAAAGCAAAAAAAAAAAAAAAAAAAACAATTAAAAGTTCAGTTACATTATTTTGAGAGTCATGAGCCAGTTAATTTTATAAAAGACCAACGGACACTCTTCTCCTAGGTATTTTGCTGTTACTACTCCGAGCAATACTACTACCAGGGTCACCAGTATTTGTTGCTGTTGCTGTTTCCGTAATACTACCAGAGGATAGGCTAATAGCAACAGTTATCTGTTGCTTGTTGCTTGGATAGCAGTTGTTATACTTTGGGATTAAAGAAATGGAAGTCGGACGCTTTTTCTGAGAAGAAACCACTGTTACTTCAGAAGTTTTCACGAAGTTAGCACTGCCAAGGCTTATGTTTGAGGTTAGAGACAAACTGGATAAGGACGAGGAAAGACCAGTTGATATGGTTGAATCCGTAGAAGAAGTAGTAGAAAGGCTATTATTCCCTATTCTGTCAATTGCTGTAATAGTGGAGCCTCGTCGTTTGTAAGGCTGCTTGGTAGCCAATACTGGAATATAGCTTCTTTGTGGCTTCTCAGTTAATGAAGCTGTCGTTACTTGGCCATCTTCTACCTTTAGTGATTTGGATATCTTGTTGGTAGGTAATCTTCTTGGAATGAAGCTTGCCATGCGCTTTTTCTCTTCGTTTTGAATAGATAGCGTAGGGTCAACAATTGTTTGAGAATCTTGCTGTCTAACAATGGCAAGCCCATCTTTAGCCCATTGACAGCGGGATGAGTTTTCGATTTCTGCGACAAAAGACTTGCTTTCAGTAAGTGTCAAGCTTGCTATATCAATTTCGTCGACTACTTCTGCTTCGTTGTCCTCATGCCCATTCATGTTGGTAGCTGTATCCGTATTTTCTTTGTCTTGTGCACGCTCACCAAAATTAATCATAGCTTCTTCATTGTTTCTGTATATTACTGAGGCACTGCAATTACTCTCATTTGAAGCTTGTTCTGTAACTTTTGCGGAAACTTTGTTCTGCACACTAAGCAGATCAACTACGTCTGCTGTGTTATCCGGCTGTTTATCATGTTCTTCATCTTTTGACTTGATGTACTCTTCATCTTCTGTGTTGAAGCTTATATCGTCAATATCCCAAACCGACTCGGCCAAAAGATTCGTGATACTCTGATCATCATCATTAATAACGGTATTTTGGATAATGTCTGTAATATTGGTACTGCAGCTACTAACAATTGAGGCTACATCATTGCCTTTGCTACGTTGTTCTTTATCAATTTTCTTACTGGACGATAAATCGTCGTTTTTCTCGTTACATTCACTGTTGCAATGCATTAAAGAGATGGTAATAACGGGAACATTTTCAGAATCAGCAAATGAATCCATTGGGTGTAGATCAAGAAGTTAGCATACACTTACAATAACTTATTGAATGATGCTTCGGTATCTACGGAGCCCGATGTTGGTATGACGTTACTAAATGGACTTTCATCTGACTTTCTGCCAGCTATAGAAAGAGAATGTTGGTCATCTATAGAGTAATGCCGTTTCTCTAGACAAAGCGCTGCAGGGCCGTTTCTGTTGCTGTCGCCATTATTACGAACGGTATTTTCTGCTACTCCTAGGTCATCCACTATAAGACAGCGCTGTTCTACTGAATGTCTATTATTATAATTGTAACTGTCTTCTTCAAGATCTTCATTTGCATCAAAAAAGGAAGCAGAAGATATTTGAGAGCAAGTAGGCGATGTTGCGCTAGTAGTAGTTGTGGTTGCTGTAGTCAAAACACTAATCCTCTCATTTATATAGTCTCCATGCAGTTCAGGTACGTCGAAAGGGCGAGCAAAGTCATTCGGCAAATGTAGCTGTAACAAAGACTTGTTGTCTACCGATGCTGGCTTTTGCTCCTGTTGCTGCTGTAATACAACTGACTCTTCTGAAGACGATGAAGTAAATGTACTATGGCCGTTCTTCTCTTTTTTGTTTTTGCTACTATCACTGCTACTTATTGCTGATGCTGTTGCCTTTTTTATATACTTTTTGATTGAGAATCTCATCATAAGCCCTTTTTGAGAAAGAAAAAATCTCTTTGCGGTAGGTAATGAAAGCTCTTTAGGGAGAAAAAAATGGATGCGAAAAAGAAATGAAAAAAGGTTGAAGATCAAGTGAGCAACAAAAGGGAAGCAGAAAGAAAAAACGACGAGGTAGGTTTATATATGGGCAGGCAATCGAATGCCCAATGATGCATGAATAGGGAGAGGCTAAATCATTCTTGCATGCATAATTGTTGACATTGGGCAGATAGGAGGGAAGGCAGCGTTAACTTACTATAATATAAACTCTTCCTTACGTAAAGAAAGAGAGTGAGAAAGGCTGGGGTCCTAATTTGTATGTAGACTATTATGTGCCGTATAGCATAGAGAGCTGCTATCAGTATTATATAATGAGACGAAGCACAAGTTGTCTCAATATTGACTACATTTTTCTACACAGCATGATGCAGTAATCTGTAGTGATGTGGAGTTGAATTTTTAAGTGGGCAGATCAGTAACATCTAGAGCACGATCCTTTTGGAAATACTAATTCTGTTATTCCGTATGATAGGCTAATAATATTCTAATTATCACGATATGCCTTTCTTTAAGATGGAAGTACTGCTCTATGCGAACAAGAGCTACTATGATGAATGAAAAGTTGCTGAAGAAAAAGAATAGATTACTAAATCAGTGTTCCGTGTAATGTGGGGGTGGGAGGAAACAAACATTTTAAAATGCTTATTTGAAATAAACAAGAAACGTTGTTACTACCTCCTTACATGAGGACAGCCTCCTATTTTTTGCAAGTGAAACTGCATGGGTTGTGGAATGGGCTACCACAGAAGGGTCGAATTTTTACGATGATTTGAGGGAAGCAGAAAGGTCTTCTTAGAAGCCGCTTATAATCTGTTGGTATCAAAGGGCAGTACATTGATACTGTAATCGATCGAAGTAAATGGTGACCATTGATTTATTTACAAGAAGTTAACAATTATTGTAACATAAACCCTTGGGACCACTCTTAAGGAATCTAATGGGATTCAACAATTAGATTGTATTGCTATTTAAGACGTGAGTTGAATCTACGATAAAGTACTCAAATATAACAATTGAGAGTGGGAATATATTCAGAGATACGCACAATGAAGCAAGAGAGTGCAAAAATAGAAGGAAGCGGAGACAGGGCGGGGGTATTATGTTACCGATATTCAGGATAAACAGGAATACATCAGTATGTATGCGGATTTATTTATTGGTACTGGTCATTTTATGCCCTCAGAGCAATAGAGTAAAGGTGTTATTGAAAAAGAATAGAAGAGCAGCTAATGTTGAAAAAGCAAAGGATACTGAGTAAAAATAAAAGAACGAAGGCGACAAAACCTGTTTGGAATAACAAACGTCAGCATCATAGATAAAAATTGCAACAGAACCACACAAGCTACCACCAAAGACAATTTGTAAGGGCAAGTTTCTCTTGAGAGCATTGTAATGGAATTCAAAACTAAGCATTTTTATGTGCTATTAACATGCTATGAAGGCTTACATAGAAGAACTTTGGTATTGATTACTGGCTACACGTGCATTAAGTAGTGTACTGAAGATGTCATACCAGTTCGGTTAGATTCTGGTACCATAGATGTACGGTGTGAGGTTATGTCCTATGGATACATTACCTTTCTATTGCAAAATCCACAACAAAGTGTCAGAGCAACCATTCCAACAAGGTTACTTTCTGCAGCTTGTTATAATGTTCATGTCTGCCTATTTCGAAGTTATTATTTATTCGAATGCTGCTTCAATGTTCCTTAAACGGCTGACAGTGTTTTGGAAAACGGTTGGCTATGGTATAATGTGATAACCTTCGCTTTATGGAGCTGATGTCAGGACAGCGCACAACTACTTCAGTTGTATAATTCCTCGCATTTCAATTAGTTGTACCATTCAGAATTATATAGCTTTAGCTGGTTTTTCGTTTATTTTATTGCATTAGTTGTTAGAATAAGAAGGACAAAGCAATATCCACCAGGAGATGGATAGTACCTACTCAATATGAAGTACATACAAACCATCCACTTCGGCTATAAACTCCGACAAAAAGTTTTGTTGAATGGCTAAAATATTTTTATTTAACAACTTGCCCACTTCTTCCTCATTGATGATCTTGTTGTGGCAAACGAAATGCCAACGAAAGAAGATGAGCTTGACTTTGAGATAGGCAATTTACCTGAAGGGCTTAATGTTAGTGAATCCAGTGGTGCCCCTGAACATTTGCAAACAAACTCACTTGAGTTAAAGCAAGATATTGGCAAATTCGGATTAGCAGGGAAAATATGGCAAAGGTAGATATGCTCCGACAGCTTCAACACTAGCACTTCATGTACTGCAGTGAGAAAAACGCAAACCATTCTCAAAGTAGAGAATTAACACTTATTTTTTCTTTGTAACGCATGGGGAAAGTGCCTATACACTGCAAGCGTTATTTTCTTTCGATAGTCAAATCAAAGTCGAACCTAAAAACCCGATTCCTGAAGCCTATTATCGTAACCATAATAATGAGCACAGTTCTGATGACAGTAAACCATTTAAGGTACTAGAGTTGGGCGCAGGGACAGGATATGTAGGTATTGCGTTGGCGTCGCAGTTAAAAAGGCCTGCTCAAGTCTATATCACCGATTTAGAACAGGTTGTCCCACTGATCAATGACAATGTACTGCTTCATTACTCGGATCATTCATCTGAAAAGAAAGAAACAGCAGCAGCAGATATTTTTGTGGACCGTCTCCATTGGGGTAATAAGGCCGACGCGAAACGATTGCTTGATAAAGCAGGCGGATCATTTGATTTAGTGGTAGTCAGCGATTGCGTCTATTTTCCAGAGCTGTTTGGCATCCTAATAGATACATTGATTACAGTGTGTGATGCTCAAACCAAAGTAGTGATTGGTTACAAATGCCGATCTTTGGAGAAGGAAGTTGGATTTTGGCAAGATTATTTCGGCAGGTTTTTTGAATATGAGCCCGTACGCAAGGTGGACTTGTTGGAAGAAACAGTCGAAGTGGAAGAGGCGGGCAAAAAAGTGACTAAAAAAATTCAAAAGGAAGAGTTGGGCGAATTTCTGGGCGCAGAGGAGCAGCTATTTGTCTTTGTCGGTAAAAAGAGGCCGAATAATCAAGTGAAAGCAGCTGATGATACATTCACAACATTACTGTTTTGTTCAATGGGGCTATGATAACATATGAATTCAATAGTTTAGAAAGAGACGGTATGCTTTAACAAGGCTGGAAGAAAGGTAAGTGTAAAAGTATGCTTATTTCGATGGATGATAAGTAAGTACCGACAATAAGGCGTTCAACATCAAATTGTGTAGGAATAACAATTCCCTTAATATAAAAAGGAGAGACACGTATTTATCCGTGTGCAACTTGTGAATAATAATATACCTTCTTGTTTCTCCCATTGTGTTTAAACTCAAGGTTTATAACCCATAAAGTTCTGAAAAATTCCAGCTTAATAGAAGGATATCCATTCAAAAGTTGACGTTGATTTAATTTTAAGAATAGCGTTATCAGATTTTCTTTTCAACAACATGTATAAAGTGCAAACACACTATTTATTTGGCTGCTTAATTGCGAAATGTGTTCCTGTACCGTCTCTCATGATGTACGATATATTGCTAAAGCTTCGTAAACACCATAGCGAGCTCTTGCTTTCTTTTTTGTACACTAGTAAATCTTTTGCTACAGCTTGCACATGCTAAACATTACATACAGTTGGATTCTGAGAGGGGTATTTTAACGTTTAACCGCCCCGCCATTATTTCCTCAAACTGTAAAATCTTCTTATCTCTTGGCTCTAAGCATTCTATAACGTTGTGCGGCTCTGAACTAACCTTTAACGATTCATACTGTTTAAAAAACCGTACTGACTCACCTATTATCTTTGCTTTTCTTCGTATTTACGTTTCTTGGCTTCAATCATTTTCTGTCTTCTTTTTCCCGCTTACAATTATCAATAATCCTATGCGTTCGTATGACCTCAGTATATTGTTTTTTTGTGCAAAAGTATACTTAGGACAGACGCTTTCATCACCCGAATCAGAATTTTGCTGTAGGCTGTTCCTGACATGGTTTTTTTTCAGAACCGTTTTTAAATGGCTAGTAGGCGGCCTGATCTTGTCATGAAATTTCTCCGTGTATAATTAAGGAACATTGTGTTTCTTCCATGCCTTAAACCGATAATTCAACTCAGTGAAGCAGAATAGAGGAGGAAAAAAAAAAAAAAAAATGATAACAAAAAAAAAATATAAATAAAAGTTCATTGGATATATCAGATTTTCATTTCTTTTTTTCGCTGTTCTAACAAAAGGAATTGTATCCATTGAACATTTCTATACATATAAAGCACATTCTACTTTCATATTCCTTAAACTAGCTTTGAACACATCGATTTTCCTATTAGAGATCGACTCTAATCATTCGCATCTGATAAAAAATGCCTACACGATATGCAGACGATCATAGTTCAGACGACTCGCTTTGGAACAGCGATTCTTATTCACCAAGCCGTAGAAGACGTAGCACGAAAAAGGGTACGCTTCATCCGAGCACTATTTATGTATGTCTGGCAAAATTGGATACTCATATCCACATTCTTAATAGCTAAATCAACAGCATCAACGTCATCTAGAAGCAATACAGGTAAAGATTGCAAAGAGTTTCACAAAAAAGGCACGGCCGATGAGCCCCGCATCGGTCTTTGAATCCTTCACTTTTGATTTCTTGTGTTACAGTTGTCTAATTTTGAAATTTAATCAATGGGGTAGTGGTAAACGGTAGTGTTAAGAAACCGAAGAAACCAGGACGCAAGCCCATGGAAAACCTTGATGTAAGTATTACTTCTTGAATAAACCCGTGTTATTATTAACAATGTCGTATAAACTAACACAAAACTCCCGTAGGAATTACCAAAAGACCCTAAATTGAAAAGAAAGGCACAGAATCGAGCTGCCCAAAGAGCATTCAGGGAGCGAAAGGAGCAGTTTGTAAATGAGCTCCAGCAACAGATTGCTGAATTGAAAGCTGCCAAAGAGAAACGTGAGAAGGAGCTAGCACAAGAAAATGCCCTTCTAAGACAAGAAAATGCAAAGCTCAAGGAGGAAAACGAATGTTTGAAAGAAGCAGCTCGTTATAGCGTCAATGGACCTGTGGCATCCTCATTGCTGACTTCTCCTGCTTTAGCAAACAATGTATGCACTAAAGCCGATGATGAAGTTGATATGCTCCCTCTTGATCTTGACGATGATGCTATCACTTTATCCTCTCTCAGTGATCGAGAAGAAGTCCTTCAAGACCAAAGCACAAAATCGCCTATCCTTGAGCAGGAAGAGGTCCCAACGTCCAGCGTGTCCTTAAGTACTGATTCTACACCTGAAATAGAGCAAATAGATAGTTTTAGCTCGCCTCTTTCCGGTTCGTCACCGTTTATGTGGAACAACGAAGAAGTTGAAGCTCCTCTGACAATGCCTTCTCCTGATTGCAACAGTTACTGTGGCTACTCCTCTCCTTATAACAATTACGACGAAACCGACGAACTATCTGACTACTTGGGTGGAAATGAAGATAATGGAGAAAGCACGACGCCCATAACTCTGGCAGCGGACAACAACATAGCCGTAGAAGGCTCTATTAATATGCCTAGCAACGATAGTATACCAGTGAACATTAACACAACATCAATCAACTCTTCAACTAATAACGCGTTCTCTGATATAAGAAATGATTTTGGTGGTTTCAGCACAACAGATCCTTTTTATGCCACAACAACTGCATCAGATTTGATCGTATCCCCTCTCATGTCTCAATTGAATGTACCTAATACAGCTACCAAAGGTCTGTCTCCAGAAACTGCAACTACAGCCATGATGCTGCAGCAGCAAGCCTCTCTATTTGGTGAGCCTTTTGTCGATCTATTCGGTCTAGACAGCAAAACGTCAAATCCTTACTCTTATAATTTAGAGCATTATGAACCATTTTTGGCCGAGCAACTGAATACAATGGATCAGCCTAACCAATTTGACATCAGTAGTATTAACAGTAGCGAAATCAGTGACGACGCTTCTGGTGGTTTTAGTGCAAAACGAAAGTTATGCCGAGAAAGAATTATTCAGCTACTTCATCGGGCGAAGGGAACACATAATCACCGCAGCATATACCAAATCAATCAAGTGGTGAAGAGCCAATGTCCAATAATCAATATGGATCAAATTTGTAAAGATCTGGGGCGTCAGATTAACATTGATGATAATCGTGTCTTATCAGATCGAGAAGTAGATGTATATATTGAGTGCATTGCACGCGCACCTTAGTCTTTACTATTATACTATGTATTTTTTATTCTTATTTATTGTGGCAACTTCTCTATTTTCTTTTCCTTCATACGCTTTTTTTATTTATATTCAGCATTTTGAAATACATTTTATTCAAATTGTTTATACGCCTGATTTTTTTTAAAAAAAAAACCTCTGTTATTCACACACCGGCTCCTCTACTTTGTTGCCTTTGAATTTTTGCTTACCTAATTTTGCTTTCCGTTTTGGAATTCCTTCATTTTCAATCTGATAACTCATCACCTTTGCAGTTGAACGTGTTTTAGATCGAGCTTTTAATTATTATTGGTTACCATAGTTACCATCAAAAATGACGAACAAACATTCAGAGGATCTGATAAGTTGAATTTTAATTTTCTTGTCTCATTTACAAAAAACCCGACGGGAATCTAACGGAGCTTGTAATAAAATCGGATTAATTAAAACGTGAATAAGCACGGTACTGATTGGATGGAATAAGTGATGGGGTTCTTTTTCCAGCAAAAGATCTGCTAGTCGCTTATGGTTTTTCCCGGTCAGAACAAAAAGTCAGTATCCCTTATACTATGCCACGGGATTTGATCGATGCAGAGAAGAGAGTTTTATTGCTGTAACTGGTACTTTACAGGACTGCCTAGTAACCGATGTCCTTTATGTGATTGGAAGTATCGAGTTGATAGTAGCAATACTGTTAGCCTTAATACGTTACGCACAACAAGCTCTATTTAAATGTAGTTAAAATGGTAAACTATCGTAATACGATTCTTTTGGACAGTCAATGTACTTGTTTTAAGGTACAAATTCATTATTAAGAAGATTGTCTGGTACATATAGCTTGGAACTATTTCGCACTTTCTGTATTTTTGCGTTGTTATATAATAAAAAACAAACCATTAGATACTGCTGCTGAAAATTCATACTATTGTACACCTCTCTACGTGAGATTAATGATAACGATGTTTTGAGGCATTTATGGTTTCTCACTGTTTATGCATACAAATGCTATTTGAAATAAAGGAAAAGTTGTGCATTACAAGTACAAAAATAGCTCACATTTCATAATGTTAGCTGCCATGATATTATACAAAAGAATTGAAGACTTGGTATTAACTAATAAACACGCAGGACTGGAAAGATTTGTATTATATTGCTAGATCAAAATACTATTGCACAAATTTTAATAAAGTGATCCGAAATAAAAGATTGTAATAGTAGTCTTGCACAAGGAAAAAAACCGATAGAGGAGCAGTATCAGCATGATTTAAGCTCGAATTGAAAACGGAAACACGACAAATAGTTTGGTCCACATGCAAAAAATCGTAGAATTGCGTGATTTGACCTTAATCAATGGATATCTTCTATCTTTAGTCTTTACCGAATTGAGGGTCAATGCTGATCGGTCATGAAATTCATGTTTCTCACCAATATCATATATGACACTAATTTTGGAGAGCTAAAATAGAGGAAGCTGCAAATCTAAGGTTAACTGGTCACTTTATAGCAATACTGTGCAAAGTGATTTCTGACCATCTTAAGGAGGCATCTGTAAGAATAGCCTCAACTTCAGTGGGTAGAAGGTACGATTCTACTCTTTCTACAACTTGCTTCACTATCCAATTTTGTTCCTTCTTACCTTGAGGCTGCGTCTATAATATTTTAAACGGCATTTCTGTGCCTTTCTATAACAGTGTTGATCTCAGTAAAGTTTTAAAGAAACGGATGGATTTTGAGTGGAATATGCGCTAGTTTTCATCTTTAAGAAGTCACGTCAGGATAACGCACGGCATCTCACTCTTACTGATGGCGCCGCACCATTTATTAGTGCATTACAATCTAATCCAATATAATGGTATATTGCTAAGATCCAAAAATCGCCATCGTAAGTGTCTTTTTTTTTTTTAATCGCGGTTCTTACCAAGATTCTAGATAGCTATTGTATAGTGCTCTATTAGTAACTTTTATTAGGCTAGTTAATCACTCCTCGGTTTACGATCGAAAAATTAGATAAGACTCTATGGAAGTTCTTCGAATTGAAAAAAAACCAAACAAACTAAACTTTATATTCAGGTGTCAATTGCTGAATTGCCACTTTCGAAATTGGCTTTTTTTGTCTATACAAAGTAATAACGCCGCATCACTTGTTTATAGTCCTGGTATGATATAATGCGGCGAAAATGAAAAATCTTTGGTGTGTACACTGCAAGGCAAAGACGGACGTTTGAAAACACTTTAAAGAGACGAAAACAAGCATATGCTAGTTTAATCTTATTGTTGTGTCACAATAAGTTTGCAAAATAAGAGAAGTTCGCAAGGCATTCGAAACATTAACCTAATTACAAAACATGAAAATTATGGATGTCTTCAATAACAAAAAAAAAAAAAAAAAAAAAAAAAAAAAAAAAAAAAAAAAGTGGTCCTGATTCTATTGAGTCAGTTGCATGCCAAATGTAACTCTAACATGATGATAATGGGTGGTAAAATTAGAGGAATTAACTGATATAAAATTGATAAAAGCAGGATATAAATAAAACAAAAAAGAATAATTGGTAGGTAAATGTGACTAAAGTGCTTTCAGAGTATTTACTTTTGCACATACACCCTATTTGCTAAACGAATGACCAAAACCAGACCATCGTCTGTGGCGCTTACAACACTTTCCACAGGCTCTAGATAACCCTTTTGCTTATCAATGATCCAGTCAAACCTTAAGCGTACGACCATATCGTGTTCCCTGGCTAAATCAAGTTGTGCTTGAAGTATAGCTAAGTCTTTATCTTGAACATAATCGAAAAAAGATGTACCGATTGCCTGTTGAGTATCAAGCGAAACCAAGTCCCACGCCAAAGCGGAAACAAATACAATGTTTAAATCTTCAGTAAATCTGTTTAATATCAAACAGAACCGGCGCTCTTGCTTCAAAATGATTTGGTGATCTTTCCAAATTATATTTGAATCCAAGGGGTTTTTCAATTTCTCTTCATGTTCGATCCATGCGCCTGATAATTGAAGTGAACCATCTGGAAGACAGGCACACATTTCATTAACTGAATTGACTCGTATTTTGTGATCCAACGAGTCTTCGTTGTATTCGTAATTGGCTGTTACTATCACATTATGGCAGTAATGGAGCACCGTTTCAATGGGAAGAGCTGAGCCGTCTTTACATAACAAGCGATAAGACACCAATGTAGACAACTTCTCTTTGTACACATTGACTAAATGTAGCTTTCGGATGTTACTATGATCATCTGGGTGAAACAAATCGTAGGCTTCTCGGCCTATGATCTCCTCTGGCTCCCAACCTGTGTGATCTGTTATGCTTTCTGATACGTAGACAACTCTTGCTTCTGGTGTGTTATCGTAAATAGTTATCCAGTTTTTTTTCATTACGAAATTTCCAAGTATATTTAAACGTGGGTACTTAATAGAATAAGTATTTTATGTATGTGCGGATAATAGTGATGACGTATAATGTATGTAGAATAGATGGGATTACGGTATGCTCTCTCAGATTTAAGCGATCGCGAAATGTTGAATGTAAAGTAAAGAATCTAAGTCAGAGCCATTGCCCTAGAAGGAAAGTAGTTTAAGAAAAGGACATGATGGATATGTGATCTTCCTATCTTCCTTTTCAAGTGCTGAGAAATTCCAGCCAATGTCGTATTAGATCAACTTTTCGGGACTCTCACTTGAAAAGGATAAGTCAAAGTTCTCTTACAACAATTGCTTTCTCTGCATGAATTACAACAAACATTTAGAGCTTGACTTATACAGGTACTGGAGTGTTATTGCGAATCGACGGTTTCTGGCTTAATATGAATAAAAAAAAATGGCTTCAACCTTGGTGATTTTCATGAATATTCAAGATTTAAACCGAAGCAGACAATTATAAGTGCAGGCAGAACTATCTTCTACAAATAAATGATACCAACATATATGATATAGTTACATTTTTACACTGTATACTAAATTGAAGTGCGAGCTAGATAAAGTTTTTGCCCACGAAGGCTGTAAATGTTTGCTGGTACACTTCGGGGTTACTCAAACAGACATCTTCGGCAATTTGCATTCTCATTTTTCCATAACGATTTTTATAGGTACTAACCTTTGAAAATCCTCTTTGCCTCTTCAGATTCATCGAACCAATACAACTTCAACAAAATTAGGCATTTTGCACTACTGAAGAACGTCTCGGCTGTGCTTCAGGTGACCTATTGATACATTGACGATTCACAGCACTCTCTAAAGCATGCCGTTTGCTTTCAATCAGGTCTTCACTAAATTCATTTGAAACAGGAATGAGGCATGTGTCTCACAGATGCTATGAAGTACTTTTTTTTTGTACAAGCATGAGTTATACTCCACTAACGAGCATTTATGAAAAAAAAATTACATTGAAGCAGCTGAAGGTCCGTATTTATGTCTCCTTTTTTAGTCCTCTAGTAGGGCCAAGTTTATTAGAACTGCGATGAATCCAGAGTTATTCGTTATGCATCAATTGGAAAAGCTTAATTCGAGCAATAAGACGTAAAGCGTGGTTTCTTCATGATAATATGATTCAAGCTGATAAAATCTTGCTTATTATGGTATGGCTTAGCCCATAATCTCAATATTATTGAATTTGATGTAAAAAGAACACTCTGAAAAACTAACGAGAAAGAAAAACCTGTGCTCAGACATATTATCTTTGAATCGCTTGCTGTACGAGGATTCACAATGCTACTATAATTTCCTGAATAAGTTTTTTCTCTTAGATTACTCCTGTTGATCTTAACAAAGGCTGAGAGCAGCCTGAACTGTTGTTTTTCCTGTTGAAGAACTATAGAAGAGCTTTAAAAGACCTTAATGCTTTGAATCATGTATAAAGTTCGAGGAACCATTTTATTGGAAAGAGGCAGATATGAACATACAAGCATAGAATAGGGTTGTGGACCTTGTTCCTCGGCTGTACCTGAAAAGGTTTCAGATAATTACCTAAGCAGATCCTCAATGCTATCCCTGACCCAAGTGCTTGATGCATTAAACACACATTATTGCTTAGGACGCTTTCTAGCAATAGGTAAAGTGCTGCAAACAAAATTGAGTAGCATAAATACAAAGAATAGTGACGTTTTCTTCCGCATTTCGTATTTTGTAACCTGCTGATGTGGACAAAACATAATATTTTTCTTTTCAGAGAAGAAGCTCTTGATTAATTACCAATAACAGATTACCTTTATCCTTTCCAAGCCTTACCCCTCTGCGATGGGTGGCTAATCTTCGATAAAATAAGCTACGAAAAATGAAAAAAGAAAAGCTTGTACCTTTAATTATTTTGTCTAATTACTTTTTTACAGTGTGTCTAATTTTTCTTTAAATTTTTTTTTTTTAAAAAAAAAATGGATGTGTTTGGGCAAATATTCATTTATCTGAAAAAAAATAACACTTTTGTCTAAAGTTAGAGTTCACGGATTGGGAGGGTCAAAGAAGCATTGGAAAGTGCTTTCTCCCCTTTCTTTTGCTTCTTCTCATATAATCACAATTTGTGTAATATTAACCGCTTATGTATCTATAGTCGTAACATTCATTCCTTTGTATTTTAGTTTCTTATCATTCATAACAACATATAAATTAAATACCAGACCAACTTGTAGACTAGGAGGTAAAGAAACACTCTTTGTCATGTTGACGATTCAATGTGAAAATAGAAATGACAGCTAATTGGTTTTTCTCCTGTTTTGTGATTCGAACATAGTCCATGACAAGTATAGTTAATAAACGAACTAACACTAACAGCAGCGTAGATAAAGCTATTTTCAAACCATGTCCTTCAAGAACTGAGTGCCAGTGCGCAGAATTTTATGCACCGGAGGGAACCTACACTTTATTGCATGATATTTTTTTTGAGACAATACAGCCTCAGTTCGATACTGGAACGCATGTTTCATTCTTTTCGTCGCTGAACGAATTAGCGCCAAATGCACCGTTCGTTCCTTGTATTAAACCATGCCAAGCCTCATTGCCCCTATCAATATCAGATTTACAGCATCCACCAGACCATTCCTTTTCATCTTGTACAAATACGACATCAACGGGAACCAATGATACTCTTATAGAAGAGGAAAGTGACCAAAGAGAAGAAGACAACGATCCTATTTTAACAACAGACGAGACGACAATCGGTTCAGCTGTACCCACTGCTATCGCCAAGGAGTTTTTGGAGCATAATAACAGTAGCACCAACAACATAGCAAGTACAAGCAGTGGGAGCCCCTCTTTTTCATCTTTCTTCTCCAATAGTAGCAAACAACAACAAAAACATAAGAGGCCGAAGAGCAGCTTATCAAAGTTAAAGTCCAATTTTATAGAAAATGTTACCCTGCACGATCATTTTGCAAAATTGACGAGCACAGTGAATCAACATATATTCTTTAATGTGGGTTCAAGTTTATTGTGGATGGAAGAGGACCCATACTTTCAACGACCTAAAGAAATAATATCAAGACTGACGTTTGGGAAGTCCTATATTACTTGTCACAATGTTAATTCAACAACGAGTAAACTCGCAGAACACATTAATCTGGTTATTGGATTCTCAACAGGTGATTTACTTTGGTACGATATGATTTCCAACAGGTATACCCGTTTGAATAAAAACGTAAATACTATTTGAAGATACAAAGAAAGAGACACACGATTGGGCTGTTACATCTCCAAAATTGCCAATATGTTAAATTCAACGTTTTCAATCCGCTTAGGGCATCATGAATAATTCAGCAGTGACAATGATAAAATGGATACCAGATTCCGAGGATTTATTTATGGCATCTTTTGATGACGGTTCCGTGCTCATCTTGGATAAAGAGAAAGAAGATCAAGCGTACACCTTGCCTCAACCACAAACGTGGGCTGAAGAGCAGTAAGACCAAATTTGAAACAGGCTCCATGCATATATAATTGTATATCTAATAGCTTCATTTCAATATACTTAGTTTGCAAATTACCAAACCGGATAAGGGCAGCAAATATAATCCTGTGGCTCACTGGCAGGTCAGCCATAAAGGCATATCAGGTAACAGACAACAAAAATGAAGTCGCTTCTAATCAGCCTGATTCCTAAACACTGAATTTCCGTCCTGAATGTAGCTTTTTCTTTTTCTCCAGATGGACGGCATATTGCTATGGTTGGTAAGGATGGCTTAATGCGTGTGATAGATTATGCAGATGAAAGGTATATGACTCTCAGATAAATTTGCGGTGACTTTCTTTGGCTTCGTGCAGTAGGCGACTAATTCACAAGAGGATTATAGGTTATGTGATGTATTTGTAGGATATTTTGGCCGAATGCTATGTGTTACATGGAGCCCTGACGGGCGTTATATACTTGTAAGCAGAACAATCTGACACGATGTTCTTCTAGATTTGAATCTGACGCCCTTCTGTAAAATTCAGACAGGGGGACAAGATGATATAGTGACCATCTGGTCTTTTACAGAAAATAAGATTATCGCTAGATGTCGTGGTCATAGATCCTGGGTAACAGGAGTGGCATTCGACCCGTTACAGTGTGATGACAAAAATTATCGATTTGGTAGTGTTGGGGAAGACTGTAAACTACTTTTATGGGATTTTTCAATGAATGCACTCCACCGTCCAAAGCACGTAAGTTCAAATTTCTACAAGTTTCAGACCACTTCAGCATTTCAATTGTACCAACAATGAACAACTAATAATTGTAATAGAAACCTGGGAAACCTGCAATATCAACTCATGAAATGAACAGCCGCAATGTTTTACCTTTACGCGATTCATTTGTTAAACGAGACTCATATAGTACAATATCCTCTTCTGGAACGATAGCTGCTCCCACTATTCCCAATTCGTCACCTTTAATGGCAAGACGTTTCAGAAAGCGTGCATCTATTTTTGGAAATAACATGCCCAATGAACTGACAACCTTGCAGCCAATTGATCATGTACGCTTACCTACTATTCATCCTGCTTTGAGTAAAGGCCAAGTACCTTACTTACAGCCTATTGTAAAAAGCACCGTTCATTCTGATCCTTGCGTTGATATTGTCTTTCGCAAGGATACGATCGTAACAACAGACAGACGTGGTAGAATACGTGTTTGGAGCAGACCCACAACATGAAATAATTCTTACCAACAATAATAAAGGCATCAATGGAAGTACTAACAGCGAACTTCAAGCCTTCCCAGTTTCATGGGGTTTTTAAACTCTCATTTTCCTACGTTTACATAACTGCTATTAATAATACTGTTCCAGTTGCTACTGCAACTATCTAATAAGCCTCACTTATTACTACACCTTCGGCTGCTTTGTCTCGTCTACTAAAAGAGAACTAAGCGGACGCATAGAGAAAGTAATGAGTGCTGGGATTGATACTATCCTGAGGGCTACAGTCTAACAGCCATAAGACATTCCATATGTAAAACAGATTGAATCCGTTACACTGCAGGACAACTGCGAGGGAGATTAGGATATCTGGCAGCTTGGTATTGACAACTGTTGTACATGGTAGAAAAGAGAAATTGTTATTATAATCATTGGCAATTGCTACAGCTCCACCTGTTCTATATGAATCTGTTCTTGTACAAAAGTTAGCCACCCTGAAATTGAAGCCTTTCCATGCAAGTATTTGATCTTGAAAGGCAATTACTTGTGCGATTTTTCAAAAAGTATATCTGAAGCCATCCATAGCCTTGATTAACACTGATTGTAGGCATACTTGATTGATAGTCGGGGTTTTTACATTGATAAGACTGAACTCAACCATAAAACTTGGGCTATGAAGAGAAAGATCGACTCTTCCTCTTTTCGTTTCCGAGGCTTTCCTTAGTCAACAAGACAAGAAACCACAGACGTGTATCACGAAATCAAGATGGTTTGGTGTTTCAAATTTTAAAAATGAACCTTAATATAAAGGGAATTAACTGATCATCGTTTTACAATTCTCTAATCCAGTAACGGCCATCAGTCCTCTCAATTGGCCTCTAATTTGAGGATAAAAACCATCTAAAAGTGTCAGTTAAGAGTTTATTTCTAATGACTACTGTATTATTTACTGTAAAAGCTCCCATAGGAAAGCATTCATTTACTACAAAATTCTTTATGCACACTGGCAAAGCAGACCGACTAAGACGACGACAAGTTCCAATCATCTGTACCACATCGATTTAAACTTTTTTTTTTCTCTTTGAATGGAATGATAATTGGGTCAGTGGCACAACGCCAAAGTACGATGGCTATGTATATAAATTATTCCGGTACATCTACATAGTGAAGCAATTTCCTTTTGGAAAAGCTATAAAGGTGACCGTGAAAATAGAAAATGATTGCCGTAAGAAAAACTATGTCTATGATCACTTTTGTGAATCAAACAATATATCATGGGTCAAATTGTGCTAATTCTTTTTATGGTATATTTGAAACTTCTTTTCAAACCACCCGTACATGTCAGCAGTTGTGCTCTGTTGGCTAAACGCGTTACCTAAATAAGGAAAAAACTCAAAAAAACTGAGAGGTGCAAATACTTTTTTCATTTAGTGGGGTAGCTTATAACCGACTGATGAATTTTAGCTACAATTTGCGATTACAACAAATATCAGGTCAATACAGTTTATAATAGTATTCGAATTTGGTTAAATTTGTTTATCATTATTTATATATGATTGATATATTCCGTAAAGGATTCTACTATTGGGATCAATTCTGTTATACGTTTGTGATAGCAGAATCATTCCTGTGATCTATGTTGTGTTCGCATTAAAATCATGTTACTTCTTCATTATAAGATTGGGTTTAAAATGTTTATATGACGTTTCGCTGATTAAGAAAGAGCAGGCTTCACTTTCGATACGTTTAATCATTAAAGGTTCCATAGCAAGGCGAAAGAGAGACGACGAAATGGTTTTAGGAGCTTGAAGGAAAAGTGGCTTCATAGGTGAAATTTAGAAGATACTCACTGTTCATTTTTTTGACGTATCGGGTTACATTCCTTTAACCTTTCGTTCTTGTGTAATGTCGCCACTGTATTCTCTTCTGTTTGCCCTTGACTATTACGCTACTGCTTCCAGCATGATCATACAAAAGTGAGAAATGAGTGAGCTGATGTAAGAAAGAATGGCTTTCCAAAAATGCGTGATCTTATTTTAGCTCTTTATCGTCCTTTTCTTCTCTTTTTTCTTTCTTCCTTTTACTGTATATTCCTACAGCCACTTTCATCTCTTTCTTCTTTCTGTCTTAATAATTAAACTGAAATGCAGCAAACAGTAAGTTCAATTGACTCCCCTGCTTACAACAGTACCGTCTACTGCACAAAAGATAGATTTTATTTCCCAGACAAAGTATGCTATAACAAACAAAATTCTATGGTTGTTTCACCACCGCCAACCCCTGTTCATTCCACTACTGTGGTTGTTGCTGCTGCTGCTACTACTACTAATGCTACTACTGTTGGTATTGACAATAATGTTTCTGCTACGTTTGGATCTTCTGATTGCCGTCAATTCAACAAAAGAACAAATACATTTGTTAAAACTTATGCAAACATGGTTCATACGCTAAAGGGTCAAGCTTGTCACGACACCTTTATGTTGAATGTCTATCAGGAGTTCAAAAAAGATGACAATCAAAAATCTGCTTTCGTTGTTTATTCCAATACCTGTTTAGAAAAAAAGCTTAATTCTCGGACATCACTTAGAGCCGCGTCCTCTTCAATCAATAAGGAGCTTTCTTGCAGTGAGCGATCAATTAAGAATGTCCAAAAAGGTAGCAAGTCTACTGCTACTTTTCCCCAGAAAAAGCATAGCAAGCTATGTTGCGCACAACATTCAGATTTAGCGATCTGTACTACTGACATTGAGAACGATAAAAGCAGAAAACGAACAGCAATAATGACCGAAACTGGCAATAATAGCATCGCTGAATTTGGTGTGCTACAAAAGAAGAAGATATCACACCAACCATTGCAGAAGCTTTCAGCAGCTATTACAAGACCAAGCAAAAGGAAGCGCGTAACAATCTCATCCATACTTCCGATCGGCAAAGAAGCTCAAGCAGCATTTGACGCTCTAGATATTGATTCAACAGATGAAGTTTACTATCCTGAAGGATGGATCCCTTCCAATCATGCTCTTGATGAACACAATGGAGCAATTAAATTTAGTTGGAAAGGTATATGAGCCCCATGATGACTTTCGTAATTTTTTATGTATCTCAAAGTCTAAACTCTCATCAATCGTCTATATTAATACAATTACAGGCTCTCCAATGAATATAGAAGGACAAGCTTATTATGATCATCTTCATCCTGCCGAAATAATGATGGCTTCTTCACTAAGGTTATCACCTGTTCAATACTTAAAATGTAAACGTACACTCATAATGGCAGCCAAGAAGCTTCAAGAGCAACGGGTTCCCTTTACCAAGTCCGTCGCTCAAAGATTATGTAGAGTGGATGTCAATAAGACAAGTGCTCTTTGGACAATCTTTGGTCAACTGGGATGGTTCAACTAATCCCAAGGTTTATGACCATCAACCCTACTCTTTTTTTTGTTATTTTCAAATGACTGTCTAAAACAATCATACGAAAGCATTTTTCTATTGTTCAGAAAATCGAAGGCACTCAAAAGATTACATAGATATACTGTTATTACTATACCTCCCTTTATTCCCTGCCATAGAGCGTTACCATTTACAAAAACACCAAAATTCCTTAGTGTTACAAATAATCATATTTGTTATACTGTAAAGCAGTCCAACGCAGATGCAGTTTGCTCCATATATCCTGGGTTTTGAAGTCTCTTGACAAGCTATATTTCCTGCTCGTTCCGCCATTTATCTTCCTGAAGTACTTTTATTCATAACCATTGCTATCAAACCCTCCGCCCCCACCCACGACGTGAGTGGTTATTCACTAAAATTGAAATCACCTTATCATATGATTCCTTGTTGGTTAATGATTATGGCTACATTGTACTACATGAATTGGATAGAGGTTTATCCAGCTTGCCTCTTCAGATCAATTTTAATCAATCATCAATAATTAATACCTCATTGATTACAGTTATCAATGGAGCCTTACCCAATCAAACTATCATTCGCTGTACAAGAGTTTTTGAAAAGCATTATTTCTGCCGTTGTTTGAACTTGTAGTATAGTGTCGCGCTCGCACCTCTGTTGGACTTGATCATGGTACATTGCCCAAGTGTCTTGTGTTACATTCCAAGCGACTGGAAGATACGAATAAAGGAAGCCAATCAGTGTGATTGAAAAAGTTATATTGTAGCTCATCTAATTGCTGCTAATAAATTGCAGTTGCATGGTAGAAACAGAGGGTTTTCTTTGGTTTTGTTTTTTTCTTTGCTTTCTTATCATTCAGCTATTTTCCTCCAACTAAAATGGCTTCTTGGTGTGAGTCCAATTTTCAAAGGCTCCCTCCCCCTGAAATTTATGATCGTTAACTCAGCTTTATCTAATATTACTACAGTTTCTCAACTTTCAAGTACTGTTTCAAATGTTACTGGTCTCGGCAGTGGTACTGTGGAGAAAGTAGAAACGATAGCCGATACAATTAAGGATGGACAGGCATATACAGCTTTAGATGAACATGATTTAGAATGGACATTAGCTTCAGGATCTTCAACGGAGAATCAAGTATTTTACGTAACAACACCCAAAGGTGGTTTTGCATTTGTGCAGCTTATTCATTCAAATATAGGGTAAAACTAGAGATTATAATATATAAAACTTTGATGGTATTGAAATTAACCTCAAGCTTGGTTTATGTGATCAAAGTTTGTGGAATCCAACAATATCATTTACCTGCAAGTTCTACGATCCAGAGACAAATACCAGCGTGTTCAAAAATATCAACATGAGTAATAAATTCGAATTGTCAAAAGATAAAAAATCTGTGAAAACAGATTTCTTCAATATACAACTCGACACTGCTCAGAGAATCTATAAGGTTAACATCACACATCCAGAACTTGTTGTATCCTTGGATTTCGAGTGTATAGATAAGGGATTCAAAGTAGGTGAAGGTAAAACCTATCTAGGTGGTGATAGATCCTCAGCCGCTGGATTTGTTTCTCACAAATTCTGGCCCAGAGCAGCTGCCAAAGGAACGTTCATTATCGATCAAAAAATTTTTGAGGTCGAAGGTCAGGGCATGTTCATTCACGCCATTCAAGGTATGCAACCTCATTTGATTGCTTCAAATTGGAACTTTGCCAACTTCCAATCAACAAATGGCTGTTCAATTGGTATGATGCAGTTTCAAACAACAAAACAATATGGTTCTGTCAATATCAATCAAGGATCCTTGGTTTTGAATGACAAACTTGTATGCGTATCCATTGAAAATCATGTTGAACTAAGTGATAAAAAGAAGGATCCTGATACAGAATATGACATTCCTCAGTTAGTCGAATTCACTTGGAAAGGAAAGACGATTAAAGCAGACGAAAGTGATACACCCAAAGATGTGGCTATTACAATGAAAGTACACCCTAGCAACCTAATTGACAAGATTGATGTACTTGCTGAAATTCCATATTTCATTCGAAAACTTGTTCAATCCTTAATAGTCAAACCATATATATATCAATGGATTGATAAGGCAACTGCCGAAATAACCATCGGTGATGAAAAAACTTGCGTTGAGGGACATTGCTTTCAGGAGCTTGTCTTTGTTTCCAGCTTTTGATATCTCTTATTTCCACTACATTTACTGCTTGCGTCTAGTTTATTTTATGCCTTAATTATAACAACTGTTAATGAAATTTCTCTATTTTTCAAATTTAATAAACTGTTGGGATAAACAGTTGCCTTTTCGCCAAGGGAAATACAGGCTAGAGCAGTATGTACTCGTGTGAGATCAAATGGGATCGCTCTACATACTACAGTTCGAATCTGTATATGCTCCTACTAGGTTTCCTTCAACAGGAGAGGAAAAAATTTGTATATCAGACCAGAACTGTATTTAATAATTGTAAAACCCTGTGGGCACACGTAACAAAAAGTATTGCCTCTTTATTTTACATCTAAATTGCTAGTCCGGGTATTATGAGATTTCGTAAGTTTATGATTTTTACCTGATGAAGAACATAAAAGACAGTATACAGTCTTCTCATCAATAATTTGCTAATTAGCATTAAGTCTTTTCTCAACGTTCATATTACCGCTGCAAATCAGCAATCGAAGATTGTTCACTGATAGTCGTATCGAGTAAACTTGTTACAGGAGGAGTTCTCTGTTCAGTTACTGCTTCGTTCAGATCTACCGTCTTCTTTTTTATCTACCGGAGATACCACCAGTTGTGGTTTCAACTTCTCGTTGTGATGCTGCTGTTGCCCATCAGTAAGTTTACCACTGAGTACGCATTGGAATTCCTCTGCTGTTAACTTAATGCCATCGTTTACTATAGACATGGCCACCGCAATTGTATTTGCATGTTGAGGTGATCTTTTATCTGACTTTACAGCAGCTACCTCTGATTGTGGTTCGTCAGTTGCTAACATTGACTGTCTTCTTCTACTCTTTGTAGAAGAAAGACTGATGTATCGTTGAATAGTGAAAGGAGGAGGATGAAAAGCTGTTGAAATGTTATCGTTCTCTTTCAGTTGTTGTGATTGATTTGGTACTTCAAACATCCTAAATAAACTTCTTTGTCTTTTTTTTCCTGACGGCCCTCCTTCCGCATTATCTAGCAGTAATCCTTCAGTATCATCCGCGAATGACTTTTCATCTTGTGCTATATTGCTCTCAATGACAGTGACTGGCATAGGTTGGCTTCTTGAATTATGCAGTAGTGCCACACCTGAACAAATACTCAAAAAGCCCAAGACGCACGTTGCAATATTCACGGGCGTAGAATCGAAGCCTCTGAATAACACAGTTGAGCTAACAATGGTCATTGTTGTGAAAATAACATAGTACGTTGGAGTAACCAAGGCTGTATTGAATAAATTCAGTGCTTTGTTTAAGTAGATAATCTCTACTAACAGTGTCACAACTGTTACTCCCAAAACGAGGTAAATAAACCAATTTTTGAATTGATTCTCTCGGGTCGTTATCGAATGAACAATGGCTGATCCAAGACCTTGAGTAAATACGACAGAAATGGAACCAATCAATGAACAAACAGTGATATAGATCAACATATTCCTTTTGCCCCATCTCGGTCCACAATAAAAGATAAGTATAAGTGATATAAGGATGGATAGACCGGCGTAAACAAGAAATCCTTTAAAAAAGTCAAAACAAAGAGTTAGTTTAGAAAAACTTGATACGTATCATTCCAATTCAGTCAATAACGGTAGTATTTGTGGAAGCAATCTTACCCACAGATAAAACCAATTGCTTGAACGCTTCAATCTTTGTATCTGCTGAACCTTGTTCGGGTGCATGCAATATGATAACAATAGCTCCCAAAATGCATTGAGCACATCCAGCTTTTCCTTGAAAACTTAATTTTTCGTTCAAAAAAATGGAAGACAGTATCGCACTGCGTATCATATACGAAAGAGGTAGCAAAAATCAAAGCCATCACTTATATGTCAATAAATGTATTTCTTTGTATGAAGGGTCTTTTCGTCCATTTTCAAAATCTCTCACCTGATGACGACGCTAAGAGCACCTAATGGTGTTACAAGGATAGCTTGTGTAAATGCATATGCTATGAAGTTGCATAATTCTCCAACGATCACTGTAATCCATGACGGAAATGTTAGTCTGCGTTTTTCAATAAGGTATAATAAAATTCTTCGTACTTAATATCATTCCGGTCCACCACATTGTTGATTTCAAATATGTGTAGCCTTCTCCAGGAACACCGCCTGAAATAACAAGGTATGTTAATATAAATTGTCAAGCCAAGAAGAAAAACGTGTACGATTAAGGCACAAACCTGATTGATTTATGGATTGTAATAGTCCCTTTTTCTTGAAAACAAAACTGCTACCAATAAAGATGCCTATATATTTTTCTTCCTATCAGTAACAAATCCAAGCAAGTATGGCTTTTTATCATGTTGAAGAACGATATACCGCTTGCAACAGCTAAAGATACACCGATTCCTTTGAATAAGCCAGCTTGGGCATCAGACGCATCTGAGGCGAATGGATTCACTGTGCCATTTTTTGCGCTCATGCGACTAATTTTTTTTTATTTATAAAGGAAAGGAGCGAAAGGAAATGAAAAAAAGAAATATAATCAATAAGAGAAGGAGAAGGGAAATCGAAATGAAAAAGATTAAAACTAAATTCTGTCTGTGGCTGATGTGATAGTAGGTAAACTCTTTAAGGATTTTAGCCTATTCTATGTACAAATGAGGAAAGTAAATAGATCAGCGTATCTGAGTCAGTCTCCTTTCTACTGCAGTTTCATATACTGCTAGTATTGGCTTTATCAACGAAATGGGAGCAAATAAGACCTGAGAGGCAGTCGTCAGTCTTAAGTACTACTTCGTTTTGAGGAAGCCTTTGATACAGTCAAACCTATGGATCGAGCGTCGTACATTACAATATAAATTCCCTTTAAACTTTTATCAAGATTTATTATATCAAAGAGGCGCATTCATAAATTTAACGAAATGCGCAGTAGTTGTGCCTTTTTTTGCTGGTTTATTATCATTTAATCCTCTACATCAACCTCAGTCTCCCTTTTCTTTGCACCATTCTTAACCTTTCTCTTTTAACTCGCTGATTTCTTTTCTTTTCTGGGCGGAGGTTTTATCATCACAACATGAACACTAGATGAATGGATAGCACCAATAATAGTATGTTATCGCTCTAGTTGTTGGTCGTTTTACAATAGCAGGACTGCCTTTTTTGATCTTGCCCAATTATTCCTCATGTTAATGTGATATCGAGCCTCATCAATGAAAACATAATCCTTGTAAAATCAGGGTTAGAGTCCTTCCATTTCATAAACCACTCATGCCCTGTATTACACAAACTGAGTTATCAAGTTACGAGTTGTTATTTTAAACCACTCCCAGGAAAGCGCAAAAGATACCTTTTAGTCTAATACAATCTTTCGCATTTGAAAATACAGAAATTAGCGGGAGATTGCAAAGTTTTGTTTATTTAAAGCCCTTGATCAATCCTTGTTAAGTGCATCAGAATTCTAAATAATGGAAATATTGCTTAAAATGGTCAGGCAAAAACAATTATGTCTGATGTGGCTTCAAACAGATATCTTGAGCCTTATCAATATGAATAAATAGTTAGAGAGGACATGGATTTATAATAATAGTTTATAACATTTGCTATAGTATGATGAATGGGTTACCTTTACCGTGTACTACTTTCTCTTTATCCTCATTATCGCTTTACTAGTTATAATGAAAGGTGTCTGGCAAGGTAACTGACTGCAACGTAAGCACTTGTATTATTGGGACCTTGTATAGAAAAATAGTAATATATTAGTATTACTTCCATCAAAAACAAATATTGTGCGGAGGAGAACTCAAGTCCAAAAGTCATTTATGAGCTATAAAAGGTGATAAAGACCCAGGGATTGGTGTCAAGAGAGGTTGTTTCATTCAAATAGTGGACTACTGACTCAAGCATCTCTTGCAAGTTTTTTTGTATAATAAAAATGCAAAATGCTAATACTTTCCTGTTTGTATCCCCTCTATCTCCCATTTTCTGTTGCGAATACTGTTGCGCCTATTATTTGAGCACAATTACCGAATGATTAACACTGTTGTTCTTTATTCCCTTGTCTTCAAGCTTCTTCGATCTCTTTGAGGATTATATTGCACCTGTAATTTTTTATTTTTATTTTTTGGTTTTAATTCAATATCATATTCCTCATTATGATGTTACCTCCTAACCTCTTCAAAAACGGCGTTTCTTTTAACAAGGGGAACGCATTGCTTAGTGTTCTGTCTGATATATTTACATCTAATATCAATGTATCAAAATGAGTGCAAGACCGATTTGGTACTATTTGTAGTATCAGTTCGCGATCATAAAAATCTCGAATGTAATATACATGGGAACGTTCGAAAACCACATGGACGAGAACATACTAGGGGAACAGGGTTTATACCAATGGGGACTGATATATTGGGAGATGAAGAATGGCTTAAAGTATGGCTTCAGTTCACGCGTTCTGACCATCATTGCCTTGATTAAAAAATATGTGTTTTATCACAAAGCATACAACTTCAATAACAACATTACACATAAGTTTACCGTCCCATAAAGGCCTAGGTATATATACTTTATTTCTCAGCTCATGTGCTAATAGTTATCGTCTTCTTCTCGCAAGTGCTCTTTGTCTTATAGATTCTATTTCTTCTGCACGACGCTTTCTAGTTTCCTGTTCTTCTCTTGCCGCCTTTTCTTCTCGCTCTTTCCTCACTCTTTCTTCTTCTTTTTGTTGCACTTGTAAATCTAATAACTCCTCCGTCGGCCGTGCTTCGCCATTCAATCTTGCCCGCGGCAATTGTTTGATACGCTCTTGGCCGTCACCTTCTTTCACCCAGTCCCACAAAATTTTACTCACTCCTTTCATGACAGCTTTGTTTGTATATGTGATATTGGTGTACATGACCCATTCCAATTCAGAGAACTGCAATTTGCTTCGATCAACCATATCCGAAAGCGCACAGGATGGATGTAAATGAAGAGCTACCAAAGCTGTGGAAGATATATTGTTAACTTGTCCTTCCTGGACTAAATGTTGATCCGGCGAATAATGTGAAAAAACACTGCGATGAGGTACTTTGTTGGCTATGTTGGTGAAATAGCCCCTTAAAAAGGATTTCAAAATTGGTATTGGATCTACACTCTCGTCACGATCAATTATATCCAACTGTCGTCGTTTATTATCGTGCTTCTTCCTGTCCGACTTCATTTTACTACTTTTCATCATAGGTGCGTGAATAATTCTCAGGCTCAATTTATCCAAAACATTTGTGAGTTGTTGCCGTACACTAGACGCCATTTCCAAGACCTTGTGATTAATGTATTTTTCTCGACACCATTGTCGGCTTTTACCGTGTCTTTTCCATTCATTCCACACATTTAATAATGTCATATGGTCGCCGGTGTGGTGAGCAAATCGTAATTTACAGGCTTCAGCAGCAATCGCTTCTTCTTTCTGTTGACGATGACTTGGGAATTTGAACAATTCTAAATCACTGGCTAACATACTGACAATAATTAACACTTCGTAACTGCAGCCGTAGTCAACTGAGGCCAACAGAACACGTGCTAATGATGGTGCTAAAGGCAAGTGATTCATTTGTTTTCCCAATTTGGTTACTAACCCATTTTCGTCTATAGCACCCAAGAGATACAATTGCTTCAGAGCATCTCTTACGAGTTGTTCTTCTGGTGGATCAATGAATTCAAAGTGTAGCACATCAACTATATTTAGATTTTTAAGTGCTAAAACTGTGCTCATCAAACTACTACGTTGAATTTCAGGAATGGTGTCAGGTATCATTCTTTCAAAATTCTCCTCGCTGTAGAGACGGTAAGCTTTGCCAGGAGCGGTACGTCCAGCGCGACCAGCACGTTGAATAGCTGCTGCTTGACTAATTTCCGTCACAAGTAAAGCATCCATGCCAGTGTTGGGATCAAAGGATTTTTCTTTAACAAAACCAGAGTCAACTACATATTTAATTCCGGGTATTGTCACTGACGTCTACATGAACAAAAATTTCTAAATGAGTATAACAATTTTTTCAAACGCATATTTTTTACTTTGAATGATCTAATTTTGTGTGCATTCAGACCTGGGCAACATTAGTAGCAAAAACTACTTTTCTACTCCCGGGCTTCGATTGCTCAAACACTGCCTTTTGATCATAGGTCTCCAAACTTGCATGTAGCGGATATACCACTGCACTGTGAATCTCTTCTTCGTCATATCCGTCCCCTCGAGGCTGCCTTTTAATACGCGGTACATTATTCTTGTTACTATACAACAAATCATTGAATTTTTTACACGCTCGGTCAATATCCTGCTGACCTGTTAAAAACACAAGGATGTCACCTTTCGGTTGTTTGATATGAACATCCCAAGCTACTTCTACCGCTTTATCGACACATTGGGATTTGAGCACAGACATGGTTCGAGCTGGTGCATCTAACAGTGGATAAATAATCTCGACAGGATAGGTTCGACCAGGAATTTCAAAAATAGGACATTCATCAAAAAAATCAGAGAATTTTGTCACATCTAAAGTGGCAGACATAATGAGAATCTTGAGATTGTTAGAACGCGCACGTTGGGTTTGCTTCAATAGACCAAAGAGGACATCTGTTTCCAAGGTACGTTCATGCGCTTCATCAATTATAATCACATCGTAAGCACTGAGTTGTGGGTCTACGGTAATTTCACGTAGCAGAATACCATCGGTCATGTATTTTAGTCGCGTATTTTGTGAGGTGCGATCATCAAAGCGGATAGTGTAGCCAACAGCATCACCCAAGCGTACATTCTGCTCCTCACTTACTCTTTTAGCCACTAATAATGTGTTTATCTTTAATAACCATAAAATCTACCTCAACTATAAATGAGCTTTGTACGGTTATACCTGTTATTGCTGCGATACGTCTAAAAATGAGGAAAATAGGTTTAATATAGGGCTTAATTATGCAAGAGTTTGCCACAAGCTCGTTACCTCGGTTGAGTAACTCCAACCTTTTTAATCTCGGGTATTTCTTCCAAAATGTACTGAGGTATCTGTGTAGTCTTACCAGAGCCTGTTTTATGCGATTAATTTGGTGATTAACGATCATCGATGAAGGTTTATGAAAGGTTGATGTAATTACCAGTTTCACCGATAATCACAAGAATATCGTATTCTCGAATGGCGTCTATTAGCTCAGATTTATAATCGAATGTAGGAAGACTTCTCCTTTGCTGCTGAATACGTTCAATTTTTGACGACATAATGAAGGACTATTTCAACAAAAAATTAAGTGAAAACTAGGAAAGCTTGTTTTTATTCTGGTAATGATAGGATGGCTCGGATGCATCGGGCTACGTTTAAAGAGATATTTTATTACAATGAAATTTTACCCAATGAGCACACAGATAAATACTTATTAAAATTGCCCGGGAAGGAAGATGACCAGAGGCAAACTAGGGAATAACAGAACGATCAAGGTGTAATTATCGCGGGCGCATACATCCAATCTAAGAGTAGCTGTCCTAGGTTTTCTGGCGGTGTTGGAGGCTCTTTATTATGTTGGAGGTAGTCAACTTCAAATAGTATTAGCTGCAGAGTGGGCCATCGAAGTGTCCAAGCGTGGCACCGTATTTTGTGCTGCCTTGAAGGACTGGTGGGTAACAAATTCAGCAAGAAAAAGATGGGGTCAGATATGGTGTGGGGAAGCTGTAAGCGGTTGTGTATCTTAATACAGTCAATGACGTGGGCTTTTGTAAGTGTACGCGTTGGATGCCAGAGGCAACTGGTTGAGTAGTTATTGGGTAGCCAGCCAAGGCGCCATCGTAGACATCGATCACGTTCAACAAAGGTCATTTGGAGCCAAAGAATGGGGTCGAGCGATATAACGGGTCGGCAGATCAGTAGTAGTTTTGAATGCTGTGGTGCATCGGGCTACGTTTAAACAAAGGATTTTTATTACTGACATTTTTTAGAGCCCAATGGACACGAAATATTAAACTTATCTAAATTGCCCGGGACAGCTCCAAAGGCTGAGGAGAATCTAAAAACCCCTTAGGGCTCAAGGGTAAAAAGGATTATGGACTAAAGGGTTGGGGGAGGGGAAGAGGGTAACCAGTCGAGCAATAGGTGCCCTAACCGAGGAGTTGTTGGCGGCTCTCGAGAGTGGTGTAATTAGTCGAGTAAGTAAAATTATTAAATAATTAATTTATTATTTAATACGATTAAAAATATTAAATCTTTTTATCGATTAGAAATAAACAAAATGTGACAAAGTACTGGCCATAGAAAATGCCAATTCTGTATTTGGGAGGGGTTTTTTATGGGATGTGTAGGAAGACAGTTGAGGACATAAGATATTGGATCGCAGACTGATGAGGGGAGTCGTAGGCGGTGATGCATGTTTAAACAGGAGATAACGTGGAACTTTGTAAGTAATGACGGGGGATGTTTAAGGCAATAGGTTCGGTGGCCTCCAGGAAGCCAATCCAAACGCCATCGGATACATCGGCCGCGTTCATTAGTTGACATTGGAACATAAAGGATCGGATCGCTAATTAATCAAGAACGGCATTGAGAGATCAGTTTGGAGTTGGGGCTGTTCGATTGTTGGATGTGAAGGAGGCTAGTACGGAAGTTAGCAATACAGCGTCGCAGAGCAGCTGATTCAGATCGTTGATTGAGCGGAGATGTATCGGGCTACAGTATTTCTTAAAGAACTTTAGTTTGGAGACATTTAGATAGCATCCACTTCCCAATTAAAGTAGAATCATTCGAATCCGAGAACTTTGTAACATCCATTACAATCGATGGTTTACGCCAGTTCGCCAAGCGGTCTCCTACCCAGAGTAGCCCTGGAAATGACGGATCAGGATATCCCTACTTAGCATTTTTATTCAGTCTCCCTTTTCTTCAGTCAATTATCGTAAAGGTATACTATCACGCTTTAAGTGATGGGATCTTTCCTAGATCATGAAAAGATATATGGGTCCGCCTTTTGCCCAAGAAAGGTGACTTAACGTCTCTGAAGAACTGGCGTCCCATTTCTTTGATTAATTGTGGCGGGAAAATCTTTACGTGCCTCCTCACACAACGCTTGGCTCCCATTATGACTAGAATAATCAATCCATATCAGAAAGGTTTTCTTCAAAACCGTTTCATAGGTGAGAATGGATTGATAGTACATCTAATTTTACAATAAGCGCGACAGTTCAGATCAGAAGGAATAGGCCTCTTGTTAGATCAAGAAAAGGCCTATGATCGTGTTCACCCCAGCTACTTGGAACGAGTCATGAAGCGCTTCGGTTTCCCTGCCACGTTAATTACTTGTGTTCAACGACTTTTCTTTGGCAATGCTGTTCAAATCAATACCGACGGGTTTTTCACTGATGATATTGCCCAGACCCGGGGACTAATACAAGGGGACCCATTATTCCCTCTCCTTTTTAACCTCGTACTTGAACCACTGCTTCTACCTATCTAACAGGATCAATCATTTCAGGGTTATTACTCGCATGTTCAAGGATCACCACAGCGAATCAAATGTCTCGCTTATGCAGACGACATCTGCGCATTTGTTAAAGATACCAATGATTTTCAACGGTTAAGTCAGCACCTTCAACGCTATGCAGAAGTTTCTAACGCTCAGTTCAACCAACACAAGACGGAAGCCTTTTCTCCATCAGGGAATAAATGAATGTCTTGGACAACCTTATTGCAGTCGCATAATATCTCTTTTTTTTCACACTAAGTTCTCGCCTTCCCCTCTCCGGTATTTAGGCTTTTATTTACCTTATACGACTTAACAACGAAATTACGTTCAAGATATGTTATTAGAATCTGTTCAACAGCAAGGGGCACTTTATTCACAGAGACAATTATCATTGCGCGGTCGGGTAACGATGATGAATACACTTATATTGTCCAAAGTTTGGTACTGTCTTCGTATATTCCATCCTACCAAAACCTTTATCAAAGCCTTACAGAAACTTAGCTATCAGTTTGTATGGCGGAAAAAATTCCCATTACTTTCCTATGATCGCCTGCTCATGCCCAGACACTGAGGAGGAGTTGGTTTGTGTTATTCTCACAACAGCCTTCTCTAGTTCAAGTACTCCTTCGCCATCATTTCCGGCTGATGGGCATCACATTTACTAGTCCCATACTTCCTTTCTTTTGCGCTATTCATCGAACTCCTCATCTTTGTCACCCAACCTCGTTTATACCGATTATGTTCACATCGTTTGATCATTTGGATTCTACCCTCCTTTTGGAGAATATTCCACTCAAGAGCTTGTTACTCTTCCCATTGCATTCTTTGTTTACACGCTTACCAGAGTCGCATTGGCTAGAACGCCATCCCAAGATGCTCGCAAACGCCTTTCTCCTCTACGACCGGTCCACTAACCGCCTCATAATGAAACGACCAGGTGAATATAATGTGTGACGTGTTTGGTGAGATAATAACTACAATACTCGAGTACGTACAACCAGGTAGAGAATACATTCTACCACGGTCTATCTATATTGAATCTAATATAGGTTATGTACAATAGAACAAGATACAGGCCTAAATATAATAATCACCCAATAAGCATCTGAACCTGAAATTAGTGACTAGCGTACGCGTCCTCAAATAATAATTCCCATTAAACCTCACAAAGTAAATAATCCTTCTACTTCATCTGAAGAACAATAAAGACACCTAAACCTCACAAAGTAAATAATCCTTCTACTTCATCTGAAGAACAATAAAGTCACCTAAGTTCATAGTCATCGACTTACAACTGTTATCAATTTTATAATAAGCAAATACAACAATGTGAAACCGCGGTTGCTTTCACATCTCTTGGGCCAATTACTCACCGACTCTGCAGTGCAACTTCACCCGTATATCCACAGATTGCGAGCAGGCTCTTCTACAGCTACCGACGACCCAGATAAGGCATTGGAAATTTCACTACTACGACGATTGGCCAACAGTAACCTTTGGCGTCATTATTCGGCTTCAACGTTTAGGCTTCATCATCACATCCAAATACAACAAGCATCAGGTATAGGGATGATCCCCAAACGGATGTTCACCCTGTTCTGGTCCCTTCCTTTGTTTCTTCCGGCTCGTGATCTAGGCTATCGCACCATTTTGAAAAAATTACCATGCTTATCAGTCTTACAAGCCGCAGGGATAGCTTCATCTGCTACCTGCAGACTTTGTAATCATGATATTGATACGTTCGAACATTTTACAACCAGTTGTCCACCACGCTGGCAGATATGGCAAGAAGGCCTCGCGATATATTTCCCGTCCTTCTGCTTTGATCCTCAAAACATCTCTGGCACTCTAAGATTACACCCGCCACCATCACTACCTTCGTCTGAGCAATCTCGATTTTTCACCGTCTGCTTCAGTATCCACTGGGCTATCTGGACTTCATTCTTTCGAATGATATTCCATGATATTCCTTTTGTCGTATTTGAGGGTAGATGATATACAAATATTAAAGATATAATTAGAAACTGCATAAACTCTAATATATGAGTACCGTGAATTAAGTGTTGTGTTTAGTTGACAACGTCATATGAGATGTGGAGAACTTGAATACGAATTATACAAGATCCTCACACCTCATTACTGCTGATAATATAAAGTGAAGTAAGAAACGAATATAGAATAAGTGATGATTCTTATACGAGATTAGGTACCTCGTATAGGGCTGAACAGGTTGTCATTTAGGATATATAGTTTACTTATTTTGCTATAATACGTTACTATATGACATAGGATATATAGTAGAATTAATATATGGACATGCAGGATATATTGATTCAACACCAAGGTATAATAGGTTATAAGTACTATTCTCTGCCTTCGGCATAAAGAATGATTACAAGATCATAGTTTGGGATCATCCTTTACAATAACTGTTCACTCAACTCAAACACCACGCACGAATACTATTTTCCTAATTAATTCTATTTTCCTGCAAGCAGTGCTACATAATGGTTAGCACGGGAAAATAGGTTAGTTGCATGATCACTAGATCAAGCCATGGATACGTTTACAAGTCCACCCGCTCCGGGTAGATGCGTAACCTCCTCAAGGGAGAATTCTATTCTTTTACGGTTCAGAAGACGTACGTCTTCTTTGAGTAGAATAACTCAGCTGTTAGTTTCTTATGAAGAAGATATTTAAATTTTTTGCAGTAGATATTTTTCTTCTTTTTGAACTTAACTTGATTCGAGTAAAGACCTACTAATTTGATATCGTTAAGCGTTTTACTGTTTTTAATTAAGTGATATTTAACTCTCAAGTCGTCGAATACCACAAGCACTACGCTCGAACATGTTTGAAGCATCTGTTTTCTGTAAGTCATGATCACATCCATAACAAGTGTAGTAGCAGAGTGTCTCACGAAGTTCTGTTTATTTTATGTTCTAGGAGCATAAGAAGAAAGAAATCGACAGAATCGTCAACGAATACTGCTTCAAAAAGATAATGAATGAGGGCTACGAATGGCCAAACGGGGTGGCCCGTTTGGAGAATACAGGAGGCTAATGCCATATGCAAAGCTGTTGAAGACGTACTGCCAGCGATCCCGAACATAGAAAATCTTACTGCCAACGGGTCGATGTTCCTACCAGCGTTAGGCTTGATGCTGCAAAAGGTGTTGCCTATTTCCGAAGCTACTACAGACGAGCAAAAAAAGCCACGACTTTTCTCTTTAATTCGAACACCTTCTTTGAAATGGCACCATATCCATATCAACCACAAAACGTTGTCTATTATAACGAGCCAAAAGTATCCTAGAAACACCTACAGAGAACAGGTTGAGGTCTTCCATTGCGTTTTTTACTTGTATACGTTTGGATACATTTCCGTCAATGATATTGTTAACGACCGTGAAATAAAGCTAAACTGCACTGCCCAAAGCGACGGACATGGTATTACACTACAGTTTGTCAGACGAAAGGCTACTTCCGGTAATACAAAGGCATTACTACAACTAGACGACTTCAACCTCGCGGAAGCAGGTGAGTATTTCCACCCAATTACTGTTGATCCTGGACGGAATGAAGTCTTTACAGCTGCGGTTGGCTTCAACAATGTTAACCATGAAACACGCAGTTGCAGCAAAGGTGAAAGAGCCAACTTTGCTGGCTATACGAGGAGAAGCACTTATTTGAAGAAATTAAAAGAAAGGAAAGTAATAACGTCCATTGAATCATCGCTGCCTTCACCGAAGGTTGTGTCTAAAGAGGCCTATATTGTGTGACTTGGAATACACATTGCAACATCTGCAGACACTATTTGACTTCTACAGCTTCAAATCGGCCCAGTTCAACTTCAACAATTACCAAGGCAAACAACGGGCAGATGCTGAGGTGGCTAATGATCTTAGGCGGCGGAGATGCTTTGAGGATCAAAGTCGAAGGATGGGAAATATATCGCGAGGCCTTCTTGCCATATCTGCCAGCGTGGTGGACAACTGGTTGTAAAATGTTCGAACGTATCAATATCATGATTACAAAGTCTGCAGGTAGCAGATGAAACTATCCCTGCGGCTTGTAAGACTGATAAGCATGGTAATTTTTTCAAAATGGTGCGATAGCCTAGATCACGAGCCGGAAGAAACAAAGGAAGGGACCAGAACAGGGTGAACATCCGTTTGGGAGGGAAACCGAAGCGCTTACCATAAAAGTTAAAAGATATCTCAAAAACTTAATGAAATGCAAAAATTTTATCTCAACTTTTGTGTTTCACAATCGCAAAAAGTGTGTCTCAAATAGCTTTTACCTGCCTTAAGGCAAGAAAAATGAACTATCGTTCTCAAAAGTACGTGAATTAAATACAAAAAAAAAAAACTATCGTTCTCACATATAAACGAATATATAGATTTCAATATAATTCAAAAAATATATACTTATATATGTTATAAAACTGTAGAAGCTTTTAAACTACAGAAAAAGTACCATTTTCATGTTTTTTTTTGGAGGACCAAACCGCAATCAAGTTGATTGAAAAAATGCAAGGACCGGCAATCAAATTTATAAGTAGTTGATTAAGCGAGGCGTCAGTACTGAGTCTATGTCTTCCCTTTTTCCTTTGTCCCTTTCCCTCACACTTTCCTTGAACCTCCCTGGGCAATTTTGATAAGTATTTATCTGTGTGCTCATTGGGTAAAATTTCATTGTAATAAAATACCTCTTTAAACGTATTACACGCTATGTGAATTTCATTTTTGAGAGAAGACGACTTAAACGTGGCAGAATCGAAGAGCTTCTATAATATAGCGGATTTAATATTTAAAGCGTCAGACGATTGGTATGGAAGAACTAATTGTTGGTACTAACAGTAATACGTTTATAAATAAAAAGGTCACTTTTACAAGGCTACAATAAAAGTGATCACTCTATTCTTCTAAATCAAGTAAAATGGGTGAATTATGCTTGAGAGCGTGAAAAATAAAATACTAATCGATATCAAAGAGTGTCATAGCCGATGTGATATAAATCTGAAAGTTCTTGCGGTATACTTATGCCTCAATGTACGCGCCTCACCTGATCTAAAGAAGGCCTTATAAAATGTTTGTGATAAGAAATACAGAAAGGGGACTAGAAGGCTTTCTTTAAAGTGGGTGTTAGCCGAGTTTATTGTACTGTATCTGCAACTTCATCTTTTGATCAACGTGTATGAAATAGTAACACTCTGGATACAACGGTCATTAAAGTATTTTTTGTTTATTGATTCAGCATAAAAATTTGAGCTATTACATGTTTTTCAGGAATGATTTGAACATCATTTCACTATTATACCAGCAAACCAAACTTGATGATCAAACATGCCATCGAAATGTAGGAAAAGAAATCAGATAGCTTTTAAAATAGAACAGGAGTAACATTAAGTTGCGTCTTCGAAATCTAAAATACAGATAGCACTTTATGAAAGATTATCCTTTCTTCTTGGGTATTTTGCTCCTAATGTTTGTTGTTGGCTAATTTCAATTAGAGGATCTTTTGTCACGATGAATTCGTCAACTATCTCGCCCAGGCTTCCATCCTCATTGGCTTGATAATGAGATCCTATTATACTAGTTGGTGTCACTTTAAAAGTAGAAAATCCGTAACCACTGTAACGTTTTGCAGACCATTCAGGATAGTATATGTTTTCAGAGGATGATTGAAAGGGCTCAGGTCCTTCAGGTTGCCCACCATTTCCTATCACAATTTGAAAGAAACTAGGCGCATTATGATACGTCATACTCATCGGCTGGCCATTTGCAACGGGATAAGTTCGTTCATAATTGTGTACATGACCACTCATATAGATGTCTACACGATGTTTTAGTAGTATCTGCTCCAAACCCCGGTTTCCTCTATCAATTCCATTTTCCTTGCTATCAACATTGATGCCACTCAAGCTGATACTTGATGCTTTGTCTCCATACTTAAGCCTGTCTGCTTTAATAGTGCAGTCAGGAGATTGGCTACTACAATAAATTGGATGGTGTGTCATAAAGATGATCCACGGTCGTTCAAAACGATGCTGGTTCGCTAGCGTAAGATCATTTTCCAACCAGTGATAAGCGGTTTGTTGCTCTTCAACAGAGCCTGTAAAAAATATTTCAGTAGAAAAGGAAATAAGGTGTAAAGATTTGTAATTAATGGAATACATAAGAGCATTCTCTGATTTGGACTCTGCGTATGGAACACTGTTAAATCTGCAATTACGGAGTAGAACAGAAAGGATATCATAGGTTAAAATTGATCGGGAGTTTTGTATTGTTGTATCATATAATACGAGTTACCTATTTTTGTAATGACTGAAATTATAAGCAGCCTCATGATTTCCGGTCGATCCCAAATAAGGTACTCTAGCAAAAATTTCTTGCATAAAATTCAAATATTCATCACCTTTTGTTCCATTGAAATCGTCCATATTGTAAGCTTGATCCCCGGCGATCGTAATGAAATCGTATTGGTGAGTTTTTCCAAAGTCTATCAAATGTGATGCAGCTACTGCATTACAAGCACCCTTAATATTCAGCAGCAAACAATTAGTATATAAGTGGTACCTTGTTATCATAATGCGAAGCATGTTTGCTTACAATGTCTCCTGTAGCTAAGAAACTGAATGCATCATCTCTACTCTCAGTAGGTGTATGGAATTCATAAATCTTTGACCATTGTATACGTTTTTTCTTGTGTCTTGACCCAAGTCGGTAATGATAGAGAGTATTTTGCTCAAGCAACTTTGTTTTGATCTTGTGTAAGTATAATTTACGTTTGGCTTCGCCACCATCTGTGAATATCCAGTCCTAATATACATAAACGTGTATTGTATAATATTTAGTCAAAATTTATCAAAATCAGCAACTTGTGCTTCCTATTGTGATACTACTTACTTGTCCAGACACTATTGTTGCTTGCCGAATACTGCTCGATTGAGGCCAATACATCAATATTGATTCCTCTATTCTCCCTAGTGTGGCGAATTGAACTCGTACAAATGAGGCATCATCAGTCCAAGAGAGCATAACTTGTTGAGGTTCATACAAAGCGTATGTTCTATTCCAATTCCGGCCTCCAGCGTTCCATTGATTGTAAGCATCTGGTAAACAAATCATTCCGGGGCTCCCATTAAGAACTTCTTTTTGTTTCGGCTTCTTTTTGAATAAGGATACAAAGGAAGATGCCGAATAGGGTGTCGTTGGTATTTGAAAAAATATACTGGAGGCTTGAACCATAGCGAGAAGGAAGGTAAAAATACAAACTACTCGCAGAACCATCGATTCGATATAGTTTGAACTTATAGATATGCGTAATTAACAAGCTAAAGAAAACTTCACAGTTGAAGGTCCTGTCAGGCTTATCAGATCTCCTCTTTTAAAGACGCAACCAAAGCTTTTATCCTACTTTTGATCTCGTCCAAGCTTAATTTAATGATCGCTTGCAAACAAAATATCTAACATTATATATTGAACATTGCTCCTTTCATTCAATTCGGGCCTTAGAATAACCTTCTAATTCTTCACTATGCTGATTACAATTTATATATGGGAGTAATCGATGCCTTGCTAAAGAAAGTAAGTAGATAACTAATTGAATAGCAATGGTACTCGCACAGGAGGTGCTTAAACTGAACTGCATGCTTAAGGCATTGGAAAACTTGCGTTTGGATGCCTTTATTGTACAGATCAAACTCAAATTTAAAAACACCTTATACTTTAATTGTATTGAATCATGTCATCGACATATACAAAATTGATCAGTCTTTATTTTGGTTTTACACCAATCTGTAGTTCTACAGCTTAATTTTTTTCAATTCATCCATTAGACCTTCCAATAGGTCTTGATCCGTACATTTCAACTCCATAGATAGTATCGCCTTCTTTTGTTCGTAAATTTCTATACTGTCACCATCAGCTTCCACTATGAATTTCAAGAGGCCAGCAACTTGAGCTCCTTGTGCTGTTTTACCATACAAAGATGCTGCGCCGGCCACAACCTCTACAATCAATAATCCGCTGGCTCTCGTCACTTGCTCAAACGCCTCTTGTAGAGCCAAAGGGTTGGGAACTGGTATATCAATATGTTCATGATACTCAAATTCGTAACCGTACTCAGAGAGTAAGGTAGCAAATGCTGTAGGATCCATCGCTTCGGTTCCATTTGAGTATGCCGACGGTGTTATGAAGAAGAGAGTGACAGGTATAGGTATTTCAAATGAATGCTGATGAATTGCTGAAGAATCCTCCACATCATAGAATAAGTCTCCTCTCACCGTAATACCCTTCTGCACCTGAGGGACTTCAAAATCCCCAACACATTCGACAGCTTCTTTAGCTTGCAACTCGAAACGTTCTCTTATTGAAGCAATATCATTATGTTGTTCATGGTGATCAATAAGTTTAGCAGTCTCATTATCGATAATTTCAATATAAACTTTTGGCAGCATCCTTTCGTCCAGTTTGTTTCGAATCGTATAATATATCGAGACCGTATTTTGCTCGGGTGTCATTATCTTATTATTTGTTAAATTTAATCTTACAGACTATTGAATCAAATACATCAGTATCAGTTGTTAATTTAAGTATGACTTTGTAGTTTAATTTCTTACCATTTCGATGTCGTCATTCTCAAATATATTCGTCAATGGTTGGTTGTGGTGTTGTGGAGGCTGTGGTTCTTCTATGAGTTCGTTGTTGCCAAGCTCTACTTCGGCTAAGGCTTCCTCTTCTCTTTTTTCATTTTGCTGTTGTGTGGCTGCTGCTGTAGCTGTGGAAGATCTCTTCTTTTTTATTTTTCTTGCTGACGTTTTCTTTTCACTGTTTGAGTCCGGCACATCCACATCTTTGCCCTTCGTGCTTGATTTCTTTTTCTTGGGTTTCTTAGTCGACGATAACGCTAGTTTCTGCTCTTCTTTCAATTGTTTCCTCTCGTACATTCTCTTTTGCATTTCCTTTCTGTATCTTGCCTCTTCTTTCATACGTACCTCTTCTGGACTGGAATACACTTTAGGTTGCTCAAAGCGTTCATCTTCTCCTAAGGGGGTAGATAAATCAACGCTGTTGAGTTCTTCAACCTCATTTGTATCGAAGATATATTTAGCATTTCGTTTGGTATATAGAGAAGGCATCGAAGAAGAAGAAGTATTGCTGCTTTGTGCAGAGGCTCTAGTACTGGATGTTTTCTTCGTTTTCGCTTTTGTTGGTTCTTCAGTATTATCAGATAATGTGGCGTCTTCCGGCATTTCTTCTTCCGCATAAACTGGCTTCTTAACCAACTTTTTCGATTTGGATTTTCTGTGGACCTTGATAGGTGCCTCATCTAAATGCAGCTCAACAATGGGAATGGATTCAATGTCACTGTCATCCAACTTGGATTTAGATTTCCGAGAAGACGCATCGTCGTGGATGTAGTAAGGATCGTTTTTACGAGCTTCTCTTCTGGCTGCGCGGCGTCGTTCTTTTTCCTCTTCAGCTTCATCAGAATCCTGCTTACGGCCGCTTCTTGTTTTATACTTTTTTGAAGTAGAACGCTTATGCTTAAATCCATCTTCAACTTGTTCATCCGAGGATTCATCAAATAGATCATCGATCAAATCCGGTAAGGGCTCATTAATGCGACTGTCCAAATCCAAATCCTGGGGTATGGGTACCTTTGATTGGGCTTTGGGAGCAACAGGATTTAGCTCATACATAAAAAATAGATCCGACAATCCAAGTAATAATGTAGGTGGTTCATGCGTCTCAGTTTGATTTAACACCTGCTCATCCTTCTTTGTCTGTACTGCCTCTAACACCAACAGGAATATCTCTTTCACATTTGACGCTCTTTCCTGCACTTCCAGATTTTCTCCTCTATTCAAAAATCCATCCATTTTACCAACCATCTTCTGTGTTACTTTGACGAATTCTTTTTCTAACTCTTCATGCCATTGCTCAACCAATTGTGAGCTCCAGTAAGCATATATTTTGATAATACTTTGGACATAGATTATTTGAACATGACTGGGCAACAATGATGATGGCGTTGCTGATATAGAGGTATGGTTATTTTCTCTGTGTTGCTGCTGTTTACGACTTTGATCATAGAATAAGCATTCCAAAGTAGTAGGAATGTCCTGCAAATAATGGCAGTATTCACCGCAAATCCACGCGGCAGCGGATAAGACATGAGGTAAATTACTATTTCGCTTCTTTGCTTGCTTTTCCAGAAACTGTGTGTTTCGTAGTAATTGGCTCATCAGTTGAACAGCATATTCGCGAACTGATTTTACACGAACGGAAACATCCATAAATTGTTGCGTAATTACTTCTCCTACCGAATCCGTTTCGTAGGTTAAGCGCATTAAAATATCCAAATACCATTCGAAATCAATAAGATGTTGATAGTGGTTTTGCGAACACATAAATATGATACGATGGATAATGTCTGTACGATAGGCGGGGTCGAAAAAATAAGCGTCTGTTGTAGCATCAGGATCATGCAGGTTAAGTTGCTCAGTATGATGAGATTGAGTGGGCGGTAAAATATGATTCATGAGACGCTTTACAATATCTTGCAAGTTTTTACGGTTGACCATGCCAACCACCAGATCTAAAGCACGTAAACGGATGCTAATATCTTCGTCATCAATGCATTCTAAAATGATATCCTTATGTTCGCCGACTAGTTTGGGGTGAGTGAGTAGCAATTTACCCATCGCCAAAAGTCCAACATATTTCACTATTTAAAGAAATACTCCATATAATCAATACCATTCCTATTAAGGTTGCTTTACTTTCAACATTTCTTACAGTTTTGATCTGGATCCTCCAAGAATTTTCGTAACTTCGTTGTACATGTTTTAGCTAAAGCATGTCCATTCTCAGCACCAGCTGCCTCCAAAAAACCACCGGTAATTACTGTGTATATACACTCATATAACAGGGACATGGCCGGTGTAGTTTGAATTAAGGTAGTTAATGGTGGTAATAATTTTTTAATGAGCCTTGGTTCTAACGGTGTCAAAGAAGCAAACTAAAAATTGATAGAACAAACGTTAGCCTCATATTGTTAGCTTTTCTTCGGTTCTTTAGTTCTTCGGTTTGGTTTTCACTAACCAGTTTGATGATCTTAATTAACATCCAGTTGTTGGATGATGTTGTCAGTAGTTTGAACAAATGCGGTGCTAGTGATAAGTAATTTTTAGGGTTTTTACGAGCCAATTCGCAAATGACACTAACAACAGCAGAAATGACCGCTAATGTGTACAATATAAGTCTATCTGAGCAAAGTAGCAAGCATAGTCTGAACATAAATGAGGAACTTACATGGATCAGGGTCCTCTAGCTTTTCTTTCAAACGCGGAAAACTTAATCTCAACGCTTCTGGGTATTTTAAAAAGATTTTGTACAATACAAGAACAATCTTTTTACGAATATAAGGTCGAGAATGATTCAGCATGCTAACTAAATCAGGTGAAACATCTCTTGCTAAATCAGGAGTAACTATATGCGATAAACCGTTGAGTGCAATACTGATATCGACAATATTTGGAGAAGCGAGGTCCTAGATTCGTGTCGATGTATTATTAGAAAATAATGATTTGGTATAAATATTGAAATGTTTGGTTGTGTAAGGATACCTTCTTAATGAGGTTAGTTGTCAGCATCAAAACATCTGTATCTTGTTGAAAAGAGACAGTTGCTGCCAAATAACCTGTCCTTTTATGTAAAAACTTTGCACTTGACATAACTTCGACAATATAGAAAGATGCCCAGGACATGTCATACCCGAGCATGTGAAGCTATGCATTGTTCAAAAAGAAAGGAATCCCAAATAATATAAGCAAAGTCTCATTCGCTTGCATAAGAAGTCAACGAAAGTTTTACTCACATAAGTTAGTTTGGCAATGGCAAGTGACTTAATATCCAAGTCATTTGATTTGATTTCTTTTCTTATATCTTGTAAGCACGACGCAATATACTTTTGCTCATTCTTCTTGTTCGCCCTGATTCCTCGGATAAGGTCAGTAAGAGACTTTTCAAACATGTGAAGATGGAGTTGACGGTAGTCGAAAGCTGAAACAAACAAGAAAAAGAATAGGGCCGAAATATAGGTAAAATCAACTACTGTAGAAGGTTGAGAGGCGTATCACGAATAAATAAAGTCCGCTTATCATTTCGAAAGAGAATAAGGGCGAAGTCCACAAAAAAAAGAATTCGCTGTAAATATTTAGAAGCCGGCTTTATCATTGCAAAAGCTGCAAATTGTTTAGGAATGGTTGCGCCATGGCCGTATAATCAATGAGACAATATGTAGCAGGTATATTGTGGGTGAAACTCTATTGGTCCTACTTGTACCTTTCATGACCGTATGGTTTTTATATTTGTTGTTTCACCGCTGTTTTGAATATCTTTATCAGGTCAACATCTTCTACATTTATGCGGTTTCTAACTATAGATATCGCTTTTGAAGCTGCTTTAGAAGAAAAGAGTATCAACGACCTGAAAGAAGAGCAAGCTTATAGTACATTAAAAATAGCGTTGTAACTGTAGGCGTACGTTACTTTGAGATCATATCTTTGAAAAGAGAGATAGTTCGCAATCTTCGAGGAGAAAAAGAAGACAGCGGAAACATAATGATTACCATGGATACAATGATCTTAACGCATGATAAGAGTCCTAGGCTTTAGCCCATAGCAGTTTTGGTACTCAAGCTCTTTCACGAATAATCCATCCTTTTCAGTAAATCCTTATTAGTCCAAACTGTAGGGTCCAACGATATCAATAGCAATAAGCCTAAACTTATCGTAAAAACATGAATTGACAAAATCAATGTCTTCTCCAAATAGTGGTACAGCTGTTTGACAATTTGTCTAAGGTGCAGTTAAACAGCTCGCATTATACTTTTGCACGGTAATAAGTATATCTGCTAGTTCTTCAATCGTTCTCTGCTCGTTCTGATAATTATAGAAACTGAATATCGTTGAGAAGCGACCACTGAACTTACAAAGTCTTTACAAATGCTGAATCATGTATATGTCATAACTGATACAGCCTTTTTTTTTGGTTTGGGTAAGGGCATTTTGTTTCCACATATTCTATTCCAGATAGTATCCTCAATGGCAATTAAATCCAAACAGTATATGCAGCTGATATGTCATCTTCAAAAATATAGCAATTATTGATCATACAATACGTTACCTTATGTTTATATAGTAATTTGAAGGATCTGATTGATGTAACAGCGATGTCAATATCGTTTATTTGAAATCAATGGCAGTGTTCGTCGAATTTATTCCTCAAAATTTGAATTGCTTAGTAAACAGCACTGTTCCTATTGGCCTCTCAGGTAATGTCAATTTGAGTATTATTCAGGCAATTTCGTAGAGAAAACATGTAGTATAATTTACTATCGCGTTCTCGTATAATAGCAATAACTATTCTTTGAAAAATATCTACTGATTTTGCAATACTACCATTACATAGAAATCATTGCAGAATGGCTTTGTTAGCGTTTATGGTGAAACTTCTAAACGAACATGGTATTCTCCTAATTTAATTCTTAATTAAAAGTAATGTACTGCGCATGCACACTATCGAACGTCAAAAGCACGGACAGATATGCGTCGAACAATAAGTTTTATTTTCGTCATTCGAAGAACAAGCTGAAATATCAAAAGGAATGTTATGTTTTGTGATAGTGTGGTCCACCATATATCAGATTGTAATGTTTACAATTTTTGAAACTTTCTTAAACTCGCCTCTACAGCTGCTGCTGCCCATTCCTCTGCGTGATGGAATCCATCTTCTGATGTTGAGCGAGCAATAGCTTGTTCGTCATTGTAACAAGTTAATACACCGAAAATCACAGGCACACCTGTATCCAATTGTACACGCATGATACCATGAGTGACAGCATCACAGATATATTCAAAATGGGCGGTGCCGCCTTTGATTACCAAACCAATACAGATAACTGCATCGAAAGGTCCTGTCTTACGATCTTTGGTAGACTTGTTCCCAAGGGCTGGTGAACCTAACAAATCATTTGCAGTTTCAGAAGCTTGCGTTTGAGAGAGCTCAATTAATTGTTTAGCAGCCATAGGTAATTCGTAAGCACCAGAGACCGAGTCCTGTCATTTTTACATTTAGGCAATCAGTGTTAGTTACATTAAAAATAGATCATAGACTGCTTACAGTGTATTGGTATTTTGTTTAGTATCTTCGATATTTACAGTATGAATATTTTCAGGCTTCACGTTGTATCTTTGAGTCAAAGTTTCGTAAACTTTGTTATAAAGTTGATCAACCAATGTATAATTCCAACGGGTATGAACAATAGCAACACGCAAGCCGCTACCGTCTAATTTGACCTTGGGTGATGCAACACCTTTTTGAAATGTCTTCTCGCTCATTCTTGTCAATTAAAAAACTGTAAAGCAAAAAATAGAAAGAAGTTTTTTTTTTTTTGGAGATTCACACAGCAACGACAGCAACCGGAATTTAAAATACGTCATCTTCATTGTCAGTTTTATTCGGTAACACACTGTAGACCTCTTCTAATAACAGTAACTTTTTTTTCTCCAGAAAAAGCTGGCCTTTCGCATATTCTTTCAAACCATAATGAATAATATCATTAGTGACGCTGTGTTTGTAAAATTGCTCAATATCACTTTTTAAATGGGTATCGACACGTTGGAATCTTTGAAGGTGGTAATCTTCTATCGAGCGGGACTATAATTGATTATGTCAGCAACATCAACTAATCAGATCAAAATAAGTATCCTCTACTGTACCTCTTCAAGTATCGCAATCGCTTCACTGGCTTTATCTCGGTCAATATGAATAGATGATTTCAGTCGTTCTAAATTACGTAAACTCGATTCTGTATGTTTTCGACTGGAAATATAATCCGATAGTGCCTTAAGTCTTCGATGCATAGCATTCTTTGTTAAACAAGTAAGGGTTTCCGCGTTAGTAAAAGGCAATATTCAGTTCGTTTGAAACAGCTAGTATACCTGTGTCGCTTCACAATTTTTCGTTTCATATTCTAGTTCTTCGCCTAATGTTTCTCTTGTAGCAGAAATCTGAAAGAAAAAGCCATGATTAAACAATGTTCAGAATATCTCGATGAACTCACATTGAAGCTGCTTACTTGTGTCTTTTCCAAATCATGATACTGCTGTAACCCTTTGGCTAATTTCTTGTAGACCCTATATAAATGCACCTATTAACCACTCATAAAGTAAATATCAATGATATTTCATGCGATGTCTTACATAAATAGGTCCGGATTTCTTTCCAAACCTCCATAAGATACGTAAGAAGCTGACAAATTTATCCATTGATCTACAAAAGTTTGCCGCCTTTGTAATAATTTGTTCAAATTAGTGCTTACTAGACTCATAAATTGATGAGAGTCATTTAGCAATTGATCATCGCGTATGAAACACGGCTCCATATCATCTTTCGAAACCAGTAAAAATGAAGAAGGCGAAGGAGTCGCTGCAGCAATAGCCGTATTTGATGCTGAAGATTTGTATTTCAATAATTGATATTGCTTTGCTGAAGGTTTAAACTGTTGTAAATATTTGTAGTTACAAATCATATAAATGTTAGTGTTTGCGCTCAATTGACGCACAGTCATCAAAGCAAAATTTACCCCAATTTCACTTTCTACAAATTCTTTCAAAATTTTACTTTGTTTAACTCTTTCATGCTGTGAAACTCTGTTTAACCAGATCTGTAGTCTTTCATAGTTATTCTCGGTATGACCTTCTGTTAGCACAGACGGTTGTTCCTGCTGTGAATGTTGTTGCAACTGCTCTTCAAAAGGCAGTCGGATAGTAAACCACCAATGCTTACTCACCAGCTGCCCAACGTTATTGAATCTTGGTACAGGGCAATCCGGTAAAGTAGGTAAAAGTACATCGTCTAACGTCGCCTCCAGATAGTAATGTAGTCTTTTCAATTCACTATAATATCGGGGAATTCGTTTATGTTTATGTTTATATTGTGGTAAATCTGTCTGTTATATGTAAAAGAAAAGGGCATCAAACTAAGTATACAGATTAAGTCATCTCGTTCTTTACAGGTATGTGTGTCCGTTTTACATCAAATTGATAAGAAACTTTACGTTCACTTCTATCCAGAAAACAGGATCTTTACGTTTATAATCTACATTTGTTATGAACAACTCGATTTTACACGACGATTCGAGCATTTCTTCTTTTCGGAAGGATAGACGATATTGTAAAAGGGAAAAAAGTAGAAAAAGAAAAGAAAAATTAAAAATACAAAAGTGACAATAAAAGATTGTGCAAAATTAATCTAGAAGTTAAGTCATGTTATGATTATTTCTCCCGCGAGTTGGATGTACTGTGTCTACTAAATCTCTAAACTGTTGGATGGTTGCGTTCCCTCTAATGATTGCTCTTTCTATGATTACGGTATCCTCCGAGAGCACTGTAACAGGCGGTTCATTTGCTGTTGCTGGCGTAACAGATTTCGGTTCAACGTCGAAATCCAAAAGCTCAAACCAAGTTTTGTCGTTACTAAATGAATATGTACGTCAGGAACATTTATTATTCGAGCAACATTTGATGTTAGAGATGCGTAACTTACTCATGAACGGAGACTACACATTTACTCCTATTAAAGGTGAGCCACCAAACACCTTTTACACCGGTTACCAAGTCATACATGAACTTTCCAGTTTTGATATCCCAAATTTTCAATCCACCCTCTGAACCAGAAATAACCTTCTCTTCGTCATGTTTGAAACAAGTAATAGCTCCTTCATGCCCATGTTTACCAGACAGCACATGCTCACAAACACCTGTATTCGGATCCCATACTCTTAAGGTACGATCAGCAGCAGCACTCACCAGATAATTAGGGGTTAACCCTAGGAGTCCCACAAGTATACTATGTCCATCAAGCTTGTGTAGGCATTCACCTGTCATATAGTCCCAAATATACACAACGCTGTCCATACTTCCACTCATACATTGTTGGCGAGGGGGATCAATGACAACAGAATAGACATTGCTTGTGTGGCCTTCCATACGATGGAGTAAACGACCCGTATCCAGACTCCAAACACCTACTGTATTATCGTAACTGCCACTAATAAGTGTATTGCCATAAGCAGCGATAGACCGGACAGAATTAGTATGGCCCACCATAAGAAATTTAAACCAAGGGTTCGTTCCTTCACCAACAAAAAGATTTTCATCATTATTGTCATTGTTCGTGGATGGATCACGATTCTCATCGTTCATAACGAGCTCATCGTCCCCTTCGTCATTGTTGTCTTCTTCTGGACCTATTTCCATTTCTTCCTCCCCTTCTCCGTCTGCCGTTGAGTTATGATTCGCAATATTTGTATGGGTGAGAACCGTATCACTGATAATTTCATCGCCTTTTGTAAACTCAACTTGACTCTCATTATCTAACTCGGGTAATCTCCACACTCGTATCGACGAGTCTCTCGCACCTGTCACGATCAATGGCTCACTTGGTTCTTTTTTTCCGCTGGACGTCACTACAGGCATCACAATTAGCAAGCACCTTACTGTTGAAGTGTGGCCTTTAAAAACATGTGTACACTTTCGTTTGCTCAAATCCCATACACGGACGGTTCGGTCCACAGACCCACTAACCAACGTATTGCCTACGTATTGTAAAGCCCATACACCGCCATCATGGCCCGATAAGGTAAATCGTTGACGCTGCGGATCTTTTGTAGAATAGACATTAATCAAAGAGTCTGTTGCACCAGAAACAATTTTATGCTCGTCAAATTGTAACGAAGTAACAATGTTATCTGTATGGCCGGCAAATGCTGTACGCTTGAACCGGCCGTATTTCCAATTCATTTTAAGAACGTATTGCGACCGATAAGCACTTTTGTAGTCGATAAAAGAGTGGTGGTGATGCTTATTTAGATGCTCATGAGGGGACAATTGGAGTGCTGAGAGTGGGGAAGATGTTGTGGTTGGGGCATTGGTTTGCGATGATGTAATATGAAAGGAGAGGTTATCTGTTGTTGTTTTCGTTGATGTTGTTGTGGGTATAACAAATCCGTCTTGTAGTAACAAGCGATACCATGTCTGTTGATCATAATCAATCAAAACATTCCATATTTTACTTACACGTGACGCTTCACATAAAGATTGTACGTCTAAATAGCTGATAATCTGTAGACGTAATTCATAAGGCAATGATGCCAAAAAATCTCTTTTCAAAATGGGATGTATAAGACTGCTGGCAAGCTGTAATGTAGATTTTCTTGATTTTTTTATCAGACTTGATAAAATGGAAGACTGAAGTTCAGGGCTCCAAGTTTCATAAGATTTTGCTAAATGGGGAAGCTGTTGTAATAAATAAGGCATTGGTACGTCAGCATTATTGGTATCTGTATTAATTGTTGTAGGGGGTATAGCGCTGAATAAGGCTGCATCCTACGTTAAATAAGGAAAAATTAATTTGAGTAATAGCTCCTTTCTGCTCGACCGTATTGAAAAAAGAGTGTCAACCTACGTTTGGGGCTTGTTCAGAGGTATCGGTTGACGTTGCGTTCAAATATGAAGATGAGGATGAAGATGATGTGTTATACAAGTGCTGTTCTTCGGGTCTATAATTCAGAGTTATTTGTACAATCGATGAAGCATTTTGTTGGAATGTCGCTGACTCTGGCATCTTCAGCGCTATCAAAAAAAGAACAGATGATGATATCTTCGAATATAGGAAGAAACAAAGAAAGTAAAAGAGGGCGTCACATATCACACTTGACGGGAGATAAAACGAAATTATGCAAAAAAGACATATTCGAACTATTTTCAAAAGAAATAAGACTTTTTCATTAAATAAAATTGGACAAATTTGGCAATTTGTTTTAGACACTTCCTAGAATAAAATCGGATTGATGGCAGCTGTTCAACCTAAATCACCCTTAGGAGTGGGAGCATAGCAGCCTAAATAACCTTTCTTTTACATATTTCCCTCTTAGAGCCCCTTTTGAAGAGCTAAAATATAGACCTTATTGAGCGTAAAGCTCTGCTTGCAGATTCTGTTGAGCTTACGGAAACAGATAACTTTTACGCCATTCCAATATGTCAAACAGTAATAGAGCGATAAATGTTGTCAGAAAAATGCTGTCATCTAACTACTCTCACTTTTCCCTTTCCTTTATTTTTTCTCCATCTTTTTCTTTCTTTCTTAAAAGTTACTTAGATTCGTATACTTTTATGTCACGGCATAAGCTCTATGCCGAAGCTGCTCTCGATGATGAAACTGCCGAAAATTGAGAGAAGATTGAGAAGTATGAATTCCTAGTATTGCTTATGTCTACTGAAAACTTATAATATACTGTAAATATTGTATTAGGCCAAAAAACCAAAGATTCCGAAAGCGTTGTTAAAGGTAAGAAACGCGCAAAAACCGAGCGGAAAGCATCTTCCAGCATAAACACTACCAAGTGCAAGTCATGTGGAGAACTCGGACATGGAAGCAAAAGAAGTCCATTATGCCTCAATCATGAATGGACATTGGAGGAAACAATAACAAGGCAATTGTGTAGTTTTGAAAGGTTCACTATTTCAGTGCCGTTAGAAACTTTTGTTACGAATCCTGCCAATTTTGTCCCTGCCATGAACGTGTGTTGGAAAAGTCAGCCTTTCTGCGAACAGTGGTAGTCAAGGCTCAATTCATTGTCAACCATTACATTCTTACGTATCATAAGCATGTAACAAACGCGTTGTTCGAGCAAAACTTCTGGTATACTGTCTGTCGAGTCGTCTATGGAAGTGCCAGAATTGAAGATGTGGAGGCTCGTTACCTTGAAATGACAGGTTTCGCAGAGACATATTATACGCTCTTGATACATTATCATGAAGTCAATCTTTCAGTATATTGTGGTTATTTGGCATATTACGGCCAGATTGTATCGTCAGCATGTATCACTTTGGCCACAACATATGAAAACTATTATGTTGAGAACTTTGAAGACACGGTGGCAAAATACTTTATCTATTATCGTCGCCTTTATTACCCTGTAAGTATTACCAATGAATATATATATTTAAGTACACCAAATTGACAACCATAACCATGTAGGGTTTCAATGTTGGCCCTATCAAAGACCTTGTTTATAATGAGCTCCTTGATTACATTTTTCTTCAGCCAGCCGGCCAACTTATGGTCATGGAAGACCTGGCCCATTTTGTCGTCAATCACAAAGCGCCACAGCGAATGTGGTTGTCTCCCCTCGATGGGAGACTTAAAGATTCTACAGGAAGTAAGTCTACATTTTATCAATAATATATCCAAAAATATTGTACTCAAATCCCAATTTTTTTGTTCTTTAATCTGAAAATCACTTCAATGCTGTCCGAAACTGAACCGAAAAGACTGTAAAAGGACGCTACCCATACACTTAGCAAAATTAGCGTCACGACTATAAATATGTCTTTCATCCAAATCTTGTTGCTATTGTGCAGTGAAAGGGTGATATACGAAAGGAATCGGATTTGTTATAGAATACGATTTTTGTAGTCATTCTATCCGCCGTTCATCGACAGCCTTTTTCGAGGGCAGAACGCTTAGGTAAAATAATTGCTTAAAAACCAAATTGATGGAACAAAGACCATTTTTGACTTTATTTACGAGCTTTGTCTATCAAACATATAGTATACTTGGTCCCGAATTGAATGCTTTTCTGTCTTTTGACAAACTTATGCAAGGTACAACAAGCGTTGCAGGTAAAAAAAGATGCCTTCTATAGTCAATCAAAAGCTAAAGATATTCAGCTGCTGATCTTTTGACGATAGGCTTCTTACAATTTCATTAATATTATCAATATTGGGTTCCCTTGATGAGATTTCAGAGAGCATATATTTACAAGAAGTTCAATTTTGATTCATAACCAAAAACTCCTTTTGTTTACTTTGTACAAAAGGATTATATTTATATACATAACCACAAGGTTTACACAAGTAAATTTACAACTAGATTTCGGATGATGAGAACGCTGAAGATCGTTGAGCCAAATTTCTAAAGGTTATGAAGTCACTACTATTACTGCTAATACTACTGCGTTTCCCATTGCTATTAATGTTGTTGATACGACCATTATTATTACTGGCGGTCATCATGGTGGACATGGACAACAGATTATCACCGGAAAGAGTACGCATACTGGCTCTTTTGACAGCCCTGTTTCTTTCGACCAGATAATCCTTATAATCTCTCCATAATTTGAATGGAAATGTAATGACACGTTTACACCATTTCATTATATAAATAATGACCCAAACTAACAAAGCAAAAGCTGATATAATGATGGTTATTATCACTCAGTCCTTCATACGTAGACCAGTTATAAAATAAATTAGTTACCTGTCAATAAATAGGACAAAAGAGCATAACCAGTATCTATATAAGGATTCTTAGCTCTTTTTGACAAAATATACTCGATATCAACTTCCAATTTTTTGAGCGCAGAATAATGCGACTCCGGGATATCTTTGATGTAGGTATCCATTCTACTTCTGAAGTCATCTATATCCAGTTGTACATCCTCAACGAGTTCCTCTGTATGTTGCAGAAATGTTTTGAAGTCCATCAATTCTTTCTGGAGATTATCGATCAATTGGTCTATTTCAGACTGTCTTTCTTCAAACGGGTCATGCATAAAAGTGTTTGACAACGTATCGGCTATTGAATGGCGTCCAGATATGAACGTGGAATGAGCCTGCCTGTTACTATCACTAAACGCTTGTTGCTGCTGCTGTTTAAATGATATTGGCTGACCACTACTATAACTGCGATAATGATGCAAATGGATTAAATCTTTGGTAGGTCGAAGAATAAGTCCGTCCTCTTCTATCGATGAAGAAGACGATGCTGAAGATGATATGGTATAAATAGATGATGATGAGGGTCGAACACTATAACTTTCGAGTTCTTTTGTAGTTGATAGAGATGTGTCAGTAAAAGAAGATGATGTGCTTATTGCTGGTTGAGAGTAAGTGCGAGGTAACTTTGATTTTCGATCATTGTTGGGTATAAAATATTTATTACTGGTATTGCTGAATCCATCGTATAGTTGGAGCGATTCAAGTGTGTCCAAATGTTCCTGTAGAAAGTCCTGAAAATAAACAAGAATGTAAGCCATAGTATGAATCAGATAGATGTACTTCAGTGTATTTACCATGGACTCGTTTTTGAGGGTTCCTAGCGTTTCAAGTCGGCTTTCAACTACCTTCAAAATGTCTCGAATCTCTTCTTGCGTGTTCAATTCTTCCTCCTTGTCGTCGTCGTCGTCGTCGTCGTCATCGTCGTCATCGTCGTCATCGTCTTCATCGTCTTCATCGTTATTTCGCTTGTAAACATCTATAGGAGCTGTTGCTTGTATTGATCCTTCACTTTTTGCCTTTTTATTTAAAAACAGAAAAACCTGAATATCCAAAAGGGAATTGTCTGGTTTTAATTGCAATAGTTTTTTGAAGTCTAGATTGTCTGCTACTGTAGTCGTCAACACAGCAATATCTCTAACAGGATTGGTGTGATAGTCCAATTCAGATGCATTTCCACCAATTAATAAATCACGCAAGAGAACATAGTTGTTTATATTTCCGGTATCAAGCTTGCATTCTGCTGCTGCTGTTGTTGGAGCAGCCACCTCCTCATCTATAGCCAGCTGTAATGGCTGCAGAGAGTTACTACCATCACTATTATCCTTTTTCAATCTGACCGTCAGTTTTCTGTGAACTACTTTTCCATTTTGCTCGTAGGCATCTACCAATGCCCTGACTTCTTTAGGTAAACTTTCATAATCAAACATAAATATATGCTGCTCTTCCTTCTTCGCTAATTCGTTATCATCAACTTTATTCCGGTTCAAATCAGCAATATCACCATCCTCATCATCTTTTGAAGATATTGATGGTTCTCGATTGTTCGTGATAGTCATTATTGGGGGTCGTAAGAATGGGTGGTTAAACACATGATCTTTGTCTGGAATGGGTATTGTCGGCGTCATAATCTCTTTTGCCTTTATAGAGTTCGATGAAGAGACTTTATTGTTGTCCAAACTACTTTGATCGTCTGATATATTTGAACTAGATTCATCACCTTTCACAAAGAATTGCTGAAAATGTTGAGATACGTTGGTAGGCACATCCATTATATCACTACTATTAGTGCCCATTGAATGACTTGGAGACGAAACATATGAGAAAGAAGATGATTGCTTATCTTTACTGTCAGCATGCGAAGTGGGATGTAAAACTGACTTCGTATGTCTGTGCTGTTGTTGAGGATGAGGGTGTTCTCTGTTAGTTTTGCTAGAACCTCGATGAAGTCCAGACAAATGTAACTGAGAAGAAGTTGATATATCGGGTAAATGGACAGCCATTTCAGTTAGTTTCAGAATATCCTCATCAGAGACCGTATTGAGTAGCTTCTCTTTGTTGTTGTTGCTTGCCGCATCAACGCTTGATACTGGCTTGTTTTTATGGTGTTTTTCGGACATATGGTCCAGTGTGGATGTATTTTCGCAGTAATCAATTGATTTGGAAGGCTTTAGTTGTACCATACCCATATTATCAAGCCAGCCTCGACTGCTACTATTGCTAACACCTTGGCTATCATTGTTATCGGCGATAGCAGAGTTTGAAACTGAGGATGTGAAGATTGATGCTGCTGTGGAAGATGAAGCCGATCGACTTCGACTGTGGATTCTCTGCTGCTTTCTCTGTTGCTTTTTGTTCTTTTTTACGTCATGCTCCGAACTAGTTGAATCCATCATTCGAGGAATGAAAAGTGTAGTAGGGACGATGACTGTGTGAATAATTGAATGAGCAGTTGTGATAAAGAAAGAGCAAAAGGTAATTGTGGTTTCTTTTTTTGAGTAACCGCCTCCCAAATAGAAAGATAAAACCCTCAAATATGCATTTATGGATAAAACTGCCATTTTTTTGCTTTTTCTTTATTTTTTATTTTTTTCCTCTCCACTATTCCACCTTATTCTATTATATCTCATGTTTTTGAGAAAAAGGAAGCCTGTAAATACCAATGATGATCATAAGATAACTGATATACCAGCAATCACGCCATCGTTATCTGCAACTGCAACTGCAGCAACAACACCAGACAGTAGCAGTAGCGAGGGAGACACGACAGAGCTTTCACCAGAAGATATTTTATCAGACGCTGCACATCTATTCTACCATCAAATGGAGCGACAACCCTTCTATCGTAAAAAGAGGTTCAATTTTTTCGTAGGGATTGGTATCGGTCTATTAGCTATGTGGGCTGCTTCAACAACACCCGCTGCTCAAACAACTTTAAACGATTTACAAGATTTTCTATTACTGCAATTGGCCGATATCGATTTGCAAAGTATTTTACCTCAGCATGATATGGTAGATGAATTTTTGGGTAATTTTACCAGTTTTATCAAACCCACGCCAGCAACGGAGATTTCATTTATGCCTGCATCCGAGTTCAAGTGAGTTGATATGGCACACATGCTTTTTGCATATGTATCCTCCTTTGATGACTACTATTTTATGCTTACAATTTGACTGTTGGGGTTCGAAAAAAAAACTGTATTTTACTTTTTTGACGCTGTATTATAGAGAGCAACTCGGTCTGAAACCACATTTTCCAGTTGTCATGGTGCCTGGTATTGTTTCTTCAGGCTTAGAAAGTTGGTCAACTGAGGAACATGCAAGAAAGTACTTCAGAAAAAGAATGTGGGGATCAATGTGTAAGAGTTATCTATTGAATCATATCTGCGTAGAAACACGACTTTTAAATTGCCATATCTACATTTGCGATTAACACATAGCTATGATTCGCTCGGTACTATTAAACAAGGAAGACTGGATACGAAACATCATGCTGGATCCCGTGACAGGATTGGATCCACCGTGCTGTAAAGTTCGTGCGGTTCAAGGCGTAGAGGCTGCCGACTATTTTATCACGGGCTATTGGGTTTGGGCGAAGATTATTGAAAACCTCGCTACCATTGGCTATGATACAAATACCATGTATTTCGCTTCTTATGACTGGCGACTTTCTTTCCATAACCTGGAAGTAAGAGATCACTATTTCTCCATGCTCAAATCTAAAATTGAATTCTTTAAAATGGCCACTGGTGGTTTGAAGTCCGTGGTTGTTACACACTCAATGGGTAAAATAATGAGAAAATGGTGATGCAAAGCGAGTTTTCTCAAACTTACCTTATTGATGTCGAACTAATTCTTTGCTACAATTATAGGCAGCTGCGTATTCCCTTACTTCTTAAAATGGGTTGAGAATGATTCTGGCGGTAAAGGAGGACCTACCTGGGTTGATGATCATATCGAGTCCTTTGTCAACATTGGTGGCCCCTTGATGGGCGTCCCTAAAGCAGTAACTTCTCTTCTTTCCGGTGAAACTCATGACACCATGGCGCTAGGTAGTTTCGGTGCCTATGTTTTAGAAAAGTTCTTCTCACGTCGAGAGCGAGTACGTATTATGCGTTCATGGTTTGGAGGCTCGTCTATGATTCCGAAAGGCGGTGAAGCGGTATGGGGACGACGGGATTTTGCCCCTGATGATGAAGAAGACGAAAAATATGAATCGTTCGGTAATATGGTGTCCTTTGTTCCTCATCCAGCAGGCATTGACGAAAATTCCACCGCTATACCCAGTTCGGCCAAAGATCCTCTTCTAAAGAATTATACTGTGGATGGCGCGATCGACTTATTGCTGAAAAATGCAGATGCGAATTTTGAAGAGCAGCTTGCTAAAAATTATTCATTTGGTGTTACAACGGATGAAAAGCAGCTTTTGAAGAATGAGGATGATCATACAAAGTGGTCTAGTCCTTTGGAATCGAGGTTGCCAGTAGCACCGAATATGAAGATTTACTGTATGTATGGGACGGGTGTGCCTACAGAAAGAAGTTATTACTACGCAGCAGCCGATGAAGCAGCGGAACAGACATGCAGGGATGATGAAACAATCGAAACATCCTGTGTAGAAGGGGCCGAAGATTGTAGCAGTGATGATAATGAGGAAGATATTACAGTGTCAATAAGTGAAGATGAAAGCAATAAAACAGCTAAGAAAAAACGCCATCATCATTTACGGGATTTGATGAAGGAGCAAACACCGTCTACACGTTTGGTAAAAAAGCATAATCTGTTTAATATGCCTATTCTAATGTTTACTAAGCGTAATATTATTTTAGTATATCGATGCTAGTGTAAACAATCCGGTTCGACGCATTGAAACTGGTATAAGATTTTCTGACGGGTAAATACCTATCCAATTCATATCCCTAATTAAAAAACATAGCACTAACATCCTTCTAAATTCATATATTTTGAATTTTTCTTCTTTTTTCGCTGTTGTATGTTGTAGCGATGGTACAGTGCCATTATTATCACTTGGGTATATGTGCGCTCCATCGGGTGGTTGGAGGAAACATGCTGAGTTATACAATCCGGGTCACAGTGAAGTTATTTTGCGTGAATATAAACATGAGCAAAGTCCCAGTAAATTAGACGTTAGGGGTGGATATAAAGCTGCAGATCATATTGATATTTTGGGAAATTGGGAGATGACTGTAAGTTAATTTTGAAGGGCTAGCATTTTCTCACGGCATATACGAGAGGGTATTGTACTCATGATAACTTTTTGTATAGCTGGATTTACTATCATTGGTCTCTGGAAAGGCTGAAAACGTAACCGAGAGAATATATTCGCCAATTGAAGAGTACGCAAAGAAAGTTCAATTGCCATGAAATGAATCATTACGTTATATTCGATGAAACACGTTTTTTAATATTCCCTGTTCTACTGTAATTGAAACTTTGAGACTTGCATACTTCTGTCTCTGCAAAAGTTTGTATAACTATCATTCGTCGCTGTTATTTTACTTGTTTACGTTTTATAATATGTAATACTTAAATTTTATGCATTTAACAATGCCTATAATATAACATTAATTCTGCGTACACTTACCTCAAGCTCAATGCAATAATCAATGTCTGTGCGCGCAACTCTAACCTAATTTTAAAAGGTTGCAGTTTGTAGGTAGTAATTTTCGACTCTTGGCATAAACCATGAATTCTCCTGAGATAACTGTAATGAATCCAGATTGACTAAATCAAAGTCGAGCTGGACAAATGGCTGGGAGAATTACTCCTGTAATGTTCAATGTATTTATCAGTATATTAATCCTGTGTACTACAGAAGCCAAACAAGTCATTTACTCTACGTAATCCAAAATCCATTCAAGAATATAATGCTCAATTTCAGGGAAAAGAAATCATTCCCAATTTTTTTATTCTTCGATTGTGCTTTCTACGCTTATGCTTTGACCATTTTCTATAGAGTCGCTAAAAAACCATATTCATAATCCATCTATATATCTTTTGGTGTTGGAGGTAATGTTAATCTTTCAAAACCGGTAATGATATAAATGAAGGAGTCAGTTTTCATTCATTTTAGAGTGTTTATCATAGACACAGACCGGAAGCTATATCATAGTAATGTAAGGCTTTCAATTTTTTGATCTGTTTCTTATGTTATAGAAAAAAAAAAGAAAAACCTTTGAAGATTGAGATAAAATTTATGAAAAATCGAAGTAAAGGTGAGGATTACAGCTTAACTACATGTATTCAAATTAACCTTTCTATTACTTAAAATACATTTCTATACTTTAAAACATTAATGGCATTAAGCCAAATATACTTGTCGCAATAAATTAAATCAAATTGACCTGAATGATGTTTCTCTTTTCGTTTAGGTTCTATACAAATTCTTTTATACTTCTATTTCAAAAAAATATGGCAAATCCTTTGTTTTTTGTTTTTTGATAAGGTAGTAGGTTTAGGAGAGGGTCTAAGAGGTCGGCTGCATTAGGATCAAAGGAAGGTCAAGTTGGTTATGGAAGTTTGTGTCATTGCAAAAGGTGAACTCTAATACTTTGCTCATAAAATGGCTTTTCATTTTCTCTATGTCTTTCTACCATACTTTTTCATGTGTTTTATATTTCTTTTACTCTGGATCAATAACCAATATACCTTCTCTCGAAGTGTAATGACACATTACTAAAAACGATTCTTTATTTAATATATGAAAAAAGAGGCTATTTATATATTTATATGTATTCCTTTTATGATTGATCATTCATATACTTCGTTCTTTTCGATTGATTGCTAGGTAAGAATATATTGACTGGGGCTACATTTCTCTCTGGTGATTCGACGAAAATTATTTGAAGCATAAGCACAGACTTCCACACGATCATACTTATAAGATTGCTCAATATGAGACAATGTGATTTTGTTGCAAGTTTCACTGCGAACTCTCTCCAGGCATAAAGATTTAAAACACTTTTTCAAAGTTGATTTAACTCTACCAAAGAGCTTACCAAGCTGAAATTCCCAACCTTGTGTCCTACAAAGTAGTTTTCATATCTGAACAATTGAACTATATAAGCAGATCTGCCAGCGAAATCAAAATAAATAAGTTGGTCGTCAGTGTCTCGATTGAAAAGATGGATGTCATTCAAAATACAGCTGTTGATCCTGAGATTTTTATTTTGTTGTTGTAATAATGTAGTTGTAGTGGAATTTGGCTTTTTGAATTCAATAGAGCATATTTCTACATCGTCAACATCAGTGTCAGTGCCAAGATCAGTTGCAACGAGGATATCAACTCTTTCTTCCATAAGTAATTTCGACTTCGTTTATTAGTTGCATTCTTTGTGTTGCTACAGACACCATTTCGCCTTCTTTCGATATCACGCTCGTATCATCCAGAAGAGGCCGTAAAGCACCAGGAAATGCATGCAAATAAAATGATTCAGAGAGTTTTGGCTCTCTCTTGTACTGTTTCATGATTTTAAGACTAAGAATAATGTTGAATATTATACATAATAAATAAACAATATGTGAAAAATATTACATGGCATCAATCGTTGATAATAGTTTATACGCTTCACAACTTTTATTAGTTTCTTCTGCTTTTCTAGTATCAATGAAGTCCAATATTCTGTCCATGGTATTGCTATTGAAATTTAAAGATGTTTCAGTTCTTTGTCACTACGCATATATAACAGTGTTATACAGTTTATTAACTTTAGATTCGGACAACACACACAAAATTTTTAGACGATAAGGAAATTAAGTTTAAGCGGATGTAAGATAATAGTAGACCATTAAGAATAAAATGTTAGACAGTTTGCACAACACTAGAAAGTATAAGGTTTTCATTCTTTTTACCTGTAATTATCAAACTGGGTTCGTTCCAGCGATGTTGAGGGAGAGGAAGATTTTATATTTTTGTCCGCGTGAATTCTTTTGGCCTTCCTAAAGCCTTCCAAATAGCACAACTAATTTTCATCATATTCTTAGCAGCATTGACGTCTCGATTCCACAGTATATGGCATGTCTTACAAACAAGTATACTGCAGGTCTCAACGCCTTTCAACCTCTCCAAAGTATCGTTCGAACAGCAGGAGCATATTCTGGATGTCTTGTATTCATCAATTTCAAGTACTACCAAGTCTCCGCTTGCTTCACGTCGCTTTAGTGCACGCCACAAAACACCCACCGTTCCACATCGGTGACCCTTCAATGCGACATTGTCTTTAGCGAACATACCATTACCAAATACAATGAGAGGCACTTTTTTGACATCACCGACACTGAAAGGTTGGGGCCTCCATTTGGCATTTGAACTACTATTACAAAAAACATGTTACTTTCTATAAGTTGTTGATGATGATTGCTTATGAACTTTACCTATCTTTCTTATCTAATTCCATTTTAACTTCTGGCGTCCCTTCTTTTATACTCTTTTTCTCTGGTGCTCCTTTCTTCTTCTTTTTTCTTCTTTTCTGAGAAACCGCCTTGCCATTGTTCTTCTTCTTTGAACCCTTCTTTTCTTTTTCTTCTCTCTTCTTCAATCTGAGATCCCCATTATACTTTGTACTGCCATTAACTAGCATATTTACCATTTTGGCTGCTGCACGTTTCCGTCCTTAGTATAAATGAAATCGATCTTTGGCAGTGTCATCACCGTAGAAAGAAAACAAGACTTCCAAGTGCTGTAGGATGTATGCTGCATAACAGTGATATTGGGCTTTGGAGCCTGTCTTGGCAGTTGGTATATCACTTTCGATGTTCTTTATGGTACCAGCTTTCTTCTTCTCTAGCCTTGCAGAGTACCTGGTGCTACCAGTCATATGGTAGTATTCTTTGGTAGAACAGCTTCGCACCTGGTGCTTCGTTACGTCTATCCCAATTGCTGCTGTGAAAACGTCTCTTCTACCAGGATCAATGAAGCAGGGTCTATAACCAGATTCGACTTCGGCATAATCAAAATCTTCCAAAGTCAACCGATGGTCTTCGATGGTTTTCTCTTCTTTTGATTTCCTCTTCTTACTAAAAATAAAGTCGACAGTGAAGCCATCCGAGCGGACGATATTACGGAATAGGGTCTCTTGGCTTGTCTTGAGGTCATTCAAACTGTTGTCACAAAAAATGAAATTCAGTAAATACCAATGTCAACATTTCTGCCAAACCTTTTTTTTTTTTTTTTTTTACCTATCAAATCCCATCTTTTTGAAGCTGAACACTTGATAAAACTTTTCGAGTTGATTTGTATAGCCTTTTGGAGCTGTACCGGGAAACATGAATGGGAGGAGCGAGTTGACGCTTATGGAGATGAAACGCCAATGGAGCGAAGGCAGAGGGAAAGGGAAGAAGCGCTTCGGTAACGGTAATCTACGGACATCGTAAGCTGCATGTTCGTCATGTTCCTTTTCATACGAGGATAGGATGTGCCATAATGCTTTGGTAAACTTGGCGGGATCGGATGATAAGGAAAGCAGCGTAACCTTTTCCGTTATAAGTTTCTCAAAGCTTTTGCATAGCATCTCTATCTTGCTTTTGTCTTCTTTACTAAGCATGATTCTATCAGGCCAGTTGGGTTCGCCTTTGCAAATTACTTGGTAGCAGTATTCTTTTGATATTTCCACTGCGTCGGTCTTCTTCATGCTCTGATTATTATAAAGCAAATACAAATGGTTAGAAACTAAGAAATCGAAATTATAGTAGTGATAACAATACGCACAACAAACATGTTTTGCAGCTTATAGGTTAGATATTTAAGCACTCGTTGTTCAAAAAGCTCAACAATAGAGTTAGTATACGAAACGCTTATCTCCTTGGCGGCTTCTGTGAGACAGTGGCTGTAACCTTTAGTGAAACTCTGACTGATTACTATTGTCGGATGCTTTTCCTTAAAGTCATCAAAATAATTTTTGATGTCGTCGTTCAGCGCCTTCTTGTGAGTAACCTTTTTGCCCGTAACGAGTTGTCCAACAGAATACCAAAATTGCTGTGTGAAGACTTCTGAAGGAATGGCATTCTTATTATGCACGAGGTAGGCATTAACAAATAGCTGGCAGCGAAACACTATAGCTCTGATGTCCTTGCAGCAGGAGATGACCTTTTCCTTGAACTTTTCACGAAACTGTGGTAAAACGGCACTGTCGATAGGAAGCTTCCTCGCAAAAACAGTAGAATCATGGCCAAGGACAGATGAAATGGCCTCGTCCTTTGATTGTATGTGATTAGGACAAAGAGGCGAACGAGGAGAAGCATGGTCATCATTCCCACAACTGGAACACTCTACAGCCTGTGATGCTGTTCTCTTCTTTTTCACTGCTTTCTTCTCTGCTTTAACACTGGCGCTCTGTTTTCTCTTCTTATTGCGAGTCCCAACTATATGTGGAAGAGATGGTCTATTACTTGGCTTGTGTGGCTAAAGGCAGGTCGAGGCTCAACTTACCATCATCGGCGGATATAGCTTTATGGTACTTGCATCCCGGGTAATTTTTATTAAAGTGACCCAAATCATTACAGTCCTTACATTTGGTATGCTCTGAAAAGTGTACAATAAGGTTACTAATGTCTCAAACTACACATTGTATAGTGATATGCCATTACCGGGCGGATTTTCCTTCTTGGTATGATTTTCTTTCACTGAATTGATTTTATCTATGATGATTGTCTTGTACATGTGTGTAGAAAATAACGTTGGTTTGAAGGTAATGAAGTGAAAGAAAAAAAGAAGATAAGAAAATAATTGAAAAAGGTGAAAGATAAGAATGATCACTAAATTTTGGCAACATAACATGTCGTTTAACAACATTTATAATAACAGTATGATTTACGCGTTTAATGTCACATTTAAAAATACGCAGATATTAAAAAATTTGATCCGATACAGTAATTTAGCGTTGGATTTAACAAAGCTGCCATATGAATGGAGAGTACAAACCAGATTTTTGAGACGTCTACTCAAACCTTCAAATTTGGCACAGAGCTCCTGTCTTGCAGCTTCAATTGTTGTCAAAGGTCTCGCATCAAATAATGCTATAAGAAACTCAGTATGTTCTGCAAAAAGCTTCTTTGGTCGAGAGATGCCGGTTCTTGGCTTGCTACCAGGAAGGACTGTACCATCACTAACATTCCACTGATCTGAAAACTTATAAGCGGTGAACCTCGGAATGTCACACTCAACCGCAGCTTTGGGAACTGTAAGCCCAGCCTCTTGGATTAAGTGAATCAACCGTCTAATGCTGTGCTCACTATATTGCTTGCGCTTCTTGGACTTATCCGTTAATGCGACAGTGCTGAATTCTGTTGTTAATTCTTCAACAGTTTCTTCCATTTTCGCATCATCGACTACAGGGCGCCGCGCGCTGCATCTCATCATAGTCGACGATCTTCTCAATTTGCCCGAAAGTAACAGCAATTTCATCCAAGTCCATAGCAAAAGTATTTTCGGAAAGCATAGGCTCACTTGCAGGATTATAATTTATGTAATCCATGTTGCAGGGATGTGTTTATTTTAAAGCAAAAGAAATCTACTCAAAATATCTCGTCTACCATAAAAGCCTACTTCGTCTAAAATCAAAAATCTATAGTCCACTAAAAGAAAAAGAAACGTCCCAATTAAGGTACCGACTTCGTCCACAAAATTTTCGAAATCGTCTCTTATGAAACCTAAAATACTGTAATACTCACTGTAATCTCCGACGAGGAAAGAGAGCTACTTGCTGACGTAACATGTGAGCGACCAAATCACTCATTTACCAAAAATGGAAATAGTTAAACTCCGATTAGTCGAGCCGATCTCACAGAAATGCCATTTCTCAAACAAAAAACTATTTTGCTATTCCGTTGATAGTTCGCGGAATCTTTCATCGAAAATTGTCTGCGTAATCAATTTTCCCATTGGGGATTAAAAAATGAGAAATCTAGTCTATGTATAATGATGAGAATTGTCAACCATAATGACAACAAATAGATAGATAGGGACATTGGCGAAATTAAATGCCATAAACGGTGAGATTCTGAAACATACGACTAGATCATTCTGTAAACATTTTTCTAGTTTTTTATTATAGTTTAACATTAGGATGAATAAATAAATAATTGATGAGGTATAAATCTATTTCTTTATTGCTTTTCCAATTCTTCCATATCAATGTCAGAATAACCTAATAAGGTCAACACATATTTCAAACTCTTTTGATTAATACGCGCCCTGGCTTGAGCTTGTACCCGAGGTTTAGCATTGAAAGCGATGCCTAGACTAGCCTTGTTTAACATCCATAAGTCATTGGCACCATCGCCCACGGCAATCACTTGCCTCAAAGAAAGCCCTTCCGCTTGTGCAATGACCTCGAGTAATTCTGCTTTACGAATACCGTCCACAATGGGGCCAATCGTTCTACCCGTCAGTGTAAGTCCATCAGCAGATACTTCAAGCTAAAGGATAAAAGAGGAAACACAAGTTTGTCAGTGGAACGCGGAAAATAACAGTACGCTCTCCAAACAATAACATTTACATGGTTGGCGAAGGCATAATCTAATCCTAATTCTGATTTTACGTATGATGCCAAAGGCATGAATCCACCACTAATTACTGCCAACTTGAATCCCAACTTCTTCAAAGCTCTACATAAGTATTTGGCTCCTTCTGTGAATATCAAAATTTGCTTAACCTCCTCCAACACTTGTACACTCGTTCCAGCAAGAAGGGCAACACGGCGTCTTAAAGATTCTTTAAAGTCAATCTCACCGTTCATGGCCAACTCAGTGATCGCTGAAACTTGTTCTACAACACCAGCATATCTTGCTATTTCGTCAATCACTTCTTGATAAATCAGCGTTGAATCCATATCAAAGACCACCAATCTTTTATTCTTACGATACACATCATCTTTTTGAAATGCAATATCAGTTCCTTCACGAGTGGACAGCTCAATGAGTTCACTACGTAAATTATCCATAATAGTTTCAAGAGGGACACTGAGGCGCAAATCAACACAAGATAATAAGGATGGTTTGTTGAGGCGTGTCCATTTCTCAATTGAAATACGATGTTTCAATAATAGCAATGTAAAATTGTTCAAAAATGCAGCAGAAAGGCCATTTTGATTGAAAAGTGTTGCAGCATACTTGACACGTTGTGAGTAAGGTGCTTCTTCCAACGAAGAAGGAACAGTGTAAATAGGTGACAAAGGTTTCTCCAAAACTGTCGATGCTGATTTCGGATCAGCTGTTTGTCGATCACTTGATTGATGGCGTACAACAGGTTCTATGGCTTGAGAATCTGGTATATCATATGTTAAAATTGCATCCCATTTTTTAGCAGCCTCAGCTAAGTCCCGAAACATCGCTACGTTATCCTCTTGCAATGTTATCAGCACACCAAATGTAACTTGGTGGTAGAGACGAGATAGCATTACATCGTCAATATCACATGGATGACGAGCCAAACAAGACAGCACAGCGCCGACAATGTCTGTACCATGGGGACCTGATAAAGAGACTAGTACTTTTTGATTTGGGCCGATAAAGGCAGGCGGTAAGGCTTTGGCAGAGGCGTGTTGTATTTGCGAAGATCGACTGCGTACAGGTCGAGTTGAAGGTGGCGGTAGTACATCCTTAACACCCTCTGTATATTGGTGTTGTTGCTGGATTTGACTCATAATCAACTTTTTGAATTGATTAAGTGCATTCGCTTTAACAAAAGAAAGTTGAGCAACACGTTGTAAATATGGCTCTGAAAGAGCTAAGCCAGAGTGCCGATCACTCTTTTTTAAAATTTTTGTAATGGCAGTGTAGTTGAGAAATACAAAACGCTCCAAGATGATGATCTGTCTGAGGTGGGCAACTGCTTCTGATTCAGGCAATAACACAATGACATTCTCATTGACCTTGTGCCCTTCCTTAATGATACGGGCTGATTCAACATCGAACCAATGACATACTTTGCTAACTTCGACTTCAAGTTGCTGGATGAACGTGACTAGACATGAGTTAAGCTGAGTCAGTCGATCAGAGACAATATCGGCAAAAGAACGCTTCTGTTCAACATCTGTAGTAGAGGACGATTTGATAGAATGTGGCAAAACATTGCTTTTCAAAAAGCCTTTCAATTGATTGTAGTCGATACAATAGTCAGCGTACGGAGAAGGTAAGTGTCTCTTCCTTTCCTCCAAAAAATTACCAAATTTCATAAAAAAATAAAACAAAGGGGGAAAGGAAACAAAAGGGATAGACCTCCCAATGTGTTTACAGCTTTTTTCCATAAAAACAGCGGCTATTGAATTACTTCTTGCGCTCCTCAACTTTTGAATTAGCAGTGTCTAACACGTAAGTCGCTGGTCCTATATCTATTCTCCTCGTTTTGGCTATTGAAGAAAGCATTGATAATAGGTTACTTATTATGAAACAATCTATCTTAGAAATGTACGAGTCTCGATTTTGTTGTCTGAGAAGAGTGCACGTACAGGTTGAATTCGCTAACATCTCTTTGTAGGTTTGTAACGGCTGCTTGGGTAAAGATATGGATGAAGCGAGGATTGTGGTGGGATCATCGATATACGGTATCAAAGATTGCAATGCGCTGGGAATGCGGCGAAGAATATGCTTTGATTTGCAGATTATATATGAAATAATAATGAGCATCCCGAAATATTTTCACGCAATCGCCATAACGAAAATGATGCTGCCACGCGCTAAATAATGAGTCATTATTCTGTGCTACCGAACGTTCTACGATTTAAGATGGGTATGCTGTGTTTCTTGTACAGTATGCTCACCTCGTTTTGGCTTTGTAACGCTTTGTCATTCAGTCTTATGGCTGCAACAGAATGTTAGTAAGCCAAGCATAAACGTGCCTTAAAATATTTAAAGTGAGGACCGCTAATTCATTCTCCAAACCGTGATCGTTACATTACAAACAGCTTGTCTTATCTCTGATTTTACCACATTTGGTAAATTAATATCTTTCTTGTTTTATAAGTGTCCGTATTACATAAAATTAAGAGAAAACTAAAAAAAAAAAAAAAAACTTGAGAGATAAGGGATGAACAAATTCATGATAAAAGGAATAAAATGTAATCCAAGTAAGCAGAGCTGCATTGGTTTAAGTATGCATGTACTTTATAGGCAAAACCTGAAAAATTGAGTTGACCATCACTCACTGAAGAGCTAGCTGTTCATAGGTCTCGTGGGCAATTCTTATATTGTTTCATAATATTATAACTAATCAGTACACCTAGTAATATTATGATTAGAAGAGCTTCAAATTGAAAAGACAGCGCCATGCTCAAAATTTTTGTCCATAAAATGGTACGATCTCTGTTTTGGCTGACGCTCATGTTATCAACCCGCTTTATCAATACGATTTATATGCTCGCAGCCTTCATGCTCTCAATGTGCGTGTTATCTGAGCTCCAACTATAGTGAAATGTTCCTTGCTCAAGATAAGGTAGCGTAAAGTATGTCGATTTTTGTTCAAGCTTCATTTATCGTAATGGGAAAGCAGTTGAATTCATATTAATGGAAATTCTCAATAAAACAGTTATACCTGAGAAAAGTGTAAATCATGAACTTCCTATGTATATTTATAACCTCCAATTGCACACAAAATGTCTTTAAGCAGAAAAGATAGTCTCGTATACTTGTGTTAAACGTATTGCGCGAATTCGTGCTATTCGAAACGATAGTATTCTGACATTGCGGAACGTTGAGTAAATTTTTTGCAATCAATTTTTATTCAGATATTATGTATATACAAAGAGATTATCAAAAAGGAAGAAATTGTTGATAAAGCGGAAGATTTAAGTTTAAGACGAGGGTGTCTCCGTCGTTGTTGTATCAGCATGTGTACTGAGATTATTCGGAGTAGATAAATGGGTTGCATAAGATTGTGAAGGTTGTTGCTGTGGTGGTTGGGTGTAGTTTTCGGTAGCCATACTAGAAGATGTTGCAGAAGACGAAGGCACTGTCATTGTAGCAACTGGTGGGTCACCAAATGCTCCTTGCCTTCTGATCTTTTCCATGAAACCTATTACACGAGCCAAATCCAAATCAGGTGGATCACTTTCGATAGCTAATGTTAAAGGCTCTACTAAGTCGTCTATCTTTTCAAGTGGTAAGTTACAGCAAGCTGCAATCAGTCGTTTGCATTGTAGTTCTCTTTCCATATATTCATGTTGCAAATTTTGGATTTCATGCTGTAACGCTTCATCATTCTTTTTGTATGCTGTGATAGTAGCCCTTAGTTTTTTTATATACTCTTCAACGGTTATTTGGTCTGCCGGATTATCAATGTCATCACCAAGGATGAGCTTATCTATATCTTTGTTCAAATTTATGGATGACTCAATCTCTTCCAGAGTAGGTAAGATTCTTTGAGATTGATTTTGGGGTTCTTTCTTTATATCTGCTTTCTCTTCGTCGTCTCTATTTTCCGCAGTTCCACCGTAATGATACATCAGCCACTCTAACTCTTTATATTGGTTCTGTATAATTGTTTCTATATGACGCGCCTTTTGCTGGGATTCCGCTAGCTGTTGGGACTGCTGTTGACGTTCTTCTAACCCTTTTCGCGTAGTATCTAATTCACTGGTCACTTCCTCCAAATCTTTCAATATACGTTGAAGTTCTTGTTCTTTTACCGCTAATTGATTACCATATTCATCATCCAGTGCATCTACAATCTTCTGCACGGCTATGCGATTGTCATAAAATCAATGACGCATTAAAAACTGATTATTCTATTTGTTTTCTTTTTTTTTGAGCAACTGTGGTAACTTACTTGCCATAATCTCCTTGCCTCTTTGGCTTGGCGCATAGGACCTTCTAGTAAAGTCGGATAGATTGCTCTGTTGATGATGCTGCTGCTGGATTGGAGTGTCAGATGTAGATTTAGCAGTCTCTCCAATTTCGGCATTTCTCAAATCGTTATGATCCGCAACACTGAGCTCGCTCAAGTTCGTTGTAGTGCTCGTTGCACCTGCATCTTCCAACATTTCCATTAAAGGCTTACACCCTAGTTTTGCTGCAACCATGTATGCTGTATCACCTAAAGCATCCTGCGCATCTAAAATATTCCTGAAATCTTCATCTACTGTTGCTGTTTCAGCGGACGCTTGATCCATATTTACTGTTGGCTTTATCTTACTAACGATATAATCCAACATTAATTTCATATAATAAACAGAAGCATGCATTCTACCTTGAATGCCAGCTGTCATGGCCGCATGATGTAACGCTGTCCTTTTCTTATTGTCCGTCACTGTTAAGGACTCCTTCAGTAAATCAAAAATCTCATCAAAGCAATGATGATCGAAATTGTTGACGACCATTACACCACGCATCAACGGAGTCTCACCGACGTAGTTCGTGCAAGCGATGTTAGCGCCTAGACCAACCAAGAGCTTTACGGTTTCAGAACGGGCCAGAGAAGTGGCCCAATGAAGAGCGGTATTTCCTTGGTCATCAATCACCATATCAATGTTAAAAGGCTGATCTTTGTTTTGTTGCTGTTGTAGCTGCTTTTGATGCTGACCGTTCAAGTAAGGCAAAATAGAATCAGGTTTATCTGATAAGAATATGGACATCAATAAGCTACGATGAGTGTTGCTGCTATTATCGTCATCTGACATTGCCGTCGTTGTATTTTTGGTCATGTGTTGTGATTGTTGCTGGTAAGAATAATTACCCATACTATGACCTGACGATAGAGGGGAAGGTTGACGTTGATATGAATTTGAAGCTATTATAGTCTGACCATCATAAACAGGAGTGGCAGGTTTAAATTTCTTTCGCGCTGGTGAGGTTATGGATCTGTGATTGTCATGTGTTGTATGAAGAGAAGACGGATTATCTGAAGGATTGTACGTTTGTGGAATAGGTGAGTGAGGTGTCTAATATAAAGTTTGGTTAGATGGGAGTAATATGCTCAACAAAGTCCAGCACTTACAATAGCTGCCGCTGAAGCTGCATTACCACTGGTAGAACTATTGTTACTTCTATTTCTATTAACACTGGCGGCATTTCCAGTAATGGCTGATAACTTTTTCTTTGCTAGTTTTGTCTGTTCTTTAGTTAACAAGCCTTCCACACGTTCACGTTGCGGTGTGTTGATGTCATCTATTTCAAAAAAGAGCAGAGGAGCCAGCGCATCTCGAACACCATATTTCTCTGCCAATTCGACACTTCTTTCATAAGGGATCCTATTTCAAAATTGTTCATCAATGCTCCATTGCTCCTCTCTATCAAAAGATGATGCTTTACCATGTTCCTTGATATTTTCCGTATCCTCCTTGCACTTTTTCATGTGTACCAGTCAACACTTCTTTCTCTAAAATTTTTGTTCGTTTTCCCTTTTCGATGTTGGCTACTTTTAGTATTTGAGTTGCATTCATATAGGAGTCATTTCGCCTTCTCATGACGGCCACTCCATTGACCACCATTTCAAAGACTGGGATGCCTGAATAGATTGCAGAATATATTTCGCCTACTTCGACCATTATATTTTACTGTAATTCAGAAGAAATGAGTAAGAATTCAAAACACAGAAAAAAAAAAAAATGAAATAGAATAAAATAAAAAAAAAAATATCTCCAGAAAAAAATCATGGAAATAGAAAAGAGAAATACGGAGAAAAAAGATACGCGTCTTCGCTTCTAACTGGTTAGACCAAAAAAGGGTTCTGTGTTTTTCACTTTTAGTATTTAAAGCCCCGTAGAATACTGGCTTTCACTAGATGCAGAATTCTTTCTTTGATTATTTTCTGCCTAAGTGTAAAACAGCTTTGCTTTTATTTTTGCCAAAATGCAAATAGAGCTGACCATACCATGGCATCAATCCGCTGTCATATTCGAAACAGATCAATGTGATTCAGATCGAGCGGATCTTTAATTAAAGTAACCCTAAAATCATGCATAAGGCAGCCTTCTTCCTTTACGCAGCTTTTTTCTTCTCCCCTTGTTACAATTATTCGACTACTATGGCACCCACTTTACGTAAAAGGAGAAGAAAATTTGAGAGTAGTAATAGAAACGAGAGTGAGAGAAAAAGCAAACGACCGAAAGCAGACGAGGTAGAAACAGGAAAGGACACTATCGCGAAAACAAATGACGAGCCAACAGATGCGGACTACAACGATCGCACAGATCTGGAGTTTGAATCGCAACAAAAACCATTAAACTGTAGAACAGATACTGACCAAGACGAAGAAGATGACGAAGAGGAATGTGACTGGGAGACAATAGAAGTTTCTGAAGGTGATAGAGTGTCAACTTCTGATGCTATGACGACTTCTCCTACAACGTCAACTTCTAACTTGGAGGAACATTTGGAAAATGAGTACTATGAGCATCAACCAATATATAATGATGTTGAAATTGTAATGGAACAACAAAGCCGGCCAACGACAACGAGAAAAAATATGTCAGCCTACGAAAGAGAATACCAGCGACAGCTACGAGAATGGATTCATCATAGCCATGTTGTCTGCCTTACTGCCCATTATAAATTAAGAAATATTTGGTGTAATCAAATCAAATCTGCCTGTCAGAGTATCATACCTTCCCATTTTTGCCGCAGCCGCTGTCAAATTAAAAATACAAAAAATTTCCTTAAAGCTTTTGTAGACTGGTGGCGCAAAGAGAATGGGTTTGTCATAACGGGACCAGGACTTTTGACAATTCCGTATAATCCAACTTATCTCAATGGTTGTCAATCCCTAAAAGATTGGATAGATGCGCGTAGCTCTGATGAGAATGGTGATTTTATACAGGACAAAGAAGAATTTGCACAAATAAACCAAGGAACCAGAGATACAAATGCAGAATTGTTCGTCGCTATGTTGAGAGCGTGTGAGATTTTTGATGATGTGCGTTTGGTTTGCTCTTTGCAACCCGTTCCGTATAAAATACCCCCAGCTAATAGTTCTGCATCGAGTAAAAGCAGTAATGGTGTTGATGTAAATAATGCCTCCAACCAAAATACAAGGAAACTTGAAAAGGAGGAAGAGCAAAGTAACAGTCAAGAATCTTCGACAGAATTAAAAAACGAAAAAAGGAAAGCACGCACCACAAATAAATTTAACTTGCGAAAGCCTGCTCCAACGCCTCAGGTTGACTACAACACTTTACTAAGGGACCCTTTCAAGGCTGCTAATAGACCGCCTACTGTATGGGCCGAAGTTTATTGTGATACATTGAAACGGTGGATCTGCGTCGATCCTATACGCGGCTTCATTGATCAACCGCTCTTAATGGAACCCAATCATAAGGCACGCAACTATCAATTATCATTTGTCCTCGCTTTTGATCAAACTAATCAAGTGACCGATGTTACTCGTCGCTACACAGCTCGTTATGAGAAGGCAGTTTTTGCGCGGGAACGATCATTGACCAAAAGAGAGAAAGAAGCAGGGATGCTTTCATGGTCAGACCTTTTTCTTTCACAGCTATGCCACCGTCGTGTACAAAGGAAGCGTGACAGAAGGGAACAGGAGGAGTTTGCGCAGAATCAATCTAAAGAAGTCATGCCTACAGTTTTTTCAGGTTTCAAAGATCATCCTTTATATGCTCTAGAACGACATTTACTTACCTATGAAATTATCTATCCCAAAACCAAGGATCAAGTGTTGGGCAAAATCAAAGGCGAGGCAATCTATCCACGGCAGAACGTGAAAACCGTACGAACTGCAGAAGCGTTCTATAAGATAGGGCGCGTTATTATGGAGCGTGAACAGCCAGTTAAAATGGTGAAAGCACGAGCAGTGACGATGGAAAAAAAAAGATTGAAAGAACAGGCAAAACAAACTGGAGAAGACTTACTGGTGGCATGTTACGGAGAATGGCAAACGGAGCCTTATAAGGCTCCACCAGTGAAGGATGTAAGATGCTTTTACTTTGAAAAATAATACAAAGCCATTCGTGATAACTCAACGCATGCTCTTTATTCTAGGGCAAAATACCGAAAAATAGCTATAACAATATTGATCTGTTCACACCAGCTATGCTGCCAGAAGGAGCAGTACACTTACCTTGTAAACGTTTATTTTTGTGTTTCAAATTCGTATATATATAAAAAAAAAAAAAAAAAGGGGGTTTACTAATTGTGAATTTATTGTTTCGTTAGATAAAGGAATTGCTAGCGTGGCTAAAAAACTTGGAATAGATTATGCCGAGGCTGTAGTAAGTCATCTTTGATTTTCAAGCGATGGCTATTTGTCTTAACATTATTTTGTTTTTTTAAATCTAGGTTGACTTTGAGTTTCATAAAATGAGAGCAGTTCCTGTGGTTAACGGAATAGTAATAGCAAATGAGAATAAGTGGCTTGTATTAGAGGTATACATCAGTACATTGATTTCCTGGTAGAAATGCTGATTAACATTTTGTAGGCTTGGGAGGAGCAGGAAAAAGAAAAGGCTATGAAAGCTTTCGAAAAACAAGAAAAAGAGGCGATTGCACGATGGAAAAAATTGATCAAGAGTATATTGATAGATGCTAGAATAGATCGTGATTATGGCGGACATAAAGAGCAGCAATCCGTGAAAGAACGATGGGATACATTCGCTGCAAACAAGGAAAAGTCACAAGGGGAATATGATACAGATGAAGACGGCGGCGGTTTTCTACCTAATGATAATGATGCTGCAGATTCTTTCTAAGGTGCTTTACTAGGCGAAATGGTGCATTGAAGCACATGTCGACGGTGACAGGCTTTCGCTCACAGATTTCAACCAATCACTATACTAAAATTATTCCTACTACCTCCTTCTTGACCTGGTAATATTTTCTTTTTCCATTCTATCTTGCCAACATCTGGCATTTCCGTCAGTTCGAATAAATAATAAGCGAGCTTACTGGAGAAGTGATAATGCACACATTTTGTATAACCGATGGACGACATCATAGTCAAAAAATGCTGATGACTCATATAACGTGAATTGTTGATACATGGCAAAGGAAGTACCAAGAACAAGTAATGGAATCGATCTTTCTGAGCAGGTGTATATAGGAAGTGTCTAGAATGTACCAGCATTCGCCCTAAAATATGCTACTTGTTAGATCTACCTCCATCAATCGCATACGAGGGTTTGCAGATATCTAGCTTACCTCGATCTCTTGGATCGCCCACAAAATTAATAACTAAGCTCAGACATAATATGTCAAATTTCTGTTCTGGAGGCTTCATTTTTAAAAAATCTTGCTGCTCAATATCTTGATGCTGTGGATTCAGATCAATAGCTCTAGCATGTATCCAGCTTTTGTAAAGTTTATAATTGTCAGGCGCCACCGCTCCAACGTCTAGGACATGGAGTGGTTTTTCTATTTTTTCCAACAACGAAGGCAACCGCTCCTTCATAGTTTGAATCAGCCACTTTGACGAATCACCTCCTCGTCTTTTACTTTGACCGAGTTGAGAAGCCTTTTGATACCAATCCAATCCTCCCATAGCTTCCATTTCTTGTAGAATTTCCTGTTCCCGCTGTGAGGTTGATGACTGCTTCCGACATTTTGCTAATTCCTTATTCAAGACGTGGAAACGACGAATGAGTCGAGCTGTTTCGACTCTTGACTGTTTGAATTTGACCTTATCGTTCTTATGGTTGTTATGAAAAGCGTTAGTAGGCGTTACAGTGTTTACAGAACTGGTGATCGGCAGCTTTTTCCTCTGCTTCTTTTTACTCATTCTTTGTTTATCATGTATCAACGAAAAAGAAAGGTGTATCAATGCTGAATGACATTCGAATGTGTGCATCGTTGTGACTTCGAATTGTTGCTTTCTGCACCCTGTCCTCTTTCCAACAGCAGATGGATTTCTCCGTTGCATCCTTTTCAACATTAAGATACCAAGACAGAAGTTATGTCTGCAGCCAGAAAAGTAATCCTTACATTATTTTCATCGAGCAACTGCTCTCTTTGTTCAACAGCCCAAAAATCAATTTTGAATGTTCAGAAGGAGGTATTACAACACTCATGCTTTTAACACGTGCTATCGAAACTTACTATTACTACTGTAGATACCATTTACATTGAAAATAATCGATATCCATCAAGATTCCGAATGTCCTAAGGAATATAAAGAAAAGTACATATTCGATATACCAGTTCTCCATTTAAATGGTCAATTTTTGATGCAGCATCGAGTGTCTGAGACTGCTCTGGCAGAAGCTATCAAACATTATCGAAAAGAGGGTGAAGTAGAACCAAAATATTGATATTTCGTAAGAGATGTGTATGAGCATGTGTCACAATACTTTATCAAGTGCAAACTGTCGTATAAAACTCTTCGAAAGAGACTACTTTCCCATACTTGCTTTCATCCGCGTTATTCATTTCTGGATTCATTGTGATGTACTTATTCAAGTTATGTAGACCTTTAGTTATTGGAGGATAAGCTGGTGGGGGTTTTACAAACATTCCATCTTCATTAAGCTACAATAATATGAATAGTTGATGAATTTCTATAGACTTACACATAGCACCTGCTACTGACAGGCAGCGAATCTTTTCCTTCACTATTACGCTCATACCATATGACTTCTGTCAGATTCGAAGTGCTCTAAGTAAACCTCAGCTGATAACAATCTGAACTTGGGTCTGTATCGTTTGTCAACTGCTGCATTAGGTTGGAACGTTTTAGAAATATACACCTCTGCTGGGCAAGGAAAAGGCAATGTTGTATCAAAGTCGTAAACGAACGACTTACTATTCGTAGAGACATTTAACTTCAAAATCAAAGATTTCATTTCTGAAATGGACTTACTCCTCATTGCAGTAATAAAGAAACACATGATAATCCTGAGGAAAATATGAACGACAAATGAGAAATAAGAAATGAGACTTAAGAAATCATCTTAACTTTCGCAATATATTACCCAAATGACGACATGCTCTTCGCCATGACCAGCAAGTTGTTGCCATAGCGCTACCTATAAGAACTCGCATTAGTTTTTGACAGCTAATAGAATCAGAATCGGCAATCTTCGAACATACTGTTTTGAATTCGTTGCTGACGAAAATAACTGAACATCCTTTAAATAACTTATAGTCTCTGCGTTGAATTTCTCTACATAGCATATATATATTTTCCTCGCAGTAACACGGTGTATAAAGCAGATCCTGCTTACTGAGGTCAAGACATCGAAACTCTTCAAAGGAGAAGGTCGGAAAAATGCTTCTGCCGCTTTGTGAAGATTGTTGTCTCGCAGCCATAAAGTAAAAGTTGCAGTACTCTACTGAAAAAGTCAAATCAAAATTTATTGAACCTAGTGTTTGTAGATTTCCCTTCGCTCATTCGTCAGCCCTAAATTATCAAGGCAGAAAGATAGGCAAGAACCGCACGCCATTCACACTCTTGTTGCGTATTAAACTTACAACAATTATTGATTGTATAATAAGAGTTCAAAGTGGATTATACTATCTAGTTGTCTATCGTTATAGTGAGAGCGTAGATGTTGGGTTTTATTCCACAAAGCGAAAGGCAACATGTGGTGCCTTTGTGTAAACTTGACGTAACCGAAAGATTATTCCTGCGGCTTGTTAATTATGGCAGCAGGATTTTTTTTTTGTAAATAGTTGGTTTTTTTTTTAAAGGGAGTCAACTCCGGTTTTATTTAGAGTCTTTCAAATGTCACATCAACAGAGGAGGGAAGTGAAGGACTTGACATACAAGATGCCGAGAGAAAAGAAAAGAATAAAAAATAAAATAAAATAAAAGGGTGTCGATAGTAGAAGTAGTTATGGAATATCAGAACTATAAAGCTCCTCGTTTTCCAAACGAGACAGGATGCGTGCGATGGATGTAATCACGTTTGTAGGCACGAAAGGGGTAGAGTGAAAAATGAAGGCCCAATGGGCATGCCATATACCCAAGAGGGTGCAGGCAAAAAGCTCGTATAGTGACAAGAGTTGAAGGGGAGGGAAGGGAATCTAATGTTATTAATGGAAGTGAGCCGGCAAATATTTTGAAGTATTTGTAGGAAGTTGGGTCGATCAATGTTGATGAGAGGTGAATAGTAGCGTTGGAAGATAGTCGACCAAACTTCATGCTTAAGGGGCAGTCGTAGAGGAAGTGGTCTAGTGTTTCGGGGATAGATGATGAGCATAGGCGACATACTGACGTTGGACGATGTTGAGGAAAGATACGATATTTTGTATATGGTAGAAATAGATCACAATAGAAAGAAAACAAAAAGGAAATCTGTGAAAACCAAGTTATCTTCTTTAGTAATTGAATATTCAGATGAAGAATGAAGACAAAACCATGTAGGAAAAAAGTAGTTCTATTTATCTTTGTGGATATTGTAAAAAACTTTTTCTATCGGGACCCTTAGGTACAAGATGACCTGATGATAAAAGAAACGACATACCCACTTGCTACAGCACGGTTAATCGTGACAGAGCGGTGCCTTGACCGATTGGATCGGTAAACGGAGGTAAGTGAGTTGATCTGATGAAAGATTCCTTTGACCCGTACCTCGGCAGATTCATTATAGCTAACGGGACGGACAGGATAAACTATTCCTTGATTCTGCCGACATCTCCGTTGAAGTCTTTTGAATTTTGCCAGAATGTAAAGAGTTAAAGTAAGGGCATCGACAAGTTAAATAGTAGCTTGAATAGATAAGATATATGTATATTTGAGATATTCTTAAGTAATTTTGTAGACCAAGATAGAACGAGACCGAAAAAGTCAGATAATCTTTATTTCAATTTTGAGAACATGAAGGCTTTATATATTTTTCAGAGAGTTAGCTGAGCTTATAGAGGATGTTAGGAAGATGTAGTTACAACCAATGAGTACTAATGGATCTAATGAGAGATTAGTGAAGGCGTGTTCTAACACTGTTATGGAGCTGGTACCAGTTTGACTTGTGAACAATTGCTTAATCGACAATTCAAGTCTAAGATGACAGCCGTTTATGCTGTGTTTAAATTAATTAATTCTCACTCGTGTTTCGATACTGTAGACAGTGGTCGGGACATGACAATATTGTTTGATCTGCAAATTAAAGTTATCTGATTTATACAAATCCGAATACTATTTTTTTTTTTTTCTAAATCAAGTCAATTATTCATATGATGATGTCTCGGATGTACATATAGATGATATCTTCTTCCAGGATCGATGAGAATTGTTCTGACAAAGCTATCACTCAAGATTAAACCAATCATTATAAGGATCTGTAGTCTCTTATTTAGTATTATGTAATAATCTACGTGTAATATGATGTTGGATACAACACCATACATAAGTGTTCGATGAGGTATTTTGTTGTGGAGAAGACGCAACCAAATTGTGCGGGCGTGAAGTGGGATAGCGAGTGCCCAAAATGTTTTCCATTGGCGATTGGTCAATATAGGATTATCGGGAAGAGCGGTTGAAGGTGGTAGTAGCGACTTGAAGTGTTTCGGTGACGAGGAAGAATGGGTGGTATTGCTAGATGGTGGGTTAAACAATTGATCGATCAGGGGTTGGTTATCAAAGTAATCTGCCGCAGGTAAAGTCGAATAAGGGAGTGTTGTATTTGCTTATTTAAAAAATTGATAACAGTTGTAAGTCGATGACTATGAACTTAGGTGTCTTTATTATTCTTCAGATGAAGTAGAAGGATTATTTACTTTGTGAGGTTTAATGGGAATTATATTATTTGAGGACGCGTATGCTAGTCACTAATTTCAGGTTCAGATGCTTATTGGTGATTATTATACTTAGGCCTATATCTTGTTCTATGTTGTACATAACCTATATTAGATGCAATATAGATAGACCGTGGTAGAATGTATTCTCTACCTGGTTGTACGTACTCGAGTATTGTAGTTATTATCTCACCAAACACGGCAGGGAGAGTTTGAGGAGTGATGTGACAATGGTAGTAGAGGATCGGTTTAAGCAAAAAATTGTCTGCCAATATATGGCAGGCGGCTAGTTTAGAAAGAGTAGAAAATATGTTAAATTCGTAAGCATATCTAAGTAAGTCTGAGGAAGTGCCTGTCAAACGTGAAAACGTCCATAACCTGGAGCTTTGAGATCCCGGGATGGTCTTCGAGAAACTATGAAATAGTAAAGGTAGAAAGAGAGGAGTCAGATATAACATATACAGTAATAATGGTAGAGATAAAGTAGAACAACTGTTGAGGTGGCATGAATCCGACTCTACGAGATTGGATGAGATGGTGCAGTCGATAGTCGTTGTGAAGGCATGAAAGATGTCGAAGATAAGGCAAGAAGGAGGCGGTCGATGAGGAAACCAGACATATGTGCGGCAATGTGGTAGGAGTAATAGCGATAGTCGTTGAAGGTCTCTGAAGTGTAGAACCATTGTAGAGTACTATGGAGCAGATGAAAGGGAGAAGAAAAGTGGATAGCTGAATCATTTTGGAGAAGCATGGGAGAAATCCACCTCCATAGTAGGGCTTGCTGTTGAGCGATAGGACTAAGGGATTCCAAGGCCACCTTTGAATTGGGGTAAAGTGAGTGTTAAAGAAGCTATTTGAGGGAAGATACGGTAGATAATAAAAGACATGACAAGACTTTGTAATTTGTGTAATTGAGTTTTAGTGAAGATAGGTAATCGTAAGGCCTGCCAAGATTGAGAATATATGAGGGTGTTTAAGGCAGTAGCGCGGCCTCGGGTGGAGCGCTGACGTTGAGTATCAAGTTGACAAGAGGTACGGAAAGTGTTGTAAAGGCTATCAAAGGTGAGGTTGCGTTGTGTAGTACTGGAACAGAAAGGATGTTATGACGCCTCTTAGGCGAATTCAATCATTAGAGAGGTTTCACCTCTTAAATTATAAATATGGCTCACCACTGTAGTTAAAACATCCTCAGTGTTTTTATCCTTGTTCTTTCTTGTCCCCACATTAATTTTATATACTGTATCTGTTTAATAAACGTTATTTTATTAAGTACTATCTTCTGTCGTTGTAACTTATCTTCAGAGACGTTAATAACACCAACCCCACAGTCTTGTTCTGCTAATTGGTCCTCATCACCTCTGTCACAGTCCATAGTCATTACAGAGGAAAGCCTAGGTAGTAGGTGAAGGGCGTGGGAGATGAGCGATCGTGTCATTGAGTAATGTGGTGTTGTGAGAAGTACTGTTGCCACTCAGGCTGAAGATACAGTAGTGTCACGTTCTGACCTCTAATTCACATAACAATCGGAGAAACAATCCAGATTTACTGCCTTTACCAGTTATAGTGTACTGGAACAAATAAGATTCCAGGCACACTGGGACAAATAAGATTTCAACAGGCACACCTCAACCTTACTGGTAATCCAGATATGTATCTCAGTAGCGTTGTACAATTTATTAACAGGAACACTATTACTCGGTTGTCATTACTACTTTCTTAATTCCACTATAAGCTCAGTTCTACCTCGCATTCATACAATAAAAGACCAGGCAATTTCTAAACCAAAATAAAATTATCCAAGAACTACAGTGACTCACAAAACTGTTCACATGTTTGGTACAACAGGTTAGTTGTTTCAATGGTATGGTCAATTCTCAATGAAATTAGACAAAAGTTACATCAGTCGAAAGCTTAAAAAATGTAGTTTAATATTCAAGTTTTTTTTATTTTGAAAATGTGACTGTCATTTCAAGAAATTGACTTTGAAAGCTAGTACTGTATATTGTTCGGTCTCGCCGACTCACTCAGTCTCTACATTTAAAAACTAATTAAATTATAACTCCTGATATCTAAGAATATCACAGATAGCCTGAGAGAGATAGAGCGTGAGTCTTGTGGTAGTTCAGGAGGGTGTTAAAGGCGGCACTGTATAGAGAAATGGCCTGTTGTACCTGTAGGTGGCAGAAATCCTATTGGTCATGAACGAATACCAATGTGTCATCAGCATAGGCAAGAATCTTAGGGTGGTGCTCAGTGGTAGTGGAGGGAGTGTTGGAGGGAAGAGTGGCGGTCTGAGGTGGTGGTTGTGGTATTCGCTAGGGCAAAATATGACAATAAGTTCGTTACACAACATTTATCAATATTAATATTATTTTTGAAATAAGTAAAAAATGAATTTCTGTAAATAAGAAAAATAAAAAGTAATAATGAAACGTATTTTGATTATTCATAGTCATAATGACCTGATTATGTCAATAAACTAATCTGTTTAATAGTTCATAATATAAAATACTATTAAATAAATATTTTTCCTGATAAATAAAAATAAAAAAACAAAAAAAAAAAATAAAAAAAACATCTTCTAGCGTTTATGGGTTTTTGGGTAATATAAAACCTAGAATATTTATTCTAACAATTTTTATTGAAGATATATTTTTTCCTTCCGTTTCTCATTTATCATTTTTTGATTAACAACGTTGCTATTTCCCGCAACCCCAGAGTATAGCTTGATTCTGTATTATTCATTTATTATGGAGTGTGTTCCACACGATAGCCGGTAGCTGCCATAATATCATCTATCCACAATGGATAGCTTACCTTCTAATATATTACATTCCAGAATCTTCTTAATAACCTGATACCATTTCATTATTCAACAAGTTGAATTATCAGAACATTTAGATACTGATTCTTCCATTCGATTTCATATCATAGAAAATAAAAAAAAACATTTTTTTTTTCTTTCCGTCTGGTTTAAAAACACTTTGTGTTTTTCCTGATTTTAATGAAATTAAAATCTTTAGTATCCAAAGGATACGTTTTAATTTATAAAAAATAAAGTACACCAAGTGGTGTACCAAAAATTAACAAAGTTAATTTTCCAGAAGGGTCTTTCAGACCCGACAGAAGGTGTCAAAGACACCGTTAATATTTTATAAAAATAGGACCAAAGGTCCACCAGAAGGAATCAAAGATTCCGTTAAGAAATTTAAAGAATATTAAATTTTAATAAATTAAAATTTTATGGATTCAAAGAATCCACCAGACGGAAAGAAAAAAAGAAAAATATTCTTTAGAATAAAATCATTTACAAGAAAGGAAATAGTTTGTGTTACGAATGGATCCTCATAATTACCCTTCGCTAGTTTTAACTATGAGATAAAAGGTAAAGAATAGCACAAGAGAAAATAAACACGAAAGCTTAACGAAATCAAACCACCGTCTTTATTTCTCTTTCCAAAACAAACTAAAGAAAAAGAAAAGAAAACTAAAATTACTGCTATTAATAAAGACTTATTGTGTTTGCTGTCTACGAAATGATTGTATCGGGATTATAGCTGACACTGATGTACAGTATGTTACGATGTTCTCTATAACAAGAGGAACAATAAGTGGGTTAGACTTATTACTCGGGAAAGCAGAGAATTGCTGATGGTACTTACATTCTTGGGCTTGAGCACGCTCTTGCAAAGATTCATTATCAGATGCAGAAGCAGATTCATAAGAATCTACTTCCATGGCATCCAAAGATAAACCAGTTTGCTTAACGCTGGTCCAAGCAGAAGACGCACCGTGGTGAGATCGGGGGAAGGCAGGATCAGACATGGCACTCAAGATCATTTCGCGCGCTTTTAAATCCTTGGCTGGACCACCATTACCATAGCTCTGGCGGTGACCTGAAGAACGTTTGGCATATTGGCATTTATGACCTTCAAAGGAGCCAGGAGCACGACAGACGGAACAAGGTTGACGACGTGATTGATGATTATTTTCTTGACGTGCCTGCTTCTTCAGAGCCTTGCAATCTGCCGTACTGTGTGTATCGACTTCATGGAAGGTACAATAGACACCTTGCCTTTTACTTTTACCTCCACTAGCATACTTGCTAGCATTGGTACCGTTAGGAGAACGGACGACGGGAGAATGATCATATTGGTAACGTTCATTGGACGAGCTCAGACTTGAACGACCCTTGGATTTCTTGAACTTACGCTCATAATCTTCAAGAGAAGAAGAAGAACGCTTGTCACCAGCTGATTTTTGAGCACTAGCGGAAATAGCAAAATCAGTCGCATCCCATTGATTGAGTTGAATGGCTAACGTTTTAGCAGCAGCAAGAACGAAGTCGATATCCTTGTGTTGGCGTTCATTGGCCAAGTTGAGCGAAAATGAGAGACCTTGGAAGAACTGGGATTCCAAGCCACGGTTGAAGGAGTTCAACAGCACAGATTTGTCACTGACACCTGATTTCTTACGAAGCTTCTTGAAGCGATTGCAAAAATCGCGCATAGTTTCAGATGAATGTTTTTCAAGGTCATCAATTCTGATGTCGCCTTGGAGCGTTCAACCTCAGCAGCAGGACCAAACTCCTTTTTAAATTCATCTACGAAAATAGACCATGAAGATTCTTCTGAATGTTGATTGACAAACGAACGAAGCCAGTCGCGCATTTCCTTGGTAAGGCATTTGCGGACAAGACGATACCAGTGATCTTCAAGGGGAAGTTGCCATGTATCCAAAATATCTTCAAA